CACGGTATAAAGAATTGCACATACCACTAGGACCTTGTAAGATGCCTCGGTGCGCTGCCACTCGAACACGCCAGTGTTGTGTACAGTGATATACTGAAATCTATGATTTGACCCGAAGTCGGATCACTGTCGTGGGACCCTTGTGACAGTATGAGCGCTCTCTCACGGCCAGAATGGAACTTGTAATGCACAGCACGATGGAAATGATTGAGAACAGGTCATTCATGGTTCCTCTACATCACACGCGGCCTCGATCACAAGAGGTTTGATCTACCCCATGTAGCCCAGAATCCGGCAGTACTACCATTATAGATTAACTATGAGTTCCAGATTTATTGCGATTTAGTGATGGGAATCCCCTTATGATGTTCCGAGGGCATTGTACGACTGCCGACATGATGGATAATCTCCATTGCATGATCTCGATGCACCTTCATCTGCTCGGTTTGAGAGAGATGCCATGTAAAGCAAAGACACGATGCCGGGTATTTGGTTAATACTGCATCTTGCTGGCATTATATCGTATATTAATAGTATTAGATGCAGTTATATCAACATACCAGGTGACCGTCGGGGGCGTTACCCCAAAATCAAGATTTCCAAATGTCGAAAGTACTTTTCTAGAAGTGAGGACTCATGATCTATGATGTACATATATTTAGCTACTCTGGGCAGATATACCGGGCACTTATTTTTGGCTTAATACTTCATTAGTATCTGGAAGGATCGAGATACGCTTCTATGCTGTGTTATACTTGACGGCGGCTTGGAACCTGTTCTCCGATAGCTAGAGGTCGTGAGGAGTTAAGTGCTTAGGTGGTGATGGTTATCTCTGGATAAATATCTACAAACAGACGTTGGGCATACTCTATTTCTGAGACGCGACCAGTTTTTATAGTTAGAGTCATATTCCTAGGCCGTTTTCACAGGCTTTGTAACTCAACACAAGAGTGATATACTCAATTTATATACCGAGGAGATTGCCTATGGAATATCGGAAACATTCTGTCCTGCCCTACGGCTGAATCACCGGGTTCTTTTCAAACGTCGCTAGTTCTCACAACATTTGCCATGCCCCTTTGGCGAACAGACCTATCCACACTGAGAGAAAACAGAGCTTGCGACAGAGCAAGATTGAACGATATATCATGAAGGTAGGTCGAACTCTGGAGCATTCCCATTGTTAAAGATGCACAGTTCGAGTCACCAGGGAAAGAGATCCAGACAAATATTGAAGCCCACTTCGAGCCTTGCCAAACCTGGCAAGGACAATTCTCAGCCACTTTTGTAGCCAAGCAGAGAAAAGCATGCTTGGAGCTCTTGAAGCAGCTCAAGTAAATTGTGTCGGAGGAAGTCTACATAAGCTTAGACCAGGTCATTCAGATGACTACATATGCTCTTGTCAACCTATTACTCAGTTACACTACCAGTGTTCTTTCTGCGGGAGCTACTGTAAGTCATTCGATCCAAGAAATTGGATCTGAAATCAACGGACGCAGTAGCCGATTGAAACCTTCAAATGCCTCTCAAGTAGTAATTCATGACGTTAAATGGTCCCTCGAATATCAAAATTAGGTATTGCGCCCGGAGACCGAAGGATCCTCCCGGGCCTATGTATAATGGAAGAGCATGGTTCCGGACGGGTTCGGGGAAATGCGACATAATCTCGTAGGCGATCGCCTCCTCCAACTCAACTGACCAAGTGGTAGTGTGGTGTTCCATAAGTCTTCGTCCACCTGGTGATGACATAATATTCTGCCGGTCAAATAATTCTACTGCTTTCTGCATTACTTACCCAAATTTCATGATTCCAAGGAGATAGATAGAGACCAAAGCTAGAATTTGAATGAATTTCATCATAAACAAAACTAACGTCTCCTTTATGACAAGTTATAGACTAGTCAAGCTTGCACTGAAAGCGGAAAACTAGGCGGTAGGGCGAGGGTGGACGAAGACTTAGGGAACACCACTGTACATCAGTTCAAAGTCTTATCTCTGAGACACGAGAACAAAAGCGGGCTTGGCCTGCCTGTCACCCGCAGGGGTTCCTTATCATTTCACTTCCCCATGATGGCTATTCACGGCGGCCGACCCCGGGCAGTTCCAGAAAACCTGACGCCCATGATATCATGCCATAAGCTCACGAGAGGGGATATACGGGTTTGCTTTAAATACCCCTGCATTCTCATCTGCGAAACGCACGCTAGGTTGACCATCGGGCTCACATCAGTAGAGTATATTGGAATTGTCTTATCCCGCCAATGATCTATGATCTATGCATATTAGCTCGTCTAATCTACGATGTTCCTGGTAGTACAAGGGGATCATCATTGGAGCAGATCCCGTGATGAGCATGGGTCATTGGTCCGATCATTATTGACTAAAGCTTGGCTGTAACATTGCGAGGCGTTCTAGAGTGATTTCCTGCATAAGCGCCTCCGGCGCTCTGCTGTGAAAGTCCTGGAATCTTCTAATTGTTCCAATGCTCGCCTTGCGAGCCTCTGGGTTCTGCTGACGAAAGACGTTTCTCCCAGGCTAAATCTTCCGGGCCTCGTATCCACACTTTCGTGGTGGGACTTGGCTTTAGGCTGCAGCTTGAATTATGCCAATTTTTGTAGCATCTAGGAGCGAGTATTAGCACGCAGTTTCAGGGTCCCTGGGCATTGCTTGATATTGCCCGGGCCACGACAATCATTCTTGGCATGTTGATGGCAAGTCGATCGCAACCCCTCAAATTGTGTGATGTACGAAGCGAGCGTTTTGAATTAGAATATGGAGTAAAAGTCACCGCTCCAGGCAAATGTATACACATGAGATCCTTTATTGAATCGAACATGCTATCTATGCCCCAGGATGACTGGCCCCTTTTGATGCTGAAATGGATTTTTATCAAGTTGACTTTCATCCCAGTTTCTTCGGCCCTGGTATTGGAGGACATTACCCCAGACCAAGAAGAAGCCAAGAAACCAAGATAAGCCACTGGCATACCAGCGGGATTTGGGAGGGCTAATAATGCTGGATCTCGAGATTCTGACCGCTTCTTTTCATTCGTGCTCCCGTGCTCAACGACCGAGAGCACGCTACTGCCCAATGTGGAAGGCACTAAGCTGTCTGCCAGGAATATATATTACCTTTGGGATCAAGTGGAGCCGACCGTGGAGAAGCAAATGAACCTCGGATGGTGGCTCTGTTCTGTCCTGCACAAGAACCACTCAGCGCCGCGCGATTTAGAAAGAGACTTCGAACGAACGTTGATTTACGTTTTACCTTGACAAGCGAGCTCGTCTAGGTGCTCCGCGATCAACGATACCAAGGTTAATTTTGGACATAGACTTGGTTTAATCTGAGGCGGAAAATAGTGTCGCCTGATAAGGTCAAGACCCAGACCATCGGACACGACACACAGCTGTCAATTGCGGGAAGCACAGAACATAATTGGAACTGGTCGGAGATTTTTTTTCTTCCATCTCCCAGCTAGTTTAACTCGCGCAGGGCGGGATAGGAATAATAATAACGGTCTCTGCAAGTCGAGATACGGTCGCAGAACACACATCGTGCTTTCATATTCGTCATGGATAGGTGTTGAGTCGTGCAGCAGGAGTGTTTAACTGGGATTTTCGATCGCCAGCTCGCTAAAGGATAAGGCTAGCAGGGGCCCAAGCATTAGCCGGCAGAGATCCGGCGTTAGCCGGGTCTAAAAAGTTACAATGTAGCATTGCTTCAAGAGACCGGCCCCCTGGTCCAATCCCCGATTATCCTAGAAAGGTTACTGGCCCGACCAGAATTGCCTGCGAGAGACACATTGCACATGCTAGCCATCGAAACATCCCGAGCCTTCTTCCTCTTCTCCCCACTCCCGATTCTATCCACTTAATATCCATGGCCCACATATTCATACACATGATATGATAACAACCCCACTTTGCATCACTATGCACGAGGAAGGAGTAGTTAATATACCGGAATAATGGAGCGATAGGGATCGGGAGAGGAAATTGGTTAGCAAGCAAGGTTTGTCATGAGGTTGATGTCCTTGAAAGCTGTATATGGCACGATTGGGAGAGATGCACACCCCTGAAGGAAAGAACAATCCAGAAGGAAATCCAGATAAGACAGACTGTAAAGTCCAGAACGAGAGAGAACAGAGAGGCTGAGGATCCGCGATAAGGCCAACTAGACACAGACTACTGTAATTGGGGACCATTCCCAGCCCAGTTAGCCACGTTAGTAGTCCGCCCCCTCCCAAGTTCCAACTGGACTAGACACTCGAGACACCTCAACAGACCACTTGACCAAGTGGCCATCATCTAAATCGAGCTAGCCTAACTGATACAAAACTAATCTCACTACTAAACTCTGGCGAACACTCCCACGAACGGCGGATTCAGCATGGTGCTACTTGACCCCTCCCGCCCGGAAACGTTTCTAGACGGCTCACATCGGGCAGTGAGCAGGGGCAGTCACAGAAACAGCCAATGCGCAGCTATCACCCCCTCTCTTGTGCTGTCCTGACCTCGCGACATGCAGCAGGCCCGGTCATCGCTACGTTTCTAGAAGCCGTGGCGAACTTCCAGATTGGTGGATGCCTTGCGGTTTACCCCAGGTCCGCCAAGAAGTGGATACGTACCTGCGCACTTTGGCGGAATCGATATCGTCAATCATCGGGAGCTTGTCGCAATTGGCTCCTCTCACACGGTCTGCTATCTCTTAAAAAGCCTCCAGTATCTCCACCCGAAGGTCCAACGATTTAATGATCTCCATCGCCATGAAACTTGGCTTGGAAGGGTCCAACTGCTGATCCTCTCCCATCGGTTTAACCACACCTGCTCCTACACCTACTTCCATTGCTTTACTGCACACGCTCTTCCTACCAGATATCATCTACCATTTTCTGCTTTACTTCTAATCTCTTCTTTGCCCCGCCCTCTTTTATTTCTCTGTTATAAATGGTTCCTTAGCAACACGTCAAAGATCGCAACCCACATCCCCTTCCTGTAGCTATGACGCGAACCGAGCCTACAAATAGCACAACGTCGTGGGAGACTAAGTGCATTGCCGCCATTGACGATGGCCACCGAATTGACTCGGTCAGCCAAGATCCTCGCCCCAGAGGGCGAATCCGGCGCTCCATGACAGCGTGCAATACATGCCGCAAGCTGAAGACTCGGTGTGATCTGGATCCCCGAGGACATGCCTGTCGTCGCTGTCTTTCTCTCAGGTTCGTTATATTACCCGCTGATCGCTGCCCGAGCTACAATTACTTCCTTGTTTCCCCGCGTTTTGTTTTGTTCTCTTTGCTCCCATGGTGTCCTTACTACTAATTGGGGGATTCGTCGAGAGCCTGTAGCCCTCCAAACTTACACTCCAATAACCAAAATTGGGTTCCAAAGAGCTAATTCAAAATCAACAGACTCGATTGCGAATTACCGGAAACCCAAGATAGATTCCAGGATAATGCGTCGACCTGGTCAGACGCTAATGCAGCGATCCCTTCTATTGAGGAGCGGCTTGTTTCCCTGGAACGTGGAATGGGTGAGATGATACATTTGATGCGTCAGATGGCCAATCAGTCATCTACAGTCGGTGGCAGCCCTCACTCCCATGCAACGCGTAGCGTGGATGAAATGACATCGGGCGATAGCTGGCCGGTGCCATCGTTTACGTTAAAGCCGGTGCAGTTCATCCGAGACCTGCAGATTGAATGCTTTAGAGACCAGCTCTCCACTGAAGCAGATCTCCTCGGCGATGTTGTGTCCCAAGGAATTATTGATGCTAAGCTGTCCTTGAAACTGATCGAATTGTGAGTTGTACATTCTCGAAGTACTCTCGACTGGGGACTGACCATTTAACAGATTTGTTGAGTACTTCAGTCCTTGGGTGTCAATAGATCTTTCATCCAGTATCCAGAGAACAGATACGCTCCTTTTCAATACTGCATGTCTCCTGGCGTCTCGTTATCTGCCAGGTATGCTAGCGAATACAATCCACGAAATTTCAATGCAAGTACAGCACGGAGTCACCAAAACCCTCTGGAGACGGTCACCCTTGACAAATGACCTTCTTCAAGCGCTGGCACTACTTTGTCTCTACCCTACTTCGGGTCATAAAGAAGGCTTTATGGATGGCTGGTTGTTGAGCGGGATCTCGATCAACCATGCCTTATGCTCTTTCAATTTTCTCAATAACCTCCCCACCAAAAGTGTTTTGACCGATGAAATGCTCTCTCAAATGCGTCTCTGGAATACATTCTGTCTCACTCATTTGCAGTATGTTCCCCCATTATGAATCTCCTTCCTTTCACTAACCATGTGAAAGTTCCGCTCTCGGATACGGTCGCTCTGTTAATGTGCAGCAACATCATCTTGATTACTGTACCCGTATTCTAGATCATCCAAGAGCCACGCCCGAGGACGGAAGAATCGTGGCAGAAATCAAACTCTATCGAATTGCTTTGAAGATCCAGCACAACCTCCAGCGCCTTCGATTTGCTGAGGGCGAATATGAGGAGATTGAACGGTGGAAATTGGAATGGGCTCATCTGATCAGTAAGCTATCTTTGTTTCAGATGTTCAGACACATCTCACTAAGCTATTTATCAGCAAACGAAGGTCCATCAACCCTCGAGCTCAGCATCTGGTTTTGCCAGTTACTTCTTCACAGAACTGCCTCTCGACTCCAACCAGAGTCCGACAGACTCGTCGCTGAAATATGCAGCAACGCACGGTTGATAATTTCCCGCTCCCTCCAGACTCGCTTCTCTGCCGCGCCAGGATTGATCGATAACGTGTATTACATTCTTGGCTACGCCGCTCTCACTCTATGTGATTACAATCCATCGGATCCTCAGATCGACCAGGTGCGGGCCTTCCTGCTCCATCTTGCTCCAAGCAGCGACCACCTCGCATACAGGATTGCGTGCATTGTTGGAGAGGTCCAGCGTAGATATTCTGAAGCAGCCACCGCTGAGCAAGCTTCCCCGAGCGCTGATGTGCTGAAGGGCTCTTTATTTGTGGTGCCACAATCTCGATCAGAGAACCTAGACCTGACCCAACTCATGCCTGCATCTGGCATGGAGCCTCTTGTTGAGGGTTATGGATGCTTTGAACAACTCATCCCAGCTGGCTACGTGCCAACGCAACCAGCATTCTCGGCACCTGCTATGTTTCAACATCATCCCGCGCCGGTCACTGGCGGTGCAATGCCTGTAAGCCTGGTGCCGCGGGCCTTGCATGATCTATGAATGGATTTATATTGGAGTTTGAGGGATCTTTTCAAGCGGTAGTAATAATGATCAGGCTGGAATGATGGGTTAACGAATGGATATATGATTCTTGTGTCTCTAATTACTTCAACTCGAAAACGCTTCATTCTCTGCAGAGCAGCCTGAGGGGAAAAAAACACGCAGTCTTTATCTTGACACATATAATGTGCTAATGAACATTGCATTACTAGCACATCACTTCTGACACAAAGCACGTGAAATGTAGGAATCTATAACCGTTCCAGCTATTCCCGAGGGAATTTCTCCACAATTCGAGCGTAATAAGTGGAGAAGGATTTTAGGCGCATAAAGACTTTCAACATTGAACATTCAGGCAACACTAAATACGGTGGTATCCACTCAAGAACAAATGGTAGACCCCTTAATATTCGAACTGGGATATACAATCCTTGGCTCCCCACTCGCCATTGGCACGGGCACGTTACCACTACTATCAACGGTGATACTTGCACAGGTAATGATCTCCGTCAAAGTCGTTCCCACCTCATAGCCTGTGTTTCCTAGTGAAAGTGTGTACTGACTTCCACTTGCACCAAGATTCGAGAGAATGGTGATAGTCTGTGTGCCGTTGTCTCCCTTGCGCATTGCTAGGGTGCTGCTGTCCTGGTAAATCGGATAGTTCTTGTATGTGATATAACTATGGCTCGCGCTAATCGCATGGGATCGAATGGCGTTCGCTTTGGCGATGAGGGTATACAGTTCGCTTTTAGTATTATACCCAGATAGCCACACAGCCTCACGATTTGCAGGATCGCTACCGCCACTGTAGTGCTGTTCCTGGCCGGCGTAGATGATAGGAATGCCGTCAGCCATGATCGTAAAAGTCGCTGCATTCTTGGCCAGAGACATGTCATTGGTATATCTGCACAGAGTGAGTGAGTGGCAGCGTCCCAAAAAACAAATTAGTAAACGTACGAGGCAAATCGAGGATTATCGTGGTTCTCCATAAAGGTTCCAAGAAGGGTGGAATCGGAGCAGGTGGATTTGACCGTGTTGATCATGTTGTAAAGGTCGCTCATGCTCCCGCTGGTAGACTGGAAGGCCCGGAGTAATGGATAGTACCTAATTGTTGGATTAGTTGCGGTAGGAGCAAGTAGAACAGAATGAACACCCACATGGGATAGTTAAGCAGGCCATCCATAACCTGCTGATAAGGGCAAGTGTAATCTGCGTCCCCATCAAAGACCTCGCCGACACAGTAAACTCCAGCAGCCTTGTTATAGCCAGGCCAGAAGTCTTTCTGAACGTGCTTAACCGTATCAACGCGTAGACCATCAACTTTTTCATCCGTTGTTAGCCGAAAGCTCACTCAAGAGTTGGCAGTTGGTTACTCACTCGAATAGTTGGAAACCAAGGAGCCAACCCAGTTATACCATATACTCTGAACACTGTCTGCCTCGGTATTAAGGTCTGGCAAAGAGACAGTTGTATCACCAAGCCAACAATCCTCCACGTTAGTCTGGTTACTGTAGTCCGTGACCTCACAGTAGGGGTGGAAATATGCGTTTGAGTTAAAGGGATCGAAGACGCTGTAATCAACGGTGTTGCCAGCGCCATTGTAACCCTGACATGAATATTAGAAAGACTCCCCCCCCTTTTTCTTCTTGCAAGTATGGCCTTATCTGAGACTCACCAGATGGTTGGCCACGACATCTACCATGAGGTACATGCCACGGTCATGTAGAGCCGAAGCCAAAGCCTTGAGGTCACTGCCTGTCCCATAATTTGAGTTCAAAGCATAACTATTGCTTTGTCAATTCTACTCAAAAGGACCAAGAACCACAGTATCAGTCAGACTTACATGTCCTGTTGCCAGTATCCGTGATATGCTGTGCCGTCCCCAGTATCTCCGTTCAGTTGGCCGGTGACAGGAGTGATCCAAATAGCGGTAAAGCCCATTCCTTGGATATAGTCCAGCTTTTGTTGTCATTAGATCGGGCTTTCTAGAGTGGCGATAGAGCCGGAGTTACCTTGTCAATAATACCCTGCCAGGTACCACCACAATATACCTAAATAGAAGGTATCAGCTGCCCGTCGTCGCCACCTTAAGGCTTTTTCATAATCGTACGCACCCTATCGCTGGTATTGCAGGTAGATGTGGTTGAGCCATCCGTTCTCGCAAATCTATCAGTGAGCATGAAATAGATTGACTGAGAGCGCCATTCAGCAGGAGTCGCTGCAAACGCTGAGCCGAACAGGCCAGCAAAGAATAAATTGCGCCAGAAAGACATTGTTTTTCTATCCAGATGGCTCGAGTCTCGATGTTGGAAGAAGAGATAGTAGTTCGAATGCGATTTTATATCAAACACGCCAGATCTGACGTCTGTCCTGGCCGCTTACTCCGCTCGCTGGGCAAATCCTAACCCTAACCCCGTACACCAGTCAATTTCCCCGCGTCCTCAGGAATTAAATGCCAGAAAGCAGGGAATTCACCTACCGATCAAACACTGCCGCTGCAACTCTCAGAAGTTGAAGAGGAGAGTATGAACGAAGCGATCGACAGCGATCGCCATACAATCTCCTATGAATGCCCGCCCCCGGTAGCGTTCGGCGAACGGATTGGATGTAGGAAGTCGCAACCAAGAAAGAAGCCCACTATCCAAGAACAGAAGAGAGGAGGAAACACATCAGCGTTTGGGGAGGAATGATTTTTACTCCCAAAGGAGCAATACAGGAACGTTGATCTCTTTTGTGCATCAAAACAGCCCAGCCTGCGGTCAAGATCCAATTCTTTCAGATCCCGATCTTCTCGATTGGGACCAGTTCGACCGTTCCAGAGAAGCGGGTTCCGATGATATTATTCGACGGGATGATTGGCATATCCAGACTCAAACAAAGTGAATTTCGCCAAGGCTGGTGGAAAGACCAGGGCGTCGTTAGTGTATTGGACAACCAGTAGAGTCCAGGGATGCCTGCAATTACAATCACGGGTGATAGGATCCCCAGACGGACAGGGGCTGGAGCAATCAGCGTTTAGGATAGCGAGGGTCCTACAATGAATTTCCAGGGTCGTGCTTGCTGGGGTTGCAACGGGGGCTGGAGAATTAGTGATTGGCGAATGGCAGGGGCTTTGGGGGCGGTTGTCGATCATTTTCCTGATCGCGATGTTTCGCCGCTGCGAGGGGCTGCCTGAGTGAGGAGTTGTGTATGGTGGCATAGTTGAAGAATTATTTTCTATGAGGAAAGGACTCGGTCGAGAGGGCGTGCAGTACTTTGAGGTTGTGTGGGTCATGCTGTATCGACAATACATGATGAGAGGAGGGGAATAACGACATTTAGGGGCGGCGACAGATGGTTCGGATTTGGTAACGATCGTGATTATTTGTAGAGTTATATTTACGAATTTTTGGCATCGATTGATTGGCCATTGTTCATAGTTACCAAAATCTTTGCTTATTTAGAGCCTACCAATGAAGTAAGCCGGTTGACTTATTGTCGTGACAAGTCGAGTATGGAACAATGGAGCAATTGATAAGAATTCCCATTCTTTGTCTTAGTTAGGAGGTGTCATTGGTTAATTGGTCTTACACAGAAGATCTGTCCTATACGATCTGTCCTATACCCGAGAAGCTCGGGGATCCGAATTCGGCGAATATTCGTCATTCGGGCGGAAACTGCCTTGTTGAACGGACTGGCTCGGGATGAACGGGCGATGATGTGAAGACGTTTTGGAAATTGGACCAACACTCAGACACAACAGTTGGGATCCACAGTTCGTATTCCCAAGGCGATTAAGAAAATGCCCTTATGGAAATCAAATTATACAAATTATCGTAAAAATATTCATTTATCGACTCACTTCTCTTCACGGGCATATTCGAACGGGCAAAACCCACAGTCCCGAGGCACATGACATGACATGGTTCTTCGGTCTAGCACCGAGAGAAGATTGTAGAGCTTCGTATAGAGGACATAGCGAATTAATCAACGTTGGCTATGTGTACAATCATTGACACCTTCCTTACACTTCTGATCTCCACGCATGGATCTTTACCACTTCAGGATCCAGCTGCTTGCGAACGCTCCCTTCGATGTCATCTCCTGGAGATCGGTGACCGACATGACATGTGAAGTAGCATTGTAGTGAACAGACGCGGCTGGGACGGTCTTGCCGTTGAGAGTCACGCCATTAGGCTTGTGGGTGACACCCAACACGTTAACATTGCCAAGAGCATTCTTCTCTTGCCAGTTTCCACGGGGCTCGGCGCTGAGGCTGGACTTGGTAGCCTTAAACGTGACTGTCAGCGTAGCGTTGGGCTCCATGCTTTCTCCGTCATCGAGGTACAGTTCACCCGAGGCAGTTCCCTTGTCGCCAAGGGCGGCGAGAAGGGTCCAGGGGGTGTTGCGAGCGTCACGGGTAGTCAAGGCAGGCTCCTGCATGGGGAGAATGCTGTCACCGCGCACGAACACGGGGATGTGGCCCAGCGGAGCAGCGATGGTGGTGTTGACATGGGGCTCGGCGTTGACAGCGGTTTGAGTGTACCAGTCATACCAAACCTCACCCTGCTTGATGCCGGGGAAAACGCCCTTGACGGTGGTCGCCTGAGGTGCGAGGACGGGGACCACCATGATGGAAGGTCCGAGGAGGAATTGAGTGTCCACAGCTGCCAGGGAGGGGTCGTTAGGGAACTCCCAGGCCAGAGCGCGCATAACTGTTGATCCGGTGGTGTGCGCCTGCTGGAACAAGGTGTAGATGTACGGGAGAATCGCGTAACGAATCTTCATGGCGGCCTTGGAAGCTTCAGCGACAGAAGCCCACCGGTAGGGCTCCTGGCTGATGGCAGAGAGCACATTGTGGTTGCGGTAGAAGGGGAAGAAGGCCGACAGCTGCATCCAACGGTTACAGAGCTCCTCGTCAGTGTTGCCATTGAAGCCACAAGTGTCAACACCAAACATAGGGACACCAAACAGGGAGAACTGAAGAGCCTGAGGAATGGACCAGAACATGTATGACCATTTGGAGTTGTTATCACCACCCCAATGGCCGGCCCATTTACCAGTTCCAGCAAAGGTCGAGCGGCCAATGATGAAGGGACGCTTCTCAGGGAAGACCTTGCGGAGACCCTCGTAGGTGGCACGGATGATGGAGTGACCATACAGACTGTGAACGTCGTACTCCTGGACACCATCAGAGTGAGTTGCGTTAGGAGAGACAGCGTGCACCGCAAGGTCGTGGCCAGTCTGAGCGTGGTTGATCACGTATGGGGGGTGGTTCACGTCTCGGACGCCCGGAGTAGGCGTGGTGCGGAGATAGGGGTGGTAGTAGTAGCAGACTGGCCAGTGGCCGCAGCTGCAGAAGCTTGGCTGGCAGATGCTGCAGATGCGGAGGCAGCCTCAGTCGAGTTTGTGACGTTGAAGCCCTCGGGATAGTCGTAGATGATGTTTCCAGGCTCTCCGGGCAGCGAGAATGGGGGTGAACTGGGTTTAGGCTGAGCTTTGCAGAACCACAGCTGCCGACACAGAAGGACGAGACTTCGTTCATGTCAATCCAGATACCATCGAAGGCAACCTTCTTGTGCCAGGTCACAAGCTCGTTTGCCCAGAAGTCGTCGGCTTTAGGGTGGTGCCAATCGGGGAAAACGGTGTACCCAGGCCAGACAGCACCAATGTAGGTGCTTCCGTCGGGGTTCTTCAGGAAGACATCTAATTCGGCACCACGAGTGTATGTCTCATACCTGGATCATTTGTCAGTTGAATCTGTTCCTTTTGAACGGAAAGAAGAGCGAAAGACTCACGCATCGGAAGCATTGTTGGGGTCCGGGATGTAGAGGGCAGAATCAACAATGGGGATATAGTGGATGCCACTCTTGTGCAGCTTTTCCAAGAACACGGCTCCCTCTTCATAGGAAAAGCGGTTCGGGTCATTATCAAAGTCACGGTAACCATGCATGTAGTCAATGTCGTTCCTAATAGCATATCAGCCTAGATTCGATCAAGTGAATACTTGCTTGTTGTCAACGTACCAGATGTTCTCCAGGGGAATCTCAAACTTCTGGAAATTAGCCACGACATCCTCCACCTCGGACCAGTTGTGGTATCCCCACCGGCACTGGTGGTAGCCAAAGGTGAAGTACTGCTGCATTGCAGGCAGACCGATGGTGCTCAGTTGGTAGTCCTTGGTCACTTCCGTCTGGGTTGGACCCGCGTAGAGAGTCAAATCAATGCTACCGCCGATAGTACGCCAGGTGAGCTTCTTGGTTCCAAGAAGGATCTCCTGGCCGTGAGCATTGCGCAGGAAAACACCGTGGGAGTATGAGACATAGTTCTTGGAGGTAGTAGCCTGGTCACTTGACACCAGAGTGTGGGAACCCTTGTCATTGACTTCGTAGTAGCGAGTATCCAGATAGAAAGCGTGCGATCCGTATGTGTTCCTATAGGGTTTGGCAGTCAGTACTGGGTTCTATTCGATCATTTTCCTGAGCGCAAAACGAAAATCGGCAGGTAACTCACTGATCAACTGGATCGCCGGTATCCGCAGCATACATAGTGAAGGTCGAGTTCTTCAGCAACCGCAACTGCTGGATGTGTTCGCCGAGTCCGTACAAGTTATAATCATCGGGCAATGCGGTGACAAACTCGATGAACTGGTTCTCATACACCAGCTTGGAGCCCGTGGTGTCGAAAAGGACGTCTCCAGTTGCCTTGCGGGCAATCTTGAAGCTGAAGCTTGGCTCATTGGACCAAGAGACCTCGAAATCGCTGCTCTTGGCGGAGGCCTGCTGGTCGGCCTTGGGGCGCGGTACTACGTCCTCGGAGAGGTAGTACCAAGATGCGTTGGAGGCATCCACATGGGAAGGACTGATTTGAATGTTGACACGCGTGGAAGACAAGTACTCAAGAGTGAAGTTGAGCGAGTTCACATCAGTGCCATATACATTGCATGGTTTACCCGCCAATGTCAAGGTCGCAGTCCATCCACGAGCATTATTATGGACGTTCGACGCGCGGTAACCCGGGCAAGCGGACTGTGCATTGACGGCCTCGGGGTCATCAATGTTGGCGATGAGGTTTGCACCCACATCGACACCAGGGTCCAGGGTGGTTTGGACATAAGCCGAACTCGAGGTTTGGGTGGCGGCGCCATACACAGCTGGCAACAGCCAGGTTCCGGCCAAAAGGCGCGTAAGACCAACCATCGCGATCGATGCAATCCGCGACGAGGTTATCGTAGAGGAAGATCGTCGTCGCGTTGTACTGTGCGGTCTGCGATCACAGATTGTTTCTTCTTTGGCCGTGCAATCCGTCAGGTGCCAGTCCTTCTTATAGTATGCGATGGGGTCGAGCCCAACTCGAGGGCGATCGCGATACTACAGCGCAACACAAAACACCAGAACTGACCCAGGTGTATCCCTCTCGATGGGGGAACTCAGTACGATGGCGCAAAAATTTCCGTTGAATCTCCGTGCATAGCGGGGACGCGGTGGAATTCCCAGTGTTGTCGAGCCAGCATTCCAGAGAGGGCGCATGCCTATGCGGGGTTGGATTGAGTCGCTCCAAGCTTAGCTGGGCTAGCTCGACTCGCAGGACTGGCTGGACTGGCTGGAACTGGGGCTAGGGTCCAAGTGGCACAGAGCAATTGCGGGGATGGGGATCGTCATGTAGATTGCACCGTGCGTAGAACCGAGAGCAGGACCAGGGCCAACACGGGCGACACGGGCTAGGACGAGCTTGACGGGCTGCTGCACGGGCTGGACGGGGACCGGCGAGTCTGTTGCGAGCCGAGTCCACTGGTAGAACGGAGTACGGAGTCCTGTGGACGCACTTTTGGTCTTCTTCGTTCCTGCTTTGACCCACGGGCTGTGAGCTCTGAAGGGTTTCCATCTGGAGTCCTCAAGCTGGAGCGGCGTGATTGGCCAAACGTCCGACAATTGCCCGAGGCTGCAGAGGATGGTGGGGTTGCTGATTCATAATACACCGAGGAGGACGGAGAGTTGGAGAATAGGAAAGAGTTAGTGATAGTTTAAGAAGACCCTCTTTTTCTGGTCAAATATGATGGGACAAGGGCCATCATCATAAGCATGAAAAGGCAGCTCAGGTCCTAAGGCGCTGGAGAAAGCGGTAGTTAGTCGAGAGATTTACTTGCCGGGGACAAAAGGCTGGAACAGGAGAAAGAAGATTCTCGATTACGTGGGAGCACCGCGGCACCACTTTCCTTACGAGGGAGGCAGAGGGGGCAGCGAGTATAGTATGTCCAGTATAGGAGATACAGTATAGTGTAGAGAGTATACACTATAGAGTATACACTATAGAGTATACACTATAGGTATCCCAGAAGAGTGCATCATGTAACGCTGGGAGTCAATCCCCCGGAAAGCGGAGAACCTTGGGAGGAAAGCAACTCACATCATCATGAATCTGAGATGTGATGACTGATTTTCTCCCTCATGGGTATCATCCAGAATCGTGTCTAGCCTCGTAGTACTTACTGGAGTACTGTAGTAACTAGTATGTAGTAGCCTGGGGTCTGGCTGAGTCTAGGAACAGAACCGGTGAGTGTTTTCAATCTAGCGGCACCCTCGAAAAACGAGAGGGGACCGGGGGATGCCGATGATGAAATCAGAAAAAATACTACAACCGTCGTAGTCCATACGATGAGGCAATCTGGGGGTCCTCCATCTCGGGAGTGCCTGGTGGCGGGGATGGTTTCTCCGGGGGAATCCTGTTTGGAGGAACCTTGGAAAGGAGAGGATACTTTTGCCCACGCATCATCATGATTCAATTCGTCGGAATTTAGAATTTTGCATGAGGTCCACCAGTGGTTGAGGTAGTGAACAGTTCTGATTGATGAACTGTTTCCCACCGGCATGGTCTGATCGAGTGGAAAGGGCCAACAAGGGCCGGTCGCAGTGTAAAATGCTCGTTCATCTTCCTCGGCTTCCCGAGAACGTGTCAAATCACTAATCTCGGCATCTCAAGCCCCAATTGGAATGGAAAACAGAGAGAACTTCTAGCGTGCGGAGAATGGACCTAATTGGCCCATCAGGAAGCGCTAACGTGCACTGGGCGTCAGCCAACATGCAATGCTATTGACTCCTCCCAAAGTTCCCATGGAGCCACCCGTTGAAGACTGCGGAGACGCGGGCTCATCATGGCCTAGTGGGTGGACGCTACTGCGGCTGGAAATGACGGGGTTAGCTTGGGGAGTTAATCAACGTGAGAAAATCGCGCATGGCCCCGCATAAACTTTGGCTCGCTTTTCGCTATTCTGTCAGCAATAATGGACCACTGTCTGTTCTTCCTCGGTCTGTCGTGCAGCCGACGAAGTGCCTGGCGGCCTGCTCGGCTCAGCTAAGCCCAGTTTGGTCTGGTAAAAGGCTGCGATGAGGTCTTACGTCGTTCCCTGCCTGCCAAGGGTATGATGGACAGGGGATCTGCTGGGCCTTCGCTTAGGTGCCGGCGTAGTGAGAGGCTTGCTGCATCCTGGGATGTTTTCGGCCTAGTCCTGGATAAGGGAGGATTCTGGAAAGATCTGACCCGGGGGAGGATCGTGCCATTGGGTGATAGAAGCAGGTAAGGTGAAGTCAATCCCAGGCCTAATTCCTGCCGGTAGTCAGCTAGGATCCCATTCCTTCGTCGAGGATAGGTTGGATATCAACGCCAGGCACAAAATCTGACGACGCCTCGTAAAACCAGTCATCAGCCTCGAAAGTATATTGTGTCCCGCCAGGGATGGATGGAGGGGTAGGGAGAAGCTGTAGTCCATAGCCTCTTCGGATAAGGAAGAAGAGGAGAAAGAGGAGTAGGTCAGTAGGAGGAGAGGAGGAGAAGAAGAAGAAGGAGGCTATAGAAAAGGGCGTATTCAAAAGGCTTCACAAATCAAACGTGCAGGGGCCCTTTTGCGGGGCTTTGGGTGGCCCCGCGCTTCCCCAGATAAACCACTGTTTTTCTTCTTTTCTCTGGGTCTTTGGGCCTCTTCGACTCTTTTTTATATTTAGTCCTTCAACTCAACTACTGCCTCATCGACCATGACAGTCTGCTAGACCCACCACCTTCCCTTGAGAGCTGCTCCAACCTCAACTTTTTGTCTTTCTCTTCCTCGTCCTCTATCCCCTCCCCCTCCCCCCCCATATCTGGGTCTACAAGCAGTATGGATTTGGCTCCACCATCCAAACTCTCCTTTAAACAGGCATGTGATAATTGTCGCCGGCGCAAGATCAAATGTTCTCGCGAACTACCGTGTGATAAATGCCAGCGCCTGCTTCTATCTTGCTCCTATAGCGATGTCCTGCGTCGTAAAGGGCCGAAGTTTCGGACCCTCTATCCCCTGGCCCCCATCCATCCGCTATCGGCCCGAAATGATGGCAATCAGGAGCAATTCTATGCCGACCAAGACGGTTACCCCGACGCAAACTACAGAATGAGCTCTCCGGCCTCTCCGGCCTTTGCGGTGGCCGATGCCCAGTATGTGCCGCAGGATCTGTCGGATACTCTCTCCCAATTACCCCCGCCAGAGCTGGTTTCTTCCCCAGATTCGACCGATTCAACTATCGAGTCAATTCGGGGCCAAACGCAAGCTCTACCACATGCACGCCGTCTCTCACCCCAAATCTTGCTGGCCCATGTCAATGTTTATTTAAAATACCTGTTCCCGATCATGCCAGTCGTGCGCGGCGAGCAGCTTCGTCGGGATAGTGAGCAGCCAGAACTTCTTTCGCCCTCTCGATACGCATTTCTAGCTTCCATCTGCGCAGCAACTCACATTCAGCTGAAGCTTGATGGTGACACGCCAGTTCCGGATCCCGCTCGTTTACAGAGCTTGGGTGACGGTCACTCCCTAGTATCGGGAGAGAAGCTTTTAGCAGAAGCCGTGCGGGCACGCCGGGAATGTGACATTATGGAAGACGTCAGCATCGAGACTCTACTGACTTCATTCTTCTTGTTCGCATCCTATGGCAATCTTGACAAACAAAGCCATGCCTGGTACTACTTGTGCGAGGCAACCTCGATGACATTTACTCTGGGCCTGCATCGAGAATCTACATATGCGGATCTCAGTGTAGAAGACGCAGAAGAAAGGCGGCGAATATTCTGGCTGCTCTTTATTACAGAGAGGTTAGTAATTCTGTATACCCAGTGTTATCCTTCTTGTCACTGACTGATGACGGTGAAATAAACAGAGGCTATGCGCTCCAACAAGCCAAGCCAGTCATGCTCCGAAGTTCGATCCACAAACCACAAGTCCTTTGTTCCGAAGACCCTATTCTCGCATATGGCTTCATCAACTTGATCGGTATTTTTGAGAAACTCACCCCAAATCTCTACGACTGGGTCTCCGCAGGCGGCGGAGAGGGGCTCTTGGAAAGGCCTCCCACATCCGCCATCCAGTCCAGCCTGTGCAAACCCATCTCGCTTGATGGAGTGATGGAAATCCAACAAGTTGACATCCTCATCACTCAACAATGGCTCCAAGCGATGATGTGGAAATTGTCTATGAACCATGCCACTCAACCCGGCGCCCGCGACGAGAGTGTGCTGCCTTTCCATTTACCGGTTCTAGTCGGCAAGGCCGTGATGAGTGTGATTGGATCTGCATCTCAGGGTGCGGTAGATGCCCATGGTATTGGAATGGTAAGTCAATATTCTAAACCACTCATCGCCTATTTTGAAATCTCCCTCCTAACAATAAGTTCAGGAGCAAAAACTATTCGACATGGGCACATCGGTCGCCGATGTTACGCGCTCGCTGGGTACTAAGGCAGTCCATAGACTTGCAGAGTCCACAGTCGATCCTCGAGAACTCCTCTGGGGCATCCTGCATACCTTATCACAGATCCGAGGCTCGCCATCGTACCTCTTCCCCGCTCTTCTAGAACGATGCAAGTCCGTGTTGGGACTTGATTGCACCCTAACCATTGGCAACTTCCTACCAGCTCTGGATGCTCATGCGCATGATCAAGGAAATACATGGACCGGCGAGCAGAATTGGGATTTGCTCGCGGCATGTCGGGATCTACATGTAATCCGCGAGGTGGAAGGTGACCAGAATGAGCAAGTTCCTGCTCACCTCTCCGGCGTGGGTTCGGGTGGTGAACTGGGATATCAGGATTGTCTCCTACCTTGAATGATTGTTGGCATATTTATGTGTGTGTGTGTGTGTGTGTGTTTCATGAGACTTGGATGTTTCCACGACGCTTTTGATTGATGATACCACTCTGGCGTTCATATATAGATCGGATCTTTGACACGGCATGCGTTGTATATACTGGGAACCGGAAGATATATTAACAGACAAGGAGGATTTTGACTTGAATACTCTCAAGAGGTAAAAAAGTAACAGTATTGCCATGGAAATAATGGCCTTCAGACACTTCGATTACCAACCAGATTACAGTACAACGTGTCTCAATTTCCTGATTAGGAGGACTGCAAAATGTACTCCATCAAAGAACCGAAGAGGGCGGTCTAGAAAGCGGTCAATCATCTGCCATGCAAACACCTCCAAAAGAGCTTGGCATGTTTGTTTCGGAGGTTCTCGTTGATGCAGGTAGCTTCAACTTTCTTCGTTCAGCCGACAATGAATTGATTGACAGCCGCTGCATATAATGTGTTGATCACTAAGAGTATGTAAAACTCTGGCTTCTTCTGGCATTGCAGATCATGAAAGACGCGACTAATGGACTTTACCACATAGCCCTGATTTCAAAGACCCGGCTTAGACAAGCATCGGACTTGCTCAAGAGTCTCACTCTGCATATCCACGAACTCGAAAAAGGTCATTAACCTCAAAATTTCCACAATGGCATCCATCCGACCACGCCCTATTTCCCTCCGCGCCCTCCATGGTGCGTCGACAGCGACGCGACCAGCATGCCGACCCTCCCTCCCACCTTTCTCCTCCTCGTCTACTCTCCCACGAAAAGTCCCCATCACTCGCAATCACTCTACATCATCCGTCTCTGCCGATGAGCTCTCCCACTTCTCCGCACTTGCCAGCTCCTGGTGGGATCCGATGGGTCCATCCCGGATCCTACACCTAATGAATCCACTCCGACACGAGTTTATCGCATCCTGTCTGGCCGAAAGCCCTCCACCCACAGCCGCCGACACTGACAGCGCAAGCTCCTCAACTGCCGCAAACTTGCACTACATGGACATTGGCTGTGGCGGTGGAATCTTCGCGGAATCGCTCGCACGCACAATCCCGCTTGATCCATCTGCCGCCGCACCAACGGCGACCCGGGCAGCCTCGATGACAGCCATTGATCCCTCAACAATGCTGATCCAAGTAGCCCGCGAGCACGCACGCATGGATCCTACCGTGGATGCACACCTCCGCAGTGGAAAATTCAAGTACCTAAACACCACTCTGGAAGACGTGCTCGCGCCCTCATCCCCATTCACACCCACATCCACATCCACATCCACATCCACATCCACGTCCGAACCCACACCCTCCGGTGATAACGCATCACACCCCCAATTCGACATGGTCACCCTCTTCGAGGTCATCGAACACATCGACCCCACAACGACAACACCTCAAGCCTTCCTGGCCAACTGCCTTCGCGCCCTCAAGCCCGGCGGCTGGCTCATCGGATCCACCATCTCCCGCACATTCCCTTCATTCCTCCTCAACCAAGTCATCGCCGAAGCACCCTGGCCGATCGGTGTTGTCCCGCGTGGTACACACGAGTGGAGTAAATTTGTGAATCCGCCGGAACTGCATGCGTGGGCGCAGGAGGGTTTGATGCGGGCCGCGGATTCGGCGACGAGTCGTGGTGGACCGAGTGCTTTGGATGGTATGAGATGGAAGTGTATGGGGACTATTTATGTGCCTGGATTGGGCTGGAAGATGGTGCCGGGCTCGGAGAGCTGGGGGAATTACTTCTGGGCTGTTAAGAAGGGTGTTTGATTGGTACCGCATAGGACTGTGTACGATTAATTTGGTTTTGTGTAAATGTATAGACAATTGAGCTGATGTATCATTATTGATCAGATATGATTTTAAGTCTTGATCTGGTGCATTGTAGTGCTAACAGACGAGGACCTCGTCCAGTCTACACCTTGCAGCTTTTCACAGAAACCCTAGACAAGAGCAAGAGACACTGGTACAGGTCACAATTATAGTCATTCATGGTCATTCGAGTGTCATTCAATCATGAATATCATACAATAAGTAAATCGCCCTAGTGCTACTTCCTTCCCTTTCCCCGATTCCTCTTCTTCTTCGCCACCTCGGCTGGGGGATCAGGTACACTAACAGTGCCCTGCTCAATATCCTCCCCAGCACCCTGCAGCTTCTGACTACCACTGATAAAGAAGGTCAAATCGCGACTCTGCTCTTGCAAATCCACAATCTCCGCCTTCAACTGATCAACCTCGCCCTTCATCGCCACATTCTCCGTAGACATATGCTCCAGCCTCTCCATGAGACTTGCATTAATAGTCTTCTCTTCACGGTAGTCTTTCTCCATGCGGCGTGCCAGGGCTTCGAATTTCTCAGCTCGTTTCTCAAGGCGACCTTGCTCGCGCTCCATGCTGGGAATGGAGTCGGACGAGAGAGCCTCGTATTGTGCTTGCAGCTCCGCAAGACGGGCGGTTGCCTCCCTTGCGGCTTCTTCTGCAGTTGCGGCAGCGGCGCTAGCCTGTGAGGCCTTGTCCGCCGCCCGCTCGACAATTTCTTCAAAGTAAGCGCGCTGGCTTTCCAACTGGGAGGTGAGGAGGTGCGTGTACTCGACGCTCATGTTTTCGAGTTTCTCACGGGGGACAGCGTCAGCCCAGTCTGGCGGGTCGAGGGCCGAGTGATCAGCTGCAGGGAGCTCGACGAGCTTGCCATCAGTTTTGCTCTGAATAATGCGGTGAACATAAGCATCGCCAACGTAGTCCCAAACGCGCTGGGAGTTGAGATCCATGGCAAAGGCATGAGCAGTCTGTTTCCAATGGTCAAATGCATGGGCTCCGTCATAGCGGCCACAGCCCACCGAGCCGCAGATCAGACAAGCCCAGAGATTACTGTCGGTGTGACAGACGCTGCACTCAGCAGGCTCTTCGTCGCTATCCGTGGATGCAGTACCCTTGCGGAAGTCGTCTTGGGTGTACCGACAGACAGGACATCCGCTGCCTTTCCATTTCTGGAGGCATGTGCAGTGGAAAACGTGCTGACAGATGATTGTGAGAAGGCCCGTTGTTTCGTCCATTCGTTCAAGGCATACGGGGCAGGTAGGGAGTTCGATCAATGCCGGTGTAGGTGGAGCAAGGGGTTTCGTAGAGAGAGTGGCCTGACCAGACGATGACACAGGATGTTTATGAGAGGGCGAAAGAGCACCGGCGTCGGCCGTCGAAGGTGGTTTAGGCTCGACAACCTGAATCTCAACCGATTTCACGAATACCACATGGCAGGTCTCAGGCTGGAAGAAGGAACATAGTTAGCACCAGGAACCCAGGAACCCAGGGTATTGTATTGCAATCCTGTCACAGATCAAACCCATTACAAAACAAAAGCCAAGCATACCTCCATGCTGTTGAAAACCTTGCCATTCCACTCCTTTTGCCACTCCTTCGCCTTCCTCCCATTTCGAAACTTCATCAAAACCATATACCGATTGGCGCGCGGGGTGCGTATCATCCGGAAATGGCTCACATCATCCATCGTATTCTCGCCCACGAATCCCAGAAAATCTGGTGGCGACAAGTAACTTGGCACAGCTAGGATACACAACGTCGAGCACTCGTCCTCCTCTTTGCCAGACGATGATACCGTCACAGGGAACGGATACGTCGCTAGGTCTGCAGAGCCCTTCCCACGAGAATGAGGTTGTGTGCGACTCGTACCGCCGGACTGCTGCTCGCTTGGGTGTCGCGCAGCGGCCGCGGAGCCTTTCAGGTAGGTCGGGTAATCATCCTCGTTCCCAGCGAGATACGGGGTTTCCTGCACATCACGGTATAAGTGAACAATTCCCCAGACGCTATCACCGACTTCCTGATCAAGAGGAATGTAGCGACCCTTCGTGCGCAGGCCACCAAGAATATCAGTGCCAATGCCTGCAGCGACGAGGTTGTCGTCATTGCCAGCGGCAGGAACCGCAGTACTGCCGCGCTTTTGGGTCCGCTTTCCGGACACATCATCAGGCGGCACCATGTCTATGCAATCGATCAGAATTGCTCCAGCGCGGACGTCGTTCTGGAGGTCGGAGGGGCTGTTGGGGGAGGTAGAGGGGTAGTTATTAGCGGGAAGCGAGGACGAAGGCGAATGTTGTGCGGCGCGAGACGAAGAATCAGACGAGGATGATGTGGAAGCGTGTTTGAAGCGTCGTTCAAGCGTGAATTCTTTCCCCGGTGTGTGGCCGTGCGATTGCGTGAATTGCGCAAGGGAATCACCCCCGCTAGATGTGGGAGTGGACGTTGAACGCCGGGCCCGCTTCTGGAAGGGGAGCAGGGCTTCCCATACAGAGTCCAGGGCCAGCGATGAAGCGGTGGCCACTGATTTGGGTGGATGAGGTTTGTGCAGGACTTCGAGGCTTAGATGGTAGAAATATGCGGGCATCCCGGGCAACTGCTCACATGGTGATGGAGTAGAGAACCCGCGATTGTGAGGAATCAGGAATCCCAACAGCACTGATTGTCGGTGCGATAAGGATAAGGATGACCTAAGCTACCCCAGATCTGGATGCCTGAGGTTGCGATGCCTGAGGTTGCCAATTCAATCAGTGATGGGTGGCGAAGAGGCAAATCCCGTGTCAATGCCAGTTGCTGGTCGGCTTGAAGAGCCCAGTTTGGCTGGTCAGTCACTTTGAATTTGGTGGCCAAGGTGGCGTAAGTGTTACTTGTTCAAAGGCGCGAATATTGCCGCAGGAGGGGATATTGCTAAAGGCGCACTCGCCGAATTGCTAATTCAGTGGCAGTTCAAGACTCTGAATCTAGAGGTCTGAAGGATCTCTAGAAATGTACTTGGCAACATCTATGAATGTTCTACAAATTGGGAGACCATTACGAGGCATACTCCGCACGATTACAAGATTACTTTGGGAACATGATGCTAGCAAAGAAACAGCGATCTAGCGCGATTCAATTGATAGATAAATAATACCTAGTGTCCGTGGGTACCGTGTTTGATCAAAAACAAAAAGAAGCCTCAGCTTCGAAACCGACCAAACGCCATGCAGGTTCATCGAGAACCTATCGCAGTCGAATCGTGAAAGATGTAGAGAAAGGAAAGGATCGTAGTAAATGTGGTATCAGCATTTACTGTCCACCACGCAGACGCAGCACCAGGTGGAGAGTAGACTCCTTCTGGATGTTGTAGTCCGAAAGCGTGCGACCGTCCTCCAGCTGCTTGCCAGCGAAGATCAGACGCTGCTGGTCGGGGGGATGCCCTCCTTATCTTGGATCTTGGACTTGACGTTGTCGATGGTGTCGCTAGACTCAACTTCCAGGGTGATGGTCTTGCCGGTCAAAGTCTTAACGAAAATCTGCATACCACCACGCAGGCGAAGCACCAAGTGGAGGGTAGACTCCTTCTGGATGTTGTAATCAGAGAGTGTGCGACCGTCCTCGAGCTGCTTGCCGGCGAAAATGAGACGCTGTTGGTCTGGGGGAATACCCTCCTTATCTTGGATCTTGCTCTTCACGTTGTCGATGGTGTCGGATGACTCAACCTCCAAAGTGATAGTCTTGCCAGTGAGGGTCTTGACGAAAATCTGCATACCACCACGGAGACGGAGAACCAAGTGCAGGGTAGATTCCTTCTGGATGTTGTAGTCGGACAGGGTGCGGCCATCCTCGAGCTGCTTGCCAGCAAAGATCAGGCGCTGTTGGTCGGGGGGAATGCCTTCCTTGTCCTGAATCTTGGACTTGACATTATCGATGGTGTCGGAAGACTCCACCTCGAGGGTGATGGTCTTGCCAGTCAGGGTCTTGACGACTGTGTGGCGAGTTAGTACTGGGAACGATAAAATACCAGCGGCTCTTTCGAGTGGGGGCGGGTAGGAGTGGAGCCAGGGGGGCGAAACGTACAGATCTGCATGCCACCACGAAGGCGCAGGACCAGGTGGAGAGTAGACTCCTTCTGAATGTTGTAGTCGGAGAGGGTGCGACCATCCTCAAGCTGCTTGCCAGCGAAGATCAGGCGCTGTTGGTCAGGGGGGATGCCCTCCTTGTCCTGAATCTTGGACTTGACATTGTCGATGGTATCGCTGGACTCCACCTCAAGGGTGATAGTCTTGCCAGTGACTGTGTGAGAGAGAGAGAGACAGAGTTAGCAGGACTGCTCTAAGTGGCGACCGAGGGTGCGCGACCAGGCGACCAGAAAAGAGACAGGGAAACTCACGGGTCTTCACGAAGATCTGCATGATGGAGGCAGTTCAACGATGATGGGAGGTACGATAGTGCGGTAGTTGAAGATGAAAAGGATGGAACGCAGGATAATGCGACGTGGACGGGGAAGGGAAGTGGGAGAGAAGGAAAATGGGAAAGGGCAGGCAGAAGAGGGGGTGAGGTTTAAGTAGGAAAGCGATATGGGAGGAGGGGGCGAAGCGCCTTAGTCAGACAGGCATGACGTGCGAAACTACTAGAAGAGCCGGGGGCTGGGCTGCTGGGCATAGGGAAAAAGCCACAGCAAAAAAGTTAAGCACTTAGTATCTCCTAATAATCTATTTTCCGGTACAAAACAACTGAAAGAATGGATGCCGGGGTGCCGGATGAGTCAAGAAAGGATGCCTCCAGGCCCGGAGTCGGGCCACCTAGGAAACAAGTCTTGGACGCCACCGGGCAATACGGATAAAACCTGGTTCCTGCACTAAAGGGGAAAAAAACTTTGATAGGCGGCTATACTTGATGGAGGGAATACAAGGGGAAAATTCTAATCTGACTATCCCGTGTGTTGCCCTAAAGGAGGATGGTTATCTGCGACGGGTCCTAGCCCAGGGAGAGTCGTGATGACGATGACGTGGGAGGGCTTATCGTGAAAAGAGGGGGTGGGCCAGAGATCACCTGAAGCCTGTTAGCGCCATCGATGGAGGAAGTCCGTTGCGAACGATACTGTACATGTACATCTGGAGGCTTGTGGCTTACTCGATACAATTGTTACAGGTATTCGGTACCAGGCGGTACACGGTAAACTGGCACTGCCCCGGGGTATTCTATACTTAGCCACAGTCATGTGACTAGGTCAGGTGATTCCGGTTCCGGCATCGGCACTTTGCTTAACTCCCTAAACTGGCTGCTACCAGGATTGGCTGGCAGTGTACTCCGTATGGAGGACTTGGTTCTCAGGCCCCTCCATTCCTATCTACAAATTTGTATGCCCGAACCCGGAACCGATCAACAGAACTATTGACCTTTCCGTCTCTACCATCTCCAACGGTACTCGTGATGGGAGAAGTACCTTGTGAGTGCTACACCGCCAGCCTGAGTTTGCCTAGCCCACGTTTCAACCAAAGTAAAAATACTACAGTCACTGCTTAACAGCATTGAAGTACCAAGGTGGAAGAGACAGAAAATGGTGTAAAATAGAGATATCGATATAGAGACACGATCCCGCAGGCGTAGAGACGGAACATTCCACCCTTCGACGCCGTTTTCCTCACCACTCCTAAACAAAATCAATACAACCCACACAACAACAAGTCGGGGGCTGTTTATTATGGCCCTGCATGTACAGAACCTGCTATTCCATCCCATAGGCAATGGCCAGGACAGAGATAACGAGGGCTCTGTGGCCACAAAACACAAAACACAAAAACAACACATGCGCAACACACAGTCGGCCGTACACGGTTCATAACGTTCGTGATCCTCGTTCATCGCTGGAAGCTATGCGAGAAAGGTATACCACAAAGACAAAACAGTCAATAGACAAGAGAGGAAAACAGCACAAAATCAGAACTCGAAAAAGAAAAATGAAAGGGGAATGAAGGGCGGTTGTCAAGAACCACGATGCAAAGGACACAAAAACACAGGCTGAGAAGCAACCGACTCGCTAGGAGCGGTAAATAAAAAACAAGATCAGATCAGGTCAGGTGATCATGACAATTCGTTAAAATGAGCGGGGGAGACTACGCGCTCGCGCATCGATCACGACTAGCGTAACTTCGAGGGAGAGGGGGTTTCTTGAGTCATCCAGGTCGTTGCAAGGCTGGGGGAAACGGGAATAAATCGCTGGGACTGAGAACTCGCTGTTGGCAAAGCAAAATAGTAGTCGTGGAAGAAAAAAAGGATGCATTGATCATTCGCTCATCATGTGCATACGTGTCATTCGGAGGATCTCTAGTTGGCACGGATCACCAGCCGAGACACGAATTTGTTTGACAGGCAGTCAAAGTCGCCGCGGTTGAATTTGGTACCGGAGCGGCCACGCAGGTAGCTCTCTGAATGCCAAGGTATTAGTATCGATGTATTCAAGGGCGTGTCGGGAGAGGTAATCTTACCATGCTGTTCCACATGTTGGCGGACTTCGGTCATCGTGTTGCACACATCGGGATTGGAGTAGAGGAGGTGGTGGTGCTTCTGCGAATCCCACTCGGTGAAGGGAGGCAGCTTTTGTGAGATAGCCTGGAACAGACCGACAATGACACCGACCGGGGTGGTCTCCATGTCAGTGCAGAACTTGTCGACGGCGGCCTGGTCCGGGGTGCGGTAGTGGCAGTCAAACTGCATTTCCTCCCAGACAGCCAGCAGGATCGAGGCCAGCACGAAGATAGTAGGCCAGTTCTTCAACTTGTCACCACTGTACACGCTGGAGTACAGGGCCGACAGCTCCTCCAATACATCCTTTTGCAGCTCCCGCCACATGCTTGCCATGGCACACTTAATCTGGAAGTTGATCATGACGGGGGCCATGGTCTTGCCGCGGAACTTGGAGCCTGGCTCGTTAATCCGACCGAGGAATCCATCTTCATCGCCCAGTCCCTCGACCATGGTGACGTGCAGAGTCAAATTGTAAGCAATGATCAACTTGAGGGCCTTGCGGATGACGGGCAGCTTGGTGCGGTAGTAATAGCGAAAAGCGGTCTTCAACATCTGGGTCAAGAACGGTGTACCCTCAAAGTAATCGTCGACGAACTTCTCAAAGGTGCCGTTGCCATCAATATGGCGGTCCAGGTAGTCCGACAACATAGCGTGCGAGATGCCCTCCATGCCTGCGGAGAGCTTCGCAGTCTCGACCTCGTAAGCTGTCGGCTCGCGGTGCATCGACTCGACCCAGTCGACCGTGAAGCACTGCTCGTCCCGGACATAAACCTCCCGTGCGGCGATTGGCAAGATCTGACCGTATCCGTGGGTAATGTACAGAGTGCGTTCCTGATCCGAGAATCCCTTGATGTTGCCGACTGAGAATCCCATCGAGATGTGTCGCTCGTAGTCCGCTTTCCAGTCCTTCATGAAATAGCCAATCTCCTTGATATCAATACGGGTGCAGGGCACTTGCCAGAGACGGGCGTGCGACGGCTGGCAGCCAGCACAGGGCTCACCCTTGTCACACGTCTTCTTGAGGAACTTGCAACGCAGACAAGCACGCAGCTTCCGAATCTCGCTGGCCTGCTTACGCTGGTCGGGCTTGAGGGGACCCTTACGCTTGCCGACACGCTTCTCGGTCTCGGGCTTGCCGGTCTGAGATTGCTTGCGAACCTTGGTCTCGGCCGTCTTGGCTGCGATCGGACTCTTACGAGACGGTTTCCTGCTGGGGGGCGACGCGGACGATTGAGAGCCTGATGAGCGGGTGGGCGAGGTTGACTTCTTAATGGGGACTGGGATGGGGCGGACCATCGCACTGGGGCTGACAGCTGACGGGGAGCGAGAACCAGAGGCGGGGACGGGGGAAGACTGCTCCTCGGTCACCCGGCGGACCATGGAGATACTTGTTGGCGAAGTCGCCAGGCTCAGGGCATGGTTAGGGTTGTAAGGGAAGTCCATGTTGCCTTCGGAACCGGGTGAGCTGATGGGGTTGGTGATGTCGACGAAACTGCCGTACGAAGTCGAATAAGACGACTCTGAAAGGCTGCGATCGTGCAAAGTCTGCGTGGGGTTGACGAAGATGCCCTGCTCTGGGAAACCGAAATCCAGCGAGCGGCGGTGGTCCACCGTGCTCCAACCATTGTCGCTGCTGGATAAGGAACGGACCTCGAGATAGGTGTCCGTCGGGGAACTGCTCTCCAGAATGGGGTGCGGGGCGGCATATGAAACATCTGGCAATCCATTAAATGCCATCAAATCGGCCTGGAAGTCATGATAGGTGAAGGGCACCATGTCGACGGGGGCCGAAAGTGGCAGATGATAGGAACTATCGAGCAGACCAGCACTCATTTGGCCCTGAGGACCGGCGGACAAGAGATCCACCGGCGACGACTGGAGGGCCATGCCATAGCTGGCCGCCGTGAACTGGGGCGCTGACGAGTGATCCTCGGAGGAATATGATAATTGTGGGTGGTGGTGAGGGGTCTGCTGAAGTTGTTGGTGGTAGTGCCAGTCGACCATGAGGTTGGGATCCTGGGCCACCGACTGTTCCAGGGGGTGACCGCTGGTTTGAAGCGGCGACAGATCATGGGCGTCCTCCGGGCGCGAGGGGTTCTGGTCGACTGCTACCGGCCATGATTGAGGGAGATAGCCTCTCGAATCGTAATCGACGATGAGGCCGTCACTTGATATATCGACATTTGACATTGCTTCGTTAAAAATGTGTTGTTTTTGACCACAAAAAAGTGGTATCCAGGGTCGTAAGTAGAGGGGGAGAAGGGGCAAAGGGCCAGCCTGGATGAAAAGGCCTTCTTCAGATGCGCAGAGTTGCACACGGCCATGGGAGGAAAGAGGGACGAGTGAGGCGGTGGGGGGCACAAAGCAGCGGTGAGCAAGAGATGCGCTAGGGGATTTTTAGTCGCTTTAGTGGACTTGACGAGGAGCAGACTGGATGATGTCCGAGTGGAGAGAGCGAATGGCTGGCCTGCACGGGTGTGGAGCGAGAACAAGAGAGCCACTGAATCGCCAACAAAACTTACTGCCACGCGGATCCTGTCATTCCTCGGATTGGGCCAGGACTGCACTTGGGTCATATCTTGCGCGATCGGAGAGTCAGTCCCATGATCTCCATACATTCTTGTTCTTACGAGCATGGCGGAGATGGAGGATGGCAACATGGGGGGAGAAGTCTCGGGCCAAGTACTCGAGATAGGAAAGCAAATTTAGATGAGACTCAACGGAATGCGGACCAGGCAGCCTAATCTAGATAGAGCTATGTTTAGATGATTTGCTGATGTTTAACTAGTTCTACCATGGGAATGATTAGTACTACAGTATCTCCAACATTATTATGGACGGAGGTTATTGATTGGGGTTAGGTCTATAGTCTATGAACCGTACTCCGTACACCGTACATACATACTTTGGAGACAATCTTCAATAGTCTACGGAGTACGGAGTACGGAGTAGTGGACCACCAATACTCCCGTGGTTACAGTAGGTCCAGTCCAGTCACAATATTGAGCATCGTGGGACCCAAGCAGCCATGGGCGAAGACGGGAAGGACGGTCGGAACGGGAGATCAGTGGAGTCACAAGTTCACCACGGAAGAGGAGCGTGGCAATAGCACTAGTGTCTCTCCAAGACCCAATCCAGTAGGACCGTGCTCCAACTGAATCTGACACCTGATCGTGATAGTTCTGGATCCAACTGAGGATGATTGGCATGATAGCCCACTCCTTCCTAATTGGATCCCACAACGGGGCCACGATGCCCCCCGGAATGTATTCATACAGTACAGGAGTATCTTTCCCAGGCCCTGGTCCTAGCAGGATTGGAGAGGAGAAAATCCAAAGACTATTAATTCCACCAAGCCATTCATGGTGGGGGCTGACATGCAGTTGACGAGGGGCCAGCGATTCTGTTGGTCCATGACGGAGGGGCTGAATCAAATGGTCAGATTGGGCAAACTGGCCATCGCGGACTTTGCTGCACAGCATCTCCGCGTCCCGAAGGAGAGGCCAAAACAAAAACCTAACTTTGCTGAACTCGTTTACCAGAGCCCGAAGGCTTGGGATTGAGGGTTCTCCAGTTCTCCAGTTCTCTAGTTCTCCAGTTAGCCAGTGCTCCCAGAAATTTCAGGATAGTTGGACATGACAGGTCGTAATCCCTAAAAGGACAGAGAGAACCCTAGACCCTTTCCAACACGCTTTGGCCTGAGCAGCAGGTGCATATGCAGTCCAGCGGCAAGGGAGAAAAGATACGAACAAGCCATTCTGCAGAGTCGGCACACTCTGCACAAGGAACGGGGTACTGTATATCAAGGACCAGAATGCACCAGCCACCGTCGCGTGCAGATGTTGATTCTAACGGATAGATCACATCACAGTGCATCAGGGTCGGATAAAACCCGTTGTCACTGGTTGAGACTGGTTGAGAGATGGAGGCACCCTCGAACGGGCTCTGTAGAAGTGGATCTCTTCCTGTTTTGCCTCTTTGACATGCAGACGCGGAGTATTCAAGTCTCTGGGTATCCAGAAGCCTCTCTGCACACTGTGTCATGGCATGATACAGCCTCTTCCAGGGAGCTATGAGCACGGCTAAACCACTCCCGTTTCGGTGGGGAGTTCTCGACCTAGCCTGATTGGGGGAATTTCAATTAAGACCAGAATTCCGGAGAAGACAAATAGAGTACTGCACCATCATAGGAAACAAAGAAGGCTTCATGGGTGATCGATGGCCACGAATCACGCATTCTCGAGATCTCAACGGTTTGACTGGGAAAGAGTCAAGAGTCAAAGAGGCTGGATTGGAGCGGAGAAAAAGTGGGGAGAACAATCAACCACCACGTTGGGTTTTTCATTTATCACTATCATGAACAATACTAGCAGCCGCCTCACATCCAGAGTCCGGTATCCAAACAATCCCAAGTCAATGGATGCAGTCCCAGAGACTCACTTTCTTTCATCGAATCCATCATAATTAATCCCCAAGTCATACCCCCCAATCCTCCAGAGCAAACTTGTCCATGCCACTCATCATCGCGGGGCGACACAAACGCAGAGTTCGATTTCCCGCCGCCAGCCTACCGCCTGCCGTCATATCGACACCTGCGACAGCTCAACAGCAGCAACAGAAGCGCCCGGGGAATCAAGTCCCCTCTCCAGCAAAGCCTGGCAAATCTGGCAAGCCCAGCAAATCTGAGTCAAGCAACTCCTCCACAATGGCCACTCAACAAGAACCCCGGCCGGGGATCCCAGCCCTGTTCACTCAGCCGCCGCCTATCCGCGACCCGCTCGTGACAGAGACCGTCGAGCTGCAGGACGCAACGCTCGAGAGATGTCTGGAATTTCTCAAGGGCCTCCATATTTCCCAGGGCTCTTTCAATGCATCCGGGGTACCCGCCCTGCAGCGTGATCCTCATATTACGTACCTCTATGATTCTCTTGAGGATTATCCCGAGGGCTTTGTCGCCATGGATGCCAGTCGCCCGTGGATGGTCTACTGGGCACTGGCCGGGTTGACCCTGTTGGGCGAGGATCCCACGCGCTTTCGTGAGCGGTAAGTGGGTATATATATCTGCGTTTGCTGGGCGTTTAATATGGGTCTATCATTTGCAATATACTCGGGGCTCATGACTATCATGGTGCACTCTGATTCGATACTTGATGTCTGATGCCTGAGCAACACCTCCTCCATCTACCCCGTCGGTTCTTTGCGATCGGCAGTGATCTATCGCCTGTCTATTTATATTGCTTTTGTTTCAGTTTTGAGTTTCGCTTTTCTTTCCATGCCTAGGCGTTTACATTATCCCGCCATGGACGGCTCATCTGCAACAAGTCAAGGGACAACGAAAAGGGCTGACTCGTGATTTTTACTTACGTGCAGGGTCCTGGGAACTCTTCGTCCCATGCAGCATCCCACCGGCGGCTTTGGTGGCGGGCATGGCCAGATATCACATCTTGCCGGAAGTTATGCAGCTGTTCTCGCCCTCGCCCTCGTCGGAGGCGAGGACGCCTTTGCATTGGTCGATCGCGAAGCAATGTGAGTTGTTCCCGCCTTAGCGGAAGCCGAACTTGTCGCTTTAGCGCGTGCATCCAACTCTAACGTGCCATTACTAGGTGGCGATGGCTGGGCCGACTAAAGCAAGCTGATGGAGGATTCAGCGTCACGGAAGGCGGGGAAGAGGACGTGCGGTAAGTCTGGAAAACTGGCATGCAAGCGATCATGCAAGCAAGGATCCTTGAACCAACCCCCCCCCCCCCCCCTTTTCGATGGTCCTCGAAAACATATGGGATCCGATCCTCTAATACATATTCCCGGTTATGCAGCGGTGCGTACTGCGCGGCGACCATTATCGCCCTGCTCGATCTGCCCCTGACTCTGCCGCATGATGCAAAGAAAGCCCGAGAGGCAGGCTTCGAAACCCTAACAGATGGACTTGCTGAATATTTGTCACGCTGTAAGACTACATTCCATCACGTTCCCTCGATGCAACCAGTTCTTTTGTGAGCCTCTTAGCTAACGGATCTTCTTGTCCTTATTCAGGTCAATCATTTGAAGGAGGCATCTCTGGGAGTCCCGGGGTCGAGGCACATGGAGCATACGCTTTCTGCTCACTCGCCTGTTTGTCAATTCTGGGCCCTCCAGAAGAGACTATTCCCAGGTATGCATAAGATGCAATATCATTCCAAGGTATCACCCTGGGAAAAACCTATCACACTGACTGCGTTTGCAGGCATATGAACATTCCTCTATTACTTTCATGGCTATCTGCTCGACAGTACGCGCCTGAGGGTGGCTTTTCTGGACGAACGAACAAGTTGGTCGATGGCTGCTACAGCCATTGGGTTGGTGGATGCTGGCCCTTGCTGCAGTCTGCTTTAGATGGGAAGCCACTGTCTTCGGGTGCTCCCACAACAACCGTTGGTAACTTGTACAGCCGGGAGGGACTGGACCGATACATTCTCAGTTGTTGTCAATCTCCTAGAGGTGGGCTTCGAGATAAGCCGGGCAAGTAAGTACCTGCTCATGCTGCTGCTGCAAGTCAATCTCGGTTCCTGTGCAGCTGTCACTGACCATGCGAACCCAGGAGTCCGGACTCGTATCACACCTGCTACGTCTTGACGGGCTTAAGCGCAACCCAACACCACCACTACCGCACCAACACTAGCATTTCCTCCAGCTCAGAGTTTGCCTCAGCCTTCTCCTGGCAGTCCTCCCCGATGCGCGCCGTGGATAACGTGTACGACAAGGCCGACCGCCTCGTTGCCTTCCACCCGCTGTTTGTCATTCCGCACCAGGCAGCCGCGAACATGCGGCTCTGGTGCGAATCCAATCCCATTGCAACCTAGTGGCCCGGGAGAGGAGAGGCGTGAACGGATGTAGTGTGCTGTCATGTCATTTGAAGGGAACCAGCAACCACCGGTGACACACTACTACAGGCCGAGAGCGAATTCTCGCGAACATCGAGCCGACAGCTTGTACTACAAGGAAAGAGACAAAAGCACGTCCGCATCGTGTACTCGTGTGTTTTAGGTTCCACCGAGCAGGGGAGAGAAAGAGCACAAAGACACTCTGACATGCAGGACTTGAGGCTGGGATTAATTTGAATTTTATGAAAGATCCGTAGATTCTCTCATTTCTTCACGCCGAGGTGCTGCCACTGAAAATGGCTACCTCTCAGTTCATGCGAATAGACCGACCCACGTTCGCAGTTTGAAAGTGCAACAAGGAAGGAACTGAGTCGGCGAGCGAGGTTGGAGAAGAGATAGCCAGTAAATTTGAAACGTACGATGTCGGACTCCGAGACTTTGCTTAAACCTTTTGATCTTCGATTATGATCTTCGCGCTTCTTGTTCTTTATGGGTATCACTTGTGTATCTTGTAGCTATGTTGGTGTCCATAGGACCTCTGCAAGTACATAGAGGGGCGATGTACTATCTACATGGATTAACATGGAGATTAGTTCCCATCAAGCTTGTAGATTTAGAAGCTCAGCTAGTAAGTGTTGCATAGTAGTGGGATCTACCCTCGAGCTCCAAACAGTAATAGTAATCAATTTTGTACGGAGGATCTTCCTCTCTCTCTCTCTCTCTCTCTCTCTCTCTCTCTGTTTGATCATCGCGGACACACCGACCTGGTCTCCAGCTGCAGGCGGCCTAATCCGGTAATCGTGCCTCATCAAAGACCCTGACACGCAGATAAATCAACGCCGTCCCCTCCACCGCCCATGTTGCCAACTCATCAATGCATCCCGGCCTGTCGAGTAACTTTGTCATGAAACTAATTCGAATCAAATGCCGGCCTGGCCTCTACCCTTCGAGGTTCTCCTCCGCCCGCCTATTGTAGACGATCCGCCCGACGTTGCCAGGGGTGCGTGCATCATGGTTCCTCCTCCATGACAAAGGGGGATACTTCCTCTCCCGAATCAATCAGATCGCAGTCGCTTTCGATCAAGACTTTCTCACCTTGCCGAATCTACGGAGTACTCTCTGTCTATTCCCAAAAAAAAGTCCGCTCATCCCAGACGCGTTCTGCACAACATGAGCGGCCCAGCCCCCGCTTGGCGCCAATCATCATTGTCCATCAGTGGATTCCTGCAGCGCGCCTCTCCAGGAAGATCCAGCGGCAAAAATGGGGGGAGCCATTCACCTGGCGTCTTTTTCCCGTTTTCATAAGCTGCTGCGTTTACTGCGGGGCACGAAAGAGGAATTGATGGGCTCAGCACGAAACTCAAACCCGGCCATGGCGAACGGCTGAGGATTGATTCAAACCCCCCTGGGCCATCGTTGCTGCCTTTCGATAGCGAGTCTGGAGATTGGAGTTATGGAGTACACAGTACACACCTCGGCTCCAGACTGGGTGTTTTTGTCTCTCCAAGATCCAGCTGCCCCATAGGCTGGCGATGATCAAGTTCCATTTGCTTTCTGCAGGCGATTGCAGCAGTCGGAGCTAAGCAAGCCAGCTGTTACTTGTCAATGCCCCGCTCGTCTCTCTTTCTCCGAACCTCCTGCTTCTGGTCCCTGCCCCTCGCCTTTCTTGCCCGCTAGGTACTAGATCCTTTCCCCTCGTTGCTATCTCTCGCCGTGCTGTTCCCCTTTTAAGTCTCCGATGCTAGATTCGCTGTCTAGATCGGCGAATTGCATGCAAAGGAACTGGAGACTTCCCCTCCCCCTTCTTTCCCCCCCCCTCCAAGGGACTAGGATCTTGACGGAGAACGCAGGACCCAGACCCGGGCCCAGAAGCGTGTCTCTCCATTCGGCTTGATTCGACTGGCAAGCAGCTATGCCAGCACATCAGTACCGACCTTAATTAATAACCCGCCGAAAAAAAAACATGCAGTACCCCGCCAGATACCAGCAGGACAGCAATTGCCTTGAGAGAAGTCAAGAGGCAATTGCGGGCTTTTTACTTTCTCTTTGGTCTTGAATCTCGCTGTCGATGTGGGCTCTTGTCCTCTCGCGCATCTATGACATCAACTGCTACTGTCTGGTAGTGATCTGCGATTGCGGCGTTGCTCGTTTCCCTGTACATCCAATGCGACCTAGGGTTTACATCGGCTAACAGTCGCGTATCTTTGGACCCATACCTTCATCTCCGAGAATTTCCCAACGGTGGGTATCGGAATTGGCACAATACAGGAGTTTTTGACAGAATGCTAGCCTTCTGGGATCATTGCGATGGTTACATGCCCTCTAGCCCTAGGACTGTCAAGCGTAGAACAACCTCCGTCCTATCTTTTGCCCGGTCAGGTTTCTGCAGCGACTACTGAGACGACAGTCTCCGACCCTTCCGCGGGAACGAGGAAGTATTTTCATTTTCTCTTTTCGGTATATGTTTCTGACACTGCATTGGGTGGAGCTCTTTTTTAACTCTTTGTGCGCTGTCGAGATTGCAACCGTCTATCCCCCTTCCCTGTCTCCCTCTCTCTAGACCTCAAGCTGGGAGCCCGGACTCGGAATGCTGCTGGATTGGTACATTATACACGCTGGACAACTCACAACATGGCTCTTATGTATCAATGCATTGCAATGCCCCACCTGTTTCCATCGAAGTAATTTCGTATCGGTTGGAAGCAGTCGCCATCTGTTCCCCCTCTATGATCTCGAAATTTAGAATTTCTCCCCATACCTTTTATATGTTTATTTTACACAGTATTCTTTTTCCAGTCTCTGCCTCGGTGGTACGAAGAACCGTGTGTTTTGTATATGTGTACATGTGGCGTGGCATCCTCTCATGTCGACGTGGAGCTTTTAGTCTTTCCAGTCTTTTAGTCCTCGTTCTTTCCAACTTCTGCTCTTGCGCTTCTCTCGCTTTCCTCATTTTCACCTGATCAAGTCTCAGCAGCCCAGCCGCGGTGGTTTGTGTTGGTTGTGTCTAGAACTGGCCCCTTTCACTCCAACACATCACAAAACAAAGGAACCAGGCTCTGGTCGCTAGCGTCACCTTGACAGCAAACAACAAGACATTCCTCAAATTCCCAAACCCAGCATTTAGGGTCGACTGAGCTGTCAGTCCCGTCTGCGATAAATAGACAACGACGTTGGGCATCACTATCCGCATATCTAGACCCGGAGGATTCTGTGTAGCTGCATCGACCAGCATCTCAGCCTCAGCCCTACCCGCTACCCGTCGCGACGACAGCCAATCCATTCGATGCTGTTGGTGTAGCCGCCTCATTTTACTTCATTGCGAAGTCGACAGTTGGCAACGCCGCTTCCCGCTCTACCTTCCGTTCCTGACACTTTTGCTGGGCTTTCCCGAATCCCAAGGGCCCCAAGATGTACTATATGCTTTACCTGGCAAGTAAGTAGCGCATCTGCATAGCATTGTACTTTCTTTTCCAACTGCATCGCATTGTCTTTCTCCGAGTGAGATATAACGGCCCAGAATTGCCATGCAATTCGCCAATTAAAGCCCGCTATTACCCTCCCAATACCCCTGATATCCCTCCAACAGAGCCAATGAGAAAGAAATTGCAAGCAAAAAAAAGACTTCTAATAATCCAAACAGGCCTCTGCCGCCGGCGACGCTGGCCAGAACCCTCCTACGAAGCCTACGCCACCACATCAGGCTACACATGCGTGGTTCGCGTACACAACCGCGAGTATCAAACAGACGTGACCTATGAATCCGAGGTCCTCGCCCGCGAAAATGCCGCTATGCGCGCGTACCTGATTTGCCGCAATTTCTCCGTCAACGACGGTATGTACCCGGCGGGCCACGACCATGGCGGCGTTGTGCAGGGAATCCCTGTTGCCATCGGCACGGGACGTAAGTCCAGCCGTGATGATGACACGGATACCTCGTTCAGCAGCAGTGGTGGTAGTTGGAGCGGCGGAAGTAGCCCCGAGCGGATGATACAGGCAGAGCATGGTAGTGACTAGATTTCTGTTCCTGCATCTGCTGAACGAGTCGCTTATTTTCAAGGGGAAACATGAGAGTGAGAGTCGGAGGATGAACTGAAACTAGCATGCCTCCTAGAGATGCGTACGTCGCTCAGCCTTGAATTGCAGTTTCGTTTTTCGAATCTGTCGAGGAGCATCGGTGGGGATTTAACGACGTTACGACTTACAACGATGGGCATTTTTTGAAGCATGAAATTCTGCTCTTTCATAGATGGAAAAATTGCAGCACTTTTGCAGGGCTAACGCTGATTATGATTGTTCTTTTGTGGGCCTCGATCCCTTGGTCTGACATGCTGGTGCATAGAAGTGTTGGAATAACATTGAGGTCCCAAGCTATGTATCTTTGCGAGCAAAACTCACATGTTTGCATCATTGTGGAGGTCAGCGATTGATTTGTTTCTGAAATTGATTGATTCTTTCTCGCCACGGGTGTCAGTCATTTCCAGAGAAGTCCAATTCGGAACCTCCAATTAGGATATTTCCGGCGATATGTCGAATAAGGGTTCTCCTTGTAGATCAGAATAAGAAATTTTACATTTGCTGGAATATAGGCAGTAAACTGCATAGACATATCTCAGCCCGATGTAAGGTAAATCAGCGTAAGTATATTGTTCCTCGATGTTGGTAACAACCACTCCAAGAATAAAAGTACAGAAGCAACGGCAGTGATGAGAAAATTTATACTAATTCATAGTCTAATTGTACATTAGGAGCCAACCAAAAGGACGAAATACGGGACGCCCGTAGGTCATACATAGCTGACATCAAACCTAGATATTTAGGCTAATACCGGGCGCCACTTTCTCAAGCTTCTCGATAAGCTCATTGAAGAACGCCTCTTGGATCTTTGCTCCTTTCGAGTTGGTCACAGTACAAGCTGGGCTAGTGATGTTAGCAACAATCGTCCGTAGTACCAGAAGGAAATACTTTACCTCTTCACTTGACAATTGTCAATATACTGTCCATTGCTCTCCTTCCCAGAGAGGATCCCATGAACCAAAGCACGACTGCCCTCTTCGGTGCTGCGCGCCATCATACGTTCACCCAGGCGTAGACCGAAGCTTTCATTCTCTCGCATGAGCTGAGATTTGCACCAGCTGGGATTAGGCGTGTTGACGACAATCAATGATCCTTTCCTTTCTTCCAGGCGTTTGGCTAATTCTCGAACCGCGAAGAGCACCAGGAGTTTTGACAATGGATACCGCATATTCATGTTTGCAGTCTCCTTATTATTTAGTCGGGAGAATATGCTGGCTTGATTGGTAACATCGATCTCTGCCAAGGGCGCAATATAGTGCAGGGCTGAATTGACGATCGATACACGAGGACGGATACTGAATTTAGATGCAGACTCGCGCAGTTTTGGTAGAAGTAAGAGAATCAACAAGAACGTGCTGACCACATTGACGGTGATGGTTCTCTCATTGTCCTCTGACAAGCTGAACGTGGTTGTCGCAAGACCAGCATTTGCCAGAAGGGCATCAAGCCGTGGCAGAGTCTCCACTCGAGTAGCAAATTTCTTGACAGAACTGTAGCTATCCATGTCAAGTTCCCAAACCTCAATAGAGCCCAGATCACGGCCAGTGTCCTCGAGGAGTTTTAGTCGTGCAGCTTCACCCTTTTCAAGATTTCTCACAGCCATGATTAGGCGTTCGACTCCGAAGAGTAGAAAATGACGACTAGCTTCATAGCCGAGACCTTGATTTGAGCCCGTCACAATGATTGTCTGTCCAGTTAGGTCGCCTTTTTGGACTGGAAGTTCGACAAAGAGATTTGAGTAGATTGTCGTGGAGACGCCCTTGATGGCTGATGAGATGGCCGCCATGATGGTATTTGGGGAAATTGGCAATCCAATTAAGAAAACGGTTAGAGATCTGAGGATAGCAAATAAAGAAGACCCTCAACATGTTCGAGAAATTTATATCTCGATATCTCCCTCCTCCATGGCCTTGGCTTATTGCGGGGATATTATGTCCGCTATGGGGCTCACGGTGCCGCTCTGCCTGCAGTTGGAGGCTCTTGAAAAATTTTACATTCTCTCCGGAATATTCAATAAACCATCAATAAGCTCCTTATATGATTCAACCAAATAATGCAGTATTTCCCAAAGTAACATGATATGAGCATTGGACTTAAGGAAGCCGCTCAAGGAGGCCGACGTCATATTATCTGACCTTCGATCTCTAGATTGGCCCCCACTCCCAGAAGCGGAGATATTAACTCCGCTCCGGCAGACGGACATGGTAACTCCACGATCTAGTACAGTGGCGCCGCAAAAGTCTGTGACCCCTAAAGTATCGCGCTAATATTCTGCTGGCAACTAGCATCCGCACCACTCAAAAACTATTATTAATGGGCGGTATGTCCCCTATAAGGAGGCGGTGAAGAAAGATACTTTGGGGTGTCACAGACTTTTGCGGCGCCACTGTACATTATCAGTAGGCGGTAGAGCACCACCATAGGGAATGTTCCAATATTGCGCTTGTCTCCTTGTCAATAAATCCTCATCTCATTTGGACGATCGGCGATTGCTTAGCCCTGATCAGTGGTAGTACCGAAAGTTCCTTGTCTCATTACCACTTTGTGTGGAGGGCCCCCTATGGAGGTATCCTCGGCTAAGGTCGAGAAGAGGAACAGGCCTCCTGTATCTTGTGAGCCCTGTCGTACTCGAAAGTCGGTTGATCTTCCATCTATGCATGGTTCACTGCGCTGATGGTTTTCTAGGTTGAGATGCAATCGGCAAATACCGTGTGATACCTGTATCAGACGAAAGCTTCAAGCCTCGTGTCATTATGCGTCCAATGCCAAGCGAAATAAAGCCTCACGTCAAGTTAGCATCGATGACAGACTTCAAAGGCTTGAGGAACTGGTCTCCGATTCACTTAGCAATACGGGGATCATTCATCAACCAGGGGATTTCCTTACAGAGGGTGGCTTGACAGGTGCCTCATCCGCCGACCTTCAGATTCCTCCCAAATCCACTCTTAATGATCAGTCACTCTGCTTAAACGTGAAAAGCGCACCCGAAAGAGAATCCCCTTATCTTCATGAGCAGGATGGTCAAGTGGTGTATAAGGAAGCCAGTCACTGGATGTCCATTATGCAGGAGATCAAGGATATACGGGCAGACCTGTCCTCCCATGATTCACTTGCATCTGAGAATTTTGAAACCATACAGAATGTCATCATCCAGCCTGATATCAACCTGGACATATCGTTGTCCCACGCTTTGAGCGTTACTGATGCTATAAGCTCTCTTCCGCCACAGCCTACGTGTGATATTCTGCTTTCCAGCTATTTCAATTCCCGGTACATGGTCTTAGGTATGAATTAAGTCACAAATATGTGACTTCAAGCTGACAAACTGCCTGGCAGGTATTGTGCATTATGGAAAATTCCGAATGGAGGTTAGTTCTCACCCTCTCCACTGGAGCCTTGGGTGTGATGATTCTCAACAAGATGATAATTAGTACGAACAATTTTGGGGAAAACCCGAAGAAACTTCGCTAAACTGGCTGGCTCTTTTATATTCAATACTGAGCATTTCCAACTTCTTGAGTCAAAGTTCACAAGCCAGGACCGACTCAAGCAAACCCGTAATATCTACACAACATCTTCAGCAAATGACGGCCTACTGTCTCGTCTCATGTGGTTACGCAACTGCGAAACAATACGCACTAGAAGCATTACTACTCTACCTTCAAAGCCAATTCATGACACAAACAAGATTCCATGCCCAATTATGGCTCGATCTCGGAACCGTTGTTCGGCTTGCTTTCCGAATGGGATACCACCGTGACCCTCGCGGATTGACTGATATCACGGCTTTCGAGAGCGAGATGCGTCGTCGCGTTTGGCTCCACATTTTCCAGATCGATGCTCTAGCTTCATTCCATATGGGACTCCCGAGTATGGTTCCTACGGAATATTGTGATACAGAGCCCCCGAGAAATTTACATGACACCGACCTGTCTGTGGATATGGATACCTTGCCTCCTTCACGTCCCTTTACAGAAAATACGCCAATGCTCTACGGGATTGTCAAAGCTGGTATCATGGCTGTCTTCAAGAAGATCGTCACACATACACAGTCTCTCGCCTCGCCGAAATATGACGAAACCATTGCTCTAGATCGCGAAATGAAAGACGTATATGAGAAACTTCCCGAAATCTTCCGTCGAAGGGATGTCGCTCAGTCATTCATGGACTCTTCCGATCTCATTTCACAGCGATTTACCTTGGAGCTGTTATACCTCAAGGGAATTGTTGTTTTACACAGACGATATATTCGACACGAGCCCCAGAACCCGATCTTCGAGCCTTCCCGCCAATTCTGTCTTGAGGCAGCTCTTGATATACTCCACCGACAGGCAGACCTACATCAAGCCACTCAACCGGGTGGGCGTTTACAAGGAGACATGTGGGTGGTCACATCTATAACAGTTCATGACTTTCTCCTGGCAGCTATGGTGATTTGCCTAGATCTTTCCATCAGGATAGAGGCTTTTGGAGACGAGAGTGAAGAAAGCTTTGTGTCCAGGAAGCTACAGGCGCTTCAACAATCTCAGCAAATATGGGCTGTAACTGAAAATCATCTGGCTCAATCACACATAGTATCGCTTGTGTTGGACTTGATGATCAAGAAAGTGGACAAGGTGCGATCACAGGCAGTTTGGAACAACGCTACGACCAACCTTTCGCTGGCTGGCATGGAATTGCCCTACATAGAAACTATGTCCGACATGATCGATGGCACGGAAACACTTGACTGGGTAAGATCGCTCACTCCTAATAGTCGTGATAGCTCTAACTAGTGTAACAGTCAATGCTGGACCAATTCTTCCAGAACACGGGGTCATCTACATCATGACTACTCAGAATTCCGATCAGCCGCTTATTTCTGCCTGTCAATCGATTGAAATCAGTTCTGGTATGGTCCAATCTCTACATCGTGGAACCGGGGGTTAGCTTTTACATGAATTCAAAGACTCTGAATACTTGTTAGCTCTCAGACTATCTACCTACTCTAAAGGAAATAATTCAGTGATGAGCTAGCTTTGACTAGGCGACATTCCCTTCTAGATCTTCACTCCCTCCTAGATTCAGATTCAGTCTTCCGCGGAGACTAGCGTTCTCTTGCCGAAGCCTTTCTATCTCCTCCTCATACTGCTCCATAGTGTCTTCACTAGCAGACTTCAACTCCTCGATAATTTGGAAAACTCGCCAGAGACGCAAAACGATGACAAGCGAGCCCACTTCTTCTTCCACTCCCCGGAGTGAGACTTGAATGATGAATGCGACAAGAATCACGAGAGAATCAAAAATGTGGAACCAGTTTGAAAAGTACCTAGCTCATTTTGTTAGAGTAGTTCAAAGATAGAGCAAACCGCCTTGGAGTACGTCAAGATAGCATGATTTTAGACTCGTGAAGGCAAGGCATGTGTTTGAATACTTACCCCATACCAAAGCTCAAGGCTGCTGCGAGTAACTCCACCATGAATAAGCACGAAATTACAAGGCCAGTGACGCCTAAGACTTCCTCGATGATGGCCCATTCCTCGCCCACCCTATAACCATTCTGCTTCAACTCGCAGACATGCAACTGGATGAGAAACTCTGCAAAGCTACAGCAGACATCTATTGTAACCAGGATAAGAATGAGGCAATGGCCCCATCGAGAGCTTAAAAAGTCACGGGCGGCTCTTCGCCATCTCGTACTGAGGGATTCTTCCTCGGGTGGGGACAAGAGTGGTTGGCGAATGTTATGCTCGTCGGAAAATGGGCGCATGATGTGTGTGAGAAAGAGCTTGGATTCCTTTGAATGCTAGATAAGGGATACTTGATTGCACACACGAAAGTGGCAGTGAGAGCTAGCGTAGGTCGACGACGACGCGTAGCCTTGAGGGGCATGAATCTCAAGGTCACGTGGCTAGCTCATCGGCTTATCGAACAGTTATGAGGAACATGGTCAACAGAAAAGGTAATTCAAATTGTCTATGATGAGATTCAAAATTACACAAAGAAAATACTTGGCCACACCAAAAAAAATTCCCTAGAAGGCGAATTAATGAGGCTCAAGCCATGTCCACTGACAATGACCTCAGCGAGCATGGACGAAATTTGTATCGGGCAGTTTAGAAGATTTTCAAAATTGCAGGAATCCGGTCGTATCAGACGCTCATTTCTTGAAACACCTCGGGCGATGTCCAGAAATTACATCTTTGGGCCAGCTGTTCGTAGGAACCCTTGTCAGACTTGATGGATGTGAGACCATCATTAGGTCCACCAAGTGCTTGAAGATTGTATTGGTTAGACGACATATGCTTTGACACATCACGCCAATTGGGTACTGTGCCGGGTTTTCCAGATGGGTTTCCACTTGCGGCGAAGGCGGCCCAGCTACTACTCATTTCTGTGGACAGCTTCACGTCTGATGGTGAAGCCAGGAAGGAGTACCTGGTCTTCGCTAGGTTGAAGGCATAGGGAATGTCACTGAAATGTGAAACACCGAGATAAGACATGCCTTGCTGGGCATTCACTGGAGCAAACATTGTCTGATTCAACACATAGAGGTAGTTTGAGGCCTTCTTTTCCGAGTACTTCTGACTCATTCGGACAAGGTGTATAATTGGACACACAAACTGTGAGTCTCGCAGAAGTCTGCTTGCACGGAAATATTGAGCTGAGATATTTTTCCGGGGTAGGCCCGAAAAGGCTGTAACGGGATAGAGATCGAGAGCCTTCTGGACGTTTTCCTTTGAAAATGAAGGGAATTCTGAATAGATAAAGTCCACGACATCCTTTGTTGAATTGAGAGTGGATGGTGTAAAGAAGGACCCGTCATCTTCCGTCCATCCAGCAATGATATCAATATTGTGGGCGAACCGACCAGTCGTCAGCAGCGTCGAAGGATTGTCAGGAATAAAGGTTGATGGAGAAGTAGGCTCGAAAACGTCGAACCCGAAACCGGTGACATTGAACTCGTACTCAATCGCACTGGATAGCAGCTTCTTGAGTGGCAATTTCCGGAGACAGGCAAGTTCAGCCTCACTCGTGGAGGAAGAGCAGTTGACCCTCCGTATCAATTCAGATGTGTGCACTGCTGATATATTGCTGGCGGTGCCGCTGTCTGCGGCCGCACTGCCTGATTGCATGATAGCCCTCTTGAATGGGGTCTTCCGGACATTTCCTCCATATGCAGTAATCTGAAGGCCAACTCCGGTCGCACCATCACTCTCTCCAAATATGGTGACATTGTCAGGATCCCCACCAAAAGCGGCAATATGCTCCTGCACCCAGTTGAGGCCGAGACGCTGATCAAGGAGGCCCACATTAAGAGACCCTGTTGCATTTAAGGCTTCGGATGCAGCAAATCCAAATACTCCGACCCGGTAATTGATAGCCACATACATCACAGGGTAACCTTGCTGAACGGCATTGGAGATCAATGGCCCTGGCTCATATGCTGAATCATAGATCTGGCCAATTGAATCTCCACCACCATAGATGAATGCCATGACCGGGAGCTTTGCGGTCCTTGATGTATTGGCTGGTCGGTCAACCCGCAAGGTCAGACAGTCTTCTGAGATGTGTGTGACATTGTCAAACACCGGGAGTCCCTGAATAGGGACTTTTTGTTGAGGACAAGCCGCTCCGGGCTGGGTGGCATTTACTACCGAGCCATGTGGATAGGTGTAGGGCTTAGGTGCCGCGAATCGGTTACTGCCCCCAGTACTCTGACCGAATCGAATGTTCAGGAATGACTCGATATTGTTGGCCGATGTTCCAAGGTAGCGAACCTGATCGGCGCCTTCAACAGTCGAATTGGGTTGACAAAGAGGTCTTGCATGAGTGTGAGGTGAAAGTAGCGAAAGAAGAAGTAGCGCGAAGGTAGTGAGCACCATTTTTAGAGCGGGAAGCTCAAGAATCTGTCTAAGACTGTGGACTTTTTTGGATGAATTGCAAATTGATACTATGTGTGAACATGTTCTGATTTATATAGAGTTGGACAGTTAACGACCTTCGGGCGCGGATTCGCAAACTATACTGGAGTTAGATACTCTGACCATAGATTATTGACTAAAGAGAGAAACCACCGCGAAAAGATTCTAGGGCGTCCGACCAGAGAGGGCTTAGCTTTCGGGGCCAAATCTTAATTCTAAAACATTCAGCCCCACTAACTATGCGTCAGGCAGCCCATAGCATCTTGCATACCATTTCGGGAAAGCGGTCTTACCAAGTGAAGGAAAATGAAAAAGAAACCTTCTCTTCTCGCAATAAAAGACTGGATTTAGTTACGATTGCGACACAAATCTGTAGGCAGCAACGCATGTTTTGTCGACAGTCTCGTAAGTGGCAAGATACGGAGAATGAATATCGATGACCTATCAGCAGCTAATCATGGTTCAAAACTGCAGTGTACAAGGTACTTGCCACTCTTGGCTAATCATTAATCAATCTTTAAGTAGCTCTGCGGCTCATCCGAAAGCCATGAGTACTCGGCCAGCATGACGATCTAAAAATTGACTCTTCGAAACCCGCAGTGATGACTGGCGCTATCTGTGCTAAGCACATTAGTTTGGGGAAGCTTGCTTATGCTAGAAAGAAGCTTGCTTTTTCCATTGTTAGGCCTTAAGCCGTGGCTCAAAATATGCCTGTCAGCATCGACACTGTCTGGGACCGACTCCATTTATCATAGTGTCAGACCAGACCTACCACAACTTGCTAGAGCTCGCTCACATTTGAATTCCAAGTATACAATAAAATTAAACAGATAAATACTCCCGGACTTCAAAACAGTATGAAGGGTCACTTGTATTCAAGCCATCCTCAGCCACATCCTGGACCAACACAGCCACATCATTAGAGCCGATCAATCGGCACGTACCGCACTGACGTCATTTCAGCACTTGGCCAAGGAAAGGAAAGACATGTGAAGTAGACGATGATCAATGTGCCTGGATCATCTCAGCTTGTTGTCAATAAGCCTGCTATGCTAACGAGAACTAGTCGCATCCTCGCTAGCTGTCTCCACAGTTCCACAAAACGCCTCTGCGTCATGATACCGATTTGATCTGGTGCTCCCTTACCCTCCGCCGCCCTTCTTCGAACTATGTACACTCGCTTCCAAACCTCGACGTGACTCCCAATCCTTGACGTGACTCCCAAAATTCCAGACCCAGCGGACGTGATAGACGGACAAATACTGTATAACATGCGGCCAGCAGCACGAAGCTGTGTGCCCTTTGTTCCATCGACGCGAAGCCAGCTGTGGTTGCGCAGTCTTGGAACACAATCGCTAGCCGCAAGACCAAGGCCAATCGCTCTGAAAGCTTGCTTACAATGGCGGCCAGAACAATCAATACCCTTTTCATCCACGAGAAGGTCCTATGCATTTGAGATTTCTCAACCTTCACTGTTTAGGGGTACCCAAGCTCTGGCTGGACAAAGCCAGGCGCGATATTTCAGAAAGGCCAACTACATCGAAAGGATTGGTGACAATGAAAAGACCGAGGAGATACTGGAAACACTCGAAGTGAAGGATGACGAACCAAATAATCGGCCTCAACGACAAGTACTGGATGTAGATGGCAAGAAGCATCCTCCACCAAAATCGCAGATGGAGAAGTGGTCGGAACACCTGACTCAGGGTACGTGAAGGACTCTCAAGGAACGACAAGGGTGGTGTTGACAAGAACTTACAGGGAAAATGCTTACGACACCATCGCGGCTGTTCAAACTAATAATTCCTCTGACAACGGCGGACAAGGGTCATGATAAGGGTAATTGGCGCTTCAACAAGCACGACTTTGATATTGATATGGCTGACGTTGCAAGCAGGGATTGAACCAATTGCCATCCTAGTCCATCCGCAGCAACCTCTGTCATACCTGGAACGATTAATCCAGTCGGAAGTGCCAGCTATTGATGGAGAAACCGTTAAACGCCCACCGGCTGTATCATTCATCGCACTCCAACACGAAGACAATGCGATAAAGCCTAGAAAGAGGATCGAAGATGATCTCAACGTTGAAGCAACCTCTCGTGACACTAATACCAAACACAGGGCCGGCGATAAGGGTCCGCAATCCGGCAGTGGTGCGCCCATTGAGCGACGGCGACGATCTCAGGAGGAGGATGTCGAGACATACAGCTACCCCCGCAAGACAGATTCGAGTCTTGACCCTCTGAATGGAGAACCAGAGCGATTTGTTCGGTGGTCTCAATCAACTGAAGTCGGAGATTTCATTCGTGATGCGGCTCGTGCTGGGGAGTTCATTGTCACAATCGAGGGCGCACCAGCAGGATTGGGGCAGATCAGAGTCACAGTGCCATCATTTAATGAGCGCACCTATTTCTTGCGCTTGAGATTGCGGAAGCTATCTCGGCGGATTCAGGGTATTGCAGAGATCAAACATGAATGTGACAACTTGGCGCATCGTGGCGCACAACGTGTCGCTATTGGTGGCTTTGGAATTCTTGCCACATGGTGGTTTACAGTTTACAAGCTGACCTTCGGAACCGATTTGGGTTGGGACACCATGGAGCCAGTCACGTACCTAGTCAGTTTGTCTACGCTGATGGGCGGTTACCTGTGGTTCCTGTACCATAACCGAGAGATCTCGTACAAGTCTGCGCTAGACTTCACTGTCAGTACCCGCCAGCGAAAGCTATACCAACAACACAACATCGACCTTCAACTCTGGGAGTCTCTGATAGACGAGGGCAAAACCCTCCGTCGGGAAATAAAAAGCATCGCTGCAGAATACGACGCTGAATGGGACGAGCGTGCTGATGAGCAGGATGAGAGAGTCACCCAGGCGCTGAGGTCGAACCCGAAAAAGGACGACCGAAAGAAAAGCAGCAGTGATAAAGATGGAGAGGACGACGATTGAAAGGAGAGTGGCTTTTATTCTCATGGATCCCATTCTGATTAATTTGTCTTCTTGATACCATGATCCAAAGCGCCTGCGTTGGTTGCATTACTTGCATTAACCTACTACACGTCCACGATTTTCCTCGAGACTTGAAATCTGCAAAAATAGATCCTTCATATCTTGGAGTGTCAATATGCGAACAATAAAGAAGTAGACCAATACGCACCGAAAGAAATACAGATTCAAAGCAAGCTAAACTCAGAGCGTCCCGTTCCGCACCGGATCATAATAACCTTTCTTCGGCGACGCAGTCTCTTCCACCTGCCTAGCCTTCTTGTCTATCAGACCCAGCAAAGCCAACAGATTAGCCTGACGACATAAACAAAAACCCATTCCCCCTGAGTAGCATTCTTACCGGACTCAGGTACAGCGCCATTATTCTCTCCCTTCCGCCGATTTCGGTTATTACGCACATCACGCGAGCGGAAGACGCTGTACAACAACCACCCGGCAACCCAGTTAGGGCCGTACTCGCCATTGGTGCCTCCGCGGTCGAATAACGGGCGCGTGAGGAGACCAGCGTTGCGCCAGATTTCCATGATCGCCCAACGTTGGTGGTCTGGTCGAATATGGTGCCAGAAGAATGGAGGGCGAGTATTTGGGTCGGTGCGGACGCTGTCGAGGAGATGAGACGTATCTTGATTCATGCGGTTGTAGACCATGATTGCTTCGTCCTAGATTGGGTTATTTCAATAGGTCTCATATATGAGGTATGAAACGATGAAGGTTGAATGGGTGAGAAAAACAATTGTATGTCGAGATACAGGGCTCAGGAGACTACTTACTCGCATGGCGCGGTAATACTGTTCATGCTGTGGATCCTGCGGATTCAGACCAAGGGCGTGCATAAATTCCTCCTTTGACACTCTGGGGCCGACAGGCATCATGATTATGTTTGGATTGATTATTTGGGCAAGTGTTGTGGGAACTGGGTAGTGAGCTTGTGCAAGGTGATGCTGTGATAGGTAAACAAGAGTGGCTGGTATGAAGCCAAACGAGGGACAACTATCACGTAGGCTTGAAAATTCACACAAATGATTAAGGTGCAGCTGCAAAGCAAAGATAAAAAGAATGCATTGCTTGAGTTGAAGAATTTGTATGCAAGCCCGAAAGGCGAGGGCCGAAGCTTTATATCAATGCCCGTCTCATTCCAAGAGCATTTCTCAAAATTTGGCAGTGGTCCTTACTACGTAAAACCGTTATTTCGTGCCAACCATCCACTCCCATGCAACCAATCCCTATCTGACAGCGGGTCGAGACAGGTATAACGAACGGCCTCGGACGAACGATCAGGCAAAGCAGAAAGAATAATCAGCACGGTGGCTAAGCGGCGTCTCGGTCGTTGCCGCGTCTAGAGTCGAAGCAAAATGGCAACAATTCAGCAAAAGCGATGCAGGTCTATCGGATGCTCTGTTCAACCGGGGGGCACTGAGACACACAGGGAGACAGATGGAGAAGGGGATGGTATACCTTCCCGAGGGGAGCCAATGGAAATGTGAAGAAAATCTAAAAGGAACGAGGATCAATCAATCATGGAAAGAATAAAAAAAGAAATTATCAGAAAGAATTATCCTAGGCGAGAGGGCATTTTCCCCTATCGTTGCGCTTGTTCATGGGTCTCAAGAAATATGAATTATCCCAGGACCTATCCGCGTTGATGCGTCTGCAAGATCCGCTTGTGTTTGGGTGCAATGAGGCTTGGTAGTACAATGTGCCTGTTCTTCATCTCACACCCGTTGAAATCCAACCCCGAACTACGTCAAATCATAAGCTGGGCCGGGTAGAATCGAGGGTGCTTGGTTCGTGTATTGGCGTGAATATTCCAAGTAAGCTTGATTATGATTCAGGAATGCCCCGATAAAGTCGAGCACCGTACCACATGGATTAGAATAACTGGATAGCCAGAGGAAAAGTTGCAACTGGACGCAGGTCGAGGGTGTGCAAGCGTGTTCAATGAGTGATCTCGGTCTCAAAAGTGTGGTTCTACGCTTCTTGCATTTTCGATCCCGTTGAAGCAAGGATGAAGAAAATCGAGGTTGAAGGCGACAAACCGGGCATTGGCATTGCGAGACATGTAAGGTGGGCTCGAGGACTGAGCGTTGTAGGTAGTTGACAGCAGATAGACCTCGAGGGAGGAGCTCCCCGAGTTCGAGTCTACTATCCGAGACAGACAGACAGATGGTTTATGTAGAGATGCATGCAGGAGGTGAAGAGCTCGAAGCTCTGTTTGTCCAGGTCTGCTCGGTGATCTGGACCTTCAGGAGGCCGGAGTCGTGACTGGAACTGGTGATTGCCTATATCCAGAGACTATCAAAGTATGTTCGTATCCGTGGAGGATATCTAGTTACTGGCACATTTACTTTCGAAGCTGTCATATTTCTCGTTATGGAGCTTATTTTGAGGCTTGTGCTAGTTCGTGGACTGTCAGCCACATCCAAGCCTCCATAACGTACTCGATATTGAAAAGTCTGAAATGTCAGTCGATCATATAGCCCGTTTAACAGAACTCATCGTCCAATTTAACAACCAACTATAATTAGTAACCCAGTGCAAGAATCTTTCGGGACTATACCCACCCTGGGCTGAGAGGTCAGACTCGTTGGTCATGTTGTGCAACACAAGAAGCCACCCCCAGTCCGAAGCTCAATATTTCAATCTTACGCCAAAGAAAACGGCCAGCCTGCGTGCATCTGCACCGGAAGAGCATCCGCTGTGAGAGCAGTGCATCGTGTCAATATCTACTTTTTCTGATTGCGGGGAGAATCTAAAGAAGTGGATTAGGAAAGCAGTTGGGGATATTTATCTAGTCTTGACTTCCCCCTTTCCCGTTTGCACTTGAATCACCTTCCCCGAGCGATGAGGCAAGATGCTGCAGATGGGCAGACGACAGACGACAGACTTGGAATTCAAAATACGCAAAGGACGTAGAGCCTGCACCAATGAACATCAACAGAGGAGACTTCGCATCGCACCGCGTACGACAACAAGCAACGTGGTAGTCGTCCTCGGCCTAGACATCTCCAGATCCGCTTCACTAACCACGATCATGAAAGTCATACCTCGGGGGTCCTGGTGCAACAGAAGCATGCTCAGTATTGCCATGTGCTCTTAAACTAGCTACCTCGTCCAGGATACCTTGTGAAGCAATAACTCGGGATGACATAGAAAGATAGACAAGCAGCGCGGCTCAGTTTGGCCGCACTGGACTCGGCTTGGATCGAACCTGGGGTGGAGATGAATAGGAGGGAAGGACAACAGGTAGACAAGGTAACGCAAACAGCCGGTAATCCCCCTCGTTTTGCTCGTGCCGTCTGTCGTGCCGTCTCTTGTGCCGGAACTTATGCTTATTTCTGCTCCTGTCGGAGCCTTTCTGCTAGTCTAGTGGCGAATTCTGTTTTAGGGCCCGTTTGTTGTCCTCGCAAGGCCCGGATGTTACCCGAGTCGTGCACGAGGCGAAGGTAGACGAGGAACGTTATTTACGATGCCCCGTGGTTTCTAATTCTGCGAGCTGCCGTAGTTTGTGTAGCTTTGAACTAATCTACGGAGGTGATTTCGGTAGTTGCTGTTGCCGGGTTCCTCAATCGAAGCTGTGAGTGTTTATCATATAGTTAGGGGAGGACGGGGCTTAGGATATGCTGGCAATGCTAAGGGGGGATTTCCGGCTGTAATTGACAATTGAGTATGACAGAGCCTCTAGGAGATGTCCTCCTGAATTCAAGGCCAAGTGGGCACTTTGTCGCACGGTCTATATCCACCACCAAGTCAAAGATGCAGGTTCCCGTTCGCCGGCTTTCAAACACTCCAAGTCGTCCTGCAACTGCGGATGCAAGGACGGAAAAATATGCAGGATTCCTCGGGGGGACTGAGTTGAAAAACAAATTATGCGGTGACCCTTTAGGCTATACTCATTGCAAAGACTCGATTTCTTTTCTAATTCTATACTATGATAAACGAAATGTTGGGATCAGCCGTTTGTTTAGCAGGGTCTCGAGTATCACTACGAGTAGCAACGGAGCGGAATCTGGGGAAATGGACACGTTGAAAATTGAGGGGAGAGCTGTTCTAGTTCACTCGATATGATTTGCCTGACTCGTGTACAAGAGAAGGAATGGGGTTCACCTATACGAAGCTGTCCAGTCCCTTGGCCCTATCTAGCTACATCACCGCCGACAGTAATAACTCAAATCACTCATGATCGACCGATCGACCAGCCACTACTTAACCGCTATCACCACATCGATTAATAAATAGTATGCACCGCGTTTCTCAAGTTTCGGGCAGTCAATACAAGCTTATCCACAGAGTCTAGTCCCACGCAAGTGGCTGAAGGAAGCTTTTCGGAGGCGCCAATAGCCAACGCAGATGCATGCGGGTAGTGGATCAGGGCTTGGGGAGGTGCATCTCTAACAGACTAGTAGATTAGGTTACTGTAGTATATTCGGGACTCGCTACGTTCAAGGCCTAGCTTATTTAGATGGTGGTGCTCCAAAGCATACTTTACTCTACGGAGTTGGTCGTGCCATAACTGTTCATCTCATGTGCTTGCCTCTGGATTCTTCGCATTTTGCTATTCCTCCTGGCACATACTGATTCCATTAGGTAGTAGCACTCGGATTTGGTATCTTAATAATTCGATATTCGATACTCTTCTTTCAACGCCATCATCTAGAGGGAAATGCCACTGTCGCAAAGGTACCGCCTACACCCAAGAAGCATAACGGATCGAAGAGTTGGAATATCGGAACACGAGACTAGATCTGGTACGACGACCAAACCACATGCTCTCACTCCTCGCTTTCATGTCTCTGGTGTCATCCATCCACCTGCACAGATGCGAAGGCCCTGATCAAGGCAGTTGCGGTGGGAGGAAAGGGAATTTTGTATGTACGTCAAAAGAACCGGAAGCCAGCGAGAAAAAAAGGGCGGGGAGAGGGAGAAGGGTGGGGTAAGAAAAGAGGCAAAAGGGCCATTTGCAATGCTCCATCCGTCGCTAATAAAAAGGGATGGGGAATTTCCAAGAAAGAAAAAAAACGGACCGAAGCTCATAACGAAAACAATAATAGCAAGCCACCCCTGTAACCCCCTTATTTCTTCGAGTCATCGGTCTTTGAGTTTTCTTCGGTATCGTCGGTCTTCTCTGTGAGGTTGGTCGCTTTGGCATCCGAGGCGGCGGGCTTCTTCTCCTCCTTGGGCTCGGGTTTGGGTTCGGGCTCATCCTTAACCTCCTCGCCGTAAAAGCGGCGTAGGAACTTCTCGACCTTGGCGTATTCGACCTCGACCTCCTTCAGGGTCTTCTCAATATTCTTCAGGGCGGCATCCTCGGCGACCTTGCCGGAGCCATTCTCATCGAGACCATTGCCGAAGTGTTGAATCTTTTCACAACCATCTCGGACATGAATGAGGCCTAGAGTGGCCGAGGAGCCCTTCAGGAAGTGCCCGAGCTGGGAAAGCTCATTGAGGTCCTTTTTCTCACTGGGATAAAGCGTTAGATGATGGGCTTGGTGTTCTGATTGTGGGGTATGGTTGAGGCTGGATTAAGCAGAGCGAGGCCAGACGAAGTGAAACGTAAGACAAAGCAGGTACTTACAGTGCGGTCTTAATGTTGGTAAATGTGGATCTAGCCTGGTCGAAGAAGCCGTAGACAATGCCCCTGCTAAAGTCACAGTCGTCGTCATCATCCATCTCAAGGATCTGCTCAAATGTACTCTCGTCGATGAGATCCTTGACATCGGAGAGCTTGGGAGGCTTGGCCTATCGATAGAGGTCAGTATGGAAAGCTCCCCGGTTATGGGTTGTGGCAGCATGCGGCTCGAAATACATACCTCCTTTTTATCGGCAGGTGCCATGTTTAGTGAATGTGTGGGGAAAGAGACCAGGCTCAAAGGAAAGTAGGATCAGCCTACACCAGGGGGATCGTCAACGGATCGATCGAACTCTGGTTGCCCGATTTGGTAATCCAAGATCGAGAACGAACGGATCTGCAGTATATCTCGGGTCAGTCATCGTTCACTATACGAAGTTTTGTGTAAATGGTGAATATAAATGCGAGTGAAAGCCAGAGCCAGAGCGGGAGCGAGTCATGTGGTTAAAACCTTGAGGAACTGCGATGCTGACGGGAGATATCAGGCAGCTCGTGTTTCCTGACAAAAGAACCAGCCCATCCATGTTCCACTGGAGGATGCTGCCATAAAAAGCCAGAGAGGGGGATTTGTTTATTACGTTGGTTGCGAGGGCCTGCGGAGACTGGCTCGTGAGGACCAAAGTGGGCACTGATCCCAGGGAGAGCAGAGCAGGGAGGTTCCCGTGGTCTCGAGCATGAATCTCCAATAACGAAGAGGATGATGGTCGCCACACAGGCCCAGGTCCAGTACGAGGCAGATCCTGCGTTGTGGTGGCTGAGGGGCTTGGTGGGCGGGTGGGTTGAAGAAATGGGGGAGTTTGAAGCAAGCCACGCAGATGAGAAAATGGAATCTGAACAGGGAAGGGGGCAACAGCAAGGGTGGATGGCAGTGAACGGGTCAGGACAGTTCAAAATGGGCAGCTTACTGTGCGATACCGCAAGCCGATGAGCGACGGGATAGGATGATACAGGGTTTGGGAGGGGAAGAAGAGAAGAGAGATTCAGAGGAAGATCGGGAAAGGAGGAGGGGGGCCAGTGCCAGTGTGCCAGATCAAGTTGGGTTGAATAATGTGGAGAGTAGTCATGAACCGGGCTCCGACTAGGAGTCTTTTTGGACAGAAAGGACCCCCAAAAATATGGATCAAGATGGATCCCGCGGAAGAAGGAACGAGGGACCAGAGATGACCCAATTCAGGCATATTCTGGCCGTGACGGCGAGGGGAGCACCCAGCTGGAGCTCCGAGGGTCAAATAGTGCCTCCCCCTCCCCCACTGGCCAAGACGAGGAGGGTAAATAGACAGGAAACTAGCAGGCAAAAATGACCCTAAAACAACCAATCAAAAGGGCAGGCCGATCAATTGGGTATCGCGTGTAGTCCAGAGGGGGGGTTTTTTGATGCCCGCGCTCAAATGGGAGAAGAAGAAAAAAGGAGGGGCAGAATCATGACGCTATGCAAGTAGATTGCGACACAGAGGGGCAATAAAGAAAACAGTTCGGAAGCAGCCTACCTTGTACAGATTATTGGCGGATAGCGGTATCGTTGTATCGTGATATGCAAAGCTGTAGTGAAAGCCCAAGGAGGGGGGCCAAGGGGGGATATCACGGATGTTGGTGTTTGAGAGAGAAATCAAAGTTACGGAACGACGAGGGAAGTTAGCGAGAGGACAAGAGAGAGGGCGGAGTGGGTAACATTGGGAATGCCAGAAATTACAAAAGAGGTATTTGTATTTGTTCATCGGGGACGATTCGTATGGGAGAGGTAATTATGAGACATATTCATAGGAGAATAGGGGCGTAATCCGAATACACGTGTGTACGGACCATACATGGAATCCCCGATCTGGTACGGGCCCCATACATCGCCAGTACCCAGAACGGGCCAACTATGAACGGTCGTCCGCTGGTAACGGCTCGTCTCCGACGAACCAACCTTTTGACAGCCGCACGGTTGCCAGAGCTTGCCGCACTAGCTTGCTCTGGCCCGTTCGTGATGTTAAACTTCATGATTCATGAGATGGAGACTCAGTATGAACTTGTGTTTTGAAAAATGTCCGGTCCTTGAATACATGGTATATACCAACCCTAGCGCTGCTGCGATTCCTTCCCACAAACACACTTCCCAGCCAGGATGCTGTCTTCGAGACCCTCCCCGACTGGCGATTGATTGAACCAGGTGACATGGGCACAGGTTGATATCATCAGCTCCGCCGTGCTGGATCTGAAGGATCACAACCATTCGGACTCCGGCTTGAATCCGCGAATAACATCTGGCCAGTGGTGTGAAACCACGACCCCCTCAACGTGCCAGGCCTGCGCTCCACCAGGGACCAAGCAACGCCATGAGATCATCGGCAGTCCCCCACGGCTGTTTAACCGGATTGAACCAGAATGGATCTGTTACATCGACAGCATACCTTCAAAGAGATGGTTATACCTCCTCAAGGATGGCAGGGCCACAGAGCACCCCCCAAAAAAAAGCAATCAACATGAATATGACCTGAGCAAGCTGTTATTTCCTCTAGCAATGTCTCGGGACACAGCGGGTCCAATTCTACGAGATTATACTCCGTATTTGGGCCACTACAGCAGTTAGCAGCCACGCAACGACATCATCGGGCCGCCGATCCCAGGAGCGACCCCGAGCCGCAAGAGGGGGGAATTTCCACCTAGCGACCAGCTCGCCCTTGCGCAGGTCAGGTTTCCTGAATTAGCATTATTAATGTCATTTCTTTTTCGCCTTTTTACCATGCTCTGAGGAAATGACCAGCACCCAGCGTGGTAATCTCCACCGTGGTCCCAGACAAACAGGAAGGAGAGTTCCAGCAGAACTGCATGGCCAGCGCAGCGAGCACTAGCACGGTAGATAGCGAAACCACGAAGAAAGGACCCCCTGTTTCGATTCCGTGCGACCATATCAATCAAGGAGCAGGATCGAGACCTGGAATAGTCAGTAGCCCAAACTGGTCGAGAGAAATCGCCAAGTAGTCTAAGAATAATCCGACTCGCACAGCAAAGGGACCAAAATCTATCAAAAGAAGTGGATGCAATTTGGACTCGTGCCCGGTCCTACTGTAGACACGATGAATCAGTATACCCGAAAAAACTCCCCCAAAAGCGGCCACTTCGATCTGGGCCCCGAAGGACCCCCCGACGGCGAACCACAAACCTTGCTGTGAATGCAAGAAGCCTAATCCAAGGCCTCCCCCCCTTTTCTTTTTTTAATTGCGGTCTTTTTGCACCTCCCCTAGCCCGGCGATGTCATGCTGCATGAATTCGGTGGTGGATTCGATTTCTGACGTATGGGCTCAGCTGAGACACTGACGAGTTTTTCGGGGACTGTGTTTTTCTGTTGCGGAGGGGGGAGAGAAGGGGGGTGGTTTGGTTCGGCCGGCTAAAAAAAAAAAGACATGATTATGCTGTCACCGATGACGAAGTTGGAAATATCCCGACCCCAGGGAAAAAGAAATTCTCAAATTATAGGGTTGGCCTTGCGACCATGATTGTCGTGAAAGATCTCGCCCGCAGAAGCATGGGGGTTGGTGATATCTTTTTCTGGAGAGAATTATCATCCATCGATCTGATCACCTCCCAGCCCTAGCGATGAGGGTCACCCGCTCGTGCCCGCCATGTCCTTTTGTTTATATAGTGAGGGACCAACGTGTCTCTCGTGGGGAGTTGCCTGCTTTTTCTCGCGTGAAGTGGTTGGCCCCGACGTTGGACCGCCAATCAGCACAGCGAGTGACCGCCATGACATCACGGCGGGGCTAGTGGCCGACTCGTGCAGCCTCTGATGTCATTCTCGGTATTACCCAGTACATCTTGGATACAGGCACGATACGCATCGTCTGTACGGGCGGTATAGAATCTCGGTATTGCTTGTATCGAGATCGTATCTTGTATCGGCATTCGATGGGCCATGGCAATCACCGAGTAAGAGAATCGCTTGGCGGGGGATTTTGGGGTATATATTCGACTTGAAGCTGTCTCCCATATGAGCAACAACTACACATATAATAGTCTGTGCAATCACTGCCTACTACTCCACGCTGCGCGGTGACAGCTCAGCATTCGCCGTTCAATAGGTACTTTGATGTACGGAGTACTTCGTTCTTGACCAAAGGCCTACTCGAGTCTAGCCAGCTGGTGGCTAGTATCACGTTGAACTAACCCCATCCTGGAAAATGCAGGGCAACATCATCGGTTGCATCCATGATGTCAGGGTGCATATCTACCAACTAACAATGCATACCAACGAACAATGCAGGATAGACTTGTCAAACATTCAAGGGCTGTGCGATGTGAGATCAGCCTTTTGCTGTGAAAGAGTGCACTCTGGGCGCTAATCTGAAGACGCCTGATAGTCCCTTAGCCGATAACTATTCTACTACAATGGATTGGCAATGTATAAGTAACAACTCCAAAACAATTTACAATAACGGGGAAAGAAGAATTTAAACTCGAGAACCGAGGCACATTGCATACAAAGCCATCCCACCACTAGCCCCGAACAGGGCCGGCCCTAGACCGCCGTCGGCAAAATTGGACTCTTCGTCACTCAGAATAACCAAACCCTTTGCTGGATTTGCTGGATCTACCATGCTAAGTTTCTGAATCTCCGGATTTTGTCCAGTAAGACAAAGTACAGAAGACACGGTGGCTGACCTTGCCAGCCACACCCAGCCCGCGGCACCATGCGGCACCTTGCCTAGCTATGGGCTGAAGCCATCACAACTTTATGGCGTGATAATAGTGGAGGAAGAATGGCTTAACTTGGCTCTCAAAGTCTGCTTCCCCCCATCTTCCCCGCCTCTCTGCCCCAGACCCACCCGAATGGATTTTTGTCTTCAGGAATAATACGAGGTTCACAGGCGCTAAATGGACGAGGAGCGGATGGCAACGTAGTGGAGCGGATCTTTAGGGGGCTGGATTGTGCAGATGGGCAGGTAGGCCCCAAGTTGACGGTGACACGATAGGCTGGAGACGGAGCAGGGTTTTGCTGGCTTGGGGTTGTTGTCAACTGCAGTTGCTTTTGTTGGCTGGGGAAGTGTTCCGCTTGGCTAGGAGCGGGCCTAACCGAGCGCCCTTAGAGTTACCGGGCTAAAGCAGCAAACCAGCGTGGTTTGGTGGTATTTTGGTATACTGCATAGTCTTAGAAGCCTCGTAGTGTAAGAAGCGGCGTAACGGGAATCTATTTCCAACGACTACAATCAGCTCCTAGCAGAGGAATAAAGCATCCGACTTGAGAAATACCAACTTGGTGCGACAGTCTGGGGATTAGAGAGTACTAAGTGGATGTGGCGGTAGATAGATCGTATTTCTGGCAGCGAACTCTTCGAACACTGAGATCCTACCGTCAAAGAATGCCATACTACGAAAGAGACAACACTTTAACATCCAACTGATAAGCCCATTGCAAGGTACATACTGTACTTCGAAAGCTGCTCCATCTCAAACTAAACCCCACAGAAGACGAATTCCGAACAAACTGGCCAAACTCTCCCCCACATGGCAACCTTCTGGAATGCTTATGTAACAACAACCTCGGTCCCTTTTTTTGAGCTCAACGAGGCTCAACATTTCGACGTCCTAACCTTCCCTTGACCTCCCCTCTCTCTCTTGCGAACCAATTGACCCTCCATCCTCCCAAATCTTCCCATTTCAGTTCCGCGCAATCAATTTCTCAAAGATGCCCTCGAAAAAAGCCACCCCTCGCCCCTCAGGGCCTTCTGGCCTAACACGCGGTTACCTCTTCACCTACAACACCGTCAACTTCCTCACATGGAGCACATGTCTCTTCTACACAGCCAGTCTCGTCCCAGAAGCCCTTGCCTCCAACAACCTCTCCTCAATCTTCAACACAACCTTCAACCCCTCCTACTCGCAACGCAGTCCCTCGCTTTCCTCGAGGTCCTGCACAGCGTGGTGGGAATCGTGCGAGCCTCATTCTTCACGACCGCGATACAGGTCGCTTCGCGATTGCTGGTGGTGTGGGGAGTCCTGACTCCGTTTGGTGGGGAGATTGTTGGTGCTAGGGGTACACAGGTGGGCGATTATGCGTACTTGGGATGTGTGGGGGCTTGGGGGATTACGGAGGTGATTCGATATGGGTACTTTGCGATTACCCTTTGTGGCGGAAACGTGCCTGCTTGGTGGACTTGGTTGCGGTAAGTAGCTTCAAGTTTTACGGTATGGTTGGAGCTTTTTGCTAAATCTGCTATAGGTATAACACTTTCTACGTGCTGTACCCTATCGGTATTACCAGCGAGTGGACGCTCATTTTCAAGGCTCTGGGCCCTGCGGGTGATTTGAGCCCGCTGTTCCAGTACATCTTGATTGCCGTGCTGGTAATCTACTTCCCGGGTATGTTTGATCTTGGCTGATGAGTTTGGGTTTGGACTGTAGATTGGTTGCTAATGTTTATAGGCACTTATATCTTGTACACTCACATGATCGCCCAGCGTCGCAAGGTTCTCCGTGGCAAGAAGCGCACTGATTGAATGGGATACTATTATGGGTTGACGTGAAATGACGAGGTGTTGTGGATACAGTGGTGAATCGCGTATCCCCATTAGCAGGTGTCTTTCGGGGGATAAAATATCTGTAATTTATAGAATTAGGGGCTAGGTTATCGGCAGAACAGGAGAAAAAAACTAGCTAATGAATATTATAATGAGAAGTTATTGTCAAGCTTTTGCCAGCGAAACAAGCTTTCTGTATATTTACGACACCTTTCTTCCTAAGATAGTAGCAGACCTGCAGCATGCACATGCTTGGCGAAGCTTGTATTTCTCACGGCCATGCGTAGACCCAGATCCGTTGCGTCTCTCGACTCGAGGATTTGCAAACATTGATTCCAATTCTATCGGTTCGTGCAGAAAACGAGGTCTATAGTTCTCGCATAATATCCGACACAGCCTTTGCAGCAAACCTCCTGCGTTCGCCTTCAGGTAGTTCCGATCCCATATCTAGCATCCAATCAGCATCAGCATTCTGAAGCGCACGCCCTCACAATATCCCCTGTCCAACTTACCTCGAATAGCCTGCATCCGCATCATAAGAGTCTCAATCGACTCAACCTTGAGTTCTTCATCCCCGTCTTCGCCATCAATATCACTCTCATCAACATCGCCACCACCGCGCTCAATAGCCATACGCAGACCCATCATTTCACGCTCCAACTCTTGGACTTCATGTCCAAAGCCGCTAGTATGTGCTGATCTCCCAAAACCAAGCAGCCCTTCCTCGAGATCATCATCGAAGTCAAGGTCGGCATCATCGAGATCGTTTACACCCCCGGATGTACTCCAGTCATGCGTCTCCAGTACTTCCTTGATGCGCGGCATACCTTCATACTCTACCCACAGAACACAAATTAGTCTCAAATCGATGACAAGACCGGTAACACATAAATCCCCAAAGAAGAACAATAGAAGAAAATATCATCTTACCTCCAAACTTATTCCTCGTCTTCTCGACACCCTGCTCCGCAGAATCCCATTCCACAACTTCCCACCCATAAAGCCCCAAATCAAAAAGTTGATCCTCCCACCAACCCACCGAGAATGGCACATCCGCAGCACCATCCCCCAAGTCCACATCATCAACCCCCAACTCCATCCCTTTATCCTCGACCGACGCAGCACTCGTCGGTACAGCAGAACTGCGACTCCCCACCAAAACAAACACACCCGGCACATCACCATACCCGCCCCGCTCCTCATCAATACAGCTCTTGACAGCCCCAACGTCGCGCATCAAATCTAGCACCGCGCGGACATCTGCGCGACTCGCCGGGTCTGCGTCTGCATCTGCAGTAGAAGTAGCGGTCATCCTGGACTCAGGACTGCGCACGCAGACGACTAGAGCGCCGACGGCATCGCGCACGATCTCTGCCTCTTCGCTGAGGAATTCCGTGCGCCATTGGCCTGGAGCGGGTGTATTTGTGGTGCCTTCTGTGATTACGGGGGTGTCGGTTGTGAGGGGTATCTCGTCGACCCAGAGCGGGATCTCTGCAGAGTAGTATTTCGTATCTAGGCGGAGCGGGCTGTGGGTTGTATATCCGGCGAAGGAGGTGGCGGTGGTTATAATGGTGGGTGTGGATGCGTTTTCGGAGGGTTGAGGCGGGGTTTGAGATGATGTTTCTGTGGTGGAATCGTGCTGTGGGGGATTGGTGACGGGTACGCCGGTGAGAGAGTGTAGGAGAGGAGGAATTATTGAGAGCGATTGGGATGTTGGGGTTAGGACGAGCAGGCGTCGTGGATTGGCAATGTGCTTGGTTTGCGACTTGGATGGCACCGCGGGGGAGCTGGCGGAAGCTGTGGGGGTCATGGTGAGATGCTGGGGGTGTGTTGCTGCTAGCTGGAGGTCTCTATTCAAAAGGACTGGTTGTCTTCTGATCACTAAAGGGTAGTATGGCAGGATGCCAGGAGGAACACGGTGGTTCTGAGGTTGGGGGGTATGTTGTTGGAAGGTTGGTCCCCGCGTTGCGAGAAAAAGCTGCGGAGATGCGAAATTAGCGGCCGAGACGCCACTATCGGATCTCTAGACTTAATAACCATAAACACAACCTGCTCCAATGGACTAGATACGTTAATATCATTCAGCTTGGCTTATTCAAATCCATTGGCATTATGATCTATTTTTTAAGCCCATTTGCTGGAGACCAAGGCAACATGTGCACGGCCATCATTCCGGCCACAAACTCGGCCCACCAACAGGCCAAGCCAGTCTCTGCGAACAGTCGATATCCAGATTCGTATCGGATATTCATGGTCAGAAGAATGACGTAGAGCCAGGAGGCGATATGCCTCCAGTCCCAGCCCCAGCAAGACAAAACAGAAGCCTGAGAAAATTTCCACCATTCAAGAAACCCTGGAAGAAAAAGAGAAACACAAAGGACAAACGCCAACCACAGGGTAGAATTCTCCAGGCCTTAAACTGCGCTCTCGTCTAGTCCCTCATATCACATTCAACCCCTTCGCTGGCCACGCGCACGCTGCACGGTAGCCTTACCACGCGCAAGACCGACACCGCGGCCGCGCTGGCCTCGTGAGCGGAACATGGGAGCGTTCCTATAAAAAGAATGAAGAATCAGCAACTGTATCCACAGAAGCGATATGGCTGATAAAAAGCCACCACCGATGGACTGGGTACTAGTCTCAACATACCTCAGCATGTCCGGCACGATGAAGAATCGCACGTGGCTACCCCGAATGTAAACCTGGTCGAGGTGAGAGACACGACCATCACGAGCCGTGACGGTAATATCCTTGAGTTGCACGTTCATGTTGTCCTCGGCTATTCAGAGAAGGAGAAGGTGAATGTTAGCAAGTGATTCCACCATCAGGGATGCAGCCCGATTTGAATGCCATGGTAAAGGCCTCCAATCCTGAGCTCAAGTCGAAATCAGAACAGTGTCATTTGATGTACACACCTTCTAGCAGCTTCCCCCGGTAGACGACACCGGATGTGATCTCGAGGGTCACGACGTGGCCCTACAATGACCAAGTTAGCGGTCTGCGCGCGCACTGCAAATAGCCCATCCCCTCGGCGATATTTCTTCAGATCATATCTCCAGAGATGTTCCAGCAGACAATGGGAAATCACAACGCACCTGCGCTTCGTTCAGGAGCTTGATCGGGATGCCGATCGTGCTGGTGAGCTTGCCCATCTTGACGGCGGAATGTGCGACACGGAAGGAGAATCGGTTCGAAGAGGCGAGTAGAATATGTCAATGGCAGTCACACAGGGCTACTCGGACGTGTAGCAATAGCAGAGGGTATCAAATAGGGCGACGTTGGGTGGGTGGGAAGGAATGGCGATGGAGGAGAAGGTAATGGCGGAGGTCGCGCGAGTTTTGCGGCTAACCTCCTCCTTTCCGCTTTGGGCCAAGAACTTCTCGAAATCCAAAGTGATCAACTTCTGACTCTTTCTCTCTCTCTCTACAAACACACCACACACACACTACCACACATACATACAATCTCACAAATGGACATACAATAACCAGAGTGGCCCTCTCTTACGAATAACTCAAATCCTACATCCGCGCCATGGCCGGCTCCCCCAACTCCAACCTACGCGGCTTCAACCACGCCGTACACACGCTCCTCAAACAACCCTCCCAATTCCTCCCACACCTCACCATCCCAACATTCACATACCTCCCCGAAGACCTAGGCCCACACCTCATCCGCAAACAACACCAACCACCCACTCCCCCAGAAAAACCCATCCAACAACGCATACCAACAATCCGCGCCCTCGTCCTCGACAAAGACAACACCCTCTGCCCAGCCAAAACAACCACCTTCCCCCCCAAAATCCTCACCAAACTCTCTCAACTCCGCGAATCCCCAACATCCCCCTTCAACAAAACCACCAACCCCCACGGCATCCTCATCGTCTCCAACCGCGCCGGCAGCCACCCAACCTTCGACCACGAAGTCCACGAACTAGAATCACAGCTGGCCCACCTATCCATACCCGTATTCCGCCTCCCCGCGGGCGCAGAGAAAAAGCCCTTCTGCGGAGACGAAGTAGTGCAGTGGTTCCGGGAGCGGGAGGTGATTCAGTCGGCGAATGAGATTGCCGTTGTGGGGGATCGATTGGGGACGGATGTGCTTATGGCGGGGATGATGGGGTCGTGGAGTGTTTGGTGTAAGGAAGGGGTGTTTGAGGATGGGGAGGAAGGGAAGGGGGAGAGGAATATTTTGGAGAAGATGGAGGTTTGGATTGAGAAATATCTTCGGGAGAGGAAGGGGTGTGTGGCGCCGGTGCCGAGGGGTTGGGAGGAGCGAGGGATCTGAAGGACAAGGAAGGGGTATTGAATAGGAAGGATCACGGGGAGGTAATGAATGTACATTAAGGAGATATTTGCATTATGGTGGACTTATATCTCCTTGTAGGATATGAGGTCGTGTGTACAATATGATATACAATAGCAATAGCGAAAGCATACACGCATCAGTTTAGACACTACTGGAATGAGCTTTGCACAAAAATGAATTGATTCTAAGGCTAGCATCAATCTGCCACAGTCATCTACCATCGAACCAGCATCATCTTCCGGCTTCGAGTGACCTTCACGCGCAGAGACTATTTCAACACTGCGCAGAGCCACACCAAAACAGGGTGGGAGCAGTTTACACCCACGACATTGCAAAACAGGACAAGACTGCACACCAATTTCGACTCGAGACAATGAGCAAGATCACCATACCCACGAGGGCAATCATCAGGTACCGACAGGTCATACCTGTTCGAACCAATTGCCCTCAATCAAGACCAAAAATTCAGAACAATGAGAATGAAAATGATAAAATGAAATTGTGAGGGGGGGCAAGGAGTCGCCGTCCAAATGTCGGTCTGTTTGGCATAACCACGTAAAAAAGTTCCCCTAACCTGCAAATCGAAAAAAGGTGGAAAGTGAAAATGGCAGGTCAGGGTAAGAAAAGAGAAAATCTGATCAATCAAAAAAGATCACGAAGAAAGAATCAGGATTCAACCGGGACATCCGGGAAGTCCATCAAAGTTAAGAAGCAGCCAAATGGCAGGAGAAGAAATAGGGCAGAAAAAACGCTTCAGGACCGGCCCCAGAATAGAAAGGGTATTGATACAAACGCAGAACAGAGAAGGGATATATGTCACGCAATCAAAAACAACGAGTCCAATCGGATTTGCTTTCCCGGCCTTCGCCAGCGAGACGCAAAGTTGTCCAGCGCGAGTCCGCGTATATCCCATGCAGAATGGACGCGAGACTCGGCCGCTGGATAACAAGGAACCCTCCGAGATGAAACCAAGAACCCATCAATACAAGCGCCGCAAGCACACCAAAGGCCGTGAAACATCAGGAACAATGCCAAAGAAAAAAGGTCGAAACCGGGGTGTTTGACCCCTCAAGACCCAGTAGGCAAGCCATGGGAGTTGATTTCATCAAGGTTGACCATGCCGTGGGAGTAATCGCCCAGCGTCGGTGAGGCGTGGCCAGACATGCCATGCATTGGCAGTTCAAAGCTCGGAGCATCATGGGAGACTGCATAATTCACATTATGCTTAGGATACATGTCATTCATGGAAAGCCCATCCTCGACAAAGCCTGATTGCTGGTCATGCGCAAACCCGTACATATCTGACGAAGCATGAGACATGTTGGACAGGGGTGGCGAGTGGTTGGCAATCATGGGATCAGCAGGGCTGACACTGGAGTAGGGCGACGCAGCGTGTGATCCAACGGTCGAAGAGTCAGATGGCCCAGTAGCGAATTGAGGGACGTTGAACTGAGGGGCCATGCTGGCCACAGGGGTAGAGTCGCCGTGGGCAGCACTGCTGAACATTGACGGACTAGCAAAGTCCGACGGCGACCCGGCGGTGGTTGCAGACATGGGATTCGTGCGGAAGTCAAGGCCGTAGCTTTCGGTATCGATGCGCAGGTCTGTAGGCAGAGCGTGGACTGACTGGGGAATTGGCGCATAGATGCCAGCCTCGGTGTGATTGAATGGAGCCGGGGTCTGGGGCATGTGGAATGAGTGCATGGGAGGTTGCAGCGCCGCGATATCGACTGGCGCCGGTACGGAGCGACTGCGTTGGCGCTTGTGACCACGAGCAGCTGGCATGTTGAAGCCCAGGTGGTTGTGGTCCTGGTAGAGATTCAAGTAGGCAGCAGAGGCGAAGTGGTTGGGCTGAGAGGCAGGGCGTTGGATGAAGGGAGGCGACATGGCAGCGGGGGCGGCGGGGACAGCGGGGACAGCAAAGTTATTGTTGTTGTTGTAAGCCAGACGATTCTGGAAAGACTCCAGAGACACCAGCTTGGCCAGTTGGACACTCAAGACCTTGGGATGGCCTCCCAAGTGGTGCATCATGATCTGGCTTGCTTGTTGCTCCTCGGTGAAATCACCGCACTGGTAGAAGCCTCCGGAGTTGGAGGAATCCATGTAGAAGAGTGGCGGACGGTTAAGTTCCACCACCAAACCCCCAGGTCGAGGAGGAGCGCCATCCGGCCCGGGATTCGGGTCTCCGGTTTCCAGAGTGATGTTCTTGATGTAAGAGAAAGGGTACTCGATTTTGTAACCAGCGGAATCGTTGTTGATATAGTAGGTCATGCAGGCCTTGTCGGGCGAGTAGAAGATGACCAGGTCCATGGCATTTTGGCCAATGCGCCGCCAGGTACCGATCGTGAGGGAGCGGCAGGTAAAATGAGAAATGACTGTAATCGAATATTAGTGAGCTGTAGCCAGGGCAGACGGGGGAGAGCAGCGATGGTCTGTAGTTGGCGCTAGCATTACATACCGACTTTCCCTGATGGGTTGGCCTCGTTCGGATACATGCCAGGGGCTCCGTAGCCTGCAGCGCGTCCAAAGGGATCACGGGTTCCCGGTTTGCTAGGGTCGAATTGCATCGCAAGGTAGTGGCGCATTGACTCGGGAATAGAGTCGCAACCCTCGCCAGTTTCAATGCTCTTCTTAGCGAGCATCTTGATTTTTGCGCGACTATCAAAAGTCAGTATGATTCCTTGCCAGCCGAGTATAAAATTCAAGGGACCCACCGATTCTGGAACCAGATTTGTACCGAGCGCTCGGTCATGTTGATGTCTGCGGCGATGCGCTCCCGGGTCGCAGCGGTCGGCGTAGGGTTCTTGTTGAATTCGACCTCGAGGGTGACCAGTTGATCTTGGGTTGCCCGTTGGCGCTTATTGTTCCTCTGCTGCTGGGTCAAGGTGCTCTTGCGCGGCGGTCGACGGGTAGCGCTCGTCGAAGGGGCCGTCGTAGCATTGGAAGTCGCAGGGGACGGGGTGGAAGCTGGGGGCGAAGAGGACGCGCTAGCCCTGGGGGCCACGCCCGAGGGCTCGGACGATTCTGTCAACAATGACATGATGGCGGATCCAAGGATGCGATGGAAGGGGGTTCGAGATATTCCCAGTAGCGGTCGTGAGTTTGTGTTTAGGAGTGAAAAATGCTTTTTTGGTGGTTTTGCGTATTCGAATCTTCCCAACGAGAAGTCGATGCGTCACGATCCGGCCGACAAGTGGAGATGCGGGTGCAGAAGATGACAGGAGAGTCTTTCAAATCCTTTTCTCTCGAAGCAGCATCAAGCGCGAGAGGATATATCAAAAGAATGAATGGAAGCGCACTGGCGAAGAAAGATCGGATCGAATCGCGTTCGATGATCTCCGCGTCAGAAACGGGGGTGGTTGGGTGGTAAGGGCGCGTCGCAGAGGCGTCCTGGGGGGGGGGGGGGGGGGGGGGAGCTGGGAAAGGAAGGTGTATATAAAAAATAAATGGCTGGCCTATGCAGCTCAAGTAGAAGGGCAGTGTGATAACCTCCCTTTATCGACTGATCCAAAGCCTGGAGCGACTGTCGAGGAAGTCGATACTGGGTGGGAATCGCGATACCGTGTTGAATCGATCAACGGGGGTGGGAACGGTCAGCTTCGGGAGGAGAAGTTGAAAGGGTGAACCGTTTCGTAGGAATTGAAAAGAGTGGATTCAGAAAGAGCGATACGGTCGTCGTGAAAGAGTGAAACGAGCGACCTGGCAGTTCAAAAGAAAGGAATGGGGGGGGAAGAGGGGGGGGATAGAGAAAAGGGAATGAAGACACACACAGAACAGAAGAAGAGAAAGAGGAGAGAGTCAGAGTCTCGAGAGCATCGGAGGCGGCGGCGGCGCAGGATCAGGAGATGCTGACTACGCAAAGCGGCCAACAACAGAATCGGGGACCACCAAACGGCCCTTTCACCAGTGACCACCACCACCACCACCACCACCAAAAAAAGGCCGCCGATTCTATCTGGTCTAGTTGGTTTAGTTGGCTTAGCTGCTGCTACTATTGGCACCTCGTGGGGCACAACTTGATCGCTTCCACCCCGAAAACATCCTTGGGCCTCGAATAATCTTTAGCCTAATCACTAGTTCCGACCTGGCCCCTCCCCCTACTCCGTACAGTGCGAACCAATCTGTCCAGGGCTGCGATGAACTCGAACTCCGACCCAGGAGATCCCCCGTGATCTCACACTATTGTACTTCCTGCTTGTCCGGATACACGGCCTCTGGACGGACTCGGCGGAGTCCAGTCCTCCTTTACTCCGTACTGTCTCCTGTCAACCCCTCTCCATCCTGAAGTGGTTTGTTTTTGGCCCCTGCGTCGGGCCGCATACGCCCAAATCGCACCACGAATCGAGCAGGAGCATTGTCTCTGGACCAGAGGGGGGTTTGCATGTTCCTTGCTCAACTCGGTGCAGGCTGTGGATCGCACAGGCAAAGGAACTCGTCCCACAGTGGTCGCGACCACTGTACCACACTATCCAGGTTCCCCGTCATGATTGTGTATGACGGCCATTCTGGTGGCGCTTCTTCAACCAGAGAAGCTTCTTGTCTCTCTCTCCATCTCTGTGTGTGTGCCTGTTTCTGATGCCCCGTTGTCTCGACCGCAAATCGCCATGATCGTCACCAAGTGCCGCCGAACGGCAGCTTACACGTGAGATCCGCGGGGAATGCTGAAACCTGAAACACTGGGCGCTCGTGACGGTCGACGTGTCGGTCTCTTCCTCGATGACAGAGACATCAACACACTGCATCTGGACAAGTTCCAGAGTCCAGACATGGCCCTCTCCGTTACTGACTGCATGGGCGTGAATCCGTCACATCCCAGGTCCCTGGTCTGCATAATTAGTATTATTATCTCATCGTATCTCTCCGTACTTTCTCGTACTTCCTCCCTCCGTCGTGCCAATGCCTTTTTTTCCATTCCCAGTTCCTCGGGAGGCTACTTGCCCCCTGATTCGAGGACGTCTAAGCCACGGCTCCAGTAAGCGCCACCTTTAGCCTCCCACGGTTCCAGGGGCTGATCCAGTGGCAGTGGGCCAATAGCCGTACAAGTCAGCCTTTGGCCACCGGCGCCCCGAGGCTCCAGACAGGAACAACATTTCAACACCAATTCAGGTACCCGCCTCGCGGATAGTCATGATTGGCCTTGCCCTGACGATGACAGGTCCATTCCAGACCAACTATCCCCGTTGAACAAGGCTCAGAGCCGAACTTGCAAAAAAAAATTCAGGGTGCAACCTGCGAGAGGGGGCCTGGCCTGGTCTGATCCCTGACTATTTCCAGTCTTTCCCCCCTTCTCCAGTCTGGAAAAAGTTCCGTGCGCTTCCATGCAGTGTCCCATTGGCCCGATCGGACCGACTCCGTCAGGGATGATGGGATTGGGTTCCTTGTACCTGCAGCGCACGTCGCACTGGCAACTCTGTGCGCCGTCGCGTCTTCCGTGGCATCCGATGTTTCGAGCGGTAGTGCGTTGACGACTGCCGAGAAATGCGATGTTGCGTACTTGGCGCAATCGGTATGTAGATGGATGTAGTCTAGAAGACTAGTCACTGCCTCAGCAGGGTGAACAAAGAAGGAAATGTTAGGAAGTTTGTACCACCCTGATCTGTTGCGCCCAGTCTCAGGGATAAAAGGGGGGGGGGGTGAGAGTCGATGTGGATTCGAATCCTGCCTTCTGGTCGGCTTCCTGGTTGGGGCTAGTACGGCCAATGGCTTGTTTGTCGCTCCATGATTGACTAGAATTCTGGGAGGAGTTGTGCACTTCACCTCAGTACACATGAGTTTTGTGGAATCCAGAGAAGGTCGATAGTTGTCGCTGTTGAGAGAAGCTTAACCAGTGCACGTGAAAACACTCCAATATTCCATGAACCTTGTCTCCGCCCCTGCCTAAGCAATGGGTGCACCACCAGAATATACTTTTGAGATGGTCAGATTCCGCTTCGACTGTTATAGGAATCTACCATATTGCACTGCTAGCTAGGCATAGTTGCGATGTATATTTCGAATCCAATGCTCGTAGAGATGAATCCTCAAAAAATAAACAAACAAGACTCCCGGTCTAGCCTCTTAATCAATTTCTCCGAGTCCAAGATATTCCCACTCTTCAACTGTTCATCTTCAATCTCCCAAATGCGCTGGGTCAGCTGCATCGCCAAGTTCCGCTGTTGCTCACGATAATAATTCGTCATAGACTCATGCTTCTGCCGCACCCAAGCCCGATCTTCCAAGGTAATCGCTTCCCGAGCCGCAAGATAGAATGGCTGCGGCAGCGATGAATCAGGACCAACTCCAGTAGAAAGCTGGTCCATCAGCTCGAAACATGTGCGTGTCAAGTGTTGCACCCGCGGAGACCGGGTGTGGTCTTGAAACACACGCCGCGCAAGCAAGAGGTGTGCAGTCCAGTAGAAGCACTCGGTAAGGATGTCCAGAGGCGCGCGTATACCTTCCTCAGGGACTTGTCCTGAGTAACAAGAGCCCCATGCCCGAAGATCATTTTCCAAGGTATGCGCCTGACTGAGAAGATCATTAATCGGTGCACAGCGTTCCGATCTTTCATCCACGTCGCAAGCAAGATGGGAGATTCTGACCAGGAAGCACATCAACGGCTGAGGACAGCCGGTCATCTTGTGGAATGATGGCTCGGTATTATCCCATGTCTCGGCATCGGGCATATGCAGTACAAAGTCCCTAGGAGAAAACGGACGTCGCTGGCGGGAGATGGCAAGCATAACGTCGACCATGGCGAATCGTTGCACGGTCGTTCGCCCGAGTACATTGTGTGGCACTTGACGGAAGAGATTTAGAACCTCCATGAGGAAAGCAGCACAGCGGACGTGGGGCTCTAGAACGCCATCGGCTGATTGAGCGACTATAACTCCCTGGAGAATGACCGCGGCAAAGAGTGCCTCGTGATCAGGATTGTTTGCCGTCACAATAGCCGTGGTTCCACAAGTGTCTCCCGATTCAATCAGTTGGAGATTCTGGCCAATGGTTCTTAGCATTCGTGTTTGGTGCCGTGCTGCTGTTGATACATCGACCAAGCCAAAGTTGAGCATGTGTTCCGTGGCTATGCAGACAATAGTTTCGAGTAAAACAGGAGATGACAATGCAGTGAAGGATAACTGCCGGTACGGATTATCCGGGCCATCGAGTGCTGGAATATTCGATGACACGAGCCTCACATCTAATTCGTTCAGGGTCAGCATCTTCGACGCAGCTATTCACAAGGGCTGGAAACGCACAATACTCCCAGGCAAGCTTCTCTTCATCAGAACGAAAGAGATCAGCCAACAATAATGATGCGGAGCTACGGGGCAGTTCCCCACTATCTCCATGTCTATTGTTTCGCGGTCTATGCCTTGACAAGATCGGTCTTGTCTGACGCACCCATTTCAGCCCAGAAGGATATTGACAATCCAGGCCTCGATTTGAGCAGAAGGAACATAGTGGCCGCTTTTCATCACATTTATAATGCTTCTTGCGACACTGGAGACAGCCTGCAGTATCACTGAGTTAGTGCACGTACATTCCAGGCAAAGGAAACTGAGAGTAAAGTTGAGCTCAAATACCATACCATTTCGCGATCGTGAGAAACGCTCCTCCGAGGTCATCCCTTTAGGGATGGATATTCAATCACACTGTACTGTTGATTGTGTACGCACACCTGAATCGTTCCACGAGGAATGGAGTCGGTTGCTGTTAATCACTACCGTCATGGACCTTATTGCCCCGCTTGTTGAGAACCCGATCACATGATATTGAGCCACCCAATAGAAGGTCCGCTGTCGGGACCGTATTTCTTGAGAGAGTTACAGAAGTGTGATTTAGAAGGAATAGTAAAAGGGTATATTTGCATGGTAAAACTACTGTTTGACGATTTCAGGTTGTTCCAACCGAACGAATTGCTGCAATATATAGTGAGTCTTTGGTACTTCATGGGGTACAATTCAATTTCTGCATAAACTTGGCAAAAGAAATCAACGAAAGCTATGTCAAGGACTCTAAAAACGATGGTTGATGGAGGGTGCTTCATGCTCGTCCCATTATGTATCAAAATTTAGGTTGATATTCTGGTGAAAGATCAGGGCAGTTAACTCACTCCCTCCACCCACCAGCCTTTCGCACAACCATATTGCTTATGCAACAATTTGACACCATGACGCCTTCCTTTTCATCTCCAAAGGATCATGTCTGGGCTCGAAGTTGATAATTTCCAGCATTGGAATTGCCGGTATTTCCGCACATCTTGGGGCCCTCTTCGGCATCAGAGTTAGAGGACTTCGGCTCCTTGTGTTTCTCGCGTTCTGCAGTCTCTTTGACATGAGGCTTTGGAAAGATAGGTGTATTCGTCGAGGTTTTCTCATTTGGGCTGACTTCGTTCGCTCGGATCTCACCCATGTTGTATCGGTTTGCGAGACGGGTTGCGAGCTCGAGGATCTCTGGGCGGAATCGGCGATCGCGAGGCATTTGGAGTATTGGTTGACAAGACATATTCCCTAGTGGGTTTGTCACGAAGGGGAGATCAGGCAAGGCCCCCGCAACCTGGGAGAGGTGAGATGTTGTTCGAGACAAAATTCTGGAGTAGAGTCGAAGGTTTTCAAAACCACAAGAGAGTGGTGGGAGCTTGATAGGCTCAAAAGTGAAGTAAAGATGAAGTTTATCGCAGAAGAAGCGAACAATACTTTATTAGAGCAAGTTCCTTCCTTTCATCCCCGTCTCAAATTGGCAATCGAAGCATGGAGAAAATGTCTCTTTCGGATAATATGGCTAGAGGTTAGAATCGTGCCTGCCTACATAGAAGGCACATGTGAGGCTTAGACAAAGCTTGAAAAGGCAAGCTTTGAGATGGAATAAAGGCCGCTCGTATAATTATTCAGGTTTGGATCCAATGAAGAACAATAAAGTGCAGCATAGTAGTAAAATGTTGCGAGTATATCGGGATTGCAGATCATTAGAAGACGGGCCTCTATACTATCTCAACCCTCCAAAGCAAGAAAGAAATGCACTGATGAAAGATCCAAGGTTTGGGGATACTTATTCCTGCTTGAATCTTCAAATTTGCTCTTGGTATATGGCTCTCCAAGAACGCAGTAACATTGAAGAAAATTTGTGCCTTTGCTTAGCTGGAAAATATGTATCGTTCATCATATAAACTAATCAGGGACCTAACAAACGCAACTAGTTCCCAAGGACTTCTTCAACGACTCGCGAAGCCCGATTAACAATCATCTCTATCTCTTCTTTGGTGCAGTTGTATGGTGGTGCAAAGCAGATATGATCGCCGTTGATTCCATCTATACCCCCGTTTCCTGGCATCAAAGAGATGGAGTATTCCGGTTTCAGGGCAGTTTTATGGATAGTCCAAGCCACAGACTTTGATGGTGGATAGGGTTCCTTTGTTTTCTTATCCTGAACAAATTCGATCTAGAAAATATGTCAGTGGTCTCCACGTACTTCTAGAGGATAATAGACCTACCGCCCAGAATAGCCCTCTCCCACGGATATCTCCCACGTGAGGGTGGTCTCCAAATTTCTGATGAAGGAGCTGACCGAGATACTTGCCCATTTCGCAAACATTAGGGAGTAAGTTATCCTCTTGGATAATCTTTTGTACCCGGCAAGCCGCAGCACACGCGACGGGGTGGCCTTGGTAGGTCTGGCTATGGGAGAAAGCCCCCGTGCCTTGCGTCAAGGTGTCCACGACATGCCGATTCACTAGAAGAGCAGCAATTGGAGCATAACCAGCTCCAAGTCCCTTAGCCATGGTCTGCAAATCAGGAACGACACCTTCCTGCTCCCATGCGTGTAGAGTGCCAGATCGACCCATGCCACTCATCACTTCATCCAAGATTAACAAGGCACCATGTCGCTCACATACTTCTTTCATAGCTTTCAAGTACCCTGGAAGAGGAGGTACACATCCCAGTGTCTATTTTAGCCAGGTTAGGGCAAATCCATCGTCAAGTGGAGAAGGACGGGTATACTGACAGTACCGGTCATTGTCTCTGCTACAAATGCACAGACGGTGTCTGGACCCAGCTCCTGGAATTTGTCCTCTAATTCTTGAGCGAGTCTTGCAACATAGGCTTCGACAGTTTCGCCATCTTGCATGTCCCGGTAGGGATAACACTGTGACACATGGTGGACATTCTTTGCCAAGATCTTCTCGTACAGAGCCCGGCGACCGACATGGTGGCCTACTGAGAGAGATCCAAGTGTGTTTCCGTGATATGACTGCTTGCGAGCAATGAAGTTTACACGCTGGGGTTGTGGCACGGGCATTTCCATGTAATATTGCACGGCCATCTTGAGAGAAGCTTCAACTGCTTCAGTTCCTGATACGTGACAATATAATCAGTGACAGTCAAAGCAAGTAAGATAATCCGGGGGGATCTACCTGAGCTCACGATAAAAGCACGGGACATCTTCCCTCCTGTTGAGTCTACCAGAATCTGGGAAAGCTCCTCGGCAGCACTATTAGTGAAGTAAAGCGAGTAGCAGTATGGCACTTTCCTCAACTGCTCCATGATAGCTTCATGCACCCTTTTGTCACTATTTCCAAGGCAAGAAACTGCGGCACCACAAGTGGCGTCGAGAATCTCTTGACCAGAATCAGTGATCAAATAGCTTCCTCTGCCTCCAACTATGTTCAGTGGGGGTTGACGAAGTTGATGATAAAGGACAGAACTTTGGCTACGAGAATCACTGGTTTGCTTCGACTGTTTCGGAAGCACTCCCTCCTGTGAGGAATGCACATCTGGTGTATAGTCTCCCATGATGTATTGAGTTTGAGACAATATGGGAGGACGAGGCGATGAATAGCTTGAAATCGAGTTTCGGCTCAGGAAGATTGCTGGGGAAGAAGAGAAGACCTTTGTTTTGAGAGGAGAGAAACTGAGTATTTATATCAAGGAGAGCGACCGACTTGAAATTCTGAATGACTTTCAGTTTCATAATGAAAACCCGTGTTCTTGGAGTCAATTCTAGAATATAGACGTCTAGATGTTGCTTATCGGGCCAGAAGCTATTCCCAAAGGGGAAATCTTTGTCGGACCCACATAAACTGACAAGGACAGACTCTCATGTCCAATAGGGTGCTATGATACCCATAATCTCGTAGCCACTTGTGACGGTGATACACGGAGCCTATTGGCCAGTCTCTCATATGCGTCGATAACGCGCCTCGAGTGGTATCTGTAAAGAATGGAGGTGACGAGGATACTGCGGGCTTCATTCCGCGGAATGACAACCCCGCCGGCTATGTGCTTGGGGATGTGCTGATTAGGGAAAATTTATGTGACAAATGCCTAACGTTTTTTGAGAATATGCCCCGTGCCAACGTGCATCCAGGCAACCGGACATTGTGGTCTCTGAGCTATCAAATCAAAAGTTCGCATGAACGAACTCTGATATCCAGGATCGAGTACGGGGTTGTCCATTTCAAGATACTGCGGGTCTCTAACAAGCGGAATTGTCTTCTGCTGCCCGCCGAGAGGAAAATTCTAGCCCTATGAGCAAAGAGAATCAGAAAGCGTAGCCAGGAAAGATGATGCAAGAGCTATCGAACCCTAGGGAACTTATGTACACTCACAGTTCTGAACCTTTTGATAAATAATTGCTTGCGCGGGCTTCCAGAATAACTTCAGATCCTCTCCAAGCTGGGGTTTAGAAAAGTCGACCTCAACTACCTGAAGTTTCATTTCCTTAATGGGCGCATCGTCTTTGTTGAAAGCATTTTGCTTTTGGGTATCAGTGAACGCAATGAATTCTTTGGTTCGGACCCGAACAGCATTCAGCCATTGCAGTTGTTCTTCGTCATTGAAGAAAACCTTCGACACGGGTTTACAGATGAAAAACCAGAACGGCCAAGGTTTATTGAAATTGTACGGCACTCCTGCAACAAACTGCATGATAGAGTTCAATCTACTATCAGAAAGTCTTAGGTAACCCATTAGCAGAGTGGCGAGGCTTTTAAGTTTGGAAACTACGAAGATATACGAGAGTTAGCTGGGATGATACTCACTGAACGACAAAATGGCTAATATCTGCTACTGACAAGGCCTTGTATTGGTCTTCAACAGCAAGGATAACTGTAGGGACTGGGGCAATAATTGCTTGGGAATCTGGCAGGGTATCATCCATGACTATCCGATAAGGTGGAGAGGTCGGTCAGACTCGAACTTATCTCCGATGTTATCTAGAGACGCAAGCGTGGCAGATGTAGTATGAGATGAAGCAAGGAAGCTCGAGAAAGGGGTTTTTTTTTTTTGATGAGAGGTTTAGAGGGGAGGATATTGCGAGTTTGTGGAGGGAAGGAGAAACAGGGGAGAAGACAGGAGTGAGAAAGACAACTAGGACCATATTTGTACTTATGTGATTGAGTATATAAAAAAAAGCTTTTTTTCTATTCAAGTTAGATAAGATTTTCCTCGTATATGATGTGCTACTTTGATTAGTGCCGCCGAGGGGATGGTAGAGTGTAGGAACCAGCTACGTCTGTCTCTCCTCTCTAAATATTATTGTAGAAAGCATATTGAATGAGCTAGATTGAATTAATACAGCTAGAGTGCATCACGCTATGCCCATATTCACAAGTACGGCAATGCAAGAAAACTGGGTAGCGTAGGAGGGAAGTCCAATGAATGTATATTCTGCGAGGGTGTTATTTCTGATCTAAATACATTATTGTCTATAATAAAAAGTTTGTCCAGGTATGCATGTAATGACTGTAAAGGCGTATAACTCGGCCGTAGAGCGAGAAGTTCAATGAGTTGTTTAGGCAACAACCACAGTTCGGTTAAGAGTCTCCAAGAGCGGATATTGTGAAGCCTAGATGTTCAATAGCTTAGCACATTGCAACGAGCAAGAAGTTTCCAAATACAACTCACCCCAATCAACGTAGCATGGGCAACATTAATCTGAGCATTACCAGCAGTAAAGCTAGGGGGGACGTTGACGGTGAAGTTTTGGTATGGAGGCAGGTTGCCCTCATGAAACTCGGGCTTGAATGGGCCACTGTAGAGGATAGTACCCATGAACTCATCCGATTGGGGGCAAGCCTGAGTTGCACAGGATGAAATTCCAATGGCAACAGCCATCTCAGTAGATCCGGTTAGGGTGTCTGGGCGCTGGACTTGGACAACGACATCGCTACCCTTGGAGAGCTGTTGGCCAGCAGCAGGAAGCCCAATCTGTGCAGACTGGGCCAGAGCAGCTCCGACGAAAAGAGCAAGAGAAACGAAGGAGTTCATTTTGGAAAATGGATAGTAGAGTGCAGAATGGGATATGAACAAGATAAAAATCCAAGTCTGGAAGTGTAAACGACTGTATGTTGCAATGTTGCAATTCTAGATGAAGATCATGAAGGCGATCGCGAGCTATTTATCTCTCTAAATTTTCCAGGAACCTCTCAGTATCTTGTATCTTGTAACCTGATTGTTTTTGGCAGGAGCATTGGATGTTTCAAGTCAATTGTGGCTCATTGGCCAAGTCTCAAGCAGAGCTGACTGTGTTGTGAAATCTCAGCTTTCAAGGGCAACGATCTTCCGCGGGGGTGGATCTCAACAGCCCACGTTGTCCAATCACAAACCTCATCTGCTGGCTGTAAAAATCCCCTGAATCAAAATTTATTGATTCAGATGCGAGGATGGGGAGTTCTTTTTTTGGACCTAATCTGATCCCTTCAAAGGCAGGATCTTCGTCCTGGCGCGGATATTAGTTGCTGGCCGGCAGGAGCAACAGTGACCTCCAGCCACGTTTTCAAGCTTGAGTGACACCCTATGCTTCCTAGACCAAACCCGCAAAATATGCGACCATTGCAACGGGATGGCCGAGGCTCACTGCGAAACACATTGTCCAGCGTCCCAATTGTGTAATCAATATCGCCAAGTTGGGAAATACTCGGTACGGAGCCTTCGCCGACCATCTTCTTGATTCATTGTTGGTAATTTGAAAGCACTTCCAAGACACTTCAGGCGCCCTATACATCTGACAGGAGGTCTTCGTTCATACGAAATAATATGAATCGCCGCGAACAACAATATTCAGAATCGATTCGCGGTTGAGGATGGCAATAAGGAAAGCCCGACATGGCGTCATTGTCTCCATCGTCAGCCGGATGTTCCCCGGTGTCGCCACACCGCATAAAGGGACGTAGAGCAACAGGCTCCCCTTAGGGCGCCCCTTAGCCGACCGTGAGCTGCCAATGAAATCTAGTCAACAGATCCGAGTCCTGTCATGTAATACTCTGGGACATTAAGAAAGTTGACATCTCCTCGCCCGATTTGGTAAATCGCCTGACAATTGGACTCCTTGAACAAGGGGATATTAGGACCTAGCTGAAAATGCGAGGGGCTAGAGGAACATATCTAGGCATGACACTTATCCTTTCTTAACACAGAATTGAGATTATCATTTACGATCCATAGAAAGCCCTTTTGAAGGGGTAGTATATCTTCTTTTATGACCAAAGAGGCTGGTGGACAGGTAAGATACATACAGCAGAGGAATTAACCACGAATGAGTGATATGACGCGAATTGTCTCAGACCAGTGGGTTCGGGGGTCAAGATGTGGACCTCTCTAGATAATAATGATGCGACGTAGGTAAAAAGACTATCGGTTTGTCGACAAGTAGGTCTTCACAACTCGGTCCTTCTCTCGCTCCAAGAACTGTGGGAAAGTGCCCAATTCGATGCCCCATTCCTTCAACCTCTCCATATCCACAAATTGCGAAAGATCGCGCATGACAAGCTGAACATGTATGAAAGGATTTGTCTGAATTTGTTCCTTGATCTCCTCTTCTGAAAGGTAGACCACTTGGTACTCTTTTCCAGTTGCCTCGGAGATGTCCTTCAAAACAGCTTCAATCCCCATCATTTGAGAGGCAATCTCAATCTCCTTTTGATTGAACTTGATAGGGTCAAGGACTGCAGCAGCAGCAAACTTGCCAATATCGTTCGGGTCGACCATGGGGAGCACTGTTTCCTTTGAGTACGCCGTGGTAAATGTTCTAGTCTCGACAAGCCCTTGGTACATCTGTACCAATGGGAAGAGATAATTGACCATGAAGTTTCCCGGTCGCAAAATAGTCCAGGCTTGGAAACCCGCATTTCGAACTTCGTCCTCGATGGTTTTCTTTCCCGTAAGAGCCGTTCCGACAAGACTGTTTGGATCCCAGTGCTTAAGGGCCTCGGGATTACTGGTGCCGAGGGCAGTTGTGTAGATGACGTGCTGGATACCGACTTGTTTGGCGATGGCAAGTACTTGTTTGGCTTGCTCGATTTCAGCGGGGGGATTGGTGAGACTGGGTGATAGATTCAGGAAAAGAGTTGTACAGCCAGACATGCTTTTCTTTAGGCTTTCTTGGTTGTCGAAATTGCCTTCCATGATGGAGACACCTTGAGATTGGAGTCTCTGGGCCGCGGGAGATGTGAGGTCTCGTGTGATTGCATGAACTTTGATCCCATGTTGACGAATGTGTTCAATAAAGGCACTTCCCTGATTACCAGTAGCACCGCAAACGAAAACGACTTGCGACATGGCAGTTCAGTTTGAAAAATGATTGAATATGAATGATTATAAATGCTTTTGAGTATTCTCTTTGATGAATGATTGCAGAGTCTTCTGTATCCTTTTTATATGTTTCTTCCCTTCCTCCATCATCTCAAATCAATCCCATACTCATATCTCTGCCTAAACCCCAAACTATTGCGGGTTTCCGCTAAGCTAAATGCATGCTGATTGGTCCGTAAGAGCATCAGTTGCGGAATTCCGCTCGTGGCTTGTAGAGGCCCCACTCTGTCACTTGCCACACTCCCGAGCCTCGCGATGTTCTTCTGTTCTGTATCTGCAAAATCGACATTATTCCACTCAAAGTCCATATGCATCATGCCTCGTGCCTCAGCAGCCCCGCCACGTCGCAAGTCTTGCGGAGCCTGTGTGGCTGCCAAGCGTCGCTGTGATTTAGCCGTCCCGGTCTGCTCTCGATGTCTCCAACGTGATATTGTCTGCGAGTACCCAGCAAGACAACCATCGGCCAATCCGCCGTCCTCCGCAACAATTGATTATCATAATGGCAGTTGGCAAATAATGGCCCCAGTCCTGCCCATCTCTATCGAGACTCCTGCCTTTCCCCAACCCACCATCACGGACAGACTTGAGCATGTGGACCCAGATTGGAATTCCATACACGGCTTCGAGCCCAATATTTCTATTAATCCTTCCTGGGACTTGCTTCTCTCACCAAAACTTGAACTGGTCATGCCGAGGATCAAACCACCGAGACCTCTTTCGGAGATCATTGCCTCAAAGCTGCAATTCGCAGTTGATGTTCTCAAGAACGCACCAAGCATGATGGTCCTGGAGACTCAGCTTCCTTGGTGCCACCCGAAACTATATAATAATTACATGCCGAGAGCAATGCAAGGTAAATTCATTTCCAGGGATGTGGTTAACAGACTATGTCAAAATTCTAACTGGCTTTTTGTAGATGCCTACTCTTGTTGCTCCCTGTACATGTCCAGGAATGAAACCAACACACCTGTCATAATGTCTTTATTAGATGCTCGAGCCGAGGATCTTTTATCATCTCCGCAACCAACATCACTTATTGAGCTCCTCGCTCATGCACACGCTTTACTTCTCTATCAAATCATGCGATTATTCGCGGGCGATGTTCGCTCTCATGCAACTGCCAATACTCTCTTCGGAACACTGGAAGCTACAATGATTGCTCTTTCTGACAATCTCTATTTTCCCGACCCCTCAATATCTAAAGAGCTACTACCTTTAAACATAGATCCCATAATTGAATTCTGGGAGTGGTGGATCCTACAAGAATCAGCTCGACGGACCATGCTTCTCACCTTCTACTTCATCCAGATATACAAAGTTTTACGAGGGGATGTCACCGTGCACTGCGATGGGAAACTCGGGTTATCGCATTCATGGTACCTCTCTGCACAATTATGGAATGCTCAAAGTGCGTTCGATTTTGCGGTGGCATGGTCGGAAAAAGATCATTTTGTTGTGCGTGACCTCGATTTCACGGCGGTCCTAGAAAATGCCCAACCGGACGAAGTTGATCTCTTTGGTCGGATGCTTATGGTTACTCTACTTGGTATTGATGGCGCGAAAGCATGGTTCTATGCGAAAGGAGCAATAATGTGAACGTGGGCACTGGAAACATGTATAGTGAATGATTAATGATCATGCTGTTATTGATACAGCTAGTTTACCTTCCATCAAGCCATTTAGCACACGAGGCAATCACTCTGAAGTCTGGACACTTCATGACTCACTTACTAGCTAATATATGTCCATGACACACTGGTAGCTCGTTGAGAGCGATCGAGAGATCGTCAGTGATATTGATAAGGCAGAGCTGGACCACATGACAGAGATAACAATGGCTGCAGCTCATAAACTCATGCAGGAGGCAGTTAGGCCATTCATAACCGGAAACCTTCCGGGTTGAATCTGTTAGAATTAAGTGGCAAGAAGAGAGATAGAATTCAAGGATACTAGGAATACTAGTGAAGCTAATATCTACTGAGAGTTTAGATGGTCCAAATAGGCAGGATCGTGTGATTAATAGCCTGCATATCGACAATGCTCAAATCTCATCCGGTAGAACCGCACTTGTGGAGCCCGAGCTTTGCGTAATTGTGCATTATTAATTTAGTTTGCATTTGAGTGATGCCGTATAGATCCAATCCAAGCGTGACATGAATGAAGATCTGCTGAGTGTGGAGTTCGCGACACCAGCCACATCGATGGCGCACAGGACAACTCCCAACCAAACTAATTTTCCTTCAATGGACGGTGGTGGTTGAAAAAGCGGATGGTGAGGAATGAACAATACAGTAGGAATTGGAATGTGTAGAATCGCGTATTTTCTTCAAATATAAGATCAATAAAGAGTGAGATGCGGGAGCAGTTCGTGGAATACGGTAGACAGTGGTTGCAGAAGTTTCTCTCGCCTCTTCTTCTCCTGCATCTCACCCCTCTCAAACTCACGCCAGGTCCATTGATCCAATGAATCGGGTACTTCAAGAGGGACTGAGCTACGCTAATACCAGCTGTTGTTGAGAGACTCCACCAAAAGGCAGGGAAGCAAAAAGCAGATTGCCCTCTGGCCGCGTTTATGGCCCGGCCGCTCCACGTCGTCACGTCGCGAGAGCCAGCAGGGAAGACAGGAGTGGAGCACGGCGGCAGAGACGGGAACTACCCAGATTTTGGCAGCGATCTCATCTGAGTATGCCCTCCGATTGGCATCAACCTTGGTGGTCCCTGCAGTCGTTCGATCCACTGTTCGTTGCAGCCAACCTGAGCGCGATCGGCCTCCACTGCCGGGCCACGTTGCCTTGCAAGCGTACTGCTATCACATCGCAACATTGTACTGTTAATCAGCCGGCAGTCATGATTTAATGTCGAAATTATCGTAAAAGATCATGCCCTCAATATTGCAGAGTGTAAGATACCAAAATGACAAGATAGTCCTCCGGAGGCAGAGCGCCCCATCCCAAGACCCCAGAGTAAGACTTCAAGCAAAACAAGGAATTGTATGTATAAACTCTTCAGCAAGGGAGTGGTAATTTTACATAAGCAAATGTTATCTGACCGAATTTCCTACGACTCCGCCACAACTCGCTTCAATCGAATCTCCGAAGATGGAGCCCCGATGGCTGTGCAGGTCGCCCTGGATACAGATACTCTTCAGTTATGCATTCATTGTGCGTCAATTTCTCGAAAAATTGAATCCTGCACAAGCACTTATACCTCGAGGGGTTTCGCGAACTCCACTCCTGTACATTTCTTCTTATCCAGCCACAGTATATTGGCCAGAATCTTCATTGTGGAAGGATGATCTTCCCGAGCTTTCTCTTGCGAGCCTCCATAACTTGCACGCTAAGTTTCTTGGCTTCTGCCTTCCAATCCTGACTCCCATAGACCAGCCCCATGCTTGTTAATGTTGAAGAATGGTATTGTTGCTCGAAGATTTGAAAACTCCTGGGAGGATATATCAGCATAATTTTAACGGGATGTTGAACGAAATAGATGCAATTCAAAACTTGGCTAGTTCAATGTGCTTTGCCTCCTGAGATGAACAATGAATTTCATTACAAAGCAGGTTTGAAGTTCATATACAAGCCTGAGTTGACAAAGACAGCCTGAATATAGGCCTTCGTTGTTAAAAGAGGCTTTATTACACCACAACGCTAGGTATTGGTAAATTCGACGCCGAAAACGGCTACTCTTGGCGCTGTTTTAAGCGTCTTTTTTATCATAATATTAGTCATCTATATAACACGTGATCTGTTTCTGCCCACAATTCCGTATGCTCCCTGAGTGATTACGGATTGCTCCCTGAGCACTCATGGTTGCTCAGGGATCTGCTCACCTTTCACTCAGGGTACTCAGGGTAGGCAATCAGGGGTGCCGTCTTGTCCAGTTATTTATGTATCCGATTAGAGCCGCCAATTGCAAAATAGGAAAGGTGCTTCTGTTAGAGTATGAGAGTCTTTAGGTGCAATGGTACATAGTGAATCATTAGCGTACTGATGGTACCTATCCCATCGGAAACCTGTAAGAGTTCGAAAATTACGTTTGCTTGTTCTAGGTCTAACGGAAATTCTGAACGAGCCTTGTAAAGCTTCTGCAAACTCACATTTTGAAGCTGCTTCAATCCATGTCTAGTAGCGAAGACATACAAATGAGCATGCATGAGTAGTGTCTTGGGATGTTTGCACAGGTGGTTTCTATCTCTACAATGTGGCAAAGAATTAAATTGTCGGGCTTCTCCTGGATATCTTTCTCACTTGAAAAAGAAGTTCTTTCAGGGGAGGTGGTTCTTTCGTTATAGTATATCGATTTCATCTTCGTATGAAACATGACTCAGTTGATAGGTGTCTGGAATAAGGACAGACTAGTCTCTGCTGTGAAGGTATTGAAGGATATAGCCAAAAATACCCTCAACATCGTCCTCAACAACGCAAATCGATTCGGGCGAACATTTATAACGGCACTGGAGGCTTTACATTATCCCGCTGAGCGCATTGAGTTTTTCACCTTTGGGGCCAATCTCACCGCTATGCGAGGGAGATAAAATGACTAGAGTGCTCAAAAAACGCCTCCGCGGGGAAGAAAACGGTACTTGCTCCGGCCGTACTTGAATCATAATGAAATGTTTCATTAGTATAATTAGTTAAACTCAAGCTATCATCTATATCCAGGAGCATTGGACAAAGCGAGCGGCATGAGTCTAGATATATGATCAGTAGATCAGTAAATGACATAGCTACAGTGAAAGTCGAAAACAGATACCCCTCCGGACACTCTCAGCTTGTTTCTCGGCTCGTACCCGAAATTGCCCCAGGGCCAAATTCGGGTAAACGGTAAATAAGAGACTAATCACATACTCTCGGATTACAGCTAAGCCAAATATATCTTGCAGCAGTTTTAATTGCGAACCGAGAAACAAAGCGTGTATCTTCAAAGAGAACTGTGTATTCGACTTTTACTATAACAAGAGATATGACACAATCTTGGTGCTGTTTCAATATGATTAGTTCAGAGGGCCGACTCGGCGTCCTAGAGCATTCTCCCGGAATTTGATTATCTGTTTCTTTCGTGGTCTGTAATCTTCTTCCCCACTGGAACGTCTATCTACGCTATTATCATCATTTCGCTAGCGAGCAAAGGGGTATCTAAGATCCATCGGTTTTATTTTAGTGTGAGAGACTCTTATTACCTTCCATTATAATCACTTAGACGATCTTTGAGCCCGCTTTATACTCAAGACTTTAAAAGCCTCCTAGGGAAGTTTTCCAAGAAGTTAAGAGTTAAGAGTTCACAATAAATTGGGTCACGGGGACTTAGGACTACATAGATCAGAGAATACCCTTCTTAAATTTTTGGAGCGTCACTGTACAAGTACAATGTAGCCCCAACTCCGAGAAACAATAGTCTGTTGTGGGGTCTTCCTTGAACGTGTATTACTTCTTAGAGAAATCTAAGCGGGGCACTGGGAGAGAAATCATGAGTGTCCAAGGTGTAATCTGTTCTCGAAATCTACTGTACTCTTGGGGAGGAACAGGGGGCACAGCTATATAGGCTGGTGGGCCACATATTCACAGCCATCGACCCATTAGGCAACGAGAAACAGGAAAGGCACTTAGCTCTGGGGAGGAATGGTTGAAGGGAAGTGCAGAGCAGGGGAAATTAGCCAGGGGTGAAATTTGGGGTGCGAGGAAAAGCCGAACAGGGGAAACTTTCTGGCTGATAGAATTACTACTCTCATAATATTATCTGTCCGGGAAAATTCCAGCTACTCGGTTTCAACGGAGATAAGAGTGCAGTCATCCGCGATGCAACTGCGTCATGGTTTTGGGTGTTTCGTCTATGGTTTTAATGTTTTAACTCGGAAACCAGGCGAGCCAGAAACAATATTCATAAAAGATGGGCTGAGAACTAAAATTCCAATGGAATTAAGAATAATGCCAAATAGATCATTGTGCCGATAATGACAAATTGAGCGACAAAAGCCCATGGAGCGTATGCTCAATCCTTTCTGAATTCGTAAGAGTGTATAACAAGAGGTAGATCACCAGCAGAGTAATTAGAGAAGACTGCAAGTATAAAGAGGCCCATAGTAAGGACGTTGCGACTCGACATCGAGGGCAATCCAGAGAAAGTATGTGGAAAGGGTGAAGACACCAAACAAGTGTTGGCACCACTGAGTTATACCTAGCCAGTTCCAAAAAGGACTTCTTGCTCTCCTTGCTCACTTAGATGGGGCTCATTGCAAAAGCTGCCTGTCTCAGTCAAGGCTTGAGGCTCTGTAGTCGTTCAATATAAGGCCTGTACGGTCGATATATGAGGAATATATGGTGGAATGGAGGTATGGCCGCGACAATTTAATGGCGTTGTTCTGCCGTTTAATGAAGACGTCTACATCCAAGATTAATCTTGACGCGAGCCATTTTATTAAAAAGTTCAGTTAAAACGAATTCGATCATGCAAGCTATATATATCCCCACAGCCTTAACAAATAGGAACCATAAGCAGAACATTGCACTTCTCGGTCGAGTACGGAATGAGTCTAGACTAGGAATCGGCGTTTGCAAGCTGAACAGTGGTGCGATAAATCCCAGAACTTCACTTGGTCTATATTTATATCAACAAGGATACGGCAGCGGAATCGGTCATTAATCTCATTGTTTTAACCCTGATGGGCTCGGTCTTAAGAGGTGGTAGTATAGTATCCCGGAAAGGTAAACCTTCCAGGAAAAGCTTAATGACTGCGGCAAGACTTATTGACGTCAGCTGCCTTGTTTGCCTACATCACACCCCCCAGAAGAGATAAGTAATCTGATAAATCGATAGTCTTATTGGCTGCTCTTGAACTGCAATATTTTATTCAATTCATCAACAGCGCCAGGGTACAATGGTTTGTGGTTTATTTACAGCGAGGTGTTATTCTACAGGCAAGTGTCGAATTTGGATTACGCTAATGATCTTCATCAAGTCAATTAGAACGTAAATCAAGTCATAATGTGTAGTCAATATGTTGCAGCTCTTGGAACAGCAATAAATGCATCTGGGCTATCTTGCCGAGCAAGAATACTTTTCGCTTTTGGTTTGACCATCTTCTCGGAAGGACAGTATCACTCATCCGGAGGGTCTTTTTGGTGTTGAACCTCGTAATTAGAAAGACTTGTCAAAATCACAAAGTCACTCAAGATCACACGAAGGGGGAACATGACGTAGCGGTATTTGAGAGTTGTTGAAACTCAATTAAGAGGAAACCAAAGTCACATAACGACGACAAAATGTTCCTTTTTTTTCTTTTCCAGCAATGCAGATAATGTAATCCAAACACTGCTCTGTTTTAGGCGGAAACAGCCGTCAATGTAAAAGGAGCGGGCACGTTCTCTGGGGGGTTCTGGTACAACACCACGAAATCACTGTCGAATTCAATGCTGGCAATCGTCCAACAGTCCGATACAAGCCTTTGTGTGGGCTCATCGATGGTATAGCCTGAAACATATTCGTACGGTAGAAAGCCATATCCTGCTTGACCAAAGCTTGTACCCCAGGAGTTCTTGAACTTGAACTGGCGAGTGTCGTTGTCATAACCGACAAGCATGACGGAGTGGCCTCCAATGATGTAGGTGCCCTGTTTTGGCATAGGGACCACGCCAGAATCCCAAGAATCGTAGAGGTTCGAGTAGCAGATAAAGCCAATGTCGACGGGGTAGCCAGAGGCGATAGACGCACGGATGCTATCCACAGAAGAGTCAACATACGCTGCTTTCACAACTTGGTTTGTAGAGCCTCTGTTGTAGGAAGTCAATGGAGGCTCCACTGCGAATTTTGAAGTATCGTATGGCCAATCAGTTTCACCGGCATCACCGTACGTAGTTAAGGCCTTTATTGTCGATGACACATAAGCTCCTGAGTCGTCACCAGCGGGCCATCCCAGTACCTTCACCCTCGTATTGTAATACAAGTAGAGCTCTGACCAGTCTGGGATTTTACCATTGCGTTTAGCAATATGCTCAACAATTGCAATCGCTGCAAACGCGGTACATGAACCAATATCAGCTTGATCTCTGACGGCCGAATCATATTGGCTCAGATCCTTCGAGGATGGTAGTGTAGTTGAGTCAAACTCGGGTTTGAAAGTGAATTTTGCTGCTCCTAATCTTTCTCTTGGTGGTGATGGCCTCCAATTTAGGATATATGTCTTCTTTGCTTCTTCTTTTGTCATTCTCTTAGCCATGGTGAAACAGTTAGATGGATTATGTGAAAACTAGAAAAAGTTAAAACATTTTCCAAGAAAAAAATAATTTCGGAGAGGCTCTTGCCTTGTAGTAATTGTAGAGTGAACTCTTGAGAACGCTGGTGATAATTAAACATGAGCTAGCTGAAGGTGTAGCATTCTTATATAAGATTCTAATTTCTAAATTGTTAGCTTTTCTATCGTTCTATCCTCAAGTAGAGACCGGCCCCCGCTCTGACCAAGACTGCAAACGGATAGATTAGTTTATTATGACTTCAGGAGTTCATCCTATGATGACTGTGGCATTTGTCTAGAATCAAAGAGCCAGATTCCGATGTTATCTTGTGATGATCTTGTGATGACAAAGTCGGGCCGGATTATGGGTGTGCGTTCATTCAGTCAGTGAATCATCTAGAATCTTTGCCGCCAAACTTTAAGACGTCCTATAGCGGACATAGCTCTCACGGCACCTCAATTTAGAGGACACTATTGACTCTCGCACCATACTCCTCAATTTGTTCATTTTGAGAACCCGTTACATGGAACGTTACAACACCGAATATTAATGCGAGAGTTCAGTACAGTGGATTTCGAAAACAGATTCCCTCCCCCCCTCCAAGACACATAGGCTTTCTTTCCCAACGCCCCGCTTGCATGACGTTAATCTATATGCATTTGTTAGTACGATTGGCTATAGGGTACGGCGATCTGGACCAAGCTCCGCTGGTGGGTCTTCAGGGATGAAAGCCTGTTTGTTTGGGAGGTAGCCTGTTTTCAAAACCCTCTGTATCATTGTGATAGAGCGTGGTTTATTAGACTCAAGTTCCCGAATTCAGATAATGATATCTTTCTGATCTTCCCTAGCACTAGTTTCAACGCTAGGTCACTATTTTCGAAATTGGGGTTTTCAATATTCATTGTTTACTCCCCTTTCAGTATAGAGCTATTCGTCAAGATCCGCGCGCAATATAGCTAGAACTCGATGGACGACCAGGAGGAAGGAACAACTACACCATATGAGCTCTGCTGCAACAAATTGGCAGTGATTCCGATTGATTGGTTAAGTACAAGCGAAGTATGACTTTGACAGCAATCTGGACCACAGATAGGTGAACCACGGACGATTCTAGAACAAGATTGCAGGTTCGGGTGATCGACGTGCATCATGTAGCGCACCCTAGAATTGTGGCGGTCATCCACTTCTGATGCTAAATCTTAAATTAGCGTTGGTTCGTTATTAGTTATCTATCTTAACTAGGTAAGGTAGGCACAGGTTGCTTGTTTGGCTAATCCAAGTACGGCTTATTGTAATTTTAATGAGAGTCGAGAAACAATTCGGGAGTGCTCATGCGGGAAATTTGTTTTCGAATATTGCTGTATAACATTTTATTTATCTACATTATGCTATGGTAGCCTGAATATCTTTCGTGAAGTTGGATTATAAACCACAGCCAACTAGACTGGGTAGGGATTCGTATCTTGGTCTAGTTGGGTGAACAAACTCGTGATGGGTCGTAACTGACATCGCCATCATCATCTTCTTTTTCTTCGGCTGTATGACGTTTGGCCAGAACCAAAACGATTCTACGTCTGAGAATAAGAACGGACGGATCCGTACCCTTTAGTCATATATTGTCTTGTGATCTTGGGGTTGCAGGCCAGAACCAAGCAGACGTCATTTATCCTGGCTTTAAAACCGACCCAAGGATACAATAGACATATGACTGAACTGGAACCTCTACATATTGCAAGGAAAGCGTACCATGGCGCAATACGCTGTGGAAGAAAAGGGAGTGGCGAAGGTTTGGTTCAGATCATTGATGGAAGGAAGGTGAGGTGAAGCTAACTAGACCTTGTTGCAGTTATGGTTTTAATATTCCACGATAGCGGTCATAGCGAGGGGGCGGCACGGGACAGATGTATAGTAGCTGAGCGCCTATGGGCGGGGCTTTGATGAAGTGACTATAACATTAGAGGAATGGTTATTACGTGAGTGGACCAAGGGGGTACTCAATTACTGTTCTTGAACATAATGCAGTAGTGAGCACATATATGCCAATTGCAATTCCCATTCGTCACGAACCAGCGTTTCGTATGCTTAGTATCTAGAACAGCTGTTTCCAGCTAACTGTTAAGTGGTAACACACTATTTATGAAAGCAGCCCGCAGCCACGCAGATATCGAGAAATCCCAGATACTATCTACATCCACATTAGCCGGAGCTTCATGCCGCCTAATTCTATTCGGATAACCACTGGAATGCATGATTTCAAAACATCTAGTTGTGTCTAGAACAATATGATTTAGTCGCGGAAATCAAGGCAACCTTTGGCCCATCCGCATCTAGGCACTAAGAGAAACTACCTTTACAATAAGCAGAGCTTGCGCGATTCCTATGCCAAGAGTGCCAAGAGTGCCAAGAGTGCCAAGAATGAAATCACGCATGAATCCTCCCCCGCTGATCCGCGGTTAAAATCCGCAAATGGCCCCCGGCCTATCCGGCGGGGCGTAGACCACGGCACTTACATGGACTCAATGTAATATTCTTGGTCATCTACTGCACGGGGTTTAAATCAACTTTAACCTTATCATACCCCGCGACGTCATCCACCGTGAAGTTTAGATTACTTACAACCGTCTACCATCAGATATGGTAACAGAATATACTAGACGGTCAAATAATGTATCAAAGTTTTTAAGCAGGGTATTTGTGTAACGGTGTATTTCGTTGATAGTCCTACCGCGGTTGGTATTCCTCTGATTAAGCGTGCTCAGTTGATCATCTGCTAGTGCGATATCCGGCCATGTGGTACGTGTGGCTAGCCCTGAAGAACTCTGATTGAGCTTTAGAGTAAGGCCCAGACCATGCGGGCGAGTTCCTCGGCAGCAAGACAAACGGTTGCTCCCTTTAAACTTAGACTTTTTGGAAGCATGAACCGCTGATCACCGAGAATAATCTCTATCAAATTGATCGTTTTGGTGACCGATCAGACGACAACCCATTTGCAAAACTTGTTTAGTCAAGGTATCATGGTGACGAAACCAACAGCGGTTGTTCTCGTTAGTGTTGGAAAGTATGCTTTTGGGTAGATTGTACTCATGCAAGATATAAATCCGCCCTGAAATCCCTCAAGTGCTGAGATAGAGATTTAATTCTATTGCAACCGCACTTCTAGTAAACCAAACTGGATCTTAGCAAGACAAATTGGTGTGGAACATCAACTGATTTACCTAATTCATTCATCATGCCCCATGCTCAAAGTACTATCAACCCCGCCCGGGCCAATTTCTTCCGGGACCTGAAAGGGGATCTTGGTCCTAAGGCATTGGAAACGCTAGACCCAGAGAAGTCCACGTCCCAGGGCCTACCGCGCGTAGTAGGCTCCTCGACGACTAAACTCGAGAGATATCCATGCATAACTCAGAAGCCTACGCCTACAGCGATCGCCGGTAGTATTAGTGCTACGGCCCTTCAAGTCGGACTTGGAAAGGATATACCCCGCTGGAGGACCGGACCTACGAAAACCGTCAACTTCGCCGTTCTTGCAAATGGATATCCAAAGCCGGAACTTGCTTTTCTGGCGGCGAAAAACTTGCAAGAAGCCGCCAATGAATGGAATACGCTGGAGCTCGGCGTGCAGTTTAAATGGGTTTATAAGATCGAAGATGCCGCATTCGTCCTCACCTACGCAAAGGAAGTCAGCCCTGGGACCCTTGCAGAGGCCTTCTTTCCGAATAATATGGATTTGAACGTGCTGAACGTCTATCCTGCTGCATTCGAGGAAGGAACAATGCAGTACTTGAAGAATATTTTCTTGCACGAGCTGGGTCACGTCCTGGGACTCCGTCACGAGTTTGCCCCGGAGAAGGAAACCGGTGCCAACCTGGAATCGGTCCAAATCGGTCCACGTAACCCAACATCAGTGATGGCGTACGAATTCCCTCCCCAGATGCAGCCCTCGGATATCGACAGCGCTAAAGCATTCTACCAATTCCCTGGAAAACACCTTGGAGTTATGCAAAAGACTGGTACGCTGCCTATTATGGACTACGATGCAAATAACTAGCTTCACACACTGGGCGAAGCGAGACAGATTGCTGAGCTATCCTGAATGGTCAATAAGCATGAGGTAAAAGTGAGGGTTCTTTATGTTTATGTTTTTTTTACCGTCAGTCAAATTAAATCCATGTTGTTTATCATGGCACCATAGCATTTGAACTCCATATATGTCTGAGCACAGACTTCCCATCATGTATTACAGCCGCCATATGGCTAGTCTGTCTCGGTTGCTGTCACTTTGGAGCGCCCGCAAAATTGTCTTAAGGTTCTCGAGGTCTTCTCAGTTAATCCATCTTCATCGGGACCGTTTATCGCCAGAAACCACTTTCTGCGGGATAACACCACTCAGAAAATTTATATATTTTGCTGGAACCAAAATGAGACCCTTGTTGGAAGAAGAAAGACTGATATAAACCTACTCTAAATGTATTCCAGTCATTCCCCGACGACCCCCCCCCCCTCTCCCCCCCGGCCGGGGCCCAAAGCACCCGAAATATTGATATTTTTATCGGATCTTTTAGATCGTTTAATCCTATGCTTAGTTCTATCTATATATCAGATAAAAATCTTCTAGGATTAGTCACGTAGAAGGGTCTTACCCTAAAGGGTGGGGTTAAGCCGTACTCAAAGAAATAAATACAAATGTGGTACTACGGCTTTGTGGGACTCCAACAAGCGCAGGTCGATGTTGGTTGTATCAGGACCCACAGAGGAAGCAGAAGTGTCAGTGCCCGACCGACTATCAGATTCTACAAATTCCACTGTACTGTCAACAGATGAAGTATCGCTGCCAGTAAGTCAAGGTTGTCTCGGGAGATGATGCAGCTTAATATGAATGTCATACGCATGCACAGTGGAACATGAGGTCAGTATAGATCGCTAAATGGACTTCTTGTTCAAAGTAACATTCTGGCCGAGATCATGTCTATCTTTACGTAGCACAGCACACTGATTCCGTCAAGGCTTCTGGCAGGGCACGATATAAAAAAAAACGTATTATGTGGGAAAGAGACTCGTCATAGACTTTGAGAATAAAAAAAAAGGGAAGTATTTGCCGCATTGTAATGGAAAGAGTGAATGATACAGTGTACAGATGGTGGGGCGCTCAAATTCGCACCCAGGTTGCAGGAGAGGAGAGAGAAGTTACCATAGCAACATGAGAGTAAGTCATATCCTCGCGTTCGCTCCCAGGAACACCAGAAGTATTAGGCAGTACGGTTAGCGTCGGGAGACCTGATTCAATAGAGAGGCAAAATGAGATCAAATGGGCCGATCTGCCTGAGTAATGGGGTGAGCAATCAGATTGCTTAGGGAGCTGCTCAGGGCGGCGGGGGGACTAACTCACCCTGTGCTCCGGGAACCGATCATTTCCCGAGGCCGTAGTTTTACCGTCACCTAGATTGCTCAAAAATAACATTGAAATGACTTGAGATTTCTTGGCTCTTGGGCTTAAATAGGACAGAACCCCCGGTTAACTCCATTAACCGAAGTCAAGCGACCCGTTGAATTTTAGACACCAACACTCGAATAGTGGTCTCTGTTATACTTGAAACTCTTCAATCATATATAGGTCAGGCCTGTGAACAGTCGCAACAATGTCTACACCTGCTAATTTTTCGCATCTAGAAGAAGATGCAATTGACCGCTTTCTGCGAATACGGCACGAGATGTGTGACAAGCTAATTGGCTGGAACGTGGATATAATTAGAGATCCAAGTATCAGCCGCGCACTTTCTATCAGTCTCAGACAGTTGGTTGAGCAGGAATTCAATGAGTTCACTGCGTTGCATAGCAGGATTCGGGAGAGTTGGATCATGTCAACTGCAGATCACGACGGCTGGAATAACTGCTGGTGGACAAAGGCCGATCGTATTCGTGAGTATATGCAGACTTTGGTTAGAGATCTCGATACACCCCCTGCACATTACCACCAGACTGAGCTTGCTGAAATGTTGAGTATATTGGCAGTCTGTATTGGCCAGGTGCACTACCGCAAGCAGGTTGATGATCACGTTCGACAGATGCGGAATGCAGCACAAGAGATGAATCATCGCCGCACTACGCGAGGCTACTTTGGACCTTATCTTGGAATGGTCTGGGATGAGCTCTTTGAGTTAATGGAATGTGGATGTGACTTTTGTTGGACAGGTCATTGATCAATAGCTGCATTGAGAAATGATTGGAAAATGGATATGGTTCATTTAAATTGCTATGTCACGAGGATACTGACAGAATAAGTATAATTTTTTTTTATTAAGTCCTTCTTCAGTCTATCTTGAAATAGATATCTATCTTTTCCTCTCAGAAATGTGTACACCGAGAACTTTGGACGGCCACTTTCATGAAATGAGTGTTTCCCTCTCGGATACTGGGAGTTGACTTCTCAGGGATTAGGCTTGAGATAGCTTCTCCTTTTTTGCTGTGCGTCATGCTTTGGTCTCCACTTTTTATGTGTGTATACTCTGCACTGTATCTGTTTTCTGCACCCTCTGGTGCTTCCAGTTCCATTCAGCATACGATCAGGTCTACTTGTTCGTGCCCTGTGCCACACGTATCTACTTAGCCTCTTGAACTCTCTTGCCCTTTGCTATTTCCCCTCTAGACCCCTTGGCAATTCTCCTCATGGTTATGGGTTAGAATTACTAATCTATATCGGTAGCTTCTTTGCTGAGTTGTGAATAAAGTACCAAGATGGCTCAGGGCCGCCAAAGATATTCAGAATCCAGAAAATTGTCCCAGTAAATCCTCAATTGTCTTTCTACATAGTCCGCACATTATTGTTCAGTCTATATCCCAACGAATAGAAGAGAATGTGAGTTTGAAGTATTGTCGGGTAGGGTTATCCTTTTGCGCAAGTCAAAAGCATATCATGACTTGTTGGCCTCAGGCCGCAAGGCGGTATACCATCGTGGCCCTCCACGAATCCACTGCCGCAATCGAATTCCAGAACGTGGACCAAAACCCCCCGGCCCAAATCATATTCCTCTCGCAACCGCCACAATGGTTGCGCAGTCACTGAGCTCACTCCTGCAGCGAGCTACGATTGACGATCATGAGGAGGTCCTCAAGTCCTGCAACGAAACCCTCAAGAAATCCAAGAACGACCAGAATGCTCAACACATCAAAGCCATCGCTTTGCTTAAACTCGACCGTTACGAGGATGCCTTGCGACTTTTCGAGACCGGAAGCGATTCGCTGAAGCAGGTTGCTGGATTGGAGTATGGTTATGCGCTATACAAGTGTGGAAAGCTCGACGAGGCACTCGACGCTGTCACCAAATCCGGTGCGGGGAGGGGCGCTAGCCACCTGGAGGCTCAAGTGGTATGATGAAACCACTTCATGAATCAGATCCTTGTGCTTGCGCTAACCTGATTGTCTGATGAATAGACCTACCGAGCTGAGAAATTCCGCCGCGCCGCAGATTTATACGAACGGTTGTCCCGAGATGGGTCGTCGCACCACGAGGCGAATGACCTCGCCATTAACTCGTGGGCTACGGATGCTCAGCTACAGTGGAAGGGAGAAGCAGAATATGTTCGCCATGATCGGCCATCGCGGGAGGATCTCGAGTCTTTTGAGACGGCATACAATGCGGCTTGCTTGACCATTGCCAAGGGCGCGTTCGCTCAAGGCGAGGTGCTTCTCAACCGCGCAAAGAGTGAGAATTGCCAATTGCTAATCTTGATCATGCCACCCTGCTGACCATCTTTTTTAGATATCTGCCAAACATCAGAGGACCTGACTCCGGAAGATCGCGCCGCTGAACTGCTACCCATTGCTGTGCAGTACCTATACGTCTTGCTTCGGCTGGGCAAGACAGACCAAGCGGAGGCTCTGCTTGAAGAAATCTCGGTAGAAGAGTGAGTGCAAATGCTCACATGTGAAATGGATCGATAAATCGTGATCGGAAGGCTCATTGTATCATGTTCTACAGCATTCCCGAATTATCCACGAAAAAGATCGCCCGCAACAACATCGTTCTAGCTCGCCAGACCAACATCAACCCTTTCATCCTCTACAAGGCTCTCCATGAGACACCAGATTCGGTCAACAACGACCGTCTTTTCGACTTCCAGGACAATGTCCTGGTCGGCAACTCGCACGCTGCCGATCTCCTGGTCCAGAAATACGATGGTATCATCCGCTCAACGAACAAGGCGCTATCAAAGAGCTCTTGCCCGTCCACCACAGCCAGCACCAACCTCCTCTCCGTGTACAACGCCGCAGCACAAGCCGAAGGCCAAACCGGACAAAAGGCTTTGAAAAGGATCCTCCCTCTTCTTGAACGGCGGCCCAAGGACCTGGGCCTTCTCCTTACCGTGGTCCAGCTCTACGTGAACGAGGGCAACACCACCTCTGCAATCACCGCCATGGAGCGGTCTCTACAGGCTCTGGAGGAGTCAATCTCTGAAGCCGACCAAGATGCTCGCTTCAACCCAGGCTTGTTGAGCGCTCTGGTCTCGCTGTACCAGCTCGAGGGCCGCAAGCTCCAGATCCGCTCTACCCTTGCACAGGCTGCCGCGTATTGGCGCAAGAAGCCCGAATCTCCGGCATCTCTCCTTCGTGCCGCTGCTACCTCCCTTCTCCACTCGGATAATCGGGCGGACCTGACCACCGCAGGCGAGCTCTTCAAGGCCCTGTACCAGCAAGACTCTTACGACCGCGTTGCCCTTGCCGGCTATGTCGCATCCCAAGCAACACTCGACTATTCACAAGTGGAGTCTCAACTTGAGCAGCTTCCTGAGGTGAGCGAACTTGTGGCAGACATTGACGTGTCTGCCCTCGAGTCTGCGGGTATCATGCCCTCAGCTAATTCCGCCGCGGCTGCAGCCGCATTTGCTGGGGCCCGCAAGCGCACTGCCGCAGACAAAGAAACCCGTGCTGTGAAGCGCGTGCGCAAGTCTCGACTGCCCAAGGACTACGATCCGGAGAAGAAGGCCGATCCTGAGCGCTGGTTGCCCCTGCGTGACCGCTCTTCCTACCGACCCAAGGGTAAGAAGAACAAGCAGCGTGCTGCTGATCGGACCCAGGGTGGACCTGTCAACGAGAAGGTTGAGGAGTCCCCTGCGGCTGCACAGCAGAAGGCTGGTGGCGGTGGTGGAGGTGGTAGCTCGAAGAATAAGAAGAAGAAGGGGAAGCGGTAGTGGGATGTGGTTGCGATGTGTCCAGCTTGCCAAGTCTTGGTTTGAGACCTGGAGGTGTATTATTTCAATGCATAGATGAATATCAAGAAAAGACTCGTATCTGCACGGCAGGAATGAAAACATATCGCATGATCAAGCTTGGCAACATAGGTCGTACCTATCATGAATTTCCACCGCTGAATAGAAAACCCAAGACCTCGACACAGAATGAGAATACCCCGTAAGAAATGCATTCCAAATTCCCGCTTGCAACATGATTCCCATAATAGCATCAGATAAACACCAAAATAGCAGCTGAGTGGAGATAGACAGATACCACGTGAAAAATGATATCAGCCAGCACATAGTGGACACCACACATCGTAAAACTCATGATAGACAAACCATCAACCCAACGGCGTCCGAATCGTCCCGCACTGCCGATCATAATGATCAAAGATCATATGCATAAGCTTCAGATCATCCAGGGCATCTTCCGCAGTCGTTTTCGCCTCGATCTTCGAACCCCCAGCATCACCAACAAGATACGCATGCATAGCCAGGAACTCCTGCTCATACGTCTCCCTAGCCGTACTCACGAACTCGGTGCGCTTCATTCGAGCGCGGACATGAGCACGTCCATGCCCATTCGCAACGCCATTGCCCTGGCCATTGCCATGGCCATTGACATGACCATTCCGGCCAGTCTTACCATCCACACTCCCATCGCCAGAATCCAACATATCAACATCAACATCGACATCCCCATCCCCATCATCACCAACAGCCTCCTCAACAACAACCCTCACCGCGACATCCTCACTCGTACAAGAAAAATCATACTCAACACTAACCGTCTTCTTCGCCCCGTAAACCGTCAAATGCGCATCACACCGCGGCACCCCATCAACACCAGCCTCATACAGCAACGTAAACGGAAGGTCCACGCCACGCGAACTATCCGTATAATGAAACATGGCCGAATAAAACGGCTCAATGATAGAAATATTCGAGACCGCGTCTGGAAACCCCAGACTCTCCCGGATCAGCGAGAGATCGTGGCCGCCCAGGGTGCCGAGGAATCGACAAAACGCCTCGCGATCGCGGGTGAGATCTTCGTTTGAGCCGAAGATGTCAGCGAGGAGGGCGTGGATACGCTGGGGGCGGGCGGTGGCCGTGCTGGTGGAAGAGGAAGTAGAAGAAGGCGTGAGTGAATCGTTTACCCCGTTTGTACCGTTGATGTATCCATTGCCCGGGGTAATAGGGATAATCGGTGGCAGGGCGGGGCCTGTGATATTTCGGCAGCGGGCGTAGTACACACGTCCTAGAGTGGAGAGTTCTCTTTTGAAGCTATCCGTGAAACATGGTGCGTAGCGACGGGCGCATCCGACGAAGACCTTGGGTGCGGTGTTGTTTGAAGTTGAGAGAGAGTTGCCATCGTGAGAAGCTGCGGGCGTTGCGGTCGTGCCCTTTTTTCGCGCGTCGCGGACTCGACGGAGACCGTGGATGCTTAGGCTGAGGGGGACTTCGACCATGACATGTTTGCCGGATTCGAGAGCGGCGAGGGTGTATTTCTCATGGTGGTCGAAGGGGAGGAGGTTGATGATTAGGGATACGTCGGGGTGGTTGATGACTTCGTCTGGGACTGTGGTGGATTTGGGGATGTTGGTGTTTTTCTGGGAGTGGGTTGCGAGGTCGTTGTTCGTTGTGTGGATGATGGTGAGGGTGTAGTGCGTTGGGAGGGAGGCGAGGATTGGTATGTAGATGGATTCCGTGGCGGCGGTGGCGCCCAGGATGCCAACGTGCAGGACTGGGGTGGAGGACATGATATTGTTGAAATGGAGGGATGATGTGATTGTTGAAATGGAGGGATGATGTGATGAAGTGGTCGACCACAGAGGGTCTCCTTTGAATGAGTGAGATTGAGGAATCGAGGAGAGTCTCCGTTGGAGAGTTGCTGTGGCGATCAAGGGGGAGAGCTGAGGAGGGGTGTGTATGTGGATGTGATAGAGTTTGAGAGGTCGTTGTTTGTTTGATATAGAGACCAGGATGATGGGAGGGAAAGACACGAGGGGTTTCCAATTTTCCCAGAGCAATAGAGGTAAATCCCGAATCAAATACTGTACTCTAGGAGAAAGCCTCTCTTTAAACATTTGCAATGATGGACTTTCCAGCTGGTCATTCCACTGCGCATGCCAGTTGTGTGTGACATCAGCGGACTCGCATTACCCAGCCAAGGGGGGGGCCATTTTAGGACGTGTATCGGCGCAGTTCTTTGGTTGGACCGGCATCCTGTCTCGAATACTACTACTACCGTACTACCAAACCGTGGGGCCCCGATCTGGGGATACCTGCCGAACCGATCCATCCGCTGCAAGCCTTGCCGATCTGTACCAACGCATGTATATGCGTGTTGGGCCGATGATGCGGCAACGGGAGTACATTGGAATGTCGGTCTGTCGTGGCATTGAAGAAGGTAGAAATTCAAAATAGAAGCGACAGGATGACCAGATCTGCAGGTATATCCGGTCTTGGTGTAGAGTAGGAGCTTCGAAGCATGCATAAGGTACCTGTAGAACGACTGTAGAGCAGGCATACTGTAGAATATTGGAGCTAAAGTATAATGCACTCCATAACTTCCAGAGATTGGGTGGAGTTAGTGGCTAGTGGGGGAGCTTCTTAGGTACCTTACCTTAGGCTAGTCTGTATGGTATGATGATACGATCGGTATGTATAGTCTCGAACCCGTTGTCCACGATGATACAGTATAAAAAATGAATTCTGAGCATTTCGTGGGTTATACCCCCGTAATAGATATTCCCGTCACTCTCCCCCCTCATATGGCCTAGTGGTCTATTGACCTTTGGGTGTGCCCTGAAAAGGGCAAACATGTGATGGGAATAGGTACAGGCCGCCAGTGTTTGACTCCATGGATGGTTGGGCACATCCCTAGGCGGGGAGTGTGGGCGGGTGGGCATCACCACTTCGCGGATAACGATCTTTTTTATATATATATATATATATGTATATATTTTATAAATATAATATTACTTAAGTATATTAATACTCGAGTTAATTTTAAAATAAAATAAAGTGTTTTACAGGTGTTATAAGGGTATAGCGTAGTGCTGTTGGTTAGTGTAATGTCGGGGCGGACTTGGTGATGTACTTACGCATGGTGGGTGGGAGATGGAGCACTACTGCGTGGTATATAGGGAACGAGATGGGTTGAGGTTCGATTCACGGGTGGGAAGATTCTTATTTTCGTGATATTGGACAGTCGCGATATCACGATACATATGAGCTTATTTGAACTACCGAGTCTAAGGTACCTGCCCCGATACATTTAGTCTGTCCTATGATAGTCTATACTGTGATCCATGATCCATGATCCATGATCCATGATCCATGATAGTATCACAAGTAAAGAGATCGACAAGAATCAGCCCCGTCGTATTTGCGTCCTGCCAAGAGAGAGATGCCTGGCCCCTCCGAAGGCGCTAAGCCTCAGCCGTACATCTCACTCCATCGGCTGGCGTCATCCTTTATTATTTGTCCTTTGGGTTCCCTGGTCTGACAGCTCCCACTCCTGCTAGTATATCTCTCTCCATCTCTTTTCTTTTCCCTCTTCGACATGGGTGTAAGTGTCCAGATCATCATTGCCCACTGATCTCCCCTAGCCTCAACACTCGAACCCATCGACTGACCTCGGGTCCCCCCATTCTGTTCTCTCCAGTTCGCCGCAAAGCTCGCTGCCGCTCAACAAAACCAGAACCAGACGATGTCGTCGAATCCAGGCAACTCCGGCACATACGGCGGTGCTCCGCCCGCTGGATATACTGGAGGCCATCCGCCTCCGCCTGCAGGTCTGCGACCTGGTGGATACGTAAGTCCAGCAATCCGATCACCTGTTCACTCACTGTCCATCTCGACGTCATTTGGGAGGCAAAGCAAGAAGCTGACAAGTCTGTTCAACAGCAGCAGCCGCCGCCGCAACAGCAACAACCCTCGCAGTACCAGGCTTATCCAGGTTCTCCTCCACCTGCCCAAGGATCCGTAAGTTTCCACTTTTGATCTTCTCATTTTTCTCTCTTCTTCATCTCGCGTTGTTTATTGGCTTTTTTTCCTTTCTACTCTCTCCTACTCCACATTACCCCTCCAACGCTGCTCTCCCGCCGCAAACCCCCTTCTTCCCTCTTCTCTCTCAGCTTGCCCTCTGGACCCATCAACCACCCAAAAGGAAATCCAAATCACCCCGGAATCCACCATGTCGGGTCATTACTATCCTCAAGGCCAACAACCCCCGTACGGCGGCTCACCTGCTCCATCCTACCAGCCTTACAACGCACACTCGCCGGCGCCTTACTCGAGGGCCCCTCCGCAACAGCCCTCGCCCTACCCCGCACAGCAACAACAAGGCTATTCACGACCTCCACCGCCGCCACCACAGGGTCAGCCCTATGGATCTTCGGGATCGGCGTACCCTGGACAGCAGCCGCCTTACCCTGGTCCAGGTCAACAATCATCACCTTACCCAGCACAACAGTCGCCTTACCCCGGACAGCAACCGCCATATCCCGGACCACAGTCAGCCTATCCTGGACAACAGCAGCAGCCTTCCTATGTACAGATGAGCCCTCTCACACATGCCTCGCGTTTATGACTTTGTGCCATTTGCTGCTATGATTGACACAAGATATTGTCGTTTCAGATGATAGACGGCTAACATTCACTCTCAGAACCAGCCACCTTATCCTCCTCAAGGCGGCCCCGGCGGTCCTCCTCCTCAAGGTGCGCCTTACGGTGGTCAGGGACGCGCAGGCCCGTCACCTGGACCGCCTGGTGGGCAACAATATAACCAACCTGGTAATCAGTATGGACCTCCCGGTGGTGCCCCCGGACCCCAGGGTGGACCCGCAACACCCCAGCAGGTCGACGCGTATCGTCGCCTGTTGGAAGATACCATCCGTGAAAAGCAGCTGCAGCGATTCTATCCTCCAGGCTCCAAGGCCCTGGATGGGCTCGTTCAATTCCTCGCCAATGAAGCCCCCAGCCGGCTGCAGCGTATTGTGCATGAGCTGAATGTGCCGATGGAAGTAGCCACCGACCTGATGAAGCTCGCCCTGTTTGATGTCACTCTCTACGTGGATGACAGTGGATCTATCGAGTTCGAAGAAAAAGGTCTGCGGAAGGATCAGCTGCGACAGATCCTGAGCATAGTTGCGACCGTGGCATCGACTTTCGACCAGGATGGCATTGAGGTGCGCTTCATGAACTCCACGGAGGAAGGTCACGGAATCCGGAACCCCAATGATGTGGAGAATCTCGTCTCACGTGTGCGCTTCTCCGGTCTGACTCCTCTGGGAACAAGTCTGCGCCAGAAGGTCGTGGATCCCCTGGTCATTGGCCCCGTTCGTGCAGGCCGTCTTCAGAAGCCCGTGCTCATCATCACCATCACGGATGGTCAGCCTGCCGGCGAGGCGCCCGGCACAGTCCGTGAAACCATCAGCTACGCCGTGCGCGAGGTTCAGCGGGCGCAGTATGGCACCGGTGCCGTCTCCTTCCAGTTCTCGCAGGTCGGCAACGACAATCGTGCGCGGGACTTCTTGTCCGAACTCGACGAGGACCCGGAGATTGGACAGCTGATTGACTGCACATCGAGTAAGTCACACAAAATGGCGATTATAATGGTGCCGTCAACCCGTTGGAACTGGACATCCATGCTAACCTGTCTGATTTTCTAGACTTTGAGGTTGAGCAGGATGAAATGTCGCGAGCCAATCCGCCCGTGCACTTGACTCGTGAGCTCTGGGTATGTGTCCCCCAAGTTTGCACCTACCCATGCCATCTCTTTCCAGTACTAATCCCATATCTGCAGTGTGCCAAACTCATGCTGGGCGCTATTGACAGCTCCTACGACACCAAGGACGAGAAAGCCGCTCGGCGCCCCCGGGGCCGGCGGCCCTCCCCCAGGACCTCCCCAGGGTTCATACGGTGGAGGTGGCTATGGCCAAGCACCTCCTCCCCAGGGTGGCTACAATGCACCCCCCCTCAGGCTATACCCCCAGCTCGTACAATCAGCAGCCCGGCTATCCCTCACAGCAACAGCAGCAACAGCAGCAGCAGCAGCCTCCCTACCCGGGTGCCAACCGAGGCAATGCCCCTGGATATGGTCAACCCCAGCCCTATGGATACGGTGCTCCACCACCCGGTGGACCAGGAGGTTATCCACCCTCGGGAGGCTATGGACAGCAGCAGCCGCCACCACCGCGCCGTTACTGAAAGGGCAGTCAGTAGTGGATTGATTTAAAGGGATGATGTCATAGGCCAGATTGTCCCCTGCGCGTTGCGATCTTTGATTCTTGGCATGTTTTCTTTCAACATGGTCTCCAGGAGGACATTATTCGTCCTGCATCATTATTATATGAACACTTGAACACCCTGGATAATCTTTTTTTGCAATTTGTATTTCTGCTTCGTTTCTGGGGTGGTGGGTTGCGGGGAGAATAAGGCTGGAGGATGGATAGGTTTACTTCCAGGTTAGGTTCTAAGCAGGATGGATAAATGCAATTGACAGAATGAGAGAATCGAAGCAGTATCTTGGTCTATATGAACTTTTGTTATTGGGTTGAGTAAACATGGTACTTGGATGGTTTTTCTTTTTATTGATCTTGGATCTAGGGGGCGTTCCTATTGCCTATCCTAGTGTAGTTGCAGAAGAGGAAGCACATCTCAAGATGGACCATCATAATCACCATACTCATAATAGAATACCATCTTTTTGATAGGAAGACATGGTGTGATAACTGAGAAGTATACAAGTACTCCGTAGGCAGTGCCAGTTTAAGGAAATTATCTTCTTGTAGATTCGACCTATCGTACAGCATGTGTCATTGAGATACTGCGCATTCCTGCAGCATGATATGGATTAAATAACCGACTAGCTGAAAGTTGATATTACTATTAGTATCGCTCATGCAGCGATTGATAAACAACTGTCAGTTCGAGGCAGACGATGTAAATCCGTCGGCAATTGGGGCTATGATACATTGCTATTCGCCGAGGTGGATCCATTGCCCAGAGTCCCCAAGGCGGACCATGACGCAGTTTGTCCACCGATGGATCCAGCGATACCCTTTCGGCTGTCTAGACTCTAGAATGGGAAACCTGAAAGACCCTTTTTCGAAGATTTTAATATAGGGCCTACTCTCGGTCCTACACTATTTACCTGGAGGTACCTACCAAAGATTATGGTAACAAGGTACCGGAATAGAGTTTGCCACGCGAGTATGACAACAGGCAGCACGATTTAACAAAAGTAAGAGACCTTTACTGTGAGAGGCTAGTATTCTTAGGAGTCTTTTTTGAACCAACCACCGTTAGACCTTAAGGGGGTTTCTAGCCACTGACGAGGCTCTGGCATGAGGCATGGTTGGCCTGGTTGGCCCACTGGCTGCGGTCATCGAGGGGCGAGTTTTCCGCCTGGTCGCATCGTTTCCATGGATTCTTCGAAGGGGGACTGGGCTATGTTCGATATGAATACTGGCTCTCCAGTTGGATGCAACCCCCAATTGCGCGTTCCCGGCTCCACACAAAGTTAAACCTCCTCCTCCGCCTTCGCTGCCTCTTGACAGGCCAATCTCCCCCAATTTCCAGAGTGGCTCACTGGCTCCAGCAATAATCTTTGTGGTCTGCCATTCTTTTTTGCCTTCTGCCTGCCTTTTTCATTCCTTCATTGGCCTACTCCAGAAAAAGAAAATCCATCGAAATCAACCTTCTCGACCGCTTCGGGCATCTTGCCGCATCCGGTCTGGCATTGCCTCCGACTCTCACTTCAAGCGGGTTCCCGTCAACAATCATCTCTCCGTATACATCTTTCCTTTTCGACTTATTCTTCGACATAACCCTCGACGACAATAAAGGCGATCGCCTGAACGATATTCGATCTTTTCGCCTTTCGTTTGCTGTTGGCTGTCGTTCTTGCTCGCGGTCGACTAACTCTCTTTTTGCGACCGTCGAGCGAATTCCCCCGAATCACTCGCCAACGAGTCATACCTACGACCAGACCGATGTACTAAGAGAAGCATGAATGCAACCTCTCTAATCTCTAGTACGATCGATTCCTTCTTTGACTTCTAACTCTCAACGCCAATCACCGGATCTCCAATCGGATTCAGGAACGAGAAAAGAAACAAAAAAGAGCAGTGATCGTCCGGGTGTGTCCCGCGCCAGGCACGATCTTTCGTCATGTCCAGCCATGACGACCAGCCCCTAGATGAGGGCCGCCCATCGCAGGAGCAGAATCAAAATCAAAATCAAAACCAGCCCGACGTTGTGCGCCGGCCGTCCCTCGTCTCTTCCCACACCATGTCCGACGCTGGCCGCCGCGCTTCCCAGCAGTACCACGTGCGGTTCTCGACCGACCTCGACCGACCTGCCGATGAGCTCCCACAGCGTCAATTATCGACGGCCGCCGACCGACGACCTAGTTCGCGAGGTCTGACTATCGACACTACACTGTCGCCGCCGTCAACTCGCCACCCTGCCCTCTCGCCAACCTCTCCCTTCTCGCCAACCTCTCCCCTCTCGCCCCCGAAGGCCGCTGCGAGCGCGACTCTCTCGCCAATCTCCCCGCCGAGCCCAGACTCCGCGGGTGGTCGTTCGCGATCGCGAAACCGCGGCTACTCGCTACGACGCAGTATCTTCAACAAGAACATCCAAACCCCATCCGATCAGGATGATCCCGCGAGCGTGGAGCTGGACGAGGCACAGGGCTTTTCGAAAAGCCCGGAGGAGGACATTACGGTCGCACCAAAAGTCGTGGATGCTCCCAGTCCCGTATATGAGAAGAACGACTTGGCTGTCGCGCCGACGGCGACGGTGGAATGGACAAAGGACGAAGCCTCGACGTATCCCTCATCCCGCTCCGATCTACCTTTGAAGGAATATTATATGTCCGTCGCGCAAGATAACTGGGTGAAGAAGAAAGCTGCCACGGCAGGGCTTGTCACTCGCGTGGAGACTGTCTTGACTGCAGTTCAGAAGTTCATTCTCCGCATCAAGGATATTCCACCTACCAAGGATGGACGGCATATCGATCTCAATCCGTCTTTGGTGGAGAGTTTTATCGACGAGCGCACTGGCAAGCCCTATTGTGCGAATTGGATTCGATCCAGCCGGTACAGTTTCTGGAGTTTCTTCCCTCGGCAATTGTTTGCGCAGTTCACCAAGTTGGCCAACTTTTACTTCTTGATCGTGGCGATTCTGCAGATGATTCCTGGTCTGAGTACGACGGGAACGTTCACGACTCTTATCCCCCTGTTGATCTTTGTTGGTATCTCGATGGGCAAGGAGGGATTCGACGATTGGCGTCGGTATCGTCTAGACAAGGAAGAGAACAACCGGTTTGCGTGTGTGCTTCGTCCGGGCCAGGCACCCGTCACCGACGGTGCGTCCATGGCCAGTGGTGCGCATGACTGGGTGGAAATCAAATGGCAAGATATTCGGGTCGGAGATGTCATCAAGCTGGAGCGCGATCAGCCTGTTCCCGCTGATTTCGCCCTCCTCCACGCCAATGGACCTAATGGAGTTGCCTACATCGAGACCATGGCCCTGGATGGAGAGACCAATTTGAAGAACAAGCAACCCTGCCAGGCTGTGGCCAAGGTGTGTTCTACCGTGGACGACATTATCAGCAACTCGCTGCATTTCGTCGTGGAGGACCCCAACCTCGATCTCTACAGGTTTGACGGCCACGTCTCGGTCAACGGCCAGGAGAAGCTCCCCTTGACCAATAATGAAATTGTCTACCGTGGTAGTATCCTCCGCAACACCGACCGCGCCATTGGCATGGTGATTTACACCGGCGAGGAGTGCAAGATCCGCATGAACGCCAACAAGAACCCTCGCATCAAGAAGCCTGCCCTGCAGGCCAAGGTCAATCGCGTCGTCATGTTGATCGTGACCCTGGTGGTTGTCCTTGCCGTTGCATGCACCGTTGCATACAAGTACTGGTCGCAGGACGTAGAACGGTACTCCTGGTATCTCGATGACGCCAACGTCTCCTACGGTCCGATCTTCACTTCCTTCCTCATCATGTTCAACACGATGATCCCCATCTCACTCTACGTCAGTATGGAGATTGTCAAGGTTGCACAGATGCTACTTCTAAACGACATCGACATGTATGACCCAGAAACCGACACGCCCCTCGAGGCGCGCACGTCGACCATCAATGAGGAGCTCGGCCAGGTCAGCTACATTTTCTCCGACAAGACCGGCACCCTGACGAACAATTCCATGCGATTCCGCAAGATGAGTGTTGCAGGCACCGCGTGGTTGCACGATCACGATCTCCAAGAGGAAGCTGCTCGCGAAGGCGAGAAGCTTATCCACAAGAAGCGGAACCTGAAGGGCAAAAAGGCTGCTGGTCGGAAGTCGAATGTCTCGGAGGCTCGCGTGAGCCTTGCCCGGCCGTCCAATGTGTCTGCGAGTGCGGATCAAATGCGCCGGTTTGCGCGGTCGGCGCCTTGCCGGACCACCGAGATGCTGGAATACATCCAGCGTAAGCCGTATACGATCTTTGCGAGAAAGGCCAAGTTGCTTATTCTGGCTATGGCTCTTTGTCACACGTGTATCCCCGAGGAGGATGAGGATGGCAAAGTGTCTTTCCAGGCCGCTTCTCCTGATGAACTGGCCCTTGTGATGGCAGCGCAGGAACTTGGGTACTTGGTTATGGATCGCCAATCAAATACCTTGACTATTCGCACATACCCCAATGGCATGGACGAGCCTGCTACCGACGAGATCTACGAAGTCATGGACATGATTGAATTCTCCAGTGCTCGAAAGCGCATGTCAGTTGTTGTGCGCATGCCGGACCAGCGAATCTGCCTCTTCTGCAAGGGTGCCGACACCACGCTCATGCGCCTGCTGAAGAAAGCCGAACTCGCCCATGAAAAGGCTGCCGAGATTGAGCGTCGGGCGAGCAAGCGTAAAACCGCCGAAGCCAACCAGGTCATTCGTCGCAACAGCGAGTATCAGAGCCGCAAGGATAGTGGTGTCCGCACCAGCCTGAGTCGGCCTAGCTTCAACCGCCGTCGCTCGTCAGTCTCTGGGCATCACGCTTCTACACTGCGTGAAAGTATCGATATCTGGCTGCGCGATCGTGAGACTGACGGTGGAATGCTGAACCGTGAGACGGACAGTGCATACTACAGCCCTCGACCTTCTGCCCAGATGGGACGGCACTCGACTGCCCTTTCGGACTCGGGTAGCTCGACTAACGGCGAAGAAGACGATCGCGATCTGGTAGAAGAGGCTCTCGTCGTTGATGAGGCTGCCATCTTCGAGCGCTGCTTCCAACATCTGAACGATTTTGCCACTGATGGACTCCGCACTTTGATGTATGGACACCGATTCTTGGATGAGGCTACTTACCGGAGCTGGAAGACTGCCTATCACGATGCCTGCACCAGCCTCGTGGACCGCCAGCAGAAGATCGAGCAAGTCGGTGAGGAAATCGAGACACAGCTCGAATTGACCGGTGCTACTGCAATCGAGGACAAACTGCAAAAGGGCGTTCCCGAGGCGATTGACAAGTTGCGCCGTGCGAACATCAAATTGTGGATGTTGACTGGTGACAAGCGTGAGACCGCTATCAATGTCGGACACTCCTGCCGTCTGGTCAAGGATTACTCTACCTTGACGATCCTGGATCATGAGAACGGTGATGTGGACGAGACTATTGTTCAGCTCACCGCAGATCTCATCTGCAACAAGGTGGCGCATTCCGTGGTCGTCGTTGATGGGCAAACCTTGTCGGAGATTGAAGCGGATGATGTCGTTCGTGAACGGTTCTTCCAGCTCGCTATCCGCGTTGATTCGGTTATTTGTTGCCGTGCCAGCCCTAAACAAAAGGCGTTCCTGGTCAAGTCCATCCGCACGCATGTCAAAGACTCGATTACTCTGGCTATTGGTGATGGCGCCAACGATATTGCCATGATCCAGGAAGCTCACGTTGGTATCGGTATTACTGGTAAGGAAGGTCTGCAGGCTGCTCGTATTTCGGATTATTCGATTGCACAGTTCCGCTTCCTCCTGAAATTACTGCTTGTCCACGGCCGGTGGAATTACATGCGGGCTTGCAAGTACACTCTTGGCACTTTCTGGAAGGAAATGCTCTTCTACCTGACGCAGGCGCTGTATCAGCGCTGGAACGGGTACACTGGTACATCACTCTACGAGCCGTGGAGTCTGAGCATGTTCAACACCCTATTCACTTCTTTGGCTGTTATCTTCCTGGGTATCTTCACCAAGGATCTCGCTGCCTCGACTCTCCTTGCCGTGCCGGAGCTATACACCAAGGGCCAGCAGAATGGCGGCTTCAATATTCGCCTGTACCTCGGTTGGACGTTCATGGCAACCTGCGAAGCTATGATCATCTTCTTCACAATGTATGGTCTCTTCGGTATGGTCCATCTCAACCCATCCGACACCGACACTTTCGCTCTGGGCCTACTCACCTTCACGGCCTGCATCACGGTCATCAACCTCAAGCTGCAAGCCCTGGAAGTCCACAACAAGACCTACCTCTCGCTCATCGTGATCATCATCTCCGTCGGCGGCTGGTTCCTCTGGGACATCATCCTCTCGCAACGATACCAAATGTCCTCCGGCAAAGGCGTCTACGCCGTGCCCGGCAACTTCCTCCACCACGTCGGCGACAACCTCCTCTTCTGGCTCGTCCTCCTCATCTCCGTCGCAGCAGTCCTCCTCTTCGAACTCACCGTCTCCACCCTCCGCGCCCTCTTCTTCCCCACAGACGTCGACATCTTCCAAGAATACGAGCAAGATCTCGACATCCGCAAACGCTTCGAAGAAGCCGCCGCCGCCGAGCTCCAACAAGGCTGGGACCGCGGCACCAAAAAGTCTTCCTTCGAACTTGCCCGTGAGACCGCCGAGCTTGCGGAAATGGATGCTCGCGAGCGCCATGTCCGGGAATTACTCTCGCGGCCTCGTGTCATGGCGGACTCGAAACCCGTTGCGCAAGAGATTGAAATGGAGGGGTACTCCAGTGCCAGCGTCACTGCTAGTCACAGTGGCAGCGAGGCTGTGGAGCGCAGGGTCTCTGGTGTGAGTCCTCACACACGTGTGGACCAGGGCCAGGCTGAGCCTATGTCTCCGACTGAATCGTGTGCGCCGAGACGATCGGTTGAGATTCATGAATTGTTTAGTAAGGGCTTTGGCACTATTCGCAAGGGTCAGTTGAAGTGACCTGCGAACTGCGAACTGCGAACTGCGATATGTGATCCGTGATCTGTGATTCGTGAATCTGCGATTTGTACTTTTGCCTTTCCTCTCGGCTCTCTTTCCTCTTTTCCGTTTCCCTTTTCATACATACCCTATTCCCCTCCCGTTCGGAGCTGTATATCAAGTGTACATGCCTCTGATTTGACTTTTTGTTTCCCTTCCCAACCATCATTCCCTTATTCCCTCATAGCGTGTTATCCGTCTATTGCATTATCACCCCATCCTCATCCTCATCCTTATCCTCATTATTATCTTTTTGTCAGTACCGTTGTCATACCCATCACGTCTTTTATGCGACCTCGCCCACACTCTCTGATTTCTATCAACTATATCCATATCTTGGCGTGGTCCATTCTCGAACCAAAGGCGTTGGTTGGTGGCTTTTTATATCCATTCCTTTATGTTCCGTCCTGCAGATTTTGATACCCCGACTCGGTGTGGTCTGGTTCTGCTTTTTGTTTTGAGAATGTGTTTGTCCCCGTGTGTGCTTTGTATATACGCATTGGTTTATATTTTATACTTGGTTTTTGGCCACTTCTCTCGCCTTTTTTGTTACTTGTAGGTGGTATACTGTGCTATAGCTCGTAGTAGGTAGTCTGGATAGACTGCTATCTCGGGAGACTAAACAGACTACAGTTGGAGCAAGCCATACCGAAGACGACTCCGCTTTATGATGTCGATTTTGATAACGGAAGTAACTAGGCACCTGCATAACTACCTCCTTCCTTTCTATGACAAACATCCAGTACCCTGACACTGGCAATTGTCTAAAACGGAGTTTTTTGCGTACTGTCTTCCAGTGTGCAATCTTCGTATATACTAATATTGCAACCCTGGCCGCTGCCAAGAATCTACGGTAAGAATAACAACTAGGCATCCACATGGCGTCGTATGACACAAGATCCATCTCTGCATGGGATATGTCATCATCTACTGCGTGAGGTATGTAGTACTGCACTGCATGTAGCTGTCTAGTACGCCTGGAAGGGAGTCGGGACTACCCTTAAACACGACCCCTCCTGGGGGCTGGTACTGGGACTGGGGCTATTGTTTATGGGGCCGGATAGGATGGGGCTTAATGCGCCCATGCTAAGATTGTGCTGTTGGGGGCCGTACAGTGGGTGTTCAAAAGTTTGAAACACCCTCCCTGACCGCTTTTCTTCACCGATCACACCGCCTCCCTTGAGCTGGCATTGTAATTCGCATATCGTCGTTAATAGCGCAAAAAAAGGGCTTGAAAAAAAGTAACGAGGATTCAATAAGCTCTTGTCTCCAAAATACGTCTTCAAAACCTGAAATCCAAGCGTTTTTGCCTATACTCCTGCGGATCAATATTCCCGGCAGAAAAGTCTTGGCACGGCAGAATGAGCAGGTGGTTTCAAACTTATGGAATCCCACCGTATTGGAGAGGTTACAAGTTACAACGTTGGACAATGTACGGAGATCTATACTCGTGCATGGTTTTGTTGCTGCCTTGTAGGTTATCAGTAATGAATAATCGTGAATCTTACATTCGAGTTGTCGAGTGCCTTTCTTACACCTGTACTCCGTAGAGAGTGGTTGGTAAGTGTTCAGATCTAATTACCTATATACTCGGAGCTATAGTGCTTCCGGTTCCTGACTGGAACTGGCGGTAGGCATCGAAAGGGGAGGATCGACATCAGGATCGTCCAACAGGGTCCACGGGGGGCAACAAGGGTCCGAAGATTGTCATTGCCATTCAGGAGTGACTACGGAGTACTTTTTTGCAGTGTAGAAAAAATCTTTTCTTCTTGTGTGGGTTGGCACAAAATCCAAGATACATATACCGAGTATAGAGTGGCGGACATCGGGGACAATGGCCAAGGAAAAGTGGCAGTCTAGCCAAGAGCCATACGACGTAGTGTGATCTCGACTCGTCGACCATAGGTCCCAGCCAGGACTAATTAATCCCAGCCACCCACGGAGGACTGTAACAGGGCAAGTGTCGAGTGACGCGCGGACGTGGAGCGGCGCGAGGGCGGGACTAGCGAGCCGCAGCCAGTGGCAGACGAGGAGCAGTGGGCTCCGCAGTCTTGGCAGCTTAACATGGCAAGGGTTGGCGCTCGGATGGAGGGTGTGCATGGATGATGATTCAAGAACCAAGAATGGTCAGGGGACTCTAAGAATGTCGTCGTAGACTCTGATCTGGAGACTGTGAGGGGATGATGGGAATCGTCTCTTGTTTTCGAACGAGTTGGAAATATGCAAAAAGGGAAAGAAGGAAATCAATAACGACAGGACACGTGACGAATACGTCATGGGCCAAGGCACAGGACAGGAACGAGTACGACATCAGTATACTACGGAGATACTGGACTCGTCGAGAATACGGAGTAGATGATCGATAATAGCCACGAGAGGATTAATGTCGACGAACGAATCAAACAACAATCCTACTCGCTTGGCCTTAAGCCCCCTTGGGATCCACGTACATCCCCAGTTCGTTCCTTGGTTAATTGCCCTTTGGCCCGCCCGTTTGACGCCTCTTTTCTTTTCGCCGCACCCGTTCCTGATTCGAACGTGGAAACGACCCATTTTTATTGATCGTCCCTGGTCGTCCCCGTTGAACCACTACGACGTTGGCCAAGTCTCCCCTGGCCGTTAATTCCCCCGTTTCCTCGTTTTCTCAGATTCTTGTTTTTCTCTCAATCCTCAATTCCACCCAAGACACTCGTTTCTGTTCAGCCCTGCGCCTGCCAAGCGACTGGTCGTCTCTCGGCGCCGCGTCTTGATCTCCGCCCTTAGGATCCGTTCAAGACCCTCGAAGACTGTGTTGGAGCTCACTCTCCGCAATGCGGATGCTTCCCTCAGTGACATCACCCTAATCTTGCCCTCGAGAGTACGAGTATAGACGCCGACCGAATTTTCGACTGTTGAACCACCACCGTCGCTACCAGACACCTCCCCCCGGAACGAGACACGAGACACACGACACCCGCGCGATGCTGCTGAAGGGTCCGGAAGGGGCCATTCCAGCCTCTTGGGCATGGAAGAAGATGATGCGGTTTGTCGTCGCAATCATTGCCGTCGCGGGCTTTGCAGCCCTGCTCTGGCCATCGTCTGCGAAAAAGACAACGACAGCGACCGTCGCCCCGACGCGCGCCCACTCCAACATCACCATTTCCGCCAACGTGAAATGCGACCCCGACGCAGACATGCTGCACCACCTCGGTGTTCGCAAATTGGCCCAATATACCCGTCGAGAAGTTGTCGTCGAGTTCACGGAGGACCCCCTACCCATGAGGCAACACATCGACCAGCCCCTGTTGGATGTCCAGGTTCGAGGATCTGGTCACACAAACGAGCTCGGCGAGCCGCAGGACGGCTGCACGATCCCGGCACCGCTGGCGGTCGTCGTTCCCAAACCACCCAAAATGGCTGATGCTTCGCACATTGACTTTGGTGTCGCGACCTCGGTGTCCCGATTGAACGAGTCCCTGGACCAATTCGCCCACTGGGCGGGATATACGCATACACGTATTTTCGCCCTCCTTGAACCCGAAGAGTCAAAGACCAAGGCTGGCATTGCCTACGTCAAGACCAAGGCAGATAATCTCGGCATTGACCTTTTCGTCACGGAGTCGGAGGACGACTATCTGCACCGATACTTTGCTCTCATCGCTCTGTTGGAAGAGAACATGCGAGAGGGAACACGGTGGGGATGCATCATCGACGACGACACTTTCTTCCCCTCCATGTCTGCATTGGTCAAAGCACTCGCCGAATACGACGACACCAAACCCATGTATATCGGCGGTCTATCCGAGGGAATTCCCCAAATCGCCACCTTTGGCATGATCGCATTCGGAGGCGCAGGCGTCTTCCTCTCACGACCACTACTATCCGATCTAGCTACCGTCTACGACGAGTGCGAGCAAATGACCTACACCGGTGATCGCCGCATCGCCAATTGTATCTATCAATACACTACTACCCGGTTAACCGTGGACCACCGCCTTCACCAACTCGATCTGATGGGAGATGCCTCTGGATTCTTCGAGTCCGGCCGCGAACTCCCACTCTCCGTACACCACTGGAAGTCCTGGTTCCAGGCCGACATGCCCAAGCTTAGCGTGATCTCCGAGTTGTGCGGTGACTCGTCTCTTTTGCGTCAGTGGCAGTTTAACGACGGCTGGTTCTTGACGAATGGGTTCTCTGTCGTTCAGTATAGTTTCCCGCCAGAGCAGAACGATATTTCCATGGAGATGACTTGGGAACCGCACAATGGTGCCACGTTGGAGTCATATTTGCATGAACTGGGTCCTCTCCGTCGCAAGGATGATCATAAAGTGAGTTTTCTGTTGGAGGACTCTGTGATTGAGGAGAATGGTCGTGTCACACAGTGGTATATCAAGCGCGATAAGAGAGACGGGGATCAGATTCTTGAGCTCTCGTGGCGAAAGCGGTAGACTCGGGTATTACGGTACTCTTGAGACTGCTTTATGCTTGAGAGTCATATCTGGATATCCTTGTGTTTGTTATTCTCTTTTTCTTGCTTGCTACTTGTGGCTTGTCTTGCATATGCCCTCCCCTTATATACATAGGGCCCACCGGGGAGGGATCAGACCTGGGCTTTTCATGTTTGGGCACCTGCAGTTTCAGCTTCAACTTCAGCTCATGCCCTCGTTTTTTTTTTTGGCTTTTTCATCAGTCTGGCGCATTGGTCATGGGCAAAACTTGGCATTTCTTTTTGCGCGTTTAGAGATCGGTGATACACCTTGATGCCTGCACTGTTATACTGTTATAATGACTAGGGATGATTCAGTTCTAATGTGACATGGAAGACTTGGATTTAACGATACCGTATCTATTATTCTAGACTCTACACTGCATTGTGTACTTCTCTGCTATTCCTAGTTTTTGTGCCAACTACTCGTCATTGTATGTCACGTGATAATCTTGGACCGTGTGCCCAGCGTGATCAGGTCTATCAATCTCCCTTCATTGACTATCTGATACACTTAGCAATAACACTCTTGTATCCTTCTTCCTAAATCTTCTAAATACCTTCAGTCCTATTCACTACGTAAAGAAGTCCCTACATGAACAACCACCTCCTCCCGTACCCATACAACCTCTCCCATCCGCCAACATGGTTGGAGCATCTACTTCAGCCTTTGACCCTCCTCCTCCTCTCCACATGGCCCAAGCAATCCAAACCACAAACACCACCAACTCCGCCAATCTCCCTCCAAAATACCGGAGATGACACCACTCTCCCACCAATCCGCATAATCTGCATCTCAGACACACACAACACAACCCCTCCCCTCCCACCAGGCGATATCTTAATTCACTCCGGGGATCTAACAGCCCACGGCACACTCGATGAAATCCAAGCCCAGCTCCACTGGCTCTCATCACAACCCCATCTGCACAAGATCATCATCGCCGGAAACCACGACATTCTCCTCGACGAAACATGTGACACGAAATTCCTCACACGCACGGAAAACAGCGCCGAGGCGCGGAAGAACCTCGACTGGGGCGGGATCAAGTATCTACAAGATGAATCAATAGCACTATCAATACCAACCTCCAACCCTGAAACTGAAACAACCAACCCTGAACATCCACCCCAACAATCCCGAACCCTAAAAATCTACGGATCCCCTCAAACACCGGAATGCGGCACATTCGCATTCCAATACCCCGCCATCCGCGATATCTGGACGAATAAAGTCACCGCCAACACCGACATCCTGCTCGTCCACGGTCCCCCGGCTTTATACGGGGACTGTGATGGTGAAATTGAAGGTCAAAGTGGGAGAGTCAAGGTGAAAGGTGATGGGTATTTATTGCGGGAGATTCGCAGGGTGAAGCCTAGGATGGTGGTTTGTGGGCATGTTCATGGGGCGTTTGGGGTTTCGGTTATTCGGCATGATGGGGTTTAGGATTGGTTGGATGGATTGAAGATGGGGTGGGATAGGTATGGAGTTGGAGTTGGATTTGGAGGTCTGGCACGAGCCTTTTGGGACATGGTCTTTGCTAAAGGTAGTGAGGGTGGAGTGGAAGAAACGTTGGTAGTCAATGCTGCGATCTCGCGTGGTGGACGTGAGACCGAGGATAAGAGTGCAATCGCTATTAATTTTTAGCGAATTCAACCGGGGTTGAGAACAAAAATAATATTTCATCGCGTCATAACTCATGAGACAATTAATTGTAGTACAGGAAATTCAAATGAAATGAATATGTGGTTGCCAATGTAGAATATTCTTTGCAGCCAGCTGACCACTAGCTCGTTCATCCTCGAACGACGCGAGGACCTCGTTATTATCATGCGGAATAACCAAAGTCTCTTCTAGCCGTGCCACCTGGGTCGTCCATTCAGGTACAGACTCAAAGACTTTTTCTTCCTTCTGGTATTGCTCTAATTCTTCACGAGTAACGATGCTATCCGCTTTGCGGGGCAGACCTAACTTGATGCGCTCATTGAATGACTCGACCAACAACGCCGGCATGGCAGATAGCACCGTGTAGCGAGATTTGGACGGATCCCGAGGATCAGGAATGGATGCAACTGGCCACTTTGCGTACCAGAAATATCCCAGTTCGTTTCGTAGACCGACGTTGTCATTCAGAGTCAAGTGTAGGTAGAGTCGGTAGAGCGAAAATAGGGGCGTGTCTTCTCCCTTGCCTCGAGTCGTTCTCTGGACGCGTTGAAGTAGGCGTTCTCGATAGAGATTAGGTTGAGTGAGTAGTGCTTGGGGTGTTGGAGGAAAGACAGGATATTCGTCTGGAGGAGACTTGCACCAGAGGCATTTAAGACGACGCGCGATCTGCCGCAATCTGTCGAGTTGTTTGTGTTTGGGCATGACAGTAATTGGTCAAATTTGGAATGGGTGCTGAAAAGCTCCGCGATCTCACTGGATCTTGAAGAAATATGGGCGGATCAGTAGCTGCACCTGATCAATGTATCTTTCTCACAGGAAGAATTGCCTAGCAGAGAGGCATTGTGGCGTGCAGCAGGAACCATCATCTGCTCAAGGCGGTGTTCCCGGCCTTTAGTTACGCTGTCTTGATTTGTATATATAGAATTTATCAATTCTCGTCAACAATATCACCTATATGGCTATCCATGTGTGCAGAGATGGCTTCGTGGTTGAAAATCCCTATGTAGAGTATTTAACATCAGTGCAAATGGTTAATTTAATCAAGCTATCCAATTTCAACTCCTTGCGACCCACATGAAAATATCAAACAACCGATGAATATAGTGTACAGCACTGTCAGAGCCAATAAGCTGGTTCACCAAGCTGCGAGACGGAAATCATGCGTACTCCAGATAGGAGATGCCCGCTGATCATGCCGCACAACTGTACGATATTGAAGAAAATGCCATCTAAATTGGAAATTGGATCATTTGCCTACTGTCATAATGCGATATTACCCTTCTGATATTCCCAAACTGAAAGCTATTGCAAACTGTCTCTATATCTAAACGGTCACTTGTAAATACACTGCAGGCGATGCGTGAAGGATAAATCCATTTTCACAAAGATCTCTTCGTGCCATGGCAATCGCGTTTCAAGTAATTGATTCGAGAAGCCGCCATAACCTATCCTGTAACCTCGGGCATACATGCTGGCGTGGGTATCACCACTGGGTACTCATTATATCCCAATTTTGCAGTCTGTTCACCTACAATACAAACCACCATCGGCGCTACGTACGCAGAATTTGAAATCTGATGCAATTATGTGCATCAGATTCATCGAGTATGGGCCTCCAAATGGCAATATATAGATATAATTTGACTGCTTTCAGATCACTGAGCGGATTTCACTATGACCACTAATACTACACGGCCAGTAAAATGCCCACCCTGACATGCTCTCCTTAGTCGGGAATCCTTCCCTCGCCGAGGATATGAAGGTACATCATACACAAGCCTTACACAAACAAATGAGCGAATGCCTGAAAGGAACAAGATGAGGAGGCGATCGATATTACATTGCCCGACGTTTAGGGCTGAGGCTTGCCGAGCACACCGAGCATTCAAGTTATAAAGCTCTGACGCCCGATGCGCTCAAAAAAAAGAGTCCTATAGATAACCTCCTGCAACGCTACATTATATTCCTTTTTCCACAGGATTGCTTCTTCTTAATCATCTGATTAATCATAGTACACTAAAAACCACGGTAAACAGTAAACGCAAAATGCGGACCCCAAACACCAACCAAGCAATTTTCGCCTACAGTACAACCCAACCGATCTTCGCCAAATTTTGCCTATTCTCATACTTTCCCCGAAAACCTTGCAAGATACGATCCGAAAAATCATCACGGCAAGCGAAATGAACCAGGGTCGATCTGAGGTACTCCGTATACTAGTTTATAATAAATAGGAGATTAAATGGCTATGGGTCCAGTCTAGTAGTCTGCTAGTGCATCGCCCGATGAACTCCGAAGGCCAGTGCACGATTTCCCCAGTGACATCATGTCAGAATCGCCAGGGCCAAGGGACAGGGCTGTGGTCAAAGCGTTCAAGGCGTTGGGCCCTGACATTTAAGTGAAAGGGACGGAGTTGTGGGTTGTGGCTCCGGCAGCCACGCAATGCGCCATATATTGATTGGAAATCACGCGCTGCCAGGCACAAGTAAAGAACAAGGTAAGGACTACCCGAGGGAAAGGTAGGAGGACGCGACGTGACTTTCCCTTTTTTTTCCCTCTTTGATTCTTCTCCTGTTCTACTAATAGTAATAGTCCCAGAGTGTATGGAGACTAGTGACTAGCGTGGACTTGATACACACCAACACACGTCTCAGCCACATCCATGTGGGAACCGCCCTGAGTTTAGGGAGCCAATGACGAGCGTGATGCGTGATGGTCGCCTCTTGGAAGTGCTGTGCCTGTCGACAAGTGTAAATGCCTACGAAATTGTGAATTCGAGTTTCGTATTGGATAATTGGGGGATTGCTTGAAATTAATTATGCGATGGATCATTGGCTGGCTAGGTGGCTGGGAGTTGAGACATGGCATTCAGTATTCGGAAGGAGGGTTCGGCGGTGCGCGGAGACATAGGAGATGTCTTTCAGGATCAACTCGGGCTGAGAGACTCCGTAAGTCGCCGTTCATCCGGAGGAGGAGAAGGTCCTGTCATCACAACGCAACGGTTAATCGACGGGACGATAATCAGGGGGAGGGAATGAAAACAGACAATGGGGAGCAGGACCTCCAGGAAATAATATTCCTGCCCAACCAACTCTAACTGACTACCTGTAGCTAGTTACGTCTTGTCTCGTTCACGGGTCTCCCCTAATGCTGAAGCCTTGAAGGCTTGTGAACCAATCCTCGTCCCCATTTAGCCCTGTTTAGGCATTTACCGGACTCTTCCCTAGCGGCAGTCGGGCACTAGGGCCAGCCTGCCAAGCCATACAGCACTCTTCAGGAAACAAGGCCAGGACCATGAGGATGGAAAGGGAGAGGGCGGAAGTGCACAGCCTCAGACTGGGTCCGGATGATGCATGCCTCTGGGCCGCCTGGACCAGTTAGGTCATGGATATATCTACTCCGTACAGCAACCACATTTCAAGCCAGAGGAGTCACGTACACTAACCGTAGTGGCTACAGCTGGCCAGTAGGCACCAGCCAGTCCGGAGGAAGAGGACTCGGACTCCGGCGCACCGTCCAATTCCAGGATAATGCGCAAACGGCGACTTTTTTCTGCGGCTTCGACAGGTCTTCCAAATTCCTTCTGGAAGGCGACCAGAAGGTCAGGAGAAGGCTTGGCGTGGCACGTCCTGCCAATCCCGAGAGATCATTTCCCGTGCCGTGTGGCAGAGTGGAGAGCAGGTTTGAGAGGCTGAAGTTCTGAACGGCTGGCGGCTTTTGTTCAGCGTGAAAATGGGAGCACGAAAAAAGGGGGTGGTTAGAAAGGGGATGTGATAATTACCGACGCTTAGGGTGGGCTCCACTTGATGTCTTATGGCCTTTTTTTTGGTTTCTTTTTCTTTTTTTTTGGGCAGATCGTCAAGGACAACAGGGATATTATTGTTGAAAAGGGGGAGGAGAAATAGGGATAGGGATAGTATCAAGTTGTCAACGGTCGAGTATGTAAGTCGATAGTTAATGATTCAACCTTTCCGAGTGCATACATAGAAAGTACTGTAGAGAGTAAGTACACTCCGTGCACGTTAGAACTTGACACGATCATGATCGATTGACATGTGCCGCGGTGTCAAGTGTAACGAGCCTTCTCGCGTCCCGTGTTTGGAAAGACAGGAGGTCAGAAACCTTCTAGAAGGTGAATTAGCCTTCCACAAGCCACGGAGGCGAGTCGAGAGTTGACTAGCGGGAAATCTGGGAACAGACTATCGAGATGGTGAGGCACATCCCCCCCCCCTTCTTTTTCCTCCGCTTCATCGAGAAGTTACAGGGCTGTGATTTACAGAATTATAGTTTTTATAGGGTTCATTATCTTGTCCAATACTCTCGTAGACCCTTGCCGTTTATTACCCATGGCTAAGTAGGGCAGGACATGTGCCCGTCATAACTCCCTAAATCATATAATGATAGCGTTACCTCCCTTGGATTTCATGTCGCACCATCTCCTCCGTATAGTCCGTATCGACATGCAGTCATCATATTTGTTAGCCAGCGGGCAGGTGGCCTATTCTATCTCCTTCCCATTCTTTCCACCCATGAAAAATAGTGATTGAATGATCTTACAGAGATCGTAATCATGTACTCAGCGACCAACCAAAGGAAATGCCCTTTTCCATAACCATGTGGTGGTCACCACATGTAGTGGTTTGACAGCCCAGGGCCCCCTTTCCTGCAAGTTGAACTTGGAGGTACCCGGGACGAGGCGCGTCAAGGGGGTTCCACATCCCCCCTCCCCCCCCCCGATCACATCTTTCCTTTATAGTCATAGTCGGTTGGCGGTAGCATAACTAGTCTGCATGCACTCCGTACGGGGCGCATTAGTGAGTTACATGAGATGAGGTCAGTTGGTATACTCACAGTCCTGCTTAGAGCACAGGAGGATATACTACTAGCGTCATTGTCTGCCTGTGATGTCCCCCGTTGGAAAGTTTTGTGCCCGTTTCATACTATAGACTAGTGATGTACTGTATAATGTACCAAGTCATGTCTTATTTGCCTGGAGATCTCGACAAATTTCAGCTAGCGTTTCCTGCTAGACCTGCAAAAGCAGAATGTGGCCCCCTAACGAATACAGGAGGAATACGTGGCCATCAAGACTTCCAACTCTCTCAAAGACCAAGGATAGAGATGATTACCTCACTAGCCTCAGGTCTAAGTCAGGAACCATCTTTCTCGGAACCCTAGGTGATTCTATGATTCAGATCGGCGTCGCTATCTCGTATCCACTCGGTCGTGCGGCCGCAAGGATGGGGGAAAACGCATGTTGTGGAGCCGGGATTGCTGACGGCCCTTCTGGTGCATCCTGGGTTCCTTCTAGCGCTTCTTCGCTGGAGCAGTTGGAGCCCACTAGGGGGAGACTAGGACGAGTTTGGAGGTGCTGTTCGGTTTGGGATGTAGGGATGAACGAAGGCTAGGGTTTCTTAGTGTGATTGGTATTTTTGTGATTGGAATTATTTAACTATTATATAGTCGTGGCTTTCAAGGGATTACTGGGAAAGGGGAGGGAATAGGAGGTGTTTTGAGTGTCAGCCCCAGATGTTTCTCGTATAACTAACTACTTGAGAAATGAACTTTGATTTAGTAATAAATCAATCATTGCAAATTCCTGCTGATTTCAGCTTCTGAGATGTTAGTTAAGTACTTGTAATGAAGAGATTCGTCAGGGCGTTGTTGGCAATTAGGCAGACAGAACGTATGGAACGAGAAAATAAAGAAATACAGTAAGCACAGCAAAATCCATGGAGAAATCGTCTAATTTTAAAGGAAAAAAATAGAAAAAGCCCAGATCGTCATAGACAATCAATTTCCAGAACAACTTCCGAAGGTCCCAAGTGGAGCAATTTTTTTTAGTTTCCTACAGTAGCAGGATAGTAATAATAATAAGTCACGACTAATAATCTAATAATTCTGGATTAAATGATGCCTCCCCTAAATAAAATAAAAAAAAACGAAGTAAATAATGATGTATGCGCTCTCCAGTGGCACCTACCACACCTAAATCTCCTAATTCCATCATTCCTATTCCTCTTCTCTCCCCCTGTTCCTGATCTCCGATCGGAATACTTCGTTCTTTCTTTCTCCTCCTCTCTACATACAACTCCCCTACATTCTCCAACCCGACACGATCTGCTTTCCGCCCGCTCCAACTGGACAACGACCTCCTTCCTCCTCCTCCTCCTCCCCACCAACTTTGTTTTCGCGTTGTCCTTCTCTCGACCTTTTCACCCTCCCAACCACGCAGCGCGCTCCTTTACCGGAAGGCCTAGTACTCCCATCCTCGTGCCTGTTCGGCTTCCGTCAAAAGGTTGGTTTCCTTTTGGTCTCTCCAACCTGCCCACGCCGCGGTTCTCTCCGAGTTGCCCGTGTCATTGCTTTTGCTGCCCTGCGGACGACCCTTTTTGCCTCTACTCGACGCCCGACTGCTCACCCCTCGAAGAACGTGCTGGACTTGAGATCCGTGTCCCGGACGGACGGCTGCTCGTCTGGTTTTATCTGCACGGATCGCTCGTGCGCCTGCGCCTACACATTCCGCGAGTTTGAAAGCCGTCAGAGAGCAAAGACAGCGGGCCTGCGCTCCGGTTTCGAGCGAACTGTCGGGGCTGGGCTCGAGGGAGACAGCGCTTGTGCTTTTCCCAGTTTCTTTCATATAGCTGTTGAGCTAACCTGCCATGTTTGTCATAGGACTTGCTTCCCCCTAGCTACTTCTTCGCGACGACCTCGATCCCCGATCCCCGATCACGCTCTCCTCTGTACCCGGTCTTCGACGGAATACTTGACCCTCGGATATTATCCCTACCCACGGCACAGGTTCCTCTGTTGTCTCATTCACGCTTTTGCCGGAAGCCCGGAGATCTCCACCGATAGACGCGTGCGACTTCCGAAACACGCTACCCGAAGGCGAAGACAAAACTCGGACAGGTTTCAATACACCACGAGAGGAAGGGGTCTTTCCCAAGACGTGTGAGAACTCTCTGACTGCCGGGTCATTCCTTCTCCCAAGAGTCAGCTCCGCCGCCTGGTCTCGTACTTTTTTTCTCGCTCTTCCGCTCTCTTGGGCGCAGCCTTGCATTCCAGTGCATGAAGTTGAATACCGGCTTCATTCTTCGCCGCAGAGTGAACTAATCAGGCGTTGATCGTGTCAGTACGGCTCAGGCAGGACAGGAGGCTTTTCTTGGAGCTTTTCTTGGCTCCGGTCCGTCAGCTTCCCTCATTGGGGTCGGGTCATGGACTTCACGACCATCCTGAACCGAAAGAACTCTGCCGCCGCCGCAGCCGCCGCCGCAGAAGCACAACTACACCAGCAGTACCTGCAAAACGCACAGATGAATCAACCAACCATGAAGGCGGAACCAGGAGCTTCGGATAACCCTGTTAACGCATACCCGCCTCATCCTCCCCCCGGTGTCCCTATGGATCAAGGACTCGCCGAGTCCTTTTACTACGGGCAACCCCCGGGGCGACTCCTCGGAACATGGGCTATGTCCCTGGTGGATATGCCGGTGAACCGCAGATGCAGCAACCACCGATGCCTTCTGGAAGGACCGGTGGTGACGCGCCCCCGAAGACTTTCCACTGCGGGACCTGTAACAAGGGATTTGCTCGGCGCAGTGATCTCGCTCGACATGGTACGTGTACATTACCTAGCTGTGCAAAGGACGGTTCCTTTCGATCGATTCAGTTGCTAATACTGGGATTTTCCTATAGAGCGAATCCATACCGGAATTAGACCACATGCCTGCGACTGGCCTGGCTGTGGGAAGCAATTCATCCAACGCTCGGCTTTGACGGTACACTCGCGAGTACACACCGGCGAGAAGCCTCACATGTGTGAGCGATGCGGCAAGGTAGGTCCTTTCCCAGGCTTGATTTACGACTGTATTCGCGTTGCTTTTTGAAGGACCAACAATTCTAAACGAGTCGTCCAATTTGTCTAGCCCTTCAGCGATTCCTCATCACTCGCCCGCCACCGTCGTATCCATTCTGGCAAGCGACCCTACAAGTGCCCATACGCCAACTGCCAAAAGACGTTCACGCGCCGTACAACTCTCACCCGTCATCAAAATCATCATACTGGAACTATTGAGGAGGCAGCTGCCGAGACGGAGGCCAATCTGCGCCAAAACAAGGATCGCGGTCGTGGGCCCGAGGGAATGTTCCCAGATCATACTTCGATCCACTCTACTCCATCACCTGCTCAGCACGCGTCCATGTCGCCTGGTGGAGATCTGCCACCGCTGACGATGCATCGATCGGCCGGTGATTATTACATGGGCAGCGGGCCAATCCCTCCCCATGTTCGAGGCGACTTCTCTCAAGGCAGTCCCCGTGCTTCTCCCACAGCCACCTCTCCATCACTTTCGAGCTTTGGTAGTGCGCCCCATGCTCGGCCGTCAATGACCTCGAACCCGTACGGTCCTCCGCAACCACTCGAGCCCCCGGCGAACAGCGACCACCGACCCAACAGCGTCACCGGCAGCCCACACATGACTAGCCTGGGTTGGGCTTCTCCCTCTCACGGCAGTATGCCTTCGCCGGGATCGGCCAATGACTTTGCCTATCCTGAACCTACTGGCCCTGCGTACCCGAGCTCGATGCCTCCTCACATGTACTTCCCCAACTCCACTATCCGTCGACCCACTAGCACCGAGCCAGACAACTATGAGACCAAGTCCCGAATGGGCGATCATACTTGGTCGACCCCCGTATGATGCAGGCCACCGTGTCGGGGGCTTCATCATACATTTTTCCTTTGTTTAACACTATCACCCACCCCGCAACCCTTTTTTTTCCTTTGTTGAATTGCTTCATCTGCATTATCCCTCGATTCCCATGGAAAACAAACTTATTTTCCACCGCAATTCTCATTACTCTACTGCGTGATTGCATCTTGTTTTGTTCAATTGATATCTTTGTATCTCTACCGAGGGGTGGCGTGATATCGAGCCCCCTTCTCCTTCTGGAGTCTGATCGTGTGTGTCTGGAACTTTTTTTTTTTTCATTATTTGCTCTTGCTTGTTGATCAGGTTGTCATCCTTACTGCCTTCGCAACAATAACCCCCCCTATCCATCATCTCTTTTGTTTTGATTGCTTGCGTGCGGATGACATGGCTTTACCGAGACACGACCAGACGAGGAAACAGCATAGATAGAGCGCAGGACTGGGGATTCTTATGGGCTAACATTGTACTGGATATTGGGAAACAGGGAAATTGGGGTTCTTTGATTGGGAGAGTCCCATTTGTGGTGCGGTGTCTGGTTGGTATTTTGGGCTTATTCATCTGCTTTATTCGTTGGGGCTTCTTTTGCTACTGATCTTTACTGCGTCTGTCGTTTCCGTCGCTTGTCTTTTTGTTGCTTGCCTTGCATACCTCCTGTCCACTTTCTGTGTTTTGTTTCTTTTCTTTCTCTTTCCTTCTTGTGTTTCATATACATCTTTTCCCTAATATTTTTTGTCTGTGGGTTTGGCGTATTGCTTATGCCAACCCTTTATTCTTTGCGCTGTCTTTTTGCGTTTGTTCTTTTTGGCTCTCGCATCGAATACCATTCTGCGAGTGCGGTCGACTATTGGGCGATCCGATTCTGTACGATTAGTGTGTGTTGATAGACCAACTGCTGCCTTTTTTTACCCCAAACTCGCTCCTATATACAAGAGTAGATCTACAAAGTAGACAGTAAGACTGATCGGTCCAGCTAAGAATAAACCGCGTCTGTCAAGGAAGATGATTGATCAGATCTTCAAGCCCCATTCGCCTCTCATTCGTTACAGCTTAAATTGAGCTTCTTCGAGTATACCTGTATGATTCTCTTTATACGCTAACCGCTTCAAATTTCCATCATTGAAAGCATTATGCACGGGAGATTAAACAAACGGTAGGGTAGAGCCTCCTACTACATTTGATAACTCGTTCCTATCCCGGACTAACCACACCCCCAACTCACGCGAACAGTCGTAGTCCAAGCTCCCTCGATCTATTTATGGCAACTAGCCCATTCCCGTCGCGCGATGATCCCCGTCTAAGCCACGGCCCGCAAGCTTGGCGGGAAATTCGGTAGCTAGCACAACCTGCCGAGTAGGTATGCGCGAAGGCAGGCAGATTTCTTTGTTTGGGTGTTTGAAGCGAGAAGAATGAAAACGGCCTCTGAGTTCTTGGCGTAAGATATGTATGTTGGATTTGGAGTCGGGGGTCAGCCTGGACTGGACTTGTAACTATTGGCTTCTGCATGTCAGCCTTATTGTTAGGGGGTGGAACTTGAGGGCTGGCTTGTTGGATCAGGCGCCCGGGGTTTTTCTTGTTGAAACATCAGCCTCAGCCTTGGGTTGTGGACCCTGGATCCCTGGACTTTTGTCTGGTGTGTGGAATTGGCGCTGGGATGTTCTGGCTTATGGCAGCTGTATGTTACTGTAACGGTTTACAGATCTTCAGCCTTCGGGCCTTTACACAAAACACTAAAACAGTAGATATAGATAGCTTCCTATCTATACATCCATCCAGATCTTACGCTGAATATCAAGATGGCAGCACACTCCTCCCCTCCGCCCTCCCATACAATGCAATGAGCACGCCAAGGTCTCAGCCCATTCTACCCCAGAGAACTCTCCCGCCGAGAATGACCGAAGCCGAGACTTTGCAACCGAAATGTCTCAACGCCATGCCAATTGTAATTCGGCACGTTGGGGGTGCAACAGGTTCCACATTAGCTTTCTCGTATTTAAGTGGCCGGAGCGTGCTCAACCACAGGTTGGGCTTCCCCGCGAACGGAAACTTCAGGGTCTTGGAAGACTTGGATGTTAGAAATGATCGGTAGGTATGATTTCGAACTTCGTATTTAGGTTCTATGTGTCTTGAATCATGATATCAAATGACTTGTGATGGTATGACCATATCTGGGAAGAGGGAGGGGAGAGGGATTTTCAACGGGGTATAAAGATCGGGGTCCGGGGTGGAATATGTCGTGCGCAGGAATGAATATTTAGTCCATGAAGTTCGAGTATCCAAATCAGTTCTACAGACACTCAGAATCAATTATGTATTTCTCTAAAGCCCTCATCGTCTTCGCCTCTCATCTGGCGCTCTCTTGTACGTCCACTGCCCACTTCCATCTGAGTAATCTCTTGATACCCCCAAAATCGCTCGCTGACAGGCCTCCCTTCTAACCAACATAGCCGCAACAGGATGCGGAACCGCCGATGCCTGTGTTGGCACAGATATCTGTACTACAGTGACCTTCACGAGTCCTAGTACCACAACAATTACAACCTGTGTGCCGACCCCCACCTGCCTAGGTGTTTACGGTAAGCCTTGATCCTTGATCCTTGATCCCGGCTATATACGGGTCCCTTAGAGGAGGAGGAAATTGCTCCAGTCCGATCATTATACTGACTGTCCCTAGCCAACTGCTACCTACCGGACAACACAGTCGGTAATTGTTGCTCGGGCTATTGTGCTGCGAGTAAATGTAGGTCGACGGATGAGAAGTGGCCGAGTTGTCAAGAAGACAATGGGCCTTGTCTTGCGGATGAGAATTGTTGTTACTCATATCGGAATAAGTGTGTGAATGGGATTTGTACGAAGCCGGAAGTGTGCAGTAAGTCATGATGGGTTGGAGTTTGGATCTAGTTGGGAAATGGGATTTGGGAATGGATATTCAGAGACATTCAGATTGTAGGTTTATTAGTTTAGCAGATGTATGTTATGTTTCAACGAAATTCGATATGATTTATGTTTCATCTGTCTCTCGTCAGTGCCCGGGGTAGTTAGATATCTTCTTCAATCATCCATCTAGAAGTACATATCCTCAACTAACCTAAAATACTATATACGCCTTCCTCCATATACCGTATATCTACGCCAACAACGACTCAGCCTGCTCCTTAACCGCCTTCATAGCACACTTCCACAACTCCGGCCCAAGACTCACCCTCGCAACCCCCAACTCCCGAATCTCCCTAACCCCCAAGAACCCATCTCTCAAATTCATCTTCACATTCACCCTCCCATCCAACTCCTTCACCAAAATCTGCACCTCCTCCTTCGACACCCCCCGTCCACCGGGTCCCCCCCCAAACAAACACCGTACAAGCCCCTGCCACCAAAAACGCCTTCCCCCTCTCAATAGCATCTGCCAACGTCTTCCCCTCTTGGAACAACACATCCGTCCGGGCATTCAGTGCAAAATCAGGACACCCAGCCTCCCTCGCCGCCTCAACGACAGTCCGCACCCGCGCAACAGCCTCATCCAGCGACCTCAATGTCCCAGCTGCATTATCCATGTCCTCGAGGTTACACCCCACCGCACCGAGCGCAATCGCCTCCTTGATAGTAGCCGCTAGAGCAGGAAGATCATTGCCGTAGCCGTCTTGCAGGTCCACAGTGACGGGGAGGGCAGGGTTGACACGGTGAACGGCGGAGATGATGATTTGCAGGGCGGAGAGGTTCTGGTCTTTTGTGAGGTTTTCGTCGTCGACGCCGAGTGTGGCTGCGACGGCGAAGGAGGCTGTTGCGATGGCGCGGGTTGTGGGGAGCGAGGCTATGATGGAGGCGGTGCTGGCGTCGTAGACGTTTGTGAGGATTAGAGGGTCTTGTGGGTTGTGGAGGGTGCGGAAGTGTTTAGCGATTTGGTTTTGGGAGGGTGTCATTTTGGTGGTGGTTAGTTCCAAATATGAAGGAGGTTTTTGTTGTTGAATTGTAGATTGGTGGTTGTAGATGGAGATGGTGGGTGAAGGTGCTTGGATAGGAAGGATTGGTCAATAGGACAATATGAAACTGGCTAGATAGGTCGGTCCCTAGACTTGATTTAAGTAGAGTAACTGTAGACTGTTCTTATACTTGGGATTTGCAATTATGATTCTCATTATTCTCCAATGGTGCCCCGTATAACTTAGTTAGTTAGTTAGCTACTGAGTCATGGCCAACACGAGAACTTTGCTGTCAAAGTGACCAATCCGAGGGCTCAATCAGTTTCGGGTCCCCGTCGGAGAGGGGAATACTGTAGAAAGTAAGGTTATATATCCTTTATTAGGATCATGAATTATGATCTACTGGGGGAAACCGACGTCCCTTAGACAATAACAATGTATAATAAAATTGTATGTAACTAATTAGTTAACTAACTTAGTTAAGTTACTTCTGGCCGTGCTTTGTAATACTTCACCTGGCCAAGACCAAGATCCTCGGGCACCTGTTTAGTACAAAGTAGATAATTCTGGAATTCGGGGCCTGGTGGTCAGCCGGAGAGACCGTGCAGGCGCAGGACTGGGTATTAATAATTCTTCAACCCTGTCTCAGACTCGCGACTAGTGACGACTGGGCAGTTAGCTAGTTAGCTAATTATGTACTGTACTGTAGTACCTAGCGAGTCAGACTACAGTAGTATCTTCCAAGGCTACACAGCCGGGCGGAAGTGGCAGGCTGAGTCCACTGGGGCGGACTCTGCAGCAAGGGCAGGGGGATCCACGTCCAGCATGCCCCCTCCTCTCGGCCGGGGACTGCTGAGGATTGCTTACTTGATTGACAGCCTTGAAGAAAGCTGAAAAGGATGGGAATAATGTGAGATATTGAATGATACTTACGATGATTATAGTATGATCATGATCATGATCACTACCAGCCGTCTTACAGTAGGGAACTGTACCCTGATTTTTTTTTGCTAACCCAACCCTTATCACAGTCAGATCAGATCCTGATCTGGATCTGCATCCGATCTGATTTCCCCATAGACTATGTATCCCTACGCAACCTACAGGTCTGTCTGTACGGAGTACAGACACCGACTATAGAAGAATCGGCATTACAGCCCCGTTATATCCGTAAGATAGATGGAACGTCACTAGACGCATGCACTCCATCGTCAACGACTTGGCACCGTGATCGGATCGAGCTGATCGACTCGCAGAACGGAAATGCAGCCAAAGCAATTGCCCTGCCCTGTCAGGGAACGCCCCCGGAGCCCGGCTTATTGGGCGACGGTCGGATTGGATCATTGGAGGGGGGGGGTTGCATGAACGGAGCCCATGCGGCCGTGCAACGGAGGAATCCCCAATCAGAGTCCACCAGGTGCCTTCATTAGGGCGAGGGGGCTGGAGTGGTTCGCTTGTCGTTGGCTGAGAATGACGGAGAAAGATCTTGTCTGTGCCTGTCGCTCAAATGGATTTGTTCCATCCTCTCGTTGTCAATGGAGGAGAGGCGACATTTATAATTTCTTTGGGGGGAGGGGTTAACTTTGGGAAAATGTTTCTACGTTGTTCTTAGGGGGATAGATTACATACTGGGGTATTGTAGTTTACGCTTTCCTCGTAATAGGTACAGTACCTGGCTTTCCAGGGCAGTTACCGGAGTGATGATGGTTGCCATTTAGCTGAACTGGGTACATGTACCTCCCTGCTGGGACTGTCGGCACTACTGGATTCTATACGCCGTACTAGAGTGGACTATAAGTATGTACGACCTACTCCTCAGACCTTCCTATTACATGCATTCCTTTATCCACCGAGACAAGGAACGATTGACCAACAGTCTTTGGCCGTCTGACCATGTTAGAATAATTCCTATCTCTTAAAAGCTGAACGCCCCCTAGTCCATTACCATTCTCGTTCGGCCCCAGTGGACCATGGACCACTTCGCTGGAGAGGAAGCCACCTCAATAATTTGCCTTATCAAGCTAGTCTGTTAATTAAACGCCTGTCACCGGTGGGCAGAGTGGGCAGAGGAGGGCCCGACCGGAACAGCTTAATCTGGTAAACTGGGCACCAGTCCGGACTACGGAGTACTGTACTTCGTATAGAATTATGCCCATGGGTTCGTAGGGATACATACTCCGGAAATCCCCAGCTGTTGCGACCGACCGGGAAATTTGCCTTCTTGATTTCTACTTGTTCGCACGGGGCGTCTGGGAGACTGAAGTCGATTCATAGTACATACGGTGTCCACCAGATGTCAGAAAATTGATCAATCGTTCACATCACAATGACCAGGAGTCTAAGACACTCAGAAAAAAAAACATTCAAGTAAGCTGGAGATTATCAAGTTTCTGGAGCTACATTATCCACGGTTGCTCTTGGCAAGGTACGAGTACTCTTCATCACAAGTATACTCTGTATTACTTATACAGTATCATATATTAGCCCAAACGGTGCCCAGGTACAGTACAACCACTACAACACAATTTTTGTAGCTAATTACCCAGGTACTTCTACTGTACCCAGGTACAAAATACCCAGGGTGATCCTTCACCAAATCACCACGGGCCGGGCCCGTTGTACACGCTGCCTGGATCCGTGCCTGCGTGCATGAACGAGGGGCAAAATCCAGTGCACACTCGCATTCCTCGGGGATCGATGGGAGGTGGAGGGCGGGTGATCGGCCGTCACTGAGAGACGATTACAGGCCCCGGGCAGCAAATGGACCCTGCCAATGTTGGGGGCCCTGGTATGTCCCATGCCAGGATTGAGGAGCACTAGGGTTGATGGACAACCGCAGTGATGATCTAGTCCCGTGCGTGTTTTTTTTTGGGTTCTCGAAGAAGGAAGAGGCATTAGCTTTATGACTATTTGGCTATACTGCGTATACATGTGTATATCCTATACCATATACCTAGTTCTATACCGAGTATCTAACCATGAGGAGAGGGGGAGAAACTGGAGAAAGGACCCGACCAGCAAAAAGCACCCGGAGACACCCGTTTTCGTTTTTTTTAACCTTTTGGAGACTGAGGGGGTGTGGGTGGATGGACTGGATGGGCTGGACTCGGCAAGCCCCATTTTTGTTTTTGTCCGCGGATGGAGACAGGTTCTCCTCACACGACTTTCCGTACCACTCCCGAGGGAAGCGCGGAAGAAGAGGAATTGGGAGAGCGGGTAACTCGACAGAGTATACACCGTGTGCTGGAGAGAGTATGGAATATACCATGTCTATGGAACTGGGCATAGGCTAGCTAGCAACTACAGTAAATCCCTACGGCGATCTGGAGATATAAGAAGTCGTCAGCAATTTGTCCTGGACCTCCGGTTCTCGAAGGAGTTCCGCTCCGTATTGACTTTCCACTCCCCTCTAACGGCATGGCGTTAAGTTAGTAGGTCGGCTGCGCTTAGTTCGCATTGTCCCCCGGGGGGTTAGACAGGATCAGCCAGGGTGTACAGCGTTACAACCTGGGCGGACTGCGTTCGGAGCAAAGGGAATGCTAAGCAGAAGGACGAAGGGGAAACAAGGTCCTGAGGGTTGAGGGTGACAGGGGTGTGTTAGAAGGGGGTGCATAATGATAGGAAGAATGAATAGAAACAGGTTTATTAGTTGATGAGTTTGAGATTAGACTACATCAAACACATAGGTCAAAGAGAATCAGCGTTAGAGACAAAAGGAATGTAAGAATAGAATAGAATAAAGGGCACTGCAATCAAAGAATTAGAGAAACTGTCGTTCGTTTCGTATCTCTTTCTTCCTTTCTTCTGTCCCCGGAGAGGGGCCAGTTTCAATGCTTTCCTTTTCCCGATGGGATGATATCCATTACAGATCTTCGCATATTAAACAGGAAGGGCATTATTTATGGAGCCCAGGGATGATGAGACAAGATGGATCGTTCTTCCGGGGATCAGCCCAAGTTCTTTATAATGTGGTCGCCACTTTTTTGGGGGGTTGGGTTGGAACTTTGGGAGTGGAAACGTAAATAGATTGCAAACAAATCATGGTCCTGAATCATGGATGCTAATAACCGTCTAGTAATTAATAAATGGGTGTAAACGGTTACTAGTTAGTTAACTAAAGATAACCCGGCTAGGTAGGGGACTTGGACTAGGAAATAGGAATATCAGTAGAACGAGTTGAAGAACATAGCAATGTCTCCCCTAGAAGCCCTAGAAGTCAAGACTACTTCGATCGCAGCGATCATAGCCTACAGAGTACGGTACACCAAATCTCCCAAATATTCCAACAATTCAAAACTGATCAATTATTAGTTCACCAAGTGCCAAGTGGTTAATTCACTGGATTAATTCCGACAACAGACTCCGACCACGCCCTCCTCGGGAACCGAAAAAAGAAAGAGTCCCCTGTAATTTACTCGTACCGGAGCACTGTCCACTGTACGGTACGGAGGGTACTGGTCCTGGCCCTTCCGTACCTCGTCCCGTACCTCAGGCTCTCTCTCTCTCCCAGTCTGTCTCTCTCTCCCGTCAGCTACTCTGCTCTCCTCCCCACTCTCCGCTTCGCCTTGCTCGCCCTCTCCTCATTCCTCTCTCTCTTCCTCTTTTCCTCACTCATTCTCACACTCTTTCCTGACCCAGCTTTCCCCCCTCTTCCCAACGCTACTCCTCCTCCAGTCTCTTTCTCGCTTTCTACACACTTCTCAAAACACCCTTCACTGCCAATCCTCTCGCCACTCTCCGGCATCATCCCCTCGGCTACTCGATCTGATGCCGGGGCTGCCTCACTTCGCCGTGCAGTAGGCCGCCTGACCTGCAGCTCTTACGCTGCCACCCGACCTTCCTCATTCCCAAAGATCACTCCTCAACTCCTCCCCCTGATCTTTTGGCTGGTGTCTCGCACCTCTTCACCATGACTGGCCTGGAGATCCCCGAAACCGGGCTATCTCTCCGTCCCGGAGATCAGCCGGGTGACGCCGCCGCCAAACCAGCTCAGTTCATGCGGCTGAACCTCGCCCAAAACACCCTCGATGAACTCATCTCAAGCCTCCAATCCGATGATTCGACTGCCAAAGTCCGCCTGGGCAAACATCCTACCCTCCACTACGACAACAAGACCCAATCCTTCCATGCCTATCCCGAAACTCACCGCTCCGAGATCTACCACACCTCCGATGACAAGCAAAACCTCTACTTCACGGGTGTCCTCAGCCATAGTTTGGAAGTCGAAAAGGCCAGGGAGGCCACCGCTGCCACCGATCAGGCCCTGGCTAATTTGGAGGAAAGTCTCAATGCATTTGAGCGAGGCAAGGCGTCCAAGTCAACGCACATGATTCAAAACCCCGATGAATTGAAGGCTCTCCGGGCGGCAAACTCGGGGAGTGTGGTGCACCGTGGCTCCAAGCCCAAATCAGTCTTGGAAAAGGACCGATTAATCCGGAATGCCAACAATCGGTCTCTCACCTCGAGCCCGACCTTGGGCCCACCCCGGTCTCCTCTCCCCGGGATGACCCCGACCTCTGCGCCGGCCTCGCAGGCCAAGAACAACGCCCGCCTCCAGGCTCTCAAGACCCCCTTGGTCCACCTCCTCGCAATTCGTCCCGTGTCGACCAAGTTCCTCGCTCGTCAGACCCGATCGACCATTGAGGACTGCACCGTCCTCGTTCAGAAATATGGCACCGAGAATCGCATTGACCGCGAGAAGTACGATTTGAAGGACAAATTCTACAAGGATCTGGACGTGTGGAAATTCCCCTACCCGACCCAGGATGACCGACAGGCTGCCATTGACAAGGCGATCTCTGCCTTTGATCGCATGCGTCTCTCTCGAACGGATAAGCTGTGGCAGGGCTTGCTGCCAAAGGAGGAACGGGGCAAGGGGAAATGTCTGTCCAAACTCAACCTCCAGAGCGGACTCCAGAGTGGACTGGCGGGCAAGAAGCCCTCCACACCCCGGATGACCATGGACGGTGCCGACGATCGGAAGGATGGTGACACCACTGGCAACGAGACGGATCGACCGAAAGGTACCCCTGCTGTGGGTGCTAAAAAGTCGAGTACCCCTGCGGCAAGGGCACGAACGGAGAAGGAACCGGCGAAGGGACCTGCAAAGAACAAGAATACAAACAGTACCTTGACCGGTCGAATCACCAAAAAGACCGGCGGAAGACCTCCAGGAAAGGCTGCCACGGAGACCAAATACAAATCCGCTGAGTTCGTTCACGATTCCGATGAGTCGGACGACGAAATGCCTGATGCTTCACCACCTCCTGCGCCTGCACGAGCTCCATCTCCACCTCCCGCCCCTACTCCGACCGACCGCCCGAAGCAAGCCAAGTCGACGACAGCTACCACAACCACGAAGAAGACCGCCCCAGTGAAGAAGTCGACACAGGTTTCGACCAAGCCTCGCCCAAAGGAGGACACCCCCGCAGCTCCCACACCCAAGGTCCCCAAGGCTGAGGTGCCCACTCCCAAACTCGAGCCTACCAAGACAGCGGCCAAACGACCTCCCTCTGCCCGACCCTCCACCTCCCCCCAGAAGCCCTCCCCCTCTCTCCTCTCGCCCAGCCAGTGCCTCCGATGCGCCCAATTTCGGCCGTTCCGACAGCCAGAACCAGTCCTCCAGCTCGTCATCATCCTCCCCGCTCATCTCCCAACTTGGCCGGGCCAAGGCTAAGGGTGCAGTTTCTACCCTTTCGAACTCCACGCGGCCAGCCGGCACCAGCAAGGGAGGGTCTGCTTCGGTCAATCCCTTGAAGCGCAAGGCAGAGCCCGAGCGACCGGTAGCCCCGACCCCCATAGCCGCCCGCGCGACAAACGGCAACAATGATCTCAAGCGGCGCCGAGCGGTCAGTACCTCCAGTGGGGGTAGCACGGGCAGCGCATCTCCACCCATGAGCCATAAAGTCGCGCAGCGGCGTCTGTGGGACAAGTCGCAGCGGTTCAAGAGGGCCTACGCCAAATATCACTCCTTGCATGAATCCCTAGCGGGCCAGGCCAACCCCCGACCGGAATCGATCACGAAACTGGAAGGCTGGCACGAGCAGCTGACGCAGATGAAGAATGAGATCTGGGAGGAAGATCGTAAACTCCGTGACGGCTCTTATGCGTGAGGCTGATTGAATTTTCTTCTTTTTTTTTTTTTGCATCTCTGGTTTTCTATTTTCCCTCGCGTTGTTGCATGGTGATGACTATGACTGTGCTCTCACCTTATTCCCCCCGGCGAAAAAACACATCTACATCTGGTTTCTATCTATTCATTCTCCCTTTGAATCGAGGGTATGATGATCTTGGTGAGCCTACTCAAGCACTCGACAGATCGGCAATTTGGCGTTTTCATGGTTATGATTTTTACCAATTTCCTTCTGATTTAATATTCCCTCTCCGTTATCTTCCATCTGCTGCATGTACATCCCATGAAAAAAAACCATATTGCGGCGATCTGTGCCATACATAGAATTTTGCATTTCGGCTCTGAATAATGCGCGAGGAACCAGTACCCAAGCATTGAGTTATCGATAGCACATTCGAAATGAATTACGCCTATCAAATTGATTTCCATCCTGGTGCCCAGTTTCTACTGAATTCATCAAGCCCAGTAAATTCGCTGAGTCTAGAAGTCCGTGAAAGTCCAGATCCGCTCCAACAGCTTACCCCGGATCGGCGAATTTGCAAATCCGTGGTTCTGCGGCGCCGAGGACCGGCCAGAACAATGTGATTGGCCCACAAAACACGTGGCATATCACGGGACCCATTACTGAAAGATTTCCGTCTCAATACACTCGTAGTACAGAATTACGTCATCAACTTTAACCAGGCTATTCCGTAATGAGACTAGCGCCATTTGGGAATTTGGGAAAGCTGGCGGAGAGGAGCTGGGAAGAAGCAAGTTGAGCTATTCACCAATTCCATACGATATCCGCCTCTCTCCACCGCCCTATTCCATCAAAGCCCTCCAAGAGTTGCAGAACGAACCGAACAAAAAGGAGGACCACAACGACAATGACACCCCCTGCCCGCGGACGGGGTACCAGCCAGCGTAGCCCGACCGTCCTGGTAAGCTATAAGCTATTCCCGCCCGCTCTCCCCTCCCCAGGAAATGAAAAAAAAAGCAAAAAGCAACAGCAGCAGTCTGCTGCATTGCATGCAAGACCAACACCAACAAAATACCCCATCCAATGCAACATATGACTGAGACAACGGCACGCGCTGCCACTCCCTTCCCTAGGTCACCGATTCCCGCGACCAACAGCCCGCAGCAACCCCCCGGCGCCGCCGATCCCCATCCACCCGCTTCATCACCGTCGACAACGTGCTCCAGTATGCCTCGGACGTCCCATCCATGCAACAGCGGCATCCGCCGCCGATCTCGCGCTCTCGTCGCCTTGCATCCGCCGCAAGCGGACTAATCACCAGCGCCAGCGGCAGTAGCGGTGCCAGCGCTGGAGCCAGCGCTACCAGCAAGGGTGGCCGACTTGCCGCGCAGCCACGTCTACCTCCGCGGACGACCAAGGTTAGCGAAAAACTGGTGCTACTCCCCGATACCGGCGGGGTCGGGGAACCGGATGATGGCGAGGAGGAAGATGAAGGGGAAGCGCGGGACGAGCTAGATCTCGTGGACGAGGAACTTGTGCAGCGTCTGGCGCGGGATAAACGGATCGACCCCGAGGCTATTCGGCAGCAATTGCTGGCGCAGAAGCGGCTTGGTGGGGATTTCGGGATTGATAATGAGATTGCGCCGTTGTTGGCTGAGGAGGAGGCGTTGCGGAAGAGGCGTGTTGCGCCTGAGCGGGCGAAGAGTTATGCGGAGCGGTTACCCAAGGCGCGACGGACGGAGAAACTGGCGCGGGTGACGGCTTATTGTACGGCGCAGGCGTATAAGATGGGGTCTGTGGCGGCGTTTGTGAAGGAGGCGCATGGGGCGCGGACCAAGCTTTATGATGATTGCTTGTACACGGCGTATCATCTGCCGCTGTTGCCGGGTCATGACGGGTATCGGCTGCGGAGTAGTCCGGTGTTGAAGTTCCCTGGTGGCAGGTCTTTGCTTGATGAGGAGATTGAGCGGAATGAGCTGCGGGATCATCATGAGGATTACATGGGTGAGGCTGAGGAGCATTCAGTTGTTGGACATGGTCGGCATGAGGATGAGCATAATGCTGAGGCTTCGTCGGGTGATGATAGCCATGGGACGAGGGAGGAGCATCGGGAAGGATATCTTGTTCGAATTGCTGAGGAGGACGGTCGGATTCGGGAAGGGAATGAGAATGCTACGAGTGCTGGCGAAAGCGGTGCAACGCATAGCACGGCTCATCCGGAAGTCGAACAGCCTCAAGAGAGTCCCGAGCCGGCGCCTCGACGCCGTCGTCACAGCTCTGATGATGGGCATGCTCTATTGAGGGAGCGTCCTTCCCCTCCTTTGAAGGCAGCATCGGCCCCAGGGCCCGAAACGCCGGCCCGGACTTTGTACAATGTCGCCGAGATGTTCGTCTTCAGCTACGGTGTGGTAGTTTTCTGGAACTTCACGGAGCGACAGGAGAAAGATCTGCTGGCGGATCTCGCGTTTGCCACGTCCTCAGCAACAGGGACGCCTATCCCCTTGACGACTATGCCACTTCATGAAGAAGATTTCGAGACGGAAGAGTTCCACTTTGAGTACTCGACGGAGATTTCGAGACCTCGAGTGTACAATGATATGATCACGCTCCGCAGTGGTGATCATATGATCAAGTTGGCTATCAGTCATGGCATATCCCAAAGTACGAAGTTGTGCTTCTTTGAAGAAGTCATGGCTCGCCAGATGGCTGATGCAAAGGACGTCCCGCGTCGACTAGCCATGACTGGAAAGTTGGGCATGAAGCGTGAAGAAGTCTTTCGCATTTTGGGTCGTCTTTTTCAAGAGCAGAGTTGAAGTCAATCTCTGTAAGTATTTTCCTACTTGGATCCCTTCTCGACAAACAGAATTCACTAACCATTTCACTCCTCGCAGCATCGAATATGCTCGACGTACCAAACTTCTTCTGGGAGAGTGAGCCCAACCTATACCCTCTCTACATCGCCGTGCGCGAGTACTTCGAGATCAAGCCGCGTATCCAAGTCCTCAACGAGCGCTGCCGCGTCTTCCTCGACCTGGCAGAAATTCTTTCGGACTCAATTGCCGACAATCGCACTTCCCGTACGTCTCTCGCTTTCAACCCCAATACTCGTACCCACTCCCATCCCATCCCATCCCATCATACTAATATACATCCCACAGACCAAACATGGATCATCATCGTCCTCATCGTAATCTCCATCCTCGTCACCATCTCCGAAGTCTTCCTACGCTTCGGCCTCCTGCACGCCCGTGAAACCGCTGCCACCACCCCTGCAGCCATCATTGCCCGCGCTATGGGCCGTGCTTCTCGCGCGTCACCCTCAGGGTTATCCTACACCACTGCTAATGCTCCACCGGGCTGTATTTGCCCGTCTATCCCGTCTGCGGGCGGTTCAGATATGGGTATGAATGGGATTATGGGACTGGGTCTTTGATTAAACTCTCGACAGGGTAATTGTGTACATACGCAATCCAGGAATATTAATTTGGCGTCTTTGGTGTTTAGTCTGGGATATGGTATGGATTGGAATGGACAAACATGAATTTTCTCATCACATATGGCTTCTTTCTACCATTCAATTGGACTTATCAAATCAACTCAAGTCACATTCACCAACCCAACACTCTAAATATCTCCTCCTAACTCTCGAATCCCCTCCTCAATTCTCCCCCACGCACTCGCCCTCGCTAGAATCTGCACCCACCAATTCCCAACCCCATCCCTCCCCGTCACAGTCACCAAATTCCTCACAACATTCGGCCCCATCGGCGTCGGCCCCGCAGTATTAATATAACTCGGCCTAACAGGCCCAGTAAGCGTCTCATCAGTCCTCGCCGCTGCAAAATCGAGTTCAAAAAACCGCGCACGTTGCCAATTCGTGCACGTTATCGAGATCTGACGCGGATCGCCCACTATCGGTAGATACCCCGTTTCCCGAAGTGTTTTCTTGCGCAGGGAGGACATGGCGAAGACCTGGGGTGGGATCCGTTGTTCGTCCAGCGAGTGCCGGAGGCGTAGGGCTATGTTACTTGTAGGATTTCGCGTGAGAGATTGCGCAGTGAAGGATGTGCAGGCTGGGATTGTAGCGTTGCCGGTGTAAGCGCCTTTTTGGGAGATGTTGAGAACGGCGCGGGTGTCGAAGACGTTGGATATGAGGATTGGGGTTGAGGGGACTGGGTTAAGAGCTGTGACTATGGATTTGGAGAGCCAGGCGAGGAGGACGTCGCCCTCGCTGATGAAGATGTCCTCGGGTGAATGTTGTGACGATTGAGTTTTGAGCTCTAGTAGAGCCTTTTCTCGCATTTTCTTCACGAGGATACTTGGGATGGCGATGACTTTATCTTGGGTTTCGGGGTACCAGTAATTTTCCCACCAGCGCATGAGTACAAGGACTGCCATTTGGAACTTGGTGAATGTCTTTTTTGCGAGAACGTGGTGTTCGGCTGGGACGTTTTCTGTTTTCGCCTCAATTATGTCCTCGTCGAAGCCAAGGAATGGGGGTACTTGGTCTTCGTTTCCGGAGAGGACTGCGGTCCAGGCTTGTAGGAAGTAGGATAGGCCCATTCCATCGAATAAGGTATGTACGAAGGTGACTGTTATCAAGGTCGTGTCTGTGAAGGTCACGACGTGGATGAAGAGTTGTGGGATGTCTGAGGAGAGGTATTTCTCGATTCCATTTGGTGTGTCCTTGTTCCTGGTTATCGAATTGAAGCTTGACATGCACCCTAGTACGGAGATCTGGCTTGTTTCTTGGGTTGATGGCATTTGCGAGGCTAGAGGGTGCGAAGAGATAGGCTCTGCATGGCTGGCCGTGGTGAAGATGAAGCCTGGTCGGTCGCTAGTAAACTTCGATGGGAGATGGTATTCCAATTTCCCAGATTCCTATGCATGAATTAGTGCTGGGACTTATTGGTAGAGAAGAAGGTCGTTGATCTACACTCTGGCGAAGCCGCGCTCCTAACTTCCTCCATTCTCCGATTTCCAAGAGACGCTCAAGCGAATCATGGAGTTTCCTAGTATCTAGAACTTCCTCGAAGCGTAGGGTCACGTTTAGACAGATTCCACGAGTATAGGGAACGTCATCCCAAAAGTGGAATGGGAGTATTATGTCGTGTGAAGTTGTTTGAGACGTTTCTTCGGACATCATTGTGTAGCGAAAAGCAAGTAAAGGATCAATACTCCGTGGACTTGGAGATCAGCATCCTCGAGATTGGAAATTTCCATATATCTCATGGAAACACGAAAGCTGGAACCGCGAGTGGCTTACTTAGTCAGGTTGCATTGCATTCGCTTACACCGAGCGATAAGACATGGCCCAAAAATTTCCAGATCAAATGTGTGAACTTGGGGCGGAAAGTCACTTTTTTTTGACTAAAGCCAGATAGAAGACGGGGCTGAAGCCAGGCATGCACGTACGGCATGCAAGTAAGAAGCCAATAGGACCAAGCATAAGCAGAGTGTCATGGCTTTTCCATCCAGCTTTCCTATTTAGCCGGCCGGGATCTTGTCGATGCAAGGGCCCAAACGGGAAGTCAAGTCAGGCTGGCTTGGTCAAAGGTAAATTCCTACAGAAATCCAAAGTACATGTCGTCAAACAACCACGATGAGATGGATAGCACTCAAAAAGAAAATACGATACTGAAAGGGTTTGTCGAAGAAGTTTTCCCCTTTGAATTGGTGCGAAAAGCCTGACAGATTGTTAGAGATGATACGATTGCTTCTCCCACGCAGGAATCAACAACCGCCGATCTGGAAAAAGATATCGAACCCGGTATCTCTTCACGTACAGCCGAAAATGAACCGAATGAGGAACAGACAGAGACTCAACCTGCTGAAGATACTGGAGAATCATCAAACTACCTCAATGGCTCCCGGTTATACATTCTCTCGGCTGCCTTCACGTTCGCCGGCATCATGCTGGCCATTGATGGCAGCATTCTCTGTTCGTGTGTCCACATATGCTTTATATTCAATGTAACTAATCTCTATTCACTGATAGCTACGGCAATCCCCCGGATAACCAGCGAGTTCAATTCCATCGACGATATTGGCTGGTACGCCAGCGCGTATCTTCTCGCTCAAATGTCCCTTCAACCTACCTTTGGGCGTGTATACATCTACTTCGAAGCAAAGATTATGTTTCTTATATCTTTACTCGCTTTTGAAGTGGGCTCAGTCATCTGCGCCGTGGCACCCAGTTCTCCCGTCCTCATTCTGGGACGTGCCATTGCGGGAGCAGCGGCGGCGGGAATGTTGACGGGGAACTTGGCAATCTTTGGACAAGTTGTTCCATTGCGGAATAGACCTCGAGGAATGGCTATTATGACCGGGTTATACTCCATTGCAACACTTGCGGGACCAACGGTCGGCGGATTACTTACAGATTCGCGACTGACCTGGCGTTTTTGCTTCTGGATCAATCTGCGTAAGTAGCAACCAAGTCAAGCAAACAAAGATGAGGCTAAAGACTTACTCTGGTTGCAGCCTTTGGGTTTATTGCGGCGGTGATTGTGATATTCATTCTGCACCGGAAGCCAGGCAAGCTTTCGAATTTGCCCTTGAAAGAGAAAATTGGACGTCTCGATTTGGCAAGTGCAGCAGTTCTCACCGCAAGTTTAGTATGTCTATTTCTCGGGCTGCAATGGGGTGGCTCGACAGACCCCTGGTCTGCGCCTCGCGTTTGGGGCTGCTTAATCGGGTTCGCGGTGCTATGTGTCATCTTCATTGGGCTCCAGGCTCACCGGAAAGAAAAGTAAGTTAGGTCTGGTCGAGCGCTTCGGTCTTCGTTCCGAAACTCACAATTTGGGCAGAGCGACCATTCCGCTTCGTCTTTTGGAACAAAGAACGGTAGCTATTTGTTGCATATTCTCTGGCTTATACGGAGTTGCCATTGTAACGCACAGCTATCTCTTGCCAATCTGGTTCCAGGGTGTGAAAGGTACCGACGCGACCATGTCTGGGGTATACATGTTGCCATTCACAGTAGCCAGTACAGTCGCCGTTCTTGTCGCCGGATTTTCGATCACAGCATCTGGACACTATGTACCCTTCATGTGGGTCGGCTCCTTAGTCTACGTTGCAGGGAGTGCCTTGTATGCGACCCTGAAAACCAACAGCGATGCCGGAAGATTCTTGGGCAGCCAGATCCTAGCCGGCGCAGGATTTGGTACTGCAATTCAAGTCACCTTCATTGGAGTCCAAGTGGTTACCCCCGCAATTGACATGCCCACTGTCTGTGCTCTCGAGGTGTTCTTTCGCCAACTTGGCGGGTCTGTTGGGATTAGCGTGGCGCAGAGTATCTTCTTGAACACATTGACAAGCCATCTCCGGAACGTTGCTGGAATTGATCCGGAGACTATCATTCATGCCGGTGTCATCGAAGGATCATGGTCAGATCATATGATGAATCCTTCCACAATCAAATTGGTAAAGGATGCATTGAACACGGCAATCACCCGAGCTTTTCTTCTACCGATTGGGGCCACGGCTTTTGCAGCTGTGGTTAGCCTAGGGATGGAGAGACGCCAGATCGAGGATGACAGGGTTGTTTCTCCGAAGAAAGGGGCTGGGACTAACGAGAACGAGGGTAATCCTTCGGATAAGCGGCCCGCCATGGTGTTGGATGATCGCCCGGCAATGAAGGAGCCTACTCTGTACGAAAACGTGACGAATGGGGAAAGGGGAAGTAAGTAAGCGCTTACACAAGCGGCCCGGCCCCTAAAAGAAAAGGGGTTCATTGCGAGTACGGAGTACACGGTCCGGATCTACAGAGATTTGGCGTTTTCCAAAGCTTGAATCTTGCATAGCGGAATTTATTGACTTGGAAACCGACAATGGTTTCCCGATTAGCACGGAATTACAAGCATGCACCAGAAGAGCTTTTCCCATTCGTCCTAACGTATTGTAGAAACGAATACAATTCCATTTATGCGAATCCTTTCGAAATGAGTTTTATTGATTCACCAGTAGAATGGGTTCGCTCCTCAGAGCGCTTGGAAATATATCGATCAAATTTTTGTGAATATCAGTGCGCTCTAGCATAGGATACAGCTTTGCTCAGCCCGTAACCCGCTGCCAGAATTCCCATCCATATCGCAGCGCCTCTCCACCAATAAGGTGCCCAGCTAGATTTCATCGAGGCTCTATCATGCACTTGAGGAAAAGGCCGATCAGGCACTGGGACGTCCAGGAATTGACACAGCGGCTCCCAACCATCTTTCATATTGAAGAAAAATAGGCGATCCTCGGGCACAACTCGCTTTAGATACTCCGAGTGAATCTCCATGAAATCTGGTTGGATAGACCTGTTAGAAATGGGCATTCCAAAATTGGACATATCTACTTACGAGGACCCAAAGGCTCGAATTCTGGGGGGTAGATTTTTCTTCTTCGCTTCAGAATTGCCAGTTTCCACGCTAACGAGTATCTCAACGTGGGCTGAACCAGCTGTAGCAAGATAAAAAATGGATTGTCAAGCGTGTTGATGAGCTCTTGGTAGCTGTCCCACCACCTATTGGGCTCGCGGATTGTACAAACGACCTTTGCATCTGGATAGAGCCGAACTAGTTCTTCGACAAAGAATATCGCTGGAGCATCGGTAGTGGCAACATATCCGGCTAGCAACTCCTTCAATGTGTTATCGACCTCTTCTTGTGAAACACTTTTCCCTGGGTCCAGAACTTTCGTCCATCCTTTGATGATATCTGAGAAAGATGTCAATATTGATTTCGAAATGCTTGATAGGAAGATTGCCTACGCTCTTTCCCTCTAAGGCAGGCTGAACCCCCATGGCAGACATCGCCGTGAAGAGCCCATGATAAAGCGAGTGTGAGCGAGATTGTCCCAGTACGAGGCAATCCAGCCGCGATCACCTGTAGAGTGCGGGTTGGGTCGGTAGGTGGCTCCCCAGCGAACGGATCCCTCCACCGTTTCTGTTCTGTAGACCCTTCCATGTAGAGATGCTGTTCGTTCTTTCACAGAGAAGAGAGAATTTCAAGGGTCCGGTGGAAGGGTGTTTAGAGGGAATATCAGTGGCTGTACCCGATTAACCAATCTGTCACGGAACATGACTCGACAAGGTATCCTGAAGCTGGAAATTAGTAAATGGAAATATATTCCTGAGATCTCAAAGGAAGTCCTGATTCGTAGTTTGAACCTCCGCAGTCACCCCGGGAAATCAGCGGGGATTCATGTCAACCTCCAGCCTTGGCTCATGCTTACCTGCATTAGTCTCATGGGTCATAAAAGAGGGTTCAGCTAAGAAGTGTGGTGTGGAGATAACCAAGATCGGGAATGCCGCGGCCAGCCCGTGATAAATTCGGCACCCCTGGCGCCACCAATGGGGCCATTTACCGTACGGCAAGTTCCATAACCTTTGGAGGATATGGAAGCGTGGGATCAAAGCTTTCTACCCACATTATTGTCAAGCAAGGGTCAATTTAGCCGGTAGCCTTGAAAGGCTGGAGGAGAGGGCTATTGCATGGGCATTCCGGTTCTTTGTTGGACAAGGTAGCGGTCCATCCTCATCACACTCTAAAGAAAGACTTTCGTCCCTGGAATTGGACTGCATTGTTTAATACTACTCTTCGTGAACAAATCTACAGCGCTCAATTCTTTAAAGTCTCAAGTCTCAATTTACGGCGTTCCCTTTCTACACAAAGGTCTAGGCAATGGCGGTCCCACTTGTGTGCGCTCTCAACACATGTCCCATCGAATGGGGCTACGTACACTATCAGCCGTCAATCGGTGGAAATGCATTTATGCTTGCAGCCTTTGGCTTGCTCACAGTCCCGGCTCTATATCTGGGGATCACCCACAAAGTCAAACTATTCACGTTCTGCTTCGTGATGGGACTGCTGGGGGAAATAACCGGATATATCGGGCGGCTTCTTTTACACAACAATCCGTTTAGTAAAAACTACTTTCTCATATACCTTATATGCACGACTATCGCGCCCACATTTACCGCTGCGGCTGTTTATTTGACGCTAGCTCGGATTGTGGTTGTTTATGGAGAAGGCATCAGTCGAATCCGTCCTCGAACGTACACACTGCTTTTCAGTGGTTTCGATCTCATCGCTTTGGTGGTTATAGCGGTGGGAGGGGGTATGGCAGCCGTTGTTGTTTTGCAATGGAAGGTCAGCAGGTCCCTGAATTTTTCGAGCAGCAGAGTCAGTCTTACTAACATCACAGTGCTTTTCTAGATCGATCGTGGAACGCACATTATGGTCGCTGGCCTTGTGGTCCAGGTCGTCAGCCTTGTGGCATTCTTAGCTCTTTGCTTCGAATACGCCTTACGAGTACGCAAATATCGAGGCGAGCTTAACCCCAAATACGCTGTTCTTCGCGAAAACCCTCGTTTCAAACGCTTTTTGTATGCCCTCGCAGCAGCTACGATCTTCCTGTTCATTCGAGCTGTGTACCGAGTAGCCGAGCTTTCAGGAGGGTTCAGAGGCAAGCTAGCTCAAGATCAAGTTTTGTTCATGGTTCTTGATGGAGCGATGGTCCTGATAGCCTGTATCATCTTGACAATCTTTCACCCAGGACTGGCCTTCGGAGGCGCTTGGAAGGACGCGTCATTCCGCTGGGGCTCGAGAAAATCGGATAGTGAGTCGATGATGCGGGATGTTCCGACTGAGTCTGTTTCCTACAACGGAAAAAATTGAACTAGGTGAAGGTACAACTTGATTTGAGATTGAGTCTTGGGTGTTTAGAAGTCATTGATTTCAGATTTGCCTAAAATGGAAGCTGGTATTGAGGAGCAGAGGATAGCATCTACTATATTTAGTATGCAATTGAGCCGATATTCAGATATCAAGCCTAAACGGGATTTGGAGACGCGTAATGGATAAATACCAATGGTACCTCAATCTACCAATCCTTCTTGCTTCATGAATCCTTCAGAGATAACCCTTCAACCATTCTTGACCATAGCCAACGTGGCTATGTGCCGATTAGCGTACCTGAGTTTGCTTCCCATGCGATTCCTAGTACGACGCCACCATGCAAAGCTCAGCTCTGACGGATTTCCTAGTCCTTTATTGTCCTAGTTCTTATGTACACATTTCATTCTCTTGCAGGTAAGCAGAAATCCAAAATAGCAACTTTGAGGCGAAAGTTCAAAGTAAAACACGTTTTCCTCAAATTTCTACGGAATGCCCTCCGCTGGGTCGATGCCGATGCAACGCTGATGGGTCTCCAGTTCAATTATCTCTTTTACCGAACCCAGAAACACGGCACAAGTACCGACCATCATCTTGATTGAGAGATTTTGAAGGAATGAGGCGCATACCTAGAGCACTATTCATCACGGAAAGATAAGGCTCTCGGTCAGTAATGGTTAGATGATGGGGCTCAGAGTCAGCTTGGATGCCTCGTTGGATTACCTGGTGGATTCATAGCGTGAGATTGGGGTGGGTTAAAATTTTGCAGATAGTGTTCAATTTGGCCCCCATAATGACTTTAAGAGCTTTATGGCAGACCTGGTCGTTATATAGGATGCTGCAAGTAGCAGGCAAATGTGTGACTTCATCACGACATTCTTCAATGATCTGTCGAAAACAATCGATCTGACTCAAAAATTCTACCTTTATCTTCATATTAGCCTATCATGTCCGAGTACTCTCCAATTGCCGTCATCGGCATGGGGTGTCGGCTCCCAGGAGGTGCTAGCAGCCCTGAGAAGCTCTGGGAGATGCTCGCAGAAGGCCGAAGTGGATGGGGTGAAGTTCCCGCAGAACGCTGGAACTGGAAATCATTCTATCACCCGCACAATGAAGCCAAAGAGTCACTCAATTCAAAGAGTGGCTACTTTCTAGAGCAAGACATTGGCGCATTTGATGCCAAGTTCTTCAACATTGCCTCATATGAAGCCCATGCAATGGATCCGCAACAGCGAATCCTTTTGGAGACAACATACGAAGCACTAGAAAATGCCGGAATTTCTTTGGACAGTATCAAGGGCTCCAACACATGCGTTTACGTTGGTTTGTATGCCCGCGACTATGATCGCATGGGATTCAAGGATCTCCCTCAAATTACCAAGCTTCACATCACCGGAACAGGTGAAGCTGTCGTTTCGAACCGAATTTCGTACCTTTTTGATCTCAAGGGTGCATCTGTCACAGTGGACACAGGCTGCGTAAGCATAAATTATTTTTGCGTTGGGATATAACTCACCAGAATACTGACTTCGAAGTTCATGTAGTCTGGAAGTATGGTTGCCCTTCACCAAGCTTGCCAGAATCTTCGGACCGGGGAGTCAAACATGGCCATCGTTGGAGGCACACAGCTCCTCCTTCATCCGGATCAGGCTATCGCAATGAGCACAGTCGGGTAAGTCTAATTTGCCTTTCAAAACTTCCTTTTCGGCATACTGATTCTTGATAGTATGGTGAATCCACATGGTCGATGCTTTGTCTTCGACAGCCGAGGTTCTGGTTATGCGCGAGGCGAAGGTGTCGGCACTATAGTTCTCAAGCGCTTGGACGACGCCATAGCAGCTGGCGATCCTATTCATGCAGTCATTCGGAATTCCGGATTGAATCAGGACGGTAAAACGGCAGGAATTTCACTTCCCAATCCAGATGCCCAGGCAGCTCTGATGAAATGGGTTTATTCTTCTGCTGGTGTGGATCCTCGGAATACAGTATATGTGGAAGCTCACGGAACGGTTAGTGAAATCTTTTGCCAATTGAGCTTAGATGCATTTCTGAAGCTAACTATGATTTCTAGGGAACACAAGCAGGTACACAGAAATCCCCATTTCTCTGCCCAAGTCAATGAGCTAATCCGGTCAAAATAGGTGACAATGCCGAAATTTCCTCTATTAACCAGGTCTTCTGTGAAGAGGCCGGGCGAAAGTCAGATATCTATGTTGGATCAGTGAAGTCCAATATTGGACATTTGGAAGCTTCCAGTGGTATTGCTGGTTTGATCAAAGGTATCATGATCATCAAGAAAGGATTCATCCCTCCAAACCTAGATCTTGAAACGCCCAAGCCGAGTCTAAAGCTCGATGAGCGTAAAATTAAGGTGGGAACACTATTCTCGCAACAGATGAACTTGAAGCCTAATTTAGAACCTCTAGATCCCTGTGCAGCTTACCCCTTTGCCCCAGCCAGAGCAACCTGGTCCTAGCCGAGTGTCTTTGAACAGCTTTGGCTACGGCGGGACTAATGCACACGTCATTCTCGAGCCGGCTCCAGCCGTGGATCTCAATGGATCTGATGCGGATGGTGACTCGACCAGCGCAGTAAAAACAAATGGAATCCATGATGACCTCGAAGCCAAGGCCGTCAATGATACTGCTGATGGAGCCCAACAAACAAACGGCGATGGAACTCATGCCAGCCTTGAGGAAGTCGCACAGGCAAACCCTCAATTGTTTGTCCTCAGTGCTACTTCTGAAAAGTCTCTTCTTGAAGCCGCCAAGAATGTCCAGAGCTGGATCTCTAACAAGGCCTCGGGAGAAGACTACCTCTCCGATCTTGCATATACGTTGAATGTTCGACGATCTCTCTTACCACTTAGGCTGAGTGTTGTTGCTTCGACTCCAGATGAACTCGTTTCTGCGCTGGAGCCAAAGAGCCTTCGTATCTCAAAGCTGCCCCACTCAGTCTCGGTGGCATTTGTCTTCACTGGGCAGGGTGCGCAATGGCATGCCATGGGAAGAGAGCTACTAAACCTCAACTCTGCCTTCAAAGACTCAATTCTCCAGTCAGACAAATTAATACAAAGTTTCGGTTCCCAGTGGAGTCTGCTGGAAGAGCTTTCTAAGGATGAACAATCCTCCCAAGTGAGTGATAGCGAGTTGTCTCAGCCTTTGACGACAGCAATTCAGATCGCTCTGGTTGATTTGCTTGCCACATTCGGTGCCACCCCCCAGTATGTCTGTGGTCATAGCTCGGGAGAAATTGGAGCAGCCTATGCGGCTGGTGCGCTCACACAAGAGGCTGCGATTGAAATGTGAGCTCCCAATCCTCTTTTATTCAAAGATGAATTTGACCTAACGACAATCGATTCAGTGCGTACCGACGAGGACTATGCTCGACCGCTGCTAAAAAGGCAAACTCGAGCAAAGGATCCATGCTAGCCGTGGGAGTTGGCGAGATGGAGATCTTGCCATACATTCAGCGGGTAAAGAATGGTCTTGTCACAGTTGCTTGTGCCAACAGCCCTGATAGCACTACTATCTCTGGAGATGAAGCTGGTATTGACGAGCTGAGCAACATTCTAAACGATCAGTCCATCTTCAACAGGAAACTCAAGGTGGACACGGCCTATCATTCTCATCACATGAAGAAGATCGCAGACCAGTACCTCGAGTCCTTGCAACATGTCCATACCGGTACACCACGAAATACTGTGACTTTCTATTCCTCTGTGACAGGGGAGAAGAAGATATCTAATTTCGGGCCTCAATATTGGACAGACAACTTGGTGTCGAAGGTTCGATTCAGCGATGCTCTGAAACTTCTGGCTGAGGACATGGCACGCTCGAAGCAGTCCAGCAACGTCGCCAACTTCTTTGCGGAAATTGGCCCACATGGTGCATTATCGGGACCCATCAGGCAGATCATGGCCAAACTCAGTATCCGGAACTTCAAGTTCTCTTACGCCTCTGCCCTTGTCCGGAATAAGCATGCTTTGCAATCTGTGCTGGAGCTGACCGGGAAGCTATTCGAAGTCGGTTGTGGTATTCAGTTTGAGCAAGCCCTTGCCTTGTACAAGAATAAACGGTGGACTACCATCGGGGATCTGAGTCCCTACCCTTGGGATCACTCGCTATCGTATTGGTACGAGTCACGACTTAGTCGGGATCACCGCCTGCGACAATTCCCATACCACGATCTTTTGGGACTGTGGGATGTGGGGAGCACTATACACGAGCCAAGATGGCGGTACCATCTCAACGTGGATGCGCTTCCTTGGTTGAGACATCACGTTGTCGATGGCTTCATGATTTTCCCAGGTACTGGCTACATCTGCATGGCCATCGAAGCAATGAAGCAGATTGTCCAGATTCGAAAGACACCAGGAGAAATATCCAAGTTCCACCTCATGAATATAGTTCTTTCCAAACCGATCATTGTCCCCGATCAACGACCGGATAGCTTCATCCCGGATGTGGAAGTCCAGCTTACCTTGAGTCGCATGAAGACCAATGATGGAAGTCGATGGGAAATGTTCAGAGTCTTCTCATACTCTCCCGAGGGTTCTGGGTCATGGAATGAGCACTGCTCCGGACTCATTACCGTTGACATGAGCTCCAAGGTCGATGAAGTTGAAGGAACAAGAGAGGAAGAATTCTCAACTGCATCCTTCAAGCGCAAATTTGAGAACATTCAACAAGCCTGTCATTTCGATGCCACTATCAATCCTCAGAAGTTCTACAACGATCTTCGGGAATCTGGGAATGATTTCGGCTCGACTTTCACTTGCATGACCGAGATGCAACTAGGACGCCATCAAGGTTGGGCCAAGGTGGAGGTCCCTGATGTTCCAGCATGCATGCCTCGCCAGTTCTTGCAGCCACATGTGATACACCCGTCACTCTTGGATTCTTTGAATCATCTTGCAGTGGTCTTGTTCAAGAAAGAATGCAGCAACGCGCCGCTCATGGCGACTTTCTTTGGAGATATCGTCATTGCTGCGGACATAACATCTACTCCTGCCGATGAGCTGCTCGTTGCTCTCGAGATGAATCCCGAGGGTACGCGCTCAGCGTCAGGAAACACCTACGCATTCCAGCAGAAAGAAGATGGTGAACGCTCTCTCGTTCTGCATGTGACAGATTGGCAGTTGAAAGCCGTTGGAGAAGCTCAGTCCAAGAATGAGGAGACCCCATTCCATCGCAAGATGAGTTATCGGATGCAGTGGCAGCCAGACGTGGCATTTATCAGCCCGAAGCAACTTCAGGATACAATTGATACAACAATGAGTCCTATTTCGATGGAGTTTCATCCTACCACCTCCGAAGATATCAAGGTAGCTGAAAAGTTGACTTTCGAGCAAATTGTTGCCTTGAATGAACGTGCAGCAGCAATTTATGCCCGCGAAGCTTTGTCACAGGTATCAGCACAGGAGTCCCGGGTGGCTACTCCTCACCTTGCAAAGCTTCTCGAGTGGATGAAGGCTTCCAGCGAGTCCGAGGTTTGCAAGTCAATGCTGAAAGGATTGAGCTCTTCCGAGGAGGAACTAATTCTCCAAAGATCGTTGATCTCCGGCCTTGAAGGCCTGATGCTATCACGTATCGGCCTCAACTTAGTCTCTCTTTTCACCGGAGAAATTGACGCTAGTGAGCTGATGCAGCAAGACAACCTTATGTCGAGGTTCTTCGTTGATGACCTGTTCTCGCATAGTCAGCAATTTATGGTCAAATATTTGAACTCAATTGTGCATAAGAGGCCACACATGAGAATTCTTGCGATTGGTGCTGATATGAAAGATGGGATCGCTGCTCTGTTGCGCGCGATTGATCGACCAGAAGGTCTTATGGTTGATCACTTCGACCTCGCTGATAGCTCTTCGGAGGCTCTAGACCGCGCAAAGCCTTTATTCCAAGATTGGACCCACTCTATGGACTTCAAGGTTTTGGACCTTGATAAGGATATCAAAGTCCAGGGCTTCGAGAGTGAATCTTACGACGTGATCATCGCAGCCAACACTCTCTATTCCGTGAAAAACGTCAACAGTGCGTTGAATCAAGTTCGTCAGTTGATCAGGCCGGGTGGTAAAATGGTGATGGTTGAATTGACACGGCCACCGACCCTTTCTATCCAGACTATTTTCGGGGTGTTACCAGGGTACGTACGAGGCTTTCCATGTTCGCAGCAGATCACTAACAAATCAACAGATGGTGGGCTGTTGAAAGTGAATGCCAGAGTTCTCCCTTACTTTCTGAATCACAATGGCATGAAGTGTTGGTGGAAAGCTCTTTCAGTGGCACCGATATTGTGATGAACGAAAACGAGGGTCCGAAGTCAAGATCTGCCATGATTGTCTCAACTGCCTTGAGCCAAAATGAGATGAATAAAACCATGCCGAAGGCATGCGCTCAGATTCTTTCATTTGGTAAATGGTCTTCAGAATTCACAAAGTTCGCAGAGAATCTTTCATCGGCTCTCAGCCAAAGGGGCCTCGATTGCGCAATTGGCGTTTTGGACCCTCAAACCATCGGACAAGACACCATCTACATCGTTCTGGACGACATGGAAAATGCTCTTTTGTCAACCCCGACTGCTGAGGAATTCGAAACACTGAAGACTCTTTTCATTACGAGCAAGTCTCTTCTTTGGATCAGTGGACAAGAAAAAGTCATCCAGAATGGCAACGCTGCAAAAGGTCTCATCAATGGTATGGCACGTGTGGCACGACGTGAAAACGAGGGGGTCAAATTTATTACCATCGACATACAGCAGGATCTTGCAAGTCCTGGATCCGAGATGGCCAAACAGATTTTGGACATTGCCGAGAGCTGCTTCTGGCCTAACTCTGCAACGGAGGTGTCCAACGAACATGAGTTTGCAATTCAAGACAATACCGTCATGATTCCCCGAGTGCAGCCCGACACCAAGTTCAATGAATGGATCGACCGAGCCGTGGGAGATGATCGACTAGACACTCTGCCTTACCACCAGTCTGACCGCAGTCTGAAGCTTCACGTGGAAACACCAGGTCTTCTGAGCAGTCTCCGGTTCGTGGAAGACAATTCCCTGGCGTCTCCGCTGCGCGCGGAGGAGATAGAGATTGAAGCAAAGGCATATGGTGTCAACTTCAAAGATGTCTTCATTGCTCTCGGTCAAATGCTTCCAGGAGTCAACATGATCGGAGAGGTCTCTGGTGTTGTGACAGCCGTGGGCTCGGCCATGAGAGGCCGGTTCAGAGTGGGAGACCGGGTCGCTGGCGTTGGCGCACAGCCTTTCACCAGCAGAGCCAGAGTCAAGGGGTTGATGTCTTGTCGACTTCCTGAATCGATCACATTCCCTGTTGGTGCATCAATCCCGATCATTTATATGACAGCCTATCACTGCATTGTTGAGGTTGCTCGTCTGCGAAAGGGTCAGACCATCTTGATCCACGCAGCATCTGGTGGTGTTGGCCAAGCGGCAATTCAGTTCGCGCAGCATATTGGAGCTGAAATTTTTGCAACTGTCGGCAGTGCAGCCAAGCGTCAGCTTTTGATTGAGCGGTACAATATCCCGGAGGATCATATCTTCTCGACGAGATCAAGGACATTCAAGCATGGTATCTTGCGTCTTACCGATGACAAGGGAGTGGATGTCGTCCTGAACTCCCTGTCAGGAGAATGGCTCAATGACTCTTGGGAGTGTGTCGCTCGTTTGGGAACATTCGTCGAAATCGGCAAAACGGATATCTACAAACGAAACCATCTCAGCATGGCACCATTCGATCGAAGTATTACCTTTGCAGCTGTCGATCTGGTCGTCCTGTTCGAGACCCAGATTGAACGGATGAATGATGAGTTCCAAACTGTCATGGCCATGTTCGAGTCAGGAATTCTCAAACCTGTGGCTCCTGTTACATCGATTCCCATCTCCAACATTGAGGAGGCCTTCCGTTTGATTGCTTCTCGGAAGCACACCGGAAAGGTTGTTGTTGAAGCTGAGTCTGATGCCCTCGTGAAAGCGGTGATTGCCAAGCCCGAACCGTTGCAACTGGACCCTTCAGGAGCCTATGTTGTAGCTGGTGGTCTGGGTGATTTAGGTAAAAGAATTTGCCGGCTTCTGGCGAGCCATGGTGCGAAGCACGTAGTGACACTGTCTCGCCGAGATCTTTCCGATGACGATCGACAGGCGTTTGAAGCTGAGATTTCTCAGCTTGGCGGCGTACTGCACATTGTCAAGTGCGATATTATCGACGAGTCTTCTATGACGGAGGCTGCAATTATCTGCCAAGAGAGTCTGCCTCCAGTCAAAGGTGTGGTTCATGCCGGCATGGTTCTACGGGTAAGTAAACACGTTTTCACTGTTGTCGAGTTCGCGCACTAATCTGTCTCCTAGGATCATCCTCTTGAGCTCATGACACCGGAAGACTATCTGACTGCGATCAAGCCAAAGACCCAAGGCACCTTGAATTTGCATTCAGTCTTCCAAGGTCCTTCCTTGGACTTCTTCATCACCCTTTCTTCCATCACATGTATCGTCGGCAAGACTGGTCAAGCCAACTATTCCGCAGGAAATGCATTCCAGGACGCTTTCGCTCATGCACATGCTGGAAAGTCGCATACACGATACATCTCCCTTAACCTAGGCGCTATTGATGGCTCCGATGCTATCACATCTTTGCCTATCCGCCAACAGGAACTGATGCGTCAAGGTGCCATTCTGGTCAAATTTGAGGAACTCTTCAAAGTCCTCGAGTATGCCATGGGCCCTCAGGCGGCGCTCGATAACTGTGTCCAATCTATCATGGGCTTTGATCGACAGTCTATGGAGACGGTTCAGGACACCTTCGGACTTAGCAACCCAATGTTCAGTCAAGTGCCTTATCTGTCGGATCAGAACAGTTCTAGTAATGGAGCGTCCGACAAAGTAGACACGGAAAAGGCCATTCGGCATGCGGCCAGCATTGCTGAAGTTGAGGAGATTATTACACAGGCGATTGCAGAGAAATTCGCTCTTTTCATGGACCGAGCAATTGAAGATGTCAATCTGGATCAGTCGCTTGCCGCTTTTGGACTTGACTCGCTGGTCTCAATCGAATTGAAAAACTGGATGGTTCGAACTTTCCACGTCACATTGCAGACATCAGAGATTGCGGATGCGCTTAGCGTGGTTGCTCTGGCAAAGACAATTACATCGCGTTCAAAGTTGGTGAGCGATGAGCTGCGTGGATCTCCTACCAGCTCAGACGAACTCGAAGAAGCACCTGTTGAGCAGGCCGCGACCGAACAAGTTTCCGGTCCAAATCACGACTTTGAATGCTGTCGATATGCAAAGGATCTCCCCAAGCAGCCGCTTATGGATCTGGACGAAGCTTTGGGCATGATATCAAGCAGTACTCGCCACTTCGCTACTGAGGAAGAGTACACAAATCTCTGCCAGGCAATCGAGAGATTCGGCCAGCCGAACAGCACAGGGCGTCAATTGTATGGTCAACTTGTCAACATGGCAAGCGATCCAAAAGTGGACAACTGGATGGTCGACTTCCTAACAGATGCCTCATTCCTCAAGAAGCGATTCCCCATGGTACCCCTATCAAGCTTCTTTGCCACGCATCACGACAGTGCAACTCCCCATCCACAAGCAGAACGGGCTGCTTTGATCGCGACAACCGCGTTCCGATTCAAGGAGGCCGTCGACGCCGGTAGCTTGGACCCTCATTGGTATTTCCATATTCCATCTTGCATGGATTCTTGGCAATGGCTTTTCAACACCACTCGAGAGCCCCATTTGGAAGTTGATCGCATGCAAAAGTACCCTGGAAATGACTATTGCGTCGTGCTCCGCCGGGGTCATGTCTTCAAGGTAGCACTTAAGGACGGTGCTGGAGCTGTCTCATACTCTACCATAAAGACACACTTTGAGGCAATCTTGGAGAGCGTTCAAGATGATGGTTTCTGGACAAGTATTCTGACCAACGATAACCGAGATTCATGGGCCACAGTAAGTTAACGAGCATTCAACGAGAGAACCTGCATGCTAACAACCTTCTAGATCCGCGAGAAGCTTATCTCCATGAACGACGCAAATGCAGAATGCATCCGAGTCATCGAGCAAGCAGCCTTTGTCATGTGCCTCGATGACGGCGCACCAACGACCAACTCTGATCGAATCCGCAAGGCTTACCTCGGCGACGGCTTCAACAGATGGAACGACAAGGGACTCCAATTCATCGTCTTCGAGAACGGCTCATCAGGATACCAAGTCGAACACTCCATGATCGACGGTCTAACCGTCCACCGCATGAACGAATGGATCCACGAAGCCATCCACTCACACATCCCCAACCAACAAGCAGTCAACGGACACACCAACGGCCATACAAACGGCACATCCAACGGCCACCACCCATCCCCCGAAGAATACACTCTCGCCACAACCCCAGACATCGACGAGCACATCCTCACCGTACGAGAAGAACACCTCAAATCCACCTCCAGCCGCGAATACAGCTACCTCACACTCTCCCACTTCGGCAAAGACTTCCTCGCCCAACACGGGTGCCCCATCAAATCCGTCTTCGACGTCACAATCCAACTAGCCAGCAACCTCTACTTCGGCTACAACCCAGCCTCCTGGGAGCCCATGTCGATGGCGCATTTCCACAAGGGTCGCACAGAGATCTTCCAAGGCGTGCTTCCCTCTGTAGCGCAATTCTGTTCCTCCGCAACGAAGGAGGACGTCCCCGCCAGGGAACGGCGTGATATGCTCATCCGCGCTGCGAACGAGTACACCGCCGGTCTGCAGAACTCGGGCAAGGGGAATAACTATTTCAGGCTTATGACTGTGTTGGAGGGTATGTGGCCGAGTGGGGAGGAGTTGGCATCGCTGTTTACGGATCCGGTTTGGTTGAGGACGTATCCGCAGTTTATCATGTCTGGACTGACGGATGGTGGATCGTTGGATTCGGCGTTTTCGCTGATCGATCCGGAGGGTGTTTGGATTTGTTATTCGATTGGGGAGAATGAGTGAGTTTGATTTCTATGCCTGGAGATGTGGAGATGCATGAGCTAACATTTCTTTTCTTCTTAGGGCGCGCTTTTCTATTGTTGGTCCTACAAGCAAGGTTTCCAGGTTTGAGGAAGTGCTGGACGAGGCTACGGCTCTTGTTAAGAAATTGGTAGAGTCAAGCTAGATACAACTATCTTGTGTACGAGGTACAGGAGTAGGCGTTTGAACTTTTTGCGCTTTGGCCTAGTCTGCTATTTGGGCTTACTGATTGATTTATTGAAGTACTTGAAGGATGCTGTTTGCATGAAAGAAGGATACACCTCTCTCATGTCATGATGTCCCCTAACAGATACGCTACGCAATTACAATCAAAACCAGAGGAATGACCAATCCAAAAATCTCAGTTGAGATGGACTAAAGCCGAACCATGCTAAATATAAAACACAGAGACATTAGATATCAGTACAAGGGCGTATGCAAGAGGAAAAGGCCATCCAAGCAGCTCCTCCCACGCACACAAGCCCGTTCTCGTTTCGTTCGCACATTTTTGCCTCGCCCCGTTACTGCGTTGACATTTCCCCTTTTCTTCGCGTATATTTTACCCGTTTAACCGGTAACCTTGAAGATGGACTCGGCCAGGCGCTTGACGTTGCCGGAGGTGATACCAGCGACGGAGATACGGCCGTCCTTGGTGGCGTAGACGGAGTGCTGTAAATAGAGTTAGTACACTGCTAGCAATCACAGAGACTGGCAATAGCCGGGGAAGGGTAGAATGCAATGCGAGACGTACCTCCTTGGCGAGAACATCCATCTGCTCGGGCTTCAGGCCAGTGTAGGCGAACATGCCAATCTGGCTGGTGATGTGGGACCAGTCGTGCTTGCTGCCAAGCTCCTCGAGGTTCTTGCGGAGCAGGGAGCGCATCTCAATGATGCGGTCAGCCATGCCCTTGACCTCACCGAGCCACTGCTGGTTGAGCTTGGGGTCGTTCATGATGGTGGAGGCAACGCGGGCACCGTGGATGGGCGGGTTGGAGTAGAAGGGACGGATCAGGATCTTGATCTGCGACTCGACGCGCTTCTTCTCCTCAGTGTTCTCGCAGACGAGCGAGAAAGCACCAACACGCTCACCGTAGAGACCCTAGATTATACAATTGTGTTAGCTCAGCACTCTTCAGAGCCTAATAGCTCATTGAACTGATTGATTCTCACCATGTTCTTGGCGAAACTCTGGCACAGAGCAATGTTGTGGCCCTCCTTGACGAAGTGGCGAGGGGCAAAGGCATCCTGGTCAGCGTTACCGCTGGCAAAGCCCTGGTAGGCCATGTCGAAGAAGGCAAAGTGGCCCTTCTCCTTCACGACATCGCTGATCTGGCGCCACTGCTCCTGGGTGGGGTCAACACCGGTAGGGTTGTGAGCGCAAGCGTGCAGCAGGATGATGCTGTTGTTAGGGGCGGCCTTGATATCGGCGATCAGACCCTCAAAGTCCAGACCAATAGTGTCCTTGTTGTAGTAGCGGTACTTCTCGACCTCGAGGCCAGAGTCGCTGAAGACGGCGTTGTGGTTGGCCCAGCTAGGGTTGGGGAGGTAGATCTTCTTCGCGTGGGGGTAGAAGCGCTTCAGGAACGCACCACCGATGCGCAGGGCACCAGTGCCGGAGATGGTCTGGGTGATGACGAGGCGGTCCTCGGTCAGGGCGGAGGAGTCCTTGCCGTAGGCCAGCTCGGCGGCAGCGTTGGTGAAGGCAGGGACACCGGTGATACCGGCGTATTCCTTGTCGAAGCGCGAAGCAACGACCTTGTCCTCAGCCTCGCGGACGGAGGGCAGGACGTAAGGCTTGCCCTTGTCGTCACCTATACATCCACGAAAACCACGCTGCAATTAGCGATCTGTCCATTTCTTCCTCTATGTCGCTGTGCTAGGTTTCTCAATTGATGGTAGAGAACTCACGGTAGGCACCAACACCCAGGTTGATCTTCTCCTTGAAGGAGTCGGCCTTGAAGGCCTCGGTGATACCGAGAATGGCATCCTAAATACGCGCGCTGCGCATCAGCATTGGTCCCCATAGAATCGCATTTTCAATGCCTTTCCACCCGAATTCATCGAGTTCATCGATTGACACCTACAGGAGGGCCCTGGGGCACGTTAGACCAGGCCGAGGCATGTCTGGCACCGATGACCACGGTGCGCATGTTCGCCTCGCGGGCAGCAGCCGAGCGGCTGGCGACACGCAGAGTGGAGAGCATTGTGAATGACAGCGAGCAGATAGAATTGGGGGGAAAGAATGAACAAGAGCAGGTCTAAAAAAGCTGGGGGAAGAAAGGAAAAAGTCGGGGATGAAATCGGAGATGCTGCGGTGTTTTGGGCCTGACTCATGTGATACCGGAAAGGGAAGTATCGGGTACTTCTCGTCAAGTGTGGGGTTTCACCCATTCCGAAGTCACGTCTACTTCACCGCCCGGCGACCGCTGCGAGGCCAAACCCGCCGGATTGGTTGCATCCTCCGCAGGGCGCAGGATTCCCACTGCAGTAGGATTCCGTGCGGATGGTTGCTCATAGATCAGACCGTAGATTGTCAGGGTAGTTTTGATATTATATTTGGAAATTATCATCAAAATAATACTACATGGGAGTTGATAGTTTGGTCATAGTCATCTTAATTGGGTCCGGGGAAGCTATACAGCCAATCTATTATCATCACCATCCATCCCATGACTGCGAAGTCCATAAACACATCCTGCCCTATTCTCCCCGACATCATCATCATTGCACGATCTCGGGATGTCCAGCCCCCGGTGAGCTGAATAAGGGCAACGAGCTCCACCCGACAATTTCCCCTCACGCACAGAGTTGGGGTAAATCCGTCGTGCGGGCAGGTCCATCAATTCGAGTCCACTGTACATGTACATCTTTCGGGATCAATTTACCCAGAAGAGAGATTTAACAATTGAGGTTTCAAGGTTCCTATCCCCCCTACCAGACCTGGTAGCACTAATTGGCATCGCTAAGCTATCACAATTCTCGTTTTGGAGATGTCGGGCAAAATGAGGAGGGCAAGGATCAGGGCTTAGCACTCGGTTAAATTCGGTGACCCAAATACCCGGAGAGGTCCAAGGAGTGTACGTACTTCAGTACATATATGACCACGTGTTACAACTTAGCCTGTGATGCCTGTCTAGACTTCGTTAGTACGTACTCCGTACTTGTGTCCAATTCGCATCTCCACACGCGGAGACTGAGAGGTCTGGATCGATAGCTGGAGAACCCCGACATGTTCAATATTTTCTCGAGTTATTATTACGTAGCTATGCGGAGGTCGGCAGGACATGACGAAAACAGCTAGCGGCCTTTGTACAGGCAAAACATAGTTTATGCCCTGTTTGGAGAGACTCAGGAGAGACAGTACAACATTATTTGGCCTCGTCATCCTCCATCAGAATGAACGAGAGGCTCGATATGTACAATTATTCCTCCTACTAGGGAACTGTGACGACGTACTACTGCAGCATCCGTAGCTGCAAAAAGAATACAGACATTATGACGGACCAGCACGTCTCCACAAAGATATTCAAGTAGGTAAATTATTTGCAGCAGCCAAAGGGGGAATATCATTGATCATTTCGCTGCTCTATACAATACAAACCAGGTAATACTCTGCCATCTCTCAACCCAACCGCACACCAGCCTGCCGATTCTTGCGCGCCTGCTGCCCCATCGCATTATTCATGCCCGTATGCTGGCTACTATCCAGCGCAGACATCGCCTCCCGCTTCTTCTCCTCTTCAATCTTCTTCAACAATTTCTCTGTCTTCATCTTGCCGCTACCCTTGCCGTGGAACTGGTGACTAAGATGCTTAAACGCCTCCTTCTGGTTCATCGAGCGTCCGTACTCATCCGTATACTTGAGCTGCACGTCGGGCTTGTACTCGCGGTTGAAGATCTCTGCCATCTGTCGAGCTTCTTGCTGATCGCGTTGTTTGTTCTCCCAGCGTGCGTACTCTTCGCGCTCGCGTGCGGACATCCGATCTAGTTTGCCGGAGGCACGGTCGCGCTCGCGCTGCGTACGGGCGCGGCGCTCGGCTTCGGCTTCACGGTTGAGTCTGTCTTGTAGGAAGCGCTGGCGATCGCGGAGTAGGGCGTTTGAGCTGCTGCTGTCGGTCTCCTTGACTAGACCGCGCTGCCGTAGCATGGACAGTGTAGCGCCCAGGCCCTGGTCCAATGTAGATTCTTCCTCCAAGCCAGTGCCCGTAAGCTCCTGCTGAGCCTGGCTGGGTTCCTCGCGCTTTAAGCGTTCTTCAAGGTCTTCGTCATCCTCAATATCGTTGTAGCTCCGCTCCATGTCCACGTCCTCGAGCTCCGCTTGGGGCTCTGGTTTGACAGCGGCCTCGGCAGCAGGTGTCGCGGTTCGTCGCTCCTCCCGCTCGGGAAGAGTGGGCTTTTGTAGATTTGAGACAAACTCTGAAGTCTCATCAATGACGAGACCGGGTTCCTCTGTACCCTCTGCTGTGTCGGTTTCCATTGGTGTTTGAGAGTCCTCTTCACGGAGTTGGCGAGCAAGATCCTCTGGGCGCATCTTCTTGCGCTTCCTGAATGCAGCACGTCGCTGGAGTGCAAGTGACGCTTGAAGGTCGTCATCATCTGCAAAGGAGACATTTTCGTTGATGGGCTTCCGGGCAATTGTGACTGGCGCTCCATTCGTAGAATCAATATCCATAGACGCTCCGTTCGGTGTATTCGTCGATTCAGTGTCAGGTAAAAGACCCTCGTCGTCCATCACGGCTCGTTGTTTCGTCGCCTTGTTCTTCTTCTTTTTGGGCTTTTTAATCTTGACTTCGCTGATGTCCATGTAATCGGATGTCTGAATCTCGGGCTCCAAGTCAAGACTGAATACGCCCTTCTTCAAGCCCGCCGAGACCTCTTGACGCTTGGCTTGGCGTTCCTCCTCGGTCGAACCTTTCGCATCAAGTGTGAATCGTTTCCGCTTCTTGCCGTCAATCTCTTCGTCGTATTGAGCGAGAATTCCTTGATTCTCGGCTGTAGGATCGTAAACGGGCTTGCGCTTTTTGAGCTCAAGTTTCTCTGTAGCCTTGTCCTTCTCCACGAGATTGATATCCTCAAGCTCATCGCCCTCTTCCTCGTCATCCACAGCCGCATCCTTCAACGTCAGAATGTGATCCTCGCCTCCCTCAAAATCACCGATAGCGTGTCCGACCTTGATACCGGCCAGGTCTTCGGCAGTGTACTCAGTAGCCGCAGCGCGCTCGCGCTCCTCTAATTCCTCGGCGAGTTTGCGCGCCCGCTCCTTCTCGATTTTCTTAGAGCGCTTCTTGGACTGCATCAGCCAGGCCTTGGTATCCAGAGCTGCGCCATCGGCCTCTCCAAGGGTGGCGCCCTGTAGCTTCAGATTTCTCTGAGCAATGTCACGCGCCCTCTTGATAGCCGCGTTCTTCTCCTCCCGTTTCCGCTTGGCTTCGGTATCATCTTGGAGTTTCTTCCAGTTGTCGTAGCCTGCCGCTTGTCGGGTCTCGACCGTGCTTGCGGGTTCTTCGTTAGAGTCCGCTTCGCTCGCGTCGTCCTTGAACTGCGGGCCAGTGGCGTCGTCGGGTTCAGCTCCGGGAACGGGGAGCGGCTTGAGTCCCAAGGCGACTCGGATTTTATTGTTCTGCTCGATGGAAAGAGCGTCCGCCATCTTGACAGAATATGTGTGCGAGCACAGCAACACAAGAGGAGAAAGTGAAGGTTGCGGGGATCCGAGCTGTCTCAAACAGGAGGACCTGGGCCCCGTCAACTCTTGATAACGCCGCCTGAGATATCATCATGTGACTTGGGACCTTTTCAACACGCTATACCCAAAACAGACTAGTTCCAGAAATTTCTCCTTCCAATAAATACCACGCCGGCCGCTTTTCTCTTTCTCTTTTTCTTCTTCCAGCCACGGATCTGTGTCCAGCATTCCCGTTGACGGAGTACCAGTCTGACTGGGATCTCTGTGTTTCGGTCGAGCGCTGGGCAGATCGACGACCTTGGAGCCATTCACTCTTCCAACATGTATGGCACCCTTACGGTTTCCTGTCGACAGATCTCAGATTAAGTGTTTGCGCCGGGTGTCCCTTGGGTCTTGAGCTCCCATATGGTGAGCTCGGCTTGAGGCCCTGGTGCGGACGGCGTCATATTCCACCCCTCTTTACCGATTGGCCGTTGGCCCGTGAGGTTAGGGATAAACCATGACCAGCCAACATTCATTCTAGCATACGTATTGGTAGTTTTCAATCTGTGTAGATTTTGCCGTGCAAGTGGTATTCGGCATGAGCCACGCTCTCAGCGTTCAGGTATTACTGCGAGAAGCTTCTCGCATGTATTCCTCTAGCAGAGTCTTCCAATCGGATTGCAAATTGCAAACTTCTACTGGATTGACGGTCTAAACTGATCGGCAAACCGAAAGCTATGCCAAGCTACAAAGCTTCTCGCTGAACACCCGAGGAACTGATATACGGCCGCAAAGATGTGGTCATCAAGATCATAATCATCATATCCTATCGCACAGAGGGTATGCTGGATGTGTATCTCATACAATCATTCGTAGTTTACAACAGCTTCAAGTGTCCCGTCACCCCATCGACAACACTCTTCGGTCCCAAAACACCCAGGACAGTGCGACTGCCACTGGCAATTTGTGTACGCCCAGCATCCTGAATAACGCGCGCGCAAAGTCCGAGACTCATAGCCTGCGCCTGGAGCAGCAACAGCTCATCCTCCGACTTAACCTGCAACGCAATCTTGGCCTGGCCGCCGTGCTCCCAGCGGCGCAAGATGGGGGAGTCGGGTTGGTGGGTGATGAAATATTTGTAGCAGGCGAGGGTAGCGTGTGAGGCTTGGGCGGCGATTTTACCTGTAGAAATACAAGAGATGAAAAGTCAGTCAATGTTTCTGATCTCGCGATGAGGTTCGGATTCTTTTTTTTTCGCGAGCACATACCCTTGGTCATGCCCAGGTCTGTCCGCACAACCAGCACCAGCTTCACTTCCTCTTCATTCTCCTTGAAGGACGCCAGTTCTTCGCCGTTACCCTCTTCCTCCTCGTCGCTCTCGTCATCCTCGGAGTCTTCTCCGTCATTCTCCTCGTCGGAGGAGTCCTTGTGGACCTTCACATCGTAGCCATTGGGCCAGCCTTGTTTTTCTCTGAACAGGCCCAGTGAGGCGCCTTGGCCGATGAAGTATCCAGTGACGCCGGCGACAATGGCCGTGGCAATCACGTAGGCGGCCGTTGTTGGAGATGTGCGATCTAACGGAGCGGCCATTATGGTATATGAGGGCGTGGAGGGGTAGGAATTTCGGGGAGAAATGTCGAGGTTGAGGTGGTGTTGCGCCGAGTTCCAGTAAATTGGGTGCGCTGTTCCGCGCGCTTGGCCGCCCTCGGGCTCTATCAGCGGACGCTCCGATTGCAGATTGGAGGATCGCTGGATGACATGCTTTATTCAGTTTAGATATCCTATGGTTTTATAATATGTATCAGATATATTCTTTCTATTGAGGTATGATTGAGTTCCTAGTTTGACCTGGATTTTGTAAAGGGAAGTTCAACTTTGCCTTCTAGCATCCTCTCTGTCTAGAGATATATATCGGTACGGATACCAAACCAGCTTCCGCGGTCTCGCTCGATCAAAGTCCACCTCACGGGCCAGATTCATACAGGGAATCAAGCATATCCCCACGCTACTACTTGTCTATCATACCTGCAAGTTCACTTTAGTGGACTTCATTGCGAATGCCGAGCCAAGCTAACCGCCTCCACCACACCATACGAAAGGCCACTGCGTCCAGCGGGGAACCACCCCAGGCCTGATGCACACGCGATAAACGAGTCGAAAACTACATTCCTACGCATCTCGTGCTTGGATCTCGATCAAAGTGATTAAATTTCCTATAGAAGCCGGCAAAGCCATAAACCAAAAAGCCAACCGCAGAAGAACGGGGTCAAGACCTATCACCCAATGCATTGGATCCATCAATAGCCACTATTTACAACCCAAAAAGTACGGAAGCATGGTATAATTGCCAAAGAAAGTCCTTCCTCTAGTTCGCACTTCCGGCGGCTGGAGGACGACGAGCGGGTTGCGTGCCAACGTTACCCATACGGCGGCCCCTAGATTGCGACAACAGTTAGCAGTGACCACGAGGTTGGCATGACGCGAGAAACGCGTCAGCACGAAAAGAGTCAAAAAAAGCGCGATACTTACATGACGGTGCGGCTGAAGAAACTGATAGCAATCATGAAGGTCCAGCTGGGGATGGCGCCAATCGCCCAGATGAAGTAGCCGAGGGGAACAATCAGCTGGTACTTGGCGAGCCAGCCGTCGGTGGGGTGCAGAGCACCCTCGTAGGCCTCGACCTTCTCGAAGTTCTTCTGGGAGTGGATCTTGTACAGCTCCTCGGGGGTCACGGAGGTGGTGTTCAAGTAGACGACGTGGAGAGGAGTGGGGAGACGCTCTTGGCCCTCAGGCTGGGCCTTGGGCAATTGGAAGTAGAAGACGGAGGGAGCGCCAGCGGACCAAGTCGAGCAGAGGACGCGCTCTTCCTCACAGTTCAGCAGACCAAGGTTGGGGGCGGTTGGGTCGGCGGAGAAGAGAAGGACGGATTCCTAGAGATTTGCGATGGAGGATCAGCTTACAGGCCCCGATGATGCGATGGCGTTTAATGGCGCGATATTTCCCCAGGGAGCGTGCAATGGGAGTCTTCTTACATTGAAAGCCTTATCGGCGGTCTCACAGCGGCCGAAGCAGGTCTTGTTGCCGCCGGTCACGAAGATGTACCAGTCCTGAGGGTCCTGGGCAGGAGTCAGGATGGACTGCCAGTTCTGCATGGTCAACGTGGTGACGCGCTGCTCAGAGACCTTCTCGGCCATCTTCTGAATAGGATCGGCCGGGACAGCCGTGGGAACAAGGTTCTTAGCCTTGTTGAACCAGCCCTGTACGCGATCGGCGAGGGGGACTTGCTCCTGTGCCAGAGCCAGGGCAGGGAGGAGGGTAATGAGCGAGGTGAAACGCATCTTGATGGCTGTCGGCGGGCGAATTAGCTGGGATCGATAAAGACAAGAAAGACTAAATGATGAAGATCGATGGACAGAGATATTTTGTGATGAACTCACCAATTCTGTTGACAAAGTCGATCAATTGAAAGCAACGGCACCCGAGGGATTAAGGAGAGGAGAAAGTATCGAGTTCAGCTTGAGGCTAGACGACAGCTGGCCTGAGCGCCCGGGCCACCCGACCAATCAGACCAACCAGACCGGACCAACCACCAGAAGCCGCGGGGAATCTGGCCGATCCACTCAGCGCCCGTCAAGTTAACACAGTACTAAGGGGTTTGCCATTGACCATTGGGATACTATAAGAGTTAGTTGCACTGTAATATCACGAGATTAGAGCTAGCCATTCATTTCTGCATGTAAACTGCATCTGTTATGTCTGTTAGTACTGTACAACACCCTGAAAGCTATTTGGAGCTGTAGCTTTCATAGTTCCCGTGATGGTCTCCACTCGGACAATTATGATATGCAGCCTTCTAGAACGCATCTAAAGCTTTCTACTACTTTGATATACAGACAGGCATGAGCATAACCTTCCACTATACAATTGCTTCTAACAGAGTACGGGGTTGAATGTACTTTCTAGTATCGTTAATATTTCGAGTAGAGTGTCATCGATGCTTATACTAACCCAATGTCCATCAACATACGAAGCCTACACAGGCTGCATCGTGTTAAAGTACACATGTAGCTATCTGCTAGTGCATAGAAAAGTATGGCTTTTCATCCAGCGATATCCTGATCAGCAGGACATGGCAAGATCACCATACCATACAAAAGGCAACGCCATTCCTTGAGTTAGGAGTGACCCTAGGCGTCGACGGTTTGCCACGTTTGAATATCAGCATATCTTCCGCCAGAGACCGTGAGAATCCATGGTGACGACTCGCTGGGGATGACTCGCGCTTAGTCGTCGTCCTCGAGAGAAGGCATAAAACCGTCCAGGACGACTTGATTTCATCCTTTCTTCTCCTCTTCTCCGATCTTCCCACCGAGAACGAAAGCGCTGAAACCACTATCCTCAAGCCATACTCAAAGATGGCTTTCATCAACCAGCGCTCCCTCCATCTCGCAGCTATCGTGATCCTCCTTGATATGCTGCTCATGCACAAACTCACCCTCGCAATGCCCGTGGCTATCCTGGCCCGGGCTTGCTTGGAAATTGACCTGTCTGTTCCTGCCTCCGTTTCTGGTAAGTCAAACACACATAAAACAGATGAAAGAAGATCACAAAGCAACTGACGAGTTGGAAATATAGGCCCTAGCCTTGCCCTGCCCTCGGCCCGTCACCAAGCCCGCCAGGTGAACCCTTACGGTAAGTGTCAAAGATATCCTGATACAAAAGCAGATCACAGACATTGAGACTGATCAAAGACAATCAGGCGGACCAGTCGATCCGCAGTTAAACGCGGACCGAGATCACGCCTCGTTAATTGTCCTCGTCGTGATCTTGGTCGGTTTGGTGATTGGCGGTTTCTTCGTGGTGTCCTGGAGACTAGGACTGACGGGTGTGTACGGTGCGTGGTGCCGTGGCTGGCGAGACAATCTCCGCCAACTGAGTCCCAAGAACATTTGGGACGCGTGGTGCGCGTACTGGAAAGACCGCACCCGCCAATGCCGACGCCGCCGGGAGGGCATTGAACTGCAGCCCTACCCAGGCCCACCACCAAGCGCCCCCTATCAGCGCCTGGCCTCTCCTGCCCGTCCCGCCCCCGCCCTGATTCGACTTGGGCCTTTCCAAGTAGGAAGAAGGGTGCTGGGGGCCGGGTAGTGAAGGATGAGGAGAAGAGTTGTGGTGGTGCGGGGAGGAGGGGGATGGTGGAGGGAAGGAGGTCAGGTCCTGGCGGTCTCTCGAACAAGAGCCGCCTTAGTTAGAACTCAGCACGGACTGAGGCCACGATCTATCAGTGGCAACAGAATGGAGTGCGTTCGCTGAGAGTCTGAATCTTCACGTAGGGGGACAGATCTCCCCAGGACGTAGAATAAATTTCCCAGAAAAGCGTGAAACATACAAGTAGTTCAAGGTACTGTGGAAATCTACCATATGCATCCACCATCGGAATGTTGTTAACGTCTCGCACAACGGCATTACTTCTCCACTTACTGTGGATGTGCCTCCAATAGGATCCTATCCATACAGACGACCTGGAGAAGCCGTTGTTGACTGGGCTGGCTTGGGGTATGCTGGACTATTCGCCGCTCAAAACTTGCTATTGGATTATTTTCCCATCCTAATTTCCTATCTTGGGTAGAGGACCATGTATAGATTCGATTGTGCGCCGATAAATGACCATCTTGTTTTCAAATGCCAATACTACCAGGACAAGTTAGCATGTAAACGGACTTCGCAGTGGGCTCTTAGTCTTTGCCAAAGCCTTCTATTCCATATTCAGCTACGAACCCTAGCACCTGCCGATCAAACAATCATTCCCAAGGCACGCCCCAATGAACGCCCAAGCTCATATCTAAGGGCACTGGTTACCTCATGGTCATGATTCGACGACTCCCCATTCAACATGGTGCAACCCACCAGGCACAAGCCATCTTATGCTCACCTTGGCGAAAACATTGCAATACATGATGAAATAGACGGTCTACCTTTTCAGACTTTAAAACCTCGACAAAGCATTTGACAGTGCAATCAGAATCGGATGAATGACATATTTGAATAGCCCTGAACCTTGCATCGCAGAGACTTTTCACATCCAAATTTCAACCACCAAGGTCGTCAAAAGAAGCTAAAGGGTAAACAAGGGCTACTATAACAGTAAAAATTATTGGCCCGGTGAAGGGTATTAAGTCGATTGATTATGACAGGCAGCTCACTAACAAAGCCAATGACTTATCAGCAAGTACTTCGAGAAATGGTCTAAGATAATAATAACCGCCATCAGAACCCTGTAAATTGTTTGGTATCTCAGACGTCATTAAACAAAAGAATTCCAGATACACCGACTGAACATGCTAACCATGACCACGCCATGCCTGGCCAGTAGTCCATCCACAAAGACATTTTATCGGATTCATGTTCAGGGAAGACATTGCTATCCCTTGCTCGCTGCTCGGTTATCTTTTCCAGTGACGACCACGCTAAGAAGTGATCTCTCTGCGTGCCGCGAGGAAATGCTCTTTCTCGATCAGCGACGGTCAAGTACCCACTAAACAAGACACTTACAGGGCATTCCCCAAAATTCCATGGCAAAGGCAAGGCTCTTTTCGAAGAAGCCCCTCTTCCCAGATCAAGTTCCTACCTCTTGTAATAGCTTCGTCAATCCGTTCCGTCATGTTGGGAAAGAATGGTCGCAAAGACTCCAGAGAAATGACAAACCCGGGGGCCCCGTGGCAGATTTGCATAAGGTGCTTCCCCCTCTACCTTCACCCTCCTTCGTAGGCCAGTTGCCATCGCTCTGCTGCAGATTCAACAAGAGATCTAGTTTACTGTTAGCGAACGACCCCTTTGCCAAGTTCGGATCCGTCAGAATCAGTTGCGTCAGGATCCCCATATCGCCGTGGGCAACGCCAATATACCGCTTTTCGTGCCAGGTCCAGTCTGGACCAGCGGCAATGATGCGGTCGATGATCCTGTTCTTGATCTCGGCAAAGCAAGAAGTGAGATCTGGGTACTGATCAGATATTAGATGGCTTCAAAAAACCCTTGGTGAGGATAATGGGTCACTTACCCAAAACTCCACGAGACGGATCATGTATAAAAGACCAGACAGGCCGTAGAGTAGTTCATGAGGACCCTGGGTGTTCTTGATGATCTCGTTTAATTCTCTGAGAAGTGTTGGCGCATTGTGCCTGTCCAATAAGGTCTTGACAGTCGCTAGCCCCGCGATCTCGCTCGTCAGACCGCATCGGGAGGATGGAGCTCCAATGCGTCTGGCACTAATGTATAGATTCATCCAGTAACGAAGGGAAAGATTTCCGATCTTTATAGTAGGATAGATATAGCCGACCCTGTAGAATAAGAATGCCAGGGCTGTTGGACCAGAGAAAAGGCCATGGCAATGATGATGATTGTACTCAGGACGGGGTGGTGCTTCAGCAACGATGTGCTCCAGCGCTCGCCGGACGCAGATCTCTGGTGTCTCCGTTAAGCGGAGAGGACCCTGCCGGGAATGGGTGTTTGGGATGTAGCGGTCTTCCATGACGTTGTTTTGTTGCAGAAGAAAGGTTGGCCACCTTGAATTCAAGAATGGCTTTGGGGATGATCTATTCGTGCCTAAAAGCGGCTGAGATTTGATACGTCATTGGCGAGTAACCAATCGTGTTCGAGTCCCCACATCGATTTCAGCGACGTCAAAGTATGATATGCTAGAGCTGTATTCTTATACAAGAAGTCTAGAGATATTGTTAACCAACGAGGAGTCAGAAAAATTTTCTTTCACAATCGGGTACATCAACCTCTTCAGTACAGATACTATCACATACGACCATACATGGAGGGATGCTCCCCGGCTGCTCAGCCGTATTCAAGGCCACACCCTCTTGCGGTTTTAATGCAGTGATGGAACTAATTTCGAGGGTGATGTGGATAGTACGGATGAGAACTATGAAGACTGGAATGAGAAATTAGGATGTGGGAGAGAATTTCTCGTCTAGGGCAAAGGCGATTTCTGTCAGGATATCGAAGAGCTCTTAGAATTTAAATTGGAATTAGATTGTATTTGTCAAAGGTCGAATCGAACTAAACCGGAAAATGCGTCCATAAATTTACACACCTTCACTCTTGAGAATCAGTCAGACCATTCACATGGTCGTGCAAGAATCTGAGTTGAATGAAGTATCATCCGTAGACCCAAATCTTTTTGCTACCGTAGCAAGATCCAGCAAATCGCCCCAATAGATATGGTGGACAAGTCCACCTATTTGGGTCTGAAAAGCGTCTGCTATGATTCTCAAGCACTCTTGATCCTCTTGTCCCAAAGCCAGCATGGTAAGATACAGCCGTTTCTGCTGCGTCAGGATGGAGTCCCCTTCATAAGCCTGAACCCATACTGGGTTTCGACGATTTCTCAGCTCGTCTTCTATCTCCATGAACAGCAAATAGCAACGTGTGACGACCCACATGTAGTTAAGACCGGATACAGGCCTCATCTTGCCACAAATGTCCTCGATGAAATCGTTCTTGAGGATATTCGGGTATGCAGAAAGGCTAAGGTCGTGTTTGCCAATGCCTCTGGGCGGTTTCTCACATGTGTATCTCTCGGGAAAAGTGGGTTGCAGATGGTTGAGGATTTCGGATGCGTTGGCCTCCTGCGGCATAGATAAAAGCTTGTTTGACATTCCAACGATGTATTTGTCACTCATTCCCCGAGCCCTGGCACGTTTGACCAGGTTAGTGTCAACAAGGGTACGCATACCCGTGGCACGATCCCTACTTTGTTCAACCCCAGCCAAACGTAAGAAGGATATTTGGATACGGATTTGAGGCGGTGATTTTCAGGAACAGGTTGTGTGTCGCTTTCCTAGCATCAATGATGGACTCAAGCAAACGAAAAATGGAACCGGGAACTTCGACGGCATGTTTCGCGATGAGCCCCGAAAGCGATTTCAATGTCGACAGAGAGACCACACCAGTGGTACTCTCGATCACCGAAGACTCAAAAGGGTGCTGCTTGATGATTTGGGCAGAAGTATGAGTGATCCAATAGACAAGGTGTCTCTGATCGCGCTTGTACTTGAGGTAGATGTTTTGATCTGCCATGACTGTATGATGTTGAGGTCGAAAAGGAAGCCCTGAAGGTCGTAAGGAAATCTCCTTCAGTGCAGATATGTGCAGGAAGCTACCATCTATGGGGGCCTGGAGGGTTTAGATAGAACTGCGTCATCTGACTGGCCCAAAATGGCAAACAGTCACAAGAGTAGAAGCTGATCTCATGTTACAACGCATCCAATACACATTACGCCTGGTACCCGAGGGGGTTTTAAATCGAACTTGCACCATCTTGCTTTGGCTTCGCTGCCTGTTCAGGCAAACACAGGTTGTGGTAAGATTGCACCACAATCCCTTCAATTGAAACAATAAGGGTCTCCGGCGTGTAAGCATATCATCTCTGTTTGATGGGGCTATCCCTTCTTAGCTGTTGCCGGGGTTATGAATGCCCTCAATGCCAGTCTCTTAAAGTAAATTTCAGTCCAGACTCAGACTGACCCATTGTTGAGTGAAAAAGTCGAGATCTAAGCTTGAAGTCTATTTGATGGTACCTCGGGTTGGACCCTGTCGTAGTAATATTACTATCTTTCCCACTTTAACGATTGTAGGATTTCTACAACATACCACTCTCCTCCTACACTGCTCATTCGCTATACGGACGGATTCGCGTAGGTTAAATCTGCCCTTGCTGGTTATTCGAGGTAGTAGATTCGTAGCAAAGATTCCTCACTGGCGAGGATATAGGGTCAACTGCTAAACCCACTACTAAATCTGCTGCCAAATCTGCTGCCAAATCTACTACCGAACAAAATCAACTACTAAATCAGTAGGAAGATAGATAGCAAGGATATAGCCGTAACATTAGCTGAAAGCAGGAGAAGACTAATAGGTATATGAGCTTAACTCTGTGTTTGAACCCATCGATGTAGCTTCTATTACTTATTAGTCCGAATGCTCTTAATAAAACGGTCCAGATTAAGAAACCAAACTATAGATCCTGCTATAATGAAGGAGAGTAACCCCCGGCCAGTAACTAAGAATATCCAGTCACCTCTACTCAGTTCTAATTATCAGTGCCGTAGATGTGTATGTAAGCATCTAGGTCCAATGTTTGTTAGAGTAGTGTCGTACTCTCTATGGAAATGGTATTATTCTACCTGTTTTTCCAGGCTGCGGTGTGCACAAGACATTTTGCGAGTCAGAAAGCTCCACCAATTGAATCAGTAGATCGGCGCCGAATGTTGGCCCTCATGCATGTACTTCCCGACTGGGGTGGCGAACCTACACGGGACAGAAATTGGTGGTATCACGACAGCGGCCAAGTTTTCCATTAAGAGGGCTTACCTCCACGACATCTTATCGATAGGCGGAGCCAGCAAGGTATTTGAGTGAGTGATGCACCGCCGAAAGATTATCAATCGGACGCGTCTAGAGTGTGGAAAGCGGATTTTTGCCGAAGTCCGCTACTGGGCCTGCCTGAAGCTGACGACGGCCTTGATGCCTGCGGCATTAACTTGCGCCGATGTCGGTTCCAGCCTGAGGATGAGACCTACTAGATACTCTACTGCAATCCCGATTATCCCTTGACTGTCGAATAATTGTGGGATTTGAATTAAAAAGTACACTACTACGCCCTATGCAGAAGGAGAATGTAGAATCAAATTATCGACATCGAAAAACAGTAATGATCGGATTGAGTCAGAGTCTTCCACCAGTGCTTACTGCGGGCGGCCAGTCGTGAGCGACTCCGGCGACTTCCCCACCCCCAGCGAAAGCCGAAATTTTTCAGTCTTTTTTTTTTTTTTTGCCGCCGAGCGAGGGATTGTCGATTACTACGCAGAAAAGAAAGCACACCGCCCACTCCACTCTTTATGACTCTTACTTCCTCTTCCTTCCAGAGTTTCAAGACTTAAATATCATCTCTGACCGTGGACTCGTTGTGTTGATCCATTTGTCTTAACTTTTGCATCTGAACAGTCCCGAGCTCCTCCTCAAAGCTCCCCGCTATTGCCCTGTCCGTCTACCCCTCCACCACTTATCACTACACCCCTCCCCACTATCTACGCACAATGTGTCCCGGTGCCGATTCCGAGGTCAATGGGCGGGCTAACGGCGCCAACGGTGCCAATGGCGGTAAGATTCGACCCTAGGAGATGGTGTATACTCCGTTCGGTATGCTGATCGTGATACTTCTATAGCCAACCACCCCGGCTTCACTGGTATCGAGACCCGCCAGAACCCTCACCCTTCCCCTTCCCGCAACCCTTACGGCCACAACGTCGGTGTGACCGATTTCTTGAGCAATGTCTCCCGTTTCAAGATTATCGAGAGTACCCTGCGTGAGGGTGAGCAGTTCGCCAACGCTTTCTTCGATACCGAGAAGAAGATCGAGATCGCCAAGGCTCTGGACGACTTCGGTGTTGACTACGTGAGTCATCGACAAAAGACCATGGTTGTATGCAACTTTTTTGAATGGAATTCTAATCGAGGGTACGATATAGATTGAGCTCACCAGCCCCTGCGCTTCCGAGCAGTCTCGTGCCGACTGCGAGGCTATCTGCAAGCTTGGCCTGAAGGCCAAGGTACGTCTTCAATGCTGCCGTGGCGAATATCGTGCGAATTGCGGGCTTTTCAGGGTCTAACCATCTCATAGATTCTCACTCACATCCGCTGCCACATGGACGATGCCCGTGTTGCTGTCGAGACCGGTGTTGATGGAGTGTGAGTCACCCCACATCCTTTTTTTGTGCCTCGAAAATTTCCGAATTGGTCCCTGACTATGTACTACAGCGATGTCGTCATTGGCACCTCTTCATACCTCCGTGATCACTCTCACGGCAAGGACATGACATACATCAAGAACACCGCCATTGAAGTTATCCAGTTCGTTAAGTCCAAGGGCATTGAGATCCGTTTCTCCAGTGAGGACTCTTTCCGCTCCGACCTCGTCGACCTGCTCTCCATCTACTCTGCCGTCGACAAGGTCGGTGTCCAGCGTGTTGGTATCGCCGATACCGTCGGCTGCGCCTCCCCCCGCCAGGTCTACGAGCTCGTCCGTGTGCTCCGTGGCGTTGTCGGCTGCGACATTGAGACTCACTTCCACAACGACACTGGCTGTGCTATTGCCAACGCCTACTGTGCCCTCGAGGCCGGTGCCACTCACATTGATACCTCTGTCCTCGGTATCGGTGAGCGTAATGGTATCACCCCTCTTGGTGGTCTGATGGCCCGTATGATGGTCGCCGACCCCGAATACGTCAAGAGCAAGTATAAGCTGGAGAAGATCAAGGATATTGAGGACCTCGTCGCCGAGGCTGTCCAGGTCAACATCCCCTTCAACAACTACATCACCGGTTTCTGTGCCTTCACCCACAAGGCCGGTATCCACGCCAAGGCCATTCTCAACAACCCCAGCACCTACGAGATCATCAACCCTGCCGACTTCGGCATGACTCGCTACGTCCACTTCGCCTCTCGTCTGACTGGCTGGAACGCGATCAAGTCGCGTTGCCAACAGCTCAAGATCGATCTGACTGACGCCCAGTGCAAGGAGTGCACTGCCAAGATCAAGGCTTTGGCCGATATTCGCCCCATTGCCGTCGATGACGCCGACTCCATTATCCGTTCCTACGCCCGCAACCTCAAGCTGGGCGAGGACAAGCCTCTTATGAACCTGACTGCCGAGGAGCAGGCCCAATTCGATGCCAAGGAGAAGGAGATTGCTCTCGAGGTTGAGAAGAACGGCGTGGCCGCCTAAGAGGCTCCCGCTTACCCTGTTCAATAGCGTTCGTTTCTTTGTTCGCCGGAATATCCACGCGTCTTGGCTTCCGGTATACCCCGCTAGACAGACTCGACCAGAGGAATCTTTGATGATTTGATGTGATTTATGCGTTTGGGACTTTTCCTATATATGTTTTCCTTTGTCTGTGGTTTGAAAAGTCTTTTTCTTTTTTGATATCTGGAATTCGTTCAGAAAAGAACGACTGGACTGGTGGTGTTTGAAGAGTCCTCCATCAATGTATATAAGCGACCAGCCGTGAATTGGCTGGAGCAATTCCACCAACTTGATCTATAAACAAAATTCGTTCAAGCTTCTTATTGTAATATCGAGTAGCTTACCTCAAAGAGTGGGATTTAACAAATAGAAAATCATATAGGCCATAAGCTAAACAACCAAACATTGGAAGTGCCTCAGTACCTATCCATTCATCATGTGGCAATTTTGTAGGTGCAGCCCTTCCCCAACCTCGGCACGCTAACCTGCGTCCGGCCAACGGCGTCCCGCGGACGCCGAATGTTACTTAACGTCCATCTCTCCGCCAAGTTTCCCAGCGCTCAACAGCATCATTACTCCCGATACATACACCTAGGTCCATCATGGGTTCCGTGGCGCTCCCTGTCGCCCTGCAGAACAAGCTGGTGGGCTACGGCCGGGCCTCCAGCGCCCATCTATCGGCCGTGAATCTGGATCTGTAAGTATACCTGATTGACCCAGCCGTCCGTCATTCGATGGCGCTGGAGCACCTGCCCACTCCCCGCGAAACGCCAAAGTGACGATCGCCCGCTGACCACCAACTCTACTATCAACGCGACAGGATCCGCAATATCGTATTCATCCTCTTCCTGTTCCGGTACACGCGCAAGACCTTCTACTCGCTCCGCGGCTACGGCGTGTTCGGCAGCATTCGCAATGTCTACATCGCCGCCCGTCTATTCTGTTACTCCCTCTTCCTGCGTGCCCCCGGTGTGCGCGGCCAGGTCGATAAGCAGGTCTCAACTGCGATCGAGAAACTCGAGACCAAGCTCGTGCAAAGTGGACCCGATTTGAACCGTTATCTCACCTTGCCCGCTGAAGGTTGGTCGGCCGATAGGGTTCGCGAGGAGCTCAATAAGTTGGCTGGTTTGGAGCATACTCGTTGGGAGGATGGTCGCGTCAGTGGTGCGGTGTATCACGGTGGTGATGATCTGTTGAAGCTACAGGCGGAGGCGTTTGGACAGTTTGGTGTCGCGAATCCCATTCATCCAGATGTTTTCCCTGGAGTCCGGAAGATGGAAGCTGAGGTGGTTGCTATGGTATGATAACACTGCAACCTGGTTACAGTGAACCTGACAGCTGACTTGACTGCAGGTTCTGAATTTGTTCAATGCTCCCACGGATGGTGCTGGTGTTACTACCAGCGGTGGTTCCGAGTCTATTATCATGGCTTGTCTGGGCGCCCGGCAAAAGGCGTTTTTGGAGCGAGGAGTGACGGAGCCAGAGATGTAAGCTTGAATTTTACCTCTAGTTCCGCCATGTGCATTCGCTGACAGTCACAGGATCATTCCCGACACTGCCCACGCGGCCTTTATCAAAGCTTGCAACTACTTCAAGATCAAGCTGCACCGGGTACCTTGCCCCGAGCCCGAGTTCAAGGTCGATGTCAATGCCGTCCGTCGTCTGATCAACCCCAACACTGTCCTGCTCGTAGGCTCGGCACCTAACTTCCCCCACGGTATGGTCGACGACATCCCTGCCCTGTCGCGCCTTGCTACAAAGTATAAGATTCCCCTTCACGTGGACTGCTGCTTGGGATCCTTCGTCATTGCCCACCTGAAGAAAGCCGGTTTCCCCTCACCGTACGAGGAGGAAGGTGGCTTCGATTTCCGCCAGCCCGGTGTTACCAGTATTAGTGTGGACACTCACAAGTACGGCTTCGCCCCCAAGGGCAACTCAGTCCTGTTGTACCGCAACAAGGCTTACCGCAGCAACCAGTATTTCATCTACCCCGACTGGTCCGGCGGTGTCTATGCCTCTCCCTCCATTGCCGGCTCGCGCCCTGGTGCCCTCATTGCCGGTTGCTGGGCGAGCTTGATGAACGTGGGCGAGGCTGGTTACATCAACAGCTGTACCGAGATCATCAACGCTGCTCGCAAATTCGAGTCTGCCGTTCGCGGACACACGTTGATCTCGCTTCACATGGAAGTCGTGGGTAACCCGATGGTCAGCGTTGTCGCGTTCCGCAGCAAGAACGGAGCCATTGATACCTACGATATTGCCGATGATCTGTCTGCCAAGGGCTGGCATCTCAATGCGCTGCAGTCTCCAGCTGCTCTGCACTGCGCTTTCACCATTCCTACAGCCAAGGCCGTCGACCAGCTCATCGCCGATGTGGCCGAGTGCATTGAGAAAGAGCTTGAAAAGGCCGAGGAGCGCCGCCGCCAAGGAAAGGCGTACATTCTGGAGCGTGGTGAAACTTCCGCTCTGTATGGTGTTGCAGGCAGCATTCCCGATAAGAGCATTGTCAGCCGTCTGGCCGAGGGCTTCCTAGATACCCTGTACAAAGCCTAAGTCTCTTTGCCGGAGCACAAACCTCCCACCTGATGAATGCAACGCCCCAAGCAACTGTCTTTGCCAGGCTTCCCATACCTGCCCACTAGCTGGCCTTGGCTTCTGCAGCGGCGCTTGCGGCGTATTTGCCCGTTTCACTTTTCCAATTACTGCTAGAAATGGTTCAGCGTGTATCATTACCCTCATTACCCTCATTACAGTTCAAATTGCACATATTTGCCTCGGTCATTTCTTTCGAGGAGTAAATTTGTAATGACGTCCCATATAGTACAGTCAACGGGGGATCAAGATGACCCGTCGGAAGATAGGTGGACATAGATAGAGTACATGACATAAAAGAAGCCCGCTCCATGCAAAAAAAAGGTAATCGAGACAGAACACAGAAAAGAAAAGCAAGGGCCCAATAGATAACCCTCATGGCACATTGCCAAAATCCGGTATCAAAGACCACATAACCACACCCGACATCAAGCAAGACAGAAAAGCATTATGCAAACGGACAGAAGTTGAGAAAGAAAGGAAACGAAAGAGGCAATCTCTCAATCACAATCCCAATCCTAATCCCAATCTCACTGCCCACTCAACTCAGCCCGCTCCTCAACACCACTCTTCTCAACATAATAACCCGGATCCGGTTTCCGCTCCAAACGAACCTCCTGCTTCGTCAGAGCGCGGTCCACCTCCTGGACGGCAACAAGTTCTTTAACCTTCATGATTTGACCGGCGACGGACGGAGAAACGCGGTGGAAGACGATGCCCATACGCTTCTTGAGGCCGAGGGCTTTGAGGACGTCTGTTGAGCGGCGGGGCAGACCGATTGCGGAGCGGAGGAGTTGGATGCGGAAGTAGCTCATTTTGAAGGATTGAGGAGGGTTGGAGGATGTGGGTGGATTTTGAGGTGTTGGGATGTGATTGTTGCGGCGGAGGTGGATGTCGAGGAATTGGATCGAACCACTTGCTCCGGGGGATGTCGAAGAGTGTGTGGGTTTTTAGAGGAAGAACACCGCAGTTCCAGATAGGAAGTGGAGGTAATTGGTACTTCCGCAGGGGAAGATTTTGTGGAATTATGTCTTGAATGATTGACCGAGTCTAATTGAGTCCGGCGAATGCGCGACGGCATCGCAAAATCAGGAGCGGTGTATCACGTGGGTCACCATTCTGCCAGCATCATCAACGGGGGAAGACAGCTCCGCAGCTCGGGAACGCGGGTGGACCCCTCGATTGCAGCTCACACCAATGCAGTGTGGTACCTGGTCATGACCATCTGCTCGGCTTAGAGCAACATATAGCCACGATCATTCCCATACTCCCAGGCTTCCCCTCCTATTCTCGCTCGGAGATCGATCCCTAGCACCCCACAATTGAGCTAGCCAGCACCGCGCCCTACTCTCGAGTCTCGACAGTAACGACGGTGGCCATCTCTTGGCCGGTAAGGCGCAGTCGACATGGCGCAGAACACAAGCGCTGATAGCACGGTATCCATGCCGCGGCTGGAAGATATCCTGCGCCATCCGGAGGATCTCGACAAGATCAATGGCTTGAAAGCCGAATACCAACGCAAGAAAGCGGCCGTCGACTCCCGACTCCGCGAAGGCCTTCGTGAACAGCTCGAGGCCGTGCAGCGCAGTATTGGATTTTTGACCGAGGGTCAACGACAAGTCTCAAAGACTCGAGACGAACTACAATCGATTGATAAGCTATGCGCCGAATCACAGGACAGCGTGGAGGATTTTGCTCAGATTGACAGATTGGCTCGGATTCAACGGCATTTCGACGCTACGTTAATGATGAAGAAGGGATTGGAGAACTTTGGCGCGGATCTGGAGGAGGTGGAAGAATTGTTGAAGGAAGATGACGATGATCTGGAGAACCAGCCGAATCTTCTCAAGATTCATATGCAGATCTCCCGTCTACGAGATTTCCGTGACGAAGCCATGGACCAGATCCAGAAGTCTCGCGATTCTAGTAGTGTGGAGACCTTGGAGGAATATTTCCAAGGACTAGATTCGGCTATTGATTGGTTCGACGACCATCTTGGTACCGCGTGCATTAACCTGATTCCGTTGGTCCAAGAAGATAACAGGAGTATGGTGGTTCGATTAGCGGTGGTTGTAATGAACGAGGAGAAGAATGACGACACAGTCAAGGCATTACAGGAAGCTCAAAAAGACCACAAGGACTTGGCAAGACGCTTCAAGTCTATGAATATCGGCCCGAAGACCGTTCGAGGCTACAAGGACAAATTCCTTCAGGCGATTGAATTCTACGCACAGAATCAGTTCAACAACACCAAGGACGAGTTCCTCGCGGACCCGGATCTCATGGAGAAGAGCTTTCGGTGGTTCTTCAACGACCTCTTCACAGTCAAGCAAGGTATGCAGCCGCTCATGCCGAAAAAGTGGAAAATCTACAAAACATACACGGATATTTATCACCGCATGATGCATGACTTCCTCGTTGAATTCATCGACGACCCTGAAGTTCCTGCGGACAATCTACTCAAGATCATTCACTGGAGCGATAAATACTACAAGAAGATGAAGAAGCTGGGCTGGAACCCCGCCGAGCTCCAACCTAATCTTTTGGATGACCGCGAACCGGAACTGGTGCGACAGTGGCAGAGTGTTATTATCAACACCGTGGAGGAATGGATGGACCGGATCTTCGACACCGACAAGAAAGCTCTCGTGGAGCGACAGGCAGATGCCCTAGATACCAACGCAGATGGATACTTCCGGACCAAGACACAGGCAGATATGTGGCGTATGCTGCACGAACAGATCATGGCGGCTGGGCAATCCGAAAGGGCCGACGTTGTCGAGGGGGTCATTGATGCTATGTTCCGGGCTCTGAAGGGCCGACAGAGTGCCTGGCAGGCACTTCTTGATGAAGAGTGCAACAAAGCCAAGGATCCCAGTGGGGACAACGAAGGCGTGCAACTGCTGCAGGACTGGTTGGTCGGTGTAGCCAATGATCAGATTGCCTGTATCGACGACAATGAGGAGACCGGGCAGCTGGGCTATTTAACTCGATTTAAGGCCGACGTCGAGCCGGTCGTAACAGCCAAATACATGGCGACTCGTGCCACGTCCGAACTTGACGCTCTACGAGACGGATACGTCGATCTGAGCACACACTGCATGGCACTATTCGTGGATATTGTTTTCACGGTGGACCTCAGAACTGTGCTCATGGATCTCTTCACGCCCCGATGGTACAGCGAATTCGCCATCAAGCGTATCACCACCACCTTTGATGATTACTTGGTCGACTACAGCCCAGTCCTGCACCCCTCCCTCGTCGATATCCTAGTCGAAGAATTCTCAGATGAGCTACTAGTGCGGTATCTCTCGTCAGTCCGCAACAAGGGCGTCAAGTTCCGCCGCCAAGTGGACCCTTTCACCGACAAATTCAAGGACGACATCCTCACCGTGTTCGACTTCTTCCAGAAATACGAAGACTCTTTCCCTTCTATTAAGCAAAAGTGGCGATTGGTCGACTGGCTGGTCCGCTTGCTTGAAGCTGAGAAGGGTCAAGCTATTGTGAATATCTACGAGTCATTTAAGAACGAGTACTGGGATCTACAGTTGTCTTGGGTGGAAGCTGTCCTCCGGACTCGGGATGACTTTGAGCGCAGTATGATCAGCTCGATTAAAGCCAAGGCGGCTGAGTTATCTGTTGAGCGTGGCGTGGAGACAATCATGAGCCGTCTGAGGTGATTGGCCTAGCTGTATCATTTTCTCTCCTAGATCAGCTACTAGATGATTGTCTACAACCTCTTGTGAACGCTGGCCCCTATGGAGAAAGTGCACGTCGCCCCTGACACGTCACCGACACAAGAAGGCTTGTAGCAAACTTCGCTAAGCCTCACATCGTCTTTGGACGTGTTTTCTGTAAGAAAGCTGTCGCTGGATATCCAAAGACACCCAACCTCGCCAGCGATCGTGGTATTTGGAAGTGCCACCGTGCGAGAATAGTCAAGACTGAAGCCTTGGAGTGAGCGGGTCGCACCAGCATATGGTTGCTCTCTAGAATTTTGAACTCCAAGCTGGCTTGGAATAGATTACCCCATGTTTACTCCGTCCTGTTCACGATTTAGCAAGCAAATTTACCCATGAAACCTTGTAATGAAACTGCTTTATGTTCGAAGACAAAGGTATAATCCAGGATCCTCACGCTGGTAAATGTATAAGACATTCAGACAAGCGCCACGCCCCCTTCTAAACTCTCCTCGCTACAGCTCTCCGAGGAGGGTAATGGCGAACGCGGCCGGGAATCAAGACTCCGCTCTGCGATGACAGTGTATTCCTCGCCCAGGCGTGCATTTAACCCTTGATCCCCTGGACCGCCGACCTCAAGCTTTTTCGCACCCATTTCGCAGATGCAGACTGAGTTGATCGGGATATTCCTCGCCCAGACAAATGGGTATTGTCGACTGGAGGACGCAGACGAGGTACCAGGATTGGACTTGACCTCGTCACCTTCGGAGAATGAGGAATTCTCCGACGAGGATCCAGAATGAGCAGGCGTCAGAGCGCGTGCCGCCGTTTGCGTCTCATCAACATAGTAGTTCCGGTATCTTGCCAGAAGTTCACGTGCATCAAACTCAAGCCGCTTCGAACCGTGCTTTCCATTTCCACTTCTACCAGGCTCGAATTTCCGTCGACCGCGGACGTAAATCGTATTCACAAGTGTGGCATGTAGAAGAAGAGGGCGCGGTTTCGGCTTCCGAGCAAGAGCAGCAGCATACGGGTCCAAAATCTTTGGAACCTTGACGCCCTCAACTTGCGAGGGGAGCGTTGTCAGATCTTCAAGAAGAGGGTTATCATCCCTCTCTAAATCTTTGCACTGGGAGGCCTGCACTTCGTCCACGACTTTCGGGTCCTTCTTCTCCCCAGGTAATCCATTCTTAGACTCGCTCAACATGAACCCAGCTTCGAGGAATTTGTCTCGCAGCATTAGACAGAATGGATATAAACGGCCCGTGGGATCGCTTGGAGAAGCGTGCAGGACCGTCGCTGCTTTGGCCCGTGGCAAAGCATGCAATGACTCCAAGGAAACAGAGAGCGACTGGGCCGTTTGTCTTGAGCCCGATGATGAGCCCGATGAAACGAATGAGGCTCCTATCATATTGGGGCCAACTTCAGACGAAGGTAATTTCGAGGCGCGCTTTTGACGTAATTCAAAGGCTACTCGCTCCGCCTCTCGCATTAAGCTCGCCAGGTCGAGCGTTTGGAAGAAAGCTATTGCCTCGTCAAGACGCTCCTTGGTTGGGAGGCTCATTACTCCGAGGGTCAGATGGATTGTTCCCACTGGCCGTACTGCACCCTGCGGAATAGCCGCGTGCGAGGCATCCTGCCCCGACGTCAGCTGCTGGCCGCTTGACAAGTTTGCGACTGGGACTGGCGGATGGGCCGCCGTGAACGCGGTTATTGACGCTTCTAGCTGCGGAAGTGATGTCTCATTAACTAGTGGCAGGCAGAGGAAGTGTGTAAGAGCCGGTTGTCTTTCTCGTCGCTGGCTTCGAGGCCTCTGTGACCGATGTGGGGAGTTCTGTTTGCCACTCGACATTGGGGTTTTAGTGCTGGTAGAATAGCCTTTTCCTTTACTAAAATGTAAGGATATTCGGAACGTCCTCCAAATTAAATGAAAATTCATCCGGAAGCATCGAATCGAATAATGGGGCCATCGATGTTTGTTTGCAGTCGATGTTAGCGGAGAGTAGTTTAATGGCTGGCCACCTTACTCAGATGACGCACAGACCAACACATCGCCAATCCCATTCAACGAGCGCTGGAATTATATGGCTTTCAGTACAGGAGTTTTCGACTTCAGGTTGACTCGCACTCTTTAGACTTGATTTCCGTGAAATAATAATCATAAGTCTATTATGAAGCTAGTCCAGTTCAGGGTCACCGTTTTATTAATTGGGCAGAACTAGGGTGGTATTGACTGGAACACATCAAGACGTATTATTAATGAACCCATATCACGTCGATCATGTACAGTCTCGCGATCTATTGAATATCAAACGGGGGAACACAACTCGGATTTCGTGCCAAACCCTAGGTACTGTGGCAGGCCATACGCCGCACTATGTGATTTAGGCTTATCTCCGCTCTATCTATTTGAGCATCGCGTCGTCCTAAGGGTAACCGTCGCCTATATCCTCTCCGAATGCGTCCGTTACATAGGTGGGAAGAGGACCATAAAGATAGAGTAAAATAGTGAAATTTAGCGAGCTATATAACGACTACTCATCCGCAGACGGAAACTCGAGCGCGTTTAGCAACCATTGTCCGAAATTTTGACCGAGCCCCGGCGTTTACGGATTTTGTAGCCGTTCGGGGTCTTTCGCCCGCCGAATTCGTCCGCTTAATATAGGGTTTGCCCGATGGCTTATCTCCGGAATTCACCCCGACATGCCGAGTAGGGATTGCACCACACCTGGTCGGGCATAGTCACCCGCTTAGAACCACGCTTAACGAGTGTACGGCTGAGTGGCTATTCCCAAAACATGCCTCGCGTGTGCCACCAGTTTAGTCACAGCCAAGTAAAGGGGGAGAAATTGGCAGCCTTGCAGCCTAAAAGGGACCCTGGATCGGTCCACTTTTTCCTCCGAACTGTCTCACTATACGGAGTAGTAGGATGTACGAAGTAAGAAGCACGGCCAAGCAAGGAAACTCAAAAAGCCAGCGCTGATATGACTCACCTTGACAAACAGCCCGTCCTAAAAGGGTTCAATGTAACTACCTTTGCCTGCCTTTGTCATCTGCTCGCACTTGCTTCCCCCCTTAGTCGGAGAATATACGCGCTGGAGGCTAATCCGATGCCCCACCACCCCTGATTGGCTCACCTCGATCATTCAGGCTCGTATTTGCTTCACACTACTGCGCCAGCCGCACCCGTCGTCCATGTATCGTGAGCAAAATTACCGTAAATCGGCCAGAAGTCGCGCCGATGACCGAGCTGGTAGGGAAAAAAAAACCCGTCGTCATAGAGAACTTTATAATGATTCCTCTCCGTCGCGTCGATTTCGTGTTTGATGGAAATCACAAACGAACTTGTGGATGGGTGTGTTCTATCTTCTAGCTAGCGCACTGCAAATATTTTCCTTGTTTCCCAGATTTTAGCCGGCAGAGCTCAGGCCTCGCCACTACCAACTTCAAACACCACAATAATAAAAACAGGAAAAAATTGCCAACCCAGCTTCGCCATTGAATATTCTGCAAGAAGCCCCTATAATGACGGCCGCTAGCAGTACGACGGAGGTTGACACGGCACCGGGAGCTATGGAGAAAGATGTGAAGGATGTCAAAGATATCGAGGATGTCAAGGATGTCGACTCAACACCAACTGGTCCCCAGGAGTACCCTCCTCTGCCCAAAGTCATTGTCATCATTCTCGCCCTCTATCTTGCCGTCTTCTTGGTTGCTCTGGACCAGACCATCATAGGCGTGGCCATTCCACGCATCACTGATCAGTTCAAGAGTATCACGGACATTGCTTGGTAAGTATATGGACCGGGGGGAGGGGGACTCTCTTGCCAGAGCCATCGCCTTCCACAGCTCCTATTCCTGTTGGACCCTCAAAAACAAGTAGCTAATTGATTATCAGGTATGGCAGCGCATACTTCCTGACCTCAACGGCGCTACAACCATCATATGGTCGAATCTATAAGATTTTCAGCGTGAGTCGTTTTTTCTTTTCTTTTCTTTTTTTCTTTTTCCGCTCTGGCATCCGACCCATGAACGTCCCGCTGATCAACCTTATTTTACTGAATATAGGTAAAATGGGCCTTTTTGGCCGCAGTCCTGATCTTTGAGATTGGTTCGCTCATCTGTGCTGTCGCCCCTTCCAGCACGGTGTTGATCGTTGGCCGAGCGATTGCAGGAATCGGTGTTGCAGGGATCTTCTCCGGAGCACTGGTGATTATCTCGATGACGGTCCCACTGCCAAAACGACCACTCGTCTTCGGTATGTTTGGTATGGTGTGGGGGATTGCTTCAATTGCAGGACCACTGCTTGGTGGAGTGTTCACCGACGGCATCTCGTGGAGGTGGTGTTTCTACATTAACCTGCCTATCGGCGGTCTCTCGATCGCGGTGATCTTGTTTATCCTTCGTCTACCAGGAACCAACGAGGAGCCCGGAAAGCAAAAGCCTATCCTGGAGCGGATTAGACAGTTGGATCTTGTTGGTGCGAGCCTACTGATCCCCGCGATTATCTGCCTTCTCCTAGCCCTCCAATGGGGTGGCAACAAATACCCTTGGAATAACTCTCGAATCATCGGTCTATTCGTGGGCTTTGGTCTGCTAGCGATCATCTTCGCCGTCTCCCAAATTTACATCGGGGATAAAGCTACCCTACCGCCGAGTCTCTTAAGGCAGCGCTCTGTGCTAGCTTCGTGCCTGTTCGCCTTATTCTTCGGCGGGGCTTTCTTCCTCCTCGTGTACTACGTACCTATCTTTTTCCAGAGTGTTGAGGGCTCCTCGGCTATGAAGTCCGGTATCCAACTACTGCCTATGATGTTGGCTACGGTCGTCTCGTCTGTGGTCGTTGGCGGACTAATCACTGCTGTCGGATACTATACCCCATTCCTGATCGTCAGCTCCGCTATTGCAGCTATCGGAACCGGTCTTATAACCTTATATGATATCGACACCTCTACCGGAAAGTGGATTGGCTATCAGATTGTGGTTGGCGCTGGTGTCGGTGCAGGCTTCCAGGTCCCCATGACTGCAGTGCAGACCGTTCTTAAACCAGAAGATATCCCTGTGGGTACAGCGGCTGTCATGTTTTTCCAGACGTTAGGCGGTGCTCTGTTTATTGCCGTTGGCCAATCCGTCTTCCAGAATGGGTTGATCAGTGGAGTCGTGAAGTACGCGCCTAATGTGAGCCCTGCCGCTGTTATCGGGGCTGGTGCCACTGAGATGCGTCACGTGTTGACCCAACTGGGACAGCTTGATCAGCTGGATGGAGTCATCAAGGCATACATGAGTGGCTTGCGGGATGCTTATCGTGTCAGTCTTGCTATTGCAGTAGTGGCTTTCGTGGCCAGTCTGTTCCTGGAATGGAAGAGTGTGAAAAAGGCTGGAGGGAACAAGGATGAGGTGGCTGTCCCTGCCCTCTGATTGTCGTATAGAAGATGTTCGGGGCCGGGTTTTTTTTTGATTCAGTTTAAAATAATTTAATACATTATATCTCTCCCCTCAAGACGGACCAACCCACCTGAATAAAAAAGGTCTCTTGATATCGAAACATTAAAGATTGCATCCCAGACCGTAGAGGCAGGAACTAGGTGTTTGGGAGCTGGAAAGATGGAAGACAACGGAGTTTTCCCTCGGCATGTGCTGGTGAGGATATCATACATCTTGCCTCCCCTCAAGACGGACCGAGTCACTGGAGAGAATGATCTTCAATGGATGGCAAATGACTCTGAAGGAGATAAATCACGAAGGAATCCTGATCGAAGAAGCCTGGACGGAAACAACGGAAGACGGGGTCTCCTCTCAGCATGCATGCTGGTGAGGATATCATACATCTTGCCTTCCCCCAAGACGGACCAACTCACCTAGAATGAACTTTCTTGATGCCCGGGGAGAGAGGCGAGATGGCAGGAATGGGTGTTAGATGTTGAGATCTCGGAGAACCTGGCAGACAAAAGCAGACCACGGCGTCTACTCGCAGCATTCGCTAGCGGAAAGGGAAGCTGGGAGTATCTCATTGTGGGGCATTCGACTCACCTGGAAAGGGAATGACAAGTACTAGATGAATTTTCGTGTGATGTGACACAATAGAGGCATGTATCGAATGTGGGAGTAACCTGGCAGACACCACCCCCACGCATCTGCTCTCAGCATTCACACTGGCGCAAAGGGAAGCTGGGAGGACCGTAGTCACTCACCTGGAAGAAGAGACCGATACTGCACTGCTGGCTGGGATGGCACAGTTATGGTAGGTTTCGAAAGAGGGAGTTACCTGGCAGACACCACCCCACGCATCTGCTCTCAGCATTCACACTGGCGTAAAGGGAAGCTGGGAGGACCGTAGTCACTCACCTGGGGGAAGATGTCTGAGAAGTGATGCTCTGCAGCTGCTGTGTCAGTAGCCGGTGAGGAAACCACTTTATGAGGGGCGGCCATCTCACCTGGAAGAGGTCCCATGAAAACAGGGCAGACATGACTATCGATGAGACTCGGAGTCTGGCGAACCTGCGTAGGCAAGGAGCACCTACGTCAGCATAAGCTGGTGAGGAAACCGCAAATTTACACACAGGTTCTATGGGATTGATTCTACGGGGCGGACGTCTCACCTTGAAGAAGAGAAGGGTTCAGTCCTGGGCCCGGAGATGTGACACCAATGTCATGACCAGAGATCACCTGTACCATGAAGATGTTAGCAAATGAAGTCAGGATGGAAGAAGCTGGAGAGACTTACCTGGTGACAACCGACAAGAAAATGAAACAGGCCAAACGAGGCCAAAGAAGGACGAAGCCCTGTCATGGTAGACAAGAGGCATGTTGAATGAAGCTGAAAAGTAGGAAGAAGGTTGGGCGAAAAGGGGGGGGAGAAGGGGGAGAAGCGCCAGTGAGGTAACGAGAGGTGACTGCGGGCTGAAGAAGGCATCGTTTCTTCCCGATTAGGAAATGGCGGAACTGGATGTGTACAGTGCCTTGCCCTTTCGGTGCCTGTCTACTTGCGAGTGACGTACAGCAGGATACATGGCACCGCTGCTTATTCTGGACGGCCGAAAAAGGTAGAGAGATGATCGGTCAGGTTGGGGAGAGTAGGTTGGAGAGATTCGGGATGTTCTTTGAGCGTTTGTAGTCTGTTTAGAACGCCTCAAGATTCTCTACCTAGGTCTGGTGGGTGGGAGTGTGAGATTATCATGAACAAGCGTATTGGAGAGCGGTGCTTGTACAATTCTAGTGGCTGACTTTAGACAGAACTGGGATGAATATTACCTAGGGCATCGAGTAGCATTAGAGTAAATGCTCTCGGAGTGAAAGCATGCGAGACGATGGAAGTATGCTACAAAGAACTAGCAGAGGAAATTTATGACCCTGATACAGGACTGCAGGATACTGGAAGAAAAGCATGGGACGTAACAACAACCCACGAGCTGGAGTAGCCCAAGCAGGGTAGACTCGAATCACTACACTACAGATAGATTCAAACCAAAGCAGTAATGAATATATTTCCCAAGATCTCATCACTGGGTATCTAACAGCTCGAATAACGAATCAACCATCGCCATCACATAGATCCAACTCCCTGCCAAGCACTCCAGCACTCCAGCAGCTCCAACCCCCATCAAAAAATCTACTCAGCATTCTTCTTCCTCCCCTCAAGCACACGCATAACATCATCCGCACTATCCTTATCCCCTTTCTTCTTCTTCGGCCCTCGTTTCCGCTTACTACCCCCACGCTGTTGGCCCTCAAAGTCCAACAACACCCCTTCTTCATCATCCTCATCATCCTCGATACGGCTACCGCCAAAGCCCATGTCCATATCTGCAGCGTCCATGGCATCGCGCCGGCGGGCTTCCTCGAGGAATTTCTTCTGCCGGAGGGATGCCTCTGCCGACAGGCTAGAGTCTTCTTCGGAGGGGGAGGATTGTCGGAGAGCGGCGGCTCGTTTGAGTGCTGCGAGGATTGTCGGGTCTTTTGTGAGGGGATTGGAGCGGTCTTCGGGTTCTTCGGGGGCTGTGGAGGTTGTGGAAGTTGCGAAGTAGTTGCGTGTTTTGGCAGGTTGTGCTGTAGCTTGCTCGGACTTATGGTCCTCTTCCAAAGTAAGGGCCGCGGCAACGTCCTTGACAGGCTTTTCTGCGTGCTCACCATCCTCATCAGATGAGGAATCGTCCTCTTGCTCGATTCCGGCAAGGGGGTCATAATCAGCGCCAACGCCGGCAAAAATGTCGTCCTCGTCTTCTTCTGGCACAGCACTGGCGGCTTCCTGAGCAGCAATGTCCGCCGGGACCTCCATTCCAAGAGGCTTAGCATCCTTGTCAGGCATAGGGAGGGAGGGAATCCCACGCGGCTCGTTGGGCTTGTCGAGCCAGCGAACCTTCCGCTTTGTATTGCCATCAGCGTCCGTGATGAGAAGAACCTCTCGCCGACGACCATTCTCATCTGACTCAACGAAACGCTTCTTCTCCGGCTTGCTCTCGCCGACCTTCTTAAACTTAGAGCCAAGCGTTGACTCAGGTTTCGGGGCTGGCGCGTTTGCAGCCGCCGCTCGACTAGCCTTCAACTCTTTCAGAATTTCATCGCGTGTCTTTGGTCGAGGTGGTGGTGGAGCCATAGTCCCCTTCTTTTTCTCCTTCTGTTCCTTGGGCACTGCTTTGATCTCTTCCAGGCCCTTCTCCTCCATCAGCCGCTCAAATGCCTCATCTGCATCCTCCTCGGTAAGTGGCGGTTCTTCCGCCGGCGGGGGAGCCGCTTTCTCAGCCGCGTTCTCGATATCCTCGCCAGCGCGAACTCGTTTCAATAGCGTCCAGTCCAACCCCTTGACCATGTGTGTGCTCGTCGTGTCTCCGCCAACCCCAAGCTCTGCGCAGAGCTTATCGAATGTCTCCTGGTCGATTTGGCCCAGTTTAACCATCTCCTCGAGAGCTTTGACCCGTTTCTGGAGATCACCCTCATCTTCGCCTTCCGCATTTCGTAGTTGTGCGCGGTCCTGGTACCCGGTGGGCAATTTGCTGCCCTTTGGCGCGGCAGAAGATTTGAAACGCTTCGCAGGCCGTTGATCGCTTTCTCCGCGGTGTTCGGCGAGCTGTCGGGCAAAGTCTACCCCTGTGACAGAGCGTCTAGATACAGAAACGGTCAGTATTGAGTACTTTGCGAGCGCGGGATGTTAGAAACATACGGCGTCATAGGAATACTGGAGCGCATTCGCGAGCCCAGCATCGCGCCCGGGGTGGCGCCACCAGCCGCTGCATTGCGCGGCGACGAGCTGGACTTGCCTCCGGACTTGGATGTCGACGAAGTGTCCGCAAGAAGTCGCCGGAACTGCTCGTTATTCATTGCTGCAGGTTGGGGCCCTGGAAAAGCAGGTGCCGACGTCAATTTTGAGCTCGAGAAGGGTCCGTCTTGGCGCACGATAAGATAAACCTTATCGTGGTCAAGGTTCACCTGACAGCTAAGAGCCGGGCGATGAAGAATTTATAGCTTGACACTGGTGATACGTCCTATTTATGTATAGTGAGAAGAGAAATATAGAATTTAATTCATCAATAATGCAAAAATCGGAGGTCTTGCTTGCTCTTAGCTTAGACTCGCATACAAGTCCTACGAACCTTCATCTAAATGCACCTCTCTTCCTGTCCGAACCAGTGTATGGGGTCGATCGACTGGAGTCTGTTCAGGCAGACTAGAAGTCCTCTACTGAGGATTGTTTTAAGTGATTGCAATAGCATCATCGTATTGAAATGAAACAAACCAAATTCATAGTAAAGGAATGTCGATATACACATACAAAGGTACAAGTGAAGAAAGAGGTGAAACAAAAAAGCAATACAAAAAAGCAAAACCCACAGATAGAAATGCACGCTCAAGTCACCATAAAAAATGAATCATCTAGAGCATCAGATCGGACATAATCGATCCGGCTTTTCATCAATGTATTTCATTAAATCGTTTCCCATCCGCCATTGTTCATCTCCGACTCCAGCTTGCGACTGATGGTGGCAGGAATCGAGTGTGACAGCCATACGTCGCGCAGGAGTCTGTCGTACCGCTTCTGGTTAAGGATAAGCTGGCGATTGCGGCGGAGGCCGGGGTCAACTTCGCCGTGACGGTCGAGGTAAGGGGCATAGTGCCAGGAGCCGTTGTGGTTGTGCAGGTAGAGCACAGTGCACTTGCGGATGTTGATGAAGAGGCCGATGTTCTTGCCACACCTATTGGGGAAGAGATGAAACGTTAGCTTTGTAAGAGGATGACTTGAGCGGGAATGGTGATCTCACTTTTGCAGATGCTGGTTGCAACCGCCCAGCTTGTTGTGCATACAGCAGACCGCCTGCGAGCAGAAGATGTCACCGCAGAACAGACAGATGCTCGGGTCGCTGAGCTCCTTCTTCGAGTTCGGGCAGCGGCGTCTGTTGGCCTCCTCGATCAAACTGTCGAAGAACTTGGGGAGACCGACAAGTTCAAAGATCGCCGGGTGGGGAAGACTAGGCCACAGGCGGTGGTCTTCAAAGCGAATACCCGAGCGCGACGCATTCCAATGGAAGATCCACCCAGAGATGACAGCGTCGAAGGGGCTATTGCTCTTTCGCGCAGGGCTGACAGACATGAGTATCTCATCGAGCGTGGGCAGGTTGAGAGCCTTGGTCAAACGGTCAAGTTCTGACGCGGCGAGATCAGTAAAGCCAGTATTGGGGAAATCAACACCATGCTGTACATGGAGAAGGATGACGGCTTTGCGCAGGAATGTCAAGGCGTAGCTTGAGACAAGGCGATGCAGGGCAATGATGATGCTCGGGGTAGCTGACTCTTCTCCATTCTTCACGTAGCCACTCTCAGCCGGGAACGAGGAACCCTCGGCGCGGCCAACAGAGTTGGCCTTGAGTTCAGCAACGATGGCATCGAAAAAGTGCCTTGTTACACCATACCGATCGTCGGAAAGATCAGAGCCAGCAAGATCCTCCTCGCCCTGGTGTGCAAGCTCCTCCTTTAGACCCAGAGGCCATAGGATGAAGGTAACGGCAACTTTGACAATTTCAGCCACATAGCACATATGAACGAGGTGGCGCACATCAATGCGGAGAACGGGTAGCAATGACAACGAGCACTCAGCCAAGAACACGAAGGTATCCATAGCGAGCAGCGGTTCGATGTTCCTAACATCATTCAGCAGGGGCGTGCCGCTTAAACAAGGATGTCCGACGAGTAGTTGGCAAAGCTTCTGCCGATGCATTTCCTGGAACTCATGGGTGGGTCGACTCTTCGGGCTGTTGCTTGAGTGGACACACCCCACCGCTGTATAAGTCAAAGCTGTCTCTGCCAAGATGCGGAGATGCGTCAAGCTCAAGGGCGGAATTTTGTCCAGGAGAGTCGACCCAGGCTCCGACTCGATACCACGCTGAGCAATCTCCACGGACGCAATGCTGAACCCGAAGCTGCGGATCAACGAGTCCGTGTGGATAAAATCATCACTGACCATGGATTCCGGGCTATTGAAGATGGAGCTGATGTGGTTCATCTTGAGTGTCTTCTTGAGACGCTTGTAGATCTGCAGAAGCTCCGTCATGGGGCTATCCGAAGGAGTCGAAACCTGTTGGAGTGGGCTCGTTGGTGCCAAGTCTTCGCCGGTTGTAGGGAAAAGGCCCGGCATAGCCAGTCGCGGAGCCGATGCCAAGGGGTGAGATGCTCCAGCTGATGACAATGAGGAGGTCATTAGCTGACCAACCCTTGAAGACAGAGGCGGCGTGAGGGTCTTGGATAAGTAGTCGACAAACAAGTCAGAATAAGGCTGTTGGTACGCCTTGTCCTTCTCGATCATTAGAACTGGGAAGTTCTGCGACTGGTTGAGGGCGCTCTTGAGCCCTGTACTTATCCACTCATCAAACGGCAGCGCAGTGTTGAGAGCGCCGGGATACGACTCCTCCTTGCCTTTCCATGTGATTGGCAAGAACGCATTGCCGAGTGCTTTGCACAGCGGGCACACAAATTCCTTGAGCGTGATGTTCTCAGGGTGATGGCGGGCAATCTGTTGGCTATGCCGCCTTTGAGTTCCGTTGTAATAGACGTCAAAGCACGAGTAATGCATAATGTGGCCACAGCCGGTTGTCACAGGTCCACGCAGAGTGCTCTTCGGGTTGAAACCCTTACTAAGACCAACCTTTTCGCTGATGACCTCACCGCCAGAGGAGTCCAATCGACGAATGGTCGTCCTGTTCTCTCCCGAAACTCCAAACGGCCGAATACCGTCGGCGGATCTATCCAAGCTTGTGGGGGTCCCGAGAGCCTCGCGGATCCTGTCAGAGTCTCTGATGTCGGTCTGCCGCAAGATGGTACTATCTTGAATCAAGGCAAAAGTACCATAGAGTCTCGAATCGTTGGTCTCATCCTGGCAGAAAATGCACGTCCCGCTCGGGTACTTCCAAACCTTGGCCTCGTGAGAAGTTTGTGCCTCTGGTTCCGAATCACTAAAGTCCTCCTCGCCCCAATCAATGTCTCCTTGGGTGTTGAGGAACTGCTGTTGCTGTTGCTGGAACTGAGCCATCACACGAGCTTGTCTCTCCAACGCCTGCTTCTTCTTTATTTCCTTCTCATTTTCGATATCGATGGCGGGTGAGTTCGTGTCAATGCGATCGAAGGGGAATCTGAGAGACGCAGTTGCCGAAGTATAGGTCCGAGGGCGTTTCTGCCACAGGCGCTTGAGAATGTGACGAATCTTGGGACCACAGGCAGAGAATTCGTTGGTCACCGATATTCTTTCCAGAAGACCAACGATGGTCAAGTTACCTGCTTTGATCTCTCGGGCCTTGGACATGGCATGCAAGTTGAATGATTGGCTCTGCTCCATCTCCATGCTGCCATCTTCAGAGTTGTCTTCCAGCACGGCAGCGAGCACGAGGTGCAGAATGACCTGGAGGAACGTCTCCACGCGGGTTGGGGGAATGGCAGGAGTGCACTCCTTGAATGAAATGACATACTCGAGGCACTGGTGAACAAGTTGTGCGAAAAGCATAGTCCCCGTGAAGCGTGGCAAATCGGAGAATACGCCTGAGCTGATGCGTCGAAGCTTCGGCTCATAAACAATGTCGGACGCCTTTTTACCTGTCTTCTTAGCCATCCATTCTTTGTAGATGTTCTCTGCTTCATCCCGTTGGTTCTTGGTGTAGTGCGCGCTGTATGGATCCACAAGATCAAAGTACTCCGACTTCAGCTCAAACGTTCCGGAGTCGCTCAGACCTTCTGGGGGACGGAAGTTGGCGACCTCTTCGAGCACATCTTGGAACATATCTGAATCCAGCAGCTTGTCGCTCAGACGGGTAGACAGATCGGAGAAAGACAAGGGTTTGAAGCACAGCACGTGGGCAATATCACGGCTGATATTCTCCTTGGTCAGATGAGTGCTATCATCGATAGCTGTCAACGAGGTGCGATCGGTCAGCAAGATGACCAGCAAGTGGACAAACTCCTCGGCGACGTCCACGATCTGAGTATCCTCGAAACCAGTCCGGGGCATATAGTTCCGAGACATCCAATCAACCATGCCGAATCGATGAGCAATAGACGCGAGGACTCTGCTGGGATCACAGGTCACCATTGCCGTCTGCAGCAGGAAAATGTCACGGTAGTAGGCAAAGTCCCGAGAGGAAACACCACGGTACTGTGATGCCTGGTGACGAAGGCTCAGACCATTGCGGACCCACATGGCAGCTTTCATCTGAGCAAGCCAGGCACAGACTCTCAGGGGGTAGTCGAACATGGTCAGAAGAAGATCCTCCGGGCCAAGCGCCAGAAGGTTATCATCGATTTGTTTGCCGGCGACCTTGGCAGCGTGGAGCTCTGCCCTAGCATTCTGGGCGGCTTCAAACAAGACATTTCGCATTACCTCGCTGCTCACACCCCGACCACACTCAATCAACCACGACAGGGTATAGTGAATTGCATGGTGGAAACTGATTGACCCCTTCTCAACCGCGAATTCGACCACGCGGTGGCATGGAACTTGCCCAGACGAACCCATTTCGAAGTCGAACGGAGGGAGAGTCTTGAATTTGACCTCTTCTTTGATCTCTGCTTGATCGAAGCGCTTACGCTCCACGCCCGCGGAGTGAATGATTGCGGTCATAGTGGTCGTCTTGATGGCTCGCAACAAGTTCTGACCATTATCAATCTCCGGGTTCCGGAAAGATTCGCAGAATTGTCGACAAAGGCGGTTGATTTCTCGCATGAGGATCGAGGCGCTGATCCAGGCATCTGTCTCATATTCAACGTGCTCGCCAACAGCGCGCACGTTGGGGCAAATACCCTGCGAAAGCTTGACCAAATCCAGGAACTGCGGCAAGTACTGTTCCTCGGTTCGCACACGGTGTTGAACATACTCGGATTGAAGGAGATACCGCAGATCGAGGAAGAAATGGTACAGCCGCCTGTTCGTGACGGAACCGGCATCGAACGCCAATGTGGCATTCGGGTTGACAGCCTGGGGTTCGCCCACCTGACGTGTCGTCAGGAATGTATAGAGAATTGCCATGACCTTGGTCAAGAAATTGCCACGTAGCACAATCTCCTCGGTGATAGAAGGTGTCGTGAGCAGTTGGAGGGAGAGGTTGACGATGGAGTGGTCTGGCTCTCGGTCTGCAATGAGATAGAGTTGCGCTAGTGCTGTGTACAACGCGGATAATCGTAGACCCATGATGCGCTTGAATTGAGGCACATTGACCACAGTGCTGATGTAGAGATCCCGCAGATCCGTGCGGGTCTTTTTCCACAGCCTCAGGTCGAAAAGAACCAGCCAGTCTAGGCGAGTACGTTGCCAGAGGTCCTCATAAGGTGCAACCTTTTCGCCGACAGCAGGCATGGGAGGCCGTACTTGCCAGTGGCCTTCAGTCCTAGCGGGAGGAGGTCTGATCACACCTGATGGGGTCTTTGGAATAGAAACATAGCTCTCGGGAGCGGATGGCTGGCCTTCAACCTCGTTGGAAGTGATGGCACTAGTTTCATCCTGCTGAGCAGGCTGGTCTTCGGTCGGTTGCGGAGCCGGGCGAGGAGCAAGATTTTGTGCGCGAGTTAATCCGGCCAGGATGTGTTCCGCCAGGGCCAGCTCCTCTTCATTGCCCATATCCATTTCCTCATCGTCGTCTCCGTCTGCTTCGGCCTGAAGGCGGGCGAGTTCCATATCCATATCGTCGTCTTCGTCATCCGCATCATCATGAGCTTCGACGTAGTCTTCGTCTTCGTCTTGCTCATTGCCATCGTCTCCCTCTTCATCCTCGTCCTCATCAGTCGTCGCGAGAACAATTTGCCCATGCGGAGGGAGTGTGAGCAAAACGGTGCGACCTGGGAGCTGATTTTCTGTCTCCTGGTGGTCATCGATGCCCTTCATACCGATATCTGCGTTGTAAGCACCGCTCCCCTTTCGCCAAGGGCTGAGCAGTTCTTCACAAATGATCTGACGGAAAATCTCGTTATCATCGAGGATACTGCAGCCAGCAATATCTGCGAGCCATTCAACGATCGCGCCGCACATCTGCTCCCGGAACGTATCGCGAGCAGACCGAACAGAGACTGTAACCTTGATCTCCTCAATGATCTTGGACACTGCCAGCAGCCGTTGCAGATCCTTCGAGTACTTGATCACGCTTCGACCAATATCATTGGTTTCGTGAGCTCGAGCAACACCGAAGCTGTCTCGCTCGCGACAGGCACGGGTGACTTGATGAGCCACGTCTCGAATGGTATGCTTCTCGTCGTTCCAGAGCATCAAAGCGAACTCGGGCTCTTCTTCCTCCTGGTCACCCGCACCATACCAGCCTGGTCGCAATCGAGACGCTTCCTCATCTTGCTTGATACCCTCCATCGTCTTCGCTAGACGCAAGTTCTCGGGCGAGCAAGATATGACATCACAGAAGTAGTCCAGGACACGGGAGATGGTCAGTCGAATCGTAGCAACCAACTCTGGGGGAAGCTCTCGCTCTGCGCGCTCTTTTCCTTTCACGTTTCCACTGTCGGTGTGAATCGCGCAGAAGAGCGGCAACCGCCACGCTTCATCATCTCCACAGTCGCAGCAGCCACAGTTACCAGACGAGAGCGAGATTTGATACTGATGACCCGTATGGTCTGAGGAGTCAAAGCAACGGCTACACAGCACACATGTATCATCAGCAGCACAAGTTACGCAGCGATATGTCGCTTCCCCGGCTCGGAAGATGTGCCCGCATCGCTTGCCTCGGGCCGCTTCGCTATACTCGGCGCCTTCGCGAGCACCTTGCGCTTCGGCCAATTTCCATGACCCCGACGGTGTACCATCCGGGAATAGATGAGCTACGAGCTCTTCATTATGCCCCACGAGCGACCGGAAGAGAAGCTCTAGCAGGTCCCGTTCCGCTTTCGGGCCATAGCGGTAGTTGTGCTGTGAAGGTAACCGTAATAGACCATCACCGAGGATTCTCTCACATTCTGCGAGCATGTGCATGGCTTGGATGTCGGGCGAAGGTCAAGGGTAGGGTGCCGCTCGGCTGTCACTAGCGTGAGAGGGACAGAAGGCCCGTTGGCGCGTCGAAACAGCGTTCGAGGTGATCCGAGTCTAGAGCAGCGAGCGTATCGGAGAACGTGAAGGATATGCTGTCGAAACGGAAATCTCGGCGATAGCAAGTAGCTTTAGCTCTCAACGCCGGGTTGTGGCGGGTGGTTGTCTGCGCTTTCGTTGAATCGCAGCAGATCGTAGTGGGGGGAAGGGAAGACAGGCGAGTTGTGGACCGATGAAGTCGTCAACGGGCAGACCAGGTCAGCCACAGCACGTTTGCGGTATTAAATTGAAAGGGAATATAGATGGAAGCTGTTTCAGAGTCCTATGAAAAAGAAGAATGACCAGAAAGATTCAATTCAACAGAGGCGAAAGAGATCATCCGAGTCGAAGCTCAGGTATTTTTCGTTATGACATCGACGGAGCGGTCTCGCTCCCAACGCCACAGCGATCCAGGCTCCGAGGCATCGGCATCAGCATCGTCACCCACTACAACATCTACTATCAAGACACACCCACCACACACAAAGGTAAAATTGAATGATCGTGTCAAATACAGAATTCCAAAATTCTATCACATACAAGCCCGCAGCTGGAATGAGTACAATAACAGGGCGATAGCGAGTTCCGCCGCTATTCCACTACCAAATCCCCCTTTATCACGGTAGATCTATACCGTCGCAATCAAGAGCTCTCGGGCTCCTTTACTCCTCATCCTCATCCTCATTGACCAAGTAGCGGGGCTTGATGTCCTTCCATTGACGCTGTAGTTGAAGAACCGTTAGCAAAGAAGTCCGCTTCGAGCCGCGGGCAGATTGACAGTCGCCGCGGCGAGGGAGATAGCTGGGTGAAAGGGTATTGAGTCGGGAGAACATACGCCGGCGTTCAAGGTGTCCCAGATCTTGTTGGAAGCAGTGTCGAAGGAGCTATATCGCAATCGCTTTGTTAGACCGGTGGTATGACATGAAGGGGAGATTCGAATGTAACGCACAGCTCGAAAGCGAAGGCACCGGCGAAGATGGTGGTCAGGAAGACAGCATTCCTGCGGATGAGGCCCCTAAATTGGTCGAAAGAGTCCACGGTTAGAGTCCAGGCGAGCAATTGCGACCTTTAGGTCGGGGGTGAGAAGACGTGCTGGTAGATAGCGTTGGAGATCTGCGAATGCGACCAGGGTCAGTACGGAGCCACTCAATTTGCAGCATGCGGCTTGCACAGCAGTATCAGGAATAGGAGCACATACGCCGGCCATTGTGACGGGGGTGAGGGAGGTGACACGGGGTTTAGAGTCGAGGATGGGAGTTGGAGACGAGGTTTGGAAGTGGAAGTTCGAAGTTCGCGAGGACGAAAAGCACGGGAATTCCCGGTCCGCTGATTGGCCCGTGGGGCTCCGGCGGTTTCCCCATTTGCAGTGAATCACCACAAATATTTGGCGATGCAATTGCTCTGCACACTGACGACAATTTGACATTCCCTTAGATTTTCTTGCGGCCTTGCGCCTGGTCGGGTCGCAAACATCATTCTTTTCAAGAAATCCTTCCTCTCCTCTACTGTACCCCGCTCCTTCTCAACCTCGACATCGATCACCATGTCCTCCAACGTTTCCTCCGCTGGCATTACTACTGACGCCACGACCGGCGAGCGCTTTATCCCTTCTTCAACCCGTGCGGACGGCTCCAAGCGTCGTGAAATTCGCGTCCGACCGGGCTACAAACCCCCAGAGGATGTCGAGCTCTATAGGAACCGCGCAGCCGCGGCATGGAAAAACCGTGGGAAAGGTGGGGTGCCGGGTGCGGACACCATGAGCAGCGAAGACGACAAGGCTGCCCAGGCCGCGAGCACGGCCGCCAGCAACAAGAACGCCAAGCGCAGAGAGGCCAGACGCAAGGCGAAGGAGGCCGAGGGTTCTGAGCCTACCACCGAGAAGAAGGGTGCTGACTCTGATAACTGGCGCGTGGCAGCCCCAAAGAAAGAGGAGACGCCTGTTCAAGATCTCGTCGATATTGAAGCTGAGAAGGAGAAGAAGGCTCGCAACCTCAAGAAGAAGCTGCGACAGGCACGAGACCTGCGCGACAAGAAGAATGAAGGCGAACTGCTTCTTCCCGAGCAGCTCGAAAAACTTATCAAGATTCCCGAGCTGATCCGTCAATTGGACGTGCTCGGGTTCGACTCCAACGGCGACAAGAAGGAGAACGTCAACCCAGAGAAGGCTTGATCTACTGCCCCTGCAGACTCTCTCACCCACTCTCTGCCATGATGACGATACTTGCTATATGCAAATCCAACCTCAATGAACCTTCAGCTGGCAGGCGGTGTCATTCTATATCTCACCAACATCGAGGCACGCTACTCGACACTACCAAGGCATTTCATATTGTGATCAGCAACCCACTTTCGCCAGTCCCGCTTCGGGTTCGTGGGCCGCCTTGCCAATATCACACTCCACCTGCGGAAGCAAAACTTGCACGCATATCCCATGTGTAGGTCGGAAAGGTAACCTAATGCCAGTCGACCCAGTATCCGCCTGCAGTTATTGTGATAAGAGCAAGTGAAGTGGTTGATACAATAGTGTCTCTCATCCCTTGTTCTTTGGGAATCGTGCCTGTACAATAGTTTTGGTCGGATACTTGATGTATACCAGTTATCTCTGGTGCTTTACATTTAACATCTAGATATAATGCAACTATGATACAATCATTCATCTACTGTACAATACAGCCTCATCCAAGAAATTTTAATCCCGCGGGAAAGCATGACCACGAGACAGAACCCAGAAGAGCGAAGAGGATCAAGAGAAGGGGGAAGGTCAGGGCGCGACGAAGAATAATCCAGATCATTCAAACATCCGACTCAAACAGTCGCACCGGTGCAGTAGGAATACCACCCTTCAAATCCCAATTCCGGTAGTTGAACTCCTTCCACGGACACCAATCTCCAGAACCAGATTGGAGCTCATGCCGACCAACACCATGAGTAGCCGCCAGAATACCCTGTCTCACACAATCACCCACCCCAACACCATTATACGAGTTGCCAGCCAGAACAAGCCTGCTGTAGAAATCGTCCTTAACTGCGAGAGACAGCTGGTACATATTTTTCAAATGACCCGGTTTGTACTGCGGAATAGCATTTTCCTGCAGTCGGGTACGCACAACTGTCGGGGCGTCGGTGATGCCAATGTGTCTTTCGAGCATGGTTCGAGCCATGCGTACGGCGGTCTCGTGGTCTGGATAATCCCCCTTCTTCCATCCGTCCCAATAGTGGCCGCCGAACATGATTGTGATCTTTGTCCCCGAGGCGGAGTCTTGTGAGATGGTTGGGTATGGAGCAACTGGGCTCTCGCCAACGCTGGATGCCGAGGCGAAGATTACGCCTAGACCACACTCGGGGTTTTGTTCGTATGGAACGGAGCGTGGGATCAAGTAGCCGAAGCCATCCACGGGGAGCAGATTGGGATTTCGGTAGTACAGGTTGACCACCATCACGGTGGTCGCGCCACAATGCAATTGTAGTCTTTCGAGAGTGTCCGTGACCGGTTTAGAATGACTCTGCACTTGCAGATCGTAGTTCATTCGTCCCGTCTCCGGGTCCATAACTTCGCAGACTTTGAAGCGCGCCTTGGGGTCCAGGATGTTGGCCAACGCAGGGGCGGAGATTGCAGAGATTACATGATCGTAAGATTGGACGCTATTTGTGCCAGAGTAGATCTATTTTGGGTCAGTTCGATGGTCATATGTAGTATCAGTAATGGAAGGGCAGAAATATTACCTTTATTTGATGGCCTGGGTTGTCTGGCGGGTCCATGGACGTGATATCTGCATTTGTGACCACATCGACCTTGTCAGACGACCTCAACGAGTCAACCAAGCCTTCAACAAGCTGCTGTGTACCACGCTTAAAAGTAAAAGTGCTAGCTTTTTTGACCACCCTGAAGATATCTTCTGTGCGATCCAAAGATTCGGGCGTCTTGGTGATCGCATCCACAGCCAAAAAGTCATCCATTGATCTCGTCTTCTTGCCCATCATTGACTTCATAAGCAGGCTGTACAAGACGCCACCATCTTCCAGGTTGCGCATGCCGCCCATGATTGCCTGCGCGCTCATTTGATCAATGTCACCGGCGTAAACACCGTGCATCACTGCCGACACCAGATTATCCGCGACCTTGTGGTTGAAACGCCGAGTGATAAACTGGGCGATAGACTCGTCTTTGCCCCATAGCTCGGGGGCCGTGAGGGTTTGGTGTGCTCGAGAAGGATACCGGGTACCAAGCCTTCAAATAGCGGCTCGTTCATGACAGCCTGAAAGATATTCTGAATGTTTTGGGTGAACGAGAGACTGGGGTCCGGTGAGGGTAGGCGGACTAGATGGTCTGGATAGTAGATGTACCGATTCAATGCCGCAGGACTTCGCCTGGAGGTGGTGATCAATTCATCGAAGAGCCCTAGATTTGAGACCTGGAATAACAGAGCCAATATCAGTATTTTTGACTGGTCCAGATGAACAGTCCGTCAAGGCGCAGTTACCAAATACAGCAATGGCAGTGACGCCGGCATGGCACTTCTCAGTGTACGAGGACCATACTCAAACACCACATCTCCACCGTCCACAGGTATTGTTTCGGACTCCAGCCAGCCACCAAGGCGAGCAGACTTTTCGTATAGCGTGATCTTCGAGCATTGGGAGTCTTGAGCTAGCTGCCAAGCAGCCGTAAGGCCAGTGATACCGGCACCAATCACGGCGGCATTGTACGCGCGTTGTTGACCCCGGATCGCGGAAACTAGGGGCCTTTGCCTGGATCGGAATCCATTAGAGGCGCACAGTAGCCGCATCTCAATGGCAGTGTATCGAAGTCATTCGGATGATTGGGGAATGCGGCGGCCTCAAAGGTCTCCGGATGCAAGGTCCCGCGGCCGAGGCCGAGTGACTTACTTAAGCTCCGGCTGGGGCCGCATGGGCTGAGCTGCCCAGCAGCTTACAAGTCATATGATCTACAAGAACACAGGATAATTGACGTTCATCTGAAAATATCGTGCGAAGCAAAAATAATTATGCCTTCGCTGTCTTTCTTTCATGGTAATCGGGGAATATCTATGTACAGGCAAAAATAAGGACCTCATCATCACGGTCCAGTCAAACAAATGCATAAAGTATGAAACGCCCTCCCTAGTCACTATTCATCATCATGGATCAGATTGTGTACTGCATTGCTCCCATAAGTAGCAACCCCTTTTTCCTCCCAAACAATTTTGACACCAGTCAGTTAAGGCGTAGTCACGCGGTAAGCTCCTGGCTGTGTGCTGTCTCGTCTGCCTCGGGCTTAACCAATTCCTCCGGCGCGTTTTCATCTACAACAAATTTGCGCTCGCTAGTCGAACCGGATGCGGTCCAAACCTTGTCGCCAAAGTTACCACGCTGGCCCTCGGCGTGCTTGTATGTGCAGCGAGGGTTCATGCAGGGGTTAAACTTGCAAGCAACCTGAACGTGTGTGAACTTGCAACCCTCGGTTTTGCAGTCGGCGCCATTACGGCACAGCGGCATGTCGGGATGCTTGAAGTGGCAATGTGGATTAGTGCAGTTAGGGAAGAATCTGCACATCTCTTCAGCTTGGTGAGCGGACTTGACGGCTGGAGACGGGTGGCGACCAGTGCATTTGCGGTTCTTGCAAGCGGCACCGAATGAGCAGACGTCTGATACATCAATAGATGTGCCCTCGGGCGCAGCGGAAGATTGGTGTGCGAAGGGGCAGTCTTTGCGAGTGCAGCGAAGGTTGAATCGGCAGATGCTATTGGGGTTGCTCTCATCCTGCTCGCCGTCGATTCCAGTATCCATGTCAACATCGGCATTGTCTGCGCCCCGGTTTCGTTGTTGATGTCCCCCGCGCCCTCGGAAACGTCCACCGCGTTGGCCCTGGGGCTCGACACGGTCGAAGAGTGAGCGGCCTTGTTGGCCACCGTTCTGGAAGGCGGGGTTGACGGCGGGAGGAACGAAGCCAGGCATGAGTTGAGACATCATACGGGCCTGCTCTTCCAGCATAGACATGATCTGCATCTGATTCTCGGGACTCATCTGCATCATGCCGCCACCCATATTGCCCTGCATTCCCATTCCACCCATGTGTCGACCTCCACGGCCACCTCGGTTCCCCTTCATCTGGTTCTGTCCGTGGCCTCCGATGCGCCCATTTCCTTGGTGACCGCGAACACGGTGGAGCGCGCCGTCGCCTTGTCGGTCCAGGTTGCGATTGATCTGGTTCAGCATTCGTCCTCGACCACCTGGTCGGCCGTTGCGCATAGCCTTGGGGCCAGTGGGGCTGTGAAGTGAAAAGAACGTGGTCAGTAAATCACAAGGTACTACGTAGATAGAGCAATGAAACTTACATAGAATCGCCTGCATCGCCCATCTCTGCATCCATCCCGTTTCCTTGTGGAGTAAAGTCTTGAGCGGTGGCGGATAGCCCGTGGGAAGCGGTGTTGTTTGCCGTGGATGCACCGTTGATTTGTTGATCGAGGATCTCAACTTGACCGAAGAGCCATCTTGAGAACTCAAGGGCCTGTGTGTCACCCTCGTCAAGACCAAGGAAGTCGTTTGAAAGCTCAGTTGCGAGTTGTTCCTGAGTCTTGCCGTTGACAAGCATCAAAACGATGTATTCGATCAGAGCCGACTCCTGGCCGTCATCGGTGCTCCAGCCCATTTCCACCAATTTCGGGCGAACAGCATTAGCGACTGCAGTCGCAAGCTGCGAGTCTTGTGTGATTGTCGGAAGCATATTGAGGGAGGGTTGAGAGTGGCGAGAGGATCAAGTGACGGAATTTGAGACGTGGAGAGATAGCCGGTCTTCTTGCGCCACCGGGACAAAACCGCTTTTCGGATCGATTGGTCGTGGAAGATCAGGTATCCAAAGGATCAAGCGTTAATTATGAGAGTAATAGCAAAGAACCAGGTCCACACAGAGTCTGGTCGGGCAGCAGTTCAGAACTGGGCAAGTGAAGTTGACGCGATACCAGGAGCTTCCTGTTGGCGGTCGAAAATGCGACAAGATTAGTCACGTGGCTCATTATTCTGCAAACATGTCAAACACAACACTTCCCAAAACGGCATAGTATGTACCATCGTCGAAGTAATAATGATAGTAATGGATCAGATAGATGCAAACTCAAGCGAAATTTATTCTTCTCTTCTTCGATATTCTCGTCCTGGACAGCACAGAGTGAGTCAACTGATTTGATTGACCTGCGTTGAACCATTCTCGCCTTCAGGTATGTGTAACCCATTTGCTCTGACATTTTGGCCAGTATAAGCCAGCCAACGTTAACCACAGGGCTACAACAATCCTCAAATATGTCTTTCTCAAACCTACCCACAGAAATTTACCTCCTAATTGTCGAATCTTTGAGGTCTGAAAGTGACATGAACTCGTTATGTCAAACCAATAGACGACTCTACAATACCCTAAATCAACCCCTATATCGACGTAATTCTCAATTTAAAGGTGGCTCGGCACTACTTTGGGCTGCCAAATATGGAAAACTGGCTACAGCTCAACTATATATCCAGAGTGTATGTCCTATCACAATGAGAGACCCCCGCGGGAGGACTCCATTGATTCTGGCTTCACATTGCGGTTGCGAGTCAATGGTCAAGCTGTTATTGGAGACATCTGGGCCAATAGACGTGGATGAAGCAGACCGTTATGGTTACACTGCACTAGCATCGGCATCATTATCTGGCCACGATGGGGTAGTCAAGTTACTGCTAACAACTGGACAAGCAGACGCGCACAAATGTCGCAATGAGAGGTATCCATTCGGAATGGCTATTGACGGAGGGCATGAGGCAGTGGTGAAGCTGTTTCTGGAGTCTGGACAAGTGGACCTTAACGCACCTGTGTATTTCGGCCAGGTGCCAATATCTTGGGCCTTGCAGTGCAGACGACCGGCCATAGCCAAAATGCTAATAGAGACTGGTCAATTGAACCTAGATGTGGAAGATGATGTGGGTCGCACGCCGTTATGGTGGGCCGCTGCTGTTGGAAATGATGAAGCTATGAAGCTCATGCTGAGAACTGGACAGGTGGGCGAAGATATCGGCGTTTCGATCAGAAGGTGGCGGCAATATATCTTGAGTGCATGTGGGAGGTATGGCAGGTCTCACGGTCCATATTGGCCTGCCGAGGTTGGGCTAAGGAAGAGATGACATTATCTCTGGGACTGAGAGATCTGATTTCGGGAGCCATTGGGTCTTGATGCTCGTGGCATGTAGTCATGGCTCACGGTGGCTTGTTTGAAATTTGAAGTGGTGTTTGAACCTTAATACAAGCTACAGCGGGGATTATTAATGTCGCTTGATACGTCTTGCTTGGTTGCCCTGTTACTCAAATATATTGCTTCACAGTTCGATTATCTCTTCGTGCCTCTAACGGTTAGGTACTCGAACTTTTCCCTTCCCTTAAATTCCATCTATATCAAAAACCCTTAGCAAACAACCATTCCTCCTAAAAATGACAGAGGGATAATAAATTATTGACCAGACTCAACCTAGTACCTACGGGTAATGACGCCGATATACTTCTTAAAAGCAGATGGTTGTAGGGAAGTGTCGAACGCGGGGAAGAGCAACCTCTCCGGGAGTCCAAAGAACCTGCAGGCTTGACCTGGTCTTGCCCCATCCATAAGCCACTTGATGATCTTCGGAGACCAAAATAAATTCAATGTTTGTGAGATAACGCCCAAAGATTACAAGCGTCGCTCACTGTATATACCCTGGTAAGGTAGAGATATCGACGTAGTAGGGTTGAGCAGTTCCCATTAGTATGAAATATTCCGAATGTAGACCCGAGAGCTAACCAGGCTGTAGGGATGTGGAGGGTGAAACTTAATGCACCGAGGGGTCTACAGCATACTAATTAAACCCGAGGAGGCGAGAATCCTACCATCGCTCAAGAAAACATTCATACCCAGCTGTTGGGAAACAATATCATCTCCACCTGCAATACTGTCTGCCAATCACATACTAGCAAGTCATAAAATAGCGAAACGCTAACCGAACCATGATATATAACCTCCATTCCTAACCGCTGTTACCAATCCATATACAAAATAAAGTAAAAGGAGCCGTTAATACAAATCATCTCATACTTTCTGTCCTCTATATACAACAACCAACCAGCACTACTACAAATCCCCTCATCTACCTAATCCCCTCCCGCCCCAATTTCTAACCAACATCCGTACCTTCAATGCCAAAGACTACAAAACCCAAAACACCTTCCACCACAAAACCGTATCCCTCACATTCCCCCTTTACCTGCTCAACAAATACAACGAGACACTACGCCTCCTTTAGAATACGTTGTCTATGGTAGCAAGGTCCATGCAGATCTAAGATCCGCAAATCTCAACCACAGCATACTTAAAGCAAAGGAGGACGATCCATCAAGTCGACCAAAATTCAAATGCATCCATTGGGTATTAATTGCTGGACCTCTCTAACCACATCTGAAAAAAACCACGAAAACAAAGCACGAAGCCCGAGACCTCCAGCCCAGGTCAATAGAAACAAGACAATGCAAGCAGAAACACGGATGCAAGGCATAACCTCGAAAACGGAATTACGAAAAGAAAAGAATAAACACAAAACCACAGCGCAGGGATATAAGTTGACCTGACAAGGGGGTCTGGAGGGCTGGAAGCAGGCGAGAGAAGGAGGGGGGAGGGGGTTGGTTCTCGGGCTGAGGTGAAACATTCGCAAAGCATCGTTATTCGAGCATTTTCATTTCATCGAGGTACAGTCGCTGGTCTAGATAGCGTAGCTGGTGTATGAGCGGATATGCATATTCGTACCGCACTGCCGTACGGCACTGGGGTACTGCGTACTGCGTCTTGCGTAGTGCAAATCAATAGAAGGAGGAGGTAACGGGCACCAAGTGAGCAGGTGAAAAGAAAAAGAATAGACAGACATCACGGCATGCCAGTAAATACGGGAGTCGAAGTGGATTCGTCATAATGCGCCAGGACGGAGAGTGGGAAACAAAAAGGACAAACATAAAGATGACAGACCCCAAAAAGAAAACTTGATGACCAACAAGAAACCCAGAGATTCTCAACTCGGGCTACCCTAGGTAGGCTTGTCACATCCAATGCGTCCCAGCAAGGCTTTACGGTCACTCTGGTCAAAGGGCACACGGCCACGGCCTCGGGCACGCACAGAGGCAGAACCATTTGACCGCCGGCGGTCCAGGCCAGGAGCGTTCTCGTTAACGGCGATGGGGGTCGTGGTAACGCCCTCCTTGGCGGCCAGCCGCACAGTGCCGTTAGTAGCGGGGGTGTCGTCCGTCTCGAGCTCGTCTTCCTCGTCGCTGCGGGTATCCTCGGCAGCGCCGCTGCAGACGACGCGGTAGGCGACGCGGACGATCATGCTGAACCAGACGACGGAGAGGAGTTGGATGGATAGCAGGAAAGACAGGAAGATCCATTTGATGGTGCGGTTCATGCAGATTGGGTTCTCCAGGCCGCGGAAGGGTCCGAACATGTACGCAAAGCGGTCTGGGTAGCCGTTTGTGCTGATCATCTTTGCGGTGCTGCCCGAGTAGCAGCCGTAGGCCATCTGCTGGGGTATGTTCTTGTGGATTGACCACCACAGCATGTTATACAGGACGTGCCGGGTGACGACCCAGGTGGCCATGAAGATACCGAAAGCGACATTGCAGGCGTTTTGGAACTTGAGATATTTGAGGATCTTGGCTGACTGTTGCGAGAAGTTAGCAAAAAGTAAAACGCTGTTTTCCAACGAGAGACCGCAGGTCAGACGTACGGGAAGCAGAACGTCCACAATATCCATCAGGCACAGTACCACGTTGGACACATTGTAGAAACCGTAGATATAAGCCGAACCAAGCAGCGTGCTGGTGATAACGTGGTGCGACAACATCTGATAGTGATCCTTGCGCTTCTCCTCCACATGGATGACGAAGATCTGCTGCAGCAAGAACGCCAATTCCACCAAGATATACCACTTCATCAGGCCGCCAAGCGGACGTGCCGGCCACTCAACCCAAATCGCGCCGAAATCGAACCAATAGTAGGAATTCTTCCAGAGGTACTGCACAAGAACGAAACCACAAACCATTAGCCACCCAACGCAAATCCAATGGCAGATATTCCCAAGCAGCAACATACCAGACCAATAGCCCAAATGAAGCCATAATACAGAACCTGCCATCCCTGCTCGGCCAAGCGGAGCGCCGCCTTACGCTTCAATCCCATAGAGCGCCCGAGAGGCTGAATCACCCATTCAATAACAATAGCGCGAATCGCGGTGAGGGCCAGGGTCGCGCTAATGACAAAGCACACATCACCCCAGCCTGGGACATATGTGTTGGAGGCGGGGTCGTGATAGGAGAGCTCGAAGAAAGGCTGGGTATACGGGCGCAGCGACGGGTAGAGGTTATGAAGAGCCAGCAACATGGACAAAATGGTCAAAGAGATACCTATAAGGAGGCAATTGCCAAGGGGGCAGGAGTTAGCTGGACAAGATCTTTTGGCAAAGACAGCATGCCGAGGCTAGAACAGACCCCAACACCAAGGTGGGAGAAAGAGGAAATATATCAACAAAGAAGAAGACATGGAGGACTCTGCGACAGCCAGTGCCTGCCTGTATCGTGAAGAGGCTCCTCCATCTCCATCCGTTCTCGAGGGCCGGGGATCTCAGGGTTCAATTGCATACCGATTTGGTTGGTGACCACCCACTCCCGGAACGTGGTCTCCTTGGCTGGCCGCGGGCCGCTGGGGCTGGACACATAGCCATTGAGCTCCGCGGCTGGTGGAGGCGGCGCGATCGTCTCTTTGGCCATGGGGAAAGAGAGACGAGGGGTCGCAAAGAGGGTTTGCAGGGGAGGGAGAAAGAGAAGAAACCTTTTGAGAGTCGTGGAAAAAGGGTTTCTTTGCGGCCGGGGACAGGAAAACGGAGTCGAGGGTTTCTGGCTTTTGGCGCGGGCACTAATTAAGCTGAGGGAGAGGCGAGATGGGTCTAGAGGAACGGGTCTGGAAGCCTCATAGGCGGATCCGCCGCGCGGTCAAACAAAGCGAGCAGAGCGAAAAAGGGATTTCTGCAAGCAAGATATGCTTTTTGGAGGGGGGGGGGGGGGGGGGGGGGTAGAGATTATGAGGTTCTTGCGAACGAGAGAATTTTTGGAAAGGATTGCCAGAATCCGATTGTAGCGAGGGACGGAGGAGGGGGAGGGGGAGGGAAGAATAAATTGAGGAGCAATTGAGGGGAGAGAGAAAGGAGGAGGAGGGGAAACGGTGAGAGCGAGCGAGCGCGAGAGAGACTCGTTTCAAGACCTTCTCCTCAACACATAATGATCGACGCCCCACACCGCCTCTCGTCGAATCGTGGGAAATTTTAGTCGAGGATTTTAGGGCTAAGGAGAGGTGTTGGATATGGATAAATCAAGGTCTTGGGTTATATTTACCATGGGAGGTGGAATATCTATCTCTGCGATTGATCTTTGAGTTAAGGTTGGGGGGGGGGAGCTGTTGGTATAGTTTTGCTCCTGCAGAGTGGTACCGCGCACTAAAAAACAAGGTACAGTCCCGCACAGGAGTGGTATGGACCGTGGGAGACGTACGGAGTACTCCAACTCGGGAGAAAAGTCTTTTATACTGTTATTTCTCTATTGGCGGATGTAGTATTCTCGTGAAATGACTACTCTTCTGTGTAATCTTTTCGGTATATATCCAAGACATGTACAAAAATAGAACATTCAAAATATCCCCCCACTATACTCCCCGTAGGATATACCCAACTTATTGTACTCCCTCAATCCAACCCCTCCGTAACACCGCGCACAAACTCATTCGCATTCATCCCCAATTGCGCCAAATCCACTCCTCCCTGCCCAGCCATCGCCCGCGACATGGCCCGAGCCACTTCCTCCTCCTCCCAAATATTATTAACCACGTCCACCCGCTCCACTCCCTCAATCTGCTCGGCTCCTTCGGAGCCTCGAGTGGGGTTCTCGACCGCCACCATCGCCTGCCAGTAGACATCATCGCGCATCTTTAGCGCCTTATCCCGGACGACCGCGTTGCGGGCCACACTCGCCGCATGGAGCTTGTTGTTAGCGCCCGTCAGCATGGTCAGCGCCGCGGACACCGCCTGGTTGACTTGATCCGCCTGCGAGGGCGGTTTGAAGAAGAACCGGTTGGTGGAGGAGAGGTAGATGATGATTGCACAGACCACGTCACACACGGCAAATGCCAGTGGCCGGAGCAAGGTAATTAGATTGTAGAGGCCGATGGGGGGTGTCTGGCCCGCCCGCACGGCGGGGGAAGCCGATGAGATTGCATCGTACCGTACGACAATCCAGATGTCCAGTGCTGCTAGCGCCAGGCCAGCGAGCGTGAATTTGGTTCGCCAGCGGGCAGCTTCGCGGCCGGCGAAGGGGGCGGACGTGGCTACGCCGAGGATCAAGAGGTGGACCAGGTGCGGCAGGAGAATGTGGAATGGCATGTAGTAGAGTAGGTAGGTATTGAGATCCTCAAAGGAGCAGTATTGGCATGAGACCAATGCATCTGGGCCGTAGGTCAGGTAGACCTTGCGGGCCCCGAGGGAGGTGAGTTTCTCGCGCAGCCGCACGTCGGGGTCGGTTAGGAGGCCGTCGGGCCGGAGGCGCGATAGACGGTGGAAGATCACATCGATGGGGGTATTGATGCGCGAGCGAGTGAGGGAGAAGATGTTAGATTCGGGGGCGTGAGGGTTGAATGGGAGGCTGAGGACGAGGAAGACGGCGATGCTGGCGAACAAGAGGTTCACTGCGCGATTGGCGCCAGCTGGAATTGGGCGTGGAGGAGGCCGGCTTGAAATTGATACGCGTAGACTGCGGTATGCTGTGATCAGGCGAGGAAGGAGGACGGGACCGAAGAAGATGAGAAGAGACTTGACGCTGTGAGAATTGTTAGAGAGCGCACATCAGAGGAGGGTGCGGAGATGGTGCGGAGTGCTGGAATGAGTGGAAAATCACTTACGTCCCCCAAGAGATCCCGATGCCAGCCATGGTTGTAGCCAGCGGATAGAGGATCTCTATCGCATCTGAAAAGCAGACGCGATTTTGGAATTTGAGGTGGAAGGAGCGTGGACTGGGAGGAAGAGACCAACTATTGTAATTCGAGCTTGCACTCGGGGCCAAAGGCGGTCGCCTTTGGGGGGCTGTCAGAGGCAGCGACTCCGTCGTATACTTCCCAACAGCACCACCTGTTGCATCTCCACTCCACAACCAATATACAACGACCACCTCATGACAATGGCCTTGAATGGATGCTCTTGACTCGTCTACAGTTACATGAGCAATTAACCTTCTACCACGCCATCTTGAAAACATCACAATCATGGTTCTCATTCAAAAACAATCAAAGCGCTGGCTAATCATTACAAGGGCATTCGAATTCGAGTTCAAAGAAACCAAGAAAAAGAAAAGAAAAATTAAAAACATCAAACACCAACTAATGCATATCCCCCCAAACGCCACCCCCAATGCCCCAATCCCAATCCACGCAACCACACCTCAAACCATACTCGAGCCATGCCCATAGATAGGATGATGCGCTGGGTCCGGCATCGCAACGCCCGCCGAATCACGCGAGTACCGAGAAGACGCGGCATCGTTAACAGGTGGAGCGTGCAGACTATTCCCATTGCTGGTGGGATTCATCGGATTGGAGATTTTGATGGGGAAACGACCTGTTAGGCGCTTGGTGAAACGCTTGGCGGCGGACTGTGGGGTGTAGCTTGGGAGCGAGTCGTCTTCACGCTTCATATTCAGACTGGCTTGGAAGGAGCGGTTGCTACTGGCCCGACTCACCACCTTTTGGGGCGCGACGGCCCCGTATTGTCGGACGTGCCGGGCGCTGAGGCCCTGGGTGCGGTCGGTGAAGATGAGCGTCTGGTGGTGGTTAAGATATATCCGTCTTGGGGGAATGGGGAGAGGGGGTTTGACTTACTGCTAGGACATTCACGAGGCTGACGACCATGGCGAGGATACCGGCTGAAATTACGATTCGCCAGAAAGTCAGGCCAAGCGACCCTTGGCTCATCGCTTTTGTGTTCAGATTGCCCAGGACAGCGACGCCGAGGATCATCATGATGGCTGCCAGAGCGAAGAAGCCGGCCTCTTCGCCGAACATGGGGTATCGGCGGTTGAAGAACCCCCGGAAGAAGGGGAGCTCTGAGATGATGAGGGCGACTGTTTATGATCAGCACGTTTTCAACCTTTTTATGTTTTTGCGGGACTGGGGAGAGAAACGCATTCGCTGGAAACTTACTGCTGACGAGGGCAATGACTGCATGGGTGACGGCTTGGAAGAAGAAGAACCCGTTGGTCATGTTGATCTTGACCAACATGACCGCACAGGCGGCAATGATATCGAGGAAGACGATGATGTTGAGCGCGCGGATAGTATTGAGGATCACATACCCTGGACCAGCCAGAGACTCCTTGAGCTTCGACATCATGACTCTTTTGGATAGCGCAAGATGCAATGCGAGAAGGTTAAAAGCTGCAGAATGAAGACCCACCAGGTGGATCAAATAATCTATGTCGATGTGCGTTGATATGTCTGTATTGTGTTTCTGGACAAGACAAGACAAGACACCCGTTGGGCTGTGGACAATTCAAAAAGGACTGAGGAAGGAAGTCACTGGCCAGCAGGAAACCGAGTCCCAAAAAGAAAGCAACGCTGGAACAATGCGAGATCAACTCGAGGAGCGAAGAGAAAGGAGAAGAAGAAAGAATAAAAAGGCAGAAATAGACTGAATAATAAGAGAAGGGCTTGACGGGTGTGATTCATCTGGTTTCTATTTCATTCATTCCATCCCGCGTGGTCTGCAGGCGCCGAACAGTCTGCAACAAGACAATCAGCCTATGAATAGCCGAATCTGAAACAATGGAGAGAAGATACTAGACTCACCAACCTGGACAAAGAAAATAGACAAAGGCAAGGTCAGTTGGTTGTTTGGGGTATTTTGGGCAACGCAGCGAAGCAAACCACTAGTCTGCTACCTCGAGGCATCATTCGAAGACAAACATTATCAGAGATGTCAGGCAGAGATTGTTTCAAGGCAGTCCCGAGGATGCTCATTGGCAGGCACCACAAATAGAGCTGATGGCTCGACTGATTTCGACTAGGGGATCTCTGCCTGAATCGAGTCTACTGTCTGGGATAGCTTCGATTCTGAGCTATTCTTCAGGATCTCAAAGGGATAGGGTGGGAGCTGTCGGTCGTCAAGATCATGAAACTAGCCCCAAACTAGCCCCATTCTGTAGGCGCTTAAACGATTGGCTGAGAGGTGCAATCGGCAGAGTATATACACTACAAGTATGAACTACCGACAACCGTGTGGCAATCTTGATATCTCGTTCGATCTCGCTCCAACACGTAGAAAGTGGTAGCCCAAATACTCAACAATCGGTAAGATCCCCAAATCTTCAATCTCGATACACCCAGGAACTGATCGAAACTATGCGCTGGTCTACGCGCCCAATCACGGCGGCACCCCAACCGCCCAGGAGTCGTACAGAAACTCCTCCCTCCAAATGACGGGCATCAACAAGTTAGTCCCACAGTCTAGTGTCCCACCAGTCTCCAATAATTTCCCTTGTTTCCCATGTCCACCAGATGAGGCTGAAAAAGGGGAAACGAGACGACATCCCAATATATGCCAACCATGATGTCCATGGATTCTCGGCCCGGCCCTGATTCGCCGACGCTGCGCGGTTTTAACGCCGGGGGAAGCGCCCCGCCCCTCTTCTACTTTTTTTCTTTCCTCTTCCTGGGGGTCATCATCAACCAATCCGTGCGACTGTGCGCCTGTTCATTCCTATTGTTGTTCTCGCTCGATTTTCTTTTGTTATACCTATATCCAGCCCGCAACAAAATCTCCCACCATGACCCGTGGTAATCAGCGCGATACTGACCGGGCCAAGGCCCAGAAGAAGGCGGCCTCCTCGGTAAGTTATTGATCTATGGAGATTCTGCGATTTGCGACATATGCCCGGACAAGGTTGCTGATTGTTGTTGTTTTGTTTTCCAATTAGAAATCTAAGAACACCCTGTCGGGAACTCAGTTCCAAAAGGCCAAGGAGGATGCTGCTACTATCATGCGCGAGAAGCAGAAGAAGGGTATGTATAATCCGACCGCGCTCTTCCATCCTGCACAAGCTAATTAACCTGGTTGTCTGTCTACAGCCGATGAAAAACGAGCCGCCGAAGCCGCCGCAGCGGGGAAAAAGAAATAATAGAATCGCCCTTTCCTTGCTTAATGTCCAACGCCCTCGTCGCACACTCCTCCTATCGTCAATTTCGTTGGAACCGGATACACTTGGCGTGGTGGCGGGGCTGAGCGCGCGGCCAATTTGCGCGATGGACAATCTTTGGACAATCACTCTTTTGGAGACTGCGAGTGCGAGCGTGATGCAATGCGATGCTACTACAAGGGTGATAAGGCTCTGTATGGAAGGAGGATATAAGTACATAGATCATACCCACCGGATTTTCAAAAATATCCCCGTCATGTTTAACGGGGCCGGTGTCTAGCGAGGCGTTTTCAGTTGTCGATACGGCGTTTATTATTCTACCTCCTTTCCTGCTTTGCCTTCTTGGTAAAATTATGTTATAATGAGAATATCAACGAGTCCGTGGTTAGGATTCCCGGGGATGCCCATATATCCGAGGGATGGAGGGTGGGGAGGAAGAAAGGAGGGAGAAATAATCGCTATATAGTACTTCCAGGTACTATCATAGATCATGGCTGGAGCCATATACAGCCCAATAGGCCCTGGCTCTAGCCAGCCGTGCTCGCCATGGCCACTTCGTTGAAGATGGTTCGGCAACGGTAGGTACAGGTTCATGTCCCTCTTTATCGTAGAGAATCGTATCTTCCACCACGCTCTCGAGATCAAATTGGCGCACCGCCTGATCAACGAATGTCCACAGACTCTCGCCTTCCCATCCCACGTCCCGCGCGAATCGAAGGACTCTGCCAACGGCATCCACTTGGAGCTGTCGTTCCGGGACGTGACTGAGTAGGTATATCCCAAAGGACCAGCCAGAGATATCGCGTGGATTGGCAAGACACCAGTCCAACACTGGATCCACCAGCTTATTCGCGAAGAGAACTGCCAAGCTCGAAGGGTCTTTCGTCTCGACAGGAATCATTGCGAGAAGAGCGTGCAGCTGTCGCATATAGGTGAATGCATAGTAGTTCTTTGGGTGGAGCTCTGCGGCGCGGAGGACAACGGCCAGCTCAGCGCGCTCCAGCGCCAAAAGAGTTTCTGGGCTTTGATCCTCGAGTTTGAGGAGCTGCTTCAGCACCCATAGTCGATGTGACCACAGGGTAGGGGACTTGGTATGTCGATGTAAAGGTGAGCATTGATAGCTCTGCAATAGCGTAAGCTCCGTCTTCAAGATCTGGATCAACTGGGAGCGTCGATCTGGAGCATCGTGTCTGCGGGCAAGGGCAGCTACCAGTCGGCGTTTGCGCCAGTTACAGGCGGTCAAGTGCTCGCAGTCGAAGAGCAGCATTATCTCTGTGGTTACGAGATCTGATATGATGCCGTGACTTTGACTGTTGTTCGGGAGATTGGCGAACAAGTCATCCCCCGTCATGGGCATGAGCCTTTTGAAGAAAAGCTTTCGTGCAACCGTGTAGGCCTGGACTAGTAGTTTCTTGGTGATGCCGATAGAGCATCCGTCTTGGAGAAACGGGGAGCCTGGACTGGGCGGGATGATCTCGATCTCGAGGATCTCATTGCCTCGAGAAGCAAAGACGCTGGCAAGCTGCTGGAATGCATCGTCTGGGATAGTCATGGATGATCGATTATGAATTTGCACGTAACGAGAATCAAAATGAAATCATATATCCAAGCATGACTTGTCGTAATCTCCTCTCGCGAAAGATTATGGTTTTGTGGAGATGGGTACTGTATGTTGTTCCATAGTGCAGGGGCACAAAAGTGGAGGCGGAAAGCCGCTTCGAAACCCGCGATTCGATTTCCAGCCAGATCGCCCTCCGCACGTCATTTTTCCCATCCCGAAACCTTCAAGCTTGACCACCAGCAACGACAGGTGCTCCTTTACAGCATCAGCATAGCTTCTCAGTCTGAAGGTGTATCCGTCAGTCACATTTCCACCACTATAGCTTGGCCTTCGCGCTAGACTCGGAAACACACCCGGGCCTACTGGCCAACCAGCCCCGCCATCATGCTATCCCTCGTGCTCACGATCTTGTTCGTGCACATTGCAATCTACCTAATTAACACGATTGGTGCTTCTACAATCGATGGACTGGTATGTGCATCCATATTAAAGCTCCATATCCCGGAGATACCCCCCCCCCGGCGACGCCCTCAACGCGTTGCAAGCCCGATATCCAGCTGACACCCATCACCTCTACTATCTAGCTATGGCAGCTCTACCTGAAACTACCCACATCAACTTCCCGCAACGAGCGCGAGCAGCAACGCATGAAGCGCGAAGTGGTCCAGCTCAAGCGTGAAATGAACAGCACCAGCTCGCAAGACGAGTTCGCAAAGTGGGCGAAGCTGCGCCGGAGACATGACAAGAGTCTGGAGGAATACGAGGCAATGAGTACGTGACCAGCGGTCTAAAGCCCACAGCCCAAAGCATGGACATTCTCCAATCCCCTGTTCAAACGGTACTCCGCAATTGAATCCTCCAACTAACACCCCACACCCATCCACAGACAAAACCATCTCCGCCCAAAAAACCTCATTCGACTGGAGCGTCAAAAGCGCCCGCTGGCTCAGCACAAACGGCCTCAAAATGTTCCTGCAATTCTGGTACTCCAAGACACCCGTCTTTGCGCTGCCGGCTGACTGGTTCCCCTACTATGTGGAGTGGGTGTTGTCGTTCCCCCGCGCGCCGCTAGGTTCCGTCAGTATCCAGGTATGGAGCAATGTGTGCGCAACGGCTGTTGCGTTCCTGGGAGAGATTATTGGGGCTTTGCTCGTGCAGCTGCTTAGCAAGAAGGAAGCTGTGCCGGTGGGTGGGGAGGCGAAGAAGGCGCAGTGATGAATCGAAAGCACAGTGATATGGATATGATTGTTCTATGAGGGCTGGGTGTCTTGTATTATAAAATGGGGCGTCGAGTGCCGGGTATAATGAGTATCGCATAGCCATTGCATTGATTTCCATCTATCAATTCTCCCGCGATAGGTTGGTTGCTCAGCGGTCATCGAGTTCAGACTGGGTTCAATCTCGGTGAAAAGCACTGCCCGTAATGGACGCGTAGCTAGAGCAAGAGGATGAGAAGCACATGGTTGTGACTGTATATTCCAAGGCGCGCTGAACTCACAGGCTAGAAGCCTGAATACACTTGGTCATGTCTGTCACCAGCATATCAGCAGCGCACATCACGTTAGAGAACGCGAAGGAGCATCTTGTCGGCGCTTCATGTGTCTATGCCTGCTCAGGTCTCTATGTCCCCCTGCTCAACTCGAGGAAATCCCAAGTTTTATGCAGTTCAATACGGGCCAGGACTGAATTCAAGCAGCGGTAGGCTTGGGGCCGGCTTGAGATTGGGGGAATCAGTATAGGACAAGCAGTTATCTAACCTTAGAGGTTTCGCTGTTGATGATTATTGAGTGTGTAGGTTTGCTCTTGAATATCGTCTTCAATGACAGGGATACGCCTCTAGGTAATCCATGCCTGGATTCCATGGTTTGTAAATTCTAGGAATGTACTTGAGGTATCCATCTGGTGGTATCCGATTGTTACCTGATCTGGAGTGCGACTCCGTAGATAGACTAACAATTGAGGAATATGTGGAGATATTCTGAGGTGCACTTGGGAGACCCCTTATGGTGCTCTGATGAGACAAAAATTATCAAGCTTCTCTTTCACCCAGAGGAATTCAACGAATGAATATGAGGAGCGGACAATAATAGAAGAGTATGTAGAGAAGCTGGGTGACAGGATTATAGTGTCAGCCACTAAAGCACATTATTATATTCGTCTATCTATTCTTCAATATTCATCATGGGTCTGAATGTAGACAACCCACTCTGGAGCTGGCGACTTCTTAGCGGAAGAATAACTGGGTAATATTGCTAAAGAGGCAACAAAACGCAAGCCAGTCAAGATATTCATCAGATATATGAAAATCGTTTCTCGTCAAGGACCCCCTGCTGTAGCTAGGGAATCTCGGGGCTTGACTCTATGATTGGTATATCATCACGCGAACATAAGCTCATGGCAAGAGACAACAAGATCATCTCCAAAAGAACCTGTCTCAAGAGTCCGGCCCCTTCGACAGGGCTTCTGCAAGGACCAAAGGCAAACAAAAGCCTAGTCCATCACCGCTTTGCCATAAGCTACAGACTCGAATAAAAAGACAGGAACTCCTCGCCTCAAGAATGAGCCCCATTGAGTTACCCCGTCCACAAAAGTGAAACAAGGGCAATCGCATGACTATCGAACCACGACGAAAGGCAACCCAATACAAGAGAAGACCGAAGTCCCCCCTTCTCCCCCTCCAACCCCAGGCCGCACGCCCCATTGTAACCAGCGGAAACTGTCGGACGGCGAGCACAGGAGCCGGTGGGAGTAGGGCGTAAGCCGCTATCGAATTGCTTCTATGGCGGCGCGTTTCCGCATTGCCTGACTTGAAGAACTCTGGAAGAGCGCAGGGTGTCCGGGGACTTTCTCCCAAAGCAAGTGTATGAAAGAAGAAGATTCTTCTTTGTGTGTGAGCTTTGAATGCGATTCTTTGAGCGAGGAGTTGGAGGGAAGAAGAAGGGAAAGAAATTTTGCCGTGGGTCTTGTGTTTTTTTATGGGACGAGGCCAGCGGTCAGGTGACCTCGGAGCTAGGTCATGTTGGGACGAATGGATCACGTGATGGCCCACTGGTCCTCTCGCGTTTTATAGAGTACATTCCAAGTTCATGGCAAGTGATTATTACTTCTCAGAAATATGGTGATTATATCCAGATTGATGCAGATTCTACCCCTAGGAGGTCTAATTTAGTCTTCGGGGACCAGCTTTGGAGTACTCAGTAGTTCAAAATAATGCATGACATGGCTATGGACAGAAAGAAAATGACGCCCAAAAAAAAATTTTGTACACCCATTACGCCTTGGCCTTGGACTTGCCAGTCTTCTTAGCCGTCTTCTTGGTCTTGGTGGCAGGAGACTTGGCTGCTGGAGACTCTGTCACGACCTCCTTAGGAGTGTCCTGCTCCGTCTTCTTGCCCTTCTTCGTCTTCTTAGGGGTATCATCAGTGGTGGCGGGGGTCTCGATGGCCTTCACAGGCTCCTCGGTGGCCTCCTCGGTAGCCTCCTCGGTAGCGGCAGCCTCAACGGCCTTGGGCTCCTCTACCTCCGGCACCTGGATGGGCACTTCCTCGACGGCCTTGAGCTGAGGCAGATCGATCTCGTAGCCCAGAGCCTTCAGCTTCTCAGCCTTGGCCAGACGCTTGCGCTGCTCCTGCTCAATGCGCTTCGACCACTGGTCGCGTGTCTTGCCCTTCAGCAGACGCTTCCGCTCAATCTGGTTCCATGGGGTCCGCTTGAAGCGGCGGTTGGCTCCCTTCCAGACCTCGGGGTGCAGCTGCTCTGCGGGAACGAACTTGCACTTAAGGATGTGGCTATACATCAGGTAGTTGTCCATGGTCTCGGCAACAATTTTGGCGACAGTGATCGAGGCGAATTCGATGAAGGCGTAGTGCTTCGAGCGACCGGTCAGGCGGTTACGTGAGAGGCGGAGCTTGGTGATCTCGCCAAACTGAGAAAAGTATGCGCGCATTTGGTGCTCGTAGAAACCGTGAGGAATGCGTCTGGGAGCGAGGGATTAGCATATGCGATCAAAACGAAGCAAGGCATTAGATAGTACAAAACTTACCCGACATAGACGGTACCAGGCTCATTCTTAGCCTCACCCTGTTGGAGCTTCTTCATCTTCTTCTCTGCCTTCTTGGTATCGGGAATCTTGGGAATTGGCATTTTCGAGTCATAGCCCTCGTCGCCGGACTCGTCTTCGTCGCCGCTGCTCTCGAAGCCCTTGATGAGGGCGGCAGTCTGATCATCCTCAATATCATCCGACTCTTCTTCACTCTCTTCGGACTCGGCAGCGTCAATATCGAATTCCTCGTCGTCAGACTCCTCTGGCGCCTCTTCTACCTTCTTGGGCTTCGGTGCAGGCTTAGCGACTTTGGCGGCGGCAGACTTCTTTCCAGGCTGTGCGGAGATGGTCTCATCCTTCTTGGTCTTCTTGTTGACGGGCTTCTTCTCGGTGGCCGGGGCAGGCTTCTCACTCTCCTCATCGCTGAGGAAATCGGCAGCACGCTTGCGGGGCTTGGCCTGGCGAGCGTGGGCACCATTGGCCTTCGCAGTGGACTCAGACTTGGTCTCCTTGGGCTTAGCAGTGACCTTCTCCTTCTTCTTCAAAACGGACTTGGGAGCGGCATCTTCGACGACTTTGGCGGCTTTGGCCTCGACTTTCTTGGTTTTTTCGCAGGAGAATCGCTGGCGACAGGTGCGGCTAATTTGAGGTTAGGATCGTGGAAGTCAATTTCAAAAGATGACACATATTCAACATACCCTTGCGCTTGCTTCCCTTCTTATCAGGAGCCATTTTGACTCTGGTTGACGTGAATTGAAGTCTGGTGGTTGCACGATCTCTGCCGAAACTTTTTTTTTCGCTGACCAGCATCGAAGGCGGTGAGTCTCCACCAGCCGCCAAACAACCAAGGCCAGACCTTATTCCACCTCCGCCTTGAGAGGCTTATGGGCGGCCATGGGGAAGTCTAAAAATGATCAGTCCCTGACTCACGAGGAGATCTGGGATGATTCTGCTCTGGTGCACTCTTGGGACGAGGCCGTCGAAGAGTACAAGGTACGTAAGGACTACCTCTCACGTGACCGTTATCTGACTGACATTGTTGATGACAGCTCTATCACAGCATACATGCTAAGGGCGAGAACGTTGAAGATGTCCTGAGAGAGGCCGAAGCAGCAGGTCTTGATGAAGTAGGTACTGCTCATGGTGGAGGAGATGTGGTTGCTGAGGACGATGCCATGGAGGCCGAGAGCGACCTAGTTGAAGACCAAACAGCTGCCAATTTCACACAGGTATGGAGGCATTTAGAGCAACGTCGCGTTGGCTTCCATGATTACTGATCTTGTCCCAGGCCAGTGAAACCTTTGCTCAAGCAAAGCACCCAGTTGCTGAAGGAAGTGGTGCTACCACCGGCCCAAGTCCGACCTTTCCCACTGGAGCCATGCCTATGCCTGGCGCAGTGCTTCCCCACGGTAGGCCCCTTCCACTCTAACGTTTACGACATGGTCAAACTAATGTATTTCAAGTTCAAGATGAAAATCTGAAGAACCTCATGATGTCTTGGTACTTTGCAGGGTACTATACCGGCCTCTACGAGGGTCAACGACAAGCTAACCAGCCGAAAAGCTGAAAGTGCATGTTTTGACTTGGGGGCAAACTTATCCCAATGTCAAATAAATTGAGGCTGTCGAATGCCGAATCAATGGACAACGTCGGTGCTCACCGAGGGCATTACTTCTACCCTATCAGATGAAGCACGAGAACAGCTTAATATAAAAAGACCTCGTGGATATGTTCAACTAATGTTCATTGAGATACCTAACGGGTTTCATTAATCCGATCCCATTCTCCGCCACAGGTAAAAAGTCCCAGTTGAAACAAAGTATTGTCCTTCCAAGTGAACACCGGATATAGAATTATACTGCATCGAGTCTTCCAAGGCCCTCATCGTCTGTCTTCAACTGTTCAAAATGACGTTCAAGTCATTTATAGAGTACCACCAGTGCCACCCAGGAGGCCTCCAAGAATTGGGATTTTGCCCAACGCGTTCGGCTGGGAGGTAGGATGAGAAGTATGGGTGGCAGTAGGTGTCTGGAAGTTGCCAGAGTACAGGCCCTTCTCTGTGGGGGTGGCAGTAGTGGTAGCAGCAGGGGTATCAGCAGCAGACAGCTTCTCATCAACCTTCTTTTCCGCCGCGGTAGAGTCCTGCTTTGGAGCTTGGTTGTTCTGGTCATTGGAGTCCTTATTGCCCAAGCCCTTCATGAACTTGGTCGCATCCTGTTATCGAATGTCTAAGGTTAGTATGCATGATTGTGAAGAGATTTGGATCATACGAACCTGCAACTCCGACAGAGCAGTGTCAAGTCCCAGAACTTGGCTCTGATCGCGCTTGGTGGGCATTGAGATGGCGAATGCCGCGAGGACGAGGAAGACGGCGAGGAAGGAGAGGCTGAATCGGGCCATTTTGGTTCAATTGATTCGAGTATAGTTATTAAATGAATGTTGTGGTACAGGCTGTAAATGAGTGTATCCTGTAGAGAAGAAGGCAAAGGGGACAATGTGGGAGCCAAGAGAAAAATCGCGCGAGCTTTATATCTAAGCCCCTTCTTTCCTTTGTCCCTACAGGGCAGGAATGGGACGCGATTTGGGAGGCAGGGTGAGAGCCCTAGTTGGATGGACCAACATGGTGTACATTCGCTGAGACGCGAGGTATTTTAGCTATAAGATGTACATATAAACAGAAGACCGTGTTTCCACTCGACCCAATGTACCGGCGCTTTTCGGAGGATATGAAACAGCATCTCATGGGACGTGAAGATATGCGATTAACCAAGTTTGTTGTTCAATAGAGAGCCTCGAATCACAGCGACCAACAACGCGTTGAAACAAGGGATGTTCTCATTTATTCAGGCTCTACAGGGACTTAGGAGCAACCCAGTTGAAGGGTCACGGAGAAATTAGCAGTGGGCCCTTTACATTCCTCTGAATATTTGAGGAATATCTTCGTTCTGTGACTGTCTTCATACCATCAAATGGACTCCTCGGGAGAGGTGGAAATTATTGTAACTATAGGCAAAGAACGAAAACTCGACAGCAGAGCATCAAGTAGTACTCTTATGATAACCTTAAAGCATTGAGTTGAGGATGGACTGAATGTTTATCAAAATGATTTTAATTAAGTGTATAGTATGGTATTAAGCTGGCAGCCAGGTCCACGAAGCAATGTGAAGATCATCATCTCGTCCACATTCCACAACAATCGGAATCGAACACGAACACCACGACGAGTGCCGGTCTAACCGCGCCAAATCATGAGACAATGATCGACTGAAACACGTCTTCCGAGATAGCAAGGAATGTATCTCCCTACTTTGACACGCACAGCCCCATATGAGAGGGGCGGACGCAACACGAGGGAGTTTCCAGAAAGACATTTTGTCAAACTGTGAAAGCTCACTTTCGGCACAAATTTGACCTCGAATATCATGGAGAGCTGAAGGAGACGAGACTTCGAAAGTGCCAGGTGGAGGATGGGGGAGTGGTAGGTAAGACAGAAGGTGGATCTACGCGGCGGGGGGCTGAGGGTGTCCTGGTTTTGTTAGTAGTCGCTGGCGTAGGATGTCTTTTCTAGTACGTCCCCAGTAGAAGTGACGATGCAATTGCAAGGAAAAGACATTGATTTCCGCAAAAGCATGGTCAAAGCTCCAAGGACGTAGGAGTCGCAGGTAACCAGCGACGGGTGCAGGTGGCTTTCATGCCGGGATAGACGTGGCGATAACACGTTCTTGTCAGAACAATGCGACCGGTACATCCCAAGTTCCATCCTATCTGAATAACCCGAAGTCTCAGATTTCAACAGGCAGGGGAAACAGATCCCTTAACCCTTGAAGGGCAGGGTGTGTGTGCTCAAAAAGCGAACCCAATCGCCTCGATGAGGAACGGGAGAACCGATCCAAAGGGCAGACGTCGGGATTAGAACGAGCATCTATCGCTCTGGGTCTCACTCTAAAATTTGCGGATGGAATTGAGTCCAAACACAAGGGTATGTTGGAGACCGTGAATATGTTGAGGAAAAGAAAGGGAGAAGCTTGTGCGGCAGGAATTTCTTAGACGGCGCGACAAGATGCTTATGTAATAATATCACGTGCCTAATTGTTTTGTGGGGCAGCTTGTCAAGACCAAGAACATCTACCAAGTACTACAGCGCAAATCTCGACGATAAAATATGATTCATTTCTGAAGGAATAATAAATTGAGTCTATATATTTCTTTTCACTGTCGTCAAACTTGAAGCCGTGTCAGCCCTGCAATCAGTCTTTTAACACTGGCAAAAGAACACTTTAGACGAGGCTCTTTCCAAAGAACTCGACACACTTCGCACCAGCCTCATCAACCTGGTCATATAGGTCTGCATGAGTCAGCCCTTCAACGACATGTAACTGCTTGGGCTCCTTGGCCTTCTGCACCGCATCCTCACTGTACCACTTAGTAGCCGCCTTGGTACCAGTGATCATCAGCAATGGTCGGGGGCTGATCATATCGATATGCGCAAAAGCATCAAAGTTGCCCATGATATCCCAGCTGCGAGGCAAAGTGGTATTCGTCGCGCGAGGATGGAAAGCACGCGGAGTCCGATAGTAGTTCATCAAGTCCCGGAACGAGTCTGGGAAGTCTGCCGGGGCATCTTCCGGCTTCTCAGGAAGCATATGGACAATGGGGACCTTCTCGCCGCCCACATCGCTATTGCGATCCTTTGCAGCAGCTTCGAGCTGAGTCTTGAGGATATCCATGTTGGAGGAATCCTTTTCGTAGCCACGACGAGCCATGGTGCCGACGCATACTGCGGCCGCGGTCGCGCAGGCTTTGATGCGTAGATCGGTTTGAGCTGCGAACGGGGCATACCCACCCGAGGCGCAGATGCCGAGTACGCCAATCTTCTCAGAGTCGACATCCTTGCGGCTGACGAGGTAGGTAACGGCAGATTTAATGTCCTCGACACGCTGATAGGGATCTTCTAGATCGCGCGGTTCGCCTTCTGACTCGCCTTGGTAGGCGGCATCGTAGGTCAGACAGGTGAAGCCGGCTTGCGTCAGAACGCGAGCGTAGTTGGCTGGCGACTGCTCCTTGATGGATGTCCAAGGGTGAGCAATTACAATGGCCGCGCCAGAGCGATCGGGAGAGCCGGCCACGGGAGGGTAGAAGTGGCTGGCAAGCTTGTAGTTGCGGGAGGAAAAGGTGACGTTTTGTGGAGAAGACATGGTAATAGAATAAGTATTGAACGGATATATTCAATTGGATGGAATGAGAATTTCACTTGTTGAGGATTCCAGTCAATATATACTTTGCAAGTGGACGATGGCACAAATTGAGATGTCCGATAAATTTCGGGAATCCTGAAGCTTTTCGGCCATCCCAGCTCCCCTGGGTTATGACATCAGCAGTTCAAACCTTAGAAAATGTCGAGCGAGATATGTCATTATCAGCGCTTATAAATCGAATACTTGAAAATTTGATGATTGTAAGTCTCTAAATGTCTAACTAGCAAAAGCCCGCATTTCGATCAAACATCTTAGTTGTCGAGGGCAAAGAGCGTTGGTTCTTGTCGTCCTCAAATTCCAGTCTCACCTGTTCAGCAAGATCAGCTTGCTGCAGGACACTCATTCCCGCGATGGCCATTCCCTTTGCTGCATGAATACAGAGATCATGAGACTCCTTGGTTCCTGCTACTGCAGTAAAGCCAGGAGTGTGGTTATTCGCCCCGGGCGCGGCATGAACCCCAACGTAGGCCTGAATGCCCGGGCACTCGTAAGTTACATTTCCTGCAAAAAATAGCTAGGATTAGCTAGGAACGACAAGGTGTGACAAAATTCAGGACTTACCTTGGTCCGTTGACCCCGGGACTCCAGATGAGTTGAGATCGCACCGCACCTCGATTCCCATATGGGACATCGCTTCTGCATATGCTGTCGCCAGGGCCTTGTTGGGTCGCAAATCAGCGTATGAATTGTGTCTGATATCATGTCAGCTACAGGGGTTCCTGGCAGAAAGCCGAATAATGACACAAACCTCTGAATTTCCAAGGTGCAACCAGCTTGCAAAGCTGCCCCTTCAAAGCAATTCTTCACTCTCACAAAGAGCTCCTCCGCCATTGCCAGTGTAGGGGACCGTACGTAGCAATCCAACGCTGACGAGCCAGGAATAATATTAGGCCGTAGCCCACCGTCGGAGATGACACAGTGCACGCGATTGCAAGGATGAATCTGCTGACGCAAAACCCCTATGCTGTTATAGGATAGCACAGCGGCGTCGAGGGCATTTACTCCTTCCCAGGGCGCCATGGCGGCATGGGCGGTCTTTCCAGTGAAGCGAACGCTGAACTTCAGACTTGCAAGGGTAGGCATATATGCATCTCCTGTGAAGCCTGGGCATTCAGTGAAAGGACCAGGATGCACCATCATACAAGCGTCAACATCAGTATAAGCGCCGGCTTCGATAATTGGAATTTTGCCTCCAAAGCCCTCTTCGGCAGGAGTTCCAATCAGTCGCACGCGCCCTGGAATCTTTTGCTGCTCAAGAGCTTTGGCAACTCCAATGAAGGCCCCGATGGACATCATTGCAATTAGATTGTGCCCGCAGGCATGACCAATTCCCGGCAGAGCATCTATGTTGTTTAGATAACTGTTTGACATAGTATGTTGCAATTACGTACCATACTCTGCGTTGAAAGCCACCACCCGGCCCCCCTCACCAGACTCTGCAACGAATGATGTGTCAAGGCCGTACGCGTGCTTGGTGACTTTGAAACCCAAGTCTTCCAGCATCGAAGTGATGTTGTCGTGGGCTAACTTCTCCTGATACCCAAGTTCTGGGTTTTGATGAATCTATTTAGGACGTGTTAGAGGGTTCCGACAGAGGCATCTGAACAAAAGTACTCCGATACTTCTGTCTGATTAGAGCTTTCATTCTCACCTTTTGGTTGATGTCCCATAGTTGTGAAGAATATGAATCGATTACGTTCGAGATTTCCTCAATATTTTCAACCCCATGGCCGTCACCATTGTCAGGTGTTTCGGAGAGTCTGGTCAACATTTTTAACTTTGCTTTGAAGGATGACGATTTGAGGATGTCCTAAAGATGGAATATAAGGGGATAATACGGCCCTTAAAAGCAGTGTCGTCGCTATAAGCCGATCTCGGCGCTGTTTGACTTCTCTATCAAGATGCCCTCACTCGGCTCGGTCGGGCCGAAGCCGAACATGACTGCGAGCTAAAATCGATCGTTTCGCAGAGCGGGGTTTGTTGGATTACTACATTCATTCTGATAGTGATTCAAATCGTCATGGAAGAAATTGCACGATGGAATAAGTCATTTGTGAGAGTAGCCCATGCATGTGGGTAAGACATAGATCGTTGAGGGAACTTGATCCATATCTGAGCCTAAGGCTGCAAGGCATTAACTGGCAATTGGCAACCGCCCAGGTGCGGAATGCGGAGTGCGGAGATGTGCCATGCGAGCTTATCGATCGTGCGGCTCTCGGCGTCATCCCCATTCTTCCCTTCCTTTTTGGACTCTATGAATGTGCCCAAGTCGCACAACAACCATGAGTGAAGCACATAGGTATCCCTCCCGCGCCATACATAATTGAAGAGAATCTGATCAATTCTTTTTGACCTGCAGATCTCTCTCGGCCTGCCTACGCTGCAGAAGACAGAAGCTCAAATGTGGCGGGCCCGGAAGGATACCATGCCAGCGATGCCGAGTGAGTAACGCGGAATGCGTTTTCGTCCCTCCAAGGGCAGTACACCCGGTGGCTTATGTCGCGGATTCGGAGTGAGTCTTGAAATACAATGATTCCTTTTTGTGTCCATCTTATCAGGTTCCGAGTTTCAATGGCGGTTAATAATGACTTAGTACCAAAAAGGCCAATCTTGAGCAGCGATTGGAATTGATGGAACAACGGCTCCGGCTAGAAATTGATACATTGCGAGCACAGATTGCTCAAATCTCGCATAATGGAAGTTTGATTCAGCATCAGGGTTCTTTATCACCGCTCAATCCAACAGCCCTCCCGGCCGTGTCGAGGAACATTTCTTCCAATACTCTCTCCCCTCCGCATACGGCCGAAAGTGAATGGGATGAGTTGTACACATTTTTTTGTACCAATTGCAGCTCAACGATTGCGGTAATAGACGATCAACTATTCTCGGCCAGTGAAGCCATCAAGAGTCACCCACTGATGTCGGCTGTCATCCGCGCAATTGCTTCAAGGGCTGTTCGCCCCGAAACTTATCAGTCGCATGTCGCGGCGGTTGACACACTTATCATGCAAACCTTTCAAGGGCCAATAACTGACTTGCTTGGTGTTTATGCTATGATTGTATTTCTAACATGGACTGGACGAACACGATTAATGGGCTACGTTGCCTCCGTGGCCACCGAATTGAAGTTACATGAAGCTGCGATCGTAATCGGGGATCAGGATACTGAGCATACCCCAGAGCTAGTCGAAAACGCAAGAGCTTGGTTTACCTTTTGCTGTTTGGACTTGCAGTATGTTCTATTTCACTATCTCTCCTTGGCCCTCAACTGAAGATTTGCAGAACGAACCTCAGTAAACCCTATGTCATCAACAACATGAGGCAATATCTGGGTTATGCGAAGTACCTCGTTATGTCTCCCTATCACCGCCCTGTCGATAACCGCATCTGTGCCTACATTCAAGGATTTATAATCACAGGTACGCATATTACATTTGTGATCTTCGCCAATCTCTGCTTGGTGGATTAACAATGTGGTAGGGGATCTGAAAGGAAAGCTACAGAACTCTCAGATGAGGTCAAAGCCATTGCCACAGGCAGCCATTGATCTTCTTACTTCTTCCGATGAAGCCGTCGATAAGTGGCTTCATGAAATGACGAATAAATTCCATCCCCTCTACCAAACGTTTTCGGAGAAGCAAGATAGAAATCGGCTACTGGTGCCATTTGCCTTCATGAAGCTGTAAGTCGCGAGAATCCGTGCCTTCTCTTATGTCAATATTCTAATTGTCTCCTTTTTCTCCACGAAGCTATATCAACGGTCTCGTGTTGCAGGGTATGGGGTCGGCAGATGACTTGAAGTCAGATCCGGTTCGAATAGAATTCATTCGGCGAGCTCTAGAGAGTGCAAGCTTGATGATCGAAACACAGCATGAGTCCACAAATTTCCGGCGATCATTCAAATACAGCATAGTAAGCGCGGAGGCAGACAGGGTGGCCTTTAAGAAATTTTCACTTTTGACTAATCTTGGATCGGATTTTGGAATGATAGGACTATACCGGCATACCATTATACTACGCAATCAGCTTCATTTTGAAAGCTCTCCCTCTTGCTTACAGTTTCGTCGACCCTCGGCATCTTCTCAACAGGGTTGAACAAGCAGCGGAGATTTTTGAAGAAGGCGGAGCACAAGATACCGCCAATGAGCTTCGACGAGACAGTGATAGAATAGCAGCATTAACTCAAACAGTCCTGAGTCGTCGGGCTATCCAGAGTTCTGATGGGGACATACCACTGAGCGAGCTTTTCGATATTCCCAGTTTTATTGAAGAGATGGTAATTAATATTCTGAAACTATCAAATGGCTTTCTATCAGGATTTCTGACAATTCAAGCAGACGTGGGACGAAAATTTCCCAGCATTGGGTATATTTCCTTCGGAGTGAGCACTTGCAAGCAGATTGAGCAAGAAGGTTTTGTATAATTTATCACTTCATACTATGATAAGCCTGAATCAAGAATCAGCTCATGGCGAATCGGATTGGCCACGGCATGGGCCTAAATAGGCCAATGTACCAAAAGAGCGTTACTGTAGAACATCCAAAACACAGATAATCAGTATGTGACGAGAGGTGTTAACCAAATGGAGTAGCTGGCTGTACTATGTGTCGATACATCGGATCGATCATGCTTTCCAGCGACCTGCCTTCTTCATGGCCTCAATGAACTCTTCCTTCACTTCACCTGCGAAGTCATCGTTGGTAAGAATGTCGAGGGAAATAAGAGCATTTGCCTGGCCAGCTTTCAGTGCCTCGTTGTGAGCAAATTCCCCGCAGGATGCTTCACGGAACCCGATTGAATGGGGAAAGTCTGTTGCTTCTATCGAAAACATGGCCTGAATTCCAGGGCAAATATATGTGCAGCTACCAAAGTCCCTGTTCTTGATCAGCATTTGAGACACGAATGAGACGAATTGACAACACCTACGAGCATCCCGGTTGATCATGAAGCACTCGGGATTCTTCTAATGTGGGTAGTTGCTCTGGCTTGGTACCCAAGTGCTGTATCATGTAATTGCGATACTGCTCAGCGAGTGTGTCATTTGAGACAACATCTTCGTACAGCGCTGTCCTGCGGCGGAGATCAGTAAGCGTTTATAACATAGTCAATGCCATTCATTTGTTGTGTTCAGGAATCAAGGCTTACCAGTCAAGCGCAACACTACATCCTGTTGCAGCGGCTGCAGCGTCAAATATGGGCTCAAATCTGGACTTGAGCTCTCCCAGCTTCTGCATTGTGGGGGCCCTTATGCTGAACAGACCCTCTGCATAATCCGGTATTATATTGGACGCCTTTCCCGCCTCAAGAATGCATCCTTGAATACTAGAGCCTTTCTCGAGATGTTGGCGTAGCATCGAGATTGCAGTATACGCGTGCACGATAGCGTCACAAGCGTTTAATCCTCTCCATGGAGCGGTGGCAGCATGTGCTGCTAGGCCATGGAATCGTGCTCTTAACTTCCAGGAAGCCTTCGTTAAGCAGAGTGGAGTGCTAAAATCTCGCATCCCGTGTGTCATTACGCAAGCATCAAACCCATTCCAAGCACCATTCTTCGCCATGATCCATTTCCCGCCGCCGGATTCTTCTCCAGGCGTTCCCATAACGACAAGTGTACCCGGCAAATGATGGGTTTTCAGGACGTGCTCAAGCGAAATCGCAGATGCTAAGGAGGAGATCGCGATCAAGTTATGACCACACGCGTGTCCCAGGTCAGGGAGGGCATCTGTCTTGCTCAGAGATGTGTTACATAAATGAGGAGGTACGAGCAGGCACTCACCATACTCTGCGTTGAAACAAACTGTCCTTCCTCCTTCAACAACCGAGAATTGTGCCTCAAACGCAGTCTTGAGACCATATACACCTCGGCTAACTTTCCACCCACGGCTCTCAAGCCAATTTGACAACAGCTCACAAGCTTTGAACTCCTCAAATTTTGTCTCTGGATTGTTGAAAATCTGAATCGATAATGAAGGTAAGTTTGACTTTTTTCTTCGTGTTGTAATTGACAAGATTGACATACTTCAAGACTCAAGCGCCGCAGCTCATCACTAGCACTGTCCACGGCGCTCACTATCTCCTCGACCATGTCAGCCGGCTGGAGAGTAACATGTTCTGCCATATCGGTCGCGTAGGAAGGTTGTGTCAAAATAGCAAATACTAAGGTCTAATGAGTTGAAAATTACCCTTTTGTGGTTTTATCTCAAGCTTGCAAACATTGATTGGGCTTTTCATGATTTTTTTATACTTTCGCTAATGCAGTGGGCCTATCTCCATGTTGATTACCCCAGGACCATATCACCGTATCCCGATCGGCCGGGCCGACCGATGCCGAACAATTCGAGTAGACTTTGTCCACCTCCGGCCTTGGCTCCCAACATCGGGAAGAGTGCAACTGATAACCGCCCTCTCAAGGTTCATGAACGAACTATTTAGTGCCGTGCTGCCTGCTAGTGGCAAGCACCCTACACTATCACAACTGCCCTGCTCTTTCTGCGATTGAAGTAACCTACGCTTTTGCAAATCATCATGACTGAACCAAGTCCCAACGACAATCAGCATAATCCGAGTCCTTCTGACTTGGAAAAGACTGATATGAAGCAGATTCAGGCAGTTGATGTCGGAGCGTCGATTCTCAACGGAACAGTTGACCAACTGCAAGTCCAGGATGGCGAAGACCGAAGTGTTCTCCGGAAGATTGACCTATATTTACTTCCCATCCTTGCCTTCACTTATATGATTCAGGTAAGCTAGGCAATCTTGCCATGTGAAAATATCTCTAAGGGTATGTGCTGCAGTTCCTCGACAAGTCTTGCATCTCCTACGCTGCACTATGGGGCATGAAAACAGATGCTCACCTGGTCAACGACCAGTATTCTTGGCTCACAACTATCTTCTACCTGGGATACATGGCGGGGGAATTTCCTATCAATTTCCTCTTCCAGAAATTTGACATTGCGCGCACGTGTGGTATTTTTATCATTCTTTGGGGCATAGTTCTTCTATGCATGACTGCGGGTCATGACTTCCCAGGTCTGGCTACGGCACGCCTCTTTCTTGGAATATTGGAAGCAGGAGTGAGCCCATGCTTTGTCCTTCTGACGGCGATGTTTTATCGAAGGTCAGTCCTCGAATCTACCAAAATTCTTCCAATCTTCCTCTTTGACTTACCAAAGTCACAGATCAGAGCAGCCCCTGCGAACATCTATCTGGTTTTCTATGAATGGAGTTGCAAACATCCTTGGTGGGCTCATTGCCTATGGAATTGGCCATATAAATTCGGCTCTTCCGGCATGGAAATATCCATTCGTAATCTTCGGCTCTGTGACGATTCTTTGGGGCGTATTCTTTGTAATAATAACCCCATCTAACCCGACCAAGGCCAGATGGCTCTCAGCGAGGGAGAAGGAGGTTGCAACGTTGCGCGTTCTTCAAAACGAGACAGGCATTGACAACAAATCTTTCAAGATGGAACAAGTAAAGGAGGCCTTGCTTGACGTTCGATTCTGGTTGATCAACCTTCTCTGTCTGGCCAACACTATTCCCAACGTCTGCCTCCCTTCCATTTCACTACTCGCTCAATCAAACTAACATTTCTCAGGGCGCCGTGTCTGCATTTGCCCCGCTCATTGTGAATGGCCTCGGATTCTCGAAATTACACTCGACTCTACTCGGTATGCCATCGGGTGCATCACAGGTCTTAGGGTTATGGATCTCGGGGTATGTTATGAGTTTATCGTGACGCTTCTCAGATATCCAACGTTAATTTCTGCAGCTACTTGGCCTCTCGGTTCAACGGTATACGCCATTTTCTAATGATTGGTGGGCTACTGGTTGCTCTCCTCGGAGGAGTCCTGATCTTTGTCCTTCCTGACTCCAATCGTATTGGCCGATTACTGTGAGTGTCTTCCTTTCTCAATCACAGAATATATATAATAATTGCTGATACTTTCAAGCGGTTATTATCTACTCGTCGGTTTCAGTGCTACTTTTGTCATATCCTTGACCCTACTGCAATCCAATGTGGCTGGTCGTACCAAGAAGACGATTTTTACGTCTGCTTTCTTCGTCAGGTGAGTGTTAGCTTCTTCATGACCCGTCAATATTTACTAATGTATGTCTGGGCAGTTACTGCGTTGGTAACCTTATCGGGCCTCAACTTTTCTTCGAGCGAGAGGCTCCTCGATATCAGTCCGGATTCGCGTCTATGATTGTGTGCTTTGCGGTGCAGATTATCATAGTCAGCGTGATGTACGTGATCAATGCAAGAGAGAATAAAAGAGTAAGGCAACCCTCGGAAATATCCTTGATTGTGACCTGCTAATGACTTGCAGCGCGATCGTCTCGATGTAAACGCTTCCGAAAATGATCAAACAGCAGTTGTATCTGCTGGCCTATCGGATGTGACAGACGTAAGTGTCACTAATCATTTCTACGCTCAAAAAGGAAGCATTCCTTCGATACTGATTATTTTTGTTAGGTTCAAAATCTTCACTTCCGATATGTCTTGTAGTCTTAACCGGGATGACCTGGGACTAATGGTGCGAGCTGGACTTGATGGGAATAGTGGATTTCGTGCTCTCTAATTCATATGATACTGTATATCCTGCGGTCTTTGATTGATCAATTGACGAATTTGACCCTTTTTATTGCTTTTCGCACAATGCAACAGTACATTTTCAATATGAGTGCAAGATCTAGAACTGACCAAGGGGCTGAAGAATAACTGCGTTGTAGGTTCGATGAGAGTCTTGTGGACTGTATACTATCACACTCTTATCCTGAAATTGGATTGCGCTTGGAAATCTTGCTCTTCCTAGATCCCTCCACAATTTCATGCTCTATTAATGACTATGCCATTCATAGACCAGTTATACGGCATTTCATGCCAGAATATTTTATGAACAAGAAAGGAAGTACACCGAGTCCCTAGCAAGCTAGTTGCCATCTCAGCATTCGGTCGGGCCGAGTGGCCCGGCCGGTCATAACATGTCTTGAAGTCTTGAGACTACTAATTCGCAGTGGAAGAACCAGAATATTGAGTAGTTCTTTGAATTTTAATTATCTTATCATTCTTTTCATCGTTTTGAGAAGTGTGGTCAAAAGTAAAGCCATTTGCTTTTTCTAAGGCGGACTATCGTCTTTGAACCCGTCGCCGCTGAGGTTAAGCATACAAAGTTGAACAGGTTCCTTTGAATGAGCAGCGACGTCTGAATGGTTGGAGCTATGTGCGAAGTCGAAGTGAAAGCCTGCCAAGGGCATGCGCAGCCGTCAGTCCCCTGCTTTCAGTGGGATTCAGACAGTCGGAATCCTCATAATTGGTCAGCGGTAAGCCTCCCATTTGGAACAACTGGCGAGACCGAGAATCTTAACAGAATCTAGCTCAGGAAAATTTCTGTATTATCTACTACAATGTTGGTTGTACTTAACAGCGGTATGGGAAGCTCATTGACTGGTAATGCTATTCAATACATCTCAAAGGAATTTGCCGTGGATTCACAAGTTCAAAAAGCCCTGCCAATGTCTATGTTCCTGGTTGGTACGTGTGAGACTTCCAGCATTGAGAGGACGAAAAGCTAAGTTCTAATAGGATATGTTTGTGGTAAGCTTCAATCATGACCAATACTCCATAATTGACCGACCTCTTATTCTTGAAAGGCCCGATTGTATGGGCTCCACTCAGTGAAGAGTATGGGCGCCGAATCATTGTCATCGTGACATTTCCTTTATTTACGGTCTTCACAATGGGCTGCGCCTTAGCCCCGAGTTGGTCGGCGTTTTTGGGATTCAGACTCCTATCAGGAATGCTCGGAAGCTCAATTGTGGCACTGGGTCCGGGTATCATATCAGACATATATCGAGATCCCACAACCAGAGGTTGGAGCATCGCAGTATTTATGGGAGTACGTCTCAAAACTTAACATTGTTGTTCCTCTGGGGTATCATTGCTAACACAGAGACAGGGTACTGGATTCGGTCCTATGCTGGGGCCTATCGTTTCTGGATTTGTCTCACCAGCCATGGGCTGGCGCTGGTCTTTCTGGATCGCTCTAATACTTGCTGGAGTGACACTTCTCTTTGTCGCGTGGTTTCCAGAGACCTACCAGCCTGTTCTTGTGAGGATTTATGCTCCGAGACATTTGCCCGAGTCTCGAATCGAAGACCCGCAACCGTTCAAGCAAAGAAATCGGCAGTGGAGATCGATCCTCCAGGGAGTTCTACTACGGCCTCTTCATCTTCTTTTCACGGAACCCGTCGTTGCTGCCTGCTCGATGTACTTGGCCCTTTGTTATTCTATCTTTTACATGTCGTTTGCGGTCTTCCCCTACATTTTTCAGGAAGTCTATTCTCTATCGCCAGGTCAGTGTGGATTGGTTCAACTGACAATCGGCGTCGGTTGTATCTTGAGCCTACCGATCTATTGGGCATACGAGCGGATTTTGCTCGGAATTGTTGACATTTCTTTGGCACGCAACAAGCAAGAACTTCATCGCTTACCACTTGCATGTCTGGGTGGTCCATTATTCGTGATATCACTCTTTTGGCTTGGGTGGTCTTCTCGTGAAGACGTTTCCTTCGCAGTACCTATGATGGCTGGTATCCCCTTCGGGATAGGCTTCATGTGTGTCTTTATTGCAGTTCTGTATTTTTCCCTCCACTTGATAAAGTCTGTTAAGTATACGCTGATCAATGAACGAACCAGGAATTATATCACTGACGCTTATCGACTCTTTGCCGCATCTGCTAATGCTGCTTCAAGTTGCAGTCGTTCATTCTTCGCAACATTTCTGCCCCTTGCCAGTTACCCTATGCTCTCACAACTTGGGATAACCGGAGCTTGCAGTTTACTGGGTGGACTCAGTGCATTAATGTCCGTTGTTCCATTTGTCTTGATATGGAAAGGCGAAGCTATCCGCTCCCGGTCACGTTTCTGCAATGCCCTGAAGAGCGGCGATGATGACCCTGAGGTCACACATGTGAACCGCAATCCAGTGGAGGAGTTGGTGGTCTGAAAATCCTTCATCTCATCTATCAGTGCTCATGGGTTTCAAGCATGGTAGACAATACTCTCTCATGTTCCTAATACTCAGGTAGCGAGATGTCAAAAGCCAAACATGTTTGTATCGAACCACGCTCAACTACTAGCATTTGAATCATTGGAGTTTAAGCTATAACAATGTGGTTAGATACGATAAGTGGGAACATGGGCCGAAATAAGAGTCGACGTTCGGGCGATAGAAACTTGCATTAAGCTATCCACCAGTGACTGGAGGACGCAGAGGCGGTCGAACCATCGGTATAGCCACGCAAACGTCTATCAGTCAATATGCAGGAGATCTGCTGGAAGGCGAAAAGTCATGGATGCCGGTGCACAACGAGAGGATACCATAAAGGGAGTCTGGGGTGTCTGAGATGCAGTATACCGCCCTTACACTACTGAAATCCAAAGTCCAGCCTGTTTTCTGTAGGCATCTGTAACATAACATCTCTTAGATGGACGCTCGTAGTCAGTAGTTGGATATCCGTAGACAAAGTGTAGGATAATACGGTCTGCCCTAGCTACAACCCGGGTTGCTAAATTGACAGTTCCTTGGGAGATTTACAAGTCATATCGAGTTGAGGATACATTAGACAGTCAGAGAGATCAGTGAGTGGATAAGTACATTCTGCAAAACAAACAGGCTGCGTGTATTCATGAGTAGGGTGGAAACAACTCTCTCGCGAGACCGATAATCTAATATGAAAGAGGTAGATGGTAGACACCTCAGTCTGGCAACCACGCCAGACTCATTAATCATTAAGACGTAAAACAACCTCACCCTCTCCAACAGGCCTCTCAAAGCCAGCAATGAAACTCTCCAAAATCTCCTCTGTCACCAAAAACGCCGAGTCCCCATCCTTAACAGCCAACTGATTTCTGGCCTTGACTCGCCGACGTAACTCATCGGCATCCACATCTAGATACACCAGTACCCAGCGGCCACCTGATTCTTCAACCAGATCTTTCCACTCGTCTCGAGTTTCCTGGAATGCAAATGCAAAGTCTAGGATAGCATCCCGGGCACCTTGTTGAACGAGTTGCGCTAATTCACTCCGTAACGCAGCGGCAGCTTCTTCTTGATAGTCGTTATACTTTTCTTTCGGATAATCCACTCCGTAAAGACCATGGTGGCTGTAGATATATGAGTCGATAGAGAGACGATGAAAAGATGGATGATTCGACTGTATCCATTTGGATATTGATGACTTGCCGGACCCTATACCTCGTCAACCCGTTGAACCACTTAATCGAATAGCCCTTACCCGGGGCTAATATAATCAACTGAGACATCTCGCATACCTGCTATTCCACACGTCATCACCACTACAGGGCGGGGGTCGGTTTCTGTGCGGCATATGAGGGGACTGAGCGCCTCGGGGGTGCCGAAGCTGGATGGAAGCTCTGCCATTTGCGTACGGGCCGAAAATATCTCCCGGATGACAGACTCGCACCAAGCTTTTATTTGATATGAGCTTTGACCTTATGCATGCGCTGTTTAGACACGTCCCGCGCAGTCCAAGTCAGTGAGTCACGTCTGATACGAGACAAGCTTCAAGGCGCGATCTAGGCTATATTCTTGCCTCAGGCATCAATCCACATGCCCCGGTCACTTCCGGCGCCAAAGGAACTACGACAAGACGAAACATCAAGGAGCTCTAAACAGTTCCAGCTTTTTCATCTCAGCTTGTTTTTCTTTTCCTCTTGAAACAGGAAAAGACAAAAACACGTCTAGATGTGACAACCATGCCCCGCCGTGTCCACAGATCCCTAATCTAATTGATCTTCTTCTGCGCCATCCTCTTCCTCGTCCTCTACCTGAACCATCCAACAAGCATCCCACCAACCTTCGCCTGGACCAAAATCCGCTACCAAACAACCTCCTCTTCACAGCTTCCAGCCCGCGGCAAATGTTCCAACCTCCCCACAACCAAAAAAACCTGCCTTAAATCGTCTCCCACGTCGACGCAGACGGTGATACAACCTGGCTCTCCTCCCTCGCGGACCGCTACCACCTCTGCATCTACAATGTCGACGCCCCGCCCGACGAAACCTCGGAGTACCTCCAGGTGCCCGCGAACCGCGGCCACGAGGCCATGGCCTACCTCACTTTCCTGATAGACAACTACGCCGAGATCGCGGGGGCGGTATTTGTGCACGGCTCACGCTGGGCGTGGCACAATGATGCGCCGGACTATGATAATAAGGCTCTATTGGCGGCGTTGGACATTAAGCGTGCGCTGAGTGTGTCCGGGTACCACAATCTGCGCTGCGATTGGAGTACGAGTACTTGTCTACGTTCTGCGCCGGCGCAGGGTAGTCTCGAGATGAGACTGCAGTCTACGATATCGCCGTGGAGTGCGCGGGCCGCGTCGGACGTTGCGCCCCTGCGGGCATTGGTCTCGATATTCGGTGGTGCGGATGGGTCCTCGTTGAATGGGAGATTACATCTTGGACGGACGGATACGGTGCGATCATAGTGTTGTGCGCAGTTTGTGGTTTCGCGCGAGCACATGTGGCAGCATATCCGGGAGGAATATGTTGCGTTGCAGCAGTGGTTGTTGGATGGGAGTGGTGAGGGGAGGCGTCCGTCGAGGGGGAGATCAGGCTGCGCCGCAGGATGATCGGGTTGCGGGTCGGATTTTGTCGTATATGTGACATATATTGTTTGCAAAGGTGGATGCTGATGGTGCGGTGGATCTTGCGCAGTTGAATCGGGATGCTTGCCCGAGTGCGGAGGAGTGTTATTGTCGTTTGTATGGCCGGTGTGATTTGCAGTGTCCGAATCCTGGGACGTGTCGGGGACAGTATCAGGTTCCGCATTATTATAAGCTTCCTGATGATTGGGAGGCTAAGCATTCATGATTTGCAAAGCGAAGGCGTTTTTATATTCGTTGTACATTACTTGTTCTACTCATACCAATATGATAATATAGATTGGAAGAATGTCTAGGGTCCTCATGGACTTCATTCAGTCTAGTGGGGAATAATCTGGATTGAATCGTTATCATGCTATACTATATACAATTTCGACAAAGCACAATACAAGTTTCTTAGAAACGGGCAAGAACCCGGTCTTGAGCATCAGAAACAGCCCAAGCATTGCTGTGCTTCTTGCTAACAACCGACTTGGCCTGCTCGGCAGTGAATCCGCGAGCCTCGACGGCAGGGTTATATCCAAGACCATTGAGCTTGCCAACAACATCCGAAGGAACGGCCACGGCAACCTTGCCATCGGGGCGCTTGTAGACAGTGACCACGACGGCACCGCCAAGACCCAGGTTGTGCTGCAGAGCCGCATCGGTACCGGCAATGAGGCGGTTGTTAGCCCAACCACGCAAGTGCCAGACCAGCTCAGCGCACTGGGCAATGCCAGTCGCGCCGAGGGGGTGACCCTTGGAGATCAGACCGCCGGAGGGGTTGATGACCATCTTGCCGCCGTAGGTGATATCGCCACGACGAACCATCTCGTGCGCCTTACCGGGCTCGCACAGCTCCAACGCATCGATGGTAATCATCTCGTTCGCGGAGAAGCAGTCGTGCAACTCGCACACCTTGACGTCCTTGACGTTGATGCCGGCCTCGGCGGCGGCGGTGCGGGTAGCGTATCGAGTCATGCCGAAGCCCATCAGGTCGATCGAGCTCTTGCTGTACACCTGATCGGTGTCGGAAGCCAGGCATTGACCGGCGATCAGGATGGCCTGATCCTTCAGGTGCGGGCGGGCATCGAGGAACTCCTGCGAGACGATGACGGCGGCGGCACCACCGTCGGAGGTGGGGCAGCACTGCAGCTTGGTCAGGGGCTCGTGGATCATGGGGGCCTTCATGATTTGCTCGAGGGTGTATTCGTCCTGGAACTGCGAGTAGGGGTTGCGCTTGGAGTGTTCGTGGTTGATGCGGGCGATCTCGGCGAAGTCCTCGTTTGTAGCGCCGTACCTAGGGAGTCGCATTCAAGTCAGAATAATTGTTTTATGCAGAAAAATCATGGAGGGTTAAACTCACTTCTCCTTGTATTCACGGCCGGCATTACCGAACATCTGCGCAGCACCAGGGGCGTTGGTGATGCCGCGGGTCTCGGCCATCATCATACCGAACAGACCAGTTGGGTTGGCACGGTCATTGTACATAGATTGCAAGCTACCGGGATTCATCTTCTCAAAGCCCACAACGAGAACACAGTCCGCAGCACCGTGCGAGACCATCGTACGAGCCATGGCCAGACCAGTGCTACCAGTGGAGCAATTGTTGTTGACATTGTAGATAGGGATATTGGTCAGACCAAACTGGTAGAAGACACGCTGTCCGCAGGTGCTATCACCATAGACATAACAGGCAACACCCTGGTCCACATCGTCGTAGGTGATTTTGGCATCCAGCATGGCCTTGATACCGGCCTCGTAGCCCAGCTCATTATAATCGACCTTGCCGCGCGGCTTGATGAACTTGGTCATGCCCACGCCCAGGACATAGGCGGGACTCGTTTGTTTCTTGACCATGATGTCGGTGTGAAGATGGAGATCTGGGGGGTTAGGTGTGTATTTTGGAGAGATTAGTCGTGGATCTGAGAATGCCCGAACGGAGAGGCGCCTATATAGGAGTGGCCATTTAGGTCACGAGTGGGGAGAACTGGCGTTTGCGGGGACGGCCGAGGTCCCGAGGAAGATGGGCCCGAGGAGCGGCTTGGACAATTTAGTTCCCTACTTAAGTCGTTACACAAGATCTGGGTTGCATAAGACGGAATAAATCCCCGGAGATCGTCCTTTCTTGTTTCACATTTGGTAACAATTTAATATAGGCTATATGAATACGGAAGTTGTCAAGCCAAAAAGGGGTTTGTGTTCTTAACTGTCGATTATCACGTGCACGTGTCAATGGTGGACGGTCTGCCCTCGACGATGATCAGGTAACTAACTATACTCTATGGGTAGTTATTAATCAATTCTTTATAACTAACTAGTTAGTTAATTGATGTATTGTTCCTAATTATCCAACTCTTCGTCCCAGGGAGACCAACCCTCGAACAAGAGGCTGACAGTCGACTGGAATACCCCAACCTCCCCACATTCCCCAGTTCCAAAGACAGAAATGGAGCAGATGCACGAGGTATGCCATCTATGCAATCACTGTGGTGGCATTCAAGTTATGATTCCACGGTGTCACAATTTATGTCATAGTACATATGTAAAAGAAAATTAATTTGGTGCTGAAGCAGTCGACTGCCGCCCAGCCCTTTTGCCCATCCATCTGCCAAGCTCCATCGCTCGTCTGTAGCTCGTCTGGGGAAGCCGAGCCTCGACCTGCGACCAGCCAGACAGTGCAGTACTACTTAGACTGGCTTACAATATATGTAGTCCGATCCCAAGATCTGCAGCCTCTTTTCCAATCAGCGTCCCGTTGATAACCGAATGAGTCGTAGAGCTCGGATTCTCCACGAGTTACCATAAGCCAAAGCAAGTTCCATGCCTGTCATTCCCAAGGTTTGGTTCGGCATCCTCCATTGGCGGGTTGCAAACGCAAAATGATTGATTGCACGCCAGGGATCGTATCCCTGTAAGAGCTATCATTGCACGGTCGGAGGACTGTCCTCCAGTAAAGATAGTAGTAGATTGCAGCTCTGAATGATGGAAACCAGATGGATTCTGGCCTGTATCCCATGGGTCCGGACTGGGGTCCTTATCGGCGATCGTGGCTCTGCTGATGGTCTGAAATGAATGGCCTTGTCTTCAAGGCGCCTTTTTCGTCCGCTTCCCATTTCCAACAGCTGGTAACGGCACCCTGCTCGATTCGACGAGTCGAACCAACAGCGGCCTGTATTTTCCATGATCATGCATACTAGTTTGCATTATGGCCGATAGTCTGGAGTGACCTGGCCAAAACCGGTTGGCACAATGCGGCGGGCGACCGGGGAGAAGTATGTTCCGCTGCGCCAGTCCATTTTGTGTCGAGATCGGGCCTCAATGGAGCTCTATTAGGAGCACCGAGACAATCAAATAGAACGAATTGGCCAGTACTAAATGCCGCAAGATGCAGCTATAGAAGTAGCCTTCCACTTCTCCGCTCTGCCCCATCACATACCGTGCTTCCAAAGCTATGGAGAGAGGATCATACTTGGTGATTTGGTGGGGTCTCCCGCCCAACTTCCACAACGACGTCACTTGATCTTGGCCCTAAGCCCATTCGAGAACGACTGTTAAGCTCGGTCCACATGCGATTTTGGCTGCCCTCTTTTTCCCTTTCTCATCTCCCTGCTCTCGTGGGTTGATTGGGCTAGTTGTATCTGGGAATTTGGCCATAGAGTGGACTCTGGGCTTCAGTAGGTTGTCTCTTTTTCTGGTCTCTGCAGTGAAGTGGGTCACGGGGAAGAACGGACCACTGGATGCGATGGTCGGACGCTAACGATCGGCTTTTCAGCTTTCCTGAGATCAACCATCAACCACCCCCCCCGTTGCAAAGGGAGACACACTAACCACGCCAATCGACTGGACGGCCTTTCTGTCTGGTACAGGGGGTTCTCATTCTCAATTGTCCTATTGCTTTCCGACTGTCATTCAATTGCTTCGACTCAAAGACTGCGCTGCCCGTGCTGTTGCCTTCAATCTACTTCCCGTTGTCCGTTCCGACCTTCATAGCCGAACATCCCGTTGCCTGATTTGCCCGAACGACAACAACCAAGTCACATATCGAAGCCTAGATAGTAGATCCTTTCGGGTCATATCTCTATCGATCAAGAGAGTGCCTCCAGACTGCTGCCAGCCTAGTAGATGCTGAATTGTGGGACGCCGAACGGTCTACTCTGAGTGCTTCTGAGAGGCCGCTTTGCGTTCCATTAGGTTCCCCAGCCTGCTGCGGTTGCAATCGCATCGTCGAGTACTGAACCCTTATTGCCGGAATCTCATAGAACCTTGCAATACCGTGAAGGAAGGAGCACGCGCGCCGTTTTTCCAGTTCTTGCCCCGTCCAATGGAACCTTTTTAAGGCATGACTGTTGGTAAACGAACTGAACATGCTCCTCCCTTCTCTCCATCTTCCAACCCCCAACCCGCCGTCATGCCAACCAGCAACGCCTGGATCATGGATGAATCTACTCGCAACAGACTCTTCAAGAAGTACAAGACTCAGGTAGCTTCGGCAACCTCGACTGTCTGCGCAACTCTGGCAGTGGTGAGTTGATATCATTCTCTCTGGGCCTGAAGCCGCGGCGGCGGCGGCGGCGGCGGCGGCGGAGCTTCTCTCACGATTGATACTGACTCCGATGGCCTTGCTCTTGCAGACCCCTCTGGAAAATGTGAAGACTCGCATGCAAACGTAAGTTACTCTCTTAATATGATGGATTTGAAGCGATTGAGCTAATGTGGATGCATCTGCTAGCCACAACTTCAAGGACATCTTCCAGTGTTCCCGGTATCTGTGGCGGACTGAAGGACCGCGTGGTTATGTGGCAGGTACGTACTGATTTTGTTCATTTATCGGATCTTTATCCCTTTCATCGGATGTCTTGTTCTTTCATTCAAGTTCATCCTATCGAAAATTCCAACATCTGTTCTGTTGCTCCACGCTGCATATCATGTCTGACATACTGATCATTTCTTAGGTGCTCTTCCGCCACTGGCGAGTGTGACTGCCGTCCGAGTGCTGAATTTCACCTCTTACAACTACGCCAAAGAGGGTATTGCCGACATTGTCAAGCGTATCACCGGCACATATCCCTTGCCCAAGCCACGCCATCCCGACCAGCCCGGCGAAATCCCAACCGTGGCTGGCGTTATGACCTTCACTCTTGCTGGTGCCTGTGCGGGTTTGGTGGCAGCCCCGGTCGCATGTAAGAATCCATTGAAATCACATGTACTTGGCTTCTTTGATATACTAACATCTGATTTTCTCAATGTTCTAGGTCCCTTTGAGCTCGCCAAGAACGTGGTCCAGACCTCCGTTCTGGTTTCCAACCGAGCTCAAGCAGCTCCGGGTGCGGCCCGCGACCCTTCTCTCCGCACCAAGCCGCGGATCGGCACTGTTGAGGCCATCCATCAGATCATCAAGCGGCACGGATTCCGCGGTCTGTACACTGGCTTCCACCTGCACGCTCTGCGTGACACGGTGGGTACAGCCATGTACTTCGGGATCTACGAGACCGTGAAGGAGGTGGCGGCCAAGGAGCTCGGATATGACCAGTCCCCCTTCGGCGCCCCCGCGATTGCTGGAGCAATCTGCAGCACCATCCCCTGGTTCTGCGTAAGTCTATTACTCACCCATCATCAATATCAAGAGAGAATGACCAGTGAGAGAATACTAATCGTAAAATTCGTTATTATAGACTTACCCCCTCGACACCCGCAAGACCCGAGCGCAGAGCGTGCTGCTCGGAAAGTCCAAGGAGATCGGCGAGGCCTCCGTGGCAGTCGCCAAGTCCAGCATGTACAAAGGCCTCTCCATCATCCTCATCCGGACCGGGGTCAACAACATGATCCTTCTCAGTCTTTTCGAGTACATCAAGGCTCAGATTGACGAACTGCCCAACTGAGGGACATGTTGGGGGCCCCCATTCGGACGGGATGATTTGATCGGCCGCCCTGGCAACGGGGCTGGTCTGATCCACTGCATTTGTACTTCTCCCCAGAGATACGCCTTTTTTTTTTGTTCATGTACATACCAACTTGGATGAGCCGTGGAGGCTCATCTGCAAATATGAGAATGGAGCTGGGTCCAACAATACTTTCCTTTCTTTGTAGAGTGGAATCTGTAATACTTCCATAATGTAAATACAACAACCCACGTTCTTCTACGCCGATCTACCTCGTGTCAGTAGATCTCGTGCCATGCGGAGTTTCTGCCTTAGGCTGTCAACACGTCATCCCGTTGCCTGGTGGGGTTGGAGCAACATCTCGCGGTCAACAAACGAGCTCTCGTTTTTCGCCCAGACCACTCCCCCTCTCACCTCTCCTCTCACCCCGCCCTGTCTCGACAATGACATCGTGAGTAACAACAATAATCCTAAGCTATTTCCCCACATATTTGACCTTATACTCATGCTTAATAATCTAGCAATATCCTACAACTCCCGTTCCGCCGGTCCCACACCGTCTCGCTCTCCGATGCCATCACCCAGTATATCTCGTCCAAATATGACCAGCGCCCGGATATGTTCGCGGATGATCTGATGATTATTGATCGTCTGCGTACCGAGGCTGTTAATGTTCAGGAACCGCATATTAGTGGTATTAGCCGGTTGGTCACGTATGCGGCGCAGTTGAAATGGCTCGGAGGGAAATTTCCAATTGATGTGCGCTATTCTCCCGGCGTTCTCGGTGATTTGAGTTATGGGTGGTGTGATTAACTGGTCTTTTGTTATAGGTCGGGGTCGACTTTTCGTGGTATCCGGCACTGGGGTTTAATTCTGCCCGGCCTGGTGAGTGAGAGTCTGCCGGGGTGGTCTTACAACTTCAGTCTTGCCCAAAAAGCTAGATAGCAGCTTGGGATGGGCAGTGGTCTTTCGTCTATCCAGTATATGCTAACTGCTACTGGTGCAAAGTATCCCAAAATAACCTCCGTTTCGAGCTGGCGAACATCCTCTTCAACCTTGCTGCACTATACTCACAACTTGCATACGCGCTGAATCGGACAACTGCGGATGGCCTCAAGCAGGCATGTAACTACTTCTGCCAAGCAGCAGGTGTCCTGGCTCACCTTCGAACCGACATAATCCCCGATCTCCGCTCGTCGCCGCCGGAAGACATGGACGAGATGACACTTCAGAGTCTAGAGCAACTTTTGCTGGCGCAAGGCCAGGAGTGCTTCTGGCAAAAGGCTGTCAAGGACGGATTGAAGGATGCTTCTATCGCCCGGCTTGCGGCAAAGGTTTCCGACTTCTACGCCGATGCGGGTGATTCCGCGGTCAAGTCCAACGCAATTAGCACCGAGTGGATCCACCACATGTCGGCCAAACACCACCACTTTGCTGCCGCGGCGCAGTACCGGCAGTCGCTGGACTGCTTGGAGAAGCGCAAGTACGGAGAGGAAGTGGCGCGGTTGCGCGACAGCCTGAACTGCGTTAATGAGGGTCTGAAGGAGTCGCGGTGGATTAGCAAGACGGTGGTCGGCGATTTGAACGGGCTGAAGAACCGGGTTGCGGATGATTTGAAGCGCGCCGAGAAAGATAACGACATTATATATCTTAGTCCTGTGCCGCCCAAGTCGGAACTGAAGAGTCTGGATCGGGCCAGCATGGTGGCTTCCAAGGCGCCGTCGCAGGTGACCGATGCGATTTCAATGCTTGGAGAGAATGGGCCTTTGGGCCAGCCGTTGTTTTCGAAGCTGGTTCCGTATGCTGTGCATATCGCAGCTAGCATTTACTCTGATCGCCGGGATAGACTGGTCAATGAGTCCTTGATTGGCGAACTCGAGTCCATGACTGATAAGCTAAGAGAGTATGTCTCGGCTTACTAGCTTGCAATATTTTGAAACAGGGTTTAGGCTAACCGAATATCTAGTTTGCTGTCATCACTCAACCTCCCAGGTTCACTACAAGCTCTGGAAAAGCCGCTCGGTGTACCAGGAACGGTAGTATCCCACGCGGAGGAGATGAGGCAACAGGATGGGCTGAACCGCCTGCGCCGGTCAGTCGAGGACACTGCCAAAGTCAAGTTCAACGATCGATCGATCTACAACGAAGGTGTCGAGTTGCTAGCAGCCGAAAAAGCCGAGGACAATGCGACTCGACGAAAGTATGGAACAGATCGATGGGCGCGTGAGACCTCCGAGGCCGCTGCGCCAAAAATCTACAATACGTCGAAAGAGATCAGTGGGTATTTCACCTCTGCACAGAGCAGTGACGACCTCGTCGAGCGTAAGCTGCGCGACTCCGATGCTGTGTTCCGCGTCTTAACAGGAACGAATCGAGATCTCGAATCCTATGTACCCAGCAGCCGCAGAGCTGCCATTCCTCCGGAGGTAGAGCGGGAGGCAGTCAAATTGCGCAGCTGTTTGAGTGAGGTCAGTCGGATGGAGAACCGTCGGCGCCGGCGGATTCAGACGCTCAAGGATAAAGCCCGCGCAGATGATATTCGTATGTTATACACTCACTTTCTAACAGCTTTGTCCGTGAGAATTAGTTTGTGCAAAAATGACTGACAGCAACGCATCCAGACCCTGCTCTGCTGAAGGAGACTGCACGGTTAGAACGAGAGTTCCCGATGCAAGCCATCCAGGCGAGCCAATTCGAGGATCTCTTCGAAGAACAACTACGACTCTACGATTCTGACAACGATATGCTCGCGCAGGAGAGGCGAGACCAGGAACAAATCTCCGAGCAGGTCCGTGACGCGAATCGAGCTTTCACTCGAGCGAATAAGGGTGACGCCTCCACCAAGGAGCGCGAGACCGCTCTGCAAGAGCTGGAAAACGGATACTTGAAGTACAAGGAGATTATCTCGAACTTAGAAGTCGGCCGGAAGTTCTACAATGACCTCGCCAAGATCGTTAGCCGGTTCCGCGATGATGCAAAGGCCTTTGTGCATCAGCGCCGTATGGAGGCGAGTCAATTGGAAGCGTAAGAATCCTCCTCCTTTGACCAATTGCTGTATCAGCATACGGATGCCATACTCATACTAACCTCTCACAGGGATATTTCCAACGTGACTGCCATGGCATCACTGCGCCTCTCTCAGCCTCACCTGCACCAGGCCTCTCCCCAGCCAACCCGCACACACCATCAGCCCTCTGCCTACTCAGGCGTGCCACAAGCCCAGGTACAGACACAGGCACCGGCACAGGTCCCCACTCAACCACCGTCTCAACCCCCAGCCCCAGGCCCAATCCCCGTACAGATGCATTCCCACCGGCCTTCAGGAACCGCCGCACCCCTGACCGCGCCGCAACCAGTACGCGCCGCGGTCGCCCCGCCCTCGGTGCCGATGCCTGGCATGTGGTCGCCTGAGATGGGTATTCGATTTGACTCGGCGGGCATGCCACCCGGTGCGAATGCTGGACCTGCGACGGCTGCGGCGAGGGGACAGACTGGGACGTGGGATCCTAGTCAGGGTGTGCGGTTCTCGTAGATGGGGATGTGGTATATGGGATTGATGGAGTGGATTTGGGGGGTTGTACATATGCATGTGCTAGATATTGCTACTTTTTTGCATACAATGAGGATATTCATTGTTACTTAAAAAGGAAACATGTCGCTCATGATGTCGATGTCTGGGATGGACTTGGGTAGAGAGTGGTCATGCTCTGTGAGAAGTGAGAAGTACTACAGATCTTCAGTCGATCTCTGTCGATCTCCCACATAAACAAAAAGACTCCTCGAACCCAACCTTGATTCCAATGCATAAAAGATAACATGTACTCGTGAGTACATCCGGTTTTCTCTCTACATTAAGGCCCATAGTTAGTTAAACCCCCTCAATTTAGTCAGCCTCACACACACCTGGACCCCGATCTGACTCGCCCCCATAAGCCATCACCAGCTTACGCAACCCCGTCCGAAATAGGCCACGGAGTAACTATAAAGCGCCTTCCCCATCACGCACAGCAACATGAGCTAACCAAGCAGCAATTAGTTACTCCAAATACCCACAGGCGACTAGTCACTAGTGACCGTCTGGGCCAACCTGTCAGAACTCAGGACTGGCGCCAAGGGTCGTCTCTCCTCCGCAGACGAGTCAACGCGCGAGATTCGTTGGAGGAGAGACATGGGCAAGCCACAGTAGTCCCCGAGAGGTTCAGTAGGCCCAAGGGTAAGTGTTTACCTGAAGGGTGTTCTTCGGGTTCCTGTCGTATTCGCTTTAGAGGAGGAGGGATCGAATTGTCAGTAATAATTCGGTGTAAGCGGTCGTAACTAGTTAACTATGGGCATCGTGTAATTCAGACGTTACCAAATCAGCGCGGAATACATACCGGCGTAATTATCCTCTTGTTACAGTAGAAAGACTGTATCTGGGTTCGGTTCTGACGGGCTTGGGAGGGTACTACTGTACGTAATAATTGAACCCCTACAGTTCTGCCTGCTATCATAGTGTTGCTTTAGCCGCTAGCAACCTATGCCCCTACTATTACAGTGGCAGTTCAAAAGTCTGAAACCAGGGACCAAGAAAACAGGCCGTCAAAATATGCCTCGATTTTATGTTTTTAACAGATCTTTCTGAATGTCTTTTGAACCCTCTTTCTAGATATTCCCGGCATCTGTGTTTCAACTTGTCTTCTCAAAGTATAGCTGATGAGATGGGTTTGAACTTTTTCGGGTGTTGCAAACTTATGGAACACCACTGTACTTAAATGTCTCCGTGCGGAGTCCGCAGCTCGGTCTCTTTTACTCTCTTTGCAAGTTCGACAGCCTCGAAAAACGGGGTGCAATAACTACTGTGCCACTGCGCAAGAGGCTAGCGGTGTTCAGGTTAGCTCCACTTACTGATGTGCACTGGACGGACGTGCTGTGAGCCCACGAAGCGGAGACTCGGCTTTTTTCTTCCGCAGCAGCCATTCAGGGACTGGATTTTTGGACGAGCACGACATCCGCTTACGAGTCCATTTTGAGTTTAGGGTTGGAGGAGTCATGATCTAAAAGTGAATGGAACTGATTGCTAGGTGGCGATTATGCTGACTTTGTTGCAGATTACTGTACACTGTACAGTGGTTTGGAGCGATGTGGTTGAGGGTGGATTGGTTGGAAATGGTTTGGTTTTTCTGTTTGGTCAGGGACTCGGGTAACGGGTTAGATTGTTCCATGGAAGCACGTTGTCGTATTCTTATTTATTGGTTTCTATTTATATCCATAGGACAGTACCGTAGTATGGTATTTTATATTTCATAAATACAACACCACAACAGAATAGTGTTTCCAGTACGGAGGAGTTTTACTGGCCCTGCTGCATATGACTGCCGCTACGAATTGTTTAGGCCTGACGGTTCGTTCGGCTCCCCTCAAGGCCCGAGACCTCCGGCGCCAACCCAAACCCAGCCAGACCGGATGCTCGCGGCGCTTACGGAGAATTAATCCAGTAGTAGTATACTAGTATGAATTGAGTAATTGAGCCTGAGCCACATGGGGGTTTAACCACTCCTGGATCTCAAGCACGGGATTTGGAAAGAGGGGGTTTTGTTTGCGTGCTCAGGTGCTGGGTGGTGTCAAATTTTCCTGCCTCTGAGCCTGCTGTATGACATATGAACTACTGTATGAACACCTTTCTTTGTTCCAGCCACCACATACATACATCGCTGGCAGCAGTGACGTCGACCAACTTGTGGTTATCGTGTGCATTCTACGTATGTACCCACTGGACCGTTGATCCAGTGGTGGATCGTTAGAGAAGTGCGGTAGATGACATCAGTGCATCAAGGAGAGAGGCCGATCGGGACTGGTTAAAATTCAGGGCCTACAGAATCAATTTGTGTACAAGAGTAGATGCTGTGATTGAACTCAGTAGTGATCCGGCGAATAGTATGATGTGTTAGTGCCTATCTTGACCAGTCATGGTCAAATCATATCTATTTTACTTTGCAGGATGGTTGGTGTGGCTGGTTGGAAACCGGGAATTGGGATAGAATACGTACATGCAAACAGATACACATATGTACGGAGGGTTTCTCGTTCGTTCGGCAGTGGGATCAATCTCACGATCTACTACCCTAGTGATGGAGTGATTAGCATTCTTTCTAAGCAGTTTCTTCTCCATTCAATCTTGAACAAAGCGATCTGGGTGCCTGAAACATTTGGGTGTGGCAATGTCGGGCGGACGGGGGAGGGCGATAGTGTCTTGAATAATGCATAATAATGATTGGTTATATTGCATATTAATCGAATTACATTTTCTTTCGGAGATAGCCAGCGTAAGCCCAGGATCTTGATGGAGTCTAGTCTCAGGGTGTCTTATTTGTTCGGCACCAATCCACCCTGAACTGGGGGGCCCAGTCTCTGAGCCTGTTCCCTTTTCGCTTTGATGCAAAAGAAAAATATGAAAATATGAAAATATAAAAGTATGAGGTTGCCTTGTTCCGGCTCGTTGGCCCCATCCCCCCCCCCCAATTTTACCGGTCTCCTCCCCCAAGCCCATCATGGCGTACATCCCGTCACTGACCTTCGAATAATCTCCATCCTCTCCAGTCTTGCTGTCGACAACCACACTCGCTTTTTTTTTTTTCGACAGCACTTTCGCTCTCGCTTTTTCCCGCCCTCTACGGGCATATCACTCCCCCACCAACCTTCCATCATGCGATTTCCTCGCTGGCTGGCGGCGGGCTGCTTCGCTCTCAGTCTGGCCCCGCCCGTTGCCGCTGTCAAGTTGTTACAATCTCACGCCCTCGTTCCATGTTCGAATGATGGAATTATTTCGGTCAACCATTTCGGTATCGTCTTCACGCCGGGGAATATGAGTGCAACGGTGAGCTTCGACGGCCAGGCGACTTATGCGGGCAACATTCGGATCGATCTCGAACTCTACGTCTACGGTTACAAAGCCACCACCAAATCATTCGATCCATGCGTCTTGAAAGTAGATGCGCTGTGCCCACTCCAAAAGGATACGGCCCTGAAAATTGCAAATGTTCCGCTGGATCTCTCGAACGTCGACTTGTCCATCATTCCGGGTGAGTCCGCTGTCCCGTCGATCCCCGGTCTTATCTGATAGCATCCTGAACCCTCGTGCTTGCTCGTGATAATTCTGAACCACCGGATCCCGCCGGATCACCCCCGAATTGTCCAAACTAACATGCAAGAACCTCATAGGTATTGCATACTCCGTTCCCGATCTCGATGCCGTGGTCCGCCTGGAAATCATGGACGCCGACACCGGCGGTAAAGTCACCTGCGTCCAGGCCAGTGTCAACAATGGGGTGACGGTCGACCAAACGGGTGTGGCTTGGGCCATGGCCATTCTAATAGGGTTAGGACTTCTCGCAACGGTGGTTGTATCTATTCTCGGCCACGTCAATATCGCAACTCACGTCGCCTTCCGCACCTTGCTCTTCTTGGGCTTTATGCAGACCCAGGCCATATGGGGTATGACGGCCGTTAACCAGCGCCCGCTGGTACAATCGTGGACGCAGCTTTGGCAGTGGACGATGGGCTTGGTTGGGGTTCCGTTCTTGCAGACGATTTGTACCTGGTTCGTGCGTTCGACGGGCGGTACGCCTTCCCAGATTCTCACGCACACCGATGAGTATTCGGTGATTATGCAGAAGCGCTCGTATATTCCGGGATCGCTGATCGCCCGCGCCACGGATATGACGGAGAATGGTGGGGAGGTCGAGGTGCGAGGGATTGAGCGCGTGGGTTTCCGTATCAACATCGAACCGACCAACATCTTCATGACGAGTTATCTGTTCTTCTACTTTGTCACGGTCGCCTTCCTGCTGGTGATCTTGTTCCTCAAGCTGGTTGTGCCGAGGTTGGCGAAAAAGTCGAGCAGTGCCAAGCTGGAGCAAGTGATGGTCGCATCATCCGACTGGAAGGACTTTATGCGCGGCAGTCTGTATCGACTGGCTTCGATTGGATATCCGCAAATGTGTGCACTCGGTCTGTGGGAGTTGATTCACCGAGACTCCGCCGCCGAGATCGTCCTGGCCATCTGCATGTGGCTCACCATGACTGTCATCCTCTGCTGGGCAATCTTCAAGGTCTTCCAGCGCGCCCGGCTATCACGAACCCTCCGACAAGATCCCGCCTATACTCTCTACTCCGATCCCGTCTGTCTCACCCGCTGGGGCTTTTTGTATGTCAACTACAAAGCGCAAGCCTACTACTTCATGGTCCCGCTGTTCCTCTACACCCTCGCCAAGGGCCTCGTCATCGCCTTTGCACAGTCAAGCCCGCTAGCACAATCCATCGTCCTCCTCATCATCGAAACACTCTTCCTCGTCGCCACATGCGTGATCAGACCATACATGAACAGAACCGCCAATGTATTCGCCATCATCGCCGCCGTCCTCAACTTCCTCAGCGCAATCTTCTTCCTCTTCTTCACAAACGTCTTCACCACCCCCGAACTCGTCGGCGGTGTCATGGAAGTCCTATTCTTCTTCCTCAACGCCCTTTTCATGCTCGCCCTCCTCGTCTTCTTCCTCATCGGCTTCTACTACGTTGTCACCCTAAAAGAACCCGCCGAACAATACACCAGTCTCACCGATAACCGCTCTTCCACGGTCCTCGTCGAGAACCGCCGTATCACAGAGCTACAGCCGTTGGAGAAAAACCTCGAGGTCGAAGACGGCCACATGGCTTCCCGGGGAAATGTCTGGGAACCTATATCTACGCGGTCGCCCTCTGAAGATGACCTCTCTGAAGCGCCGCATCGACCATTTGATCATGCCATTCAGCCGACACTACCTTCCATCCCGACCAGTGACTCTGACAGCTTACGATCACGGCGGTACGATATACCCCGGCAAGAAGAGCGACTGGTTTAAAATAACCCTCGCCCTCCCACCATCCCTCCGTTCCTTTACATGTCTATATTCAGCATCCATTCCTAGCATCTTTTTCCTTATTGTTTATAGTGATGACGATCTCACATTCCCAGCCATTTTTGCACATTTTGCACATTTCATTGCAAGAGAAGCCTCGGAAGCTTCGGTACATGGGGACCTCGGCGTTAGGCTCTGCATTCCTTTTTTTTGATCTTGTTTGGTATATATGGGTGTTGGCGTTTCTCGACTCATCTTTGTGCATTTTCTCTGCAGAGCCACCTACACCTACACCTACACTTTCCTTTGCATCTGCACTTGCACTTACGGCTGGCATTAGAAATTTCGTTAAGAGAGCTGTGGGCTTGATCATGGAACGAATAATGTCCACTGAATGAAGGATGTCTTCCTCGCGGGAGAGCTAAATAAATAACATTGGTTCAAGACATAGTGTGCTTGTATTGTATGTGCTTCATTAGACATTAGACATTGGGGTTGAAAAGCAGCAAGTAAGAACTGATGCAATATTATACAGAAATGCTTTGCATGTACACTGTTCAAATGCAATTCCCACCACTCCAATCGCGGCAAAACACAGCTGGGCTCGATTTGAATCATGGTTTTCGTGACACCCAGTCCGAGTCGCTTCATGCAGACCATTACCCGATAATGCAAGGGCAACACTCCTCGCCATTGATGGCACTCGTGCCACCTCGGCAGTGACATCTCCCAACTCGATTCTCAAAATCTCAATCTCGACTTCAATGACCCTTGGCCACACCGTTCCCATTAACATTGGCATGGCCATTCAGATCCTTCAAGACCTCCTCCGCCTCCGATTCATCCTCTGACCGATCATCCTTCTTCTCGCCCGTCGAAATAAACTTCCACGCACTGCGCAGGAGGCAATACAGCCAGAAGAGGTTAAGACTCTGCAGCATCGCCAGCAAAGCGAATGTGATGATATTCGAGATCCAGCATTTATACTGCTGCGTTTCCCAGTTGAGCTCGTAGGGACCCACGGTGCGGAACTCGGTCAGTAGAGACCAAAGGATGCGCAGGTTGAGGTAATGCCGAAGATAGATCCAGGTGCCGACGTTGAGGGCGTAAAAGGGTATGACGAGCTCGGACTCGATGTAATGGAAGGACTTGGAGATCTATGAAGGAAAAAAAAGAGTGTTAGTGATCGAAACCGGGTCAAGCCATTCCAAACATCTTTGGAGTCAGGAGACAGGAGGAAGGGTAATTCCAACACATACCGCAAGGAAAAAATCACTGATATCATGCGTGATATACACCGCAATCCCAATATACGTAAAATGGAACCGATAACTCAACCCAATCAACGCCAAAGTAACAATATGATGCGCAACAAGCTCCCTAAAATCCTTCCTCGGCTTCTCCATCCCCAAAATCATCACAAGCGCCTGCTGCGCCCAATACGCCGCCTCAAAGAGATAATAAAACTTGAACGCAGCCTGGTGCGTCCGATGCGGGAATAGCTCGTACATGCCCCGCGTATTAAAATACCACACTGGCGTCTGCCGCATCACATATAGACCCGCCGGCCCGGAGATCCCGAAGTACACGGCCGTATACATCTGCTCCATGAAGCGCAGCTGTTTACCGCGGGACTTGATGCCTGCAGCGCGCGCGAGCGGGTGAAGTAGCTCTTGCATGATGAATTCGCGGGTGAAGGTTAGCACGATTGTGTAGAAGGCCACAAAGGCGATGTCCCATAAGCCCTTGCCGTATTGTGCTGGTGTGCCCGTGGCTCCCGGGACCGGGTCCTCTCGGTAGGAGAGGAAGATGAAGTGGTGGATCACGTTGGACTCGGTTGGATCGAGGGCGTAGAGCGAGGCGAATGCGACCAGCAGCAATAGAGGGATCGACCAGGTATGCTTGGTAGCGCGCCTTTTCAGCCGTCGCAGGAGTGAACGCGGCTTCTTGCGCGACCGGGCGGGTTTACCCTCTTCGCGTCGGACATGGCCGTTGAGGCTGCCTGGGGATGCGAGGTCGGTGGACGTTAGAGCTGCGACTGTCTCGGTCTTGCGGCGGCGCGCGGAACCCCTGTTTGTTGAGGGCCGCTGGGCAGCGAGGGAGGGCGCGGGATTGGAGGGCGCGGGCGCCGCCATCTGGACGAGGGATGGAAGAGAGGAATGCTCGTGGACGATGGTAATTGTTGGACTTGGGGGGACGTGTCTTTGAATATTAATCGTCCCCACTCCTTTTTACTTGTTCCAATCACTGTGAAAGTAGGGATTTGACGGAACGTTTCATCTTACAGGTCCGATTTGCCCCCTTTTGGGTTAGTTGGAGGTTGTGGAGTGTCGTGGGCTGCGAATGAGAAGCCCGTGTTGTTCGCGGAGACCGGAGACCGCGGGTGCCGATGGTTGTTATTCACCGGGTATAGGTTATCTGATGTGTACTTGCTTTTTAGGATTACTGTAGATATCTATGTTCCCAAAAATGAGGTCCCGAGTAAAGAGAAACAGTAAACAAGCTAAAGTTATGTACCTGAAGCTTGTCAAATTCGTGGGCGAATGACCGCATCTATCCATGGTTCGGCTGGGTTCCAAGTATGTTTCCGTACCTGCATGGCACTATACAACCTCAGAACCCGAGCCCTGATACTCCTCAAATCCACTTGGAGATTGAAAGTATCTATTCAAATGTCCAAGGGCTCTGTGGATAAGCCAAAGATCTCACCAGGACGGAATAGCATCGTCAGCCTGGGGGTAGATGAGTGATATGACAGGCGTACATTTAGTTAGAATATGGACTTAGAATGTGGAATCTTCAATCCACCCGTGACGGGAGATTCATTTGCATTGAGGAAGTTTCCGGATTGTTTATGGTAGTTTGTTTCTTTATACACAGCGGTGGAGAGACATATAGATACTCCAAGCACTAGAAGAAAGGAGGCAACATTTCCTCGTTCTCTTTAAACCTCTATTCAAGGTCTACCTCCCTCCTGAGACATAATCTATATAAAAGTTTCTATACTATACCATCTCTTATACTTCAAGACAACATCAGAGCTCCCCACGCGGCACCACCGATGTCAATGTCGCGGATGACGAGGATTCCAGCAGGGATTGCGGGCCAGGTACCGACACACATAATTATGACTCCCTACAGGAATTCGCCCCTCACGACCAACCTGAAATGCCCGCGAAGTCCAAGAAGGGAGACAGGATTCCACCTGTACCAAAGACGAATACAACCCGCTTCTTCCACAGGACATGGTTTACCTTTCACATTGCCTCGTCGATCTAGTACGATCTGTTATACGGTATACCATGTATGTCCTGCGTTACCACAGCGCCAACTTAGATCGTCCTCAGGATGACCGGCGTAATGGTCAGCACACTGCCCCGTCCTGCAGCAGAGATATCAACCTAGAGCTCCTGCCGACCTGGAGACAACCTCTGATTCTCACACTCTGCCTTGACAACATATTGCTCGGGGACAACATGGGAATCTCAACACGGGAAGCGACGTTGTCGACGTCAACAAGGGGGATGTGGAATTAAATCTACGACAATCTCCTTCCTATGGATTTGCGAGGGTACCGGCAACCTCTGCAAGCATTAACTAGTTAGTTACGGTAAGCAGGCTGAATCGGCGAAACCGGTTTTGAGACGGAGAGAATGCTGACGCGATCTAGACATTTGATCAGACAGCTCCTGTTCAGGGGGTCTATTATGACTCCACTTCTTCGGGGGACTGCAGTTTCTGGTAATTATTATTTATATTGTGTTTGGCGTACTCGCCACGTCAAACTCAGAGCTTAGATTTATGTGGCTTCTCTATGTCGAGCTCCGCTATATCATGTATCGACGGGAATGCTCGAAAACCTCATCCATGACTCCCCCACAAAATCGTCTACGAGAATATTGTGAATTGGGCCGCGCTAGATATCGCTAGCTTCCGTGGACCCAATATGCCGCGAGTCCAGTAGGAGCTTATGGCTCGCATCCGCCACTAGCTACTGGCTCAGAGCAGGATGCCATTCCGGGTTCTGCAACTGGTTTGAACGCGTTTAATTGCGACATAACGCTGACATGCAAGACGTACTGCGTTATGGTTGTCTATTGATACAGCTATTACAGATTTGAAGTACCTCATGCAGGCTCCTACACATCTCGATCTGTTTCTGGCGCCAACTGGATGCGATACCTTGAAGGCAGACGAAAGGTGATCACCTTTTCTTGCGGTATGGAAGTGACCTTTGACGAGTACTCCGGAACTCGTTCACTCGATCATTATTGCTAGGCCATAATGATTTGCTCTAAGGAGATCGACGGGCTGAAGATTGGCTGGGACAGTTGTACCGAGGCGTCTTAAGACATAGGGACTGTAAAGAACGAAGCTGATTTCTTGATCGAGGGATGTGGTAGCGAGATCGCTCAATCACAAGGCAAGCAATATGAAGATTCAAGTCGATGCTTTGAACAAGCCTCTACCGTGGAAGGATGAGGGGCCAAATGTTGTCGAAAGGGCGGAACTAGTGACTGCGACTTGGTTATAGGCCTCAAAAGGCCCAGTGACCAACGCATGCACTGTTTAACTTCCCAGACGCCAGGCTGCGCCTTTCTGAACCATAGTATCAGCTCTTGGGGAGATATTCATACAATATTTCTCCTTTCACATTTAACTACTAGTTAGCTGAATATTAAATCAAGGTGTGAGCTGATAGCAATGAAGGTTCAACATGGTAGATTGCGCTTTTGGATGTCTAGACTGGAATGTGTTCGATCATCTCATCAAACGAATACTACCGAAAGGTGAATTAGTTGTAAAATATCAGCGATCTAATGATTTGCCCGTGCATTTCCTTAGAGTCTCTGGAAAGATCTGCTATTTCTAACCAAGGAGGAGCGGACTGAAACAGTCCGTTAATCAATTCCCTACAACGTCTCCTGAGCCAGACGATAAAGTAGCAATTGATCATCAAAAGCCCTTAATAGACTTTTTTTCACGTTAAGCCGAAGAAGCCTAATTTTATCCTTGGATTTGCAGAATCGTTTGAAGATCGACGAGATAGCCGAGATAACCCATGGATCTTCAAGATGCAAGGCGAATCAGTCCACCTAGCAATTGCAGGAGAAGAGAGTCCTGGAGCCTGGCCCCACCTCTCGTTGTAATTGACACATTTTGCGGTGCAGTGAGATATTTGCAGAGGTAACATTGTGCAAGGCCTCCAGGTCAGGAAGAGAGGTCGTGTCGTCATGGGCATTCAATGGGATCCACTAAGCAGTGGAGCTTAGACATGCTCATTGCAAGATGGACAAAAAGTCCGGTGCATTGAAAGACTAGCAGCGGCCGAGACTCAATTTGCAAGGATATCGATAAACGTTTCCAGCTATATAGATCGGGACTATTGCAGCTGGAAGGGGAAAGAGGGGAACTGCATGGTGATTGACTCAGAAGCAGCCACAATCTTGAAAAATGGGGAGAAGCCACGACCCACAGGGCTGTGCATCATCCGACTGATTATTTTGTACGCTATTCCCTTCCGTGCAAGATTCGTGCTCTGGCTCCAGGGTCAAGTGACCTCAACTTGGACTCAGCAACATCGATAAAGGAGGCGAATTCGTTCTGACTCGTCGAATGTGAGGTTGGAGTGGAGCACCATCATCTCGGGGGTGGCCAGTTAGCAAGAATCCTGAGGAATTTCAGTTTTCTCCACTTTCCGAAATGATCATCAACTCGGCACGCCCCACACAAGGTGCACGGCGGTAGAGTCGATGATTCTCCCGTCCGTTGTGGTTCTCTTCGACAATTGGGAGATCCTATTTCTGGGCATCGGCAGTATCTGGAGAGCCGTGGTCCTGAATACCAAGGTCGTTCAACCCTCAGTTAGGGTTTAGCTCCTTATTAGGTTCGACCCTGGTCCACGGCTGATATGACTTATGTCATTATCACATGAATGTAAGAGGCAATAAACTGTCCATTCGAAAGCCACCCTAGTCGCCAAGGAGATGCCAAGGAAGCTAGACCCTCGTACAACCCCGCTTCCGGGGGGTTTGCCGCTGAAGTCGCTGACAGATGGAGGAGCAGGCAACATGATAACGCCCGCCCCTCTGGAGGAGCGGAAATCTGCATCAGACATGCGACGGAGCTGATCTTCGATTTGCCAAACGGTGGGGACTATTGTCAGAGCCCTTGTCAATAATACAGAGCTGACCCCAGGGATCCGCTGGAAACCAGATTCACTCCTCCAAATCCCCGAGATAAAAAGGTCGTTGCACTCCCAGAACTTAAAAAAGTGACCAGCATTCTTGGACAAGCTACGGTGTTACTGAGCCGCAGCAGCCAAGAACAGATGGCTTCTACCTGCAGCACCCCGAACAATGCGAATTTCCACGAAAGACATCTCAAAGGCAGCTCCCCCAAAGGTCTTTCCTTCCTTAGTCTGCTGAAAAGAAGTGGTCAGCATCTACGCCGCTCTAGCAAAGATGACACCCAACAAGCTTCCGATACAGCTTTTCAAGCTGCGCCGACCGAGAAAGTGAGCCCCATTCAGCACATCGATGCAGCCGGGCAAATACCCGATAGGACCTTGCCTGGAAAGTCACCCCCGGCAGCCAATTCGATCAAGAAGGCTCCCGTCTCGATTCTGCGAAAGACCAATTCCCTCGATCTCGATTCCATCATCTGGGACGACTCGTCAAGAGATCGCCAGAATATGCAAAGATCGGTGAATCTGGACGATATGATCGCACGACTCCTCCAGGTCGGACATTCAAAACCATCCAAAAGCGTCTGTCTCACCAATTCCGAGATCATTGCTGTCTGCTCGAATGCACGCAACCTTCTTCTTTCTCAACCGGTTCTTCTAGAACTCAATGCTCCGATCCAGATTGTCGGCGATCTACATGGGCAATACCTAGATCTCATTCGACTCTTTGAAACGTGCGGATATCCCCCCGCCACCAACTACCTCTTCCTTGGAGACTACGTCGACCGCGGCAAGCAAAGCCTCGAGACCATGCTGTTGCTATTATGCTACAAGCTCAAATACCCAGAAAATTTCTTCATTCTCCGAGGTAATCACGAATGTGCCAATATCACCCGCATCTACGGGTTCCATGACGAATGCAAGCGACGCTGTAACATCAAAATCTGGAAGACCTTCACCGATGTGTTCAACTGTCTCCCCCTTGCCGCTATCGTCGCAGAGAAAATATTCTGCGTCCACGGTGGTCTCTCACCGAATCTCACGAATATGGATGATATTCGGAAAATACCTCGACCGGTTGAAGTACCCGAGTACGGCCTTCTGAACGATCTTCTTTGGAGCGACCCTGCCAATATCAAGGATTGGGGACCTAATAATGACCGTGGTGTGAGTTGGTGTTTTGGCAAAGCGCCGATTGTGAATTTCTTGAAACATCACGATTTGGACTTGGTTTGTCGGTCGCATATGGTGGTGGAGGGTGGCTATGAGTTCTTTGGGAACAAATCGTTGGTAACGGTATTTTCTGCTCCAAATGTAAGTCTTGGCTACTTCTTTTTTGTTCCATTGCGTCGGTGGCACAGGCTGACGTCGTTCTAGTACTGCGGGGAATTCGACAACTGCGGAGCTAGCATGTCCGTTTCGGAAGACCTGTTGTGCAATTTCAATTTGTTAAAACCCTTCGATTCGAAAAAATTGAACAAACAAGGTGTACTGAAGAGAGCGAAGGAATCTACGACGACGGAGAAAGCTTTGTAAGTTCTATGGGTTCGGAGTTTAATGTTTCGAATTTGAGCTAACGTCGCGAAAGGCTACGCCAAGTATCCTGGAACTGATCATGAAACCGGAGCTGCATGAACTATGAGCATCACATTGTATCTGTGTAGAATAGTCTGATAACCTTGTTAATTGCTTGTTTCAATATGTCACTTGGGAATGAATAACGAGTTCTTATCATACGCCAATCCCCAGAAAGGTACGACGTAGAGCACCCTAGAAAGCATTGAGCTGAGTAAACCGACTCAACCTCGAAATCGGATAAGAGATAGCGAGTAGGATGGATTTGACTAAAGATATAAATGGTGTCTGCGAAACGCTCTTCGAAGATGCAGGAGGTTCTCAGTTGGGGGCCGAAATTGCGCCAGGATCGACACACCAGGCACAAATTCTTTCGTCGAATGAGAAGGCCCAGTAAACGAATATATGCATCTGTATATGTAGTTTGAAGGAACAAGTTGCGTACTTATCACAGAGGACTAGCTGACGTGGCGCAAACTAATTACCATACCATCTTCTATCTCGACCAGCAACCGAACAAGCCTTCTCTCTAGTATGGGTATGCGTGGGGGCGGATTCGTGTGCCCCTATACTCCACTCCAATCAAAAAGGCCAATATCAGCCCCAGGACGAAGGAAAAGTGGAACCCTCGCACTCTACCCTTGTAAATGGGTTGGCTAATCGAGCTCGGACCTGGATATGCATCTTTAGCTATGAGCTCAACAACCTGCTGCCCACATATGGTAGTGTGGATGCCTCGAAATTTAGTAGATTTCGGGCTGAAAGTAGATTTGGAGCGTAAAAGACGACAAATTAGAGCTATATAAGTGCTCCTAGCCCCCGTAAAGAAGCCATTGCATTGAAACCTGTCAAATTTCACTCACTGTTCGAATCACCATGGGTAAAGGGCTTGCGAGGCTGATTGGCTCGGGAATTGGCTTCACCTCTGAAGCAATCCATGCTGTCCGCCACAAAAAAACAGACTCTACTTCTGCCTCTACCGCCGAAACCCCTCGTTCTCTCCCTGGTGCGGAAAGGGAGGAAGATCAGTATGTCGTCGCGGATGGCGAAAGAGCCGACGAATACATAGACAGGGGAATTACAGAGCGATCCGAAGACTCAAAGCTCCCGGGTTACTTGGAGCTTCCAGTCGATCAAGAGTCCCCCCTTTGTCAGCTGAGGAAAAGCGAGAGATCGATGCTGCCGTCGCGGGCTATGAGTCGAACGGCGAGGAAAGCCCATCGGTGTACTCCAAGGATGATGTAAAGCGCTCGATGGATGAAGACGAGGCTGCTTGGCAGCTAGACGAAGCGGCTGAGCAATGGGGATTGCCGGCATATGATGAAGAACGTGTGCCTGGTGATGATGCTGCTGCTCAATCGCACTCCCAGGAAAATCCCGACAATGAGCACGCCCCGATGAATGAAAATGACTCTGAGGAAACCAAGGAGAAGAAACGTGATGCTATGGTTCGCGCCCTTGTCCAGATGGCGGGGCCACCTGGACCGGTGCAGCGGCTCCCTTGTCCTGTGATCATTCCTCAACGGAGACCAGGTACGAAGAAGCGTGGATTCGTGCGTGCTTATGCACCTGTGTTGGCCGATTGTGGTATCAGCCAGGATGTGTTCATTAAGTTCATCAGTGACTTTCATAAAGCGAGTCAGGTTCGTTGCACCCTATAATTACTCTCTATGATCTATCAATTACGGAAAAGAATGACTGACGGGAATTGTAGGCATCGTTGTGGCTTCAGGTCGTCGTTGTTGCAGCCAACGTAACGGGATTCTCGCCTTCGTTGACCGTTGCATTAACAGCCACCGCCATTCAAATCGTCGCAGAAACAGCCATGCAATTCCAGATCCGCCACCGAACCAACAGTTACCTCGACAAGGTGAACCAAGAGCTATTCATACCTCGCGGCCAATACGCCCTGGTCATGAAATTCAAGGATCACGGTCCTAGCCAAAAGCAGGAATCTTCGGGCTCCTTCTCCGACATGCTTGGCGGGCTCTTTTCCACCGAGAAGGTCGATCTCAGGCAGTCGGATGCGAAGACCCAAGATACATCATCGACTCAGCCAACTAAGAGTAATATATTGGAGTTCAATGCGGCTGCGACAATCTCAAAGTTCACTCATAGTGAAGAGCACCCAGAGATGAATGCGTGGACAAAGCGCATGAAGCATTACAGGGATGTTAGTGGCAGGACTCAAGGCGCGCTCGAGCTTCCGGAGTGTGCGCCACTAATCTTCCCCGATATCGATCGAGGTGCGATGCGAGTGAGAGAGGGTAAGGAGCCCAAATCGAAGTTCCAGAGTGGAAGGACTTGGGTACGAGATTACATCGATCGAAAGTCGCAAGCAGAATTTGTGAGTACCCTTCTATTCCGTTCCCAATGAAAAAAAAAGATGATCGATGCTAACAGACTTAGGAATCCGAGCATAGAGGATCCGCTCTCGCCATACCCGAGTCTGGAAGAAAGGCTTTTGTTTCACGGTACAATGATCCCAATCATCCGGTAAACAACGGCAAGCTTCTCTCAGCACTTACCGGCGGCTTGTATAACCCCAAGCCTGGGCTTATCGAGCGTGCTGGAATGGCCATCAAGGAATCGCAGGATAAGAAGCGCGCTGCTCAGGGCCTCCCGCCAAGTGAGCCTTGGAAGGATAAGCTGAGAAGGAAGAAGAAGGAGCAAGCTGGCAGGCTCAAGATTCTCCAGGAGGATGTGATGTATCTGATGATTGTCAACATGCCTACTGAGGAGGAGCTTAAGCAGTCAGTTGCGGAACTGAAACATCTCATGGAGACGGAGGGAAGGACTCTTCCACCTGGACACTCTCGGCGGTAATCGAGGTGATTCTATCTTTGGCGCTAGATGACAATTATTTTTTGGAAATTCCCACATGAGAGGGGGAGATGGGATTTAGAGTTGACAAGAATGGACCACTTATTTACAAATAATTATCCAGTCTATTCTGTATGCACAAGAGCGTTTATTTAAACCTCATCGTTCTCCAGGTTCAACATAAGCTTCCGCACGAAGCTCCCAACCTCGCCTATGTGCTCACCAAGCCATGTCTGAAACTTGTAGTTTCTCGTCTTATCGCTCTCAAAATCATATAAGCCCGATTTTCCATCTGGTCCAAAACGCATGAACTTTTCATTCTGTGAATACGGCTCCCAGGGCTGGTTTCCATGGGCAAAGGCGGTCCAGATCCGAGCAGCCTCCAAAGCAACCTCTTGCGTTGGTGGGGGGCAATTGGGCAGCTCATTCAAATGCATGATCATTGCGCAAAGGCCGTGATATGAGAGGCCTTGAGTTGGGCCCGTGAAAGGCGAAGGCTCTTCGAAATGGTAGAGGTAGACTTTGTTTCTCCAGGTGTCGGAGTTTTTGGAGGCCTTCGCAATTCCAACATGTGAATAGTTGAAAAGGGTGTTTCCAACAAGAAGCCTGAAGGCCTTGCGGAAATCCTCCTGGGATTGAGGCCCACGACTAAAACCGAATTTGAGGTATAGTTGTTCGGCATCTTCGGCGGAGAACGTCTCGCTAACCAACTTGTGGAAGCGATCATGAGGCAAGCGTTTGAGCAAACCATCAAAGATGATAGCCTCAATATTGGTATCTCCCAGGATAATTTCTTTGCATCGTTTGTTTGAAACATTTTCTTCGTAGGTCCATCCTGACTTGAGCAGCTTGCCATCCGCGACAGGACCCATGGCAGCAGGCGTTGACTTCTTCATAACATCATCTACACTCAGTGCCCGAAGTTGTTCTAATCTTTCAGCCGCCGTTGAGGGTTTGATCCCCGCCTTCTCACATAGGCAGTCCCAGTCTCGCTGATAAGTCTCTGGCTCTTTGGGACTCAAAACAGGTGCCGATCCTGACATCATGATAGCGCGATCGAACAGAGCGTGTTCAGCAAGGAGATGTAAGTGAATACTGACACTTCCAGCACTAACACCGAAGACTGTAATGTTCGATGGATCTCCCCCGAAATCTTGGATATGCTGGTTCACCCATTCAAGCGCGTTACGTTGATCGACAAATCCGTAATTGCCAACGGGATAAGTTCTAGAGCCGCCATTGACTTCTCCTGCCAAGTCTTCCGATGCCGAGAAGCCAAGAGCGCCGAGTCGATAGTTTATTGAAACAAGAATTATCGGGGTTCCACACTTGCGCGCATGCGAAACGAGTGCTTGTGGACGATACCGAGCGACCGAGTTTGCGCCGAAAGCAAAACCACCACTAGAAATGGAATCAAGGGAACGTTAGAGTGAGTATGGAAACTTCCTCGTGGATCTTACTTACCCGTGAATCCATACCATCACTGGTAGCGGCTTAGGATCTGAAGAATTCAAGGTTTCTCTTGGGACAGCGACATTGAGATTCAGACACTTGAACTCGTCGTCTCCGGGCAGCGGATCATTGGTTCCCCCTGAGACGAGCACCATTCCGTTTAGTTGGCTGCATCGGTATCCCAGTTTCGTGGCGTCGAAGTCATTTTCAAGAGCGTGCAATGTCTCGCTGTGAGCCCAGCGCTTGCTCACAGACGCGTATGGGATGCCTCGAAACAGGGCAATATCATTCTCTTGGTCCAATGATCCGACGATGTTCGCGCCAAGCGATGAGGCATTGATGGATATTCTGCCTCCGTCCGTCATATTTTCATACATAAGACACAGTCGGGGACTCGAAATAGTAGCGAAGAGAAATTGTACCCGTTGGCTGTGATGAATTGTACGAGGCGGCAGGCTGTAAGAAGGAATATGATCGTTGTAGGTGTTTATAAGACCGGATAATCAATCTCTGCATTTTGCGGGGCTTTTCATGTGGAGACGATTGTCAAGCTACGGCTAAGCTCTTCGCTGCGAACTCTTCTTCTCCATGTCTTGGGGCTCTTCTCGATCCACATCAGAGAAATCTGCTGCCAGGGTCGGAGCACCAAGTTCCGAAGACCTAACGAGCCAGATTAACTAACAAATCCAGTCGTTACGAGATGAATTCCGCTATAACCGAGATATGTCAATTTACTGAGAGGGTGAACGCTTTTCCAAGCAGCTAGTTTAGTGAATCTTAAGCGACGCAATAGCCGAGTCTAGTACCGGCTGCGAGTGATGCTTCAGCCAGTGGCTTTGAGTTTGACCCAAAAAAGGATCTAGATCGATTTCTGGGGCCCCAGACAGTGGCCTGCTCGGCAATACTTCGGCTCCACATCTAGCTTGGAGTGCGGGGAGGGGCAGATGGCAGAGCTCACGGGGTCGAAGACTCGAAGCTGGGTTCCTTTATGGGGGATTTCCAGTGGCTTATATATCGGATAAGCGCTATACCGCTATGCATAGATTAGGCGATGGGATTTTTGTGGCGTTGATAGTATTTTGAAAACGAACTTCCGCCCATGGGAGCTGTTGTTAAAAGGCAGTGGGTCACTGCGACTCCCCAGATTCTCCATGCTCCCCAGGTTCTCCAGATTACTGCAAAGCCTGGGAACTTTTGACCTGCTTTTTTTTCACTGTTCTTATACTCCTCGTGTTTGAACCTCCCTCTCAGAAATGGCGGCGCAGGCAAACAAAGATGCTGCGGAGGCCATTGAGATGGAGAATCCCCCAATGACCCGACCGGCAGTACTTGCGGATAAGCTTCAAGATGGAGATGAGGCTCTTCATATTCTGCAGACCGAGTTTGTGGAATATACTGCCGAGGAAGAAAGAAAGCTGCGGTGGAAGATTGACCTTCGCCTGGTGACTGTTATGTTGATTGTCAACGGAATCCAGTTTGTTGATAAATTGGTATGCATTGGTGTTCAAGGAACCTCTTGTGTGTCTCAAAGGCTAACGTTGTGAAAGACTATCAGCTACGCCGCAACGTATGGCATGATTACTGAAGCCCACCTGATCGGGCAAGAGTACAGTCTGCTGATCACCCTGTTTTACATTGGATATCTTGTAAGAATATTCTCTCTAAATTTCACGTCCCGACACTAACACCGGCCCTCAATACCAGGTTGCCCAATATCCGACCAACTACCTCATGCAGCGGTTCCCGACTGGCAAATACTTGACTGTTAACTTCATTCTGTGGGGTTGGTTTTCCATCTAGAATCCAAGAATAAAGCCTCAGCTGACAATTTCGCAAAGGGATTACACTTGCTGCAACTGGAAGCGCCAGAAGCTTTGCAACCCTAGCCCCTGCTCGATTTTTCTTGGGCGTCTTCGAATCTTGCCTTAACCCCGGCTTCGTTCTGATCTCTTCATCATGGTGGAAGAGAGAGGAGCAGGCCGCTCGCATCGGTCTTTGGTATAGTGCCAACGGACTGGCATCTGTCCCGGCGGGTGTGTTGTTCTGGGCCATTGCACACATTAAGGTGGGTCTCCCTGGAATCGTTTCTTGATCGGACAATGATATTGACAAGGACTATTCTTTAGGTTGACAACTTGTTCCCCTATCAATGGATGTTTATCATCTTCGGCGCCTTGACTGTCCTTATTGGAGTCAGTCTGTGGTGGATTCTCCCCGACACTCCCCTTACATGCCCGTGGCTCTCAGACCGAGAGCGAGTCATTGCCGTCCAACGTCTCAAGGATAACCGAACCGGTGTCAAGAACACCCACCACAAGAAGGATCAGGTCATCGAGACCCTCTCTGACTACCGTGTGTGGATGTTGTTGCTCGCCATCTTCTGCCACAACATGACCAATAGTCTGCAGACAAACTTTACCGGAATCATCATCAAGGGCTTCGGCTACGACACTTACCAGGCCGTACTGCTTCAGATCCCCGCCGGCGCTATCATGGCGGCTTCAATGGTCCTCATCGGTTTCTTCCTTTCGTCCAGATGGGGCCAAGGGAAGCAGATCTTCACCATCATTGCTTGCTACATCCCGGGAATCATTGCATGCGGTATTCTGTATGGTACTCCCGTGAAGCAATCCACTCGAAGCTCTCATCTCGCTGCTATCTTCCTGATCCCGATCGTTGCCTCAGCTGGGGGTATGATGTACTCGATCCTCGCGGGCAACATCGCTGGATATACCAAGAAGACCGTGACTGGTACTCTATTCTTCTCAGCATACTGTGTGGCAAACATTATCTCGCCGCAAACTTTCCTCTCCAAGCAGGCGCCAAAGTATTCGACTGGAGTGTTTGTGACCCTTGCGGCTTTTATCATCAACATCATTCTGTTCTCGGTTCTGTACGTTGTCTATTCGCGGGAAAATGCCGCACGTCGATGCGAAATGGAGGAAAGTGGAGAGATGGATGAAGTGAGCGATTTAGCTAATGCGTTCTCGGACCTGACGGATCGGCAGAACCGCCGGCTGATCTACAAGCTTTGAAAATGGGTCGATGCCTAATCAATGAGAATACGCGATATGTGAACGAGCTTTGGCTGAAAGAAATCTCATAATTCATAAATATTATAGCTTGGTCAAGAGATGAAACATGTCGTAACCTCCATTCAGAAGCCCGTTTAGGCAAGAATAGCGGATCTTCCTGTCACAGTCTGGGAATATTGGGTCGGTCCCATTCCAAGCAGATGTTCCTGCGCGTTCTCGAAATTCCTCGTTGATGCCGGAAGTTCAAAGTGTTTCTTGATATTTGTGTAGTCGTTTTGACTCTCCCCGTAGGGTAAGTTCAGAATGTTCACCGTGGGGCGTTCATATATGGGTTGATTCAAATGCGTCATCGACCGGACTATACAACTTTGTAAGTTTCTTCCTTGGGAGGGGCGATTGTTGTGAAATACCTTCATCAGAGCTTGTGCTAAATAATAGAACAGGCTGACCCTGGCGGTCTCCTTCATCTCTTTGCTCGCCCTTGTCCCGTAAATCCCATCGGCGCTTTGAAGGAGGAGGTATGAACTCCTTGACGGGTTTCTCCGCCCCACTATATCGACCCCTTGACGCAATGCCAGCACCCCAGCGAAGTCGAATTTCATAGCCTTCGCAAGTGACTCCTCGAGCGTTGCACCTTCCACAACCGGGTCGAGCCTCGTCGCATTGAATTCGTTTGCGTTTGCAGGTCCAGCAGCCTTTATGGGAGCGATGTCGGGCGCTGGAGGTGTCTTTTCTTTTGGTATCTGAAGAGGCCATAGCTTGAATCTTTACTGAAGACCACGATGAAGAGGATTTTCGAAGCGACAAACGGGACTTGTGTCCATCATTCTGTTCATATAGTTGCCTCGAAATATAGCACGGCGAGCGGGCTACGGCCTCTGATTGGCTGAACAAACGTCTCAGCCGCCAATAAATAGCGCGCTCTAAACCTTTTTAGGGAGCACTTTCCGTTAGAACTGCAAGGGCGAGCTTATATTTGGCTCGCAAATTCCCTCGCAATGTCGACCTGAGTGACCCCGTGAATCTGCTTGCTTTATAAGGTCAGGTCGTTGGTCGGTCCGTGTCGGTCTCATCGGCAGATCGCCACGGTGAAGCGCGCCAGCTTTTCGCCTCGGCAACCGTTTCGGGAAGGTACAAGCACGCACTAAGTACTACCTACAATATGCACATGGGTCCGCTGAGAATATCGACAGGGTGGACTAGGCAGATTAGGCTAATGTGTCGCTTGTACTCTAGAAAACTGATGGTACCTTGTTTGGTGACTAGTGTGATCTACGGTCGGCTACCCCAGAATCCGATGGCTGTGGTAAGAATTCGCATGGAACCTACCACTTTCGGGGCTCGGAGCAGAGGACCTTTAGGCAGTGTCTCACTGCCGATAACCCAACTGGGTAAGTATTGAAGAAACTGCTCGATACGGAAGGAAGGAACTGCCTGTTCAAATTCACCGCGTGAAGCCCCTGTTGCTCGCGATTGCACCTTCTGCAAGCCGCGTCTACTTTCCCAAACAGGAAGATTCAACCTTACGAGCAAGATGCCCTACTTAGTGGAGACAACATTGGGGCAGAATCTGGAGAATGGGGAAAATTGTCAGTCTAATCCCCTGAGGTAAGTCCAGGCTTTCATAGCGCCAAGTGGGCCATTCATGTGGCTAGCCCCAAGGCACGTCATGCTGTGTAAGCCGCTCCTCCTTGAGAAGACACGACCTACCTGTAGTATTTCTGGGAAAAAGGCTACCATGAGTCAATAGGGAAGCCGGGGTATAGATTCCAGTTGTATCTCAATGGTGTTGTAAGCCGCATAAAGACTCATCCCTGCATATTCTAGTCCTGGCAAAAATCCGTTTTGTACTTGACAACTCTTGGAACGAGTATACTTTCTAAATTGAGTATCGAACAGGAACTCACATTAACTACCTATTTCCTGGAAAACTACGGTTTTAGCACTCCGGACTAGAGGAACGATCGATCCTACATGTTAGTAGAGATATAGATGTAGAGGCGACTGAAATATATACTGCGCTAAGACAAGCGGGCATCGGGTTGATCGACGATGATATCATAGAGAGGGAGTTGGAACTTGTAAGATATCTGATACTTTAGAGGTTAATGGCATGAATTCATTGAAAACTCAAACTCTATTGCTCTAAACCTTTGGAGTTGCTGCTATAGCCATCAGTGTGAATAGCACTAGCTAGATCATTTCAGACAGACTATGAACAAAAATGGAAATGTGGGACGGTGCTTTCACTTGATGCCTGAATCACAGGTGTGCCTCAGGTTTCCTATAATGGCTGGTGGTAAGCGCTTTCCTCACCGGTGATGCATGCTCAAGACTGACCCCCGAAGTGGATGGGGATCAAGACCCAAAGACCTCGACTAAGAGGACGACGGAGGTAGATGATAGTGTAAGGCAGTGGCTGTGTTAACAGTCTAGAAATATCTAAAAATCTCGACTGATTATTTGGCAGGAGGAGACAAATATCTATTCATAATATATACAAGTATCAATTTTGATGAACCTATAACACAAAATAATCACACAGACATCATTCACAGCTTAGACTTCATGTTAACATGAATAGCCTTGATGCTAGAATAAGCATCCAATCCAGCCTGACCAAGCTCCCGACCAATACCACTCTGCTTCACACCTCCGAAGGGAATGCGCCAATCACTATCATTGCTAGAGTTAATCCAAACCATACCAGCCTGGATCTTCTTAGCAACGCGGTGAGCACGGGTCAGATTGGTAGTGAACAGGGCACTGCCAAGACCGTATGTAGTATCATTGGCCATATCAATAGCCTGCTCTTCAGTGCTGAAGCGGGCAATCACAGCGAAGGGACCGAAGACTTCTTCCTGGTAGATACGCATACTGGGAGACACGTCGGTGAAGATAGTGGGCTCGACGAAGAAGCCCTTGCCATCGCCAACGCCCTTGAAGGGTTTTCCGCCGTAGGCGAGTGTGGCCTTTTCGGATTTGCCGACATCAACGTAGGACATGATGCGATCGTATTGGGCCTGGGTCACCTGGGGACCCTGGAAAGTGGTCTCGTCAAAGGGATCTCCGACCTTGGAGACGTTCTTGACTTGGGCTTTGAATGCGGCTAGGAATTTATCGTAGATCTTGTCTTGGACTAGGATGCGGGAGGTAGCTGTGCAAATCTGGCCCTGGTTGTACATGATACCGATGTGCGCCCACTCGACTGCCTGCTCGAGATCGGCATCGTCGAAGACGATCAGAGGGCTCTTGCCGCCGGTCTCCAATGTGATATTCTTCAAGTTGACACTGGCCATTTTCATGATGTGCTTGGCGGTAGCGGTGCTTCCGGTGAAAGCGATCTTGTCGACATCCATGTGGGAGGCGAGCGCGGCACCTGCAACAGCTCCATGACCGTTGACAATGTTCACAACACCTGGGGGGAATCCAGCTTCCACGATCAGGTTTGCGAGGAATAGAATCGAGAGAGGCGTCTGCTCGGCGGGCTTCAGGACGATAGTGTTACCGCATGCCAGGGCAGGGCCCAGCTTCCAGGCGGCCATGGAAAGGGGGAAGTTCCATCTGCAAAGGAGTACAGTCAGTCACTGCTTGTACTTCCCACGTCTTCCCATTTCAAAATCTGATGGTACTTACGGAATGATTTGACCACAGACACCAACCGGTTCCCGGACGGTGTAGGCGAACTTGTCGGGGGTAGTTCCAATAACCTGTCCGAAAATCTTGTCGGCGTATCCGCTGTAGTACCGAATCGTCTCCGCCGTCTCGGTCAAGTCGTCGTCTCGCGAGACAGTGTACGGCTTTCCATTGTCGCAAGTCTCGATAGTCGCGAGCGTCTCGCGGTTATCTTCGATGAGCTGCGCAAGGCGGTTCATCAGCTTGCCGCGCTCGGTTCCGGGGAGATCGCGCCAGCTGGGGTGGTTTAAGGCTGCGCGCGCAGCCTTGACGGCGGTATCGACATCTTGTGCGGAAGCAGCATAGACTGAGGTGATTTCCTTAGCAGTTCTGTTGAGCGCGGAAAAATGTTAGCTGCGCGAACACTCCCAACAAGATCCCCTCGATTGACAGGCTGATTTGCAAAACATACGCAGGGTTGATGGTTGCGATCTTATCGCCGTCTGAAGACGTGACCCATTGATTGTTGATGAACAATCCAGTGGGCTGGGACCAGACACGACCGTTAGGGGCGGTCAACTGCACGGATAACGAGGCCATGATGTGTTTGTATGATCAATAGCACGATTTAATTTTGAGAATCTGACTTGTGAGGAAAGAACAGGCGATCCAGCACAACTGACGATATGCAAGCTCTTAAGTCCGCTAGCCTGCCAGCTCCATCAGTGGTAATCATTGATAACGGATTCGGCACGACATGCCAATTCGAGAAGGCGAATGAGATGCACGGCTGCCATGCATTCCGGAGAAAAAAGACCCACACGGCATCTCCAGAGATCCAGAGGATCGAGTCGGGGGGTGTAGACTGGGTAGCGTGGGGAAGAGTTGAGGGGCTAATCAGAATCGAGAGAAAGAGCAAATGGCCACCACAGGAAGTGTGTGGCAATCGCCACACTAGTCCTAAAGGGGTAGGTCCACGCAACGATAAGGATAAGTGCTGGCACAGTGGCATCGTGGGATCTGCGAGGACAAGGATGATTCAAAACACCAGATGGAGAGCCCAGCTTTGGCATCTCATGGACGTGCATATACTCGGTTAGACTATAGTACCTATTGACTAATATTAATTCTAGCCTTGACCGGGTCAAGGCTTGACAGAAAATGCTCGTGGCTGTCAAACAATCCCAGCATTTGCCTGCCTCTCACGTGGTTTCCCCGCGAAAAGATAAGCTTGAATCATGAATGGCCCTTGGCAACAGGCTGGAGATTGTTGTTCGTTGTAGGGTCAACCTGCCCGATCGGCTGCAAAACGTCTGTGCTTCTGCGTTGGACAGGCCGTTCGGCCAGGGTATCTCGACTCGGAGACTTCTGATTGGCTCACAATTCCGCAAGAAGAAGAGTTACGAAATGCGAATGATGGGATGGCAACAGAGAAGGTACACATGATGAGCAAAACGTAAGTTGAAAAAAAAAAGACAGCCCTTCTCCAGGCTTTTACCAAACTGAGAAAACGGGAGGAAAGAATCCACCGTGTGGACTGCCGTGGACTCGGGAAGAGTCGCGAGAGTTCGGTTTCTTCAACCAGACATCCTTGGAACTGCCTGATTGGGCAGGTCCTTGCGGACTCTATCGATCTGATAGAGGCGACCACTTGGGTATAAAGACCGGCTGGGAACGGGGACAGAGACTTTGGTTTTCTTACAGCTCTACAAGTTCTTCTCTTGTACTATATCTCACCATGGCTTCTGCCCCTGATACCACATCCATCCCGGGATACACGATCTTCCGGGAGGGCGACTATGACAGCGTCGCTGCCACTGCCATGCTCCCGCAGGGCGTTCCCCACCCGCTAGGTACGACTGGAGCGTTTTCCTTTTTTTTTTTTTCTCCATGCAACAACCACCCTGCAGAACTCAACCACTAATCTATTTTGCTACAGACCAGCTTACCATTCGGGAAATCCCCGATGCGGCCAAGATTGTCCGCGACCATGCTAGCCCCAGGACCGTCAAGTTCAACTGCATCACTCTGCGCGAGCCGCGCAAGGCCGAGTACCAGGCCTTCCGGGCTGGCAAGACTGCCGCGCCCGACCGCCGCGCGTTCGCCATCATCATCGAGCGCGAGACGCAACAAGTCGCCGAGGTCGTTGTCAACCTGAAGACCAAGAAGGTTGAGGAGTGGAAGGCCGTGAAGAATGTTATGCCCACGCTCACTCTGGAGGACCTCGATGTCATGGAGCGCATCGCCCGCGAGGACGCCCGCGTCATCCGTGCCTGTGCTGAGATCGGTATCACCGATATGAGCAAGGTCTTCCTCGATGCCTGGGCCATTGGTATCGATGAGCGCTGGGGCTTTGAGCGCCGTCTCCAGCAGGGTCTGGCTTACTACCGTGCCTCGGAGTTTGACAACCAGTACGCCCATCCTCTGGATTTCTCCGTGGTCGCCGACACCGAGACCGAGGAGGTCCTTAGCGTTGACGTTCGCACGGTAAATGGCGAGCGCGTTCCCGTTCCTCTCAAGGAGCACAACTACCTCCCCGAGTTCATTGGCGATGGATATATCCACGACCGCCTCAAGCCGATCGACATCACCCAGCCTCAGGGTGTTTCCTTCAAGGTCCGCGGCAACGAGCTGTCTTGGGCCAACTACAAGATGCACATCGGCTTCAACTACCGCGAGGGTATCGTCATCTCCGATGTTCGCTCCCACGACATGTACGAGGACCGCGAGCGCACTCTGTTCAACCGTATCTCCGTCGTCGAGATGGTCGTCCCCTACGGCTGCCCCGAGAAGCCTCACCACAAGAAGCACGCTTTCGATGTCGGCGAGTACGGTACCGGTCTCATGACCAACTCCCTGAAGCTGGGTTGTGACTGCAAGGGTGCTATTCACTACATGGACGGTGTCATGTCTACCTCCAACGGTGAGGCTGCTGTCATCAAGAACGCCATCTGCATTCACGAGGAGGACAACGGCCTCCTGTACAAGCACACCGACTACCGTGACGGCACCGTGATCTCGGCCCGTGACCGGAAGCTCATCATCTCCCAAATCATCACTGCCGCCAACTACGAGTACGGCTTCTACCACACTTTCACCCTGGACGGCACCTACAAGCTCGAGATGAAGCTCACCGGTATGCTGAACACCTACTCTCTCCACGAGACCGAGCAGGCCGCTCCCTACGGCACCCAAGTCGCCCCTCAAATCACCGCCCACAACCACCAGCACATCTTCTCTCCTCCGTATCGACCCCGAGATCGACGGCCCCAACAACACCGTCGTTCAAAGCGACGCCGTCTCCGCCGACCACGCCGTCGGCTCTCCAGAGAACCCTTACGGCAACGCCTTCCTCAGCAAGAAGACCCCTCTCCGCACATCCCTCGAGGGCGCCGCCGACTACTGCTACGAGACCCAGCGCTCCTGGGACATCATCAACCCCAACCGCATGAACCCCATCGCCAAGAAGCCCATCGGCTACAAGATCCTTAACAACAACTGCCCCCCTCTGCTCGCCAAGCCCGGCAGCACCGTCTACAACCGCGCCGGCTTCGCCCGCAAGCCCCTCTGGATCACCCCCTACAAGGACTACGAGCTCTTCCCCGCTGGCGACTACGTGTGCCAGTCCACCGGCGAGGAGAACCACCCCCACAACTCGACCATCGTCGACTGGGCCAAGCGCAACGAGAACATCGAGAACACCGATATCGTCTGCTACCTGCAGTTCGGCCTCACCCACTTCCCCCGTACTGAGGACTTCCCCATTATGCCAGCCGAGCCCGTCAGCATCATGCTGCGCGCGTCCAATTTCTACGAGAAGAACCCCGGTCTGTGGGTGCCGCCTTCGGCGATTTGTGTCGATACCCAGTCGACGAATGCGTTTTCCTCGTCGTGCTGTGCCGCTAATGCTCCGGTCAGCTCGTCGAGATTGTAAAGCATGGACAGGGGTCCTTTGGTGTTGTGAACAAAACTTGTTTTCCTGCTTGGGTTATGTGATGTGATGAATGTATTGTAAATAAGCCATTTTCCCTTGTCGAGTTGTTCATAGTCTGAAGTATGCATATACATTTTGTGAAACAGGCACTTTGATTCTTCCCTTGCCAAGATTTTTTTACGATCTCATAGTGCCCACCTGGGGCAGGACCCCGAAATATCTCGGGTATCTTTCCCTCGTTCCAAGTGGCGCCCAGAGTTGTGAGCTCTTAAGTAAACCTTAGAGGCGCTCCATATTTCGGAACCTCGGCCTGCTCGCGTGGAGACCCAGGGGGCTTCACTTAAAATGGTTCGATACGCGTCTTCCTCCGATGAAATACCAGATTTCTCAAACTACATCAAATCATCTTCATCATGTTAAATTATCCTCGCCTTAAGATATCCGCTTCGCTTGTTCGCCTGATCTTCTGGTGGAAACTCGGCGGCATTCATGGCAAACCAGATTCAGTTCTTCAATTGCCTAGTCGTGACCCGGGGAGAACAATCAAAGCCAACTTCTACCGATCAAAGTCCAACAAGCCGTCCCCTGTACTCATCAACTTCCACGGAAGCGGATTCACAATCCCCTGGCATGGCACGGACGATGCATTCGCTCGGCAAGCCGTTCAAACCACCGACTACGCCGTCCTGGACATCGCCTACAGACTTTCCCCAGAAAACCCCTTCCCTGCCGCGATTCACGACGTGGAAGACGTGGTGAAATTGGCGACTTCCAATGCGCAGGAATTCGATTCGTCCCGTATCTCGATCTCCGGATTCAGCGCCGGCGCGAATTTAGCCCTCGTGGCCAGTACGCAACTTTTCCCCAAGGAAACGTTTCGCCACGTTATATGCTTCTATCCACCGACTGATCTAGCCAAAGATCATTACACCAAGGTTCCGCCTGATACGAATGGGAATCCACTGCCACCATGGATGCTAACCGTTTTCACGGAATGCTATGCGTCGGGTCTGGACTGGAATGATCCCAGGATATCTCCTCTTAATGCTGCTGGGGACAGCTTCCAGCGGAATACGTTGGTTATCACCTGTGCGTACGACAATCTCTGTGCCGAGGGGGAGGCTTTGGTTAAAAAGATACGTGCGGCTCAGGGAGATGATGCTGTGGTTTATCGAAGGATGGAGAACTGTGACCATGCTTGGGACAAGTCATACATTGCAGGGTCTCCTCAGGAGAAGGCTAAAGATGAGGCGTACGACTTGGCGATGGAAATGTTGAGAAGGTAGTATACTATAAAATGTGTGCATTGGCAATTGGTAGATAATAAACTCTCATTTTACAATATAAAATTGCTCTCCAGACGGAATAGTTATTTGACCTTGTGATAGGGAGCCATCCCCGAGTCACAACCTACACAGATACAGTAACAACATTGATCGTAGACAGTACAAAATATCCCTCTCCGGGACTTCTCTACTCACTCCTGACTGGTAATTGTCAAGCTGTGCATAGTTGAGAGTATCAAGATTAGGCACTGGCCAGCATTCACCCAAATCGGCTAGCGGTTGGCCCCCGTAACCGACGATCTTCGGCCCCAGTCCCCCGCATATTTCCCCGCTTCTACAACCGAAGAGTTTCGGCTCTGGGTAAACCAGCCTTGGAACATAATTCCTAATGTACGGCTATAAAGCTTGTTTGTGATTAGTCCACATGCTGCCTCGGGGAACAATATGTGGTCTTAAAGCTGTTTCAGGATCAAGGAAATAGCTACGAGCATCTTTGAATACGAGAGCGATCCGAAAATACCCCGTCATTCAGGCACTTCTTTATAGGTAGGTGCATACAGGGGCCCAATAGTAGTGGGCTATGATGATGTTCATTGTGTCAGATTTGGCATCACAAGACCAAGAAAGTTCAATGCCCCTGTTCACGCCGGCAAATCAAAGCTGCAGTTATTGATTGTCACAGGCCGAGAAACCAACGGAAAAAGAATCGTATTTTGAATTTGCCGGCTACTACTATGCCTGCAGCCATTTCTTTTCTAATTATTCTGCAGCCTTTGCAGACACTATCAGCACCCCGTTATTCTAGGCTCTTATACTCATCATTTCTGGTGCCCGCAGGAAGTCGCATCTCGCATGTCAAAGCAGGGGTATACGGTATACCACCAAAATCCCCAGTATTGTGAATTACTCTTAGATGGTATTCTGGGGCATCATCTTAGTATGATTAAAAATTAGCATTTCCTCACATACGGGCTGGTATCTCATTCGCCAATGGTAATCCCTCCAAGCCCAGAGTTTGGCGAGGAGGTACAGACCCTGACAATTAAATAATGCAGGATGCATCCAGATGTTGTTTCGAATATCATGTTTCGGGAAAGGGGATTGCGCCCGTGACTTACCTCAAAACTTCGAAGACAATGAACGCCTCGGTAGCCGTGAGGAATGCCAGAATATTTCCTTGTGAATAATGAAGTGTATGCTCGAGAATTTTCCTACATAAACAGCTGCGAACGAAGCGCTCAAGAAGATAAAACGCCAACTTCGAGCAGTTCCAGACACATCAGTTCCACAAACGTGCAACAAACTCAACCCCAATTTCTCGATGAAAGATGCTCCCTTCTATTGAACTTTTCTTGTTGACCTTTCTTGGGCTCACTGCTCATGCCACGCCTTTGGCAGCACCCAGCCAGGTGCATCACGTCGAACGCGACGCTGGCTTGAACTCGTTTTTGAGCATTCTGCTTGCCAATCTCCCAGCTATTAATGAACCCCTAACCGAGGCCACCGGTCTTATTACGGCATTTGATGAGACCCTGGGCACTCTGACTGGTGCTCAAGAAACATACAATGAGTTGGGAGGGTCTTGCAAAGAATGGACCGTTATTTTTGCTCGGGGTACAGCCGAGCCAGGTAATGTATGTATCTCAATATGGCTCCTCCTAGTTTAATACCGCTGACCACAGTGTGTTTCCGCTTCTGCTCAGGTCGGAGTCCTTGTTGGGCCGCCTTTGTTTGATGCTCTGGGTGACAAAGTTGGACCTCTCTCACTCACCATTCAGGGGGTCAATAACTACTCAGCATCAGTTGAAGGCTACCTGGCAGGCGGAGACCCGACAGGAAGCTCGGAGATGTAAGTCTCTCAAAGACCCAAATTAGTTCAAATGTGAAATGTGCTTACGTTGCTGAAAGGGCTCGCCAAATCGAGGCAGCAAAATCCCAATGCCCCGATACGAAAATGATTGCATCAGGGTATTCTCAAGGTTGCCAAATCGTGCACAATGCAGTCTCTGAGCTTGAAGCCACAACTGCAAGCTGGATCAACAGTGTGCTGCTCTTTGGTGATCCAAGTATGCAGAATCTATATATAATTTTGCAATCAAGATTCTCGGCTAATAAGAAACAGTGGATGGGCAGGCTCTTGCGAATGTTCCAGCCTCTAGAGTATTCACGTCATGCCATTCTGGCGACGATATCTGCAACGATGGAATTTTGATTGGCCCTGCTCATCTCACATACGCCTTGAATGCCACTGCTGCTGCCAATTTTGCAGCGATGCGCGGCGAAGAGGCATAGATTCCGATCACGAATCCAACATAGCTTCGAGTTGAAGGGAAAATTCTAGTGCGAGATTTCCTCTATAGCCATTCTTTCCTAGCCCTTTACCTTGCTAGTGTATTCCATTTCTATTGAAGAAATGTATTCAACGTAGCTATCTATACTACCAAATACGGGAAAGGAGAGGCACTCTTTTGAAGATTTCGCTTTGAGTAACATCAAGGAGCAAACGCTTAACTTTGGAGTCTTTCAGGAAACAGCTACTGGTAGTATAATTTCATCAAACTCATTTTCAATCATCTTAATTTTCTCTTTTCAATACAATTCCCACGTCGTAACATCAGGATACATGAAGTTGAATGAATTCTTCGAGCATCATTAGTCCACTCATTAGCTTTAAATTCTAAAGCGAGAGGTCCATGGTTCATTTTTGCCCGCTGTCACTTTCAAAGGTTTGGACGGCACGCAATATTCTTGCATTGCGAGAAGAGAGGCAGCGTCATTGTAATTACATATGTGGCTAATGGCCTTGAGAAATAACATTCATGGCAAAACTTCACGAGATCTTGATTCTAATGTTTTACGATCAGAGCGAAGTGCAATCTTACACTTGCGTTATTAAGGATAGTATCAAATCTGTAGTAGGGAAAAGAAACAATAGGAGACTCTCTGGCGAGAGCTTCTTTAATAGACACATATAAAAAGCACTCATCTCATTTCACCCAGAAATGGTTATCCTCTGCTTATCTCCTCCACTGCCACCTCATTCAAGCTTGCTCTAAGGTAACATGAGGAACCGGAATGACTGCATACGAATGCATATGAAACAAATGCACAGGCACCAGAAAGAGAAAGCGGTCATACAGACAAAGCGTATGCCTAAGATCATCTCAAGGTCCTATTTCAGGTGTGATTTGAAAATTTCCGGTCCTTTGCTGCTGACTCTAGAATGACTTTCCGAGTTCAGTCTCCTGGGCTGATGCCTGAGATTTCTGAATGCCGGTATATTCCGGTGGGATCACGGTGGCCTCGGTGAAGTAGTTTGTCTCTTTCACACACTTTATCACGAGGAAATACATGATCGGAAATGAGACAACCGTCAACGTGGACTGGATAATTGTTTGATTCCTTTTTTGTGGAAATTAATAGAGCACACAATATTCATCGAGAGATTATACTTACAGATAGGAAACTCCCCCTGACTCCAGTCCAAAGGCAATGCACAATCCAGCGCTCAACATGCCTTTGAAAAATCCCCCATACCTCGCAAGAAGCCGGGGTTCATTGCTGAAGGCACTGATCACCCACATTACAATCATTTGATCGATGGCATAGGCAATACCGGTGAAGATTAGCATGGCGCTAAATTCTCCATATTGAGAATCCGTCCAGTCCCAGTCTGGAGAAGGTAGATCTCGCCGTAGTTGATGCTGAACTTGGATTTTGAGAGCTAGAGCCCAGCTAACAACAACTACTGAAGCCGCAATGGTGAGTGCCATGATGCCCCGGACACGTCTTGAAAAGCGATTGTTGTCCAATACCAAGCTGTAGAGAAAGGTTGACGGAATCTGGACGGCCCAGAAGATAACGCTATTTAAAGACCGCGTTCTCAGGTTGAAGGCATACGCGCTGAGTGTTGGAATCAAGGCCGACGACATCTCCGTCGCTATCATCGGCACAATCAGAGCGACAATTTTCCTGGACACAAGTGAGCAAAAGAATATGATAGCGAAAATTTTGTACAAACCAGTCCTTCATCAACATAATACATCCTTTGACCTCTGTTCTAATGTCGGTAGCCTCGAAGATTGCTAGGTGAGTCCCGTCATCTCGGACGATGTTCTGCGGCGATTGAATTGCTAGAAGGCTATAAGGTTGTGAGAAGGAAACGGCATGTGCCAATTGGGAAGTTCAGTTCACTCACGATAGAATAATAGCGGAAGACATAATGATGATGAATGTCAGATAAACTGATGTTGGGACACCGGTCAGGCCGGTTTCGTTGATGCTGATTCCGTAAGGCCACAAGTGCGCCGACGGTTGATCCGACAGCGAGCAAAAAAAGCTGCCACGCGATGTATGTTCCCTTATCTGCCTCTGATGCATATGAAAACTGACTAAAATCATCCACCCACCATTAGAAAAGTGATCGACAGCCGAGAGCGACTTCTTACATAAAGCCAGAAACGGTCCAGAGTAAGCCTGCCCCGATACCTCCCAGCACTCCTGCTGTCAAGGGAAACCAATCATGTCCTGTTGCGTCGTAGTACCAGAGACTTGATATATAGAAAGGATATCCAAAAGAACCGATCTACAAGCTAAGGATTAACACGTGTCTGGAAGAATCCTTATCTGAAGCGATCGGGATTGGCTGACCGTCATTGTCCGTCTCGGCCCGATTGTATTCATGATACTACCACCGAAGAAACCAGTAACGGCGAAGACAGCGTAGATGGAAGTGTAGGTGATTGTTGCCACGTGAGCCGAGCTTGGCTTTCCACCTCCTGCGCCGAGACCTAGTGAGAATTAGCGACCATCCTTCTTTGCCGGTATAATGTAAACCACAAACCGATGACTGCCAAGTAGATTCCCACTGTCAGGAAGAGAATAATACCAGAGATAAAATTCTGCGTCCACGGACTTGCTCGTCATTTGCATTGTTAGTAACTACCAAATAACTTGACTCAATTTGCATACCTTGTCAGCCGGAATTTTGATTTCAGGACCTCCATGGCAAGAAGTTGGAGTCGTTGTTCTTCTCAACTTTCGAGGGTATGGCAGTGCTTCCAAAGTCACTTTTTGTGGAATGTTGTGCTTATCTGGGGAGGCCTAGCCTTCTTTATATACTTGCACAGAAACAAGCCTCGGAGGCAGAATAGCTATACTTAGGGTAAGGAAAGGCTGAACTTGGTCCACATGCCTCCTCACTGGGGTCGATACTCCGCAAGTCTATCGAGAACTATCAATGAATTTGCCGAACAAGGCTCAGCGAATGAGTGTGTTCCGTGGACCTGGATCAAGGATCGTATTCCTGCCGAGTGTTCTCGGCTAGAAGCTATCCCAATGTGGATGACAATTCATGTCCACAGGTTCTCGCGCTGGTAATGCTAGCGCCGAAAGAGTTATTTACAATTATATTCTGCGTTAAACAAGTAATGGATAAAGATAGAAAGGACATATTGTTCGTATTAGACGTTCTTGCATGACCTACGAGTGCAGAATCTTGCGACCATTGCGATGTCGTTAGGATGTTATTACAGACGAGCTTTACGGTCGAATTGGCTGTATCCTTAAAACGCTTGGCGGCAGCTTAGCAGCCCACAAACCCCGGATTCTCCTCATATTCCGTAAGCCCGGTAAAATCGATCAAGATTCTTGCTTGTAGGCTATAGATATTGCAAATAATATGTGGATTTCCTGCCATCGGGATTCGCGCGGCGTTGCAGTGGCTAACCTCGTTGCCGAAGAATTTCGGCTACGGAAAGTTTAAATTTAGATTTGCAGTGTGGTACGGCTTTAGGGGCCAATTATAGTGCACGCTCAAGACGCAAAGAGGGGGCGGAATATACACCCTTGGACTAGGCAAGAGAGATCATGATGGATGAGGCTAGCCATCAGCCTCAATTCCCCCGCACCCCGCAATCTGTCTTCGCTTCTCAATCTGCCTTCACGGCACCATTTGCGACTGACGGTGTCAATTGCAACACGAGTTTCTTCAATTTATCGAAAAGAAAATTCAAGGACGACAGGGTCCAGTGAAATGGATCCTGACTCAACAAAACAGGAGCGGCTACGCAAGCGGGCGCGTGTCGCTTGCTCGTGGTGTCATGACCGCAAAGTCCGATGTGATGTTGCGATGCAGGGTCTTCCATGTACCAACTGCAAACTTGACCGCCATGAATGCCGTGTTCGTACAACAAGAACTCGGGGGTGAGGTCTCCTGGATGTCCATCTCTAGCCGTCCCTGTTTTTGACAACCCTGGTAGCACACACCTCAACGTTCGACGGACGCAGGCCCGGCCACCTCCCAGCCGCAGCATATCCCAGGATGACGAAATGAACCGAGGCCAAGTAGTCAAGGCAATTTCCTACGGCATCTCATCACTTGAACCTGTTGATGATATGTCAGCGATGCCGCCTTTCCTATCAATGGATAGCAGTCCTGGTTTTCCCTGTGATATGAGTGAGTGAAGCTGGGGCCTTGGGACTGAAAGATACTGATGGGGACAAACCTGATAGATCATCTGGTTTCGCTACCATTTGTCCCAACAGTACCAGACAATCCTATTCCAGCGGCTAACGTCCCTTTTGCGTCCTACCAGTTTCTGAGGCTTACGCGTCTCAGCGAGTTACCATTTGAAGATGTAAGTTTCCTGGAGCTGAAAGGGTGTTTCCGTGTTCCCGAGTCGCCTTATCTCGACATCTTTATCACGAAATACTTCCTGTACGTCCATCCTTGTCTTCCAGTCATAGATGAGGCAGAGTTTTGGAGGATGTACCGCCCAAAGAACTCCGATTATCTATCCGGCAAGAAAATGTCGCTTTTTGTGCTCCAGGCAATGCTGTTTGCCAGCTCTGTAGTAGGTGGTTCATGAATCTAGCATTCTCGTTTCCAATATCAGAGCCAACCTTGCATAGTTTGTCCCTGGTCATATCCTCAACGCGGTGGGATTCCACGACATGAGGGCGGCTCGGACCGCACTCTACCAGAGAGCTAAGGTAAAATGTGAAACACTTCACAGATTGACGTGATGCTTACCGAGATTGCTAGCTCTTGTTTGATTTTGATACTGAGATTGAGGTCCTGCCAAGGGCACAGGGTGCACTTCTTCTCACATTTCAGACCACGGCTTTGGACTTCTTTTCTGGTACACGCTGGCTCTCAGTAGCAACGCAGCTGGCTAAGTCAATTGAAGCCGATCTTTTCAGTCATGACCCTAAACGCAACTACGAGACAGTGGCCAGAAAACGGTTATGGTGGTGCATCATTCTTCGAGATAGGGTCCACTCTTTAGCCCTAAGGCGCCCAACCCAGGTCAGCCTGGAAAGAGGTGGGATTCCGACCAAATATTTGGATGAGATAGACTTGGCGGCAGCGTGTGAGTTTCTCGGTGTAACTTGTTGTGTGGACTAGCTTGAGACTGATTATTCCACAGTGTGGCACATGTGGCCCTCCCACTTCTACTCAGCACCATCGATTCGGGGTTTTCTTCGACCCGTCTGCAACGGGCCGGTCGGCGCCGCCAGCTACACTTTTACCAGGAGGTGATGCGAGTACTTGGATCTCGCTACGAAGCTGCTGATAAAGTCTGCGCTTTCATCGACAGCGCTCTCTCCTTTTCCGGTGCAAAACTCGGTCTCGACTTTACACCTGGTGGGAATGAACTCCTTCGCAACGACGAATATATCGAAGACCTCAGCGATGATGATGAGGGCAATCCTCTGGCCCAGCCCAGACCAGCGGCAGGAAGCCGATTCAAGAACGTCTGCGAATACTTTGCACGCCAACCTCGTTCCTATCTCCGCTTGTCTTTGACGTTAGATTATGCGCTTTATAGAGGCCAGTATCCACATCAAAGTGATATTGAACGGCTGTGGAGCGATTTACAGCTTGTAGACTCCCAACAGCCATCTGGTCTGCCTGTCCCGCCAGTTTCGCAATGTGCAACTTCCTGGACCTTGACCGATCACCAAATACAAAGAGACGTGGAATTGGATCTTCTTGAGACTCATGGTTCATACCCGGAAAAAGACATTGGCTTTGATGACTTTGGGGATGGGCTTGGACCCTCGAACATGGAATATGTGGCGAACGGCTTCATTTCCCCCGCAAGTCTTATTATAATGAACACCCCGCTCCAATAAAAAGGCCTCCGGCCAGTGGAAGTGAGCATCGTGACTCTGCACCTTATTTGTATTATTTGTGCAATGTTCTGCATGGACAATCTTCAGAAACAGCAAACAATCCATATTATGCTATGTTGGAATGGGTCGTCAGCCCTTTCGTATAGTTTAGCTGCTTTCGCTGGTGCGCCACAATGTCTAGCAAGTATTAATGCAAAAGAGCTGATTCAACACAGTGCTAAGAGCAGCAGAAAGCTGTAGGTACATCTGCGAGATGCATACCTGCGGATGCCCCTAATCCTCAACCTCCCGTCGGTCTCATCCATCATCGTATCATGCTTACGCTCGCGCCAAAGTGCTAGAAATAGCCAATTGCACTTCTCTTTCGATACCCGGCAGTTTCAATACACCTATCGACAGAAGTATCGGAGTCTTGATCAGGGCTTTATTCATACATTGGCGGGTGACGCCCAAAGAGGAGAAAAGTGCCTCGCTGGAATTCAAACCAGGCGATTAAGGCGGCAGCTAGACTAGCTTTATCCCAGCGTCCGCAAAAAGTTCCTGAACTCGATCATTCATACCTCCCGATACATAATATCCGTCCTCATAGTATACTTCGTGCCCCTAAACACCGGATCCCCACTATGCATAAGCCCGCTATGCTGGAAAATCAAAACAGACCCGGTCCTTGGAAAGATGCGCAGCTGCCCATTCCCACTCTTATAACTAGGAATCGGAATAAAGGACGTCGCGCCCCCAAGCAACTTCTCATGAGGGGCAGGATTCACTCTCCCGGGCCTATCCTCCGCCTTGCCCAACTCAACAACATCCTGCTCCCCATCCCCATTAAGATAAAGATGGAGCGTGAGATATGAAAGATCTCCATTGGGTGCTTCGTACTGCCCATCCCAATGGGGGCGGAAGTACTCACCACCCACATACCGGAGAAAGCGTAGTCGTTCATTAAGCGCAGAGACACGATACGATTTGCCCCGGCCAATTAGTCCAGTCACACTCGTTCGATTACTGAATTGGTCGATGTCTAAGTCGTGCAGGAATGGCATTAGGCGCGCTAACAGTCGGTCGGCGACGTCGTGGGTATCCCACATGATTCTTGCACAGTTGCGCGTATCGGTGGAGAGACGTTGTTTCCCGCCGCCGATATTGATCATTGCACGTTCCCAGCCATTTGGTGTGCTGGACTCGACGAGGGCGAGGAGTTCTTTGCATTCAGTCTCGGTGAGAAAGTCATCTATCACTGCGGCGAAGTGGTCTTTGTATTTTGGGAGTGGGGGGTTGGACTTTTCAAAGTCGATTTGTTGAGCTCGAGCTGTGCTTGGGGCTTTGGGTGGGAGGAAGTTATCGCTAATTTTAGCTGGGACTGTGGTCATGGTTGTAGTGAATTTGTTGGTTTGGTGTAATAGTGCGAGTTGGAGGGTGAAGAGGATGTTTGGGGATAAACAAGAGCCTCAGCCTTCGCCGTGGGGAGGCTTAGACCAGCCAATAGGGGCTAAGGACTAAGCCTCAAATTCGACAAACAGGACAAACATAGACTTTGGCTACTGCATGAGAGCCTTTCTGATCCTCATGGGGCTTAAATATGATTTCCTTTGATGGTCTGGTAAGTTGGAAGACATGATGACGGAACCAAGATCGGAGCCAAGAATGAGTTCACCGGACAAGCGAATGCTTAACAAATTCAATATGGGAACCATTTCTCTTGAAATTCTATTCCAAAGTCAAAAATGTAGCAAGTGAGATGATCAAATGTGCGTCACCTGAAGCTTCTGATAAATTTTCATGGACATTTTATGACTTGACATCTTTCAGATCCCCGGTAAGCACTCAACACGCTCCCCTTGGCAAGATGGTGGACATGTACGAACCAGATGCAAAGGAATTTACAAGATCGTGAGTGAGATGCTATATATACAGTAGGAGCACATTAGCTGACCAGTTGTCAGGATTATTCCTCTTCTCAATGGTCCCCACGTTACAATCCGGATTAAATCGAGTGGCCAGGAATACAAAGTCTCCAAGCCTATTCTGTGTCAATCTCCCTATTTCTCGCCCATGTTTAATTGGCGAATTCTCGGAAAGTCAGAATCAAGCGGCCATATTGGAAGATATAGAAGGGATTGTGTCAGAGCAAAGCTTGGAAGCACTCATCCAATGGCTTTACATGGGTAAAGTCAAGTATGACTTGAAGGATGATGAAGACCTCACGGAGCATATTTCAGCAATTATCGAGTTTGTGAGACTCGCGGACACGTGTGGTGTAACTGGAATGGAATCACAAATGGCATAACACGTTGAGGATGTCCTGGTTGTTCATCAAGCTCCGCGGCTCTTAGGCAATAGAGTCTCTTTCAACAACAACACTTTTGCGATCTCAAGTGAACACATATTTGGAGCAGAATCTTTACCCAAAGGCCACCCTGTGCGTTTTGTGCTAGCAAAAGCCTCAGTTAAAGGGTTTCTACAGTCCCAAAACTACAAATTCGCCTCCGAGGTGGACGTCTGTCCAAAATTCGCAAGCGATCTTCTCGGAGAAGTGAGGTGTGTCTTAAAGACTGTCAAACCCATAAAGGGTTATTCTTGCTTTCAAGACCCTAGTGCTCACAAGTGGTTCAAACTCCACGATTTCTGGGGCGACATTATGACGGAATAGCTGTATTACAGGATACCTTGGCAGGTTCGATATGGATCTATGTTGTCTTTGCTTACACTTACTTATTGCTTGTGATGACGTCGGAATACGGCAAGAGATTTATACTGTGGATTAGTTGAAGCCACGTACATGCAGACAACCGAAGCAATTCTCTATTATGAAAGCTGCGGGCCTGTACCCCAAGTGTCAAATTGGACCAGGCTGTTACAGAGGCTCTGACCTGCTCGTTAGCTTTTGAGTCGTTCCAGTGGTAATGGAAGGTAGGAAGATGGTAGGTATGGTTCGTTATTGTTCAGTTCGAAATAGTAAATTAAATTATGCAATGATATGTTCGAAAAATCAGCTCGATTCTTCTCATCCTCCAGTATACGATCGCTCTGTTCATATCACTCAAGGTGAATTGAGCAAGCTCTCGACTCTCTGCTTATGGATTGGGGATCAACTTGATGGGCAGATAACTTATAGGGCGAGAGCAAGAGCAAGAGCACCGGCTGCACCGGCAATGCCCAAGGCAACACCGCTAGTAGGTGCAGGGGCACCTCCAGTTGACTTCGCAGGCGAAGCAGAAGCAGAGGCGGACGTGGAGCCGGAGCCGGAGCCAGAGGAAGCAGCAGAAGAGGAGCCAGACGAAGCAGCAGAAGAGGAGCCAGATGAAGTGTTTTGCGCCGCATTCGTAACCGATGGGGCACCTGAAGTGGCGGTAGAAGCAGTTTCGGAAGCAACGTCTTGTGTGGTGGTAGCAATGCCCAGAATCTGTGCATCGAAATTCGAGGAGGCCCAGGCTTTGACGCTATTGGGCAGTTCATTGTACCAAGCTGGGTAAGTTCCCGCCGCAGCGGCACTTGCAACAGATGAACGGAATGAAGGATCCGTGATGACTTCGTCCTGCCACGAGGCGGGGATAGCCGTCTCTATGACTGTCAGAACAGAGCTGGGTATCGCTGCCACCAGTGAAGAGGCATAGGCGGCGGCAGATGCGTCAGCATCTGGATCGGTCAGACTGCCACTGGCAGTCTGCTGTGGCTCTGGAGAAGCCAGCGCCGAGGCGACGAAGAGAAGAGCGGCAAAGGATGTACGCATGGTGATAGCTTGGGCTGGCTTCAATCGAGGGAGGGCGTAAATTGGTGACGGAATCAGGTAGGGACAAGGCGAAATACCAAACAAGAAGAAGAAGATGTAATTTCAGGGGACCCTATGGACTAAATACTGATCATTCTGACTTTGAATCTAACAGGGTCTGTGTCGGGCCCAGGCACCCTGATTAAGCGATTAGCAAAAGGAAACGGACCCCCTGACCTGTAATTCGCCCCACTCGCGGACAAATCCGCCTATTCGGTCAATCTGATTGGATTAATCGCTCAGCGTCCAAAGTATTTCTGATGCTAAGCTCATGTAAGTCCCTGGTATTGGGGTAGCGAGATTGCTTATGTTTCCTCGAGTCGACTAAGTGCACGCCACAATGTATAATTGCGGCAATTGTCTCAGTCGTGTCAGCCTCAGAATCAGGCCTCCTCAACCCCTTTTTCTATATTGTCGAAGAACTCCCTTTGGACCTATTTTCCCAGACTGGTGCTATGAATAGGCATTGATTTATGACAGCGGAATTTTCCCCAGCCCTCTGCCAGTATACTGAATGGGGTATTAGTTTCTATTACGGGAGGCCATTGGTCACAAATAATGGACACCTTCCGCCTTGGGCATGAGAATCATGACTTCGTGATTACTTGGCTTCTCTTTTTTCATACTCACCGTATCGCAGGTTTTAAAAAGCACATTTCTCCCGTGGCTACCTAGCTACTCGGAGGGGACGAAACGAGCGTCATGGCCCTCCAGTTTATGTTCTCTCATTTGTAAAGGATTCGACGTAAACGAAAGATTTGTCCCTGAAGATTGAGTCGGTCAAGATTTCGTCACACTCCCACGACTGTTTTTGAAATCGAAAAGACCAATGGAAAGGTTTCACCGACTACTCATGGAAGGATGCACTTTTGAACTAGAGCCAATGAGATTGTGTGTACCTCGACATAGAAACAGACAAACTAGATATAAGCACAGAGAATACAATATGCAAACAATTCAATACATAAGTGCAGAACAATTTGATCAAAGCGAACCATGAAGGCAAATTACAGCTCCTCCTCAACCTCTCCCGGCTGAGCAAGATCAAGCTCCCAAGACTTGAAGTTCAGGTTCAGCTGATCCTCGTTGCCAGAGGCCTTTCCAGAGCCGAATTTCTTGAGATCCCACTTCTCAACACCCTCAACACCCTTGAGCTCATCGCCAAACTCAAGGAACAAATCAGCGTTCAGACGTTCATACTCGCTGAAATCCTTAGGCCAGTCACCCAGGTGCTGCACAGCAAGCTTGAGCAGCTGGAGGTGCTGACGCACCTGCTCACTATCGGAAATAGAGCCGCTCGGAGTGATGTCGCCAAGGTCAAGGTCGTAGGTGGAGCCGTCCATGCTGAGGCTGCTATCGAGGCCACCCTCAAACTCGGCCAGAGACGGATCCACGAAAATCCTGAGCAAGTTCTCGTGAACGCTGGCGATCTTCTTGTAGTACTTGTTCGCCATGTGCTGACCACCCTTCTCAGACTGGTAGCGCTGAGCGATGCCGGCGTACAACTGGGAAAGCAGGGTGGACATCTCGAGAGTGCTCTGGTGGCGAGCACCATTAACACGGCGGCAGTTGTACACAATGTCTTCGGCCAGGCGGGAAGCCCTGAGAGCGTCACCGACGAGATAACGGGCCAGAATGTAGCGGCGGGCCAGCTGGAGGGTGATCGCAGGCGACCAGTTAATCTGCTGATTGCGGCTGTTCCAAAGACTGGCAAGGACCCAAACGAGATTCTTGTAATCCTTCTGTTCACCAAGAACGCCAATCAGAATATTCAAGTAGTCAAGATTGACCTGAGCCAGGTTGATCTTCAAGTCGCCAATGACGCGCAGAACCTCCTGGATGATGACAGAAGAGACGCCGAGCAGCTTCTTCTGGGTAGGTTGATCGGGCTGTGGAACAATAGTACGTCCAGTGATGAACACACCCAACGTGAAGACAAACTTGACAATGGCAGCGGAGCGATACACATCATGAGCAGAGATGTACCGGAACGAGACGATGGCAAGATCACAAGCACCATCGTAGTTCTTCTTCTGAAGGAGATCAAGAACACGATAGTTGCTAGCGATACCAACCGAACGAATAAAGTTGGTTGACTTGTGAGTGCTGAAGTGGTCCAAAATAGTCGACAAGAAGATCTTCACCTGGTTAATCTCGGTCAACTTGGTGCGCTTGCCCTCGGTAGCCATGAAGTAGGCCACGTAGTCGTCGAATACACGAATAGCAGCAGTCTTGCGATTGTTGGAGAGCAAGAAGTGGTAGAGACGAGAAGCAGAGACCGAGACAATGTGGAAAGAGCTGGTCTTAGAGGAGATGTGGCTGCGGAACTCCTCAAAGTACACGTACTCGGTGGTCAGCTCAGCCAAGATCTCCGTGATAGTCGAGCTTCGATAGCTGAGGCTTTGCTCAAGTTGAGCCAAGAAGATCAGGCTCTGACGACCCTTGGAGGTGAGATCAAACTTCGTGGACTTGACGTTGGTCGTGTCCTTCATGACGACCTGGCGGTATAGTTCCTGCGTCAGCTCCGTCGCCTTGGAGACCTGCTTGGTGGCAATGTAGCTGGCAGCAATGGTGGATGCGGCAGCGACAAGGCGGGTGGAAGAAGATTCAGTCTGCAGGATCTGCACGGTTGACTCCTTGAGCTCCGAAAGAACGGACTCAGACGACTCGCTGTGCTGGGAGTGGAAGGAGACGATCTCCTTTAGCTTAGTCAGAGACTCCTCGTGAGCCCAGCCATACGTCTCGCGAACAGAGGTGATGCGCTTGCGCAAGACCCTGGAAGCGCGCTCAATTTGGGTGGCAGAGATCGATTCAGATTTGGAGGTAGCAATGGCAGTCTGCTCCTCGTAAATACCGTCAAGGATAGCAGTGATCTCTTCTCGGTCAATCTCGGTGGACTGGATAGTGAGCAGCTCTTCGTAGAGGGCAATGGCATCAGTCTCAAAGCGCTTGGACTCTTGGCACACCTTGGCGAGGGTCACGGTAGCCTTGATGGTAATCGTTGCAGTAGCGCCAAAGACAGCCTTGACCTTAGTCTGGTATTCGACGGTAACCTTGTGGATCTTGGTGTACTCAGTGCGCACACTGCGAAGGCAATGTGTATACCGGGTGAAGAACTCCTGCACAAAGTCCGGAGCTTGGAACTTGGGGCTCTTCTTGGGTTCATTCAAGAAAGTAGTGAAGAGCAGTGAGTAGTATTGGACAGCATCAGAATAGCGATTCTGGTTCCAAAGCTCGCTGACAACAATGATCAAGGGCTCAATAGCATCAGGATGGCAATGAGGAGCATCCTTGTTCAAGGCACGGATGATGCGCTGATAGTACTCGATAGAAATTGGGCGAGGACGAGTAAGCTCCGCAAGGGTCCAGAGGGTCTTGATGACGATAGCGTGTTCGGGTCCGTAGTGGGTAATGTAGTCATCCAAGATCTCCTGGCGAGTGCTGATGACCCGGTCGGGTTGGGAAGAGCGCTCATAGAAGTAGATCAGCTCGGTAGTGACCCGCTCGCGCAGCTTGTCATCGACGGGCTTTGCGGCTCGAACAGCGCGGTACACACGTATGCGAATGCCTTCTTCACGAGGGAACCGACGGCGGTAGTGGTAGCACTGGCTCAAGTGCTCGGCCAGGTCCACGCACTTCTCGACGTGCTGGCCGGGAAGGACAACGTCCTGAATGGAGGGAGCAAACAGGGATGGCCAGAGACCGTGCAGAACCTTCTTGACAACGCGAGTAGCATCTTTCCAGCGGTGCTGAGAGACATACAGCTCGACCAGTGTGTAAGTGGCAGTGAAAGAACTCTGGTCGATCTTGGTAATGGAGCTGGAAGCCTCGTAGACAATCTCCTCCAGTACAGATTCAGAAACAACGGAGGAAGACGAGCTTGCTTGGTGCATGACCTGTTGGGAGGTCTGCTCAATGCTCTTCTGAATCTCAGCATAGCGTGAGGACTCGGTGCAGTTGGTGCTCTTGTAGTAATGGGCACAGTGCTTGAAAATGCTCAGAGCCGCTGTAGAGAGACCAACCGCGGTCATGACCTTCGCAATTTCTTGGAAGTGGGACGAAGTGGACTCAGACACAGACAGGCTAGTGCTGCGATACTCCTCCCAGACACTCGACAAGATTGAGGAGGCCTCATACTCACGCTTCTGAGACTGAAGGAACTTTGAGTAGACGGTGACCGACTTGAGCTTGATCTGCTCCCAGTACTCGGAGTACTGAGTACGGCATTCCTTGCTGGCTCGTTGCCAGATCTCAACGTAGATACGCTCGGCCTCGGCAAAGCGGCCCGCAGCGACGTACTCTTGAGCCTGCTTGAGAAGGGCCTCAAAGTCGAAGGTCTCAGACTGGTACTCATCGACCTCGGTATCCAGAACAAAGAGAGTACCGACTTCGCCGTTTTGCTTGTGACCCTTCAGGTGAACATGAAGATTACCACGAGTATCGGTCTCATCACCCTCATAGCGAGCCCCAGTGATAGTCTGAATTATAATTTCAATCTCCTTGATCCTCTTCTCCTCCTTGAGAATGCGGTAGTGCTCAACTAGGGTCTTTAGAGTTGTGACGACTTTCTCTGAGTTGTTGCCGTAGTGGATCTTGTAGCACTCAACAATGAGAAGGAGAATCTCCTCCCGCTTGATCATTAGATCGGTCTTGGTTGTTGTTACGTGCTCCACTGTGAGGTCCAAGAAGAATCTAGACATCTGCATGGTAATAATGTGCTTGGCAGTGAGCAGAGTGCGACTGATAGTCGTGATCTCATAGAACAGCGGAATCGCCTCGGCAATGTGGCTGATATCACGACGGAAGAGAGCAAGGGAAATAATAGACTGGAGAGTAACGACATTGTTCGGAGTCAGAATCTGACGGCTCATGTTGCTAACAATAGTCAGGTATGTCAAGAGCGTCGGGGTGGAGATGTTCTGCCAGAGTGTGTTCTGGAGCAGAAGCAAAGTAACAGTGGCAGGGAAGAGCTTGCCAAATTCCTTGGCAGTAGGAGCGTCACCGCTGGTGGTGTAGACAGTGGTGTTCTTCAAATGGTGAAGCCAGTAGCGCACCGAGAAGTCCAGAAGCGGATGTTTTTGAACAAGGATGCTGGTATCGTGACGGTCCAAAGGAGTCAGCGAAGGCTCATGCTGCTCAGTCACAGTGATTTTGATATAGACCAGCAGTCGAGTAACAAGATCGGCATGACGATCCTTCACGGTGGGAATTAACTTGCCCTTGGTATAGACATCCAGAACAGCTGTGCGAATGAGGCCGTGGCGAAGATAAACCTGGCCATCCTGGAGGAAGACAAGGGATGTCAAGGGTTTCAGGATAGTCAAGGTATCAACCTTGCGATCGGACAAAGTCTGCTTATCAAGCTGGACTGAGGCAAGAGTAGCTAATTCCTTCACCAACAGAGGACGCTCAGCAGTAGCAAGCCAGAGAAGCATGAACTTAGCTTCCTCATTGATCTCGGAGGAGGCAAGGACGTGGGAAACGAAGTCTGTGACAGTCCACTTGCTGTTGACCACTGTCTCGACGGTTTTGCGGAAGGCATCCAGGCTGTTCTCGTGGCGAACACGCTTAGCAGCAAGCTTAGCCCAGAGGAATGAACCGTGAGAAGCTTCGGTGATTTGATCCACCACAGTCTCTCGCTCCAACTCGGACATTTCACGATACGTCCGGCTAGGCTCGAAGATATCCCGAACAACGGCAGCGACATCATCAGAAATGCGATCCTCGGTGATAGGAACAGCCATCACATGTTCCTTGGCGGTGGGCTTCTCAGAACCAAGAGTGATGAGCCTGACATTGACAGCGTTGGAAGTGGCGCCAGTCAACCTCTGGAGCAGAGCAGTCTCTCCGCCGGTAGCCTCATCGAGGCCGTCAATGACGATGACCAGCTCCTTGGCACCACGGAGAGCGGCCGCCAAGGCACGCTCCAGAGCATTCCATAGAATGTTCTCATAGTCCGCGGGAGCAGTTGTCTTACGGCTTCGCTCGTAGGCATCGCCTAGAATGTGGAGGAGCTGAACATTACCGATGCGCTTCTCAAATAGCTGGAGCAAAATAGTCTTTGCAATTGCAACGGGGGTAGTCTCGGCGGGGATGCGGGCATCTGTTTGATAATAAAGTCAGATAAGACGCATAAGAGGAAAATCGCAAACAAGGCGGCACTTACTGATGGGGACAAACAAGGTCTTGTAGTGAACACCACCGATCTGCTCTTGCAGTCGATCAACGATGACCGAGGCAAGAACAGTTTTGCCGGATCCCGGCTTGCCGTAAAATGACAGAGTGTGGTTCTGACTCTTCAGGAAGCGAGTCAAATATGGACCCATCCAAAGGCAAGTCATTTCCTCACGCTCTTGGGCGAGGTGCGAGGTGTTTTCGGCGAGGCGGTTGAGAACGCGGTCTTCGGGGGCAAGCCATGATCGGACGGACTTGACAATGGCAACTTCCAGGAGCAAGACAGAGTCAGCAACTCATATTTCTCGAGGTTGATAGTCTTATGGCGTATTTCTTACCTCTCTCGGTGTCAATGTTCTCCTTAGCAAGCTGGTGCCGCCACATCGCATCGGAGATCTTTCCACATCGCTCCCTGAAGGATTGGATTTGACCAGGGAAAGTATCATAGATGTTGACCGACACCGAAGCTGTGGTCAATCCACGGATAGCCTTGTGGAAGTGAGTGGATACACTGGCAACGAGGGTAACCAAGTCAGCCAGGGCCAGGATCAGCTGTTCTTTGATCTCCTGGGACACCGAGAACAGCTCAGTCCGCTCCAGAAGGTTCACCAGAGCAGAGGAAGTACTGTAGAAGAAGCCAAAAGAGATCATCAAAGCAGGTGCATTGTCCTTGCCAAGCTGTTTTAAAGGAAAAGGCGGTTAGTTAGGAATAAGCCGACGAATAGTATCACAATGGAACATACCTCCAGCAGCATAGCACAGTAGCCGTAGGACAGCTGAGCGGCAAGATAGCTATCACCAGCAAAGTCTTGAATACCATTGTCAAAGGAGTGGAGTCTTTCAACAAAAAGCTGGGCCCATGAAAGAACTTTGTCATAGCTGCTACCCTCCGGAGGCAGGTGGCTCATTCGCTCGGTACGAATCCACTCAATGATGGAGTGATAGGAGGTGTTCAGAAGCTGGGATGAAGCAGCATTGCCCAACTCATCACCGCTGCGACGGTGGAGAGACTGTACTACACTGGTGATATTAGAGTTGCCGAAGCCATTTGACTTGCGAACAAAGCCAGATTCTCGGCGCGTGGACCGGCCATTCTGAGAAATGCTGTCGTTGTCAAAGGCAGCAGAGAGGGCCGAGACTTGCCGGGAATTCCCGTGCATAGTTGAGTAGAAAGAGGAGTTCAGGTTTCCCGGAAGGGGAGAGACAATGCCAGGAGCCATTTGGGACGTATGAAGTACAATTGTAGTATTTTCAGAGGAATTGGTCGTAATCGTCGTGAGGGCTGGAGGTATGGACACTTTGGGGGGATTCGCTTCGAGTCCTGCGTACAGTATGAGATTGGCGGGGAGGCGGATGAGGATCAGATATAGCTTGTGTTGAGCAGCAGCTCTTGAAATAACCGAATAGAGGACACAAACCCGCAATGGAGTCAAATGCAAGGCTCTAAAAAAGTATAGGAATCATTCGAGGACATGGAAGAAGGAAAAGGAAAGAGTAAGTAGCTCCGGCTTGGGGTCACAGGAGGGTTTTGTATGCAATCTGTGACAGTAAAAATCACCCAGACACTACTTTAACTCGGATCGTTTTCTTCGGTACGAAGGCTGGGTACCCAGAGTGGCGATGGACCTTCACATCACCATTACGCTTTTGGGTATGGGTGGTGGATATAGACTTCAGCTTCTGTGGACTTGAACCATTTCCTCCACCTCTCTCCACCTTGTGATCTCGTCAAAGCGGCGGCAAAATTCGAGGCATTGCTCTTTTATGGTCCCGAAAATGGAAAGGAGGTGCAATGACACCTCAGCGCATCATGACGGTTGGCACTGCTCATCACTCTATGATCAACCTCTTGCCTTTTTGGACTTGCATTGGTTGCACTAGGGCCTCGGCGAGTCTAAGGCGTAGAAACGCCAATAGGAGGTATCGAGTCATGAATCACGGACTGACTGGGCGTGTCGCCAATCCAAGTGCTGAACATCCTGTGTTCCATCTCAATGGGAAATAGCGTGGAGTATCAGAACGTGGAGCCCTGCAAGACAGTTTGCATGATGATGATAATGGGTGGTGTTATTCTCTCCACCTCGGCCATCATTGCACAGCTGATTTGACAACTGGGCTAGAGCAGGAGACCACAAGTCCACACCAGCTGGAAACGACTCTTCATAGTAGTCGCTGTTGTGAATACATAGCTCGGGTCTGTTCAAGGTCCAGATTCTCGGAGTGCCCGCTTTAGACCACGCGGGCATTCACTATGTGTGAATGAATGTTTCAGAATCGTACTTGTGTTGAATTATTCCTCATTTTCGGATATATCCTGCAGAGTAGGTGTTCAACGATGGCTGGCTGGAAGACCGTGCTAATTTTCCGCCAAGACGCCGTGGTGCAGGTCGTCAATGGGGAGGGTATGGAGCACTGGCCCTTCCTGCTGGTATCCAATTAATGTCAAGGTACAATATGAAGCGGATTCGATTTCACTTCTCGGACGAACTGTAGATCGATTGGCATGGCAATAATCTTCCCGCCCTGGCCACATTATTATTCGTGCCATACTGTGTGGGGAGGGGTTAGATGCCAGCCATTGTCGATCGATCCTGGGCCGTCGCGAACCATGCAGCATGACTGACGCAAACAAGATCCACACGGCTGTTTTACTCTCTCTCCGAATCAGCGCTTCTACTGCTCCTCCCGAGATCATCTCCCCAGAAAATGAACTCTTTGGAAATAGTAACTGGACACGGTCTCGGTAAAAAGCTCCAACTTAGAGAAGGCCCCTGTTACTGCCCCTGGTAAGCGTAGCGCAATTGTTAAGGCATCCATGCAGAGTGCCTCGTTTTGGCCAGGGGTCAAGTCATTGGTTGTCAGGTCGGCTATGCTTCCGGCGAATGCCGTGCAAAAAAGCAACAAGCTGGGGCCTTCCCCTCTTGAGTTCCCCTCGTTTATTTCGAGGTGCATTAGACTGATGGAGTTGGATGGGGGATGAGTGGAGGAGAGAAGGGAGGAGATGGGAACTGGTTTGTCCGCAGCTCCACTTCAGCTGAAGAAAGAAAGATCCGCTTCGGCACGGGCAAAAATAGGCGGGCCCAGCGCTGGCTGGCTGGGCCTTATTTCCCTGTTTCTACTAACAATTACCACAGATATTCACATTAATATGGGAATGAGTTAGTGAAAAAATTTCGACGATACATACAATACTAGTGAATGATGATATCCAAGCAATGATTCATTATGGTGCCAAAAAGAACATACTAGCATGCATCCTTTTTGATCATACTTTTTAGCGAGATCTGCCTTGATGTCATTTGCACTTAACCTGTAGGTACGTAGGTTTGGAATAGGTCTTTCTCTTCAGACGTAGACCAGAGCTCCCAAACTTTGAAATGGCTATGGAGCTTCTAGTTCCCTTGCAAATAGCGACGGGAGCTAATGATCAAACAAGATACTATGCTGGAGCCAACAAAAGAGACAGAATATAAATACATGAGAATCATGTTTCAAAAAGGCAAGATGGTAAGCCATTCTGGTTCTACCAGTTTTCTACTTTTCGTGTTCAGACTCTTGAACTGCCGTAGTATACCAATTTTGCGAAACGGACTCGGGCTTGCACGTTTTAACTTCGAGTCTTATGCATCAAAGCAAAAAGAAATTCCAAATTCATCCCTGTCGCAGGCCTAGCCAGATTCCAAGGTGTATCTTCGTATGAAGAGCGTGCATACGAACCTCATCACCAAGCCGTGACGCATCCTCGATGACTAGTCATTCCGCATAGGAATAGATGCAGATATGCCCCGGTTATGCCCCGGTTTTACATGTAGCAGGCCGATCAGGCCCCGCTCGACTGCCCGTGCCTGTATCCATTCTGCGCGATTTCTTCAAGATCGGAGATCCTCCTGCCCTGATGTCAATATGTTAGGAATAACCGACAAAGAGGACCTTACGTAGCCAGAAGATGAGCAAAGTCTACAAGACTGTAGAAGTACTGAGAACCCCACTTTTCGTTAATGAGCAGGTCGCCGACCCGAATCAAGGAGTGGGGAAACGAGACAGTGCGTATCAAGATGGCCAATCCACGATCCGAGCATTCAGCCCAGCCACCGTGTTCTGCTGCAGGAAATCTCGTTGCATTTCTAATTTGTCGGGATTTTTGACAGCGGGTGGCGTTTATTTGTTCGCTAAGCTGTTACTACAGTACAGTAGTACTTGTAAGTTACAGTAAGCCGATTGGAAGTTTGGACCGATACTGGTACTCATCATCGCTGGAACCTGGAAGGTCTGGGATTCAACCCGGCAGAGTGGCCCGTGTATTGCGCTATTCCATAGCTCCGATCATAGTTCCAATATATACATGCCTCAGAGTTTACTGATTGCGCGGCCATGAACCATGGGGATAGGAAGTGTCAATCCCTCAGAAATATCGATTTGGATGTTGGGATGGCTTCTTCATAAACGCCATATCAGGATGTAAAATAGGAAAAGTCCAAGTCACATGCGAATTCAAAGAGATTTCTGTGGCAGAAAGAGAAGAAGGCATACACATATTAGATAAAGGTGGTTCATCGCCATAGGGAGAGAAATAGTAAATATGCTGAAGCACAGTAGCCAAGCATCCTTTCAAACCTACTTACCTTCGGATTTAGGCTACTGGGCGGAAGCATCATCATTACCTTATGGGCATGTCAAGAGCGCCTCTGAGCATCCAAGTGCCGATATGGTCTAGGGCTGAGAAAAGATTTTATTGCGTTATTTCTACTAGCTACGATCAAATCGGCGAACTAAGCGCACCTACTCGATGTTCAACATTTCAACACCATCATATACAAGCTCGTTGACGGTGCTTGTTAAGCGGAGATTCTTTCAGTATGTATCAAGCAGTGTTTAGTTTACATAGCGAGCAATTTCAAGGGAAACAGTCTACAAAGTTGGAACCTCCATGGCTCCAATGCCAACAGTGATTTGCGATAGCTCGCCCAAAGTCTTCAGAGATTCGAAAGAGTCCTCTAGCACGCCTCCTCCGGTAACAGGAACACAATCCTAAGAGGGATTAGTACATCGTGACAAGCCATAATTTGAATTCTTCCCTTACCTCCGGTCTCGACCACCCAATGATGCCTGCAACGACCTCTTCGTTAAGATTCTGACTCTTGCCGTAAGTGACAGCAACTTTGTCTCCATATTTCTCTTTAGCTTTCTGAGATATTTCCCCCCAGGTTTTCAAAGCCGCTTCCGCATTCCTAGCACTTGGCACGGTCACGCGGAAGATCTCAATGCTAGATGCAGATGCCGCATCTTTTGGGCCGAAGTTTGTTTCAAAAAGTTGTAGCGTCGGTGGTCCAGTTACGAGGTGTCTAATGGAGCCAGCGAAACCATCATATTGCTCCGAGACAACGAAGGCATGGAAAGACTCCACTTTGTTCCATTCTATACATTGAAAACTGTTAGACATGTAAGTGAAGCAAGAAAGCTATCTGCTCCGGACTTACCAAAAAGTAGAACTTCTCTATTCTCCTCTCTCACATTACGTCCATTCTCGGTGAGAATCCATCCTCGAAAGGCACACAGCAGTCCCGGGTTTGGGTTCGTCAGTTTCTTGCTGATAATTGGCCAGTCTCGCTCGAGTTCCTCTATTGAAGCCGGATCGGGCTTGATCTTGGGGAAGATAAGTTCAGTAACGGCCATTGTGCTGTATCAGTGCGGTGTTGATAAAAAGATGGTTGACACATTTGTTCGTGAGATTCACAAAGCCCTTATATACAGTCCGTATAATAAGGTCTTGAGCTTGATATATCTAAAACTATAGAGATATTTCGATTTAGAATGCGGACTTTACTATGTCATCTATTGTGTTATCTTAATAATATCAAAGCAGCCCCCTTCATGTCCGGGATCAAAGGCGAGACATCATTGGATGCCTTGCAGCTCTCTCAGTGGGGCCTGCGGAGTTTGCGGAGTTTCAGAGGCGTTGATGGGATTAACTTGCGCTCGTAGCCTCTTCCTCATCGCTTCTTTCCTCCAAAATATCTCAAACACCCCGCAAAATGCCCTCCAGATCCTCTAGACTTCGCTCTCGGCAGAAGTCGTGCGTCGCATGTGCGGAAGGGAAGCGGCGTTGTAATCGTCAAACTCCGCAGTGCTCTCGGTGTAGCAGCCGGGGGCTGAATTGTACTTACGTCAATGGGCTATCCGCAAAGAAGGTCCAGGAAAGCATTTTTACAGCTGTACAGCCAGTAGAATCTGAGTTATACCATGGGTTGGACGAAATTCTATCGTTGTGGTCACCAAATAGCGACTCCTTTATCGATAATTCGAGTGCCTCTACCTCCTGGCATGCTGGAAGTCCTTCGCTTGTCACTACTCCGTCACTCTTTCCAGCCATCTTCTTCCCAGATACAGTCTGCCCCGACAAATGGTCAATAACACAGTCTTTGCGAAGCGTCAAATCCTTCCCGCAGGCGTTTGCGCGGTCGAGAAGAACACCCTTTATTCATCAACGTTTATACGATACTTATCTACCCAACGCCATTCAAGATGCCTTTACAGTCTCGACAGCCTATTGCACAAAGACAGCAGATACCGAAGATATGACCCTACGTATTCTAGAGGCAAAGACAACAAGTCTAGTGGAGCAAGTTCATCAGACAAGTTCTATAGAGGAACTTCTCGCATCCGTCCAAGCATTGATGCTTTTTCACATCATCCAGCTTTTTGACGGCGACATACGTCAACGGTCAATAGCGGAGCGCAATATGGATACACTTAGAGCGTGGACTACTCGTCTACAAGTGCAAGCCCAAAAGTTGAATCAAGTGGCATCCTGGGAGGAATGGGTCTTCGCCGAAAGCATCCGCAGGACCGTCATCTTTTCTGCGCTGATTGACAGCTTATATTCATCGCTGAAATATGGTTACTGCGCGAATGTCAAAGAGTTGAGCATGCTGCCGTTCACGCCAGTATCTAGACTATGGAGCATGACTACAAGTGCAGCGTGGCTTGCTGAGTCAGGTCAGTCAGGATCTGACGTGGTTCTATATGGAGATTTCTCAATGGCTTGGGAAAATGGTCGAGTATTGGGAGAATTAGATGAGTTTCAGAAGCTGCTACTTATTCCCTGTGTTGGAGAGAGATATAAAGACACGCTAGAACTCGATATCGAGAATTAATTATAAGAGCTAAGTCAGCCATATTGACCTGAATTACAGAATAAAGCTCAGATATTGAATTTTCCCTCATTGCGTCAGACAATTTTCAATCATGATCGGGGATTGTATTACTCAATGATGAAATATATAGATTAAAGTATGGAGGAACCGTCGTGATTTAGAACGGTACGAATTATTTGCTAGCAAATGACACCTAGCCACTCCGCGGCAGACACAGATATAGTGTTCTTCCAAATACAGATCATGAATAAACGTTCCGTCGCCTTAAGCCCCATCAGGACAATCTTTCTTCAATTTCCGAATACAAAGAGTATCACCGACTTGCAGATTCGTACAGGTATGATTGATTCCTGGGTTCCACTTGTACAGTTCCTCCATAGTGAACGTATCGGGATGCGCCTCCCGGATATGCAAACAATCATCTCCTGGGGCCACACGATAGAACGCCACACCTACATTACATCAGTTGATATACGGATATCACTAATGTACAATGGAACTTATGAAATTAGAGAGCACTCACAATAATGTGCCGCGCTATCATGCGAATTGATTGCTGTCGATAGTGCTGATGCCGTAAGACCTAGGGCCAGTAGGATGGCTTTCGAAATAGAGATAGTCATGGCTGGTACTCTGTAGACCAAGTGTGTCTATGTTCAGGTAAGTGGAACCGGTTGTGGAAGGATTGTAAGAGGTTTGATAGCAACGAGAACGATACTCGCGATTTAGAGGACTTCGGCATGGGTATTTATAGCCTATCTCACGAGGCTCTACTTAGACACTCGTAAAGCCAATCAAGTTCAAAATTGGCGATTCGGAACTGCGCCTAGCCAGCGTTAGACAAGTGACTTATAAAACTTTAAAGAGACGTGTTGCTTCCGATGCATCCTATTGCTCCAGGAAACTGGATATGGATCTAGAGCGTTGTGGTCACCTTGCTTGTTGGATTGTCGAATTGGTATGACAAGGCTTCCTAGTCAAGAAAAAGAGACAGTATGACAGTTACATGGCGAGATCATGAGAACAAGAACTACGGAATCCCAAACACTTGGATCATATGACCATTGGGTTGGTCTAGCAGCAAATTGTGTAACTATGCCGAGGGTAGCTTCAAGGACATCCTGATCAAGAGAAAGACCGAGTACAACGGAGCTACAGATTCCAATATGCCTTATTTTCTGCAGCATCTGTCGACCAGCTAAAATTCATCTCCAAGATACATTCGGATTCTCTACTCTTGGTTCGTACATTCAAGTCATCAAGAAAAACGCATTGAAAGCCGGCAACGGCACCGACTCCAAGTCTAATCATATCTCACAGGTGAAATAGGTTCCAAAAAACCAAAAAAGAAATAAAAAAATCAGCAGGGCATGCACAAGGAAGCAAAAGCGTCCTCTAGAAAACATAGGAATTACAATCGAGGAATTCATAAATGCATCGCCATGAAGCTCGCCGCCCACTTCCATTTTTTCCCCCTCGCTCATATCATAATCGATAGCGGCCAGTCGGACACACATACACACATTGACCTTCACACAGCTCTCTGATTATAAGGGCAGAGAGGGCGGGTAAAAGAAACGAGATGGTAAACAAGAGGCGGCTTAGGACCGGCCGTACCGGGTCTTGCCGAAGGAGAAGGGTACGTAGCGGTACTTGATCATGTGCTGGATTTGTCGGCGCACTGCAGATACAAAGATGGAGTCAGCATACATTCAGCGCCTATTTATCGCAGTCCTGTTGGATTGCGTCAGGTTGGGATACGTACTAGTCAGGACAAACAGGATGATCCAGTACATGACCAAGACGGGCCAGAAGACCGGGATGTCGAAGACAGAGAACCAACTGCACACAAAGCCAATGGTGATGGCGCGAGTGGCCGAGTGCCAGAACTTGAACTCGGGCAGGCGGCGGATGAACGGGCGGAACTCCTCGTCCCGCTTGGTAGGGAGGCTGGGTGAGCCGGCGTCGCCGTCCTCGAGGCCCTCATCCTGGGTGAGGGAGGGGTCGAATTTGGGAGTCAAGAAGGCGAGGAAGAGGTTCAGAAGGTAGATTCCGAGAGTGTAGGCGACTAATAGGTGAGTGTGAGGTTAGCTTGAGTTCATCTTGTGCGTCGCGTGTCATTGTTCCCAACGTCCTCCAGAGTTCCCCCCTCTTGACTTGTTCGTCCTCCCATTGAAGATTTGTACTGCCACTGCAACTTTCGGAGTAGGACCAAGCGGAAACGTACCAATGTACCATCCTTGCGCGAAGACGATGCGCAAGAAGAAAATGACAAGCAGGAGAGCGGATCCAACCCAGCGATACGTAGTGTAAGGAGTCGAGGCATCGAGGTAGGCTTGGTATTGCTACAGCGACATGGTTAGCATAAAGTTTCTTCGGGCACATCTAATCCCTGAGGACGAGGAATAAATGGGAGGGTATTGCATTGCGCCGTTCGCAACCCCCCTCAAGCGACAGTCGGAAACTCACCCGAGTCAATTTGGAGGTATGCGCCGTGACGGCGGTGAAGGGCGACAGCTCTGGCTCGGGGACATCCATTGTGAAGGCGGAGGTGAGGAGGATAGAGGGAATGAGGATACTAGAGACAAGAACGAGCCCGGTGTATACGCAGATCCGCGGTGCTGAACGCAGTCGTTCTGGAAAACAGGAGCAAAGTGTCCCCTGGCGATGGTCCAATCAGCGGGGAGATTAGTTTCTAGCCACGTTGAGACATGTGACGTGTGGCGAATGTGGCGGAGCTGTGGCGAGTGACACTGTTGGCCTGAGGTGTCGAGGTAATCCAGTCACAATGGACCGAGGGACGGTTAACTTCGGCCCTCTTTCGGCTGCGGGGAGTGACCGCCATACATCATAGTTCTCCCTGTGCTCCGTATCGACACTCTGAAGCCTCCTACCGATTTTTTGGATACCTTTAATTGTTTTTGTTCCTATCCATCCATCGCCATGTTTGCCCGTCGCTGCGCTCGTCTTGCCACTTCGCGGACTGCCGTCCCCTTGAGCTCCTACCTGGCCCGTGTGAGACAGTACTCCTCCGGGCCAAGCTACGAGCACATCCTCACATCCACCCCGAAGCCCGGAGTCGGCCTGAGTAAGTAGCATGGGAGTCACCGCCGCGAGGATACCTCAGCTCATTCTGGACAGTCACTCTCAACCGCCCCAAGGCTCTCAATGCCCTATGCAGCCCTCTCTTTACTGAGCTCAATGACGTCCTGAGCAAATACGACAATGACAAGGACATTGGCGCGATCATCATCACCGGAAGCGAGAAGGCTTTCGCCGGTATATAATCATTCCCAAACAAACTAATCAATTACACTCACTAATCTCTCCCATAGCCGGCGCCGACATCAAAGAAATGGCCCCCTAACCTTCGCCGCCGCCTACACGGACAACTTCATCGCCCCCTGGTCGCACCTGGCCAACACAATCCGCAAGCCCGTCATCGCCGCCGTATCTGGCTACGCCCTCGGCGGTGGCTGCGAACTCGCCATGATGTGCGACATCCTCTACTGCACCTCGAACGCGACCTTCGGCCAGCCAGAGATCAAGCTCGGGACTATCCCCGGTGCCGGCGGATCGCAGCGTCTTATCCGGGCCATTGGCAAGAGCAAGGCTATGGAGCTGATTCTGACGGGGAAGAACTTTAGTGGTAAGGAGGCTGGGGAGTGGGGGCTTGCGGCGCAGGTGGTTGATGGTGGGAAGGAGGAGTTGCTGGAGGTTGCGATCAAGACTGCGGAGACTATTGCGGGATATAGTCGGGTGGCTGTTGTTGCGGGTAAGGAGGTTGTGAATAAGAGCCAGGAATTGTCGTTGAGGGAGGGGGTTGAGTATGAGCGAAGGCTTTTCCACAGTTTGTTTGGTAGTAAGGATCAGAAGATTGGTGAGTTGTGATTACACTGTTGCTTTACGTGCGTTGAGTTTGTGGGTGGAGAAACTAACATGTCGACAGGTATGACTGCCTTTGCTGAAAAGAAGAAGCCCGAGTGGTCCAACGAGTAAAGTCTTGGATGGACTGGGCCAAAGCCCATGCCGAACAAAACCTCCATATAAAGCAATTCATGAGTTCTGAGTTGTAGAATCTGTCGTCGTTCATATCACATCACATATACATTGAGTATTTACTTCTAGCCACGGCCAGCCGCAGCATCATTATCCCGAGTATCATCCACCGTCGCATCCGGATGCGCATTGCCCGATGGAGATCCATACTTATGCTGCTCCAGAGAACGATTGATACCAATGATACCCCATGCAAAAACAGCCACATCTCGAATCGTATTCATGAGGAGATTTTCCTGGGGGCCATTGGACGTAGCGGCTCTCGATGCACCCGGGTAAGGAGGGCTCGATGAGCTCTGTGAACTCGATGCTGGCGTGGGAGCCGGAGCATGTGAAGGAATCTCATTCTCCTTGCAAAGGCTAGATTTGTTCTCTGGATATGCCGGATTGGAGAAGCTATCAAGGGGATACGTCGCTGTGCCGTATGCATAGACAGGCTCAAGTGCCCACGGTGCTGCAAAAATGCCGTTGGAGTAGATTGGGACCGGTTGAGGTGGAAGGGTGGCACTGGGAATGGGAGCTCGAGCTCGACGAAGAATGACAACCAGTCCATCCGATGTACACGAGACGACCGCTTCCAGCTCAATAGGAGGCGGCACTCTAGCGTATGAACCTGTCGCGATACCAAAAGCCGGGCTGCTGAATCCACCCATATCCATATCTACATCCTCTTCCCGCAACGGATTGCGAAACCAAAACCGCAAGTACGCGATGGAATCGTTTGCCTTGGCACTTTCAAGACACCTCACGGCATCTCGTAAGCATCGCTCCTGTATACAGTAGAAGAAGCTTTTGGAGATGAGCTGGCGCGGGCTGAGCCCGAGAATCTCTGTCACGCCACTTGTGGCGTACATTATAGTCGCTGTTCTGGTAAATCGATTGACAAAAAGTGCCGCACGTGGCTCATGGAGAGGCTCTGCAAGCCGTCTCGAGAATTTGTCCGATATGAATGTAAGCATGTGGTAGCGGGGGTCATTGGGAGAGGAGTCGAAGAGCTGGCGAACAATGGGGGCATCGATGGCACGCTCTATCAATCAAGAATGTTAACATCCGCACAATTATTTTAAAGGTAATTTCTGCAAGAAAAAACAAAAACTTACTTTGACTACCTCTCCCACGACCGTACACCGTAGTACTAGCGATCAAAACATTGTAAACCACAGTAAAGACACACTCACACCCAACCCACGACCCATTCTTGTGGCGAATGGAGCAATAATTCAGAACAGCGGCCTTATCAAGCCTAACACCGCGGCCATGTACACTGCGGGCGAATTGCAGCTCCTGCGGTTGGAAGTAGTCCCAACACGAGCGGTTGAGTACCTCAGGTGGCTGGTACCCGAGTACGACCTGGATGCTGTCTGACGCATACAGAATCGAGGCGTCACGAGACAAATCTGCACGAGCAGGGGTATTAGCTTCGGGATGACGGAGAAATTCTCGTGACTGCTCTCGTCCACTCTGCGTAGAGCCCACATCGGTGGTAGCAGCAGCATCAGCAGGGCGGGTACAACTTGCCGTGTATTGTGATGAATGTGACGTCCATCGCAGCTGCATGGAACAGTGGAACCCCCACTACCCCGCGTCGCAGAAGGAAGAAGACAGACTCGAATTGGGGCAGGGATAGGAGATTCTCTTGGGTGATTTCTGTTCTGCTGTTGTTCTGGTAAGGGCCTTTTCCCCCCAGAGACAGCGAGATAAGTCGGAAAACATGGTGAGGTCCAATAGCGGGGCCTACCGGGCTAACAGGCACGGCGCCAGACAATGACATAGTAGGGGGGGGGAAGGGGCGGATGAGATTACATGAATTGATATTGGCAGGCAAATTCAAGTTCTTCATCTTTAAATTAGTGTATATTAATTGGTGTAGATACGTAGTTATGACTATATACATCCTGGCATGTAAATGCAACGACAAAAACCAAACGCAGTAGACAGAGAGACTGGCTGGACAGCGGACACACGGTGGGGTCATCATAGACATGAGTTTAATTACATGGCGTCAAGTGGCGTCAACATCAATCATGCAGTGCCAGCGTCTTTCTCGACCTGGCTGGGGTCATCATTCGCGGCGTTCTTCTGCGCCCGGTAATCATCAATGACGCGGCCTTCGATGGACTCGTCAAACACGTCGACCTCGGTGGTCGCAAATTGACGAGCACTAACACCACGCTCGAAGAGCATGTCCAATTCGGCGAAGGAGCGACCGCGAGGCTCAGGCACGCGGAAGTATGTGTAAATAATACACAAGAAGCAGATGCCGCCCCAGAAGAATCCGGCGTAGTTGCCCCAGTTCCACTCGCCGGGGTTCAGCATGTAAGGAGTGAGGACACCACAGATAATGCCGACAACATTATACAAGCAACGGCCGAGAACGACTGTCTTGATTTGCAGGCGTCGGGTGGAGAGCTCTGCAACGAGCGAGTAGGTGACGGTACCGACTGTGAGCTGGTAGAAGAGCGCCCAGACAAGCATCAGCGAGCCGGTGGCCATGGACGCCTGATCACGGTGAGAGTGCGGCACAAGGCCGAGGAAGCCCATGGTCAGAAGCATGGTACACAGTCCACACAGACCGTACAGACACAGAGTTCGACGACCAATTCCCAGGGTCATCAAGAACCAGGCTCCAAAGACACCGACCATGTTGATGCTGTACTGGCCCATGGCGAAGTTGTAGGCATTAGATGAGTCGAGACCAGCCTGCTCCAGGAAGTAGGTGGAATAGTTCGAGAACGAGTTTCCACTCAGATTCTGGATAGCCCAGACCATGCAGACAATCTCTGTCCGGCGCAAATCAGTCCCCTTGAAACAATCGAGATAGCTGGCACCCTTTGTGATCCTGGCCTCCAGGGCGGTAGTGTGCACCATCATCGAGATTGTCTCATCGGCATCAAAGTCAGTTTCGCGGTCTTTGCTAGTCAGCCGCTCAAGAGCCCGCTTGGCATCCTTGGTCCGGCCTCGTCGGACCAACCACCAAGGGGATTCGGGGGCAAGGAATATGCCAATGAAGAGAGGCAGAGGCCACATCCATTGCAGACCGTACGGAATTCGGTAGGCCCATTGGTCATCACGGTTGAGCATTCCCTTGATCACGCCAATTCCAATGAGCTGGCCCAGGCCCCAACAGAAGTTGACATAGGTAGTCAAGTATCCACGGAGTGCGACGGGACACACCTCAGAGGCGTAAGTGATCGTCAAGGTTTGGAAGACACCCCAGGGAACACCACACAGGATCTCCGCGGCGAGCAAAGACTGCACATTCTTGGCTGTGAAGAAGATTGTCGTCCACGCGGTGACCAGAATGAGGCAGGCCATGATTGTATAGCGGTATCCAAATCGTTCCGAGGCCCAACCGTTGATAAACAACCCGATGATTTCACCGACAGCGGCACCGTTACTCAAACCTGATTGCCACTAGAGACGTCTCTGTCAGTAGATTCTCCTAGACTTTCGGGGGCAGACACTCATGAACTTACCCTGGCCGGTACTTGATATGATCCGTTCGGCAGCTGTTCGCCGTATTTGCGATTAAACTGATCAAAGGCGTAGAAGTTGTTCACCAAACTGATATCGTATCCCTCCATCGCAATGCAGGTCGAAATGAGCACACTCCACGCAACCGCCTTAGGATACAACTTGATACCCTGCAGCAAACTCATACTTTGCTCCTTTTCAGTCGCCGCCTTCGCATTCTGAATGATCGCCTTCATCGAGGAATCAGACGGCCAGCCCTCGTGGCCCTCATGGCCCTCAGAGGGGTAGCGCGGGGCCTCCTCCGCCGGCGCAATGGTGTCGGGGACCTTGGAGTCAGCCATGCTAGCGTCGCGTGGGTGGTCCACAGGCTGGAGACAAGATCGGGGGCACGATGAAGAGAAGAAAGCAAAAGTGTCCTCGATTGAAAGGAGTTGAAGGAGACGTTCAAGATTTCCAGGCTCGGGGACGTGCGGAGGTTTAAAAGAGAAAATCTATCAAGTACCCACCCGTGGGGAACATCACACGCGAGCGCACTTCAGGGGGCGGGGGGTGAGACTTCTCCGGGCAACGGGCCAAGACGAAGGATGTGAGATTGGCGAAAAGAGGGCAGGATTTTCGAACTAGAACAGAATGAGGAGCGAGCAGCGCTGGACTTTGGACTTTGCGGGGAACGCGGGCTCAAGCCTCGGACTGCAAATTTTCGCGGATGCTTGGCGAAGGACCCCGGGTAAATGCCGTGAGATCGGGTCCGATGTTGCATTGGCCATTGAGGGGACTCTTTCTGTTCCTGTCTAGCTGTCTTCCTAGTCAATTGCGTCAATTAAATATGCTAGATCTATTGCATACTTTCTATATCGTGCTCCATACTCTAACATACCATAAACCTTGTGCCTGTCAAGCTTACTCTCCGAAGGTGCCTTGCATCCGGAATGTGGCGCGGGTGAACCACACCGGAGTTAGGCCGAGATCGTCTTCGGCGCCTTTTGGGTTGCATCCATCCCGAGCACTCGAACTTTGTGGAAAGTTTGATATTTTGGTCACACTAATGATACACCAGAATCTATTTGTATCTATCATTATCATTCAATACAATATAAACCTCAGTCCTGCTATCATCCCCTTCTTTTCATATCGACCGGTTCGATCTCATGGAAGAAACAAGGGATCCCGAATCAGCCGCTCCATATCCTCCGTCCGAAGATGCAGCGAGACATCAACGCCATAATCAGTCCAGCTTCTTGCACCCGACAATCCATCTTGATCTTTTGACGGCGGCGCGTCTTTAATCAACACATCCCCATCTAGCGTCGGCAATACTCCCTCGGCATAGCGAATACTGGGGAGCGAGTTCAACCCAAAATCAATCTCATAGAGACCCGCACGAGCCCAGGTCGTCACAATAAGGTGACGCCGACCGAGAAATCCCTGCCAGATTCGCTGCGGCGTCTTCTCATACGCCACACTGTGCAGATGAGCGCCAAGGGCTGCCTTGTCACTGATCTGGCTGACCGTGTTGCGAATGTGTCGCGCAATTGAGGGCATCCTCTCTGCCTCTGGGGTATCAGGAGAAGCCAGATCCACGCCCGTCATCTCAATGTTCATCATCAGCGATGGTGACCCGATGAAGTTGTCTCCGAGACCAAGTACCGGACGGGTTCCATACGCAAGGTCGCAATGTACCAAGCCTCTGTCTTCTCCTTGTTGACGAGCTCGAGTGATACACGACCAAATATGGGCGAGAACGGCATCGTGACGACTGATCCGACTCCCGATGTAATCATCGCTACTCCCGTCAATAGTAGCCGCATAAATCTTTTCCACCTGGTTGCGATTCAGATGGACCAAATAATGAGAAACGGAGCCATCAAAGTCCCATTCTGACCAGGGCATGGCCGGGCCGACTGGCGTGTGCTCCTGGTCTCGGAAGGGCGGTGGGATTTCAGGGGCCCAGGGACACGGAGCTGGCGCAGCCCACCAGTCATACCGGTGCATAGGCAGACTCAGAGCTTGGTTAATGATTGCTGCGTCGGGCTGTTCGCCGTTGATATCCCCTGCGGCCATCGAATCAAGCCGTGTCGGGTCAAACAGGGGAGTCAAATTGGGCTTTGGAGATGGTGATCCCGAGAGAATCCATTGACTGATCTTTGTCCAATCTTGGACAAAATGGATGACAGTCTGGATATCAGCCAAAGGATGCAGAGTCTTAATTGCCAACGCAAAGCCTCCACAGGCCAACTTGGTCAGCTGGATGGCAATAATGGGAGGTAAGAAGCCGGCTTCGTTGCCGGCGTTAGGTCCCAAGGAATTGGCTAGTCGTAAAGAGGGAACAAGACCGGTAAGTGAGACCTTTCCACGATCAAACAAAGGGCATTTTGTTGTACGTGATGCCGGAGACAGCGTCTCGAGGGTAGCGTTGGTAGTCGCAGTCACGAACTCGACACCGGGGTCTTCTGATGTCCCATAATGCGAGTAGATCCGACCAAAGCGACGTGCATTGGGAGGAAACCGAAGCTGTTCCGGCTTTAGTTTGGCAGGGTGGAGAGTAGATATGCTTTTCAATTGTCCCGCCCAGTGGGGGTAGGCGTCAAGCGTGATGCGTAGGGCCTGGCGAAAGTGATCCACCAGATCGAATTCATCGTCAACTTTATCGGGACGCTCGAAGAGCCAGATAGGACATGTACAAGCAAAGTCTGCCGTAGTTGCGTCCAAGAGGGAAAGTGGCACTGCACGCTCAGTTGGTGCTTTTGTGGGAAATATCCGTTCGGAGTGTAGTGGAGATATCTCGACAGAAGTCATATTGGATCAATTGCTCTGCCTATTGAGTACTGGACTTGCTACTCCAGAGAAACCGGAAAACATGATGCCTTATTATAAGTTAAGCAGACTTGTCAAGAATAGGTGAGTTAGCTGTTCAGAATAAACTACCAAACTTTGGTGGCTGTCGCCAAATGTAACCGATTTGTGCACACTAGGCCGAAACAGGACCCCGCTATCATCGAGATGAAGCGACTAACAACGCTTGGTCTGAGCCACGATGATTCACAGGCAGTCATCATGTTTGAAGGCTTGAGTCTATAGTCATTCTCGAAATCGGCTTGACCAATACACACTGCGTAACTCTTTCCGGGCCCCACCGCTAAGCCCTTAGCGCAGATCATCTATTGAGGGGGCCTCATTAAATTGAGGGACATCTCAAAATGCACCTTGTACTGTATAGTAAGTGGTTCGTAATATTACATATTATGTACGAAAAGTCCGTAAAATTCTATAGCGGACCTCTGCAGATCGGACTTAGCAAGTGCCACCTAATAATAATGTATAATAATGTCTTATTACCAGCACATGCCTCGTAGCACTAGCTTTTCATTTCAACCGCACGATAGACATACAGGTGATGTCATTAAGCTCGGATCCATTTTCGGCCCGTCAACCCAGGGGCTTGCCCACTGCGGTACCTAGACTAAGTCCACGTAGCACACATTCAGACAACCACTCCACTTTGTATCGAGAGACGGCTATGCTCCCGAACGCAAGCTCACAATGGCTAGTGGAGCCGTCTATAAGAATGACAGTGAGATTATGTATCACGATGCCTGGACTGCGGATAATTTAATAGTATTATCCCTTTTTCCAAGTCTCGCCTGCCACTTGCAAGAGCAGTCCTAATTCCGTACAGGTTGAGGCTCGCACGAAAGGCACCGGGGCGCGAATGACCTTCCTACTGTCGTATAATGGGGGCGCAGAAGTTAGCCGGCTGTCTCACCATATGGGTTTCTCAGTTATCTATGAACTTAAGTTGGAAGATATCGAGGCCCCAGGCTGGGAGTGAAGAAGCGAGAAGGATTTAGAGCGAGTACCCCGAGCTAGCGAGGAAAGCATGTACCTCTACGGTTGAGCAGATTAGAGAGAAGAAGACTGATGGACACCTGAAAGAGTGGGAGAAGGTGAACTAGTTTACACTTTTGGACACTGGTGTCATCATCTACACCCCTTATAGTAAAAGCGCTGGGAATAGACCTACAGTCAAGAAAATGGATATCATTTTTTCAAAATTTGCTACATGTTTATGCCACAGATCAAGAATGCGTCTTGACTATAATTCATGAAGACTGTCAAGGATTATCAGTACTTAATAGATGGGACTGTTAAACGAATTTGCTTGATGTTCTTTTCTTTTGACGCTATATGACCGTGTATTTACTAAACTATGACAATATCCCCAAAAGAAAATGCGGTTTTTTTATATTAAAAACATAAAAGAGATATAGCTAGTCAAGAAAGACTCAAGAAAGACACAAGAAAGAGAAGAGATCAATTTAGAAACAATGAAAGACACACCGAGAGACACAACGTCAGTGATATTAGTTTTAACAACCACAATGCGAGGCGCCACAAGACTAGAAGTCAAGCAAACGCGTAACCAGGTCGAGAACCCAGCAAAATACTAGCAATCTAAGGATTTCCCTGTGAGCTCGCATCAGTCTCCTTCTTCTTCTTGTTCAAGTTGTTCCACCCTGAGTTAACTGAGATCAAAGCCGCAATAGCCGCGAGCACAGTCGACAAAAGAAAACAGTCCTGCAGAGCAACCACATAGCCATTCAATATAATAGTAACCTGCTCACCCGCGAACACATCTCTCAGCTCCGTTGCGCCAGTTTGGATAATCAGAGCAGGACTCAGATCTGGTGCACGCTTGAGGACTTCTTTGAGAAGCGTGTTGCTGAAAACAGCCTGGGCAGCCTGCACACACATAGCACCGCCCATGCATTGGAATAATAGTACGCCTGCTGAGATGATAGATAGGTCTTGGACTTCAACGACAGCTTGTCCTGCCATGATGGGAACCTGAATGCAGAGTCCGACGCCAATACCTGCGAGGGCTTGGTATCCGATCCACGCGCCCGAGTTGGAGTGGAGGTCAAGAGTGTAAAGGAGACCGCTGGCGATGGTGATCATGACGGATCCCACTGTGAGAAGGGGCAGGTAGTACCCTATCACGCCGAGAAGAGCGCCAGAGGCCACAGCAAACAGACCATTCCCAAGCACCAGGGGGAGAGTGCGCACTCCCGAGCTTGCAGCAGAGGCATTTTTCACGGACTGGAAGTAGTTTGGAAGATAGTAGAGCAGCAGATAGAAAGAACCGGAGAGAAAGAAGGTGAACATTGAACAGAAAAGAATGGTGCGTTGCTTCATCAGCCGCGGCGGGATCATGGCTTTATCCTTGAGGAATGCTTCGTTGACGACGAAAAGCACAATAAGCATGACAAAACCGACTAATGTCCCGATCACCTTGGAGTTGCTCCAGGGATAAGATGCCCCACCCCATTGGAGCGCAAGAAGGTAGCAGCAGATTGCACCGAGGAGGAGAGTGATGCCGGAGAGGTCCATCTGCAGGACGATTTCTTTCCAAGTCGTGTTCTTTGCCTGTGCCTGTGGCGGAGAATGGAAGAATAGAACAATCAGCCCGGCTGCAACACCACCAATGGGTAGATTGACCCAGAAGCACCAGCGCCAGGTACTGTGTTCTGTGAACGCGCCACCAATAAGGGGACCGGCTACACTGGCGATAGCAAAGCTAGCCCCAATGATACCTGTCATCGCAGCTCGCTTTTCGGGTCTTGCAGTGAATGCTAAGATGGTATACGAGCCGGACGAGATACCTGCGGCACCCAGACCGGCAATAGCCCGGCCAACGATAAGAGTCACGGAATTCTGAGCAACAGCACAAATAAGAGATCCGACCTCGAAGATAAAGATTGACGCAATATAGCTCGTCTTGAGCGGAAAGTAGCGATAGACTTTACCCCAGGATCCCTGGAAGGATGCGAGCGTGAGGAAGAAGGCGGATCCATACCATCCCATATCTGCCACTGTATGGAACTCATCGGTTATACGAGGAATGGCAGTCGAGACGATAGTAGTATCAAGCGAGATGAGGAAGATAGCGGCAACCAAGCCAATCATAATAACGGTAAGAGCGGCCCCTGACGGGTATTTCATCTCATCTTCTGGTTGCGATTCGCCCTTCGTTGTGGAGTTTGAGCCGAGAGGCCCAGGCCTAGAGGATGGGTCGAACTTGGGTTCGCCATTGGTAGAGAAATCCATGGCGTGCCAAAAAAAAAGGGTCAAAATAATGCTCAACGATGTATCTAAGGTAGCAAGAGGAATATGGTTGAATAAAGGAGGAATAACCTGAGCAGTAAAAACAGCTCGTTTATGTATCTGGGATGGAGACATAAATTACTAGGGGCTAGAACAAGTCTCCAGCGTCCATTAGTTATCCGGAGCTTCTAGGCCTACACCTCCTAACAAAGAGCAGAATTGATTAGATGAGACAGCCGTTCCAGGACTGTCGAAATTAATAATTGGGTGACATCCTTTATTGCATAATTAACGCGTATGATGACTGGTTCAAGGACGTTTGACCTCTTTGGCTGGTTGAGGATCCATCAAAGAAAGTCTCCGCTAAAGTCTCCGGAGGATACTCGCCAACACACCTTGTATCGACGCCCACCGGAAACAACCGCACATATGGCTACTAGATTATTACATCCATGGCCTTTTAAAAAATACCACAATCAGAGGAGATTCGAGAGTATGAAACAAATTGTCGCATCCTGATGTTGGAGAGAAGGGGGGGTTTCTAGACAACACGGTTTATTCCCCTGGCTGAGGCATACGGTCCGTGTCCCTTTGGGGTCTTTGCGACGCGGGAAATCCCTGTTTAGAGCTCGGATGCTGTGAGTGGGATCTAGGTGTCGGGTGGTTTCACGGTAATCGTGAAGGAGATGTTGTATTCGAACATATTGCGCTGCGTTTGCGGGAGCGGCGGTGGTTATGACGACGACGATGATCCGGATAATGGTCTGTCTAGGGGGTGGATGGGATGGGGGCAATTTGTACGAGGATGGTCTATAGTCTATACTAGAACGAAGATGGGAAGGAAGAGGAATGAAAAGACAAAGAGAGAAGAACATCAACTAAACCTCATACTTAAAGCCCGCGATTCCATCTTTTTGATCGGTCCACAAGTTTCTGCTCTGTCAGACTGTCACCAACGGGATGTCTCCGTCTACTACAACATTATTTGCTGGTCAACAGATTCAGGGTTCTAGTGAGAATACTCGAGGGGCTTACATGGAAAGCCTGAATTGAATTCTAGTGACAGGCGGGTCATATTACTACATAGAAGGCACTTAATGAACAAATTGTTTTAATTGAATGCTTGTTATCTAACCGTCTACCTACAATACATATCCATCGGTCACATCGACCATCGGCTGAGCCTGCAGCTGGGTAACAAGGCCACCAGCGGTCAAGGAGCCCATCGAGATAGCCGGTGTGACGGCCTTCAAAGGCGTGGCACAATCACCAACCGCAAATACGCCAGGGACACTAGTCTCGTAAAAAGGCTGCAAAGTCTGGATATCGCCGCCTTCCGTCAGAGGCAACGAAAGCTGGTTGGCAAAGGGGCCATTGATTTCGGTCTTGGGATTGTAGATCTAGAGCCCCACCGGATTAATCATTCATTCAGTCATTGCTGGTCTGTGGCAGGAAACTCACCAAGAAGCCTTCTTGTTTCGTGTTCGCGTCATCAAAGTGAACGATAACGGTCTTGCCTGTTTCCCCTTTCTCGAACCGGGTAATAGGACGAGCATCTATCTCAAGCCATTGCGCATCGCTGACGGTGCTCTGGAGATCATCCACAAGATATGTGTTGCCGTTAGTATAGATAGTGACCGACTGCGAGAGCTGGTGAGCCATTCGCGCCAGGTGCACTGCACGTTGAACGTTTGCGATCGGTCCAACGCCAAGAACGCCGACCGTAGCCTGGCCACGCTCCTCGTAGCCGTCGCAGAAGAGACAGTGGTATCTGGTGTAGCTTATTAGTTGACCGATTCTTTGTTCCACCAGCATAGGGTTACTTACATTCCGTTCGCCCAGCACTCATCATACCCTTCGATGTCTAGTGGAATATCGCGGACGCCAGTTGCTAGAACAACCTTGCGGCCATACCATTGCTTTCCTGCCTCATCTTGAGCGACAAACAGCTGCTTCTCATCAAGCCTTTTGATCGATTCAATGGTAGAATTCTCAAATGAGATCGTGCTGTATCGCTCGGTGAGTTGAGCACGGCCAGCATCCCGTAGTTCAGCAGGGTTCCTATGATCCCAGCCGAGAACATTGTGCATATGGGAAGTTCTAGCATTGCGATAGAGGCCTGAATCAAAGACAACAGCAGAGTGCAGCTGGCGAGCGAGACCGGTGGCGGTTGATAGGCCTGATGGCCCGGCACCGATGATCAGCACATCAACTAGGAGAGCGCCGTTTGCGAGAAGTTTTCCAGCCATTAATGCTGATTCTGGGGGTTTATGGTAGGAACGTTGGGGCTGCATTAGGTGTGTGAGCAAATTTATAGCTTATAGGGACGGTGGTATGTTACCTTGGTGGTCGGAGACATTCTGAGCGGCGGCCCAAAAAAAGTATCCGATCCGCGCAAAGAAAGTCTATCCCGTAGGGAAATTGACTGCAGTTTAGTCAGCACCGTTAACTTAGTAACTGGTTAACTAACTATCTGAAAGACTTTTATTCTGTATTTTCTATTCTCTATAGAAATTGGAATTGATAGTCTCTGGAGAGGTTAGGAAAGATCTAGCACTGGTGAATAAACGCAAATGTGTGACCAATACGAGGGTATATCTAACGTGCGGTTGAAATGAAAAGCTGGTGCTACGAGGCATGTGCTGGTAATAAGACATTATTATACATTATTATTGGGTGGCACTTGCTAAGTCCGATCTGTAGAGGTCCGCTATAGAATTTTACGGACTTTTCGTACATAATATATAATATTACGAACCACTTACTATATAGTACAAGGTGCATTTTGAGATATCCCTCAATTTAATAAGGCCCCCTCAATAGATGATCTGCGCTAAGGGCTTGGCGGTGGGGCCCGGAAAGAGTTACACAGTGTGTATTGGTCAAGCCGGTTTCGAGAATGACTGTATCACTCTTCTAGATAGAGTTTTGGATTGTTCCTCGAACTTTTTTTTTTTCGTGGGGATTCTTCATTACACATGGGAGGCATCCACGTGGACTGTATTGACCCGAGAAGTGTATGGTCAAACAGCGCGATGACAGCGTTCTACACATCGGATTAAAAAAGTTTTAGACCGTATATTTTGTTTTGGGTTGGTCTTCTAGCACATGCGACCATAGGGTGTGAAGAACAGGGCTTCCCGTCCGCTCAGCCGTACTTAAGCCCATTATAGTACGCGGGCAATTCTCAATGCGCCCTGAGATCTCAAATGGCGTCAGATTTGATCTTAAGGGTGAGCGTGGGTGATGTGGGTGAGAAGTTTGGAGACTGGGGTGATAGAGGTGAGAACGGGGTGAGAGCGGGTGAGAACAGGGCGAGGATTCTCTCCCAGATCTCCCACTCTCCCACTTTTACTTGACTCCGGGCCATAAATATGAGCCCTAGGGCGTATATATGATCTGCTGTTCTTATTTTCTTAACGCTTAGCCATTCGAAGAGTCAACTGAGCCTAAATGACCCTCGAGGATGCTCATAAGTACGCCCGTTGCCGTGTCCCAGAGACATACTGTATTTTCACTGGAACCAGATGCTAACAACCAGCCGTCGGACGAGAAGGCTACCGCCTCAACCGAGCTGGAGTGATCCTCGAAAGCCTACGTGAGTGCACCTGTCGTCAAGTCCCAGAGGCGAAGTCTGATCATGGGAGGCAGATGCTAATAGCAGGCCAACAGGCGAAATCGCCACTCACTGACTCTATTGAACCTGAATGACCCTTGAGAACGTGCGCGAGCACGCCTGTGGGGTGCCCCATAGGCACAGTATCTTATCAAGAGAGCCAGATGACGCCAACAGCTGCCATCGGGCGACTCGGGGCAAGAAGGCCAGCGAATTGACCGAACCTGAATGGCCCTCGAAAATCTGTAATTCTGCGCTCCATCCTCCCTCAGCTCGCGGTAACTGGCATATCCAAGCACGAAGCTCTGTTCGGAACTCTATAGATTTTGGATGTTCTTGGTGCAAATATAAGTCCTGAAAAATAAAGCTGAAGGGGCGCCTCATCAGAAATCAGCCGATTCTTAGGGTCAAAGCGCTTTTCATCATATAGATGCTTCTAGCTAGCGATCAGAATTAAGATAGCCGATCCAAAGTGAAGATCTGGAAAAAAATCTTGTACGCCCATTTTCGAATCACTAGAATCAACATCGACAAAGCTATGTATTGCCTAAAATTCGTTAAGGCTAGTCTGGGGATCGATAAGTGACGTACTAGAATTCCATAAAACTGAGTTCCTCGACGAGGATTCTATCCTTGTTCAGGAATCAAGATAGATGCGTGAAGCAGAGCTTAGACACACGCCATCATGTCAAAGCTGCTGTGCAGGCGGATTTATAACCGCAGGGGTAAACCAAGTAGATCTGGATCTGCCAATAAGCTAAGTCGGTCATTCAAAATAAGAGGAATGAAGTTAATGAAAGCAATATTGCCGGCACACTTGCCTATATCGCTCAGGCTGTGCGTTGCTAGCAAGGTGCAGACTCCTGCCCTAATCCAATAAGTTAGCTACGTTAGGACCTGTGCTCTTGACGATTTCCCCAAAACTATGGAATATATCAGATGCTTGAGTACTATAAATATGCGATTCCGACTAATTTGATTTCCAAGCCTCGCTACTATCTGGAAAAAACGCTAGCTTTGACTCATCAAGAAGAGAAGTAGTAAACCCCCTCCCACAATAACAACGTACAGTTTGGAAGGCTCTATAATACTCATAGTGAAAACAGGGATTTAGAAACAAAACAGCAATAGTTAGGTAATTCTGGGTTACTTAGGGCCAGAGGGCCATCTTGGAGTTAAATGCAAGTCGTGCGTTATTAATTATTGAAAAGTTTGAACTTCTCGTATAGTATCCTGGCGAAGGATGTTATCAGTATGGTGACGGACTTTGTAGTAATTCAGATTCGCTCACCTTGATCGTTTGAACTGCCTGATTGTCCTCTTTGTGCCGCTGGAAGGCGTTCATCGCCAATGCCAACTTGCTGCGTTGGCTTGAGAGCACTTGCTGTTATCGGGCTGAGTTACTGATTCGCAGAACCATTACGAATCCAGTGGGATATCCTACCTCTTCAATTGTGCCCCTCATAATATATCTATGGATAAAAACCTCTTTTCTCTGGCCAAGGCGAACCACCCTGCCAATGGCTTGTTTTTCGGTCATCGGATTCCACTGTGGCTCTAGGATGTGCACTCGATTCGCAATGGTCAGATTTAAGCTGTCGATTTGGTTAGAATATGACATGTTAGGTGAGGATTTTGCAGAGTGAATAACCACTAACCCTACGGCTCCAGTGCCTATAGTCATGAGTAGTATATTTTGCTGCGGGTCTGTGTTGAAAGTCGTGAGGGTACGCTGCCGCTCAGTACTGCGCACGGCGGCATCGATGCGGCAATGTCTAATTCTGTGGTCTTGTAACATGAAAGAAACAGCGTCCAGCGTCTTCTTCCACTCCGTGAAGATTATGCTAGATCTCCTGTTAGAGAAATAAAGGAAATCTGAGAAGGAAAGGGGTACCATTTGTCTCCAGCCGGCTGCTTGAGAATTTGTTCCAGTAATGAAACGAGTTTAGTCGAATGTGGCGGAAAGGAATAAGTCTTGAGTAGCTCGCTCGTGCTCAGTATGGATCCAGGCTGATGTTGTGGGAGATTCGAGTGGCAGGGAATGTTTGAAGAACTGTGGTTATTCACTTGGTATATTGGAGAGGTGGTGGTATTCAAGCTCTGTTCATGTTGGTCACGCTTCGCTGATGTGATACAGAGACAGCAGAGAAATTTCCCAAATGGCGCAAACGCCGCAGTCTTCGTCAGAAAGCCCCCTTCGTCAATTCCGTGCTCGAGCAATTGGGCATCAGGGACAAGGTGATTGGCCTGGAAGGGACTCTCGAAAGCTTGAAGAGCTCGCTCATTTGAGATAATCTGCTGTGAACCCATGATAGCTTGTTGAGCGCCTTGTTCTGTACTTATCTTCGTAAAGCTAGAGGAGGTATCATTTTATCAGCGACTCCATGTATATATCAGCAATTTGCAAAGTTTTACTTAAAGCGTTGGCCACTATCTGTGACTGGAAAATCCTCTACAGCTGTATTTTAAGGTTCATTGGCTTCATCCAAAAGGCCTTCGAGCTCACCACTGAGAGATGATGTGTTCTGTTCGTTCTATACTTGAGTTTCACTCTGATCAGATTGGGGCAGCTTTGAACAAACTATATCCCGGCTACCCTCTTCCATGAGGAGGTGGAGATCTCTAGCAGGGGGGAATCAGGGCTTGGGCTTACTGTGTCTGCAGGGTTCCGAGCCAACCGGAAGTGGTTGGATTCTTTTTTTTTTTCAACAATGGTGCAACCAGCAATACCGCAGTCGGCTACCGCAATTCCTTGCTTGCGTCCCCCTAGTCTCATTCCAGGCTTTTAGGAGTGGAACACACTAAGAGAGTCCGAGAACTAAGTGCCGATTTCTGCCAAGCTGGATAAAAGGATTCCATACCTTGAATTCACCTCGGAAACACCCGTTCAGCTTACTTAACAATATAGATCAATTGTGAATGCGTAGCAACAGACCCGGTGTGTTCGGCGTGCGGCGTTCGGCGCTCAGTGCTTCGCCGCCGATTGACCCTTCGTCCATTAGGATGTGGTACGCCTTAGATGGAACCTCTACGGAGAGCTTTGGTTTTGATTGACTCGCCCCACAGCCGGAGCCGGATACGCGCAGCGGAAACCTTTCAATATTCTAGTATCGGTGGTTCATGTTCAATAACTAGGTTGGTTTGATTCAAATGGAACCAACCTAGTGCTTATCAGTATGCCCTCAAGCGTAGAACGGCGTATAAGGACCTAGATCCTGATGTTGATTCGCTGGAAGGCTTGCGGTATCCAATACATAGCAATAGCTTTTGATATCCCGTCTAGCCCCCGTGAATAGAACAGCCGAACCGTTCCGAAGTATTTCAAATTGACAGCTTAAACCACTTTCCGCTCCGCTTTGTAAGCGGGACGCAATACTTCGAAGAGTTTATCGGGCCGAAGCAGGCTTATAATGGTGGTAAACAGATTCATCGCGATGACACCAGAGAGATCTACCTGCAGGGTGGATCGCCTGGTAGGCAAGGAGAGTTCAACTAGACCTGACTACCCATTGGAGAAATACTACCCACACGAACGCGAAGTTTCCCCTATTTTTGGGTTTAAAGTCTATCCCTTCGTTTTTCAATGCTTTTTTAATCCGTGAATTCTGTTCCGTGGACGTCGTCGAAATCTTGCAATTACGGTCCAACAACCACCATAAGGTTCTCATTTCTATTTTACCTTGCAAAACTACATATTCTCATTCCTGCCCAGGGATCTCAAACAAAAGAGTTTGAGCTTAATCTCGCCTGGGAATCGAGGGCATCTGATAGAGTCGAGCGTCCACAAGCTTTAATCAATGGCCAGTTTCCCGGACCCCCTCTGATCCTGGACGAGGGCGACAGTGTTGAGGCGGTAGTGAATAATCTTATGCCCTTTGATACCACGGTGCACTTTCACGGAATTGAGTGAGATCCACGGACATAAACACGGGCCAATAGCTAACAAAATGACAGGCAACAAGGGACACCGTGGTTAGATGGTGTGCCTGGAGTTTCGCAAAAGCTTATTCTCCCGGGCAGAACTTTCACTTCTAGGTTTACCGTGGCCCAATATAGAACATACTGGTATATTCAAGAGTAGCCTGCTAGTCCTAACACAAGATCTATCTTGCTGATAGCTCCAAGGTATCACTCACATTCTGCAGGGCAGATCATGGATAGCCTATACGGGCCGATTTTTATCAGGTGTGTTTATTACCTAATAGTAACAGGTAGAAGCTTTGCGAGCCTCTAAATACTATTTCGCTAGGCCGCGACAGCTGGGCACGAGTCTTCCAAATTTGATTGTGAATGATACTTGGGCGCAAACTCAAATATACAATGCAATCAAAGCCCCCTAACTGCTCATGATATCTGATTGGTTTCATATGACCTCAGAAGAGATTCAGGAGGTCGCAATCTCTGTAGATATTAATACACTATGAGATGAGCAGAAATCTTGGTTTGAAAACAACTAACGAGGACCCAGGTGCGCGGACTCCATATTAATCAACGGCAAAGGCCGTATGAACTACCGCAACTCTGAATATTTGAGTAGCATGGTTCCCCCATCACTGTCGTCTGTACTCCAGGGTATGAACTATATAGCGAAAGGGTATGTGGACCATCGGGGATTTTGTTAATCGGAAGGACTAATCCGGACAAATGTAAAGATGTATTCCTCTTGGAAATACTTATGCTCAAACGAGTTTTGCGCACAACTATAGTGCTGTTCCACCGGCCATGTTTGATGAATGCAATGCCACAAATTCGACGGAGGAAGTGATCATAGTCGACCCTTCATATAGCTAGGCAAGTCTAAATTTTATCGGTTCGGCATCTATTTCGGCTCCAACGGGTGTGTTATACGGCGCTTGACCTGGAATATCTAGCTAACCTAGATAGTTTCGATTAACAACCACTCTCTATAGCTATATGAGGTTGATGGGCAATATATAAAGCCCCTCAAAGTTAATGTGTAATATCCGATGAACTTTTTTGTTATTCATCATACTAACAACGCTCTACTCCGCAGGCGCTAACAATCAGCAACGGTGGCCGCTACTCTTACTTGATTCAACTCACAAATACTCCAGGCGACTACCCGATCACGGTAGCCAATTCTGGGTTCAATCAGAAGATTTCAGGCTTCGGCGTTCTTTCCTACATCAACGGGGGCCCCTCCGTGGCATACAGTCCTCTATCAACTACGGCGGAATCAGCACCAGTACAGATGTTATCACCCTCGATAAGGCTTCGATTGAGCCGCTTGTTCCCGGAAGACCTAGTGAGGAAGTAGATGCAACCTACGTCCTTACAATAGGTCGTGTCGAAAAGGCCTGGAAATAGTCCCTGAACGGAAACCATTCCTATAGCCTCTCTCTGGAAGCGGAGAATCCCATTATCTAGAACCCCGAAGCGCATATAAACAGTAGCCTAGTCATTGCTACAAAGAACAACACGTGGGTGGACATCATCTTCGCGGTATCTAGAGACACGTCTACGGTCCAGCCGAGTCATCCAATTCACAAACACTCGAACCCGGTGTATGTTCTCGTGAGTCTCGTGTTTGATTGTTGAAGGAGTTAAACTTCTTTCTGAATTATCGGTTCCAGGGTTCCGGCCGCGGCTCTTTCAACTGGCCTTCTGTCGCCAAGGCCAGTGAGGATCGTCCAGAAATGTTCAACTTGGTCAATCCTCCAATGAGAGGTTTGTATCATAACACCCCGTTCAAGTTCACGTCCTGCGGCTGTCCACTAATCCATGAAGTTCACAGATACTTTCACAACCCTTCCTGCCATCCAAGGTCCAAGCTGGCTGGTAATTCGCTACCATGGTGAGAATTATTGCTTTCTGCTGGTGAGTGTAGCGCTAAATGGCTTTCTTCTGACAGTGACAAACCCCGGGGTAAGGCACAAATCGATCTAATAGATCTCGCAAAATCGTTTTGCTAATCGAACAGGCGTTTATGCTTCACTGCCATATCGATCCTCATCTTACTGGAGGAATGGGGTAAGTGAGAGCATCCTGACAGAGCCTTTTGAGTGGTGTGTGGTAACCAAATCTTTTAGACTCGCGATTTTGGACGGTGTAGATGCATGGCCTCGTATCCCAGTCCAATATGGCCCGGATTACCAATGAAATAACGGGGCTAGAGGGATGGCTCGTGTAGTGTGCATAAAACGCAATACATTACCCCTTCATGAGCTCGCTCTAGATATATGCTGCTATAACTACAGCAGTGCTACCCCGCCCGGGGACGGCTGGACAATGGTTGCCAGTTTACTAGATAGCAGCTCCATGAAGTTCGCAATGCAATCTCATGTTCGGTCGTACTACGACGTAGAAAATTCAAACAGAATAATTGGTAGTTTAGAGAAAGTCGATGATTCTTTCTAGTGAGGTATAGGAAGCTATAATAATAGAATGAAAGCCTAGATAATAACTAATGAGCGTAGTTCTTCGTCTAGATAGGCTGAGAATATTTCCGATAGGATTTTCATTTATGATCTGCACCAGCCGAAGAACATAAAACGCCCCCTTTCGTCCGATCTAACTCACCAACCACCTCGTGCTACAGATGGTAGACGCGCTTCAACTGCCGGAGATAGGATGTTGAACACTTTGAGAAGCGCCTTCAAGCCAGCCTACTAACAAAATTACTAACCCACGAGGATCCGCTGCAATTGTATCTGCTATTCGCGTTTCACAAATTCCTCATACTCCCCGCTCTATTCTTTGCCCAATTTTTACTTCCTTCGAAATGACCCTTGGCCCTGAGGTCGTTTTGAATTTGAAATAATATGGAAAACGCTTTGTTGCAAAACTTCAAGTATATATAGAATCAACGGCTCCGAGTATCACTAAAGTGTTCCCACAAACAGGTTGTTAGGTCATGATATTAATATATATACATTCACTCCGAGCTATTTGTGCACATATTCCTAGTGAAATGGCTTGTAGTCCCTGTATGACCGCAGCATCTGGTCCAAAGTCTCACTGACAATAACGCTATGGCGATAATTATTAGGAGCCTCCAAAAGCCGATCCCGAATCCAGCCGCTGTAGATAGGATCATGTGTCTCAATAGCCGCCATCTCAAGCCCCCACGAAAAAGGAGACATATTCCTTTTGTCGTGGGCATAAGTCTCATATGCGATATGGAGTATGGTAGAGAGGGCTTCAAGATGTGACACCTCCATAAGGCTATCTTGGTATAGCATGCGCCGATGAAAAAGCAGGAGACCTGAGTAGTGCACCACCGCGAGCTGGGCTGTATAGAGAGCCCGACCCACAGGAGCACGGTAAGTTCGCTTTGCCATGATGAAGATGTCGTTGTAACTCTGCTTTTTGTAAGAACATATTATCGTAACGGAGGGTTGACAAATGGACAGAGCTGACCTGTCTCATATGCTGCAATCGACAAAAAGTTTCATCCTCCGTAAGAGGCAATTTTCTGTACTCTAGATCCGGTGTAGACCACATCTGACACACCCTGGAACGGAGAGAGAAAGATTCGTGTAGTAACTCAAGGGTGCGATAGTTTTCCAAGTCGTCCAACCATTCGTCTTGCGGGTACTCGCTCCCCCAGCACTGCAAATGGGCCTTTCGGGCAGTTCGGACAAGGAAACAGTCAGGACTTCTGACAGAATGATATAATTTAGTGATAAAGCTGTCTGGGGCGGTGTGGAGACCGCTTCCGAGACTAATGTAGCTGCCATAAAGTCATTTTGTTGTCCGGATATAAGATTGGGTGGGATAGGTAAATAAGCCTCACAATATCCAAACCAGCAGTAGTGCAGAGAGAGAGGAGAACGGCTGGATCTCGGCTTCAGCCATCTCATTCTCATCTGATGGCAGCGACTTATTCCTGCCGAGGGCTGAAATGTAGTTTCCAGACTCCAGCAGAGCTTCAACACCCTTCAGGTGAACCGTAAGATGTTGATTGGAATAACCAAGCTTCAGCTCATAATGTGCCATCAAGAAGAGACAAGTAAGACTTGAGTCCAAGTCTGGCTTCACATCTTGATCGAGCAAGAGATTCAACTCGTTAAGTGCAATGCCATAATTTCGAGCCGCATGTTGCGAGGCCGGACGCAAATATGAGTGCCCCAGGTTCTGTAATTCACTCGCCGACGAAGCAATTATCATATACATTATGGCTGCATTTCGAGGAGCCAGTTTATGGTAGATATATGCAAGACAGCTCCATTTCCAGGGCTTTCCGGTCCAAGCGACAAGGTTTGAAGAAGAGAAGTATTCTAGACACTGGCGGTCTGTCGATGAAAGAAGTAAAGAGTTCGCACACGGAATATGGCTAGTATCCAACACTGGGAGTATTGGCCCTAAAAGAATTGATCTCAACATGGGCATCTGGTGAAGGGACTATGCTGTAACGGGCGCACCTAGGATCCCCAGACAAGAGGGGTGACTCAGGAGAACCTTGGGTCTTATAGGCCGCGGGTGTGCAAACCCGTGTGCAGGTTGATTGTGTGACTTAGTCTGTTTAGGTGTTCGAATTGTCCGCTGCTTCCGGATTTGAGGAATCCAGCTGCATGATAGAGTCAAACGATGACAGGTATTGCAAATTGGACGCCGTTCGTCGCATTTTACCTTGCGTTCTCGACAGGTGGTGCAACCTGTCCTTGATCTTTGTGGCATGGATTGCGTAGTCTTCGCGACGAGGGAAATATAACTTTCTGGTGCGTATGCAGCCAAGAGGGAAAGAATCATTGAAGTGTAATGACGCTTAAGTAGTAGACCAAAACATGTGGGGGTGTGGATGTGGAGAAAGAAGAAGAGAGAAAAGAAGGGTGTACGAAGATATGCCTCATGAACCGAAACGAGACTAGTTGCGGGGAGCCGTAAACACAACGATAAGCGTTTTCCCCTGATTGGCCCATGGTGGACCGACTTCCCTATTCCTGAACCAGGCTACGGCATACAATTTGATCCGTTTTTAATGTAGGCTGGAAAATACGCTGGAGTTTTAAACACAATGTTGGCTAGGCCAGCAAAGCACTAGAAACAGATAAATAAATGATTGATCATAGGTATGTACGGCGTCAAACAGACCTTGACGTGGCCAAGGCTGAAGAATTGAGCACTACGTAAGGTCCAAAACATGATCATATGACTTCTCTTAAGTTCTGGCCATCTCCTTTTGCCAATTTGAGTACACTGCCTGGAACACTTCATCTTTCGTGGCGACATCAAATCCTACCAGCGCCAATGTCTTGCCAGTAATGATTGCACTTTCATAAGCTGCATCAGTTCCTGCTGCATCAGTGAAGTTGGCACTATGAGGTGATACTCCTTTCGCACATGGAATTCCAAACAGAGCATGCAATGCCGGAACGACGTAGCCGACATTTCCTTCCGATAATTAGCATCATGATTTACGAGGTATATTGGAGTAACATACCGACGTCGGATGAGCCGGAGGCAACCTGATCCCGAATTTTGAGCACACCCTTCCCATACGCCGCGATATTTTCCTGATATCTCTCACACAGTGTCTCATTCACCGTGACATCTGCATAGTATGGTTCTCTGTTTTCAATTCATCAGCGCCTGTAAGTTTCAAGTCTGTCAGCCATGAAAGGTAAACATACTTCTGAATATCAACCTCACACCCCGTTGCCGTTGCTGCAGCCTTCGCGCAGTTAATGACCCGCTCCACTAGTGCCTGTAGCCCATTGAGATTCAGACTGCGGGCCTGAAGTGCCACCCGCGCCTGAGCTGGGATCACGTTGATAGTCTTCTCGCCATCTAGAAAGACCGCATGTATGCGTTCATCAGGAAGGATTTGCTGCCGCAAAAGGGAGATGTTGTTATATGCTGCAACTGCTGCATCGAGTGCATTAATTCCCATCCATGGAGTTCCTCCTGCGTGGGTATTTTTCCCTCGGAACTCGACCTCGATATACTGGCGTGCGATCATTCTACAACCTGCCACTCCTTCGATTCCGGCAGCCTTGTGCTCTGCATAAAGAGGGCTGGGATGACTGAGCAGACATTCAGCGTGTCAGCAGGTTGGACGAGGCGTGAAAAAGGAAATAGTGAATACATACGCCATCAAAGAAACATCTACTCCCTTGTACGCTCCACCATCCAGAAGCATAATCTTGCCACCTTTTCCTTCTTCATCCGGGGTGCCGAGGAGCTGGGTCCGACCTGGGATGTTGAATTTCTTCAAGACGGTAGAAAGGGCATGGAAGGCTGCAATAGAGCTTGTGGCTATGAGGTTGTGGCCACATGCGTGCCCGATCCCAGGGAGACAGTCGTACTCGGCGTTGTAGTTGATAAGTCTCCCACCAGAGCCACTCAGAACCTCAAAGGCAGTTTCTATTCCATACGCATGACGCTTTACATCATAACCGAGAGACTCGAAGAACAGACATATAGAGTCATGCGCAAGAACTTCTTTTTGACCAAGCTCAGGGTTCGACCAGATCTGATCGCTAATTGTCAGCATTTAATTTGTCAACAAGTCCACTCAGCAGGAAATGAGAGATCATACAGTTCTGTTCAGTACTTGAAGATGCTTTTCGACTGCTTCGATAGCAGCATCTACCTCTACCTGAACTTCCTGTGCAGAAAGTGGGCTCTGAGAAATATTGCCCATTTTGGTTTTGTTTTCGTGCCTGTTTTGCGCCTGCGGTTGATCCGCCTGTTGTTTAGATTTTGATTGACGCAAGATGGCCACTGCTTCTTATATCCTTTCTTTTGAGGCATAATCGGCTGGGTGGTAGCATAAGGATAATCGGTGGTAGCATAAAATTAATCCTGCTATTTGAGGCCTAAGTCAAAAGCGGCTAGAACAACGATAAGACCACTGGCACTAAAACGTGACCCTTCATCTGATTGGACAACTTTACTCCCGACCGGAGACTTTGATTGGATGGACTCAAGACTTCTAACCGAGAACCAATCGACTGCCTCAGCTAGTATTAGAACTCACAGTATCAGAGCACGCTCATGCCCTTGACATGATTAAAGTTGATATTATAAATCTATACACGAATGAGCTCTCATGGTCATGTTTTCCGCGGGAAAAGCAATCTGAATTTTCCTATCAAAGATCGACCAGACCATTCCTTGTACCTATCTCAAAATCTCCGAGGCAGGGTTGGTCCTCGCCTCGCGTTGCCCAGAACAACATGGTGTTTCTGAATTTTACTTCATATCTAATCAGTTGTTGGATAGATAGGATTTTACGTTGACTTTTTTAGTCTATCATGGCCTGGGCCAGATAATCTAGCGCCTTCTTTCAAGTTTCAAATCAACCAATCGTGTCGAGCTTTCACAGAGCTCACATTCATAGCACGGCTGCAGCCATAGAACTTCCTTATGATAAGAGAATATAAGGAGGGAGAAGAAGATAGGGAAATCGGTATTACTTTACTCATGATAGGCGAAACGCCACACTTCGATTCTCATTAAAAATCCTATTTGTGAGAGTATCTAAAAGAGGGAGCGAGTCCTCTCGATCATTTATCACAAAGTTCCCTTTTGTGGAACGATTCGTAACCATGGCCGATATGTTGAAGACACCGGATATTTCAGAAGCCCCAGAGAAGAACAACAATGATCCCGACTTGGGAGAAGTCTGGGAAGTTCTTGATCCTGCGGAGGAGCGGAGGCTTGTGAGAAAGATTGATTTCAGGCAAGTAATAACTCCCACATGGTGCAATGAGCTCTATTGATAGGCGAAAAATCTAACATAATTCGAGAAAGCCAGAATCCTTCCTTTGATGCTCGTTGCATACATGCTCCAATTTCTCGATAAACAGACATTGAGCTCATCTACAATTATGGGCATAATAACAGACCTCAAATTGCATGGCTCTCAGTATAGCTGGGCTTCGAGCTGCTTCTATTTTGGCTATCTTTTTGCAACATACCCGGTTTCGTTGATCTTAATCAAGTTTCCGCTGGGAAAGTCCCTATCAATCATGTTGTAGGTTCCCAGTCTACCAAATCATTGAAATTCGAACTGGCGCTGATTTATTATTTGATCACAGTTTGATTTGGGCCATTATACTTGCGTGCCATGCTGCGGCCAAGAACTTTGCGACACTGATGGTTACACGGTTCTTCCTCGGTATTGCCGAGGCGAGCATCTCGCCCGGATTCAGTCTGATCACATCACTCTGGTATCGAACCTCAGAGCAGCCATGGAGGCACGGTCTTTGGTTCTGCGGAAATTCACTCTCATCGGTCTTCAGTGGACTAATCGGATATGGAATCTATCATATCCATGATAGTCTGGCTTCCTGGAAGGTTCGTGTTGTTCCCGCCTTTTCACCTTCTATAAAGATCACGCGACCTAGTTCATTGCTGATTGATTTAGTGGCTCTTCATTATTTTTGGCATTTTGACATTTGTGTGGGGGCTCGTCCTATTATGGCGCTTGCCTGATAGTCCGCGAAACGCCAAATTCATCAGTGAAAAGGAGAAGAAGATCGCCATGCACCGATTGAGGGCCAATCAAGCAGGTTTCAAGAGCAATAAACTAGAGCTTTCTCAGATAAAAGAGGCTCTTCTCGATTATAAGACTTGGCTTGTTGCTGTCTATTCTCTCACCACAAATATCCCCAATGGGGGAAGTTTAGCTGTGAGTGAACTCCGTGGATAAATGTACGGTATAAATCCTCTGCTGATACTATTTTCAGTTCTCTTCATTGATTCTTGAAGGATTTGGCTTTTCGGTTCTAAACACTTTCTTGATGGGAATTCCAATGGGAATAGTCATTTTTTTGTTTGTTCTTTCGACGTGAGTACCCTTCCATACATATTGTGATTCGTAAATCTGATTTACTGAATTTATTCAGAACATACCTATCTTCAAAGCTGCCGAATGCCAGGTGTCTGATAATTGCAGCGGTCAATGTTATCAGGTTTGTGACCGTCCCCTGAGTTTACTACATATACCCTAGACATGACTAATTTTGAGTTTTCGCGGCGCTCTAGCATTACTGGCGCCGTTGTTATCTATACTTGCGACACTATTGGAGCGAAATACGCTGGACTTTGCCTTATGCAAGTCTTCTCCAGTGGCATGCCTCTCTCAATGGCTCTGGTCAGCTCTAACATAGGAGGCTTCACAAAACGAGCCACCGTGATCACATGTTTATTCACGTGCTATTGCGCTGGAAATATTATCGGTCCTCAGCTGTTCTTCGCCAGGGAGGCCCCTCGCTACAAGGTAATTACCCCAATCTCTCTAAAGCTCGTCATTGACCCAGGCTAAAACTGAACAGTCTGGCTTCCTCGCCATAATAATATGCTTTGCGATATCCACTGTGACCATCCTCGTTCTTCGCTATTTGCTAATTTTTGAGAACAACAAGCGAGATCGCACGTCCGTTCCGGTGGAACAAAGGGAAGAAGAACTACGCTTGGCAGACTTAACAGATATCGAAAACAAAAATTTCCGATACGCTTATTAGGTCCAGCGCTGCTATGTATTATATCATTCCTGGTCAAGCTCTCGTGGAGGTTTGGAGCGAGATTACTTCGATCACAACCCACACACGTATCAGATGCGACATGATCATATTCTGCTTGGAATAGACAGCCCTCTTGCATGGGTCGTCTGAATTTGGCGGCTTTGTGGGTCGCCATTTTGGCTTGCAGGTTGGAAACAAATCCGACGAGCCTGCAACCCCGAATTTAAATCACCGAATGACGAGATAGATGCCATGTTGGAAGAGGATCGACCTTGGGTGGGTGGGTGGTCAACAGTCTCTTTTGAGGTTGCCGATTGCCCCGCTCTTCGGTAACAATGGTATTTTAAATTCCGGTAAATAACAGGCCCAACGTTTGAAAGCTTATGGTTACAAAACCTTTCACGCAGCTAAATCAAATATGGAATAGTGCGTTTCTTAATAGAGTTCAGAAAAGAATTGACTGGTGACGCGCGCTGTCGCACGCTGTGGCCCTGAAACGAAACAAGTACGAAAAGTGAATCGTAAATTGAGTGATAACATAGAAGCCGAATGTGTAGTTTTGATAAGGCACCGGAAAGGTACACACGTATCCTAGGATCAGCCAATTATATGCATACCGAGTTGTGAAGCAAAGTACGGCGTAGGGGCATCCGTCATGAAGACGAAGTCACACCTGCCCTACGCTCAAAATAGCAATGCTCTTATTTTTTTTGCGTTCCAAAATGACAAGGAAAAACATGCAACAGTCAGGATTCGCATATGGTGGAGAATCTGGGTGAGAGCGGGTGATTTTTACCGTCCGTCGAGCGATCCCAGCACTTACCCTCTCACCTGAGCTCAGATATAACATAAATGGTTCACCTCGGTCTGGCTGAAACTGTGGTCTCTTGGCACTTGCACATACCAGGATTGGCTAAACTAACGGCGAGGCTGCCTTCAATTTCGCCTTAGGCTTGCCGGTGCCAAATATGGGCCAATCACCTACAAGTTGATTGCGCAACCCTGACGCCCGACGCCCGAGGCGCAGCAAGATCATCATATAGACCGCACTCACTAATCGAAATAGCGACGGCCCCCACATTTCAAGGATATGCACCTGGGTGCGCGAAAATCAGGTGGGAATTCTATTTGAACTCCGCGTAGGGTCGTGACACAACCCTTCTCCGACAATTCCTCCCAGTTCAGTCCAGGGAGCGATGGCCCTGAGGAAATTGGACCACAATGCCTATACGGTCGGTTGGGTAAGCGCCCTGGACTGTGAGCTCATTGCTGCCAGGGCGCTGCTCGATGAAGAAGATGAGGCTTTGGAGCCCGCTTTGCACGATGCGAATTTCTATGTCTTGGGGAGATTTGAGAAACATAATGTGGTCATCACCTCAACTAGCGGCTATGGTACGAATGCGGCCACTCAGGCTGTTACGAACATGATTCGATCTTTTCCAAATATACGCTTTGGCTTGATGGTGGGCATTGGTGGAGCAGTGCCTGGCGAGCCAAATCCCTCTCAACCGATGAAAGACATTCGCCTTGGGGACATTGTTGTCAGCGAGCCTAAAGGAAATCATGGTCAGTTATTATAATTTCCTTCCTCGCCAAAAATGCTCGTTGTTAAGCGGATCGTATGTCATAGGTGGCGTGCTGAATTACGATATGGGAAAGTGGAGAAACGACAGTGAATTCTCAATCGAATCACATCTAAACAGCCCGCCCAGTATCCTCCGTCAGGCAGTTACGCAGCTACGATTGGACCACCGGTTTCGCAAAGGAAAAATGAAACAATATACAGAACAGGCCATAGATCTGATACGCCACCTACCTGATGTGGACGATGCTTCTTTTCCCGGTTGGGAAGAAGACCGACTTTTCAAGGCAGATTATGACCACGTGAATCCGAGACACAAGGACTGTCGAGATTGCAATTCTACACAAATTGTTGAACGGTCGCCTCGCCCCTCGACTATCCCAGCTGTGCATTATGGGCTTATTGCCTCGGGGAATGCCGTTATGAGATCAGCGACATTAAGAGATCGTCTTCGCGATGCATGGAACGTCAAATGCTTTGAGATGGAAGCCGCAGGCCTAATGAATCATTTCCCTTGCCTCATTATCCGTGGTCTATGTGATTATTCTGACAGTCACAAGGCGAAAAGGTGGCAGGCTTACGCTGCAGTAGTTGCTGCCGCTTATGCAAAAGACCTTCTTCGCATTATAGGGCTGGAGAGGATAAAAAGCACCGAGGCAGCAACCGATAACATGAAAGAGGGTATCTTAAACAAAATCAATTACTGAATTTTCAAGGGACTGGGACGACTAACTTGGAATGTAGTGATAAACGCGATCAGCCACGTCGATGACGGTGTTCAGAAGCTGAGAAATGCAATTGACGATACCTACAGGAGGAAGATTCTAGATTGGCTTAGTCCGATTGACCATGAAAGCGAGCAGAGTGACTTTTTTGCCACTCGACAAGAAAGCACTGGCCAGTGGTTCTTGGACTCTGATGAATTCCAGCGGTGGGTGAATGAGCCGAAGCAGACTTTACTCTGCCAAGGTATTCCTGGAGCTGGAAAGACCGTGATGACATCCATAGTTGTTCATGATCTACATCAAAGATTCTCGCAAGTCAAGGGTATCGGTATCACGTACGTATATGGCAATTTCCTCCGTCGCACCGAGCAGCAGCTCTCGGCCATTCTGTCCTCCTTACTCAAACAACTCTGCCAATCTTTCCTTCAACTACCTCCTTGTGTCACCGAGGCCTATGAGCGATTTTGGACTCTCCGAGTTCACCCTTCGCCAGAGAAACTTCTGCATATGCTGGGGACGGTAATGACCTCGAGTCAAAAAACCTATGTCGTTGTCGATGCCTTGGACGAGATTGAGACATCAGACGGCACTTGTCGTCAGCTGCTTGCCGCTTTATTTAGGCTCCAACAGGTCGCACCTATGAGCTTGATAGCATCTTCTCGCCATGTAGCTGATATTACGAGCACATTCCGTGCAAACGGGAGTCATATCATGGAGATTCGTGCTCTCGATGATGATATCCGCAGTTATATTGATTCGCAGCTCAACAAAGCACGCCCCTTTGTCTCGGGGGACCAGCAATTAAGATCAAGAATCAAGGAAACAATTGTTCAGGCAGTGGACGGAATGTAAGGACACCCATTGACAAGCAGGCGATGACTAGAGAATATGCTGATGTTAGGGAAAGGTTTCTTCTCGCGAAGCTGCACCTCGACTCTTTGGGTGACAAAATCTGTAAAGCCGATATTAAGACAGCATTAACAAGCCTTCCAACAGGCGGGGATGCGTATGATCGCGTGTACGACGAGTCAATGGACAGAATCAACAGCCAGACAGAAAATCTCAAAAATCTTGCTAGGCGAGCCTTGATGTGGACCGTCTGCACAAAAAGCCTTCTGACTGTGGAGGGGCTGCAGCGGGCCCTTGCTATTACGAGCGCAAAAAAGGCCCTTGACGCAGACAACATGCCTGATATTGACCTTGTAATCGAGGTATGCTCGGGGCTGATCAAATTCGACGAAAAAAGCAAGGTCATTCGACTTGTTCATTTTACCGCACAGGAGTACTTCCAACGTAAATGGAAAACATGGTTCGCTGATGCCCATTCTGAAATTGCTTGGGCTTGTGTCTTCTATCTTACGTGGGGGAAACCCAAGCCAGAGTATGGTACGGAAGCACCAGACAGTCAATGGCCATCATTATATGACTACGCCTCTTCCAATTGGCAGTATCATGCACTTCTTGATCCAACTGATGATATTTTTACCCGTCGCTTACTCGAAGATCCATCAATTGTCGCTCACTGGGATCAGACAACAAGCCCTCGCTGCTTTTGTGATGATGGCCCCTCTACGGGCTGCTTTATTGCCCCAACAAATGCATCACCTCTGCACTTTGCGGTCTATCATGGCACAGAAACCTCAGTGAGATTATTGCTTGAAAGGGGTGCGGATTGTAATAAGGAAGACAAATATCAACGAACCCCTCTAGCATGGGCAGCCGAGCAATCCGCGGTAGCTGCAGCACGATCCCTTCTCGACACAGGGGCCAATATCAATCATGTTGATTACCTTGGCTGTACGCCACTTTCTTACGCTGCAGCATGGGGAAGCCCCGAGATGATCCAACTGTTAATTGACAGAGGAGCGATCGCCGACAGGCCGGACAATGCCGGTCAGACCGCTTTTGCCAAAACGTGCTATCGCGAAGACCGAGACGCTACCATTCCTATTTTCGTAGCTCATGATCCTGCTCTAGTGGCTGAGTTAACGGACGTTGAAATTCTCGATGACATCGTGCAATGGGCGAGAGCACATAAGGGAGAGGAGTTTGTTCGGATGATTGAAGAGAAAGGTCCCCCAGAGGCCAAAAGCGCCTCGCTACTTGTGGCCTCTCGTGAGGGCGATATTGACGATGTCAAACGTCTGATTAGAGAGGGCGCGAATCCTGACTATCGAGAACCAGTCTGGGGCAGGTCTGCCCTTTCTCAAGCAGCCGAGTATGATGAAACTGCTGTAGTTTCTCATTTGCTAAAGAATGGTGTTGACCCAGATATGCTCGATATTAATGGATGTGCAGACTCGCAGAACAATGAGGGTAACACTCCTCTAATGTGGGCCATCAGGAACGGTCATTTCGGTCCCTTCTGTGCCCTTCTGGAGCATGGCGCAGATCCAAGCAAGGCGGCCGACGATAAAGACAGAGGAGGGGGACTACATTTCGCTGCTGAGCTTGATCGTATCGAGATGATCGAAATTTTGCTGAAGAAGGGCACCCAAATTAACGACTGCGACAACCATTATCGGCAGCAAACGCCTCTCTCGTCAGCCGCGGAGAGAGGCCATTTACAATCAGTCAGACTTCTGCTGGACCGCGGAGCTGATCCGAAATCTGCTGATGTGAACGGTCGACAACCTCTCTCATGGGCTGCACAGAATGGTCATACGCAGGTTGTGGATTGCCTTCTTGAGAAAACTAGGGATGATATCGATCTAGAAGATGACACGGGTAAAACACCACTTTGCTATGCTGCGATGAATGGTCGGGGTGATGTTGTTGGTATGCTCCTTTCAAAAGGGGCACAACATTCGGTGAAAGATCGAGATGGTCACGATCCACTGCACTATGCACTTCAAAGTGGCAACAAGGCTGCCATTGAAGCCTTTAGTGCAAATAGAATACCTGTCACTATCTAGCAGACTCCCGCAATTCATCTACAGTTCAGTACATAATACCTTCGTACAAATTCCCGGCTCATTTTATATCCTTATAATTGGAATCATTACATTTGGCAAAAACTATAAAAACCACGCTTGAAGGCTTTTTGGTGCTTTTTATGTGAAAATTGCATCTCCCTAAACGGCAATGGCGCCGAGTTATGGAAGGTCTCGGCAACGGCTGGGGATTCGGTAATTTTTCACCCCCTCCTCATCCGTGTTTGTGGATGAGTGGTGACATTTATTGACTCATTTCCCTTCTACAAGACGAATATGGCGGCATTCCAGAGTTTTACTCCAAATGTGGCTCATTCGCAGGCTGCTCGCGCATTATCAGTCGCTATAGTCCTCACTAAGCGACGATTTACGAATTTGGAGAATCCAGAATGCATAGTGAAGAGGAACTACGAGGTCTTCCCTTAATATCAAGCCAAGACGAACAGTGCTAGACATCTGCGAGAGAGCAAACCAGGTCTATGGATTTCTCAATATTGGGAAAATTACGCATGCCGTTATTCTCCGCCCCAAGCCTAACAAGAAACCGAGGAAGCCGACGAAGACAAAATCGGGAAAGATCAAAACGCCCCTATTCCCCGCAACACTGATTCATATTGTATGGGACGGTGTCCGCGAAGATCACCTGAAGTCATTGGATTTGAAGGACGGTACAAGCTGGAACACTAGAGATGTAATCATGAACAAAATCATGAAGAAAGACCGATCTCAGCTTCAAGAATACATTCCGGCAGTTGCCATCAAACGGGATCTCGAGTACAACATGAATTTGGAAACCGAGTGCATACCTGATCAAAAACGGCCACCGACCTTTTGGCCAGATGGTGTAATATGCAGCCAGCCTGAAACTGCCTCCTCCAGCAGTTCCAATAGTCGGGAGCCGAAAGCGGATAGGACAAGCAACGTACCCGACGATCAGGGAGGCCCTAAATATAATGGCGGAACGTCTGTCGATAGAGCTCAGAAAAGGCCAAGGTCTGACAGCAGTCAAAATCGGGGTTCGACAGATACTTTGAAAAAGGCCAAGTACCCAACAGCAAAAGGTAACTTCATTGATCGACACATATACTGTATCACATCCAGACTCATCCATATGAACTAGGTGATGCGACTGAAAGTCCGACAGGTTATGCAAATAGAAATCTCGCAGATCGGCATTGCGTTCCTTGGCTCTCTGTCTAGCCACCATTTTCGACCAGCCCACCGAAGCGAGAGCCCGCTTGAGGCTCACTATCACCATCGGAATATATGTAAGCCTGAGCCCGCAACCGTAGTGGTATCGGTTGGACGATTTCACCGGGCTCCGAACCCTGTTCAAAGGAAGTCAGACTTTCACGCATGACTACATAGCCACAAAAAAAGTCAGGCATCGCACGTATTAGACGGGATCGGAACAAGACGTTGGAATCGGAAAAGGCGATTATGGAACGCAAGATATTCTACAGTACTTGACTTATTTTCCTGTCGTAACTAGGGGCACAACACAGGAGTAATACTCCCCCTACAATTCCCGTGTCATCTAAAAGCAAACAGGCATATTGGGAAGGACGTTCGAAGAACCAGTTTATTGTTGCAACAGGGGCTTAATTAGTCCAAGTCGGTATAGCTCCATTGTAGTCTGTTCATCAGCAGCGACGAAAGTATAATGAAGTCTTCACTATTTACGACTGGGTGATGGACCGCAGACGAGATATATTAGCAAGTATTCCCAGCAGACATCCCACCGTTTTGTCCATTCGGGAAGGACGATCATTTAGTAAGCCAATACGCCCATGTACAAACCCAAAAATGCTCTTAATTTAGTGTACGAGAATAGTAATTGAACTTTGGTTGTGGCACTTCCAGATACTTTCTCGATATTCAGAAATGCTTGTTCCTCGATAGCATCCTCTACATCTTGCTTGTAAAGCAATCATGGGTTTCCGATTCTCACAGTTTATATAGTCACCCAGCAACGGAGCCTCGAAATATATATCAAGCTTACTTAAGCTAATGAAATATAAATAGTACGTTTATTGTATCGTTTCGGTGGTTACCTTGAAAGTAGCGCCTAGTCTAAGTGCATCGTGGAAGCGCACATAGTGCTTCACAGTACTATGCACCCTCCGCCACCGGAATATGTAATTCCGACGCCCATAGCCGTGAGTGGTGATGTTGGTTGGATAGCTTCGCTAGAGTCCGATTTCTGACATAACAAGAGTGATAGTTGTCGCGCGACGGAGGGTGATGATCACCTGCTATCACTCGGCTACTCACATAGTTTATTGCGCACTCACCCTTCTTATCCCTAGTCGCGCGACGTAAAGCGGCGATGACGCATGCCTCTATCGAGCTAAACTACCTTATTTGCTAGGGTGAGCAAATGGCGCGTGGCTTAAGCACGGCTGAGTGGACGGGAAGCCCTGTTCTCCACACCCTATGGTCGTATGTGCCAAACGTGCACCAGTGAGGAATCATACAGAAATCGGTGCGAAAGTGAAGTGGAGCTGAGTGATAATATAGTCTAACGCAGGTACACACGCATGTCCGCTAGGATCAGCTAATTATAAACATACTAAGTTGCGTAGCAAAGTGTGGCGTACGTATGTAGATACAAAAACATATCCGTAAAGTCAAAATAGATTGAAGAGTGGGACATATATTAGAACTACGTAGAATGAAACATAGAACTAAAATCTCGCGAAAGAGCTAAGTAGGGTAAATTTTTCTTCATGAGGTAAGAGTCGAAGATATCGGGCATAGCGGGAGTACGAGGAGCTCAGGCTGCACGGTCATAGCGTGCTTAAAGTTACGGAAGATAGCAGCTGAAACCGATTGGATCTATTTGAATCATGAATAGACCAAATAATCGAGTTAAACTATAAATCTAAGTAACTGCAACCGCAATTTCGACAGCACTCAGTGTACTCTCACATGTCAGTGAATCCGTAAAGCCTCGCAGACCAGCGAAGGCCAAGCCACGGATTCCACAAGCCAGCGAATCAGCAACACCAAACGTGGAAGTTAATGTCAATGCCTTAAGAAAGCTTAAAGTCAAGAAGAGAGTTATACTAGCAAAGACGAGTCAGCACGAGCCAGTCATAGAAGGGAACCTTAGACAGAAGTGCGGAACGAAGCCCTAGAACCCTAAGAGCTAAGATGGATGGAGAAGTCGACGAGCAATAAGACAACGTAGCCAGGATAGACTCGAGCGAAGCAGAATACTTCTTGGCGTTAAAATTGACGAATCAGCTGCGAGAATGGGCAATGGTTTTGCAGTACGAACGCAAGCCAAAACTTTGCAGGCAGCTCGCGCAGGGTAGTAACCCCTTCACTCGTTCCTCGTTTCAGGGCAAGAGGAAAAAAAGGTGAAGCTGATTTCGAGCGGCTCTGTACCGCGGCAGTCAATCAGTGCTCGAGAACAAAACGTAAAAATATTCTTCAATTCAGTATAGCGACGGTTACAGTACTCAATAAAAATAAGTTGCGTGGGTTGAAACCACAGGGCATCACAGATATCCTCTTCGAGCTAGAGACTAACGCTTCATCTCTATCCTCCCTATCTCACTGTCACTCTAGCTCAGCCTTTTGATCCTTCTCTAGATGGAAACTGACTCGCTCTTCTTCATTGGAGAGTACGACATATTCCTTTTGAAGTAATTAGCTTAGAATTATGACAGGCCAGACCTGAGTTTACTCACTGGCCAGTCATCCGAAGGAAAGATTGAATGAATAACGCGCATCTTTCCGCGAGTATGCCGTACCACTGTGATATGGACTCCGATAAGGCCTATCTTTCGAGCAACTTTAGAAAAGAGACGCGGCATGGAGAATGTAAATGGGATACTCTTAGGGAATAGGAGCTCGGGGAAATCAAGAATGTCGGCAGGGGACGCAATAACGGGAAAGTAGGGCTGAGGACTAGTTATTATACTAAAGCAAATGTAATAATATTAAGATTGATCTTTTCACTTTGTGTTGTCAAAATGCGCTCTGGCACATTATGCCTTGGTGAAATGTTTAGCAGCGTGGGCGTTACGCCAATGTTCTATTTTCAAGATAATATTCGACATTTACAAGTCTTCATAGGCGAACCGCTTATGATCGTCCTAGCGTAACGCCACGACGCAGAAGTGGGGCATGCCCAAATGATTGTGTGACGTAGCTTCAAACTAGTCTAATTCAAGCGCAATATGCAATGCAGCGTTGTGCTCCTTCCTGAGCATTAATTAATCCAGCTACTAATATTAAAACTACAAAAACCTCCACGTAGCCTTCGCGGCTTCGCCTATCTTCTCGAATCCGATGGCTTTCCCTAAAAACGGACTGTGTCCTATTTTCCCACGCAGCGAAAAAACCCTATCTAGGTTCTGCAAAGAAACGTTGCCTTGGAACTCCTACATAGGATTTGCTACCTTGGGGCCCTCAGAAACCGCATTTCTTGCTGTCGATCCGCGTCTAACCGCCACTATTGTCGCTATAAAAATCAGAGGGTTTCAGACACCAATTCACTTCGCGGAATCGTCCCAACAAGCCATGTTAATATTGTGAAGCTCAAAGATATATATTACTCCAGTGGCATATGTTTCTTGGTGTATGATCGGATGAAAATCTCGTTGGAACAACTATGCGCTTGCACCACAATTGAGGATTTATTCGTTTCAATAATTTGCCGAGAGGTAGGTCGCCTTCATCTATTTTGCGACACAGCTAATATACTATCCTCAGACACTCTCCCGGCTGTCCTGTATCCATAATGAGCTGAAAGCTAGCTATATAAGGACACTGTATAATGACATCTTCTTGACCGCATCAGGTCTCGTCAAAATAGGTATGCGCATTGCTAACTAGTCACCGGATTAACGCTGATACTGTACAGGAAATGTTCCGAAGCATGATCCAAGGTTGTCGTGGAAAACAGGAGGGTCCGGCCGTTGGCGTAGGAAAACTAATACTTCATATGGTACAACCAGGGGTCACATATAAAACCCCTAATGAGGATAGGCTGCGGTACCCTGAATCTTTGTGTTTCGAATGGAAAATTGGTTATATGGCAATCTCGGTATTAGAACCACCGAGTAATCGGCACGTTTGGAGGGCAATCCAACCTGCCTCCGAGCGCACGTTTACTTTCTTCAATCAATAAATTCTATTTTATACCCCATTTTTGCTTGCTTGCTCTAATACATAGAACGACCGAGTCACACGGGCAGATTCTGTTTAGGGAGCAGATAGAGACAATCCTGACTCGCAAACTCTCTAAGCTAACGTAGAATTCAGGGATGTTCAAATCTAGCAATTGTGCAATTGTTAGTTTCTATAATTTTTAAAGTAGCATTTTTAGTATCCTCTTTCCTTGATATCCTCTTGGACAGCTAATGTAGTGTGCTTCAAATACTCTAATAATTGCATCTATACTAAATTACTAGAGAACTTTGATTAGACGTGCGGGCGGCACTAGTCGGCGGGTCCTTGGGCGTGTGCGGCCCGCGACTCGCCTATAAACCCTACCTACAGCAGTCTCACAGCCGTCCGTTATCGCTCATTTTATAAATTCAGTGCCGTCCACCGTGGAAAATGAAAAAGATTCTACTTCTAATACATTTCTAGATCCTATTTGTTAATCGCTTACTATACCCTCTTCGCTTACACTTCCAAGATGTCTCCATTTCTTCGAGATTCCTGCTGTAAAGTATTTCTACGTAGTAGTGACGTTCAAACCGTGGCCCAGCAGGAAATGACTGTCGAAGAGAGATTGCCACTAAACCTACCGCACTAAAATCAAAGGCAATCTCCTATGCCTGTTTTAGGGAATGAGTCCGGAGGACCTTTTTCTCTCTAGCCTCCGTAAAAGAGATCCTTAGGGGAAGACAATCCTCGGGGGAAACGACAAGAATTACGTTCTACAAAACAAGCTCGCCTTAGGCTATATACCGAAGATTTGCTGTTTTAGGCGTATCTAGAACGACTTATCTTGCGTAAGGGCCTACGGTGTCTCCCGATATTATTGTTTATTAAGAGCAAAGAATTTCGGAGATTAGTATAGCTCGAAACCTGACATCAACGAGCTATCCGAATATAGTACAATTAAGGGATATATTCGTAGATTCTAATTTTATATACGTGGTATATAAACGAATAGAAATATCGTTGCTACGCCTACGCTCTAATGTAAAGCTTGAGAAGGTTTATATTACTACTATATATAAAGAGGTTAGTTTTATTCTAGGCATCACCGGTTTATATACTAAGAATCTCTAGGTGCTAAAGAGACTCTTATATATCCATAAAGCCTTAAATCTTATCTATACGGGTCCTTTGTATAAGAACGTTTTTTTGGATCTTTTAGGCTCTGTCAAAATTAGTAAGAAATATAACTGCTAGTGATCTACGATTTCTATTAATACCGTGTAGGTAATATTAGTACTACCTTGATTTTAAACGATAAAGCGCAACGTAGAAGTAATACATGGTCTATTAGGAAACTTTTGTTGTATATTATATAGCCGGGTACTATGAACTGTTACTCTAAAGAGGTATCACTGTGCGATCGGGAGAAATAGGATAAATCTATCGCGGAGTTTTAAAAAGTAACTAAAACTTTCTCGATCGAGGAGGCCTTAAATGTTAGTAATCCTAAAGACTTCTCCTCGCGCTAAGATAGGCCTAATACCTATCTTAATTATTAACATAGACCTAGGATTCGTTTCTAGAGACGGTAGTGCCTTCCTCTACTCCAGGGCTACTTGTGTGGAAATCTAGCAGAAAGGTAAGGTTAATTTAGTCCGTAATTTCCGAGTAGTACTAGGAGTAAAAAGAATACAAATTAAGTTCCCTATAAATATTTCAAAAATGGCATAAGTGCAAATATGCCTTTCTATAGAACTTCCCCTAATATATATCGAGCTTGGTTTCCGCCGAACCCTAATTATATAGGTACTTATTTCTTCGGTTAATTCCGTATATAATTCTATATAAATAATACCGTTCTCTACGCCTAATACGATTATCCTCTAGGATAAACGAAGGTATTACGGTAGCCGAGCTAGAATCTTTCTAGATCGTCTTGACTATTATAGTATCTCGTGAATCTTCAGCGATAATGTCTTTCCAGTTGTAGCATGATGTTCTAAAGGTTTCTTGTCATCCCCATCTCACCAATTAATCAAGTCAATCTATTCGATCTGACACGAAGCCAGTATGACCTCACAGTTGATGGAAAGCACGTGCCTATTTTAGGTTGCACGGATGGACCCCACTGGTTGGTTCCTGACTTCCCCTGCTTCCAGAACAGGTATCCCTCACCGCTTTGCGACTTCGGTGTCAGTGTCTTCTTGACGCTGGATCAACATTCACCGCGATTGATCTTTGAGAATCAGGCCAATCAGTGAGACATAGATTAAGTTTATCGATTCTTGTTCAGCCATGAACGAATCGCTCATCCTATCCGAGTTCGACAAGCTCCAACAGTCAGGTCTCGCTCTATATGACCAAAACCAAAAGATAATCAAGCACGTCGAGGGAGGGCTCAAAGTACGCATTTTAACCGACTTCTGACTTCTACACTCGCAATTTTCTAACATTCGCACTATAGTTCCAATTTTGTGTAACTTCCGCTCTGGCAAAGAAACCGACCTTCCAAACGCCACAGTCAAGCGCAGATGAACCTCGAGATGGAAGCGATATCAGTACCGCAGGATTTGAAATTGGTGAAATCGGCAACGCCCACCTCCTAATAGCCAACAAATTCTGCTGGGCTAACCCTCATTTTTTGCTTTTAACCTCTGACGGATACCGAAGACAATACGAATCACTGGACAAGAGTGATCTCCAATCACTCTGGTCTCTTCTATGTACAATGAGCACAGACTATATTGCCTTTTATAATTGCGGCCAAGATGGAGGTTGCAGTCGGTTGCACAAACACTTGCAATTAATCCCGACACCTGAAGGCACATTTGCATCCTTCCTTGATTCCGCCGGACTGGAACCCGAGCCTCAAGTCCCGTTTCAATGGTTCCATCATCGATTTGACTCTCAAGATATGACGGCGCAGTACCTGGCGGAGATTTATGATAAGCTTCTCGGTCAAGCTACAGAGATAGGGGGAGGTTTGTCTGAACACGCGCATACTGCCTTGCCTGGGGCCGCGTGTCCGCATAACATGATTATGACCAAGCGGTGGATGGCTGTCGTGCCGAGACGGCGGGCTGCCGTTACTAAGGCAGTAGCTGCCAATGCAATGGGGATGCTGGGATATATCGCAGTTGCTACGGAAGCTGAGGTTGATGAATGGATACGCGCGGGACTAACCGAATCACTCAAAGAGCTTGGTGTATCTAAATGAACAGTTATGTATTTAACAACCTGCTATAAAGTCCCGTGACACGATGTGCGCGTTGAGGATAATTGACCGAGAAGTATAGAGAAGCATAGGATTGATGTCTTGTCGCTAGCTGCTTCAACATGATGCATGTCGGGTAAATGGACCATCTCAGATAATGTATAGAATACATTGATGACCTGAGGAATGCAGCAAAACTCCGTTGACGGACAGAGGCAAATTATCCACGAATGTTGCCTCGAGGTTGAGTGGTGGCCAAGAGGCGACATGATATCATATGTCCCAGAAGCCGACAAGAACAAGGTGAGAATGACAGATGAGATATCTCTCCTGCTTTGATGAATGTGCATTACCATATCTTCGTTGACCTTGAAGAAACGCTCTTCTCATCGCACCACCCGTCCTTCTATCAGACCCTGCCAAACATGCCTTCCGGCGGTAATGATAATAATCATCGTAAGTGAAAAGGTCTTAATTTAAAGTGCGTCTACATCTTCCTGCCCAGCACACGTACCGTCAATTCTCTCCGAGCCTTCCCAGGGGCTTCACTTTGTCGACGAACCTGCTTCTACATATTTGCGCGATGGCCCGATCTAGTAGAGTATTCGAGCTAACTGTCATACACTCATAGCCAGCGTCACCGGCGGTCTCGGCGAAACAGTTGGCAAGACGTTCGAAGGGTCCACGCGCACATTTGGCAATGTCGTGAGTGGTCTTGGGGCGACGCTTGGTGGCGCGGCTCAAGGGGTAGGCCAAACTGCAGCTGGCGCTGCTGAGGGACTCGGCACTACAACTAGAGGCCTCGGACAGTCGGCCAATAGGGGCTTTGCAGGTGGCGTTGAAAGGTCTAGGAAGATAGAAGAGGAGCTGGAAAAGGATAAAGTAGATTAGTATCGTGGTCATTGAGACTCTGGCTGGATGTTAAGCGATATGCTGGGCTCTGACGACGAGGCACCTATGTATCGCATTGAGACACTCAGAAATATATTTACCATGAATTATTAACTATTTCTAGAGTCTACAGCGCTCTTCCTTGACATTATTACTACTTGTCGAAACTAATACCTGTGTAGCCTTCCCCTCGGAAGTCTGAAGGCCAATTCCGATCGCCGGAATCCGGAGAGCGGAGCTTTCCGCGGGCAGCTCAAAAACTGTGGTGGGGTCCACGCATTTGGGGCCATACTGGAGACAATGACATGAGATACGGACACAACTAGCCATCGTAATTAGGCCTGGGATAAATACCAGTCTTTATAGTCAAGGTTACAAATTTGAAAAATTCGGAGGGTTCGACTTCCAACAGAAGTGTTAAATCAGGAATTCCATGGCTCCTAGCCAGCTCCACCTGGGAATCTTGATTCCTCGGATCTACCTTCTGCATTGGTATAGCTCAGGTTTCGCCTACCCAAAAGGATCAACATTTCCCCCAAAGTTCTGACATCCCAGGGTTTGGGGCAGTGTTGGATACTTTGTTCGACCCCACGGTCCAGATTGCGTCGACTGATTAATATTGCATAATTAAGTTCCTCGGAGAACTTCAGGTTGCCTCGATGGGCTGACATTGACTCGGCCCTGATTGGGTGGAGAGCGTTCCTGGCCCGCGTGAATGTTATTGGGATAAAACCATACAACAAGGAATTCGGATGGGAAGTTCAATGATTTGGAGATAGCATGTAGACTTGACCTATTCAACGAGAATAGTCACCATTTACGATAAAAGAAAGGCAACGTCTGGTTGTTTTGCTTAGCCAAAGGGCCAAATATGATTCCATATCAACTATCCCCGTGTGGGTCCAATGACTTCAAACGTGGTTTTTCCCATGGAAACCCCCCACCGCGCCTTTTTCTCTGCAGTGGCTATATAACCACTCTCTATACCCCCGCAGTCGCTCCTCGTTTCCTATCGCTACCTCTAACAAGTGCTTGAGTCCGCCGCCGCCATGGGTAACGACGATCAGCCCAGTAAGTCAACGCTTCAACCTTCAATGGGACTGACCTGAGACTGACGTTTCTCTCTACAGAGACCTATCGCTACAACGAGACTCCGGTCTACACGGCCTCCAATGGCTGCCCGGTACAGTTCATCGCTTCCCTGTTTTCCAATTCCTCGATCTAATCCGAATACGTCGTCATATAGGTCATGGACCCCCAGGCCGCCCAGCGTGTTGGCCCTAACGGCCCTCTTCTCTTGCAAGATTTCCACCTGATCGATCTGCTGGCGCACTTTGACCGCGAGCGCATCCCGGAGCGGGTGGTTCATGCCAAGGGTGCTGGGGCCTATGGCGAGTTTGAGGTTACTGACGACATCAGCGATATTGTTAGTATCCATCTCCCCACGGACAGTCGGAACAGCCAGGCTAACATAGCTTCTCCCAGACCACCATCGACATGCTCAAGGGCGTGGGTAAGAAGACCAAGATGTTGACCCGCTTCTCTACCGTTGGCGGCGAGAAGGGCTCGCCAGACAGTGCCCGCGACCCTCGTGGCTTCGCCATGAAGTTCTACACTGAAGAGGGCAACTGGGACTGGGTGTTCAACAACACCCCAGTCTTCTTCCTGCGCGACCCGGCCAAGTTCCCCGTCTTCATCCACACCCAGAAGCGTAACCCGCAAACCAACCTGAAAGATGCCACCGCGTTCTGGGACTACCTCTCCACCCACCAAGAGGCCGTCCATCAGGTGATGCACCTGTTCAGCGACCGCGGTACCCCTTACTCCTACCGCCACATGAACGGCTACTCCGGTCACACCTATAAGTGGATCAAGCCCGATGGCACTTTCAACTATGTGCAGATTCACTGCAAGACTGATCAGGGCAACAAGACCTTCACCAACGAAGAAGCGACCAAGCTGTCTGCCGAGAACCCTGACTGGCACACTCAGGATCTGTTCGACGCCATTGCTCGCGGCGAGAACCCCTCGTGGACCTGCTACGTGCAAGTCCTGTCCCCAGAGCAGGCGGAGAAGTTCCGCTGGAGCGTGTTCGACTTGACCAAGGTGTGGCCGCAGAGCGAGGTTCCCCTGCGCCGCTTTGGTCGCTTCACACTGAACAAGAACCCGGAGAACTACTTCGCCGAGATCGAGCAGGCAGCCTTCTCGCCCTCCCACATGGTCCCCGGTGCCGAGCCCTCGGCCGACCCCGTCCTGCAGTCCCGTCTGTTCTCCTACCCCGATACCCACCGCCACCGTCTCGGCGGAAACTACGAGCAGATCCCCGTCAACTGCCCGCTGCGCTCATTCAGCCCGTGGCACCGCGACGGCGCCATGAATGTGCACGGTAACTACGGCGCCAACCCCAACTACCCTTCTACCTTCCGTCCCCTGGCCTACAAGCCTGTGAAGGCTAGCCAGGAGCACGAGAAGTGGACTGGCGCCGTCCTTGCGGAGCAGATCCCTGTCACTGATGAGGACTTTGTGCAGGCCAATGGTCTCTGGCAGGTGCTTGGTCGCCAGCCGGGTCAGCAGGAGAACTTTGTGAAGAACATCTCTGGCCATCTATGCGGTGCTCATGAGCGCGTCCGCAAGGCCACTTACGGCATGTTCCGCCGTGTTAACAAGGACCTTGGTGCCCGCATCGAGGCTGCCACTGAGGCCAATGTTGCGCCATCTGCCCGTCTGTAGATGATTCTTCCACTAACCCATTACTGTATATCAATATTTGTTAGATTGAATATAAATATCAATGACTTATGATCCGATGTTGATCAGGATTCATAGTAGCCCCAGATTGAGTGGAAGACCTACAGTCAGCGCTTATCGCCGCTTATCGGGTGACATTCGGAGTTGAGCCGCACGTGATATGGCCCCCTGACGCGCCATCTCTCTGGCGCGGTCTCGCCGGAAGTCACTGACGAGCGTCCCAATACATTTTTTCTTCTGATTGACGTCTATTCATCTTAATTGGCTTCTCGCATTGTCTTGTTATATCCGTCTCCGAGCAGAACCTATCTGATTCCGAAATTGGTGAGCTCGGACATTGATCTGCGTGAGCCTATCAGCTGGACCTGGCGGAGTAAGCACTTACGTCTAGTGCTCTGTAGGGCCAGGTCGCCCCTAGACCAAAGATGCCCGGCCCCGCCGATGACAGCCCTGGTCAACCTCACCTACGATCGACCCGCTCGTTCACCAGGATGGGGAGTTCGGACGCTCAGCCTTCTGTGTCGGACAAGCCGATGGCCGATCAGACACATGCCACTAATCAGGCATCGTCATTATTGACGCCAGACAGCGAGAAACAAGAAGCCGGCCCGGATGTATTTGAAAAGCGAGGCTCTGCAGATTCCAGGAATGGGGAAGATACACAAGGCGACGAGGGTTTCGTCCTTTCACGTAGTGTGCAGGATCCCTCCGAGGAGCTGCCTATCGAGCTCATCAGCTTAACGGATCGGTAGGTCGATCGAAGTGTGGGTGTGTCGCGCTTAATACTAACCACATCTACTAGGTTTATCAACTCTTTGGGTGCCAAGGTGCACAACTCGCCTCCCACGATCGATAAAATCTCCTCCATGTTCCAAGTCTTCTACAGCCGCGCCGAGTCTCATATCGCTACCCATATATCCGCACTTGCATCCCGCATCAACCGTGACCCACCACCACAACCGCAGATCAAATCTAGAGGTAGTGCGCTTTCGGTACTGGCCAGCAAACGTTCCCAGGATGATTTTAGACAAGGGAATGGCGCTCGGCAAATGTTGACTGCGGAAGAAGTTGCTGAGAGACGGAAAGCTCGCAAGGCTCTTGAATATAAACGGGCTGCAATGGAAGAGGCTGCTGAGCGGCGAGTATGTGAATTGGTATACGGCAAGATTTGGAGGCACAGGAGCACTTTGGATGATGTTCGAGATGAGAAACTGCGTTCCAAAACGGCGGCCTTGTTGCTTGTGGGCATCGATCTGAAAGACTTGGGTATTGATATTGATGTGTCTTCGATCGCCGATGAGAAGCAGCAGGAAGCCAACGATTGCCTGGCTCAGGCCCGGGAGTATCTCGCCAAGATGAATGACCAGAGGTATCCGCTGGGCAAACTTCAGCAGCTAGCCGCTGCTCATAAAGCCATCGTCGATGCTCTGACAAAGCTACTTCCGTCCTCTTCCTCCGCGGACGAGATTCTTCCGACACTGATCTACTGTCTTATCACATGTCCACCTGAAGGAATCAATATCGTTAGCAATTTGCTGTTTATGCAACGATTCAGATCATCCAACAAAATTGATGGCGAGACCGCATACTGCTTGACCAACCTAGAAGCCGCCATCAGTTTCCTGGAAAATGTCGAACTGTCTAGCCTACGTGCAGACGAACTACAAGAAGGACCGCTCAAAACGCCCAGTGAGGGTCCAACACCATCATCAGAACGAGTCGATCCTTTCCGACCGAAACCTGAAATGACAACCTCCTCGGTGACGACGGTATCTGCATTGTCGGAGATCGCGAAGCCTGAATCTAAAGAGCCGGCCTCTTCTACCTTGCCTCGCCCTCGCCCGTCCCCAGCACCACAGCAACGACGCTTGAGCAACCTTTTCCAACCTCCTGCCAAGGTGCTTGAGGCTGCGAATGATGCTGTCCGCAGTACCGCAGACCAAAGTCTGAAGAACATCGGGGCAACTCTAGACAACAGCTTCAATTTCCTTTTCGGTCGCCTGAAAGAGTTGCAGACTATTTCGGGACCTAATGCAGACGGAACCGAGTCCGTTCTGCCAAAGACACTGGCCGAAGCTCGCCGACTAGTCGCCAATCCCCCAGCCAATAAACAAAACCTCACACCCGAAGAAATCGAGTCTCTCAACGCCCTGTCCAAAGAGGACGCCGCACGCAATACATCAAGAACCACGGGCCTCACCAGCGGAGGAAGAACCCCTCGTGACCGCAGTACAGATAGTGCAAGAACCCAAACAAGCAGCAAAAAGTCCATCGCCGGTTCTCTACGTGACGAATACACCCAATCACCAGCCGCAGCCACAACCCCCAATCCTCTAGAATCCATGCGAAACTTCGGCAACACGCTCAACCCTCTCAACCATATTCCGGGAATGATTAAAAATTTCGGCCGAAATGCGCCTGAAACCCCTGGTCCTCGCGCAATTTCTCCAGCAGCACTGGACCGTTTAAAGATATCACCCGCCTCGGCGGATACCACTGCGAGTCCATTTGCCACGTCCACCGTGAGAATTGACCCCCCGATCCAACGGTTCCTCGACGTACAAGACGTGCGGGACCTTCGTCTCGGTGATGTGGCTGTCCTGCTCGAAGATTATAAGAGACTAGCCACCGCTCTTGCAAGGGTGAACGAAGGGTCTCGCTGAGTATTGGCGGGCAGAGTGTCTGATTTTTTTTTTGGCATTGCGAGCTATTCTTCGCGTTGAGCGGCATTGTACGGTTTGGATTTTATTGGGTAGTAGTCATGAGTAGTATAGTTTGGCTTCGACATGCGTTCTAAGCTGCGGGGTTGTACATATCATACATCATAAGAGAAAAGAAGTTCTTTCCCTGACATGAAAATGGCTTTCACGCCCATCCTTCAGCACAGAAGTGTGGAGACAGAAAGTGTAAAGGAGGATACAACTAGGGTAATATGGCATGAAGCAAATCTCTTAAAACTCTCAGGCGTAACGACGCAACGATCAGGGATATCATACAGAGATTATGCATATTAAATAAGAGAGAACCCGTCAAGGCCGTGGAGCCGTCTCGGGCATCAGATAATCATCGGTTCAGGTGTTTCGACCCCTCAAGACCTCAGCACCTCCAGTCCTCATCTCATTCAGCTTGGTCGACAGTTCCGAGTCCTGCGCCTCAACAAGTTCATGACGGCGTTTGACTTCGGCTTCAAAGACTGCTGCTGTACGACGACGCGCACGACGCAGCTTTTTCATCTCCGTAAGAAGATGGCTGAACCGGTCGATCAGCTGATCGCCACAGTCTTCCCATTCCTCGACGGACATGCGAGAGAGGTACGCCTGTCGATCCTGGTCTGGGAGTTTGAGGAGTTGGAATACCGTATCATCTGGTGAATGATTATTCGATATAGGACCTGTGTTTGGGGGCAGGGAAGGCGACTTTGCTGGAGGGGAGGGTATAGGTGTAGGTGCTTTGTCGAAGGGTTCAGCCTGGAGGTCGGTGAATGATTTTTGGTAGAGCATTTGTGGTGGGTAGTCCGCTTCCAGTTGATGTTTCTTTGTCTTGATGACGGTGTTTCGACGACCACGTCTGGTAGAGGACTGGTGGGTGAGGAATGGGTCGTGGGTTATTTCGTCATACTCGTGGTCCAGATCGGACATATTGGTTATGTCAAAAGGATGGGCGGAGTGTCCGCTGTGCCGTCTGCTGCTTATACGAATTGTCTCGTCAATTCCATTTTCGTGGTGACTCTCGTCGTCGGTGTGCTCTGCTGAATGAAATGTCATGCCGAGCATCCGTCCACCTTGAAGCGGTGGCTCGGAACCATGTCGTTCGGAGCTACGTCGAGTTGGTGATATCTCGAGTTGCTCGAGGAGAGATGGTTTGGGGGGACTGAAGCGTGTTCGCGGGGTCCCTGATATGCTGTGTGGGAGAGTGATCTTTCTGGCCCCAGGGGGTGGAAGCATGTGGCCCAATTTGCGTGGTTGAGCATCAGGAACGGTATCCATAGTAGCCGATGGACGAGCTTCTGCGTGAGCTTGATCAATGGACTGCGATGCCCTTTTGCTCGCTGACCAGAAAGTCTCCAAGCGCTTGCTCAGAGGCTCTTCCCCGGATCGATTCTTATGGGGTAAGTACCAGCCGCTTGATTCTCTGGGTTCATTAGAGGTCATCGGTTCTTCGGGCGCTGCTGGCTTGGTTGGCTCTTGAGTCACGTCTGTCATCTCGTCATCTCCCCCGGTAGACGAAGTCAGTTGACTCGCTGTGTCCTCACCATCATCAGAGGTATCAAATCCGGCCTTTTTCAATGCCTTCTCTCCAAGGCCGCCGTAGAAGGATGACCTCCCAGAACGGCGTGTGGGCCGGGGCAGGTAGGAAGGCCTAGGCGATGTGGTCTCGCCACCGGCATTGACGGTTGACGGTGGCTGGGATTGACGGTCATCAAAACTGAACACGCTGGTCCCAGCAATGGTAGAATCATCAATTGCCTCGACATCAGTATCAAACGTGTCCCGTCGGCCACCCCCTCTATTTGCAGGGGTTGGTATGTTTTCAGGAAGATCACGAGATTGGTCTGAGGGCACGGGAGAAGCTTGAAACATTCGTGGCATGCCACGACCATTTGCAACGGGTTCGTTGAAGTAGTTGTTGGGCACCTCCACTTTGGCTTGCTCAGCCCGTAGTTGGCGCTGAGACGGAGGTAGGTTGCCCGGTGCACGAGGCTGCCCAGCTTCCCTGGAGTGGACGTAATCGCCCACCCCCATGATGAGCGAGCGGACTAGTCCAATAATATGGACTTGAGAACAAGACTTGTCTTTCAGCAAGTAGGCTGTAGGGGTGGTGAGGACTCCTGTGTTGGGTCGGATGCCCGACGCGAGAGAACCACGTAGTCACGTGCACCTTCCATTCTTGTGACACAAAGTTGATCGGATCTTGATGAAATGACTGGATGGTATAGAGATAGATAGAGATGGACTTAGAATTTCAACTACATACTATTTGAAAAAAATCATATTTGCCTCCAGATCCAATTTCTCATATCACTGGAGGATTTCATCAGGTTGAGCCGATTCCAGCTGGAACGAAATTGGAATATGTAGTTGTGTGAAGGCTTGATATACATTTCATTAAGATAGACATAGATGCTTCGTTGCATGTGATTCATTCAAAAGTCGAATCTTCGTCGAGATGGAGATGCGCTAGATTATATGCAACGCCTCGCCCACGTTTCTGCGCTTTCTCGAGGAAAGCTTCTGATTTTTTGATCTCCGCTGCCCTTTTCTCCAGAGCGAGCCTCTGCTCATGTCTGGCTTCTATGGAGAATGGCGATTCATCCATATGCATCGCATCCGGATCATACTCGTCTACAGAACCGGGTGAAGTGGCTAGAGAAGAAACGAGCAAATCACCAACCCAAAGCGATACCATGCCTCGTAGCTCCAGCAGCTCTGATGAATCAGAATAGGGAGGAGTCGCAAGGAGCATGTCTATCCGGGTCGCAATCTTTTGCGCCTCCTCCAGTTCTCGCCGTCGTATATCAGCAACGAGAATCCGGCTTTTTTTTGAGCCTCGGCGATCGCCATCGGCTGGAGAGCCTTCGTCGCCGGAGAGCTCATCCGAGGAGTCCTCGCTATCAAGGGTGATATTGTTTCTGGCCGCTTGACTCTCCTCCTGGGTGACGTAGATCCACAGTCCGAACATCGCAGGGTAAAAGCTCAAGGCAGATACCGCTTGTGGGGCACTTTTTGAATATGGATGATTCAAGATCAACCTTTCGTAGTATTCCTTGGCTTCTTCAAAGCCCGCCTTGGTGAATGGCAAAGCCGTCCGATCCTGGCTGGAGGATGTGTCGGACAAGGAGCGAGAAGCCTGCTGTGACGCTTCTTGTTGGCCGCGACGTAACAGAATCTCAGCCCCAATCCCCCATCGTCCTTCACTACGCGCATCCATTGAGAAGCCACGAAATTCTTCTCGCAAAATAAGACCCCATGCCCTTCCAGCTCGAATATAGTCGCCTTGGAGGAGACACTTATGCAGAATGGCGGTTAATACCGACAAATGCTGGAGTCGGATAGTGCCTTGGTGAGCCGCAGACTGGGGAGGGTAGACGGGGGTGGATAAAGAAGATAGCTCGCGGAGATGATGGCTCAGTAGGGTTGCGTCCTTCCTAGGATAGTCGACCTTTGCTGGCCCGTGGGGGAAATGCCCTCCGGGCAGTTCCTGGTCGAGAGAGAGGCCAGCAATCCGATATTGATGAGATTCATTCGGCGTCAAAATCAGCGATGGTCCAGCGGTCTCAGACTCTCCGGCTGACGTGGCATCCGTTGTATATGCGCCATCGCCCTCCTCGTCGGTCCAGTCGTCACTCTTCTTGCGTTTTCGTCGATCATATTGCGCGACACGAGTGCTCGTCGGCTGCAGCCAGGAGGGCAGAGGCAGAGAAAAGACGGAAGCCGACAGGGCAGGCGCCATATACTCAGTAAGACGCGACTCGCATGCGGGGCTGGTTGAACACTTGGAAACACGCAGGTCTTGAAAATCTAGCAGCCGCGGCTGGCCTAGCAGGGTTTTGGGAGATCGGGTAGATCGGAGATTGGAGACTGGAGATTGGAGCACAGGATTTGGGGGAATGCCGAGCAAGTCCCAAGGTTGGGCAGGGGCAAGGTCAATCCTGACTAATTGGCTGAAGGAATGATCGAGAACCCGATGTAGGAGTAGCTTACCCTCTAGGTAACCCAACTTCTTGTGAGTACTGTATACTCCGTACTCCGGTAAGGTTGAGCCTGAGCTGACGACTACTCCATCAGCCCTCGGGAAGCAAAGCAAGCAAACACTCCGGAACCCCCGTTATCGCCATTCGCTATCTCTCACTTACGTCTTCCTCCTCTCGTACCTCCCACCTTTCGCCTTCCTTCTCCTTACATCCCTCTCTACTCGATTATTTTCCTTATCATCCCCCTCCGACCCTCATTCTCTACCCCGACCCCGCCGGTTTTCTTGTCCTATTGGGCGTTATCCAGCCCTCCGACCATTTCCCCAGCTCTCCAGGCACTCGGCGGGTATATTGAGTACGGTTCATTGGGTGTGGGTTGTGCCAGACGCTTGTCAAACCATTTGAGATCGTCGGTCGCAGTACGCTGTGTTAGAGAGTCGGTTTATCTCACATACATAGCCTGTTCACAGGTCGCTTCTCGCCTATTTGTCGGCTTTCCTTTGTCTCGACAACCCTTCAGCTTCCGCCCAGCCTCGACCAGACGGTGCACGCTACAATACTCGAGGTGACGCCACCGACTAGCTGGTAACAACGTGGTGGCGTGTCTGACTGAGGAAAGAGACTGGGTATCTCGCATTCACTGCAACTGGGTCGGCAAGAGCAATCTTTCAATCAAGGGTTGTTACGGTCGCTATTAGCGAGCGATTTGGAAATTCTTATGGCAGTAGGCGGCCCATAAAGTTTTCTTTACCTAGTCCTCACTGTCGCAACTTGCTACTATGGGACAGTCGGCCTCTACGCCACGAGCTCCCCTTGATACTGGCCATTCGGACTACGCGCCGTTCTCGATAGACCACAACTCTGGTTTGAGGAATGAAGATATGAACAATAGGCAGACTACCGAGCAAGGTGGCGAGGCGACATCCTCATCTGGGATCGAGTCAAATTTACAGAACGGCCAGGATTCGTCAACAGGCCAGCTGCATGAGCTGCCAGAATCCTGGCAGCAGCCCACGCGATACCCCGGTGGGTTCTCACAACAGATGAGAAGTATTGAAGAAGAGGGCTCCGAACATGAACCCACTGCGCGGGAATACCGGTCGGCGGCGATTGCACGGATGGCGGCAAGGAGACAGTCCACGATGTCACGGCTAGGGTCCAGAATCCTGCCCAATTCAGTCATTCGTGGCCTTCTCAGCAGCCAAGAGGAGACGCCAGCTGAAGGCCATGCTCACAGGCATGGACTGGTCTCAAGAACGCCGCCGCGATCGGAAAGTGCTCACAGTAGCGGGCGATTTAGCCCTTTCAGTGCTCTGGGATCGAGAGGGGTCATCCGCCGTCGCAACACGCGTGGCCCTTATTTCGTACCCCAGCGTACTGACACGTCGGCAACGTCGGATGGAGCCACAAGTTCTTCGCTTCTCGATTCCTCTGTGGATCGGCTGCCAGAGTCCAACCGGGCTTCCTGGCGGCGGGCCCGTCTCCAGCGCGTGCGCCATTCGTTATCAACTCCCATCTCTCATATGTTTGGACAGCCTGTACCAGATATCTCCTCCCCCCACGAGAGCCCTGCACATCTATCGAGAAGCTCATCATTCAGTGATGGTCTTCCAAGTGCTATGGACACTCGCCTGGACTTTGGAGAGCCTTTACCTGAGTTGGATTCGGTCGAACCTGGTGTCCAGCTGGACCGACCACTTTCGGCTCATCAGCCAAACACCGGTTTGATGGGATCCCGTGCACTTCCAAGTCTTCTTCGTGCACGAGCGGCGAGGGCCATGCGGCGAGAAGAGCAAACCCCTCTTTCTCGAGTTCTACAACTCGCTGCTGCTGCAATCGCAGCCCAGCTTTCTGGTACCACCGGTCCTGCACTACCAAATATTCAAGCTTTGGGTAATAACGGGATCGATGGCTCGCTAGAGAATTTTATCCAGAGTTTGCAACATGCCACGAACCCCCCAACGCAGCCATCTCCAGCCGGAGAAGGACCAAGTCAGACTGGAGTCGAAGTTCCAGCGGCTCCAGTAAATTTCCTGCGTGTCTTCCGGTTTGCAAATTCTGACTCTCCTCTTGGTACCGGTCCACTGGCACGAGGTCCGAATGGCTCTGAAAATTCAGGTCCTCAGCCCGATGGAATGTCTATCGATGAGCCCTCGGAAGGAGGTGAAGGCCGGACGGTTACTCTGGTCGTGGTGGGTGTCCGATCAGTTCCTGCAGGCAATGGAGGCAATGGAGAAGAAGGACCGGCCGCTCCTGGTGGCGCCGGTCTGGATGCCTTGCTCGGGCTGCCGTTTTTGCCACCTAACGCTATTCCCCGACCCCCTGAAGGCGCTGGCGATCTCTCATCGCGGGCGGATGCGCGATCTAGGTTGCAAGCGGCTCGTCAAGCTAGGCCCGGCGGTCTTCCTCGAGAATTCCTTCGCCAGCCTGGCCAAAACATCCCGCGGAGGATGTCAGATGCCGGACCTCGCCCTCTCTCTCCGTTATATCCGCTTTCTACGACAACCCAGTCCGACAGTCCACCTGGACCGCACCCGCCACCATCAACTCCAGCTGAGCCGGGTATGTCAGCTGTATCCTCGGGAACCTCGACCCCAAGTCGCAGGCCGTCCTCAGCCTCGACTCTGTCACCAAACCATTTGCCCCATCTTCATGAGAACCAGCCCTTGCAACCCACTGTTGAGCCCTCAGAAGAGTCTGCTCCACCTGGTGCTGCCAGGCAGCGACGAAGAAGCGATTCGGAGTTTGCTCGCCACCGCGCACTTGGCTCGGGATCTGTTCGGCGAAATGGAGTGGTTGAACCTGATCAACCTCCTCCAAGTGGTGGCCGAAGCTGGCTCATCTACGTCGTTGGCACCAACTTGTCGGAAAACCACCCGGCCCTGACGACTCCAAGTCTCTTCACTGATAACCCTACTTACGAGGATATGATCTTGCTATCGTCACTCCTAGGCCCTGCCAAGCCGCCCGTGGCCTCTCAAGACGACATCAACTCTGCAGGTGGTCTCTTCCGTCTCGTTGAGTATTCAGGGTCGTTGGTTGCGGAATCCGTTCATGGCGCTGGCGCCATCCAGATCCAGGACGGCGAACGTTGTCTTATCTGCTTGAGCGACTATGAAGTGGCTGAAGAGGTCCGGGAGTTGGCTAAATGCAAGCATGTGTTCCATAGGGATTGTATTGACCAGGTACGTTGCTTATTAACTTATTTCATGTCAACCACCTTTGCTAATTTGGATATTCACAGTGGTTGACCACGGGCCGAAACTCGTGCCCTCTTTGCCGAGGCCAGGGTGTTAAAGAGACGTCGAACGACGAGGGTCCAGCAGCAGCTGAACCTGCTCCTGCTCCAGCCCCTGAGGGCACTGCCATATAATCTTCACCTTGGTGGCGGCACATATGTGCATCCAACTCCACATCCTGAACAAACTCACCTATGGCCGTTGGGCCCTTTATAACTCTACTCATTGAACATTAGCATTCCAGCGTCTGCTTAGAGCCTTTATGAAATTTCTTCCTTGGATATCCCCACGGCAATTTTCTATTTGTTGCGTTGCTTTCGGGCGCTTTCGTATACAGTTTGCTTTCTTCTGTTAGTCATCAAATCGAAGTCTAGAGGCTCAGCCATTCTTTGGAAAGCTACCGCCTGCTTTGGTGAGGTGTCTCGTTTCATTCCTCTGTGATTACTGTGTTTTGTGGTCGTTGGTTTGACGGTTTGTGATGAACTACTCATTGGGAATTTCATCCTACTTTGTAATTTTCTTTTTTTTGGCCAGGGACAATCCTTGGCCAGTCAATACCATTCTCATTCTAGATCATATGCTGTGATCCACCTAGTGTACTCTGATCTCATCAATCGCAACCTACAACTATCAAGTTCATGATCTGTATCTCCGGAGTCGGCGATGCCCCGCTCACGTGATGGGAAATTTTCCCAGTGCGGGATGAAAGCTGGCCATCACCAAGGTCGCTTCTACATTCGGAACTTGTACAGGTATTCTTGTACAGTTCAGACTTTACCTAACATCTCAATTGGCCACTTCAAGACCAGAAGTCCGCCTTTGGCCCGCAGACCTCGACCAATTGTGAAACCACAGCAATTTTCCGAGCTCGAACCTCCCCGCAACGACGCTCTCCCCACCATCCTCGCAACAAAATAACCACATCACATACTTCATCTCCCCTCAAGATGGCATCCCCGATCCGCACAACAATCCTCATCTCCGGAAGCGGCACCAACCTCCAAGCCGTCATCGACAAAGTCCAAGCCGGCGCCCTAAACGCCCAACTAATCCGCGTCCTCTCCAACCGCAAAGACGCCTACGGCCTCGAACGCGCCCGCAAAGCCTCCATCCCAACCGAATACCACAATCTCGTCAAGTACAAGAAGGCGCACCCGGCAACACCGGAGGGCGTGCAGGCCGCGCGCGAGGAATACGATGCCGAGCTGGCGCGGCTGATTCTGGCTGATCAGCCTGAGTTGGTGGTTTGTTTAGGATTCATGCATATCCTATCGCCACAGTTCTTGTTGCCGTTGGAGAAGGCGAATGTGCGGATTATTAATCTGCATCCTGCGTTGCCGGGGGCGTTTAATGGTGTGGTGAGTATGAATATATATTTTCTCTGCTTTTGTATCTTCTCCAGGGATTTGCAGCTATATTATGGACAGTGGATAGTGTTACTGATATACTTTCTGTGCAGAATGCGATTGAGCGTGCTCATGCTGCGTGGATGGAGGGCAAGATTGATAAGACTGGCGTGATGATTCACGATGTGATCTCGGAGGTGGATATGGGCAAGCCTATTCTCGTACGGGAGATTCCATTCGTGAAGGGGCAGGACGAGGATCTGGAGGTCTTTGAGAAGCGTGTGCACGAGATCGAGTGGGGGACTGTCGTCGAGGGTGTTGGGATGGTGCTTGAGGAGCTTCAGGCTGCTCGAAAGCAATGATTGAACTTCAGTTTGGGGGTATATCTTATGGCATACTTCATGGAATGTACTCCATGAGAAGATGTACTGGCTTCACCGAAAATCGGGCAAGTATGGGAGTATGGAGTTTGCCTGGGCATTGCAGCTTTTGTGCTTTGGCTATCGATGAGGCTGTTGACGATGTTATGACTCAATATATCATGTATGAATCTTGAAAGACCACAAAAATTTTGCATCTGCGGAGAGGAGCTTGGGCCAGCGCCATCGAGGGGACTACGAGAGGGACTACTGTACAGTACTCCGTACAGTATGTATTTTGAGACTGCCGCTATGCTGTACCGAGGCTGTTAGTCAAGAAAACACCCAGAATAGTCAACCATGGACGCTCCCAATGCCTAGAAAGGCGGTCGTAGCAGCAAATGATGCCCTTGAGTCGAGACTCGGGCCGGTAATCACGGGAGAAAAGATAGCTCTCCTGTACGGAGTAGAGATGATGGTGATAACCCTGTAATACCCTTGAACATACTCTGTACACCTAGTACGTTAGTGGCCATTAGTCAGCGATACATGACTTCCAAAGGACTAACTAACTTGGGGAGTTATAATACGGAGTAGTTAACCTCCTATGAACGGACCTATTTTTCTGGCTGTACCAGAAAACGGTAGCGCTTGGGCCGCGGAGACTTCGCAAGCATATCCTAGTCCAGCATTGTCAAGGACTCAAGCCACGCTCCAGTTAGCAGGATTATTGTTAATTGATTTGGTGGCGCCTATGGCTAAAAGACCGGGATCTACGACTGAGATGTGCAATTACCTTTTAATTTTACAATATTATTTCTTTTTTTTCTAATTTCACAGTAGCATGCGGTATCCACCAGACCAATCTGGTGTCACATGTCTAAACCCTCGTGGGTCCTTTACTTAGTCCCCGAGGTAAAATCATCCGGAGCCACGCGACCATTGTCCGGCAGAGAACCCGCCAAGGGAAGTCAAGTCAAGTCAATCAGGGGAAGTCGTTATTTGCGGGGATCCATAGTTAAAGTACTCCGCACTGTAGTAGGGGGTGGGAGGAACATCAGGACATAACGGAACACGTTGCGGCCCAGCATTAGCCCCCAGTAGTTGGCCAGTCCAGCAGAAAATGACACTATGATTTAGTTGCTTGGCCCTGCAGCGCAACTCCTTAATGCCGGAGGCCTGTCTAATCAACAACAGGTTTCAGCCAAGTCGACCTGAGTAAACAAGAAAAGACGATGTTAGGTTCGCGCCGTCCGGGCGTCCGGCGCCAACAGGAAAGAGTAACAGACCCCACAATAGGATTCGTTAGACCGTCTCAGGATCGAGAAGGTTAACACCAAGGAGTTAAGGACTCGATCAACTGGGGGCTGGTTGGGAGCCAGAGACAGAGAGAGCTACGGCTTACGGAACAGTGTAGGCTTCGTGGCTCCGCGGGGAGAATGGATAGAACAGTGGATTGTTATGATTGACATTCTATAACTTGACATGGTTTCGTCCTGCATTGGTCCTGGGCTACATCCAAAACGACCGGCGTCAACTCAATTCGCACCCCAGTAACAGTGTTGAGTTAGTCTAGGTAATCGTATCCGACAGTAACCCCTGGCGGACCAGTGGGATCTGTGTCCTATGATATGGGAGGGAAAGTAAGATCGGCCGATCACGGCCGCTATCGTCACAGAAAAATAGTAATGTAGTTGGTTACAGTAGTGCTATGTAGGCTAGCTGGCAGCCTGCCAGGTGGATTCACTTGATTGTAGCATCGGACTATGAAACCTCCCCGGTTGGTGGGATCGTCCACGCTACGGTGGAGGCGGAGCTAGGTTGGTGCTTCCTGTGGATAATGGTGGTATTTGGCTTGTTCAGCCTCATCGTTGCCGTTAGATTTGTTTCGAGCCAAGAGACTTTCCGGTAGAGTTTACTGGCGTCGGTTTTTGTCGTGAGAGCAAGGATTCTTTCAAGTTCGGGGCGGTTACTTATCTCCGTTGGCGGTTAGATTCAGATTCAGATTCAGATTTAGGGGTGGGCGAAGGTTTAGATGGAGCTCATGAGTATAACTAAGTTAACTAGAGGCATATTATGTAAGAACACATTCTTTTCATGAATCTCTAACATCTGCCATTGAATCTGCAACAAACTATTGTATCACATTTGAACTCCGTTCGGAGGAAGCCGGATATTTCTCAAAGTTCATAATTTCATGATCTACAAGGGTCAGGCTGCCTATGTAGTCATGGATCATGTACGGAGTACGGGAATAGGAATCTACTGGACTTAGCATTGATCGACGAACCAGATATTGTGCCGCTCTAGTGCGTATGCTGGAAGTTCCACCTGCCAAGGCATTATACTTCGTTGACATAAGAGCATAGATGCTGGAATCAGCGACAGTAGTAATACGAACAACTAACTAGTGCCTACGCCACTCGGTGCAACTAAGCATTTGCATGGATACTACGGAAAGCGTCGACGCCGTCTCAAAGTCAAAACATTGAGATCCCGTCATTCGCGCCCAAAAGAGGTGGCGTCCTGTCTTCTAGATTCTTCTGCCAAAGGATCATTGTCCAGATTGGTCTCTTCTCTTTGCGCCGTGGCCAGATGAACGTGTCAGCCTACAGTGGAAATCTTAAAATGTAAGTATGCTCAATCCCACAGTGCTCTTTATTCCTTTCTGCACACAAGTGTGGAGAAAATGGCGAAAGTTGGATGGATTAGTATCATTGGGCAAGCCACGAGTGTACAATAGCTAGATTGAAAAGCTGTTCTCGTACTTTCAATAAGCCCGAGCTATTCCGTACAAGGAGCAGAGTTCCTTGAACACACCCCAAAACTAGATCATTTGTTTCGTACGAACTTCAGGGTTAGGCAGCTGGTCCCCTCAACATGGTACAAGCTCCCGACTTGCATTTCACTACTGTGGTCCAGTGTCCAGGGGTCAAGAACTCTGAGCGTCGACAGTTATCGAATTGGCCGCGTTGGTTATAATCATCCTAAAAGGTTGCTGGTTACCGATAATGAGGTTCGGTAATTACAAGAAGACAGGGATGTCGCGGTCCTACAATTCATGACATGCATTCGACCGGCCCGACTGAACCTAGCCTGAGCATTGATCTCGTATGTGCTCGAGAGACGCGTATGACGGCAGCAAAAGGAAGATTGAGCCAGGGTATACGGAGTACACGACACATCATAATCACCCACATACCTCTCCAAGTAGTTGCAAGTTGAGTGATTTGGCGATGCTATGGCCCAGGGCACGCATGGCTTCGATACCCCGCCGGTTATGACCGTTGGATCTACCCTTATTTAATTGGGGTGAAACCTCCATTCTTGTTCGAGCTGAGTTCTAGTCATTAGCCCAATGCGTTTCGCACGTGAATAATCTCAACGAACAATGGAAGAAAAGACAAAGCACAATAAAACACGTGCTTTGTCTTTTCTTCCATTGTTCGTTGAGATTATTCAAAATCCAGGTCGGGAGACTACGCCAAATTCTCTCCATCTACGATGGAATGACCACGCCACATCAAATCATCATTGATGGCCCAGTAGCAAATATTCAAAATTTGTAAAATCCCTCTGTATACGAGTACGCATTTTATACGAGATTCAACCCACGCACCTCTTTCCCAGCATGACACTGGCTGTTCAACCTTTCCGTCCGTATTTGATTGGTGTTTGAGAAATAGGGAAAAGACCCAATATTAATTAGCTCACTCAACCTACTGAATCGGGAATAGTAGCACATGCATGTGGGTTATTGACCAGTAGTGTTCCCCAAACTCCCGGGACCAGAACTACAGTAGCACCTGGGCCATGGGCCATGGGGATGAGATCTTGAACGGAGATGTTACCTATCCTGGACCAGTGCGGGTGCTAATATGCCAGGACCGGGATCAGCATAGCTTCATGATCCCGGACTAGTGTGTCAAGGGCCAGGCGGCTACGATAGTGGTGAGAATAACCATGCTGACTGATTTGTATAGAGGGGGAAGAGTTACTCTGAAAGTCGTCTGCTAGTGTCCCTGCTTGCCACTACGTACAGCAAAAAAAATAATGATCAACGGTAGGGAAACCAAATGGTCCACATGGAAATGGAGTCACGCTGTAGAAAAACGATGGAGTCAAGATCCACCCTGTCAAGGAGCTCGTTCATTAGTGTTTAGGTCGGCTCACCTTTCACCCACATGGCGAAAAAAAAAATAATAAATGTCGAAGGGTCGGTGCGCTGTACAAGTCCCGGCAGACGTAGCGTTATGTTTATACAGTAGTACATACCCTTCGGGCATGGACTGGTCCTTCTTTAGGGCTTGGCAGTAGGCATGACTGAGGAAGAGTGAACTGGTAGGCAAAAAGCTATAGAGGAGCCTATAGGATCAAGGACACCCGTACAAGATACTGTAGAAATGGGATGGACGTGTCCATGATGACGGATAGACCAAAATCTCGGACTGCTGATAGGTCTCATCGGGAAAGGAAAGGAACGAATCAGCGCCAGCTGCGCCACTGGTGTCTGGATGATCCATCAATATTCCCTGTCACTACCCACCAGAAGGGTAATAACACTTTTCACGATCCAGGATTGTGCCTTGAAAGAGCTACCAGTCGCGCACTAGTCCACGACTGTACGAGCTGCATCGGTGCATCGGTGCTTGAAGTTCCGGTGGAGTCGGTCCGATCCTGAGCATGCTCAGCATGGCTTTTTATGATTATTTGGGTCGTAAGGATGGCGTCTTTGCTCAATTCCTCCATTCTCCTCAACGTTAGCGCCTGCTTAGGGCGGCTCCACCTTTTTTGTTCTCTCTGTCAAAAAAACCCCGCCGATCAGGCACGCGGCCGATTGATAAATTTTTTTCCTCCCTTGGAATTCGAACGAGCGGAGGTGGAAAGAGGGGAAGACGAGGATGAAGACGAAGGGGGAGGCTGAAAATAGCACTAGAAAAGGGGGAAATAAAAAGGAATACTGTACTGTAGACCAGAACAAGAACGAGGCAATTCAACCACCCCTGGGAATTCCCGTTCTCAGTCTTCCCACACCAAACACATCATCATCACACCACATTCATCCATGATAATCCTCACCCCTGTATATTTCTCCGACATTCAAATTTTCCTCTCCGGATCCTGCATGAATCATAGAGTTGTCCTCGAACAGGCGCATCTCCACACGGACCAAGTACTTACCCTCTCTGGTCCATAGCTGGAAGAACTAAAACGTCCCTTAGTCACCCGGCTCCACTCGCAAGAACCGATCTCCGTCACGAACAGAACGTTTTCGGCATTTTGCAAGATGCACCCGCCTCGAAGGGTTTCAGATTTGCCGACTGGCCCTGAAAATTGTGCTCCATAATGAGATGTACATCTTCCCCCGCTGTGCTCGTGCTTTCCGTGCTAAACTCCCTTTGTCCTCTCGGCCGCCGCTTGTACTCGGGTTCCGAGCTTCCGAAGCTTGAATTGATCGCCGAGGATGCCTTCTTGCCTTCTTTGCCCTCTTTTCCTTTTCCATCGGATAGAACTCCGTTGATATTCGGAGATGTCTCCACTGGTGACCGTGGTGATGGGTTTCAATAGTTATGGGAGATGGCACCAGATTTCTCTCTGAGGATCCGCCCCTCTGCGGGGACTTCTCGTTCTCGTTCTGGGTCGATGCAAAAGAGACTCTCCGGACTCTACGGAGAGGGCTAACGCACCATGCGTACTCCGTAGTGAGCTAGGTAACTCCCGAGGAATATAGCCGCCAGAGTAAAAAGACCCATCTGGTCTTCTTGACACTGGACAGAAAGTACCATGCAGAACCCGGAAAGCAGGGCGAACCTAAGTAGAAGTGATTGACAAGGCTACGATTAATGCCCGAATCCTCCGTGCCCATTCCATTTCTTTTCTTTCTTGGTTATCTCCTGCATGGATTCAGAACAACTGTACTGCCAGCGGTTTAAGCAGCCACTGAAGCCCCTCCGAATCAAGCCCTAAGAAATTGCATTTTCCGCTGATATCACCTTCCCCCCCCTTTCTGTGGCTTGAGATGATCGTCCCTCCTAAGGAAGGCCTAAACCAGTCGGCCCCCCTTTTCCAAAGTTCACCGAGACCCGAGGTGAGGGACCCATCTCTCCCTCGGAGACAGCAAGATAAAAATACCAGAGTATAGGATGATCTGGATGATCCCCAAGTGGGGAACTGGGAAAAAGAGCGAAAGGGGCCAGCAGTGCGAGGTGCTACATCATCACTGTTGGCACTTGCAATACTACCTGGTAGGATTTTTTTGGGGCCGAACAGTAAATCCGTAATTTCTTATAGCCTAATCCGGGTGACCCTTAGGCTTGTGTGTAAATTATAATTGCAGCAGATGCAGGCCTAGTTGAAATGATTCATTCTCCTTCGATTGCGAATAGCTTCTTGGCTCCCCACTCCGCCGGAAGAAACGGCGAGAGAAAGAAGTTTAGTATTAAATATAACTAATTACTGCGGTATTAACCCATTTAAAGCCCTCAGTGTCAGACTCTAAATCATATGCCCAATCATGACAAGCCCACATAGTTATGAAGCAATATCTACGGAGGAGTCCCCCATACGGAGGCATCAATCGAAACGGGCTAAAAGTAGCGGGCATAGTTCCAGGATCCGCCCAAGGATGGGGAGTTTACACATCCTCCTCTCCGAACTCCGTGATTTGGGTGCAAATCTTTTGGTCCTTCCTCCGTGGTCACTGGGTAGGCCAGATAGAGAGTCGAAACTAGTTTAGTTGCCCATACTAGCCCGGAGCCACTAGTGATTCACGACTCTGTACTCCGTACAACTACAGTACTGGACTTAGGTTTGTCCTGTTTTCTCTGGCTCCGGTCTCGTATTTTGTTACTGTAGATACGGCGATCAGGATCGCTGTCAGCGGCACTAAAATAGAAAATGAGGAGCCATCAAAAAGGCAAGAGAACATGACGGTCTTCCGTAAGTGGAGCTAGAAAATAAGACTGCGTTCATGTGCATTCAGAATCGTAAGAACAAAACAATACAAAACAAGTAAAAATATAGAATCGAATCCGACCAAATCATATTAGTAAAGTCAAATGAGTAACTTCTGGAAGAGAGAGAGAGAGAGAGAGAGAGAGAGAGAAAAAGAAAAAGGTTTCCATTCTCTCTGCCTTTGTGACTTGACGTGTTTTAATCTCCCGCATATTCTGGTTCCAATCATCCGGGTCCAAACGTCAAACCCCCCCCCCCACCACCCAACCCCTTCTACACGCCTTCTTTCCCTCTTCAACCCTTACGAACTACCCACTTCCCTTTCATCTCCGATGTCCTCTTAATATGCAAGTTCCCAGCGGAGCTTCTGGTTGACTTTCCATGGGGGAATCCACGCGCCACCTAACAGAGAAAGTGCGCGCGCCTTGAAGGAGGCCGTAATAGACACCATCCCCCCCCGGAATCCCCATACCATACTCAAAGGTCCTTCCGAAATTCTACCTTGATCTTGGGCTGATCTCCACGATCACCCGCACACGACACGTCCTCCATGGCGCAATCATATCATCAGTCCCAGGCAGCCCTGGCCGGCTTCCTCGACTCAATGCAGCAGGACACTGGCATGTCCGCTTACAACATATTCGGCCCCTCGCAATATCCCGAGAGCGTCGCGTTCTGGCATGACCCTTCCGCGCCGCCGCCGCCCATGGCCCTTCCCGCTCCGTCATACCCGCCCAAGCAACAGACCCTACTCCAGCCCATCCCGGACCAGAAGAAACACAAGCGCACCCGTAGTGGTTGCTTTACCTGTCGTTCACGTCGCATCAAATGCGACGAGGGTCGTCCGATTTGCGAGCGCTGCCGGAAGGGTGGTCGGGACTGCGTTTATCCGTCGCCAACCGCGCAGTCAGCTAAGAGCTCCCGCTCGTCGGCCAAATCACGTAGCGCTCGCCCTCAGTCGCAGGGTAGTGACTCATCTGGTAAAGTGGACACCGAGGGAATCAGCCCGCTTGAACCTATTATCGATGAAGAGGAGCCCGAGGGTACGGATGTGGGATCGGGACTATCGCCAACGAGTGGCAGTGGTACTAGCCAGTTACGACATGATCTACACCGCACGCAAAGCGGCCAGTCACTGCGGAAACGCAGCATCAAACAGCCGTCGGAGGCGGGATCGTTCCATCTGGAACCGAGTAGCTCTCCCTCGACCGAGTCATCGCGGTTCGAGTCGGTGAGTGTACGGTCGGCGAGTATCAGCCAGTCTACGTTAGACTTGCTCAATAATAGTCGACTGTCAGATGATTTGCGGTTCTATCTGGACTTTCATCAACAGTTCATCTCGCATGAACATTTCTTTTTGAGACAGAGCAGCGCTCGTTTCATCCATCACAGCATTATCGAACTTGCCCTGGGCTATGATCCTTTGCTGTATGCTTTGGTGGGATTTGCAGCATATCATCATACTTTGCAGAGTGGAGGGAAACTCTATGCATTTTTGAAGTATTATAACAAGGCTTTGGTGCTCTTGCGGAAGTCTTTGGAATCGGGCGAGGAACACAGTGAAGCAACGTTGTGCACAGTTCTTGTTTTGACGACGTTTGAGGTATTTACACATGATACTCTTCTCCCCTGGACTACACTCTTTGGGTAGTTTCTAATCATTATTCTTCAATATAGGAGTATATTGGGGATTGGGTGAATCTCATCGATCACCATCAAGCGGCGCATGCCTTGATGCGAGAACTCTTAACACCCGAATCCTCAAATTTGATCGAACTCCATACCAACATCTTCCTCTGGTACGCACGATTCGATGTGGTGGCCGGCATTCTGGCCGGCACCGAGGCTATCCTTGGCCGTGACTGGTACATGGCAAAGGAGCAATACGACGCCAATCAAGCAGCCCTGTACCCCGAAGATCCAAGCAAACAACTTGCTCTTGTCGCCTCCATCAACCGACGCTTCGGGCTGGATATGGCCTCGCTATATGCCAAACTCTCGCGGGGCATGATCCCAATGGACCAGTTCGCCCAACAAAATGAACAACTCGGTCAAACAATGGAACGTGCCAAGAATATCCTGAAACAATTCGATGATTCTGAAGACACCGTACGCTCGTATCCAAATCAACAGCCCCTGACGGATGACGATATCGTGGACCCTTACGTACCGGGCTGCATATTACAAGGACCCCTCTGGGATGCAAACTATGCGAGGATCGATCTTCTTTCCACCGAGTTGATGTTTAAATATCAAACCATGCTTTCTTTGAAGCAACCGCTCTTGCCGGATCTGCAACGGTTGGCCTTTGAACAATGTCAGTTGATGGAGACGATATCACGCTGGCCAGATAGGGGTAATGGATATTGCATCGGCTTCAAGAACAGTATCGGTCTCTCCAGTATGTTTTTGCCCAAGGATTTGAAGCATCAGATGTGGTCGAGGCGCAAGCTGGCCTTGATGGAGCAGAAGGGGTAAGCCTGTCCCCATCTCACCCTTTTGTTTTATTAGTTGTCCTCAAATTCCAGCAAAATTAGTACTAACATTACCTCGATAACTAGGTACATCATTGCCCCTCGATTCCGTGCCGCCATCGCCGCTATCTGGCAACTGCCTGAAATCCAGCACTGGTGGCTTCCTAATGACGAAGGTTACTCGGACATTATCCGCGAGGTCCGAGGCATGTCTGAAGAGCGTATGAACCAACCTCTTGATGATTTCCGGGAGAATGTTCGGGATATGAAGTCGCTCTTCTGGAAGCTCAGTGTGGATGGTCAAGATGAGGAGGGAAGTCCTTCGAGTAGCCATGCCAGCTATACCTGATGAACTTTTTTGGATCAGCCGACCACAATTGTGCTTCGCCACACCGAAGTAATCCTCGTCACGTTGACATGCTGTCCCTTCTGTGCAACACCCGGATGTCTGCATATCGCGAGTCATTCCCTTTCCGAGCTGCGTTCCCGTCACAGCTATATTATCGACAGAATTCCCGATAGAAGAGTGCCCGAGAACTCCAAACACCGATTAAATACCACCAACTTCACACTTACCCCCACAATTCCGACTGGGCAATACCATTCTTTGCTTCCGCACAAGCGAATCAATCCATCTCTCTGAAGAGACGTGCAGCATCCCCACAACTTGTACTACTTGTCACATATTATCTATATCAATGTCCTAATATCTCCCCCACATTTCCTCCCCTCTCTCTTCGATGCCTTGCACGGCATCTCCACCAGTCATGACTTTACGTGTACACTCATCATTCATATACCCTACACGTTCGCAATCCAACAAAGTTCACATACCATGTTCACATGTCATATTAGTGATTATACCTCGGAATCCAGGAACTCACTCATCTGGCAATAGAAAAACAGATCCAATAGATGATGATAATGGTTCATTGTCGGAGCCATTTCAATGTACATTTTCTTTGATCGTATCAACGTATTGTTCACCCCGGATAATGAGGTTGAAATCGTTCGACACGCTACATCTCAAAGAGCTTTGTAATGGTTAATTAATTAGACAATGCAACAATACGAGCAAGAATACCAAAACATAACAAAGATTGCACCATGTCTATTTTCCATCGATTTTCCTATAGCAACATTATTCAACCTCCAAGACACAGCTGGTTTCCAAAAAAGGATATCGCCCACGCTTCGAATCCAACCCTTCAAAACCCTCGACCTCCTCGACAGGGTATCTTTCCCTAAAACAATTCCTCTCGCCGAAACCCGTGGCTATATGAAAAGAAAAACTCTCCTTCCATCAGAATACACACTCACTCAACTACACAAACATGGACTCAATCCACTACCTCTATAAATTTACCACAACAATAACATCCCTCCAAAACTTCCTCGCCCATAAAGACAACTCCCATCTCCACTATCCTACACTAATCTGGCTAATAACCATCTGAATTCGCGATCTAGACGTTTACTACAGCACGGCTATGTACATCGACGACGAGGTTGTGTCGAGGGGATGGATTGCCGTGTGCGAGGAGATTAGGCGGTGTTTATTGCGTATTTGTTGGGGGTTGAAGGAGGGGATAAGGATGAGGATGGGGATGGGGATTGTGAGGTGGGATATGGAGTGGGCTATTTGGTTTTACAGGAGGCTTTTAGGAAGTAGTGAGGTTTGAGAGAGGATAATAAATGGCGAGTCTGAAATATCTCAGCATCCGCCCGGTTAGAGATATGTTGACGATATCTCTGTAGGGAAACCCACCAGTTCGGTCTGGTCAAACAAAACTGTTCCATTCGACAGTCAGTGGACGTTACTTTGTCTCCACAGGCAATCCGGGAAACGACGTGTCGTCGCTTGACTGTCTCGGATGCATCAACCGAATTCTGACCATCAAGGTTGGTGCAGACGGATTTTCGTCTCTCTGCAGACAATACATGCCTTTGTTCTGGAGCAAGAGCTCTAGAGATAATCAAATAAACGAGAATGGGTCCATGCAAGGCTTATTACCTACTACACGGCCAGAAGCAGCAGCTTCTTTAATGATCCAATCCCATTATCTGTAAACAAAGCCGCCTAGGTCCATAATAAAATATAGTATCGTGTGCAACCGTCGAGAGGTGCTATTGAGCAAGTGCTCCATTCAGGGTCAAAATCGACAAGACACCACATTGAATCTCCCAGAGATCAATGTTTGTAACCCTGTCATATAAATTGTGCACCTTTTACACACTTCCTCTAGCCGCCCAAGCTTCCCTGCATGTAATCGATAACACGCAGCAATGCCGAGCCTAATCCCACGGTGGAAGAAAAAGAAGCCTTCCACTTTCAAGGAGTTATCACCATCGAACAGAGATTATTTAGTAGATGTACTCCAGGCAACAGCACCTAGTCAGTCCGAGGCAAACATTCAACCACAGCAGAATCAGGATGAGCCTATATTGCGACACCAGGGTGAGACAGTACCAGCACAGTTATCTCCACGGCCAGAGCCAGATAACCCAGTCATGCCCAAGCCAACATTCGAATCATTCTTGCGAATGGCCAACGAAACTGTGAAATGCTGGGAAAGGCGCGATTCCAGAATCACCAATTCGATGAAGGCGAAACTAGCGAGTAACTTTTCCCTGGAAATCAATTCTTATATGAAAGAATATGCGGAGAAGACCAGGGCGGTATCATCCCGCAGACACATTCATCGTATTGTGGAACAATGTGTGCTAGCTAGGCGGAATTTGCGAGAGATCAGAGATCTGTTGCAGGACTTGCATGATCACGACCCGGTTGATGGTCTCACTAGGCGCTTGATGGAAGAGACTTGGCGGGTTATGGTGAGTCTTGAACATGATAATTGGATTGAGGTAGATTATGCTCTAAAGCATCAATAAGACGACTACTCTGGTAGAGCAATGCTATGCGAAACAGGATGCTTGGAGGAGTTTAGTGGACTTAGGAAGGTCTTGAACGACAAGTAGCTTCGGGACTTGACGACTATCTGTTTATATGACGATCTGTTTGGAAGTTTGGAAAGCTAGGCAATGGATAGATTGTTCGGATTTTCATTCAGCAATTCAAAAATTTGATTCTGGGTAGAAAAAGAAAAAAATTCGTAACAATTGATCCCCATCCAGACGATGATACATTTGCAAAAATATATCATCCGAATTGAGTCGGATGGTACTTCATGTGGTCCCAGAGGGGGGTCGAACCCTCGACTTTGGCGTTATTAGCACCACACTCTAACCAACTGAGTTATGGAACCTTGATGTCCATGGAGGACATGAATGTGTTATCACTGGTCATGGTGGAGACTAATTCGGATTCTACCGGAGCACGCGGACTCCTGCCTAACGCGGCAACATTAGCTTGACCAGCCTGGGGCCCTGCACGAGCCTCCTGTAGTCTAAGAAGTTCTATTGACTGTGAGCCTAGCAAAATGAACAGTGAATCTAGTCATATCCACATTAATGGTTTGCACCTGCTGATATATTGGCTACAAAACTCTACATAGTGCGTCTTCCATGCATGGACCCCGGTCACATATTTTTAGGGCGGATCATCGGGCGTGGAACATAGTCATTATGCGCGCACCTGGATTAAATATCCTCTCCACAATTTCTATTTCCAACGTAGCCTTAGTCTGGGCTGAATGGCTTCGAGACCCATCAAAAAAGACAAAGGCATATAATTTCTTTGATCTTTAGACGATTGCAACAATGACTTTGTACGCAGCGAATATCAATAGAGAAGTTTCAACAAAGGCTATCCGAGTATAAGAGGCCTCCCTTTACCCTCGATAGCAGACTTTAAAACTTCAGGCCAAATACCTTGTCCTAGAACCGAGAATAATTAGCAGTCTTCTAGGTAAGTCCCGATATAAGAACTACCAGTCTTCAACCGATTCGCAAGAATGGACTATTCCGACAAATCTGACTTCTGGGATTTCATCGGTCGCGCTGTTATAAACCTGGAGCGCTGGGGTACCGGCAGACGTACTCTACCTCACGATGAAATGATTCGGACGATGGGCGAAATGGCCGATGACTTGCTTACATTTTGTACCTTATTACCGCCAGGTAAGACGGCAACTGCATGTGAGAAGACTGGGCGCTTCCTTGCGATCATCAGGAACAAGCTTGTGTTAGATACACAGCTCACAGACAAGACCAAGGACCAATTAAGAAGGGGTTCCCATTTCTTTGCTCATATCTTGTCGGGAGACCTCCCGATAGATTTCAAGGGCTGCTATTGTTGCTGTACACGATGCCCGTGAGTAAAACTGTCATCTGACGATTCCATATCTTCGCTGATTCTATATGGCTGTTGAAAAGGTGAGTGGTTTTATTTTCAGAGAGGTTGTCGTTCGTGGAACTTCAAACATAAATTGAAATTGATTTAGTCATCTAGTAGCCATTATCACAGCGTTCCAAGTAATTGTAGTCGAAACTGATACTCAGATTATAAGGAAGATACTTTAGGCAAGGGAACATGTACGTACCTAGCCAGTAAAAGGCCCTTACTCCCTTAGATATACCATTAGACTGAATAGCCTCTGGTGTTGCCTCGCTTCTAATCATATCATGCCTTAGAAATGAGGAGAAATAGTTATGAATATCAACCTAATCTTTGTTAAAGTTAGCATCGGTCCTTTTTCTCTATGTACACTCGAAGTTGATTGTTCGAAACCTCCTTAGCTACTGAAAAGTTGGCGACAAAGAAAAGTCCATTGTTTCTTTGACAGGCATACTAAGATGCATTGTAAGCATTCAAAGAAGGCCAAATTTAGAGACAACAAAGAGACTTCCTAATTGTTCCAATGTATACCAAGCCTTTGTGACTCGTAAGAATTTAACAAAGACTCCACTTCCGAAGCCTTCAGGACCTCGGATATAAAGATGCCCCATTCTCCCTCATTTCTCTACTCAGTCAAGTGCCTGGGTTCTTTTGAATTCCCTCTTATCTTATACCTCTTTCCAGAAAGCTACCTACCACTGTCCCACAACAATGGACTTGCAAGCCTTCAAAACACACGTCGCTTACTCCGCCAACATTCTCAAAGAATGGAGTGACAGCCGATCCCTCCACCCTTCCTATCACCACATGGCAGGTGTAGTGGAGGACAACATCATCGATGGCCTCGAAGAATATCTGAGCGAATATACATCGGACGAAACCGGTAAGCCACATCCACATTACGAATACATCACATTCTTCAGCAACGAGGCTTTGAGGCTTCTTTGGGATGTCAGAGATGAGATGCTTGGTTCTAGCGATGAGATCATGGGCTCTCCGGGCCTTAACGAATCCGTCAAAGACAGGGTAGAAGTTGCTATCCAGTCTCTCGACGTATTGAGGGAAAAGATTCGTCGTCAGCAAAGATCCGAAGGGTATGTCGAGCTAACGTCTGATCGCCGACAGCGCAGGGACCATCGTTCGGCCTCGCGAAGATAGACAGACGCGAGACACTGACTTGACTGATGTCACTGGAGAAAGGTGAGATTCTTTGTTACACTGTTGTTTTGTGATTCGCTGACTGGTTATTTCGGGTACTATTGATGGAGGAATCGGGCTCTGCAGATCGATCTTACTATTTCACACTCAAATCTTACTCGAAAGCGCAGAATCTGACTAAACATATGATTGAAATTGATAATCGTTGGAATCTCGTAGTTACCATGAGTATTGACACTTGAAGACTCATGCTGAACGTATCAATTTACTGGTCGCGCCCTCAGTAGAATGAACTCGGATTTCATTTGTTCAAAGATTTAATATGACAGTTGATGCTTCCATGTGTAAATGCACTGTGGTCAGTATTGCCGTAAATGCCGAGCGCCGGGAGACTTAGTATATACATAGGTCTTTTGGAAGATAGAAGATTGATTGTAAGAGCCAGCCTCATGGGATCTCCTTCTCTTCTGGGCCACAGCCAGCCTTCCAGGGTACATCCTTAGCCTTCACAACCGTCTCCCACCCACCAGCCAATTCCCGACTGCTGCCCATACCTAATTCCACACCTTCCACATCCTCCCCCCAAGGCAGAGCATCAACATCCACCTCCCAACCCAGTAAGCAGCGCAGTATAACGCCCGCTCCAGCCTTGCTCATGACAACGTTCATCTCCTTGCATCGCTCATCACAGACGCACTCGATGCACCCCTGCGGCGAGAGACAAGAACAAGAGTCAATGCGAGTTACCGCTCGTCTCAGGAGTAATCCGATAAACTCGAACGCCTTGCTCGCAATGCCAGATCCACAGGACCCACCCTTTGCGTCGTAGAAGGTCAATCGTGCAGGTCGCTGGCGTGATGGCGGTTGGATCTTCTTCTCTAACTCTGCGTTGGACTTGCCCGATGCATTCGCACGACGAAGCCCACTACTGAGCTCTTTCTTTGCGACCTTGCACTCAGTGCGGACGTCACCCGGTGAAGATATCACAAAGGATGGAAGGAGTGAGAGGACCGCATGCTCAGCAGCATGAATAGCGGCTGCAACGTTGAGTCTATGCGATTCGAGGATGTCGATGGCTCGTGAGGGCACGTTTAGCCACATACCCTTTGTGAATAGGTCGATTGGGGGATTATCGACGGCGACAGCATCGAGGACACGGCCGCGCTTGTCGATCTTGAAGAAGCCATACACGACGGCGTGGATCTGCACAGCGCCAAAGAAGGCACGGCAGGCATCAGACCCGGTGCCGACGAGGCGCATAGCCTCAGTCTCAATCGGGTCAATGTCGGTGTAGTCACGCTGCATGGTGCTCCAATCGACGTGAACCCGCAGGACGCGTGCAAAGTGGCGCTCTGGGTTGAGCTCCTTGACGATGTATGTTTGGCCTTGATGTAGGAAGATGCCACCTTCGTAAATAGTGAAGAACGCACGCGAGGCCTCAACTTCTTCGAGGACAACATTGCGATTGTTGGTTGTGTCAATCACGGCAAAGTGAGTGTCCTCTGTGTCGCGAATGTTCACACACCGCGATGGCTGGGGCCGGAAGCGTTCGTGGCAGTGATAGAAACCCATGCTATCCTTGATCAGGCGTGTAGCTGCAAGGGCAAATAGTTGCTCGCTAAAGTAGACATGATCCTCGTCTGGGCGAATAGGCATCTCAAAAGCGGCACACTGGACATGCCCCTCCTGGATGAGCTCATTAGACAAGTCAATTTGCAGCTCACAATTCGGCCGCGTGAAAATCTCATCTGGGTTTTGCATATAGTGCTGGTCCGTTGGATATCTCTCCCCAACTAGCACAGACAGGGAGTCTTTGTTTCGTCGACCGGCACGACCACTTTGCTGTCGCAAATTGGAGATTGAATATGGGAAACCAAGCGTGATCACTGCGTCAAGTGAGCCAATATCGACACCCAATTCAAGCGCATTAGTTGCCACGATTCCCATCAGTTTCCCTTCAAACATTTCTTTCTCGATCCGTCGACGGTCCTGGGGACTGTATCCACCTCGGTAGCCCATGACCATCTTGCCAACTTCGGGTCTTTCGAGAGCTTGGAACTCAGTGCGGACGGCTTGTAAGAGGATCTCACATAGCTTTCGTACCCGGCAGAAAGCAATGACTCTTACTCCTCGAAGAATCAATTGGCAAAACAGGCGTGCAGTCTCAGCGACACTATCACCGCGTCCTGAGGTTGGATCAGCTGGATCCTTGAATGGGGTATTCCAGCAGACGAATTCTTTTCGACCTGATGGAGATCCATCATAATCCACCAATTTCACATCCTGCACGCCAAAGATCGATTTCATGTGCTGCTCTGGGTTTGCAACGGTAGCGGAGCAGGATATGAACCTGACATGTCGATTGCCCACTGCCGCACAGATCCGGCGGAGCCTTCGCATGATATATGCTACATGGGACCCGAACAAGCCATTATACACGTGCAACTCGTCCACAACCACAAACTTCAAGTTCTTCAAGAAGGTGCGCCATGCACTTTCTTGTGGAAGGATAGTAATGTGTAGCATGTCGGGATTGGTAAAAATGATGCGAGCCTCATCCCGAATGAGATTCCGGCTACCCATCGGGGTATCCCCATCAAAGGTTTCCACCACTGTTTGCTGAAAGCCGTCCATAAACCGCAGCAGATCCATCATGCTGCGCCGCTGGTCTTGGGCTAGAGCTTTAGTAGGGAAAATGTACATACCCCTGCTGTCGGTATCCTTTTCCAGTTCGTAAAGCATGGGAATCTGGTAGATGAGTGACTTTCCAGAGCTTGTTGAAGTAGATACGATCACATTGTGACCCTCATATAGATGATTGATTGCCTCGGCCTGGTGAGAGTAGAGCTGAGTGATGCCTTTCGTATTGTAAAGCGCGTTGACAAGGTCTTGTGATAGCTGAAAGGTCAAATCGCCGTAGACGGGAGATTGAGCTTCGAACACCCGATGCCCTTCCGGGACAATCTGAGCATGATACCACTCCATCTCCCGGATCTCCGCAATGATCTCCGCGATAGACTTGCGTTCTTTAGGAATTGTGGCTGGTGCTTTGGCAAAAGCAGGAGTGTTAGCCTCACTGCCAGGAGGAGTGGGCAGAAAGAAATTCTTCTCCTGTTCCAGTGTCCCCACTGGCTCGAGTCCTTCATTCTCACAGCGTACAAGAAAGGCGTCAATCGCATCGGTGAATTTGGTGTTGCGTTTTTCAATGAGAACGAGCATCTGTTTTTGGCTGTACACTGGCATCTTCAAATCCTCATCTTTCATTCGGCGCGTAGGTTTCGACGGCTCTCCAGTCTTGGGATGCTGTACCTCCCGCTTGAGGTCACCGTCCACAAATTCAAACAAGAGAACGTCTTTTCTTCCGTCATTTTGATCCGCGCGATTATCAGCCATATCTTCAGCGGTGAGCATGTTATGAACCCTTCGGGATCCGTAGTCGACGCTTTCTCTATCGCCAACCGTCATGATCTCTAGTCGAGCTTCATCCACATACTCGAATCGCACCGCCCGAGGCACCAGCACCTTGACCCTCGCCACATCCTCGACTGTGAGTTCTCGCCCCTGGCCGAGTTGCGCCTGAACGGCTTTTTTGATGTTGTCAAACGTCGTGATGAAGTGTTTGCGCGTGCAGCAGAAGGTATATACGAGGTTCAGTGCGCGATGGGTCTGTGATAGGCGTTTGAATTCATCTGGCCATGGGGTGGAAGGGGTTCTCTTTTTGGGGGCTTTGGATCGTGGATTCGATGCGGTCGATTTTTTCCCTTGGCCTTTTCTCCTCTTTGTGTCTTTTCCGCCGTCTTTGACTTGTGAATCAGACTCATCGTGGAGTGAAGCAATCTCTGCAGTGTTGTCGGCGCCGCCTACTGACGACGCGTTCGAGGACGAAGTGACCGCGGGGTTGGGGGCCTCATTATCTTCACCATAGCTCTGCTTCCGCTTGAGAAGATTCAGAGCGGCGACTATTGGGGAGTCCGTCATGTCGGCGCCCCATCGCGGTTGTGCATGAGGCCGTGGGCAAATTGCGACGTGCAAGAACTCGTCGCCGGTCGAGAAGCAGGGAAACGCGAGATCACGTGATTCAATATAACCCAGTATGGTCGTGTTGTGATTCTGAGTTGAGTGTGGACAGGGACGCTCAGAATGTGGAGAAATTGAATTGATTCTATTAGGAAAATAAGGATTATTCGAAGAATAGTTCAGACGGTTCTATCTCATGGCGGTATCTCGACTCCCCTGTAGCTCTGACATCTGTAAAGCCTTAATGAAAGTGTAGCAGGAAACCTTTAAATAATCAAATTCCCCAGATGATATGCGCTTACGATAGATCTCTGTTGGGTTCACTCTCAAACCTCATGGAGCCCATCTGCCTTTTTCTTATCATGTCATTTCAAATGTTCTTAAGCATATCCGACCGAGTCATGCGGGAAGCATTGAGGCAGTACTAATCAACATTGGCAGTACCTTGAGATAACTCTACCCAAGGATTATGTTTACACAGCAGTATAACGCCGCTTCTCGCTATTATCTCGGGCCGATTGACCGATTATTCTGATGCCAGCGTTGCTTGCCACCATTCCATCATCATCATTTTGGCACCTCCGATTATCGGCAGTTTGACCACCACAACACAGTATGATTCGGTCAAGTCGCCGACCATCAACTTCACCTGACCAGTGACCAGCATAATCAGTCAGCCTGGAATCATCCGATGTAGCACTGAATAGTATGAGATCAAATTTAATCTGACCGAGAATGTGGACTCATACTAACTTCGTGCTACCGCTAACGGACCCCATAGCCCCTTGGGATCTCCGCTCCAATCACGGTCGGCCTGGGATCAGCATATATATTGGACAGTTACTACCCCAACTCTTCCTCGTCTACTCGCTACACACATTACTTGTCCAGCATGTCCATCCATATCCAACTCTCCTCTAGAAGATTGTTTCGCCTGTCCCAAGGTACCTTCGCAGGACTATCATCAGTCAGCCACAAAGCAATGTCTACCGCCACAGGATCGAAACCTGTCCACGACTGGAGCGCGGCGCAGTACCTCAAATTTGAAGATGAGCGAACACAACCAGCTCGCGACCTCCTCGCCCGTGTCCCTCTCCAAGCTCCTAAAAGAGTGGTCGATCTTGGCTGTGGACCGGGTAACTCGACCGCGGTATTGGAGTCCCGCTACCCCAAAGCGCACCTCGTGGGGATGGACTCATCCCCGGACATGATCCGCAAAGCCAAAAAGGCCCTTCCACACCACGAGTTTACTGTTGAGGATTTGCATTCCTACTCGCCAGAAGGATCTGTCGATCTATTCTTCTCCAACGCTGTCTTCCAATGGCTCGGTAAAGACGAGCGATTCAGTATTGTCAAGAAGCTGATGGAGACTCAACCTTCCGGAGGCGTATTCGCTCTGCAAGTCCCCGATAACCTCACGGAACCATCTCATGTTCTTATGCGCGAGACTGCTGAGAATGGTCCTTGGGCCGCGGCTCTGAAGAATGTCGGTCGTGATACTTTCCACACACCACAGGAGATTTATGACCTCCTCAAGCCAGTCTGCTCGAAGGTTGACATTTTCCATACCACTTACTATCATAATCTTGAGAACCATGCGGCTATTATTGAATGGGTCAAGGGAACTGGATTGAGACCTTACGTGGATCCATTGTCCCCCGAGGAGAAAGAGGACTTTTTGCAAGAGTACCTGAAGCGCTTAGAGGAAGCTTACCCATCGACATATGATGGCCGGGTATTACTTCCTTACCCCCGGCTCTTCGTTGTTGCAGTGAAGAAATAATTTGCATCATCGATTAAACTATTTAGCCTTTCCATGTATCGACTTCTTCGTTCTCCTCTACTGTACTCTCACAGTGAATTAATTTCCTATACCACATGAATCAAGCCATTGCCAGAGGATACACATGCTTCGTGCATCACTAAGGCCGTGACAAGTCACACCGACAGCACATGGAAATGGGACTTGTATCGGGAGTCCTGTGTAAATTATCGTACTCGGTCATGCCCCTTTGGTGATTAAGAACCTTTTCCACTCTTTCACTGTGTGATAACAGCGATTTCAATATGCCTAGAATCTCTTTAGCCCCTCACTCTCTCATCATGAAACTGGAATAATGGGACAACAGTCTGCATCTCTGTTAGCCTAGTCAGAGGACGGATATGACACACAACACACAACCTCAGGCTAGATCATTCACCGAACATCCACAAGGCACATTCTAACAGAAGCGCAAAGTGATGAGCTAATTTAACCTCCAGAAAACGACCCTCAAGCAAGAACGCAATGTCAAATGTCAAAACAGATGAAATTCGTAAAGGACAAAACGCTAATAATCACAGAAGCCGCTCACTCATAGTGGCAGCGACGAAAACTCCATGTGCACCGATCCCCCATTTCCCCCGTATACTCTTTGCAAGTCTTCACGCTAGACCAGAGCCTCTATGGTCGGTATCATGTGCTTGTGTTTTCCGTATTCACTCGCCGTCCAGGAGATCCTTAATGACAACGTAGAGATCCTTCGCAAGGGCTTCATTCCCAACCTGTACACGTGTCAGTATCTATCATGAAGGATGTCTTTGTAAGGGGATGACATACGCGCAAGAGTAGAGGCACGGTGCGGCCTTCTTCATTACTGGCGAGGAGGATCTGCTTGGAGGTGGGCTCCTGGTTCTTTGCGTCACCGAATGTCATACCCTTGAAGACAGGGCTGTTCAGCATGACACGTAGAGCACCATCAGCACGCATGATCATGCGGCCAGTCTGCTTTCCGGTCTCACTCGTGCGGGCGTTGATCTTGAAAGTTCCCACGCCGCGCTCCTTCCACTCGCCGCTGCTAAAGTGGAAAAGCTTGCCCTTGCAAGCAAAGAGGTTCTCTTCCTCCTCCTCACCAGTCTCGACTGTGTTTTGATGTTAGTATGAAGAATCGATTAGATGGGGTCTGGGGAAGACGAACTGGTCTGTTCATAGAAACGCTCGTCAGTCTTATCAGCCTCGAACGTGCTGGTCTCTTCGCCTTCATCATTGTCACTTCCTTCATCATCAGACTCGTCAGCACCAATGGGCTTCGAGGCCTTAGGCTCGCCGCCGAGGGTCGCAGGGGCATTGGGGGATGCGAAGTTAGTCAAGCCGCCGGACTTGGCAGCAGCTGCGAAGCCACCACCCACACCCGCGAATCCGCTTTTCAGGGAGCCGAAGCCAGAAGTTGAGGAAGAGCCGAAGCCAGACATTCCAGAGCCAGATTTGAATACTGATGGGTTTGAGGAACCGAGGGAGCCGAAAGGGGAACTCTCTGAGCCGGCGAAGGAGCCCAGAGCCGAAGACGCAAATGCGGAGGTCGAGGCAGGCTTCTCGGTAGTTGCAGTCGAACCACCAAGCGCAGCGAATGGGGACGAAGCGGCCGTGTTTGCAAAAGCACTTTGAGCGAAAGCCTGAGGCAAATTTGATTAGCGATCGACTGGGGCAGATGCGGGGCAAGGAAGGAGCGAGGAAGATGGGGGATATGCTTTGTTTAAACTCACGTTGGCTGCTTGGGTCTCGCGCTCCTGCGAATTATCCCGGTGTCGCTTCGTTCCTGTCTCCTCGGGCTTCTTCGCCTCGTCCTCCTCCAGCTGCTCTAAGCTTCGCTTTTTCTTTAGGGCCTTGGCGTCGTCGTTGTTCGTCGCATCGGCAGGGGGGTGGTTCTCGGTATCCTGTGAAGTTGTGTTGGTGTTATCATTCTCCACACTGTGATGAGTCTCCTGGCCACGGGACAGGCCACTGGATGATGGCTCAATTTGGGCGGTGCCTTCAGTCTGCACCCCAGGAATCTTTGGCTCGGGTGTATTCTCGCGAGTTCGCTCAGAAGTTTCGGACTCTTTGAGCTCTACGGACTCAGAGCTCTCTTCCTCAGTAGGAGCTGAGGTTGGCGCCTGAGGCTCCCCATAGACTTCATAGTCAGGGAGCGAATCAGAATCTGACTCGGAGCTTGCTTCCTTGGTAGGAGCTGAGTTTGGCGCCTGAGCTTCCTCATAGACTTCATGGTCTGGCAGTGAATCAGAATCCGTCTCGGAGCTCGCTTCTTTAGTGGGAGCTGAGGTTGGCGCCGGAGCTTCCTCGTAGACTTCATAGTCTGGGAGCGAATTGGAATCCGATTCAGGGCTCTCTTCCTTAATGGGAGATGAGGTTGGTGCCTGAGCCTTCTCATAGAATTCATAGTCCGGCAACGAATCAGAATCCGAGTCTGAAATGGAATTCTCCTCGGGAACTTCCACGATCTCAAATTCAGATTCAGATCCAGACTCCGAATCCGAATCCGAAATAGAGATCACTTCGAGAACCTCGGGTACTTCCACGAGCTCAAACTCAGATTCAGACTCTGAATCGGAGGAGATTTCGATGATTTCCTGGGGCGACTCAAGGACTTCTGGTTTTCCATCCGAGACGGAATCCTCGGACTCGGAATCCGAAATGACAATGATCTCGACTTCGGGGCTGTCCAATGTTCCAGGGGAGGACTCATCCGGGGCCAAATCCTTGGGGGTGGCAGGTACGGGGTCCTGGGGAGCGGGCTCACTCACGTTATCTGATGCAGGGGCTGCGGCGCTGTCCTTCTTCACGTCTTCTGGGGTGGACTCGCGCGATCGTTTTCGTGGGCCGTCGCCATTTTCGACGCCGTCGTCGGTTTCGCCGCGCGCCTCTTCGAATGAGCGCTTCCGGCCGCTGCCCTGTTCCGGGCCCGATGCGGCAGTGCTCGAGTCTCCAGCAGGGGTCTTGTGGTTGGAAGGATCGATGGACGTGTCCTTCAGCTGCTGGCGGACGGGGCGCTCGTCGTTGTCGGAGGGCGGGGAGCGGGCGTCTCCGCTGGTCACTGCCGAGGAAGAATTTGGTCAGATCTTGAATTTTGAGAAGAGTGCGGAGATGTTAATATAATCGCGGGAGACTGGCGTGAAGAAAGCCAGAAGATCTGGCAGTTGTCGCCTCATAGCACTTATAGCCGCCGGGTCTGAATGGTTGCTCCAGTCCCTCGTCAGGGCTTCATGCGATATCGGCCAGTGCTTGCACCGCACCATATGAGATCTATGTCTTTGCGCCTCATGCGCAAGGTGCAGGATGTTGCAATACTCACCGTCAGCAGGAGCCTTGAGCTCATCCGACGCGGAGACCATGGTGATCACTCCGCGAGAGCAGGGAACGTTGGGTGAATTCAAGTGGGTAGGTCAACTACCCACGGCACACCAGCTGTGAAGCTGGGAAAGGGTTAGAAGGTGGAGCGACAAGGAACCGTGGATCTAAGTTGGAGGATTCAGACCAGCCGAATCGCGTCGAAGTCGAGGTCACGGTTGATGGGTGTGCGTTGATTGGGAGGAAAGAAGGTTCGAGTGCAGAAGAGAGAAGCCGAATATGAGTGTTGTTGTCCGGGTCACCGCTCCGCCCCGCACTGAGCCCGAGATAGGTAGCTAAAGCTGCCTACAAATGCCTATGATCGTAGCCTCTGGGACCATCAAACAAGGTGTCTACCTAGATATCTGCCTTGGTCTCTGACTGTGCTCATCATTATCGCTGCCTACAAGCAAAAATTCCCATTTAGTGTATAATGTCATATTGTGCCCACACAATGTAGCCCTCATAAACAATCTGCATCTGAATGTATGCTCAGATCTAAGCATACAAAGACTGAGATTCGTCAAAGCAGACGAGTTGAATACTTCTGAATTAGATCTCAATCTCAGATAAACCACAGTCCCATTTTGGAGTTCACAATCTCACTAAGAAAGGTGTGAGCACAATGTCTTATTGTTGAATGCTCTCTTTGTCCACAAGTTTCATGAGCAGAGTAGGGTCTTTTAGCCTGATATAGCCGTCTAGCGATCAGACCAGTCATTTTGTACAGCAGTAGTTGGGCAGAAAGGAGGATATCCAAAGCATTTTGATGCTGAAAAGAAACATTGGTATTCCAGAAAAGTAGCCGCTACAGAAACAAAAATGTATACACGATTCGATCGCGATTCAACGGGAAGAAGGCTTGAGGTTGATACACCGGAGTCTGGGTCCAGGATAATAAAGAGCGAAGTTTCCTCGCTTGGGGCGAGGAAACGGTGACTCTTGCGCCCTCAACTAATGAAACAGAGGCATCCAATAGCAATATAAAACACAAACAATGGGTATACCGCGATGCCGACACGGTGCCGCACCACGCCCGAACCACCCAGAATACTAACGCCTGCAGCCAATGACCATGCTACAAGGACGAGGTAGACGGGTATTCTGGCGATTGTCGGGGAGGCCCAAAGCACTGAGAAGCGCGGCAATAACCAGGGGGAAGAGTGTGTATCCGATGATGCAGATTGACTGGAAGAACGAACTGAATATTGAGGCGCAAAGGTCAGTATGGAACGAGACAAAACTAAGGAAGAACCAACGAGACATTGGGAAAACATACATCTTTCCACCAAGAAGCTTGATCTGCAGAGTGACGGCTGCCTCTCCGATCCAGACGATGCAGAAGACACCCGAGAAGACTAAGGAAGCCTGGTCGCCCTTCGCAACAGATAGGAACAAGCTCAGTACCAAACAAAAGATAAGCGGGCCCCTAAAGAAGATGTTAGATCCTCGCTCTAACCCCAAAATCTGAGTCCCTCGACCAATGAAACATACCAAAGATCCCAGTCGCGCAATCCCTCACTCATGCCGCCCTGCAAAACCACATCGGCATCTGGCCAGCGACCCACGATCCCGCGAAGGTTACGACCAAATCCAGTTGCTTCGCCGCGCTCAGCAGCATCTCCCATACCTCCTCCACCGCGGTGCATCATGCCGCCCAGTAGGTATTTAGGCCAGAGCACCTGGCGCATCTTTTCCCAGACGGCGATCAGGTCACGCGATAGAGTTGCCCAAACGGTCTCGTCGATGGTATTCTGAGTCGCGCGGCGATCTTCACCAGGAATCGAGGAGGTCAGGTAGTTGCCATAGCCGTCTACGCGGTTGCCTCGGGAGCTAGAGTCGGATGCGATGTTGCCTCGCAGAGGGGCTGTGTCGGAGGTGTGCAAAGGATCATCGGCCTCGATGTCTAGCGGAGATAGGTTTATTAGCAAGATAAGATCTATCATGCGTAGAGGGTGCAATGCTTTGTCGTGGAAAAGAAGGCCTACCGTGGTCGGCTTCAATCAGGTCATCGTCCAGGAGTGATTCGTCGTCATGCAGGTCGCCTTGAGAATAGCCCGGCTGCACACTCGCCATAGTGTGTGAAGTATGAGTGTTTCTTTATTGAGAAATGTGTGTTTTCACCGTAGGAGCATCGCTTCCTGAGCACAGGTGGGGAGGGCACAAGGAGTAGAGACGAAGCAATGTTGATGAATGGTCGAGCTATCCTGGAAAGGCTAGAGTGGCATTACGCCGCGCGGGCTGGCGTCACCGCCCGGACTATAAGGCGTGGTATTTTTAGCAGCCAATACAGTCTCTATCATCTTCTTGGAAATTAACAAAGAAACAATATCCTCTCTGAAAATACTGGATTTACACTTTAACAAGTTGACCACCCTCAGACAACGCACTAGCCTTCCACATATGGCTCCTCCTCTTGATACACATCATAGTTATACCGACTGCCCTCGTGGTCATCGCGCAGTTCCTTCTGGGCCCTTGCCATAAACCTTCTCACGAGCAGTAAGCGGCTCATCCGACTCGGATGGCAATTCTGGATACAGGCCTCGTTTCCTCAGCTCTGGGATGACGAGATCAATCAGATCCTCAAAGCTACCGGGCGTGGTCACATAGCCAATATTGAACCCATCCAGATCAGCCTCGCGAATCCACCGCTCCATCTCATCTGCAACAGTAGTCGGACTACCAATGGCCACTGGTCCAAGGCCACCGATAGCAGCTTTCTCGGCTACTACACGGGGTGTCCACTTCGGAATATCCTTACTAGTCTTCAGCAGCGAGTCAAGTAGACTAGTCACCTTGCCCGCTTCGAGCGAATCGGCTTCTGTGATCTCCTGATCCAGAGGGATCTTGGAGATATCGATGCCTGTCCACCCGCTGAAAAGCACTAGGCCGCCAATTACTGAAGCATACTTCTTCAGCTCTTCGTATTTCTCCCATGCCTCCTCGTCGGTTCGTCCCACGATCGGCGTAAAAGTGCCAAAGAACTTGATTGACTGTGGATCCCGGCCGTTTGCTGCCGCCAACTCCCGGATCTTCTGGACTTTAGGCCGCAAGACCTCTGGAGAGTGGGAAGAAACAAATATTGCTTCGGCATGAGTCGAAGCGAAAGCTGAACCAGCCGGCGACGTACCAGCTTGGAACAAGAATGGCGTTCTCTGCGGCGACGGGTCGACGATGTGGCGCGTACTCAGAGAATAGAACTTTCCTTGATGGTTAATCTCACGGACCTTGTCGGGATTGACGTACGAGTCTGCTTCTGGGTCTGGCGAAAGGGCATCTGAGGCCCAGGAGCCATTCCAAAGTCTGGTCGTGGAAAGAAAATGTTAGCCAGCAAATTCGTCTTGTTTCCGCTCTCAGCAGGGCAGAGTGTATACTTATAAAGCACTCGCAGATACTCATCTGCTTGGGCATATCGCTGGTCATGCTCAATGGGAGTATCAACGCCGATGGCCTTGAATGCAGCCTTCTTGTATGAAGTAACAATGTTCCAACCTATCCTGCCATTCGTCAAGTGATCAAGTGTAGAAAAGCGCTTCGCGAGTAGGAAAGGCTGCTCAAAGGAAGTCGAAGCAGTAATGCCGAAAGCAAGGTTCTTGGTCACGGCGGCCATGGCACTGATGGGCTTGATAACATTATGTCAATACTTTTGTTCCTGATTCACCGGCTGTTGCTGCTTACGATAGTTGGATCCGTGACTGGCCATTGCGCCGCTCGTCGAATACACTCATCCAGTTTGCCTTCGTAGGTATCATAGCCCCCAGTAGTGTCTGCCAGGAACAAGGCGTTGATGCCACCTCGCTCCAATAACTTGGCGAGTTCGATCCAGTATTCGAGTTTGCGTTTCGTTGCGGACTTGTCTTTGGGGTTCTGAACTGGTCAGCTTTTTATTACATTATGCATGAGATGCAAGAATAACCTTCCATTGTCCAGGAGACAGATGTCCCACTGTGGACATGTCAAAAGCATTTATCAGGATCTGCTTCTTGCCACTGTCATTGCCAGAGCCATTCTGGCCATTTGATGTACTAATGTCTCCCATAGCCTGCAAGATTCGTGATCAGACTAACCGAAGAGATGATTCCAATTAAGGTCCAAGCCTATGATCTTTAGAGCCCTGCCAGTCAATATGTACAAATAAAAAAGTGTTTATGAATAGCTCGGAGAGAAACCCTCGGGTGACCCCCGCACCTCTAAGATAGTCTTTGCCCATTTGACGCGTATCTCACGCCATCAGTACTGTCAATGACTTTCGGAAATCCTCCGACAATTGATGATCGAAAGCACTCCAATCGGAGGATTTTGTAACTTTGGGGAGCTGGACTGTTCGCAATTATCCCCACAGAAAGCGCAAGAGAGATTGCCCGCACCAGCAGCACCTTGGTCAAGGGCGGCATTGGATCATATCCCGATCGGTACTGACGCCCGGCTATCTCAGTGTTCTATAGATCCACGCTAAATGCGGGTTTTGATCGGATACAGTATATGTTTACTATCTTGATGTCTTGTGAGGGGAAGAGCTCCAGGGACTCATGTCACCATCGGAGTTGATATGACGTGACCCAGTCCCTGCTAACCACAGCGATCTGGTCAAATCCACATATTCTGAGCAAGTGATATTACAGGAGATCATTATTTACCCTGGAAGTATAATTCGAAGTAGAATAAGACCGTGACAAGAGTCTCGGGCACGTCGATAGCTTCAATGTCTAATGTTAGACTCAAGGAGCAGACTGCAAGGCCTTGGATCTTTCGTAGATTACCCGTACTAAATAGGATACAGCCGTAAGGCGATAGACATATTTTTTGATCTAAACCTTCTGATCGTACCTTCCGACAACATAGGTCTGTTGTGGTCCAGACTCCAAATTGCTCGAATCGTCCGCGCTGTCCGAAACCGAGATACTGCACCCTCTGGCCTTGGCTTTCCTAGAGGAACGTTAGAATTCGCATCGAGTAAAAGCAGAGTTGGCCAAGAACTCACTCCTCCTTCTTGATGAAATATTGGACAACATGTGACAGGACGATCAGACAGATCGCATTTGCAAGGACAAACGAGTATCCCTTCGTAAAGCGCGGGCCCTCGACCGTCTTGAACACCAGCAACGGAGTCCAACAAGTCGTTGACTGCGCCACAGTATTGACAATGATAAGCGTCAAAGACCGTTCAACTGGTGAATAACGCATCTGACTATTGATCCACCCGTACAAAACACTCGACATAGCGACCGCGGAGTAAGTTGTTAAAAAGGCGAACCAGAGTGCAGACTCGGGTACTTTCCAGACGACCAGGATTGTAAGACCGATGATATTCCAGAGATGAGACACGGTGATTGCCCAAGCCGGTCCAAGTATCAAGTCTGAGGCGAAGCACACGAAAAGCGTGTAGAAAATACCCAGAGCCGGAGAGATGGCCGCGAGTTCGTTGAGTCGACTTGTCGAGAATCGCTTCAGGCTTTTGAGCCATAATTGGTAACCACCAGCCGAGGTATTGATACAAGCATTCCAAAAGAAGATGTCCACCCAAAGTAGGGCCCAGAACTTCCAGTTGCGACTGACCTTGACGAACGTACGCCATGTCAGCGGATCCTCTTTGATTGTGTGAGACGCGCGCTCCAGGCGAGCCTTGGCGAGCTGCACATCTTTCTCCTTCAGAATGAGTTTGTTCGGCTTGTCCGGTGTTCCTGGAAGGATGAAGTAGCCCAGGATGGCGACGGGAATGGTGATTATCGCACAGATAATGTACATCCATCTCCAACCTGCGAGCCCGTTGACTCCGTCTAGTCGGCTTGATGCCCCTGCTTGAATGAGACTTGCAGTTAGAGTACCCAGTGTTAGGCCGACGTAGAAGCATCCACCTCGGCGAGCAATCTCATCGCTTCGATACCATGAGCCTGCGATTGGTTAGAGACCAGGCGTTTAGGAAGTTGAGTATCGCTCTTACCGAAAATATAGTGCATTCCAGGGAAGAAGGCCGCCTAATTATGTACATTAGCCTACACTATTCATCGACCCTAGCAGGGGGTGTATCGTTACTCACCTCAAACCATCCAACCATAAAGCGATACGCCGCCAATTCGGCGAATGAAGTAGCACGATATTGGACCAGCGTGAAAATACCCCATGCAACGTCCATGAATGGGATAATCCATGACATTGGAAGTTTGGTGAACAAATATGCAAAGGGCAATTGACCAAGCACAGCACCAATAGTGTACATAGTCTGTAGCTGGACGAGCTCATTCCCATGGAAACCGAGGTCTTCCTTCAAGCCAGAAACGTAGGCATTGTCTGCCATCTCAGTCAGCTTTGGGTTCATGTTCTCACATACAGTAATTCATAAATCCATACTGATGTTCGCCTGGTCAATATACTTGGTCCAATATGCCAGAAACGCGTAAGGAACAATAAGCAAGTCCAGCTTGAGGATGAGTCGCCTTTCCTCTTTGGTATCGCTCTTTGCGAACCATTGTATCTGCCACCATTTCCGTCGTTGTTCAGGAATAGCCATTTCAGCCATAGTCCTTCTCTCTAGAAAAGTGAAGATACAAAGCAAAAATTGATTCAATCACTCAAGTAATATTTTCGCATGATCGCACCCCTCGGCATTCATCTTTATTTACACTGTCCCGCCTAGTAGACCTGCAAGATGCCACTGCATACGGTGATGACGTGACGAAGCCAGGTTCAAGTCGGCCAAGCACCGAAGCGCGCCAATGCGTCCGTCAAAACCTAGAAGCAGCTCCTTCCGAGATAAGCAAAAGAGTTTATATTTCCTGTCATTGCCGCTGCGGCCTTGACCTGCATGCCGGGCCCTCGGTTTTCGAAAGGCGTGGTGGCCAAGGGATATGTCAAGAAGTGGAGAAAAGACGTGATAGTAAATATTCCGCATCGGCTAGTCTGGCCTCGTGGTGAGGGGATGGAGTCGAAGCCGAACTCAATTCGTTGTTCAGGAAGAAGAGGAGAATAGAAGGAGATAATCATGCGACATGGTTGAGTGAAATTTCCGATATGCCCAGTCCGGAGAGTTGATGATCAGGAACATGGTCTTGTATACATGCAGAAGGCAAGACAACAAATACATCAATGCCAGATGTACAATGCTATTCAAGGTACCTAGAGACCGATTGATGGCTCTAATACAAGAGAAGGAGCATTGGAAGCCCAGGCCTCAATTAATTGCTTCGCAGATGTGGAGGACGCTGGCGATTGAACATTCGCTGAACAATGCCATAGAGCTTGGGTGCTAATCAAGGAACGACAAGTCTATTTCAAAGCAGTAATTTATAAGTCTCCCATTTTCGTGCAATATACATCAATTGCTTAATATACAGTATTATACAAGGTATCCCGGACCTCTCACAGGCCACAGCTTCACAAATGATCCAACTCAAGCGTCAGTTTCTTGCTTCGCGGATTCCAAGGAAGATTGCTCTTCAACATTGTCCGACTTGGCTGCCTTCCGACCTTTGCCTTCAGGGACTTCATCGACAATCTCCAACTGCCGCTCCCTGAAAGCATTCCGCTGCTCAACGGTAGGATAAACAGACAAAGTGCTGAATTTCTTGAGGGTCTCTTTGTCAGAATAGGTCCTCAACAACTTCGACTCCGACTGCAGAACCTTACGGTCCTCCTTCGAGACAAAAGAAGCGTACTCGGCCTTCAATATCTCATCAATCACGGTGCGGACTCGAGCCATCACCTTCACAGCCAGAGAACCGGAAATATTGCCAGAGCCATTCTTCAACGAAGTCCAGCGGCTATTCCGACCAGGTTTGCCGTTTTGCAGGGCTTCGTGGAGCTGGAGAACCTGGGAGCGCAAACCACGGAGCGCGGCGAGGTGCAAATCTGCTTGCAGCTTCTTACCCAGGACCTTCAGGTCGTTAGTCTTGCTGCGGTCTTCCTTAGGTAGACCTCTCAGATTCAAAAGGACATGCGGCCCTTGGGAGAGAGCCTGGACTAATTCCAGGTACGATTCGAGAACTCGTGGATCGGGCAGGACCAGGGCATTATGCATGACCTCCAGGAGCTCGTTTGCGTGCAAGAGAACGGAGGCGTTGTTGCGGTCTCGGCGACAGCAAGTCATGGCAAGGTGGAACAGCTTCTCATTTGCCAGACCTGAGGGTAATACCTGGTTCTGCATAACCTGTACAACCCTCTTGCTAGCTCGTCCAGCTCGAAGGAGACGTAGGTATTGAGCGTAAGCAATCGCATCAGGCTCGAAGCGGGTTTCAGACTCGACAGTCAGATGATCCCAGTAAGAATAGCCTGCTGCGAATCCCTGAGGCAGTCTATGACAGACGTCCTCGATAAAAGTAAGCTCCTTACTTCCCGGTTGAAGATAAGACAGGCCAGCGGTCTTAGGAACGACAGGATCAAAGATCATGTCGAAATTCTCGACTTCCTCCTCTCCCTCTGTTTCCAAATCTTCTTCCATCTCATGCTCTTCTTGCAAGGGCTGGTTGTTCTCGTCCACGAACGGAACGTCATCCGAACGCGGGGACACGAGATCCTGCGACCTCCGCAAGAATGCTAAGCGGAACATTGTGAATCGAGAACACTTCGAGGTTTCAGCTGGCTTCTTGGCAAAGATCGGAATTCCCATTGTTTGATGGTAGAGTGCGAGGACATCGTAGTAATCGCGCTCACGAGCACCCTCCAGAAGCAAGCTGGCCATGGCGTTCACAACGTGGCTGTCGATTTGCAACTGATCTTTCGTCCATCGGTAAAGAACATCCGCCCAGATTCTTTTGCCCTCCATCACCATCTGGTCTTTGCGCTCGACAATCTTATCCGTCTCATTGGGATTCATCTTTTCGATGTCATGGCGCGCCGCAAACTGAAGCGCGCCTAGAATGATCGTGTAGGTCCGCATATCTGGCGCTTGCGGGCCCTCTTCTGGGAGGTCTCCAGCAATGCGCCATAATGATTCCATATCATTGTGACGGTCGCACACCGAGAGCATAGCATTGGTATGAATGATATTCGGCTCGATCTCGGAGTTCTTAATCGACTTGTAGATAGATTCGGCCATCTTGACGTTGGCGGCAGATTTCGGGGCATCGGCGAGACCCTTGAGCATAAGGGTATATGTCACGGAGGTAGGCATGCGGCCTCTTTTTTTCATCTATCTCGTCGAAACAAAACCTATTAGCACACAAAACTCTCTCCTCCAGTAGTAAAGCCCAAGAGCTGAAAAAAACTCACGTCGTTGTAGAATTTAAAAGCCACCTGTGGAAAACCTCGTTGCATGCAGTAGCTCAGAAGATGATTCCAAGCCACATCGCATCGCTTGCCTTCCTTCTGCGCCTGACGAACCAGGGCCGCCGCCATGGCTGGATCACCGCTCCGTAGAATACGCGCAACCCGATCTGCCAGATCACGGGGATCCTCCAACCATTTCAACTCCGTATTGATCGTCTTGCGATTGAAGCTGGCTCCACGGATTTCATCGTTCATCTCACCATCCTCCACATTAGATCCGGAAGCGATTGCCATCAAGGCGCGCTCTTCCTGCTTGTGCTTCTCCGTGTCGACAACCGGTTTGTCGCCACGTAGCTTGCGGCCCCTATTCGCACCATTGCGAGTGAATCGCGCGGATTTCTCGGAGAATTCAACAGAGGGCTCGGTCTCGTTATCGGCGGGGAGTTCTTCAGAGGCACTGTTCGCGTTCGAGTATGATCGCTGAGCTGACAGTCGGGGCCAAAGTTGACCAGCTTGAGCACTGGTGACTGCGAGTCGTTGCCGAACCAGTCCACTGCGCAAAGCTCTGCTCAGCGCTGACCCTGGAATCTGAAACGACATGACCAGGCGTTTAATTCCAAAACAAAAGGCAGGGCAAGTGGTCAGACTCGATGCTGTATTTTCGGTCAAGTCGCGGAGCCCGCAGCAATTTCTCGGAGATGGACCTTACGCTAGCCCATATCTGGCTAGTGGTGTTCCCCTTATCATTCAGGCATCAAGATGACAAGTCACCTTCTGCCTAAGGCTGCCGGACACATGGCCCGGCAGCACTAAACCTCAAGTAGTTTGGCGCAGCGATGGAGCTGCGGGCCGCTAGAGCATATCTCTATCGCATCCTTACGGCCCCAGCCCGTAAGTACATACACTCCGTACTAGTTCCCGAGGACCTCAACTTCGGTACGCCATCGCCCGGTTCCAGATCTGCATTAGCCCCAGGGCTAGGATCCTGCATCCTGCATCCTGCACACTGTCGGCCGTGCACATGGTCAAATTTTATTATACTGGAGCCGGAGGCTTGAAATGATCAACATGTTTCCTATTTGATGCTAGTCCTTTCTCACTTAGGTATCCTGTGCTTGGTGAGACATGAATCTGACTGTCGTCACTGTGTTTCGCTTGATTCGGTATTGTTTGCGAACCCTAAGAATAATATCGTCTCCCTTCAAATGCAATGAAGCAGTCTACACAAAACTTAATGATAACCACCATGCTAGAACAGACTCGGAATACGAGAGACACCATGTACTCGCTTCGTCGGCCGCAGAGCCCGAAATACGACTCCCGCATGAGACATACTAACCAGAAAAGTGTAGTCTCAAACTCACAGCCTTCAAAAAGACTGAAACAAAGTCCGAAACCATCTGCTGGACACATAAGAAACATGGCATTCTCCACGCCTCACTCCTAACCACTTATTTTCATCCACGGCCAATACGACAGGGCTATCATATTTAGGCCGCAGTAATTACGAATCAAACTCAAAACAAGCCCAGAGAGTTAGGCCCGGCATAAACAACCCTTAGTCGTTTGATCTGCAGGGTACAGCCCACGTGGTGGTCGGAACCACTAACCCTAATCAAGAAGCAGTACGATCAGATCAGGCCATGCACGGATCCGAGGACTCAGCCATCTCAGCCACGGCGTGATAACTACATTGCAGGGAAAGCCTGACTCATATGATCACGCTAGTTTGGCTGGCGAGTCATCGTCATGTTCATTTCTAATCCAGGTATGAATCAAACCGTCCATGAAATATCAGGACAGGAAGATGAGTACACGGACAGCAGAGAGACAACCACTATAAAGACTCTTATCAAACCAACAGGCACCCGCAAGCCCTTCCAATAAAGCCGACCTCAACCTTATTACCACCATAAAGTCCCTCCAAATCCCTAAGCTATCCGACCACTCCCCTGGCCAACACGAGCCCTACCCACCCCCATCTAACCAACCAACCCCAGAATCAAAAGCAAGAGCAGAAAAAGTAAATCATACATTAATCACCACCACAACATACCAGTTCCATATCCAAAGTACAGGGCCAATGTACATACCTGTACCAAGCAAAAACCACACCAAAAGCAAAACCACTGTAGCCCAGAACACAAGCCACTAACTTAAATCCGCAGCCAAGAGACCAACCCAACCCAAATCCAGAACGAGAACCAGAACCAGAACCAGTGGAGCAGGACACGACGCCCTAAAATCCTATAAACGCTACCTCAACAAGCTTAGTGCCCACGGCTACCCAAAATACCATCTACCGAAACCGGGAGGTCACCCGGTAGTCATACGGTAGTCATATTCCATACGCCTTAGTTAACTACTCTTAGTCTAGTCTAACATAAACTAGTTCAACCCAGCCAACCCGTCAACGGGACAAGCCCTACTTAACCTTAATTTCTTTCCCAAAATTACCGCCGCGCCTGCGGTACAGGGTTTACGGAGCTTACAGCACTAACGGCTCGAATACAGTATGACGGGTTCTCGTACGCGCTAGAGCACTCGGCAGTGGCAGTGGCGAGGATTAGGTTATTACAGTAGCTTACTTTCTTCTGGGACTGTAGTTTGTGGAGGGGCAGGTGACGTCTTATGTCGGTTGTGGCTTGCCGTTTGTTGGAAATTAGAACTTGGGTGTGGGCTTGTACTTGCACTTGTTCACATTACACATATAGAGTACTCAGTATATCTTGTACTTGTCTACTTCCATAGTATCCTACCCCAGAATCCGAGCCCTAGCAAAATGACCATAGAAGTAGCAATAGGCCCTTCCACCCATCCTCTAAGCGAATACAAATACGCACACATACGCATCCCACCGGGAAAAATCAACCTCATACTGTAATGCACAATACATTCTAGGCCCAAGCCCAGCACCGTATAATGTACGTTAAAGGGGGAACAGGAACCAAAGAGAGTCAAAAAGAGAAGAATGTGCAGATAACACCCAACACAAAGAAAAAAAATCTCGACATCGAGTTCGAGTCCGCAGAAGCAAGATTCCACGCAGCAAGCAAAAGAGAAGAAAAACAGTGCGCAAAAATACAACGAGATATCCACCCCATACGAAAAACAAAAACAAAAAAGGACACAACAAGAGACCATTTCCATTTTTGGAAAATGTCCACATGATAAACAGGGGGTAGTCAGGGCCAACAAGGCGCAGGGAAGACATAGGACAGGCGTATAAAGAGGCATTCATGCAAAAAGGGTCAGGGATCAATAATCAAACCACCGAAGGAGATTCCACGACCCGCCCATTCCAAACGCTGCGAATTCATAGGGCGGGAATCAGCAACAGCTAACCTAGACCTCAAAAAGAAAGGTCCGCCAGAAAAAAAAAACCAAAGGAATAGCACACTCTTTCTTCCCAGGAAAAGAAGAGAGGGTGAAATTTCTGCTCTAGATGATCCTCTCAACAAAAAACAGCCGTCACGCATAACTCTAATACAAGAGGAAAGAGAAATGGGGGAATTTCAGTCCACAAGACAAAAAGGACAAATCCAGGACCAGCGAGGAGGAAAATATCGAAAAGCCACTCTTAGACTCGTATGTATTAAAGCCGCAAGAGGATGGTATCATGGTTTGTAGAAAGAGGGGGGGGAAAGCGGACCATAGAGTAATGGGTTGGTTTGATATCCGGAAGCAATAAAAACATCCGGAGGACGATATGACGCAAGTCAGGCAATGGGATATCGTGATTAAGAAAAAGAAAAAAAAAAGACAAGAAGGGACAGAGCGGAGAGCAGTACAGGTGAACTAGAACGAGGCAAAAAAACAAACCCAAAAATTCGGAGGCAGCCACACAACAGCAAGGAAATGGGATGCAGGTTTTCGGATCCGGCGTGAGTTGAGGAGAAGGCATGAGAGGCATGGGCTTGACACGGCGAGATTATGTAAAAAAGATTAATGCGGGTAGCTGGGCGAGTGCGTCTCTGAATTAGCCGTAGCGAAGAGTAATCAGCCGACCGATTCCTAGGAGATAAGGCATGGATGATGGCATGGCGAGGTGACCGGAAAAAAGGGAGGAAGTGACAAAAGACCCAATCCAATAGAGAAGAGAGGAGGGATCGGTCGCTGGCAGAGAAACACAAGTGTGGCGACGCTGGCTTGCTTTTTTGTTACTCACGTTGCTGGTACACAGGACCGCTCTGGTAAGGGGAGTGAGGGTAGTTGGGAGGGTAACCCATTTGTCCGTTGCTCTGGTAAACCATACCACCGCCAGGGCCACCGTATTGGTTGGGAACCTGGCCATCGGCAGGCTGGTAGCCGATAGGAGGCAGCTGAGGGCGAACGCCGCTAGCGTAAGCAGGAGGCTGACCACCTTGAGAAGGGTCAGAAGAGCCGGGGGCATCGACCTGGCCGGCCTGGGCAGCCTGGGCAGCAGCTCGCTCACGCTCTTCAGCAGCTTTACGCTGAGACTCTTCCTCCTTCTTGCGGGCCTTCCATTCCTTGCGGATCTCCTTGAATTCTGTAAGAGGAAGATAAAGTTAGTATGTTCGACGACGACACGACAGAGAGCAAAAGACAAAATCCAATGGTGTTGATGAGGTGGGATGGTGGGGCGATGGGGGAGAGTCGACGATGAGGTATGGTGCGAAGAAAGTGCCCGCTAGTTGGAAAGGGATAAGTAGTCAAGCTTAGACAAGCTTAACCTCCACGCCGTCAACCACGCTACTGCGGCCCCGCGAAATCTAGTGTAACTCACTAGCGCGTAGTTGCCGGCGCTAACCCAATCCAGCCATTTGCGACAGACCTCAAGATTGGCACGACGAACAAGACATCGGACAAACCGCCGACGGCGCAATAACACGGGAGACACGCAAAGAAAGCACTGGTCTTACCTTCGGGGGTACGCTTAGCACCGTGCGACTGCATCGTCACGTGTGCGTTCAAGTGGTTGAGTGTACCATACGCCTTTTCACAACCATTCCATCCACACTTGTACATGCGCTCGATTTCCTCGTACCGACGACGGGGGCGCTTGTGCTGTTGAGCGCCGGGGATAGGAACGAAGGAGTAGACCTGTGTAAGCGCAGAAAACACGTTAGCGACACCCAATTCCGCCACGAATCAACAAAAACAATCCAGCCAGATCCCAATTTTTTTTTCACCCAAACCAGTGGCATGCGCTGTTTTCTGACGATCCCTGGGGGAGGAAGAAAGCGGCAACTTTTCGAGTTCCGACTTCCAGAGGCGACTGCGTCAAGCCCAGAGCGAGTCCAAGACGGCAATGAAAGATACAAAGAAGCCGAAAAATTCTTCCCCCAGGGAAATCATCAAAGAAACATACCTGGCCAGGACGCGGGCCTGCGGTTGCAGCAGGGGAGGCGGAACCAACCGTAGTAGCCGCCGGGGAGGCATAAGGCCCCGGCAGACCGTGATGTTGCTGTCCATAGCTATGCGGCCAGTCCGGACGGGCGTACATCTGGTGAGGAGGCGGCGGGTGACCCTGGTATTGAGCCATGTCGTGTCCCTGAGGCTGGTAGGGGGAGTAAGGCGGAGGATAAGGGGGGCTGTTGGCCGGGAGCGAGGGATCTAGAGGGACAGCCGCGTCAGAGAGGAAGTTGGAGGAGGAGGCAGGAGGCAAAGAGGCAAGAGCGGGATCGAGGTCAGGGCTGCGCGGAGTCGCGGCAGGATCCGACGCAGGAGGAAGAGGAGGAGGAGCAGCAGAAGAAGACATGGAGGAGGAGGTGGGCAGGAACGGACTTGTTGCTTGAGCCATACCGGGCGCACCACCGGGTTGGGAGTTTGGAGCGTAGGATTGAGGCGGGCGCGGCACGTAGTCCTGGTGGTATGCAGGCGAACGAGCAGGCGGTGGGTTCAGTCCGTACTCGGGCTGGGGGGGTTGGAGGTGGAAATATTGGCGGGTCGGGCCTCGGGCTGCGGCGTGTGCGAGTACTGCGGGTTGGGGCGTACTTCGGGTTGCGGGGTGTGCGTGTAGTGAGTGGCCGCAGCGACAGCAGCAGCAGAAGTCTGGTCTGCAGAGTGTTCAGGATGAGGATGATCAGAATGGCTGTTGAGTGAAGATGGTGGTTGAGATGATGGTGGTGGTGGGTGGTGCGAACCTGACTGTGCGTACTCGGAGGTGGGTCGGTCCATATAAAAGTCGGGGATGCGGTGCGGCGCAGGAGAGTCTCTTTTTTGGGGGGGCCTTCCGATCCGGATTGGGGGAGGGGGAAAGATATCCAAGGGGAGGGGGGGGAGAGGAAGGAATTGGATTTATTATTTTTTTTGGTGTTTTTTGGATTTCCCGTGTATTTTATTTTTCACCTGCAGACGCGTTGGCCACAAGCGTCAGCGCGGGAATTGGGGGGAGACACAGCGGAGGAGGAGGAGAAGGAGGGGGGGGGGTGTAGGAGCGTGGCAATTGGGAGGGAGAGGAGGGTGTGGTGAGTTGGTAAGAGAGTCTCGACAACGAAACAGTCGGAGACTCAGACTCAGAGACAGCGAGAGGGGAAAATGGAGGGAAAATGGAAATCGGGGAAATTGGCCCGGCACGTTGCAAGGAACCAAGAGAACTAGACGCTCGCCACGTTGGAAATCGTGGCTTGCCCGGGTTTGCTGCTGCTCCACGAGACCAAATACTTTGGAGTCGACTATGCAAAGAAACGAAACAAGAGACCACTTACCCGTTCAAAAAAAAAAAGGTGAGTATCAACAGCACTCACGAGTCGTCAGACACGTAGATCCTAGTCTTTTGGTGGCGATCCCAACGAGCAAGACAGCCGATCGACGCGTTGTCCAAGCGCGTTCACGACGAGACAAGAGAGTTTAGTTCGTTTAGTTCGGCCAGAGGATGGCGTGCAGGAAATATAAAAAAAAAGGTGCAGGCACCGGCACGGAAAAACCAGCGGCAAAAAGGAACAATCACGGATCACGCAAGAATTAGACGAGAGGAAGAGAGGGGGAATGATAGAGGGGGCATAGGATGAAGAATGGATCGAGGATTGGAGATTGAAGGCGGAGAGGAGAGGGGAGCGATGTCTCGTTTCTTCCTAGTTGACTCGTACTAGGAAAATAAGGTCCGGGAAAGAAAAGAAAAAGAAAAGGGAATAAAAAGGATGGTTCAAAAAGGGCGGGTTAGCAGTTAAGCTAATTAAAAGGGTTAAACAGCAGCACCTCAAAAAGGCCGAGAGTCACCGCAACAGAACGATTCGGCAGGACCAGCGTCTTTCTCTCTCTCCCTCTCCTCGTGGGATCCGAGGACACGGTGGGGAAACAAACCCAGTGGAGCAGGGTAATTTTTGGCTCTTTTTTTTTCTCTCTCGCTTTTACTGACTGACGGAATGATTATTACGAGAAGTTGCATTCTATTCTCGACGGAGGATACTATGAAGTATATCTCGAAAAGATTGAATCTCCCAAGATGAATGCATGAATATAGATACTACTACTCTTAGTACGTGGTTACAAACACAGATAGGACTATTTCACAATGGCCATCATGCTTACTTTGATAACCTTTGTCTCAAACGGGCATAGCACTCCATCAATTCGTACCAATGACTCTCTTTCCACCCGAAGCCTTGTCGGAGTCCTAAGGGTTACGGAGTCCTACCCGGTCGCAGGCAAAACCAGCAAAATTGCGACCCAGACAGAGATGAACGGCACAGAGATGATCGGCCACCAAACCAATCATCAATAGCGAAACGAATTAAAAAAAGGATATTCTTGCCCGGGTTTGAAATCACAAGTTGAGCAGAGATAGGAAGTAACAGTCGCAATCATAGTCGTAATTACTACAATATCCATAGCCTATTCTCATTATCATAACCCTCGATGTATCCATCATATGAATATTTTATTTTCATTTTTTTATTTTACCCGTGGAGGTACGGAGGGAGTACGGAGTACTGTTGACAGAGTATGATTCTGATAATAATATTATTATGTATTCTTATTATTTATTTTATTTTTTTTTTTTGCTTTCTGCCCGTCGGACCATTCCCTTTTCCACACAATCCTCCGAGAAAACTGGAAAAGACGCTACAATTCCTGGATTGGCCCCCTTTCCCCTCACAGGGACTGGCTGAGAGGGTTCCCATTTTCCCTCGTCCGCCTGCTGAGATGTATTTTTTTTTATCCCTCTCTCTGACAAAGCGGATCCCACATAGGAGGGGGGGGGGGTTGTGTATGGGAAAAGGGGGGGGTGTGGACAAGTCGGAGGAGAACGAGAAAATAGAAAAAGAGTGGCGATATGATTTGATCCTGAAAAAACTGTGGCAGATGGTGCATATCTTTGTCTTTTGGAACTTTCCTCGGAGCCAGTTCCATTATTATTCATACTACAGTACGAAATTGTACTGTAGCTTTATATACCTTGGAGAGGTGTGGCAGGTGCCTGTGGATGAGATTAAGCATATGTTACAGGCACCTTAGTCTCCGTCCAAGACATCTCACTAGTCATACTCCGTATAGTTAACAGATCCAGTCCACTGTTTTGATCAGTGAACTCGGTTTAGCCTCCCATCTGACTAGTCTACCCGCAACTTGGGCGCGTCCCTGGCGGATGAGTAGTGAACCTAGCGTCTACGCTCCGTGGGTACCAACCAAGATCGCTGTCAAGAGGGCAACGATGGGCAACAGATGGTTCCAGGGGTGTAATCATGTAATGTCAGAAAAAAAGAAAAGAAAACAGCATAGCGCCCGTGGACCAGAGAACCGGGGGGGGGGGGGGGGGGTGGGATTTGGTTTAACTGTGTACAGAGCACTGTACGGAGTAGAAAGAAGGCCATGGCCAAGACTGGTGCAAGGCAATGGCGTGCCCAAGGAACCTGCGAGGGGCGCGATGGGAAGCGAGACTCAACTAGGACTAGTGAGAACAACCAGGTCCAGCATTGATCCAACGATGATCCAGGATTTTGATCCAGCGGGATCCAGTGGGGATCCACAGGCCCGGAGTAGCCCCGAGCTACGCCGGAAATGGGACTAGTGCAAGCCGGGGGAAGCAGAAGCGATGGGAACTCGGGAAGACCAGGGCTAAAGGGAGGAGACTACGGGCTAGCGTGGACGCAATGGCGGGCAGGCCAAGTGGAGAGGCTCCGGTGGGTTTTGGGTGGTTTGAGAGGACTTTTTGGGTTTAGTCGCAAAGTCTCTGGGGCGGCTGCAGCCGGTACCTTCTCTTTCCAGGTATTCTTGGAAGTCTGGCCACGATTGAGCCATATCGATGCTACCCACAACTGTACGAAGGGATTGGATGGAGTACACAGTCTGGCAAGTCCATGATCGTCGTTTGGGCAGGATGTTCTTTCTAGTTATCATTGATACCAAAATTATACTTTGTATGCTAGAAATGCCCTTTACAGCAATATGTTGTAATTGATAAACATTATATTATTAACATTGACATCTATGGACCACCCATTGGGAAACAAGGAACATGGTTGGCGATACCCATAGATATCCCGAGTAGACGCACCTCATAGGAGGAAAAACACGGTGGTCGGAGATGGGGGTCCCGGAGTACCAGTACAACTCATAGATGGGGCCAATCCACTATCCCGTCAGTACCAGTACCTCTTCTGCTTCCGAGATGCCGCGAGAGCCAGAGAACTCGCAATCCACGCAGACGAGGCGGGCAGAGGGAAAGGGAAGGTGCTTCACGGGGAGTGTACAATACTCCGTATCTGTTTCTCTCTGCCTACAGTAGAACATCCCCTGATCATTTTCATTATTCGTCGTATCTCGAGACCTCCATTTTATGTCCATAACTATGAAGAGTCTAGTGTTATACATGCACGTTGAAGATTCCTGTCCCCGGGATCACATCTGATAGACTTAGTCTGACAGTCTAGCGGTAGTCTAACCGTCTACCCGTCCAACAGTCACCCGTATCTCGTAAGCCAGTCGAATAACGGGGAAGATAAAATGACTCGGTCGGCTCTCGCGTAACCCTGTGTCACGACGATACCTCAGGAACGCGTCGGTGGAGCAGAATAACAACACCCAAAAGTCCCCACTGTCCGTGATCGGAGGCTAGCTAGCCCACGACACCTCAAGACTTCAAGAATGATATGAGTCTTATGACTCTTATTCAGTAATTTCGCACGTTGTCTGGCCCGTGGATGGGTTGGAGACAACCCTGAACGAATACGCTCCCACCCCCTCCTGACGAACGGAGATTTCCGCGATTGCGCCCTCGCACCCCCTATTTCTTGCATTGAAAAGATGCACGGTGAATGGACAGCGGAGAGTCTGAGAGGGGAAACCTTTCTCCACTGCAATCAATTGAGCTGGGTCTTATTTTTTTTCTTGGTCCGGATGTGTCCAGTTTGATCCGTACAGTGTGCTCCGTCCTTGATTGATAGAGTGCTACCGTGGTTTTCGGAACGCCCATGCTCTCTTTCATCATACGATATGCGATACGACTGGGTGGATTCTGGTTTAATGTTTAATTATAGCATTACATTCAGAAAGACGCCTGAACCTTGCTGACTCCAAAAGGGTAAAAGGGGGGGGTCGTTGTCGTGCTTGGTCGGGCCCGTGGAACTGTCCGTTCATGACTGGCGCCAATTGGTCACCCGCTGATAATCACGTTTTCACCGTGTTCCGTTTCCATTATGTACTTACTCCAGATTTCGTCTTGGGGTGGTCTCCTCGGCGGAGTTATCGACGGCTCTCCGGGTCACTTGGGTTGCTACCTTGGCAGGTATGGACTGCGAAGGATATCTTGAACTTTGCCTACGGTTAATTGTTCTGTCTATAGTCATACCCAATAGTTAGTTAGTTTAGATATGAATATTCAGATTTATGCAGTACTCTAGTAGACTATACGGAATATACCACGATGTATACTTCCTCCCTTTTCTTCTCACAGCCATGTACTCCGTAGAAATGCTCAAGTGGAACCTTGTCTGTCATTTGAACATTACAGATAGGAAGAAGACGGGAATGAAACCCCATCAGAACTCCAGATGCAGGACTGCTGCAAGGCTCCTACCTCGGAATAGAGCTCTCTCTTCTTCCCTCTCTCTTTGCGCACGATGATTGGTTCATGATGGCGGGCTGGATCTGACCCCCGCGCAGGCGGAACCTGTTCATCCACTGCCGGTGAAGCGAGAAAGAACAATCTCCAAGCAAAGCAAATAATAGGCGGGAGGCCCGGTTTGACATGGAGGGCGCTTACCGATACTTCTCCACATGGTCGAGTTTGCTTTTTCTTCTCTACATTCTCATATACAGAATGTTTGGCATGCATATCGAGCTTCGATTTGTCCACGAGAAACACCGCAGGTCCAGATAGACAGATACCAAGCTACGGCCGACCTAGCGGGAGCGCTGCTCGGTCGGCAATCTCGTCCACAGACTCCGCTATCGCGTCCGCGCTCGGTGGGACCTCCGCGGAGAGCCCCGTGGCCACTGGCAGAGGCAAAAGAGGAGATCCAGGCTGGGGAGGAGAAATCGCCCGTCCCTCGTACAGTCATTACTGTAATGCGACTGGGCTACGGGATATCCGGACTCCTAAGGGCCGGGATGATTGATATCAAATTCATATAGCATGCCCGCCATTGGACGCCGCAGCCGCTGGTCTCCAGTACGCGGGATACAGAGGTCATGCTAGAACTCTCAACTTGGTTCAGCTGGGCCTCTGTAACCTCGGACGATCCCTCCGAAGTGGGTTCCAGTCTGTCCCCGGTTTTCATGTCCAAGCCATGTCCACCGCTTCATGGCCATTCTGGCTGTCGATCGAATCAGCGCACCGGCGGCGTTGAAAGGCGATGCTTGGCATGGACGGAATCCATAATTATTGTAATATGGACTTGGGTTCGACCAGAGATAATATCTAATAAATTAGGGTAGGTTGGAAAGGGGGAGAGGATGTCTTGGCTGTACTCGTGGGTGTCACTCCTTACCTTAGCGATGGCCGTTATGAGGCGCTTTCCGCGGCTGTGGCTTATTAGTAGAGATGCATACATAAGGGGGAGGCAATTTCACAAGGAAATCCGGTTAACCCCGTGACCAAAAAAACCCCTCCAATTATCAAGTAAAACTTCCTGGCAAGCACGTGTCAGAGTCGCGGGCAATCTGGACTGGTCGAGGCGCGGATATACTCCGGAGAAAGCTTGGATGGGGACAAACACGGTTTCCTCTCTACGGAGTGGAACACTTGAGTGAGACAATAGGGGAGGCGAGGTTCTGATTACTACAGATTGTCATTACCTGGACTACACGATAGGCATACATAGTCTGTACCGTGAACAATTCCCATTAATTCTAGTATGAAGCACTTCTTATGAAGAACATAAGTACTAGGAGGTACAAAATCTTGGCTATCTGATATCCTCTAGGCTAGTAGGCCTGCCTTGCGCTGATTCCCCCCCCCCCCCCGGGAAGGAAAAAAGCAACCGCCCAAGCTGTCAGTACTTTTTAGTGGGAACTGGGGTTGATCTCTCGGGTACAGCAACACCTGAGCCTCTTGCCGAAGTGTCGTACACTGTGACTACTCCAAAGGCAGTTAGTAATTGAACTAACTAATTTACGCATCAGGCCAAATCGGATAGAGACGTGCCCCGTGCTCCAGGGTAAGTCCACTTAACAGACCTCTTTTTCCGTGGCCCACTTTGTCTAATTTCCGTCCCCACTTCAGCCTGTCCACACTGGAACTTTGGGAAAACCTGGGGCCTTTTTGGGCCCATGGCCAATGCGGTCCCGAAGGTTGTCGATGGGATGCTACGCCAGACATGGTAAGTCTTACCCGCCTAATCCTTCGGCAGATCGTGTTAGGCCGCTTCGGAGTAATCGTCACGACTCGTGCGCGGGTCGACCATCCCAGTTGATGATCACGGAGCTCCTCGTTTTTCCCTGGTGCCTCGATTTCTTCCTGGGCTCATGATTCATGTCCACAATTCCCTTACAGTGCTCCGTAATATTGCGAGGATGCGGAGAGTAGCCCACCTCTGCTCCTCGGCTAGAGAGTAAGGACGGGATAGGCAAGTGACTCCAACGGTGGAGGTGGGTTAAGTTAGGTTCGGGAGTGGTATTGGATACTGTATGCAGGTAGTCTGTATTAGACGCAGAGATAAAAGTATGGAAAAATGTACCCCGTACTCCGTCATGAATATTGAAGTGAGTACGTAGTATTGTAACCAATTAGCAAAGTCTAAAAGAAAAACAAACAAGGCAATAGAGATCAGAAAAAACAAAAGCAAAATGTGCAATAATTGCAGCCACTGGGCTAAGTCCATTCAGTCAAGGATCCGAATCCCGAGAGACAGGGTCACATAAGTCCAGGAAAAGGGAATCCTACAGTAACTTAACACGGTCAGTGGAGTTCTCAAAGTAAATAATAATTATGACGGCGATGATCTAATAATAAACATAATTTACATACATACTGTAGCACTGTCAATATCTAAGAACACAACCAGTGGGTGATCGCCACCAGCTGGTAATCATTGTGTGCTGCCAAGCCTTTAACGTCCGTCTTACTCAATATCAATCTTGCCAGGCCAAATTTCCTATTCCCTCAGAGGCATTACGTCGTTGGCAGAGTTCTGTTGCGATCATATGAGATCCCAGCTCGCCATGCTCAGTGTCCACATGTGGCTGCACCCAGTGTAGATGCAATTGGCCCCGGGGGGGGGGGGAATCCCAAACCAATATGCCAGATTTAGTACTCGGTACGGTTTTAAACAGCCCGATCATAATAATAACACAAAGTACAGGGGGTACTGCACGTTCAAACCTGACTGATATTACCCGAACTAGCCTAGCAGGAAGTCATATTTTCCATGCATATTCTTCGGCTGCTCTGTACAGCTGGATAGCGCAGCCTCGCGCAGGAGTTAGTTAGGAAGGAGGTTAAAAGGCAACACTGCAAAAGTCAAAAAAGTAAACCTCAGTAGAAGATACGCACAGTCTACCGTGCAGCGTGCTCCATACAGTATTGCATGACAGGAGAAACCCGTTACGCTACTAGCGCTACCACTAGTGGCAATCCTGGCGCGGGGTCCGCTGGCCATCCTGGCGGACTGGCCGCTTGATTCATGCAGGCCTTCTCCCAATGCGCACACTGACTTTTCAAAAAGCCGGGAGGCATGGATCAGAAAACTGGGAATTGGATTTGGCAAAGGTCGAGAGTATGGAGGCCAGTAGGAGGCGTTGGTGTTCGATTCTATCTTGGTTCATCTCATATCCGCCCCCTGCCCTTCGGTTCGGTATGAGGCGTCGAAAACAAGAACGCAATTGATACAGTGTAATACGAATACGTCAACGGCGCCTCCTGTATGCATATGTGCGGGATAGATGTCTGAGGTTGTGGCGGACATGCTGCACGGTGCTGAGTTGGGAACTTTGGGGGCGTGGTGGTTGCAGGCGGAAGAAAAGCTTCGGAGCCAATGCATGCGCGGATGGCATCCGCTCGGCATTAGGCGCAGGTATTCTTTTTACTACTCATGTACCATGTACATACTTTGCATGTACTCTGTGCGTTGGCGTGTTTACGCCCAGTACAGTTTTGGGGAGATCGGCGATGTAATGCAAAATGGCTTGGTTCAACTGATCTGGTCATGATGCTACTCGATCAGTCTGTGGTTTGCGATAATGCCTCCCTATCAAGTAACCTTAAGGGCCTGGCCTTGTTCTGAATACCCTTGATGAGCTGTCAATGAATTCAACGGTAGAAGTGAAGTATCAAGATGATCTCAATCGGATGTCAGGCATGAAGTCTCCAGTCCATATCAACCCCATACGTTCATGACTCCATAGCTAGCGACGAAACGAACCCTTGTCAACTACTTAGATCTCCCTGAGCAAAAGCAACGTTCATGTCCCCCACAAGTCCCTCCTGGCGTGCTCTTGTTTTTGTGTGGTACCCACGCGACGCTGTGAAACCTACTAAGAAGATCGAATCCACTAGCACAAGCACAGCCGCACAGTGGGCCGATTAAGCATACCCATCGACGAACAGGCCACGAGCTAGCATCTCGATGATCTCATTTGAAGCACTAACTTAAACTATAAACGGGTCTTTTGAAACCCTAGTACGAGGTAAAAGTCGATGGGTCGAGTGAACTTGACACTTAAGCCAAGCCAGGTTAGGACATGTCTTAGGGCTGGCTTTGGCCCCATCGACGGTTATATATCACTGGAGGTTACCTATATAACGATTGATAGGCGATGAGACCGCAACACAAGCGATCAGATCTATTGACCAGTTTGCTCCTTATGTGTTAGAAGCTTATATTCTTTCTCCTAGTGATAAGCTTTGCTACTTTCATTGGAATGGTGTGCACATTAGGCTCAATTTTATTGCTCTGTCAAAGTCGTCTACGTCTTCCTTCAAGCCGAAGCTTGCAAGGATTTGTCGGCTCTCAAACTACTCAGAATTTAATTCATGCCTCCACCGCTCTTTGAAATGCTCATAAAGACATTTATCCATAAACCTCGGTGCGCTATGGGCGTCGGAGAAAATTCTTCCGTCTTCGTATGCAATTACCCCGGACTAACGTTGGAAGCGATTGCGGGGTTAAGATATGAACTATCCATTCATCCGGGGATGGTAGTATAAATATGCATTGTAGCAAAGATCGGGGAAGCATTGTGAATATCTGAAAGTGCACAATCGAGAATACCCTTTCAAATTGGCAACTAGACTATCCTCTCTGAATCAATCTTGGCTCTCATTCAATTGACACAATGCTGTGGTCTTCTGAACTCGTTCTAACACTTCTCCCCTTTGCTGCGTTCAACACGGCATCTCCAACACCGAGATCAAGAGATAAATTCGATTGGTCATCGAAAAGGTCACTGTAAGTTGGAAATTCCTGCCACTGATCACTACTTCATACGCAATGCCTGGGATGATGTCAATAACATCCATTGCAGCATTGCATTCGGAGACTCCTACACTTACGTCCAAGGGACCCATGGACACCAGAACTATAGCTTCATCGGCGATCAATTTGACTTTTCATATGATGCAGAAACCCTCTTGTCAAACAAGATCGTGCAAAACCAAGTTAGTACTCAACATTCCTGTTCAAGGATAATACATCACCAACAGGACACCATCCGATAACTCGTTCAGACTGCAACCGCAGAGGGAGGCCCCAATTGGGTCGAATACCTCACAAAATGCGGGCTCAAGCAAGGGCTGACATCGCCAAGGACCTGTGCAAAGCAGCTTTGGGACTTTGCTTTTGCAGGAGCAGACATTTCAACGGAATAGTACGCCTTCCTCCCATACTAATAGTCAGCCGAAACCCCGGCATACCAACCTCAAAAACATGGAATGAAACCCATCTAACAGCAAGGTTCTTTCATAGCACTCCCCTGCACCACAACTACACCGTCTCCCTCGTCAACCAAATCACCCAATTCAAAACCTACGGTGCCCCAGTCCTCCAAACCTTTCTACCAGCCTCCAAATCCCTAATCGCAGTTTGGATTGGAATCAACGACGTCGGCGATAGTTCCAAATACGCTGTAGACTTCCCAACCTTCTACGGCAATCTCACCAGCACACTGTTCTCCTCTGTCAACGAACTATACGATCTAGGCTACAGATCTTATCTATTCATGAACCTGCCCCCGCTTGACCGCACGCCGGGAAACCAGAAGACTACCACACCGCACCCCAACGCCACACAGGTGGCCTGGTACAATGATGCACTTGCGGCCAAGGCAGAGCAGTTCGGGAAGAATAAGGGGGATGTGGAAGTGCGGGTGTTCGATGCACATACACGATTGAGCGCGATGCTGGATAACCCGGCCCAGTACGGGATTGTGAATACGACTGATTTCTGCGAGGGTTATGACCAGCCGGATATTGATACTAATTACAAGGCGTATGGATGTCCGACGCCGCTGGACACGTACTTTTGGTATAACTCGGGGCATATGACGAGTCATGTGCATCGTATCTTGGCCGAGGAGCTGGAAGAGTGGTTGAAGGAGTAGGTAGATAGAGCAAAGACCAGGCAATGACTACAAGATCTACAGGGACGATGCCAGTCTTTTCCTCCGAGACTTATGTTTTAGTTTTGGAGCGAAGTAACAGTGGTAAATGTTTCATTATCCCATACAATCTGCAATAACACATCGGCATGCTTGCCGAAATAATCCTCGAGGCAAGAAGAGAAAAGAAAAAGGTCACTTTTGTGAATGATCAAGATGTATGAATTGGCTTGGAATGACCCAAGCTGTAAAGCTTTGCTGGGAACTGCAAACGAAGATCCGGGAGGAGCTCGTCGACAAGAGCAGAAAATCGACACCGATAGGAATCATGTAGAACTGTCTATGACATAAAACAAGTAACGCCGTCCGAACCGAATTACGCAGGGAAAACGAGAAGCAAGGACACAAGGAAGTCTACCAGGAACGCAGGAGGGCGCCAGCTCCGATGAACCGCATAGAAGCGGCATGGGCATCGAGGGGGCATCTTTTTTTACCAGCGGCGGGCACCGCCGATGGGAGCAGCGTTGGAGGCAGTAAAGCCGCCGCCACGGCCACGGCCACCCCAACCACCACGACCGCGACCACCCCAGCGGCCACCACCGCCGCCGCCACCGCTGTAACGGACCATCTCAGCAAGACGGGGGTCAATCTGCTGCTTAGCCTCGGAGAGAATGGTGACCAAGTCACGAGCCTGCTTAGAGTCTGTAGGAAGAAACGAATGGTTAGATATCTTGAAAGACAAAGTCAGGAGACAACTTCGGAGTACAAGAAACTTACTTTCAGTGGTGAAGAAGGTAATGGCGGTACCCTTGGCACCAGCACGGCCAGTACGACCAATACGGTGAACATAGTCCTCCGAGTTGTTGGGGTAGTCATAGTTCAGGACATGAGTGATGTCGCGCACATCTTTTCAAATACAATTGGGTTAGCAAACAGAGCCATTAGTGGGGGTAAAAGTAATTGTGGCCAGAGGAGGGCCCCTTTTTCACAGTCGTGCAGGACGTGAATGCATCATCACTGCTCTCTGTCGGAGCTTCTTTGAAGAAAGTCACCGGGGGAAGCAAGTCCATAGGGTGGCGGTAAAATCGTGGTCCTAAGAGAAACCTTGGAAATGCAGCTTTTTTTTTGAAACAGATCAAGAACAACGCTGAAAGATGGGACTCCAACTCGCTTACGAGTTTCAGCAACAAAGGAGTCGGAGAAATCCTGTCAGACCTGCTTTCTGATACACTGCACTGTGAGTCCAAGGTCCTCTCTGGTCAAGAGAAACCATTTGAGATGACCCGACATTCCGCCTGGACGAAGTCGTGTTTACACCAACATGCTTCGGGAGAGTTGAGCACCGTGCCATTGTGTTCTTCAACATCAACACGGGTAAGTGGTTTCAAGGGCCCCTTCAGGAGGGGATCACAATAGGGGAGGGATGGGAGGGGAAAAGGGGTTGCAATTTGTTCATACCGATACCACGGGAAGCCACATCAGTGGCCACCATGATGGGGCTCTTGCCCTGCTTGAATTCGTTGAGAACCCAATCACGTTCTTGCTGCTGCTTGTCACCGTGAATAGCTGTAATGAAGCATGTTAGTAAAAAAGGAACAGTTGTGATAACCAGAGGGAAGACATACAGAGCGCAGGCCATCCGTCCTGGCGAAGGAAGCGAGTGATTTCGTCAGCGATACGCTTGGTACCAGTGAAGATGAGAATCTTGTTGGAGCGGTCCTCCATGATCTTCTCCATGTGCTTGATCATGCGGTCACGCTTCTCAAAGTCCGACATAATCTCAACGATTTGAGTAATGCGGTGGTTAGCAGACAGATCCAGGGAACCGATGTTAACCTGGATGTAGTCGTTCAGGAAGTCCTTGGCAAGCTGGCGGACCTCCTTGGGCCAAGTAGCAGACCACATGCAGGTCTGACGGTCAGGGCGAATCTGGCCAATGATCTTGCGAATTTGGGGCTCGAAACCCATGTCAAGCATACGATCAGCCTCGTCGAGGACCAGGTAGGTGACACGACGGAGGTTAGTGCGGCCAGCCTCCAGCATGTCAATCAGACGACCGGGGGTAGCAATGCAAACCTCGACACCACGGGACAGGTCACGAATTTGAGGGCCCTTGGGGACACCACCGTAGACACAGGTGTTGCGAATACGAGAGGACTTGCCGAACTTGCTGATCTCAGTCTGAATCTGAACAGCCAGCTCACGAGTAGGAGCCAGAATCAGAACGATAGGGCCATCACCGGGGGCCAGGAGAGGCTGGGCGTTGATGTGAACAATAGCGGGAAGACAGTAAGACAGCGTCTTTCCGGAACCGGTCTCGGCAATACCGACAACATCACGACCGGAGAGAGCCATAGGCCAGCCCTGAGACTGGATGGCAGTTGGGCGCTCGAAACCCTGGGCCTTGACCTCAGACAGGACGTAGGCAGGGAAGCCAGCCTCATCGAAGGTCTCGACGGGGCGAGGGACACCACGGCCAGTGACGGCCATCTCGTGCTTCTTACGGAAAGCCTCAACTTCGGCATCGGAGCGGGCAGAGACTTCGGCGTGCTCCTTGTAGAAGGACTTCTCGAACTTGGGGAGTGTGTTCATATCTACACAGGCATTGTTAGTATTTCTGCGGTCGGAATTGGACATCAGTTCCGATTCGAAGCGGGAGAACTCACCCCAGTCCTGGGTCTTGAGACCAGCACCCAGGTTGGACATGCGGTCACCACCACCGCCGCCGCCGTAGCCGCCACGACCACCACCGTAGCCGCCGCCGCCGCCGCCATAGCCACCTCCATTTGAATAGCCACCGCCGTTAGAGTAGCCGTTATCACCACCGCGGGAGCTGTATATGCAGGATATGTCAGTAAAGATTCAGGTTGATAGAATATGATGAGAAATTTTGCGCCGCCAAGGTGACGTAGACACAGATGTGGCAAGGCCCGGAATGGATAATTCTGAGCGCAACAGCGATCGAAAAACATCGCGTAGAACTCGAGAACAGACGCAACACGTCCAAAGCGCACATAACGTTTCCGATACACACAGAAGCAAGGCGCAAAGGGGTTTGAACGCGATCTTTGAGAGGCCGCTGAGAGCAAAACAACTTACCGATAGGAGTCGCCTCCACGGGAGTTTCCACCGTAAGACATGATGGATGTGAGTGTTTGGCTGTTATTCTTTTGGGCGGTCAAGGAGATGAGAGGGTATTGAAGTGAAGGATTTCGAAGAAGAGGAAGGGAAAAGAGAAAGAGGGGGATGGATGGATGATAACGATGGGTTCTCGGAGAACTTAAAAGGAAAGAACAAAAAAAAGTAGTCGCCAGGGGAGCGGCAAAAAAACGAAGGAGGCGAAAAAAAACTTTACTCTTTTAGGACTAGTGTACACGTGATTATCCCTGATTATGTAAATTGTCATGCATTGTTTGTGGATATCCACGTGACTATACCTGTCCCTTACACGTGATATGTAACTTTACACTTTGTTTGATACTTAGGAGCACATACAGTATCAGTCAGCGTCCAAAAGTATTTGGAACACGGTACGGAGTACATGCCCCACTTATTTCTCTGCCGGTCAAACCACCTAAAACATTCAATATTTCAATAACTAGTATACCATCTGTTTGTATCTAATGACCTCCTCTCCATGATAAGGTATTGCTCCAGCTAGATTAACAAAATAGCAATAATCTAAGCGAATTTACTAGATTCGACCGCTTGCGCGAGGACGCGTGTGGCTAATTTAAGTAGGCGGTGTAGAAAAGCGGTATGGGCGGAAACTACGGAGTACTGTGTTTCAAGTTCTTTTGAACGGCCACTGTATTGATAAACACGTGACTGTATTGATATTACTTGTAATTTACGCGTGATATGGCACGTGATCTAGAATATTGTTACAAATATCGTTCTACTGTGGAAGTGACTCATCACGTGACTGATCTAGCCTATCTGCAGTCTGGGTCGTATCAAAGTTTTCCGATAGACTTTTCAAGATCGGGCGAATGCCGGATACCCCGATAGAAGGAATGTGGAAAAGAAATTTCGGGCGGACAAGAAAAATCGAAGAAAATATCTGTGCTGATTCGACAGTTTTAAACGGCTATCTAATCCATTCACTTCTTTTGGTCGCTCAGCCCCATATCCCAGAAACTGATTTCCAGCTCTGTAGCCCGGATGAAAATCCGGATTAACTCCTCCAGGCGACTGGGCGACACCTTTTGCACGTGGCCTTCCAGCAAAGCTACCAAGAAAATGAGCGTTATTTAGACGATTTCCCATAGACTGAATGCAAAATTTCTTACCTGATCCAAGGCGTACGGCTTCTGTGTAGTCATCTGCGACATAGTTCTCAATCCACTTCCAATATTTGTTACCATCCCGAAGAGTGTTTCCGTCAGAGTGTAGCCGCCTGGCAATAGCACCGTAACCAATCAAGCAGGGAGCCAGAGCCATCTGAAGGGCAAGCCAGTCCTCGGATTGGCCCACATCAAGAATGTATCGGCTGTATGCTGTGCAAGCTGCACACGAAAAGAGCAAGATCAGAAAAGATATGCCAATAGCCGACAGAACAAACGCAAGATTCTTACCGATCGTCTCAGATGAAGCCTCCATCTCCTTCTTTGAAAGCCCAAAGGAAGCGCAGTAATCCAGGTGGAGGGACATCTCCCGCTTAATATGCAGGACAATTTGCGCAGACTGGAACATGTTAGTTAGGCGATTAAGTGACACATGAACAGATGAATACGCACTGCTGCTATTGAGTCCATGTTTGAAGACTTGTATGATGCCAGGGCATTGCTGCGGGCAAATTGGACCTGGGGTTGATTTGTCAATATTGCTAAATTGATACCCATGTCTTGGAGAGGAAGGCTTACCAGGTAGAGATAATCTTGTACAAGATATTCCTTGAATCGCTCGACTGGGAGTGTACCTTGTCCCATGCCTTCGACAAAGTCGTGTTTGGTAAACTTCTCCCACGCACCCTGAACGTCTGGGCGATCCATGATATACTCGAGAAAGCGGCCACTGTGAAGTCCATCAGCAAAGCGTCCAAGGCGGGGTAGGGAAGTACTTCTTTCTTACGGTGCAAATGGCATAGTATAAATGGAGTGGAAGTGGTTAATGGGCCCACTGCCCTTACCCAAGTCTACACTGGTCTTGATGCCCGCCTCAACGAATCGCACAGCACTGCGAACGGCTCGGATCATGTCCTTACCCATGGCTAGATTGGCCGAGATTGCAGAGGCAAGTGAGCAACCTGTCCCATGTGTGTTTTTGGATACCAGATAGTCGGTCTCAAACAAAGTAGTCGTTGAAGTCTCGCCATCATAAAGGACATCGATCACAGTGGTCGATTCCTCAGGGGTTCGTGCGACCTTGTGGTCCTTGGTCAACGGCAGGTGTCCTCCTTTCAGAAGAACTGCTTTCGGGCCAAGCGAGCAGATTCGCTTGGCTAAATCAATCAGTTCATTGATGTCTGCCGGTTCATGTGCCTCAGATCCAGAATCTTTGATGAGGAGCTGAGCTTCGGGGATATTGGGAGTCAGAATGGTAGTCATAGGAAGCAATTTGAGTCGGAGACCTTCAACAGCTTTTTCCGGAAGGAGTTGAGATCCGCTGGTCGAAACCATCACCTATCTAATAATTAACATTGCCATAGTCGAGCAATGGGGGTATCTCCTCTTATTCACCGGGTCAAGCACAATGGCAGGAACTTTGTGGGCTTGTAATGTCTCGGCGATGACATCAATTGTCTCCGCGGACGAGAGCATCCCTGAGAAAAGTAAGCGAAAGGCCGCAGATACCATAGAAACATCGACATCACTAACCAAGCTTGACTACATCCGTGCCAACATCTTCCAGCCCTGCATTGATCTGTTTTCTCACGAATTCTGATGGGACGACGAAAATGTCCTGCACGCCCAACGTGTTCTGCGCAGTCAACCCCGTAGTAGCTGTTAGAGCATAACAGCCATGGGCAGCTAATACCCTTTGGTCGGCCTCCAGGCCACTACATTCAAGATTAGCATGTCTCTGGTGGCATACGTATGAGTGTATAAATTTGAATGGGCAGAAAAAGACGGCACAGGAATGTGACCAGTCTATTTCGGAGTCAAATGACTGCCAGAGAGTCGAACTTACGCGCCACCAGAGCTGTCGGAGCCTGCAATGACCAGTACTCGCTTGACAGACATGACTGAACGAGCCAATCAGGCAAGGAACTGAATTCGTTGAAGGATGAAGGTCGAGAGGGGAGTGGGGGATTGGCGGGCAAAAATGCGATAAGAGCGATAAGCCGAGATCGGTCGTCTGCATGTTGTGCTTCCTGTTTTTTTTCCTGCGGTCGGATCGCGCTTAGATGTGGAAACCTTAGCAACAACCCTCTCTTCATCAAGAGTTTACTTAAATTTATGACATAGTTGCAAACCATGATCATCATTTTATTTCAGACGGCCAATTATTGTTAGTGGCGTAAGTGCGCCCACTTAGCTTTGAGTGTGATGAATTATTTACCACCTGGATACCCTAAGCTTGGCCTGGGTATCATCATATTAACCAGGGACATTAATGGTGGATCAACTGCCCTTTCGAGCTAAGAACTCGAGATCACTATAAATCAAGGCTTACTATCGCTACATGCTTCTGAAAAACCTGTCATGCAGTAGATCAATATGGAAGTGTTCCATATTTCTACGGAGAAGTTATGTTACGTTCACATGTTCCATCATTTAATCGACCGAATGGCATTTTCTCATTTCCTCCATAAGAGTTATTTCAAGGTGTCATTGGCAATGTGACAATGCATGGACGCTTAAGCCGGCTCTGCTTCCGTTGTTCAGCACGGTCTCCCTTCCCCCACGCCTCCATCACCTTCCAAGACGAATCATAGTGTATATCCCCCCTCACTACTCTTAAGAGTACCTGGATCCCAGTACAGTAGCATCGGCAAATGATCACACGCATATATGGATTACGCGGACACGCATGCCTATCTAAGCTTCCTGTGAACCCCTTCCAAGATCGAGTGTGCCGCAGCCGCTGACGGAGGTCGATAAGGTTTACATCTAGGCCAAATCTCAACTCATATGACCCTTTTGGCAGATCTAGCCACGGAGATCTCATTACGTCAATAATCACCATAGTTGGATTCTCTGACTGTGCCATCGGCAAAAGCTGCACATGAATTAGGTCGCAATCTCGGATGACAAAGGATGAGATTCGCCGAGGTCAAATAGGCTTAGAAATTGGGCTAGGCAGGGATTAAGATAGATTGGCATGGTATGAAGTAATATTAAGGCCTGTCATAGTGTGACGGGTGCTCGTGGGCTTAGGTCATTGGCATGCCTGATTATAATAACGTTTAGTGTATGCAGCTAGACTCGGACCTAGCACAAACTCATTTTCTTTGTTCGAGCGGGGTCCAGAGGCCTGTGCAACGGTGGTTCGCAATCTGGGTCCCGAAAACAAGAGAAGGTTTCATTGTAAATAGAAAACGTTGAGTAGGTGGAGAGAACCTCTGACCTTCGCTTGACCGTGATCGCTAGTTCAAGATTTGCATTTTGTGTTACACGATGGTGCCATAAGTGGAAATGAGCTACCATAGCCTGATCGACGGGGTTACCAAAATAGGATCTGTAACACGATAGCCAACGAATCAATGCAAGTTTCTCATGTGAGTTTATTTATCCCAGTACAGGGTAATAAAGGATGTCAACTCGGCATGACTTGCAGATTGAGAGCCCTCGTCAAAAAAGGCACGAGTGAGCAGCCGGAAATCACACTAGGAATAGTATGGCTTGGGTAGTGGCCCATGCCTCGGAATTCTAAGCACAATGACGGCGTCTGAGCCATATTGGGACAAAGAAGACTGACATCTTCGATCAGTCTTCCCCAAACTGTATACCACCTGCTGGAAGCCCGTGCACGATCGAGGCAGAGTATTTATGTAGCCCAAATCCTATAGATTGTGGCTTTCATTCACGTCAATCAAAATACCTTGTCTGTTAATAAGATTATCATATTAGAGCGGCTCAACCCCAACTTTTGATCCATGGCCCAAATCAGAATGCCAATCTACGAGCTATTGCTCTTACTGCTGCTTCATTTTGCTCTCATAGAGGCAGTTCATCTCTGTCCTCTTCTGGGACCTAGCTGGCCTGCCCTCACGGATCTTTCCAGCGACGCCGCTGTCCAGACAGCTTTGAAAAACATCACTAAAACAATCGATGATGCCAGCAGCGCAGGAAAGTTCTCTGGAGCTTCCTTGTCGTTGGAGGTTTTTGATACAGGTAGTTCCAACGCCTTGCTTACTTACGCTCACACGGCCAAAGAAATCAATACTACCCTTGGCGTAAGCAAGGTTGACGAGAATACCGTTTTCCGCATTGGCAGCACTTCTAAAATGTTTCCCATGATTCTGCTTCTGATTCAAGGAGGGTTCAACTCTCTGCAAGACCCGATTTCGAAGTACATTCCCGAGATTAAGGTGGCTGCTGATGAGCTTCTGCGGAATTCCACGAAGAGAGATAACGGCATTGACTATACCAAGTGGAACGAGATTACAGTTGGAGAGCTAGCGAGCCATTTGGCAGGTATCGCTAGAGACTGTAAGTATTTCCATTAATTCTTAGCAAATACTCGAATTAACACGTCCTAGATGGTATTCTCGATCTCACCGAGCAATCTTCTTTGCTCGAGTCATTGGGATTCCCTGCTCTTCCTCCCGCGCAAATCCGCCCTGCGGCGTGCCAAATCCTTGCAGCAGGAAGCGTTAGTTGATGACTCCATCCTATACGCACAACTGTTACTTATTAAATTCTCATTAGAATTCTTTGACGGGTTGCTTCAGGCTAACCCAGTTGTTCCCACATCTTCCACACCGATCTACTCTAATGCAGGTTTCCAAGTCCTCGGATACGTTGTCGAGGCCCTTGCTGGCGGCGAAGACTTTGAAAAGGTCTTTGAAAAGAAAATAACCAAGCCGCTAAGCATGTCTCACACGTTCTATACTACACCCAATTCGTCTCTTGGTGTGATTCCTTCCTACCAGGGTGAATACTGGTGGGATTTCGACATTGGCGAAGAAGCACCGTAAGTAGGCTTAGCTGCTTCCTCTGGTCATCATACTCACAATTTGATAGTGCAGGTGGTATCTTCTCATCTGCAAAGGACATGTCTACTTTTGGTCGGGCCATTCTCAACAGCACTCTTCTCCCGCGATCAACCACGAGACGGTGGTTGAAGCCACTCTCCCATACATCATCCCTTGACTACGCCGTTGGCGCACCCTGGGAAATTATTTCATTCGGTAATGAGCGTCCTATTGATCTCTACACCAAGTCTGGAGACATAGGAACATACTCCTGTGTGCTGTCTCTGGACCCTGATCATAAAGCTGGCTTTGTGCTCCTCGGGGCTGGAAACAACACCCACGAATCCCTAGCTCTCGCATCCGATCTTGTCTCCAAGAGTCTGCTACCTGCGCTTGAACAGGCCGCCAAGAACCAGGCCCACGCCCGTTTTGCAGGAACATATGCCTTGGGTACCGGAAATTCCTCTATCACCATCACTACAGATGATGGCCCCGCTCTGGTCGTCACGAGTTGGGTTAATAATGGCACTAACATGTTCCCGAGTTACATGGCCTTACATGGGATCACTGATCCATCCATGCTTGACATTCGCCTGTATCCTACGGGACTTGAGAGTCCAGGACAACTTTCCTTCCGGGCCGTTATCCCGCCACCATTGCCGTCCGGCATTGGGCCATTTACCTCGTCATGTATAACCTGGGTGACTGTAGACTCACAAGTCTACGGCAATGTGGGGATTGACGAGTTCGTATTCAATTTGGATGGGAAAGGCAATGCAGTTAGCGTCTCTCCGAGAGCGCTGCGTACGGTTCTATCGAAGACCAAATAGGTCTAGATGACTGGGTCTTGCAATGCGTTATTATGTACAGCCTACTCATGGAAGCGGTGCTGTTTTCTCTTTCTTGTGGAAATTTCTATTTCATGTCTATATCTTGATTTATGAGAAATTGTTTGAACAAGCATCACATCTAAATCTTCGAGTCTCCCAGTAATGCCTTGGGAATAGCGAAACTCATATCAAGCCTCTTCGCCAGATAGTAGATGGTCTCCAACCGAGGCACATCAACGCCATGGCTCTGCGCAATCCGCAGTGCATTTCCAACAATGCATTCTACCTCCAAATTTTGTCCAGCGAGAGCGTCAGCCAGCATGCTTGGCTCCACGCCTGGAGGCGCCCTTCTAGCAGACAATTGTAGCTGACGTTCAACGACACTGTCATCAACGTCACTGTATCCCTCGGCTCGGGCAATGCTAGCAATTTCACGCATCACTTTCCTGCAAAATGACTCGGCGCCAGGTGCAGCACCCAAGAATTGGACATCGCGTAGTCGGGAAAGTGCGCAAATGGGGTTCTGCGAGCCATTCACTAGTAGCTTTGTCCATCGCGCCAGCTGGATGTCGTCTTCATGAGTTGCGGATGCACCAGCGTCATTCAAAAGCTCCACAAAGCGTGCTGTAGAGTTCTTATGTTCTATTGTGGATTTGGCTGGGTATGTGCCCAGCAGGAACTTCGTGTACACGGTATGAGAGACCACGCCGGGGGCAGTTTGTGTACAAGGCATGTATATCACGACACTTGCGATGGCTGTGTCCGGGAACAAGGCCTTATAAGGTTCCTCGATGCTGATACCATTCTGCATGAGCACTATGGTCGTTTTAGCAGATACCGCGGGTTTAATCAACTCGGGCTGAGAAACGTTGCCCCGGACGATTGCCTTGGTTGCCACGCAGATATAGTCGAAGCCGTCTGGGTACGCCTGGACAGCCTCGGCCACCGATCGGACGGCGATTGGTTTGACATTTTCGTTCATTCCATAGACCGTGGAATTGATTGTGAAGCCATCCTTGGCAACAATGTCGAAATTAGACCGACAGACAACAACGATGTTTGATGCGGGGATTGATTTGGAGAGTAGATAGGCGAGGACTGCCCCGATACTCCCACCTCCAAAAACGAGGACTCGTGGAGACATGATGAATAGCTTTGGATTCTTTCAGGGATTGAAGAAGAATGGAAGCCGTGAGTCACGCTTGAACGCTTATTTTATTTCTTCCTCGGATGTACCCCGCTCTATGGCCTCGTAAAATTAAAAATCAGCTCCCGTCATTACGCCTTACACGTGATTTCTATACAAAGATATCACAAATCTGTGACATCAAGATCTAAAACAACAATAATTGGTCGTCTCTAGCTTAATCTCGCTTCAATCCAATCCGCCCTGTTTTCCGTAGACCAAGTCCTGAAATCGCCGTACAAAGGACCATGAAAGCAAACATAGTCCAAAAGCTCGCTCGATACCCCGCCAGCAGCGCAGGGATCTCATCCTCAATGACCTGTTTATTCTCAGTAACAACTGACGAAATGACTTGCAGAATCGCGAATCCAAGTGCAGTACCGAACTGCGCAGCAGTGTTGAACACAGCGCCCGCAAGTGCTTTCGTGTCCTCCGGGAAGATATCCGTTATAATGATAAGGCCGACAGTGAAAAGGGCATTGCAATTCACCGCTTGTAGAAGCTGGGCCACGAATGCATTTGCCCAATATGGCCAAGACGGCGGGGCTGTAGCCATGAGGAGAGAGGGGAGAATGAGCCTAGAACGGCTGTGAGTACCACGATCCAGATGGCAGGTACTCGATGCACGAAGAAACCTGCTGTGACTTGAACTAGAACGCCGACAACCAGACTGGGGAGGATGCGGATGGATGCTTGAAGGGCGGAGAGTTGCTGAATCTCTTGGAAGCTGTGGCTGTATTAGCAATGTCTCGTCGCTAATCTGATGCAGGGCTACTTACAACAGACTTGCGAAGAGCTCCATAGAGTTGATCACCGCAAACGAGAGTGCAATGGTGGCACAGATGCTCGAAAAGGTGGCATTTCTCCAGAACGAATTAGGAATAAGTGCCGGCCTTCCACGGCGAACCTGATAATGAATCCATATAACGAACGAAGGCAGCGCAATTGCGGCCAGACAAAGTATCACAATGCTGGCAGTTTCCTTGATGCGATACACATTTGAACTGAGAATTCTGTTCAGAAAAAGTCAATCAGCCATTCACTCATACAGCTTGTAGTCCAACTTACGCAAGCAAGTAGCAAAGCAGCGCCATAAAAGCAGACGCAAGCAGCGCACCAACCCAATCAACCTTGTACTTCAAATCGTGCAAAATATTCTCCAGTTTGCGAGGATGCTCACTCCCAGGAAGAGCCCACAGTCCAATGAACGAAAGGAACAAGGACGCACCACCCGCGATATACCAGCCAACTCGCCAGCCAACAGTATCCACGAAGACACCGCCCAAGACGAGACCAAGGCAGAAGCCGACGGGTTGAGCCATGCCGAGACACGCAAAGGCCATGTTCCTGCTTTTTCCCTGGGGGAAGACCTGAGTGGCGATGCCTACAGCGGATGCAAGGTGAAGTGCGAGACCGACACCCTGGATGGCACGCATCGCAACTAATTGAGTACCTTCCTTGGCTAGGCCCATTCCAAGCATCAATGCACCGCTGGCAAACGTGCCAACAAGGTCGACCCACCGTGGACCAACGACATCAGCCAACGAGCCTGCCAACAACAAAGTCGAGGCAGTAGCGAGTCCCGATACGGACACTGGCCAGAAGGAGAGCGAGGCAGGTAGCTGCAGGTCCTTTGTGATCGTGGGAAGTCCAACGGTGACAAGGCCGTTGATGATACTCGAGAGCATGGTATTACCGCTCATTTGAAACACGATAATTGTGCTGCGCAGCTTGGAAATCTGTGAGGCTTGCTGCTCGGCTTCAGTTCGTTCGCTTTCGCGAGATTGAACGCTGGTTGTCTCAAGGCGAATCATCGAGACACGACGTTCACCAACAGGCTCAGAGCCTGTGTGCTTGACCGTGACGGTCTGGGTGGTCGTCATTTTGGCTATTGGACCTCCCACGCTGTAACGAGACTTCAAGAGGGAAACTATTGAGATGGAAGAGCCATTGGAAGTTGTATAAACGGAGTGTTTGAATCCTCTTTAATCCTCGGGAAAATCTGGTAAATGGCATCTCGAGTGGAGTCAAGTGCAACAAAATTTGTGAACAAAATACAACCTGGCGATACTATAGGCTGAAAAAGTTCCATCCGACGCAGATTTGGACTGGAACCGATGGGTTCCCGAGTTGAGGCCCGCCGCTGTGATTGGCCGAATCAGAATGTGGAACTAGGGCGTGGATGGAGCCAGCGGACAAGATGTAGGGCGTGTTTTCAAGCGGGTGACTCAGAAAATGTAACCACATCACATAAGTTACGGAGTACAAAAAAACATTATTCATGGCGATGAAGATGCAGCCAGAGAACAAGAATGAGTCATTGATGTCAGAATCCCCGAATGTAAATGTAAATGCAAAAACTCAACGTTACACAACTTGATTCCTCATAACCCATGCCCAGAAAATCCTTATGTACAAATTCCCAAAAAAGTCGTACGCCACCGGGGCTATTGTTGTATCATGAAGCGGAAAAGCGTATCCATCTCAACCCACTGGCGACCACACTTCTTCAGGTAGCCATCTACCACGGTCTTGATCGTGCCAAAGCGGATGCGGTTGAACTCCGCAAGAGCCGCGAGGCTATCCTTCTTCTCTCCACTCTCCTTGGCAGCGGCAGCCTTGGCCTTGTCCACATCCCAGAGACCAGCAAAGTATAGAAGCTGGTTGTACATCTGCTGTTCGCTATACTCATAAGACATACGACCCAGACAACCCTCGGCGCGGCCACGAGGACCAAGGCACCGGTGGCCATATACACTGATCTGGCGTGTACGGTTGCCGCATGCCGAATCATCACATACAAGCCAGCCCTCGTAGTATCGAGCGGTCTGTTCACGAATCTGATTCTCCAGCTGTGCGATGATAGTCAAAACTGCGAATGGCTTTTGACAGCTCTCATTAGAGCAAATGATGCCGTTCGCGGAGCACATCTGAGGAGAGTCGGCGAGACCTTCGAAGACCGACTGCTCCTTGCAGGATCGACATTTAAGAGTTAACCGCACAGCGTTGGCAAAGCGAACAGAGTCCGGAATCTGCGACTCCAGCGGGAAGATTTCGGTGTCCTGCTGTTTGCTCGAGCTGGATGTGTTGATCTGATACTTGCGAGCATCCAGACCAAGGCATTCGGCCAAGCGGACGGCATCCGTACCGGGAATGGGAGCACAAAGACGTTCGATGGGAGGGAAAATCTGCTTGAGCAGGTAGAACTCGACATCGGGCTTGAGTCCGGAATTAGGTTTGAGAACGTCTTGTGGGCTGTACGATCGCTTGGCTGGTGGCAGGGAGGATGTTTCCGCATCTCCGCTCGTAACGATGTATGAAATGACGTCGTTCGGTCGCACAGTCTTGCCGCGGGCAATATCGCGGAGGGCAACCTGTGCTGGAGGCATGGTCTCTTTGTTGGGATATTGGTCGGGGCTCTTCGACAGCTTCGTATAGATAACGTATTTCTGAACGGGAACAGCAAACTCCTTCATCTTCTCCGCAAGCTCACGCAAATAGTCATGAACCTTGTTGAGAACAACTTCTTGATCCTCACCGGAGAGAATCTCGTTCAGAAGCCTTTGCGATACCTCCTTTGAAAGAGCACAGTATTCACGTCGCTTCATGTCGAGACCCTTGACCTCTAACTTCTCAATGTACTTGCCATCGACCTCTGTCAGGTTGACAGCAGCGTACTTCTTCTTGGCATGCAACAGAAGTCGGCGGAAGACATTATCGATATCAATTTCAAGCAGGCGGTATCGCTCGTTGACAGATCTCTTGAAATCCTCGCCGACCTTGAGGGCATCGCTGATGGTGTCCATGTTGGTGTTGATCATGACGGAATCAGTATCACCATAGATGACACGCAGTTGCTTGCTCTCAGCGAGTTCCTTGGTGCTCCGCAGAATCTCACGTCCCTTGAATGTGGTGAGCATGGCAAGTGGACGGGCGTAGAAACGACTTTGCGTGTATCCCAAGCACCCGTACATGGAGTTGGCTGTGAGCTTGAACGCAAGCTGTTTGGTATCCCACAGAGCAAGTTGCTCGGGTGTAGCACGCTTGTCCTTCATAAGCTTCTTCACCTCACGTCGACGACCGACCAAGGTTGCGATGAGTCGAGGCAAAATTCCCTGCTCCTGATCGGAAGACGGAACCTCAGGAACTTTCTCTTCATTCTCGTTTTCAGACTAGGATATGGTCAGTGTGAGGTACCACTAAGGGTCAAGCGGGGAATACTTACAGTCGCATGCCGGTCGACAGTCGTGAAGCAGATGTTGTACTCCTGGATGATACTAGGATACAGACTGTTGAAGTCCATGACAAGGATGAATCTATCATAGAGACCCTTTTCGGGTTCGAAGACGAGACCACCCTTGTACTTGTCCTTCTTTTTCTTGTCGGCCGCGTCGTCGTCGTCTCCATCCAGCATTTTCTCCTCGGCCTTTTGCAAGCGAGAGGAGTATTTGTCCGGGCAGATGTACTTGTTCCGGTGGAACTCGTGGAGCAGAATGTACTCGTTACGTTCGGCACGAGTACCGCTGAGCGTTCGTGCCCACGAGTTACCGGCAATGTTCGTCAGCACCTTGGTAAGCGAGAGCATTTGCAGACGTAACACCAGGGCAGCGATGAAATATGTGTCAGTATCGCAGTGATTGACAAGGTTCAGAAGACCCTCCTTGGTTGACGCCCAGGTCTTTAGAGCTGCTTCGACGTCCAGATCCTGACGGTTGTTACCCTCGCCGAGATAGAGTTGACACATTTCAGACAGACTCCACGATTGACACTTCATCATGAGGGACTTGCCCATGTCATTGCCAACATCACAGAGTAGTCGACCGGCGATAAGCTGTCTCTCGATAAAGAAGCCGCCGCCTCCCCTGTTCAGCTTGGGCCACTCGCCACGTCGAAGCCGACCAATACGGTGCCAACCAGGGGTTTTCTTCTCCCGCATCCGGTTCAGAAGAATACCAAGGTCGACATCTTGTAACTGGTGACCCATGATAACATCAGGGTCCATCTTCTCAAAGAGAGCCAGGAACTTGCTTAGCAAGAACTGCTCACTCTTCTCTAGCATGAAGGTGCCCCGCTGCTTTTTGGTTTCGGCCTCGAAGTGGATAGGGTAGGACGGACCAGCAGGGCGCATGACGGTGAATGTCTTGCAAGGAAGCTTTTCTGGATGAGTGGTGTCTGTAAGAGAGATGTTCTCATAAACTCTCGCACTGGCCATGAGGATTTCTTGCTTGTTGTCCTTCACATTGAGTTGATGGCGGAACGACAAACTCATGAGCGTCAATGGCGGAGTATCCAGATTCTCCGTTTCCGGAACTGGGGTAATCATGGCTGGCTTAGAGGCCTGGCATTCAAACTTGCACCAGGATGCATTGTTGACCGCAGAGAAATCGGCCTCGTCAATCCTGAGCCAGCAAGGGCCCATGATGTTCTTCCACAGCACAAACTGCTCAAATAGAGAGGTGTTTGTACCAAAGACATGCGAGTAAGTCTCACCCTTGGTTTCCATGGGCAAGGCAGGTTTATCGTACGGGTAAAGCAGCTTGAGATATTCGGCGTCCTTAGGAACACCTGGCAGCTCGAATGCGTACTTGCGAGTGCAGGGTTTGATTTTGTGCATGCCAACTCGCATCCGTGACATGAGCCCGTCAACTTCTCCATAGACGTCCTCCATGTCGACTTCCTCCTCGGTCTCTCTTCCTTGCTTGTGTCGGTATTCGCGGGGGAGGAAATAGAGTTTGCGTAGGATGTTGTCGACCTTGACAAAGGCACTAGCATAGGAGCCATTCTGCTTGTTCTTGACTTTTCCGAACAGGCAGAGACTACCGTTGACCTCAGTGTAATCCAGCCAAAACATGCGTAAGCTGCCATCTTCCTCAACCACGTCTTGAGCGCGCAGTTTGCCAAAGGATCGCATCTCGGGGGCTGGGCTGCTGAGGACATTCAATTTGCTCTGGATATCATTCCAAGAAGCATCCATGACCTCCGGTGCAACTTTTGCGGGAGAAGAGCTAGCAGGTGTAGGGAGGATCTCCTTCTTGAGCTTCGGCGGCGGGCGACTGCCCGTCATGTTCACACTAGCAGCCTTGATGTTCGAAGATACCGTAGCCTCCGCAACATCCATCATATCAATATCGTCATCGTCGGATTCTTCTTTCTTGACGGGGAACGCTGTAGTCTTACGTTCTACCGCCTTGCTGATGGGGGACGAGGGCATTGGATCGCCCATATCGACGTCGTCGTCATCCACCTGAGAAAATGAGCCATCATCAAAATCATCGGAGTGTAGTGGCGGTTGGTCCTTGACTGGCGAGCTGGGAATATCGTTCTCGCTCTTCTTGTCGACCAGTTCTCGGCGTCGTCTTTCGGACAAAGGTGGGGAAAGGACGCGCACTTTGCGACGTGCCTCTGATTTGACAAGGTTTCTGGTGGGGATGTGATTGGAAACGACATTGGTGTCAACTTCACCGAGGAGGTCCTTCATGAAAGCGTCATCCTCGGCAGTAGCAACGGGCTAAAGCTTGTGGTTAGTTTGCAGCTACAAGCTGATAAATTCCTTTCGACAGCACACTGACCTTGGGCTTGGGTGCTGACGCAGCAGCATTGCCACTGTTGAAGTACTTGGAGATACCATTGTTGATCTTGTCTTTTCGCTGCTTCTCCTCCTCGCGCTTCCTCTTGGCAGCCTTACCACGGGCAGGCAATTCGTCGCTTTCGTCACTGTCATAATCCACGGTGCGCTCGTTCCAGACTTCTCGACCGTCGTCGGCATATCCAGCACCATTATCGTCAACAACAAAGTCGTCCTGGTCGAGGCGGCTGCGAATAACTTTTTTATAGCCGTCGTCGTCGACCTCGTCGTAGATATCGCCTTGGTCCTCGATTTCGTAGGTTGAGAGACGCTTCTTGCCGGCAGCACGGAGGGCCCTCAGCTCCGCCAACTTGTCGCGTGCAGACGGCATCGTTGGGAATTTGTTATGGACAAAAGCCCATAAATGGAACAATTGGTGGGGAAAGGGAGGACTGCAAAGGGAGATCGCGCCCGGGACACAGGGCGCGACGGGACGCGATCGGGACGCGTTAAAGTGGTTTAGGTAAGTTGTAGTGCCTTGATGCCTAAGGCTTCAAGGCCCGAAATGTCAGCCCTAACCCGCCCGTCACGATTGGGCAACGACAGACCTTCAACATTCATAGTTTGAGTATACTGTGCCCAATCCTAGGTGGAATATTTGTGTCTAAAATATGATGTTTAATAATGTACTCTATTATCTTCCAGTCTATGTTTTCCTTATCATGATGAGTGCCCGCCAAACATGCCTACTGTAGAAAGGAAGGCAGTCGGGTCACTATACGATCTTCATGTACTAGGCAATCGCTGTTACGGTTTCAATCCAGGGTTGCTTGTTGATGAAACCATTTATTTAATTTTGAGACGAGTAATTTTGAGCTATGAGCGCTGACCGTATTCTACTAACAGCCACAGAGGTCATAGACCTCTTGTTCACAGCTAGCATACACATCAAGAGAGACAGTCAGAGTGTAGACCTTACATACCAGAAGTTGCTCTATCTTCAGTATTATTAGCAGTCACTTTAAGCTCAATGATAATACTTATCGGAAAATTCCGAGTGATATCTCGCAAATTTAGCCTGTTCATTCGTCATATAGGCCATGTTCCGAGGGAGAGTAGGGATCTAAGTACAGTATGAAAAGCTCAAATGGGAACTAATCTATTCAAATGTAGCCGCAATGTTGGCTGACACAAATGACAGCCACCTATTGTGAGAATTAACTCTAGATTGATAGAGATCAAGATTCCTCGTGCTTATTTACGACTTATCCCTCTTTAACTTCACCATTCTCTGATTTTTATCTTATCACTGCCTAGTGTTACCGTCACCTCACAGGTATCTATCTCCCTTCAATTACTCTCAGGCAAGAACCTGCCAGTCCTTCGTTTATACCTCCAGATTCCATCACACTAAGAATCTTGTCTTCTCTGACTCTTCCACAGGCTATGCTGTCACGCTTGAAATCTTCCCTTACCATCACGGTCCGTGGAATCCCTCCCACTCTTTGCACCCGTCATCCTCCACACTCACTCACCCTCCACGCTCACGACCGTCACGTACTTACACTCACACCATACTGATATCCCAAGCTCTCCAGTCTCTCAAAATGCCCCGCCCACGAGGTGTCAACCTCAAGCCGGTTGGATTCGCCCCGCCACAGCAGACCATCTCCCCCGAAACCACCGTCTCGATCACCGCGGGGGAGTACGCGAAACTGGTAAGCCACCCGCGCTTCTGAAAAGCACCTTGGACCACACCTATCGTCGAACCATCTTTTTCCCAGTCTTCATCATTCAACATGCTTCTGATTACTGACATCTTCATAGCTCCGTGACTCCGATGAACTCAGTAAGGCCATCAACCTGATCCTGCCGTTCAGAGCTTAGGCAAGCCCAACACAAACGAGCACCTTGAGTTGATATTCTATACAGGAAAACTACGCGCGTCTCTTCAAAATGGTAAACACGAAAACAAGAGTGTAAGTGCGTCTTTGGCCCCAGAATATGGCCGGATATACTAACATCCGTCCTCTTAGATATTAACCAACGCTTTGTATCTCGTATCAGGCCATGCAGCCCAAGCTAACATCCAAACCACAGGAAAGGACAATGCCACCCGTCAATCTCAAGCTCACCTCGGCAGTAATGGCGACCTGAACGGTGGTCAGCGGTTCGATCTCGACAGTCTCGCATCTGCTCTGGAGGAAACTTGCGCCGTGAACACCCCAGAGTCAGAGGATGACTTGGAGGCCCGTCAACGTGTCAACCACAGTGTCATCCTCCTGCCCCCATCCCCCGTCACTCACGCCCAGGTCGCCGCTGCTGTCCGAGGTGGATCATTGCTCCAAATCTTTCTCCAGCGAAACAACAACCAGGTCAACGTTACTTTCGCCCGGTCTGAGGATGCCGCTGCTTTCGTCGCCCATGCCCAGTCTGCGCCCTTCTACGTTGCCGGTCTTTTGGTAATTATCACAATCACTGAGGACGTTTTATGACACTGACTTTGTTTTCTGTACCTTCGATATGTCTATCTTAATACTGACATTTCTTTCTGTATGCAGACTACCGTCGAATGGGCTCCACGCGGCTACGTCGCCCCTACATACGTCTACCAACAAGTCCAGGACGGAGGCGTAAGCCGCAACCTGGTCATTGAGAAAGTCGATTCCAAGGTCACCGAGGCCATTATCCGTCGGGATTTGGCGCATATCCACAATCTGGCCGTTATCTCTGTTTGTTTCGAGAATGGCAATGCATACATCTCGACAAGCTCGGCGGGTGGTGCGCTGTACGCTCGCACTTGCATGAAGTCCCGCGCCTTTTACAAAGACATGAGGATTTCTTTCTACGAGGATGAATGTGCGAAACCTCTCCCAAGAGTCCGTCGTTCTGCTGTGGGGGGCACTGCCAAGGCTTCGAAGAAGAACAAGGAGGAGCAAGGCCCAGCTTACAATCCGTTTGAACTTCTTTCCCAGCATGAGTTTGATTTTGATGAGGAGTATTATGAGGAGGAGGAGGAGGAGGAGCACGAGGAGTGACCCTTGGTCATTGTTTTGCTTTTTCCCCTTTCTTTTTGCGATCTGGATCTGGTTTTGGGAGTTCATCAGCCCTTTGCCATTTTATGCTGCATTTCGAGTGATCTTCTACAAGGGTGAATGTGCATACATCACGATGAACGCATGGAAATAGCGGCAGGATAGAACAGTTTTCGAATTACAAGTTTCATAAATATGGTTTCTTTTATCTAGTATCTCCACTTAATTCTTGGAGAATGCGTAACACTAGTCGATTGACTATGACCATGTAGATTGAACCAGGACACTTGGTTTCCTTGGTGGAGATGTTCCCAAGCCTTCCCTTCCAAGGACGAGCATGAGGACTTTATTCCCATAGAAAGGAAATATCCAGTGTCTAATCTCCAAAGCTACCACCAGCATGACGCCGACTCGGCGTTGTCTAGTATCCCCAGACATATACGTCTATTGCCTTGTTGGTCATGATTATAGCTACTCGAGCGAGTCAATATAAAGGCCGCATCCAAACCCCATTTCAAAACAGGTTATAACCTACTTCCATTTCCCCCGAGTAATCCTCTGCGCCGGTGGTCTAACGGTACCAATGGACAAACGCAGACCGTTCCACCGGGTGCGAGCGACGGAACAGATTTACCTCCCACCCTGGACTTTGTCGGAATTTTTTAGGATGTGTTTGGTATTAAAATGATCAGCAGATTTGGGAGAGCTTAATGGAGTCTTCTTCGGAGATTTTTAGGTGTGTTAGTGGATGGTTTGTGGGGGGTTGACGGGTGTGAGCATTGGGATGAAGTATCTCAGCATCATGAGGGTATTACAGGATGCTTGTATGGGGAATTAGAGGGTCCGGGTTCGTTCATGGGATGGGGGGGGGGCTATTTCTTTCTTGGTTTTTGAGACCTTGCTGGTGGGATGTTTGATATGCCTTGATATAGCTCACATAGAGGGACCTTCCCAGTAAGAACCTCCAGCCGAGGCTGCGATAACAGGGTCAACATGCTATGCTATTCATACTCCGTAGAGAGAGATCCTCGAATATCCAACGCTCGCCGAAACTACGCCATGCACTCCGCAGACAAGATTGAACAAACGTAAAAACCCGGTGTTATTTGAGCAGATTTTCCTGGCCTATGCTAGGTATATTTTCCAGCCGTACAAAACAGCGCCAGCGAAAACAAAAGAAGACATTCGGGATAAAAATTTCCAATCCCGTCTGCCCACCACCCACATCACACATCCAGCCAGCACCGGCACCGGGTTGAGGACCGTTTCCGACTGATCTCCTCCAACCGCTCATGACAACTCACGCACCATCATCATCCCGATCTAGATCCCAGATCCCAGCCTATTCCAGAAGCATTTTTTCTTCTTCCATGGAAACAAAACAAAATTTTCGTAATGAGAAAAGGAGACCAATTCCCATATTGTTGAATCCATGAAAGGAAAAAAATGAGAGAAGCACCGTTTTTTGATTTCGATAAATTCCTTGATCTTTTGATTTTTTTTTCGCCGCTTTGCATAAACACAATATGACAGAAGGGGGGCGCCAAGCAACAAAAAAGAGGAAAGAGGAATTTAACGGTACGACTTCTGGTAACGGGAGCGGGCACCGCGACCACCGAACTTCTTGGGCTCGGCCCGGCGGTTATCGGCGACCAGCAGGGTGCGGTCGTACTGGACAAAGGCCTGCTTGAGCTGGTTCTTGGAGTGCTCGTCGACGTACTTCTGGTAGTAGGCGACGATGGACTTGGCGATGGCCTGACGGATGGCGTAGACCTGGGAGGTGTGACCACCACCAGTGACGCGGACGCGGATGTCGACACCGGCGAACTTGTCAGCGCCGACGATCAGGAGGGGCTCGTAGACCTGTTCGAAGTGGAAGAAGACCAGGTTAGAAAAAAAAGTTCGAAAAGGTTGATATGTTGTCACCGCTGCCGTGTTTCAACTTCCGAAGTTTCCGTCTCTCGGGAGATCGTTCCATTCGTTGTCGCGGCAGGAAGTGTGCTGGGTATTCGGTAGAAGGAAGCGTACCTTGAAGCGCAGGATCTCAGGCTGGACCAGAGAGAGGGGCTGGCCGTTGACCTTGATGAGGCCCTTGCCTTGCTGTAAAATCGAACAAAGTCTCAGCATGCCGTTCATTCCAAAATATTTGCCTCGCATCATCCATCATTGCGCCGTATTGTATTCCAGTTCCCACATCGCCCGTCGCCAATTCCAACATCCTTCACATTCGATCCATAATTTTCGTCATATCCTTTCCCCCCGCGTGCTTTTCGCGACAATCCTCCTCCGGGCGATGTGTTCTCCGTGGGTTTCCAATAGACGCAATGACCGTAGAGCGGGTGTTCGTGATTCCAGAGTTTCGTGATCATACCTTGCAGTGGGCGACAGCGGTGGCTATTTGAAGTCGATCATCAGTAAAAACATCCTCGCACGAAACCTCGAAAATGTCGCGGGCGACTTACCCGTCTTCTTCTTGCCGAAGCATTGCACACTCGGGGCGGTAGAAGCCATGGTGGGTGATATGGCCCTTGTCGGTGTCGATAGGGGAGGGAGTGTGTTGTCGTGGGAGATGGAAAGAAGTCGACCACGAATTCCACACTACAGCGATTCGCCTGAATTGCCCTTCCGTGCGGGTTTCGCTTAGTCTGAGCTAGTCCCATTTTGGTTAGTGCTGAAAATGGCTTAGGGCTTGGTCACGTGCGAGTTTCTAGGTTGGCGGAGATGAGCGGCAGGAAAGTTCGGGGTTGAGCGGGTTTGGCAGGTCTTTTGCGGTTGCCAGTGTTTTGTTTGAACGTTCATTATCATTGGGGATCTCGACGCTTCTTGATTACATTGTATCGTCAAGATGTCGCAGACGGTCGGAAAGGTATGTTCAAGTCTTTTTGTACTGGCAATTGCTGCGCCAGGCCCCTCAATGCCTCAATATCACCCCCGTATCTCACCTTGACATCTCCAGACTCGTCTTGCCTACTCCCGGGCATGGCACTATGTCGACGCCGGCTCTGATCCTCGGTCCCTTGGCCGTCTGGCCTCATCTATTGCCCTCGTCCTGATGGGCAAGCACAAGCCTATCTACGACCCCTCGACAGACTGCGGTGACTACGTGGTAGTAGCTGGCTGCCACGACCTCCGGACAACCGGCAAGAAGCGTTTCCAGAAGATGTACTATACACACACAACTCGCCCTGGTAGCTTGAGAAGTATGACGATGGATCAAATGTTTGCGAAATGGGGTGGTGGTGAAGTTCTGCGCCGTGCAGTGAAGGGCATGTTGCCCAAGAACCGGCTGCAGGAGCCTCGATTGGCCCGCCTGAAGAGTGAGTACAAGTCATACCCGCGGAGGTATTCGGGAAAAGATATTGTCGTCTAACATGCGTTATAATAGCTTTCGAAGGCCTCGCGCATCCTTACAAGGAAAACATTGTCAAGTTCGGCAACAAATCGATCCTGGACCAGCCCGAGGTCCAAGCTGCCTTCAAGGAGGATAAGCCATCGGCATAGACATCCCCTCCCCTTTCTCTCTTCTTTCTAGCTTGTCTACAGCGTGATCCGAGTTTCAGCCCGGAGCCGTCTGTGTAAATTATTTTCTGCGTTATGATCCAAAGCGCAAGCGCATGGGTGTGGAGTCCAACATTTGGGAATGACCTTTTTTTTGCTTTTACTCTATTTGATCACGCTCTGTTTTAAATACTACTTTACTTACCTCTCCTTCGCTATGCTCATCCCATCTGGCATGTACTTATAGCAAAACAAATCACCAATGGAAAATAGAAGAAATGTGTTCCAGGTTGACATTGAGTCGTGTCTTAGCACGCCCAGTGGTATATATAGAGACATGACATTATGTACAGAAAAGCAGCATGCTAGAAACTCCAAATTCGGACATCCCCGATATGGAAAGCCTTTACAGGCGGGCCTTCTGGCCGGAGCGGGCCACGGTGCACTTGATGAGACCGTTGGGGCCCGACTGTGGAGCATACACCTCGGCGTCCTTGCCGGTGTTCTTGGTGCCTTTGTGCCAGCTGAGATCTGCACAGAGAGAGGAATTGTCAGCCACAGTCTGGTTTATAGAATATCGCAATAGCGGAGCGGGTACTTACCAATCTCAAAGTAGTGAATGTTGGGCAGGGCATACTCGACAGTATCAAGCAGAGGAACAGCAGCCAGAATCAGCTCACCCATCTTGTACATGGTAGCCTGCACACTAGCCGAGTTATCCTCCGCAAAGGTCTTGAGGGTAGTGTTACGGGCGGTCTCCCAAGCATGGTCAAACTTCTGCACGTTGGCCTTGACCTCGTTCAGGCAACCGAAGCGGCGCCACTGCCAGTTGGCATTAACCTTGGTGCTGAGAATACGGTCCCAAGTCTCCTTGAGAGTGGTGAACTCGTCACGGACGAAGCCCCAGAATTGGGAGCCAGTGCTCTTGAGGACGGTCAGGCCGTCGATGGAGGAGTTGATCTCGATGCCCTTGCCCTCGATCACGTCGACCTGGACGTTGCGGGTCTCGGGGCTGTCCTTGATGAAGGAGTGGGGGTGGGGCTTGCCGTCGATGTCCATGCGCACCCAGCGGTGGGTGATGATGCTGACGTGGGCGGCGTGGATGTGGGAGTACTTCTCGATGAAGTGTGTGCCGAGGATGGAGCCGAACAGCTCGGGGGGAGTCACGGGCTGCTGCTTGGCGGTGATGTAGATGGTGTTCTTGATGGAGTCGGTGGCGACGACAACGCTGTTGTCGGCCTTGGTGTAGCTGTGGTCGCAGTCACTGAGTTAGCTCGTTTGTTTGCAAGCTACTGAACCCCCCCCCCCCCCCCCCCCCGGGGAGGGGCCGCATTGAGAGAAGGCGAGGGAGTGGAGGAAATGCGCAACCGGACGGACTTACGAGGTCTCGATATCGCCCTCCAGCAGGACGCAGACGGTCATCTCAACGACGGTCTGGACACCGGTCTTCTCATCGCGGTGAACCTTGTAAACGCGGACATTGTCCTTTCCGTAGCGGGCAGCAGCGAGAGCGCTCATGTTGGCGGTAGAAAGAAGATAGTCGGGGGATGACGATAAGAAGGATAAGAAAGAGAGGGAGACTGGGAGCTGTCACGGACGGGTAAATAGGCAAGTTTCACGGAAGAGGCAGAGCAAGTCTGGTCGGATCTCCAGGAGAAACAGGAGCTGGGGGCAAGTCTATTTATTTGGTCCAATCTCCAACTTTTTTTCCGGGTCCAAATGGGCTGACGCGATCGCGAGTGCCAGCATCGGGCACCTCCGATGGCCGCGAGTGGCCGATCCCCACCGAATCTTATCGGCCCTGCTTGTGAGATTTGGCTCTCGAGAGGATGCTGGGATTGTCCAGGACGGACAACACCTGCCTGGACTGGCAAGTAGTCCAGAAAATCCTTAATCCTCCACGGCTAACGTGATCAGGCCATGAATCCCCCCATCTTAGAAAAAAAGGAGCCAGTCCAACCTTCCTCTTCTTCCCCAGACTTCGGGATCTAACCCGGTTTCCTAAACAGGGTGGAGCAGCAGCAGCCTCCATCTTCCACTCCCGACCTCCGAATTTCCGGCGCCCGAGCCCACTCTGCCCACCCGCTGCCCTCCGTCGAGTGTGCTTGTGGTGCTTTGGTGCGTTTCCTTACGGGCTTTGGATGCAAATCCCGCTGGGAAAGTAAACCCCTGAGAATTCAGGCACGTCTCCTCTCGCTCCGGTCGGAGATCTCCACCAGCTGGTTGTCGCGGGGAAATGCGATCCCACAAGGTCGAGATTATGTATCTCATGTCGCTGTTGCAGTCGTACGGGGATATTGAATCTGACTCTTCATGCTTATCTTTCCAACATGCAGTCTCTTGTCTAGTCCTTGCCAGTAGATTCGACTTTATATTGAGGCTTCTATGAGCAGGCCATTGATTGACATAGTGGACATCAGAGCAACGAATTAAGCCAGGGTCCACCCATGTGTGACTGCTCAATGCTTGACTTGATGATCTGCCCCAGATCAGAATACTATGACCGGGTCAGCCACAGCGTCCGGCGAGGCCACAGCAAGATTGATAATCAAATATCGACAACTAACCAAAGTAGAGATGCATTCAATGGCAACCTCCATTCCCTTTCTGACCCAGCAAGCTCCAAAGGTCCAGACCCTACCCTTCAGGCGTCCCATTCGACCTCAAGCTTACCATCACAACAACCTCACACCGATCTCCTGTCTAACCACCGCTCATTCCTAACTAGACCCAATTCCAGCACCGCTTCTCGTACAGTTAATCACCATGAAGCTCGTAATCGGCGGTTCAACCGGCTTCGTCGCCACAGAAGTACTTACCCAGGCCCTTAAGAACCCTGCAATCACCTCAATCGTCGCCCTCGGCCGACGAGAGGCCACAATGTCAACCGCGGCCGGCTCTAATGCCGGAAAACTGAAATCAGTCATATGCAAAGACTTTGAGAACTACCCTGATAGCGTGAAAACCGAGCTGGAGAATGCAGATGCTTGTATTTGGTACGACCAGCCTAAATCCATCCCAACTACCTCGGATCTCATCCCTATACGAAGGGCGATCCAGTCAAGTAGCACTAGCCAGTAACACTATTCCGTATAGGCTAACAACTCCCCACAGGACCATCGCCGTAACACCCAGGAAACTCAGCACCGTCCCTTGGGAAGCAACCTGCAAGATATCGCGCGACTACGCGGTCACAGCGATCAAGACTCTCGACACTCTCCGCCCAGCACAAGAACAACCACTACGCTTCCTCTACGTGAGCGGACATTTTGCGCCTCGAAGTCGGGCTGAAATACCGCCCGCACTAGAAAATCACGGTCTGGTCGATTACGGGCTACTTCGGGTACGTGGCGAGTCAGACAAACCTGTGACTCTCCAACGGGTTAAGCGCCGTTCTACGACGTGAGCGATAGCTAACACACTACGTAGGGAGAGGTAGAAACCCTGATTCTCAGCTATGCGGAACAATCGCACGGTAGGGTTGAATCATGCGTCGTGAAACCGGGACTCATCGATGCGCCGGGGGCGGAGAAACGCGATATCCCGGGTGTACCGCACGTCGATTTACCTGATATTGCGGCCGCTCTGGTAGATCAGGTTATTCGGGGATTTGAGAAGGATACGCTGAGTAATGATGATCTGGTGCGGATTGGAGGGCGGGTTTTGGCTGAGTAGTTGGGTACAGTACTTTGGTGAGACATTACTGATGTGGAGAGTTGGTGGGAGTGAGATTTGCCGATATATGTCTATCTGCCGATTATCTCGCAAAGTAGAGATGAACGTACCTGGAAACAACTGTTGAGGTTAGGAGAGAATAGTCTAGGTAAGTGACTAGTCTCAGGTTATAGAGGTACTCGTGTCCGATACAGTCATATTGCCATTTCCCCCTTATTCAATTCAAAGTCACTGTCGATTCCCAGACAAGAGCCTTCTTCCTGTTTGTTTTATCGTGTGATTTGTGGTGGGATATACAAACTAGGAAATGTATAAGTTTTGGGCGCAGTTGCATAGTAGTTGATGCTCGGTACTGGCTAGCAGCAACGCTAAAGGTCAATGATCTGATAACACGGCCAGAAGATAACATCATGAATAGTTGGTTATAAAGAGAGTGTTTAATCGGCAGTAATGGGTAAGAGGGAAGGCAGAAGTTGGAAGGAGGGAAACGATTCGTTTATATGACGATGGTTGGCGTTGCTGCCTCAGGCATCAGTGCATACTGAACAATGGCACAAGTTACTCTCATTTAAATCGAATGAGGAGATAAGATCCATTCTATCATTCTTTGATATAAATGGACTGATCGGAGATAGAAAGTACGCTCCTCGGGTCGCTTACTACAATTCATGTCGGATTCCGCGGGCGCTTTTACATTCTCCTACTTTACCCACGACTTGGGAACATTCATCGAAATATGCTACTATTCAATCCCAGATGGCTGCGCTGATCCCATTCATCTTCCTAATCAGGGCAATCATTTGCATGAAGACATACCTACAAATAGTATAATAGCGTGATAAAAAGTCTTCTCGGGCCCGCGGACTCCGGGAATCGGTGTCCGCGGGGTGTTCCTTGGATCGTCTCTGGGGGGATGTGTGGAGTAAAGCCAGTGGGGCAGCCTCAACATGTCAAATCGTCATTATCGAGAAAAGGACGATAGCTCTCTTATGATAGTACCTGGAAGCTGATTAGTAGGGATACCAAGAGAAGCTAGGACTAAGCCGCTGAAAGAGCTTATCCAGATCACTTGCACTCGTCTATGCTGTGCTACAAGGTGCGGTGCTCAATTGCTTCAAAATATGTGCCTATTCGGGCAGCCCACTAGAGAAGCAGAAAGAAAAGTGGATCGATCCCGTCTGCACAATTGGACCAGCGATCTTCCTGGCCGAATCAGCTTGCACTATGACAACTTTATCATCGCGTAAAACATCCCCTTCGGGCAGGCAGCTCGCGACAATGTCCCTTGGTCGCGAGTCCATAAATACCCCTGTACCCCCGCGAACAGCTCCAACGTGCTATACTCTTCAATGTCGAAGTTTCTATATCCAACAACTCGCTCTCTAGCGCGGCCAATCACCCCAAATCGAAGTCTCTGTGCATACCCTCTAGCCTTCGTCGACGTGAGTAGCTGCCTAGCTGCACCCAGAATCCAGAATCATGTACAGACAGAACTAACATCTTCCAGTTCTATACGACACACATACCACATCAAGCAAAGCACCCAATTCCTCACGTACGAGGACTCAAGACTGAATCCCCTCGTCGAATCCTGCCCAGAACTCCCCTCGCCATGTCCGCCACTACCACCAACCTCCAACCCACCCCCCAACGGGCCACAGCAACCCTCCACACCGAAACAAACCCAAACAAGAAATACACCTACCTCGCCGAAACAACCCCCCACCTCGCCACAATCCTCAGCTTCCCCTCCCGCTGCTCAACCTTCCCCTCCCTCTACGACCGGACCTGCGCCGAAATCGTCGATCTCGCAGGCACAATCGCCTCCTTCGAGCCAGTCCGCCTTCACGTCCGACCAGAAGACCAAGCCCGAGCACAAAAACTAGTCGATGCGCGCATGTCCACCGCGCCGGCTAACCATCGGGCTCGAATCAGACTCATCGCCGCGCCGACGAATCACGTCTGGGTGCGGGATACAGGGCCTGTGTACGTGCGCGGCAAGGACGATGGCAAGCGGTACGCGATTGACTTTCGTTTCTGCGAGTGGGGGAATAAACTGGGCGAGCGGATTTATACCAGCAGTGTGGATAAAGTGGCTGCCATACAGGAAGAAGAAGACTGGCCGGTCATGGACGAGCGGGTGCGGACCGAGAATACCGCATTTGCACAGCGCGTGCTGGAACTTGAGAATCAGCTTTATCCGGAGTCGGCCGTGTCGCGGGTGATTTCTGGTGTGCGGCTTGAAGGTGGGGGGATTGAGATGGATGGGGAGGGCACGTTGATGGCGATGGAGAGTAGTGTGACTGTGCCCTCGCGGAATGAGGGGATATCGCGCGAAGCGATTGAGACTGAATTATCCCGCCTGCTTGGGATTAAGAAGTTCATTTGGATTCCTGGTCGGGAGGGTCTGGATATCACCGATTACCACATCGATGCCGAGGCAAGGTTTATTCGGCCCGGTGTGGTTGTGGTGGGTAGACCGCATGCAAAGTGTGACCAGGTCTTTTGGGATGTGTATAATGAGATGCGTGCGATTCTGGATACCACGACTGATGCGCAGGGTCGAAAGTTGCAAGTTTATGATATTGAGGAGCCAGATCCCGATTTGGTCGGGGGGGATGTGCCGGGTGAGGAGGTTGCGCCGGCGGCATCATATGTGAACTTTTACTTCACGAATGGTGGACTGGTTATTCCGGCTTTTGGAGATGCCGTGACTGATGCCAAGGCATTGGAGACTTTGGCCAAGTTGGTTCCTGAGCGACGAATCTGCCAGGTCGCCGTTAATGCACTACCTCGGACTGGAGGTGTGTTGCATTGTACGACGCAGCAGGTGCTGTGAGGGATGATGTGTATACCTGGATGCATTGCATGTATGCTCTTTATGGATTTTGAATTTCAAATGACGAAATACTGCTACCATTGTGAAGTGAACCCCCCGGCCTGCTCGTCACTATACAAATATTTCGCGACACTGAACGATGCTCAAGTACTTCACCATGATGCTCATGCCCAATAAATACCACATTTACACAACCATCAATAGTATTAAAAGGCTTCAAAAAGGAGCTATCATACTGTCCTAAATATAAAGATTAATTTAATATAAGGAACATATTAAAAGTATGCAAAAATGTAGCCGCGGTGGTAGCCTCTGTATTAGGGCCAGCATAAAAAGGGAGTAACCCTCCACCTCAGAAGGCCCCTTCCTGGAAGCGGCCCGTCTAGTGGGAAACTCAGCCGAAGCGTCAGGATTTCTGACGGACTGGAACTGGGTTATAATCCCTCCTGGGTTTGTATTGAGGTATACTGAAGCCTTTTATTGACTACCGTGGTCGAGGTCATAAAGATACACTTGCCATCAGCCACGCTGCTGCACTCACATGGCGTATCTTTTTTCATCCCCTCATCCTTGTCTATGATAGTACATGCAGGATGATGTGTACACCTATATACACTAATGTATTTGGCGAGGCGTGATTTGGAGTGATGATTATTTTAGTTATTATGTGGATCTATATCAGCGTGAGCAATGTCTGACAGATATTGACATTAGAAAATGATATACCTCCGTCAGTCTGTTCTGGGTGAGACGATTCGAATAATTAGGGTATAATCATGGATTTACCGATAGTTGGCTAAGCTTTCTAACTAAATCTAACTAGACTCCGCGGATGGTTCAACAGATGTGGTTAGTTCGGGTGAGTCACGTTGAATCACGAAGAGTAAACTCCACTTGTCATCTTCGAGATAAGAGCCAATGCGGGGCAGCAAATAACAGTACTACCCGTGTTCAGGAATAAAAGGACGTAAAAAGTCCCAGACACTCGTCAATCCAACACTCAATCATCTTATGAAATACTCGACGATACACTGCACTCTCCCTGCCATAGTGCCTACATCACCAGCCTCGTCTCAACCTCAAACCTCAAGAAATACAATCAAACCAAACAAACCTCCCCACAAATCCACAATGTCCAACCCAGAATCCGAAGTCTTCCTCACAGAGATCCCCCCTCTCCCCGACACAGAATTCTGCGTCTACGGCACAGTCTACGCCTACCCGGAACACGCAGACGCCCTAGAAGCAGTCTACGCCGAGACAACCCGTCTCGCGGAATTCGAGCCCGGCGTGATATACTACTGTCTCACCCGGGACAGCGAGCAGCCACATATCTTCTACTTCTTCGAGCGGTATACGGGAAAACAGGCCTTTGAAGATCACAATGCGCAGCCGATTATTCAGAAGTTGATGGCTGATAAGTATATTCGGGGCGTGAAGGCCAATTTTGGGAAACAGATTAAATAGGGGCTGTCCGCGGGGAAGAGTGGATGAGTTGATGGACATGTATTTAGATTATTGAATTGAGTGGTTTTTTGAAGAAATAGGATATGGGATATGGTAGTTTACAAATAAAGATTCGTCCGGGATCGACAAGACAAGACAAGACAAGCACGTTAATGCTCGCAGAGATGGAAATGTCCCATCTGGTATGCAACATTACTCTTTTCAGACTGCAGCCCTCGCTCTGCCATAAGCTCGACCCGATACGCTTTGGCTTCTTCCATGGTAATCGAGTTCGCCCCTTCTCCCTGCAGGACTTGCTGCGCACCGGAGCCCCGATTCTGCGTGCTTGGTCGCCAGTCCTCGCGTTGCGGGGGTACATTCGCGGACGAGATAATCCGCGTGTGCGGATCAACGAGGAAAAGTGCAAGGATCTTCCTGTGGCCCGGTTTGGATGGATCGGCCAAGGAGAATGGAGAGACCTGGTGTTGCAGGGTATTGGGGAATGTAATGATGCGCCCTTCTTGGGAGATTACGCTGCCCAGCTCTTGTGTGATTAGATCGTCGTTGTAACTGTCGAGGTCGTCGTGGTAACCGTATACTTGTTGCATGAACTCGTGTCGATCTTGTTCGTAGGACATGTCCATGTCGGCCATGCCTCGGTGGCGGAACGCTAACGAGCTGGGGGTCATGTTCTCGGTGTCGTAGTAGTAAATGGCCGATGCGGCAATACGTTCGTTCTGAACGAGTCAGTAAGGACATACCCTTCTATATGGCTTGACCGGTTTACTCACCAATTGGCCCTCAATATGCCAGGTTCCTCCTTCATACGAGGGCTTCGAGGGAGTCAACTCGATATTTGCCAGCTTCACAATGACCTGTATCTTGCCCTCGGGAAAGTGTTTTATGAAGTCGGCCTTTTTTCAAGCTCCCTGGTCTTGAATTCTCCCGGTTCCGGCTTGATGATCTTCCGAGAGGCATACCAAGCGCTCAACCGCTCCTCAAACTCATCATAATCAGCATCGTCTCCCTCAGGATACTCCGGCTCAGTCTGGCCATCATCCTCGTACTCAACTTCCGTGTACTTGATGCGTTCGTTGAAGTACGTCTTCTCGCTCAAAGATTGTTCCCACAGGGGAATTGTGAGTGCGAGAATCTTCTCAACGACCTCGTACAACGCACGGTGCTTGTCCGGGTGCGCATTGTTCATATAAGACAGAATCTGACATCCGCCATCTTCGGTGATCTTCACATCGCAAGGTAACCACTGGAACTTGGTGCTCAAAACAGCTGGATGCGGCTGCGTGCGATAAGAATAAGGACCCCTCTCCGGAGAAGCTTCAGCTTCCTTCGGGCTCGGAACCCAATGACCTTCTCCCATGCTGTCAATACAGTCATCAAGACCGATCGTCCGATCAGGAAGAACATGTGTGCGTCCGTAAATGACGGGGAAAAGCGACGGATGCACCAGATTAACCACCTTGTTATCCGAGCCGGGATGGTAATCTTTCTCTTCCTCGGGGACATTTTCAAAAGGAACCACTGCTTCTTTCAGCTCATCCTGTAGCTCCTTCGAGACGACGGTATCAGACTTGACGACTCCAGCATCAAAGACTTCCACAAACCCGGTCTGCTCCAGAATGCCCGCTTTCCATTGCAACTCTTTAACAATCCAATCCATCATCTTGGGCGTCGCATCATGTCCACTCTGAGCAACTTCCTCACGCCATTTGGCAATGATATGCTCATCAAAGACCTTACGCTCCCACTCCGGTTTATCAGTAATAACATTCATGATTTGCATCATAGTAATTTCCCGCTGGGTAAGGAGTTCGCTGTATCAAGATATTCGTCAACCCTCTCAACATAGGCAAAAGGATCGAATCCGTTTCTTACTTCAGACTCCCACGTTCAAGATGTTCTGGGTCCAGGGCATTCCGAAACCCGAATACATACCCATCTAACACATTCGCCTATCTATCGTCAGTATTGCCGAAATATCAAATATCACGGCACGAAGCAATGGATTCCACCGTGTCGTCGAGTCTCGCATCTCGTACCTGGGGAGCATGATTCAGGGGCAAATTGAACCCCGGCATCTGGAGTGACCAGTTCCCGACGGAATTCATCTTTACGCTGCGCACACAAAAGGTGCGCCGTTGTAGTCGTAGACTTAGCAAAGATCGGCACCGGGGCATTCTGTTTTCGAGTTGAGGGTTGGAGATCTGCGCTGGTGCCATGCGGGCCCGCAGAGCTTTTCAGGCAGAAATCAGGCATAAATATAAGCTAGCTTTGCTGGGCTTAGGTTATGGTGGAAATTTGAGACGTGGAACCAGGGACAATTAGATTTATTCAATATGTCGGCCAGATTAGATTTAGTAGCATTTACAGATTTCGATGGTCAGTCAGTGAGATCTGTTTGAGGTTCGACTGGCACAGACACAACGCCGATGCGGCTGGGTTCTTTGGCCCGTCAGCTTCGAGCTGTGGCTACAGAATTGGTCAAGTGTGAGATCTATCCAATTTATAGAATCATTGGTCCTGGACTAATAGTTGAGCATTCTCCAATATCTTTGTGTGAAGTAAAGCAGTCACCAATAGCAAATCTAATTCCAAGTATTACTCCACCGGGCAAGTCGAAAGAGAAGGGGAAGAAACTACCTTCCAAATCGAGTCAACACAGTACAGTGAAAGTCTCGAAGAACTGTGTCGCTATATTATATTAACATAATTAGATACTAGAAAGATAACAACGGCTACCTATAAGCACAAAGTGTGCCTACTAAAGTCAACAGAGGATGCTTGTTCTGTCCGAAAGTCAACAGATAGGCCGAGCCTATATCCCGATAAACACCGATCCTAACGTGTGCGTTTTATCAAGAAAGCCGTCGGTGTGTCACCTAATCGCGTATACATACTCCAGACTAAGCAAGACTAGCCTGGCTGTGCTTCAATATCCTTAGCTCAAGAACCGGGCACCGTGGCAAGCGTTCTTGGGGTTATATTGACCGCAATACATCAGTGTATGACTGAGTATTACTTTCCTGCAAGAAACAAGCACGATTCATAGTATTTTCCATACCATCGACATTCAAATATCAAGGTGGACGTGGGATCCACTTGCGGCTCCTAGGATCCACCTCCACAAAACGCAATGCCATTATTAGACCTCAGTGGTTGCACATGAGATTCATCAAGAGGAGGAGAATATGATTGACCAGAGCAAAAGTTATATCTCGCGCTCTAAAATTTCCCCTCGCTGATACTAGTATGTCTATATCTACCAGATGGAATCTTAGCCTTCCAAGAGATCTCAATGAATAGATGATAATACTGATAAATGATAGTATCAAAATCCGCCACTAGAAAGCTATAGCATCTATAGGCCAAGCTCAACTCGATCGAAACAATGCATACAAAATATAAAAATAGAATAGAGAAGATATCTCCCACGCTCAGCGTGTATTGTTTTGCTCTGACTCTGATCCCGTTTCCCATCATCCAATCCAATCCAATCCCACCCAACCCAACCCAATTGATAACCAAACGCCTTATGAAAAGTCCAATTCCAATCCAACACATAACCAAACCAACATGAACATGAACATGAAAATGAAGATAACATCTCATCTCCTTTCTAATCCAAATTTTCATCTAGATTTTCTCCCCAAAAAACGCACCCCCGTCGGGTCCGCTCCTCTCCTCTCATCACAAACTCAACTGATCAATACTCCCCACCCTCCCACCACCCCCTAACCTCCCACCCCCCTTCGTAACCATTCCCAACCGATAAAACCGCTCCTCACCCGCCGGCGTCCGCCCCCCGATATACCATTTCTCCGGGCCCAGCGCATCGCGGAACCCGCCCGAGCCAGACGAAGAGTCACTCCCGCGACGCTGGCGGTCTGCCGGGCCGCGGGAGATCGGGATGGGGGTGGATGTTGTCGAGGGGGTTGGTGGTTGGGAGGGAGGTTCTGAGTGGTGGTAGTGGTGGGAGTGGTATTGGGGTGCTGCGGTGGATGTAGATGGAGCGTTTGCTGTTGGAGTGGTGTTGTTGGCGGAGGTGGAGGGTGACGAGGAGGGCTGTTGTGATGACGAAGAGGAGGATGAGTGTTGATGTTGGTGGGCTGGTTTGGAGGCTATTGTGCGGGCGCTTGTGGAGATTTGCGCGGTGGAGAGAGAGGTGGAGGGTGTGGATTGTTGTGTGGCGGTTTTGAGGGTGGACTGGGCGCGGAAAGCCGCTAGGAAGTTGGCAAGGAAGGGTCTGTTGGTGCTCATGGTGGATGGTGGTGGTGGTGGTGGCAGAGATGCAAGATTTCTGTCTCTTTTTCTTTCTTTTTCGGGATAGGCGATCTCAACGGAGGAGAAGGAGGTGGTGGTGATTTGCAGCGGTAGAAGATGCAAGGTGAGGAGTCAGATCCGGATATTGAGTTCTCAACTGGCGGGGGTCTTCAACAACAGCCTGCCCGCAGGATGTCCAACAACGTCCTTCAGTTGCCCTCACAAAACAAGGACAAAAGGAAAAGGAACTCGAGTTCCCCGAATGGAGGCTTAAAGAGGAGAGAGACGTCGAGTCAGTCAGCGTGGAGGTTGGAAGTGCACGGCGGGGTGCAAAGAGGACGAAGATCCCGAGTTCACCCCCAGAGACCCGGTGGGGCCAATCAGATGCGGGGGATTATGGAGATGACGTCGAGCAGGAAGTTTTCGGGAAAGACAAAAAGGTTCCAGTTGGATTTGGACTAGCACTGGGGGCACTGGGGAACTAGCGTGTTGATGAGGGGTAACCATAATGGACGGGGGAGTTGGCCATGGTTTATGGTGATGGTGATGGTGACGGTGTACAAGGCTGCGCTTGACTATATAACACGACATAGTCCATGGACAATACACGCTACATTGAAACATCTACACACGAACATGCATACAGGAAGATCTCGGAATCGCATATCCCGCAGCCACCTGCAAACTAGCCTATTCTATGCATGCTACGCACGTCCCGGGATTCTAACAATAGCTAGTATATCAAGAACAGTTCATCGGGTCTATTTCTAATAGATGCTTTTCAAAGTAGAACAGGATCCCTCCTGAATGACAAGGAAAAATAGCACATCCCCCTCCCTAAATCACACCTCCAGGAGCCCGAAGCATATGTCCGTGCCGTGCCAACCCTACTTACAGGAACCAGGCCATGCAGATGCATCGGGGACAAGGGTTCGCATCCCTCCAAGGAGAAGACTCGAGTCCCGACAATGAGAGAAAGGAAAAAAGATAATAATGAAAAGGAAACAATTCAACGAAAGCACAGCACAGCGAGAAGACAAGAGAAATAGAAAAAGAAACAAACAAAAAACCACTGGCACAGTTGAAACAAGGTAAAAACACAATGTTGAAACACTGGTAATTTCGACAATAGCCTTTCCCTGCAAAAAGATAAAAAAAGAAGCTTTTCTCTTTCTGGTTGTCAATATTTCGCGCAAAAAAGAACAACACATGCCCATGTCTATAATTTGTGGACGCCGAACGAAGCCACCCCGCCAGACCATCTGCCCCACTCATCGGGGAGATAAAGAAACAACCCAAGACTCGCAATTTCAACCCACCAGGTTTGGACAAAACAAACTCGCCCGAAAGCAGAAGAAAGAGAAATGCGGTCCCACACCGGATGGGATCCGTAATTCGGTCAATCGGATAACCAAGGGAAAGAAGTGGAGACATAAAAAAAAGAGGATGGAAAGTTGGATAAGGATGATTGAAAAAGAGAACCCCATCAAGGATGCACGGTAACAAAGTATAATGAAATCATCGAAGGAAAGCGGAAAACGGGGCACGCCCAACACACCTCGGCGAAGGAAGCACCACTCAGGTTTTTACTTGTAGCCTAGGTCAAGCGGAGCCGGACAGGATCAGAAGACGAGTCTAGACCAGTTGGTACTTTGCATGACAAGAAATTCTGAGACGCCTTTCGTTTCTCCTTGTGTTTCATCGTGTTGCATTCTGATCGGAGGAGCCCGTTTACTGTCTCGCGGGCTGGACGGTACCTGCAAATGACCAAATCACATTAGCAACAGACTTCGGGATATCATTTTCTCGTGTTCATCACTTACCATCACCGCCCAGTGTAGTCGAGGCTAGGTACAGACCGTTCATACCGCTTTCGGGGCCACCCGCGGTCGTGGCGGGATAGAACTTGCGGTCGGCGTCGACAGGGGCGTGGATCGACTCCTGGCCGGTCGCCATGGAGTGGGGGAAGACGGGGTTCATGTAACCGTTGTCGGCACCGTGCTGGAAGGTCGTCCAGTCAACACCGGGTTGACTCGTGGGGTGACCGGGCATCACCGGGTACTTGTGGTCAGGAATGACCAGGGGCTTTACCTGTTCAAGAGGACGATCAACACTCAGTTGCTGGCCATGGGCTTCAGCACCGGGGTGGTGCATGAGATACGGATTCTGCTTGGGGGCAGCCATCCAGGAGTTTCGTGCCGCGGCCTGATCGGCGAACGCGTGGTCACCAGGACCACGGTTCATGCCATTGACCGGCGCGATCGCGTATCCCAGATGATGATGCTGCTGGTCCGTGAATCCGGGACGGCCACCGGCCAACCCGTTGCCATTCACGGCCCCATCGCCGAACTGCGCACTCATAACGCCATTGGAAGATGGGACGGAATTACTGACTTCATCCTGAAGAGGCTTAGCGGTGTTGGCCGCTGCCGCCGACGCAGCGGCTGCCTGTTGCTGTGAACGCTTGAGATGAGCGTGAGGGTGCGACAGGTGGGTCGCGCCGGTAGGGTTGCCGCGACGGATCGAGCACTTCTGGAAGTGACGCTTCAAGATATCACTGCGGGAGAAAGTGTCTTTGCAGAGAACACACATGTAGGGACGATCACCAGTGTCTGTAAAGCAGGGCGACGCGTCATTAGCCGAATGTCCTTTGATAAATTCCGATGACAGAACTCGGGGGGAACCAATCTGGGGAAGGTAACTTACGGCGCAGCAGATGACGCTTCAGGTGCTTCGCGTGCAGGTAGGTCTTGTTGCAGTGCGGGCAAGGGAACTTTCCATCGGCATCCTTGGCGGGAATGGTGGTGCTCTTTGCGGAGCCATTGACACCGTTGGCCACCGGGGTCGCGCGGCCCGGAACACTCGGCAGGATACCACGGCGGCCCTGAGAGCCCACGACCTGCGTACGTGGCTGATCCTTAGGAGGTCCGTATGGCGAACCATTGGCGCCATTCACGTCAGGTGTCATGCCCCAGGACTTGCCATCAGAGTAGCTGAAGGCACCGGAAGGCATGCCATTGAAGTCCCGACGGTCGCGTGGGGGCGCGGGAGCAATAGGCTGCGGGTAGCTCTGCGCGCCAGACGTGGGAGGCAACCCGCTGGGAGGCGGAGGGTAGGACTGGGTATGATGGGCCTGTGTCTGGTGGTTAGGGTGGGCAAGGAACGACGGCGAATGACTACCGACAGTCGTGTGCGGCATGATAGGGGCGGTCGAGGCCCCGTACACGTCGTGAGTCGATGCGGGGAATCGCGACAGGTCCGGTCGGTACGGCTGGCCCATGTAGGGGTGCGGCGCGGGCGACTGAGTATGATGCGGCTGGAGGGGGAGGCAGCGTATGCGGCTGGGAGACCGAATACTGGGGCTGCATCGAGTACTGAGGCATCGGCATGCTGGTGATGGGTGTCGATGACAGGGGCGTGGCGCCCTGGGGTAGGCTGGTAGACGGGGGACGCGAAGGGTGCGAACGAGGATCCATCGTATTTCGGTCCAAACGGGGTCGACGAGGGATGGGAGAAGGTTGGTTTTCGCGAGGAGGAGGAGAGAGAGAGGTTGGATTGGAATTTGTGAGGCGTTGAGATCACGCAGTAATCATCGAACACGTCGATCTCGATAATTCCTAACTTCCTTCGCGTTTTTTTTTCTTTCACTCGAAAAAACTCAAGGAGCTCCTTGTTGGATCTTAACTGAAATTTTCCCGAGGCGGAAAGGGCGAGGGCTGATTTGAAGGTCACGGGGGAAGGAAAGGGCCTCAATGGCAGGATCTGACTCCACTAAGAAGAGATGAGCGTCAGAAGGTTGGAGGAGTGAAGAAAGAAAGAAAGGCTTGATCGGAGTCGATTCCCCACGGTCACCCACCAGGTCAGAGTCGTGTGGGAACTTGGTGTGTTATCCGCACGTTGTCACCGTCGATGGGTTCTGTATCCACCAGGGAAGCGGGCGTGCAAGTGGGTCTCGCAGCACAACAACTAGTCAGATCTGCTTCGCGCGTCAAGACGAGCAGGACGAAGGCAATGGGCCAGGAATTTGATGGAAAAGGGGGAATGAAATAAAGGAATCGGAGTGATCGAAAAGGACCGAGTCAGGGGAGAGTTGATGAAGATGGGAAAGGAAGATTGAAGGGGTGGGAGGATGAGAAGGAAAGAAGAAAATCTCTGGACAGACAGTTCGATCGTGGACGGGGAGAAATTGGGGGGGGACTGGATTAATTGGGGGGGCGGCCAAGGTTCAGGTAAGAAAAAATACGCAAAGAGGGAAAAAAAATGAACCCAAAAAAAAGATGAGAAAGAAAAAAAAAAACTGAAAATAGAATAATGAAAAAATTCGAGTGGCCGACGACCAAAGACTGGGCAGGCCATACAAAAGGGTAACCAAAGTAATGAAAACCAGTGAAACGGTCGATCACTCTCCTTGGGGAGGCAAAGAGGCGAGGAAAAGTCGGAAGGCGAGAATTGGAGAAATCGAGAATTGCAAAATTACGGGTAATCTATTACCAGGCCGATACCACCGCTTACGTATGTCTGGCCTAAGGGCGAACCTGAAATGATCATCGAATCATGGGACGGGCACTTTCTGGACCGCCTCTCGGCTGGTTATTTGATTACCAATGTTACCCAGCCCGAAAGGAGAGAAGAACTTGGAACATAAGAGAGAATATACCAGAATCTATTCACAATATTCATAGCAATATCATAGCGTAGAGAAGAAGGCAGTAACCGAACCATCTCAAACTGAGACACTATCCATTATGTTGAGTAGATTATTCCGAGTATGCGGAATACAGAACTGACCTCGGGCTGCGCGAGTTGGCGGGTTTCGCGGGCAGCGATGACGATATGCCCGGCAGTCTTCCGAAGACCGCCCTGGCCAGGAATGGCCGCGAACAGCCAGTCTACGTGTCCTGGCAGCGGCCGAAATGCATCCAGTCCAGAGGAGTAACATGTTGATTTAAATATGGATTTCGATCTAGAATCTTTATGAGGAATAGTATCATACAACAAACCATAGTGATAACTAAGTTAACTAGTTAGTTAAGTTAGTTAAAATGATCACTCTTACTAAGAGCTCGTCACCCGCCATCCATCTAGGGTAATGCAATATCCCTTTTCGCTGCTCTCGATAGGTCACTTCCCTCAACGGTGCTGGCCTCTGACTGTACCAGCCCAAAGCAGGGGTTATAAGATTATTCTTAGTGACTCGTGGACGAATGGCGATCGGAAGATACATCATGTTATCCGATTTGGCACAGCAATATGCGCTGACCAGGTACACACTACTACGTCCGTCGTGGACTGTACTCCGTCCTTTTGTCCTATGTCCAGACCTCGACTCAGACCCCAGCGACAGGGCTACAGGGTACTGGTACTGGAGAACGGACATTAATACCAACCCGATGAGGATCTTTCCTGGGGAAAACAAGTCTCCCGCATGGTTTATTCCATTATTGCCACATGCTGCGTTCAGGGCTGGTCAAACATAACTACTCGAGTCGAAATCCGCGCACCCCGATCGCGGCGCTTGCATTCAGCACTAACATCAAGGTGGTACTTTCTTAACTCGGTAGGTGATCAATTGCATTTCTTCACTCGATATTTTCTGTCATGCCACCAATCATTCAACGTGTCAGATTTGAAGAATCCCCTTTTTTTTTTTTTTTTTACAAACTCCATTCAATCATGTACCGTAGATCCTAAGCCAATGCCTAGCAAAAGCGCTTTGTTTTGTTTGGACAAATTAACTGAACATTTAGTAGTGAGATGCACGGAGTATTTAACTGCCCAATCTAGCCTCCTCCCGTGCTAAACCGTAATCTGATCAACTATACTTCCCTCCCCTCCCGCACTGGAGTAAGCCAGTTGGAGAAGTGGGTTGGTTGCTCACACCCCTGGGCCCTGGCTCCTCGACGCCTGCTGTCGGGCTCCGCAGTGGCTTGACAGCCCCGCAGGTAAACAGATCACACATCTCATGCAGGGAGATGCACGCCCCATTGCACGGACAACTCCAAAAGTCCAAATCCTCGAGCAAGAGGGGTTTGGACGGGGATTGCGCGGGTTACTTATCTGGGATTGGGATCAGGATTAGACGGGGGGGGCTTGGGTCGGGATAGGCTAGCAGGGAAGAGCTAGGAGGGTGCTCGAGCAGCGCGTCTTGGTTGTGGGCTACTTATTGGTCTTTGATGCGAGGTCCAAGTTCGAGGAGCTCGAGGCCTATGTTGCTATCTTATGTAGAAGGCTAACGAGTGCAGAACGTACTTCTTTACTACCGTGTGTACTCTCTCTCTCTCTCTCCTGTCTAAATAAACAATAATCCCTGGTCAATCGTCGCGGTTCGCACTGATCTCCCGAGGAAGCACGTCATTCGTTCCGAGGGAAAGCTAGCTCGCGGTGCGCAGGCCTCATTGTGCATTGTGCCAATTCTAGCCCATTTCCTCGACAATCCTGCATGCCGAATTCCGCTGCATGCGGGAGGGATTTGCTGTTGTGAGGGAGTACCTCTACGGAGATAGGAATCAGTAAACATATATTCCGTATTCTTCAATACTTACTCAGTAGTGAATATCTACAACTAGATATTGTTGACAACGGGATCAAAAGATAACAAGACTATTCTTCATTGTTTTTCTGGCACTTCTGTCCGACCGTTCTGTAACGGCCCTGCGTCGTCGCCCTACATACTTTCACGGATGCGCCGTAGCCGCCCATGGCCTTGCAGCTAATCGTACGCTCCGACTCCCGGTTATCCCCCCTGTATCTTCCCCCCAAGAACCCCTCGACCCGGATCTCACCCAGCTGCATAATAACGGGGCCCAGCACCACAGAGAGGGGCTTGGGCCTTGGGTTCCGCAAATTCTAGCGTCTCGAGCTACAGCAGCTACTCCTGTATCTGATTACTTGCGGTTGAGTTTGACCCAGCACCCGTTCTTAGTCGTTAACGTGATTTGAGGGATGAGAAGGATGAGGAATGTTGGGGTTGTCCCGCCACGTCGAATGGGGCGCTGCCATTGGGTGGCGTGGCTACTTCCGTGGCCTCACATAGGCTCCGAGTTTCGCTGTATTATTTTATGATTATTTTATTTTTGCAATTACGGGCGTAGGTTTTGGGTGATAAATGCGGGTTGACCTTTCGTGGTGGCTCGAGACTGGGACTTTTGCCCCCGAACAATCTCGACCCTCGGTTCTTACCTAAGGTTTCAGGTATGATTTCAACCGAGGGGGTAGAGCGACGGGAATCAGTCGAAACGGTGTCTTAGTTCGGTAGGCTGCTCCGGTCCGGGAGACGATACCCGGAAATCGAATTCCTACGTAGAGTATACCAACCAACAGAATGTGTATCTAATGTTGTTGCGGCGTTGTACATTTATGTGACTCTGTACTTGGTACAATTGATGGTCCCTCCCTAGTCCCTGACTCCCTGGCCCCTCCATGCTCCACCGCAGAAATTCGCAAGAGCTTCTCCCGCTTCGATTGTGGACCTGGCGAAAGGCTTCGACCAGGGTTCTGCAGAAATTCAAAATTTGATCGGATCTGACCATCGCCCTTCCACCGCGTGACTTTTGCAAATTTTCCCGCTAAACTATCAGAATCCTTGGCGTTCGCCGACGACAACCGCGTTCAAGTATTCGTTGAATATTTTATTTACATTATTTAGTAGCAGCCACAAGAGCCACGGAAACTGACCGTCTGGCTCTGCTAAAAAGTTTGCCCGAGCAATTGAAAATCATAGCCATAGTGGTATCAACAATATTCTCTACTGTAATTATCAAGAAAATACTTTTTTTCTACCAATAGTTTTTGGCGTAAATTTGTCGACACATAACAGACTACAGTCGTGTATGACAGAAACGGCCCAAGCTCAAAACCCCTCGGAAAGCTGCCCCTCGCTTAACCTTCTTCATTCATCCGGGCGAATGTTCCAACTGAACACGCCGGGTGATTTCCGGCACAGACATTTCGGCGCGTGGCTCGACAACTACTGCACGATCACGGTGTGTTGAATCTGAGAGGTGAGGAAAGACTGTCTAGTTTAGGCAGTCTCGCAGAAAACTAATAAATGCGGCGTCATGAAGTAGCATTTCGTAGTCATAGTTTGAGTTGTTATTAGTTATAGTGTTTGTTAGTCGGCAACGGGGCCGGGAGTTGAAGGGGGTCCCACTCCCAAAGGGGGAAAGCCACCAGAACAATTGGAACAGGAAAAGGAAAGTGAGAGGGGCCGAAGATGGTTCGGTCCACGAGATAGTGGCTCTTTCCGCAAACTACGGTGAGGCTGTTTGCGGTGAGGCTGTTCTAAAACTTCGTGTCTTTGGGCCATCATTGTTCATACATTAGTGAACTATAGTATAGTAGTACATCGTATTATTGTATTTGTGAGTTTGCATTGACCCAATCTATGGACGAGTTTGACTCGCGTTCTCCGGAGTATCGCCGTGTATGAACCTTCCAAAACGTATACATCACCGTATAAACAGCTTCTTCTTTCGTCGGTGACTCGGCTGCAGAACAAATCGCTACCACAGACTCCCGAGATCTCCCCAATCCACTTAAGTGGGATCGACAGCAAATTCATTATTAAGGTGGCATTTCGCTTCGCGTAAAGCTTGGTTCCTGGCATCCCTTGCCCCCTTATGACGACCAGCAGTTCCCCGCCAGTAGGGCTATCCGAACGGAGTCTTCAGAGGGCTGTTTAAGCTATGATAGCCGGGATGCTAGTTAGTCTCGGGCGGCATCATAGGTCTATGCCGATTATTGCAATACTGCGAAATAGCGGCCTTGGATGCCAGATGGCATCGTCGATCATGCCCCTCTTTTCCTCCCCTCTAGGCCCTCTCTCGTCTCCCTCTCCTCAGTTAGTCTTTGTCCCCATCGACAAGCCACCAGTCTAGTTTCGGTGGTATAGCTTCATGCTTCGAACTACTGCTCCATATGGCGCTTGTATTATGGAGCACAGTACCGAGTATATAGCAAGCTAGTCCCTCCTACTCGAGCAACTACTACACCGCCAGCCGAAACCTTTTGTCTATCTCGGCCGAACCCACAAGACATCACGAGGGCAATGGCGGTAACTAGCAAGAATAACTAAATAAGAATAATGATAATGACCATTCAGCAGCTCGGATATGTAGCTCGCCCTCATAGGCAAGACAACGCGACAACGCACACCATCGTATGTAGAAAATAAAAATCCCAGAAAAAAAAAATACGTTTAAACAGATGAAAATCCCTCTTCCGACGGAAACCAACCCCAACCCGTGTTAACTAAAGCTCATCCGACTCCAAGTGATGAGCCTTTGGCCCGGCACAGGCCGGAAAGCACCTGGAAGCCAAGTTCGGATCGCCGAGTTTCAGTATCCCCTGCAGCCAATCATGGCTTTACCCAGCCTCCAGCGGACGAGAGGATCGGGAGCGCCACTCACCTCATAGGCCAAGCGCTGTTATTGTTGACTCGAGCCTAGTCGATTTTTGTCGAGCGACCGGGCCAGGACCGGCTAGCGCTTTGCGTGTACCTTCCAAGGTCCTCGGATGTCTACCGGGTTGATGACGGTCTATGTGCAGACTCGCTAGTCGCTGGTAAGCAGAAAGAAAAAAACTACAAAAGTCGAAAGGGGTTTATCTATGTCAAGGTAGACGGGAAAAAGCACAAAGAAAACCTTAAGCCCACGACATGATGACAGTCGTAGGCTGGGGCTGAATGCGACGGGACCTGACAGCACGGCGGAGACACTCCAGTCTCCAGGTACGCGGTGAACAAGTGGAGCGCAAGAAGGAATGCAAAACAAGTCGGTCGGGGAGGAGTGGTACACCGCGCAATGCCAAGTCCGCGATAGATAGAGGACATGGTTCTTGACGAACCTTCGCACGTCGTCCAGTAATAATGGTAGGACTAAAAGTGTAGTATGATGGATAGGGCATCTTTGGCCACGGAATTACGGCGCACGGCGGAACGAGTGCTCATCAATCATAATCGGGAGACTTACTACTCAGAAAGTAGGTTCGAGGAGTTTACTTTGAACGTGCCACCACGTAACCGCTTGAACCATGGACTCGGGAATGACTATCAGGCAAATCAAAGTTCATCATCCGTACACCGGATCCTTGAATCAAGTTGGAATATCATATTTGATGATAATTCTAATGATCATGAAATGACTTGTATTATGATTTATGAATAATATCGTGGATGTTGAATTCAACAATCCAAAATACTCATGCCACATAATGAAACAGATTATCCTACAGTCTCGGAGTAGTCTGCAAAAACTCTTTTCCCCGTTGGTACACCAGCCGCGTCATGGGGTTTCGGATCTTCGCCAGCACAACCACGAACCATCGCCAAGTCGATATAAAAATAATATCTATAATTATGTATCTGGCAAATATGATGAACGATCCCATGTGATTGCTCGTACCAGGGAAATCCTATAGCACCAGAGCAACGGTTCACAGTGAGTGCCGACCGTGGACGGCGGGCTGTTTGCAGAATGAGTTTGCCAAATGGTTTCCAGTTTCGGCGATCGTGGTAATTCTATCGTATTGATGATTTGCAAAAATACCACACTCTCACCTTCTCTTCTTGGAGATTCCGTACGAAAGGTCGGACTGTATGTAAAATACATATCTTCTCCCGTACTGACATCAGATTCCCCGACCCCCGAGTGCTTTATAACCAGGGACACAAACGACTGTCCATGGCTGCCTGAAATGTGCGTGCCGCCCATGGCCACGGCCTGGCATTTATGATTGGATCCCGAGACAGATGCAGGATGTTCGACGACTATCGTGCCATCTTGTCATTGTCCATCCAGCCGTGACGGTTCCTACTGTAGGTAGCTATGCAGATAGTCGAATATGGTTATACAGTACTGTTTCCGAATCGGGGGACTTTGGAGACTATGTAAAATAAGGTAAACCATGGCGGTTCAAAGTGTTGGTGGCAGGGAGATTCTGTTCTATTCTGGCGCGCTGTAAAACGGCAAATTGAAGACGAAATAATACCATCTGCAGTATGCTGGTAAAAACCCCCTGTAAGGATGTAATGACCAGTCAGCTTCTCCCACTCGGATATCCATGCGAGTCACTTTGAAACGAGAATATAACGATGACGACTCTGAATCGATATCCAATTTCAAGAACCATTCCTTTAAAATCTCTACTCTGGTTCAATTCATTTTTGATCCTGCTTTCCTCGCTTATTCAACCTCATTCCTACGGTACCGCAAGCAAGACTCACGTAAGAGAACCAGGAACAACCAAGAGGGAAAAAAAACTATCTTCTGGGTCGACATCGTGGTGGCGAGGCCTGCCCCGATTATTCCAGGAACCAACGCATCATGATCCCTCGGCAGAACATGCCAGTCGCAGAAGCCCCTGACAAGTGTCGATCGGTCGCGGCGCACAATGAGCCGTTCAACCTGGTCCCGTGAGGACGGCAGAGGATTGAATTTGCGCCTTTTTTGGCGCTATGTTAACGAAATGGTGCCTCTATTGAATCTATTGATTTATTATTGTAAGTCGACGATAATTACCCGTCTGGCATCCAAAGAGCCGGAGGATCTTCTTCCTAGAGAACACTACGAAGTCGTAGACAAAGGACATCTCGGACTATTTGGACAAGGGTATCTCGGCGTACAACCGTGGTAATGCCGGAATTCGCGACACGATTTTCACCGTTTCGCAGAGAGGGCTGTGTGTCTCTTCTCTCTCTTTTTTCTACCTTGAGAAGGGAAGGGAAAAAGTCAATGTCAGATGGCTGAAAATAAACTTCGCACGCCCCGAAGATTCGGGATCTGAGTGCACGATGTGAGTTAATTCCACGACGTGCGTTTGAACCCCCGGTCCCAACTCCCTTTCCCTCCTTTGTCGGCACGGTAAAAAGGGTTGATTACGAGAGTTTTCAAGATGCGCAGACGGAGTTCTCCGTATATACTTACACCGTAATAATAATCAGGTAAACTCACTGCTTACAAAAGTTAGATAACAGTAGTAACGTAGTTTACCAGGTTATCTACAGAACAAGTAAACTTTCCACAAAATCAAAGCCCCCATCCTCTCCCTCCTGCAGCAGTACTAAATAAAGGACGAAAAATCACTTTAATGAGCCGGCGGGTGGGCCCCCTATCTCGTGTCGTGCACCTCGTGTCGGACAGGGACAGGGGCAGGGGTGGGAGGGCTGACAGCTTCGTTGGTGGATGGGATAGACAGGGCGGGTTGTGGATGCTGCCATGTCCACTTGCGAGTCGCAGTGCCCCCTCTCTGCATCTGGAGTTAGATTAAGCATATCTGTGTGTCCCATCGAACTTATTTCTCCGTTGCATCCATGTCCAGTGCCCACCGCACCGCTGGTGGGGACCAGGGGACCAGTGGATCGATTTCGCAGGATTCGCCCGGAGATCCTAGGCAGGTAGTAGGTACAGGGGAGTATGTACGAAGCGTGGTAGTGTAATCGTAGCAATGAGTGGGAATCGGGAACATAGCAATGATTTTGGTCAGCCGTCTTGGTTTAATTGTCTCTGGGGGCTGTCTTGCAGGCGGTGTTTATTAAACGTGTCTCATTTCGGTGCTTTTCGGGGCTGTTAATAGGGACGTGCTTAGGTACCCGGTACCTCGAGAGGTGATCAACAATGCCATATACTTGCAGTCGGGTGGGCTCTATGGAAACATCTTGGCTTAGTCCTCTTTGCTTTTTTCTTGAATGTTCCTTTTCAATTTCCTACGTAATTCCTGGCTCCGCGGGACCTGCATAGTTCCACTCCAACGGCCTCGTTACATAGTGAGGAGGTAGATATATATCGCAATGGTCCTTCACGGCATATACTATTCTGCCGCATATTCCATACTTCACACCGATTCAAAATACGCCCAGCGTAGCAGTTAGGGTTCCAAATTATCTCCGTAGTAAATTTCTTGACACCTCACCTTGCTCATCCACATGGCAAGAAGAATTAAGCACCTGGGGCAGTGGAGTAGCCCACACCTCCCTCCCGGGAGCCACATCACAGCCCCAAAAAGCGACGAGATGGGGCACTGGGTCTGGCTCCAGAATCATAAAATGTGCTCGCCAGGAGACCCATTCGACCCCAGATTCTTGTGTTCTCAACGTTTGCAGGTCATATAGTGTACTCTGCCCTTTAGGTCAGGCACTTCTGGTGAACTAGTCCCACTTTTGACGATTCCGAAAACGGAAGTTGTGTACATGACAAAGGTCCCGAAACCCCTTCGAGACTTGAGAAAACTTATCGTATGCATGATCGCATTCTCGAAATTGATCACTAGAGTCATTGAAATATGTCCATTGTTCCTCATATACAGCAATATAATTAAATAGGGGTACACAGTACCAGTCAAGAAGACATCGTAGAACTACCATCCATCCAAGAAACCCTTCAAACTCCGCATGCAAGACCAGGCCAAGAGATACAGACCAGGTCCTTTACAACTTATCCTCAGCGGATTTTGCTGAGGTCGTAGTTAGCTCTGCCTCCGTTTGCTCCTCAGGCTCCATGCCCTCACTAACAACCGGATGCATAGAATGCTCGACATTAACCTTGGGCCCAGTGAACCACTTGCGCGCATCGACCACCCACCAGATCAGCACAGCTAGCATCGGTGCACCATACACCAGACAGGTCCAATTCATCAGGTCGGGCGTCAAATCCCCCTTCGTGACACTCGGCAGACACAAGATAGGCACCATCAGCGTGACAAAGGCAACGCCCAAGCCACCAATATATGGACCAAACGGACCCAAATGCCACGGTCCCTTTCGGAAGCGATGACCCACGAAGAAGACACGGATGAAAATGGGAATTGCGAACGCGACAAATTGAGCAATGGCGCCGATCGAGAACAGCGCGCCGATCGCGACGTTGCCAGCTAGAATGAGCAGACACATTAGAATTCCCAGTACGGCGTTGAGAATCACCGCGTTGACGGGGGTTTGTGTATACGGGTTGACTTGTTTCCAGAGGCGCGAGAGCGGGAAGCAATCGTCTCGTGCGTAGGCGTATGTCACCCGCGACGCGGCGACCATGCATCCCTGACCCATGGAGAAGCCGCAGACGATGGTTAACCCGAGGATACCTAGAGCTGCCTTCTGAGGTAGCACCTGGAGGAGATAGGATGCCCAGGGCTGGCCTAGGTCCGAGTCGACAACTGCACTGATATCCACGACCGTATAGGCTACTACAAGCTGGAGGAACCAGCCCATCACTCCACCGACGCCGGATGTTAGCACGATTGCGCGTGGGGAGGCGATGTTGGCGTTGGAGCATTCCTCGCTCAGGTGGAAAGGTGAGTCGTAGCCGGACATCGTCCAGATGACGCCGACAAAGGTCATGAGTACTGCCACGCCGCTGGGGAAGTCAGTCTGGTTTGTGATGTTTCCCCAGACTTCCTTTGAGGGAGTGAACTTGGGCTCGTTCTTGGTTGCAGCGGGAATGACGATGATAGTGGCAATGAGCGCGATAATGTTGAACGTCGAACCGTACGAGTTGAATTGAGCCACGCGCTTCGTGGGCATACTGCTGATCGCCGCGTGGATAACCATGATCAATGCAGTCAGCAGGAAGGTCTGCCAAGTGGTTGGGACATAGTCGGGATTGCTGATAGACCCGGCGGCTAGTATCATCGCAGACAGCGCATAGTCCACCGATGGCGCTGCCGTAATCTGTCCAATCCAGTTGGACCATCCAGTCAACCAAGCAGCGAGAGGACCATATCCGGGAGGTGCGAGTACTGCTGCCGCGTAATAAAGACCGCCACTAGAAGCAAAGCAAGGTATGTTAGCCTGGATGCCAGGACTTCGAGTAACAATAATGGAGGGCCTGTTTACCTCGTAGGCATGGCCGAACAAAGCTCAGCCATTGACATGGCAATACATTGGATAAAAACCATAGCAACGATCCATCCCCACACCATGCCTGCGGTTCCTGCATAGCCCATTCCTTTGAATTCAGTTAGCGGATAGTGTCACACAACTTATGGCTTGCGGGGAGAATATACCATAGTACAATGTACTCGCGAATGACGGCAACAGACCGAGAACAGCAAAACTGACACAGAAGGTTGTCCACAGGGAGAATTCACGCTTAAACTCCTGCTTATAACCCAGAGCCACGATCACCCGCTCGTCGGCATCCATGTCATGGTCCGCAAATGGCACGTCGCCATCAGCGAGGACCGACGTAACTTGAGCATGGTTGGTATTAGCGTACACGCGACGTTTGGAGGCGCTTGTATCCGATAATTTAGTCTCCATCTCGGGGCTCATCTATCACCCTCCAAATTGTAGGACAGTAGAAGACAGGCACTGGTTATAGCAACCGGCAATGGATTCGAGATAGGGGATCATTCACTAAGAACGGCCCCTTTTTTGTTTCTCGCTAACGATGACACAGCTGCGAGGGAGACGTCGCATTTTTAAACGAGTCGGGGGTCTATCAGTTCCTAAGTTAGGGGGAGGCCAATGCTCTTCGGCAGTGGTTATCTCTGCACGATGCAAGCCGCAGATTGGCACTTTATCCCCGGGCCCATGACGATTAGAGACGCCATCAGGGATCTAAAGGGAATCTGGATCCTACCAAGCTGCTCCGTATCTGATCCCGTGGGACCGGCGGAATGCCACTAGAAGGGCTTATGATCAGAGAGGGGGTGGGACAAAGGGGGAGGGGATCCAATTGTAGCGCGGCGCCTTCGATCCAAACGAATCCAAAGAAGGGGCGTTTGCCATGCTTTCTCCGCAAAATGAGCCAGCCGCGGCTGATAACGGAGGACTATCATTTGATTCATAGCTTAGAAACCCCCTGCGATAGACCGGTTTCAGCCAGATGAATTGAGCTTGCGATGTCAAGTCCATCCGTCGAGTTGATCAGCGTCACTTGGACTTCTCCGCACGAGAGAGCTGTGATTCGACAAGAACAAACACTCGGACGGGATTCCATTCGAGAGTCTGCTGGGATCCGTGCTACCCTTGTCAACTTGGCAAGAGTTCCAAACCCATCAGGGCAGGTTCAAGCGTGGCCTGGGAGGAGGCGTAATCTGGGGGTTTGGTTAGTGGCTGGTCTTATCGGAGTGGTTGATACAGTCGTTGGAGGGAAGATAAGCGGCTGTGCTGGGGGGCCAGATGACATGACTAGTCGTGACATCCAACAGAAGGCTTATCTGCAACGAAGGGTAGACCTGCCCAAGTAGGTCAAGTGCCCCGAACGGCCATGCCAACCTGTTAAGCCATATCGGACATGCTCTTTTAAGTTTCTGTAGGGACCTGTAGCGACACTACGTGTGGGGAAGTGACACCCGAGGTCCTTCTGACAAGGATGATGCCACACGCATGCTGATGAAAGGACACAAATGAAATCACCACAGCTTAGTTGGACACGGCTGCCTCTATGTGCTATTAAAAACAAAGAACGACTTTCTTCACCACTATTCTACACACAACCTCGAAACCACCCTATGCATCGCCATTACCAAAGTGCTAGCATGGACGCTCCAGGTAGGACCGCAGATAATTTAGAAGGGCTAACATATGGATTAGTACGGTGCCAGAAGGCAAGGAATATCAAATCAGACAGGTACTTACGTTGTCCTCAGGGGCAATGCGGCGGTCGTAGTAGGTGTCCAGACCGGGGATCTGCTGCAGGATGTCGCGGCGCACACGGGGGACCTCGCCGAACATGAAGAGGGCAGCGGTGCCGGCGAAGACGCCGAAGCTGGCGGCAAGAGTACCACTAATTTCGACTGTCAGAACACAGATGATGGCAATGGCAAGGCTCTGGCTGAAGCCGAGCCCAAGGATTATAGAAGACTTACGCCTGGACGGCGGCGGGAATGGTGAAGCCCGCAACCCGACGGGGGATGGTGTACCTGCAGCAGCAAGATTGTCGTTAGCCTGGCAATCCAAGCATATAGTCGCAGCTATTCATCATCCATATGAAGCCGAGCCCGCAAGATCTTTGACTCCGGGTGCTATCCATTATACCCCCGGAGCCCAAAGACCAAGCCAGGGACGACGACCGTAACAGCCATGGAATCGCATTATAGGATAGCCAGCTCATCAATATCTCTCGAGAACATGTTCAAGCTGGCGGGAATCCGATATTTGCGAACCACATTGCAGGGTCATGCTATAACCGAGTACGGGGATTCTGGGGTGATCTCACTTGGGCGCAAAGGCGGAGGTGGAGGCCTGGGCCGCGGCGCGGCGGAGAGTGGGAGTGAAGACCTGATGATTAGAAAGAAGCACGGTTAGCATCGAATTGCTTCGTAGACTCTACTGCAGCATCCGCGTTCATCCCGAGGATTCTCGGAGTGTCGTATCAGGGCGATTGCTTCGTGCGACGGCCCAAGACCAACCCTGACCCCAAAACTCAAACAGAAGACGCAGACGCAGTTGCAGATGAATTGGAACTCCAGTAATAGGATCCGACATACCATTGTTGTTCGCGTGGGCAGATGGGACAATTGCTCGAGGAAGGGACCGGAGCTGCACATCGTGGTCGACGAAAACCGGGTGAGTATCACGTGATTTAAGGGCCTACGACCAATTGGAGGACACTTTATTGGTTCAAGGCAAGAAGTAGTGCTTACAAGTAGAATATAGAGCCACTCTAATTCCATCTTTACATAGATCGAGTCATCTTCTAGAATTTCATGGATTCAAGCGAGAAAAAGGAATAGAACAAGACTAGGAAATATGTGCTTCAACACCCCAAGTTGACATGCAAAAGATTCATGGGAGAACCGTATGGAGCAGGAAACAAACCACAGGGGAAAAAAAGAAACAGCCTGGAATGAATCAAATACAGGTGAAGAAATTATAACCACGCATCCAAACACCAGAACTGTACATGCGTCTCATTAATCGACCTTGCCGGTCGAGCCTCCATTCAGGAATCCCTCCTTGCCGTCCAGGTGGAAGAAGCCACCGCCGCCATTCGCGTTGCCGATAATACCGCCACGAGTGACGCGGCGCAAGAGGCGCCCACGCCCGACGATAGTGACAACGGCAACGGTAATGCCCAGGAAAACAAAGAAGAGAATGGGGTGGCTGGTGAGGAAGGAGCGGGTGAAGAAGAAGAAAGTCTCGAAGGTGCCGATAGTAGACTTGGGGGACAGTTTGGGTGGGGATGCGATGACGAGAGGGATGGTTTCGAGGATGGAGGTACGAGAGGCCATAATAGTAGCTCCGCTAGAAGCAGTATCCCAGTAACGACGGTTCTGTCATGAGTTAGTTTTGAATTATCAAGAAACAAACCGAATGGGCCAAAGCTTACATCTTCGTCGTTGATGATCACACGATCACCCTGTTCCACATCAATACCATAGGTGGTACGCAGCCAGCGCTCCCAGAAGTCGCCATCAACCCAGGCAAATGCGACGGGTTTCTTGTCGTCCTCACGAATGGTGATGCGCATATTCTTCGCAGCCCGTAAAGCGCGCTGGTCATTGCGGTCGTCAGCTTCCTCAATACGCAGCTGCTTGGCATCACGAAGCTCCGAGCGCTCAAGGCGGAACAGCTGAATCTGCTTGTCCATCCACTCAAAGGCAGCTTCCTTCAATTCGCGCTTCGACTGCTTGAAATCGTCGGAGCGGCGGCGGCTGAGAATACCAAGCACGACAAACTTGCCATCCATGATCTCCCGGGCGTTCGAAGCCGTGAGCTCGGGGACAATTGGCAGCCAGACAGTCTGCATCCAGGATAGCATTTGGCGGAAATCTCTCATATCCTTGGGGGCAAGAGCATTGTAGTAGTTGGGCCGACCATCACGGACAACCAGGAGACGAGGCCAAGTGGAGATCTTGAATCGCTCAGCGAGGGCGGCGCTGCTAGTCTTGACGATCCGAGCATGGCCCACGAGGCTAAGAGTCAGGCGCTCCATAGCCCGGAAGTCCTCCGAGGTGGTCGCATGGTCATAGAAGTACAAGAAAAGAACCTCCTCGGTCTCTTCCAACTCTTTGAAAGTAGCCGCATCAACGTCCTCAATCTCAGATCCAGGGCCAACAGCCTTCTTGGTGTATGAAAGCAGGTCGCCAAGGCCACGCAGACCAGTATACTCAACTCTCTGACCGCCACGGAAGAAGTAGATTGTGGGGTAAGCGTCAACTCGAGCATCCGCACACAGGCGAGTCTCGACATCACAGTTTACTTCACCAATGTTCAGAATATCCGTCATCTCCTTCGCCATCTCCTTCCAGTTAGGAGCCATGGCTTGACAGTGTCCGCACATGGGAGAGTAGAACTTGATGAACCACGGATCTTGGGTCGTAGTCACAAGCTTCTGGAAGCTTTCGGCAGTGAGAGGAACGGAAATGCCTTGCGGGTTAGGGGGAGGTCCGTTGTGCTTCGCTTTCACAGTGACAGCGCTACCCGGCTCGCTGCTCACCACGGCATCGGGCGCATCCGTCGACTTCTGGGCAACCAGGTCGTTGTGCTGCTCGCCAGCCAGCGTGCCGGCCTTGGAATCCTTATCTTCGGCAATGGGAGAATCGGGCTCGGCGGATGGGTCGACGCCAGATGCGCCAACCTCGGGCAATTTGATACCCTGCGGGGGACGAGAGCCAGGCCTGACCGCCTCGAGCTTCTCTTCGATCAACTTGCTCAGATCCGCGACCGACTTGGCGCCAACATACTTGTCTTTCTGGGCACCATCCTCGTAAAACGCAAAGGTCGGCCAAGCGCCGATACCGAGTTTCTCGCACAAGTCTCCGTGGGCCAGACAATTCATGGAGGCGAAGTGGAAGTTGTAGTATTTAGTGAAACCATTCAGAGACTTCGGGTCGGGGGATTTGGCGGATGAGGGAGAAATGGGATTAGAAGTCTGTTATCGCATGTTAGCTGGGACGCCCTCATGGATACACTCGAAGCTATTCACGTACATAGTAATATTCATATGTGGTCTGATAGGCAGGCGCCGCCTTTCTGCAGTGGGCGCACGATGGTGAATAGTGCTTGACGAGCCTGCAGAGTGTCAGTATATTGAAAACTATATAGTCTTCGGGGCCGAAGGCACCGACCAAGTTCCATCTTTGGTAAGCTCCTCGTAGTTGTCGGGTGTCAACTGAAGCAACGGCGGGACGTCGAGACCATTAAAGATCGAGGGCTCCTCAGCATCGACTCCACGATTATTCCGCCGTTTTTCCAGTCGGTTGCCAACCTTTGTCTCCGACTCCGAGGGCGCGGCAACTGTAGGCACGGCCAACAGTGAAAGGAGGGACAATCCCAACCAGGAAACCTTCATTGTGACCGAAGAAGACGAGGTCTTAACCTCGAGTGAGAAGTCAAGAGAAAGTATAGGTGAGCCTCACGAGAGGCCCTTGCGCAGATTTGAAAACGAGAGACGTTGGTCGAGAAAGGGAGGATCGCGGATTTATCACAGGTGGCACATTGGACGGGGGGGCGAAAACTGGCTAAAGTTGAACGCTGGTCAACCAGCCAAAAAAGAAAAAGGAGCAGCAGGGAAGGACGACCAATCCCCGAGCCCTGAGAAGAACAAGATCAGACAACACAGCGTCCGATATAATCAAGACTTTGGCGCGTGCGCATGTGTGTAGAGGAAATGGTGGCTCCCCCTGCCAGGTCTGGCCTTGAAGGAGGGATCTCAAGTTTATCCGCTCCGGGCCGACTTCAACTTCCCTTTCCATCACCACCCTGGTCCAACTTGCGCTGCCAACCTCAATTCCTCCTCTATCCCACACCACAATGCGGTCCACACTTCGGCTACTGGCCAATGTCAAGCCCCGGTATCTGGAGCCCTTCGCTCCCACCGGATTGACTGGCCTGAACACCCACCCAAGCCCTCGTCCGACTCTAATCTATCTCTACACCACGACTCTCCAGAAGCTGTCCAACTTCCCCGAGTCCTCCGCCTACCGCCAGTCTGTCGAGGCCTTGTCTCGCCACCGTCTTCAGATTGTTGAGTCGCAGAAGCCTCCCGGTTTCGAGCAGTGGTTGGAGCGTGTGAAGAAGACTGTTGGAGCCGAGCCCGAGCGATTCGCCCAACTCCAGCGCTCCGACGGTACATTCGCTTTCGTTGGCTCGCAGCAACCCGACGGAAGTGACAACGCTCGCGGCGAGGAATGGGATGGTGAGGGTTTGTCTGCCTCTACCGAGGGCCCTGCGCGTACCCCGCAAGAAGCCGCTGAGTGGCAGAAGATTATCAAGGAGTCCAGCTCCACCACCAACAAAGTAGAGGCAGACCACTACGAGCATCACATGTCTTGGGAGAATGAGCCCGCTCTGGAGGCTGAGCAGTAAGTGGATCGGCCAATCTCAGGCGGAGAGTCACCCATTCGCGAGCTAAACCCGTTCCCTAGGATCTCCCAGATTGAGCAGAAGATTGGCGCCGGTCTCATCGAGGAGGTCATCCAGGTTGCCGAGGCGGAGCTCAAGTTGACTGATGAGCTGTACAAGGCTAAAGTGTGAGTGTCGCCAAACCATTGCGTTTACAGTTCCTGTTTTAGTATACTCACAATCTATACAGGTGGGAGGAGCTTGAGGAGAAGCCTGTCCCTGGCCAATGGACTTATTTTGCGCGCGGAAACTAAAGTGATTTTTGAAAAAGGGATTAAGGCCCCGTTTCTGTACTTATTAGAGGGCAGGTTGTTCCAATACACTTATTCGTTATGTTCCAGTTTTTCTATTTCGGAAGCTTCTTTGGTGCGTAGCCGTGAAGAGACCAAGTAGCTTAGTCGTGCCATCGAGTACGGCGGCCGATGGTGGACACCCTTGGGCAAGTGACGTTTTTATACCGCCTGGCCTGCATACCTTATAAACTAGGTCTTAACATACCCGAAATAGGTAATTCAGTCTGCTTTCGAATACCCCTGAATCTCTTTCTACACCTCTTTATATACCCCTCTCTACAATCTCTCTCTCTACCTACCTACGTAGCTCATCAGGGTAGCCTCTGTTGAGAATAACGATATAACCCCGGTCGCTGCAGTAGCTCTAAGTCGGTGAGGAAATTCTTCGATGATGCTACTAGAGTCTTCTTCCCCCGTTCGGTGTAGCCAGCGTAGAACCAGAATTCCTTGCGTGTGATGTTGCGTGTGAGTAGCCTAATATTCCAGGTTGCCAGGCAGTTATGTGGCTAAGTAGGGGTTTCTGCCCTTGAAATTCGATAAAAACACCACTTGCCTAAGGGTGGCCACTATCGGCCACCGTACATCGAGGCATGATGTACTTAGAAGGAAGTCTGTCTGGAAATACATTACTCGGTCGGCTCAAGTATATTTTGACTTATCCTCGGAGAAGTATATAATGGCTGCCGCGCTAGACATACTATTCGTCTGCTTTAAAGTCGTCTTTACTATAGACTATAGGAGTTATGGAGACGAATTAAAGGGACATTTAGATGAAATCAATCAGAATCATCTCTAGACTACACCAGGATTAAATTCATTGCCATTGACTCTCTAAGTAGGGTTCTGCTCATCCCTATCCAACTTTATATCCACAGCCCATGCGGGAGCCTCGAATCGCCCGGAAGGCGGTGAGGGGGGCGGCGGGAATCCCTTGTGGACACATACATTGTCCCTGAATGACCCCCAGCTCTCCTCCAGACGAGAAATCTTTGTGATTCTCGAAATACTCTCCATTGAATTAGAGGCCCGTTTGCCGCTCACTACCCAGGCTGTTTGAGCGGCTCGTGGATTTACCCCTCGTTCTCGCAGGCCCAACACCGCGCCACACAAACACTCGTCTCATCCCCCACACACCATGCGGCTCGACGTCAAGGTACGCAGACACAGACACTGCAGTGGTTTTTGCTTCCGAGTGGAAGACGCTATGGCATTAAGGATGCAGCCTTGTGAAATTGACTAGATCGCTGACGAATTGGTGTCCTACAGAGGCAGCTCTTTGCCCGCTCGGAGCGGGTGAAGGGAATCGGTAAGCTCCCAATTCTCGTGCGCATGGCATTGAACGAGACATGTCTAATTCCTTTTGCATTATAGATTTCCATCCCACTGAGCCATGGATCTTGACTACCCTTTACAGCGGTATGTCCAGGGAGACAGCCTCCGAAGGATCTCCGATGTGCTAGAGGTGCTAATATTGCGCAACAGGTCACGTCTACATTTGGTCATACGAGTCACAGGTAGGCTGTTCTGTTTGCCTCCAACGCTGGCATAGCTAAAATTTACCCTTTTTAGTCCATCATCAAAACATTCGAGCTCACTGATGTCCCTGTCCGTGCCGGTCGATTCATTGCGCGGAAGAACTGGATTGTCTGCGGTTCGGATGACTTCCAGCTTCGTGTCTACAACTACAACACCTCCGAAAAGATCACGTCCTTTGAAGCGCACCCTGACTACATTCGTTCAATCGCTGTTCACCCCACTCAACCTTATGTTTTGACTGCCAGTGATGATATGACCGTGCGATTGTGGGACTGGGAGAAGGGTTGGAAATGTGTTCAGGTCTTTGAGGGTCACAGCCACTATGTGATGGGTATGGCCATCAACCCCAAGGATACCAATACTTTCGCCACGGCCTGCTTGGATCGAACTGTGAAGATCTGGAACCTTGGCTCCCCTCATGCCAACTTCACACTGGAGGCCCACGAGACGAAGGGAGTCAACCATGTTGACTACTACCCGGGCTCTGACAAGCCATATCTCTTAACCACCTCAGATGACAAGACTGTCAAGGTAAGCAAGATTGGAGTCGAGTGCTTCGTCCAAAAGCGTGCAGTCCTAACATCAACTTCATTAGATCTGGGATTACACCACCAAGGCCCTCATCGCGACCCTTGAAGGACACACCAGCAATGTTTCTTTTGCTTGCTACCACCCCGAGCTTCCCGTCATCATCTCCGGTTCCGAAGACGGTACAATCAAGATCTGGCACGCCAACACCTATCGTTTGGAGCAGTCACTCAGCTATGGCCTGGAGCGGGCATGGTGTGTCTCCTACCAGCAGGGCCGGCAAGGAATCGCCATGGGTTTCGACGATGGTGCAGTGGTCGTGAAGATGGGTCGTGAAGAGCCCGCTGCCTCGATGGATGGATCTGGCAAAGTTATCTACGCCAGGCATAGTGAGGTTGTGTCTACTGTGATCAAGGGCGACGCCAGTGTGAAGGACGGGGAACCCATTTCTCTCCCCGCAAAGGATCTTGGACAGTGCGAGATCTACCCCCAGACTCTTTCGCACAACCCGAACGGCAGATTTGTGTCCGTCTGTGGTGACGGAGAGTACATTATCTATACCGCTCTCGCGTGGCGTAACAAGGCCTTCGGTTCCGCCCTTGACTTCGCCTGGGGCTCTAAGGATAACAGCAATGATTATGCTATCCGCGAGTCGGCAACGAGTGTCAAGATTTTCAAGAACTTCAAGGAACAGCCCGGTGGTCTTGATGTCGGCTTCCAAGCCGAGGGACTTAGCGATGGTGTGTTGCTTGGTGTTAAGGGACAAGGTGGCATTGGTCTGTTCGACTGGGAGACCGGTAACCTTGTCCGCCGAATTGAGGCCGATCCTAAATCCGTAAGTTTATTTGCGCTGGTGTCAAGGCCCGTTAACTAATATTTCTATCCATAGGTTCACTGGTCTGAGTCTGGAGAGCTGGTAACACTTGCTTGCGAGGATGCATTCTACGTTCTCCGTTACTCTCGCGAGGCCTACATCGAGGGCATGAACAATGGTGAGGCTGATGAAGATGGTGTTGAGGCGGCCATGGAGCTTGTCGCTACAATCAACGAGACCGTCCGTACCGGAGAGTGGGTTGGCGACTGCTTCATCTACACCAACTCTACCAACCGCCTCAACTACCTTGTGGGTGACCAGACCTACACCATCTCCCACTTTGATCAGTCCATGTATGTCCTGGGCTACCTGCCCCGCGATGGACGGATCTACCTGGCCGACAAGGATGTCAATGTCGTTTCCTTCGCCCTGTCCCTCGCCGTGCTTCAGTACGAGACACTCATCCTTCGGAATGAAACTGAAGCAGCCGCCGAGGTGCTTCAAGATGTTCCCGAGGATCAGATGAACAAGATTGCCCGCTTCCTCGAGGGACAAGGGTACAAGGAGCAGGCTCTGGAAGTAGCAACCGATCCAGAGGTACGTGCCTGTTGTTTTGATCAGTCCCGAATTGCACTAACTTTGGCCTAACTGCAGCACCGATTTGACCTGGCTCTGTCTCTTAATGATCTCGAGACAGCTCTCGAGATCGCTCGCGTTGCCAACGTCGAGCACAAGTGGAAGGCTATCGGTGACGCCGCCCTGGCTAGCTGGAACCTCGCTTTGGCCCAGGAATGCTTCACTCAGGCTAAGGACGTGGGTTCCTTGTTGTTACTACACACTGCCTCCAACAACCGAGAGGGTCTCCGCGCTCTGGCAGCCCAGGCCTCCGACTCCGGTCTGCACAACGTTGCCTTCTCTACACTTTGGTCCATGGGTGACGTGGATGGCTGCATCGACCTGCTCGTGAAGACCAACCGCCTCGCCGAGTCTGTTCTCTTCGCTCAGACCTACAAGCCCTCTCGTGCCCCCGCACTCGTCGTGCAGTGGAAGGCTTCCCTCGAGACATCTGGCAAGACTAAGGTAGCCCGCCTCGTCGGTGTCCCACCCGGTGCCCCCGATATCATCTCCACTGATGACGACCTCTTCCCCGAGTGGGAAGAATACATCCGCCTTGAGAAGGAGGGTGGCGTCCCAGAGCCCCCCTCGTCCGAGTCTTTGATCGACATTAACGGTGACGACGAGAAGCAGACCGCCACAAACGGTGCTCCTGCGGAGGAAGCCGAGCCTGAAGCCGAAGCCGAAGTCGAAGCCGAAGCGGAGGCCGAGGCTGAGGCTGAGGAGTAAAAAGGATATCGAAGGGGGTTTGGAAGGGTTTGATTGTATTCAAAGGCAGTTACGGCTCGATACGCGTTGAATAGAGCATTTTGTCCTTTTTTTATATTGTTTTAGTATCCGATCCACAAAGTCGGGGACTTGAATTTTGAATTGCGAGCGGCGTCTTAACGTGTGTCCGACATTTCTTGTTCGTTTTCTTTATTTTTATCTTTTTCTCCTCTTCATGTTCCATTTTTTTGGTTTTTCTTATTGCTGTAATCCCACTGTGACAGGTTTTCAATTCGTGGCGGGTTTTGCCTGAGATTGAATGATAGATACAATGATGAAGTCTCTTGCCTTGGATCTTTCACCGGATATAGTTTCCATCTTTATAAATCTCATGTATAGAGGTGACCATGTTCAAGACAATAATACCTACCCAGGGACCGTTGCTCACGAGTAACCGTGGCCCCCTCGAACAGGACGGGTTGATTACCCCGAGTATGTAACGACATGTAACAATCTGCCACGCTATAAGATGGGAACGAAAGGGCAAAAAGTCTGATTCCAGTGGAAATTTGATTTGGCATTGGCCTTTGAGACTCTGTCAATAGATACGGAGAAGAGGGGGGACATCTCGCACCCGACGAATGGACCGGATACAACGAGAAACGGACACGAGTAGACAGGTAATGACCGCTTGAGAACATACAAACGAAAACAAGGGTGCAAAGGAACCTGCCTATGTTGAGAGGGTTGGCGAACGCTGAGATGGGGATGATGAGAAAGAAATCAAAGCGCTCAGACGTGGTGAGGGTTTGTGGGAAGTCAAATATGGAGAAGAAAAAAGACAAGGGAAGAAAAAAACATTGCAGCCTCGGAAACTTGCGAAGATCCCCGAGAACAGATGCCGTGGACTCCTTAAGATGGAAAGGGAAAAGGAACAGGAAATTTAGAGAGGGAAAGAGGAAACTTGGGACAAAAAGAAAGATGATCAAAATTGATGATATGTGCCTCAAGAACGAAACGCAGTACCAAGGGGAATCGTGTCTATGAGCCCTCAATGCACACTAATCATTCTCAATCTCATTGCCGAGGCTAGCATTTCGAAGTAGGTCCTGCTTCTACTCCGGAATGCTGCCAAAAGACGGGTCCTTGACACTGCCTCCTGCATCGCCAAGACCAGCCACTGGACGGTTGTAAGACCATCCAGCGAACTGCTGCTGCATGGTGGAGGACAGGGCGGGACCGTCGACATAGGAGTCCTGAGGCATTTCCCCAGTGAACTCTTTGTCGAAGTTGTCCGTATCGCGAGCGTCCACCTAAACAAAAGGAATGAGCGATAGTGTTTCAACCGATTGTCGGGTTCGTGTATACATACCACATTGGGGCGGAAGCTGGGCTCATACTTCCGCTGAAGCAGTTTACGCCAATCGATATTGGCAAAGAAGTGGTGCGACTTGATCTCTGCGGCACCATTGGCACCAAGACGACGCTGAGGATCGCGATCGAGCAGGCGTGTGAGCAAATCCCGGGCAGCCGGGGGAACAATATCACTGCTGGGGAAGGTCAAGGGCTCCTGCAGAATCTTGCGGTACATCTCATTGGTGTTCTCATCGTAGAAAGGCGGCAGACCAGTCAACATCTCGTAAAGCAAGACACCGAGAGTCCACCAGTCCACAGTCTTGGTGTATCCATTGCCAAGCAGCAGCTCGGGGGCGAGATACTCCGGGGTACCACAGAAAGCTAAACTTGGTCAGCGGAGTAGTCCAAGAGAGGTAGGGAAGTGCTGCAACTCACTGTTTGTCCGGTCCTCATCCTTCATATCCAACTTGCAGAGACCGAAGTCACAGAGGGCGATATGACCAGTATAATCGAGGAGAATATTCTCGGGCTTGAGGTCACGGTAGATGACCTTGAAGCCATGCAAGCATTCAAGCGCACACAGCAGCTCTGCAGTATAGAACCGGGCGCGGTTGATGTCAAATCGCTGTTCTCGTTGCAAGTGGTGGAACAACTCTCCACCGTTGACGAATGCGAGAACAAGGTACAACTTCTCAGGCGACTGGAAAGAGAATTTCAGGGGAACGATGAAAGGATTGTTGATCTGTGCCAGCACGGATCGCTCTGCAAGGGTGTGCGTGACTTCGGATCGGGAAATAATGTGAGCTTTGCGAATTGTCTTCAGGGCGTAGATTCGGCCGGTATCTTTCTTCCTGTATTGTTCAAGAGTCGTTAGCAACCGAAAACGTGAGTTGACATCAAACAAAGAGCGTGCCAAGAGTGACATACATGACCTGCATGACCTTGCCGAAACTTCCCTTTCCAACGACCTTCAACAAGTCAAAATCTTCCATCTTCAAGCTGCGTTGTCTGTTCTCAACGAAGGAAACGCCAATCTTAATCGAGCCACTACCGAACTGGAGATCCAGCCACTCAGCACCCAATTGGCCCATGGTACGTTCCTGCTCCGCATGAGCAGCCGCCGCCTTTTGGTTGTCCTTCTTGCTAAGCTTGGGGTCTTCCACATATGGTTGGCCAGCCTCCTCAAAGCGTGGGTGGACCTTGGTAGCACCCAAGAAAATATCCTCACTCCGGCCAGCACTAGGTCGGGAAGTTGGGTTACGGAGATACAATTGCACGTTCAGCTCGGTCTTTCGGGAGACATCGAACTTGAACGCCGTGCTGTCACCCGCCCACAGAGGGGCCTCGGGAGTACCCGACACAGCATCGACGAAAACTTGGTTCTTTTCGAAATCAAGAAGGGCGTAGGGGAGGTATTTGGTTGAATAACGGCCGTGGACGGTCGGGGCAGAGTTCAAGCCTCCACTGGTAGACTGCGGCCGGGTGGACTGGACGAAGGAGCCCGCTTGTCCATGGGAAGACTGTGACGAGGACGAAGTGCTGGGGCGCAAAGACGATGGCGCGTACGAGTTGTTTTGGAAATGAGAGTTGAAAATTTGCTGATAATGAGGTGACAAGGCGAATCCTTGGCCTTCGTGAAGGGTCACAATAAGGATGCCTGGCTTCACGGGAGCCACCGGGGGAGAGACGAGGGACTCTGAGGCAGCTGTATTGTTGATTCCCCACGCGGGGAGAGAAATTAGCCACGAAAGTCAATTCCTACTTCTACTCCCTGATCGAGTGTCATACCGATGCCATTTGTGGAAGCAGTGGAAGCGATGCTGGGGGCTTGGGGAGCGACCGGCGACTCGTCACCACCGCCATTTGAATCACCCTTGATCGTAGAGGTGGAGGACGAGCGGCCAAATGAACTAGTCAAAGGCGCCAGATGCGTCTCTTTCAGTTCTATAAAATATCATAATTAGTGGTTGCCACTGAGGTTATACCAGCCTCACATGCCTCCCTCGTGGAGGGGGGGGGGGGGGGGGGGGGCGACCCTCACTTTGAGGGGGGAGGAGGGGGGTTTAACAGGGACAAGGAGAGATAGGGAGACCAACTGAACATACTTTTGGTGAGCTTCCAGGACATGATGGCGATTTCAAGGCCAAGGAATCACAGAGCAGACGAGAATCCAAATTCAAAGAGAGGTCGACCGCAGTGCGTTGTGTTAGATAGCCTGAACCACCAACAAGTCAACATCGAAGTTCCCAAAATAATGGAGCCGGGACCACACAAGATCAGCGCCACGCAGCCGAGAAGCCACGATTACCGCTCATCACACGCTTACCTTGACGCACCGGGGAGGGAAGGGAAATAAAGAAAAAAAAGACTGGAAGGAAAGCACAAAGTGAATCGGGGGTTGGAGGGATCTAGGTGAAAGAAGATCCACGACCTCAGGGTGATTCGAAGAATGTAGGAGAGGAGGGCGAGTCGGGAGGGGAAGCCAGTTGGTGGCCTCAGGCCAGGGCTGTCATCAGAATTACCAGAAATTACTGCTCAGTGGCCTGTGATTAGCTGGAATTCCTGCAGGGCGGTATTCAATGACAATACCAGTAATACGAGAGGGGCTGCGCACTGCTTACTTAAGCCGACTAAAGTTTCGGTGTCTCCTGAATGGGGCGGGCACCAGCCACCGCAGTGAGGCAGTGCAGCCCGGCGCCACACTTCACTTCCCAAGGGAGATTGACCCCCCCCAAATCGGAACCACACGCGCCATTCCAGACGGCATCAAGTCATTTGGATCACGACCAATCGCGCAACAAGCTTCGACCATCACGAATATTACCGGAAAATCCCAGTAACATCTCTTTCTGCTTGGTGTTTCATCGCTGCTTCGGAACATCTCCCCACCCGGTCTGCGGAGATCCTCTACCCCAGAATCTCACCTCACCCGGAAACCGCCCTCCCTCTCACCCAACTTAGCTCAACCAACATCGCTGGTTGCCCTCTCAGATCTCTGGAGGGCGATTTTGGGATTTCGCGACGGCATCGGATTCAGTGGAGGATGAAAAGGGTCAAGGATCGATGGGTGTAATACGCAAAAAGACCGCCTCGCGCGGCACCGAAGCCGGCACCAAGTTCCATTGCGACGTGTGCTCGGTCGACGTCACATCAACAGTATGAACCTCAAATTTCAAACTGAGAGAATTCATGAATTAGATGACTGACATGTGACGCGTCGCACTAGGTCCGAATCTCCTGCGCGCATCCTACCTGCCATGAATATGACCTTTGCGTTCCCTGCTTTGCTGCTGGAGAGAGCTCCAAGAACCACGACCCGCCCACCCACCCCTTCCAAGTCATCGAACAGAACTCTGTCCCAATATTCCAGCCGGACTGGGGTGCTGATGAGGAGCTTCTGCTGCTAGAAGGCGCGGAGATTTATGGTCTGGGCTCGTGGGCCGACATCGCTGACCATATTGGTGGCTACCGTAGTAAGGATGAGGTGCGCGACCATTACATTGATACATACATCAATAGCTCGAACTTCCCACTGCCAGACCGAGCCGATCCGGAAGACAAGAGTCTCCAGGCGTCGATCTCAAAAGAAGAGTTCCAGACGCGGAAGAAGCGTCGCATTGAAGAGCGCAAAGAGGCAGCCAGGGCAGCGCCACCAACAACACCCAAGCAAAAGCCAACCGCTAGTGTACCGGCATGTCACGAAGTGCAAGGATATATGCCTGGTCGTCTGGAGTTCGAGACAGAATTCCTCAACGATGCTGAAGAGGCGGTGCAACACATGACCTTCGAGCCTGGAGCTGGCATCGGCCCCAACGGTGAGGTCGATGCAGAGACCGAACTGAAGATGACCGTGGTTGATATTTACAACTCACGGTTGACGCAACGTACCGAGCGTAAGAAGGTTCTCTTCGAACACAACCTGTTGGAATACCGGAAGAACATCGCGCTGGAGAAGAAGCGCACGAAAGAGGAGCGTGAACTGCTGCACAAAGCCAAGCCGTTAGGACGAATGATGAATCGCAAGGACTTTGAGGATCTGAACAATGGATTGGAGTACGAACATAATCTGCGCTTGGCCATCGCGCAGCTCCAAGAGTGGCGGCAGATGGGTATTGGCGATCTGAAAGCTGGTGAGAAGTTCGAGCAGGACAAACAACAGCGTGTTCAACGGATGGTTCCACAAGGATCTTTCGAACGCTTTGCCACTCCGCGTCCTAAGCAGGCCCAAGCTGTTGAACCCCCGTCTTCTGCGAATCAGCTCACCACTCCTGAGCTGCCCCTCCGGCTCCAGAAAGCTGCCAACCCCTACAAGCAGCCCGACCCAGACAATATGCCGATGAATGACTTTGACCTTATGTTTGCGACAAATGGTGATGCTGCTCCCACGCCGCCGGTAAAGACCAAGTTTATCGTGCAGCCACTAAGCGGGTTGCCAGCATGGAAACTGGACAGTGACCGCGCAGCTGATCTTCACCTACTCGCGCCGGAAGAGATCGAAGTGTGCAATGTGCTACATCTCATGCCCAAGCCATATTTGGTTGTCAAGGAAACGCTGTTGAAGGAGGCAATGAAGCAAGGCGGCAATCTAAAGAAAAAGGATGCCCGTGCAATTTGCAAGGTAAGCGATTGCTTTCTCCTATATAATCAATATCTATTTTCCGGGCATTTGCTAATTTGTCTTTAGATCGAGGGGACCAAGACGAGCCGCATCTATGACTTTATGGTACACAGTGGATGGATCAACAAGGTGTAGTCAGATAATCCAAATCAAGAGACATTGTTGTCCAGCTATTCATTGCTTTGTCCCCCAGCTTGATATCCACATATTTCAATGATTTTCAGTGGGAGCGTTTGTGATTTCTCTGGCGTTTACTTAGGGGGCAAAGAGTGATGCACGATCGAAGGTGTTGATTTGTTTGTGTTCATATACCGAGGAACCTGGACGGTAATATAGATCATATCTACCGTTTGAATATTTTAACTATTAGATGTAGCCTTTGTTTCTTCTCTAGATCTTTAAATGTAGGGGAGTGAAGAAACAGTGAGTGAGTATTCCTGGTATGGTTGACTTGGCGATACACCTCGGCCTTGGCCTCTGGCTATTGCCAGTGCTGGAGAGTCAGTAGTATTGAAATGAGATTCGCAAAGCCTCTCTCTCCCTCAACTTCCAAGTTGCAATATAGCCAAAGGGCTAGAACTGGTCAGTAATCCTCATAAATTGGGCGATCCTGCTTGGGTTAACAGAGTTCCAGCCAGCGCCGGTTCATCTCCGCATCGGCCCTCGGCATCTCCAACTGTCTTCTCCGCAATAACAGCCGGGGTTTCTTTCCAACCCCACTCATCTACTCCCACATATCTCCCTTCCTCTTCACCTTTAACATTCATTTCCATAAAGAAAAAACTCATATCAGAACTTATCAATTCATCCGGAAACCATCTCAACTCAACCAAATTTCCAAACCGCGGCAATGCCGGATTTAGCCCTCCCCCCCCCTACCACTCAATATGCGCTGCTGTCCTTCCCAGCTCCGCACATCCTCCTAGTCACTCTCAACCGCCCACGCGATCTCAACTGCATCAACTCACAGGGCAATGCAGAACTCCATGAAGTCTGGGAGTGGATGGATAACGAGCCCAGCCTGCGAGTCGGTATCCTGACCGGCAAGGGGAGAGCCTTTTGCGCGGGGGCGGATTTGAAAGGTCCGTACCATCGCAGCTACTGATATTCTATTCCTTCAGGGGATTCAAAATACTTCTTCAAGATATGTGAAGGTATAGCTAACCAGCTCTCAGAATGGAACAACCGCACCCAATCATCCACCTCCAAATCTCCCATGCCAATCTCTGGCTTTGGCGGTCTATCCCGGCGGAAGGGACGTAAGCCCGTCCTCTGCGCCGTCAACGGGCTCGCTTTCGGCGGTGGCGCTGAAATGATTATCAACTCTGACATCGTCATCGCCTCCTCGCGCACCGCACTGGGTCTCCCTGAGGTGAAGCGCGGCGTTGTCGCGCTAGCAGGTGCCTTGCCCCGACTTGTCCGTACAGTCGGCAAACAGCGCGCCATGGAAATGGCGCTGACGGGACGACCATACACAGCTGAACAAGCAGAGAAGTGGGGTCTGATCAATGAGATTGTTAATGTGGATGATTGTGTTGTGGGAGGCAAGGTCGATGATGATGCCGTGTCGAAGAAGGTGGTTGACCGGGCGGTGCAGGTTGCGTCGGAGATTGCGGGGAATAGTCCTGATGCGGTGTTGGTTAGTCGAGAGGGGGTTAAGTTGGGATGGGAGGGGATTGGGGCTGAGGAGGGGACGGTGATGTTGAATGAGACGTGGGTGAGGCGGTTGTATGAAGGGGAGAATATCAAGGAGGGGCTTAAGGCTTTTGTGGAGAAGAGGAAGCCTGATTGGAAGGATAGTAAGCTGTGAATATGGCTGGCATTGAGATACTCTATCGGCCTGGCCAGAGTGTACGGCTTTTCTGATAACTAAGTCAATACACATCGTCATTATTCGTCGTTACACTGCATCATACTGTCCTTCGTCTTGACGATGACTTGTTATTAAGCCACAAGGCTGAATTGACAAGTTAGGCTGTTCAGCCCCTATGAAGCTTTGCTACTACACTATTAATCTAGGCAATCAATGATCCAAACATTTACTTATATACCACCCCTAGCCCCTGTTATAACCAGCTTGGTATAGAAAACAACGACAGGTCTATCACGATCCAGAAGAAATAATTTTATACGAGCTCTAATCACCAAAATCAGCATGTCCATCGATCCAATATCCCAGAACTTACAATGAACTGAACATGTCCACCATCATAAATAATAGCATGCCTAGAGAAGCCCGAGTCATCAAGACCCATACTCCACCCATCTCAGTCAAGCCCGCTTTTTACTATAGAAAGAAGTTTGTTTCCTGTGAGCTACTTCGCCCTGATTCTATCGAGTTATCAGTCATCGAGAGTATAACAAGAAAGCAGCGCCATGCGTGCCTCCGTAATAGCGCAACCCGGCGTGTTTTGACGCAATAATTGGGCTTCGTTCTGCTAGACTCGACTCTTCAGGTTACGACTCCAGAATAGACACCACTCATTAACTGATTGATAATGATTGGGACGCACGTATGCGCTATTCAGGGTCTGCTTATAGTAGCCTGACACGACATTCCAAGACAACGGCCTTGATCATCAGAAGATAGCAGACGAACCAATCACAGGACGAATTCCGATTCTTGACTGGAGCCTAGCCAATCAGATTTGAGATTACAGCACAGATCAATGTACGCCGCGTACTTAAGATGTTGCCTGGGTCATCTATTTCCATTTAAACAATCCCAATCACCACTGATTTTCCTTCCTACCCTCATCATCGCAATCATGGATGCCACTGCCAATGAATATGCCACTTCTCCCACCAGCTCCTCGACTACGCTCGACCCCATCGCCATCGCGGCCAGAGGCAGTGAAATCAAAGGTCTCGACATCTATCAAAAGACAACAGACGATTTCGATACACCCAGAGTAGAAGAGCTCATGTCCCAAATGTACGCCGACCAACCCAGCGGAGGCACAGACATGACCTACGGAAAGACAGACACCCAGCGTCTCCGCTTTTGGAATGCCAACTCAACCACAGCATCTAAATCATCTAAAGCCCCGGTCATCGTCTTCGTTCATGGAGGTAGTTGGCGATCTGGAACGTATATCGATTCGATCGGGTCCACGAAAGTTGGCCATCTGACTGAGAAAGGCTATGCGTTCGCGAGTGTCAACTATACACTCATCCCCACCGTGACGGTAGAAGAACAAGTACAAGAGATAGCCGATTCGATCAGCTATCTAGTTGCGCACGCAGCCAGACTAGCCATTGACCCGGAGCGAGTCATCCTCATGGGTCACAGTTCCGGCGCACACGTCGTCACTCTACTAGGAACAGACACAAGCTACCTCCAGCGAGCGGGAACCAGCATCTCCATCGTGAAAGCCGTCATCGGCCTAGACGGTTCAAACTACAACGCCGCCGCAGAAATCATCGATAACCCCGGACAAATCGCAGAGCACATGATATCTGCTTTTGGTACGGATCTGGATCGGCTACGTGCCGTGTCGCCGACCTATCATGCCCGCGCGCCTAATGCCCGTGCGTTCTTGCTTCTGCATACTCATAGACATGGAGATATTCGACAGGCAGTTGAGTTGGTTGCGGCGTTGGAGGCTGCGGGTACTAATGCCGTCGTGCATGTTTTTGAGGGTCAGGGGTTTGAGGGCCATATTCAGATACTGCTTCGGCTGGGCGATCCGAGGTATCCTGCGACGGTGGTGATGGATCACTGGCTTGAGATGAATGTCCCGGTGAATTGAGCTTGCCATGGTGAAGAAGGCGAGGGCGCTGAGCGGGCCTTGTGATCTCATAGTGGGGGCATTCCGTCTCAGAAGTTTCAGCCGCTTGGTTCAGGTCGTGTTGACTTTGAAACCCGTTCAGCATGATTCTCGATACGAGCTAAATATAGAGACCGCCTTATGTCACCTACCAAGTACCTTCTTCGTAGTCGATCTATACGAGATGCTCGAGCAGTATGAATAGGCATAATCACTTCCAAGCACAATAATAATCATACCTCGTATTCCTGTCTTCGTCATTCGTCCTTTCGGCCCCCAAACCTGCTGCTCGTTATGCAACTTCTCGGTGCCTGTGGCTAAACTCCGTCCGAAGGCACAAACTCAAACCTTCTCCAGGAAAGCATAAAAGACTTGAACAATAAGCAAATATCAAGGCCTCACCCACTCACACGCAATTTAATCCAACCCCTCAATCTAAACTTCCTCCTTCATCAACTTCACTCCTCCCACCAACAATGGCCCACACCTTCTACGACGGCACCATCCCCGTGCTCCAATCTCTCATGCTCACCCTAAAACACATCCTCACCAAAGCCTCCACTAACCCTGGTCCCAATGCCAGCGCTACAATCACCGAATCCACCTTCCTCACCACCCGCCTAATAGAAGACATGCACCCACTCGCCGACCAAATCCGCCTCGCAACCCAATTCGCCGAAAACCTAGCCGCCCGCCTGACAAACCGCGACCCGACCAAATTCGACGGCGCCCCCACGACCCTCGCGCAGAGCTATGAGCGCATCGAGGCCGTGCTGAAGGCGCTGGGCGAGGCGGAGAAGGACGTCGTCAATGGTCAGGCTGATGTTTTGAAGCCGACGCAGGTGGGACCGACTGCGGTGGTTGAGATGAGCGGTGCGGGGTATGCGCATAGGATTGTGTTGCCGAATGTTTATTTCCACGTTATGACTGCTTATGGGATTTTGAGGAAGGAGGGGGTGCAGGTGGGCAAGAGGGATTATTATGAGGGGTTCTTTCCACAGTGAGGAAGTATGAAAGGAGTAGCTAAAGTATGGAGATTCTATGGCGGGGAGGTAGGTACATAGGTACATGGTTTGTGTATATCACGAAAATGCCAGCTTCAGAATCTACTCTACTAAAGGTTCAGGACTTGAATATTCTCACTGTGAGAGACTAGACATTTATCCTCCCTCACAAGCATAATTATCTTTAATCACACTAACTCGCCATGCCAACACCACCATCTATACGAGAGGAGATAGAACCGACTTCACGAGCTTCCCTAGGATATAGTTACCAACTATAGAACACTCACTGTATCCATCTCATCCATCTCCTCCTACCAATCGCGATAACTGGAAAAGACCACCGGCCAAAGTGACCAGCAAACCATAGGAACCAATCCACCCAGAACGTGGTCCTGCAATTTCAATCCCCCGCATCTGCCCCAGAGAGCAGGCCCAAGAACCATGTGGAGTTAAGTGCATACACATCCACATGCTAGTGCTAGGTACGGACCACGGAGTATCTGTATCTACTATGTAACCAACCTTCCATCTTATCATGGCTCATCGATGTGCTACATAAAAGGCCACGATTGATAACTAGATACCCATTCTACAGACAAACGGGTACGAGTCCGGATCTATACCCAGATCATGAACTATCTCGTGTAAAAGAAATCCCAGTAATTCGTCGCGATAACCCCGACTATTCATCCCTCAAAGCTCCAGTCCTGAAGGTTACTTCAAACCATATTCACAGATAAGAGATCCAGTACTGTACAACGGATACTACGTAGTATCCATCCGTCTATCGCCTAGCCTAACTTCACCATTCCCAACCCTAGCACAGCTAGTCTCCAACCGGATCCTCCACTGTCATCAAATAAGACCTAGACTAAGACTAAGGTACTCGAAATAGGCAACCCCCCTCTGAACATCTAAATGCGAGCCACCTCATCTCCATCCACAATCCACAATCCGCATTTCACGTCAACCCTTCAGACCCATATTTGTCCCGCAAAGATAAGAGACCCGGTAAATATGTCCATTCCCACTTTCGCGCGGCGAAGATTGCCGAGGTTCTCCGATCCAACCCCGGAGTATCCCGCAGTGTAAGCCGCAACCGGTCAGGAACACCGTCAGGCTGTGGTTGCGTCACTAGTGGTTAGTGGTGAGTAATTAGGTTACTAGTGTGTACTCAAGGTACCCTATCGGGCACTAATGCATGACTCGGGAGACTACGGGGCTCACGCTTAACCAAAAACAGTCCAAGGTGCATCCATCCATGAATCCATAAGCTACGGAGCGGAGTACAGTATCGTTGTAAGAAATATTGAAACAGTTTCATTTCCTAGTCCATACTGCACAGTAAAGGGGGAGTCATAATTCATATCCAAAAGCCAAACCATAACCAAAAGAAAGGCTCATTCCCGTTTCCATAATTCCATGATTCCATAATACAGCCGTGTATTCGCCGAGTCCCATGCTTCCCAAGCTAAAAATCTAATCTGTGAATCGTGCAAGCACGCCTAAATGCGGGGCTGGCCAGTTTCCCTGTGGAAAAGACATAGTATGTTAGCGAATGCGTGGAGAATGTGGGGATGCAGGTCAAAAGAGGGGGGGGGGGGGAAGGGGTAACATACTTGGCCTCAGACTGCACCTGATCAACGACCTTGACGACGGACGAGAATAGTGGGTGTGTACGCTCCAAGCCCGTCAGTTGGACTGTCGCGTCGGCAGGAGAGTTCTCCTTCAGAATCTTGGCGAGTTCGGCGCTCTCCTCGTCGTCCTTGACATTCTGGAAACGCAGCGCCATCTCGACGGAGCCCAGGAGGCAGTCGTACTTCATACCGCGCTCGGCGAGTTGAGCGGCCGGCCCAATGAAACGCTCCTTGCGACCAAGCTTGCGCAGGGGCGCACGGCCGACACGCTCGACACTGTCTTCCAGGTAAGGGTTGGAGATACGGGCGATGATGGTCTCGACGTAGTCTTGTTGCTCCTGAGCCTCAATCTCATGCTTGTCGATGATGAGCGAGGAAGTCTCCTTGAGGACATCACGGACCACGCCGCGGATGTACGAGTCGTGCATGGCCTCGGCAATGGTCTTCTTGCCAGCGTAGCGGCCATAGTAGGCAGCGGTAGCGTGACTGGTGTTGACAGTGAACAGCTTGCGCTCAATGTAGGGCTCCAGGTGGTCAACCCAGTGAATAGCGGGGACGTCGGGGTGACCCACGCTGCCGAAGGGGCTCTTCTCGACGACCCACTCGTAGAACTTCTCGATGCGCACGTTCAAGCCGCTGTTGGGGGGCTGAGCCGGGACAATGCGGTCGATGGCAGAGTTGGCGTACTGAGCACGCTCGCCCATAGTCTTGAGACGCTCCGAGTCGGTGTGTGACTCGATGTGGCCCCGGAGGGTGTCGGTAGCGCCGATGGCATTCTCACAGGCAATGACGGCCAGGGGCTTGGGGGTAGAGCGGATATCGATACCCTTGGCGATGACGGGGGCAATGAACTTGAGAATGTTGGGACCCACAGCACAGGTAACAATGTCGGCGGTGGAGATCTCTTGGATGACGTCTTGCTCATGGGTCTTGGAATTGATAGCGCGGTAGTTGGTGATGGTCTTGGTGGTCTCACCACCTTCACTGACCTCGGTGACTTGGTAGGACTTTGTATTTTGGAGCTCGTTGATGATGTTATCCATGACATCAATGAAGACGACCTCATAGCCTGCGGTGTGCAGGAACTCGGCCACGAAGCCACGGCCGATGTTGCCACCGCCAAAGTGAATCGCCTTCTTTCCCATGATGGATGGATGAAGGAGGAGGAGGGGAGGGGGGGGGGGGAGGAGGGATGGGTAGGGCTGAAGTATATCGAGAGGGTTAGGAAGAAGAAGCAATAAGGTGACTAGGTCAAGTGTAGATCTGGGGAACGGTCTTGTGACGTGCTAAGAGCGGGTGGCTGACCGTGCAGGAGTGGGGGATTTGGGAAGGGAGGGATGAAGATGATTGACAAAAGGGAGGAAAAGAGGGGGAAATGAAGAAGTATTTAAGTGTTCATCTTAAAAAGGAATGCACGAAAGGCAAGAGGGGGAAAAGGGCTCTCGGACTTGGTTCCAGCTGAAAAGGAAAGCGCGATTATGCTTTTGCCTGGCATTTGCGCAGTACATCATCATTATAGTACTGATACCACGATAGTATGAGAGTAATACCTACTATACGAGTCCTCTAGTTTATTATAGAATACTCTAGCTTACTCTCGGTTACTCTCGTTGACTCTAATTTACTCTTCAGTATTGTACTATCCTGGTTTCTTTCTCATTCCTCCACTATACCACACTCAACTATGACCTGGCCGGGATGACTTCATCGACCTCGGGAGGCGCACGGAGCTAGTCTCCGTCCGCCTGGCTTCGACCCACCGAATGAGACCATCATGATATCGTCTCGACTGCACAGCTACCTGGTCTGTTAATGCCCTTTCTCTTTCTCTCGGTTCGTTTCCCTCTACGCACAATTCCATTAATGCCCAGTGTAACCCCCTCCTGCTCTGGCCGTGCAACCCCCCGTCCCTTTAGCAGCATCCCGGTATAGTCCAGGTATTATCCAAGTATAGCCCAGGTATAGTCCAGGTATATTCACAGCCCTGGCGCAATGCAATCGCCGAGCCAGTCACAACACGCCAGCCCCTCTAATCGCGCCGGGAACTAGTCCTTTTTCTGACCAGACTGTCCCTCTCAGCCTAACCCTCTCGGAGCGTCCAGACTTTGCCAAACGGAGTACTCAACTCCCCATGGCTAACCGCATTTCCCACCTATCTGGATCGAGGAGCCCCACTTAGCGCAGCTGGACGAATCATCGAATCCCCTCATCAGCGCGTTTCACTTCCCGATGATTGCGCGCCCCCAGGGACACGGTAGACACGGCCACACAGCGTCACGGAGAAAAGGGTGTATCTACAACTCCCTTTCACGCTCAGATTCACCTAAACCATCCTGACCCGAAAACACCTCACCGGCGAACTAATCTGGACTTGGACACGGAAAAGAGCCGGGCAGGAGCTTGAAATAGCATGCGCTCTTTCGAACCTTCTAAAGTCCATGACTCTTCGAGTCTGACTGTACCCTTCGCAAAGGCCCCGGAAAATCCCGCCCAGACCTCCTCTCCTCCAGCGTGTCCAGCGTGTCTCTCTCCGCATTCCGCGCTTGAACCTCATCCCACCCGAGTCACGATGACGAGCAGACGCTGGAGGCCCCTTTGGGCCATGGCCTGCCAAGGCAGGTCACCCCCAAGAGACCGCTTACCACAAATGATGCCCACGAATCCAAAGCACGGACGGTATACACACCAACCGCAGCACAGCCAGACACGAGTCTCGATGAGGTTTAGTTCCTAACTCAGTCAGCCAATGACGCGTGCCTCATTTCCCCTTGCCCCTCCACTGACGATATATCCCTCTCTCTTGCCCCCCCCACTACTACTAACTATTGTGCTAACCAGGCATCATCATCATCATCACCACTATCCAATCCCAAACTCCCCTCCCCGTAGATGCCCGCAGCCGCCCGCCGGAACAATCGCGCACGCCTCAAGAAACTGCGACCCCCAAAAACCACCCTAGCGGTTCCGGAGTACTGTGGTCCTAACATGCAAGCCCCCTCCCAGACAATAGTAGTGCACACAGATATCCCTCTCCCAATCTCCCTCCTGTCCGTCCCGAGCCCTGACAAAGAGAGAAATAGCAAGACAGAATCGGGTATAGTGTCAATGCCAAGCGGGAATGCAGGATGCCTATCTGATGATACGCATACGCCTCGGCGAGAGAGATTGGAATACAATCACTAATGTACTCCGTATTCTAGTCCATACATACATATCGTAACTGTCGTAGCGTAGCCCTGAGAAGATCGACCAGGTGATTCCCATCTTTTCCCACCTCCACTACTGGTGACGTCGGATGAACGGGTCGGGGTCGAGTCGTGACAGGCTGAGACCCAGTTTCCCCCCGGGACTTTTTCCCGCTAGTCGCATCTGGAATCCCACCCTGCCGAGGTTTATGCCTAGTTTCCCGAGCCTACGACTGTATTCCATGACTTTCGACTGTGTCGCATTCCTGTCCCGCTTTCATCTCCGTTCCTTGTCTGGCTAGTCCATTCGATGGAGATGATGATGGAAAATGGATATAGATACGGGAAATTATGAATGCTTATAGCATGTACGCGGGTTTACCGGGGGTGGCTAGACTGCTACAGTTAGTTAGTTACAAAGTGGGACGGGGCTTTGTATTACATCGAATGAATGGCTTTGACTGAGTTATTACTTTTGAATGGCTGGTATCGCCCGCCGTTGTCCCGACGCTTTTACATTGTTGGCTTGCGCCATTTATTGAGCGATGGCTTGATGGCTCGAGCGGGAAGAGGTGGCTAGTCGAAGTTGAGTAAAGGCAGATTGCGGGAAACTGGAGTATGTAGCAAGCTGCAAGTCGAAATTCGCCAGTTGCATTGTCGCTTGGAGCAATGGATGGAGTCGACCTTACAGTATACAATACTCCGTATACAGTAGTAGCGACCCAGCAGGATCACAGTAGATACGGAAGACTCCGTAGCTACCAAGCTAACAGAACAAGCACGGCGTACAGAACCAGTTAAAGCGGAGAACGCTGTCCGATCAGGAACTCGTCGGGTTGCACTGCGCACATCCAGGCACCAACTACAACCTACGTGACCAATGAGTCCATGCGGCTATCTACAACATCTTTCTTTTTCATATGTCAAAAAAAGCCTCGGAAACTTCCTCCAGACCTCGTTTCCTTTTCTGGCACGGCGATTGGATACTCGGTCAACATCAGCTATGAATCCTTCGTTGGGCTGAATATCTCATTGTTATGAGAACCCTTCCTTTAGAAATAAATCACTCGTGTACGAGTTCGGGCTGTTCCCGTCTATCCGCATGCTGGTTCCCGATGTTCGTCTCACTCTGTTCCTGCTCCTCCTCCTGCGCCTGCAGTAGTTTTCGAAATCATTTAAACATCTACACTCGAGCAACTTCATTTCAGGAAAAAATATCCGTCACACGAGAAGGATGATTGGAACTGAGCTCCCATGACCCCACGTCAGACTGCTTCCTGTAATGATCATTTGCATTTTGTCATGCAACTACCCCGGTATGGGACAGCGTAGGAATTATCTGATACGAGAATGCTATAGAAACGCTACGCTTGTGCCCATTCTCTCCATTCATTGCGATAACCAACAACTTTCTACTCGCCTCACTATCGAGTCTTCCTAGTTGAATATCTTCCTACAAGGAGGCCAACGCAGAACTGTATACAGTTAGAAATGAATCTCCGTATTGAAGAACATCTCAACATGCAACATAACAATAGAGCGTGGTACGCTCACCAGATCTTACAATCACTCTCTTGAAGGGTTCTATAGGGCCATACGGAATTCCAGACTTGCCATGATTCTGGCAAGCCCAACATGTATTATTGTTTTGAACAAACCTTGCGAGGTTGACAAAAGAAACACGTGGCCAAGGCCATTTTGTTATCAGATTATCCTGGATGTGCCGGACCTCGGCATTAGTATCATAAATTTACCCCACTGAATCACCTGCTTCACCAAACTACGGAGTACATTTAAGCAGTCGAATTATTGGAATTGATGGAAACTCGAAAAATAGCCATACTGACACATATTGCCCAAAATGGATTCAACAACATCGAATGAACACAGATCATCGCCGTACTCGCCTTCTCATGAAATCGAACTCTTCGATCCAACCGACGAAGCCGAGATCGCTGGCCCGCAACTCGAGCCCACAGATCGCGGCTTTGCTGCATGGAGACTTCTTTGCACTGCGTTTGTCTTTGAAGCTCTCCTTTGGGGTCAGCATACACTCTTCATAAAATAAGCCATCCATCGAATTCACAAAATCCAGGCTTCCCCCTCTCCTTTGGAGTCTTCCAGAACTATTACTCGACACTCCCGGAATTTTCCAACAGCCGGTATATTTCAGTCGTGGGCACCGTCGCCTCAGGAATTTCCTATCTGGGAGCCCCGTTTACAGCCCATTTTATCAAACGCTTCCAGCGGTTCCAGCGACAGATGATCTGGATTGGATGTTAGTTTTTAATTTCGGATCTGCTATTCGTTTCTCTCCGTAATTTGACCGTGGAATAGGGCCCATCTGTATCATTTCACTCATCTGCGGTTCTTTCGCGTCAAGTCTTACAACTCTGATCCTAACACAGGGCGTAACCTACGGAGTTGGGTTTCTCATTTTCTACTATCCAATCCTCAACATGGTGAACGAGTACTGGGTCTCTCGTCGCGGAATGGCATATGGTCTTCTTTGCAGCGCTTCGGGGATGTCAGGTGCCGTGATGCCATTTATTACGGAGAAATTGTTAAACACGTACGGATACCGGACGACGCTGCGTGCTGTTGCAATTGCCCTTTTCGTGTTGACGGGTCCTTTGATCCCCTTCTTGAAGGGCCGTTTGCCAGCTTCCAGACATACCGCTCCTGCTCACGCAAATTGGAGTTTTCTAAAAACGCCCTTGTTCTGGGTGTATACCGTTTCTAATATGGCACAGGGGTTGGGGTACTTCTTCCCATCCCTGTATCTGCCCTCGTACGCGACGTCGACTGGACTGAGCAGTATAGAAGGGGCGGTTCTTTTGGCATTGATGAGCATTTCACAGGTGCTAGGACAGTTGTCTTTTGGGTATTTGTCCGATAAGAACTTGTCTGTTAATTTTCTCCTCGTTTGTTCGAGTTCTATGGCTGCGATTGCTTCGTTGGCAATATGGGGACTGGCTTATTCCTTGACATCGTTGATTGCTTTTGCGTTGGTCTATGGCTTTTTCGGCGCTGGGTATACTGCCATGTGGGCGAGGATGTCTACATCTATCAGTACTGATCCAACCGCTGCACCGATGATATTTAGCCTTTTCTGCTTTGGAAAGGGGCTAGGCAACGTATTGACGGGGCCGCTTAGTGGTGACTTGATATCTCCGTTGGTAGTGTTGGGAAGCTATGGATTGAGGAAATACATGGCGGTCGTTGTTTTTACTGGGGGGTGTATGGCTTTGAGTGGTTTAAGCATCTGCTCATGGCATATTGTTAAGCAAATGCGGAGATTGATGTAGATTAGGATTTAGCAGGTGTTATTAGCTTTCAAGTATTGCAAGTCCAATACTGTCTACAGATCTACTTCCATTAGGAGCGAGAAGCTAGCGAGACACAGAATCGCTCTGAGAAACGCAGGGGCTGGTGGCCTATTCATAGCTTAATAAAGTAGCATGGCTTGAGGTTTCATCGGCCAAAAGATGGATTTTCGCGTGATAAATTCTATAGGTGCGACGCGTAGTTTGAGTGCCACCTGGGCCACAGCACCATTTTCGAATCTCAATCCGTTGCACCTATGACAATGAACACCACGTTCGTAGATATCAAGGCTACATGTAGAAATTTAATAAGGGCTGACACCAACCTTATACATTGTAAGTTCGTTGAGTTGTATCACTGTTCGCAGTCTGTTTCCTCACCTATAAACTAGCCTCTTGCACAAGTGAAACCAAACAAATCAAATCAGTGCAAAAATCTACGAACAAAAAATCGACTTATTTCATATTGCACAAGTGAGGAGGTATAGCTAATTCCCAAAAAAAAATAGTTCTGTACTCTTCTCCGCATCCCCAGTGATCCCCCCACCTGTCACTTTCAACAGCCCCTCCCTCCCATCCTCATCTCTTTCCCCAATCAGCCCTCCTCTTCATCCTTCGACGGCGCAGGCGCAGGCTCCTCCAGTACATACTCATCCCGAACAAACATATTCATGAAACTGACCAAACTCCCCACCAACAACAGGCCTGTCGAAGCCCACGTCATCCCGAGGAACTTGTCGCCATAGCGGGCAGCCACATTGGACCCCTCGCCATGCGCGTTGATCAACGCGACGAATTCGAACGCAAGGACCGTTGCGATGATCGATGCGATGCTTATACTTAGTGCGCCGAGCTGTAAATGGAATTAGCAAGGTTTGGACTTCCTGAGGGATGTAATCCCTCGTGATAGTGGTCGGACCTCTTGACGAGGGTCACGAACAGCAACAAGAAAAAAATAGGGACAAAACAACCGACAACAACCAACAAACAGTTGGATCCCGATTCTCACGAGGATAAAAAGGGATGCAAGAACTCACCACCAAAAACCCAAACTCAAAAACACCATACTGCGCCCTAGATATCGCCATCGAAACCGCATTCACCAACAACACGCTCCCCACAGCCCCAACGCCAATAATATACAGCACGGCCATGGCGCGACTAGTCATTCTGAACGCGTGGAAATCATCGCTGATCACCCGCGGCCACTCCAAGTCCGGCCCGTGCGTTATATTCTCCGACCAGGCGGCTGTGGGATTGAATGCGAAGAGGATCGTTCGTTTGGAGCAGTCTGTTACGTTGCGGGAGGAGTAGAGGTCTGTTGCGCTGGGGTCGACGGGGCCGAGGGTGCCTTGGCAGTAGGACATGACGTGGACGGAGTAGAATGTGTGGGCTGGGGAGGTGGAGCTTGAGCTGGAGTTTCCTTCTGGCGTGTAGAGCTGTGTCACGGAGGTGGTTAGTCTAGGGCCTTTGATAGTGTAGTAAGTGGTCTGGTGTAGGTTTCCAGGTACGTACTGTGAGTAGATTTACACTGTCCAGCATGTTCTTTTGTGTTCCGGCGAAGACGCAGCATAGCGTGATGATGAATGCTATAAAGGCGGTTATCGTTGGGAAGATGCTTTTCAGGTTGACCATGGTGGGCGGTTGGTCGATGATAATGCCAATGCGAATGCTGATTGAGGCTGATACCAAATATTAAAATATCCGTATTGCCACCTGTCGGCGAGACTGAAGTCAATTAGATGACAGGCTATCAACCCTTCCTGAAGCCAACCCAAAGGCGTAGGGGCTTATCCGGCAAGAAGATTAGCATGAGCATATGCAAACCACCACCAGCAGTCCCCAGATATCAAGACCACAGAAACTAACCAGATTCAATCAAACAATGATCAACCAAAACCCAGCGCAAAAGCCAATTCCTGCAGATCCCAAGCTCCCAGCATCAATCTCTTATACCCCCTCCTACCTACACAACGCCAAAAAAAGACCTTGAATACCACATCCAAGCCCCCCATTCCCCTCCAGGGCTGTCAGACTCAGTCCCAACCCGGAATAAAGCCACAGTACTGTATCGTCCACACAGTACCTACCTCTCAAGGGGAAATCAGGTCACGAGATAAATTCCCCTCGGCATGTCATTCCCATCTCCATGCCTGGCTGGTACGGCACAGCAAAAGGTGAATATTCTCCTTATTGCGTCGATATGCGGGCCCAAGGTGCTGTGAATGGGCCAATCTGGCAGATTCAGGCGTGGTTGGGTGTTCTGGGGATGGGGATGGGTATGAGTGCTGCCCGCCTGCGTGTGGAATGTTGGGTGGTCCCAGGTCCCCAGCCTTCCGGGGGCATGCCGGACGGAGAAATAGTAGGCGAGGGAGGAGGCACAGTGGTGAAGTTAGATAAATCACGGTACTCCGTGTATTTAAGAAATTAAAGGCTTGTTAAAGCTGGTGAATCGCTTTGAGGACTGGGTTCAGATTGTAGTGGTAGATATCTTGCGGTGCGAGCCCTAAGAAGGGAGGGAGGGGGCAGGTTGGATGTAGACATATTGGCAGCAACGCGAACATTTGGTATACCCATCGCTGTTGTTCACTAGAAGGAATAGGCCCTTTGGAAAACCTCTGTTCATGTTGTAGTGACCGTGGAAATCTTGCTGGTGATCTTGTTGTGTCGAGCCCGTCCTACGGCAGAGAAGGGGGTTGGGGTTGATAGGTCCGTGCCAGCACGAATGCTAGGCATCGCCATCACGGTAGAATAGGAGGTTACAATTCACGCAGATGACAGTAGTTCCATTTTCAAATCCAAGTAATGCCATGTCTGGATAAGCCTACAAGTTGAACTGAGGGTGCGAGAGATTCCATCGTGCGGGCAGGAGGAGAGACCTGGAATGTGAAGAGTTCAGCAACGCCTTCAAATCCATTCACCACGCCGGGCAACCTCGTACCAATGACAAAAACTATCGAGAGATTATCGACTGCAGGGCAAATAGTCAATTCGTATCGACTACGTCCGACCCCATTATATCGCGCATTCTACGGTCTGCTTTCTATAGTTAGTATAACACCCCGGCATCCGCGGCTCACTGAGCATCCTCCTCGCGTTGCGAAATACCCCCAGGAAAGACAAAAATAGCGCCATCTCCAAGCTACTCGACCATCGGGCAACGCTAGGCGTCCTCGAGGATCCAAGTCGAGGCGATAGATCATCCACGATGCGAGGACATAGCGAGACCTGGCCCAGTTTGCCAGAAAGGGTGTTTGGAGCGAGACGAATGCACACGAGGATCTGGTGATAGAATGGGGCTGAAAGGGATTGAATGCTCACCAGACAAAGACCAAGAATAGTGCGACTCGGGGTGACCACTCAGTAGTTGAGCTGTGGCCTCGTGGTTCACCCGCAGGTGTTGGTGCATTGATATCAGATTCCTGTTAGCACTCGACAGGATCAGGATCAGAATCAAATCAACTTTCGGATTGAAATCTGAATCCTATGGACGCCTGTACGGCCGTGTTCCAGCAAGGCTCCCACTTAGGCTGAATGAGCTGAAAGTGAAACATCCCAACCGGGCAACAGTCTAGAAGGATTCTGGAGCTTTTGACAACAAAAAAAGATGAAACCGCGGTGCATGCAGGGGGGGGGAGCGTGGGCGTTCCCGTTGAGCTAGATACGAGGGAGCTACTCGTTGACGAAGCCATCCTGCCAGAGCAACTTGTCACGCCATGGTCCTTATTGGGTGGTTGATCGCATGCGCAAACTGCGAGGTGGAGATGCCAAAGTGGACTGCCGTGTCGAGATCGTCCGGATATCCACACCGTAAACCCCTAGAAAGTGTGGGCATAATCCAAAATCTAATAATAATCGCCCACAAATTCGTCATTGGCGACGGGGTCTAAAAGTCAATTCTGCAGGCAGACCATCTGCCGTGCGCTAGCGGGCTTTGCTGTAAGCTCCAGTGGCGTCGAGAGACCGAACCGACTTCTAGAAGGGAGCAAGGCCGTATCCGGGCACTGCACGAGACCCTTGCGTCTGGTCTCGAATGATTCTTGAATCATTGATGATCAATTCATCTCACCATGATTGGAGAAGGCAGGAGGCGACACGATCTTGTCCGGAGGAGCCTAGATCAGTCTGTTGACGCTGTTCTTGGAGGACCAGCTTCCCGGCTATCCCGGTCGACGAGCAAGAACCGATAGTCTGCCCACGTGCCGAACTCCTTGCACCGCAATCCTGCGCCTCATAAGGGTCCACGGGATCGTAAGGCGTTTTCTCTTGGAAAGGCTTGGAGATGCTTTGAACAGCCATGAAATGTGCTTGGTAGTCGGCACATCACCTCGAGGGCAGAGTTAAGCACCAGCAAGGCTCAGCCAAGACTGCCTCAGGATCTCGGCGCATCGAGCGGTTCAAGGCAGGGAGTACTCCGCATAGGATCCGTGTACGGTTTTCATGAGACGGCAGGGCATGTTCCCAACAGTGGCATTTGACTGGCCCGGTGTCGATTTTGCCAAGCATTACCCATGCCGCAGGCCAATTCCTTCGGACTCTATACGAAGGGGGAGAGTGTTGGTGTTGTACCCAGATCTTCTCGGATGATGGCCCTGAAAAAGGAAGGCATAGCGGTTCAGAGCGGGTTGGAGTGTCGTTGGGCTCGGCGGGCTGTGGTTGGTTAATGGGGAAAAGCGACGGGAGCGGCAGAGATCCAAAGAAGCGCGCACATGGGCAGATCCGGGGATTTAACTGGCCCGCGGGGGGGGCCAGCAGTGATCAGTGCCCCGGGAATTAGTGACATTAGCGTGGAGTTTAACCACCGTCGAAGGCTCTGTCCTTCGTAGCGTTTCCACTCGGTTCAATTTGAGAGGGGCGACTAGTCCCGTCTGGGTTTGATCTCCCCAAATTGATGTCACAGTGGCCGGATGCTTAGTGCCCAGTGCCCAGTGCCCAGTGCCCACAGGCAGTAAGGTACACAAACCAGATGTCAGAAGTCAGAAGCCACGAGAAAAGTTAACAGACCCGTTAGTTGGAGACGCCAATATCCGGAGAGTCCGGATTACACCCTATCATCAGCCATCCCGCTTGAAGGATCCCGCGTCGCTCCTCTTGGCAAGAGGGCACGTGTGCAACTGCCCATTTTATGCGCGTTAAATCGACTAGTTAGTTCGTTCCATAGATCAACCAGCTGTTGAATCATCACTGGATCCCTGAATCCTCGGCGGGGGCTCGTACAATGCGCCCATGGAAAAATGCCACTCAGTATAATCAAGGTCAACCACCCCCGAATAACGGCGTGGTGGAATTGCGCCCTGCTCATCCGCCGTAAGCGTTGCATTCTTTCCCGGGGCGAATTAAAGCCACGCGGATGACCATGACCATCCAGATTCACACAGGAAGATGTTGCCCTGGTGGGAGGTGATCCCGGACTGACCGGGGGGCTGTTGATCTGCCTCTCATGGCAGGCGGTCAGCATTCAAAAAAAAGGTCTTCGAACCCCACCCGAGCGGCGGGCCATTGTGGGTCCCCGCTTAGCAGATCTTAGTCCCTCTGAACCCACCAGATTGACATTCTGCCACCACGTGCTCCCTTGATTGGCTCCCGGCTTTTCCTGCAACCGCACTTGGACCGTCTCTTTTTCTTCTTTTCTTTTTCTTTTCGATTCCCCACTTCTGCTGTTTTCGTCGCCGCAGTCTCTTCCCCAGTGGTCCCAAGTCAAATCAGCATCTCCCCTCGTGTCCGTTTCGACTCCGCCAGTCTCCAGACTCGCCCAAACTGGTCCCGGTCCTGGCCAAAATGGACGATTCCCCGCCCCATCGGCCATCGGCGGTGGGCCTGGAGCCCTGGCAGAAATTTTTTTTTCCTTCTTCTCTTGGACGGAAAGTACGACCTCCGCCAGTGGAGCCCGCCACTGGACTTATCAGCAACGAGCTTGCGAGCACGCCAACTCTCGCTGCTCGCCCGTCGTCTCATTCTTCTTTCGCCTCTCTCCTTCCCTCATCACCTTTGCATATAAACCTCTCGAGATCACCGTCCTTGGCTTTCAGCCACGTCCCTCTCTTGTGGTCATCACCACTGCCATCTACCCCTCGCCATTCGGTAGATTCCCCTCGTGCCAGGCTTGCCAACCCTCGCCGGTCGACTGCCAAGCAGCACCACGAGTAGCCACGAGAAGTCAATTCTCTCGAAAGTTTCGTCAACGCCGTCACAATGACCGACTTTGGACCTCGTGCCCCCCATGGGCCAGATATGACGGGGACTCACAACCCGCTGGAGGATATGGAAGCCCATGAGAAGGGTGCCTTTGATCGCCTGATCCGTCCCGATGACAGTTACAATGCGGAGGGTGTTTACTGGGCCGATATGCCTCTGGGCGAGAAGATCAAGTTCGTCAGCTCCTACGATGCGAAGGAAGCCCGCAGCGAGCTGTCCACCATTTGGTCCATGATCAAGGAGGACCCGTTGTCCCCCGTTTCGTACTACTTCCGGAACATGGTTCTCCCCGGTGCTGGTCTCGGTCTGGAGGGTTACGTCCTGTTCTCCATTGGCAACATCAAGCCTCTGTTCCAGAAGGCTTTCCCGGAGTGCTGGAATACGCACGAGATCTGTAACCCGCAGTGGCTGAATGCCGTCGATTACCTGGAGATTATCGGTATCATCGTGGGTCAGATCCTGGTTGGTTTCATTGGTGACTGGTAAGTAAACGCAAAATCTACGCCATGATCTCCTCAGGGGGGTCCAATTGGATTGTTTCCAGCTAGAGATGGCGCATGCTAACGCCCGCCACAGGATTGGCCGTCGCTGGGGTCTGATTCAGGATGCCACCATCATGTTCATTGGTCTGCTCATGCTTACCGCCGCCTGGGGCGTTACCCAGAACGGTTGGGTCATTTGCTACGCTTGGTCCCTGTTCTTCTACTCGGTTGGTGTTGGTACGTTTTGCCCTCGCATAACCCACCCCCCTAATGTCAAAATAACCGCGCGTCTAACTGGGTCATGCAGGCGGCGAATACCCCATGACTGCTACCTCCGGTATGGAGAACGCCATTGGTTCGGGCAAGATTTCGACCAAGGAGGACCGTCTGCACCGTGGCCGCAAGGTCACCAGCGCCTTCCTGATGCAGGGCTGGGGTCAGTTCTTCAACCAGGTTATTCTGATCATCCTCCTGCTCTGCTTCCACCACGGTAGCGGCAACAACCCTTACTCTGCCGTTGCGGTCCAGTGGACTTACCGTGTCTCTTTTGCTATCCCCGCCGTGGGCACGTTGTGGCTGGTCTACTACCGTGCCTACCACATGAAGGCTGCCTCTAAGCAGCTGGTTGCCGCTAAGAAGAAGGCTTCCGTCACTGGTTACGATGTTGAGTCTCTCCGTCTGACCTTCAAGTACTTTGGTCCTCGCCTGATCGCCACTGCTGGTGGTTGGTTTGCCAACGATGTGTTCTTCTATGGTAACAAGCTCTTCCAGAGCGACTTTATCAAGGTTATTTCCCCGGAGACTTCCTCCGTTATGCCTACCTGGTTGTGGAACCTGGTCAACGTCGGTGTCTCGCTGTGCGGTTACTACCTTGCCTCCTTCTTGATCGACAACAAGCTGTATGGTCGTAAGTGGATGCAGACCGTCGGTTTCCTGATGTGCTTTATCCTCTTCGTTGTCCCCGCTTTCCACTACAAGCACTACAAGTCCGAAGCCCACATCAAGGAGTTCCAGACTATGTACTTCCTCAGCTCCTTCTTCAACCAGTTCGGTCCCAACTGTGTCAGTTTCCTGGTTGCTGCCGAGGTCTTCCCCACTCCTATCCGTGCGACTGCCCACGGTATCTCCGCCGCCGCTGGTAAGGCCGGTGCTCTGCTGGCTTCCGTTCTCTACAACTATATCGACACCCAGACCAAGTTCTACGTCGTTCCCTGGTTCGGGTTGGCTGGTGTTTTCGTGACTCTGGCCTTCCTGCCCGACACTACCGGTCTCGACCTGAAGGAGCAGGAGCGCCGCTGGCAGTGTCTCCGTGAGGGTCGTGAGGAGGACTACCACGGTCCCGCCGTGCACCCCAAGCACCTGTCCTGGTACGAGCGCTTCGTCCTGCGCAAGAACCGCTACTACGATGCCGAGCTTGACTACCAGCAGAAGGTCGAGGAGTACCGTACTGAATGGGAGGCTCTCATGGCCCAGCGCCTCGCCGAGAAGGAGAAGAGCGATGAGGTCTTTGACACCGACGACACTCTGCTCGAGGGTCACGTGCACACATACTTCCACCGCACCAGCCCCATGTTCAAGGGCATGGAGGAGAAGTCCGCTCCCAGCAAGCAGGACAACTTCCGCCTGCCCCCTGCTGCCGAGTCTGGCTCTGAGGAGGACATCTCCTCCGACAAAGCTGCTGAGCTATAGTAAAGATTTGCATTTTGCTTTTGCTGGTTTTCTGATTGGCTTTTGAGAAGCTAAGAACCTAGAACATACACTGTGCCTTGGCTTGTTATTTTTATTGCTTGCTTGTCCATTGGACTATTTTTTTTTGGCTGCGGGCTCGATTGTTTATGGGGGGTTTTCATCGCCCCTTTTTTTTTTTGGATATACCTCTTAGCTGCGTTGCTTGTTTGGAGATTGCATGAGCTGCGTAAGTTGCATGATGCGGGCCTGTGTTTGGATTGTTTGTACTTAGACGTCGATACCTGTTTTACATACCCACCTGGAATGACCATGGCTTTTTATGGCTTCGAATATCTTCTCGATCGTATTTAGATGCTCGAGTAAATCAAGGCATAGGTCTTGCATGAATCCAGTTATGGTTGAGTGAAGTGAAGCTGCAGAGTGAGCTCACAAAATGCAACGCTCGGTTGAGTCTCTTGATGTATGGTACACACAGGTTCCTTTGGATGCAGCCCAACCCGACTGAAGAGCCTATCAGGGATTCAACCAAGAAGAAATGAGCTATATATCTCCATTTAGAAGCAAATATTGGCAAATCCTCTGCCTGAGCTTGAGGCTGTCTACGCAGCGTGTAGCCCGTCCTTTTCTCTGTATACGACCCAACTGCGCAGCGAACATCCCACTCTAGACACTACCACCGCCTAAACCACTCACATAAGGCTTCCTATTAGCATAGCAATGCACTTCCCTCTCCACAGGCAAAACACCCTCCATAATATAACCCCTCGCCACGCCATCCGTACAATCCGACCAATCCCGCCTAGAACTATGCCCATACGCATGATGCACAATCAACCGCGCATTCGAACCCATCTCCTCCAAAAGCCTCCGCCCATTACGCAGCGGCGTCGCGGGATCGTACGTCGAAGCAATCAGTAACACCGGCGTCTTGAGCGTGTTGTTCAGATCCCCGCGGTATACCTCGGAGGGACGGCCCCAGTAGGTGGCGTAGTGGCGGCAGGGTAGGACGGCGAAGAAGCGCGAGTTGCCAGCTATCCAGCTTTGAGATGTCATGTTGGTCCATAGGGAGTTCCACCAGGTCAGGCCGTCTGGTATCGGTGCGTCGTGGGAGTCGGAGCAGATTACGAGGAGGTCGAGTTCGGTGGATGAGGGGGTTTCGGAATGGGAGTGGCCGCTCCAGGCGAGGTCGAGCTGGGTTGCTGCTAGGGTTGCGTTTCCTGATTCGAGGTCGTAGAGGAGTTGGGCTGTGCTGGGCCAGTTTGCTGGTCTGTACATGGCTGGGTAGAGCACGTTTTCCACGAGAGCCGAGTAGGTCACTAGCGATGGACCGCCTGGTTGGGTATATGCGGATTGAGGGCGGGCTTGGAGAGAGGCGAGGAGTCGCGTCATGCGTTGTTCTAGATGTTCTAGCGTGACGGGACCGTTGTGGCCGGGTCTGGGTTTTGCTAATGCGCACGCGTCTGGTCCAGCCTTGATACACTCGCCCAGGAACCCGTCGCGCCATGCATCAGTCGTATTGTCGAGAGACGTCCATCCGAAGCCGCCTAGGAGCCGGTGATCACGGACGTACTCCGTCCCATCGAGGATCAAACGACCCGCTCGGTTGGGAAACATATTAACATACGTCTGGCCGATGCCGGTCCCATAGCTGACAAAGTACCCTGTAACTTCGTCTTCGCCCAGCGCTTTCCGGATCTCATCAAGATCGCGAGCCACAAATGCCGTGCTGACGAAGCGCCCGAAATCGCCCAGGCGTTGCTGGCAGGCAAAGAACGTGGCGTTGTTCATGGCGTCCATCATCTCCAGTTGCGCTGGCGGAGCCTCTTCGCGATACCGCAGTGCGAGAAGGGACCAGCGGTCTCGGTGCGCGTCTTGGGGGTAGCATGACGCAGAGGGGAGGGAGATGTTGACTCCCCGTGGATCCCAGCCTAGTACATCGAGTTGTCCCTCGCTGAAGCGGTTGGTCATTTCCTCCGCAGTCTCCCAGAGGTAAGATGTTCCACTTCCGCCCGGACCGCCGGGCTCGATGATGAGTGTGCGCTTACTCTTGTAGCTGTTGAGGCTACTAGAGCTGTCCGGGGAAGTATCAGAGCCGTTCTTGAGAGGTAGGCCCGCGACCTGGAATTTGGTCACTGCAATGCGGACTATACGAGTATCCGACCGGTTATGGTAGTCTAGCGGGAGATCTAGATATCCACACAGGTAGATGCCCCGACCATTGCTACCCCAGCTCCAATGGCTGGGATTTGGATCGAACAGCGCGGCCCATGAATCTTGCGGTGCTGGATCGTCCAGCGGCGGTGGGCGACTAGCATTGGTGCAGGGTAGAAAATGGAACGGGTCGTTCTCTTGCGGGAATGATCCATAGGGCGAATCATGTACTTGAGTCTGAGAGCAATGCTGGTTGTGGGTGTGCTTGTCTGGAAAGAACCAGCGGTGCTGGGTGGGCAACCCACGGAAACCGGTCAGGCACAGGGTTCCCAGGCCTACTACCGACCAGAAAGCGGTTGCCCGTGACCATTTTCGAGGTCGGCTGTTAGTATGGGAGAGTTGTTGCCCCATCACTGGGTATTTTAGGGAGTCAGCCATGGGAGAACAAGGCTGTGGCTAATCCTGAGAATCCCAAGGATGGAAGCTTTTTGACGTTGCAGAGGACGGCGTTAAGGTACGCAAGGCTGGCGCTATCTTGCAGGGATTAGGCGCCAGAGGTAACATGATAGTTAAGATCGATAAGAGAGAGTCATACACGACAGGCATTGTGTAGAATATAGTAATTCTAAGTTTGTCAAATTTTGGGAATCGCTCTTCGAGATCAGAATCTTAGTTTGACCATTTCATACTTCAGCAGTGTCTACCCAAACGAGAGCTCCCCAAAAAAGCCAAAGCCTCGGCTCAAACGCCCTCCCGTTAAAATGGTAGGCGGTATATCTGGCGGTAACACAAAATGCCGGATATTTTATCATGTCCCGCTACTATTTTCATAGACTTTCATCTATTTACAACAAAGCATCCCAAAACCTCGAAAATCGGCATTAGCCGAGGAGAAGACGCGATCAATGAACGTTTTCGCTTTCGGCTCAAATGGCTCTGGCCAGCTAGCCCTCGGTCACACTGAAGATGTTTCCACACCAACACAATGCCTCTTCGATGAAGCCCCAGCCACAAACGATAATATCGTCCACATCGCCGCCGGTGGAAACCACACTCTCCTACTGACAGAGCGCGGGTGTGTGTATGCAGCAGGCTGCAACACAGATGCTCGATGTGGTCCCCGTATATCTGATTTAACAGAAGAGAATCTGCTCAGCTTCAGACGGGTCATTCTGACTGATGCTGCAACGAGATCGCGCGTCGATACCTTCAAGTGTGTATCTGCGACGTGGGAAGGGAGTATATTAGTGGCCAGCGTGCGGAAACTGGGTGATTTAGGTGGAAACGAGGATAAGGTGTTTATTATGGGGTCGAGTCCAAAGGGCGAGTTGGGATTGCAGTTGCAGGCTATCTCTACTCCCGGTGGCAATATGGTCCAGCCTGGAATGACGGTTCCGGACTTTCCGCCGCAAGGTATAAACATAATTGCGCTGGCTAGTGGAATGGGTCATACGCTCGCTGTCCTGTCAAATGGTGACGTCTACGGCTGGGGCGGTTCGAGGAAGGGGCAATTAGGCGAGTCGCTCAAGGAACAAAAGATTGTCTGGACTCCGGCGAAGCTCGAGGGAATTCCTTTCGTAGCACGGAGTGCGGTGTGTGGACGTGAGTTTAGTGTAGTGTGTGGAGATCGTCGAAGAGGCGAGTTTGTTATCCTCGGAGACAAGGGCAATCGATGGGGTGTCTTGGATGTCCCAACATGTCTACGGGATACGAGTTTGGGTGGAGATGAAAGGATAAAGGGATTCTTGGATATTGGAGCAAGCTGGCATGGTGTTTATATACATGCTGTCTCTCAAAACTCCTCTGCTGAGCCCACTTCTGCCCCTATTGCCTGGGGTCGCAATGACCGTGGCCAACTCCCACCTGACAATTTGCCATCGCCAGTCAAAATGGCAATTGGAAGCGAGCATGCGCTAGTGCTGATGCGTGATGGTGCGGTAGCCGCCTTCGGATGGGGTGAGCATGGAAATTGCGGGCCTGATACTGATGAGCGCGGGAATGTCGCTGGGCGGTACAGTTTGATCCCACTGGACGCTGTGCTGGCTGACGGCGGGCGAGTTATAGGCCTCGGCGCTGGGTGTGCGACAAGTTGGATTGTTTCAGAGTGACCGACCAGCGAGCCTCATGCCAGTCTTCAAGCTGAAACGCACCTCACGCCTAGATGGACATGAGAACATGATCCAATACGGCTCAGGAAAAGTCTCAGTCGAAGAGGCCAAATCCGCGGACCTAGCAATGTCAGTCTTGGTCCCCAAAACAAGGTCAGCGCATAGCAAGAACATACCTGTGAGATCCGCTGCGTCGGTGGGATCCCCATCTCGTCCTTCGCGTCGTGGTTATTCTTGCTTCCCGTCCTCGAGAAATCAGGCTCCTCATCTCTAAGAGTAGCCTCAAATGCGTCCGGCCGCCCACTCGCATCCCACCCCAAGATATCTTGCGGCTCCTCTTCCTCCTCATTCATCTCGTCCCACTGGCGATCATCATCCGCAGGTACAAACAAGCTGTCATACTCAATCGAAAGTGCGGACGCACTCGGTCTCTCACTCGCAGTCGACCGCGACAGATGCTCCTGCGTTGATGTCCCGTTCAGAGGCTTGATCGACCGCGCCCGTGGCGGAGGCGGGGGCATTTGTTCATTCTGGGTGGCTTCGCGAGGCGTCTCATTTCGGCGTACTGAGATTGGCACCGCGGGCGTTTGCCGCTGTGAGAGCTCTCGGATCGCCGCACGTGAGGAGGTCGGTGCTGCCTCACCGTCGATCTCGCCTCGGGTCATGATGGTGAATTCGGCGGATACACCTTCGAACTCGTATGCTAGTTGTAGCGGTTTGCAGGGACGGGTATAGCGGGCCGTGATTGTTGCATTCGCGGTCTCGGCGTGGGAAACGGCGGCTTTGAAGTCTTTGAGGTTCATGGCGATATGCATGTTGTCTTCGACTTGGAATTCTTCGAAGTCGCGCTTGTCAGTGGCCACAGAGGTATGCACGGGGTATTTGAGAACCTCTGTTCTGAGTCAGTATCTTCACGAGAACTTCAGTCGTTGATGAAAGATAGATTGGGGTTCATTTTACCTTTTCCGTCCATAATCTTTGTCGTAAAACTGGTAAACACTGCCTTGCCCGAGTCAGAGTACATATCAAGCTGCTCCGCAGACAAGCTGAAATGCTCAATGACCTGTTTTAGGAATCGAGGGTCCGCAGTCCACTGATTAGTAGCTCTGTTCCTGTCAAAGACGGCGTGTTGAATTGACGCAGGCTCGTACGTGAGCTTGTATGATTTAATCACGCCTAAAAAGCCGATTAGACCGAGAAAGGAAACTCAAATATGGAACTAAGGGGACAAACCTAGTCCACAGATCATCTTGACTGTCAGTCGACACTCCGTCTGCTCTGGATCTTCATGAAGCTCCATATCACACCGCTCAACCGCCGTGTCCTTGTTACGGTCGACTCTTCCACGGAAGATAGACAAGAGTGCCTACCAGAGACTCAGATATGGATTCAACAGTATCAAAGTGCCAATAATACTCACCTTGATAAGGATCTGACAATAGAACCGGTCCCCTCCATTACCGGCTATACTCCGCCGTACCTCAAACGAGTACGCCTCGAAAAATACCTCCCTCTCACACGCAAACGACGCAAATGCTGTCTTTGTGGAGTTCAGCGCACTCAATCGAAGCTGAATTCATATGATGAGCGAGATAATTTCGAATTCCATTCCGAAGCTGATGCTTACCAGATCATGCTCTGCTTCAATGGCGACTGTGTCGCTGAATTTGGCCAGGCATATGAGCACATCATGAAGCCGTACAATTGCCGGCGGAGCTAGCGAGAGGGAAATTGTCGTCATTGACACGTCAAACTTGAGATGAGACGCGGCGTAGTGACAGTACAATCGAGTAGTGAGAGATACCGTCTTTTGATGGTGAAGCGTGACCTCGAGAACGTGACGCGCCAAATCTGGATTACATAAGCAGTGTCAATTTCACCCTTTTGGGAAGGATGTATTTAGTTTGTAATATTGGGACCTGTGATTTACTAGATGTGGTTAGTTTTGCCGTTCCCGGCCTAGCGCCCTAATACACCGTCTTGTCACCTCTCCCCTCCGTCGCCTCGACATAAAAGACCGACCTCGCTCTTTCGACCTTTTTTCTCCTTCTTCCCCTCCCTTCAACTCCTCTACCTTGCACTCATCGCCGCCCCTTTCTTTCACTCTGGCCCCCACCAACCACTGCGCCGTGGCTTTCAGCCCGACGCACTGCCCCCTTTCATTTTACCGGAGATGCCGCTCGATCCGACGCCCAGCTCGTTCTGGCTCCTTGAGCTGGAATGGCATTCGCACAGGAGCAGAACCACTGGGATGATCCAGCCCGCAGCCGCACCATGTGATTTCGTATCAATACTCTTACTCCTCCCCTAAGCGAGTGATTGTGCATCATACTGCGAAGCTATCTAGGTTTCCCTCTGCGTGTGCGCCTTGCTCGTCTCTGATTCCGCCAGCCTTCTTCACGTCTGCAAAGTGCTGGCATACCCTTGAGGCCGCATGCCCCGCTCTGTCCGCCCCATCTGAGGTTACACTGCACCGCCCCGGGATCACGGAATTGCTCTCGGTTGCCTGACCACGAATGCCTTCGCGCCGAGGTTGTCGTCATCCTCGGTCTCTCCGGTTCATCTACACCCAGTCGATGAATATTCGAAAGCACAGCCCGGTGATATGGGCCAATAGCAAAAATACCGCACACGCCCCTGACCTTGGTCGATGCTGCGTCATGCGGCTAATTCTAGACTGCGACTGCGAAAACTATACTATGATCATACTGTGACCTCGCTAATGGAGAAACGGCCAAGGACAGGCTAATGAGTTGTATGGGCATGCATCGCAAAGGTGTTAGTGAGGCGTGGGGGGAATTGTCGCCAGTGAACCATAGCCCGTGGTTGTGGGCTATGAAACTGGCATGGTCTCGCGTCCATGGATGTAATCGCCTAGATATTGCAGGATCTGGTCGAGATAGTCTGCACTTGGAACACAATCGCCCGTGTATAGCGGGGCTTCAACTCTGCCTTGGGGCGTATCTGTATCGTTTCGGAACCGAGGAAGACCGGATACATGAACACCAGACTGTCTCAGCCGCTATTCGTGTTAGCTAGTTGGTGATTGATAACGAGAGTTGACGAGGAGATAACAGTAACACTCCGTCATTTCACGATGATCGCAAGACTTCACGGCGCCTATATCGAAACTCGGGAACGATCTCTGAACCTGACCTGAAGGTATCCCCGGGCGACCGCGTTAGAACGCGTGCCAGCATCCTATTTTTTCGACCTACTCAGATATTCCTGCCGTCGTTCGCATTCCGGAGCTTTCACAGCCACTTTCGCCGCGTGCGCATCGTCGCCGAAACCCCGTTGCCTTCATGATCGATTGGCAGAGAGGTTGAGATGGACGGATAAGAAAACAGGGCTGTACCCCTGCAGTAGGAGGGATACTGACTCGAGAAGATGAGGAAGCCTTTGTCTACCTGTTGGTGCGCCCTGCCGTTTCGTCTTCGGCCCTGTGCCATGGAACGACTGGCAAACAGAGCTCAATCGACCTGGTGGTGACAACTGGGTGCAGACGATGCGCAGACAGGTCGTTCCCTAGAAATAGCAACAGCACTTTGCGGTGTGGCTATTGGATCAAGTGGATGAGCGGGCGACTCATTCGTGCAGTAGTACCGTACACGGTGCATCAGTCTCAGAATCGATTGGCAGGCAGGTCTCGTCTGGATGCCATCGTGCCGGAGCAGCTTGAGGCACCTCTAAGCGAGTCCATCTTAGCTTAGAAGTTGAACAAGGCGTGATCGGTCTGACGAGAGGTATAAAGCCATCTATCTCGCACGCCGTCTTCGTGAAAAAAATCCAATTTGGTCATTTTATCTCAACCAAGTGCTCAGTTTTCCCTACGTCATCCAAACGTAGTTGTTTCCATCTTCTACTAGTTCAATTCACTATGACCTCTTGTGCAGAAAAAGCACACGGGACCTTGTGTAAGGGATCTTCTACAAGCATAATTGATTTCACTAACTTGATATTGTGAAGCTTCAATCCCTACTGGGTTATGTGAATAGCCTGAAGTGGTCGTACGCGATTCCATCGTTTCCCCCGAGTTAGGCACGCAGGCCAATCCTATTGTCATTAGCGATGATCTTGCTCCATTGGGCTCGGCTTCTAATCCCATCGTGATCTATGTTGGCGAGGGTTCGTGCCGTAATAGGACAGACTAGTTTGGTTCTGATGCCGATACTGAGATCATGACTATACCGGAATTCTGGGAGACGTTGATCGGTGGAGACTTTACCGTCCCTGTAGACGAAGGTAAAGCTATTGTCTATACGCCAATCAGATCGCCAGTCCGTGAGGATATAGAAGACCTTCAATTATCCGAGTAATCATCCCCGGACTGTTTTCTCTTGGATAATAAAGCACTGAAAGTGACCGAGAGTTCGTTCTACCGGCTGCAGAATTATTCTAGTCTTAAGGCTCTAAGCAGCGAGAATACCGGAAATAGCTATAAAGGTACGCTTAGCGGATAACTATTTTCGATGTTATACTAACAATTTCTAGAAAGCGAGCCAAGTATAGAGAAAGGAAAGGTTTTTGAGGCCAAGGAAGCTCGTAGTGCGCCCGAAATCTCTTCGATAACCCGTGACGCCGTTCTACAAGAAACGATAGACTAAACCGATACTTCCCTTAGAAATAACCTATTATATGACTCCTATAATATACGATTAACGAAACGCAGATTATCGTATAGCGGAGGCGTCTCTTCTAAGCTTAGACGATTAGCGCGATTGACTAAAAGAGCTAGAACTTGATAGTGATGGTTCCTTTTATCGTGTATTTATTCTTTCTAAATCATTAAGTATCTTCCTATTCTTAATAACCGCTTCTTCCGCCGTCCCTCTATCGTCTATAGAGTAAAATATTTTCTATATTAATTGATAATCGCTAACCATGCAAACTAGACACTATTTTATGCTAAAATCTAGACGTCTAATAAGTCGGTAACACAATTTGCAAATTGCTAAACGGACCTACGGGTGTCCAAGCTTGAAGGTCAAAACTAAGCGTTATAAACTTGCATTATAGAGGACCTTAGACAATCAATTGGATAGTTCTAGTCTCTAAATACAGCCCCTAGTGTGAGGTATAAGCTAAACTTATGGAAAGAAGTATCGATCCCGGGAGTAGATCACGTTCTCTCAATCCCGCTTGTGAGCTCTTCAGGATATATACCCAGGATGCATAGCTCCTAGTCATGGATATTTCACAGCCTTATTCTTTTATGCGTTTATATATCCTTATTGTTAAGCGTGTTCGTGCGAAAGTAATATACCCATGTTGTTCTAAGGAGCCTGAAGAAGGCAAGATGAAATGGCCATCTTTCTTAGGCTTGTTATAGCGATTTAGATCTATGTAGTATGTGAGTAACTTACAACAATGGTTTAGTGAAGATATCTACCGTTACAATTTGAGTCTGCAGGTTGGTTTATACGCAGGCAAGTATCGTCAAGCCTAACGAAATAGCAAATAATCCTATAGAGCCAATAGACGCCATCCATAAGGCCCGTTAGTGCCTAGTAGTAGCAGGGCACGGATAGTGCTAAAATGATTTAAATGTACTTGTATCCATACGCTATAGCCTCATGTATATAACCCACGCCCTAATAATTTGGGCATAAATGAAGCTAAGGCCAGCAAAAGCGATAATGATAAATGAAGAAAACAAAATGCTACGCTACTCCTGCATCTTTCAGTTAATAAAGTATATATAACATATAGAGAACAGTTAAAACGCACCGGAAAAGAGACGGAAAGTAATAGAATGGTGACCGCACCCAAGTATAATAAGGCAGATATCATATAGGCTATCCAGTGCTATAGAGTAGAAACACATAGATACTAGCAGACGTTAGTATCGCTCTCCTTCTATTTCATTACCCTTACCTCGTTTAAAATAACCAAAATAAGCATACTGCTTATTTCCAGCTACAGTATCAGCCAAGGCAGATCTGATATATTGTTAGGGAGGAAGCTAAATTGGCCAAAGGGGCAACCTACTGGTCTTTAGGTTTGCTCTTAAAATTGATAGTAGAACGGAGATTATTGGTCCCAGGAAGACGAAAGCACCTATGGCAGCTTGAGCGGCGATGAGTAGTTCATTCTTTAGTCTTTGCCAGCTCATAGCCTTGATCGAAATGAGCCAGAGGGCAAGACTTGATCCGTAGCAAATTGATGCTATCGTCGACGCAGTCAGTTGGAATAACAGCTTGGAATCTATTGGAGTTTTTTACTCAATCAGGGGCGGTACGTGTCCATTTTAAATATATATGAGATGTTCTTTCCAAAATCTGGCTTGAAGGACTCTTCTATAATGTTCGGCACAGAGCAGCTGCCTTGGCAATGCTTCTCTAACTGATCGAGGAGTAGGTCACTAAGTTACGCCCTTCAGCGGGACGGATATTACCTTTTCTTCCCAATAATCCACTTAACCTTATCACAGGGTGTGCTACTAAGCCAAACACATCGCTATGACGCCTGAAGACTAAAAGAATGGCGGCTGTTTTGATCTTGTCTTGCGGTAGAGCCTTTGAAAAAACCGTAGTGGAGGTGGCACAAGCTTAGATGCCTGATGCGAGGATCGACAGATGGAAGAAACGGAGGAAGAAATGGAGGAAGAAATGGAGGAAGAAATGGAGGAAGAAATGGAGGAAGAAATGGAGGAAGAAATGGAGGAAGAAATGGAGGAAGAAATGGAGGAAGAAATGGAGGAAGAAATGGAGGAAGAAATGGAGGAAGAAATGGAGGAAGAAATGGAGGAAGAAATGGAGGAAGAAATGGAGGAGGAAATGGAGGAGGCGGCTTTGTTCCTGATGTACACTTGCCTTGTATAACTATTATCACAACACACAGCGCTAGCTCTACCAGTTCCAAGAACGTGTAAGTCGACTCTAGGAGCTATGTTGCTCCTGGAACCTCTAGTACAGTTCCCAGGGCCAGCAACATGCCCTCCTGGGAGCGAGTGGAGTGTCTGGGATTGGTATTGATTAATGGTGGGTCCCAATAAACATCTGAGGGTTCAAGGTTTCCATGTCTCCTTTTCCTGCGGTCCCCTGAGCCCCCATTTTAAAACGAACAACTGCTACGAGGCACAGAACAGTTGGGATATGCTGACTATTCAGAGCGATCCTAATTTGAGCTTCACTTTCCCACCCGACCCATCTCTAAAGCACGTTGGGGAAAGAGCCAGAGCAATGACGTCACTCAGCCTTATTGGCGGTGATCAGTGGGGCCCAGTGGAGATTCGGGACTCCACTCAGCTTCGTTTCTCAGGTATCGGCAGGAACCGGTATGAGCCACGGATGTTGTTCGCAGTCGCCTGAGGAATCGGACGGATTCCGGTAAAAGCCAGCCCTATGAGCGTTGTTGCTATAATACAAATGGATCTGTCCAAGTCGACACGTTAGCTTAGGACATCGGTGGCAAGCCCTGGCTTGGTGGCGGATCCAGTCGGCTTATGTCAGCTAATCCCGGGCCCCGGCTGGGGTATTTTTCCGAAAATGATATAGCTGCATTTGCCTCTCCTCAAAGAACTGTAGTATATTCATCTTTCGGCTCGTGATTTGCCATCAATTCGTCTTCGGTCGGCTTTCTTGCCCACACACGGCGACTGAGTTTGTTAGCACATAGCACAACCCGAGAAGAGACCAACTAAACCCAGTACATGATTATTAAAACTGGTGACACCCGCTGTCGCACGCTGTGGCCCTGAAACGAAATCAACTGAAGTGCCTGGCTTATATTAGGACCTTGCCTGAAATATCAGAAGATTTGCATTTAACGCAATGCTTTAACTGACGATAATGAGATATGCCCATTACGTTGATACGACTCCAATGACAGAAAAGAAAAGAAACCACCCGTGCAAACCCGTAAAGTTTCAATAACTTGCGAAACTTGTGGTGGCATTGAGTATAAAGCCTAGATACTCACCAACATGAGTGTAAACTTCAATGCCATCTGTCGCGCCGCAACCAGGGCCAGTCCCATAACTGACTAATCCAGCCAAGAGAAGTTCCCCCTCCTTATTAATCACAACGCTGGAGCCATCGTCACCATGACAGGTAGCTGTTCCAGGAGTGAGGTTGTTATCGGTGCAAATCTGTGGCCCCTCGCTACTTTCATAGTCAGGAAGCACAGTACGACAACGGTTTTGAGAGCCAACATCACGCTCTGAATACCGGAGGACATCCGATGTGCTGTCCACAGTATCATCCAATGTTGCACCCCATCCAAGCGCTGTAAGGCGTGTTCGTTCAGGAATATCTCCAGGATAAATTGGGATAGCGCTGATGAAATATGGGGCACCGCCGAAAGCGAGACTTCCACTCTCGAGAAATTGTGTCAAATCAGGAACCTTGAGGACGGCAATGTCATTGGCCAGATCCGACGTCCTATAATCAGGATGAAGGATGACAGATTCAACCTTCAATTGCACTTGATTACTCCGTCTGACATGACCAACGCCCACCAGTATTTCTGACGGATCATATAGAGACCCACTTTCTGTGTCCAATACACAATGGGCCGCAGTGACTACCTCGTTGGAGCCGATGATGGCGCCGCCGCACAGGGACATCATGGCAAGGGAGTCGACCATCACAGATGCGGCAAACGGATATTCATTTTCCTTTGCCGCATTTCCATTCATGATGCGTTTGTTGAGAGGGGAGTCCCTTTGTGATAGTCCGCATGCCTGGTGGCTGAGGAAAGGAACTAACACCGCAACAGCTGCAAAAGAGAGAAGATTCATAGCAGGCGCGGTTAAGAAAAGAGTAGGTGCAGCCAGAATTAGGTAAATAATGAAATAGTTGATAGGTTATGGGGCCTTCACAAGGGCCAAAGGTGGCTTTTAATACAGCTCAACAAGTATCCACTCCTCAAGCGAAGAATTTTCAGCTCCTCTTCATCTCAACAGAAAGCTCTGAGCTACAGCTGCGATATTGCTAAATGAGGTTAGAGCTACCCGACGTAAAGATGATCAGGAACTGAAGCACGGGAAATGAAAATCGAAAATAATTAGTGAGATTACTTGATCTACAGATCTATTGAACGATCGGAACTTAGGATCCACTCACTAAACGCTACCTCGGAGGCCTGTATGATCTTTCCCTATTTGGGATAGCGAAATCTTGAGCTAATATTGTAAGGTCCCTACTCCGAGCACGACCGAGCAATGAGCCCCACTTGTATCTCTTAGGAAAATACCATCGGATTAACCTACATGTGTGATACTGGTCGGATCGGCAATTTCAAACCGCGCGCATTTGTGATCAAACAACAAGCCCTTCATTTCTATTACAAATTCGTCTTCTGTCGCCACGCCTTCCTCAAAATAACGATCGACGTCTAAGCGCTGATTTACTTGAGGTAGGACTTCAACAGAATGTGAGCTTTAAATTCCTGTCGTTTGTGCAATGATTCGTCGTCGTCATTGATATATCTGGGACATACTCGAATGGGAAGCTAGAGACATTGATGGAAGGCTATAGGGATCGTCTGTTTGAAAGTTCAATTTATCTAAACTATTGAACTCTATTAGTTATCGGTAGAAATTAGGTGAATTATTATTCTCTCGAAAAGGAAAATCTTGGCATATTTATGCAATTTAGGTTCTATCCGGTTTGAACCTCATCTGGACCATTTCGAGATCTATCGGTGAGAAAAGCTAATTAGGCCCCACATGTGGGCCTCTTATTAGCTTTATAAAGAGCTTGTTGTGCGGCAACATTGTTGCTCTTAACACTTCCAAAATTTCGTGGCTTTTCGATACTTTGTTTATATCAAATTTAATCACTTTACTTTGACCTGGCACGATGAAGTTGACGATCATCCTCGCGGCTTGCTCTATAGGCCTAGTATTAGGCGGCCCGATCAGAGAACCGGATGCGAACAACCCAGCCCCGAACTGTCATAACCGAGACGACGCGCGGAGAGATGCACGCAATGCGGGATGTGATAATGTCGACCCTAATTCCCACGCTGGAACTTTTTGCAACGTTTTTGGATGCAATTGCGAGTGGGGATGTACCAAAACCGTTGACGGGTTTTTAAAGGCCTGGGAACAAGGTCGATGCCCGGCAGTACTAGGTGTGAGTAGATACCTAGCAAATCACCACGAGACGGAGTATAAGTAAATTCTAACATAAGGCAACTTAGAGCGACGAGTGCTAGAACCAAAATGAGACACTCTATTTAACATAGTCTATTCGGAGATCCTCCGAGTCCCGAGTAGTCTGCTTTGAAATCAAAACGAGGGGCATGCATAAGAAAGATCCAGCTGAATGCAAGAGGGATTCAGCTGATGTGATATCAGAGAGGGACATGCAGTTGGTGTGACACAAGGAAGACCTCTATGCAGCTGTGGACTCACTCCGCCTCACTGCCGATTACTCGGCGATAAGGTGTCGATCCGCCAGAGGGACGCTGTCAGTTGGGAACAGCGTTATGAAAGAAAATGTCGTAACACTAGGCGATCTCCTCCATGGCTCTATTAAGACCTTTCTGGTGCATGCGGCTTGGGATGTAATAGAGGAAACGAAAGGTTGAGATCTTCAGATCTTCAAGATCATCGCAACTGGCCACCTACACCGAATACAGTATGAGATAATACATTAATGGTAGCTTTGTCGGTGCTTTTCCCCTCCTACCCGCCCCGCGGGCAAAGCGAGCTAGAACTCGATTATGACCCACCAAAGAATCAATAGTTCAGCTGTGACTAGGTGTTGTGGTGTCGACTTGCAGGGTAGAAGGCCTGTCAATCAGGTAACAAGTCAAATTGTGACAAGACTGTTTCTTCTGGGCCCCTCAAGAACCCATCACGGAACATTCTATTTATCAACCAGTCTCCCAATGGATCCCTCTGTGTCCCCCATCATATTGCTTTCAAGTCAAATACGAGGACAACTGATCACATGCGGGGATAACGCAAAGGGGAACACATCTTGTGTAACATGAGAGAGGGGGCCACGAGGTTGTGCAGCCACGCACACCTCACCGCTGATCGTCGGGCGGAGGGATACCGATCCATCAGAGCATGTCGGTTGGGAATAACCTCATGAAAGAAAAGACTCTAACACTAGGCCTCTTGCATCATAGCAATCAAGGATCGGCCGTTGATCGGCCGGTTTTGACAACCTCCCAGCCATGTATTGGTCTGATTGGGAGAAGTCTTTTTTTTCCCTTTGCGAAAATCGAAAACCACAACAAACCGCCCAGTGGTGGCATATATAAAAAGGAAGAGTGTATGCCGCCTGACCGCACCCTCACTAGACCCTCCTATACACTTGCAAAGACAAAGCGGTCAATCTATTCTCGTTTGCAGTCAAGATGCAACTAATTTATTTCCTCTCTGCATTCCTCGTCAACACGGTGATGGCGTTGCCGGTCGATGAGCGCCGGTCCGAAGTGTTGACTGAGCGTCAGGTAAAAATAACCCCTGTCTTTTGCAAGGCAAGGAGCTAACGAAATGGCGATCGATAGTTTGTAAGTGATAGCTCCCATCGCTGAAGAATTATAACTATGTGACCAGGGTTAACGGATGGCGATCGATAGGGTGTAAGTGATGGTTCCCCTCGCGAAAGAATAAATAACTTTGACTAGGGCTGACGGATAGCGATCGATAGAGCGTAAGTGATGGTTCCCCCCGCTGAAGAATGATAACCATGTGACCAGGGCTGACGGTTGGCGATCGATAGGAGGTAAGTGATGGTTCCCCCCGCTGAAGAATGATAACCATGTGACTAGGGCTGACGGATAGCGATCGATAGAATGTAAGTGATGGTTCCCCTCGCCGACGAACAATAACTGTGGCTAGGGCTGATAGATAGTGATCGATAGTTTGTAAGTGATGATTCCCCTCACTAAAGAATAATAACCATGTGACTAGGGCTGATGGATAGCGATCGATAGGTTGTAAGTGATGGTTCCCCTCGCTGAAGAATAATAACTGTGACTAGGGCTAACGGATAGCGATTAATAGGATGTAAGTGATGGTTCCACTCGCTGAAGAATAATAACTGTGACTAGGGCTGACGGATGGCGATCGATAGACTGTAAGTGATGATTCCCCTCGCTGAAGAATAATAACTATATGACTAGGGCTGACGGATGGCGATCGATAGGTTGTAAGTGATGGTTCCCCTCGCTGAAGAATGATAACTGTGTAACCAGGGCTAACGGACAGCGATTAATAGGATGTAAGTAACGGTTCCCCTCGCTGAAGAATGATAACCATGTAACTAGGGCTAACGGATGGCGATCGATAGGGTGTAAGTGATTGATCCCCTAGCTAAAGAATAATAATCACGTGACTAGGGCTGATAGATAGCGATCGACAGGTTGTAAGTGATGGATCCCCTGGCTGAAGCATAATAACTATGTGACTAGGGCTGACGGATGGCGATCGACAGACTGTAAGTGGTAGTTCCCCTGGCTGAAGCATGATAACCATATGACTAGGGCTGACGGATGGCGATCGACAGACTGTAAGTGGTAGTTCCCCTTACTGAAGCATGATAACCATGTGACTAGGGCTGACGGATAGCGATCGATAGGGTGTAAGTGATGGCTCCCCTCACTGAAGAATGATAACGATGTGACTACGGCTGACGGATAGCGATCGATAGGTTGTAAGTGATGGTTCCCCTCGCTGAAGAATAGTAACCATGTGACTAGAGCTGATAGATAGCGATCGACAGGTTGTAAGTGATGGTTGACCTCGCTGAAGAATAGTAACCATGTGACTAGGGCTAACGGATGGCGACCGATAGGTTGTAAGTGATGATTCCCCTCGCTGAAGAATGATAACCATGTGACTAGGGCTAACATGGCGATCGATAGGGTGTAAGTGATGGTTCCCCTCGCTGAAGAATGATAACCATGTCACTAGGGCTGAAGGATGGCGATCGATAGGGTGTAAGTGATTGTTCCCTTCGCTGAAGAATGATAACCATGTCACTAGGGCTGAAGGATGGCGATCGATAGGGTGTAAGTGATTGTTCCCTTCGCTGAAGAATGATGACCATGTGACCAGGGCTGACGGATAGCGATCGATAGGTTGTAAGTGATGGCTCCCCTCGCTGAAGAATGATGACCATGTGACCAGGGCTGACGGATAGCGATCGATAGCCTGTAAGTGATGGTTCCTCTCGCTAAAGAATAAATGACTGTGACTAGGGCTGATAGATAGCGATCGATAGGTTGTAAGTGATGGTTCCCCTCGCTGAAGAATGATTACTATATGACCAGGGCTAACGGATGGCGGTTGATAGGTTGTAAGTGATGGTTCCCCTCGCTGAAGAATGATAACGATGTGACCAGGGCTAATGGATGGCGATCGATAGGAAGTAAGTGATGATTCCTCTCACTAAAGAATAATAACCATGTGACTAGGGCTGACGGATAGCGATCGATAGACTGTAAGTGATGATTCCCCTCGCTGACGAATAATAACCATGTGACTAGGGCTGACGGATAGCGATCGATAGTTTGTAAGTGATGGTTGACCTCGTTGAAGAATAATAACGATGTGACCAGGGCTAATGGATGGCGATCGATAGGAAGTAAGTGATGATTCCTCTCACTAAAGAATAATAACTATGTGACTAGGGCTGACGGATAGCGATCGATAGACTGTAAGTGATGATTCCCCTCGCTGACGAATAATAACTATGTGACTAGGGCTGACGGATAGCGATCGATAGGGTGTAAGTGATGGTTCCCCTCGTTGAAGAATAATAACTATGTGACTAGGGCTGACGGATAGCGATCAATAGCCTGTAAGTGATGATTCCCCTCACTAAAGAATAATAACTATGTGACTAGGGCTGATAAGTAGCGATCGACAGGTTGTAAGTGATGGTTGACCTCGCTGAAGAATAATAACTATATAACTAGGGCTGACGGATGGCGATCGATAGAGCGTAAGTGATGGTTCCCCTCGCTGAAGAATAATAACCATGTGACTAGGGCTGACGGATAGCGATCGATAGGATGTAAGTGATGGTTCCACTCGCTGAAGAACAATAACCAGGGCTGACAAATATCGATCAATAGGAAGTAAGTGACGGTTCCCCCCGCTGAAGAATAATAACCATATGACTAGGGCTGACGGTTAGCGATCAATAGGATGTAAGTGATCTTCAAGCACACCTACTGAATGGTTAGCACGGCTAGAGCTTACAATCCACCAGAAAATTGCAAAGTATCTATCGACGCTTCTTTCTGGTCATTCTTGATTGGGATCATCTTAATTGCTATCACCTTTGAACCGAGAGCGTCTTTCCTCGTTCAGCCTTGATGTGGGTTTTCTCCTATAGTTTCAGGTTTCCCTACATTTATCTGCAAATGCAAAGGCCGTATTATCGTTAATCTTTGGAAATCAATTGATATCAGACCGCGAGTCTGAGACAGAGTCCACCGTACTCCCTTGATGTAAGCGAGCACACGAGCGGCAGCCGACAGCAAGTATAGCTGTGCAGACAGAAGAGTGTGGGGAAGGAGTTGTGGAGTGGAGTTGGCCCTGGGTGACGGAGGGGACGAGGGTGACGTTCGTTTGAGTTTCCTTTGTTTTTTGTGCTTACGTAACATACTATTCTCGAACGACCATTCAGGGGGTTTCCCCAGCGGTCCCTACGAAACGGTCGTTCAGTGGGCTGGCAACCACCTTGAAGCTGTCGGCAGGCCTGACAGCACTCCCGCATAGCAGCATATATTAGAGCGAGCTACATCGGGCAAATGAATTCATCATCAACTACAGCAATGATTTTAAAACCAGAGAAAATCCAATTTTGGCCACGCGGTCTCAGAAGTACTGTATGAACTCCCTACTCTAGTTTTTATACTCCTCTGGTTTTAATACCAATGGAATCACGTGTATCACGAAACCATGAGGATTGGTATGAAAACTAGAGTAGTAATAAAACCAGAGAGAATCCAATTTTGGCCAGTCATTTTTTTTTGGCTGCCAGTCAGAGTTCTATTTTTAACCAGCAGCGAGGACGTTGCATGACTAATTATCCGCCCATTTGGTTGAGATACTAACAGGGTTGATTGTCCAGTTAAATGTTATCTTATGTAACACGTTAGAGCCATGTCTAGATGTTCGGATCAACTATATCTCCGTCAGGTTGTCAGGCAGAGGATCAGGCCAATGCAATGCTTTGGTGTACAACTTTCACCACGAATGTTCATCTGTAGACGATCTCATCGTTCGGCTGTTCCGTCGAAGAGACTGGTTGGGGAGCGACGCCTCAAAATAGAACATACGCTGTTGCATAGCAGATAGGTGTACTGGAATGGCTATTCTTTTCTAGTGAGTTCAATTTTGAACGTTCAGAAACCGAAAATTGTCCATTTTTAATTCCCTTCATTGAAATCGATTTTTTGTCAAAGAACCTGGATTGAAAGAATTTACTGTAGTATATTCGAACTACTAGTTATAGTAACGTTAGTTACTCTAAAAGCTAAAAATAAAAACCTGTTTCTAGAGAAATTGCAATCAGATAATCTATAACGGTAGCCTGCCGAACTTCGATAATAACGCCGGGAGGCTCTGGATGTTGAGGCAACCTATCAGAACGCGGTAACATTTTGACCCCATAAATGTGGACGAGGCAGGATTTGAAGAATTCTCTACCTCACTGGGGCATTTCTCAAAGACATTCTTCCTTCCTATACGCCTTGATGAGGCAGCTAAACCCATTGGTGCTACTCGCGTTTCTTGCGTGATGGTCTGTGAAACTGAGTCAAGGAGCCTCAGCCGAGACCTACAAAATCGCCGTAGGTAGCACAGGGCCGTCCCGTCCGCTTTACCAAGTTATTATGCTATTATCTGCATCTAACGTGGCGGTGTTAATTTGGACCAGTGATATGATTGAGATTGGTTCTAACCCCGCACGACGATCTCGTGATTGATAGCCCGCAGATTTCTTGCATGAACGTGCAGGATAAAGTGACGTGGTGATGCATCAACCTATCAAGCTCTATAAAGCTAAGAGCCTAAAAACTTGCATTATGTATAGCATTTTTGGGAGATTTAGGATCATTGAATCTACCTATTCTGTGGCAAGATAAAAAGGTACCTGGTTCTAGGGGAGAGCTATATGGATCGGTTGAGAGATCTCTAGTTCCTTGGAATATTAAAGAGACACATTTTTTTCCAACTGAAATATTCCTTATTTGAACTTGCTCACTAAGAAAAGCCATGGAATCATTGAGTTCTGCTTCTTCGTGCGAAGACCGAACTATCCGCCGACAGGAGAAACACTTGGCCCGTCTCCCGAAGCCGTATACCCAAACAAACGTCTGCGTCACACATCTTACTATATTCACAAGCTTTTTTCATCAGATTGGATTTGCGACGGCCTTGTTTTTGGCGCCTTGCCTTATTTTGCGAGTAAAGTTTAGATCGGCAGGTGGTTGTAGCAGTCATTGGGAGTTAGTGGCCGATTGTATACCCGAGGTGCTAGCCAAGTCTAATGGTAATCTTACCGCGAGAAATAGACGAGAGCGTTCTCTTTAAGTCGTAACGTCGTTCTGGCTTGCATATAAAAACGAAAAAGAAAGAAAAAACCTCCTGAGACCATAATCACCGAGCTCGTAATCGCTTTGACCGACGTGGCATATGTTCGATAGTAGACGCTTTCATTTTGCCTGGTCGCCCTCTCCCCTTCTGCTCCCCGCCAGGCTGCTCCTCTAGGCGCCCACGTTTTCGAGAGGATCGCGTCGCATGCTGTGATGGAAGCTGAGGCCTAGGTTCCAGATTTGCCACCTTTGCTGCTCCCCTCGTCACTCGCCGCGTAGAAGTCTCCGTTAAGTTTGAATCGGTGCTAGACACTGGATCACCAGCAGAGGCGGGGATTTCAGCGCTTGGTGAGCAGGTTGAAGGCTCCATGACTGTCATAGTGTCGGTTTCCATCAGCCGAGGGTCGATATTTGCCATATCAAAATCGAGAGAGGAGGCGGGTGTTTCGGTGCCTTGCCGAGTCTCTGACTCCGTAGACGCGTCTCTGGAAGGAAAATCGCTCGGGCTAAGCAGTGGCACTCTGGGGAGATAACACAGTTTAATCTTGAGATCGTACTTGTGCTTATTGTTGGCGTGGGCCAGAAATTCGGTGATTTTGGCGAACTTAGGGAGGCTGCGACAAGCTTCCCAATTGCAACTGATCCCGTTATGCGCATGAACCAGATGGAAGTCGATAAGATGACGACGAAGAGAGTCCGGTCGCTTGGAAGGAAACCTGTGCGGAGGAGGGTTGGACGCTGAGCGACGAGATTCACTATAGCAAACAATGCAGACGTCTGTTGGGCATTCGAGATGGGTTTCCTCAGGAGATGAGGGTTCGTCTGGCTCATCAAGAGGGCTATCATTCTCATCAAACTTCCAGTTAATACGGTTGCCTCGCCTGCTGGGTTTACAGAGGCCTAGGAGCGCAACCATATCCTTGGTAACCTGGATACGCCGTGCGAGTAGCTTGGCCTCTTCAAATTTCTCTGCGTCGGGCCCGTAAAAATTCTCCACGAGCCGTGCCCGTTCGGAGAAAGTATATTCAGGTGTAGGCAACTCCCAGTCTTCATCGTCAGAACTGTCAGTACCGTCAGATTCTCCGAGAAGTTGTTTGATCTGTTTGTCGACTTCGAGTACAGGTGCGTTACGGAAATAGTCCTTTCTGGCTGCCTCTTGGGTATCGGTGGTCAAAGCTTTGCGAAGTTTGGACAGTTCTTTGTTGACAGCTTGATGTCTTTGATAAAGGTGTGGGAAGGACTTTTGAGCATTCTTAACGGTACCAGCAAGGGCTCGCATCTCTGCCATAAGCTCTCTCTTCTCTCGTCGGAGATGCAAAATCTCTGGGCTTTGGCAGATGGCACGCTTGTGTACATCAGTAAGGCCAGAAGTGGCTAATGGATCTCTTTTCCTAAGCATACTTCCAGCGACTCGTAAAAGGTTCTCCTGGGACGGTCGAAGGAGGACAACATGCTGAAGATCACGGGCGATGAACTGGGATTGGTAGTGCCTTTCAAAAACAGCATCGCCAGACTGTCCAAGTACCCGTTGCCGTTCCTGACTTGTGAAATGCTCTGCGAAGAATGTCAGACACAACTTGAGATAGGAGAGTGCAATCCAAAGCACGAGGCACTTGAGGGACATACTATTCACTTCATTTGCAGCCCAGCCCCGGTAGTTATAGTGTCCAATATCGTCTTCGAATTTGGCATCGCGTCCCAACTCTCGGAGCGCTTGTCGAGATGAGTTATAGGTCATTGGCAATGTCTTGTGTAGCTCGTAGCCGTAAGGAGTGCGCTCAAGGCGGCGAAGAAGGGGGATATCGAGGACCTCTGGCTTCCAGCGTAGGGGAAGAGACCCACTCCGTTTTGGAACTCGCAGCCGCCAGATGAGATCTGGTGTCAGCTTGTTTTCGAATGCACCGTCACGAAAGGCAAATGAGACAATTTGCGCAATGGGACAATATGCCAGTTGGTAATTTCCATGCATGAAAAACTTGGTTCTGGGACAAGATTTTAGCGACACATCGACTTTTCAAAATTCTGGTGAGCCTTACCCATCGGCACCTTCTGGCCGACCTTTGAGATTGCGAAACTCAATAACAGCGCACAGCACATCCCGATTACTTTCACGGTCTTTCAAATAGAAGAGCTCAATATCTCGGTAGCAAACAGAGTCTGGGAGTTCTTTCAAAGACTTGTACTTAGGAAGATCGCTTTGAAACACTGGGCCTTGGTTGCGTTTCTCCGAGGACGACTCTCCTGGCAGGGAGCTATTTTGTGGAAGCAGAACACCAGGACGGGTCCCGGTGATGGCGGACCAGAGTTGAACTGTGGCGAATTGGACGATCATACTTCCGTGTCGGAAAAATCTCGAATGAACCCAGTGATGACGATACGTCACACAGAAGACGTCCACGTCCAATGTGTTCTTTTGTTTCGTCCGTCGGGCAATCTTGCGTTCGGCCGGGAAAGCATTGTCCAGGAACTATTTGCCGTGTTAGCATCCAATCTGTAGATGGCAAAGAAACATCCGTACTCGTCGCATCTGTTCCCGTACCGCATCATTGACACGACGGCGGGCGAACAGACTGAAGTATTGACATAGGCGACGCCAGTATTCATCGTATGACTGGAGAACCTTCGTTCGCGAGGTTCTGAACATCCAGTCAAAGAAGTTCATGTAAATCGTCTGATCCTCCGAGAGTAGATATTCGACGTAGTCTTCTTCCGATTGAATGCAGAACCTGACAGCTTGCGTTATTTTCTAACCGATTCATCATAAACCAGGGCGGTACTCACTTTCGCCAGTAACGCTCAACAACAGCGATGCCTTCCAATGTCTTCGGTTTGAAATTGGGAGGGAGCCATCCTTGACTTCGAAAGTGTTCCAGTCTGGCTCGGGTTTCCTCACAGAGAATGGCATCTGTCCAATACTGATGCTCATCGGGCTGGACAGGAGGTACAGGCGTAGGTGTCATGAGCGCGGCCAGAGTTCAAGAGAAAAAAAAATCAGGATTCAAAGGCTGTAACCTAGGAAATAATCACGCTGTGGTCAACCTGGGGGGTTGGAGAACGAGAAGAGAGATGATGATGGTGGGAAGGCACCGAGAAGAAGGAGAAGAAGCATCTTATAAATCTGCGACCGGGCCAGGCGAAGGGTGGTCTGCTTGCTGCAAAGGGGAGCCATTTTTGGCGTCGTTCTGGTCGTGAGTGGAAACGCGGAGAACTTGTTGAGGTCCAGCATGAGGATCAAGCCAGGATGATGACTAACAGGGCTTGGCGGGTGCAGAATAGTGGTGGTCAAGAATAATGGGGCGGTCGAGCGGCGGCCTGCTGGTGGAAGTTACGGGTGGAAAGGCGGCCGTTTCTGGCGCCAGGGGCTGTCATTTTCGGCGGCGATTTCACAGGTCCTTATATTCTATGTGTAAATCTCATAGAATTTTGGAGTTGATTTTCGTATTTTTCTTTGCCCATCTAGAAAATCCTATGGATGATTTGCTATGATAGTTTGTCAATGTCTATATACAGGGCCGACATCCCCTTGCGCGATGCAAAATACCCTTGATGGTGTGATCCGATTTATTCTGACGGCTTTCTGTAAGTGAAAACTCCATTCAGGGACTAACTCCTAGCAGAATGGTTAGACCTGTCCAGAAGGCTTGAAACCAGAGCTTATGTTACCACTTACCCAGCCATCCCGAAGCGCCCCCGGCAACACTACTTATCCACAGCTGTCTTATCATCTTCTTTAGCCGATGATTTTGGGGCTACGGGCGTATCAGCACAATCAACCGAGATGATTCGATGCTCAATTCCTACGTCGGTAGTCGAAATCACAAGCGCGCTGAGCTGATTCCCATAGAGACATGCTGTATCCAGTCCAATGGTATACTTGCCCAGCTGCAAACGCCGCTTTGCGTCGTGTCCGAAAACCACCGTCGTCCGTGATGTGAGCTGTTCCTGCCATCTGTCCCATTCCACGGCCCAACCCTCTTCTCCAGAGGACTCCTCGGGCGTTAAGCTAGCTTCCCCGCCCGGTTTGCGAGCGAGGCTTCTCATATGTAGCACAGCGTGGGGGTCTTGCTCTTCAAGTGGAATGCCAGGAACAAGACCCGCATGTGCGACAACTATATTGTCGCCAAGTGTGCACGGTATATTATGGGGGAGTTGAATCCGCAAAATCAATGGCAACGCAGAAAGCCATTCAATTTGGCGCGCTGAAAGTTGTGATGCCGTTCTATATGTTGTTGGGCCATGTCGCATGGTAATGTTGGGCGTAGCAGATTCGGTCTTCTCAGAGCCTTCAGTAGGAACAGTGTCCTTGGGCATGTTGTCCGAGGAATGCTCATGTGCATTGAAAGTTTCAATCAAGCCTTTGAACTGGTCCCAGCCACCCTTAGCGGCAATCTCGGCCGCCGCATCAAGGACTGCATTGTCGTGATTGCCTCTTACTGCGCTGGCGCCTAGCCTGATCGCGATATCGACAACGCCAGGACTATCAGGTCCCTTGTTGGTAATGTCACCAGCAAGGATTAGATGATCCCCTTTGCCTTTGTCAAAGCCGACTTTCTCAAGGAGTCCTTCCAGTGACTTTTTCATTCCGTGTACGTCGCCCACAATGACCAAGCGTCGACTCCGGTGGCCATTTTCCAAATGTGAGGAAGAAGATGGTGGGATAAGATTAGTCCGTAAATCGGAAATAAATGTTGTAATTCGAAACACCTTTCCCTGCTTTGAAGTGGACATTGTCATTGGAGAAACCAAAGAGGTATCCTGTGCGGTGGAAGGCATACTAGTACAGTCTGTTTGGGTAGGGAAGGCGCCATATGGATCCATTCTAGGCGCCATTATGTAATCACTCATTTCCGCTTTTTATTGGCTGAAGACTCACAAGAAGACTGATTACGTCATCCTTTGAATGACAAGCGTTTTCTGACCACGCTCAACTTTACTGTGACTATGTTCAACTGTATGCCCAGTCTGTCCGTACAACGGCCTTGATGACCTGGTCAAAATCTTGGCGATTGATTTCGTTATATTCAACCAGCACGTATTGGTCTTAGCTTTATTAGAAGATCTTTGATTATGATTGACGTGTAAGTAGAATTCGATCCTCTTTTAACAGGCATAATTCGAGGTAAATAAGAAGAGCCTGTATTAAGGTCGATAAGAAAGGTTCAAGAGAGTATAAAGCCCAACCCTGGGAGGGAACATAAAGAGAGTATAAAGATAGGTAGTTCATAGAGAAGTGTAAAGGTAAACATAGACTAAATCTGCTACTTTTAAATAAAGAGTTTAATTATACTATGGGCTATTTTTAAACAAAGAAAGGTATTAATAAGAAGATACTAGATTGCTGTTCGTGCGATATAGTATTACAGGCTTGGAGAAGCCCGCGCTTGTATACATGTGAGTAAAATCGCTAGCTCGCTTTAAAACAGTTGGTCGTGGAGCTGTTGGTTTGTTCTTGATAACAAATCGGTTCTTTGTTCTTGACTTGCCCCGGCGTTTCCGAATACGATCCAGACTATCTTTGCGAATTTGGAATATTATTTCCTTGCCCTGAAGCTGATTTTGACTTCTTTCGGACTCTTTAGCCGAGATGGTTACGCTTCTGGACCCACCCCCGGCAAGAATCGCCAGCTTGTTTCGAACAGTGGGCCGACTATAAGTTGTCGAGGCGTTGACTTAGACCCGATCGGGTCTTTGAGTCTCTCGGCGTCTGCTTTTCAGCCTCGACCAAGACAAACCCGGGAACAAGACATGGTGGCGAACCTAATCGATCCGTTCAGGGGAAATTATCAACAAATTCTAGTAAGAGCACATACATATTTAGAGGTCTGTTTGCTTTCTGTCTTAGAATGATGGTTGCCCTGTTCTTCCTACCACTTGTCTCTCGCTTATCTTCACACAATGAAGGCTCCTCGGACCTGGATCTCATTTCTACTCTTGGCCCTGCTGGGCTGCGCGGACGCGTACACATCCGTGGTGACAGTTACCGAGACTGGCCAGAGCACCGTGACTCAGACCAGCACCAGTGTCTTTGCCATTACTACCACCACTAGCATCTGCTCAGTGGCCAGCAGTGCTGTGACCCAGTCCTGCTCAAATGGGGTCTGGTCAGCAGGCTCGAACTACTACTCCGCGAACTGCGGAGGGTTGTCTCTCAGCGGCGCGACAACAATTCGTGCCTATGCAGGCATTCCCTATGCATTGTGCTACCAATTCTGTAGCGAGATTTCCACCTGCGTGGGGGCCAATATATACCATATTGGTGCAGTTACCGATTGCTTTTTGATCAGCGGTACGCCAACTGTCGTGGCAGCTGCTTCAACGATGTCGGTGATCGAAGTCTTGACGACCAATCCTTGTGTGGAAACGATAATTATGACATCTAGCACGACTGAAACTGTGGTATTGACCGTTGACTATACCACCACTTCTATCTCGACAACTATTGTCTCAACCCCGACCCCGACTCCTGCTCAGACTCCAGTGTCATATTCCATACTGCTATCATCGGTGGTATCCAGCGCGGCTCAGTCATCCTCTACTCCAGTAGCTTCTCTGTCCAACTCCATGCCCGTTGCACCTTCTTCCATTCCTTTCAAGTCATCTCCTGCTAGCTCACCTTCGCTATCGATTATTGTATCGCCAAGCGCAGTTCCAAGCATATTCCCTAGTTCTATACCTGTCCCATCTTCATCCATTCCTTTCAAGTCTTCATCGTCGCTCATTGCATCCTCAAGCGCATCCTCAAACCCATCCCCCAGTTCTATTGCCGTTGTGCCTTCTTCCATTTCTCTCAAGCCCTCTCCCGCTAGCTCGCCCTCCTCATCGCTCATTGCCTCCCCAATCTTGTCTTCAATTTCGTCACATGTGTTCTCTTCTTCCACTGCAAGTCTATCTCTGTCTTCCTCATTTCGCGCACCCTCTAAGAGCCTGCAACTGTCACCGGTATCCTCTCCAAGACCAAAATCATCTCCAACCGGTTTCTTGACTCTTCCGGGAACTGTTTCTTCCCAATCTGGATCACAGCCCTTAGAATCCGGGTCTTCATCGTCTACCTAATTTTCCAGTTCTCAATCCCTTAATACTGCAACGACTAGTCTGGACGATACGCCGGCTACGACTGCACCGGAAGGTCCTCCTGCTCGTGTGACATCGAGCGGGGATATCATTACTGAAACTATCTATACCACCGTCGTCTCTACCGTCTACAAGTGCGCCTCTACAGTGAAGGATTGCCCCTTCTCTGAGAGAACTCCCTCACCAGTGACGCAAAAAATGCCCACTGCAACGTCTGTCTACTCGATCAGCACTTCCACTGTCTATGAAACCCGCACTCACACCATCAGTGCGTGCCCACTGTGGAAGAGAAAGTGTCGCCCGTCCGAAATGACCACGTCTATGGCCACTGAGACTAGCGAGGCTTACACGACTACGGTTTGGGTTCCAATAGCAAGCACACTGCCTACTATCACCATTACTGATATAGAGACCAAAACTCGAGATGAGCTGTCTCCTCCTTCAGAGACCACTTGAGTGACAAAGATGGTGACAATCTTGGCCTGCCCCGCTGAGTATGATGCCTGATAGCAATGAAGAGCTACATCAATATATTGTATATCAGAGAAAAATCACTGGGCATAATTTAACATAGACTCTATAGATATAAAGAATAACGGAGGATCTACAAAAATGCCCCGTGCCCCCTTTCTAAGGTTGTACATCTGCAGCTCATAGGATACCACTTCGTTTTCAATAAATTATCTAGACATGAATGTTGCTTGGAACACATTTTCATCAAAACAAAACTCAACTGTGAGTAACAGCCTTATACCTCGCCAGGCCTCAAGTCCTTCCTTGCCTCACTATAAACAGGTGGCTGGTTTGCTTTGATTTCAAGCGCTGCCGACATTCCAAAGCCCACACAGAGAGACACGGCGATGATTTCCTCCAGGACATCCATACATAGGTAGATGGTCGGGTCACCTACCAGGATAGCAAATCGCGAATTATCGGTGAAATCGCTGATGGCCGAGTATATCAAACGAATCAACAGGAAGGGCCATGAAAGAACGATAGCGAGGAACAGCTTTTTCTGGAAGCTGCTCAACCTCGACCGAAGTTGGGAGTATAGCCAGCTCGTAATCGCAATATCCACGACAAATATAGCTAGGAAGACTGCCATGGCTGCCTTAACGATGCTGTTTGCGTGGAAGGTATCCGAGTTATCGTCGGTGATACTGATTCCTGCAATACCGAGGATGAGGCCGACGAAACAGGTGAGGGCCACCAGTGAAAGGAACTTCGGATGCATTCTCTGCTCCGTATCACTATCGAAAAAAAATGTTTAGCTCACATGCATCGATGCCCCAGAAAGTAGGGCACATTGTTTTACTCACATTTGCCGCAAGAGTCCAACATAGATTAGCATCAGAGGTGCAATACCGATAAGCTCGCATACTGCCTCCGCAATGTAGATGTTTTCCGTGGGATGATCAATCGTTATTAATGTACAAATGCTGCCGATGATTCGAATGAGGGAAAGCGAAATAACGAATCGCCACGTCTTGCCTGCAGCCTTCCAGCCAGTTCGCTTCCATGTGATAAGTGCACAAACAAGTAGTACAGGGAAAACGACAAGCTGAAGAATTGCAATGCTATCTCGATATGTCACAGCTCCCATTGTTGCTTTCACCGTGTCGTGATGATTGTTGGAAAGTATGTGATTGGTCGTAGAAGTATGACCCAGGAGGTATACGGCAGAATGGTGTTATATGAAATAGAAATGCCCTTGAAATTTCTGGCAGAAACAGGACCATCGGCCGCCTTTTATGCTGTTAAGAACTCTTGAATGCATCAACTCGTCAAACGCACAAACTTCTTGTCGAAACATTCAAGCTCAAAAGATCGACGATGTCACGAGTGTTGACTGGTCGAGCATCTCAGATACCCAAATGGGACTAGCGTCATATTGCGGATAGTGGGCCGTCTGCACTTGAGAATCATCCACATCAGCAGCTCTCCTTTGATCTATGTTCAGCCCTAGGAGGCTGTGCATGACTATCAGGCTGAACAAATACTTTGCGGAGTGCTTTAGGCTGGTGCCACGAAGCTGTCAACAAAATCTAATCAAGTAATGGTATGTATCAGCGGTCAGTCTTTCAATGGCCCCCAAACCTTCTGGTGCACTGACGTGGCTTGGGGGCAGTTTGGGGGCCAATTGAAGCTGTTGGCCTGTTCGGGCCACATCAGAGCTTGAACTCCCCGCGGCTGAGCTCAAAACAAGCATCTGCCGTGTGGTCACCTCATCCTGAAGATAGGAGCTTGTTGATATTAAGCTACATTCAAGGTTATCCTGCTGCTTGGTTGTCACTTATGAGTTCAAATCGTCTCTTATCAGATTGCTCAACGCATAGCTAGAAGCTATGTCTCCTCACAAGACGATGCGCACAAGAACCTCCAGGAATTGTGGGAATTGCCGGGCAGTCAAGAGACGCGTGTGTCGTCCTATTCCCTTTTCCTATACGAGTCGAGTCTACCGCGTCTATGCTAATCTTCTCCGCTTTCGGCACAGTGCGACCAACAGGTTCCTCATTGTGGACAATGCATTCGCATGCGTGAAACATGCCCCGGATACCGAGATGAGTGGGAGCTTGTCTTCCGCGATCAGACCGACCAGACCATCAAACGCACTAAGGAGAAACGGGCAAGGAGCGCGAATGCAGCCGGGGCCAACGATTCGCCCCCAGCCCGTGGGCTGAGCCCCAGTCCTGACGAGATTGGCATCAACTACTTTATCCGCAATTTTGTCATCGGCAACCAGTCTTCTTCGCGTGGATATCTGAACTATATTCCGTCAGTCTATTTGAATGATGGCGAGCATCCAACGCTAGTGTCTAGCTTGGCAGCCGTGGGCCTTGTGGCGTTGGCTAATTCAACTCAACAGCCTGAACTGGCCAGCCACGCGCGCGCCAAGTACTCGGAGGCAATATGCAATATTAATAGCGCGCTCGCATCGCCTTCCGAATCCGTCAAAGACAGCACTCTGATGTCGGTGATCTCCTTGGGATTATTTGAGCAAGTCTCTGGCTTTGACACATGGCTTCGGCATGTCGAAGGCGCTGCTGCGCTGGTGGTTGCCCGGGGTAAGAAGCAATTCTCTACCCCGGTCACAATCCGGATGTTCATTCAAGCACGCGCCGATTTGGTGATTGCCAGTCTTCATAGCACTAAGCCGATTCCAAAAGATATGCTTGAGCTGCAGGAAGAGGCAGCTAAACACACAGATACTACTACTGCATTCTGGCAACTGGGGGTACTGGGAACCCGGTGCGCCAATCTCCTTTTCGCCCTTAGAGGAAGTATCCGGGGAGGCGCCTGGGCTGAATATCTGGAAGAAGCCACTTCGATTGAACGTGACTTTCAACGCACCGTCGAGAGACTTGCTATAGCGGAACCCTACACAACTACCCAGGAGCCCAGTGGAGACCCAACGATAGTTCTCAATGGGCGGGTTGACCGCTATAAAGATATCTGGTCGATCAGGCTCTGGAACAATTGTCGGAACCTGCAGATGATCCTCTGCGAGATGATCTGTTACCTCCTGAATGGACTTCTTGGCGGAGACCTCCCATCAACTCTCCAAATGAGTATGAATTACAGGCTCCAAGAGACGCTGGAAAGGTTGTCAAAGCTGGGCAATGACTTTCTCGCTACCATTCCCCAGGCTATGGAGTTGTCATCTTTGCCATCTGATCCTCGCCCGTCTCTTGATCTCTCCTTCCGCGGCAATGTCACGGGTGGTTATATGCTGACTTGGGGTCTCTACATGGTAGGGAAGTGCGCGGTCACAACCAAGGAGACTCGAAAATGGATCATCCAACGTCTTCAAAGCATCGGTAGTAATTCTGGCACCGCAGTTGCACTACAACTGGCGGAGGACATTATCAAAATAGACCAATTGTCTGTCTGAGCACTATCTTCTGATGCTCGTGGCCGTTGAATCGATCGAATTGCGTATCTAATAGAAGGATTTATCGAGTGAACAAGGGGTCATCTCATTGCCAGAGCTAGAACTCGGCTTGGGCAAGCGTATGGATGAAGCTGTTTACTTCCTATCTTTCAAGAACTGATTAGCTATATATAGTTAGAACATATTTGGCTGCTTCTTTTCCTATCACATATGTTCTCTATTTCCTCGGACGTTTGGTAGTCTTATTTGCCTGATCATGGTGGCTTGAACACGTTGTGTTAGTTCAAGAGGTTGGCAAAAAGCGCTTTACCATGGTAGTGAGCAGTTCGTATCTGCATGGCTCGGTGAAATGGGGGCCAGTGGCAAACACTTGCCAGCTCATTTATCGGATGCAATAATTAGAGGAGAGGTTTGAAGAGCGCAAAAGAGATGGGGAGGCTGTGATGCTGCAGATAGTGGCGACAAGTTCAACTGATTCGAACGCACCAAAAGCTCACCTTGAGAGCCCAGTAAGATGCTTGAGTGCAACAATGATAAGCTCATTCGGATTTCTCCTGAAGCCATCAGTCTTTGTCATTTTGAGTCGACCAAAGCAATGACATCATTGGACTAAGCCTCGCACGTTCATTGGCTCAAGCGGTGCATTCCGCCCAATTGAGTTAATGCAATCTTTGTGTTTCTTGGCAGCGTCGCCATTTGGCATGTTCAATCCTCGTTCTTGCAGTTTGATTGGAGAGGTGATTCGATCTATCTCTTCCATGTGAGTGCCATGGCTTCACGGCTGTGGCAGGGCTGAGTTAACTTTGGATTTTAACCCCCCATGCCGTCTCAGCCCCAACTGGTTTAACGTTTAAGATGATGAGATCAGCGCCCAGCTCATCCTTTACAGTTATCAGAGCGGTGCGTAGGACCGAATCGGGCTAAGGCTCTTGGCATCGTAATACAGCTGCTCTTGAATGTCATAGCGAATGAATTAATATATAGTGTATCTTGATTCCCTCGACGTCTGAGGTTAATTCTATCATCATCTTCTCAACCTCCAAGTATATCAATACTTCAGCACAAAATGGATCAAACACTTGCAACCTTCCCTCATGAAGCATCTTCCCAGTCCCACACCTTGGCGGTAGACTTTACATGGCGAAAGCTCCGGACCCTCATCACGGACGCCAGCGAATCAAACCCTACTCCTCTCTATACCGTCGATTGCAACATTCTTACAAACAATTTGACCTTTAAGACACCCCAAAACGACCAAATTATCGGATCTGGTTCTGCACACGCAATCAGCATCAGTCCAGATTACCAGCTCCATGGTGTCAAGGGGACCCTCAAAGCCCAGAAACGGCTACGCACCATCTACACCCACATGTCTACCGCCTTCTCAGATACGGGCGCTCCAGTTAAGATGACATGGACGAGCCAGAGCGGCTTCAGGACATGGGATTTTATCTGTGTCGACGAGAAGCAAGAGCCTGTGGCTAGGTTCTCTGCCAACATGTGGGCTTTGAAGAAGGTTGGAAAGATTGAGATGCTGGGGCCAAAGGCTTTTGACGATGCTGCCCGTGATGAGATTGTGGTTGTTGGATTTACGTTGTACTATTGCTGGATTTTACGTGTGAACAATCCTTTCAATCTTCTTGGGTCGGCATTCCTTTCTAAGGAGAAGCCAGACAAGGTGGATAGGATCGAGAAGATCGATAAGGTTGAGGCTCTGCCGGTAGAGCAGAGAGAGGCAAACATCATTGGCTGATGTTTTTTGTTTCAAGATTCCATGTTTCCCTTATAGATTCTTTTCTTTACTTCTTTCTTCCCCTTATGTTCTATCCTCGTTCAACTGTGAAGATGTATCAACGCCAGACTCCTCCGGCCTCAAGCTTATGAGCCCTTATCTATTATCCGATCTATATACTTTTCATATGTCCTGTTAGGAAATATCGAATTCTGAGTTAACAGCATTTTGAATCAAGTCAGTATTTGAGGCCTACTCGTCATAATCGAACAGGAGCATACTACATAGCTTTGCTGCCTGAGGCTTGAATTATGGCCTGGATCCTCAGGCCTCAAATCAATTATTACGTAAGTATTCCACCGAGGAACTTTGGAACCGAGCAAAACTCAGTCTCCACTCCACAGTTTGATGTAGCCATATTTCTCATCGCTCTTCAACCAGCCCTGCCGGGCTAGCTCAATCGGTAGAGCGTGAGACTCTTAATCTCAAGGTTGCGGGTTCGACCCCCGCGTTCGGCTATTCCTACAAATAACCTGAGATCATTTCTTTTTTGGAGTTTCTGATTTCTCTATTCTATATGGAGGGATCGAGATTTTTGCTCGGATGGGTGGTTGGTAGGTAGAAATGGGCAGCACGAGAGGGTATGGTGTAAATTGAGACCTCTTTATATGATTAAATACACGAATAGCGAAACAATTGAAGTCGATGGGTGGTAAAAATGTGAAGAACGTCCTATGACGGATCCATCGAAGAGTTGAGGACATATTCTAAGGTTCCAAATTGTGACGGGAATCTATAGAAGCTAGCGCCTAAGCGTCGGGACATAATACAAGCTAGACCTATCGATATTACCACTTTGTAACTTGACAATCGAAGAAAGAGCCCACTGGGCTGCATTGGGTAATAAGATAAGAAAACTGTGGTAATCAAGACCAGGCATGGGATGAATGCTAATTCCTTAGATCGGGCACCAAGATATGGTCTCGAACTTTGAGGCGAGTAGTTTTGTGTTGGGCGAAAATGGCTTCTCATTTGATGTTTCATTATGTCATATGAACACTGTGCTTTTATGCAGTAAGATGTTTGCGCCTAAATACATTCGCTTGAAAATTTGCAAATTTGTCCCATCCCGAATTCACCGGCAAAAAAATGCCTTCAATATACACAAACACTAAAAAAAATGTACAAGGAAACTGTATGATCAAGTAATGACACGTGGTAAGTTCATAATACCTGCCTGCTTCTGGGAGTACTGGGTCCCACTATACAATACCATCTCACAGGCCCCAAGGCCTAGAGTCGGGAACCAGCCCCACCCATTGATATTGAGCGCCTCATTCTTTAGTTAATATTGATCACAACCTCTCAATTCCGACGTCGATTGAGTTGTGGTAGAGGATGTGGGAACTGCAACTCCATCGCCTGTCTTCTCCGTCGACCACCACGTACCGTCTGTAAGAAGTTGATGCCCACCTGCGCAAGGAATATAGCGAAGAAAGTCCCGATGACAAGTTTCTGTGGGATATATGTTTCCGATAATTGAGTTGAGGGTGTGTTTGCTTGCTCGTCTTGATTTCTGCTCAAAGAAAGAGGCTGAGAACCACCGAATGAAACCGATATCGAGAGGGAAAAGGGCGTAAAAGAAGTAAAAATATTGGGTGTGATGGAGGTCAGAAGAGTTGAGAACGGTCTGAAAACAAACGGTATCATGCAAAGAATGAGGAGAGGGACGGCTAGTCATAAGACCGAATTGAGAGATGAGTGGGTAGACCTAGACAAGGCGACGTTAGCAGTGGCACTAGAGACAGCTTGCAGGAATCCCTACCAATCCCGAGATTCAAGCTCCCTTGCCCACCGTGCGCAGAGCTTCAATCGCTCTCTAACACTCACGGCCGAGAGAATGGGATATTTTTCTTCCTCGGCGATGGGCAGAATACTAGCAAACCACCAAGGAAATCGGGCCGCGTCCGTCGGGACAGGCCCATAGGCTAGCATCACACGTGGATGAAGCCAGGGCGCACCGGATTGTCGCTGATTGCGAATAAAGTCGCGTGAAAGATCGAGGAGTTCTTGGGTAGACATGGAATCCAAAGGAGGTTCGGGCGTAATTGGGTCTGTTGGATCCGGTATTGGCGAGGCTGATGTTTCCATTGCCTCCAGCCTTTCCTCCTCTGCCAAAGAGATATCATCAACACGCTCTGTTTTCGCAACGTGATAGCCATCCAGTTCGCCCGCTTCGATGACCTTGAACCGCGATATCCCCGAAGCAATGACAAGACTGCGTCCGTCCGGTAAAAGTTCATAGCGTTCGACCATCAGGACGGTTCCGTATTGCATGAATGTACTACTACCTAGTCCATCGCTTTGCTCCCGGCCTCGGCGGTTGTACATGACCATGCCAAACTTGCCGTTCCCACTCTCCACGACACGGCGAATCATCAGCCGATACCGGGGCTCAAAGATGTGAAGGAAAGTCGGCATGGTTGGAAATGATAGAGTGCATACAAAAAGGGGTAGATCTTTCTCATGATCTCCTCCGGCCTCATCTTCCACATCAGCCTCTCGCCGAGACGCAACCTGATCAGCGAAAAAGTGATCGATGATCTGAGAGATGGTGCTATTCAGAGGCTCTGCTTGAACAGCAGCCGGAATACCCACCTTTCGTCGGCAGACAGGGCACAAGTCGGTATGATCTAGAACTCGCGCCACGCATTTTCGACAAAAGGTATGGCCGCAGGGAGTTGTTAGGGGGTCCAGTATGAGAGAGTAGCAGACTTGACAATCTACTTCAGCACGGAGCCTGTCTCTGAGCCTCTCGAAACGGATCTGATCATCCTGCTGATGCATTTGCTCTCCTGCGCGCTCTCTCTCGGGCTCGTAAACGACCTCTGTCGCGTTATAGGGGAGACGCCCTTCCCAGGCGAGGAGGTATAAACCCCACAGCCACCCACGTTGACTCAAATGGGCGCTTTGATCTTCCAAAGAGTTCGTTCCTTTCTCATCGACCTTCCAACGAACAATGCGACCGCTATCGTCTGGATTCTCCGACGCTCCGGCATCTGGCATGGGAAATGCTAATTCCTCTTGGAAGAGTCCCAGCACATTGCACAATACGACATCCACGCCGCAGTCTCCAACGCAATGCTCGCCGACGCAATTGCTAGCCCCCGTCCAGTAGCATGTAAAGCCCTCTTCTCTCCCCTCTGCTACTGGGTATGTGATGCCCGTGCGGGGACGAACTGTTGGGAGACACGATCGACATATCGCATTGCCGCATGGGAGTCGGAGAGGTGTATGTAGAGGGCGAGAACAGCGCTGGCACTGAATCAAACGTACGATGAGATGGGGTGCATCGAGGGTACCAGGGAGATACTCGTCGGAGCTCGACACGTCCGAGCTGGCGGCGGAAGTCAGATCGGGATTGGCCTCGACCGCCTGCGGGGTCGGTGATGAGGGCGCATCTACATTCTCCATGACTCTGAATCCACAGGAATGAACTGTCAGGCAGGGGATACGGTTGATTGAATTCTAAGATGCATTCGGGGCGGTGGTTGAAGGAGAGTGTAGGGCGTTGTCGGGTTGCGAGTCATTAGAGAAGGTTCGGGATCGGCAATCAGAGCGGGTCAACTTTAGATAATCGGCATGAAAGGAAGCTTTTTGCGGAGGAGCCAACCACACATGGAACTTGACCGAGGTTCACAAATTAAACTCATCTCGAGAGTCACCATCTTAGTGAATCAGTTTTTTTAATTTCAAAAAGGAGCTCTCCAAGGTGGGTGATTAGGTAGCGCAGTCTAAAGCCGTGTTCCTGGACAGTCTACTTCATATGACTGAATTTCTTTGCTTTCAGATCGAAACACGAGTCATATGAGTCGAAAGCCTACGCACAGTCTGTGAAATATGCAATTGATATCATTTCGTGTCTCGTTTCCAAGGCCAAATCGCCGCCATGCCAGATACAAATGCACAGAAGCAAGTCAAAAAAGAAGGAGGGGGGAGGGGGGGGGGGAGGGGAACGCCATATCACACGAGCACCTGACTGATCAAACCAAAAACGTGTGATCAAGATTGAATCTGCTTAAATCGCGCATGCGCCAGGAACCAAAGATCACAGAATGGTGCATCAGAGCGTGATTGGTAACAAAAGGGGAGATGCGTCCCTGCAGGGCGGGGGCATTGTAAAGTGGGGAGAGTAAACGAAATGAAGAGTTGGTCTATCCAGCAGATCCGATAAGGTCTATGTGGATGAGTCAGAGTCGGACTCGGAGTCTTCTTCGAGGACAATTCGTCTCATCACGCTCTTGTCAAAAAGATCTATAGCAAAGCGTCGGGCCGGTAGCCGGTAATGATGACTCTCGAGGATGCAGAGTGCTTTGCGGAAGAGATGGGCTTGATGGAATCGTTCAGGTTGCTTGGATTTGATGCTGCAGGGGCCGATCGTGTATTAGATTCTGACTAGATGAGAGAAGAGAGATGTAAAGGGTGACGTACCTGTGCAAGTCTGTCGCGGATCGCTTGGACAGAACAGTATTTCCCATGTCGACGATCAGCTTCAGGATCTTCTGATTACCAGGATCGTCATCTGTCGTCGCTTTTTTGAGTTTGTCTTGCGGAGTACGCCTTGAATTTGCATTGTAACCAGGGAAAGAGATCTGACTAGGTTAGCCTTATGCACAAGTCAACGTGAGGCAGTCATCTTACCAAGAAAAGCTGGCGGAAATCTGACGGGAGACAGAAGCCCAGCGACTCGCCATTTTGATCAATAGCAGAGTCCCATCCTAAATCTCGCAGCACCTTTAACCCGTGCTTGCTTCTGGAGATGAGACCCAGAACAAAGAAAGCAGTACCCCGCATGGTTAGTACACCGGCTCGTTGAGCAATTGCAACGATACACTGCACGATCTCTGGCTCTAAGAATGGAGCCCCGAGTTCCATCGACCCGACATTGCCAACGGCCCAAAGGCACCCCTTGACTTTGAGTAGCACTTCTGTGTCTTCTTCATCTAAGCGGAAGTCGCGGATGGTCCAGGCAAATTCATTGAAGTGGCCCGATTGTTCCAACAGTCTGCATCCCTCGGCTGTCCGTGCAAGTTCGCGGTAAAAGTGGGGGGAACAACGCCAACGTCTTGTAGGTCGACCAAGTCCTCCGGCGCAAAGCTGTTACGCCGTGGCTGGTCGACATATGCACGGGACAGAGCGGCTTCCACGAGGCCAACGTACGAGTCGTTCCGACCGAGGAACCAGTCATCCATCTCCTGGGTGATATAGTCCAAACCGTCTAAGTAGTGGTAGCCGACGGATGTCGACAGGAAGCGCAGCAGCAGCGGGGCGCCAATCTCGCCAAGGTGGTCAAGGGAAGGGCGACACTTGACCACGTACTCTAGATAGTCACGTTGGTTGCATGCCTCTTCGAGAATCTTCACAGCAATTTGACAAACTGTCACATCTGGATCGTACAGCTGGGTCACGAGAAGCTTTACAACCCATTCTGCGTTGCCGATGGCCATCTGTGGTGATAATGTGACATCTCCGACAGCATATTTCCGGAGGAGCTTGGTAGCAAAGATCCGAATGTCCTTTGAGCCAATGGTAAGAGCTTTGGAAAGCATGACTCGAAGGTGACTTGCATGACCATAGTCCATATTGCCAAGCAATGTCTGAATAAGGTCATTTCGATCTCGCAGTTCAATGATGTGATAGAACATGTTAAGCATGTGCCATCTCTCCATCATGAGCAACCCACTAGGACCAGCGCTCAGCGTCCCTAGCATAGCAAAATAGCCACCGCTCAGCGTATTGACCATTTGCTCACGTGAGAAAAGAGGCGACGCAGAAGTCAGGCCACTCATGCGGTCCAACTGAGCCAAACATTCTGCAACCTGCCGCAAGAACTTGTTCTCGGCCAGGTATTTGATACCCTCGGAAGACATAACGAGAGTCCGCATTAAGGCGCAGCCTGTTCGGACATATCGTTGGTTTGGTTTCGTGTTTGGAACCATGGCGAATCTATATTTGAAGGGCCGGTAAAACCCAATAAGGCGCTTCATGAACTTGGACCCTTTGATCGCTTCATCCATCCGTTTGGGGTTTGTGAGAGGGCCTTCGACAAGGCGATGGATGAGGTCCCATTTCCACTTCATATAGTTAACAGAATTCAACACGTGGGTCTCCAGGATAGCATTTCGGAATGTTTGTTCGTCCATCGATGGGCTGAGTTTGTCTTTGGCTTGTTCGCCGGGCAGCAGGGAGACCGAGAAATCGGGATCCAGGTTATATCTGCCGGCCCCACCAGAATACCCGCCAGAGCGAGCCAAAGTTCGATTGATACTTTCGATCTGGAAGATCGTTGATGTGGAAACGTCATGGTTCTCAGTATCGAATTGAATGGCAGGAGTGAGGAGATGCGCAAGAACCTGCAGGTTTGCACTGACGGCTGTTGGCAAGGAATGATGGGCCATTTTGAGAACTTCGGTAAGAAGAAGGGTGGCTTTGCGCCGGAGAGCAGAATCCGTCTCATCTTCAATAAGATCTGAGAGCGCCTGGGGTAAACCAGCAGCGATCAAAGCTGCCAGGATAAGAGTCGAAAAGTGTGCGGTAAGATCAAACTTGTTTGGTCCACTATCATGATAAGCCCGGTTGGCTTTGAAGTCTGTATCGGAGCGCAAATTTGCGACTCGGCCATAAGTTGTGAGCCTTCGGCCAGCAAGGAAAGAGGACGACCACGATGGAGGCTTTATGCGCAATGCATCGAACAGTAGCTCTAGAATTAGGTCTCGGGCTTGGGTATCAGGGTAATGAAGTGATTCAAGGAGAGAATGGAGTGGCTTGGCTTCGTGCCTGGCCAGAATGACCAGACCAGGCCACGTCTTTAGCATTGCGGAGATCGCACGCGCGGCGGATTTCAATCGCCCATTGCGTAATGTGTCAGCCAGAGAATCGGTGAAAGGGGCGAGAACGGCTTCTAGCTCAGATCCCTGGAGGTATTTCCGGTTCCGTGGGGTATCGAGTACATGCAAAAAGCTCGAAATCAAACTCTCCGAAGCGCCGAATGTGCCTTCGGCGAGAGCATCGTGCAGAGCAGCGAATCCACCTGCCGAAGCAACCAGTTCGGGGTCTTTGACCAAGATTTCTGCCAAAGTCATAATCGAAATATTCCGCAGGCGGTCTTCGTGATGTTCGGCAATGGAAACGATCGTGCGCACGATAGCGCGAGATATTTCCTTCACACCATCTTTGACATCGAGGAAAGCTCTTACAAACTTCAGGGCCTGTTCGCGCTCGATACTTGCTTTGCTTTCCTTAACAAGGGACAGGATCACAAGCTCATCCGTGTGCAGCGCTCGAATTGTTTGAAGCGACTTGCGGTCCGCGATGGCGTAGCGGGTTAACCGATACCCAGCTGCGACCTCCTCCTTGCTGTCACTGAGAAGCATCACCTGTACACGAAGGCCAAAGACGGGCCATGCCAGGTCGTACTTGAGAGTAGGATGCCGTTTGAACAACTCGACTAAGTTATTGGCGCGCTCCACGTAGAAATCGGGTGACATGCCCTCGATCTCCAGGGCCTGGAGTGTCTCCGAAAGGACGTATGTCGGCGACTCCATGTCTCCGTCGTCTTCTTCTTCTTCCTCCCGGTCATCTTCTAAAGTATCTGGCCCAATATTTATTGGGTTTCGCGAAGGCGAGCGCATGGGACTCGTTCGGAATAGACTTGACAGCCGGCTTCGCGGGGGAGTCGTGGAGGGTGCCTGCGCACGAAGCAGCTCTTCTTCCAGTTCACGTTGCAGTTCAGCCAGTTTGCGGTTGGATGAGCTCAACTCCGACTCCACCTTTAAGCGTTGTTCCTTGGTCTGCTTAGGTGGTTTTGCCAACAGAGCCTCGAGCATGTTCTCCGTTCCGGTCTTGATCTTCATTTCCTTCGCAATTTTGTCTCGGATCACAGCCTGGCGCTCTTCGGTCGTAGGCACGTCATCTTCTCCAACTGATCTACTCGCTCGTCGCGTGTATGTGCCGTCGAGTCGTGGGGTGACAGTCCGAGAAGTCATGCTCTTTAGCTCCGCACTGAAGCTCCCCGGTCCACCAAAGGACGGCGCCAACGAGGAGCCTCCTCTCGTGCCAGTCGTAGCACTACCCCCGGAGCCTGATCGCCCATTTCGTCCAATCTTCGAGAGTCCATCATTCCAACTCCCGTCCCCCGACCCGCCGTCCTGACTGAATGAGGAGCGACCATCACCCAGCGCGCGGTGCTGGGTGGACGCGGAGAACGATGAGTTGTGTCCGGAAGCCATGAAGCTCCATTTAGCCGTAAAGGCTATCTATCACCTATCGCAAATGTCCGAACGGTCGAGAGGCCGCATTGAGGTTGAGAGGGAAGGAGGTCGTCGTGGAGCAAGGGCTCGTTTCGAGTGTATGGGGGAGAGGGAGGAGACGTGGAGGAGAAGGCTCCGCAGTGTCACGGGTCAAGGTCCTGATGATCAGAAAACAACAACAGCTACCATCACAACTGACCCGCAGTCAACGAAGGAGAAACATGAGACTGCGCAGGCGATCTGCACGGATGCTCGTCCCACTCCGTTCAGTTCAGCCTGATCGCGAGATGGAAACACATGGATGACTAAGGCATCTTATCGTGGGGCCGGTAAGGCATCCACTTGGACATAAATAGTTAAGATCGAGCAATGGGTTATAGATTCACGTCATTTACGGAAATCGCGGACAGGATCATTCGTTGAAGTTTCATTAGGAACGTTTTTCGTTTTTATAACGCTAGACTGAAGCTAATAGAGCCGCCGGTTGTTGACTTCTATGGTAACACTGGTATAAAACCCCGCATATCCCAAGACCTATCTTACATCGACACGAGCTTAAGATTTGTTCTCAGTCTTCTCCAGAATCGTCTTCATCATTTCGTTTCCAAGCTTGGCAGCCTCGGGGAATTGGGGAGCGAAATACTGCGCAATCCTCTCGAAGCGGTCTCTGTAGGACTCGAAGTCCCCAAAGGAGACGCAATCGGACCAAGCCTAGAGAAAGAGTACGTTAATTTATACCAGGTACACTTCTGCAGAGCAAACTGCTAAATCTGATTTTCAAGACTTACCCGTGCTGCGAATGTAAACTCCAGGTCATCGGAGCGGAAAGTATTATCGTCAATGGCGGTGTCTAGGGCTTCCTCCAGGAGTTCAGGGTTGCGGAATAGGTACTCAGTCACACCCAGCCATAGACGGAAGAGCTGCGAGTCAATCAGTAGGCGTGCTCGAAGGGAGTTGGTTTAGCGACATGCTTGATACATACCGGCGTGGAGCAAATCATATGGTCGTAAGGAACGATGCCAAGTTTCGACCAACAGTCAACAATGGCGAGCAGACTGAGATGGCTGTTCGGGGGCGACTTCTCGCGAGCCTGGTTGGACAGAGAGAAGCGATCGAGCACCTCATCCTTCAACAGTAGATCTTGTCCTTCCGTACCCTCCCTGAACACCGAGGCACCGGCAGCCTTCACTCGACGCTTGAGCTCCTCTCGGTGTCCCCCGATCATGAGCTTGTATAATTCAGTCACGGAGTCGGCATACTGGCGAATCTGCTGTTTGGCGGCCGGATTCAGAATGGCGAGACCGGCATAGACGTGCCATTTGTTCGAGTAGATGCGGAGGGTGATATTGATCTTGACGTTCTCGATACCACCAACCCATCTCGAGATCTCCCAGGGGAATTGGTTGTTAGCCTGCCATGCGGTTCCCATACTCAAAAAGGCAGCGTGGGTAACGGCTTGAGTGTCGGCGGTAATACGATCGTGCAATTCGCCGGTGAGGTAGACATGTTTGGATCCAAATGATGAAAGTACCTCATCAACAAATCGGAGGCTTTCGTCAGACGCCCGGTGTTGAATTAAGACCTGTAATCAACACCGTGTTAATGGCAGGAACTAGTCTGGATTGAAATGTGGCGTGGGTAATTCCCTACCAACGGCTGACCCTTGGGATTCACTTTGGGACCATGCAGCGAATGACAGGATACGATCTCTACGTCAGCAGGCAGGTGCTTTTCGAATGCTGCTAGCTCTGGCGCCTTGCAGGAAGTCTGACCACCGACAATGGCGCCCGCTTTGGTAGCTTTTTTATTGAAATCGACGTGTCAGAATATATGTTTCTTTCCTTTTTGGGGGACAGTGGACGAGTCTGGGTATGGCACGCATAGGGATGGGGCCTTGCAAAAAGGTTTTTAACTGAATTGAGACACATACATGGGCCATACTGTGCAACGACTCGGTCGATGACGCCGGCCTCTACACTGTAAAGAATAAAGTCGCTAATTCTGGACACGAGATGGCCATTCGGGAATATGGTAACCAAGGGCTAGTATACAATAAGTATCTGGCTGGATGATGGTCCCAGCGGGAGACGTACTTGAGAAGCGAACTCTTGTTGCAAAGATTCATGATTCTCAGGTCTGTCACAGGCATTGATTCTTTAAGAAAGAAAAAGATAATAGTATTTATGTTAGTCAAAAGTACTCTCCATGTCACCTCGGCAAGTCTTGTCGAGGTAGGGCAGGGATATCATGCTGGGAAAAGGCCTAGTAAAGAATCACTCGTTAGCACCATGTCTTCAAGAGAGACAGCATGAGTGAGGCAGAAATGAAACAGGTTCCAAGTATATCAGACAAGAAAAAAGTAAGGTAGCGAGTATGTTACATCATCGACGGCCCAGCAGTCACCCGCCAACCAGAATGGCGTGGCAGGAGCCCGCCGAACCATGCTCGAGCCAAATGCACTCAAGTCATCATTCGAGGGAGGAGTTGAGGAAGTGAATAAGCAAGGGGAAAAAAGGGAGCAAGAGCTTACCATTTAAGTTGGTTCACCCGCCGTAGCAAGGAAGCCGGCGGGTGAGAAAGGGTGGGGATTTACCTCCATCCTGCATCGCTCAAGCGCTGGGCATACATCTTGCCCATATCGCCCATCCCGATGATGCCAATCGAGGCATCTTGCTTGGTGCGTCCCATCCTAGCAAATGACTCACGCTCACAGCGTCGGCGCGGTAGAACTGAGCCTGAAACTCTCGAAATATGTACTGGTGGTTAGTCAGATAGCTCAATGTGTGTTCTTTGTCTGGACACTCCAACTTTCCATTGAGTGGATGAAGAGTGTGACGAACAATTGGCAATGGTGAGAAGGGAGCTTACAAGAAGAAAAGAAAAATTTAAATAGGCGAGCGACGCTGACACTCTCACCGCCCTGTGACCCGCTTTACTGCCGCATTGATGCCTCAGGCGCGCAATCTGTCCCACTCGCTTGCCTGAGGACTTGAACCAATCAGCGGGAAGCAGCACGCGAGGGCACACACCCACTTTTTTCGATCTTTGATTCCTGCGCTTTTGGACTTTTCTTTCTTCTCCTCCATATTCCATCCACGACAACCCCCATCCACACATTCGCAATGGCTCCCAAGAAGGCTCCCGCCGCCGCTAAGGAGAACGTCTCCCTCGGCCCCCTCGCCGGTGATGGTAGGTTGACGCCCACAAATTTCTGTGCGATCGGATCAATCGAGCAAATCGTCTAACTAGTTTTGCGCATGGAACAGGCAAGCTCGTTTTCGGTGTTGCCCGCATCTTCGCCTCCTTCAACGACACCTTCGTTCACGTCACTGATCTTTCGTATGTTCCTCTCCCTCCGGTTCCTCCACGAATTTGCATGCGCTCGGTCTGGCCGACTGCGCTGTAGGACACAAGCCACAGCCAGCGCATTCAACGATTAGGAGGACAACCCTAATGGAGGACACCTGACTGACATGATCTCTAACAGTGGCCGTGAAACCATCGTCCGTGTCACCGGTGGTATGAAGGTCAAGGCTGACCGTGACGAGTCCTCCCCCTACGCCGCCATGCTGGCTGCCCAGGACGTCGCTGTCCGCTGCAAGGAGCTCGGCATCAACGCCCTCCACATCAAGATCCGTGCCACCGGTGGTAACGGCACCAAGACCCCCGGTCCCGGTGCCCAGTCTGCCCTCCGTGCCCTTGCCCGTTCCGGCATGCGCATTGGCCGTATCGAGGACGTGACCCCCACCCCCTCCGACTCTACTCGTCGCAAGGGTGGTCGCCGTGGTCGTCGTCTGTAGACGTGTGCGGTCCTTTCTTTCTCCGACTGCGACTTCATTGCGTGGCTGGACTGGAGGCTTCCTGCAGGGTCTACTTGCACTTGTGGATGGAATAAACGCGAAGAACGGCCCTTATTGCCTGGTCTTCAGATATTTTCATGCCCTGAAAAGTTCATCTCAGTTTTAGCGGTTGAGTTAGGCAGTCTCTTACGACGACTTGAATCGATTGACTTTGTCTGAGTATCATTTGATAATCATCATTCTACCTGTAGACTTTTGTAATCACCAGTAACGTGCATGTGGTTGTAGTCGAATGGTCTGTATGTAGATTCCGCCAGTTAAAGAACTCGGCGCAGATATCAGGTGCGGGGAGCTATCGCCCCGCGATAAAAAGATGCGCTGCTCCATTGATCACCCAACCTCCCGGGATATGACCAGTGTCCTTCCTCACTGTCCCTGCAATTTACTTTGAAACACAACAGTTTCTCGTTCAAGACGCCCGGTACTATGTCTCGTTCTTGAAGAACCCATCCTTTCCTCCCATCAGGACCTGACATCAGCAACGCGCCGCGTCCTCCCAATCGGACAATTTTTCAAGCAGGCCACCTTGACCCTGCTCACACGACTTCATCTGCCTGACTCTCCTCGGAGTCACCGAGCTCGCAATACCCGAGACTTCCAGGATCCCAGTCAGCAACAATGCCCCCGTCCCATCAGCCGTCACCGACGGTCCTCCTCCCCCAGCTCCCTCCGAAGACTCTCGTCGGAATCGACCTCGTCGCATTCTCCTCAACCGCGAATTTCCACGGAATCCGAGACCTCCCGGGTGGCTGGCACTTTCTATACACTGGTACAACGGAGAGCTTTTCCCTCCGATGTGGAGCATGGTTCTACGTGGGTGATATCAGCACCGTCGGGAAAGGCGACAACCAAACCGCGCTCGTAGTCGCACAGGGGCAACAGACCCTTGCTCCGGAGATCTATATTTGGAAATGGAACACGGACATAGAGTCACTGTCTTCATTGACAGGTGACAGCGACTCGGATCGTCAGGAAGCTATGCGGTACAAGGCGAATCTCGGTGCGCTTTGGCAGAGCGGGGGCTTGTTCCGGTATCGAAGTCGTGTTTCCCCGGCTATGTTGTCAAATAAGCCTGGGTCAGCGCCAGCTGAGACACGCCAGGCGGAAGAAGATGAGGAGACTGAGGAGGATGGGCGCAGGGATTGGAGACAGCTTACGGATCGCTTGTCTCCTGAGATCTTGTCGCGTATAATTGGCGAGCCGGAGGTGGATGTAGATGGCCATCCGCGGTGGATGGTTACTTCTGCCAGCACGGCCAATCGTGATGCAGATCATATTCCGGGTGTTGATTCGCCGGCTGGGGAAGAAGAGACAAGTCCAAGGAAGACATTGGAGCAAGAGAAGGAATTCGACTTTCTTCCGATAGACTTGAAGCGAACGTGGCGAGAAGGTGCTGTTGGACGTGAGAGGACAGAAGCTGCCCAGGACAAGTCCTGGGCCTTGGGTGATTTGGTATTCAAATACTCCAGCCGTGTATCTGGGGAGATCACCATCGATGAGCGAACAGGAGAAGCGCAGTTGCTGGGAGAGCTCCAATTCACATTCATCATGGTCTTGACCATGATGAACTTCTCCTGCCTTCAGCAATGGAAGAGATTGCTAGAGCTGATTCTGACATGTCGGCGGGCAATTCTGGAAAGAGAAGCGTTTATGAGCGAGGTGCTTCGCCTGCTGCTACGACAACTTGAAAGATGCGACGATGTCGAAGGCGGGCTCTTTGAGATCGATGGTGATGAGGGAGGGCATTTCCTGCGCAATCTGCTCACGAAGATCAAACGCTCTGTTGACGAAGTTATTCCCAAAGGAACAGAGTCAATGGTCAAGACAGAACTAGACAAGCTGGAGGCATGGGTCAAAGAGGAGTATGATTGGGAGCTGAGGCGCGAGTCTATTGTGAGGCGCGGTATGCTTCAATTGGAAGATGGCGAGCAGATTGAGATGGAAATGGAAGATAATGATGCAGATGAGGAAACGGGAGAGTATGCTCCCATGGTGGTTGATTTGGGAGAGCATAATAACGTTTCGGAGGAGGAGCAGGACGAAGAAGACGAGGCTTCCGACCTCGAAGATATGAGGTATTGATTTCCAAGTCTTATCACCCTTCTTTACGATCACGACACAAAATAATATACAGGTATCACTTGGGCGAAAAATGGTAACTTCTCATGAATTGGGCTTCGCCATTTTTCTTTTTATTCATGCAGAGACTCCGAAAACTATGTACAAAAGGAGTCTCCATAGCTCATAACAAACGTCAAAGATCTAAACAGTGAAGGATCTATAGCCTATTCCTCCTCCTCAACAACGTAGGCCCAGTCGTGCTCCTCCTTACCATACATGATAGCCTCCAACCAAGACTTGATCTGAGCAGCGTAACCAGCAGGCTCGCCATCTTTGCCCAGAGTGCTGATATCATTGTCATTGTTGCGGATCATAGCAACGGGAGTGATGAAGTACTGCACGATGGTCGTTAGTTCCACGAATTCTAACACATGCATAGACAATTTCTTGGATCAACTTACAGCAGTGCCAGAAACGAAGGATTCAACGATCCGGCCCTCTTGAGCAGCCTTCTCAATCTCGGCAATAGTCAAGGTCCGCTCAGCGACCTGCAGCGGGGCGAGCTTCCCCACAAACTGCTCCGACAGACGCTCGCGCACCAGCTCCAAGACACTGCGGCGAGTCACACCAGGCAAGATAATTTGGCTCTCCAAAGGAGCAGTAACAAGCTCCAAACGACCGGTATCGGCATTGTGCCAGATAATGAAGAAATTGCTAGCGCCTGCCTCGGTAACCTGGCGGTCCTCGCCAAACAGCCAAAGAATCTGATCAAAGCCCATGGCCTGGGCCTTACCGTGAGACTGCAGGGAAGGGCCGTAGTTGGCGCCGAGCTTGGCCCAGCCGAAGCCGCCGGGCCAGGCGCGGATGGAGTCCGGGTTGGAGGCGAAGAGTTTGAGGCCCTTGGACACGGTCTCGCCTTCCTTCTTCACCTTGGTGAAGTCGGGCCAGGGGACGGCAATGATGAAGAGGAGGGCTTCCTTGGGGACCTGGACGCCCAGGTGAGGACCGTTGCCAATAACGGTAGGGCGGATGTACAGGAACGAGCCGGGACGATCCTTGGGCAGCCAGCCTAACTAAGATGTTAGTCCATCAAGATTGCTTAATGAATGAGGATTTGAAGAAAATATAGTCACGTACGGGGACCATCAATCCCCATCAGTTTAGCAACCAGCTTCTTCAGCTCATCATACTTGAAGCCCGGCAGCGAGGTCCGCTGAGACGAAGTGTTCAGACGCTCGCCATTGCAGTCTGGGCGGAACAGACGCAGCTTGCCATCATAGCCACGGTACACCTTCATGCCCTCGAAGCACTCGGTGGCGTAGTGGAGGCAGGAAGCAGTGGGCGGGATGCTCAGGTTCTGGTAAGGCTTGATCTCGGGAGTTTCCCAGCCATTGTTGACAGTCCACCGCACGGTGACCATGTGGTCGGTGCAGTATGAGTGGCTCAGCTCCTCGGGCGAGCCAGGCAGAGGCACATCGCGAAGGTTAGTGGAGCGAGTGATCTTGAAGTTGGAGCCGTCCAGCTCGGCCACGTTGGGGGCGACGGAACCCATTGTGAATAATATAAGATAAGGTCGTTCAGGGTATGCAATTGGATGCGAATAGTTGATAAATGGCACACTCCCTCACTTTAAACAAAGGGAAATGTCTAGGTTCGACTCGGAATGTGAGTCACCCAGGTCACGGCGTAGGGCGGGGGGACAAAGGTTACCCCGAATTGGAGACAAGGTTAATGTAATTGAAAAGATAGCGCGATAGTCGGTGTGCACGCCGCTTTGAGAATATGGATCAGTGTAATGTTGAGTATAGAGAAATTGAAAAGGAACTCGAGGGATTCCACTTTATTTTATGGTCGATCGGTTTGCCCCGGGCCCTGAATCAGGAACTATCAAGGCCGAGCCGAAGAAAAAACTTTTTTTTTTTGCCGCTCGGAAAGGACATTCTTTTAAGATTTTGGGATCGGCATCTATCCAATTGTACTCTGCCGCGAATAGAATTGTCCTGACTTATCTACACAACGAAAGCCATGCACGTCAACCCATGATACCTGATGCCTCCTGTAGAAGTTTGTGCGATATGCTGTGCTAGGCGGGCTGGATGTTGCAGCTGCACGCCCTTCCCATGACAACGGCGGGGGAAACTGATAGTTGAAGGATTGATCGGGCTCCACTCTGTGGCACTGTGCCGATGATAGCCGAAAGGGGCGCGGCAGATGCGATGTGACACTGGTGAAGCTATGAATAACAATAGATTGAGATGACAAAAACATTGATTGTATACAGTGTTCGATCGATTTAATGAAAGGACGAAATTGAATCATGCCATGCTAGATCGCCCTGTCTTATGCATGGCCACAGAACTAAAGCTGACTGGAACACTTGGATTACAGCAGAGCTAATGAATTAAGTTTTGACCAAACTTTATTTTGTATACATTGGATCCCCCTAGAGATCGTCATCCTTGTCTATGGCTCACCAATTTGTACACAAAGTACAGGCGGGTCGACGTAGTCTATATTATTGGCGAAGCCAATTAACTTTAAATATATTCTAGTCATAAACCAAGGAAAGCTCATCGAACAAGATGTACAAAGTTGACAAGATCTGCGAATAATTTCTTCAGAGACTACTATCAGAGGGTCACTTAATAGTCACCTAGGTTCAATAAGACTCTGTACTCGGAAGAGGTTAATTTGCTTATAAAATCATATCCAAAAGACATTCTAATGTCATGACACACACGTTCCAGGTGGTCTGTAGACTGTTGTTGATCCTTTAAGCAGTAGCAACATCGGGCGTCAGCCGACCTAGAGTAAATATTCACAACCACTTCCGACGCCTTAATGAAACAACCCCCCTATTTACACCAAGTTAATATGAAATAGACTATCTCTTGTCCCAGTATACCAGAGACTGCCCACTCTGATTCACAGCACGCATACCAGCAACCCGTAGACTTGATCATCCGTATATCGAAGATCACCATACTAAAGGATGGCATTAAGACTTGTCTTCATAGCTATGTTGTAAAGAATTGAGTGAATTTTTCTTCTTTTCAAAAAATAAAATAAAATAAGCACAGCAGAGCCATGATTACAAACAACGGCTTTGAGCCTTGACATCTTCATTGTTGTTTGGGCAGTGGCAGTTCCCAACTGGCAAGTGCCCAGGTCGGCACAAACGCTCCATCTCCTGCTCCTGTCAAATGTTTTGATATTCCCCAAAAGAGCATCTCTCACTCATCGTCCAACTTTCACAACCACACTTTTCTCGTTGTTATTCCTACGCCTCTCTTCAGAGAACCACCTTACCAGCCGAAAGATGTCCTTCTTCGTGCCCAGAAACCCGTTCACTCCCCCGAACTACACATTAACGACTTCCCCTGCAATAACTTCGCCTTTCTCGAATCCCAACTCTGTCGGTTTCCCAACACTTCCATGGCAGTGGTGGACTCGGCCTGTGACTTCACCATGGGGGAAACACTGGGCTCAGAGACTATCAGATGCGTCCATTGTGAACTCGATGAATGCGCAGATGATACAGAAACATGCCGATGAGTGAGTTCCCCCCGGTTGTATAGCCTGCTGTCGTCGAGAAAGGGTCTCAGTGCTGAATTTTGAAATTCTAGATCCTTCAGCTTCCCCCGAGAGCGCGACGTCAAAATAATTTGCGGGGACTACGTCTTCTTCGCAAATAAGTCTGTCATCTGTCATCATTCACGCTATTTCAAAGCGGCATTTCATGGCAAGTTCCGGGTATGGATCTTTGCGGGTGTCGGACCGATATACGGAGTTTCGCTGACGAGGAAGTGCGATCCAGGAATCCTGCGGAAGTCTGACGCTCACAGATAAAGATGCCATATTGGTCGAGAAGGTTTTGCAATACTTGTACACGGGGAACTACACGTTGGATCCGGGTATGTCGAGTTCTGATGAAGCTCAGGCGAATTCTCATCTCCGTTGACAAGGCCATCTACTGACACCCATGACAGACAATAAAGATACCGGAGCGATCGATTCCGATGGTACGTATTAATACTCACATCTTGTCCTAAACCAGCCGAAGACTTCACTTCTAGGAGTGACTAACGCCGCTGTCCTGTCCAGATTCCGAATTTTCGGACTTCGATGGCAAATCCAAGGTTCCCCTATGGAAACGAGCCATGAAGAAAAGAAAAATAATCACAGCCAGGACCATAAGACATTTCTTCACGGGGGAAGCCAGAGTCAAGAAGCGTGCCAAATCCAAGAAGCGCACCCCCCTCTATGACCAACTCTTCCACAGCGACGCCTACTTCCACCTCCGCATGTACGCCGAAGCCGATTACTTCATGATCGACGAATTGAAAGTCAAAGCGGAAGCGGAATTCTGCAAAGCATTCCAAAGCCTACTTACAGACGAGCTGATATCCAAGAAAGAGTACGAGGCTGAGTTTATCATCAGCAAAATCATTCGCGAGTTATACAGCCGCCGGGGCCATTACGGCGTGTTGAGGGAGATGGTGCTCGAGCTGATGCTCAACAATATGCCCAGTTTGCGGGAGACAATATTTATGTCCCCAATGGAAGGCTGTTTCTTTCTGAGTTTGCATCCTGAGTTCGCGACCGATCTGTGCTGGGGTATGATGGAGAAGGCGTTTCCGTCCGATACGCCTACATACTATCCCACACTGATGCCGGAGCAGTTCGCGGCCTGGGAACGGCGATGCAAGGAGGCGACTGGGCGATTCTAGAGCTGGTGCGGAAGACAAAGTGTTACTGATGTGTTGTGAGGGGATACCTAGAGACTAGAGAGAGGCTCGATGTTGATATTGATGTGATACTGTACGATTGTACCTGTTGAGAAGGTCGACACAAGCAAGGAACATGTGACAAATGAATCAATTTTCAACGATCAAAACCACTTGAATCAAGGCCCGTACCAAAATCTAGTCGCATGAGTGACAACTGCTCAATTGTACTTGCATAAGCAAATATTGAGGTTGCTAGCGCTGACGCCAAGTCAGTCTAGATTCGGGGTCACAGCACAGTCTACTATTTTAGACCATCACAGAGCAGCGCAATGGTTAGACCTATTTCCACAAATTAAAGAGAAACCTATAGCTCAATTATAGATCGAATCGATCGAACCATCTCGTCAATAGCCCTCGCTGGCTACCCGATAAGGATGATGAAGCATGGGCAACGGGAAGGGATCATGAAAACGAGGGAGTTTTGTTGGGAACTTTAGTACTATGCATAGATGGCGACAGGCGGCCAAACCGACTACTGTAACTACGGGATACACACCAGTACGCTCTGAACAAACCCTGGTCCAGCCTGGAGCGGTGGTAATTCAGAGCGCTAAATTGGACCCGGAGAAAATATCCGAGATCCCAGGGCAACTGAAGCTCCAAAGAAACGCCAGTAGTAACGGCCGGATCTTCGACACCCTGCGAACTGGCAAGGAGATCGAGGCCAATGCGATGGGCTGGGAATCTGCCCATCTGCTGTCTTTAAGATTGAGTATCCTGCTAAACCGCTTTGCTGCATTTCTATTGAATTTGCCGTGCTTGGACCGCGATGGCAAAAGTAAGGCAAAAAAGCTCTCTCGAGAGGAAAAGGGGACAGGCGAGGAGGGAACAGAGGGCCTTTCTCGGTCGCAGGTGGCAACAATCGTTTTCATGATGGATCATGAAAATATCATAAAAATATCACGAAAATATGCATTTAGCCGGTCGCTCTTTCCGTCTTGAAGCCCTTCTTTGGGTGTGCCATCACGTGCAGGCCTTACGTAATTGAAGAGAAGTGGGAAGGAGCTACAGTAATAAGGGGCAGGCAGCCAATGAGAGACTTGTGAAACACGTCCGGCTGTCTTTTCCGGACCAATCCGCGAGCAGGAGTGACATCAGCCCCCCGTCAGTTTGTCCTTCCTAGTCAATAATATCGCCAAACCAAACAGTAGTACAGTAGTTAGTGTCGCGACGGAGGGATGCAGATTAGGATCAGCAATGGCCAGGGTCATGGTGGGTAGGAAGGTGAAATCCGGTTTTCCGTCCCAGACCGAAGTTTCTCATGACCCTCCTCCTCGCCCCTTGTGGTTCACGGTCGTGGTAGTCATCAGTATACCAGGTCGTACTGTAAATTTTGAAGATGCAATCAGAGGAATGATACTATCTCCACTTCATTACATAAGGACAGCCCCGTCCGAAAGAGCCGACGCCAAGCCAGACCAACTGATTCTATAGATAATCAAAGGATATGGACCGGGCGGGGAGTAACTATGGTAGCTGATTCAGCCCTGGGAGGCTGCCCCGGTTAACTAGTTAACTAGTTAACTTAACTAACTTAATGTTGCCAGCGGCTCGTGCCGACCAATTGTTTCAGCAGAAATTGCTTCGTGACCGTGGAACCGAGAAAAACCGGACTCTTGGAGACTGAAAAATGCCGAAAGGATTGCGGGGGTGTCCTGCTTTGAAGTTAAAGGCCAATCATCCATGGACCATGGGGAAAGATTTCCGGTTATCAAGACCGAGCGATTAATTGCAAGTGATAAAGTGAAGCGGAGCCATGAATATGATTCGACGTCATAGGAAGAAGATCATGCCATCTGAGCATCCAGATACCAATCCCCGTGAGGAGGGCCTGGCATCATGACATCCTCCATCGACGCATTCGCAGCTATGCCGTCGAATGGTATTGAAGGATATGCTTCCTTCTGCCTTGCGCTTTTACCGTACCGGTGGCGTACTGTAGTAGATTCAATGCCAAAGTTTGCATTCCCCGATTGGAGGCAAAATTCGGCGACCAATGAGAAACTCCAGAAACAAATTGATCCCGCTTGATTTTGGGATGGGAAATAATCCCCTGTCGCGCGGCAAGTCGGCAACCAATTTAGGCCACTGCTGCGTGTCGATCTGGAGTGCGCTGGTTAAGAATATCCCTCTCCCGTAATGCGCCTTTGCGAGTATGGCCGTTCCATGATCCAAAACACTGGGAGCCCTTGCCACTTGCCCTAAACGGTCGATGCTTACCCCAGGTCACGAGCAGGTAGGTTCAACATTTGTCACGCTGTGGTCATGTCGTGCAGATACTTCCAAATCCACGTGGTAGATAGCCCGTTCGTTTGGGATCCTGTGGATATCCTAGTCTCGGGCCCGGTAAATGGATCGACTCCAACGTAAGAACCGAAAGGCGAGTCAGTCACTTGCAGATCCTGCAATTCAGCAGCGCCAATCGTCTCAGACATTTCATCAACGCAATGGCACGGCAATCACCCGCGGTGTTGGTGGAAAGGCTGGATGCATCAGCGTGCAGTATCCTCCTAAGGATGTGCGTAGGCACTGATGTATAGACAAAAAGTATCACAAACACTCTGCAACATCATTCTATCCAGGATTTCGTCTATTCAATATTCGCAAAGCAAACAGCAGATTCCGAAGGGCAGGCTCGGCCGAAGGTTCACATACTATGTATGAGTGTCGGCCAGCCTCGTACTTTTCAAGCTGTGGAGCGGAGCTCCGCGATTGGATGGACGCAGTTGATGATCATCGGTCGCTTCGTTCCGAGGAAATGGAACGCGAGTAACTGTAATAGTAAACTCTCCCGAGTATCCTCTCGCATTGGTGCTTTGCAAAGTGTGGACTCGTCGATGTAGGAAGTATAGTCCTAGTATCGCTTTTTTTTTTTTTCCTTTTTTTTTTCGTAATGCCTGTCGCCTTTTTGTTTTTCTTGCCGAGCCAACGAGAGGCATGGATTACGTTCGTATTCCAGTCTTGCATAGTCAGACCGAGCGAGGTCTTTCTAGGTCCACTTGGGAGTCTCGGCCATAACACAGTCACGTTCCCCATAGGCTTTCGCGGGCGGCGCCCCCATGTTCTCGATGCACATCCCCACCCAGCGCTGACTGGATTCCATACTAGCCCTGCCCTGAAGGACCTTGTTCCCTCCCTGTTTGTTCTCATGCCTTCGACGGTGCCAGATTGGCAGGCTATGATTCCGCTTTTCCCCAATCACTGTGGCGTTCAGTCTTGGACCAGCGAGCCACCCTGTTTGTGTGACAGGTGTTGAACCCCCCTTGCCCTGCTGTTGGCTCCATATTGGCGGCTCCCCCCTCAATCGTTCTCGGGGGTTGTCACCTGCAGGCCTCAATTGATTCAACCGGTTTCGTTCCAACGTCCGTCCCTTTTCGTGTCCTACCGGCGAGCGAGTACATAACGTAGCGATCAACCGCGATCACCCCGTCCTCTTGATCCCTTTCGAACGCCGACTCAAAGATACCGTGAGAGTTCAAGCTGAGCATTCATGTTCCTCTGCTCTATGATAGAGATAGTGTTGTGACAGTCGGTGACCTGCGTGCCTCTGTCTTTTTCTCGAGTCCACCTCGAAATCGAGTCAACGGCGAAGTTCATTTTGGTCGCTCTCCGCAGCTCGCGTCACAACAACGAATCCATGGCGGTAGATGTTCAACCAGTTGGACAGGATCTCATTTCTCTGCAACCGGAATTGCAGCGTCTCAGTCAGTTTTCGACCCAGAATATGAGCCAACCCGACCCCTCCAAACTCTTCCCTCCACTAGCACCTGGCCCTTCATCATCGCGCATATACTCCGGACAGCCATCGATGGTCGTCAGTCGGTCCAAGAAGAATTCAACGGCTTGCTTACCGTGCAAAGCTGCCAAGAGAAAGGTATATTCTTAACAACTGTCTCTCCCTAAACATGTCCAGATCGATGTCCCAAAGCTCAAGACGGGCGACACGCAACTTGAAGGGCTAACGATATCATCTCTCAACCATAGTGCTCTGGGAATGGAAAACCACCGTGCGAGGCCTGTAAAAACGCTGGCACTGCAAGAGATTGCCATTTCGACCCAACCCGCGATCTGAGGCGCAAAATTGCCGTCAAGAAAACGATTCAAGAACTCACCGATTATAAAGGCCTGTTGGACACGCTCCTGACCACAATCCGATTATCGCCGCAAGAAAAAGTCTCGGAGATTGTCGACCTGATCAAAAATAATGGTTCAATCCAAGAGCTCGCTCAGGCCGTAGGTAGCGATGCCGCCAAATTTGCTAATACCAATTCAATAGCTCTGGGGCACCATGCCATAGAAGAGGATTTGGAGCACCTTGAATTGTCATTGAACAACAAGCCTTCCACATCAACTCGAATCTCGTACTCGCCGGAACAAGGACACCAGGAAATGTCTCGAGCGGCCCTGCATCCATATGCTCGGGTGACCTTGGAAAGTCTTTGTGATATTCCCCTATTTAGGGTACCGGCAAAGCCATGGACAAAAGTTACCGATGACAACGAACTAGTGTCGCATCTAGTTTCGCTGTACTTCACATGGGACCATCCATGCGCACAATTTGTCGATCAGGAAATCTTTTTGGACCATATGAAGCAGGGCGATCTTTCCTCTGGATTTTGCTCCCCTCTCCTAGTCAATAGCCTTTTATCAATAGCCAGCGTATGGAGCCCCCAGCATATTCTGCCAGTTTCCCATCTTTTTCGAGTTTCTGATCTTTCAACAGACGTATTCTGATAGCCCTGGCGTTTTCGCGGATCCAGAAAACGCATTTTCTTCGGGGCAGGGTTTCTTTGAGGAAGCGGAACGATTGTTGAAGCCCCAGGAGGGGGTTGCCACTTTGACAAATATTCAGGCTCTCCTGATGATGTGTTGTGTGTATGTGATGTTTTTGGTCTTTTGATTTCTGTGTCCCTTGATTCGCAGCGAAGAGACTGAAGAGTTCACAGGTTGTCGCAACAGGGAAAGAGTAGTCGAGCCTGGTGGATTCTGCGAGGGGCCGTTCAGATGGCTCAGGATATGGGCCTTTTCACAGTTCCAAAGGTGGAGAATCCATCCGCGACGACACCCGAGATGCAACGAGTCCGTGCGATTACGGCGTGGGGTGTTTTCAGCTTGAATGTGTATGTGAAATCCGAGCTCCAAAGTGAGAAATGACTACTAACATCGTTCATAGTCAGCTGTCAACGAAGTTTCACAAGGTGGCCAACTTGGATCCACCTGCCTCCAGGTTAAACGTGGGTGGTGACAACGACTTCGCTTGGACCCCATACCCACGGTCAAACCAGATAAATTATACCACAAAGCCCGCGCAGCTCCCTCGGGTCAGAGAGGGCCTAGCCAAGCTAACGGAAATTCTGAACCATGTGCAAGGACTGTTGCATGACGACGATAGTAGTTTTCAAGAGTTGACAAACAAAGCCCAGAAACCATATATACTGCTGCAAGAGTTGCTGGAAAGCTGGCCGGACCCCTCCCAGACTGGAACAGTCCCAGTCCCTCAAATTCTCATTCTCCGGTAAGAGACTTTATCAGCGCGAGTTTTGCGCTGCACATATTGATAATTTCACGAAGTATCAAATGCCTCCAGGCAGGCATGAATATGCTCGAAGTGTTGATTGAGAAAGATCAAGAAGGAGCCATGTCGATTCAACTAAGACAGACTTGGTGTGAGCAGGCCGAAGCGATGGCACAGTGTCTTCGGGTCCATCGCCAATCGTATGGGTTGAAACACGTTCCTAGTCAGGTCGTTGACGCGGTTCAAACGGCCCTCCGTGTCCTGGTGCATCAACTGGATGACACTGAAAATGCAAAGAATGCTTTCACAGAGATCTGTCGATTTGGAATTGCTCTCAGTCAAAAGTTCCAACCCACGGCAGAGGCCATTAAAGCGATTCAGTTGCTTTCGCAACGCGGTGACGTACAACTGCCCATAGATGCCCTCGCGATTCTGGATGGCGTGGAGCTGAGAAAAGGGCAAGAGTGATGAGATGACACCCCAAATCCAGGCGGGAATCTGTCCAAATTGTCCAATTCAACGTCATCGAACGGTCGGTCGAGGAGAAGTTGTCCTCTCCCAGGGGTGTGGCAAGGTCTAAGGCTGGAGGGGTAACCTGTCCGGGGCGAAGGTGCCAGTACTTGAATTCTCAAGTTTCGAGCAGTTCAGTCGGCGCGAAGAGCTCACCATTTTCGATTCAAATGACGATAATCCTTCTTTTGCCGAGGGAGACGTCATGTCCTACCGAGGGCAATAGCGAGTGTCTCACCTTCTCGGATCAGCGCGAGAGCTTCTTCCATCGCGTCCTCTAGGGTCGAGGATAAGAGATGGGTTGGTTGAAGGTAGCCAGTGAAAAGAACGAAAAGATGGAAAGCCGCATCACCCTGCCCATGTTTAAAACAGGAGGTGGGTGCCCTCCGAAGTTGAAGAAGGTACGCATGTGTAGATGGAAACATTATCCGGACTGCCTCTCCTTCAACGCCGTCTTCCGGCTGTCATACATACCGTCACAGAGACGACATCCAAACCTTTGACATGCAATCATTGATTCCATGCTCGATTTGAGTCTGTCGAAAACCGATGCTGGTTTTGTGCTCGTATTTTTATGCCGATGCCTGCTCTATCAAGGATACGCGAATATCCTCTTCTAGACTAGAAGCCCTTCAGCCGCTATGCTCTTTTCCAATTGGTCATCTATACTCCGTTTGTTTTTGACTGGTATCAAGGCACTCTTGCGCCGAGAGTACTTCATACTGCAATTTTACCCAAGGTTCAGGAGTTTGATCGGCTGGTTCTCAACTATGTATATAATTTTCATCTAATCAGCGAAATCATGGGTCTTGTTTAAGCTCTTCTTCCCATTCGGGATCTCCCAGGTATTGTACTGAAGCTGAAATCTAGACGAACGACAATTCTCCGTCGTGTCCGGGTTCCAATATTCTTGGAATCCAATACAGAGAGGACAACGGCTTAAGCTCCGACCGGAGAATATCTGACGACCTATTCGACATCTAAATTGAGACCTTGTTCTTTTCTTAGGATCCTAATGACTTCCATGTTCAATTCCCGGACGATCCACTGGCACACCTCAGGTTTGAGCATAAAGCTGAGTCAGCATCAACTTTATGCGCAGATAAGATAAGCACAACACCGAAGCGAAAACCCTCAAAATTCGACTTCTTTGGCAAATCGCACACGCTGCCGACGGACGTGAACCCCCACACCCACCATCACCCTCACCCTTCCTTCCGCCCTTGCCGCCCTCCCTCGGCGCGAGAAAAAAGAATCACCTCGTCATCTCCTTTGCTCCCTCGACTTTCCTTTTCCGCCCACAATGTCCTACGACGACCGCGTTAATGCGCGCCCCAGCCTGAACGATGAGTCCGATGTCGAGGAGGAGGCTCTGGTCAACGACTACCGTGAGCAGGTCAACTTCGAGGACGGATTGAGTGATCTGGACCGGACGACATCCCTCGGTGGCTCGCAGGCCCAGGACCTTCAGGCACAGCTGGCTGCCGCCGCTACCCCGCTGGAATACCAGGCGACCCTCGAGACCAAGTTCGCCAGCTACGACAACTACTGCAGTCTCTTCCACTACATTCTGAACTCGGAGGGTCCCGTGGATCTCGAGGTTCCCTCGGTAGGTGCTCCGTTGTGTCATTTCATTGCGGGTGGTTGGACAAGACAATGAATGAAAATCCAATGCTTGGCATTCATGGGACTGGTTACTGCTACTGGATATTGAAGGACATAAAACTAACACTCGATGCTTTCCATTCTAGTACTACTGGGCCTGGGATGTTATTGATGAGTTCATCTACCAATTCGAGTCGTTCTGCCGCTATCGCAACCGCGTCGCTCGTACCGGCGGCTCCGTGGAAGAGGCTCAGCTGCTCCGCGAGAACCCCAACACCTGGGGTTGCTACTCCGTGCTGAACGTGCTCTACTCCCTCATCCAGCGCTCCCAGATCAACGAGCAGCTCGCTGCCATCAAGCGCGGCGACGACCCCGTTGCCTTCGCTGGCGAGTACGGTTCCCGCCCCCTGTACAAGATGCTGGGCTACTTCTCGATCATCGGCCTGCTGCGTGTGCACTGCCTGCTCGGTGACTTTAGCCTCGCTATCAAGACCCTCGACGACATCGAGATGAACAAGAAGGCCATGTTCGCCCGTGTGATGGCCGCCCACTTCACCACCTACTACTACGTGGGTTTCTCCTACATGATGATGCGTCGTTACGCCGATGCCATCCGCATGTTCAGCCACATCCTCGTCTACGTCTCCCGGACGAAGAACTTCCAGAAGGGTGGCAACAGCTACGACGCTATCGCCAAGAAGAACGACCAGATGTACGCCCTGATCGCCATCTGTGTCGCTCTCCACCCCACTCGCCTGGACGACACCATCCACTCCGCCGTGCGCGAGAAGTACGGTGAGCAGTTCCACCGCATGCAGCAGGGTGGCCCCGAGGCCCTGCCCGTCTTCGAGGAGCTGTTCCGCTCCGCCTGCCCCAAGTTCATCAGCCCCACTCCTCCTGACTTCGACAACCCTGCCCTGAACGTGGACCCCGTCGACCACCACACCGCCATCTTCATGGATGAGGTCAAGAACACCCTGTTCAACCCCACCATCCGCTCCTACCTGAAGCTCTACACCACCATGGACCTGAAGAAGCTGGCTGGCTTCCTCGAGGTCGAGCCTGAGCAGCTCCGCTCGTGGCTGCTGGTCAACAAGCAGCGCAGTCGCCAGATCCGCTGGGTCGAGGGTGGTCTGCTCGAGGGTGAAGCCGTCATCTCTAACGACCTCGACTACGCTCTTGAGGATGATCTCATTCACGTTAGCGAGACCAAGGCCGGCCGCCGCTTGGTGGACTGGTACCTGCGCAACCTTGCCCGCGTCTACTAAGGCGGTGGGCCTCCCTAAACAACCACCCTCCTCTATCTTGGTTTGATTACAAACAGGCCACGACCTGGTTCACGGGTCCCTGAAGAGGGTGAAAAGGTAGAGGAATGAACTGACTCTACATGCAAGAAAGAACGGTACATGACTCGAGATGAATTTTTTCTTTCATATTCTTTAAACCGCTCCCCCTCCTTGTTCTTTCCCCCCATATTAACCTCATTGTTTTCTTCTGTTGCTGGTTTTATACGCCTTTTTCTTTACCTTTGCTTCCTTGGTTTATTCGTCCCTCGGTTCAAAGGACTCGTCCATGTGGTTTTAAAATCAAGTTGGCCTATCGCGATATCTTTGGAGGGCGTACGATTCTCATTTGCCCCGGTCTGCGGTTCTGCTTCTTTGTCAGGGGGGTTGATTCACTCGCGGTGAGTGTATGTGTTGAGGTAGATGAAAAAAAAGAGATTTGATGAAATGCATAGATCAATGATTTTTAACTCCAAGTATAGTATTTCAAACACGTAGATCAGCTCAAACGGCCAAGATCCAATCTAGATCTGCCAGTATTGACAAGTCAAATGCTCCATTCACGTACCGGGCTCTCTGTAAATCCGTATCCGGATACAACTGTATTTGTTCCTGAATTTGATATCCCTTTGTCTCCCTTCGCATATACTAAAACTTCAACCTCGGAATCCCACCATGGATATCTCCAAACTTTCATCCCGACTCTCCTCAACACCCACCCGATTCCCAGGCTGTTGTCTCTCCATATCCACCACCCTCCTCACAACCCTAACAAACATCCTCCCCAAGAGACCCGCATTCACCCTCTCAATCGGTAGCGGATCCGGCCTCCTCGAAGGCCTCCTATCGCACATCAATGCATCTGTCTCAGTGGAAGGAGTCGAAGTAGCCTCGACTGTGAATCGGTACATTGCCGAAGAGGACATGCACGTCGCTGCTGGTGCTTGGGATCTTCATTCACGGTCTCAGCAGGCGGCGGCTTGGATGTTTGTTTACCCGCGGGACCCAAAGTTGGTCTCCAGGTATATTGATACGTATGGTGGTGGAAATTTGGAGGTTATTGTTTGGCTAGGGCCGAAGGTGGATTGGGTGGAGTATGAGGATTGTTTGAGGCGGTCGTTGTTTGATGAATTAGAGATTTTGGAGGAGGTTGGGCTGGCGCCTTTTGAGATTGCTGTTATTGCTAGGAGGTCTGTTTGATATGAGTGTTTCTGTCGTAATGACTGCATGACTATCCGTTTATTGGATTGTACGGAATCGAGGATACCATCGAATGAATGAGATCAATCATTGGCGAGGGTGACGCTACAATAGTACTTCAGAAGCATTCCGACTCTTGTGCCAGGTAGACAGTCTCTTAGAGAGAAGAGGGGTATACAATGCAAATTAATCTATCTTCCTGATGCGGGTAATGCCATATCTGTACACAAGAGGGAAAGAGCAGCCTTGGAAGGCTGTTTATAAAGAACCCTGCCCAGATCAGTCCATCACGTCAAAGCTCGTGCCACAGCCGCAGTTACTCGTTGCCCGCGGGTTATCCACAATCTTGAACTGGCTACCGATCAACTCGGTGGTGTAATCGACCGTGCTGCCAGAGAGCAGTTCTAGCGAGGGCTCATCCATAATGACCTTTGCCGTGCCGGCGGCGTTTGCAGCTTCCGAGGGATCTGCCTCGCCTTCGAAAATGGTATCCTCCTCCGCATCAATCTTGCTCGCTGATTCGAGTGACATCAGGTATTGGAAGCCATGGCAGCCGCCGCTGGTCACAGTGATGCGGAGGTGATGATAAGGGTTTTCTTCTTTGGTAGCGGAGGGTGAGGCGGATGGGTCGGTGATGGCGCGGAGACGCTGTTACGGTTTTCAATTAGCGCGAGCTTCATAGGAAGAAGTATCAAAAATCGAGAACGGGAGAAGAAAAACCAAAAACGCCCAGTCTGGGAAAAAAAGAACAAAAAGAAAACATACAACAGCCAGGATTCGCATGTGGTCACCCACCATACTACTAACTGGCCGGCGTGTGGCTTAAGTACGGCTGAGCGGACGGGAAGCCCTGTTCTCCACACCCTATGGTCGTATGTACCAGGATTCATGGGAAACCGAGTCAAACCGTGCGTGTCAATCGACTCGGTCCAATTCCATGCGAGATCCAATCCCGGCAGCAGGTTGACGTTCGGTCCCAAGGTCCCCGGACAACTTGCAGACTTTCCACGCACCAGAGTGCAGATCCTCAATCAAAATTGCAGACGCGCAAAAAGCCAAATAACCAAACGAAACCCCATTATACACGTACCGCCACAGCGCGAGGAGAGATATTAATCATAAGAGCCTCTCCATCATCTCCGGTTCTCGGGTTTTGCGTGATCTTGGTAGCGAGACGAGCGGACGAGGAGGAAAAGGAGGCGACGGATTGGCGGACAGGTGATGACCGAGATAGACATCCTCGTACGAATGGCCTATAAACAGGTGCACCTGCCGAAGCAGCTATAAGTCGGCGGGTAGCGAGTTGGCCGGCGGAGGAGGATGCGGAGAGGCGCAAAGCCGGTCGGGACGTTGAGAAGAGTCGGCCCTGCTGTTGGGATAACCGCCGTGCAGCTGTAGATGTGAAAAGTGGCCGCGACATCACTGTGTATGTGGAAGAGTCGCCGAGCTTGAGAGATGGCGAACAGAAACTTGGATTATCAATTATCGCATCGTTCCATCCGATGGCCGCGGGTTAGTCAGTTCGGCAGCGGTACGATTGGTCAGCTCAGGCGGAAGATAGAGGCAGAATACTGAAAAGGGTAATGGATCGGAGTTGGCGGGGAAGAGAAGTGAATTCTTTTGACTTGTGAGTCGTGAGGGTCTCTGGTTCCACTGGCTCCGAAATATTGACCAGACTTCTTCAAGTTATACAGCATCTAAGGGAGGTTAAGTTCCTCAAAATGGGTTCCAGGCAGCATCTCCGCGATATCAAATCCGGTCCCCCACTAGACTACCAGGATGATATCAGAGCTTATTCGCGGGAGTACGCCGAGGCACTGGATGCACAAGATCCTCTGCGTCAATTCCGAGACGAATTTATCATTCCTTCCAAGCAGGATTTGAAGCGAAAGACATTGGCGGAAGATCAGAGTATGTATTCTGTCGTACAAAATTCTGGACCTCCTCCGCACCAAATATACTTACATTGCTTCCTCCACAGAACATGATGATGCTTCTGATGCTACATGCATCTACCTCTGTGGCAACTCCCTCGGTGTTCAGCCTCGCAGCACTCAACGGTACATTGAGCAATACTTGCGAACCTGGGCAACCAAGGGTGTTACAGGTCACTTCGTGCCGCACGAAGATGAATTGCTACCTCCATTCGTCGATGTGGACTCTGCTGCGTCCAAGCTCATGGCACCGATTGTGGGTGCTTCTCAAAAGGAAGTCGCGGTGATGGGGACTCTCACTGCCAACCTCCACTTCCTCATGGCCAGCTTCTATCAGCCAACAAGTGAGAAGTACAAGATTATCCTGGAAGGAAAAGCTTTTCCCAGTGACCATGTATGTGGCCACACGATTCCTCATACGTCGACTGATCTTCTCATATACTGACGACGAACGAAAATCCAGTATGCAATTGAGTCTCAGGTTCACCACCACAAGTTCGATCCAAAGCAGGCTATGGTGTTGATTGAGCCTGAGGATATCGATCGCCCAGTCCTCACCACAGACCAAATCATCAAGGTGATCGATGAGAATGCGTCCAGCACTGCTCTGATTCTTTTATCCGCCATTCAATTCTACACAGGCCAATACTTTGACATTCAACGAATCACGGCCCATGCTCACTCCAAGGGCATCTTGATCGGCTGGGACTGTGCCCATGCCGCTGGCAACGTCGATCTCCGTCTACATGACTGGGACGTCGACTTTGCAGCATGGTGCAGTTACAAATATCTCAACAGCGGACCGGGTGGTATGGCTGCACTGTTTGTCCATGAACGTCACGGACAGGTAGACAACGAGGAGAATTTCCGGCCTCGGCTTTCAGGTTGGTGGGGCAGTGATCTCCAAACACGCTTCCAAATGAACAACAGTGAGACAATCGTATTGAATCATTGACTGGTAGAACGACCACTAACATCCGTTAGCATTTGTCCCACAACCCGGCGCTGCTGGCTTCCAGCTGTCCAACCCTTCCGTCCTAGATATCAATGCGGTCGTCGCCTCTCTTGAAATCTTCAACCGTGCAACGATGAAGTCGATTCGTGAAAAGTCACTCCATATTACTGGCTATCTCGAGCACTTGTTGCTCAAGTATCCCTTGGATGCTCCCCCAGAGGATAAGCCCTTCACTCTAATTACACCATCTCATCCAGCAGAGCGAGGAGCCCAGCTCAGCCTGCGGCTCCAGCCTGGGCTGCTCGACAATGTGTTGCACTACCTGGAGGAACACGGCGTGGTTATCGATGAAAGGAAACCGGATGTCATTCGGGTGGCTCCTGCACCTTTGTATAATACATATGTCGATGTGTGGGAGTTTCGTCAAATATTCTTGCATGCTTGCCGGGAGGCTGTCAAGGCTCGAGGCTGAGGGATCATGGATCTATGTGGAATGAATTCAAACAAAAGTATTTTAATGACAGAAGATGTGAAAATATATAGCTTATGGTAAATCCTGGCGCTCAAAGCGGGAGCCAACAAGTGTGCTGACGAACGGACTTTGTATTGATATGGTTTGCCTGTACATAGATACGGGCTGACCCTGCTATTGCACCACAAGCTACATGGATGATTATTTATAGGCTCGGCGAATAGCAAGCCACGCCGAGACTCCCAACCAGTTATGATTTTGACGCGGCTGTCTGTCGGAGTTAACCGCCGATAAGACGTCTTTTTGCGGAATGAAAGACTCTACAGAACGGAGTAACTACGGAGTAAGCCTGTCGGCATCTCGGCACAGGTCCGTTCATCTCCACAAAAGACTGGATCACAGCAAAATTTGGCAGGACCTTGATTCGATACCTTCCAGATAAGGGTTAGTCACATTGAAATCGAGTCATGTTCACTCCGCTCGTCCAATATGTCTGTTGTAAAATCTTTGGCCAGTACGCTGGCTGGCACTCTTCACTGCGAGACGGCCATTGCTGAGCAAAAGCAAGATGGGCACGCTAGCACAGTCAACGGCGATTGCTGTGGCACCAGAGGATGTCGAAACGGCTAGAGCTACCAGCAGCCATGCGGGGGATCATAGCGGAGATGTCGCCGATGTCGATTATTCGGTCTTCACGATTAGCCAGCGACGATTCATTGTTTTCATGGCGTCGTGGGCTGGTTTCTTCTCGCCAGTTTCTTCCCAGATCTATTTTCCAGCTTTGAATACGCTGGCTCGGGATCTTTATGTTTCGAACTCGCTGATCAATCTGACACTTACGAGTTATATGGTGGGTTGGTCTCGTGCCCTGCTTGGGAGTACATTTTGGAACTAACTTGAGTAAAATAGATTTTCCAAGGCCTGTCGCCCATGTTTATTGGTGATTTTGCAGATAAAGCTGGAAGGAGGCCTGCCTATATCGTGTGTTTCGCCATCTATATCGCCGCCAACATTGGACTGGCCCTGCAGAACAACTACGCGGCCCTCTTCGTCTTACGATGTCTACAAAGTGCAGGAAGCAGTACCACAATTGCCCTTTCTTCAGGGGTCGTGTCTGATGTGGCCACTGCGTCCGAACGTGGATCCTACATGGGCTTCGTCACCGCTGGTTCTCTTTTAGGGCCGTCGGTTGGCCCGGTCATTGGAGGTCTACTCTCGCAGTTTCTCGGCTGGCGAGCGATTTTCTGGTTCCTCGTCATCTTCTCGGGTGCTTTCCTAGTCCCATTCTTGATTTTCTTCCCAGAGACCGCACGAGGTGTCGTCGGTGATGGTTCAGTGCCGCCTCAAGCCTGGAACATGTCCTTGACAAGTTATCTCAAAGCCCGGAAAGCTCGCGAGGAAGGCATCGAAGTTCCCGTCAGCTCATCTAGGCAGAAACTACGGTTTCCCAACCCTCTACAGACACTGGCAATTGTGGCTCAAAAGGACATCAGCATCCTCCTCTTTTGTAATGCTATCCTCTTCGCTGGTTTCTACGATGTCAGTGCCACAATTCCCTCAATTTACAACGAGCTATACGGTCTGGACGATCTCCAGATTGGACTGTGCTACATTCCATTCGGACTTGGGGCTTCTGTTGCATCCATCCTGAACGGAAAGTTATTGGATTATAATTACCGCCGCATAGCGAAGCAACTACGATTTCCTCTCGTCAAGAATCGCCACACGGACCTGAGAAATTTCCCAATCGAGAAAGCTCGCCTCCAGATTGCCTTTCCGATGCTTACAGTTGGAAGTCTCTCTATCCTGGCTTTCGGGTGGTGTTTGAACTTTGGAGTTCCTTTGGCTGCCCCAACCACGATCTTGTTTCTGATGGGGTTTGCGCTGACAGGAGCTTTCAACACTATGAGTACGATTCTGGTAGACTTCTATCCGACACAGGCTGCCAAAGCCACAGCGGCCAACAATATTGTGCGATGCTTGCTCGGGGCTGGTGCGACCGCTTTGATTGACCCCATGCTTGCAGCCATGGGCCGTGGATGGTGCTTCACTTTCGTGTCGCTAGTTATGTTAGCGACATCTCCGTTGCTCGTGCTAGTCATCTACAAGGGGCCGAAATGGCGCGAAGAGCGTCGCCAAAAAGAAGACGCCAAGAAAGTTGAGACAGAGACGAGCCTTACGTGTGAGAAGTGAAGTTTGTCGACAGTGATCCTTGGGATAGAACAACACTCGGTGTCCTTTTCATCATTTGCAATGCCGTTATGACGAAATTATGCATAAAATATACAGATACCCTTATTAAAGCATCAGATATACCAGAGTGCTTTTTGTCTTTCTTGCTATTACAAGGGTTCGGATATCAATCATAATACAACCAAAGAATTGCCAATCTCAAAGGATGCCCCTGTACTTATGCGACTATCACTTCATTACCCTATATCACCTGAACGCAAAGTAAGCCCGCTCCAAAGGCAGCCTCTCTAATTCCCAAGCAAGCCAATCCGATCTCGTAGTCCTGCTCGAAATGTCAGTACCCAGCACCAATAGAATAGACCCCAGTATCAAAACATACGGCAACAATCCCATCGCATTGACTTTCCAGATACCCAATGCCAGCAGTAGGAACTGCATCAACACATAGACCAGCTTCACAACCACCAGACGACCGCGCGTCGAGGGCGTCTCGTATTTAGCGAACGCCGCATTGGTGTTTATCAAGCCCTGGATGGGGCCCTTGAACAGCATGAACACCATCATAATGCTGAAAATCTGGAGGCTGTTGCCGGACATGTACATCATGATTCCGTTCATGGGGAGTTGCTTGGACGGAGCGATGGCGATCTCCCAGGCCTTCTTCATCTTCAGGGCGTCGGTCTCTTCGGGTTTCTTCGCGGTTGGTTGCTGCTGCTGTTGCTGGCGCTGGTAGAGGTTAGCACTACGCTTCTTGATCAGAGTGGCGTAAAAGAACTAGAAAGCTCACCTGTTTACCTCCCCGGCCGCTGGAGAAACCTGGTGGATCCGGGATGCTGGAGGCGGCTTTGGTGGGACGCGGCAATGGGGAGTTCATCGCGACCACCCATTGCGGTGGAGGCGGCGGCGGTAGAGCAGACGACATATTTAAAAGGTGCCAAAGAGAATCCGATTCCACCTGGCCGGGAGAAAACGTGTGATGGGTGGGGGTGGGGAGGAGATCACAAAGTGGGAGAGAGGACGGATCCTGCCAGGAGGTGTCCTCCGCAGCTTGTCCACTGCCACTCCGCCTTGCGCCTCGATTCTCCTTTCCCTCCGCGTCCCTATCTCACTCGCTTTTTCTTCTTCATCCCACGCCCCCTCAATTTGCCTATGGGTCTCGATTATGTCCGGTCAATGATCCTCACTGTCTTCAATTCCCTCGACCGGGCCACAGTCGTGGTGCAGTGAACACACTCGCCGTTTTTTCGACCTCCAGACCACGTCCCTCCAGAGCCGCGATCTCCGAGACGTACGAATACCATCGATTTTGGTACCGATTGAAAGCTTGGCCTTGACTGAACCCGACTGCCTCGAGACAATTCTATCGCTCGTCTGTCGTCTGTTATTCATTGGGTCGCTGCCAAGTTCGCCCCAAATCCCCGAAGTGAAGGAGTCCTTAATAAGCTCGTGTGATTCGACTACACAGCAGCCATGAGTTCCGGAGGCGATGCGAAGCTTTTCGCTAGGGTACGTGATAACCTCTTATAATTTCTAGTCGGCTTGACCGTCCGACTTGCCCAGTGTGGCTATACCCCCTTCCCCGCATCTTGTCCCATGCGCTGCTCGTCTTAAATATGACAGGGCGCCGAGATAAGCCTGCCCAAGTTCCTTTCTTTGTGTCCCTGGTATTCCCCCTCTTGCTTTTCTACACTGTTATACCCTAGCGCTTGTTTCAACCATGCTTGTCGCTTTCACCCCATATACTCCGCCTCTTGGCTTACGCTTTGCGCGAACTCCACAGGGCAAGGTTGCCGAGTTGCGACAAGAACTTAATAGCGGCGGCAAGAAAGATAAGAACTATTCCGCCAAAAAGATCGCCTTGAAGAAGATTGTCGCCAATATGACCATGAGCAATAACGATATGGTTGCGCTATTTCCGGACGTTATCGAGTGCATGAACCTACCGAGCTTGGAGATAAAGAAGATGTATGTTGGGATGGATGAAGCGAAGCGCCTGCTGACCTGCGGGGCACCAGCGAGGCATGGGAATCACACTCGCTAATTCGTATGCTAGGTGCTTCTTGTTCTTGGTCAACTACTCGAGGATGAAACCCGAAGTTGCGATGAAGGCGCTGCCAATTCTGGTTGATGTATGGGACTTGTAAATTCAAAATGGAAAGCACCTACAAATGATGGATATCTAACCCGTGCCGATAGGACATGGAAGACACCAACCCACTCGTGCGCGCCCTAGCCCTACGAACCATCTCATACGTCCATGTGCGCGAGTTTGTGGAGGCAACGTTCCAACCGCTGAAGCGCCTGATGCAAGATAACGATCCATATGTTCGCAAAACAGCCGCCTTTTGCGTCGCGAAGCTGTATGAACATGACAAGAAGACGGTCGAGAACTCTGATTTGATTGACCGGCTCAACCGGATGTTGAAGGATGAGAACCCGACCGTCGTCTCAAGCGTTTTGGCGTCTTTGTGCGATATCTGGGGTCGCAGTGAGTCGATCTCACTCACCATCGACTACGTCAGTGCTTCAAAATTGGTTTCGATCTTGCCTGACTGTTCCGAGTATGATTCTCTCAACCCGCATGACTTGCAAACGCATACTAACTGACTGGACAGATGGGGTCAGAGTTATATCCTTGAGGCCTTGATGTCCTACGTGCCACAAGATACCGCCGAGGCGCTTCTGCTGGCAGAGCGAGTTGCCCCACGTCTCTCTCATCAAAATTCTGCGGTCGTTCTCACTGCTTGTCGAGTCATTCTTTATCTTATGAATTATATCGCCGACGAAAAGCACATCACTTCATTATGTCGCAAACTATCGCCACCCCTCGTTACATTGCTCTCCAAACCCCCAGAGGTCCAGTATCTGGCACTGCGAAATGCCATCCTGATTTTGCAGAAAAGACCAGAAGTCCTGCGCAATGATATTAGGGTGTTTTTCTGCAATTACAATGACCCAATCTACGTCAAGGTGACGAAGCTGGAGTTGATGTTCATGTTGACGACGAAGGAGAATATCTCGATCGTTTTGGCAGAGCTTCGAGAGTATGTGCCCACAGTCACCACCTTATCCTTAGTTAGATACTAATCAGTCTACTGCAGATATGCCACGGAGATCGATGTGCATTTCGTTCGCAAGGCAGTGCGCGCCATTGGAAAGCTGGCGATCAAGATCGAGTCCGCTGCAAAGCAGTGCATTGATACACTCTTGGAGCTGGTTGGCGCCAAGATTCCCTACATCGTCCAAGAGGCGACGGTCGTAATTCGCAATATCTTCCGCAAATATCCCAATCAATACGAGAGCATCATCAGCCACGTGATCCGCAACATTGACGACCTTGACGAGCCGGAGGCAAAGGCAGCCGTCATCTGGATCATCGGCCAGTATGCAGATCGTATTGAGAACTCGGATGGGCTCCTCCAGGACTACTTGGCTACATTCCACGACGAAACGATCGAAGTGCAGCTGGCCCTGCTTACGGCCACCGTCAAGCTGTTCATCCAGCGGCCTACCAAGGGTCAACAGCTCGTTCCGCAGGTACTCAAGTGGTGTACGGAAGAGACGGATGACCCAGACCTCCGTGACCGAGGATACATGTACTGGCGTCTGTTGTCCACCGACCCAGCTACTGCGAAGCAGGTCGTGATGGGTCAGAAACCACCCATCACGGCCGAAAGCGAGAAACTCGACCCGCGCACTCTGGAAGAACTCTGCCTGAATGTCGGCACCCTGGCTACTGTCTACCTCAAGCCCATCCACCAAGTATTCCGTGCCGCACGGCCCCGCAGACTTCAACACAGTCCAGCCTTGCAACGGCCTCGGGTAGAGGACGGCACCGCCAGCATGTTGGAATACAACCCTCCCACTGCCAACATGGCCTCCGCATCAACCAGCAACAGCGGCCTCGCCACAATCACCACGACGGGTAACCCTATTAGTCCCGTCAATGCCCCTCCTCCCCCAACGTTCCCCGTCAACCCTAACGCGACTGGAGGCGCAGCTGGTGCTGATGCCATCAATGCAGCGGACAGCTACTTCAATGGTATTGGCTCTCAGCAAATGGCGGTGATGGATCTGGGCGGACGTGGAGACGGTGGAGCAGGCGGCGGCGGCGCCCCTCAGACGCAGTTTGTGGTCACGCAGAACCAGCAACAGGGCTACCAGCCGCAGTATGCGGGTGGTGCTGCTACGGGCGAGTTGCTGCTGCTGTAGGTTTAGTTGTCGAGGTGTAATTGTAGATAGAAAGCATTGATATCTGATTGATAAGCGATACAACTTGGTATAATTTGTCTCTTAGCGGGTTGTACCAGGCGGTTAATGCATAATTCATGACCGGCATAACCTATGCTTAGTAGAGCTATCGCAGCTGTTCTGAATCCACGCAGAGCATTTTCAAGTGTACATGTCTCGTGACCTATTTAGATTGACTGCTTTCAATCATATATGCTACTTGGTCATTAGAATCACTTCATGGTTTAGTATGAGCCCCTAGATGAGTGACCTCAGTGCGCTACCTGGCACGTCTTGCAAGGAATTCAAAGGGATTCAAATTCGTGTAAGGATTCGCCAAGTCCACCATTCCTTAGTTTTGATCCTTGATCACTAACCTAGCACGATTCTACCCTCTGAACCATACAACCTCACTCTCTGGTCATTTTCAAGTTTCCCATTCACTGAAGGTTGTTCGTCCTGACCCCCTTCGTATATGAACAACAAGGGCATCACACTGTTTTTCCACGTGGGAACCACGGCTCTTCGACTCTTCAATATAGTACCCACCAAGGTAATAATACCTAGCAGCCATACCAGAATTGGAAGAGCAATCCATTGCCAATGCACGGCAACATATGTCATGTTCGACATTGCCTGGCCCACGGTGGGGGACTTCGATCCCGTAGAAGAGGGCGTCGAGTCTCGGAAGGACTTTTCCATCGCAGCAGCGGCGTTTTCCATAGCGCAACGGAGTTTCGCGGCGCCCGTGGCCGTACAGCCGGTGATATTCGAGATTGAGATGGCCTGCATGAAATCGGCGCTGGCGTATGCAAATTTGTCGCTTGGATTAAATGCAAGACTATCAAGGCTTAACTGCACGCTACCAGCGAAGAAACTTATCATAAAGTCGTCTATGGCAGACATTATTCGCAGTGGTATCGAAAAGGTCGTGTTATATGCAACGCCCATCTCTGGTCCCCAAGTGGGCTGGAGGGAATAATCGGCCGTCCCATTGGTGATAGAACCATTTGCCCAGATGGACAATGTGTCTTCCTGATAGACGCCCCCCGTGACCGCAGTGTGAACCCTTCGGGCTATGGGTGTCAGCGTGCATTCCATTGCTTGCCATTTAGTCGAGTTTGTGAGGAATTGATTAGTGTTGACGGACTCCTCGGGTGCGATAAGCTGGATGTGGCTAAAGGCGGGTTCTCCTTGGATAATGGAGAGGTTGGTCATTCCTGCAACGACAGCAAGTCCCACCGGTGAGTTCTCAATGAAATTGGCAGAGATCGGACTTGTCGAGGAGTTATATTGAATATAGATAGTGCAATTGCTATCGCCGCCATCTGTAAGATTGGCTGCGATAGTATTGCATTGGATATCCAAGTAATCCGTGATATCGGCACATATCGCTTGCATTCCCAGGGAAGCTATTGGATCCCACGTGCAGTTTCCAGTGCTGCATGTGTAGTTGGGAATTGACCATGGCTTCGATGAGTCGCTATTGAATATTGAATTGTAGACGTTGGCTTTAAGTGCTTGGTCTACGTAGGCCTCTTTTATGCCGTTCTGATTAGCGACACTCAAGGCCGGATGCGTGCTTTCCGACTTACCTCCTCCCAGTTCAAATTCTGGGCCGATGGTATCGTACACAATATTATTTGATACAACCGCTGTTTGTGTGGCATCAGGTGAGAGCTTCGGGTAATATTGAATAAGATTCTGGGTGAAGGGATCGAAGGCGAGCGCAAGAATGATGGCCAGACTTCCTGGGGTAGCAAAATGTCTAGATCATGAGCGACCAGCCGTAGTGAGGCTATTAGAGATCTACTTACTTTGCACGTAAATCCCACATGAGCATCGCACTGCCAAAGAACCCTCGACTCGCTGCATCGAAGGTCTGCAAATCAGATATGGCCCGCGACTTCTGGGTGAACCACAGCCACTTCAGCTGCCCTAGACTCTCGCTAATGGCGAATAAGACAGATCCTTTAGAGATAGTACTTAGCCACGATATTAATGAGTTCAGCGACATATGCTCCCAGTGCGGTTGAGGGTGATGATTGAAGGAGGCCAATATCACAATAATGGCGATCAAGAGGGCCGTGGATAGAACCACAGCCAGTAGCTCCAAAACGAACAATTTCGACGCTAAACTCCATAAAGAAGAATTTTCTCTCGATTTCAGTTGATTGTTTTGGTCTCCTGGATCAGAATTTACGAGCGATTCACTTGCTGGTTCATGTGGGCTGCTCGGAGTTTGCGCTGGCTGCTCATCCTTCTGGTTCGGTTCCATGTTGAATAATTGCGAGAAGCTCCCTGTCAAAGTAGTGGAACAACACAGACTTATACAGGAAAAGCGGACGTAAATTGCTTTCTTGAGAAAGAGTCCCAATTTCAAATAAATAAATTGCTCAGGCCCGGTAGCGTGCAGATCAGCCACAGCGCGACGGTGATTTGCTTTCCCAAATGTGCACTCGGGCATAGTTTGGGGGCCATGTAGGTTCACTGTATAGTGCATACATACTACTGCAGAGCCTCCTTAGTGCATGCTTAATAGGTTAGACACTCCGATAAAGGTCTAAGCGAGTCAGGCTAAGCATTTAGGGTCTGGAGGACCTGGGGCTTGCTTGCTTGTCGGCTGGAGAGGCCTCATCATAGGAATTGGAGGAATGGCCAGCTCCAACACTGCTGCAAAGACACGAGGGGATGTCTGGATAATAAAGCACTCGCTCTGAGTGAGTCGTCTAGTAGGATGGGCTTTCGTCTGGGGGACAACCCGAGTACTCCAGGCCATGCTGGATTATAGTCAGGCAGGGGTGAATACAGTAATAAGCCCCGGCCTCACGCACTGCAGTAGGGGTAGGTATGTACTTTGTTGTTATGACCCCTGCAACTGCCACGTAAATACTGGGGGCGCTTTTCAAACCCCCCATACTATGGGTCCAGCGGGGGCCAATCAAAGCTGCGTAGGAACAACATGCTAGGCCAAAGTCACGCCTAATTCCATATAGGAAGCGGTGGGAGTCACCAAAGGGCACAGATATATTGCACACTACTACACTCGAACGTGATGAGGGGTGATTGAGGCTGATGTTTCATGGTCACTTTCCTCTCCTTCGGCGATTGCCCTTCGAACAAAAAGCTTTCTCTTCTATCTGTGAAGATTGACCACTCTTAGCTTCTTCAAAGTGAGGTATATCGAGCTTTAGTGTTTCCTGAAGAGTGGATGGGCTCAAACGAGGAGCTATTTGAGATGTAACGAGAGTTCCAGATCGGACAAGACACTATTCACCAGGGTGATATTGCTTCCAGGGGAGAACATCCATGTCGGACCCAAATATGTACACCTTGGGCTGGATCTGTGCACTAGAGGTGGAATAAGTTGCCGCGAAAGAGGTGCTCGACGAAGAGCATGAAAACCCGAGTTTTGTCTCGCTAAATAATAAATGATTACACTGGGCAAATTTTGCGAACACAACATTGTCTCATCGCTGTGCTTCCAGGCGGTGAGTATGAATAACTTCTGTGGCCAAAGTTGCAACAAGCATGCTCCGCAGCTTCCCTTATATGCGGATCGGCCTCTTTGTTGGCATTAGTGGCGGTGTTCCGAGTGAAAAGACTTGACATTCGCCTGGGTAGTATTGTTGTTAGCACTCCTATAGCGGTCACTGTCGCGTATTTGAGAAACGCTGGCGAAGTTGAAATGGCCGTCAGACTCACCCAAAGATAGGCAAGCACCTAGATGCGACACTGAACCTATCTCTGGACTTATTTACCTCGTTTTTGTTCATTTGGTGAGAGAAATTTTGAAAATGACAGTGAAAGGTGCCAAGTCCTCTATCATATCCATACCAATGAATGTCAATGAGGCCTACGAGAAGAGACTTGGCAAATGAGGCGCTGAAGCCGCTGTGCGAAGAGCTTTTAAGCTTAATTCTGGCAGCGCATCGACCACCGACGCTCCCGGAGCTGTATATCGCAATGAATGTAGATGGCAAATCGAAATGGGTTCACGACCTTAATCTGGAGGGCGATGGGAACTTCGAAGATCGGGTCAGAAATGTGTTGCTTGTTCTTTTCAATTCATCAGAATAAGGTCTATCTCATCTATCAAACTGCTAGCGAGTTTTCTTTTTGCCATCTCATCAGCTTCCACGGAAAGAATTGGGAACGAAGTCCCTTGGAGAAGCTCTTTCGCAAGCGAAAAAAAAAACGCAAGGTTCTTGTAGAAATCTGCCTTGCTTTTCTTTCCTTATTGAACCACGACGATATGCTCACAGGTAGTTCGGCAGACAGTTGTACCTTTGATAGGTCTAACATCTTCTTCCCTTACTCTGCTGAGAGCTGGGCATATCATTTTGGCTAAGTTGATATTAGCCCTGGGGGCCATGTTAGGCCCGATGATGGAAATTTACGATCCAGGGTCGGTAAGCTGCAGGATCTGGGTCGCCAATTATTATCGGAAATCCCGAAGAAGAGAACCCATCGAGGGCTAAGCCAGTCTCATGATAGCTTCTCATTTCGGCGTCGACACGGTTGTGAAACTCTTACTCGAGGGGAATGTTGACGTCAATGCAAAAAGCAATTTCGGATATTAACCGCTGCTTTAGGCTATGGAAAGTGGGCACGAAGCTATTGTAAAGTTACTCCCTGAAAGATTTGTAGATATTCATTCCAAAAATGGCTTCGTTGAGACTTCACTCTGCCTGGCTCTCCTAAAAAGGAACAAAATCTTCGTCGATCTACCCTTGGGGAAAATGTCGATGTCAATGCAAGATGAGACCAAGACGGTGGGTGAATCACCGCTTCTAGAGTGGTGGGAAGGTAAGACTCGGTGTGAAGGGAAAAGAGCTGTCCATTGAAGAGAGAAGAGTTGCCAGTGTTAAAAAAAAGGTCGACCTATTTTAGACAGAAGGAGGCCAAAATTATAGAGCGAAAAAACAAGTGGGACAAGCCAGGATCGAACTGGCGACTTCACGATAGCAGAGACTGGAGTTGTTCTTCAGTCGTGCACTCTCCCAGCTGAGTTATTATCCCAATTTCCGGATTTCTTGGCAAGAATTTGCCAACATAAGCATGTTGGTTGGCGACATCTTCCGATGGGCACTCGACAGTCGTGGCAGAGTCGGCTTTTACTCTCCACACTTAAATCTTCACCATTCCATAAAATGTGACGCGAAGTGTCTATAATCAAACTAACCGAACGTTTCCAGTTGATTTCCATGTGGAGAATTCCGAGTGACATCATATAGACTCCAACTTAAGATGTGGTTCCGAAATATCCATTAGATCGACATGTCCGGTCGAATGGAACAAGAGATATTGGCCATGACTTCGTATATACTGTCTTAGATGGTATGTATCCTGGTTAGTTAACACCTAAATACGAACTCGCCGCGCACACGCTCGGCTGGAGGCGGATATATATGGCGACATGCTGGCCGATATCGGGTACATGCCACGCCCTTTTGAGTTATTTATAGTCGATGGCCTCATAAGTACTGTAGTTGAATCTGTAAATCTATATAGTTGATGTGCGCTATCCCAGATATAAACACAGAACCATATACGCCTTGAATAGGTAGTCAAAAACATCAAACTCCTCAATCATGCAATCAACCCTCTCGATTCCAGATCTAAATGCCAACCCATCCCCCCAACGCATCTTCATCGTTGGCGGGGGCATAGTCGGCACCGCTCTAGCATTCTACCTCTCCCAAGCAAAAACAAATCGCCACATCATCCTCCTCGACCGATCTCTCAAGAAGTCCCTAGGATCAACTGGCCATGCACCAGGGTTCGTGGGCCAACTCAACGAGTCGCCCGTCCTAACACGACTCGCCCAGGATACCGTTGCCGAATACCTCACCGTCCCGGGTGGATTCAACACCGTTGGAGGATTGGAGCTCGCGTCCACACCAGCAGGTGTGCAGACATTACAATCCCGATGCGAGAAAGCATGCGCTGCGGGTCTGTCTGCGGAGATGATCTCACCCCAGGATGCAGCTGCTTTGGCTCCAGACTTTATTGACCACGAGACTGTCATGACGGGCTTACATTTCCCGTCTGATGGTACGGCTAATGCGCAGGTCATTATGTCCTATTTTATGCGGGAAGCTCGTGCTCGAGGCGTGGAGTTTCTGGAAGTGGCCGTGACTGGCTTCACCAAGAAGGATGCCAATGACGGATTGGCTGGGGAGATTGCAGCTATTCGTACTGCGAATGGGAATATCGACTTGACAGGCAGTACTGTTATCCTTGCCACGGGCATCTGGACATCTCCTTTAACTGGAAGTCCTGGTCAGGACAAGGAAGCCCCACTTACCAAGCTCCCAGTCCCCATCATCCCCGTTGCACATCCATACACATTCACAGCCCCCCGACCTCCTCGCACCGGAAAACCATATCCATTCGTCCGCTGGCCAGAACACCACGTCTACGCTCGAGACCACGGCGATCACGATGGTCTGGGTAGCTATGACCATGTGCCACTTGAACTAAGGCCCGATCATAGCGCCATCGGATCATGGCCCTCCAGCTTCGATCAAGTCTTATCAGAAGCTACCTCGCACTTGAAGAACGGAAGCGCCTTTCTAGCGCAGGGGCGCCAGGATGACTCGAATCCCTTCGAGGCGAAGAGGCCGTTCAATGGGATTTTCTCGGTGACGCCAGATAATGTGCCGCTGGCGGGTAGGGTTCCTGATGTTTGTAATCTGTGGCTTTGTGCTGCGATTTGGGTTACTACGGCTGCTGGAACGGCCAAGCTCATCTCTCGAGAGATTCTTCGTGAACATCAGGAGGTGGTTTCGGCCAGTGACGAAGAGGTTCTCATGGCTTTGGATCCGGCGCGTTTCCAGGGGGTCGAGCCTGAGATACTCACTGCTCAGGCGCTGGAACGGTATAACAATATCTATAATAAAGAGACTAGCAAGTGAGCATTGTACCGGAATGAACAGATTATGGCGGGTTAAGTTGGATTGTTCCCGATGGGGGTGATTTGGTGCAAGGCTAGTAGCAGACAGATCATAAAAATGCTTCATTGGTGGCTTTGTTCGACCTGAGAAATCACGCTAAGAATATGGGTTAAAATGCACTCAATACAATACATGATACGTGTCCCTGATAGACGCAATTTTAATCATAAAGAGAACTGCTCAAAGGGCAGGTCCACATCATGGACCAAGGGCAGGGTCAGAAATCCTTAATCCTCCTCCATCTTGGACAGTCCACCTCGACTGCGCCGAATGCGTTCATCCAGGCTATCTTCCTGCACACGCTGATGTACCTTGGACATGAATTGACCACGGTCAGAGCGTAGCTTATCATCAGCCTCCTTCTCTTCCTGCTCTTTCGCACTGATCTCAGAAATCCGCTGGCGTCGTTCTGCTTCAATCTCACTAGCGTTTGATTGCATTTCCGCAAGCTTGCGGAGGCGTTCTTCCTCCTGCTGCTTGGGATCTGGCTTGCTAGGCGCGGTGCGGGGAGGAGGTGGGCCGCGATTTCGATTGTATGAGTCATTGCGATTATTGTAATCGCGGCGAGGGTAGTCTCGTCGGTCGTCGTTGCCACGATCGTTGCGGGGTTGGGCTCGCTGCGAAGAAGGGGAGCTTCGGCGAGGTGATGATCGTCGGGGGGATCTCTCACGGTCATTATCACGGTCACGCCTAGCACCCGAATCTCGATCTCCAGCTTGGCCAGTGTAGGAATCCCTCTTCTCTCTGTAGTCACGGCGGTTACTTTCACCATCGCGGTCGCGGTCGCTTCGGCGAGATCGATCGCCTCGACGGTCGCGATCGTCATCTCGACGGTCACGGTCATCGCCCCGGCGTCGATCCTCTCGGCGATCACGGTCGTATTCACGGTCTCGCTCGCTGCGGTGTTTGCGATGAGATCGCTCTGGCGAAGCTGGCGACCTAGATCGATGCCGACGCTCGCTCCTATGATGACGGTGTCGGCGATCATCCTCTCCCTCATCACTATATCGATGGCGCTTGGAATCATGATCGCGATGGCGACGATCTCGGTCCCGGCCACTTTCCCGACCACTATCGCCTTTGCGTCGCGCTTCCCTCTCCTTGCGCCGAGCAGCCTCCATAACCGCAGCTTCATATGCCGCCTGTTCTCTCTTCTTGACTTCGAGCAGCGGGTCGTTCAGAACTTTCGTCATGGTGTCACGCGCAGATCCGACTGACGGGCCAGCCGCCGCATTCGCCCCAACCACGTCCGCGCCCTTCTCGAGCTTCTGGTTATCGGTGTCATTTTTCAACAGGATGCCGTCGATACGTCGTTTTCCCAGCAGGTATCCCTCCATTTCTTCAGAGTAGTGGCCCGTTGAGCTGGAGGGGGCCTGGTACATCCAGTCGACTCGAGATATTGGCGCGGTCTTGCCGGAGGCTTCTTGCAGGCGCTGGAGCTCTTGGATCTGGCGCTCTTCTTCGCGTTCACGTCGCAGTTGATCGACTTTCTTGCGCTCGTCGAGAGCGCGCTTTTCCTGCTGCCATACGCGCTCCTGGTTGCGGAGCAGCGATGGGTGCCATGACCTGCGACGGGGTTAGAAATGTTGCCTTTCTCACAATTTGAACACCCCGGAAATAGGTGACGAGGTAGAATACTTCAGGAATAGAAAAGGTACTTACTTCTTCAAGTTCAGATCGCCACCCATTGTGGAGGTGGTGTAGTGAGCTGTGATGTTGCGGAGGTTGAAGTCGGAAGGTGCCCGATGAGGAAATGGGGCAACGGCATTGCCATTTTAAGCCTGAGGCAGGAATGAATCACGTGGCGCTCAAAGTGTCACGACAGGGTCTGAGGTTGATATTACCTTTTAGGGCCGTTATAATACAGATTGGGATAATAACTCAGCTGGGAGAGTGCACGACTGAAGAACAACTCCAGTCTCTGCTATCGTGAAGTCGCCAGTTCGATCCTGGCTTGTCCCATTCTTTTTTGATTTTGCTTATGGGTCCCGTACAGCGTCTTGATCTAAGCCCACTATTATGCTTGGCGAGCATATAGAATTTTTGTACTACTCAGGGTGTCCATTTGCACTGTATAAAGTAATAAACGAAGGTGTTCTAATAATGCTAAGTATCGAAAACGGAGTAATGGCTCAATGTCCTTAGTCTACAGTTGCTTTGATGAATCGAAATGAATACATTGCAAATAGATACAAGGCAATGAAGAATATGAAAATTATAGCAGAACGAAAAACATGGGTCATGCAGAATTTACCAGAGGTAAATAAGGGGAAAGGGGGCGCAAAGAAAGGGTGTGTGCACGCTCGCTCAATTCTCCATCAAAAACAAACCATTCCGGCTATCTCATTACCACATAAGCAGGAAGGTTATAAACGCACAGGGGAAGAGACAAGGAAAAGGATCAGCTAGGGGGATGGGTAGCGGGGGTCACCTATAGGGGAAGGGGCATAAACGAATCCGACCATAACTCATACACGGTCATGTGCTGGTCTAGAGGGCATAGGGCTTCGCGCTGATATGAGCGAGACAGAGGACATCAAGTTGATCAGCTTATCTGGTAGGCTCCCAGCCCACCCAGCTGCGAGGCATCACGCGCCAGACCTTGCACTCGCCACTACGAAGATCATTCAGCTTGAAACTCTCCATCTTGACCTTCTTGCTCTCGCGTCCCTGTTCCCAAGCTCGGATCTTCTTCTTTGTACCATCCCAGTCAACGACAATACCGACATGTTCGGGTTTGCCCACCTCAGCACTATACTTCTGGTGCATAGTACCACGGTGACCCTGGAACCGAGCGTTTCGGAAGCTAACAATGTCACCAGCGCGGATCTCATCATTTTGAGTAACAGAAGCGTTGGCCAAGTTTGAGTAGACCAAGGCGCCGTAGGCACGGGTTCCGACGGGGAGGAGCGCATCAGACAGAGGGTTCAGCAGGTGCTGAACCAATCCGTTAGGGGTGCCGTCTCCAACAGTAGAATTTTGGATCCCGTTAACGGACTCTGAAATTCGAGTTCCATGCTGAAGGTGCGCCTGCTCCAGTTGATCCTGGCGGGGTTGGAGAGGTGGCGGCTCATGACGCTGTTCCAGAGTGACATCCGCAGGGTTCTTCGCGTCGAAGTGGGCCGTCACCACGGTTTGCGAGTAGTCCATGAAAAGGACGTAAACTTCCTTGGATACGGTAGTCTCACCACCCCGTTTCGTGGACGAAGACTCCTCAACTTCGAAGAGAATGTCCTTGCGGTTCTGGAATACTGGAGGAGTCGTGTTGGGCTGGGTCCACCACAGGGAACTCTCTCCAAGGTCAACGTCAGTGGCAATGAAGCCTTGGTCAACTGAGGGCCGGGAAACGTCCATCGATCGCCGCTGAGCCCGCATCAAATCCATGGAAGCGCGGCCGCTTCTAGCAGCAGAAGGTGAGGGCATGGCTGGAGCCTGGCTCTGCGGAGGGGGTGGCAGCGCGAGAGAAGGTCGCTTCTCATGGAGTGAAGGAGGCTGCTCATTAAATGGACTTTGAACTGGAGACGCCTCATACATATCATCGTAGTCGTCAGTTGCGGTCTGCGGAGGAGGAGGAGGCGGGGCTCCCGGGCGTCCACTGGGAGGTGGAGGAGGAGTGGGCAGCCCTTGTTGAGGAGCAGCATAATTGAAAGGATCATACTCTTCCTCTTCCTCAGCGTCACCACGAGGGGCCTCTCTAGTTGGCGGGAGTGGGGGAGGTCCCCTAGGCGTATCTATGGAAGGACGAGCATTTCGCGGCGGTTGGCTTGGTGGTGGAGGTGGAACTCCCCGAGGGGCAGCGGTGGGTGGAAGCGGTGGAGGCAGGCGAGATTCCTGAGGGCTTCGAGGGGACTGAATAGAATGGTCATCGGTGATCGTTCCCTCGTCAAAACTCGAGTCTCGCTCGTGCGCCCTCAAAGCATCCTTATGCTTGACTCCGGACGCAATATCAGTATCGTAATCTCCATCATATTCTGTCACCTCTCCTTCAACATCTTCACCAGCCTGTCGGGGAGCACTCCCACGGCTATCAGCTGTGGACCGCCGACGAAGTTGGCCTGGGGGTGGTGGAGGTGGCGCACGGCCCTGTGCTGGAGGCATTGGTGGATTAGTCGGGATAGGAGGAGGTGGGCGACTTGCTCTCTTTTCGGCGGTTGGGGTCGGACCCAATGGGGGTGTCGAGTCATATGTTGATGGGCGGCGAGCATCCACACGGTCAGGAATAGCCGGCGCAGGCACTGCAGGCGGCTGAGCAGCGTCATCTAAGGACAAGGTCTTTGCATGCACGGAGAGTTCGTCATCGGACTCGTCGCCCGTTGAAGGCCTAGGCGGGGGAGGGGCAGGCCGACCTGATAAATTGTTAGTATCGGAAATTGGGTCAAATCAAACGAGTGAACAAAAAAAACAACTGGATCATACCTCCTGGGACTGGAGGGGGCGATGATAGTTCCTCGGCTGGCACTGGCGGAGGCGGAACAGATCGTGCCTCTGGGACTGGGGGTGCTACTGCAGAGCGTTCTGTTCAAGGCTCGTAAGTAATTTGCTACACGTCAAACAGATTGGTATAGGTAACTTACCAGTAGGTGGGACGGGAGGGGGACGATCAGTCGAGCGACGTGGAGGGGGACCTTCATGAACGACGTCCTCAACATCTGGTACTTGTCGTGGAGGATGTTGTTCAGAAATGGGGGTCGCCAGGGGCTCTTCTTCCTCCTCCTCATCCTTCTCTACCTCGACAGGAGGCTTCGCGCCGATATGCATTCCAGGCAAAGGCACCGGAGGAGCATGGCGGGGAGACGTAGGTTCGGGCTCAGCAAGCCTCTTCTCAGATTCTCCAGGAGTCTTCGGCTTGCGAGATCCCGTAGGAGGAGTCATGCCCGGTAGACCACCAGGAGGCCCGAAGAGTCCCATCATGCCCATGCCACCACTCATCTTAGCCATCCTGGCACGAAGTTCCATCCTGCGCTTAGTTTCGGGATCCATTTCCTCTTCCTCCTCCTCTTCATCTTCCTCGGCGTCGGCTTCCTCACCCTTTTGCTCAATGGTGTGAGTAGACAGTTGACGAGGACGCTCCTCCTCTTCGTCCTTGCTTGTGGACGTCTCTCCGGCATCCTCAGAGTCAGCAGCAGCAGAGTAGTCGGCATCGTTCGACTCGCTTGCGATTTCCTCCGAGGGTGAGAAGGGAGTCGGGTGCGCTGGAGGTGCCTTGGCACGCAATGTGTCAACACTGGGATCACGAGTTGTTTTCACGGTTTCAATAGGGGAGGTCGCAACCTCCTCCTCAGCTTCGACGGGCTCCGAGGGTTGCTCAACCGGCTTCTTGGGGGGCTTAGGCTTCTCCTTCTTCTGGGCGGCCTCTGCATGGCGCTGAGCCTGCTCCAATTGCTGCTTTTGTAGAAGAGCAATGCGATCCTTGAGACTGGTCGGCTTCGGCTGGTCTTCAGCACCCTCCTCCGAGTCTTGCGTAGTCACCAGAGCTGGCGGAGGCGGACGGGTCTCCGAGACAGGAGGCTCACGAGCAAGTTGCTCCTTCACATCAGGATCCTCCTCTCTCCTGTACACCTTAGGGGCGGGCTCTCTTGGCGGGGCCACGTAGGAATCCTTGCTGGGAGGCGGGGCAACGAATTGTTTCTTGACAAATGAAGTCGAGTGGCGAGGACCACCAGGTTTGAAAGGAGCAATTGGCGCAGCAGCGGACTGGTTGAAGGCGGCGATACGATCTTTGAAAGACGAAGCCGAGGGCTTCTCTGCAACGACTGGGGGCGGGGGCTTGGATGACTTAGCCACGGGAGGCGCAGAGGTCGTGGCAGGTGCAGGAGCGGGTTTGGTAGCTTGAGGTGGCACCTTGGGCGAGGTTGGAGATTCGGTGACAGGACTCGAAACCGCTGGCGGGGACTGAGGAGGAAGGGGCAGCTTGGAAACCGGTTCCTGCTCCTCCGCGGCGGGTTGCTCTGCAACCTCGGGCTCCGTCTGCGGCTGGCTCCGGGTCACAGCAACGGGGGAATCGACGGGGGCGGGCTCGGCCTCTTTCTTGGGTCTACTAGGGCGAGTCGGCCGGGGAGGCGCAGGAGGTTCATATCGTTCGACGAAGTTTTTGGGGAAGATGCCCTCTTGTTTGGTACCGGCGCCGTCTGTGTATTCACCGTAGTACCAGTCATCATCCTCCACAGCGGTGACAGTTACAATTTGGCCGATTGGGAAGCTGAGGTCGTCATCGTGGCCCGACGCATACTCGAAGACCGCTCGGGCCGTAAAAGGCGGATTGGACATTTGGCCAGTCGACACCCGAGTTCGGAGGGGACGGGGTAAAAGAGGACCCTAAACAACAGGTGTGAAACGGGCAATCAAGGCGAGGAACTGTACAAGGTCAAGCACAAGCTCAGATGCGTCTCGCATGCAGCGGTATACAAGGTCGTGCGAAGCTGAATGCCTTTTGGGTGTAGTCGGAAGTTCGGGTCAGTCTGGATGACGAAAGTGTCGGGGGAGTGGTGCCTAGGGAGATGAGGGGGAGGGCAAGAGGGGCTGGAATGGAACTCACCAGGTACAAGAGAAATGGGAGTGGACCTCGCGGAGGAGGTTGCGATTGAGGAAATCGATGCAAGAGGGAAACCAGCCGTCGCAAGGAATACCGGATGGGAAAGGGAAAGGAGGGTTGCGGTGGGAAGGATGAGGTAGTAGGTAGTGAGGTGGTCGTCACTTGGCGGGATGAGGGAGAGGCTCCACTGACGATCAGCGGCTAATGAGAGAACCAGGGTACGAGCAGTGTACCACATGGGGCAATTCTATCAGACAGCCTCACGGCCAAAACGGGACACAGGATGAAACAAGGGATGTTTGATCATTTCTATCCTCATACTGAGTACGAGGTGCTGTATATACTTTATACGTTGCCTTGGCAAGGCTCTTAGGGGGAAGCTTTCCAACGCCCGACGCCTCATACACTCCTAACCGAGGGGTTCTTTACAGTACTCTTGTAGTCTACAGTAGTCAAGTAGATTCCAAGGATAGTCGATGTGGTCAGCAGAAATCAGTAGCAGTAGTCTCGTAGTATAGCGACCCCGAACTATGGACTTCGCGAAATGTCGCCTGGAATCATGAAGTATGGAGTAAGTCTTTTTCCCTTGTCTACAGACAGTATCATGCATAGAGCACTATATACCAACTTCGAGGGTGTTTTCTACGAGCGACTGATTCTCGGCTTCATAAAATAAAGTCTACTACCCAACACATGAAACCTTCAGACGAAACGAACCCGGTGCCCAAGCAAATACGTCAGAAGCTGAGAGCACAACCGTCGGCCTTCTTATTGGCGACATCTTCCCCCCGCGAATTTGCCTCTTCCGCTTCTTCACCCGACCGAACCTCAAAAAATTCGAGCTCCCTCACGACCTCCCCCGCCTTGATTCTCACCCCAAGACCACCCAAGCGTTAAGCCTGTCTGTATCAATCTTACAGTATGGCTACACACCAAAGTCCCTCCAGATCAGCCTTGAAAACCTCTCTCCCCTCCGCATATGCCGTTGTCAACGCAGAGCAGCTCGTCAGCTCGTCCCACCTCCCATCAGAGGAAGAGCAAGACAAGTACCTATCAGGTCGACCGCGAGCAACTCCGCAGCACCTGGGAGTTGCTCTCCAACATGCGCATCAGATTCAGGCCCAGAAAGATGCCGAGAATATGATTCTAGATCGCATTATTGACCTACTCTCGCTACCCTCGTCTCCATCCGCCGACCCCGCTGCACCTTCGGCTGCAGATTCGCACGCCTTTAAATCTGCTCTCCTTAGTTTCCGAACGGGTGACTACGATAGTCTCATCATGGAACGGAATAACGAGGGACTTTGCGGCTATGGGCTCTGCCCGCGCGAGTATCGAAACGAGCGCGGGAGGAACCAAACCTTCCAATTCAGATGGGGAGCTAAAGGCAGCGGACCTGGTGGTAGAGGGCGCAACATGGACATCGTACCTCGCGAGAAAGTCGAGAAATGGTGCTCCGATGAGTGCGCAGAGAGAGCTCTCTTCCTTCGCGTGCAGCTTACCGAGCAGCCCGTGTGGGAGAGGCGGGCTAGTGAGGGCCGCATTACGAGCATTGAACTCCTGGAAGAAGCGCGTGCCAAGCGACCAAAGCGAAGAACTGAGGGCTCGACATCTGCGGCGGCTGTTGCAGCAGACTTAAATAAACTCAATATTCAGGACCCCGAGCGCGCGCAGGAACTCGCCATGGAGCGTGGAGACACTAGTCTGCCATTCCGCGGAGGCCGCGTGAATGTCCAGATCAAGGAAAAGGAACAGAGCAGCACTTCATCTGCAAGCGCTCCACAGTGGCGGCCAGAGGATGCCAAGGGAGGCTCGATTGAGGGATATGTTCCCAAGGATCGACGAGACAAGGACGCAATGGACATTGACCAGGGCGATTTGCTTGATCAAATCTAGAGTGGATGGCACAGAGTCCATGGCATCTTTTGTGGCGTTTCGGGCGTTTCTACTAGTTTTATACCCTGGAAGCATATGATATAATACCATACGCAGCTTGAATAAAAGGAAAATTCTACGCAATGACCAGATATCTGTTGATCTTCGACAGCAAGATGCGGGAGAGAATCGTTGCGTAGTCGTGACCACTGGCCTTGGGGCTGAGTCTATCGAACATAAAATGTCCAACAGCTCCTACGTAACTTGACTCTGAGGGAAATAGGGATTCCACACAAGAGCAAACACGCGAGGGACAAGTAATTGGCAATCAAGCGTCATCTCCGTCAGGAGAATCAGCGACACCTTTGTCAACGGGAATCATGTTTTTTTTCATTCCTCATCCATAGATAGCCTCCATATTAGCTAATACCATAATAGCCAAGGTCGGGGACACGCCAGGAGTCGGCCGAAGACAAAAAGACTTTTTTGTTTTTCGGGGTGCTTATCCAGCGTGCTGGATTTAGCGGGGACCGAAGCGGCGGGGGCGCTCGGCCTGCTGCTGCTGGGAGACGGTGACGACGTTGACCTTGAGGTTGTCGAACTGTGAAATGAAAATGTTAGGAGCCAGAGATCGAGGATAACGTGACTGGTGGCCAGGGCCAACTTACGCCGAGGTTCTTGAGCAGGTCCTTGGTGTCGGCATCAACGTCGAGCTGGCCGGACTCGGTCTGGGAAACATCCAGAGCAGAGACCTCAGGGACGTACTGATCCTTGCGCTCACGCTCCTCCTCCTGGAGCTTGAAGGAGATACCGCGGACGGGGCCACGCTGAATGCGCTTCATCAGGTGGGTGGTGTAACCAGCGATCTGTGTGAAAGATATCAAGTCAATTTCTGTTGTTTGCAATGGTACTTGTTCACCATCTTTCGGTAGTGGTTGCGTGTCGTACCTTGTTGCGGAGACGCTTGGAGGCAATGATGGCGATCTCATCGCAGATGCGCTTGTTGGTCTCGAAGTCGAGAGTGAGCTTGGGGTAGTAGCGCTCAATGATGACCTTGGCGGACCGCTTAACGGTCTTAGTACGGACGCGACCCATTTTGGCGGATGTTGGCTGGACGGATGTTCAGTGACAAGAATCAAAGTGAAGCCGACTTTGGATAGCCTTGAGAGGCGCTTCGCTAATTCTGTGCGGGTCCTTGCCCTAGCCCAGCCCTAATGTGTCACGTGAATTCCACGGTCCGGAATATTACGTAATGTTATACTGCCGAGCGGTCAATCTAATCTATGCAGAGTCAGAAGACAAGAAATAGGAACGATATACTGCACAAATCTACGCTAGATCGAACCAATGAGTTCTTCGCAATTGAAAATACGGGAATGGATGCATTTCCTTTATAGCACAGGTTCAGAAGGGTAGTGAGAGTAGCTTTACAAAAGCCCACTTGTCTAATCGTACAACTCTTCGCAATGTTTCGCTTGCCAAATCTTAGTCCAACAACATCTTACGCACTCTCGTCTTTGTTCCTCGCACCAGCCTTCAGATCATTCATGAGAAGGCGAGCAATATCCTCGGTCCCCTTCATGGGCTGTCTGCTGGCCTGCGGCCGCAGCTGGTATCGGGGTCGGTCCAGTCGGGGCACCATGTTAGCATGGCGGTGGGCAGCGTCGGTGATGCTGGCAGACCCCGGCTTCTTGTAGTCTTCAATGCCGTAAGGTGCTTTGGAGGAGGCGCCCGCACGGTAAGAAGAAAGTCCGATTCTGCCCTCGGAATCGACAGCTGCGCGAATCGGCGTCACCCAGTACTTGGCACCGCCAGGGATGGTAGCATCGAAGAAGGTCAGGCCAGGGGGAGAACCTTGGTCCATAAAGGTCATCGCATTTAGGTCTTCAACGGCAATACCACCAATACCCGCGATAGCCCGGGACATACGTCCGCGGAATCTACCCTTCGGGCGCAGAATACGGGCCTCCACAGGACGTTGGTACGCTTGGGGACCGTATTGCGGGTGGTTATATGTCAAGGCGTGTGAGCGAGTGTATGATAGACCGGCGGACGGGTGTGTCTTGGGAGGGCCAGCCACGGCATATTCAGGCGCGGAAAGCTTGGTTCCGGGGGACTGGTAGTACTTGCGTCCAATGCGTTCGCTGGGTACGGCAGGGGATGATGGAAGGTCAAGCAACTCGAATATGACAGGGCCCAGGGCAAATGGATCGGTACGCAGGGTCTTGATGTATGTCTGGAACTCCTCGTCCGTCACCTTCGGCGGCTGGAGGGTCTCCAAATCTTCTCCGTTGTCTTGTGCTTGCTTCCGGGCCTCCGCGGTACGTTTGGCCACGAATCGCTCACGCAATTTCTGCAGCAACTCAGGCTTCTTGCTGGTAACCTGGCTCAAGTACGCAGCGAACTCCGCCTCGGTCATGCCAGCAAGCCACGGGCCGGAGTGTCGGTATTGCTTGGCTCCGGGCTCTCCGAGACCCTTGCTGGTCTCTGTATTATCAACATGCGTCTCGAACGGGCTCTGGTGTCTGGGAACGATGCTAGTCGCGTAATTGACCTTGGCAGGCAAGGACATGGGCATGTGCAGCTCCTGGAACTTCTCGAGGGTCATCGTGTGATCGGCTGCGGACTCGAAGTCGGTGACATGTTCGTAGGTATCGAGGGCATGGAGACGAACGACGGGTCTGGATGATTTCTCTGATGTCGATTTTGCCGGGAGAGATCGCTTCAGACCCCAATCGCCTCGAGCAAGCGACTTTTGGGGTGTAACGATCGAAGCCCGGATAGGGTGAGGGAGTGTTGCGGTTTCCGACTCAAAAACTGCCTTGGACGATGGGGGTTCTTGAGAAGGTTGCAGAGCTTGAGGAAGTGCAAATAGCCGCGACTTCCGCAGAAGATTCGCCGTCGGCGATAGCCTGGCGGTCGCCATGGTGTTCAATGCCTGGTGGAACAGAGCTGGTTGGGATCGCGCGAGAAAAGTTGACCGGGGCCACGGGCCAAGTCAATACGGTGGGCAGCACCAACCCAAAACGCAGTTCCACCAAAAGTGTGGAGACCGCATAGCACAAGTACAGCGGAAGACTACACTCTACACTCATCTAAAAAAAAGAAGGAAGGGCCTCAATACCATCTCTATATCATTGGTAATATATATATAAATCCTTGCAATTGACCGCGTCGCTATTTCAAGCACCGACATCCTGCAAAGAGCTGATTGTGTCTGCCACAGTCTCTGTGAAGGACCGATACTTGATCCCCAGAATCTCCTTTGACCTACTGTTGTCAATCTCGTAGATATCCGATGGGAAGTCACTCGGAGCATCCTTGGCAGGGAGCTTAGATTCCAATTCCGAGTGGGTCTTGCGGGCAGCCTCCACGATCTCCTTGTTCGAAAAGAAACCTGCAGTTATGAAGAATCTCTTGCCTCCAGCCTCGGAGACCTCGATGGCCCGAACGTGGGCAAGTGCCACGTCACGAACATCAACATACAGGAATGTGCCCGTGGGAGGAATCTGCTCCTTAAACTGGCCTTGGATGAGGTTTCGGAACCGCTGGTTTGATGTGTTGAGAGCCTCGAGAGAATTCAAATAGTGAACAATGGGGCCAAAGACCAAAGGAGGGTTGATAGTAGCGATGTCGAAGTTGGGCTTCTCCTTCTCAACAAAGTCCCACGCGGCCTTTTCAGCAAAGGTCTGATTGAAATATACTAATCAGTCCAGGTGGCGTTTCATTTAAGTGAACAGAACTTACCTTGCTAGCCCGATAAACGTTGGAATGATCCATAGCCTCTTCCCAAGTGACCGGATTCCATACCTTCTCGCTATAGAGCTTCACGTTCTGCTTGGGGTTTATAATAGCAGCAAATGACGAGGTGATGACAACGCGCTTTACGGTAGGGGCATAAGCCTTGATAGCTTTCAAAATGCCAGTAGTTCCCTTGATTGCGGGGTCCAGGAAGTCTTTCACCGGATCCTGCACGTTGAAATGGAAAGGGGATGCGGTGTGGAGGACATAGTCAAATGGAGGGTCGGACTTGACGGCCTGTTTCGGGGTATGAGCAGTGGAAGATATTTAGTCAAGATGTAGATCACCAGCTCACCTCGTCAAAAGCCCCATCTTGAGCTACGTCCTTGACAATCACGTAGGAGAGCTTCTCCTTGGGCGTCCCGGGGTGGTTCTCGAGAATCCGTTTGCCTTTGTCATCGGAGCGCACGGTGAACACGGTATCGAAGCTAAGACATCAAATTAATCGAATTAGCCATGAAAGAAACAATCATTTGTGTCGAATTGAATGTACCCATGCTGCAGCAAAATATCAACAATGTGAGCGGCGATAAAGCCGCTACCGCCTGTTGGACTCGATTAGATCTATGACGTGGTAAGTAGGAAGGTGTTTACCGCAAGTGCGCATACCGGTCAAGAGAACTTTCACCATTGTTGCTGGTTGAAATTAAGGAGTCAATGAGGATTGCTTGGTTTAGAAATACGAGTAGATGGGAAAGCGCAAAGGGTTGGGGTAGACAAGGAACTCCTCGGCTTTTATGGTTTGTCCAGAGAGACCATGCCCCCCCTCGATCCCGTCATCGCTCCCCACCTATGGGCCGCCACACAGGATACAGTACAGATCGAGGTGGAAGGTCACTACGACCGCTGACAAATAATCATTGAGCAATCAAAATTGCACCCACCATGTGTCTTTGCTTCAGGATTTAAGAGTCTGATAAAGCCGGATAACCCCGCCTCTCAGTTGTCAGCGTTAATTACCCGTAAACGACCCGTCGTGTACGTGTACACGTCGTAATACTCCTAGATCTAAGCTTATATCTAGAGATTCCAGGTGTGAGAGAGATATTATTGTGTGAACCTGGGCAGATAGCCTTGGATAGAGGGCCTCACGCAAACTCAGCAAACAAAGCAACTGCTATGCAATGTCTCAACATATCTTATTCCTACCTACCAGATTTCCTATGCCACGTCTTGGCTTTCCCTTTCCGTTTTAGTGCTCAGACCCTCGCCGCTTTTGCTCACTACGTAGATCTGAGCACGTCTCTCAGCGCCCTGATCTGATCAGTGAGTATTAGCTAGTTAAGCGCTCCGATTTAGTCACTAAGCACGAAGCCTGACCAGCACCTCAATAAAACGCGACACGCTAGCCCTATCCACAAACATCCCTTCCCTACAGATTGCCCCTATAAGCCCTATCAAAAAGCACTAGCATCAACAATCTAACGTTCCGTTTTAGATACTTACTGCTATTCATTGCGTTATAATAAAGCCTACTAGATAATCACCGGATTGATTAGACTACATGCTCCAAGGAACCTTTGTCTACTAGCTCCATAATAGGCGTCTTGGAGAAATACTAGCCTTAAGATAACCATCTCTTTTTGGCTAAGCATTTCGGTCCAAGAATATTACTCCTAGGAACTTAGAGGCCCCTACCCTATTCTACTACACTATAAGCTATCTTTGACTTATTTACTCTAAAGTGACCTCGGATATTCTTGATTTCTTTATATAATATTTTACTATATACCTTATATTATAAATTCTCCCCCTTATTTCTTATTGTTATGGCTTTTCCCTGCATGAAGCTATGCCCATGTTGATGCCTCATGCTCAGTATGGCCTAAGGCCTCAGCGTCCCTTTTGGGATCGGCAGGCTTCCGGCGGTGAATCACCGCCCTTTCTGGCGCCTAACCCAGAGGAAGCCTTCTGTGTGTTCTTGTTACACCATCTCGTGTGCCTTCTGATCTTCCTCATCAAAATATCCTCTACCTCTTCCTGTTTTAGGAGAGGGATCAGTTATAAATATAGCTAGCGGAAGAAGCTTAGGAAGGGCAAGAAACAGTCTCTGTTCCCATCCGACTTAGTGCTTTATTCTCCTACCTAGTTGACAGGCTTACTACCCTGCAAGTAGTTAACATCATAACAATTAAATCTTCGTGGTCCGATCTAGACCGCTTTTTGTAATAGTATATATATTCTATAATACGAATCGGATAGTGAGGAATGTATTTTACACGATTATAGTATTATACTTGAAGACTACTCGTATAGCCCTATGGAATACTACCAGTGCTCTTTCTTAAGTAGTACTTCTTGGTACATTTTTGTTGCGATTCAACTTCTTGTTTGAAGTATTAAAAACTCCGAATATCGGATTGATAACTCATCTTTTGATGAGAGGCTATTGTTATTAAGGATCTACTAAAATTATAGAGTGGTGAAGGGAAAATGGGATATTGTGATTAGTAATCATTTGTCCCAGCATAACCTTGTCGCAAGGGTTGTCGAGGTACTTACTTTGTTAGATCTCGATCAGTGTAGCGATATGCAACGATTATTAGTCCGTGGCTCCAATTTAGACTGGTAAGCTTCAGTCATTTTTACTGTCCAAGGCGCCGAGTATCGAGGCAGCGGCGCCCGGGTGAGGTTGGTGTCCTGAGGCACTCCTGTTTGTGATAATGTCGGGGTTGGACCGTGTAGCCTCCAGAAATTCCATTACGACCTCCTATCTGGTTCGTCTGAAATCCTTCACTGTAGAGTAGTTACTATTCAAAGTCTATGACGAGCCAGCATTTGAAGTAAGCCAACAGTGATAGGACATTGGCAAAGAGATAGGTATGTGTCTTGTGATCTGTATTCCAGTGTGTTGTAGTTCGAAAGGAAGCTTGATTGTGCTTCTTGAGGGAATACATGAGGGTATATATACAACGTGAAGTCCAAGTTGATTGGAAATCAAATTGGTTCTTCACATACATAGAGCAGGAATTACTCCCGATGTTGCGGCTTCATTCCCGAGCAGCAAGTGCCTGGTATCACAACAGTATCTCATGTTGTCTCCTTTATCACTTCCTCGAGCTCTGACCTTGAACGAATGTTGTGGGAAGAGAGGATGCTTTCTGCGTGTGACATGGTTCTTAATAGAAGTCAAATACATCGGATTCGGCTGCTGCTATGACCTTTGTGTTCGGGTATTGCCTCATAAACTGAAATTCCAACGCTCTCTTGCTTGCCATCTTGATCTCATATCTCGCCCATTAAGGATTCTCTGTCTACTTTAACACTGACTGGTAATTAAATAAGGATATATCTAGTAAAGATCTCATAGATAAGTAGGGTTTCTGCATAGTTTTAATTTCCGGGTGTTGGATTCAAGGTACTGGGCTATTTTTCCGCGGACAGTAGTAGGAGAAGAGAGGATACGACCAGTGAAATGGTCTTAAGCCGCCCGCCATCGGCAGTGTCCTTCTGACACTAATATTTCTTACTTCTTTTACCGCCTTTGGGGTCAGAAGTGCGGGAGATCTAGTATTAGTTGAATATGATCGTCCATCTAACCTAATTGATCCATGCGAGATTCTTGTACACATTGGTGGAGCCTAGTTCGAGACACAGTAAAACCCCACGGTCATTCTTGTTTTGGGATACGTCCGTAATTCCACGCGCTCCATAGCCTGTGTAGGACATGTCAAAACAAATATTCAAATGGAACGACGGAGCTCACGATGCACGTTATGAATAGTGTTTTCTTCGTATTGATGTGAGGAACCAATCTTTGATCTAACTACAACGCACGGTTCCAGTATAGTATGCATGCAAGGCGATTCTGAGGGGTAATAGTGCGAATCGCTGCTGATTGCGATCCGGTATCGAAAATAATTCCTGCACTATTTGTACGAAGATCAAATCCCGACTTTACGTATGACCAATCGTGCCTCTCAGGAAAATAAACAATAATCAACTATTCTAAACCACAAAAAGGTTCCGTAAAGCTCGAACGTGAATGACCCCAAGATCTCACTCATAGGCTACAACAATATGCTGACTAACAACAATATCAGCCTGGCCAGGTCGTTGAACATTTTCAAGAATGTCCTTCTGACTCTCCCCGTCGCTTAGGCTACTGTACAGTGTGTGATCTATTTGCTTGACGACGTGATTTCGGTGCTTCCCACTTTCAAGCTCGAGGTCGCTCAAGGATATCGCCCCCCCGAGGCGCTGAGGACTGTTGAACTCCGGTAAGTTGTTATGACTTTTATAGTCGGATGTCTTCGATCGATCGCGAAGGATACTAAATAGCGGACGGAGAGTCGCAATGTTCCCGACCATCATGCCGATGCCGTTCTCTGCGAATCCCCAGATGACAACATCTGCAACTTCGAAGAGAAAGTCAGTCTGGCTGGTAAGGGCGACGGTATATTTGAGACGGATGCATGCTGAGAGCGAGGCACTGCAAGAGGCGGATTGTCAATAAGAGAGGAGTTGAATCAAAAGGGGGAAAACCTACAAAATACCAAGCCCCATCAAGGCCGAAACTGAGATTTTGGTATTGCGGTCCAAATGTACATTCCAAAGCAGAGGAACTGGCCTATTTCTGGTATGAGAATTGTTTCTTTCATCCGAATGTATCGATATTGAGTCCGTACAAGAAAGCAGTTATCCAGTCGGTAAGGATGTTGATGGCGGTACACGCGTAGTACACATTAGCAAGGACATAGCTTGGCTGACAGTGGCCACCGTTCTTGAGTATTTCCGGATCCCAAGCAGCTCTATGGCTGGATTAGCATCTTCGTTTTGGACGTGGTTGTCAAGAGGCTTACTCCACAGGAACACAATTGATCAATATAAAAATCAACGCGATAGTGTTCATCACAACAAAAAGAGCCATGACGAGGTATTGCACATATATAAATACCTTTCTTCCCTCCGCCACTCGAATCAACATCCAACCGATGCTGAGTTTTATCGGTATAATGGCAGAGCAATACCCCACTTCGAAGATAAGGAAAAACTGGTCGCTCGAAATCAGTGCTATGCCTAATTGCCGATGGCTGTGACAGAAGTCGCGATCACCTTTTGTGCTTCGACTTGGTATTTCTCATTGCCAGGCTTTGCAAGGGTCGAGTCTCGTGCCCCAATTCCATTGAAAGCCCCTCCGAGGCACCCAGCCACAAGCACACAGAACGGCACCTGTCAAATTGCATTAGGCGAGTAATTCCAGACTTCCTCAGTAGTACTGACCCATGATACCGTCATAATCCAGTCTTCTACCCCCCACGACCTGCGGCTTAATCTGCAATATATGCGCAAGCCAGATGTCAACAATGCCAAGGTCGTCAGTAGGATTGTGGTGCCCGCTAACGCCGGGGTGGCATCGGCAATAAGGACCATGGCGCCAGGCTAGATAATGCCAATCCTCAATTCGACCTTGAGTGCGTCAGAATGTTGACTTCAATGATTTGAAATGAGCAGGGTCGACAGGGGCCACGGGGTGTGTAAAATGAACGGAAATATGGCGAACATCGAAACTATAAGTATCCAGACGAGGGCTTTGGCCTTCAGCTAAACAGTGACACTAGGGGGGACCAGGCAGTTCGGCAAAATAAGGTAGCGAGCGACAAGGTGAGTTGGTAGAAATAATACAACATTTAAAACACGATGCTCAGCTTTTATTTTGATTTGCCACCGGCTTGTTGTACACCTAGTTTTGTGGAGTACCTTCGAGACGAAGTAAATCGGCGGAGATGATTCTTAATCTCCGCACACACTCCACTTCACCGATTCAGCTCAGGTAGGTCATGAACGATAGATTTTCTCTCCCAGTATGGAGCGACCCATTCATTCTGACAGCTGTGTCAATGCCTCTGCAATCCCATCACCGGTTTACGAACATCGGATCGTGAATAAATCTGTAGTATTGAAAAAGTTTCCGGCACCATGTTCACGAAGCAGCAAGTTGCGTCAAATAAGTATATATATATGTCTTCTTGTGTGCGTGTGTGTATATGTATTAGCGAGGGGATGCGCCTAGAGCTCTATTCTTTACTATCATTGACTGTAATATATTGAATGAAGCGGCGAATCCTGCGAGCCGCGTATTAGAAAGTGCGGGATACGAGTCTGTAGTTGCTCGGGTAGGGGAAACCGGACCAGCAACACTGCCAATGAAGCCCGCCGCCCGGCTACCGGACAGAGTCCAATTCTTCCGACCACGCTGCAATTGCCGATTAACAAAAATTTTGGTTGAGCACTTAGAGGCAGTCGGTAATGATAATGTCCGTGCGCAATCGGGAGTTCAACCACGCTTAGACAATTCGAGGTGACCAACAGGGCGCAGGAAAAGGATGGGCATACGAGTCACATCGACTATCTAGCTGGAATTAACGACTCTGACCCCTTTTCTTCAGAAAAAGTCACCTCGTATTGTCAGTCGAGAGCTACGATGGCGCCAATAGTTTGCCACTATTGCCAGTTGCAAAAGGGAAATGATCCCCGCTAAATGTGTCTGTCAGTTTTAGTTGACTAGTTAACTAACTGGTTCTAGTTAGCTAACATAATTCCCGCCTGGGTCACCCTGCCGTCCGGGTCACCCAAGACACCATACTAAATGCAATTTTTAACCATCGATATATCAACGAAAAGGAAGTATTTCCACTCGATATTTGATATAAAATGATTTCCCGGTATTAGAAATTTAACTCGTATAATCTGAAAACTATTATTTATTCAAATTAATGAAAATATGCTGCGATCGAGTAATGTAGATATATACATCTACATTATTATACCCTAAAACATTTCTCAAGCGTATAAAAGAATGTAATATGATATATTTAACTCTAAGATACTCCAGGATTATATGATTAACCGTGAGTGAGATTAAAACATGAAACTGAGAAAAATCGCATTTAGTATGGTGTTTTGGGTGACCCGGACAGCAGGGTGACCTGGGCGGGAATTACGTTAACTAGCTTACACTAATCTAATTTAATCATCTACTTTCCTCTGTTTTCTCCCCTTTAATCTGTAATGCCCAGTGTGCTCGGCAAATTCAGGCACAATATGCAAAAGCATCATCGTGAAGACTACTACCTGATCGTGTACAGCATGCACTGATCATCAGTCCGTGGCTTTGATCTAGATTTTCTAACATTCTGCAACCTCTACCAAGTCGTAGTATAAAGGCAGTCGCGCCTAGGTATTCCTGACCTATTCACTCTAAATGGGCTTTTACCATCCTCGGTGTCCATCTCGGATCAAATTGATGGGAAGGCTTGATGGTAGTACTTAAGTCTTTCGTGATCTCCCTCATCTCTCACACCATCGAGTCTTATTGGATACTGTCAGCATGTGGCATACCTTATATGAGAAAAGAATCCAACACCTGAACAGCATGGTCTATATATATATCTAAGAAAGCTAAAGATGTCGTCTCGTCCCTAGGAGCATTCTTACAGCTCGAGGCTACATACCCCTTACCCAAAGATACAGCACTGACGATGGACCAATAACCTATCTGAGATGACGATACCTGTCATGTGTACATTTTCGGAAGAATCGAGTGACACGGATATCCATGGGGCACGTAACCCTCTGTTGATGCTTCAATCCATGGAGAGCGGAATCCGTAACAAACCGAAAACTTGTTCGTTCGCTTTGAAATTACGAAATGCTACTGTATCATCCAAGCCATTCGATCTGGCTAGCCTCGTACAGTAGTGTAATTTTTCCCGCCCTTGGGGACGCTCCCCGGGCCCCACATAATGACTAATCACGCACACCATAGGCGGTCAGATTCTGCCATAAACTCCCCGTTTGAGAGTATAAGGATCACTTCCCGGCCTCTTCAGATGTCCTTCGGGACATTTGGTCAAATGAAAATATACAGAGAAGATTAGCATGGCCCCTGCACTAAGGATGACACGCTCAATCAAAGAGAAGCTACCAGTTTTTTTTTCGTTACCCAACCTTCGTTGAGGTAGGAGCGCCGTATGAAGTTTTGCCTACCAGGGTTCGAATCGCGATGAGAGCAGGATTTGAAGTTATTTTTATTTGGTTGAGCGCACTGCTCCACGGTCAACGCCCTCGTGTGTTGATGCAAACAACCAGGACATGTGCCCTGGCGTACGAATAGAAGAATGTGCTTCGGCAATGATGTATGAGTTTCGAACTAGTTACGATGATCTACAATTAGCTCCGAGGTCTGCTTTATACAGAGATGAAGTCCTGATATTCCAATCCTGGGTATAGAGTTGTACTCCATTTCTACTGGCGACACTCAAACTTGGCTTCGGTAATAGTCATTGAATGATTTTCTGCATAGTCTAATGGAATTGTGAAAGAAATCATTACAAGGCCTCGATGTACGATTGAAAACGAGCCGTCAGTCTGCAGGTAACTAACCAAAGTGTTTGACACCAGTTGACGCAGTTGACCAGGCCGCGCCCAGGCAGGGCCCGCGCCCCGTGGTCTCGTGGTCTGTGCACCCCGGCTTCAACCTGAGGCTCACACCTGACCTCCACCTCTCCCTCCACCTTCATGCAACTTGCGACCTCTGCTTAACATCTTAGAGGTTGGCTTCCAATGTCCACTTTGCGGGCTCGCTCGCAAACATGGCGCAAGCGAGTCCTATCACAGACGTGACCCAGCGGTTATTTGCGGATCTGAAGTCGAAGAACGATGATATCAAGGCCCGAGCTGCCTTCGAGCTCCACGACAATGTGGTTGCCGTCTCACGAGGTAAGTCGCCAACCTTTTGAGTCTAGTGAGCTCATGTGCTCTTGCTAACCTCTTTACTCTTCTTCTCCTACAGATTGGCCGTCCGAGAAATTCAATGAGTTTTACAACGCCGTCAGTCAGCGGATCGCACAGCTCGTAGTCACTGGCAGCGACGCCAATGAACGAGTCGGCGGTCTCCTCGCCCTCGACCGACTGATCGACTTCGACGGAGTGGATGCCGCTCAGAAAACCACACGATTCGCCAGCTATCTCCGAAGTGCTCTCCGAAGCAATGACAATGCGGTGTTGATGTGCGCGGCCCGATCGCTTGGACGACTGGCGAAACCTGGCGGGGCGCTCACTGCGGAGTTGGTAGAAAGCGAGATCCAATCTGCCTTGGAGTGGCTTCAGTCGGAGCGCCAGGAAAGTCGACGATTTGCTGCTGTCCTGGTGATCCGGGAGCTAGCTAAGGGCTCCCCGACCTTGCTTTATGGCTTCGTGCCTCAGATTTTCGAGCTTGTGTGGGTCGCACTTCGAGACCCGAAAGTGCTTATCCGAGAAACAGCTGCCCAGGCTGTGGGAGAGTGTTTTGAAATCATCGTGGCCCGAGATTCATCAGTCCGCCAATCGTGGTTCGCGAGGATCTATGAAGAAGCGCTGCTGGGACTGAAGTCCCATAATATGGACTGGATCCACGGATCTCTCCTCATCCTGAAGGAATTGTTCCTCAAAGGCACAATGTTCATGAAGGAGCATTACCGAAATGCCTGTGAAATTGTGCTCCGTCTCAAGGATCACCGGGATTCAAAGATCCGCAACCAAGTCGTCCTCACCATCCCTATCCTTGCATCATATGCGCCTGCCGACTTCATCGAATCCTATCTACACAAATCCATGGTTTACCTTCAAGCCCAACTGAAGAGGGAGAAGGAAAGGAACGCAGCCTTTGTGGCTATTGGCAAGATCGCCAATGCAGTGGGGCCTGCCATAAGCGGATATCTTGATGGAATCATTATCTACATTCGTGAGGGACTCGCAATGAAGGCGTGAGTGATCAATCTTCCTGAGATTTAACCTAAATGAAAAGACATTCCAACTAATTTGAAACAGGAGAAATCGGGCAGGAGTTGAAGAAGCTCCCATGTTCGAGTGTATCAGCATGCTTTCGCTGGCAGTCGGGCAAACCCTCAACACCCACATGGAGCAATTGCTTGACGCCATCTTCGCGTGCGGCCTTAGCAAATCGCTCACACAAGCCTTGGTCGATATGGCTCATTACATCCCTCCCATCAAGCCCGTAATCCAGGACAAACTTCTCGATATGCTGAGTATTATACTCTGTGGCACGTCATTCCGACCACTTGGGTGCCCTGAAAACCGACTTCCCCCTATGCCGGCATTTGCAAGGGATTTTGGTCCCCAAGAAAGCTACTCTGATGCCGAAATCGCACTCGCTCTACATACCCTAGGAAGCTTCGACTTCTCTGGTCACATCTTGAACGAATTCGTTCGCGATGTTGCGATCAACTATGTGGAGAATGACAATCCCGAAATCCGAAAAGCATCGGCCCTCACATGCTGTCAGCTGTTTGTTCACGATCCGATCATCAACCAGACTAGTGGTCACTCAATTCAAGTTGTCAGTGAAGTCATTGACAAATTATTGACGGTTGGGGTCGGTGACCCGGACCCTGAGATTCGACGTACGGTTCTCTGGTCCTTGGATCGGAAGTTTGATCGACACCTGGCGCGCCCCGAAAACATTCGTTGCTTGTTCCTCGCGGTGAACGACGAGGTCTTCGAAGTCAAGGAAGCTGCTATCTGCATCATCGGTCGTCTGTCTAGCGTGAACCCAGCTTATGTTTTCCCTCCACTGCGGAAGCTGCTAGTCAACCTTCTAACCGGACTTGGCTTTGCGAACACTGCCCGCCAAAAGGAGGAAACTGCTCAGCTCATTAGCTTGTTTGTATCCAACGCAACCAAATTGATCAGGTCATATGTCGACCCGATGGTTACCGCACTGCTCCCCAAAACAACGGATGGCAATCCAGGCGTCGCTGCCACGACACTCAAGGCTGTGGGAGAGCTTGCCAATGTTGGCGGAAGCGAGATGAGACGCTATCTGCCACAGATCATGCCCATAATTTTGGAGTCGCTCCAGGACCTTTCCTCTCATACCAAGCGAGAGGCAGCTCTACGGACGCTTGGTCAATTGGCTGGTAACGCTGGGTATGTGATCGACCCGTATCTCGAGTACCCTCATCTGCTTGATGTCTTGATCAATATCATCAAGACAGAGCAAACAGGATCCTTGCGAAAAGAGACAATAAAGCTTGTGGGTGTGCTTGGCGCTCTAGATCCCTATAAGTACCAGCAGATCAGCGATGTGGAACCCGATGTTCACCATATCAATGAGGTTCAAAATCCCTCGGATGTTGCCTTGATCATGCAGGGCCTTACTCCGTCAAACGAGGAGTACTATCCCACAGTGGTCATCCATACACTGCTCCAGAACATTCTCAGAGAGAATTCTCTCGTGCAGTATCACTCAGCAGTGATTGACGCGATCGTTACCATTTTCAAGACTTTGGGCTTGAAGTGTGTTCCATTCCTCGGACAGATTGTTCCTGCATTCATTTCGGTTATCAGAAGCTCCCCCGCAAGCCGACTTGAGTCTTATTTCAACCAAATGGCTATCTTGGTTAACATTGTGCGTCAGCACATTCGTGCATTCTTGCCTGAAATTATTGACGTTATCCGCGAATTCTGGGATGCGTCATACCAGGTACAGGGTACGATTTTGTCCTTGGTGGAGGCTATCTCCAGGTCCTTGGAAGGAGAGTTCCGAAAGTACCTCGCTCGCTTGATTCCTCTCATGCTGGACACCCTTGAGAAAGATACTACGCCCCGCCGTCAGCCATCGGAGAAAATTCTCCACGCTTTCCTGATCTTTGGCTCCAGTGGTGAAGAATACATGCACCTCATCATTCCTGCTATCGTGCGCCTCTTTGAACGACCACAGCATCCTCAGAGCATTCGCAAGTCGGCTATTGACAGCTTGACGAAGCTGTCGCGCCAAGTCAATGTCTCTGATTTCGCTTCCCTTATGATCCATTCTTTGTCACGAGTCGTGGCCAGTGGCGATCGTGTCTTACGCCAAGCTGCTATGGACTGCATCTGTGCTTTGATCTTCCAGCTTGGCCAGGACTTCACCCACTACATCAACCTCCTGAGCAAAGTTATCAAGCAGCACCAGGTCAGCCATGTGAACTATCAAATTTTGGTGACAAAGCTTCAGAAGGGCGATCCACTCCCGCAGGACCTCAACCCGGAGGAAAACTACTCCTTCCCCTCCGATGATACTAATTTTGCGGAGATTGGACAGAAGAAGATTGTCGTCAACCAGCAACACCTCAAGAATGCCTGGGATGCTTCGCAAAAGTCTACTCGAGAAGATTGGCAAGAATGGATTCGCCGCTTCAGTGTTGAGCTCTTGAAAGAATCGCCATCGCCCGCACTGCGAGCCTGTGCCAGCTTGGCGGGTATTTATCAACCCTTGGCCAGAGATCTTTTCAACGCTGCCTTCGTGTCTTGCTGGACCGAGCTGTACGACCAATATCAAGAAGAACTGGTCCGCTCCATTGAGAAGGCCCTCACTTCGCCGAATATTTCGCCGGAAATCCTCCAGATTCTTCTCAACCTGGCGGAATTCATGGAACATGACGACAAAGCTCTTCCCATCGATATCCGGACTCTAGGCAAGTATGCTGCTAAGTGCCATGCTTTTGCCAAGGCGCTCCATTACAAGGAACTCGAGTTTGAGCAAGATCAAAATTCTGGCGCCGTTGAAGCTCTAATCACCATAAACAATCAGCTGCAGCAATCCGATGCCGCGATTGGTATCCTGCGGAAGGCACAGGCATACCGCGACGTGGAGCTGAAGGAAACATGGTTCGAGAAACTGCAACGCTGGGACGAAGCTCTGGCTGCCTACAAACGACGCGAGAAGACGGATCCGGATTCCTTCGGCATTACTATGGGCAAGATGCGCTGTCTGCACGCTCTCGGTGAATGGAAGGTTCTGTCTGACCTTGCGCAAGAGAAATGGAACCAGGCATCTTTGGAACACCGCAGGGCCATTGCTCCCCTTGCTGCGGCTGCTGCATGGGGCCGGGGCCAGTGGGAGCTGATGGATTCGTACCTGGGTGTCATGAAAGAACAGTCTCCTGACCGATCTTTCTTCGGCGCTATTCTTGCAATCCATCGCAACCAGTTCGAGGAGGCAAACATGTATATCGAGAAAGCACGGAATGGTCTCGATACCGAACTTTCGGCCTTGCTTGGAGAGTCATACAACCGGGCATACAACGTGGTTGTCCGCGTGCAGATGCTCGCCGAACTGGAGGAGATTATCACTTACAAGCAACATGTGGGCGACCCCGAGAAGCAAGAAGCCATGCGCCAAACCTGGAACCAGCGCTTGCGTGGATGTCAACAGAACGTGGAGGTGTGGCAGCGCATGCTCAAGGTCAGGGCTCTGGTCACTGCACCTCGGGAGAACCTGGACATGTCCATCAAATTTGCCAATCTCTGTCGCAAGTCCAACCGCATGGGTCTTGCAGAACGTTCTCTCGCATCCCTGGAGACAGTTATCAGAGATGCCAATGGTACACGCACCATTGTACCTCCCGAGGTAACCTATGCTCGATTGAAATTCGGTTGGGCCAACGGCAGCCAACATGAAGCCTTTGAGGAGCTGAAGAGGTTTAATATGGAACTCAGCGAGGACCTTGCCAAGTTCAATACACTCCTGGCTTCGCAAAACGAGAATCACGGCATGAATGGTGTCAATGGCATCACAGACCCCAACCACCCGGACGCTGTCAGCCTGCAAGAACGAGTTGGGGATGTAGCGAAGGCCAGAAAACTTCTCTCCAAGAGCTACCTCAGACAGGGGGAATGGCAAAGAGCGCTTCAAAAGGCCGAATGGGAACTAGATAATGCTCGCGAGGTTCTTGGCGCCTACTCAGCAGCCACACAGTACAACCGCGATTCCTACAAGGCCTGGCACGCTTGGGCTCTTGCAAACTTCGAGGCAGTGCAGACCATGGAAAGCCAAGCGAAACAAGCCAAGCAAGCCAAAGCCAAGGGCGACGACAAGCCCGTGCCTGTGGCGCTGCCTCCTGGGAACGTTCTAGATTATGTGATCCCCGCCATTCGTGGTTTCCTGCGGTCAATTGCCTTATCCTCCGCATCGTCTTTACAGGACACACTGAGATTGCTGACGTTGTGGTTCGCGCATGGTGGCGATCATGAAGTCAACACCGTAGTCACCGAAGGTTTCACGACGGTTAACATTGATACCTGGCTTTCTGTCACACCGCAACTTATCGCTCGGATCAACCAGCCCAACATCAGAGTCCGTGGCGCCGTTCACAGACTCCTCGCTGAAGTTGGCAAGACCCATCCTCAGGCTCTGGTGTATCCGTTGACAGTTGCCATGAAGTCCAACGTTGCTCGACGCTCACAATCTGCGACCAATATCATGGAAAGCATGCGCCAGCATAGCGCCAAACTTGTCGAACAGGCGGATCTTGTTAGTCACGAACTGATCCGAGTTGCGGTGCTGTGGCATGAATTGTGGCACGAAGGTCTGGAGGAGGCTTCCCGTCTCTACTTTGGGGATCATAATGTTGAGGGCATGTTCGCAACACTTGCACCTCTTCATGACATGCTTGACAAGGGTGCCGAAACTCTTCGCGAAGTTTCGTTTGCCCAAGCCTTTGGACGTGATCTTGCGGAAGCTAAACACTACTGCATGCTCTACCGCCAGACTGAGGAAATTGGTGATTTGAACCAAGCTTGGGACCTTTACTACACCGTGTTCCGCAAGATCAGCCGACAGCTCCCGCAACTGTCGATTCTTGATCTCAAATATGTCTCTCCTCGCCTCAAGGATTGCTCCGGTCTGGACTTAGCCGTACCTGGAACGTATCAAAGCGGTCGACCGATTATTTGCATCGTCAGCTTTGACCCGATTCTGCACGTTTTGCAGACTAAGAAGCGACCAAGACGGATGACACTCACGGGTAGCAATGGTCTCTCCTACATGTATGCACTCAAGGGTCACGAAGATATTCGGCAAGACGAGAGAGTCATGCAGCTCTTCGGACTGGTCAACACACTTCTGGACAACGATAGCGAAAGCTTCAAACGCCATTTGTCTGTTCAGCGTTTCCCCGCTATTCCGTTGTCGCAGAGTTCTGGCCTGCTCGGATGGGTGTGTAATAGTGATACACTACATGCTCTCATTAAGGAGTACCGCGAAAGCCGCCGTATTCTGCTTAACATTGAGCATCGGATCATGCTTCAGATGGCTCCGGATTATGACAGTCTCACGCTCATGCAGAAGGTTGAAGTCTTCGGGTATGCCATGGACAACACCACTGGCAAAGATCTCTATCGGGTGCTGTGGCTCAAGAGCAAGAGCTCTGAGGCCTGGCTTGAGCGACGCACCAACTACACCCGATCCCTCGGTGTCATGTCCATGGTCGGATACATTCTTGGTCTGGGTGATCGTCATCCTTCCAACTTATTGCTTGACCGCACAACTGGCCGCGTGGTCCACATTGATTTCGGTGACTGTTTCGAAGTGGCGATGCACCGCGAGAAATATCCCGAACGAGTTCCATTCCGCCTGACTCGTATGTTGACTTTCGCTATGGAAGTGAGCAACATTGAGGGAAGCTACCGCATCACGTGCGAGGCCGTCATGCGTGTTCTTAGGGAGAACAAGGATTCCCTCATGGCTGTTCTAGAAGCCGTAAGTTCTTTTACCTCTTTGCTTTTGTCTCCCTTCCTCCCCTGTTCTTTGTTACCTCTATACCGCGCATTATCTCCATGACAGAAGTTCTAACTTATGATTCTAGTTCATCCACGATCCCTTGATCAATTGGCGTTTGGGTGCGCAGGAGTCTCCCGATCGAACGACTCTTACCGCCGAACGCCGCCAGTCCATTATCGAAGGCCTCAATTTCGAGCATATGCAGTCAAACAGCGTGTCTCGCCCCCGCCGGCCATCACTCATCGACGGCGGCATTCTTGACATCCAAGATGGCGGAACTGAGGCTCGTGAGGCACAGAACGCTCGTGCTCTCCAGGTTCTTGCACGAGTCAAGGAGAAGCTGACTGGTGCCGATTTCAGACAGAAGGACGAACTGAATATTAGCGACCAGGTTGACATGCTTCTTGCACAGGCCACCAGCGTGGAGAACATCTGTCAACACTGGATCGGCTGGTGCAGTTTCTGGTAAATGGTTTTTTTTTCGGTGCTGCGCACCATTTGCTTTTCTTTTTCTCCCAGGGCTCTCAGGCCTAGCTATGATGTGATGCGATGGTTTCCGTTTCTTGCTTTTGGCACGCTCGCACGAGGCATAAATTTTCTCTCTCTTTTTCTTTTCAGTGTATCTAGAGTACCCCCTACTGTTCTTACATTCTCATTGCTTCTTTGTTCATCCGATTCCTCGGGGGTTTGCTGTTCCAATGCATCTCGTCTGGCCGAGTCCATCATGAAGGCTCTGGACTCGCGTTCGCAGGTTCTTTGTCTAGATGTAAGACCTGGTGTAGCTGAATAGCTGGACAATTCAGAAATTCCGCTAGATATCACGAAATTCTTGCTCTTTGAATGAGTAAAAGTTATCTTCTATAGCCCTGTACAGCTGATCCTTGGGATGTGTCCCACGAGTTAAGGTTACGGGTCTCTCATGTGACTGGGGTATAATCCGGGGAAAGGATCACACTGTAGGATGCCACAGTGCTAGTTTTAAGGGACGATTAACCACTTTGAAAATTGCTTCTTGTAGAGATCTAAGTATATTAAAAGTACCATATGATTCAACCTAATGCCATGTTTTCGACGCCTCTTAGTACCAGTTGTTGCGGATCAAGTTGAAGTTGCCGAGGTCGCTCCGCCCAACGAGGAGAAGCTGCCCCGGGAGCAACGTTAGCCTCTGGCTCGGGCCTCTCCTAATGACCTCTTCCTCTACACTCCTCCCCCATCCCATCCTACCTCTTCTTTTTGAGAACTATGGGCGACTGAAGTTGGCAGCGGGAATACCTCCAACATGCCAGCCCCTGATGCCGCCTCGACTGCCCCCACCCACGGCGCGGGTGATGCGCCCGACGTCCACCCTGTCGTCCGCACGGCTCTACGCATTAGCCTCAGCGCCAAAGAATACCGGGCGCTTTACGGACTACTGGCTAAACGTGCCCCAGGTGTTCAGGGGAAGCTAGTCTCGCCGTCGCACTATGATGCTATCGTCCACTCAAAGAACCGACGCAACGAGGCCGCCGTTCGCGCGTCGTTGAGGGTGTTTGTTGGCACTGGAGCTGCCCTGAAGCTGCTGGAGACGATCATCGGTCGGATTCGAGGGAGCGCAGAACAGTCAGTCTATCTTTAACAAAACTCCTTCATGAGAATATTTTTTTAGGCCATTCTTTACTGACATCCGCGGCGTCATTTAGGAAGAAATCCCGTGGCCCGATACTCCGCTCCCCCAACTTCCGCCTTTCCCTATCTCTATCCCTCCTGCTTCTGCTCCATCGTCTTCTCTACCGATTTCTCGTACGAATCCGAGCGAACCTATGTACCGATGATGCCAAACCATTCCGTGACCGAAACCCGCGCATCGCGCGCGCCTTGACCTCGCGGTTTGCCCCGGCTGTAGGCGCAAGCGCAGCCGGCTTCGCTCTGGGGATCTGCCCTCAAGATCAGCTCCGGCTGACTGTGGCAATCTATACGGGAACTCGAAGTTTGGAATTTCTCTACAATGTTATGGACTCGAAAGGGTGGCTGGATGACCGGCCGTGGTGGTTCGGCAGCTGGCTGCTGATGCCAGTCTCGTGTGCACAGCTATTCCATGCCTTCGTTTTCGATCGGGAAAACACGCCAAAGGTTTGTCTAGAACCAAATACTCATAACTTGTGACATATTGACTGACATGGGACTACAGTGGTTTGGTAATGTTATCTTCAGACTCTCACCGAGCTACATCCCTGGCCGACCGGATGCGCTACCAGAGGATGTCTTCTGGCCTGAGAAGGACCAGATCGTGGACTCTCTCGCATCAATTGCGAGCCTGCGCTGGCCGTAAGTCTAATTGTTCCCTCATCGAATAAATGACCTCCACTCATTCAATATAGGGCATTTATCTCCCCAACGCTACACCCGTCTGACCCCAATACCCTTCCATTATCGGTCAAGTCAATCTCTCCGATTACTGGGCCTGCTCACCCTTCGATCGCCCATCTTTCCTGTGCATTGCTTCACCCAAGTGTCCCCAGCTGCAGCACCGCATTCGTGCACCACATCCTCCTCTCGGTCCCTCCGTTGGCGCGGTTCCTCACGGCTGTCAGTCTCGCGTTGACAATCCCCAAGTTGAAGACTGTTCTAGCGCAGCCCATCACCTCTATAAATAGTTTGTCCAAGAGAATTATCACCATGACGGCCGTTCTATCGGCTGCTGTTGGCTCCGCCTGGGGCAGCGTTTGTCTCCTGAACAATACCCTGCCCCGCTCGACACTTCCGACCAAGCGCTTCTTCATCAGTGGTGCCCTGGGTGGCCTTCCATTCGCGCTCCTGGCTAACAGTCGCAGCGTTTTCATGTACTTCTTCCGCGCTGCCGTGGATTCTGCTTGGAAGACCGGCGTCAAGCGCGGCCTGTGGAAGGGCGGACGGGCTGTTGAGCTTTGGCTGTTTGTGCTGTCTTGGGCCCTGATGGGTTCAATTCTCGAGGCTCACCCATCAGCTGTCCAGGGCAGGGGTTTACGAAAGGGACTGGCATGGTTGCGAGGAGATGGGTTCGTCGACCTTGAAGAGGTTGAGAAGCGCAAGGCACACCGGTCGTTGAAGAAGGCGGAGACCAAGGACGAATAATGAGATTTTAGTACTGGTTATTATGTGATGTTTGGATTCTTTGCTTTCCCTGTTTCTATGTTCTCTATTTTTTCTATTTTTGAGCTGAACATAATTCTCGGTGTTACTCCGTTGTCTGGCTGGAACTCACTTTCCGACTCGACCCCACGTTTCCGTCGAACCACTCGGACTCCATTCTCCGCATCCGATGATCATCGCCTCCGAGTCCCGACAATTTATAGTCAGTGTAGACAACTTTGTCTTTTCTTTAATCTTCATAATTGCTCCGGTTTCTGTCTCTTGTTCTTTCTGTGTTACGACTACAAACGACCCGTTCTCTCATCTCTTGATTGCCTTTCTCCCTCTTTAGGTCATACAATGTCCGCCCACAGAATGAAGATCGGCTGTGCCGGTCTTGGTCGCATGGGCAAACGCCATGCACTGAACTTCCTCGAGCGCACGCCCCGAGCAGAATTGGTCGCCGCAAGCTCCCCTGATCCCGCAGAACTCGAATGGGCCAAAAAGCACCTGGAACCCTTCGGCGTGCGGCTATATCAGAACTACGATGACATGCTGAAACAAGAAGGCCTTGAAGCTGTCGTAGTTGCATCGGCGACCGCAGTACATGCCGAGCAGGCAATTAAGGCGATCGATGCTGGCAAGCATGTCCTTTGCGAGAAACCGCTGTCGACGAGCGTGGAAGTAGTGAGTTGCGCACAATTCGCCCTTCATCCTATAGTTCCTCGAGACAATGGACCTTCCATGATAGCTAATCATAACCCGTGCCGCTGTATATAGTCCCAATCCGTCGTCGACGCAGCTTCCAAGAAACCTCACCTCAAGGTGATGTGCGGTTTCTCACGCCGCTTCGACAAGTCCTACCGCGACGCCTACAACAAAATGCAAGCCGGCGCAATTGGTTCTCCCTCCGTGCTCCGCAGCCAAACCTGCGATAAACTCGACCCCTCAGGGTTCTTCGTCGCCTACGCCGAATTCTCCGGCGGAATTTTCGTGGACTGCTCCATCCACGATATCGACCTGACACTCTGGTTCTTCGGTGCTAGCAGTAAGGTCAAGTCCGTGTCGGCGGTGGGCATTACCGCCGTCGAGCCCGATCTACGGAAGCACAAGGACCGCGATAATGCAGTCGGTCTAGTTGAGTTCTATGATGGCCGGATTGCGTACTTTTATGCATCGCGCATGATGGCTGCGGGCCAGGAGGATACTACCGAGATCATCGGTACAAAGGGCAAAGTCACCGTGAACACGCAGCCGGCGATGAACCATGTGAATTTGTTTGATGATACAGGTGTGCGGCGTGAGATTCCTCAGACGTACTATGATCGGTTTGAGTATGCTTTTGTTACTGAGGCGAATGAGTTTACTGCGTCTGTGTTGGATGGGACTCCGCTGCCGCTGGATTTGACGGCTGCGGTGCAGGCTGTGCGGATTGGGGCTGCGTTGCAGGAGTCAATGGTTTCGGGGAAGAAGATCTGTTTCGATGAGCAGGGGAATCGGACGGAGGTTGCGAGGTTGTAGAAAGGGGATTTGGAGCTTGTCAGATCTATCTTGAGAGATAGATCGTGATCTGTATATGAAGTTTGTAAATACAAATGGGTATCTTCGTGCAATGCAAGTGATATAAGAAACTTTTCGAAGGGGTAGACGAAAAGGGCTGCGCCAAGGGTATAATTTTTGGTAAACATGGAAAAGGTGATCAAGAGTGTACAGAGCATTACACAGGTCAAAGGTGGTGGGGATTAAGATCCCAAAACTCATGTGTCTTGAGAAAAGACTCTCTCGACGACCCTCGCCGGTCACTTGGTGAAGCTTGATCTGGATCAACAGCAGGATTCAAATCACTCCCACTTTGCACGGGACCAATATGGACGTCATCTCTGGGCGCTTCTGCAATATTCACATCCTCAATAGGCGACGGTGTAGTCAGAATAACCGCAAGCAAGTTGTTGAGCACCGTGAACTCCAATAGTAACTTAATACTATACACGACGGGCTTGTAAGTAGTTTGGACGTCGAAGTGATTTGTATATTCGGTTGTCAAAAGCGTCGCATCCAATAACACGGCGATCACGTTCACGACGACGACATTCACAACCACTCTCCTGCCTCGGCGGCCCTTTAGCGCCAAAACCGGTCTCAAAGAGGTAGTCGTTTCCCAGACATAAAGAGCGCTGATGATAGTTTCCTGTATAGCGAAACCAGCCAGTTGAATCCGCTCGTAGATATTGAATGGCGACACAAAACTAGTAATCCCGTTATTGGCCCCAAGAAAAAGGATCGTCGTCGGGATATGCAGCGCGCAGAAATTGAACACGATCATGTAAAGAATCCATCGCGGATAATGCTGATGCGTAGTCACGAGATGTAGTCGCGAATACAGCACCACAGATTGTCCGGTGACCATCGCATACCAACCCAGGCAGATGAGGAAGCACATGGGGAAGTTCGGTGCGAGGGCGAAGTAGCGGAGAAAGGAGGATATGGCGTGTAAGAGTATTCCTAGCGTGGCGATAACCATACTCCAGAAGTAGAGGCCGCTGTAGCGCTGGAAGGTGGTGAGGATGGAGTAGGAGATTTCGATGACGTTCCAGCAGGCTAGAGTAAAGAAGCCGGCCATTAACATGGCTAGGGCCCGTGATATCTCGACTGGGCCGGTTTCGCCGGCCATGTTGGGCGGGTGGAGGGGAGTTTGACTCTAGTGAGGATTTGTGAAGAAAAGCGATGTGAAGGGCTGAGCCAATGGATGTGGGATTGACTATGTTATTGGCTGCGCAAGCCGACAAGGCGTGAGCTCGTCGCTCATTTTAGTTTTGGTAGCATCGATATAGCCAACGGGTTGAAATTGAACTGGGAACGTGACAATTTCCTTGCAGTCCAGATGGTTTATACAAGAAACAAGCCCGTAGACGAAAGGGACAAGAAAAGGGAGAGGTGGACGCGATCCTCGTACTAAGTACGGATAGTTCCATAGTTAAGGAGTCCGCGATTCCTCTTGGCACAATAGAGTTTCCTCTCCACGCTCCAATCGGCGAAACTTCGCCGGATTAGAGTTCCTGCAACAATCGCGTTAGTGTAGCCTCCTCTGGATCATCCTGAAAGTTGGAACAAAGTTTCTGGCCTCGCCTCGCTGGTTGGTCGAACCACTTGACACTTGACATCATCCACGATTCCACGAAGGCAACTTGACGGCCCAACGGTGCGGTACGCCAGAAAAGGAGAAACTCTAAACCTGAGAGATGTGGTTCACGCAAACCTAACGGTTATTGATTCCCCGTGGTTTATAGGTTAGTGCAGTGCACCTCCTTGTTTTTCAGACTGATGTCATAGACTGCCCTGAGCGTTGAGTGGTCTAGATGGGTATGACGTGAAAAAAAGGGAGAAGTGAGGCTGTGGAGATGCAGTTAGGCATGGCTAGATCCCTAAGTCAGGAAGGGGTACCGGTGATCAACTACATAATCCTGCAGTTGGGTAGCTATTTCCCTTCTCGACAGACGTGAACCGAAAGAAATTAGTGCTTCTGCCCCAGGCGGTCGGATTTATGTTGCGTGTTGCTTGATTAATTAACATTCTCACTTGACAATGCAACAGTTTAGGGGCCAGCTTAGGTACTGGTGTCAAATGTAAGACAGATCGGCGCGGCCGACTAACTGGCTCGGGCAGGTGGTTATTGACTGCAGGCTATGATCTGATAAGCCTAGGACTATACTGGAATCTACGACTCTAGGATATTGTTGACAGTTTTAATTGTGCCATGCTGCATAATTAGTGACCTGTTTGCTTATTACGACCGGCTCTCCTCACGTTATGTGCACTTCTTATATCGGGCGCCCGGCATATTTGGTTAGTATTTTCGGGCATGAGTCGTGAACCTAGTAGAGTAGAAGAGAGCGGAGAAAGATTATCTTGGGATGCATAGTCGTGGAAGACATCAAGTCCACTTTCATCGAATTCGTCAAAATATTATAAACTCGCTTGCATGATGATGAATAACACAAAAATGAAACAAAAAGAGAGAAAAACATGGGAATCTCATACAACAGGAGACGTCTAAAAGCTGTGCAGTATATATATAATCTCTTTTTTGAACTGGGTTTACCAGCGGACAACCTTGTTGGGGAAATACTCATCAATGAGCTCCATGTAGTAAGGCTTCAGCTCCTCAGCGCTAGGAATACCATCGCTCTTGCTGTACAAATCGTACGGGTTGAACGCCTTGACAGCACGGAGCATCTCCTTGTCATGGTCATCCATCAGCTCGTTATAAGCGCCAGCGTTGTGCCAGGGGTAGAAGGAGTGGTAGCGGATCATAGCGAGGGCCTCGTCGGGCAAAGTGGACTGCTCCTTGGCAATGTGGTAGAGGTACTCATCATGGCCCCAGGAGAGCATGACCTTGTCCAGGCCGCAGCCGGGACTGTAGATACCGAACTTGGTGTCGTAGATGGGGTGGCCAAAGTCCTCGTTGTCCTTGAACGAGTCACGGCCGTAGATGATGCGCTCATCGAAGGCGCAGCCCACGGGGAAAGTATCACCCACCACGTCCCACTGGCCTTGGGCGTCGAAGAAGAAGAGCAGCTTGCCCAGATCGTGGATGAGACCGGTCAGTTGCATCCAGCGGGGCTTTCCGTCGCGGCGGATGGCCTCGGCGGATTGCAGGAGGTGCTCGATCTGGGAGAGGCTGGTGTCGGGGTCGGACTCGTCGATGAGGGTGTTGAGCTTCTCCATAGCTTCCCAGATGGTCATCTCGGCGCGGGTCTTGCTGTGGAAGTCGTGGCGGGCCTTGAGGTTGTAGGCGACGCTTTGCTTGGTGTGTTGCTCCTTGTAGAAGTTCTTGACGCGGTCACAGGCATCCTCGAACTGGCGGAAACCAGTCTTGTCCTTGCCCTTGTCGAATTCGGACTCGTCATAGAGGTCCTTGTCCTTTTGTTCCTTCATGTTGGCCTTGATGACGTTGACCTCGTCGATGGCATCGGAGAGTTCCTCGAGGGCCTGGCCATCCCGGTTCTTGTTGAAGATGGGGGCAGGAGTGTCGGCGACAGCGACGGGTGCCATTTTGGTATGTAGGCGGATAGATTAATGTGTGGTTTTGGACACTTTTTGAGAAGCACGAATTGCAAGCGTTTGATTTCAAAGTTGAACCTGCAAATATTCACTCAGATAATGGTGCTAAAGGATGACAGTCTCGTTCCTCGGAGGAGATCGAGATGCATATATAGGGAGTGGTCTCCACGACTGACGAGGTCTCAAGCGAATCGCATCTATGTTTCCGACGTCTATCATGCTATGGAGGGTCGCACAAGGCTCGAAACTGGCAATATTCCCCGGGGATGGGCCATGATTTGCAGCCATGGCTTGTGCGAACGAGCATCGTGGAGTCAAGATCACGGATTCCAGAATCCGTACTTGGACTATTTTAGGGTCCCCCCACCACACGAGGATGTGCCTGCGAGTGGTGATTGGATGATGCCACTGCCGCGTGGGGAAGTTGATGTCAGCATGGGCAGCGAGGGTCACGTGGAGTCGCGAAGGATTCTGGTTTCCGGCCGCTGACTAAGACTAGTCGTCGTCGTTTGGGTGAATGTCGCCGCCGGTTTCTCAATTGGGCTTTGCTTGGGCTCTGCTGGCTTTTTCCCTTTCGGATCATTTTGCCGGTCTCTTGAGATCAGGGCTTGCTCGGCTGATCTCCAGCTCTACACAGTTGCCGATGCGGGGCATCTGCATCATGTCATCACCTTATGGCAAGGAAGGAGGGACACGATCATCATCCAGCCATCAGTCTTAGAATGCTCAAATTATCGCAAGATTAGGGATCATTCACGGTAGATTCTCTTCTTATACCTTCCTGTAGTATACAGTCGTACCCCCAGTACCAGTAGTCCAGTCGAAAGGTGATTGATGGAAGAACCAAGAACCCGACCGGGGCCGAGTCCAGTTTGGCGGGGCAAAAGGAAGACCCCCGCGTGGGTGACGTGGGGGGATTCACCTCTTCGGGCCATCTTTACATCGAAGCATTTTCCCCCTCTTCACCTTTTCTTTTTTTTCTCTTTCTCTTCTTACTTTCTTTAGCTTCAAGTCCTTTCAATTCCGTTCATCTCCTTGTTTCTAATCAAAAATAAACGATAACGATCACAATGGCTGCCGCAGACGTCCACTTCAAGCTAAACACTGGCGCTGAGCTCCCTGCCCTGGGTTTTGGAACTTGGCAGTCCGCGCCGGGCGAGGTCGCTCGCGCCGTGAGCCACGCCATCAAGGTCGGCTACCGCCACATTGACGCTGCTCTGTGCTACGGCAACGAGCACGAGGTCGGTCAGGGTATCAAGGCGGCCATTGATGCAGGCATTGTCAAGCGCGAGGATCTGTTCGTCACCACCAAGCTGTGGTGCTCGTACCACTCCCGCGTCGAGGAGGGTCTCGAGACTTCCCTGAAAAACCTCGGTCTGGACTATGTTGACCTGTACCTGATGCACTGGCCTCTGGCCATGAACCCCAACGGTAATTTCCCCTCGATATGCATCCTTTGACAAGGAATTGAACAATGAGAAACAAAAATATATACTAATACCTTTTCCCCAGGAAACCACCCCCTTTTCCCCAAGCTGCCGGACGGCTCGCGGGATATCGTTCGCGACCACAGCCACGTCACCACCTGGAAGAGCATGGAGAAGCTCGTCGGAACCGGCAAGGTCCGCGCCATCGGCGTCTCCAACTACAGCGTCAGATACCTGGAGGAACTCCTGCCCCAAGCCACCATCATTCCCGCCGTCAACCAGATCGAGAACCACCCCTCGCTCCCCCAGCAGGAGATTGTCGATTTCTGCAACAAGAAGGGCATCCACATCACCGCCTACAGTCCTCTGGGTAGCACTGGCAGCCCCTTGTTCACTGCTAAGCCCATTGTCGAGGTTGCTGAGAAGCGTGGTGTTTCCCCTGCCACCGTTTTGCTCAGCTGGCACAGTATGTTGAATTTCCGAAGAATTGTTGAAAGAACTGCACTTCTGACTGATTCTATCTTTTTCATTTAGTTGCCCGTGGCTCTTCCGTTCTCGCCAAGTCTGTCACGCTTTCGCGTATTGAGGCTAACCGGAACGTGATCCACCTGGATGCCGGGGATGTCGCTACTATCAAGAAGTACTCTGACGAGCTGGCTGCGACCAAGTCCTTCCAGCGCTTCGTCTACCCACCTTTCGGTACGGACTTTGGTTTCCCCGATAAGGCGTGACTAGCTGGCACGCATAGACTATGAACCTGCGCTTTTGAGTATATATATAGAGAGTGTGATACCTTGGGTAGATAGGAAGTGCTGTTTGTGATTTACGATACCAATGAAAAAAAAAAAGGAAAGATTTTTGGACTTGATATTCATTATTCATGGCCGTGGTTGCTATTGTACATTTTGGTGTGTAAACCAGGCCGATTCTCGTATCCTCGTGTTCTCATTATCATCATTTCATCACTGTGAATGGAATTTTCACAGTGTATCTCTCCATTCCTCGAATCCTCCTCTTTCACCTTTTGAATTCTGATATTCAAATGACGATCAGAGCATGCCAAGATTCAGGCGGCATTGCTCATGGAAGGGTCACGGCCGAAAGGGGGAGAACGACCAGGTCCAGCATGAGGAGAATGGCCACGAAGAATTGAATGCTCAGGACCAGGGAAAGGTCCGGCAAAGCCAGGGCCAAAATTCGGAGAATGACCTGGGTCAAAATATGGAGAAGGGCCTGGGCCAGAAGTAGGGGATGGACAGGGGCCAAATTGAGAAGCGGAGCCGGGGAAAGACGCTGCAGGGTCATGGCCAAAACTTGGAGGATGGCCTGAGCCAAGAGTTGGAGACTGACCATGGCCAAGTGGAGGCGCAGGACTAGGGAAGGCCGGTGCAGGGCTAGGAACAGGCGCGGCAGGACCACGGGGTCTCAGGAGTGAGCTGTTGGGTACATCATCTCCCACCCAAACCCGGTCGACAGTTGCACGAAGCACACGCTCATCATTCTCGTCAGTCTCGTCAGTCGGTTCCATCTTGACGAATTCCCGATATTCCAACTCGGCAAAGGCCTCAGGAGAGACCTGCCAGCGGCCGACACGAAGTGAGACACGCAGCGCATTCAGGCGGCGTGACTCGCGCTCTTCCACGACCTCTTCCATCAGCTCGAGGCTTAGGTTGCCGCGAGCTTTCATGATTTCAAGAGCAACCATGAAGACCCGGTATGGGAGGGTGATCAACATGGCAGAGGGAACGAGGATTGCTGGGTCCTTGGGGCGCAGGTCGGCGAAGGAAGGCATGCTGCCGAATCGGATTTCCTCCAGGCGTGGGTTTGATAGGAGAGAGCCTGGGAGGGTGTGGAGAGCCGTGGGGATACGGCGTGGGGTGTATCGGGCCTGAGCACGTCGATACAGCTCCCAGTCTGAGGTAACTGCGTTGGTGATGAAACGCAGGGCGGCATTCTGAGCCCGTTCCGCCTGGACATAGTGGAAGTCGTGGAAGTGGTCGAGTTCTACGACTGGAGTGCCATTGCCGTGGCCACCGGAGAGAGAGGACGCGCGCGAATTGGCGGGGCTGATAGGAGGGAAAGGCACATCAGGACAGGTCACCATGTAGGTGAGAGGAGTCATGCCAAAGCTGAGGATAAACTCGGCAGTCTCCCAGGACAGGTGGCTGATGGCCATGTCGATACCTCGCTCAGTAATCTCGCGGCGGGCGAGGAAGGCGCCGGCGGCAGCGTAGCAAAGGGCGAAATCAACCATGGCGCGCTCAATGGAGAAGGAGTATGTGCCTGTACCATTGTCGTCGGGGAGGCCCAGTCCTTGGAGAGTGGACTTGCGAAGGGTCTCTTCGGTGACGAGTGGGAGGCCGTACAGGACTTGGAGGGCCATGGTGAAGGCGTGCGAACACGTGAATGAGACTCCAGTGAAAGCACGAATATGATCCACATGCCCATCCCAGTGCCACTTGGTGACCATCACGTTGTAAAGGAAAGGACTTCCAGCGATGATGGCCTTGTGAAGGTTGTACACAATGGGAGGGTGAGACAGGTCTGGGCTCAGCAGGAGCTGGATGTCGGCAAACTTAGGGTTGCCAAACAGCGCCTGGACATGCTCAGTCTGGAAAGCCAGAGGGCGAGGGGCTTCAGTCTGGCAGGGGTTGTGACGGCTGTCGGCAGGCGTGGTCTGGCAACCCTGGTTGCGAGTCTCTCCGGAGTCTGCCTCTGGCGCACCTGCCTCCTCGGGGCCGTTGCTGGCGGCAGTCGACGGCTTGCGGCTGTTGTCACGCGAAGCCTCCTTCGACTCGTTGCTGGCCAGAACGGAGGAGCTCAGGTTCTTTGACTTGGCGTCAAAGTACAGACTGGGGGACTTCAAGTCCTCCGGAGTAAAGACCTCGCCGAGGTGAGCCTGGTGCAAACTCATCTTCTTTGAGTTGTTGGCCGGGGTTGTCTCCTGGATGGCGGGAGGAACATCCAGGTTTGTGTCGGTGTTTGCCGCAGAAGGGACGGCAGCGGGCTCGTTCATTGCCTGGGCAGAGGCAGACGAGACCCGGGGCGACTGTCCACTGACAGCAAACATCGAATCCACCGAATCAACGATGGGCTCACTGACGGGCTCACCCAAGCTCGAGGACTTGGGGCTCGACATTCGGCTTGCTTCAAAAAGCGAAGCCACCGCAGGCACAAGCTCCTGGTTGTCGGCAGGTCGGGGCGGCACGGGGGCAAACCAGCAATCTGCTGGGAAATGAATGCAGCAGCAGCTGCGACGGGGACTGCCGTGGTGATGGCAGCAGGCTGGGTGGAACCCACACATCGGCTCAGCTCCAGAAGCGCTCTCAACGACGCCAGACCGGGGTTGAGCGTACCCAGTCTGGTGGCCACCGTCGTGCGAGTACTGAGCTGGCACCGATTGACCTGGCATCGGCCACTGAGCCCAGCTATCCTCACTCTGATAAACTGAGTGAGAGAAAAGATCGCCAACGGGAGGGTTGGCAGCGAGGAAGGCGACCTCTCTCTCCGCCTCGGCTTCCTCGGCAGCTTGACGTGCCAGCATACGCTGGCGCCACGCCTCCGTGTCAACGATGCACGGACCGACATACTCCTGTTTCGGAGCGAACGACTCAGCCGTGGCTTCCTCACCGTCAACGACGGTGAAGACCTCCGAGGTTTTGGAGGAACCATCTTGACCAGTGCGACCACCGGTCTGATTCTCCACCTCAGAGGTGGCCACCACGGGAGAGACGCCCGACTCCTGGGCAGGAGAAGCCGGACCCGTGAGCTGGATATCCGAAGATACCCCCAAGTTGTTGCCGCCGGCCTGGCCGGCCTGTCGCTCCCCCTTCTTCTTCTTCTTCCCCTTGTTCTTTCTCTTCTTCTTTGGCGGGGCCTCGGGGATGGCCGGCGCCGCAGAAAGAAGATTCATGGCCTCAGTAGGCAGGGGCAAGCGGGAGGGAGAAGGAGAGGGCGAACGGACAATGTCGACGTCCGACGCGATGATGGTGTCGGCAATGCTGGTTGGGGTAGCATTGCCGGTGGAGCCCTTGGTGGGCTCGGAACGGTTGGAGATGCGCAGAGCCATCTTCTTCTTCTTCTGCTCGTACTGTCTCTTGCGGCCGTGCTTGTTCTTGACACGGCGGAGTCGACCCTTCTTGTTGGGTTCGACTGAGGGTTCGTCCGCGTCGGAGTGTCTGACCGCGACGAAAGAAGATGGAGCAGAGGAAGTAGGGCCTGTAGTGACAGTTGTCAGTTCATGTGATGCGTAGAAGTGTTATCACTGATATCAACTTACCGTGCGCGCGGGTGGTGGGGGAGTCGGCAAAAGCTTCAAATGGCCCCTTGGCGTTAGAGTCGAGGAAGTCCGAAAAAAGTGTATCGACTTCTTCGGCGTCTTCGGTGTCAGAGTCGACTGGCGGTCCCAGGAGCGAATCAATCTCCTTGTCGAAGAGAGCGAAGGGGTCTTCTTCTTCAGCTACTGACAGAGGAGCTTGTTCACGATTCAGATTCACACCGTAGACGTCCTCGATGTGATTCACAGTACTCTGAGTCAACTGATACAGCTGATCAGCCACTTCTGGAGGAGGGCTGGAGTACGGTGGAGGTGGGCTGTTGGAGGGACGCTGAGTGAACTGAGGAGGACGTTGGGTCTGGGGAATGGGTTGAAGCTGAGACTCTGGCTGACCAGAGTGACGGAAAAAAGGATTGTGAGAACGATTTTGACCTTGTAGCTGGCCGTGACCGTGTAGAGAACCTTGAAATCGAGGAGGAGTTTGATGGATTAAAAGGTGTTGTTGACGGGTTGGAAGCTGCTGTTGACGGGTTGGAAGTCTGGGGGAGGGTTGTGATGAAAGATTTGAAAGCCAAGGTGAGCGAACGAGACGGCGAGAAGGATGAGGCCAAAATCCAGGGGGTGGTGCCGGAGGTGGAGGGCACAAACCAAATGCTTGTTTGAATTCAGTTGGCAAGCGGTTGGTCCAGTGAGGCTCTTTGTTGATGAAGGCATCTCCCTCCTCGGGAAAGATGCGAGACGGGGCTGGCGCCATCTCGAATTGAGAACTTGAGGGTTCGAATCCGAGTGAGCACGTGGAATATGAAATCTTATCACAAACCGCGAAGCAGTATCAGGGAAGCGATGTAGGCGATGAGATAGTGCGTGGCACGATGGCGTGGAAAAGAAATAGAGATGGGAAAAAGGATGAAAGTGGGAAGAAATCGCGTGGAACGATGAGAAGGGTGAGGTGGAAGTAGGAAGAAAGAAAATTTGGGAGAAGAAGGAAAAGGAATTCAACAGCGCTGGCGGGGGCCTTCCCCCCAAAAAGGGCTCCGTTTTATTTTTACGAGTCACCTAGGCTATGAGTCGCTTGATAATTGTGATATCTAAGTGAGGCTGCATGATTAGTCGGCGACAACAGTGTGCGGCTGGCGAAAAGGCACTGTCAACACATTAGGGCAATCGATCGCCACGACGATGGAGTTTACACGGCAGCAAAAGGTCAACATGGCAAGACATGAACAGTCAACATGAGTACCTAAAGAAATGCAGCACATATAGTGCAATTTGGTTAATTTCCCGGGGTGCATGTCCGCCCATAAGTTGCGTTTTAGAGTAGAACATTTTGTTATACTCTCCCATGGATAACTTGAGAATCTCAGCCTAAATACAGAAAATTGATGGAGCGAGGTAAAAGAAACCAAAGCATATGGACTTTTCTCAATTTCTATCATCAATTCAGAACAATTTTTTTGCAATTAATCCCATTAACAGTGCGAAAGTACGTGAACGTTTTATACTTCATGTTATTTTTCAGGGCTTATAGCAACACGTGACCCCAACGTGGCAACCTTATTTTGACTCCCGCTGGGTATACCATTATTCGCACGGGCACACGCCTGTATTGCCAAAGTATAAAACTCCTGTTGATGGAAGCAAAAATGGAATGCTTGGAATTAACGCTCTATCTATAGAAAGGTGATTTTGAAGTGATCTGGATGCATTTTCAACACAATCATACAGATATACTTTATTCCGTTCGAGAACTATGTGATTGGGAAAACAGGAGTTTGACAAAGATAAAGAAAACAGCTAGACACGAAATGGCACAGGAGAAAAAGGACAGATAGTAGACGCTCAAGAAATGCACCAGGTGGTATATAGTCGTGAAGAGTTCAGGTTGAAAGGAAAAGAAATAAACAATCCAGACCAAGACAATCTCAAAACATGAGATGGAAGATTTCTCGAAAGATGGAATGGATATGTGGCAGGGTGCCAGGACAAAGGCGCAGAAAAGTGGAAACCACAAACAAGAAAATGGGAGACAAAGACCGGCTTCTATTTAAAACATCCCACCATTCACAGGAATTGCCGGGGGTGGGTATTGGGGAACAGCAGGGGCTGGGCTGGCCATGGCCTCCTGGCGTGCCTTCGCATTCAAGTTGCCACCTTCGCTAGAGACCTTGCGCAGACGGTTGCGGGAGCGTGGACGCTTCTCATCATCGGGGAAGTAGCTCTGCTCGTCAGAGATGCTGGGAGCTGGAGAAGATACCCGAGATTCGTGCTTGTCAGACTTGAAGGCGCTCAGGATGGTGGTACCACGGCGGCGACGGGGGTTCATCGGAGGGAGTGCAGGTGCGGCAGCTCCTGCTTGTGAAGAGACAGAGGACATCGGGGTGCCCGTGGGGAGACCGACGAGGGGCACATTGGATGTTGAGGATACCAATGTGGGTTCGGAGATGAGTTTCTTGTTCACACTACGTTTTTGAAGCAGGTTGTGTCCAGGCGCACGTTGGGGCAGAGCATGGGCATTGTTTGCCATAGAGGAGGACATGGTCGCCGTTGGGGACTGGTCCTCGTTCAGCGGAGGGGTGGCGTTGGCAGAGTATGCAGGAGCAGCGGGAGGAGCCCGAGGCGTGGCACCGATCATGGAGGGAGGGTGCGACTGCTGGTACCCAAATGGTCGCTCATACTGGAAGTTCGCGGGACTGGTACCTGAACGGCTGGCGCTGCGGTATCTACCGGACGCGGCAGAAGAAGAACGATCATACACGAGAGGTTCTACCTCCATGGAGGGACGAGTTGAGCTAGAGACGGAAGGCGGCTCGAAGTTGTCAGGAATGACAAAATTATCGTGAGCAATGACGGCACCCTCATCCACAGTCTCGAGGTCATCGCGCTCGCGATAGCGAGTTCGGCTCTTGGAACGACCAGAAGCATCGGAGTTGGAGCGAGACCGGAAGGTATTGTGCGGGGATGGACCACGGCTGCGGCTAGAGTCGCGAGAATCCTCATTGCTGTTACGACTAATGGTAGGCATACGCGAGCGGATGGACCGCTCGGATCCAACATACGGAGAGCTGGAGTTGGAGTGACGACCAAGATTGAAAGCAGGCCGTTCCTCCTCGCGCCAAGAATCCTCTGATACCAGGGCAGGGGTGGAGCCGCTGTTATATCCATACATCTTGCTCTTCGGATCCGGTTGAGGAATGCCTTGCTTGCTGGGCTTATGCTTCAAGAGGGAGAAAGCGTTGCCGGCCTTGATTCCAGCGAGATCAGGAGTCTGACGGCCAGGCGTCGGGCTGCTGGAACGGCTCTCGCTTTCCGCGACGCTGCGAAGCTTCTCCTGGACCTTGCGACGTCGCTCAGCCAGCTCCATGGCAAATTCTTCGCGCTCCCTCTGGGTCTCGGTGCTTCCGTCCCGACGGTGATGGTAGGCCAGCTCCTCCTTCCAATGAGTGGAGTTTGGAGCAATGGCGCCATATCCGGGCATAGCACTAGCATCAGATGAGTCTCCACTCGAGCGATTGGCGGTAATTTCAGAGGACTGATGCGACAGAGCCTTAGGGCTTGACTGTTCGACTTGCATGTCAAGAGTCGAAGGTGTCTCGTCAGGGGTAGTAGCAGGGGTGGTTGCCTCGGAGGTAGCCTCATCGGCAGCGAAGTGGTTGGTATTGGGCTCTTGCGGGGGGAAAACTGGGGACGGTGGAGGATAGATGGAGGACTGGTTGCTCACTTGGCGTAGGTGAGATTGGATGAAGCCATTCAAGCCAAAGGTTGGCGAGTCCGGTCGCTGAGGAGTGCTGCCTCCTGCATCTTGAGCACCAGCATTATACTCAAGACTGTCGTCTTCCTCGATAGGCTTGAGATCGCCCAAATCCGAGTATCTGACCTCTGGAAGGGGGTCTAGGTGCTCGCCCGTGGGAGTTGGAGGCTTAGAGGCGGTGCTAGCATATTGCAGTGGGTGACCAAAGTCAGTGGCCATCGAGGTCACGGACGAGATTTCGCACGAGCGACGATCATCGTTATCGTCTCCAGAGTCGCTGGCGGTAGAATTGGCGTAGAAGGTTGTCATGCCGGGGCGACCGGGTGAGGCCTCCACGCTAGATACTCGGGAGTGATCAATACTGTGTTGCACATCGCTGCTGTAATGGGAAGAAGCAGACTCCGCTCGAGAACGGTAGCTAGATTTGGACAGGCCTCGCAAGCGGCCAGTGGGCTCCTGTGGCAGAGGACGACGCGGGGGAGACGGACGTCGCGGTGGAGGAGTGTTGCGGCCTTGGTGCATTTGCAGCTGGCGGCGCATAAACTGCTGCTCGTCGAATCCAGTGGCAGCCCGGTTGAAGAGACCCATGGCAGTGGCCTTTCCATGATCTTCAGGGTTGAGTGCCGCCGCCAGTAAGTTGTGACCGTCCTCGTTCTCGCTGGATGGGGGGCTTAGGGGAGGAGCGGCTCCAAAGACCGCAGCAGTGGGCGAAATACGATCTTTTGGAGCAACCTCCGGAGGCGTAGGCTGCTTGGGAGAAGTCGCCGAGGAGGGAGGGCTCGTAGGCCGAGACGTGGTGGCCGGTTCAGTGATATTAAGCTTTTGAAGGCGATCACGCAGGTTAGTGGCGCTGCGAGAGAAATTACGGTTCAATGGAAGCAGGTCCGGAGTTCCGGCACGCTGACGGCTCAGGGTTTCGAGGCGGTTCAAAGTGGAAGACTGTTGATTCTGAGCCGCCTGTGTGAGGCCTTGTCCATACAGACGACGGGATCGAACAGACGGGCGAGCGTCGACTGGACCTTCTGGAGCTGGCGTGGCAATCGTCGACGGTTGGGAGTGATTAGGGTGGGATTCGTCGATTGAGGTGGCAGCAGTCGAGGTGCGAGCATTAGTAGTCGGCCCGGAAGCCGTTGAGGAGTAGGTAGTGCGTTTTGTGGAGGAAAAAGTCGAAGTGGCATCTTCTGATTCTTGCATTGCCGCCTCTTGGGCCGCCTCCTCTGCAAGTCGCTCCTCCTCCTTCTCCTTATGCCTCATCTTCTGGAAAACAGACATATTCAGATCATGTTCGTAGACGAACTTGCCCATACCGCGGTTGGGCTCCGTCGAGCTGGTCGACATCCCAGAAGGCAAGCGAACAGGGATACGGTAGACCTTTTGGCGACCACCGAAGAGGTTGTTTCCTTCGGCACGACGAGCTCGGCTCATGATGCTACCGCTTTGCAAGGGGTCGTCATCGGTACCGTACCCTCCTTCCATACCAGATGCGTAAGAATCGGCCCGACCCAGGGCAATTGATGGACGGCTGCCGTCGTTGGAGGATACCTCGTCAATGTCCGTCAACATACTGGGGTTGTGACCGAAGAGATTCAACCGCGAGGCTCGCTTGGGGAACAGAACGCTATCGTCGCTGGCCTTTCCAAGTTTCGTATCTGGGTCATCTTGTTCTCTCAACATGCTAAACCGAGCGGACAGCTTAGGCATGAGCAGACTCGTGCGGAAATCATCTGAGGAAGGGAGGGCGCCGGATAGGTCCAGTTTAAATTGTGCCTCTGCCGCGTCCTTCTTCTTCGAGAGCTTCAAGCCGAAAGGCAAGTTCGATGTTGATGGCACATTTTCCAACTCATCCAAGGTCTCCTTGACCTTCTTGTTCTTGCGAAAGCGATGCATTGTGAAATAAGAGAAACCGATTCTCAACCGGCGATTGAGAGAGCGACTACCGGCCTAGAGATTCTCGGAGCGAAGCGAATGACGATTGAGAGGAAACGAGTGACTGTTGTTTTAAGCATAGACGTCAGTCTCCTTGGTCTTTTGCCGCCTTGACTTCTATTCCTGCGGCCAACTCACTGGAAATTCCTTATCCAGAGAGTGGAAAGAGCGGCATGGCCGTTTGGCGCAAGACGGTGCGAACTTGGCGAGGAGAGCAATGGTGCGACGAATTATTGCCTCCCAAACTAGACGGGAATGCGAGTAGCGTCTGTCAAGTAGTCCCCGCGATTCGAGGTATTCGCATACAGTAGGTCGAAAAGCCGTCGGGTGCACAGGGGATCGAGCACCAATCAAGCGACAATCGGGACACAGCGGCGAAATGGCTGGACTGATCACACGAGGAAAAGGAAATGGGGCCAACTGATTGGGAGACGATTGGGAGCTGCAGAGGAGTGGTTCCGGTTCGAAAGGGCAACGGGCGAGTAGTTGGTAAAAGAGAGACAGGGAAGGACCGAAATGATATGATAGAACGAGAGACTAAGGAGAGGAAGGAGAGGAGAAAGAGGGACCTCGTCGAAGAATGCGATGAGTACAGAGAAGATGCGCGGAATGGGGAGAGAAAAGTACCCTAGCGCTTGACGGTGTTAGCGTTGGCGTCTGGCCGTAGATTATTACTTGACGTTCCGTTACGGGAGGGCGAGAGACTGGCCTATCTACAATAAAGAATTTTTTTTAATAATATTTTTTGTTTTCTTTTCAAAAAGTAAAAACTAGAGAGTAAAACAGACTAAATAAAATTAAAATTAATAAAAAGGATCTGGATCCGGATCGTCCTCGTCCAAGGTGCCCACCGTTCAGAGTCGATCCCGTACGGAGTCGACAAGAATGATCCTTTCGGAGGATGGCAATGTTGATCTTACTACTGTTTACGGTCTGATTGTTTATGTCGTCCTGTCATCTGCAGTGCAATGCCCATGAGGTCCAACAAGGGGCTTCCCGAAAGGGCTTTCCATGGGTTTTGGCGGAAAGCTCCCTGAGACTGTGCCAATTACTGTCCAGTACCGTCAGTGCTCTGTGGGATTACCGTTGATTACGATTGGGTACCAGTCATTACCAAAGGGGTAGCGAGATCGGGGGGGAAACGGTGGTAATTTAAGGACCGAGTTTGGGGGGGGAAATTGGGAATTGGAAGGCGCAAATGATGAGGGGCCAATTGAAACGTCCCTTGCAGTGTACCGCGTATTGCAGTGGTATTGGTATTGGTATGTTTATCTCTTTGAATTTCCCCTATACACCCTCCGTACCCTTGTACTATAGCACATCATATGTACTATGTATCCTATATTTAGTCTGGAAATAATAACTACAGTATTGCTCAACTATTGCCGCTTTGCTCATCATCCTTTGGCCTCGCGTGTGCTGCGGCATGTGGATCTGGGGCTGAACCGCCACTTCAACGACTGTGGAGGATCCCAGTCGCGTTGCGATATGGGGGATGATGCGCCCGCCGCATGGCTGAGCTGGCCCATACCAACGCGGGGCTTAGAGTTACGACGCGTTCCATGCCTTCCTCTCTGGTTGACAGTTAGTAGCGTTCGTAACAACACCAATGAAGAACGAACAGAATGGAAATGAATGACCAGGGTCCTATCCTGTTCGAATCCTGGGCCCGTCGCTCGCTGGGAGTTCAAAGCCGGCTTCCTAACTCACTACTAAATCAAAGCCCCGCTACCCCTTCTAGTTGGTCTCCTTGGGTGTTCTAGTCGTTCCGGGAGTTTGGACACGGGACAGCCTAAAGGCTTCCACGAACAGTGGACTGGAAGATCTCTAATGCCCTGAATATGACTGTAAACGAGTGGGATGGACTTACAGTATACAGGGGCCAATCGTCTTGGCGAAAGCTCGGTTAATTAGTAATATTGGGACTTCGTGGATTCGGGGGCTTCTGAGCTGCCTGCCTAGGAAAAGTCCGATGTGTGCCATGCTTTTCGTCTCTCGTTGCTTATGGATGAAGTAATAATGAATCATATACGCCGTTCGCCGTGAGACACGGCAAAAGCGATCAACGAATGGCGAATGATGGACCACAGCATTATGATATCCGATAATCAAGATTGTTATGTTTTTAATATTAGCGATCGATAATGCGATCGTACCCTTGCATAGGCGGGAAAGCCATAGCATCCATGCGGCTCCTGTGATAGTACTTGCATTCTAACTAGGGACGACAATACAATTATATCGCCAATTGCCGCGCTCGTGAAGAAAGCCATGGTTTACGGCAGCATGGCTTGCAGCTGGTCGTCGATAAAATTAGCCAATCTTGACGTATTTCTCCGATACTGCAGGGCCTCCTGCGTCGTGCAGCACATCTCCTGCAGCTCGCCAAGTGGGAACATCCAGTCCGGTTGTCCATCTGATCAGGCTATCAAAATGCAGTACCACCTCTATCTAGCTATGTATCCACAGTAAACGAACCCATAGTTCGGTCCTGCGATCGCACCGCTTTTCCTACCATGTTCTGGTTCTCTACGGATCTACAGTATCCAAAAGGAGCAAGAGTCAGGTGAGCACTAGTTCATCTCTTTGCCTCCCTACGTAGTGTCCACCCTGCAGCGAAAATCATTAGTGAGAATATATATATATTTTTTCTATTGACTCCATCAGGCCAAAGACCAGTTGCATCATCACTCCCCAAATCCATCCGGCTCCATGGCCCAGGGCTGACAATTTTCTGTGTGGAACTATGAGATCATGACGAACGCACAGACGCGACGAATATTCAATGGAAACGTAGAGTCTAGCAACACGAACGGCGCGACACCCGAAATGGGAACAACTGGGGACAAACATTGCCAAGCGCGAATTAGTCTGGGTCGCGTTTGGGGGCAAGGCTTGACAGCCGTTGCCGGGCCCGGTTGGGGCAAAGCTTTTTGCTTTAGCGAGCGTCTGGACCACTTAGGACCTGCTCTCTTGGGTCTAACTTTTTGGAAGAGAGGCCCTGAAAAAAAAAATGGGCTGTGGGCCCAGAAAATTGCTTCGCTCCGGCCATGAGGAGTTTGTACAAATATGTAAATGTTTGTGTGAATAATTTCTCTAAGTAAACATTCTTCGAGAATCTGCATCCACAGGGGAAGGATCCACTGGGCAGTCCTTTGCTTGTTAATACAATTGCCTTATTGTTGTCCTGAGTCGGCTCTAAATGGTTTCGAAGCCGAGGCACACACCGTTGAAATGCAGGGAGAGAAACTCACCAGCAGGGTGACCTAAAAAGGATATGTTATGTGCTGATCAAGACTCGGATGAAGGAGAGACCTTGGCATGTCGGTCAGCGAAAGCTTTTCGGCAATCAAGGTCTGTTTTTTCTTCACCTAACTACAGATACCAAGATGAAAGCATGCGGAGTGGACTTCCTATAAATTAATTACCTGCACACCATCTTGCAGGAGAGGAGAAGACTTGTCCAGGCTAGAAGCCAGAACCTGTCGAATACTCGAATTATTGGAGGGCCAACAGATCAAATTTGGTCGAGGGCCTCATAACCCTTTGAATAATACCGAATTACGGTATCCAGCACAATACTGTACATGCTAATACTTCATGCTCCTTCATTACAGGCTGGCGTTTCCCGATGGTGGCACCCTAAACCCGCTACGAAAGTTCCCCATCGCCGGAGATTGGCTGGGGCGGAAGTGGTGCCCCTGACTAGCCCCAAATTGGGTGGCTTGGCTTCGTAATTTTGATGCCGCCCGGGAGGGGCATCGTATGGATCTGTACCCCTGGGCTAAATGGCGATGTTTGTGTAGAATACATAAAGCATTAACGACTGTCTCCACGAACGAATCGATAAAAGCGACTCTTCCATGCATTCATGCATATCATAACCATATTCAATCCCTTTCTGAATAGCCGGCTGGTCAAAAAGCAGTCCTCCATCATAGAGAACAATCACTTAGTGTCCAACTATAGTTGTACCTGGGCTGTGGGGAAATAACCGGGACAGGGGCTCCACCGGTAACTGAATAACGGGGCCTGAAATCAATTTTCTGCCTTCCAAATTCCCACCGTCCACCGGAGATGCCCCTCCGTCTTTCCTCGTGCGAACGAGGCGCTGCCTTAGATTAATTTTCCGTGCAATTTTCGATATATCACCTGGGCTAGCACACTGTAGCTACATGACTGCATCTTGCATTGATCATTGATCACCGAGCGATAATATGTAGATACAAATGTATACTACGTTACCTGGCATATAACTATTCATTCATATTCGATGATCTGGAATGACGATCCCAACAAAATTATAGTACATAATCTCTCCCCTCTCCTGCATTCCTGCATGGATCGACTCGGAATCAAGGGCCCGATCGCATCCAAAGCGCACAGGTTCAAGGCAGAAACTCTCGGACGACAATCCCGGGTTCGAGAGGAGAATTAGAGGACGCAAAGCACACGATCGCGGCGGGCCAGATGCTCGAGCCCTGAGCCTGGGAGGGTAGAAACTGGGTCGGTAATCTTAAATCGCTGGGCTCCGCATCTTTGAGTGCCAGAGCGAATGGCTGGGCCTCTCTATGAAGTCGCTGTTTCATCGTACATGAAATTTGCTAGGGCTGATGCTGTTGGTGCGCCCGTAGTCTTCGTTTCTGATGGCTTGGTTTCTTTTTGGTTCATGGCTGCCTACAGTGAAAATAGGTGATTATCCTCGGAGGTTGCTCTTGATTCTCGCTCTTGTTCACATATCTATTTCTTCCTTCATGTCTAATGCGCCGTTTTGAAACCAGGTTGATATTTAGCGGAAAGAGAATTACACACTTGGTGGAGAATCCTCGGCGCCCAGATCACACTTCGCACTTGCAGGGCCAGGAACGGCATTCAACGGTTCCTGGGTCTGGTGGAGCCTGCTGTTGAATCTCGTATTTTTGGCTGACTACACTAAGTATAGGCAGAGAGATCGTCTCGCACTACTAGTTATTTACGAAGTACAGATATTTGTAAGTGGGAGTATTTCCCAGGCTTGGTAATCTATACTAGACAGGACACGGTGATCTAGAACTCCGTGTTGATATTAGATGGCCAGGCCGGCGCGGCCAGGTGACTGAAGTAAGATCTCTTCATTTCGAAGAAGTCTTGATGTCATTGCCGAGACAATTTAATATGCTAGCGGAGCTTGTTAAATTACCGGCGTCGCGCTTCAACCACTGGTGAGTCTCAACGGATTGAACATGAGTCAAGAATACAGCCTGCCATCATTGATGTGTTCCTACCACGGCTAGTAAATGTACGGGGTAGTGAGGCTCAGCGAGATTGAAACTCGAGCAAACATTCAAAATCATCTTATCAGTGACGGGCTGAATGGTAAGCCCAGAACTGATGCCCCCAACCGTTGAGGGAGATGATTTAGAATAATTTAAGCTTAAGCTTCAAATGCCTTCATAAAGGCGGTTGAACCATATCTGGTCTGACCATTCCTCCGGTGTTTAGATCTAGACTTTCAACGCCACTGCATACGGAACAGTCATGTATGCGAACTATAATTCAAGGGGCGAGTTCAACTGCCGGCAAGCTTCCAAGGTTCAAACTGATCCTTCTCTAAGCCCCCCTTGCAGATCACGATAATTACCTCCTTGTGGCAATTCTTATAATCCTCCGCGTCTTCATTGGCTTCCCGATCCAGCACTACGGCAGTATTTACTCTGGGATTACGAGCCAGCCACTCCTAGCGACTGAAATTTTGAACTGGAATATATCATTTACACTTTCTTGATACTCAAAGTCTGTCGAATGGGTACCTCCATGCCTAAATAAGTAAGTAACTCAAATGCCGGCATCTGAAAATGGTGACGATCCTGCGATTTAAACAGTCTCCTGGTTGATCGAGACCATAACTTGCCGCATCATGGCCTGTTCCTCTTGTCCCTGAACATCTCCAAACACCTCATCCATCTCTTCCAAACTCTTCCCTTTGGTCTCTGGAACCAACAGTACTGCCCAAACCGAGGCCAGAGTACACATGATCGTGAAGAAGATATAGGTCTGGTAGCCCCGATTCGCCATCATAGGTGGAATAGCAATGGCGACAATGAAATTGGACAGCCAGTTCACGCACACGGATAATGCAACACCCTTGGATCGAGTCGCCGTGCTAAACACCTCGGACGGCAGGGCCCATCCAAGAGGCGAATATGAGACTCCATAAACGAGGATGAAACAGAAAGCCATGGCGACCGTTGCCCATCCGGCACCTTGATGAGCAGGCCAATCGTGGGAATACAATCCCGCCAGGATGGTAATGATAACATAGCAAATCGTGTTGCCAATAGCACCAAAAATTGCAAGAGGCCGACGTCCGACTTTGTCGATGATAACGAAGCAGATGACAACAGCAACTAGCTGTAGGATATTGAAGACGCCAGACATGATCAAACTCATATGGTCCGTCTGTCCCAGGTTTTTGAAGAGCGTTGGTGCATAGTATATGAACGCGTTGATCCCAGAGAATTGCTGGAAGAACATGACACCGCAACCGACAGCCGTGCGATGCCAGTTGCGACGGCGAAACAATTCCACCCACGTATGGACTTCCAAGCGGAAACCCGTGACACCGGGATGCGTCTTGTCCAGTACGAGTCGTTGGAATTCGACTTCGGTAATGATGCCCTTATACTCAGCCTGCACCCGATCGTCGGTCGATGGTAGCTTGCGCAACTTGCTTAGACTAGCTAGACACTCATCGCGGCGCCCGACAAGTGCAAGCCAACGGGGTGAGTAGGGGAAGAAGTGGATTCCAACGCCTAGGATCGTCGCACACACCATCTGCAGAGCAAAGGGTAGTCGGAATGCAGCCTCGCTGGTCAGATATTGGGTGCCGTAGGTGATCCAGAAGGCAATTACGACGCCCGACACGATCGAGATAGACTCTAACACGAGGAGAGTTCCGCGAAGCTCAGGAGGGGAGATCTCTGAGATGTATAGAGGGGCAGCCTTGGATGAATTCTTTGATCAGCCATTTCATCATTGGACAATCTGAACGAGGTTCAAGTACAACGTACCATAGCCAAGGTGCCTACACCGATTCCTCCAATTGCTCTGCCAGCCACCAAGGCTCCATAAGTCTGCGCAGAGGTCTGAATAATAGCACCAATATCAAATATCACAACCACCACGGTCAAAGCCCATTTTCTCGAGATCTTGTCACAGAGATATGGCATGAAGAAACAACCAATGAAAGCCCCAAGTAAAAGCATCGATGTCATTAACGAGGTGCCGAATGCCGTTTCGGTTTGTGGGAACGCTTGGTGGAAGCTGCCCATGACATTGATGATTGAGATAACACCCTGGTCATACCCAAATGAGAAACCTCCTAGAGAGGCCAAAAAGGCAGCCCCGAAAACGTAGGTATTGGAGAAGAGACCATGCATCCCACCTGGGCCGTACGAGACAGAGTCCAACCAGGCCTCAGGGTTAGAGGCCGAGATATTCTCATGTTCAGAGGACTCGGCGATGTCCTTGGAAACATCCATCATGGCGTTGATGAGAGGGAATCAGTTTCATTGAATTTGGTAGACAATGCAAAAAAGGCTCTGGGAACGTCATCGCCTTATATAGGCAGATCTACCTCTGAACACGCGGAGGAGGTTTGCGACAGTCGGTAATAGACCGTCGGGCATTTTTCCGATGGTCTCCATAGCCCGTCGCTCCGTCGTCCTGTATGGACCCAATGACCTAGTTTCCAGACCCATCTGGGGCCCCATGGGGTAGGGGAATTGAGGGGGCCTAACATTCAGTCCTGGTGCATACTAAACCTTGTCCAACTTTGCGGGGGAGTCCACTTTCCCTATTTGCTGTAAGAGGCAACTGACCGCCGTTTCTTTTTCTGCCTCTGGAGCATGGGGGCGGCTGCTTATATAACCACAGCGGCCTGCCACCAACATCCCCCCTCCTGGTTTCTGCTTTGGGAACCCAAACCCCGCACAAAACAGGCAACTTCTCGCCGACCGTCGTTGGCGATGCAGAAAGACAGTCAACAAGTCGGAAAACGCAATCGAGGCCAGCCATGCAAGAATTGCCAATAAGTCTGACTTGCTTATATTTGGTAGCATTCATGCTGATCATTGATCTACAGAACGTCATGTCAAATGCAAGTCTCGGGATTACATATCCGTCTGCTTGAGTACAACGTGCTAACCCTGGCCTAGGCGAGTACGACGGCACAAGCTGTCGCCAATGCCAGCGGCTGCAATTATCCTGTGTCGGTGGAAGTAAACGACATAAACCGATTCGCTTCCATCATGTCTTCCCGCGGGAATCCGAAGCAAGCCCTCTAATCACGCCAAAGGGGCGAAGATTCTGTACGTGGGCCATTCGTTGGATACTTGTATACGTTCTCGGAAAAGCAAAGCCGAGAGTACCAAGACTGACAAGGGTAATTGTGGATGGCTAGCAAAATTGCAGTTTGTTGATGAAACCTTGATAGCCGGAGACGGCCTCGAACAAGATTCAGAAAGCAGATCTGCGGTTGAAGATATTGCCGACTCTTCGCAACTTGATATCCATCGGGAGAATGCTGCAGAAGACCATGATGACCAGGTCACCGAGACCCCGTTGGCTAACTCAAAGTCAGCCAGCCCCTACAATCCCGAGCCCAACCCCATACAGCCTGCTGAATCTCCGTCGTATACCTTACGCGGATCCGTATCTTCACATTTCTCACCCATCGAGCGCTCTTCTCCACGCGAACCACACCCCAGCATTCGTGTCCAAGCAATCCTCCTCCGTTACTATACCGAAGAAATTGCGCATCGCTTCGACCTCTGCGACCCGGAATATCATTTCACTAATGCGGTCCCTCAGCGAGCACGATCCTGCCGTCCCTTGCTAAACGCAATTTTGACCACGTCTGCTCGTCATTTGTGTGGGCTCGCTCGATATCGCAATCGAGATGGAACCATCGAATGGCAAGGTCATGCACTTCTAGAGCTGTCGCAGGAGTCCCCGGTCTACTACCACAATGAATGCATCCGAGATCTACTCGAACTTAGCCTCGACCCTGACCAGGTGCATAATGAGAATCTCCTGGCTGCAGCGGTGATTCTCCGTACTGATGAAGAGATGAACGGGCCACTTACCTATGGCGATGAAGACTCCGAGGTCTTTCTTCGCATGCTAAACATCTTCATAGATGCCCAGATCCCATCAACTCAGGTGCCGATGCAAGACTCGCCACTGGTCCCTTCACCCCATCTGAATTTTCAGCCGGAGTTCCATTCACCGGCAATATCACAACCAACGCCTTCGGAATCCCAGCCACTCCCCTTTTCGCCCAGCAACACAATCCAACCAGAGGGCGATGCTATCACTTTGCGCAGAGCAGTCTTCGCGGTTGCTCTACGACAGGAACTCTTTACATCATTTATGAAGCAACGTTCTCTGCATTTTCAGCTCTCACATTACGAGAATTTTCGAGACTTATCCCCAGCTCAAGATGCCGTCTGGGCACACCGCGCCGTGGTCTTTTGCGCCGATGTCTTCGAGTATTGCTACGGTAGCAGGAGCGGATCCGAGGTCTATCACTACCACCACAGCGGTATCGAGCGCTGGCACCGTCTACAGCGGTACGAACAACAATTCAGCATGGCTCTACCGCCGTCCTTTGAGCCGATGCACTCGCGGCCCGCAGATCATACTCGCGGCGAAGTATTTCCCGAGATCTGGCATCTCAATACATACCATCGCACTGGAATGGCGCATCTAGAGCTTGCACGGATTCTTCTCGCGGTGTTTGACCCTACTCGACCTCGATTGGGCCCGGGTGCAATGACCAGTCACCGGGAACTAGGGAAGAGGTTGAGGCAAATTGTGCTCCGCCTTTGTGGGATAGCAATGTGCAACCGGAAATCGCCACCGGCTTTTATCGAGGCATTAATGGGAATTTCTACGTGCGGAGAATACTTTGAACTTCGCCGAGAACAGGAGGCACTTCTGGAAGTGCTAAGGATCATACAAGAAGAACAGGCATATTCAACGCTGAAGGTCAAGCATGCTTTGGAAAGAGCCTGGTCTTTGGCATCTACTGTATGAGTCTACTCAGATTCTTGGCTTGAATGTCCGAGAGGATCGAACACAATCCAAATCTGGCCTTCGTATTTGATCAGACAGAGATACATTGTCGCAGGTCGGCTTGCCAGTACACATACTATACAAAACAATACGAATGCACTCTGAGAATTGTTGACAGAGATCGGGTTGGGAGGAATTCAGGGCCCCCTGCTCGACTGTGCTCATTGCCGGCGACGAAGGCAGGACCCCTGACTTTAAAACAGCCACCCAGCTATGCCATCATCCGCATCACACACAGCCATGCACGAGGTTAATGAACGGCGCCAGTGCGGGACGATAGTGAGACATTAAGAATCACCCCACACGGCAACGGCGTGTCTGGTGCTAGGTCGAGCTCAAGCAAGAACAGCACGATTAGCTCATCAGTTGGTCAATTACGATGAAACCACTAATCTAGAGATCCCGACCAAATCTCGACTTCTCCCGACCTTCCCCCGAAATTTCGGCTAGGGTGTGAAGTGATACTGTAGACACTCGGAATTTTCCTCCTGTCAGCACGCTGGTCAGAAGTCGGTGGATCAGTCCCATCATGGCTAAACATCGGAGCAGACGGGCTGCTCTTAACATGGCGATGATGAACACGGTGGGGACATGTTGGGTATTCGATTGGCGTTATGTATTTTGTAGGCGCTGATCATCGCCTGTATTCAGGGACAGGGGATTATCGTTGAGGGGTGGAATGATTTGTTCCAATGTTCATATTCATCGGTTAATATCGATATGAAGGTCTTGTCTACCACTACCGGATTCGTTGAAAGCCTGTATACATCAAGATGGCACCGAACACTTCGCTCGTGTCTCTTCACAATCCAAGTCATTCCTTTGTCCCTTTCTTTTGTTGATTTACGACTGAGCTAGTCTCATTCTTTACACTCTTTACTTTGTATGTCGATCAGGCAATTTCCTCAAAATGCGTTCTTCTATGATGTCTATGGTGGTCCTAGGCGCAGCTCTCGCGTCTGCTGCCCCAACCCTCTCCTCCAGTCTGGTCAAGCGTGCCTCTAGCTCCTGTACCTTCAACTCGGCTGCTAGTGCCAGTGCCAGCGCCAAGTCATGCTCCACGGTTGTGTTGGATAACATCGAGGTCCCCGCTGGTGAGACACTGGACCTGTCGGATCTGGCGTCTGGCACCAAGGTATGAAGGATGAACAGACTTGACATGACAATTCCAATCTGATTAGTTTTGTTTATAGGTCATCTTCGACCGCGAAACCACCTTCGGCTACAAGGAATGGGATGGGACCTCTCATCCGCAGCTCCGGCTCCAACATCATTCTTACTGGTACTTCCAACCACACCATCAACGGTGGCGGAGAGCGTTGGTGGGACGGTGAGGGAACCAACGGCGGCAAGACCAAGCCAAAGTTCTTCTATGCCCACGATCTGGATGACTCGACGATCACTGGGCTGAATGTCAAGAACACGCCCGTCCAGGCCTTTAGCGTTCAGTCTGACAACCCGGTTCTGAACCGTATCACGATTGAAAACTCGGACGGTGATTATAACGGTGGCCACAATACTGATGCGTTCGATGTCAGCGAGAGTAACGGCGTGACGATCCGTAATGCCGTTGTCAGGAACCAGGATGACTGCTTAGCTGTTAACTCTGGCACCGTAAGTAGTTCCCCCCGTTTATTCACAGCTCAGAATCATGCTTCTCAAGACCTGTACGCTGATACACCTATCTAATATCTCATCCAGAACATCGTCTTCACCGGTGGTACCTGCTCCGGCGGCCACGGTCTCTCTATCGGCTCCGTTGGCGGCCGCGACGACAACACCGTCAGCAACGTCACAATCTCCCACTCGACCGTCTCCAACTCTGCCAACGGCATCCGCATTAAGACCATCTCCCGCGCCACCAGCAAAGTTTCTGGCGTAACCTTCAACAACATCCAGCTCTCGGGCATCACCGAGTACGGCGTTGTCATTGAGCAGGACTACGAGAACGGCAGTCCGACCGGCACTCCCACCACTGGCGTTCCTATTACCGATTTGACCATGCAGCAGGTTACTGGGTCCGTTGAGAGTGATGATACTCCTGTTTATATTTTGTGCGGTGATGGGAGCTGCTCGGATTGGACTTGGTTGAATGTGGACGTCACTGGTGGGGAGTCGCGCTCTAAGTGTGAGAATGTGCCTTCTGGTGCTTCTTGCTAGATGTATATTAAGTGGAAGCGTTGATTAACTACCTTGGCCTATTCTTGAGGGTATCTATGGTTCACAGGAGGCCACAAGCATTCAACAAGGTATAAGATCACTGCCTAAAGATCCTTGGTCGTCGTAGAGAAACATGTTGGTCTTTGAACCTTTCTCTGTGATTATAAGCGATGCGTTGAGCAGGCTTCACATGGATCCTAGTGCATTGCAAAATTAAATTCGATAATTATGTCTCTCGGGGCTTTTCACTGAAGAAAGCTCTAAGGAAGGTGGTGGGAACATGGAAGATCAGCATCTATTCGCTTGTCGAGTGGTGCGGACATGCCGGGTCAATTGGGTCAAAATCTGGGTATCAAGGGGACTACGTATACTAGTTCATATTGAGACCTTTTTTCCAAGGTACTCATAGATAATTGATTGACGAACCCAGTAGTTTACCCGATAGTTTTCAAGTAGAGGTTGTGGATGTACAAGAACAGCTCTCTCTCGTCCATTCCTATGACGCCATAGCTGCAGTCCCCGCAGAAGCTGACAGTGCTGAACAAACCAACCACACATCATTGACCTCTTTAATTCCTCCATCCTCATCTTCTCTTCAATCTTCTCCAGAAATACATCCATATACACCAAAATGCAAGTTCTCCTTCTCGGCGGCCACGGCAAAATTGCCCTTCACCTAACCCCCCTCCTGCTAAACCGCGCCTGGAACGTAACCAGCGTGGTGCGCAACCCGGACCATGAGAAGGAGATTCTGGCCCTCGGCAAGGGCCGCAAGGGTAACCTCAGTGTGTTGATCTCCAGCTTGGCGGATATCAAGAGTGCTGCCGATGCCCAGCAGATTCTTAACTCTGTCATGCCCGATTATGTGGTTTGGTCCGCTGGTACGTGCCCCTCACTCCCCCGCATCCGCGATAACTGGGTCCAAGAACTGCACCAAGGTTGATATAGATTGAGAGAATATATCAATCTTTACAACGACGATGGTCTCTTTCTGAAGAGAATAATCACTAACAAAACTACTACACAGGCGCCGGCGGCAAAGGCGGCCCGGCAAACACAATCGCCATCGACCAAGAAGCCGCCAAACACTTCATGACGGCCTCCTTCGCCTCAACCAGTGTAACCAAATTCCTCATGGTTTCCTACCTCGGAAGCCGCAAGAAACAACCTCACTGGATTCCCGATGACCAATGGGCCGGCATCGTGCGCACAAACACCGAAATCCTCCCCACATACGCCAAAGCCAAGCAGGAGGCCGACGAGTACATGACCGCACTAGCATTCAAGCGTAAGCAGGAACCTGCCGCGACACGCCCGTTCCAGGCTATTAACTTGCGGCCGGGGACTTTGACGGATGAGCCCGCTACGCGGAAGGTGGAGCTGGGTGTTACGGCGAAGGGCAAGGGGACTGTGACGAGGGAGGATGTTGCTATTGTGGCGGATTTGTTGTTGGCGAGGGCTGATACGGAGGGGTGGATTGATCTCGTTAATGGGGAGGAGGATGTTGAGGCGGCGGTTGAGAGGGTTGCCAAGGGGAAGATTGATGCGGTAGAGGGAGAGGATGTTGAGGGGATGGTGAAGCGGTTCTTCCCTTGATTATTGGAAGAGTGTAGGTTCCGGTGGGATCGTGAGAAGGTTCAAATGATGGAAGTATTTTCGGGATTACTATAAAACTACTTGACATATGAAACTGTGCGAGGTATGGTCTATGAGATTGCAATTTTCATATGGTATATGTCGAACAGGTATATCTACAGCTTCGCCTTGGGTCCCTTGCCGATGTCCTTGAACTGCTGCTTCAGCATGCGGCGCAGAATCTTCCCACTGGGGTTCTTGGGAATTGAATCCACGAACTGCACACCACCACGCAGACGCTTGTGGGGCGCAACCTTGCCATCTAGCCATTTCACAATGTTTGCAGCCTCCTCTGCCTCGCTGGCACCGGAGGACTTGCTCTTCGCGCTTCGAACAACGCAAGCCAAAGGTACCTCGGAGCCGTGAGCTTCACTCTCAATGCCAATCACAGCGACATCATCGATGGCCTGGTTATCAACCAGAAGGCCTTCTAACTCGGCGGGGGGCACCTGGAAGCCCTTGTACTTGATGAGCTCCTTGACGCGATCCGTAATGTAGAAATTACCCTTGGCATCTTGGTAGCCGACATCACCAGTACGGAACCAGCCATCCTCCGAGAGACACTCCCTCGTGGCGGCGGGATTCTGGTGGTATCCCAAAAAGACATTCGGTCCACGCACCGAAAGCTCACCGACCTCGCCAGTGGCGACTTCACGGGGCTCGGAACCATCCTCAGGCATAGTCATATACTTGGCTTCCATGTTAGGCATCAAACGACCCACGGAACCAATATAATCGCGCCAATCCTCCCACCGTTGGGAGTGAGTGGTGGGACTGGTCTCGCTGAGACCGTAACCTTGCTTGATTCCAACCTTGATGCGCGCGAATACCTTCTCCACCAGCTCCTGGGTGAGCGGTGCAGCACCAGAGTTCATCATCCGCAGACTAGAGAGGTCGTACTTGTCGACGACGGGATGCTTGCCCAGGAGAAGTACCACCGGGGGGACGATATAACTGAATGTCACGCGGTAGTTCTGTACATGGGCGCACCAGTTCTCAATATCAAACTTTGCCATACAGATAAGGTGGTAGCCCTTGTATAAGGATTGGGTGAGCAAGCAGGTCAAACCTATAAAGTGTCCGTCAGAAAAAGGTCTCTACTGTGCCATTGGTTCTTAGTAGTCGTACCATAGATGTGATAGAATGGCAAGAATGCCAAAACACGATCGCCCTTTCCATCAGGGCCTCCGTTCCAGCTCAAGTTTCCACCCTCCCCGGTTACTTGCTGCAAAACATTGGCGACGATATTCCTGTGCGACAACATGACACCCTTGGGCACACCGGTAGTACCAGACGAGTAGACCAGGAAGGCGATATCCGTGGCGGGCGTGATTTTCTGTCGACGATACCGAGTGGCACGGGAGATGTTTCGAACGGAAGTGAAGTGCTTATACCGAGCATCAGGGTCCCGCTGGTCACCCAGCAAGATGATGTGATCTTCCGAAATGCCGACTTTCTTCGCCGCTGCCGCTGCTACGGACAGCACTGAGGCCTGTGTTGCGAGTGCCTTTGCACCGGAATTCTTCAGCTGGAAGGCGAGCTCATCGACCGTGTAGGCCGGGTTGGCCGGAGAGATAATGCCGCCCGCCCAGAGGGTACCCCACATGAGCACCGGGGTATCGATGCTGTTAGGGGTGAAGAGGGCCAAGACATCACCCTTGCGCCAGTCATATGTGGCTTTGAGACCTTTTCCAAACTCAAGAGAGGCATCCTTCAGGGACTGATACGTGTAGTGACGCTGGGTGTCCGCATCCTGGTAGAGAACTGGGAAATGTTAGCATGGGGATCAATCTTGTAGCCGAGCGCACGTCCTCCGAGCCAGAGAGAATAGACTTGGATAAACTCACTCTTATCATCAGGGAATGGCCTGTCCTTGCGCTCAAACAAGAACGACCACAGGTCAAGGTCCGGAATGTCGACCGTTGGGTAGTTGGAAGAGACAGGCATATTGCGGGGGAGAGCCAAATGCCGATCCGTGGGAGGTGCCAAAGAGGTAGACAAGGGCAAGATTAGTCCGCACGCGACAGGCAAGTGGGTTATATAGAGATACAAGATCAAGTCGCAAAGTAAGCGCTAGCAGAGTATAAGTATGATTACGAAGGAAGGAGGAAACGCCTTACGCCTTGGGGTTCTCCGCAGTCTCGGTTCTTTGGGAGCGGGCAGCCTCGGCCCCTTCGTTGCATTCTCCGCCAGAGTGGCCAATGATAACCGAAGGACGCGGACTTAACGGATTTCCCTCGACACTTTAAGCTTTGCTATAGTAACATCCTGAGGCTGATGGCTTGAAGCGCTAGCCATAACTCATCTATCATCGACTATTTCACTCAGAAGTCCGAAAAGTCATGATATAGACTCGGGAGAGTTTCATGTTACCGCACCAGAGGGATAGATGATTAAGCCTCGGCAGCGGTCGGCGTTCCCAACCAACGGAGATGGGTCCGCAATATCTCCGACGGCTTGGCCCATGGTCATGGTCTTACAGTATGTTGGCCCTTTGATGATTGGTTTTTAATATGGGACATTCGATAGGTTATTGGGAATTGATTGGCACGGGCTGAGTTTCATTGGAATCGACCGGGAAATGTGGATTGTGTAATGGGTTCTTCGATATAGTCCGGGGGCACCCTTGAATGTCGATATATATATTTCTTCTTGCGCCAAACTTGCTATACCGATGTATTTGTAGGTTTAGCCGTAGGCTACGGATTGCCACCCTTGAAACTTTGTAGATAGGCATCACTTCTTGTATAGGACTATGCGCAAGCCACCTATTATGCCCAGAGCAGTACCGAGATCCGTTATCCACGCAGTAGTCAGAAGCCGAGTGTCGAGAAGGCGTCTCCTACATTCTAGTGGCTGACTTTACACATCTACGACATTTCAAACTTGAAATAATCATATCGTAAATTGAACTCCTTTCCCTAGCACCCCAAAAAGCAACCAGGGACAAGAGGTCCTATCCTTTTGCTCTGCCGAAGACCGACAAAGACTTTGAGAAGGGAGCAAGTTCCCAAATGATTTTTTTTCATGCCGACAAGCTCTTAAATTGAAATGGAAACAGCTGATCCGCTCTGGAAATACAAGCTGAATAAAAAGAATCCAGTTGGGACGATACTGAATCCCATTTTTCCGATCCAAGCACCATCTCCACCACACGCCACTCCAAGGGGAATCGTTCGAATCGTTTACTTCAGGGGAATGAAACGGGAAGAGTGGGTGGCACCGATACCGGGACGACCGTGCTTGACGGGCTTGCTGTTGGGTTGTTAGCACTGATCAAAGGGAAGTAGTCGAAAAATATGGCAAAACGTACTAGGAGATAGAGAACTCAGCCAGGTAGTGGCCAACCATCTCAGGCTTGATCTCAACCTGGTTGAACTCCTTGCCGGAGTAGATACCGATGACGGAGCCGATCATCTCGGGGACAACAATCATGTCACGGAGGTGGGTCTTGACGAGGTCGGGCTTCTCGTTGGGCTTGGCCTCCTGCTTGGCCTTGCGGAGCTTCTTGATGAGACCCATGGGCTTGCGCTTCAGGCCACGGTTGAAGCGTCTGCGGGCACGGGCGTGGACGACATCACGGAGCTGCTCGGAGGAGAGGTCGAGGAGCCTATTGACGGGGTTAGTTAGACTGCAGTTCTGTATCGCAAATTGCTCGATCCGCATTTTCTCTGCAGCGATGGCACCCAACAGACAAGTGACTCGTTGAATTATTCGTACAATCAACGTAGATCTTCGGATGTGTCGTTGAATCCCAAAGGTACCAGGCGCATGCTGCAAGAGTTTTTCACGGACGAACGGGGTCGATGGATCTAACGTACTGGTCGAGGTCAATGCCGCGGTAAGAGAACTTGCGGAACTGTCTTCTCTTCTTGATCTCTGTTGGGCGAAGGTTCTGTCAGCGATCCGTATCCTTCTTGTTCGTTTGGCGTGCGTTGTGTATTCGAGTCCATCCCCATGTGTCCAAGCCATCTCGTTCCCCCATCTCACATCTATCGCAGATTTGTCGTTCCATCACACACTCCAAATTTTCCATGCTTCACTCTTTTCACAATCGGGTAGGGATAGAAGGGATAAGAGTTGATTCACGACGTACCGGCAGCCTCCTCGGCGTTCTAAGAGAAATCTTGTTAGCATCACAGGTGTCGGGTCTGGCGTTGAAAATGGGGCGACTCACGTATTCGATGTCAGCCATTTTTGCGGTGTTTCCTTGGAGGTCGCTTTTCGAACGTATCTCGAAAAGCGAAGGAAGATGGGTTGTCGGGTGGGTTGTCGTGTCGCTTGGACGGTCGCCCGGTACACTACGACTGGTGAGGTGGGCAGGGCTCGCCTAAGCGACGGGTAGGTTAAGCCCTAACACACTAGTCCCGTTTCGGATTTTCGTAATAACTATGTCACGTATGGTATTTTATTTCAAGGTACATTGAGACACCCGCAGACGCTACTTATTTGATGGCCAAAAATGGTTCTCTTGATTGATTTCAATCGAAATCAAAATACAAAATCTCCATGAAGCCTTGAATCTGGACTGGGGAAGCAAGATATCAAGAGAAACATTGTATATCAAATCGACCGCTTTTTATACGTTTTACAGACTGTACACGCAGCGTGACCGAGCCGAATGCCCATGCAAAGCATGCCCATGGCATCGGAGCCGCTCCAGTACTGACTTGACAACTACGTCCTACGCAAAGAAACATAGTGGAGGACAGATGAATCTGTATTGGCTAGGAGCGTTTTACAGCTCATACATGAAGAATTCGTAACTGCGTCAGAACAGCCTGAACAATGCACATTTGAGGAACCAGTCGCTGAAAGGCTTTCGCAAACTGGCCATTCCATCCAGATGTCTGTTCCCCCAACTCGTCATTTTGAGGCGCTTTTGAGGAAGGCATTTAGTCGAAGAGACCGAAGCCCATGTCCTCATCGGACTCCTCCTTCTCCTCCTCCTTGGCGGCCTCGGGGGCGGCCTCAGCGGCGCCACCAGCGGCAGCACCACCAGCGGCGGGAGCAGCACCACCGGCACCACCGGAGGGAACGGAGGCGAGCTTGGTGGAACCCTCAGCGATCAGCTAGAATCAAAAAGTCAGTATTCTGGTGTCATTCGTGAGAGTAGGGTCGTGGTGGGTGAAACTGACGTCCTGGAGGTTCTTGCCCTGGAGCTCAGCAACGACCTTCTCGAGGCGGTCGGAGTCAGCGTCAATGCCGACGGAGGAGAGGACCTCCTTGATGTCGGAGGCAGAGGGGGACTCGTTGCCAGCGAGGGCGAGGAGGAGGTAAGCTGCGAGGTGCTTCATTTTGATTTGACTGTTTCGAAGAAAAAAAAAAGTTGTCAGTGTCGATGTCAAGACGTTGGATGCGAAAAGAAGTCGTTGTGTGCGCTGGCGGGTATTTCGAGGCACAGAGACGGAAAGGATTCAAAGAGACATACCTTTGGTGGCCTGGTTAACGGGAACTGAGAAACAATCGATTTAACCGCGAATTGGGCGGAGACTGCAACGTCGAGTTCTGAAGATGGTTGAGGAACAAGAAGTAGTCGCGGGCCACCGAAATTGAGGGAAAAGTGCGCTGTGGCTCATGTGGCTGTGTCACCGCCTGGCAGAAAACCTAAGCGAGTGTGGCGGGTGCAAAGTTCACGTGATATATTGCCATCTCGGCGCGAACCATGCCCAGTTCTTTGGTCTTCTATCCCCGCTCACTCACTCCTCGCCTCTTTGAGAACAACCGGACTGCTTCTGCCTGCTGTGCCGTACCTCCTGGTACCCAGGACCTCCATTTTACCATAAATACAGCGCGGCTGGTCCCCGGCAACAGCACTCATTCATGGTATCGCGTTCGGAGTCATGAAGCTACCCAGTCGAACTGACGATCGACGGTAACTGGTACCTTTTGTCCTTCCAACTCTTAGACAGCCGTTCAGAGATTCTCTTTGTTTCCAAATTCCAATATGAGTGTATGCTGCCAACTTCTCGGCTCGTTTCCATCTGTTATCTAACACTTCGAGCAGTTCCTCGACTCCGTTCTCTCGTCTCTCCAGTCGGGTAAGCCTGCCCAAGCCCCGCTGTCTCGGCCTCCAGCGGCCCCGGTCACATCCTCAACAGCGAAGAAAGATGATCGACGAGTGGAAGCAGCGCCTCGACCACTGCAGACTGCTGGGAATGCGAGTACAGGAATAAAGCGCAAGGCCGAGGACCAACTGCCTCGACCCTCCAGGCCTGAGAGCCAACCGGCTAGCAAGCTCCCATCTGGTCGGCCAGCAGTATCGTCTGCGATGCCCAAGGTCGTATCAAAGTGTGCATCCCCTACTATGGTCAAACCTGCTTCGCCGAAACTCGTCCCTAGGAGCAGTACCACACCAACTAGCACGACCCCGGCCGCGAGAGCTGTACCTGCGAAGCCAACAGTGGCAAAACCGGCACTGCCTAAAATGACGGCCTCCAAACCGGCAGTGGTCACAGCAACCGCATCCAAACCAGCAGCAGCAAAGCCAGTACCGGTCTCGTCTAAGCCACCACCAAAGGGCTCCTTCGCCGACCTGATGCAGCAAGCCAAGGTCATGCAAGACAAAGCTCCAACCCAGCTGGGTATGCTCCGTCATCAGAAGGTACCAAAGGAGAGACTGAGCAAAGTCGAGCGCAAACGACGACTGGAGGAGGCCAAGGCACAAGAAAAAGCCGCACGCTTAGGAAAGCGCCCCGCGCCCCCAAGCTCGGCTGCTGCTGGCAAAGCTCCTGCCAAGCGACGAACGCCCGAGCCTCTCTCATATAAAGGCACGGCCAAGCCATCCCAGACTCCCGAGCCTACTGCGTATCAGGGAACGGCAGGTCGACAATCTCACCGTGGCACTACCGATCGTCGTCCTAGCAAACGTCGCATGGACGAATATCTCGCGACCGACGAAGAAGAGGAGGGCGACTTTGGTGACTACGGTAACTACGACGACCTCTACTCGGATGCTTCGTCTGATATGGAAGCTGGCTTTGATGATGTATGGGAAGAAGAAGATGCTGCCTTGAAATCTGCTCGGAAGGAAGATGAACAAGAATTGCAGAGGGAGACGGCCGCGAAAAAGGAGAAGCTAGAGCGCCAGAAGAAGTTGGCAGCTCTTGCATCCCGCACCAAGCGGTAATGTAAATTGACATGCATCAGCGGGTTACTTGCAACACTTTCATTTGTTTGGGGAGGTGGGTTTTTGAGCGTTTTTTTTCTTCTTCGGTGTCTCTAGATGGGGAGCGTACAGTACAGTCCTTTCTTTCCATTCTTTCGTTTTGTTAAACACCATTCTAGCGGGCGTCATACCAATACCAAGTCTGATTAGCATTCAAGTCGTGTTTGTATTCAATACCATCAGTTTGACGTAATCTTTTCTCGAAGTTGTAGTCGTTGAGATCAAGTAGTTCTGGGTGTACTCCGTACACATCTGTCAGCTGTTGGCCCCACTTGGCGGTGACATCACCCCCTCTCCCACTCTACTCTTCATATCTTCATATTACGTCCCTCCATATCACGAACTCGTTGGCTTTCTCATCCAGCGTGTATTCACAATGGAGTCTGTTCACCATGTGTCAACTTCTTCAAAGATCCTTTTTGGCAAGGTCCGCAGGATGGTGCCTCCAATGCTCGAGAAATTCCACAAAGGTTTGTTGTCGTCTTGCGGGACTCTACACTTGGATGTCGGGGTCCTCTCAACCTGAGCAAGTAACTGACTGGTCTGCAGGGCAACTGGGACGCGTGGCAGTCATAGGAGGCTGCGCTGAGTAGGTCGACCATTGACATGCATGGAATAGCTTCCTGGACTAATCTTCATGAAAGCTATACTGGGGCCCCATATTTCTCTGCGATGGCGTCAGCAAAGTTGGGTATGCTGTTATTTTACTTTAAATAACCCTGTAAACTTCTGCTAACACGAATTTAGGCTGTGACATGGTATGATTGTATCAAAGGCTATACATCACCTAGCGAAGGAGCTGACATTTTCCAGAGTCATGTCCTCTGCGAGCGCTCTGCTGCATCTGTAAGCGTGACTGACCTGTGTTGAATACAAGAAACTCATTCTCTATGCACAGGTTGTCAAAAGTTATTCTCCAAACTTGATGGTTCACCCGATACTGCCAAGTACCGACTCAGTCAAGGATCCCAAGTCAATCAACGCGCCAGAACTGGCGCGCCCTATCATCTCCATGCTTTCCCGTCTGCATTCCCTGGTCATCGGACCAGGTCTCGGCCGCGACGGGGTCACGCTCAAGGTTGTTGCAGAAGTGATCAAGGAAGCACGATCACAGTCAATTCCATTCGTCCTGGACGCTGATGGATTGCTTCTTGTCACCGAAGATCCAGACCTGGTTAAAGGATACCAAGAATGTATTCTGACACCCAACGTGGTCGAGTTTGGACGCCTCGCAAAAGCATTGGGCATTGAAGTCAAGAGCCAGGCAGACATTGCAAATGACGACAGCAACGGCCAGGGCGACAAAACAAGCAAAGAATCAGAGGCGTGCGAGCGATTGTCCAAGGCTCTGGGCGGCGTGACTATTCTTCAAAAGGGACTCCATGATGTGATCTCCAACGGAGTCACCAGTATTATCTCCGATATTAAGGGTGGTCTTAAGCGCAGCGGCGGTCAGGGAGATACCCTGACCGGCTCGCTAGGGACATTGCTGGCATGGAGAGCGGCTTACCATGATAAATTATGGGATTCGGGTGAGAAGGATAATGAGAAGGAGGCACAGAACAAGGAGGATGTCCAGGCCGAGCTGGAGTCTGACGGCAAACGCATGTCCCCAACAACCACTTTGCTTCTCGCTGCCTGGGCAGGCAGTTGTATCACCCGAGAGTGCTCGCGGCAGGCCTTTGAGGCTAAAGGGCGGAGCATGCAAGCCAGTGACTTGACCGATGAGGTACATCCTAGTTTTCTACGGCTGATTGGAGAACCGGAAGGTTCCAAGACGCATCTCTAGACCATGCCAATACTGTGGGATTGGCCTGGCCATTTACAGAGAGGACTATGTTGTCTATTAGATTATGGATCTCAGTTGACCTACTACAGCCTCAACGGGGTGAATGAAGCCTTTAGAATAGAATGTATTCTTTTCAGCCATTCAAACTCGGCTTGTTTGACCTGAAGATTTCGCTGACGAGAGCTGAGCGCTGAAAAGGACCACTAAACTATGTTCGCCTTTCAAGGAAGCTTTCTCGCATGCCAAACTTACCGGTTGAGACCGGGTATGTAAGTTTGTGAGAGCCACACAAGAGACCCTGAATCGGATCTCATCTTGTTTTTGAGGCAGCGTAAGAATCAATAATTATGCAAGCCCACCTGCACCAGCTATAGCTCTGTGTTGTCATCTCGGATACAGTCATACCATTCGCGAGGTACCATAGCAACCCAGGAGCTGGGCTTGTCATCGGAGTAAGGCGTCCATTAATTGTCGAGTAGCGAGACGTAAGCATGGAATCCATGATGTCTAAAACTCCAAATACTAAAATTGGAGCCTTTACTGTTGATCGTGCTGACATGTCAAAGCAGTAGTCAGTATCTCTCCACAGGGTATTAGGTACAAAAGGTACATTTGGAACAAGACCAACCATATGGACAAGATGTAGCACGCCAATATTCGGAATGAGAATTGTTGAACAAGATCGAGATGTAAGCCGTTGAGGCAATTTACAAGCCCCCGAGTATTCTCTCTGCCGATTTGGACAGTACCGAGTGCATTCGTCTTTTCTTCATTCCTCTTCTAACATCTATTTTCAGCCTCGCCTGAACCATGGAAGAGAAGAAATTCTTTCGCTATGAGAAGGTGTTTGATATCCAGTTTCCGGCAAGGCGTCCCAGCCAAGAAGGACTAACCAACAACCAATGGAAACAGACCAAAACAGATCCAATGACCCTAAAGCTTCCCAAAGCATAGACTTCGAAGCGGTGTGAGCCGCCACATTGACAGGTCTTTTCTACCCCGCAGTCCAGTCTATACATAGGATATGGGGGAGGCGAGTCGGATTCGGAATCCGAACGATTTTTAGGGCTACCGTGGAGGTTCGAGCTGAGACATCCACCCGCACCCCCTGAGACACAAGATGATCCCCGGGCGTTCAACACATGGGGATGCCCATTCCAGAAGAGGCACTAGTCGTGCGCCTCTCCGCCCTTGAGCTGGCATGCCATCGACATCAGCTATCTCGACAAGCATTGGTGGTGTCTCGGGATGCTGTTCCAGATCTCGTATTCACGCCACGCCCCAAGCCCTGGATCGGGCTGGCTTTGGTCTTGCCCCCGGCGTATCCGGGGCTGAAGAAAATGGAGAATTAATACGTGCATCTTTTCTGACAACGACTTTTTCGGCGTTGAGTTCTTGTACTGAGACAGTGCTTGGCTGGTGGCCTCGTGATATGTTAGTTGGCGCAGACAAAGAGGAATTTGGTTTGGTGCGGTATTTCCCAGTCTACTGGTAAGATGTTCTATTTCTGGGCACTATAGGCTGAACTCATGGTCTATACTATACTCGATACTATGCCCCAGACTCAAGTATAAAAGGCTGGCAATCTACCCCAGATATGGTGCCATTTCCGCATCAAATTGAACAATATCCAAGCCAAAGATTATCTGATCTACTATAATCTTCATCCAATCGTTTATCACCAAAGAAAACCATCCAGGATGCAACTCACTACTCTGACTGCCTTCCTCGCTGCGGCTACCATTGCCCTGGCCAACCCAGCACCCACCTGTGGTACCTGCAATCCCGTCTCTGGCCAGAACAGCTGTGACATTACTACCTCGTGCATCAACACGGGCTCGACCTTCCACTGCGCCTGCCGTGCCGGTTACAAGGCCTCCGAGCACAACAGCGATATCCACTCCCAGTTCCGTCTGAATATGCCCAACTACGAGTTCCTGGTCTTCGTTCCGGAGAACACTGCTTGCAACACTCTGTGCGACAACCCATACGCTGCGCCTTCAGATCTGTGCAATGAGGTCAAGAAGTGGAACTCCTGCGCTGTCTAAAGAGGGTCGCGTTGAGGTATGAGTCTATCGATTTGATGGGAGGGTCCGTGGTACGGTTCAATATCCCGGGTTAGAGTGAGACTGAAAGATGGATTGGAAGGAAGCAGGCTGTTAATGAACAGCCCATGGTAGACGATGGGTATTTAGGACCATGTACATGGCAAGCCACTCCTTAATAATGATTAATGCCAGCCTTCCTACACTACTACGATTCTACCTAGAGACGCGGATGAAACAGATCTAAAGTAAAATAAAGTAAATTTGGGACTAAAGATCTTTTTATTGCCCAAACATATCATCAGAACCGGGTTCCTATTGCCCCATGAAGAATCCAAACCAGACACCTAAACACCTATGGCCAGAGAACTCTACCGGGTCCACCGAATGCATCCTAAGATACGCAAAAAGCCTAGTAGACCTTCGAGAAAGAAAGAAAGAAATAACACAAATAATTAAACCACCGCATTAACCGTGCATCTCATCATCGCCGTCGAAGAACACCAGGCGCGAACCGTTTCCAGCAATTTGCCAGACCTATGAAAAAGCAAGTTAGTAATGATTACGAACATAAGTATGTAGATTCGAAAACTTACGTTCAGTTCAGCATATTCGTGGAGAGTAGTGGTAAGCTGGTCTTCGGTGAAGCCCTTGGCCAGCACGCGCTCACGAATACGTCTCACGCTGAGGGCGTTATCCTCATCATCACCAATAGCGGCAGCACCACTTTCCCGCAGGGTGCGGATCAAAGTGTAGATCTTGCTGCTGGGGGTGTGGTCGGCACCGGACTCGCCATCATTGTAGAGAGAGGCCTTGCTGACCTCGATGAGGCGCAGTGCCTCGTCAACGTCCTCACGAACGACTTCTTCGCTGAAGCGAAGACGGGCCAGAGCCTGTGAGAGACGGACAATACCCAGCAGAGTACGGGGCGTGACATGGGAAAATTGCTGCTTGCGGGCCTCGTCCTTCTTCTGACGCTTGCGCATGGCGACGTAGGCACCAACCATGTAGTCGGAGACGTTGGTAGGAACGACGGGGCGGTAAGTACGGGCCTTGGCGATGTATTGACGGACTTCGTGAGGCGTGAACATGACACCGGCGTCTTCGGTCTCGGGGTGCTTGTTGTGCATGTGAACATAAGTGACGTGGGTGGCCAGCTCCTCGTCAATCTCCCGGGATGGGGAATCCAGGAGAAGGAACATGACATCGAAACGGGAGAGAAGAGCGGCGGGTAGGTTGATGTTCTCGACAGGCGAGATACGGGGGTTGTAGCGGCCATACAGCGGGTTGGCAGCAGCCAGAATAGAGGTGCGGGCATTAAGAGTGGTGTTGATGCCTGCCTTGGAGATAGAAATGGTCTGTTGCTCCATAACTTCGTGAATGGCAGTTCGGTCCGAGTCGTCCATCTTGTCAAACTCATCGATACAGCAAATACCGTTATCAGCAAGAACCAGGGCACCACCCTCCAGCATCATTTCATCAGTCACAGGGTCTCTCATCACCGCGGCAGTCAAACCGACACCACTGCTACCACGACCGGTAGTGTACACACCACGGGGGGCAACCTTTGTAATGTATCGAAGCAGTTGGGATTTGGCAACACCAGGGTCACCCATCAAGCAGATGTTGATGTCACCACGAATGTGCATACCGTCACCCATCTCCTTGGTGACACCGCCGATCAGCAGGAGAAGCAGGGCCTTCTTAACATCGAGATGTCCGAAAATCTCAGGAGCGATAGACCGCGAGAGGTACTCGTACATGTTGCCAGAATTCATGTGCTGCTCGATCTTCTTCATGGTGCGGCTGTCCATGCCGATGTCATTGTAGGACTTCTTATGTTGAGTGATGTGCTGAGCCTCCAGGTAGGTATCGGTCAACAGACCGGCACGAATAGCGCGGAAGCCCGTGTAGGGAGTAGGCAGGAAGATGCCAGCAATATCAACAACATCACCGGGGTTCAATTGCCGAGTCTGAGCTCCATGGCAATGAACAGTCAGGGAGCGGGGAATGTGGCCCACAGGCACCTGGTCGGCCATCTCCTGGATCTTGACTTCCTGGAAAGGAACAAATTTGGATGCACGAGTCGACAAGAACAGCTGACCTTTTGTGTTGTTCTTCTTGCAGTCCTCCGACAAACACTCAGACAGAGGCATGAACTGCTTCGTAGTGATGGGCTGGAAAACTTCACAACCGCAGACATCGCAGGTGTAGGCGTTGATCTGAACGGCGGGCTTGACGTCCGAAACACGAGTCGTGATACCGCGGACAGTGATCAAGCTACCGAGATGCTCTCCGCGCACGTTTCGGACAGCAAGCGGCTTCCCGGCACGGTCGCTGCTTGAACCAGAGGGTGTGAGGGGCTTGAAGTTGAGAGTGTATCGTCGAGTCAGCTCTGGCGGGAAGAGAGACGCAGCAGGGACAGTATCCATATCGGCCTCTGCTTGCATTTCTTGGGTCTCGTTGCGCTTCTCACGCTGGGACATGATCACGTCGAGCACGTCGTCCTTGAATCTACGTTCAATTAGTCTAACCAGTCCATTGTGTCACACGGCAGCCAATTGTAAACATACGTAATCTCCTTAGTCTCCTTGGGCATGACAGCATCCACAGCCTGCGAAAAGACATCGATGTAGCGCTTAGTGTTCTTCTGGATAGATTCGACCAGCTTCAGATTCTGCTCATCTGGCAGGGCTCTTTCGAACTATAGCCAACTCTTGTCAGCGATGATGGTAAAACGCAACAGAATTTTCATATGGACTCACAATTTCCAAATCATCTAGCTCGATGACAATATTCGAGACATCTCGATTGGCGATATCCTGCAAAATCTGCATGTACTTGAGCTTTGGCTCCCGGCGCCTCCTTGCGCCACGAGTCTCTGCGCCATCGTCGTCAATATCGTCCATGAAGTCGTATTCATCGCTGGTGCGGTTTCCGTCGATGTTCAGATCCTCCATCGCCTCGGTCGCAGCAGCTTCCGAGGTCGACTGGAGGGTCTTGAAATGCTGAAGGAAATCCTTGAAGCCATCCAATTGCGCGGCATAGTCAACCGGCGCTTGGTATTGGAGCAAAGCCATGCTGAATGGGATGGAGTGCGCTCAAATTCGCAAGGAACGCAAAGTGGTTGGTAAAGTGGGTTTGCTGCGAGAAGAAATGGCCGAGCTCAGACTGCCCCCTTCAGAGACCTCAGCCGCTGGGCAGAGCGAGACGCGAACGCGAAAAGACGCGCCAAATATGCACTAGCCACTTTGGGACTAGGTCGCGTTCCACGTGTAGCTTCTCTCGGATAATCAGATCCTCCGCTTTCCCGGGCAACCCTTCGAAAGCGCGGGAAAGTCCGTCCGGCACAGGTCACCTGATCGTCCACTTTGCCTCGGTTGGCCGGACTTGCTGGGCGGCCGACGGGTGTGGAGAGCGAGAGAGAGTCCGGGGAGTCTGCGACCGAACATCCCACCCTCTCTACTCTCTCTTCTTGTGCTTCTCACAGCTACATTTGCGCCCTAATCATGGCGCCCAAGAAGCCCACCACGACGGCAGAAGTCGCTCTCGTTCCCCTAAAGAACTGTCTCGTCAACTTACCACCGTCACTAGTCGCCTTGTTGGGCAATGCCAATACGGTTAGTTACCGAGCTTGGTCAGTCGTGTGATATACCTCCAGCTAATGTCCCCTGCCACAGGCTGCGCAAAATGTCATCATTGAACTGCAATACAAGTCTCCCTCTGGTAAGGTCAATGGTGCGCCGCCACAGCGATCATGCTTCTTAGGCTGGACGGGTATGCCGAGCAAGCGGAAGCTCGCGCCGGTGGTTGGCCGCGAAGGCACGAGCGGCGGCTTCTCCAGAGAGCAAGAGATCTCTGCCGTGGAGTTGGATACTACGTTTGGACGACTCCTCGGTCTGACCGAAGGGCAAAAGGTGTGACATTCTTCCCCGCGGCATACACCATGCTCCACGTGGGGTAATCGAGTGCTGACTCCTTACAGGTCGGGCTACTCGTACACCTTGATCCACCAGTCGCGCATACAATTAACATTGAGCCTTTGACACCGGAAGATTGGGAGAGTATGTTTGGAGTCTTATTGGTTTGTAATGGACGGTTGACTGATTCGTTTTTACCTAGTTATCGAGCTTCATGCTACATTTTTGGAACTCAACCTCCTCTCCCAGATCCGCGCGCTGCCTAACCCATCCTACAATGCAGCGCAGTCCGAGCATATGCACCCGCTCGCACTGCACCTTTCACCCACCTCGACCGCTAACATTGTTGTCACCTCCCTTACACCCGCTCCGGACGCTACCTCTCCGTTCGCGAAAATAGCACCCGATGCTGAAGTGATCGTTGCTCCCAAAGTCCGATCAAAACCCGGGAAATCACCTCGTGGCGACAGCCGCAGCAATGCCGGTAGTAGCAGAAAGAGCACCGGTGGCCGCAGTTCCGGTAGCACAGTACGCCCTAAGAGCCGGTCTGATTCCCGAGGCGCCTTGTACTTGCGAGGGGTAGAACGCCTAGCCGCAGATCAATATTTTGATGCAGAGATGGACGAGGACGAGAATGACGGATTCCGGGTCTGGGTTGACCCGGAGCTCTTGGCTTCTAATGAACTACGGGGCGCAGGCTGGGCGTGTGTCTCTATTGTTCAGCCCGCTGGTCTGAAGCCTCCCGTGGATCCTCAACAGCAACTTGCTCAACAAGAGCAGCAGAAATCCAATGAAGGAGGTTCTCCCACAACAAAGCTGGTTGCCAAGCTGCTACCATGGGAAGAGGCACCCGACAGCAGGCATGTGGCCATTTCGACTTTGTTGTGCAGTTCGCTCGGCGCCGAAAACATGGTGGGTGGGATCGTTCGTGTCGAGGCCGCTCCCCCTCAGCTTCACAGATCGGCAGTCAAGACTCTCAAGTTGTATCCGTTTATGACCGATGCATCGAAGAAGAAGGATGGTCTGAAATTTGGTGCTGACACGGCGGCCTCTCGAGATGCCCTGGCAGAGCGTCTCAAGGTCATCTATGGCAGCACCGGCTCTGACATTGGACTGTTCTCGGGACCTTTGACTGATGGAATGGTTCTTCCTAAAGTTGAAAACCATCCTTCGGTCTCCTCATTCGATGGTGCTATTCTTCGCTTTGATCCTCCCTTGAAGAACGGTCCTGAAGAGACGAAGACGATGTTCGGGTGGCTTCTAGGTTCTGAAGCTAAGTTGAACCTTGAAGTGCAAGCAGAAATACCTAAGCCATCTGATGTGGGCTCATCTGCATTGCCTTCTGAGGACTCGATTTCAGACACTGTCCCCCAATTGGTGGGCATTGACTCGATCATCTCTCAGTCCCTGACAAATTTGACAAAGTCTTCGTCCATCTTGTTGACTGGCGGACTTGGGGCTGGAAAGACTGCCCTGGCCCACCTATTAGCTCACCGTTTGCGCAAGGATCATCTTTTCAACGTGAAGTACTTCAGTTGCCGCAAGCTTGTCACGGACGAGACACGAATTTCCAATATCAAAGAAGTCCTGAACCGCCTCTTCATGTCCGCTTCCTGGTGTTCCCGTCTCGGTGGTCAAGCCGTTGTAATCCTTGATGACCTTGACAAGCTCTGTCCCGTGGAGACCGAGATGCAGGTTGGAAATGACAACGGTCGCAGCCGCCAGAACAGTGAAGTCATTTGCTCTATGGTCCGGGAATACTGTTCCATGAACTCTTCCGTCGTCTTGCTAGCTACAGCCCAGGCCAAGGAGTCCCTGAACAATGTCATCATTGGGGGCCATGTGGTGCGCGAGATCATCAATATGCGAGCCCCAGACAAGGAGGGGCGCCGAAAGGTTCTGGAGAAGCTTACCAGTCAAGATAAGCCTATGGAATCACTCAATGGCCACGTACGGTCAACTAGCTCTTCCACACAGAACACACAAGACTCCTGGCTGGATCCATCAAATCCTGGAAGTCGGCCTAGCTCCTCTGGTGGTGATGGATTCGTACTCAGCAGAGATATTGATTTCCTAGAGCTTGCCGGTAAAACTGATGGATATGCGCCAGGAGACCTGGTATTGTTGGTTGCTCGGGCACGCAATGAAGCCTTGATCCGCTCTGTTTCCGATCTAGCTTCCGAATCCAAAATGATCACTCTTGGGACTGAAGACTTTGACAGTGCGCTGAAGGGATTCACACCCGCGTCTCTCCGCAACGTCACCCTGACCTCGTCCACGACCACTTTCTCCGCGATTGGCGGTCTGTTTGAGACTCGGAAGATGCTGTTGGAGACCCTGCAATACCCAACCAAGTATGCACCTATCTTCGCGCAGTGCCCGTTGCGACTTCGGTCTGGTCTACTCTTGTACGGCTTCCCTGGTTGCGGCAAGACGCTGCTCGCGAGTGCTGTGGCTGGCGAGTGTGGCTTGAACTTCATCAGCGTGAAGGGTCCTGAGATTCTGAACAAGTATATCGGTGCCAGTGAAAAGAGTGTTCGAGACCTGTTCGAGCGCGCTCAAGCTGCCCGCCCTTGCGTCCTATTCTTTGATGAATTCGACAGTATTGCACCGAAGCGTGGTCATGACTCGACAGGTGTCACTGACCGCGTCGTCAACCAGCTTCTGACACAAATGGACGGTGCTGAGGGTCTCTCCGGTGTTTACGTACTGGCAGCAACCTCACGGCCTGATCTGATTGACCCAGCGCTTCTGCGTCCTGGTCGTCTGGACAAGTCCCTACTCTGTGATATGCCTGCACGTGCTGACCGTCTCGACATTATTCGGGCCGTGAGTGAGAAGCTCAAGATGAATGACGAGGTTCGTTCTCGGCTGGATGAAGTCGCTGCTCGGACCGAGGGCTTGTCCGGCGCTGACCTTCAGGCTGTTGTGTACAATGCCCACCTGGAGGCTGTGCATGACGCTCTCGGTGACCATTCCAGTGGCGAGAAGGCTGGTGCAAAGTCTAGCACTACGAAGAGCTCATCAGTTAGCACTTCGACTCGGTCCTTTATCCAGTTCCTTTACTCGTCATCTGAGGAAGCCTCTGGATCTGTTTCTTTGCCTCCTCCGGCTGTGGTGGCCGCCAAGCTGGATGCCATCAAGAATGCCCGCCGCCGCCAGCGCCAGCTCGAGAATGGCTCCGCTGGTGCCTCTGCTGCCCCCTGCCGCTGCTGCGCCAGTGCCAAATGGTACTGATGCTGATGCCGACGAGTTGCGGGATGACATCGTCGTCCGCTGGGAGCACATGGAGCGATCCTTGAGCTCCACCCGTGCGTCTCTCAGCCCGGCCGAGCGTAGACGTTTCGAGGGCATTTACCGGGAGTTTGTCGTTGGCCGCAATGGAGAGATGCCCAATGGCGAGGCAGCCAATGAAATTGGCGGGCGATCTAGCCTGATGTGATTGCTGCTACGGGGTACTTTGTTAGATCTACTTGTACATTGTATATATAAACCTCTCGCATTTTTACGGTTATCTCTATCTTGCTGTATTTATCAATGCGTAAATGCATGGTCACACTCATGATTTAGACTTCCAGAATTGCCTGTGACTTTCTTAAAGAGAAGTATCTTTAATGGTGACATTGCATTAAATGACTTTTTCGGATGTTTGAAACAAAGTAATAAGTACCGAACTATGTGTGCCTACGCAGGCCAACGAGCTAATGTCTTTTGTCAGATCACGTGAACCGTTAGCCCTCATTACTTTCATGCTCACTGTCAGCTGATGGCAGAAATACCTCGATCGGAGCTTTGTATACGTTTGCGGTCTAAGTTTTCCTTGAGGGTATTGACCAAAATAGATACGGCGGGGAACTAAAGATTAAAATAGTGACTACTGAGCTAAGAATCGCTCAATCACCATAACGAGATCATGTCACTGGAAAACTTGACTAGTAGGAGCATGATCACAGAAGCAACAATGACGGAAACAAAAACAACCCGCATGATCATACCCTTTGTCCACATGGTCTCTGCATCTTTGCGATCTGGCTTCGTTTCTGCTCAGATCGAACCTCTGCCACGCCTCCAACCAGCTCAGCTCGTCGTCACCTTGCGTAGGAGATTCTTGAAAGTCCCCTTCAAAGACTCCTACATATACAAAGTAATCAGCCATGTACACAAGGTTGATGTAGTACCATTCAAAAGTCTTACCCCGAGAGTCTTTACACGCTGCACCCAGTTTCGGGTGCGGAGAATCTTCTCCGGGGCCTGCTGAACCCTTAGTATCACATCAAACAGATCTCAGTGTTAACGATTTTCTGATTATCTTACCGGGACGTTCGAGAGATCACTGGTTGGGACCTCTGGGATCTCTGGCGGCGAGACAGAGATGTTGACACCGGCGGGGGTGTCTCGTGCTGCTTCAACATCTTGCAGCCAGGCCAGGATCGACTGGTCATTTTTGTAGTATCCCTCTTGCCAGTCTAAGAGGGGGGGCAGGCTTGATCTCGTCCTGCGAGTTCATGGTGCGTGTGTGTGGGTGCGTGGTATTTGGAGGTATGGATGGAGTTGGGATGAGAAGAAGGGTGAGTTTGCTAAGGAAAGCTTAGGAACACGCCGTAGACCCACTTCAGGCGACGCACTATAAAACACCGTTGACCTCATCGCTATGGCGATTTCACTAATTTTTACAGTTAAACATTCTGATAGATTCAAAATGATTTACTTGAAAATAGGCCTATGAATCTTTCAATACCCACTAACTCAAGACTACCTCTGACACAACATCCATCTTCTCCCTTCCCGGCATTACCCTCCTCTCCTCACTCTAATTCAAGCCATCAGATCACCGAGGATCAAGGACTCGGGCCAGCCGCTCTTGCTTTCTGTCCCAGAAAGAAATAGGAGCAGCATCCAGACATGGGGACCACACATTCACACCGTGGAAAAAGGTACATTCAATGCATAGGCATCGCACATACCCCGATTTCGCACCGCAGTCGCAGCCCCGGCAGTGGACATAGGGCCATAGGTCCTCATGTGGTGCAAGCTGTATATACAAAGCATTAGAGATGATTCACAGAGATAAATCAGAGACCTAAAGCGATGAAAGTTAAGGTACTACTCACGCGGATATGGCACGGAATTAGATCATCACATTCAACATGGACGAGAATTGGAGGCATCTCGGGGCGTCCATGACGCATCCAGAGTGGCAGGTTTCTCTCGGGAGGAGGCCATCGAATCTGTGAGTTGAAGAGGTCTTGCATTTCAATGTCGTCGGTCTGGGGGCCGGCGGGGCGGCGGATGATGTTGCTGGCGAACTGCTTCGCCTTGTGCAGACGTCGCCACAGAGACGAGAATGCATTTCGGAGACGCTTGTGTATGTGAAATGAATTCTGTATTCAGGTTTATTATAACACGCTTGGGTATTGTGGATGATTCGGTGTCATGACTTACCTTTGGCTTCATCTTTCACGTACTTGGATGGATGGTCGAGCGAAGGAGGAAGATGGGAGCGACAGCTATGAAGGTAGTTTAATTAAGAGCAAACTCCAAGGTATCAGAGCAATCAAGGCTCCTTTTCTCACCTAGAAATGAGCCAGGTAGAAAAAGCGGGTCTTCCCTATCCTGGTGTCTCATAATGCTTGGTGAAACGAGTCATCCCAACATGTCGCGATTGCTTTGGTCCACCCTTCAGATCCAAACATCCATTTTCTAGGATCCATATCTAGCTGACTAGCTCTGAAGGTAGAAAAACAGACAGCCGCAATCAAAACGTCACAAGAAACAAATGTATCACTCATTATTCTTTGTCTAGTGCTACCTGAACCAGCCTCTCCAGCTTTTTCCACTCCGCACTAACAATAGCCTTCGAGGTACTAGGATCCATCCCATTGGCCTTGAACTCATTATGCACTTGTGCAAAATTAGCTCCAACAAGCCTCTTAAAACTCGGCACTGTACAACTCTCCAGCTGTCGACTAGCAAGGTCAGCCAGAATATACCACAGAACGTAATGAAAATTCAATTCCGACTGCTGTATCAGAGTGGCTTCTTTGGAACTACTCTCAAATCCCTCCTGAGAGAGATAGATGGCCAGCTTAGCCAGGATCCAACCGTGGAGTTGGCGGATCGGATGGGCAGGGCTGAAGAGGACGGGGTCGATGCGGAGGTATCTGATCGCGGCGTGGAGGAAGGCTTTGCTGAAATTGTTGACGGAGAGGAGGGAGATGATGAGTTGGTCGCGCAGAGATGCATATGGCTGTCGGGTTAGAGGCCAATTGGATGTTTGTTTGAGGATGCGCATGGCGGATTCGAGTTTTTTGATTTCGTCTTCGGGTTTGCCGTCGGATCGGGATGCCTCTTGCATGAGTTCTAGTGCTTGTTTTTCTGCCGTCTCGAGGATGGACATGTCGTTGGGGGTTTCGGAGAATTTGTCTTCCGGGGTCTCTGTTCCCATTGCACATTTGGTGCACTGGCAGTCGAAGAAGTATCGTTCGGATAGCTCTTTGCGGCGGACTTCGTTGGGGGTTGTGGTGTCGATGTAGGAGATGAAGATTTGCTCGTCTTTCTTGATGGGTCGAACGGCTTTGATATAGAGTTCCTCTCCGTCAAATCCGACTGTGGCATTGTAGTCACAGCTGTGGTTGATCAAAGCAGCATAAGGATGCAAGTAGAGACCAATGCGGTCATACATGGCCGTAGTCAAGTTGAATGAGTTGAGATCCAACTAAATTAATAAGTCAGTTTTGAATACCGGTAGCACACAGATATATTCAAAAGAATACACCAAAAGAATACATACTCTTGCCGCGTATGCCATAATGGCTTCCTGGCTCATATCCGTTTCCGAGTAATCTTTGACAGCCTTAGACGTGAGATTGATCCTGTCCAAATGAGCCTGAATCTCCTGGATGTCTTGGATATGAGTCTCGAGATTGTTGAAGATACCAAGTTCTTGGGCAGTATATTTCCCCTTCCGGGTACGAAGAACCATCCGTAGCAGAGCGCGTCCATTATTAGGTAGCACTTGGGGCTTAAGTTTTTGGAAAACGGAGCATTCCAGAGAATGAGCAAATTTCCAGTCCTTGGATTGGCACGTCTGTATGAAAATCAGTAATGGAATTCTGGATATTACTCCATAGGCGTGTTCAATTTCTGTTTTGAACATGGAAGACAACAAAACTCCAAATGATGGATAGATTGGCACCCTGGTCTGCCAATCCCAAAAAAATCAAAAATAACAACTCAAACTCACCCTATCACAATACTTAACAACCCGACACCCAGTACAAGCCTTTAACTCTGTCCCAGCCTCTATCTGCCTCTTCCCAAAGCAAGCAGCGCAAGTATCATCGAGGCGTGGCGTGTCGAGAACCGCCACAAACGGCACTTTAGCGTACACAACATCCTCCCCGACCTTGATGTCCGTAGTAGCGAAGAGGCCATTGCCCATGCCATTGGGTGCAGGACCGGGGGCTGTTTTGGTCGTCATTGATGGCAGGGGACTTGTTGAGGATGACATGTTGTGGTGTTTTTTTGTCGAATGATTCTGTGCTTCAGATGCGCGAGATGATCTGATTGATGGGCTTAGTCATCGGTTCTTGGTGGGGCTTTGCTGGACTTCTGGATACCTAACCAGACGCTTTTGAGGAGCAGGACACATGCACGAAGAGACATGCCCGGAGGTTGTGGGGGCATGATGAAGTTGGAACTTGAACTTCTACATATTTGGATATAAAAACCATTGTAAGGGAGAAAGGTTGAAGAAGAAGGAATATTTCTTTTGTCGCTGAAACACAGATAAGCAGACTACATATCAAAAAAAACCAGGACATATAAATAGTAAACAAGACATCCAGACCCAATTCTTGTCAGGCAGAGACATTTAGGACCATCACAAACAACAGAGCAACTCGAGAAGGCTCTGTGTTCCCACCTTGTTTCGCCACAAGGGAAAGCCAAACAGATCAAAAAAAGAGTAAAAAACAGCTGGAACCCTGGAAAGGAAAGGAAACCTCAAGAAATGCACGCCATCTATCAACAAGATGCCTTACCCACTACGCCGTCCAGATAAGGGCGAGTCAATCCTCGGTAGAAGGGAGGGAACTGCCCAGGGGAGCCCAGAGGGATTCCAGAGCCGGCGAGGCAGGCCCGTCGATGGGTGCGTGACGGGCTGGAAGGGGCTTTTGGCTTTTTTGGCTTTTTGTGCAACGGTGTCAATTCATTAATTTACAGCATCTCCTTGCCACCGACGAAGTCGGACCAGGTGCGAACTTCGGTGGGGATACCGTCGGGGCGGGGGAGTTTCTCGTGCATGCACTGAGCGAAGAGGGTAGCGGTCTGGAAGATTTACATTAGTATATCAATTTCAAGGAGAGCATATTGAAGGACTGGAACATACCTTGGGCTCCATGAACAGAGGAACGCTGAAGTCGACGGCGTTGCGGCGCATAACGTAGTCCTCATCCAGCTGGGTCTTGCCACGGGTCTTGGCCAGGTTGAAGACACCACGGATATCGTACTTCTGGAAGACCTCGCGGAGAGCACGCTTGTCCTTCTTGGGGAACTCAATGACGGTGACGGTGACGTTGTCCTTGCAGGTGGACTCAAGGTGAGACTTGACCTGGGGGTTGGCAGCGTAGAACTTGTAGCCGAGAGGGTTCAGGTAGTCGACGATGGTGGACAAGTAGGGCTGGGTGATGTCACCGCCGAGCAGGATACCCTCGCCAGACTCGGGCACGCGGAAGTTCATGGTGGACTGGAAGGAGGCCCAGTAGGCCTCGACCAGGTCCTTACCGAAGCAGGCAATCTCACCGGTACTGGCCATCTCGACGCCCAGGAAGGGGTCGGCACCGGCCAGACGGGTCCAGGAGAACTGGGGAACCTTGGTGGCGAGGTATTCACGCTTCTGCTTCATCAGGTCAACGGGCTCGGGAACATCACGGCCGACGAGCGCCTTGGTGGCGACGTCAATGAAGTTGGTACCCAGGACCTTGCTGACGAAGGGGAAGGAACGAGAGGCACGCAGGTTGCACTCAATGACCTTGAGCTGGGGTTCAGCACCCTCCTGGTTGGCCTTGATGATCTGCATGTTGAAGGGACCGGTAATATTCCAGGCCTTGGCGACCTTCTCGGCAATCTCCTTGACGCGGCCCATGATGGACTCGTCCAGGTTGGCCGGGGGAAGGACCAGGGTGGCATCACCAGAGTGGACACCGGCTGGCTCAACGTGCTCACTGACGGCGTGGACCAGGAGCTTACCGTTGGAAGCGACAGCGTCAACGTCGATCTCCTCAGCACCCTCGATGAACTTGGTGATCACGACGGGGTGGTCGGGGGAAACGGCGCTAGCGTTGAGGAGCTTCTCCTTGAGCTCGTCAACACTGTAGATGACGTTCATGGCAGCACCGGACAGGACGTAAGAGGGGCGGACCAGGACGGGGTATCCAACAGAGTCAGCGAACTTCTCAGCATCGGCAACGGAGGTAAGCTCCTTCCAGGCAGGCTGGTCAACGCCAATGCTGTCCAGGATCTGAGAGAACTTGTGACGGTCCTCAGCCTTGTCAATGTCCTGGGGGTCAGTACCCAGAATCTTGGCACCACCAGTCTCCTGGAGACGCAGAGCAATGTTCTGGGGCAGCTGGCCACCGACAGAGACAACAACACCGCTGGCGCTCTCGAGCTCGTAAATATCCATCACACGCTCGTAGCTCAGCTCCTCGAAGTACAGCTTGTCAGCGGTATCGAAGTCAGTGGAGTAGGTCTCAGGGTTGTAGTTGATCATGACAGTCTTCTTGCCCATCTTGCGCAGGGAGAGAGTAGCGTTGACAGCACACCAATCGAATTCGACGGAGCTACCAATGCGGTACACACCGCTACCAAGGATGAGAGTACCGTGGTCATCAAAGGTGACATCGTGCGAGCTGGCGTTGTAGGTAGTGTACAGGTAGTTGGTGTCGGCAGGGAACTCGGCAGCCAGGGTATCGATCTTCTTAACCCAGGGGGTGATACCGAAGGACTTGCGGCGAGCGCGGACGTCATCCTCGGAAGCGCCGACCAGCAGAGAGATCTGCTTATCAGAGAAACCGAGCTTCTTGGCCTTCAGCATGGTCTCGGCGGTGACGCCGAAGAGGCTGCCGATCTCCTTAAGCTCGTTGTTGCAGTCAACAATGTTCTGGATCTTGTACAGGAACCACTTGTCGATCTTGCTCAGCTCGTGAACCTTGTCGACGGAGTAGCCCTCGTGGAGCATAGCCTGACCAACAGCCAACCAACGGCGGTCAGTAGGGTTCTGCAGGACATCGTCGATGTCCTCGAAGTGGTCACCCTGCAGACCAAGGTACTTAGGGTCCACCTGGCGGATGGCCTTCTGGAGGGACTCCTCGAAGGTACGGCCAATAGCCATAACCTCACCGACCGACTTCATGGCGCTACCAATGTCGCGGTTAACGTGCTGGAACTTGCTCAGATCCCAACGGGGGATCTTGGTGACAATGTAGTCCAGACTGGGCTCGAAGTTGGCAGTGGTAGTCTTGGTAACGGCATTGGGGAGCTCGGGCAGAGTGTGTCCGAGACCGATCTTAGCGGCGGTATAGGCAAGAGGGTATCCGGTAGCCTTGGACGCCAGAGCAGACGAGCGAGAGAGACGAGCGTTCACCTCAATGACACGGTAGTCGAGGCCATCGGGCTGGAGAGAGTACTGGACATTGCACTCGCCAACGACACCCAGGTGACGGACGATCTTGATGGCAGCGGTACGGAGCATGTGGTACTCCTCATCAGACAGAGTCTGGGAGGGAGCGACAACGATACTGTCACCAGTGTGGATACCCAGAGGGTCAAAGTTCTCCATGTTGCACACGGTGATACAGTTGTTATCAGCGTCGCGAACGACCTCGTACTCGACCTCCTTCCAGCCCTTGAGGGACTTCTCGACGAGAATCTGGGGAGCCAGAGACAGGGAGCGCGAAGACAGATCACGGAGCTCGTCGGGGTTGGCAGCGAAACCAGAGCCGAGACCACCAAGAGCATAGGCGGAGCGGACAATGATGGGGTAACCGACCTCCTCGGCGGCCTTCAGAGCATCATCGACGGTACCGACGGCAATGGACTCAGCAATGGGGATGTTGATCTCGTTGAGAGCCTGGGAGAACAGGTCACGGTCCTCACTGGTCTCCAGAGTCTTGATGGGAGTGCCGAGAACCTTGACGCCGTAGCGCTCGAAGATACCCATGCGGTTCATCTGCACACCCAGGTTGAGAGCGGTCTGACCACCGAAGGTCAGGAAGATACCGTCGGGGCGCTCACGCTCGATAACGTGGGTGACATATTCGGGGGTGACGGGAAGATAGTAGACCTCGTCGGCCAGCTTGTGGTCGGTCTGGATGGTCGCGATATTAGGGTTGATCAGGACGGACTGAACACCAGCCTCCTTCAGAGCCTTGAGAGCTTGAGAGCCTGTATTTCAAGATGATCAAATTGTCAGTGAACCCAGGATTTTTTGTTTGTACACTTTGGGGATATGTAGGGTGCCGCTCGCTCTGCATTTGCCGCGGGAGAGCTCCTTTCCTGGAGTGTCCGAGTCATTGCACAGGGGGTGGAAACGAGAGGACTTCACCGCACGAGCTCAAAAGCCCAAAGCCCAGAAAATCAAGCAGCATCCCCAATTCCTCCCAACGTACCGGAATAATCGAACTCTCCAGCCTGTCCAATACTCAAACCACCACTACCAATGACGAGGACCTTCTTGACATCGACCAGGTTACGGCCGGGCTTGACCACGCCGCTCGCGAGGTACGACTCGGACGAAGGAGCACTCTGAGCCGCAGCGAGACGGGTGATCGTGCTGGAGAAGGCGCGCAGCTGCTGGGAGCGACCCGCGGAGGGGAGCTTCTGCAGGCGCAGGACCGCGGCCGTGGAGCGAACGGAGGCATTGGAGGTGAAGGAGCGGAGAGAAAGAGCCGGACGAGCCTCCGCGAGACATCGCTGGCGCAGCAGCGTCGCCGCCTGCCCACAACGCGCAGCAAGAACCATAGCGCCGCTCAAGCGAAAGTGGGAGAGATTCAATTGCTGGGTGGGAAGTAGTGGTTGTGTAGAAGGTTGAGTGCCTCGACTTGTCGGAGGTCTTTTTTCCCCCACCGCGTCGCTAATTGGCTGGTGGCCTTCACCGTCAACTAGTTCCACTTTTTTCTTTTTGGAAGAACCAGCCAAGGAGATAGCACACGAGCAGGTGAGGATGCAATTGAGGCTCAAGAAGATGGAAAAATGATTGAAGATGAGAAGAAAGTACTATAGATCGACAGGGACCAAATTTAATTGTTTGACTGGGATCTAAAAATTTCTTATGCTCGATCTTGAGGATGAGTCACGACTCAAACTGGCCCTGGGGACTATCGAAAAAAAAAGGAACCAGCGGTTCATACAACGGGGCAAACCAGGTACTCTATAGTTTAGCCCACGAGCATGTTATAGCTGTTAGGAATGGGGGTGGATAGACTAGGGATAGAGTGTACAGACTCAATTGATCTTATACACAGTCCAATATATTAACAGATGCTCAATAACCGTCTCTCAAGACTTGCATTACTCCCAGCCTCGCGAGAAACGCAAGGCTCTCAATCTGGCGGGCGCTAAAATTGGGCCCAGTGCCGATGCCGGACGGTCGCACTGGAGCCTTTGGTTATCGCCCTCTTATCCACTGCGGATCGACACTCGCTTGGACTGGCCAGTGGCCAGCCTTTTTCACTTACGAGAAAATTATCCAATCTTTTTGGGTACAGTACGGAGTACTCCGTACTTGCAAGTGAAATATTAATATATGGTGGTTAACACCCTCGATCGCCCACTACCGGCCCGGCCCCGCTGCCAATACTCTGCTTTAGCTGTAGTACTGTATGAATCTGCGATCTCTTGATCCCCTACGTCATTGGCGTTTTTTTTTTCCTTCGACCGAAACCAAGACTCATAACTAGGCCCTCGTGGATAAGGGATCACTTACCCATTTTCACTAAGCTGAAGCTGTACATACAATTAAGTTTAGGGTATTTTTCAATTCTGCGTCACAATGTTTGTAAATGGATGGACTCTGAAATAATTAGCTGTTTCAACATTCGTGACCACGAATGTTGAGAAAATATATAGTATATCAATGCACATCCTCCCACCAAAATATTTTATCTTTGACGCCGAAAGTTAGTGGGTGTGAATAGCCTAGGTCGGTCAAGTGGATGATCAACTCCAGAAATTGCAATGAAGGACGTTCCAGGAAACGCAGCTATAGCGAGGCTTATCGACCTCAAACTGAACTTATTCCAAGTAAATATTTACCATCCAAGTCTGATAACGCAAGTTCTACCAAGCTGTTGTCATATGCACCACCTCCCATCGTTAAGTTCAACTTCACTCAGTTCCAACACGCCCATTCAACCCTGACCAAGGGCCCTTCGGTCGTTTCTCCAGCCTCGACCCGCCCGACAAACCCATTCCACCCTTACGGGTTGACCGAGCCTCCGAGGCCCAAATATCAGACGCATCTCGATCCCGCTCGGCACCCTCTCGCAACACCTCATCTAGATCCTGATTGAGGGTTCCATAAACCTCGCCCAGCAACTTGCGCGCATCTTGGGCAACCTCTGTACCTAAGATGACCTTTTGTTGCACGTAGTCTCGCTCACCGGTCGCCGCAGCGTCAGAGGCAAAGGCCCATGCTTCGGCGAGGTCGACCACTTCGTCGGGTTGGGCTCGGTCGATGGACTGAGGGGAATTGCGGGAGTTGAGGGCCGCGACGGCGTGCTTGAAGCGTGGCTGTCGGGTGAGGATGGGGTATTCGGGGAGGAGGTGGCTCTCGTCGGAGAGACGGTGGAGGGCGCGGAGGGTGGTGGATTTCTCTTTGGCGAGAAGTCCGGTGAGATAGGATTTCTGGAGCGCGAGGGTCTTTTGGCTCTTGGAGAGTGGTACAAGTGTTTCGTTGGTGTAGGATAGAACGTCTAGTGGGTCTGGTGCTGGTATCTCTTCCGAGACGATCTCGTTTCTGTATGTTGGTCGTGGAGGGGGTTTGGAGGTCACGGCCACGGGTTGGCAAGCACGAGAGGCCGCATCGAGAAGATCTCGGCGTGCTTGGAGATACATAGCATACTGCTCGCTGATTTGTATCTTCTGATGCTCCAGCAGTCGCTGAGCTTCTTCGATTTCTTCGGGCGGAAGGTCTTGTATAAGACTTTCGTCGGGGTCACCATCACTGACCAGCCGTTCCTCAACCCATTGTACGAGCTCATCGCGCGTCCGCTGCAATGCTCGCGCCTTCACATCAGATGTGACCTCATCTGGAGACGCATCATTCCTCGAGGCATGCTGCACCTTGATTTTCTCGAATAAATGCTTCTCCTGGTCCAATCGAGTCCGAGCACGCACAACGGCTCTTTCAAGTTTGTGTACCAGATCGTCTAGATCTGTCTTTGCGCCATTAGGATCAGGCACATGTGCGTCCAGCCCCTCTGGTAGCAGTAACAGCTGTTGTTGACTCAAATCTTCCCCTGCACCTATATCCCCCACTTCATCCGCCTCCTTCGCTTTCAACTCTTCTAGGTAGTGTTGAAATACCTGAAGCTTGGTATGCCGCCGCCGATCACGCAGAAGCTGAAGATAACCTCGCAGATCCGCTCCCGGTTCCTGCGGATCGCCCGCCTCGACAGGGCGGCTCTTGGGCGCCCGCTGACGTCGCAGGGCGCCAACGTCTTCAGATACTGCGCGATAGTCATTCCGAGCGGCGACATTGGCCTGCAGCGCCTTCAAGTATTCCTTTCGGAGGCCCGGTAGATCGGCAGGGATGCGCTTGACATCGACCACGGCGTCGGTGGGCGCGCATAAGGCGAGATGCGACTGGGTGTAGCTTGAAGGGTCGGCATCGTCAGCGAAGACGATAAAGGAGCGTAAGTACGACGTCAATGCCTGGCGGATGCGGAGAGCCTCCTGACGGGGCTTGACGTAAGGAGCGAGCGGTTTCGCAAAAGATGGAATGTGGGTAGGGAGGTCGTTGGACGGGGCCATGGTGCATCATTGGTAGGGGGTTGGGGAGGGAGAAATTTGAATGAGGTCAGGATATCCCCCGTTGGCCCCCGCAAAATGTCAGAAGTCGGGAGAAGAGGGTCCGTCAAGCTTCTTTGGTGTGTTTGGTTTCCCCGTTTCAACGTTGATGTTTTGCTGTTTCGGGCATGATTAGGTAACCTGCCGATCAAGTGGACGTGGAGCTTATTATTGTTTTGGGCTGTGAGGGAGCTGAAAGTGTAATTAGTTATTTGATATTAATATCATTATTGCCGATAATATGCGATAGTGATCAGAAGAATCATATACTAGTTCATCTGATATGATATGGGAAACAACAAATACTTGGAATGATGCTGTAATCGTACAATGATCATTCCGTACAGGGCTACAATCGGCATGGGCATCCCCTAGTAGTAAACCTAGTACTGTAGTAGTATTCCAATACGGTTGCTAATAATCAAAGCACTTGAAATTGCGTCTTTGAGAGGTCCGAGCATTAGTATTGGTCTACCGAATCTCTCTCTCTCTTTGTCAACCCAGATATAGTAACTAACTATTTCGTAGTATACACGCGGACTAGTTGATATGCCTAATGCCCTCTTGGCCGTAGGACGATCGCCCAGATCGCCCACGGCCCACCACTATGCGAGAATGTCGAGACTCCAATCCTGCATATTATGCATAGTACTACCGACCCGGTCCAATAATAATAGTGGAGGATGCGCACAAACACGGAACGGCAACCAAACAACGGGGCATAGTTACCTTGGCCCGTTAATACTACTTGACTGTATATAGATAGTACTGGGATCCTTGCTGCGCGCTGAGTGGTGGTGTACTAACAGCATCTTGCGTATCAGGATGATCATCCATGTCGCTCATCCTCTTTTCCCCTCCTCTCTTTGATCTCCAGTCTTCTCCTTCCCTTCTCCTTCCCCTTTCCTCCGCATCGACTCTTCTGCGTCAGATGAGCTCATCTGCACCCCGAGAAAAACACCTCTTGGAATGTTTCATGGCATTCCTATCAAGGGGTAGTGTTTTGGTTCAGCCACACCTCATCGCTGCCCGACAAGGCCAAAAAAGCACTTATTGTCTCGGCCGTGGGCTCTAAGATTTGTTCGCATGCCTTCTGCGGGTCCAGAGGAGCTCGTTTGTTGATATATATTGCTTTGTTTTTCGGTGATACTCCCTGACCTCATGGCTTCTCAAAATACCTCCCGGCCTCGCGCCGCTACCACCACTATACCTGCGATGGGCCCCCCTTCAGCCATGTTTCGACACCCTCATGGCTCAAGTCAGGCTCATCGAAGCCCTGTTTTGCACCAGGGGAGTCCACCTCTGGGGATGAATGACCATGATATCACTAGTACGGCGCAGGGTAAGCCGTCCGTCCCTAGAGACTACCGTTGTTCAAACCTCAAAACTGACTGAAGTAGGACCGCTGCGTCATCCTCAGCCCATTACTCCGTCGGACCTACATTTGGTGCTGGAGAAGGAGCAGGAAGCGATGGCGAGTCCGAACCACATATGACCCCATTCATTGTACCACCAACAATGCTAATGCTGGACCACTTCCAGGTGAACCGATTGACTCGGGAACTCTCTCTTCTCCGCCAGCAGACAGCCTCCGTGGCATCAACAGCCTCCTCCACATCGACGCTGAACGATCCTGCCGATGGATTCCATACCTCCCCGTCGTTGGGCAGCTCTACACACTCCCACTCCTCGCGACGTCAGCGTTCATCCTCCAGCCTGAGTTCCCACACCGCTGCCCAAGGCACGCAGGCTGCCAGCGTGACAGGCATTGCACCCTCTCGTGAGACGAGCATGCCTTTTCGGTCGAATGAACCATCTCATTCTCGCCCGGCGCGAAGTCGTGAACCATCGCTCACCTCCCGCCGGCCCTCGATTGGGTCAATCCCATCCCACCCACAATATTCTCACGGCGACCAGTTTACTCATTACGGAAGTCCTTCCATCTATCCGCATCGCAACTCAGTGTCCCAGACCCACCTGGGATTGTCGAGCAATCCCATCTCGCGGTACGAGGAAACTCTGCTACACAAGTCGGAGTTGGAACATATAAAGCGGGAGAATGAGCAGCTACGAAAGCGCGTCCGAGAGTTGGAAAGTGTGTTGAAGAAGCACATGGATGGGGAGCCGAGGACGCCGACCGACACTCCACCATTAATGGGGGATTCTTAAGGGATCATCTAGTTTCAGTCTTCTTCTATTACTGCCGGGCGCAGTCCTACTTCTCTTTTGTTGTTACTATGATTATCTATTCGAGGCTGGAAGATTTGCAGACAGTCACAAATCAACCCTTTTCCATTTGATACGCCCTCTTTTTGTTTACATTAGCGACAACACCACAAGTGTAAGGAGTATTGGTTCGAGAAATCGAAAACTTCAAGATAGTCTTATCCATCACCAGTTTGAAAGATAAACAATGATGATGCTCGAGCCATCAAGGACGACGATTCGTAAAACAATTCAAAAGATCTTTCAAAGGAACCGGGGAAAGCATCTCTGGATACAAACTCTCCCTGGTATCTTCGCTATATGTATGGAACACGTGTCATATAGGTATAATGAATCTAGTCAATACTATTATTGTATCCAAATCATTCTGCCTAGAACTATTCAAGCACAGGAAGCTTTTCCAAAGGATGGTGTGTCCACTTCGATCACAAGTGACATGAGGCGGTGCAGCCCCGCCCTACGTCACCTGTGGCGCAGGCTTGAGATAAATAACTGACCTCACCAGGTTGTCCGTTGCATTTCCACTCCTCAACATACTCCCTTCCCTTGATTTTACTTCTACTCTTACAAAATCCAAGTTCACCAAAATGTCTGGCGCTTCCACCGTTCACGTCTCTGGTATCTCGCACTTGACCTCCGAGAAGGAGGTCCGCGACTTCTTCAGCTTCTGGTATGCAAGAGCTCAGAGCCTGGCAATGAGAAACCCATTGAGGGATTACCCTTTCGCTAAAACTTTACTACAGTGGAAAGATCACCAGCCTGTCCGTCACCCCCGTCTCCTCCGAGGCCGAAGCCCCCAAGTCCGCCAGTGTGACTTTCGAGAAGGAGGCGTAAGTTACCCCGCACCGCGTTTCATGATTGCACCATAGCCCCCTTATCCAACAAGTACTAACAGAAAATATTTCATACAGAGCTGCTAAGACTGCCCTACTGCTCGACCAAACCCAATTGGGCCCCTCTTCTGTACGCGTCGAGGCCGCGCAGAGCATCGACACTCTGGCCAGTGCAGCCGCCACCGGCGCATCCACTGAGAAGGAAGAGGAGCACGACATCGCGCAGGAGGACAAGCCCCGCTCCCGCATTATCGCCGAGTACCTGGCGCACGGGTACGTCGTGAGCGATGGCGCGATCCAGAAGGCCATCGCTCTGGACCAGAAGCACGGCTTCTCGACCAAGTTCACCTCGGCGCTGTCCAACTTTGACAAGAAGTTGAACGCGACCGAGCGCGCCCGCGGCATTGACGACAGCTACAAGATCACCGATAAGGCTGCCTCGGGCTGGCGCGGTCTGAGCTCGTACTTTGAGAAGGCTCTCGAGCACCCCTCCGGCCAGAAGCTGCGTGACTTCTACGTTCAGACCGATAAGCAGGTGCGCGATATCCACAACGAGGCCCGCCGTCTGGCCGATCTGAAGCAGGGCAAGGGTGGTGAGACTGAGGGTGTGGCCCCTGCTGCCAGTGAGGCTGCTGGCGTTGCCCCCGCGACTGTGCCTGCCTCTGGGCCGGCTGGTACTGCTGCCCCTGCTGAGCCTAAGGCTTAGATTGCTCTCACAGGATCTGATGGTTACCCCCGCGCTGGCGTACTTTTATTTTGATGTCTATGATTTTCATCGTTACATGACACTTGCCTTGAAGTCTTGATGATGGGACTTTCTGCCTCAATCGCCTTTTTTGTTCTCTGGGACGAGATTATGATTGCAATGATTCTACACTCTGCGGCTAGTTAGTTCGTAGTACTTGAGTGCGAGTCACCGAATGAACATACACGATTCTCATGAGTGTCCAATGCGTACAGTAATATCCACTAACGCTAGCCTTCTAGTCTTGTAGTTCTACCATAGCATTTTACTTCAAACATAAACCAAATCACAACATGTAATTCATAATTTCATACCTATCAAAGACTGATTCTATGCTTCGAAGACTCTATCATCTACCTCGCCTCCCTTCATTCCGAAAATCAAACCGACAAACAAGATCGCCCTCCCCAATTCATTTTTTGAACTTCGCCGCCTCGATATCTTCCAGTGGGTGCTTGGGGTTACTCCCATCCAGCACGGGTGCCTTCTGATCGGGCTTCTCGTATGAAAATTCCGGTGCGGTCGATGCGCCCCCGTCTAGCTTGCCGTGAGAGGGCGGATCGCGCTGTTGGGCGCCGGATTGGGTCTCTGGCTCTGGAGATTGGCGGCCTGGGTAGGGGGCAGACATGTTGGAGATGAGTGTGTTTAATTGAGATGATCTGGATTTTGGAGAAATTGGTAGATTGGGATTCTATGGGATGATTAGATGCGGTTTGTCGAGGTGATAGGCGTAATTTGAGTCAGTAAATACCTTGATTTCTCCGTTGATGTGAATGATGAACGGTATATAATTCTGCAAGATGATTTGAATTGTGAAGATGTTCTGACAACGTCTCTTTAAGAATGTTCAGTATCTATGTCTAACTATCTGACGTGACCAGTGCTAAACCTGGTATCTGGGGGCTTCCATCATGATGACGTTCAAACTACCCACCGCTTCGCCTGGAAATCAGGCTGACTCGGGTTTGGAAGTTCCACATAGACGGGCCATGGCTATTATCCTTGACTATTCTTCCTAAAGATACGTCCAAAGGCTTGCCCCAGAATGCCGGATGTGGCATGTTGAATGCTGAAGCAGTAACTGGGGCCAGGAATGGAATGACATCATTGCATGATACTCGTCACGTGGCATGGATGTGCAACATGCTTCACTATATACACGCAACAACGGGCCATGAAATCATCGACGAGGTGATATTACTTGCGGAGCAAACCAACTACAAAGAGAGAATATGTTTGAACTCAGTAATGATAGCATGACTGATGTACTATATCAAGGTATGGAGGATGTCTTTGGGGGAATCTGTGCAGTGGAGGTGGATTAGAAAGGGGGAGGGAGGAATCGGGAGATGGGGACTTTTGGAAGCACATCAACAGGGTAGACATAATACGGAAAGTAAAAGGAAAAGAAAACAGAAAATGGAAACGAAACATGGACAGATATAGACGGGGGAAACGGGCATGATCTAAACAATGGGAGGAAAGACATCATGAAATGGGCATATGTCTCGTGAGGCGGCAGGGAAAAATCAAAGGATCCCGATCGAAAAAAAACCGAGTGAAGTTATACGGGTTCACTCGATCTTTCTGATCTATTGGTTGCCGTTGGACTGCATGCCCGCTGCAGCGGCGGCTTCGGCGTTGGCAGCAGCCAGCGCCTTAGCATCGGCCTCGTGGAACACTCCTTGAAGGATCTGCTGCTCTTCGGGGCCGAGGACCTTGGTCAAGCTCTCGTAGAGCTGGGGTTGCTCGGACTGGAGGCCTATAGGAAAGATTAGCAAGGCTCAAAATGGCAAAAGATATGATTTATCACGTACTCAGGAAGACATGCTTGAACATGCCGTACGGCTCAAGCTTGTCGAGAGGAGTCTCAAGCAGGCTCTCCTCGTCAAGCTCATCGTCGTCGTCATCGGCGAATTGGCTGAACTTCTGAGCCTCCTTGTTGAGGAAGTCGAGGTAAGCTGCGCTCTCATCGGCAATGTCACCCTCGAGGGCCTCCTCAACCTCCTCCTCGTTCCACTCGACCTCTCCATCCCAGTCGTTCTCCTCGTCGTCTTCGTCACCCTCGTCGTCGAGAGTGAAGTCAGACTCCCGGGTAACTTCCTCACGCACTGTGTATGAACATTGTTAGCAAGAGAATTAAAGTACGGCGTGTATCATAGAAGACATACGTTTAAGAGCAGCAGGCAGGGTTTGGAACAATCTTGTCACACCCTGCAGCAACCTAGGCCAGCCCTGCTGGACACTCACGGGAACGTCAGCCGCTTTCATCGTCAGAAGCGAGCTGATAGCAGCAATTGACAGCTTCTTGTCGTGGACACGACGGAACTGATCAATGCTGGAGAACCAGGTGCTGAAGAACTTGTTGGTCCAGCCCTTGGCTTCCAAGACCTGCAAGCTGAGAGCGGGGTTGTAGTAGATGGCGTTGATGATCATCTCCATCAAGTGAATACGGTAGGACTTGGTACGAGCCTCGCCAGCATCGATGACGGCCATGGCCAACTCAATGACGAGAGGAATGTACTGGTCGATGTGACCACGGAGGTTGAGCATGAGAGTCTCGGCCAGCTTGCAGCCGCAGATACGGTCAACGCCACCAACCTTGTCATCACGGAAGATATCCTCAACCATGCCAACAATGGCAGCAAGGTAAGCCGGGTTCTGAACCAGCATGTCGGAGCCGTAGGAGACGTAGTTGTCGAGAGCTGGGAGCATGTCCTCCAGGTACAGCTCGGCACCAGCCTTGAAGGTCTTGTGAATCAGCTCGAATGCCTGCCACATGGTTGGCGAGATAGACTTGGAGGCGAAGGTGCAGCTGTCAATAATCTCGAACACCTCGTTATACAGATCGTAGAGCTTGTTCTCCAGAGTGATGCTAATGACAGGCATCAGGATAGTCTCAAGGTGCAGGAGAACATCGGGGGTGCTTTCCAGAGTGAGGATAAGAGTTCCAATGGTCTGCAAGACACCCAATGCCGTGATGCTCTTGTCATCCAGGAAGTCTCCGTATCCTTCATCATCGCCAGGCTTGTTGGCATTCCGCTCCAAAAGCTCCCCAACAATGCGCATGTAGGTGTCACGCAGCTGCTCACTCAGGGCAACGGCGAATGGAGTAAGCTCGGCGGAGAAAACCTCAACAAAGTCCTCCATAACATTGGCCAGGGCATCAACATCGACCTCGTTGGCCAGTTTGAGAAGCTGCTGCATGATCTGAGGAATATTCTGCTGCATCGAAGTGCGGATAACGTCGTGACGGATCAGTGGCTGCAGAGCAAGGGCGGCCTCAACCCGAACGGGTAGCTCGGAATCAGTCATAGACTCCAGAATATTCCGGTAGATGATCATCAAGTTGTTCGGGTCCTTGAAGTCGAGCTGCTCGAACTTCTCCAGGGTGTCACAAGCACGGGCACGGAGGAAGCCGTGGGGGCTGCGGAATTCGGGGAAAACGTGGCGGACGAAGAAATACTCTACCTGATCAGCAATGGGGCTCTTCTTGCCCAGAATGACTGACGCAAGGGAACCGATCATTCTAAGAGCACCCTCCTTCTCGCGGGGCAGCTTCTGGTCATCGGCTGCAGACTCATACTTGCTGACAACGCTGTTGACGAAGGTGAGAATGGAGAAGGTTTGCTTCTTGCGGTTCTTGGTCAGGGAGACCAGGAAGTTGGTAGCTGCAACGTCGGGAGCGGAAACCTCCTCGTAGAAGTTCAGCTTGCGGTGGAGATATTCCGAAGGGTCCTCCTCAAACAGCTCGATATCCTCGTCCGACTGGCACAGGATAGGGAAAACGAAGTGGGCGATCAGGTTGTCCATGTGCGGCTTCAGGTGGTCCCACATAGCCTTCGGCTTGACGCACTCCTCCATAAAGACCAAAGTATAAGAGAGGGCGGAGTTGCTCAGCCATTGAGACTTAGAAACCCACTTGTCGATCTCCTGCAGATAGCCCTTGAGAATTTCGGGGGCAAACGTGGTAATGAAGGTCTTCGCGTAGGGAGTATAATCGGGAATGGAGGATTTCGTAATCGTGGTGGGGTTGCCGTATCTAGTGGGGGTGAAAAATCGCGTGTAAACAGCATAATCCTTTTTCGCGGAAGAAAAAAGACCACAGGAAAGGTGTAGTGCGCGATTCTTACCTGATGAAAAGACGGTTCAAGTTTGCATATGACCACTTCTTGCACTTCCACCAGTGATTCAACTCCCGCTCCTCCTTCGACTCGGCCATAGCGTTGGCGGGAGGAGTCTTGGAGATGATTCTGAGGAACAATGTGCACCAGTCCACAGTAGCCTGGTGAGTCTGCAGAGCTGGAGAGAGCTCGAACTAGATAAGAACAAAACAATCAATGTCAGCTTCTCGTGTACGGTGCTTGCATAGAATCGCGCGGGTCACCCACGTAAATAGCGTGCTTATAGGCCTTCACGACAATCCGGAGCATCTCAGCCGCCTCCAGGCTCTCCTCATCAACCAGCCTCTGTCCAATGCTGAGTAGTTGGGGGAAAGAGTGCTCCACAATCTTATCGAATTCCTCCCGCTTCTCGCCGGCCTTGAATCTATACACGCGACAGATGGCCAGCAGGCATTGCAAGCCTGCGTAGACTGTGTTCGCATCATTCGTGCCAAGAAGCTGGAGAGTGAGATCAAGGAATCCAGGCCACTGTTCGGGGAAGTCGTTCTGGAGGATCTTCTGGAGGAGGGGAACCAGCTGAGCGCGGACATTGGGTGGGGTCGAGGCCAGAGAAGGGATCAGTCTCTCGCGGAAGCTGGGCTTCTCAGCCTCAGGGATGGGAGCGCGTTGTGGGTTGTCTTCGACCGGGGCCCATCCGCGGCTGATGCGGTTCTTCAGGTAGACACCGGCTAGAGAGACGAAGCGGGGCAAATTAGACACCAGCGTCGGTGGCACTGAAAGAGAGACTCATTGAGATACTTACCAGACAGCTGAACGGCATTGTTCTGCTCGGTTTGCAGGATGTCTAGTAGCGCATTGATAAATCCGGGCTGCGTTTCGGCCTAGAGAGGGGAAACCCCCGGGGTGTAAGTCTCACGGTAACGGCCCCCCCACCAGGAACATGCAACAGACGTACATATTTCAGGTCCAACTCCGCCTGTTGGCGAGTACTCGTGTTAGGATTTAGAGTCGACTGGATACGGTCTCGAAGAGCCGTAACGTCCATGTTTCGCACCACCTGGGCACCCCGGCGCCAAAGATCGCAGATAGAAAAAAGAAAAACTCCACGCAAGAAATCCCTGGGGGAAAACGGACCGGCGCCGATAGGAGAGAACGAGCAGGAGGAAGGGGAAGTCAAGAGTGCAAGGGACAAAGAAGCCCAAGGCGATAGGAGGAGGTGGAGGTCGAAAAAAGTGTAGAGGGGGGCAGGATTTATTCTTTCTGGGATTTTCGCGGGCGGTCGCCCCGCAGCTAATCAGCGGCCGCACACTGATTTTGTATACACTCCAGCGGGTCGCCCGGTTAAACTTCAATTTGGTCGACGCTTTTTTTTTGCTTATACGAGGTAAGCTTGGAACATTTTGATTTTTTTTTATTTCATAGTCGTTACATTTTCTCTTCTTCTCGCCCAGACATCATCGTCAACATGTTCATGAAAGTAGGTGGCTTGGTGCTGCCCAATAGCCAGACAGAAAATCGTAACCCAAATCCGCCCTTCGATGACAAGCACACGCCAACTTCTTTCTACATGTACAGGGACGCCGCGAAAATGACATCGCGCTTGATCAGCTCCTGCGCTTGCTGCATCTTGGTGTACAGCGATGGATCGCCAACCAGTTTGGCCGCGTTTTTGACCTCGCGACAAGTCTCATCCAGCCGAGTAATCGTGCGAACAATCGTGCCCTCCATCACATCGGTGAGATCAGTGATGCGGTTGAATGACATCCCCTTGGCCCACTCGTAGACCACCTCAGCAAGACCGAACCGAGGCTCGCTGGCAAAGTCATTGGAGTCTTCACTGGACTGGATGACTTGATGCAAGACCTGGTAGTTGTTCACCTTCTCCGAAATACGGATAATGGCTTCCTGCCCCTTTTGCAATCGCGGAGTAAGGGTCGGAGTACTGTCGGTCTTCTCCTGGAACACAAAGGCCGAGAGAAGAGCGACAATTTCTTCTGGCTCGTATTCGGCAAGAACGTTCTCCAGAACCAGCTCGGTCAAGACCAGTTCGTCAGCAGAATGGATTTCACAGGCCACCTTGCCCTTCAGTTGCACACGGGACTGTTCGTCCACGAACCCGAGATCTCGCAAGACTTGAATACGCTGTTCATAGTCTGGAAGCAGTTGGAGGTTTTGATCCGACATCAACTGCTTCAATTGCGAGATGTTCTCCTTCACTTGCCATTCATCATGTTGCATCTCGAACTGTAGGAGGAAAACAGAAGGATCAGCATATGCTTTCGGGTGATCTCCAGATCGGGACTTGTACTCACGTGGTCCATGAACTTAGGGCATCGCAAGCAGTGGCATGACTGGATGAATTGTGCCTGAGCCTTCCGCTGATCAATGATATCCCGCGACTGCAACTCCTTGATACGGACCCAATCGATCTCGTCCCAACGATCACTAAGCCACGATGAAGTGAACTTGGTTAGCTCTTTCTCAGCAAACTTTACCGCTTCTGTTTTATATGCTTAGCTAAATTGGTCAATCTTATCCGGATGAAACACTCACCTTTCTTAATATTCAAGTACCAGATTGGTCCACCAGCCTTGCACCTGGTGGTCGTGATGCATTCCACGTCTGCTACTGGGATCTTGCAAATCTTGAGATGCATAGATGCGCCGTTGGAGGGCAATTCTTGGAAGTAAGGACGGAATTTTGGGAGGAATGGGAGAATATCACTTGGATGACGGCGGCTGTGGACGGTGCCAATTTCAAGTACGGTGATGCAAGGCACGGTGCCAGTGGTGACACCCTCTTTGGTGATGACTCCAGCGGTGCGTAATCCATCCTAGAGCATGGTTAGTGCTTCTCAGGTATACGAAAGTCAACCCTCGACAGAACATACCTTTCGATACACAACAAGCTTCTTGACCTCGAAGAGTCGTTTACCAGCAGGAGTTGTGGGCAGGCCACTATGTAACTCCGCGGTGAGTCTCTCGTACTCCATGGCAGCATCATGGCAGGCAGCCAGATCCACGTCACAGATCTCACAAGGCGGCCGTTTGATTTTCTCCAAGCTGGCCTCGGAAAGCTGGACTTGTTTTTCGTGCTCTGGTAGCAGGGCTTGAGTGGCGTTTTCGCTGAAACTCCGTTTGATCATCTCTTCGATCTTGAGAGCCTCCACTCGAAGGAGGTTGAGAATCATATTGTAGGTTAGTCGGAATTGGGATCGGAGCTTGGTTGGATCGCCGAGAATCATCTTCTTCAAAGCACCAGCGGGTGGAGCCTCTTCTTTGCCACTATTTGTGATGAGCACATAGCCCACGGTGTCAAGACCTCTACGTCCTGCACGTCCAGCCATCTGTGTGTACTCTCCAGGTAGCAGGTCTCGGAAGCTTTTGCCGTCATGCTTGCGGAATCCAGAGAAAACTACTGTTCGGGTTGGCAGATTGAGACCCATGGCGAATGTCTCGGTAGCGAAGAGAACCTTGACTAGGGACCTTGCAAAGAGAATTTCGACAATCTCCTTCATGATTGGCAGGAGACCGCCGTGGTGCACGGCAACACCTCTGCTGAGCAATTCACGCAGGCGAAGGATTTGAGGCAGAGTTCGGTCCTCCGGTTTAAGGCGGGTGAGAGACTTCTCGATCATCATGTGAATCAAGCTCTTTTCTGTCGCATTGCAGAAGTCTTGGTTGGTGAGAGAGTCCGCATTTTCCTCACATCGTTTCTTGGAAAAGACGAAAACGCAGCCCGGAAGGAGATCTTCCTTGCGAAGATGTGACACAAGGTGGACCCAAGTATTCTTATCCTGTGCAGCGGACTGCCGACCACCCCCACGGCCAGTACGAGCAATATTACCAGTACCGCGGTGAGAAGGCTGACCCCGTCCACCTGGCTGCCCTCTACCTCCTCCTCCTCCTCCACCACCACGTGGTCCGCCACCTCGAGGAGCTCCTCTGCCTGCGTCCTGTCCACGTCCACGTCCTCGTCCTTGAGGTCCGCCACGTTGTGCCTGTGCCTGGGCTTGAGCTTCGGCTTCCTTCTTGGCCTTGGCATCCTTTCCTGACAAGACATCATTTGCCTTCTTCCAACCGCCTTCGATGAATCGCTTGTTGGAGTCGACAATCTTGAACTTTTCTTTGCCAGCCCATAGATAGTGTTCTAGCGGCACAGGTCGCTTGGGGGTCGAAATCACGTAGATATCCTTCTTTTTCGTACGGCCAACCCAGGACGCGAACTCGTAGGTGTTGGGAACAGTAGCAGATAGAAGGATAAGGGTGACGTGCTCCGGAAGCATGATAATAACTTCCTCCCACACCACTCCTCTCTCAAGATCATTCACATAATGCACTTCGTCAAAGATGACAAATTCCACATCACGAATAAGGTCGGCGCCTCGGTAAAGCATACTTCGAAGAATCTCGGTGGTCATGATCACACAGCTCGCCTCGGGATTGATCTGAACATCGCCCGTGAGAATACCGACATCTTCAAATGTTGTTCGGAAGTCGCGATACTTCTGGTTGCTCAGAGCTTTGATAGGAGACGTGTAGATGGCCTTTGTCATGTGTTTATTTGCCAGTGCAATGGCGTATTCAGCCACGACTGTCTTGCCAGCGGATGTGTGTGCAGCCACGAAGACCGAGTCGCCGTTCTCCAGATGATAAACAGCCTCTTTCTGGAAGGTATCCAACTCAAATGGCCATTCTCTTGCCATATCCGGAACCAGGTCACTGAAGTTGGTAATCTCCTTGTTCACATCGACGACATGGGCCCACTCCCTGCCTTTCTGCTTTTGAATACCTGCAAGGAGTTGGTTGCGCGGTTCGAGGGCTGGGAACTCGACTGGTAGGAGTGCGTCAATATCCTCTTCCTCCTCGTCACTGGTTTCATCTTCAGCGACACCATCAGCGGTTTCATCGCCCTCGGGTGTAGTTTCGCTCTTGTCAATTTGAAGATTGCTTTCCTCCTGAAGAAGAGCATGTTCAACTTCCTCGTCACCCTCAGCAGCCTCCTTCGACTTTGCTTCCGCGAACGTGAGGCCACGTTCAAAGCCAGGAGGTATTGTCAAGAGTCCGCCCTCGGATCCAAAGTTGATAATTCGATCGAGTCCGGCCTTTTTTCCACCAATGCGGGATTTCTCAGTAGTCATCGCATCAGCCTCCATTTCAGCTAGTGCCTCGACTGCATCCAAGCCACCAGGTGCGAAAGGAAAGAATCCAGCAGCACCCCTGACAAATTCTGCACGGCCAGCAGGACGACGGAGCAAAGAGGTCGAGTTCTTGGCAGTATCGCTCGTCGCTGGAATTGTCACTTCATGATAGCCCGTCACCCGTCCTTCCAGCCCCTCTCGTGTAAACCGGGTTACCGTTCGCGTCTGTGTGGGGGCAATCTCGAAGAGCTCTGTGGTATCTGCAGGTACGTCCCATCGTCTGAAGTAGTCATTAGCTAAGTTCAAAGGTAGCGGTACATGTGAGGAAGCATACTTCTGCAACTGGTTGAGCCAATTGGAGCTAAATTTCGAGGACGGTGTCAGGAAATCCGCCTCCAACTCAGCCAATAGCTCGCTTCCACTCTTGGCAGCCTGCTTGCGAGATCTGGTGCTGGCTGGCGTGTCGGTGTCTTTCTCGGCGAGCGGAGTCTCCAGCCGACATTGGACCAAGTCTGGGTTCATATCTTGAGCTGTCAGTCTCAGCTGCTCCATGGCAGAAGTCAGCGAGTCCGCCATTTTGGACGAGAATGGACCAATGAGTCGCAAATGGCTCTCTTTCGGGTTTCTCGATATTCAGCTCGGTAGTGACGGCCCACCCCACATTGATGTGTGGCTTCAGCGGTGGTAAAGTGGGAAGCTGAGCCTCGGTCTCTCGTCAAGTACCCCAACACCAACTCGGATGAAGTCGCAGTGATGGTTTTTCGGCAAAAAGGGTCCGACAGAGAAAAATAGTGACGTGGTGTGAAGCACAAATGCCAAAAGCTCCCCGCTGCCAGAGCTTCGATAAGGCGGTATAGATGGGCAGTATTTATCTTTGTGTTGGAGGTTGACGTAGTGTGGGGCGCCTCCAACTATAGGATTTCAACATGAATGCCTCTCTTTCGACTCCAAATGTATTCTCTACCATATGATACATCGCCAATCTAATACTCCCAGGAGTAGAGAAGTCCACATTCTCTTCCCCAGTCGCCCAGATCCTGGGCAAAAGAACCAAAATGAGCTTTCCTTAGGACGAACAAGGGAAGCAGACTTCATGGTCTTAGATCTTCGAATTGAAGCATTTTGAGGCTGTATAGAAATCGAAACTCTACTATAGTTGGATGTGATCTGGGAGCCAGTTTTATACCGGCATCGGGAAAGAGAAAGGAAGAACTCGGAAGATCATCACACCCAGGTAGAAGGCAGCCATCCTCTCTATAAAATCCGTGTTCCTACGGAGGCCCGCAGCCTAGAAAGGTATGCAAGGATTATTTCCCTTCAGGCTCTCTAATCTAACATAGCACATATTCTCCGAATGAATGCAAGGATGTCTGATGTCAAGGACACTCGCAAGGGTACCCCTGCTGGAACCGACGAGCTGACATGGTTCAACAAGGGACGATAAACTTACACTGATTTCTGAAGGATCTGAACAGATGACATATGGTACACTCAGTGAACTTGACCAAGCGTTGATATAAGACGACAAAGTGGTACGGAGAAAAAAAGACGGTCTGAATATGAGCATGTTACGGAACTGGAGACATGGCGCGATTATCATGGGTAATTCGGAACTTACCGAGTATCACACATCGTTTTGACCACGATGTGGACGATTCAGTACGAACATTCATTCTTCTCACTAGCTAGTCTGAGAAGATCGCCTTGAAGGAGTCCACAATCTATACACATCCAACGACCTCCTATATCATTAACAACTATTCCCAGCATGAAATTAAGTATGGACAATTGTGAGGGTGAGATCATCAATCTGACAGCCAAAGAACATGCGCAAATGCAATATACAGCAGATAGCCAACGTCGAAGCATGATTATCAACCAGAGAGAAAAGGGTGGCAAGAGAGTGTTTGAAACATATGACGCAAATCCCGTGGGCCCGCAGCGGCACGAAAGATGAAAATCTGGTACTCAACGAAGTATAAAGAACAGGAAAAGGGTATTGAAAGAAGAAAAGAACGACATCTTGATCAATCAATGATGGACTGTACGCGGAACACATATGACATGCTGAAGATTGAGAAGAGAAATATAGTTCTGCTTTTGAAACGGCCGTATTCATTTTGAAGCCGCACGCAGACAGGCTGGAGTGATGTGATGTAATATCAACAGTCGTTAACTGTACTGCTGATGATATCCGTATTAACATAAAAGAACAAGATTTACTCCGTCGCAGAGCCCTCCTTTGGCTCTGTGTTCTCCTTCTCGGGCGAGTACTCATATTTCCGCTTTGCGGGAACAGACTGCTCCAAGGACACGAGGGTCGGGCCCTGGGAGACAGATTCAGAGGGCGTCAGTGACGCCAGTGCTTCCCGAGGCTCGGATTCAGGAGTGCGGTCAATAATAGATGAGATGGACTGTTTGACTGAGCCATTGATGGTCGGTTTGGGCGGTATAGGCGAGGCATCTTGCGAGGCGGGAGTATCCTCTGGATTGGGAAGAGACCTCTCTGTTGCCTCGGTCTTGACCCGATACATCTCGTCGCGAGGTTCTTCGCTGTCCTCTGGCTCAGAGTCCAGCTCAGGATCATGGCCCTCATCATCAGGACCCCCACCCAGCGGACTATCTTCCATCGAGCCGCGATTGGAAGCTTGCACCGGCGGTAGTGGTGCATTCGGGTCATAGACTATGCCGCACATCTCGAGCGCACGCGACTGGCTACCTAGCGTGCGGTCTTTATGCTTCTTAGTTAAGTGGCACATGAAGCCGTGCAGCGTGACAAAGTCGGATTTTCCACAGCCATGGATCGGGCAAGTCAAATAGACTAGGCTTCCGTCGGAGGGCCGCTTCCATAGGGCGCGGCCAGAGGGATCGTGGGCTGCTGGGCGGCCGTGGCGCTCGCCCCAGGCCTCAACGTTCTTGATCGTGTACTTTTGCTTGCGCCGAATGGATCCCGCGGAGTTAATGGCCTCGTGTGGGTTGATTGGGTGCTGATGTTGATGTTGATGGGCATGAGGGTGTTGTGGGTGCTGGGATGGGGCGGGCGGAGGAGGAGGAGCATGATGAGGTTGCGGATGCATATGAGCAGAGGGAGGCATAGAAGGTGGTGGTTGTGGTGTACGTGATACTGGTGGTAGCGGTGTTTGGCGAGGCTCCGGAGGACTCTGCTGCTTGAAAAAGGCCAACGTCGTGGCCGCGCTGGTCTCGGATAACCGACGTGGTGGTGTTGGCCGCATCGGCGGCGAGTCCATCGTTTGATTAGGTCCAAGGCCCATCGACTCCCGCTTAATTCTCTTGCGTTGTCTCCGAAGATCCTGAATCATCGCAGTTAGTATTTGTCCTGCATAAGCCCACACTTCGAGGATATTGAGGTAATTCTATAACATACCTCCTCCTCAACCTCGGCGTTCTCGGTCATTCTACGGAATTCTTCGTCTTCACGCTTGCGCACAGCAAGAAGATGATGCCGAGCTGCCATCCGGTTCATTTCTTCGTGTTCCAATTGACGCAAACGAGCTTCGATCTGATCTAAAGACGACAAGGCCGCTGGCGGGGGTGGGGGAGGCGGTCCTGCATGAGGATCGTGCAAAGGCGGCGGCGCATAGTGACGATAATGATGATTCTGAACCATTTGATCTGGCGGGGGCATTGGTGGGTGAGAGGGCGGATTAGGATTCATGGCGATGGCTTGATAGCGTGGCAGACTGTGAGCGAGATGACCGGGAGCCCCATTGAGGCCCTCGGGGATGGCGTGAGGCACCGGAGGTGCAGCAGTCATGACGATGCCTCTCTTGGATTTTTAGGTGTGCCTGTGCCTTCCTGATTTGCAAGAGCTTCTTCTTCCCTTTCCCTTTTTCTTTTCCCTTGTTGCTTATCTCCAGCCTTTAGCTACAAAGATGGAGGGCTAGAAGGGAGAAAGGCTCAGGAGAGCTAGACAGTATCGATAGTGACAAAAAGGTGCAAGGGAACAGGGTTGGAGGGAGTTGGAGATGTACAGAAAAGAAAAAGAAGTGTAAAAACAGGACTGGGTGGGCATCCACTAGGCAATGAGACAAGAATCGACAGAGAAAAGACCCATTTCCGATCTATGGGTCGACGGTAAGGAAAGGATTGACATCCAGACGTCCCCATCCATAGCCATCCATTCAAATCAAGATAATAATAGCAAAATAAAAATAAGAAATGACAATATCCACTAGCGCGACCCTTGGGCTGCATCCCCGTTATCGTGAAATTTCCCGCTGGTAACGGCCAAAGTAGGGGGATCGGCCCCTCGTAGAGGCTACCAGACCTAGCCGGCCCAACAGGCTGAGGGGCCCAGTCAGCTCCTGAATGAAGTTAGTCTACCATTTGAGATCCATTACAATTAGGTACTGTACGAGCTCGTTTGGGGAGGGGGCATCGTGTACAAAGAGTTTAGGGGGCGGGAAAGGAACGATGGAGAAGATCAATGAGATTTGGTATTGGCGGGATTTGAAGTCAGCCAACGTATCGTGATCTTCATAATTATTATTATTATTAGACCAAGGCTGATCAAAGATGATTAGATCATGAGCCAGTCATGATTTAGTTCAGAGTTTCCGGGGGAGTTGAAATGGCCGTATCATCATACATATCGACCCCCCTTAATTGCAATTAGAATGCAGCAAAACCAGTTTGGTTAGAGGCGTAGTGGGAGACCTGTACTGTACGGAGTACGGAGTAAGTACATACATAGTAACATCGGAGTATACAAGAGTATAGAGTAGTTAGCACATAATGATACTGGGACAAAGTACCAGTGGAAAAAAAAAAAAAAACACAGCAGAGAAAAATAATCAGAAGGGAGGCGGCGATTCCATGGATTGGCTCGGCGCTAGTGACCCGATGTAATCAAATCACAACAATCACAATCCCTCATTTCCTGGAGATTGGAATTGCGCGAATCCCTGGCACTAGTCCCCTTTTATTATTAGACTCAAAATAAAACTGTCACATCGTTTCTAAAAGTCCCGCCCTCGATCTCCTATAGTTACAGACAAACTTAGTAACCCTAGTCCTCTGAACGGGAGAGCAATTCCAAGGCGTCTAAATGGTAAAATTGATGTGCAATCTCAATCAAATCAAAATGGCAGAAACGCGAATTGTGCGTACAGTACATACAAGCAAAATTCGAGCCATCCCGAAAACGCCTCCAAGTCAGTTGACCTGACCACATCCTGTTTAATAATATCTTATCCACTTAGTTATAGACTCCACTGGGCTTGTGGATGAGCGCATGTACGAACAAGCACTCCTGGGCCACAGAGGAAAACTCTGGAACGCCCTGCCCAAATGTACTGGCGAGGGGAGCGTCTGAAGTCTCTTTGCAAAAGGTACGGCGCATAAGGGGGACCAGCGGCGGCGCTTCCTGTTGGGACGAGTGGCCGAGGTGACCAGTCTCAAACACCCCTGTCTAACTTGTGATTATTGTCCAAGATAAAAATTAATGATAGTTGTAGAATCATTACAGGGAATTTCTATTATATCCATAATATATGTAGCAGATTTACTTGTGATGCTGATCGCTATAACAAACAGGTAATAGGAGCTTACTTCTCTGTACTCTGTACCCTCGGGGGCTCGGCACGTTGTATACGGAGTAGTGTATACAATTCAAGCTAAACAATCACAAGTGCTCTGCCGAGTTTGTCCCGTCCTCGAATCTTAGGTTGGTCCTCGGGAGTTATAGGCCGCAGCTATGACCATCTTTAACGAACAGGAAGAAAATTACCGGAGTGCGCCCGGAGAAAAGAGGAGCCAGTATGACGAACAGCGTTGATCCATCACTTTCTCTGGACGAGTTAGCCAAGTCGCTAGCGAGCTAGTGCGCTTAAACATGAAAACTTATTCTTGCTGGGCAGGGAATATGACTACAGTTAAATGATGGTAGGGCAGGACAGAACCAGGCAAGCTCCGTCAGAGAGTGTCTCGAACCCAAATAGATTCTCTCTTGCCCTCAGCCCTCACTAGTGGTTATCCTACTAGTCCCAAATATTCTCAACTGTGAGTGGCTCCTGAATAATTCCGGTCTCAGCTGCCCAATGGCAAGCCGCAGATCTACCGTGATGGCTGCCAAGTCCTCACGCAGTCTTTGCGGGAGATCATTATGTAACACAGGGGAAGGAGCCGACTGACTGGCGACCCTGGCGGGTTTCCCTGGTCGAAGCTGCTGGAAACTGTGGGTTTCAATGGGTTTCCAACAAAAATAGTATGGGTCGTTCCAATTTCCCATGCTCCTGAAGAAAAAAAAAGGAGCTTTCTTGCTCAGGGGTAAAAGATCTTCAAGATGAGGTAGGGCTAGCAATACTCTGGGGATCAGCTAACAAATATTTACACTTCAACGCACAGCCATCTCATCTCTAGGTGATAGCCTATATACATTTGAGTATAAGTACTTGATGGGGAGGCCACACACCTAGGTACAAGGGACGTCAGTACAACCTTGTACGGCCATACAATCTCGACCCTACCCCTGGTATTCAATACCTAATCCTCCCTACAGCAAAGTCCTCCATGCTCTTTGCTTTTCCAAGAATAAAATTACTGCTATGTCCTCCATACAGTAACTGCAAAGAGCGACCGTTGACATTGATTGTTTTCCATCTCCACGCTTCAACCTCTTTAGGATTGGCACCAGTAAACTACTGTGGTCAGGGCCACAGCTCCAGCCAAAGAAATCAAGCGACCACCCACACACATATCCATTGAAATCGCCGAATAGACAATCGAGTTTAGAAATCTCCACGAAGCTAGGCGAAGCTAGGGAATCGGTTCACTCCAATTGCACCAGGTGGCTGTCCCTTCTAGTACATCACCGTCACCCTAGCTCCAATAAGGCAATTTCTGACTACAATTACGGATCCATTCTTGAGGTGTGGATGGACAAGAACTTGCTTGTATGGAGAGGACTGTCTCCGAGCGGACTCAGCGGAGTATGTACAGTAGTCCAACAGACTCCGCTAAACAGAGATGCGGCAGGAAAAAGTCTGTTTACAATTTGTGTTTTTTACTTTCCACATGTGGTACTATAGTCCTTAATCAGCTCTCCAGGTCAAATGACCTTCTTTGAACAGCAAATCCTTTGGTCGACGAACAAGTCTGGAGCCAGACCCCAGGGCTTAGTTCGTGTTAAGAGGTAGTCAAAAAAACTTTTCTTCTAAAACCAAAGACAGTTGGACAGAAATCGAGCCAAAGTGGAGACGATGGGAAATAGGCCATACACAGGGCCACAGGCAGACTCGCAGAGACTCAAAAGATGGTACTAGGGGGCCGCGCTAAGGGCCGACGGTCTCACAAGAACAAAAGCTGATGGACGAATGACCGCAGCGCAAAAGATGCGGGCGTTTGAAAATTTGCGACTCTTATCCATGATAGGATTAAGTGTTTATTGTTCTCTGTCGGGCGACTGTAAGATGGGAAGGTCAAGGAGAGGTGCTTAAGCCACACAGGAAAAGATTCTTACTGCCCCCCCTCCCTTTAAAAAAAAAATTATTACATGATCCATCGACTCTGCACGCATGGAGTATAGACAGCCCCGCCCCTTCCAAACCCACCAAAGACTCCAAATCACCGCCCCCCTGCCAGGATCTTTTGGCCTCGTAATTCACAAACATCATCATTGGAAAAATAGACCCACTTTGGAAACGCAACTGGTGTGTACAACAATGATTTGCCCGTCGCCCGCGCCGCTGCAGGGAAGCCTGCACTACTGCTTCGTTCTGTCACCAGCGGCTTGAATCCAGATTGGCCCGGGGATCATGGTTGAATGTGGATGCGCTCGTGTCGCATCCCTGTTGAATGATAGCAAGGACGTTGTTGCTGCACAGTCCCTTGTCAACGAGCTTTTGCGTTTTACTTTCTCTCTTGTTCTAATGTTTTTGGAAATTCTTACGGGCGTAGAAGCTCGTTGGTCAACGCAATGACATTATTATTCGATGTGGGATGATAACCAACTAGACTTCGAGAGATAGTGTCATCGCTACGGATTCCCACACTACATACCCCCCAAAAACAAGGTAAATGGTCCAAGTGCACCGACTAAATGAGCACCGGCCTCTCCAGCGTCTTGTTTTTTGTTGCCCCATCGCCCAGGAACTCGAGACCGAGAATAACTCCGACAGCAAGAAAATTAAACAGTACATACTAATTACAACAGTCATGGAGTCTGTACTAATAATAAACAATAAACAACCTTCCTGTCGCTTGGCATTGATTGGAAATCTCGCCTGGTCGCAGCCGCTCTCATGCAAGGAATTGAGACTATAGAGGCGATTGGTCCATCTGGGACTAGCTCGACTTCTGCAGCTTGGCCATGAGCAGACACAACCTTGTTCCAGGCCTGCTTCTCTCGAATAGATTGGCTGGTGGGATTATTGAAAGGTCTCGACTCAGACTGTGGTACGGAATTCACGGAGTACATACCAAGCGCTCATACTTTGGAACACGTTTCGAGCTAAGCACCCGACACAAAGAATTTTTGAAGCTTTCTCACGCGCAGCCCCGTTTGTGGCGTGTTTTTGACCTATCTTGTCTCAGCGGGAACTCTATTGCCTCGTCGATATTGAATGACTAGCTTTTCGGACTCAAGAGAAGACTACAGTACGTCCAGATCGGGACAGATTATTGTATGCAATGTACTTTGGTCTTGAGCTGCTCTAACACGAGCTGCCGTTGCCCGTACTGTACATACTTTCTTGACTATATTGAATTGATTATTGTTTGGGCAGAGGAAAGAATGGGCTTGCAGGGTGCATTCGGGTCAGAGGAGCACCCAGCCGCGCTACAGTATGATTCGTCGACCATCGGGATATTGGATGGGCGCAGCATCATCGTGGCCACTCTCAGGGCCACACACAGGAAGACACTCGAAGATGTAGTGTAAAATGTTAAGTAAGTGGTAAGATTCCAATTGCCCCGTGGCTCCAGAGCTGCAGATAGGTTGCCCAAACAACGGTCTTGCAGTTGAGATGGGAAAGTCAAAAAGTAAAAAAGCGAGAGGAGAATGTCTGATTTCTATTGTCACATGCACCTAAAAAGCCAAAGCCCGCATCCTTTTTTGGTGGCCCCCTTGCCGTCAATGTCATTAGATACAATTGTAGACAATCCCGGTATACTCTCTGGGCAGACCTTGGCGGCCAAATCCCAGATGGTACATGGGCAACAGAAGAAGGAAAAAAAGGGAAAAAGGAGAAATAGATCATACAAGTTGGTAGTCAAACACCGATACACCAGAACAAGAAGGGGGATAAAAAGAGCCTTTGAGATATGTGTACAAATGATGCGAAAAAGGGAGATGCGAGGACAGAATCAGGGTGTCCTTTTAACACCAAAAAAAGGAAATGGAGAAAAAGGAAATAGGAAAAATACACTAGCCACACGTGGCTGAAGATGGTAACAGTGGGGTTGACATGAGAGAAGCAAGCATCTTACTGCTTGTTCTCACCCTGCTGCTCACCGCCCTGCTGCTGCTGCTGCTGCTCGTTCTGAGCCTTGTGCATCTTGTCGAACAGGGTCAGGGAAGCAGTCTGGAGCTCGTCGACCTTGGCCTTGAGCTCCTCGGCGGTAGCGGTGCCCTCACCAGACTGGTTCTTGGCAACGTACTCGCGGAGGGTGGCAATCTTCTCACGGATGGTCTCGGCCTCAGCTTTGTCGAGACGGTCCTCGAAGTCCTTGAGGGCCTTCTCGGTATCGTTCAAGACGCTGTCGGCGCGGTTGGCAGCCTCAATGGCGGCCTTGCGCTCCTTGTCAGCCTCACCGTACTTCTCAGCCTCGTCAACCATGTTCTGGATCTCGGCATCGGAGAGACCAGAGCCGGAAGCAATGGTGATGGACTGGTCCTTGTTGGTGGACTTGTCCTTGGCGTGGACGTGGACAATAGAGTCAGCGTCAATGTCGAAGGTGACCTCGATCTGAGGAACACCACGGTGGGCAGGAGGAATGCCAACCAGCTGGAAGTTACCCAGCATCTTGTTGTCCTTGACGAGCTCACGCTCACCCTGGTAGACCTTGATCTCGACAGCGGTCTGCATGTCGGCAGCGGTAGAGAAGGTCTGGGACTTCTTGGTGGGGATGGTGGTGTTGCGGTTGATCAGACGGGTGAAGACACCGCCCAGAGTCTCGATACCGAGGGACAGAGGAGTGACATCGAGCAGGAGAACGTCGGTAACCTCACCAGCCAGGACGGCACCCTGAACAGCGGCACCAATGGCAACAGCCTCATCGGGGTTAACCGACTTGGAGGGCTCACGGCCGAACATGCTCTTGACAGACTCAGTGACCTTGGGCATGCGGGTCATACCACCAACCAGGATGATATCCTGGATGTCGCTGGACTTGAGGTTGGCATCCTTGAGGGCCTTGCGCACGGGCTCCTGAGTACGGGCGATCAGGGGATCCACGAGGGCCTCAAGCTGAGCACGGGTCATCTTCTGGTTGATGTGCAGAGCACCTCCAGCACCGGCGGAGATGAAGCTTTTTGAAGAGGTTAGTTAATGTGTATGAGAGAGATATCTGGGGGGTTTGTCTTACGGAAGGGAGATCTCAGTCTGGAGAGACGAAGACAACTCAATCTTGGCCTTCTCGGCGGCCTCACGGATACGCTGGATGGCCATGCGGTCACCGGACAAATCGACACCAGACTCCTTCTTGAACTGCTCAACAATGTTGCGGACCAGGGTAATATCGAAATCCTCACCACCCAGGTGGGTATCACCGTTAGTGGATTTGACCTCGAAGACACCCTTCTGGATCTCCAGAACGGAGATATCGAAGGTACCACCACCGAGATCGTAGACAGCGACAACGCGGTCAGCCTCCTTCTCGAGACCGTAGGCAAGAGCGGCAGCAGTGGGCTCGTTAACAACACGGAGGACGTTCAGACCGGCAATCTGACCAGCGTCCTTGGTGGCCTGACGCTGCGAGTCGTTGAAGTAAGCGGGAACGGTAACGACGGCATTCTTAACGGGTTTGCCGAGGTAGGCCTCAGCTGTCTCCTTCATCTTGTTGAGGACGAAACCACCAATCTGGGAAGGAGAGTACTTCTGGCCGCGGGCCTCAACCCAGGCGTCACCGTTGGTGTGCTGGACGATCTTGTAGGGGACCTCCTTGATGTCACGCTGGACCTCAGCATCGGTGAACTTGCGACCAATGAGACGCTTGGTAGCGAAAAGAGTGTTCTCAGGGTTGACAACGGCCTGACGCTTAGCGGCAATACCGACGAGACGCTCGCCATCCTGGGCGAAACCGACGACGGAAGGAGTTGTGCGGGCACCTGTTGAGAAGTGAGTTAGCCATCGCAGTGCTTCTAGAAAGGTCGCAATCGGCGAGCTTGGTGGATCGGTAGAAGTCCCAAAAATTTTTGGTAGGGACTTTCGCGCCACATCGCCGGCGAGGAAAAAAATTTTCACCTACCCTCAACGTTCTCAATGATCTTGGGGGCCTTGCCCTCCATAATAGCAACGGCGGAGTTGGTGGTACCTGGATGGATTCGCGTTAGAAAAATGTCCAAATGATGCAATGCGCGATCTGAAGCGGCTTACCCAGATCGATACCGATGACCTGGCCCTTCACCTTCTCACCCTCACCAGCTTCCGTGGAGTTCCATCGCCGGACGGCAGGGAGTCTGGAGGCAGGGGTGCGAGCGAAAGCAGCGCGAGGAAGCTGAAGCGAGTCTCGTTAGTTGATGCTGTTGCGACGCGCGTGACTAGGTGTGGGTGGTTTTCCGTCGGGGAAAAAGGGAGACTTACCGCGCGAGAAATGCGGGAAGACAGCATTGTGATAAATTAAATAATACAGAAACAGAGAAAAGGGTGAAGACACTCCCACGAATCAATCGTTGAGTGGGTGGAGGGATTAAAGAAGGATGGGAGGGAGGATGGGAGATGGGAGATGGGAGAGAAGGAGAGAGGAAAGGGAAGGACGGGAAGGGTAGAAATTGCACGGAGAGCTTCGGCCCGTCGTCGAAGTTGCTCGAATCACGGGGACACGGCCAATCAGCGAGCATGGATGGTCCAAAGGCTCACCGCCCGGGTGGCCGTGGTTTGCCTGGGGAATGACGACGAAGTCGAACCACACGCGGATGATGCGGAGATAAACGATAGATATCCTAGTATTACTTGCCTGTAGTGTGAAAGCCTCGAGCTAGTGAATTGTAGCACAGGAAAAGATTTTGAGCTGGTCTATTATCTACCAGGAATCCTCCAATGTCCTAATTCCAACACACCATCACCTCGACGGAACCATCTGCCGTAGCTCTCCCATTCCGTTTCGGTTTGCCTCGGCCAACCGGCAAATCTCCCCGAACGCTCCAGACGGCCCTAGTATCCTCGTCCGGCTGGTTTACGATCTTCCTTTCCAGTGCAATGGCACTGATAATCGTAGTTCTCCATCTGGGAGGGGGGGGGGCCAATCTGGGGTCTATAGTCCCCAGGGCTGGGTGTCGTGTGACCTTAATTTTGTTCGGTCTTGAATAGTCATTGCCAAAGGGACGGAAGGTCGGTCGGGCTATTCATGGCTGCGCCATAAGAGGCTCTTGGGTTGGGCTATTCTAATGGCCTCGCAGGCCTGCTCTGTAAGGGTTCTGGGAGGGAGAAGAGGGGGGTCTCCATTGCAAATTGCGGATTGCCGATTTATCGGGCATTAATGGTGTGGAATACGGGAGGCCCCTGATATATCATAGATGATCGGTGTTTCAGAGCTGGTAGCTACTTCAGTCCTCCGAAACCTTGAGTCGGCATTTCTCTTTTATATAGTTTCCAAATTGCACAAGCTCCATTCTGATCCATGTCTGATTGGCAAAAGTACTATTATTCTGGCTGGTCTGTGTTCGTTTTCGAACCCTGAAACCCGCCGCACCGCATTCGTTGGAAGCGCTGGTCCCCCGGCTTTTACCTCCAAAAGTCTTACGTCATCCGTTTGCAAGCACATACATACACTGATCTACCTTACTCTTCGTTGGGCTCTCTTCATCTCATCTCTCTCTGACCTGCTCAATCCGCTCTGGGGTCCTTCGCTTGTTCGAACAATGTCACCGCGGGCCTAGCTTGTCACCATGACCTCGGACTCGACCGTGTAAGTCCTTATCTCTGCTCTCCCCCGACTCCGCCACGACTTCCCCCCGTATGTCTCATAAGTGGGCGCTCGCCCATTTGACTCTCATGACTGACTAGGATTTCTGGCTAGACATCGCCCGACCGAGTCTCTCATTCTCCCCAATAAACGACGATTCATCCCATTCCGCATTCCTAACTTGTTCGTATTCCCCCCCCCCCCGCGGCTTTTCCATGTGCTTGCCACTTCTGACACGATCGATCGATCGATAGCCACACCCAACTACGCCACTATATCAGCACCGCCGATCCGGATCGCATCTATGTCGTGGTCGAACGAGTCGTCTATGCGATTCATATCGCTGCGCAAAAGAGGGAGAGCATAGCGGTCATTCCGTTCGAGCCGCGATGCTTGGCGGCTGGATATGGGTGGATCGCTGTGGGGGGCCCCGAGAATGGTGAATGCGCCTTTATCAGAACCGATGAGAGAGGTCTACAATTGCATGGAGAACCATCTACCCACCAGCCCTCCGATGTGGACAGTCCGCTTCCACTCGATCTCGACCCACCGTCTGGGCTGCCATCCCCAGACACCACGAGTGGTGGGACGACATCCTCACGTCGGGCGCCTCGGAGGATGATGCCGGAGTTTGAGCTGCACAAATTCGGAGGCAGTATTGTTAACTCGGTGACGATCCACCACTTCCCTGGAGATCGCGAGGGAATCTCGGCCGAGGTTGTGGTGGTCCTCAGGTACGTATACTCGGTCTGGTACCTAGTTTGCACCTGAAAACTAATGACATCGATAGCAACAACGACCGAACCGTTACCGTCTACTCGTTGACACGTGCGAAGGTGTTGAAGGTCCTTCACCATCCGACTTGCATGAATTATGCAATCATCTCTCCGGACCATAAAATCCTCGCAGCAGTAGGTGACGAGAACCGCGCTTACTTCTACGACGTGACTCGTGACTGGGAATCGCTGGTGACCGTCGAATCGGGTGGAAAGGTTGGGGGCTGGGAGTGGGAGCTGTTGCGCTGCATTGAAATGGATATCGGTCCGCGGTCGGACGATGCCTGCTGCTTCACCATTGCATTCTCTCCATCCAGTCACCTATGCGCGATCGGCTCCCAGTCCGGAATCATCACTGTGCTAGACATGGATCGCATTCGTGCGATGGACAACGAGGAGCCTGTGATCTGCCAATTTACAGCCTCCAGATCCTGTACCGAGGGCGGTGCGGTGCGATGCATGACCTTCTCTCCCGAGCCCTGGGATCTTTTGGTCTGGCTGGAAGGCCATGGCCGAGCCGGGGTCGCCGATGTTCGCCAATCATACTTGCGGAGGCAGATATTGAACCTGAACGCCGATGACCCCCAGATGCAAGAGGTTCGCACTGTACCTCTGGCCACAAGCTTTGATGATGGCCTTTCAGATGACGACTTGGAAATCACAACGCGACTTGGATTTGATGTTGAGGATCTCGCGCACGGTCGAGAAGGAGAAGGCACAGGACGCCTTCCATCGCGCGAGAGCCTGCTCCATGACCTGACAGCACGCGAGAGATTGATCATGCAGTTTCTCAACACTGCGCGCTGGAATGCACGAGAGGAAATGGGTCTGACTGAACGACCGGAACCGCCCTCGAGAGCAAGTCTCCATCCACACCATGCAGCTCATAGCCGCCATCACAGTACCGCGGAGGATCTCGGAAATGGATACCGATATATGTCTCCGGCACCCTTATCCGAGTCCCCAGATAACACTCAAGACAGCCATCCAAGCCGACCCAGTGCTACTCACCTTTCGCCCCGGAGTGAGCGCCGGAGTTCGCTGGTGCTGTCACAAAGCAGTCGGCCAACTGAAGCGGATGCGTCAACTCATGAACACCAGCCCAGCGTCACTCTCAACTGGACCTCCAGCTCGCGTTCGGATCTTTCCGCGGATATTCTAAATCGGTTCAGCGCTGATACCGATTTTGTCTTACAAGAAATGGAAGCCCGCGGTATGGCTCCTCCGCAACCACCAGAGCCGATCGCTCCATCTAGCCTTGATCTCCGTCGTTCACGACCGCCACGATCCAGCTCTATTCCCCGTCGTGTGGACAGGCCGCAATCCGGACAACCTGGCCCCGAGAGAAGATATGATTCTTCACGACTCTCCAATTATGAGATCAGAGCCAATGTTGCCGCGGAGCGTCTCCGACGTCAACGTCAGATTGCAAACGAGGTGCACAATCGGTCTATTGCGGAACGGGGGCACAGAGAACAGCGAGCTCGCCATCAAATGGTTGGATTTGAACAGACCCATTCCCCTCGATGGATTCGCAATATCATCAATGATCTCCCTGACCGAAGTTTCATTCATGGCCCTGGAGCCGAAGAACCAGACGCTACAGCCGGAGTTGGCTGGGGCGCTGATGGAAGGACCTTGTAGGTGATAAGCTCGCTCACACTCTTTCAAGGTTAAACTAATTCTAAGTTAGGTACATTGCAACCCTGGAGGGAATCTTCGAGTTCCAACTAAATGTTCACGACCGCAAAACCTTCCCCATCTTTTCATACCGCTAAGATCAGCCTGCTATCCAATTCAACAAACACGTTGAAAACACCTGGAACAAATCATCAAAGCTGCTTCCAAAGCCTTTTCCCGTATGGCCACTGTTCAGCTTCACATAATGTCTCTCTTCGACCTTTTCTCTTTTGTTTTTCAACCACCCTGTTTCTATCTCGGCGTTCTCTTCTTGTTGCATATCCCTCTGGCGCTGGGGGCGTACATTGGTACATCGATCGGCCGATATGTTTCATACTTCCTGCACAGATTCTTCTTCACAGGCTGATTCCGGTACAAAAGTTCGGCTTAGTATGATACTTTTAATGGAATACTTTTTGTAATGGAACCTTTTGATTATGTAGAGTCTTGGATTCTATTATTGTAGTAATTTGACTTCAATTTGGTATGGATAAATTGGAAGACAGTCCAGCCATAGTACGAACGATTTATTGGCAGGGAACACAAAACCCGGAAGAAGCCATCCAAGAGCGACGTGGGAGAGGGCATGAAAGCGAGAGGAAGGATAACCAGGTAGGTATAGGCCTAGATGAACTGGAAAGAACGGAGAAAGGGCTACGAGCCCAAAGGTCCAATACCTCAACTCCCGCAAATATAGTCGTAGGGTGCGACTTATTGGGGAAGATGTAAAGATGATCCATTGAGCTATCTGATCTTCTCCTCAAGACCACGGCTGGTAGGAGCTATGATTAAGCTTGTTGGGACACCTGCCCACCTTGGTGGGTGACACAGGGAATCAATGTCATCAGGATAGAATGTAATCAATGGAATGGGGAAAAACGTGGACAGCGATAAGGTCCCAATGAACAGCGGTATATTCATGAGAAGAACCGGCAGGTATGGAATTATCAAACGTGCCCACTGGCGCGCCTCGAACATATTAGACTCTCCTTGTTTTATCATGTAGGATTTTCGCCTTTGCTAGAATAAATACCGTCTGGTTGCCGGAGATAGTACTAACCAAGGGAACCACTCAAATGGGCCAGCTTGGCAAAGTGCCGAACGTGTCCCTCGCTAGAAATGAGATAGGGTCCATATCGTCGAATTTCGACAAAATTCGGTTTGCCTCGCGAATCTCACCGTGGAGCTGCGAGGTTATTCTTGCCCTTGATCCTTTTACAGTTCGATTCTGTCAAGAGCACCGTCGACCAACTCTGGACATCGCTCCCCTTGCAAGTGAAGAGGAGGTTAGGGGATCTAAGTCTCACAGGGCATCGATTAGGGCATCAATTGCCGATACCGTTGTAAAAATAGCCGATCCAAACTCGCAGGTTGTCGGGCTCAGCCCGTATGTCACAGCATGAGAATGGCCAATTACCAAGGATCGGCGCACAGAAGAAGTGAACAATTAGGTGCGAGAGAAACCCCATGCCAGACTGTCCATCACACTGGAAGGCCATCTTGCCAAGATACACCACGAGAAGATATAAAGAGACCGTCCGCACATTTTGCCACGCTTGTTGCATGTGCATCTGCGAGTGTCGCTACACATCGAGCGGCAGAGCAATCAGGAGAAGGGCAGAGGTTGAGCACCCACCGCTGCTTTGGCCAGCATGGACCACCAACATTTGGATCTGCATTTGATGGTTTGTGACCAGAGGCGTAAATATATATAGAGATTGTGTACACTTGTAGCTGCGAGCGCCAGCCGCAAACTGTGCGGTAGAGGAACCAGGAGAAGAGTGAAAGATTGAACACCCACCATGGCCTCGGCCAGCATGGACCACCAGCATTGGGATCTGCAGTTGGTGGAAGGAGTCTTTGGACACCAAGCGAAGCTTCGATTGGCTCTTGTGCAGAGCCATGCATAATAATGCTCATGTGAGTCTGAAATTGATCTTCAAGTGATCATGATGATCCAGCCAGATATTGCGCGGCTTCAGGCCTCGATGGATGATCTCGCGGGGATGTGGAAGTTGATATTGGCTGAGTATTGCCTCTTCTGGTTCATTCGGTGGAGGGTGTGATGGATAGGAGTGCAGGTGTCGATGCTGAAGTCGAAGCAATCCCTCAAAGTAAATATTTCATTTATGTTTCCGTATGTTTTTTGTTCATGATTGAGTGACCAGGTTTCAGGAATCTTCCTGGCTGTTTAAGCAAGGTGTTGGAGGCCTTCCTCTCAGGCCAGGTAGGGAATAGGCTCGGCTCGTTGGTGTTGGAGCAGGGAGTTTGAGTAATCTGGATGACGGATGGCCGATATAAAAGGCGAGAGATGACGTAACTATATAAGCATAGGCTTGTATGTCAAGGTGTAAGTGAGATGTGAGAAGTGGAGGAGGGAGAAGGATAGAAGGTGGAGCCATCAGTAATGTATCAAAATCCGACTACCAATCGAGATTGTCGGCTTGTTTGGAAAACTGACTATATCCTTTGGTACTCGCATAGCCGTATGGCTACTGTGTATGATATAGAAGGAGAGAATGATGGAAGAAGGTTGACAGGAGAGAGTACAAAGCTTTTATAAGGAATGGATCAAGCTAGGCCAGAATTTCGTGCCTGAGGCTGTTATCTAGAGGGAACTGACAAGACTATGAGTGAGAGGATCGGGATGTTCCATGATGTACAACTCTATGTCTATGAAGTGTCTATTTGGATATTCTATTGAGGCAGCTGCATCACACAACTCAACTCTTCCCCCTCGCTAACAAGAGATGCACCAGGTATCCGGTACCTCCCTTCAGTCCGTCCCCTAGCACCTTATCACTAAGTCGCCAAATACGAAATTCACGCAGTGTCTCCCGTAGCCACGTTTCGAACACCTCCGGCGATCGCTGCTGCTGCGCAACTATACACACCGTGGGCTGACGACGGGCCTGTGATGTCTTTTCACTGGAGGGCTCATACGCAGGCCGGAGACGGCATATCTCGGCGCAGGTGCGAACAAACGGCGCGACTAGGGCTTCGTTGTAGATGCAGTCGCAGGAAAGAAGGAGGTCGAAGCCTCGGTCTTCTTCTTCGCCTTGTTCATGTCCATGTCCAAGATGGCTGCCAGACTCGGACTCGATACACCCTTTCAACAGCTCAGGCTGGTCGAGCTCCCAGTCCAGCGTGGTGAATGTGATATTGCTTGTGGTGGCTTTGAAGGGCTGCTTACCCTTGGACGTCGATCTACTGCTGCCTCTGGTCTTACTACCCTTCAGTTTACCAGATGCAGACGCGGCTGATGAGACAGAGACATTGGCGTCGAGATTAGTCCGGAATACGCGCCGCACGTATTCTTGGTCTGTGGCGATGTAATGCTGTACAGAAGGGGCCAAGGCCAAGGCGACCAGCGCCGAGATGCCACAGCCCAGCTCAGTCACCACCGAGGCAGATGATAGAAGGGAATGTGTCCAGAGGGGGTTTGTTGGGGAGGAGATCCATTCTGCAAAGCGAGGAGTGATTTTCCAGAGGACTAGGGAAGGTCAGATGGTTAGTTGTTGGGACTTGGAAGCTTCGTAAAGGATGGTCAGGTGGCGACAGTCCATGAGGAGAATAGCAAGATGACAGTGGTGATGTCAAAAGAAGAGGACAGAACACCAGGACAAAGGCAAAGACACGTTCGGCTGGGTTCACAGGCATGGCCGAGAAGTCCAGAAGTACGGGTTCAAATGACAAAAAGGGTCCAGAAGCTCCGGAGCCTCGGCCCAGCCGCGGTGTCCGTGTCCCTGGGAACGGAAAAGATAAGACCACAAACTGCGGGGATGACGAGTCCGTGCATGGGAAAATTGGGGGAAGCACAAGCACAAAGCACGCGTTTGTGCCTTTTGAGGCAGCGCCGATCCCGAGTGCAGGAGAATGCTCCGAAGCGCAGATGATCGAGGAATGGAATAATCATGGAATGCCCGTGACATGAGGGATAGCTGTGAAGTAGAGAGGCCAAAGCAAGAGGCAAAAAAGTACATACCGGCGCCAGTGGTACCTCCCGCTCGAGCAGAAGAAAGCAATGTGGGGGATTGATGAATGGTATACTCGTTGCCACGGATCGTCACGTCAAGGGACGAAGCGCGAGAATCGACGAACCCCAGGTTGGTGGTGGGGATCTCCTGGCTGAACAGCAGGAAGGCCTCTGCAGGGCTAAGGTTTGAGTCGAGATGATTGGATGTAGCGGGAAGAGAGGGAGAGAGAGGGGTGGGCTACATACCCTCTTCAGTATCGGTGACCTCTTCGCTGGCAGTGCTGGCGAGAAAGTCTGCTATTGGAGCGTGCATATTGACCAGTCAGTTCTTGAAGGTTTGGGATTTGGGAGTTGCTGGTGGCGCTTGGAATAATTTTTTTTTCTCGCTGGGCTTCAACTGGAGGCGATCACGGGACCGAGGGAGAAACTAAGAGGGTTGCTTTTGCAGTGGATTTGAGCACGAGAGAGAAAGAGTATTTCCTTGTGAATGGAAAAGGTTATAGAGTATCTATCTATAGAGTAGAGAGGATGCCAATAATGTGCATAACTAGTACTCCGTACCGGTAGTGCCTACAGTATTATACGGATTCAATCTAGATTATGGACTACCATAGTACTTCTTGTACGACTACCTCCTGTATGGACTCGTAGCTCCAGCACTGGGCCGTAGCTCCAAACTCCACCGAGTCCACACTCTGTTGGGCCAGAGCCCCAACAGAACAGAAAAGAGGAAACTGATCTACCCGCGGGTAAACGCTAAGTCCCCCGGAGAACCTCAGCGAGGGTCTCCATAGGCTCGCCAGGGTCCCTCCGCTAAGGTACGGAACTGCAATGGCGCTAACTGCTTGGGCTAATAATTAGTGACCGTCGCTTGCGCACTGAACCCCCCGGGCAACATGGGAAAAACTGGAAACATGGGTACGGACGACGGATGTACATGGGTGACTGGGTAACTAGGACTGGGTTACTGGGTTACTAGGTTACTAGGTTACTGCACTGCGGAAGTACTACTTGGGACATGGGTACTGAACCGCGGCATCACTAGAACAGAGTCTGTTCCCTCGTTGGATTTAATTAAACAGATAGAAAAACCGCCCTCTCTGGAGACGAAACATCCATCTTTTTACTTTTGCTGCGCAGTTTGTGCATTCGAACCAGACCACCATATCCGTGGTTGCCAACGCCAGTACGAGGTGCGTCATCTGGCCGCAAAGCCCAGCCACATCGTCAAAGCTGCTGCCCCCATACAATCCTTTCTTCTCCCCCCCCTTCAAAAGCTCCAGAGTCCTAAGCTTCTTTCTGAGCCTTTGCACTCACTCCCTCCAACCTCCCAATCTCCATCTTTCTGCTTGACTTGCAGCTCGCAATTTCCTAACACTCGGCAGTCGGGTAAGCTTGTCAGACCCGTTTCGCTCCTAGCTTCCGTTCACCTTTCTGGTTTGGTTCCTGGAGGCCCAGGCGTTCCCCCCCCCAAACAGCCAGCTAACGTCACTCCCTCTCGAACCTAGTGGAATTTCCCCCTCGACAGCTCGAATCAGTCCTCTCTCTGATCCTCCCTTCCCCCTTGATTCTCCTTGTCTATCTCTTTTCTGCGATAGCATCCCGTCGCCATGTCGAAGCGCGACCTCCACCTCCAGCCGCGCATGGTCAAGAAGGGCCCCTTCTCGGTCGAGGCTGCTGGTTATGAAAAGAAGGAGGGCGAGACGATTCCTCGTCGCCACCCTGCTGCGAAGAATGGCCTCATCCTGCGCCCTTCCGAGGACGTTGCGACCACCTATGACAATTTCCGCCGCTCCGCCCGGTTGTACGGCAACAACAAGGCCGTCGCCAGCCGCAAGCTGATCAAGACGCACGTGGAGAACAAGAAGATCAAGAAGATGGTAGATGGCGTGGAGCAGGAGGTCGAAAAGCAATGGACCTACTTCGAGATGAGCGGGTACACCTACATGACCTTCCTTGAGTACGAGCAGCTCTGCCTTCAGCTCGGTGCGGGTCTGCGCAGTCTGGGTATGGAGAAGGATGCTCGTCTTCACCTGTATGGTGCGACCAGCGCACACTGGCTGGCCATGTCGCACGGTGCCGCATCGCAATCCATCACTATTGTCACCGCTTATGATACCCTGGGCGAGGAGGGCCTCAAGCACTCCCTGGTCCAAACCGCCTCCACAGCCATCTTCCTCGACCCCGGTCTGATCAAGTCTCTGACCCACGTCCTGAAGGATATTCCCTCAATCAAGCACATCATCTACAACACCGACGGCGAGGTCAAGCAGGATGACCTGGACAAGCTGAAGACCGACTTCGCACACATCAACGTGGTCAGCTTCGAGGAATTGCGCAAGTCTGGCGAGGAGAACCCCGTGGACCCCGTGCCGCCCAAGCCCGAGGATCTGTGCTGCATCATGTACACCTCTGGCTCGACCGGCCCGCCCCAAGGGTGTCCCTCTGACCCAGGCAAACGTGATTGCTGCCACCGCAGGTGTCAACGAGATCGTCGGCCCTTACATTGGTCCCAAGGATTCGCTGCTCACTTACCTGCCGCAAGCGCACATTCTGGAATTCATGTTTGAGAACCTGTGCTTGTTCTGGGGTGGCTGCATGGGATACGGCAACCCCCGCACATTGTCCGATACTTCCATGCGCAACTGCAAGGGTGATATCCGCGAGTTCCAGCCTACCATTTTGGTCGGCGTTCCGGCTGTGTGGGAGTCCGTCAAGAAGGGTGTGTTGAACAACCTGAACAAGAACAGCTTCATCATCAAGGGCATGTTCTGGGGTGCTATGGCCGCCAAAAACTTCCTGTTGACCAATGGCTTCCCTGGAGCTGGCTTCGGTGCCTCAGTCCTGGATGCCGTGGTTTTCAAGAAGCTCAAGGAGGCTACCGGTGGTCATCTCCGTATCATGATGAACGGCGGTGGTCCCATCTCCAAGGACACCCAGCGATTCCTCTCGATGGCCATTGCTCCCATGATCGGCGGTTACGGCCTGACCGAGACCTCGGCCATGGGTGCTCTGAACGACCCCTTGGCATGGAACCCCAACGTGCTCGGTGAGGTTCCTGCCTCGGTTGAGATTAAGCTGGTCGACTTCCCCGATGCCGGCTACCTGACCAAAAGCCACCCCCCTCAGGGTGAGATTTTCATCCGTGGCGGCAGTGTGACATCGGGCTACTTCGACAACGAGGAGGAGACCAAGGCCTCCCTGACCGAGGACGGGTGGTTCATGACCGGCGACATTGGCGAGTTCGACGTCAATGGTCACCTGCGCATCATTGACCGTAAGAAGAACCTGGTTAAGACCTTGAACGGCGAGTATATCGCTCTTGAGAAGCTCGAGTCCGTGTATCGCTCCACGCCCGTTGTTGGCAACATCTGCGTTTACGCTGCAGAGGACCAGGACAAGCCTGTTGCTATCATTGTCCCAATCGAGATTGCGCTCAAGAAGATCGCCAGCGACAACGGTATTGAGGGTGACAGCATTGAATCTCTCGTGCACAACGAGAAGATCAAGAACCTGGTTCTGCAGCAATTGAAGAGCTCTGGGCGTGCTGGTGGCCTGAGGGGTATCGAGATTATCAACGGCGTTGTGCTCTCCGACGAGGAGTGGACTCCTCATAACGTAAGTTCCAAAATTATTCTTACAAAGAATATTGACCCGATACTAACAAGCTATTATAGGGCTACATGACTGCTGCCCAGAAGTTGCAGCGCAAGAAGATCGTGAACAAGTACAAGGCCGACATTGACAAGGCCTACGGCAAGAAATAAAAAAAATAGTGGGATTGATCTGACGTGAAGTCCCCGATGTGATTCTATTTTCTTTGTTCGTTTAATCACACCTTGTTTCTTTCTGCCTGTTACCCTCTACCGCGATTGTTTTTGTGTCCTGTGATCTCCCGGAGCCTTGCCTTGTTGATATATGACTTTCTTGTTACCTTCTCCCCTCGCCCATGATTAGACGAGATAGTAATGAATGCGGAAATGACATTGCAACGGGCCTGCTACTCTCTTCTGGTCCAATTGAACTATGATATAGTCTATTCACTTCTTCATTCTATACTTTGATGCTCGTACCAACCACTCCATCACTTAGTCCATAGAATCAAAAGTACCTCTCCACCCCGAGTACTCAGCCACCGTTACACCAGCAGCTACCATATGCACATGATCAGTCTATGCTCGTAGTACAAGTACCTGACAGAGACCAAATACCTACTTGGGAGGTTCGCAGCAACCCTCCAACCCTTGCGACCTTAGCGGCCGATCCTAACGTGGCGAGCCTCAGGTCCCAATTACCCAACACGGTTTAGCCCATTGATACCGCCACGTGACACCCAGCGTTTAGAGCTCGATGCTTAATTAACACCACCATCTCAACACGATTCTCTTCAAGCTAGTCAGCATTCCCAAAATCTGGCTCAATGTCTTTGTGGAGGTACGCTACAACAAATTACCTGTAACTGGTACACAATTGCCCTGTCGAGCTTGTATCTAACCCTTGTCCTTATTTAGTACCTACCGATCCCTCACACCCAAAACACGGGCCCTCTTCGGCGTCGGTGTGATGGCCTGGGCAACGATCGGCCTCTGGACGACGCCGCAGGTCGAAAGTGCCCTGGGCATGCAAGCGTCCAAGGCGGAACAGGAAGCGCTGGATCGACAGCTCGCTGTGCAGATTTCGCGGGTTGGAGGGGAGGAGAAGAATGATGGTGCGCACTGAGGTATCAAGGCCAATGCGTTGAGCAACTATTCAGGTCGGGTGAAAATGGCACACGGATAACTGAGGCGAGACATGCGTGCCCGGCCTCTCCGAGCGCACTGCGAAGTCACAAGATCTGCTCTCCTCGGATCGGGATTCAAAAGACGGCTTGCGATTCGGGACTCAGGTGTTCCATGGGAGACTGGACGAGGTCAGAGCTTGACTCCGTGCTTTGCTGATGTCATTTGTGTCCGGGCCGAGCTCAGACACCTATGCTCTGACGAGGCAGCGACCATGCTATCTGATCGTGTGATGATCAAAGCGCCATCGATGGCTTCCGATTGTGCGATCCTCGGGGAAAGGGAGAGGAAAAGAGACAGGGTGAGAATTCGGGAGAGGAGCATGCTAGACTGTTCTGCGTTCGCGTCTGCGTCGCGTTTTCGACGGGCCTGCTTTGCGCTGGCGCCTGCGCCTGCGCCCTGCACATCGGAACATTTCAATCCTGGTGACGGCGGCATAGAAGAAGAAAGCAGGTGGCAGACTGGTCCAGATCAAGACTTGCTAGGCAGACTGGTGAGAGACCAATCATTTGCTGGTTTATTCTCCGGGCTTGATGCTGTAGGAATGAAGTTCTTGCGTGAGTGGCTGTGGACTTAAGCTTGGTTGTAGGACTTGCGGTGCATCCTTGCTCATGTAGATGTTAATTGAGTATGGTTCCTTCGACTCTAGAATTGAGTTTTGGCGGGGGTGTTTCTGTTGATCTGGTGGATTGGCGATTGGCGATGGAAGACGTTGATCATTCTGCTAGTGACATATGTGTATCTACTCGAGATCATGCGCGGCTTTTCTCAACTAAGTTTACATCAGTACATCTTGCACAATGATAAGATTACACCAGTCCTTTTGAATACATTTCCATTGCCCAAGACACCGTGGAAGCGATTATCCACCAGCGTAAATCTCAATTAAGGCCAAACCAAACCACCCAGTCTCACACTAAACAGTATCTCTATTCCGACCCCAAATGTAAGTTAAGACAAGTCCCACTTCACCCACAAGGCCCCAAAACCGTTGATGTGCAACAACCCTCGGCCACATCCACTCATCTCCCCGAAGTGCATCAAGCCTCCAGCCTCCCAACAAAGCCAGGACTAGTCCCGCATCGGACAAATTCGAATCGAATCCTCCTCTGCTGCTACTCAAGCCCAGGCATTATCAAACTTGGCCAACCAGGCCCGGTAGAGTGTAGTTTGCGTGCAGTATGTCTACTGCCTGCGAGGAAACAGACTGGCTGGGTTCTGTTTGCTGATGGGGCCAGGCATGGATGGTTCAGCCTCATGCGGAAATGTATGTCTTTTAATTTGCATGCAGGCAAGATATTAGAATAGAAGCTTTTACTTGGTAGCTATGAATAGTAGCAAAGCTGGTGCTGGAAAGGAAAGAGGATTATTTGTTCCGGTATAGATTGTATATCTAGATGTGGAAGGAGTCTTAAAGAGGATATTTGCAGGATGATAGAGGAATCCTGGTCGTGCATGGTTTGTTGGGACGTGGGTGTTGTTGTACGGACAACCCAGGGTCCAAATTGTTTACTCCTATGAGGGTATAGATACTTCATTAGTTTGAATTGATGGTCAATTGAAACAGGGGTTTTTGTGTGAGTGAGAGAATAGACTGTGGGTTCATCTTGCATGATCAGACGGGCAATTGAGGCCCTTCATCTTAGCATTGAATCAGATACAGCAACGTCCCTCGAGAAGACCGGCAATATTTTCTTTGATCTTTCGGGATTATTACGCAGCCCAATCTGCCGTGCAACCGTCTCAGATCCGGAAACCCTCCGCAACGGCCGATCAAATGCAAGTCTTGATCAGGTAGATAGGTATGGCTCGATTTTCATAGATTTGCTTTTCGCTTTTACCTCATCTTACAGTTACAGTCTTTCAGAATCCGTACGATACATTACAAATTGATAAAAATGAAAAATTCTGATCGTTTTGATCAATGGTTCAAGGACCGTGCGAGACATTTCCCAAGGTAGGTTCTTCTTTCGGCCGATGGCCCTTGTACGACGTGCAGATGGCTGGGGCACTGACTTTGGCCCTATCCCGATGCGGCGTGAGATATCGGGTGATGGTGGTGTCGACTATGGCCCTATCATAGCATGAAATCTTGTATTGCCACTCATAGAGTCTATCCTGATAGGAAATGGCAAGATTCCTTGTCTAGACTATTGTACTACATTGGTAGACTTTCTTATGTCACTAAAGTATATGACAGAACCTGAGTTGACCTTATAGCCCAGTTTTTCACTGGTATACAATATCATGAAGAGACATTAGTAAAATGGAGGATATACTTAATCATAACATAGATCTGATTCAGTACAGACTTATGGTACTGTAGCCCAGGTGAGGTTCCCACTAACTCGCAGCACAGGACCAGGATTGCGGCCGCTAACCAAGGCACCTACATAACAGTCAAGCGGCGTGAGGTACCGGAACATGCCGAAGAGCAGGTGACCATAACTCTGACAAGGACAGAGACTGAGGTGATTGGTGGACAAGAAATGCCCACGATAGCTTCTCCAGTACATCATGAGGACCAGTGATGACAGTGTGACACAACCCTGTCAAGCCTCCACACTCGACCAAAATAGGAAACCTAGCAGAGTTGAGGCGACCATCTTTGGACCAAAAGTGTCAAGGAATCAAGCCCTATTGACAAATCTAAGTTGATTTTTTTGCATTTCGCCACCGGGAAGCAAAGAAGAAGCACTGCATGTATCGTAATAGCCGCCTAGCCAGCTAGACCCAAAGCCGGGCTGAGCTGAGACGCAATAAATCACCTGCACATGCACCGTCGATCACGATGAGCGATCAGACTGGGATCTGCACATTCCATACATATCCACATGCGGAGAGCGGCCCCATGGCTGGTCACCACCCTTGCTGCCTAGATGCATACGAGCAGGATACTATAGCTAGACTCAGAACTCGATGCAATAGCCAGATTCTAGAACAAAAAGTATGAACAGCTTTGGGACAATAATGATTACCTAGTCTTGAAAGCAATAAAAGCCCTTGATGAAGTATGTACAGTATACAAAATAAGAGTCCTGCCGAAAGAGGACATCAATCGAAGAATCTGATTGGCTCGCTGCGGGTTGCCATGATTATCTCGTTTGATGACTCCAGAGCCCTAAGAGTAACTAACTAAACCCAGCCATTCCAAAGGAAGGAAAAAAAGCAAACCCCGTTCTGCAGCCAGCGCCACCCTGGTTCTCTTTCAACTGTCCCCCATTCATTGCCCCGCTGAAACACACTAGTTATCCAGCCCCTCCTAATCCGCGTACTCGACAATCATACTCTCCATGCGAGAAATTACAGTACTAAGGACTAAACCATATTCCCCACTGCAAGTAGGACCAGGATGTATTGGGGAAGGAACAGCAGAGCCAATAGGAGGGAAGGACAGGAATGGAAGATCACCACCCATGTCCATTGCATCTGGGACTGGGTGAATCCCTTCCTCCAGGCTGGACAGGATAGGGAGTTGGACTAGGACCGCAGGAATAACGGTCCCTGGCAACCAGAGCGAATCGGGGAATTGAGTGTTTCTTTTCTGCATAGTATATTGGAAAAGGGTTATGAGTGGGCTAGGAATAGTGGTAGTAGACACGGACGGAAAGAAGGAGTAGGTAGCAGGACTTTAAATGATCTTGGAGATAGTATACTGTAGATTGCTTTTTTATAGATTTTGAATTACATGGCAAAAAAAGTGAAAATTCAAGTAGAAAGTGGTGGTTTCTCTCCAAAAGACTGCAAATTAGGAGCTTCCTAGCTTCGATACTGAAGCAGTTCAGATCAACACAATTTTGAAAACCCAGTCTTTTTCAAAGAAGCCCAATCAAAGAAAAGACAAACTATCGAATCTGCGATAGAAGAAAGATAAAAACTGAGAAGAAACCGAAGTTCTCAAGTTCAGATAGTAAAAAGCAAAAGTAATATGGAAATAAGCTCAAAACCAAGATAAAAATAAAAATAATCACACAAAGAAAGAAAATCCAAGAGGCAATGAATTCATATTCGATCTCCCGCGCCGTTCTGCACCAGTCCGTGATATCCCATTTCCCAGTATCTCGTTGCAAATGAAACCATAATTTCGCTCGAAACCTAAATGACATTTGAGAAGATTGAAATGCAAGGAAAATACGCGAACAAATTGAAAAAAGAAAGTCTCGCTCATCGCTCGTCATGGCTAGCCAGTTTGTACCTCGATCTAGGTGCACAGACTACGCGTGTTATGGATCGTGCTGTACCCGTTGTAGGTTGAGTAGACAGGATCAAACCCGCCCGTGCTGGTGCGCTGGGTACTGGTTACCCCTGTAAATGGGTCCTGGTAGGGGTCCAATGAGGACTCGGGCTTCAGCGTGTCCATAGGATTCATGGTATCGTTGATCATGGAATAGTCGAAGCCAGACGAGGAAGATGATGAGACGAGCGGGCTATCGCTCAATGGCGAATGCTCGGCTGTCGGCATCTGGCGGTAGTCTGTTCGGCTGTAGGGCAGGCTTCCCCGATGAGGCGTGTCGTACAGAAGCAGGTGAGAGCGTGCTGCTTGTCCCATTACGTGGGGGAGCGTACTACCGCTGCCATCTCCACTGTCTCCCTCCGGTCCCATGCTGGCGGTGCTATCGCGTCTGCCGTCCTTGTAGTGACCCGGGGAACGACCTCGCACGACCATTGAGTGTGAGTGTCGACGGGCAATGAGAACCCACTGTGGTTCTCCACCAACCGGACCAGCGACTTCGGCTTGCAGCTCGACGACGAGGTTGTAGAATTGCTGCTGGGCGCGTCTCTTGCCGTTGTTGGCTGTGGCTTTTTGGAATTGGATCCGCTCAAACATGTGTGATTGTGGAGGCTGAGCTGCGCTGGCGAATGAGGGATTGTAGTCCAACGATTGTGATCCCAGTGGGAAACCATGAGTTCCGTTTGTGGCGGAGGTTGATGTGAGTGATTGGGGTGGCGAGGGTTGCAGGTTCACTCGAGGAGGTGCGCGCTCTGATTGTTTATCCCGCTTAGGAGTATGCTGTATGAGCTCTCGAGTTTCTCCATACTGCCCATTGACTATGGCAGAAATGGACATGGCAAAGCCACGGATCGGCTCCAGGGTCTGATCCGCATGGCGAATGTAGAGAGGAACGTTCGATGGCCATGGATGCAAACTGAAGCTGCAGGTTACAGCAAAGTAATTCCGTCGGTAGCACGTCCACTTGTTATCAGATGGAAAGAAACCACGCCCAATCTTTGCATATACCTCAGGTTTGACGGTTTGCTGGGTGCCTCCAAAGTCTGCGACAATTGACTCGAGAACACTCGTCTCTTCGAATGGTGGTGCTTCTATCGGTGCATGCGGACGCTGTGGGGATTCAACTTGAGGCTGCTGGTATAGGGCGGTCTGATTTCGCTCCAGAACATCCAGACCTCGAGGAGTGCCTGAATACCCATGACCACGAGAAACATCATTAATTCCGCTCAGTGGCAAGCCCATGCCTCGCTGAAGTGCATATGAGGATGAATAGGCATTGTTGCGTCCCATCAATGCCGATATAGAGCTCACAGAGTGCACTGGACTTTGCATTGCTGCTGACATACCGGTAGGAGGCTGACTAAACGTAGAAGGGAAACCAATGAGTCTATATTATCCATGAGTTACTTGGAAATGCCAACTCACAGAGACGGTACTCGACGATAATCTGGCATTCGATCAAAGGGATGTTGGTGCTGGGCCATATGAGGAAATAGAGGGCCTGACGTTGGGGAGAACGAGTCTGAGTGGGTATCAAAGCAGTCAGTTAGAAGATCAGCTACAGTCGCACAATGAATCAAAGACCAAACCATACCAGAACAGGAATCAGGAGGAGTCATAGCGAGTGCAGCCGAGCTGGGATAACTAGAAGGTAGACAGAATCGGTTTAGCACTGCACATCACCGCTGAATTGATCAGAGACAAGCGCGTCAAGGACAAAAAGACAGGTAGAAATGAACACAGTTTCATAGCTATCCGGGGACAGCACAGAGACCATGATGTGAAAGGACGGAAATCAACCCGCAGGCTGCTCAATACAAGACGCTGGCCCAAAAAAATAACAATAAAGGACGCGGACACGAGCTCAGATAGAAAAGGGCAGAAACATCGGACAAAACGCATGCACGCAGCAGATCAGTATGGAAGGTACCGAAACAGGCTGGACTAAAGTCGAAGCTGCCCGGACCCGGAGGAAGCGCAGCGACCAGGGGAGGGATGTCGTTGTTCTGTTGAAGGAGGACCAAGTGGAGTGCAAAGGTAGTCCAGATTGAAACTGCGGCAACGAAATGAAAAGAACCAAAGAAAAATAACGTACTGCAAGTCTTGCATCGCAGACTGCGGTGCGTGGTACCGCACGCCGTTAGTGACATGCATGGAGGCGAGCCCTCCGACTCGTTGGTCGTTGTCGTCCTCATCGGTTGGGAACCCTGTCACCTGGGAGTTGATATAGTCCCCATGAGTGGTGACGGGGCAGTCCATCATGGTAAAAGGCTCGGAAAGGAGAGTAGCTAGATGGAGGTCTTTAGCTGCGTCCCGAGTAGTAGGAGTGTATAGTTGAGATATGAAAAGTGGTTGGCGGCTTTGATATGAGCTCCCAGGGAAACGGCGCAAGACCGGCATAGAATGGAAATAGAAACCAAGAAGTGCACACCAGGAGACTTACAAGTATTCATTCTGATTGTACTGATGCCAGTGCCTCAAGGACCCTGAAATATCACCAGGTGAGGTAACACGAGCGACACGCCCAAGCCTTGCCTTTGCGATTGATGTTCCAAAGTGGCGAGTGGCACCTTTGTCTAGAGCAATGGGCCGGGTTAGTTGACCAGGTTCCAGGATGTGACTCTTCTGTTTCCACTCCCTGGCGGCTGTTGCTCACATAACTCCGCTAGGATGTCCTGCAGAGGTTTTCGGCGAGAAGCAAAGAGAATATAGGGATTTGTGGCGGGTACTTAAAGAAAGAAGATGAGATAAAAACCGGAATTCCGAGTTCTAGTGGACCTTGCAACAGACAACGGGAAAAGAGAGGTGGCTTGATAGGATCAGGGCAGGAGATATTGCTAGTAGTGATGCTTCAAGCGGAGTAATATCGTAAGTGGGATGGGGGCGTATGAGTAAAGAGAAGGAACAAGCATCCACGCACAGAGAAAGAGAGGGAGAGGAGGATTATAACAAGGAGAAGAAGATAGAAGCACAGTGGATGAAGGCCAGAATAAGAGCATGTCTTGAAGAAAGGCGAGCGTGCGAAGCTGCCTGCGGTTGATGGAAACGCGGAAGCGCAGTAATCTCTGGGCCCATGCTGGACCCGGCCAGAAGGATGCGTCACGAGTAGAGCATGCCCTTCCTATTTGGGAGACCCTCACATTATTGGTCATAGGGCATTGTTCTCCGGGTTCAATGAAACAGTCCAGAGTATATCTTCAAAACACTAGATCATGAAGATCCAAGCACACTCTGATAGGAAATAAAAGAAATAAAAAACATAGAGCTCTGAAACAAAGTTGAAAAAAAGGAATAAGGAAATAACAATAATACAATTTGAGAAAGAAACGGGGATTGGAAATACCAAAAGGGAAATAATAATGGAAATATAAAAATCATGTAAATAGAACAAGGAAGGGAAATGGAAGAGACGGAAAAGATCAAAACGTACTGATGTAATCCAGTGTGACTTGCGTCCGTAAGTTAATCACGATAAGGCGGACTTTCACGGGCAATGGAAGACAAAAAAGGGTAACTGGCATGGGCCGATGAGAACGAGCATAGACGAGTGCCCACCAGGTTTTTGCTGCAAGTACAGCAACCCTAACTTGGATGGACTACCGAGCTCCCCCGGAATCCCAGGAAATCAAGGCCACCGTCGATTGCCGAGTACCTTTGACTGTTCGAGAAGAGGGGAATGAGGAAAGAAAGAGGCTATTAGGGACGAGAGGCTATAGGTCCCTTTCTCAGATAAGAAAATACCCTCTCCTCTCCCGACACACGCGCAACAGCCTCTCCCTTGGCAAGATTCCCTGAGCGATCAGATTAACTTCCTTTTGAAGGGCAAAGGAGGAAGGCGAGTGTTTCGTGGCTGGGCCGGACAAGGAGAACGGGGCGAAGAGAAAAGAGAATAAGATGGTGGCCGAAGGGTGCGCATCCAATTGATGTTATTTGATTCCGGCCGTGATAATATGCCCTCCTCGGTGTATTGTGTACAGAAGTACTCCAGGCCCCCAGAGAATACTCCCAAGTCGATGGACCCTGGTAAGGTCGAGCCCGTTCTGGATGTCTGGTCCTTTTCCTCCCCGGTTTTGTTGGATGGCTGGATTTGAGGTCGAAGGAGGTATGGCAGAGCAGAGGTTGACCTTCTTTGCTGCTGCCCCCCACCCCAAAATAGACTCAGGTCAGGTCAACGACCCAGCCGAGAGGCGACCATTATCGCCACGAGTTCCTGTGGAAAGAGCTGGGATTCTGGGCCTGCCAGGGACAGTGGACAATACGTAGTATTCCGCAACGCTACCTCCAAGTGGGTGGCAGCATTGCATTAGGGGTCCAACCATAAATGGTAGCGGACTAGGATCTCCATAATGGTTGTTGATCCGATCTTTTATTTTTGTTTATTTTATTTTTTTTCCTTTTTCCAAAAATTTTGGCTTTTTCATTGTTTTTATTTTTCTGGGAGGCCTTCAAGACCCCTGTACCCCGACAACTGTAAACTACCTCGGTGGAGCGCCAGACTCCATAGGGAAAGAAACTGTAGCATCGAATCATTGGCCCGAGCTCCAGACAGTTTGATTGTTCAAGGAGCATGACATTGGCCAGAATCTCCATGTTACGAGCCCTGGAAGAAGCCGAGGAGAAGCTTGCACGGACACTGGCCGGTTCAAGGTGGGTAAAAGGCGTCGTCCTTCAAGACGGCCTGTACATCAAGACCTTGGGGTGAAGCCAGGGCGAATGACCAGCATGCTGGATGTATTTTCCCTTAGGGGGCGCTCTCCCGAATGAAGTCAGATGTCCCAGCGCGAACAACCGAGAGAGCGGGATGCTGCAGGTAAATCCAAATAAGATGAAACCTAGAAAGGATAGAGGAGATGATCACACCCCCAGGATAGCCGTGCAGACTTCCTCATTCTCTGGCTCTCTCTCTTCCCCCTCCCCAGAGTCGCCTGACAAGTGGATGATGTATCAAACCTTGAGGATCTGCAGGCCAAAATAAACCGCGCTGGCCAACGAGAGCCCCCGGAGGTGAATAACAAATACACATGAAAATCGTCATTCGCCCGGTTCCAAGGATCAGTCCATTAGCCCAGCCAAGATTCATGAGGCTGGGGTTCAGAGACCTCTCGGAGTCGTCCCCGGGGCTTTCATTTTTTCTGGTTCCTTATTTCTTTTTGGAAAATTTCTTTGCAACTTTCTTCATTTCTTCATAGGGAAGAAATATGTAGTCGAGGCACGAGCATAAGAGGCTTGCATGACGAAAGGGCATGCTAAACGATCGGCAATTTTCATTCGACCAGCTGCGTCGTGCATGTTGGCAGTGCTCTCACCGACAGACTTTGACTGGTGAGCGAATGAACAATTTAAGGCCGCACACCAAGGCGATAATGGGGGCCAATTCCACTATTTCAAACACAGTACACACACAGAGGGTAGTCGGGGAGGGCAGGCCGGGCGCCTGGAATTCCAGTGGGCCAACGTGACCAAGGCCAGTCTGGGGCGAAGCAAGCCCGGCGAGAAAGCTCTCAACATTTTCCCCCACCAAATATCGAGTAGATGAGAGCAAGAGAGGGGCCACCGAAGAAAGGCGTGTCTGACGCATCTGCAACGGGAAAGCCCGGTAGACTTGCGGTCCGTACCAGGCTGCATTTTGCACAATGGAGCTCCACAGCTGTCGCCGAAACGATTCATTTCTTTTGATGGACTCGTTGGGGCCGAATAATAAGGCCCTTAGTGGGTGCAGTTGGGAGGGAAAGTGGGCTCTCGACTGTGGGCACTCATAGATCCCACAGATCCTAGACTCGATAGTGGGGGCGCCCCCTTCCTCCTCAATCGTGTCGAGGTGGACAGAACCGCGTTAGTGGCTGGGCGATCGGCCCATCCTGCAGGAAGCTAGTTGGTTGAGATGGCAAATTGCAAGGTGCTGGAAAAGCAGCCGATCTGTCTTTGATTGGTGGATCGTTGGCGTCATCGATCGACTTGGGGGAGGGGAACCAGTCACTCGTTTAGCCCATCACCGGGAGGATGGTTATGGAGGGTATGTTGTGCAGCTGGTCTTTCTCCTCACGGACCACCTGCTGGTGTGTTTCGGGGCCGAGAAGAAAAGTACCGACTTCGGCAATCGGTGCAGGATGATGAAGAGGTCATCATCACCTTCTCATTCCAAGCTCCCAGAGGGGCAGCAAGGCCGATGCTCGGCCAGCCATGGACCGTGGCTGGCTGCGATTTGACGTAGTGAAGGAATGTGGAGTGACTCTTGGAGGATCAGCTGTGATTGTTGCGTTTTTGGGAGATGCCACGACACGTGCGGGGGAGGCGGTGAACCAAAGACCAGTCGAGTCCTGAGAGAGTTAAAAGACAATTAGGACTTCTTCCAGACTTGCCCTTTGACCAAGGAGGCGTTGTGTAAGTGCTGCTGAGCTGTGGGGGGTGGTACAGATACGATCGGTACAGGCCAGGGACTAGCTCCAGCGTGCGATAGTGCGAGAGGGCGATAGTGCTATAGTGCTTTCCTTTAATCAAGCGCCAAGGTAGTAATCCTCTTCTGCACGGTTTCCAAAGCGGGGTTCTTTACAAACTCGTTTAGTTATCCCCATCTTATCTCTCTCCTCAGGAACTAGTGAAGCTTAGAAGCTTTTCTTTTTCTACCACTGTACAGTTAGTCTAGGCTTCATGATCGAAGATCAGATCGATCCTTCGATCCACATCCGTTCCCGTCCCCGTGCCGGACTCCACTCGCCCAAACTCGCGGGGCTCCACCATTTCCGATCCATCACAAAACTCGGAGGCGACCAGAGGGTGCTTGGGTACAGCTCTACAGCTCCAGTGCTCTCCAGCTGTCCAGCGACAGCCTACTGCACACTATTCGGCATCGTGTGAGATACATAAAGAGAACAAGCTCTCCTGACGAAAGGAAAATTGTCCGACGGCCGAGTCTCGGCGTGGGTTCAGCCTCTCCAGCTGGAGAAACCTCAATTTGCGCTAGTCTCGGTTCGACTGCAGGTACCTCTCCCATCGTTTCCCAGAAATGTGCAAGTCTCGGAAGCTAATTATTCTGCTTTCTTCTTATTATTAGAATTAGATTCGAGGCAATTACATTCTCCTTCCACCTTTTCCACTATTTGAGTTTTCTTAGTGGATCAAAGCTCCCAGCAACCACTGCTTGCACTCATCAATCTAACCAAGGTTCTAATCATCCGATAGTTAGCTGTGATGCCTCTGGAGCTGTTCCGAGTTGCATATTCTTCTGAGATAATCCCCATCATCTTGCCTTGACTGGATTTGAATTTCCCCTCGAGCGTCGGGGCTGGACATGGCACGTGCCCCAGGATCGGACCGCGTCTTTGCAAAACAGCAAAAAAAAGGACAAGATGGAAATACGACAGACACTGAAAATTACTATTCCGCCGCATCGTGACAACAGAAATCCTCCCATTTTGGTCCTTTGTACGACAGGCCCTTGTCAGCAGTCAATGGTAGACCATGGTTTCTTCCGCGTCCCATTTCCGGGCTGCACCTGGCCGGATGCTCAGGTGTCGGACAGGAAGGAGAAGCAGGAGATCCCCACATCCCCCCCCCCCCTCCCCGAGCTTTGCATCTGCGCGTCAGGGCCAAGATGGCGATAACTCTTTCTGTATGGACATCCCTTCGGGACATCGGGAACGCGATTGCATGAGAGAACAAGAAAAGGAGGGGGAAGGCCGTTTTACACTCCGGGCGCAACATCACATACCATAGGCCAGCGATGAAGCTTTGCATGGATACATACCGAGAGGAGGCGCCGCCGGTGATATTCCAGACTATCCATTTGCGGTCTCCTTGTTTTCCATGACCCTAGCTCCTCATGCCCGTTGATCATGGGTCTTGGGAAGTCCCGTAGTGGACCCCCGTCGATCCCGGGCCTCCGAGGCATCCAAGAGACCCAATCGTCCGCAACGGTCCTGCCCTGGTCGCGTTGGAGTTTTACCCCATGTCAGCACTTCAGACCTGCGCCCCGGCATTGCTGGGCTCATTCCGACCTGGGTCTCTACCAACTAGGCAGGAGACCGTTCGCTGATCCGCTCTCACGGCCGGAACTAAGGGGGTTCGGGGGGCGTTGATTCGCGTCTTCATCAGCTCGTCAAGATCCATGGCTCTCTCTCCCCTTTCTGGACCCTCACAATAAAGTTTGAGACATCAACGACCACGACCATACTTTGACGGGGAGGAAAGGTACCCTGCCTCTTGCCGGGAACGATGGCTTGCAGAGGAAGAGGAGGCCTAAGAACCACGTGTGCGGTACACTGACAAGCCTTGAATCAACGACCCTGGTCGCAAACCGCATCGCAAGGATGTCTCGTGCTAACCTTAGTATATCCTTGGCATTCTATTTTGACTTTTACCAGAGTCGCGAGAGAAGTCCTGCTAATGGCGGTTCTCAATTGTCTAGCTCGATTTCGAGGAAAAACTCAAGTCCAGCTGCTACTTTCTCCCTATCCGTACTTTGAAGCCATCTCCCCGACTGCACACAAGGTTCTGTGATGCGTTACCTGCGTACCACGTATGGCAGAGATGAAAGGGTTACTTGGGGCGACAATCAACCCGATTGCTGGTAGAATTGCCCAGTGCTTTGCACTATGCCATTGTTGTCGTGGTCTCGAGGAGTCGCGCAGCGGCTCTTGCAACACCTATTATGTTCTTCGAACGTCCAATCAGAGGGTCGAGCTGGGAGCTTCAACTGGGTAATCGCTGGGACTGCATCCTAGATCATTGATTGAATGGAATCTCCTGCCAGCTGAACTCACAATAACCTAACATAAAGGACTGGAAAGCAGTATCAACAAGGGGAATCGGCAAGTAGCTGGACTTCTGTTGCCGACATGAACAAAAAGAGAAAGAGACGAAAAACAGCTAATGTCGACTGAACAAGGATCCCACTGCGTAAATCAACAATCATTGGAAAGATGGCGACCGGAATTCCCCCCAGGTGTCTGTCAGGAGGGCAACGCACTTCTCGCATGGCATTGGACATGCAGACCAGATGGAGACATACCTGCAACGTCTCCTCCTGTCAACGACAACGTCTCGACTTCCCATCGTCCCCGAAGCCGTGGCAACCTGCGCATCATCCACCAGCAAATCCCCAACACGCGGCAACCAACCCTAGCGTAAGGTCTCGTCGCACGATGAGAAAGCCAAGACTAAACCTACCCAACGGCACGAAGCCGACAGGGCACCCAAGATGGCAAGAAATACCCTTCTTGTCGATTGCCTCGAGCCATCTCACGATAGTGGGTCCCTCTGCGATGACACTGGGACTTCGGAATATCACGAACGCCTTTCACATGTGTCGTCCTGTCATACTGCATGCCGCCATGACGGGGCGAAGCTTTCGAAATTCGGTGGCCTAGTAATCCGCTGAAGCTTTCAAGGGCGCCCCCAACACGACGCCAAACAAAAAATACAACCGAAAAAGAAGAAACGGTAATTCAGGAGAAAGAAGGCGAGGTAAGGTAAAAAAATCTGCTCAATTCCCTGTCGATGGAGCCTCTTTCGGCGGGGCCGAGAGCCGATATCTGGTTCCCAGGGTAAGCTTTTCCATGATCCCAAGTCTCTTTCCTAAAGGAATCACCGATACTACGTGATGCAACCCAATTCGAGACCGGGAAATTAACGCGATTTTTGGGAGAGTGGGTTGTATACAGACAGTGCCAGAAGGACTACAGTAGGACAAGCCCGGACTTGCGCAAGATCTGATAGATCTACGCCGTTGCAATTAAGTACAGGATCTGTGATCTGGGCGTCGATAACGTATTAACCATGCAGTTGGGGGCCGTAACCTTGCCTTGGTTCCTTTGGGAAAGGTGATGTACACCTTGATTCTCGCGACCGTTAGCCGTTGTTGGGACGTTTATTTCGGGCGTGCTTTTGGCATTTACCTTTTCGTTGCTGGTGCAGATACATCCTTGTCTATGCCTCGAACACGAGACAAGTGTATTGTCAAGTACGCCGTACTGCTATGCTACTACGGCTTTGTTGCAGGTCCTACCCGTTTCGTTTTCGAGTCATGGTCTTTCCGGATGACAGGACCCCTTGAGTGGCGACGGGGTTCCTTGTCATTCGTATGGGGCAGCTGGCTTGTTATGTTGCAAGGGTATCAGCGGCTAATGTATAGGAGCCATATGAGAATTTTATGTAGCCTTTCCAGCTGGGGTGTAGTTCAGACGCTTCTAGGTGATGGGGGGTTAGTCAAGCGATGGCCATGACCGAAGCAGAGCCTTGTAAACAGGAATAATAGTCCATAGACCATGAATGCCTTGTAAATACATTTTGGAACTTTCCTCGTAACTGGTGTCCACACTACAACGTTGGGCGGACCTATGTCCTGGGCTCGCCACATTTCATACACTGACAGTCGCCACGAGAATAGGGCGAATCCAGCAGAATGGGTACCGGCCATAGTAAATAACAGTGTAGGACATGAAGAAAACAGCTTTGTTCGAGCACGTCTATACCAAGGATATCAAGCCAACCAAGGGCCCACGCCGAGCAAAATCATGCAAGAATCTCTGAACCATTGCTTTTGTATAGACTGACGAATGCAAGTAACTGACATGGTGGGTGTCTTTTTGGTAATCATCATTATCAATCAATCATACATTTCAAAGGGAAAGAGGCTTCAGCATAGAGCTAGGCCCGCCTGAAAGATAAAAAAGAAAAGAGAATCCAGCCAAAAATGTGTCGTGAAAGGAAAAACGAGAAGCGAATCTAAGTAGTACGCTTGGCGAACTCGACGTGAAGAATAAGGTGGCGGTAGCCGACTGCAACGAAGAAAAAGATGGTTAGTTGGGATATCTACAGATGACCAAGACCATGGCCCCGAAAGGGATGAACACGTACAGCCGTCCATTTTCTCGCAAGCGCGAGCAGCATCGCCCCGATCCGCATAGCTGATGAAAGCAAAGCCCTTGGCCCGCTGGGTTTCGCGGTCCCGGGCAAGGAACACTCTGGTGACACGACCGAACCGCTCGAACAGATCCCGCATCTCTTGTTCCTCTGCCAACTCGCTGACCTGTAGAGATGAAAGAAGATATGTTAGAATAGATCCAGAAACCTCCACTCAAGGTGCAACCACATACGTTTGTAACTCTGAGAGTAGCCAGATCGTCCTTCTCGAAGCGACCACCCATCTTCTCGCCAGCGGCACCACCAGCCTTTCCACGCATGTGAGGAGGAACGTAGCTGGAAGAACCAGCACCCAGACCACCAGCAGCGCCGGCCTCATCCGCGTCCATATCCGCACCACCGGTGGACTCCTCGACGGGAGCCATGGTGTCCTTGAAGGGACAGCGGGCTGTGAAATGCTCGCCGCTGCAAATACGACACTTGACCTTCTTGTCCTTGAGCTGGTCCTTCATGGAGCCCTGCTCGGGGTTCTTCTCGGCATCGGCGGCCTGAGCCTTCCAGTTCGTGCTGGGACGGAAGACCATGTTCTCACCGATGGAGGTGGTGTCGAAGGAGGGGCCAGGCGCGTGGCCCTTCTCGAGGCCGAACTTGGCCCACGACCGGCGCTCGGCGACCTGTGGGTTGACGTGCTCTCGGACGATGGTGGCCTTGATCCTGCGAGTGACCTTCACTTTCTTGTTGTCATCGTTGAAACGGTAGGAGACGACCGTCTTGGTGCCGTCTTTGTTCTCGGTAATTTGGGTTGCGGGCAGCGCTGAGGGATCATCGTACTCATCATCATCGGCCCAGTCGGCGTTGCTGTATGGTTGAAAGAGGGTAAAAAATTAGTCACGAATTCTAGGAAATTTTGCGTACGAAAATACTCACTTCCCGAGTCGAGACATGGTGTGTGGTTGTGTGATGCGGCAACTGCTCAATTCTGGGATTTCTTCAGAGGCGAATCCGTTGTGGATTTCATTCGCGGCGATTTTGCTGTGGCGCAGTCCGTGGCTGGTGAAAGAGAGTCACGTGAGTTGTGCCTGCCCCTCCGCGGGGGTTTGACGAGGCGCAGAGCTTCTTCTGGACTCGCTCCACATCGTGTCTAACCGCAAGCGGCCACCAAGACAAGCAATCCGTGCAAGGACTGAGCATTCAGGGTGCTGATAGCTGGAAATCTTAGAATGTACTCTTTTTGGTCACTAGTTCAACTTTCTACATGTCTACACTTTTCCAATAAGCGACAGGCGGTAGTCCCAATCTAGCGGCTCTGTACGATAACTCCGAGGGCAAAAATTGGGAGTATCTCAAACGTCATCCATGGATATCAATCTCGAAACCTCGTTTCAGCCTTGCCCTGTCTCAAATTCTTAATGCCCAATTCCGTCCGCCCTTCATTCAATTTCGAATCCCTAAAAGCAATTCAGGAAACCCCAGCTTGATCCTGCAAAACCCAACCGTCATGAGATGTTGGCGACCAGATACGCTTCAGAGATACGTAATCTGGACGCTACCATGGTGTTTTCCCCCAAACCAGAGCGAAACATCACAATGTGCAGAGAAGTAATGAGCATGGAACTCATACTTGAACACAAAATAATTCTCCTTGTCGGCTCCACGATTGATGGGAATGTTAAGACGGAGCCGTGGATCAAGTGTGGCATTAAGAGTGGCGTAGCGTCGCATGCCTAGGGAGTTGAGTTAATTACATGGTCAATGCGTCTAATGAATTTTCGAGCAAATACCACTTACTGCGTGTCAAATACATGGGCGGATCGCTATCTTCCAGCGCATCATATTCGTAAAAGCTTTGCTGGTAAGTTGTGGGCCTGCCTTCTGATTCGAGGTTTTTTTTTGGACCATTTGGTGATGACTGGTTCTGTCTCATTGATTGCATCTCCCTGAAATGTCTAAATTTATGTATAAATATCCCTAGATAAGTACACTCAAAACTCACCTTGCAAATGAACCAATTCATCACAGATATATAGTATTTGCCATGGTAGTCGTGCCAAAACCTGAAGTTGTTAGAATCATTCCGTCTTTCAAGAGCGTGTGCGTACTTTTTCTTGTTATCGTGTATGCGACGATCAAATGGAACAATCTTCGTGTGTCCATAGTACTTCCGAGCGACACGGGATGTAATGGAGATCTGGTGGACCAAGGGAGATACTTCCGAGAGTACCTTGGCCAGAGCGCCTCTGACCACGGCTGTCCATCCATCAGGAGCAAGAACCTTGACACCCGAGGGCAGATTTGCTTGGAGGTGATCACAAAGGAATGGGTTCTGTCCAAATCCTCCCACGACGAGTGCGGCCTTGACTGGACTCTGAGATACCCTGATCTGTTGCAGCGCAAGGTTGAGAACTTCATCCAGCACCGGTGAAAAGATACCTCCCATCTCCTGCCCAGTGACACGAAGAAATCCCCGACGAACTTTGAGGCTTTCATCATCATCTATTCCAGGAACTGGAAAAGAAAAGATGTCCGTCGCATCACCCGCAAATCTTCGCTTGGCATAGGCTTCAAACCGTACCATAGCCTGCTCCAAAGTGTCACTATCCCAACCTGACAAGGACTCCAATCTTCGCCGAATGAAGTCCTCAAACCGCCTGTTCAGGTACGAACTCCCGCAATATGCTCCTGTACCGGCTGCTGATTCACGCAGGCGAAGGACGGGCCTCAGCTGTTCGATTGTGAAAGTGATCAAGTCGACTGTCCCTCCTCCAGCATCAATCAAAAGTACTGTGTCGTCGACTTGGAGATTGTTTGGACTGCTTGCCCGAAGAGCATGAATTGCCGCAGCCTCTGGCTCGGAAATGATGTGAATTTCTGACAGGTCACCTAGACATCTCAGCCCCTTGCAAAATGACACGAAACCTCGATTTCTGGCAGCGTAAGATCGTTGTCACTATGATACTCAGACCCTGGACCAACGGTGGACCAACCTGTGGGGGTTCCCGAACCCCCCTCCTCAGAAACACCCGAAGCACTTACCATATAAAGAAATCCCCCAGTGGCGCTTTGGGAATTTGGCCAGCAGTCTCAAAACATGTATGTGCCTCACTGCCTCGGCTTGGTTTGCGCCCGAAGACATAGCACTCGCCCACAAAGTCGAAGCTCCAAGGACTGGCCTTCGGCCTCAGCACACAAGGTACCCTGTGGCCCAAAAGTACAACCGCTACATCATTCACTTCTGCTTCTTTGGGTGCAAAACCAACATATCCCTCCTCTGTGATAAAGAACCTACGGCCCGCCATGGCGCGTTTGGCAGACTCCTCGTATGTCCGAACTTCTTCCTATCGTTGAGCCTCATTCTTCATAGCCGTAGAGAGTCCCTGACTGGGTCATATGGATTTGGCCCCCAGTGGGTCCTTCTTGAAGGTGTTGGCCCCCTTTTGCTCTCCGCCCCTTAGTGAGGTGCAGACCCTGACACGGAACTCAGGCCCACCGTAGTAGCGGATTAGCGCTGGGGCCAAACGCATACATCGCGGCGATCGCTAAGAAACACGCCAATGTCTGCCAGCGCTGCCAAAATCCACAGGGGCACGACGCGTCGTCTAGCTGTTTCTTTTTTTATGGGCCAAGAAGTATTTAACATTAGACCCTCCCAACAATGTCCCCGTTGCTGGATAGTTCCTGCCTCTCTCCCCCCCAAGACCTGACTGGTTCTACAACTACGACCCTAGTGTCCTGACTGAGGACAATGCGACCGGTCGCTTTTTGAAGCTTCAAAGATGGGCAGCGACGCTATACGCGGGACTTGGCTTGGGCTACAGTCTGTGTTTTCGCGCCAGCGCTATCGCAGTGTCCCACTCCACCGACAACAAGAGACTGAATCGGAGCTACAGGAGACCGGAAAAAGTCACCACAGTCGTTCTTGCTCGCATCGATTACCAGAGAAAAGCATCAATCGAAGGTAAAGGCTCGAATTGATGAAGATGTTACCCTTATCCGGGAGCAAGCGTCCGACGGCGAGTTGGCCGCAGAGGATGGCACCTGTTCAAAACCACCGAAGCGTTCATGGATCGATGGGGCTTTTCTGTGTGCTAAAGGATCCGCAGTGATCCTTATTCTACATTTGATATTCGTCGCTATCGTCACTGGCCTAGCCAGCAGATATCCCGACAAGCGCGGGTTTGCCAGCGGTTCAGTAATGTACGAGGGCAGTTGCGTTTTGACCAAACGATGGTCAATTGCGCTCCATCTTATGATCAACCTATTGAGCACATGCATCCTTGGTGCTAGCAACTACTGCATGCAGACACTTGTCGCGCCGACTAGGGAAGACATCGACAAAGCCCATGCGAAACGTCGGTGGCTCGATATCGGGTGTTCAAGTCTGCGCAATTTGCTCGTGATGAAGCGCTCTCGTCTAGGGCTGTGGGCTGTTCTCCTGATCACAGCGACCCCGTTTCATTTATTGTGGGTGTTTTTGAGTCCGGTGCAACTTGGCCGAAGCTAACATGATATTGAAAGGTACAATTCTATGATCTTCGAAGCCGTCAACACGAACGAGTTTGGATATATCATTGCCCCTAGAGATATTAGCCCGGACAACATCTGGAATATGACCACGCCCGAACTGGAACAATGCTTCGTGTATCCAAATTACAGGATTTGGGGTGACATGAAGTGGTCCGACTTTGCCACCATCATCGCTGACAAGAATTACGATCATATCTCTACCCGGGAGTGTATGTCATATTTCAACCAGACTAACCAGCGTGGTATCAAAGCACTTGTCGCGCTCACGCCAGAGCTTTCCGTCAGTGATGGGGGTAATGATGCTATTCTATCGGTGCAGGTATTGGAGGGTGTGCCGAGCTCAATCTCAACAGGTGAAAGCCATGGAGTAGACCATTTCAGCACGAACGGTTATGCAGCCTATGGCGACAAGATATGGGGGAACGGCTACTCCTCAGATGAAATCACCCTACACGTCGATGGTGGGCCGGTTTACTACTCATACAACATTTCATCGATAGAGGACTGCGTGGGTGAAGGTGGCAAGCGCCCCGCGTGCGCGCACGCTGGTGAAGTGATGGGGTGGGTGAATAGCGGCTCTGCCAAAACGATTGCAGGTGTCCGCGACTACATCGACACCCATGATATACAAGACGTCAAGGCTGAAAACGCAATCACCTGTGGCGACAGCATGCGTTGGGATGAATACACTATCGATGGATGTCTGGCGGTTCGAGCTGAACAGCACTGCAGATTGATGTACAGTCCCCCAATTTGCATCGTGATTGCTCTGACGACACTCGCGAAAGTGGTGGCCATGTTCTTCGCAGCTCGAATTACAAGCCTTCAATCGGCTCCTCTGCTTACATTTGGCGATGCCGTGGCATCTTTCGTCGCGAATCCTGATCCTACCACGGTCGGGATGTGCTGGATCTCCGGTGTTGACCTCCACCGGGGTAAATGGAAGAATCTAATCCCACCACATGCAATAGGGGCAGAAAGTGTCATAGAAGACAACTATGAATCTGCCACCATAATCCACAAGCCACTCTCACGCCGAAAACGTTGGATACAAGCCCCAAGTGTCATGAGAAGCTCGGTAACCGTAATTCTGTGAGTTTTCAAGATGGATTAGTACACTTGGCCGTTCTCATAAAGGAAGCTAACAACTCTGTGTCCCAGGTGCCTGGCATTCATCGCCGCAGGGGCATGCCTCTTTCAGAGAGCCATCGTCAGCGACTGGTTAGACTATACCTCAGACTCGGCTCTCAGCATCAGCCTCCTCCGGGAATGGTGGTCAGAGATCAACTCAAGCACATATAGTTTCATCGACAGTCCGGGCCTTCAGCTGCCCATTCTGAACTCGGTTATAATAGCCAATATCCCTCAATTAATCCTCACCATCTGCTATTACTGCTATAATAGCATTTTGACTAGCATGGTGGCCGCAGCAGAGTATAGCAGTTACGGGGCATCGCGTCAATCACTTCGCGTTACATGGCCGGTCAAGGGGAGCAAGCAACGTTCTACATATTGGCTCAGTATCCCGTACCAGTACTCTGTGCCGATTCTGGTGATGTATACAATTCTGCACTGGCTAGTCTCACAGAGCATCTTCTACGTTACGCTCATTCCGTACCGACCAGGAGGTCAGGTTGATTGGGGCCCGGACCGTCTGCTGAGCTCAACCGCTACACCATCTGGATCTGCCTCTGCGGATCCAAATTCTGCATATGGAGGGGAAGGAGGGCAAACAGTCAACTCACTAGCATATTCTCCATTGCCGCTCTTCGTGGCTCTGCTGGTTGGGGCTTTCATGCTAGTGGTTTTGGTTTGCTTGTCGTTTCGAAAGTTCAAATCTGACATGCCGTTGGCGGGAGCTTGTAGTGCTGCTATTAGTGCTGCCTGCCATCCACCCCAGGACGAAAATTTGGAGACTGCGGCGATGGACCGGTTGATGTGGGGCGAAACAGTAAAATCACCAGCATGGGTGATGGAACAACTCGGTAAGGATGGGGGTAGCAAGGGACATTGCTGTTTCACTTCATTAAAGGCTGAGAGGCCCTCGACGACGAAGTTGTATGCCTAGTTCTAGATGTCTTGGAACTTTATAGAGGTATCATGAAAGGAATGATATTAAACCCTAACGGATACATAAAGACCTTAACCACGTATTGTATCGCATGTGATTAGTTTTGAGAGCGTGTCTCGATATTCTTGTGATAAAGCTTGAGTACAAGCTTCCATGCGATTTTGTAGCAAACATATACAGGTGGATACTCTCGTATTCATCAACTTGCTCCCATTCGGCAAACGGGAGGAAATTCCGCTGATCTCCGGGCTCATGATATTATTGACGGCAAAACTCCTTGAAGAGACACCATCGACAAGTTCTTCTACTAACCTGACGATGCCGTGATTGGGGATTACATTATGACTATCTTTCCCGCGCTATATCGAGTCGAGGGGAATAATCAGCATGATATTTTGGTTTCCAAGGGGACTCTCCTAGTCAAGGCTTGTGAGGAGAGTCTCCCACCTTTGAAAAAGCTGAAGCTTGCTTGGAGCGCAGATTCTCGAGATCAAAGTCCTTCTATCAAGCCCGAGCCCGACAACATGACTCAGAATCGAACCATGCAGAACATTCCATGGACATCGAATCATGCTGGCAGTTCCCAGAAATTCCAGAAGAGAGCAGCTGGAGACGGCAACTTCCAAGTTGTCATCCCCAAGCAGCACTCCAGCTGATCTGAAGCTTTTTGCTATTTCGAGTGGATAATGCCCATGGTCAATATGTTTCTTTTTTCACAATCTAGCAACTATCGAACCAAGTGAGCTCGAAAAATGATCCTAGTCGCACTCAAATTTTTCTCTTTCCCATTTGGTATTTCGTGTACCCTAGTGGCCTCAATAACAATTATGCATCCCTGTTATCTCGCATCTACTCAGCCACGACTCCGCACGTGACTCTCGATGTATGCGATGGAAGTGAAGACGCTGACTTGCTGCATGAGGCATCTGAATCTGTGCAGATTCTCATTGTTCGAAAGCGAATCCATGTATTGTACGCATATGTTCAAAGCCCTCTTAATAATTGCGATCCTTGATTTCTATGTCCACCTCCTCGCAGTAGTATACATAGGCACGAAGCCTCGACCAGTTCCGCCCCCATTTCAATGACACGCTTTCCCATATTTCCGTAGACGCAGGTAATTATATGGCAACGGAGCCAGATACCCAGCACCTATCGACAACACGGCCGCCGCCCAAAACTTGGGGTCCTCGAACGCAACAACTCCACCGGTTAAATGGTAATCGACTGCATTCTCGGCAACTTCCATTGCTAGCATGGATACCATGCTCATTCCCATTGCAGTTCGGGCAGCCATGATCCACGAGAGCTGGTCAGCACCACGGCGGAGCAGGATCGTCTCGAGGATGATGGATGTTGTGATTCCGGAAGCCACTGGAGTTGAGTGTTAGCATGAGTTATACGTATTTTGAGTGGGCGAGGGGTTAGTGACGCACTGGATGCTAACATGATAGTGTTCATTCCGAGTTCTGGATAGTAAGACTGCAGTGTCCATAGTGCAGAGAAATCGCCTACTGTACAGCCGATTAGACAGCGCAGCGTGTTGATGCCAGCCCTCCTCCATGTAGAGCGACATGCCCAGAACGCCCGAGAAAATGTTGAAAGAGGACTGGCCGAGGGAGAGGAGGTTGTGATCTGGCAATTAGATTTGCTCTCTTGGTTTGACTGGCAGGCTCGTGCGGGTAGGGAGTTTGCAAAATATCGAGGCCCCAAGGGGCTATAAAAAATCGCAAATCTGGCTTGTCGGAGGCATGGTGTTCGGGTTATTTGATTCATGATCAATATGTCTGATAAAGGAAATGCGATACATGCAAGCAACTGGACTGGCTAGGTGTGATCGGCATAGTTTTATACAGTTGGATCCGGAAAAAAACGCATAAATCACGCAGGGCGTCTGGGGTCTTGGCGAGTTTGTATATGGCGGAATTCTGGTGAGTCTTAACACGGAGGAAGCTAGCACAAATGCCTCGTCTGAAGGACTCCAAACGAGCATTACTTGATCACCGTGTTTTTTATTGTGTCCTTTGGGCCTTCAACCCATCTCATTGGGCGTGACGAGTCTTTTATTGGATTTGCTTTTTTGGTCGTCGGCGGTACCCACTGCAGTGACTGCGCTGCTGAAAAAGCGATCGCCGAGGTTTCTTGGCAGGAGGCCTCAGGCACGCACTTCTACCAGAGTTGATGTCCCTTCCAAGATTTCCCAAATCCTCTTCTCTGTGGCGCATGAAAGAAACACAGACTTGAAAACTCGTCCTCCACTTCAGCTTGATGCGTTCCTGCCCCTTCATCCCCCTCGAAGCCGTCCAGCTTGAGTCACACGAGCTGAAACCCCCAGTCTACGAAGCAAACCTTAATTCCTACCTTCTTGGTATTCCCACAGGCTACAGCCTCTCCACTCCACAGTTCTGCAACACCAGCGACGTCTCACCATGGCGTTGAAAATCTCGCGCATCCAGCGACTGAGTGCCGTCATCGGCATCTCGTTCTGTTTCTTCCTTGCTGAAATTTCAGGTACGTATTCTCTTTGACTCGACCCTCGGTTTGCATTTCAAACTGGACGGGACCGTCGAAAGCGGAGTCTAAGCGATAAACTTTGAAGCTAATCGCATCCTGTAGTTGGTTTTTACACGCATTCACTAGCCTTGGTAGCAGATGCTTTCCATTATGTACGTCCAAGCTGGAGCTTTGCGAGGAACACGCTTGAAGAAAGCATACTGACATGCCCAAGCTGAATGATCTAGTTGGCTTCATCATCGCCCTTGTTGCTGCCATCGTGAGTACCTTCAAATGAAATTCAACCCACATGGTCTAACTTGACATAGGTTGCCGAGAGAACAGATCCTCCGAAGGCACTTACGTTTGGCTGGCAAAGAATCCAGCTGCTGGGTGCCTTTTTCAATGGAGTCCTACTGTTTGGTCTGGGCATCAGTGTCTTCTTGCAATCCATCGAGCGGTTTATTTCCCTGCAACGTGAGTTTTTATCGCTGGTGCAATATGAATGGAGAATGCTAACTGTATACTAGACGTCGAGAATCCCAAGCTCGTCTTGGTTATGGGATGTGTGGGCTTTGGCCTGAATCTTATTAGCGTGCTCTTCCTGCACGGTATGAACTACGCGGTGTCCCCTCAAATAGTGCTTGTATATGCTAACATGCTCGTAGACCACGGACACGATCATGGCGGTGGTCATAGCCACGGCCACAACCACGGGCATGAGCACAGTCACAGCCATGCCCATGGCACAGACAGTGGCGAGGGCTCCGCACCTGAAGCCTCTACAGACACAGATCCAGACGCAGTCAGGCTAATGGACGGAAAGGTAAGCACCGCACTTTCCGAGCCATCGCTCACTCCAGAGGCTAACTCGACCAGCACATCCATCACAAACACCTCGTCAACGCTCAGAACGTCTCCCACAAACCGCACCGGGACCTCGCCATGATGGGCGTCCTCATCCACGTCATCGGCGACTGCGCGAACAACCTCGGCGTCATCATCGCCGCAGCAGTAATCTGGTTCGCCAACTACGGCGGTAGATTCTACGCCGATCCAGCCGTGAGCATGGGCATCGCCATCATGATCTTTGCCTCCTCCATCCCGCTCAGTACGTTCTTCCCCAGACCCCTTTTCGCATAACAAGCAAGAGTCTAACACAAAAACAGTCAAACACTCCGGCCTCATCCTCCTCCAAAGTGCCCCGCAAGGCGTCGACCACGACGACGTCAAACACGACCTAGAACAAGTCCTCGGCGTCCTAGCCGTGCACGAGCTGCACATCTGGCGACTGAACCAGACCAAATCGCTTGCCTCTGCGCACGTCGTTCTCGACGGCGACATCGTCGCCGATTTCGACAGTCTGGCCAAGACGATTCGGGAGTGCTTCCATGCCTATGGTATTCATTCTGTGACGCTGCAGCCGGAAATTCATACTAGTCGGCAAGTATCGACGGGCCAATCAACGCATAGCTCTGCGGTGGATACGGGTGTCGGGGAGGGAGAACGTGCTGCTAAGAGGCGGGTGAGTCTTGAGCGGGCGATTAATGAGTGTAAGACTGGTTGTGGGAGTTTGTGTCTGGATTTGACCTGTTGTCGTTGAGGGGGGAGATACCCGTGCTCGTGTTTGGAGAAAAGTACATAGAGTGTATGTTGTCGGAGGCAGGGTGTGCCAAGTGTATGAATACGAAGAGAGTGATTGACTACGATTGAGATTGTCAAAATTGTAGATCATGCAAATGCAGGCTCAATTATAAGGAGCTATTTCCACTTAAACAATGCATAATAAATGTAATGCAATGCTAGGTACTAACTATTATATCCAATACAAATCCTAAGATTCCCCGCAATAACCCCAAGGTTTTAACCCTTCCTTTCTCCCCACCCATTTAAAACCCAAATATATACATGAAAACCCCCGTCCCAAACTACCGCCCGAAGAAATGGAGCTCCAGCGGCCGCAAAGCACAGTACACAACGAAGGAGAAGGCGAAACCAAGCTCAAAGCCCACGTCACCACCATACGGCAGCTCACCCGCATGCTGGGCAATGGGTCCGACAAACCACGTCTGGCTCATACCGCTGATCATACCGGCGATACCGAAGCAGAACGCGATCGTCGCCGCGATACCCAGGGGCAACTTGTCGGGTTTATCGTAGTGCTCTGGGTGGTAGCCGCGGAAACCGCGCTTGAAGACGAAGTGGTCGGCAGCCGCGATACCAGAGTAGATAGCCAGCCAGTAGGCAATGAAGTTCATGAAGTTGTCGAGGACGGTCTCGAAGTGGGAGTAGCCGGGGATGGCGATGGCGAGGGAGACGCAGGAGGCGAGGAAAGTCCAGATGAAGCGGGGCACGCGCTGCGTGTAGCGGCTCAGGACTTGCAGGGTCAGAGAGACGGAGTAGATGTTGGGGCAGTTGTTGGCGATGATGGACAGGGCTAGGATGACCAAGCAAAACTTGCCGAAGCCGCCCAGGGGCTCGAGGACGGCACCGATCAGACCGCCGTTGCCGGACTCGGCGTAGCCTGTGGCGTACTTGTTGTTTCCGTCGTTGAGGGCGGTGGCTGTCATCACGGCGATGCCCAGGAACTCAGTGAAGAGCAGGGGGATGATCAGGCCTATCCAAGTGGAGAAGAAGACCTTGCGGCGGCTGCGGTTGGAGGGCTGGTAGACGGTGTAGTCGGCGGCGTAGCTGGTCCAGCCGGTAGCGAAGCCGTAGACAGTCGAGCCGAAGGAGAGACAGCCTCCGAGCTCGGAGGTGCCGACGCCCATGGGGATGTTGACAAAGTCACCGGAGTGAGCAAAGACACCCAGCACAATGAGGAAGACGATAAAGGTGGGGATCCAGCTGTACTTCTCATACTTGTGGACAACCTTGTATCCGGCAAAGGTGATCAAGAGGGTGCAGAAGGTGATGATTAGGATACCGGCGAAACCAGGGACGGTGCCGTTGATCGCGTTCAGCAGCTGCGCGCCCACGATGGCATTGGCAGCGGACCAGCCGACGCAGGCCAGGACGTTGAGAATGGCGACTATGGGAGAGGAAGCTACGTTAGCTTTCTTGTATTTTCTTGGATTGCAATTCGCGATCGCCATTTTCCTTGCGAGAGATACCACTTACTGAACTTCACGGGGAACCAGCCGAACCAGAAGCGAGACAGCACCATTTGGCGCAGACCGAACGCGGGACCGAAGCAGGAGAAGAAGCAGACGGTCAAGACACCGAGGAGGTTGAAGAAGAGGCACACGAGGATGGCATCGACAAAGCCCAGGTAGAAGAGCGACTTTCCGAGAACACCAATGGCGAAGGAACTCACGACCATGTTGGCCGCCAGCCACTGCAAGGAAGGATTCTAGTCAGTCGGATAGTTCCAAAGACATGGTTCCCACGGTATAGAAGTATATCGCCAGAACCCGTGAAGATCAACGAACCATGCTGCCAATATTGACGTAGGAGGTATCGGTACGCTCGTTCTCGGGCACGCGCTCAATGCCGCGCTGTTCAATGTTGAACTTGCCGGCGATGCGCTGCATCCTGGCGTAGAGCGAGTTTCCATACTCGAAGCTCTCGCCGGGGACCGCGCCATCGCTGACAGTGTCATAGTTCTCGTTGCTGTTGCTATCGTAGGCCAGGGCATTGTCGACCTCGGGGCCCTTCTCGATGTCGGCCCGCGAGCCCATTCCGAACTTGGCGAGCATGGTGGATTCGGGATTCGGTTTTTATCTTCGTTCGAGGAACCAGAAAAAACCGTGAAAAAAAGTTCACGCGAAGTTATTCCACCGAGGGAGGAAGGTATGAGCACCGCAGGCTCGAGGGGGAATTGGGATTTGGGGAAGGGGGTTTGGGAAAGGAAGTCAAGACCGTTCACATCGTTCTCTCTTTTTTTTTTTTTCTTTCGGTTCCACTGCCAGGGACAGGCGAGTTATATAGTTGACAAAAATCTTGTGCCAGTGCGCGTCGCCCCACCGGTCGCGAGGGACAGTGGCGAGTCGAAAAAAAAGATAGCCGGCACCTGTCGCGTGGGCCCCAAGAAAAATTCCAGAAAAGAAGCAAATGACAAGCCTTGCCCGGGTTGGCCCGGTGGGTCTATCCAGAAAGATGACCAGCCAGCAAGCATCGCGATCCAATGAGCATCTCGACCGAGCTTCATCCCGCTTATCAGCAAACCCGCGGTTTCCCCCTGCGCTCTCTTCGCTTCCAGTCGCATTGGCCGGTCGGACCACCCGATAAGAGCCGTGCGCACCAGATGCTGTGAAAGATACGCTCCGATAGCTGCCGCGTGCCTGACTTGCTCTGACTGGTGCTATTATGCGATACCGCCTATCCATGACCATTATCTACCGGGTACTCCAGATTCCATACGGAGTAGTGACTGGTATCTGACTATCCGAGTCGGACATTCTATCCCAGCCAAGAAACTACAATCTCAACCAAGCCTCGAACACGCTGCACCTGCAACGGGAACCGCCGACGTGGAAAGCTTGACTCGCATATCACCCTCCCTTTACGGGCACAACCAGAATCACCATTCAACAAGGATCAGGATGTGCGGGGGGAGAGGCCCATGCCGCAACTCAATTTCCTCCCTCGTGGCACTGGCAAGTGGCAACCACACCCCCCTCCTCCCCGAATCATCCGAGGCTGATATCGCGATCCGCCATCCTCACTCGTCCAGGAAAGCCCGCCTCCAAAACGCTATCCAATGATCCATAGCCTCCTCGGACCCTGATCCAGCAGGTTGAGCCGGTCGGCCACCCGCGATCACATCCCGTGCAGAGCCCATTTCCCGCGAACAGGGCTAATAGGCAAACAGGAATGCATGACGCTGATTCTCCGCATCTGATGTGCCCCGGATTTCTTGTTTTGTTGCTTGGGCGCCGATGAGGAGAGTTTCCCCTCCTCCCACCAACCCTGAAGGTTGTACATCCAGAGCGGAGATCACCGTTCGCAACGCGATTGGTGCACCCAGCTCTCCTCCCCAGATCTTCAAGCAATCCTATATCGTAAAGCTTTTTTGCTCCATCCAACACATCTACAGTACATTCTGTATCTCGATGGGGCCCGGCGGGCCAGTGCGGATATCCCCAGGATCGCCTCCGATCCATCCAGAGATTCCAGACTAACCTTGTCAAGCTTATTTTTGCTTCTTACGTATGCAAGCCATCTGCGGCTCTACCTCTCAGTCATGAATCATGAATCATGATCCTCGATGTACGGAGTACTTGTTTTCCATTAAGTCGGAGCTCCCCGAAGGATCGGCCCCCTGTTATCGGATCCTGGATCTCCCTGCCTTCTCGGGCTCGGCCTCGGCGCCTGGGCACATGCTAGGGATCGTATGCGCTGGTGTTTTACGAGGAGATTGCGGGTCAAGCTAGAGATCTCCTCCGCCTTGATCAAATGATCAAACTAATCTACTATAGTATGAACGGAACTCTCTTTCAATTTCTAACGACACTGTCCCAGCACAATATACATGATTGGGTCTCGTGTCGCTTCCTCTTGACTTCATGTTCATGTCGGCTATTAACTTTCGGAGTTCTCTTCGCAGGTGGGTGACTACACTGTGATCATCCATTTCACCAAAAAGTATACCTCTTCCCGACCACCCGAGCCTCTGAAACCTACGTCCAGGCCCTATAGACTGAATGAACTCTCGGCCCATACCATTCATGGAACCAACCCCCGCGTCAAAATAACTACCATAAGAATGCGAAAACAGCTGAACCCTTGCAAACTTGGGTCATAGAGCTCGCCCAAGTAGTACGCCCATTTGAAGATTTGGAAATTCCCGAATTAATCGAATCTCACAAGCTTGGCAGTCTCGTCCTCAACGGATTGTTTGTCAATACCGATGGTATACGTGACTTCACACTGAATTATCTAGATATACTTCTCTGCGGCCTCTCCTTCATCGTCCCAGTGGATTAACAGCGTTCAAGATTCGGGGCTAGTTCATCCCGACTAGTTCTCTGTTGTTCCACGGTGAGATGGCTCGTCAGGCAAGATACAGGAGGATAATCAACGTCCAGGAATGCAACTGCCATAATTCTTTCCAGTTCACTACATAGCTACATACCTCGGGTGCAATAGAATAGCTCGTACCGTGAACAGATTTCTCACCAGGGATGTTCAGCAAGGAGTCGGTCCGAACAGAAAACAGTTGCCTTGCCTCCACCGCTGTGTACTAACGATACTCTAAAGTGGAACTGGGTCGCGAGTAGCTGGGTCTCGTTGAGGTCGTACGCGATGCTGTACCTTGGTGAGCAAATATCGGCGCCTGCGACTGGACTAAAGAGAGGGTTAGACGCGCGACGGCATGTAGCCCCCTGATCGTCAGTCAGCACACATCCGTGTTCCTTCATAACATGCTTATATCGTGACGGGACTTCTCGTTGTGTTGATCTTGGAAGATGGGTTGCACGGTCCCTGGAAAGGCTGGTTTGGGTTGTTTCATCTTAAGTTCTTGGCAGGAATCAATGTATCTTACCAAGCTAGCCGCTGGCTGCCCTGGTTTTTGATCTGTCGCTGTCGATCACACTGCTGCCACTGCTCCTGGCTTCTTGTCTTCGTCCTTCCTGAAGGATATCTACCCCTGAAGAACTAGACGTGTATATATGAAGAGCAGGATCTCGCTCATTCTCTTGCCCAGTCGTCTTTGCTATATTAGTATCTTCTTGTGGAAGCCAGCGTCCTCGACAGGCCCATTTGTCTGTCTTTTTTTTTTTTTAGCCCAGTGTTACCAAAGACTAAAAGTATAATGCCCCAAATTTACATTCAACTATAGCACATATCAAGTGAAGAGAAAATACAAGAGAATATGCACTCGTAAAAGAGACATTGTGCCTGATAGAAGTAACCAGTCATTCATCCATATGGTTCGAGGATCCTTTTAAAGACAACCGAGGCACTCTGATCAATGCTACACGAGCAAGGACCAGTGATGAATGCAACAGCAATAGGAAACTTGAGCCATCAAAGTTTAGACTGCAGTTTTTTGAAGGGTAGTCAAGATTCGACTTTCCAGGTAGTAAGGAAGCAAAACTAGCCTGATAGATAACTTTGTTGTACCTGGTGAGTTCCATCAAATTAGAGATGATCATTTTGATACTAATCATGTTTACAAGATGACGCTGCATGCCACAGTTCTGTCCTGAGTACATCCATACACATACAGAGGTTTTCTGACATGCTACTGAATAACCCATTGGGGGGTCTGCGTTTAGAAAGCTTGTTGCAATGGTCCCTAGAGTATGATTTGATGCATACAATGTTCTCGAGCGTATCGGATGAATTACTTGTACAAAATATAGCAAATTGGAAATGAGCTTCTAACATCTGGTGCACTGCAGTGGAAGTCTTGCAATGTTACTAAGACTTCTGTATATACCACTCTTGAAACCTGGACGTTCTTCAAAAACACCCTTCTGGCAAGTCCGGGTTCGATTCGGCCCTTAAAGCTCTGTGATGTTCCGTGCCGGACACATGACCGTTTTAGTAGTCGGGCCAGGACCGGCTCTCCTTTGGTCACATGCCCGTCCCATGGCCGAAGCCCGACATGAGGGCAAACGCATTTCCCGTTTAGGAAGGCACGATCCACGCTGCCTTCTCCAGACAGCGAGGACACAAATAACGCCCCAATTGAGAAAAAGGAAACTAGGGCTTCCTCTTATCCTAATGGGTATAAATATCTCCTCCTCCCCAAGACTCCTCTTCTTTTTCTTCCCTCTTCAACTCCCCACTCCTCAGCCTTTTGGCCCACCTTCTGGCCCACTGGCCTGTTACTCAACTTTATTTGGACTTCCATCTTAACTTGTCCCTCCTACCTTGACTTGTCTCGTCCATCATGACTTGTCTTTCGACGTCTTGGATTGTCACCCTCATACCTCTTGAGGCTTCTTCTCAGGTGAGATGGCAGCCCTCAATGAAGTGATTCCCTCAACAGCTACTGACCAGCGGCTGCAGGGATTCTTTGCAACATGTCTCTCCTCTCACTACTCTTGGTCTTGACCTGTCGACCCTACGGGATCTCAACTACCAATCTGACCTTTCATTCTTCGGTCAACCCATCAACGATATGTCTGCTTTAGGGGTCATTCCCTCATACCGCCTCTGGAACGTTCCATCCTTTGATGGCATGCAGAACCAAACAAATAGGTAAGGGATCTTACCTACTCTTGTCGTTCTTGGCCTCAGCTAACATCCTCAGCAGGAGCCTACACTAACGTTCTTGAGTGAGCCTCGATGACCATGAACTTGGTGTCGAGCCTGTGTAGGGTGTGGTTAAACCGGTAACTGCTTCGGCACCCACCTCTGGGGAAGCTGGGGGTGACTGTGTCTCCACTGCCAAATATTTCAGCCTCCTCGTTTGCTCTTCTGCTGGCAGTCTCTACTTCGAGAGGCTTGCCATGTATTTGAGATACTCACAGATTCGCAGGTCGATCCTCAAACGAACGCCGCCGTTCCAGCAACGAAAGACGACAAACCGACACCTAGTTTGGCTCAACTCTTCTCTGAACAGGCGTCATGTAGCTGGGAACCCAGTTTGCATGTCAGGACAAATTCAGAACGAGTTCAGTCATTTCCACGACATGACACATTGACCTTCAATCACCGTCATTATCCGTCGCCTCACTCGTGACCTCCGCCTATCGACAGAACAACCTACTCCAAGCTTGACTCAACTCTTTCCTGAACAGGCGTCATGTAGCTGGGCAACCAGTTTGCATGTCAGGACAAATTCAGAAGGCGTTCAGTCATACCAATCACACATTTTCTTCCCCGTTCTTTCCATCTATCCACTGCCGCACAAAAACACCAATGCCGACATTGTCCCGGCCATCCATATTCAATTCTCAACGTCCTCCACTTTGAACCTCACCCTCCGACCCCACACCCAAAAAAGTCGTGCACCTCAGGTCCATTTTGGTACGTACCGACTACCTGTCGGTCTCAGATATTTTCAAGTCCATTGGGGGAATCACAAATACAAGGATGATGGTGGAGGTTGAAAAGGAATCAAATATTGATCATGTTTCATGTACCATTGCTTTGTCTTCTGGGAGCTACTCAAAGCTTGGGCTACCCGAACTAAATAGAAAATGCAGTTTGGTTACTTCGTAATTATGATTGTCAATGGCCGAACCCACTCTGACGTTTACCATATACGGTTGTAAAATTTTGTGGTTGAGGAAGCATAGTTTATTTAGGAGGCTATATTTCAATTGTTTACCTCTGAAGCCAAGCTATGGCAAGTAGAAACAAGAACAAAAAGGGGGGATCATTATTTACAACTTGGCGACCATCTGGTTACCCTTCTTCAGGAGAGCAGCAGCATCCGTAACGAGCTCATCAACAATAGCCTTGGCAGACTTCTTCTCGTTCACAACGGCAGCGACCTTACCCATCAGGAAGGGACGGGCATTGTCCAGGACGTCGTCATCAACGTCATCGGGCAGGTTCTCAAAGTCGTGCTCGACGGGGATGATACCCTTGGCAGTGAGCTGCTTGATCTCCTCGGCGCGGTTCTCCTCCCAGTTCAGGATGTAAGGGTTCTTGCGGACGCGCAGGGGACGACCAGTGAAGATGATAGTGCGGATGTTGTCCTCGAAGCCGGAAGTGCGGACAGCCTCCTGGTGGGCAACGGGGGCACCGGCCTCATCGGCCAGAATGAAGCGGGTACCGATCCAGACGGCGGAGGCACCGAGCATGAGAGCAGCGGCGACGGAGTTGCCGTTGAACAGACCACCAGCGGCGATGACCTGGACGGGCTGGCCGGTCAGAGGGCTCTTGCGGCCCTGGACCAGCTTGGCGACGGTGGGGATGAGGATGGTGGTGGGGACGTCACCGGTGTGACCGCCACCCTCACCACCCTGGGCGCAGATGATATCGACACCGACGTCGAGAGCCTTCTGGACGTGCTTGGGGTGGCCGATCATGTTCATGCAGAGGATGCCGGCACCGTGGAGCCTCTCGACGACAGCCTTGGGGGGAACACCGACGGCAGAGACGAAGAGCTTAGCACCGCTCTCGATGATGATATCGACGAGCTCGTTGAGCTTGCCCTTGGTGTAGTCGTAGCTGTAGGTAAGAGCGAGTTGATTAGCCTGGTTGTCTTTGGTGTCTTCGCAATATCTGCTGTATCTTACTTGGTCTTGCGAGCACTGCCACCGACCTGGGGGAGGAGCAGGTCGACACCGAAGGGAGCGTTCTTGTCCTTCAGGTAGCTCTTCAGCTCGGCGACCTGCTCCCGGAGCATATCCGGAGTATAACCGACACCACCGATGACGCCCAAACCACCGGCATTGGTGACCGCGGCCGCCAGCTTAGGGCCAGCGGCCACGTTCATACCAGCCAGCAGAATGGGGTGGTTGATCTTCAACAGATCAGTGATCGGAGTGCGGATGAGCTCTGTGGCGGACACATAGTAAGCAACCGTCTAGCGTAGGTATAACAACAAGGTATAGCAGTATTAACAGTACAAAACTCACGAGGGGAGGCCATGATGCTATGCGATGTGATGCAAGATCGGAGAGATGGGGTGAGAAGAAGTGGAAAATCTGGGGAAAAGTAAGGCCCTAAATAAAGGGAGGCGATTCCTCGGCCTGTCACAGACACTCCCAAAATGCCTCGGTCCCTTTCAGCTCGCACGACCAGCACACGTTGGCCTTAGCCGGGCGGGGGTTCCGGGTCACAGCGACAGTGGGGCGGGACCCTTACGTAAGGCCGCAATCAGACCACTTGGCAGCCTCGCGTTTCTGGTGTCAAGGCATTCAGGCCACCAAAGGTGACGGATGACTTGCATGCACGAGACCAAACCGGACGAGAGTACCAAGTGGACGACTCCCAAAGTCTAGCTTTCGTTTGGTTTTGGTTCTGTCTCTCGTTCCTTTCTTTGCTCAACAGCATGAGCTCCGTGGCTCTACGCTTTCAAGGAGCCTCTGCATTCGCTGGTGCCCGTGGCATTTCGCATTCATGGCGACCATTGCGATCGGCTAGCAGCGTCCCGTCATTACCGGGGTCTCCGGACGCGTCGAGGTACTACACTCGGCCATTGAACGGGTCTTGGACAAACAGGCAAGTCTCCACATACATGTCGAGTCATAGTTGATGATATGGAATCAATATCTAATTTGTACCTTTATATATAGTTCAATTGCTGTCATGACCTCAAGTAAGTGCTCCACGGCCAGACCGGCCTTATCTGTTAGATTATCTGTATCGCGCAGAAAAAAAAAATAGGCCAGGATGTCCCCGCATTCTTTTTGGACCTCCTTCTCTCGCGCCTATATATTACAAAACCACGTATACTGAGACTCAAGCAGGGCCAATTTCTATGGGGAATCTGGCGCATGTATCTCCCTGCGCTGAAAATGTCAGATCGAAGCGTATGACCCCGCTATCGCAGCTCAAAGCGTCTGAGAGGAGATTTTCGAGCGGAACTGAGCCGCGCATGGACTCCAAGATGAACCCGGTTCAGGGTGGATCTCAACTTCACCGCGCGTTTATCGCGCTGGGGAGTAACGTGGGCGATCGGGTTGAAATGATTGAAAAGGCCTGTCTGGAGTTGGACAGGGCCAATATCAAGGTTAAGAGGACTAGCTCGCTGTTTGAGACGACGCCGATGTATGTCTTGGAACAAGATACTTTCATCAATGGAGTCTGCGAGGTAGGTAATCTATGTCTACTTGGATTTGATTGTATGGACAAGTCACTGATCAAAGACAGGTTGAAACTACTCTCGCGCCGATGGAGCTGCTGGATACTCTTCAGTCTCTTGAGAACGCCCTGGGCCGCAAGAAGCTGATCGACAAGGGTCCGCGCTCTATTGATCTGGATATTTTATTATACGACCAAGAGGTCTTCTCTCATGAGCGTCTAATCGTTCCACACAAGCTCATGCTAGAGCGAGACTTTGTCCTCCGGCCACTCTGCCAGTATGTCGCAAACCCACGTTCCATCCCAAAGAGACAATCCGTCCTAACATACCTAGATTAATCCCCCATGAACGACCTCCCCAACAAGGCAAGAACACACAAACATACAGCGAATATCTCAAAGCTCTGCCACCCCCAGAGCCCACCCCCCACTCAACAACACCAATCTCTTCAACCTTCCCATCCCTCCATGCCACAGATCCCACCCGCAACACCCACGTCATGGCCATCCTCAACCTCACCCCCGACTCCTTCTCCGACGGAGGCACCCACTCCCCAACAGACTTCACCCAACTCACCAAAACAGTCCGCGACTTCATCTCCTCCGGCGCAACAATCATCGACATCGGCGGCGAAAGCACCCGCCCGGGCTCCACGCCCGTCGGCGCAGACGAAGAAATCGCCCGCGTCGTCCCAGCAATCACCCACATCCGCACCTCCATCCCGGAAGCAGCCAACATCGCCATCAGCATCGACACATACCGCGCGCGCGTCGCGGAAGCAGCCTGTGCCGCCGGTGCAGATATCATCAACGACGTCTCCGCCGGCCTACTAGACCCGGACATGCTCCCCACGGCCGCACGCATCGGGAAATCCATTATCCTAATGCACATGCGCGGCACGCCGCAAACCATGACTAAATTAACCTCGTACCCTCACGGAGTCATCCCCGAAGTAGCGGCCGAATTGCGCGCCCGTATCGCCGCCGCCGAAGACGCGGGGATCCGGCGCTGGCGCATCATTCTCGATCCGGGGCTAGGCTTTGCGAAGAATCAGCCGCATGATCTGGAGATTTTGCGGGGGTTGGATGTGTTGAGGGGTGTTGAGGGGTTGGAGTGTTTTCCTTGGTTGATGGGGCCGAGTCGGAAGAGGTTTATTGGTCATATTACTGGTGTGAAGACACCGAAGGAGAGGGTTTGGGGCACTGCTGCTACAGTGTCTGCTAGTGTTGCTGGTGGTGCGGATATTGTGCGTGTGCATGATGTGCATGAGATGTGGCAGGTTGCTAAGGTTGCTGATGCGATTTATCGTGTCTGACTTAAGGTTGTGGGGTGAGTACATAATTGTCATGGCTTTGTAGAGTCATGGTTCTTTTTCTGTTCTTGTTTCTAGTGTTCTTTTTCAACATTTGCATATCGGCTCATAGGTTCCTTGAACGAACGATGCTGTGAGACCGGGTTACTCAAACAATGCGGAGGAATCAAGTCAATTGAGATGAAATATCAATCAAGACGCAGCCCTGCCAAGGGAATGAAGATAATTATTTTTGCCTTCATTCAATATTCCCTGTTTTATGTCGTCTTAAATAATTAGTATGTTCCACTGCTGTCTTCTGTCCTTCTTGACTCCATTCAAGAATCTTGGAGATGGGAGTGGGTTAATCTGGGAGGCGGCTACTAGGATTACCACTGAGGTTACTGAGGTTACTGAGGGCGGTAAGGTCGTGTAGGAATTCGTTGTTCCATAGCTCCAGGACTATAAGGCCGTTGTGACTAAAGATAAGCTGGGAAATGGAGAGCATTGTGTTCTGAGATTCGTGGTGCTAGTTGTGGTTCTTGCATATTCTGCCAGCGGCGGTGTTAGATGACACTATTGGGATGCGACAATTTACTGGAGCAAGGAGATACCGGCTGTAGCAGAGTTTATTCAAACTGTCATCGGCCAATCTACTTAGTGTATACATCAATCTTAAGATATGGCGTCATCTACACCTACGCACAGGAAGCAGTCAGGAAGAAAAGGAGGATAAGAGAAAACAGAGTTAATGGGTCCTCTCCTGGGTGCAAAATACCGACCTAGGCTAGAACACGCCAGTCCCCGTTCAAGACATTTAACACAGAATGGGCTAAGTCTGATAATGATGCCAATGGAGACTTGGAGGAGCATGAAAAGGATGTGATTATGTTGGAGGCATAAAATTCTGTGTGTACAGTGGTGTTCCATAAGTTTGCAACACCCGAAATTTCAAACCCATCCCATCAGCTATACTTTGAAAGACAAATTGAAACACAGATGCCGGGAATATCTAGAAAGACGGTTCAAAGACATTCAGAAAGATCTGTTAAAAACATAAAATCGAGGCATATTTTGACGGCCTGTTTTCTTGGTCCCTGGTTTCAGACTTTTGAACTGCCACTGTACATTGATTGGCGCATTGCTTCTGGGAGTACCCGGTTGGGGATAATTTTACCAAAATTTAGACATTTGCAGTGCAATTCGTCCTTCTTCCTTCGTGTATGAATAAAGGGTCAAAGTAATCATAAGATGATTGCTTCTTAGAAAGCGATTCATTGGATAGCAATATCTACCTTTTTGGTAGGACTAGAACTACACTTCAGCCATAGACGACTCGTTCCCACAAAGAAAAGTACTGCTCATCTTCTCAGCCTCTTCATAGCGCTTCTCTAGTAGCAAAGCGACAAGATCCTCGCGTTTCTTCCCTATCGCCTTAGTGGGGAGGCTTGTCTGAGCGTTCTTGAGCAGGATAGAAGCTGCTCTATCTAAGGCCTGCAGAGATCCATAGCATTTCCGTTGGTCTAGAACATATTAGCGATAAAACGAGCATCAAGGGAATTTGTAGACAATACCGAGATCATTCACATTGTCCGGGGTGAGGCCATATAGCGTACGGAAAGATTGCCATTCGGTGCTGCTTTTCTTGTAGCGCTCAGTGACTACCATGGCATCGGATCGCACATCACCGCCGTGGATAACATCATTATTCAGTCCATGGATCTCCTCCTTCCGGCGTTCTGTGTCTTTGTGAAGCGCATCTCGTACCCAGGTGGAAATAGCTCTTTGACCGAGATCCAGATGGCTCTGGCGATGGGATTCGAGTTTCTTGATCTGATCCTTCATGCTTGCCATCTCTGCGCGCATAGCGTGCATTTCCGCAAGAAAGCTAAAGCCCATCGCCTTTCTAGGGGGGCTGGGGTTCGGGATGGAAAAGGAATAGAACACCTCAAGAGATTGAAGATGATTAGGCCACCAGAAAGTAGTTCATAATTGAACATAATTAAACAGTATTGTGAGGCCGAGTGCGCCGTTTTCGGTATAGACCGCGTGTGGGCTGGATGCTCTCTATGAGCTGCTTACTTAGTTAGTTAGTTACCTAACTTAGTTAACTAGGTCCTTCTCCGGGTCTTACTGTCATTTTCCCAATTTGGCTTGGTGGATGTTGGATGTCACTCACCTTCCTATGAGGTTTCTGCTTTGTATATCTGTTTTGCAATTATCACTTTTCCCATCAACAACTCTTGTTTTCTTCATTCCCATCCAAATACCGGCTTTACTAAGCTTTCGTTTGCCAATACGTCGTCATCCATCGCTGCAAAACTCATCAAGCCAGCATGAACAATCCCGAAACTGCCGGGTTCCTGTGCGGCCTCGAAGGCAAGGACGTCACTCTCGATCCACCATCGGAGCCGCCTCTCCACCTGCCCCGCCAACCCTGGGTGATTGATAAGAAGCTCTCTGAACGATCTCAATCGATGACGCAGCAGGACGTTACTGATGGCCTTGGACTTCCCTTCGCAGCTGCTAAGTTTCTCTGCTATCGCAAGGAAATTCCTAGCAAGAAGGCTTTTATGCGCATTTATCTTCAAATTCCAGTTATTGGCACTCAATATCAGAGCCCTCAAATTCGACGAAAGCAGGCTGCTAAGCCGCAGCCACACGCTGAGTTGACGACCTTGAAAATGCTTAAGAAACTGGAATGCGATGTTGTCCCTGATCTCCTTGCCTACCAAGAGGGAAAGCAAGGCGAAGATAGTGTCGTTCCGGGAGGTAATATCACTTATGTGGTCTGGGATAAAGTCCCCGGGGAGCCTTTAAGCGCAGAAGAATTCTGGAAGCTAGATTTGAAATCACGCAAAGCGATCCGCGATAAATTTCGCGAAGGCTTTCCGTAAGTATACGGAAGTGTCTGCCTGGCGTGCTCTTGATTGACATGAAACTTAGAAAGCTGAAGAGGTATGGTTACCTACCGCGTATGTCAACCATGTCGAAAATTATCTATGACAAGGCCACTGGGAATATGTACGCTCTATTAGTTATTCAGTATTGAACACTTAAGCTGATACCAATCAGGCGTTTCTCAGGGTTTTCACGCGCAGGCCGTACTGATACAAACGATGAGTGGCATGACAAGTACTACGTTCTGTTTCACTTAGCAAAGCCATCTCTCACGACGATAGACTGGGCCGATGACACCACTGGGTGGACTTGGTGAACAGCAAAATCCGTCGAGAGTTCTTCTACTATTTGCATGAATCTTCAAATCCATAATGGAAGGATTTTTTAAAGGAGGATTCAAAAGTCAAATATGTATCGAAATGAACAAGTGTGAAGCTCCTAAATTGGGCATCGAGGACAGTGCCTGGCGCAAGCTTTCGTAGCGGGTGCCCGATGACGAGGTTGTATGGTAATAGCAACGCCAGGGGGAAAATGCGAGTCCTGGTGCCCTCTGAGAGAGCCCGCTGTGGGTGTCGCGCTGGCAGCATCGTGCTGAATCCACGGTCAAGGATAGTTCTTTGGCTTCGAGAGCTGCGCTTTATCCCGTCAGCATTGTGGCGGAAAGGTTGAGTGTTCTGTAAAGGTGTCAGCCCGCGCTTCGGATGCAAAGCCCCGAACTGAAGCTCCAGTACAGCTCGGCTACAGGATGCTGGGCGAGGTCTTTCTCTTGATTCAACATGGAGTTAGCGATGGGGGAGCATTCAATTCGGGGAGGCCGGGTGGCTGAGTGGATACGAGATTATAATATCGGGAAATGTGAGAATGACCGAGGTATGTACTTTCGGTTAAGACTTTAGTCAACTGTCTATCAGAATATACGAATCGTCATATCTTGGCATTGATCTTATGTATTTGGCATGCGCTTTTGTCTATCGCCGTGTAACATCAAGGAAAGGGCTTTGAAACAAAGAGCCATGTATTTTCTCAATTAACTCGAATCCTACCAGAGCACGGAAACATAAGGGAACGCAAAAGGGGGAGAACATGAAGCGAAGACAAAAAGAAAGAACCATGTTGTTGTAGAATGCGCAATGGGATTGCAGTGGACACAAGGAAAGGGAATCATCAGGTCAAACGTCAATCACACCAAGCGCAATTCCAAATTTGACCCTAGGTCTTTTCATCACAGTCAAGGAGACAGAGATTGTGGGAAGTGATAGCGAGAGTTGTGGACAGACAGAGAGGTATACGTCACGCATCACGGAGAATAGAGAGTCGAGGAGGGTGGTCAATGGGCTTGCTAAATAATCGACGAAACAGAACGTAGGGTAATCTGGGAAACGGTCTCGCCTCGCAATTAGCTGTTCAAGTAGTTGCGGATAGCACCTTGAAGCTTCGTGGCACCCTCGCCAACGAGATGGGAAAGGTTCTCGAGGTCATCACCGGCGGTGATACCGAAGCGTCGGACAAAGTCCTTGGCCGCATTCTCCAGATCTCCGTAACCATCATCAATTGCAGGAAGGTCGTCCTCGGGCCGGCCGAAGTAGGCATTGCTGGAGATAGAAGTGGCACTGTCGAATTCAGAGAGTCTCTGCTTGGCTTCCGCCTGGGCGTTGGGGTCGAAGCGATCACGGCCAAAGAACTCATCCGAAGAGATACCCTTCTGGGTACCGAAGCGAGTCCTCGTCTGGACAAGTTCTTCATCTATCGGGGTCATTAATATTATGTTCTGGTTTTGGCTTGGGTCTTGATACATACCATCCACATTGGACTTGGCGGGGCCCACGGCACCAAAGCCAAGCTTCTTCGGGGCCGCAGGCTTCGAGACCTGACCAAAGCCAAGCTTGTTCATACCCATACCCAGTCGCTCAACATCGCTTGAGCTGCGCTCATGAGTCTTGCCAGTAGCGCCAAATCCAGCTCGGCTGGGGCTGATAGGGGTGGGAGAGGTGATCGCCGGGGTGGAAGCTGCGGCCTTGGCTTCGGCCTGCTCAGCTTCGGGGTCGTACCCCAGTTTCTCAATGCGCTCTGCCTCCTCCTTGGCCTTGCGCTCCATCTCATCGAAATCAATATCACTGGCAACAACCTTCTTGGCTCCAAGCTTGGGCGCCTTCTTGGCTCCGAGGATACTGCCCTTCTTCGCGGCACTGGTCGTGGTAGTCTTGCGGGCAGCGGCATTTGCGCGAATGGCAGTCGGGGCAGGAGAAGAGGACTTCTCATCGGATGCAGACAGGGGGGATTTCGAGCGAGGGCCATTGGCGCCCGCGCCGGCGTTCAGGAAGGGTGAGCCATTGCGGCTCACGACAGGTGGGGTTCCAGTGCGGGAAGGGGGGTTACTCGGACGCTTGATGGAGGGCTTGTCCCACGACGAGAAGAAATCGTCATCTTGGTCGCCTGCAGGGGTACCGGAGCCATCTGATGGAGTACCAGCAGGAATATCCGTAATGACAACCTCACCGGGGTACCTAAAGGATTGCGCTTGTCAGCATTCCCGCGGATTCATAAACAAATCACCGAAATAGGGGGTGAAGGTACTGACTGTTGCTCATCCGCCGCAGCGCGTCGCTTCAGTTCATCCTTGTACTTGACAGCTGCATTGGATGTGTACTTGGTCTTGGGGTCCTTGCTCGCCAACGCAGCTGATCCTCCATGAGTCTGGAAGTACTTGGTCGCCGACTCATTTCCACCAACTTTCATCACTCGCAGCTGCTCCCATTGCCACTCTGTATAAAATCCCATCAGCACATGGTCATCCATCGGTCTCGGCGAATAAAATCACATCGGCGGATGATACATACGGTCGAGGTTTGTGGATCGAACAAAGGAGATGTGGACACCAAGGTTACGGTGATGGGCTGAGCAATCGAGGCACAGGTAGATACCGAAGGGGACTGACGACCAAGTCGGGTTCTTGGAGCCACAGTCAAAGCATAGCTACTCGCAAGAAGACCGTTAGTGGACAATGACCAAAAAACCGCAGAATGGGCAGCCAGAGGCGGGGTGTTGGTGCGCACCTTGTTTGCGGGCTTGAGCTTCAGCTTCTCAAAGATTTTTTGAGACTGCGCCTTGGAGGCACTCATGGTGGACGAGTGAGGAGACTATGAGAGGGAAGGAAAGGGTGGGCGGGGGGGGCAAGTCTCGAAGAGCAGTGAGAAAGAAGCCGAAATGAAGTATTTCGGGAACGGCGAACGTGGTCGAAGTCGAGACCGGAGACCCTGGCCCTGTAATTTGCACTTCTGCCGCCCCCCGAGTCGGCGGTAGATCGGCCAAGGGCACTCCGTAGCACTCCGTAACACACCGCCTAGATTTGCAAATATTACCATACCGTAATTTTGCCTCTGGCACGTGCCAAGCATGTTTGGTGCACAAAAAGTGTGGCAATGAAGTACTACATAAATCAAGTATACGATTCTGATAAATAGAGTACCTTCTTTCCATCCAACGCATCTCCGATATCATTCATGTGAATCTGTCTATCGCCTTAGATTGCTTGTCATAATAAGTATGCCTAGCAAACGATACCACTAAACGCACAACGATGTTTTTGACGGCTTTCAACCTCGGAACAAAGAATCATCCATCAATAATAGTTTATATCAAATCTTAAAAAGTTTCTGCGGCTTACTGCCCAAAAAAGCCCCGGTGTTGCGAGATCATATTAGACTGTCCACTCGATGCGAAACGCAACGGTAGCCTATACACAGAGCGCACACTCATCTCAGCCTCAAACGAGAGATCAACGCTATCCTAGCTATATCCCAATCCTAATATCCAGGTCCTCATAATCCTAATCAAGTCTACGAATAATCTTTGCGGGCACTCCTCCCGCAAGACACCCCGATTCAACATCTTTCGTTACGATGGCTCCAGCCGCTATCGTGGTCCCTTTTCCGATGCGTACACCAGGTAGAATCGTCGCTCTCCCACCTATCCAACAGTCTGACTCAATTATGATCGGAAGTGCAAATGATGTACCCTCATTTTCCTGGCGTGACTTGGCATCGATTGCATGTGTACCCGTACATATACAAACACCTGGTCCAATCAGAACACGATCGCCTATTTCAACGAGGGAATTGTCGTAGATCGAGACGCTGCGGAGATTGTTCGTGCCGAGTTAGTATGACACTGGTAACTTGTCGTCTGCACTTACCTACCAATATCGGCTTGTCAGTGGCTGTGATGTATCTGATGGGTACGGGAGAGGGACTCACTCGCGATTGATATAGACATCATCACCGAGGATGGTGTTACACCCCCATGTCACAAAGAATGACTGCTCGATACTTGCGTTCTTGCCAACCCGGCCGAGCATTCGCTTGGCTACCGCCATGCGTCTATTCTTCAATGAAGCGAGTGTGCTGTTTTCTGGTATAGATACATCATTGAATTCGTTCAGCTTTCGAAGTGTTAAAAGCTTGTATTCCATGAGCTTTTCCGAATTTGACGTCGTGAAGCTGGAAAACAAGGGTTTCTGTCAGCATGTCTACCTCTTAAATCTGCCAGGTCATGGACAGACTTCTTGCCGTTGATCATCTTTTCAAACTCCTCGCACCATGGCACTGGTATATCGCTGTTGATGATTGTATTTGCAATGTAACCCGCGTCATTTGACGCCATGGCTTTTTGCTAGAGTGAAATGGAAAATATAGGAGTGACTGTCTTGCCAAGTATGGTAATATTAAAAATTGGTCAACTCAATATTCGTGGTAGTACTTACCTACAAATAGAAAGAACTTCCTCATCTGAAAAAAAAAATTCTGGGCACAGACTGGTGGAGGTGGGGAAACAAGATCGTGGGGAAGATCTTTCAGACCCTAATGAGTCTGACCGCAGATCAAGCCCTTGCGCTCGGCCTAATCTCAATGCCTAATGGACCATTGGCTTTTGTACTTTTGTCACCTTGTCAAGCCATCTGGCGGCTCATTTGAGTAATCAGGGCTAAGCAGGAAGCCAGGATAATCGTCTCTGTTTCTAGATAAGAGTGTTAGGCTACTTTCTCGTAGCAAGTGTTCTTCATCAGTCGGGCTCTGGAAAGCTTTGCTCCCAGCATATCACCCTCTTGGTGCTCTCAAAGGAATTGAATGTCTTCCATAAATGCTCTCACTCAAAAGGAGTGAAATGACCCGAGTGGTTTCGAGGTCGATCGAGATGAAGCGACATCCAAAATAGCCAAGGCTATGGCGCGGAAACGGAATATTACGCTACCATTGTGAAGACCACCAGAAATGAGTGGGTATTTCTTTGATTGTGCCTCGATTTTGGGCAGTACAACGACGTCGAGCCAGTTGTAACAGAATGTATGATACATCAAGTGTGTCAAAGCTCATGACTGGGCGGCTAGTGGCCTGCTTTAAAAGTACAAAAATATGCGCGAGTCGAAAAAAGGAAGTGCACCGTTCTGAATATTGATGAAGATTCCCCGGTACATGCTCCCTAAGCTCACTCAATGACGAGTCGAACTTTTCAAGCGCGTCGCAAGGCACTGCGAATATGCGAAGTGATTGACGAGAGAGGTTGAATGGAAAAAGTCGAACGCGACTCAGCGCCACTGAATGCCAAAGAGCTTCAGTGAGCTGGCCACACTAGGCTTTTCGGCAGCTTTCTCCAGGATAATACGAGAATGTCCTTTCACATCGAGAGCAAGAAGCTGATACTCCCACTCATTCTTCTCCAAGGGCTTGATCATATGCACGAAGACGACGCCGGAGTTAAGCGGACCCTCAACCTGGAAACAGAGTTAGTTCAAGCACTTGGTAGACACGGGGTATCAGTCTGGGTGCCATACGTGGAAATTCATCCGAAGATGCTCACGGCCGAGCCGGTCCTTTTCAATCGTGGAACTACCCGACTCACATTAGTTTCCAGGTTCTCAAATCGCATCTCGCAATACTCACGCAATAGGCCGATTCCGCGCCCAGCGACTATTCGTCGTCTCCCCAAACGCCCTAATCTCCCTCCGATCACCCAGCACCTTTATGCACCGTGCATCATCCTTGACACGCTCAACAGCCTTCTCATACTGCCACGTCCGACTATTCGGCGAAATAACATCTGTGTAAAGAAGGTAAAAGACACCGCCCTAATTAAGACCGCTACCAGTTAGCACTTGCTCAGAATTTCTCCGAGCCCTAGCTAGGCTCCACGACACTTGGGCCAGGACAGAGTTGGGTTATACAGTAATTCATACCGTGAGGACAGCACCGGCCAACACCACCACGAAATTGAATGACTGCTGTGTCGCTCGTGAAACCTTCTCCCGCCCACTTAGCTCACCCCACTCGTATCGCCCATCGTCTGAGAGGACTGTGATGTTTCTCCGCTTCAGCTTCGGGCCGGTCTGTGTGGCGTAGAGTCGAGTGAGCTCCGGGCGGGGTGGATGGCGCAGGGGGACTGATGCGCGGGAGGATGCTCGTGGCAGAGCTCGTAAGCACTGTGGATTCATGGCGTGGTTGTGGTTGAAGATGTTCTGGGCTTCGCGAGGATATCGCAGGTCGATAACGATAGCAGCGGAGTGGAGAAAGCTCACGTGCCCTGGCTACAGTATTTGCCGATGCTTGGGGGTGGATTCCGCAGATGATTGGCTGAGAATATTTGTATGGAACACTGCATGTAGGACTTACGAAAGCTTCTAAATACCTAATCTTTTGATCCTCTTGTCCGGTATTTGTAGGGGCTTCGTCTTCTAAATAGCAACCATGACGCTCCCCGTCTCATGTTGTCAGATGCAAGAAAAGTAATCAAATTTTATAAAACAAAGCTATGGACATGAAAACACGTAAAGACATCATAATGCTCATCCCTCGCCTCTAAACGATGCGAGGACCCTCCAAGATAACCTTAGCCTCCTCCGAGCGCCACCAACTCTTACCCTCCTCGCCAGGGAATGAGAACTCATCCATGCTCTCAGGCTTCATCTCCACACTATACCCAGGCTCCATGGGGGTAACATAGTATCCATCCTTCACACTAGACGGGTGCACGAAGTGCTCGTGCAAGTGATCCACATACTCCAACACACTCTTCTTACCCGAGACAACGACGTAATCGATCGTGCTCAGGTGCTGTGTGTACTCGGGCAGACCGACACCGCCAGAGTGGGGGACGATGGGGATGTTGAACTTGCGGGCCAGCAGGAGGATGGCGAGGACTTCGTTCACACCACCGACACGGCAGGCGTCGGGCTGGAGGACGGTCAGGGCACCGGCTTGCAGGAGCTGCTTGAAGATGACGCGGTTCTGGCACATTTCGCCGGTGGCGACACCGACGGTGCCGTGGGGGGTGTTGGCGAGGGCCTTGCGGATGGCGGCGTGGCCGAGGATGTCATCGGGGGAGGTGGGCTCTTCGATGAACCAGGGCTTGAACTGGGCGAGTTCTTGCATCCAGGTGATGGCCTCGGGGACGGACCAGACCTATTGAAGAGGAATATGTTAGTTTCGGCCTTCTCAAGGATTGTAAGTAGCTTCAGTGAGCTGTGTTGCTTACCTGGTTAGCATCCACCATCAAAATGTTACCCTTATCATACCCGATAGCCTCACGCGCAATCTTCAAGCGCCGCTTGTCATCCTCAAGACTACCACCAACCTTCAGCTTGAAGTGCTTGTATCCCTGTGCAACACTCTCGTCAAGCAGCTTCTTCAGCTTCTCCTCACTGTAGCCCAACCAGCCAGCACTGGTGGTATACGCAGGCACAGCCTGGCTAGCCTCAGCCTCCTTGATACGATCCTGCTTACCACCCTCAATCTCCTTGAGCATGGCCAGCGCCTCTTCGGGGGTAATAGCATCGGTGATGTAGCGGAAGTCAATGCAGCGCACGAACTCCTCAGGGGTCATGTCGGCGACAATGCGCCAGACAGGCTTACCCAGGGTCTTGGCCCAGAGATCCCAAAGGGCGTTGACAACGGCACCCAGAGCCAGGTGGATGACACCCTTCTCGGGGCCGATCCAGCGCAGCTGGCTGTCGGAGACCAGGTAGCGCCAGGTCTTGCCCCAGTCAGCGGTGAGCTCGTCGAGGTCCTTGCCAACGATGAGCGGGGCCAGGAGGGAGATGGCAGCGCAGACGATTTCATTGCCACGGCCGATAGTGAAGGTCTAGAATGGGCAATTGTGTTAGCAGATTTGTGAAGATCATAGACGGCGGGGAAATGACGCATTTGCGACGTACCATGCCGTGACCCTTGTAGTCGGAGTCTGTGTAGATGATGCAGTAGGCGGCAGAGTAGTCACCAGCAGCGTTCATGGCATCAGAGCCAGTCTTGTCGAGCGAGGTCTGGAATAGGGAGTTTAGCAACGGTGCCTGGCAATGGCGTAGAGCCGAAACTCGGGATAGGGTTGACATACCGGAAACCGCACATCCCGCGTGGTGAAGCCAGTGATCTTAACCATGGTGAAGATAGTTCGAAGACGACAATAATCAAGCTTTTTCCGAATCAATTGGAGACTGTTTACCGAGATCTTGCACACTCAATGGCAGGAAACACGGTGTTCGGACTAGAATCGCGGGGTGGACTTCCAAACAGATCTATGCGCGAGGAAGGGCGTTGCACCAGGACTAATGATAGGATTGGCGGGATTGAGGGGTATATAAGAAGAAGAAAAAAATGCACTGACAAAATTACAACGGAAGAACAGGAAAAACTGCGACGGTGGCCCGTATATAGAGGCCCATTGAGAGCCTGTGACCCCCCGCGCCGCCCGCAGTTTGCCCTCGCCCCTCCTCCACTCGAGGCATTGTACAGTCTGATTGGTGGGAGTATACCGGAAACGGGGAAATGGGTTTCTCCACCAATCACAGGTCTGTCGCAGCAGTCGGAGTAGCTCCGCGATTCTGGGGATGCGCAACTCGTTTACGGCAGATAGGGTAATTTCACGACACTGCAAATAGTGGATTGGCTGATGCCAACGAGGCGGTTATGATCCTTGACAGTAATGCCTACATGGTTTACTTGTTTAATACAAATTTTGCAGAATGGAAAGAAGGAGGGCACTGTATAGTGATATGTATGCGCTTTCAATATTATCCGATGCGGTTCTTTTCCGAGCCCAAGTAGGAAGTAGATCATTCGGTTCCTGATCGACAAGCTGCAGCATTGTGCCCTTATCCGGACAGACCACGCTTCTCGCTCTCGGAGAAGAAGATGAGCATGCGCCAGAGCTTGCGAACCAGCACTTCGGCTTCATCGTCCAGTGCCTATAGAGGTAGATGTTTAGCAATGTCATATACACAGCAGACCAAAACGCAAATAACTTACCATCTCCAATTGCTCCACCAGCTCCTGAGGAGAGCCATGCTTGCGCACATGCTCCTCCACAACATCCACCAGCATCTGCTCCTGCACACCCAGATACTCGACGATCTTCTTCTCCACAAATGGTTTGATCTGGTCGCTGATAACAGCCTCGTCCACAAACTCCCACTTGATCTGCCACTTCCACAGTCCCTCCTTGTCGGTCGGGATCTCGGCTGCCAATTGGCGCGCGGCCTGGGCACGCTCCTCGTCCGAGAGTCCGGCAGCTTCGGCAGCGGAGTCGAACTTGATCGGGATAAGCTGGCGGCGGGTCGTGCCGGCTGGCTCCTCCTCATCCTCCAGTAGACCTTCGACTTCGGCAACGGTGCGGCGGCCGGTGGCGGCCTGGGCCTTCTGTGCTGCAGCGCCAAGGGACAGCTTGAACCGCTGGGGCTCTTCCTCGCTGGGGGCCGGTGCCTGGGCACGAACCTCCAGTTCCTGGGCTTGACGAGCAAGGAAATCGTCAGCCAGCCCGCGGGCCTGCTCCTGTCGCTTGGCGGTCTGAGCAAGCTCGCGCTCCTCGGCGGCGCGGTCAGCCTCGTCCATGCTGACCTCACGGGCGCGGAACACAGCGCGGCTCCGAAGCCAAGCGCCACGATCAGCGTAATACTCGTTTGCCTTGCGACTAGCCTCCACATTGTCATCCCATTCCATAAGGCGCTTCTCCATTTCGTCATGGGCGGCCTGCAGCTTCCCATCTTCCTCCTTGTCTCGCTTCTTCTCACGTTCCAAGGCGGCGGTTCGGCTTCGCTCGCGGTTGAGCCAGCGGCGCTCCTGGTCAAGGAATTGCTTTTCTTGCTCGGCGTCACGCTTGGCCTGACGGCGGCGTTCCAGCTCTTCATCACTTGCATCACCGTCCTCGTCCTCTCGATCAATATAGACTTGAGATCCATTGATGGCACCGCCATTTACAAACGACACGCCCTTCTGGTAGTCCTTGGGAATCTGCACACCGAATCCTTTGGGTCCAGACGGGGCATTGGGCAAGTTACGGTCACCACGGGGGCCTAGAGGAATGCCGTTCGCACCGCCCGCAGGCCCACTGGGAGCTGAGGCAGGAGGCGAACCAAGACGGCTGATACGTGAGCCGGAGTTTCGAGCACGCTCCATAGATTCGATCTCCTCCTCCCGGCGCAGGCGTTCAATATCTCGGCGGTTACTACGATCACGGAACGCCGCAATCTCCTTGGCAACATTCTCGCGCATCTCCGGGGGAATGTCGGCCAGTTCATCTTCGATGGTGATAGGGATCGTAACCACCTCTCCGTCCTTCGCGGTCTCGCCCTCCTTCATCTCGATATCGCCTTCCCGGTCGACTCCAGAAATTTCTTCCTTTTGGGTCGGGCTGGCAGGGTGGAAGAGCTCGGAGAGAACATTCTTCAGATTGTCGCGAGCAGCATCAAATCGCGCCTGGAGCGCCTTGGGGTCCCTCTCGCCGCGAGAAGCTTCGAACTGCTCTAGATAGGTCATAGTGCTTTCGTCCACAACAACCTAGCAGCGTAGTTAGTAAGTGGCGTCTCAACGCCTCGGCAACGGAGGAATTCAGACATACCAAAAGGGTGCTTTTCTCCACTTCTTGCTTTTCCTCGCCCTCTGCACGTGGTGCCTGGCGCTTCACAGGAACTTCAACCTCCTTCAGCACTTCCACGGCCACCTCGAGGCTCTCCGGGTCTTCAAATTCAGCAAAGCCGAATCGACAAGGCTTTTCGTCTGCATCTGTAGCCCGAATCCACCGTCTCAGGTTACCCGCAGACCGTAGGATGCGCTCAATGCCATCATCGCCACCCACGCCCTCGGTAATGCCTCCAACAAACAGTGTGCGCACAATTTCATCACGTGTAGGCGGTTGAAGCTGCATCATCGCATCGCGGCCATGGTGGCGTCGGTCATCCATACCAGATGATCCCAAGCCCGGGCGTCGCCCCGGGCCGTCTGGTCCTCGTTCACGACCCATATCGGGGGCAGCAGGCTTTGCGGGGCCAGAGGTACCCAGGCGAATGACGGGCGCGGAGAAGTTGATGTTGGGCATGTTCGGGGGTGGTTGGAAATTGGCCGGGAAGCCGCCGGGGCGACCAGGTTGCTGGTTATTGTTCTGCTGCATGCCTGGGGGAGCAGCAGTTCCCGGCGCGGCCATCCCTGGAGGAGGCGCTGAAGCTGGTCAGTCATGATGCTCCGTGTGTTGGGGACCTTCAGTTTTAACTTACCCATGCCCGGGGGCGCACCGGGGTAGGACCCATAGTCGGGAGCCCTGCCGTACATACCCGAAGCTAGATATTTGAGTTAGCATTGCATTCGCATCGCGACGTAGATCAAGCAGAACCGCAAGTGGCGGGTTTGGAGGCGCAAGCTCACGTTGGTAAGGATTATACATGGTGAAGGCGCTTTGGGCCGCGCGGGGCGGAAGATCTTCTGCGATTGGAGTGAGTCGTCTGCAGAGACTTTATTGAGATGAGGAATGAAGTTGAAAAAGGCCCGGGGTTGAAATGGTCCAGCTGGTCCAGCTGCGCGCGTGTGGAGGGAAGAAAGTTGTCAGTTGCGGATTTGATGCTCGGGTCCGTGCGTCGATCTTGGCAATTGGCGGTAGAGTTGGAAGTACAGCACTGGACAACGGAGCCAGACACATTCCAGATCTAATCAATGACCATTCAATCTACAGTGGTCTCTAGACCTAATCACATATGTCATGCCTGTGGTTATGGTCCATATTTCCATTAATTTATTGGTTGCTCATAACAATTGCAACGAAAGGCGCAAATGTCAAGAATAGAAGGAAACTGACCACATATCCTGCATACTCTACTTGACTATTCAGTAAATTAAATAATTAACAAAGCCCTACCTTAGGTATGTACCTATCGCATACTCATCTATTTCCCATGGCTCTCTACTCGACATTAGGGTATATTGAGACTATGATATGCTTTTTCTTTTTTCGTGATGGCCATGGTCATCAGCGAATAGGACCATCGGCTGCTAACGGGTGAACGAGACCATCTATGACGCTAATTTATCCAGAATCCAGAGCCCGGACTCGATCAATTGTTAAGCATCGACGGGCAGGTTGGCTGGACTCTCTGGAAAAATATCCATCTGGACAAATTAGCCCCAGGCTATTTTGCAGGTCATCCGACCTCTCGTCGGAGGAGCACCGTCCGGTGTTTAGTGGGGGTTCCTGGCCCGTGGACTGGTCGTTAGCCTATTTTCGGATGGCCGGGGAATGCACCTTGGTCATTGTTTCAGTATTGTTCTGATTTGGGACCCGGTCAATGGGACGGAAAATGAGCACAGAGTATCACACTGGAGCATTGAATATGTTGGCATAAGCTCAAGATCTTGATATTCTGGAGTACCGAAGGAGGGGGCGGAGGGGTAGAGTAAGCAGTCTACTCTACCTCTCATGTCAGCAAAGTAGGTCGTTATAGGATTCCAATTCAGAGTATTTTGTTAACCGACAGAAGGATGAGTGATTTCGGTTACGAATTGAAATATGCACGGCTAAATAATCATAATAACAGCCTTGATAGAGAAAGAGATTATTAGAAAAGTAACCCGCTCCAGACCAGCCCGAATGCGGCAATGATGATGCTCCCTGCCCCACGTCCCTCCGCCGGACCCCAACACGCCGAACAATTGACGCCATCTTCTTTTTTCTTTTCTTCTTCCTCTTCTCCTAGACCTTTCAAGTCAAATTCCCCTCCCTGACCCCCTGTGATACTCCGTTTGTGTTACGTATGTCTCCTTGCTCTCGTCTTTAAAGCTGTCGCTTCCCTCCTCCTTTGGCTGCCCCGCGCTAACCTCGGCGCGTATACAGGTTTATCACTGTCATCATGCCTGCTTTCGCGCAGGCCTCCGATCTCAATGCCTGGAAGGAGCTCCAGGAGCACCACACCACTCTGGGCCGTAACATTGTCCTGAAGGAGTACTTCCAGAAGGACCCTAAGCGCTTCGAGAAGTTCAGCCGCACCTTTGCCAACACCGTCGACAATGCCGACATTTTGTTCGATTTCTCCAAGAACTTCCTCACCGAGGAGACTTTGGCTCTGCTGGTGAAGCTGGCCAAGGAGGCTGGTGTTGAGGAGCTCCGCGATGCCATGTTCCGCGGTGACCACATCAACTTCACCGAGGACCGGGCTGTCTACCATGCGGCTCTGCGCAACACCTCCAATGAGCCTATGCAGGTCGATGGCAAGAGCGTCGTCGAGGATGTCAACGCTGTTCTGGAGCACATGAAGGAGTTCTCTGAGCAGGTCCGCAGCGGTGAGTGGAAGGGTTACACTGGCAAGAAGATCAACACTATCATCAACATCGGTATCGGTGGTTCGGATCTGTAAGACCTCTCTTTTTTTTGTCTCTCCAATGACGTAGCTAACGAGCCCTCTTCTAGCGGCCCCGTCATGGTCACCGAGGCCCTGAAGCCTTACGGCCACCCGGACCTGAAGCTTCACTTCGTCTCCAACATTGACGGCACTCACATTGTTGAGGCCCTCAAGGACTCTGATCCCGAGACCACCCTGTTCCTCATTGCCTCCAAGACCTTCACCACTGCTGAGACTACCACCAACGCCAACACTGCTAAGTCCTGGTTCCTGCAGACCGCCAAGGATGATGCCCACATTGCGAAGCACTTCGTCGCCCTCTCGACCAATGAAGCCGAGGTCACCATGTTCGGCATTGACAGCAAGAACATGTTCGGCTTCGAGTCCTGGGTTGGTGGCCGATACTCCGTGTGGAGTGCCATCGGTCTGTCCGTGGCTCTGTACATCGGCTACGACAACTTCCACCAGTTCCTCGCCGGTGCCCACGCTATGGACAAGCACTTCCGCGAGACCCCCCTGGAGCAGAACATCCCCGCCATCGGTGGTCTGCTGAGCGTCTGGTACAGTGACTTCTTCGGTGCCCAGACCCACCTGGTTGCTCCGTTCGACCAGTACCTGCACCGCTTCCCTGCCTACCTGCAGCAGCTGTCCATGGAGAGCAACGGCAAGGCCATCACCCGCTCTGGCGAGTATGTCAAGTACACCACCGGTCCCATCCTGTTCGGTGAGCCCGCCACCAACGCCCAGCACAGCTTCTTCCAGCTGTTGCACCAGGGCACCAAGCTCATCCCCGCGGACTTCCTGATGGCCGCCGAGTCGCACAACCCCGTTGAGGGTGGTAAGCACCAGCGCATGCTGGCTTCCAACTTCCTCGCTCAGTCCGAGGCCCTGATGGTCGGTAAGACCCCCGAGCAAGTCAAGGCCGAGGGTGCCGCCGACAACCTCGTCTCCCACAAGACCTTCCTGGGTAACCGCCCTACCACCTCCATCTTGGCCCAGAAGATCACTCCCGCTACTCTGGGTGCTCTGATCACCTACTACGAGCACGTCACCTTCACCGAGGGTGCCATCTGGAACATCAACTCCTTCGACCAGTGGGGTGTCGAGCTGGGCAAGGTCCTTGCCAAGAACATCCAGAAGGAGCTGGAGACCCCTGGCGAGGGTGGCGACCACGACAGCTCTACCAGCGGTCTGCTGTTGGCCTTCAAGGCCAAGGCCAACCTGGCCTAGAGTGCTTTTCTTTCTTATAAATAGGCTTGCATTGATCCCTTGTGGAGGATGCGAGGCGGCTGTGATGAGCAACGAACGATTTCTTTGATCTCTTTATCCTTTTATCCTCTTTTCCATACAAAATTCGAATGCTATTCAGTTAGTCGGGGCTCTTTCTTCGTAAACAAAAGACTCGGGAAATGCGACCGGTTCCTCGGTCGATTTTCTGTGTGTTGCAAGTAAGACATCGGTTTGGTTAATCGTTGGTTGAAGGGATGTTGATCAAGCCAAGCCACACTCCGCAAGCCGCGGCGGGCAGAAAAGAACTCCGTGTCTTCTCCGCGTCGCCTCCTTCACTTCATCAACTCGCCACCGCGGGGCAGCTCACGCATATTGCAAGAGCCATAGAAGCTGCCAGCATGACTGCTCCGCGCTCATTGAGTCGCCTTACCCCTCGAATGGCCTTGCTGGCCCTTGCGGGCGCGCTGTTGCCAATGGGGTCAACAGCGGGGAGAACCAGCGCCACCAGCGGGGAGGGATACAGACTGGGGGAGGAGATTCCCGTATCTTGTCTCAATCGGACGATGTCAGTTGTTCTCAGCAATCTTGGGTGATATTAATCATATCAATGCTGACAATTTATTCGTGTGTACAGGGAAGGTGAACATGTATGCGCCAAACAACTCCTGAAGCCAAATACCGAGGGGCCACAACTAACAACAACAATAGATAACCGATGACCTAGGGAAACTCCAATGGATCCCCTTTGTAACCTGCAACGAGACCTCACGCCCCCTATCCCTCCACTACGGAACCTCCGAAACAATAAAATGCACAATCCCTTCCCTTTCCGACTCGCTCTACCACCTCCTCGAATTCTACGTCCACTCCGACGTCCCCATGACCTGCCGTATTCCAACAAGCCCCCTAACACCCAGCAACACCGCGCCAAAGGACCGCACCGACACTGACCCCGCGTCCGGCGAGGTCGACTCGCTCGCGGCGCTGAGTGAGAATGGCCCTCCGTTCACCCCGATCACCATCGCGCTGCAGGGTACTCTGCAGCTTAGCCACCTGCATATCTGGACGGATATGAACATGCTCATGCACAATGTTGCCTCGGACGCGGCGGCGCAGCCCTCCAAGGCTGGGAAACTTGGCCAGTCTGGTCAGCCTGGGTACGCGGTCGCCGGGACGGCGTACTCGACGCCGGAGTTTGAGGCTGCGGCGAAGAAGGCCTCGCTTGATGAGGACGAGGAGGCAGTTACCGTTGCCCAGGCTGCGCGGGAGCCGTGGACGGCGGGCCATGGGACGAAGGTCGTGCGCGGAGAGCCACTGACCTTCTCGTTCCATGTTGCCTGGGTTGAGGGCGGCGCGGGCATTGGATGGCCGGAGCGTCCTGCCTCGGAGTCGTTCTTGGATATCAGCGGGTCAAGGATAGGGCAGAGCTCTGGGGCTGGCTCGTTCTTCTCACGGCTGTTTTTGTTCTTCCTGGCTGCTTCGATTGGTGCTTTGGTGGCGCTGTACTGGGAGCGTAATGGGGGCCGGCTGCGTGGTCGCTCGGGCTGGCGTGGAGATGGCATTCTGGGGGCTCCGCCTATGAATGGGAAGGGGCCTGGTGTGACTTTTGGTAATGGCGGGCGTATCAATGGGTACGGAGGGTACTCTGCTGCTGCCAACGGTGTGGGAACTGGTGGTGGTGGAGGGACTGGATACGGAGGCTTTACCACTGGAAAGAGGGATTGATGGGTGTGCAATATGGGATAGACAGGTTGATCTGTGTTATTGTGTGTATTTGTGTAGCAAGGATATCGTGTACAGTGTATAAACCACAGCCAAGTCAACATAAGATCATTGCATTCCATATCTAATGCAGACAAAACGAGATGATCAAAATTTCCATAGGTAGTGATACATGTAAAAAGAAAAACAACAGCCCCAAATAGGTATCAGGGCCCCAAGCTCCCATCCAGTCTCGGTATATATACAAACCAAGCAAATTCCGCATCAATCCAGTCGAGTCGACGACTGCAAAGCAATTACCAACCCTGAGCCTGCATCCGCTGAATCTTCTTCACAGTCTCCTGGAACGAAAACCGGAAAAGTTTCCTCCACCTCGTCCGACGCAACTCCTTCCGCACCGCACCCTTCCGCTTATGAAACTTCTGCTCATGCGCATTCGCCTTAATCTTATTCATACTGCACGTAATCTCCAACTGACGAATCGCAGACGGCAAATCCACACCACGCTCCGGCTCAACGTGGACCTGGCGGCCCAGCGTTGGTCCAAGCTTGAGCTCCAACTTGCGCGAGGCAAGCTGCTGCGCGGATCGGTCTTTGAAGGTCTGCGAGCCTACACCGCCGACGGAGCGGGAGACGGCGTCTGCGAAGACGCGGCGGGGTTCGCCTTTGGCGTTGAGGGAGGACCGGTTGCCGAGGTCGAGTTTGTTGAGGATTTCGTCGAAGTCTGAGGCGACGGTCTTGGTGGGTTGTGGTTTGGGGGTGGTTTGGTCCTCGGTGGTGGTGGGTGTTGTTTGTGTGGAAGTTCCTGAGGAGGATTCGGTGGAAGGAGGAGGAGGGGTTTGTGGCGAGCTGGTTGAGGAGTTGTAGCGGAGTGTGTTGAGGACGAAGGGCTGCTGCTGGCGCGAGCTGAGAAGCCATGGTGTTGGCCTGGCGCGGAGGCCGCGGGCCAGGATGCGGGTGTCCATTGTTTTGTCCGAACAGTCAGATCAACCTGGATAGGTCAATTGGCGTGATCAGACTGGTGTTTTAGGTGGTGAGTGGTGGAAGATGGAGTTTGGCGTGGAGGTGCAACCGAGTGGAGCGTCGAGATGCTGGAAAATCGGGAGAAATTATAGATCACGTGCACATCCGCTGTGCTCAAGGTTGACGCCGTGGGGACATTTCAATGTCGCTATTTCCTTTTGATCAGTTAGCTCGATAACCAAGAATTCATCTTGGAACTCTGACAGCATCTGCGAACATGTCGTCTATTTCCATTGCAACACTACCGCGCATGAGCCGCGACGCTCTATCCGCACTCCTTCTCTCCGGCACTACATCCGGCAAACTAGCTGTTATCGATGTTCGGGACTCAGGTATTCTCAGAAACTGATAAAAGCTATAGCTATGTCAACGCCCTGACTGATGCATTTATCCAGATCACATTGGCGGACACATTAAGTCTTCAACTTGGGTCCCTACTTCCAGCCTTGACGTCCGCCTGCCAGAGCTTCTCCGCACCCTGAAGGACGTGGAGAAGGTTGTCTTCCACTGCGCCCTCAGCCAGCAGCGCGGTCCGTCCGCGGCCCTGCGCTATGCTCGTGAGCGCGAGCGTACTTTGGGCGAGGAAGAGAGCAAGAAGCAGGAAGTTTATGTTTTGGAAGGCGGTTTCGTGCAGTGGCAGGAGAAGTATGGTAACGATGAGCGGCTGACGGAGGCTTATGTTGCGGATATTTGGCGCGAGTACTGATTTTCAATCGCTGAGTGGCTGATGCGATTTGATTTCAATGAAAGCAAGGTATGGAGGTGCCTTGTTATGCATGCTTGCATTGTTTATGAGATATGAATGGACTTGATAGATACCATATAGATACAAACATTTGACTTGTAGTTCTGCCTCTTGTTCTCGGCTTCGGTATATAATACAGCATTCTTTCAAGTCTATACGGCTGACCTGGGATATAATAATCTGATAAATTCATTGTGAGGTTACCGAAATGTTATATCCATGTACAATGGAATATAGTTTGCTTCAGGGGAGACTAGATACAACAGGGTACCACGCTCATGCGGAAGATAGCTTGAGCATGATTCATTCTGCGCCTTGTATACAATGATTCTCAATCCTTCAATATCAATAGGCCCGCAGATGCTTTTCATCCTGACTCTGTTCAAGTTGCGGGAATCTCAGCATCCACCGATGGTTTACGTTTCTCAGTGATCTAAAGCTCTATCTTGAAGAGAAGCCCTATTTCATGCTTCTTTCGAAAGACCGGCACTGCGATTCCATCTTAACAAACCTTGTTCACGATGTCTATCAGAACGTTCCCTTTACATATATCCGAGGCTACAAAGACTGCTTCAAGCTCGATGTGCATGGATTTGGGTTGCATAAACATACAACCAAATTGCTTGATTCGGATTTCAACAATACTCAACTAATACGCGATATCTATCACTCAGAAATGGAGAGTTATTTGAAAAGCCTCTTGGGAGCGCAAATGCAGCACACGGTGCGCGAGCGACCGCATGATTTCATCGAGACTGGAGGTCAGTCTGAGCTACTTGATGGGCGCGAGAAGCCATTGACAGCAATCCATATCAGTAGAAATACGTATCCGGAGAAAATAGGTCACAAAACGGCTGATCTGAAAATTTATAGATGCTTCCGAGGAAGGGTCATTCAAGCGCGTGGAACGAAAGTTACCAGATGAAGTTGACAATATTCGCAATCGACGGTTTCAAATTGTGAAGTAGGTGAACTTGTAAGCGAGGAGGCTTTCAAGGTCGAATAAGTGATCTAACTCTAACAGTGTGTAGAGACCTTTATCACAGTCTCTCCGTGACTGGCCACTCGCTCTCTGTGACGCACGTAGCGTCCAGCCGGATGACATGGTAGAATTAGACCTTATCTGGCCGGGATACTTGGGCGAGAATCTATTTCTATACTTCAATCCAGATTATAAACTCTACTTCTTGGATAAACAAACCCGTGACGAGGTATTGATCTTCAAGCAATTCGACTCTAAGGATGGTGTTGCGAAAAGTAAGTGTTCCTTGAATGTGATGCAATTTATCCAATCCACTAAATGACTTTCAGACTGCCTTCAAGGGTCATTCCCAGATCCTCGCAAAGGTCCTTCAGATAATGCGAGGGTTGGTTTCGACGTGGCAGTACTGATGATTTATCAAGTTGTTCTTGTTGCGCTTTGTTGATCGGCCTGAACCTTGATTACATTGACCTGGACCACAGTCTCGATGGATTGGGGCAGTAAGACCAATATAAAATCACACGATACATCTTTTTTTGTAAACCGATCATTCCACTGATAACAACTGAATAGTTCCGTTTGCTTGAAGGCATATCACCAGGTCTAACCGTGGGGGAAATTACTTGGATGTATTGGCTGTCATGAGAATGATATCGCGTTGACATATGGTTGATCTGAAGAAAGACTTCAACCGTATGACAAGAGTTTTTTTCGAATAATGTACAAGTGATATTACACATTGCAGACGAGTCAAGTTGTATCGCACCCGATGTCTACATCTGAACACCGCCGCCAAACCCAACAGGTCGTCTACGGCCACCGTTCTCCGGAATAATAGTCAACACCTTATAGATCTGTCCCATAGACCCACCTGACTTCTCAACCAGGCGTTTCCACCCAGTCTCCAAAGTCTTCTTGCGCTTCTCATCACCAACACCCTTCAGCAATTGGCGCATACGCTCTTCAATACCCAGCGCCTGAAGGAAATCGCCCTGCTCAACGGGTCCATGAACCTCCACGCCGTCACTGCCCTCAATAGCAGCCTCGGCCAATGCAGTAAAATCGACGTCTGCACTGACATCGACCTGCCCAGGAGACGAGAGCGGAGCAACCTTCTTATGGTGCTGAATTCCACGCAGGGAGTTGATCGGGATGGTCGACATAGTGCCATAATCCATGATTAGGGCTGCACCGGAAGGCGTCGTTTTCTTGGGTCCTTCAGGAGCAGAATTATTCTTCGAAGCCTTTGCAGAAGTGGTATCACCACCGATGCGGCGTGCAAAATCAGCTGCGTAGATCCGGCTTTCGGGGCTAACTTCAATGGTAGACCCGGGTTGGGACTTGAGTTTGCGGTAGCGCTCGGAGATCTCGGGGATGACGAGGGAAGAAGGCGTGGAGGCCTTGGCCTTGGTTAGTTTGAATTCGGGCTCGCCTTCAATGTTTTCTTCGACGGCTTTCGGGTTCAAGGTGACTAGGAGCTCGCGCCATTGTGGGGTGTTTGCCACCTTGAGCGGCTTGTGGAGTTTTTGAGGACCCGTAGGAGTCATGATCTCCTGGACTTCCTGTGGTACTTCGTTCTCCGGTGCCGGAGGGACGGACTCGAATGCGTGAATAGGGAGCGCGTCAAAGAATTCATGTGCAAATATGAAGGGGGTCTTGCCTTCCTCTACAATTGACCGAGGGGTGTCAGTGTTGATCCTAGCGGTTAATGATATTGCGTAACTTACCATGCGGCAACAGACGGATATCCTCCACCCAGATAATGGGTACATCAAAGTATTTGCAGGTACTCCGGTGGCCAATATCGGTCTCTTCCATAACAGCGTCCTCGCCACAGAGAAGTCGCTTTTGCACCTCTCTCAATGTACCACTCGCCTCAACGAGGTAGATCGCCTCAATGCTCGAGGTGAAGGTCTTGAAGTTGCGAAACGTCTGTCCAAGGATCACAGCACGTTAGTCCGTGAAACTTCAAGTCCTGGATCCGGTAATAAACACTCACCCGTAGCATATCATCCATGAGAGTTCCCTTGCCCGGTCCAACCTCCATCAACTGAACACCACTCCGCTTCCGCCCCTGTGCCATCCACTCCGCAATCGCCCAGATACCAATCAGCTCACCGAACACTTGAGAAATCTCCGGCGAGGTGACAAAATCACCGTGCTTTCCAAACACGTCTTCACGGGATGTATAGTAGCCACCTTCGGGCGAGGTCAACACTTGGCGCATAAATGCGGCGATGGGAATGGGTCCGGTAACCTAAAGACGCCCAGAATAGTCAGCGACGGGCCCCGATTGGCTTTGTGGAGGTAGACATACCTTCATCGCACTGGCCAGTGTGCGCGCTAATGGTGTAGACCATTGTCTGTCCGCGAATGTAGAATTCCATCGGCGCAAGGATGTTGAGCAAATCGAGGTGTGAGACCTCCGCAGGCCATGCAACGCCGCGCGCCGCGCCGCAGCGTTCATATCGGGAGATGTCTGGATTCAAAGACCGCCAGAGATCTGCTAAGTGACTCGCTTTGAGGTAAATCCTTCAAAGCTCAAGACCTGCATCAAATAGCCGCAATTGGCTGCTGGGAGGTATAACAGGATTGTGTTCCTCGTCTCTAAATCTGCCAATCTCCGCACCAGCTCCGCTACACGTGATCTTATCCTTATCAACACCACCATCAGCCGTGTTTAGTGAAGAGCGTCGGGATTCCCCGAGTCTCGATCAATTACTTGATAATCATACATGTCATGAGAATTGGATACATCCGGAAATCGGAAGAAACAAGAATTTTACATCAGGGCCGCATTCCCACATATCTTCCGTCCATAGGCGGCGCATGCGAGGTGATCTTTGCTCCTTTGTCTGTTCAAAATGCGCCAGCAAGTAATCACCGTCGTTGTCTCCGCCGATCTTGGGTCTTCTGCTGCGGGGCATCCAGCATCATCTCGTCACTGTATAGACCAGTCTCCGAGTTGAGATTGCCACCTGTTCCATCGAATCCAAACCGGCCATCCTGAAGAACCGGTTCTGCGCGCCGATTCCGTCGTTCGCGATCTGCTTGCTCTCGAAGGTCGTTGTAAGAGCCGCTCGGGGTGCTTACATGGGTTCCGGCTGGCTGTAGTTTAATGGACAAGAGTCTTCCGTCGGCCTGTAGTTTGTGTCAGAGTGCCCTCATAGACTATCGGAATCATATCGAGTGCTTACCCTTTGGTTGTGGAAGTTGGCGACCGCGTTCTCAGCGCACCACTTCTCCGAGAATGCAAATTCTGCGGTAACGGTAGGGTGGTGCGAGGTGACACGGCAGGTCAGCATTGGGCCCGAGATTGGCTCAATTGCAGACTGAATATCGGCAGCAGTTGTTCCAGGGGCAAAATTGGCTCCAATCACCACAAAGGGCCCGGAAGCACCCTTGATGGTCATACCGGCACGAGCTGGCCGAACTGTAGCTTGGGCATTGCCAGAATCAAGAGCAGTCTGAAGTCGCTCAATATTGGTGCGACGCTGAGTTGTGGGTTTCGTTGATTTTCGTGTAGATGGGGCTGTGGCAGGGGTTGGTTTGGCCTTGGTGACCTTGTTGGTCTGGTTAGGACGGGCGGAGACCGATGCGGATCGCTAGAGAAGGAGAAAGGACATCAGGAATCGCGTAAAATCTGATAGTTGAGATAGAGTCAGATATACCTTCGGAACTGCGATGCGACTGGCCAAGCTCCCCGGCTTCGAGGTTGGCATCCTGTTGATCGCGCCGGGGCCTGGCGCGCTTGCTCGGCGGCCCTTCTCATTTCTTTTCTTGCCAAGAAGCTGACTTGCTAGTTGTTCATTCTGCTTCTTTCGGCGATCTAGATTTCGCGAAGGATAGGTTAGATCTGGGGTAGGGAAGGCATTGGGAGGCAAGCAGTGATTACCGGATTGAATGATCGCGTCGAAAGAGACCGCAGTCTGCTGGGAGGGCTGTTGCTGCTTCTTCGCCATGTTGGAGGAAAGTTGGAACTGAAAGACAAGAGAAAGTTATGTGACACAAGAAGACCGGCTTAGAAGAGCATGATGGGAATGGCGGGGGGTCCTAAAAAGATAATGAAGCAGACAAGGGAGAATGAGAACGGAGAAAAGAAGCTCAGCCAAGTGGGTCTGTGATCAGCACCTGCCAGTTAACTTCCCGCATTTGCTATCCGTGATGTGATCTATGACTTGCCCATGATCTGAGGATACCTGGAAAATAGTTCACGCTTTCAACAGAAATGTATTTTGATATTTGGAAATATTATTAATTAATCAGTGCCATGCAAATAAGATTCCTGCAGACGCGTCTTTACCCGATTTCCTAGTTAGAGTACAAAAACCTCAAATTCATTTCACAGAATCGGTTACTAGTTGAACTAAGACATGAGATACTATCAAAGCTATTCAGAAAGATGATTCAATATACATCAAAAGACCACTAAGAGAAGAAAACAAGAAAGTGTATCTGGTTGGACTGTTTTGCTGATCTCTAGATTCCGTGTGTACATCACAGTTGCGTCCCAGTATAGAGGCGTTCTTGCCATTTTAGGAAACCTGGACAGACGCGTATGGCTTCGTGTTTCGCAGGGCGGTATAGCGCGTTCTTCTTTGTATTTACTGCAAATCCTCCATTTCTCAAGCTTCTACCATATCATTTCACCGTACGGACTATTCCGCATAGTTATCTGTTACGCTCCAGTCAATTTACTCACCAGCCTTATGGTTGCATTGCTCGACCAAAATGAGTTCAGCAAAGGCACGGACAACCGATGAACTGCTCTCTGAGCACTTGGCGCGTCGCAGTAGCGCAATTTCGATGTCATTGCCATTCCGTTCATCGGCAAAACGAGAAAGGTCAGTTTAGAAATCATCAACCCTAAGGACTGTCTCACTAAGTGGGAAGTGCAGTATCATCGGTCCTCGAGAAGAACAACCAGCCTGTTTGGAGAAAGTGCACTATCCAGTTTTTGATCCAGAAGATCCCCGGCACAATACACGCATAGGACAAATCTTCCGTCGCTCTGGGTCTCGGACAACTACTTCAGACTCTCAGCGGCAGCCACAGGAGTCCCGCACGCTCCCACGAAAATCTTTACACAAGGCAAAGTCTGGATTATTGGCCAGCCTGTTCCATCGATCATCTCGTCGGGGCAGCGAGCCTCTTGAGCCCCTTCCAAAGCATGCCCATACTGAACGAAGTAGTCATGGGTTGTCCGATATCTCGAGCACTACCCAGGAAGATCTCAGTTTTGGGACTGCTCTATATCGGAATCGCCGAGCTCAAAAACGGACCCTGGATGATACCGATTTGCATATCATTGCAAAGGTTCTCTCCTGTCCACCACTGAAGAATACCATGTCTGCGCCGCAGCCTATAACGAGTTCAAGTGACCTGGTTGGTGATTTACGACCACCCTCCGACGAAACTGTGAGTCCAATTACCGATGAATCACCCGTACACGAACGATACCAGGACACCACTGTGACGTCTCATCTTCCAACGAACGAGAAGAGTACCAAACAAGATCCACCGGTTATCGAGAACGTCGAAGAGATACGGAAGAACAATGCTGATTATTTGACCCCCTCTGTCGCCTCAGAAGATCGGCCCACAGCAGGGAGATTGTCTTCCAGCTCCGCAGACGATGAGGAATTAGGTGGAACAACTCCGCTGTGTGACAATCAGGATGTGGCTTCAGTGCGGGATAGACATCTTTTGATTTGTGTGGACAATGAAAAGTCTGTGTGCAAGAAGATTGCAGGGCTGAGACGACTGAGCGAGACGCGAAACTTTCCATCTCTGGAGATGGAGCATAAGCACAATGGCTCTAAGGAGTCATTGCCAGATTACAGCACTCCGAGTATCGCAGATTCAGAAACACCCCAACGAGGAAGATCTATTGTCAGCAAGCGAGGGTCGTTCGTCACACAAGAGAGAGTGTTGCTCGGTGATGATTCACTGGAATCTGAGGGCAGTGTGTCTCCAGTCTCGGAGTCGAGAAAGTGTTCGGCCGACGTTAAGATTGCTTTCCCCGGATTGTACCACGAACTGCTGGAGCAGTGGATCAGAGAGACTGAAGGAAGCCCAACGCTTTACCCCGGATTCCCCGGATTTGAGAACGAGAACACTTCGACGTCTGCGCACCTGCCTTCGCTTGCCACTACGACAACTACCACCGCCTCTTCTCAGCACAATCTAGACGGTCAACAACACCGTCAAGCGGAATTACCCTGGAGTGTAGACACCCGTTTTGCCTCGGGAATTCCCAGCATCTTCAACAGTTACCGGAAAACGAACACCTTGATTCCTTCTCCATCGCTCCCCCATCCCCGTGTCGTACGGGTCTACTCTGTGCAAGATTCCGTCACCTTGCCCTACACCATGGATGACTACACTCGACACACAGGTGCCCAGCCTGCTCGTTCTGGCGAGGAGGATTCTGATAGACGCCGCAACTCATTTGGCATCCACATCTCTGAGAGAAATGTGACCATATATGCAGAAAACGCATGTTGAACGTGAACTGACAGCTGTAGCAGGAACCTACCTCGAGAACATCCACTACCCAAGTGAGCCGCCGTGAGATCCTTCGAGGCTCATCCGAGGATCAACAGAGTCCCGTTCATGCTCGGCCCTTTTTCCGACCTCCTGGCCTCTGGGGTTCTGCCGACTCTCAGTGTGATGACTCGGACTTCACCATCTACACCAGGGACAGCAGTGTGGCCAATTCTACCAATTACACTTCACCCACCTCCATCTCCTCTACTCCGTGGTCACCACTTGACTCTCCTATCGATGAGGAAGTCCTCTTCAGAACCACCCATAGAGATGAGTACTACATGGCAGACGGCAAGCACAGCAGCTATTACCCAGACCGTGGTGATCTGCCAGTCAAAGTACAGTGCCTCTCTGCTACCAGACCTGGCTACCATGGCCCTAGTGGTTATCGTGCCCCCCCAACAGACTACGCCTAACTCGAGAGACTCTCACCAACACCATGCGTCGGTCTTTCCGGCCAGATCCCCAGAGAAACGAGGAGCAAGAGGACAACGAGCCGACTGAAGATGCTACCTCAAGCTCTCGAGCCCAGGTGTGAAGGAAACAATGCCAAATGATTTACGACTGCTATGAATTATCATGATCTTGATGTCTTTCGTTTCTTGCCGGTGCTGGAGGTCCTTCTGTGTTGGAACTAAGGTTCCTGGGTTTTCACATACCGACGTTCTACATTTTTACTGTTGTATCTTTAATATTTCCCCGAAGAGGGAGACAGCAGGAGTTCGGAGCAAACTCTCCATTTATGAAATCGAATTCAATATGTTATTCTTAAGCAGTCGTGCCCTATGATCCTATTCCTGATGAGGTTCAAAGGCCATAGATAGGACAGTCAACAATGAATAGGTTCCTATTTCAATCCTTACTAATGTCTATCAAGTCGGTTTCGAAATTACGGCTGGCGTTTTGTGTGAGGCTAGTGATGAGGCTCACAAAGCGCACAATACGAGCAGTCAGTCTCGGCAAATGCTAAAATATTACTCGGGTAAAGAGCTGAGATGGCCGAGAACAGAGGCTTATATTTCTCTTACGTCTATCTACTTTGATAATTCGACATCATGCATAATTACACCCTGTGGGTCCCCAGTGATTCTCTGACGGAACTATATCGAATCTGTTAATGGTGCTCCATCTATTACTGTCCTGACAAGTACCCATACCAAAAGATATCGGGTCGCTAAGAGCATCACCAGGATAAATGCGTCCATTGAACTACCTACAAGGGTACCTCCAAGATTCGAGGCGCCAGCTGTTGTTGGCACTCGCATAGACGTAGGGACAGGACCGCCTTATCATCATATCCTATCATCCCAAAAAGGCCAAATAGTACCTTGGCAACCGCGTGTTAGTCCGCGGCTGGTCTGACGTGCGCGAAGCTAAACACGCCTATGCATTGGGCACTATTTCCAGAAAAGTACAAGCGTAGTCGCCTCCCCAAGTTCTCTTGCCTGAATGCGGCTCTAGACCCAATGACTATTGAGTCCAGGTTTGGGGGCGGGGAGCTTAAGAAGAGTGGTCATGATCAGATAACCCAAGTTACGGGATTTGGTGTTTAACAATGGGACATTTGAGCTTTGCAAGATGTTGGGTTATTCCGGAAGAGGGATGTTACTCTCAGGATATTTCACTTGGGAAGGGATGGTGCTGACTGTACTCGAGTACCACGAATTTGATTTTTGTGAAATGTCTAATTATACCCAGATAGTCTTACCATTGTAGTTTGTGGTAGATGGCAAGGACACGCCCTTAGACCTTGGATGCTTGACAAAAGAGGGATCCGTCACCTTACTGTCCACTCTCCCAAAGGCCGTGAAAAGAGCGAGGTGCCATGACCTGGTCTAAAGAGCGCCAGTCTCCCAAACACTTGTGGAGATGGTCTGTCCGTTATGTACATACTTTTCATGCACCGGACATGGATGCGGGTGGTGCAGATGTGTTCTGGTGGCATACGTTCCATTCTGCCGCATGGCCGAGTTGGAGGGCCACGAGAGATAATTTGGCTTCGTAAGCTTGTAGCTCAAAAACTCACAACTCTCTGAATCTATAAACTCTTTCATCCGAGACGAAGAGAAAAGCCAGCACCAGTCTCACCCGTATCACCCCCAGGCGCCCCACCAAAGACACCTGCAAAATCCAGCTCAGGTGCATCTTGACCACGCTTAGGGGCCTCGGGTGTATGGTGGCGCCTGCGCTTCTCCATGCCAGCCTTGGAGGGGAAGGTTGGGAACATCTCTTTCGGTTTGGGACGGGGGTCTTCCCGGAAATATGGATGTGCTAGGCACTGCTGTGCAGTTGGACGGGAAGCTGGGTTCAGCGCTAATAGCATAGACAGCAGATTCAAGCCTGCATTTGTGAGATAGGGGAATCGGGAACGAGGCAGCAAGGGCGGATTTCCAGCTGGCGTTACCGATGTCGAAGGGAGACGTAGAGATTTTGCATTGGGCAGAGATCGAAAGCCTGGCCAGATTTGCTGATTGGGAGGCCCCGTCAAGGCGAAAATCTTGGAGACCTGGTCAACTTCGTTCTTGCCTTGAAGCAGGGGCTCCTTGGTGAGAAGCTCGCCGAAGATGCAGCCAATGCTCCACATGTCGATTTCCGTGCCATATTTGTCCGCGCCCAGCAGTAGCTCGGGCGATCGATACCAAAGAGTCACGACGAGCTGTGTCAACTTGGGTGGTGGGTCACCGTAGTACCGTGCCATACCAAAGTCGGCAATCTTGATCTCGCCCCGGTTGTTCATGAGGAGGTTGGAGGTTTTCAGGTCGCGGTGCATGATCCATTGCGAGTGTAGGAACTCAAGGCCACCCACGACCTGTAGGAGTAGAGTCTTGATCTCAGATGGGAGGAATGGTTCGCGCATTTCGTCAAGGAGAGTTTTAAGGTCGTGTTCAAGGAAGTCCATCACCAAGAACACACTATGTAAATGAGTTGGTTAGCGTAGATCCTTACGCAGGCCTGGCGTAGTAGACTCACTCATCCATCTTATTACCCATGACCACCTCCCGGAGATAGACAACATTCTGGTGTCGCGCCTCCAAAAGCGTTTGGATCTCCCTCAATCCCGTCACTGGGAAACCGTCCGGCGAGTTCTCAATCTTCAATTTCTTCAGCGCGACAATCTCGCCCGTGGTAATATCCCTGGCCCTCGAAACCCATCCGTAAGAGCCTTCCTCGATGTGATTCAGCCGCTCAAAGTTGTCAACATGCCTGCAGGGTCCCCATTCGCCAACAGGGAATCTCAGCAAGCTTGACTGCTTTTTCGTCTCCTCACTCGTCCGGACCTCATCATCCACCGAGGGCGCGTCAGGATCATTCGACAATCTCCTTCGCTTCTTTGGTGGACCTGACTCCCCATTGACCCCTTGGTCAGCATCGGTTGTTTCTGTGGCAGCTTGAGCTTTGCTGGCCTCCTCGAGCTGGCGTTGTTTTTCCGCCTTGGCGCGACGCTTCTCTTCCTTCTCGCGCTTGCGCTGGGCAACGATTGCTTCTGTCTCTGGGTCATCGTCTGCCCAGCGCGATTTCGCGGTTGACATGATTACCTCGCAGCGTCGGGTTGGGGCGCGGGAAGGGGAGCAAGGTGTGCGGAAGGAGAAGGTGGCTCGGAATGACGTTTCCTGTCTCTGGGGACAAGGCGGGCCGAAGAACAGCTCCGATTTGAAATCCAAATCGGACCCCCCGCCGCCGCGTACCGGCTCTTGGATTTTCCAGTGTAATTACTTGGATTATTTGGACCTTTCCTTTTCTTTCCTCTTCATACTGTCTACCACCCAACTCACATACCGGACTCTACGACCATACAATCTTGATCACCTGCAAATCAATCCCCCGCGTCGGAACTACTGCCGCCACCATGATTGAGCCCTTCCAGGTCGGTCTCCCTGATACAGCTAAATTTTGATGGCGACTGCATACTGATTGAGTGATGGCTTTAGACGACCTTCTCGGTCCCTATGACCTGCGAGAGCTGCGTAAAGGACGTCTCCGCCTCCGTGTCCAAGCTCGATGGTACGATCTCCCCTCCACGCGATCGAATCATACCTCTCAAGCTTCGTTCTTACACGTTATTCCCATATATGCAGGTATCAACAAGGTTGAAGCCAATCTAAAGGATCAGCTTGTCTTCATCGAAGGCACCGCCCCACCAAGTTCGATCGTGGCTGCAATCCAGAACACCGGCCGGGATGCGATTCTGCGCGGCAGTGGCACCACAAACAGTACGCACTGGGTTGATCTCCTGCTTGCGTCTATACTACACTTACTGATTGTTGGTTTATCTCACCAGGCTCCGCTGTCTGTATCCTCGAGACGCACTCCACCTCCGTCGCCAATAAGATTCGTGGCCTGGCCCGTATGGTCCAGGTCTCCCCCAATATGACTCTTGTCGACTTAACAATCAATGGTCTTTCGCCGGGTCAATACTACGCCACTGTCCGCGAGGCTGGTGATATCTCTCGGGGTGCTGAATCAACAGGTGGTATCTGGGAATCGTTGAAGAATAAGGTCCTGGGCTCAGACACTACCGCGGCCGAGAAGGAGCCACGAGGGATCTTCGGCACCGTCGATGTTGATAACAAGGGCCGCGGCAATGTGTTCCTCGACCAACCCGTTTCTATCTGGGAATTGATTGGACGGAGTATGGTCGTTTCGAAGAACAAGGAGGGACCGTTTAAGCGCGAGGATGAGAACACCCTGGTTGGAGTTATTGCGCGCAGTGCTGGCGTGTGGGATAATGATAAGATGGTCTGCTCGTGCTCTGGCAAGAATGTCTGGCAGGAGCGACAGGAGCAGGTCAGCCAGGGAATGGCTTAAGCTTTGGCCATATGCACCGCAAAAGGCGTGGGCTTCAGATTGGCTCAGGTTGCGGGGGAGAGTGTGGGGGAAGTCGGTCGTGGGCTGGGGGCTGATGACTTACGAGAGATGTGATACATAGTTACTTTGCATACCCATTATACAAATCAGGGAAAGATAGTCGACCTAGGAGAATATACTCGTGTCCGGCCAAGCATATACGTGCTGGATAAGCGGGGCTGGTCGCTTCAAACTGCCTGGATGCATATTGACGTGGCAAAGGTCGCTGGTTATCTGTTCCTCAGTATGGCCAGGTTGAGAAAATACTTTCAGTAAGAAAATCTATACATCCAAAATCCCGGTCGACCGACCACCAACGCTGGAGTATTAGTAGGCTATATCATATGCAGGAAACCTGATTTAGCAGCCACCTCTCGACGGTCCTGGATGCCTGGAGCTGATGTGAATCATCAGAACCGTTGGTAACCGGGCGAATCAAGCTCTCCCAGTGGGGCCTCGTTGAACGTGTTCCCCTCTCAGCTCGCAAAAGTGGTACTTGTCTGGCCCGTTTGTATCACACCGAAGGCCTATTAGTGTGAGGTATCAGATGGAACGAGTCGATCTCTGGTTAAGGTTATCCCCCCCAGTCGTTTGTGGCCGTGAAGAAAAAAAAAAAGAAAGAAACAACCTGCAGGATAGCCTCGGGTCTAGATTTAACTAAGTGATTTAGTGACTAAGGCGATCACGTGGAGCCGCAGCATTTGGGTTCCCCGCGACTTGAAGACGACCTCTTTTCCCAGTCGTTAGACGGGTTTCTGTCTCCCATCTAGTGCACTCGCAATGCTAGCTTCCAACATTCATATCAACCCTCCAGTGTCACCGTCCTTGCCCGTAGCCGACCCCGCCACCTACTCTCCAGACGAGGTCCCCTCGTGCGGAGGCCATGGCACCCTCGAGATTCTGACCATCATTCGGTTTCTCGAGGAGCATGGCATCGAATGCTGTATTGTGGGCGTTTCAGCGCTGATCTTCTATGGCGCTGGCCGCGTCCGAGATGTATGTTTTTTTTTTTTTTTGCTTGTGCTTCAACGGTTTTCTTTGGCTCCCGCAGCTGACAAAACGACTGTTGCTAGGAATGGGATCTCTGCGTCCCCGACACGAAAGTCACAGAAGCTGCTGCTCTTCTTTCCTCTGAACTTTTATCCGACAAGATTCACCCTGTACCTCCACATTCGACTTCATATCCTTTCTCGCTAAGCCACACCTACCACCGATTCAAAGGGAGGGGCATTCATTTCTACTTTGTTCTTATGCCCGCTCACGACGCTCATATCCCGTCCGGTCCCTTCCAATTACAACGCAGTCCAAGTGGCTTGCCATATCCAACACTACCAAATTTAATGCAAAGCTATCTAGACATGAATGATGATGTATCACTTTGTGACTGCATCGACGGGTCAAATGTCTCCGAAGAATGGGGACACAGGCATCTTGATCTAGATGGAACCAACGACCTGGAATGGACAACTCGAATGAATAAAGTTGTCAATCAGGCGGCTCAAGGGAAAGGATGGCTTTTTGTCCATTATTTCCCCACGCAAACAATCAACAAACGAGAAAAATGGGAGTCGAGGGTTCGCAGTAAGAAGGGCAGACTGGGCTGGACGACTCCAGACCATCTCTTCGACACCCGCTTTCGCCTCAAAGGCTCGCCAGACCCATGGACCCAGAAACGCATGTCATGTTAAGAAACTTTTTATATAATGAAGTAAATGAACCAAATGAAGTAATCATATCTATTGACGATGAATTTGTTTTCTCAATTTGAATCAAGAGCCGGATATAGTGCAGGTATCCCGTCAGACGCCTAATAGTAGTCTCATATTCTCAACCTGATCAGGAAACGCCAAATACGCCTCCGCATATTGATTCCAAAAATACCTCCGTTGCTCCAAATCATAATAATCCCGAAACGTGGGGATCTGCGCCGCATATTGCGTGAGCAAGAATTCCAGATCCAAAAAGTCTTTACTCCCCTGTTCGCCTCGCCGAAAGAACGCGTCTAACTTGGCATATATTTGAAAAACCAGACCCAACACCAACACCGGTGATCCCAAAGGCGTGGGTCTATGTGGGTTAATGGGTTCGCGCGAGGATTGTAGATCCTCCGGCGTCCCCAAGTGTCCTAAGGATGGCCCTAGAAATTAACAACGTGTTATTGTCTTCTTGCCGACGAAAGGACAGTGTCAGACTTACCACTGATCACTATATCCATGCTGACCGCCAAGTCCGGGACGTGAGGGAACTCGCCATCCACGCTCCGTCCCGTGTCGATGAAGACTTGGACGGATGTCCGGCCGTGGGTGAGAGGGAAATGTATTCTAGGGGAAACCGGTTAAACAAAGCAAGAAATAGGACAGAAAAAAAGCCATCATCTAGGGAATAATAGATAACGCGAGAGAAGAAAAAGGTGGTGTTAAGCAAGTACCGGGATGACGCGGTCAGAATCTGTTTCAAATGGTCCATCGTCGTAGCAACGGTGATATCAATATCTTGCGTCCTCCGCCGACCCCCTCTTAGATACACCGCCCACCCTCCAATAAAGGCATACGTGATCCGGTGGGCCTCGAATAAGCTGGCTATGAATCTAGCCGCAAGGCCGAGCTGGAGGAGGTCCGCTGTATTTGAAGGATAATACAGTTGCGCGAACCGGTCGGTGTCGTAGATTTCCGCCATTGCAGGCGATGGAGCGGGGGCTCCTATTTTGATATTATGAGAAGGTTCGATAGTGCGCGCCCGTCGGTGTGAATATGGGGGTTGCCCATCGCGTGGTGCTGGTGCTTTGCGGTGTGAATGAGGGGGAGGCGAACTAATCCCTGGTCCGGTTTGGCGTCTGGGATCAGATCGCCTCCCGCTGACCGCTGATGGCTGTTCCTTTGAATGAGAGACTCTGGGGATGCAGATTAGCACGTGACTCGAATGGGCAGGTACAGTAGCTTCTGATGACTGAATCTTGTTTAGTTGCTTAGTATCTCTAGTCCATATTTACTAACTTCTCTCTTGTCTTTTTATCTTCTCCATATATCGATTAGAGACCCACTTACCCGATGGCACGGAACGGTTTCCGAGAGTAGGAGAAAATATATATTGAAATATGTATCCCACTTAGGGTACAATATATTGCAGAATTTCAATGTATCGTAGCGAGATCTGATCTCTCCAATAGACCCTGATGCTAAATGCTGGTAAGCTCTGTCTGGTCTCGACGCAAGTAGTACCCAGCCTACTATCTCTCGAACAATGATTGATCACTACCACAACTCTCTACACGATCATCTCACATCCGCTGGCGAACAGCTTCAAGGCTTACTCTACTAGCATAGAGAGGTCCGCCCTAGTTCTCCAGCTGCTTCTCTGATAAAGCTCTGAAATTGCTCATTTTGGGCAATACCATTTTCTCGAATGAAAGATATGCTCATGTTCCAGCTTGATCAACTATTAAACAAGCGCCACTGAAGGCGTCTTTCCGAAAGAGGGCTGCGTGTAGCAGGTTTACTCGAGCTCATGATTCTTGTAGTTATTGATCGACGATCTGACAAGTTGAATAAAGGGCTGATGAGATAGTGCAGGAAAATCACTCTTTTGCCGATGGTGGATACGTATAGGTTGTAAGGTCGATAACATATTGATGTCACACTGATCCTTGGGTAGTTCAACCCCACCGAGTACAGATCTGGCAAGCACTTTGAGCATGGCGGTATCATTTGACTTTAGATCTTAACCCGTTCTAATATTTTCCATACCACTCAATACTAAGTTGACCCGCCATATAGTCAAAAACACTATCTGCGCCAACCTCGTAGCCACAATCTTTCAACACCGCCAATGCTTCAAAGATCTGCTTCACTGTGACCTTCGCTTGCCTCACCCTAGTCGCAAACAGTGTAAACTCCTTTGCAAATGCCTCTTGATCAGAGCCAGCGAATACAAACTTCAGAACAGGCACCTGAGCTAAGCTCGCAGCACACCATTGCAGGAGGCACTTGACGTACTTGTTTCCGCCGAAAGTTCGGCAGCCCCAGAGACCAGTCACAATATGGCTGTATGCTTTGCCGTCGCTACGAAACGCATTGTATGCCTTTGAAATCATTTCCCTAGATAGTCGTGTAGGAGGGTCGATATCTGGAATGGAAAAACTGCTTTCTGCACCAAAGATGTCCATTTCCAACGCGTCCATGAAAAGCATTGTCCTATCTTTCCATTGGCGGAAGTCTTCTGGAGCGAGGTTTGAGGAAGGCAGAACTTGATCCAATTTGGCATCTCGACCATAGCCTTTTATTGAGACCATCGGCTCTGCGCCCTGGCAGATCAGGACCTGGTGATCGGATAGTGGGCGGGCTAGGAGGACGGCAGGGTATGATTCTGGAGAAATGCCGACATGCAACTCTTCTTGTGTGCCTGTTGGGCCGTACCCAAAGCATTTGTTGGCTGAAATCACACATCCTCCGCGAGGAAGGCCAAGAAAGGCGGGTACAATTTGGGATTCCGGCAAATGGCATATCTCGATGGATGTCGAGGAAAGGTGAGTCCGCGAAGAGACCTTCTCGAGGAGTCGATCTGCCTCATTATTCCCAATCGATCGAATTTCAAATATAATGGGCCACTCATCCGTGGACAAATCCATCCGAGACTTATAGCGTTCTGCCGGTTTTTGAAGATGCTCAAAGTATGTGAACAGTGCGGTCAGGTATGCATGGACAGCGCCTACATGGGACGTGTTTGATTGGGAAAACCAGGGCCTCAAATCGACGAACGACTCGGTATCCCATGGATGTGAGGGCATCGAGCAAAGGAATTGATGGACTACCAGACATGCAATTTGTCGTCGTGAGAAAGTAGCTTTCATCGTTTTAGTATCATTCCCTGCTGGTGAGATACATGGTAACGTTCCATCGGGAAACAGTGTAGGCATCGCCAGGGCCAGGCCCACGAGAAATGGCCAAGTTCTTGCAAAGAACTGATCGTGTTGGGCTTCATCTTTCAGATACAGAGTCATGAACTCGCGAAGTGTATTATGATTCCCATTTTGCAGAGACCCTCTCAGCGAGATAGCAATGGTCTCCAGCGCATCAATGAACGACGTAACATCACGGATGGGTTCCGATTTACTGGTCAAGATCGCGGTGAGAAGGTCCCAGAAAGGCACTTCCTCCTCATCTGAGCCAAGAAGGTCAAATCGATCTTGGCATCGGACTACAGGAGAAGAGGGCAGAATGAAACGATTGGCCATGGCACGTTGATTCAATCGAGTCTCATGCTTATCGTCATTTGAAATGGTTGTCTCTATAAACCTAAGCGAATTGCACCGGCCCGCATTTTTCTCGTATTTGGCACTGGAAAGCCGTGACTCACTCTGAATCCAGATAAACCAAACGATGTACTATGTAATAGATATATATTGTCTACAGATGTATAGCTGGAGATCATCACCAAGTCACGGGGTCTCTTTGAACCAGCTTCACCCTTCAAATCCCATCAATCACCGAATAACTACACAACTCCTGTCCCCTCCATCCTCAGCTGCCAGCCTTTCCCAGTACCGCTGCGAAATATCGTCGCTCACCGACCCTGGTTCCCTCGACTCTAAATAAAGCACTGCAAGCGCCGTGGCGGGGGTATCTCCATCGCCCACACCAATGAGGTTCAAGGGAACGATTCCGATCCCATGCTCGTGGTGGAATGACTCGCCGAACTGCCGTTGACTGGGCCTCTACCTAATCTCATCATGTTTCTTTCTACCGAACAATGCGATATGGTCCCAATCGAGGTCCCCGCACGGCTGAGCAGGGGGGTCATCCATGGAACCGCCCGCGGCCCGTTCGTCGAGCTAATCCACGGCGTGTCACAAACCGTCGTCCCTTGGTGATGGGTCCGATTGTCTCTTTCTTCTCGAGTCATGTTCGGAGATGAAGACTGTCCGTCGTCCGCTTGGATGTAGCCAATCCGGCCTGGCTATCCTCTACCGAAGCACTTCGCGATGTGGCAGGGGGAATACAAGTGGAAATGAGGATACCTATCAACCGACGCTATCCTCGGAGGATTGTTGCCAGGTACAATTCTCCTCCGCCGGTTGGTTGCCAAGGCCAGAGCTCTAACAGGAGAGAGCACCATGCCAATGCCACCCTTCTCGGCCCATCAGTCCATTCGATGCATGCCGTCCGCGACCCCGTTAGGCGAGGGGCACGACTATCACTATCAGCCATACAGACGCTCTCCCTCTGGCGACTTTCGAATTAACCAGCCAGTTACAGTCGTGGTGGGCGCAAGAAATCCCAGCTTCAAGGCCATCCAGCATGCTCATTGCTCACCTGGCGTGCATATTTGCTGCAGGTGCAACGCAAGTTATTTTTGGCCCATCACGCCCCTCCCCTTCGGCGCTTCCCAATCCTCGGGCTTGCAGCAGGCCTGGTCGTCGTCCAGGTTCTGTGCCTTAGCGGGGGATAGCGCCAGGGTCGCGCGACCCGATAGTGGGCTGCCAGTCAGGGTCGTTGTCGTTCGTAGTCGTAGTCGTAAACAGTACGCAGTCCGGAGTCGTCGATGGTGATCGATGGGGTTTGGATGCCCAGCCCAATCCCTGCCCCGCTGTGCAGTCTTCTGCAGATGCTCGCCCGTCATCTTTTTCACTCTTGCTTTTCGTTGCTTGTTCTGGACTCTCTCGATCAATTTCCTCTTCCCACTCTGGTGCCGCTTTCTTTCTCTTCTCCTGGATTTCTTTTCCCCCTGAGCACCCATCACCGTCTGTCCTATCCATCAGCCCCCTCACCTGGTGATCCACAGGGTTGGATCACATACTAACCCCGCGCCTAGCGCACTGTGATCGGAAGTTAGCCCATGGTCGTTTCTTTTCTTTTCTTTTCCTATCGACTATCGCAGGATCTGAGTGATTTAGATCAAATCAGATTACGGGGATCCAAAGGCCAGCCACCAGTATTTCAATCCATCGAGACACCAGCCGGTTCTATAAATACATTTGCAAGCGATCGTGAGATTCGAGCACGAATCTCATTCTATCTCGTTCCATCTGATCCATTCACCTCCATCCATCACACATTTCCCTCCCACCAACCACAGTCCGCCGCTCTCCTCAACTGTGAGAGGTCCTACCCCGACCTCCCTATCAGCATAAGCATCTCGACTATCACCACCTGTTCCTAGCAATTCCTCCGAGTCACACTCATCTCGTATCTCTACCGCATCACAGATAATCTCCTTTCTCAATAACCTCCACTGCGACCAACCTAATCAGAAACCTGGCCCCACCGTTGGCTCCTCCTGTCCCCCCCCCGCACCTTGTGTCCATCAACGGAACCGACCCTGTTCCTACTTCCTATTTCTACACCTCGTCTTGGCAATCGCCGATAGTCTGGGTGCTCAGGGCCGCTCATCACATTGGCGGGATCCTCGGGCGACGGGGAGAAGGCGCTATAATAAGTATCAGTGATTCCAGCACGAGTTTCCCCCGGAGACGCCGTGACGTGCTTCTTTCCCGCCCACGGCTGATCAGCGGTGTACGGAAATTCCATTCCGGATCTCTCTTGCTACTTATCTGATCTTCTGGGCGCTTCTGGGCGCTGTGGGTGAAGAGGGGTATTTGCGCTGCTTGGGATTGCTCCCTCCTCTTCATCCATTCATCCAAATCCCAGGCTGTATACTCCTAGGCACATCTATATGTGGGCGAGATGTCGCTGAAGCAGGTGAGTGATAAGACAGTAGAAGATGATGATTTCTCCAGATGTGGAAGCGCTAACATGGATCACAGGAGATAGAAACATGGGTGCAAGCCCTGGACGCATACGACAATCAGGAGTTTGAAGAATCTCTACGGCACTTTGATCTGATTGCGGATACTTCCAAGATCCTCTTCAATTGCGGAGTGATCTATGCAACACTCGGAGAACACGACAAAGCAGTATGTGATGGCAATTCTTCAGAACCATGAGATTCGCCTCAGATCAATGGCTAATATTCAATGTAGGTAGAGTGTTACCAACGAGCCGTCGCATTTGACCGGTACCTCGCAATTGCATACTTCCAGCAGGGTGTCTCAAACTTCCTCCTAGGTGACTTTGAAGAGGCATTGGCTAATTTCAACGATACGCTGTTGTATCTGCGTGGGAATACGTCCATTGACTATGAGCAGCTGGGCCTCAAGTTCCGATTGTATTCGTGCGAAGTCTTATTCAACCGTGGACTATGTTATGTCTACCTCCAGCAGATGGTCCCCGGCTTGCAGGATCTCTCCTATGCGGCAAAGGAGAAAGTCACGTCAGATCATGACGTGATTGACGATGCCATTCGTGAAAACGCAGACGTATGGCATCCCACTCTCTCGGCTTTTTTTTTTGGCCTTTGCTGTAGACACTGTGCTAACTCTAGCAGGGATACACGGTATTCTCAATCCCCGTGGGCGTGCTATATCGCCCCAATGCAGCCAAGGTGAAAAACCTCAAGTCCAAGGACTACCTAGGCAAGGCAAGACTGGTCGCGGCATCAGATCGGTCTCACGGGGCAGACCACCAGTGGCGACCCATGATCATCGATAAAGGCGCACTCGAAGACCGTGAAGGCGTCTCCTGGGCAGCCACAAACCTCGTCCATAAGGGCATAACCAGTCGTACTCGTCAGCAATCAGAACCTCCCCTTAACCGAAATGTCTTCCCTCCAACACCTCCGCCAGATGACCGATCAACAAGCAATGGCTCCGTGGCAGGCTCCTCCTCCCACCACCGCTCATCCTCCCTCCGAATCGGCCGGCCACCCCGGCTCGACCTCGAACGCACAGGAGCCAGTCTTGACCGTAGAGCACCGGGACAAGAGGCCGTCCCAGCTGCAGAAAAGCCACGCATTGGCACTACTCGAACTGCATCCGAGCCCCGAGGCCCAGTATCCCGACACCAAAACATGCGCGGCTTCGGTGAACCTAGTCGTGGCGGGTGGCCTCACGGCCACCGCAGAAACCTGAGCGACACCAACTCAAACGCCACTCCCAATTTCATATTCCCTGAGCAGTTTGAATACAGCCAGCTCGACCCACACACCTACGCCAGTCCCGCCAACCTATCCAGCGCAGGCTGGGGCCGCGCCCGACACCAACCACCCGCCTTCATCGACGAAGAAGACGAATACGGCAGCGACGTCTGCGACGGCGAGCCTATCAAAGACGGCTCCTTTGAACTCCTCAGCGCCGCGCCCGGTCCCCACGGCCTGGGTTCCTCGCCCGCACAGAGTCACCAGCAATGGCGTACCCGGTCACCAGCGCAATTCTCACGACGAGCGAACTCGCGACGACCGGAGGTGCGGCGGTTCCGGACAAAGGTGCATGCGCCGGATGATATTCGGTATATCATGATTGGGCCAACGGTGGAGTTTGCGGAGTTTGAGGGGAAGATTCGGGAGAAGTTTGGGTTTCAGGGGCCGTTGAGGATGAAGGTGCAGGATGATGGGGATATGATTACGATGGTTGATCAGGAGGATTTGGATCTGTTGTTGGCTAGTGCGAGGGAGGTGGCGAGGAGGGAGGGGAGTGAGATGGGGAAAATGGAGGTGAGTCTATCCTGGAGAGGGTAATAAATTATTACACCTCAGGGTGATATACTGACTATTCTTATTATAGGTTTGGGTGGAAGATCGAACGATGATCTGATCTGGTCTGGTCTGGTTTGATCGAAGCTTGTTCTGTGTTTTCGTCAAGGTGTCTGGCAGGGGGCATTTGTAGCATTTTTGGTTTTGATTATACCCTTTGATTGGCATGGAAGTTACGCAACGTGACCTGATTAGTAGATATTAGCAGCAATGTATTTAATGAAAGCTGGCCATACATAGCAAAATTAGATGTAAATACAAGGGCCGGATATAGTCCAAGGGCCAAACCCGAACCAGCCAATCGCAGGGACCAGTGACGACTGTTGACGGGGACCCACCGCGGAGTTTCCAAGCTGGACACCTTCGCCTTCTCCACCACGTCGACCTTCCACTCTCACTGTCCCTCCCTCAACTCCCTCCAGCACTCATGCCACACCTCTCCAATCTACCAACATGACCGACCTCACACCAACACTAAACACCATCCTCTCCACCAAACATGCACGCTCCATTCCACCCCCAACATCCCGAACCCCATCAACCGAGGTCGCAGACGAGTTCCTCAAGGAGGCCCACCGCATCGCAAGTCCACTGCCCCCATACAAGCTAGAACAAAAGAACTAACACGCCCGCACAGAACACCCACATCACCTCCCTCCTAAAATACCTCCACTCAATCCGACACGCCTACCTCACCACAACAGCCCACCCACGCCGCCAACCCAAAGACTCCCACTCCCACTCCCACCCCCACTCACAAACAACCCTCACAGACCCAGAACGCGATGCAATCGATACCTCAACAGCCCTCCTCCTCCGCGACCTCGCAACCTCAATAACAAACCTCTCCACCGCCGAAACCCTCCGCCAAGAAACCTCCGCCTCGCTCCTGCGCAAGAAATACGGGCACACCGCCGCCGGCGCGTTGCTCTGGCGCTGGGCCGGCGGCGGCAGCGCGCTCGACGAGTCCGCGCTGCAGCAGGGCAAGTCGGGGGAGCAGATTGAGGCTGAGGAGCGGGCGAAGGCGATTGCGGGTGTGAGGGAGGGGGTGCTTTGGTTTTTGAGGAGGGGATTGGAGGGGGTTGCGAGTGTGCAGAGGGGGATGGTGGAGAAGAGGATTGAGAGGGTTAGGGAGAAGGAGAAGAGTGTTTTGTATAAGAGTGGTGGTGGTGCTGCTGCGAAGGGCGGTGGTGATGTATCGGTTTCTGGAGGATCTGCATCTAGGACGGTGGATGGGTCGAGTTCGTCGGTGCCGATGCCTGATGCGACGGTGTTGAGTGAGGCGGAGACGGCGCGTATCGAGGCGCAGTTGTCTCCGGAGCAATTGCAGTTGTTTGCCGAGGAGAATGATACCATGTTGAGGCATTATGAGGATACCCTGGGGAAAGTACAGTATGTTCTCCCTCTTCTCTTACTCCCCTTCTTCACCACGCTTTAGCTACGATCTATTCCCACACTCCTCGCTAACTACACAATCTCCCTTCTAGAAATGCCGAAAAGTCTCTTCTGGAAATATCCTCTCTACAAGAAACCCTCGTCTCACACCTCTCCACGCAAGAGGAGTACATCTCACAATTGGTTAGCGACGCGGACACGACACAGGGCAATGTGGACCGTGGTAACAAGGAGCTTAAGCGCGCGACGGAACGACGGAGTACGGCGCAAGCGGTGTTTTGGGGCACGGTTGGACTGTGTACGTGGCTCGTGGTATGGGATTTGGTGTTTTGAGGGATGCTCTGCAAGGTCAGGATGGAGAGACTAGACTGTCTTTGTAAGAGGTTCTCTGTTGCTGCTAGCGAGCTCGTGATGGTAGAAGCATTGGAGCTGGAGTGTATAGTACTGCAATACCCACTGTCGAATATGAAAGTATCCATCATACTCAGAGTAGATTGTTTATAAGAGCTGGCTATAAAAAGGCTCGGAGAGATTTATCCATGGATTGAGAAGCGTAGTTTTTGTATGATATCTCGTGAAAGGATCAATTGATAAAGTCTAGGGGTAGGATAAGGCAATATACCAAGGAACATCTCTATTCAAATCATTCAAGTCCAAAAATCATCTGGTATTCCGAGCCGTAGATCTACATGTGATTGTGATTGTGATGCATAAGAGGAGAGGATACACAACAATCCACCAAGAAAAATGAGATAGTAAAGGCAAAATTGTCCATCAAGACCCGCCGTCACAAATTTTGCCAGACATGAAGTCAGTGGAATGTGTCGAGGAAAGGGGAAAGGTGAATCAAGAATGGGAGAAGAAAAAGAAAAAAACGCCGAGCCGGATTATATTCACTTGAGCCAGATACCATCATCCATCCATGATGGCTTGGCTTACGAGGTCTCGCGGACTACACTGTCCACGGCCTCGGCGAAGTAATCCAGGTTATGTGTGTTCAGGCCAGCCATGGAGATACGGCCGTTCTTAGTCTGTAGCGAAAAAAAAAAGGTGTGTCAGTAACGAAAATACCCTTGACCCGGTAGTTAGGAGGACACGCAAGACTCACCATATAGACATGCCACTTATCCCGCAGAATCTTCACCTGCTTCTCACTCAACCCAGTAAAGCTAAACATGCCAATCTGAGTCGTAATATGATCCCAAGACCCGGGCGTCCCACGCTTCTCCAACCGCTCCCGCAAACCCCGACGCATCTCCTGAATCCGCCCACTCATCGTCCGCAGATCCTCCTCCCACTCCGCAAACAGGACGGGGTCATTAAGCACCTTGCTGGCGATGCGCGCGCCGTACGCGGGGGGATTCGAAATCTCCGACCGCTGCAGAATAGCCAATTGACTCGCGATATGCTGGATAGCGGTGGACGCGTCCGCGCCGGGCGCAGAGACAAAGTGGAACGCACCGGTGCGCTCACCGTACAGACCAAAGTTCTTGGCAAAGGACTGCGCAACGCATAGCTCGAAGCCCTGCTCGACGAAGTAGCGGATCGCCCATGCGTCGCGGACTAGATCGCCCGACGCGAAGCCCTGGTAGGCGGTGTCGAAGAAGGGGAATTGGCGACGCTCGCGCATGATCGAGGCGATTTGCTTCCACTGGTCTTGCGAGGGGTCGACGCCGGTGGGGTTGTGCGCGCAGGCGTGGAGGAGGACGATCGAGCCGAGCGGCGCTGCCCGCAGCGCGGCGATCATGCCGTCGAAGTCGAGGCCCTTGGTCTGGGTGGAGAAGTAAGGGTAGTTGGCGAGGGCGAGACCGACATTGGTGAAGATCTGGTGGTGATTGGCCCAGGTTGGGTTGGAGAGGTAGATGGTGGGCTTGGGCTGTGCGGGGTGGAACTTGGAGAGGAAGAGGCCGCCCAGGTGGACGGCGCCGGTTCCCGAGATGGTCTGGAGGGTGCAGATCTATAAATGGCGGACGAGTGTTAGCGCAAGAGTGGGAAGGAATGCTGTTTCAGTTGTGTAGGGTTGTGTCGGGTCGTGTATGGGACTGCAGGGGATGCAGGCAGGGATCTGTGGAGGTGGCCGATGAGCTCGGGTCGACATACCCGTTTCTCGCGAATCGCGGGGCTATCAGCGCCGACGATGAGCTTCTGCGCGGCCGAGGTGAAGTCGGCCAACCCGCCGATGGAGAGGTATTCGTGATTCACGCTGGGGTCGTTGTGGATAGCGTCATCAGCCTGGCAGGGGGAAAGAAAAAGAGTAGGGTCAGTAAACCGCGACAATGAGATTGCGATTGCGAGAATCAGATTCATCGCCCATTGCAGATTGCAGCAATGATTTGCGCGAATTTCCCAAGACTCACCTTCTTCACGACGGGCAAGATCCAGGGCTTCGCATTGTTGTCACGGTAGGCGCCGATGCCCAGATCGACCTTCTTATCGGAGGGGTCTTCGCGATAGGCCTTCATCAAGCCAAAGAGAGGGTCTTCGGGGGCCGCGGCGATGGCAGCCGGAGTGAAGACGGAAGGACCGTTGGAACCCATGATGTGTGAGGAGAGGGAGGAAAGACGGTCGCGGGCAGTAGCAGCGGAGGAGGAGGAGGAAGAAGAAGGAGGAGAAGGAGAAGGAGAGGTGGAGGAGGAGGTGGAGGGGTTTTGAAGTTGACGGGAGCTCGTCATGATGGAAAGGTTGCGTTGGCTGATGCTGGGACCCAACCTAAATAATAATCCCCCAAAGAATAATAATAATAAAATCCCCCAAATAAAACCCGCTCAGGTAATACCCAATGCACGTCCTAATTTAGTCACCCTGCAGCTCGCAGCACCACAATGACTGAGAATTGACCTGTTTTCCCCGGAATCTGGCCACCGAAGGACCCAAAAGAAAACCTTGCTGCTTGCGTTCACCGGATCGAGAGATGAGGAGGAATGAGGGGGTGGAGCACCGGGCGGTTAAATCAGGGCGCGGATCAGAAGAGGACAGAACGGGAAGTACTCGTGGTATATACACACAGAATAAAGATAAAGAATCAAGAGATCAGTGTTCCAGCAGTTCTCCAGTATTTCAATCAAATCCCTCGGCGCCTTCCTCCCCCCTGAAGCTGTTCCTCGGGCGCAAATCCAACAAGCCGAGGAACTTCCGTAACTTCTTCGTCGCATGACGCGCACCGCGAGACCCTGTGGAGTTCACATGCTTCGTTTTGACTCGAACGGGCATTGTTATGCTGGGAGAACAACATGTGCGAGTATCGATTTGATTTGATCCTTGGTTCCATCTCCTATCTCTAACTACAAAAGTTTCCTATCAGCATCTGATGTATACGATTCGTCATCTAGGGATATGATAAGCTATTCACAGATCGTCTCAATTGGAGTCCTCGGTAATAATGCATGCAAAAAAAGGATAATAAGAAGCCGACTGTAATCATCCCTCCATCCACAAAATACCCGCAAAATCTGACTAAACTTCCCCCGACCAGGCCCTGTGATCTGATTCTGGGCCCGTTTGGAGAATAAACCCCCGAGTCTCCGACAGGCTCGCGGCGCCGCTCGTGTGTCATCGCGCCGAACGGGAGAAGAAAAAAGGCGCAAGTGGAGCCCCTCCCTGCTTCTCGAATGTCCGGCCTGACAGGACGCCACTGTTAGCAGTTCATCTTCGCCGAATGAACTCGAGTTTAATGAATATGCATGAAATGCGCTCCGTATAGACCTTGGGTATTAGCAATCAGAGGATCTAGACATTGGATGCACAGTTAATTCGCAACTATATACTCCGTACGGACAGTACAAGGTAGAATATTCAAAAGGGTAAAGATTAAAGTGCTACATATTCTAATGGGAATTATAATACTCACAATTCGTCAAACCAAACTATGTAGCAGTCGAGCACTCGGAATATTCTCTGTAGTAGTCCATACTCGAAGTAGTACTACTGTACTCCGTAGCTAAACCTCCAATCTCATCGGCGATTTTACCCCCCATGAGGAGAAACCCCCCCAGCCCTATTCAGGTTCGGAGTAGTAGGACAACTTAGTCCAGTCTCCTCCTCCTCCTCCTCCTCCTCCTCCTCCTGTGTACCCCCATCCCATCCCATCTCTCCTAGGGTTACCGCCCTAAATTGAGGAGTAAAACAAAAAAGTTGGAGAGACATCATTCGCTTCTCCAGGAATCCCCAAAGGTAAAATTCCGAGGATCGCGGGCCTCCGCAGGATCACTCTGTCCGACTCCCCAGTCGAGGACTGCTCCGTCTTCTAGTATTATTACTCTTCCGATTCACTCCCCGCCCGGTCGAATTTAGCCAGTTAGCCAGGTATGCTTTAGCCAGTACACAACAACATTAAATCAGTGAACTACAGTAATATTATACTATTATACTATCTCAATTTACCCCCGTCGCGGTCAGTCTTACGACGGTACCGATCGGCGATTGGCCACCTCTCCATTTTAGTACTGCATGTCCTCGTGTCCCCACGGACATTCTCCGACTCCAGCCGTTCTTCTCCGGGTTTTTCCCCGACTTTTCGCGATGATGTCAGGTTCGTCTCGAGTAGTTTTGTCCATGGGGTTGTCCGTGATTCCCCCGGGAGGGAAATTTAAGCGGAGAGTGGAGAGGATTATTTTATTTACTCTCGTCTAGTCATTCATACTGTAAGTGGAGGTAGAGATAGAAATAGAGCCCTGAGACGAGTCGTGATATCTTCCCGGCTGGTACAGTCCTATTATACATACATCCATCACTTGGTTTGTAAAGCATGGACTTGGGTTATTGAGGAGAGGAGAACATCCACTGAGGTGTAATACTAAACGGTACTCGGTACTTGGTGTTTCCATTCTCCACACTTTCCTAACGCCCCCCTCGGTGCGCCGCTCCACTGTCCAACCCCAGCCTCCAGCGCGGTCTGTAACTAACTCTGCATTCCCCCACGGCGCCAAGTCGGCCAAGCCTGGGCGATCGGTGCCCGGTATTGCGATTCCGGGGGGCGATTGGGGTAATAAGTTCCGCCGGTTGAACTTTCCTAGTTTAGTCTCTATGAACTGGGTGGTATGCAGGTGGTTGGTTATATAGTTACTGTAAGGAATGGAACTGGAGGATGGATGTCGGGATCATGACTGAGAGTTCGGAGATTTCTCGAACGTTTACGCAGCCTTAGGTACCCGTCCACTTATTGAGTTGGGTCAGGTAGGGGGCGGCCGAATTAGAATTCTTGTTTCACCTATGTGAGAAATTAAACTCTCGCGAGATTTATTCCAATCAATGTAACATAGTTAAGGTTCCTTGGCTGATGTCTAATCCCCTGGATATTCGCGGTTCCTGGATTTTGGAGTCTGGAGTCTAGCAGGCGACATACGAAAGTGAAGTCTCTTGCAAGCCCGCATACACACCAGCCTTACGACTACCGAGCTCCAGCCCTGCTCTCCTTGAGTTTTGCACTTGGCATATCTACCGAGCACCAGTCATGGTAAGAGTATATCTTCATATGCACAGCCAAAATATGGGATCTACAATCACCCTATACCGCAAATATACACATCATATGTACAACGTGCCGATAAGAGAAGCGGACAAGAAGTGGAGGCCGGAAGAGAAAAAAAAAGATAATCAAAACAGTCACAAATGAAAAGTAAATCTTTTCTCCTCCAGTCTCATTGAAACGCCGTCCATCTGGAACCCAAATATGTAAAACATCCAAATCCAAATTCACATCGTAGATCTCCGACAACCCTGCTTATTCAATCAGGTCGTGTCAGATCGCTCCGGACATCCTCGGTGCAATTCATATTTCCCAAACGCCGGTGCAAAAAATCAAAGGTCGCAATGTATAGAGCCGTCAACATCAAAACAGGTAAAGGTAAAGAGGTCGTATCATCAAAAAGGAGGGGTTTCCGAAGTGCATGGATGAAGCGAAGGGGGGTTAAGGAAGGAGTGTCGTTATTCATGCATTGGTTTTTCGTGGACCGATAGGCCTAGTTCGTGGTATGTGCAGGCGGTGGCACGGTGGGTGTTGCCGCCCCACTCTCGACGGGGCTGGTGGTGGTGTCGACTCCGTGGGCGCGGGTGCGGATACGGAATCGATCGCGTAGTCGGGTTGATAGGCGGTTGCGGTTGCGTCGAGTGGTGTCGTCGTCGTCGCCGGCGGCTTCTTGATTGGCTTCGCGGACGTGTCGGAGCGCGGCGAGACGTTCTTCCACGGTGGCATTGCGCATGCGGCGGGCGTTGAGGGGGCCGTGGAGGTAGTTTGATAGCCGGTGGGAGTGTCGGCTACTTTGGGTGCCGGCGGCTGTTGCAGCTGTAGCAGCTGTGGTGAGCTCGGCTACGGTGTCCGTGTTCTGTTGGTCGGCATTCTCGCCTTCTCCTTCGGCATTCTCCTCGGTCTTGGGTGGGTTGAGGTCGATGCGGCTGTGGAAGGGGGTGTTAGTTCCATACTGGGTAAGACTTGTGCCAAAGGAGGCCGGCCTGCTGTGCGAAACTTACCAAAGGGGACATGTGCCAGATACATTGACAAGCCACGGGTCAATACACTCTGGGTGGAACTGGTGGTTGCATGGCAGAACCCGCAGGTCTTGGCCCTTGATAAAGTCATCGGTACAGATCGGGCAGGAGAAGTTACCGCTATCGGGGGCAGCATTGGGGTCCGATTCGTTCGCGGCAGTTGCAGCAGCTTGGATAGTAGCTGCATGCTCAGCGGTGGTCATTTCAGTCTCGCGGGGAGTCGTCTGCTCGACGTCGGAAATGCTATCCGAGCGGGAAGGGGAATGCTCGCGGGCGGGATCCTCCACATTGGCCATCTCGACGTCCCGCTTGGCGGCAGCCACACCGTCGTTGTCGCCAAACTTGACGACGGGAAGTGTGTCGATGAAGGCTTGCGCTATACCTCTTGCTCTACTTTGCCGTGGCCGGCCAGCGACCCGGCGAGGTCCATATCGCTCGGGATGACGGTGCGCACGGACGGCGCCGGTGATGATGATACCCAGGAAGAGGGCTGTAATGATACCTGTGATACTGTACAGGATAATCATCGCTGCAAGGGAGTAGTCAATATCGGTCCAGTTCTCAAGGCCGTCCGCAATACGAGAAGGGAAGAGTACGCACCTGTGTTGGGGCTGTTACCAGTACCGCTAGCACTGGTGTCAACCGGCGCGGAGGTTTGAAACGACGACATTGGCACAATGGAAACGGTCTTGTTGGGAGAAGTGGTCAAGGTTTGATTGAGAGCGGCGACCGCAGTTGAATCCTTGAATGTGAAGATGTAGCGATACGCCTCGGTTGAATCATCCGTGGTCAGGTTACAGTGGGTAGAACTTGAACTGTAGAGGATGATGGCTGCAGCGGGTTGGGCAGCAGTAATCACACTTGAGACAGTCTGATCGACACCCAGCTCTCCTGGATAATTTACAGAAGAGTCGTCACAGGGGATGCAGGCAATCTCAGTACTATTGATGACTAGCGAGTTGGTGGCAGTCACCTCGGTGATCGTGCCAGCGACGTCAAAACTCTGGAAGAGAGTCAATCAGCGTGCCCGTCGTGACAATGGGGTGGGAAGAGCTAGATAGGGGGGAAAGATGGAGAGGGAAGAAGATGAAATCAAGAGTCAGAAAATCCGAGACGGTCTTACATGGGCCTGGCTGGAAGATAAATTGACGAGGTAATTCGTCAATGGGGCGAGGTAAAGGTCGTTGAGTGGATTGGAACCTTGGATGCGGAAGCGCGCGGAGCTGGACGAGGCCAAATCGGTGGTGCTGTTCGTGGGCAACACCGAGATGTTCGCCAGCACAGGCACAGTGATGAAGAGGAAGGAGGAGAGAAGAGAAGAAGAATACCACAGCCCCATTGCCGCGTGTATATGTGTGAGAGTGAGAGTGAGAATTGTCTCTCTTACGGGAGGCGGCGGAAGTCCGAAGTGTGGGGATGGGATGCGAGCATTTGTCAGGCCCCAGGACCCAGTTGAGAGTGCTGGAGAAGAAGCCCGAAGTCGGGGGGGGGGGGGAGAAGGATGACAAGCGGATGCAAGTAGGATTGTGGATGCCCCAGTTATAATCCTAAGAATATAACGACGAGGGTGCCAGAAACCAGACACAAAAAAGAGGAAACAAATGGGGAGGGGGGGGAGTGGAGTTGGATAAGAAGGAAAACGGAAAAACAGGGAACGAAAGAGGGGAGAAGCTAAGGACGATCGTGAGGGATGGATCCCCGTGGAGAAGTAGGAAGATCCCGATCATGGATCATGGGCGATACGATAACGGGGGAAGTTTACGCTCGACGCGGACTAGCGGAGGGTGCTGAATATTATGGCACACGGATAGGGTAAGATTGAAGGTGGTACGATGAATTGCGTATACCAATGAACTCTCTTCCTCTGCTACGGTCGTATACTCGGCGAGGATACTTCTGCTAGTCTGACTCGAGTATGTGTACCGTATGTACTCCGTACGGGGTAAGCACGGAGTACGGGGTAGTCAGTGGCCTCAATGCGAATGCGAGCAAAACTAAAATTGAAACGGATGATCGGTTCGGCTTGCGAGAAGGCGATGCTGGAGAAAACATACACTATCAGATCAGTGTACTTGACTTTTGGCCGGTGTGGGAAAGATTTCCACCTCAACGAGTCGTCAGTCACGCTGTTCGGGGGCACTGCTCATCATCCATTTGGAACGACCCGTTCCATGGACCCAACGGGGCACATGAACCCTTACGTTAGATGGTTGTTCTATCGATTCGACAGGATGAATCATAATTGTTTTTTGCCCCCTCGCTCTGATGCTCTGGACGAGTAATTGGTTTGGCACTTGCAGTCGTAATCGTGATCATCATCGGATTGCGCTTATGTACGACGGTTTAGGTTCGACGTTGTCCGTCGTATACACAGCCTTCGCCGATGCGATTATTCTGGCAACGGTAGATCCTCTCAGACAATACTGAGCTGATATCAGATGACGATGCTATTGCGGCCTCTTCCGGAGTCTTGACAAATATTACGCGCCAATAGTCGCCTGCAGGATGTCGATCGGAGACCCTGGGCGTGGATATCATGGCACCATTTCCGATCCTTTAGAAGGACGGTCTGTGACCGAGAGTGGATCCACCGTGTCAGAGGCTCTCTGCCATTGACAGCCAGTGGTTGTGGAGTTGGCAGCCCAGGTGGGGGGAAATTGAATCCGTTACTCGAGGAGTGCCCGAGAGGATCAGAAGTTAGATTAATATTGATGCATGCCAAATATGTACCCAGTCTTTCGAATTGAAGTCTGGAGTAAGCATTGCTTCATCCAGTCAAAGCAATATGTCCGTAGTCAATGCGCAAAATACTGTAGTTGTGTTTCACGAATATCCCGAATAAATAAGTCCACCTGGCTTCCTGGGATCGTCGCCCTTGGAGACATAATCCCCTAAGTAAGTATAGTATAGTATACAGAGTATATGGGACTGGGAATGAGGACGATTGTCCATCATGAATGATGGCTGGAGAGCCATAGATTGATAGGCAAAGAGGCTGTAAGCAGAGTATACGAGAACGAGGCTAGTTCAGGACCATCCTTCTATTCTAGTCCCGTTGTGATATCGGTGATGGCACAGCCACCTTTGACGCGTCACTTATGTATGCGCCGAAGACCTGGACAGCTATTTAACGAGCGTTCTCCCCTCGCCCAGCAGTGCTTCCAGTCCCCTTCGTCGGGCTCCGGGTCGGCGGAGATACCCCCGCCTCAACCAGCCTGACAGCCTCAGGCCACCCCGGCTGAGACACGAGACCCGGGCAAGCAATTGCCCTAACCAATAATAACAGCAGTGAATGAGGGTCAGAATTATCCACGGTAGGGATGAGTTTTTCCGTCGAGACATGCGACTAAGACATTCTTTCCTTTCTGTGGTTCTCTTGTTTAGTGGTAGTTGGTTCATCATTATTACTCCATAGTTCGTCCGTATCCGATCGCTGCCCCCAAACTGAGCTTATGGCCTCTTCGGGGGTCCTTCATCTGCGGATCATCCCAGCAGGCTAAAGCGTGAGAGCGACCGGACGGGATGGCGATCCATGCAGGTCTGTTGTTTGTGCGCACGGCCATGAGAGTGCTGTAGCCTCTTGACCAAGATTGGGTGGGAGAAGCCACCCGGGCGCTATGGGGAGGTACTTGTCGTGGAGAGTGGGCTCCATATCTCGATCGGGAGTACTGTATGGAGAATTTGAGCACATGTACCATGTAGCATATAACTCGAACACCCTTGCCACTGTGGCATCCACCCTTTTAGACCGGCAAAAAGGGTATATATTTATATTTACAGAGTCCCATCACCGGGATCTCAGGTTGAGCATGGGCCCGTGGCGGCAAAAGAGCGCATCCCGAACCGGGCGGCATCCTAAACCTTAAACGCGGGCAACCCATTCAGGAATCAGGAATTGAGGATTGAGGGAAGTGAGGATTTGCTTACGCGAGCGGTGGTACCGTTCCGGATGAGATCTATAAACTGTGGGGGAAGCTTGCGAGTAAAATAAGAGCTCCTCCGAGAGCTCATACTTTTGTACAGGATATCGAGGACTGTGTGGATCGTCGATAGTCCGGATCGTCGATACAGGATGATATTTAAGATCTATTGTCGCCGGTACCCAGTACCCAGTACCCAGTACACAGTACTTCAGCTTCCATCTATAGATTCTGGTCAACCAAGGGGAAAAGAGGCCCAGTCGGGGCTTTTGCGCGGAACCTTTTGATTTGCGGAGGCCCAAGTGGGGGGGAAGGTCGAGGCTCTCATCGACCCCCCGAACCAGGCAAAAAGAGAAGAAGGAGGAAAAAAAACGAGGGCAAGGGCCATTTGGTCGGCTGGTCGATTTCGCTCTTTTTTGGTCTCTGATTCTTCTTCGAGTGGTCTCCAGTCTCCAGTCTCCAGTCTGGCCGAGTCTGGTCTCTCCTGGGCCCTTCCATTAATAGCATCTTGCAGTTCCAGTCTCCAGCTCCAGTGCCAGGTCCAGTTCCCAGTCCTGTTGTTGTATACTACGACTTCCTACCGTTCTCCTCCTCCACCATTATTCCCTACGATTCCTTCACTCGACTCCGTACCTCCCGACGCCCCGTACTTTGTCCTTTCGGCCTTTTCGGTTGATCTGCCTCCCCCAGCGGCTACATCCGTCCTCTTCATCTTTTCCTCTTTCCCCCTCCCCTCCCCCTCCCCATCAAAACCTCCCGCTGAATGGTTCGACTATCCAGACCAACCAACTCCCCCCTCCTCCAACCTCGAACTTTCCCCCTTCGATCGGCACTCCACTCCCAAAGTCGATCCACTCCCGCGTTCACCCATGACAGCCTAAGAACCACCAAGCAGAAAACCACCTGGACTCTTGAACTCCAAACTTTCTTCCTCCTACCCCAGCCTCTTCGCCCCGTCCAACCCCCCCCCCCCTCCTCCTCCCTCCTGTCGCCGTCCTAGGTCTCGTCCTTGATCTGGGGGTGCCTGTTCGGGCGCGATAGGCGTCGCACCATGCCCTCCGATTCTTCCATCGAGTCCTTTACCAGGGACTGGGAACGATGCTTTGACAGGAAGCCGATCTCTTCGTACGTTGGGCCCTTCCCCCGGAGCTTCGATCAATTCTGAGCCCTTCACATGCCCGCCCCCAATCTGTCCCCCAAACGTGACTCGCGTTCTTAGAATCTGTTCCCCCTTCCGGTCTAACATCTACTGGCCATGACTTCATAGAAACCCAGTCATTGCCGACCTCGACGTCGAACACAACGAGCTTGCGCAGACCTGGAAAACATTTGTTCGCCATCTCCCGCCCAGTACCCGAGTCGAACGGGGCGACCGGCCCCCATCAGTCGGCGATGTCGCGGCCCTCATACGGAACACGCAGTCTCACTGGAGGTCTCAGTCTCGCAACCGGGTCTTTGGCCAGGCCGTGGCTCTCTGCGACAGATTCGTGCCGACCCTAGAAACACATGCAACCTTGTTGGCTGTGTTGCCTGATGCCGACCTCTTCCATGCACCTCTCTTCTATAGCGTGCTACAAACGTTGATCAAGGTGAGTTGGACGGTCTTCCCCTGCGGGCGACACGAGGCGAGAGAGTATCAGCGGCGTGCTAATCATCAATGGCATCTATAGGCAGCTTCGGGTTACCCTCATGTCATTGAGGGGCTAATGACCGCCCTGTTGAACATTCATAGTGCCCTAAACCTACCCACCGAACCTCTCACCTCCTCTATTCACTTAATGCCTGTCGCCAAGATATACGCTTTGTGCTTCTTTTTCCTGACCGAGTTCATCGACTGGTTTATCCGCAGATCCACCTGCGAATTGCTCAAGAGCCATAGTCAAGATGCATACTCGGAATTCCATCACCTGGTCACCTGCATCCAACGGCAGGCCCGGGCTCTCACGGACTCATCCGACGCAATGGACGTGGATATGGACGAGAAGTCCGATGCAGCATATAGTCCACGTGCCCTCTGGGAAGAGTCCCAACTCAGCCAGGTCGGCCGCCAGGGAACGGATCGTCGGATAGCGGCCCAGAACACGATCACGCGCCGTTTGATTTGGGAGATCCAGCAGGATGCCGAAGAACGTGCTCGAATCCGACGGCAGAGGGACCAGCTGCTGACTGAAATGCTGAGGTCTGTCAATAACCAGCTCCGTCCAGTCAATGAACAAACTAGTGGGGTTGTCTGCATGACCACTGCTGCGCCAGATCTTGGTAGGTTTTAATCGTCGTACTCTGTTACCCAGGGATGCTAATTGGGGATTGATTCTAGTGGCGTCTGCGTTTGAGTGGTCACGAGTATCCAAGCGTCGTCTCGCGCGTTTGGAACTTCAGAACGCTTCTAGACATCTCGAAGTCTATTTTGACAACGACGATCAAATCGCCGACGTGGACCCCAATGTCCAAATAGCTGTGGAAAGCAGTGTGGTTGCGATTCTTCATGAATGGGTTACCAACCCGCGTTCACAGGCTCTTGCTGTCGGCGGATCCCCGTCAAACGTATACCCGAGTCCGGTGGCTTTGATATCGGCGTGTTATGCATCCTTTTCCCGCCGAGCACGACTACCTGTCATTGCCCACTTCTGCACTCTACCGGATAAGGACGCCAAGGGTCTTACTAGGCACCAACAAGGTCTGATTGCCCTCACTTACAGCCTGATCCGCCAATTAATCGACTGTCTTCCTACCGTCGTGGACAGCGACTCGTTACTTGACCTGAGTGCCGAGCGATTCCGTCAGCTCGATGGTACGATCTCCAGCTGGAAAGCCGCCCTGGCCTTGGTCGATACACTATTACATTTCGTACCGCCCTTACTCGTCTGCGTGATCGACGGTCTCGACACGATTCACGATGCATCCACCGACGCTGCCCTCCGAGATTTGATACGCGTCCTTCTCACTCACACACGACACCGGCCCCAGCCAGCCAATAGCGAATGTTCGAGCCCAACCTTCCTTTTCAAGGTTCTCTTCACCGTTACCGGTCGGCCTAGCGCGCTGGTGGAGACCATGTCCGAGAACCAGCTTATCCTGAGCGAGCCAACGCACTCAGCTGAGCTCACTCCCTCGGACACCGTCCTCACCTCGGATTTGGGAGTCGTCATGATGAATGCATGAATCATTTCTCCAAATTGGGCGCGGCTGAATTGAACTGCCCACCCTACTTTACGAATTTCCTTTTTCATCTTATCCTCCTCTGGTCTCGTCGAGACCATCTGAAAAGATCCTTTATGGATCCTATAGATTTGATCTCCACGCCTATGGGATTGATATTCCTTGGCTACGAGACTTTCTTATGACGCATGAGGCACGAACGGCGACCACTGAGCACTTCTTTTCTTCTTCGCTATTTGCATGAGCTATTTGACCCGGAGATACCTTGGCTTTCTCGTGTGCTGTGGTTTCACCTTGTTAATTACTTTTTCTGGTCTCCTCTTCTTATTGGCGCCTCTTGCTGCGATCTGACTTATTCTTCTATTGGCTCTTTCTTGGTCACTGGCGTTTGGAAGCTCCCCCTGGGAAACATGGATTACGGGGATATCATGCGTTGGCCATCATATACACCTTGGCCATCCAGTCTGCGGACTAGTGCATTTGGCTGTTTTTGTTTTCAGTGACTTGTGGTAGACCGTGTATTTATACTGCTTGCTCGCTGTGATACCCATGTCTAGAAGTACTCTGCCTTGTTTGATTCCATCTGTTCTTCAGTGTTGTAAAATGGGTTGCGGAATTCAATTTCCGAGTAAAGGAACATGCAGATATCTGGTGCTGAATGTGGACTGTGCTGGATGGAGAAAATTGCGGGTCTGACACTACTCGGCCTTGGGTGCCGATGCGGGGGCGCCTGGTGATGGAGCCGCTGGAGATCGAATTCCGCCTGCCATTTACTTAAACCTGCCTCGGGGAAATTCCCTGCACACGCGAGCTCATAAACGACTGATGATTGATAATTGATAATAATTTCCACGACACCACTATGAATGGGCACACAAGTATCCCCCAGCGGCTCACCCAAGAGTCTTCCATCTCGCTAGACGAGTTTAAGCAAATCTGCTCTCAGTCCATCGATGCCTCAACCTACCCACTGGCCTGCGCCGTCGAGCACAATGTCCCAATATACGACATCGCCGCACTCGACACACCACAACTAACAGCCGAAACAATCTCCCACCTCCAAGATGAATGGCACCACATCCTCCGCACCGGACCAGGCGTCTTCGTGCTACGAGGAATGTACACACCTACCAAATACGCCTCCATCCTCTCCGCCACAAACGACGCCTTCGACCGCATCATCGCCCGCGAACGAGCCTCAAACCCCTCCAAGGGCGACCACTTCGCCGCCAGCGGCACCAACGACCGCATCTGGAACGCCTTCTCCAAGCACGCCCTCGAAGACCCCGCCTCCTTCACAAGTTACTACGCCAACCCCTGGCTAGCCACAGTCTGCACGTCCTGGCTCGGCCCAGCCTACCGCATCACCGCACAAGTCAACGCCGTCCACCCCGGCGGCGCCGCACAAGAAGCCCACCGCGATTACCACCTCGGCTTCATGGATGCCGACGCCTGCGCAGGCTTCCCCGCCGCAACCCAACTAACCTCGCAATTCCTGACTCTGCAAGGCGCCGTCGCCCATACCGATATGCCCCTCGCCTCCGGGCCTACGCGCTTCTTACCCTTCAGCCACACCTTTGCCCCCGGGTACCTGGCCTGGCGTCGACCCGAGTTCCGCGCCTTCTTCCAGGACAAGTACACGGCGTTACCGCTGTCGCTGGGCGACGGGGTATTTTTCAATCCGGCGCTTTTCCACGCCGCGGGCGCGAATGTCATGGATCCGGATGGTGGGGGGTTCCGCCGCGTTGCGAATCTGTTGCAGGTTAGTAGTGCGTTTGGGAAGACGATGGAGAGTGTGGATGCGATTCCGCTCGTGGAGCGGTGTTGGGATCTTCTAGTGGCACGGTATCAGGCCGCGGGGAAGACGATTGCGGATGGTGGTTTGGATCCTAAGTGTTGGGGGGAAGAGGCGAGAGGTGTGAGGGCTTTGGTTCAGGCGTTGGCGGAGGGTTATCCGTTTCCGACGAATTTGGATCGTAGGCCGCCTGCGCCGGGGAGGATGGCGCCGGAGTCTGAGCAGGATGTTTTGGTGAGGGGGTTGGAGGGGGGTGGGCGGTGGTGGAGATTGTGCGGGCGTTGGAGGAGATGAGGATGGAGTCGCGGGCGTGATGGAGTGATGGAGTGATGGAGTGATGGAGGGTATCGAGAGTCGAGAGTGGTGTTTGGGAGAGTATGTGAGTCGAGTGGTGAGGTTGGGACTCGTGACTTGGTGTAATGTATAGATGGCTGGAGTAATGGAGAGTTGGGTTTGATCTTTGGAGTTTCGTCACGAGTCGATGAATCCAGTAGTTCACTAAGTTAGCCATAATGGATGTGTCGTGTGATTAGTGATTGTTAGTGCAGATTGCGTGCAGCTGTATACTTATACTGTGGTTAGCTGGGATCGACTCGATACAAATATGAATATAGACCTATCGAGTCCTGAAAAAGCAGTCTAGAATACATGGACTCTTGTTGTACTCCAGTACTATATTCTCTGTGACTTCATTCGTTCGCCTCCCCCTGGCATTGGACCCCTGGAATCGGAGGGCCCGCTGGAGATCTGGCGATGCCATTGGAGGATCACCATCGACGCCTGGTGGAGACGGGTGGACCTGCGTTTCCATGGGATTGGGAGGCGAATTTGGGAATAAAAGTTGAAAGGATCAGGAACGGCAGGGTAAAGGAGTAGAAATAAATATAGCAATCGTCAATGGAGGATAGAAATAGTAGATATTGGACTCGTGGACAGGTTAGCAGGGAGCCCCTGGAGTATAGAGCCGAGACTATGGGAAATACCATCACCCGTTCCTCACAATAAGTTCATTAAGAATGCGGCTGTCATGACAGTGGACACTGACAGGAGTCACACCATAGGCATCCTCCATCGTAATCACTCAATCACTGGAATGGCCGTCTCACATTTTTGGGGGAGTCGCCTGGTAACGCTGGTGAAACCATGTGGCTTGACTGGGCTGAAGGGGCTCTCTCTTTCTCGCTCCACTCTTCGTTTTTTCTTTCCCCTCGCAAATCTTAAAATCCCCGAGACACCAACACGCTTCTATTTCGGGTGCTCCGTGGGTTGCAATTGATTATTTTTTCTCTCCTTTGACTCGGTCGTTTCCTGTCATTTCGGGAAGTATAGAATCACACTCATTTCGTACCCATCCTTGCCTCGGCCCTCGCCGATCTCAATTCTCCACCGCGTTCGAGCCTACGACATCTCTGCACTCGCCCACACACGAAGTGGAGGATCATCGTCCGTCCACTGGCCACAACCAATTGGTTGGCATCCAACATCCTAACCCAACGGCCCAGCAGCGACGTAATCCAGTCTCAGCAAATTCCTGGTTCTGAATTGCTGCTGTCCGGGGCCAGCAGCAAGGTGATCTCATCTCGGACGTCGAGGTCTGGGTCTGGGTCAGGTCTCAGAACGACCCTAAAACCGCCAAATCCCAAATCCAAACCGCCCTAAACGGCCGCCGAGTTTTTTCTCTTCGCCCAGCTTTCTCCACCCAAGGAGGCCCCTCCTCCCCTCCACTTGCGTCCAATCGAGCCAACCAGCTCAACCGTCGATCTACAGCTCGATCCCATAAGAGGCACTCCTTCCCTCGCTTCCCCGCTCGCTTTCTTTCTCTTTTGCGATGAAGGGTCCTTTGGGGATCGCACCGAATCGATTGACGACTTACCGATTCCAGCAAATCCCCGATTTACCACACGACGCCATGTCGAATCCCAACGACGTGACGATTGATATCCCTCTCACCGAGACAACCAGCCGTGGTCAGAACGGCGCCCGGAAATGGGGCTCACACGCCGGCTCCACGGTGCCCATCAACGGCCACGAAGATGACAATGAGAAAGACGGCCTGAAGGGTCCGGGCCGTCGTCGTCGCCATCATCATGGTTCAGATATCAATGAGTCGACGGGGAAACCGTCGGATTCGCCCGAGGATGGTTCGATCAATCGCATGGGCCGCATCTACCAGGCCATCTACAACTTTTCTATTGTCACTCGTTACATGATTTATGTCTTTCCTATTGGCATTTTGTTGGCAATTCCCATTATTGTCGGCTCCACCGTCGCGCCGGATGCGAAAATCGGTGGTGTGCATATCTATTGGTTCTTTACTTGGATTGAGGTTGTCTGGGTGAGCTTGTGGGCGTGCAAGGTTTTTGCCAAATTCATTCCCTACGTCTTTCAGTTCTTGTGTGGTATTGTCAGCTCGGGGACCCGCAAGTATGCCCTTATTCTGCGTGCTTTGGAGACGCCTATTACGGTTGTGTTGTGGTCGGTTATCTCGTTGGTCACTTTCCTGCCGGTATGTCTTTCCCTGGTGTCATGGTATGGGGAATTCCAGACTAACCTTCACTCGTATAGATTATGACTTTGAACCCCAGCAAGCAGTCCAGCGAGGATACCAGCGTCACGTCCTGGGAGAAGAGCGTCAAGAACATCCTCTTCGCCCTGCTTGTATGCAGTCTCATCTTCCTCGGCGAAAAGGCCCTCGTTCAGCTCATCTCCATCAGCTACCACCGCAAGCAGTTCGATGCCAAAATCAAACAGTCCAAGCACAATGTCTACCTGGTTGGTCTCCTCTTCGAGGCCTCCCGCAACATGTTCCCCATGTACTGCCCCGAATTCAAGGACGAAGACGCCATCATCTTCGACTCGCTTTTGGCCCAGTCTAATGGAAAGCACACAAAGCGCAGCTCCATCATGCCCCTTCGTATGATGCAGCAGGTTGGCCGTCAGGTTGGCCACAATGTCGGCCGCATCGGTGACAAGGTAACTGCGGCCTTTGGCAACGTTGCGTCGGAGCTCACTGGCAAGCAAGTCTTCAACCCGCAAGCCACTCATTCCATTGTTATTGAAGCACTCGAGCGCAAGCGATGTGCCGCGGCGCTGGCTCGCCGTATCTGGATGTCATTTGTGGTCGAGGGCCGTGATGCGCTCTTCCTCGAGGATATTGTCGAAGTCCTGGGCCCCGACCACGAGGCGGACGCGGAGGAGTGCTTCGCTGCCCTGGACAAGGATGGTAACGGCGACGTCAGCCTGGACGAGATGATCCTGACGATCAGCGAGTTTGGCCGCATGCGCAAGTCGCTGAATCACAGCATGCACGATGTCGACCAGGCCATTCACGTCCTGGATAACCTGCTGCTCTCCGTCGCCTTCGTGGTTGGTGTCCTGGTCTTCGTTTCGTTCGTTACTACCGGCTTTGGCACCGTTATTGCTGCCGGTGCTACTTCCCTGCTCTCGCTGAGTTTCGTCTTCTCGACTACCGCCCAGGAGGTTCTGGGCTCGTGCATTTTCCTCTTCGTCAAGCACCCCTTCGATATCGGTGACCGTGTCGATATTAGTGACAAGTCATACGTCGTCGAGCGTATCTCTCTGCTGTTCAGTGTCTTCCGTACTGTTGGTGATCACCGCATGACTCAGGTGCCCAACAATATCCTGAACAGTCTGTGGATCGACAACTTCACCCGTGCCAACGCCATGCACGAGCAGCTGACCGTGCCCGTGAGCTTTGATACGAGCTTCGCCGAGATCCAGGCTCTGCGTGAGGAGATGGAGATCTTCGTTCGTGACCCGGCCAACAGCCGTGACTTCCAGTCTGATTTCAATATCGAGGTTGTGGGCGTCGGCGATATGGACAAGCTCGAGCTCCGTGTTGATATCCGCCACAAGTCCAACTGGTCCAACGAGACTGTCCGTGCCGCCCGCCGTTCCAAATTCATGTGTGCTCTCGTCCTGGCTATGCGCAAGGTTCCTATCCGGGCCCCGGGTGCGGCCGCTCCCGAGGAGGAGTCCAAAGATGACGGTGACGACAAGTCTGACGGTGCCCCCCATGCTGGTGACAACAAGTCGACTCAGGCTGGTGGTGCTGCTGCCGCGGATAGCAAGCGTGATGGCTCCGGCCAGGTTGGCGGTCTCACCCCTGCTGCCGCCGCCGCTGCTGCCGGCATGATGAACTACGACGCGCAGACCACAGGCTTCGAGCAGAACCGCTCCTCCGGCTCCGTTACACACCGCGGCTCCACCGCTGTCAGCCAGCGCGAAGCTGCTATTGCAGACCGTCTGAATGCCCGCTCCCCGGTCGTCCCCGCCGTCGACCCCGGCCGTGACGCCAATGACGGCCTCTACCGCACGACGACCAACACCTCCAACCAAGGCAATCAGCTGAGCGTGTACGACGGCAACACTGGCGGTATCGCACGCGGTCTCTCCACCGGTCACCGCAAGGCCGGCGCGCGAGTCTCCTACCACGACGAAGACGCCCAAATGCCACCCCCTCTCTCCCCCGTGGCAGCCGGCATGACTCCCTCGCACAGCGGCGTGCCAATCCTCAACACGCCCGCGCCCCCAGGCTCCCGCGGCAGCACCCGCTACGAGCCACCCACCACTCACGCACCCACCTCCCAACCCGGTGCGCACCCCATCGGCTCCTTCGCCCAGTCCTACTATGGCCACGAGGGCACGTACGACTCGGTCCCGCTGAACGGAATCACGCCTGATCGTGCTACCGCTTCCTCAAGCCACTACGACATGCCAGACCGGTATGACCCGGCCTCTCCGCCGTCGATCTACTCGCCGCAGCCGCAGGCGCCTGCGCCGACGTTGAGGAAGGGACGGACGGACTCACCGTATGGTGCGCATGAAGCATGAAAGCGAACCGCTCAGTGAGAAACTGACTATCATTTATCAATGTTTATTTTTCTTTCCTTGACAAAAACTCATTCTCATTGTCGGTGTTGATAGATGGGAGGCTCTGTTTAGTTGTTGTTCGTTTTTTCCCAATTTGTTCCCCCTCGCATCTAAAATTTTCTTACGGTCTTTTGTGTGTTGTATGATATGGCTTGTCTGGCTGCTTTGATCGGTCGATCTAAGTTACTTAGTTACTTTCATTCTAGTCTAGCGCTAATGGATGATGTGGATGACAATCTTTCACACAATTTACTCCTTGTTCATCGTAGCTAGTACTGTAAGGATTGTCAAGCTGGTCCGATTGATGCCGCTGTGTTTTGAGAGCCTTGACGCGGTAGCTGATGTACTTGCGATGTAGATTTCTGGTAGTATTGGGTGGTGGAAATCGCTCTCAAGTGTCAGCCTCGAAGATATTAACTATTACCTGGGGTTTGACAGTCATATTGTTCCTGCGCTATACCTTTTTGCATGCGGCTCCCAGAGCTAACTGGTAATCGTGGCCAGTGCTTCCGCGCAACGTCCACAGTGTAGGGCTTTTACTCGGAGGAGCCCGGACAAAGCTACCAAACCAAAGTCCAATCTTTTAGTCTGGTATTTATGCCTCTACTTCTCCCGAAGCCTTAGACCTTAGCTCCCTTGGACCCTTCCTAATGCAACGCAACCTCGCAAATCCAATAGTCGCCCGCCTATCCACTCGCACCACGCTAACCATACCATCTTCCTGCTAGCTTTTCCAACGCTCTAACTACTAAGCACCTAGGCCCCATCGACTAACTACTTATTGAAGGTGGTGTATTCTTTCTATCCAGAGATTTTTTCCTTTCACCGTGCGACCCTGAAAGACATCACTAACCGGAATAGGCACTAGCAACCAGCGGCCGAACAGGTTTGCTGCACATTTGGTCCCTGCCAAGCCGGGTTGGGCGGAAGTTTTGGTTCTGGTTGAATGGTTAGCGAGCGCGGCGGAGATTGCGCTTTAAGCCTCATTTCTTGGCTCGATGCACCGAGTCAGGTACGGAGCAGACGGGGTGGGTTGAGGTGCAAGCGAGATTGTGGAATTATGAGTTATTTGTATAAAATGGGGGCTTTTGGGACACGGTATGACCCGATTCAGGGTCGATATCAAATTCTTCTTTCTTTGGACATTTTTGATTCCCAAACACATAGCCCAGTGTCTACCAAGTTCCAATTGAGGAGACTCTGTATTTACCTCGCACAACAATGGCCTCAGGTCCCATCTCTGTGTCCAATGGCTGGTGGACTTTCACCAACTATGCCCCCCTAACCACGACATTCACTCCAGCCCCAAGCTGCACCGCATCCGACAGACTCAGTCTCGGCTATATCAACCACGGCTACGTCTACCTGGAATACGGCGTGCAATGTACCAGCGATGTGCACTATAGTGACTGTCTGCCCACGGCCACGACAACGGTAACCACCATGCCAACTCCCCCCAACGAAAAGCCCTGGGTGGGTATTGGGGGCTACTACTCGCCGGGTCTGTACTGTCCTTCAGGATGGGAGACTGTGGGCGTTGCGGCGTGCGATGCCAGCAGCACGCTTACTTCGTCGGGGATTTTGAGTACGACGCCGGCTGTGACGTTTAGTAGTTCGGATCCGATGTCGTATTATTATGAGACGGCGACGTGGGATGATCCTGCGACATTGTTGAAGAGTGTTCTCGAGCCGAGTCAGACGATGGCTGTTTGTTGTCCGAGGTAAGATTGAAGCAATGTCCCCTGCTACAAAAAAACTACATCGCCTGGCATCATCATTCTAACTGAGATTATAGCTCCTTCACTGCAGACGCCTACGGCGGCTGCTACTCCATCGCTTCGGACTACAAGCCTACCTGGGGCTGTCAAGCTTACACAGGATACAACTACGAGTACGGCGAGGTAACAGAGACATACACCCACGGCACACGCACGCGCACGCGCACCTACGCCGGAGATGAGCCCACAACTACCATCTATGAAACCGAGACTGATACCCATTACTTTAAACATTACGAAACTAGCTATTACTCGGCTATCTCGTATGTCCCCATGGTTACCCTGTTGCACCATGAGTCGGACTTGGCGAGTGCTAGTTTGGCTTCGGCTTCGGTGACGGGGACGGGGGCGAACGCTAGTGCTAATGCTACTGGGACTGCTGCTGCGACTTCAAATGCGGCTGTGAGATTGAGTGGTGGGCGCGATAGGTGGGGTGGGATTGGGCAGGTGTTTGGGGTCGTGATGGCGGCTATGGGGCTGGGAGCTGCTATTGTGTTGCAGTAGTTGGTGGATGGATGGAGATGAGTTTGAGCAAATGGGGAAAGTTGTGGTAATATGAATAATATTGGTGTATGTGTAGTTACTTGGCTTGAGGATATGATTCATCTTCTTCTCATACTTCGTAGCCCTAGTCTGTATATAGAGATTGCATTTTTTCAGGTCGTATATTATGGAATATTTACAAAACATAGGACCTACTGATCCGAAGTTTTACCGAGTCGGCGAGCTCATTTCTACGGGGAATAACAGGTGCTGCTTTGACGCGAAGACTTGGCTACCCGGTCAGCGCTAAGGATGTTCCTGCCCAGCCGTTAAACTAGACTCGAAAGTAGAGATGCAGTTCATTCGAACATCTACCTGATACCACCACGGGCCCGGTGACAAGCAAAAGATGGAGTCTATATTACAAAAATGGCCCGAGCATCCTTCTCCCATGTCGACTTTCCTCTACCTACCGCTCTCCTTCCACGGATACCCAACGGGATCATCCTTCCGAATCCAAATCTTCGACTTCTTCTTGCTTACAACATGCTCGACAAAGACTTCACGCGCATACTTTGCCTTGTACTTTCGAATCCAGCGCGGATCCCAGAGCTCACTCGCAATGCCGAGGTCCTTGCAGCAACGCACTAGTGCATTGGATCGACATCCCTCGGTAGCCGTGGGAATACCATCGGGAGAGAAATAATCTTGCTCGCCACGGGCGACGGAGACAAGTCTGGAACACCCGGATATCAGCTTATCAACACAATACCAGAAGAAGAGACAGGCGTAAACCCTCGCCCAGCAAGAATATGCTTTCTTACCGGCCATTGCAAACAAGCGCATACTCCCTCGTCACCGTTTTGGGCGTAACAATACTCTCACTCCGCGGGACAAGACCCCATCCACCCGGGCCAAACGCCTTATTGAGAATGCGCCGGTACTTGATCTCGGGGAGGTAGATGATTCCATCCGGCTTGATCTCGACTTCCTCGGGAGCAGTCTCAGCTAACAAAATATCGGCCGCTTCTTTAGGGAAAGGCTCCGCGGAGAGGCCGTGGAACGACCGTGTCCAATCGATTTTTTCTTCCGGCGCAGTCTCGAGCTCGAGTGGTTTATCGGCGAGACCGCTCTTGGAGATGTTTTCTGTCGTTGGGCGGTTGGGGGTCGGTGCGGCGACGCGGGATGCTTGCGGAGAAGAGGATGAGGATGATGAGTTTGCTGAGGAGCTGGTTTGAGGTGTCTGGCTGGTAGCGCCGTTGTTGTTTGAGGTTTGGGTCCGTGTCGAGCTGTAGGAGATGGCGCGCTTGGGAATAAGGTGGAAGGAGTGGCGGGTGCTTATTCTCGCACGCGAAGCTTGGGAAGCATTCTGGAGAGTCTCCAATGCCCGCCAGGGGCGGTATCGCAATGCTGACATGGTTGCGTTGGTGTTAAGGAGGGAGCTGGAGAGCTGCGAGCTGTGAAGTCACTTCGATATGGAGCATCACGTGACATAACCGGCATGGCAAGATTGAGTCTACGAGGAATGGCGTGGATAGGAGATTCGTGACAGGCAATCGTGGATCAATTGAGTTGGGAATGTATTATACAGGGTGATCTTCAGTTATGATGCACATGCTTTATGCATCCTTGGTCTGTGTTCGCTCGTCGTTGCCCTTGCGCTTCCAGCATTCGCGGAAGGCCTCCATCTGCAGTGAATGTTAGAACGAAGATCATTTTGAGAATACAATTTGCGGCTTCACGTCGAGGATCTGAATACAATGCGATAGATGCATATGATATGGATTGAGGTATATTGGCCTTGGACTCAAGATGTGCAAGTGGAAGGCACATCATGCCAGAGAAAACTCACTTCTTTGCTGCATGCGCGCCAATCTTTCTTGGCATAATAGCAGTCATTCATCTTGTCTTGCTCAGCTTTGAAGTATCAGCATGGAATGTTCAGGGAAGAAAGCTAGACATCACTCACCGTGGCATCCTGTGCTGTAGATGCGCTTGTCCCTGCGACAGTCTTAGCTTCAATATCCACTCAACATCTTCATAGCGAATCCAAATACCAATCATCTGGCTCATCATCGTCTTCAGGGACGACCTTGGGCTGTTCTGCGTTATTCGACATGGTTTCAACTTGTAATACTGGCAAGCTGTCGGAGACTCGGAGAGATGGTCGGTTGGCCGCGGCGGGATGGAGACCTGGATTTATCTTATCGGCCATCCCCAGCATTCCCACCATTTCCCCTCCGACAATCAACAATGGCGACGCCCACTGGCAATGATGCCAACCTCACGGGCAAGAGACTCAATGTCCTGGTCTATTCCGGTTCGCTCACTTATTCTGCCTGGCAACTCAGCCGATTTCTGACCGACAATGGCCCGACAGGAACCGGAACGACCGTCGACTCCGTCCGACACTGCCTCTACACCTTGCGCCGCCTGCTAGCTCCTAACTATGCAGTTATCCCCGTCACGGGCGACATGCTCCTGAAAGAGCCATGGACAGCGACTTGTGCCCTGTTGGTGATACCTGGTGGAGCTGATCTGGGGTACGGACGCACGCTCAATGGCGAGGGAAATCGGCGCATTGCTCAGTTTGTGCGCCGCGGTGGAAAGTACCTCGGTCTGTGTGCAGGCGGCTACTATGGGTGCAAGAGGTGCGAGTTCGAAGTCGGGGATAAGACCATGGAGGTCATTGGAGACCGCGAGTTGGGTTTCTTCCCGGGAACTTGTCGAGGTGGTGCTTTCCCTGGTTTCGTCTATCATAGCGAGGCTGGTGCAAGGGCGGCTGGCCTAGATGTTCCCAAGGAGGCTTTGAGTATCGGTACTGTGCCTACACATTTCCGGTCTTACTACAATGGTGGTGGTGTCTTTGTAGATGCTCCGCTGTTCAAGGACAAGGGTGTGGAGGTGTTGGCAAGCTACTCTGAGAAGCTCAATGTGGACCCAGGCGAGGGCGCTGCTGCCGTTGTCTACTGTAAAGTCGGAGATGGAGCGGCCATCCTGACGGGCCCGCATCCTGAGTATGTAAGGCCCATACAGGGGAATAACCGTTTACTGACATCAAGTCTAGATTTGCGGCTGTAAACCTAGACCCCAAGGCAAACGGCCCTGAGTATAAAGAGGTCGTCGAAGCACTGACCGCCGATGACAAGGAACGTACAGACTTCTTCAAGGCATGCCTTGCCAAATTAGGACTTCAAGTCGCGCAAGATTCTACAACTGTGCCCTCGCTGTCGTCTTTGCATGTCTCTGGTCTTGATGCTGAGGGACCGCTGGAGATTCTCTCTTTGCTTGCTCCAGCATTGACCGATGAGAACGGCAAGGAATATCTGAAGGATGAAAACGATACTTTCCGGATTGAGCGACCAGGAACATGGAACTTGAATGACCTGGAGAGTGCTCTCCCAGATGAATCTTCACAACCTAGCGAAGGCATTATTGACTATAAGGAAATTATCAAGCGCCTCGTGATTCACGATGATATACCTTCCTCTAAGCTGACGCCCTATTTCAATCACCACGCATTCTACGCCAACCTTCGTCAATATCAGTCTGAATCGAAGGAGGGCGCTTCGGAGTTTGGATCGAACCTGATGTATGGCGAGGTCATTACAAGTACCAACACAATCATGGAAAAGTGAGTGCCTCTTAATGCGTCGGTTTGACTTTCTTCTGATTTCACATAGGAACACACAACTGCTTCGGCGTCTACCCCATGGGTTTACTGCTACGGCAACCGTCCAGGTTGCCGGACGCGGACGAGGCTCTAATGTCTGGATCTCACCAGCCGGGTCATTGATCTTTTCGACGGTTGTACGACACCCTATTGAAAAGATCCAATCTGCCCCTGTGGTATTCATTCAGTATCTTTCTGCTATGGCTGTGGTAAAGGGTATCAAGAGCTACGCCAAGGGATACGAGAATCTTCCGGTCAAAATGAAATGGCCGAATGATATTTGTATGTTGAAGACATCGTCTGGGTATCCGTCCTTTTCATTCTGACCCATTTTCCTAGATGCTCTCGACCCGGAAGACCCAGAGCAGAAGCGATACACCAAGATCTGTGGTATCCTCATCAACTCCCACTTCATGTCAAACGAATACATCTCCGTCGTCGGAATCGGCGTCAACGCCACGAACGCCTCCCCTACTACAGCTCTTACTGCCCTCGCCGCACGTTATGCCTCTCCCGGTGCAGCAAAAGCTTCCCCTATCACACTAGAAAAGCTTCTAGCACGGGTACTCACCACATTCGAAGATCTGTATACGCGGTTCCTTCGCACTGGCTTTGATCGTGGCTTTGAAGCAATGTATTACGAAGACTGGCTGCACATGCACCAGATTGTCACTCTGGAAGAAGAGGGTGGTGCTCGTGCACGAATCCAGGGTATCACGCGTGACTATGGTCTTCTGCTTGCGGAGGAACTTGGTTGGAATGATCGACCCACTGCTCGGGTGTGGCAGTTGCAGAGTGATAGCAACAGCTTTGATTTCTTCCGCGGGTTGTTGAAGCGGAAGGTATAGGGGGGTGGCAGTGGGTATTCATAAAAATCACTGAAAATATCATCTTGATCGCTGATACGTTTGCCAAGTCTTGAAAATACTACGTGCATAGATCCTTGACAATGTCCGCTTGTCCATGAAAGAATCCAGGATTCAGAGCGAAATCAAATCCTAGTGCGGATGTTTAAACGCTGCGACCCCTCTGTGTTACGTAGAAGCTTATTGGTGCAGTCGAATCTGTGATTACCCATCGACAAATGCTGACTTTCATTCAAACTCATCCGTGGCCTTATCTCTCCCATCAGCAATCTTCCCCGCATTCTTCGATCCATCATGGCAGCGACGGATATGAGCGATCTTCCTCAGCTTGAAGGCGATCTTATCGCCCCGGATTACTCTAAACCAGTACATGAATCAGTGTCCAGGTGGTCATTCACGGGCATCAAGGAACGCCCTGCACTTACTATAATTCCAAATACCGAAGAAGATATCCTCAAAGCTATAGAATTTGCCAAAAAGCAAGCACTTCAGATTTTGCCTGCTGGTGGTGGGCATGGGACCCTAGCCCCGATCACGTCCAAGACCCTTTATCTTGACCTGAAAAGATTCAATAAGGTGGAAGTGGATAGCGGTCAACGGACAGTCACGGTGGGAGGTGGAGCTGTGACAAGCCAGCTAATCAAGGCATGCACCGAACACGGCTTCTACACCACTTGGCCTAACAGCAATGCGGTTGGCGTTGTTGGATGTATCTTGGGTGGAGGTAATGTAAGTCGCACCTCAACTATTGGCCGCTCTGCGAGAATTGTATTCCTAACTCAGCCTATATAGCCAACTTTGCTTGGACTACATGGAATGATGATCGACCATGTTCTTTCCATCCGTATAGTCACTTCAGATAGGAAAATAATGGAGGTGACGTCCTCGTCGAATGGAGAAGATCTCGCTCTCTTCCATGCATTATGCGGAGCAGGCAATGGCCTGGGGGTGGTCACATCCTTGACAATGAAAGTGTTTCCTCTAGAGAATCTTCGATTGTCGAAAAATGGAGTTTGGGTCCGCAGACTCGTCTTTTCAGCTTCGGAGATTGAGCTTGCCGCCGAGTTATTTGATAAAGTCCAACCTCCTCCTCCGCCGATGGTGGTGTCATTGGTCTGCGCAAGGGCGCCACCAACTGCCCCTAAGCCGGGCGCACCGATAATCATCTTCACGGTGACATATTATGGACCAGCAGACGAGGCAGAGACACGTACTTCAATCTTGTTCGAGGGTGAACCCATCTCCAAAGCAATCTCTGTGCAAACCGTCTTGACGCCACTGTTCAAGCTAAACGATGGACTCAATCACTTTGACGTACATGGTGGTTTCAAAGACATCCAGTCTGCTTGGATCACAGAAACTCAATCCGAGACTATCATAGCTGCATTTAAGGAATGGCTTGATTTCACAGCGCAACACGATGATACAAAAAGAACCACTATAGTACTGAATAGCTCCAGCATCCAAAAGCAACTTGAGATACAAGGCACTTCGGAAGGACGAGCCCGGTATTTTGATGCTCGTGATAGAGGAGTTCACGCATTGATCATTTCTTGGTTTACCAAAGCAGAAACCAGGTCGGCTGCAACCGACTTTGCGGCTGGGATCAAGGCTCTATATAGGCAGAAGAAGAAAGCTGCAGAGCCTCCACGGACTATTTTGAACAATATTGGCCCCAATTCAAAGCCAGACGAGATATTAGTTGAACATAGAGTCGCAGATTTGAAGAGACTGGCGGACTTTTGGGATCCGACAGCCCTCTTTTGGAAACCATGGAACTGAGAGCATAGTCTCCCATTCACACTTGGTAAGAGTTATCTGCTTCAGTTGTTTCAATGCCTAATCAGTAGTAGGAAGCTGTCATGGAAAAGACCAACTGGTAACGTTATACTACCAAGCTACCACTTGAACACGTGTATTTCCAGGGATTTCCAATTCAAAAATCATGATTATTTTTGTATTTCGCTAATTAAGCGCTCAATAATAATGCTAGTCATAAATCCCTGAAAAACTCTTGCCAGAGCCATGAAGGGGGATCAAGTCAATAAGTAGGTCATATCCCAGCCATCCCCATATATACGCAAAATCTAAGCTTTCGTCCACTGTTGGCACCACCTCGTCAGCATCTCCTTATCAATAGGCTCCATCTCCTCCATTACTGTGCTAGCTCTCTTGGCTTTCTCGAGAGTAAACTTGGGATACTGCTCTTCAACGATAGCCTGGAAGAATGGCAGGATGCGCGTCTTCTCGGCCGCAGCTTCCTTTGAAAGCTTATCCGGCGTCAGACCCGCAAGGTGATCAACCCAGGCGTGGAAACCTACCTGCCTAGATGAAGAAATACACGATTGCAAGGCATCTGCGAACACGGAGAATTGAATTGGTCGCGGGTGCACCACGTTGTAAAGTTGGACAAAGGGCGTCCCGGTCTCGCCTTCATGTTTCTCCTGCAGTGTGATATCAGTCACGATGCGTGAGACTTGATCAACGGGAATCCAGTCAATTTCTGCCACGTCAGAGGGGACCAGGCCGCAAGCCTTGGAGAGAAGGGCGAGGGAATGCATCCAGTCGTGGCTTTCCCATTTGCCGCCGCCTCTTATTGTAGTTGGGCCGGCGATTTGCCCAACGCGAAGGATGGAGATGGGAATTTGGAGCTTAGCACCGGCGGCGGCTAGCAGTCGCTCTGCGACGTGCTTTGATTGAGCATAACCGGTCAATGTCGCGGCGTTGGCACACTTGATGACTTCTTCCGGGACGGGCACATTCGGGGCCACAGCCTTAGCCCAGGCTGATACTGTGCCGGTGCTGGATGCGAACACGATGCGAGGCCGGGATGGGGCCATGTTTGCGATTTCAATGACCGTATTGATGCTCTTCAACATCTCGGGCTTAAAAGAGGACAGTGATAGTGCGAAGTTGACAGCCCAGACATTGTGGATAATAACATTGGCGTGGTTCAGAATTTCATCCATCTGTCTTTGGGAGAGACCCAGGCTCGGATGAGAGAGTTCCATAGAAATGAATTGTAACCGTGCATTACTAGCATCCACGTCTAGACCGAGTTCATTGACACGGCGCTGGAATTCTGCTTGGCCACTGCCGCCGCGGTCCAGACACTTGATGCCGGCCACACGGGGGTCATTGAGCAGGTCCTTGACAATATAAGGACCTAGACGACCTCGAGAGCCTAGTAGTACAACCTTGATATCCTCCGTGGGAAGCTCAACTCCTGGCTTCAATCCACTCGGCTCTGGTAATTGAGCCACGAATTCTTCCAACACATGCTCCATATTGAGACCCAGAGAGTTGTATTCGGCTGAGTCACTTTGGCCAAAGACAGCGTCAAGCGTGGCTTTAGCCAGAGTCTCGATAGACGGATTCTCAAAGATTGTACGAAGCCAAAAGTTGATCGTGTTCTTGTCCGGGTTCATGCGCCGTAGCAGACTCAACCTCAACTTCTGCCCAAGCTCCAGAACTGTCAGAGAGTCCATGGCTTTGGCAACGAAGAAGTCATCGCTTTCTTTCAAAGTGATATCTGGTCGGATATCATGCACAACAGAGCCAATGAATCTCTTGGCTTCGTCAAGCCAGTGATTCTCCAGGATGCCCACCTCACTCTGTTCGTCTGTGGTACCGTCAATGAAGGCTGCAGCGATGTACTCGGCATACAGAGATTCAGTTGGCTTCCGCGAGATGGTTCCCTTGGGAGCTTGGAAGAATCCCAGGTTGGGTTGACTGAGAACTATTCGCGATCGGCGGATCTTGCCATACTCGGGTGCAGTCGCGTTTGCCTGCGCGATCGTGGGCCAGATAGAGTCGATGAATTCTTTCTTGCTCATCCGATCCACTTGCGGTCCGGGCCGTGGCTCAACCAGGAGAAGCACTTCGGGACGGCCATTGCCGACCATCAAAGCACCTGCAATGAGAGGGTCGCCGGCTAATGTCTGCTCCATAGGGATAGGCCAAACTTTGTGGCTGCTGGCAAGCACGATGATATCGTCAGTGCGCGAGTGGAAGCGCCACAATCCAGGCTTCGATGGGTGAGGCTTGAACAAGTCCCTGGTGCGCCATTCGCCCGTGACATCGGGGAATGTATGGGCAAGAGAACGCTGGCCGATAAACTTTTTGTCGGGATGCAATACCAGCTCGTAGACGCCTTCGCCCTCATCTATTTCCTGGAAGTCACATTCCTCAGCCGGATTGGGCTCCAAATAGCTCCACTCTCCCGGGCTGGGCACGAGCATTTGAATTTGGCCCATCTCGAGGGAACCATACATTTGGCAGACATCCGTGATCTCGTCCAGGCGATTTCCAACACTGTCTACCAATGGACCGCCACTGTAGAGCACGAAATCCAGATTCTCTGCTTGTTTGTAGGCGGATGGCTCTAGTACCCATTGTTCAATAATAGAAGGGGGTAGATAAAGAGCTCGAACATCCTGCTGTTTCATAATTGCATCGACCAAGAAACCACTTGGAGGCATCATAGGCGGGCCCATTACAACTGTTGCCGTCTGTGAGAAGGCAGGCAGAAGTAGAAATGATTGTACACCAGCCAGCTAGAGTACCTCGGTGTTAGCGCAAAATGACCAGAACAGCGGAGCAAGTGATCGTACATGATATGGTGGGAAGCAAGAGTAAAATCGCCCTGGTGGATCAAAGTGGAATTGTGCCGCATTTTGCGGTCGTCGACCCTTTGGCACAGGTACTTTGGGATCGTTATCCGTGCAAGACAATGTGTAATGGGTGAGATGCACCAGCTTTGGCGGGCCTAATATTTCCGATATTGATTAGCTGCTGCATGCAATAAAGACAGGAGATATTATCAGGGTACCTGTAGATCCAGACGAATGTAAAATCAAGCACCTGTCATCTTTTAAATCGTGCCATGAAGCCTCGAAGCGGTACGGTGGGGCTTGTGACTTGATAAAATCGGCCATTGAGGGTACCTGCTTGCAAGACATCGAGGGGTCAAATTTCTGCAAACTTTTGGCCATTGACCGCAGAACATCTGCATAAAGAAGCGCGTTGACGTCGACCTGCTGGAGTAGGCCGAGGTTGAGAATCGCGGGGTTTCGCGGTGAGATAAAAATGGTCTAAGAAAATAAATACAATCAGATATTTAGGTGCAATTGACGGGAAAGCTTCCAGTTTCTCATTTCAGTCTGTTTGACGTCAACATACCCTCCATCCACATTTCATAGCTGCCAGTAGCATAATCGCATATCGCAAGTCGGCCGCGCCAATATAGGCCAATGTCCGCCGTTTTTTACTACCCTTCAGGGTTCTATCAAGCCACCAGGCCATATGGTCCACAGCCGTAGCCATTTTCTTCATAGAAATATCCTGGAAGCCATTGGCGACGCTCTCAGACTTAGAAATGGCGGCGAAGATACGATCGGGCTCATGGTGGGCGTAATAGTCAATAACGTGGGGTAGTAGGCGTTGGCCCCTGTATTTCTCTGCGCCCTCGGCCCATGGCTCAGCGTCATTAGAAACAGCCATACTCGGACCTTGCGGAGGTGAGAAAAGATTGAGGAACAGAGACTAAAGGGTGAGAATTTGAGGCAGTGGTCAGGAAGGAATGATGATATAAAAGCCTCTTGAAGGAAAGAAAAGAGATTCGACCTCAAGACTTTTTTTTCCTATGTTTCATAGCATGCCGAGTAGCTTGAAGAAGGAATGACAGGGATTGTTGAGTGAACAGTCAGTGGCTGCGAACACAGGTTACGATGCGGGTCTGGGTCTACACTATAACCTTCCAGGAGGGCGCTAATGCGCGTGTGTGCCGCCCCCCTAATGCCCCTTGAGCCACAACTGAATACAGTAGTTAAAGAAAGAATCAGATGATCAAGCTCTAAAAGGGAGGGCAGAGCCATTATCTCAGCTTGGATTCATGAACCAGATGTGTGTGGTTTGGTGATTGGTTTGTGAGATATGACCTCCAGCGACTGTTTACTGTAAACTCCTCTTCTCAAAAGGACGGAAAATAAAACCCCGGACTTTTTGTTACGGCATCTGTCAAAATCACAGTATCTGATGCGCCAACGTCGTACTCGCCACTCTGCAGTCTGCACAATGAATCCTTTGGAACGGCTACCGTCTGACATGCCAACTACTTGCTTTTTCTATCCATTGTGCCGGGTCCTCCCAGGACGCTAATTTTCCCAATAAGTGACCGATAAGGCCAATCTACACCAATAACCATCTTCGGTGACTCACTAGCGTGAAGATGAAAGACTCCACTCGCTCTTTGGTCTACCGTCTCCCTGACAGGGCGCAAAAACTAGACATTGAACAGGACTATCGAACCAATTCCGACCGTTATATTCGCCAGACGCCGTATCCTGGCACGCTTGGCGCCTGGCATTTTTTCTTTTGGCCTCTCCTCTTGCTTGATCTTCCGCGAGTGGCGCAGGTGCTTTTGACAAGCAACACGTGTAACCCTGTCTTGGTGTAGTGGACCTCGGGGGCAGGATAACAAATCCAGCCAGGAATCGCGGGAGGATTCTGATTTATTCGGCTCCTTTGCCATTGTAACCTGAATCCTTGGGCTTAGTATTCTCAGCCTAGTTATTGACCCCCTCATTCAGGCCCTATGGCCATTGGCCACTAGATCGTGGCACTATAGCTTTAGCAGAGTCTCCGATCTTTCATAGTTCTGGATCGGTCGAACCGGCTCTCGGAACGAGGCGACCAAAAGAACCAGTTCCTTGGGGAGAGCGAGAGTAGTGCCCTCTGAATGGTTGAAATGAGGACAGCGGCAGGCTTAAGTGGGGAGGGTTTGTGGAGAACACCAAGCGGCCGCGACAACCCAAAACAACCAAACGATCTGCCTCTCCCCATGAAGACCCGAAGAGGGAGGGTAAAGCAGTTTAACTGAGTTACGGAGGGCTTCCTCAAACGTTCTGCTCCATCTTTCGCACTCGAGACTTCAGCCACAAGACTTAATCTTAGCAATTAAATGGTGTCAGAGTGGACTAGAAATACTGTCCACAGTACTATGTACATCAAATCCGTAAGGTGGTGCATTTTCCCGTTTGTCCCGGCAGATCCTTGCCCTAACTGACCGACTGTCCCAAGCCGTGCCCGGAGCTTGGCCGGCTGCTCCTCGATGACTGGGAAGAGGAGGGGTGGAGGGGCATTTCCTCACAAACGAAGGAAATAGTCACGATAGCGATGGGTAATTATTCTTATCGTTTAAACTATCATCTTACTATTGTGGGTTTTCTCTCCTCAAAGACAAACACGAGGGGATGGCCTGGATTGCCTGAGAGGCTGGGTCGTGAGATCTCTTGGAGGAGCAAGAGAGTAAGCGATTCATATGGTTAGAAATCAATAGTTGACTTTCTACGGGATAGACTGCCCCGGATACTGAGATCTCCGCAGTGGTACCAAACTACTCCGTACTCGAAGATGCTATCGTAATTCTGGTCGACGGACAGGACGTAGCTCTCAACGTAACACTCTCAAAAACCAGCTAGCTATGCATGCGACCGGAGTCAATATTGCCCATTGGTCCTTGCGCGCTCTACTCCAATTACCCCGACGGCAATTCGAGAACCCGAAGTGGCAGGCAGTATGAAAGTGTGGATACGGACAGAGTGTGAAGTCTTTAAGGTGGATGAAGATAGGTGGGGGTTGCTGGTGATATCCCGGCGACTATATATATTCCCTACAGTACAACACAAACAACTGCACCATTTTCCTGCTATGAGAATCCTGGCATCTAGAAAGGTGAGACCATGACCTAGGATTGAATAGATATACAGTAATCACCCAAACGAGGTTAAAAAGGTACGATAAGACTAAAAAACGCATTACGGTAGACATAGCAATGGCTTCTATTACAGTTTAGCACTGACATCATCCGCGATCCGATCAAGATACTGTACGGGCTGGGCAGATCTGTAGTGGGATGGACTAGGATTTGGATATTTTACTAATCACAGTAGGGTAAGCATGGAAATTCCGCGCTAAGGGTATTGCCCTTAAAAATATTACCCTATCCGGTATATGGTAGGTGATCGTTAGGTGGAAACCCGGAACCACTCCCCCTGGTGGCTTGCAGGGGTATGCAGAATGCACAATGAGCCTAATGAGGTTATTTTTGCGCCGTGCAGCTAAGGCCTGTCCGTGGCCATGGCCCCCAAATATACAGAGTCCTCCGTCCAGCAACAATATATGAGCTTCGTACTACTCTGGACTGTACGCGAAAGACGAACAATTGATTGCCCAAGCCGCGCGGGAACAGCGGCCAGGGTCTGTCACCCGTTGAATATCGTTTGATCTAAAGTACTCCCCGAGCTGCCAAGTCGCTCTCAGGTCGTCGGTGGGCCTACTTAGTCAGGCCTGAGTCGCAATGGATTCAATTGATTGACAATATCCTGGTTGCAGCCTGCAGGGAACCTGGATCATGCATGACGGTGTGCGTTGGGCATGGCACTAAGATCCGTCGAGGAGTGCCAACGTCCCATTCGTGCAGGCAAACTACAACCTAACATGGAGAAACAAGTACTGTACTCTTTTGTAACAAACTTCCAACATACTCACACGAACACCTATCTTAGATAAGCGGATCTGCCGGATATGATAACGTCTTAGGATCTTCTTAGCGCCGTCCAGCAAAAATTGTATTTCTTTGGTCTATGATAATCACGCTAACGACTGAGCAATTTAGGGCTGTAAAGAAAATCATCATACCATAATGCATGGCATAGCAGGGAAATCCACCTGGCAAACAACGGAGCTCCGCCCAATGCAACTCTTTGCTCCGAGGTCAGAAAACAAAAACCAACCTCGGTAGGAAAAGGGACCTCAAAGGAAAGGCGCAAAAATAAGCACATTTAAGAAGAATTAAAGAGGGAAAGAGCTCGAACAAAGAAAAACATAGTGAAAATCAAACAAAGGCCAAATAATAGGGGGGAAATCAACGAAGCCAACAAAGAAAAGTCCTTCCGAGTTAGGGCAAAACCCACCTGCCTTTCAGAGTCAGAACCTTTGGCTTTCTCTCAGACTACCATTGGGAATGCCAATTGACCCATCAGGAACTTTCTGGCCCCTATCCAATCTTACTTCTCTTCCTCCAACGTTCTTTCCGGCCTCCCCTTTCATCGAAACTGCCACCGCTGCTCTGCTGCATCGTCGACTCTCGCGGTTATTCATTCACACCTCACCTGCTCGTCCGAGACCAGCGCACAGCGGCAAAGCGTACTGACTGACCAACCACAAATTCCACAGCAAGAAAGTGACTTTGTCTGCGGGGACAGTCCGCAGCATCAAAGTACGACCGGCAATGATGCATGCAAGGGCTGCCATGTAGGTCCCGCTCCAAAACAAGACCGTGCTCTGATCTATCTGCAGCCATCCCCAATAACGTGGGCTAATGATGCCCCAAAAAAACATCAGTGCAGCTGTCACCCAGCGTACGCTAGCGTCGCCAATTACCAGAGGCAGCGTCTTCCGGCCTCGAGCCCTGTCTCCGGCCTGGTCATACAGATCCTGGGTCTGGACGGTGGTGAAGACGATCGCACCAATGATAGCCAGCCATAGCAGACCCATTCTATCTACCCGGATGAAAAATTGCCACTGCGATGGGCCAAGCTCCAGCTGCACAGCGCCCGAAGCGTAAGACATGAACCCTAGGCCGTTGATGAAATTGCGCAGAATGCGACTTGCATCCGCGCCCCTCGCATCGTTGTACCAGACGCCGAGTCCAATGAGCGTTATACACTGCCCGAGTCCGCCAATCCGGATGCTGGTACCCACTGCGAGTACGTAGAAAAAGAACATCACCACCTGGGCATGTTCCGGGGTCATGCGTTTGGACGGCATGGTTCGCCACGGCTTGTTGATCGAGTCCTCTATGATAGCATCTGGTTAGCGCTGATTGTCGATCGTGAAAGGTAGAAGGTTCAGCCATGCCCATAGTAGGACAAGAGGTACTCGCTGGAAGCAAATGGACCATGCAGGCGCGAGATCAACTCCGAAGGATGATGCTCCCAGTGAGGTGAGTAGGCCAAAACCAAAGCTGGTGGCGATGATGGTCTTGAGGTCACTATACGTAAACAACCAGATCGATTTTATGAAATAACCCGGCTGCTCTACAATGTGGTTCAAGAGGGAGAAAGTTGCTTAATAGGCAAAGGGCGCTTAACCACTTGATCGCGGGGAATCCCTGGAAATTCCGTAGCCATGGTGGTCATTTCCTATGATCTATGAAAGTACAGCGTCGAACGGAAATATCAAGCAAAAAGGAAGATAAAAGAAGCAAATGATCGAATGGAGGAAAGGTGCATCTAGGGAACCTGAGATCAATTTATGTTTCTCATCTCAATTCTTGTAGAAAGAGCAGGCAAACAAGTTCGCCCCACGCCGCTAGTTCTGATTTCCGATTCCCCTTGGAATATTGTTTTGATTTTTCCTTTAATTTTCGGTCCTTCCAGTTTCCCCAACCCTTTGACTTACTCACCCATCAGCAAATATGGCTGATAGAAAAGGCATCGAGGCGGAAGATGGAAGGTAGATGATAGAATGATGGAGCCTAGTGCGTCTTATTCAGAATCTTCAAACTCGGCATCAGCACACCAATCGAGCTACACTGCGACGGGAAATTCGTGCCCATTCTGTGCTGCCTATGACAGCACCGCCAGGCTAGTTATCTAGGTCGAATAACTAACCAGTTAGGCAGTTACTTAGTTAACTAGTTTGTCTCTAGCTTATGAAGCAGCAGACTAACCTAAAACGTATACAGAATAGCGCCTGATCGAATACCGAGCCCAAACAAACACCGGCTAACCCCGCTGCGCTCGAGAGGCGGGGCTCCGACGGTGATATCCGGACGCCTTATAAATTCATCCGGTACTGCTACCTTGACAACCCCACACAATTTACTCTCCATGCTGCTCCTTTCACTTGCTAGTTTTTTGAGCTTAGGCTTCGCCTCAACCCAGCTTGTCTTGCGCCCTGAGAACTCTGATGGCTTCCGCGTGTTCCAGGGTAAGCAAAGCGACCACTCGATCCGGATTCGCCGGCAAGATGAGTCAATCTGCGCGGCCGGTTCAGCACAGTATACGGGCTGGCTAGACATTGGACCCAAACATCTTTTCTTCTGGTACTTTGAGAGCCAGAACGAGCCTGCGAGTGACCCATTGACGCTGTGGCTAACGGGTGGGCCTGGTGGGTCCAGTATGCTTGGTCTCTTCGAGGAGATCGGGCCCTGCCTTGTCAACGAACATGGAAACGGCACCAAGTACAACCCCTGGGGTTGGTCTCGAAATTCATCGATGTTGTTTGTTGATCAGCCTGTAGATGTTGGGTTCTCTTATCAAGATGAGGGATATGATCTACCTGGTGATTCGCCCACTGCTGCGGTCGATATGCATCGCTTCCTTCAACTTTTTGTCTCCGAGGTGTTCCCTCAACATTTGAACAATCCGTTCCATATTTCTGGAGAATCCTTTGCCGTAAGGGCCGACTTATTTCCACAATCTCTACATCTAGTGCTGATATCCCAAGGGAAAATATATTCCAGCCCTCGGCTCGCAGATCATAAGACAAAACAAGCTTTACCCACACCAGCCACAGGTCCCACTGAAGTCGTGTTTGGTGGGGAATGGCTACATGTCCCCCAAAGATGTGGCTTTTGGATACTGGGAAACGCTATGCACTACTAACCCGGGCGTTACAGAGCCCATTTTTAACAAAACAAGGTGCGACATTATGGCAGCAAATATGCCGCGTTGTATGGAGGTCATGGACATCTGCATTAAAAACCCTGATCCCGCAATCTGCAACGCCGCGATGACAGTCTGCATAGATGGGGTCATCGGATGGTATGACAATGAATCAGCCTACAAGGGTGGCCGTAACCGATTTGACAGTAAGCTAATCCACAATATATCGTTTACTGTGGCCACGCGATATTTGGCATTATCTTACATATAGAAAAGTTACTCGCCCCTGTGAATACGAAGATATCTGCTATATCGAAGCCGCACGTGTTCAGACATACCTCAATACTCCAGCTGTCTGGCAGGCACTCTCGCCACCAAAGCATATCAAACACTTCAATATCACTTCCGATTCAATATCCCGTGCCTTCGAAAAGACTTCGGACTTGGAGACATCTACGGATGATGAGGTCATATATCTTCTCCAAAATGGCGTGCATTACTTGGCATATCAGGGCAGACTTGATCTTGCGTGTAATACTGCTGGAAACCTCCGCTGGGCCAATTCGTTAATTTGGAAGGGGCAGCCTGAGTTTTCGGCCAAGCCATTGCAGCCATGGAAGTCCGTCGTTTCGGCAACGGGTAAGAGTGAGACCGTTGGAACTATGAAGGAGGTTTGGGTTCGTACAAGTGATACGTCGGAGACAGATGTACGATTCGCTATCGTAACTGTGAATGGTGCTGGTCATATGGTATGTGATGCTTATGTATGGAATTCCGAAGTTACTAATTTGACTTTTGATCGGCAGGTTCCTCAAGATCGACCTGATGTGGGTTTAGATTTGATGACGCGGTGGATTAACGGCTCCCCGTTTGTTTAGACTAGTATGCCAACTGAGGGTATATTACTCTGCTCTCTATTCTGACCATAGTATAGCTGGCCCATTCAGCACTAAGACTAGGAATCTTTTGACGAAGTACCCTCTAGCCAGAGTCGATAGATCAGTCCAATTCACATTCCCTTGCCTTTGAACAGTCCAACTGTCAATCTCAACTTGTATTAGAGGTCGCACGGCACTCGTTCACCCAGGTATGAAGTCTTGTGAATTTATATCCTAGATGGAAAAGTAAGCTTCCATCTTTTAACAGAAGTATGTCAGTGGGACAGTAGAAGGGCCAGACATCGATGAATATTACCTTCATTTCTCATTCTTGGTGGTGGATTGCATTGTATATTCTATTCAAGTATATCTATAGTACTGTGGTCATGACCCATAACAATAGATTTGTGGGTATGGTTATGGGTATCCATGTTTCCTCTTGCGAACGCAGTTTCTGGATATCTTGGCATACCACTACCGCAAAATCCTAAAGAAATCTCAGTTCGCTCCGGCTCAGGCGGCTAACGATAGAAAAAAAGGGCAAGCAGATAATCTTATACCCCATCTAAATTATCTGACCAAAGTTTATCCCCATTTGAAATCCAGTTATACTGGGTGCGCTTGCCTATCATGCTGAAGGATCCTGGCCTCGCCGAAACTACATACTCCAAAATAAGGGGTTGCCGTGGGGCATTTAACAACATCACAACACCCTACCTTCTGCCATTCCATGTGGAGGAGTTGCTTGAGAGGGATAATTGCAGACGTGATTGGGAGAGATTGGAGAAGGAGAGGGCTGCTCTACGACCGGTTTCCGCGTCGAACCAAGTGTTCTCCTTCATCAACAAGAGTCGTATACCTGGGCTTGGGAGCTGGATAGAGGATAAGTTTCGAATGTGGTGGCAAAGAACCCAGCCTCTTCCTGCCTCTTCTTTGGTTTCATAAGAGTCCTGGAGTGGGCAAGTCCCATTTTGCGTCGAAAAGTATCACGGACCTTGTGAATGGAGATCTTTCTGCCACTACCCCCCTGGTGGTGTCTTTCTTCTGCAGGAATAATGAACCTGATGCCGAAACTGCTCCGAGAAGCATGGGCGGATTGCAAACACCTCTGATTTATTTAAATGCCCTGGTATTTGCGATGGTGAACACGATTTCTTGTATACTGGTGGGCTTGTACGAATGACAGAGCGTGTTCCGGAAGGCATGATACCTATAGTCTCTTCAGATGGACATAGGCATGCTGTTTGGATTGAGGACTGGAAGGCTAGGCTTGTGAAGAAGTGGGAAACTGCGGATTTCACTTTCGAAGGGGGTTTGTCAGCTTGGTACATGAGCGTTCTGCCTGAGCCACAGAGGACACGGTGGGCTAAAATATTCAAAGTTTGAGTTAGTGTAGTGGAAGATCACGAATGCAGATCGTGGTTGATGGCGCAGGAGGCAGCCGAAGGCAAGAGGTTTGAAGGTGAATAACCAGAAAGTAATAACTTCTATGCATGTATCAGAGCTTCACTGAAGACTCAGCGCTCGATTCATGGGCTTCCGTCTTGGCGTTGGGTTCCTGAATTAATCAAAGCGTGCAATTGGTGAATCTTCTTTTGCATTTATTCGCCCCCTTTTTATGTTCAAAGTCTTGTTCCCTTCTTGGGTGTTTTTGTTGGTTTCGTACCTGCCCTCAGCCAACAAAGCACGCCAAGCCGCTAAGATCTAAGCCTCACTCTAGCTCCGCCATAGCGTTGACTGGGCTCCCTGTTTGGTTGCCCTACCTTTTTTTGTGTTCGTGCCTAGCGTTGAAATTGCGTCGATCCAGTGAGTCATGCTTCTAAGTTCTACTTGAAAGTAGGGGCAAATCCCAAGGCAAATACAAGGCGGAATTCCTAGGCCAGTGTTGAGCCTTAGCCCCACAGAGATATGTGGAGATAGATGATCAATCCCTCCTCATGTATTCCGAGAAGCCTGTTTCTATTTTGTATTCGTATTCATGACTCACGACGGATGATGGGTGTACTTAAATACAATAATATGCCCCGTCATAATATCGCCAGTAAATAATTTTCAGGCCTAAATCTTGCCTCACAACTCAAAATATAGGCGACATTTCAGATTCACCATTCCAGGATCTCGAAGCAGAAACATGGCGACACCTTCAATAGACACCAACAATCCGGTCTACTTCTGGAAACCAGAAGGAGACGTTGGGTTTTTGGGACAGTGGTGGCCATCCTCATTTTCATGGGACCATGATGGGGAAAGATACACATACGCAAATGCAGAACAGTAAAAATTATTCTCCGTGGATCATTTCGGACATGTCAGCTAATAAAAGTCGATCTTCAAGATATATGATGCATCGCAAAGCAGTCCTCTTCGCTGGTCCAGACCATCCAATCACACAAGAACTCCAGAAGGGTTGGAAGTTACAGCCAAGGACAATCCGTGATCTAGGCCGAAAGATCCCCAACTTTTCCCAAGAAGTGTGGGAACAGCATCGATTCGGTATTGTTGCTGAAGGAAGCTATCTGAAATTTTCGCAAAATAAGGACCTCAAAGAGAAGTTGCTGGCGACTGGCAACCAAGAGTTGGTAGAGGCTAGCCCGCGAGATAGAATCTGGGGTGTTGGGTTTGGAGCGAAAAATGCGGGTGACAACCGAAGTAGGTGGGGGTTGAATTTACTGGGGAAGGCCCTTATGGAGGCAAGAGGGAGGCTGTTGGAAGAGGAGGCAGTCAAGAAGTGATGTTTAACGTGCCTACGAAGATATGGAAGAAAAATGTGAAATCTGGGGCTTTTTATGCTGTCATTGAGACAAGTTGAGCAAGAGAACATATTGTATTCTGGGCCTCTGCGCTGAAGTAACCAGTAGAATGCAAATATGTTGAGAGAATTCTATGTAGTCATTATAAGAGCCGAAAGCGCTTTGCGCTTTAAGAAGTCCTATCTTCAGTACTTGGGGATAGTAGGATGTGCGACCAAGTAGAGTAATTTCAGCGTTGTTGGCGCATTTGAAGCTCGTACTTCCAGGATTGTCATGAATAGACTTTGCAGATGTATACAGCCCAAGGCCGCACTACAAAAAAGATCAGGAAACGGTTTCAGAGTAGGATAAAATCGATCCAACTCACCAGGACAATACCAACACAAATGGCAAAGGTGTTGAGGACTGTCAAAGCAATCTTCTTGGGCGATGAAAACCACAGACCCTTGTTCATGTGTAGCCAAAACATACCAGTAAACTCAAAAGTGAACCAGCTGCCGAATAGAGCAGTCTATCGTACGTGAGTATCAATCCAAAATGAAGAACGCAACGGGTTGCGGCATACAATAAGTGGAAGGAGGCTACTAAACACAGGAATCGCCTCCGCAATAATCCACGCAACGATCCACAAGCAGACAGTGAGGCCGACCCAGGAGCCGATGGCGATTAGATCGCGCTTGTGCATGCGGTCAGTGCCCGCGAAGATGCGGATATATATTGACTTGGCAGCGACATGACTGTTAATGACACTGGCGATAACGATCTAGTAATTCAAAGGTTATTTCACTTGCATCGGTGTTAACATAAAGCATCGATGGTAGACTTACAGTGGGAAGAGCTACGCCATAAGCAATACGGGAGATCAGCGGGCCAGCAGAGCCCAGCGCTGGGGATGTGACATCGGCACTGGCATAACGGTAGATAACAACGCCGGCAATAATATAGAGAGTCATGTCGATAGTTTGGAGCAAGGCAAGGGCCTTCGGGAAGTCTCTCGGGTCTTTAAGCTCCGCCATGAAGGTGAAAAAGGTGTTGTGGCTGACTGTGCAATGTTAGCAACCTATATTCAACATGTATTCTCACAACGCTGCCAGTGGGAGAGGATTACAGACCATATGAAAATGCGATATTTGCAGCAGCCGTGAACCCTGTCACCAAGTTGGTCTCAACGGTTGGTTGGAGGATAGCGGATGGCTGCTGGAAGAGAGAGGATGCCCAATGAAATTGTCTCGGCGACCATGAGAAGGCCACCTTGCCTGAAAAAATCGAATATTGTCAGAGTGCTAGTTTGGGCTAAGCTCTTGGGGAAAGAGAGAATATACCACCATGTCAACACCTTGTACTTAACTTCCGCATGTTCCTCATCACCAAAGGCGTCCTGTCGAAGTTGTGTAGGGTTGGGCTTTTCCACCTCACTGAGAATATCATCAGGATACGCCTGGGTAGATCCGTCTTGTGTCGGCGTAATACCAACGATTTGTGACCTCATGATTGTTGTTCTCATGCTCAAGATATTGTTGAAAGAAGAAGGTAATACTAAGAGTACTTGCACAGGTACAGGGCGAAGGTTGCATGGAAACTAGACAAAATAAAAGCAGCTGGGGTATCCGATAGACCCGTCCCCAGAAAGACCCATTCAGCTCGCGGAGTGGTGACCATCGCCTTCCATTTCCAGTTTGCCTCGTTGCCCTCGAGTATCCCACTGGCAGATAAAGGTGGATCAAAATAGCGGCTGCTGCCCAGTAAAAGCGAGTGAATGGCAGTGATGGGGACAGAGCATATTGGTAGCCAGTGCATCTGTAGGAAAAGCATGCCTGTCGGGCTATAGTGCGATAAGCGAAAAAAGTAAGAAATGGCCGTTCTTATCGCGATCCAGGTTCTACGAGATGCACTTCTTGTGTGCCAAAAGTAGCGCACTGCGCCAGGAGTCTTAAACTATCTGAATGATGATGAAGTACCAGGCTTGACAGTAGTTCTTTTCTTGCCCCAGGTCCTTCCCCAGATTCGCTGGTTTTCTCTTTTTTCGTGCCACATCACGGAATCCGGGGTATCTGCCAGTTTGTAAGGTTGTGATGATCGGAATGACATGCCTAACCCGGAATCGCTTTCTTGGAAGAGTTACGCGTGGTAAAACGTAGGGAAAGGACTTGCACGAGGGAATTCAACCGACCAGATAATAACATTTATCATCGGCAGGTGTCATTTCGACATGTAATTGGTGATACACGTGAACCCTGAGATATGTAGAGGTCCGGTGGTTACCTTGAAGGGGCAGGAAGGAGAAGCAGGCCATCCCGGCAGCGTCAAGCTGTCCTCACACACGACTGGAACTTGTTCTTCATCCTCAATAGCTCAGGGTGGAATGGTAGATGCGGCGCAGATTGAGGTTATTCACAGAAAAAGCCAATCCGAATAGGTAGCCTCCGTATATACCAAAGCAGCAGAGATGATGGAGAGCTGTTAGATTACACTTGAAAATTCTCTAAGGGTTTCAGGCTTAATTTCGTTCAACGTCTATCGTAAAATCTATCATCCAAGTGGTAGAAGGTACCGGTCCTTACAGCCTACTACCCATGTTGACATGTACAGCCTTGATTTGGCTATATGCCTCCAAGCCAGCCTCGCCCAACTCGCGACCAATACCACTCTGCTTAACCCCGCCGAATGGCACCCGGGGGTCACAGTCCTGGCTACTATTCACCCACACCATTCCAGACTCGATCTCAGCAGCCACACGGTGCGCACGCTCCAAATCAGTCGTGAACACTGCTGCTCCGAGGCCATATGTAGTGTCATTGGCCCGGCGAATAGCCTCCTCCTCGGTATCGAACGGCAAGATCACCACCACAGGACCGAAGATCTCCTCTTGGGTGATCCTCATCGAATCAGTCGCATCGGTGATGACGGTGGGCTGCACAAAGTACCCGTTCTTGTTCTCCGGGTTGGCGGGGACATGGGCAGCGCCGCCGGTCAAAATAGTAGCGCCTTCACTCTTAGCAATCTCCATGTACGAGAGAATACGCTCATACTGGGCACGGGTAACCTGGGGACCCTGGAAGGTCTCCGAATCCCACTGGTCACCAATCTTGACGCTTTCAACGGCGGCCTTGAACTGCGCCAAGAAAGTAGGTAGGATTTCCCGGTGCACGTAGATCCGCGAAGTCGCAGTGCAAATTTGGCCCTGGTTCGACATGATTCCGAAGTGCGACCATTTCACGGCTTGATCCATGTCTGCGTCAGGGAAGACCAGGAGCGGGGATTTGCCGCCCGTCTCTAATGTGATGTTTTTCAAGTCACCAGCCGCCATTTTCATAATCTCGCGAGCGGTGCCGGTCGATCCTGTGAACGCCACCTTGTCAACGAGTGGATGAGATGCCAGGGCGGCACCGGCATTTCGACCATATCCGTTGATGATGTTGATCACGCCTGGTGGGAAGCCAGCTTGCTTGATGAGCGTTCCGAGAAATAGCGCGCTTAGTGGAGTTTGCTCTGCGGGCTTGAGAACAACGGTATTTCCGCATGCGAGAGCCGGACCCAATTTCCAACAAGCCATTGACAGGGGATAGTTCCAGGGGATAATCTGGGCCACGACACCGATGGGCTGGCGCAGTGTGTAGGCGAACTTTTGGGGTGTGGTGCTAATCGTCTGGCCGAAGGTCTTGTCAGCCCAACCACTGTAATACCGAATGGTGCTAATGGCCTCGGTGAGGTCTTCATCGAGAGCGACGTGGTACGCTTTGCCTGTGAAAAGATTAGTGATTGAGTTCTGTGAGGTTCCATGCTTGCCCTTCCTGACTAGTCGCTTCGTACGATGCTAATACATTGACCTTCCTATCGCCCTCGAATGAGATGAAGTAAATAAAATAAAATAGCAAAAACATACAACAGCCAGGATTCGCATGTGGTCACCCACCATACTACTAACTGGCCGGCGTGTGGCTTAAGTACGGCTGAGCGGACGGGAAGCCCTGTTCTCCACACCCTATGGTCGTATGTACCAGGATTATGGGAAACCGAGTCATAACAAATGGGAAAGCGCAGGAGTGCATGAAAGAGAAGAGCGACAGGGGCATGCGCCGAGGCAAGCCCTGTAGGGGAGGTGAAATCCCATCCCAGCCAGGAATTGTGCTTACCATTGTCCCAGGCATCGATAGTAGCGAGAAGTTCCTTGTGCGACTCCATCAGCTCAGCGAGCTTCATCATCAACATTCCTCGCTCCGTTGCGGGGAGAAGCTTCCAAGATTCATGCGCCAGAGCGGCCTTGGCAGCTTTGACGGCGCGATCAACATCGTCGGAATTGGCAGCATGAACGGTAGCAATTGGCTTGTCAGTCCTGCAACATGAAGATCATCAGAACTCGTTATCATGTATGAGAGGGCACGTTTGCGACGTACGCGGGGTCGAGTGATGTGATGGTTTGGCCAGATGAAGCGGGGACGAATTCGTTGTTGATGAACAGCCCTGTGGGTTGAGTGTACCGGTGCCCGTTAGGGGTCACAATTTCCACCGAGAGGCTCATTTTGGCGACTTTTGAAAAGAGAATTGGACTTCCTCTCTATGCTTACGGTGCCAGATAGCTTAAAGATATAGCCAGGGGTGTGACGCGAATAAGAGTGGGGCGAGGAAGGACTTTCCGAGGCTGGTCTTCCCGTTGGTGGAGATGCTGACTCGTTGACTAGTCTCGCTATGTCAAGTCCAACCGGAGGTTTCACTTGTCATGTCAGCATGAGATGAATCTCAAATTCTCTCCCAAACAAGATTGCACCTGGCCCGAGGTTTGAGTCGTATAGCGTTTTCAACGAAGGATAGCTGGATGAAGGGCTTCGCAAATTGCCCTGATTCTATCCCGCATTCCACTGGAACAGGGATTGAGTCTTAATGTCCACGAAATGGGCCTTTTTTCACGGCATCGTCCTAGGGCCGTGATTCAGTTTACAATACAGACTCTTTTTCCTTCGGTCACATGAATTTCCTTTAAGCTGTTTACGTTTATTGGGTTTCAGATATATCGATTCACTTCATAGCGGTTATATTCAGTGGTAACAACGATAGAATAGAATATACTATATTCCAAGAAGACCGAGCTGGATACCTCACATGCTATTCAAAACAAACCTGCTGACGGTCGTCTAGTACTTCCAACAACGGCCTCAGTCATGAACGCAGTCATAACTTTCAGCCAAATCAGGATGTGCCTTATTCCGTAACTTAGCCGTCTTCGGCCAAGGGCAGAGCTTGCGCGTCCGTGATGAGCCATCAGGCGGATTTGAAGACAATACGGAGTCTGGAAAGATTTCCTTCTCCACCCACGAGACGAGTGCTTCTTCAACATGGTATGTGGCTGGCACATAGGGGTATGAAGTTGCCGCACCGCAATGACCTCCGCCTAATCTGATCAGTTTCAATCTTGTAGGTAGCTGGCTTTTTCTGGTATCATTAACGACCTACCAGGTACCATGTATAAGTTGAAAAAGCTGGACACAGATCCATCCGAACTGGATTGCTGCAGCTGCTCCAGGTGTTGGATGGGCCACGTTGCGGCATTGAGGGGATCAGTCCAGCCTGAGGCTTTATTAGCGTACTTAGCCCAAGAAAATTAGGGATTTTTATGGCATACCTTGCGTTACAATCATCTTGCCACCATGACGTTGGAAAGCGCTGAGGTCGACTCCAATCTCGTCAATCAGCGGGCCAGCTACCGCATCAACTTTTGCTACATCATGCTCAAAGCTGAATGTATCTATGTCGTATGAAAGATTATGGAATATGAGGTTTTGTAGAAGTGGCGCAGCATACTCCTTGTATAGCAAAGTCTCCTGCGCCAACAGCTCTCTTTCTGAGCCAAGACTGAATCCAGGATAGACGGATGAGTTAGTCTTGGTGTTCTTTGGCCCTGCATAGATGGCTTTGAGTGCTTCCAGTTGCCGGAGGCTCAAGCAGGTGTGGTTTTCATTTGAGTATCCAGTAGCACTTGAACAGGCTAGGGAGTTGAGATCAAAATTGCAACGAAGTGGGTTCTCGATGAGGCGGTCCTTGACTCCATCAAGTTCATCACAGGCATCGAGAACTGCATCGGTGGTTGCGTTGAGAGTGGCTTGATCAATAAAGGCATCCCCCTAGCTCTGATTAATTGAATTCTCTTGCTACAGAAGGAGATAAAGAGAACAAGTGACCACGGTAGGCTTACCTTTGACTGCTGCCCATTCCATAAAAAGGAAAGCATGAGGTGGGAGTACCAGTTGCCAGGAGAACCAGCATAGATGCCATCAAAGAGGTGAGGATGGAACTGGGCCAATGCAAAGCCTTGTGCACCTCCAGTAGAGCATCCGTGATAGTAACTGTTGCGTGGGGGCTTTTGTAGAAGGAAGAGGTGATTTTGCGAGTCGGCTCGGTAATGATCGCAATGGATTCATGGATCCATGCCTTCGTTTCCTCTAAGTCATTGAAAAAGGGAATGTAAGATCCGGACCCCCCAGCTCCATTCTCCACTAATCGATGGCCGGAATCACCACTATGATGATCAGGCATCAGGCGCGTAGTTCTTGGCAGTCATGAACAGAAGCACCTACCCTGCTACAGCAAATCCCTGCTCCAACTGTAAGGCCATCTGGTCTGTGTCGATCACGCCGGCGAACCCGCCATTTCCTACAATTTCCATTTTCAATGATTTGGTTGATCGGGCTTGGCAAAGACGGAATTCTTACCTACGACCATAAAGCGCCCATTGTACGAGTCGCGCGATGGCAACCAAAGTTCAAACTCGACAGAGTGGTTGCGATGACCATAGGCCACGGAGCCGGCGACTCGGCAATAGGTAATATTGCCCAGTGACGAGCTGAGCACTGCATCTTGTGCAGTGGTTATACTTGTTCCTGGGATTGCTGATTCAAGACGTCCTAAACAACCAGTTGCCAAGCAAGACTGGGCGCAGAGTAGGCCAGCTGCTGCGACAAAACATCCGGAATATTTCATTGTAAGTGGGCCAAAGCATAACAATGCCTGCTACAGGTTCTGACCATGCTCCTCCTCGGACCCATTTATGTAGCCCCATTGAATCTGGGGTAAAGGTGCATCACTCCGTCCACGGCAGTTCCCTTAACCTAGCGCTAGACCTAGTCGGCTATCGGCGCCGCGCCCCGACAAGCGACGATGCCAGGGTTCTCCGCATTTCCCCCACGAAACCACTCCACCAGGGCACAGAAAAGAGACAAAAGGTGGGACACAGGCAGACTGTTCTCAATACGGACCATGCAAGCTTGCGACCGCTGTTATCGACGCAAGTCCAAGTGTGACAAGGCAGTCCCCACTTGTGGGCAGTGCCAGAAGGCTCGCACGCCCTGCGACTACATCGATCGGTCTCGGGAGCCGACTGTCCGACGAGAGGCCGTCGAGCGATTGGAGCGGCGGCTGAGGCAGGTTGAAGCGAAGAATCGCGTCCTCACTTCTCAACTAGCGACATATCAAGCAGCTCGGTCTAACAGCATTGGAGATGAGTCCCGTGAGGGTCCTCAGCCACCAGCCCTCACTCCGAATTTCCCCTTCGACCGTAACGAGGTCGCTGATGAGGTTTCGTTCCTTTCGCAACAGGCTGGAGGGGAACGCAACCATCCAGGTGTTGCCAGCGGCGTTGTGTTCTCACACCTCGTTCAGGGAGTCGCTTCATTGGATTCTTCCAGCCCATACGAAAAGTCCACTCGCACGCCTGCCCGGCAAGCCAATCAAACAACCTCGTCGACACATATATCCCGCGAGGCATTACCACCGGAGATAGTCGCCCGGCGCTTACACCAGGCATACTTTAATCATGACTATCTCTGCTACCCATTTCTCAATTGTCACTCAGTGCTGGCCAACTTGGACCGCATTTATGCCGACGTCTCAATATTAGAAGCCGATGCCACGGTCGCGTTTCCATTTTACATGGTGCTTGCAATCGCAACATCCAGTGCACGTAAATACGATTGGCAGTCATTACCTGAAAGTGAGAACTTTCAAGCTTGCGCGATGGAGCGGGTGACCGAAATACTTCAGCGCAGTGATATTTACGCTCTTCAAGCCGTACTCCTGCTATGTCAATACCGCATGACCAGTCCGGTCCAAGAGAAGTCAACTAGTCTATGGCATATGGTTGGATTTGCTGCTCGCATGTGCTTTGAACAGGGTCTTCATCGCAATGAAACGTACTACGACCCGAGTGACCACCAAGATAATGAAAATATCTTGGTAATGAGTGAAACTCGACGACGATGCTTCTGGTGTGTGGTCAATATGGACCGGTAAGTCAATCAATATGCGAGACTATCAGCTGGGCCATCTTTGACAGACACTCTAGGATTGTAAGCATCACACTCGGCCGGCCCTTGGCTATTCATCTTGAGGATGTTGATACGGCTCTTCCCTTGTCACATAATGAGTCGAGTGATCCAACCCTGGAAAATACAGAAGACCTACCATCTCCAACAGCTATATTCAACCACATTACGCGATATCGGATTCTAAGCGGCAAGGTGATGACTTCACTGCACAGTAATCGTGCGAATGCACGCGATGAAGACTCCGCGGCGGTGGCTCGAATGACCTTGACAGGAGAACTCGAACAATGGCGAAACGAAAGCCAAAATCTACACTTGCAGCCTGAAGGCTGCGATAGGACTCGGCGATCCAGTTTTCTGTGTCCTGAATGGTATGAATTGTTATACTACAACACGCTCCTAATGCTATATCGACCTTCCCCCACCTTATCCACACTATCAACACGCCCACCAGCTGCATTCCAAGCTATTTTCGACGCATCCCGCGGGGCGATAGCACGTTATGCCCTACTTCATACCTCACAGCGCATAAACTATACCTGGATCACTCTCCATGCAGTCTTTATGGCGGGACTGTCCTACATCTATGCTGTGGGGCGGCACTATCGAACTCGCAAGGGAAATGCAAGCGCCACTATTGTGGGAAGCACACTCTCGGCTGATCCGACTATAATTGAGGTAGTCAATACATGTCGTTCCTGTTCAATCGTGCTTGTGGCTGTATCCGAAAGGTGGGCCACGCCTCGGCATTGCCACCAGGTTTTCGATAGGCTTAGTGACGCCGTGCTTGCCGATGTCATTGCCTTCTTTACGCAGGCAACCCCTACGTCATCATCGTCAATTAATCAAGCCGTGATGCCTCGAAATCCAATGATAGAGCAACCGAATCTCAATCTTCCAATGTCCCCTGAGACCGGCGTCTCCATCCCGCCGATCGCCACCCCTACCCCCTTCCCCCTTGGCGTCGACACTGCGTTGCGAGACTGCTTTGAAGATCTTCAAAATTTCCATGATACTTATGGCGGGGACGGTCCCATCCGCCAGCTCTCCCAAGATTGGCTTCACGAGATTGGTGGGATGGCCTTGCACGCTGTGCAATTATGGGGGGGAATAGTGACGCTGTGATGAAAGAATTTGATAATGAAATGTTACACCGAGATCCACCATACCTCCAATCTAAATCTATACTATACTATAAATATCCTCTAATATTCCAATAATCCAAACAATAGCAAGAAAGAAAACGAATAGCACTATATCCACCCCCTCTCCAAGAACTTCAAGGGGATCGGCACAACACGGCTGCGTAAATACTCCCCAACTCCCTTGCCGAGTCCATCTATCCTACTGGAACTCGCAATACCTCCATCTAAAAAGTCCAAGACCCGGAAGTGCACTGCCAAAATATTAGGAAACTCGCATCGCTCCACACGTCTTAGGATACCGTCTTCGGTCTTCTCGAGCCAGTCCTCTCCAAATAGCTCTTTCAATCGAGGAATTGTGAGGAACGATTGCAGCCACGGATATTCATCTTCATTGCGCACGAAGAAGCCAATATTGCTGTTGTTTGCTTTATCGCCGGATCGGGCATGGACGATGCTTCCCAGGGGTGCTCGCTGTGTTGGTCCAAACGTCGATAGTGGTGTTGGGTGGAGCGTTTCGTACGAGGGTCGTAGCATAGGTTTTGATGTTAGAGGAGAGGAGGAAATTGGAATTTCTGATCCCTCCGGTAGGATCTGGACGCGGTGATCTAGTAAACTGCAGCTTATTGTTGCTGGAAATATTTCCATGAATGGCTTTGGGTCCATGGTACGAAAGTCGAGATTCATGTGGTACCCTACAATTGATTCTCAGCGCCATTTGACATTGTTAAGATCCCTAGGATGGGTCAAAATGCAAAGTCATGCGTACTTACCGGGATAACTCTGCATTCGCAATGCATAAATTGGAATTTTGAACTTTGATGCGGAGATATCCTCCAAATTCCGGGCCTGCGCAAACACGCGCAATGACACTGTCCCTGCTTGCTGACTCTTGGGATCCACTGCAGGCGAGCCATATAACTCGATGGATAGCTTGCTGAAGCGGTGATCCCGGAAGATATTCGAGAGCTGGTTGCGCATCATCTCTACCTTTTCGGCCACGTCGAGTCCGTTGATGTAGAATGTCGCCTCGGCCTGATATCCTCCGGGGGCTGCGATAATCGCTTTGGTAGTTGCTGGAGGAGGAACTCCGGTGATCCCACCGACGCGGATTCTGTCTGGGCCAATGTCCTGGATTTGAACATTATGGAGATTGGCCACTACGTCCGGGTTCAGGTAATGCTCTCCTTGTAGTTCATACAGAAACTGGGCCGTGGTGTTGTGTTTGGTGACTGCACCAGCATATCGTTCACACCTTGTAATGACGCATGTTCCGTCTTCATTTATTTCTGCGATGGGGAATGAGAGATCGACAAGTTCTGGGAGCAACGCTTTGAATCCTGAGAAATTGGCTCCCGTAACATATGGGCCACACTCAATCAAATCTGTGACCCAGTCAGCACGTATCCCATCATTGACTTAGCAGGGATAACCTACGGCCTGCAACTAGAGCTCCCGCCAGACTATCCCAAGCATCTCGATGCCACTGATACCACCAAGCGGCCGCTCCAATAACCGGAGATGCATCGGTTACCCGGCCACAAATAACAATGTCAGCTCCAGCATTGAGGGCTTCCACAATTCCCCACGCGCCGATATATGCCACACCACAGTGAGATTCCATAGGCCAGTCTTCGAATTGCCAGTCATCGTGATCCAAATGTACCAGCCCACGGCGGGCCTCCGGGTCCTTGATCAGATCCGAGATATCATCACCCAGCACCAGCGCGATTTTGGTCTCACGATATCCTCTAGCCATACACATCGCCCGAGTCTCCGCTGCCAGAGCAGCTGTATTTAACGCTCCAGCATTGGTGACCACTTTGATATCGCGTTCGACGATGAGATCGATTGACTCGCTCAGCTGTTGGAGAAAACCCGCCTCGTAGCCGAGAGAAGCATCTTCGGCCTTGGCGATGGCATTCCAGGCGATGTTCATTTCAGATAGCCAGTCGCCTACGATGACATCGACATTGCCGTCCTGCGCCATACGGAGCATGGCATTGGGGCTGTCGCCGGTCGCGCCTGATACATTGCCGACTCTCAAGGGCCGTTTCGTGAGCATCTTTACTTGACGTATGCCCAACGCACGGCGCGGAATTTCGATGGAGGATGGATGTCAAATGAGTAATTTCCTCCCCACGCACGCTAGGGATAACCAGTCAGCCTTTAATACTATCTACGGGATAGTCTCAAGTTCAACGAACCAGCCTTGGCCTTTCGGCGCTGAGGGCCGTCGGACGTAGTTCATATACCCGCATACTCCATAAAATTATAGACGTGGGCAAATCAGAGCTACAGCCGATGTTTTCTCGGCAGAGGTGGAGGAACCTGGTGTCGGTCATCGGGCCCGACGCCCCGTCTCGAGGGAATTCATACTAACGAATGGGTCCAATGCCGTCGCCAAGGGATTGAAAATGCTGGATTTCAGTCCATGGCTTTTTCGAAAAGGGGGATGGAGCAATTGCCGCCTTTCCAAAATCATTATTAGTCCACAATTGTCGGACAGCGGACTCGCAGGCCGTCACACTGTCCTCGAAAATATAAGATAACCTGTGGGGAAGTCTTGATTTCCCCAGATTTCCATTCCATCGGCCTGTTTATCCTTTTCAATCACAAAATGACTATAGAAGGTGAGCTGAAGCACCAAGCGGAAATGGCAGAGAACGCGGAGAAAGGCGAGGCTCTTCAGCACCAAGATGTACGTTCCCTGTGCCAAGCCTGATTTACAATTGCAGTCCTTGTTTATGGCTGGGGATAGCTGACATTCTCTACCTTGACAGATGGCATCTGAGAGCAGTGCCGCTCTCGAATATTCTGAGCGCGAGAAAGCACTAGTCTGGAAGCAGGACCTACGGGTCGTGCCTTTGGCAGCCTTTATTTACTTGCTCTGCTATCTGGATCGTTCGAACATTGGTAAGTCTAGCTTTGGCTTCCGTGACTGAAATACAAAGAGAGTATCTAGAATTGAGTACTAATGTCACAAAGGCAATGCCAAAACTTTGGATGCGAATACGCACAATGACTTGGTATCCGAGACCGGTATCACTTCATACCAGTATACGTACGTTGCATCTCGGCAACCCTTGCCCATCACAAGCTAACCACAGAAGCAGCATTGCCCTCATGGTCTTCCTGATTGCATACGCGATCTTTGAGGTTCCCTCCAACTATCTACTGAAGAAGCTGAGGCCAAGTGTTCGTGTCTCCCCAATCGTCCTACACCTGTCGTCTAGCTAACATAAGAATTCAGCGATGGATTGCCTTCCTGATGTTCTCTTGGGGTGCAATCACGATGGGCTTAGGCGCCGTTCACAACTATGGCGAGCTCACCGGAGTTCGGTTTCTTCTGGGCACAGTGGAAGCGGGCCTGTTCCCCGGCCTGGTGTACTACCTAACCTTCTGGTATCGCGTGTCAGAGCGATCGCTACGGGTAGCCTTGATCCTAGCCTCTGCCACCTTAGCAGGCGCATTCGGTGGTGCAATCGCCTATGGTGTGGGGCAGATGAATGGTGCCCATGGCCTGTCTGCGTGGAGGTGGCTCTTTATCATTGAAGGGGCGCCATCTTGTGCATCTGCGGTACTTGTCTGGTTCTTCCTACCAGATTATCCAGAGACGGCGCACTGGCTCTCGACCGAGGAAAAGGAGCTTGCAAAGGAACGACTAGCGCTCGAGGGCTCGCACGGAGAGGCGGGTGGATTGACGTGGGAAGAAGCGAAGAAGACCCTGATCGATTGGCGGCTTTATGCCCATTATGCGGTATGTGATAGAGAAGTGGATGGATATCTTTGATCACAAGCCTAAAGACGCTTACTCGTCCCTACCAGATTTACTTCGGCATCTCAACGCCCTTTTCAAGTCTTTCCCTTTTCACACCATCGATCACGGCTGGTCTTGGATTCTCGAACTTACGCGCGCAGCTCATGACAGTTCCCCCATATGCAACCGCATATGTGGTGACCCTTGTTGTTGCATGGTCTGCTGACCATTTCAATGCGTAAGTTCCTTCTCCGAAATTTGGCAAACGCGGGACTACATTTTTGACATTTAATATAGTCGCGGCTTACATTCCACCTGTTTGGCCCTGATTGGCGCCATCGGCTTCCTAGCATCTGCCCTCTTACCGGCCGAATCATATGCTGTGAGTTCCTTTCTCCTTTCCTTTTCACGCGATCCAAATGCCTGGTTCTAATTTTTATTTTCCAATCAGCAACGTTATGGCTGTTTGATTGTCGCAGCCAGTGGCAGCTTTGCCTGCATTCCACCCCTACTTGGCTGGCTATCATCGAACCTGCATTCAACAGCTGCCGCCGGACTGGCGATCGCGCTGAATATATCTTTTGGCGCACCCGGTCAAATCGTCGGAGTCTGGATCTACAAGGCCGACGAAAAGACTAAGGGCTATCCAACGGGCCATTGGACTAATGCAGCGCTGCTATTTTTTGTGGCTGTCGGGTGCGTCTTGCTACGGATCTATTATGGGTTGTTGAATCGACGGGGCACAACTGTCAAGCCGTATTCATATTAGAAGTGTGACGCCTCACTTGGACCCATGTACCTACCTGTTTTCGTGTTAGAAGATGCTCTGATAATTAAGGCCCTTCGTTTTACACTCGGGCATTACATATACTGGGACCGTGTCTCTTTTCTGGTAGCTCGGTGCAAATTAATTGCGGGGCGTAGCAAAGTTTATTACTTCTTGAGTAGAGACGTGCATGGATGAATTCAAAATTTAATACCGCACGAGTAGGATGAGCATGAAACGTAGAAGTGTGCTGTCCGCTGCGACCTTAGCTGTAGCTTGGGCCTCGGCGAAGCGGCTTGTGAGTTCCTTGTTATCGTCCTTCTTGGGCTTGCTATCGGCTTGGTAGTCAGGGTGGTCGCAGATGTGGGTGAGAGTGAGGGTGGAGCCGTTGTGCCAGAGGGAGTAGTCGTAATGATCTGGGGGTTTGGTGACGTTGTCGTACCTTCCTGGAGTGTTGGGTTGAGGCAACTTATTAGGCTTGAGGCCATTAGTGGTGAAGGTGAGCTATATAGTAGTGATTGTGGTAACGACGGAGTCGCCGTCAGGTACATAGTAGGTACGAGTGAGGTTACGAGCGGCGTCTTTGAATGCGAAGGAGGCGATAACTAGGCCGATGAGCTAATTAGCCGGGGCGGCTTTCAGGGTAGCGTCGTTCTATATATTAACGGCGATACCGTAGGTGCGGGCTTATAAGCCTGCTAGAATGTAATATCCCTTGTACTTAGCGATGAACGGCACGCCGTAGGCCTAAAAGATCGGGCTTAGAGCTAGTAGAATACGGTCCGCTCTGATATCCCCTGCATAGTTAAAATCTTCTAACTAGTCACGTTGTTTCCGCTACTAGGTAGACAGGAACTTAGTAATAAGATAGACGTGCTTATCGGAGAGCTTGACCTTATAGGGTAGGAATTAGTACCTACTATACTTGTCGAAGACTAGCTCGGTGTAGGTCCTGAGTGCTAGGCGTGAGGTTATCGCGGTACGCTTGCTAAGGAACTCCGTGACTTTGGCCTTATCATTCTTAGTGCACAAGGCCTCGATGATCTCGCGGTTGAAAGTCGGCTTCTTTTTCTTCGGGCTTATATCGGTACTCGGCGTAGGGGTTGTGTCCTTGTTGGTATCCCCGGTATCTGTGGTCTAAGTTCCCGAAGGGTTCGTAGGGCGCGGTTTCTTTGACTTAAGAGGCATCGTGACCGTCGTAGTGGGTATGAGTTACGTGTTGGATGTGAGATGAATGTGAGATGAATGTGAGAGGAGCAGGATCTCGTTCGGGATAAGAAGTGGTGTGTTGATATTAGTGTTGCCAAGTAAAATATGGGGGGATGATGCTGTGCGTAGTGAGAAGGGGATTCAGTTAGGCTTGAGAAGTGTAGGAAGGATGAAGCGGGAAGATGATGAGAGAGAAAGGTGGATAGGAGGAGATGAAAAGAAAAAGGAGGGATAGGAAAGGTTGTCTGAGCTGTGAGACTGGTAGTAAAAGTGTTCCGAAATAGAAAAGAGTGCAGTGAATAAGAATAGCGTGTGAAAACCGTTGCCATCACGCCTACTTCTCACATACAAGGCAGGCGACAAGCCCCAGGAGGATAGCGACGATGACAATGATCCAAATGATCCCGACGGGAACGAGGACCTCGAAACCCACAAGGAGGATGCCCCCAGTCCGAATGACGATGGAGAGGACGTCAACAAGCACACCTACGGCTATGAGAACGAGGACGGTACCTACACAATCGTGAAGGGCTACGTTCCACCCGACCAGTGATTCATGTTCCAAGGCAATTAAATGTTTCGGGCACCTGACTGTTGTTTCTATTCATTTCGTCGCATCGGGACGATGCTTTTCTCGGACGGGCATATTGTCACCACCAAGCCCTGTCAGGTGACCCACAGGCTTAGTCATAGCCGTATTCTTAGGGAGAACCTTAGATAACGTAATTCACAAGCGAGTGGCCCACACAAGCGAGTGGCCTACCCTACCTGAAATCGCTTATTCCTACCTACCTACCTAATTTAACTACCTACTATGCCACCAATTCGCACTGAATCTTCGCAAAAACCGGCTAATCAGGAGGGCAAGATCTTGTTAGCCCTTAATGATATTAAAAATGGCCGTATCGTATCTATTCGTGCAGCCGCGAAGCTATACGATATCCCTCCTAGAACGCTATCGCGGCGGGCGAATGGAACAATCTCACGCGTCGATACACGCGCAAATTCGCATAAATTGAGCTAACTAGAAGAGGACTCGCTTATTTAGTGGATCTTCTCTATGGATGCGCGTGGAGCAGCGCCTAGGCCTGCTACTGTACGAGAAATGGCTAATATCCTCCTTGCAGCGCGTAGAATAACTCCTCCTCCGACCGTTGGTGTTAATTAGGTATCAAACTTTGTTAAACGACGTGATGAGCTTCGAATACGTTTCTCTAGACGATATAATTATCAGCGCGCTCTTAACGAGGATCTAAAGGCTATAAAAGAGTGGTTTTTGACGGTGCAACGCGTAATCGAGGAGAACGGGATTTAACTAGAGGATATCTATAACTTCGATGAAACTGGATTCGCAATAGGCCTTATATTAGCGCAGAAGGTTATTACGCGAGTAGAATACTACGGTCGGCGATTAATCCTATAGCTAGGAAATCGCGAATAGGTTACTACGATCGAAACGATATACGCTAATAGCTATTCGCTGCTGCTATATATTATATTCAAAGGCTAGGTCTATATCGCTAGTTAGTTTGAATCGTTAAATCTTCCTACGAATTCGCGTATTGAGGTATCGAATAACGGCTGGACTACTGATGAAATTAGCCTACGCTAGCTACAAAATCTCTTTATTCTATGCACTAATTCGCGCGTACGAGGGCGATTTCGGCTATTGATCCTCGACGGGTATAGTAGCTACCTAATACCTCAATTCGATCGAATCTGCGCTGAAAACGATATTATACTACTCTATATACCTTCGTATTCGTCGTATCTACTACAACTGCTTGATGTTAGGTATTTTACTATGCTTAAACGTGCGTACGGTCGCTTCGTAAGCGATCTAGCGCGGACTAGCTATAATTATATCGATAAGCTTGATTTTCTTATAGACTATCCTCGCGCAAGACTAGAAGCTTTCCAGCCGAATATCGTTCAAAGTAGCTTCGCAGCTACTAGTATCGTACCAGTATATGCCGAAAGAGTGCTTTCTAAGCTTAATATATCCCTTCGAACGCCTTTACTACTATCAAGCCGACCAAGCAGTAGATCTAGCCAATTCACACCGAAAACGCCTAGAACGGTAGTTCAGCTATAAAAGCAGGCTAAAATGATGAGAGATCTAATAGATTAGCAGTCAAAAAGCCCACCAAGCCCGTTGAAATTAGTGGTTGATTAGATTCTTAAGGGCTATGAAATTGCGCTGCATAACACTTCACTAGTAGTGAAGGAGAACGCTGATCTACGCGCAGCGAATAAAAAGAAACGTTAAAAGCGCACTCGATCGACTAGGCAGATCGCTCACGAAGGGGGCCTATCGATCGAAGAGGGCCTACAGCTGGCTCAGTAGCTAATTCAGCTAGTAGAAGCTGATGAGGTAGTATCGCATGAGCAGGGCGATTTACCTACTCAGCAGGATCAGCCACGCAGGAGGGCTCCGCCAAGGTGTAGTGGATGTGGAACGATTGGGTATAAGATTAATCAATGTAAAAATCGCTAGTTTAATATTAATTAATGCATTTCTGTTGATATATTCGCCTTTAAAATATTGTAATGGGAAGGGTGGGCCACTCGCTTGTGTGGGCCACTCGCTTGTGAATTACGTTAGCCAGAATGAATCATCTTTACATCTGCCTGACTTAGTCACACACTATATAGTTAACTAATGAATATTAAATACTTATATATACTTTCTATTAGTGAGGCTTGGGTGACAAGACAATCTCTGAGCTATGACACGCGCTCAACTGAATCATGTCTGAGATTTCACACTTGAGGTCCAAATCTTCTCTTTCTCATATTCTCTCTTTCCAACCCTCTCTTCACCCCACCCCTTTTCTGAAATGAAGAAATTTCGATCGATTCCCGGGAAAGCGTCTCCAGAGGTCTCCTCAAGATGTCAGAGGAGGGTGTGAGTGAAAAACATGCACAGCTCCAAGACACTAATATCAAGATCAACAGCCACAACCTAAGACAGGTCAACGGCGAACATGCCAGCGGTCAGGTCCCCAGCGGCCAACTCACCCACAGGCAGCTCCCAAACGACCAGCTTACCAACGGCCATTGACCCAACGGCTGAAGTACCCGCGCCGACTAGAACGAGGAACACTTTGCGAAGCTACGTTTGAACGGGTTGGCCGGGCCTGCTAACAAACAGGGCTTCCAATAGAGGCCCAAAACTTGTGTAGGACCTCGGGGCCGCAATTTTCAAACGAGCCGGCACCAACCTCTTCTACACCACAGCATACCATCCCGAAGTCAAAAGCTAATTCGAATAATTTAACCCAGTCATTGTAATAGCCCTTCGACATAACTAAAGTTTTAACTTAACCTGATGCCGACTAGCAAGCGCCACTAGTTATCATCTAAACATAGTTGCCATTGGAATCCTAGGCTTCAGCCCATGACCTCGGCTCGGATGTTGGCACAAGATTTCCTGTATATGATCACCAACTAGCAGACTACGCTTCATACCATCGACGAGAGCAGAGAGTGATGTGTCTTTGCCAAAATTCTATCAGAAAACTGGGTGTCGTTTTGCCGACCCAGTTTCGGTCCCGGGCATCTTGAGACGAGACGGGCCCTAGGCAGGTACTCAGATTTGATGGAAATGTTTTATTCCCCGTCGTTTGCTTTGAAAGGCATGAAATGCTCTTTGGGTCTATCCCAATTAGCATCTTCAAGACGAGGTTTGCGACAAGGTATCAGACGTTGGCCCAAGGATATCACCAAACCACTTGAGCGAAGATTGGAAATTCGCAAGGTAAACACTTAGCAGAATATACGAAACGCTATTAAGGCCCCTCTAAGAAGATAGTCCATAATGAGCTTCAGAAATTTGCGAGAAACACATTTGGAAAAAGATTCAAAAAGAGTAGAGGTGTAGGCATATCTGCTCTTCTATCCTCTTGTCCGTATCGGGCAAGCCATTCCGTCGGCTGCAGACAGCCCTCATGTCTCCACATACAATCTCCAAACTAAACATTCACTAAAACAGAATGCAATCCCGGCTACTTCAAGTATATCAACATGGTAAGGTCCAACAAATCATGCAAAGCATTCAATTCATCGTCACCCCTCAATCTCATACACCTCCAAATTTCTCTACCAACAATCCTCCAACATGGCAAAAATGTCCGCTCTCACTGGTATTATGGTGGCACTGATCACCCCATTCACCGATGACCAGTCCGCAATCGACGAGTCTCGTCTCCAAGCACACATCGAGCGCCTTATTCAAGCCGGCGTCCACGGCCTTGTCCCCGGTGGCAGCACCGGCGAATTCACAGTCATGACCACCGCCGAGCGCAAGCAACTGACAGAGCTATGCGTCAAATTCGCCGCTGGTCGTGTTCCCGTTGTTGTCGGTACAGGCAGTCTTCATACTGCGGAGGCTGTCGAGCTCTCAGTGCACGCCGCGCAAGCTGGTGCTACCGCCGTCATGGTCGTCCCACCATACTATGACCCTGTCAACCTGGAGCAGCTGCAAGAGATGCTGGCTGAAATCCACCAAGCCTCCAAACTGCCTATTATGTTCTATAATATCCCTGCCGCATCGGGTCTGACCCTTTCTCCCACCGAGATCGCCGGTCTGTCCAAGTTCGGAGTCAAGTATCTCAAGGATACCTCTGGTAATGCGCCCGCGCTCACAGAGCTTATCTTCGCGCTGTCTGACCAGATCATTGCATTCAACGGGTGGGATACCCTCACCTTCTATGGTCTAACAGCTGGTTGCCCCGGTGGTGTTTGGGGTGCTGCGAATATTATCCCGGAGCTGGCGGTGGAATTGTGGGACGCAGTTGCTGTGAAGGGAGATTTGAAGCGTGGTCGTGAGCTGTGGGCTAAGGCGTACCCTATTTGCAAGTTCCTTGAGACCCATAACTATTGCGCTGGAGTGAAGACGGGTGTGGAACTTACTGGACAGTCTACTGGTGGTCTGCGGAAGCCCTTTGCTCTGCTGAAGCCGGAGTTGCGGGCGGAGTTGAAGCAGTTGCTGCAGAATGCAGGTGTGAAGGTTGTTTAGGAAATCCGTTTTGGGTAAAAGGGAAGGTTTTAAAATACATATATGCACATGAGAATGGATATACATGATGTTATGTTAATAAGTTGTTCCGTCATCATTTCTTCGTACAATTGATCAACGTGGCAGAGTAAGGGTATGAACAAGAAGAGAAGCTAAGATACAGAGGTAAGAAGGTTTTGTCACCGTTCAACAAAACAGAGGCCAGATCTGCTCCTGTTTACAGATATCAATCCACATCGGCATCGGCTCACTTCGATTCGCCGTCAAATGCTCGTCTTGCTTGCGCCACAGCTTGGTCATGATATCTCGAGCCATGGCATACGAGGTGAAACCACACATAGAGCTTGCATCATCAAGCCATCTAATAATTGCTTCTCGCCTCGCAGAGGTGAGAGCTTCGCATCCTGCAATGAAAGCAGGCCAAGCAGTTCCGGGACCCGATGTACCCGCTTCTGACAGGGACACGCTACATTGCTCCAGTGCCGCGATGACACTGTCCACATAGCCCTGAAGAGCAGCTGGGTGGGTATCGCGAACTCTGCGGTAGAAGAAGATTACCAAAGCTCCATTGAGTGCCTCAAGCATATGTGCATGTGGTTTGCAGGTTGCTTGGAGATCTGCTGATCCGCCTCTCGCGCGACCTAGGGAGAATGAACAAATCAGGTTCTCAAGCCGCATCGCACGCCGCTGGAGAGCTTCCCATGCCTCAAGACGCAGGTGTTTGGCTGCATTACGAGCAGTCTGCCAAGTTGCTACAACATTTGCTAGCCTCGTTGTTTGTGACACCAAGCTTAGCCATGTTTCGGGAATTCCATAGATTTGTTTGTATAAGGTTTCGGGGAAACTGCGGGAGTCGTGAAGATGAATGTCATGATAGCCGGATACCCGGTCTTTGGGCTCGTGAATGTTCAAGTCGCTGTCTGAATTTTGATTTTCGAGACGGAGGAAATCGTCAAGATGAGGATTTGGCTCGCTTGATACAACGGCGGTTGCGTTGCTGACTGTTGATGAAGAGGGGTGGGAGCGTGATGAAGATCCAAGGATATCGAGACATGAGAAGGAGAGTTCGTAATCGTGAAGGACAAATGTGCTTTCGCCAACGATCCGCAACCAGGTGTACACGTGGTGTAGAAGGCGGGCTTTCTTTGAGATTCGTTTTTTTGATAGACCACGGAGACGAAGAAGTCGCTCCGCATCAATCAAGAAACATCTTGCGTGCTGCTGCTGCCCAGATAAAATCTATTATATATTAGGGCGAGTTCTCCTGTGATTATCAGGCAATGCTTACCGCATATTGCGTGAGAATATTAGCAGCCATCAATTGATCCTTATATTTAGCCTTTTTCGGTCCTGCCGTTTCATGCTGCAAAGATATTTGGATATGATCCTTGGCTTGCTGATAAGTCTGGTCGGCAATTTGGTACCAATGCTCGGGGGAATGAATCATTTCCGCAGATGGCTGCAGTGCCAGATCAATAGCGGCACAAGCGAAAAGCGCATAAAGGTTTGCAAGACGGGCATGACTGACGCCCTCCGTGCCAAGATATGTTGAGTCACCAAAAGCTACTACTGCAGCTGGTAGATTGAGAATCTTCCACGGTGATTTTTGTCCAAACGGAATTGCCATAATTCGTGGGATGATAACGTCCTGGAAATGTTTTAGCAGGAATTGTCCGTCTTTAAGAACATCTTCATTTGATGTTCTCAGCTCCATCGGGGTCTGCTGCGGTGTCAACATCCGCAAGGGATCTTCCAAGGTGTTCAATGCCGCAGGAATCGAGATAGCATCGCTGTTCGGGTCAAATGAAAAGTCAAATGAGGCGCTCAGGGTTGGATGTGTCGCAAAGCCGGATTGATCAGGGCTGAAGCTCAATATATCCGACCAGTGGAGGAAGTCGTCCATATTCGCGAGCGAATCAATGATAGAAACCGGACTGGGATCTGGTATCTCGGCTTGTATATCCCCATGTTGAAGAACGTCATCAGAGTGCGCCCCTGGTATCTCCACCTGCTGAAGAATACCATCTGATTGGGCAGTAGCTTCGGGCTTCTGTGGACTGGATGCTTCTTCTTGGGATGCCGATGATTGTTGTCGTGATGGTGCAGAGCCAGAAAAATCAAGAACTGCAAAAGGTCCAATGACGATATCACTCTCCAATGAGCGATCGGGATCTCGTGATCGGATATCAACTTCTACTAGTGAGGCATCTACCGATCCTGATACCAGATCCGTGCCAAGGCTCGCACTCATGGAGAGGCGCGATTGCTCTAGCACAAGTCAGCTAGGATGCACTTTGCGAGGAGGTAAACAGTGGATGAGGGAAGTACTACCAGAGTATAAGTGCCGGCGCGTTCCCCGGCGGGAATTGCCATCATCGGGGTCATCATCATCATTGTTGCGCATCCAGAGTACTTGATCTGAGAATCCCTCACATGGCACCCCCAGGGCTCGACAGGTGCGGCAGGCCGGTCGTTTCTGGTCGCATTTGACATCTATAGTCTTCATCAGCTGGGACTCTCGTCATTGTTTCCCAATTGGCTGCCCCAGGCATACATACGTCTTTTTCGGCATGTACTGCAGCCTCCAAGCCTGTGAGATCGGCGGGTGCGGCTGCCTTTCGAGCTCGCCATAGTTAGCAAGCGTGGGCTAATTGCAGCAACAGGTCGGGATAGATTGATCTTGGATAGATCCTCGAACACAGCATGAACATCCGAAGCCTAGACTAGTTGCAATAACAGAAATAGAAATTGATAGATTGATCTAGGACAAGTCTTCGCATAAAGCATGAATATCCGAAGTCTGGGGTCGTTGGGATCCCCCGCAAATATGGACCGGAATCGCCTTCCTTAAAAGGTCTTCCCCGCGCCTCTTATCGCCACATCCTCTTATCACCGTTATCTTATCGTCTTTGAGTGTATCAGTTGCCACGCCCCTTCCCTTTTCGTCCATTTTGTGATTCCCACCTTCCCTTTTCGGAACTCATTATTTGGCCAGGCGAATGGCCTCCAACCGCACGGTCTTCGGAATCTCCTCCTCCAGCGAGTGTGCGCGCGGGGTCCATCCCAGCAGTTGCATGGCTCGCTGAGGGGCCTGACGGGCATTGGTCCCCCAGAACACGCTGGCGGCTGGAGACAGCGCGTCTGCCTCACTTGGGGTGATACTTTTGACCGTCACTGATTCAGTCAGACCAAGCTTGTGGGCGGATTCAGCGACGAGCTGTGAGATCTTTCCAAAGGACTACTTCCGTCAGCGTTGACTCTAGTCAATGCAAATTTCGCGATGCAGTTCACTTACCAGCTCTGGCCCGCCACGGACAAAGTAGAGTCCATTTTGATTCCACAAGTCACCTTCGGCGCCTTCGACAGCCTTCTCGACCAATTTGACGAACATATCACTCAAGTCTGAGACGTGAATGTTGCTCCAGGTACTTTCTCCCTTGCCCACTTGGAAGGTTTGTCGCTTCTCGATGGCCACTCTCGAGATTTCGGGAACCTGAATACTGCGCTGGTTAACGGGTCCTCGGCCCTGTCCGTAGATGATGGGCGGGAAGACAATCGCTGTCTTGGGACCTGTCGCGTTGAGTAAGAAATGATCAACGACTCGCTTGTCGGCATTCTTCTGGATGATATCGCGAATCTCATCGATGTCGTCAATATCCCTGTAGATCTTCGCCGGTCCTTCGCCAAAAGTCTTGTTAACGATATCAGGGATTGAAAGCAGGCTGGCGCCCGATACTTGGATCAAGTGTACTGGGTATAAAGTGTCAGCAATATATTTGTTCCAGCAGGGGGTTTGTATTCACTCACCAGGCTTGGGGCCTCTGTGCTTGGCCAGACCACGAACAATAGCTTGCACGCTGTTGATGTGTTTGTTGGCAGCAGCATCTGCATGACGTTAGAAACGCGATTTGAAGACGTGCATGAATATACTAACGGACGACAACATCGGCCCGGCTAGCCTCCTCCTCAATAAGCGACGCAAAGTCAAGATCACCGAGCACAATGCGCACATCGGGATATGCCTTGGAGACGGTGGCGGCTTTAGTACTATCTCGCACGAGAGCACTGATGTTGTAGTCTGGATGAGTTGTCTTGAGAGCGTGGAGCACGTCCCCGCCGATGAGGCCTGAGGCGCCAGTCCTAAAGAAGAGTGGAAGTCAGTACGCCAACCCGTAGCTTCGGCCGATGAAGACAAGCCACATACAGGAAAATTCGAGCCATGATAGTCTGATTATCGAAAGTAGTGTTGGAGTTCTCGTTCAGTATGGCAAAAGACTTGACAATAGTCAGATTGTCTACCCCTCGTATGACTGTCCTTTAAACCAGCACGACCGTGGGGCCATATCGTATTTGGTAAGTCATTCCGGCCAGCGCGCGGGGATCCGCTGATTCCAGAATAGGAAGTCAAGACCAACTATACAGATGGAAGGTCACTGGGACACGCCTCTTAATTCAGATAGCAAACGCAAGTAACGTAGCTCGGCGCGTGACTTGGGGTAGCTTACTTATTTTGCTGGACCGCCGTTGGTCTACTGAGTTCCTTTTTGTTCAGTTTGTTCAGCTCATCCATCAAGATCATTGATCTTCACCAAGTGCAAGCCATTGGGCATACAATCGTCACAATGTCACATCGCGGTGAAGCACTTCATCGAGATGTCTGCTGTATTGAGGACCTCAAAAAGCTGGCCTCGATGAAACTCACCAGAATGGTGAGAGGTATGTCATAATTTCACTTGCATATCACATATATAGCCAGCTCATACAAGCAGATTACTATAACGAGGGCGCGATGGACATGATCACGTACGTACCCCAACGCGATTGACTACACTACTCCCTAGCCTGACTGATGATCGTCTCTCAGTCTCCGCGAAAACGAATCCGCCTTCGACCGCTACAAAATCCGTCCCCGAATCCTCGTCAACGTCGACACCATCGACACAACCACCGAGATTCTCGGCAGCAAGGTTTCCCTCCCCTTTGGTTTCAGTCCCGCCGCCTCACACAAGCTCGCCCACCCAGACGGTGAACTTGCGACTTCGCGCGCTGCGGCCAAGTTTGGCATTTTCATGGGTCTGTCTTCGTATGCGACGTATTCATTGGAGGACGTTATTGCGCAGGGTATGGGAAACCCCTATGCAATGCAGATGTGTGTTTTGAAGGACCGGGATATTACGATTCAGCTATTGGAGAGAGCGGAGAGTATGCATCTGATTCTTGAGTGTGGCATTTGTGATGGGAGAGGCTGATTAAGATTGCAGAGGCTGGGTACAAGGCGTTGTTCCTGTCTGTGGATGTACCTGTACTTGGCAAGCGATTGAACGAGTACCGCAATGAGTTCCGTATCCCGGAGGATATGGAGTACCCCAACATTCTCAGCAGTGGAGCTGATACATCTGATCGTACTAATTATGGTTTGTTCTTGAGGGTGTATGTCATATCATGACAGTGTGTACTGATATGTGATAGATCCGAGTCTGGATTGGGAGACGGCAATTCCTTGGCTGCGACAGCATACCTCGCTGCCGATTTGGCTCAAAGGAGGTATGTCGCAGCATATGAGCCTTGCTTTCGTGGGATTTCTTTCTAATGAATGTCTATTTCACAGTGTGCTCCCCGAGGACGTGGAACTGGCCATTAAGCACGGCATTGACGGGGTTGTGATCTCCAACCACGGTGGTCGCCAGCTTGACGGCATGCCTTCGACTCTTGATGCCCTCCGGGTATGCGCGCCTGTTGCTCGCGGACGGATCCCCATTACCATTGACGGCGGCATCCGTCGTGGCTCTGATATTTTCAAGGCGCTGGCGCTGGGAGCCAGCTATTGTTTCTTGGGTAGAATTCCCATCTGGGGCCTGGCTGTGAGTCTTCTTCGTCTGTCAAGTTGACATGGGAGGCGCAGGCTAATCAAGACCAGTATGATGGACAAGAAGGAGTCGAACTTGCTATCAAGATATTGCGCCAAGAATTGAGGATTACCATGGCGTTGGCGGGGTGAGTCCGACTAGTCGTACCTTTAAACCGGCACGTATCTGACCCATGACTAACCTCCTGGCACAGATGCCGTACTATCCAGGACATTCAGAAATGCTATCTTTCGGTGCTGAATCCCGACGGCATTCTTTCCAAACTGTAGATTTGGGGTGCATTGGGTGTATAGCATTTTTTTCGTGCACAAATGATCGTGGAGGGTCCAAGGCCCTCTCAAGTCCCAACAGATCAGCCCCGTGATCCGAACATCCGATCAGGTGGACTGCCAAGAGTCTTGGCACTCCTCCCGCAGTGGTCAATCCGGTTAGGGCTGACGGGGATCCCTCGCACAGTTTCCACGGTCCATGGCAGAAGAGTGGACTCTTCAACCATTCATTAAATCTTTACCCGATCCTCAATTCTGGTGCCTGACAATAACAGAGAAGAAATAGAAATAGAAACTGTTCCACGTACCTATGTGAGGCTTGTCTCGTTCTAAGCCTCGTTTCGTGGCGGTGTACTTGTGTTCCAGAATTTCCCGCCGTGTTGTTGCGCACTCCATCCGTCGATAAACCCTGGAGGAGATCCTAGGCAGCACCATTCTGATTCTGATTTGTCCAGGGCTATACTTAGTACTGCATCTGGAGGTGCAGAGTAATTCCCTCGGTCAGTCCCCTGCTGGAATGTACATACTCCGTACTGGACCAGCACAAACCTCAAACCTCCGGACCCAGAACGAGGGGGGTACCACGATGATGTTGGACGCTAGCCCAAAGAGGCAACCGATCCTCCACATCAAACAGTCATTAGGTATTGACGTTAGTTAGTCGTCGTCGTAGTCACAGTGGACCGCCATAATCGGTTTCTAGCGCCCCCTATTTTTCTCAGCTGAGCCCTGCTGATCCTGCCTTATCTAACTTTTATTTAAATTAGTCCCGCATCCCCCCGTCACCTGGACTTTCGCTTCTCTCCTCCCCCTTATCTATTCCAGACCACCAGGACTCCGAACTACCACCTCTTTCGATCTTTCGATCTCCAAGATCCCAAATCGTCACCATGTTCAACTTCAACTTCTTCAAGTCTGCCCCCGCTGAGGCCCAGGCCCAGGAGAACGCCTGGAACCCCAACACCTTTGCTATGCAGCAGCCCTCCAGCCCTGCCGCTCCCTCCACCAACCAGAACGTGGTTTCTGAGCAACCCGTACGTCTACACCCACCCAACCGCCCTTTATCTGGACTGATCACAGTGCGCGAATTCGAATGGAAACTAATCTATGGCCTACAGTCTAACCAGGAGGAGATGTCCATGCAGCTGCGTGGTGGTGGCGGCGGTGGCCTTTGCTGCGGAATGTGAGCCTATCTTGACCCTTCTATCGGACAACCTCATTGAATCCAACGACTAACCCGATTTCACAGCTGCGCTGGTCTTGCCTGCTTCGAGTGCTGCGAGATTTGCTGCTAGATTACCCAACGCGCTACATATCCAGATGGATGACGTGAGGAAACGGGGCGTATTACATCGATGAGTGGCTGAATACACTGCGGTTGCTGAGAGAAGCTTCTTGCTCATCCTCATCCTGAGGAGCAGAGATGGTGATGGTTTTTTTATGTCATATCAGACGTCTACGCGATATACCCAATGACAATCATGCAATAGCAATGTGCATTCTTTTTCCAACTGGTGTCTATAGTATGCTCTCATTTCCTCGTGTTCGTATAGGCTCATTATTTCGTCAAGTCGTAGGGAGTATAGGTGCAGGTGATGCGCTGACACCCGCTCAGAAAGACCGCCGGTGAATTGCCGCGCGAAGAGCAGCGTCCACGTCCCAAAGACGGAAGCCAGGGGCGCGACCAAGCATCCTCAAGTTGGAGAGTAGCACTGGGAATGACGTTAGCGTTCCATATACACCCGTACAAGGTCACGGAATGGTGATAGCCCAGCTGTTGTCCTCACTTACAATCGAAAAAGCATTCGACGTTGAGGGTGTACCTAGACGGCGACAGCCCCGGATCCCGCGAGCTACTGACATCGCTGGAGGAAATGTCGCCGGGGGAGACATACATCTGCGATGCGCAGTAGTCTGAGCCGCTGTCCGGGGAAAACCCATACAGGTATCCAACAGTCGCGGCAGGAACTTCCAACCACACCGCCGACCCCTCCAGCACAAACCCTTTGTCCTCCAGATACCCCTGAACATCATGGCAATCGAACCAATCACCGTCCAGATCCAGGAAGCGTAGACGCTCCTCCTCGCTCAAAGCACTGATCTCCTCGCCCTGCCCATCGCCAATATCCGGCTCCAAATCGCCACTCCAATCCTCATCCCAATCGGAGATCCCGCCTCGCCGGAGAATCCGTGCCAGTCTCCGCAGGATCTTCCCCGGTCGTCGAGTATTCACCGGCCACACGGTTTGCCCGTCATCGCCATAGCGCGGATAATGCGTACCCGCGCCGCCGAGCGTGTAGAAGGGTACTTTCGTCATTTCCAACGGTCCGCCAATCTCAGATTGCAGCACGCGCCGGGAGGTGCGTCGTACACCGGGCATATCTTGGATGCAGGGGAATAGACCGAAAACACGGCTCATGAGCGGGGGTTCGGAGCTGGGATCTGAGAGCCATCGGTAGGTATGTTCTAGACAGAATCTTTGCAGGCGTCTGGATAGGCAGGATTCTTGGTAGCTGTAGGTGTATATGGTTGTGGAAGGGAAGAGGCGGTTGAGCAATGGGGATGGGGATCGCGGATGGGAATATCCGGTGTAGACGGACGTTCTCCGTTGATGTTGCGCATGTTTAGAAGGGGATGACTTTGGAATGTCATTCTTGACGTTTCTCCGACCGTTGGAGACTTCGTATCCAAAGATATCGCGCGGCGGCTCTGTAGTCTGTCTTACTGAATCGCTGCCATCTGCTGAAAATTCGCAAGCTTTGCCAATCTCAGCTAGCACCAATTGCCGGGCGCGCGAGAGGTCATTCGGTCTCGTGAGGCTGAACCCTTCCGGTTCAGCCGTTAGAAGATCTGAGACATTCTGGAGAGTCTTTTCAAGTTGCTCCACGCGTGTCTTGAGGGTCTGGATGGTCGCCTCTTTCTTCTGGCGGTAGGTGCGTTGGGCCCGCCTGATTTGCAAGCGCCGTTCCTAATGGAATGTCTCGGGTCAGCACAATAAATCTTGGTATGTTCAGCTTCAGGCTCCATTGCGCCCAGCTCCTCCCTTTTACGGCAAGTAATCACACCCCGATTTGTACCTACTTCAACTGCAGCCGCGTCCTTTTCGGTCTCGATTCTCGGCCGGCCTCTTTTTCGCACTGGTCGATCGTTCTCACTAGGCGGGTCCTTGTAGCTTGGGGCTCTTTCCGTCTTCTCCGACTCTTTGTGGATCGGTGGTCGTTCACGAGGCTGCAGGCGTGGACCTGACCTGCGTGGAGCCTCGATTGAGTTCATCCACGCTGGTGGCTTCGGGGTGCTTATCGAAATATCTTGGGCGGGCATGCGTTGGAGCTCGACTTGAGTCTGGAACTCCTCGCGGCCAAACTCGAGGTAGGATCGGGCGGACAACGTGTCCGAGAGCGGGAGGCTGGAATGTGCATGGCCAGATCCAGGCATTAGTGAAGGTAGTTTTCTACAGGATAGATATTTCCGGATGATTGATTGATAGACAAGGAAATAGGAGTGGTTATCGAGGAGGCACTTGAGGCTCATGAAAGTGGTTTTCTCCTGAGGGGATTGTTCGGCGATCAGTAATCAGATAATCTCGGCCTCGGCAGTGGCCCCCGCCAAGTGCCCATACTTTCTGCCTCGTATCTATTTTTCTTTATTATTTCCAGGACGGTTCAAGAGTCAGCTGCAGAGTCTTTCCTCAGCGGACTAGCGGTGTTTAGCGCCAACTCCCAGCAAGCTTATTTTTGATTTGGCAGTGCATGCCGAAAATCCGAGGGCTGTCGCAAAGCCTCCTGCAAGGTGACGACAGAACCAGACGACTCTTGCTTGTGACGGAGTCCGAGTTTCACGGAGGACGTGCTACAGTATGTTGACTCGGGGGGATAATCTCCGATCTCCATGAGTGCAGGCTGAAACTCGATGATACCACTTGTGGGCCGTGATCGAGCTCACGTCAACTTGCCCCGTCGCACGAGTGGCCAAACAAAAGCAATGGAAAAGCAGACGAACGGTCTCCCCGATCGCATACGGCCGAAGGAGCCGGCCTTAACTCATGAAACGCCCCGTCGAAGTGTCGAAGCCCTCCCCTCGCACGCCCTCGCACGCCCGGTGGTCAATCAAATCGGAGAAGGACTTCCAACCCCGCCTCCCGAGTCCCAGCTCCGTTTTCCCGCCTTTTCCACGCTGCTCATTGGCCACTTGGACTCGTGGGATCATCGTGGCTCGCACTCGTATCTCCTTTCTCCCCCACCTGAACCTGGTCTGCTTGGCCCCTGCAACCGAGGCCCCCCATGCCCCGATCCTGAATCCAACTGGTCATGAAATCTTGTATATATAATCCACCCGTCCGCCTCTGGCTTCGCACCATGAGCATCCCCCGCCCCCCTGACTACAGCGACCATGAACTACACATTCGTGCTGGGCTTTGCGGCCGCGGCCGTGGCCCTCCACATCATCCGCATGGTTCTGGCTTCATGGCAACACTCACGCAAGGCCCGTGCGCTTGGCTGTGGGAGCCTGCCTTTGTTGCCGTGCAAGGATCCTCTCGGTATCGCTACTCTGAAGCAATCTCTGGCCGCCGACAAGGAGAAACTCTTCCCGGAGCTCTCTGCGCGCCGCATCGATATCATGAGTGAGCAGGAAGGCCGCTACGTCACTACCTACGTGCTCCGTAGCCTGGGACGCGACCTGATGTTTACCACGGATCCTAAAAACATCCAGGCCATGCTGGCCACCCAATTCAAGGACTTCCAGCTAGGTGAGGTGCGCGCTCATAGCATGCACCCACTGCTTGGTAGTGGAATTGTGAGTCACATGAAAATTTTGTCATGCTACAGTATTTGCTTTGCGACGATCAGTGGATCCGATCCTCTAACCTCCGAATCTCTGTAGTTTACCGCCGATGGAGAGGAATGGTCCCGATCGCGTGGACTGCTGCGCCCGCAGTTCACTCGCGAGCAGATCAGTCAGCTCGAGTTGGAGGAAGGACATGTGCAGAAAGCGATGCAGGCCCTGCCCGTTGCCGCCAACGGCTGGACGACCGCGACCGATCTCCAGACCATTTTCTTCCGTTTGACCATCGACTCTGCCACCGAGTTCTTGTTCGGCGAAAGCGTGGAGAGCCAATTGGGAGCGCTCAAGGACCTGCAGCGACCCGAAGACTCGTTCGCCTACTATTTCGACAAGTCCCAGTTGATCTGTGCCAAGCGCGCCCGCTTCGAGAAATTCGCATGTCTCGTGAACAATAAGGAAACTCGATTCTCGGATAACAAGGTACACGAGTTTGTGGACCGAGTTGTGAGCAATGCCCTCAAGGCCGTGGAAAACGGCAAGCGCCCCATCGATGAGGAGAAAAATCAGCACTATATATTCCTGGAAGCCCTGGTCTCCGTTACTCGTGATCCCATCGAACTGCGCTCGCAGCTCCTCCACATCCTCCTCGCCGGCCGTGACACCACCGCCTCCCTGCTTAGCTGGACCGTGATGATGCTCGCCCGCCATCCGGACATCTTCAAGAAGCTGCGCGAGACCATCATCGAAAACTTCGGCACCTACTCCAACCCACGGAACATCACATTTGCCTCCCTCAAGTCTTGCCAGTACTTGCAGTACTGTATGAATGAGTCCCTCCGCCTCTTCCCTGTCGTCCCCTTTAACCGCCGCAGCGCCACCCGCGACACTACTCTCCCGCGCGGCGGTGGCCCGGACGGCGAGTCCCCCGTATACATCAAGAAGGGCCAGGCCGTCGCATACAGCACTCACATCATGCACCGTCGCAAGGATCTCTGGGGTCCAGATGCGGACGAGTTCAAGCCTGACCGCTGGTTGGACCGTAAGGCTGGCTGGGAATACATTCCATTCAACGGTGGGCCGCGTATCTGTATTGGACAGCAGTTTGCCCTCACCGAGGCTGGATATGTCCTTGTTCGTTTACTTCAGCGCTTCGATCAGATCGAGGATGTTAATGCGCACCAGAAGGTTCGCTGGGGTATCACATTGACTAGCTGCCCGGCGGATCTCTTGACTGTCCGCATGCACCAGGCCGATGATGCTTGAACCTCTTAATATTGGACATTGAGAGTGGACAGTACAGTACGACAGTGTGATGGAGTTTGTGGAATTTACCGTTTTGGAAAATTTGGCGGCTTTGTGGTTGCCCCTGGCATTTTCAGTCTCCATTCTTGACTTGGGACCTTATAGTTTGGTTCCATTTGCATTGGCCTTGTGTTAGCATGTCTGTGACGGCTACTTCTGTTTTGCTTTTCACATGGGACTTGGTCTATGATACGATGATTACGATTTAGTATATACGCTGGTGAATGTAATTTATTTCTCTGAAAATTGTATTCGCTGCTTTGCTACAGCAAAATATTTTCGTTTCTCCCTTCTTCACTCGTCCTAGTGTCTATTTTAAAGCACTGATGGCAAGAATTTTAGAGTAATGATAATGCTATACCTTGAACGTGATCACAAACTTGCGGTGGTTTAGATGCTACGATTCGACGCCACTAGATTTGTGCATATGTATGTTCTAACCACCCCCTCGCCACCTAGTAGTGTAGCACTGGCAAGCCTGCTATCCATTTGACCCTTGGGCTCACACAACACTGTCACAATAATCAGTATTGATAAACCTTGGGAGATAGAAGATAAAGCAGAGGAGAATAGCTCCATTTGAGATGTCACAACCTCTCCTCGTGTAGTTAAGTAGCAAGTGCATGAGGTAGATAGTAGGGCCTTAGACTTGTCGCGTCACGTATGGCTCGGGCTATCACCTTCTAGGTATGTTTATAGATGCCTTGGACTTTTCCAGCTTAGATCGTGAAGGAAACATTATTGTTGAGAATTTTATGGGTAAGCTTATGAATTATGCAATTTCCAAGTTACGCTCATTGGGCGTCCTCGACAAACCTAACCTTCCAATTTCTAAGCTTGCTCGCGTGCCCCACAGCTATTTTAATACAGGCATATGGTAATATTTGTAAGGAGCCGGTCACATGGCGGAGAGCCAGCCCCCGATCCCGTTTAATTTTCAACTGAACGTCACGCTCTAAAATATCTTCACGAATGAACAGATGATCGTGTTCTGAATATAATGGATTCCCAGAAAGTAGCCACCGCGGAGGCTGCAACCGCCCAGCTTCATATCGTCAGCCTCGGAAGTTCATTTGCCGCTGGTCCTGGCATACAGCCCCAAGAAGAGCCTCGTGCTGCGCGACGATCCACAAAAAATTATCCTCATCTCCTGGCAGCCTCTTTGAATGCCAAGCTCACTGATTTGACCGCATCGGGGTCAACTTTGCTCAATATCACAACGGCACCGCAATCCGCCCCATTCTCCAAAGCCACTTTCGCACCACAAATTTCAAAGATACCATCCGACGCGAATATCATCACTATAACTGCTGGTGGAAACGACGTGGGGTATATCGGTGGCATTTTTTAAAGATGTATGGGATAATTCCTTGGTGGGGAAAACAATCAACCTGCTCATACATGCCGTCCGAAAGATCACTTCGGCCTTTGCATCCCCCAAGAAGAGTGAATCGGTAGCGAACTTATCGCCAGACGGGCTGATCAATCGGCTCGGTTCTGCTGTTGATGAGATACACCAGAGATTTCCCGAAGCCCGTATATTCCTAGTTGAATACCTCGCTGTTTTCGGCCCGGTAACCAAGCCCAAAAGGGATGTTGGGCTCAGCCAGGAAAGAATTGATCATCACCGCAATGTTGCCTCTGCACTTCAATCAGCATACGAGACAATCGCCTCGGCCCGCTCTGAATGGTGTACGAGGGTACCAATGCACACGATCAGTCAAGCCCATGCTCTTGGTAGCGAGGAGCCTTGGGTAGAAGGGTTTAGCTTGCGGTTGTTGTTCCAACGCGGTCCCATGTTCCATCCAAATCTGAAGGGAATGCAATCCGTGGCAAGTCATCTGTTTGATTTGATAAAAAAGAAGAATTGAAGAATGTTTGTCTTCGATTAAAGCTTGGTCCAGGGATGATTTTGCAACATTTGGTGGCGAAGGGAAGATGAGGTGTCGCCAAGACATTGAGGCAGTTACTTCCAAAGGCAAAGCCAAGAATACATATAGCCCACGCGGGCGTCGATTCTCTTTCAATGAAAACCGCCTATGCTTGTGATGTCTAATCTACACATGGCATCCATCCTTCAGTTATATACCTAAGCCAAATATCCTCGCTAAACTAGTAGTCATTAATCATTTCTCTAACACGTCATTTTGAGCATAGTGTTTTCAAGCGCTGGGAATCGTCCCTCAACTGATATATCTGCAATTCCTCCTTTAGTTTACAACAGTCAGCTCCCAGCCTGGTGTAACAGTCCATTTTCTACCAAATTCATCTCACTTCAGTACACCACGCTTTGCCAAATTCCTAGCAATTGTCTAGTGGCTATCTTTCTGCTGCGTGTGGAATCTGAATGTGAACGCGGTCTCCTAACAGGAGCAAAAATTGAGTAGGCTAGAAGAAGAGGAAACTGTTCAATAGAATGTGATGCAGAAGGCTAGCATCCTATTACATTCTCTCCTCCACTGTCACCATCAAAGATCCCTTGGGATCACCGATAAATGCGCTGGCCTGCTCGCGAAATTTGCCTTCAAAGAGCCCATTGTCAACATCTTTTCTGCTCTTTCGGATAGGCTAACAAGAACAAGAACTTTGGTCGCAAAGTAACGGTTGCCTTCTTTACTCCGATGTTAAAAGAAATAAGAAATTGAGTCAGAGTCATGTCCCAGATATTCTGCTTGTCAGTGAGCACATCAGGAGGATAAAGCTTTGGTACATTAGAGTACATAAGACGGCCCATTTTCGCTCACAAGCAATCGAGTTGTCTCGCCTAAGTGATATCCGAAAACGAATACCAGGTTCTTTTACTCCTATTCTAGAAGCCATCGTACTTTTGATTTTCATCCGGTACATGGTACGGATCATTGGATAAGGTTGATAGGACAATCTCTGTCAATTATTTTTGAAACTAACAAAACTCGCGTTCTGCTAATCGCATCGTGTATCAAGTGAAGTCGTATACCCCTCCTAGAGTCGCCTGATATACAATACATGGAACCGTCACTTGTTGCAGTATCGCTAATGAGCTGATAAAGGAATAAATTTTCGTAGTTCAACACGGCGCATTACGACTGCCATGATTATAACCCTGGCCCCTAGGCGGCTTCAAGGCAGCTACACAAAAAAGGTGGCTTCGAACACTTGAGGCTCTCTTCAGAGACTCTAAGTCTTCCTCGCATTCGGAACTTCTTGTAGAATTACCTTGACTCGTGTTTCGCTGCGAGGAATGAAACGGACCTTGAATGGCTCTGGTCTCATTTTTTCAGACTCAGTAAAAGCAAAAGGGTTCAGCTTTTCTTGTTGACCCGATGTCAATGTAATTATCCTCGCGTGAAAATATTGCTCTGTCTGAGAAAAGTATGCCCTTGCAGGTTTTGGGCCTTGAAACCAATCTGCATACATGAATCTATATAGACCAATATGATCAGCTCTACTGGCCTTATTGTCCCTCAGCTGGAAGCAAAACGCAAGTTATAGTTGAATGAATAATACTTTTCTTAGCTGGAATACTGAGTCCCTTCGTAGGGGAGCAATCATTGAGAAGCTCGCTCATGCACATGATTAAACCCTTGCGAAGAGTAGGCCACCCTGTCCGAACAAGAAATACCCGAAGGGACTCTTTTAATAACCGCTGCGCACCCCCTGGTGTTGATAGCATTCCAACACCGGTTAGATGAACAAATACACAAGAAGCCCCCGAACCTCTGTGCCATGCGTTATGATATGTCGAGCTAGGGTATCTCTGCGATTCCTCTAAGTTAGTATACAATTCGCCCCATAAGGTCCAGAGTGAACAAGTAGAACTCACTGCCGTGAGAATGACCGCGAACATAATGGGCAAGCGAATGGTTGGGCGCCAGAATGGCGGCGAAGGTGACGTTCAAGATGCTCACGGCGGTTGAATTTCTCCTGGCAGAGATGTTAATCTATGTTGTGGAGAGAAATATGGCTCTTTCTGCTTCTCCTTGAGCTGGCGCAGCAAGAGAGGTTGGGATATATTGCCAGCGGTGATGGTCCAAGTGCCAGGACCCGACGGCGGCCGATAGACGCCAGAGAATCACACGCTAGGATTTGGCTAGCAGAAAGCTTAGATTGGGACAACTGGCCAATCAGATCCGTGTATCTCCGCCGAACCAACGGAAGACGGACTTTAAAGCGGTCAGCCACTAGCGCATTATATCATGGCGTCTATCGGCTACCGTACTAAGACTTTAACACGCGATCTCCACAGCAGGACCGGAGAAGTTTGTACAGAACCTTTATCTTTCTCCGCTCACATGGTCGGAGTTTTACAATCAACTCTCCAAGATACGGGCCTACTTACTCCTCTCGCCCCACCCCCGCATATAAAGACACTTGCGGGTCTACGAAATGACCCACAACAACATTCACTCCCTTAGGCTCGTCAGAGCAGGTACTTTCTTATCCTAACGAACCCGCAAGATCGGGCAATACAACACAATGAAGAAGTCAGAGGCCAACACCGCTGAAGGCGCTATCCAGCCTCAATCTGGGGGAGATTTTGCTGTCGGTGAGATCGCCGGCGACGTCAAGCATGAAATGCAACTCAATGTTGGTGGCCGAGGTGCCACTCAACGCCGTCTGCGCAATTACCAGGTTACTATGATTGGTTTCTGTAGCGGTATAGGTACTGGTCTGTTTATTGGGACTGGTGCTGCCTATGCAAAAGCAGGCCCTGCCGGACTTTTCCTTGCCTACACTATAGTCGGATCAGTGTTGTGGTGCGTGATGCAGAGCATCGCTGAATTGGCCACTCTTTTCCCTACAGCCGGCTCCTTTCCTCACTGGGCCACTCGTTTTATCGACCCCGCAGTAGGATTCTCCTTGTCGATCTCCTATGGCTACGTCTTTATGATTGCCATTGCCTCTGAGACATCGGCGGCGGCATTAGTGGTAGCCTACTGGACTGATCTGACTCCAGCCGTGGTGATTACGGTCAGTCTGACCTTGATCTTAGCAATCAATCTGATGAACGTCCGCTTCTACGGTGAAACAGAGGTCATCGGTGGTGTCGTTAAGGTCACTTGTTTCCTCGGCCTCATCTTCGTGTCTATCGTGATCACCGCCCGCGACCGTATCGGCTTCCGCTACTGGAACGATCCTGGCGCGTGGACAAATTACAATGGCATCGTGGGTCCTAAGGGACACTTCTTGGGATTCCTATCTGCATTCGTTAACGCGTCATTCAGCTTTATCGGTATCGAAACCGTCGTGATCACGGCCGCTGAATCGGTCAACCCTACTTATGCTATTCCGAAAGCTGCTCGCTACATTACCTACCGCATCGGATCTTCTACATCATCGGCGCGCTCTTGATCAGTTTGACTGTAGATCCCAGAGATCCAAATCTTACCTCCGGGGCCGGCAATGCTAACAGCTCGCCCTTCGTCATTGCCATCAAAACTGCAGGCATCTCTGCTCTGTCTTCAATTGTCAACGCCTGTATCCTTATCTCTGCATGGTCCGCTGGAAATTCCTACTGCTGGGTCTCCTCCCGTATGGTTCTAGCTATGACCACAGACCATCAACTACCGCAAATATTCGGCCGAGTCTCGAAGAAGGGTGTCCCTTACGTGGCTGTGATTACCGTTTGGCTCTTTGGGCCTCTCGCATACCTGAGTAAGTACACTCTAGTCCATGCTAAAGTCAAAATTCAACTAAGAAGCTACTATTAGGTCTTGGAAAAGGCGGTGCGGCACAAGCCTTCTCCTGGCTTCAAAACCTGAGCACAGTTTCTGGCCTTATAGCATGGGCCACGCTTTGCTTCTGCTATATCCGTTTCCATGCTGGTATGAAGGCCCAAGGCGTCAGTCGCGACACCGCGCCCTGGAGGTCTGCCTTCCAACCGTTTACCGCATGGTATGGCTTCATTGGCGCTAGCACCATCACTCTGGTTACCGGCTTCCATGTTTTCCTCAAGGGTAACTGGTCAGCGTCAGGATTCGTTGCAGCGTATATTGGAATCCCTATCTTCATCGTACCAATCATTGGGTGGAAGCTCTGGCACCGAACGAAGGTGAGATCCCACCGCAGGTATAACATCACTCGTCAAAACCCTACTGACGCACTTTTTTCAGTTTGTCTCTACTTCTCAGATGGACCTCTGGTCCGGCCGTCTTCAAGAAGGAGAAATTGAGGAGCCTCCAACTACAGATCCCAATCGCCCGGTGTGGAAACGTGGTTTGGATCGTATTATTTGAAGTCGTTCATCCTGAATATTTTTGGAGTGATTGAAAAGACAAGTACCCGAGTCCGAACGTTTATATCTCATCGCCGTCCCGGCCCATTCATGACCAGGTCTTCAATGTCGACCTTCCCGTGAAGCACTATCCTTACTTCCGCAAATATACCAAAACATTTTGACTTCGAAGGAATGACTCGAACTCTCAATTCTGCGCCGAAGGGTAACAGTAACATCGTCGTACTTCACGGTTGCGCCCATAATCCGACAGGCGTGGACCCAACGGACGACGAATGGAAGGAGATGGCAAAGATCATGAAAAGCAACGATCTATTCCCATTCTTTGACTGTGCTTATCAGGGCTTTGCTACCGGTTATCTCTCTCAGGACAATTTTGCTGTCCGATATTTTGTCGAGCAAGGGATTCAACTTGTAATTGCTCAGTCTTTCGCCAAGAACCTCGGTCTGTATGGTGAGCGAGCTGGCGCCTTCCACCTTGTCGCCTCTCCCGGGCCGGGTGCCTCGTCGACGGTAGACCGTGTTGCTTCTCAGCTTTCAATTCTCCAGCGCTCCGAAATTTCAAGCCCGCCAATTTATGGCGCGCAAATTGCCTCTATCATTCTGAATGATCCACGGCCATTTATCGAGTGGGAAGCAGATTTGTTGACCATTTGTGGGCTCATTAAAAAGATGAGAAAGTGTCTAAAGGAGGAGTTAGATCGTTTGCAGACTCCAGGCACATGGGGTCATATTGTTAACCAGATTGGCATGCTTAGTTTTACTGGGCTGTCCCCAGCACAGGTGCTTGAACTACGAGAAAAGTGCTTGTGTATATGGCTGAAACTGGAAGGATCAGTGTTGCGGGCTTGAACGATCATAATGTGGCATACTTCGCGCGTGCGGTTGACGATGCTGTTCGAAGGATACTTTGCGCTTGTTGATAGACCCTAACTAGTTTCTGCACCTACCTACTCTTTTAGTTCCACATCACCATTTCCACGGACAAGCTTGTAAATTACACAACTTATCGTCAGATGGCCAGGGGCTATTACCCAGAGTTGGCCACCGTTATTATGATCTGAGCATACATTCATACAGATTAATAATTTTTGGGTCATATGGCACCCTCTTCATGTTGAAGTACAATCACCAATTACAGGATCTTAGAGGAGGAGGCTGCGTTCCATACAATCAGCTCACAGACCGGATGGCCAGGACGTTGCTTGGGGAGTAAAGTTTTCATGAGAGGATAGCTATTACACCAATGAAACAAAACCGAGGTGTGCCATAATTGACATAATAATGCAATTTTAGTATAGCTGAATTGGTAGACAGTCCAGATTCCATCAAGTGAAGGCAAGCAAACTATCTGGGAATCGACCATCTGGACTTAGGGGGCCACATATCGTTACCTCTGTGGACTTTGAGACTTGAAAGATCATATAATAAGAGTTTACTATCGCGCTATGATGATATAAGTCAACCTTACTTGCCTTTTAACTAGTCAACTGTTTCATTTGTCAGCTTATCGCTCCAGTCTCGACACCCCGCACCAGTCGGAGTATGTGTCATAGTTAGCTATCTTCGTGGCGTCGGGCGTTTACCCACCATCCCCGCCCCGGAGAATGCGAGAATACCGAGCACGTGAGCGGGGATGCAGTATAGACAAAGCTTCCGATGAAATGCGGAGTAACAAGACCATGGGAAAGTCCTCTAATATAGCTTGCTGGCATGCCAGGTGCAGAGAGTTCTGTAATTACCACTTCATCCAGCAAAACACTGCAAAGATGAACAAAGATAGCAAATTTGTCATTATTGGAGCTGGAATCTTGGCCTTTCAACGGCATACCAACTCGCGTTGGAGGGCTATCGAAATGTAGTCGTTGTCGATCGCCACATGCCCCCAGTAAGTCATTCACTTTTAATATGATCATCAGGAAACCGATCACCTCAGGTTCCGGACGGCTCTAGTTCTGATATCTCCCGTGTCGTTCGGTTCGACTATGCAGATGATGACTACCTCGAGCTTGCCTATGAGGCTTATTTGAAATGGCGCGACAACCCCCGCTACAAGGGCATTTTCTACCCCGCTGAATACATCCTGGTTGGCAAAACGAGCCCCTACGGACAGGATTGGATCACGAAAACAACGGCTGCACTTGATCGGATGAAGATGCCCTGGTACAAGCTTGAAAGTGCAGCTTCTACCAAGAAGCAGTTCCCTGTGCTGACTGGAGAATTGGCCAACCCAGGATTCTTTGGATACAATAACCATCAAGCTGGCTGAGCGGACGCCGCAAAGGCTGTCACTCAACTCCGCGATGACTGCTTTGAACTCGGTGTATCATTTATTTGCGGTCGTGGAGGGACCGTAGTTGGATTTGAAACTGACTCTCGCAAAGCTATTAAAGCAGCTCGAACCCTGACCGGCAGTCGCATTGAAGGAGACCATTTTATACTATCAGCAGGTGCTTGGACGTCAGGCCTGGTACCCATGTATAATTCGACTCTGTCGACCGCGCAAGTGCTGGGTTATATTCGGCTTACGCCCGCTGAGATGGAGAAGTTCAAGAATCTGCCAATTTACTCCAACTTTTCGACTGGATGGTTCAATTTCCCCCCCTCATGAGGACACTCAGACATTGAAGATGGCAATCCACGGATGGGGCTATACCCGTGCACCAACTGCGGAGGATCTTGTTACTAACCAGGCAAATATTTCTACGCCGCCATTGATTCCTCCCCGAGAGCGTCGCAACTTTGTCCCGGCTGACGGAGAAGCCCGTCTAAGGGAGGGTCTCCGAGAGATTCTTCCTGAGCCTGGTGACAGGCCCTTTGAGAAGCTAGCCATGTGCTGGTACACAGACACCCCGAGTGCAAACTTTGTCATGGATTGGCATCCCGACTATTCGAATCTGTTCATTGGAGGCGCTGGCAGTGGGCAGTAGGTGCTTCCCATAACATTATTTTTCATCGATCTGTTCACAATATTTTCTCAGTGCATTCAAGTTCTTGCCGGTCCTTGGTAACTATATGTCATTGGCTCTGAAAGGACGCCTGCCTGCCAAACTGGCTCAGAAGTGGCGTCTTCGAAAGGACTACGCGACTGAGAATGATACGTTCAAGGGAGATGGTAGCCGTGGTGGGCCGATCAGACGAGAACTAGAGCCTCAGGAAAGGGCAAAACTATAAATGTTAGACTTGAGGAAGAACTAAATTGTTTATGTGATTTGCTCCAATTCATGTTCTTTTCAGAATGAGCGGAATGCAATAGTTTATCCAGATGGTAATGAGTAGGACTGAATTATAATCCTAGATAAATGGCAGCTGATTCAACAATTTAGGTCCTGTAGTGTAATGGTTCATCACGAAGGATTCTGATTCCTTAGATCCCGGTTCGATTCCGGGCAGGACCTTTTTTTTCTTTTTCCTCTCTCTCCCTGTGTGTCAACCGAATAGCCAACAAGCGAAACAAAATTCGTTCAATAAAGAACTTAAGAATTCGGTCTTGACTTTGTTTGCGCATGTTCAATTGTAAAATACGCTTTGTACTGCCAGGTGCAAACCCAGCTTCACCATTCTTCTCTCAAGTCGGTGCCTCACTACTTTTGTGCCAGTGTTTAATTAAATATACATAGAGCCAGCTAAGTTTTTCGACTGTGATACTTGCCTCTTGCAATGGGCTCCATGGGGCACAGCTAAGCGAGTGCAACGTAGTAGACCAGACCAGGAGCCGCTATAGTAAGAAAGGTTTTAGAGCGGTCCCTTTGGCCCCCAAAGGCCGCGTGTCTACTGGGACGTATTGAAGTATCGCGTCTTTGAGTAGGTAAGCTGCAGCTAGGGCTGAAGCGGCACCATAAAAGTGAAAAATTCTCGATGTTGTTCAGCCTACGGCTATTGACCCATTGTTCTTGCTTGTTTTCTATGCCGTGATCTATTTCTCATTTATTTCTTTCTATCCGTTGAGATCTTCCTTTCTTAAGTTTCCCAGGAACTCAAATTTGAACTTCTTCGCAACTCACCTATAGTATTCCCTCTGCCTTCACAACGCCCCTTTCTGCCTGATTCAGAATATTGGCTGTGGCGTGACTGGGAACGAACAGGGTGTCATGTAAACGACAGCTTCAACGCAGTCCAAGAAATGTCATCGGATCTAGCCAATATCAACGCTTTTCATGATTATGAGAATCAACAAGTAGCTACATTGAATGTGCCCCTTGTACTGGCCCTGACTGGGGCTTTGATTGGGCTTCTGTTGGTATGTTCACAAGATCTTGTATTCTTGTTACGACATTACCAGACATTGTAAGACTAACTGTTGATAGGCTATATATGCCCACGGGTATACCATCGCAACACTGACGGCAATACAAAGGCCCAACGATGGAGTGCGATCAATAGGACAGCATCTTCAAGGCTTTTCAATCTGCATAATCCATCGATTGGTCAAGATCTTCATTGTTTCTAGGTTTCCTATTAAGGGATCTAGCCTATTGAACTGTTCCCTTCTCAATATAGCAGTCGAGTTACTACTCTCAAACTTGAAATTAGCCAATATACGTGCTATTACCACTCGCCAATCGGGCTTCCCATACCATCGTCACATTCCTTCGTGGTCAACTTGGTCTAAGACCTTCCCAGCAATTTTACTCTATAGCATCGCCTCAAGTGCCTGCTTTTACCTCCCTATCTACCTGGTCAGGTTATTAGGTGCTCTCGAGGTTTCCGAGGATACACATATAATCTTCATTCTTGCCACTATTGTGCTTCTCTACTTTGGGGCAGTTATTCCAACATACGCTATCTTTATTCGAATCGCTGCGTCGACTCAAGAGAATGGATCTATTAAGAGCGCTTGGCAGGGTTTCCCGTGGCCAGCTCGGTTACAATTCTTCAAATTACTTGGAGAAGTTTTTGTCTTGGAAACGGGAGTTTGTATAATTCTATTTATTTTCGTGCTTGCTCATGTTCACCCTGAGCTACATGATGATGTGTGTCAATTATTCGTAAAGTATTTCGGATGATTGAGAAATGCGGACCAGAGAGGCACTAATTCCATTGGAATGGCCCTTAATACACCGTCGAATCACTAAGCTAGTTCTGTGTAGAATCAGACTTCAATGAAACTGGCGAATTTACATTTCTATTCGTTGGACATATTGAACACAGAGAATGCTAAGAGATGATACAATGCATCAAATTAGTAGGATGCCGCGAAACAGCGACTCACCGTGTACAGTGACGGGCAGAAAAACCGTCGTTTTCAAACGTCTCTATACTATAGGAAAAGATCTCGTATCCCTTTCTTGACGTTTCATATACAGGCAAAGTTCTCACTGAGGGCGGAAGACTACACGTAGAGCGGAGGTAGCCAAAGACTTTAAGAAAAAAAACTATCCCAACCAGCGAGATCCTAATTTCGGAAATATATTTTTGGCTGACTCGTCGTAGGTGGTGGGTTAAAAAGTGAAAGCTGCCATGTCACGGGATACTTTACCCAACTAAGCTGTTGAAACAGGCAGAAGGTATTACTTCTTTATGATTATTGATACCTGCAATTGCCTGATCGATGACTTCCTCCAAAAGGTATGTCAATTCATTCATTCAGCCTAATCAACGAAATGCGGAGAAACACCCCATCCCGAGCACGTGACTTATACTATCTCCGCAAAGGGCTGTATCTGCTCAGTTGACCCGCGGATGTTAGTTTGAGTTCCGTGTTCCGCTCCAAGCCTCTGCACTCGGAGAAATCCAAACACCCCGGAGTTGTTCTCTGGAATCCGTGTACATCCTACGGCTGAAAGTCGGATTTGAAGGAGTTTACCGGAGAGCAGCAGCTTCTCCGGCCCCACATAATATGACCAATAAGCTTGCATGTTAGCGTCGATTGACTGGAGCGATGTATATGTCACAGATAAACTGTATTCGGATTACATGTCGATGCGAAAGATTCCGATACTGCCCTTGGCGCATGAGGTCGCAGACTGCACATTCAGCATCTAGCCATTATCCAATGTTGGCGTTGATGATTCCGGATACCATTGATAATCAATTCCCAGGCCCGGGGGATGCGCCACCTTCTTACTGGCCAATCTAAATGAAAGTCTCCTGCTCTATCCTCTGCTGGGCCGGTAATGAGAAATGTCTGCTACGTGAGATTCATGCATCACCTCAGCCAAGAACCTTCATTTGACACTCAGTAGGTTTTGATTGCCGGTGTAACTGCAGGTCATGTTGCCCGTAAGAACATCTATATTCGTCTATTCCGAGGTTCAGACCATTTACATAACCGCAGCGTTTTGTCCGTTGGTTCTTGGGTAAGGTTGGTATTGCGTTGACGCTATGGGTTGTTGCATGTGTCAATGCGGAGTCAATTCCAAGCTTCAATGACTCACTAAGTCTTATTGTAAGCTGAATCTTCTCACCTTCGTACATAGCAGTCATTAATTGGTCTTACACAGCTCCCTCTTTGGAAGTGTCTTCAGCTGTGAGTTCATCAAACCCTGTTTCAGATCGCTCATTTACTTACAGTATCATCCTAAACATACTTTCCGCGATGTTCTGGCTGCACTTCAGTAAAGGTCGCTACTTCTCTACGCGAGCCAAAAGCGCATTGACAATCATCAATGTCGGTGTTCTAGTCATTGGATTCACCATTGTATGTGAATTTTCCTTCTCATTTGACAGTCTGCTGATAAGGATTCTTCAGTGTGGACTGGGATTATACGATTATACGTGTCTGGAAGATCTATCAACGAAAGTACTACCAATTTCAGTTGGTCCTGTGCCGACAAGTCCAAGTCCTAGGCGGCGTGGCTTGATATGAACCGTTTCAAAGACTACTGGAAGACTGCCGGACCCTTCATATCATTTCTTTTCCAAAGTGCTTTTTATAAGAGCGAAACTAAAGAAAGGTCGTCTAGAATTCTGGTAATAGATCGGTTGAATTTTTGAAAACTTGCGACCTTTTATGTATCCGGGACCATATGCTCCACAGAGCCAGTTTGGGCGTATTAGCTCGTTGATATAATTCTTTGAATATGATCAACTGCATTTTGGCAGAAAATTGATTGAAGAAATGTATAAAAGTAGAAGTAGGTAGAATCGAAGTCAAAAAAAGTATACAAAAGAAGACAATGCCTTCCAGAAAGAAAGAAAGTCACCAATCCAAGTTCAAAAGCATGATGCTGTATGCAAGCCACCCCTTTTAATCAAGCTCCTGTTTTTTATTCGAAAACTAGCTCTTTACAGGCACTGGGAGTAGTAAGGGTTTTGCTCAACGCAGGTGTAACCGCTCTCGCAGGCAGTAGCGCCAGTCCAGTTCAGACCACCACACTGGTACCAGTGAGGAACGGTGCCGGCCGCGGCGCCTGTGGTGGAGCAGGAAGCGGCGGTGCTGGTGTTCGACTGAGTGGACGAGGTTTTGGTGATCAGTGTGGTGGTGGCCGCGGGAACGGTGGTGGTCTGGGCGGCAGGGCTGGAGACTTCAACCTGGCTGTTGGGAGCGCTGGTGACCTCGACAGGAGCGGTAGTAGATGTAGAGGTGGTAGTATGCTGGACAGCTGTGGTGGTAGCGCTGGTGGTAGCGACAGTGGTGACGGTGGTGGTGGTGGAGGATGAGGAAGAAGTGGTAGAAGTAGAAGACGAGGACGAAGACGAGGAGGAGGAAGAGCCGCTCACGAAGTACTTCTCCAGGATAGGCAGGTAGGTCGAGTACGCGGGACCATCAGTAGGCTCGAGCGAGTACATGTAGGATCCCCACCAGGGACCAGCAGCCCACCACTCGGCACCCATCCAGACATCGGTGTTTTCGGACATGTAGGAGAGCATGCCCTCGACGGCGGACTCACAGACAGAGTTGACACCACCGGCGAACTCACCGATGAAGCCCTTCTTGCCGTTGTCCTTCAGCCAGGTGGTGGCGGACTCCAGGCGCTCCTGGCCAATGGTGCTGCTAACGCAGGTCTCAGAGGTACCGGAGCTGTCGGAGTCGAGATACTGGTGCATCTCGTAGACGATCTTGTCCTGGGGGTCGGTCAGACCCTTCATGTTGTCGTTGTTGCTGGTCCAGGACCAGGCGCCGGTCCAGGCATTGCCCTCGACGAAGATATACTGGGAGGTGGCACCAGCGGCACGGATACCGTCGATGGCAGCCTGGTTCAGGTTGAGGACGAGGGTCTGATCCATGTCGTGGTACTCGTTGTCTAGAGGTAGTGTATTAGTCACTGTTGAGTAATCTCGATGCTGGCAAAAGACTTACTGGTATCAAAGATGACCTTGTCGTTGGAAGCAAACTCGGTAGCGACGGTCGTCCACCAGGTCTTGAAGTTGTCGGTAGAGGAGATGACACTGCCAGAGCTGTTTGAGATGTCAATATCAAGGCTCGAAGATACAGAAGAAAGGATGAGATTTCATACTATCGGCCATAGTTGTGGGGGTCAAGGACGGCGTAGGCACCGCTTGCGGTGATGAAGTTGACGGTCTATCATGCAAAGAAACCCCTAAGTTAGTCCATGCTTGAGGCTCTTCCTAGCCATTCAGAACGGATCCGTCACGTACAGTCTTGAGATCAGCGAGGTAGGTCGCATCCAGAGTACCAGTGATGCTGCCAGGCACCAGGCGCTCCATCAAGAAGGGAACACGGAAGATGTTCATGCCAGCATCGCGCAGGACCTGAATCTTGGAAGTCACCGGCCAGGTGTAATCCGTTCCCAAAGTACCAGGGATGGCGGATCCAAACTCGGCACCAGACTCGCTGACACCGACCCCTACTTGCCATTAGTATCATGTGTCTCTCTACAGAAGCCGTAAATGTCCAGCTCACCAAGGGAGAGACTTACAGGTAAAGCCAGTAGCGCGCTTCTTCTCAATGCTGCGCTTGTTGGGCATAACGTCACGGCCACGGGGATAAGCAACGGCCATGCCAGCAGCGCTAGCGGCCAGAACCATGTTGGTGAACTTCATTTTGAAGAATTGGTAGAGAAAGAATGACTATGAGTTTGTCGAACGAAAGAATGTGAAGCCCAATGGGTTGTAAAAAGAAAGAAACGACCAAGAAACCAGTCTTGATGCTTAAAGGAAAGGAAGGTTAACAAAGTAATAGAAGTAGAAGAAGCCAAGCGACTGTGAGGCCTCATGCATTATATAGCTCGACATATTGGAAGAGGGGGTGGGCGTCAAACAGGGTAGACCATTGGGTTCGGTTAAAGCGAGCGAAGCATCTGATACACGGAGTGGGTTCGTCATTCGAGGTCCCCTCTACATGCCAGAATGAGAATAACCGCCATTCGGCCGGGCATGGAATAAGGGCTGGCGGAGGCTAGCCTTGCAGGGAATCAAGAAACCAATAGTTCCTCCACTTTGATGGATCTGCTGGGTGAATATTAGCGATGGCTTGGGGCCACTGGATCCAGCATGAACAGGCTGGAACGGTCCTGCTCTGGCCATAGTCAATCTAATTTTCATTGCGTCGTTGCCTGATGAGGTTAGTCCATGAGCAATCTAGCCATAAGATATTAGGCTAGCACGGAGATCCGCCTGCGGTGGGCACTGGGCAGACCGTTATACTCCGTATTGTGATGATAGAGGCTGCCAAAGTGTGGAGTGGAAATTGGTCGACTTAGTTTGACGCAGGGCCCACAGGGGATCAGGGTCATTTCGCGAAGCGCCGTATAGAACGACTGGGCAAAACCCATAAGTGGAAGAATGCCAGGAAATTATTCCGGTTCCAGGGGCGGTGGGCTCGGCGTTTCTCCTATTGTGGAAGACACCGAGAAACAAGGGGAAGAAAATGGTGCCGGGTAGATGAGCAGGCTCTTAAGCTGAAACATGGCGGACTACGGCGGATCGTTTAGTTATGAGGGTCGGTGAATAGTTCACTCGCGCTTAGCCTGAATGGTTTCGGAAGCTCCTTTGCGAACTGATCTCATATAATTGTCCTTGACAGGGTAAGCATATATAATAATATGGGTTATCAGGATAAGTGGAGTTGATATTCAATTACACCGCTTGGAAGCGAATCCAAGTCTAGTTAACTGTATAACACGCAGGCAACAGGGAATGTCGATTATGTCCGCAGGATCCCTGTCTCTTTCGCATCCTCGGATCACTGAGGTGATGCCTGTTTCATCATGAGCATATCACGTCAGAGTCTACATTTGAGCCACGGTCGCTGCAGGGCAGATCGGTCGTGGCCGGCTAATTGCTATTGTTCGACGTGAAACTCAAAAGACCGATCGCCTTGTCCGACGGGCACGGCCTTGGCATCGTTATCATACAGGGTCCGCTCAAAATACCGAACTCGACCATCGGGCCGAGCCAGGATAATTGTCTGCCTCTGGGTCCCGTACAGGCCCGTGGAATAATTCTGGTCCAGGGGTCCGATGGTCTGAGGCTGCTTCATTTCGTCCTCAACGCGGGCGGCCGCGACATCTTCGGCCGTTCGGTTGATATCGTCCTCGGCCCCGATCACGGGAACAAATATACTCTTCCGTAGGTGTGGGATGTAAGTGTCGACGTTGGTTCCTTCCGGTAGTCGCGGCAAGGTGTCGGTGCTGAGCACCCCAAGGAGCCGCTGGAGTAGGATCTCCTCATCTTCCTGAGCTTTCACATGGTCCTCGATAGCACGTTGCATGAGGTTTTCACCAATTAGTATCTTAGGCCATGTCCGATCATCGACACTGGTGTTGCTGATCCCTCGGGTTTGATTCTTCTCCGCGGCTACCCAGGTGATTTGGTCCATGTCGGATGAACGGTTGGAGACAATGGCCAGGGGTTCATTGATCCGACCACAAACCAGGCTAAATCCCCCAACTTGCTTGGCTTCCGGGCTGGCGACCATCTCCTGGACAAAGCTGTGGGTGGTCTGACCCTCGCTCGGGGAACTGGTGAGCCAGCTGTTGACAATCCGGCCACGGCTATGTACCCCGACGGCCTGGGCGCAACTATCCTCGCGGTAGTTGGTGAGCACTGCTACTTTGCCTTGCTTGGTGACTCCCATCCAGGTGCCATGCGTGGCTCGCGCCAAGTCGCGTGAGCCGAGGACATGCGAAGCTGGCTCCGGCCACCACTCTGGCAACGAGGTTGGTCGTCGAAGGAATTCCTAATCATAGTTAGTAGAAGTACCACGAATCTGTGATTATCAACCACGCACATCTCTATTGTCAATAATGATCAACGAATAGGCAGGGTGGGCGGTTGAGACCAGTACGATACACATTGTTTAGTTCCGAGGTTCTTGGGACACCTGAAGCGGGGAAGGGTAAACTGGCGGATATGCGCAAACACGACACAGTAGTTGGAAGAAGTAGGGTGTATCTGCGATTCGCAAGGTATTCACAGGATTGCAAAATGTAACAGAGGGCCGCGAGCGAAAGAAGAGACAATGTCAGCGGGCATGCAAGCGCCTTGGGCCTCGGGTGATTGGGCCGATTGTTGAGAGCCGCAGCCAGTCGTCGGTAGTGGCACGTCGATCTTGGCTCGTCCCACAGAGGTCAACCCTTATGAACGACGAATATGTCGGCTGTATTATTGCGACCTTGAGAATGCTCGAGATAAATGGTCGGTGATGACTAGTGATTTCTCCGCAGACCGTCCTGGCATTCGGAGAAGGGCAGAACCAGCATCTCGCGTGACGTCAAGACGAGCCGTTGATCGGAAGCATGACCGCCTCGAGATGGACGGGGCAAAAGCTGATCACAGATCTCCACAGCTCCACGACTCAAATCTATCTTGTTGCTTCCATCCCTATTCCTGGTTCTTCTTTCTCTGCTCTTCTTTGAGCTTGTAAGAATCGATTTTTCGATGTTTCAGAAATTCGGGGTCCACCCTATCTAAGCCTGCTCAGCCCTTCCTTCAACCACCGCGTTGGAGAGAGCTGCCTGATTGCCCACCGCCGATTGTCGACCCCTCTTGATCTTCGCTATCTCAACTCCCTACGACCTCCTATACTCCTCTTCCATCATGTTCGGCATCTTTGCGGACTTATTGTCGTAAGTCCTCTTCTCAAGCGTCTTCATTGAACTCTCTGTTTGCAAAGTGGTCCAGCTACTAACTGCCCTTCAATAGCTCCGTGATCACCATCCTCTTCCCCATCTTCGCTTCCTACAAGGCCCTCCGCTCCGCCGATCCCTCCCAACTCGCACCATGGCTGATGTACTGGGTCGTACTGTCCGTCGTACTGCTGGTAGAATCTTGGACAGTATTTATTATCGGATGGTATGGCTTTTGCCGATCACCTAGCTGTGAACCCCGGGCAGCTTCGGAAGCTAACGGCGGTTTTTTCTCTACAGGTTCCCCTTCTATAGCTGGATCCGCCTCTTTTTCTTGTGCTACCTCGTTCTTCCCCAGACTCAGGGAGCCCGCCTCATCTATCAAGACTACGTTGATCCCTTTTTGACCCACCACGAACGCGGGATCGAAGAGTTCATCGGTCGGTCACACGAGCAGGCCAAGGCATTGGGTCTACAATACTTCTACAAAGCTATCGATTTGATCCGAGAGAAGGTAATGGGCCTCCCCCCACAACAGCCCGCGCCACCGCCACCCTCGGGGCCCGCTGCCTATGCTCAATCGTTGCTGTCGCGTTTCAACATCCCGACTGCCGGCGCTCCAGCTGCGCCCGGAGCACCGGCTGGCGCACCAGCAGCTACCACCGATTGGTATTCGATCCTCGGTTCTGCCCTGGGGTCCGTCGCTTCTGCAGGCAGGCCCCGTGAAGCACGAGAGGAGGAGCTTTCCGCCAGCGGTACCCTTCTCCAGCGCAAGTTGGAAACCATGTCCGGTGCCGAGAAGGCCAGCTATATCTCCAGGCAGCGGGAGGTGCTGGACTTCCTACGCTCGACTTTGAGTCGGGAGGAGCAAGCGATGAGTCCGGATGAGGCCGAGAATGATGATCTGGCGTACGGTGCTCCGCTGCGGAAGGATCCTAGCGATACCTCCTTTGATGTAGTGGACGATGAGGATTTGGGGAGTCGCGGTACTGCTACTCGACGGAAGAGTAGTCGGTGGACATCAGGCTGGATGGGTAACGAGCATGATTCGTCGGGTTCATCAGGCACCGACAACGCTGCCCGTGCGTCCGGGTATGATCGATACTAGTCTTTGCCTTTTCTTGCTCGTTGGGTAGAGGATAAGAAGCCAAAATCAAAAAGACGCTCAGAGAAACATCACAGCTGCCAGATACTCAGGACTAAGCTTGGGCAGTGAGAAATGACAAATCAACGGCATAGTAATCCTGATTGCTGCTGCGGCAAGACGGGTTTAACGAACGGAGTTTATGTATAATGCCAGTCGCTGGGCGGGCGCAAAGGCCCTCTCGTCCTACCATGCTTGCGGCACATAGCGACCAGAGAGATCAGAGCACTAGTGACTGGGCAAATGTACACCTCACGTCTCGCATAGTGTGTAGTGATCCATCTGACAGCCGAGGGCCAACTGGTGGAGTGGCTCAACCGAATCAAATCGGTCGGAAGAATTTGAAATGCTGCACGTCGAGAAAGTTCGCTGCAAGGCGGGATCGGGGAGAATCGAATGTCGATCCTAGAAATGTACGGAGAATGGAAGTGATATCATTCAATAATTGTGTACTCCTTATCCTGCAATAGACTATCCCTTCTGGAGGACTGCCAAGGGAACCTACATGGGAAGGTAAGGTAGTACAGGGCCGTATCCCTTCTCGGAACAATGAACATCCACACCCAACGGCCAAAGAACGAGTCCGAGAAGAGTGGTCTCGTCCCAGGAATGCATGTCGTTGTCTTTGCACCAGTCTGTCGAATAATTGAGTCATACGGCCTCAGAGCATGTCGGACACGAGAAGAGAGTTGACCAAGTAGGCTTAGTGGCTGAGTCGACTGGTCAAGGTGCTTTTGACGGGCCACTCTGACTGGTACCTAACGAACGAACTAACTTGCTTGTATAGTTAGAGTCACTTATATGGAGGGTATGAATCAGTCTCACTTGTAGCTTGGCGATGCTGGGTAGGATAATGACGGAGCTAGTTGCACTCATAGTCCGTGATTTTTGTCGTGGTTAGCTCTTTCTGGCTACGTTGTTAATATTCCCACGTCAACCGTGGCGAAATGGAGCCCCAACTGGGGAACCACCCCAAGATCCACTTCATTGTTCAGTTCAGTTCTGGAGTCCCGAGTGTCCAAAGGGGGGACGGTCTCCAGCATTTTCAGAGTCGACCCTCGATCCAAATACTTCAGAGGTAGCTTCAAGTAGTTTCTCATCAACTAAACTAAATCCCCCCATTTTGGAACCCCGTGTTTGCCTCCCTGAGGCATCTTCCATCAACCCGGGCAACTTCGCCGATGTCATGGTGGCGGCGCGGTTGGTCGATACTGTAGAAAACACCATCCCCGACCATCACCGAATTCCTCTCTCTTTTTCCCTCTCCTTTATTTTCTCAAGTCCGATCGCTTGAGAAAGGACTTGGCTTCTTGAATCGAAAACCTGTCCCTTCATCGGTGAGTTCGTGGCCTGGACCGAATCCCTTTTGCTTCTTCCTCCTCCACCCGAAGACTTTTTTTTTTGTTCCCACCGAAACAACTTTTTTCCAGCGTGGATTTTTTTCCCTTCCCACACACCCCCCCAACTTGGAATTATTCCACCCCAAACCCTTGACCCTCACCTCTCTCCGGTCCACGCGCTGCATCTCCCCTGCTGCGCCCCCGGTCTTGTCATCTCATTCATTTGATTTGACTCCCTCTAACCTTTTGAGATTTTCCTCTCGCAGATCTCAGGTTTGGATGTGGCATCGTCAAGCCCCGTCCACAACTTGACATCACCCTCGTCCAACCTCTCCCCCGCGATCTTTCTCCTCTCCACTCGACAAGAGAAAAGTTTCCTTCCGAATCCTCTCCTCTACGCGTGTGACGTGGATACCACCTGTCTAATGACCTCGAACCCTCCTCAGTCGGGCGTTCAACCAGGACACAGCACCGCTACCTCCGCCTCCAACCCGTCCGTCGCTTCATCCTCCCCCTTGGCTGCCACGACTCCAGCAGCCAGGTCCTACGCCAGCGCCACGAAGAAGTCCACCACGGACTCCTCCGCTGCTCCCGTCACCGTGGGTGGCTCGGCGCAACATGGGAAGTCGACTCCCGGAACTTCACTGAACGGCAAACCCATGCAAAACCAATCCTCTCAGCAGCAGGCTCAGTCTGGGGTGACCATTGTCAATGGCGCTCCCACGGCCCCTGCTGCTGCACAAAATGACCACTCTCGAAAGCCCTCTGTGACCATCACCTCTGCTGGTGCCTCGGGATACATGCCCAACGGGGGCCCTGCTGGCCGGCCCAACTCTCTTCAGTTCGGCTTTGCCAACCAGCAAAGCTCCCCCAACATGGGTAACCCAGCTGTCCTGGCCTCTACCCAGGCCCAGTCTGGCCTGGGTGCGCCATCGACCAACCCGCGTGTCACTTCGCCTCAGACTTCCCCGTCGCCTATCCCACAACCCGCCTCCAGCGGTGGTCGTCCCCCACCTTCGACCTACCAGGCACAGGGTAATGTTCCTAACTTTGGCAGCTTTGGAGAGAATGCAGGTGACAACAATGTAAGTGAAATATCTTAATCACTATTCTTGTGCTATTTTGGTGTGTCTGTTGCTGCGTTGATTTTTTGGGGGGATTTTTTGGGGGGTGCAAACTGGGTTGTGTGGTGATGTGCCGTGGCGTATGTGAAGCGCGCGGGAACGGCAACGCGACCGCGCATCATCCCTCCTATCTTTTACGATTTTCCAACCTTTTTTTTTTCTTTTACTCTTTTTGGCGCTTCCCCTCTCCGCCTTTTTTTTTCTTCCAACTGCTTGCTCACATACATGCGCCTCTCTTCACAGGCACCTCTCGGTCCCGGCCAACAGCACGTCCGTCGCGAGTCCTCGCAGTCAACCCATAGTGACATGAGCAACCACATGGGTGGTGGTCCTGGCCGTGGTGGCTACCCTCACCAGGGTGGCCGCGGTCGTGGATACTCCCAGTCTGGCTACCAAGGAGGACAGATGCCCTACTCACCAGGCCCGAACTTCCGCCAGACACCTAACCAGCCTCGTGGTGGTCACAATATGGGTCCTCAGTTCCACGGCCCTAACCAGGGCCGCCCGATGCCCCCCTTCCCCAACTCGCCACACCAAGCCAACCGCAGCCCGGCTCTCGCCAACGCGCACCCTACGACTCCCCAGATGAACCAAGTCCCTATGGCCCACCCGCAGATGCCTCCCCAGCCCTACCCCGGCTACGGACAGCACATGGGTCCCCAAACAGTGAGAAACCCGTCCTTTCCCCGTCAAACCCCCAAACCCGCCCGGCGTGGCAACCATGGCAATAACCCCAGTCATTCAAGCTACCGTGGAAATCGTGGAGACTATGGTGGCTTTGGCAGCTATGGGCGATCCCGTGGAGACAGTCGCCCTACTGCGGTCCCAATGCCCTCAATCCCCTTACCAGATCTTGCTCCGGAGAGCGGTCAGTTTGAACAATGTCTAACATGGGTCAAAAACAATCAGGGCTACCCTCCGAGCTACGACCCCAACTACGGCTTCTACCCAGGTGGTTATAACATGCAGAATATGCAGTACATGACCCCTCCTTCGCCGCAACCTCGCCCGGGCATGCCCTACAACCCCCAGGGCCCGTACATGCAGCAGCAATACCCCGTGCAGCCTCCCCCTCAGTCGACCCCGCTCTCGCGCACCCCATCCCAAGTCTCGGCTGACCGTCCGGGCTCAAGCCTTGGTCAACCCGCCCCAGCTGGTCCCCCCGGCGCGGGTCACACTCACACTGGTAGCAGATCATCGAACAGCCCCGTCCCCCCCAAGCCTAACTTTGTCATTCCCGCCAAGAAGAGTCCTATCATCATCAAGGACCCCAACAGTGGCAGCGTGAAGACCTTCGACAAGAACCCCGCCTCTCCTGCTCGTGCTACTCCCTCTCCCGTGAAGATCGCCACCCCTACCGCGACTCCACCTCCCCGAACCTCGAGCGCTGCCGACCACTCGCGCGCTGATAGCAAGGCCAGCAGCACCAAGACTGACGAGGAGAAGAAGCAAGAGTTGAAGGATGCTGTGCGCCAGAAGATCCAGGAAGACGAGGCAGCGCAGAAACGAAAGGCCGAGGAGGCTGCCCGCAAGAGCGCCGAAGAGGCTAAGGCCGCCGAGGCCAAGCCTGCCGAAGCCAAGCCCGTTGAGACCAAGCCCGTTGAGACCAAGCCCGTCGAGACCAAGCCCGTCGAGACCAAGCCCGTCGAGGCCAAGCCCGTCGAGGCCAAGAAGGAGGACGCCACCGAGTCCGCTCGCGCCGCTCTGGAGGGCCTGAGCTTGAAGGAGAAGGCCGCCCCTGCTGAAGAGCCTAAGAAGGCTCCCGCTCCTACTTCCGCCCCCGCCCCGGCTCCCCCTGCTGATGATGACGAGATCGACTACGATGCCATCGAGCGTGAAATGGCCGAGATTGAGGCCAAGGAGCGTGCCGCTGAGGAGGACTACAAGCGCAAGAAGCAAGCCAAGAAGGAGGAGGCTGAGCGCAAAGAGCGTGAGGAACGGGAACAGTACGAGCTCAACATGAAGAAGGCCGAGCAGGAGGCTGAAGAACGTGAACTCGCTCGTGAGGCCGCTCGTGCCAAGGGTGTTGACACCACTGAGGATGAGGCCAGCCGCAAGGAGCGTGAGGATCTCTTCGCTTCTCTCAGGAAGGGTGGCATCACTGCCACGGAAACTTCCACCCCTGCCGACAGCGGCGCTGCCACCCCCGTTTCGTCTGACATGTCCATGGGCCCTCCTGCTAAGCCCGCCGGTGCTGCTGCTGCCAAGAAGCCCACTGGTCTGAAGCTCGACACTCCCAAGCCCACTGAGCCTCCTCAGCCCAGTGCCGCCATGAAGTCCCTCCAGAACGCCAAGTTCCTGGAAGACCTCAGCAAGGTCACCTACCCTTCTTCCGTCAATGCCCCCGATGCCTCCCTCAACGCCAACTCACCCGCCGGCCGCCGATTCCACTACGACCGTGACTTCCTGCTCCAGTTCCAGGCCGCTTTCAAGGACAAGATCTCCGTTGACTGGGACGCCCGTGTGCGCGAGACTGTAGGCGATAGCGACGCCTCCTCCCGGCCCCAGTCGGCCCGCACCCCTAGCATGGGTGGCCGCAACCCGTCTCATAAGGGTCTTGGTGGCTTCCCCGGTGCGCCCATGGGCACCTTCGGTCAGACAACTCGTCACAGCATGCCCCCTGTCAACCCGTCTCTGGGTGGTGGTCGCAACACATTCGGTAACTTCGGTCGTCCTGGTATGCCTGGTATGGGTGGTCCCATGTCTCGCAACCCGTCTTCGAACATGCCCATGTCTCCTCGTGTGGCATCCAGCAAGGGTGGTGCTGGCAGCAAGCGTGGCAAGCACGGTGGCAAGAAGGAAGAGGACTCCAACAAGTCTATGCCTCTTACCGCCGGTATGGAGCTGAAGGCTCTGCAGCAGAGTTCTACTGGTTGGAAGCCGCGTAGCGTTGGTGCCCAGACTGCTGGTCCCGCACCTGGTGGTGAAGGTCACTTGGCCCCCGACGTTGTGCAGCGTAAGGTGAAGGCTGCGCTGAACAAGATGACACCCGAGAAGTTCGACCGTATCTCCTCTCAGATTTTGGAGATTGTGTCTCAGTCCAAGGACGAGTCGGACGGCCGTACTCTGCGCCAGGTCATTCAGCTCACCTTCGAGAAGGCTACCGATGAGGCTCACTGGGCCCCCATGTATGCCAAGTTCTGCAAGAGTATGCTGGAGAGTATGAGTCCTGAGATCAAGGATGAGAACATCCGCGATAAGAGTGGCAACATTGGTAAGTCTCAATCTTAAACCCCTTCTGTCCTCGCTTTGGTTTGATGCATTGCCGTATACTAACACTTTGTCACTAGTTACTGGTGGTTCCCTGTTCCGCAAGTACTTGCTCAACCGTTGTCAGGAGGAGTTCGAGCGTGGCTGGAAGGTCAACCTCCCACCCAAACCCGAAGGTGTTTCCGATGAAATCGCTATGCTGTCTGACGAATACTACATTGCCGCTGCCGCCAAGCGTCGTGGTCTTGGTCTCGTCAAGTTCATTGGTGAGCTGTACAAGCTTAACATGTTGACGGAGCGTATCATGCACGAGTGTACCAAGCGCCTGCTCGACTTTGAGGGTATTCCTGAGGAGGCTGAGGTTGAGTCTCTATGCAACCTGCTGCGCACTATTGGTGCCAGCCTGGATGCTTCTGAGAAGGGTCCTGCCATGATGGACGCTTACTTCGCTCGCATCAACCACATGGTTGACATGGCCGGCTTGCCTAGTCGTCTCAGGTTCATGTTAATGGTTCGTTCACCTCATTTCCGGCTTTCGATCTGTTCTTTGAGGGTGCACGTGAAACTGACCTATGTTTTTCTTCTTTAGGATATCATTGACCTGCGTTCCCAACGGTGGAAGTCTAAGGATGCCGACAAGGGTCCCAAAACTATCCAACAGATTCGTGAGGAGGTACGTTCCTCTCTCTCACTTCCCAAATTTGCTACAAAAAAAAAGAGTTTTAATGACTAACTTGGTCAAAACAGGCTGCCCGCGCTCAGGCCGAAGCTGAGATGGAACGTCAACGCCAACAGGCCAACCGTGGTGGTGGTGGTGGTCGCCCGGCCATGGGTCGTGGTGATGCCCGTGGCTTCGGCTACGGTAACCAGGCTCCTCCTCCCGACTATGCTTCCAGCAAGGTCGGCAGTGATGACCTGCGTCGTCTGCGGGCTACCCGCAACACCAACCAGCCGATGTCCTTCGGCCCGTCAAGTCTGCTTGGCTCTCGCAGCAGCAGCGGTCGGAAGGGCCTTGGCCCTGGTGGCAACCTGGTTCGGGGCAGCGATGACAGCGCTGCAAGCAGCCGTACTGGTACTCCCCCTGCTGGTAAGAAGGAGGACAAGGAGGCTGCGTCATCAATGAATGCTTTCAGGTAAATTATCACTTCCAAATCGCTTCCGATATGAAGGGAACCCCACCCTCATTCCCTTTTAAGCAACATACTAATCTGATTTTTGTTTCGTACAGCGCCCTCGCCAGTCTGGAAGATCGGGATAACATGGCAACCTCACCCCCGTCCAACCCGACTTCCCCCATGCTTACCAAGTCGCAGCCCGCCACCGCGGAGCGCCGGCCCTCAAAAACCCCCTCGAAGGACGGGGAGGACGCAGCATAGATTTTGATTCCCTAGGTGTTAATGATCAACGTTTTTCCATTGTTCTTTGTTCACCCAAAAGATTTCCCTTTCTTATCTCCCCTTGCCTTTTTCTCCCTCTCACTGTTCATGTTGCTCCCATTGCGAATCTGCTTTTCTAATGGCCGTCCTGACCTTGCATTCCCTCCGACTGGTCGGGTTTCTTCTCGCCTTCGTCCCCTTATCTTTTTTACCTCCCTTTTTTTATCGGGACCTTCATAGTGTACAATTTTCACACCTTTTATTTTTCATTTCTTTCCTCTTCCTATTTCCGTTTTCTTATTAATCCGAGTGGATGGTGAAGCTGTGAGAGCCTCCCCTTTATACGCCGATCTTGCCATGTATCTTTGCCGCGAAAGGGATATGATGCGGGAGTGGTAAAAAGGGAGGGCGGTAGTTGGTAGGACACGAAAGGAGAAGGTCGTTGCTCGTAGGGGGGATGAATATGGAATCTGCGGTTGCTTTGCAGAGGCTGCTCTGCTCTGCTCTGCTCTGCTCTGCTCTGCTCTGCTCTGTTCTGTTGGGAATGCATCATGATGGATGGGGATTCTATACTAGCATGTTCCCTTCTCTTTTCTCCTTCTCTGTTCTCCTTTCTTTGGTCTCTTCTTCCCTTCTGCTCTGTGTCTTCTCAATACCCGATCTCTCTCCTAGGATCTAGAAAAGCATAAGTATCATTTCATATCAAACCCTGATTCGTTCGTATTAACTGCCGGAGCGTATACTTGAGAACTGTGCCCATGCTTCGCATAGTGGGTGTAAGGCTCTGCGCATGGAGTTGGGTTAATATTTAGCTACGTGAGACATCCTTTGAGGGAGTTAAGTAGATACAGATTCTATTCTGGTATGAGCTATAGGAGAAATGAGGACGGTTGATGCGATAGAACTAGGACTGGATTGATTGGAGGGGAGAACATCTAATCTTGTGGGTATCATCAGGCCAGGTAATGAGATATGATGTAAGAGCGGTCCTGGCTTTGTACGAAATCATGCGTGTGCTCGAGCGCTACCTAAGGATGTGACGCATAGAAGATGCGACGAAAGTGAAATGCAGAGTATGAAAGATCCGATGAAAGAAAGATTCAATGGACGGACTAGAGTGATTGTGCATTTTCACTCAGCCTTGTCTGTGCCTTTCTCCTCATTTTCGTTTGAGACCTCTATCACGGGTATCGACATCCGTTTAGCGGTAGCATCAGTTGCTTCGGAGATCGGGTCTGTTGCACTTTCTTCCTTGTCTTGATGCTCTGACTCGTCTGAGGAATCTTCCTCCGGGGAGGGCGACTGTGATCGGGGCGGGGGTATTGGCGATGAAGATCGCCGCCGCGGTAGTTCGCTGTCCACAACACTCTCTTCCGAACTAGAGAAGCTACCGCTCAAGGGGCTTCTCATAAGAACAGAGTCTAGAGAATATGGGACAGGGGAGGTCGGGTCTGAATCTTCGAGGCTTAGACTGCTCCGATCTGATACAGATAAGGAGCTTCGCGAGGTATTGCGAGAGTACGTTGCCGGGAGTCCCAGGGCTTCAGCGACGGCAGCTTCTTCATCAGGTAGTTTGAGGGCGCTGCTCTCGGTACTGGAGCTAGTGTTGAATACACGGCTGCCACGTTTCTCGCTCAGTTCAAGAAGATGATTGTAGCTGCGTCGGGCTGGGTCTGCACGACGCTTCTTCTTTTTCTTCTCGCGCTTGGGTGAGGGGCGGACCACGATGACGGGGATTGGTGAATGCTGGACACAGTACTTGGAGACGGAGCCGGGTAGGAGACTGTGGACTCCTTTGAGGTTTCGGCCCCGGGTTCCGACGATGAGCATAACCGGCTCATAGATACGAATCTAGATTCGGTCAGCAGATGCTCCTGGGCATCAGAAACTACCTCACAGTGCCAGAAACTCACCATTCGTTGAATAATCTCCTCCACTTTCCCGACGACCAACTCCAAGACCAAGCTGATAGCCTTTTCGTCTTGGCTGTTCTTCTGGATGACCTGCTCGAACAGCCTCTCCGCTTCCTGGCGATACTTGCCCTCCTCGATTCCAGCATCGCTCGCCATACGCGAGTCCTTTTCCACCGCGCGCAGACAAACGATCTCATCCCCGTCAGCAACCAGCTCATCAATCAGCCAGTTCAGCGCAAAGTCGGAGTAATCATTCTGGTCCGTGCCACACAGAAACGTCCTGCTCCGTCGGGTACTCTGGTATCCCTTATGCTTGTAGTTGAGGGTCAACGAGAAATCTGCAGCGTCACGGTTATCAAAGGTATTGAATGAAACACCACGTTCATAGGTCCTGTTGTGAATCAGTACAGGGGGATAAAAGGCCACCACTTGCATCCGGAGAGGGAACAACGTACTTTGGCGGCGGCGGAGATGGCCCGCGACTTGTAGATGGAGCCCGCGGCTCTCTTTCCACATCTAGATCCCTAATGACTGGCGCATCTGCGTATGAAAGGCGCTTCTCCTTGATGATGTGGGAGCGACTGGGTAGTTGCGACTCCCCGTTGCCGACGTTGAATTGGATGGATCGTCGGCGCGGACTCTCACTTCGCGGGCTGGCTTCGAAGGAGATACTACGTCGATGGGCGGAGAGCGCGGGTGTATTCAAGCTTTGTCTGGACTCTGGTCTCTCTTCGGACTCGAAGGAGGGCTTGGGGGAGCTTTGGACGGACATTGTTGCAATGGCGGGGTTGACGACCGAGGTATTGAGAGTTAGAGAGGCTTACGCCGGGGAAGGCCTTTTCCTGCAGCGACCGCACGCTACAGCGACCGCTGGATTGGTCTTCCTTCCTCAGCTGTCAATAAGATCGAAATGCTGTCTTGGGCGTTGAGCGAACGGAGGGTTTGACACTCGGGGACGAAGCGAATGCCGCGGGAAACAATCAGGCCATGCGGATGCGGATGCGGACGGTATGCGGGGAATTCGGTGCGAGATTCAACGACGGTCAAGGTGGTAGGTGGAGCTATCAATCCGTGCAGGCGACCACATGTTTTGGAATGCCGGGGGTAGCTTTTTTCGGCGGAAGCTGGGATTGATGGTAACAGGCAATTGCAACAGGCGAACGCAGTGACGCTTGCAGCGAGGGGCTTGGCTCGAAGCCGCAGGCGGTGAGAGGGTAAGGTTATCGATAGCGATAGTGTGCATCCCGTGATTTGGGTCGGGGTTGATACTCCGTCGGGTATGCAGAGTTGGGAACTGAGTACAAAAAGAGTGGAATGGTTGTATAGTTTGATTACTTGGGATGAATTAGGACGAAAACTTTTCAACCAGACCGAAATTTGATACTACCCCTCGGTACATGCCAGCGAAAACTTAACCCGCCCATACTGATTTTCACGGACTATGTAGGCCGCCTTATCGGGAAATTGAAATCTAGTCAGTGTGTTGCGAAGTAGATCGCGAAATGAGCTACAGTGACGAAAACTCAGCATATTGAATGCAACTCTCTTAGATGTTATAGTCCAGTTCCAGTTACCCCCAGTAACCCTCCACCTCCCTAGTCTAGTGGTATAAGAAATCACGACTGCCCCGGCCAATTTTCCGCTAGACGGGCCGCTTCTAGGAAGGGGCTCTCTGAGATGGATCCAGGGCTACCTCATTTTTATGCTGGCCAGATATAAGACCACCCCTGCGGCCAACATTTTGTCTCCTTTTTTTTGAAACGCTTTTTTTTCATATCAAATCAATCCTTGAATACAGAAGAATGCGCTCGTCTTATTTCTGAAGTATTATTCGAATATCCGGAAGGGTGTGCTGTAGACTTAGATAGGGTTTTTATGCGAGCATTGGCATCCATTCTTTAAGCATCATTGAGTGTCGCGGGGGTGTTTGTATGGTGACGGAAGACGGGGGTTCGATTCACGGGGGTCGAGGGGTGTTTATCCTGGTCTTCAGGTTTGGTCTGAGAATCTGTGTCTAAGCACCTAGCACCTAGATCAGGAGATGCTAGTTATCGCAGCTGATGTGCTTGGGTCAGCATGTTCATACTGGTATTCCACATGGAGAAGAATTGTGATGCGAGATAACGCGATGTCCCCTATCCTATGGATCGGCTGGCATTTGGAGATACATCTGCAGATCCCATGTCGCTCACCATTTCCTAGCCAATAGTCGCAAAGATCTCAATAACCTCAATCTAATAGGTGGATTATTAGATCGACGGGAGATCTATTCAATAGTGTGCAGCACGAAGCATGACACTAACAGCCCCTAGTTACGTTAGTTATCTACAGTACGGAGTACAATTTGCTGACCTGAGCGCATTCCTCAACGTACGTAGATAACCTCACAGTCCCGAGCCCACTCGTGCATTATCTCATCGCCTCAGGTTTCCACAGCACACAGGCCTGTAACTTAAGCCTACCTCCTTCGTATATACCTACATCAATGCCTACTGCAAATCCACCATGACCCGTAAACACCCGTGCAGTCAATAACTCCCCAACAACTCCCCTCGCAATCCTGCACCCGTCCCAAATATGCACTATACAGAGTATGTATGCCCCGTGACATCCCCACTTCCCTCCCTAGCAAAACCCTTCACCAAACTAGCCTTGGTACTCACCCCATAGCGGACCGACTATGCCGACTTAGCCGCGAGGATCGGAGACTATCGCTGCTTGGCGTGGATCCATCCACCAGCGGTGAAGCCCATATGGCTCAGGGTTGAATTAGCGAATAATGTCACGACTACGGTAACTACTTGCTGCAGTCTCACAGGAGTAGGTACTGTACTCGCTGGGCGGTGGGGGAGCGCTCGGGGCGCCGTTCTGCAGTGCGATCGACGGGTCACATGCACTACTGCGCGGGTTTGGTTGGAAGGACTTGGTCAATTGCGGGTTTATGGAATTGCGGGATTGTATCGTGCTGACCTGCTGAGGTACCTACAGTTTAACTAACTACTCAGATGGTGTAAGCTAAACACTAACTTACTACTAAGTAGTTGAAGACCTCATTTTGCGCGGGGTTCATGTATCAGGGGGCAGTATCGACGTAGCCTATTTGATAAGGCGCTCTACAAAATATGGAATACATGTGAAGGACCAGGTTAGGAGCAGATACAGTCAGCACTACCAACCCCTCCATCTAGATAAGGAAATGACAAGGATCATGTTTGAAATGTTTTTGGCATGCATTGTTCGCAAGGCTTGATTGGTATGAGGGTATCTATGTACATGGACGGAATCGAGTCATTCCCACGATCCCTGGTCGGGATCCCAATTCGTTTCCCAACCCCCACTTTGGGTAGTCTCAACCTGCACCTCGCTCTCAGAGCGAGGGGGGAGAGCTGCCCGTGGTACATTTAGGCCACTTTCCAAAAGTCCAAGCAAAATGGTTCCATAAAAAAAGATTTGGCCGTAGCCGGAGAGAGATGAGAGGGTGGTATAAGAGAGTCGAGTAGGTAAAGAAGATGCGACCGAGGCAAAAACCAGTTATAAAACGCCTGGTATGAGGGAAGATCAAAGCAAGTGAAGCGATTAAGCAAAAGCGCTGGTAAAATTTCGCTTCAGAAAGGATAGTTGACCGGTTCAACTCGGTACTATTTGTTCGTAACAGGCGTGGGGTATCACAAAAGAGGAATCAAGATATCGCGAGTGGTATACAAGTAGAGAGACGAAATAAATGTATCGAGGTGTGTAAACCTTAGAACGCCTCGATCATCGTGCTCTGTTCTTGTGCAACGTAATACCCCGATTCAAACAGATTTGTTTGATCGTCTGTCAACGAGATGGCCGCGGCCGCGGCCGCCTTCTGATCGAAGGACTCCAGAACCGGCTGCAGCGGCGAGGGCGGCATGCTCTCGTCCTCGGACGAGTCGCCCGAGTCAGCCAGTAGCTCGGGCGGGGACTGCCGGGATGGAGACCGCGTCAAGCTAAGCTTCTCCAGGTCCTCTGCATCGTCGTATTCAAAGTCCGAGTCGGTATCGTCCTCCTCATCTTCCACCAAGGTCCCCTCGGGGATGGCGGCGAGGTTGTGCTGGGGTGGAGGTGGAGAGCGCAGGCGAACGGGGGTGTTGATGACGAAGTCATCCTCGTCAAAGTCGGAGTCATCTTCCTCGTCGCTGTCGCTGAGGTCCGAGTCCAGATCGGAGGCATCCTCCGGCTCCCAGGCTTCCTCGGGCTCTTCGACCACGGTCGATGCCCATTGGATGTGGTTGGACTTTTCTTCGCGGGAGGAGGTCTTGGTGGCACCGGTGACGGTCTGGTTGAACCAGCGTTCTTGCTCGCGCTCAGCGTCGGCCAGGTCCAGCATCAACGAGTCCAGCAGGTTGGCATGGCCGACGAGCAGGCGGAGATCGTGATCCGGCCGCGAAGCCTCACGAGTGAGCTTCTTGCGGGCGGTGTGGGCGAGGTAGTATGTTTGCGTGATGCTCATCTTCTTTTGTTGGCGGCGGCGGAAGAGGGATTCAAAGTATGGGGAGGCGGCAGAGGCGAAGGAAGACTCCTTGGAGAGGGGAGAGGAGGTAGTGGTGGAGGTAACTTGGGTAGCCTCCATGTCTGTGGTGGCAGTTTTGAGCTACTTATGAGCTCAGAATGGGTGATGACTCGGGTTTCTGCCAAGGTGGGTGACTCAGTCACGGGCGGTGAGCTAGGCAGGGGATAGCGCAGGTCGATCAGGTCGATCCAGATTGGTCGTCGTGGTGATGATGGGGATTGGATGTATCGAAAGTGGGAGAGACTATTGTGCCTATAGTGTATATATCGTGTGTGTTGCTGTGGATGTGGTATATCGTAGTGGTAACACGAAAAGGGAGAGACCGGGGGGAGGGGGAAAGAATGATGTTTATAAAATAAATTCCTCGGAGCCTGATGATTATTGCTGAGAAATGTCAAATCATATTCTTAATTATTATTATTATTTTTCTTACTCCCGTGTATCCGTTTTGCTAAAGTCCGGCACCCGATCGGAGCGCGAAGATCCCCACCGAGTTTATGCGCATCGCACTTGGTGGACCCCCCGAGACCGAATGGCCCGCTGATTAACATTATTAATGTGTGCTCTTTGAATTTTAAATTTTTCGAGTGCTGAACTCTATGGTTGTACGCAGGGAAGGGCCTGCATTCCAGTTCTACACCGCATCTCTGTACATACGACCTGTATACCATCTCGCTTACAGTCACGACCGTCACTACCGTGCAGCCATTGCACATTGTAGCAGTCCCGAGTTTTAGTCCGAAAGAATCATGGACTCGCTCATGTTCGTGAAATTGATGTATAGTGACTCACCCGGTTAAGTCCGTTTTTCGCCCATTTTTTTGGTGAGACCCTGAGCCCCACCCGTGGATGACCAATGCCCTCAGCTCATTCCCAGCCGGAGGGTCAGGGCGGTTATGACCGAGCCAGCTCGTAGTTACGCCCTGCTCCGGATCTGACGGGCTTTTCCTCAGGCTCACTCAGCCCTTTCCCAAGGTTTCCTCTCGTTTCCCTTTCCATGGCCTTCCCGCTCCGGCAATACGGAACACAATCGCCGATTATTCAACATGGCTCTTGCCTTGGCTCTGCCTTACGTTATGTCCGGGGAACCAACTCTAAACCCTTTCGAGCTAAATTTTTCTGCGTTGAGTGATTCTCGTTGGTCAATTTGGCAACCCCAGCGCTCCCAAGGTTATCTATCGCTTGACTCAGCATGATGATTTCCAATCATGGTTGATGATGTGCTATTATCAATCACTCAAGCACCTCATCCACGATTCCATCACGAGCGACCGCTGGTTTAGGTCCTCCCCGCAATTCTTCAGGACTGTAATAGCCTTTTAACCCAGCATCAGCATCATCATGACTGCCCTTATCTCACCATTGGTAAAGCCTTGGCTTGCCCAATGGGGTATCCCTCGCATTCCGCACGGTCCAGATGACAATAACAGTTAATTATCAATCACCGTCTCCTTAGATATCGTTATGGTCCAGAAGGCTTCTCTCCACGGTTCTCGTTGGCTCGTATTCCCAGCTCCATGGAATATTCTCTTTGCTGTTGATTACTACCTCCGTACTCTCTGCTTTATCGTCCAGTACACAAGTAGACCATTGATAATCAAGAAACTCACGGACCACCGCTCGTTCCAGTAATCCGTATTCGCATGACCATGCGGCTGCAAAAAGCAAAGACCTCCCAAGAAAATAGCCCAACTCAAGGCACCTCGATTATTGGCCTTGGCTTCTTCCCCAGACATTGACAACTGACAGGCTGCAGCGAGACGTGGAGGGCTGTCGCTGCGGAGGCAACAATTGACATACGTCCTGTACATGCTGTACTCTGTTCTCCAGTCTACAATACCTCGCTTCTTGCTGGACCACGTACTCCTCCTTGCAGACCGCAGCCTCAAGGACAATGGCGGAGTAAGGCAGAACAGGCATCCCAGCTCCGTCATTGTCAAAGTGGGGGGCCCAACAGGGCATTTACTGCTTATGTCGCGAACAAGCGACCGTCAGCAAAACAGACAGGGCTAAAACCAAGGCTTGTTGCGAGTAAATCATGGCTGTGTCTCCGTGTGGAATGCCACGAAACATGAAACCGCGCCGCGTAGGGAGAAAATTGGCGGCTCAGCTCGTCATGGCGCCCAGAAGCCAAGCTAGACTCCCACCAGAAGGTTAAGCAGCCTGACGGGGGTGGCTCTGCAATTCCGTTGCGGCTGTTTACGGCGGTCTCGCAGTATATTCCCCTTCCAGGCCCAACGGGTTTCGTAGGTGGATGTCGATGAATTTGTTACCTAAGGCCCCCCACCATCCAGTTGGCCCACCAACTTTACGAGCAGCCCTATGATGATCTTCGGTCGCTGGTACGATTGTCTTAACTAGGCAGTAGTAGAAATCTGGTTGCTGGATCTCTGGCCGAACCCTGCGGATCATTCACTGCCCAGAGGGATGAGATGGAGTTGATCGTGTCGAATGGTTCATCTTCCCAAATATATCTCGTCCTTATCTGAGCATTAGGCTACATCATCACTGATCCAGAACAATACTAGTACCTGGAAACAAGAGTCATCACTGATGAAGCCATCGAGAGATCTAGAAGCCTCCACGTCCGAGCTCTCGGTGATTAGGGGTATATGGCTTCAGCCGCGCAACGGAGTTAGTAACGCCATGCGCGCGGATTTGCAGACAACACACACACACAGCAGACAGCAGACTGCAAATTGCACAGAGTAGACAACAAACAGCCTTGTCCAATGGGTCGACGGTAAGCAAGAGTCATAGCAGATGCGGGATTCGGATTCGTCCGAGGAGTTTGGCCGGGTCGGCCATTAAGTGGTCCGAACCATCAAATGGTCCCAATCGATGGGAGATCTGGAAAAATAATTAGAATTTTCTTTGGTCGCTCGGCGATTTGTTGCGGCCTTCCGAGGCTGATCCACCTCTGACAGGTCGATGATGTCAGTCATGATTCTCGGCCATTGCATGGGCTGGCCGAGACTTTTATGATACCATCAACAGAGAGAGTAATGAAGGCTGGTGATAATGTTGATAGGCTATGACTATGGTATATCTGGTCTCTTTGATAGTAGGTAAGTTATGAACGTGATTCTTCTTGTCTGGTCTGTTCGTCATTTTTTTACGGCGTACGGAGTAAACTGCGAGCCGAGGCTGTGTTCAATTCTGCCGGTAGTTTCAATTAATGTACCCCAGGCGGAGGTCATACTAGGCAGGCGGTCTACAGAGCATAATTATGTACACAAGACCATGCTCGAGATCTTGAAGATACGGACAATGATTCTCAGTGATTTGGGTCCAAGCAAAGACCAACGACAGGAAACTAATACATCGTCAAAAAGCTCCAATCCCTACTAGGCCAGTGGAGACTCAAATGCTGTCCGCATTGATGGCGCTTTTTTTAATGCACAAACCGCATTAAGACCCCGACTGCCTTACTTAAGCGGCTCAAGATCAGACCTACCTTCCAGTCTTTACTATCTATACATGTGGGACACAGAATGATCTGCCGGATGAGAATAATGAAATAAGATTCATGTACAATACAATATTCTCATGCAAATTATCACAATTCCACTATGTTTACGCATGACTCAACTTTGAAGAACTGCACAAACACAAATACAATCCGTCCGGAACCTTGGCGATCATCCTCGGCGACGGACCAACTCAAACAAAGTTTTTTTTAAAAAAAAATTTCGACAACCTCGCAGTCGCAGATCGGAAGCCCCGAACTCCGACGCCGACCAGCCACAGATCCTCCGTTTTGCTGTGGGTCCATTCAGTGCACAATTCTGACTTTTTTTCGTTATGCTCTCACGTCTCAGCCTCATCACCAACTTATGGAGGATTGTGGTTCCTTATCTCCATTTTCTGATTGCAAATCAAGATCCTTAAAACTTCCGAGGTTTGTCTACATACAGCGTATATACTCGCTAACATAATGTAGAGATATTATACATCTTGCTTTTCTTTTCTAGAAAGCGCGTCTATAGACAGACATACTGCAGAAATGAATCCTACCCACGTGTTTTCGGCCTCGGTCGTTCAAAATACTGCCCGTCTACACATCGTGGTACAATACTCCAGCCCTACCTCGTACCGAATGCTCCAGGAAACAGCATACATAACTCCGTACTTACCTATCTACTCCGCGCCAGGTACCCAAAGCCAAGCCTTGTAAACATAACTATGTACCTCGTGGCTTTCCCTTACAATCCTAGTCTCCCTGTGCCGGGTCCACATTCCTCTGCCACACGATGAGATCAACACCCCAGTCCACGCCACGATCCTGGTTACGGATGCTCGCGGGAGCGGGATCAACATGGCTCTACTCTGGTATGCGAGGGGATTCACAGGTACTGTCTTCCGTCTATCATGCCGTTCCGAGCCGAACATTCCTTTTGGTCATGCGCCATGCGCGAAAGAGCGAATACGTTCCGGTCGATGGGTTGGAGATCATCGCATGGGTCTGCTGACCGCGTCTGGCGGATGTTGCCGGGCTGGCCATGCTTTGCCTGCAGAATAAGCAATGCCTATACCGTCGACACTATTTAGTACAGGATAGTGTTATGCACTCCGTGCTCGGACGCTGGAGGTATGCACGAGCGACCGGATTGGTGTGCCGTCTATGCTCTTGGCTGTTGTAAGGCGTGGTGGGTCGTGGAAAGGGACGCTTATAGGGCTGTAGCAGAATGTGCCAGCATTGAAGCTGACTGTGCACCTTCTTCGTAGGAACCTACTAAGAATTTGAGGGTTCTTGAATTGCTTAGCTGGTTCGAGGCACATAGGTGACTAAGATGAGGCTCTGCATGGAGGTAATTCACGATAGTTTATACCTAGTACAAATTCGACTCTAGTGATAGGTTATCTAGGCATATATGGAACTACAACCTTATGATAGCCACATCTCTTTGGGAATTCTTTTAGTACAGAAACCTTATGTCAAGACAGGAGATTATTTCTTTATTTTCATTTTCCAAGCTAATATCATACAGCGATTTGGAAGCTCTTCTGATCAATGGACGCCAATCAGCGCAAGCCGGCTCTCCAGAGTCTTCTTCCCCAGCCAAATAAAAGAACGCATCGGCCCAACACCCGGCCAAAGGCCATTGGCAGTCCAAATTTAAACCATGTCAATGGCTTCAAGAGTGTGGTGCCCGGCACTACTATCGCATTCTCAGCTCCACCAGAGGACGACTTGACCTTGCCACTCTTTGAGTTGGTAAAAGCATCAACAGCCTCCAAAAGTATTTCCACTGTCAATTCAGGTTGGCTCAAAAAGGGCGAATGGCTGGTTTGAAGCTCTCGATGCTCCACATTAGCACCCATTTCTCTCGCCATACCAACTGACATCCGCTGTGCCAGCACCGGTAACCCCCGATCCTCCACAGTCCCAATGTACCAAGATGGCACATCTCTCCAACCGGCATAAGAATACTCGCCGCCTTCGAACAACGCCTTCAGACTCTGGGTCGTGAGCTGAGAAACCCAATATTTTGCTTCTTCCTCTGGCAGGTCATGGTAAAACAGCTCCCGTGGGGAAACAACAAGCTCAGCGTAGCCGGTCTCGTTATTCACACGCCAGGCAGGCGGCGGACGACCGAAGAATGGATCCATAAAGGCCATCCCAGTCAAGGTGAAGCCAGAAGCAATGAGGACCAGCCCAATGACGTATCCCAATTGACTGTCATTACCGTCCTTTGGCTTTGCGAAGCCTTTGATCGCGCTGTTACCCACGATGCCGCCATACGAGTGCGCAATGACAACAACATTGCGCCCGCTACTTGTCTCGGCAGAGATCGCATTCTGAGCAGCATCGAGATCATCTTTGAAGGTCGCTTCGGGATCAAATGCTGTCGAGGGAAGAGACACTGCCACACATCTGAACTTAGGCTCCAGGAGCTTGATGATCGGGTCGTAGCATGTAGGTCTGTGCCAGGAACCTGGTATGAAGACAAGGGTCGGTTGACTCGACATGGCAGTGGTTTGCGAGTTCAATAAGTTTCACCTATGGACGCGCTTTGACATTGATGCAGTACCGTAATAATTTCGATCCTGTACGTGAACGGAGACGCGACTCTGGCCAAGTGGGGTTCAGTAGGGGTTTCGCGAACAAAATAGGCAAAGTCCGACGGCTATGTAGTATCACGTGAGTGTAGCCGTTCACTCAATGGTGTAGCAGGCATTACTTGAAGGCTTCTCATCGTAAATACATCGTATATATTCTCGTATTAAGGGTAGCTTACGATATAGATATATTGATTTACTGTTTAGTTTGTCATTTTCCCAGAGATAGAATGGTCATATCACAACCGCTGAATCTTGTATCACCTCATCAGATATCTATATATAGATCCCAAGAAGACGGGAATTTTATCAGGGGATAGCTCATCTAATGATTCACACTGTTCTCTTCCACATCTAAGAGGTCGGTGTGTGACTGTCGCGCGATAGAGGGTAAGAATAATCCGGTTCTCAATCAGCTTCTCGTCTTGTCTATTGCATACCCGCCCTTCTTTCTCATCCCTAGTCGCGCGACGCGAAAGTAGCGTTCTATACATTAAAATTAAAGAAATTTAGAGCATATAGTGTGTTTCAACTCAAGTTTTACTATATACGACCATAGGGTGTGGAGAACAGGACTTCCCCGTGCTTAAGCCGGTTATAGTACTCATTTAATTCTCAATGCGCCCTGAGCTCTAAAATGGCCCCTGATCTGGTTTAAGGGTGAGGGCTGGGTGATATAGGTGAGGGCTGGGTGACGAAGATTCTCACTCAGATCACTTAGATCACCCAGAGCACCTATGTCACCCAGAGCACCTAGAGCACCCACTTTTCCATCTTCACTTGATCCAGGCAATAAATAGGAGCCCTTCAGAATCTGCTGCTCCATTTTCCCCTTTACTTCCAATATTTCGAAGATGCTCCCAATGAACATCTAAAAGAAACTCAGAAAGAATTGCACATGCTGCGTCACGTGGCTTCACCTATAAGTCTCAGAATGAACGGAAAAACGAAGATAACTCAATATATCTCGAATAGCTGGCTCTGGCTACTCTAGAGAAGCATCAGAATACAGTAATCAATTAGGGATTATTGCTGGACAAGCTAATCTGAACGGTAGGAAGAGATCTTGCACACAGAGAGGGAAATAATTGATTAGGCTAATCTTCTTGAGAAGCTCTCCTAGAAGACAGAAGAGACGGGCGGTGCTTTATCCACATGAGAGACCGGACATCCTCGAAGACCGAAGAAACCCAAGTAACGACGGGATGAACCCAAATCCTATCCGACATCTGCAACGAGACTGTCTGACTGCACAGCAAAACGGCCATACTGAAGCGGACTACGCGGTTTTCTAGGGAGGGTAGATGAACGGGTGACAGCGTCACTTGCGAAGAGCGGCTAGCCGCTGGCAAAAGGTCTTCGGTGGTCCCATCTTAATAATTATAAGTCATGCTATCGACGGGTGTAGGTCGTGGCTATCTTTATTTCAGTGGATACCCTAATTTATTTTACTGAAGAATAATAATAGAAGCGAAAACAGACCCTCAATTAAATCAACGGAAAGAAAAGCACACTATTGTCGGAAAGTCGGGCTACCGCGGGCGGTGTAAACATAATAGTGCGCATAAGCTAAAATGCCACTAGGTGATGGTGAAGTGAGTTCAGAATAGGGTGCCCTCTTGGTTGGCCAATTTCTGCGAGGATTCAGTGCGGATTGGTGGTATGGTAGGTAATTGAATTAGGTTGGGCGGTAGGAATTTGCAATTCTGAATAAGGCGTGTCTAGATCGGCCGGCAAGCACGTTGATTTTCCCCGGGAAGTTTGACAAGCGGGTTCTCTCGCTTTGGTGGTCGTCGCTGACGTTACCACTCGCCGCCACAATTATTGTTCCTTGGCCACAGGCATTAGCCGCCAATCAGAGTACCCTCAGCGTAATTACGGCGATGACAATTATACTGCGTCAACTCTGTGTATCGAATAGGTTCTCTGGATTCCTTATATTTTGTATGGAAAACCCCAATCCCCTCCATCGGAATCTGCTCTCCTACCTACCAAAAATGAGGCCACAGCTTCGCTGGACACGCAAAGACAGTATTGATCATTCTCCTTGAGCCCTCCAAATCCCTAATTTTTCCTTTGTTTTCTCAAGTCAATGGATGAGGCATGCGCTCAGGATGAGCCTCAGCTCGCAGTCGAAGCCTGGATCGTTGGAAGCGGAACTGCGTCTTTGGCATCAGCAGTGTATTTGGTACAGCGTGCTAAGTTACTACCGCACAACGTGCACGTTTTGGACTCGCACATCTCTATGGGTGCAGCTTTACATCATAACGGTGACTCTGTCCATGGATATGATCAATTCGCAGGATGTTTGCCAGTTCCAGTAGGGTCACCTCTGGAGGAGCTTCTTGCGTCCATTCCCTCCGAACAATCTCGTGGATGCACAGTGCTGGACGAAATCAAAAAAAAAAGAAGCCAGTCATATGCCTGCAGACCACAATTGTGGAACCAAGTTTCTCATTCAAAATTCTGACAGCAGAGAATCGATATCTCCGAAAGGCCTGGGTTTGAGTGTCAAGTGTCGTATGCAATTAGCTCTCTTGATGCTGAGAAGCGAGAAAAGCCTGAAACGGATTCGAATTCAGGATTTCATGTCCAGCAGCTTTTTCCAAAGCTCTTTTTGGGTTGTGTGGACCGCTCAGTAAGTAAATTGTCGACGGATTACGCTGGACTGACGCTGAACTGCTAGATTTGGTTTCCAACCTTGGCATAGTGCCCTCGAATTCAGACGAGCTTTACGACAATATCTGCGAAAGTTTCACCATTTGAGCATACTGAATTGCCTAGATATAACTGGATACTATCAGCATGAGTCGATTTATCTGCCTGTATATCTCTATCTTCGAAATCAGGGTGTTGATTTTCACTTTGATACGAAAGTGACGAATATCGATACCACTACCCAAGACGGCCGACAAAAGATTTCAAGGTTGGATCTCCTTGAAAATGGGTTTCATATCACAAAGAATATCGGTATACATGACCTAGTCATCCTGATGCTGGGGTCCACGGTGTCGGGTTCATTAACCGGCTCGAATGATTACCCTCCTCCGCCTAGGTCAATCGAACCCAACGAAGAGTATGATGAGAATTGGACAATATGGTTGGAGCTTGGAACTCATGATCATGTATTCGGCAATCCCTATAACTTTTGCACTCGCGTGGATGATTCGACCATAGCTTCCTTCACGGTCACTACCGCAGATCCATACCTCTGGGACTTTTTAGCTTCAATTTCTCCTCATGCAGAAGCTGGAACATATATTTCCTTGCCAAACAGCAGCTGGAAACTCAGCTTATGCGTACCTACGCAGCCTGTCTTCAGCCAACAGCCCGAAAACACCCACGTGATCTGGGGGTTTGCCCTGTTTCCTAAAACCAGGGGTAACTACATTCAGAAACCGATGGAGATCTGTTCCGGTGCCGAGATTCTCACAGAAGTCCTTGGGCATCTTAAATACCCGTCTTTGGTCCATCATACCTTGACAATTCCTCGCCTCATGCCGCGGATGAGCTCTATGTTACTGGTCCGTTTTATGACCGACCGCCCTGAGGTAATACCTCCAAAAACTTCGCATCTTGGTTTAGTGGGCCAGTTCGTAGAAATACCCCGGTATAGCTGCGTGGACATAAGTTATGGAATTCGCTCTGCGCAGGTCGCTACGGCGCAACTGACGGGTATTCCTCTGCCAGACAACGGACATGATCATTGGGGCTCCACAGCCATGAGTCTACTGAGAATTTTGTTCTGGAAATAAACAGAATTTCATTGTCGTTTGCATTTTGTTACCAATGTAAGCTGCTACTTCCCAGACCTCGAATAGCTTAGATAGAAGAGAATTGATTCCTCTATTTTCTGTTCAGATAGTCGCAAAGTTGAGTGAGACGAGGGATTCGGATATAGGAGGAGCGATGGTGTATACCAGGTATTAAGTGTTATTTGATGGAGTTGTCTGCGGTCGCGGTGTACGAAGTTCGACTTCATCGGGCGTTTTGGTGATTGTCCTGAAAGAACTCTTGTCAGGTCATTTCTCAGAAGAAATCACCATAGATACCTTGGATTTAGATGCCGTTAATCTCAAGACAGGTTAATACAGTGAACTCCCGTTTTCGGCACAGCCCTCCGTGCAACAGAATGCCTAATGAAAGTGTGCCTGTTGTAAATTGCGCTAATCCTAAAGAGGTAATCACGAGTCTGTTTTTGGTCCAACTCTCCTCTGCTTCCTCCCATCTATCTGCAGGCAAGAAAAAAGATGACCTATCCTCTCTAGATCATGTAGATCTCTCTCAGTAATACTCTCTTAGTGCTAAGCAGATTGAAGAGCTTTATCTATATACTCAATAACCTCTATACTAAGAAGCCGGTTGGTTACCTACGTGTATAAATCACCTAGTTAAAGGTCTTTAGATTAAGATATACCTATCTTATTAGTACCAGGACTAATAATCGTGCTCTTAATAACGCACTTCTGAATAGTCTTACCTAGAACGTCACGTCTCTAGGTCTAGGTAATCTAATATAGTGTGTAGTAGAGGCTTATTCTCTACGTAGGGTCGACGCCCCGGTCTATTATATTATGTTGGATAATATGCGATTGCATAATTCCGTGTGTACACAAAACTCTATACAGAATCAATCGGTTGAAGAGTGACCAAGTAATATAAAACAAAATCGGCTAGTAAGACAGAAGGATCGAGCAGTGGAAGGTCGATACACTTATAGTCAGGTATGCCCAGGAGTTCTATCCTTGATCAAAAAGAGGTCAAGCTTGTTCGTATTAACTAGGAAACAGAGCAATATTTATAACCTAGTTAACTAACTACCTACAGGAGAATCTGACTAAGCACGTTGGCCAGGCATAGAAGTTCAATTGACCCTCCCTAGTGACCTATTTTCTGTCTCCTGTTGACTCCTCAACCTCTTTTTTCTTTATTTAGCACCCGCCTTACATTGCCTCGTTATCGGTCGCTGACTGCATGAACATACACGCAGCCACTGAGATGCTCACCTCTTTTAACCCAGGTAAATATTAATTCCAGTACAGCTGGACGTTCTCTGGCTTTCAAGTAACGAGGCTGGTTGATATTTGTTTGCTATTCATTCACTAAGACTGTCACACCGACTTCCCCTCTTTCTTCGCCCCGGCAGATAGCTCTAACAATCCATACTTATTGGCTCTTGAATAATGAGGCTGACGACATCGATCAAATTGCAAATGAATTAAAATGAGCCTTTTAGGCATCACCGCTGATTCCCGCCCTCCATGGGGACCTATTCGAAACACTGCCAGTTGGCTGGACACGTCTTCTGACCAGTTCGAATTTCATCTCTAAGCCCTACTCCGACAGCCAACAAGAAGATCTGCTAGTAATATAGCTGAAATATAAATATGAATAGTGACCCCAACTAGATAGTTCTGGCTTAGACTAGAAGTCAGCTCAGAATATATTATTCTCGCGCCTCAAGACAATTAATTCCCTCGAAGACCCCCTTTAATGATGCCGAGGGTTCAAATTGTTTTCCGTCCTTTACGGGCATTCGAAAACTCTTCAAATATATCATATTCCGAACCATTTTCTGCCCTTGGGGGCTTTTCTCGGTCTCTACCAAGAGATCTTAGGCTTGACTTGCCCTCGACAGATTCCAACACTAATTATATCATGACTTTCATGGACCCATCTGCCATGGATAGGCTTAGCCCATATCTCATGGAACACAAGGCGTCACACTGGGCTTTGCGAGTCGAGATAAGCTTTTAAGACCTAGTCCTGTATGATTGGCTCAATAAACACGACTAACTACGAAAAACCCCAACTACAGAAAATACAGGGGGGTGGCGATAACATTAATCCCCTTACTTGGAATTATTATGCAATTGTGGGAAAGATTGATGAAAGCGGGCAAAGAATGTTCCGATTTGATGATAGGCAATTCCAACCTACCTACTTTATCGACATTGGAAAAACTGTCCAAGGACCGGAGAGCATAGCCCAGATCGGTGAGTTTGACCGAAAGGTTAATGAGTATATAAGACAGGCTCAGATCTAACGTCTGTTCTTCTGGCACACGCTCATGTAAATCAAGCCAGCCCCTATAAATTAATTTTGAATAACTGTCAAAATTTTGCCAACAATCTTGAGGGAGCTATTTTGTCTGCAACATAGAAGTGCCGTGGAGCCCCTTCCAGCTCCCTTCTGGGTAGTCAACCTGGACCTACCAACAGTATGGAAAAATGCCGAGGGAACCAAGCCGACTTCCACGTTAAATATAAGGGAGCTACATAAAAGCAGAACAATACTTTGATTTTCCCGGACTCGGACTGGGACGGAGGTGATCCTCAAGCAGGTTGAGAATTTGAGATAATATCTTATTAAAGAAACCTAGGGTGGTCACAGGAATAAAGGACTTGATAGCGAAAACATTGACCAGCAACAGTAACAGGGGGAAAAGGGAGCAGAATGGATTGAAGCGAAAAGAGTGGCTCCCTCATCCTTAGAGGATACGATAAGCTTTTGCATTGAAGCCGACAACGATATTGGCTCCGAATTCCTATTCAATGTCACCATCAATCTTAAAACGGGAAATATTGCCTTTGATTACTGACCATTGCCTGCCAGAACATCCAATGAATATCGTTTCAACAGGCTTCAGCATACCATGGATCAATCGATCTGCAGGAATCAACAAACATTTGCACATTGACACCATTCTGAAGGTAGCAGTAATACTCAGCTGCGGCATAGCAATAGCACATACTTGCGCCATTACTTATTTCTGCGCAGATCTCAGTAGTTCTAGAATAGTCGCCACTTTTAGATCCCTCGGGGTTCTTGCATCGGTAGGCAGGGTCACTGCAGGCAGAGACAGCAGAAGCAAACATAACTAAGCTAGGTAGCAGCTTCATGATGGAGGTGGTGAAGAGGGTAGCTGATTGCTTTAGAAGGAAAATATTATAATGTTAATCTGCTGTGTGGCCTGTGTTGGGCTCCGTAGGTTGTTTCACGGGACAGGTGGCCGGCTTTATAGTTTATCCTTCTCATAAAGAGCAATATAACCTATACTAGCAAAGCATGAATAGGCGCAATAAGACGGAATACTGCGGAGTACGAGCCGGGGTTCACAGTCCAAAAGAGGGTGTAAGGAATACAGATGTGGCTTGATCTAACAAGGAAGATAGGGCAGGCTACCGTGATATGAACCTTGAGACGCACGGCGGTCTAGATTGATATGTTTGATTCTTACATTCTTCGATTAAGTTTGGATGGAGCGGAAGTTCGAAACAATGGGAACAGAATTTGCAGTACCACACAAACCCCCCTTCCGTAGCCCGAACGCCGTGGGATCCACATGCGGTCATTCCACGATGCGTTTCTCAAGACGATAACTTAATTGCTAAGATACTTATTGCTAAGAACAGGCTGATTCAACGTTGTTCCAATCTCCCTTACGTTTTGTAGGGTAAATCGTGTCAATTCTGAATACCCGCGCCACTCCGTGTTTTAACTGCTAATGCTACCTCTAGGACAAGGGACGCTCTAAACAGTGATATCCATGATAGATCTTCGATTAACACCTTCTGAATGGTTCCCTCAGCCTAGTATGTACGGATATTTGATGGTTTGCCATTTAAGTTTAAAATTAAAATTGTAAACGTTAAATGTAAACTTATGCAATCCAGTATTGGTGACGTCAACTGCTACCGTAATATAATCTGTCTAGCTACTTTACAGGAAACCGGTCACGATATCATAATGGATGTAGTTAAACAATGATCATTATGACGTTACGATCCAAAAAAATACAAGAGTTGAAGATATAAGTCCGTAATGATCTTAGCAGATCTGTGAAGTCTAGACACCAGTGACTTATTCACCAATATTCTCCCTTATAATACTAGGAACAAATCTGCAATCTACCATGGCTGCAGCGTATCTTAATGATGCCTTTTTGCCCGTGGAATTAACATTTGAGACCAAGATACGTTTTTATCTCACTTGCTACATTGTTCGATTGTCTCTCGAACAGGAATGCCGACATATTATATACTATATGGCTCGAATGTTCCATGGAAGTGGCACATAATATGCAGCTCTAGTGGCGTTATGAATAATTAACAGTTCTCCTAAGCCCTTCTTTTGATGAAATATCTGAGCAAGGGTGGGACAGATGACAATTCTTAAAATGTGCTTCGACCAAAGGGGATTCAGTGGCCTTCAAGAACCTGCGGTAGTCTCTGGGGATAATGGTAAAGAATAGCACCCGTCCCGAAGGACAACCAAGGCATACTTTCGATAGCGATACTGCAGAGGTACGTGGGCGGTACTCTGGTGGTAACCATAGCAGATTCTCCGAGTTCCATGTGATGAATGTACAATCGAAACTTATGCCGTACCCTTTAAACTGCGGCGGTTCCGGTTCGGTATTGGTTGGTCCACTCTCCGAAGCGAAAGCATGTTCCGGATCCAATTCGCTCGTCAATATGGGAAGGGATTCCAGTTAGTTTTATTACGTGGGCGAGGGGCCTATTGATTTACTTTGTTTCTATAAGTGGCCGAACGCATATACAATCCAGCGAGACTACGCAGTCGACCATAATGTGTATAAAATTGAAGGTATCAGAGGGACGAATGGAACTTGAACGGGATAGTTTCTCAGACAATCAGAGCGGTTTGAAAATAAGTATATCACGTCGACCTTTTTCCCATATTGCATTCGTATACTCCGGTAAGACGAAGGATAAACTAGAGTTGGGTTAAAAAATAATCGCTCCACTTCGGATATAGTGACCCGGAGCGATAGAGGATGTCAATTGCGTTCAGAAAACTATAGCCTTGAGATAAGGAGCTAAAATCTACCTGTAAAGTAGGAACCATAAGGTAACACCTTCCTCCTTATCTACATATCGCAACGATGTTGGTGGCCTGGGATCGATTGATTCGCTTCGTCGCAACAGAAGGCCGAGTCCTCCGCGGCGAGCCTATCCTGCCCTACGAGGGGTTTGATGTAGGCTACACAGAAGACTCCACGGGCCTCAAGGCAAAGGTCATTGAAGGACAGATATTCTCGACGAAACTTGGGCGACAAAGGTGACGGAGGAGGTTGCCACAGTCAAACGGCTGCTGGGACCGCTTGTAGCATCAGACATTGATATTATTCGGTGTGTTGGACTAAATTACGCAAAGCACAGTAAGAGATGATGATTGCTGTCCTACTAAACCTTTGACTTTTTATCTGGCAATGTTAATGTAATCGAACTCATAGTCCAAGAGACAGGCAGACCGACGCCGGAATACCCATTCATTTTCATCAAAGCGAGCACTGCCCTGCATGATCACAACGTCGATGTGACGATCCCCAAGATCGCACAGGAGGCTCTATCAGACTACGAGGGAGAGCTCGTGCTGGTAATCGGGAAAGAAGGCAAAGATATTCCGCTTGACGAAGCGCTCGGCTATGTCGCAGCATATACCTGCGCCAACGATGTTTCTGAGCGGAAACTCCGAGGAGCCGTACCACAGTGGGCTTTTTCCAAGGGATTCGACACATTTGCTCCCATGGGCCCGTGCCTGGTTCGCGGAGATTTATTTGGGAATCCGGCGCACTTGGCCCTGAAGACGGTGATTGATGGCGAGGTGCGGCAGGATGCTGGGGTCGCGGACCTTGTGTTTGACTGTACCTCTACCGTACCTGTCGGCAGTCAGGTGTTTACGAATCAGACTGCGTTGACCTATACCTTGACAGCCGTCTGGCAGCCATCAGAAGGAACGAATAGTACTATTTTCCCTTCAATGTCCTATTTCAACAACGTCCTCGAAAACTGCGCGGTAACAGCAATCGAAATAAATCTTGAGGCTCTCGATAGGACGGCGTCCCAGTTCGGATTCTCTGAATGGGGCGCTGTAGTCCACACTTATGTATCATGTGCCTTCTATACTCCAAGTGGACTCATACAATTCAACTTGACCCAAGCATATGACTATATACCAGCGGCTATGTCCTGGTCACACCTGTACACGTTCCTCGGTAGCAACTTTTTGGACAGAGACAAAAGCACTCGGGCGAGCCTGTGGTGGGGGGAGTCTGCAATTTCAAATTATTACGTCTATCTCACGCGAACGATGCAAGATATTCGTGCTAACGCCACATCTAACGGCGAGCCTGCAAATCGGAAAGGAACCATCTACATCACCCCAGGCAATAGCACCGCCAGGGACATCAAGAGCCTTCAGTTCTTCAACATCGACTATCGCTTCATAGTCGACCTTGGCTATGGAAATTTTGAAGTTCTATCTCCGGGAGGAAAACCTACTGTTTCCATGCTAGATCAAGGCGGAGTGTATCCAGACGTATGGATCATAGCCGATAGCCTAGCCAAATCCGCATACTCGACTGTATTGACGGACTTGGGACAAATCACGGCCGAACCGAATCTCCTCACCAACGCCGATGACCTGGAATATTTCTCCAGAAACTTCTCAACAATCCAGCGGCATAAGGCTAATGCGGACCCTGGCCCAGAGGTCGACATGTATTACGGCTCTGCGAATAATGGGGCGGGCCCTTTGGGAACAACTCCGAGCGTTATTAGCATGGGATATATCTGCCAGGTGCCTCAACTTAAATCGACTGGTAACCTTTTACTGTCCATCCTGGTGGCGGATCTAGTGTTCCTACAAGCAGCTTGGCGGCTATTCAAGCTTGGTACGGACACATATCTGTTCAGGTCCAGACCGGAATCGAATCAATGTAAAGCTGGCGGAGCTTACGTTGACCCTGATAAAGTAGACAGTGTCGCGTCTAGTGGTTTCAACCTAGAGTCAACATTCTCTGAAGCACTGGTCAACACGAACCAACCAAATAAAGAAAACGGTACCACTGGCCCGAAAAGAATACTGCAAAAAGGCTATACGGCTCTGGCTACCAAGCCAATCTGATGGTGGAAACAATGCTGCATTATCCGAGATTGCACCTTGACAATATGTCAACCAGAGAGATTTGACTAACACGAGTTTGGTATTGTGGGTTACGTGCCAGAAAAAACCAAGGAAGATCTTGTGCATTTAACGAATAATCAAGTCTGAGGAAAGAAAGAGAAGAGAGAACGCCAGGATGGTGGAAATCTAATCTAATGCGCGCCTCAGGGAGCCTGGCAAACCTGGCCGCATCCCAACACCCTCAGGCATCCCGACGTCCTCAACCGTCATATCTTGAATGCAAATTTTGCATTTTGGGTCAGTGTATTGCAGCAAGCTCGAGTTAAGTGCAGGTAGCACCATCCTTACGTTCAAGATATTGAAATTCTAGCCCTATCGAGTGATCCGGTCTCTAGGCCTATAGAATTCGAAGAACATTCTGAATTGAGATCAACCGATTATCGTCCCAAGAGGTTTACAGCTATTGAACGCCGTCTTACATTTGCAGGTATACCCTATACGCCTTCAATGTGAGTTGGCACATACAGAGCCTATTTTGCCTAAATCGCACCGTGGAGGAATCAAGACGTCAGGATAATGTCTTTGTACTGTACTGTAAATTGTAGTTCGTGTTCTTTGGATGCGAGTAAGCCTCTGGTACCCAGACGCGGGTGAGACTGAGGAAGTGACACTCTGCAAGATCCTCGTGGCTCACTCGAGATCTTGTTTAAATGGTTTGATTTTCATGGGCTGTTCCATGCCTTCGTGCATCTACAGCTCTCCGCTGAGGGTACGCCGTAAAACCCCGTCACATTTCTACCATTCGCCTGCAATCAACTATTTCACCCACCAAATATACCCAAATCTACCGATATCAACAGATCTTGCATAACCCGCGTAACCGAAACCTGTATAGCCGTTCTGGCACAAAAGAAGCTAGATATTGCCACGATTACGAGTGAATTTCAGGAGTCTCGCACTGCCCTTACCGATCGCGTTAAGAAGGCCCGATTGTCCGAGCCTTGGGGTGGTTCTCCAGCAAATTCTTTGATTTACACAAGCAATAATAATATTCAGAAGTTTATTTCGTATAGCAATTGCGGAACACCGCTCGATTGTAGGCACAAATCGCTGTTGAGCCTACATCTTAGGTGACACTTGAATGCAGATGCCAAGAAACAAGTGTTTCAGTCTACTAAATCTATGTGAGATGGACATTAAATCTGGGTTCTGCTCTTACGCTAAGATCAACTACCCAACCGCGCCTTATAGGCGTCCGCAGCATTCTCGTCCACCAATCTCAGCGCCTGGATGAGCTCCTCAACCTGGTCGTCCACCCACTGCGGTAACGGAGTCTGGGCTGCACCTAGCGCAGCCAGACCACGCTCGATCTGCGTCTCGATCGGCTCGCGTAACTGCTCGATGTCTTCGTCATAGAGACACGAGCGGGAGATATTATGCTCGAAGTACACCTGGTGGGCGATGCTGATCAGCGCCGCGAGCGCCGTTAGCCGCTCTGCGGAGGTGCCGCGTTCCTGGGCCTCATCCCGGCTGCTCGCAACGGACTCGGTGAGCAGCGCGAAGGTGTTGTCCAGGCTATGTAGTCGATCGATCGACATACCCCGCCAGGGTTGTGCATCAGGATCTTCCGCCGCCGCGCGGACTGCCTCATAACCAGTCGGCGAGGCCCAGCGAGCCAGTGCGGACATTGCAAGGAATCGGTCGTACGCCCCGGCCGACGTATCGCCTAGAAGCGCCGCCGCATGGGGTTCCAGCCGCTCCCAGTCCCCTTCCAGCGCTATGCCAATCGCCGAGTCCGGGTCGGTCTCCTCGCCGCGTGCATTTGTGAAGAATAGCCACTGAGCAAGCTGACCCGGCTGATAGATCTTACTTTCAGGAGTATCTTCCATTAGCGACTTCTCAGTGAGTAATCAGCTATGATATTGATGGAAATCAGTGCATTCGGCGGAAAACAGTCAACCTGGAGAGAGGATGAAAGAGACAAGAAGCTAAAAACCAAAACTGCCCCTGAGTTTGACTTTCGCGGGTCACATGATGGTATACGATGACCTGATCAGCTAACCAGACCACTCCCTAGGAATGCAGAAATATAAAGAAGGCAATTGATAGTTATATAGTTTTCTAAAAGCAAATAGTATGGATGTCTTGGTGCTTAGCTAGTTTACTTCCAAATTATTTATCACGTTATAAAAGGGGATGTGGGTTCTTTAGTGCCAATAGAAGTTTCATCTTTCAAACCAGTTTTATGGTGTCCGTATATCCTGGGGCTTGGAGTGAGTCCATACATTATCTTCGAAATATCCCCAACTTACGGGCATAAGATAAAATCCTTTGAGCTTAGCAAAGGGGCCCTGGACCAAGACCATCTGTTGTATATTTCTTTCACATGATTTTGAACACGCTCTAAACGGCAACTGTATCATATCGTGGCAATAATTCTGCACGGTTATTCAGTGCAAATTAGGTCAAGCAGATGTCGAGAGTGATTGTAAAAACGATATCTATGAAAGGGTTGCTGAGGCATCCGTCCCGTAATTCTCAAGTACGTAGTCAACATCTTTGTCCCCGCGCCCCGAAAGGTTGACCAGTATTCGTTCGGATGAAAGGCACTGCGACGCCAAGCGGATCGCAAACGCCAATGCATGCGCACTCTCCAATGCAATGATAATCCCCTCGAGCTTTGCCATACGGAAAAATGTTCTGATGGCTTCCTTGTCGGAAACTGCTGAAATGGAAATCCGATCGGCTTCATGGAGCATCGCAATCTCTGGGCCCACGCCCGGGTAGGCAAGCCCTGATGCTACGGAGGAGACACTAGCAGGCGTGCCGTCGTCTCTTTGCAGCACAATCGATCGAGCACCATGTAATGTTCCCAGTCTTCCATATGATAGCGTCGCTGCATGTTGGTCTAATTCATCAGATTTACCGAGAGGCTCCACAGCATGCAGAACAACCTCCGGATCATCAATAAAGCCAGAATACATACCCATAGCATTGGAACCGCCTGCGACACAGGCAACTACATGCTCGGGCAAGCTTCCATTCGTAAGGGACATGAATTGCTCACGGGCTTCTCGACCAACCACGCCTTGAAAGTCTCGAACAATCATTGGGAAGGGATGTGGCCCAATAGCTGAGCCGATCGCGTAAAGCGCGTGCGCATGCTGCTCTAGATACGCGTTGAAAGCGGAATCGCTCGCCTCTTTCAGCGCAGACTGGCCAGTAGTTGCTGATACCACGTGCGCACCGAGTAGCTGCATGCGACCGACATTCGAGCTCTGTTTAGCGATATCGACCTCCCCCATGTGAACTTCGCATTCAAGGCCAAAATAAGCCGCTGCAGTTGCGAGTGCGACGCCGTGCTGGCCGGCCCCAGTCTCGGCGATTAATTTCTTCTTGCCCATTTTCTTGGCGAGAAGTGCGAAACCAACACAGTGGTTTATTTTATGCGCGCCCGTGTGATTCAAATCTTCTCGTTTGATGAAGATCTGAGCGCCACCGACCTGTTTTGAAAGGTTTTCGAGGTAATGGATTGGGGTTGGCCGCCCTTGAAGCCCAACTCGCGCATTATTGAGTGCACGCTGGAATTCTGGCGTTTGATGAAGTTCCTGGTAGCTACTGGCCAGTTCCTCCAGCGCTGGCCGAAGCTCGGGTGGATAATGGTTGCCGCCAAAACGACCGAAATACCCTTCGCCGTTGGGGTAGCTTTGCAAGTAGGGACGTTGAAGGTCTGGCATTACGACCAGTCCTCGAAGATGATAGAGAGGCAGTGGCAATAGAAAGCCGAAATTAAGGCCTTGCAACTCTGACTTGGGTCGACAAACGCGATGGGGTATCAGAATTGAGATCTCCTGTATGAACAATGTTTATATTAAAGGCTCAGTGAGCAAGTGGGGTTGATTGATTGCGAACGGAGGGAGGATGTTTAGGAAATTTGTCAACAAAGCCTGGCTTAACTAGTGAAAAGAAAGAGTTATGTCGGTATATCTGTTCGGAAGTATAGTAATTTCCAAAGCTTGGGCCATTGCCCAGGAGGGGAAGATCCTGAATTTATAGCTTTTCAGCATGTTGATAGAGTGAAGGATGCACGAAGATGATTGGATCTTCTCCATAATAGACGGTGTGATTTCTTGTCCCTTGCAAGGCTGCAGCGTTGGTCTGAGTGTCTGATCTAAATCTCGCCGCGACCCGCTCAATTCTCCGACCCGACCGCGATCCGCTCCTGATGAATGCTCGTGGTGTCGACTCGACCAGTCGACGATGGAGAATGTTTGGTAAAGACGTCAATCCTTTGCTGACGCGCCTTTTCGTGCTCCGCCCGTAAACGGCGCCTTGCTTCAATCAGCACACGTTAAGGTTAGGGTATTTGATGGATGGCTGAGGGAAGACATTGGGATGACCCGACCCGATCCGACGGGGACGAGCCTGGGTTCTCAATGAGAATTCTCCGCTTAATAACGATTGATCTGTGCTAAGATCTTAAGCAGTGGGTGACGGGTCACCCTGGGGTCTTCAGCTAAATTTACACAACTCTTTGATGGCCACGTGATAATATGGCTGCTGTAGATACCAAGGCCACCTCGTCGGCTCACGTTAGCATTTCAAAGTAGATCGAGGGCTGATGAAAGCCGATCAACCAATAATAATGTCATACTTCAGTCCAGGTAAAGGGGCCAGTGCGACGATTTCCCGATCTGGACTGCTCTCAGTCGCAACCAAGTTTCCAACTGCCACCCTATCTGGTGCGCACTTACCTTTGACCGTTCCAGTGGTAAGACACTAAATCAGCGCTCTGTGCATTAGACTGAAGAACTTTTATGGGTCAAAGGCGAAACGCAGAGGGCGGATCGTCTACGCACAGGAAGCAAAGCGAATCGATCAACTCTTGCAATTTTGATAGATCTAACGAAAAACGCCCCACCTCTGGCTAAATCTTCTCGCAAAGCTCGGCGGCCAAGGGTCTATCTGGGACAGGTTAAGAGAGAGGGCCAGGATTCCTAGCAGCAAGATCTTGAGCAGGAACATCAAGATTCAGACGACCTTACGTCACCATCTGAGCTATTCAGATTGCACCAAAACCCTCGGGTATCAGGGGATGACCAGAAGAATAACCAGAAGAATAACCAGGAGGACAACGAGGAATGTATCTAAGAGAATGTTACATCACCAGAGCTGATAACCCGCCGTTGCTCTCGAGTCATTTCAAATGCATCAACCGCTTCTGTGGTCTCGCCTCCGAGGATCCTGAGGCATTATCAATTAAACACGCAGGACCATAAGCGTATGGAGGCCTCTGGGCCAGCCTCGAAGACCTGGTCGTAGACGGAAGAGTGATGGAGAGGCAATTCAACTTGGCACATGCCCTCTGTCGCATACTCCTGTGCATAGTCCATGACAGATTGAAAGGTGATTTGTATTTTGATTTCGCTGCACTGATTTGTTAATTAACTTGTCTGGATTTGTATCGATTCTGAGCCTTATTCAAAGCCATTATAATTAATGAAATAGTGAATAAAAAGGGGTGTAAGATGGGAGGAATACAGAATCACGATTCTGCAGGCCAAAGTGCGCTTCCTAATGCCATTAGCAAAATTATCACCATCGTCCGCCCTACAAGCCTCGGTAGATTTAGAGTCGAGGAAACTACCTCTTGCGCTAATTACCTCAGGCAAAAATATAGTATCATGGTAGAGCTCCAGCTTCGGACCCTCCCTTTCTATTCGCAACGAAATATAAGAGCGGCATTTAGTACTATTGGATCCCGATGCTATTGTTAACCCTGGCATTACCAAGTAACTTTACTATGCTCTAGTGGTGTGTCGAAGTGTCTTTCACGAACAGGAAATGAGACATCCAGCTATTTAAAACGAAACTGTTATGTCAGGAACCATGCGTTGCAAAAAAAAGCCCAATGAAAAGGCACACGAGTAGAGCAAAGTGTAACCCACATCATACATGCATGGCTCAAAACTAGCCTACCTGGAAGGAACTGGAAAGCTGCAGATTCTATACTCCGAGTTCAAATTACAGGTTAATTTTTGTACCCCATCTGGTCACGATCATCGTTGATAAGTCTTCCGTACTCCAGCATTAACCGCCACCAGACCAGTCTCATGTCTTCAGTGCGAAGTACGCGGCGTGACCAGTCATAACTGTTCTCAGCAACTTTCCGACCCAGAGCTTGTCCCTCTGGCTCTTGAGTCAAGTAACGAACAATTTCAGGGAAATCGCGAAGATCCATGCTGATTGGTATGTAATGAAACCAAGGTATCAACCAGTCATCGTGCCACTCCTGGTAAAGAGTTTGCTTCAAGACCGCGGATTTCGACATGAGAAGGCGGTAGAAGCGCCCACTGAGACCATTTCCATCGATATCAAGATTATACCGTGCTTTATAGCCATCGGTGATGTCGTCTCTGACGCCAGTGTTGATTTGCAACTCATTTTCCTGTTCTCTGCATGCGGCATGATCGCATTGAATGGCGGCCGAGATTCGCACCCGGGTAAAGTTGGAAATGGCCGCAATAGTGGATTCGATAGGCACCCATTCTGAGCTCCCTTCACCAGGTTGGTGGGTTAGTCTCAGCAAATTGATAGGTTGGCTTTCATTCGAGGTCATCAGCGCTAGGCGCTGTCGCTGTAAAGATCTCCAATTCTCAGACGTAGAGTGGCCTCCCGTGTTTGACCCGGTCCAATAAACAATGTTCTCTTTTTCTTCCCAGTCTACATCGTGTTGTTCCTTGTATTCCCCCGTTCGAAGTTTTTCGGCATAAAATGGACTTGGGTATAGCACATCATTAAAGCAGGATGCTTTTGCCTGGGAAAACACCGGAACTAAGGAATGGGTAATCGTCATCGAAGACGGGTGACGAAGGCCAGCGTGGATATTATGAAGCTCAGGGAACTGGCAAACGTCCTTACTCAGTGTCAGGTTGGAGAGAAACCCCATTTCAGTGAGGAAAGGAGAGCCGTCAGCCTGTAGGGAGAAGTCTCGTGCTACAGTGCCAGGGGAACACGACAGTGATAACGCATCCCAAGTATTTTGCTTGCCAATGTTTAATAGGTCAACATGTTGAGCAAGGTCAGGCCTTTTTCCGGGCAATAGAGGGCCCTTGCGCGGAGTTCGAGCAACTTGCAAGGCATGGGACAGCATGTCGTAAGGGACCACAACTTTAGGTTCATCCATAGTATTCACCACAAGGGATAAGTCAGGTAAAGTTTGGAGAACTTCAGAGTCGAACCAATAACTGAATGTTGATCCCATCCAGTTTTCGGGATTGGTGAATACGCGATTTTCATCGCGAGAAACAGTAAACAGATACATGCCTTGCCCCTCGCTTGCAGCAATTATTTTATCCAGACGAGCTCGAATATCAGATGGAGCCACACCCCATAGCGGTTGCATAGTTGCCATCATCGAATCGAACTCGTCCATTAACAGGAATCCTTGTTTCTGGGCGGCTCGAAACCACTTATCAAAATGCGGTGGAGGTTTTCGTCCATATCGCCGTTCGTACTCTCTGCAACAAGCATCCAGGGTTCGAGATTGCCTCTTGACCATCGCATGGAATTCAACATCGGCTTTTGTAGCAAGGTGACGGATCGGGTGTATCGATGGGTCTAAGTTGGGTTGCGATTGGAAGGACTCTATGTGCCAGTTGCTTTGTGACTGAGACGAGTGGACGTGCCATAATGCTGAATGCCCGGCGAGAATAGGAAGTATTGGGATGATCATTATGACCAGGATCTTTCGCCGCATTGTCGATGGAGGGAGATTGGCTGTTCCTAGCCCCAGTGATATGGCCGATATTATGGGCAAGATGAGGGACTCTTGAAGTATGCCTGTCTCAAGGCTTTGGATCGCGGCTGAAGAGTAGGATTCAATGGTGATAGCTGGAAGCGTGTTACCACTCAATGCCTTTCATTAGGGCAGGGACACTACGTTAGCTTAACGCGATTTTTGTGCAAGGGCTGATGGGGAGAAGGGTTGAGAACAAACCAGATAAAGGGTAGCTCCGAGTTCTGCTGAAGTGCAGAAAGCCTGAAGCATCATAGACCATTCTGACATGGAGGATGATGGTATGATGAGCAGGACCCCCATGAGAATGAGAGATACTCGAAGAACAATTGCGTCCGCCATCCGGGGAAGTGATAGCTGTTGGCTATAGTCCTGACACGTATGAAGCAAGAAAAAGCTTGATGATCTGGCGAAGATAAAAAGACACAGGATAAAGATCGAGTCGCTGTTTGAAAATTTTGAAATAAGAAAGAGGGATAATATGCCTAGCAGGCCGAGAAATGAGAAGTGCATAGAATATTGGAGTCCTGGTTTTGGCCGTGATAGTCGGTTGTGACCAGCCGGTTCTGGTAAAATGGCCCATGGTGAATCTCGATAGGACAGTGCAAGGGATGTGAATACTACAGTCAGTGGCTGTAAAAGATTAGCCTATTGACCAAAACCAGTCAGATTGGGAAGTATACCATGGCTAGTGTTGTGTCATACTGCACGGCTAATACTCGTGCGACGGTGATGAGAAACGAAGAGCTCCATGCTATTAAGTTAAAATTGCGTTGTTGTTTCCGCGGCAAAACTTCATCTTCTGACTCTTCTGCTGGCAGTTTCAATACCTTGGGCCTCAATCTGAGTCCCAGATACAAGATAGCCCAGCACAAGCACTCGATGCGAATATCATGGTTCCATTGTAAACTTCTTCTCGAGTATTCTGCTGCGGTAGCGGTGACGGCGGAAACAACGTAGGCAATACTAGACTCCATGGCCTGGAATTTCTCGTCGGTCAATACGCAAGTCATTTCGTCAGACAGGGGGAATTCACCTAATTATCCATCCATCGGCTTAATCGCAGCGCCGGGATACAGTGTCCGTTGTCTTTGCTCGCGATTCGCGAACTTGCAGAAAATCCATGTAATGATGGTGGATTAACAGAAAGGAAATGAGGTCAAAATGTGAGCTGAGAAGGGGGCGGAGACTAGCCCAGGGCACAGTGTTCATGTTGGCGTTGGCCCCCACGAGGCCACGACTAGTACGCCTTCACTCCGTGGTGAAAATGCGCAGGAAACACAGCGCAACAATAGTGGGGCTGATAGTATTACTAGCGGCCTACAGCAGTTCCTCGGTGACTACAGTCCAGGGTTCGCCCGAATCAGCTGGGGCTATGGGCCACGAGTTGGTGCTTACGACCCGCATTAGCCAAAACAGCCCATCGTTTAGCCTGGCGCTAATGTGAGTGAGAGGACCAATAAGGACAACCTTCAAGTTGGGCGGATCAAAAACACCAGGCGTTCGAAGTCCAAGATTCGCAAAGATCGGCGCGACCGGCCGGAAAGCGGCAGGACCCGGAGGCGGCGTCTTCGCGATCGGCATGGCGCTCGTGACTACATATTATAGTACCGTGTGTCATAAGAGAAGCGGAGCCTGCCCTACCGAGATAAGCTTGTGCCCTACCGAAAGCATTTTATTGCTACAGACATGCGTTCGATCAATCCTGTCTCTAGATGCGTTGGGAGTGTGCTCCATGGTAAGTGGGCCGTCAAGCCGAGCGGACGGCACCGAGTGTACTTTTGTAAAGTACTCCGTGCGCCAAAAGGAATACGGCTATGCCGAGATGGCATTGGACAAGACTACCCAGAGATCCACGATGTGTACTTTGCCGACTCCAATGAGCAAGACTAGCTAGCGATAATTCGGGGAACCAGGGGCAAGCACAGCAGGGCCAAACATTAGTTAAATTAGAACCTGAATCCTTCGAGTCATTAGCCTCGAGTTCGGCGCTTGCACCCCTGTTCGCTCACACCTTAGCGTGTGGCGGGGCTATTCACTATACCATAGGTGCATGAAACTCGTCCAAATCTAGTAATGAGAGTACGTCGCAGTAGCAAACGCTCGCATCCCAGTCAAATTAAAGCCCCCAACGATGACCCATTTCATATCATTCCCGTCCCTCACACCAGTCACAAAGGCAATCTGTGGAGTTGTGCTTGAACCGTACACTGATCACCCACAATTGCCCTTGATTCACTTCACTTTCCCAAGTTTCAACACTATCCGTGTCGCTTGTCACCCGTGATACACTTGGGACTGTGGGTGAATCCTCACTTCCGGTCCTTGATCGTCCCCTGATCTGGGCTTCGCCTTGCGTTCTCACATCCAATCTGTCCAGTGTATTTGATCCCTTCGAGTCGCAGTAGGTTGGATTCCACCTTTCAGGTCTTATCGAACCCAAGGCAAGACCGAAAATTTATTTTTATAATCACTATACTGGAGCTCGCTCCTTCTCAGACATGAAAGCTTTGCACCTCAGCGCGATTACCTGCCTTTGGTGGCTGGCCTTAGATTGTGCTTCCGCCCTGAGTCCATGGGCCATGACCTGGTCTGATTCAACATTTGGGTTCGATGGCCCTTGGCATGCTGTCACTATCGGAATCGGGACCAACGACACAGAGCTAGCCATGTATCCGGGAGCCTCATGGCAAAGCTACGTTCTTCTGAACACGCTTTGCGACAACACGACTATCTCCTCGTACTGCTACGGAGATCACGCCGGCCTTTTCAACCCTTCCAGCTCGGCCACTTGGAACAACAAATCCATCGCTCTCCCCCTCACTTCGCGTGGTCGGACTTGCAATGGGGATACGCGAATGCGGTGTCTCACAAAGCTTATGCCTTTCGAGCTCTTGATTCCATAGATGTCGGTGGAATGAGCACAACAAACTCGAACTTCATCGCCATTGAACAAGGGTATCAGACCTACCCGAGTGGAAATTTGTATCCACTGGAGGCGGGTCTACTTGCACTAGGCGCTCATGATATCAACCAGACATTTAGTGAGGATTATGGACCGTCCGTGAATGGTACCTTTGTCACTAGCTGGCTGTATGAGCACGGTGTCACTCCATCGTACTCGTATGGAATGCATATCGGCTCCCCAATGTTCAAAATTCCTGGGTCTCTCTATCTGGGGGGTTACGATAAGAACCGAGTGATTGGGGATATAACCACGCAGCCAATCGACAGCGGAGAGCTGCCTATAGAACTGCTTGACATTGGCATTGGCGTTGTGAACGGCGGCTCCGTTTGGGGAGCCCCCAACATCACAGGCTTGATGGCGAAGTCTAATTCCTCCTTATCATCTGGGATGAATGTGGCAATTGATGCCACAAATCCATATATCTATTTACCTCGGAGCACGTGTGATGCCATTGCTGCGAATCTGCCTGTCTCTTATCGGTCCGACCTCGGCCTCTACACTTGGGACACGAACAACGAGAACTACACGAAAATTATCACATCCCCGAGCTATTTGGCCTTTAACTTCGTCAAAAACGACATCAACACGAAAAACATCACCATCAAAGTTCCTTTCGCTCTTCTGAATCTTACACTCTCGGCTCCCCTGGTGAACCAGGATACTCCTTACTTTCCTCTCATGCCCACTGACAGCAACCCGGTCCTGGGTAGAGCTTTTCTCCAAGCGGCTTTCTATGGCGTGCACTGGTCACAGAAATATTGGTTTCTGTCTCAAGCCCCGGGACCAGACGATAACTTCATCAAGAACGTTGTCAACATAGATCCAACTACGACCACCATCACTGGCACTGAGAACAGCTGGGAAGAAACTTGGGCATCCTACTGGACCGCCCTCCCTTCCAATGTTGTTATCAACAATTCAAACTCTTCAAGCCCTTCCCCAAACTCCTCTGTTAGCACTAGCCTCTCTACTGGTGCCAAGGCAGGCATTGGTATTGGCTGTGCGTTTGCTGCTATTGCAATCATTGGTATGATTGCTTGGTTTTGGAGACGTCGCCAGCAGAAAGCCAGACCTACAAACACTCTAGCACCTCAAGAGTATGCTAGGCCTCCCCTTATTGAAAGAGAATTGCAGCCTGCGGAGATAGCTGGCGGCAAACGTGATACCTGGCATGAATTGGATCATAACCCAAGCTTCACAGGCTATTATGGGAATGAAAGTTCAGGGCGAACGAGTACACAACTTGATCTACAAACCTCAACCAGAGCATCTCACGGGTTAATGAATCGTACTCCTGGTCCCTATGAGCTTGGTCTATAGACCTTGCTTGCGCATTCGCTCGGTCATCTACTATGCCTACAGTTTGCACAAGCCCTCAATCTAGAGCAGCCTCCCAGTCGTGCTACGATTGATGGACCATGTTCGACTTGACTCAGTGGTCATGCTATGCCACTAGCATCATTCCGTGTCCCCTAGCCTTGTTCCATATCGTGCGTTATTTAGACCCTTTTTGGTATAATATAATTTGTATAATTACGTCCTACATATCTCAAGGATTTCAACTGGTTAGAGTTACTAAAGTTGCTGGAGCTCCCACAATGTCGATAAGACAGGTAACGCAGCATGCGTGTATGAGGCCGAGAGTAAAATCCTACAGTAAATAGGTCCATTCTACATGGGTATTTGCACATCAGGAACAGTACTCGAAACCTTTGATATTGTTTGTAGATCTGCAGGCTGGATCCGTAACCTTGGAAGATCTCGTCCTCGAACAACCGCCCCTCGAAGCGGGTCTTCCGGTTCCCCCTCCGACCCTTCTCTCACCCGCTCTCCAGACTTCTTACTCATATCACCCACAATCACACTTCAAGAGCCATTCCAAAGCCGAGCAAGCATTAAGAACTAGACGCACACTAATAAATACCTTGATTGCGTCTGAGCAGACGGAGACCCCTGTTCTCCACACCCTAGGGTCATATGTGCTGGGATCCTCCATGAAAGAGAAACATGACGAATAAGTTATGAGAGTATACCTCCATACAGAAGTCCCTTCTTTACTTGTGAAATGGACTAGTTGTGACTTGAGATGCTCGGGAAAGTGGATCAGCCGTGCAGTCGTTTCATGATCATCTAGGATGAGGATAATTCGGGTCATACTGACTTACTAGCTTTCTAAACTGATGCAATAGTAAGGCAGCAAAGACAAAAACTATAGATTATCGAACCGTCTCAGCATATTAGTAGAGATTCACGATGGCCAGAACGGGGTCAATAGTGCCACTCCACATATACGAGAGAAGTTGCTACAAGGTCTGGAGCTACTTCGACCAAAGACTTTATAGACTGTTTGGGGAGCTCTTTCTTCCAGCCACTTAATTTGGTGCTAGTCCAATTTCCGGAAGCCCGCTTTACCATGAGCTGTGCCATGTTTTGCCACCTCTGCCAGTAAAAGCTTCGCAATAGACGGCATAGCGTTGTCGGCATCAATAAGAACTGCGAGCTTTTGAATGGTGTCGCCTGACATGACTGCGTATGTGAATGAATGAAGTTAGAGTGATTATGATTTATGCACCGGCCCTTCGGTCCTTCGGACGTTATTCTTGATGAAATCACATGTATTTGTTCGGCAAGTAATGAAGTAACAATGATCCCCTCGACCACCAGCTTGTGGTACGGCCGATTTTTCAACGAGTAATGGGATTACAAATTCTTGTCGGAGCAAGCTGTGACAGTATAGGTTAGTAACCCCAGTAGGTGAATGAGATAAAGCGTAGGCTTAAGCGGACCAATCTTGGATGCAAAGGTTGATTGATTGAAGTAAAAATGAATATATAGTACACAGGTGAGGCAAAATGCTATTTGAACAACGTCCAACTTGATGAAAGAAAGCAAGAAATCGAAGAATCAGTTAATTACTGGCGGGTTTAAGCTTAGGGGTAGGGCTTTATGCACAATATAAGTCCTCTCTAGTGTCTTCTGTAATCTGTTCTGGGGATGGGAAGGCCAGTTTATCTCCTGTAAGCATTTCCTGGTACTTAGCCTCTTGAGATATAACTATAAAGTAGATTATGATATCTACTTTGTAGGGACCGAGGTCATCTATGGATTAAAAGCCTTCACGGTATTTCTATTTCTATTATCGTCCACCTCGTATACCTAAATAAACGTTTTTGGGTAATCCCCGCTCTTGGTAGGATATGTTACGCTCAGTTACGAAGAGACAGACATCAATCAACGTAGTAGCATTTGACGAAACAACTAAGCATGGGAAAGGAAAGAAGGAGAGAGTGCGAGAGAACGAGAGACGATCTAAATACAAGTGGGATGCCTGCGGCAGCAGGCATCAAACCAGGCATCAGGCATCCACTCATGTGAACCGCCACAGGATATAGGCTAGCTGTTGCATAAGATGCGGCTGTGTCCTTAACCTCCTATACGACTAAGTCTAACCTAACTCTACTTACCTACTTAGCAGTCTAATCGCTAGAGCTACCACGAACGGGGAGACCTTACTTAGTAGGATTTATTATTAAACGATTATTCTTTTTAAGCTCTTTTTTTCGGCAAGTTTTATATAGGCAATTCGTTTCTCGCGGCACTTATAGTAAAGTATAAGTAGTATGCCGCTCTCTTCGCTGTCTTTCTATCCTAAGTGTTACGAATGAGACGATCGAGGACGGTGATTGGAAGGATGGTTGATGAGTTTGCTGGTTTGACATCAAGACGGGTGATAAGAGCAAACATGGCCGGATTGGGATGTTTGGGTTTATCAACAACTTCCCCCACCAGATAGATCTTTCCTTCCTTCTTTCCCCAGTCTTGATACTTTCGTCCTTGGTACCGAATTGATCTCTTTTCGATTGACCTGTAACACTAAGATAGATCTAGAGCTAAGCATAATGCTATAATTTTCTTAGGTATTCCGCCTAATAATAGTTGAATGTGAAGGGCTTAGACCGAATTGATTCAATTGGGTGTGGCCGACAATCTGTCTACCGAAAGCTTGAGGAAAGTAAACACATGGGGCCTCCGAAGAGGCTAAGTATAGGAGCCTGCACGTGACACACGTGATCAACATCGGGCTCTGGCCCGTTACAACTTCCGGGATAGAGTAGCTCGCCGGGATAAATAAATGCATCGTCTAGGATATCTATATTCTTATTATCTCTGCCATCATCCTCGTAAGAGATATTATTTTGGTAGGACCCACCGTCTTGGTACGGCATATTGTCTGCCTTGGTGTCGAAAGATTTCTTATGTAAAGGAAAGCTTTCATAGTGTGCTAATTTAGAGCCTTGATTTTGTTGGTTATTTAAAGGATCATCACGGTATCACCTATAAAGAAATACTTATAGTCTAGAAACTAGTTCATTTAATTTTTAATGCTAGTAGCCAATCATGCTTACCGATTGATTTCCGAAGTCTAGCCTCTGTATCGTTGAAGGGTTTAGTGTCTCTGGACTCCAGAAAGGCTAAAGAGGCAGTCTCGAGACGTTCTGTAGTCGCCTCGAAAACAGAAGCATCAATTAATCCAGTGGAGCCTGGTATATTCGCCCGTCGATTCTTTGGTCTAATTTGCTTATTCAAGCTCTTAAGCTGCTTAGCAGCTTGGTGCTGCTCTCCCGGTTTACTCTAAGGTGTGACGTGACTACAGGTCCGCAGGCCCCTACTGAGCTCTCAGTGTGACGGTTCACATGTGTGGATGCCTGATGCCTGGTTTGATGCCTGCTGCCGCAGGCATCCCACTTGTATTTAAATCGTCTCTCGTTCTCTCGCACTCTCTCCTTCTGTCCTTCCCCATGCTTAGTTGTTTCATTGAATGCTACCATGTTGATTTGATATCTTCGTGCCTGCGATGTAACATAAGGAATAGAAGTGATAAGAGGTGTCGCCGTGTTGTATTCTGTCGAGGATAGTGGAGTAGTAAATTACACCCGAAATAGTTTAGTTTCATTTGTGTCGTGATTTCTTTATTTCTACTAGGGGATTCTCGGAGAAGTGTCTTGGAAGGTATTATCCCTAGATGCCATTAGCAAGAAGAATGTAAGGAAATCCAGGAAAATGGATACGTCCTCCCTATATCTTTCGTACAAAGCGTGCACGGGAATATCCCGCGCCTTCTTCCTCTAATCCCCCTTTAAGTATTCTCGCGTATAGGTAAGAACAAGCATCGGCATTGTATCCACAATCTCAGTGGTGAGCGGAAAGTGCTAATACATATGTTAGCTCCAAAATAGGCTAATGGCTTTGGAGAGTCAACTTATAGCAAAGCAGTCATCACACGGGCCTCTAACGCTATATCAGTGCTATCTTCTCTGGGCACTACTAAGGCTCTCCGAGCTATAGACTCATGAACTTCACCTATCCTTATAAATGTGAAGCAGTAGAGTAGTATTGCTGCACTTAGTTACATTCTGGCTCTGTCAGGGATCTGATTGCGAAACTTGTGACTATCCCAACACCAGAGTTGCGTTAAGAGGATAATGAGGTCGCTAGGTGAAAAACTATCATGGTCCATTTCAGCGGTGGAAAGCGGGACTTTCTTCCGAAGCCTAATAATTGTGACAAATGTGATGTTCTGGCGAGAACAAAGGAGATCGGAAGACATGGGAATAGCCTCAGACGTTACCATTCACGGGTGTCTGCCTCAGTTGTCTGTTCGCTTGCTTTGAGGATGTTCGTGTACTTAAACCCTCTCTTCCTGGTGTGTCTTCCTTTCCTTCTTCTTTTTCTCCAGTCTTGATACCTTCGCTGAATCGTACAGTTCGATCCAGGATCTTTCTCGTGACCCGTAATATTAATAACGTACTAAGTAAATTTGGTTAGAGCGCGCATCACTAGAGGCACCATATCACGTAGTTCGCCTCTAGCCTCGTTAAGTGTAGTAGAAAATTCATTTGAAGATTTGCTGTCTCGTATATGCAACATCCCAGCTTGAAAATCCCTCCGGAATCTCTAGACGGTTTCGGCAGTGGGCAATGCCTTGATACGTCCTGGTTCCCCTTTAGCAACCCAAACGAGGAATGCTTTGTATGCTTAGAGGTCAGTGGGATTGTGGCCTAGGGATATAGATTAAGGAATTTGGGCGATGGTTTGTTAACGTGTGGAATCCTGCCTGGTACTAGGGGCGGACTTGTCGAAGAGGCCTAGTGCACGCTTATAATCACCCTCTGTACGTGGTAGAGTAGCCTGTCTGATTGGAGAGTTATAAAAATCGTTCAGGTTCACCACGTTGCAGGCGTAAGCCAGCATAGGGTGGTTTTGTTCATTGTTGCGTTCGACTCGAGGCAAGAAAGAAATGGCAGAAGGGTGGGAGAGGTGCAGGAACGAGAGGGAGCGAACAGGAAAAGCAGGAAGGAAAATGGGAAAGTGGTGGCCGTTCCAACATCGCGAAATCTTTCCCTCCATCAGAATGTGCTTTTGCACATTTGGTGGCAGGGCTTCACTCGTCTGGGTGAAGAATATTCAGGTGGGTGAACTGCCGCCTGAAACCCGAATGCTAAGGGCGGCGAGCCGCCCATGACCGAATGATGGGCGCTAGGTGAGCATCGCCATAGAATGGCTGTTGTGTGTCTGTGCTCACCTGTTTTCTGTCATTCGTTGGGACAATTGCGCTGGCCGCTTTACTCTTCAGCCTCTTTAGGCCCTTCACCTGAACACCCTGAAGACCCTCTCTTCTTCACCCGGACACCTTGAAGACCCCTGAAGCCCTGACGTGGCCCCTCGACTAAACTTTCCTCCTTCCCCACTCCCATTCCCACTCGCTTTCCCACTCGAGTCCTATGCCCTTTGTTTACTCCTTCCCGATGGCTTGAACGGACCCTGATCGGAGCTGATCACGGAAAATAGATTCACCGTGGCTATTACAACTATCTGGTCTGGTCTTGGTTATATATTTCTAAGGACGCTGTGAAGATTCTGACCGAAGAAGGGCTGCAGAAACAATTGGCTCGCTCCGATGCAGACAAACCTAATTAAAGAGCTCTCTCGTGTCCGAACCAGGTAGCTCACTAATTAATAGTGAATTCAATCAATAAAATAGTTTAAGTTTCTTCAACAAGGAGGTCCCTTCATTATTAATAGCCTACCAGATTAATGATTCTCTGCACACAGAGCCGTCTGAAATGAATCATATTTCGTGAATGCCTTGCGATAATAACTATAGATGTAGGACACGCTTAGGCAAGTACCTAGTCTTCTTTCGTTGGACCCCTGACTTGCCCTCATTATGTAAGGAGACTTATATTGGGTTACGCCGACTTCGTAATGCACATATATTAACATATCGTTATAGGTGTAGACCTATAGAGAGCCCTATCTCTAAAGAACTTTTGATGGTTTCGCTGTAAAGATAGAATTGGAAATCCTAACAAGAAGGTCTCACTGCTGCCTCCCGTATTGCTAGTCAAGGCGTATTGTATAATCAAAGCTGAGAATCACCCACCCCACAGTTGCACATCTTGCGATCTTAATGATTGCAGGCCTTGTTATGATGATGGATAGACTCCTCACATGGAATGCAATACTATTCAAAGACGGCGTTGCCCTTTCTAAATGCGGCCGTTGACCATATCACGCGGTATGGCTCAAGTCAGGAACGGCTGGTCTCATAGTAGTTGTATGCTCCTCTTATTTCTCACAATTGTGGCCACATTATCTACGACAGCCACATTTGCAATGTTCAGTGTCCATAATGTTGAGCATTCTCTGCTGAACTCAGCTGCAAGTTGGCCTCTGGCGCCAGTCTTTGAGCAAGACCTTGGTGGCGCCTGGGCTTTTCCACCTGGCTTGAAATATATTTACGAGTTGATTGCTCTGGACAATCGTCCTTTTAAGACTGCGTATATTCAAAGTCCCAAAAGTGAGAGAAAAGAGTACAATTCTGAAGCTCATTCAATATGGTTCCCGGAATCCGGAGCGCTTGGGAATACACTGTATCTCCGATGGCACTAGTAGTGCCACTACGCAGAGGAAGCAAGAAGGAACAAATCGATCAAGTTCGAAGCTATCTGAGAACTGTCTAGAGAAGAAAAAGGAAACAAAGAGAGAAGCAGGTCTAAATAGGCTGCTGGCCCAAACAGGCAAACGGGCTCTGCCCTGGAAATCTCCATCAATCTCACTTTGCACACTGGCGGTATTGGCTTGAATATATCGTCTTATCTTGACTACTCTGAAAGACCCAGAACCGGATGACGCGTCTACTAGGTATACATTCAATGATCTACATGGGAGGGTACTTGGTACTCATATTAATGTGAAATGCACCCACTATAACCCACACAGTGAATAGAGGCGCAATAAATAGCGGTTCATTCGACGGTTGGTACCAAATTTACATTGAGAAAGGGGCCAAGATCGAATTTGCCTTGCCAGCTATGACTGTCATTATCGGATCCGCTTCAGTGAACTATACGGGCACCCCGGTACTTATAATGATACTGTTTCAGGGTGATGTGCTCGTGTCTAAATGTACCTACTCTGGAAACGAATTACTACCTTTATTTCGCTCGACTCGCGCGTATCCCCGGATCTAGATTCTGGCCGAGATAAGCAATGGACTTTCCATCGATAACTACACTAAGTGCATTTTAGCACGCACAATTAACTGTCTGCTTTCTGTTCAGGGAGGCGGAACTCTGGCTCGTAGCTGGTAAGCATCCAAATTCTTCCCGGTAGTAGGGAAGACCGACCCATGGAATGGGCAGAGCGTTTTATTCAACCATGTCGCTTCTTAAAGACATTGTCGATTAATGAGAGAGGCGTCAATCGGTCTTTATTGGCAGGACATTGAAAAGACAGACTACCTAGAGAAAAAGTGTGCGAGAAGAAATTCCCTTCTCAAATATACATCCTCCTCTTTCGAAGCGCTAGCTAGAACATTGTCTGAGCTCTAGGAGAGAAAAGTGGATCTGGATGCACTAAAGGAAACTGTAATTGCATCTAGTAACAGTCCTAAGAGTAATAGTCTTTCAGTCTATGACTACGTCGTCGTAATTATGATAAGTATGCGAGCCTGTTCGCCATTTCAAGTAGATCCCAGGACCAATCCATATCTTATAGGAGAAATTAATGCTTGCGAGATAGGAAAAATGACTTGACCTATCGGAATAATACTACTTTGTGTCCTGGGAGCTTTCTTGTCCATCCCGCTGCACCGAAGACAGCAAATTTATGGTTATAAGAAGAATGATACATTCATACGGGGCCTTATAGTTCAACTCTACCCCTTAGTCTAATTGACATCACCAGCTAAATAAACAGATTTGTGCTCGTGAATCCAGATTTTTGCATATCAATCTGAAGTAAGGATTGAGTTCCAAGATGTAACGGCCAATTTCACCCTTGCATATTGTATCAATGAAGCTAAACAATTCTCATAATTCTCAGTTTTCACCAAATTCCATACCTGAGTCCCTCGAGCGAGCTGGCTCGAATAGAGACAACCCCATAATTATCAAGGACGATGGCGATATGCAGCAAAACCCAGAGGAAGATAACTCAGGCGCCGAAACAGTTCGCATGAGTACTCCTGAATACGAAAAAAAGACTTCTAATAATTGCTCCACCACCCCACATAGCGTGTTCTTTGCGGAATCTACTCAACCTTGTTTGAACTACAAGAGTTGTGGACAATTTGACTATATCAAAATTTCTCAAGCTGCTGCTGCTTGAATAGAAGGAGAATGAAAAGAAGAAGATATTAGAAATGGTGAGTGAATAATTGCTTGGTCATGTTTCCGAAGGATTCTTACCAAAACAATGCTATTCCAATTATCCAAAAGATTGGTTACAGGATATCATGGACCATTTTGAGGTCATGAAGGGAAGGTATCAGGTTAAATTCGTGATCCTTTGAGCAGGGAAGGAAGATAGATCCGCTTGCAAGACTAAATTAAGTAGGAAAGAAGAAGAAGACGAGGAAAGGAAAAGCGACCCTTTCATAGAAGGCAAACAAATACCGTAAAGGAAAGACTTGGCGGGCACCGGAGTCTTGGTCACCTGACAAGGGGATCTTCTATCAAGAGTATATAATTTACTTCAAAACTGCTCTCCCACATACGGTGACCTCAATTTCGCTCAAACTCTGCTTTTTAATCAGTCTAGTACTTGTATCCGTCTGCGAAGGACTGACGGGTTGCAGGATTGGTGTTGCGAAAACTTCGGGGAAGCTCTTGAGAAACGGCGAAGTGGAACTGATCTCCGGCTTAGTTTCAGTGATAGTCATTGGCAACTACAGAACCTAGACGCAACAGTAAGCAAGGAAAGTGGGGTTCGACGGAACTCTTGCTAAAAACGCCTGATAGATCAAAAATCCCAATATTCTTCAAACCCGACAGTCCGGATACAAACCTAGACCCTCCGTCGTCAGGGCGAGTTGGTTCTACCGAGCGAGCCTGTTCTAAGAAAGGGAAGAGAATCATTTATTGCGCATATTCCTCCAGAACTTTTTCCATCGTCTTGGTCCTTCATCACAAATTCACAATGTCTGCCAGTCCCCACGAATTGCCCTCGGCACCATCCGAACCAGCTCCACCTGTACCTCTAGCGAATGCCGACGCCCCTGTCAACGCGCCTGGTCCAATTGCAGTCGATAACTTTAGCGACGTAGGTATACTTGAGTTCTGACTGGCTATGACCCGGAAACTAAATCGCAACCACCTTGTAGGACACCAATAGTGAATTCGATGATGAGCTGTCTGATCTCACCTCCCTTTCGTCGAGTGTGCTCCAGTTCGAGTATGAAAATGGTCGTCGGTATTGCAGTAACCGCTCGGTCAGTTGTCTTGCTCGGACTTCCCTAAGCCATGCTCTTAGTACTAAGCTTCAATGACAAACTGACCCACGCCCAGGGAAATTATATGTACTTCTACCATTTTCTCTCGAAGCCCCTGGCTGTGAAGACTGACCAAGCTAGGATGCCAAATGACGAGGAGGAGCAGGATCGAATGGATCTGGCAAGGCATGATCCCCTGCGACATTTCAATTTCGCAAACTGACTCTTCCTTCAGACACATCACATGTCCGTGGCGTGAAGCGCACATTCCTGGCGAACAAATACGGCTAACCGGAGCGGTGCAGATGGTGGATGCTACTGGGAGGGGAGCTCTACAATGCTCCTATCAAGTCATCGCCGCAGAACATCCTTGACCTAGGAACTGGAACAGGCATTTGGGCCATAGAGATTGCCGAGTACGTGAGATCTCCTTTCCCTATCGTAACAGGCTGGCAAGACTGACTCCGGATGATAGGAAATTCCCCAGCGCCCACGTCATTGGAAATGATATTAGCCCTATTCAGCCCAGATGGGTGGCCCCGAATGTCGAATTCATCGTGGAGGACATCGAAGCCGAATGGGAATATGAACAAAACCACTTTGACTTTATCCACGCGCGATGCCTGGCAGGGTCTGTCCCTCCCACCAGTCCCCTATCATCAGCGAGAGTGATTTTCTGACACACTGGGCAGATGCATAGCCGACTGGCACGGGTATATCCGCCGTATCTATGACCACGTCAAGCCCGGAGGCTACTTTGAATCGCACGAGAGCGCTGTGTGGGCCTGGAGCGACGATGGCTCTCTCAAGCAAAATTCCGCTCTCATGGAATGGCAGCAGGCCATCAATGTCGCCGGCAATAAGAGCGGCCGGGAGCTGAACATCTACCATAAGCTGAAGGACTGGATGATCGCAGCCGGCTTTGAAAATGTCAGCTTGTCGGTCTTCGTGCTGCCGTTCTCGCCCTGGCCGCGCGACCCCCACCTAAAGGCCTTGGGGAAGTACCAGGCAGTGCAGTTACAGCAAGCCATCGATTCTTATTCACTGCGTTTGCACACGCAGGTGCTGGGCTGGAGTCCAGATGTGGCCAAGATTCATAATGCTATGGTTAAGCAGGAGCTGCGGGATAAGAGGTTGCATGCATATGTTCAGACGTACATTCCAACCCAACCCCTTCAATGGCCGAAGTACCTGTACTAACTATGAGCAGAGTTGCCGTGTATGGGAGAAAGCCGCTTCGCTTCTAATATGTGTTCTTCGAAAGAGCCAATTGACGACCACTCATGATGAAGACTTAAGTCATTCCAAAGGGTAAAGTGAATCTATTGCCTCTTGACTGTTATGTGATTGAATAACTCGAACGATGTGCTTCGCCTTATCTGTGGATCTTTTTGCGAGGCACCGTGACCTAGGGGGCTTCTCTCCCTGATGTTATCACAACGTTAAATTACTATATGTCGTATCCCACTTTAAAACCGGCCTTCTTTCTTCCTAGGCTAAAGCGAAAGTAAATCAAGATTCTGACCTTCTACTGGGTAAGATATCATTGGCCGGATGAGATAGTTGGTCATCATGTATTCCTATTAGATAACAAAATGTCCCTGTCCAACGGCCCTGTCCCGAAGCGCCCGGCCAAGATGCATATGACATCAGCATAATACGAGGAGAACTCAAGGCGAACATACTATGTAAATTTTCATTCCCTCTAAATAATTTCCTCTTGAATTCTTCTTGAAATTTATCTTAGACCCCCTATCAAATCCAGGAATCTCACAATGCGGATTACAGTTGTACCAGCAAGTACAAAAACAGGGGTAGCAACCATCAAGTCGCTACTCAGCAAGCCTGTGCAAGTTCGCGGGATCTATAGAGATCTTTCCAAAGTCCTACCTTCATTTTCAGCAGAGCCAAATTTCTCTGCTGTATAGGGAAATGCATCAGAGAAGGGTACGCTTGATCTAACGGGATCTGATGTTGTTCTCGTTATCATACCACCCGTCTTCGACGGTCGCGATCTGATCGAACATGCGGAGAAAGTATCTTCAAATATCAAAACCGCAATCGAGCTAGCTGGCAATGTTAAGAGACTTGTTCTACTCAGTAGTGGTGGAGCTGAATTCAGCGAGGGTGTTGTACGTATATTCAAACATCGGGTCTTATGATCCTGCTAACCACGAAGACAGGGCGAGATCAAGACAAACAATAAAGCTGAAGAAATACTACGACAAACAAAAGTTGAAAGTATTGTCTTTGTCAGATGTGCATATTTCATGGAGAACTGGACTATGAATCTGGCCACGCTGAAGGGCCCAGATTCATTCTTCTTTTCAACGATTACCCCGGTGGACTATAAAATCCAAATGGTCTCCATCTTGGACATTGGAACTTGTCTGGCCGAGCAGCTAACTGACCAAGCGAATCTACGAAAGAAACTACATATAGTCGAATTGCATGGTCCCCAAAAGTACAGCCCGCTCGACGTGCGGGCTGCATTTACACGGGCACTCGGAAAAGAGGTTGACTTGCGACCTGTGGAAAAGCACCATCTCCACCAGTTTTATGCGCAGATTTTCCCTCCCACAATTCTCGATTACTGGGTCGAAATGGCGATGAGTATCCTCCCAGATGGCAAACTCGGCACAGAGTACTTGCTTCGCCCCCGTGGCCCTGTTCTTTATGGCCGCACAATTCTTGAGACGGCCATCAAGGCGAGCTGCGAAGCATGATTCTCGTCAAGTACGTGAATTTCTCGAATACGAGCTATACTATTTCCTCTGGCCACACATGGTCAAACTTTTTCTGATATCTCGTCCACAACCTCAAAACAGTTGAGAGATGTAGCATAGCAGGTCCAGCTGGGAGCTCCATAGCTTCCGCTCTTAGATTTGCTGGGTTTTACGCAAATAGACTGCTTTGGCGCCATGTATGAAGCCCACAACCGGGATCGCCGTCACGTTAAATTAATGTATCTGCTGTGCTCCAACCTGGGTGCTCTATCGGGCGCACGAGAAAGGAGTTGCGTATCGCTCACGCCCGAACGATGGACGCTACATGAGGTCGGCCAGCCATACTGTTGACTGTTGACTGTTTCATAGCTCCTCTTTTCCTTTTTCCATATTTATTTTACGAGTCTTTTTCGGCTGTGTTAGCGTGGAAGGTAGCCAACGAAGCCAACCAATAATGGATCTTGGATCATTTCATGTTCATGTGTTTTCATCATTCAGAATTCTAAGGTCTCTATGATTATTTGCATGCAACAGAATTTCCGAAACGCCGGGTGTAATATCCCCATGAAGAAAAGAAATTTTGACCTCTCTAGCCAAGACTCATGACCGCAGCACACTCATGCTGCATTTGGCTTGCCCCCACGGCCTCCGCCGCGACGATTTCCACGGCCACCTCGGCCGCCACCACCTCGACCACCACGGTTCTTCTCAACACCACCTCGAGGACCTCCGTGGCCGGCACCAGGGCTGAGAGCGTCGCGTTTCTTGCCATGCTGGTTACCATTCTGGTTGCCGCGGTGTCTGGGAGCACTGTATCCATTCAGGTCACTTCCGGTAGCATAGTTGAATCCAGGGACACCCTTCAGACCCATCTTGCCAATAACCTTCTTGTCCATGGGCGGGGGCTCAGGGCAGGCCATACCCTTGATGGCCAGCTCGTTGGCGAGTTGGACCAAGCCGGGCTTATCAAGACGGACCTGCTTCAGGAGACCGGATCCAGCAAAGAAACCAATGTAAGAAGAATAAGCGCGTTGCTTGGTTTCTTCGTCAATCTTGTACATGGCCTGGGTAGCGGTTGCCGCGCACGCAGTAGCGCCCTCGAGAACTGCGTTGGTCTCGGGATGAGGCTGGATGGGCAAGTGACGGTTGACCTTCATGAAGAACGACTCGGCAGGGGTGAGGAGGATAATGGCACGGCCATCATTGCCCGCACGGGCGGTACGACCGACGCGGTGAACATACTGTTCGCCGTTAGATGGCAGACCAACTTGAACAACCAAGTCGACGTTGGGGAAATCCATGCCGCGGCCGATGACATCCGAGGCGAACAGGATTCCGGCAGACGCCTCCTTGAATTGAGCAGTGGTTCTCGTTCGAGCTCCCTGGTTGAGTCTGGAATGGATCTCGAACACCTTCAAGGGAGTCAAGCCTTGGGCAAACACCTTCGCCAAGAGGGCAACCATATTCGCAGTAACGCCAAAGACAATGATCTTGGAGCACTGCTTGCTCTCCAGGCTCAGCAGAGATGTGAGTGCAGTAAAGGTCTCTGCCACAGATGGTATGATGACGTGGTATTGGGGAACTCTTTCATGTGTCGGAGTTTCATTCTCTTGGATAGTCGAAATGCTTGCGTAGCCTGGGTTCAGAACCACATTGACCACATCCTTGACCTTGGGCGGGATCGTGGCCGAGAAGCACATGCCTTGCCAGCCGTTTTGCTTCTTGGAGGGAATCATCCTCAAGATTTGCTTCACATCGGCCAAGAAGCCGCTCTCGAGCATGGTATCAGCCTCGTCCAACACCAGGGTTTGGATGTTTGACAGCCTCTCGGCGGTGTATTCATCAGACAGGTAATCCTTCAGACGACCAGGGGTCGCGACCAGAACTGAGGGTGCCCCATTCATGAAACGAGAGTGAGCAGATGCCCGGGCCGTTCCTCCGACAGCAATGTGACACTCCAAGGGCTGGTCAAGTTGCGATGTCAATTGATCACATGACTTGGCGATCTGCTGGGCGAGTTCTCGGGTTGGAGTAATGATCAGAATGGCGACCTGGCCTCTGGGAGGTGCCGCCCGAGCCTCCAAAAGACAGTGCAAGGCTGGTAGCAAGAAGGCCAGAGTTTTTCCAGTGCCTGTTTTGGCTTGGACTAGGCAGTCGGTGCGCCAAGTGGGAAGTTCCGTCAAAACACGCTGTTGGACTGGCGTCATGAATGCGAACCCCATCACGTCGAGGCCTTTAAGGAGTCTGGCATCCAGCTTCCCAGCCATACTCGAGTACGGCTGAGCATCATCTTGAATCAGAATACCTTCCATCATGTGAGGTTTAATGATTTTGAAAACCCCCAAGAGATGTGTTTTTGAAGGAAAATTTAAAGGTAGGGACGCCGATAAGGAGTTATGCCTAATCAGGGCAGACTAACCTGATCAGGTAATATACGGGTCGAGGATTCACAAAATGCGCGTTAGCTGATTGGCTGATTTTACATGGTTGCAACAAACATAGCAAACATAAAGAAAATGTGAAACGGAACATTCCTTTCAGAAAACCTATATACCTTGAAGGCTACAAACTACTGCGGCTGCTCTTTATCGCTAGGACCTGGTCCGATATCTAATATTCGTGACCTCATACTCGACCTTTCAATGAATTTCATATCCGGTGGCCTCTCGAAGGCATCATCCTGCTGTAGACTTCTCGACATTTAGTCATTCCTTGGTAGTTAGACCACAAGATTGATGCAATAAAATTAAAACATTTTCTCAATATTATCAAATAGTTTACATTATATTCTTGCCTCCATACTACTTGAGCAGTGTTGATTGAGTACAGGGGGCAAAAAAGATACAATCCCATTCAATCATAAATTCAAGTCTTTCGCAAGGTAGTACGAAGTACCCTGGGTATGATACCATTCACAACACCTCTCTCATCCATATTGAAAACAAATTCATCAATGCCCACATTACCATATACTTGCCCATCAACAGTGACCCACGTGATGCAAGACGAGGTAAAAGGCCCGTTCCCAGCCGTAGACAGTGAAGGAGGCATCAAAGCCCGGAACGATATCTGACCGGGACTCTCAAGGCCAGTCGGATACAACCGAATGCCAAAGGTGGAGGGATCGCTAACATGCCCAAGGGTCATCAATGACTGGATCATGTCCGTTCTATTATTGACCCAACTTGTGATCAGCAATCCGGGTCCGTCATCTGTCGTGATTGCTATTGAAGAGTTTGTGCTATCGGTTGCAGTATATTCTCCAGCATATCGTGCGGCGGCTTGATTCTTAGCACTCGCTTCGAGAGCAGGGAGAAGTAAAGCCGAGATAAGATCAGATGCCAAGGCGACTTTTGCGTGACCGTCCGCGCCTGCAGCAAGAACTGTGAAGCCGACATTGTGATCTGGTGAGAGGGCGATGATGGATGAATAGGTGCCGATATCGCCTGCCTTTGAGTAAATGTCGATAGGGCGCTCATCGCCAAATGAGACGATCTCCCAAGGTGCTCCCACGGAATAATCCAGTGATGATGTATGGGTGGCAGGCTTCATCCATCGTCGAGTAATGAATTTGGGAAACAGTGAGCTACTGAGGATTGCTTGACCCAGAGTTGCCATGTCCCTTGTACTTGAGTAAATACCTCCGGCACTAGATGAAATAATGTTAGCTTTGGACGTTGATGGGTCGAAGGTCGATAAGGCTGGACTTACGGTCCTTCGTCGCCGAGATCGAAATTCCACCAGTATTCACCAGAATCATTAGGAATCACCCCAAGTGATGTGTTGGGCGTCGTGTAGTACGTTCCATTCAACCCTAGTGGTGCAATAATATCTCGTTGCAGTAGCTCTTCGTATGACTGATCAGTCATAGCCTCCAACGCATACGCAAGAATCTGGAATGCCGCGTTCGAGTACACTGGAGTCGAAGAAGTCGGTACAATGGGATGGCTTTGAAGCAGCCCATTGAAAAATTCTACATCAACTCTGCTTATTAGCCTAATGGATATAGCTGAGGGCAGAGGTTTTGTTGACTCACGCTCTCTGCTGCAGGGATTTGGATTTCCACATGGTGGAATCTCAGACGGTTGGAGCGGAGGGAATCCCAGTTGCTCCATCTGAGAAGCCATCCCCGATAGATCAAGTACACCATCTAGATAATTGTATCACAGTAAGTCCGGCAGGCTTTATAATGACGGAAAAGGAAAGTACGTACAATCTCTGGCAATGCCAGCCAAATGGCTTGCCAATTCTCCCATCGAGACCTCTCCCCAATGCACATAATCAATGGCATCCCGTCTCTTCCGCGGATCCCACTGAAGTTTGCTAGCAGCCTCATGTAGCTCAGGGATAAATCTTACAATCGGTTCCTGAAAAGGCCAAAGACCCTCTTCCACCAGGAACAGCACTATTGTCCACAGCTTTGACACACTCCCCACACGGAACACTGTATCTTGGTCGACTGTGCTGACGCCAAGGGTGGTGTTGATATTATTAGCAGTGTAGGCAAAATTCAACAATGGTCCTGCATGGGTTGCATCGAATATCTGTACTGAAATCGAATTCTTGGATAGACTGCCATTGCTCGTGGTTTGGTCGAGGATTGACGTGATATCTAGAACTGCCGTGGCAAAGGTTGGATCGTTTGAAAGATCTGTAGGAGGTGGGTAGACTGGCCCGAGGAGAGGACAATAGTTGGGAGACTGTGCGCTGGCAGAGCTGAATAGTGCTAGCGAGATGGATATAAAGCTTGTTGTGAATGAGAGCATTGTGAATTGAAGAATTGGAAGTCAGAGGATGACAATCATCAGCATATCATGTTTTGAATTGGAGAAATTTGTTGACCTGGTTATACATTGCAACCACCATCAAGATCTAATCTCGCTTCAAGTGTCATTGCTGCGGACTGGCACCTGAAGAAGAAATACTACCATACATCTACTCCGGACACGTATGCAATGCTCACATGGACATGATGAAATTCTCCTTCGTTGTGCAAGGCCTAGTCTGTGATCGAAGGGGTGGAGGGGAAGTACAAGCCATCCCGACGTGGGATTCACTCGATGGGTAGGCAAAAAAGGAATTCGTCGGCTGGAGATTGAAAGGTTCGAGCATTCCTAACATCTAGAGGAATGTAGGTGGTTGAAAGTCGAGGCGCGCCAAGTACCTTGATTTAGTTAGGGATATCCTTCAGACTCCCCCTTAAATTTTCTCCTAGACGCTATTAATGATTAGAAACAGATACCCTAAACAGTGGTTCTCATCATCACCACGTGAAATGTCATACAAATATGACAAAAAGCTTAAGTTAAATCGTTGGTGGTACAGACCTGACGGCACGCGATCGACTCAGGGTCCTGACCGTTGGAGGCTAATGTGACATCGGGGACATCATTCAGACTCAATCATCTTTTCAGGCCCACAACCTCCTTTGGAGGCGTTCATAAATACCCGACCCTTAACGTGCCCTTCTTGTCCAACACACCATCGGCGTATTGAACAGGACATGTGTCAACTTGTAGCAACATCATCCCTTCCGACCTTGCTTAACCCCCAGAAATCCAGGTGAAATCACCCTCTTCAACTACGGGCATTACAGTCAATCCGGAACAAGAAAATTGAAAATTCAATCAAAATATGTGTGAATTTCTAATCATAAACAAAGAAAGCTATCATCATCATAACCTAAATTTTTTTGGTCCCAAAAAGGGTATACCCGAAACCCCGCTCATCCAAGCCATAATCCCAATTTAGTGGTGGAACAGACGGACACCCTGCTCAACGAAGGTAATACCCAGCTTCTCAGCGGTCTCGAAGACGGGAGTGTCGTTCTGGCTGCCGGTGGGGGCGGCAATGTACTTGACACCAGAGCGGGCGGCGCGGAAGACGTTGTCGATGAAGGGGAACTAGGGCGGATGATCAGTGCGTATTCTAGTAGTAGAAGGTACATTTCTCAAGGGATGATAACTTACGAAAGCATCGGAGGAGACGGCCACCTCGCCGAGCTTCTGGAGCCAAGCATCACGCTCCTCCTGGGTGAAGGGAGCGGGGACCTCCTCGAAGACGCGCTCGTACTCGACCTTCTCGGCCTCGTTGCGAGGGGTCTGTCCGGAGCAGAGCAGGTCAATGGCGTTGCTCTTGTCGGCGCGCTTGGTGCCCTGCTTCCACTTGATGTTGATGACACGGTCGTGGAAGCGCATCCACCAGTTGTCGGCCTTGTCGCCGGCCAGACGAGTGCAGTGGATACGGCTCTGCTGGCCGGCACCGAGGCCGATGACCTGGCCGTTGAGGGCGTAGCAGACCGAGTTGGACTGAGTGTACTTCAGGGCGATGGTGGCGACGGTCAGGTCACGGAGAGCAGCCTCGGGCAGGGAGGCGGTCTTGGGAGTGATGACGTTGTTGAAGGTCTTGCTGGGAGAGATGACAACGTCGTTGCGGTGCTGGGTGAGCTGAACACCGTACAGGGTGCGGCTCTCCTCGGGAGCGGGGTTGTAGTTCTCATCCATCTGAAGGACAAGGTACTTGCCACCCTTCTTCTTGGACAGGATCTCCAGGGCCTCGGGCTCGTAACCGGCGGCAATAACACCGTCGGACACCTCGCGAGAGATGATCTTAGCGGTGGGGGTGTCGACGATGTCGCTCAGGGCGAGAATGTCACCGAAGCTGGACATGCGGTCAGCACCACGGGCACGGGCATAAGCCTGAGCCAGACCAGAGGACTCAATGCCCTTGATATCGTCAACCATGTAGACCTTGCGCTCCTTCTCGGTGAGAGGAACACCGATAGCCGCACCGGCGGGAGAGACGTGCTTGAAGCTGGCCGCAGCAGGGAAACCAAGAGCCTGCTTGAGCTCCTTGACCAGAGGCCATGCGTTGAGGGCGTCAAGCAGATTGACGTAGCCGGGAGAACCGTTCAGGACCTTGAAGGGCAGCTTGCCCTGGGGCATGAAAGCGGAAGCGGGCTTCTGGTGAGGGTTGGTACCGTAGCGGAGAGAGAGCTGCGACACGCCATTGCCAGCATACTCCTTGCGGAAGAAGCCAGAGATAGCAGTGTCATAGTCGGCGGTCTGCTCGAAGGCCTTCAGGGCGTACTGCTTGCGGCTAGCCTCGGTGATCTCACCGGCCTCGAGCTCCTTGAGGAATTCAGGGTAGTCAGTGGAGTCCGACAGGATAGTAACACGCTTGTGGTTCTTGGCTGCGGCGCGGAGCAGAGTCACACCACCGATATCAATCTCCTCAACGGCCTCGTCGATGGTGACGTTGACCTTGGCGACGGTCTCCTTGAAGGGGTACAGGTTGCAGACGACGAAGTCGACCTTGGAGATCTTCTGCTCGGCGAGGTCCTTCTCGTCGGACTCGATGTTTCGGGCAAGGATACCGCCGTGCACAGCGGGGTGGAGGGTCTTGACACGGCCACCAAGCATCTCGGGGGCGTTGGTGATGGCGGAGACATCCCTAGAAAGGTATTGTTAGCTTGGGTATCTCTAAGATCAAGCATATACTTCGCATAGATCGTAATCACTGCGTTCATATGCTTGATTCAATCGCACGAGACCACAAGAGCATACTTACTCGACAGGGAAGCCAGCCTCACGGATCATCTTGGCGGTACCGCCAGAGGCAAGAAGGCGAACATTCTGCTTGACCAGGCCCTTGGCCAGATCCAGCAGTCCCGTCTTGTCGTAGACGGAGATGATAGCTGTTCCAAAGGAAACACAAGCAAGTCAGCATTGACTCCGGGTATAGACCTCCAGACAAGCAATGATCCGGGGAACAATATCAAGGCCAAGCGCGCCTACCGGACTTCTGAGACATGATGTTGGTCGACACTGCAAGCTAGTCAGCAAGCCAGACCTCAAGACAAGCTTCAACTAAGCTTCAATGGGGATCAAAACGGATTTCTCATACCTGAATCCAAGCAACAATGGGGTATGGGAGCTTGAACGAGAGTGAAAAAGAAATAATTCTGTCCCGCCGCGGGGTTCGGCCGCAATCGGACGGGGGTGGTAATGTGATACGGACGGAATACCATCAATACACACCAAATGGCGATGCATATGGGAATGAAAAATACGGTACAGGCAGCGCATCATCGGGGCCCAATCGCCAGAGTGGAGTGAGTCAGCAAGGTCAGGTGACCTGACCCACGGGCGCCTTCAAAAACAATTTTTCGCCGCGGAGATTTCCTCTTCTTTTTCTTTTCTTCTTCATGAACAACGCAAAATAACAACATTCTTCTCAAAAAGCGTTCCTACGAGGACTCGTCCAAGGAAGTACGGAAATCGTCATAGAGAATGGAGACCAAGTGCAGCTTGACTGGACAGGGTCGATCTTGGGTGCAGTGCCTGCCTGGCCTTCGGGTTCATGTGGTAGGAATTGCAATGATTGATTCTACAATCCACACGTAAAATTCTGAAATTATTTTAGCCGATCAATGATATTCATTTTTCTTCTCAAATATCCAATGTTCAGCCTGGGAGCCTTTCGTATTACATCTATCAAATAATTGGACAAATTTCCGTATAATAAACATGCCATTCCGAACATCAACAAGTTGCCTAAGCGTCTTCATGGGTCCCGGCGACGATGCCGGTCTTTGGAAAGACTGCATATCTTCATGACTTGAGGGTATCTCTGCTGCGAGCGCCAATGGCGAGCTGACGGCCAATGTTGCCGAAGCACACGCAGGCGCAGAAAATGACACTGGCGACCCAAGTGCGGACCGCGATGCTCTCCTGTGAAATCTCTGCCCCCAACGCATGCTCCCACCCAGTTCCATTCAGAAGTGTGGTGCCAAAGGTCGGGCCATTGGACACGGGAATCAGCTCTGGCTTCAATCCCAACACCACGCTCATTCCGGTCAGTCCAACCGCGGTGGAGAGGAGGAAGCCGGTCGAGGTGCGGTCGATCAGGTACCAGAGTACAGGGTTCGCAAGGGCAAGGGTCAGGGAGGCTTGGGTAGTAGATTGCCAAGGGAGACGTCGCTAGAAAGACTTGATGTTAGCAGTCGATCAATTTCAATCGGGCCTGGTTGATGGATCCAGAGGGACAAAAAAGAGGTTAAGGGAACTGACCATAGCAAATGCAATGCCGACAAATGCACCAACGCTGCGAGCGACGGCGACCCATGATGGTGTGCGGTTCGCATCATCATCATCCTCCTTCGAATCATCCTCCGCCAACTCGCTGTCGCGCAAACTGTCCAGCCAAGGCAGAATATTTCCCAAAGCAATGCCCGCCATTCCCCAGAAACCCAGGTATTGCCATGAGTCGTAGTAGTGGATGTTCTCCAATTTGACCGGAGTAATCCAGTGGTTATCATGTAAATGCACGGTGATGACTCCGTAAACAATTCCGAAGCCGAACAGGAGCGCACTGCTCAACGCTTGAGGCAACACAACGCCACGGAACAAGCCATGACTCAGTCGCGAACGTGTCCGCCGCAAAGCAAGCCGACGTGGTTCGATGGCAGACTTCACTGCCGCACGCTGCGATGGTTCCGGTGGATGTTGTGCGGCAGGAGTGTGGGCCTCTGTGCCCCAGGGGCTGGACTCATCACGGAGGCTGTCGAACGCGGTCGGAGAATAGATGCCGTATAGGGTTGAGGAAGTCAGGTTCAAGATCGAGCCCGTGCGACTCACACTGGCCGAATTGGGAGCCGTGTCCGCGCCCGGAGGGTTGAGGAAATCGGCGTTGGAAGGCTCGCTCGGCGTGGGAGGTGCGGAGGACTCGTTGGACGCAGGTGTGACCTCGAAGGCGCGTCTTGGGCGTGGCCGCAGAATGCGAGGCAGTTCCGCCATCGTGTACGGGCGGTTGCAGGTACACTCTTTTCTCTCTTGGGTTCCGACAGCTGGTGCAAGGGATCGTGTCGACCGGGGAGCCAAAGGGGATCCTCTGAAGAAAATCAGAGCCTCTGATTGTTGGGTGGAATTAAGATCGCGGTTCGTAACGATGCAATTCCGCTATAAAGAACCCCGGAAGAAGATGAAGATACTTAGGGGGCAAAAAAGGGTCGAAGGAGGTAGCTTGAAATGCCAGTCGTGCGGCGCGGCGCTGCGAACGGACTGTTGTCAGCAAAATTCTCGGCGGAATCGTTTGTTGGGCGGAGCGGCACACACGCTCGGAGGTACCTGACAGGGCGGCGGTCCTTACCAACGGCAGCAGCAGAACGGGATACTTCGTTCTGTAGCCGGTACTTTGAGCAATGGATGTGGTGTTTGGGGGGTTGGACTGAGAGGAATACGAAGTCAAGGTGAAACTGTTGGGAAAGAGACACGAATACGTCAGCGATGGCGGGCGCAAGAGTCACCTTCGGAGGGTGGACTGTCGGAGTCGGCGCTTGGCACTCCCGAACTTTTGATCGGTTCTGTTCTTACCTCCTTTTGCAGTCTTGACGAGTTCCTTGGGAATCCACCCAATTCGGTTGGCTGGCGAATAGCAATCGAATAGTTCAAGGTTGTTATTAGTCCACAAACTCCGTGTTTCGTGGTCTCTTGGTCTTCCCGAGGTTTGATATGTGTGATGGAAGCTGGTGACTGTCCTGAGGTGGCCGCTCAAAGTATTCTAGTACTGTAGTTGTTCTGGTCTCACACACGTAGGACTGGAAAGGACAGAAACGAGAAGAAGGCCGATGAAAACAGAAAAACAGAAAAGAGGAGAAAAGAAGAGGGGCCATCACATGCCTCGATGTCAGTCCACTGCAAGCTGCAGCTTCGACATCTTTCCTGGTGTCACGGTGGATCACAAGAGGACAGTAGGATCCTGCAAGTACCCCCCACTGGAGTAATTCAGAACCTCGTACAGTAGAAGTAGATCTCTCCGTATTTGGATGCTGCTGCTGCTACTTCTGCTACTGCTGATCTCGCTCTAGGCTTTGAGTCTCCCGAGCTCTATGGACCCTGCCCTCTACATCCTTGTTATGTGTCTTCTAGTTGAAGCCTACCATAGTCTAGACGCAGTCCCCCATTAGAGGCTTGCTAAGAACCACCAAGCAAAGTCAAATCTACCCTCCAGGATCTGGAAAAGGCACCTGACATACCTTTTCCTCCAATTTTTCAGGGCCTGAGACTCGAGATGTATCAGCCGCCGATCCAATAGACTTCGAGAAGCGGCGCTTTTACGAGATGCATCCTTCTGCAGGTCTGTGTAAGCCATGATTCGAGCAAACAGTGACAGTCAGCAGCGCAGCTAACTAACTAACTTAACTAACTAACGTTAACGTAATTAATCAGGCCACGCTGACTTATTCCCGCCGTCCTATTAGAGAAGGAAGAAACCTCCTACCGTGCTGTATGACCAAAAGCCCTTGCTTCCTGTCAAGGCCTTTTTCTCCGACTTGGCTTGCCTTAGGATTGGTATCCATAATATTATGTGCGCTACTTATTAAGTTTCCCACACACCGACCGAACGTGAATATGGGCCATCGTTTCCTTTGGCTGGCTGGTTTCGCATGCCTAGGTATTTGTCATAGCATGTTCCCTCGCATGGAATCATGCCAAATCAAAACCGGACCTCTAATTTGACGATAAAATAAAAATAAGATCCTCCATAAGTATAATTTTGTAAAGAAAGTTCCTTTGATCCAGTACAAGATACCGATGGGGTTTGACACCTTGCGCGGCCGATGAACCGTTTCATACCCACGACATGGTACATGCCTATGAACAACTATTATATACAGGTCGTGAGGCAATGCCTAGAATACCGTGCAGTCCTGGCTGTGAACCTATCAGTGGCTCTCCATAATTCATTTCTTGACACAAGAGGCTCATCATGTATAAAGACAACATTTTGCGAGATCTTCTTCGGGACCTTCTAGCACTTTGATCCGGCCACGATCCCTCGGAATACAAGGGAAATGATACTATAGGGTCCCAGAACGTTGCATATTGCATTATCTACAGATATATTTGGACGACAAATCATTGAGGCTCCATGGCTATCTCATAATATCCGAGCACGTTACTTTGTCACCCCGAGGCGTCGAAGTGAGTTCTCTAGAGCGAGTTTGCCCTGACTTGAACCACCCTGTCAACCATCGAATCCGGATACTCGGAGATATGGGTTCCTCCAATTGAGTGAAAGACTTAATAGATTGGCTTCAGTATCATCGTACAGAGGAGTAGAGTGTCTAGGCCTTTGATGGTTATATAAGGACAGCCCTCAGCACTGCTCTAGCATGTCCACCAGCTCACTTACTCAATCCTTTCCCAGAACGAAAGCACAATAAAACTGCATATTACAAACAAAATGCATACCCTATTTACTACACTAGTCACCCTTTTGATTCCCGCCGCCCTCGCAGCCCCTAGAATCACCCATCCCAACTCGGACATCGATATCTCGGTGATCCCTTCCGAAGTCCTCTACTACTATCGATTCCACCACATCCCCCTTGACGTCTACATCGACGGACTCAGAGAGGAAATCCTGCTCAATGAGACCCAAGATGCAGTAATCAACGCTATATCAAACGTAACATGCGGTCCCAACGAAATTGGTGTCTGCCCATCCCCGCAATGGTACTGCGATCCGGATGTCGGCAAATGCCGACTCAAAAAGCTCATCGGAGACGGCTGCCAGCGCGACGATTCTTGCTTTTCTGGCATCTGTCATTCCAGATGTATCAAGCCTGAGCGTCAATTCGGAGCTAAGTGCATGGATGATACTCATTGCAATCCGGGACTGGTCTGTCGGTATGGCTTGTACAATCGGGATCATAGGCAGTGTCTCGACAAGATGAATAGGTTCTATGGCGTCGCCTGCACTGATAATAGTGACTGTGATACGCCGCTTGTCTGCAACGAGGTCACGGTGGGAGGAGCGAAGAATATTTGCAGTCTGCAGGAGGACCTTACTGGCGCTGTTACATGCATGGGAAATGGTGAGTTCTGTGGAGCGGACAGTCAGTGTTGCTCAAACAAGTGCCAAGTGACGGCCACCAGCCGTATGCCGCGATGTATGGCGTAAGATGTTGTGTTCGTCTGTGCTGGGGTCAACGTCTTGGGAAAGTTGTTAAAGAAGTGGTATCTAATCGGTCTCGTTGGTGACTTGAACTAATTTGTTTTGCCATTGGACGATGTTCTTAGCTTTTTCTTCAGTACTACTCAAACTAATTGCAATTTTTTCATGTTTAAATTCAAGAAAAATAGAGCTTCTATGAAGCGCAACGATAAAAGAATAAACGGGTCTAGAACCGGACTTGTCGGAATGATTCAAAGTTGAGGTTCCTTTGAGATGTTCCTTAGATGTCGAGTGGGAGTAATGGCAAGCAACTCTTAGGATTGTTACACATCGGATTTGGTCCTGAATCCCGAGATCAAACGGTTTTCGTGGGGTACATCAATCTGATTACAATGTACCTGTGGTACAGACATTCTTGTGTGAGAACAGCAGTTCCAATAAGGCGCAATAACAAATGGTATAACACCCATTCGTCAAATGTCTTTCGGATACCTATATACTATTGCTGAACGGGTCAATGGAAAGAGGTAAAGTTATGACTATACCTACAATGCGTAAGAGTATAAATAATGCAACTATCCATCCGAGGCACAGAAATGCCGACGAAAGTTCAATGATAAAAAATGGCCGATCTTCTATGATGATTAGTCTTCATCCGTTCCCGTCGGCCGGATTCATTTGCCCGAAACGAATTAGACTTTACCGACACCTGCCTCAACTTCAACTCCTTGAGGCTTGAACGAATGTTCATTAGAACTTGTAGCGGTTATTGACGATCTACTGGCCTATAGGCTATTCGCTCAGTCATGCTGTCCATCAATATCACACAATATGCCACACCTCAAAATTATGAGCTGAGCGAGCTTCCCGCACCGACCGTGGACGATCCCAATGACATCCTCATCAAAGTCCACGCAGCTAGTATCAACCCGATCGACGTGAAAAAGGCATCCGGTGCTTCCAAGGCGGTATTAAAAGATAGGTATGTCCTCGCTATTTCATCCTCTTAGATGAATGTCTCTAATTGCGATTTGCGACAGCTTCCCGTACAAGATCGGCTACGACTGCGCTGGCACCGTTGCAGAAATCGGATCTCAAGTAACCCGTTTCAAAGTTGGCGATGAGGTTTACGCTCGACTACCTGAATGCCATCGAGGTGATTGAAGAAGAATTCCTTTTAGATGATCGGCAACTAACGTGGGCTATTTGAATTCAGGGACGTGGAGTGAACTGGCCAAAACGACCGAAGACTTTGTCGCTTTGAAGCCAAAGAGCCTGTCCATGGAAGCTTCGGCATCAATTCCATTGGCGGCTATGACCGCTCTACAGGCTCTTCGGGGGTACCCTGGCAGTCTCGAGGGGAAGACTGTGTTTGTACCTGCTGGCTGTATGTTTCCTGTGAACCGTACGGTTGTACGACGAATGCTTACCTTGTGGCAGTGGGTGGCACCGGACTATTCGCCTGCCAGTTGGCCAAGAATGTGTTCAAGGCCGGAAAAGTCATCACAACCGTTTCGACATCCAAGGTCCCTCAAGTGAAGGAACTTCTAGGTGATGGAGTCGTGGATGAAAGTAAGGCATTCGCTATTCTCCCTAGCCTTTTGAGACAGACTAACGAAAATGAACAGTCATCGACTACAGAAAAACGGACCCAAAGACTGCCATCCCTCCGCAGTCGGTTGACTTTCTTTTTGATACGACTGGAGACTCCATGACCTATCTGTCGCTCATGCGAAAGACAGGTGCCATCGTTTCCATCTCCATCCTGACTTCGGGAGATACCTTGCAAAACTCAAGTCTCATGCGGCTATCACCTGACAAGAATAACAGAGCGACAGTGCCATTCACTGTCCGCGTCGCACTGAATGTGCTGGATCGAATTCGTACGATTCGTGCATCACGATATGGTGTCAAGTACTCGGCTATCTTTCTGGAACCCAACGCCAAAGATCTGGAATCCATTCATGAGTGGGTTGAATCGGGCCAACTACGTACAGTTGTTGGAACAAAAGTGCCTTTCAACGATCTTCAGGCTGTTCGCGATGCGTGCCAGGTTGTGTATGACTCGAAAGGTGGAGTTGGAAAATCGGTGATCACATTTGTGTGATCGATTGTCTCTTTTGGGTCAACTTCTAGAGGTTGGAACTGTTTCTTTCTGCGCTTATGTACGCGATCATAGTTAATGGAGCTTTAATTACATTAATAGTGAAGGATAAGCTACTTTAGTCATAATATTTGCAGCTGTCGGCTGAATTCGCCACCCTGCCAAAGATGGGCTGGCCAGCCGGCTGCAGCCAAAAAGTCAGCGCGGGGAAACGAATCATAGCAGGATACCATAAAACCCCCAGTCCAATCAACTAGCTCCTGGCCACCTCATATGTAAGTTGTCAGATGATGCCCGTAGGTTCAAGGTAGATAATATTACTGGACATTGGAGTTCTTATAAGGACATCCCTAGGACGTCATCTTTTTAAACTCAACGTCTCAAAAGTTCCAGCCAACTCACATCCCAGCTCAAATCTCTCTAAACTCTTAAATTCCATCAAAGCTCACACTTGAATCATGTCTTCCTTCGGTAACTTCCAGACACTCCTCGACCAGCAGGTCGGGACGCTTCCAAAGCGTTCATCTTGGCCGATCCACACGGGTGCGTGACACTAACCTTCAAAAGCTTATCATTATACAATACCATAAAAGCCGACTAATCCTCCATTACAGACAAATCAAAGAAGCAGAGGCCTATCCCGCTCAGTTCTCTGCGTTTCCAGGGCGCTGCCTGGGCGGCTGCGGGCGGCAGCATGTACGCGACACTACACGGGGTCTTCAAGATCTTCCGCAACTTCCGTGGTTTGAGATACATTTGATAGGCCGATTTCTCCGGTGGCTAGCGCACAAATCCTTCTTTATTGATCTTTCTTCATCTAGCGTTCTTCACCAGCTTGACTGTGAATACCGAGGGCGCGAGTTGACTTTGCAAATATTTCGATTAAAAGCCTGGTAGGGTTTGAATTTCAAGTTTGAACATATCTAATAATGATTTCATTAAGTTCGTGAAACAAGTAGCAATCCCATTAAGACAGCCAACTAATCGAGACCTTCCTGCAGCAATCGTCGACTGAGATCAGTCTGAATCCATTGCTCGATCAATGCCACAGTATCCCCAACCAGGTAGTCGTAATTTGCCCCCTGTGGAACAAACAGGGACTGGTGCGCCGTTACCTCGTTCATATCCTCCATCAACACTGGGGTCCAGTGAGAATTGTCGTTGTATTTCCAATGATGTGATGGTAAGAGGATGAATTTGCGGAGTTTCCGTTTATTTGTGTCTGGGTCCTGCTCGGACTGTGATGTCGAGGTGGAGACGCTTCCAGAAAGCTTCTCACTCCCTGGATCAAGCGTCGTAGATGATGATATGCTGGGTGTCTCCATCGATGGGCGACCATCCTCGGGGCTTGCCTCTTGGGCTGCGAGAGTGGAGTCTGATGAGACAGACTCCAGGCTTTGATTGTCGGGGAGTGAGATGCTGATCGTAGATGGAGCTGCCTCTGGTTGTTGTAAAGCATTTGGTATCTCTGGAGGTTTCCGTGTGGGCAGAGGTGGGGGTGTGGGTTCGATATCATCGTTGAGCTTGATTTTCTCCATGAGCGACTCTGGCATCTCCTCGGGTACCTCTTTCTCTGTAGGCTCATCTGCAGGTGTCTCGTCGAGCTTATTCAAGGTCTCACATGTGGTATCTCCTTTGGCTTTCCGTGGTTTTCGACCAGTACTGGTGGTATAGTAGTTGACAAATCGTACTCTTTCAGGCTTGTATTCAGCACCTTCAAGCTCTATCAGCCGTCTATGTCGCTGGCGGAGTTCAGAGTAGTTATTGACGCAGTTTGCAAACTTTACTGGTGACACCAGACGGTCGAAAATGGAGCGCGAGAGATTGTCGGTGTTCTTATTGACAAAATGCATTACACCTTTCAAGAAACCACGTTGAACGACACGAACATCATTTCTGAATGGAGGGTCAAAGTTGGGACTTGGAGTGAAGGGCTTGTAGGCAGGTTCCAATCCAAGAGACTCTTGCTCATCCGCAAGTTGATCTTCGGGGGCTACGTCTTTCCTGGGAATAGAGCCCATTATCCCCGTGGGGATCACGCGAGGGTGTAGCCCCAAAAAGGGGACATCGAAGTTCACAAGTCCCAGTATTCGATGTGTGGCTCTCCCATCTTGTTGCAGGAGAGCAACGTCTGCGGCAAGAATCCCGCCGAGACTATGTCCGAGCAAGATGACATCCAGATCATCAGCTTCATGAGGTGATAACCTGCAAAGGACCGTATCAGTATATATGCTTTGAAAACTCCCTCGCTGTCCACCTACCAGGAGCTGAATTGGCTCACGGCTGTTTGTAACTCGCCGTGAGACTTGTATCGAGGATAAATGCGGGTATATACCACATGCGACTCGCTCAGTAACTCCGTCACCAGATCATGAACATGTGCTGGAAAATCATGAAAGCTGGCTTCAGATCCCATGAAGCCATGAATGTAAATCAGTAATAGCCTACGTTTGCCCACAGCTTGCAGCCCTCCAGGCAGAGGCAACGACAAGGTGGACAACGAGGAATTGGCATAGTTGCGGATCCCTCCCTCCATCGCCGGATCGAACAAAGCGAAAAGGCTTGGTTGAGTTGATTAGTGGATGCGACGAGTTGACATGATAAAACAAGTTTCGATCGTGTCTCTTTGCTGCGGCACAGCCTCAGCCACAGTCATAATAATCACTGCAACGGGGGGATCGACTCTGCACGGCCCGTTTGCCGCTACCAGAGCAGTTGGGATGGTCGAAGATCCCCACCAGCCTGGAGAAAGGAGTGGCTGGCAGTGCGCGAAAGAGTTGATCAACAGAAGTCAAAGGTGGAACAAGGTTATTTCTGTTGGCGCGCCAGGATGTTTGTTGATTCAGGTTTAATTGGCTGACCAAGCACTTCCCGTTGGAACTCTGGTGCCTGTTTGGGGCATCACACACGAGTACGAGATTCGCCACTCGCAGATGATGTCGTTAAGCTTGAATGAAGGAGTGATCTGAGAAAAGGCAGTTCTCGGAGCCTTGTACCCATGATTTCAACATTCCCTTCACCCATTGAATCTGGATGAAGATCCCGTCCGACCATCACCAACATGGGGAAAACGCCGTCCCCTGATCGTGAATCTGGGACCCCCCAAACTCCCCCACCTTATGTCCCATATATCGACCCCCAACTGACTGCCGAATCCGGTGATGCCCTTAGTACGCGGACAACTTGAAAATCTGGGGAATATGTGAAGCTAATCGAGTACTTTCTAGCCGATGGCCGTATTGATGTGCATCTCGACTCCAAGCTCGCAAAATCCCTTGCTCAGATCGCCAATCAACAGCAGGAGGGCCTGTCTTTTGCACCAACCCAGGCTCAACCTGAACAGCCGATCGGGTTTGATGTAAAATTGAACATTGTCATTCAGATCGTGGGCAGCCGTGGAGATGTCCAGCCGTTCATCGCACTAGGAAACGCCCTACAGAGCCATGGTCACCGGGTTCGAATTGCCACTCACAATGTTTTCGAAAACTTCGTGAAGGAGTCTTTCCTGGAGTTCTTTCCTATCGGGGGAGATCCAGCCCAACTCATGGCCTACATGGTCAAGAACCCCGGTCTTATCCCCCAGATTAAAACACTGCGCGATGGAGAAATCAAAAAGAAGCAGGTCATGGTCGCAGAGATGCTGAGTGGCTGCTGGAGATCTTGTATCGAAGATGACCCGGTCACACAAGAGCCGTTTGTTGCAGACGCGATTATTGCCAATCCACCTAGCTTCGCACATATTCATTGTGCGCAAGCGCTAGGGATCCCCGTTCATCTTATGTTCACCATGCCTTGGAGTAGCACCAAGGCATTTCCTCATCCATTGGCCAATCTACACAATGGTTCCATGGTGAACCCGGGAACAGCTAACTGGGTGTCATATGGAGTGGTGGAATGGTTAACCTGGCAAGGGTAAGTAGACATATCGTACAGCTTCGTTGAATCATGCTTCTAACACACAGATGCTTCAGGCTGGGAGACGTGATCAATCGATTTAGGTTCTCGATAGACTTGGCGCCCGTCCCAAGGACAGAAGGCCCTTGTCTGGCTGAAGCTCTGGAGATCCCCATGACCTATTGTTGGTCTCCTGCTTTGGTTCCAAAACCAACCGATTGGCCAGCTCATATCGGTAAGACCGAAGACCACATCGTCGTAACCCTATTAACTAACATAATCATGTCTCATCAGATGTTTGTGGTTTCTTCTTCGCCAATCCTCCCGAGTATGAACCACCTCCCGACTTGGCTGAATTTCTACAATCAGGACCTGCTCCTGTTTACATAGGTTTCGGCAGTATTGTCGCCGAGGATCCCCAAAAGCTGATCGATACGGTTCTCGCGGCGGTCTCCAGGGCTGGTGTACGCGCCATCGTTTCAAAGGGCTGGAGCGATCTGGCTGGACCAGCTGATGCCAACGTCTATTACATTGGTGATTGTCCACATGGGTGGCTTTTCCAACATGTGTCTGCCGTAGTTCATCATGGTGGAGCCGGTACGACTGCATGCGGTTTGTTGAATGGTCGACCAACGACCATTGTACCTTTCTTCGGCGAGTAAGTATATTCCCTGCATGCGTGTAAGGGATAATGTCCCAGCTCAATGTGCGGCTGGGCTAATCAGAGGTCAATATAGCCAACCTTTCTGGGGCGACATGGTCGCAAAAGCCGGTGCTGGCCCTGAACCAATCCCAAACGCCATGCTAGATCCTCAAAATCTGGCCGAAGCTATTCAATTCTGTCTCACGCCAGAAGCAGAAGCTGCTGCACAAGAGATTGCCCTTAAAATGAAGATAGAGTCTGGCGTGGTCAACGCTGTCAACTCCTTCCACCGCAACTTGCCCTTGCAGAGGATGCGATGCAGCATTATCCCCGGTCAACCTGCAGCATGGGCTTATACGCAAACAAAGCAGTCTCTGACTCTTTCCAAAGCGGCCATGAACATACTGGTTGAATACAAAAGGATAGATACGAAGCACATCAAATGGTATGTACACCTTCTTCATCTCCTTTTGTCCTTTGGAAAGGCGCTAATTCTTGAGAATAGCTATGCTATCAATCCAATAATCATTGAAAATCGCCGGTGGGATCCATTAACGGGTGTTTTATCTGCCGCCACATCCACCGGTTCTAACATGCTACAATCGACTGGCGAGATGTTCTACAATCCATACAAAGAATACAAAAAGAGTCGTAGTGGGAAAGCATCCGAAGGTGACTCGTCAGGCTCCGCGCCCCCAGTGAACAGATCCAATAGTGATCCTTTCCAAACGGCGGCAAACATGGCCGGTGCGACATTGCAAGGTTTCGGTAAATTCTCAGCCACCTATTTCCGCGGTATGATAGTCGACATTCCCCATGCAGCGGCTGAGGGCTTCCGGCGAGCGCCTCAACTGTATGGTGAGAAGCCCAAAGAATACGGAACCGTTCATGACTGGAAATCTGGAGCGATCGTCGGGGGGAAGAACTTTGTGGGTGGTATGACGACTGGTGTCACGGGGATGGTTAAACATCCCCTGGAGGGATGGATTGAAGAAGGACGGGAGGGTGCAATGAAAGGACTTGCTAAGGGTGCCCTGGGAATGGCCACGAATATGCCTTCTGGTAAGTCAGCTCCCGATTGCTAATAACAAGGATTAGTTTCTAATAAGAGGATATTCAGCTGGCATTGGTCTGGTGGCCTATCCGTTCCATGGCATCTCAAAGAGCATCGAAGCGGCTTTCAGGACGAAGACACCAAAGGCAATTGTAAGTGCACGGCTTCGAGAGGGATATGCCCTCACAGAGCGAATGCAACTATCGAAGGAGGAAAGGGAGGAGGTCGTGCAAGTATTCGATGTACTTTTATCATCGATGAGTGCATAAGCCTCGCTAATAGTTGGAGCGAGTTCAATATTGGTGATACAGGCTGGAGAATCAGGAGGCACACCACTTAATATGGCTTGAATTGAGCCTAAACTATCAAAGAAGCAGCAAGCATAATAAGGCCACCAAGGCCATCCATACCTGAACACCATTCCTCCCAGTTTTCAGCGCTCTCTGATTTGGTGACACTCAAAGTATACGTGCCAGGTAAACTGTGCATTTGGTCTGGTTCAAGCCCGTACAATTTGACTACTTGACCATTCTTTGTCAACCCAAGGGAAGGCTGGTTTTTGGCACTATTGCTTTCTGCATGCCATGAGAGCTCGTCGTTTGCTTCCCATAGCGCTTTCTTGGCTGGCAATGGGGCTATCACGAATTCGGAGGACATATCACACAAGGCTGCGGGCTCAAAATAGACAAGCAAATTTACAACCCGGCATATTGCGCACAGCCTGTTCATAGATCGATTAGTATTCTGCGATCATTGGGTTTTATAGATCGTCCATGTGCCAACCTTCGTTCTGATTCCTCGAAGATCCAATCTTCCCATTCTTGGTCGGGACTGTGAGCACGATCTGCCAATTGCGATTTACGTATCAGGTCATAGCACTGCAGTTGTTTAGACATTGCCTGTGTTAAGTTTATTAGAAAGAGATTGCGCTGGAACGAAGGGGTCCCAGGCATACCGTAACCACTGCAAGTAATAAAGTATCAAAGTCATTCTCGTCTGTCGCACCTTCATCCAATCGAATCAGAATATAAATGCAAGTGGCTTGCATAGCAGTAAGAAGTTCCCACTTGCTCAACGTGGGATACTATCTCTTCACATTAGTTTGCCGGGGCGTTGATCTTATTCGGACAGCTCGACTCACATCTTCAAGCAAGCGCTCACACTCCAGCCTTACGTTTTTCCAGAACAGTTTCCGACTACCCTTGATTTTACTTCCAATCATGTGGACCAAGCTGATGCAATTCGTGAGTGGCTCTGTGTTTCCTCGGTCAAAATCAGGAGATATTGTACGAGGATGAATGAAGGGCGGAAGGGTATTGTGCTGCAGCATCATTCGAAGGTATGATTTCAGCGTGTGTAGGATCAGAGTCGCAATGCCTTCCCCTCCAGCTTTAAACTTTGGTCGCTGTACAAGCGATCGAGGATTGGAAGTCACTTGTGCTGGTATTGATAGGTTGAAGAACGAGCTCGTCTGCTGTTCTTCGGAGGGTTGCCATCCAGACAAGTGAGTGTGACTAAGATTCTGATACTCTTGAACATCCAAGAGACTCGGGAGACTCATATCTGAGTTATCTTCATTAAAATAGATACCATCGATATTCGTAGACACGAGATCTGACGATGTGAACGCGCTAGCAATGATTGCGTCGACATCGCTGCCTGCTCCCAGTGAGCTTTCAGCAGTGACATCAGTAGCCGGCGGCGAAAGCAGTGGGTTCCTCCGTCCAGTCGACAAGCTATTAGCCTTATGGGTTTTTGATTCAGTTAACTGGCGCGAGTTTGCTGGATAACGGCATTCAGTGCCCTTGGTGATACACCTGGAGCAGGTCGGTCGCTTATTATCACATCGAGTCTTTCCCTTTACACAAGAAATACAAGATCGAAGACGAGGAGTACTGCCATTTTGTCTAGACCGACAATAGTATCCATGTCTTTTTAGTGTAGACTCTAGAATGCCCTCGCGTTAGTTTGAGTGCAACGTGGTGGGGTAAGATTAGGGGCCATGATCGAGCTCACGCTTATCAAAAGGTTTGTTGCACAGTCCGCACCGTAGGACAGATTGTAGATCTCCGACGGGCATTTCAAATTGAATGCAAACAAGGTGCAAGCTTATTGGAGAAACACGAAGAGGATTTCTTCAGAGACATCTGACGTCGCCGTTCTAGCCTCGCTCCCAACAGGAGCAATCCCAGCATTTGTCAGCATGTCAGCAACCTTGCAAGTGGGCAAACTCGGAAGATTCCAGGCTAAATTCCTTGTGCTTACCGGCCGGAACAATTTGTATATCCTGAGAGAAGGTCTGACTTTGTCCAATAACTCCGTGGTTTACATTTTTGCTTGATGTGTTCCATCAACCCATAGTCAAAAGATGCCGGACCATTCACATTGTAATTCCTACCTTCGACTTCACAATTTGTACCTTCCGTTGCCAACATGAACTTGCTGTATTCCAACTTGTATAAGAATGGGCCCACGAGCTGTTCGATTTGTTTTCATCAGTTTTCTAATCATCTGAGTTAAAATTTCACAATCCTAAGAACACGATGGCAGCTCCATTCCCTTCTCCAACAGCAACATGGCACTCGCACACATACCAATCCTTATCTCCAACTCGCCCTGAGCTTTCTGCCAAGGACAAGACGGTCCTAATCACCGGGGGAGGCTCTGGAATCGGCGCAGAGACCGCTGCATACTTCGCGGAGGCCGGTGCATCTCGAATTGCTCTCCTGGGCCGTCGAGAACAGCCACTGGTGGACACCAAAGCTTCTCTCAAGCAAAAGTTCCCTCGGCTCGATGTCTTTATCGCACCCACCGACGTGACAAACAAAAAGCAAGTGGATGCCGCCTTTGAGACATTCCTCGGAGATGGCAAGCTTCATGTCTTGGTTAGCAACGCCGCAACCATCGGGCCCCAGGACGGTGTGGAGGATGTGGAGAGCGAAGCTTTCATGAAAAGCATTGACCAAAACTTGAAAGGATCGCTTCTCGTTGCCCAAGCGTTCCTTCGTTATGCATCACCAGAGGCAGTCGTTATCGAGACCAATTCATCAGCAGCCCATTTGACATTCGGTCCTAAATTTGCTGCATATAGCATCGCCAAGTTTGCAGTATATCGACTATGGGATTTCCTGGCTGCGGAGAAACCAAACCTCAGCATTTTTCATGTCCAGCCTGGTGTAGTGGATACTGCAATGAATAAAGAAGCCGGAGGGGTTGCTGCTCTCGGAATTGAGGATCATGGTAAGTACAAAGCTGCCTCGCTAGAAATACGGTGGAGATGCTGACTTCAATGCCAGTCTCTCTCCCAGCGAGCTTTTACGTTTGGCTGGCAAGCCCTGAGGCCCAATTCCTGAAAGGGAAATTCCTTTGGGCGAACTGGGATGTCGACGAGCTCAAGGCTAAAGCTAAAGAGATTGAGGCGGGTTCCTATCTTGGGATTGGACTTGTTGGATGGCCATTCCAGCAAGGGGACTGGGAACTACAGGCCAATTTCTGATGCTGTGACACAAATTCCTCCTTGTGTCTTATCAAAGAGAGCACCATAATGAGACCGTTTCTAGGATGTATTTAAGATTCGGTTTACCTTAATCTTTGCCAGAGGAGTGCTTGAAGACTAGGTTTCTACCCTGACGTCTAGTGACAACGACATGGTCGTTGCAGCAGTGATCATGATTGTCACAAGATCTGGAATTCCCAGTGTTACGTTACTTGGAGAGCGCAGTGACTGGGACAACCTCCTTGCCAAACTTGATGAAATGCACACCTTCGGCGAAGAACCAAGGCTGTTCGCGTCTCTGCTGAAATGACATTTGTGGCTCCGTTCGATTATCCTGGTTTACCACGGACTTTGGACTTCTGGGGTAAGTCTGTTCATCGTAACGCTGGCAGCGGTTACGACTATCTTTCCGGGTGGATCACGGCCTTCTGCTTCTGAAATAGAGAAGGGAAGAGACTCTACAATCGCGAGGGGTTGGAACTTTCTTAAATTGTCTTTCCGAAGATCGATGCAAAGGATATTCCTCCTGCCTTTTAATTCTGTGCCCGTGAAAGTCACGGACTATGCCGCCGGGCGCTTTTACGAACTATTATGGTTTCCGGTTTGGTTGGCATCGAAGCAACGTCAACCCCTTCGCCTTCTAACCCAACGGGGTTGGATGTCAACTCGATCCGGCCGTACTCTGGATGGTGGATGTTCGAGGTATTAGGAGAGAAGAAACCGAGTGATAATAAACGTTCTCGCCAGCAGGTGGCGACTTAAGTAGATAGGGGTAGCCCGAGCCTGAAGATTAGAGAAATAGTAGAAAACTCAAGATTCCAAGAAAAGTCAATCATAAATTAGCTGAAAGAGAATCACTGTTGAACCAGAAGAAATATAAAGCCCCGTTCCCAGCCTAAAGAGTATAATCATAACACAAAATGCAAAGTCCCAAAAGTTCCTAATCCTCCGTCACGTCATCTCCGCCGTCGCGCCGGCCCTCCGGAACAGGCGAAGAGCTTTCATGTCGTGCATAGCCGTTCGGGCCATCGTAGGTGGACGAGTTCTCATCGCCGTCCACGTCACCCTCGTCATCACCAGATTCGTCGGAGGAATCGCCCTCTCCATCTCCAGCACGCTGGGCGCCATCTTCGTCGCCGGATACCTCACCCAGGAGCTCGCGGTCCAGTTCGTCCAGCTCGCCTTCGATATCCTCGTCACCAGCGGCATTCTCGGCGTCCCAATTGGGAGTTCCTGCAGCCGGTGTTTCGGGACCTCCAGTAGCAAGACGGCTGCGGCCAGCCTTGGCGCGAGAGCCTGCGGTTTTCTTGGCCGTACCAGGGGTTGATGTTGGGCCAGTGGACTTGCGTTTCGCAGCAGCGCGTGGAGCACGTGGGCGAGCACGGTTGCTGCTGGCTCGTACGTCGGCCTCGATTGCGGCCTTGGCCTTTTGACGCTCCTCGCGCTCTTTTTGACGGTCCTTCTTGGGCCCGTTGGCGTCTTCGTAGTCCCATCTGTCTAGACGTCGCGAAGCCTTCCGAACCACGGAGAGGAAGAAACTGGAGCACTCGCCGAAGTCATCCTCTTCGCTAGGGTTGGGAAGCAAGCCACCCTTGCCCCATGATTTCTCCTCGTCCTCGGTATCATATCCGTCTGGTAATCCCTGCAGAAGACGACCATATCGGACACAAGGAATTTCATTGTTCCGCTTATGGCGCAAGACACGATAGGCGTTGCTTTTGCGCTTGGCGAGCAGATATTCAATGCGCTGTCGGCGGTTTTGTTCAACGGCAATCTGATGCTGCGTGAGAGGTCGCGGTCGACGCCCGGAGGTCTGAGAAAGAGACGGCTCGGGAATAAAGCGGTTCAGCACTGGGTGGTTAGAGCCTGGGGGTGCCGGTGAAGCATCTGGAGTATGGTCCATTCGAGTTTTCAAAATCAGCCGCTGCTGACCAACGGCGCGAGTGAGCGAAGAGTCCCGTTTGGCCTGCTTGTTCCGGGGTCGTGAGTAGCCAGGAGTCAAGTCATCATCGTCGTCATCCAGGCTGCGCTTAGCAGATGGATGAAGAGGTGTGGACATAGCGGAGCCACGACCTCCTAGGCCAGAGTAGTCTCCGGCAAAGGAATCGTCGTCGAGACCGTAATCTAAATACAGAAAGTTAGAAAATGAGGTAGTACTAGAGTCACCATGCTAGCATACCTTTCTTAGAGCGCTTCGGAACACGAGGGAGTGGCTCGTCCTCATCCAGGATACCTGTGAAAAGACATTAGTAAACTGCCTGTCAAGCAACCATAACCAAGTCGAGACTCACGCTTGCGTTCTAGTCGTTTGGCTTCACCGTACTCCAATTCTTCCGGTGTGTCCACATTCTCCAGGTTCGCCTGATCCTCCGTCAAGCTCTCAAAAGCAGGAACCTTGATAGGGAGTCCATCGGTGCCTTCGCCATCTAAACCAGCTCCAAAGGGATTGTTGATCGCAGATTCGTGTGTGAAGTCACTTTCCAAGTACCACCACATAAGCCACAAGAAGGCCTTTGCACGAGTCTCGCTGCTCAATGTAGACCTCATAACCAAGTCAAAGAAGTCGCGAGGGGGGAAGAAATGCATCTCAGACACCTTGGGTGCATATTGCGCTAAGACGAAGATGAGATTCACGGGATTGGTTCGAGGAATCGCCTGTCGCTTGATCTTTTCCAATGTATTTGGCTGGTCGACATCCTCGGACGCACCCTTCAGGATGGACTTCAGGCGAGGGGCATCCTGCAGCTGTTTGTAGGCATTGGAGTCTTGGTGGGCTTGGAGGGAAGGGATGGAGTGGTAGGTTCGCAACTGAGCACGCATTTCGGGGAAGACTAGAAGGTATCAAAGAGGCTGGTATCAGTATCGCAATCGGATCGAAGGAAATTCAACAGGAGACGCGAGGAGAACAAGGCATACAGTTGAGGGTTGTGTTCATGCGACCAAAATTGACCAACAGGCAAACCATAGCCATACTGATAGCGGCCGGCTTATCATTCTGCAGCTTGTCTTTCAGAATCTTACTAGTCTTGCTGCTTCTCGCCATGGCGTCGATGTAGATGTCCGCAAAGTCGCAGTCCTTCTTGCCATCGGGGTATCGCGTGAACACCGGGGTCTTATCCTCGAAGACGAGTTTGAGGAACTGGTATTGGATGTCTTTGCGCCACAGAGGGATGCCATCCTCCTTCTTCAGATGCCTGATCTTGTTTCCCGAGTAGACTGAGCCAATGGTGCCATTGGCTTGACGCCTCGTACCGACCGTCGCGCTGGCCGTCACGTTATGAGTCTGGTCGTCCGCGGCCTCGGAGGTTGCGACGGATTCGTCGATGGGGGTGTGCTCGACTTCAGCCATGCTGGGCGATGGTTGCGCTCGGGGTGGTCGAACTGTGTGCCAGCTGTTGGGGTCCGAAGAATCGAGTTCTGCGGAGGGTCGGGTTGCCCCCTTAAGAGGCGCGAGCAGAACAAAGACGGGATGGGATGGAAAAGGGAAAAGGTGCAAAGGAATGAAGGCTTTTGATGGATTCAATGAGAAAGAGGGAGTGGTGGAGGGGAAGAAAATGAAGGTTGCCAAGGGGAGAGAGGGAAGGACCGGAAGGGACGAAATTGTGCCGAGTGATCCTCAGGTTGCTGCTCTCGAGCTGAGAGTTTAACGAACGGGGGACTAATGCGCCGTGGTGACTGGTGATAGCTACCCGCGTTGGTCGTGGTCTGGACGCGCGCTGGTTCTTTTCCTCAGCATGACACTAATAACTTGAGTAATTAAATACAAAATGATGGATAAATCGATCTTCAAATGAAGACGCCTGTTTATAGTCTATCTTTATATTTTCGCTTACTTTCTGAGGCTATAACGTGAGCTGTGGCAAAGCGAAGTATACGGACACGGCTAGCGCGCACTACCATTTGGATCGAGCATTTATTACTCTTGGCTCGAGAAATGTACTTACAAATTCTGTTCTAAAAGAAAAAAAAAATCAATTTTTGATCAACTAGAATCTTATCCCCATACTATTTTTCTATCTCAATTTACTGAAGACACAATGTCTGCGGTGGTGGAATGAACTATAGAGACACCGCTAGTAAGTCACGTGATAAAAAATCACGAGGGCTTCCAAGTAAGCACGTCTTAAGAGCCCTCAGTTGGCTACCGACAGAAGTACCTACAGAGTTTCAAGAGTATGTGGGTACTCAATGCTATAGATAGTACTTCTTACCGAATTAGCAGTGTCAAATCCTTGTGCGACGGCATATCCGGGGTCAATTCCCATTACGATTTCTACTAAGGCCGAGCGAAGTCCGAACAAGTTTGAAGCTTCTACACTCACTCCACTACGTTAAACCTATGATGGACTCAAAACACTTTTCAAATAGCATTGAAAACTAGGTAAGAAGGCTTTCCTTCTCGCGGCCTCGAGATTTCCAAGGCCCTCTGCGTCCTCCCAAACTCGAACCATGCGAGAAACCCATGATGCCGGAGAGCGAACCATTCATCCAGCGCCGGCGACAGCGTCCCAAATCCTCCACGGATCCGTAAAAAATGATATGCATAAAATAAAGGAAGGGGAGAAACAATCAGCCTCCACGGACCCAGAGGACATACATGGAGAAGCCAGTCAAGCCAACGCCATACGAAATGCAAAGAAACAAGCCATGTCGAAAATCCATCCACCTCGCAAGGCATCTGCGACGGTCCCAGCAACATTAAAAAGATCCCGGTGAGATCGCCGAAGCAAGAACAAGGACTCCACTGCTGCACCCTCCCGTCAATGCACACCCATTCCTAAAAGAAAAAGAATACTTTTTTGGTTCGTCCTGAGATAGCCGGGAAAGAGAAGGAAGCGCGGATATTTTTTGATTTTCGAAACAGAATCGATCGCGGAAAACACACGAGGGCAGGAACACAAGATAACGGTCCGCCATTAGATACCGACGCTGTCACAGGAGTCTATACTGCAAAACTCGACCGATGCAGCCATAACAACACCGAGAGAGATGAATGCAGATGGAGAAGAAAGCACTTTTCATGCAGAGTTGCACACTCCGCTCGGCGCGCGCGTCATTCGAGCGTCGTTCCCGAACCGTGGGAACGCTCGAACAAAAAGGGGGTATCTGATGATGAGACGGACAGAAAAGACAACGCATTCTATGATGTTCATGCAGTGCCGATCACTGGGTTGCTCGAAGAAGGAAATTGTCGTGAAAATTGACCCGGAGCAACGCAAGGGAAATCAGAACTGCTCGAACGCCCCGTGTCTAAACAAGGCCAGATGGAGAGCCATGGGAAACGTGCGAGACAGAAAAATAGAAAAGCAACATAAAACACATACAGGAAAAAGGAAAATAAAGAGCATAAAGAGAAACGAACATGAGAGCGAGACACGAGCAAAAGTGAAACATAAATCTAAAATACGCATAGGAGAGTCGTGGCAGTCATGACAAAGCCGTCCCTGAGAAACAGCGAGGCCAGAAAAAGGAACTCAGGGTGCGTTCTGATCGTATCCGTCAACGAAAGACATAAGGAAATAAGAGATGGGGAGCCAATCAGACCCGACGGCCTCGTCATCAGACCACGACTGATTTACCACCAAGAGGAGGGGCCAGTGGCGCCACTGGGGTTGCCGTAGCTACCACCTCCGTAGCTGCCGCCGCCATAGCCAGCACCACTGCCAGAGCCGCCATAGGAGGGAGCACCACCACCATAGCCGCCTGAGCCGCCGTAGGAGGGAGCCCCGCCATAGCCGCCGCCGCCGAAGGAGGACTGACCACTACCCATGCCACTACCGCCGAAGCGACGGACATCACGAGTAGCATTGGAGCTGCCACGACCACGGCCGCCACGGCCACCACCACGGCCACCGTAACCGCTGCCCTCACGAGCAATGCTCTCCAGGAAGGAGGGAACCTCCTGGTGGGCCTCCTTCAGGAGGTCGATCATGTCACGGACGACACCACGGTTGCCACGGTTGAAGAAAGCAGTGGCAATACCGGTGTTACCAGCACGACCGGTACGACCGATACGGTGGACGTAGTCGTCAATATCGGTGGGCAGATCGTAGTTGATGACATGGGTGACGTTGGGGATATCGAGACCACGAGCAGCAACGGCGGTAGCGACCAGGATGGGGCAACGGCCGTTACGGAACATCTCCAGGGCACGCTCACGCTCACGCTGAGTGCGGTCACCGTGAATGGCAGTGGCGGGGAAGCGCTGGTTGATCAGGAAGTCGGAGAGCGAGTCGGCCATACGCTTGGTCTCGACGAAGATGAGGGTCAGGCCGGTAGTGCCGTGAGTGTGAAGGATGTCCAGAAGAACGGAGCGCTTGTCAGCGTCCTCAACGTACTCGATCTTCTGGGTAATGTTCTCGGAGGTGGAACCGACACGACCAACCGACAGGAAGACATAGTCCTTCAGGAAGTCGCGGGCCAGCATCTGGATGTCACGGGGGAAGGTGGCCGAGAACATGAGAGTCTGGCGGTCCTCAACGCGGGGCATATCCTCACCCTCGACGATGCGGCGAATTTGGGGCTCGAAACCCATGTCCAGCATGCGGTCAGCCTCGTCGAGAACCAGGTACTTGATGTTGACGAGGGAGATACGGCCACGCTCGATCAGGTCGACCAGACGACCGGGAGTAGCGACCAGGAGATCGCAGCCACGCTCGATCTGGCGCAGCTGAGAGCCAATGTCGGCACCACCGTACACAACGCAGGGGCGGACCCAAGAACGGTAGGCGAACTTGCGGGCCTCGTCGTAAATCTGGGAGACAAGCTCACGGGTAGGGGCGAGAATGAGCGAGGTGGGGTAAGCCTTGCGCTGGCGGCCATAGAACTGACCACCGCCGGCCTGCTGAGGGGCGGCAGAGGGGCCAGTCTGGAAAGCCTGAGAGAGGATGGGGAAGAGGAAACCACCGGTCTTTCCGGAACCGGTCTGGGCGCAGGCCATCAGGTCGCGGCCACCCATGACAATAGGGATGGAGTACTTCTGGACGGGGGTAGGAGTAACGTAGCTAGCAAGCTTGATGTTGGAGATGAGGTGGTCGTCAAGAGGGGGGTTAGTGAAGGTGTTGACGGGCTCAGGGACGTCCTGACCGGACGCCTCAACGGGAATGTCATCGTAGTTGGAGAAGTTGATGCCGGTGTGCTGCTTGGAGGGGTCATCCTGACCGAGACCGAAGAGCTCACGCTCCAAGCGAGGGTTGGCAGGACCGGGGACGTGCTTGCCATCGCGCCACTGGCCATCGCCAGAGCCACGAGCAGCAGCGCCGCCGCCGCCGCCGTAGCTACCACCACCACCGTACGAGCCTGCGTGACCTGGATATCCGTAAGCATAGGGATCGAATGGCCGGAGTTTTTCCATGGGGTTCCAGCTGGTATTACCGTTGGCAGGGCCGCGAGGACTGAAGTTGGGGGCATTGGCATTAGCCCAGTCACCGCCACGAGCATCCCTAGAGAATCAGTTCGGGGTTAGCGGAAGACCTTGTAACAGATAGAAAAGGGAAATATTCAAAGAGATTTTAGATAGCGTACCGAGGGGCAGAGAAGCCAGCGCTGGGGCCAGGAGGAGGAGCACCGCCGTCCATGCTGGGACCGACGTTGCGTCCGCGGAGGTGAGGAGGGATGTAGGCAGCACGGCCAGGGGGGCCACCCTGGGGCGCGTGCTGGGAGTCCTGGAGGGACAAGTTGCCCATCTGCAGACCGTCGGCCATGATTGCGATTGTTGACGTGTTTCTGTGGAGTGAAGCAACCCTCAGGATTAGTTGCTGGCCGGGGAGAGGGAGGTGGGAGAGGAGAATTTTGGGGGGAAGAGAAGAGAGTGAGAGGGTGTAAGAGGGAAAGGTAATGCGAACAGTTTTTTTTCTGGGTTCACCGAAAGTTTCTCCGTAAACAAGGCGCAAGCGATCTGAATACTCAGAGAACTTGCAAAGAGAGCGTGTGAGAAAGAACCTTCAAGGACAAGAGAGAGACGTAGGAAGGTAAGTTGTCAGGTCTCTCGAATTTTTTTCCTTCCACTTGATAGAAGAAAAAAGTCAAGTGGCAAACAACGGGTATTGTGGGAGAGAATAACGAAAATGCAAAAACCCCCGATTCCCGATTCTAAGAACTCTATGAGCACACAAGAAAAGAGAGGGATGAGGGTGAGGTGTAAAAAGGGATGAGGATGTAAAAGTAGAAAGATGAGAAGCGCGATGGCAGGTTTTCTGTGGGAAGGAGGCAAATCGAGTACTTGCTGGGAACGCCCGCCCGTGGGCTGTCGCCTGTGCGTATGGCGGTAGTGGCGGTGTATTGAGGTATTGTCTGGTATCGCCGGGTACGGTCTGGGTGCTGTGTAATTTTCTAAGGGACCACGGTACTTGCCAAGCACTAGCCAGGAACTCGTCCCTCTTAGGCGTCCTGCGGGCCTTGAAAGGTATCGCGGCCAGTATTGATACCGTATTCGGTGGCCAGACGAATTTTTTTTTCTCCTAGCCAGTTGACGCTGGAGTCTGGACCCAGCTGACTAAGAGAAGAGCCACGAGATCTGAGTGGCCGAGGCATCGTGGCTGCATGGGGCTGAGAGTCTATATCTGCCCAAATAATGTACGGAGCATACATACGTCTTCGGTTTCAGTTTCACATCATGTATGCTGGGCTGGCAAGAATACGTATGCAGAATTTACTTTTCAAATAGCCCACTGTACATGATCCCCAGGTCTACGACACTTTCGCAACTCTCGGTCGAATTGTATAAATGCGTTGTATTGATCCTGCTTTATCTACCTTCTTTTAGCTTAAGCATCAAACTCCTTCTCATCCCGCTGCTGCTGCTGGCTGCGGCGGCGGATGATGTAGAATCCAATCACGGCCACCAGCACCAGGAAGATAAGAACCGGTTGCATCGAAAAGGAAGACTCGTCGTTTGCCGGGGTTTCTTCGGGGGTTGGGGCAGCCACCGGTGCGTCGTCGTATTCTTTGAGGAGGAAAAAACAAGCATGATCAGCCACCCTTCTCCAGCAGTAGAAGAGTAGAGGGGCCGGGACCGGCCTTTAAAGCTCATCGCGGCTACCTTTATCCTCGGTTTCCGACTTCTCCACCTCGAGCTCACCGCTCTTCACGATCGTGACGGCCTTCTCGGGCTTGTCACCACGGCCCTTGGGGATGTTCTGGATCTTGTCAACGATCTCGTAGCCCTCGAGGACCTCGCCGAAAACGACGTGGCGGCCATCGAGCCAGCTGAATGTGGAATAGGGTTAGCCTCAAATACATGGACCTAGGAGTTTGTTGTACGCACGAGGTGACGACGGTGGTAATGAAGAACTGGGAACCGTTGGTATCCTTGCCGGCATTGGCCATGCCTAGACTTTGGTGAGTTTCTTCATTCGTTCATTCACAGGGGGTGCCAAGCAGAATTGCATACTGAGGAGACCCTTCTTGGTGTGGCGGAGCTTGAAGTTCTCATCCGGGAACTTGTTACCGTAGATAGACTTGCCACCAGTACCTGCCACCAACAATTAACTTCCAGATCATTCGGGGTTCGAATAGCATATGGGACGGACCGTCATGGTTGGTGAAGTCACCACCCTGGATCATGAAGTCCTTGATGACACGGTGGAAGGTTGAGCCCTCATAGCCGAAGCCCTTCTCGCCAGTAGCCAGAGCGCTAGTTATTGTTAGAGTGGACGTCCGTCAAGATGTCTAAGAAGCAGTATCGTAGTAGCCATACCGGAAGTTCTCAGCCGTCTACGTAGAAAGACGTCAGCAATTGTTTGTATAAAGCCGAAGTATATAGAAGAACGACTCACCTGGGGAACAGTCTTGCCGTACAGACCCATCACAATGCGGCCAAGGGACTCATCGCCATGTTGAATGTCAAAGTAGACCTAATTGAAACAGTGAGCCTTGCGTCTCGATCCTATACATCTCGAGGACAATTGATTACCTTGTGGGTGATCTTGGGACCACGGGGCTGAGCATCTTCAGCCTGAACCAGGGCGAGAGTAGCGGCCAGCACAAAGAAAAGGGACAGGAAAAGATTGCGGAAATTCATGATTGCGAATTGCCACTGCAGATGGTGGATGCAGAGTAAAAAAGGAAGGAGAGGGAGTCGGAGTCGAGAGGGGAGGCCAGCTTGCAATGGCGTGCGGAGACACCACCACGGCTGTCATGTATGGTAAACCTAGCATTATTGTTGAGCGTTACTGGGCGTTTTGGGGGTTTTAATACCAAGATTACGGTAATGCAATCTGCAAGCTGTAGGCTGAACTCAAGGGAATCTATCTCGGAGAAACTTTATTGCCGGACGATTTCTCCCGCAATGCGCGGATTGCGACTCAATTATTGATTCGAGAATCAATTGTCTAGTTAGCCATCCAGACACGGCAAGATGGTAAGTGTACTACGATTGTCTCCGTCAACTCTACTCTGACTCAATATCTCTTCCACAGGTCTTCATTCTCGGTGTAAACTTCGCTGAGCGGAACCTGCTCAAGGTCAGCACTCCCTGCACGGCATCGCACTTTCGGCATCAGCACTCCGATTCAATCCAATTGACCCTTCGCTACCATGAAAGCTAACCGGAATGATTGAGCAGAAATCCCTCGAGACCTTCTTCGGAATCGGCAACCACACTTCCTCCCGCCTCTTGGCCCGCTTCAACATCCACCCAACCTGTCGCGTCGGCGAGCTCGCCAACAAGCAGGTTCTTGACCTGACCGCCGTGTTGTCTGATATGAAGATTGAGAATGACCTGCGACGAGAGGTCTTGAATGACATCAAGCGTTTGAAGGAGACCGGTACCTACCGTGGTCGTCGTCATGCGCTGGGTCTGCCCGTCCGGGGACAGCGCACAAGGACTCAGGTGGGTGTTTCCTTCGTTCCAATTTCTTGTTTATCTCTAAGGCCAGACTTGGCAACTTCGCTCGCTCTGGTGCATGTGGTCTTGGTAGCCTCGGGGGACTTCGTGGCCGGCCGCGTACTTGCGAAATCAGAGAACTTGAAGCTAATGAATCTCGCAATAGATCAAAACCCCTGTCAAGCTCAACCGGATGGAGCGCCGGCTATGATTTTGATATCCTTTTGGAATTCTTCGAACCTTGTTATGGGGCAATCTCTCGTATATCGCGTGGGAGGCATGGGAACGGCGTTTTTGACTTGAGAGCTGGCTTTTTCTCGCCAGTCATGTGAATGTACACTCTATAAATGTATTATATGTCAATTTAAAAAAAAAAAATCACCTTCAACAACTTCTCAGTGGCCTTTTATTTCAATCCATTCCTGTTGGTGGTACTGCCGACGGGAAATGTAGATGTCGACTGAAATATATATTGGGACACGATAGGCTAACAACTACGGACCCAGGAGGCCCAGGACATGGACGAAGGTAATGGAGCAAAATTGAGTGATGTATGATGAAAGACAACTTTTAACCACAAAACCACATCTAAAAACGCCGAGTCATTATGTACAATCTACACCTTGTTCGAAGACAGGACACCCTCACCGCGGTTGATCTGGATCCGCTTATCCTCACCCGCGCTCACAATGCCCACAGTCTGGTCCCAGCATACGCTGAACACCTTAACACCCTCACCACCAACACGCTTGCTATCCACCTTACCCTCCTCCTCGAGACTCTTGCGAGCAATCGAATACACGCTCTCGCCAACGACACCATCCTTGTCAGTCTTGGTGGACCGGATATCCCAAATCCGGCATGTACCGTCGTGGCTGCCACTAATGAGGCCGTACGTGCTGGAGGGGTCACGAGCCAAGCTGACAACAGCGTTAGTATGACCACGCAGGGTCATTGCCGCCACAGTCGTGGCAGATGCTCGCGGGTCAATCAGGGTGATGTGACGGGCGGCAGTACCGGCAGCCAAGAGGCTGTGCTCTGGGAGGTGTTCAAGGGAAAGAAGAGAGTGAGAGGTGGTACGAGTGTCGACAAGGGCAGAAGTGACCAGATCCCAGGTGCGGAGAGAGTGATCCCAGGAAGCAGAGTATCCAACAGTAGAATCTTTGGCGTCGAATATAGCGGCAGAGACGGGTCCAGTGTGCGCCGAAAGGAGGGCCAGAGGACCACGCTGTGGGGTGCTCACGGAGGTGTTGAGCTTCCGGCGCTTGGAGGTACGAGCAGCGTTAGGAAGAAGGTTCTCCGGAGCAGCGGGAGCATCAGCCTTCTTCGTAGACCAGAATCCAACGTTGTGATCGGAAGAACCAGTCAGAAGGCGATTAGAGGGCGCATGTACGGCCAGCGATTCAATACCGGCCTTGTGGCCGTACAGATCCAGCTGAGGCGTAATCTTTCCAACAAAGTCATCATCCTCCGTATACTTCCACAGCCTAACAGTGCGGTCCAAGCCAGCGGAAGCGATCTGGTTAGGCGAGACGAACTTGGCGGCCTTGATGGACGCAGTATGTCCTCCCTCGGAGGCAGCTGGAGAGGTGGCAATAGTCTCAGATGACATGTTCCATATCCGAAGGAGACCATCGTAGCTTCCAGACAAAATCCTTTCCTGGCCCTTCGAGAAGGTAGCCCCGGAGGCCCAGGATGCGGCGGGTGAAGTTGATGAGAGCACGTCGGTAGCGCTGACCCAGTCATCGTGCTGGAAAGATGCGATGTGAAGAGGTGGAGTAAGAGCTCGGACATATTCAATCTCGAGAGTCGTTTCGGCGGAAATTCCATGGTCGGTCAGATATTCATCAATCGAGGTCCGCAGAAATGTTCCGTTGATCAAAAATTCGAACGGAACAGGCTTCTCGCTCCCCAGAAGGTTGTTGACCAGGGTCGACAGTGCATAACGTCTCAGACCTATTTAAAACGAATATTAGCATCTTCAGACATTACAATGGTCTTCCAACGAAGTTGTGCGTAAGTCTTTACCGGTGGGGACGAGGATAGGTCCTGTGTTCTCAGGGAGCGCAATATCCTCTTGCTGGGTCGTGAGCTGCACACGAACCTGTCGCTGCGCAACATTAACCGCGGATGACTCCTGATCTCCACTCATGATGGGCGAATATTGTCCAGATTGTGGTTGTTTCACTCAGGTCTGGTGGCTGTCGCAAAATGAACAAGCCTGCGCGGGTGAGAAAAAAATACGGTGACCAGTGCGGCACACTAGCGCAAACCGCGGAGATGGCCCGGCCGAGTCTACAAAAAGTTTACAGTATATTGTACTGTAGAAAGTGTGTTTGAAATTGCCCAAGTTATGTATATGGTGGTCATGAATAGATACTATGCAGGATAGTCCCTCAACCCCGAGGGGCACGCTTGATCTCTGCAATGGCCCTACGGCGATGTTCAGATTCTGCGAACAATGCCTCGATCAAATCCACCACCTCGTCAACAGAGAACTCGAGTCCCAATTCACCCTCTAGCCAGAGATACTTGATGTCAGCCAAAGAGCTCTCGAGAATGTTGATTAAGTACTGGAAACGCAGCCAATTCGGCACGTAAACGGCCGTGACAGGTACGGCTTCGGCTTCACCAGTTGTCTCAGGCATGAAGAGGTCCTCCAGTTTGGAGACCTGGCTGCAGAAAGCAACGAGCTGCTTAGACTGATCCTCGGAGATGTCACCCAAATCTTCCACGTCAATGATGATCTTGTTGACGACGGTAGACAACAGAGACCCAATAGACTGAAACAGAGCGGAATGTGACAGGATGGGTTGCCACTCCTTATAGACATCGCGAATGCGATCAGTAGTTGCGCTCACAGCGTTTTCACATTCAGTCTTGAAGGGCTGTTCCGAGCATTGCCCAAAGCCCTGTGCGCCATCAAGAAGATCGTTGACAATCGTGCTTTGTGTCTGCATCTCCTTGCTGTACGCAAACTTGCCAAATTTCTCGAGAGCTTCAACATCCGAGTCAAGCCTAGACAGCTGATGTTCTTCCATCAGCTTTCGAACCTGGCTGGCAAGATACAGACTATCATTGTAGAGGTACATTTGACCCGAGCCCAGCTTGAGCGAGTAGAAAGAGGAGGAAGTAGCCTTGAACATGGCCAGAATCAACGTGGGCAGCGCCAGTAGACCAGCACCTGATGAAGCAACCCGGGAGGTGGAATGCCTACAATTTGCACATTAGAGATGCCGGGTTCTTAGAATGCGGTAATAAGGGAAATACTTACGGTGGCTGCGAGATATCTTTCGAGTCGTTGATCTGCTGGCGAACAATATCGAGTATTGAATCGGGAATATCGGTGACCGTGTAGACCTCCCTTAGCGTTATTTCTCTTGGGGCAGAGGATTGTGTTGCCTTTCCACCATTTTCCGGCTTCGAGGTTGTGTCGGCTTGCAGGGACACATTTTGACCCTTCTGCTCTTCCTCCCCCACCTCGTCGCCCCAGCCCCAGGCGTCGTCGTCGGCATCGTCGTGTCCACTTGGGTCAGCTGCATCGGGCTCGGCTTCTTCTTGGGTGTCCTCATCGAGACCCCACGCGCTGACATCCTCTTCTTCTTCAGGCTCGGCGGCCGTTGCTGGTGCCGCTGTACTTTCTTCTTCTTTCTCGTCATCCCAGCTAGCATCCCAGTCGTCCGTAGCATTTTCGAGTAAAGCTTCATCCGCCTTGGAGACCTGTTCTTTTTCAACTCGCTCAACTTGCTTGGTGGTGCCTTGACTAGCTGCAAGGACTTTACGCACGCTATCCAGTGAGTCGACGCGACGCCGAGTTAGCCAGAGGCGAGGCGCCTGGTTAACCCAAGATACAAGCTCCTCGATCCCAGTCCATCCCCAAGACTGGATTGTATTAGCGAACTGCATCACAAAGTCTAGAGTTTTCTCAAACTCTCCCAACCCTTCGAGAGTAGTTGGGATAGAAGAAGACAGCCATCCTGAGATTGCTTTAGATGCAACAGATGGGATCAACGATTGGGAGAGCTCGGTTGAGATAAACGTTGGCAGGTTCTGTCGCAGATAATCCAGAACTTGTGTGGTACGGCTCAGGGTCTCGGCAACAGTTGTTTCTGAGTAGTCCGATTGAATCTGGATACCGGTATCTGTGATTGCAACGGCCCGACTCTTCCCATCAGCCCGTGGCAATAGTATTGGGTCGACGACTGCGACAGAGAGGTCCTTCAAGAGTTTCTCGCTGGCGGGAGCGAGAATCTCCAATCGTGACATTGACGCAATGGTGTTGTCCAGAGCATTTGCGCCGTGGCCCTTGTTCACTTGGAATTCTCCCCGTTGCCGGTCCACCTTCAGCTGTTCCTGCCAGCGTAGACGCAGAGTGTTCTCAATCTGCTCCCGAAACCGTGCCACCTCGAGAGTGAGGATGCTCATCACATTAGTGTTAGTGAAGAAAGCATCCTTCCCGATCGCCGCTTTCGTAGACTCCAACTGCCCAATCGCGACCGTCAATTCACCATTTGCAAGCGCAACTCGTCCATTCTCCAATTGCTGGCACAAGCGCTGCACTTCTTTGAGAGTCTCTGCCACAGCCTGGTTGAAAGCGATCTCCGTCTCGATCAATCCTACTTTGGCACTCGCGTCCTCAACCTTGGATCGAAGAGGGCTTGTATGCTCATGCTGAGCCACAATCTCCCGTGCGGTGACTCGTGAGCGCTCAATGTCGGCGTGCAGCTGCTTCGCTTGGACAATCCAATCATCGGCATCGAAGGAGGTATTCTCGCGACTCAGCGAGCTGATCTCGTTCTATCGAGGACAAAATACCCGGTCAGCACCAGCTCCGAACCTCCACGTGGATGACCGCGACGCCCGCATGTCCAACATACCTCTACTTGCTCCCGGGCTTGGGATATCAGCTCCAATTCCTTCGCAAGAGCTGTTGCGGGGAACTCCGCCGCGACCACGTTCTCCTCGGGATAAGCGCCATCGGTGACGAAGCTCAGGACCGCCTGACACACCTCACCTTTAGACGGTGGCATTGCTGAAACGAAAGTACTGACTTAGAGCACCGGGGAAGCAGCGGAGGGGAGGACTCGAGCCCCGGAAATGCGGCGTGTCAACAACCACTCGTGACTTTGGGCGTCACCGCCCCACGCAAAGATGGCTGAGAGCCTGCGTTCATTGCGAGTGAACAGGGAGGAACAAGGAATCCCTCCAGAAAAAAGAAAAGAAATTCATGATTTTATAGTGACCGGCGCCAGATAATACGTGCAGGTACTGCTAATACGTCAAGGTCCTCTATCTTCTATACACAACAAACGACGACTCAGCAGCCGCTTTGTAAGGAAACGGATTCCGACCTTTTGCTCCGCCTGGGTCCAACACACCAGCTCAACCAGAACAACCCTCATCGTGTCTCGGTTCTATCTACGAAACCTGAGTCGAGTGAAATATCCTCAGATCCTGTGAGTTAAGCTATCCCATTCCTCCCCGTTGGCTCCTGAAAGAGTACCAATCCCTGCCTGAGACCCCTCCGAATTTTTGCCCCGCCGTTACACATGGCCATGTCGGAGGTAATCTCCTAGATGCGTCGCTGCAAAGGAACCGGCTGGCCGGTATATGCGTTTATATTGCTTCTTGCTCTTGCGATTCCGCTGTGGACACGGTGCATATGCCCCTTTCCTATCCCCAGAAACGGCGATTGAGGGATCAGGGTCCTGCAGGGTTTCTCTTTCTTGAGACAATATCTCGGCCTGCGGATGGATATGATTCTGTGGCCACGTGGTGAACAGTTGTTTTACGAATACCTGAGGCTGACAATAGACTAGACTGCCAAACTTCCGGCAAAGTATCTTCTCTGGGCTTGTCCCATTGATCAACATGTCGCCCTCGGTGCAGAAGAGCCAGTTCAAGCTGCTCCAGCAGTTCAAGCCAGACTACTCCGCCAGTGAATTCACCGAGTATGAATCGCAACGGACCGGTATGCGGGTCGTGGTCATTGACCAGAAAGGCCCCAAGGTGAACGGCTACTTTGTGCTTGCCACGGAGATCCATGATGACTCGGGCGCCCCTCACACTCTGGAGCATCTTTGCTTCATGGGCTCTCGTAACTACCGTTATAAGGGCTTCTTGGACAAATTGGCGACCCGTGTGTACTCCAACACCAATGCTTGGACAGCTACAGACCACACAGCCTACACTCTTGATACCGCCGGCTGGGAGGGCTTTGCTCGTATTCTCCCGGTCTACCTGGAGCATGTCATTGCCCCCACTCTGACGGATGAGGGCTGCTACACCGAAGTCCACCACATTGATGGAACCGGTAACGATGCCGGTGTTGTGTACTCTGAAATGCAAGGTGTACAGAACAATGCCGCTGAGCTGATTGACCTGGCAGCTCGACGTGCAACCTATCCTCCCGGCGTCGGCTTCCGGTACGAGACCGGTGGTATGATGGAGCAGCTTCGTGTTCTGACCGCTGAGCGGATTCGTGAGTTCCATCGTGAGATGTATCAGCCTAAGAACCTCTGCCTAGTCATCACGGGTGAGGTCGACCAGGGTAACATGCTGGAGATTTTGGATAAGTTTGAAGATACGATTTTGGATGTCATTCCGAGCCCGAATGATCCGTTCACTCGGCCTTGGACGGACTCGAAGCAGACTCCAGCTCTGGAGAAGTCGATCATCCAGAAAGTTGATTTCCCTGAAGAGGACGAGTCATTTGGTGAAATCGAGATCCGCTTCCTCGGACCGGATTGCAACGACCCTATCCAATGTATGTTCTATTTCTGGCCTATGGAAGAGCGAAGCTAATATCATCACAGCCGGGGCTTTGAATGTGGCTCTCTTGTATCTCGCTGGCTCTTCTGCGTCTCTTCTGGAGAACACGATCGTTGAGAAGGAACAGATTGCTAGTGCTGTTTACTATGCTACCGAGGATCACCCTAGCATCGAGATCCGCTTCACCCTGACTAGCGTGGAGACCGACAAGCTCGAGAAGGTGGAGAAGCGATTCTTTGAGATCCTCAAGGATGCCATGAACAAGCCGCTGGACATGAAGTACCTGAAGGAGTGTATTGACCGCCAGCGCCGTACTTGGAAGTTCTCAACTGAGAACTCTGCGAACTCCTTCGCGGAATACGTTATCACTGACTTCCTGTTCGGAAAGCGAGACGGGTCGACCTTGCGGGATGTCGCATCTCTGAAGGAATACGATGCGCTGGAGCACTGGGACGAGGAGCAATGGCGGTCGTTCATTATCAAGTGGATTGCCGATGCCAACCACGTTTCTGTTCTGGGATACCCGTCTCTGAAGCTGTCCGACAAGATTAAGAACGAGGAGGAAGCACGAGTAGCCGCTCAAAAGGAACGTCTCGGCGAGAAGGGTCTCAAGGAGCTGACCGAAAAGTTTGAGAAGGCCAAGGCTGAGAACGACAAGGAGATCCCAGAGGCGGTTCTGGCCCAGTTTGCCATTCCGAGTACCGATTCCATTCATTTCATGAACACTACCACAGCCCGTTCAGGTGCTGCCCTGAAGGCTGGCCGTCCTGAGAATCAGATCCAGAGGTTGGTTGAGGCGGACGATGCGGACCAGCCCCTTTTCATCCACTTTGAGCACATTCCCAGCAGCTTCGTGCAGCTGTCTGTTCTCATCTCAGCGCAGTCTGTTCCCCTCCAGCTGCGTCCCCTGCTCTCCATCTACACCGAAGCTTTCTTCAACATTCCTGTCGAGCGCGATGGCAAGACTATCAACTTTGAGCAGGTTGTCGTGGAGTTGGAGAAGGACACCGTCGGCTATGGAATGGACACTGGCCGCGCCCTTGGAAACTCGGAAATGCTCCGTCTGTCCTTCCAGGTGGAACGTGAGAAGTACGAATCTGCCATTGCCTGGCTGCATGAGCTGTGCTGGAGCTCTATCTTCGATGTCGAGAGACTTCGTGCCATCACTACCCGTCTCCTGGCCGACGTGCCCGACTCCAAGCGCAGTGGCGATGATATGCTCGCAGCAGTTCATGTTAGGGTCCATTACGCCCAGGAGTCTATTGCTCGGGCCCGATCCACTCTCGTCAAGGCACGCTACCTGAAGCGTGTCAAGCGCCTGCTCGCCGACAAGCCCGAGGAGATTGTCAGCCGCATGGAAGAGATCCGCAAATCGCTCTTCCAGCCCGACAATGTCCGGGTTGTGGTTATCGCCGACCTTGAGAAGCTGCCTCGTCCGGTCTCCTCCTGGAAGCCCTTTGCCGAGCGCCTCGGAGCCAGTGAGGACTTGAAGCCCATTACCAACCGCCGCGCGCTCCTGAGTGACGCCGGCAAGAACATCGGCGGCCACTCGTACATTGTCCCCATGCCCACTGTCGACTCCTCGTACGCCTATGCCACCGCCCGGGGTCTCGATTCCTACGATCACCCTAAGCTCCCCGCTCTGCTGGTCGCCATTGCCTACATGAACGCAGTGGAGGGTCCCCTCTGGGTCGCTGTCCGCGGCAAGGGTCTGGCATATGGTACTAACTTTGCCTACAACATCGACACCAGCTTTGTCAACTTCGACGTGTACCGGTCTCCGAACGCGCACAAGGCGTTCGAGGCTAGCAAGCAGATTGTCGAGGACCACCTGTCCGGCGCTAGTCCCTTCGATCCTCTCATGCTGGAGGGTGCGATTAGCAGCATCGTTGTTGGCTTTGCCAACGAGCAGATGACTGCTGCCAGCGCTGCCCAGGGCAGTTTCATTCGCCAGGTCGTGCGCAACTTGCCCAGCGACTACAAGGAGAAGATGCTTAAAAAGGTGCGGGATATCAGTGTTGACGAGGTCAAGGGGGCTCTGCGTGAGATTATCCTGCCTCTGTTCGCGGCGAAGACTGCCAACCTTGTCGTCACCTGCGGTACTGTTCTGGAGGAGGTATGTATATTGATTTCTGCTTCGCATCTTTTCAAGGCTAGTATACTAACATTCGTGAGAAGACTCTCAAGCAAGGCTTCGAGTCAATCGGCTTCACCCCGACTGTTCAGCCCCTCAAAGAATTCGAAGACGACTACGGCTTCAAGCTCGGCGACGAGGACGAGGACGACGAAGAAGAAGATGATGATGACGAGGACGAGGACGACGAAGATGACGAGTCCGGCTCTGAGGAGGAGGACAGTGACGAAGATGATAAGTGAACGCGCTCCACGAAATGTAGACACGGCAACCTAGGTAGAGAGCTTGATACACACTAGCTAGCTAATACAATGGCTGCACACGAAGACAAAAGCAACACATTATCAAGAATATAAGAAAAAAATTGCTGAAATGAGTATAATCTCCACAACATCCCAGTTCCAAGTGTTCCACCACTGGACAGGAATGGTAAATATGGTACAAAAGAGCCACACACTGGCCTGGCATATATATCCTGCCTTGATGCCCTCAACGATCCCACCTCTAGAAACTAACCCTCGGTTCTGCAACCATTGTATGCAAGTCCCCGTTTACCAACTCATCGCCTTCCGCCCCTTCACCCGCCGACGAATAATAGTCAACCGCCCTTTCCTATCCGTGTTACGAGCCAAAAAGCCCGAGCGACGCTTCTGCACACGCCGCGAGGGGCGGAACGTGTTACGCTTCACGCCCAGCGAAGCCGTTGCCGAGAACGAGCGGGTCTGCGGTGGCAGCAGTGATGAGATTGACGGGGCGAGAGACGCCGATGTCGAGGGAGTCTGGAGGGAGAGCGTCTGGGGTTGGGTTTGTTGGAGGCGGGTTGGTGTTGAGAGGAGGGTGGTTGAGAAGGGTCGGTAGGCGAGGAGGGTGGATGGTGTGATGGGCCTTTGGGATGTGAATTGGGGGATTCTGGTTTTTTTTTGGTCAGGTTGTTAGTTTTCTGAGACGCTGGTTGACTTGGGATGGTTGTGGTGGAGGAGGAGAGTTGGACTGGGACTCGTGTGCTTTGCGTACCTGGTCATCGGCGTGCGCATGGTGGACACCGGGGTTTGGAGGGCGGGCAGAGCCCTGCAGCGAAGACAGAGCATTGTGGATGGCCCAATTGTGTGGGAGAGGTAGGAGATTGAAGTGGTGGTGGTGGGTATAACTGTGGTTGAGCGGGCTGATGGGCCTGGCGTTGGGAGTGGCGAGTTGCGGTGGTTCGGAAGTTCGAGAAGAAAATTAAGCGCGGAGCCGCAGCCACAGGAGTTTCTATTGATACTGTCAAAGGCCAACCACCACAATGCAAGTATGGGTATAGTATCAAGAATGGTAAAGCTTTGTTAAAAAAGGACAGATTAATTGATCTAATTATCTATCTAATAATACTAATAGAAAATAAGTGATGCTGCACATTACTCTACTGTAGAATCGTGAATATGCTACCCGATTAGGACTAGCGCCCCGAAACTTTTTTGTCGCAAATGCGCCGATGCTTCTCCAAGTCTTCAACAATTTCCTCCAAAGGCCTACATCCCGGCCCTCAACCACACTATTGCCGGCCCCAAGAATCCTCCACGGCCTATAGCATCTATAACACTCCTTCAAACACCCACAACCACCAACAATTGACCACCCGCGCCCGTCAAAATGAGCGCCCAAGGCCCCGCCGCCCTCCCGCCGACGACGGTGCTCACCACCAAGCCAATCTCCCAGTCCGAAGCCCACGAGTTCCTAGCCATGTACCTGGAGCGCGCACGAACCGACGCCTCGCTCCAGCCAAACGCCAGCGTCAGCGAGAGCGGCCCCGTGTCCCGCACAACCTCCGCAGCGCCAAACCTGATCCTCCACAATCTGAAGCGCGTGCAGGCCGGTCTGGCCGGCGACGTGCTGGGCCGGGATCTGACCGTCCAGAAGATGAATCCCGGCGAGGATTACCTGGATGTTCCTGCTGCGGGGGCGTCGACTGAGCAGGGGGAGAATGGCGAGGAGCAGGGGGAGAAGGATGATCTGGAGATGAAGGATGTGGAGATGGAGACTGAGGCGGAGGCTTTTGCTGAGCAGGAGGAGCAGTCTGCAGTTGTGGATAAGGAGGAGCGGAAGAGAAAGAAGAAGGAGAGACGGTTGGCGGAGAAGAAGGCCAAGGCGAAGAAGGAGGTTGACTCAGATTGATTGTTTTAATTGTTGTTTGGCTGGATCTTGGAGCTATAGGCGTTGTTGCATTGGGTCGGAGTTTTTTTCTTTTTTTGTTCTTTGTATTTTCTTGATTACCACTCCCTGGTATATGTTTTCCCTTTGGATATGTGAAAAGCTGCATTTCATGTCCGGATAAAACGTTTGGTTCTACCCTGATAGACCGACTGGTGCCAAGTCTCAGCTATGGCCTAATCCCATAACGGAAGCCTCGAGCCTTTTGTTTCCTTAACTTCCTATTCCTTTATATCACCCGCCACTTATGACCAAAGATTTTCATCCCGAGAAAATAAAAAGCAACACTGCCCCGCTGTCGACGTCTACAGCTCGCGATCCGCAGCCTTCACTGGCTTCTCACTGTCCTCCTCCTTGAAATCGGTGACCTTGCCACCCTTCCAGCCAAGAGCACCAAGGCGCTCAGTCAGGATCGGGTGGGAGTAGTGATAGCTGGCGTACATCCAATCAGCATCCATGGTGCTCAGGTTCTGGATCTGCAGCTTAAGCAGCGAGGAAGCGAGCTCCTTGGAGAATCCAAGGCCCTGGGCGAAAGAATCTGCAAAGAAACCGGATCAGTACATTATGGTAAATAACTTAACATGATAGAACGACATACCAGCCTCGAACTCGAACTTGCGGCTCAGGATATTCATCAGGAGCTTCACGACGGCGTCCATGGGTGCGAGAGCATCCGAGAACAGAAGGAAACCGATCATGATGGGCTGCTCCTTAACAAAACCGAAGGATTGGTATAGAGACTTGTTGTTGACGAAGACGGAGAACAGAGCAAAGATGTAGAACATGTGGAACTAGAATAATATTAGTAAACGGTTCGGAAAGAGAGTATGACAAAGATTGATACGGCGCATACCTGAGCAATACCAAAGAGCTTGGTGGTGTGGCTCAGACTCCAGTGACCGAGCTCATGGCTCAGGACGGCGACGACCTCCTGGGGCTCGCTCTTCTCAAGCAAGGTATCGTAGATGACAATGTGCTTCTTCCAGGGCAGACCGTAGAAGTAGGCATTGCTGTGGGCACTGCGCTTGCTGCCATCGATGACGTGCAGCTCCGAAAGAGGAAACTTGAGCTTCTTGGCAAGATTCTCGACACCAGTCTTGATCTCACCAGGCTCCAGAGGGGACAGCTTGTTGAACAAGGGCAGAATAGCGATGGGGTAAATGGTAATGGCGAACACCTGGACGAAGACTCCAAAGAGCCACAGGTAGTAGAAGAAAGAGTTACCAGTCTTCTGGACGATCTTGAGCACGGCACTGATAATCGGAGTTCCCAGAACAATACCCAGCATCTGACCCTTGAGCATGTCCGTCACCCAAAGCTTGAGAGTCTGCTTGTTGAAACCGAACTTCTCCTCCAGCACGAACGTGTTGTAGTAGGAGACCGGGAGCGAGAGGATAGTGCTGAGAATGTTGAAGCCGAAGATGAACAAAAGCGTTTGCGAGATCTCGCCCTGGAATCGATCGGGGAAGTACCGCGCCAACACGAAACCCGCGATGCCCCAGAGCTTGGGGAGGACATCGCCGTAGACGAAAACGAGATTCTGGATTTGACCATAGAGACCGGAAACGAAGCCAAACTTAGCCTTGGCGCGACCATACGCCTAAATTCCATTGCATCTCCAATAAGCTTCTGTACACGTTCCATCATTTCCTTGCGCAACGTCATACCTGGCTTTGATCAAAGACCTTTTGGGTAACCTCGCCCTCGAGAACCTTAGGGGTCTTTGTCTTTTGAAGAACCTTATACTGTCGGAGAGAAAGGAGACCCTCCAGGACGAACTGGCCCAGGGAGAACCCCACGAGCACGTTCTTCCATGGGAAGAGCGGACGGTCGAGAAGACGCGCGAGTTGCTGGTAAACACGGCAGTCAGTCGAGATTGAATGAAGAAAAGTCTTGAAATGATGGTTGAATCACTCATTTACACAACCATAGACTTACCTCAAGGATCCACATGATGCAGATGCGCGACGTTGTCAAGGGAGGGATCCTTGAAAGGCCAAAGAAGCGACGTTTGTTATTGCGGGTTGCCTTAGTCAGATGGGGCTGCGGGCACCTCAGGCTCGGCAAAGTTGATGGTCGATCAATGCAGGAACCAGCATCTTCAGGACCCTGTTACTATTATTGAAACCATCTCTTACTTTTGCTTGACTTATTATTGATCATTGCTCAGGATTCCAAAGTCAAAGTATGAGATGCAATAAATTCTCCATTTTCCATAGCACGGATTCCACCTTGCTAAGGGCTTTGAATAGCAAGACATATATCCATCTACATCGAGCGTGGCCATGCAGACGCAATCACAAATAAAAAGAAAATCTGGTAAAGGAAACCTCTTCAATACAACTCCCTAGAACACAAAAGAAAAAGAAGTACACTCCTTCTTCATCAACGTGACTCATATCCTACCCCGTCTCGACCCAAACCCACCAGCATCCTACTATAAGCCATATCGAAAGGCCGCAGGTATATTCAAGGCGCATGATTGGACTAGGAGACGGGGTAAACATTTCCGAAAAAAAACACTCCTCTCTATTCAGCCGGGGGAATCTGTAAATGTCATGCCTTCACTTTTTCCGACTCGTCATAACCGTAAAACTTTTCGCAATCGTAAACCGCGGAGCGTGAGCCCGAGTGAAAGCGAGCGGTTGGAGTGTCGTTGGCGGAGGAGTTTGCAGCATTTGTCTGTCGAATCATCCTCATACAACATCTCTCTTCCCGATTTTCGACCACTCAGGACTGGAAGTCACTTGAAGCACACTCATTTAGTGCGCAATAGGCTCGATGGTGTTACCACTGCAAAGAAAAAGTATTGTTAATCAGGGATATATCCAGATAAGGTAGAGGCAAGGGGATACATACGCGACAATGTTGGCCCAACCAATCAGACGCCAGTGCTTCTCAATTCTTCGGCTGATGGCAATCTTCTCTCCAATCTCCGTGCAGGCAGGGCTGGTCAGGCTGAGCTTGGCGGCATCGGCCTTGACACCCAGAACCTTAGCACCGGTGGCAGTGGAACCAATGTTAACCATCAGAACCTCATTCTTAGCCAGCTTGGCAACCTTGGCTTGCTTGCCATCGGCGGTCTTGACACCGAGCAGGCGGCGGAGCAGGAAGTAGTTAACCTCAATCTCGGTGTAGATAGCAGGGAGGCGGCCACGGTGGCCAAGGACGAAACCGACCAGACGATCAGCACTATAGGGGAAATTAGTGAAATCCAAGGAGACCAGATGATGATAACAATACATACCGGCAAAGAGTGGGATCAATACGGGTACCAACACCGATAAGACCACCGGGGGTAGCGAAACGAAGAGGGTTGTTCTCGGCGAACAGGGATTCGATACGGGAGAAAATGGGACGGCACTGAATGTTACCGGCCTCATCCTTGGTGACAAGACCGGGACGGATCTCAATCTCATCGTTCTCCTTCAACACACCCTGAAGAATGGAACCACCAGCAACTGTGTTATAAGTCATTAGCTACAATCACTTGTCGAATGAGCCGAGTATGTGCATGAGACTTACCACCACCCTTAAGCTCATCAATCTCCGCACCAGGCTTGTTAACATCGAAACTTCTGATAACCATAAGCTGGGGAGTCTCGCTGTAATTCCTGATGGGCATAGGCAGAGAAACGAGAGCCTCGTTGACGGCGTCGATGTTGTACTTCAACTGAGCGGAGATGGGGATAACGGGCGAACCATCGGCGACGGTACCGCGGATGAACTTGAGGATAGACTGATAGTGTTGCAGAGCACTCTCCTCGCGCAACAGATCGACCTTGTTCTGCAGGATAACCATGTGGCTGAGCTTCATGATCTCAATAGCAGCCAAGTGCTCGGAGGTCTGGGGCTGAGGACAGGTTTCGTTTCCGGCAATCAAAAGGAGGGCAGCGTCCATGACGGCGGCACCTGACAGCATGGTACTCATGAGAATATCGTGACTAGAGAGAGGCGAGAAAAAGGAATTAGCTTATTCCAGGCTTCCGAGACGGTATTCGGGCGAAAGTAACTCACCCGGGGCAGTCAACGAAGGACACATGACGGAGCAGACGGTATGTTCCCTCACAGCCATCCCGCTCACAAGGCGGATCAATCTCCTTCGCACTGTTGTAGCTCTTGTAGCATGTCGGCCGAGGGCAGGCGGGATTGTCACATTTGTAGATCTTTGCGTTTGCATAACCCAGCTTGATGGTACTTTAAAGATGGTCCAATGTTAACAGCTGACATTTCCAAATTCAGAAAACGGAGGGCCTCCTACATGTTTCGCTCCAACTCATTCTTGAATCGGACGGTCTGAACCTCTGAAATAGCCTTCACGACCGTACTCTTACCGTGTGCGACGTGCCCTATTGGATTCGAACTTTGTCAATAACGGAGTTCCCGCATAACTCGTTCGACTAATGGCAGCCTTACCGATGGTACCGATGTTCTGAGTGGCCTGACGGGCAATAACCAAGGGCGACAAGGGCGACAGTGTAGAGAGATCCAGGGTAGTTGGGTCGGGCTGCTCAGGGAGCCAGGGACGCTTGGGAGCCTCGAGAGGCGGGGCGGCGGACTTCTTCATCGCGGACTTGAGAGGCTTCTCGTCGAGAGGCTCCTGGTCGTCAAAGTCCTGGGCGTTGGTGGCATCGAGGTTGGGGCTGCCTGGAAGGGACTCGTCGGAGAAATCGCCGTTGGTAGCCATATTGAAAAAATCGATCGCGCGTTCAGCAGCGGCCTTCTCAGCTTCAAATATAGCAAGCGAAGCAGTTCCTTCCCGTCGGAATTCGAGAAGGTTGGGGCGGAGGAGGAGAAGATTCCGGTGGTGGTCGGAGGGAGAGGTTGGATGAAAATTGCTGGTGGGCGGCGATATGATCGAAGAATGTAATGGTGGGGGGTTTTGTGCAGTGGAGAGCGAGCGGGCGGTGTCTCTGGGCTGGGCGGGAACAAAGAGCCTACTGGAACGAGGGTGGACACTTGGATGAATTGTATATCAGTGATGAAAAGGAATTTTCAGTCAATTAAAGATTTAATTATCATTCTAGGGCTCGCTATCATCTAGCTGATTGTTTCGTTTGTGTTTTCTGCTGGCAGCCTTGGTCTCTTGATGCACTTTACGAGGTTATGAGTCAACTTTACATAGCTGATGGCGAACTAACTATGATACGCCTTGTTCTTAGTATGAAATGATCACAAATCTTGACTCAAAATAAGCTGAATCGTTTTATGCAAACTTTTATTTGGCATGTCTGAATACATCCGGGTCTAACAGTACAATGGGTATATACAATGGCCAATCATTGGCACCAGCACATCACTCGTCATCCTCATCACTCTCGGACTGTTCCTCTTCTTCTCCAGACTCCTCGTCCGCCGAGTCAAAGAGAGTTGAAGGATCCTCGGCCGGCAGCATAATGAAGGCTGCCAGACATGTGATGCGATTTCCAGTCTCGTATGTTGTCAAGAGCTTGCCTGTTTGGCGGATCGTCTCCTTGGGCTCCTTCGAGCTCTTGGGCTTCTTTGCAGGCGCCAGGGCCTTGCTGTTAACCTTCCAGACACGAACCACTCCATCGCTGTTTCCAGTCACCAAGAGGAAGTCATTGTGGATCTCAGTTGCTTGTTCCTCTAAGCTCAAGACCTCGAAATCCTTGATACGTCCAGGCAGGCCAGCTTGCTTGCCACCGACCTGAGCAACCGGGGTAGCATGAGGAATGGTAGAGTCATCACCGTCTTCTGCATCTTGCAGAACCGTAGTGGAATAGAAAATAACACGACCATCCTCCGTAGAGACGGCAAGAAGATCTTTCTTCTCATCGCCATCCCTAGCAAAAGATACATATTTCATCTGATGAATCTTGCTTCGAGGATTGGGGAGGAGTCTGCACTTGGGAGTCGAGTCCTATATCAAAAGGTTAGCGTACTACACGAGTGGAAAGATCAATGCGAGAAACTTACAACTCCGAAGACTACTGCACCCCATTCAAAAGCAACGGCGAACTCCTCACCAGCGGCATTCCATGCCAGGCGACGGCCCTCTCCACTACTCCACTTGCCCTCCTTGACACTCTGGAGAATCTCTCGTCCAAAGTTCAACACACCGGCCTTTTTACCCGTAACCAAATTCCAGAGCCGCATACACTTCTCACCCTTGCCTACACTCAGCATCAACTTCATACTGGGGTGGACCGCAAAGTGGTTCACACCAGATGGAGCAGCATCTGGCGGCGCCGTGTCACCACTGGGGCGGCCTTGGACCTTGGGGTGTGGGGCCTTGATGGTCGAGACGACGGACCAGTCACGAGTTTTGGAAATGGAAATCTCGTTGTCCTCAGCAGCAGCGAGCAGCTTGCTGCGCGAGGGGAAGCTCAGGGCAGTAATGCTGGCAGAGTGGTGTAACAGTGATCCGAGCTCACGGTTCTTGGGGTTCTCGAGGATCTTGTTCCCGGCCAGTGTCGGCACAGAAGGATATTCATCGCTCACGGCCGGGGGTGCAGCGGCAAGAGAATACAGCTGGATTCTCTCGTCTGTCGATCCGGAGGCCAGGAAGACCTTCTTAGCGTCCGCCGAGTCGGTGGCCTTGGGGAGCGGGGAGAGGGCGAGGCAGCGGATTGCGGAGCCATGAGCCTCGAATAAGAAGGTGTCGACGCATTGGATCGAAGGATCGGACTCATTCGAAGCTTCATCTTTGGTGTTCAAGGCGGAGGCGGCGAACCCGGCCGTGAATCCGTGCAGCACGCGTTCGTAAGAGCCAGTGACTACTTGAATGGTAAGAGCTGCATCGGGAGCTTGCGACGGGGTCGGGGCTGATTTGACGGTTTTGGTGGGGCTTTCGACAGGTTTCTCCTCCTTGGAGGAATCGTTGCGCTTGCGCTTGACCATGGCTTCGGACAGTTCAGAGACGGTTATGGTGGAAATGCAGAAGTTGAGCTAACAGACGAGCGGCTTTTCTGCAGCATTTTTTTTCTGCAGGTTATCAGCGGCTGATAGGAAAGTTAATGCCTTGTTGCCTGAGGGAGGGAGATGTTGGCCTGAGCGCCTTATGACCTTGTGGTCATGTGCTCATACTGCCTTGCTGCCTTGCTGCCTTTCTGCCTGAGACTTCCTCCAGTGGAATGCCTGAAAAATCCTGATCCGTGTCATTGTGCCTCAGGTGTCGACCAGTTCGCAAGCGGCCTTGGAATGCCAGACATGAGAAGCTTGAGGCTGTAGAATTACGCATTACATACGAGTCTCACCTTCACCAGTTGGCCCTGCATCGCTAAACCTGGCGATAATTCTCTTTCACTGCCACCAAATAGTCCGTAGAAGATACTTAGATTTCTGTCAAAACTTGCTTAACTTCCTTTGTGGAGACCCATGAAGATGGGCGTGATCCTAAGTTTGCTCTGCTTGCCCGTTCGTTGCCCTTGAAGCCCTTGGCAGGCTGTAATAATTTTACTGTACCGTACCTTCACCACCACTCGCTCCCCAGCGCTTCCCTTTTTTCCCGTGCCAACCCGTACAGAAAAGTCCTCCCTTCTTTGCCTCCCATCGCCTCACGCGACAACCAGACCCGATATCATCATTTCAAGCGATTTTTCCAATCTGAATGACCTCGGTCAATCCACTCCCTTTGTTCCCGCGTTAATCGGATGCTGTTTCCCTAAGTTAGACCTCATGCTCCGCGACGAGCTTCTCCGGTCTAAGAACGATGAGATCGCGTAAGTATTAATCGCAAAATTCGAAAAATCCTGAATACGGCCTTTCTGGTCGATGGAAGATGAAGATTTGACTAATTTTGGCCCAGAAACTGTTTGTTGTCGCGCAAGCGAAAACTGACCGAGTTGTATTATGCGACCGTGGGTTATGAGGGCGCGACCGCCGACTCTCTCTACCAGCAGAAAGAGCAGGCCTTCCTTGACGCCAACGACCTCACCAGGTAAGTCCTTCCCCTGAATTTCTCTCCTTATACTTGGCCACCTGCATCAACCACATTACGCGACTCGAAATGCGCATTATACTAATGCCTCCCTCAGAGGGCGTTACTTCGACGAAGCCACTCTGCCGTTGCCCACCCATGCGCTCGCGCGTTCACCGACCCGGAAGCCAGTTACGTCTGCTGTCACCGCGGAGGTAAAGGCTCAGCAACACGCTGGGATTACTCCTCCCTCGACTGTCGATGGTCGCGCCTCTCTACTTCCGACTGGGGCAAGCCCGCAAGGCGGGTCCAACTTGGTCGTAACACCAGTCGTCGCGTCTACAACAAAGGTTCCCCAAACTGCATCTCTACAAGTCCCTCCGGCCGCTCAGGATCCCGACGTCCCTGCCGCGACTGCACCACTCGATCGGCCTTTTGCGGATCAGAAAGCGAGCGTCTCCGCGCCTGCGACTCAAGACCACAATGGAGCAAAGCTCGCGGTCTCTCCTGGTGCAGCGAAACCCACTGCAGCAACTGGAACAGCTCCTTCTTCCTTGGAACTTCCACCTACCACTCTCCCTCGAAAGAAATCGGACGCGCGACCCTCTCTCACTCTAGGCCCTTCACATCTCGAACAACCTCTCTCACCTGCCTCATCCATCGATCCTTACTCTACGAATACTCCAATTCCTGTCGCCGCGTCACCAGATACTAGCCCCGGAGAGGAGGTGGCCGATGTCAGCAAGCTTGGCCGCCAAAGTCCCAAGGACAGCCGATCCATGCAACCCCGTCCCAACTTCATCCCATCAACACCGGACGAGCAACTACGAATGGAGGAAGCCCAGTCATTGCGGGAGGCCAATATCAATGGTATTCCGTTGGGCAACCAGGCTAGTCAAGCGACCGCGGAGGCCTGCGCCGACAAAGATCAAATGGAACTTGATCAGGAACCTTTGGTTGCACCTCAGGAACCAAAGCTTCCTACCGGAACGGTTGCTACTGGGACGGAAGTCTTGTCTCCCACCGAGCAATTGGCAGATGAAGTTCGGCCTGGTGGTGAAGCACCTACAGAGCCCAAGAAGCCGATATCGATTACAGCGACCCAACCGGATGTGTCTCAGTCGCGGATGACAACTCGTGTTTCATCTGGAGCGATTCGTCACAAGTCCGTTTCTGAAATCCTGGGTGAGACCCCAAGGCATACGGCCCACGACAAAACCCATGCTACGGGTGAACCCCAGACGCCCGAAAGTCTTGCTCGCATGCGGTTCAAGGATCGCAAGGAGCGCGAGAAGGAGAGAACTAGAGTCTCAACTGTCGTATTCCCCAAACAACCTTCGTCCTTGCAAGACAAGGCTGAATTCATGGACCTTGAGAGCCGGGACTCGGGCGATGCTGTTGCCAAGTTGAACGAGGAGCAGGATTACTTGTTCACCTTATTCTTAAACAGGGCTTATGCTCCCCCGAGAGGAACCAATCTCAACACTCTTCTTGCATCGGCTCACAAGACATTGAGCACGTCGAACCATCTTCTGGAGTACCAAGAGCAGATGGACTGCCGGACACTTCGACGTATATACGCACTACAGAATGCTAATCGATGGCCCCTGCGACAAATGAAGCGATCTGCCGAGCCTCCTCGCTCGTTTAGCTATCTGGATGTCCTATTGGATCACATGAAGTGGATGCGCACGGATTTCCGCGAGGAACGGAAGTGGAAGCTGGGTGCAGCGAAGAGTTGTGCCGAGTGGTGTGCGGAGTACGTTAATAGCGACGACGAGCACCGCTCCCTTCTTCGCGTGAACGCCAAAATCCCAACGCCCAAACCAGTTGCACCCGTTGCTTCCAAACTGGGCGTGGCTTCTCCCTCGGAAGACACAGGCGACGAGACGTTCGCAGTATCCCACCCTACGCCTGATTTGGTACCATCCGCTGAAGAGGAATCGGTCAGTGATGGATTCAATGAGGAGTCTCGACATGATATCCACGATACCGTGGCTCCTGCAGCGATCTTTTCATTGGGATCCGACGAGTTCAATTTCTCCATTGATATGACTCCTTCCGCAGAGAAGCTACTGGATGAATTGCCGCTTTACCAGCCCGTTCGCTTCGTCCGCGACACTCAATCGCCAGCCTTCAAAGACCTTCCTGACTCGGCCTGGAAGCATGAGCTACTCCCTGTTTCGAAGTTCGCTACCACCAAAATCACTTTCCACAAAGACGAGGAGCGCCCTCGTAAACAAACGCGATACGACTACTCTCAGTATGGTTCCGCATCCGAGCATCACATCACAGACCTGCCGCCCGAGCAGACCAATGTCGCTCTCTTCCGTCCTGAGAACAAGCCCATCAGAGACCGTATCCACCCTGGTCATTCCTTCCGACCACCCACGGAGCATCCGATGCCCTCAGTTGGATTCTTTGAATCTCGCCAGTCTTCCCAATGGACTTTGTCGGAAGACGACGAACTCCGCCGCCTGGTCAAGGAATATTCTTACAATTGGTCGCTCATCTCTAGTTGCCTGACTTCACCATCATTGTTCACGTCTGGAGCCGAGAGACGAACCCCTTGGGAATGTTTTGAGCGTTGGGTGGGCCTGGAAGGTCTACCAGCAGATATGTCTAAGACGCAATACTTCCGGGCTTATCACCAGCGACTTGAGACTGCCCAGCGTACTGTCCTGGCTCAACAGCAAGCTGCCCAACAGCAACAACAACAACAAGCGGCCAACAATGGTCAGCCACAGCAGCCTATTCGCCGGAGAACCACTCAGCCACTACGCGTGGACAGACGCCGATCGTCAAGACATCTGGCGTTGCTTGATGCCATGCGGAAGCTGGCTAAAAAGCGAGAAACGATGTTGCAAAAGCAACAGCATGCATCTCATCTCGCTTCGTTGAGGAAGGCAAATGAAGCTAATCAACCCAAGCCTCCGATCTCCTCGCCAGCCGAGTTCAGCCGTCTGAAGCATGAGCGGGAAATGAAGCTCCAGGAACGACAGGAGCAGTATCGGCAACAGATGATTGCTCAGCAAAGGGCTAGCATGGTCGCTCAGCGGGGAGGCCAGGTGCCCAACCAGCAACAGCCTCCGCAGCAAATGATGAATGTTCCGGGCAGACCCAACAACTTGCCTCCAAACGCACCGAATGGCGCCATGGTGAATGGTACCCCGAACGGAATGCCTGCTGGTATGGCTCCTAATGTTGGGGTCAACCAGGCTCGCACTCAGCCAATGCAAGGTATGCCAGCTGGGGCGGCACCTGTCAACGGCCAAATCCCGCCTAACCCGATGGCCATGAAAATGATGCCTCAGGGCCAGATGCCGAATGTGGGTGCCCGACCTGGTATGCCGATGCAGGCGTCTCCGGATAACGCACGAGTGATACGGGAGGCAAATCGCCTGCAAGAGCAACAACGATTGTTGCAATCCCGCCAGCAACAAGTTCCACAACCGCCGGGGCAGCCTCAGCAGGCTCAGCAGCAGTTCCACAACCAACAGTTCGCGCCACAAGGATCCCACTCCCCTAATATCAATGTGCCCAATGTCAACGGTGCTCCTACTAACCCTGCTATGATGGCTGCTATGCAAGCCCAGGGTGGTATACAGAGCCCGTCTTTCCACAGTGGTACCCCGCAGGGAGTCTCGACTCCTTCGCCTCGCATGGGTCAGCCCAACCCTCTCTCAGGTGGTGTCGTCCCCACAATTAGCACCTTCCAGAGTCAAATTCAACGGGCCAACCCTAGCCTTCCCGCGGACCAAGTGAACAAGCTGGCCACCGAACGCCTCAACCAGTACCAGCAGCAACGGATGTCACAACAGGCTGCCATGAACGCTGCCGCTGGTGGGATGAACAACGTTCAGGCCAATTACCAGGTCCCGCATGACGGGAACTTCCAAGCTCCTCAGCAGCCTGGCATGCCAAGCGGAATGCAGGTTTCACAGAATCAAGGGTTCTCTCCGATGATGCGCGTTCCGCAGAACAATCCACAAAACCGAGTCAATGTCACTAGCTCTCCAGCCGTGAATGGGGCTGTTCCTCAGGCCAGCCGAAGTGCCACTCCACAGACCCAGCGCAGCGGGAGCGCCCAAGCTGGTACTGTGCAAGGCTCAAGTAAGAGTCCACACCCTCCACCTGCTCAAACAGCGAGCAGCTAAGAACCAGATATGGTTCGATGTGCCCCCTCTGCTGTTTCAACCCTTTCCCTTCACATGTAAATACTTCCTCCTCGCCCTTTTTACTCTGATTTATTCCCTCTGTCCTTCTGGCGTTGGTGCTCCGGGATATCAACGGCGCACCTTGCTATTTATTCTTTTCACACCCCACGCCATCCTTGAGCCCTTCCCTGCGCGCTCTAATTCTACCTTCACTCTTGTCCGAATCCTGAACCTCCCTTTGGCGTGTTCGTTAATCTAATGAACCAGATTCGGCACTGGCTCCTTGTTACCAGTGTCCTTGAATTTTCTGGATTTGGGCATGTATTATCTTCTGGGATGGGCGGAAATTCTGGGTTGGTTTTTCGTTAGACCCACGGACTCACGAGCACGAATTGTATGATTAGTTTCGAATCGTATCACCCAATATTGAGCCGATTGTGTCGCACCGCGTAGATCTCGTAGTGCCATAGTAGACATAGTAGATCGTGTCTCTGAAACTCCTGTCTGTAGATTTGGCACGCTTAATCTTCTAGCCTAGGCTGAGCTCAAGTTTCTTTAAACTCTGTTCCTACGTATTATCTGACTTTAGCTAGAGACAGAGACGAGAATATAGAAGATTGATATCTTTTCTAGCTCGCTGCCAGCCGTTCTGTACTGTGTACGGAGTACTCCGTAGATAATCGATAATGGAGCTTGACCGCCTTCATCAACCGCGCGGCTAGTTCCGGTTTTGCCACCGCCTCACAAAGAGCTCTCGTATATCAAACCTTCGAACCTGCATTCCTGCTTGAGCCAACCATCACAGCCTTCGTTATTCACAGATCTGGCGTGATGTCTTCATCGCAAGGCTTTGCTGAGCATAGTGGGGGTGATTCTAAGTCATCTGCCTTTTCTTCCAGCTCCACTGGCACCGCAAAGAAGGCTGCATTCACTTTCCAGTCTCGAGGACGCCCCTCCGACCCTCCAACCAGCAAGAGTCGCCCCTTAGCCCGTCGCCCGCATCAGCTCGGCCATGACGATGATTCCTCCGACGAAGAGCGTGCCCCCGCCCACGAAGAAATTTTGGGCTTCGATACGCATACCGGTGGCCAGATCACCGCTGATGGCAAAGCTGTCAGCGATGCGAACCAACCACTCGTGATTCCTGTGACGAGTAAGAATAATTGGCGTGACCGCCCAGGCACAAATGCGAGGAAGGGCAAGAAGAATCTGCTTCCACGTGAAGTGCAGGCTATGCGAGAAGCGCAAAAGAATGGACAGGCCCCGGCCGGAGGAGCGGTTGAGACTGAAGGCCCGAGCATGGCCTATGGCCTTAGTTTTGCCCAAAAGCCTTCTGAGCAAGATGAGGAGATTCCCACTGTCAAAGAGGATCAACCTATGCATCATATACAGCCGATTTCAACCGAAGACCAGAAACCTCTTACGGAAGACCAGTTAGCTATGCAAGCTCTACTCAAGGAGACTACCGGTGAAGTAGAGCGGCGGACAGACCTCGTGATTGAATCCTCTAAGCACGACGAGGATGAGGAGCCCTTCAGGCGCCACGACGAAACAAGCTCTTTCCGAACAGACGTGGCTTCCCGCCCCGAATCTGCCACTATAGATCAATACAACGCTATCCCGGTGGAAGAGTTTGGAGCTGCGCTTTTGAGAGGTATGGGTTGGAAGGACGGTCAGTCTATCGGACGGGGTGATTACAGCTCCTCCACAGCTGCGCAGAAAGCAAAGAATCCCACTGGCCCAGAGCGACGTCCGGGATTCTTGGGAATTGGCGCTAAGGATTCAGGAAAGGGTGCTGAAGTGGAGCTTGGTGCGTGGGGAAAGTCAGCCATGCGCAAAGCATCAAGGAAACAGGGTGAAGAAAATGCGAGCGGCAACGTCGAAGGTGTCTACATGCCTGTTACGATGCGGAACAAGAAGACCGGTGAATATATCACCGAGGAAGAGCTCGCAGAGTTGAAGGAGTCCTCCAAGTCACAAGTTGAGAAAGATGACTGGCGCGAGAGACGGGATCGCAATTTAGAGAAGAGCGGTCGTGACAGGGACCAGGATCGAGAGTACCGCAAACGCGACTATGACGACGACCGCTCTGATCGAAGGAATGGCTCCTCCCGCCGGGATCGAAGCTCATCTGCTAGCCGTCATTCATCTCGACGCTCAAAATACGACGATGACGATGACCATCGGAGGGAAGATCGCTCTCCTCGTGACCGAGACCGGGAACGTGAGCGTGATAGAGAGCGTCGTCGAGATCGCGACGGTGATAGAGATTATCGCAAAGATCGTGATCGTGAGCGAGACCGAGACAGGAAATATCGCGATGATCGGTATAGCAGCTCGCGACACTCCTCTCATTCGTCTCGAAACGATCGTAACCGCGACCGCGACTCTCGTCGAAGCCGGAGAGATGACTAGAGGATGATGAGCAACTTGGACTTGAGTAGCAAGGTTGCCCATGTATTTTACGAACGACGATATGGCTCTCCAGATATGCATTCCATTCTAATGGCCAAACATGGATGGCTCCGATATACCAAAATAGAGATACCCTGAATAAAATAAAGCCAATCGAACAATTTCAATCACTACCCCATATATAGTTACTAACAAAGTGTATCTATGCCCTCAATAAGTGATCTTCTCCAGGACGTTCTGGCGAAGGACTAGAGTACGTTTTCCCTCATCTAAATCACAGTTAAATTATCGCCCAGCAAGTGCGACAGTGGCCAAGGCCGGTATAAATCCAGATAGTCTTTGTGCATTGCGGCTCTCTGGCTTTCGACTACGGTGGCCGATAGTGGCCACCTTCAGCAAGTGGCGTTTTTATTAAATTTCAAGGGCAGAAACCCCTACTTAGCCAGATATCTGCCTAACAACATGCAACATCAGGCATAAGGAATTCTGATTCTACACTAGCTACACCGAACCGGAGAAGAAGCCTCTATCTAGTACTTTTTTCGAAGAATTTACTCACTGACTCAGAGCTACTGTAGCGACTGGGGTTATATCGTTATTCTTAATAGAGGCCACCGCGATAAGCTGCGTAGGTAGAGAGAGATGTAGAAAGAGATCATCTATGACGAGTCTACCAGAAAGATGTATGTGATACTCTTTTTCTATGATCGGAGATCCCACAGTGGACGCTGATTCCACTCATTTGTATTACTCATAGGCATCTCTCAGGTTTTCGAATGGCTTGCCCTGTCGATAGCAGCCGAAAATGGCCCAAGGCGGGTTATGTCATGTACGGATTGGCTAAGCCATCTCACAAGACGGATTGATATGGCGACGAAACTGGGTGGGAATTTTCAAGTTAGGCAATTGATATCTATCAAACAGGACTCTTTATTCATACACAAAGAAAGAAGGACGAATTGAACTGCAAATGTCTAAATTTTGGTAAAATTATCCCCAACCTGGTACTCCCAGAAGCAATGCGCCAATCATATACACGAATTTTATGCCTCCAACATAATCACATCCTTTTCATGCTCTTCCAAGTCTCCATTGGCATCATTATCAGACTTGATTGTTAGGTCCATCAGACCACCAAGACCGACACCACCGTCCATCTCATTCAGCACCCACTCGACCAGGTAGCTGTCATCAGCCAGCTCCTCGATACGCTTGTAATGCCTCTCCGTATACGCAGCTAAGGCTTGCATGATGTCCTTCAAGCCACCTCCAGCACGGCCATTCTTGCCTTGTACGGATGACGTAGCCAGCTCAACGAAAGTCGAGGCAGGGTATGAACGGAAGAGAGCGTAGAGGATACGCTGTGAGACACGAGCTGTACGTGCGTTCGTGTTCCAGTCCCGGATACGCAGGAGCAGCGTACGCAGGTTAGAGGTGCCGAGAGTCTGCAGTACCTCGTCGATAGCAGGGTTTCCGGACAAGCTGTTGGCTGCGAGTGCGCGTTCTTCCGCGGATCGAGTCGGGTCCTCAGCAGCATCAATGGCAGCTGTGAAAAGGGACAGCAGGCGACCAGGGTGATTCAGTTGGAGAGCAAGGGTGATGGCTTCGCGGTAGTTGCCGGCGCGAATGTGGTTTTGAAGTTGCTGGTCTTGCTCAATCCGCTCGGATTCGGCATTCACAGCAGCGGAGTATGTGGCGGAGGTTGTATCGGTCCAGAAGGTTACTGTCGAATCAGCGGATCCACTGACAAGGGCGAAGGGTGTACTGTTGAGCTTTGAAGAGCTTCGCTTGACATCGTTTCTGGAACCAGATGGTGTTGGGCTAGCTAGAGCCCAGACTCGGTCTGTGTGATTGTCCAAAGTTGTCTCGGCCTCGCCACTGTAGGGATTCCAGATCTTGACCAACCCATCAGCAGCGGCTGAAGCCAGAAGAGGCCTTGTGTGATTGGCATTCTTGCCGGCCGATGCCTCGTCCTCCTCGTCCTCCTCATTCTTAGAAATTTGAGGAGGTGGGAGCCAGATCACCTTGAGGACGCTGTTTGTGTGGCCTTCAAATGTGAGGAGGCAGGTGTAGTCGGACAAGCTCCAGAGCTTGACTGTCTTATCGCCCGAAGCCGTAGCAACTAAGCCACGGCTCGTGCTAGTTCCTTCCTCGGTGTTGACAATGGGAGTGTTCTTTGGAGCGAATCGCACCGACCAGACACCTCGCTTGTGTCCTCGCAAGATACCAACTGCAGCTCCCTCTTCAACGTCCCAGATCTTAACGGTACGATCCTGCGAAGCAGACGCAAAGAGAGCAGATGCCGAGTCGATGTCCAAGGCGTTAATGTCCTTCTCGTGAGCTTTGCGAGTGTAGACAGCCTTAGGGGAATGTGGCTCATCGCTCTTGAGCTGACCCAGCTTTCCTGTATCCCATCGCTTGATGGTCCGGTCCTGGGAGCCAGTCATAAGGAATGCTGGCGGGTAGTTGATCGGGTCATTATAGGCGGGACTTCCGGCAGGGGGCGGCACCCGTGGCAGAGCAATCGCACCCAATGACTCGGCGTGACCGGTGAAGATCGCAAAGCACTTGAAAGAAGAGGTCTTAGGATCGAGACGCCAGAGGCGGGCTGTATTATCCTTCGCTCCAGTGGCCAGCCAGTGACCGGACCAGTCTACATCGAGGCAAATAATGATATCCTCATGGCCTTCCAAATGATGAATGTCGGCACCGAAGAACTCCTCGCCATCAGCGGAAGGTCGGTCCTCCGAGGGAGCCACAGACACCAATCGAATGCTCTCTGTGTTCGTGGCGAGAGCAAGCATCGAGCGATCAGGGCCGGCGAAAGCCAGATCAATATACTCGTCATCATTTCCAGAAATTCGTCGAGTAATCTCCAATGGCTCAACGGTTGATCCAGGTTTGTAATCAGACAGCAGCTCGACGGAGTGGAGACGGATCGTCTGGTCCGCATGAACGGTCATGACAAAGGGCAGACCCGGGGAGTACTGGATGGCCACGATGGTCTCAAACTCCTCACCAGCCTCCTGCTCTGCGGTGACTTCGCTTCCTCGATTGCAGTCCCATACTCGCAACTTGCCGTTTTCTCCACCAATGACGCACAGCCCACTATCGGCGATGAAAGAGGCAGCCTCAACGCTTTCAAGAACGGGGATAATTCGGCGTGTCTTCCATGTTCGTGCGTCCCAAATGATAACAGTCTTGTCACGGGACGCAGAAAGGAGAGCATTCTCTGTCGGAGAGTACGATAGGCTGCGCACTAAAGAGACGTGCGACTCGAGTGCAGCAATGGATTTTCTCTTATGCAAATCCCACACGCGCACTTTACCCTCCTCAGAGCCGCTCGCCAATCGGAATCCCACAGTAGAATCTGTAGCGGTGGTAGCAGCATCCTCCATATCCTCGTCTCCATACCTGGATGCCTGCTTCTTTGACTTCTTCTTCGTGGCTGTTTTGGCATCCTCCGAAGTGGAAACCTCGAAAAAGCAGAGCGCAGAGATGATCCCCCGGTCATTGAAATTATGTGTGATATAACCACCCCGGATATCCCAAACCTTGATGCTGCCATCAGCAGCACCAGTAGCCAAGAGAGTACTGGATTGGTCGATTGTGGTTGAGATGACTGGGGCGACATGTGGCTTCAAGGTCCGGACGAGTTCCGCCTCGATAGTCTTAGAGGATTCATCAAAAGGCGATAGCGAGTAGATTCGCATAGACATTGACCGGGAGCAGACAACGGCGTGCGACGCAGAGGGCGAAACTAAAGAATCGTCAGCGGTCGCTCTGATCAGAGCCTTCTTCGCGCTAACATACTAGCCAAACTCGTTATGATTTCCCCATCCTGAGAGAATCTATTAGTGAGAGTTCCCGAAGGACACTTGGATAATAGCAGAACATACGCCTTCCAAACTGGCAAGCTGGTCACCAGTTTCTAGATCCACAATCAAAGCATCTTCACCCACGCAAGTTAACAAGATGCGACCGCTAGCGTCGAGCGACGTGCTGCCACCGGTATAAATAGGGCGCAGCGTGCGAGACGCCTCGAAAGTAGTTTTGACAATGGCCTTGGACATGATTTGTACGACAGCCTGTCAGCACTTCACGCCAGACCACTTGGAAAGTCGGAGTCGCGAAAAGCTCGGCCAACTTTTTTTTAAGTTTGCAGTGTTTGCATAGCGATAAGATACGGCCTGTGCGAGAAGCGCGGCAACCGCGTCAAACGGAGGCACATGCACGTGGACCTCCTCGCCGCCTCATCAACACTGCTTTGCTTCTCTTCATACCTCGTTCACGAAGGCTACATAGCAGAAGACGAATTTTGACGCCTTGGGCATCGTGGGGATACTGAGGATACCGAGACCCGCCAGTCTCCGGTGTTTCTTCTTCACGATGGGCCGACAGGCTTACTTGAACCGCCTCGCTTTGGTAAGCGCTACTCTCTACTCCGCTCATTTATCGCTCCTTATCCTTATCCTCATTCGTGGTTTTGGTTCATTGTCGATGTTTTGGGGGACTTGGAACCTCGGCCATATTTTATTCTTGGAAGTATATTCCGAGACAGGCTGCTTACAAGCAGATGGCTTATATCAATCACGACCGTGCCAGTCTTATGCTGGCGTACTCGATGCTACTCCTTTACCTGGTCATATCTACTCTCACAGATCTTGTACTGACCTTTTGCCAAGGGGCGCTCTCCATATGAACTTCCTGAGACAGCTACCGTGGACCCTTCGAATCCGGTCCGGAGGGGGGTCGAGTGTCTATGCGGATGATTATATGCAGCAGTATGATGCTCGGGGTCATCCAGTCAACCCAGAATCCAAAGCTCTTGCCAGGGAACTACGAAGGGCCAAAAATGACATTCTCTCTACCATGGGAATTGTCGTCAGTGGCGAGGATCGCAATGCAAGCCCTTCTGACGAGCAGCAAAAAATCAACCAGATCGCCGCCGAGAACGATTTCGGCCTGGTGATCACCACTTTTGATCAGATTTTTGCCCTTTTCGGCATTTGGTGGTCCTCGTCTTTGACTGGAAGAATTCAGGTAAGATCAAAAATGTTGGCATTCCGTTTCGTAGCGGCTAATATGAATATATTCCATTTAGACATACAAGCATTATGCCCACGCGGCTCTGCTTGACGTGATTCGGTTAGAGCGTGGCGCAACAGGCATCCTCGGCTTCTACTTTGCTGGTATTCCTGCCTGGGCTGTGTCCGGCGGGTTATCCATTATCAGCGAGAATCCTTTGAGTCGTCTGTTTGCCACAGCGCGGAACTATGTGCTATACTTCACAGGCACCGATAAGCTCTCCCTTGGAGCCCGATCTCTGTTTATACTCACGGCCTCAGCGTAAGTACTAACCATGCCGCCATGGAGTTCAAGACACTGACCGCTTCTGCAGAGTAAGGAGCGCAGTCCTGCTTCTTTCTGTTGAGGCCTACATGTACTCTATGCTCCAGTCTCTCGCCCTCATACCCCCGAACTCAATACCCAGCGCTCGTCTTTTGATTCCATACGGCAGAGAGTCCTTGATTCAGTTTCCGCCGCTACCTACTGATCTTTCTTTTTCATCTATTGGTGGATTTGTCGTACGACTCTTATTGTCACCTGATGCCTTGATTTACTTCCATGCTTTCTATCTACGTCCAGCTCTTGAAGAACGGATCTACAGATTAATCCGTCGTCAACTGCCTAAGCCAATGCTGGCCGACGAACTTTCAATCCGTGTTGCGTACGACGAAAACCTCATTGACTGGGTCGTTCCTACATTAGGGCGTCGTTCGGAGGAAGAGACTCGGCGTGCGAGGCTTCCTCTGCTGGAAGATATCAAGTGCGAACTATGTAGTTTCCGGGGATGGATACTCTCCTTCTTTGGCCTTATTTCAAGTCCTGCATCAGAGCAACAGGGTCCCGAAGCGCTCAATCAAGAGAGAATACAAAACCTTCGACACTCAATCGAATCTCTGCAGCATGAGCTTGAAGAAGTTCAACTACGCAACAACCTTGCCGGAGAGACATCCGATACCGCTCTCAGCAGACTTTCTGGTGCTCTTGCACGCACGACTACGGTTGATATGATGCGACTTGATCTGCCAACCATCTCAGAAGATGATCACGTGATCGAATCAGAGTTGGATCTGGGCATCAATCAAGTCCTCACAAACGAGAATCGGATCTCACAATCTCCTGGGGAGATGAGTATTGATTACTTCTCTGAAATGGCCACTCTAGGTCGGACGAGCGCACTGTCTCCAGCCTCCATATCGCAAAGCTCTCCAAGCAATACTCAACAAGCGGAAAGCGCAACTAGCACGACGCGAAATCGACATAGTTCTCGTGCCAATACTCTCTTTTCTCGTCCATCATCCCCAGAAACATCCCCGCCCACTTCGCCGCGGGTCAGGGCCTCGTTGATTCACCAGAGCTCTGACATTATCACAATGCAGCTAGAACTTCTAGGCAGCCGGAGCCGCAACTCTCAAGATCAAACTCCAAACCGAAACTCGTCCACTCCAAGATTAGGTCGTGGAACCACAGGGCTGCGCCCTACTTCAACCGCCATGGATCGAAGATCAATTGCTGACTTCCTTGAAGCGCTGATCTTGAGTCAAGCCCAGCACCAGGCTTCACAATCGCCGTTGACGCAAGAGCATGATGAACTCGCGAATATGAATGCCGGTGGAAGAGGTACAACATCTCAAGATGTGCCTGATTTTGTGCCAATCCGCCAAAGCCAAGCCCAACGAAGTCTAGCTGCTAACCAACCCGCTCCTGACCTTACCGATGAAGCTCCAATTTCCAACATCCCCCATCTACTCCCAGATGGAGTTGAAGAACCAGCCGAGGAAGAAGTCGATGGGCAACCATCATCAACACAAAATGCAGAAACTCAAACAGCCCCTGGCGGTCAACTTCCTCCAATTGGCTCCCGTATTCCAGGGCAAGCAGTTGCGAATAATCTGTCTGGCGCTCATCGAGTTACCCTGCTCTCTGCTCACCCCGTGGACTCCCTCTCCGCTCACCTTGCCGCATTCATCAGCAGCATCATTCTTTCACCAGTCGAGTCCCTCTGTCTCCGATCATTGGCGCATTCATATCTAGCCTCGCATCCCTCAGGGGTCATCGGAGCATCAGACCTCCATCCTGTTGGTTTGTGGTTTGGCGGTGATTCGTGGCCTAACATCCTTGCATACAGCGGCAGGATGATTCTCATGCGAGGGATGCAAGCTGCCTTGAGAGCCGGCATTTGGGGATTCTTGGTTGGCTCAACGATGAGAATAGGACGGAAGTTTTGCGGTTGGGGCACTTTGTGAGCATGTCTGAGTTGGATGGCATTTTTTAATTTGAACTTTGCATTACATAGCGTGGGCAACGAGGTTCTACACCGATACTGGATGGATGGTCTACAAAAGTAGATACCACTTGGCGTTAATTCATCAGATTCTTAGTAGTACACCACATTGGCAGACGGCCTAAATAAACGATTGAGTCTGTCCATCGGGACGCTGTAAAGTAAAGAGAACGCCGCCTTTAACCCTCCTATTCGACACAATCACTCAACCTAACTCCCCCGAGATCACTTCAATATATTACTTGGATTTCCCCTTTGCCTTCGGCGCGGGGGCTTTTCTCCGCTCCCAAACCATAAGGTAGCCCTCCCGTGTGAACAAAGTCTCGCTCTCAGCACGCTTGACGAAAAGGTCCTGGATCTCAAGCCACTCCGAATTGCGTTGTTGCTGCTGCTCCGCACCGCCAGTGTGGCGCGCGTTCTCTGCAGACACGGCTTTATCGTGCAACTGTACGAGCCAAGAGACCTTTTCAGTGCCTGCGCCGGCCCCCGACGATGAGCCACCTGCACCGGAGGCAGCGTTCACACCCTTATCAGCTGCATCTTCGGTGGCACCAGGTGCGGCGATAGAAGGGTCGAGGATGATGTTCGCGACGAGATCGTAGAGAATAGGCTCACTAGGTGGGTAGACAGACGGGCTGGGCTCCACATACGGAGACATGTCGAGGGAGCGTGGGGAGGGGAACGTAACAATAGTAGGGTTACGTTCGCTGACGAAGCGGTTCTTGCTGAAACGTTTGATATGGAAGAAGAGGTAAGGTGGAAGAGGATGCAGGAGGCGGTGTCGGACACGATGCGCCATCTTTTCGGAAGCCTCTCGGCCATTATACTTGTTCAGTAGAGTGGTCAGAGGGACTTGTGGAATGATAGACTCTCGATTGGCCGATTGGAAGAGGGGAGTTGGTGGGAGGTCGAGAGTGAGGATTTGGAAGGGCGTAACCTGGCTTTTGATGTCACCGGATTCTGTGAACACCAGGCGGGCATTTTGTGTATCGGAGTGTGCGGTGATAGCCTGACTTTCGATGCGAAGCTGGCCCTGAAAAGCAGCTTGGACGACACTCGTGGGCGTTGCAGACGACTTTTTTGACCCACCCAGAGAGAGGTGAAGGTTGTTCAGGAACCAAGATAGGAATTCCACAGGGTCGGATTGCTGGGTTAGGGTAAAGCGTTTCGATGACCGCAATGCAATCTCTTGTAACAGCTCATGCGGTGAGACATGGGACCGGAATGCCTTTGGATTCCAGAGCTTGCGAACAAGAGTACTAAATCGAAGAGCGAGTTCAGGAGTACCTGGTGTCGGGAACTCGTGAAGGAGGAAGAAGTTTCGAATGGGATGGACATGCGCCAAAAGTTGGACGACAACATTCAGGTAGTCATTGGCTTTGATATTGTTCATACCGACAAAACCTACGACAATGAGTATACGGGTGTCTCATTAGTGACAGAGGGGGTTGTCTTACCTGGTCGGTACCTAGTCCCCGAGAGGTCCCAGGCGTCATGGACTTCCTTGTCCAACTTCACCACCTCCGATTTTGTGAAGATTGGATCAACCACATACTTTATGTCCTCTAAGCTTTTGCTCTTAACCTCGTATCCCTCCGGCAAGACATAGACCTTCTTCGTTCCCATATTGATGTAAACATGATGGTTGTCTTCGAGGGAATGGAAATATGCGTGCGACTTGGGTCCACGACCTTGGAAATATTTGCCACAGACGAGGCAGGCATACACATTAATGTTTGAGAGGCTGACCGAGCACAGCTTCTCAAAATCAAAATCCAACACCTGGCGGTTGACGGTGTCAAGATAGAGGTCATCGTAGCCTTCCATGGGCTGAGCTTGTCGTTTGGGCGCACTGAGGGCGGAGACCTCTTCGTCGATATCCGAGGACTCTGAAAGATCTTGCTCCCCATCCTGCAGGTCCTGGTCCTCTAGCACCCCAACTGTAGTGGTACCTGCACCATTGCGCTCGACTGCGCCCATCTCCTGGTCGTTGGGTTGTTGCGCAGGCGCGCCCCCGTTGGGCAAATCGCCGTCGTTGTCATCCTCCACACGTGCCTTTTTCGACGCAGGCGATCCGGGATAGTTCTCGTCTAGAGGCAGCTCGGCTTGTCTCTTTGACATTGTGGCGGAGGGTGAGATCTCGGACAATGCAATGCTGAAGTTGTTCTGCAGTTCCGCGCGACAAGCTTGGAGGGATGCAAACACGTCAAACAGGCTTTGGAGTGGATCCCGAGAGCGTCCACCGTTATGCGCTGTACAAGACCATTTACTCCACTGTCGTCTCGGGTTCTCGAGCTGCTGATGGAAGAGAGATTATGATTCGGGGACTTTAAGATGAAAGAGCACAGATTCAAGATTCAGGGTTCCATGTCTACGGCTTTGATTACGCCAACAGATTTTCACATTATCCTGTCATCAAGGGTTAAACGTCATAGGATATGATACAACAAACGCCTGAGCATGTCGTCCATTAAGCACTCCGAACGATCTTGTCATTATCGAAGTCGACAACCTTCACACCTTCTTTCGTGATGACCTTTACAAGAACCTATTGCAATAGAAGGTTAGTAAATCGGTATGAGAAGAGGTCGCTGATATACATACACCCTTGTAATCGAACGGCAACCGCCGCTTGAGCTCATCTGTGCACATTCCCAGAAGCTTCATGCCTTGCTCAAGGTTGATATTGGGGTTGTGGTGCTTGTCCAAGAGGGAAAGGCAGTAGTATCTGCGTATCTTGTTAGCATGGAGAACCCAATCTCAGATGGTTCAAGGTCACGCGAGGAACAGAACATACTGGGCGTATCCGTGGGCAGCGTATGGTACAGAAGCCAGAGAGGCCAGATAGTCAATCCAGTAAAGATGAGGTTGCTGTGTGGTTGGATCGATGCCTCCAAGGAGCAGGTTGACTGTGTAGGGGCTTCGTGATCGCAAGCTGCGGGCCAGCTCTCCTCGGACAAAGTTGGCGACGGCGGGAGGGTTGAGCTCGGTATCGTTGCGCATCGAGTACAGTTGAACGTTGGCTTGGATGAACTCGGCAAATTGCACTAGTTACAATCGATCGTCAGAATCCCGGCCATGTTCCGCCGTAAATTGACATGATGGTCACTAAACATAAGCTACTCACCGGTGTCACCCGCTTCTCCGCTGAATGCCATCAATGTGGTCCGGTTGAGCTGTCGTGTCTTGTCGTCCTCGGCTTTGATGATCGTAGGGCCCCGCATCGTAGCCTTGGATGCGGCCACAATGACGAAGTCCTTACCAGTGATGCCCAAGAGAACCTCCCTGCATGGTTTGTTAGGGACGGAAGGTTGATTGAATGGATAACAGGGACAGTATGCTTACATCTTTGCAGTAATACAAGCTCTGATTCCAACAAGAAAAGGGAAGGGATGAGGTGAGTGAAGGCGAGGAATGAAATGAGAAGGTTGGTGGTTGATGGTTGATGACCGCGCGGCGAGCTTGACGCCTGGACTGGGGACGGGAGCTCTCTCAGCTACCCTGCTGACTCAGCCGCCGCTTAGCGCCTTTTTCTCCGAAAAAAAAGTTGTCTCCGCCGCAAGTCCTCGACCGCGACGGCGACATTTTCTACGCGGTGTTTTCATACACACACAATTGACCAGGGATCTACATTGTAGGTCTTCTGTTGAAGGGCACCATGTCTTCCTTCTTTACCGTCCCCGCTTCGCAGCGCAAGCGCAAGAGAGAAGATCGCGCCGCCGCTCCAGCAACTAAGAAAAGAGGCGTCGATGCCAAAAATGACGCCGCAGGAGGTCGACGAGCCCGTGCACGTGAAGACTCGATCTCTGGAAGTGATTTAGATGATGAAGAAGACGCATTAGAGCCCATGGGCTCTGGTTCAGACTCTGAATCAGACTCTGACGGTGGAGAAACAGCCGCAGACCGGAGATTAAAACTCGCAGAGCGGTATTTGGAGAACATTCGCGAAGACGTCGAGGATACAGTGGGTTTCGATGCTGCTGAAATCGACCGAGACTTGATTGCCGAGAGATTGAAGGAGGACGTGGTATGTAGATATTCACCTGAATCTTGCAAGACTTCAATGGCTAATAGCTGTCGATATTAGGACGAGTTCAAGGGACGCACTTTCCGGCAGATTGCCTCCCATCTGTCTTTCTCTGAACCTTCTCATTCCTTTTTCCGCTCCGATACCCAGTCAACTACTTCCATCGCCGTTCATCCGCCTTACGCCTACACTGTCTCGAAGGACAAGACTCTGATCAAGTGGGAATTGGCCCCACCAAACGCACCGGCGACTACTGAAACGAATGGATCCTCAACACGCCCTCCTCGGCCGCAGCGCAAGAAGCCCAGGCGTGTTAAATATGCTCGGGGTGTGCGCAAGATTGCCGAAACAGGCGAAGAGTCCGGTCACACTGGAAGTATCCTTTCGGTCGCTGTTTCACCATCGGGCAAATTCGTTGCTACTGGCGGAGCCGATAACCGTCTGGTCATTTGGGATGCCGAGACTTTGACCCCCATGAAGACCTTCACCCAGCACCGCGACTCTGTGAGCAGTTTAGCTTTCGCACGCCACATCTCAGCTATGAGCTCTGGTGAACAACTCTTCTCGGGATCATATGACCGTACCTTGAAGACTTGGTCGATCAGTGGCGCTGGTCACGCTTATGTCGAAACTCTCTTCGGTCACCAGGATCACGTCACCTCAGTCGCAGCTATGACCATTGATCAGTGTGTTTCAGTCGGAGCTCGGGACCGTACAGCTCGGTTGTGGAAAGTTGTGGAGGAATCTCAGCTTGTGTTCCGTGGTGGTGCATCCAAGAAGGCACCTTACATTGAGAGCAACATTGACTGTATCGCTCCTCTTCCCCCCAATCACTTCGTCACAGGTTCCGACTCGGGCTCCATTTCGCTATGGTCAATGCACAAGAAGAAGCCGCTCCACACCATCCCTTTGGCCCATGGTCTGGATCCTATGGCTCCTTTGGATGAACTCTCCCCCGAAGTCGACCCGGAGACTGCGGCTCGTAATACCCGTCACATGAGGCGTATGCCTCGTTGGATTACCGCCCTTGCAACGCTTCCCGGCACTGATGTTGTTCTGAGTGGCAGCTGGGATGGCTGGATTCGAGCATGGCGCATTTCTGACGATAAAAAGACCATCATTCCATTAGGCCCAGTTGGCGCAAGCTCCCTGGGCCAGGCGGCTCCTGATACGCCGTCGAAACAGCTCAACAATGCTCTTGCACTCGATACCACTCCGGATCCCGACAATATGGAAGTTGAGAAGAAGCTCGAGAAGGAGACACAAGAGCCACAGCCGTTGATCAAGGGTGTGATTAACGGCATTGCCGTGTTCGAGCGTCGTCCCGAAACCATTCATGCTTCTTCGTCCACAAAATCCTCATCCAAATCTCAGAAAAACTCAGCACCTGAGGCTCCGGGCCTGTGCATTGTCGCTGCAGTCGGCAAGGAGCACCGTTTGGCCCGGTGGAAGTGTTACGCCAATAACTATGATCAGGGCAACGCTCCTGATGGTCGTAACGGCGCTATTGTTTTCGAGGTCCCGTTCACATCCACTGATGCTATTGTGGAAACCGATGTATAGAAGTCTCTAAGCTCCCAAGCTTGACGACTTATTCTTCAGAGCGTTGCACGAAGTGGTTTTGGGAGTCGGAGTTGGAGTTTTTACTTGTATTCTATTCTATTGCATACATATTGCAGAGGACCTCGTTACAGATCATCGGCCACCAAAAGATCTTTTTTCATATGACACTTTTATTTTATTTCTGAATTTCTTAGGCCATCCTTGAATCACATCGTAAATTCACGATTTTCATTTCGATCTATAGATCACGTGAGGCGCACCCATTGTAACCTGCTCCTTCAGCCGCTCTTCCATGCAACCTTCCATCATCCTTCTAGTAGAGGTACATTTTCTCAAACGGCGGCACTATGACGCGATGAATGCATCAAGATATTCTGCATCTCGACAGAAATCATGCGACCAATGCTCAATTTCGAAGGCAAAGTGCGATCGCCAGACTCCCTGTGCAAGATGCGCCAAACGAGGTCTGTCGTGTGCCTATCCCACAGCAACCCCTGGCCATGCCGAATCTCCTCGTAGCCAAGTGCAGGAAGACAGCGTCTATGGCTCAGAATTTGGAACAAGACTATCATTTCGTAGTCCACGACATGAACCCCTTCCGGCAATTCGCGCCGATGATCTGGCGGACACTTGCCCCGAATTTAGTCATCTTGACTTGCTCTGTCCTATCAACGTCGAGGATATTAGCAATCGCTGGCTAAATCCCTACATTCCTGGTCCCGAGCAAACCATCAAGTCCTATCCGGTTGTTGTCACGAATTACATTTGGCGGATATTAAACTCGTATGCTGCCAGTGCATCTCGTGGACGCGGTGTGCCCCCATTCATTCATCCTGCACAAATGAAGGATCAAAAAGCAAGTTTACCATTGAATACTTGCTTGAGCCTCATTCGCATAAGCGAGCATCCCTTGCCAGGCACTGAGAATGCGGCTGCACTCGTTCTTCAGCGAGAGATGGAGAGCATAGCTGCAGCGCGAGAAATCTATGATGACATGGCACTTCTAGCTGCCTACCAGGCATATCTGATGTATGCATTGGTGTTATTCTTCCGCTTGAGTCAAGGCTCCAGTGCTTTCTTTCGTCAAGCAATGATGAATCTACAAGAGCTAGCATGTTCTACGTCCCGTCGAGGCCTTGTGTGCGCAACCGACCAACACCATGCACGTCCTAAATGGGAAGAATGGATTGTCACCGAATCCAAGAGGCGCACACTTTACGTGATGTATCTTTTCGACAGCGTGCTTTCCTCGCAAGAGAACCTTCCCACCTTTCTTGGGACAGAGTTGCGAGGACTTCCCGCCCCAGCGAATAAACTCTTGTGGCAGGCACAAGGACGAAGTGAGTGGGAGAAAGAGTATAATGTTTTTCTTACGGAATGGACGAAGCAATATCTCACTATTGATGAGCTTTGGCCCTTGCCTCCAGGTCTGAACGATGCCGAAATTGCTGAGAGACGTGATAGAGCAAACCGATGGCTTGAGAACATGGATGAATTTGGAACGATGCTCTTTGCCGTGACTAGCTGTACGCACGGGTGAATTATGGAAATATGGATACTTCCCCTCCTGCATACTAGCGCTATCATGACTCAACCCAAGTCCTAATTGCGACTCATATCAGAGCCAATCACATACTTTGAGCGATACAAGAAGCATAGCGGCTCTGACGTTCATTTCCGAACCCATTCTGCTATAAATTGTATAAGCGCAGTTATTAGACCCAAGTGACTCTTGAAGAAGCTGACTCTGACCTCTGAAAAAGGTGTATCCATGGCACTGACCACCCACACATTTTGGATGATATGACAGGCATGGGTGGGTATAAACAATGTAAAGTCAACCGATCATGGGAGGTTAATTTCAATCAGAAAGCACTTGTTCCCAAAGGTTTGGACTGATAAAAGCCTTTTGTACAGTTGTTGACTGGTCACATACAGATTGCGATGACTTTACCAAATCTGGTTAGATTTTCACGTGAGGCTTGATCGAGGGGCTAACAAGGTTGAGTTCAATGCCGACCATGGTATTGCTTCCAGAATGGCTTTCCAGAGGAAAATAACTCCTTGTTATTCTGCCTAAAAGAATATCAACAGGGTCTCTCCCACTTAGTTTCCCCCTCAAAGCTTGGTGCCCGAGATCCAGTCCCAAACGTTGACTATGGCATCCGATCCCAAATTCGTCAAAGCCATTCCAACCACTAACAAGCGACTAAAAAGGGAACCGGGAGAGTTTCTGTGGGTCGATTATCAAGATGATAAATCAAAAGGCCGCGAAGCAGTTCGATCTAAACAATCGTTCGTCCGTACAAGACACCATCGCTTGCGAAGAGAGAAAACCGTACATGAATCGACGTTGATTGCCGCGCCCCTCACCAAATGCCAGCCCCCAGCATCCAATCCCAGTGCTGCTGTTGAGTCTAAATATGGTTGCTTTGATCTATCGAATAGCCATGATGAAGATGATTATCCATTTGAGCAATCAGTCATAATGCCGTCTCTCGAAGTGGGGGTCCTGGACGGAGCCCCTGATCCTGTGCTCCGTTTAAGGCATAACCCGAACGTTTATTTCCAACATTGTCAGTCTCAACCGGATATGATACCGTGATATCCACTCTGGTCGGCTCTTCAGCTGATTGGTTTAACAGAATACAGTTCATTAACCAAGATTTAGATCGAATTCACTCAGCAAGATCCTGCTTCCCTCTCTGTCCTAGCGATGTGACCCTATGGTTCTGGAGGAAGGTACTCGATGATCCCGCATTGATGCAAATAAAGCTATCAATCAGTGCTTCTCACCGAGCGGCAATTCTCAAGGCTTCGGGTGCTTCTGCATTGGTTGTGCGGAAGCCAACACAGGATACACTTCGCCTTCGTCTTGGAATGATCAAGTCAATTCAAGAAATCTTTCGAACTGAAAGCAAGATATACACCGAGTCAACCATCTTTGCCATCTCTCACTTACTTGTTTCAGAGGTAGGTGTCTCGATTCCCATCTCTGAAGGCACTTCATTTACTAATGTGGAACCGTCCAGGGCTTCGATGGTAATACAGAAGCCGCGGAGGCGCATATGAATGGTATGATGAAGATAATAGCTGTGACGGGCGGATTGAATAACCTTGATGGCGGAACTCTCGCTATGATCTATAGGTAGGATTCATTATTGCTCATATTGGTTAATTTTGCTGACTGCCCCGGATGAGCAGCTGTGAATTCGTGCGAGGAATGATACGAAAATGCTCACGGCCAGCAATTCCTATGTGCACAAAATTCGAGAAACGAGTTCTTGAACAGTCTACAATTATCAAGGCGAGTAGTCATACTACGAACACAAGAACCTCGACACTAGGAGCTCGCTTCTTCAATGCTCCATGGTCTAATGAGATTCAACCGCGGCTCAAGTTAATCATTTCCTGGTATCAGCAGTTGGTCTCTTACTACGAGAGTTTAGAAACGAGTTCCGCTGAGCCGATGTCCGTTGAGAATGACTGTTTACTCTATTTAAGTCACCGCTTATTGTCTCTACCATATGAGAGCACACTTACACCCTTTGAAGAGACTCTTCGACTCGCTATCCTAGTCTACTCGACTATACGTGTTTGGAGTCTGTATGGGATGCGATGCCTCGAGATGCTGGTTGAAACGCTCCGGGAAAGGCTATATAAGAGCTATTTCAGTCTTCAGAGTACAGCACATGATCTGTTGTTTTGGATCCTTTTCGTGGGCAGTCTGGCATCTAAGGGGATGAAGTGTCATTCGTGGTTTTTGGTGCGGCTTGTGGATGTTGCAGATCAATTATCTCTGGAGGGATGGGGCAGCACGGTCTCGGTATTGCAGGAATTTCTTTTTGTTTGTCGGCCACGAGACGAACCGGCTAAGGAACTTTGGAATGTTGCACTTGGGGGGTGTATGACAACACTAGAGGTTGTGACCGTTCCAGGGCACAGTGATATGGTAATCAGATGAATAAAGTCAAACATTGGGCTGGGCAATTCTGCATTTCGTCTGTTTCCAAGGGAATATAGATAACTTGGGAACCTCATTAGATAGACAGACGGTTCTTGCGACGCGGGGACAAGGGGTTGTTACGCTTCACGATCTGTTTCTGCAGGGACTCGTGGTTGGCATTATGAACCAACTTCCACGACAATGTTTTCAGCATGTTTGACAAAAGACGAATGTTTTCAGTCAGAGCATGATTTCAATCTTCGTTAGAAATGCAAAGATCTTCTCACGTCAGGTAGCGCTTCCACCATTCCTCCTCTCGAGTATAAGACTCAAAGATAGCCTTTTGCCCGTTCCATCCATGGCCCTCGCCCTCAAACTCAACGACCTCAGCAACCCTTCCTTTGGAATGCATAGCATCGGCCATCATTCTCGCTTGTGCGATCGGAACCACCATATCGTCCGTGCCTTGCAACAGCAGCAACGGTGCCTTCATCTGCTCCGCATAATAGCAAGGGCTGCGCTTCTTGAGCTCCGCTTCTCGATCCTCGGGCTTAGTTTTGCTGAGAAGCAATCGGTCCACGTCTTGACTCTCGAATTTGTATGAATCTGCTTGCAGAGCCTTGACATCGCTAATACCGTAGTTGCTGATTCCTGCTGCCCAGATTTCGGGGTACATGTGCAGGGCGCGCAAGGTTAAGTAGCCTCCGGCACTTCCACCGTAAATTCCAACTCGATTTTTGTCGACGAGTCCCTTTGTGACGAGGAATTCGACTGCGCTGACTGCATCCCCCACGTCCATAAGACCCCAATATCCGGATAGTCGTTCACGGTATTCTCGGCCGAATCCGACGGAGCCCGTGTAGTTGACAGCACAGACGGCGAAGCCACGGGTCGTCCAGTATTGAATTTCGAGGTCCAGTGCAGGAGTGACAGCCCCGTTCGGGCCTCCGTGTACATATGTTAAAAGTGGAGGAAGGCGGTCCCCATCAGCCTGGAAATCGGGGTTGCGAGGAGCAAAGTAGAACATATGCACTTCGCCATCGGCCTGTGGACCATACTTTTGAGGGGCAGTGTACTCCGTTGCAATAGAAACAAATTCAGGTGCCAGTTCGAATGATGCAGTAGAAGTGAGCACTTCCCTGGTTGTTTCGAATGATGAATTGAGCGAGACCAGTGCCAGTTCCTGGGGTGAGTTTTTTGATGACCCAACCACTGCAAAGCTGGTGGATGATACACGACAGATCCTCTCGATATCCACGTATGGAAGGCCGAGCTCCCGAGTGGACGAGGTGGTGGTATCAATCAGAACTACTTTGCTGGTGGCATGAGTGATCACCGTCGCGACAATAGTCTTTTCGTCGAGCGATGTATATGTGGAGCTTAGACTTGGTTAGTACTCATGGAACATGTCTGTGGACGGGTACATACCTTCCAAGCTCCCACTCGGCGACTGCAAAATCCGACTTCTCCATTCCCTCGAATGACATAGCATATACACCTGGCTCCTTGGGGTTATATGAATACAACTGCCAAAAGCCGGTTCTGTCACTTGCAAAGTACAATTTTCCGTCCAGACCCCATTTCGGCTGAGCGATGCTCTCCTTTTGTGCTTCACCGGCAATTCGAGTGACATTTTCCAGTGAACCATCTTTCCACTCAGCCAGATGGAGTACAGTCCCTGTCCAGGGCATGTCGGGATGGCTCCATTGAATCCAGGAAACGTATTTCCCAGAAGGATCAAATTTAGGATGTGAGTAGAAATCGTCCCCTTGGGCGATCGTCACTTCTTTGCCAGTATCTTTTGGATCAGAGTCGATATCAATCGCCACCAGCGTGTTGTGGACATGGGTTGCTTGTGTTTCTGGGGTTGCCTCTCGGTGATCTTCCTTGATTGCAATGATCCACCGCGAGTTCGTGGGATGACTAGAGAAATCTGCATAGCGGATGCCTTCCTCGGCCGGTTGGACGAGCGAGGCTTGAGCTGATGCTGGGTCCAGCAGATAGATATTACAGGAATCTTCATCTGATAGTAAGATCTCCCCGTCATGTCTTATTGAGATCGATCCACCTCCAAGCTCTTGTACGCTTGCGAGTGCACTAAGATTTTCCGGGAGGACATCTTTGCTTTGTCCACTGAGATGCAGCACAATGGCAGAGCGGCCATCTTCAACGGGTCGGCATTCGACCGAGTAAATTGCACCCGTTGATTCCTGTCAATTGTCAGCCTATGTTTTTTTTTTCTTGTGGCTATGGCTTTCTTTCACTAACATCGACCGCCACTTCGTTGAGCATGATGCTGCATGTTGCCAAGCCCTCCGCGGTTAACGGACTCTTCCAGTGGCCATAAGGCGCAGTCTGAGGGGAACTCATTTTGACGAGTCTCCGGGAGAATACCAAGAATATTCAACTGAGGTGAGATTCATGAATAAAACGAGAGTGTCTGTGTTTTATAGTGGTTGATGCCATCGCTTGTCTGCCCCACTGGGCAGCCCTCGAAAGGCACCAGTCTCACTCTGATGAGTCACCCAGCTGCATTCACCTGCATACAGGCAGCCCTTTTCTACAACTCGGGGTCCGTTAAATGGGAGGCCTGAACTCTGAAAGAAAGAAATTATTGATCGCATTGGGATAGCTTTGCGAAGAGATGGAATTTCTGATCTCATCATGCTAGATTTTAAGTGTCCCTGGTAGAAGCCGGAGCCAGGAGACCAGACTAGAATAAGCCCGCTCGAAACAGAAAAGAATGCATGCGCCGATGATACCTCCTCGCTTGCTATGATCTCGAAACCACAAAAAACAAAGGGCAGAAGAGCAGAGATACTGTCTGTGCCAAGAAACAAAAACGTCAAACAACAGAGGATAGGGGTATTTGCAGGAAGCATGGGAACTAGAAGGTGGAAGATGAACAAAGATGGAGAAGGGCGCAAGAGAAACCACTGCGCCAACTGAAGGGGTAGACTCCTGTAAAAACCGGACAAAGAGGTGTGCAAGTAATATGAAAAGCGAGCAGTATGTCTATTCCATCCAGAGCGCCACGCTCTTTGCAAACACAATGCGATAACGCTGAAACCCCCCAGACAAGGAAGAAAGGGGCTGATGCCGATGAGTGCATGGCCGTATTCAGTAAGGTGAGAACCGGGCGCGCCTTCGTTGCGTCGCTCGTCGTACAGGACCAATTGGTTGCTCTTCATCAGAGTCAGCGATGGTGATAGCGTTGTGGGCAGAAGACCCCGTGTACCCGGCGGTCCTCATTAGCCTTGGTGATGGACTTTCAGTGACTTCACTGCCATCACTCGTTGCAGGTACTTCGAGTCGCTGGTGATAACGTCCACGGCTGACAAGAGGTTCTTCATCTTCCTCGTCCTCGTCGTCTCTATCCTCATTCTCTTCGATGTCATTCTCGTCCTCGTCGTCCTCGTCGTCTGATGACTCGTCATCGACGATAGAAGACTCCATTGGAGAAGACCTCGTGTCGTGGTATTGAGATGGAGGACTGCTCGATGCCCCTCCTCCAGAGGAACGAGGGTTCCAACCTTCGCCGAGTGACACGCCCGTAGTATCGCCTTCTTCGGGATCGCTTGCATCCTCATCTGAAGAATCAACGTTCACAACGGGTCGGCCCTGTCTCCGAGTCGGAGAAGTACGGCTCTGAGGTCCATCGCCACCAACGACAGTTGAATGATCGGAGTCGAATTGCACGCCGTTTCGATGCTCTTCGTCATCGATGAATGAGTCCATCTCATCATACTCATCTTCACTCTCATAATCATCCTCGTCTTCGTAATAACTATCGTAATTTCCGGGAGGGGGCATCCAAGAATGCGGTTGATAGACATGATCTCCCAGAGCCTCGGCCAGAGGGCCAAAGATCGAAGCGGTCGGGTCTCTTTCTCCAAAAAGAAATGGCGTGCCATAAGCCCCGAAAGGGCCCCAGGCACTGTGGTCATCATCAATGTCTCCAAATTCGTCCTCCTCGAGGTCCTCTCCCTCAAGCATTGAGTCATAATCGGTCTCGTCATCGTAGTCATCGTCGTCGGATCCACTGTAGTCGGATCTATCCTCGTCTGGTCGGTAAATCCATCCACAGCCCCCACATGCATCTTCTTCAAGCTCCCACTGGCAGTGTGGACATCGCATCACCCCATCATCCACATCGACAAGGGGCTTCAGTGCAGGAGCTTTGGGTTTAAATAGTCCTCCAAACAGACCACCGGTATGTGGGTTCGTGTTGGCTTTGTCTTGATCCAGTTTCTCCGATTCTGCTTTTCGGTTCACTAAATGCTCGTGGGTGGTCTCCCCTTTGTCCAAAAGCTCTGCCCGACTCGTGAACATGTGTACGATCTCGCGAACCTAGGAAAGTAATGTGTTAGAGCGTGGTGGATATCATTTTAGAGGCAGCGCGGACAGACCAGATAAGCCGGCGCAGGCTGAGTCTTGACGGGGGCCCGGCAATCCGGACATGTTCGCTTCGATCTTCCACCACTGAACCATTGTGTAAGGCACTAGGAAAAGTTAGAGAGGGGCCGAAGGGCGCAGATAGACAGAAAAGCTGATAGGGTGACCACTCACGGTGTAGCAAAATGTATGCCCACAAGCAAGGCTAAAGGGTTCGTAGAGGGGTCTTATGCAAATTCCGCATTGCAAACGACTTCGGATGTCATCGACATGCCCTTGAAGCGTGTTGACAAGCTGTGAACGCGTCAGTCTAGATGTTCCGCAGCGCTCTTGGAGAAGGGCGTGTTCTTACCCCTGATGTCTCTGCCGCACCATCGCCACCCTCCATTTTGGGGATATCTTGGTGTCTTCAGTTGTCGCAGGAGCGCTCGAGCATCAATCAAATCGCGTTAAAAGTCGTGAGGCGCGGGGGCGCGAATTCCGGGAGATGCGGTGGGGGTCGGATGAAAAAGTTCCCAGCGATTGTGGCAAGGTGGACGGGCGAGATGCACAGAAAAGTCACAACGACAGAAGATTCGGGATTCTGAGGAAGAGGTGAGTGTAGATGTAAAGTGTAAGAAGTGGAATGCCGATTAGAACTGAGATAAACAGAACTTTACCAAGCCAGGGACGATGGTGTTTGTCGTTAAGGCCTCAGGCAGACTATTACATAAGTCACTTCTATCAGCCCTGGCCCTGGTGCATGTGACTTGTTACCACAACCTAAGTTCTTAACTTTTGGTGGCGGTAATAACTGGGAGCCGAATCTGGGCTCCTGCATTTGAGTGGTCCGTAATTCCAACTGTAAGCTTTGGCTTGTAGTGCACCGCTGAGGTGGGTTGTCGATAACACATCCTCCTCTATAGCCATTTTAGGCAATATTGGGGCCTAGATGCCTGGTCATCCAGTAGGCCCGTGCAGTAGCACCTACCATAACCATGATGTCTTAGCGATGAGGCTCAAATGCAAGACTTGCTTGAGTTAGTGGGTAACAATTATACGGGGGTCATACCGCCCAGAGCCTGATACTCTCTTACAGTTAGACTCGGTAAAATCGTTATGCATGAAGCTCATATCTGGATCATGCTTGAGGTCTGAAAAGAGGATATCCCCTTCTACGACCATTATTGAGTATGTTAGGGTCCGGTATCACGTGGGTGCGAGCTTGAAGTTTCTCTGTGGGCTTGACGGTGTGAAGTTGACGCAGTATCTTCCTGGATTTTTCTTTATAGGACTTCCTCTGGTGTCTAGATAGATAAGACCATGCGACAGATAATCCAACACCTGGAAGCCTTTCTTGGACCAGCACTTGGCGACCATTGATCTGAGAAAATGTGAGTTGTTGAACCCGATAAACGACTAGTAAGACTCAGTACCTTGCCAGCAAAATAGATTTCCGGAACTTTGACATCCAGGACGGTCTTTGCCAGAGCAATTGCCCGAAGCTCATTTTGCATCAGCGTATGAGAAGCCAATCTCCGTAATCTGAGCACCCTCTCGTTCGTGAAGATCACTGGACTTCACGATCACGCTACCAAGAGCAAAAACATCCCGCCCGCCTTCGTCAGCAGGGTATATTCGGATCTCTTTGGTGCAGAGACTAACAACCAACTCCCAGTATCTTAGAGAGTCTGTTGTTTTGGAGTTGACATGCTGGAGATCAACGCGGAAGTCATCAGGTTTTGGGCGGTATCGACCATACAAGGGCACATCCGCGTACAAGTCAGTTGTAGGTATTCTTTCTGGGTCCGCTTCATATGGGTTCATCATGGATGGGAGAGGCAAAGTACTATGAAAAGAAAGGTGGAGTAAATTCTTATTTCAAGTTTGTTTGCAGCGTGACCTTACTTGAACAACGTTAATGTGATGTCTCCGACGCATTAGCAAGAGCCGCAACGGGAAGCCAAGCGATCTAACTACCAGAAGCTCAGATTGTGTAGAGCGGGCAGTAAGGATGTGACCGACCACTGAATCAAAGGCATTATAGATTGTCACAAGTACTCGGGCGTGTTTCAACCTCATCGCTTTATCATGGTACTTTGAAGTAGCTAGCTATACACATCATTAGCAATTCCTTTGGAGTATACGTGTACATGACTATTTTCTGGAAGCCAAAAAACCTACCGGGATCCCTGCCCTTCTGCCAAAGTACTCCTGTGGCTTACCAACTTGTATCCTTGAGAGCCTTGATGGACTTGCATATCACATGATCTCATCTTCAAACAGCTGTATCTTCCAGTTGAAAATAGTTCGAGCCCTCAGATACTGGAACAGTGAGGCCCAAAAGGATCTCTGAACTGGTAACCATTCGTACTTGCTCCAGGGAGAAGTGCCAATCAATACATACATCAAGTTAGTGGAATATTCAGCGCTGATTGGACAGACATTGGCGGGCCAATCAGAACCTGACAATCCACAAGACAAGGCCTCTCCGCGCCAAGACCGCCCTGGTGATCATCCCCAATTCTTCCCGGAGCAACACCGACCTTCCGATCTTTAATCAATCTACAAGTTCTCTCAATATCAGCCCCAACCATTTAAAGAACCTCCGGAACTCACTACTCACTTCAGAGATCCTTGACGCTTTCGTGAGCCAGTATCTTTTTACCAAAAGAAACCGCAACCATGGCGGCCGGTACCGTCCAAGAGGAGCAACACGACAAGGCGTGGGAGAAAGCTGAGAGGAAGTTCTCACAGTAAGTTTAGGGTCCTTTTCTCGGCCGCACTCTTTAATATGGGGAGTGTATAATATCTTTGGTATCCATTGGGCGCTTCTTCGTCCGTATTACTATATCTGAAATGCCTCACTCGAAGCTGCGGGTTCTATGGCTCTATTGTCCCATTCACTACCTTTGACCTCTTGAAATCGTCCATGCCAAAGGGTTTCGCTAACATGAATTCTAGTAAAACCGCCAGCGAATACTATGATCCTTGCCAGGATTTCGCGGACCGGAGTCTAAAATGTATGAAGCGCAATGGCTTCGATCGCGAGATGTGTGGCGACTACTTTCAGTATGTCTACCTAGTCTATTCTCGATATTTTCCGAGATTCCGAGACCATGACACACAGGCACTGCTCGCCCTGTCTTTCTTTTGGTCCAATCCATTGCCTGGCTCCCTGAGACGCACTTTACTAACATGGAATTCTCTAAAGGGCCTATCGGGACTGTAAGAAGAACTGGGTGAGTCATTTCCCACGGCATTGATATCATTATACTGCATCTACAAGCATTCCATGATTTCGAAACCGTCTATCATGGAAAGATTCCTCGCTAACAGCCCATGCAGCTCAACCAAAAGAAGGCAGCAGGTCCTCAGTCAAAATGATTCGACAGCTGAGTATCGGGAAAGCTTGGCATTGTTCCTTGTGGAAAATTGCCTTTTTCCTTACCAAGAGTTTGTTCACTCAAGATTTCCTCGAAGCATATATCGTCGGGGCTTCTGCTTGGCTCCCGTTCTCTAGCGTCGGCGTTCTCGGAACATTTGATTGGAAATTGCCGTGTGTCTGCCGAGATCAGTGGTGGGCGAAGCGGAGAACATTGTTACAATATGCGCGCGTCTCTATTCATTTTCTGTTTGGGTTAAGGGTCACTGGCGTATCGGTGATCTTTAACAATTGTCAATAGCACTTTGAGGCTGTATACTATCTACTCTGTCTGTTATTCGCATGAACTGGGATATCCCCGAATGTCTACGTATTTTGCAGGCTGCACGGTCACGTCCATAGAATCTGAACTGGGCAAGGTAATGTCTGTCCGAGAAAGTTTGGGTCGGTCCTAGCTTTCAGGTGCTCAAACCTAATCGATGGTTCGGGCTTGGATCTGCTCTATAGAGGGCATATATATATTTCGAGATCCGTGTGATTCTCGGTCCACACTATACAAAATTAGAATTGTCCTTCCAAAATACAAGCACCAAGAGCAAGAATATTCACCACAGGGGATGGACGGCATGTCCCGGCAATATTATCTCGGTAGAGTCCTGGCGTTGGATGAACCTGGACCGGTGCACGTCACTGGGGGGCATCACCTCGGCCACCTCCTAGCTCTCACCGCCTGCCAATTGAATTGCTTCCCCGCCAAAAAAGCACCAGCGCCTGATCCCCCACGATCGTCCAAACATTGCGTGTGTGCTGTGCTCGGCGCTGGAGACGGAACAAAGTCAGCTGGGTCTTCAGCAGACGATTTGGCTCACGGGTAGCTCTTCGACATGGCGCCTATCAATGATGCGGTGTTTCTCCGTCGCAACAACCAGATCCAAGATGCTATTGACGGGCAGAATCTGAAGCAGGCCCTGCAGCTAATCGAGAAACGAATGAAGAAGGGCGAGAATACGCGCTTTCTGAAAGTAGGTCGTGCGAGTCTACTAGCAATTGGTCACTTTTGCCCACTCAGTGGCCGCACACATTCGAGCTGCGCTGACTGTCGCTAACACAGGCCTGGAAAGCACATATTCTTTGGCGCCATGCGGACGAAGCCCACCATAAGCGCGGTATCGCCGAGACACTCGAGTTATGCAACACGGAACCTCCGACCACCGACATTGATACCTTGGACATCTTGTTCAAGACGTTGCAGAAGCTTGATGGGCACGATGCGACAAGGAGCAATCTTTGGGAGAGGGCAGCAAAGGCGAAGCCTCAGGACCTGGAGATTCAGGGCCGCTGGTTTACCTACGCCTTTGAGAGCAACGATTGGAAGTCTGCACAGAAAGTCAGTCTACTCGGATCATCGGACGATTATCAATATGGACCAGAACGTCTACCAGTACATTGCTAACAATCGGTGTCTTGTCGAACATTAGGCTGCCATGAGTCTTCAAAAGAACTTTCCCAAGGATCGCAAATACTATTTCTGGGCCATTTTCCTCAGCCACCTGATTGCCATAGACGATGCTAGCTCAGAGATCGATCGAAAGCTCTTCGGCACCTTGGCATATCGTATGATTTCGAAAGCCGCTGATGAAGTTCCGGAAAGTGTAGGTCTTTCACCGAGCATTGACTTGCCTGATTCAACGGGGCATGTGACTGACCTTGTGATCCTTACAGTCTCAATTATTGAGTCCTCCCCGAGCCATCCAAACATCTGAGGAACTGCGTTTGCTCATCAGGATCTACGAAACCCAAGGTCGAAACTCCGAGGTTGTAAAACTCCTGGATAGTGAGAACCTGGGCCTCAAGTCTCGAATTGTGCAAAATGATACTGCATTCCTTGGATATAAAGCATTCAATTTGGGCGCTGGCAAAATGTGGGAGGAGGCAATCTCCTACGTGAGGGATCTGTACACTGTCCCCGAAGATAAGGAGAAACTCAAAGTTCTCCGCGAGCTTGATGATTGGAGTATTTGGAACCTTTTGATTCAAGCGACAAAGAACTCTACCACTCCTGGGTTGGTTCATTGAAAAATTAGATTGCCGAGACTCAACTGACCTGTTTGCTCGATAGAACTGCTGCCGAGTCGATGAAGTTTGCGGAGAAATTCGCAGCATCTAGCCCCAAGTCTCGGAACGCGGCTCTAGCTTGCCTTGACGCGATGATCTGCGGGATTAGCGACGGAGAAATGACAACAGATGACTTGCTCATAGCGTGCCAGAAATACATCGACAATCATATTCACAAATTGTACGCCTTCAACGACATTCGAAGGATTATCGGTCCCAACAAGGACGGTCTGGCCAAAATGCTTGATTATATTCTGAAAAACTATGCTGCTGAAGAGAAGGTGAGTATTCCTGAGAAATATTGTGGTCTCGCTTTGCATACTTACTAAGGGCACGCAGGGGTCTGTTGCTATGATCAATGCTCTAAAACTGGATTACTGTTTGAACATCTCAGCATCGGAGAGCAAGCCTTCTCAGCAAAAGACCGAAGCTCTTATCGCTCGCTGCCTGAAGCTTTACCAGGCAGCTTATAAGGAGGGCAAAGCGCAGAAGTCTGAAGGCGGTGCTCAAGGAGCGTCGTCTACCATTGAAAGCCAGCCCATCGATGATCTCTGCATCCTTGCAGCCATGTGTCTTCTTCAGCCTGTCGAAACGAATGAGGACGAGGCACAGGCACAGGTCCCAGGTACTGCTCTAATTCGCGCCGCAGCTATTCTGGAACGCCTCTGCCGTGACTCTCCTCACAACTACCAGGCGCTCCTTCTTCTAGTAAGAGTCTACCTCCTCCTGGGCGCTGGATCTCTTGCTTTGAGCACTTTCAGCAAATTGTCCGTCAAGCAGATACAGTATGATTCTGTCGCCCATATTCTCTTCACGCGCCTTTCTACCGTTCACCCTCATTCTGCACCTCCAGTCGAAGGTGCGGAGTACAAGGATTTCGATCCCCTTTCGGCCTTTGTCCAGGCTCTTAATTTCTTCCGGAACTCAGAGGTCAATACCATGCGATTCCGTACTGCGGGTCTGGATGAGGGAGCCTACGTGAATACCGAGGAGATCATTGAACTTCGGAGATGCTTGTCCAACAGTATCACCCGCCGCATGTACGCTCTCGATGCACGCCGTGTTCAGAGGCTTGCTGGAGGCGATCCTATGACCCGTTATGATGAGCTTGGTAAGTTCCCCGTTATGTTCCCAGTCACTCTCGTATTTTATCTACGTACTGACAGATCCCATAGCCCGGGATGGCTCGCCAGTCGTCGATTCGCGGAAGTTTGGTGCTTTCATGTCCTGTGAATTTATCGAAAAGCCCAGCTTTGAAGAGCGAATCCGCTTGGGACCGCTACCCCAGGTGCGTTCATGAGTTTTGACTACATATGAAATTACAAGAATTCGCTAATGGCCTTCTTAGACCAATTGGCTCGCTTCAGCCCGAATCACGGACCAGCTCTTCAGCGTTTTGAAGGGCATTGCACTGCAAAGGCCACTGACTCCGGAGATGGACCTGCCTTCCCTCGAGACTTTGTCCATTTCTGAAAGTGAGAATGATCAGACGGACACAGAGAAGGAGTTCGTTAAGATCCATGCGGATCTACTCAAAGTGGCCACGTTCATGGCTGGTTCCAAGCTAAATACCTCAGAGCAAGTTGACTCTGCCCTTGGCCGCGTCGAGGAATTCTTGGATATGAAGAAGAAGGATTTGACTCTCAACGAAGCCGCTACCTCTCCACTCATTGCTTCCACGGCAGTGTTCCTTGGAGCGGACACCGGGGCTGGGCCTAGTTGGAGATATCTTCACAGTACCTTTGCCCTTCTTGAGACAATCAAGGCACTGTCGCAGCTGGTCGGGTTGGCATCCAAAAAGGGAGCCAAGACCGCTAAGTTGCCCAAAGAACGCGTAGAACGGCTTTCTACGCTTGTGTCGGAGATCTATGAACTGGTTCGGTCGAACACGCGAGCTTTGAAGCAACGCGTTTCCGCATCAGGTGTACTGTCCACGTTGGTTGACCTCGTTATCCAGGGCGAGCAGTCTGCAAAATCCGAGAAGGAGGTCCAGGACATCCTGGAGTCTACATTGGACCCGTCCAACGTTGAGCTGTTCTGTGGTTCTTTGATGGAGAGTTGGGAGGAGGCTCTAGACGGTGTGATGGGGGTTAAACTTTGATGTCTACCACCAGAGTACTCGGCTGTGTAGCCAGCGATGTGATTTACAGAGAAAAGTAACATCTGCAAAGATGACCATAGAACTGAACGAAGCCAAGCTCAGGCACAGACCACGTGATCATAGATAAGATTTCTGCCTTAAGGCCACTAACAACTGGGTCGCATGCTTACTAACCGTATTGAGTAATTCTCAGCCCTAAGCCCTAAAATTTCGCCTACGCACCAACGCCCGTGCCAAGACCCGCAGTTGTGCGGTTCCCGAAGCATTAGGGGATTTCCACACGACTTTCTTCATTCCCTTCCCTCGACAACACCGCCAATCCCCTCAGTCACCAACCGTCCAAATGGCGCAGGAACGCACCGGTATCGTGGTCGGCACCAACAAGGGCCACGTATGTTCACCTCCAACATTCTTTTCGTCGTCGTTGCCCCGGGTCTCTGTTCACTTCGGTCCGTTTCTTCGAGTCGAGCCCAGTCAGATTCAAGTTCCGGTCAACCGCCATCAATACGCAGCAAACCCGAAGAAAGTTGTCAGAATATCGGTACACAGTCAGTGGAAGAGGAAGAGAAGGAAAGGGAATCAAAGCCGACCAGAGTTTGCGGTGGAAACAATTTGATGATCGATTAGCCCCGGAAATCTCGAACATGGACTGGACCGCACTACGAATTCAGGCACCGAATCAACAGAGCACCCCAGGCGACGACACGACTGCTGGAAATGAATGCAACAGTCGGACTGACTTGAAACTATAGAAAACCACTCCCCTCAACACCCCCAAGAACAAGATTAGCCGCTCCAAGGGCCAGTCTTCCCGCCGCACTGCGTTCGTCCGCGAGATTGCCCGTGAGGTTGTCGGTCTTGCCCCCTATGAGCGCCGTGTGATTGAGTTGCTCCGCAACGCCCAGGACAAGCGTGCTCGCAGTACGTACCCCGAACATTGAAGTCTAAATTTTCATCGCACGGGACAATATGCTAATCTCTTTTACAGAGCTCGCTAAGAAGCGCGTATGTTTACCGAATCCTTCCTTTCCTCCGTGAACTCATATGCCCGTCGTTGGATTTGTTGGATCTCTGGCATGCTTTGTGGATTCGACCTTGGATTTGCGGAGGTTCTGAGAGGTAGATCTGGCAATCTACCATTGCAGGAAAATGGTTCAATGGAAGCGAATATGCTCCAGCGATTCGTTTACTGCGCCAGTCGATCCGCTTGATCACCTCCCACCGTCCAAGTCCAAGGCCTGCATTCACAGTACCACCATCAATCCACCCGATGAGCATACATCACCAAATAATCCCTCAAACGAAAGGCTAACTTCTCTTCTCCAGCTCGGCACCTTCACCCGCGGCAAGCGCAAGGTTGAGGACATGCAGAAGGTCATCGCTGAGGCCCGCCGTACCCAGGCTCACTAAACGCACCATTCCGTTACTTTTTTTCTCTATCGTTTCACGACTCGAATACCTGGCGCGCGCAAGGGAACACGAAGAAAAAATTATGGTCGAAGTCTGGCAGGTCTGATGTGAGCATACCTTTGGCCGCCATTCAGCATATGGCTTCGAATCGGAATCTGGGGTTTTTCTGTGTGGCTTATCGGTGGATGCATGGGGATGGCAAAAGTGGAATCCCTTCCCTGTTTTTCGGAAGCGGAACCATAATGAAAACAAATCTTGTTCAATACCTTCCAGATTCTTTGCCTTGATCGTAAGCTTGGAGTGGGTTGTTGCAGGGTAGAAGAGGTATGGTTTTCTGTAGGCCATGGGATATGTCAACTGGTTGTGCCAGTGGTTTCTATCCTCCTAGGCGGTTTTGGCCAAACTGGCAATCGAGTTCAGGCAGTTTACATCCACTCGAACCGACATCCACGTGAATTTGGTATTGCGGGAATGGAAACACGACCCGGCTGTACTTGTGTAGTTGTGATGTCTATTTCTACAAAGCTGAGCAGGAACATTGGATTGTGGGTATCCTTGCGAAGTATTTTGGGTGGTCATGAAATCCAGATTCAAGTAAGATCTATCGAAGTATCTGATATAGAGTTCTAACAAGAAGCGCTCTGATTCCAAAGTCATAATCATTCACTCAAATTTCTCATCGTTCTTAAATCATTTCTTGCCTGGCAGCTTAAGCCACTTGGGCATGGTACCGCTCTTTCGAGCTCCACCAGGCTTGCCACCATAGTGAGCACCGCTTGGCTCTGCCTTTGTCGATGTAGAAGCAGATGGCTCCTCGACGGGCTCGGGAGGCTGCTCAACTTTGAGTTCCTGAGCCTGGCTGCGTAGTTCTGGACGTAAAAGGTTCGATCGACGCTGACCAGCCGAGGATACATCAGTCCATGAGAAATTGACCAGTACTCGACCAGCCAGGCCCAGGTTCTTGATTAACAGTGACTGGTCCGAGTCGGGGATTGTATTTGCATGCGCTGATCGAAGGGTCGTCGGGCTGGAGAAAACATTCAATGTGAACTTCTCCGCCGCGAATTCAGGGGCAAGACAACCGCGAACAAATCCGTAAAGCGTCAACCCGGAGTCCGAAGGTCCAAATTTGGCTACCACTTGACTCTGATCGGGGAAGCGGACTTTTACGTCGACTTCGCGGACTTCTGAGCGGCGTGCCTCCTCGGATGCTGCTTTCGCGGCGATTTCAGCATCTGTGAGGAGCCGTTTGTTGCGCGAAGCTTCATTAAGAAGCCGCTGATGAGCTTTTGCATGCTCAACAGAGGGGATGTAGTCTTCTTCATTATAAGATATTTGTGCAGATGATGGAGTATCGTTAGTCGGAGGAGAAAAGACCGTCACAGGACGCCCAGCAGGTAATGTTGATGCAGGTTGCTCAGAAACGGAACCTGCAAGTTCCTGCCCAGTAGTGCCTGGAACAGTGTGTCCATCAACGGCCCCTGACGGCATCAGAGTGTCTGATTCCTCTTGAGACTCACCAAGAGTCTCCTCTGCAGCAGGAGTAGCGGAGGTCTGATCTGGTTTTGCAACCGGCACCTTGTCCTCTGATGACTGGAAGTATTCGGCAATCTTCGTCATTGCTACTTCGAGCGGCTCCTCTGTCCGCCGGAAGGTGAGTCGCATAAGCACGTTGCCACTATTGAATCCCAGTTGAGCTAGGGATTTTTGCAGGTCCGTGAAGCTTGATAGCTCGCGCCCGATGACCTGAAGGACTGGGATCTCGTAGAACAGCCGCCCGGCACCAGAATCACCAGTGATAGAGGGAACACCCCGTGCGGTGAGATTCCTAGATGGGCCACTTCCTGCTACACCCGCCTCAAACTTGCGCAATACCAGCCATAGGGTTGTCGTGCTTGGGAACTTGTCCATTATGCGGCCGTTTGGTGCCCCGCGGGCCTCCGACTCGGGAAGCTGTAGCGCGACCGTCACAACAGAAGGAGACCGGGATAGCTGTACAAGCTCCAGCTTTGCTCCGGAGCTGAGACCGGAAAGACGGAAGGAAAGAGAGAGGTCTAGTTGCTTGCGGTTGTGCCTGGGGCGAGATGTTGTCAGTTTGGTTACTTCTCCTCGCGAAGTATGTAATGTTCATGGTAACATACTTGAGGCCATACTGGCTAGAGTTATATCCGAGCTTTGAGCACGCTTCTTGTAGTATATCGGTCAAGTGTTTGCCTGGTGTTGTCTTGATCGTTGCCCGCCTGGCTGTCGCGTCGATCACCACGACGTGGGCGCTCATGATGATGGTGTAGATATCAAAGCTCTCTGCGGGATGAAAGTGCGTGAAAAAGAGAAGTCTTTGCTAAGCCGAAGAAATACAAGAGAGTTTTTGGATGACAAAAGGTCAAATTGGCCATTAAAAATCCCAAACGTGGGGTAAGAGAGCGGAAGAAAGTAGTCGAAGGTCGAGGCCGAAGCAAACAGGCAGCGGTGCGGCGTCATCCCGGCATCCGAGCTCTGGCGCTCTCTCGCGTCCTTCACAGCTCCCCGTCATCTCCTCACCTCCTCCCATCATCCACCCCCGTCTTCGCTCCCCAACCCGCTCCTTTCAGCCAGTTTCTCTTTACTGAAGCTTCAGAATACTTTTTGCCAACTTGGTTGATTAAGAAGAACCGCAAGAATGGTAGGGAAATGTGTCCCTTGACCCCGTCATTCACTGTCGCCAGACCTCAAGCTAACCACCTCCTGCCATCACCAGGGCTCCCCCTTCGACATCAGTACGATGAACCTCGATCCTTGACCTCCAATCGCTCAATAAGCTAACTTAACCTTAGATGGCGGTGCCTGTGTCGCCATGGTGGGCAAGGACTGCGTCGCCATTGCCTGCGACCTCCGCTTGGGCATGCAAGCCCTGACCATCTCCAACAACTTCCCCAAGATCTTCAACTACGCTCCCTCCACCTATCTCGGTCTTACTGGCCTCGCAACCGACGTGAATACCGTCTCGGACCTCTTCCGCTACAAGGTCAACATGTACCGCCTGCGCGAGGAGCGCCATATCTCCCCCTCAGACCCTGGCCAACCTGGTCAGCTCATCGTTGTACGAGAAGCGTTTCGGCCCATTCTTTGTCAGCCCTGTGCTGGCTGGTATCAACCAAACAACTGGAAAGCCCTTCATTTGTGGGTTCGACAGCATCGGTTGTATCGATTTCGCCAAGGACTTCATTGTCAGCGGAACGGCGAGCGACCAGCTGTTCGGTACCTGCGAGGGTCTCTGGGAGCCTGATCTTGTATGTCCCACGCCCTCAAGAAACCCACCCTTTTCAAGCTAACCCATGGTTTTTAGGGCCCTGAGGACCTGTTCGAGACCATCTCCCAAGCACTACTGAGTGCTGTCGACCGAGACGCCCTGTCTGGTTGGGGCGCCCAGGTTTACATTATAGAGAAGGATAAGGTTACCCAGCGGCTACTGAAGGGACGTCAAGATTAAAGAGGGGGATGGATATGAGGGGCTCGCACCGGCTATTATTGGGCATTTTGTTGGACTAAGGGCAAACTCCGGCGTCTGTGGTCTCCACTGAATGATGATGAGGTTCCATTGACGGTCAGCTACGGGCGAAATGCTCTAGCAGTGACGCGAGGGCGGGTGGCCTTCCGATCGAGAACGAACTGGGCCCGCGACTATATGTTTTCTCTTACTCCTATCATGATAATACAAGCACCGCCATCACGTCACAATCTTGGTCCAAAAGATGAAAATTGTTCAACTAGACACGCCTTGCGATCCCAATTTTTCTGAACTAGCCCAAAATCAATAGCCATCCTTCCCCTGAACGGCTTCGTAAGCTGCTCCATCTCTTCCAAAGAAGTCTTTCAGGTCTCCTGCGAGCAATTCAGGTACCTCCCATGCTGCAAAATGACCACCACGGTCAAACTCCTTCTCCTTCACCACATTTCCAATAGCATGGTACCAAGCCATGGGCCACATAATAAGTTCCTCTTTGAACTGAGCCACGGCAAATCGCACATTCGGCGGAGCATGAGCGGCCAAGACCTCATCAAGGGTTATCCAGTTCTTCACGAGATCGTCCTGCTTCCCAGCAGAGCTCATGCTCTCGGGTTTCTTCGCGGAAGCCTCGTAGTAAATCCTGATTGAAGCTGCCGGACCCGCCCGTGAGAAGTAGTAGATGCTCACCCAAGTCAAAATCTCGTCGTCACTCCATTGATACTCGTCCGACCAGCTGTGGAGCTTGTCGTAGATCCAAGCGAGTAGTGCGACAGGACTGTCCTGCAACCCGTACCCTAGAGTTTCGGGTCTACTTCCCTGCTGCTTCATGTAGGCGTTGCCTCGGTTCATATAGTCCATGGTGCGAGCAATGTATGCTCTGTCTTTGGCTGAGAAGGGAACACTAGCGAGAGACTGGAGGAAGCGAAGGGGGCTTCGCCATGGGTATGGTGGAACAACCGGGATGAAGTTCAAGTGTATGGCTTGAATGTGTTTGGCGTATAATTGTGCCATAGCGCGGGCAATCATGCTGCCCCAATCACCTCCTTGGATAACTGCATGTATTGTCAAGTATGTTCGATACTTGGGCTGGTTGTTTTCTTACCATATTCATCGTAGTTCAGTGCTAGCATCACTTTGTGAAGAGTTTCCGCGTATTGGGCTAGACCAAATCCTTTCTGGAAGGTATGATTAGTACTCAAGGTATATCTTGGGGTATATCGAGATTTACCTTCAATACACCTTGTGAAAAGCCAAAGTTAGGCAACGAGGGCGCAACAATATCAAATGCCGGTCCTTCATCTTCTTTCATGAGCAGCGGAATCAACTTGGTTGCTTCAAGGAAGCTTCCGGGCCCTACATTGAGAGCATATCATTTAGCTGATTCGACTAAAGAGACCATCGAAATAGCAACGGCAAAAGTACAACCTACATCCGTGAATAAAAAGCAGTGGAATCGCATTTGAATTTCCACTTCGATGATGGATAACGTGGATATCGAGTTGCCCAATCCCGTCCACTGAGATCGGCATCGTATACTGGTGGAGCTGCTCATTCAACTTCTTCTCCTGGGCTCGCCAGTCGAATTTCTCCCGCCAGACAGTAACTAGGCGCTTCATCTCCGCGAGGGGAACCCCCATGTCCCAACCGGCATCGTCGAATTCATCCGGGAAAGTAGCTTGTTCGAGCTTCTTGTGGAGCTGATCGATTTGGGCGTCGGGAACGGCAATTGTAAATGGAGATATGGTAGTCATTTTGAATTTTCTTGATTTTTTCCTCTGGATTTTTCCAAGTGTGGTATGGAATGTCAGTTGTATAACAATAGCTTCTGGGGAGAGGAGGCCCCACACCGGAGAGAAGCCCTCTACTTACTATAAACGGTGATGGGCGGCCGATCAACCTCGGTATCACAGACACCTCAATGTCAGTTGAGCTAACGACTTCGATCACACTGAAAGGGTGAGCAGTAAACTGTACATGTTACAAGCAATGAATCCTAAAAGTTGACTGTATTCAGAGTAAGAGTAAGACTGGAACTAATTGCAGTGTCCGCAATAAGCTTTTTCGTCTTCGCTTTCCGACCCCTAGGTAATCCTATTCTGAGTCTTGTCTCTTCTCTCTTCTCCCTTCACTAGCATGAATTCGTTAAATCAGCAAGCGTCGCACTTGGGACCCAGATTCCTCCTTCCTCCTTCTACCGGGCTTGCTCGGCGCGCTTGTCCCCTTCCGCTTCCACCAGATCAATGAACGTATGGGCCAACTCAAGCCGCGAGATCCCATACTTTCCTGTGCCAAAGATTCGTAAATCCTGGCCAGTCTTTGGATACTGGTCTCGGAAGGCCTTCCATAGCGGCGAGTTTCTTCCGGGACGAGGCATAAATGGCTCGCTCCACCTCCACCAAATTGCGTGGAAGGCATAGTGAACCTCGTTGATATCCATAGACATGTCTTGACAACGATCAAAGTCCAACACCCACATGCAATGCTCACTTAGGGCATTCTTGATAAATGTCAATTTCTTTGAACATCTTGCCCTCGGCGGGCGCAAGAACGAATTCAACGTTACGGCCATTGACTTCGCCGATCCATTGCATAGCCGCGAGTGCCTCCCCCATTATGGCAGCGTATTGCTCCATATCTACCATTGATATTCCAATTTCCTCGATTTTATCTTCGTGAAGTGGGAAGTTTCTCATCGTGAACTCGTTCTCGTTGTGGTTCCTCTGGGGCCTTCTCGGATCGACGGCGGTCGGGATACGGGCGAATGAGGCAGCCTTTGTCCTTTTTGTTGGTCATGATGTAGAACTGGGTAGTACCCGGTGGGCAATAACTTTTCACAAGAAGATAATTGGTGGCATCTGCGAAGGGAAAGATTCGCTGTGACTTGATCAGGTTGCACGGGGTGAATTCATCGGGGAACATTCCGAGGTTGGCTCTCCACCACTCTTGATCTGTAGGCTTGATGTAGCGGTAGCATTCGGAAATCTGGACTTGAGGAAGCTTCTCATCCTCATAATTCAGCGTCTTCATTTTTCTCAGGATATGGAGGGCTCTGATAATCTGCTTGTGCATAGTAGAGTCATTCTCAAGTGATCCCTCTCGTCCATAATGTGGTTGCTTGAAGGCAGGTTCTCCTCCACGAGGGGCCCAGACCATGCCAAAAGCACCAGAACCAACGGGCCCTACTTTGAAGAGACACTCAGCTTCGAGTTAGCGCTGGTTCATGATTCTGATAGAGTTCTTGCGTAGTGCAGAAGTTGGTTGCGTGTATGGTATGAAAAGGAGAAGGTAAGTGAAGCAGGGGGTTCCGAGCATGGGATGGAAGAACGAGCTCAGTCTGTAGAATAAATACTGGTTCAAGGAGTGAAAAGTTCACAGCAGAGAACAAAGCCCGAGTGTGGTAAGTGAGCAGCTGGTTTGACTACGGTGCAAGGCTCCAGGGGCTTGGCTCTACGGAAGCAAGAATAGTAATACATCACCCAGGACATAGCGAACAAGGAGTCACATTTAGATTAAAAGGGCTCAGACTAGACCTTATCATGTCTGCTAGTATTATGTACATTTGCACATGCGGCAATCTTTACTTTATGAGTATATCCCGTTCTTGGCTTTCGTATACTTCGTGAGCTTGATAAGCCGATAAGCCCTTCTTATCTTATCCCCGCCTCATCCCACGGTCTGCCTGACCTGACATCAACTTGAATTCGGCAACAATGGCCTCCTTTCGGGCGCTTCGATCTCAGTATGCTTCTCTGCTGAAGCAGTTCACATCCTCGACCAAGGAATTCGAAGTCCTTGCTACAGTCCCCAAGAACCACGCTCCTCCGCCTAAAGTTCTCTACGTGTTGGACTCGTCGTTCAATCCTCCCACCCGCGCCCACCTCCGCATTGCCAGCTCCGCACTCCTGGAACAACTAGAGTCAGGCTCTCATCTACTTCTTCTACTTGCTACCCAGAATGCCGACAAGCCGTCTAAGCCTGCGCCTTTTGAGGACCGCTTGGCCATGATGGAACTCTTCGCGCATGACGTCCGGTCGCACCTTGCAGCCAGACACTCTTCATTACCCGCCTCATCAACGGAGCATATTCCCACAATTGATATCGCGGTTACAAAGAAGCCTTATTTCATTGACAAGGCAGCAGCCATTGAAGCATCGGATCACTATCCGTCCCCCTTGGAGCAAGTCCATCTCATCGGCTACGATACACTGATCCGGATCTTCAATACCAAATATTATCCTCCGGAACACACGCTGAGGCCTCTCGCTGCCCTATTCTCCCAACATCGGTTGAGGGTAACATTGCGGCCCGGTGATGAATGGGGTGACAGAGAAGAACAGGAGGAATTTCTGGCCAGTCTTGCTCGTGGGGACCGAAAGACTGAAGGCGGCCAAAAGGAGTGGGCACAGAAAATCCAGCTCATCGAAGGCAGGAAGCCTGATGACCCACCAGTAAGCTCCACCAGAGCTCGCGAGGCGGCACAATCTGCTCCTGAAAACCTGGAATGGTTAGTCCCGGACCATGTGCGGCAATTTGTGTTATCAGAGAAGCCATACTCGACAGAAAGTTCGGGCACCAGGATATGATAGCTTGAAGGAAGAACCTCTGAACGGTTACTTTGAATGCAATCGTATATGAAACCCCTTGATGACCGCAATAACGCCAACTCCCGCACCTTGATCTCAATCATACAAGCCACTTTTGAAACGTTTATCGTACACTGTCCACACAGGCCTTCAATTCATCCATCAATTGCCAACCCCATTTAGTTCTCAGACTTGGTCTCTTCCTCCTCTCGCTTGCCCAGGGTATAGGCCAATCCACCACCAATCATGTTGACCAGGCAGAGACCCATCGTCGCGCCGCGCACAATACCGCGAGCTCCAAACTTCTTCATGAGTGGCTGCCGACGGCGACCTGCCAGAAGTAGATAAAGTCCAGACCAGGCAGCGCTGATACCGGCAGTCTCGGTCTTGAACCCTTGGAGATTGGCATAGCTAGTGAACAGTAGGATGGGAGGGAACAGCATCGGGAAGAACTGGAAGGGACGTGCATGTTGCGCGAAGATGAGGGAAGCGAGCAGGGTCGGTGGGAATGAGTTTTCTGCAGCAACGGGCATTAGTAAGTGCTCTTTGATTTATCGGATTGAATGTTCAAGACGTAATAAATCTTGAGTTAGCAAGCACATACCTCCCCATGCTCTAAACCGCTGGACCAAAGTCTGCTTGGTTTCTTCGAGTGCAGAATCCTTAGCCATTGTGAAGACGGCAGGTGTACTTGATAGTGCGCGCGGCGAGAAAAGAAGCAGTGAATTGACACTAGACCAGTATCTTCAATTAAAGAGGAACCTTGATCGGGCCACAGTCAATTCTGGGACCAAGTCTTGCCGATGTTGAGGTTGTTGAATGTGGAGGTGGTGCGGAGAGCCGTCGGTGGTACACGAGCCGACGACTGCAGGCGCACTCGAATGGCGTTCCCGCGCTTGGCAAAGACACCTATCTCGACTATACTTTTTCCTCAGTTGACAACCCCCCAAAGCGCCCCTCGTTCCGCCGCTCTTTTCGCATTTGTCTCCATCGAACTCCATCGATTCGGCTTTCTGGCTGATCGGCCTGTGCTCTCATCTAGGCTTGCCTTGTCTCTCGGCCTTCGAGGGAGGTAAAATCCCCTTTCTCCGCGGTCCCGCGCCACCAACCCACCCACCTGCGCTCCTGTCCTTCCTCCGTTCTACAACGGTCGTACATTCAGGTCCTCGAGGCCTTTCGATTTCCGATCGCCATGCCGTCTGCTACGGCGTCCGGCTCCGACGCCAAAGGCGGAGCCGCGAGATCGCGCGAGCACAACCAGGGCAACCAAGATCGCACATACACCCCCGAGCAGAAAGCGGCGGTCCTACGAATCCGAAAATGCGGGACAACCGATTTCTATGAGATCCTTGCGATTGAAAAAACTGCCACGGATGGAGAGATCAAGAAGGCGTACCGGAAGTTGAGTCTGTTGACACACCCAGATAAGAACGCATATGATGGCGCAGACGAGGCTTTTAAAAGTAAGCAAGCACATAACCCGTCCTATGTCAAGGGTTTTGCTGACAGTTCTCTTTTGTAGTGGTTTCGCGAGCCTTCCAGATCCTTTCTGACTCCGATAAGAAGTCCCGTTATGACAAATTTGGAGGAGACCCCGATAGCAGATTCAACCCCGGGCCAAGCGCCTCTAGCGGTGGTTCTCCATTCAGTGGATTCAGTGGTGGTGGTGGTTTCCCCCGCTCCGCAGGTGGTGGCCAAGGCTTCGATGCAGAGATCTCCCCAGAGGAGATGTTCAATCGGTTCTTTAGTGGTGGATTTGGGGGCATGGGTGGTGGTGGCTTTGGTCCCTTTAGTACGCCTCATCTGATCTGTTCGGCTTCATGTTCAAGACTGACCATGCCTCAGCCGGACCGCAATTCGTGTTCAACATGGGAGGCGGCCCCGGTATCCGTGTGCACCAGTTCGGCGGAGGTGTGCCACGCCGCAGACCTCGCACAGCCGCGAATAACAACGAGTCAGAGCCAGCCGTCGATGGCTGGGGCTTTGTTCGCCAACTACTTCCTCTCTTCCTTCTTTTCGTTCTTCCGCTCCTATCTTCGCTCCTATCTGGCTCTTCCGCCCCAGCCGGTCCTACCTATCGAGTCGATACCCCTCAAAGCCCGTACACCATGGGCCGCACGACACCCAGGCTCAATCTCAATTACTTTGTAAATCCACGGGACGTGGAAGACTTCAGCGCACGCAAATTCCGGCAACTGGACCAGCGCGTGGAGGTGGATTACGTGGCGAAGATCAAGTACGACTGCGAGTCTGAGGTACATTTGCGGGAGAGGATGATTCAAGATGCACAGGGATGGTTTTTCCCAGATGTTGAGAAGATGAAGGAGGCACGAGCGATGGAGTTGAAGAGTTGCCGGCGGTTAGAGCAACTCAACGGCAGATACTGAGCTGGTCGACAGGCCTATGTAATAGGGAGTCGGGCTCTTGGATCTCATCATTTTATTCCTCGTTCTGAAGAGCTCTACAGCACGATGGATGGCGTCTATTGGGTTTTATTGTCTTTGCTTTCTCATTCTGTATAGTGTTTTTGAGTTGCATACAGCCACGATATATACTTTCAGCACGATAATGTTGGATTCAAGGGTGCTCGGCGAATTAACTAAAGTTGAAATTAATGACATGGTGCATCCTTTGATCCCGATAAACTAGAAAATTAACACAGAACAAGGGATCATAGTGCATGTTGAGCCTATATTATTCCTAGTTAGTTAGTTGGCTCTGGTTGCTGCTTAGTCAAGTGGCATCACAGCAGACGAATCTCGGAGATCATGACAGAATCTCCAGCTTTATCTTTCGCATTCCCCTCCTCCTCCATCTTCACCTGAGGGAGAACGAGATTCACATCCTGTCAGTGTCGATGTGTTCTTGTAGCTTGTGCTGAAATAACTGCCACCGACTTGAACACTGTCGTCAACATCGCGAATGATTGTCCGCTCCGCCCCGCTTAACACAATCACAATACCCCAGCCGCATTCCAGCCTCGACCCAACCAAGCACCACAATGTCCGACACTCTTTCTGATGCGGAAAAGGTTGGCAGGTCCTTGTTCACCCTCGACTCCACCGTCATGGTGTTCATTCTGCGCAGCTGGCTAACATGATGTCTTCAACGGGTTTTAGATCCGCAACAAGCGCCTTGCGAAGCTTTCAAACCCAGCCGCTTCTTCGGGTCCTTCCACTGGTGACTCTTCCGGTTCCCCTCCGACCTCCTCGAACCCTTCTCGAGCACAGTCGCCGTTGCCGCTGAGCCAGCTCGATGGAGCTGCCAACGACAACGCGCCGTCTACTACACAGACCTCACAGCAGCCGGAAGGAAAGCGGATTAAGATCACACCAAGTACTCAGGCCTCAGTTCCGGAACGACCACGCTCTACTGGACCATCTTCTGCCCAAACAAATTCGCCTGCAAAGCCTTCACCGCAAATCATCGAGGATTTCGAGCATCAGGTGTTGGGAGTTCTGTTCAATATCACCGTGAAGGAGGGTGTCGAGACAAATGATCACCGGATTTCGCTCCCCGGATTGCGGAGTGAGTTGCAAGATGAGGGCAAGGAACTGCGTCTGCACACTGGGATATTGGACCAAGCGATCTTGGAAGCTGCGTCAAAAGCAGAGAAGCAACGTCCGCTTGATTACTTGCTTCCTTGCTGGAGCAGGATCCAGGAGAGAATGAAGAAGCCAGATCCAGACACAAGAAGGTGGGATGTATACTGCGAAGCGAAGCGGCTGTGCCTTAGCTATTGCATTTTTGCGATTACGATGCCGGAGATGTTTGGGTATGAGAATAAATCCCATCTTGATAATCTATCAAAAGGTGCTGACGATATACGCGCGCAGAATCGAGTCTACTGAGGAATCACCATTGGCTCAGCAATTACTGCTGAGCCCTGACGATAATTTAAGGAGAGGAGTCACGCCTGAATTCCTCAAGGATTTGAGCGCGAAGTTCGACGAAGATGACAGTCTTAAGCCTGCTGTGATTGCTGCGGTTGAAGAACTCAGTGCTCAGTTGTCTTCCAGAGATGCTAATGGAGATTTTCAACCATATTTCACGGTTTGTCGTTTCCCTTTCCAAGGCTTTAGGTTGCAGTGTTGATCCCAATCGCAGGCATTGAGAAATCTCGTTGATAATAAGATCATTGCCTCGGCTATCACTGAGTCTTCGATCTTTAATGCTTCGAGGGATCCAGCTCAGTTTGAGAAGACAACTCTGCTGGGACCATGGTTCCGGCTCTCTCCTCTTCAGCCTAAAGTGACAATGTCGTACTTTTCCAGCCCCAAAACGAGAGATCATGGGTTTATTTTGAACTCGCAGAGCTCTCTCCGCATGATGCAGAATATGATTCAATGGGACCTCGACTATATTACAGGCAAGATTCTCCACGCATCCACTGAAGCCAAGAATCGATTCTTGGATTGGGTTGCGACGGCTCTGAATATCAACCATAAGAGACGGGCCATGCAAGTTGATCCAGAGCAGGTTGCATCGGATGGCTTCATGTTCAATTTGACATCTACTCTGGATAAACTTTGTGTCCCCATCATGAACATTGATTTCCGCAAAATCCACACCTTCCATGCAGAGTATTTCCAAAAAGGCCCCCGGGTCGACATACGAGATGAGACAAAGATCAACGCCGATCAAAATGCCTCTGATGCATTCTATTCCAAGAAACTGGAGGGCAGCTCCAATTTCAACAGCGAGCTCTTTTTCCTGACAATCGCTGCGCATCACTATGGAAGCGAATCGCTGACCTCAAAGCTGGAGCAACTCGACAAAGATCTCAAGCACATGGAATCGACCATTAACAAGTTCGAGGCCGAGCGGCAGCGGTGGGCTTCGAACCCTATGCAGTTGCGTGTGTTTGAGCAGGCGCTCAAGAAATACCGTGACAAGTTCGATCTTGGCCTAGCATTGAAGTACAGTCTCCAAGCTGTGCTCCTTGACGAACAATGGCAGATTCGATCAATAGAGGTCATCCGACACGTTGCTGTCTGGCTCTTGAGAGCTGCCTCGGGAGTGAATTATCCCCAAGAGAAGCTCACCTTGCCTCTTCCACAGCAGGAACCCGAAGTGTTTCAGAATCTTCCAGAGTACTTCTTGGATGTCATCATCAGTAACTTCAAGTTCGTCAGCTGGGCTATTCCGCACACCATTACCGCTGCCCTGGGCGATGAGCTGGTGATGTTATGCATCACATTCCTGGAGAGCTCGAGTTATATTAAAAACCCATATCTCAAGGCTGGTCTCGTTTCCATGCTCTATCGCGGCACGTTAGACCGCCCCGGAGGTCATCGTGGTATTCTCGTCGACCTTCTCAACTCCATGCCGTTTGCCAATGAGTACCTCCTGCATGCTGTGATGAAATTCTACATTGAAGCAGAGCACACTGGAGCGCACACTCAGTTCTTCGACAAGTTCAACATTCGCTATGAGATCTTCCAGATTATCAAATGTATCTGGCCCAACACATTATACCGAAAGAAGTTGTCCTACCAAGCCACGCAAAACCAGGACTTCTTCGTTCAATTTGTCAACCTCCTGCTGAACGATGTGACATATGTCCTTGACGAGTCGTTTGGCGCTTTCAAAACCATCCGTAACATCCAAGAAGAACTCAAACGCGATGGTGATTCGATGGACCCGAATACGCGGCAGGAACGCGAAGAACATTTGGCGTCGACGCAGCGTAGCGCCAAATCCTACATGCAGCTGACTAATGAGACCATGGCCATGCTGAAGCTTTTCACTGCTGCCCTGGCTGATTCGTTCACTATGCCGGAGATCGTCCAGCGGTTAGCGGATATGTTGAATTACAACCTCGACGCCATGGCCGGACCGAAGAGCTCCCAGCTCAAAGTGGAAGGCAATGTGCAGTTGATGGTAGAAAAGTACGGCTTTGACCCGAAGGTACTTCTCAGCGAAATCGCCAAGATCTACCTCAACCTGATGAACAAGCAAAACTTCATCACGGCCATCGCTCGTGACGGGCGATCATATAGACCGGAGCTGTTCAAACAAGCTGCCGATCTCCTGCGACAGCATAATTTGACGCCCGAAGAGGATTTGCGGCGCTGGGACCGGCTGCGAAAACAGGCCCAAGAAGCCAAGGAGGCCGATGAGCAAGCAGAGGAGGACCTGGGCGAGATTCCGGACGATTTCCTGGGTATGTTGACCTTCTCCGTGATAGTTATCAGGCAAGCACTAACGTCCCTCTAGATCCTCTCATGTACACTCTTATGGAAGACCCTGTCATTCTGCCTAGCTCCAAGATTTCCATTGATCGATCGACTATCCGCTCGCATCTGCTCAGTGACCCTAACGACCCATTCAATCGTGTGCCCTTGAAGATGGAAGATGTGCTACCTGGTAAGCTTACTACACGAAGAGCTGCATGATCTCGCGCTAACATGGGCCACTTTAGATACTGCGCTCAAAGCCAAGATCGAGGCGTTCAAGGCAGAGCGAAGAGGCAGGAAAGAACCAGTAGCTGAGCAGATGGATACGTCTGCCGACTAAGTCTCACAAAAGCCCGCGGCTTTGATTCGCTTATCGTGTGCTAGTCTGCCCCTCTGACGTACATAGCCTGGCCGAAGATCATAGATCGTGTAGCTTATTCATGACCGCTTGCCCGATCGGGCATTTGCGTCATGTTCCCGTGCAACTATTTAAACTTTACTTAAGCTTTAGCCTCTTCTCGTTCACGCCTCGTAATTTCTCTCCTTTGCAACCACCCAGTCGTACTCCTCATTCTTCATGATGGGTATGGCCCTATCCACCACTTGGGCATCGCTTCCGTCTACCACGGAGTTCTTTCCTCCAACTCCAGCGGCGTACACGACCGTCCTCGCCGTTTTCCAGTACTTCCCGGTGGTGAGTAAACAAAGGGACCCCCTTGATACAGCTCTTGACCTCCGAGACATGAACCTTAACAAGACTCACAGTGCACTATCCTGCAATGGCTACTCTCCTGGCACCCGGCGGGTAAGACATCCCTCAAGAGCTCCATCTTCAACATTCCAGGCCGAGTCGCCTGGTGCGCCATGGAGATCGTTGGTCCCATCAACCTGCTCTACAGCCTCTCTCAGACCACACCCTCCTTGACTGAGCTGCCCGCAATCAACCAGTTGGTTGTGGCTCTCTACTGCGCGCACTATGCCAACCGCGCCGTGATCTCACCCTTCTTCTCGGCACCGAGTATGTCGCCCATTCATGTTTTTGTGATGGTCAGTGCCATGGGCTTCAACTGGTTGAACTCGTCGTGTCTGGCTGGGTGGTTATCCGGTTACGAGATCCCCATTGCCGGATTCCGCACCAACGGCGCCGAGGCACTGGTTTCTTCTTCCCTGTCTTCCGATTCGCTCCCTCTGATTCGAATCCTTCCCGTCGTCGGGACTGCTCTGTTTGTCATCGGCATGGCAGGTAACATTTACTCGGAGACGTCACTTTTCCGTCTCAGAAGGGAAGAAGCCGGGAAGCGTTCTGCGAAGAAATCAGATGACAAAGCCCCCGCTAACGGCAAGACCAAATTCCACAAGGTCTATGTCATCCCGCCCGTAGAGGGCGTCTTCCGAACTATCCTGTACCCGCACTACGTCTTCGAGTGGCTGGAGTGGACTGGATTCGCCCTTGCTGGAGTCGCGGTGTTCCCCCTTTCTCTATCTACCAAGGTCGGCACTGCCACAGGTGCGGGCGTTGCTCCACCGCTTCGGCCTGCGCCGTGGATCATTCCTGTGGCGTGGGTGGCGGATCGATTTGGAGTTCCTCTCCCCCTGCCCGCTGTGTTGTTCGTGGTTAATGCCGTTGCGAATATGCTACCCCACGCACGCTGGGGACGGAAATGGTATGTTGAGAAGTTTGGGGATAAGGGCGTTGCTGGAAGGGGTGCTGTGGTGCCTTGGTGCGAATTCATGTGAGGCTGTATGCCTTCTACATCTAAGGTTGATATATCTCTAAGCAACTTAAATGTATGATTTAAACATTCTACCGTTGATTCTCAAGGCGTCACTGGCCGTCGTTTCGTGCAACCTTAGATGTATGTACGGATCTGTACATTGAGGAGACAAATAGACCATTTACGATTTGTCATTGAGCGTGAATCCCAATCGGATTTTGCGGAGCATTAGGATGGACTAGGTTAGTCTTTTTGTTCGTGCTGGAGTACCGCTCATCCCGAGTTACTTGGCATACAGGACCTAGGAGCTCTCCACTTATGATTGCTTGGATACTACACACCTACTGTATGGGATGCTAGCTCATCATCAACATCTCGGAGCCACCAAGAAGCTGGGCGCTCTGGATAGAAATGTGGAGATACACCGGAACATGCTACTTCCTCAATTCATTGATCGCGTTCCATCAGTAGCTTCATCACCGTTCTATATCCACAGTCACTTGCCCATGATAATGGTGTCCGACCATCATGATCTTTTGAATCCATATCAACATCTTCTCGATCCACGAGCAGCTTCACAACTATTTCATGTCCACACTCAGCTGCGTGCGACAGCGCTGTTCGACCGTCCTCATCCTTTGCATCTGCGTCAACATCATCTCGCTCCACCAGCAGTTTCACCACGGCTTCATGTCCACGTTCGGCTGCGCATATCAGCGGCGTCTGACTAAGACTATCTTTCGAGTCTGCTTCCACATCTTCTCGATCCAGTAGCAGCTTCACTATCGCTTCATGTCCATGGTAGGCTGCGTTCGAGAGCGGCGTTTGAACCAAAATCATCCTTTGAATCCGGGTTAACATCATCTCGCTCCGCCAGCGGTCTCACCACCTCTTCGTGTCCATGATCAGCTGCCAAGTACAGCGGTGTCCGAAAATGGAAATCCTTCGAATCGGCCTCAATATCATCTCGCCCAGTAGCAAATTTTCTACATATTTATCCCCGTGTGAAGCTGCCCACGACAGAGGTGTCCACCACCAATTATCCTTCGAGTTCACCTCTACATCATCTCGCTCCACCAGGACTTTCACGACCCTTTCATGCCCACCTCGAGCTGCAAGCGACAGAGGAGTCCAATCACTCTTATTCTTTGTGTTCACGAATGTGTTATTCTTCACTAGAAGAGATATCAAGAGCTTGCACTCAGCCTCTTCTGCTAGTAGGTGTAAAAGTGTATTCTCGTCTCCATCGCGAGCTGCAATATATTGGATAGTCAAGAGGGGAGCGAGTTCAGGAATAGTGCGTAAAAGGGATAATTGATCTCGAGGGTTGAGAAACTCTGTCACAAGGAGGACGAGCTCTGTTGAGAGATGAACACGGTCGAGAGGTCCTATCATGACCTCTTACTTAGAAAACACGTAGAAATAGTAGACAAGAAAAACGAGAGTACGCTACGCAACGGCGATACTTGGCGTTTAAACCACGTGATCTTGGATATGCAGAAAGCCCTGGGCCACAAGTTCGTGTACGCATCATAAAAAGGTAGTCATTCGTTACACTTGACGACTCACGTTTTCGCCCGTTTCAGAGTCACAGCGTGCCGTAGCGCGCGTCACCCAACTTCGGTCATGGCAGCAAGCTGATTGCTATATTATCGCATCTCTACTTTGGCCCTCGGTCATATGATATACTCTAGTGACATACAAAATGGACAACAACTCGACATGCTCTGAGGATAAAATTGCGGAGCTAGTCGCTCAATACGGAGCATTGCCCCCTCCTTGGTTTATGTTCCAGGACACCCATCCATACAGCATATGCTGGCGTATGGGCGCTGGCGAAGACTATATAACAATATTCTTTACCTAGTGGAAGGAACAAAAAGAAAGCCTTGCTCAGTCACAACGAATTGAGTATTTTCGAAAATGGCCCCCGCCAACTCGATGGCTGAGGTGGATGATAGAGGTTATTTGGGATCTTAACCCTGAGGATTTCGATGACGACGATGATTACTGGCCCTACTTCAGACGCACTAAAGCACTCGGTTTTGGGGGTGAGGATGACTATAAACGTGACTGGGACGCATGGGACGAGATGCCATGAGAAGGGGGCGAGCGACTAGAAAAGAATCGATTGATATGGGCGATAGGCTGTGCCCGGGAATGACTGAACGAAGTAGAGAGGTTTACTTTGTATATATACACTGCGGGAGCTACTCCGTCAAACTTTGCGCTGCTACTTTTCGCACTCTCTCGTGTGCTTCAGTCACTTCTTTTCGTCTCCATAGTTCCTATATAATACAGTAGACTAAACCAGCATCATCACGTGTTCGTATTCTCTATAAGATCCGTGTCATCCACCACTTTTACGAGACACCCCGCTTCTCGTCTTCCCTCTACGCCAAAATCAGTTATAACCCTTCCAACCGCTAATTGCCCAAATTTCGTTTCCCCCGAACGATGCCTGCCAACTCCGAGACTCATCCTGACCAGGAGCAGCGCATTCCGCTATATCGAGGTTCCTGTCACTGTGGCTTTGTCAGCTATGAAGCACGCATCAACTTTAAAGAACCCTCGGCCGAAGAGCCAGACTATGTGCTCTGCAAGTGCAACTGTACCTACTGCCTCAAAGCCGGATTGTTGATTGCGAGTCCGTTGAAAGATTCATTCCGGCTGTTGACGCCAGGGGACAGTGACGATGGGAAGCCGAACCTTCCTGTGTACAAGTTCGGACCCGGTGGTGTTTCGCACCCCTTCTGTCCTCGCTGTGGTGTGTCATGCCATTATTATGGTACGACCAAGACAGGTGAAGGCGATACAGTTCCATTTACGCGACTTAATGTGCATACTATTGATGGACGAGTGGACGGGGCACAAATGGAGAGCCTAAAAGAAATCAAGCCTAAGTACTGGGATGGGAAGACCAATGGCTGGGACAAGGGTGTAAGTGAGGAGCCGTGGGATGGAGGCGTATGGTAAATGCGAAGTAGCAGCAGTTCACAGGAATCACGCATCCTCTGTACTTTCAGGACCCTTTCCATGATAAAGGCTGCCTTTGCATGTACTTACAAAGATGACATCGATTGTGCTAGAAATTGGCTTGGTCTTGTCGGTGTCTGCAAATCATACTCGTATTATACCTATGTACGGCATTGTACGGCATGCGTGATGAGCATGCCTATTGGCTAAATCGGTATAATCGTTAATGGTCAAGAAGATGATGGTTTGGATGGGACAATTCTACTGCTTCCCATACTTTTTTCATACATGACTGGTGACACTAGGGGAATGACACACAATACACTTGAGGCTGAGGTAGGAGGGTTCTATCAGATTTATAAGTGGAGAAAGAGGAAAACATCTTAAGTCGGATAGTTTCCTCATCGCATCATCCCACGACCAGAGCCAGATATCTACGAGATAACCGCGTCGATAGGTAAACCCAGGAACCTGGAATGTAGTTCACGTAGATAGTTTATTCCACATATATCACGGAGGTCAACATTTGAGTATCTGTATTGCCCTAGGTACGACTGAAATCGTAGACTCACCAAAAGGAAATTTATATTATTCATAGCCCTTGATCGATTTCTCAGAGCCAGATTCTATAGAAGCTGCGAGTCTTCAAATATTTGAAAATGGGACAAAGGGATTTCTAGCGGAAGCAAGAGCGAGAAAACGGCTAATACATCCAATGATAGATAGGCCAGTTGAACAGTCTCTGTCGAGGCGCCAGAAAATAAGCCACCTTCTGTCCACTGTGTGAAGGACATTCCGTGCCTTGATTGTAGGCTCTCTAGGGGAGCTTCTAACTTCATCTACTCAGACAACGCAAAAACCAAAAGAATTGTAGAAAAAGGTATATTCACAGCTAATTCTACACGAAAAAAAAAGGTTCCTCGTTCTCCAAGGTCCAAGCGACAGCAACTGCTTCGCAAGGACGGGAGAACAAAGCAATTGTTGAAATAATTGGCACCTAAATTGGCGGCACCCATGTTGAAATCGTTAGTCATGTTGAAACTCCGTAAACCCGCTTTTTTGGTGCCCTCTAATCCACAAAACCGTTGAAACCCGTATGTTGAACTTTTGGTATCATCGTCATAAACTCATCACATAAAAAAACACACACACAAACCAGTAAAACTCCCCGTGCTGGAGACGGCGCGGTTGAGAAAGCCGCCTCCATGAATTAACACATTATAGGAAGTGAGTCAAAAAAAAAAGGAAAAATCAAAAGTGCCCAGAATTTACTGGGAGAACTTCTGGCGGTAGTACTTGGCAGCAGCAACCATGGACTTGAGCTGGCCAATGCACTCATCCTCCTTGCGGGTCTTGAGACCACAGTCGGGGTTGATCCAGAGCTGGTCGGGGCGGAGGAACTGGAGCATCTCCTCAATGCGGTCCTTCATCTCCTGCTCGCTGGGGATACGGGGAGACTGGATGAAATGTTAGTATAAAAAACTCCCAGAAGAAAAGAAACGACCAGTCAGAGGAGAAACTTACGTGAATGTCGAAGACACCGGGTCCGATCTGAGCACCGAACTTCTCGTCAATGAAGACCTTGAGGAGCTTGGCGTCAGACTTGCTGTTCTCGATGGAGAGGACATCGGTGTCAAGGGCAGCAATGGCGTGGAAGAAGTCCTGGAACTCAGAGTAGCAGAAGTGGGAGTGGATCTGAGTCTCATCGCGGGCGATGGCAGTGGAGAGCTTGAAGGCATCGACGGCCCACTTGACGTAGGCATCGCGCTCGGAGCCCTTGCGGAGGGGCAGACCCTCACGGAGGGCAGGCTCATCGACCTGGATGACGGCAACACCGGCAGCCTCAAGGTCAGCAACCTCGTCACGGAGGGCGAGGGCGAGCTGCTGAGCCTGGACGGACTGGTGAACGTCATCACGGGGGAAAGACCACCGCAGGCAGGTAATGGGACCAGTGAGCATACCCTTCATGGGCTTGCTGGAGATGGAGACGGCGTACTTGGACTCCTTGACGGTCATAGGAGCGGGACGAGAGATGTCACCGACAATGATGGGAGGACGGACGCAGCGGGAACCGTAGGACTGGACCCAGGCCATGGTGGTGAAGGCATAGCCGTCAAGGCGCTCACCGAAGTACTGGACCATGTCGTTACGCTCGGGCTCACCGTGGACGAGAACGTCCAGGTCAAGCTCCTCCTGCAGCTTGACGACATCTTGGATCTCCTTCTCAATGAACTTCTCGTACTCCTCGGCAGTGATCTCACCCTTGGTGAACTTGTTGCGGGTAACACGGATGTTCTGGGTCTGGGGGAAGGAACCAATGGTGGTGGTGGGGAAGAGAGGGAGCTTGATGGTCTTGGTCTGCTCGGCAATACGGGTGGCGAAGGGAGACTTGCGGTTGTGCATCGCGGGGGTGACGGCAGCCTGGCGAGCCTTGACAGTGGGGTCGTTGGTGCGGGCAGAGGTGGCACGAGAGAGCATGGACTTAGCGTTGGCCTCGAGCTCAGCGCTGACGGAGGCGGGGCCCTGGCTGACGGCCTTGGCGATCACAGCAACCTCAGTGAGCTTCTCAACAGCGAAGCTGAACCAGTCACGGATCTCGGGGTCGAGCTTCTTCTCGCTCTCGAGGGTGTGGGGAACGTGCAGGAGGGAGCTGGAGGTGGCAACGACAACGCGGTCCTGGCCGAGCTTCTGGATAGCAGCCTCGACCTTCTCGATGGCGTTCTTGAAGTTGGTCTTCCAGATGTTACGACCGTCGACAACACCGGCGGACAGGGTCTGCTGGGGGCCGAGAGCGGCAACGATAGTGTCAAGCTGCTCGGGGTTGCGGACCAGGTCGACGTGGATGGCGTGGAGCTTTTGGAGGGAAGAGAGGACCTCGATGTTGTGGACAATGTCACCGAAGTAGGTGGCGAGGGTCAGGCGGGGAGCCTTGGCACCCAGGTTGCCCAGGACCTCGTAGGCGGGCTTGAAGGCAGCCTTGGACTTGGCGGGCAGGTCGAAGACGAGGACGGGCTCGTCAATCTGGACATCCTCGGCACCGGCAGCCTTCAGCTTGGCGAGCAGCTCAACGTAGAGGGGCAGGAGGTCGTTCAGCTTGTCAATGGGGTCGACGGACTGGCCACGGTCGGCCTTTCCGAGAGTGAGGAAGGAGACGGGACCCAGGATGACGGGGCGGGTGGTGACACCCTGAGCCTTGGCCTCGAGGAACTCGACAACGGGCTTGGGCTCAGCAGCCAGAGTGAAGACCTGGTTGTCCTGCAGGGTAGGCTTGACGTAGTGGTAGTTGGAGTCGAACCACTTGACCATCTCCAGGGCGGGGACATCAACGCCCTCCTTCTGGAGACCACGGCCCATGGCGAAGTACTCGTCGAGGGGGTGGAGCTTGTACTTGGAGTAACGCTCAGGGACAACGCCGAAGAGCTGGATGTGGTCGAGAACCTGGTCTTTTGGGTTGTTAGAAGAGAGGTTCTCGGTTGTCAATTAATGATGATCAGTGAAGATGATTGCATACCGTAGAAGGCAAAGTCGTTGCTGGGGATAGAGTCGACACCAGCCTTCTGGATCAGACCCCAGTGCTCAGCACGGAGACGCTTGCCCTCAGCGAGGAGGTCATCACGGGAGAGCTTGCCACCCCAGTAGGCCTCAGTGGCCTTCTTCAGGTCACGGACCCGACCCATACGGGGGAAACCGAGAACGGCGCTGGAGGATGGTGTCAGTATATGAGTCGACAATAGCAGGGCGATTGAGGATTGTAGGGAGCAGAACATACGATTGAACCATTCTGACGGATGTGTGTGAAAATGAAGGGGAAAAGGGGGTAGGGCGGGGATCTCAAGGAAAATAGAAAGATGCAAAAGAACCCAATGCCTTTGGAAAAGAGAAGAAGAAGAAGAGAAGGAGGAGGAGGGGGGAAAAAGCTGAGAAGAAAAATGGAGGGAGGGGACGCGGGCCTAAACCCCAACGGGATGGAGGGGCAGAGAGTCAGACCGTCAACCTGGGAAAATTACCATACGCAGCATTACAATTGTGACGGGAGTGCCATCCTTCGGGGAGTTGGGAGTTGGGAATACTGTAGGACAGGACTGTACTCCGTACTCAGTCGGGGAAGCATGCCCGAGGAGCGGTATGTGTAATTGTGTATGGTAATTACCAAAGTTAGACCCCCCACTTATTAAACGTCCATACGGTAAATACGATACGTCCGCAGGAGGCCCCTCTCCGTGATCGGCAGGGATCACGCCATTTGGCCACGGGGCGATAACAAAAAAAAAACAGTTCCGATAAGACTGCATTTTGCTTTGGATGGAGGGGGTCCTACACGGCGGGAAATGGGGCTAGAGAGTGCCTAAGAAGCTCGAGCAGCTATAGAATAACCCCAAGCAGATCAATTGAATACGAACTTGGATCGGACTTCTTACACCGCATGAGAAGAGGCCACCGAGTCAACATCCTCCGTAGCGGGGTCAACCGGGAGCCAGCTTTCAGACCCCGGTCAATAATTACTGTAGCAGTGCAGGATCCAGCAGAGAAGCACCAATTGCAGCGCAGATATAATCCATGGACTCGCAAAAGTATCTGTCAACGGTGAGATGTCAGGAATTGGAGCCCAAGGCCCCGACCAGGGGAAGAACTGCATACTGACTGACCGGAGGGCGCTGGTAGCTCGCTGCAGGTTGTCAATAGTGGCACTTGGAATGAAATATACCCCGAACAGCAGTATATCTGAGCACGACCAAGAGCAGTATGCATTATGTAAGCGACCTGATATCTCAGGATCACGTGGGTGGAACATTCTCCTGGCTGTGCCTCGGTCAACCAATCGGAGTATATAGAAACATAAGTATACTTCAAATACATGTCTGCCCATCCAACTAGTTAGGCCATATATTCAACCAATGTACAAACATTGGGCAAATCTACCACGGTGTCATCACCTCCAAACTGACTAGGACTGCGTTAGGAGTTCCTTCCTCCGTTGTCGTCGACCATGGCCAATGTATGCAACAAACAGAACGCAGCTCGCTCCCGTCACGAGGAAGGCGCAACAGAGTCGTTCCCAGGTTGACTCGAGTATGCCATTCAAACTGGATTGAAACTAGATTCAATCACCATATATCTGCCTTCCTCTCCAACACGACGTATACAAGATACAAGCAATGTTTCTTCACTGTCCTCCGTGGCGAAAGCCGCGACCAGCATCTCCATCGGATGTGGCTCGATCATACCAAGCCAGCCAGGCAAGCCATGCAGCGGCGCGGCGGCACAAGACACAAGGTATGAGATAATCAAGAAGTCCCTTTAATCTGCATTGTGATGATTCGGCCAGAACCATTCTAACGAGCAACAGAACTACATCCTCGACCAGAACATTCGTCGTCTCCGCACTCGAAATACCATCCTGAGAGCATATCGCGCATCATTCGGCGCCGATTCTCCCGCGAGTCCAGAGCATCGAGTGCTCATCATGAATCAAGCAAGTTCTTGTTCCCATTCTCGCGTAGGTCGTCAAGATCTGCCTCGAAACCAGCTACCCAGCTTGCAGCGTTGGGAGGGTATGGCAGCAGCCTGGTGAGCGAAAGTCGATATGATAGTGACGCACAATTCATCTCAACCCCCAGACGCGAGCTTATGGAGGCTCCCGCAAATCGTGCGCGTCGCCAAATAGAACTGAGTAACTTGATCGAAGGAAGTCAGGAACACCGGGAATCCGAACGCTGGGCTATCGGCCTTGGGCACGACATTCCAGAACCCCCTGAGTCGGTCTATGGGATGCGTTTCCTGCAAACACCACCCAGTACCTTCAGAAGTCACCGCGGTCCATACAAAAATGTTCAGCACTCGGTCTCTTTTGAAGGAGATCATAAACACGGAGTGGTCTCGGCAAGGTCCATGCCAGATCTGAACTCGACCAGTCAACGATGCAATGGATCAGTTGCGGGACCAGCTCCTGCGATCCAGTATATTCAGAGCAGCAATGGTCAAAAACACCCGACAGACAGTCGAAGCATGGGAATGAGCGGTCGCAAGGACGAACTAACTTTCCCAAACTCATTGTCAAACCAGCCACCGGATCTTGTTGTTGCCAAAAGACGACAGCGGACTGACTCGGGCATGTTTTTGATGGACAGCGAGAGCGTTCATCTAGAAGATATGGGTATTTCACATCGCCTCGCTTCCCAACCTGCATCGTCTGCGCCGGTTTCTTGCAACCCCTCACTTGCGGAGTTGATTCACAACAATAGATATGGCGTCTTTATGAACTCTTCACAAGAGAATATGCCAGTCGCGCAGAGATCAACCACCTCGGTCGCCTCCGGACACAATGCACCAGCACCGGCTTATCACCACCAAGTGGGATCGTCGTATTACTCTCATCAGCCAAGTTCGATCTCAGCCAATGCGTCTCCTCGTTCTAACTCTTTTACCGTCGATGCAGGAAATCATGTAAACCATGTCGGTGGGGTCCATGGCAGCAAGTATGATGTCGGAGCGGAGAAGATCTGCCTCCACCATGATTCTGCTCGTACAAGTCCTGCTATTGGTAGCAAGTTCCAGGAGCATTGCGACAATGAGAAGCCACCAGGTTCGCAAACTCATATTGAGTCAAAGGATGTGCAAAGGATTGGCGCACCGCGCAAAATTAGTGTGGGTTGGATGTCTGGAGGCCGGCGAGTTGGCTATGGGTATAGCTCAGTGCCCGATGACGAAGCTGCACGTTATAACCAACATGAACATGGGCATCCCAATGTACAGCAAACCCCAGACCGCAAGGCAGAAGTCCAGATGAGAGATACAAATGTTCAAGGAGGCCATGCTCGTCAAAATCAAGTGCAAAGAACCGACCTAGTGCGTCCAGCTCCGCTAACCATCCCAGAGACGCGGTCTACATCAGTCAATGACCATGCAAACCACCCTGAAGTCGATGCGGACACTCTTTTCAAACTGCAGAATTCTAGTCAAACCAGGAACGAGTACCCACAGCCCTCTTACCTTCGAGAAATCTTGGCGGGCCGTTATAGCCAAGAACAAGATTGCAGGCCCATGGTGTCGGAGAAGCGAAGCACAATGAGCCTACAGGCACCTGAGACACCAACAATGACCCAATTTGAACATTGTCACGTCCAACAGGACTCGAATTACACGGGCCAGCAATCAGATACTGCGGTGCATCGCTCTCCTCGCCTTAGTCAATCGATGAACTCACATCCCCAGAATCAAAAGAATAAAAGAGGCCACAGAACCGCGCTACCGGGCTCAGTTCACCAGGAGAAGGAACGACATGTTTCTGCCCCAGGGCACCATGAAGTGGACATTGACCCGGACTATCTTGGTATAGAGTACGACTTTGACGCCGAGGATGTCGCTCGACTATTACGCCCCAGCAACGCCCGCGGCGCAAATTGGGTCCGCAGGCTCTCCAAGCGCAACACCAGCAAGAGAGACTCGAATGCGCACCCGATAGAAGCATCACAGACGTCGCCAGGTCTTTACCAGGCTCGTTTCTCCAACAGCCTCGAGCGAGCGAATCCCACCAAGAGTATCGGTACAAATGCGGAGGAATTAGCGAGTATGTATCAGGAATGTCTTGATATGCCTGGATCTTTTGAAGGAAGTCGATGGGCTAGTCGGACTAGTCGAATGTTGTGGGATCTGGTTACGACGGATGATCGGTGATGGACGTTCATTTGGGATGGACTGAGTGTACCGAGTGTAATGCATGTCGAGTCGAAAGACTCTATTCATATTGAGCAGGAGTACGCAATGGATTATATGTGTATATTGTTAGCCAGCAGGCGAGCAGTCAAATTGTCAATTATGGATATAGCTCCCCACCACCAGAATGTCATTAATCGTACAGAGGTATCCAAACCCTAGCGCCGAGTATGATACAGAGATACATTGGGAGAAGATTGCAAGAGGATGAAATAACCATTCAGCGCCGCTGCCGCTTCGAGCTCTTGTCACTAACACTGCTCAAAACACTGGCAGAACGCTTGTGATTCCCATCTTCCTTGACGGGGGGCTTCGCAGGTACGGCATCAACTGCGGCATCAGCACCCTTCGCTTGACCAGTCTCGCCCTCCGCCGAACCCCCGGACTCCGTTCCGTTCGCGGCAGTGGATCCCAACATACTATTGCCCCCCTCATCAGCCTCCGTCTTCACCTCCGGATGCTCGGGGTCTTTGCTCGGATTCTCAGGGGCATTCTTGCGCTCGCGCTCTGCCCGGGCAGCTTCCAAGACACGAATCTCACTCTCAACCTTTTCAGAGACCTTCCGGGCGTCCAGGAGTAGGTTGACGGATTGAATGAGTTTCTCAAAGTCCTTGCATACGCGCTCAGTAGGCATGAACAGGCGTACGGGGATTTCGAGCTCGGCCAGGGCGCTGGCGAGCTTTTGGGTTTGTACATTGGACTTGGCCTGCGTGAGTTTTTGGGCGCGGTCGCTGCGGAATTGGACACCTCCGGAAAGGCGCTCGTGGTGCTGGACTCCGTAGCGGGCTTCCTCTGCTGGAGTGAGGGTGCGCAAGGCGGATTGTGCCTGGGGGGCAACTGGGCCTTTCTTGGCATCCTTGGTTGCTGCGGTTGTACTGGGTGTTTCGGCGCGGCCGAGAGCAGTGGATTGTGTGGGTGTTTGGCCGACGGGACTGGGGATGGCGCCTTCGGGGCCGAGGATGGAGCGGCGCTTCTTGCTCTTGTCGGCCTGGAGGAGGGTCTGGAGGAGTTGGGAGAGGCCTTGGCTGGACTGGTACATGGCGGTGTTGCCGACGCTGATGGGGACTTCGAGGCGGGAGTAGAGTTCGCGACGTTCGGTTATGAAGTTTTGCTCGTTGCTTGTGATGCGCTTCAGCTCTTCCAGTAGCATGGCTTCCTCGCGCACCTCGTCTGCTGTGCGGTTGAGCTGCAGAGCGGCGAGGTCCTTGCGGTCTCGCTCGCGATCGGGATCGTACTTCAACATTTGTTCGTGTAGGGCAAACTCGGCCTCGGACATTTCGGAAGGTGGATGCTCGATTGCCAACATTGTAGCAGCGATGTAGTAGAACCGCGATTTCATCTGTTCCATCGTCCGGTATTGTTTAGCTGGTACGATCGCGTTGGCGTCAGGTTCTGAGTCCAGATGTCGTTGGTAGTCGTAGCGGTCTGCAATGATCACCCAGCGCAAGTCATATTCGGTAACGAGATTCATCAAGTAGTCTGTCTCTTCTCGACTCCAGTCATCGCTCTTCAGGTGTCGGTTGTACTCTTCGTCAGTGTATCGTCGAGGCAAGCGGGCCTTGATATTGTATTTGGCGAATGCATATTCTTGCTCCTTCGTCTTGGGTGCTTCCTCTTTTCCTTCTTCCTTAGTCTCATCCACTTCCATCTGATTCGGCTCGGGCGCAGGTCGTCGAGTCGACTCGTGCTCTCGTTGCCAGTGATTCAAGACAAGGCCGTCGGCCCTGGCTTGATTCGCGAAGGGGGTCATACACCTAGAAAGAGCAGTTATTATTAGCCTCCATCGTGCCTCACAACAGTGTATAATGTGCATACCATTTCCGGACTCGCAGCTTGTTCATAAACTTCGGTCGCCCCTTGTACTTGTTCTCGTTGATCGCGATCGGTGGCGCCCGCTCACCGAGAAGCGCGTACAGTTCACGGGTAATGCCCTCTGCAACCTGAATTAGATACCACTCCATTGTGAAAGAGATCAATTTTCCACGAACCTGGTCGCTTCTCGACGACTTTCTGCTTCTTGGCCGGCCTGGGCTGGCCCTCAGCGGGCAAGTCCAGCATGTCGCGTACATCCGCGGCGGCGGCCATGGTGGCTCAAAGCAGGGCCTCGTGGGGCGAAAAGGCGGTAGAAAAGATCAAATAGCGTAGTGCAGCAAGGCAATCGAATAAACCTCGCCAACCTTGATATATGTTCTGGTCGATGATGAAATAGTCGAGAGATGAAAATCGAGCGCGGCTTCTGGGCAAGGAAGGGTCCACGAAAGCAGCAGGCGGTGTGGGGCCGTGATGGTGCCAGATGGTCAACACTCCGCCTGTTGACAAGTTGACCAGCAGCAGCGTTTCCTTCAATTGCTCAAACATCCACCAGCCATGGCTTACCAGGCATCTTCGCCATCATGGCTCGCTGCTGTCATGGCTCTTTTCTCTATCTTCTCCCTTCTGGTCCCCGCCAACGCCTTGTACTTCTACGTGGATGGCCGCCAAACAAAGTGTTTCTACGAGGACCTCCCCAAGGACACCCTGGTAGCAGGTATGAACTTCATCAGGTGGACGCAAAAATCGAGAAAGACGAAAGAAAGGCAGAATGTGAATTTACTAACTCACCCTTCCTCGCTGAACAGGCAAGTTCTCCACCGAAGTCATCAACCCTAACACCAACACCTACGCGATCGACCACAACCTCAAGGTCCAGATCACCGTCGACGAGACCTTCGACAATGACCACCGCGTCGTCAACAAGCGCGAAAACCACTCCGGCCGCTTCACCTTCTCTGCCGCAGACGCCGGCCAGCACCGTATCTGCTTCCTGGCCGAAACCGACGTCTCGACCTCGGGCTGGATGTCCAGCGGCCAGGCCGCCGTCAGGGTCAACCTGGACATTGCCATTGGCGAGACGAGCAAGATCGAGACTGAGGATAAGGATAAGATGAAGGATATCGTCCAGCGTGTGCGTGATTTGAATGGCCGTTTGCACGATATTCGTCGTGAGCAGGTCTACCAGCGGGTAAGCTTTCCTTGATCCTGATCCCACTAGCGCCAGCGTTTCCTGTCGTCTTTCAAGACATTGGACCTATATACCTGTATACTTCCATTCGCAGCTATACACGCCCAATATTGACCATACTCTTTTCCCTCTGCAGGAGCGCGAGGCCGAGTTCCGCGACCAGTCCGAGACCACCAACTCCCGCGTCGTCCGCTGGACTATGATCCAATTGGCCATCCTGTCTGCGGCCTGTGCCTGGCAACTGTCGCATCTGCGTTCATTCTTCATCAAGCAGAAGCTGACCTAGATGAAGCGACTGTCAGCTGGAAATTCAACTACTATTTGACTATTTTTAAAGCCCTTTCTATAGCCTTGCATCTTGCTTCGAGCTCTTTGTACCACACACGCCCAGTTTACGCGGATATTGATCTTTGGGGTTTTTGGAATGGAGGATTGTTTCCTTTTTCTTTTTGATATGGAGATTAGTTGGTGGTACTGGTGTTGCTATGTGATGGCTTTTTTGCCTTTGGACTACCTTGAGGAGTCTTGGTAAGGGGCTTATCTCTGGCAGACACGTGTTAGAGGCCTACATTTCATGGAATAAAATGGAGGGTGGTGGAGTGCTGAGAGCTGCGTAAGTCAGAGCCATGCCGATTTTGATAATGGATGTAATGAACAGTTTTTCTTTCCGTCGTTTCAAGTCATTCTAGTGTGCTAGGAGTTTGTAGACCTAAAGAGTAGATCACGAACTGAACGTATGCAAGAGTAATTTTCATTGATAGTGTGATATTGATTGATTTGAAGGGGGTCATCATTCATTAGGTCCAGGGCAAGGGGGGTAATAAAATAGTAGGAGTGGGAATGTCCACAATATGGTATAAGGCATGGCCAAGAAGAAGTGAAATATGTCGAGGAAGGACAATGAGAAACTTTGCCAAATAATTTCTCGTTTGCCTCGAGAATTTAAATCAAATTCCTTCTCAAAGGCAAAAGGCACACCAGGCCACATAAGAAAGACTTGATAGTGTAATTCTCCAGGCGGAGGTGAATTTTTGTTGACAGAAAAGGCTTTTATGCAGCCGCCACAACCGTCTCCATTGGACCGCAGAATCCAAGAATGAGTCGCTCCAGATCGGACAGTTTATAGGGCTTCGTCATGTATCCCTTAATGCCGACTTTTCTGGCACGGTTGAGCGCCTCGTCAGTCACGTCCGCACTAACTGCTAGCACGGTAGGAGGACGGTGCGCGCGGATCGGACTGGTCACAGCGTCCATTTCTATGACGTCAGAATTGGTTGTGATACTCATCCGCCGAGGATCATCATCGGCGCTAAAGCACTGGCTCTGGTGGTCGTCCACCATCTGAAGAATGCGAGAAGTCGCCTCATATCCGTCCATTTCGGGCATCCACAGGTCCATCAGGACGATGTCGATGGGCTTCATCTCGGGGGTAGACGGCTGGGTAGATGGGCCAGCCTCGCCCGTTGGAGAACCGTTGGTGGATGACGAGGCTGATAGAATGTCTTGCATGATTTGCACGGCTTCTTTACCGTCGGCAGCCTCGAGGACATCCCGGTATCCCAACTTTCGTAACATGTTGACCAGCACACGGCGGTTGATCCGATTGTCTTCAGCGACGAGGAAGCGGAGAGGGAATTTTTCGCCAAGCTTCCTGTCATGCGTGTGGCCCAAGGGCTGCTTGAACCGGGATTGTGTCAGTGTCCGCGGTGGAGTCGAGCTCTGAGAAGTGCTGTCGTCACCGGTGCTTGGAGTCGGTTGTTGGCCTCGTTGATTATGAGCAATAGGTGGGGATAAAATCGACGACGACTCCCAGATGAAGCTGCTCGCACTTCCGTGTCGGACATGGTCGCTGATAGTCGGAGGTGTCATCATTCTCTCGTTGGGTGTTCCGGGCCCATTGTAGGCTTCACGTTGGTTCACGGGCACTCGAATCTGGAACTCGGAACCATGATCGGGCCCCGTGGTCGAAGAGCGCACGCAAACCAGATCACCGCCCATTCTCCGTGCAAGGCCCTTGGCGACCAGCAGTCCGAGGCCGAGACCGTCCTTGCTGCGGGTAGTAGATGCATCCTCGCGGGAGAACGGCTTGAACAGGTTGGGCAAGAATGCTGCAGGGATGCCGGGCCCAGTGTCTCGGACGAGAATCAGGACATCACTGGTTCTAGAGTCCACAGTAGCACATACGGTAATTGTGCCATTATTTGTAAATTTAATCGCGTTTAGGAAAACGCAGGATATCAACTTGGCTAGATCTCGGTCGTCTGCAAGAAGAGTGTCGGGCAACGCGGGGTCAACAGACCAGTCCACAATTTGGGTGAAGATCTCCCCGTTCGACGACCGAGACCGAATTTCAATCTTCTCACCAAAGGCAGTCGCCTGACTGGTTGCTGAATCCGGTCGGCCACCGACATGCAGAGACTCGTTGATGACCAAACGGAGCAAGTCTCGCAGTTTCGTAAATCGGAGGGCCGGGCTTCGCATGTTCATATTGATTCCCTCCAGGAGAAGATGAGGAGCACATCGTCGGACTGCGATCGAAGGACGGGGATCCACCATATTAGCCATGACTTCTTCAATTTGGCGTGCGGGGGTAGCATGAACGATCTGATCACTCTCGTGGACAGCGTTCTTGACTTCTTCGCTGCGTGGAGAGAGCTCTTGTCGTGATGATGCTGCGCGAAGTCTCTGCCTTCGGACCGGACGAGTGTCCATATCCAGAGGAAGGCTCCGTCGACGCTTATATGGGTTTACGGCGATGTTACTTCCTTCGATAAATACACTGGGTCGGCTCTCGGTGGTGGCAGAGGTAAATGTTGGATCCAGCATTCCGTTTTCTTGCTCCCGTTGAGGTGTTTTGGGCACCTGCATGTTGAGATCGTACGCATGGACGACGTTGTCAGCCGCCTCGACGGCGCGCCGTGCGCTATCCTGGACCATTTCAATGCCCTCTTTGAGAGCCTGAAAAATGCCACCTGATTTTACCGGAGTTTTGCTTTCCATGGCCTCTCGCACGGTGGCATGCATGACATCCAGCATGCCAACCACACCTTGCATCGGGGTTCGGAGCTCATGGGATAGACTTTTGGCGAACGGTTTGAGTGGATGGGCGGTGAAATGAGAAGAGTCTCGAATATGGTCATGTCCAGCATCTGAGCGAGTGGGAGATTCGAGGGCCGGGAATTGAGAGTCTTCGTGGTCCGGAAAAACTTCGTCCAGCAAGAGTCGCTGCACGATTAGGTCCTCGAGGGAGTGGAGAATCATTTCGAGAAACGACCAAGACAGGTTTCGACTGCGGAGACCATCCTTGGACCACATCAACCCGAGATGCGCCAGGCACTTGCCAGCCGAGAAGAGTGGGATCGCCAGATACGCGTCGGCGGGGAAGGGCAGTTGGTCGTCGCCGAATGAGACTAGGGATTTGAGGTTTTCCTTGATGAGACACGGTCGTTCATGGTCCATATGTAGCAGCGGGTTTCCGCCGGCGAAATATCGATTTCGCTGTAGTCCGACATTCTGGTACCCATCGTTGTAGTAAAAGACCGCCCCGAACAGCGATGGCCGGCGTCCGCCCAGTTCGGGCATGGGCTCGCCGCCATGTACTCGCCGAGCAACAAAGCCATATTGGGCCTTGGAGATGGAGGTGATATCCTCCATGAGCCGTTTCCAGAACAGCTCGGTGTCCAAGGCTCTCAGCCCCTGCTTGAGGGTCACCAGCTGCTCAATGGTGGCGGTCTGGGCCACATCATTCCAGCACCGGGCGGAGGCGTCGAACTGTGCATCTCCGTCGTCGTGCACCGTTGCGAATCCATCGGTGAGGCATTCCGACTTGCAGGAGGGGAAGGACATGGCAGGGCGAGGGTGGACGGAGTTAGGGACATCGGGCTTGGGCGACTCGGACATAGTCCATATGGGATTGGTGACAATGCGAAGTGCTCGCAACTCTCTCTCTCTCGCTTTATCTGGGCAGAACGAGAACCATGGCTTTCGGGGGACCGAAAGGGTGCATGGAAGGTGGTTGAAGGTGGTGAAGTTGAGAAGAGGAGCCAAAGGACGAGAGGGGAAGATCAGGAGGGGAAGGATCGAGGATACTTGGGGATTGGGATTTTCCCGTCTCTCGGGGGGTTCGGGGGCGGTCTAGACACGAGACACCGGACTGGCGGAGGACACTCCATCAACAACTGAAACGGCGGGTCTCTGGGCCTGGGTCTGGGTCTGGGTCAGGGCCAGGGCCAGAGCTGGAAGTAAATACGACGGTAAGTAAATAATACTCCTTCTCTTCCTCGTTCCGGCTCCTCACAACCACAATCATGGCTTGGTGTCCAAACTCTCAACGTGCGGACTCTCTTCTTTGCTTCGATTCCTTCCAACATCGTCCTCCATCTCACGGCTCGCCAATCTCCTGCGGAGTCCTCCGTCCTCCAAAATAATCCTGCACGATCGGCGGATCTAGACCCGAGGACGTGCATTCCGATTTTCCGGTGCACAAGCCCTCCAAGTCCCCATTACCCAACGCGGAGACCCTCTTCGCCCCCATGGGCCACTTCACCCCAAAGTCGCTGGTACATGCAAGCGCCATCGAAGAGCCTTGCAGGTGGCTTGGCCCCAAAGCTGAGGGGAGGCGAACACCCTCCTCGGCCAGACCTAGCCGAACTGTGATCCATCGCTTTTCCCACCTGTCATTTGCGCTCTTGGACACTTGCGCTCGGCTGTGAACTGCCGGCTTTTACAGGACGTGCTGTACGGCCAAATGCATTGCAGTGGAGTCGAGAGAAGGCCACACAAACGCATCAATGGGAAATAATGCCATCTTCTTCCTTGCAACCTGCAAAGCGGGAGGGCAATATCGAGATAGCCCGAGATGCGGGGCGGCTGAGAATCTGGCCTGGTTGACATTGCGATGCATTCGTCCCAAAATGGTATGTGAATTGACGGGAGACTAATAATGTTTTATTTCAACGGGGAGGTCCTGATCGTTGGCGGCTCCTCGTATTATCGTCCGGTGGTGGCTACCAAATCCCACTGCAATTCCTGGGACGGATTCTAACTATGCTAGCAGAGCAACGAGGAAGACAACCTCAACCGTGGCCGGCTGAAGTCTATACAGGAAGAGCCCATTGTACAGTCCGCATCTACAAGATTATAATAATATATATACAGTAACTCCGTCTAAAAGTGGCATGCATCGAGCGGGAACGATTCTGTGTGGCCCAGCAATCTAAATATATTATCCCCACTTTTGGCCCTACCTCGCTCTCTGCGATGATTCGTTGGGCCCGCGAGAAAAAAAGCAATTCTCTCGCGCCAACACGGGATTTCTAAGGCCAGTCAACTTATCCACTCGTGAGCAAGTGAGATGATTGAACTGCCAGACACGGAACGGAGTATTGTAACCTCTGCACTGGGTGGTGTACATATACCTAACGAGGGGCAATCCTGAAGAGATCATCATTGCTCCGGCAGACAACTTCAAATAGCAAGTCTGGATCAGAGGATGGACTAAACAGGACTGGATATAACCAATAAAAGTCCAACTAGACGAATAAATTCAAGACAATTGCTACCGCTAAACGCATTTCGTAAATAAGCGTGAACTCAGCTAACCCATAAACACCTAATCATTCATAGCATTAAGCTCCGAATCCCAATCCCACCTCGGCGACCCCCCATCCTCAGAAGCCATCGGCGACATAATAGACGCCGGCCACTGAATCAAGATATCCGGATCCACCGAATCACCACTCTTCTGCCCAAACCCAACAGAGTGAGACATCTCCACCCCCAACGTGATCCCCTCCACTGCCACTGCACCAGGCGTCGGTGGCGTCAAGTAACCCGGCCCGATGTCAGGGTTATGGAGGAGTCCGTCGACGCCGTTCTGCGCGACGTCGAAGACTGCGTTGTGTGGGTCCATCATGGCCCAGTAGTCGAGTACGGAGCGGAGGACGGCTGCTTCTGTGGGGGTGAGTTCGTCGACGAGCGGTTTCTCGCGGAGGAGGAGGTCGCTGTATCGGCCGCATTGGAGGGCGAAGGATTTTAGGGCGTTGGCCTGGATGGAGGGGTGGATGGTTAGATGGGGATATTGATGCTATGTGGATTGTATTAGGACTTCATGTCTTACTATCATTTGTGCGTTTGTCCATAACTCGGACACTTCGCCCAAGTACTCGAGTGATGTCTTCAGGTATTCGGCCGAGCCGTGGCTGACGGCTATATCGTCGCTGTGCAAATAGAGTGCGTGGATGGTGCTTGCCACGAGGATGCAGTAGCTGTATACCGAAGGGACGGGCATATACCCCGCTGCCTTGGCTTCCACAAGAACGGTGATTAAAGAACCGGCATGTACCAGACACGTTGCGCGGGTTTCTTCCAGCCAGGCGGGCGGCATATCGGAGACTGGAACGGATTGTATCTTCAAGCTGAGGAGATATGGATGGCTGAGAATGCAGTGGGAGAGGTGGTATAAAGTATGAGAGAGGACCATATGCGCAATGCGCTCGCGATCGCTGTCATGCATCTCATCTTGAGGACGAGCTTCTCCCGGCGCAGCCAGGACGGGACTGTTGTTGACGGCTAGCTCTTTTAAAAACTCCAAGTCTCGGTGAATCCTTCGGTATTCAGAATCGAGATGCCAGGGCTTCTCTTGATTATCCTCGGTGTTCATCATGCACTTGATCGTCCGCCCAAGTACGGACACTAATGCAATACTGATACCAAACATTCCCGGGCGAAGCGTCGTATCTCGGTTATTCTCATCTAATAAGCCCTTCAATGTCGTCGTTGACTCTCTCTTTCCCGAACTGCGATACGTGGGTAGATTAAGCAGACAATCCGAGTCCTTGATCGCGGGCGGTCGTTGGAAGGAGCAGCACACAAAGCGATCAAGGAGATATAATGACCAGAAGAGATTCCTCCGTTCATCGCGCTCCAAGCTGGAGAATTTCGCGCTTGGTTCGAGCATCAATTGTAAATCTTGGCTGATTCGTACTGCCATACCGATTTTCACCCATGCGCCTCGCCGCCGGCCAGCTGTCTTTGTTCAGCATGTCATCGACACAACTACCTCCGATTTGACAACACTCACCGGTGGCATCGATCACAGCCAAGAGGGCAAGGGCTTGAATCACCGTCACATCATCGGTGTCATCTAACCCGTTCTGCGACGTCACAATTAGCTCCCAGGAGCATCGGGCGTAGCCATCGATCGTGCTCTGTTTCCTTTCTCGCCATTGCGAGCGGGAGGAGTAGCGAGTGGCAGTTGCGATCAAGGCGAGGCGAAGATGGAGGGGTACGAGGTTCTTTGCTGCCTTTTGCTGGAAGAGTTCGGCATTGAAGAAGCCGTAGGGCTTATTATGGGAGTGTCGGAAGTAAATGTCGCATGCTTCCAAGAAGACTGTGTCGGGAGTTGGGGAATTACTTTTGCGGAATGTTAGATAGTGTATCACTGGGTGACGAGAAAAGAAAATGCCATATCTGAATTCTAAAGCTCGAATAAACTCGGACTTACCTTGGTGATCTCTTGCGCGTGTCCATGGGGTCGTTATGTGAGGATAGTGTCATGGAAGTCGTGTAAAAATGTTGTAGAACATTAGCGCTTTGCTGGCATTTTGAATGTTTCAATAATTTCTTTTTTCTGTAGTGTCCCTGCTGACCTCAGAAAAAGTTAGAAATCCTGACCGACCCGCTTCTCCAGGGTTTAAAGGCAAGTAAGGGAGATTATGTTACTCAATCCGTATATTCTGGTTTGTCGGAGTCCGGGGCAAGTGGGGTGGTGTCCTCGGCCCGGTGTGAACTGGCCAGGACTCTCCGCGTTTAACCGGGCAAGCCCCTGTTGGGGAATGGAAAAACATGGTTTGATTGAATGGTTCAAGCAGGGGATGCCCTTCTGGAAGGATGCCAAATCGCCCTTGGCTGAACTATAAAGAATTCAAGCTGGTCACATGGACTCGCCCAGCGATCAAAAGGGAGCAAAGAATGACGCAGTTGCTTTTCCAAGCATGCGACAAGGGGGGCGAAGGATCATGTGATGGATACATGGCGGTGGAGGATCAAGAAAGCAAAGGTTGATGTCAAATTGCATATCTAACGTTTACGGTGAGACTGAGGGTATTCCGTTCCATTGGGTACTAGTTAGCCGAGATGTATTCGTAATCCAAATGCTTGACGTATGACTATGGCTCTCTCAAGATATGTGCTAAGAATAATGTACAGGGTCCATGCCTGGAAGTAATTGGCAACCCAAAAACCAGACAGTCATCCAGTCATAATTGCGTGCAGGTACATAAAATGCAGCATCATTGTTCACCTAAAGGTAACAGGTTCATTAAAAAATCAAGAGAATTCGAATCGATTCCCAGGGGGATCGCCTTTCTGTCCGACGAGCACAGAGCAATCTTGGGATCGAACGGTCGCACGACCCAATCATCCCCGAAGGGCTCATTGGCGTGACCGTCGCCAGGCGGCTTCGGACGATCCTGTAGCAAAGTGAACTGATCCCGGAATCGACGTAGGTGCTGGTCCACGAGTTCGGCGAATCGAGACAAGAAATCCAAGTCGTCAATCCCGCACGATCGCAACGCAGCGATGCACTGATCCAATGTTCCCATCTTGACTTTCAAGTCATGGGAGCGGCCACCAAGGCTGATAGCCTTTAACAGGAGAATCGATGCTGAGACGATGCAAAGACGGGTTCTCAGGGGAGTGTAGCGTAGTCTCCCTTCTAAATGCATCGTCGTGGCAAGGTCAAGGACCTTGCAGCTGGCAGATATCGTCTCGTCAATGAATTTTCGGTCCTCTGGAAGCACGGAAGGCCTATTGATATGTTTGTCGGAACTATCGGATTTAGCAATGCCTTGTGAGAATGCTCTTTCGACGACTGCTTGAATGGAAAAGGCACTGATGCATGCTTTGAGATGGTGGAATTCAATAAAGAGCAAGTAGCCCAGTTCAAGGGGCATTCCTGTTTCGAGTAATAATATGAGCAACTCAAATCCTGGTAGATCACGCGATGCGCAATGGATACGACTGATGAGAACTTACCCGACAACTGCGAACTGAATCGGTCATGCCAATGAGCAAGAGAGGGAGTCCAGTTCAGATTAAGCAAGTTATATCCAGCCAGCACCTCCTTCATAGCAGAATGTGACGGAGAGAAAGTGACAGTTGCCGAATTTATGAGTTTCGTCAAATCCATCCATAGGGCCGTCCAAGAGTCCGACAATTGACCCCCGGGTTCGTTCTGTTGGGGTACAGACATCGAACCGAAGGACATATTTTGCGGCAGAGGGGACGAACAGCCCAGTCGACTGGCCATCTGATTGACGTAAACACAGAGTAGGTTTCTAGTGCGGTGAAACCGAGCAAGGTGCCGAGTCTCAGGGACAAAGGATACAAGAGGCTTATCGGGGAAGATGCCAGTTTCATAAGCGAGATTGACTGCAACGCCTAGCAGTCTCCCAGACATTTGGCCCACCTGCTTCACCGGCTCGAAGACATCTTCTTGCCACCGTATCGATGGAGCGTTGAGTTTTCTTCGTTTGAATTCTCGGCGAGTACGCTCTGGGAACATCACTTGGCCATCCCAGTCGGGATTATCAGTTGGGAGGTGGATTGATCGTGGGGGCCAGTCGGATATCAACATAAGGCTCTCGATAGCTCCCAAGACTCGGGAGTCTGCGTTTGAGTAACTTTCTTGTCCGAGCAGAATGCGTTGAATCAAGACCTCACAATACTTCCACAATTGGCTGTGAACATAGTGACTTCGAGACGGGCCTCCAGGACCCGGGAGAGCAAAAAATCGAGAGGATATGGCCAGGAGAGTGCAGCATAACATTGGATCCTCTTTGAGTAGTTGCTCATGGTTTTCGTGCGAGAGAAGGTCTTGAGTTGTTATGCGTGAAAGAGGCGCTAGATGCTGGGAGAACCTGAGACAGAGTTAGAGAAAAACCAGATTGACACATGACCGAGGAATTCATACAGATCAAGATAAGTCACTGCTTCCTGCGAGGTTAACCATCCGAGGCGAACAAAGTTGCAATTGTCCCACAAGTCAAGAATATCTTCCCTTGGTTGAGAAAGTGCGGATACTGTCGTCTGGCCGGATTCTGACGCATACGAGCAGAAGCCCGTCGATATGAATGCCTCGGATCCGGAAGTGGTTGCTGTTGAGTCCGTGCGTGGAGAATGTGTCGGTTGTGCTGTATCAGAGAAGCGATTTACGGCGTTGCCAATAGGAGGAATACCGCCATCATTGTTAGATACCGGGGTTTCCGAAGCAGTTGGTTGTGAGGTTGCCGGCTCCGTGCGTGAAATTTGTGTTGGCTGTGTTGTATCAGTTTGTTCACTTACGAGATTGGCGGCAGAAGCAATATTGTCATGATTTTCAGGAGCCGGAATCTGCGCAAGGGGGACAGGGCTTTGCGAAACTTCCGATTTGATATCAAAAGAGTCACTCTGGCTGGAATCACTCTCGCTAGAGTCAGCCTCGCCCGCGTCGCTCTGATAAGAGACCCTTGGGCTGGAATGGAGAGGGGTAAGTTCCGACAATTCTGACATCAAAAAGGACGCGCCCGATGGCTCAACCGGTGGAGCCTCGAAGACGCATTTGCGATGCTTTGTGCGACATTCTGTGCAAGCTAGATTGTCGGTGACCTCACACCGTACTTTGTGTTTTCGGCAGCTTGTACAGATGGCAGATTTAGGACCTGTAGTCATTGAAGGCAGAGAGGGCTTTACAGCAGCTGGCCTGGGAGTATCTGAAGGCGCTTGAGGCACACATTCTCGGCCGATACCCCGACATCTTGCGCAAGGTGGTCGACCATCGACCATCTCACATCGGTGATGTCCGCGGAAACATGTCACGCATCGTGCTCCATTCCTCACGCGCGTAACCTTCTTTTGAGGAGGGTGGTCCTTCTCGAAGATGCATTCACGATTCCCACGACGGCGTCCTGTGGATGGTGGTTGGTCGATGATTTCACACCGAGCCTTTCGTGAGTGGCAGCTCACACAGGCTTTAGTTGGACGTGGAACCGCAGTGCCCGTAGTACTACGGGGTTGATCATCTCGTGTAGATGTAGCGCCTACCGTTTCTTTGAGTGGAGATGCTTGTGAAGGTCCGGCAGTCTCTCGGGGGACACATTCTCGGCCGGTTTCACGACACCTCGTGCAAGGAGGTCGTCCATCGATCATGTTGCATCGGAGGTGTGCGAGTCTACATGCTGCGCATCGTATGAATCCGGGGTCATGGAGAAATCTTTTGGCCCGAGTCACCTCTGGAAACACACATTCACAGCCAATTCGATAACATCTAGTGCAAGGGGGTTTGTCGACAACCTCACACCGAGCTCGTTTAGATCGGCAACCGAGACAGGGCATCTGATTCCGTGTACGGACTGATCCATTTTGTCTGGCAGGATCTGAAGATTTTTGCGTCTGCGAAGGAGTGTCCGGCATAATTGAAGTTGATATTGATAAGTTTAGGTGGGGATGCGGATGCGGACCCGGACAGTTAAGAACCGGGGAAGAGATGGGGCCCGTCGGCAACGGGAGGAACAAGAGTGCGGGCCGTCAGCAAGGCGGTCAGCCTGTCAGACTGTCACCTTGTCAGCCTCAGCATTCCTCCGGGATTTCTTTGTTTACTACTTCAGGTGCCTGGCTATATTCATGAATTGCTTACCTCGGTAGGTAATTCAACTAACTAGTTAGCTAACTAACCTTCTTTAGAGATTACATAAGACGACAAAACTAATGGCTTAAAAGAAAGAAGACCGAGTTTTCACCTTCATGTTGAGACTATCTGATCTCGAGGCTCAAATACTACTGCATACCGACCAGGCTGCGCCGTGAGCTGGTCTCGCATGTCGCGCTCCACGGCCTCGCCCGTTTCACCAGGGGCAAAACGGACCCGGTAGCGGGAGAGCAAGATCGTAGCCACCAGGCGGATCTGGGTAAGAGCTAAATTCTTTCCAACACAAGCCCGGCGACCTAAAATTATACACGTTAGATCTGGCGGGTCACCAAAGGGACGCTGAATAGGCTACATACCGACACCAAAGGGCACGAAGGCGCTCTTTTCGCGGATCATTTCTGGTCGACTATACCAGCGCTCTGGGACAAAGGATAGGGGATCTTCGAATGCACTTTCCACTAAGATGGTGGTAAATGGGTTAGACTTGTGAGATCGAAAGCCGGTCTTCCAGCCAAGAAACGTACTTCGGAAAATTGTATACCTCGGTGCGGCAACTTTGATTCCACCAGGGATGTAGGTCCCATCAATTGTCATGCCCTCTGGAGGAGTCAAGCGTATGCCCATAGTAAGAGCGGCTGGAATCAGTCGCATACTCTCATTGATGAACCCATTGAGACATGGCAGGTTGGCCAGAGTATTAATGTCAGAAGACTCGACATCCTTGATTTCTTGGTATACGCGCTCAGCTTGCTCGGGATACAAAGCCATGAAGTACCACAACAGGATAAGACTCGGACCCGTCATGTCGCTAGTCAGGTATGAGTATGCATTCGCAACAGATCATGGTGTAGAAAGTACCTACCTTCCACCCACAATGACCGAAACAGTGTTTCCGCTGAGCAATTGCTTCTTACTGACCCAATTCTTCTCATTCTTGCCTTTGTAAAACTCCTTGATAAAATAAGAAGCAATATCGGACTGCGTAGCCTCAGTCCGAAGTCGTCGTTCCATACATTGATCACAAAAAGAGATCATGTCCATCCAGTCCTTGACACGCCAAAAGCGGGCCAAGAAAGAGAACGCCAATCGAATAGCCCAAACGGTGTGATTGAGAGAACCAAGAATGGCGAGTGCAGATCGCTGTTGCATAATAGCTCGGTGCCACGTCTTAGTCTTCATCATACCAAAGTTCTCATTAAACGCAAATTCGCCCATAGAATCAAAAGCAAACCATTGCATGATGTCGTTGGGTACTACTGGTTGGCCATCAGCGCTTGCACTTGCAATGATTGATTCTAGCGTTCCGATTTGTTGGAGGATGCGAGGGAGATAATCACGAATTGCTGGGCGATGAATTAGCTGCGGGTTAGAAAAGGTGCAACGAATGCAATGAACGCACATTTTGTTGACAGTGCTCGATTCCATACTTTGCGTCGCTCGGTGTGATCTTCCTCCTTGCGAGAGAATATGGGCGAAATACGAGGGTGCACAATGTCATACCAATCGGAGCGGATGTTGGCATTGCCTGCTCCGTCCATGACCTCCCATGCCTTGGGGTGGAAGATAGTAATTTCAGCGGGACCTAAATCCAGTTTTAGTTTATCTAAGCCCTTTATTTCTAGAGGTACAAGTAGGAACTAACCCGTTCTAACAAAATTGCCATATTTCTTGTGAAGCCCATCCAGCAACAAGTGATTACGGGAATCTCGACATTGGTAGACGCTCCACAGTTTACTGACGGCGGCAACACGAGGACCGGGAAAGTGACGGATGCGGTGGAAGAACAGACGGTAGATTGTGATGGTCGTAAACATGCCAAACAAATATAATGTAAAGAGCTGTAGCCACCACACAGCTATGGAGCTTGCCGCTTCGGGGAGGTTATGGATATGCAAGGAGATACCTGTAGCTATAGCGGATACATGGCAGACGACAACCCCGGGTGCACGAAGGTGCCATTCTCCTCGAATGAATATACCCAGGTGAGCAATTATGCCCAATACTGTTGCTGCAAGATTTTTTTGCCAAGTCATCATGCGATAGGACCTGCAGTGAATCTTCAATGGAGTAGAACGTGGCGATTGAAGAGAATGGGATTATTGTAAGTTAGTTTCTCAAAAAGATTATCTAGCAAAAGCCTGGATTACTTTCTATCTTTCAGTATGTTTCAAGTTTCAAGAAATGTTTTAGACATTTTGTGTGGCTAATTTTACAACAATGCCACTGTGCTTCAACGTAACCAGGAACTTGGCGCTGTTGGCTGATGTTCTTTTTGGGGGCTGGAATGGTCTGTATGATACTAAATATTACCCCGAGAAATAAGTACCCTCTGTTCAGTCGTCACCAGAACCGCGTGGAACCTGAAAGGGCACAGGCCAGCATCTCAGGATCAATAGTGTTATGAATAGCTCGAGCTGAACGATCCTACCGTACGGTATGGCTCCACATGGCCCCCACGAGGTCCAGAAATCTCGAATAGAACGAAGACAGAGACACTGTATCTAACCCAAGGCAGGCATGGCATGCATAGTCTATTCGCTGGGTTCTATTTTCAGTTGGTATGTTGAAGTTGCAAGGAACGTCTCCGCACTGCCCATTTTGCGATATTCGCCCACATGAACCGCAGAACTAAACTCGAATGAGCTAATGCATCTACGATTGAAGAGCCGGAGGGGCTGCTTAGGCGGGGCCCAGTAATCTGCATGCAGATCTACAGATTTCCTTAAGGCGGCCACGCGAACCATGGAGATCTGCCTTAAGCCGAGTTATTCACTAGACTTGGCTAGGGCCATTCGCTTTCGCCTCACCAGTGGGGCTGTAGCTTTTTTACACTTTCCTAATTAATTTTGGATGGACGATTAGACTCGTCTCGAGGAAAATCAGTCTTATTACCAGCTGAAGAGTTACTCAAATCTACTTCAGACCTATTTCCGTTGGAGGCCTAAATCATGTACCACGCGGGCTGGCTTAGCCCCCCAGGCCAAAAGTCTTGCGGTCTGACATTTTATCTTTGGTTGGGAACGTGTCTTGCTTGAGTGGAATCTGACTTTCCAGAATCCGCATCATCGCATCTCATCGGTCGCTGCTCACCATGGCTGGCCTCGCGTCAAAGCAGATCACAGTGATTGTATCTTTTGTGGTGTTGAATCTGTTTGCAATGGTTGCTACTGGCCTTCGCTTCTATTCTATGAAACTTATCCATCGTAAAGTCAAAATCCACGATTTTCTTTGCATCATCTCGTTGGTAATGCTTATTGCGTACAGCATCGTTCTGCTTATCGGTAAGAGGTGCTGCTTACAATTGCCCCAGTGTCAAGACTGACAGGACCAACCGGCACGATCACGGGTGGTATTGGGCTTCATGCTCTCCATGTTCCACAATCAAAAAGGGAGATTGGATTAAAGGTACCATCCCCAGCCTTCCAGGAACAATCAACCGAAGAGTTACTAACGTGGCCTGTGCAGGCATTTTTCTCATCACAATTCTTCTGGGCCATCTCGATTGCCAGTTTCAGACTTGCTATCTTAGCTCTCTATGTCCAAGCCTTCCCCACCAAAGTCTTCCAATATTTTGCCTACGGTGCCATGAGCATTGTATGTCTCTTCTTCGTCGGCAGTATCACGACAACCTTGGCAATTTGTCACCCAATCGCGTCCAATTGGGATGAAAATGTCAAGGGAAAATGCGGTGACGAAGGAACAGCCGAGTTAGCCGCAGCTGCATTCAATATGGCCCTCGATATCGGCATCGTGATCTTGCCAGTGCCAGTTATCTGGGGTTTGCATATGAGCAAACAGAAGAAGGCTGCCGTGATAGCCACCTTTGCGTTGAGCTTGGGGTAAGTCATATCCTTCTGGCTTTGCGTATGGCTACATGCTCTGACGTGATACAGTATCTCTGCAATTAATCTAGCGCGCATCATTCAAGTCTTACGTTGTAGCCTACTCGACTTTACATACTGCACTGCGGATAGTGCGATACTGACAGTGGCTGAGATGGCAGTCGGGATCATCGTCGCTTGCGTCCCAATGCTTGGCCCGGTGATCTTCCCCGAGCGTCGCCGTCGATTCGACCAGCGTTATGTCTACCAGCAAAATGAGACCTGGTATGGCTCATCTCACAAGCACATTCGGCAGCATAGCGATGGCCAGGGTAGTACCGAGATGACTTTGGGGCCTACCTGGGAGAACCGGCGGAACATACATTATAACAAAGCCCTGCCCCCAACGCCAGTCAAAGTCAGACAAGGTGAGATCGCTTTGTGGCGTGAGTTTGAGGTGCAGTCAGACACAGACAACCGAGCGTAAGCACAGATCGAGCAGATGGGCGTGGAAAACAAGAATACAATTTTTCTTTTTACGGTTCTGTATTAGCGAGTATTTGACAGTTATTAAAGTATACATATCACTTAATTTCATATATTGAATTCATTTTCAATATTGCTGAAGTTTAGAACAGATTGAATTCCTGCGCGGGGTCAAACGATGGAGACGTGGGCCATTAGATGACCATGATAAGCGCCACAATATCCCTATTTAATAGTAAAAAGATTCTATCTTTATCCATTAGATGATGCCCTCTCTCTTGAACTTGAAACTACAGGATCCACATGATTTCAAGAAAAGGCGTTGAACAGCAACTCTTCACCACATTTTGCACTCTCTATCTCACCGAATCGACAGAAGATGGACCAAAAATAGTGATATCTCAAAGAGGGCATAGGCCTCGAAAATCGGGGACAAAGCCTGAGTGATGGCTTCATTGGGACGAATGTGGCGCAGACGTTACGCATTCCTTTTTTGTCCTTTCCTCTGGTTATTTGCTCTGCTCTGCTTGGCCAGGTTAAGAAATGATTAATTTTCCTTTCACGGCTAGATCTCATTCATTCTCCTGTTCGGATAATCTTTGTTGCCAGTTTCTAAGCGCACTGCTCAGAGAATGGCGTTCGTCATAGTTTGGGTCGGTCTCGAGACAAATATCTCTCTGATTTTATTTCGTTCGCACATGTACCCCACAAATGCTCTGGAAAAGTAGGTTCCCTGGGATATGTTGAGCATTCAAAGGGTGCGTCTATAGGATTCTAGGATTCATAGCATGATGTACACACCTGAACACCGACTCGGATCATCCATCTCCTAACATATTCTTGCAAGATGCATAATTCCATACGTCCAGGAAAGTATTGCATATCGGCCTCAAATCGTGAGGCATACGCTGGAGACGATAAGTCCAAGAGTTCTTCAAAGCACTCTATGTGCCTGTCGCAATATTTCAGCCTCAGAGAAGAAAATGATAAAGTATTGAATCAGAATATTTATCGGAGGGGAAATCGCTCCATTGTTTCCCATCATCCACTTTAATTCGATTATCACCAGGACATATACTCTTTTCGCAGTGATGAAGCTGGCTAAACTACACTAACCTATAAGTGGCTAAGCTGTAATTAATCCATTCCTAAAGATAGATCTATTTTATTTCTAGAACAACTGCATTACGTATAATACTGTATATTATACAAAACTCTGATACATTTCTCCTTCAGTATCCCTGTGTCCATCCCTATGCATGCCCTTGAGCCCATTACACTAGATTCCGAAATCAGTTATACCTCCACACTCTAAGGATTTCATTTCTGGAAAACAAATCCGAAATCTGCGAGTCTTGATAGGATATGATCGTCGAACCCTGGTCCCTAGACCGTTTCCAAAGAAAAGTGTCTGTATTGTATAATACAGATGTGAGACCTCAGCGAATGTATGTATTTTACACGAAGCTGCTATAGCTAGTCCTTCACCACAGCTCGAATGGCCGAAGAAGCTAAATGCAGAAAGCTGAATAATTAATACTCGCAAGAAACTCGCGGCAATTTAAATCACAGAAACAACTTTCAATTTTTGAAAACCGAGCGTTCACACTTCGCGATCGCGAGGCCCGTCATTAGAATCAATTCCCGAATATTAGCAGTCTCAATCTCAGTCTCAATCTCAGTGGCCTCCTTTAACCCATCGACGAAGATAATACCTTCTTGGTTCATAATAGCAATAACGTTATCAGGGTCCCAGTGCCGTTTCTGGTGACGGTTCACATTGAGCCGGCAGAGGCGCGTGTCCTGATCCATGGTAAATGGTAGGTCCGCCGGACCCTTTCCATATTTCGACTCTAAGTCGCTATAACGCTCCCATAGAAGCGTGTTGCGGTATCCCTTAAGGAATTCCCGGTCGTGTACCTGCTCATCCACGCGCTGGAACTGGTAATATAATTTGCCGATCTCGTCGAATCGCCATCGTTCCCTGTTCGCCAAGGTTATCCATCCTCGAGATAGGGAGGAACCCTTGCCGCACAGAAATCCGGGATAGTTGACGTTAATACCGCCGACAACGTTCGCGATTTCGAAAGGAATAGACGCGGTGTCTCCGGTCCTGAGGGATGCTATATCGTCCTCATAACTAGTGACAATAATGTCGTTGCAGCTTAGCTTATAAGATGTTGACTCTGGCTGCGGTAGCGAGATCCCGAAGTAAGCGGGGCTCCAGATATTATATATCGGGAATATAGAGCCCCCTTTCCAGGAGGAAGCTCGGTTTATTTGGAAGCGCAAATTAGGCTCCGATGAGAATAGGAACCAACTGCCTGTGTTGATCGCCCAGGGCTCAGCGGGAGTAATTCGGAAAATATCTGTGTAGTTGGCTTTTGACGGCTCTAAACATGCTTCATGATCGGCACTAGAGGCGTAGAAGATTAGATTCCATGCCAAGGGTTTGGTGAGGGTTAGGGAAAGCCTTACTCAAAGGTCAGCTCGTCACCTAGAGGACGGTTCATTATAACCACCAGGCGTAGTACGACTACTGCGACGCATAGGGGAAGAATGAAGGGGAGGACAAAACAGGAGTGGCGGGAAGGGAGCGTGTAGGCAGCCGATCGGCGTATGCGGAGCCTGGGCGAAGGTTTTGAGGTTGATGGGTTTTGAGGTTGATGAGTTGTAGGGTTGAAAAGTGCGTTATTGAGGTAACAAGCACAGCCGCTGCCACGCAAGCGGTTGACTTTGACAGGGGCTGTGGAGCAAGAGGGAAAAAAGAGGGGGAGCCAGATCGCCAGATCGCGGCTGAAACCAAATACTGTACATACATACGTTAAAAGTTGTGATACGGCTTAGCAGGAGTTGTTCCTAAAATAACCTAATACGGATTAGGGTGGTTTCGGTTACGGGTACAGCCACCCGATAAGAACCTTGATAACGCAATTACTCCAGCCGAAGCAATCTATTTTTCCATTCCCCTCAATGCCATTCTCTATCATTCTAACGACTCCGTAGGATTCTCCGTCTATACAAAGCATTCATAAGACACAGCAAAAGTGTATAATGCTCGAGTCATTGGGAATAACACCTAAAGATATTTAAAAGTCTGAAAACTACAGTTATTAAACCCCAGTGGTTTAAAAACCAAGACGTCCGTTTTTGACAACATCACGCGGGCCTCCGTGTGGACGGGGGCCCTGAATAGTATTAAAACTCCAGTTATAAGACCCTATTGGTTGAAAACCCACGGCATCCATTTCTGGCTACATCACGCAAGGTCTACTGCCGAGTCGAGCCTACACAATGTTACTGAACTCTCTTAGCAGTGTCCAGAGTAGCACTAAACCCAGATTGGAAGCACATTATATAATCAACTTGTCTCGAATGGACTTGCTAAACTGGCTACGGTGTGAGGATCGAAATGGAGTTAGTGTTGTCAGAGGGAGCCCACATCAGTTCTAAGGGTCTACTATAATCTGGGCTTTGACTAACACAGACAATGCTTTTCAGGCCAGCATTGTTCATTTACATGCGAGGGCCGGCGGAAATAATCTGCCGCTGGTATCTTGTCGGTTTCTAGGGCTTAGTCTTGTAAGCTCCAAGCCTATAACCACCGATCAAAGCTATTCCTTACCGATGTCTTTTTATAGTCCTTCGACAGTGGCTCGCTGGCCTTAGCAGCAGCCACTGTCAAGGACCACTTCGCCGCTACGATTGCTATGGGACAACAGCGTAGTCTAATCCGAATTCTAAAATTGGCTCTCATAACGCCCCGTTCCCCCGGGAGTGTGTTCTAGTATACTTCATAATTGATTTTAGACCCCGTGCTTGCCGACCTAATCAATATGGTGATAGACTTAAGGTTACTTTGACTATAGAGTACTACTTGAGTAACAACATAAGATGGATGGAGAGGTGGTGGGTGACTCGCGAGATGGCAATAGGCCAAGTAATTAGACTGCTAAACCCAGGACACCCTTTGCATGAAAGATATGGGGAGCATGAAGGATATTAGCGATTGGATGTGCTGGATCCTCGGGCAGAGATTGAGGCTCCCAGGCACGATCTTGCTTGCTCGCAGGAGCTATTACCAGGGCTCCTGGAAGGCTTTCCCTTAATTCGACATCAACAAATAATTTGTTAGCGACTCCGAGGTCTATACTACGTATAGCTTTTTGTCAGGACAACCCCACGGCAGTTGCAGATAAAATCGTCAAAGAAAATGAAAAAAATAGGGAAATCTCTATTTCCGTTTTACGTTGAAATCCAGGCGGAGGCTGGTAGGTCCCGAGCGGTGGCTAGATGGTTCTGGGCTGTGGCATATTTCTAGTAATATATAACTAAGCAACGGAATATAGTATAGAAATATCATAGGTTATACTGCTCGTTATAAAAGGGTACGTATTAAGTATTCTAAATATAAGCCCGTTCTTAGGGAAATTCTATAAACATTTAAGTATTCTATAATAACAATTAGGTCAATCTTTTAAGGCCCTAGTATATATACAGCTATGGAACCACTATAGTAAGATTATATTCATAACCCTAGACTAAGTTCCGAGGATTTCGAAATGTTTTATTGCAACTCAGTACTCCTCGTAATATCGTTTATCGCTGCCACCGCATTATCCTGTCCACATATAAATGGACCACCCAAAACTTCAAAGTGTGATGTTGGACAACAAGTCTGCTATAACGCACTTGAAAGCAGCGACTCACCCGAAGTGGTGAAGCTTTTAAGCTCACTCGGTCTTACGGCGGCACAGAAACTCCTCACTGGTATACAGTGTACGTTACTTATCGCATTCAATTCATAAATTTTGTCTACCTCGGAGCTAATAGTGATGGGTTTTTATTGTAGGCACGCCAATCATTAACTCTGGTCTCGGGTCAAAATGCGAAAAACAACCTGCCTGCTGTCATCAGAGTCACTTTGTACGTCGTTTACATAACGTTGATCATCTGCGCATATAACTATTTAGAGGACTGACTCAAAGCCTAGGGAGGAATCATTAATCTTGGATGTGTTGCAGATCCAATTTACTAATAGGAAGAATATTGAGGACATGGTTAATAACTCTTCTTTGACCGCTTTGTTCCTTGGGCGATGCTAAACAGGGAAGAAGATTCAGTTATCCTGTTTGTTTCACGGCAATGATTAGCTGTCCCAAATTCGCCATTCTAAAATGGAAATATGAAAAAAACTGATAAGTCTGTATGCTGTAAATCAACGTTGTGCTCTCTGGCCTATTGCCGGGCAGCACTTTTTTAAGCATTTATTGTACTGCACGCAAGAGCGCGGCTGATGTTGGATTTCGTTGCTTGTATAAAAAACTCGCCTTAAAGAAAAATCGGCATCTCAACAAGATATAAGTAGGGCTTCTCGAGTAGATGATCAAAAACGGCTTCCGACGTAGCTAGCGACATAGAAGGCAATAATGATCGCCACTATAATACGCTAATATCGTGTGCGAAATATAACGGAAGTATATCACTAAGTCATATATAAAGGGAAAGCTATGGCCGATAGGTTTGTATGGTACGATGTTGTGAGACTGGGCTTGATGGTCAGCATTATTAACTTTAACGTAATTCCCAGCCTAGCGAGCTACTCGGTTGAGCGGTGTTACGAACCTCGAGGGTCGCGGGGGTCGCAACTAGTTGAGGAACAACCGAGAGCCAATCAAAGCCCGGGTACTACGCATTAGCGCCATCAGACAGTGCATGACTATATCTATCCGGAGAATAAGCCCCTAGCTTAGCTGCCGTTGAGTGGATTGTGGTCCACTTGTTATTGTCTCTGAAATTCCTGCGCCGTATTCGGGCAGCGCTTGCGACTACGCACATGATGCACATCAAGAGCATGGCGCTGGAACGCCATTCGGTGTAGCAAGGCTACTATTGCTATCCAAGCTGCTGGCCAACCTGCTAGCCAGCCTACGGTCTACAAAGTTTACATGGACAATTACTTCTCTACGGTTAGCCTATTCAAAGCACTACGAGAAATACGCTGTGGCGCATGTGGCACTACACGTAAGCAAGGCGGGATACCCTCTCAGCTTATCGAGCTAAAAGACCATATTAAATCTATTCCTTGGGGACAATTATATGCGTCTGAAGCTAAGGGGGTTCTCTGTCTCGCATGGCAGGATAATAACATAGTATTACTACTATCTACTATCCTTTCGCCATATCTGGATGTGCCTACCGAGAAAAAGCGGCCAGCGGCAACCTCAACCAATGCAGCTATTGCGCGTGCCCCGTTTGGTACTGATATCAAGAAGGAATTAGAGATTCCTATCGCTATTAACGACTATAACCATTATATGGGTAGTGTTGATATAGCGAATCGGTATCGGGCTACTTATGATGTTCATCGGAAGACTAATCGCATGTGGTTCCCACTGCTTGACTTCTTTCTGGATGCAGCTATTGTTAATGCTTATCGCATTCAATATATCTACAAGCAGTAGGAGCAGGCTAAACTTCCTAGCCAATTAGCTTTTCGCGAGAAGCTACACCAAGAACTCTTTCTATTTGCAGCAGCAGCTCAGTCACCACGACCTAACCAGCAAATAGAGCCTAGAAATCACCAGCGAATTAGCCTAGATAGGCGAATGGCTTGTGTGTGGTGTCAGTACAAAAGAGAGAAAGGCAAAAAGGGTCAACAAGCTTCACGAGGGAAGTCTGGTTGCGGAGAGTGTGGGATAGCGATATGTATCAAAGGGCAACGTTGGGATAAATTCCATAATTCTGACTAATTACAATAATTCTGGTTACTGCCATATTACAGGGCCTAGCCAATAAGAACGCGTTGTTATAATACGCTAGTAAATTGCGCTAAAAATCCTTCCCGGGACGGACGAGGGGATAGACTTGACTAAATAAAGGCCCATCAAGGAATCAGCAAACAAGTCTTGTGCAGCTGCCATTGGGAAACTCCTTGTTATTGATGTTAAACCTCGGATGTTAAAGATACTAAAAATGGCTGGATACGAGAATGCAACCTTGGACAAATCGCGCTATTTGTCTATGAATAGCAGCATTGGGCGAGAACACGAGGAAGCGGGCTGAGCAATACGAGGATATGAAAATTCCAATGTATAAGTACACCATTGTTCTGCAAGGGTCTCTCACGATAGAGCAGTTAACAACGAAACAAGATGAAGTTCCTCGGTCTCGCAGTTGCCTTCCTCCCCGTCCTGGCCGCCGCTGCCCCCGTCGCGGACCCCGAAGCCGAAGCAGATGGAGAGCTGGACCTTGAAAAGCGCGCATCAGCGCAGACTTGCAGAATCGTCAATGTCGACCACACTGTCAACTGCCGGTACGATGCGAAGTTAGACGCAGGCGCGATCTTTGGGTTTCCCAAGGGAGATAGTCTCGTCTTTGCGTGCTGGAAGCATGGCGATTGCTTCAATGGGGTTTGGTAGGTTTGATACTGGGTTATGACGAGCTGGATGCGATGCTAATGGGAGTAGCTCCTGGGATCAAGTTACATATCTGGGGACGACGTGCTACGTCAATGGGTACTTTACGGATAGTAATTGCTCGAGCAGTATGTCACCTCTTGCTGGTATTTGGGCATGACTGATGATGTTAGAAAAACTCCCCAAATGCAACTAGGCTGCGGCGGTCCTCGATGTCGCTGTGATATGCTGCTAGAGACATGATATAGCTTTTGAAGATGGATTAGAAGTCATCATGATCGTTGTATTGCTATGCACGTCTTTTTGTGGTCTATGTTCTTATACTGTAATATGTATTTAACTTTTCAAAGCTTCTATCTTTAGGCCGGCATGTTGAAAATGACCTCTTCCGCTGTCTTCTTTCGCACCAACAACTTTAATACACCATTCCAGGAAGGAATCAAATCCTTAGCTAGGATCATCTTCAAAGTAGCCCTAGTTACGTTTAATAAGGCCCTTGAGCTTAGCGAAGAACTCCGCGAGTATTATAGTAGATATACCAATTTTATACTAGCATTAGCTCAGATCTACGTAATCTTCTTAGAATGATAGAACGATATATTATCCATCACAATAATAGACTTAGGTTCCGACTATCGTCCGTAATACTAAAGAAGCTCAGCAATAAAGTCCTCGAATATCGCCGTATCGGTCAAGCCACGGAAGATACGCGGAAGGACTATACCATCTTGAGTATACGCTAGCAGTATCTGGTATTACTGGTCGCGATAGAACCAGGATACTTCTATCTCGTCTAGATAGAGGGCTGGTTTTTCGACTAGATGATTATATTGTCTGATGCGAGTGAGACTATCTTTACTTAGAATCCTGCAGAATGCAATATGCAGCCAGAGCGTCAATGTAACCCAAACGAGGCATCAATTACCGAGCTGGGAATTTGCACTGTAGTGCCATCAGCAGGTCAGGCGACCCAATAGTGCCGAGGCCCTGGTGAAATCAAGCCTTAAAGTAGGGCCTCCAATTAAGCCCACCAAGTAAGCCCCACCCCTTCAACAGACCTAGTAAAGGAGCGGGAAGCAGGGGCTTGAAAACCCCCTTTCCAGCCAATCACGACCAGTAAATTTGAACGACGTGACATTATTTCTCCAGTATGTGGTTCTATGGATGCGGGATTGAAGGATGAAGATCTCATTTATTGCAAAGCTAAAGCGGGGAATGATCTAATGGTAGCCAATCGAAAATCAACAGGGAGTATTTATACAGAGCCACCGTATCGATGGGTCATCGGCAGCGCATATAGCGCTACAAGCCATGCGTTGTAGATCCGGAATGTACTTCTATCCTCCTTGACCGTCCACCTCGTCAGCGAACGCAGACTAACCCAAAGACCCAGCCCCAATGGACCCAAGTAGCCCAACATATCGGAGTCCCAGTAGAGCGGACATAAGATACTCCAGCCAGTCACAGCAACGGCGATGCTCCACCGAGCAGCTGCATCGCCGATCACCAATGGCACTGTACGTCGACCCGCCGCAGCGTCACCGGGTTGATCATACATGTCTTGCACGTGGACGCTGGTACCGACAACCATCGCGATCAAGAAGATCCACGGGGTGACTGACCTCGGGAGAGATGACTGCATGGCAACTTCAAGTGTTCCCGAGGCGAATGATGTAAACCCAGCAGCATTGAGTAAGTTTCGAACGAGCCAGTGGCCATCGCCACCGCCAAAGTCATTGTAGATAGTCCCTAGGACTGCTAAAAGTGCGCTCTGAACTACTCCACCCCCGACGAAAGCGCTCACGGCCAAGGCGGTTGGAATGGATAGGAGTCCCAAGGGTGTGAGCTTGTGCTGGAGTCAGGCGACCGGCTGGAATGGGTCGCCATGGTTTGTTCAACTTGTCTTCAGCTACTGAACCCGGGTGTCGCTGGTTGTTGACCGTGAATGCGAGGAGATTGAACCATGTGTAGGCGAGCATCAGAGGGAGGCGGGAAAGAAATGTTGTCCACTGTAGCCGTATGGAGTGGAAGAAGGCAAATGCAATACTTGGAAAGACCATTGTTTTGAGATCATTGACGCAGAAGAGCCAAAGAGTGTAGGTTTGACATCGGATCGACTTCAAAAGCGGTAGCGATGTATATATCTCTCGACGATGCAAGTCCAGCAGCTTGTGAATTGATTTTATTACAGCCCTGTTGACAGTCTTTCCAGACATCTTGAATGGCAGAAGCAGAGTTGATGGCAGAAAGTGACTTGCCTCTGACTAGACCGGTCCATCTATATACGTCGCCAACGGCCAAGGTATCCGAATCCGTGAGATGATATCAGCCTTCAGGCCGCAGTCTCATCTTCCCAGCCCATTTCCAGAAACATACAATTCCTCTGACGAGCTAGCACCGGCCGGACAATCCGTCGTCACTGCTGTCATGGGTCGATGAGAGCAGTTGAAAGTCCTGGGCCGGGAGAACGATGTTGATCCAAGAATTGACACAATTGACAGTCTGGTAATCTTTCATTGTTCAAACGGGTATGGCGATGAGTATTGAAAGTCTGACTTGCTTGAATATACTCTATTGTCGACATCCCAAACTGGATATCAGTGGAATTCAGCCCCAAAAATAGATCGGTATGGGGTTCCTTGGAGGGTAAGAGGAGAGGAAACCGCATGAATCGAGTCGTTGATAAGCATAAGCCAGGAAATGCACTCCGTACAAGTCAGTCGTGTGTGTGTGTCATAATGGAGGATACCTAGGGGCTGTGAGGTAGTCATGTAGTACAAAGAGCTGCAAGGAGTCGTATCACTGCCTTCTGACATGTTTCTGACTATGCAATGGGGCCGAGACATGGCAGAAACCGAAGAATGGCGGACGCAGTGGGGCCTCCCACCTGGTCCGGCAGTGTGCCTGGAGCGGTTCTTGGCCCCCGACTTGGCCCCCGGTTTACCCCTCCGTTTGGCCCCCAGGTTTTGCTTGTTGCTTGGTGAGCATCGTAGGCAGCTCTGCATTTGTGTACTTTCTGTGTACAACCTCACCTCTCCCCCTATTTAGTCGACTTCTGATCTCCCAGCACACCGTGCAACAAAACACCTGTCAAATTCCAGGTCTCTCCAAAAGAACCCCCATCTCATCCAATCGAACTTCCATCCCCGACATCTCAACGCCACAATTGAACACTCTTTCTTTGTTCAAACCACCCATCACCATGTCTGTCAAGGCCTTCATCTACGCCTACCGCAAACCCGGTCTCTCCCTCGAGGACTTCAAGACCCACTACGAAGCTCACGTCGAGCTCATCAAGCGTCTCACCAGCGACGACTTCCCGCTCTCCCACAAGCGCAGCTACGTCGCACGCAACGCCGTCGAGGTCGCCGCAGAGGGCGCCAGCGAACGAAACACCATGACTCCAGCCACGGTGATTGTCGGACAACAGTCTGACTTTGACTTTGACGCCTACGCCGAGTTGACCTTTACCGACCAGGCTGCTTTCCAAGCCTTCGGTGCCAAGGTCTACGCTCCCGATGCTGCTGCTCAGATTGCGGCCGACGAGGAGAAGTTCCTGGACAAGTCGAAGCTTGGAATTGTGATGCTGGGGGAGGTTATTGAGACGACTAAATAGACGGTGATGGAGGGTTGATAGAATACCCGTGAAATGTTTTTAAAGCGCTATTTACGAAAGAGCGATGGATTCGAATTAGGAATGGAAATCCCGAGTTGTTTAAATGTGTAATTTGAAACGATCAAGGCCGTCAGCTCCGTGAGTCGAACCCCGCGCCTTCTCATTCCCTATATACATCGTCACGATGCTCCATCGCTATCCCACGATGCCGAGGTACACCAATCGAAGTCAGCCCGATTCCACTCCTCCTAAAAACCACACTTCCACACCTCCAAAACGCATTATTAAGAAATAAAATATAATACAAGCTTAAGCTTAAGGAGAGAGGATTAAAATAAAATAAAAAATAACAAAAAGATCTTTATTCGCGAAGTGGTACAACCACCACCTCGCATGCCCGCCCGCCCACTCTCCCCGCCTAGGGATGTGCCCGACCATCCGTGGAGGTTATACTCGACACTGGAGGCCTGTACCTATTCCCATCACATGTTTGCCCTTTTCAGGGCACACCCAAAGGTCGATAGACCACTAGGCCATATGAGGGGGAGAGTAACTGGAATACCAATACTGGGGGTATATCCCACAAAACGCCAATAATTATTTTTCTTTGTCTAGGCTATTTGGTGATCTTCGTCGGTGCCAAGCATTGCTGGCGGGCTGGCGGGTGGCGGGCCTTAGTTCAGCCTCATCCGAGTAAGCTTACCGGCCTTTTTGAGGAATATCTTGCTACTAATGCGGCTCGAGGTATATGGAATGGGGAAGCAACTCGCGCCCTTTGTGATCCATTCCATCAAGGCCCACATTAGAATTGCGGTTATTTTTCTACCCTGTAGCAACTAGAGCAATGTGTCATCATGCGGCCATAAGTTCACCAGTTATCAATCGTAAAGCTTGGACGAGGTCCATGATTCCTACGATGGCTTCGCGAGTCGAAATGTCCATGGCCGCCATCTACATGATCAATGAGTCTACTCTGACTGCTAAAATTAACCATACACCTGGACAGACTTCGCCAGCAATTATAGCCTCCACCGAGACACCAAGTCCTTACGGGCTAATATTTACCAGTAGCGCGAGGTTAAGCTAGTGGTGAAACGAGGGACTTGTAATCAAGAAACCCATAGATCGAGTGAAGACATCAATCTCAATCTCTGGGTGTCTCATGAGCTAAGAATTTTGTACGGAGAACATAAAGTGCGTGAAAACGTGCAATGCACAGGTCGCGAGATGAAGGGAAAAAAATGAAATCCAAGACCCTCCGCGAAAGAGTAGACACTTCGCGAGCTGGCACTCGATACGAGTCTGGATTCCAGAAGCAGATGAGAAAGATAATAAAAGATCAATCTCATTTAAAAAGAGATGAGAAAAAGGATGCAGAGGTTCATGTCAATGAGAAAGCCGGTGGTCGAAACACATGTGTGTACGAGACTCCAGCTGCTTCTCCCAAACAGACACCTTGCAGAAGAAAGGTAAAATATTGGCAGACATAGATGGCAGCAGAGATCGAAAAGTGTAACTCCACGATCCGGTTACACACCCATCTACCCACACGACAATAGGTACAGCACCAGCGTACAACGCACCTAACGCAAAGTCTAGGCAGAGAGAAAAAAGTTGAGAAAACCCAGAACGCTCTCAAATCATTGCCAGGCTCGCGTCACAATCCACGCTTTCAGAGCGAGTCATCTCTATCCGGTCTCACAAGTCGTCGCTTAGATGTAGCGGCGACGGAAGTTGTGAGGGAATGGGCTGCCGCTGGGGATGCCAGAGGGAGCACCGGGCTGACCGCTGTGGCTGGGGAAGGGCAGGACGCTAGCTGAGCCCGAAGGGATGGGCAGCGAGCTAGTAGCGAAGCCGGAGGGAGCCCGGGAGGAGGAAGGGAACGGGCGGGTGCCGTTAGTAGTCGTGTGGTGGTGGTGGTGGTGGTGGTGGTGATGGTGCTTGTGAGCCTCGTCGTCACCCTGGCCATTGCCATCCTGCTGGTGGCTCTGGCCGGGAGCAGAGGTGACCGTGGTGCCGCTCTATCAAGGCAATTAGCATGATTCATCCGTTTGAGACATTGGGAGATAGGCAAATACGTACGGCAGTCACAGTCTCGGTGACGGTCACGGTAACGGGGCTGCAATTGCCCTCGGCGCCGCTGCCAGCAGTGACGGTGGAGGTGGGGACCTCAACGAAGGTAACAGTCTCCGTGGTGGTGGAGTGCAGAGTGGTGGTCTGCTCCCCACCTTGGTTGTGACCATTGGCATTGGGGCCCTCAGTCTGCGTCCGACGAGTTAGTCTGATATTGGCCAATCTGGGGTTATTCGAGAGACACTTACCGCAGTCACGGTGTGCACATCAGTAGTAGTGCGGTGGATAGTGGTGGTGATAACGCTGGTGGAAGTGCCAGTGCCCACAGTGTAAGTGAGGGTCACATCATCAGTGGCGCTGGAGCTAGCACCACCGGCTCCTTGGCTGGGGATACCAGTGCTGCTGGGAGGAGGGCGAGAATACGGGATGCTCGAGGGAGTGCGCGAGGGAGCGGCACTAGAGGAAGCAAGGCCCGAGGAAGCAGGGACTGATGAAGCAGGGACTGAAGAAGCAGGTACCGAAGAAGCAGGTACCGAAGAAGCAGGGACTGAAGGAGTAGGCAAAACGGTGCTAGTGATAGTCGGGAGTGGAGGGGGAGAGCCACTGGGAAGGATGCTGCGGACTCGGTGGACACGACGAGCGTGGTGCTCAGCCTCACCGACGGCGGCGAGGCCAGCGACGAGAGCAACAGTCAACTTGTTGAACAGCATTGTGGTTTTGAAGTGAGTGTCGATACGTGGATAACTCTTTTTTGATCTCAAGACAGTCAATGTCTGGTTGATGGCGGTTGAGCGAATGTGGAAGTGCGTTGGCAGGAAGAAAGAGCGTGGGTGCTGCGAAGTCGATTCGCAGGATAAGAAAGGAAAGTCAACGTTGAGGCAACGCGAAAGAAAGTGAAGATTCTCGCAGAGAACCGGAGAAGATAAAAAAAAAGGCAGAGCTGGAGGTTGAAGAAAAGAAAAGAAGAGAAGCCAAGTGAAGTAGGCAGCAAGCAGTTAATTAAAGGCGGGTCACTCTCGAGACTAGTCCTGCGCAGATTACTTGGGATATTGGCATTAATCTACCGATATGAAGTCCATTTGGTATGGAGAATACTCATTTTACTTTCCACCTTACCAGCCTAATTAGCATCAGTTTGCGATATCAAAATTACCCTGAATGGGGAGCCAAATCCAGGCCTAGCGAGGAGCACGTTCTGGTATTTCCGGGAAGAGGCCAAGTGGGGGGGGCGTTGGACAGACTTGGAGTGTATCCGTGCAGATTAAAACGAGAATAATTCCGAGGAACAATAAAATATGACATGATAACGGAGAAATACCGTAGAGGCTTGAAAAGTATCGAGTACTTGCCTCAAGACCTGACAGAGGGTATACGATGTACCTGCAGCCGATAATCCTAATACTCCTTCCCGTCCACAGCGCCGGTACTCGGTACACGCCCATTCCACGGATCGTCTCCACTCGCCTCAGGCACCGCCCGCTGACTGGCTCTCATCTTTTTTATTTTCCGCCCACTTTCCCCTCTGCCAATCAACCATCTCCACTCCGCTCCAGACGGCGCTGGCCTTTAATCTTGTCGCTTAGCGATTGATCCTGAACGAATTGATGGCAGACGCCATATCAATAATAATCTCCATACCTCTATCAGCCACGGCTGGTGGCGTTGATTTGCCCCCCTATTGTGGTGACGACGCCCATTCAGCCAAAGAGTTTATGTCTTGCCAACGAGACACGGTGTTGTAACACTGCAGGATCAAACAGAAACAGGACCAGCCCCCGAAAATGGGAGGGCTGTGGCAGATTGTCTGACTGTCCGACCCACCAGCGAGCTCTCCGAAAATGCCAACTGATCAGGCTGTCGATGACTACCAAGTACACAACGGAGTCACTTCACGAGCCCGAGGACTCGTCAAAGACCAGGAACATACTTTCGGCCAGTGTCTCCGTGTGGAGCAGGCTAAAACAGCCTGAACCAGCTTTCCATAGGCACAACCCGGGCCCGCCATCGATCCGACCGTCTAGAATCAGCCCTCCTCCGATCCTGACTCGTCCAGCCCGCCAGCGCACCATTCCCGATCGCCAGAGCGGGCGTCGCAGCCTTCGTTTCAGTGTTTCAGACCCAACTTGCCCTCTCTGAAGATGATTCCCTGCTGCACCACCCCGTCGATAACCCCATGTGCGGTTATGGTCACGTATGGAAATGAGTCTCCATCCGCTCTTCCGCTGTAATCCTCGTATCGCACCAGCCAAGCTACAGTTTCACATAAACTGCCCCGCGCCACGGACTGGATGTCCCACCATTCTACGTTGCCCCCCTCGGAGTGAATATGGAGTCCCAGGGTCCGCCTCGCACGGGCAATAGGTTGTCTCTGCCGCTGGGTTATATGATGATGAGCACCACAATACGCCTACCTCGGACTTTGAGGTATCCTCCTGGAGGATCTTTAGGATTCTGGACTTTGCGCGCCGGGGGGTAGATGAAGGCTCCAAGGAATTCATAGAGTCGATCACAAATGCCGCCCGTGTCGACTTACCCGCGCTCGGCCCGGTGGGGGTGACGGCACGCTTGCGTCGCATCACATCACCCTCGTTTCTACAGCACCGAGCTTCCGCGTGTTTTTACTTCGAGGGGTACACAAATCTACCAAAGTTCGGATTCAACTCACACTGAACACTCTGGAATACGATCCTGGACCCGGGATGGGTCGCACTTTTGACCCGTCAAGTTGAGCGTAAGTCCCTGACAGCCTTGTTGCTGCGTAATTAATATCGTGTTTCTTGGTCATATGTGCTGGTGTGCGTTATCCAGCCCGGTCCACTCAATTAAACGTGGTACTTCGCTCCCGCGCCATCGCATATTATCTTGTCAGATCTATCATATGGGATACCGATCACGACGGGCAAGTTCAGAGGAGATTGATCACTCGAACCCTGAAGCGATTTCGTCATAGCAGGGTCCAATCTTCAAATTCAGGTCTCGGTTGTCGAATCCCCCATTTCGGTCAGTTTCTTCTACAGGGTCTGGCCATTGGAGAAGCTTTTATCTTGAAACACCAAAAGCCTCGCCATCGCCCCTGACCCGTCCCTGGCTCCCTCAATGCCATCCCGCTGGGTTGGAAAAAAAATTCTTTCGATCCCCAGAGCGTTTGGCATCAAGGCATACCGATACCATTTTTGGGCTGTTCGACCGAATTTAGGGGACTTGTGCGATGACTTGCACGAACCAGGCTGTCACGTTTTGCGAGATGATGCGTTCGCTGAAGTTGTCATGAGACAGCCGCTCCTGGCTGCTCGGCAATTTAGCGCAACGCGCCCCTCCACTTCAATCCCTGGGGGGCTTGTTTTGTGACTATCAAGGGCGACGGTCGCTTGATGGGGATTCGTGCCAGATAGCCCAGTCTCAGGTGTCTGTCGACTTGAGTGCACGATCGCACTAATGTGATCGTCCTTAAGTTGCACATCGGAAGCGTCATCCTTTGAGAGACTGCAATAAAAACGAAAGTTGTAGGTCTAACTAAAGACAGGGAAGGGATCTTTGGGAAGGGTTTAATTCAGAACAGCGAGTTTTGTAGAGTGGCGGCTCGAACAAATCTAGGGCTAGTCATGCAAATGAAGACTACTATCTCTTTTGACCTTCCTTACCTTGCAACGACTTTCTTGATTCCTGTTACTTGTTCTATGTATCTGGTAGAATGCAATGCACCTTGGGCCCGTGGAATTTCTGATCTACATATTTTGATGGCAAGAAATATAAATTCATGGATCTACTTCAGTTTGGTAAGAATATCTCCCCTGGATTACAATCTACCTTGGTACATATAGGGCAATAGAGTGTACTATCCTCAAAGACATAGAATGCTGTCGAGGAATTAAATAAACAATCTCATGTGCCCGATATGGCCGAGCCAAGGAGCCCCAGTAGTTAATATAGACCCCCAGCCTGATCAAGTGTATGTGCGTATATCACCATATGTTAGGATAGCTCTGTCAAGGCCCATTGGTATTAGTGACCTATCAATGGCCTTGTCAAAAGCCTTAATAATTTGATGGTGTTCATGAGTGATCATCTTGATGATCAGCGTATGCGTGGCGGGCTCGAAAGTGAAACGGACAGAATGAATAGGTCGGTTGTTTATGTCGAGAAAGTCCTTTTCGAATCTAGAAGTGTCGATAGAAAAGACGATATATTCGGTGATGTCGGTAGTTTGTTCTGGAGTGTTCTTGATACATGGTGTACCGGCGGTGTCGCGGGCAGCGTGCATCGAGAGCCGAAGACGTTCAAGCTCAAGGCGAAGGACTTGAGAAAAGTGTTCTTTTCCTTGATATAAATATCGTCTAACAGATAAAGGTAGACCCTCCGAGTCGTGGTCAGATCCATTCCGGTTGAATCCATACATTTTGAAGAACTTTTGAAAATCACACGTTTCTTGATATCCAGAGGTCTAGAAACGTGGGAGTTATCATAGAAGATCAAATCATGCAACGTTGTTATCCCTAGCTTCTGCCATCGTTCCAACCCCCAGGCAATTAGCCGTGTATATTACGTAACCATTCCGTGAACCGGTGTAATGGTGGTAAGAGTACAGTGGAGTTTCATAAGTTTGCAACATCCGAAAAAGTTCAAACCCCTCTCATCAGCTATACTTCGAAAGACAAGTTGAAACACAGATGCCGGGAATATCTAGAAAGAGGGTTCAAAAGACATTCAGAAAAATCTATTAAAAACATAAAATCGAGGCATATTTTGATGGCCTGTTTTCTTGGTCCCTGGTTTCAGACTTTTGAACTGCCACTGTAGTTGTGCCTTGGATTCAAAGCATGTGCTTAGAATATAATGTATCTTCTCTTTCTGTACTCTACAAAATATCTGCAGCGGGCATGTATGTATCAAGTCCAAACAATCTCTTCTGTGAGATAGAGGCTGTAGCCGGTAGGTAATAAACGATAATGGGAATCTTCCATCTCAATAAATGGATCAATACGAATCAGGTAACAATGCGGTCCGTAGAGGCAATTCGTAGCGAAGCTATATCTAATCGTGTCTACCTCTGTAACTGTGCATAATTCCACCAAGAAATCATAGGATGAGAAAGGAAAGTGCTCCTATGCACAACCCAAAATCATGAATCATTAGGTACACTAGATACTTATCACATGAGCTGCGTCAACCCTGATATGAAAAGGTGATGTATTAGTTCTTTGTTGAGGAATTTGGATATTCAGGTAGAAATATAATTACTCAGGAATAGATTGTGTCCCTTGTTGATGAGGTAGCTTAGATCGCCTATCTATATGCTCTGATCCAGCTCAGAAATCAAAATGAAACCTCCGCAAAGGTTCAATCAGTGGATCACGATCCCTATTGGCGGACAGTCTAGAATCCACAAGGGAATCTTGCTTCTAATAAAACGGTACACGAATAGGTAACTTCGAATGAACAAACACTCGGTCGATTCGCTTTGATCGATCGGGATAGCCGTGGAGGCTACTATGGCCGGATCACCTCGGGTAAGATGACGTCGCCCGCAGAATATGAGATTGAAGAGTGCATGACCCCTACCCCCAAACTTCTCGCAGGCTTTCGGCCCCTACCCAGACACCATATTTATGATGGAAATTTATAAAATACAATGTGGAATCTCAGATATTCCTAGACTCTTAGTACGGCCATAGATTTCTGAACATTGTCTCGGTAAAAATTGTATCCATTGATATCTGCCCCTTGCACTAGGAAGAACTCCACCAGGCTTGAGTGGTAGTTATCAGCAGCCAAGATTAGCGGTGTCAAGCAATTGTGGGGTGGCAGATTCGTATTGTTGGGGATGGCCCATCAGACAGAAATCTAAGGCAGCTTCTCCCCCGCCCCGCCTTCCGTCCTCTTTCACGTTGTTTTCGTCAGTATTCTACAGTATTCCCTACAACAGCAAAACATTTGACATCTCGACGCCATACTCTGGCAGTTGGGTTCTAACCGCAAGAGTCTGAAGCCAGCAAGTGAGAATTGTGGACCCAAAATCCCTCGCCTAATGGTTGCACCTTGGTTCTTGGCCATTGACAGCGCGAACTGGTAGTCGCTGAAATTGTGCAACCCCGAAACTGGGATTACTGATGGACAACTACACGGCTGAGACAGAACGCGTCCTCCGGGACGCGGGCTGGATACCCGGACGCGGGGTCGACATAGGTGACTTGCGAACCCAAATGGAGGAGTTCGGCTTTATCATGAGCGAGGCGGCCGAGCGCTTTCTCTCCGAGTTCTTCGGCCTTGTGTTCAAGTATAACGGCCCGGGGATCACCAGGGCTCGCGAGATGTTCGAGTTCGACCCGCTGCTTGCCGAGGGCGAAGACGATAGATTTACTGAATGGAGTGAGGAGATTGGCGAATGCCTCACCCCTATCGGAATGTTGGACCGCCGGTGGAACCTTGGGATCTCCAAGTCCGGGGAAATCTATATGGTGGCGGAGTGGCTTGCCTCCTTTGGCTCCGGCCAACAAGCCTTGGAGAACCTGATTCTCGGTGTTGCTGCAAGAGAAGTTACTCCAGTACCGTCCATGGAGCAGGCCATTCACTAGTTGGATGAACTCCTCGAACATAGCGACACCCGTGGAGCTGGGAAAGATGTGAGAAAACGCAATGCCTTCTTGAGAACAAGCAGGCTGGATTTGATTCAGTTCATCACCTTGGAACCATGACTTTTTGTACAGGGTCACTGTGACTTGCTTGTTCGTCTGAATACAACCGGTTTATCACAACCAGGTTTATCAACCCAAACAAGCTGAAAATGATTCAAACTGTCACATTGTGATGGTCCAACCGTCACAATTCAGCGTTCTGTTCTTTGGCCTTCTGTCAAGCTATTATTGGAACGTCGCCAGGGAGTTTCTAATATTGAACACTCAACATAGTTGCAGTTTAATCCAAAAGGAAGTAGATATCGACGGAGGAGTGGAGACGTGGAGACCTAGAGAGAGGAGATACATACCTAAAAGCAATGCCTCCTTTGGATCCGCATGTGGGGTAAATGCGAGTGGGCTAATAGGACTACGTCTAACTAATGATGAGGGTGTAATCAGCATCAACATGAGGTATCAAAACCTTGATGCCTTGAATGGGCGTCAACCTGCTGCCTATGCTTTTCTGCCCGCGCTTAAAACCCCATCACCATACAATCCACCCGAAGCAACACACAAGATGAATAAATTGTGCGCTCTTCTGTCCACGCACCCTAACATGTCTCCAAACAAAGAAAAAGACCATCTTATTTAAGACATACGCTACCTGCCTCGGTCCCGGTCCAGAATTCTCTGCCTATCCGCCTTGACTTATCCTGATCGGTGGAGGATCCCGCGGCTCCTCGCTGGCGCGCGCCATTGTCGAGGGCTCAAACGGACTTCTGGTAGCCGTTGCAGAGCCCGATCGGACAAGTAGTGGGATTAGATTGTTCTGAATCTTGATAGCATATATAGACCTTGAACTCCAAACGCCTCTATGATGACAGCCGCAGCTTATCTTCTAGTGTTCTAGTCTCATTGGGAGATCGCCTCATTGGTTAACTTCAAGATCATCAAGACCTTTCCTGATTCGTTATTGCACGTCAGATTATACACCAGGAAATCAAGTCCTCTCAATTGCTTCGAACCCTTCTCGGGCAAGTCTCTCTCGCATTACCTGCCACTCCACCCAAGTAACGCCCTGCAAGAGACAATCTGCCAGATCATCCAGTTTGCCAATTGCATTGCCTGAATCTGCTACAGACAGTGACTTTTTCCTCGTTCCCTCGCCGCGCCATTTTCGCAGATACGCACCCGCAAGGTCATGTAATGCAGACATATCTGCCGCAAGACAGATCTTCCTGTCCAGTATGGCGCCGGGCTCCATCTCCCCACTTGAAGAGGAAGCTCCATTCTCAGAAATATTCAAGTCCAGAGTAGAGTTTAACCACCGCCCAACGAGGTCAATCTTGGCCTTTTTGACTTCCCGAGCGCTAGCTCTCCCCTTCTTGGTGCTATCGTCGCTCCTCGGGGCTGTATCAGAGTCAAGGTCCTCCCAATATTGAACCACTCGCTTCGGTTCAATGCCTTGCACCTCAATTTCAGCGAGTTCACTTCCACGTTCGTGTCTCAGCGTATGCAGCACCGCGTGTAACATACCCTCCAAGACACCGACACGTATCGTCCACTCCTGCACGGCACTTCCACTCCCAGAGCGGAAGCGTTGACGCTCGATCAAAATATGGGTAGGCTTGTAAGCAGAGAGAAGAGACGTAATCAACGTGTAAGCCGTTGCGGCGTACAAATCTGGCGAGAATGCTTCCTTTAAGCCTGCTGCCGGCTTGGCCTTGGCCTTGACCGTCTTCGTCGATGGTAAAGATTCAGCTTCTGGCTCAGACACGATCCCAGCAACATCTATCTTTGCACCCGTGCCTTCTAAGTCAAGAGTACCAATCTCAGATACCTTGAGTCGATGCCAAGCCGTCAGTACCGGCCTCAGCGGCGCCGGCGCCGCGGTCTGGATTAGAGAAGCTCTCGGCACGCGCAGATGTGCAAACGCGAGATTCTGAATCCCCATATCAATGCTCAATACACTCCAGTCGTTTCTGTTCTTCTCCTGTGCTGGGATAACTAGTCGCTGGCATAATGCAGCTTCAATACGCGCCGTGAGCACGTTTTTCGTTCCCGAGGATTGAATTCCTGTCGCGCGTGCGATGCGCTGGAGTTGCGCGACTTTCAGTGATGCGAGCCAGGTAAACTGAGACACTGGAATGCGAGAAGCGCGCAAAATTGCGGTGAGGCGCATTGCATGGTCTTTTCTTGCCCTGTCTGGGGCGGAGCGGTCTAAGGGAGCCGCTGAACAGCAGCGAGATGTTTTGGTTTTTCTCTTTCCGGGAGACTGAATTTGAGATTGCGATTCCAATGGCAATAGGCTGATGACGAGATTAGGTTGTGGATACTCTGATGGCGTGATCGGATCCTCGACTACCGCAGTGGGTAGATGAGCGCATGGAAGACTTGCATGGACTCACGGAATGGAGGCTTGGTGCTTGGGGCTGACCGGATGAGGAGGCGGCTTGGGACTTGGTGGTGATCGCGCCGATCGACGCACGGCCCGAGTTGCCGCACCCGTCAGCGGCTTGGGGATGTTGGAATGGAAGTTATCTTCATATTCGACTCCATGCGAAAAATGTGATCTCATTGAAGATGCTGATCGAATCGGACCTGAATTATTATTGAAAAATTTGTCGAAGCTTTGATATATCCCTGCGGATTAGATAGATCTGTGAATTACTACATGAGGTTACCAGACTTGCCGCTTCTGGATCGGCACTCTAATGTGCTGTATTGCAATTTCTCCTATCCAGATCTCATGCTCGAGGATCCGGGGTCGCAGTCTATTTTCACAATAAATAATGCCCAACTCCGCGAGATCATACTCGACCTCCAAAGGATCACGCAGTGTGCCCATTCTGAATTTGGGGTTTCTCGTATCCATATGCCTTGTACTGGAATATCACCAGAGCCATAGAAGAAGGTCATCACCTTTTCTGCAAAAAGTCCTCTATGATGACTATGACGGTCGGTCTTAATGGTCGAGTTCGCTTCCAAGGGTGTTGTGAATAGTGAAGGATGATGCCCCATTCAATCAAACTCGACTTGACAAAGCGCAGGTAAACTTGGGCTTGGGTATAGGCAGTGGACGGTCAAACGACAGATTGCCATCAAGAGTTATGATAGGAAAAGGGAAATTTCAAGCACCAGAAGCAGTCTTCTTCGGCGAAAGTTTCAGAGGTGGTGGTGAATATTCTAGTTATAATTCAAGAAATCAAGTAGTCACAACAAGAAAGAAGGGAAAATGAAGTCAAGAGACTAACGCCAATGGTCTATATGCCAAAAAACGACGAGTAAAACCAAGCCAGATCCAATGCCATGGTTCCTCCAACGAACGCCTTGCTCGGTGCTGGTGCCTGGCCATGGGCCTATGGAAAACGCCATAGTAACGATGATGCAAAGCGCTGAAAAGCAGATCAGAAGAAGTCAAAGAGCAAACAAAGTAACCAACAAGCAGAATGCGCAGGTAAGTTGACAAAACCTTCCCATCCAAAAGCTGCAGGTGAGTGTGTGTGTGGTGTAGAGTGTGAAGACGTTTAAATAAATGCCGGCTGCTCGCTTTTCGAGTCGGCGATCTCTTCTCGCAGGTATAGAAGCGATGCCCATACCCGCCAGTGCAGGACACCTATGTGGCCAAGGCGCATGCCAATGCGTTCAATGTCATATTGCTGTGCAGACATAGCTTGCGATGGTGAGGCTGAAGATGTCGGAGGAGCAGAAACCGCGGACGACGGAGGGTTGAGCGCAGGACCGTTCGCAGTGGACGGTGGAGGCGTCGTGCGCTGGGACTCGCAGATAGCCAGCGGCGAGAGTGGTAAGTATCTCCGAGCAGAAGCAAGTGTCGCGGTCAGTACCTTTTCCCGCATGGTGTTCTGGAAGTAGCGGAAAAGCTCGGACTCGTTGGATAGGTGCCACAGGAGGGCCTCCTCGATCGGGGCGATGACCTCGTCAGCTACGACCACGTCCAGACAGCATGCGGCACATGCAAACCGAGCGATTTCCAGCGCAATACAGCGCATGTTCTGTAGCCAGCGCTTGCTGCCACGGAGATCAGGGTCCTCATCTTCGCTGGCACTCCGTCCATCAGAGCTCAGTTCATCCTCCATAAGCGACCATATCCGCGAGCGGAAAGTGGAGTATGTCTCATCACGGGCAGAGAGATACCGCTTCTGGGTATGGACGTAAGACTCGAAGATATACCACGCAATTTCAAGGTTGATGAGATTCTGAATCGTCGAGCGCAGTTGCCACAGCCGATCTGTATCAAAGAGAAATGTCTCCGGGTAATCCGCCGGCGGGTTAAACTGGAGAAGCTGGTCTGATATGCCCCGGAACAGGGCTTCGAGGGGCTTGAACGTATCATCCGATTGTGCTGTGTTTGGATCCTTTGCTTCATCTTCTTTCTGAACCCGCTCCCGTGCTGCGAGATACCAAATTCTGGCGGGCTCCACTTGAAAACTGCCACGGCTAATTTTGCCTTCGAAGTACTCTTGCAGAAATGGGACTGTGTCCTCGATGAGAAGAACGCGGAACGTGCGTATTTGGTGATTTGCCACATCCTTGACGTCCTGTTAGCGTTTGTAAAACAAAGTTGATCAGTGTCGCGATGGTTTTTTCTCACCAGTTTCATAGCCTCCAAGATAGCAAATAGCGTCTGCAGCCCATTGACAATTTGCTTCGGCTCCTGCGACTGGGAACCCTCAGTGATCTGATCCACCATCCGGTCAGCCCATTCATCGCGCATCGGTGCGCAATGCGTCTTCAATAAAGCCGCCATCCACGTTGCCAGTGCCACCATATCGAGCACACCCTTGCGGACCTGCTGCATGAGCAGGGGTACTTCGAGATTCTGCATGACGCTAGGATGGTCGCGCTCCGGTACTAGAGTTTTGATGACTTCTTGCAATGTTTCGAACATGGCAGGCAGTCGAGGCTCGAATACGCGCTTAGAGTTGCTATCCCGAGAGCTCTTCTCATCGGCGTCGTCATCGGGATTCGCGGCGCGGTACGCGTAAATTGCAATCTCCATAGCCATGGAGTCCCAGTAGTCGTTAGCTTCTTTCCGTTTTCGCTTTCCCTTTTCGCCGTCCAGATCGGGCTTGAAGTGCAGATCGCGGTCGAAGTTGGCGTCCATCCGAAGGTTAATATTGCTCATGATACAGGGCAGATCGAGTTCGCTCAGTGTACGCTTCGTAACGGGAGGCTGGCGGCGGGCTCTGCAGAGGAGCCGTTGGTCGCGTGAGCTGAGGCCTAGTGCGTGCGGGATACTGATGGCTTCTGGGGAAGGCGATGGGTCTCGGTCTCGGGGCCGGGGTGCAGCGCTAGATGTCGATCCCGATCCCGATCGCGAGGCTGCGCCGGGTTTGCGGGTGCCGGGCGGATATGCAAATGGTGGCTGATGGCGACGAAATGTGTTCACGTTGGATGAGTTCTCATGGCTATGAGAATCGCGTCTTTCGCTCTTACGGAATTCCTTTGAGCGGCCGCTGCTAGCGCCATAAGCATCCAGCGGGCCGTCGGCACCCTCCTCCTGCGCGCGAGCTTCTTTAGTCCCCTTGAGATCCATGGCCGAGAGGAAGGACAATCGAACGTCCTCTCCCAGGCGTTTCTGATCTCTCTGCGCCCAACGTTAGATAAGAACAATCCTGGGTAGAGGAAAAAGAAGGGCAGGAAGAGCCAGTGGTGGCGGAGGCTGTAGCCCTACGCCAACATCCCCCTCCCCTCTGTGCACCAGTAGGGGCACTTGGTTGGAGCGAAACAGAAGAAATCAAGAAACAATAAGAAAGAGATTGCGGGAAATAGCGGACCAGCCCCTATGTGCTCGTCGACTTACAATGTATTTTTTTTCTTCCCACGCACCCCCTGTTTGCCTCAGGCAGGCAGCCAATCCCGAGTTGCCGACGAAGTGATGCAAGTGAGCTGTCAATTGTACTGGAGCCAACAGTTGAGCCTGGGATCTGCGGACGATCGGCCTCGTGGTGATGGCGATGGGGAGGCAAATTAGTAACAATTGATGAAGTAGAAGTATTGTGGACGATGAGAGTATGTCTCAACTGTCCGACAGACAACGAAGCAAGATGAAATCGCGGTCCTCAGCCACAGCGCAACAAAGTCATCCACATAGACTAGAGTTTGTTACAATATGTCGGGGTGAACAACACTAAGCCCACGAAAGAACGGGAAGGATTGGTCAGATTAGAACCGGTAAAGTTGTGGAGAGCAAATGAGCAGGTCGCAACAGAGAAAGGGGCCAAAAAAGCCGAGAGGGATTGGAAAAGCGACCGAGTTAGCCTGATATAGGCGGATCGTGGTGAAGTATCCCGGGCCTCAGTTGACCGTCGTAACGGGCTGTCGAGAACAAACGTTTTCGACTGGCCGAATTCGGGTGGATGCAAGCATCCACGGAGATCGGCTATATCTTGACGACTTGGGGGAGGAACGAGGAGTAGTAATGGAGATGGAGGTGACGATCAGAGCTCACATTCCAATCGTTCCAAGGAGACTGCTGCTACCCGCTTCCAGTGCCTCCTCGAGAGACACTTAGCGGACGCTCCATCACGTCGAGTCGCATCCCCTATTTCCATTACCGATCGTACGGATCGACGATCTGGCTGGGGATGGTTTGCTTTTTTGCCCCTTTCACGGTGTATAGTTCGGGAGAGGGCCCGACTTTCGGGCTTCCCCTTCGACCCTTCCATCCATTAACCATTCATCGTCAAGACCATTCGACCCCCTTTCACGCCTCACTTTGAGACGCACTGGCCACGTGAGCTACTCGCCGCCCCCCCCCCCCCCCCCCAATTTCTCGGGGAACCACTGGCTCAGCAAATGCGAAACTGCAGCCAGTTTGGTGATGGAACCAGGATATGCTGGGAGGGGAAGGAGGGGAGGTGAAGACGGATCTGGGTTGAACATTGGACGTTCGAATCGTTGAACGCTGACTCCAAGTCGGAAGTACGAAGTATGGAGTCTGGAGTACCGCAGGAGTGGAGCTTGGAAATATCGGGCTAGCAAGTGAGAACGTTCGAAACGAGTTTAACCCTCAGGGCTGATGGTGAGGAAAAAAGTGGGGCCCCATCGGATGCGGATGTCTGGTGGCCTTGCTGCCTTGATGCCGTGACACCTTAAACTCTTGGCTCTCATCGACCGTGACACCCGAGCGCCTTGTTGCCCGATCCATCAGGCCACAACCTCAGGCCACCCACTGTCTTTCACTCTCTCAAGCCCCTAGACACCACTTCTATTCAAGTACACTTTGGGAAATGTTTGACTTGCCGAACACATTTTAATTTCCGACCTAAGAGAGGCTGCGGCTCTCTCTTTGCTTTGTATACAGTTTCCGGCTATTCCACCAACTTTGGCGGGTCTCACCGGCATCTCTGGTCCATGTAGTAAGCCTGTCGCCTTCCAAGGATCACCATCCGCCCTATTGATACCCGAATTAGGAAATTGGCGTCCCGCTCACCAAGAACCTGCCCCCAATCGCCATCATCACCATGGGCGGGCACAAAGCATTCAAAAAGGGCCATAGCCTTCTTGTGGCCTTCTATGATCGAAATATTTCTCCTTGCAAGATCTCAAAATCCATTATTCGATCGGTCGCCGCCGTAGAGCGGTGATTTACTGAAGAACTCGTCCTTCTACGGGCATAGCGCCAGCATCACGATGAATATCGCTCCTTTATTGTTTTTCATTCAACTTCTGTGGTCAATTCCAAATCTGCCAATATTCAAGACTGCAAACGCATCTCGATTTGAAGTTCGCTCGTTACCAGATAGTCCCGCTTTGCCGGCTAACTGGGCTGGGCGACTGCCAGTGCCTGGACGGAAAGATGGGAATGAGGTCTTCTTCTGGTTGTTCGAAGCAGAGAACAAAGCATATGATGATACCTTCATCAGTGGGTTGGCCCAAAACCGATCAACTAACGAACCATCTTTGCTAACGACATGTCTTTGACATATAGTTTGGTTCAACGGCGGACCAGGTTGCTCGTCTATCGTAGGGCTAACGGGCGGCAACGGGCCTATCTCCTTCGTCGGAAACTCGATTGTCCTCGAACGCAATCCCTACTCCTGGACCCAGCTTGGTCATGTCCTGTATGTGGACCAACCGGTTGGCACGGGATTTTCGACCGCCAGCGTTCCTTACCCTGTAACCAACAACGAAATGGTGACAGCGGACTTTGTGGACTGGCTGAACGGATTTTTTACGTACTTCCCGCATCTGCAGTCGAAGAAAATACATTTGATGGGCGAGTCCTACGCAGGGATCTACATTCCCTACTTCACCGCCGCCCTGATGGAGAGCAATACCACGCATCCACTCGACATCCGCTCCATGTCACTCGGCGACGGGTCATGGGGAAACGCAGCCGCAATGTCCTCCGTCGCCATGGGCGCATACATGCGTTCACAGACAACTGCACTCAAACTGCCCAAAGACATCCTCGCAGCCTTTGACGCCGCAGATCAAACCTGCGGTTTCGACTATGTCCTGGCCGAGGCACAGGTCTATCCACCCCAGGGGAAGATTCATATTCCGGGGAACCCAGAGAACTTCAATTATCGGCGACGCCGGCGGGATATGACGGATGTTCTGAACGCTTCCTGTAGCATATCGCCGCGAACTGTAGCAGAGGTGAATGAGTCCATCTTCAACTCGACCTGCTATGGCCCGTGTGCCACATACTCTACCGCAATGGACTATGTGGACACCGCTTCCGCCGCTGGCACGGGCATTCCCTGCTTTGACGTTTATGATATCCATCATGATTGTAGCACGGTCAACAGCTTGGCCCTGATGGCTGAATATTTCAGCCGTGCCGACGTTCAAGATGCACTACACGTTAGCGGTAGTGGGACCTACAGTGCATGTAATTCGACTATCCTGGGCACATTACTCGGTGCTCCATCGGTAGTGCCCCCGGCGTACTCGATTCTGCCTGCCCTGGTCACGGAGTATAATGTCTCGCTGCATATCTACAACGGAGAGTGGGATATGCTGCTCAACCATATCGGCACCGAGCTGTCTATCCAAAATATGACATGGCGTGGTGCTCAAGGGTTTTTGACGAAGCCGCAGCAATTGTTCTATGTCGATGATGCTAAGCCTGTGCAAAGCGTGGATGGGTCGAGGTCAGGAGGAAGAAATGCGAGGGCGAAAGTGGCAGGCCACTGGGCAGAGGAACGGGGGGTCTCGTATCATTTGTTTCGGGAAGCAGGTCATAGTGTCTTTGCTAACAAGCCGCGCGAGATGTTTGCGTACGTTCGTGATGTGGTGGTTGGAACGAAAAGGGTTTGAAAGGGGCTCATACTCTCGATTCTTCCGAAGTGTATGGACGGAGTGGACGATCGTGAGATTCCAAAGGGTTGTTCTACTTTCATTCAATTGCAAATCGTTAGTTACGAATCTGAACGCTCATGGATGTCATCATAGGCCACGTGCATAGGGATGATGGGCGATCGGACGATGTCGACAAGAAAAGTACATCAAGATAATTGACCAGAGATCCTTTTTTTCTGGTTTCAGAGTGAAGTCTTCGTCATTGCCTCGGGGATAAATACCAGCATTGTAATGCTGGACACTGGGATGATTGGCAGTTGATTGAACTTACAGTCTCAAAGCATGCGGGAATTTCTCAATAGCGACATCTCTACGGAGTAGACTAAGAACGCATGGTTTTCCATTTTCTGTCTACCCTCAATACGTGCAAGTCACTACATACTTTATATAATTTGCATTCAAAAAGCTCCATACTATCTCTGACAATCTGATCTCTCAACTACTCTTGCTTAATGTCGTGATATTGTTGCATCGTCGTGTTAACCAAGGTGGCCCACCACAAGACAAAGTACAAGAAACAGATAATCAGTTGTCAAAAGCTGTCAAGATGTTTCCATCAGTTATCATTATGAGTCGGGATTATATCTTGTACATTCAGACAGTGTCAGTTTCTGCTCACAATGAGCCACCATGAGTCATGATTAATCTGATGTGGGCTTGGTCGGGACGAATCATGCGAGACAAGGCTGTGCGACGCAGGGGCCGTTGCACGAGCCAAGGCAAGACGCTTCAGATTTATGAGCACCTTTAGTAAGATAAATGAGTTTACGGGCTACAGTACGGGGAAGAATTGAATAGGAATGTACTAGAAAATAAATGATCGTATCAATCATGAAACAAGGTTTGAAGGGTCTATTACCCGAACGCTAAGATGATATCACTTGTAATCGAGAAAGCCGCGCCGCATATTTCCGATCTATGCATCTTCACCGTTCTAACCCGAAAAAAAGACTCAGATCACTGTTCCCGCTCCTCCAGCTGACTCGAGAAAAAGGTACATAGAACGGAGGGTGTACCAATGAAGTAGACGAGCGAGACCCAGGGGGGGAAGGTGACCCACACAAGGCTAAAGATGGACAACGCATACATTCGCTTCGTTTGATCATGAGGTTGTGATGAGTGGAGATAGAGATCAGACTCAACAAGGAATTTGACATATGGACACCTCGGGGCTGAGATGCACAACTGCCAGGCAGTGCGCCCTGCTCAACGACGAGAGAAGAAGGGCGTCTGGTTAGGCATTGAAAGGAGCGAGTCCGCTCGCTGAAATACGTCGCCCTCGAAGAACTTATCACTGTATGCACTCGCCGGGGTAGAGGGCACAGTAGCCTGCGCGGCGGGGCCCAGCGCTGCACTCAGAGGAGTGGCAGGAACAGTGACCGACTGTGGGGACATGTTCGCAGCCAGCTGATACGCAGTTGAGTGAGACCCAATTGCCGAAGTTGACACGGAGGTTTGGTGCTGCGAGTGTAGTGGGTGAGGGGGTTGGAGCGGCGGGCCATACAAATTGCTTGGCGTGTGGGTTGGAGCCATGTCTGCAAGGTATGACCAGGGGGAGGCCTCGATCAGGCGGCCCGCCTCTCGACTGGCTTTCTGGACCGGACGCAGGATGATGATAATGTCCCCTGGGAGGAGTTGCATGCTCCGCACTTCTCGCATATCAGTCACGAGATCGACAAACGACTGCATGAAGGTCTTGCACAGTTGCCAGAACTCGCGCTGGTTCCGTAGTCCGCCACCTGGCTCCTTCACTTTCATGTTAGACAGGCGCATTCCCAGTGCCTCGGAAACTTCTAGGCAGAATCGGCATCGGCGGATGAGGTTGTTCCAGAGAACTTGAATTCCCTCAGACTCGCGCGATTGCTCAGCCACTTCAAGGCATCGGCTGAACTGTCGCCGAGCCAGTGGAAGAGCCTGGAGAGCAGAGCTGTAAGCGGAAGTGAGTTGATGGAAGATCTTCTCGAAAATCCGTTCCTCTTCGATCTCGTCTAGGCCAGTCAATGGGTTAATTCGAGGTGCGCCAGCCGATGTGGGAATGGGAGGAAATGCCTCTCCGGAGCGTGGTGTCGCCAAAGACGACGGCACCGAGGTGTTGATGAGATTGGACCGGCTGCTTGATCGACTGCGTGCGTAGTTGAAGGACGGAGTATTGTAGCCGGGTGATCCAGTCGCTTGTTGGCTGGAAGGGTTCAATGACAAGGCCCCCATTGCCATCTGAGGGTGCCGGATGGTAGTGTCGCTTCTGAGTCGCCGTGTCGGGGGAGCTGGGTCCCGAGTCGGAGTGACAATAGATCGCTGGAATCGATCTGTAGGAGGGCCCTTGACGGGCTCTGGCACATTTGCCTTGGGAGCCGGGGTTGGTTCTTGAGGCTGGGACATGGGGACGTTGAGGCTGGCACAGGCATTCCGCAGTTCCACAATGCTGCCAAAGATCGTCAACATCAGCGAGCGCACATACCGCGGGTCACCATTAGCGACAATGCTTGCAACATTGTTCCGCAGTTGTGTACCAACGTGGGTATAAGCCACGATACACGTCTCACATTCGCGCTTGACGGTCTCCGTGAGTAAACGTCCGGCCTCGGCACTGTCAGGCACTGAAGTTTCGGCATTCAGGAGGGCTTCATTGAGTCGATCGATGTGAGAAGAGGCATTGTAGAACACGAGCTCAAGGCTGTGGCGGCGTGTGTCGTCGCCCTTGATCACGTTGATCAGGGTAGAGATGTGGGAGTGAACCTGGAAGAGCGCGAACAGGATGCCCTTGGCGCTCTTGATGATAGGGTCATCTAATCCATGTTCGCCTTTGTGCTCTGGAAGACTCGACATGCGATTGACCCAACCCTCTCGTGCACGTCGGCGTTCTTGTGGGCTGCTGGGACTTGACGAGCTGCTGCTGCTGGCAGGAGCTGGTGCTGTCGAGTGCGCTCGGAGAACAGACCCGTGGCTGAGGCCACGCAAATGGCTGTTTCGATATGGCCGAGTCTCATCCAAGGTCCCCAGGTCGGTATTCTTGCGGGTAATGAGGCCCATCCTTTTGTTGCGAGCTGAAAAGGATGCCTGAATGATGCCCTCACTATTGCTGCGATTGCGTTCGTTGACAGCGTGAGGGTTTGCACCAGGTCGCTGGAGACCAGGCATATGATACCCAGCCGGCTGTTGACCAGAAGCCATTCGGAAGTGCGACTTGGCGGGAATTGGGGGTGGTCGTGAGATGGAGGGAGATCGAGAGGAAGGGGTAGAGCTATCACCTGTGCTTGGGATGACGGGGAAACGACTACTCAGTTTGCGTTTGACCGGTACGGGTTTTGGCGTATCAAACGAAACATCGCTGTAGCAACAGTGTGAGTTTTCATTCGCTGTGAGAAACCGACGTATAAACGAACCTTGTATCGCCGCTGCTCTCCGGCTCGGGCGTTGTCGCTTGCTGCCGGGTTTTCAGGAACCGCTTTAGTTCCGCAGTCACCGCAACCTCCTTTTCATTGTCCGTCATAGTAGGGGCAATTTCAGCCTCTGATGCCTCTAGTACACGGCGAAGAGGATATCGCAAGGGATTGCCTGCTATCTTGAGGATCTGGAGCTTGTTCATATCGGACAACCCAACTGGGAGGTCATCCAACCGGTTCTGCATGATTGACAACACTCGTAGTGATCTCAACTTGCTAATCTCGTCGGGAAGTACCAGAATCTTATTCCTACTGAGATCAAGAATCTCCAGCAAAGGTAGTTTATAGACCTAGAGGACGTTAGCACCAATTGCTAAAAGCGAGTACTCTTTCCAACCTACTCCTTTGGGAAATTCACGGAAGTTGTTCGCTCGAATGTTGAGATATCGAAGATGCGAGCACTCAGCAAAGCGATAGGGAATATGAAATAGGTGGTTATTCGACAGTGAAAGCCTAAGAGACAAGAAATGAGCCTTAGTTAGCTGAATCTCGAATTGGAATGGTCCCGAACTGGAATCGCTAACGCGACAATACGATTCGCGACAGTACGAATACGTACCTTTCCACCTCATCCTTTATAATGTCCACCACCGGCTCCGGTATTCTGACAATATGAGAATGACCCAGATCGATTGTCAGCTTCGGCTTGACCACATCTGTGACAGCCTCGCTTCCAGCCAAAGACCGCTTGGTATCTTGAATTCCACTTTCCACCGCGCGCCGAGCGAGCTCAATCGTTTCCTCATGCGACAGAGGCTTCGAATTTGACGGTTGTTTACTACCACTGCTGGGGTGGTCGCTCATCGCAGTACCCGGTCTGGATCCATCGTGCTCTATGCGCGGCGAGCCTTCGTTGTAGGACAACGGAGGGGGGGGGCCAGGGAGTCGCTCGATCCCTTTTCTCCCTCGTCCTCTTCTGTCTCACCCCGGAAGCTGCGTGGCCCACGTACCGTGTCCTCTGGTCGGTTGATGGCGGATAACATGCTTGAATAGAGGGGTCGGAACTTTTATGAAGCGAAGACGACGTCGGCGGGCACGCTATCGAGATGGAGATGCGCAATCGATCAAAAGGTCTCCCCAGAGTCTTGGCCACTACCGATACGAGATGTTATCCCGACGCGAACAGGACATCGTCGGCTGGTAAGCAATCTCGAAACGGTGGCAGAATATCCGGTCGTGAGATGCGTGAGATGCGGGTCTGAGGGGTCGATCGCGTGCGGACAGCGGAGGACAACACGAATGCACTGCCGAAGGAAGTTGGCAAGGTCTAGCGGGAAGACTGAGCCGAGACGGTTCAATCCACAGCAGGGTCGTCCAAGTGGAACTGGAGCGCGGAAGCTGCGCAATGAAGCTCGGCGAGTGGAGGTCTCGACTGCAGGCTGAAGTCAGCCCCGGCGGACCAAGAATGTTGTTATCACGGGAATCAAGGAGGTCTGACAGGTCGCCCTGCGGGATGCGTCGTTGGAACAATGCAGATGCAGGAATATGACAGAATACAATGGGCGCCGACCAACTTCAGGCGAGTCTGCAACTACGAGGAAGTTGGAAAGACTGGAAGGGTCGTGATTGGGCGAGGCGCAGCCTAACGGAGCTGGGCGATCAACGTCTTTTGGCGTTTCAGCGTTGGCACGGCCCACTGTTTTGAATCTGGGGGCCAAAGATCCCAAAATGCACATTCTTTTCCTGGAAGAGGACTGATCCAGTCTTAGAGAACCATCTACGACCTCAATTACAGCGAAGTTTCAGTCTGGTCCATGCAAAATGTCCAGGAAATGAATCATTAACACCCGACCTCCCGCTTGGAAAGGTTTCCGTGGCAATTGGAGAGGAAATCGGAGCGGAAATATACTTCTGGAGTCGACGAAGCTTGTTATCACCTACAGCCTTGGAAGTATGCCCGCTAGGTTATTACTGGCAGGAAATTCGAATGGCAAGAAGTGAATTTCTGTTGTGGAATAGAAGGCTATGGGAATACAGTGTCCAGCAGAACTAATCAAATAATATACATGACCATCAACTCGGGAACCCTGGAAGTTCAAGACAGCGCCCTCCCAGGCAAGCAATGCAAAACAGGGCAATGACTCTAGGAGATCAATTTCAACCACAGCTATCTTTTAGACCGGTACGTCTGGCTGCTCAGTAAAGGTCTCCTCCTTCTCGCTTTGCTGTTCGAGCGCAATCTCCGGGGCTCCTGAGAGCGCAGCCGATCGTTGCTCGAAAAGCTGAGCCTCTGTCCGAGCCCAGACCTTCCACTTCTCGTACTGCTGGTTCTCTAAGTCCATACCGATCTCCAGGTGGGATGGACCAAAGTTGGCACCAGTGGCCTCGGCCTCCTCGGCAGCAACCCGTCGTTCAATGTCCTCCTGCAGACGCAGGCGGTAGAATTCTCGACGGGCGATATCATATGCATTGCTCTTGGTCATATCGGGCTCATTGTTCAGGAGCCAAAGCTGGCGTTGGACGACACTATTGAGAGAAAAGAAACGCGTGTTAGTATTGGAAGACGTGTATTCCCACACGGAAGGTTGCCCTATATCGGGTCCCCGGAAATGCGGATTTGAAGAGTAAACACGTACCTTTCACCATCCAATCGCTTTCCAGGCTGCTTTATCCGACTCCAGTCGTAGTTCTCGTGGTCTTTGCCAGTGCTCTCAAGAAGCACGCGAGGCCGAGCAAGCTCCCAAGGGTGATCCCGGAAGAAATCCTGTCGTAGCTCATCCTCCTCATACTTGAGTTCCAGTGGCTGGAACAATCGGCTGGGCTTCTTCGACTTTCGGCGATTCTCCTGGACCTCGAAAACGACCTGCGGCTTCGATGATCCTGCAACGGTCTTCATCCGTTGTCGGACCAGCTGGTGTTGAGGAGGAGGGGTGCGAATGAGGGTCTCGGAAGGGGGAATCTCGCCAACAACGTCAACCCATTGGGGGAGCTTGTTGATCTTTCCACTGGCGAATTGGTTGAGCGCAGTCTTGCGCACTCGGAGCGCGGTGAGGTTGATTTTGCCCATGGTGCCTAGGACACAATCAAGGGAATGTAGTTCGATGACGAGTGCTGGGTGATCGGGTGGTCGAGGAAACAAGGCCCTGCTGTTGACAACACGAAGATCACCCGAATTGGACGTGAGAAGACGGGCAACGAGGACGTGGAGGCCGTGGAAGTCGAAGTGCTGCGATGCTGCGGGAGCGAAAAAGATGGGATTGGGCAAAACGCGACTCCGATTGGTCGAGGCGGGTCCCGCTGCAAAGCCAGAAAGTCCGGCCTTCAGAAAAACACCCCCAAGCTACCTACTCGACTGCTTTCCTGACTGGCGTGTCCTCTCCTTTCATCTGTTCGCCGTCTGCTTCCTGGTCCGAGAAGCAGTCCAGGCTGTCTCGTGCGATCGGCCGTTTCCTCCTTCGGACATGCATGGCTAAGCCAATGCCACGATGTCTGCGCTCTCATGCCTCCTCCCAATAGGTCCCCCAGCTCGCCGAGCCTGCGCGATCCCCCCAAGCAGGCCTTGGACGAGCTACTTCTCTCTCGACCGTCGATGTCTCATCCGAAGCCGTCTACCTACCATGCCTCCGTTCGCCGCTTCTCCACCCGCCGTCTTCGTCCCTCCGTCGCGTCAATAGCAGACATTTTTGTCGGCTCGCTGGTCCTAGCAGGTTTCTGCCATGAGCACACACCACGACACCGAAGCCTGTCTACAATGCCATTGAGAACATCGGAGACGCAGCTTCAAAGGTTTCGCGGCAAACATGTGATTTACGGACGTGGACAATTGTCTACGGGAAAGCGTTGGGAGTACATAGGATCTTCGATGCAATCATCGCGAGCTCGATCTTGGCTGAGCACTGCTCTACTCCCGGCGGAAGAGCACTGTCATGCACATGATTACCCAAAATCGACATTATCAAAACAAAAAAGGGGGAGCGACGAAGTTACTCGGTCCGGGTCAAGGGAAGCGGCGGGCGAAGCATCACATCGACAAACTTGGCCGCAGTTACTGGACTCATTAGTAGATCCCGAAAACACGGCTGGCCATGCGAAGGATCTGTCTCCAATTGCATTTTCCGCCGACTCGGAATTGCTCACGGCCCCCAAGGGTGAGACGCGCCTTTCGTATGACGAGAAGATGCATCGCATGAATTCGAACCTTTATCGGCGAATTTTAGGAGACGATTATGAGTGGACTGAGCCCATGGATGTTGTCTTTCCAAAAGACAAAGTGCATCCCAAAAGAGAGGTGACTGAGATTTCGAACGATGAGATTGCCCTGCACAGGCTATCAGTTGCGAGGCTGATCCATGTGCTAAACCACGAGAAATCACCTTCCACCTCATACCTATTTCGTCTGTATAGGGATATTCCTGCACCGGGAATCGCAAAACTACCTCGGAACATTCGCGGACAACTATTGAGGGTTTTTGCCAAAGCTCCGAATCGACGTTGGGCTGATGCCCGGCGCTATCTTGCCTTGGTGCAAGACATGATAAACTCGGAAAAGAGTATGTCTCGTTCGATGTGGACCTCTGCTGTATATTTTGCTAGTCGAGGAAGTGGGAGTGGCAGGGTTCTGAAGCGAGACCTTGTGCGTGCGATTGGCGTCTGGCAGCAGATGGAACATGTGGCGGGAATCGAAGCAGACGACGTGGTGTTCAACATCCTGTATGATGCTGCCATCAAGGCTAGTCAGTTCACTGTTGCAGACCGACTCGAACAGGAGATGAAGAGACGCAAACTGGACTTCACTCGCTTTGGGCTGGTTGCCAAGATCTATTCCGCTGGTGTGCAAAAAGATCTGGATGGCATTACAGAAAATTTTCAAAAGTTCGTGAAGGCCGGTGAGCTTGTTGATACTGTTGTCCTGAACAGTCTGTGCTCTGCCTTTATTCGAGCAGGCGATCCCTCCGCGGCGGAACAGCTGTATGGCCGCATGATCGAGGCTCAGAAAGCGAAACTGAGCACGGATCGGTCACTTACAAATGATGCAAACCGGGTGGTTTTTGGGCACTCCCTTTCATCGGTGTTCTCCAAATATCGGACCAACAGCAGGGCATTTGGCGACTTCCTAAAGCGATCTCAAGCACTCAAGCGCCATTCCCCCAAACATCACCAAGCTCTTCAGGACTCCATTCCCATGACTCCAGACACACGCACCTTCTACATCTTTCTCCGATATTACGCACGCCAGAGTGGACAGTTCGATAAAATCGTGATGATTCTCCGCGACATGGAAAATGCTTTCGCGGTGCCTCCCCATCAGATCGTCTATATGATGCTGTTCGAGGGGTTCTCTATACATGGCCTTCAGAAAAAGGCGTGGTCCGCCGAAAAGCTTCGCCTCGTGTGGCATGCGTACTTACGGGCTTTGCGTACTTCTAAGGCAAGATTGGATGTACAGCAGAGGCACCGAAGTCCACAGAAGATGGAATGGGAAAACCCCTTGGCCAATGCCATGCATCTGGAAGATGAGCTGGACGGGGTAGTGGCCGATAAATCGGACGAATTCTATATGCATCTCCCGTCAGCGAGCAACGACACAGAAACAAACTCCACGCCACTTTCCGAAAAATCAGATGAATTTACTGAGCATCATCTGGATGATGAAAATTTCTTTGACATGGACTCCGAACCCTCTTCGACCCCGCCGTCCGACGACACTTCTGAAGCAGAGTTTGCCGTCGCTCGCAGCGAAACGTCCGTCTCTGAATTAAGCCAACCTGATCCCATCAGTATCGGCATGCACCAGCCGGATGACCTCGACAAGCATCTTGAGAACGGGGTCTTTGTTGGCCGCAAGATGATTGTTGTCATTTTGCGTGCGTTTGGTGCTTGTTATGGACCCAAAGAGGTCATGGAGGCTTGGCTGCAACTGGAACGACTTTGGCACCCTCATCACCGCAAGGCGGCCGACGTGCTTGCTGTTAAGGAAGAGCTGGACAAGCAGATGTCGAAGGGTCCTCGTCCAAACTGTAACATAATATAGATAAGGGGGTGAGGTGCATTGTGATTGATACCTGTACATTATACATAGAACCGCCATACCCGATTCAATTCAGCGAGATATTCTTTCAAAAGTGAAGGCGTTCTTGGGTGCAAAAAACCAACAGCTTCCCGATGATTCTAACACAAATACCGAGTACACACGCCTCCAGACATCTTACATATGGTATACGCAATCACAGACGTGCCCATATAATTAGGGACCTTGGTTATTCGGTGACTATTTAACCAGTTTCGATGCTCCAAAGTTCGACTATGCTACCTTGCAACCGAACTTCTATGGGGAGCTCGACATCAGCACGAATACGTAAGGAGAGAAAGGGCCAATTGATATGCACGTCCACCTGCGAATTATTGATGCTGACAGAAAAGCCATCCGTTTGCCCTTTCCCTCTTTCGCCTCACCCGTTGTCGCTGCGCCATGGTTGCCGAATTGAGAAGTGCTCTTTCTCAAGAAATCAATATGAAGTCACGTGATATCGCGTCTCCCCAGCCGCGACGAGAACGCGGTTGGAAGCCACGCATCAACCATCAGGCGCACATGGCAATTTTCGTGAAAGTCTGTCTTTGACATGCTACCAAATGGCTAGTCGGAAAGGTCTGCCACAGCGAAAACCAGATCTAGAATTCTATTTGCATCGCGTGTTCCGCAAGAAAGCGTTCCGGTCGGTACACGGATTGCCGAAAAACGCGTCAACTTTGCTGACTTGGTGCTAGTCCACTGCAACGAGAAGTTATCGCGGCAGTTGTTGAAGGCCATGATGTATTTCTCCAGGCATCTACCTCGTTTGGTAAAAGCCTGTGCTTCCAACTGCCCGCTGTCATCAGTAATGGGCGTAAGTCTCACACCCTATCTCTAACCATACTAGCAACACCTCACTGACATCGTCCAAGTCACAATTGTCATTTGCCCACTTCTTGCATTGATGGTATAGTAAACAATTTTTCAATTTTCGAGTGCCATATACTAATCAAAGCACCGATAGACGGATCAAGTTAATGCTCTCCAGGCTATCGGCGTACCAGTCCAGACTATCAATTCCAGCACGCCTTTGGCGGAGAGGCGCTTGATCATGGATGACATGCTTTCAGGGCATCCTCGCACCCGTCTCCTCTATGTGACTCCGGAATTATGCCAGACAGACAGTTTCCGCCGCAATCTTTCCATTGTTCACCGGCAGGGCCAACTGACCCGCGTTGCGATTGATGAAGCCCATTGTATCAGCGAATGGGGCCATGACTTCCGTCCAGCATACCAAGAATTAGGCTGGTTCAGGAGGAACTTGGAGGACCCGCCAGTGCCTATCACGGCCCTCACTGCTACTGCCACCCCACGAGTCCGCGCAGATATTATCACAATGCTGGGCCTGAACTTCACCAAGCTCAAGCTTTTTAATACCCCATCTGCACGTCCTAACATCCACTATGAAGTACGGTACCTTCAAAACTACGACGAAGATGATGATATTTCTCCGGAAGACCTTCGTATGCAAGATCTATTGGCTTGGCTGAAGGCCATCAAACGCCGTCAAGAAGCTCGCAGAGGCGCCCACACAACAGCACAACGTTCACCTATGTCCGGGATCATCTATGTTGGGACACGTGCAACCTCGGAAGACCTTGCCGGCAGACTAGACTCCGAGGAGTCTGTATCGGCGGTGGCCTACCATGCCGGGCTCACCTCGCAAGATCGAACTCGCATTCAGGCGATGTGGACCTCACCGCAGCCACATCAACAGGACAGCAACGGAAAGCCATCGCCCACTTTCTCAATAATAGTTGCAACTAATGCTTTCGGAATGGGCATCGATAATTCCCAAGTCCGTTTCGTAGTCCACTGGACCCCACCACGCAGTTTCGAGGGATTTGTGCAAGAATCAGGCCGAGCAGGTCGCGATGGCCGGGCAGCGGCTTCTCTCGTCTATTACAACACCCAGGAGCGTGACCGAATCGCCGATCGTCTCATGCGCGACGCGGAAAATGTCCGCAATCGTGGTGGGGCGAAGGCTTATGTTGCTGGACTTCTTAGGAACCAAATGGCACGACGTGAGAGCTACCAAAAGGTCGTTCGATACTGTGAGACGGTTACGAAGTGTCGACATGCACTGATCAAAGACCTCTTTGGGGACTATGAGTTGGAAGAGATGGGCTCTCAGCAACCACCTTCTACATATGGTGGCGCAAAGGTGAACCAGCTCAACCCATCTGCATCTCCGTGTGACTACGCCTGCGACTTTTGCAAAGAGGGTCCCTCTGGTTTGGCAAAGCGCAAGGGCAAGATGCAGGCCGCTGATGCTCTTTATGGGTTTATGATGGAACGGATGAATGACCTACGTGAAGATTATGCTTAGCATGGATCCAACTCCCTGGGATGGTGGGCTGTTTTTTTACTATTGCATGTATTCTCTTGTTGTTTTCTTGCTATGTTTAATACTTGCATTGTTTTGGTGTTCGGGGCTGGTGCTTTTCATAGAAAATTAGAGACACTGGTTATGGCCAAATGCAATGACGACGAAAATACATGATTTATCTCCAAGGACAGCGTACCAATTTCGAACCCGTAGACAAACTCTACATGAACTGAGGCTGGATTCAAATTTTTAGATCAGAGACCCTCCAGGCACCAGGTATTAACTAAACATCGTACCCAGGTCTGATCCAGGATATGCGTCGCAAGTCCTTTTCAACGTTCCTTCCCATGGACTAGGGCAGTTGAACAAATAGAGAACTGCCCTGTTCTCGAGGGTTGGGAAACTCCTATATGCCCTTGCAAAGGGCTGTGCGGAAGCAAAGCAATTATTATTTCCGAAGTTTAGGATGCAGACCTCCGACTCGGCTGGGTTAGAGGAGGCTTAGTCAAGGCCAAGCGCTGTGAGTATTTTTTTGCATTATCAATAAGACATTCGTCGTTATAGTCATGGGCCTTTTGTTTGGTCTCATCCATATCGGCGGTGAGTCTGGGTCTAAGGAGGGAAAGGAGAACACGCTCAAGGTACAATAAGATCTCGATGGTCTGACCAAAAGTTAGGTGGGAAAATACACACATTGAAGATGTTTCAGAGTCCAGGTTACAGCCGAGAAGGGGAGGCACTTGGTCATATTATCCAAACGATTGCGCGGCGATAGTATTGCCCATCACCTGATTTATGGAAGACGAAGAGCACTAGAAAGACTTAAGACAAGAAAACACCTTTCTGAAAAGAAGCAAGCACGACGGCCGATACGACCATAGAAATATCGCAGGAAAAAAACATGGCTGTATCCTTTTTATCCACTTGGAGCTCCATCAACCGGATTTTTGTATGTTCCACGCCCCAACTGACCGTAGCAGAGTACCAATGTGCCCGCCTGCGCAACAACTGTGGGATTACAGACCTGGTGGCGGTGGGACCTGGAAGAATTAAGTCAGTCAAGCTCGCGTCTGAGATCACGGTTTAAAGAACACAATCACGTACCGCACCGTAGCTACCTCCGCCTGGTGGTGGGGGAGGAGCATCAGAGCCCGGGGGAGGAGGGGGAGGCGCTTCGCTAGCTGGAGGAGGGGGGAGGAGGCACCTGGCCCTCGGACGCTTGTTGTTGCTGCTGGGCGGCAGCGGCTTGCTGGTAGTATTGATAGTACGCCACGTAATTTTGATATCCACCATAGGCGGCGTAGGGGTCAGCGGATCCATAGTACTGAGCATACGCGCTATAGTCGGCACCAGCAGCGGTCGAAGCAGCCGGGTCAGTGGGGCTGGCAGAGGGACCGGGAGATTGCTGGTGATGTTGCTGATGACGGTCGTTGTATCGATCTCTGTAACCGCCGCCTCCGCCTCCTCCGCCTCCGCCACCACCGTGGTAACGGTCTCCACCGCCGCGGCCGTAGCCACCATAATTGTGCTGTGGGGGATTGTCCTTGAAGTGTTGATACTGTTCCCGGACGTTGGCCAAGAGATCTTCGCAGAGCTCCTTGGCTGCTTGGACGTCATCAGGGTCAGGGCCACTTTGGAGAATGATTAGTATGAGAGTTTCTGAATCAGGGGGTTCCGTCAAACTCACGCGACATGCAAGAACATCGGTTCGTCGCTTTCCCGGCCAGTGCTAGACTCAATGAATCCAGAGCCCCGGCCCTTGATCTGAACGCGACACCGAGTCTTCTGTTGAATGTGCTTCACGTAGGCACCGCCCTGGCCAACAACCTGGGCACGCAGATTGAACCCGGGGATTGGCTCGAGGTCAATAGGAATCCGCTCATCGGGCCATTTACGCTGTATACAGTCAGCAAGTTTCTTTCCCTTGGTCATCAGTAGAGAATCATACGCGACCAAACTCGTCCCGCTCTACTTGCTGCTCGGGCTCCCTCCTACGGAACCGTCGCTCGTCGACTAGATTCGGAAGTTCCTTCTGCATCAGATCCTCGATGATCTGCACAGCCTTCTCAAGACCTTCCTTGTTGGTGCTGGTCACATGAAGGTAAAGAGGAGGGTTCTGCAACAAGATCAGTAATTGGTCCAGTATCAGGAAAGAGAACGAGCACATACGGCAGAGGTCGCCATATTTTTGTCCGGATAGTAATTTCCTCGGGTGGTGACATCTTGAAAACGAGTAAGCGGTAAATCTCTTTATCCATATGAATACACGAGAAGGAGGCGTACCGGCGCCAGTTTCATCTTTGATCTAAAAGTCACGCAGCCGAGGTTAGCAGATGCCACAGAGGTGATGTAAGGTGCTGTGCATTTAGTTGGTTTGAGTAAGCTTCATCCAACCACACACAAGAACATGAGATCAAAAGAGAACAAAGAGCGTGATGGACCCAAGCATAACCATGCTTCTACACCAGAAGTGGACAGGGGTCTGGAGAATCAGCCAACGACAACAGGAGTAATTACCATTTTTTGTGTAGAACCCTTGGTCAGGGTATATCGGTTCCGTAGGTCGTTGATTTCAATGTCCTTGATATAGTCTCCGTCCGCGACATAAATCTCGGTCTTGGGGTTGCCGTCTGCGTTCGAGTCCGACTGCGCTCCGGGGCTATCAGTCTACAAATGTGGGTTAGCACTGGTTAAAATTCAAACAGTGTTTGGTATGATTTACCGAGCGGATCGGTGGTACGTCGACATGCTGAATGCCCTTCTTTGCCTGCAACTGAGCATTGATCTTCGCGGCGGCGGCGGCTGTTCAAGAAAGGATCAACAAGTGTTAGCTATGCAAAACCTCTTCGCAGCCCGAAACTTAGCACCGGACTTACCTGCTGCTGCTGCTGGATCAACCGCAGTCTTTGCCGGAGCATCTCCAGCCGGGCTGCGCGGCTCGCGACTCAGTGGACTGCGGGTACGAGTTGACTCGGATTGTCTTGCAGAGGGAGATCGGGAGCGACGATCAAATCGAGAGCGACGAGGCTCGGGGTCGGTTTGGTCGAAGCGCGAGCGCTTGACTCGGCGATCTTCGTCGGTCATGGCAAGGGTTGCGTGTGAGGTGGAGGAGAGTTGTAGAGGAGCCGAAAGGTGATTTGGAGAAAATGTCAGGATGAAAGGCGGGAGAGCGGAAGTTTCCAGGAGGCAGAGGGAACGGAATCGACGCGCGGCTAAAGGATTGGATCAGCACCGATATCAAGAAGTTTCACACTGCCCGCGTCAGCTAGTGCGCCAGAATTGACAGTCAGAAAACTCCCAGAATGATCTCCTTGACCAATCGTCCTGATGAATATCAATTGCACGGAAAATGCTCCTAGTCACGTGTAGATGCATGGCGCTAGTCCTAGAGTGGTAATTTAATAAAGGCTTTAGTTACAAGCCTCCTTTCGTGAGCTTTGATACCGGACAGTATAATAGACCTTAGTATTTTTTTTTGGCTATAGTAATCCACGGAGGAATCTTGTCTAGTTGGCTTTCTGTTGGCTTGCAAGGTCTTTCACCCTCTGATGGTTGCATGAAGCTATACTTACTCGCCTTGGCCTTACCAATTATTCCTAGGTAACTAATCCAATGAGCAAACATGGAGAAGATTTTCAAGAAGCATGTACTTTCAAAATACATACTGCGTCTTTCAGGTACCTCTCAAGCACCCCCCGAGACCTCTATACCTGATATACTACTACATCCGATGGCCCAGCTGTTTTGCATTTGCATAGTTGCATGACACTATCAGCGCTCGGCTGACACTAGTCCTAATTGGGCTAGCGTGGTGTGAGTCAGCTGCCCCGAGGTCGGAAGAGCAGCCCCAGTATCTTGCGAAAAAGAATCCGGAGCATTTGTAGTGATTCATCGCACAACCCTCTGTGATCCTGAATCTACCATGGCTTTCAGGCGCCCATTGACGCTGTCCTCGGTGTCGGCGTCGCTGCTGTCGCAGTCTACAGCTGCTGCTCGGTCTCGTACTGCTACAGCTCCTCGTTTCAACGCTTTCCGCGCCTCCTCCAGCAGCTCGACCTCTGCTCTGGCCTACAAGGCATTGCACCGCCGCTCGCCTCTCCCCCTGCCGGTTTCCGACGCCTCTCCTCAGTGGGATGCTCCTACCGCCGTCTCCTCTATTCTCTACGAGACTCCCGTGCCCCCGAGCAATCCTCCGAAGCGCCATGTCCTGAACTGCCTGGTCCAGAACGAGCCCGGTGTGCTGTCCCGTGTGTCCGGTATCCTGGCCGCCCGCGGCTTCAACATTGACAGTCTGGTTGTCTGCAAGACCGAGGTCGATGACCTCTCCCGCATGACCATTGTGCTGCAGGGCCAGGACGGCGTTGTCGAGCAGGCTCGCCGCCAGCTTGACGACCTCGTCCCCGTCTGGGCCGTGCTGGACTACACCGACTCTGCTCTGGTCCAGCGCGAGCTGCTGCTTGCCAAGGTCTCCATCCTTGGCCCCGAGTTCTTCGAGGAGCTCCTCCAGCACCACCGCGAGATCACTACTCCCGCTGAGTCTTTGAAGGAGGGCCAGGGCCACGGCATCCATGAGGTTGAATACCACCCCCGTAACCTGCCTCCCAGCCAGGCTCTGCGCCACAAGCACGAGCATCTGGATGCTATCACCCGTCTGGCTCACCAGTTCGGTGGTAAGGTTCTGGATATCAGCAACAACAATTGCATTGTTGAGGTGTAAGTCTTATATCCGCTTCCGATGTGTCATACTTCCATACTGACTCAACCGCTCCACAGCTCCGCCAAGCCCAGCCGTATCGACTCCTTCCTCAAGCTGATCGGTCCCTTCGGTATCCTCGAGTCGACCCGTACCGGTCTCATGGCTCTGCCTCGTTCCCCTCTGTCTGAGCAGACTGAGGAGATCGAGAAGGACGCCGCCGACGTTGTCGATGCCAGCACCCTTCCCCCCGGCTAAGCGCATTTTCAAGCCTTAAGACAAAAATATACATACCCAATACGATTTTGGTTTATTTGCAGTGCAACCCTTCAATCCTCTGTGCGAATTTCTGTTCAGTCCTCTGTTTTATTCTATGGCCGATGCTACTCTCGCCATCATTTGTAAAATGTCACAATCTATTGCTTTTCGGCTTTATCGGATGTTCCAGACTTCCTAGTCATCCCTAGATGTAACATTGAGCCTAGGGTACTTGGATGCAATCGCATTATACTTCATTAGTATTCGATAATAGACCCTCACACAAACGCCAGCAATAAACCTAAGACAAATGCATCATTTCGTTTACGATGCGACAGCCGCCCAAAAGCCAACCAAGTCCCTCATATCCTTACTTTGGCTACAATCCCATTCCCATGGTAGTGAATGATATCAGCGTAATTTTTAACCCGCACACCAACCTTAGCCATGGCATCCAACTCCAACTCTTGCCCGATAGCCTTACGCAAGGCGTCATAGCCCACGCCGCCCAAGTCAAGATCCACTGGTAACCGAGGCGAGTGGGAAATACCTGGCGGGACATCAAATGGTTGGTGGTAATTGATGCGGCCTAATGGTTCGTCTTCGTAATATGATGTCGCATCAATTGAGGTGACTGTGATACTAGTCTCGACCGTAGGGGAGAACATGGTGAACTCAACTGTTGAAGAAAAGACGTGGAGCTAAGAGGTTTGAATATTAGCATGTGATGGTTTTAGGCGCTCGCACCGTACAATGCCGACGTGGACGATATTGTCATGCATGCAAGGTCTGGTCTGAAAGTAACAGGAAACATACCGTTGCTTCTTGTATGAAACGAGGAGGCTTATCATCCTCATCACCCGGTGCTCGAGGTATCGACATATGAGGGACGGGAACGTCCAATGGCAGTACCGAAAGAGCTTTGCCAAGGTCTGGGAGAGTAGGGAAAGTCCTCTCGTGTGTCTTAATTGTCACAGTTGTGTTTGCTCCTGCAATGAGTGAGCCATTCAGCCATTCTTTCATCTCTCATCTGGGGGGCCTACCTGAAATATAAGAAGAAACGAACTTCCGCCCAGCTTCTACGCCAGCGTGGCCGCCGTTATTGAATGGGTCCCATGACATCTGAATCGAGACGTTGGTATTGTTCCCAGGGACTACTGATAGATTGCGGGCAAAAACATGGCCTACGGCCGTGTTGTTGAATAGCATCTCAACATCGAAAAACGGAATGGTTGCAGAGTAATTTGTTGGGTTTGTAAAGTTCATGAGAACGGATACGTCCATAGAAGTTTCCGTAGTGTCACCCAGCTGCATGGACACGATGGTAGGATTGAGGTGGCTGATCGATTTTCCAGCCGGAACTATGAGGTTGTCAATCAAGGATTCACAAAATACGCAGCATCGATTTATACTACTCTAGATTCATGAAGATAACGAAAACATACTGTTGACGGGCACGTTCCCTTCCCCGGGAATCCCGTGCACGGCGAAGCGACCCAACCCTGTCGAAACCTTCACGTCTACGGTGGCAGCAACATGCAAGACGACTCCCTTGCTACCGAAAAGCATCTCTTGGACGACTTCTGCCAACAGATCGTTGTCCGTTACGTGTAATGGGGCGTCCTTGATGGGGAACTCCACAAGCAGTGCTGAGGAGCCATCCTCGAGCTCCACCCTCGTCGAGTTGGAGTCTTGCCATTTGTCAATGTTCAAGACGCCTAATTCCTCGCCATGGTAGTATACGTTCGTGAGAGCTCGAATGTTCGGGACCTCGACTTGAACATTCATCTGATCCGGCAACCCGATGAGTACCTTCACCAGGGCAGATACAGTAGGCTGGGAGTCTGGGGATCCCGGCTCTGCAAATGGATTGGGAAGCGAGAAATGCGTATCAGTCATGGTGAAGTTCTTCATCAAATCATCCAAAGGATTGCCTGCGAATGGCAGCGGCACGGTAACACTGCGTAGGAGATCCGCAATCCATTCTGGGGTTTCGGTCGATGGTGAATCTGCACCACGGACATAAATAGTGGACTGAAGACCTTGGACGTAGTTCGATACCAAAAAGTCCAATGGTGAGCCGTTTCCTCCCGGACACGTGGTGGTCAATTCGTCAGGTAGTTGATTGATGAAGCCTTGAGCATTGATTATGGTTGGTGCGTCCGAACGGACTTGGACTTCAGCCGTTTTGGCATCGGCAACCAGAATATAAGGGTCACCAGGCGAGCAATTTGGGACAAATACCGCAAATTCAAGTGCGGGAATTGTGAGAGCAACAGGGGAATCAATGCCTGCCGACACTTGAACGTCCACTATCAAGGCTCCTTCTGCGGCATCATGTACGTTGAGCTTGGTGATGTCAATCTTTGGAAGCGCAGGGAAATCACTTTCTTTTTGGCGGTCAGTATCAACCCGAGTACATCGCATTATGGAAATTCTTACCTTCGAATGTGATGGTATCCGTCAAGGTCTGGGTACCAAGGCCTAAGATGCCTGATCTCAAATGCAGGGTTGCCTTTCCTCGCACACTCAGGCGCGCTAACCTTCCTTCTACCCAATCTCTAGCAATTGAATGCAGGCCCTTGACGTCTCCTGCAGTCAAGTTGATCAGAAAATCAACATGGGTCTGATGCCCATCGCGAATGTTGACTTTAATAGATGGTAAGTTGGCATTTCCCACGAGGATATTTCCATACTCGGGCAAATACACATCAACACTTGACTCGCCCGTCTCGACCTCTCGGGCGATCCAGGTGATGAAGCGCCCAAAGTCGCGCATCGGCTTGGCCTTCACACGACGAGCATCCATGACAAAATCGCCCTGGACTCGGGCTCGCACGCCATCTTCCGTTGTGGAATCGATCGATAGTGCAGTTGGTTTGAAGACTGCTGCTTCTTGAGCGTATTCCTTAACCACCGCCGGTGCAGCAAAGGCAAAAATCAGGATCCCCAAGACAGCGGTAGTCAGTGCCACGAGAGATATCACAATTGGCCACCGCACTCGGCTCCGCTTCTTGGGTGCATCGTCATCATCATCCGCCAACGCTGACTCGGATAATCTTCGCTCTGTACCATATGTAGTAATGTCATCGTCGCGACGATGGAGTAGGGGTGTTGATTCGGATGATAGTTCAAAGGATCGGTGAGGTTGGTCGGGACGAGGGGCGGTGCCTGAGGATGGGCCTGGCAAAGAGGATCTAGCCTGCCCGTCCAGCAGCGGCCGACTCTCCTCGTCAGCCATCACGGCCAGACAATCTATACGCAATAAAAAACAGTCAATGATATCTCTCGCTCTCTGTTCCAATGAAACGAACTGGGGAGGTGAAAGAGGGAAGAGGGAAGGGCGATGACGAATGACGATAAGCTCACGATAACGGAAGTGTGGAGAGATTGGACTGGACACCTGAGGATTTAGGCTTCGAGGCGCCAAGGCCAATCAAGACGGCCGCACGTCTCCGGACTGTTTAAGTTGACTTGTTGAGTCATTGCGCTTTCCACTTTCTTTGCGCTCCGATTCCCGGCCCATCCCTCTTCCCTCTTTCCCTCTTTCCCTCTCTCATTGCACGCTGCACACAAGCACACAACTCCCGTCCCTTCCCCTCCCAATCTCCCTTCAATCTCCCTTCAATCTCCAACCCACAGCCCACCATGGCTAGCGGTCTTAAAGCTGCCACCCGTTATGGCGCCCAAAGTGTAACTCAATTGGCCGCCGGCTCCACCTCTTCCCTGAGTCGAACACTCCAGGCTAATGGACTCCGACGATTCGCCCACCAGACTCAAACCACTCCTCCTACCTCTCCCTTCGCTCCCCGCCACCTCCTCTCCATTGCAGACTTGACGCCCGCGGAATTCGCGACTCTGGTGCGCAATGCCGCCTCGCACAAGCGGGCCATCAAGTCCGGAGCTATCCCGCAAAGTCTCCTGGGATCCATGACCGGAAAGACTGTCGCCATGATGTTCAACAAGCGGAGTACCCGTACCCGTGTTTCCACAGAATCTGCTACCGTCCAAATGGGCGGCCACCCCATGTTCCTGGGCAAGGACGACATTCAGCTTGGCGTGAATGAGTCAGTATACGATACCTCCGTGGTGATTTCCTCCATGGTTTCTTGCATTGTCGCGCGAGTCTCGAAGCACTCTGATGTGGCCGATCTGGCCAAGCACTCCACCGTCCCCGTGATCAATGCCTTGTGCGACTCGTTCCACCCTTTGCAGATCATCGCCGACTTCCTCACTATCTACGAGACCTTCACACCCAAGGCCCACGGCCTTTCCAGCCTCGGTCTGGAAGGCTTGAAGATCGCCTGGGTCGGTGATGCCAACAACGTTCTCTTCGATCTGGCCATTGGTGCCACCAAGATGGGTGTTGATATCGCCGTCGCTACGCCCAAGGGCTACGAGATCCCCGCCGAGATGCTCGAGATCATCCAGCGTGCCGGTGAGGGTGTTGCTACTCCTGGCAAGATCACCCAGACCAACGTCCCCGAAGAGGCCGTCAAGGGTGCCGACATCCTGGTGACCGATACCTGGGTGTCGATGGGCCAGGAGGAAGAGGCCAAGAAGCGCATGAAGGCCTTTGAGGGCTTCCAAATCACGAATGAGTTGGCCCAGCGTGGTGGTGCCAAGGAGGGCTGGAAGTTCATGCACTGCCTGCCCCGACACCCGGAGGAGGTTAGCGACGAGGTTTTCTACAGCCCGCGCTCCTTGGTGTTCCCCGAGGCTGAGAACCGTCTGTGGGCGGCTATCTCAGCTCTAGAGGGCTTCGTTGTGAACAAGGGCAAGATTGTGGAGTAAATAAAAGTGGTTTTATACCGTTATACCAGGAGTTATGCTTAAGCCCGTCTGGACAGATTCCAAGCCTGGCGCATCCGGGGGATACATAAAATTTTCGGGATTGTAATTAAATCAAAAAAAAAAAAGTTCCAATCTACATGATCATGCAAGAACGTGATCCGGAAAGAGTACCATAGGAGTCTGTTTCTCGGAATACACATTTCTTTACTGAAGGTGGTGTAGGAAGCATGGAGCTTTGATGCCCGGCTGAAGGACCACCAATTACCAGCGGGATGATTAGTTTAAGGTTCGGCTGACTCGGCATTTCAGCCCAACTGCCTCTTGACTGAATCGGCTTTCCGTCCATTCGCTGACTAAGAGAACCCCATCCGACACCAGTGGGGGCCTTCGGATGCTGAACGCCACCACAATGGCGGGGCTTCCGATCACATCATGGTCCTGCATGGGTGAGGCTACTCGGTGTTTCATAGTACTACTAGGGTTCAAATGAGCGTAAAGAAGAATGCGATCGATGAGCTTTTAATGGTTATTGCTTGGGGTGATTTGATGAGTATTTGTTAGCATTTCATTCACTATCTAGATGATCGTAGGCTATTGCCCTGGAAGATATATATCGCCCATTCGATCAGCAAGTATGAGACAGCAAACAGTTCCAACACAGTACGGAGACAGGGAGAACATATGCCTCTCAATGATGCAATCCTCCGTTGGATCGTCCGGGATATCCGCACACGTTTACAGTAGCCCACACTCGGGAGAACCAGACGCACTATTACCCCACGTCCAACTCCACGCTCCGAAAAGCCACCTCCAGCTTGGACTGATCGGATCGGTAATCCTCCAGGCGGGGAGATGCCGATATCCCGCAAAACACGCTGGATATATATAGCTCGCGCGAGGGGCCATTATCACCCCTCTTCACACACTGTACATTTGCATTTGCATTTCCTTCTCGTCCCACTCTCGCCTCTGCATCCATTCCACTCCGCCAAAAATGGGCTTCGAGAACAAACGCATCGCCATCGTGGGCGGCGGCCTCGGTGGCATGTCATTCCTGAATGCCGCGCTATATGCCGGTCTGAAGAACATCCAGCTCTACGAACAGGCACCACAGTTCGCCGAAGTCGGCGCGGGCGTGAATATCACCTCCAATGCCAACAGAATTCTCGACGCCTTCGGGTTGCAGGAGAGCATGACGCGGAAGTCGTCACGCAAGTTGCCCTGTTACATGGAGTATCACAATTACAAGACTGGCGAATATCTGGGTCACATTGAGGAGTTCTCGCAACCGCCTGCTCGTCTGTTACACCGTGCGCATCTACTGGACTCGCTAAAGGAGCGCGTGCCAGAGTCCTGCTTGAATCTGGGCAAGCATCTCGCGTCGATTGAGCGGAATACTGCTGCTGGGGCTGCACCGTACACTCTCCGTTTCCAGGATGGCAGCTCGGCAGATGCGGATATCGTTATTGGTTGCGATGGGATTAAGTCGAATGTGCGTCGGGATATGGGACTGGCTGATTCCCCCAATTACTCTGGCCAGGTAGTGTACCGCGGCTTCGTCGACTATAAGGATCTGCCCGAGGAGACAGCACAACTGCTTCGGAAAACTGTCAACTTCCGTGGTCCTAAGCGTCACGTCTTGATTTTGCCCATTGGCAACCAGGAGACTGGCACTGATCGCGCGGCTGTCATTGGGTTTATGTCGGAGACGCTTGATGCCTGGGACTCGGAGAGCTGGATGTCACGATCTGAGATCTCGAGCTTGCAAGAGCATGTGCGCGACTGGTGCCCGCAGGTACAGGATATAATTGAGGGTCTGCGCAAGGGTTCCCCCGATGGCCGCATGCTGAAACAGGCGCTATATGTGCGTGATCCTTTGGACAAGTGGTACGAGATGAAGGAGGGTCAGAAGGACTCGGGTATCATTTTGCTGGGTGATTCTGCCCATTCTACTCTTCCCCATCAAGGTAAGTCTCTAATCCTCCTTTCTATTCAAGACGTGTCGTTGACTAACGTTATTCTACAGGTCAAGGCACTTGTATGGCTATTGAGTCGGGAATCGCTCTTGCAACTATTCTGCGTCACTGGAAGACTGATGATCTGGAGTCTGCATTCCAGTTCTACCAGAACCTGCGCAAGCCCCGGACAGACCGGGTCACACAGACCAGCTACGAAGCTGGCAAGTTGGCTAGCTCTGATTCACCAGACGGGATGACTAACAACTTCAACCCCGATGCACTGTCTGAGCGGATGAAGTGGATTATGGAGTATAATGTTCTCGACGACTTGCGAGCCAAGGGGGCTGATGTCTTGGATTTCCATGACTCCCGGCTGTGATTCAGCGCGAGGACTTTGCACTTTTTTGTATATACTTTGGCCATTGGTGCACAAATGATTCGTTTAATGAATAGACATGCCATACCTTGATTAAATTTTTCCATTTGTAGATCATGCTCATTTGTTGCCGTGATGTGGTGCATATCCTCGGTCATGCCACTCGTTCAACTTCGAAGTATATAATGCTGCAGCAGTGACCTGACCGGATGATCATCTGGAACAACCACCACTTTTGCCAGAGACTCATTTATGCTTAATCTTGAAAGATCACCCTATTCCACTGAGAATATATCATTCACTTGTATGAAGCTTCAATCCTGACCTTGGCTATAAGATATGACGACACTCTTCTAATCCGAGTCAAAGCCGAAGTGCACGGCCACTTTCACATGCCACACGTGAAGTGACTCCGCATTTCTACGGTTGTCGTCCTGCTCTGCTTTCTCAAACCTCCAGAGCTCTTCAAATTCCACCATGGAGGTGAGTATCACCAATCAACAAATGATCCAAGGATCCAATTTCCCCTTCCAATATCTAACGTCCCTCCTACCAGTTCTCTAACTCGGGCGGGTTCCCTTCTCGCCGCTCCTACCCCAATCTAAATCACGTCTCGCTTGCTCCACTCACACCCCGGTTCCCCATCGACGACGACGTCGAGCCTGAAGACTACTTCAACGGCCGCCACGGTAACCGCGACAATGATCCCGATCACGTCGCCAGCGGGACCAGAACCCCGCCACGAACCTCCTATCTCTCCAGCGTCTCCGTGCCCAGCACACCGCCCATCCTCTCGCACTCGCGCAGCTCATCTCGCGCCCGCCACGCCCGAAGCAAGAGCTCCACCCGAGTCGGTCTGCTAAGTGATGCAAATCTACACAGTAAAGCGGTCACTCTCGCACTGCACCAGCACCAAGCCTCGCACAAGAAACAACCCAGCGCCTCGCAGGGACGGCGCCCATTCGGCGATGCCTCCTCTAAATCCGATGCGGAATGGATGCTCCGCGCAGGGATAGCACTCGCCTCGTCCACCCGTGAAGAAAAAGGCCAGAGCTGGCTCTCGAAGCGTGAGAGTTCAACCAGCCTCGTCGATATGTCCCTCGACGACGCCACGAGTCCACACCCGCATCGCCACCACCACCGGTCCAAATCGGGCGCGTCTTCGCGGAAGTCTTGCTCGGGGACGTCCACGCCTGCGGCGTATTCTCGTCGTAGCTCGCGGTCTCGTGGTGGCAGTAGACGAGGTAGTCGGGCGGGGTTGACTATGACGACCATCCCGCCGCTGTCATCGGCTTCGTCTGCTGCCGCGGGTAAAGCGCCCAGTAGTCCCGGGGTCGGTACTATGAGTCCTGTATCGCGTGGTCGTGGGTCGGGTCTCGTACCTGATTTCGTGGACGAGCGAATCCGCGCTGAAATGGCGTCTTTGCAGCGGGAGCGAGGGCTCTCGGACGAGGAGTCTGAGTATTGGGATGGCGAGGACGATAATGAATCCGAGTACGATTCGTTCTCGGATGATGCACCGGAAGAATTCGATGAGGCGGATTTGCAGCAGCTCACGCGTGAACGTGGCTTTGGGTTGGGTAGCTGGATTGATCGGCTGGTTGAGTGGACGTTGTTTGGGGTGGAGGATTGGCCTGTTCCTGCGCCTGCTTCTTCTGCGGTGCCTGCTACGCGGATCGGTACGGCTGCGACGTCGACGACTGTAACGTTTGAGGAGGGTCCACAGGCTCGATCTCAGGAGGACGAGCCGGCTCATGATACCTTGTCGCTGGGCTCTGCTGAAGATGATGATGGGGATACCCTCTCTCATACGGATGGCGAGTCCGTTGGCAACGTCGAGAAACCCGGCGCTCAAGGTGGGTGGGAAGACGCCGGTTGGCTTTTCCGGATCATGAAGCGTGCTTTAATTTGACCTTTTAAGGAGAGGAACATTGTAGTTCTGGGTTGTAAATAATAATGTTCTTGCTCGAATCTCCCTCCAAAGAAACGACGTCAACGGGATACGGCGCTCTGGTTCAATGGAATCTCTTACTACAAATTTCTAGCAAGCGTGCAAGGTACAAGCAGTTTAGTTTAAATTCTTTTTTTATTTCAAATAGATTTCACTGAGCTAGCTAGCTTGCAACCGTCTCTGCCGAGTTCCCCTCCATGACTTTCGGGGACACTCCATACCCATCCCGATAAGAGACATGATGTTAATCGTCAAGTAGCTTTCTCTTCAGTCAGCTCCAATCGGGAGGTTTGGATCAGGCTCCGTGGAGAACATAGGGTGAGAATGCTTGATCGGTTGTGGCCGTGGCGTATTCTAGGCATAACAGTAAAGGTGCGAGATCCATGCAGAAGCAGACGATGCGAAAAGTGAAGACCACGACAAGAGAAGAGGAAAAGTGGAAGGCTATACACGACTCCAGAGAGTGCCACAAAGGCAAAAGGCAAACATGGAAGTAAGGGCGGCACGTCCTCTGGAAGTTCAATATGATAAACAAAAGAAACGGAAGATTTGAAATAGAAAGCGAGGGAAGGAAGAAACCACAAGTGGGAATTCGGAGTCCGAACGAAGAAGAAGAAGAAGAAGAAGAAGAAGAAGAAGAAGAAGAAGAAGAAGAAGAAGAAGAAGAAGAAGAAGAAGAAGGAAGAAGACAACAAATCTCAAGGGTCTGAGATTGTGAGTGTGTTTGTTTCAAGGTATTCTGGCCAGTTCAATGTCAAACTTAGTGAAGCTTGAGATGGCACGGTGCTCGGCAGTGAAATACCCCAGGAACAGGAAAGGTGTAGAAGGGAAAACAGAAATGAATCGAATTTGTCAGGTTATTCGCCTTTGCATACTATAAACGCCATTCTGAGACCAGATAGAATTTCTAAAGGTCATGCAATAGGGGGGTCGTGATCGTGGCATACGTCGAAAATGGTCCGGTCGGGGTGTTGTTTCAAGACCGTTGGAGAGGCTCGCAACGGAACTAAGGAGGTCGATGCGCAGATTGAGGTGCGACGTGAGCGCATACAGTTGTTATGCGAGATGGTGTTTAATTGGTCGTCAAATGGTTAGGTTGTTGGAAGGTTGAGTGCCACGTGGTTGGGCAATGAGTGACGGGGTTGTCCCTCTTATTCACCAGGGTCCAACCTTAACAGGCGTACCCAGGCCGTAGGTTCCAGAGAGAAGCTGGTCTCGGATAGAGCCCAGTTCATTGCTGCCAGCGCCGTGGGATGGCGAGTCCGGTCCGTTCATCCAGCCCAGGCTCTGCCCGAGTTCGTGAACTGCCGCCTGCATCTTTCCTCCAGAATTCTGGTTGTGCTTCGCCAGCTTTTGGTCCCAACCACCATATTGCAGCTGAATACCTCCACCTCGTTTGGCGGCTTCCCGAATCACCAGGATCCAAGCTTTGCAAATCTCATCGTAAGCCGAGTCCCGCTCGATGTTGTTCTGTGGCGTGCTCCAACGGGGCAAGGCGTGAATGATGTCGGTGGCCCCGTCCAAGTAGCTCAGGGATACCGATGGTTGTGACTCGTTGGGAGGAAGAAAGTTGGGTGTGAAATCGCTCAGAGCTTCCAAGAGGTTCGTAAGCGGCTGCCGAACTCGATTATAGGCGTAGTCGGACTCGGTGTTGCCACCCAGGGGGAAGGAGGACTGAAGGGCGGCTTGGTAGTTTCGCAGCACCTGCAGGGTAGAGGAGACGCTTGGTCGGGGAGACGTTTGGGCAACCTCGTCGGCGAGTTGAGGGTGGCGTTCACACATAGTCCGTAGTACAGTCCGCAAGGCGTCGGTATCGAGAGTCTCAAGCAGACGGGGGAGGGGGAGAGGTCTGCCGGAGACATTCGGTCGGGAACGCTTGATGTTACGGAAAGAAGGGAGCTGGCGAGGAGTAAAGGCTGGTGAGTTGGTGGGAGAGGCGGACATGCGTCCATCATGGTCGTTGCCATCATCGTCGGCTTTCCGCTTTCGGCTGGTGTAGGACGACGAAGGTGTAGACACTGGGACTTTGGTCAATACAGAAGATCTAAACGGCAGCCGAGAGGCACATGGATCTGGATGAGCTTCCAAGAAGGGGAAACGCACTTATACGGGAGGGAGAGAATCGAGGGTTCTCGTAGAAATGAGGAGGGACAGGAGGCGTGGCCACCAGACTGTTCATGATGACAGCCAGATGGCGAGAGAAATGGACCTGGACTAGCAGATCTAGGAACGACCGCAATGAGTGAAGAACTCGAAGGAGAGAACCAGGGCAAGGAGAAAAGGAAAAAGAGGTGCCCAAAAGGGTGAGGTGGGGAGAGAGAAGTGCAAAGAAGGCAGAGAAGCGGTGGAGAAGAAGAGAGGCGTTGCGGGCGGCAACGCACTCCAGCTGCGCAGGTTTTAAGGTGACTTCTCGACGTTGCAGACACGGATTTTCCCTGCAAATTTAACCGTGTAATGATTCAACTATATTAATATGACTCTTGGAATTTCTTCTCATAGATTTCTGTCTTTCCTATGGAAAGTCAGAAATTTCTATATTCTAAGTAGTCTTACCAGTCAGACGCCGCTCAAGCCTCCGTGTTCAGGCGAACAATGCAGCTTCGCCTTGTCGAGTCTAGTCTATAATCCGGAGGCAAAATAATAGTTGCGAAAAAAAAAATGATCATCGAATGCAGGTGATTTTTTATTTCCGTACAAAGAACGCCCATGGATATCGTATTTACAGATAAAGCGACTGAGCAGCCACAATGTCCCGGCGGACCTTGGTCAACGCCTCCTCGAACTTGCTCTCCAGGTCCTCGCTACCCATCACCTTGGAGGCCTGCGCCATCTGACGCAGACACTCCTCTAGTCGTCGGAAAACACGGATCAAGCTACCTTCATACACATCCGTCATGCCACTTCTAGAAGTTAGCTCAAAATTCGGCTTGGGAGTAGGGGGTTAAGGTGTGGCAAGTACGTACCAGATATCGGCAAAGGACTTGCCATGTGCCCAGTCATAGACGACCTCCATCAGCTCCCAGTGGAAACTCTGGACGTATTCATCCTCGTTCACAGCCAATTTGGACTCTTGCGAGACCTTGGCGATGATTCGAGCTTGTGCTTGAATCTCCTTGAGGGGCTTTGCAAGCTCGTCCTTGCTCAAAGGCGGGGCCTCCTTAACCTTCTCCTCGAACACGAAGACACTGATGACGGCTGCCAGTTGTTCGGGAGTAAGATTGTTGAAGAAACCATTGAAAAGCAACTCAGACAGCATCAGCTCATCACCGGTACTAATCTCACAGGCGACACGGGCCTTCATTTGTACAACTTCCGCCTCGTTGATGAAGCCGAAGCGACGGAGCACACGCTTGCGGCATTTCAACTCGTCAAGTTGCAAAATCGACATGGCATCGCTAATCTTCTTCTTGGTCGCCTTGATCTCGTTGTTCAAGTTGACCTTCGCGACATATTGGTCGTACAGCTCTGGCAGTCTTGGGGAGTGGTGAAGCGGGTTGCCCAGCAGGCGAGACTCGAGAACCTCAATTTTCTAGGGTTGATCAGCATGTGGGGCAAAAAAGGAAGGAAGAAAGAGAGCACAAAGATTGTCATGAACACTTACCCGTAGTAACTTCTTGAAGGAATCATCCATGATTTTCATCTCTATAATGGGATCGAGGAGCGGAACACCGTCGGGGAATCGTCTTTTCGTTTCATCCAAAGCCTTCCCCACTCCAGTTCGGGCATCATCAGATTTGATATCCTTTGGCAGGAAGATGCGAAGATTTCCGATGGCGTGGATGCAGCTCAGTACAACCGGTACAATTTCGAATCGGGAGGGCTCTCCCGGCTTAGCCGGTTGAATGCCCTTAGGGAAGTCTTGGAAAGACTTGGTAGCAACAGAGGGTCCATTAGAGAGCTTCAAAAGGACGTCAACAACCCACGCCTTGTGTGGTTCGATTTCTTCTTTGGTGTCCTTTGCAGGTCTGCGCTGTGAGAGTTTGACTACAGCACCCCATCCAAAATCTTGGCCTTGGTGTACGATTTGAATCAGACGGCCAGCCGAGATGAAGGGCCGGCAATGGTTCGGATGGGTGATGACAGCACGGACATCGTCAGAGAAGGTTTCCAACTGCGTGCGTAGATCATAATATTCCCGGATAGTTCCTTCGTCGGGGATGATCATATTTGCCTTCTTCCCCTCTAGCTCACGAAGTGAGTTTTCCAAAGTAGTGATGCTGCCAGTGTTTTGGAACTGTTTGAAACACCTTTCAAGCATGAACTCCGGGGAAATACCCTCCACTCTCATCAGGTTGAGAATCATGTTGTATCCAAGGTGGAAGGCCGAGTTCAATCGGTCCTGCTCACCACGAACGATCTCCTTAGCAACCGCTGGATCCATTTCTTCACCAACCATCATGATGACAATACCGCGGTCATCAAGACCTCTTCGACCGGCTCGTCCAGACATCTGAATGAACTCAGATGGCGTAACCCAGCGCTGGCTGGTGCCATCGAATTTGCGAACACTGGTGAAGACAACAGTCTTGGCAGGCATGTTGAGGCCGATGGAGAAAGTTTCGGTGGCGAAGAGGGCCTTGATAAGGCCTTCCTGGAAGAGAATCTCGATAGTCTCCTTGAGAATAGGAAGAAGACCAGAATGGTGAACACCAACGCCTCTACGGAGGAGGGGCAGGAGATTGCTGATCTGGGGTAGATTCCGGTCTTCAGGAGACAACATCTCCATAGCACTGTCAAAGACCTTTTGAACCATCTCCTTCTCGGAATCATCGTTAAATGCCATGTTCCTTAGCTGGAGAGCACCGCTTTCGCACTCTCTTTTGCTGAAGCTGAAAACAATGACCGGGTTGAGCTTCTTCATGATGATCATTCTCACGATCTTGAAGATATCCGAGGGACCCTTTTCTCCGCCCTTATTGATTGACTTGTCCTTGCCCTTGCCTTTGCGCTTAGCCAAGGCATTGGCGGGGTCGTCGCCTTTCTTGTCTGCGATCGAGCCCATGGCTATCTGGAAGTTCTCCTCACGGAACACACCATTCTCATCCACAACCAGGTGGATTCCTTCGGCACCGGCAGGGTGGAAGTAGTGTTGAAGGGGAGTCGGACGGTAGTTGGTGTAGACAACGTGACAAGGCTGGTTGTGCATCTTCACAACCCATTCGGCAAATTGCATGGCATTGGGGATAGTGGCCGACAGGAAGACGTAGCGAACCTTATCGGGGAGAAGAATAATTGTCTCCTCCCAGACGACACCACGGTTTAGGTCGCGCATGTAATGAATCTCGTCAAATACGACCCATCCAACTTCACGCATGATCTCTGAACCGCGATACAGCATCGACCGAAGAATTTCCGTAGTCATGACAAGACAGGTAGCTGTGGGATTAATGGTCACATCACCAGTCATGAGACCAACGTCGCCAAATTCAGCCGCAAATTCACGATACTTCTGGTTGCTCAGGGCCTTGATCGGACTGGTGTAGATGACTCGCTGGTTCCTCTTCAAACTTTGCGCAATAGCGTATTCTGCAACCACAGTCTTTCCGGCACTAGTATGCGCTGAAACCAGCACACTCTCCTCTCTTTGAATCGCATTGACCGCAAGCTGCTGGAAAGGATCGAGTGTGAACGCATAGATCTTTGCCGGGTCCTCCGGTTGCTTGTGTTCCGAGAGAGGCACGTAAGGGTAGTCTGGTGGGATCGCAACTTGGTGGCGCACTTGGTGAGACACCTTGATAGAAGTCGCATTCTGACTGTCTTGCAAGCCACCAGATGGGGCAATCTCCTGCTCTTGTTCGGTTTCGAAGGAATCGGCGACAACGGGTTGGGGTGCTTCGTCGAGTCGAAGGCGCTTAGTCTCGGGCTGCTCGTTGTTGGCGATAGGTCTCTCGGCTTCTGAGGAGGGTTTCACAATAGGTGCAACTGAGGGTGTCACGTCCTCCATCTGATCTGGTACAGTAGCGTCATTCTTCACATCTCCGTTGGCGGCACGCTTCTTGCTCTTGTCTTTCTTCTCCTTCTTGGAGCGCTTCGGCGCACCGCCGGAGGTCGTTACAGCCTGAGGCTGGTCCTCAAAGACGTCGAAGAGCTCGTCCATCTCCGAAGGTCACACTGGACGACGAGCCACAGAAGTTGAATGGGCAACGAAGAGAAGTCTGGACTTTTTTTTTACGCAGAAAAATGAAAGTGCCCGATTTAGAAGGCGGTCTGGGCGCAGATGCGCTTGCCGCACCAGACGCCTTCAATGTCATGTGATGCACTGTATAGTCACGTGAGAGTGATCGACCCATTCCGCACCTTGCGATGTTCGTGCTGGCTCCGTCCGTCCATTCCCGATCGTCCACTCCCTCCACCCTGTACCTCAAGGTAGGTGCTATTTTGTTGCAATTGACTCTGCAAAGTGTTCTGGAAACTGACCTTGTCATTCAAGATGTACGCCGCCTCCGCTGTCCGCGCCCGAATGGCCACTGTCGCTGCCCGTCGTGGCTTCTCCACCACTCGCGCCCAGCTCGGCAGCCCCTACCACTACGCTGAGGGCCCTCGCTCCAACATCCCCTTCAACCCCTTGACCAAGCACTTCTTCTGGCGCTACTGGGCTTTCATGGGTTGGTGATCCGCAAATCCCGGGGTTGTAGAGACATCAGGACTGACTTGAGACCCATTCTAGTTACCGGATTCGGTGCCCCCTTCGCCATTGCTGGTAAGCTCTCAATTGCTCTGTTGTTATACGACCCGTTTTCTAACAAGATGTCTCTTTTAGTCTGGCAAACCTACAAGACCAAATAAGCTGTTCTATACTATACGTATTTCTCGCGTTTTGGCAGTACCGCAGACTGCATGGTGGAACTCTTGGATCGCGGATTACAGCTGCTGAAATATCATGTACAAAGTTAGAGGACAACGTTGAATTTTGATTTTGCCCGAAAATACTTCAATTGTAGTCTTGTAGTGGTGGTGAAGCGTAGCTCCTGAGACGTTGAAATTTGGATGAAGTCATTGGCTGAGCGGCCGTTGGAAAATCAAAAAATCTTTGGGTCGTTGATACAGAGTCACAGCTCTCGGAGCCCACAACCACATTTTACAGCACTAACCAGCGACCCTCTCCTGCTCTGTTTGAAGAGCTCTGGTTCCTAAGGTTGCGGGAATTTCCTTTCGGTCTCTTCCAACCATATTTAAATTTCTCCGTCTCATGGCGGGGTAAATTTAGGGAATCGATAGAGGAAAAAAAAGTGATACCAGCCGTCAAAGATGCGCAACCTCAAGAGCGTGCGTCTCCAGGAGACACAGATCGAGGGCGACCTTCCCTTAACTGCGACTGCCTGGGATACCTCATCTGACTCGATTGTGTGTACTTTTGGTCCGGCAGAGCACAACCCCGTCATCGAGTTGCGGAGGAAGCGCCCTGAAGTCACTGCTGCGGAGCCTCTGAGCCGCGATGCGCTCGAATGTATCGCATCCTGGGACGCCCCAAGCCCTTTGCCTGATCTTGCATGCGATCGAGTGCTGTCTCTGCACTACTTCGCGGACAACCTGACCGCATGCTTGGTTTTGGAGGGCGGTGATATTATTATCGTCCGTGAGGAGCCCCTCCCTGGAGAGGATAAGATCGAGATTCTTGGCTCCGTCGATGTTGGAATCACGGCTGCTGCGTGGTCGCCAGACGAAGAGCTCCTGGCTATCACTACTAGGGCTCGGACGTTCCTGTATATGACCCGCGAGTTCGAAAATGTGGCTGAGATCACATTCTCTCCGGCGGATCTCCAAGCCTCTCAGCATGTCTCTGTGGGATGGGGCAAGAGGGAAACCCAGTTCCAGGGCAAGAGAGCCAAAGCTATGCGAGACCCGACTGTGCCCGAGAAAGTTGATGAAGGCAAGCTGAGCGGTCATGACGATGCCAGTACGACTATCAGTTGGAGAGGTGATGGTGCCTATGTTGCGGTCAACACCGTCGATGACGATCTTCGCCGTGTCATCCGAGTGTATTCGCGCGAAGGTACTCTCGACAGCGTGAGCGAACCTGTGGATGGACTCGAAGGGGCCCTGAGCTGGCGCCCCTACGGCAATCTCATTGCTGGAATTCAGCGACTGGATGACCGCATCGATGTTGTCTTCTTTGAAAGGAATGGCTTGCGCCACGGGCAGTTCACGCTTCGCCTAACCGAGGAGGAACGCCAATCTTGGGCATCACAGATCAAGCTGTCGTGGAACATCGATTCTACTGTACTTGCTGTGCGATTTAAGGATCGAGTCCAGCTTTGGACGACAGGCAATTATCACTACTACTTGAAGCAGGAAGTACCCATAGTTGTTGATCCTGCACGCACTCTCCCATTCTCGTTTGAGTGGCACCATGAAAAGGCATTGCGTGTGGTTGCTGGGTCCTCCAACTCTGTCCTTGACCTCGACTATGTTTTCGACATCCACCATGGCTCGACTGCGATCCCGGATGATGTCGGTGCTGTTGCGGTTATTGATGGAAAGAACCTGAAGCTGACTCCACTTCGCTTGGCCGGCGTGCCGCCTCCAATGGCACACAACGAACTGAAGCTGGACTCAAATGTCATCGATGTTGCATTCAGCAAATCGGGCACCCGAATGGCAGTCCTGATGGACAAGAGCTTCTCCGTGTTCTTGTGGTCTTTGAAGAGTCGTCCAGTGCCAGTACCGATTCTCGAGTCGAGCTATCCTCTTCCAGATGCACCCACAGGCCGGCCTAGACAGATTGCATTCCTGAATGAAACAGAGGTCTATCTTCTCAAGGCCAGCACTCCTGGGATCAGTCATATTGAGCGCACGACACTGGAAACTCGAGAGACTCAAGTCGTCTATCAAGCGCAGGAGTTCGAGGAACTCTACTCTATCTTTGCTGGGGTAGGCCATTCTGCTCTTTGGTTCTCACATGTTCAGCAACCTGGCCTCCCTGCCAGCTACTCCACTATTGATTTTGTGGCTGGAAATGATGTGCAAGCTACCATTTGGAGCGAAAGCCCTACTTTTGAAACTCACTGGGCCCGTGCTGTCTCGATCTCCGATGACGAGGTAAACCGATTCCGTTGCCCAATAATTCTCTGAATTACAAACTGACTCGGATAGCGCGTTCTGATTACTCTGACACGGACTGGTGCTCTGTACGCCAACAAGCGAGTCCTTGCTAAGAACTGCACATCTTTCTTGGTAACTCCATCCCACCTGTTGTTCACCACATCCCAACACTTGTTGAAATTCGTGCATTTGAATCGCGTGGACGGTATGTTCAAATCTTTCAATGACTTTCGCAACCATGCTAATAACCGTTCGCAGACATGGAGGTTCCAGAGGATACCCCCGAAACCGACGAGAGATGCAGAAGTATCGAGCGCGGTTCAAAGCTGGTGTCTGTTATACCATCTATTTTTGCCGTTGTCCTACAGGCACCTCGTGGCAATATCGAAACAATTTTCCCGCGTGCGTTGGTGTTGGCTGGTATTCGCACATTCATCGACCGGAAGAACTACCGGGCTGCTTTCCTCGCGTGTCGCAGCCAAATGGTGGACATGAACATTCTTCACGACTACGCTCCCCAACAATTCATGGAAAGCGTTCAGTTGTTCATCGAGCAAGTCAAGAAGATTGAGTTCATCGATGACTTCCTTTCTCGTCTGAAGTAAGGTTTCCCTTGGTTGCTTGTAAATTGACAAAACGGGTGCTTACTTCGTACTAGGGAAGAGGACGTTTCGCAAACACTGTATAAAGATACCCTCAAAATTTCCAAGAACGAATCTGCCGTTACTGCTCAGCCGGACGCTCCTGTTGTGCCCTCTCAGCCTCGGCTCGCTGGTAAAACCAGCAAGGTCAACGCAATCTGTGATGCATTCTTGGCAGTTCTTCAGACCCGCCTGGACACGAACTTGCAAAATCTTGTCACTGCACATGTTTGCAAGGAACCGCCTGACCTTGAAGCTGGCTTAAAGCTTGTCGCCAACCTCCGAAGTAAGTATGTTCGATGAATTGATAGGAGGCTATGATTGCTAAGGAAGTCGATAGCACAAAACTCTGAGCAAGCGCAAGATGCAATTGAGCATATGTGCTTTTTGACTGACGCTAACCGGCTGTACTCGCATGCTCTCGGGCTATACGACCTTGAGCTCACTCTTTTGGTGGCTCAGCAAGCGCAGATGGTAAGTCATTCAACAAGTGTTGAACGAAGAGATCTGGCACTAAGATTTCTGTAGGACCCCAGAGAGTATCTCCCATTCCTCCGAAAGTTGCAAAAGTTGCCAGATACCCGACGCCAATTCGAGATTGACAACCATCTCGCTCGATTTGACAAGGCTCTAAAACACCTCTTCACTCTGGGTGCCCACGAGGAAATTCGGGCCTACGTCACCCGGCATTCTTTGTATAAAGAGGCACTCGAAATCTACAAGTATCAGCCTGAGCAGCTCAGGGAGATCACGCAGATTTACGCAGACTACCTCCAGAATGACTCGAAGCACAAGGATGCTGCTATTGGTATGATCCTCCTTCTTGTGCCAGAGAGCGAATTGACTGACCTGTATCCCAGCCTATGAATCTCTCGGGATCTATGAGGAAGCATACAAATGCTACAATCTTGCTCACATGTGGCGCGAATCCCTGTATTGCGCCATGATGGCGTCTTTGCCCGCGGAAGAACTCACGGCCTTTATCAACGAGCTTGCTACAACCCTGGTCGACGAGACTCGAGATTACGTATCGGCCGCAACCATCTATGCAGAGCATCTGCATGATATCGTCACGGCAGCCCAGCTTCTCTGCCGGGGCTCCAAGTTTGCCGATGCTGCGCGCCTACTGACTCTTAACGGCAAAAAGGACTTGGTGGAAGAGATCGTTGACTCCGGCCTCTCTGAGGCCATGGGCTCCATGACCGACCTCTTGGCCGACTGCAAGTCCCAGTTGAATGCACAGGTTCCTCGAGTTCGTGAACTCCGGCAGCTTCGCGCCGCCGACCCTCTCGCCTTCTTCGGTGGTGATCCCACGGGCGGCGAGGGCGGAGTTGATATCCCCGATAATGTGTCACTTGCACCGACCGAAGCGACGACTTTGGCCGGTCGCACCATGTTCACCCGGTACACTGGCAAGACATCTTCATCCCGCGTGACGTCGCGCACGCGTCGACGCGAGGAGCGCAAGCGCGCAAAGGGCAAGAAGGGCACGGTTTATGAGGAAGAGTATCTCGTCAACAGCATCCGACGACTGATCGAGCGCGTGAACTCGACCGTGGCCGAGGCCGAGGCCCTGGTAGACGCCCTTCTGCGTCGGGGTATGCGCGAGCGTGCCACTGCAGTTGAGAAGGCGCTGGCAGATGTGGTGACGATGTGTGCGGACTGCCGTGATGATGTATTTGAGATCGGCCAGACCGCAGCACCTAACAGTGAAGAGAATGAGGATGGGACTGGCTATGACGCGCCCAGCTTGCCGCGGCCGACTGGAGGCTCGGCAGTCCTTGCGGAGAGCATTGGAATTACCCTCGGCGGGGCTGGACGTTTGAAGGAGCCGCCCGTTGTAAAGGCGATGAACAAGTCCTCCCTGCTGGTGTAGGCGAGGGAAATATAGTAGTGATTGGACGCCGTTATGTCTTATAAACGAGGATTGGGTATACAAAATATTTAGATTGACGTTATCGTGCGCCTTCTTTCTTCTCCGTTGCGGTAACTTCGAACTACAATTTCGAGCTACTATCTCGACTAATCTAGACCCCATTCGAACTAAGCAAAACTTGATTTGTTTACCCGATGGGACCTTCCCTTTTCGGAAAGTCCCGCAGATGTATTGCTCAGGAAGTTCTTTGCGATCCATGCGCCTTTCTAGATAGCCTAAACATTATTGACTCTGTCTTTATGTTCGAATGCATAAAAGAGATTGCGGGGTTAAAGCTTTGTTAACGCTTTACCTTGATCAATATTTTGGCCTTACCTTCGTACATCCTGTGCGTAGAGGGTGTGTCGTTTTCTAGCAGTTTGGGGTTACTCTTCTGCAATACTCAAGATTCTGGCTATAACCACAAATCGCGATATCGCAGGGTGATTACATGTCTACTTCTCCATTCAGAAGTCCAAACCCAGAATTTGCACTAGAAACCAACGCTAACCAGGAGCAATAAGATTTACCCCTGTTATGGCCAATCATGTGCCTATCATTCTCATCAAGGCATTGTCAAACTCCCATTATCTCCACCTATGCCATCGGCAACCAGAATGACAACCGATCAGGGGGCAAAATCCAATGCAACCAAAGCTTCTAAACAAACATGGGAACCGACAGGGTCGAACGAAGCGTTTAGCTGAGCTTCAAGCCGTCGGACCTCCGCCCTGAACCACGCCGGCGTTCCGTGCTTAGTGCCAAGTAGCGTAAGCCTTTCCCCTCCGATAACATGCGCCTTGCGTACCCCAACGACCGGGAAAGGCAAGCTATGTCGCTTGGAGGTTCTTTCATCCCGTCACAGGATAGCCTGGCAAAAGTAAGGGTGATACGCCACGCCGGAAATAACACCGGCGCACCGTGAGACTCCAATCTCCTGAATCGGTGGTGAACACAAACAACGCATGGCGGAATAACCTCTTCACTCCTGATTGAGGCCCGCTCAGACCTTTCCTAGTGGAGCGATTGCCGAAGCGCGCCCCGCTGGCAAGTGCTTAGCTTGTCTTCAAGCCACACGCCACGCGATGGTGCTACACTGACGATAATTATCTATGCCGCGGGTGTCTGTGTCTCATCGTGCGCCGGTCCTGCAGAGGCCGTCCCGCATCATGGCCAATCAGCACACACATTGCGAGATTAGATGTCTTTTGCCCGCCTTTTGGCAAGTGGAGAATCTTGCTTCTGGGGTCATGATACACTGCTGATGCGGTGCCGTTGCTGCCGCGGCCGTTGTATTTCAAGGGGCAATGGCCCCTGCTTGTGGAGGGTGTCATTGTGGGTAGATCGCTCTCTGCTTGGGTATCGCCATGTTGCTGCGTCAAGTATATCTTGCTTTGGCCATTGCGGCTCTCTCCGAAGCCGCACCGGCGCCTATTAAACATGTGTTGCATGAGAAGCGTGAACGGCATGGGCTTGATTGGGTGAAGGGAGATCGAGTGGAGGGTGATGCTGTCCTGCCGGTTCGCATTGGACTGTCCCAGAACAACCTGGACAAGGGTTATGACTTGTTGATGGATGTGTATGTGATGTGCTTGATAGAGTGCAATTGACTATTGCTAACAGGTTGACAGGTCGCACCCCAGCTCTGCCAAATATGGCAAGTATTGGACTGCCGAGGAGGTCCATGACATGTTTGCCCCATCTGCAGATGCTGTAGAGGCAGTGCGCGAATGGCTTCACGAGGCTGGCATTGACCGGTCCCGTGTTGTCCATTCAGACAACAAGGGTTGGCTGGCATTCGATGCCTATGCCCACGAAGCTGAAGGCCTCTTCATGACCGAGTTCTACGAGCACAACCACATGAGCAGTGCTAGTACGAAGGTTGGATGTGACAAGTAAGCTTCTCTCGCTGCTCTCATCTAGAATTAGCATCCTAACTCATCACACCAGGTACCACATTCCGGAGCATCTTCGGGATCACATCGACTATGTCACTCCAGGAGTCAAGCTAACCCCTGTGCTCAAGAAGCACAAGAAGGCCAAGCGTGCTTCGCACCTCGCCAAAGTCAAGCCCAATGTCGAGGCCGTATCCTTTGCTGGCAACGATGTCGAGCTCTCTGCCAAGGCGAAGTCCCTCTCTTCAGATCTCCAACTCTGTGGATACAACATGACCCCAACTTGCATCAAAGCACTGTACGACATCCCTGATGCTAAAAAGTCGAGGAAGGGCAATTCTCTTGGTCTCTATGAGCAGGGTGACTACTTTGCCAAGTCAGATCTAGATCTCTTCTACAAGGAGTATGCTCCCTGGGTGCCACAGGGTACATACCCCATCCCAGCGCTGATCGATGGAGCCAATTTTTCTGTACCCGCGTACAGCTCGCTCAATACCGGCGAGTCGGACATTGACATTGACTTGGCGTGAGTTTACAGTTCCTGCTAATTTTTTTTGCCTCCGATGAGCAACTAACACCCATAATTAGCTATTCCCTGATCTATCCACAGTCCGTAACTCTCTATCAAGTTGATGACCAGCTCTATGAGCCGGAGGAGGTTGCCACAACCAATCTGTTTAACACTTTCCTGGACGCTTTGGATGGTGTACGTATCATTAATGTGTCGTTTTGGAACTGAAAAATGCTGATGATTTCAGTCCTATTGCACGTACAGCGCCTATGGAGAGACTGGTAACGACCCCTCCATCGACCCCGTCTATCCCGACACCCGCCCTGGTGGATACAAAGGTATGTAGTCAGCCAGCCCACAACAGCAATGATCCATCTCCTAACATTATTATAGGAAAGCTCCAATGCGGTGTTTACAAGCCTACCAACGTCATCAGCGCCTCCTACGGTCAAGCCGAAGCCGACCTCCCTGTCAGCTATACCAAGCGCCAATGCAACGAATTCATGAAGCTCGGTCTGCAGGGTCACTCGATTCTCTTCGCCTCCGGTGACTACGGTGTCGCTTCCTTCCCAGGCGATGGAACTGCCAACGGTTGCCTTGGCCCAGAACAGAAGATCTTCAACCCCCAGTATCCATCCAACTGTCCCTATGTTACCTCCGTCGGCGGCACGATGATCTACAAAGATCAGACCGTTAAAGACCCTGAGAGTGTCATGCATGTCAATCTCGGTGGCACTGCGACCAACTTTAGCACTGCAGGCGGGTTCTCGAACTACTTCCCCCAGCCGGCGTACCAGAAGCAGGCTGTGGAGAAGTACTTCAAGAAGGCAGACCTGACCTACCCGTACTATTCGGAGTTTGAGGTCAACGTCAACAAGACCAAGGGTGTGTATAACCGTATTGGCCGTGCATACCCCGATGTCGCCGCCAATGGTGCTATGTTCCGTGCATACACGAACGGATTCGACTACCACTACTATGGATCAAGTCTGGCGTCGCCGTTGTTTGCGTCAGTCCTCAACTTGGTAAGTACATTTCTTCTTTATTCCCTTGTTCCACCTGCACCGAATTATACTGACGTTACGTTTTCAAGATCAACGAGGAGCGCCTGGCAGCTGGCAAGGGCACTGTTGGCTTCGTGAACCCGGTGCTCTATGCCCACCCCGAGGTTCTCAATGATATCACCAATGGAACCAATGCGGGATGTGACACGAATGGATTCGCTGCTATTTCAGGATGGGACCCGGCAACCGGATTGGGAACCCCCAACTACCCTAAGATGGAGAAGTTGTTCATGTCCTTGCCGTAAGAAATTGCTTCAACTTCGATTGGGTTAGCCTGCAACGGGGAGCGGCAAGAACCCTTGTCGTCCTACATGATTCTTGTACATAGTTATATGCGCAAAAGGAATATGACTTGTACTGTCCTGGGTATGAAGCCTGGCAACACTCCGCCCTGGTTGGCGAGATGCATCGTGTCGGATTGAAAAAGTAGCAGTACTGCTAGCTAGGTATATTTCCGGGAGGAAGTTCCAGGCTAAGAGGACGGGAGACGCGAGTCGTCCAATGTTTCGAACCACAAATTCGTATCGAGCAGAGCGACAGCATTAACGTGATAGAATAGAGACATCATGCCGAGCGAGGATAATATTCAGATGCAAACCGGATATACATGTCTAGTATAGTACAGAGATCACGAGAACTCTACTAAAACTTGTAAATCTGATCCTTGGAAAATCCCAAACGGCTCAAAACCCCGACACTCTTCCTCGAGCCCACCAAAGCATCCTCCATCCCAGGAGGACCACACACAAAGACGTGAGTATCCTTATCCGCACCACGCATCACATCTCGCAGAAGCTCCTCCGTCACATACCCCTTTCGCAAAGATGACCCGTCTTCATGAGGATGACTCACAGTGTAGATGTAATTGAATCGGCCGGGGAAACGCTTCTTATACTGCTCCAGTTCATCACGGAGTAACAAGTCTTCCTCGGTATTGACGCCGAAGACAAGATTGATCTTTGTCTGGTCATCGGGGTAGTTGAGAATGCCTTGAATGAGTTGGTAGATGGGAGTGATCCCAGCGCCACCAGCGATGAGGTAGACTTGGGAGTATTTGTTGGGTGTCCAGGGAAAACCCTTGAGAGTAGCAGCAAAGGTGAGTGTGTCGCCGGGCCTTAGGGAGTGTAGATGGCTGCTGGCTTTTCCATTGGGATAGTGCTTGACCATTAACTCTACCGAGCCGGGTTGGTCTAGATAGACCTTCATGAGTAAAGAGTATTTTTGTGAAAGGGGTTGGAATCATACTTAGATCGCTGATGGGCGTGTAAGGACGTAGAACTGGTAACCATTGCCCCTTGGGCCACGAGTATGTAAGTAATGCCGCTTGAAAAAGTATGAACTTCAGTACAATATAACGGATCCAATCAGCAAACGCAGCCTTACAGGTCAATGCCAATCCACTTGCTGTATTCTGGTCAGGGAACTCAAAAACCAGGCGTTTGGTGTTATGATTCACCACTTTAACATCCTGGAGGCGTAAAGTCGTGAAGCCGAACCCGCCAAATACCTTGGGAGACTCGGGAGACTCAGCGTATCCCGTCGGCAAGCGAAAAGACCGAGCACCGAAGTAAGCTCCTATCCCTGCGAATACCACAGTGGACAACAGAACCGGGCGGGCACGAAGGGATTGCCAAGATAACCGTGAAGCCATAATCTGCGTTGAGAAGATGGGCATATACAAGATAGTAAAGATGAATTCTAGGAGAAGGAGTAATAATATAGATTCAATATAGCTATTATTTTAAGGACGCTCGATTCAATGCCAAATATGTCTGACCATGCAGCCTTCAAAACAGCTATGGACATCCATTGCCCAATCTGGGACGTCTTCGGGGCCCAAAGCCCGTCAAAGTCCGCCAAAGACCGATCGCCCCCTAGCGGAGCCTCAACGGGCGCAGGTTATTACATCCCTACCCAACCAGATTCAACTTAAGTACCCATGTACCCACTTAATAGAGTAGGTTCTGGGTAGCTCATCATGCAGTGAGTTTTAATGTGGAATCCTACCATACTGTAGGCTTGCACATCTGCCCACCTAAACACCGGGCATCTTCCGGCTCCGAAGGGAGGTTCCACTCAGGTAGATGACGTCTTTCACCTATAAAACTCAGTGGACTAGTCGATATCTGCCACTCGTCTTCAATCTTCGACTCTCATTTCTATTGAATCACAACCTATAAGCCAACAGAACAATGGCCTCATATCCCCTTGGCTTCCGACTGGCGCAAGCTATCGGCATCTCCGGCGCCGCTTGGCTCTCTGGTATGTACTGGCTTTTGCTTTCTCAGTCTCGGTCATCGTACCCATGTGTAAAGCTACGTGCGAAGACACTTGTGCAGGCAGCTAGTGTTATCGTCTTTCTATACACAAGCTGACTACTAACTACTAAAAGGAAATATTGCCGCCCTCAGCATGAATGTCACACCCGCGCTACTCCGGTCCCGCCGTGAAGACAACGTTCCTCCAGCCACCGTCGCCAAGCAATGGAGAAACATGTTTGAGAATGGAAAGACCCAGAATCCACCCATTGCAGTCGCTGTGGCAGCCTCGTTCTTGTATCTGGCCTGGTCTGTGCGATCGGGGGCCCCCTTGTTCAAACAAACTGCATACAGTCGCTCTGGGCTATTCTCAGCAGCAGCTGTCTTGACGCTTGGAATTATACCTTATACATTGCTTGCAATGGCCGGTACCAATAACGCACTCTTGGAAAAGGCCAAGTCTGCCCCTGAGATCTCTGATACGGAGACATCGAGGCTGATCGAGAAGTGGACTACCCTTAATGCGGTCCGAGGATATTTCCCCTTGGCCGCGGCAGCGGTTGGACTGATGGCTTCATTTGTGTGATTGATAATTATGGAGGTCCTTAGATGAATATCGAAGGGAAATATTGAAAGAAAATACTGCTTTGTGACTATTGATGCACAATCTCAAGGACGGTCTAGAATCCTGCTACTTGTAATTATATCTGCATTCAGAATGGACAGTTGACCAGTTACTCGATGTCATTGCTCTTTCTATTTGTCTATCAGTACTGGGGTTTACAAAAGGTGACGGATCGTGTTAACCGATACTTAAGTAGGCAAATAAAGGTACGGGTCATAAAATATCTGATATGTCATGCCGAAAATTATGTTCTAGAAGGCTCGAGCGACAACGAAGACATAATGAATGCGATCTGCACCATACTTTGCGACGACGGTCTTGAATTAGCCCTTTGCAAAAGGGAGTCGGGGTATCTTCCAAGTCATCGGAGCAAGATGGCTATATCATTAAATTTTCATCCACACAGTTCCTATTTGGTAACGATCTCTCCAGTCTCGGTCACCAGGTGATCCTCGACAGTGACAGGGCCCTCACCAACACCGGTCAGAATGACACGGCTCACACCACCCTTCAGGACGTCCAGAACGCGCGAGTCAATGTTGTCGAGTGAGACACCGGGGACGGTGACGTTGGCGAGGACCTCGTAGAAGGGACCCTCCCAGCCAGAAGCACTAGCGCCGAGAATAGCCTTGACCGTACCAGCGACAAGTTCTGAGTCCTTCTCCTCGTAATAGATAACAGCGTTGGGGCCAGCATCGAAAGTATAGGCGGCTACAGTACGGCCGACGGCGCGGTTGATATCGTGCACGAGGCGAACGGCAGCACGGGAGACGTCGTTCATGTAGAAAATGGGTGGCCAAGAGTCCAGGCAGGTGGCGTGGAAAGTGTTTGAGTCACGCATGGTGATCTCGGCAAATTTGGGGAAGTCACGGTCCCGGATAGCTACCTCAATGGCATCCATGCGTTCAGGGACCACGGTCTGGGCCCGAGTAGCGAAAAGGTCGGAAGTGGCCACGGTGGTCTGCATACCCTCGGTGCTAGGAACATCCTTCTTCTCGGCGCTGACCACCAGGATCAGAGCCCGCATCTCCGGCCAGTGGGAGGCAGGGGCCACCTCCTCAGCCAAGCTGTCGCTGCCGTCCGCCTGCTCGCCGGTGCGCCAGGCGACATAGCCACCCATCAGGGACCGACAAGCAGAGCCCGAGCCTTGGCGAGCGATACGGCTCAGCTCACGCGGAGACTGAGGCAGCTGGTAAAGATTGGCAATGGCGCGGACCAGAGCAGCAAAACCAGCAGCGGAACTGGCCAGACCGGCGGCGGTGGGGAAATTGTTCTCGGAGACAATGCGGAGGGGGAGGGTGGAGAGCTTGGGCAGCGAGGCATCGGCATCTTCGAGAGACTTGCGAAGAGCACGCAGGTTTGAGAGACAAGCGAGAGTGCGCTTGGAGGACTGGATATCTTGTGGCTTGCCGTTCAAGTTCAGGGTATCCTCGGCGGGGTACTTGGCAGAGGCGGAGGCCGTGGTCAGGGTACGCAGAGAACGCTGAGAAAGGGTGACGGAGAGGGAAGAGTTGGTTGGGAGGTTGAGTGTGGTATCTCGCTTGCCCCAGTACCTATATGGACAAGCAATTAGTATGCAATGACCAGTAAAGAAGCATGTTGTTGAGGGGTAACAATCAAGCGCTTACTTGATGACCGCAATGTTGACGGGGGCAGTAGTAGTGGCCCGATAAACGGGCTGGCTAGATGCAGTCGCCATCTTGTACTCGAATTAGATATAACGAAGCAGATTTCAACAAGTTCTTTAGCGACAATGGAATCAATAGGGGGTGGGCTTCCTCGTTGGGCAGGAGACGTTTATATTGTGGGCCAGGCGGTGAAGGCAAAATTATCGGTCCGGTTACTTTCATCCGCCGATCTTCAATAGTTAGTTCTTTCGATTAGCAAGCATCCCCGAATTTCACCTCAACATTCTAAATTCCTCATGGGCGCCGGCGCAAGTACTCCCTCTGCTCCTGCAGAGCCTCCTGCGGCGACATGTCCAGTCGACCACAAGACCCGTGAAATTTGGCTTCAACAAAATGGCGGCAACGCTCCGCATCCCTTATCCTCCGCGCCAGCGCAAGAACAAGAACAAGCTCCCACAAAACTACAACGACCATTATCCACTGATCGGGAGGTCAGCAGTATACCCCGAGCAGGCAGTCCATCCGCCGCAGCAATTTGTCCAGAAGGAAAGAAGGGATCTCCAGCACCTGCCGAACCCTCCCCGTACGCCGCATCGCATGGCTCTCCGTCCAACGCCGAAGCTGAGACTGGCCATGACGAGGCCACCGGCAACTGGATTTACCCATCAGAGAAACAATTCTTTGAAGCTTTGATGCGCAAGGGTAACACCCCGGAGTCAACGTCCACTGCTTCCGAACTAGCAACTTCCGTCGCCTCTATTATTCCCATCCACAACGCAGTCAACGAGCGCGCATGGCAACAAATCCTCGACTGGGAGAAGAAAGCTCCCTCCTCAGATCCAGGCAGCAAGAAATGTGGAGGACCCAAGTTATATTCATTTCGCGGACTCGGAGCTGATCCCCAATTCCTGAGCCCACGTGCCCGAATCAACGGGTGGCTCGGGTACCAGCGTCCATTTGACCGACATGATTGGGTCGTTGAGCGCTGTGGTGGTGAACGTGTCGAATACGTGATCGACTTCTACCAGGGGAAAGCATCTGGCGGCACCGGAAACCCGGCTGGGTTGACAGGGAATGCCGCCCCTGGCAAACTCAGCTTCTATCTGGATGTGCGGCCAAAGCTGAGCACCTACGAGGGATGGAAGATGAGATTTAGCAGCTTCGTAGGACTCTAGTCACCGCACATCCAGGCCATTGAATTAGTCCAAGACGCCTGTGGAGTACACGGCTATGCATGGATTGAGAGGCAGAAGCGGCAACTATATAATTTATGTAAAATAGCACTCATGTACGATATCACATTGCATTGGAAAGAGCGGGACTAAACTCAAATCGATCTTCTCCATTCCATATACGCCAAATCCCAACCAGCAGGAGCATTAAATAATGAGAACGAAAAGCCCGGTGAAGGCCGTGGCATGTAGGATGCATCAGGGATATCGTGCACAGACATAAGAAAGGGGAAGAGGGCCGCCATGATCAAGTGGAAATAACAAGACAAGCTCAAACCGCGAGAAAACAAAAATCTATCCAAGGACAACAGCAAGAACGATGATGGTCAAAATAACAGCCAGAATAATAAGCAGACAGCATGCCTTGTTGCGTGCATTCTTCTGATATCGGCTGGCACTGCGTAGCTCGGTGTTGGCGCCTCGAGTGTCTTGAGAAACGTTCTGGACATTCTCGCTGATGATGTCAAGCTGACCACCTTGCTCATTAACGATATGAGCAACATCCCGGAACAACTCGTTCAATTCGCCAACACTCTGTTCAATGTTTCGGATCTCGTTCTCGCGCTCGATGATAAGAGATTCCTGGAAATCTACCTCGCTCTGGTTGGCCATACGGGACTGTTCCTCCAGCTGCTGTTGCTGTAGCTGTACTCCCGCCTCGCCAGATGGATGGTCACCCTCCTCGATGGCCGTCCGGGCTGCGACAGCCGATGCACGTTGCTTCTCCAGGGCGCGGCGCTGAATCGTCTGGAATTCATCCAGACTGGCCTTGAATTCGGACGACAGCTTTTGCTGAGTCCATTTTTGAGATGGCTAGTTGCAAGTGTTAGCCAAGGTGACAGGACTTAGACTGTTTGACATACATTTACGTCCTCCCATTGCTGGATCTTCTTCAGCCCGTCGCCCACATCCTTGAACCCCGCCCGGGTCTCCTCCAGGAGGTTGTGGACTCTTTCGCGCACTCGCTCAGTATCCCGTTTCGTGCCGAGAAGTGCAATTTGATTAGACAAGCGAGAGATGTTGGAGGTCAATGTAAAGAGTTGGTCAGATAAAGACTCGGCCAAATGGTCGAAGCCAGGATCGTCACGGTATTGCGGGTCATCGGACCGGCGCATATCGGTGGGCTGGGCCTCCAGCGAGTTCAAGCGGTCGAAGGACATGGTGGATGTGATATGGTTAAAGAATGAATGTCAGCCACGAAAGAGGTACACAGTTATCAGAGATGCGCTTGTGTAAAGTGCTGCCTTCCCTGGGACCGCAGGACAACTCCTCACATGACGTATATACCGCACTAGTGCTAAAGTGGACTAGCCTCAATAGCCACAGATAACACCCATAAGCCACATAAAAAGTCACATGACTAGATGTGGCTGGTGTGTTTTGATGCTCAAAATATTCCATCATGGACTCACCTTGAATCCGATCCCATCGCTCAGGCGCACACAGCTGCATTCGGCCTTGCCCATCAGCAAACACTGTCGCGGACCCCGAAGTTACCTCCTACAGCTCTCGCAGCTCCTGGGATGCTCACCCTGATGATGCTCTAAGCCTCGTCCATTGTCCTCCACGACTCCCATCCCACCCAAGCTTCCACCATGGCCGCCGCTGCCCAACCCCGGCCGTACAGGCGGATCCTCACCTCGGCTCTGCACCGGCGGTTTGTTCATGCGTCTGCGCTCTCATTACTAGTCTGCTATGCCGTCTCAATAGCAATTGGCGACAAGTCCTCGTGTCAGTATTCCGAATCCATGATCAAAGCGGTTCGAGAGTCTGTCTTGTCTCGCGCTTCAATTTCAGCCCGCTGACAAGTGCCCATGCTTAGTTTTCTGGACATGGTTTCCTATCGGCCTATGCGGACTACGCGCTGTCATGATCTTTCTTTCAGTCCTTCTCATATTCGTTCTTCGTGTCAGTCAGATGCACTTGGGTCCAAGAACAACACCGTCCTCGCTCAGCACCTTCAGATACCTATTTCCGCTCCAGGTTGCCCACACATTCTGTTGCTATTTCTTCTCCGCTTGGTGGTTTACTGAGCTCTATCTCTGGTCGTCCTCGAAGGAGGCCCAGTTGGACATCGTGAAATGGGGCAGGTATGTCAATGCGAACGGAATGGTGGGAAATTGGACGATCGCTAACGCCGGCCTTAGATCACACGAGAGACCCCTTCTCAACGAACGACCGATTTACATTCATACCTATCACCTCCTACTGGCCTGTGCCCAGGCTACGGCCCACCTGTACTATGACTACGATCAGATCCCCGTCCCTGTCGCGCTACGAGCCACCAAGTCCCCAGATCAGCGCACACACCAGGTCCTGCCAACCTCTAAATACATTAAGAGTGCCCTTCCGCAGCGGATCAAGTGTGGTCTGATGATGAGTGTGATCGTTGCAGGAGGCACTCCCTTCCTGTACCTTATATTCTTGCGACAGAGTGCTTGGGGTTTGTCCATGTACTTTGCCAAGCTCTTTTGGAGCTTTTCACGCTCTGCGGCCAAGCCTGACAGCTTCTTCCCGCCATCTTTTGGGTCTTTGATCATCCGGTCTCTCATCTCAGGCTCTTTGCTTGTTATCAGCTGGCAGTCGGCCAATCTTTTCTTTTCCATTTTCCTTGGCAAGGAACCTCTGAAGCGTGGACAGCCCCTCACTGCAGATGCAAAGGACCCGAATGCTAGCTTGCTTTCTGGTCTGAAGGCTAAGAAGCACATTGTCAAGGCCTTTGCTCTCTGGGAACTTGGTCTTATTAGCCAGCGTCAGCCTGATCGCCGGAAGGCAATCTTCAATGAGATTGACGGAGATAACGGTTCCACTTGGAGCCAAATTCTCAACTGCGCGAAAGAAGAAATTCAGGGCATCACTAAAAGGATCGAGGCCAGCAAGGCTCCCAAGCCTGGTGTTAAACCTGCTGGACAGCCGAATGGCGCTAAGCCTGAACTACTCACTTTGCCCAGGTTGACGGATGCACCTAAGGATCAAAACATCTTTACAATAGCCCCGAAGGCGACCTCTCGCCACGAGAAGTTCGGTGAGGCTTTTGGCTCAACTGCCAAAGCATATGGGCAGTCACCAGACTGGACACCCAAGGCACGGGCTCGCGCTCGAGAGGTCTTTGACAGGGCTTCCACCGCAATGCTCAGTCCAGAGCGAAAGCAAAAACTACTAGCTTCTACCCAGGAGTTGAAGCGTCTTACCGGTGGGCCATCCACAACCTATAAGCCTGAGGATGTGCACCCCATCCTTGTTCAAGTCCTTCAATGGTGCCGGCCCCTGCGACAAACATATGCCCAGCGAGCATCGAGCGTCGTCTTCGGCACTCCCGAATCCTCCCTCAGCTCAATTGTGGACGCCGTTGATTCCCTGACGCGTATGCTTATTGCCAGTCTTGATGAAGATCAGTACGGCAAAGTTCAAGCTGATGTGCCTTCAGTGGTTAATCTATTTACCCAGACTATCATTTCTCTTGATGCGTTTGTGCACCAGGGTGGTCTTGATGCCCACTGGACAGACGTCTACTTCCCACCCTCTAGCCAGCCCCAGGCACAAGCAGAAGCACGGAGAGTTCCGGAAGTTGAGTTGGTGCTTGGTACCTTGCAGAGCGGCCTGCTTGACCTTTTGGAAGCCTTTAAGCCTTACCTGCGGGACATTGGTCTCACTGGTAAAGACCTTCGCTTGGCGAAGGAGGCAGCTGGTTACGAAGAGGAGCAATCGGCTCCATGATTACGAGTTCTGATGCTTTCTGGGACCTAGGTTGTTGTATTGTTTTCTGTCACCCAGTATCGTTTATTCCTGTACCTCCCGGTGGGGTTGGTCTGATGAAAGAACAAATGCATGGTTTGGCGTTTTTGATAGGAATTGAAATATCATTGTAATCCTCCAGCTCATTTGAAGGGTTGTTCTTGCCTAGAAAATGTCCTAGTCCATTCTAGAGAACTTGGGACATTGTTGATATTTCGCTCCAGCCAGGTCACATGACAGCGTCTTTCAGATAACCTCATTTCCAAGCCCACCTGTGGTTGTCTTGAGATTAGCGAGCCACTCCGAATCCAGACCTCTTCGAGACTATTATCTACAAGTAAAGGGTATAGGGGCTCTCGGCTATGTCTTTGACAAACGTCTATCATCTGCGCCGAGTTACAGACACCTCTGCGAAAGCATGTTTAATCTGCTACAAGCCGTCAACCAGCGTGATGATCACACCGGATAACAAGGTAGGGCTGCTCTAGACATGATTTCCACCGAAATAGATTAGTTGGAACTTGATCAATCTGGCCAAATCAGTCTTCTCTGCCCTCACACGCTCACGTCGTCGACAGGACTTCTTCTACGTGTGCCCCGCACATCTCCAGGACCGCCACTTCTGCTCGCCCATCGTCGACGCCGAGAGCGAAGCAGCGCGTTTGAAAGAGCAGAAGATGGCTGAAGAAATTGAAAAGGTCAAGAAGGAGTATGAGGAGAAACAGAAACGGAAGAAGGAGCGCGAGAAGCAATCCAGCAAGGATGATAAGGACAAGGAAAAGGAGAAAAAGAAGGAAAAAGACGATTCCAAAGACAATGATTCCACCAATTCAAAGACAAACCTGGAGAAGGAAAGAGATGATAAGGTGAGCTCCTAAGGAAATATGGAAGTTCACCGCCACTCGCCTGTGCTAAACGGCCTCCTCTTCAGATCGAGTCTATCGAAAAGGGGACAGAGTCAAAGCCAGATAGCGGCCCTCGAATTTTCGCACTACACAAGTATGTTCATGACTGCCTCCAAGCCTGAAGATTGCTCATAGATTACAGGACATTCTACCAAATGCGCATCGATCGGCTGAGAGGCATCGAGATGGCCAAACGAAATCAGGAGAGAATGAGAAATCCTTCCCTGTTTCCTTCTGTCCCCAACAAGGATCTCTAGTCCCGAAATCTTTAAATCTACAACAGATGATGACATTGGAAGGACACCAATGTTTCAGATTGGCATTGCTGGCTTCGTCTGTCGCCTTGCACTCTCTTCCTGGTGTGTTGAGGCCCGCTGATGAGTACTGGAGGCTCACCTAAAGAGACCAGTCCAGACATTGTATGTGAACAGACCACGACGATTCACGAAATTGATGACAACCGCCCCAAACCCACACTCCATTTTGCATCATTCCAAATGCACCTCATCAGACCAGCAGCATATCTACCGCTCTAGAACCCCGATCACGGAAGCCAACGGATGCAACCACGTCGCAAAAGCCCATTTTTCAGGCAAGACTCGTTTCATCCCACTGCATCTCCGCGACATGCCAAGGGTGGCTTTGCAGCAAACCTTTGTCTCGGCCATCCCAAAGCCAATCTCATCACGGCGGGGAAAGAAGGAACCAAACGAGTAACCGCGCCACAGGGCTACTATGACTCGAGCCCGCACGCAACGCAGACGCCCGTCATGCTAGTTTCCGTCTTCACGAAACCATAGGGGTCTAATCCTGTGTAATGCAGAAAAGGACCCGTGAGCGCTGCGGTCGGGCTGAGAAGGAACAAGCCATAAAAGCACAGTCCACACATTGATTCTCCCTCTCGTCTACAAGTTCATCATTGTACATACCATTTTCAATGCAAGGCCTCCCACCTCGGCCCGTTCACAGGACTAGCGTCACCTTGCTATTGCTAGCTTCAGAAGTTGATCGGGAACCTACAGTCCCATTTTTTCTCCGCATCTAAAGCGCTCATGCTCACCGCGATTTCCGTGGAGACAGAGCTTGAGTACGGAAGATTCGCACGACGTAAGACTGGCCCTGTTTGGTGGGGTATCTTGCACGGGAATAAGCACTAAAGGCCGTCACCATTGAGGCGTGCCCTCTATCACAAACCTTGCACCCCCTCTTCTTCCAGAAAATGGCCCCCATCAGCCCTAGTAGGCTATTTCTATTCGTATTCACCGGTCTTGGTACCGGTGTGTTTCCCGCTTGATCTCATACATAAGGCTGACAGCATTCCCACTGGCATGAGGCTTGAGCCTTGGTTCTTGGAGCTATACTATTGGGGCAGCTCTGTGGAAGGCTGACTCTGCCTTGACCGATTCGACAGGTCTCAATGTTATAGGACTCGTGCTTACTTCCCTTTGAAGCTATAATTCACATCGTTCGTATCTATTTTCAGAAGCATCTGGCGGGGTTGTGTGGTATCTCTGACCCCACGATGGGACTCGCGGCTAGAACGTCAGCCTCAATATAGAGAGAGTTGTTCGCTCGGCTAGATGACCAGGCTGCAACTCGCAATCCGCTCATGTCTTTCTGGTTCGTCTAGCTACATGGTAAGATACTACATGAATATCCAGGCGGATCAGATGCTCTTGTCACCTGCTGACGCTTTGATGAGGCTCAATGTCCCTACTTTGGGGTCCAATTTTCAATGATGCCCACAGGGTCCCCAAGCGCGGTTATCACACCGTCAAGCTAGTAAGCTAGCCCTACACGTTTAGTGTACCCGCTGGTACTATCTAAACGGATGATTGGGCATGTTAACATTCAATCATTACTGCCTATCGCCTCGTCCAAAATTGTAGCAGGCAACAAGTAGTCAAGTTAACTGTCGATGGTTGTAGTGTACATACAGTAGTCCATCCTAGCCCGATGAGGCACCTCTTATGCTAGGCTGCATGAAGCTAACTCAGTAGCTAGTGTTATGCGTTTTGAAGGAATGCTCCGCCTCGAATTTCAATGCCACCTCCTTCCGCTTAAGTACACCAGCTGTTACGTTATCGAGCACGTTGGTGCCTGTAGCTGTCTCTAAGATTAGTAGTCTACGATGGATATAGCTTGTCGGGTTAGAGGGAATAGGAGCCTGAAACAGTTGGAGTGAATCAGTCACCAACAATTAGATAGCCCCTTGGCTAGTCACTGTTCCAACTTATCCGATCTAGCGCTAATCCGAACAAGCCACCCTCCACCGAAAGCCTAAACTCTGGGAAAAGATGTCCTTGAATTATGCAGGCCGATCATAGTACCCGAACGCCTAGCCCAAAGAGCGAAGTCTAATCCTAGTAGACACCTTCTATAGAGGGCAGGATTGAAATAAAGCAGCTAGTTAACTATGATATCAGCGTCAGCCAGAGTATGAGTAGCAGTGAGTGCGAAGCAGCGATCTTGACCTTGCGAGGCAATCAATACGCCAGCTGTTGGCTGTCAAGAACTCCACTAGGAGCCTGAGAGCTCCCTGCAAGGTAGTGTGCACTGCCCCACCCCCACCAGGGCCTACGGGCCTACCAATAGGGCGGACCTTTAGGCTAGGCCTACTTGTATACTCCTTAGAGAGGCCGGGTGTCTGCGGGTATAACTTGCTAGAGCTCTTGGGAACACCGTAGCCTGTACTCCGTACTGACGTATGTACTGTTTGGAGGAGCATTGCAGTACATTTTAAATAAATATCTAGAAACCGAGTATCAATTGGTCAGGATGAATAAACAATACTTGCCTGGTTGGCCCATAACGCCTCTTAACGTGAAGGTACGGAAGTAGAATGTGCCATTTCCTAAATTGCCCTGAACCAACGCCCTACAACCCTATGTGCCCGCTAGATGATACCGACTCCTATTGGACACTTGTCCCAGGGCATCTTCATTCTCTTTCGCATATTGCTCCATACATTGACCAGTGTACGGCAAAGGTATAACGAGAAACACCCACGCAGGGCGTAAGTTATAACCGTCTTTAACAGGTAATACGAATACGCACCGCTACGGTCAGTAGGAGCCAATCGGGAGCAGCAGGAAGCCGACCCGCTTTGCACAGCCTCCTTCCGCTGTCCTGATTCCTCCCAACCTTGGAAAAGTCGCCCTCCCTGAAGGCTGAAGGAGCCTGAAGGGGGGCAAATCATCACCGACTCGGTTCCATCCCAGCGTCATTGGCGTCTGACTACTATGCTGGTCCTGAGATGAAACACGACTGAAAATAATAGGATGCACACACCATGTTAGCGCGGCTGGGACTTATGGGACTAGGGCCTCGTGGGGAAAGTTGAAGAACAAAAATGTATGGATCAGAATCAAGTCCAAGATCTTAATCTTGTAAACCATGAACGCTGTTCTCCGTTCTCCGAATCGCCGGAAAGGCTGTCAGAAAGTGGACTTAAGTGGAGGCGCTGGGAGCTGACGAACGACGTGGCGGCGGTGACATGCCCTTATTGACTGGTACGGGTTACCCCTGGCTTCAACGTTCGAGGATGACTATTCCGAGTCATGTTTGCTTCGTTGGTGCGCGACTACAGAGTGAATCATAGTCAGATTGAACTATCATGAGTGGTGGTAGATATGAGGCCTCCATCCTCCTCCATTCGAAAGGTTCTTCGGTACAATGCAGCCCTACATGAGCATGGATTTTTATTCGTGCCTGTCTCCTGGGTAAAAACTATATAACCAAGGCAGCTATATACGTCCCTTAGATTGGCTCGTATAATACTAGCTCTTTGGCATCGCTGGCAAACTATCATGTTCGTTCGAAGAAGTTGATACGGTGGGATTCCATAAGTTTGAATCCACCTGCTCATTCTGCCGTGCCAAGACTTTTCTGCCGGGAATGTTGATCCGCAGGAGTATAGGCAAAAACGCTTGGATTTCAGGTTTTGAAGACCGTATTTTGGAGACAGAGCTTATTGAATCCTCGTTACTTTTTTCAAGCCCTTTATTTACGCTATTAACGACGATATGCGAATTACAATGCCAGCTCAAGGTAGGCGGTGTGATCGGTGTAGAAAAGCGGTCAGGGAGGGTGTTTCAAACTTTTGAACACCCACTGTACAGGGCTATAAGTGGCTACTGGGATGAGCTGTAAGATCTGACGGAGCTTGTCATCCTAAAATAGTTATTCGGGTAACTCTTGTGGGTATGTGTTAAGATGAGGCTGATTGACGAGCACCTCTAGGCGAGAAGAGGGCTGATTTCGCGAACCTCGTGTCAGCTCTTACAAGCCTTAAGTGATTATAGACCCAATTCGAGAGAATACAGCCAGCAGAGCCGCTAGCTCGTCCTCTGTCTATCGTCCTCTTGGCCCGTCTTAGCGCCTCTGCGTATTCACCAGGCAGAAGCTTCCCACCAAGTCTAGTAAAAAGCCACTTTAAATGGATGATTTCAGTAATTACTGAACTCCATTAGGTCTGACCGCTCGATCTGACGCATGTCCTTGCTGAATATCAAGATATCGAAGCACCGGCGGGCTTGGAGCCTCACAGAGTCACAGTTCCCCATGCTGACATCTTCCTCTTCCATGTCGATCAGGCCAGGCGTGACGCATGATCGTACAGAAAGTATTTCGGGGAATTATCGCACATGTATGACGCAAGTGGCCGTCGCAGAGGTGTAGGTTTCGCCGAACGGAGTAACTACTGAGATCTCTCCAGGGAACTCAGTAATACTGGATGTGCACTCGCGTGGCTTGCAGTGTTGTTCAATCGAATTCGTCACGGACAATGTGGAGACCCTGTCGATCACCACGTTTATGTGGTGGCTCAAAACAACAGGGAAAAAAAAAAAAAAAAAAAAAAAGAATGGCTTGTTGCGATTCGCTGAGAGTGGTTTTCATGGCTCGTAAATCTTTATGTATGCGATTATGTTCTTTTTAAATCATGGTCATGAATAAGAAACGACATTTTCAGAGATTGCCACGCCCAGAGCCTGGGTCATTGCTCTCAGGCGGCCGCATGCCTGGAGGTAGACGAATACCCAAAGCTGATGTTCCTCCTGGACCCCTGGCTGCGAAATTTGTTCTGGTCGCAATGTCCACCCGAGCTTTCGCGAGCCCGATAGCAGGCACCACCCATCCACCACAACTGCATTGCATGCCTTGCCAGGCGAATTTACCAATGTTGGCTCCGCAGCCCGAGTTGGGACATGTTAGGCGACCTGATAAAGGGGCATCCGCGGAGTAATCGTCGTAGGTTGAATCCGCATCGGGATCCGAGCCTTCTTGAACCGAGGACGGGAATAAACTCGGACGCATCCACTTTAGCGGATGGAGGAACACATGAGCACATGCCGTATCAGCGGGCATTCTAGCGCTCTTTTGCTTATCTTGATCGTGATTGATAATGAAAGGGGTTGTCGCAAGGGTACGCCTGATTGGTGACATTAGTGATCTTACATGATGACCCTGAATGGCAGGTGTAGCCCGTTTGGGCATGGGACACGAACCGGCACTTGCGACACTTAATCTCCACTGAGTGGCCGGTACTATTTTCCTTGGGCTGAACAGGAAGCTCATCTTCAAAGCGCACCGACTTCAACTCTGGGGCTCGGCCACACGCCACACTTTCTTCAACATCACGGTGGTACAACCAGCGCTGGTAAACAGGGTTCTCTGTGACATCGTCTGGGCAACCCATTTCGTGGTAGAGCTCCAATTGTTTCACGAACCCTTCATTGGGTTCGCAGAGTGGTCGGGACTGCCTCAAAATCTCCAGTGCAGATTGCGGTGTGAGCGCACCTGGCTGTTGGTGGAGCAAGTAGGCAATGCACACAGTTGCGGACCGGGACTTTCCCATAGCACTAGATCATCATGATTAGTGTTCCAAGATACTTACTCAGGCATGTGGCAGAGATTGCACGAGTTGTGTTAGAATTGAAGGCGCAGGATACACAACAGAAACCCAAGCAACATAGGGAAGAAGAAAACATAACATCCAATAGAGAGCCCAAAAGACAAAAGATACTCCAGCCACACGCAGATCGTAATTGATATAACACAAGTAGTGACGTAGGAGGCCTTTGTAGGGAGGCAAATGAATAACGTCTGGGAGAAAAAGTCCACAGAGCCAACGACAGCCAGCTCCGGCAGGGCGATGCGATGTGCAGAAAAAATCAAAAAAGTAGGACTCACCAGTGCACCAGAACACCGCCACCACCGTCTAAGCCAGCTTGAATGAACTTGACAGCAGCAGGCAAATGCTCCAATAGGTTCTCATCTTCAACATCGTCGACAGCTATGGAGAGATGTTGATAGGACGCAAATGTTTCCTCTGCGGGGTTAAGTCGTAGCACAGAAACCACATGAGTGATATCTGCACGAGCTAAAGCGGCTTTGTTCTTGAGGCAGAAGATCCTGTACATATAGGGACCTGGTTAGTACAGAGGGTAATAGAGATTGGAAAACCCAAAGGACCCAGCATCAAGGCCCACTTTGACAGACAACAGCCAAGGCGAGTATCGAGTCTCGAGTTTTGAGGATTAGTGAAACCTTCTTACCCGCCAATGTAGATGTTATGACCCGGAATTTGATTCATGTTGATTGTGACAGGGTGACGATAGTTTGAAAAGGAGAGAAAACAGGGACGCCAGCCGAGTGGTGAATATCAAGCCCCAGCAATATCATGCGAAGTAAACCCAGCAGACTCTTTCCTCCCAATTGAGCAGGCGGAGATTTCCCTTTGAGCCTCGGCCCCAACTCAAAAGATTCCCCAATCGCCCAAACGGGCCGTTAGGGCAAGGGCATCCCGTGACCATGTGACTAGGTGACCCTGAAGACTGTGCTGGCGTTGCCTGAGGCCTCAACATCTAGATTGATAATGAGGACTCTCATTTGATCTCTCCATCAACGCATCGCTCGACTCTCAACTCCAGCACCGACGAGCGGCGAGCATCCACTACACCGGTATCGCTACAGGATACGCCACATTGATCTCTCATGGTCTGTCCGGTGCAGCCAATCTCCAACAGCAATGGGTGACCAGCTCACGCGCAAGTCTCAAGAGTGGGTTCATGACCCGGTACACTAGAGCCCACTTATGATTCACTCCGCATTTTCGAAGAGATTGGATGAGCCGGTTTGAGCGTAGCTTGTGTCGCGACGCGCAAAGACACCGCGGATACTTTCAAGCTACTGTAATCAAGGCTATACGGGCCCTCATTGGCCTAGAAGCTCTTGGACGATCCCGCCAATTGGATGTGCCGTTTCTCCTCTACGAACCACTCTCCAGCTCGCCACCACCATCGCAAATGAGAAAATTGATCTGTATCCTGTCGACTAGATACAGCTTACCAGTGTAACGGCATCCTCGTGCATACCGAGTGTATCACTCTATAAGATCTCTACCGCGTGCGCGAGAAATCTCGGTGTGGTGACGAAAAGCTTTAGCCGAGCGGTTCACGCCTCGTGGGTGGGGCCTTGATTTATCCCCGACAACCTTCAATCCACCAGATGTCCCGCCAATTGATTCGTCCAGCCGCCCTTGCAAGGGGGGTTTGACTTGCCTTCGGTAAGTTTGAAAGTCCTCCACGAGATTTGCAGGACGGGAGATTCATGGAATTTGCTGTATACGGAGGGCTTGAACTGCAACCGGACTATGCGAATCACACTGTATGTACTGTCATACTGTACATACACTCCGAAAGAGGCGCCTCTAGAACCGCGGGATTCTCAGCCCTCTAGGGCTTGGGGCGTCGAATGCCTTCGAATATTGGCGTGTCAGAAACTGAAGACGCTGGCACTGGCGCTGGCGCATGCATTCGGCTTAGACCACAGCCTCTTAAGGCTTAGGCTGACGCCTTATAGAGTATGACCGTGGATCTCCAGCTGACCCCGTTGTCTATTGCCACATCGGGGAAGTAGAGAGTGAGGGGTCGAATCTGACTGGGCCTGGGCTACGCTAACCCCTACCATTTTGGCATACCTCGGCAAGAACATCTATGCTACCGCCGGATGTATGACGCCTTAGTATGTGTATTATTAAGACCACGCAATTCAAGGTCGACGGCTGAGTGTTAGGCGGTGTGATATTTTAACGGATTACTCTGTAGTGGTATTCCCGTTGATGTTGTAGGAGTGACTATTGCATGTTTCGACATTCTGTTTCCCCCATTCGTGGTCCCTCACTAATTGGCTCGTACATGTATGGTCAGCATGCTAAACCTCGTTACCTGCCCGGGTACGGAGTATACCCTGTCCACTAGAGACCAGACCAGCGGACACAGAAGCAGCCCCGCTGCTCGTACCAGGAACCAATTTTAGGGACCTGTCCGAGGCTCCTGGATCGTGTCTGAGTCTTTTAGCGAAGACTGAACCTTGGGAAAATAAAAAATTAGAACAAGGAAAAGGGAGGCGCAAAGGCCAAGAAACCCAAACGACAGTACGGGGTACTGTGAAAAGCGTTCAGGTCAGGCCGTACGTACAGAAGCTGGTGTGGAGCATCACCCTGCCCTACCCTACCGTGCACAACGGGTCCATCCAATGGATAGTTATCTTCAAGGCTCAAGTGTCCGATGACTCAGCAATGCTCGTCAATCTTCCAGAATGTCACTGCTTTATTCGACGTCCAACCTGTTGGCAGCGTAGGGCGGTTCAACATGGCACACTTTTTCGCTTTTCCGTACCCATAAACTCGACTATCGTCGTCCACGTCCCTCACAGTAATCATTATCAGCAAAGATTATCTTGTGCCAAATCTGCTCTCTGCCCTACCCTGCCCGAGGGCTTTGTCACCCCCCTGTTCCTTCTCAAGTGACAGCGGACCGTCAGTGTGGCAGTGCATGCATGACTGGGCCCCAAGTGGAGCGCGCTAGGAAATCAGTGGGTCAGCACCGACGACTTACGATTGTCCGCGACTTGTGGAGGCAAGAAAGAATGTTCTCTTTGCTTTTTGCATGCGACTGTTTCCCCCCCCCCCCCTTTGTCCCTCTGACAACAAGATCCAAGTGCTCCCCGTCAAGACCAGGCGAAGAACCAAAAGAGACAAAGATACCGAAACAGAACAATTTTATCAAGGGAATAAGCCCACGCTACGGGAATCCGAATCCTCCGATGCAGTTCGATCTGATCGAACAATTTTGACCGTTGCGGGGATCCCTGCAGCATTACTTGATAACATGGGCTTCTCGTTCCATAGCCCATCCGTTTCGCAGCTAAGTAGGGAGTATGTACAATCCCGCCCGCAGGATTTCTTTAATCGCGCGACTCCAGTGCCCGAGGATATATAAGCCTACCGCCAAGTCGTGAATTGTTCCTAGCTCGGCGCCCCCCTATCGTGCCTTGTCCTTTCTTTCATGATCTTTAACTCCGTTGTCCTGGCCCCCCTCTGGCTTCATGAATGTCAGCAAGAATGGCCCCCGCTAACCATGGTTCCTTGCGGATGGACTTGCTCGCGTTACTGGATGAAGTGGCCTGCAGAAGAACGCGATGGCGATCGTCCCGACCCGTTTCCCTCGTAGCCCCTGGTCGTTGGTTTCCCGCGGTGCCTGGTCGTGTCATCAATTCCCTTGGTGAATTAGCTATCGTGCCCTTGCATGCAACCGCTTTAATGAGAAATTATCCCGGGGTTGTCGTGATGTCTCCCATACACTCGATCAACGAGACAATAGGGTTTTCAAAACCTTCCACTTCTGTCCACTCTGACCTCACAGCAATGGAGAAAGTGATGAGGGGCAAGGCACTTGTAAATTTTGTTTAATACTTTCAAGCTTCTCTGGTTGGTTCTTCCCAACCCATCATATAAGATCGAAAGTTAAGGCTGGGCAGCGATGGATTCTATTTGTTGAGGGCTGTCGCAAGCCCCATGTCTAAAAGGCCAGCCCTTCGTTAGCTTCCCCATCGCATCCCAGTTTCTGGAAGGCCCATTTCCCAGGTTCAGTGGGAAACAAAACCAAGGGTGAATAGTCTGCCCAGACCTCTGATTCGAGCAGAACCCAAGTAAAATTACGGGATCCCGGACACTCCGCGCATTTTCTCTTCTAAGGCTGAGGTCCGTTAGCCGTAGATGGGAAAGTCTGGCAGGCTAAACTGGACTAGGGCCGACTGTAAGTTACAGGGGTCCAACAAAAATAATCACGCTCTATACAAGCCCCACTGTTTTTCTGGCCGATTTTATATTACTAAGAGACTATCTGATCAACCAGATGATCTCTAAAATCGTATGAGGTAGGCGGAAGGGCAGGTGGCAAGTTCTGGCTGACCGCCCGATGTATAGGGAGGTGATTTTTTTTGTTGGACCCCCCCCTGTATATGTGTACGGAGAGACACATCCTTGTCATTACCCAATTAAGCCTAAGTCGAAGCACTACCGAGGCCGCTCACTAAGGCATGTAGCCTGCACGATGATACGACCAAGCGGCCGTAAGGAGGTTAGCATTGTCAGAGTTTAATTCGCCCCAGCCGGGTGCCTTGCGCCTTGTGCCCTACCGATGATCGGGTCAAGAATCCAACGTGGCCACCACAAAGTACAACCACACTAAACCCTATGGTAAGCTCCTCCCTCCCACGGCGTAATACTGGCAATAATAATACAGTTTTAATAACTATGGAACTTTGTTCCTTGTATGACGGAAGACCGGATGACAGGATCTGATTATTGATTTTGGAAGCAGAGGCGGCCACGTTCTGGGTAAAGTGTATCTGGTATGTAAGTAGGTTACGATGTACTCTGGCCATACATACATATACAAATCATACAGAACACATACAAAATCGACCTCCCATTACGGCTGGCTTGTTCATTTCTTGTCATTTCTTGTCTCTTTTGCCTCTTTTTCACCACCACGTCAACCATTCCCCCCCCCCCCCCCCGAACTGCAAGTTAACTCCGACCCAAAGACCCATCGACTGACTACTCGATGTTTCAATAATCATCTTTATTTCCATTATTATATTATTATTACTATTATTTGTTCATTTATTTTCCCCCCCCCCCTCCCCTTATTCCCTTTTCGTCTCGTTTTTGGCCTCGCGCCTTGGATGTTCCAGAGTCCAGCATCACCCCAGCTCCTTCTTCCCTTTCCCTTTCTCCACCTTTCCCACCGTCTCTCCCTTTCGCTTTCCATCTCTTCCTTCTTGGCTCAGCTCGGTGAGGATGAGATCACCGGAGTTGCCTCCCCTTCGATCTTAATTACTTTGTGGCTCGTGCCCTTGGACCCAATCAACTCGCTGCACCGCCATCTTGCCTGACTTGTCTACCTGCCCGATTTCCGGCCGCACTTAGCCTTGTTCTTTCTATTTCTCCTCCTACTCTTGCCCTCTTCTATTTTCCGCGCTGTTGCCCTGGTTTTGAACTAGTGGACACCCATTGTCTTCCTATCTTGTTTCTTCCTTGTTGCCTCGCGCAACAGCTAGGAGAATTCCCCAATTTGTCAGTTGTTCAGCTAGTGGCGGCGTTCCCGATAGAAGACCACGATCAAGATCCTTGGCTATCTTGTTCTTCTTGGTACTCGCGGCTACTCTTCTTGTGGAGGGTATCTAATTGCATTCGACGTTCTCTCTCTCTTCCACCGCGGAAGTGATACCCAACGTTCTCTTCGCCTCCCCCTCCGGTTCTTGGGATTAACATTTTCTTGATTTTCTCTTTTTTCTTCCAATTTAAAAGAAAAGGGAACACGAAAGTCCCCTCCCAGACGTCGAGCGCAAGACCAGAAAAAAGCATATGTCGCACTGGTCCCGCTCTGTACGATTGACTGTGGTTTCTATGGGACACACGACGGCTTCTGGACAGGGCTGTGTGTCACTCGTGCGGCAAACGTTTCATCCCATGAGGCGAATCGCCGAAAGTAAGTCACCCAAAAAGTTCAGCCCTACTCGTTGCAACTCGTGGTCTGCCATTCTACCCCCACTGCTTTATTCCTTTTTTTTCTCCCTCCTATTCTTATGGTCTTTTTGTGACCCATGCATGTCACTATCACCTAATACCACGCTCTCCACCCTGTCCATTACTCCACCCTATTCATCTACCCGCCTAGTCCTGGGCCACCCACGATATTAGGTCACTCGTCGCGCTCTTGCAACTTTCCCTCGGTGCCACCGGTCTGACTCGCAACTACAGCTGCTAGCATATTCCCAGTCGCATGAACACTGATTTTCAGGGCGTATTGGTGCTTAGTCCTGGCGTTCTGGACACGCACCTTGCCGTCGGCTCGCGCTTGCTGACCCCAGTTGAAGCTGGACCTTCTGGTTCCAAGTCGTCGGAGGCGCTGGTTAAACGGTCCCCCTAACAATCCACGGCCGGTTTCACGACGCTTGTAACTCAACTGGATTGGGTTATTGCTGCGACCACCATCTGGATTCAATCTACTTATCATTCTATCTCAAACCCATTCGCCTTTGGGGGTTTCGTACTTCTCTTTCTGATTTGCTTATTTTTGTTGTCCCTTGTTCCTTCGGTCATCTTGTGAGGCTGTCATCCGGCTGTTCTCCGCCATCCCCACCTGCTCGGCCGTATCTCTCAGCCTCAGCCCGTCCATGCTAGCTTCGCTGCCTACTCCCCCGCTTTGAATTGCCCTTGACCAGACGAGCATGGACCCACGAATGCCGACGCCGAACTTTCATGATTTCAAGGACCACCACGAACGCCATTCCGAACGCGTCCATATGATGCCCAGCCACTCATATTCATCGCGCGGCCCATTACCCATACCTTCTCGGCCCATCATGCACACCGCTCCGCCACCGTTACCTCCGCCGCCGCGTATTCGTGATCTTGAAAATGGTTACGATGCGGGTTGGTTATATGCGAATTCAAGTCGCTCAACGACGAGTCTTCCCCCGATCAACCCGAGTTCGAGTCTTTTTGGTGGTCACCGACGACCCGATTCTGCGCCGCTGAGTGATCGTATGGCGGTGGATGAATTAGAAGGACGACAAAATGGATTGCCGCTTTCGCGCAGCCCAGAGGCACAGATTAAAGTTGAACCGCCACCTCCTACAGAAGAGGGGTTCCCAAACTCCATGTCTGTCAATACGACGGGTTCTATGTAAGTTGTGGAAGTGGAAACTGCCATTGGTGATATTCGCAGATCCTCTGACTCGCGTATGCTTCATGCTTGGGGGGTGAACAAAGTACTAATAAATTTTATAGTCTAAAGGGCGAGCAAAACTTTTCGCTGCGCAGTGTCAAAGACTCGTCCAATGCATACGATCAACATGTACTTTCGAAGATTGGAAACTCACTTTCACCACGCAACTCGATCAGCCAAGGATCTGATCACCGAGGCTCAATTTCGGCACTAACAGTCCCATCAATTCCGTCTCGCGCATCCAGTAACTTGCCATCCCCGGGACCGTCAGAAGCAGGCTCGACCCTGGATGTGAAATGGTATAGCAGCCCTCAATCTGGTGGTGTGTCCCCCAGGAGCAAAGCTGGATGGAGGGAGTACATTGAAGGGCGCAGTCCGAGCGTGGAAAGTAATGCACCTTACTCGGCGGTGGAATACGATATGCGAGATATGGGTCGACGACGATATCGCGGAACGACACCTTCCAGGGAGGACAGCATCAGTCTACCCAGCCGTTCCAATCGCGGGAGCTACGATCAAGGCGTTTTCTCCGACATTGACGGTGAATTTTCTACCGATGACCCTGCTCCGCCTCGCCAGTTTATCCTCCGGGAACCCACGCCGCCATATCCCGAGGGTTCAAGGCAGGGCATGAAACGACGAGCATCTTCACCACCACGAGAGCCGATAAGTGACGATAGGCATACCTTGCATCAAGCAACGAGCAGTGGTGATCTGTCGCAACGGCGGACGGGTGGACAGCCCTTCACGAATACACTTTCGGTGAACCCGAGCTATGCCTCGAGCCATAGGACTCTTTCCGCAGCATCCTCGCTAAGCATTCGAACTTCCGGATCGTATTCATCTGCCCTTTCAATCGGTGGCAGCAGCATGACCAGTCTTTCTCCGTACGACCGGCCATCTCCGGGAGGCCTCTCGCCGTGCTCTGATTTGGATACGTTCCACGATAAGTCGATTCTGAATTCGAGCTCTCCTGCGTCGTTGATGCAGTCACTTCCAAGGCCTATGGCGGGGTCAAATACCCTAGAACCGCCTGCTACTGATGCTACAGGCAAGGTGTCCATGCCAAGTATTCTAAGTGTGCCCAAGACTTCTTCCACATCAAAAATGGGCGGACTTTATATCTGTGATTGTTGTCCAAAGAAGCCGAAGAAATTTGACAATCCAGATGATCTCCGGTAAGCTCCATGCCAAATTTACATTTACTTGATGGTTTTCCACTCTAACTCCAAAAACAGCTCTCATGAAATGGAAAAGCAATACTCTTGTCAATACTGCAACAATCGCTTCAAGAACAAGAACGAAGCAGAGCGACACCAAAATTCTCTACATCTCCGTCGCCACTCCTGGTCCTGTGCCGCCCTCCCAAGCTTCCAAGCCGCCTTCCACGGCTCCGCCTCTCCATCCTGCCAGACCAACGCCGGCCCCTCTCACGACTCTTGTGGTTACTGTGGTGAAGAATTCCCCAATTACCCTCGCCCAGATTGGGACCGCCGATTCGAGCACCTTACGACCGTGCACAAGTTCGGCGAGTGCAACAACGCGAAGAAGTTCTTCCGCGCGGACCACTTCCGCCAGCATCTCAAGCACAGCCATGCTGGAAGTAGCGGCAAGTGGACTAATATCCTTGAAAATGCCTGCATGAAGGAAGAGCAGCCGCCCGAGCCTAGGGATAAGTCTGGGGGTGTATCTGGGCTGCAAGGCTCAGGATCGCTGACCTCAAATACCATTGATGAGGTCCTCACTGAGCAGTGACATTTGCTTGGGCGCGCCGCGCCCAATTTTGTGGTTTGGGTTTCTTCTGCATTGCTGTATTACAGCATTGCGCTTCATCATGCCTATTCTCCGAAGGGTAGCGAGTCACATCCATTCGCTATATACGCTGTGTCCGTACCCGCATCCCCATTTCTACCTTTCAACCCGTAGAGGACCGATCCTCCAGGGTAAACCCCCAAATGCACAATCAAAAAAAAGCGATCCAATCTTTCCAGAAAGTGCCTCCTCCGGGAAGCACATCAAGGCATTGGATATAACGATATGACATGATCTCCTCTTACCTACCATCTCCATCAGTGATCATTCAGTTCTTGTTATTTTGTTACACCGTTCGAAGGAAGGCAAGGAGTGTAGAACGGGGAGTTTTTGTGTGTTCCTGGGTCTTGGGGGTTAGGTTACAGCTTCCGTGTACACCTGGAGCATCATTACCTGGGTGGATTGAATCTTTCTTATTTCTCCATTATTCGGAGTACATCTTTTTGTGTTTGTCATGATCGGTGGAGTCGGTGCATGGTTTGGGTGGTCTGGATTTTATATTTTGGGCTTTGTAAAAGCAAGACCTTTGTCTGATCAAAGAGGTATATATTCCCCATTGTATATAGGAACTGAAATTAGACCGCAGTCAATGGCTTCTTCTTCTTCTTCTTCTTCTTCTTCTTCTTCTTCTTCTTGTTCTTCTTACTCGAGCAATTTGGATCCGCGTCTTTGTGTGCACTGCGTCGTGTATGGTTACAGCGTATGCTCACCTCGTCAAAGAAATATGGAGGTCGTATACTTCCTGTTTTGTTCTACCTATGCAACACTATACTACATCCAATTGTTGGCTAAGCTTAACATTCAAGTTTCTCGACAAATCGCGAGCCACCAACATAGCCATATCAGACTTCCTCCCGAGATATTGAAGCGCCGAAATGCAAAACTCGCAGTTCTGCCTGAAATACTCAAACAATGAATCCTGCTCACCAGACATAACCATTCCATCCACTGAAATGTATCCAGCCTTACCAAACGAGTGAATCAAAACAACAGTCCACGGCTCAGTGAGGAAAGCAACCTCAGTAAGTGAATCATGGAAATCCCCACGCACGATGGACTCTTTTCCACGGAGTGAAGAGCGAGCAAGAGCCCCAACCGCAAACGCATTCTCTCTTCTCAACTTCGTGATAAAGTTTGACGACTGTCGAGATTCGCGCTGGAGGTCAGAGCCCAGGCGTCCCCGATCAACCGTTTCCAGCACATCTGCTAGGAGCATGGCCGCTAGATGCCAATGGCCGTCGAGGATGACGTACCATGACTGTATACGCGGTGGAAGGAGTTCGTGATTCGCGACACAGTCCAGCATGAATCGCTGATATGTGTTATTCCAGTGGTGATAGACCAGGAGTGTTTCCTTGATGACTTCTTCGAGACGCTTTGGCCCGACACCTCGATATACCAAGGTTTGAAGTTGCGTGACGCGGCGATAGAGGAGAACCTTGACGGGGGTGGCTTCTGAAAGTACGGAGGCGGCTTCTTCGTAAGAGCATGGCCATCGGGGCTGTTCTTGACTGAATGCTTGGTGGAGGAAGAAATCGCCCCATACGTCCTGTTTCTTCTGTATTTCACTTTGTGGGAGATTCCAGCCGTTGAGATCTACCTGATCTTCAAAATCAGATACAGGAGTTGCGGTCGAGGTAATTTGACTATCCTCGTCTGATACTACCAGTGGGCGTTGGTACATGGCAGCACTGAGTGTATCGAACATGACCCCGAGCCAGAACAACAGGCTTAACGTGGTGCGGTATTCGTCACTGACGAGGGTAGAATCGACGGGCGCAGAGCTTGAGAACTTGGGGATTTCAGACATATCAGTTAGTGTGGATCCTACAGATCCTCTCCGAAGTTCCGTCACGCTTGACGGCGCCTCTCGTTGAAGTCTTATCAACTTGTGTCGAAAAGTGAACAACTGACGATTGGCATGCTCCAAAAACATTGGCGCAACGTCGTTTTCCAACAACTGGCCCAGACGCTCATCTTCATCTTCATCCAATGGACATTGAGTCAGAGAGAAAATGATATTGGCGAAGATAATACGGAATGATGGGATGCCGGTCGTGTGCTCCAAGGCATGACGAGCCTGATTCCAAACGTTCTCCCGGATAGACCGTTCGTCACGAGCAATTTCCGCTGGAACGTTGAGACTCGAACCCCTCTGTGCATGTTGGGTCCACTGCGAGGCAAATGCGACGATCGCCAGATGAAGTGCCCGAGCTGCCGCTTTGTCCTCGTCCGCGCTCAAACTCCGGCCACGGACTAGAGAAGATGCACGATCTAACCGACACACTCGAATGCACATCCTATTTGACCAGTTTGAACTCCACTCCTTTCTTTTTCTAAAGGGGGAGATATCAGTCAATGGGTCGCTGTAGGGGCAATTGTGTTCTGTCAGCCAACATGATAATGCGTTCTCCAGGCTATCATGATAGATTCGAATCAAGTTCCGTGTCATCGTGGACCGTGCATATTCAGCGGCCGTTTTATTTGAGGCGATACAGAAATGGCACTCAAATTTGGACTTCGGCTTCTTATTGGGACTGTATTCTGGAACAATGATGTTGAGAGCGGAAGAGTCAAGTGTACTCATTCCAAGACTATTTTCCTCGAAATGCGGGATCGCATCGAATGCATTTCCAAGCGATCTTGGTGACAGCTCGCTGAATGGTTTACCGAATTCTTGAGTGGACGTCGCCGAGAACCAGAAATCTTCTGGGACGCTTGTATCCCAAGAAGTAAACTCGAACTGGTCATCGCCGTACGACTGACCTACGACTTCTTCGGCGACGGTACCTCCCAGATTCAATGAAGGAGGGGAGAACGAGGTACGATTTGTAGTGGAGGCAGGAGTAATCATGCCTTCAGAGTTGGCTGGATACCATTGCGAAGAAAGCAATATGTCATCTAAGATATCGCCATGAGAGTTGATCAAAGATGGAAGTTCACTGTTCTGAGCGGGTGCTGTAGCCGCAGCACTGGCTTTTGCTTTGCGGTGGTCTCTCTTGGATTCCACGCGCTTCACTGAAAGGAAGTTGAAGGTGCATTCCTTCTTCCATTTTTTGCAGTTGGAGCAGGAGCTGAAACCGTTATCCTTTCGATTTTTCTAGAATTTCCAGTCAGAGTCCGCGCCTGCTGTGGGAGAAAATCATTACGAACCGGAGCATCGCAGCCCCTCTTGCCTTTGCGGCACGGGTCACAACTATGAAGTTGGCTTCGACGAGCGGTCTCCATAGTGGAACGATGGAGTATAAATGTCGTAATGGAAATTGCTTGGTAGGAGATGGGACTGCCGCCCTCGAGTATGAACTGCCGTCCCTCCCAGTGGATCCGGGCAGAGGAGGGGTAAGGTTGGCATGCGAACGCCAAGTTAAAATACATCGTTCACCTCTGGGGTAAAGGCGAAATTCTGCGGAGACTAAGTGGGGGGTTCGTATGTGCACGTCCTCCATTCGGGTCAGCGGAACTATATGTAGCTCTTCTCATGTGCTCATGAACAGCTTTAAGCTTGGGTCAACAGCTCATTTTGAGGATCTTAAGAAATACAAGATTGCTTATTTTGTTGATTGAAATCAATTTCATCTACAATCCACTTTGTTGAGCTTTGTGAGGATTATACTATACTGGCTTTGTCTACGGAGTAGTGTAAGATGCAGTGTTATGTACCGTACCGTGTGGCAGGAAATTGGGGATCTGGGGTAGGGGCCGAGTATGCACACGCAAAGGCTCGACCAATCACCGGGCTTGATGGTGGAAAGGAGCATGTTGGACGAATTAGACAAAGTTTTGAGTGGAGCCTAAGCAGCCAGCGAGATGCGGGTTTGAACCTTTGTGCGATGATCCTTACCAAAGATGACGGAGTAATACTGGCCGACCGGAAGGAGCTACTGCGAACTAAAACTCCTGCAAGATCACGTCGACATGGAAGATAGATAACGAGCTGTGAATTCAAACATGACACTGGAGATTTTCCTTGGAAGTTAGAATACTGGGTCTTAGATTTAAATAGGATAGACAAGAAAGCAGCCTCGAGATCCTCTGCGGTAATACCCATGTTCAAGGATATACATGTACTAAATCACCACCTCGATAGGAACATCCACTACCGCTCAGGTGCGTCTGCAAACACAATTTTGAAGACTCTTATGCCAGATTCTGGAGTCGCGTTGTTGAAGTTGATTCTAGCAATCTCTCGATGACAATCTGGAGATATACTCGATTTGGAAAGAGCTCCACAAATACCGATCCCAAATTACACAATTATAAAGCCTCACAATCTGCAAGTGAGCATGATCTGACAAACTTCTATATTCAAACGCATGTTTATTCACTGCTTCAACTCTGAAAGATTGCTGTACTCTAACACCCGTCTACAGTCCAGCCTCCGATCACGATCCATTCTCTACTCCGGCATTTCGAGTACATAGCGGCCTGCAATTTTGCCTTGCTCTATTTTTTTTTTCATCAGTACCAGACACATTAGTTTCTATGAGAGTGCAACGTACCCATCAGTTCGTAAATCGCTGGAAGATCCTCCAGTGGAGCCAGCTTGAATGGAGCCTTGATCAAGCCCCGTGCAAAGAAGTCGATGGCTTCCACACCGTCCTGTCGGTTTCCAACGTAGCTACCCTTAATATTGATCATGCGCACAACCGTGTTCAGCACAGGGGCCTTCAGGTATGCATCGGGGGGCAATCCAATGGCAATGATTGTTCCGCGAGAGCGAACGTACTCAGTAGCCTGCTGGAAAGGCCTTTCAGAGACTGCCAACAAGATGACAGCATGGGCTCCAAGCCCGCCAGGGGTCGCCGCTTTCACGTCGGCCACCAGATCCTTAGACTTCAGGAAGTCAACGTAGAACTTTTTTTCGGTTAGCTTCAATCTTCATTTCTTTTTCCTGAGTATAATTTAAAGGAGAGATCTGTAAATACCTCAGCACCAAGTGACTCGCACATAGCTCTCTTCTCGTCACCCCCGTCGACGGCGACGACACGGACACCCATGGCCTTAGCGTATTGCTGAGCAAGGGATCCGAGGCCACCTCCAGCTCCGACAATGGCGACTGTCTGACCAGGACGAACTCCAGACTCCTTCAATCCCTTGTACACAGTAATACCAGCACACAGAACCGGAGCAATGGCATCAAGAGGGACATCCTTAGGAATTTTGGAGGCATGAGTCGCCTTTCCCACCGTATACTGCTGAAAAGTGCCATCCACAGTATATCCAGAAAGCTTTGCATGGGCACAAAGAGGATCGTCAGATTGCCTGCAAAATTCACACTCGGTGCAAGAGCCATTGAGCCACTTGATCCCGGCATGATCGCCAATTTGGAACTCATTGACCAAGGATCCCTTGGCCACAACCACTCCAGCGCCTTCGTGTCCCCCCACAAGGGGCATCTTGACTGGGATCGGCCAGTGACCCATCATAGCATGCAAGTCGGTGTGACAAACACCGGAGTAACGAATCTTGACTAGAATCTCGTCCGGGCCAGGCTTGGGAACTGGTATCTGCTTGTAGACCAGAGGCCCTCCGATCTTTTCGGCAACCTGGGCCCATTGCATCTCGGGGATAAAAATTTTGGTCATCTTGGTTGGATGGAATGATATATGAAGCTGGATAGCTCTATACTGAGTAGAGAAGTGTGATTCTGAATAAATTGATGATGGAGAACTACGTGAGTATAAAGTCTTTATAGCTAGTTGACCTGATAGACGACAATAGAATTTTTCTCGTGCTTCCTGACATCTTGGCCGATTATCTCGGGCAACCGGAAGGTAGACTGAAAAAGAGAATATGAAGGTCTTGCCAAACTTGGCTCCAAAAAGTCTGTACAGGTGATGATGAGGGTAATCCCCATACAATGCGGGGAAGGTTTTGCGGGGATTGTGGCAAACACGGCCTTCGGTGCGGCTCCGCATACTTTATCACACTTGACAGCATTTCGATCCATTAATCGTGGAAAGTCAACCATGTGATCGCGAGAGCTCGGTCTGACTCTTGAGCTCTGATTCATTGCTACCCAGGAGTTTATGCTCTTGCAAGTATTTTCATATCTCTGGACATATATGACGGAATTCTCCGCTTAGGCTTGTCTTTATGCCTCAGCCAGCACTAGCGATGTATACCAAAAATCACCATCCAGATTCCTACCTGTTCTTTTATTTCTCCAAGTCTAAATAAACTCGCGAGATCAAAATAAATCTATCTTATTGTAGCATGGATTTCATACTAAACTTTACAAGATAATTTAGAGCGGCTTCGAAGAATCCTGATCAGAGGGTTCTTAGGCCACAAGCAAGACGTTCGTCTCACCTTCCAAATTAATAACGTTCATTTCATAAAGTGTTTTAGAATAATTAAATCCATTAATTTCTCGTTTCTATCATAGATTTATTGATCCTGCAGGCTCCTCACTTACTCCACACGGCAAGAATGTACTTGACCAGCCACTGTTAATGGTGAAACCGATCGTCTTGCCACACGTCACGCTTTCAATCCCATGACTATGGTTATCCGCCACTGGTGTCATCAAAAGTGAGCCCCCATTGAATGTCAATGACTGCGTTTGAAGGTTTATTATTTTCTGAGACTGGTATTGTGCCTTCTGTCGGCTGAGCAATAAGGTTGGACTTTCAATGTGGAGTATTGATGGGTCGACAAAACTGTAGGGACTTTGTTCAGTGGAATAGTCCTCGGGGGGATTCGCCTGTCCTGCAAAAGTAGCCCCAAATTTATTGACTGGATTGGAGGGTAATGCCCAATGGTCTGTGCCGTTGAGCCGGCTTCTTTGGGCATTAGAACTCATATCAGAATGGGATGCACCACAGTGCCGGTCAACTCTGGGTGATTTCTTGGACATGTCGTAGAGATATTTGGGTATCTTGCGATCACCATCGACGCATGTCTCGGATATACCTCGTCTTTTGCATTCCTGACAGGGGCGCTCATTGCCTGATATGCTAATGTCAGAATTGTTTAATGATGTGAATCATCACAAGGGGGTTCTGTTTGACTTGCCACATGTTCTATGTGATTTCTGGCAGTTGAGACAAGATCTCCTGGCCATTTTCCGGCGGAAAGTTGTGTCACTATCATCCAACGACCTCATAATCCTTTTGCTAGGTGATTGCTTATGCTCCATTGAAATAGAGATTCCGCGTGATCGAGAGCATTCAAGGTGATTCTGACAAATGCTAAAGAGACCAGGTGTTGACTTGATGATGTAGCAAGACTTTTGCACGGAAAGGCAACAAGTGAAAACCTGGTGCAATTGGATGATGGATACAAACAGTCTGAAAGTAATCATCTATCTTGACCATTTAATAGTATTCAATTTTGATGCTATGACCTTCTTCCCTTGTGTTGCATCCAATTTCAAAAGATGATCTACGGGTTAGGCTCCGCATGTTCACGTTATTACCCAACAGAGGTAGCAAATTTAGCCACCCCCTATTGTCCAGATTTAGAATTCCCATTCGTCCCCACAAATCGCGGAAGCTTATCAGAAATCCCCTGGTTTTGAGTTTCCACTATGCGGATCCGCATAGGGCAAGACCTCCCTATGATCCGTACGGCGAGCCAGCACAGACCCCAGGAAATAGGCTCCACTTTGAGGATCTACGAGTGTCCTCAAGATAGATGTCATACTTAATTGAGTAAAAGTGAGCGCATAATGAATTGTCACTGATCGTATATTAGATGGAAAAATTTATCAATACTAGTGAGGCGCACAGAGACTCATAGTGATGCAGCAGTAAATACGCTGAGCAGCAAAGGCTTCTGGATCATTGATGAACAGCAATTTGCTTTTGGTTTGCTTCTTACCGCCAAATTTCTAATTGTATAGGTAGCTACCTAGGATAGCGCGCTGTTCTGAATTGAGCTCTGGTAATAGACTGCAGTGTTTCTGGGCCATGAAGAATCGATTTTATTGTCATTTCACCATTTGTACAGTATTCCGGTTCACTGCATGTCAACCAGAGCATAGGAATGTACTTTTATGAAACTATGCCTTTCAGGTATAGCAAGAAAATGTACATATGTTCTGGATTACGAATGATTTTGGATGCCTTCCTCTTTACAAATTTGCTGCTTTAACAGTTCCTCGACAAGTTCCAAACCCCCCGCGTCTTTTATCATCCTGGCCTACAAACCAAGCTTCCATGATAACCTCATCTCCATCTTCCAGAAAAACGAGATTGTCTTGCTTCATGATTGAAAGTTGGTTCTGCGGTGCTAATCTTTCGATCAGACAAGCAAGGCCAATCTTTTCATTCGCATCATTCACGCGCTTTGGTCAATTAGCTAAGTTGAAGGATTTCATTGCTGAGCCTGGAGTTGGAACAAACTCACATCACTTGAAATGGTTCCTGTTCCGAATATGTCTCCAGTTGTTAGTGGTTCACCAGCACTGACTAGATGAGTAAGCTGTTGATACGGTGTCCAGTACAGTTCCTTCAAATTGGTCGAAGTGACCTGATAGCATTTCCGTTGTCCTGACACGCAAAAACTGAGCATTAACTATAAGATCACATAGGTGGTAAGGGACGGTTTCTTACGGATAATCTGGACAGATAGGTCAATGTCAAAGGTCGCACAATCCGATGGCCCGTTCCAGGCCAAATGTGGCGGAGGGGCCGGGTTCTGGGGAATAGTTCGAGAAGTCTCAGAACATTCCAGTGCTTCCATGGTCACAATCCATGGAGAGATACTTGTCATGAAGCCTTTGCTGTGAAAAGGGCCTAATGGTGTCATTTCAAATGACTGTATATCTCTGGAAGACCAGTCATTTAGGATGACAAAGCCGAAAATATGGTCTTTGGCTTCTTTAGTCGTCAATCGTTGGCCCGGTGGAAGCGGTTTTGAAATGATAACGCCCATCTCAAGTTCGAAGTCCAGCTTTCTAGTAGCTGCGTAGACAGGGGTGGAGGTTAGCGTTTCCTGGATAACCCCACGCGGTCTAGTGACTGGTGTCCCAGAAACTTGAAGGCTGGAGGTCCTGCTGCAATAAACAGATGGCACACTAAACCAGCTGGGCTGCATCTTTGCGCCCATTACTATAGCACACTCCGAATCGTTAGGATTTATAGTACTGCAGTTTTCAAGTCAAAGGTGTGTTTACCTACATTCTTTGCATGCTCAAGTGAGCAGTAGAAGTCCGAAAAGTTGTACGTATTCATGGGGAGATGGTTGGTTACCATCTCTAGTGGAGTGAAATATTTGTTGCCGGAGTTAGAGTCCGAGATAAGAAAGCGTGTCAGGCGTCGTCTGACTTCAACATGGCTTTCTGTGGGTAAAACGACAAACTCATTCAGGTACGTCTATACTTCTTGTAAGCAATATACAGGTTTCAGATTGTTCGGAGTAAAACTTGAATACCTGGCCGAAGATACTCTTTCCCTCGAATCCCGGGATATCCTGAAAGAATCCATCCTCTTCAAGGGCGTGAAGCTCTAATGCATTGGCTTCGAATGCAGTTGCACATCTAAGCTTGGGATCGGAAGCGGTCGAGATAACCCCGTAAGGGAGGTTACTAAGGGTGAATGGTGTTGTCATTTTTCAATATTGCATCAGCGCAAGACAATTCTCCAGTAGGTAATGGATCAGATGAGGTCTCTGGTGTCCTAGGGACTCTACTGAACCATGAATTGAAACCTTGCATCACAGTCATGAGCATATGTACTATATATATCAGAAAAATTCATATTCGAGGGAGAGTGGGTCGTCCGATCCCGTGAGCGGAAGGATTCAGTCGATCGCACTCCCTAGCCAGATATTACTGGCGAACTAAAACCGCCGTGGAAATAATGGATCGGAGGACCTCGGCGAACACACAATAAATGAGCTTTGGATATGCAAGCTAGAACCTTGGAAACATTCAACCCTGTCTATAAAATAATGGGTTTCCCCGTGGACTTTAATTTCAGCCAGCTTGCCTCACATTCTTTCATCCTTCCAAGATTGTTACTCAAGGTTTTCTCTGCTATGTCTTCTCAAACTTTGCAGCAAATCTCCACTCTCCCTCAGCTTACAAAGTTCGTGACAGGCCATGATGAATATGGCAGGTCTGAAATTCATGAATCCTCTGCCTTCACATGGTCCAGCCACGACGACAACAAGATGGGCTTTAGTGTAGCCTATACCACTTCTTCGTCTCCGGCAGTTTTAACGAACAACGCCGACCTCGAGGCCCACAAACAGACTATGACTAAGGGATTAGGATTGGTAAATCCGAAGGGCTCGGTTGTTCGGTGTGTGGACTTTGCGCCAGGCTATTCCTGCTCGATGCATCGGACGAAGAGTCTGGATTACGGCGTCGTCTTGGAGGGTGAAATCGAGATGGTGTTAGACTCCGGAGTCTCCAAGCTGCATCGGGGTGATATTGCAGTGCAAAGGGCTACAAACCACCAATGGAGAAATACATCGTCCACTAATTGGGCGCGGATGATGTTCGTACTGCTGGATTGTGAGACTGATATGAAGGAAGATCTCGGCGAGGGTGTTGGAGGATTGCTACCCAGCGGAAATTAGTGATATCACCACAAAGTGCACTTCTCTGCTGCATCAAATTGGCATGCTTTTTGAATTGTGCTTTTGCAGCGACACCCAAATGGCTACTTTGTCGGCGCAATGCCATTAAGCTGCGGAGTTCCTTAACACGCCCTCTACATCATTTACTATTTAATGTAGGGATGGTAGGTGGTATCAGTGGCTCGAATTGGAAAGACAGTTAGGGAGACTGTTGGTCTGAACTACTTGCAGTGCGTGTCGCAATAACATTTTGAGGTGTCGTATTAAAAGCCCCCTATTTTCGTGTTGAAGGCTGGGGCGACACAATGCTCTCAATGGATTGGATAGATAGTTTAAATTTTTAGTGGCTATTCGCCTGCTCAGGATATTGAGGCATGTAGCAAAGCTGGGGAATTCGATTCAACTTATTATGGGCATTTCCCCTTTATAGACTGTTCGTAAATATCCCATGAGGAGTGGAAGGACTAAAAAAGCGGTGCCCCCTCCCATACGTGAAAAATTCATCACAGTATTAGGTGATAAAGCCCCCTTGATCGACATGGAAGTAGACTGCTCCACACTCTCTTACCTTCTCTTTCCTCGCGTTCCATTTGCCCAGCAATTTGTGCATGCAGGAGACAGGTCAGCTGCATGTTACAGGGATTTTGCTTCCTCCGATCACATGAGCGCTCGAAATTCCTATTAGGATAAAGCATTAGTTACTGAAGCCTGAGTAAGCCCCGTCTCTATACTATTAAATGGGTGCCCGGTGTGCGATGAGCATAGCAATATCTTGTTATCACAATCCGCGACAGAATACCTTTCCACCATGCCGGCAACGCCGTACAAGCATACTACTAACGCAAAAATCGAGAATGTTGAGCCAAAATCTCATTCTCAATCTGACGCTACCGTGCTTGTCCCGGAACCTTCAGATGATCCTAATGATCCTCTGGTAAGACTCCTCACAATTTAGGTTGATTGTTAATTGTTTTAATCCATTGAAGAATTGGCCGACATCCAAAAAATATGTCACTCTCGCGATCTGGAGCCTCGCGTCATTCTCGAGCCAGGCGTCCGCCATGGCAAACCTGCAAGGGTATGTCCTGCAGGCTCCCCTATACGGAAAGACTCCGGTGCAAGTCTCATACTCGGTGCGTATTAGTTGAGTACTATTTGTTTCACGTATTTTCTGACTTGAGACCATAGATATCAGCCGCCCTTGCTGGTCTTATCGCTGGCGCGCTTATAGTTGTTCCGCTCGGCCGTAAATTTGGATCCTGTTTTTGCCTCCTGTGGTCAACGATCGGCGTACTAGTGACCGCCATTTGGTCTGCATTGATGACTTCTAGTAAGGATTACAACGCATTTATTGTCTCCCGTTTGTTTGCCGGAATCTTTGCCTCCCCTCCTCTCATCTTGGGCAGCGCTACAGTGCTTCGGATTTTCTTCCGTAACCAACGCGGAAAATGCCTTCATATCCTCCATGTCCCATATTTGTTGGGCGCAGTGGCCGGACCGACATTTGGAGGTTTCATCGTGGCAAAGCACCCCTGGCCGATTCAGTTTTGGTGGACAGTGGCTATGAATGGTCTGCTGATAGTGTTGATTTTACTATTCCTCGACAATACCGAGTACAGCCGGAACAGCCAGTCGTCTCAGCCAATTTCACTTAGCGAGCCTCTCTTAACGCGTCGCATGAAAACCTACCTCTATGGGTCGGCGGCTATCGAACACGTTTCTTTTTCGCAATGTGTGAGTCTACCCGTATGCCGCTAATGTCACTGACACGTCCTAATTGAGATCATGATTGAGCTTCGGACTGTTGGTGACGAGATTCTCATTGGCCTGTGTCCGATCAGTATCCTTGCTGGTTTGGTCCTACTCGTTGATTTCGGGTTTGCTACAATGTCGTACGTATTGAACATTCTGTTCGTCGAGCAACCGGTCAGTGAGGGTGGCTATGCCTTCAATTCCAATCAGACAGCTGCATGTCAGTAATCCAATTCTATAACCTAATCTGTCTAGTCACTGACCTATTTATTCAGTCACAATTAGCCAATGGATTGGCCTTGGTATCGCCGAGACCTACGGTCACTTTGTCAGTGATCGCCTGCCATTGTGGTTATGCCGACGAAACAACAATATTTGGAAACAGGAGTACCGTCTCTATTGTACCGCTGCTCCAGTCATCATCTTGCCAATAGGTCTGGGGCTCTTTGCCTCAGCTCTGCAATACCACCTACATTGGGTTGTCCTAGCTCTAGGCTCGGTGCTGATATTCGCTGCGGGAATGTCCGTGGTTCCAATTGTCATGACCTACCTTTGCGAGTGCTTCCCTAACCATGCCTCAGAGACGTCAGCCATCATGAGTGTTTACAGACTCGGGTTTGGTCTCTCCACAACATTTTTTGCTACTCCATGGATCAATAAGGTTGGGATAGGCTGGACCTTCGGGATGGCAGCCATATTTACGGTCTCTATTTCTGTTAACTTGGCGTTTCTGATTTGGAAAGGACCTCAGGCTATGAAATGGAGTCCTTTTAAGCGAAATGCAGATAGCCACTTTGGTCGCAATGATCTAGAAGAAGCTTAGCTGTCGGTATAATGAACATTGGAACGGAGTATGTGTGAATATCCTTATGCTATGGATTAGTTCATAGTCGGGCACCTATAAGCATTGGTCCCAAATTATACAAACTACGCGATAAGGATATGTAATCAGTGCTTATTATATTGCCCTTCTAATACACTAAGTCTGTGATCTGAAAATTGCCTATCATGCCCGGAATTGGGGGGCTGGGACATAACCGAACCGAACAATATAATCGAACAATAGGATGATTTTGCCTACTTCAAATATATGGAGAAGGAATAAATTTGATCGAATTTGTGTTAGAGCTGTTGATGGTGAATTCGGAAATAAACAGCGGCGTTTGAATAAATTTCTGTGTGATAATAGTCTGTGCTTGATAGAGTTTTTATACCTGAGCGAAACAATCCTGGGGTAAAGTCAGACCTAGAAAAGCGCAAAATGATGGACCGAGCTCCGCCCAGAAGCGAAACACTTACCATAAACTCCCATTGTCCGATCAACATATCAAACTGATTCAGATCAAGTTCACCAATGAACGAAAGGTCAATTTCTGAAAAAGAAGCATTTTGGTCAATCCCTAAGGCCCTCTCGCGTCGCTCTACAGAGTCATTGATCAGGTTCGGATATGTAGCGATCTCATCCGCCAAATGTTCCGCGCTTTCAAGTCCGATACTGCGAGATGACATCGACACGGGTGATGGGAACATAGTTGGGGATGACGGATTGTTCACAGCGTTGACCACGCCCGGGCTTGAGTGTAACTGCTGTAAGGCCCTAAGCCTTTCACGAGAAGAGAATGACACCTTCTGAAGCATCGAGAGTCCAGTCAAGGGCACGGCGAACATGGCCTCTACACTCAACGGCGAGAATGTGAACTCTTTGCCAAGTTCGAGGATTGCACGTCCAGCATACCAGAGAGCTCTACTGATATGCTCTGGGTACGGGTCCAGGAGAAGAATGTTGCCATTAGGTTGAGCCCCTGTAGGACTGATAACCACACGTATGAGGTTATTTAGCTCTCTGGTGGAGCTTAAAAGAAGGATAGAGTAACTGGGTAAGATGTCGCGTAGGTTTGGTATCTGGTGAATGACATCAAGGAAAGTAAGCACACCCAGATGGAAGTGCAGAGTGAGTAAGACTTTACATCCAGATCAGCTTCTTTTTACATTAGACTTTGGGAAGTAGAGTTGACTTACAAACTCCAATTTGTAATTCATCTTTAATAAACATAAAATCCCTTATGAAAAGGTTGATGAACGGCAGGAATATATTCTCGAATCGACCAATCTCCTCCAAGCAAAGAGCAACAGCTTCCTTGATTGACACCAGCGTCTCTCCGCGGAAAGTAGCGTTCCTGACTTCAACGATCCTCCACCAGCAAAGCGTCTTGGATGCAGAAGCATGAGAGAGGACCTTGAAGACAGTCTCTTCTGGTAACGGTAATTGGGACCTATGGAGATTTCCATAGTTCGCTCTGAACTCATCCAACTGTTCCCCCACAAGTTGCCAGATCGGTGGATTAATGGTACTATCTAACGACAAAACACTTGCTTTCCCAGATAGCAAGCACCGCGAGACATCCGAGACTATTCCAAACCAATATGCTGTGTTTTCCATATGGCTGTGTTGGGAATCAAACTCTGCACTTCTAGCACCCGAACTTGGCTCTGCTGAATTACGACAAGACCAATCGTATGAAGATCGATTCAATTCGCCGAGCCTGAGCTCTTTCAACTGCATCAATGAAGTAGCTAGGCACACATCGCTAAATCGGAATTCCGAATTTTGTGATGTGACAGGCGTAATTCCGAACAAATATAGAGCTAGACTAGACCGGTAACTTGGTCGTCCCAGAAGAGGATACATATTTTCCCGGGCGCGATGCCACAGGACGTCCGAGAGCCTATCCTGAGCTTCTTGTGTGATATCAGCATAAAAGTTGGAGTCGATCTTCGGCGGCCTGGTGATAACCCAACGCACGGAAAATGCGTAGACCGCGTGTACCAGGGCCTTATTGATCAGGGCATTGTCCTCGGCATTCGAAACCATGCTGCGAGTTTCTGAGCTCTGGCAAAATTGGCGATTGCCTTCATCTAGAGTCATCATCAATCTCGTGATGAGTGTTTTTGGGGCCTGGCAATCAGTTACAGGTCGAGATCGTACGAGGGCTTGACCATACCGTGGGCAGGGACTTGAAAGGACAACAGTCGTTCCCTATCCATAATCCAAGCTGTGGCTCAAACTGGGTGGCAAAGATATCCCATAGTAGGGTATGAAAAGAAAGAGCATTTTGTCGGCGATCTAAGTCGGTCTGTAGACGAATATCTGTATTGCTTCGTGTGGAACTGGGGATCGCAGGAGCATTGTTCGCCAACTGAGATTGTCTAATTCCCCGCCGCTACAATAGTCAGCTATCAACAAGGTGCTCATTGGGAAGTGTCATCTTTACCGCGCTCATGCATTTGAGCTTCCTTCGAATACAGTTAGAACATGAACCTGGGGTCTTTCGGTTAGCATCGCAGCCAATTCGCGCTTTCCGGCATGGGTCGCAACTGCTGAACTGTCGCTCGGGCATTGTGATACAAATGATTATTTAGTGTTAAGACTTTAGGGGTCACGCAACATCGGGCATCTGAATGTTCAACTCCGCTCCCGCGACCGGAGATCCTAGCTAATGGTTCAATGTTTTGGCCCCAAGGAGATCATGTGATTCATCAATGCTATTTACATCACGTGACTGGTAGGCATACCTGTCTTCCCTTAATTAGGACTAGCGCATCTCTTCCATTGCACTTGAGCTTCAATAGTTGTCCATTGCACACTATGATGTGTTATATACCCCCTATCTTGGCTACCTTTATCTTCGCTAGCCACGTCCTATCTTTTAATAGTAGCAGTGAACATGTAGAGTAGTGAAAGACAATGAGACTCTTGAGGCTCATAGATGGCTATCCGCATTAGCGCGGGCCATGATCATAAAAAGCCTCTTAATAGATAATTGTCTCTTTTCGGTAACGGCCTAAAAATTAATAGAGTATATCACCTAGAAGCCTCTTTATAGATAGTGGCCCAAAAATGACGAACGCCTACCAGAAATAATACCCTGATTTGAGTTTCAACCATGCGGATCCGCATAGGGCATGACCTCCGCATTATCTGCATGGCAAGTCACAAACAGACCCTCGAGATAGGCTCTACTTTGAAGCTCTACGAGTATCATCAGCCAGCCAACATCTAGCACGATCTAGGTCGATCTTTGACGTGGAGAGCTGGAACAATAACCTGGTTTCCAGCTAGCTAGCTTGTCTTTGCCCCCTTTCCGTTTCTCCGTGATTCTCGATCAATGCCTCGAGTGATCATCTTTATCCGTTCTACCGTATCCAATCAGAGACGCAGCATCATGTGCTTAGAATTTAGCAGGAATCTCTGGATCATTGACAAGGCAGCCTTTTTAATGTTGATGGTTTTATATATAGCTATGCGTGACATTGACTACTTGAATCATCATTAGTTTTTACCTTGTCTTTCTTTCTACAAGTTTGCCACACGAATATCTCTCAAGATGGACAGCGACCGCAGCCAAAGCACCGAGAAGAAGGAGTCTATCCAGTATAAGGAGAGTACTGGACATGCTCTAACCACGATTCCAACATCGGTGACTCTGTCACCCGAGCAGTTCGAGACGCTATACTTGACTCCTATGACCCGCCGTCAGCCCAAGTTTGCCAAGCGAGTGGGAAATCCAACGCCCTTGTTAGTCTCCCAAGTACCTCACATGTTATGTCTTGAAATATGTTGTAACATTGTGCTTTTATGCCAGAGCTCTCGGTGGATTTGTTATTACTACGACCCCAATCTCATGCTGTTTGATGGCCTGGAGGGGTGCCAGTGGGAACGGAGTTGCATTCATGTAAGAGAAATTCTGAAATGATAATCGTCGGGGTAAATCTAACCAGCGAGAATAGTGGACCTATCGTCTTTCTTGGCGGCTTGTTACTGCTCATCACCAGCATTCTTGAATTCATACTCGGCAATACCTTTCCATGTGTTGTTTTCGGTACCATCGGTGAGTTTACTCATCCTAGGAGATATACCACCGATTCCAAGGTTGTATCACTCATATTTCATGCTAGGAGGGTTCTGGTTCGCCTTCGCGGCTACAATGATCCCCGCGTTCAATGCGGCTGGTGTGTGCCCTCGTAACTTGATCACGATATGTGTTCTTAACACACGTATAGCTCCTTATTCCGCATTAACCACCGATACAGTAACCGGTCTTTCGAGTGCGGGCTTTATGAATACTTATGGTAAGCCTGCAATATCTTCGTTGACAATGGTTTGGCAGTCGACTGACTCTACTTCGTTCCTCTAGCATTTTTGTTTATAACCATGGCGGTACTGATGCTGATATTTATGATCTGTGCGACACGTACCAACATTGTCTATACACTTATCTTTTTGACACTCCTGGTGGTTTTCCTGCTTCTATCATCGGCCTACTGGCTCCTGGGAGAAGAGAATGTTGCGGCTGGTAACAAATGCGTTAAGGTGAGTGTATACCTTTCTATCAGGAGCATCCTCCAGTGATGAGATAAAGACTAACTCGGAATTTTGTTTCCAGGGAGCTGGGGCTTCGCTCTTTGTCGCAAGTCTACTCGGGTTCTACCTACTAATTGTCCAACTGTTTGAGGCAATGGGATTCCCGTTCCACTTACCCGTTGGAGACTTGGGAGCATTCTGGGATCGCAGTCTACAAAAGTAAGCTCGCCCTCGCCTTCCGAAAAATATCTGGAAATGTCATATTGACCATCATGAAGTCGTGGGATCCCTGATATTGAAGAATCTGCCGCCGTTGGTCAGAAGTGAACGGGGTAAAATTCTGTGAAATATGCTACGGGACTAAATGAGGAATTCTCAAACGAGAAAACTTTATCATATTTTTCAGGAATTTTTGTTCTTATTTCTGATACATTTTGTCTAACAAGGCTGGGTTACTAAGAAGAAATTATTCATTTGAGAACCACAACACAAATTAGAGTAGTGAATGGATTTTCATTAAAGTCGCACGATGTTACAGATTTCTGGTCTTCACGCACCAGTCGGGCTAAGCAGTTTACTTTGACCATTTTCTGCGTAGGCAAACGACGGGTAGGATCAGCGATATTGCCTTTCTGGGACCCCGCATTGTGGATCTTCTCTACACAGTGCGGCAGTCAAAATTTGGGTGACATCCGATCAGCGATATCTTCGCTTTTTTTATTCGGGAGACGACAATTTTAAACGCTCCAGCTTCTTTCTTTCAAATTTTTCACTCGATAACCAACAACTCAACGATAAACCATTCTATTCCAGCATGGCTTCTCCTACATCCTTTACAGGGATCTCCGAACCCTTCGCTATTTTGACACCCAGACTCGTCGTCGTTCCCACGCCAATCGCAGTCCACATAGCCTCTTATCGAGCGCTCTACGCCAAATTACATGCCGATGTCGAATTCTGCCGGATGGGTTTCGGTGAGAGCTTCCCCGCCAGGAACTGGAATGACGATGAAACGCGTGAGATGATTGAGACGCGTGACATTGTGCGCTCGTGGCAGAGGCATGGCCTGGGGGATTTTGCTGTAGGGCTTCGTCCACAGCTGGCGCCTGGAGGCCCCGATGCAAATTCTCAGCAGCACTCTTCTCTTACTGCGTCAATTCTCCCGGGAGATGAGTTCGACCGTTTTGCAGGTCCAGGTTTAACACTCCTGGATGAGATACAATGGGTGGGATACTCGGGAGTCCGTGATGCAACGACAACATCGCTTCCACCACAGGAAGCAGGGGATGCGCCCTATCCGCACTGGCTAGAAATGGTTGAAATTCGGTACGGAGTCTCGCCCACATTTTGGGGGAAAGGCATTGCCCAAGAAGCATCGGATGCGATTATGCATTGGGCGATTCGTGAAAAGGGAGTGAAGAGGTTTATTGCTGAGACAGAACGAGACAACCAACGGAGTGGCCGGCTACTGCAAAAGCTTGGGTTTGTCCACAGCGCCACGAACTATTGGAAGGAGCGCCACGAAGTGGAGTGGGAGCTGCTTGTCGGAAAAGAATGAAGCTGTTCAGCTGTGGATACCTCGGGATGCTTGCGGGAGGAAGCGATATTAGGACTAAATTGGTTGCTCGGTCAATCCTACCAACTTGTCACATAAGTGGATCACTCTATCATGCTGCAGAAACATTTGGCATATGTCTATTGGCATCGTTTTCCTAAGCTAGCTAGCTCCTCAGGGAGCGCCGGCCACCATATACTTTTGGTGGGTGATACGCCACATTTGACAGGAAAATAATCCAAAGCAACGGGCGACAAGATGTATTATCTAGCATGTCCAACAGATCAATTGGAAGATTCGGGCGCCTGGAGTGCTCTTTTGGCAATTCTCTCTCAGGTCGAACGTCTCTCACCCTATTTCAACCGTACGGACGGTGGTAATAAAATTTTTACGGCGGGCAATGGCAAGCTTTGGAGAGTAATTCAGGATCCAGCCGCTACTGAAAACATCTGGCATGCCCAAGAAATCACTCTTGCTGCGGCGCCGGAGGCCGAACCTACCAATTTCAAGTCTGACACTACCTCAATTCATGTCTTGCAGTTTGATAAAGACTTGCCAATTGCAAATGTAATTGTGGATCTCTCTGTCAAAACCCGTACCCCGGTATACATCGACGGTCTCTACTACGTTCTGTCATCCACTCTGATCCAGGTCATGGCTGAAACGACAGGTTTCCTCACGGTGATTGAGGCTCCTGATGACCTTCATGCGGCTACCTTGACAATTTCCCTGGATAACACTTCGCTCAGGATCAGCCCCATGGACCATACCTTTGCCAAGATCGCCTCGCGAGATTCAGCATACAAGACACGCGACACCCAGTTCCCCAGCCAGACCGTTGCCGGTGGTATTATGGATCACCAAATCACAGAACCCTCCTCGAGCCTGCGCCAACCGATGACACTGTAAGTGCCGTGGTGCAGAATCTGGCTGCGCTCAAGGGGGCGTACGCAAGCATTCAAAATCCAGGGAAAAAGATATATGCTATCCAAGCATCTGCATCAATGCATCGAGACCATCGGCCAGTGGCTCCAGCAATGCTCCAGGCCAACCATCCTTATGCAACAAACTTCTTGAGCTGGGGTGATATCGGCCACGCTCTTGGCGATGCGGCTGACAAAGTTGGAAAAGTTCTTGATGACGTTATTCACACTCTCGGGGATGCTGCGGACGCTCTTGGAGACGCTGTCAGTTCCACCGCCGGTGGCTTGCTCCAGTAGGTGAAGGATGAGATGAACGTTACTGGAAGAATTAATCAGGACACGGTTACCGGTGTTTTGCATTTTGTTGCACAAATTGGGGAAAATGTCTATCATGCTGTCTTTGATACTATCCACGCAGTTGTTGGTACCGTGCAGTGGGTCTTCGACAAGGTCAAGACCGGACTCAAGAAACTCATCAGTTTCGTGGAAATGCTGTTCCACTGGGATGATATCCGCCTCAGCAAGGACGTCATACACAAGGCATTCAAACATACTTCTTGCATCGAGAACAGATTGGGAGCCGCTTATCACATTGTTGCTTACCCGACTTGCAGGTCAGAACAGGCCAGGGCAGCTCTGTCCTGTTCTGCCTAGACTGCCATTACGCATCCCCCTTGTTTAGTAGATATTCCTGATGACTCGACCTCGACCTTGGCCGTTTGGCCGTGCATGCGCTGGTCTTCCTTTGCCCTGCAGGTTTGCTGATTGCAGGACCAGGCCGTTTGATGTAGGCCTATTTAGGCCTTTCCTTCCTCTTTTCCTTCGTCTTCTTGCTCTCCTAGGTAGACCAATCTGACTTCGTTCTCCTCTGCTTCCTGTGTGCTTGGTGTCTATGACACCATCAGGTTATGATGCCCGATGGTCCTCTTTTTTTTGCGCGTCGTTATCAGTATACGACAGGTGCGCTTTTTGACGAATATGACCGATCGCCTAGCAGGTCTGCCTTCTACCAACCGTTTTTTTTTTATGGCTTGCCTATACAGATTTAGGCCTGCCTACATTGAAACACAATTTGGCCACTGATTCGGCCACTGATACGGCCACTGATTATTCAACACCTATTCGACATATGGTATTCAACATCTTGCCATTCAATATCAAGGAGATTCTTGTTTTCGCCGTCGGTCCTGAGGGAGGTGTGATGGAGATTCCTCCATCCCTTGGCCTTTGTCTTGGCCTTTGTTCTGCTGCAGGACCTTTCCGGCTTCTTCCTGATGTTTCTCTGCAGGTTGCCGCTTTGTTGGACGGCCTATTTAGGCCTTGGTTTCCTTCCTGGCTTCCTGTTCTTCTTCTTCTTCCTCTGTAGAGCCATATCTCCTAGATTCGCTAGAGATTGACAGATTTCCTCTCCAGGCCTGCTTCCTGCTTCCTTTCTCCCTTCCTGTGCGCGACGTAGATAGACGTCTTCGATTCCATTATAAGGGCCCGCGATTTCTACACGGGGATATATTCAAAATATTACATAATCGAGACCACATGGCCGGGGCCCCCCTCCTCCACCTATAAATACCCTCCCCCCACCCTTCTTCTCGAACTTTCCCACCTTTTCGATCTTAAACTTTTCAACTACTCTCTCGACCGATTTCTGATCTGCTCGGAAATCTGCTCAACTGCATGGCGATGACGATGACGACTTGGACGAAAATCCCGATAATGCAGCCAACACCAATGCGTCGAAGAAGTCCAAGAAGCCACGTAAAAGGTACACATCAAAATGTGATTACCTTTGGCAATGTGTTGTGCTTGACGAATGCCAACACATCAAGTCAATCAGAACTCGACAGCATCAGAGTATTGCGCTCCTGCGTCGCCACTCTCTGGTCGGACTAACGGGCACGCCCATGTGGAATAAAGTAGTCGACCTGTTCGGCTACTTTAACCTCTTGGCTGGAGGCCTTTGTAAAAAGAGATCTTTCCACACATCTTTTGGGAGATCTTTCTACATGTCTTTTGGGATGGTTTGGTTCTGTATGGGAAGCCAATCAAAACTACCGCTTTCCGGTAACGCTTGGGGCCGGTTTAGGCCCTTGCAAAGTGTGTTATATAAACCTTGCTTTCTTGGATGATGGGTCCACCCTGCGATGGGCCCTTCTGGAAGGTCTCTATTTGGCAGGTGACATATGTATACTACGTCATGTAGTTAAGAGAGGCTTGAGGATATGCAATGGGGCCCTTTGGAAGATCCTCAAGAATCAATTGATGTTTTGACTTACATGAAAAAGAGATTGATTCGTAGCCGAACTGTTACCATATCGACTATCTTTATTTGTTTTGATTCAACCACCTTCTACCTGGCCTACTACTTTTCTATCCTTACAACTTTTGATTCTTCACCTAAGGGTCACCTGGAAGAATGGCACCGGGTTGATACAAGCCAAGATGGCATCGAACTGCTTCCTCGGCCTGGGAATGTGGAGTGTAACGGCTTGTACGACTTATATAAGTCGTGGTCTCGCATCCGGGTTCTGCCTCGGGACTACACAGCTATTCCATATGAGCTGCTTAGTCCTACTATGCTTCTAAAACTTGCGCCTAGGGGTGAAATCACGCCTGATATCTCCTAGGATGTCCTGCAATCTTTGGCCGGCCATACAGGTCTGAGTCTTCTCGTCGAAGCCTTGGTACTATGTCATCTTTCTTCGTTCTTCCGGGGACAAATCTCGAGTGATGGAATAGGAGACTGAGGAGGATCACGTCGCCGTTAAGTCACGGCGTCATGCTGGGAAACTCGCGCGGTGGAGGAGCCAAATGAGCATGAAGGGAGCCTGGGATGGTAATGACAGCGTCCAATCCAGTCAGCACAAAGTTAGTTGAGTGTTGGAAGACAAAAGAGGAAAAAGAAGAAGTTTCCTGAACGCGCACGCGAAATTTCGCAATGCAGCGATATCGTTTCCACCGCGTGATGTAGGAGTTGCGCTTTCTTTGCTCCGTACGGATATGGTGAGGGTTCAATAGATTGTCGCAGGCAGTTGGAAAATGTGCATCGCAATAGAGCCACTGGAGGGTGCTGTTCAGTAGGCGATATATGGAGAAGAAGTATGGAGAGCGGAAAAGGCAACGGGGTGAGCGGGTTCTGTAGAACCTCGATGACCTCAGATCGGTTCAGGAACCGGGTACGGTAGAGCGGCAGTGGCAAATTGGAGAGAAATAGAATGCCTTGGGTGAATAACCTCAGGGGCTCTTGCTTGAGTAGGGATGGATGGCTGGGTTGGCAGCGGGAGGGTTGAATAGCTTCCTGTTTAATCCCAAACGGGAAAAGATGCAAGATGCAAGAAGGCACCAAAGCGGAAAGAAGGCTTAAGGGAAGGAAACAAAAGTCAGTGTAAAGAGTGACCCTGTAACCTCCCAATACCGAGTGGCTCAGTGGGTTACGGTCTTGCAATACTATATTAAAAGTTCCACAAGTACCTGACCATCACACTGACGCTGCCCCGGCCTTGAAGTGCATCTTCGGAGAAGCTTGCTCGTGCGACGGGACGTACTGAGATTCCGGTCCATGCCCTTGCCCTTCGGGGTCCAATCTGGATCGCTCAAACAACCACCCCACCACCACGTACTAAGCCTGTTGATGATTGGAGCTCTGGACCCCATAGAATCCCCCATCATGTGGGGGCTTTGGGACCTCTATACTTTGACAAGACGACTTAGTGCGTGCTATTTTTTTTCTATGTTGATCTCGGGAGAGTTCGATCCAGCGTGTCATTGCCTGTCCTGGTGGGTGGTGAGAACGGGAGGGTGTCGGTCGAGGACCGCGGGAGGACCGCGAGGTCGGGTCAAAATGGACCGGTACATGGCCTCGGAGGATCAATTTGAGTGGGGCGGGTTCGACTCCAGCTGGGGAAGATGAGTCTTTTTTTTTCTTTTCTTGTTTTGTTTTCCAATTTCCTGGTTTTCCCACTTGGACCTGTCGTCTCTACGGCCGAAGCAAACACTCTTCCTAATTAGGCAATTCACCAGCCATTTCCCCTTTGGTAGGGATCCACGCTCCGAGGGATCCCTTAGTAGAGCAGCTATCAGTCTAGGGTCTTTGCTATTTTAGGTCCCATTGGCAAGAAAAATCCGAGATTGTATACCACGATAATAAAGAATATCACAAAGAATGTGACGAGTGTGGAGACAACTATAAACATCATATATAAGAAGAAAAGTGTAATGAAAATAGAGACCTCACCCGCTTACTCCTCCCCGATGGCAAAGACAAACCCCGTAGTCCTCCCTCCCACCACCACCCTCGGCTGAATCATACTCGCAATGTCCTCGCCCCCATCATCCACTTCTCCAATAGGCGCATCACTCTCCTGATAATCATAGAACTTCCCATTCCGATACACAACGCAATGCCCAGAATTGTCATCACGCAGGTAACAGACCCCCAATTGATCCGGATTCATCATCCGGTCAGAAATATCCTGTAACGTGTCTCCGAACGCAACCTCCTCAAAGTACGTCTCCCGGGGGATTCTTTGCAAAATAGCCTTGACGTGCGCACTCGACAACCCGGAATTCAACTCCTGCATCTCGTCAATCATCGTCAAAAATGACTGTAGGTCCATGTTCATCAGCTTCGACATGGTGAAGAATGCACAGTTGTTCCCCAGGTCGTATGGGTTCATGCGAGAGTAGGTGACTCTCTGGTCTGGGCCTGCGATGAGCTGGACCTGCGAGGTGACGGTGTACTCTATCTGTGTACCGTCTTCCATTTCAACGTCCTCGATAGATGAGCCATCGACCTCGATGGGTTCCAATTCCATTTCGATGTCCATGATGTCGATGGTGGGTGTTGCTTTTGGGTAGGAGTTATCCACCGTCTGGGCGGATGGCTGGATTGTTGTCGTGGTTGTAATTGGGGTGAATGTCACCTTGACTGGATTGACGGCGCCCGCCACAGTCATTGTTTGTGGGGGGACGGACACAGTCAGTGTCGTTGAGAATGCAGAGAAGTAGATCTCGCATGGCGAGCCACAATCGCTTGCTAGGATGACCCCGGTGTTGCCATTCCGTCGGGCGAGGCCGTGGACCGGCAGGTTGACATTGGGTAGGTCGAAAGGAAAGGAAGCGACCAAGCTGCCAAACGACAGCACAATTGCAGCGGCCAACATTTTGTACAAAAGTGTTTCCCAGAATGTACAATCTCAAGTCTTGGGGGTTGAAACAAAAGGAATGTCAAACAGAGAGTGTGTCGAAAAGGAGAGGGTGCGAGGACGCGTAGAGGGTGATAATTCAGATCGACACTCACCAACTCCTCGAGAGAAGATATAGAACAATTACTAGTAGAGATATTCAAAAGTTGCCCCCGAAAAGAACCCCTGGATTGTTACAGTAGACGTACTGCTCCTTCCTTATGGAAGCAGGATCAGCAAGTACTCAAGAGTCCTAGTCTGAGTAAACGCCACCTCTGTCATATTGTCAGCATGATAGCGCGCTATCAGACCCACAATGGAGGTGGTGATGTCCAGGTAAAATTTCGTGGCTGCTTATGCCGAAGCCACATGGTGGGTCCCCGGCAGTCCATAAGAGTAGTCGCATTCACTCTTTCACTCCTTTATTCAATTCATTCGATTGATTCAATTCAGTCATTCATTTTTCTTTCCATTTCTCTGCACAACGATACACAACCGAAATGGTTCGTCTTTCTCTAGCTATAAGCGCACTGCTTCTGCAGGCATTGTCTGTCAATTCGACCCATGTCAACCATGTCAACTTCTTGCCTCGTCGCCACATCATTGGTGATTCCTCGGCTGTGTCAACAACGCCACACCATGAACCTACAAGCCAGACAACATGGACCAGCAAACCATTTATTCCCATTTCTTCTACTCCTACTGCTACCACTGCTACAAATGCAACTACCAGCAGTTCAACTTCATTCTCTTCTGGATTACCGGTTTTCAGTACCTCCACAGTCCCTCCTGCCACTGAGTCTATAGTTCAATCAACCACGACACTTTCCTCGGTGACCATCGCGGCTCTTGCAGTACCCACAGCCAGTGGGCAGGTGACACTTGTGACGAATCCAGGTAATTCTTCGCAATCTGTAGCGTTCGTCAAGCAAGATGTTCCTGCAGACATACAGGATCACCTGCCCTCTATAGCTGCAGGCACGCTGCTGACTCTTGCCCTGATGATTGGTGGCGTCGCAACTCCAGTTCTGGTAGACTCGGCAGGCACCATGGTTGTCCCACTAGGAGCTGTACCGGCCTGGTTGACGCCGGCCTTGTTTCCCTCGCCAGATAGCATCTCCGAGACAGACGATAGCCCTGATGAGGAGACTAGCTCTTCTTCCTCGAGTACCTCTTCTTCCTCGAGTACCTCTTCTTCCTCGAGTACATCTACCACAACCGCCACCGGGTCGGCAATGACTTCAATCTCTTTGACCCTCACAACCAGCTTCAATTTGCTGAGTGTGGACGCCGTCAATGGTCTCGTGTCTTTTCCACCTGACACAGGCGTTATTCCTGCCAATGCAACCTCCTTCGGATGGTCTAGTGCTAGTTCCAGCGTTGCAACTGGAAGTTCCAGCGTTGCAACTAGAACTTCTAGTATCCCTGTCCCAAACCCAGGAGGCACCAATATTGTGAGTCGTCTTTCAATCGAGGCCTTTGGATAGTATAATTAATAATAAACACAGCATGTGAATCAAGGCTGTATATCCATCAATAACAGTCCGCGATGTGCGGGTGACAGCCCTTAGAGTGAGATATGACAACCCTAGTTGATACTCGATAAGCTAACCATGTACGGTAGATGTTGCATTCCAAAACTCCTTGAATTCAACAGCTGTCATTAATGCCAAATTTGACGGCAATGATACAAATGACCAAGAAGTAACGCCTGGTTGTGAATTACATGCATCTTGGCCAAGTTCTTTTGGTGACATATATTTTGGTGCGGATAATTGTCTTTATGATGCCAGTGGTATGTGTAGCCTCTTTATGTGCGAGAACTATTGTTCACAGTTACACCATTATGAGAATAAGCGAGACTAACCCTCACTGCCTACCTGTTGCTATTAGGGAGCAATATTTTCGGCCAGTGTTGCAGTCAGGCCAGCAGCACCCAGGTTGAAAACCCATATTATGTACCTCTGCCACCATCATCCACCACCGCACAGCCACCACCAATGCCAAGCGAGACCGCTGGAAACAACCACGGCTCAGGTCTATGCCCTTCCCTCGGGGGGGGGCATGCCAATTCGCATACAAAGGCTTTGTCGATGACTACCTATACAGAGGATACACTGCCTACGTAGCCTCCATGGGCGACGCTGATGTAATCAACGGGGTGTTCGCTCCTTTCGCAAATAATGGTTGCTCAGCTATGTTCAGTTGCAAGGATTATAGTGTTGGTATGACCGGTGCGCAGATTAAACAATCGTAAGTTTTTGTTCGCACTGATTTTCGGATTCTCATCACGCTGAGTACTATTTACTGACCATCAACTAGTGTTGAGAATATGATCGTTACTAACCATGTCAAGGAATGTGGTTCGACTTATCTGTCGAATGGGTGCCAGGTTACTCTGAATGGTTGCAATGATTGCAACCCATCTATTCCGTGCGGTGCGTTGCCTAGCGGTGTTACCTTTGGCGCCTGCTACTAGGCAATTTCCAGAAAAGGATCAATTTTCTTTTGTGTACAATTCTACATGGACTTGTAATAGAAATTTCATCACCGGGTCTTTTTGGGTATTTGGTGGCATATTGTTGGCATTTCCAGCCCCAAATACCCCCAACCCATTTTATAATCACAGGCAAAAGATTCTCCTATTTACTCAGTAACACTATCCTGAATACTCCGCAGCGTACTCGTCTTATGCGCCGGATCAATAGCGGCCGCATTGCGTGCCCGACGTCGCGCATCAGTCCAAAGCATGAACTCCCCATAAGTCTTCGGCATAACATGAATATCCTTCTCAACAAGGAAAGTGTAGTTGAACATGCCGGTCGACTTCTTCGTGCCGTGCTCCACATCCCGCACCTTCGAATCAACACGCACTTGCACCTTGGTGTACTTACTGGGGTCGCCCTCGCGCTCCTGGGGCTCGGTGTAAGCCACTGTTGCGCGGAGATATAGCACACTGCCAACGGGGACGGGGTTCTCGAATGTGCTGGGATCGAGGGCGAGGAAGTTGGGTCGAGTGTGCGAGAATGCTGCGGCGCAGCAGAATGCTAACTCAAAGGTTTGCTTGAGAAGGAAGCCACCGAAAATCATGAAATTGTGGCGATTGCGGTCTTGTGGCTGCATGATCATGGCCGATTTGAGGACGGTATCGCTCATGGAGATATGGTTTTCTGGGCGGGTGACCGGGACTTGGGGGTCTGGAAAGCGACGTTAGTTATATTTGAAAAAAAGGGGGAGATCCTGCTCTTGCTTACTGAGATAGGACATCTCCTTGGTCCACATGGAGTGAATCAAATTGGACTCTTCATCATCAGGTGCCTTTTCCAGCAGACTGCGTTTGCGGAGAGCCTTCTTGGTCAGGTAATTCTCCTCTCCTTTCTTGAAGAGGGCCTTCTCCTCCTCGGTCTCGACAATAAGAGGAGCCACTAGAACCGGCCTGAACACACACACACACACATTAGTACGGTTTCAAAAACAGAGATAGATGTACTCCTTCTAACTCACTTCTTCGTAGCGGGGTCCAGAGAGACCATGGTGAATGCGCAAGTGATCAAAACATCCTCAGGCTTGGCAGGCTGTCCTTCCGGACGTGCTTTGCAAACCTGCACAGAGACTTCCATACTAGATCGACCGGTAGCATATGAGACCTGACCGCTAAGCTCAAGATCACAGATCTCCATGAGGGGATTCTCAATCGTGATTCGGTCCACGGCGGCAGTCACAGTGCTAACACCATCACCGGTATGGCGGTACGCAATGACACCAGCCAAGGCGTCAAGGTCCATAACCAAGGATCCAAGACTAGCAATATGTTAATCCATGATCTCTAAAGTAGTCAAGGGACGCGATCCTACCGGATATGCCCCGAGGCATTGAGGTAGGTATCCAACAGCCACTTATCTTGGGCTAGAGGCAAAATCTGTGAATAAAGTGCTTAGCAACATGGTTCCTGTGACCTCCATCGAGTTCAATGCATACAGCACTATAGTAGGTATCCGACATCTTCTTCGGCGTGAGATCCGGCTTCACAGGCGTCGCCGGCGGCAGACCCTCCTTGGACTCCCGTGCAGCCTCACGACTCTGAGTCAATGCATCAATCCAAGGAGTCTTCACCCGCATTGGCATCCACGTCGGCCTGAACGCCTCATTCGTCGGCGTCGCGTGGAATTCCCTGGCGTTGGCGCAAGGTGATTGAATGACCGCCACGGTGCGGGCCGGGAGTGATCTCGGTGTCAGACATTTTGACCGGACAAGGGCGGTCCTTCTTCCCGCAAGGCCGAACATGATGTGAATAGCAGTGGAATGAGTCGGTGGTTGGAAAGGCGAGGTAACGTTATTAGTATTGATGCTCACGCTGTTGGGGGTCCCAGGGATGGGTCCTGATTCGGTTAGCGGCCGGCAACCCGGGGATTCTCGGGAAGCAAGTGCCGAAGATCACCGGGACAGGTTCCGCTGCACGTCTGCCGGTTCTTCAAGGTGATGAAATCGATATATTGCGTTTACGAATGACGGTTTATCCTGGTCGTCAATCTAGCTGTAAAAAGTTGTTGTTAATGGATTCTGGGATTTTCAAGCAAACTCATTACCTCCTTCCTCGATATATCTACAGGGAGTAGCAGGATTCGGAACAACCGAGTCCTTGTCTCAACTAAAGCTTATTATCAAGTGAAACAGAGTAGCGTGCTAGGAAATATCTTAAACAAAGGCAGACTTCATAATTGTTCTGATCGACTCAACGACAGACCTCAACCAAGCACCCAAGGAGGCGGGCAAGAATATGTTGAGAATGACATTAGTAGCCAGAAGACGTTACTAGCATAGCCTGATTCAGACATGGCAAAAATCCAGAATCAGTTGATTTGCTCATCATTTTTTCTAGTCGGCGTCAAATGTTGTGCGCCGTAGACAAACGCACGAGCAAATCGTGTGCAACAAGAGTACTTCGCATTCACAGGGAAAGAATGGATTGACACCATGTGCTGCCTGTTCGATCAGGCAGCCATCCACCCATCCATCCATCCTCATACTGTACACCTATGTGTTCGTCGCAATACACGACAAATCGACAAGGTTGACTAAAGCTTAATTCAACGGGGACTCTTTTCATTGGAGCAGAATATGCATAGGTTGTTTAGTGCGATTTACTCGAAAATCTCACTTTGCCAGACGTCGAACCTGGGATGTCTTTCCGGCCGTCCTGTGTCACAATTGCGGAATCCCTTGAAGTCACTCACGGGCTATTCTCCGTTGTTAGGCCGGCGGAGTCTCTGGGTCTGGGATCCACAGTTGATTTCAAAATATCAGCAGGATAGAAACATGGCACTGCGAGGCTATTTCAAACACCGACGGAGCTTCTTTCGGTTTGAGATCCCCCGAGACTCCACCCGGCGCAAGAGTACAAGTCTCCCCCGCCCCCGCATTAACTTCGATTCAACGGCTGGCTTGGTCTAATACCCAAGGCTGAAAATGGTGTCAAAGGAGGACAAAAAGGTATTTACGACATTTTTCTCCCCTTGGGACCACGAGACTGACCAATTGACCCAATTAGATCGTCAATGCTCTCCAGGCAAACTGGATCTGGATCCCCAACTGGGTCGATTCCTCAAGTTTGAACACAGCAGGCAGAATTGTCAATTTCGTTCGCCATATAGACCTACCGTCAACTCCAACGCGGTCGGAATTGCATTTTTCAGCGGATACACGTTACAAGTTGTTTGTCAATGGAGTACGTGTCGCTGTTGGGCCTACCAGAAGCAGTCCTTTGATCTGGTACTATGATTCACTTGATATTGCTCCCTACTTGAAGCCCGGGAAAAATGAAATTCGCTTTGCGGTACTGCGATACTTTTCGTGCTCACGTGGAGCTATGGCCTTTGAACGCACAGCTCTTCCGGGATTGACGATTGTTGGCCACGTCGAGGCTGGCGGCGAAACAATTGACCTTGGCTCTCTCCAGGGCTGGAAAGCGTCTCCAGACGAGTCTATTCAATTTCCATCGGGATTGGTAGATGACGTTTTCCTTCATGTAAGTACGGCTGATTGGTGCTCTGCGTCCTCAACATGCTAATTTCCCGTTCAGATTAGCGAACGTATCACTCCAGCCGACTCGACCGCCGAAATTACGCCAGTTCCATACAGTATCAGAACTTTGAATGGAGATATTGCTCCTTGGGCTCTTCACCCACGCCCAATTCCTATGCCAGAGTCAACCCCGGTAGTTGTCAATACGATCAGATCATGTAAAAGCAGTTTCACAGCGGATGAGTGGACCACCTTTCACTCCGGGGGCACCCCTTGGTTCTCCCCCAGGGCTCATCACACATTCTTGAGGTACAGGCCGATTGCCATTCAACTGCCTTCATCCGATGGACATTCAAGGCCGCCAAGAACCCTTCCGAGATCAAGCTCAAAGTGACCTACTCTGAGGGATACGAACTTGAACCTCGTTCTTATCCCTTCTTCCGGTCTAAAGCTGATCGGCTGAATGCCGAGGGTGGTCATATTATAGGACCGTACGATGAGGTCGTGCTCAAGGTCTCCGAAACAGAAACCTCTTATGAACCGTTCTGGTTCCGGACCTTCCGACTCCTTCGACTCGAAATCACCGTCGGTGAAGGGCCAGTTGAGCTCAAGTCATTTGAAGCGACCCAGGTCAACTATCCAATGGCTGTAAAAGCTAGCTGGAAAGAATCAGGGGATCTGCACAGCAAAGATATCTGGGACGTATCGGTTCGGACAATGCGAAACTGCATGTTTGACGGCTATTCTGATTGTCCCTTCTATGAACAACTTCAGTAAGTCTACCAGTCGAGAATCAAAAAAATGTTGTAACTAACAATATTCGATTGCTACAGATACTCTGGAGATACTCGCTCAGTTGGATTGTTCCATTATCTTTTGTCCGGTGACGATCGACTGATGCGACAAGCTATCACAAACTTCGCTGCCTCGGTAACGCCTTGTGGCCTCACTCAGTCTCGTTTCCCATCGCATGCGCCACAGATTATCGCAGGATTTTCCCTTTACTGGGTTCTACAAATATGTGATCACTTTATGTTCTTTGGAGATAAACCCTTTGCTCGCAGCTTTGTGCCGCGGATCGACGGGGTCTTTGAGTTTTTCGATGCGCACATCGATGACTTGGGCCTTGTCAGTGGGCTGCCGGAGGAGATTTGGCAATACGTTGACTGGGTGACAACATGGGGCGCGACTGACGAGCATCCCGACAAAGGAGTGCCAACATCCGGTCGAAAGTCGAACCGTCACACATATTTCAGCATGCTTTACGCCTATGTTCTTCGGAAGGGTGCTGAACTTCTCCGCCACGTTGGGCGGCCCGGGAATGCGGAAGAGTATGAGAGTCGAGCGGCACGACTTCTAGAAGCTATCCGCAAACATTGCTTTGATGGTGACTTCTTCACAGACTCTACGGCAGATGTTGCAGACGAGCTATCCTATTCTCAACACTGCCAGGTGTTTGCTGTTCTTTGTGGAGCTGCCACCCCAGATCAGCACCAGCACATCTTGTCAGAGAGCTTCACCAATCCACGTTTCTCAAAGTGCTCGTATATGATGCGATTCTACGCCTTCCGTGCCCTTGCGGAGGCTGGGGGCCAGCTATACGACAAGTTTTGGAATTCAATGTGGGCGCCATGGCGCCAAATGCTTGCCAATAACCTGTCAACCTGGGAAGAGGATGACGTTCGACAACGCTCGGACTGCCACGCATGGGGCAGCGTTCCAATATATGAGTACTGCACTGAACTCGCTGGTATCTGCCCAGTGGCGCCGGGGTCGTCTAAAATACGCTTCAAGCCTCGTTTGCAACTGAGTGACTCGATTGAGGCAAAGATTGTTCTAGGACATGAAAATATCGCTCATGTCTCGTGGCGTCAGGGCAATGGCACTGAGAAACTTGTGGAGCTTAGACTTGGTCACCCTGTCGAAGTGACGAGTCAACTTCCGGGGGGGCAAGAGATAAACCACGGGGCGGTAAGCCATCTTAATTTGGTTTATAGTCAGTCTTAAGTTTGGGATATTAGACAAATAGATTTTTATTCTTTTCTCGAGCGATAGTATTCTTTCCTGGTCATTGATCTAGAGCAAAATTATGTGTGAGGTATATGCATCTCACATAACTACCACATGCCGGAATTCACGGTTCAACACAAGCAGATAATTTGACTACTGCATCACAGCTGGTAATCAAACAGGAGTGGTGGAAAATCTGAGGACTATTACAAATACCTGCTGCATCATTGTCAAATTATTTTTGAAATAATTGGGGATGTGAGTACGAATTTATTATTTGAACGATCGGGAGATCCATAATTACAAATATAAGACGATCGACGTAATATCTCGAAACAGAACCTTCGTCTTGCAACCTCACACAATCGAATCAAATGAGCTGATCAAACAAACAACTATGAAGGAGGATATGGAGAGCCCCTTTCCCCGGGAAGCATTCCCTTCGGTGGTTTGATCGTTTATGCGGTAGTAAGCTCCTCAGTCTGATGCTGCTCGTTGGCCCGCATCTGAACTTCAGTAACATACCCCTTGAACTTGCGAAGATTGACCTTCTTCTCAAACCTGTATGGGAGGAAATACGTCAGCTCTGGTTACTTGTAGGTTGACCGTGGAACTCACATCTCATCGATTTCGGCAGGGGTGCGGCGGGTTAATTCGGGAAGGATGAACCAGGCAATGACTGTCGAGACTGTTCCAGTTCCAGCAAAGCTGCGAAAAAAGTCCTAGCATTAGCTTCAAACGATCCAGCCATACAAAAGGTCTTCAAAATGATTAACATACAAGAACCCAGTTTTAACACCCCATTTAGCAGTGCCGTTGATCATAAGTGGCGTGCAGAAACTGAACATGATGGCGATCAAATTGGAAAAGGCAAGCGCCCATCCTGCGGTCTTTGCACGCAGACGCTGTTGAGGAACCTCCGCGGCGTAAGCATATCCGATAGCTGAGGCACCTGTGGTTGACAAGGTTGCCAGACACGCGAAGAAAATCTGTAATTTATTCTGAGTAATTTGTATGAAAGTTTCTGACTTCTGACAGTGGTCAATCCTTACCAGAAGCGAGCTCGTAGATGATTTCTTGTAATCGAAACATCCGATGATTCCGAGACACAGGACAGACAAACTGGTCACAGCGTAAGGATAGACGGTCAGGGGTCGACGACCAAATTGATCGGTGGTAGTAGCGGTGAGAAGGACCGAGATCAATTGAACGCAAGAAAGGATCACGGTGACTCGGAATGGGTCCTTGTTTCCAGCGTATTGGACTGAAGGGTGCAGTTTGTTAGTAAAGAAACTCCCAAGAAAAAGGCACTACGTGGATGGCTTACAAAAGTAGGTAGCGTAGGTGTTGAACACGGTCAGGCCAACAAATTGCTGCACAACCTTTGGCCAACTGGCAATAATGAATCGAATTAAGTTTCGGCCCTTGAAAACAGCCCATGTTCCTTCCTTCGAGTTCTGCTCTGCGAGAATGCGTTCCTGTGTGACGGTCGTAGTCATGACTTCCTAGAGGGAGTTAGCAGAGTATCTCCAAACAACCAGGATTGGGGGTATCGTACAATTTGTTCCTGAACGTCATATCCATCGACTTTACCGTTGCAAAATTTGAGCACTTTGGCCGCCTTGTCAAGCTTGCCTTTGCTCACAAGCCACCATGGGGACTCTGGGAGAAGTACAAAGATGAAGGCGATAGCACCAATCATAGCCCACTTTTTAGGAGTTCACATGTCAGCCACATTCTGTTATAAGCTTTTAAAGACCACACTGTGACATACCTGGCTATAAATTGGAACTCGGAACTCATAGGGGTCTCTCGCGTTAAGTTGGTTCAATGCTACTGAAGCGAAAATTTGACCAACAACGAACCAGCTTAAGAATTGCGAGTTAGCATTGAGTAATCACTCAAAGGCTTAAGTGAACTCACAAGCTATATGCGTTGATGTAAAATCCTCGCAGCTGCGTCGGAGCAAGCTCAGACAGGTAAAGAGGCAACGTAGATTGCAACATGCCCACACCCATGCCTGAAAACAACTTGGCTACAAGCCAGTGGTCCCAACGCGTCGCAAAGGTCTCGATGAAGATGCTCTATACCCAGACGAAGAGAATAATCAGTAAACTTTGTGGCACTGAGTGCTCGCCCCGCTAGGTAGATGCTCACGATAACCAGATCCACCCAAATGATGTACAGTGCGATCTTGCGACCAAATTTCTCCGTGGCATATTGAAGTAACTGGAAAAACATCAGTGAGTCTGAACACAGATCATTCAACAACAACTCAGAAAGCCATACAATCTGTCCCACGGTCTGACCAGCGGATTGAATTCCTCCCCATGCTGAAACGTATTTGCCATCGATAATTTTGATGCCCGTGCCCATCATCTGTTCGATGAAACCTTTGTTTGAAACGATGCCACCGTTAAGGTTGATCTCTGGAATTTGCAAATCAGTAAGTCGCGCTCACAAAACAGGAAGGTCGAGGCTTCTCACGATAACCATCGAGCGAGGCACTGAATGCGGCAACCATCGCAATCAAAGACACTCTCTTGAATCGGAGTGCGCACTGCCAGACGCTGAGGTCGTCCTCTCGAGAGCGCATGACAGGGTCACCATTTTTGACCGGAGTCTCAGGTCGCTTCTCTGCAGTAGCATCGTCGATAGCTTCACTGATTCCCTTGGAAGGATCCATTGCGTAACTGATGGGTTCAGAGGGTGAGTAGAGCCGCTATCCTACTTCGCAGGAGGTAGGAGAGCAGATTAGGTTTTATACTTATGCTAAAAAACAAAAGAGAGCAATGAAGTACAAGCACCGAAAAAGCCAGCGCGAAGAGCTGGTGACTTATCTCGCTTCTTTCTTCCTCAAAAAGCTAAGAAAAAAAATGCGGGGGCGCAAACATGGGGGATGGAGCTTGGGCTTCCTCGAGTTGGCTTAATGACAACCAACAAATCAAATCAACCCATCTGATACCTCCATTCTGGCTCATTAGCCGGTATCAAGCCATTAGTCTTCTTAAGCGAACATTATCAGCTGACTTGGCCGAGGATTAGCCCTATGAGTGAGTAGCTTATTCGGCGCGGCAAATGCTTCGCATTGATTTAACCCGAATTCTCAGCCAATAACATGCACCAAATCGAAAAAGGATGAGGCTACTCCCAATTTGGTTTTAAATCCGAGTACTAGGCCAATTTTCCTCCGTAGCTGAGTTCACGTGAACTTTATTATCAACGGTTCGAGGTATTAAGCGATCTGACAAACGAGACTTCGGTTGAGGACTTGTAGACCATTTTCAGTGCCATCATAATCTCACACTCTTGAAGATGTTGTGCTCAAAGAATGAGATCGTCTACCACTCTTAACCATGAGTGAAAGGGAGGCCCTTTCCCCGCGTGTCAAACAGGGCTCCTCCACTGTGCTTGTCCATATGCGGATAATCTCCTGCGGAACCTCCGGGGAAGTTCTTCTCCCACGCCTTCAAATCGTGCCGCAGAACTGAACCGGGGAAAGTATCTTGTTACAAAAGGAGATAAATTTGCTATTCAACTCCCCGGCATAAATCAGCACGAAAATAGAGAAACCAGTCTGCTAGCTCTCGTACAGAATACAATTGATAACTCCAGAAAAGTGGGTCATTCTATTCCTCCAGATGTGTCTTTCCACTACCGCGTACATTTATGATACTGGTGGCATATCTTTCGAATCCTGCGGCGCCACATATCCCTGCCTAGAAGAATATCCAGCCGTTCCGGCATAACTTTCGGGATAAATTACACCGTCAATAGCCGTTCCAGTCGCCGATGAACGCATAATGAGTGTATCCAATCATCATGTAGTTTATCCTGAAATGATAATTGCATGTCGTGAGGAGGACCTAGGGACGGGAAACCCCCGTTTCTTCAGGGGGTATGGTGGAGAGTTGGGTTTGGATTCGCTCTCAACTGCGGGGTCCCCAGACTAGACTATGCTGAAGAATTAGAAGATTGTTGCATCGATGTATATAAAACTCCCTCTAGCACCCTGGGATCGACCTTGTTTGGATTTTATATCAACAGAATCAGATCTTGGATATTCAAAACTTGATTTTTGAAGGAAGCAGGATGGCTAACTCCATCTTTATCTCGTCGCTTTTGATGTGGGGTGTAGCAGCTGCAGACCTGGCCTTTACTGTTCCATCGTCGCCGCCATCGAATTCCAGTGGACAACTCGGAGCGGCCCCGGTTGGTGTCTCGTAAGTACCATCATCACTCCTTCGATATATTTGCTAATAATATTGCTAGTCTGGAATTCTTTACTTTCCCGGCGTATATGGACAACGTTGCGGCAACTACAACCTGTCTCCAGAACTTGAAAGACTTGACCGGAACCTGGCCACCTCTTCGAATTGGAGGCACGACTCAGTATGTCCAACCTAACATTATCTCAAAAGTATGATTTGTATTAACGACTATTAGGGATCGAGCCACTTATGACCCAACCTTGACTTCAGCAGTCAGCTATACCGTCGCCAGCTCTACAGACGCCCCGACTTCACTCACTTATGGGCCGTCATTCATTTCACTTGCTGCAAGCTACGGCGGAGAAATCATTCTCGGCTTAAACCGTCGTCTGAACAACATCTCCAACACTATTACTGCAGCTAAGCTTGCTCAAAGCGAAGCAAGTAACCTGTATGCCATCGAGCTAGGCAATGAGCCAAACTGTAAAGTTCAAATTTTCCCTCATCAAAGTCCAGATGCTAATTCGGCTATCCCCGCAGTCTACACCAGCAGTGACCCAATTGCTGGCGGCGCATCGTGGACCGCTGCCGCAGACTATGCCTCCCAGGTCAAGTGGCAGGATGAAGTCTGTGGTAACTTGTCGGCAACCGATAAAATTTCAGCCGGAGTGTACTTTGGCACCTCGCCCATGAGCATTTCCGGGCTGACTGCCGTTGAAGGAAGCGCAAATAATTACGTGAAGTCATATTGCTCTCACAATTATCCCCAGTCAGCCAGCACCGCCAATCTGGCAACTCTCATGGGACATAGCAGCATTGCGTCTCAGATTAGTGGATATTCTTCCGAAATTACCGCGGCTACTAATGAGGGTAAACCGCATATCTTTGGAGAAACGAACTCCGGTCAGTCTATTCCCTACCAAGAAGAGAGAATGTCTGCTGACAGCCATTCTAGCGACTCAAGGTGGAGGTGGTATCAGCCCAACCTTTGGAGCAGCTCTTTGGATTCTTGACTACGTTATGCAGACCCTGGTCATGGGCACAAAGGTAATATCTCTCTCCAGAAATATAATCTCGAGAGTAAGAATTTGCTAAAAACTTCAATGTATGCAGGCTCTTTATTTCCACCAAGGTACCATTGGAAACTGTAAGTCAATTCTTTACAACAACATAGACTAGCTTTCTAACTAAATCAAATGACAGGCCAGTATTGTTGGTGGGGTAGATATGACATGGGCGCCCCCTACTACGGCGCCTATTTCGCAACCATGGCCCTAGCCGATGCTGATCAAATCGCACCACTGGACAGCCATACTACCGCGTATGCAGCTTACGCTATCTACAAGTCTGGCGCTCCCGTCAGAGTCCTGCTGTATAACTCCGACTACTACACCAGCGGAACGCGTTCCTCGCAGACATACGTTCTCTCCGGGCTGTCTTCGTCAAGCGTCACGGCGAAGCGTCTCACGGCCCCGTATGCCACTTCTCGAGTTGACCAAGGTAGCAATCCCACTGTTGCGGGCCAAACTTTTGTAAATGGAACCTGCGCTATTCAGGGTACTCAGAGTATTGAGACGGCTACTGTCTCCAGTGGGAAGGCAACATTCACGGTGGCTGCGTCAGAGGCTCTCTTGGTGTATCTGTGAGACAGAAGCGGGTTTCAAATCGGGGATAGGGCTAGCAAGCCCAGCCGGATGTTTGGAAGCCCAGTCTGAAGTGATATGCTTCTAGGATGTGCAATCAGTATTGTGTTGCGATAAGCAAATGGATGTATTGAATCTCAATAAAACCCTTGCAACCACCTACTTTTGAAAATTCGAAACTAATCCCTCTGCACCTTAATCACAACCTTACCACGGGCACGCTTAGTAGCAACACGCTCGTAAGCACCCACAACATCCTCCATATCAAAGACAGAGTCCACAGGGATCCGAATACGGCCCTCCTCCACTAGACGCGCCATATAAACAGCAGCATCACGATCCGGTGGCGTACTGAACGTGATATACCGACGCGGCACGCCACCCAGCCACGTAGGCAGGAATTGATTTGCCAGCACGTTGATCGTCGTCTTAACAATACCCTCCAAGAACCCGATATTGATCACCGCACCTTCAGGCTTGAGATATGCCGGCGAATTGGCATACAGCGCCTGCGTCCCGACACAGTCGAGCACAAAGTCAAATGGTTTATCACCGTATTGACTAGTAAGATAATCCGGTAGCGGGTCATGTTTGCGATAGTCAATAAACTAGTCAAACAGTTAGTCTTAGCTTTTCGATACTTGTATAGTCAGTGCCTCAGTGAAAAGAATAAAACAAACCTCATCAGCCCCCAATCCACGCACCATCTCCTCATTACCCCCACTAGCCACAGCAACCACCCTCGCCCCGCGAACCTTACACAACTGCACAACCACCGATCCAACAGACCCACTCGCCCCATTAACAAGCACAACATGACCCTCCCTCACCCCGGCCCTCCGACAAATCTTCAACGCACAACTCCCCGCCCCATTAATCCCCGCCGCCGCCGCCATATCAACCGCGCCATCAATCTGCGCAAGATGAACCCCCCGGCACACGCACATACTCCGCCAACACACCGAGCCCCGTCGCATATCCCAGAATACTCTGGAACCCGATGACGTGCGTGCCGGGGTCGCGTAGTTCAGCGGGTGCGTTGGCGCCTGCGGCGACGACTTGGCCGGAGAATTCGATCTCGGGAATCCAGGGTCTTGTGAGGGGTGTGTTGGGGATTAGGGTCATGAGGAGTTCGGTGTTAAAGGTGAGTGCGACGTGGGATATGCGCACTAGGACGTCTGCGGATGAGGTTGGGGGGATGGCGGGGGTGGGGAGGGTGGTTAGTTGGAGGTTGCTTGCTGGTCCGCGGTGTGGGCGTGTCCAGGCGCGCATTGTTGGTGGGATTGATGATGCCATTGTTTTTTGGGTTGGTTGAAATGGTGGAAATTTGGCGTGGTATTTATTCAGCGAGCAGAAGTGGTATTTATGAAAGTGGAATTGGGGGCGAGTTTGGAGATTGAGATGGGTGTAGCGAGTAATTTGGTCGGGAAGGGAAGTATACTCTAGAAAGGAGAAAGTGTGAATGATTTAGTATTAAAGAAAGGCCACGTAGAATGTCGTTTATCTTTGTTTAAATTGCAATCACAGTCCTCAGTAGAAGACGTTGCGCCGTCGGCTTGATGATAGACCGGTTATGGACAGCCTCGTTCAACCGAGAAACTCGCCCGAATAATCGTCCGGGCCCGCAGAGCTTGGTTAACTCCACTCTCAGTGTTCAGTCGCAGTAAATTCATTAAGAGCTATATCTCGAGGTTATACAATATACTGGCAGGCTCAGGCTAGAAGTCAACAGCAAGACACATGGCGAATCGGAAAGACGATTGGTTAGTCTAGTTAGGACGTACTAGTTCGTCCCCGGCTAACTCCAGTTTCCCCAGGATACTTACAGTAAAATGTATCTGACGGATTTTCAAATTGTGCATTGTTAGAATTGATTACAAAAATGGCTAACTCCATCATCCAGTGAAGATCAACATCGTATTCTAATAGTACAGCCCGTCAAGTCCAACAAAAAGCGGACAAGGCAACAGTAAAATATGAGCAAATGAGACAGCAGCTCTAGATGCAAGAAATGAAGGTGTGACGATGAATGCGTCCCCGGTGCAGAAATTAAACGAATAGTATGTGCGAAAAGGGGGTATCGTCCGAGTTTGGAAAAAGAAAAATGAGAGTATAGTCGAAAGTCGAAATTGGTACCGGTGAGAAACATGTGCGGAGCCGGAGGAATAAGTATTAACAGAAGGTAGATAACGCCGATGAAACGAGAGTCGGCGGGTATGCACGGTGAGAAAAAGTGAGAGAGATGGCTGGCGGATTTGGTAGCGCTCAGCGGATTGTAGTTGGGAATTGCAAAGTTGTGGTCGGGAAAAAGAGGCGTGGCCGCTGGTTGTAGAATTCGTTGGCGAGGAGATAGTTGATTATTTTCGGTCTTGCACACGTCTAGATGAAGAGCATTCCAGTAAATGCTGTGAGCAGGGATAGGCCCACGCCTTGAGACAGACGAGACGCAGCACCAGTGTGCATCACTGTATCCGAAGTTGTCGTCGGGGTTATGGAGGAATTGGTAGTAGATCCGCCGATGGTGGCAGCGGTAGAGGCGGCGGCAGCAGTAGCAGCAGCGGTAGTAGCGGTAACACTCGGCGCGACAAAAGTTCCATTTCCAGTCGAGTTGGACGAGCTCAGAGTTCCAAACCCGATCTGACCATTATCAAAGTCAAAGACTGAGTAGACATTCTTCAAGAAGACATCGCCGACAAGCCAGTCGTTGGCACCTGATGACTGGTGACCGACAATGGTGGACACACAGCCACCAGTGCTCGATGCGCCAATGTAGTCATCCGGCAAGATGGAGTATTTGATTCCTGAAAAGGAAAGCTCCAGGGTTGCAGTCGAATTGCAGGGGATAATGTAGTTTTCACCTGACTGGGTGGATCCTGGGATTTGCGCGAAAAGGGTCTGGGCATCGGCCGGGGGAATGAGGATGTAAGTGGTTCCCGTGTCGATGGTGGCGGATTTGCCAGTCAAGTTGGTAGCTTGGCCATTCACGTAGGCATCATCCATGGGGATCGTCCAGGCATCTGAGTTTGTGGACGTGTAGGAGATGTTTCCATCGAACTTGGTTGTATCGACTGTTCCAAAGTTGACTTCCCCATCCTTCTTGTCATCGCTGGCGCGGGAAAGGCTGAATCCGACGATATTCGACGTGATGTACTTGTCTTTGGCGACAATGTCCATGAACGAAGGAATAGTCCAGCCTCCAGTTTGTGATCGACCGAGGCCGAGGATACCGTCGATTGGGTAGCTGGAGAAAGTATCGTTGGCGAAGGTGGCTGTTCCGAAAGTAAAGGTCACGTCCATGCCTGCGATGTTGAACACATCCTGTCCCAGGTCGCCCTCGACCATTCCGCTGCCATAACCAACACTGAAGGCCGAAGAACTGGAGACGTAGGAACTGGAAGCGGACTTGTCAAAGGTGTGGTGAGTCGTGCAGACCTTGTCGGTACAGCTGGAGCTGAACACCCAACTGCTCGGCGATCCAGTATCGAGAGCGAGCCACATTTCCTCCTTTTGCGAGCCCACCTCGACCACGGAGAAATAAGAAAAGTCCTGGCCATCCTGGTCGAGAGGGGCACTGTTTGCCACTGTCGGGGTGTTGGACTTGACAATTGAATAAGTATCATCACGGCGAACGGGGACCTTCTTGATGTCCAGGGTCAATGGTTTAGCATCGGTGGCATCGTCGGAGCTGTCGGACACCAACGTCCAGGGGAAGAATCGACGATGCACATTCTCTCTGGATGAAATGCTGGCAGAAGCCCCCACCTTGAGCTCATAGGGATAGAAGGCGTGGACGCCGGTCGAAAGGCCCGCAATGAGCAGACATGGTGAGAAGCGCATGATCCAACAGCGGGATCTAGTAACGGTGGAATGGGGCCAGCATCGAAATTATCCAAATTGGATGAGCTTCTGAGAAATTGCTGAGATGTGACGATTTAGCTGAGAGAGGTGTTGATGTCGATAAATTTCGTAGTTGACGAGGTCTGGCAGGCGTAAGATTGAGGTGGTCCACAGATCGAGTCAGGGGGTCGAGGAAAATGGTAATGTACAAAACGCGACGGTATTTTGCAAGAAAGCACAAGCGACAGATGCACGATGCAGAAAGAATAGAATAAAGGACAAAAGAAGGACGAGAACAGAACAATTAGCAGAGTAAGAAAAAAAAGAGAGAGAGGCCGTACAGAACAGGAGGTTGGAAAAGAGGAGAGGTTGCCGTGGGATGGGACGTGAGGGGGACCCAAAAAAGGTGGCAGACTGACTGTCTCGGGGGTTCCACTGACAACTGCACCCCGAAGAACCAGACGAACCAAAGAACCACTGCCAGCAAACTCCCGCAACTGCTTGCCATCCCCTGACAAGCCCACTAGCCCTGAGCCGGGGTTAGGGCGAGTTGCTAGGACTTGCTTGGGAGGAGTTTACGACCCACCAAACGGCTCTTCCAGGATGCGATCGGCTGGCTGGTCGGAGCTAGCGGGGCGCTAGTCTGAGCGTTGTGCAGTCTGGTGAGTGGATAAGGAGAGAGAAAGAATCAAGGAAGTGGAGAGCTTGCACAGTTCTTGCTTTGCAGATGCATTTCCCGAAATATGGAGAACAGATAGTATCACCTTTGGGCATACATACTCCGTAGTGATTCAGGAAACACCCAATTGTCCTCCGTACAGAATCTCGAATATGCCTGACTTTCCGAAGTGTGCGACCAGGTTGCATCCGTCCTTCGTTAGCTTATGTCTCTGGTGCACGTGCACGGAGCACCCGTTGGCTTGACGAACCGGTTTGACTTGGAACTGAGCACTTGCCAGCTCAGGGGGATGTGCTTACTGTACTGGCTGCCTCAGGCATCCGTATAGGTCGAGAGTCTAGACTTGTCACTTATGGTCTCGACCACATCGGAGACCAATATTCAGTGGAACCATACTGTACATACTATAGTATACTATGTATAGTCACGAATAGTACTCCCTCCAGATCAGGTATAATAAATCATCTCCTTGACCAGGCAACCGGCGGGTACTTGCATGGGTGACCGCGCCACCTCTATGAATGGAACACAAGGTCCTTCAACGCCTGGTTCTTGGGGGAGACCAGTCATTTATGAAAGTAATGCTCAATTTCAGATCATATCCTAGGAAGATATCTTTCTATCTTTTTCTAAATTATCCTCGTTATTCCCTCGTAAGTACCGAGTACGGAACTACCTAGTGCGTGGACGGAAGACCCGGATAGATACTTTGTAGAGTACTCTCCACAACACCTAGGTAAGCCCTCATCTTAGATGACTAAGGACATCTGAACTTATCGAATAGAGTAATTGCTCAGTTTGTCCCTGATTTTATGCTGCTAGTTCAACCCTGCAACACTATGATCATCCTAACCGAGTGTATCACATGATCCAGAGGGCATAACATCGAGCCTCCTAGTGGCCTCCCTTGACCACTGAAAAATCCCTTGGCGGTATATTGTATCCAGTTACTAACCTATGACATGCTTCCAGTTGCTAGGTAATCACATCAGAACATCAGGAATCTAGTGCGACCGAAAGTTACCACCGAGTGAAGTCTAAGAAGGATGCTCCTCCCAATATCCAACTAACTTCCACTTGCTTGAACAGGCATCTTCCTGTTTCTACTATATAAAAGGACTATCGCAAATTTGAAAATATTCCAGTGCGACATGAATTTCAGAACTAAATTTGTCCTTTCAGTCTTCCATGATCCATCTGATAACTCTATGGGATTTTGTTCGGAAGAGACCGGAATGAAAATACACTCCACCTAAACCTCACAGTGCCTCATTCAGCCAGGACATCTCAATCAAATTCACAGCGTATGAACTGTTGTCAATATAGCTAATTGAAGTATTTCAAATCTTAGATATTGATACTGTACTATAGTCCAGTTATCTACCAGACCTTAGTCCAATCCAGCCGAGGCTCTCTTTCCCGGGGCATCAACTCTAAATCCGCGACCCAATTGTACCAAACCACGCAGCTTCTATCAATAACAAGATTTCACATAGAAACCTACTCAATTAATTCTAACACCCATATCCCCACATCTCCCTAATCCCACCCGGCCCGGAACAGACCTGCTCCGACTGACCAACAAACTCATCCTTCCACCCTCGGCCAGGAACCCCCATGGATAAATCCATCTCCATCTCCCGATTTTAAACAACTCTACTCGGTAAAATCTTTACAATTCTCCATACCCCAGTCCTCTGCCAATTAACCCACACACTAACAAACAATTCCCAACAAAAAGAAAATCCACTTATCCCGACAAATGAGTCAGGTAATATCCATTTACATCGAGCACTGTATATCCGCGCCGGAATTCCCCGCCACGAACCCAACCGGAACCCGAGGCGGGGACTAAGTGCTGAGTATTTAGTATAAGGTACGGAGTAACTATAGAAGAATTTGATCGGGTCTCATGACCTAGCCCTCGGGTCGGGGCATTGGGGTCCGGTCCGGCGGTGGTTACTATGGAGTATTCCGTAGTGTGAAGTGGACGGGAGAAATGGAGTATGGGAGTATATCCGTGAGAATCGGAATGGATCCCGGGTTTTTTTTTGGAGATCGGGTGCGCTGATGATTGTGGTAAATGTTATGGTACATGGTACATGGTACTAGTCGGATTACTACGTAGTGGTATGGTGTGCGCCTGACGATCTGGACGGAGGGTACATGTAATGGGCTGGTTTAGTGGGTTGGACCTCGGCAACTTAATAGTTGAACGGAGTTCGGGGGCCGATGACGGGAGTCTTGGGTTTTGATGATTGAATTGAAGTGGATGCATTTGATTGGGTATGAAAGGAGTGTATTGGATTGGAGTTTATTGTGTTTGGCGGGTGTATTTCCTTGGAAAATGGACAATGGTTTCGGATATACGAAGGACCTACAGTAGTACGTTTGAGAGATCGGGACAGAAGGCTTATTGTGTCATGGCCATGCAGGCCAGTAGTATAGTACTTCATCCCTGAAGTATATAAAGAATCTGATAAAGTGAAAGAAAACTATTACATCGCGTGCTAGTGTCCCATCCAGAGAACGAACAAAATATCCCAAATCACAGCAGAAAAGAAAAATAAAAAATGAGGCGGTCAGACTCTACTCAGAGAAGTAATCCCAGCATCGCACCAAAAGAATTCGTCATAGCCACGGAGTACTCCTACTTCCGGGAAACAGGAGTATCCTTCGGACCAAGCACATCATCCAAAAGCCCGCCCACAACTCGCTCACCATACCAGGCTCTTTCCTGCCTCCATTCGAGCGCGCCATCTCCTCCCCAATACGACTCCGCCCCACCGCCTCCGTCAACGAGAACGGGTCAATCTCCACAGCATGGTTATCCACGACCTCGCTCATGGCAGAAGCAGCGCTGATGTCACCGCCGGAGACGGTGTAGATCTGGGGCTTCATGGGTGGGGCGACTGGGGACGCGGTCTCGTGGTGGGAGTATAGGTCGGGAAGGACCGGGACTTGAGGGAAGGCGGGTCGGGTGGAGGGGGCCTCTAGGGTGGACATGGCGGGCATGTAGATGAAGTCGACGGTGGAGTTGTCGCCGACGGCTTTCTGAGAGCGGGAGGTGTTGAAAGAGCGGGTTGGTTGACTGGGTGGTAGAAGTTGTCAGCAAGGGTTGATTTATTTTGGATGAGGTGTAGTAGTGTGGGGAGGGAGTTGGAGATGAGAGCGGGATCTCCAATTTTGGGACTTTGGGGAGGAAACATACTCGGCAAAGGCATTGCTGTTGATGCGGCGCATGGCGATGCTAAAGGCCCGGCTTTGAAGGACATCGTGGTTGGAGAGGCGCTCAATCAGCTATAGGTTGGTGCGGGTTAGCTTGTCAAGCTCAGCATGACGTATAGTACGGCTGTCGGAACATACCTCGGCCTTGCTGCCAGCAGCACGGAGCGAACGACGCTGACACTCCTGCTTGAGATCTGGCAGGGTGCGGGCAGCATACAAGGAGGCCTTGTCGGCGGGGTTGGCGGGTTGTGCAGACTGGACGCCAGTGATGTGAAGGCCACGACGAGCGATGGGTGTGGGTTGCTGGGTCAGCTGGCGCAGAGCACGCAGGGAGGTGGAGCGAGGAGCGGTCATGATGTATGTAGTATGTATGTGGTGGGTAGAGATGGTCCGGTAGACGAGGATGGTAGGATTATATCTTCAGAGAGTACCGTCTGGCGAGGTTGAGGATGTGGTTGAGGTGTAGATGGGTATGGAATGTAGGAGGTGAGTGATGGAGGAAGTATAGAGTCTAGGACTGGAAGAGACGGGAGGGGAAGCTGGAGATAGGAAGGACGCGGAAAGGGAAGAACTAAGAATGGCCGGAAGGGGTAGTGAGTCAACAGGATAAGCTTTATACTTGTACCCGGTCGAGCGAGTCCTGTTCCCTGTGAGGAGTGCCAACGTGAGCTCACTACTCTGGACTGTACGCCGGACTGAGGTACTTGGTGTACTTCCTACTGGTGTAGTGCGGAGACCGCCCAAATGGTTGGGGAGAGCTTTGGGAATCCACCTTGGCGGGATCGTTATCGATAGTGGGATCCACGTTCCAAAATAGAGTGTTGACGTGCTCTACTCTGCCAGGGGTAGGGAGTCCACTTGGACCAGAGATCCTGAGCCGAATTTGTAAATTGGTGATCGTTATACTGTCTACACGAAAAAAAGAGAAATAAATCAATGACGGGGGGATAGTACCCTCTTGGAATAATACGTTGTCCATGGCGTACTGATTACGAAAGTCCATGTTTCATCGAAGTACCGACGGAGTCGACTGTACTCAAATGTACCGACGATCTGTCCCCGTGACCCTGCCGACCCGCCTGGACGGGGATGTACGGAGCAGTCTCGAGATCCTGAGGACCTGGAACTGCTGTAGAAGCAGGACTCCCATAGTATTACAGCAACATACTACTAAGTACGGAGTACCAGGAGAATGTACGGAGTTATACAGGACCAACTCTACCCTGTACCCACCAGTACACCAGTACAGTACACCCCAAAATACTGTCCCCGGTCCTCCCTCTACCGTGCAGCCTCGAGTCTTTAACGGAAAAGGCGCTCTTTTCCCTTCTGCCTGAGGCGGAGGACAGCCTTTCCCTAGGAGAGTCCGGCCAAGTCCAGCCCCCCCAAGGTCCGCAGGCTTCAGCACCCGCCGGAGAGCTGATCCTCCTCCCCGTCCACGATGTGACGATTGGATTTGGCACTACGAGGTCAATCCCGATCGTCAGTGTATGATAGTGGTCCATCTCGATCATTATTATTTTCCTGCTAGTGTGGTAGTAGTCCCCTTAGGCTAGGATAATCCCAAATTCCGGGGATAAGCCACGATTCCCGACCGTCATCTGCTGTAGCCCTGGCGATAACTGGAGCAATAATATGCTCTGCTCTAGCCTCTGGAAGGTCCCCCGTTCCCCGCTGGTCCTCACCGTCCAGCCTGCAAGGTCTTCCGCGTCAGCAGAGCCATTGACCATTCAGTGTTGATGGAATTGACGTCGTGTTCTCCTCTGCCTGCAACATCTGATTCGAGGAGATCATCAAAACGGACAAATCAGATCCGGACTGAAATAAGCCACGATCGACTCAACGGTTTTCACTATACAAAAGGTCCCATGACCTCCCTAGAGAGCGGTGAGGACGGGCGAATCTGAGTCCAAGTCTTGGTCGATACCGAGAATTATCATCAGTTCATTAGTATTATTGTTATTAGTTACTGTACATTGGTGGTCTGATCTATGCCCTGCAATGTAGAATGAGGTACATATTTCAACCTATCACCCCGTCATGGTTCATCAAATCAGATTATGACCTGTCTGCGGGTTGCCAAATGCTGGTCAGTATTTCCCAACATCCCAGGTCGGTGTGTCGGTATCCAACTAAGCCCCGAAAGTACATACTCTACAACTTACAACAGGTACCTGGGAAAGTACTTACTCCCCCAATTACTTCCCATTCCCATTACTTACTACCTGGATCATTCCCTCCTCTCCCACTCTTTCCCACGGGCATTTAAAGGCCACACCGCTGGCGGAAGCCCCGGAAACCCCCCTGTTACCCCCCCGCCCTCCAAATCGAATTGCCCTCATGCCAGCTCAAATCGGTGATCACCAGACCCCTCACGGCCAGTGGCGCACTTCATTCTGCATTAATTCCGGAGTATATTAAGTCTCCTTGTCCGTTACATCCAGGGGTACACACCTGTAAGGGCCAGGCTGGGCATGTATCACAGTCTCTCTTGGCGGGGATTCCGGGGGCGTCGAGGTGGAATTCTTTCTCCCTGTTGTGCAATACCCCTAGCACTATTCTGAGATACAACTCTATGCGACCGGAGAAAATATATGGGAAGGTGGATGGCCATGGCCCTGAGATAGAGCGATAAGAGCTCTTTATCTCAATCATACGGTCGGGGATCTATATCCTAAAGTACAGCCAGTAGTAAGGTTCCCATTTTATCCCGTTGTGGTATACTCCGGAGAAAAGTAGATCTAGGTATTGGCTGAAACTATCACACAATTCCTTCCTCGTCCGTGACATGCAATGCATTGCCGGTGTACACCTAAAGCTTAGAACCCCGTCGTCGGCCCTTGGCAATAACCCGGGCGTAGGGGTGTGCTCGGGATGCCGGGACCAAGTGGTCGACATCGCCCGTGTGTACCAGGTCGGGACTGGCCTCGTCCAACGAGGTGATCCCGACGTTGCGCATGGCCGTCTCCAACTCATCTTGCATAACTGTGGAGAATAAAGTGTTAGTCTTGCAACGCATTATCCCACAACTCCAACTCGACAAGAAAGACAAGCAGGGTCATAACATACTGTCAACTAGATGCTCCACGCCCTCCTGTCCATAGTTAGTTGCGAACAGCATACTCCGCCCCATACCCACGGCGGTTGCACCCAAACAGATAGCTTTGAGGATATCTGTCCCGCGCCGAATGCCACTATCCACGTAAACTTCCATCTTCTCCAAAACCTCGGGACACCGCTTCTGAATCTCAAGCAACGTGATAATCGACGGCGGGCTGGTATCCAAGTTCCGTCCGCCATGATTGCTCAGTAGAATACCGTCCATGCCAGCTTTCAGGGCTAGTAGCGCGTCATCCGCGGACATCACTCCCTTCAGACACACCGGCTTATGCGTGTGCTGTCTAACCCATCGCAGATCCTCCCACGTCAGGCCAGGATCAATGAAACCAGCCATGACACGGCCCAGGCCGCCACCTTTCTTATCGTTCTGCGCCTTGGATGGCGACATGGGTACTGATAAGCCTTCGTCGGCTTTGACCCGCTCATCGGCTTCGCGCTTGCCCGGCCAGGCAGCGTCCACGGTCACGAAGATGGCTTTGATATTGGGGTTCTTGGAGCATTGGTGGAGTAGGGCGGCGGACTTTTCGCGGTCGCGGTTGACGTATAGTTGGAAGAAGAAGCTGGCTGATGGTGCTGCTGTGCGTAGTTCGTCCATGGTGTAGGAGGAGTTATTAGAGATCTGTGGAAGCAATCAGCATGACCAGCTTTTCAGGATTGTATAGTGTAATTCGACAACTCACACCCTGCATGATCCCTTTACTCTCGCATGCCCGTGCAATCGCACACTCTCCCTCCGAGTGAATCAGTTTCGCCATCGCCGCCGGGCTCACGAACAGCGGTAGTTTAAAGTCACCACCGAGAATCTTCGTCCGGGTATCCACAGACCGCACATTTCTCAATACTCGTGGCCGGAACCATATCCGATCAAAGCAGGACTTGTTCGCATCCCGGGTGATCAAGTCTGTCGCCGCACTAGAATAGAATGCCCATGTCTTGTTGCTTGCCGTCTTGGATGCCACCACCTCAAAGTCATGTGCGTTGATCAACGTTTCCAGAGGTGGCTTTTGATTATCCAGGAGGAGCTTGTGATTCTCGCCTGGTGGTGGCTTGAGCCATGCGTCGTCGATGGTAGACTCGTCGAGCACACCTTTGAACTTATCGGGTTGCAGGTTGGTTTTGAGGACGCTGGGAGCATGGACTTCTGAGTAGGCCTTTGTTGCGTCACGGCCAGCGTATTTTAGGATAACTGTGGTAGAGTCGTCAGTATGCTGTATTCAATGCAAAATGGCATAGTGCACGAATCCATACTAGCTGATCCGCCCGGATGCTCGTCGAGAAAGTCGGTGACATCCCACACTTGGTTGTCCACCACGATCCAGCAGTCCTCGGGTGTCTTATGCTCTGAGATCTGCCGTGTAGATAGAAGTTTTTGATCCGCCATTCTGATCTAGAACTTGAGATCCACCTGCCCAGATCTATCGAATTGCAGATTGCGCGATAGAATACGTCTGGTTGAATTGGAGGCTGATCACCCAGTGAACGACACAGCAATAGAATAGGCGACGGCGACACGGGCTGCGGGTTGGGGTAGGGTCTAAACGTGCAAAAGAAAAAAAATCAGCCAGACAGAGAAGGCTAAATACTCAACAAGGGTCTTGGGGCCTCTCTGTGCGGAGCCCAGTGTTCTTATCGCGGTGATTCTCCGTGTACCATGCAGCAAGTCTCCACCCCGGCAATGTCCCCGGGCTTACCCCAGAATTGGCGCAATTGGAAAGTCCCAGATGTTTGCCCAAGTGAAGATTTTTGTATAGTTTGCAGAGACACAATGGCTAATGAGCTTATAAAGAGCTGTCAGCGCCTTCTTGGTGCTTTTTCATTTATTTTTGCTCTGGAGTATCCAGAACAAAAGTCGTTGGCCTATAAACATCTCGGGGTAATGGCTCCCGACGCGTCCTGTGAGATTCGATGCCTGTGCTCTTGCCTTCGAACATCGGCATCCACTTTCCCCGCAGGCCTTGAACCTCTACAAATCTGTCACAGTACGAGAGGCGCAATTGTCGCCTTGGAACCCTGCAGCGATCAGCATCGGCAGACCCCCGACACCAATCCGGATTTCTCTCCGCGGGTCGTAGCCTTGACTCTCAGGCTTATGTAACCTCAGGGCTCATTGCTGCGCCACCGAGCCACCGGGAGCTAAGCCCTAGCTGTGGCTGGGACTTCAGTTTCGTGAGTCAACACAAATCGGTCGGTGCAATGAACAGCGCTCGACCCTGGTAGCGAATATTCGACAATCGGCACGAAATTCATATCAGGATCATCGTCTTCTCATGCGCATTGTGTATACTGGCGCCAGGGTTTTCAATTCTCTCGGCAGTCTCAGTAAATCAGCGATCACAGCTGAGGCGTTCAACACAACCTCGTTTGAGGGCAAGTTTCCAGGCAGTTGTCTATACGCCTCGCAAAGAGTCAGCACAGGTACACAGAGCCTCTTGAGTCATTGAATCGGTGTCCGCATTGGTGTAGCCAACACATCGTATCACTGTCGAAACCCGAAGCATATAAGGCTGACCACCAGACAGGATACTCTCGAGTGAACAATCACATTTCTCATCAATATTCAAACTTTGCCAAGATTAGCCCCCAATATTCTACATTTTCCACATCTGCAAAGCAACTTACCGCCAAAATGGAGGAGTCAAGCAAGCCTCTCCGATATGTTGATGTGGGTTGATATCCTCCGTTTTCCAAAAGTCTTGGCGCATAGCCGTTGAGCCGTCCAAAGCTAATCTATACCCTTGTCCAGATCGGTATCAACCTGAGCGACCCCGTGTTCCGTGGTCATTATCATGGCAAGCAAGCCCATGATGATGATTTGGATGATGTCATTCAGCGTGCAAAGGATGTCGGCTGTGCCAAGTTCATGGTGACCGGCTCAGATCTGATCGAATCTGAAGCAGCAGTGCAAATAGCCAGGGACTACCGTAAGTAGCTTGTGTCTGGAATCATGTGAAAGAGTTTCTGGCGGCTAACCTGAATGTTCATAGCTGGCTTTTGCTATGCAACCGTTGGTGTACACCCTTGCCAGGCAAAGCACTTCGACAAGTACCCAGGTGGCCCATCAAAGATGATCGATGATCTCCGCAAACTAGCACTCGAGTCCAAGGAAGCAGGTTTCACTGTCGCCTTTGGTGAGATTGGCCTCGACTATGACCGATTGTTCCTCAGCCAGAAGGAACCTCAGCTCAAGTACTTCGAGGCCCAATTAGACCTCGCCATCGAGATTGGACTGCCATTGTTCCTCCACTCCCGAGCTGCTAGCGAAGACTTTGAGAGGTTGCTGTCATCAAGACTCGATAGACTTCCAAAGCGCGGTCTGGTGCACAGTTTCACTGGAACAATGGAGGAGATGCAGCGGCTCGTGGCGCTCGGTCTGGACATCGGCATCAACGGCTGCAGCATGAAGACGGAAGAGAACCTAGAAGTTGTGAAGGCTATTCCATTAGAAAGGTTACAGATCGAGACCGATGGACCTTGGGTACGTACCTCGATCATCTTGTTCAGTCGATGGGATCTCCACTAATAGCAGTTTCCAGTGTGAGATCCGCCCCTCGCATGCATCGGCCAAGCACTTGGGTGGTGCTCCGGATCTTCCCAAATCTGTGAAGAAGGAGAAGTGGCAGAAGGGCTTCATGGTCAAGGGACGTAATGAGCCCGTGGCTATTGCCCGCGTGGCGCACGTCATCGCGTCAGTCAAGGAAATCTCCGTGGAGGAAGTGTGTGAAGCGTAAGATTCTTCGTCGAGAATTTCTGCGTGGTGAGTGTAAGCTAACTGTTTTTCCAGGGCTTGGAACAATTCTATCAGGATGTTCGGACTCGGAGAGAAATGCCAGTAGCCTCGAAATTGCGTTCCAGTGTCTGGCTGTGCACATCGACATGAACGGACACTGCCGGCCTTGGAGAGACGCGCACCAAGTTTTGACCAGAATCCGGGACTTCTATCCTTCTACTTCAGCTCTTTCTTCAATGAGATAGCCATCTATTTCAACGGCCAGCTGATCGGAGGTTCATCGCTTTCTGATAGGTAAATCAGCTCCTCATTCGTCATCGTCAATCCAGAGACCTCTCGATAAGGCACTTCTTGACCCTTGGTCAATGCAATATCGCATATAAGATTAGGATGTCTTTCTATAATTAAGGCCTCGGTTCCGACATATTGTCGTCGTGAGCGCGTTGAGCAGAGCCAACTGGTGAGGGAGAGACCAGGTACGGGGGTGTATATATTATCCGGAAGCCCTAATCAAGCACATCGATATGGCTTCATTCATCGAGCTGTGCTTGAAGCTGTACGGAGCTATACATATTTACATTTTTTTATTCTACTTTCTATATCAGTATTACTATTTACTTGTTGGTCTTTGTCGTCGTCGACGCGTCTTGGGGCACGTCACGGTCACGATGTTCTATCACCTGGGTTTCCGTGTCTTTATTGTGTTTACTTTCTCGAGGGTCTGTCTACACCTCATTCACCTTCCACATCTCTTACCTTTACCACATTCACCTTCCAACCCTACCTTCCCATCCATCTTCTCAGCATTCAATTAAGCCTCGTGCATCTACTGCCGATTACCTTGCATGACCCTACCATCTACGACCTATCCCATCCAGGAGCCTGAAGCCCTGTCATCGCTGCTGATCTCCGAAGCACAGGTGTCTACCTCTGGTGCCTGCGGGTTCCTGGCTCCACTTGGCCGCCTTTACGAAGCCACGATCATGGAAGGGCCAAAGGAAAATCATCAGGCCCAGCGTGTGACCAACATGGCACAGGACAAGATGCCCGAAACCCTGCTCATGGTCGAGGAACGTTCCCTTGGTAAGTGATGTTGACCTTCCAACCCAGTCCAAAGCCTCCATCACACATCCTACCATGGTGACTGACCATGTATCAGAGCATATGGGAGCAGAGGACGAGCGAGAAGGTAGACTCCCTCTGCAGCGGCTTGCAATCCCAGATCAATTCGCGCAAGTGGTAGCTGGCATCTACCGCTCTAGTTATCCAGACGTCATGCACTTGAGCGTCTTCAAAGTCATTGGTATTAAGACCATTGTGTAAGTCTATTCGGGTCAAGTTTAATGATCTCTCACTTACAGTCTCTCAGTCGATTTGTTGACGAAGATTACCCCCCGCCTATGAAACAGTTCTTCCTGTGGTGTTCGCAGCCTTCACATTCCCGTGGTGCCCAACAAGGAAGGGTCTACCAAAACCTCTGATCAGACTGTCAATGTGGTGATGAACGTTTTGATGGAGAAAAAGAATCACCCAGTCATCGTTCATTGTAACCAGGGTAAGGTAGGTTTCCATTTCAGATCGTCTGTTCTGTCAGTTCCATATCTAACATTGCTCACTAGCACCGTACGGGTACCATGATCGCTTGTTTCCGAAAAGTTCAAGCGTGGGACCACCAGTCTATCGTCAACGAATACCGCAGCTTGGCCGGGAAAAAGGCTCGAGCCCTAGACGAAGAATTCATTCAAACCTACACTCCCCCACGAGACATCCTCGCAACCGCTAAGCGTTTGGGCGTTGCTTCGTGGGTCGCCGTCCCATACCCTGTGACAAGCAATACCGCCGACGAGCACCCCGCTCTGTCTCGCGAATGATCATGGATCTTCTTTTCAAGAGTCTATTTGAGAGCCGCATGTTTACCATGGCCTCTACGAAGTTTGGGGGTTCCTAGGTTGGCTTTCAGAGCATTGACACCTGGGTTGGCTTTCAGGAGTTTAAGCGATGCTTTTCCTGCAGCATTTTCTTTCTTGTCATGTGTGTTGATATCCTCTTGTTATTATCGACGACTCGCATGTTCGGCATACGGTGGAAGGTTGTACTTTTAGATTGACTCTCCTGTTCCGTTAGCATTCAATGCATGGTTACAGTGTCAAGCAGCTTTAGTATTGGAATATGATAAACTGTAAATTGATTCTTGTAGGCATAATTTATTAGCGAGTAGCCTGGGTATTGGTACAGCATTATCTTCGCAAGCTAAAATAGTGCACAAAGTCTAACCCAAGTCCATGTCCTCAAAGTTTTCGTCCGTAGCAAACCCTTCATCCATAAAAGTTCTATCTGACATGAGAATATCATCATCGTCCCAGGTAAAAGGCGTGTACTCGGACACCTGGGACAAATTTTCAATGGATGTCTGAGTCGTTTGGGTTATTTCAGTTGTTTGGGTAAATTCATGAGAGTCTCCAAAGGTGAGCATGCTGCTGCCATCGGAGAGAAGCTCATCCAATACTTGTGCATGGATCAAGTTTGGAGGCAGGCTGGGATCACTGTCGAGCTGTAGGATCTCACCGTCGGGATCAATTTCTTGCTCGGGAGATTCCGGCAGCATAATCTCGTCATCTGACTGGGCGAACGGCTTTCTTGGCAGGCCGTTCAGGTCAAAGAATGATGTGAATCTTTTGCAGGCCTTGGTTTTGGAGAGTCCATACTGGGCAAACCCCCACAGTGATGACTCTATTCTCGACTTCAGGCCCATTGTGGGCAAATTTTCATGCGTATTTCCATCCACGGTTTCAGGTATTAGGGGCTTCCGCGGGTTGTTTGCCTCCTCTAGTATATGAGACAGCTTGCTCTGAATGACAGGATTGTTGCTGTTTTCCAGCATCGATATGAGTGACCTGCTGATTGTCGAAAGCGATGCAGCCCTTTGTTTCATTGCCTAGGAACACATTAGCATCCACTCTTCTATCCATTTTTACTGACACTCACTTCTTGATATTCTGGATGGAAAACTGCGGGTGCAAGCAGAGACAAATTTTGGAGTTTGTTTCTGCCAACCACCTTGATGTGATGGTTTCTGATAACGCCGGGAAGGATCAATTTCTGTAAACCGAAGTCCAATAGACCCAGAAACAGTATTGAAAGCTGTTCAACGGTATTTCTTTCGCTTGTCTGTCTTGCAGTAACAAGATCACTGCTCTCATTCGTGTCAACGGGCTGGTCAAACGGGATGAGCAAGTCATCCATGGTGGACAGAGCAAATGTCGCTACTGCAATTTTTCCGATCGAGTGAGTATATTGCATCGAGCAAGGTGCATGTTGAAGATCGGTCAATTTTCCATTTTTGCGATTCAATGTCTCCACGATCTGTGCCTCCAGTTGTTGCACGGAGTTACGGCTTGAATATTGCAGATATATGTCGAGAGATGCCAGGCGCGCTGTTGGGACATCAGAAGGGGCATGGGCTTCTGGAAGATTTTTCAGGGTCTCAGGAAGCCTTTTGGTACTGGCAGAGGCAGGTGGTCGGTGTCTCCGGCAAAGACCAAATGCAAGGCGATGGGATTCAGAAGCAATAGACTCCTCAGGTTTAGGGCGACTTTTGAGAATGATGTCAAATCCCAGATCAGCCCAAACCTACAGCCAATTGGTGTAAGCCAAAGACATCAGTCTAGATAAAGTATGAGAGCCTGACTATACCTTTGACTTGCAGAGTTCTTCTTCCAGACTTGTAGCGAATGCGGGCCCAGCGGCTTCGTATGCAGGATCAACACTGAACACAAGGCGCAGCTCAAGTTCCGGGGCCTCTGTGATCCACAATGACTGGAGATCCTTCCAGTGGCGGAGAATTCTGGTTGAACTTGAAATTGATCCAGTTGTGGCTTGGGTGAAACTTGCCGTTGCGCTGAATCGAAGCTGTAAAGATGAATTTGTGGCTTGGAACAGGCCGTGCCCTAAGTCCATTGGCCGGGTCATATTGACGAAGGGTTCACATCGGATCTAGCGACCTCCACAGACTTCAAGGAGCTGGTCACTCAATTGGAGACACAAGAAGGATCGATGGCCAGACTGAGGGCTCAGAGAATATGCAGAATTGAGGAATTGTGCTCACGTTCTGGTACGGCCTGGGGCACCAATAGAGCACATGATGCGGTTGGCACGTGATGCAGTGAATTACAGCATGCATGTCATACATTTCTAAAGCATTCTCGGAAACTTGTAGCATCTATTGATGCAAATCAAGGAGGTAGATCGCTTCTATCACTATATTCAGATCGAAATATGCAACAGTCTAAACGCTTAAACTCATGGAATTATGAATCCACCTTGTCTTGGCGCCAGATTTATCTAGCGCAAGGGCTTTTTCATTGCCTGGCCCATCGTTGCCATAAAACATCTCCAAGGGTAGTTCGAACCGCCAATGTATCTCCTCAAAGGAACTCTGCACTATTCCCTGCTCTCGAAACTCTACTTGATGATATCATGCAGCGTAATTCGCCTCCACAGCACGAGCCGTTGGAAATCGTCGCGTGGAGCGGCGATCAACAAAGAGCTCTTATCGATAAGCATCACGTGCACCCCCGTATGCTGGCCTCAAGAGCATTCCGATTCATTCATCTTGATCTTCAAGGTCAACGATGCCTGGAGATGAAGGAGAAAATGACCGCCTGACTGGCCAGAGGGTCCAGCATGAGTATGAATCTCAGTCTCTACTATCGTCCCCCACAGAAGAAGAGGACGATCTCATAGTCCATTCCGCCTCCCCCGGTTCGTCCCCAGCGCCCGCAAGCAGCACCCACGCAGATGCGCAGCGCCAATCCTCCATATTATACCCAACTCCAGATGGTCAGCGCCGAACACCCCGCACAACGAACCGAGTCCATTTTGACCTAGAGGAGGATGAGGAGGAAGACGATCGCTACTCCAATGGGCATGCCCGTAGCCCCGACAGCGATGCGCCATGGCTGGATGACGAAGACTACGAGCTTGGCGAGCAGGGCAGATCGGGGGTACGAAACACAGGGCAGACAGTTCCCCTTCTCACCAACATTGAGGCTCCGAGTGTGACACTAGCAACTTCGGATGACTTCTTCCCTGAGGAACACCTGGAGAGCGCGCGGCCGAGGAGTGGCATGAGGATGGCGTTTATGAATATGGCAAACAGCATTATCGGGGCAGGGATCATTGGACAGCCCTACGCACTTCGCCAAGCGGGCATGACTATGGGTATATTGCTATTGACAGCATTGACTTTGACGGTGGACTGGACGATTCGTCTGATCGTCGTCAACTCCAAAATGAGTGGCGCGGACTCCTTTCAAGCTACTATGCAATATTGCTTTGGAAGAAGCGGCTTGATAGCAATCTCCATCGCTCAATGGGCATTCGCGTTTGGCGGTATGGTTGCATTTTGCATCATTGTCGGCGATACGATTCCACATGTCCTGGGCGCCCTGTTCCCGTCCCTTCGGGAAATGTCCTTTCTATGGCTGCTTACTGATCGCCGGGCTGTCATTGTGCTCTTCGTTCTTGGTGTCTCCTACCCTCTCTCACTATACAGGGATATCGCTAAGGTCAGATTGTTTCCTCTTCTTGTACAAATTTCCGGGGCTGACATGTTCATAGTTGGCGAAAGCATCTGCATTGGCCTTGGTCAGCATGATAGTCATCGTGGTCACGGTCATCACACAGGGCTTCCGTGTCCCAGCAGACTCGCGTGGGGAAATTAAAAGCCACCTTATCATCAATTCGGGGTTCTTCCAAGCTGTGGGCGTGATATCTTTTGGTATGCTATTTGATCTCAAGCACTTGTATTATGCTAATACTGAACTATCTACAGCATTCGTCTGCCGTACGTTGCCCGATTTTCTTCAACATATATCAAGCACTAACCCTATGGCCAGATCATAACAGCCTTTTGATCTATGGGTCATTGAAGAAACCAACACTCGACCGCTTTGCAGCAGTGACCCATTACTCAACAGGAGTATCTCTAGTCATGTGTCTAGCCATGGGCATCGCGGGATTCCTCTCTTTTGGCTCAAAGACACAAGGGAACGTGCTCAACAATTTCCCGTCGGATAATATTTTGGTCAATATTGCCCGATTGTAAGCAACCCTACCCTCCTCTACTCAACCAAGATTTCGAAGGCTGACATTGGCCAGTTGCTTTGGCTTGAACATGCTGACTACCCTTCCCTTGGAGGCCTTTGTCTGTCGCTCTGTGATGACAACTTATTACTTCCCAGACGAACCTTACAACCCCCATCGGCACCTGATCTTTACCACAGCTCTGGTCCTTACATCAATGGGGTTGTCATTGATTACGTGTGATCTCGGCAGTGTTTTTGAGCTGATTGGAGCAACCAGTGCGGCGGCACTTGCATACATCTTTCCTCCTCTCTGCTACATCAAACTTAGCACCGCTTCGCGGCGGGAAAAGATACCAGCTTATGCGTGTGTTGGGTTTGGGCTCGTAGTCATGGGCGTCAGTGTCGTCCAGGCGGTTGCAAAGATCATTCGAAGTAGGTTCCCTGCGTCTTGTGTTGAAGTTTTTGCGTGATCACCAGCGTAAACTAACTTTGTCCTCCAGATGATGGCGAAGGTCGTTCGTGCAGTGCTTCTTAGTGCTAGCTTTCCCGAAATCCTCTTATCTTTACTTATAGAATTTAGCTCCTTTCCCGCTGGTTGCATCACCTTGTACATACATTGCCATGGTACAAAGAGAGCCTATATTACCAGATAACACTTCATTGAGGGTCTTTACTTGCCAAACATCGCTGTCGCTATCGCACTGTCTAACGCTGGATAATAAACTCTCTTAGGGTTCAAAATGGTTTCTATCCTCCCGGCATTTTACGACAATACGAGACGTTTACGCATCTTGTGTCAGGAAGCCCAAATTAAATACGAACCCTTCATTGCCCAGCAATCGTTTTCAAAGGGCTGGAGCCTTCCTCGCAGGCTTGTCGTCCCTCCTGCAGTTTTGGTGGCCCCAAACGCGGCTTGTTTTTGTTTATTTTCTTCATCTTCCCACCTTCTCCTTCTCGACTTCCTCGCCATTTCCCTCTTCCATCTTTGTCCATCATCATCGCTTCAAATTTCTCCTAAAAACAGATTCACGTACTTCTCACTGGGCCTCTCACAGCGTGCTCCTGTCTGGATTGCCATTCGTGGTGTCCAGGCTCTAAGGAGCCTCAACTTGCTCCGTGGGTGGCGTCTATTTCGACCTTCTACGAACATAGCCTTTCAAATCCTCCAGCCGAATCACTCGGCATCCATCTCCCATCATCTCTGATCACAGCTCTCCCGCTCCGCTCGTCATTCCCTTTGTTCCCAGACCTTGTTTCTCTTTACTCGATCACCGCACTCTGCAAAGCTCGCCTTCACCATGGCTCTCAATCCTAGGGAAATGGAGGAAGCTGAGACCGCCCGCCTCAATGCGATGCAAATGGTGAGCACATCCAGAGATCTGATATTACCAGTCTTCCTCGGGTGTCATGGACTTCCTAAAGCCTGACTTGATGGACTTGATAGGCCGATCTGGGCACTGCTCGTCGTGAACGCATTTCCACCGAAGGTAACACCCGACAGCGTGTCCGTGCCGCGTTGGACGACCTCGAGCGCAATCGAGCCGTCAACATCGTCGGTTCTCCCGAGCAGTTGCAGGCTGAGGCAAGTCAGATCATGTTGAAAGCGTGGGACGGTATGTATACGATCTAGCTCCTTGTTCTCCACGGAACATTCACTGAAGGGACATTCTAGACTTTCTAAAAAGAGCTTCAGAGGACACAGGCCAGATAGAGCAGCTCGATGATCTCATGCATGGCCAGACCCACCGTGCTCAACTCACTGCAACACTGCATAGCAAGCAGGCTCCCCACCAGCCTGTGGTCAGGCATGCAAGATCTGTCAGTCACCAAACAAATCACCCCTACCAGAGGCCATCCCCCCGCTATGGTGGTGGCACAATGGGTACTAGAACACGCTCTCAGGTTTCAGCCACTAGGTAAGCCCTTAACCTCTCCTTCGAATCCGAGCATTACTGACCAGATACAAGAAACTCCACCCATGTTGGGGTATACGACTTTCCTTCGAACATGCCAACCAGACTAGATCCTGCGCTGGATATCAATAATCCAGATGATCCAAGCTCCCGTCCAGCACGCGGCCGGTCTGCACATCGTACTCAAGGTAATAGAGGCGGCCACGCCTCTTTCAGGGCTAGACCGCAGGAATTTAAACCAAGAAGCGACGAGCTGGAGTGAGTGAACCCCGATTGAAACCAACAATTTCTATTGCATTTATAGACTGACCTATAACCTATCCAGCGAGAGGTATTCCAAACAGCTGCCCAACCCGGCCGACTTCATGGCCTCAATTCGGCGGTCATCTTCAGTCCTGGGAACCCTGCCTCAAAAGCGTGCCCCAGCTACAAAGCCTGCCCCAGCTACGAAGCCTGCTGCGACTACAAAGCCTGCCGGGAAGTCTTCACTTGGCGATTCAAAGTTTGCCACTCCTGCGTATTCGACTCCAGCTGCGAGTTCCGCGAAAGCTCCACGAACTCCAACCCGGGCTCGTCGTACTGTGTTTAGGGAGAAGACCGCTGGCTTTAGTACTCGTGCGAAGGCGGCTCGTCCAAAGCCAATTGATGAGCCAGATTCAAGTGATGAGCAACAGGAGGAGAAAACGAGCGAGGCTCCAGCTGCAGTTCTCTTGGATATTGACCTAGATGCTGAAGAGCGTGGCGAGGCTCAAGTCCAACAGTTGTTGCACAGCCCTGGCGTTGCAGATCTGACGGGGATCACTTTCCCCAAGGGGGGAAATATTATGCCTCTGAGTACCGAGTCTGCTGTTTCGAGCGCGTTCAAGGCTTGGCTCGAGACCCCTGAGTTCCGCGGTTCGAATTTCCCTGATCTTGATCTTCTGATTTCTCATTGAACTAACAAAAACAGAACACATGACGAAGGAAATGACGCGTGTCCTACTTGTCTACCGCTATCTCGAGGGCCATGCAGATAACCGCGGCCAACCCAAGTCTCAGCATCCAGCATCCGACTTCGAACAGACCCATGCAGAGCTAAGCTCCACTACTCAGGCTGAGCTTCAAGCCGTTTCGAGACAAGCTGTTGATGATTGGTTCAAGGGCACTCCGATGCATTTGCTGACCACAGCACATGCTCCGCCAACAGCAACACCCACATCCGGACAACGTCATGACCAAGTGCCGCCCCTGTCTACTCCCAGTACTACAGTTTCCACTCCTACCCCTAGCCAGGGTCAGGAGTCTGCTTTGCCAAAGGCAGTTCCAAGCACGAAAAGTTCCGAGCCGAAGGAAAAGCAGGAAATTTCACTCCCGAAGATTGAGACCACATCTCCGGGGTCTGAGACGGTTCAGGTTAGCGAAATTGGTAGCTTTGATAACTACCGCACTCCCCCGCGAAGTGCCTCGGTCACTGACTCTTCTGATGAGAAGAAACAACGCCAGATTGATGCGTCACTGCTGTCCCCAAAGAGAAAAGATGTTTCTTCTGACGTACCGACTATGGAATTCGAATCGCTACAGGTTTCTGAACGTCGATCCATTCAGAATACTCCCAAGGAGCCTCCATCGCTCATTGATTTTGATGAAGACCTGACCCCAACCAAGGGAACGACCATCAAGACCACCGCCAAACAACCAATACTTGGTTCGATGGAGAGTTCGATGTTTGCAAGTCCTGTGGATATGGCGCAGCATCAAATCGGTAAGATGAAGGTAATCGCCCCTCCCTTATCCCCATCGCGTTCGCGAATACTCTTGATCCTACGATTGTTCCACACATGTCCATTATCAATTAAGACAATATACTTTGAATGATCTGACTGACGAGATAAAGGCCGGTCCCCTCTCTGAAGAGAATACGATCCTAGGCATCTTCAAGGGCCCTGTGAATGCTCCAGCTTCTCATAAGGTTGTCCAAAGCGAAATATCAAGCCCAGCCGTCTCCGAGCTACAGCGATCTACTTTGGTTCAAAGCAGCTCAAATGTTCTGAAAGATGGTCCTACAAAGGGAGCATCGGCAGCAGCAGGACCCAAGTCACTGCAGCAAGCCCCCACTGAGATGAAGTCTCGGGCTCTGTCTGGAGGTATGGAGGCGAGCAGGTGGGCGTTTTCTGATGAAGGGCCTTCGAAAAAAGCGACTACATCAAAGGTAACAAACCCCGTTTTCCCGTATTCCCGTTTGAAACAAAATCTAACCAACTCATAGCCGCAGACACAGCCACAACAGCGGACTCGAACGGGCTTTTTCTCTTCACGTCAACCCACCACGCAGCCCACCACGCAGCCCACCACACAGCCTACCGCACAGCCTACCAGCACGGAGAATCCGACGGGTTCCAAAGTCACATTTGTGGGCCCACGCCCCTACATTCCAGCGCGCAAATGATCTGAGGAATCATTAGCAATCAGTACGAGTTTATTGTTTGATTAATAATCGATTAATGTTGCTTGCTTATCCCAGATGATGACGAGGATGTAGGATTTTGTTTTAGAATGCTGAACTGAAGGTTACAGCACAGTGTTAGTTTCGTGACTTTCTATCAATATTGAGTGTGGTGTCTAGACAAATCGAATCTGTCTGAGAATCTCTTACTACGTAGTTGTAGTCTAGTGCCTATGGTCATGGCTGAGCCCCTCTGTATCTGCTTTTTCTTCTCTTTCAGACTCAGGTTCCGATACGACGCTTTATCATTCAGCTGTACCTGGGAATGGTTGGACCCAAGATAATGTTGCATGAATATATTGGAAGGCACTGAAACCGACGAGACTTGAGATATCATTCTGCGGAACAAGTCCTAAGATATAGTTTGTAAAAGAAAATGGGCAAGAAACCTGGGAGAGGCATTTACTCTGCCTCGTGTATACTCATAATGCAAGAGGCCATTAGCTTGGAATTCGGCGAGCATAATGAAGTGTGACAATACTAGTCTTGACTCACACAAAGGCGCAGACCAGCGTGGTTGCACCCATAAAGGGAAGCGGATCTTTTATGACCATCGCTATACTTCTAACATCAAATTTGGAGTATCGTTTTAGCGATGAGTCAATTAATTTCCTGTATAGTATTATTAGGTTATGTGTGATTTTTTACTAAAATCTTGCATCGGGCGTGGATATCGAGTGGTCAATCGGTTCGTCATTTACCCAAATGGGAAGCAACTCTATAAACATTCTCAGGGTCCTCATGAAGGCAGAGTTACGACTTTGAATCAAGAAATGGGATAATAACTCAGCTGGGAGAGTGCACGACTGAAGAACAACTCCAGTCTCTGCTATCGTGAAGTCGCCAGTTCGATCCTGGCTTGTCCCATTTTCTTTTCTTGACTGTCTATTTTTTTTGGTACCCGTAGAACTAACCAATCAGTGGCTCTATTCTCTTTAAGTAGGTATCGAGGTCGTTTAACTATTTTACTTTCTAAAACCTTGAATCCTAGATCCTTTAAAAGAGTGAATGACTCTGACCTAACGATATCTACGTACCAGGGATTTACATAGAACAAGTCCGCCCTCGCGCGTCATTCATGGCTTACGTCCACGTACCCTTAGCAGCCAGAAGGGTCAACAATAGTACTAAATCATTATCGACTAGACGTACGGAGTAGTTATGGTATTCTTATCGGTTAAGGGTAGGTAGCAAAGCCAAAAGTTAGAAGAGGGGGCCTAGACCCCGAAAATATGGGCCCAAAAATTTCGCTCCACCAAAAAGAGATGGGACAAGCCAGGATCGAACTGGCGACTTCACGATAGTAGAGACTGGAGTTGTTCTTCAGTCGTGCACTCTCCCAGCTGAGTTATTATCCCATTTCTTGCTTTTTCTGCCAAATTTTAAAATTATGAGATCAACATGAGGCTCGCATATTGTGTCGTAGCAACTGGACATTCTGGTCACCCAAGTAGAATCATTCATCTACCACATGAGGCTGTATTTCTTACCGTTCAATGTATCAAACTGTATTGATGCTTAGATGGGTGAAAGTTTCGTTGTTTTTAGCACTGAGCTTGTTCCGACTGTGGAAATATATTTAGCGCGATGGCCGGGGTGCCTCTGCCTATGGAGGCTAGGGAACACCATACATCGGGCACGAAAGTCTTACTGGCAAATAGTATCCAATGATCATCACGGTATGTACGACTACCAGCACAATTGTACCTGTAACTCTATTGACGGAGGCCCAGAGCCATGCGAACATGCAGATCGTAGATCATCTTGTAACGGGCATCACTGAGGAACCACCTAACGCGCGAACCTTCACTCAAGCCAGAAAAAAACAATCAAAATCAGCGCTGCCATTCCAAATATATTTCATTATCGCTCGTTTTATCCTATCTTTGGATTTTTGCCCTTTATTTCATGATCATATTCACAACGTGACGTGGCGTGTGGAAAACCCCAGGTGCATCATTACAGAAGGGTCCTCATGTCATCCATGTTACGAATGCCAGCCAGGTTACCCGCCTTGACACGCTTCAGAGTCAAGGCCGCAATCAGGGCGGCACCAACACCGGAACCGTCCTCGGCAGCCAGGATGGACACCTTGTCCTTCTCGTTGGGAGCCCAGTCCAGGATCTCACGCAGGGCCAGAGCACCGCGAGCCTTGAAGTGCGGGTACTTGGTGAAGACGGAGCCGTCGGCACCAACGTGGCAGGACTCGATGTTCTTCTTCGTGCAGATGGCGGCGACACCGCAGGCGGACAGACGAGCGGCACGAGTGCCGATCAGCTCGGCCAGGCGGCGAATCATCTCCAGCTCGGCCTGGGTGGGGCGAATGTTGAGCTGGCGCTCGAACAGCTCGACGGTCTCGGACAAGTTCTCGTAGGGGTCCTCCTCGATGGCGGCGAGGAAAGACGCATCCAGTAGGTAGGGCTTGCGCAGCTTGGAAACATCTTGGCCGTTGAAGATGAGACCGGGTTTGTTATCAATAATGTCCAGCAGGGCAAGACGGAAGATCTCGCCCAGGTACAGACCAGCGGTCATCTTCTCGAAGGCCTGCTGACCGGGACGAGGTGAGTCGCGGTCGATGATCTCGTCGTACTTGGTGAGTGGGAGGACGACGCGCTCGTTGTCAAAGGCACCGTACTCGCAGTTGATGGCGATGGGGGTCTCGGGGGGCAGGTTCATGTGCGCGATCTTGGGCACGGAGCCTGCATTCTCCATGTAGGCGGCGTTCACACCGGTGCCGAAGATGCAGCCAACCTTCATCTCCGAGTCGGTGTAGGAGGAGGCAATGAGGGTACCGGTAGTGTCGTTAATCAGGGCAGCAACTTTAATGGGTAGACCCTAGAATTGCGCATAACAATTAGATTGCAACTTCTTTACAATAATGGCAGTTCGAGCGATTCCAAAATCGACTCGATCGTCACTTACTCGCTTCTTGAGGATGGTCTCGAGAGGAGGAACAACGTCCTGACCCTCGACACCATCAATATCGAAACCCTTGGTCCAGCGCTGCAGAATACCGTGGTCAATGTATTCTTGGGTGGCAGGGTAGGAGAAAGTGAAACCCAGAGGCATCTTGGACAGGTTCTCATTCTCGTGGTGGAACTCGATGAATTGCTGCAGACAATCCGCAATGTACTCCCAGAGCTCCTCGGCGGTACCCGTCTTCAGCTCCTCGGGCATCCTATATTTAGACTGAGTGATATCGAAGGCACCCTTCTCTTCGGTCAGAGTGATCTCGCAAACACGCAGGTTGGTGCCGCCCATATCGAGGGCCAGGAAGGTACCCTGCTCCTCGCCGTCGGGGAAGCCCATGACCCAGGTGACATTCATCGGCTAATGGGGGATCCGTTAGTGGTGCATGTTCGTAGAGATTATAGGGAATCATGGATTCTCACAATGTTGCCGCCCTCGACGGTCAGTCCTGTTGTTTGGGAGCTGTTAGTGCCGGGTTGTTGTGGTATGACCGGATTCTTCCAGTAAGGCGGCGACGTACCCTTCTCGAGCTCCTTCACAAAGTGAGCCACAATCTGCTTGAGCCTTGCGCGGTCCACAGTGAACTGATCCTCGAAATCCTTGATCGGCTGCAGCAGATTCTGCGGCAACTCGTGCCTCGAGCCTGGGGGAGGAGATAGATCCGATTAGCATGGGGGATTCGAGCTGATCGAAGCTAAATGAAGCTTACCCTTGCGGGATGGAGGCTGCTTAGGACCAATTCCGACCATGATGAATTTGTAGAGATGCGTGTGTACAGATGAGGAAGTGAGAAGAAAGAAAGGAAGGGAGGAGGAAGGAGGGGAGGAATGACGATATGAACGTGGGGCAGGGGATCGCCTGGCTGGATTTGGCTGCGGTGGACAAACGACAAACCCCAAAAGTCAATTAAATCCCTTTTTTGGGGCCTGTCCTTGTCAGTTCTCCCGGACACTTTCTTTCCTTTTAAGAAAGAGTTTGTTTTTGCCTTTTTTTGGTTTTTTTTTTCGGGTTTTTTTTTTCTTTTCTTTTTTTCGACGTGCCCTAGTTCGACCAGCTAATTTGTTTTTTGGGTCTATTTGGTTTGCCTTTTGCTTGTTTGTGGAGGGGTCCCTGACGTAGCCAGTATAGTACTAAGTACATCACCGCGGCGACCTCGGAAGTCGAGGATCGAGATTCCCAACAGTACGAAGCTAGTAATCCAGACAGCTGCTAGCTACCTATTGCAAGCCAACGCAGTCATCAAGGTGAACTCAGAACTCAGAAATACTGTACTGAAACTACTGGACTGACAGGGGCCAGAGCGCTCTGCGCTTGGCGTGAAGCGGTGAGGTAAGCTTCGTTGGATTGATCGTGTGTCTCATCATACATGCTGGTCCTGGTCAACAGAATATTCCCATGATCTATCTCTCCTGTGTACTACTCCTCCTGCTCGATGATCTGATGATCTCCATTATCCCGTCTAACCAAGTCGGGATTGCTCCCACGGCCTAACGCGATTTGCGCGCCAAGTGCGGGAACACATGGTCCAGTCCTTCTGGTGACGGTTCTTCTTGGGAGTCCACTTGGACGGTCGCAGCAGGTTCACTTGGCTCGCCCAGTTTCGCCCGCACGCGCTGCTGATATGAGTCCGTCAGACCTAGTGTGCGTTCAATATCCTGCGCAAGCCGGTCAACCTCCTGTCGGAGCCGCTCATCCCGAGATGGCAGCGGCTCATTCTCGGCTTCGCGCGCCTTAGGGTCTGGGTTAGTCTCTTCCCAGATAGCCTCAAGCTCCTCTTCCCATTCCATAGCCTTTGCAAACTTGCGCACTCCCGCATCGCAATCTCCCAGGATGAGCACATCGTCCGGGCGCGACCCCAATGTCCCGACACGTTGCATGTTGATGAGCACTCGCGGGATACCCGGTCTGCAGAACCCAGGCAGACTGGCAAATGGTTGTACTGAGAGACTGGTGCCCATCACGATACACAGATCGGCCTGTTCCGGTAAGCCGCGGCTCTCGAAGAAGCTCGCGGGTAGAGCCTCTCCAAAGAAGACAATGTCGGGCTTGACGAGACCATTGCACTGTGGTACCAGGCAGTGCGGTACCTCGCCCGCCTGGACCTTCTTTTGCATTTCCTCGTCAGGATACGGCGTCTTGCACTCAATGCAGCGCTGTGTCGCAAAGCTGCCATGGGCCTCGACAATCATGTCCCCGGGTAACCCAGCCTGGCGCTCAAGACAGTCGATATTCTGAGTGAAGTGCTTCAGTAGTAGACCCTTGTCGTAGAGCAACTTGATGAAGGAATGGGCAATCGTGGGGCGATACCGCCCAGGGTACAGCTCATGCGCCAGCGCGTAGAACGGCTTGGGATTGTCTCGGAAGAAACCAATGTCGAATACATCTTCTGGCTCTTCCAAGTCGAGGAATGCCAGATTGGCATAGAGTCCGGTATCTGGTGACCGGAAATCTGGGATGCCTGCTGCAGTACTGATACCCGCTCCAACCTGTGCCTCGGAGTCAGCAATTTCATGCTTGGGATGTATGACCGGAGACTGTTGAACAAACCATGACAACGATACGCTTCACCTCGCGCTCTTTGATATATTTGGCCACCGCCTCTATATTGCGCGCCTCCAGCACCGAGGGGCGGGTGGACTCATCCACCATGCTCGACTCTTCGTTGCCCATTGCACGAGAGCGCCGGGGGCGATTTTGATGACGGGGTCTGCGTCGGCGTCCAATATTGACAACACACACCTGATCTCCTCTGTGACAAGGACAAAGTGTAAATGTTCAGATGCGATGAGAAGCTGATCACTGAATTCAGAGTATGAGAGTAGGAGTGATCATTGGGGGAAAAATGACGTTGAGTTGGAATCAGCACTGCGCCGGGCAATTTAAAGGCAGACCAAAACAATCCAGCTGACCAACAAAATGAAACTGTCGCAGTCTAGTCTAAAAAAGAACGGGAAATAATTCTTTGGAGATGGAACAAATCTCCTATCCAAATGCGCCTGTCTTTAAGAAGCTCTTTCAAGCCCTCCGAAAAAAAAGCCCCGAGCTTCACCGCCCCCACTGGGTCTTTGCCTCTCCAACTGGCGTAGTTGGCATCAACAAATGAATCCTCTCCAACGCCTCCTGGTCGCGACAACGTAAAGGCCCACTTGATTCCAGGATGGCGGTCTCACAGCCGCCAGTCCAGGCGAACGGCCATACTTTGTCACCTTCACTATCAACATCTCCGGAGCAATTGAGCCCCGCAATTGACTCCCCGCGAACCGATGTCTTCAACGCCAGCTCCGTGGCGGAGATCAAAGCCGCGCTATCCCGCCTACACAGCCAAGAAGCCTCCGTGACAGCCCGATTAGATGCTCTAGTCACTTCGCAAAAGGATTTGTCTCGGGAATTGGGCCGACTGGATTTGATGCGCGCCCACATCGGCACCCAAACGAGCACAACCCGATCGATCAGCCATGGTATGCTCTCCGAAGCCGCAGGCACCGCCGAGCGCATCTCCAGCGCGGTGCGAAAACTGGATCTGGAACAGGCGAGAGTCAAGGCTACACTGGAGGTTGTGGAGCAAGTCGCTGAGCTCAAGGCGTGCGCATTGGGCGTGGCAGGGTCAATGGGTGCTACCCAGGACTGGGAGACGGCTGCTAGCTATCTACACCGGGCAGCGCAGGTTCCTCCAGCCGTTGTCAACGGCCCATTTGCTGCGGAGATGGTTCCTACCGCGGAGGTGCCTGACCCACCAAGCGTTACTCTGGATAACGCGGCGGAATCGCTGTGTGGATTATTCCTTCGCGAATTCGACAAGGCTGTAAAGGAGAGTGACGGGGCGAAGATTACGCGCTTCTTCAAGCTGTTCCCGCTCATCGGCCGCTCTGAGGTTGGTCTGGATGTGTATGGTCGCTATGTCTGCCAGGGTGTGGCGGCGCGAGCTCGCAGCAATCTCAATGCGGATTATGGGTCCCAGGCTAAAGATGGCTTCTTCTATGCCAATGCTTTGACGAAGCTTTTTGAACATATAGCTCAGATTATTGATGGGCATGGCGGACTGGTGGAACGTCACTATGGCCCTCGGAAGATGGGTCGAGTTATTGAGCGACTGCAGGTGGAAGCGGACGTGCAGGGTGGCATCATCCTTGATACCTGGAGTGATGAACGACATGTGGATCGCAAACTGATGGATATCAAGTCTTATGCATTTACGTTCTTGGTACAGAGCTTCCTCCCGGCACAGAGGACAGGTCATCCGCCGGCCGCAGGTGCGATTGCACCGACTGAGGACGAGGGTGTGGATATGAAGGAGATTGACGGTATTTTGAACGAGATGGCTATCATGCTTGGCCGATGGTCTCTCTACTGTCGATTCTTGGCGGATACATGCAATGTGAGTGTAAGATTTGTGTTCGTATGTACACAACACTGACAGCTTTTCAGGCCCCGGGTGACGATCAAGACGAGACAGACGATAATCAAAGATTCGTACTACCTGCATTCCTGCAAGAGTCTTCTCTAGCACGCAAGGTCAACGACAAGCTCGTTTCCCCATTCAACGCCATGACAACCTTCTTCTTCCGCCGTTCTGTAGAAAAGGCCTTCCAACTTGACGAGTCACCCTCTGGTCTGACATTGAACCTCCAACGCCCGCTCAAGGCAGATCCACCGCACATCACCTCGGCCGTCGACGACATCATGTATATCGTCAACAAAGTACTACAACAGTCTCTCGCAACCTCCCAAGAGGCCGTCGTAACCAACGTGGTTCCAACGCTCTCCCGCGTCCTGGGCTCCGACTTTATCGGCATGACACAGCGCAAGATGCGCGACGAGTGCTACCCACGCGCACCCGTCCAGGGCGCCCAACCACCCGAGCAGACCATCATTGCCTTCCTCGTCCAAATCAACAACCTCGATCTCGGCGTCGACTATATCCGACGAATCGTCCAAAATACCACCGGCTCCAAACAGCCTCTCCCAACTACCGACGGCACACCCGATCAATCAGCACTGGTAACGGATCATCTACGCTCCCTCTTCCCAGCACCATCCTCCGCTCTGCGCGTCGCCCAAACCCTGCATTCCCTAGCAACCTCCTTCGAGGCCAAGGTCGCCGACCTCCTCTCAGACGGCATCCAAGTCGTCTTCAACAACGTGATTAAACACCGTCTCCGCCCCCTCCTCGCAGACGCCTTCCGCGACATCGAGTACCATCCCTCCGACACCTCAGAACCCGTACCCCACGACGATTACGACGCCGCAGACAGCAGCAAGGAACTCGTCCGCCCACGCTTCGCTGCCGGCTGGACCGAGCTCCTCCTCCCACTAGCGCGGATCCTCACCGCACCCGCCTTCGACCGCCTCCTCACCGTGACGGTTGCCTACTTTGCGCGCCTCCTCGAGAAGCGTCTCTGGTCGTACCAAGGTCGTATCAATGCATTAGGCGCTACGCGTCTCGAGCGCGATGTCGCGGGTATTGTGAATGCAGCCGCGGACGTGGGGTATGGTGCTGGTGCGGGTGCACCGGGACGGTATCGGCACCGGGAGGCGTTTGCGAGATGTGTGCAGATGACGCTTGTGATGGGGATGGATGAGGATGAGTGGGATGAGGTTTTGCGGGGTGGAGAGGCTGGGGAGGTTGTTGAGAAGTTGAGTCGGGAGGAGAGGGTGAGGGTTAGGGGGATGGTGAGGAGGGGGTGATTTTGACGATGGTTGTACTTGGAGTATTGTTGCATTTGCAGTGCATTATAAATATAAGTCTACGATCTCTGGAGCCGCTCTGCTCGAGGACCCTGTGTCTGGCTGTACTTTGTATAGAATCTTGTGACTTGCACCAGAAACTAGGTCTAATTCAAGTTTACTCTGAAAGATCATTCTAGAGGCCTAAATAGGTTTGGAATTCCCTCTCAGCTTATCTTGGAAAGATTGGTTAAAACGAGCATTCCGAAGTTCAGTCGGGATGAGATGTTATACAGTCACTGACGAAGAATACAGACAGTGGAGAACGAGCTACATATCGCAATTAGGCCTGCGCCAGGAGAGAACAAAGAAGTCAAGGCGACGGACAATCTTGACCGAGAAGTGGCGTAATTAGGCCTCTAAGGTTCGTCGTGCATGTAACGATATCCTTCATTCATCTGTTCATAGTACGTGATACTCAAGGAGGGATACAGTTGGCACCCCTAGTGACAGTAGAGGACGAAATGGTATTTATCATAAGGGCATTACTTTATATTAGAAAACCATGGTTAACTCCCCCCACTTTTATCTCTCTAGCCTCTTTAACCAATCTCGCTCCTTTGCGTCAAACATCCTCCGATCCCCTGTTCAGTCGCGGAGAGAACCCTCTTCTGGGAGGTTATCTTTCCTCTTTCTTCTTACCTACTTCCTCCCTGTTGGATTGATTTCGTCCCTCACTATCTATTTCTAGACTTACCCTTCTTTTAATATGAGACTAACATCCCCCTTTTCAATATCTACATTCTTTTCTAGACGTCTATTTCTTTCCCTACTTCTTATGATGTAACAACTTCTCTTAATCTTTTTGGACCACTTATAAACAAGATGGCACGCAACCAAGTGAAATGAAGAGTTTATAGCTACCTCAATTGAGAGTGTGTCTTGAAAAGTTACCTGATGAGCGTGGTATAGCTGCACGTGTTAAGACTTGACTTCATTCTGAATTTGAGGCAGATAGCACTGGGGCCAAGACTCTTTCGAAAGCCCTAAGCAACGACCTAACAATTCAACCCAACAAAATTCCCCATGGAAGAAATTCGGATCATCCCTATGTCCAATGCTAAGAGGGATAACTATTCAGGAAAAATTCATGTCATAGATCATTCATAGCACGTAAAGAGCTGGTTGGTGTTTTGAAAGCGCTCTTCGCGTCCTGTCAAATTTGTTCGACACAGGGATATGGCGTAACTCAGGTGTAATTAGTAAAACCCCCTTTAGCATGGGTGTGATATTCAGGCACTAAACATCTGGATTCTTGGAAGTCTGGGACTTGGGGTCGCAGAGATCAGTCTATAAGACCTATCAGTTACGTAGTATTTACTTGATAGAATATTAGAGCCACATTTGAGGGGATGTATCGTGGGTCTGAATAGTATAGGCTAGGACAATATAGATTGAACCGGGCTGCGAGTACAGTAGTGCATTATCTTGCTCCTGGACTATGATAATGGTACTGTATATCGCAGATATAGCACACTGGATGCCTTAGTATATTTGAGGAAAATAGTTCAGAATACATTTAGAAAGACCTTTTAAACAAGTGAAAGCGAGTGTATATCTAGCCAGCCTCTTCTCCCTATCTTCAAAACTCAGATCCTTAGAATGCAAGACACTGTACAAAGTAGAAAGTCCCCCTTTGACGGACTCGAAAGGCCCCCACTTAGTCCGGCAGATCTGGGGATATTCGGATTTCGGAAGAAATGGAGTCAGATTAACAAAGGCACCACTAGCGAAGTCCTAGAAGGGAGTCTAATGCACGGTTAAAATAGCGGGTGATCCCATGAGAAAAGGTGGATATAAGATGATTAGACTAAGAACTGGGAGTGGGAACAGGGGAAGGGTAAAATGACGTCCGGAGGCAGGTTGACGACGATATGGCTGTCAGTAGTCCTGGGAGTCAGATAGTTAAAGAGGGAGATTGAATTTACGAGGTCCTACTCTAGGAATAATTCATACAGTTCATGCACTTTGTTTATACGGAAGCATTTACTTTTTTATTGGGGAATAGAAAGTCTTCGGTAGAATCATAGGATGGGTTGGGATATAGGTCACTGGATCTCACGTGCTGACATGGCCCGTGAGATAGGTTACCGCACTAGAGGAAAGCACATCAGTCTGTGCGACTGATCTAGAGATTATGTCATTTCAGTCTTTAAAGCAATTTAAAAATAAATAAATTAGATTACAGAGAACATCATCGCCTGCCCGTAGGGCCCAGGGGGAAATACTCTTTATGTACTCTGTTCTATTCTATTCTGGTTCCGTTCGAGATAAGGTGAGGCTACGATAAGGCCTGTACCCTCTTCCCAGGACAGCGGGCCCGGGGGCCGGGCCCACGGGAGCGGGATTGATGACAGTTGCTTCAACGTTTGTGGTGAATGAAACGGGTTGCACGAGAGAAAGGGATGATTTCATCGTCTTTAGAATGGTGAGGAAGTCTGCTTTTGGAGATATTCATGGGACAAGAGCAATCGTAGTAACATATCTCTGGATACACCTTCGGTCCAAGCTTCCTTCTCTCTGTCTCATGCATATCTGACACAAGCCTGGGGAAAAGGAAAAGGAAAAATTGAAATCATATTCATCCGGTCGCATGCCCAAAGGTCCCGAACTCGGCCCCTCCCCCCGAGAGATCCCGAGCCGGAAGAAGTCGGGCAATCTGGTGGCGGCGAACTGTACTCTTATCTGGAGCCAATCAGGATCCCTGGTTCCCGGCTGAGTCTATCTGTCGACTAGTCCGTATTTGGTTTACGTCCAGGCCCCACTTGGCGGCTGGTGGCAAGTGTTTATCTGCAGCCAATCAGGGAGCAATGATAGGGGCGCCGTTCGTCCAATTGCTGGCGGGGGATAACGACCTTTTTTTTTTCGCTTTAAAAGCAATTGACGAAATTGCTGACGGAAATATTCAAAATTGTTAATTTCTGCTGACGATAAGCAGCGAAACCTGGACACTCCGTGAAAGGAACTGGGAACGGAGGATGGACCTCCGTATTGGGGTGTATGCGTTTAATTGCATTTCTCCTCCAAGCGAATGCTTCCGATAAGCACGACCAGCGTTTTCTGGGGATTTCTCCCCGGGATGTACGGTTCCATTACGGGATTACAGGGGGGAAGAGTGGGAGAGGGTGAGAGTGAGATTGAAGATAGGCTTCTTCTTTCCCGTTGTAGCATTGCCATTCAATCGGGATCGTGATAGGGAGAAGAGATAGCAGATTAGAGATGGTGAGTCTGGGGAAAGTAAGACGCAGTCTGTGATCTCGAGCATATATAGGACCCCCGTCGAGCCCTGCAGAATGGGGGGCGAAGGGGGTTGGTTCTTGGGGGGTTGAGTATGATGACATGCTCGAGAGTCTAGAGTACGAAGAGTACGAAGAGTACTCCGTACAGTAGTAACACTACTGTATACTTCTGTCTGGACTACTGGACTCCAGATTTGGCCTTTCTCCCCAGGACGTTTTCCCCAGAATTGCATCACTTTTGCCGAGCTCAGGGCCCGTCTTTCTTTTTCTCTGCCGGTCACCGGAGAATCGATTTGGGGCTGTGTGTCGAATCTGTCGATGATTCTGTTCTCTCGATACGATGCCACAAAAACCACTCCAGACTCCCAGCCCAGTCTGTATTAACCGTTTCAGATCCGGAAAAAGTGGACAGAGCCAAGGCTCATTCGATCGGAGCGGGACCCATGGGCGAAGGCAAAAATAAGATGGGACTTGATTCTTTCCCCCGTTGCCACTGGGTGCCGGAGACCTCTTTCGTGATGATGATGCAGGTGATTGAGGAGAGCACAGATGAGAAAGAGAGAGAGAGAGAGAGGAGAATCTGTGTAGTAATTTTCCAGGCTGATTTAGATTTGAATAGAAGTTCTATTCCTGCTGCATCTGGCGCATCTTCGAGTATCTTTCGAAAGACCGTTGTATAGATCCCACTCCCGTGATTTGGGGGATGATTTATCATCTCCTCATTATCGGGCATTATCCCATTGCTGGTGTCATCCGCTCACCTCACCAGCTTCTTCGGTTTCTTCTTTTTTGCTTTTTCTTTTTTTTTTCTCGTTCCCCTTTTACCGCGCCTTCGTGAGGTTTGATGATCTTTGTTTTTGGGCTGGTCCTCGGAGATTCCACTATCGGATTGAATCTTCCATTGGAGCTGGATCTCTCAGCCAATTCGATTTTCGGTCTTGTCGCGCGACGCTGGTTATCGCCCAACTTGCTTTTTGCCCACGCTAGCTCGTGTCCGCAGTCCGATTTCAGGCCCAAGTGGACCCGCCCGGACGGGGGCTTGTCTGTCGATCCGAACTTATCGTTTCGCGCGTTTGGCTAAAACCTTCGCGGGCTTGAACGCCCTCCGCCCAAAAAAAATATCCCAGGCCCTTCCAGGGATCCTGCCGGTATAATATCCCCCCATCCCAGGACCCTCCTCTCGTGGCGACGCTTTTTTCCCTATCCCACTGGCCTGCCTCTCCACACCTCCCGCTCCGATCATCGCTGGACTACCGTCGACCTCCCACTTCTTCTTCCCTCCTCTCCTCTCTCGACTACTCGCCTTCCTCCCAACATTCAGTACTCTCACCCACTCACTGAACTCACATACTTCCTCCTGGCTTCCCATTCTTCATCCCATTCGTGTCACATTGAGCGCCCTCGAAGCTCCGAATTGAACAAGTTACACACCACCTCGATCAACCCCGTCACACGAGCTCGCTTGAGCTCCCCCAGCGGCGCCCTCCATGTCGTCGTTCAACGGGAAAGCCCCATACGCTCCCGACTATGCCTCCTACAACTGGATTGGCGCTCCCTCCAACTATGAGCTGACTACCAACGCTGATCTCGGCGGGGATTCACGTACGTTTGGCCTGCTTTCCCCCCCCCAATCCCTTTTCCCTCCGTGGAAAACACTCGCAATTCTGGCCATCAAGGCACATCAATCAGCTCAGCAATAACTCACCATGTCCATCTTTCCTGCAGGCACTGAAAATCTGAACAAATGGTTCCAATCCGGCGACCAAGCATACATCATTGTTGCTTCGGCGATGGTCCTCGTCATGATTCCAGGACTGGGCTTCTTGTACTCCGGTTTGGCTCGACGCAAGTCCGCTCTGAGCATGATCTGGGCCTGTATGGCGTCCATGTCTGTTATCACCTTCCAATGGTACTTCTGGGGTTACTCGCTCGCCTTCTCTCCCACTGCGACCAACGGATTTATCGGCAACTTGCGCAACTTTGGCCTTATGAAGACCCTCGCGGATCCCAGCCCTGGATCGCCATTGATTCCTAACTTGCTGTTTGCTTTCTACGAGGTAGGAATGGACTGGAATTCTGGCCACTCGGCTGTGCTGGAGGTATAATTTACTGACATATTTCTTCCTCCCCCTCTTCAGATGCAATTCTGTGCCGTCACTGCAGCTATCGTCATGGGTGCCGTCGCTGAGCGTGGTCGCCTTCTCCCTGCCATGGTTTTCACCTTTATCTGGGCAACAGTGGTGTACTGCCCGCTCGCCTGCTGGGCCTGGAACAGTAACGGCTGGGCCTTCAAGTACGGTGTGATGGACTACGCGGGAGGTGGCCCCGTCGAAATTGGTTCCGGCTTCACTGCACTGGCATACAGCATGGTCCTCGGTCGCCGCCAAGAACGCATGATGCTCAACTTCCGCCCGCACAACGTCTCGCTGATCCTCCTCGGTACGGTCTTCCTCTGGTTCGGCTGGCTCGGCTTCAACGGTGGTTCGGCTTTCGGTGCCAACCTTCGTGCCACTATGGCGTCCTGGAACACTAACCTCACTGCTGCATTTGGTGCGATTACCTGGGTGCTGCTTGACTGGCGTCTGGCTCGTAAGTGGTCCATGGTCGGCTGGTGTTCCGGCACTATCTCCGGTCTGGTCGCTGCGACTCCCGCATCTGGTTTCATTTCGCCCTGGGCTAGTGTGATTCTCGGAATTGTCACTGGCATCGTGTGCAATTACTCAACCAAGATCAAGTACTGGATCCGTATTGACGATAGCATGGATGTGTTGGCTGAGCACGGCATTGCCGGTATCATCGGCCTTCTCTTCAACGCTTTCTTCGGCGACGACGCCATCGTTGGCCTGGACGGTGTCAACACCGGCACCGGTGTCGGCGGTTGGGTCATCCACAACTGGAAGCAGCTGTATATTCAAATCGCCTACATCGTGGCCACTGCCGCCTACTCCTTCGTCATGTCTGCCCTCATCGCCTACGCTATTAACGCCATTCCCGGCCTGAACCTGCGTGCCTCCGAAGAGGCCGAGCTCCTCGGTATGGACGATGACCAGCTCGGCGAGTTCGCCTACGACTACGTCGAGGTCCGCCGTGACTACCTCGCCTGGACCCCGCAGAAGCAGGATCAGCTGGAGGACGGTCACGAGATCCCAGCCGCTGATCGGTACGGTATTGGCGAGCACTCGGAGATGATGCTCGAGGGACAGGCTCCGAACGGCGAGATCAGTCAGAGCTCGCGCGGCGGTAGCGTGGGCGATATGCATATTCAGGAAGTGAAGATTGCGCCCGCACCCAGACAAGTCGCCGAGATGACGAGCCCACACACCCATGCACCCCTCCAACGGAAACGCCGGCTGTCTTGAAGCCCGTCGACGAAAAGTCCGATTAAGCACTGCGCTTGCATGCCTTTTCCCTTCCACCTTGAACCCTTTTTGCATTTTTCCTCCATCCTCCTCCTTCATCTCGCCCTTGATTTGCTTTTTTCGCATTGTTCGATATCCCTCTGAGCGTGTTTCTTTTCTTGCACGAAAGGCCTGGGGCCTTTTTCCATTTTTCTCCTATGTCCTCCCTTCTCGACATCACCTGTATAACCTACTCCTTCCTACATACTCTCTCCATCGACCCGGCTGATCATCAACTCCACACCCTCTCCACCTATTCCATCCACCATACCCCCTCTCTACCGCCAACTCCTTTCTCCTCGGTGCACCGGCAAAAGCAACTGCCCTCCCTACCTGATCTGATCGGGCGTTCCTCCTGCTCCTCCTCCATAACTCCATTTCTTCAAGCAATGTCGTTTCTTAGTTCCGGCGCCGATGGCGTGTATATATTGGGTTTGGTTTCTATTGAGTTTGATTCTCACTTTAATTTCGTTGGTTCTTTTCTTCTGTGTTGAGGTTTGGCGGTGGTGGTGTGATATCCTGTTATTTGCAGTATAGAGAATTGAGATTCGACTTTTTTTCCCCTTTGGATTTTTCTTCTGCGTGTTGGTGATTAGGTTTTTGTTAATGGCTAGTCCTTTGGCATAGTAGGCCCCCGCATAGACTGGTGAACTTGTCGTGATACGCAAGTAATATCTAAGAAGTTTGATGAGTGGAATGCTGGGGGTCCCTGGTTGTATTCCGAGAGTCTGGGCACCGGTCTTGAGGTCGGGATATGATGCGAGACTCGGGGTGTAAGGTATATATATAGTGAAAATGTCATTTAATTCTCAGATCGAGTTTGACTGAAATTTCAGGGCACCTTGTACGTTGTATGAAGGGACTTGGAAATGTGGACTTCCTTTTCTTTCAGTCGGACGGTATGTCCACGCTAAGTATCGCTATATCGTGCAGATTAGCCGGGTGATCCTGCCTGCTTAGATTCTCCAGCCTCTCGTTTAATTCTAGCTTCATCGACAATCCTTCAAAAGAGTCTATATGTGGAATTATTCCGCAAACTGAATGGTCATAACACCATGCTCCGCGAGCTCATCGAGCAATCTGTTTACCGAAATGCGACTTGACCAAGGTCCGGATCAGATGCAATACACACCATACAATAGTACAAGCTGATCCGAAAGTTGGTGAACAGCTTTTACAAGATTGTCATCCAGGAGAAATTCTGGAGATGTCCCTGTCGCAATATCTATACGATCCGATTTGTATTTGATCAGAAAATGAATGGATGCGACGAGGTAGAAAAGGTGCGGTTTCGCATGGTTTTCACTGCCCCTACATCAAGTTCTACAATCACCACAATGTCCAAATGGCTCGAGGTCGCTGTTGAGCCCGCACAAATCCAATTGTCTCAGCAGAGGATTTCAGCTGCCCCGGTGCAGCGTCTTTCTCAGCTGTCCATATCGCCTGCATTGTCACTCTGCATGGAGCCTAGCCATCAGATCTCCCTCTCACAGATATCTGATATGTGCAATGCGCTTGCTCAATATGCGACGTCTCATGAGAATCAACAACCGCTTGGCTATGTTAGCGATGGGTCGTACAGGCCTGTTTGTACTGAAAAGCGACGAAAGGACGCTTGGACTCGCAGTCACTTGAAGAGTTACTTCAACAATCATCTCTTTTCCTTCCTTCTGTTGACCGCGGCGTTGATTTCTCAAGAAGAGATCGCCTGTACTGTGATCCAATTTCAGGGCAATTGGCTTCCAGAGAGCTGGGGTTCCGGCAATATCTTAATATCAAAGACTGCGAATCTCGCGGAAGCTATTCGTTACCCCATTTTTGACTCGGAAGTTGGCCGACACCAAAACAGTGGAGGGGTGTTTACGCTCGTCTCAGGTCTGCAACGGGACTCTTTTCCAGCTCGGGCTAGCTCTGATCGAGCTCTCCTTGTGTCGGCCTATGTCCTCACTGCAGAACTGTGAAGAACGCAAGGGTGACAAAATAGCTGGACTACTGTTGACAGCGGATCGCTGTTTGCCCTCCGTATATCGTGAGAGCGGGGTGATATACCACAACGTTGTCCACCAATGCTTAATCTGGGCCAAGACTAGGCATATGGAAGTGGAAAGCGATGAGTTCCAAGCTTGTGTATTCGTAAATGTGGTCAACAAGCTTTGGCATGCTTTGATAGCCCAACATAACAGGGTATTTTGCGAAGAGAGACATATCTGAAACATGTGAATTCATTCATGTACGTATCAAATCAACAATGCAGGTACCCAACCAAAAATGCTTGATGCACACAGAAAAGCTCTATTATGTATAAGGGTTATCAATCCAACCAAATTACAAGTCATCCACTTGGACTCCATTTGAAAGGAGTCCACCAAAGACCTCCAAGGAAACACATTATACATTCACACTATACCCGGCACCCAGACCGCGTCGGCGACGGAGTGCATGGAGATACTTGCGGCCCTCATCAACCCAGAACACCGTGCTGGCGAGGCAGACCAACTTGAATAGCGATCCAAAGCTAAGCGCCTCGGTCTGGAAGATGCGTTGGAGGAAAGGCAGGTAGATGACGCAGGCCTGACCGGCTAGCGAACCCAGGACGGCATAGTTGAACATTTTATTGCCGAAGAGGGGCAGCTCACCGCGCAGGACGGATTTGCCTTCGCTACGGCAGGTCAGTGCGTTGAACATGTCGAAGAGGACGAAGCAGGTGAAGGTCATGGTGGTGTCATGGGCAGTGACCACTCTGGAGCGCTTGCCGAGGGGCTGACCATCGGTCGCGTCGCCCATCTCGTGGATGTAGATGGCGAGAGTGCCGAGCATGATGACCAGGGCGGAAGTGAGAACCCGCTGGATGAGAGGTCGGGTAAGAACACGGGCGTGCTTGGGGCGGGGAGGACGGTTCATGATCGAAGGGTCAACGGGCTCAACACCAAGCGACTGGGCTGGAGGGCCGTCCATGAGAATATCTGAAACATGGTTAGCAAAATGTATCAAATGGTGTGCATGTATGCGTTGGAGACTCACTAATCCACAAGATCTGCATGGCGTTGAGTGGATTTTTGAACCCGAGGGTGGTGCTCAGCAATACAAGACTGAGAGCAGCCACGCTGGTACTGAGCTGGAAGGTGATGAAGTTTTGGATGTTATAGAAGATACCCTTGCCCTGCTCGATAGCCCGGAGAATGGTCGAAAAGTCGTCATCAGTCAGAATCATATCGGCTGCCTCCTTGGCAACATCGGTACCAAGTTTGCCCATTGAAATACCGATATCAGCCTTCTTCAGAGCCGGTGCATCGTTGACACCGTCGCCAGTCATAGCGACAACGTCCCCACGAGACTGGAGTGCACGCACAATCTTCATTTTGTGGTCAGGACTCGTTCGGGCAAAGATTGAGGTGGTTGCAATGACTTGGGCAAGTTCGCCAGTACTCATATGATCGATCTCATCACCACGAATGACCGAGCGAGAATTTGCTGACTCGCTAACCGGCATCCCAAGCTTCTTAGCAATGGCGACAGCCGTAGTCTCAGCGTCACCGGTAATCATGATAACTCTGACTCCGCCCGCCATAAGACGACGGATAGACTTGTGCACATCCTTGCGTGGCGGGTCGTTCATACCGACAAGACCGGCAAAGGTCAATCCATTGTAGCGGTCATCATCATCAGCCGGACTGCTACACTTGGAGGAAGGAGTACTAGATCGGCTGCCAAACCCTCTCATGCCTCGAGAGGGATTTCGGACAGCCCCGCTGGCAAAAGCGAGAACTCGGAGACCCTCGTTGGCCATCTGCTCTGCGAATTCACGGATGACCTTCCGGCGGGGCTCGTCGAGAATAACTTCGCGGCCGTCCTTGGTCAAATACGTGTCAGAACGAGCCAAAACCTGTTCCATCGCACCCTTGATATAGGCGACATCGGAGTCGCCGGGGTTGTGGGTGCCAATGATAACACCCATCCACTTTCTTTCAGAACTGAAAGGCGTTTCAGATACACGCGCGCTGATTCGGTCGCGGACATCATCCTCTCCCAACACGTCCAATAAATCTAAGATAGCGACATCCGTAGGCTGACCGACCCAACGACTCTTCACAGCAGTCGAATTTCTGTCGAGAGTAGACGAAAGAACAGCGGCAGAGGACGCACTGGCCGGAGAATTGGCATGGGTTCGAGAGAGACGAGCATTGTTGGCGATATTACCGACGCGGAGGATAGTGCGCGCCGCAGGGCCAGGTGACACGACCGAGGTCACGTCCCGCTGAACCTCAAAGGGCTCGTCACTATCAAAATGCCACATCTTGGTAACAGTCATATGGTTCATAGTCAGAGTGCCTGTCTTGTCACTGCAAACAACGTTGACCGAGCCAAGTGTTTCAACACTAGGCAACCGGCGCATGATAGCGCCTCGCTTGGCCATACGCAGTACACCAAGCGCAAGGGTGACAGTCACAATGATAGGGAGACCTTCGGGAATGGCTGCAACGGCGAGAGAAACACCGATAGTAAACATCTCGAGGAGCTTACGCCCCTGCAAGAGGCCAATAACCACGATCAAGCCGATAACACCGAACGAGATATAACTCAGCTCTTGACCCAGGCGGTCCATGGAAAGTTGCAGAGGAGTCCGAGGGCTTTCGATCTCCTGCAACGAAGCCGAAATGCTTCCAAACTCCGTCTTTGCTCCAGTAGATATGACAATACCCTGGCCATACCCGGAGCGAACGAGTGTGCCCATGAATGCAATATTGTGTTGTTCATTAAGGCGAACATCGGCACCGACAGCACCGGAGGCGGGAGCGTCGTAAAATGGCGAGCGAGGAGGACTAATGACCTTTGGAACCTGAAGGTTGCCGTGATGGTGGTGATGATGGCTATGAAGTGCGGCAGAGAACTTGACGACTGGTTCGTTTTCACCGGTCAAGTTTGATTCGTCAATTGTGAGATCCGTTGCAGCAGTGATTCGTATATCGGCAGGAATGCGGTCACCAGTGGTAAAGAGTACCAGATCACCCGGTACCAAATCAGCCGCAGGGACCGTCGTGGATGCCTTGATGGCAGCGGATGCTGCGCCGGGGCTCTTCATCTTCAATTCATCCAATTCCACACCAGCAGCGGAGGGCTCTGCAACTGCATTTGCCGTGGAGGGAACATCGCGGATGAGGTGGGCGAAATGCGGGACAAGACGGTTCAATGCCTCCAAGGACTTTTCCGACCGGTATTCCTGGACAAAGCCGACCGAGACCACAATGGTTACTGCAAGAGTGATACTCACAGCATCATCATAGTTGCCCATCACGAATGATATACCGGCGGAGGAGAGGAGGAGGAGGATGAGAGTTTCCTTGAACTGCTTAAGGAAACGCAGCCATAGGGGCTCGGGCTCTTCATGAGGGAGTTCGTTGGGTCCATCCCGTGCGAGGCGTACCTCTGCCTCTGCAGGAGTCAGGCCATGCAATAGAGATGTGTGTAATCTTTCGGCAGTTTCGTGGGGCTCGAGCCACGAGTACGTAGAAGTTGAGACCTGGGAAAGACAACGAAATCTTAGCAGCTGACATGACCCAATTGACTAGTCTCGCAGACAACACGGAGTCTATGACACTGAAAATTGTTGACAGCAATTGGATGAGGGGCATACTGATGAAGGCGCATCTGGCCGGACCCCTAACGGGGTGGTGGAGGAGGGCCGTGGAGACTCGGAGTTTGGTGCATTATGCAGAGGCAAAGTAGGTGTCGCGGACCTTGACATCTCTCATGCTTTGCAAGAAAGAAAGATGGGGGAAAGGGGAAAGGAAGAAGAGAAGCGACGCGCCGAATCTATCGTAGGCCACTTTGCATCCCGTCCGGATTGAAATCGGGAGTCGCAGGTCAATGTTCTGGAGATGCGATCTGGCAGCAGCTTCGAGACGGGGGGGCTAGACTGAGAATAAATGGAACCGACTGCGGAAGAATGGCTGCGTCAAGTCGGATGATCAACGAGCTAAAGACGAAATAACAACGATAAAGTGGAAAGTATAATTGAAAATGGGAGAATAGGAGAAGTCGTTGGAGCGTTGAGCTTCGCCGAAGAATCGCGCGCTCCGCCAGGAGTGAACGGTTGGCTCTGGAAGCGGCCAAGTCCATGCTGATGCTTTACCCAATGGAGTTTAGAGCCACCGGAGAGCCAGTTAATCCGGAGGTGGCACCTGAAGCAGGATTGGTGGATACTCGGAGAAAGGAGATACTGTATATCCGTCAAGATTAGTCGTTATTTTGCCCACATAAATTGCCAGCTAGGGGCAAGTTCAGACTTGTTGATATCCTATTGGTGCGCAGTATGATCCACTAAGCAGGAATTCCGACAGCATTCTCCTGACTGAAGTAGTATCTCATCACGTGACTACTCCGCAGCTTAGTAGAGAGGCAGCGAGATCTGCGTTACTTCTTCTACAGTAACAAGAGTGCTATCTTATACATATGAGGCTGTATGACTTCATCTAGAGGTTGCAGAAGAAGACCTGGCTCACTTAATAGGGAATATATTGCGTAGGAAGTATTGAATTGTTCAAATTAGAATATCAGGCCATTTCTCTGTCATTACTCGCCTGTGTCAAGGTTTACTTAGAGTAAAATATCCTACATGCTGACACCATGCAGATACTGAGGAGTTATTCATTACTGTAAATCCAAGGACATATGCGCCTGTGTACGGCTTGTGACAGGACATGGAGGAGGGATTGACAGAGGATACCAAGGCCAGACAATTTTACGAGTGTATTGGCGACCTGCAGAAAATCTTGAGGATGGTTGCTCCTTTCATGATAACATATTCCCCCCCCCCACTCAATTCGCTTTGATCAGCTTGTATCATGTTGATAATGTCTTGGACGGTGGGTATATAGTTGCGGAAGTTCTCTTCTATGGGTATGATATCCAGTAGGAGGTACATCTCTATGTGATTACCTAATCTCCTGGCAGTGCAGCAATTACGTAACTCTTGTGAATTCCTCGTTTCCAAGGCACCCAACTCCAGCCCCCTCGAATTCCGAAACTGCCCAATTGTTTCCCCCCCAAGGCTCCAGAGGCTGGGCTCACCTGACTCCTAGACACCTGATTCCCACCGACGCGCATCCTCGTTCCTCTCCCGTTACTCTGCCAACTTAGCCCTCGCGCCCGCATCTCGGACGTGACTCCAACGCGACCTGTTCTTTAACCTTGCCTTTTTCCGTCGCATCTACTCCACTTCCTTTCGTTCGCGATAGCGCGTCAGGGGCGCCGTAAGCAAGCCGCCCAAGTCTTTGTTTTCCCGGCTTCCACAGCGCGTCAAACCCTTGCTACGCACTCACCCCGCGCCGGGCGGGTTCTGACCTTTCCACCTCTTGGTGTGCTGCTCGTCTGTGCATAGTTCTTTGGTGTATCATCGCGCGCTATGTTCTATTCCGAGACCCTCCTGTCCAAGACAGGGCCGCTGGCCCGCGTCTGGCTGTCTGCCAACATTGAGCGCAAACTGTCCAAGTCGCACATTCTCCAGTCCGACATTGAGAGTAGCGTCAGCGCCATTGTCGACCAGGGCCAAGCGCCTATGGCTCTACGACTGAGTGGCCAGCTGCTGCTGGGTGTTGTACGTATCTACAGCCGCAAGGCGCGTTATCTACTGGACGACTGTAACGAAGCATTGATGAAGATCAAAATGGTATGGTATAGACTTGATATTGAGAATCTTGATGAAGAAAGGACTGACAAATCGCGCTGTAGGCCTTCCGCCTTACAAACAACAATGACCTGACGACGACAGTTGTCGCACCGGGTGGCATTACCCTGCCCGATGTGCTGACCGAGTCGGACCTTTTCACCAACCTTGATACGTCTCTGCTGTTCCCACAGAACCTGAGCCTGGAGCTGGAAGGCAAGCGACCAGGTGCTATGGAGTTTGGCGGCAGCCAGCTTCTGCCTGATAGTAGTTTCCGTCGCTCCATGTCCCAGGAGCCCGCCCGCCTCGAAGACCCCTCTCTGATTGACCTAGACCTGGACCTTGGCGAGGATGAGCTCCCTCTTGGAATGGATCACAGTGTTGAAATTGGTCGTGATGCTCCCCCTGCTCGCCCCATGGACGAGGATTTGTTCAGTGATTCCGGCAAACTTCACGACGACAGTGACTTGCCTCTTGATATTGGCGATGCCCCGCTCGAAAAGCTTGACTTTGGTTCCGACAACATGAACGACCCGATCATGGATGATGGCCCAATGGATTTCGGTGACGATGCTGGCTTTGGCGGCGAGACTCCACGCCCTGAAAGCCGCTTTGCGCGTGATACCGAAAGTCCGCTTTCCGACGCCGGTTCTGCTCAGATGAACTTGCTAGAGGAAGAGTTCAACCACGAGGCCCCTCAAGATGCTGAGGCTCGAACCACGAAGCACGCCCAGCGTGCCAAGCGCCAAAAGGTCATCGTTGCGGACAAGAAGACCCATTACAGTTCTCAGCAAGTTAAGGCGATTCAGGCTGATCGCTCCGCTATCATGCAGCGCTCTTCGTTCTTGCCTCGTGACGCCGTTCTTCTCACGTTGATGACCCGCCAACAGAACGGTAACTTTGTCTCTAGTATCTTTGGTGAGGAGCGCAGCCATGGCTGGGCCCCCGAGCTCCGCGACCTCCTGTCTTTGAGTAACGTCAAGAAATCCGGCGAGCTCAAGCGCAAGCGTGATAGCGGTATTTCTGACATGGAAGAAGCTGCTGACGTTCCTGCACTGGAGATCGGCGAGGACGAGGCTATCGTCACTGTCGATGAGGGCATTGGTCTTGACACTGGTTTGAACCTGCAATCTGAGATCGACTTCCCGGGTGATGATGGCATCCAGGATACTGCGCCTATGAGCGATGATGGCATGAGCGCTTCTATTGAAGATATGGATGACACCATTCGCCCTGTTGATACCGAACCCGTTTCCATTGGCACCAAGCACGCCGTGCACATTCTGCGCGATTGCCTTGGCGACTCCTCCGCCGCTGAGCAGAAGAAGGCTGTCATGTTCCAGGATCTTCTTCCAGAGCAACGCTCTACCAAGGCCGATGCTACCAAGATGTTCTTCGAGGTCCTGGTGCTAGCCACAAAAGATGCTGTCAAGGTTGAACAAGGGTCCAAGTCCATCGGCTCTACCATCAAGATCCGTGGCAAGGAGGCTCTCTGGGGTTCCTGGGCCGAGGAGAATGCTGGCGGCGCCATGAGCCAACTGTCCCAACTTCAGTAAAGAAAAAAGGATGATTCATATCTCGTCTTGTCTTGTCTTGTCATGACTGATCTTGGCTTGCACTGACTTGATAAAATTTGGGATATACTGGCGCACGTTTTCCATTCATGTACAGCTGAGTTTGGGACGGACTATGGGTTTCTGGAAGATCCGATCATTGTTTTGGGATCGCCAACCGGATTTGTGACCGGGTTGGATGTCTATCATGGAGTTTTGGGTTGGGTTGGAGAATTGGTCTTTGGTAACTCCTGTACTGTTCTGATGGGTCTGTCTTTTCTTTTCTTCTTGGGAGTTTCCGATTCTACCCTTTTTGTCTGATTGCTTTGTTGGAGTGTAATTGCTAAACGGGCTTGTGTTGACGTAGTGTTAGCGTTATAGTTAATCGAACATAACCAACTCTGGAAATCAAGAGCATCCTTCCTTGTAAACGTAGCAATGGATCCTTTCATTTTGTATTCAATGTTCTACATTCAATGTTGTACATTTAAGATTCTCCATTGAGGTCTAAGATAAGGTTGCTGCGCCCAGAACATTGGTCAGCGCCTGCCACGTGGGGAGCGCATGCATGGCCGTTTCTGGTACGTGCGTGGCCACGAGGATCATCGGAGAATTAACAAAAGACGTAATCGTGTACGGAGTATACTTCTCAGATACATCGTACAGTATGTACGGAGTACTCTCAACGCCAAGAATCGGCCTTTATTTAAGCTCCACCGAACTCGTCATATCATGAAGACCGGGCATCCTGAAATGAGCGGCACAATACCAATGATACAGGGCTTTCCATCTATGTACTGCTTTTTGAATTATATACGGCATTTCCCTATAATTATCTCAGAGTACTACAAAATCGCACACAATACCGTACTGCGATTCGAACATCTCCTCGAACAACCCCGATCGTCTTCAAGATACGGGCCGACCTCGGCCTGATTCGGGCCTTTGGGGCAGTCCCCGAAAGTGGGTAACCACGTTCCCCCGAGCCTTGATTCGAGCGTTATTCGCCGTAGGCCCGTAGCGTCATAATTCATCCTCACTAGTTAGCTCGGTCCTCGCGATAATGGTGATTAATCAGCTCGGTCTGGAACTTGCTTCCTGAAGACCGGGTTTCAAATTAAACCATAATTTTAGGAGCCTCGTAAGCGCGAGACCCGAACAGTCACGATTCCTCATGATTTCGCGCCGGCAATAGCAGACGTAGCCCGGATAACTATTCCCGCTTCTCCTGGAAGGGCTAATTGTTTTCCAAATTAAAGCTCGTTCGCTGCTTGGCTGCATAGCCTGACTCACAGATACATAAAGCGTCAACGTAGCCGCCACCGCCCTCCATGACAACGACGCTCGGAGATCTCGCCGATCTCGAGAAACGGGCCGCCATGGACTCGCGCCCTTCAACTAGCTCTTCTCCGTGCGGCAGGAGCAATGACGATATCGGACTGGAGGAAAGGAAATCCGAAGATGCCGCTTTTGCACCGATTGTCGCGCCGGAGGAACAACGTGATACGCAGATGAGAAAGGAGCGCTCGAATTTGTCCCGCACGCGCTCGTTGGAGCGATCTTGGTCGATGAATGATGGTATTAGTCTGGGGGGTGATGGGCAAGAACCGCCGGAGGAGGATGTTGGATACACGGTTGGTTGGGATGTGAATGATCCTATGAACCCGCGTAATATGAGCAAGGCTAGGAGGTGGTTGATTGTGGTGATTGTGTCACTGGGGTCGCTTTGTGTGTGAGTTTCTTCTGGTTCATGGCCGGATGGGAACTTGAGGTTGATTTTGGTTTGTCGCAGGACTTGTACCTCGTCCATGTATACCACGACGTATGAGCAGCTGATGAAGGAATTCGGCTGCTCACAAGAAGTCGCGACGCTCGGATTGTCGTTTTTCATTTGGGGACTTGGTTGGTTATTCGATGGTAATGTTTTGTGTGTGAGGACGCTTGCTAACAATGTCATTGTGTAGGAATTGGTCCTCTCTTCCTTAGTCCACTGTCGGAGGTGAGTCCAAACAACGAGACTTATTAATTGAGAGACATTGAACATCTAACAATATTTTAGTTCTATGGACGTCGCAACATTTATATCGTGTCCTTCTCGCTTTTCCTGATCTGGCTCATTCCTTGCGCTGTCGCCAAGAACACCGAGACCATGCTCGTGTGCCGATTCTTCAATGGTCTGTCTGGAAGCGCTTTCCTGAGTGTTGCTGGTGGTACTGTCGGTGATATGTTTGATCGACATGAACTTGCCTTCCCAATGATGCTTTACACCGCGAGTCCATTCATTGGACCCGAAGTCGGTCCACTGTAAGATCGCCATGACCTGATGAAGAAGGAAAAGGTTCTAATATTGCGATAGGGTCGGTGGATTTATTAATTATTTCACTGGATGGTCAGTACAGGTTTCAATCTCATTTTCCACTTAGAGCTAACCCCTTCTCAGGCGCTGGACCTTCTATGTCCTCCTAATCTGGACCGGCGTCCTCCTAGTCTCGATAATCTTCCTCGTCCCAGAAACCTATCATCCAGTGTATGTTTCCCTATCAGATCAAGAAATCGTGGCGGTGTAAAACATGTACTAACCCGCACAATTAGACTGTTGAGGCGTAAAGCCCAAAAGCTCCGCCAGGAGACCGGAGACGACCGATGGAAAGCGCCGATCGAAAAGATGCAGCGATCGGTGGCGCAAACGGTCCTACGATCCATGTACCGCCCCATCATGCTCCTCACTATGGAGCCAATGTGCTTGAACCTCTGCATCTTCTCGGCGATCCTATTGGGTATCCTGTACCTTTTCTTTGGCGCTTTCCAATTGGTGTTTAACGATATCTATGGCTTTGAGTTGTGGCAGCGGGGCCTCTGCTTTATGGGCCTTTTTGTGGGTATGGTTTTTGCGATCCTTTCAGATCCTATCTGGCGGCGTAATTACATGCGCCTGGAACGCAATTATCAAACTGCGACGGGCACGACAGATGAGTTTCAGCCAGAGTGGCGGTTGCCTCCAGGTAAGTCTGTAGATCGCTCGTTGTGATGAGACTCGAATCTGATTTGACATGATACAGCGATCCTGGGTGGACCTTTTGTAACTGCCGGTCTCTTCATCTTTGCCTGGACTATCTACCCCGATGTGCATTGGATCGCGCCCATCATCGGCAGTGGTCTCTTTGGCGCCGGGTAAGTCTACCTGACTTCTTGCCTTTGGGGTTCTTGAGTTTACTTATTTGGAATCGACGTACTGATGGGTCTTCGTGTCGCGTTCAGGACAATCCTGGTGTTCTCAGGTGTTTTTACATTCCTGGTCGATGCATATCCAACCTTTGCGGCGAGCGCGCTGGCGGCGAATAGCTTCATGCGATCAAGCTTTGGAGGCATCTTCCCCTTGTTCGGGATACAGAGTAAGTTTGTCAATAACCTAGGACTGGAGGGTCTGTGCTTTACATGCAGCGAGTGGATATCCTTCTTGCCGGGCATATCCATCGCGTCTCCAGCGAGCCGTTGAGGGTTTCTTACTTGAAGGGCGCGGGGACACATGGATTCATCCTGGTCGAGAAGTAGTCGCATTGAGAACTGTGATGGCTAACGAGTATGCAGTGTATAACAATCTCGGATTCCATTGGGCGACCTCGCTATTAGCCTTTCTGACCCTGGTCATGCTTCCATTCCCGTAAGTCACTTGTTGCTCAATTATTCGATGTTGCCCAGTACAGATTCCCCCTGCTCCTCGCACCCCCTCCTCCTCATCAATTTCATACGCTATGACCCTCGAACTTGTCTTTTGCCCCTGCATTTCAATGCCTCCGGAGACATGGAACGACATTGCAGTTGGCTCAGGAGTACATTTCAACATGCTAGTTGCATGTGGTCATTACAACGAGCAACCTGGAACTGATTTCACATGAAAGTTCCTTTTATTTTGCGATCTTGTCTTCTGATTCATGTACAGGTACATTTTCTTTCGATATGGTGCTCGTATTCGGAAGAAAAGTCGCTTTGCAAATTCTCAGATGTAATTGTGCGCGCCGCGGCAGACAGAATCGAAGTTCAGGAATACAAGACATTGTTCTCGGCAATATGAATCCCATTCATTCTTTGGACATACCATATATCGTACAAAGGGCACATTCAATAAAATAATAATCTAATTGTACATATATCCTCGGCTGTTGGGTACGAATCAAATGCTGTCCCGACCTAATGATGCAAAACGCAGAGCCTGATGCTTTGTGATCCGTTGATGAGCACTTTGGGACCAGCCATGGACGCTCCTGTCATAGATGTTGTGCTCGAGCTTTTAGCCAGGATCAAAGACCCAAACCGGCTGTCGTCCTACCTGTGGCCCAAGTTGTAATGTAGATGACCCCGGGGTGGAAAGCATTATTGTAGAACGAGCACCATGAAGGCGTAATCAATATTAAATCAATGTGTGTACATGATTGCAAACTATAATTCCTAGGCCGGCATCGTTTGCTGGCACTAGTGATAGTTCATGTTTAAGTCCTCTCATTCTATCAAATGAGCTATGGGGTGAATCCAGGCCAGAATCAGTATACTCCGAACTAAATATACACTGGCGTTTCCCCACCCAGTCCAATTGCAAAGTATGAACGAGCGTTATGCAGTCTTGGTTGCTATTCGGAGGCACTACAGGATACTCCGCACATCACGCACCACCCATTCTCCACCAATCGATCAGCCATTGCCGAGCATCAAACTCAAGAGAAGCCCTGAAATTCAAATGATCACCCGGTTTTCAACAATTACTCAGTCGACGAGCCCAGCTCCAGCTTTGTCAAGCTAGCCTCGGCTCGTGGGGCTCCTACGTAGCCTCGGGATAAAACGGAGCCGGATATAGCCCCGAGGGCCGTGGACAGACGAGAACAGGGTGGAGGGGGAGTCGCGAGGCTTTTTTTTGTGAGTCAGTGGTGTTCAGATGTGAAGTTTCTGGGAGTTATGGAATGCAATGATGTTGAATTTGTCTTGGTTGTAGGTTGTAACTAGATCGGTTAATAGGAAGTCCAAGTGTTGAACCCACACGTGCGCAACTGCCTCTGGGGAGATGGGTACGTTCAGTAGTACCGAGTACTTACCGTACAGGAGAATACTTTCCACTTTGCGGCGCCACTGTACGGAGTAGGTGCAGCAGTACTGGGCATCTGCGGGTATTGACCCGGTACGAGATAAATTACCATACGCAAGTGCCGTGCGCCAGTCGGCGACTGCCCAAACGTCAGCATGTGAGATGGTTCTATATAGCATTTGTATAGTAGTACCTATTGTAGGCTGGTTCTTCGTGTTGGTCGTGTCATAAATTACTCGTTTTTAGATGCCATCACAGGACTTTTCTAGTTACTAATATCCCCATTCATGCAGGTCCTGAGGGGAAATGCCTCGTCTGAGAACAGACATCAGTTCTAGGTTTACCATGTATTAGAGGCGCCCCAGGCGCGATCTGGGTGGCTCGTAATAATAAGAATAGCCTTCCATCCTTCGTGTCTCGTTTTAATTAGGTAAAAGATTGAAAAAGCAAAACACAATTGACCAACGCTCGTCTGACAAGCGTAACAAAGTAGGTAAGCATATCCCCTCTGGGCGTAGGACCATCCTCCATAGTTAGGCAAGCTATGGCGACATCTCCAGTACATACGGAAGTACCAGCCGCGAAGAAGAAACCAGGAATCGAGGCGAGAATTTTGATCTTCAGAGGATTTCCAGGGGAAAGAAAAAGCCAAAAAGAGCGCCCCCCACTCTGCAACGAGGTCTCTGGCGGTTCGTACAGGAATTGGTCCGATTCAAGTCCAGTCTGTCCGTCTGCCAGTCTGTGATGAGGGCCTAGTCACGGGAACATTCCAATCGAAGTTAACCAAATTCCCAGTCCCTCAAATTTCCAACTTTCGACGGCCTTTTCCCTCCCCGCAGCCTCCAAATCTGACGGGTCCGTCTTCTCTTCTCTTCCCCTCGACCTTGCGGCTCTCTCTCTCTCTCTCCTCTCTTTCTCTTCATCGTGCATCTTCTCGTTCTGAGCAACACTCGGCTCTAAATTCTCCGAACTACATCAATTCCCGCCTTCCCCGCAGCCGACCAGTCTTGCCGCCTTCAACTCTCTCCACTCCCGAAATTCAGCTGCGCCCAAAACCGTTGCGGCATTTTTCCTACTTTCCTGTCGCCTGGTCCTGTTGCCTCACATTCTCGCCGGCCACGCTCAATCGATACTCTTCAATGCGTCAGATCTTTGCGGTTCCGTCTTACTTCGAGTCGATTGTACCCCGTTACACCCGTGACTCAACCCGATACCTACCCTCCGTACCCCCGCCAGCTTTAGTCGCAAGCGCGCGACAATAAGATCCGCGATCCGCCACCCACGATCCACAGCAGGTCTCGTCGATTTTAGGTGGAATAATTCCAAGTTGAACACGCAGTTCGCGTGAGTTTGCGACCGTTCGTTTCGGGTCAGAAATCCGACGTTGCGCAGCGCGCCAAATACAATACGTGGATATCCGCCCGTCCGGAATACAACTGAAGGGTGCGCGAATGGTCTCGTCGCCACGACAGATCCAGATCTTGAGATCAAGACAGTGAAAGCTGCTCCTAGAAAGGCCCCCGAGGCTGTGACCGAATTTGTAGAAGATCCTCGCGTCCTTGGACTCGTGATTCCCGAGTTCCCTCCACTCTCCTGTGCCTGGGGGAATACATGACGAAATGAACGTGGCAGCCAAGGACGGCTCCCAGTCACCTGCAGATCCAAGTGGCCCCGATCGCGATTCCGCCGATGCCACTGAGCACTCAGAGCAGATGGATTCTATCAGAGATAAGACGAACGGTGACGGTATGAAAAATGAAAATGGCCGAAAAGCTGCAAACGCAAAGGACCCCTCGCGACCGCGCCGGAAGAAGGCCCGGAGAGCGTGCTTTGCTTGCCAGCGAGCCCACTTGACATGCGGTATGCTCTCTTTTTTCTCTGATCGGCATGCAACCTGCATGCGCATGCTTCTGAAAGGTAATTCCAGTCTTGGCTAAGAGTAATATTTGCTTAGGTGACGAACGACCCTGTCAACGTTGTATCAAGCGCGGCCTCCAGGACGCCTGCCATGACGGTGTTCGCAAGAAGGCCAAGTATCTCCACGACGCTCCCGACGGAGCATTGATGCCCAGTGTGGGAGGCAACTTTTATAGCAACAGCAACAACGGCAATGGAATAACGAATGGCTTGCCCACGATGTCCCAAAATGGTTCCTCGTCTACGCCGCAGCAACAAGCGCAACAGCAAACTCCAAGCACGACCAGTTTTTACCCCACGCCTCAGCCCCAGCCTCAGCCGCAGCCGGGATCGTACAACGTGTATCCAGACACCACTATAAGCCAGAGCCCGTTCACCACCCAGTCCCCTGTATCGCCAACGTTCAATCTGAAAACCAGCACCAACGGTCGCAATGCTAGCCTGCCCTCCACTGTGGGCCAGCAGCCCACGCCGAGCACGGCGCTCTCGGGGGATCCCAGCCAATCGCAGAATCCATTTGCAGGACCCTTCTTCGACCCCAGCGACCCGGCACTCTTCAATTTCGACTTGTCTAGCATGAATTTCGAGAATCGCTATGGTGCTCTCGAATTCGGCATGCTCGGTCACATGGCCACCGGTGCGGGTGATTCACCGACCGACTCGGCAGGGCAGCGAGGGTCGATCGGCCGCAGTGGGTCTGCTCAGTTCTCCACGCCAGCTCCTGGCTTTGGCGAAAGTCCGGGGAATCAACAGCCATTCTTGTTTGGGGACCCTTTGCTCAATGATTGGTCAGCTGGTCAAGCCTCGGGACAACAACCGCATGTGAACGTCAGCGGCGTATATGGCCAGAATGGCATGTTGTCCGGCCACATGAAACCAGATGCGCCGCATGCCTTTGCGATTGAGAGCGGTCCAGCCAGCTTCACAAGCCCTGGATCTGCGACGACCAGTCCACATGTGACGGTGGCTGGACTTGAAGATGCGACTGCGTTCAACAATAACAATGTACCCAAGCCGAGTAGCAACTTAATGCCGACTGGGCAGCGACCCCTGATCACGACCCCGAGCCTAAAGCATCGGGATCTACAGGTGGGCCCTCGGCGACGTCATCGCAACCCGTCGTCGATCTATGAAAGTGTGAAGGAGCCGTACGGTTATACGAGTGGCTTCCACAATCTTACTGCTTTCATCCAGCGGCGGTTCACTCCGCAAAAGACCTTGCGTATCGCTAAAGCACTCGCTTCCATTCGTCCCTCCTTCATTGCAACCACCAAAACCCTGAACCGCGATGATCTTATCTTCATGGAAAAATGCTTCCAGCGGACACTCTGGGAGTACGAAGACTTTATCAATGCCTGTGGCACGCCGACCATCGTCTGCCGACGCACTGGCGAGATCGCCGCCGTCGGTAAAGAATTCAGCATCCTCACCGGATGGAAGAAGGATGTCCTTCTAGGCAAAGAGGCGAACCTTAACGTCAACACGGGCGGATCTGCACCACCACAGTCTGGCACCACGTCACGGGGAAGCTTCACGCCGCGTAGCTCGACGCTAGAAAATGCCAATAGCGGACGACCTCAGCCCGTCTTCCTAGCGGAGCTGCTAGATGACGAAAGCGTGGTCGAGTTCTATGAGGACTTTGCACGCCTTGCGTTTGGCGACTCCCGCGGTAGTGTCATGACGCGATGCAAGTTGCTCAAGTATAAGACCAAGGAGGACATGGAAGGTGGCTCGTCTGATGAGCATGGCAAGTGGAACAATCATTTGCGCAAGGGTGGGATTGCCGGTGAAGCTGGCATGAACCAGTTGGGCTTCAAGGATGGCAAGGTCGAATGCGCGTACTGCTGGACAGTCAAGCGAGATGTGTTCGACATTCCAATGCTCATCGTGATGAATGTAAGTGGAAACATGCCTATGTTCCCAAATACGAGTGATATTGACTGACCGTTTCCCTAGTTCTTACCGTGCATTTGATTACTACTCCTCCTTGGGACGTCTGATTATTTCCCTCTGACTTTTCTGATCCCTTTTGCTTGTTTTGTCCTGAATTTCCCTTCATACCCTTATTCGGCCTTTACCACCGAGTCTTTCTTGTGGTCTACCTTTTTATCCTCGTTTTTCTTATGCCTGCCACTTTATCCCGGTACATATTTCTCCTGGTTTTGGGACTGTATGATTCCCCCTTACCCCCTTTGTTCCAGTATCTTGTCTCGTGCCCTCTCAGTACATATCTCTGGGGCCTGATCATCCCGGTCTTTTTGTCTTGCCGGGGCGTCTGTTGATATTTTTCTGTCTTCTTGTTTCTTATTTCTTGTTTCTTGTTTCTTGTTTCCTGCTTCTGCGGCGCTCAAAAAGGTCAAAAAACGATATCTCTGGGTTGGGATTGTTCTCTTTATGATATAATGCCATTGGTTACTGGACGTTTATGTTCGTTTCTTCGTTCTTGTGTCTTGGTAGACGTGTATACATACTCTGGGTATGCTACTCTCTGATTCACTTTACCAACTATACTCGCTTAGTGCATATTTCCACAATAGAATTGTAGCAACTGATTATCATATGTCCAAATATCAGCCTTGGTGTTTCTTCCAAATATCCCCACGCGATCGGCGTCGGTGATGCCTCAGGTGTATATACGCAGCTTATCGATAACTCACTAACAAACCCCGCCGGACCGGACCATCCACGTTAACCCGCATCGCCCGTCAGCATCACCACTGGCATTGTCGCAGTCCATTCCTTTGAGATCGACATCAGCCCTAGTCAAACATCACAATCTCACGTACGATTTTCCCGAACCCACGAATCCGCTTATCAAGCTTACTCTCGTATTCCAAAGTCCCGAAAACCCCAAGCACCCCGCGCTCCCGGCCCTGACTCACACAATCTTCGTCGCTGCTTACCTTGTCATTCGCGCTTGTCTTGCTTGTCCTTTCAGCTCATCTTTCAAGAATTGAGAATCAACATGCGTCCTGATAAGCCTCGTGATCCCGTTGTCGGACCTGACGCAGGTCCTGAGAACCCATACCCCGTGCGATTATCGGGACCGGTGATTAAGGGCTTTGGACGGGGGAGTAAGGATGTATGTCGTGCTGTTGAACAGGGAAACCCTACTTGATCAGACTTTGCGAGAGTCAATTGCTGATATTGGTATCTACAGCTAGGAATTCCCACGGCTAATATTCCCGCCGACGATCTGTCCGAGAAGCATCCCGAGTTGACCTCTGGCGTATACTATGGCGTGGTAGCGCTGGACCCCCAGAACCTGGCGCATGAGAATGGCGCAGAGAAGTCGACTTCGGCGACTCTCCTGCCTGCAGTTTTGAGCATTGGGTATAACCCGTTCTATAAGAATACCGTGCGGTCGGTGGTACGTATACCTGCCTGCCTTTGTCGACAACTGAATCTATATCTTCGTGGGATACTTGCTCACTTCACTTTCTCAGGAAATCCACATCATGCCCCCTCTCACACAACCCTCCCCAACAGCCGTCGCGCAACCCAAATTCAACCGCCTGCCCGATTTCTACGGCACCCAGCTCAACCTCCTGATCTTGGGGTACATTCGCCCCGAATACGACTATGTCTCCCTGGAGGCTTTGATCGAGGATATCCGGATTGACTGCGAAGTCGCACGCCAGAGTCTCTTGCGCGAGGCGTATCAGCGATACATCGTGGACGATGGGAAGGCCTCGGCTCAGGTCACTGAGGACCGGAAGTGGCTGGCAACGTTTGAGGGTGTGAACGCGAAGAATTGAATTATTCGATAAACTTGACAGATTGAGCGTTTGCGCATTTTTCTTTTGCAGTACCCGGGCCCTCCTTCTATCTCCAACTAGAATATCATTAGAATTTGGTTGATCTGTATGTACTGTGCACACTTGTGGTTGTACTTTGGTCCGGACCGTTCTATCTTATCGCACCACTCGTCGACGTCACTCCAAGAAATCCAAATATTGGCACAACCAGGCAGTCGAATTGTGCTCTTGTCCGATGTCATTCAAGAATCAAACGCTCCGGATGACCCGGGATATCATGTATAAAGCTGAATCTTCCCAATTTCTGGGTACCATCTTCGTCCCAGCCCATCTGCCACCATGGTAAACGTCTTCCAACGCCTCACCAGACGGGCAACGACCAGTTCCAGCAGTACCGTGCCTGATCCCGGTATCAATGGCCATAACATTTCCTCGCGATCCCATGAACTGCATCGGACTACAAGTGGGAATTCCTGGAAGCGCAATCAGCGCTCAACCGTTGACGAACCCTCGCCACGACATCTGATATTGATCTCGGACAATGCTACGTTCGACCCGCATATTATTCAGCGCTTTCAGACGGAGGGGTTTGATGTGAATTATCTCGGATTTGTGTGTACGGATGATGCGGAGAAGGATCGCAAGGCTTTGGAATTTGCGGTGCATGAGAAGGAGGATGAATTGGAGGCGGGGGAGAGATATGCTATAGTTGGTATGTACAGTACTAACCATCGCCAAATTCATCAATACAGACTTGAAATCGACAGAAATACTGATTAAAGCAGCATATAATCGTCCGGCATACTATCTTCTCGGCTCTCACCATCTCGCAGCAAGCAAAACCAATCCCTTCCCTCGTCTCTGCGCCCTAATCGCCTACTACCCACTAACATCAACCGAACATCTCGCCAGCATATCCGCAGCCCACAACTCAGAAAGCTGCACCCCAGCCTGCTCAGACACAGGTTCCATATTCGACCCCCGCCTTTCCGAGCCCTACCTGCCCATTCAAATCCACCTCCCAGGCTACAACCCCAACTCCCGCACCTTCTGGCCGTGGATCGGCATCAGCCCTTCTGAAGGCGACGTCTCATATAAAAAACGACACCACTGTCACGTATACACCTACCCTGACGCACGCGCAGGCTTCGCAGAACACAGGCCATCAAACTATAGCATCAAGGATAACGGCCCGCACGACGATGACCGGATTGGGTCGCAGCTAGCGTGGAGCCGGGCGTTGGGGTGCTTGCGGCTTGCGTTTGGGGCGGGGAGTAATTGGCCTGTGGTCGATATTGAGACTATTTGGGAGGAGTATTGGGTGCGGTTGATGGGGGATTTGGATGGGGTTAAGAATGAGCGGGTGCAGAGGGGACATGGTTCAGCGATGGAGGTTGTGTTGAGACGGGGAGATGATCGGATCTGTCAGGGTGGCGGGGGATCGAGTTTGCATGATGAGCAGGATGCGAAGGTGGTTTGTGCGCCTACTAAGGCTGGAGGTAAGATTGGATATCCTGTTCTGTCTTCTGTTGAGTTGAAGTATGCTAAGACATGATAGGATCTACTCCGGAGGATTTGAGAACGTTCTTCACGGACGTCTTTATTCCGGCTGGTCCGCCGAGCCAGCATATTCGTCTCTTGTCACGGACGGTTGGTGCTGATCGGATCGTGGACGAGATGCTAATCACGTTCTGCCATAGCAAGGAAGTGCCATGGCTCCTTCCCCGAGTGCCGCCGACGAATCGTGATATTCAGGTGGTTGTCGTGGTGGTGGCTAGTTTCTTTGCTGACCGAATTGTCCATCAAAGCTTGTATTGGGACCAGGCAGATGTACTTGTGCAGGCAGGATTGTTAGACCCGGATCTCGTGCCTAAGGTGAATACGAGGAAGTAATGGAGTCTGGCAGAGATAATAGGGGTGGTTGAAATGAGCAAGCAGAATGAAAAGCAAATTGCATTCCCAACCGAGGAGACTATATGCATGGTAGGACTTTGCCTGGATATCAACGAACGCTATTTTATGCTACACCATCAATGTCACTATGCGATAGAGCCCAGTCTAGCTTGTAGCCCCACTAGCTCCTTACTCACACCTCCAGCACTCATCAAGGTCATCCGACTCGCCTCCTGCGCTACGGGAAGAATATCTTCCACGCGTGCAGGCGAGGTGGACTTTGCGAGACCGGCAACCATGACACCTAGCAGGGTATCGCCGGCACCATTGACACTGACAACTTCCTCGGGTGTCAGTGTAGCAGCAGGCGGGAAGAGACGCATATAAACGCCGCCAAAAGGCACCTCGGCCGATGACGTGCGAGACAGGATATAAGGTGCGGACTCCGGATCCGTTAGTCGCGGATCATTAGATGGTAAGAGCTGGGTCAGAAGAGCACCAGCTGCACCCAGTTTGGTGATGATGCAGGGAATAAAGGGGAGGAGCTGAATAGACTGCTGTGGTAGACCCTCGTCCACCAGCTGGGCCGAGGTCGCCATTACAAGACGCTCGCGCGAGCCAGTAGGGGAAAGACCCATAGCGTCAATGACAGACCACCAGCTTGGCGAGTCGAAGAGAAGTGCCTCGCGCGCCGCCATGTACATGGTCGACAACTCAAGTTTGTTAGGACAAGCCAGGCTGATGGCATTATTGGGCAACGTCTGCGCAGGGCCAATAGCCGCACCAGTACCGCTAGCATCGCAACCAAATAGACGGCGTGACTTAGCGGTCGACACAGGCTCGAACGCCACGCGAGCACCGTGTTTGCCAGCCAGGGCAGTCCACTTCGCCAGCACCTCTGGCCGCCAGTTTGCATCGACAACGACCCAGCGCGGCTTCGTGCGTTCAATCAAAGGTTCCCAGAACCCGTCAAAGTCGAGCTGGTGTTCCGGGAGCTCGACAATGCCCATGTCAGCCATGGCAACGAGAAGATCCTTTTTGGCATCGTTAATGGCCACATATTGTGCTGTCCGTGTTCCTGACGCTGCGGGGAGAACTTGGATGCCTGTGTTGGTGAGGCCTTCTTTTGTGAGAGATGCAAGGGCTGCTCGACCGCTTAGATCATCGGCAACCACACTGCAGAATATAACATCACTGCCGACATAGCTGGCTGCAACTGCGACGTTGTGACCTACGCCGCCGAGACTTTGTCCGATGATTGCAGGATTGGAGGTGTGTGGCATGGGTGCAACCTGGGCAAGCTCCGAGCCGAAGGGTGTATAGTCACAAGACAAGTCGATTGCCAACGATCCGGCTACGAGGACATCTGCGTCCTCTGATAGTTCTGGGTATGTCTCTGCCTTGACGGGCAGGGTGGTTTGCGTGGGGACGGCCGTGGATGTGTCGGATTGAACAATACTCGGCATAGCAGGCATGTGTCTATACAGAAGAATTTCTCCAAACTTAGCATTGAGTATATTCTGTATCTAAGCATCCAACTCACCGAGCCGCAGATCCCCGATCAAGATCTTCAAGCTTGGCCAGCTCTACAGCCACCCGCGTTGCGCGCTTGACATTAGACTCGACCAGAGCGCGATTGGCAATGACACTCTTCCCACCGCTAAGCTCCTTGATCTTATTCAGAACAAAGGGAGTGTTGTCACTGCCTTTATAACCTTCTACATCGGCGAGACGAACGGCCTCTTCAATGATACGGTCCATCTCCGGCTTGGAGACCGAGTGCTCCCGAGGCACCGGGTTAGCAAAGTGGATACCAGAGTGAACTGGAAGTTTGGATTGGGCATCTTGAACACGTCAGTTGATTGAATGGCTACATGGGAGGGAACGCCACTTACAAACGATGGCGGCGGCTTCAGCCTCATCCTGAATGACTCGCGGGCTACGGAAGCCGCTGTCCCGCGTGAAGAAAGCGGGGAAATCGACCGACCCCTCGCGGCCATCAGCAAAAGTACCCACGCAGACTCCTTCAGTCTCGAGATACTCGAGTGTACGAGGGATATCCAGGAAGCTCTTGCATCCGGAGCTAATGACCGTCACGGGGGTACGTCCCAGCTCCGTTAGATCAGCTAGATAGGCAAGATTAGCTGTTGAAATATATGAAGTCCTTGGTGGAAAGCTGTTAAACCTACCAGAAATATCCATAGAGTTCTCACCTCCACGGTGAACGCCACCTGTAGACTTGGTCAGGTATTCCCTTTGGCTGGTACTGGCTGTGAGCCTTACCTAGTCCTCCAGTGCCGAAGATCTTGATGCCAGCCAACTCAGAAAGGATCATTGTTCCAGAGATAGTTGTGCCACCATGGATCTTTTTCCCAGCCATGCCCTATAATCTTCTTAATGTCTAGTTTCTTGGTCTCGTGCTTTTTTGAGCTCGCTAACATACCATACCACAAATGTACCCAAGGTCCCTGCGGGAAACCTTTAGAGCACTCTTGTGCTCTGCTGTTGAGGCCAGCTCATTGATCTCACCCGGACTCATTCCCACCCGGGCAATACCTCCGAGAATACCTATAGTTGCCGGGACACCGCCGTTCTCACGGACCACTGATTCTAGGAGCCGAGAGAGAGCAATGTTCTCGGGATATGGGAATCCTGGCAGATATTAGATATGAGACTCAATGCAGAGTACATAATCTCAATCCACTACACGATGGAATATTTCAAGACATACCGTGAGTATAGATTGTGGTCTCAAGAGCAACGACCGGCTTGCCTGTCGCAACGGCATCGCGAACCTCTTCTGATACCTGCAAGAACCTGCTCTGAGGGTGCTTGTGGAGATCATGAAGATAGCGGGCACGAGGTAGACGGGCACCTCTCCAGCACCCAAGCCGCGTAGCAGTCTTTGAGACAAGCATTGTGCGACAGACCTGATCGAAACTGAAGATCGATCCGAGATGGAGAAGCTGAGATGAGGAGAAGCTGTTTATCGGGCGATAAGAGCACCGGAGTGCGCGCTGTGGCCGCTGCGCCCGCCGTATTGCGTATACAATGGGGACACCTCAGCAGCTTCGTCCGACTTCCCTCCCTCAATCCAAAACCCCTCCACCCTTCTCGAAAAAATCCAATTTTCAGCTCGGAGACGTTGTGTTCTCCGGCGTGATACCCTCAATTACAATGAGGTTCTTCACCGCCACAGTGCTAGGGTTGCTTGCACCCAGCCTGGCTGCCGCAACCAACCTGACCATCCCGTCTCGACTTGCTCTCCCATCCGACTTCAAGCCCGCGCAGGTGTTCAAGAACACAAATCTGGTTCGCAATACCAATTTGGAGAAAGGATATGTTCGGGAAACCGTCAATGTTGTCGTCGAGAATGTCGACACGCAGCCGCAGAGCGACTATTACATTCCCTTCCCTGCAGATGTATTTGAGCGCGTTGGAGGATTTGAAGTGCGTGATAAGAAGGCCACTGGGAAGGGGCGATTTGAGGTAGATGTTACTGAGGCTGTTTCGTCCAGGTGAGTGTCAATTGGACCGGCCAATGGCTCAGAATGGTGGAGTTTGCGCATAAAGCATTGCAAACACCAGCGAGAGTCCACTCGAACCATTGACTGACCATGCATCTTCCCCGATAGCGATAACCAGTACTTTGTCGTCCACTTCCCCGAGCCTCTAGCCCCGAAATCTCAGATTACTCTTGGAATTTCCTACTCCGTCCTGTCCTCCCTGAGCCCACTCCCGGCAACCATCGGACAGAACGACAAGCAGTACCTTACCCACAGCTTCTCCGCCTATATTCACTCCGCCTATCAGACCGTCACTCAGAAGACCAAGCTGAAGTTTCCTAGCGCCGATGTTCCTGATTATACCACGACCGAGGGGCTCAAATCTGGTGCTGACCCCGAGCGCAAGGGCGCTACCTATACTTACGGACCCTACGACACGACTAAGGTGGCTCCCGGCACCGAGTACCCCATTACTGTGCGCTACGAGTTTACCAACCCTGTGATTACCGCAAGCCTTCTGGAGCGTGACCTGGAGGTGTCGCACTGGGGTGGAAACCTGGCCACCGAAGAACGGTATTGGCTACGCAACAACGCTTCGCAGCTGACCAACCAGTTCTCGCGCGTTGAGTGGACCTTCTCCTCCTACCAGAAGGCCCCGACCTCTGCTGTGCGTGAGCTCACCTACCCTCTGCTGCCCGGCTCAGTCGATGCATACTTCATTGATGACATTGGCAACGTCTCGACCAGCCGCTATCGCCCCGGCACCGCCAAGACTGGCGCCAACCTAGAGCTGAAACCCCGTTTCCCGATCTTCGGTGGCTGGAACTACAGCTTCAAGGTGGGCTGGAACAACGATCTGTCTGCCTTCCTTCGCAAGGCCACCGGCACCGACTCATATGTCCTTAAGGTGCCTTTCCTCCAGGGTCCCAAGATGGCAGAGGGTGTTCAGTATGAGCGCGTGATCGTGCGCGTCGTTCTTCCCGAAGGCGCCCACAATGTGCGCTATGAGCTTGTCGAAGGCGCTGCCAGCAATGGTCTGCCTGGTGCGAACCAGATTCAAGCAAGCCTTTCCTCTTTCAAGACTTACATGGACACCCTTGGCCGGACAACCTTGACCCTGGAGGTTGACAGTCTGACCGATGAGGCGCGCGATGCGCAACTAGTGGTATGCTCATCATTATCCGCCCCAGCCGTATTCACTGCTACAGTAGCTAACAATAATTTTTTAGGTGACCTATGAGCACACCTTGGTGGATGCCCTGCGCAAGCCACTTACCATCTTTGCAGGCCTTTTGACCGTCTTTGTTGGTATCTGGTTTATTGGCAACCTTGACGTCAGCATCAAGAAGCGGTAAACCCGCACCCTGGAAGATGAACGTTTCTTATTGTCCATCACTTTTGCTCCTTGTAACAGCTTTCGTATTATGTCTCAGGGCAGACTTTTCCAATGCAAGGTCTTTTTCGTGAACAATCATGCCTCTCGTAAGCCGCTATGGTAGTTGGCTCTCTAGGCTTCAAAACAGGCGAGCAAGAGCAGTTCCAGCCGTACTAAGACTCTAGTTTGTGCTACAAAAAATCCGGGTCCATTCCAGAAAGCTAGAGCTTTGACTAAGGTTAAATTCGAATATTGTAGCTACCCAGGATTGGCTTTAGTGCTACAGAGGGGTCTACAATAAATAATGCAAAAACACACAACAGCCATACTATGGTGATGCTCACTTAGCGCCCACCATTGATTGGGTCGTGGGCGGCTCGCTGCTGTACACACTCTGGCTTCAGGCGGCTTCAGGGGGCAATTCACCCACCTGAGTATTCTTCACCTAGAGGGGTGATGCCCCATTCTAAATATGTAAAGACACTTTTGGGATTTAGAGAATGATTTTGCGATGTGAGAATAGACACCTATTTGTTGCTTTCCTCTTTGTCACGGTCTGATATAATATATTTACGTGATGTAATGTATGAGCCAGTTCAGGGTTCCTTCTCCCCTTTTAGTCCGAATTTAGCACAGGGATTCCCTAGTCAGTCGCTGAGGCAGAAATATCCTGCACATCGACCAATGAAGCCTCAGCTATGCATCGAGAAGGCAGATTCTGTTACATAATTTTCGTAGTGATCGCGCTAAAGGGGCCAGGTCTGCTTCAGCCATCAGGGGAGCCGTCCTCATAACCAGTATATAAAGGTGCGAATGGCTACCCTGGACATCCATAAATTTTTCTCTTATTAAGAGCCAGTAACTTCACAGGAAATTATACCACCGCCCATCGATTTTTTGATGGCTCAACACCGAGATTTCCCTCCATCTGGTCCAGTTATACAGGCAAAGAGGACATTGAGTGAGGCTGACCAACCGCGTACCTTTTGTTCGTACGTCGGGATTTACCAGCGCGCGAGTCCGACGCCCTGCGCACGGGATCTTCTGTACTCGTAGTAGTAGTATACTAGTATAACTAGTCCAGGATGTACACCTGTACAGTACCTAGCTTGAGGCATTTTCCCAGACTTGGCCTCGGCTTGAGAGCCAATGTAGAAAATTTCAGGGACATGATGCACTTGGTAATATCCGCGCAATGCCAGACAGCGTCCAGATCCCAGGCGATGTCTCCATCAGAACACTGAACGCACGGTTTCGAAGTCCTTTTACGCTCTATCAACCGGAGATTACGACCGTCACTGTACAACCCGCTGCCATAGCCAACGAGGTAACACGATTCGACAGATCTGCCTAAGGGCGAATGGGGCTCGATGTTGTTCTGGAGGAGGTGGCATCATGGAACAGAACTTTTGTACTTGCCAGGATTTCACTTGGCCGGTTGATGCGCTCCAACCTGCTGTCTATGTTGCTTGTCACGGTGGAAACTCCACAGCTGCACCCAAATTCCCAACGCTTGCGAGCGGGACAAACCAACCTACTCTGGTTGAATATGCGGTGAACTTAACGAATGACAGTCTTGGGTCAGCTCCATCATCTATCACATGAGTTGATCTGTCTGGTCAAGAGCTCATACGCGCATCTGTTGGTGCCCTAGTCACACCCATTGTCGAGCAGCCCCTTAGCCAAAGCACTTATGCCTGCACTATTGGTGCGCAGTGGGCAAATGTGACTATCGAGTCGCCATTTCTTGGGCTCCCGTACATTGTCAACGGCGAACCACCCAGCTGGTACCAGCCGCGGGATGATTCTACCGGTCGGTATCGTGGCCGCCATGTGAGCATTAGCCCAGCTTGGGCCTCGCTCGTCAATCCGCCTCTCATCACAGCACGGAACACCTCATCTAGCCCATTTGATATTCCTTTAACCGCAACGACCTTGTCTGATGGAGAAAGCCAGTATATGGCAGAGAGAATCTAAGCACATCCGGGCGATGGATGAGCGTTGCAGACTAGCACGTGGACCATGTTAAGCTACTTGCCTAATCTAGGACTAGCTATAATGATGCCTTGAGATACTGTGAAAGAAGCCGTCCTTTCAATGTCGCTGAACTTAAGCGTCTAGCTGCCTTAGCAGTTCAGTGGAAGGAATCCGGTATCGTCGGATTCGAGAAGCTTGCCGAGGGAGGTTTTAATCGAAGTTTCATAATCACCATGGGAGATGGCTTCGATTTGTAGCACGTATTCCATACCCCATTACAGAGCCCAAATTTCTGGTAGTCGAAAGTGAATTTGCAACGTTGGAATTTCTCCGTTCTTATAGTATCCTAGTTCCAAAGGTTTTTGGGAACTCTGCTATTACGGATAATTCTATAGGTACTGAGTATATTTTCTATAGAACTTATGCATAGACAAAATCTGAGAGATATCTAGTATACTTTGTCTAGACAGGAGAGAAGAACTATAGTTGTTAAACTAGTGTAGCTTAAATCTCGTCTATTTAGCTTACGATTCCTAGTAAGTAGAAGCTTGTACTACTACGATGATTTGCCGAAGAATAACTACCGAATTGCTATTCTAAACTCGGACTCGGCCCGTTCTTTCTATATTAGCCCTGATACTTCGCTTGCTTTATGGTGCGGGAAACGACTCGGCTTATCTGTTGAGCGTAGACTATATAAGTATTTCGGGTTAGAGATAACTGTCGGCAAATATTGATAGTTCATCGTAAAAGACTAGGACTCTTTATTAGCCCTTACTGCTAGCGCTATAAAAGAGATTATATATCTCAAAAGATTCGGACGAGCTCTTTAGCTACTCTAGCGTCTTTTTAGGGAGGTTTACAATTACCAGGCTTAATCTTACCTAGAATATATCACGAACCTCGAGAAATATCTCTAAATTACGCCCTGCGTTATACCGTATAATTACCTAGCCCTTTATCGCCCGGTCTTACGATATCCTGATCTTCAACCTAATAATATATTTTGTTTCCGACGAGCTAGAGATCACGGTTTGATTAATTAGCAATATAGTGCCGTTCTTCTATTATTTCTGTAATGGTATTCCAAAAAGTCTCTAGAACTGTAGTCATGAAATCTCAGAATCATTGCAAATCCCTAGTCTGCCAAGCAACTTTGACGAACTAGAAGAAATACAACAATTCTAGAAAGTAGAGCTATTCCGCAGACGTCAACTTCACTATCTCTATATTAACGTAATAGCAGATATGAACGTTGAGTATTACGATGCCCTAAAATACGATTTCAGTACACTAAGGCAGAGGCTATTTCACTATGCTAGTGACCCTTAGGAGGGTGATAATATAACCTTGAAACCTGATTTGGTGACTATCACAAAGAAATGGAGGGAGTTAAGCCATATTTCGAAAGAACCTTGTCTAATTTTGTTTACAGATGACGAGTCGACGGAATATATATAACTAGCATCTACACAACCTGAAGCATATGAACAACTACAGGCTTGCCAGGCAGCGATTGGAGTTAGACTTGAGGGATGGGTGCCAATCGCACAATACGACCAGGCAAAGGTGTGCGAGAGAAAGTTGAAAGCAGACGCTCTCGAAGCGGCTAAAACAGACGAGGAGAGAAGAACGATTCAAGAGAATTGGATTTTTGATGACTATTGCATGGAAGACTACATGTGACTTGAAGGAAAGTTCTACTTGACTACCTAGAGAGATAGGGAAGAAAGTAGCAATTCGATCGTCTTAGCTTAGGAATTCCCTTCTTCGCCCTTGGGGTATTCAACTGGTTGATTCTCTATCCCTATGATTCTCCCCGATTCTCTGAAGGAGGTTATCTATCTCTTTCATGCCTTGTCCTGCCTGCTTTGAATTCGGTGGAAAATTTGAGTATCATTCGTAGTAAATCCTGTCACGGCTACAGGGATCTGCGTCGCACGGATAACATCTGGTGCCTGATGCCTCAAAAGTGGCTTTCGGGTCAAAGAAATCTCTTCGGCGATCTGAACATCTTGAATGTTGAATTCAGTCTTCTGAACAACATTCAAAGAATTTGAACTAGTCTGGCGGCCCTTGTTCAACCGAGAGGTTTGATGTAGAATCAATGTGCTATATCACCCAAAGTGGACTTCGTGTCGGGCGGCTCCATCAATGACGCCATGCTCCATATAAAATTCGAGGAATTTATGTAAACAGAGATAGGGCCGATGCCCTAGCCCGTGCCGAGAGATGAGTATTTAAGATCAATCGGGGGAAATTTGATAAACCGTTTGTGCCTCTCTGTATGTGAGGAAAAGTCGAGAAAATTCTTGCATGTTTGACACTACCCAGCTCACTTCATGATGAAATCCATGGAAACTCGTTCTCCCTTTGCAAACTATACCCAGTACTAACATGTAGTGATCGGAGCCACGAAAACAAAAGGCTTTGCCTTTAATGAAGGCAAATGCGTGCCTATCTGGAGAACTATTCTCGAAGTCAGGAATATCCATTGTTATCCCAGGGAGGATATCTCCGGCATCCTTGTTCCCACCCTCCCGCCGCCACCAACGGCGCCCCCCACACTGGTGGCAACGCTCCGACTGGTTCAGGTACGCCACACCCCTGGGTTTGTTAGCCTCAATTTGCACAGCATGCCCATCACCATACTTCTTGCCATTATCTTTTTTTTTTTTTTACCACAGCTTCCGTGATGATTGACCACTTCCCTTTCTGCAAAGAATGTGTTGAAATTGAGTCAATCTACATTGTTTCAAATTGGTCTCTGAGTTGCTCAAAATGGAAATTCTCATTCCGATTTCGGATATCAGGCAGTTCCACATTATTTGATCCCTGGCTAACCTGCTGTCGTATTGGTTAGATATTGCTTATCCTCCGATGATACGACTTTACAAAACTTACTACTATCGAGTGAATATTTAGCAGTCTATTCTTAGATCAAATCTCGACTGCACGCTAGGCTTTACGAAACGTCATCATAGTGGATTTGGAAATATGTAAAGCCGAGATGGGGATCAAGTCAAAATAGCTTTCTCGCATTCATAAAGTATTACATTACAAGACATTGGTCACGTATGCAAAGATTGCTAACATGAGGCTAACCCAAGATGTATGGGGATAAAGCATATTCGAGCCATCTGAAGTTAAAACAACAGACGTATCTCCCACCCCAGATACACTGGAACCATTAGTGCCCGGCCGCAAGAGCTTTGCAAACTTCATTTCATTTCTCCCAAAATCAAAAACAGCCACAACGATTTTCAATGTAATCCCACCAATCGAAACACTCTCCTAGCTAGCAAAACTAGACATACAGGCCCCATCGGAGGTCTGATATATCAAGTCCTCGCCGTTGTGATAGAATGTCGTGTTATTGATAGTCAAGCCAAATTTCGGTGTCTTCGCCGAACAATCGACAATGTACATGCCCGATGAAGCATCGTAGCTCGCCGGGGGAGAAAAGAGAGAATTGACTGAATCAGCTATGGCGGACGGTAAGAATGAGATATAGTTTCCCGAGTCGATGAATGGTTGAAATGGAGTTGAGTTTGTCGTCAGACTATTCGAGGAGGAACCGTATACTGCTCCCATGAAGGTAGTCGACCAGAACTATCTAACTTCCTTGCCAGAGGTAAAATTGAGTGGAATGTTCTTCGTAAGTTCGACGGGAACTGTGGTAAAGTCGAAGCTATGATTGACAGGTGGGAGACCACCAAGAGTTAAATACCCTCCAAAAGCAGTAGACGCGTTTTGAGGTGTGTGCGCGAGTGCCAGGCTGAGATAAGGCTCAATAAGGCCTTTTTCATGCATAGTGTATAGCAGTGGATTGTAGGGCAAGCGGTCGAACCAGCAAATTGCGTTGGATGTATGGTTGGCGGGCTGTGCCGACGTAATTGAAGGATATGCCAGACCAAGTAATCCACTGTTGACACCGTCACCCATCGGGTTCGACACATTTGCAATGCCAATCTTTTGTCCTCGAACAGCGATGTCGCCCACTTTGGCATCTTCGTAGGCTAGAACACCGCTTGCGAGACCGGCGCCATATTGAATGCCAAACTTCTCGTTCTGGACAGGTCGGTATGTGCTTGACTTGTGGTAAGTTTTGTTTGAATAGAGGCAATCGGCTTCGGGAATAACCAGATTGCTTGTCTTGTTGATGCATGTGTATCTGGTGTTCATGACAGGTGTCGCTGCTGCCGGTATCAACGAGAAGCTGGAAGGTCTGATTGCCGATAGTAACTGGTGCATCAAATACTGTTCCAAATTGAGTAGTCACAAGAGGAATGGTTGTGCTGGAGTCTCGTCGACTCGGAGGTGGCCCATTGGCTCTGCTTGTAGCTACAAAGCTAGCGCCGATAGTAAGAAGTCGGAAAATTGTATCATGCCCTTTTGGAATGAAATAGAAGATAAGACGTTGATTAATTTGATCCGACTTTTAGAAGATATTAATACGTCTTTGTTCAGACTAGAAAACGCTCCTAAATCAGGCTGCCTGTCGCATATTTCTCTGAGAGGTCACCGTTGACTGATGTAGTTCCAGAAAAGCAAACCCCAGGCTACCACTGGTTGAGAATCTTGGGTTGGGCCAACGGTCGTGATGTCTGATTCGGTAAACTTTACAGTGGCCGGCCTGACAGCATTTGTGGAGACATAGCAAGCCGTTCCCGAATATTTCAAGGAAATAGCCGGGCGACTCGTATAATTTAGTGTCGGCTTGGTGAGGCTGAGGGTTAAAAACTACGAGCCAGGAGCGGTTGTTCCATCAACCTGACTACGTGAGAAAACAACCCCGATCGACTGACTGCTTCAAGAACGCCGGAGCCAACTTTCTTCGATACTATTCCAATGGAACTTTATCTATCTAAGATCGGTCCTGAATAACTAACTCCCAAGTTTGAAAATGCTACCCCAATTTTACTTAGTAAGTTTGGGCCTTGAATCCACTATCGTTGATCTTAGGACAGTACTTTAAACTTCTTGACCCAAAAGCCGGTACTTTTCCATGATACTGTGTTGTTGATTACATGTCTAAAATTTCCTGATAGAAATGTCTAGGTAGCAAAGGTATTTCTTCAAGATCAAAGTCACAATTCTCTATATATAATCTCTGTGCAAACAAACACGAACTTCCCTTTCGACCAACTTGAACTTGAACTCGACTTGAAGGCAACAAAACAGGACAAAACTCCTACCAACTTTCTCGCGGCTCATCCTGCCAATAACATAGACTGCAATTGATCAAAGTAAGATTCACCCTCGGAACCAACTCTTCTGCATGAGCTACCACTCATCTCACCAATTCCTCACCAATTCGTCTTCGTCGTAATCACTGATGGATTCGACACTCGATCCTAAACTTTCTCCCCTGTCATTGATACCAGAGATGTGATGACTGAGAGTAAGCTCGTCATGGTGGGACCTAGTTACGGCAGTAATGGTTGAGACCAAACTCATCCTGGCTCACCTTTCCGCTGTGATACTCCCCACCTTGGCTCCACTGCTCAAAGCTGCCCTGGGATTGCTGCGAATACTGCGAGTGCTTGCCGGGAGAATCGTACGGGGCCTCAAGACTCAGGGGCTTTTTTTTTGCTGCTGGATGAGCTCGACTCAGGAGCGTCCTGAAGAAGCCTGGCGGGCTGCTCACCTTTGCTCTTACTCTTGTTCTTGCTCTTGCAAGTACACTTGTGCTTGCAGCGGCACTTGGAACCGCCGTCCGAGCCACCGGAGCCGTTGAAAGGGAAGTAAGTGTCCATGAAGCCGTGGTTTTTGGCGGCTTCGCTGCCGCGCTTAGGGCGGGTCCAGGCGTTGGCGGGCATTATGTTGATGGAGGTGGTATAGGTGAGTTGGAGATCTGTGAAGTGGATATTTTGGATTTGGTTTGATGACAATGACCAAGAGATGGTTGCTAATGAACTGGAGTCTGATATCGTGGACGAGGACTCGACTTATATAGATCATCTCGACAAAGAAGCCGTGTTGTCTATCACTGGGAATAGAGTGCATTGTTTTTCTTTGAGGCTATCTATGGCTTGGGGTATTCATTGAGTCCATCGTGCGACCATGGTACCGTGAAGAAAACACTTCAAAAGGTGTAGCAAGATCATTGTGGCCCGTTATAGCCACGGGGGTATGGGTAAAAGAAGTCAGCCTTTGGCTCAAAGTAGCGTAGTTGGAGAAGATCTGGTCCAGTTCCATCTTCTCATTCAGTCCATATATCTGTTCCGTGGTTACTTGAAGTCCTTGAGACACGACCATTATGCTGTCCTTCATAGAACCCGATCGAGGCTGATGCAGATACAATGCATTCTTTCTCATCGGGCCTTGAAGATGAAACTCCACTGTGGCTTGCCTGTCTTAATCGCTTCTTTGGAATGTACTTATTTTTATCAGGCACAAAGCAGGTTCACCTACAACCAATAGCCTTGATTCCACTTGCGACAACACACGAATCAGACTATAGACTATACTCTTTCGAATACCCTGCAGAGTGTTCAGAGTTGCATTCCAGTGGGTCTGGCCCGTGTCAACCAAGGGGCCAACTACGGCCACTTGAACGGACGTCCGGCGTTTCAACTTCCCTTCTCGAAACGAACTGTCCTTTCGCATGTCCAAATTTCTCTTCAGAGCACGTTTCCCTCCATGACCGGGCTGCTTCTAACACACCCTCAAGTAAATTCTGCAGCCAACGCCTCCCATCGCGGATCGCAGCTGTCATCTCGAAATTAGCGCGGCGGATCCGCCAAACTGGCTGTGGAGCCGGTGGGGTCCAGTGGCTTACAGTAGCTCCAGTGCTCTCTACTACTCCAGCACCAGCCAGGCCAGAGTGACAAGCCATCGCGCAGTCTACCTCGCGCTCGTCGCGATGGTCTTCCCGCGGTCCTGTTTGCGTGTGCGCACTCTGTTCACCGCGCTGTGCCTCACGTCATTGTTCATCTGGTCCGTCTCGCGCTGGGGCGCGGACCCTCCTCCTCCATTGACCGACTGGGACCCCACGCCGTCCTCAAATGCCCTTCCAGACTTGACAGATTCGCACCAGAAGTTCTGGTTAACATTCCACCGGTCCCTCGAGAAATACGCGCCGAGAACGACGCCGATTGTCGAGTATGAGCGCGCCCCGACGGAGCGCTTCAATCCGCATGATACCCGCCCGCGTCCCAACTATCTCAGCGTGGACGTCGAGGACGTCGCCGCGATCAAGATCGCGCATACAGGCTTCGTGGCTACTATCACGGGCGAGGACACCGCACCCACTCTCCCCTACATCCCCGGCTCAAAGGGCATAGTCTCCACCGCAGGAGGCGTCTACCTTCCCGTGCTGGTGATTTCCCTGCGCATGCTACGACGAACAGGCTCATCACTCCCGGTGGAAATCTTCCTCGCCGACGAACAAGAATACGAAGAGTACATCTGTGACGTGGTTCTCCCCTCGCTCGACGCGCGATGTATCATTCTCTCGCGCATTCTCGCCTCAGCCCCTGTCGCAATAGAAAAATACCAATTCAAGCCCTTCGCCATGCTCTTCTCCTCCTTCGAGGAAATCCTCTTCCTAGACGCGGATGCCTTCCCACTCGAGAAACCCGAGACGCTCTTCCGTGCGGACCCCTTCCGCTCAAAGGGTCTGCTGACCTGGCCCGATTTCTGGGGGTCGACTGTTTCGCCGCTTTTCTACGAGATTGTGGGTACGTCTGCGCCGCCGCTGTCGTTGCGTCAGTCTACCGAGTCGGGCGAGGTATTGGTGTCGAAGAAGACGCATGCGCGTACACTCCTTCTCGCTACGTACTATAATTACTGGGGCCCGTCGCATTACTATCCGCTCCTGTCGCAGGGCGCCGCAGGCGAGGGCGATAAGGAGACTTTCCTCGCAGCTGCGACAGCCATGCAAGAACCCTTTTATCAAGTCAGCGAACCGATCGTCGCACTCGGACACCGCAAAGATAAAGGCGGTGGGTTTGCGGGCTCCGCGATGGCGCAGTTCAATCCTATACCGGACTATGAGCTGATTCGGACGGGGAAAGCGCGTGTGCGCGGTGACGATGCTCCCCCGCCGGATGTATTTTTTATACACGCCAACTTTCCCAAATTCAATCCCGCCACCGTATTCGAGCAGCATGAGGTTAATCCGGCGTTTACGGATGAGGGGGGAGTACACGCGGGCGTGGACGATCCCGGAAGAAGTTGTGGACAAGTTTAGTGAGAAAGAGGATGTGGAAATGGCTTTTTGGAAGGAGGTTAAGTGGACGGCTTGTGAGTTGGAGGAGAAATTTGTGAGTTGGCAGGGGTATACTGGGATTTGTGATCGCGTCTCGGACTATTGGCGGAATGTTTTTGAGTGGAAGCCGTTGCCGACGTGAGTTGATGTTATGCTGGCTTCGTACTCTTCACGACTGCTGCTTGATGCCAGATTATTCCTGGTATGTGCGAATGTTTCGTGTGGATGAGCATATCCCTCCGAGACTTTGTCATTTGGGATCACGACTTGGTGGTGCCACATTTGAACTGATTGACTTGCTTGTCGCTGGCCAGGTTTGATGCAAACTCAGCGACATCAACGAATATGCATCGCCAGATCTACTCGGTCAATATCTACTTACAGCTTGATGATATCCCTCTGCTGGTCTGGATGGGACACAGATGTTGGCTAGTTGACTCTGAAGACGTCGACTATTGATTTGATGGTTGATATCTTGATCTATTTTGTACTATAGCACATTTAGAACATGAAAACTCAATGTAATTAGTATGCGGATCTCGTTTCCCGGACTTCCTCTTTGTAGAAAAAGGGTACTAAAGATAAGCTTTGTGACAGATGTTAAGAGGCAATTTCATCACTCGGCACATGAAACGACGCCTTGGCCTATCTATACCGAGTTCTATGACCTGACATATTCCAAGACCAACATTTCCTTCAGAGCTTCGTAAAGATCGAAAATGCGCCTTGTTTGACTAGTAGACTACGAGAATGGGGATCAATACAAGGAGTTCGCTGGTCAAGTTATTCTTCTTCGGGCTACTAGTAATAAATCCCGCATTCAAGTTATTGCAGCTTTAAACGAGGTCAAAATAAAGTGCAAGACCCACTCAGTGAGATTAATCAGGATAGCTATCAACAGCAAGAAGCAAATCATGCACAAACCAACCCTAAACGAGGACTCTATCCCAGCCTCCAAACCAAAAACACAAAAAGGCATCACTCTCCGCCCGAAGCAAACGAGGATAAGGGATATCTCGACAAGATATTGAGAGACCACGAGAATCTCAAAGATTATCAACAAAGGGAAAGCCAGGATCAAGATCAGGAATCATAGCGTATGAATAAGAAAACCTTTTTGGTTGGGGGAATAGGTAAGATAAGGATAAAGTAGCGTTCGTAGCATGATCAAGTAGTGTGCGGTTTGTAGTGGTAATAAAGGGAGGGGGAATTCAAAAAGGATAAAGAGAAGAGAACAGAAAGGGGTTCTGATTGCATCACATCGTCAGGAATCACAAAAACGCCGCCCTGGAGGGGTTGTTGTTCTCCGGGATAAAAGTAACAGGTGATAGGGTAAGAGTATCAATGGACAGGGGGGATTGGAAAAGAAATAAGGACCAGAACAAGGACAAGGACAAGATGGGGTAGGATCTCTGCGAGGAGATATGCCAAAACCAGAGAGCCAACACAGAGTAGTTCAGAGGCCAGCCACCGATGACCATTCCACCAATGACGAAGCCAAAACCAGAGTGAAAAGTAGAGAAAGCAAAGGGGGAAAAAAAAAGAAAACAAACTGGCTTGAGAAGCCCATATGGACAGACATCATGAGTACATCGCGTGGACAAGGGACGGTGCGAAAAGTCAATCTCTGTGCTGATGAGAGTAAATCCAAAATCCAAATCTCCAAATAAACCTGTGGACTTGGAGAGCCAGGGGGCATAAAGCCATCTGGCGTTGCCCCTTTGTGCGCACCTGTAGGGCTGGAGATATGAACCTTCGCGCCCGCATAATCCCTGCCATCCTGCACTGTATCGACAGGCATTTCATGTCACGCACAGCGTAGCAAGCAATCCTGCGCGCCCTTCAAGAGCCAGAACAGAGTCTATCGCCAAGAAAAGCAAAAAGACCTCCCGAGACATAAGAAAGCGATAGAAAAGATAAGAGAAAAAAAGGACAAGAGCGAGGTTCCAAGCATACAAAAAGCCGTCCGACTCCTCGCGCTCCAAAGCAGAAAAACAGACAGAAGAAGGATAATCCAAAAAGCCCGATCCCAAAACAGTTGGATCTGGTGCTGACAGTGATGACCAAGGCGATGAAACCGACTCCATCATCTCAGATAACCAGACGAGACTCAAGACAAGGCCCAGACCCAAGCGAATCGCACAAACAAAATAATCCTAAGCCCAAGCCTAACACCAGGACCACCAGTGCAAGTTTTTATTCCCCGTTTCAAGTAGACAAGACAGATTGATATCACACGACGTAGGGGAGATTTGGTCATCCCCGTAGTTGACCCGCCGGATGCCACATTAGATTTGCGGTTGTGCGGGCGCCGTTGTCGTCCACGTTGATAGTGGCTGCGCGGCTGCGTAGTGGGGGTGATTTACCGGAGTCGCCGCATTCACGTAATACTGGCTGCGGTCGGGGGCATAGTAGGATGGATGCACGGGGTTCGAGTCGCGTCGCGGCACGTTATGATGATCCAGTGGGCCCATACCGCGGCTTTCAATGGGTGTGTTGGGGTTGCTAGCTTCCAGCTGGCTGGAGAGACTGAAACTGCTGCGCGAGTAAGTCCCAGGTGTTGATGGATCCATCGGCGAGGTCGCGTCGGTCGCAACGCTGCGCGAAGAAATGGATGAGTTGCGGTAAGCGGAGGGACTGTGGTCGGAGGCGGAGCGGTTACGGTCGCTGAATGAAGATGGAATCGCCGTGTTCATGCCTGGGATGCTGGAAGATAGCGAGCTATGGCTGACGCTGTCCATGCTGCCGCCGTAGGGCCCTGCACGGAACGCGTGATAGTCTTCAGGTTTAGGACCCATGGCGGCAGAGTTTGCGGCCACCGCCGAAGGAGAGGGAAGATATGGGTTTGGCGCGGACTGGCCAGGCATGGAGCCCGCCATCGAATAGCCTGTGATGGGGCCTGGTTGTTGCGGGGCATGGGTAGCGGCATAGGGGCCGGCGTGCATGTAGAAGTCGGCAGAGGGATTGGGCATGCTATAGGCGCCGGGCGGGGCCATCATCTGCTGGGGCCGGTAGCCGTACAGAGCGGCGTGTGAGGGGTCGTGGGGATTCTCCATCGCGCTGGTCTCCAGGTCGTCGATCGGGGCACGGAAGCTTTGTTTTTGGGTGAGTTCAACTCGCGGCCGAATGTAGCGCAGGGATTCGACCATGGATGGTGGGTTGAGTACACCGCGCATCACGTCCTCCACGCTATAGTATGAGACGAGGTGGTGCGTGATGCCCATGACGGTGACGCTCATGGTCTTCTTGACCAAGCCCGAGTCCTTGAAGCCGTACGAGTCAACCAGCGACCCCACCAATGCCCGCTCCACCTCAGACTGGTGTGGTGCTCGGTTGTCGCCAAACGGTCCTGGTGGTGATGTGGGGGAGTAACCGGAGCCGTTGCTGTCGTGTCGTGGGTAGGGCTCGCCAGGTCTGGTGGCAGGGACAGGTCGTCGGTTGGCCTTTTTCATCGCGCGCTTCTTTTCCCCAGGGGGGAAGGGTTTCTCAAGTTCGCGATAGACCAGGAAGTTGCCGAGGATGCGACTGGGGGACCAGGTGACACCGTCGGTCCAGCGCTTGATGCCTGAAGAGTTCTCCTCGTAGATGAAGACGCTGCCACTGCGCACCAAGTGGCTTCGTTCGCGATCATGGGGTCGGCGGGGGACATGGTGCAAGACACCTGTCAAGCAGGCCTCGAACAAAATCAGCGCATCTTGCGTGGTAGCCACATACCCCGTGAATGTGGGCTCCAGCACCGCCGCGGTCCCGTTCACCATGATGGGGAGGGGACGGGGGGGTGTGAGAGGAAACGGGGAGGAACGGGAAAGAAAAGAGGCAGAGGAGTAGTAATAGAAGAAGGAGACTGGTGGTGGTGGGAGCTTAAGAGGGATGGAAAGTGGAAGATCTCCGTGAGCGCGTCAGAATTGGGGGGGGGGGAAGTTAGTGTCGAGGGTGTGGTGTGTGGGAATGTCGTGGAGGTCGTGGTGATTAGGTTGAATCACGGGAGGGATTTTGTCGCGTTTTGGTCGTGGACTGGCCGAATCGTGGGAGCTGGTTTAAGTGTTGAGGCTGTGCGTCTTGGGGAGTAGGAGCGACGACGTGGGTTGGTAATAGACAGGACCCTCCTCGAGTTGTGAGTGGTGAGTACTCCCTCTGGCGATTCGCGATTCTTGATGCCAGGTACCCCGGATTATGATAGCAAGGCAGATCACCAAGAGGGGGTGGGATTGGGAAAGGGAGAATAAAAATAAGCTAAGAGATCGACCAGGGTATGGAGAATGGGCGAGGCGGATGGTGTGGTTTTGAGTTAACCCCTCCTCGGCCTGGTGTGAATTCCAGGGATCGCCTCTCCAGCACGGACCGTCGAGAGTCAGCGAGTCAACAGGTTGCACCGATCTCAGGCAAAGCAGATTGGGGATCGACTGGGGCGCGGTTCCACGGATCCCTCGGTGCGGCAATTCCCAAGCTTTTCGAGTTTGTGGGAGGGTCCAGTTGGACTCTAGTCTCGGTTGCGGATCCACTAGACCGTGGTTGTGGTTGGTTGATCAGGCTAGGATGGAGAGGACGAGAGGAAGTGAGTGATGTGGTGGCGCATCCAAAAGGGAATTAGGGGGGGATTGAAGAGGGGAGGAGAAGGAAGAAGAGGAAGAAGGAAGTGGACGAGGGGGGAATAGAAAGGGCCCTTTTGGGATGAGAGAGCGAGAGAGCGAGAGAGAGAGAGAAAGAGAGAAGAGGAAGTGTGAGATGAGAAGAAGAGAGAAGCGGCAGGGGGAGAGAGAGGCGCGTAGTGGGAACAAGGTTGGAGTTGGACTGGAGCAGATCACGGGAAGAGGGAAACGATGAAGAGAGCACTTCGACGATATCTGCACCAGACGCCCCAATATCACGAGGATGACGAGAATCGAATACTAATACGAAGAAAAGAACACGAAATCCATGATTCGAATGAGTTTTGATTTGTTGTGATTATCATCTAGTATTGTACTGTACTGTAGTGGTGTAATCCGTAGCACTGTAATAGTCACTACTAGCCATGATACTCATATCACATAATACGATTCCTGTAGTTGGACTCTGTAGAACTCTCCCAGGCATCATGCAGGCAGGTCGGCCGTTAGAAACAGGGGAAGCAAGTTAGAGCGGGCGGAAATATCAACCAGACTAACGCAGAACGGGAGTATACGATCCTTGGGACAAGGAAAAAAGAGGGCAATGATAATCCGAGCACCACAATCAGCCCAATGGAAAGGAGGGGCGCATTACCCATTTCAGACGCCATTCGTCAATAAATGAGTGGCTTGTTATCGGAGGAGGAGGACTATGGAAAAGAGACCCCAAAGCCGAGAGCGAGCGAGTGGCGAGGGGAGCAGTGCAGACGTGCAGAAAGGCCAGAAGAGGACGATCGCCAGTTGGTCACCGGTGGGATGGTAGCAGAAGGGGAGAAATCTGGGAGTCGAGGGATTCACTGCTGGTGGTTGGACGGGGCCAGCGCGAGGCACCGGGAGGCTAATGGTTAATGTTAATCCTAAATGCTAAAAGACTAAAACGGAACAGGGTCGACGAGTTGATAGGACGACTAAAAGTTGGTGGGACGCTGCGGGGGCGAACAGTAGGCAAATAAGAAAGAAGGAATGAATTCAGAGATATACATAGTCCTGTAGATTGTAAGCGAGAAAAAAAAAAGGAAGAGATGAGAAATGGAAAAAAAAAAATTGAAAATGAAAAAGAGCGAAAAGAATGAACGGCCGAGAGAAAGAAGAGAGAGAGAGAGGGAGAGAGATAGAGGCGGGCTGCAGGATGGAAAGGATCGGAGGGGAAGTTGTACAAAGTTGTGACCTCTGCCTATCAAGTCTGGTGCAGTGGTGGAGGTGGAAGACGGGGGGAAAGAGGGAAAGAGATGGAATTAATAATCAGAAAAAAAAAAGAAATATGACATGCAACGATCACTGGCTGGGGAGAGACTACTCGGGACCTCGGGCGCGGGGGGCTTCTTCTCTGCTCCAGGCCAGACATGGTAAACGGTATATATCGAGTAAGTAATTCACTCTCTAGTTAGTTAGCTAGGAGTTCCAAACTAGGTCTAACAAGGTGCAGAGTTTCTTCCTCCCTTCTAGAAGATGGAGATATGTTTGATTAGACTTTGGCATGACGACTCTGTACATGATGGTTAGGAAAGGGGGGGGGGATGATTCTGGTTTAGAATCGAAATGGGTAGGGATAGGCAGCAGGAATTTCGCAAGAAATGAGACAGGAAAAGAAAAGAAAAAGAAAAAAGAATTTATTTTAATGTGCAATCAGAAAAAATTGACGAGGAGTCGTGACTGGTCGGGACAAGCGGAGAAATACGGGAGGTCCCTCGAGCTCAACTGGACAGATGAAACATGGCTGCCAGTGGATGATTTCACCAACCCTGACCGAGAACGAAAAGTCTCGAATAGAAAAAAAAATAAAAAAAAATCGTGATCAAAAATAGAAAATCATACACGGGATACTTCATTAAGAAGCAGGTACCGTTTCCGCCTAGTCCCGTCGGTCTATACGGAGTACAATACTTGCTGAGTATAACTATAACAGGAGTCTACTAAGAATATACTCCGTGGTTTAAGGTACTTGGAGGGGGGCTCGAAATTGAGTTTGTTGCCGGGTCTATGTACATAGTCTGTATGGGTATGACGGGGCCAGGAAGTTAGTACAGTATGGCCCAGAGATGGCTCACCACTAGAGGTTTCTATTATAATAATAATCCCGTACTCTGTACTCCGTACATATCTTCTGGTCCCTAGGAATGCAATCATCATCGAGCAAACCCCGTGCCATGGACGATCGCCGGTGGAGCCCGCCGGGCTGATTGGCCCGACCTATTCGAGTCTCGGAGGGTCACTATACTCCGTCATCCCCCGTCAACGGAGAGTACCAAATTGACGAGGAGATTGAGACAACTCCCGAGGTGTTTGTGTCTGGAAATGGAGAGATTTACGCAGTGATCCCGTGATTCAGTGATCCCGTGATCCCTTCATAGTCCATCTCGAACATACTATGCAGTTTCAATAGTATAAAAGCATACGAGAACGAAAATAACAAATATAGCCAAACCAAGAAAAAAAAAATCTTGATTTAAGAATAAGATTAATAGAATTAAGATGATGGGAAGAGTCGGGGGTTAGAGTCAGCTCACTAGTTTGTTCAACTGTTCAAGGGGGACCAGTTCTCCACTCCTGCTTTCTTCTGCGCTTCTTCTTCACCCCCTCAACCCAAGCCAGCCAGCCGGCCGGCCAACCAGCATCGACCAACGTCAATCCACGTCAACCATGGATCCATCCGTCGTGCCAGGGAAATTTTAGTGCCAGCAGGGTCCGATCGAGAACCGCCCATCCCCCTCATCCCTCTGCGATCGAGGGAAAAACCATCTCTCCGGGGTCTATGCTGGCCTGTTAGCGTTCTCCCCCTCCCCCTCACTGTCCGCTTCCTAACGGTCCAGGCGCAGAGAGGGTCCCGAACACGGTGGAGGAGGGTCCAGACTTGAGTACAGACCAATAACCATCCACCCACCCATCGTGGAACCACACGACCTTCAGAGAGAAGATGAGAGGACCGAGTGTGAGAGAGGGCGCGAGCCGTGAGGAGAGAAGGCACCTGGCCAGTGCACGCGGCGAGACTATTGAAAATGGGCGCGGACGATGGGGCGAAAAGCGCGACGAGGATCACCAACCGCACGTCAGAGCCAGATCTGAGGGGCCTGAGCCTGCGCTTGAAGTTGGGTGGAGACCACTGGAGTCCCCTGCTGAGAGTCTGAGCTGCGTCTCTGTCGATGAGAAAATCATCCTAACCCACCTGGGGATGGTTAACCGTGCCACCACTTCCCAAGTTCTCTTTCCCATCTCTTGTCTCTCCTTCGCGTCGCGGAGACACCTTTTTCTCTCTGTCATGAAGGACACAGGGCTTGCCCCCTACTCCCGCTTTCCCAACTCTCTGGCTCTACGTCGTCAGCACCCCCATCCCCCAGGGAATGCCAGGAGGACTGAGCGCGTGCCAACCGCTTCCTCGTTGGCTCCCACAAGTGCCCAAGAGCAAGCCTGTGGTCCCTCCCCACTTCCTCTCCAGATGGGCTCCCTGCTGTCTCCGCTCGGGAACGATAGTGGTTTGGTGCCTGTGGCTTGGCCCTCGCAGGCGTTGACCTTTCTTCGTACACGGCACACCACTGGTAAGACAGGCAGGAGGGGCGCAAAAATCCCCCTCAGGCCAGATGGATGGGGATTTGCTGGACTCCCCCGTCAGGATGAATAATGCTCTTTGCTTTCCCCCTTCCCTCGGTCACCAATCAGCAGGGACGGATGTGCACAACCAGTTGACAACTTGACAGACCTGCGCCGCACTAACATACCCGTCGTAAGGTTTTTTCTCCCCCTTAAGGGGCCCTTTGCCGCTGCTGAACCCATTTGCCCAGCCGCTAACAAGCTAATTAACAACCGGCTCACCGGCCCCCCCAATCGCCCCCCAAGTGCTGGGCGCGGCAGCTGGGTTGACGGACAGAGGGGCAAGAGGGGCCCGTACCTGGACCGGGGGCTTCATGGGATCCTGGGTCAAACTTTCGCGGGAGATCCTCAGCAGATCCAGACCATGCTGGTAGACTGCCAGACTGCCACACTGGACATTAGGAAATCTCAACACTAATGCTACCAGGGGGGTGCGCCCGAGTTGACCAGAGTGTGATCTTCAGTGCGGTCACACACGACCTCATACAAATTATTCAGGATGTACTTTGTACTCCATTTACAACAACTTTCATAGGCCAGTTCTGTGGATGCGCTGGGCAATTATGATCCTAATATTCCCGCGGCTGGCTTGGAGACTTGCCACTGCGAGCGTTGATCTTCAGGCCCTGCTTGTCTGATTTTGCACTCGCGGACCGACGGAATTCCGTAGTTTGGCCCATCCTGGCCCCCATTTTTCTTATACAACGATCGGCAGGTACCTCGTGGGCTTGAAAAACTCCGTTGAGCCTCTTGCATGCAGTCGCACTGCCTCACAGTTTCTGGCCTGCCGGATTACAGTCTTCCGGCATGTGGGTTCCAGGTCTGCCCTGTTCCCTTCACATGGAGGATGAGGTAAATCCAAAGATAATCAACAGTCGATTAACTTTGGAGGAGTGTACCCGTACTCCGTATACATTCTAACTTTGAATTGCCGATGGTTGGCAGATCCCGCAAGAGTGGGCGAACAGGAGACGATCGCAATTGGCGCACGCTTGTTGAAACTCAATTGGCGCCCATCGAGTCCATGACAGATGTCACTGTCGAGGGGAGAGTGTCTTTGTTTCTTTTCTTTGTCTGTCTATTCACCTGGTGGTGTTCATTCACCAGGCACCAGCCACCAGCCACTAATTCATCGGGGTGTTTAGTGAGGAAATGCCCGATTTCGCAGAAATGTGTGATCTGTCAGATATATGCCCCGAGCCCGAGACCTCCTCGCACAGTGCTGGCTTGACGACCCAAAGATTGGATCGTGGCCAGACTGTACAAACTGGAGGTGGCTGGCAAGATGGCGAGTTATTAGTAGGTGAGCGTTTAATCACTACCAGCTCAGTACTATCTATAGGCTCTGCCTTGATACCCCCATTGTCTGCCACAATATCATCCATCCTTCGTACTGGTGTGTTCAAAGAAAGATCAAGCCTGGTCCTCCTCGAGGCCCCGAGTTGCATTGCAAGTTCCTTGCGGAACACCCCACAGACGAACCGTAATACAAGAATAACCAACAAACACTAATTTGGTTCTGTCCTTGGTAGCTTCACAAGTTAGCGTAGTGGATAACAAAGCACATCCCTCGTCCCGTCCCATCAGTCTGACCAGCGATGGTCCATTCTAAGCGCGCCCAGCGGGGAAACAGAGAAAAGAGCATACGACGCAGCTGCGCCCGATGAGCCCAAACTACCAACCAAATAAGCACTACTCCGGACTTACGGAGTCGTCCACGAAGGATGGAGATCACGACGACGACGACTCCAGAATATGGTACCCTATAGGAACCGCAGAGCTCGTCCCAAAATAAGAGGCTAGACCTACGAACGAACAGTACGGAGTCCTGTAGCAAGGAGCTGAAAAAGTGGCGTCTCCCCCACACCGACAGAAACATCATACGCGGCCTATCACCAGCCCTGAGCCATGGAATATCACAGGCAGGAGGCGGGCTGGGCGATTGAAATTTGAGGGTTGAGGATTGGGGAGGACTTGTGGCTCTACCACAATCGGGCATTGGTTTGTCTTGCGCCTCATCGCGCCGCAGACCTTCGCTTTCTTTTTTTACGTTGCGCGCCAATCTCAGATAAGACCCACCCTTTCCTCCCACCTTTTCACCGGCTGGACGGGCGAATCAGGGCGTGAGTATATGTTCAAAATGCTGGAATCGAATTGTGGCGGTAGATAGGAGACTTGGGGGGCTTGGTGACTTGAAGTGGCCAATTCTATTGCTGGATGGCAGCTCTAATGTATCGTTCTGGATGCGGTTGGAACTTGGGTGGTTGAGTAGTCCCAGATTCGACTCCCAGTCTCGCCTCTCCAGTATGTACGGAGTACTCCATATGGACAATACAGAATTAACTCACTAATCTAACGCATTCAAGAAGTAGTTAGTTAGGGCGGTCGATCTCCCATTGCCATTCGCCCGCACTAGGGAACCCACTGCCACGGACAGTGCACCGCCGTACCAGACCCCCGGGCCACAGCCATCTGCACAGACGCGAGACAGGAAATAGTATCCCGTTGCCTCTTGTACTTTGTCCGGAGGGGAGGGGGGGCACAAAAATCTTGACTTGGAGTGCCGGAGGTGAATGGGCGAATCTTGAGCTGGAATGACAGTATAACCTAGTTTGACGGAGTACAGGAGCCTAGGTGCTCCAAGGAGTATCGAGAATGTATGAAGGGTACAAACTAACCATGCTATCATCGATCTCACGGTACGAAGTACGGAGTACAAAATGCAGGATCGACCGGAATGCCGAAAGATTCAGGTTATATCCTGCGAGCCGCGTACACATGCCAAACAAAGACAGCATACATGTACTCCGTATTATTGACAGTATCTATCCACAGATAGTTAGTACGCCGGAGTGACTCCATTGTAATTTTTTGGTCTCTGTCTTGCCAAAGTTGAAAATCCGAGATCATCCCCTCCTTATCAGCCCGGTCGCGTGGAGCTCCCCAAGGCGATCTTTTCGTATCGACTAAACCGCAACCGGTACACCCACAGTGATGACCTTCCTCATCCTTCCGATAGGGTCGAAATAATCTTGATGCGAAATGAAACCACGTTTCCTGGTATCAATCTCGAACAGGAGCTTCAGAGTATAGTAGATGAGATCGGACCGTGCTCATTTCGATTGACATACTTTATTACTACTGCGGAGTACAATGCGGTGCACTGTAGTAATAATACTAACATTATTGTGCAAAAGACAAGCCAAGACAAAAAAAAAGCCACTAACCAACCCATCCCCCAGCCCCAAGAACCAGCAACCCACAACTACCGCTAACACACTAACACGCTAGCCTACTCAACGGGCGCACCCCCCTTCGCAAGCCCAAGCTCTGGTGCCCGGTGGCGCTGGGCCCGTCCTGGCTCACACTATCCCTTTAAGTTCTAGCGTCTAAGCAGAAATCCCGCACGCCCGGACAGGGCCTGCGATGATCTTCGCCTGTTTGTGCCGGACACGCCAGCTGCACTTGCCATCTGGGTCGCTAGTCTGGTTAGCCTTAGCCATGTGTGCTTTCAAAGTCTGGCTTCTGTTTCCTGCTGCATTGGCCCTTGTCTGTTTGCCCGCCGCGCTGCAGGATGTTTAGCGCGGCGCCGTTTTCCTACTCTGCTGTAGACTCCGTTCCTTGTTCCTTCCCTGTTCAACCGTCGTCCGTGATTCGTACGGAGTACTGCATATTCTGGTGGCTGTGGATGAGAGGTTTCTTGACGATCCGGGTTCTGCCACCGAACGCTATGAGCGCAGTTTGCGGGTATTGAGTCCAGGACGAGGTTGGGGCCGCTGCCTTACGAAGGTCGTGGACTCGTGCTTGATATCTTTTCTGGCAAGTGGTAGCGTATCATCCGAGTATCCTTATAGCCCTTTGTCCAGGTCGATAAAAATTGAGTTATCAAGCTACTGTATAAACTCCATCCCATAGAGCTCCGGCATACAATACCGTTATCCCCACTTTACCTACCAATTCCACGCTCTCAATTCCCATTCAAACATCTCCTATTCTCCACCGCCCCGGTGTTGCCTATTCTAGGAATCGCGTGCATGAACCAGGGCCCAACCAAATAGCGAAGAGGATCAGGGGCAGAGAAATAAAATCCGCAACGGCTGGTATATCGAAGAAAAATTGACATGTGAAAATAATGATTGCAGAAGCACGGTCTGAAGCGGCAGCACTGAAGAAAAGGGTAGATCGGAGCGAAGAAAAATATGGAAAGAAAAATCATTTAATTTAAGAAATAGCGTCGATACCAGACCCGCGTTGCTCATTCGTCGGCTCCGAGAAAGGGCCTAAGGGGCTTGGCTTTCTGCTTGGCCTGCGCGTTCGCACTTTTAACTCCCGACGGCTAGACTAGCGGGTTAGTTTGACCAGCTTGACCGATGGACCCAGTTTACATGGAACATAGCTCCATGACCTTGATTATCAGGACTTGGTGAGCCTGCACGGAGTACAACAGACTTTGAAGCACATCGTATCGAGTACTGCCAATCCCCAAGGACAGCTCGCTATTGTCAGTAGTCAAGCAACTTGTCAATCGCGCCGCACTATGTCCAAAAGTAGTGATAGTACTGCATAGTACGGTGCTAGCAGCTCGGCCAATATCCAGATAGATCAGCTAGAACCAACCTTGGACAAGCCTTGCGTATCAAATCTGTCGTGGCACTGACCCTCGCCTTTTCTCCCCACTAAGGCCATCTGGTCCCATGCATGCGCGATCGAAGGGGGGTCCGAAATCATGATTATTCATTGCGATCGTCTAATTATTCCATTCTCGGTATTAGCAAGCCACTCAGGGATGATTATTGTTGAGGAGGCTGCGTAGCTGGTTTGGGATCTGCCTAGAGCGATATAGGAAGGGCGTAATTATATTTCCCTATGCGTTACTAAGTGCTAGATACTGCTCCAAGCCTCCGATGAGTGTGCAGTAGATTTGATGAGAGGTGCGGCCATCATGACATGTACATATAAACATTTAAGGGCGGGGGACTGGGGCCCTGGGCGGTTTAGGGTTTTAGTTTTTGGATTTTGGACTTCTATCGGCGATTGCTTGACTTCGGGATCTCCAGCTTCAGGTGTACTGTGGAATTGGGATCGTCACGACAAATGAGACACATGGTCCTAAGTGGTTTTTCTTTGGATGGCAACCGATCGAGGCTTGACTGTCCATGGTATAATTATTATTGAAAGGCAGTCCTGATCTTCAAAGGGATGTACTTTTTACTGTCTCTCTTCAGTCGTCGCCTATGCATTGATGTGCATACACTCCTACAGTACTAAGTACAGCATTCATTGTTCAACTGCATTGCTTCCCTAAACTCAAGCGCGAACCACTCCTTCGGAACCTTCGTGTTAAACTGTAAAGTGTAATTCGCAAAAGCGTAAACTATATTCCCCTAGTTGGTTAATGATGACGCTCCAGTCATAGCTAGTTCGGCAGCTAGCTAGCTTGGCTAAGCTGACAGCCCACAAGCTGGAGTACGAGGTACCTACTGAATATAGCTAGCTAAGCGGGCATCGTCTCACACCTTGATCGAAGCCCGTCCATACTTCCCAACAAGTGGGTAGTTACGAAATACCCTTTCCTCGACACGGAGGAGATCATCAGGTCTCGCTCCTGCTTGTACCCAGGAACTAGCCCAAAAATGCACTATGCACTATGTACTCCGCTATCACCAAAAGCAAAATAGCCAAGGAAGGAAAAAAAAAAGCAAAGGGCCCATCTCCCAGAATCACCCAACCCCACGCACCATGTGGCCCCAACTCCGTCAGATCCCAACGCCGCGGACTCGTGTCCAACACACACTTTCGTGCAACAGATCCTGCGCACGGAACACGCGCTTGGTCTCGCGTCGTACGAAGAATGTAGATCGTATTCTGTCATCACTTTGGTCTGGTGCCGAACAGGGAAGTAGGCGGTTGGACTCGGACGGGAGAGACCACATATGTCTCGAAAACTGTGAACTACAATGCGTTCAAGCCTATTCGGTATCATTATCTCTTTCCCTCCGAGACAATACCATCATGTGGGTCATTGCCGCGTTCACCAGCCACATACTCCGTGCACCTCAACCGTTCGTATTCTCATCCTGGCTCCCCTCAAAGGAGGGAGAGTATACACCCGCCCCAACGGCTCGGCTCTGGATCGTATATGCGGGATTGGGAGCATTATGCGGAAGGCAGCGCAGACGTGTCTTCAATCCGACTGGATGGTACGGCCAGTCGGTGCGTAAGATGGACTTCGCATTTGCAGGAGATATCACGTTTGTTATCCATTACGACAATCTGTAGCCGGACAACGGTACATGCTCCGTATTTGAGGTAGTCAAGTAGATCCTATACTTATCCCTGTGATCGACAGTCGGTTCAAGCAGATCAGACAACCGGCAAGACGGCTTGGGGTTGTCCCTCCAAGCGCCCATTTCTTTTTGCAAAATTCTTACCCACAAAGGGGTGCATCTCGTGACCAGTGTTTAATCCATGACACAGAAGATCACAGAATTAGATGCCCTTGATTCCGCCCATTGGCTGGTTTACTCGATAAAAGCCGTTCAAAGGGCAACAATAACCGCAAGGTCGGAAGGACTATCCTCGAAAGCCCCCCCTGTCCTGTCCTGCTGATGAGCATGCACTATCGGCATGAATAATAGCGTCAGATCGCCGGTATCAGTCATCAGCGCATCTTCGATTTAGCATATTCCTCCTAAGGAAAAATGTATCCAGGCTTGATCAAACAATCAGACAAAAAGTACATACTCACCTCAGTTTCCCACACCTACCGTGAAACCCAGTTATCAGAAACAATCACTAGCCTTGTCAAGTCCTGCATGAACTATCCTCGTATAGAAGCGAGATAAACAAAATGCAAGTAATACGCCACAGTCCCAACATGCAACAATGTCACCTTGTCCATGTGCCCTAACCGCACCAAGACAAGGCACCTAACCAGGAGTCACTATCTGCAGAATATGAAGAACTAGAGCAAATAGTCAACTATGGTAGTTAGCTACATAGTCCCAGGCTTAGCCAATTCTTGCTAGTCTTGCAGTATCTACTCCATACATCCCTGTTCTCGACTTGATCGGCACTCCCTTGCGTGAATTTCATCCTGGCGGGTTGGGCATTCACGCGGCCGGAGGGGGTTCGCGTGTTGGATTTCTGGGGAAGAGCGTGGAATGTACAGTATACTATAGGGTGATTGTCGTGCGATGTCCTGGCTACAGTAGTATGTATGCTTCCTTTTCATTGCTTTTTCCAGGGGGCTTTGAGTTCGCCCCGGGCCCTTGGGTTGGGAACGCTTGGTGCTTGGTAGGGCAGGGATGGGGCCTTGAGGATGTGACAAGATGAGTTGGAGTGCTATGCGGGGATGAAGGATGCCAGTGTCGCGGTAGGTAGTGGGGTATGTCCATCAGCTCGAAGTTGGTAGACTTCAGGACTGCTCTCTTCTTGTTGACGTCCTTGGCAATGACCCTGGCATTATGGATACACATGGTATCGAGGTGGCATTGAGCACCTTGAGTATCTGACTGTCCCAATTATAGGTAGGTCATGACTTATGAAAGCTCCATGTGTCCCTGGAAACAGCTCTGCATTCACCGAAATGCGCGGAGAGAATATTATTGTACCGCCCTTGGAAGTAGATTTCCTTCCTCTTCCATCAATCCATGGCGTATATATTGGAGAAGAGTCAATCAAGGTAAAGTACATGTAAGAAAAAAAAACCCCCTGTAGCAGCCAGCTTAACCAAATCCATATTGTACAAGTTCGATCCCAGCGCCATGAAGTTGCTCCGCTATGCTTGAATAATAAAATATGAGTACCACGTACACTTGTCTATGGCGACGACCCCAAAACCTCCGCAACAGCAGGATCCTCAGGAATCTCCTTAGTGAACCCGCTGCCCCTTCGTACATGCATCAGCAGGCGAAGGGCACCGGCAGGAGTGACACCTTCAATACGTCTGGCCATGCCAACACTTGAAGGACGCACTCGTTCGAGTGCTTGCTTCTCCTCATTGCTAATGCCGAAGATCTTGCTGTAGTCCAGGTCTGCAGGGAGGAGCAAGTTCTCATCTTGCTGGAACCGCTGGGCCATCTTCTCCTGTCGCTTGAGGTACGGGGCGTAGCGGCCCTCGATAGCGACGCGGGTGCGGATCTCGGGTGCGAATGATGCCGAGTTGTATGCAGTACCATGAGCAGCATCGATGTGTGGGATGAGAGAGTCAATGTCAGCTCCGTCGAGACAAAGGATGTCGAGCGCCGAGCGAATTGAGGTGTCCGCACGAACCTTGAAGCCCTTGCGAGACCAGGCGGTCGAAGAGAGCCTCGTGTTTTCCAGTAGGGCCTGGAGTTCCTGAATCTGGCCCTCGGTGTCACTGAAATGTTGCCAGCGCTTGTTGCCAACGACACCGGCTTCACGAGCCATACGAGTAAGACGTAGATCAGCGTTGTCAGAGCGAGTAGAAATGCGGTATTCGCTCCGCGTCGTGAACATCCGGTACGGCTCTGACACTCCCTTGGTGATAAGATCGTCAATCATGATGCCGATGAATCCGTCCGAGCGCGTGAGCGTCATCGGTAACCGGTTCTGCGAGGCCAGACCAGCATTAATACCAGCGATGATGCCCTGACCAGCTGCCTCTTCGTAGCCCGTGGTGCCGTTGATCTGGCCAGCCAGGTAAAGACCACTGATCAACTTGGTCTCCAGCGTCGGCCGCAGGTTGCGAGGGTCAATATAATCGTACTCCACTCCGTAGCCTGGTTGGAGCATTTTGACATTCTCCAGACCACGGACAGTCCGCAACATGGCGTACTGCGCATCCGCGGGGACAGTCATAGAAATGCCGTTTGGATAGACCACCTCATTAGGCGCGAAGCCTTCAGGCTCGAGCCATATCTGATGCTGCTTCTTGTCCGTGAAGCGTATAATTTTAGACTCCAAGGATGGGCAGTATCGTGGTCCACGGACGGTTTCTCGAATATGTATAGAATTCTCCAAGTTGGCCCGGATGATCTCGTGAGATGCCTCATTGGTGTGCGTCAACCAGCAATTGAGCTGGCCTTCGTCACCAACCTCAACAGTAGAATTGAGGTAGGAGAAGGGCATGGGTGGCGAATCACCATGCTGAATCTCCAGACCCGAGAAGTCGATTGACTTCATGTCCAACCGCGGCGGTGTTCCGGTCTTCAACCGGCCCAACTGGAAGCCAGCTTCACGGAGGGACTTGCTAAGTCCATAAGTTGGCGCCTCTCCCATTCGCCCCGAAGGATAGCTTTCCAGTCCGATGTGAATCTCACCTCCCAAGAACGTCCCTGTCGTGATAACCACCCGGCCAGTAGGAATAATCTCTCCGGACTCCAAGCGTACACCAACAATCTTGCCCTGGGCACCGGCAGTGTTCTCCACGCCTTGCTTCGAGACCACAATATCGGCGACCTTGCCCTCCACAATATTGAGACCCTGAGTACTGACCAACTCTTCCGTCATATACTTCCTGTACAGATCGCGATCGATCTGCGCACGCGGTCCCCACACAGCTGGCCCCTTTGAGCGATTCAGGACTCGAAACATAATTCCCGCCTTATCAATAATGCGCCCAGCAACGCCATCCATCGCATCAATTTCCCGAATCATAGTTCCCTTGCCAATTCCACCTAAACTGGGATTGCACGAACAAACGCCGATGTTCGATAGCGAGGGCGTCACCAACGCGGTGCGAGCCCCGGATCGGGCAGCAGCAGCACATGCTTCTGATCCGGCATGGCCACCTCCGATTACGACGACATCATAGGCCCTGTTTTCGGTTCAAAAAGGATTAATTAGCGCTAGTCAAAGAGTATGGAATAAGGGTACATCACGAACTCCGTGCCGTTTGAAACCGTTGCCAGACCACGGAACTTGCTGACCTGACGGAGTGACCCAATATGCCGACGCACCACGGGCAATGACCGTGCCCTGAGTATCATGGTGGAGTGCATCGAAGAACGAGGCTTGTCGACAAGGGACTGGCGCTGTTCGCGATGCGATAAGACAAAAATATCGCAGTGCCACGTGACTGATAGGAGATGCATAATTCGCTCACGCAATTGGCTACGAAATTACGGCCGTAATACGGTCCGGGGTCGGCGTGCAGCCGATCTTAGGTCAGCAAGAATCTCATCCTCATGGATTTATAAAAACATCCTCATCCGCATTTCTTCTCCTTCCACAAATATCCGATTAGAACTGTTACAGGACATTTCAAGATGAAGGCCTATTGGTATGACAACACGCCGGTGAGTGTCCCGTTACCCGCCCTACCCTGAGGCTATTGAGGGGCATCCAATGACGCAACTCGACATCTCGATGCTAATGCATACATGCGACAACCAGGGCGACCAGCGCGAGCCGCACGACTCCGGCCGCGCCGTCTCCGAAGACAAGCTCGCATCGCTTGGTGTCCTTTACCACAACTGCCCGAGTGTTGAGGGCGTTGACGCCATCGCCAAGGAGCGCGGCTACAAGAACCGCGACACGATCTGCGTGTCCCCGCAGAGCATGGGTGACGTCTACGAGGACAAGGTGAAGATGTTCTTCGCGGAGCACCTGCACGAGGACGAGGAGATTCGCTATATCCTGGACGGCGAGGGTTACTTTGACGTGCGAGGCGAAGAGGATGAGTGGATCCGCATCGAGCTGGCTAAGGATGATTTGATTATCCTGCCGGCGGGCATTTACCACCGCTTCACGACCAATGAGCAGAACGTATGTCGTTGTGCATGACTTGTCTTCGTACTGATTCCCTTTGAATTCTTGTTTGGCTAACATTCTTTGTTTCAAAGTACATCAAGGCTATGCGCCTCTTCCAGGATGAGCCCAAGTGGACGCCCCTCAACCGTGGCGCCGAGGTTGATCTCAACCCTCACCGCAAGAACTACGTGGAGGCCACCTTGAAGCGCAGTGCTGCTGTGAACTAGACCTGTCTGGTTCTTGGGTTTCGCAACGTTTAATGACCGCATTGATTGATGGCCTTTGATATGAACAAGGACGGGATCTTCGATTCGATCTACTGTTCAATCCACTAATTGAGCATTTTCTGCACATATATAAAAAGGGAATTCAAGAAATTTCGCTTCCGATTTAAATGATTCATGTGTTCGTAGTATACATCGGGGACTGACGGAACATTCAAGGCTACAATGCAGAAGTTGTAAAGGCTAGACAGATCGTTATACAAGGCGGTGGCATCAGCCTCGGGCCGCAGGTGCCCCACCAGGCATGGCACCGGGCATCTCAAGCTGGTCACTCGCAGCACCGGTACTATCCTGCCGGGTCATACTCGAACTCCGCCAGCCGCCCATATCCACGTTGAAACTGCTGCTGCGCGAGCCCGCACCAAGTCCTAGCCGCGCATCCAACCCCCCACGGAACCGCAATCCCTCTTCCTCACGGGAATGCTCATCAGAGAAACGAATGGGCCCTCCAGCTTCTGTTGAGCCAGCACTTCGTGGCGGCGCAGTAGACCCTGCGTCGGAGTCGTCTCCGGTCCGCACGCCCGTCCGGCCCATGCGTGGCCACAGGTCAGGGAGTCCAACGACCTGCACGCGGGGCTCGACGACACGCTCTTCGAACCAGGCATGTACTCGGGCCTCGACGAGTTGCGCCACCTTGGGTACATCCTGCAGTCTGCTGCGAGACCCAATGAGAGACCGCACAGACAGATCGAGTCGATAATCAGGGAGGAACGAAAACGCCACATTGCTCTTTGGACTGCTCTTGGGTGGAGCCTGGTCTTGCGTAGCGTTGGCATCTGAAGCCCCCGAGGGGCTGTTGGGACCTGCGTATGCGTCTGCAGGTGGCGTGGGTGATGTAGCAGGCGTGTGAAGGGGGTCCGTCGATGCTGGGATCAGCGAGATGCATAATGTCCCCGAGAACCGCACAACTGAGACAGACAGTGCGACGGGTAGAATGGCTGAACGAGGTTTGGGGTAATTCAGAACCAATTGAGTCTCTACAGCGATGGAGAGGTTGTCATCGCTCAGGTCCACGTCCAACAGCGCCTGCAACCTTCCACCATCTGAGTTAGGATCATCGACCGTTATAATCCGGCAATTGCTAAAGATTGGAAACTCCTCGCCGAGCGAGATATCCGTGACATTGATTTTCTCAATAAAAGACGGCTTCTTTTCGGGGTTGTTCATAGCCGCAGTAAGGGAGTTCAGAATTGAGGAAGTTGGTGAATCCTTCAGCAAGTATGCCGTCTGTCGATACTGTGCAATTGTTTGCGCAATCAACACATTGAACCAGTCCAGCGATTCAGGCTGGTGGGAGGAGTGGTGCATGCGATGCCGGCCATGTTTGGAGGAGGGATTCGTAGGGATGGCGCTGTAATAGGTTTTGCGAAGTATAGAGCGTGTATTTGTAGAGGAGGCTGGCACAGGGCGAAGGACATTGGATGTGGACGGCTTTTCTCGTAGAGATTTGTGGCCATCCTGCGAGGGGCTGTAGACGGAGCTGTAGCGGCGGTGGGTTGTGCGGTTAGAGAGGCCGCGCGATGGGGGCGGCGGAGCCTCGCCGAAGATGAAGAATTTGATGAAGGCGCCGATTAGTAGGACAACGGAGAGTTGGCCGAGAAGAAAGCCCTGCGTGAAAGATAATCTGCAGGCCAGAGGGGCAGTTGGGTCAACGATCTAGATTCACACTCCACGGATTCAGATGGACTTACGAGGACTGAGGCGCCACTATGACGGGCTCATCTGGAAGGGTTGTCAGCAGGAGACTAGATAATTGAATGGTATTGCATAAGGACACGCACGTTGTTGGAGCGCCATTGTCGGCAGCAGTCAGCGAGCCCCTGTTCGTGAAGCATCCCCACTAAAGGTTAAAGTCGGACGGAGGTTGGGCCTCGGTGGATCTTCCTTGGCTGGCTTATCAGCTTATCTCTTATCAGTTTATCGGCCAGATCGGAGCCAGCTTTTAGGACACGCTGGACGTCGCGACTGGCACGCCACTTCTGCCAAGTTGGTTATGGAGTCGATGAGGTCCATCCATCGATGACTCAAGCTTGCAGCCTGGTTTTTGGACGCAAAACTGGCCTTTTCATTGATTGATTTTGACTAATTTCTGCCGCTCATCTCAAGCGTCCTCTATTCCCACGGAGCTCCAATCGGCGAGTTTGGCTGGAACTACACTACGATGCACTGGATATCGCTAGTACTGCCGACACTGCTCCTGGCCTCGCCAGCAGTATGCGACAGAACCCAAAAACCACCAGGCAAAGATGCCATTCTCCTATCAAACGTTCAAACCTTGACGCTACGAGCCAACCGCCAAACAACCTCTCGTCGTGTGTCTCCCATTCCCCAACTGAGCTGTGTCGGCCCCTCCAAGAAGGTATGCGATCTCTACCAGATTGATACAATGCGCTGCACAAATGACGGCTACGATTACGATGCCGAAGATGTACAGTGGACATGTACAGCCTCACTGCCGCCCGAGTTCAAGCTTGGAGCAACAGACGTCATTTGTGAAGGATATCGAAGCTCCGAGGACAAGTGGGTGCTCAAAGGCAGCTGTGGAGTCGAATACCGTATGCTCCTGACGGAACAGGGAGAGAGGAGGTTTGGAAAGGCCAGCGATGACTACGACTGGTCTTCTTTGCTTGGCAATGCGAAGAAAACGTCGGGACGTGGCTGGAAGAGAGTTGTGGAGACTATTGGAGATATCCTCTTCTTTGGGTTCTTCGCTGCTATCTTCCTATTCATTGTTGGCCGATTCCTTGCTGAGTGCCTTCGTCTTCGGGGTAACCAGAGAGGTAGACCTTCTGGACGAAGATGGGGATGGGGGAGGAGGGGGTGGCGGGGGTGGAGGTGGCCGGGGTGATGGCTATTATCCAGGGCCTCCTCCTCCCTATAGCAGCACCTGCGCCGATGATAGCTCTAGCTTTGGATTTGGAAGCCGACCCGCTACGCAAGGCTGGAGACCGGGTTTCTGGACGGGAGCAATGGGTGGCGCTGCAGCGGGATATGAGATGGGACGGCGTGCCGCGAACAACAACCGTGCCTCCTCCCAACAGGGAGGATCGTTCTTTGGTCGACAGAATAACTATGATGCCGGAGAGGGCAGTTCGCGGACGCGTTCGTCGCCTTCATTTTCAACCACGTCAACCAGCACTGGATTTGGATCGACAAGACGCAGGTAGTCGGTCAGGGTTCGCAAAATATATACCTCTGCACAAGAAACAGGCTATGGGTAACAACATGCTCTGCTAAATCTGTTAGGTCTACTGATGTTCGCACGTTGGAAATTAAACGGAAGCGAATCAATTCGATGACTCTGTAGCAATTAGGAAACGCCGTGACCCTGACCGTGGGTCAACCCTGTGTATATCGTGGGAAAAAGAACGCTGTAGACCCCCCATTGTATTCATCCCAAGTCCGGAAACCCGCAAAACACCCGCTTTGAAAATGGAACCCTGACTCAAGCCATGGGGATGTCGTCGATAGAACCGAGAACTTCCTCTGTACCACCACCAGCTGAATTCTTCACGCTCTTCTTTCGTTTGCTCTTGACGGAAGCGCCATTGCTCTTATCGCCGTTGGGAGCAGCGTTCTCATCGGCGCCGGCGCCGGTGGGATTGCGCATAATTTCCTCCTGTAGCTGCTTCTCCTTCTCGTGTTGCTCCTCTATGCGTTTCTTTTCTTCGTCCAGTTCTTGCTGGATGATCTTGGGATCATCGTAGACCTGGTTGGTCAACTCCGAGTAGGTCGCAATATCAATAGTCTCGCGCGGCCCAAGAAGTGTATCTTTAATCCGCTGGGGATCCTTGCGCTCTTCATTATTGAATTTCAGCTTGATCTGGCGGCGAGACCGTCCCGGAAACAACTTGCTGATAACCATGAAATCCGTGCCGAACATGCGCAAGCCGCGGTAGAAGAGGTCAGTCATCTCTTCATCCCACGTTTCATTTTTGGTACGTTTGCCGTATGTGGCCTGGTTGACCTTCCGAGTAAGCTGGTTTTCCACCACGTCTTCGAGTTCACCTGCAGCTCGTGCGGCATCAGCATGACGATCCACCTCCAGCGAGGCATTATCCAACACAATTTCGCCGTTAACAATCCGCATGACTGGACCAGACTGTAATTTAGGCTCCTCGAGACGATCTGTTTTGTTGGCATCGGGATCGTTTGCTTTCTTTGGCGTTCCCACATTCGAGCCTTCCTCGTGTGCCTTTTGCTTGCGTTCTTGTTCCTCCAATTCCAATCTCCGCAATTCGGTCTCTCGCTTAGACTTCTTTCCAGTCTTCAGGTCTTTGCAAAGCTCCGACATCTTGACCACGTTGGGTAATATTTCCACCATCTCCGCGCCCTCTGGGGTCGGCTCGCGCTTCCTTGGACGACGCTTCGGCTTTTCAGATTCACGGCCAGTATCCGATGCCCTGGACGCTTTCCGTTTCTTCCCTTTCGCCGAGGATTGGTTCGCGTCGGGAGTTACGGGTACGAGCGATCCTCCCGGGGTCTCACTCGACGCTGTAGAGGAGACTAGCGGAGCAACGGCGTGTACTGGCCCTCTGCCGCGGTTGGTGAATTCAGATGTTTTCTTGGCCCATTTCAAAGACCGGCCGACGACGGGAGCGGAAGGTGTAGGTTGAGGCTCCGACACGGATTGGCGAGGTGAGACAGCTTCGTCTGGAGCACGGGTATCCGCTGCGGGAGCTGGTGCTTCGGTTACCTCAGTTGCTTCGATCGAATCCTCGACCAATGCTGACTGGGGAACATCATTCTCGATTGAAGGCAACACATTCGTTTCGGCGGGTAAAGTTCGGGGAGAGGTGGGAGTATCGGGTATCTTGGTAGACGGGGTCACGGGTACAGCTGGCGCAACGAGAGCGGGCTTAGATACAGATGGTTTGCGATTTGGGCGAGGGATTGAGATGGGAGTAGCTGATTTTGAGGTGATTGGAGCTGCTGGGGGAGATTCTGCAACTACAGCCGGAGCTGACTCGGTGATTGCGGGCTGTTCCGGCTCGGCAGATGATGCAGATGGCGGAGGAACGGATTCTGTGACCTCCCTCTCCTGCTGTTGACCTTGTGCAGCTTGCGCCGAGGGCTGCTGAGCTGCGCTTGGCCTTCTCGCGGGCGCAGCAGGGCCAGGCGCGCCGCGGCGGGGCGGCGCTTTCGGGGCAAATTTCTTGCCCGATTTATCTAGAGCGCAAAAAAGTCAGAAGAAGAAACATGGAAGGCGTCAAATTGTGCTTTGATATCACTCACTAACGGCCGAACTCGAGAAGGACTTCATGGCTGTCCATTCCTGAGGGGACGGAGGGGTTGAGTCAGGACCAGGAAAAGTTGTCGCGCGCCGGGGAAGTGGATTCATGATCACGTGAGAGGCGCTAGCGGCACCCTAAACCTCGTTGAAAATCCTCCTGTCTTCAACTCCTTCAGTCCTAACCACCGCTACTCCACACCCACCCGGTGATCGTCTGTCCTCGGTTTCACCTTCCTGCCAATATTACAATCTGGTCCTCGCTTTCGTATCTCTGTCGACAGAATTGGCACTCGGTCGCAGTGTCAAGAGTCTGTGGCTGACTGGACTGACGGTTTGGTGGTGATCGAGACCCCCCTCTTTCATGCCAGTCTAGCCACTGATGCCGGCCCTCGAACCCCCCGTTCTATCTTCAGAGTCCGGATTCATTAAAATGGAGGACCGGAAGAGGCCTGCTGCCGAGAACAATGAGTCCGCCCCGCCTTTGAAGAAGCAGGCGACCACCGTCAACGGTGGGAACAAACCTCATCCAGATACGGATATGCCATGGAAAGATGACTTAGAGGTAAGCAGCTGAACTTGGCGATAGATTCCTTTGCAGAGATTTGGAGAAGAGCCGCGTTCCAGGGATGTGGTACTGACTGCGCTTTCACGATAGCGATTCCAAAAAGACGCGATTCTTCGCCAGATGCAAGAGTACAAGCGGGAGAAAGCTGGGTTAGAGTCGCGCCTGGAACGGATGTCCAAGGCTGCTGCGCACCATGACAATCACCTTCGCGCTATCGATGCTTGGTTTCGTCAGGTGAGCCCCCACATCAAACTTTAACATTCTCCTCCAAGCCTCTGAGGCTGACTGTATTTCAAGTTGATCGATGAGGTGAAAACGATTCTCGGGGCCTCACAGGAGGCGATCAAAGGTCAGTTCTTTTACCCTTCCACAAAGTATGGGCCGCTGGGAGATGCAAGACTGACAAGGCCCATAGAGCCCGTCTTCAAGAGCTCACTCCAATTCGAAGATGTGGAAGAATTTGAGAGCCATCTGAAGTCGAGAACTGACGATATTCGCGAAATCATCTCTTACTTCCACTCGAGAATGGCCAGTTTGTCACCTGACGTCACTCAGCTACAAGATCAATTAGCAAAGAAGCTCGCAGAGGAGAAAGTGACGATCGCGAGACTGGAACAGACCGTTGCCGAAAAGCTACAACTTGAAGAAAGTCTGGAAGCCGCCTCACTTCGGTATATGGTGGCGGAAAAGAAGCTCGATCGAGCACGCAGCATGACTGTTGCCAAATTGGAAAAGCAGTACATGATGGGTGGACAGCGCCCAAGCTCCGAGAGTGCACAGTCCAAACGTGAAGAATCATCCCCGGCCAATGGTGGAACGCCTGTAGGGGAGCGAAGTGCTGAGTTAGAGGAAACCAACAATAAGCTCAATGCGGTATCAGAGAGGCAAAAAGAACAGTTGCAGAAGTTGGAGGTGGAGAACGCGAAATTGCTCGGACAAATTACTGAGATCAAGATCAAGGTATGTCATCCCAATTACTCCTGTTGTCTATTGAGTGTTGCCTTGAACATCACCGACTGACTTTGATAATTCTTGCAGTCCTCGAAACTTACAGACGATGATTATGCTCATACCGATCTCTTCAAACAACTTCGATCCCAGTATGACGATGTGGTCAAGCGCATTAACCATCTGGAGGCGACAAATGTCCAGCTGCGCGAGGAAGCCGAGAAGTATCGCTCTGAAAGGAATGCATACAAATTGCAACTGGAGGAGGAATCAAGGGCTACGATTGCGGAGAAGGAGGCGGCACTGATGAGAGCCGAGACCGACTTGGCACGGATACGGAACACTCGTGATGAACTTTTCGCCGATCAGCAAATACGCAAGAACGCTCAGGACCAAGAGAAAACGGCAGGTACCAAGTTGCAGGAGCTGGCGGATGCCCGCGAAGCCCGCATCACCGCTTTGGAGTCCGAGATTGAGAGATTGCGGCTGCAAATTGAGGGATCCAAGACGGCCGAGAACGTGGATGATATACCGCTTGAAGAACTTCGTTCCAAGTACACCAGCCTGGAACGCCAATATTCCATGCTGAACACCGAGTTGGCCTCTATGCAAACAGCATACAAGAAGTTCTCAACCCTTGCTTCACAGAAAGTGACAGACTTTGGGGCTTTGGAAGAGAAAGTGGCCCGGCTGACGGCGGAGAAGTCCAAGGCCGATCAGAAGTACTTTGCTGCCATGAAGAGCAAGGAGGCACGGGATGTGGAGGTTCGCACACTTCGAATGCAGAACTCGAAGACTTCCGATATTGTCTCGCAGTTGAAGGAATCCGAGGCTGCGACAAGATCCTTGTTGTCTAATCTGGACAAACAAGTCAATGAAACGAAGGAAGCGCTGAATTCCGCATTGGAAAAGCACCGGGTGACCCAGCAACAGTTGACTGAGAGCAACATTGCAGCAGAAGGCCTGAGGAATCATATCTCAGAGTTGAAAGCTCTCTCAGCCTCCAAGGACACGACCCTGAGCAACACGTCGACTGCTTTGCGGCAAGCAGAAACCGAGATCGCAGGCCTGAAGCAATCCCTGTCAGACACGAAGAAGAGTCTGGACAACTGGAAGAACAAGAGTCTTGGTAACAACTCCTCCGAGTATGAGATGCTGCGGGTAAGTTTGCACCTCGCTATATCAATCTTTGCCAGCTCCACTAACACTCTTTTAGACACTTGCACTGTGCACGGTTTGCCGCCGCAACTTCAAGAACACGGTGATCAAGACATGCGGTCACGTCTTCTGCAAGGACTGCGTGGAGGAGCGCCTCACCTCTCGGTCCCGCAAATGTCCCAACTGCAACCGTTCCTTCGGAAGCAACGACCACATGCACATTACCCTATGATCTTCCCTCGCTTCCTCTGAAAATTCTCTTCTTGTATTATACCAACTTTTTTGGCCCTTTACCTCTCTTCCCTTTGGTTTCGTTGCCCCCCTCTTCCACTATATCCTCCTTTTAGTGGTCCTTTTCTGACAGGTCCATGATGCGGTGTTTGGTGGCTGGCTTTTAGCAGGACAAGGCTGGAGACGGCGTTTGATGAGTTTCGTGCTTTGGTATCCAACCCCAGAGTACTCGTGTTTCTGTGCATTTGGTGGATCTCTTCCTTCTATTTCTTGTTTCTTCTCCTGTGGCGCTGGGGCGCTAAGTGAACGGGCTGTGCTCTCTTTGGATACCCCATTTCCCTCGAGGCGCACTAAGTTCTTGTTTTCTCCCTCGGCTTGTGATTAGATCTCTGTGTCATGTAGGAATACTACGTCTAGGCGGAGGAAATGGGATATTATGATTGCAAATGCAAAGTATCATGCTGCTATGTTCCAACATTGTCGAATTCATGGCGACGATATCTCCGCAAGATCATCTTATCGTATCACTCAATCTAACAGCATCACGTGTTTACTTTGTTGCTCGCAGATGTCATGTTCATCAATCATATGCATATTCGCTAATCCAAATAATGTACATCCGTAACACCCAACCCCCCCCCCCCAAAAGCACGCTAGGTATATATATGCTGGTCTATGCAATCATGAGTTGAAAATGCGGCTATAAAGCAGCTCGTGTCGACCGACCCAAAGGTCCAACGCAGGAACCACCTGCCCCGCCTGCTCAACCTCCGTATCCCACTCGCGCTGAATGCGCTTCATAATAGTATCCTGCAGCGTCTGACTCGCCAAGATATTCTGCGCCTGGTACGGGCCCATCACCGAGGCCCGCACCGCAGCACTTAGAACCGCCTTGGCGTGGTTCAGGACGAAAATATACGCCGCTTGGTGCAGGTCCAAGCCCATGGCTCGACAGACGACTCCCCACAGCGGAGCGAAGTGACCCTTGGGGCCGAGATCATATTCATTATCTTCGTCGTTGTAGGACTTGAGCGCGTCGGAAAAGTCATCGATGGCGGTGACGGCTACCTCGGCGCCGGTATCGGTTGCGGCAGGGACGGCGAAACTCATGCGGAATGCGCGCTCCCAGACACCAATGAGCGCGCGGCCTTGCGCGACGCTGGCGCGTTGGGCGACAATGCAGGGTGTTGAGGCATCGAGGTCGTTGTCGAGGGTTTCGAGGGTGTCGGGTTCGCGGTAGCCTGCGAGGACGTAAGGGAGAGATGTGCTGGCGATGGAGGCGATGGAGAGTTTGAGGAAGCGGTGGAAGGAGGTTATGGGGTTGGCGCGGAGAGGCTTGTTGTGTGCGAGGTAAGACTCCAGCCCGCTGGAGTATGCGAAGGAGCCCAATGGGAGGGCCGAGTCGGAGAGAAGGAGGAGGGCATGGAGGGAGGAGGAGCGGACGGAGCTCGAGTGGAATTTATTCAGAATGTTATCGTGCTTATAGATATCTGGCGGGGAGGGGTTAGTATAGAACGTCTTGCTGATTCTGAAAAACCAGAATTGCTCACCGGAAGACATGGTCCATGGTGTCTTCTGGTCTGGGTGGGACGCAGGAGGACTCGGGTATTGAGAAGCGTCCAGCTGGGCCCGCAGGTCATGTAGGCGGGCCTCGAGCTGTTCGATTTCGGATTGCAGGTGTTGCGATTGAGGAGTATCGAGCAGCATTGTGAATTGTAGTGGTGTCACGTCTGGGGTAGAAAATCCGGGGAAACGGGTTGCAGCTCTGGAGCAGAGGAGAGGAAGTACAGAAAGATCGCAGAAGGCAAGAAGATCGAGGGAAGTGCTGATAAGGCGGGTTTAAGCAGTCGATAGAGAGCCGATCGGCAGAATCAAAGTGGAGAGTCGGAGACGGCCGAGCGCGCCCGGCGGATTCTCTATCAGCCCTCGTTCCAGCCAATCCATTAATCATTGCCCTTACACATGCCGACCCGACCCCTGCCAGCCACAGTCCGCTCCCGCTTGATTGGATCGCCATTATCATTTACTCGATCGAAAAACTACATACCCTCCGATATCTGACACCGCCCTATTTTGCCCGATGCGATAGGAGAGCCTCCAGAAAATCCACCCTACGTCGTGTCTGACTTGTGGCTCGTGACTCAAGACAATGTCTGGTCGGAGGGTGCTGGATGTGATCCAGTTCCTCAATGTCTCCAAATCGATTGCGGCCAAGCATCTGGCCATTCGCCAGCATCAGCTCGATGTCTACACACGAACCTCATCCTTGACCAAGGGCATTAAGGATCAGACCGAGGGGTTGATCCTGACCGCACAAGCCGCTGCCGCGTTGGCGCGTCGCTTCAACGACGAGCCCTCGCCACCTCCACCGACCCCGAGCGCGCCCTCCCGGTCGCCGACGACGCAGGCCGCCGAGCCATCGGCCGATAGACCCTCTAGCTCCCAGACCACTGCGAGTGCAACCTCTCCCACCCCAGAAAATGCCCGGATACTGCAGCGCCAGGCCGAGTTCCAGGTGCCGGGCTCCGCGGCGCAATACATTGGCGATGAGACGCCGGACAACCTGAATATTAGCCCACAGCAGGAGGTAAACTACCGACCTTCTCATGAGATCGCACCGGACTTGTCCGCCTTGCCCCGAGTGAAGCTGCCTAAAGCTGCCGGAGATACTCAAGTAATCGGACAGGATGGCTTGAATGCCGATACATTCAATGCGGCGGCAGGTGCCGAGAAACAGGAATTGTCGGAGGAGATGATGCAGGGCCTCTTCCACAGCCCGAGAGTATCACGCATGATGTCAGGGAAGCCGGCGCCCCCACCTGCGGCCCAGAGACAGTGGCCACCGGCGGACAGAGATCAGTTTGTGCGACATCAGCTCGCCGAGGCGACAAAGGCATCTGATGTCCAGACAGAGACTGCGGTCAAGTTAGAGGTGAAGGAAGTGGAGGAATGGGCGGCCAGTGTTGCAGATGATGTAACGTCACCTGCCGCTAAGGTTGTGATGGGAGAGAAGCCGGCACCATACCAGATGATGGAGTCCCGGGTGCCATCTTCTCGATTGGGTCGATTATGGCAGTATGGTGGGCTGGCAACCTCAATGGCATTTGGTGCCGTCACCGAGACTATGCGACGGGCCACTGGCGGCCAAGAGAGCGGCTCAATCATGTTCAGCGCGGGCAATATGGAACGCCTAGTAGCTAAGCTGTCAAAGATGCGTGGTGCTGCACTTAAGCTGGGCCAAATGTTGAGCATCCAAGATTCCAATATGCTGCCCGAGCCAATTCAGGTAGTCCTGCAGCGTGTTCAAGACCGCGCTGATTACATGCCCGCCTCACAACGTGATAAAGTTTTGGCCGATAACCTAGGCCCCAACTGGCGGGACCTGTTTACTTCGTTCGACGAGGTCCCCATGGCTGCCGCGTCCATCGGCCAAGTCCACGCTGCCGTGCTCAAGAGCACCGGCAAGCCAGTGGCCGTTAAGGTCCAGTATCCGGGTGTTGCCGACTCCATCGACTCTGACTTGAACAATCTCTCCATTCTTCTGACTGCCTCCCGCCTCCTCCCCCGCGGCCTCTACCTCGACAAGACAATTGCGAACGCCCGTACCGAACTCGCCTGGGAATGTGACTATCTCCGTGAGGCTGAGTGCGGCGCCCGCTTCCGCGAGCTCCTACGCGATGACCAGGTCTTCGTCGTCCCCGAAGTCATGCCCGAAGCCTCCGGCAAACAAGTTCTCACAATGGAAATGCTAGAAGGCGTGGCCGTCACTAAAATCCAAGATTTCACCCAAGAACAGCGCGACTGGATCGGTACACAGATCATGCGTCTGTGTCTTCGCGAGATTACCGAGTTCCGCTACATGCAGACCGACCCCAACTGGACTAACTTCCTGTACAACGCGCGCACAAACCGCCTCGAGCTTCTCGACTTTGGCGCCTCGCGCGAGTACCCCGAGGAGTTCATAACCAAGTACGTGCGCACACTGGTAGCCGCGTCTCACAATGACCGCACCGCCTGCCACGACCTCTCCGTCGAACTGGGCTACCTCACCGGCATGGAGTCCCAAGCCATGGCCGACGCACACGTCTCGTCTATCGTCACCATTGCAGAGCCCTTCATGCTTTCCTCGCCGGATATATATGACTTCCGGAACCAGACTATTACGGACCGCGTGCGCGCTTTGATCCCGCTGATGATTCGTGAGCGGTTGGCGCCCCCGCCTGAGGAGACGTACTCGCTGCACCGCAAGCTGAGTGGTGCTTTCTTGCTGTGTGCTCGGCTGGGCAGCCGGGTGCCTTGTAAGGAGCTTTTTGCTGAGGCTGTTCGTAAGGCTGAGGCGAAGGGGCTGGATTTGGAGGACCACAAATAGAGATGTATAAAAGATGGCTTGTATTTTTGGCTATGTATTATAGAAAACGGATTTTGTATCATATGACGTGTGACACTACTCAAAAGCATGGGACTTCACCCCTCTTTCTCTGATCTGATTTTTATACGATGGTTAGCTGTTGGCGTACTACACCGAGTCGAGAATGTGTCAGTCTTGGGACTGAGTCAGTATAGGCAGTAGCCTTTCCATGAGAGAATGGTCTTTATCATTTTGGGGCTCCGGATGAACAATACATGGGTATTTCCGAAGATCAGACGAAAGAAACACCGCCGAGACAAGATAGAATAAATCCCAACAAACAATAAGCGCCCCCGACTCCAGATCATGCATTTTCAAACATCATTCCTAACATCACCTACTCCTCAGCATCCACATCCACATCTCTTTCTTCCTCAACACTACGCTGCTCGGCCAGCCACGAAATCAACCCCGACGAGAGAGGCTCGTTCTTCAACCGCATCACCTGCTGCCGCGAACTACTCCTCTCGAACCGCACCCTCCGCTGCATCCGCTCCGCAGCCGAAGCCGCCTTGAACTTCTCTGAGCGGATCTCCGGGTGAACGGTGCGCAGCATAGATGCCCGGATGTTCTCGTAACTTTTGAACCGCGCATCTTCTCCGCGGCTGAGGGCCGTCGCCTCACCCGTACAGGCCTCCTCGTTGCCCTCCGTGACAACGCGACTGGTCGCCGGAGGGGGCGATACACACATACCACCAAGGAGGGAGATTGTCGCGTTGTCCAGGTTGTGCTGGACATTGAGGGTGTTTGAGGCTTGCACGGTGCGCCCGGACTGGGCCTGGGCCGGTGCGGAGGAGAGATGGTTCAGCTGCGCCTGTAGCATGGTGTTTTGGAGGACCATGCCATTGAAATGTAGCTGCTGCAGCGGGTTCAGGGTACTGTAGAGAGGGTAGGTCGCGTTGTAGGGTCCGCCCATGTTATAGTTACCACCCTGATTGTAGTTGTTATCTGGCGGGAGGGGATCCTCGACTGGCAACTCGATCTGTATGTCCTTATATCAGCCTCTCTTTCTACATGTATAACCTTCATCACTTTCTTAGCTTCACGTCATTTGAAACAGTATTTCTTACCTGGCGAGTGTACTTGCGCCCCGGCATCGCAATGTAATCGTCAAACGAGCTCTCCAGGGCGGCAAAATTGAAACCACGCGTTTCGTCCACAGGCTCAAAGCGCTGGCCGATCTCACTGTTGAAGTCGACCCCGCGGCGTGGCAGTGGCTGATACTGACTGAACGCGAGGAGCCAGCTTGGATACCTGCCCAGTAGAGCCTGGATGACTGGCTCAACCTCTATAGTCAGCATGAGCTGACTATTGGCGGTGGGCTTTTGGATAAGCATGACGAAAGTGAACTCGCGCGGGAGACCAGAGCATTGCAAGTTGTTCTCCTCTAGTGACCAGACGATCTCACCGGCCTCGACGTCGTAATGAGGACCGCAGGGGCTTTTGAGTGTGCGTGCTGAACCCTGGATGCGCATCATCTCGTACCGTCGGTATCGGGCGCTGGTACTACCAGAGGGAATCACGCTGGCGCTGACGGGTGTCTCTGAGACTCCCAAGGATCCAGCCAGGCTGAAGGTCCACTCCATAGTCTCTGGAGAAACATGGCCGTAGATCAGATGTGGTGCGTGCATGAGAAAGCGCGGGTTGCCAGGAGGAAAGCCGTGAGGATACTGCGGAGATGAGGAGATCTTATGGTTGCCCCTGATAGTGGCTTTGATGATAGCAGACTTGAATCGGTGCTCGAGTGTGTGCGGAGCATGGAAGACGAAGCTGATTGCAAGGAAATCAACATGATCTGCGTCTTTATCCGAGACAGCTTCACTGGCGAAAAAGCCATGCTGAAGCCGCGATACGTGCGCGGTGATATATGCATCACCAGGTAGTCGGCGCTCATAGATGCAGGGCCGATTGACCAGAAGACGAGGGTTGGACATGTTGGGATCGAGCGGTGTGAGCTTTTTCTGCTTGTTGATGGGATTTGGTGGTAAAGGATCAGACGGTTCAGGTTGAGATAATCCAGGTCGCTGAGGAAGTTGAGACGGTTGATTTGACTTGGGCAGGCCATTTTTGGCCGGGCGTGGAACCCCCATTGTGGACAGGCAACGATTAAGGGACGACAACACCGCAGTCCCTTAGTAAATATGGGTGTTTGCTCTCCATGCCTTTGAAGATAGATTGAGCTTCAGCTTTAACAACTGTATAGATGTTCAGCATCTGAAGAGTAAATCGTACACACGGGACATGACTAACTATAGCTTTGCCGAGACATCGAGATGATGTTAGTTATCAGGCGGGATGTCATGTGTATGGTCCCGTCAGGTGAGTGGGTGAGGGTGGATGGCCATAATGACCTAGCGTGGTATTTAAGAGCTCCATAACAGGCTTCGTGCTGGGATATTCCTCAGATCTGAAAGAATGTCTTTGATTGAAGAGAGTTGAATGGATGATTATCTTGAAGTAGAAGTGGATCGATCGACACTAAAGTTCCTTGTAGACTAGGGCCGGGGTCGGGCCGGGTTAACAGATGATCCGAACCCACCGTTGAAATCCGCCGAGGCTCCGCCAACTTGCTCCAAACCTTTCTGGGGCACTGTGTCTATTGCATGAATTCCCCTGGAAATTGACTTGTTGGGGTGGAAGCTGTGCGTATATTCAATTGAGCTGCAGATCACACGGGACTGGTGTGCATATCAACTAATACTAACATATGCTTATAGCCCTTCGCCATCTGTACTATATTGTGCTGGATGTTGATTGCAGTCGTGATTCAAATTGGCTGATTTCGCTATTTGCACGCTGTTTCGTTAATACCTGCTGCATTGAGCTCGTAGAAGTTCGCCTTTACCGGGTACCTTGTCGACTGGTCGGAGAAAGTCAAGCTAGGTCATCCATCGTCGTCAAGCTCGGCCGTGCCATTCGTTTCTGCTTCAATCCTTCACGTAGCAGGGCTTGCACTCATTAGTCCTTTGGAGTTCATCTTCTCCTTTGTTTCCTCATACTACCATGCTTTCTGCAGGTGTAACACGCTTGCTGCCCGCTTCCCGGGCTGGCCACAGCCTCTGCTTGTTGCGCAATACTGCACGTCTCTCATTCCAGCCACATGGCCAGCTCTATCATCATGGACCTGCACTCCGGTCTCGATGCATGTCTGTATTGACTTTGTCACCTACTCAGGGCCATCTGCGGTTGGGGTGAGTTGCCTTGATTCTTCCAACTGAATACGGTCTGACGTTGCATCGCAGGATTTCAAAACCTCGGAGCTTCTTGACTTTTATGCCAAAGAGATGGTCGACATCACAAACCCCTGAAGACCCCAAAAACCAGGTCTCCGAAGAGTATGTTGTCTAGGACCCCCTCCGTCGTGATGATCACGCGACACTGTCTAACCAGAGTCAAGGCCAAAATCTACCACACAGCGAATTCTTTCAAAAATTCCAATGGCCAAGAGCCATGAGAACATCTACACCATCCCTAATATCCTCACCTTCTCGCGGCTGGTTGCGGCACCTGTGGTAGGGTATCTGCTTGTCCATGACTACCACGCAGCCGCCCTGTCGCTCTTCGCTTATGCGGGTATCACCGATCTAGTCGATGGCTGGATTGCTCGAAAATACAATCTACAGACGGTCGTGGGAACCATCATTGATCCGATGGCTGACAAGCTGCTCATGACGATCGGAGTGGCTTGTCTGGCGGTGAATGGCTCTCTTCCGGGTAGGTGATGGATGGCGCATGAGGCTTACTGTCCCTTGATTCTATCTCTGCAAAGCGTTCTGACGTGTTTGCAGTGTGGCTGGCCGTTATCATCCTCGGTCGCGATGTTGGCCTAGCCATCTCGGCTATTTACTATCGTTGGATCTCACTCCCACCTCCAAAGACGATGGCTCGCTACTGGGATTTCTCCCTTCCCTCTGCCGAGGTCAAGCCCACCGAGATCTCCAAGATCAACACTGCCTTGCAATTGGTTCTGGTCGGGACGGCGATCGGCCTGCCTGTGGTGCCTGAGGCAATCATTAGTGCTTGGCATTTGAGTGAGGCCATGACTGGATTTCAGTACGTTATGCCCCTGTTCATGCTTATTCTTCGTTGTCCCCGTCGTTGCCCTCGGTTTTGTATTTGTTTGAAGATGAATGGTGTCTGTGGTCGCGGTATAACCCACTTGCTGGTCGGAGTTGGTACATACGACCATAGGGTGTGGAGAACAGGGCTTCCCGTCCGCTCAGCCGTACTTAAGCCACACGCCGGCCAGTTAGTAGTATGGTGGGTGACCACATGCGAATCCTGGCTGTTGTATGTTTTTTTTTTTGTTTTTCCATGTTCTTTTTCTTTTCTTTTTGATGTTATCATCTCACTGACCCGAGTTTTGTAGGTATTTGGTCGCGGCCACCACCATCTGGTCCGGCATGAGCTACGTCTTCTCTAATAACGCAGTCAAAATCTTGACCAAAGAGGAGATTCAGAAGCGTATCGCTCAGGCGGAATCGAAGCGTAAGCATTAAGTTGATCAGCTGATTTCCCTCGCATCGTGTCAGCCGTGTACACTACAACCTCTGCATTCAGGCGCTTTGGCTTTTGTATAGCTTGTTTCTCTTGCATTCTCTTCAGTTCTACTGAATCGCATTCCATAATTTCAATGTTGAAGAATACTCAACCTGAATCAAGCCCCCAAGTAAATAAAGGGCGTCCGTGAAAGAAAATCCTTTGGCTTTTTTCTCCTGCGTGCTTGAACAGCTTCATGTAAAGCGAAGGCGACATCGCCTAGGTGTCCGTGACTATTTAGCTGCTGGCCAACAATCTCGTAGAATTGCCGGCGGACTTCCATCGCAGCATTATCCCTCACCTCCCAGATCGTTCCAATAACATGTGGAAACCCAGCCAACTGAAACGCACTTGCAATGTGAATCGTTTCGTCGAGCAGCTCGCTCGAAGAATTTTCCGCTGTCGAACACGCTGAGAGGTAGGTAATGCGAGCCCTATCATGATTCAATGATGCTAGATCTCTTACTGTGAGCAAGGAAGGCTCTTGTCCCTCACTTGGCGAAGCTATTTCAGGGGCGCTGGCTGAGGGATCGGTTGGGTTTGATTGGCCATGACAAGAGAAGTGAATCAAGTCGTGCTTTGGCAGCTCTTCCAAGACAATTTGACAAGGAGGTTCATGGAGGACAGTAAAGCCGGTGTTATTTCCGAGCCCTTCCTTGATCGAATCAAGCTCTGCAGTTGTTTCAAGGATCTTGCGGTCTTCCTTTTTGGGCGCAGCGATCATGAGGACTTTCGGATCTCGATGGTAGGGGACTGAGTCTGCTCTTTGCAAGGAGAAATCTAAGGCTTGGAAGGTAGGTGTATAACTGGATATCACATAGTCCATCGCATTATATGTGTTGTTTCCAGCTGCATGCAATGGCAAGAGACCTATGTAGCCGCTCATGACCCAACAGATGCGAGGAAGAGGTCCAGTGGGTCGCTGTGCTTGAATGAAGCCTAATTGAGTCAAGACAGGACACACGGCAACATCCCACAGCCATTCCGGATCTTGAGTCAAAGGTTGCCAAGCCAATACGTGTACTGGCCTGCTATATGCGGAGTAGACTCAGTCTAATAATATGGGCGCATGGAAGGGTGGTCTGCCAGGCACCTTGTATTGTTAGGTAAGTAGAAGACTGGAGATCATTGGACGCACGCTTCTGACCACTAGCACCAATGGGATGGGTGCTTCAAACAGAAATTAGAATGCTCCAGAGGTTGTAAAATTTATAAATGGTTCAGCACCAGATAGAGCCAACCAAGATGGGAAGAAAATTTTGAAAAGCAAACGATGGCGGATGAAATAGCATGAGCCTGCAGAAAGACCCAAGATATTACACTATTCTGCTCATGAGAAGATGTTAATTGAGTGCATTGCTATGGTCGGCCGGTGCAATACATGTCTTGAGAGACCTTGATCTACAAGGACAATCTAGTGTAAATTCGAATCACGAAGAGCAAGAGGGCTTGTAGATTGCAGATGTGTGTGGCTCGGCGAGGAATTATGCCCGGATCAAGCCCTACGCGGAGCACTTTGCCCGCTCAGACAACTGGGGCACATGACATTTTGCTCGCATATCATGAAGCTTGTGGGAAGTAGAATTAGAGCGGATCGCAGCTCCCATGCGGCACTGGGCTGAAAGCCTAGAGGTACTAGAGCCTTCAGCCAATCGAGTTGGTTATCGAATGACATAGGACTTGGTTGTAGGCAGTCTTATGTGTGCACGATCTACTCGAGTCGCCCTCTATGAAGCGATATAGTTTGGGCATTGCCAGCATCTCATGATCCTTCCTTTTCCTACCCCTGGGATCATGCCTGCTGCGCACATTAATACTACACATGCAGAAGCACGGTCTTCCGTGCACGTGCGCTGCAACACCCGTGAGTGTGATGAGTCGAGCCAACATGGACAGGTGCAGGTGGCCATTGGTTCCTCGACCGCGGTGGAGTAGAAATGACGGACATTTTGAGTAAACCGATCCACGCTAATCAGGGTTCAGCAGTTGGAAAAAGGGGCCTAGACCGAGATTACTTAGGCACCCAGCATGTGCTAGTCTACAACTGTACTCCGTACGTGTAGGCAACTCCTGGAAGCGTTTCAGGTCTTGATGACTCGGTTTGAATAGACTCGATATTAAAGGACTCGAGAACTGTTCTACAAGAATTATAGATTACAACAACTTGAAACGAGGGATAAATTTTGAGAAATGCAGCAGGAGAATCTGGGATTGGGGCGCCAGAGCGATATCAGCGCCTGCAATCAGATGCCGAGCGGTGTAGATGGTGTGAATATGTAGATGGCCGTTCATGCAGAGCCCAAAGTTCCACGTCAGATCGGAGAGATCGTTGCCATCTGGGTCGGGTCGCAGTCCTCGGGGAGAAATGTGTGCCGCCAAAAGTCGCCGAGGCCTTGAATCAGCCGGCGCATGGCGGGGTCCCGATGCGGGTGGCGCATTACTCGCACAGAGTTTCTCTTTTTTTTTTGGACGGAATTTAAGACTCCGGATGGATACATCAATTCCCTTTTGTTTTGTAAGCAGGCTGGATTGCTTACAAGAAGGGAAAAGGCCTGCATCCAGCTGTGGAATGACCAGATCCACCCTCTTAACTCCTATTAATCGGCATCACAGGCGTGAAGAGGGAATCGTTAGGAATTCGATATTCCGTAGTCAAACACATTCTGCTGACAGAAGTCCTTTTTTTTCCTTTAATTCTTTTTTTGCGGCGTGCTGATTTGCTGACAGGCCATCGGCTAAACGCCGGGTCTAACTCCGTTGAAAAAAATCTGCTGCGTTGACCCGCCCAGACATTTTTCTTTTCGGTTGATCTGACTTTTGTTCCAATTGTTCACGTTGAATCACCCTGACTCATGAAAAGATCCACTTCAGCTTCTCGTTTCTTCCTGCAGAATGGCCCCGGGGGACCACCGGGCCCAAGAGACTGCTGTGATTGAAGCATTCCTCCCTCATTGCCGTAGACTGACAAATCCAAGACACGGAGATAGTGGCGTTTGCATAAGCAGCCAGTCGCTTGAGTGATAATACCAGATCTTTATCAATAATAGCCTCCAGAGTATATAGCCAGGTTTAAATGGGTAAACGGTGCTTCTCTTTTCACGGTTCTTCGTGACCTCATATTCTCTCCCCTCTCCACTCTTTTTTTCCGAACCTACTTCCTTTCCTTTCCTACTCTCTTTGATCGGTGATTCTGTATATACACCTCCCTAATATCACACACACACACACTCCATCTACCTAATATCTCTCCATCGAGCATTGAGCCTGGCGAGTAGACACTCCCAACCATCAGGCGAGATGGACGCCAACCATCAAGCCGCGGAGGCCCACGAGTCCCGCAACCAGACCACCTCAAACTATACAACTTACTCCTCGTACACCACCGAGGAAACTATCCACTACCCCTCCGAATCTTCTAGCCATGCCAACAATGCAATTGTCGATGAATCCAACCAGCCCTCTTTCGAAGAGATCAACGCTCCGACCGCAGCGCCCATCGACCCGGTCTCTACCACTTCCTCGACCGCATCCCATGAAAGCGTCGAGGGCCGTTGGGGTGAGACAGATGCGGGTGAGCCTGTCTCTCACCGCGGTGCAATGGAAGACTTGGAGGAGATGCGCCGTGAATTGACGCGCCTGAGCTTGCATCGCACCCGTTCAACGACCGCCAAAAGCGTGCGCCGCCTCAAATCTCGTGCCAGTCGCAAGGATGAGGAGAAGGTCCTGGAAGGCGCCTCTGATGCGGAGTCCGAGGCTGGCTTCGACCTGGGTGAGTTCTTGATGGGCGGCCATCTCGAGCGCCGAACCACCGCCGGCGAGCCTGCTAAGAAGGTCGGTGTCGTGTTCAAGAACCTCACTGTCAAGGGTGTGGAGACGGGTGCGTCGTTTGTCCGGACTCTACCTCATGCAGTGGTGGGAACTTTTGGTCCTGATCTGTATAACGTCATTTGCCGGTTCGTGCCGCAGTTGCGGTTCGGCAAGAAGCCTCCCATTCGCGACCTGATTCATGACTTTTGCGGTACAGTGCGCGAGGGCGAGATGATGCTCGTGCTGGGTCGTCCTGGTGCAGGCTGTACTACCTTCCTGAAAGCCATTGCGAATGACCGCGGTGCCTTTGCGGCAGTCGAGGGCGAGGTTATCTACGGTGGCATCTCGGCGGAGGATCAGAACAAGTACTTCCGTGGCGAAGTCAATTATAACCCCGAGGACGACCAGCATTTCCCCTCGCTCACGGTCTGGCAGACGCTCAAGTTCTCGCTCGCTAACAAGACTCGTAAGAACGACCGCGAGAGCATTCCCATCATTATCGATGCGCTGCTCAAGATGTTCGGTATTAGCCATACCAAGAACACCCAAGTCGGCAACGAGTATGTTCGCGGTGTGTCTGGTGGTGAGCGCAAGCGTGTTAGCATCGCTGAGACACTGGCTACGAAGTCGACGGTTGTTTGCTGGGATAACTCGACTCGCGGTCTGGATGCTAGCACTGCCCTGGACTATGCCAAGTCTCTGCGTATTATGACCGACGTCAGCAAGCGAACGACCTTGGTGACTCTGTACCAAGCTGGAGAGAGCATCTACGAGCTCATGGACAAGGTCATGGTCATTGACCAGGGCCGTATGCTCTACCAGGGTCCCGCACATGAAGCCCGTCAGTATTTCATCGACCTCGGCTTCTACTGCCCAGAACAGTCCACCACAGCCGATTTCCTGACTTCTCTCTGCGATCCCAATGCCCGTCAATTCCAACCTGGCTGTGAAGCTTCGACCCCTAAGACTGCTGAGGAGCTGGAGCAGGTCTTCAAGAACAGCAAGGCTTACCAGTATATCACGAACGATGTCGCCACCTATGAAAAGCGCCTTCAGGAGACCGAGCAGGAAGACACCCGTACCTTCCAGAAGACCGTCGCCCAGTCTAAGAGTAAGACTGTGTCCAAGAAATCGCCCTACACTGTCTCTCTGGTGCGCCAGGTCGCGGCTTGCGTCAAGCGTGAATTCTGGCTGCTCTGGGGTGACAAGACCTCGCTCTACACCAAGTACTTCATCATCATCTCCAACGGCCTTATTGTCTCGTCTCTGTTCTACGGTGAATCCCTGGATACCAGCGGTGCTTTCTCTCGCGGTGGTACTCTCTTCTTCTCGATTCTGTTCCTTGGGTGGCTTCAATTGACCGAGCTGATGCCCGCTGTGTCTGGGCGAGGCATCGTCGCTCGTCACAAGGACTACGCTTTCTATCGCCCGTCTGCTGTCTCAATTGCCCGTGTGGTCGTTGATTTCCCCGCTATCTTCGCCATGGTCGTTCCGTTCACGATTATCGTCTACTTCATGGCTGGTCTTGATGTCACGGCGTCGAAGTTCTTCATCTACTTCCTGTTCGTGTATACGACTACCTTCTGTATCACCTCGATGTATCGGATGTTTGCGGCTCTTTCGCCAACTATCGATGACGCTGTGCGGTTCGCTGGTATCGCGCTCAATCTGCTCATTCTCTACGTCGGCTATGTCATTCCAAAGCAGACTCTTGTGAATGACTCGATCTGGTTCGGATGGCTCTTCTACGTCAACCCCATCTCATACAGTTATGAAGCTGTTCTGTCTAATGAGTTCTCTGACCGTACGATGGAGTGTGCCCCTTCTCAGCTCGTTCCCCAGGGTCCTGGTGTGGTGGATGGATACCAAGGATGTGCTTTGACTGGCTCTCCTTTGGGTCAAACATCTGTTCCTGGTAGCCAGTACTTGGAGGTGAACTTCCAGTTCACCCGCCATCATCTGTGGCGCAACTTCGGTGTTGTCATTGCTTTCACTGTGTTGTACATCCTGGTCACCATTTGGGCAGCCGAGTTCCTCTCTTTCGTTGGCGGTGGCGGCGGCGCTCTGGTCTTCAAGAAGTCCAAGCGTGCGAAGCAGGTCACTCAACAGACTGCAAAGAATGACGATGAGGAGAAGGTCTCTGATTCTAATGGTAATGCTGCTCTCGCCCGTGGTGAAGCCCCTTCAAGCTCCGACAACGCCGCTTTCAACCGTCTCTCCTCCAGCGAGCGCTGCTTCACCTGGTCCAACGTCGAGTATACCGTCCCCTATGGCAACGGTACCCGCAAACTTCTGAACAATGTCAACGGTTTCGCCAAACCTGGTGTTATGATCGCCTTGATGGGTGCCTCCGGAGCTGGCAAGACTACTCTGCTGAACACCCTTGCTCAGCGTCAGAAGATGGGCGTGGTGAAGGGCGATATGCTCGTTGATGGTCACCCGCTTGGCGCTGACTTCCAGCGTGGTACCGGTTTCTGCGAACAAATGGATCTGCACGACAACACCTCTACAATCCGTGAGGCATTCGAGTTCTCGGCCATCCTTCGTCAGGACCGTAGCACTCCTCGCCAGGAGAAGATCGACTATGTCAACCGGATCATTGACCTTTTGGAGCTCGAGGACATCCAGGATGCCATCATCGGTTCTCTCAATGTCGAGCAGAAGAAGCGTGTCACTATCGGTGTCGAATTGGCCGCCAAGCCCAGTCTCCTTCTCTTCCTTGACGAGCCTACCTCCGGCCTCGACAGCCAAGCCGCATTCTCGATTGTCCGTTTCCTCAAGAAGCTCTCTCAGGCTGGCCAGGCCATCGTCTGCACCATTCACCAGCCTTCGTCCATGCTCATCCAGCAGTTTGACATGATCCTCGCGCTCAATCCTGGTGGCAACACCTTTTACTTCGGACCCGTTGGACACGACGGTGCCGCTGTTATCAAGTACTTCGCCGACCGTGGCTTCGTCTGCCCGCGCTCCAAGAACGTTGCCGAGTTCGTCCTCGAAACCGCCGCCAAAGCCACCCAGCGCAACGGTAAGCAAATCGACTGGAACGAGGAATGGCGCAACTCGGATGAGAACAAAGCCATGCTCGAGGAAATTGAACACATCAAGACCAAACGCAGCCAAGTCCCCGTCGAAGAAACTGGTGGCTCGCATTACGAATTCGCCGCCCCAACACCCGTCCAGATCCAGCTCCTCACCAAGCGTCTATTCCTCCAATACTGGCGTGATCCCAGTTACTACTACGGCAAGCTTTTCGTTAGTGTCATCATCGGCATCTTCAACGGTTTCACTTTCTGGATGCTGCCGAACACTGTCGCTTCCATGCAGGACCGCATGTTCTCCGTCTTCCTGATCATTCTGATCCCTCCCATCGTAATGAACTCCGTCGTCCCCAAATTCTACATCAACCGTGCCCTGTGGGAGGCTCGTGAATATCCCTCCCGTATTTATGGCTGGGTTGCCTTCGCCACTGCCAGCGTTGTCTGCGAAATCCCCGCCGCCATTGTCACCGGCCTCGTCTACTGGTTGCTCTGGTACTACCCTGTCGGTTTTCCGACAGACTCGTCCACCGCCGGCTACGTCTTTCTCATGTCGATGCTATTCTTCCTCTTCCAGGCATCCTGGGGCCAGTGGATCTGCGCATTCGCACCCTCGTTTACCGTCATTTCTAACGTGCTGCCATTTTTCTTCGTCATGGTCAACCTGTTCAACGGTATCGTTCGACCCTACGCCGATTACCCAGTCTTCTGGAAATTCTGGATGTACTACGTCAATCCGGTGACCTGGTGGCTGCGCGGTGTGCTCTCTGCCGTCCTGCCAGATGTCCCGATCGAATGCGCTACCCTGGAAACGACCCGCTTCAATCCCCCGCCCGGACAGACCTGCGAGCAGTACGCTGGCAACTTCGTCAATCAAATCGCCAAGGCTGGGTACCTGGTCAACAAGTCTGCTACCCAGGACTGCCAGTATTGCCCCTTCACCACGGGTGCGGAGTACATGGCCAATCTGAATGTGCACCGCAACGACAAGTGGCGCTGCTTCGGTATCTTCTTGGCCTTTGTGATTATCAACTGGATTCTGGTGTACTTCTTTATCTACACTGTGCGTATTCGGGGCTGGAGCTTCGGATTCGGGTATCTGTTTGGTCTGGCTGGTATGTTGATTGAGGGTGTCAAGGGCCTGTTCAAGCGGAAGGAGAAGAAGGATGCTCAGCAGTGAGCTTGGCCTGCTTTTCTATCCGTCTTCCTCTCCTTTTAACCATGTCTCGGGCTTCACTTTCTTAGGTTCTTTTCCTTGGTTCTTACTACTGATATCTAATGCATTTACATGGAGCGTGTGTGCATGGCAAATGGTCTATCATCATGGCCCTTTTTATATCTACCTACCTTTTTTGTGTCGTTTTTCATTCGTTTTCTTGATTTGTTGTGCCACTTGATGGCATCTGAAAAGTACATACTTATTTAGCCTCTAATGAAGAGCATTGGATATAAAATCTACCCTCTGGCTGCCCAACCATTAACAAGTAGATCCTACTTGAGGGGATGTCTGCATTGTTGAATGAAGAAGAATCGCCCAAAAACAGGAAGAAAACCAATGAATTTACAGTGGAGTTAGATGGTCAAGGAGCAATATCATCGACCTAGTTCAACTGACTTAGTAATATATTACATCAAGGAATGAGTTATTAAAACTAGCTTACACGAGCGCCAGCTGGGGAATGGTTTCTATGTTTGGAATACACTTTCAATGATGTCTCTTCATTCTTTGTTCGGCTGGACTATCTCTCGTAGGAATCCATATGCATAGTCCCTTCCGTACGCCGTCAGCAAGATACTCGGTCAAACTCATCTTCAATGCGGACTCTAACTCCATGTCATGATGAAACCGATGCGAAAGTTGCCGGTGATCTATCGAAAGGAACAGAACCCCTCCAAAGCAGGAGAAGGGTTATGTTCAATCGCCAAAGCACGCTGTTTTGTACATAGAGAGCGTCTAACCCTGGAAGAACCACGGGGCCCGACTCTCAGTCAGGTCTGCCCCAGGAAGCTTCATTGGAACCGGGATGGTATCTTGGAAGATCTTGGCCGGGAGTTGCTGAGGTTGCGACTGACTGGTCGGAGAAGCATCGACAGTGGCGGTGGTAGCATCGCTCAGTTGGGAGTTTGCTCTACCTCCGGGTGTAGTAACCGGGACCAGTACGCCACACTCCCAGTTGCGGCAGTTCAGCTTTGGCTGACCCGTAACGCGATCTTTGACCAAGCGGCCCCTTTCAAAGTGTTAGTAATGATTGCGATTGTGCACAAAGGTAGTACTGCAAACTGACCAGGCACTCTCTGAGATATTGGCACTTCCGACATATGCCCAACCCTTGCATTCGTTGCCGCCGGGCATCTGAATGGGCTCCGCTGGCCAAACGTACATGAGCTATACTCATATTAGCATTCTGGTTGCATAGAGAACAGATCGGGCTACTAACCTTGTTGTGCATCAAGACTCCCCGCTCACTCTCACAATCCTTCAAGACCCCTCGAGGAAACTTTGCGCCCAGCCACCAACGCGACGAGAAACATACAGTCCCTGCAGTTCTATTGGGTTCCGAGTGAGCGAGGCGCACAGTCTGGTCGGACGGGAAATACACGTGGAAACGATTTTGCCATTCCTGGCCCAACTCGAGCATCTCTCTGCGCCGATGATCATTGGTCTGGGTAGATGAATCTCGGGTATTTCGAAGGGTGTAGTCCGTGAGGCCATCGTCACCTGCATTCGTTCAGCTGAGGTCTGTGGTCTGTCTCCATACCTGGATACGCGGACTTACCTCTAGCGGCAAGATAGATTGCCCGAAGGAACTCATCGGTCAGAGAACCGACGGAGGAAGCCTATTTCCAGGTCAACTTTGAGGTTCAACAAGTAAAGAGAGTTTTATCCTACCACATAGGCAATGTTGATTGGTCCGTAGGGTCGCAAACCCAACTGCGTCACAGCGCGTCCGAGCCCACAGTACCCGGTCCGTTTCCACGATTCGCCGGTTCGCGAGCCGCCACTAAAGCGACGTTAGCCGACAGTCTTTCAGAGAAACATGTCTTTCGAAAGCTTACATAGTGTGTACAAATGCATATCGCGCCGTATTGCTGAAATCGAAATCATCTACTGCCTTGATTGCGTCTTCGCGCAATTTGGAGGCCTTCAAAAAGTAGATCAAATCCTCTTTGAAAGCGGTGTTCGACTCCTCAACCTTGACACCCAACTCAATTCTGGGCAAATCGATCAAAAATACAGTCTAGACCTCTTTATTAGTAGATGGAGAGTGACAAACTGGACATTGATACTTGCATTTTCCATTAGGCCATTCTCACCCCAGTCAGTGCAGGTGAGATTTGCAGTTGGAACGGCAATGCGAAGGTACCCGGGGTGATAGAAGAGCATTAATTTTGAGTGCATATTATTCACCTGGGGCTCCATAGGTGGGAAACACAAGTCAAGATTAGGCATCGAGCCTGTCTCCTCCCGGTATTGCCTGCGCTGCATCATTATAAGCTTCCCTCACTTTTTCAGAATGCTCCAGGAAAGAACTCTGCTTACCGTAGCTTCCTCCTTCGCACCCATGATGAGAATAAACTTGGTCTTCTTGGTATCGAACTTGGAAAAAAGCCATTCGATATCCCACAAGAATGAGCTGAGTACCGCGACTTTCAAGTCCTCCCGTTGGAAGACCTCCTCAATAGTAATGTCATTGCCGGTGCGAGGGCTGTACGCCACATGTGTCTTTTTGACGGCGCCCAGGGGATACTGCATGACGGGCCGAGGAGTTGGCTGAACCCTGTTGGTAGGATCGTTGGCAGCGAAATTGTTGTAGACATTAGTATTTGAAGTTTTGGGTGGCAAAGGAGCTCGAGCATTCAAAGAGGGCTTTAGATCAGTAATCTTAGAAGTCTTTTGGGCGGGCTGAGTAGAAAGAGGGGAGCTCCCAGCTTTGCGTTTGGCGAAGCGGGCAAGACGTTCTTGCTCCATCTGCTTCCGATCCATACCAAAAATGCCTTGGGGGTTGGGGGTTACGGGAGCGGTGGTCTCGGTGACATCCACTGGCTTTAGATGAGATGCCGGTCCCTGAATATCGGAGATCTCGGCGCTGTGCTGAGCGCCCTCAAGGGACATCGCAATTGCTCGCTTAAGGTCCTCATCGCTGTCATCATCTTCTGCATCCTCAACAATCTCCGCATCCGTATCGGAGCCGATGACAGACTTAGACTTTGGGAAGATTTCCTGGAGGTCTGAATCTGAGCTCGAGTCGTTGGTAAGGTCTACGACCTGACTCTTTAGAGGCTGGGGCAACCGAGGTGATCTTCTTGGCTGATCGGGCATCATTTGAGGATTGGCAGCTTGAGAGGAACTTTTTGACGGGGTCTTTGAGCCACTTTCAGTTGCACGGCTCTGGTCTTGGGTTTGTGAAGATGACTGGGAGGACGACTGGCGGGCTTGCTTTTGGAAGTCTTGAAGTGAGGCTGCGATGGCCGCTTCCAGCATTTTCTTCTCAAGCGCTGATGGATCCATCATCGAAAAGCCGAAGCCGTGAGCCTGAAAGGCGATTGTTTGAAAAGTAAAATAGATGAGGAGATGGGCGTAGGGCTGCTGAAATATGAAGTGTTGAGGTGTGAGGTGTTGACAAAGCCAAGGCACGAGGATGACAAGAGGTGAGCGACAAGAAACCTCAGCTTCAAAGGCTGGGGTGGGGTGGATGCCAGGTAAGGCCTACATTAGATTGGAAAGATACTCAACACCCAATCTCAGAAGGAAATCTCCAGGTTCCGAAGATATTCTCCCTTTGTTGATGCTCTCAGTTGTTGGAAGGTCTCAGATGCTCCGCCCCTAACAGAGACGAAGTAATCACGTGACTATGATGTATGCTGTGTTTCTTGGGCCAAATAGTGACAATAACCAAAAAAGAAAATAGACGGGCGACAAGCAGCTGAGAATTATTAAAGCTCCCAATTCATTGAAAGTAAACTATGTGTATGCCCTTTGTTGAGAATGGTCTAGGGTGCGGTCCTCAACAAGACTTCCCACTCTCAACCCGCCCACTAATATACATATCGGAAATTTGGATTCTCACGATCGGTAAGGTCCTCGAATGCCAGTTCGTGCGAGATTTCTGCCGAGGCCTGCACCTTGGACCGATTCCGTGCCATCAAGATGATTCGGGTCAAGACCACCAGAGCAACATAAACAGCATAGACCACGATGTGCGTCAGGAAACCATGCAGGTATCTGGGAGCATCTTTGCTCTGGAAAATTTGGGGAGCGATGAGATTACCGACGGCCCAGCCAATGAAAACCATGGTCATTGTGATACCCTTCTTTGTTTGACCGGCGACGTTGCGCGTGATCAGCGAGATAATCATGTTACCTTCGGCCAGGAAGAACTGCGTGCAGTAGAACGCGATGAGCATGCCACCTGCATTCGAGGCAGTTGGGGTGACGACAAGGATCACGATTGTCCCGACCAGAGCGGGAATTGCACAAAGCTGTATTCGTCATCAGCTAAAAGTGGTCCGTTGAATCGATCGTTGAACTCAGGGAACTTACAATCATAACGAAGCATGTCTGCTGGAATCGTTGGGCTGCCCAGGCCGATCCGACCATGATCAGAATGGTCCAGGCTCCTTGGGCAATGTTGAGCAGCTGTGTCTGCAGGAGCGAGAAGCCAAATTGTTGGATGATGAGGTTGGAGAATACACCGAGACCACCAATAACTAGGTTAGCCACGGTGATGAGCAAGACGCAGCACCAGACAAAGGGGTCTTTGAGAGCCTCGACGATTTGGTATTTCTTGTACTCTCGGTTCTGGATACCAGTCTCGTTTTTGCGCACTCGCTCAATCATCAGACGCTTGTCCTCTTCACTGAAGCACTTCGCTGACAATGGGCTATCGGGGAGAAGGATGCCAATGAAGAAGGACCAGACGCATGTGGCAAGACCCAGGATTAGGAACAATAGTTGCCAATTTTTGATTGGTCCGTTTTGAAAATGCGATACTCCAAAGGCCAGCAGACCACCGATCTGTAGTTGATTAGCTTTAGTATTCCTTCGAAACCTTGACAAGGACTGTTATTACCATCAAGGATACACCCGACATGCAATACCAGATCGCGTTCAAGACTGATTGCTCCTCTCTCTTATACCACATTGCAGTCCTGGGTACAAAAACTTGAGAAAGGGAATCTTTAGTCATAGGGTCACGGATGTACTTACAGCAGCATCATAGCTGGCTGGACGCAGCTTTCGAAGAAACCCAAGAGAAATCGAACAGCCATGAGCGATCCAAAGCGGGTCGACGCAGCAGAACATGCCACTATAGCCCCCCAGAAGAATACATTGACGGAGAGCATCTTGGCTAGAGGAAATTTCTGTAGGAGAAGATTCTGAGGGTATTCGCCCACAAGAATGCCGATATATAGGATGGTCCCAAGCCATGAATACTATACGCACGATAATTAGCGAGCGAACAAAAGGGATACCCAGTACAAAAGACCTACATCCTGTCCCACTAGGTGCGCATCTGTCTTGATACCCATGATAGAGGCATAGTTCAAAATCCCCTTGTCGAGGGACTGGCAGAAGTAAGTGATCACCTGAATGACCAGGATGCGCCGGGTGATCTTCCAGAAGAGCCGCCTGTCGGTGGCAGCGTCGATCTCAATGCCCAGATCTTCTGCAAGAGGGTTGGCTTTCTCTTTGATATCTAGAGTGTCGGATGCCGCATTGTGGTCGGAGGGCAACTCCTCATGGCCGACGGTCGCTCCCATCTCGAACTTCTTCGAGGGCATCATGCATTGACTTGTGGAGACGTGATATGGGGCGAAGCAGAGTGATCTGGATTGTAGTCAAGCATTGCTCTCCATCGAGCTATATGTAGTGCCTTGCTCCACTCTCTCTTCAAGTGTCGCATGGTGTAGCGTGTGGGCAGCCGAAAGTTTGTCCGTCGACCCCAGGATTTGCATTTCCCCGACTTGGATGATTGGGGCCCCGCCGGAGGTGGCACCGGAGGAGAGGCCGGCGATTCTTCCGGGCAGTTGCCTGTCGAGTGACGATGCTGGATTTTCGAAGCTACGATACTATCATTTTCTCGATTAGAGCCAGATGGAGCTTGTTCCTCTGAGTAGGTACGCTTTCGAACCAAGAGATGGTGGCCCTCAGAAATCCTACCGGAGACTCTCCGGTAATTACCCCATCCTCCGGCAAGGCATTTGGTCCTATGGCTGCGTTCACGTTGCTTTGAGAAGAGGCGCTAGCAGCTAATGAGCAACAAACATCTTGCTAACGAATGAATTTCTTCGTGAGGACCTTCAAAGTTATCTTGGGCATCCTCAAACCACACGATCATGTCGTCGATCCGAGTATACGACTGTCCACAGAGCGTGACAATTAATCCGCATTTTCTCATCGAGGTCCAGTCGATCAACTCAAAGGGCCATCAGAAATGGTCAAATGTGCCCGCATACGCGACCGATGTGGCTAGTGTCAACATCGGCTCGAACAACTTTGATCGACATTCTGTCGCCGTTGCGTCGTTTGATTTTTGTGGGCCAGTCGAGGTCAAAGTCACATATACTGGAAGCCGCGTTGAATCTGCGGCTATTCGGCCTCATTCGTTTGGAATCGAGAGTCTGTTAGATGGAAGTACAGTATTTTTTACACTGGATCAACCCCGAGACTTGATGCTCGAGCTCAATGATGACAAGTGGAAAGCCCTCCACTTGCTCACGAATGGGATTGACAGCACGGCGCCCACTGAAGACAACGATAATGTCTGGTATTTCGGGCCTGGCCTCAATCAAGGCTCTGCGGCCTCCCTGGTCACTGACGGAGTCAACCTTACGATCCCTTCGGGGAAGTCCGTCTATCTAGCAGGCGGCGCCTTTATCACGTTTCGCTTGAATTTCGTCAATGTATCCAATTGTGCTATCCGCGGCCACGGTTTCATTTTGGGTCCCAAGGGCGGTTACATCCATCGGGAACTTGGCGGTGCGATCCACATGAGTCGAGCCTCACATATTCGTGTGGAGGGTGTCACGTCACTTGGTGCGATGGGGGTTCAGTCTCTCTGCTGGTGAATGCAAAGACATAGTCATCAACAAATACCGATCATTCTCTTCTGCAGGGAATGGTGATGGAATCGACTTCTTTTGCTCATCTGACGTTACCATCGAAAACTGCTTTTTGCGAAACTCAGATGACACGATTGCTCTGTATTCCCACCGTTGGGACTGGTACGGGGACTCGAAGAATATTCTCATCCAGAACTGTGTCTTGCTTCCTGATGTGGCCCACGCCATCAATATGGGAACGCATGGGAATCCCGCAAACCCGGAAACCACAAGCCAAGTGACGATAAGGAATATCGATATCTTGGATCACGAGGAGAATCAGCTGTGGTATCAAGGTTGCATAGCTATCAATGCGGCGGATGAAAATTTGTTCCACGATATTCACGTTGAGGATGTTCGAGTTGAGCGGATAACTCGCGGCCAGCTCGTGAATATTCGCGTGATGCAGAATGCGATGTGGACTACCGCTCCGGGGCGAGGCATTCGAAACGTCACGTTCAAAAATGTATCTTTGAATATGCGTGACTCCAAAATTGTCAATCCATCGATGCTACTGGGCTATGACCAGAGTCGGAGAATTGAAAACGTTACATTTGAGAATTTGGAAGTCGGTGAGAAGGAGATCCATGAGGCAATGGAAAAGCCTCGGTGGTATATGATCTCGGATTTTGTCCCTCTATTCGCCAACGAGCACGTCAAAGACATCAAGTTTATCAAAGCCGTATGAGGAGGCTTGGAAAATTTGATTTTTTTGGGGTAATCATGGTAACTTTGAATCGAAGCGGCCGCATCTCGCTCCATACTAAATCCCTTTCTCAGCTTAGCATTAGATGGACACATCAGTCGAAAACGAAACAGAATGGTTGGATGGCGGACAATATAATAGTGCATACGACCAAAGAATAAGCATTGGTCATAACAAAGACAATAGCATTTCCTGTACTTCAAGAAAGACGGTAGAGTAGAGTACCAAAACCAAGGCCATCAAATCCACCCGAGTTAGGGCCATAGTTTCCACCGCCGCCCTCAACGCCGCTAGTTGAGTTGGTGTTGACCCAGTCTCGATAGGCGTCAGTCCAAGAAGAATTGAGCCCCTTCAGTTGACCATAATGAGCTGATAGCAACTCGAAACCGGGCCGGATTGTGCCACGCGAGTTATTGGAAATAACGGTTTGGTTGCCCTGATAGCTTTCATATGGGGTGTAGGGCACATCGTAACCGACGTTGTACTTGCCGACGTATTCAGCACTATACATGGTCAGTAAATTAACCTAGAGGTCTAGCTATTGGTAAAACGCACCCATTCAGAACCTCGTTTTTATAAGTCGCAAACAGGTCAACTCCTTGGTTATACGCTTGTTGTGCCACCACACCCAACAGCGTGAAGTCCAGCGTCGAATGACCCTGGTCGCGACCAGCCTCCTGACCCTGCATGAGGATCTTCCCGGAGCCTGGCTCCGTAAAGTTGGCAATAGAAAAGACAGGGAGAGCTCCATTCGAAGGTCCAGCCTTCACGTAGTTGACCGCATCGTCGAACATGGTCTTGTTGTCGGTGAAAATACCAATGGCGATGAGGGAGGCAAGGTTGCACAAATCCCAATTAGCGTAATAATGATAGTAGTTCTGGCCGTTGTGATTCGCAAGGAAGAGGCTGTTCATGGTCGCAAATATGTCATTTAGCATGTTCGCAGTGGCAGTCTTGTTCGTGTGGGACCAGCCAGAGTAATTGCTCAACAGCTCCGCCGCGTTGGCCAATTGATACCCGTACAAGCCAGAGGCTAGGAATTTATCACTGGTACCGCTAATTTCAGTGATTGTTACTGCCCAGCTATCAAGGATATTGATAGCAGTATCGGCATAACTCTTGTCATTGGTAATTTTCCAGCGTATGGCAAGTTGGTAGGCAGCCGCAGCATCGCGGTACAGATACTGGTAGTTCTCAGAGTTCACTCCGTTGTATCCCCGGTACACAACTTTCTGTGGATTGGGTTTATAAGAGGACTGAGCGTAGGAGCTCGAAGTGAGCAAAGTCCAAGTGGTGTTCCAAGGTTCATTGCCATCAGTAACGTGTTTGGTAATGCGCTGGAAGTCCTTGGTGGTGTGAAGTGCGCCCGGATGCACGAAGGCTGCAACAGACGTGGCAGTGATAAGGAAAAGGGAGATGAGTGAATGCATCTTGATCAAATCAGAAGAAACAGGAGACTTAGAGCAGGATTCAAGTTGTACTCGAATGGTTGATTTTACGTTGAGCGCATTTGAAGTGAATATATGGACAACGCTGTATACGAACCCCCTGAAAACTGCAAGATGGTCAGAAGAGACATTTTGAAAGGTCAAAGCCTAAAAAGTACAGGTGAGACTCTGATACGGCTTTGATCTGCAATGGGAGATGGAGTGGAGTAGATTGAGCGTTTCACATTAACACAAAGGATGGGGGATTTGACGGGAAGTGCCTTGGGTTGTCGAGTTAGCCTAAAATTTCCCACGAAACATTTCGAAAGACTCAAGCCCGGGTCAAGTATGGGGGGATGATGCGGCGGGAGCTCAAGCAATTGCAGATAGAGAGCCAGTTTTGCCGATCACTAGATGTCAAAGGTCGTACAGAAACCTCTTGAAGAATGAAGGGCAAGGGGGGTCGAAAAAGTTTCGGATGTTCTCCGGTGCCTCGCCGACCAGCTACAAGAAACCACCAGCTGCACAGTCAGCATCAGCACGAAATACATTAGATCGGAATTTACAGAGAACATACAAAATTGATTCTTTTATAGCACAGTATCTGGGCACCATGTTGCTCATTCAAGATTTCGGGCTTCTGGCTGTTACGGCGTTACTACAACTGGTCTACATTCACAGAACAACCATACAGCCTAGTGGTCCTTAATATTCAGGTCCTAACGGTATATCTAGAAGACTATCTTAGATTTTAGTTCAGTCTCAACGAAAAACAAGCGGGTTTCTTAGCGCGAGGTTGTCTTGAACCCCATACTTTATTCAGTTCTTAAGTTCCATAAACGCCAATTGCTCAAGGATCTTGTTTGTGCAGGCAGAGCCCAGACAAGGGTAATCACGAGACCCCAAATGTCATCAATCAAAATCGTATTTGACGATAGTCCAGGTTTCTTTCCTCGGTCATCCGAGAGCATTAATGCGACTACTGTCTCCACTCCATCTGCAGACGCAACCCGAGGCGGCAGATATGCCGGACATCTTCCGAGCGCCACAGTACCATGAAGGGCCACCCAAGCTAGAAGAATGATCAATATAACATGGTTAGGATATTCAATAAAAACCACCTGTTAGAACTCAGTTTGTTTTTATCGCCACGAAACTCTGTCTTCACAGCATCGTAACTTCGCTATGTCCTTGGACGAACAACCAACCATGGTGCGAAGCTCACTTTCCTTCTCAGTTGACACGGCTAATTCTTCGTATAGGAGCCGAACCCGAAAAGAGTGAAAACTGATAGTGGGACGGTAAATGGGACATATAAGACTCAAGCTCCGACGAAACGGGTGATGGAGGCGCTTTACTCTGAGTCTGTGGTGGCCAGGCTGTGGCACGTCGCTGCAACGGCACTGGGAAGCGTAAGATCTTCTTCAGTCTTTTATGATTTCAAACTCCAGCTAATATTTATTGGGAAACAGAGCAATCCGCCGATTCTATTTCCCGAGTATACCGGGAAAGACAGCGCTACTTATGTCTACCGAAGCCTCGACTTCTGGACTTCTGGGTTCTTCCCGGGGTCTTTGTATCTTCTCCTCGAGCGGTTGACAAAATATCCTCAAAATACACGATTATCTCAAGCAGCCAATGAGAAGGGCCTCTCATCCATGCCCCATCCCCTCCAGATCGAGCATCTGTGCAAGTGGTGGACGGCCAACCTACATCAAAACGCGCTAAAGCGCGACACCCACGACCTAGGCTTCATGATCGCGCCATGGGCAATGAAAGCATGGGAAATCCAGAGAGATGCAGCCGCATACAATAGTCTGGTCATGGCGGCGCACTCCCTTGCTAGTCGTTTCAACGCTACCACCCAGTGCCTACAAAGCTGGGACGTCTGTATCACGAACCGGTACTCCTTCACAGATCCCTCGAAGGACTTCCTCGTCATCATTGACAATATGTTGAACCTGGATCTTTTATTTTGGGCTGCTCGAGAGACGTCAAATAAGTCCCTGTATGATATCGCGCTGGCGCATGCGAAGACAACCCAGAAGCACCACATCCGGGAGGACAATACGACATTCCACGTGGTGAACTTTGATGCAAAGACTGGAGATGTCAAAGCCAAGTTCACAAATCAGGGCTACAGCGATGATAGTTGCTGGGCACGTGGTCAGGCCTGGGGAATTCTGGGTTTCATGCAGACATTTGAGTGGACTTGTGATAAGACCTTCCTTGAGACAGCGAGAGCACTGGCTGATTATTTCCTTGCCCATCTCCCGGCTGATGGTGTTCCCTATTGGGATTTCACTGCGCCCGTCACTCCAACAAGTCCAAGAGATACTTCGGCAGCTATGGTTGCTGCTTGTGGCCTATTGCTCCTTCACAAGGCGCTGAAAGGTACACCAGACGGAGAACGCTATCTGCAGGAGGCGATCAATCTCGTAGATGCCACCATCTCGAAATTCTTGAATCCACCAACGGTTCGCTTTCAGATTACTCAATCCACGTCGCAGGTTCTGGTCTACCCGGAAGGCTGCTTGGATGAGCACGATAGCGATGGCTTTGAGAAATTGACCGTTGTGAATCAGTTCACTTCAAAATTGCGTGATACAATTCTTGACGGCGCCACCATCAACAACTATGAATTCGCACCCAGAAGGTGGTCTAACCATGGACTTGTCTATGCTGACTACTACTTCCTTCTCTTCGGCAACATGCTTCTGGATTTGGGTTTGGTGAACGGAGGATCTCAATGCATTGACTAGACAGGTAGTGAGCTTTAGTGAGGGTATAGAACCATTGATACAACATGATACATTAGACATGATATGAAACCGAATGGTTTACTTTTCCCCCGTCAGTTGATTGTCTCAGAGAAAGGGTTCTCGGAACTAAGAATAAAAAGTGATACCAATGATGAACGTGTCTCATGGGTCACAGTGATTGCTTCAGATATTGGGACTTTTGGCGTTCGCTACTTGACTCTCGATTTGTGCTCCACCATAGCGACTAATCCTTTGGCCTGGACTGGGAGTCAGGCTAAAGACCTGAGATAGGTCCTCTTGAGGGCTGACGATGCCATGCCCGAAATGTGCACCAGAGCCTTGCCACATGTTGAAATTTTGATGAGATGGACCTATCATCATAGGTGATGATACTTGGTTCCCAGCAGCCTGTGCATAGACTGACATGGGATCAGATCTCGAATACACAGGAAAATCTTGTCGAAAGGCTGGTGGAAGTGGTGGAAACGCCAGGCTAAATGGGTCAAGACTAAACGTTTCCTGGAATCCTTCTCTGCTCATGTATCTTGCGGGAGACACTGCATTTGCGGCTTTTGGAAGGAATAATGCGCCTTGTGATGGTGAAGCTCTGTATGTGGGTTGTTGAGGTGGCTGCTCTTTCGATTCGTCCGAGTATGCGGTCTGACGGATGTCCAGGCTAGGCCGAGGAGCGGCGCCGGAGTTGTTCTGAGCCTCAATAAGGCGCTTAGCAAAACTGGAGGCAAGATTTTCATTTTGTGGACTGGGAGTTTCGCTTCTTCCGGTCCAACGTTGAGAAATTTCCAGTAGACTAGCGATTAACGTGTCGAAAGCTGGTGGTAGAGAGACTCCGTTGTATCTCGCATGAGCCAAAAGCATTCTCCCGGCAATAAAAAGACAAAATGAGAATTGAGGATTGGTAAATATCGGCGAGAAGGTCAAGAATTGATGACCAATAGTTGCGATTTCGGAGGCTGCTTCTAGGCAGGTTTCTGCCGACGACGAGGATGGGAGTTTGATTGGACAAGCTTGCCAATGAGCAGGAGGGTAGGCAATTCCTTGATGCAGAAGAATGACGGCAGTGTTGTGAGTGATATGAGCTAGCGTAAGATTTGGATCCATGACTCCATCGCTGTTGAGGACTGAAGCCTCCCGCCACTTCGAGGGTAAATACAGCTTCCATCTAAAAGAAAGCAGGTAAGCACGGAAATCGTCAAAAGTCTTTACGGGATACTCACTGGATCAGTCGCAAATCCAATTCTTTAAATTTCATAAGCCACATTTGCGCCTTTTCAGCATCACTGACGATGAAGGCGTGGTGAAGGAAAAAGTTGGTCACCAAAGCAAGTGACTCAGTGGCTTCAATATTGTATGCAAAGCCGCCGATGGCGTCTTGATCCTCGGGATTCGAGGAAGCTCTATTCCCATTGAGAACAGAGCTACTCGAGGCATTGTCCCTTGAATCTGAGATTCCAAAGTATGGCGCTTCGACTGCTTGTTCTCTTTCCCAGAGAGCACCTTCACATGGTAACCGGCGCTTCACATCGGCACTTGTCAGGCTGATCTTCCAGCCCGTGGAGACACTGCAAAATCTGTCCATCAGAAAGACCGTCCAGAATACCCTCCTGCGTTCCTCTGCCTCGCTCCACGAATTTGAGGGGCTCAGGAAGACCATTCGCCGAATCAGGGTCTCCCCGGGTTTGTCCCTCGATAAAGTGCATCCTCCTCGACCCCCAATTGCAGTTGTTCTACCGTGCCCACCATACTTCCGACAATCGACCATGATGAAGGTCCGCGACCTCGGCCGATCTAGAATGATGTACCGCAATTCAGTACGCGAAAGGACCGAGTCAGGGAAGTATACCCACAGTTTCAAAGGCAATAATGACAAGGGCCTGCAAGTTCTCGACGGAGAAGGACTCCGTGCTGTCCAAAATGACTTTCTGTCGACTCTTTTCTGCGATTCGTGTTTTGAAATCCTCGTCCTTTAGAAATTCACTCTGCGAAAACCGGGCGCAGACGGCTATAATTGCATGGAGAATACAAGTGACCCGTGGGCGATGTTCTGGCGATCGCATGCGTTCGCGAAACTTGGCCACGTGTAGGACTGGGATCCAGGGGTGGATGTTGACGTAGTAAAAATCGACCAACTCAGTCATGACTTCGAGCGGCAAAATGACAGTCAGGTCATCGTCAATGTCAATTGAAGGAGTCGAGAAGACATTCTCGTTTAGCCTTCGGCGTTTTGCTGAGCGAGAAGTTGCCTCCATATCTTCGTCACCATCATCGTGGGCCCCTGGTCCGTTCGCACGCCCCATGGAAGGCACTGGATCGAGTAAAGAGACTTTCAATTGTTCTCGTCGCTGTTCCAAGCCCGTGTCGCCGGTCGGGTTCTTAATCGGCTCTGGCAGAGATGAATTCGGATGAAGCGCCTGCCATACTTGTTGCCACAGCATCTCCTGTCCAAGAAACATGTTTTCGAGGGTTTCGATGCGACGATAGAGTTGGTCGACCGCGCCAGCGCGGAGGCCGGGCTTCATTCTCCTGTCGTCGTAAACACAAGTGACCTTAAAACGGATGCATTGGGAGCATGGCTGAGCGCGATCGCATCGTGCCTTTTTCTTGCGGCATGACTGACAGGCTGGTACATCGTCCTCGGCCTTGGTCGTGTCTGAAGGTTCTACGCCGTTTGCCTGGTTGCCGTTAGGCTCGCTACCGCTGATACGGCGAGACTTGGGCGGCATTTCGACTGATAGGATCAACAGCTGGATTGCTGACGGTAGAAGATTTCTGCAGGCAGGTTATGGTGATCTTGGAGGAAACGCGCTGTTAGTGTGGAGGATATGCAGCTCGGCTCAATTTCGCGAGTAGCTCTCCCCGCAGTCCACAATCAGGCAATGCTGGCTCCAAAACTCCCCACGGGGAACCTTGTCTGCTACGCGTCATGCAGGTAGCATGCTCAGGCCCGTTGAAGTTTAGTTTGGGGTGCAATGCTTCTTGCACGAATGATGAAACTGTGTGGAGGAGAAATCTGGGCAGGCGGAGGAATTACCGGAGAGGGTCCGATGACCCCGCTTTATGCGGAGAAGGTCGTACTCCACTTGACTACTTTGAGAAACCACCATATTTAACCGTGCCTTGGCGCGGTTAATAATAATAAAGGCTTACTTAAACCACCATTCAAAATTAGTAGGATAGTCGTCAAAATATAGTCTAAAAAATGGATAATTCAATGCACAACCACGTTAGGCTTCGGGAGCTGAACATGGCCCGAAGCCAAAATTGGCCCAAAGCCCCACGTCACGTAGTCCTGATTATGGCAAAAATCCACTTCTGACCACTCCCAAGTTTAGTGTGACTCCATTATAGCATAGTCTATACTGTAATCATAACCTATGTGCCCATATTTAGCCTGGCTTGTAACGCAGCCTCCATTTCATTGTAACCTTTCAATTTCACCTCTGCAAACTTCAAAGTCTTCAAGTTGAACTACAGCTTAAGTTCATTATGTCGTGCTCATTCCTTTCGTCTATATTGGAGATAGTGACCATTTCAACGGGTACATTCGTCTTACTATGCTTGGTAGAGGCAATTATCAAGAGCATTATAGAAAGATTTACAAAATCACGGCGGCGTGACCCAGATACTGCAGGTCATAAAAGCAATTCGCCTCGAATTTCGCATGGTACTCTTCCCACCTCCGCTCACATCCCAGTCATCACGACCGCAACAACCATGCCTAGACACGCTTTTTCTGATATGGATTGACATATTAACTATCAAATCCGACCTTGTCAGGAGCTACAAGATCTTGAAGCTGCACTCTCTAACAATTCTACACGCTGAGTGACGGGAGTTCCTCCTCATAGAGGCTTCGGTTTTGGGCCCAGAACAAGCGTTTGCGATTTGCCCTGTTGTTCTTTGTTCCTCTGGTTGCTGGCTTACCTCTTTTCGTCCTTTGTCTTCTTGCAGAACTCGGCCTCAATAAGGTCTTATATGTTTCGGCACCTTGCTTGTTCTTAGATGAATCTACCGGACTCCGCGCCTACATACAATCAAAATACCCATTTTGAGAAGCAGATGGAATGGGAACAGAAGCAAGAATAGTTAACTTAGCTTTGGGTGAGCTGGAAGTCGATGTGAACAGCCCAGGCGGAACATACTTGTGGGACGTGAAGAAAACCGAAGTCTTTGGATAGAATTCAGCGCAAATAAAGGATGTTGTTTTACACTTCGAAAAAGTTATCACAGATCTACTTGTAAGCATTCCAGAGAGAAGAGAAGTCGTGGACTAGCGTACGTGTATACATAATTTGCCTGGTACCTAAGTCATGGCTAAGTAAGGTGCAGCGCGGATATTGATACTAGGTATACTGTCTCACTAAATCCCTCTATTTTCTAAGAATCAGAAAGGTATACATTAATCATTCTTATTCTTGCAAATTAGCCATAAATCAGTATTTGGAGTAGTTTATTCAAGGTTATACAATAGGTCTTACAATATAGCTCTCTTCAACGATGAACTTAGTAACCTCTACTTGGTCATATCATGGTACCATCGAGCTAGAAGAGAAGGAACTGCTCATTTAGGCGTCATAATCACCCTCGAGGTAATTTTAGAATCTAGACTGATGGCGGAAGGCTTGTGGAGGTCATTGGGAACGTTATGGATGCACAAATGACAGGCTATGTTACTGGCAATCTTTCTTCCCAAGCTTATGGATATTACAACATGTTCGATGGTGTTTTTCACTATACTTAGGTGCGTATCTGCTTCATATTATGACTATTTCAATCACACATACAACTCACTATCAGATTTTCCAACAAGATAAAGGGACACCGAGTACTTCTCCAGCACGAGCTCACGCAGCGGAAATGCGTTTCTCCAGAACAGTAGCTTGATACATGCAGGCTAATGGAGTCTGTATGCACCCATTTTCCGAGGCTTAATGCGAAGAGCAAACAATCGATCAATCTCATCCGTGGTTCGCCCTTTAAGCTCGGGGATATAGAAGAAACTCCAAACGGTCGCAAGAGCGCAAAGGCCACCAAAGACGAACCCTACTTTACCCTTGAGATTGCCTTCGTCAGGATTGACCATGTATGGACAGGCAAAATTCATGATAATTCCCATGACAGCCTGAGTAGCAGTAGCAAGGCCAGTAGTTCGAGCACGTAGCGCAGCACTGCTGGTCTCACCAAGAATAGTGAAGGCCATGGCTCCGATAGTTCCGAAATAGACAAAGCTGTAGATGACTGTAACCGCAGCCTGGACCCATTGCGCCGCAGAGGTTGGCACAACGTCCATGATGCCAATTAGCATGAGAATCAAAAATAAGGAGACCATGCCAGTGAGGAAGATCTTGCGCCGGCCCAGTGAATTGACGATAAACCAACTGAGTATGTTGCCCAGCACACCGCAGGCGGTCACACCGACGCCCAGACTGAAACTCTGGGAGTTTGGTAGTCCAGCGAGTTCAAAGAAATAGGTCGAATAGCCGAGGACGAAGATGATTCCCGCAAAGTGCTGGCACACGAAGACTCCCATACTAATCATGGTACGTTTGAGATCAGTGCCGCGGAAACATTGAGCCCATGATGTCTCATGTTCAGGCGAGGTTTCACGCTCCTCGTTGATTGTTTGTTGGATATTGTCGAGTATACCCTGCACGTCAAAATTGGGTCCATACAGGCGTTGCAAGGATCGTGCCGCGTCTTCTTGTCGGCCCTTGCGAGCCAGATACCAAGGAGTCTCTGGGGCGAAAGGGAGACCAGCGAGCAGAAATATCACGAAAAAGAGCTGCACGGCAAACGGACCGCGGAATGCCCAATTGTCGGTGCGGGAGCCAAAGCCTTTGATGACGCCGTTCGATACCAGCTGACCGATAGCGATGCCCAGATTCACCCCAGCTGTCGCCACTCCACGCAAAACCACGGGCGTGATCTCCGATGTTGCCAGAGGGCCGAGAGTCAACAAGAAGCCCAGACCAAAGCCTAGAATGAGTTTCACAGCCACGAAACCCCCGGGCACAGAAGTAAACATTTCACCGAGAATACCTCCCGTCAACAAGACCAGGCCCACCAGGAGACCTCCCTTGCGCCCGATGCGATCACTCAGCATTGAGCAAAGGAAGCAACTGAAGAATTGGCCGACGCTGCTGACAGTGTTGAAGGCGGTTTGCCATCGAGCTGGTAAGATCACCTCGCCGTTATGCTCATATCTATTCAGGGTTAGTCTGTTTCCAGATGCAACCGACTTCATAGATCCAGGCCGAGCGAAGAGTCTCCCCAAGTAAGGAATGTGGGAGTACTATCATACCCAAAAGCAACACGAAACGATGGTATTGATAAAACGCTTCCGTTGATCTGCGCATCAAATCCCCTAAGTCCAGGTTAAATGGATGATTGAAAGTCGCGACATAACGGGGTGATAGACTCACCATGCCACACCAGCCATAGCCCAGTAGAAGGACCACCATACCAGTGCTGGATGATGGCGCAGAACCTTTCGCAGAGTCAGCTCATTCGCTGCCTCTCCAGTCCGTGGCACTACTGAATTGGACTCCGAGGCCACATTCTCGACAGCGGTTGCTATGGCCTCTTCCAGTTTTTCATCGTTGGCCTCGGGGAGAGACTTGGTTTTCCCCAGCATGATAGCTAGAGCTTGAAGATGAGAAAATAGCGATCGAAAGGAGTAGACGTAATGAGCCGTCTGTTGAAGGCTTCCAACTTTGTGAGGAATAGTATATTCTGGTCCAGCGTAGGAAAAGGGATTCTGGAGCTCGAATTCTAGCTTGCAGAAGGATATCCGGAATATTGACGAGTTTATATAGGCCTGTTCTTGCAGCCAAAATGCCCCAATCATGACTTGATGTCGATGGTCTCATGTCACCCCCCAGGTTTCGACTACAGTTAGTAGTATAGATGGCGGTAGTCGATATGATTGGGCGCAGAGGCCCTAGAGACCCTAGAGTTCGGCCTTAGCCTGCTTTTGGGGAATTAGGCTGAATTTAATTCCATAAAGTTCTCATTATTTGCACCTGCGGCGAAGTCGAGCTGACATTGTATGGCCTCCATTGCTGTCCGAAGTCTTAGAGTCTGGGGTGCAGCAAGGCCTGAGACTGTGCCGGCCGATCCACGACTAGCAGCCTTGTTGAGACTGGGGTGCATTAGGGCCCGACCTGCTCATCATCAGCGAATAGTATCGCAGAGAAACACTTGACATAGTTTGAGATGCTTTGATGTGGGGGAGTGGCTGGTCTCGCCCAGCTCACATGATCCGCTAAATGCCAAACCAACGCTTCTCATCCCGCACAGGCCTAACACCGACACTCCCCGAGGATATCACTTCATCATCCAACAGTTCTTCTACATTCGTCCACGCTCTTAGCCGCGCCCCGGTGCGGAAATTGGATCTGAGCGACTCCGAATCTCCATGCCACCCCACAAGAAAGCTTCCCCGTCTGTCCCGGGACCAGTGGTCACCGGCGAGACAGAGGCGGAGGACCTGCAGGGTGACCGAGAAGCAGCAAATAGTCGAAAACGACCATCTGCCCGAGGCACCGCATTCTATCCGCGTAAGCGGGCAAATGCCGCATGCCAGGTGTGCCGTGCTCGAAAGACTAAATGTGATAACCGAAAGCCCAGCTGCTCATATTGCCTAAGTGTTGGTGCCGTCTGCAACCAGTCACCAGAGGACCTGTCCAGTTTTGACCCGGCGAGCCTGAAGATCCTCGAGCGGCTGGATGTGCTTGAGAGACTAATGCGACAACAAGGAATTCGGCCGACCGACTCATTGGAACCAACTCCTTCCTTGAGTCAGGAGCGAGAACACGGCTCGGATTGCGTGCCTTCCGGTGAAGGCAGACCCAAGAAACCCCACTTGACCGATTCGCCAAGCAACGTGCCTGCTTCTATCCAGGCTGAGCGGAATATATTACCATCTTCAGCATCTGGAATCAATATATCGCTCCTTGGAGCTTTGCCTGAATCCCCCGATCGGCTAATATGCCTCGGTGTCTTTCAGAAGTATCGCTTCAACACTGACTTAATCAACGAGGGCTTAAGTGGGTGTCACTGGACTGAGAGGGGAGCCAAAACGAGGCATTCTCTTGAAACTAGAGCTCTGCGCAACGGACAGTTATTAGATGACAATATCAAGGAACATAGGGGTGTGAATGAGCTTCTGGACAGCTTCTTTACATTTGTGCACTGCAAGAATCCGATCCTAAAAGAAGCACCGACGCGTGGGCTTGTACTATCGAAAGCCGCAGAGGGTGTTGATAACTCGCCTCAATCATGCTTAGCATTCCTTGTATGTGCTTTGGGCCATCTGGCCACACCATTTGGCCCGTGTTCCGACATTCAGGAGAAGAGCACAGGTCCAAATACAGCTGTTTACGCCGAGGCAGAGGCTCTCTTTCACGAGGCGCAATGTCGCATGGGTGCCTTGTTGGTGAATAATGACGCTGATCATTTGGTTGTTCCCCAATGTCTGATCCTGTTTGGCCTCTATATGATGTGCGTATTTCGACCATTCCAGGCTTGGCAATTTTTTGTACAGGCCCTGGCAGCTTGCCAGCAATTCGGCTTCTTGCGAAACATGTATAACAATGAGGAGATTTCATCTCTCCACGAACACGAAATCGAGACCCGAATCACCGAATCTGACTCGCAGGAACAGGCTGTATACTGGACGGCGTGGAAATCGGAACGTGAACTGCGCCGATGCTTATGCCTGCCGGACTTTCCAGCCACTGGAGATTCCTCTCGTTTATACCCACCTCTTTTTCCAACTCCGCCTGAAATCGCCTCAAATGACTCGGTCGATCAAAGAAGAGAGCGCGCATCATGGCTATTCTACCTAGCCGAGATTTCTTTACGTCGACTCCTCAGCAACGTGTGCGATGAAATATTGTCTCTACACCGTACCAAGAAGAGCGAGACCGCTTTTCTGGCACATTTGGCTACCCTTGTACCCGAGTACGAGCTTCAGGGTCGTCGGTGGGCTGCGAGCTTACCTGCAGAACTTTCACTAGAAGAACCCGCTGAGACTGACGACATCTGTCGCTTTGTTCTTCGTGGACACTATATTGATTACCGCGAAGTTATCTATTGGCCGTTTCTAGCAAGTCGGCTGAACTGTTTGTCTTCTGTGCGATCAATTTTCTCATCTCAATCATCTCCATCGCAACCCATTTTGCCGCCCCCTCAACCAGGAGCAATCTCCCCCGGGATTTCGTCCACCATTTTTGAAAACCAATCTCCTGGGATTGGTCAACACTCGCCCTCCTCGTCCATCGCGTCCCCTTCTATAACTGTCGCAGAGCTGGCATCGAAATGTCTGGAAATTCAAATACGGCGGGTACACATCAACTATCCCGGATTCAGACATCGACATCATGGCACATTCTTGTTGATCTGGTCTTGTATACGAAGTGCGCTTGGACTATTAGCCGCATCTCTCACGGGGCTAGCGATGCCGTCAGGGTGGCGAGAAAGTATTGCATGTACCGCCGAATTGCTATCGTTCTGGGAAGCCGAGGTGCCTCAGCTTTTGAACTGGCGGCGTCTCATCGAGTTGGCCTTTTCCGAGATCCCGAAGGGAACGACAAGGTCATGAAATAGATACACTTATAGAGTAAACTGTTTCTGTACCCTAATTTACTCTATACTTGGTGCAATACCAGAAGCCCGAAAGGCCAACAGATCAATTCAAAATATCAAACGGAGTGGGTTTTCGGTGTTCCATCTTGAGCATGCTTTCAGGCCGACTTCGTGCTATTCCTTTCCTTCTTGTTTAGGAACAAAGATCATTATCCATAGCATTTGCGCCCATGTGCACTATAAGGCTGTGGCTACATTAATATTCTCTAACGTCCCTATTTGCATTAATTGGAGCTTGCCAGTCAGCCATCTACTATGAAGTTAAATTACATTCTAGAAATGACCTTAAGTCGAAATAAGGTATGTTAGCCGGTCTACCACTTCCGCCAAGTCGTCGGGGAGTGTCGCCCGAGTCAGACTCCTATAGGAAGCAGCCAGCGACCAATGGGGGCAAGGTAACGATATCAGAGAGTTAATGGTGAATTGCATCAAATAGGCTAAATAACACAAGACCAAAGGAAATTCACGGTGTCGTTCGATCGGATTCTCAGACTTACGCTCAACAACCTTATTTGAATCAAGATTGACCCAATTGGAAAAATGAGATATGGTCTCGGCCAGGTAGATGTGCTGGTCGAATAATCCAAGGCTCTACGCCCAATATGACTGGTGAGACCACAATTGTAGCCGAGCGGTACTACACATCGTTTTTGGCATTGTATAGTACTGCCCAGCCCCATGCCCATTGAGGTCCTATGAGGAAGAAAATTCAGTGCGGACACTTTCAACTCCCATATTTCTTCGTCCGATATCATTCGAGAGGACTAGCCTAGTCCCCACCTATGGGCGCCTTTCACATTGATGGGATACGGTGGCTTGAGATTTGGAGCCTAGCCTAACTAGTCAAATATGTGATGAATTAAATTTGTATACGGACATGCTATGGAGGGAGCTTGTTTCCTTTTCACCAACAAACTTCCACTATTCCTGGCTACGTGTGGTGTGCTTCGTACTTTGTTGGAATGTCTCCGTTTATCTTCGTAGCTGGGCTACAGTGATACAGTGAGGTCCCATCAGTTTAAAAGACTCAAGGAAGTTCAAGAATCACCTCATCAGTCATAATCAAGGGGTAAATCGAAGGATGTCGTCTGGGATATCTAAAAAGACAATACAAAAAACGTTCAGAAGTATATTCAGAAAGATCCTATAACTAAAAGGAAAGTTGGGGCGTTTCTAGATGGATCTTGTTCCTGGTCTTTAAATTCAGACATTTAAACTACCACTGGATATTGTGATCTAGTGTTAAGCACCCTCTTTGAAGTCTGCCATCTTAGACTTGGACAACAATAATAAGCATCACTAGAACAATCATGAAAGTGACAAGACCTCAAACAAGATTTATAAACCCAATCTAATATATAGTATTCCAGTTCCTCAACAATCAAGCTCTACCAATTCTTAAGATACTGAATCAACTCCTCCCGATGCTCCACATTCTCAAACTTAAACGAAGCCGCCAACTCATCCAACTCCTCAAACGAAAGATCCCGGAAATAATCCGCAAACTCCCACGCCAAATACTGAGAGAGTAGAACGTCCCGAAGAACCCGATCAACGTAATCGCTCGTCCCCCAAGTAGGCGGGTAAAGCGCCTTGTGATGCTCTTTGGGAATGACCTCGTTAAAGTGATCCTTCACACGCTGATAAATGCTCTCAACCTCCGGCGCGGCATTTCGTCCCCACCGGTCCAGGCCAAGAGAAAGCTTCTTGTCCAGCCAGGGTCGGAGGTGGCGATACCACTTGGAATCGGGGGAGACGAATGTCAGCCCCTGGTAGCCGATATCTTTGTATAGCCAGATGGACCACGAGATCGGGGCACCGTCGCCTGAGGGATCACCCTTTTTGTAGATTGCCAGTTGGTCGCGCATGAGGAGGTACCGCGATGAATTTGTTGCGTCGATGTCGGTGTCATTTCGCATCGCGGAGGCGTAGACTGGGCCCCATTCTCCGTTCCAGACGGGGACGCCGACCTGCTTCATGTGTGCGATCTTGCGCTCGTAGGAGGCGAGCAGCTTGGCCTGTTGTGTCTCTGTGCTAGTGTACTTTTCGTCGCAGCTGGGGAATCCGTATTTCGAGTAGTCGTGGATAGAGTAGACTGAGTTGGGATAGGGTGTCTCCGGGAAGTAGTTGAAATCAGCGGCATATGTGTTTCCATCCAGGAATAGGATGTGCTTGTTGTCGACTGAGCGGATGGCCTTTTCAATTCGGGTGTAGAAGTCGATGAGGCGGGTGTGTTTGGCATCTGCGGGCTCGTTCAGAGGATTGTATCCCGCGATCCAGGGATTGTCCTTGTAGTGTGCTGCAATCTCCTTCCATAGGTCGATGATGGAATCCTGGAAATGTCCATAGTCCCAGAACTGGGCGCGATGAGTGCCACTGTCGGAGTGCCAATCCTGATTCTGGCCACCAGGAACAGAGTGAAGATCCAGAATAGTATAGATCCCAAACCGCGCGCAGCTTTCCACAATGCGGTCGAGAAGCTTAAAGCCGTTGGGGTTGATCTTGGTCAAGTCTCGGTCATCAATGAAATGGCGGTGATTGAATGGGATACGGAGGCAGTTGAGGTTGCAGGAGGCAAAGAATTCCGAGTCCTTGTCCGTCCAGAAATATTCGTAGAATCGGTCCCAGAAGAAGTCGTATTTCTCCTGACCCATCACCTTCAGCATGGCCTCCTTTTGCTCCGACTCGTGTCCAGCGTATCCTGTAATGAAGTTTTCCATGTTGAGATGACCTCCGGTAGCAGCCCCGCGAAGGACGACTGGCTTTCCATCTTCGTTGACGATTTTCGTCCCTTCAACACGTAGGAAGCCCGTCATGGTGAATCAAAATGCAAAGGAAACTCGAGAAGAAAAGGGTGTGGTGGTGAGTTTGGAAATCGAGAGTGAAAAGTGGCTTGCATTGTCCTTAATATAGCTTTGGCTAATGTCATCTTCCTTCACGTATGACCAGCTGCCATTTAGCCGACCAGAAATCAATGCTCCTTCCAGAAGAGCCTTGAGCTCATCGACGCTGTCTCGTGGCCATAAACAGTGCGGGGTGGCCGATACTCCCCGACACGTGGATTCAGAATCTGCCTTTGGAGTATCGCGGGAGCCAATCGGTTACTTCCTGGTTAATATCCGCAACGGTATTTTGCATTTAGCCAGAAAGCGGCTTTTGAACTAGCTGCTTCGGCTCCTGCGCTTAGTGCTTACAAGGGAAATGATATAGTTCAGAACACAAGACGTGACCAAATGTCTATTTTGATTATGTATTCAAACTGAGAGGCGGAAAAAGAGAACCGGCAAGAAGGAATGACGGGGAAACAAGATCTATCCAGGCATGCAACAAGCGCAATGCATATCGTCTCGGAGATTCCAGGAGTCCATCCAAAAACGAATCCATAAATTCGTCGGACCACAGATGCAGTAAAGTACAGAGCGACACGGCGCTCACCAACCAAAGATTTCACCGACGCTAATCGTGCTCCAGCGCACGCCGCCGACAGCAAAGAGGATGAGGACGACGTCAACGACGCCCAGCACGGTAGCGCCCATCATAAAGCGTGGGCTGAAAATGCGGTAGAGCATGAGATGGCGACGCAGATGGCCCGCCCACATGGTCGTCGCGAGATTGATAGTCGCGAGGTACAACATGTGCGTAGAGGCAGCCTGAACGACGTCGGAGAGCAGTTTGGTAGCGGGGTTAGCCACCTTTGCATTCGACGGCTGGGAGACGCGGTCATGCGTTTGTAGAGGTCTTTTCCACAGGACGGTCAGTGGGACGGCAATGGCGGCGAGGATTTGTGCGCCAAAGGTATTCAGGATAACTAGGAGAGGGGACCAGGGATATTTAATGGTCGACAGCGGGATGAATGCGGTTTCCCACTGGATGGAGCTGAGGACGGCTTGGTGGCCGGTTTTGAAGAAATAGAAGGAACCAAGGAGGCCGAGGACAATAGGGCCGATGGGCGAGTTTGTGAGAGTGAGAGCGTTTGTGTCAAGGATTTCGAGGAGCGAGAGGATTTGCCAGATTAATAGGGCAATTGCGCCTTGTCCCATGGGCTTTTGCATGAGGATGACTGCGAGGGCAAAGTTGACGACTAGGAAGAAGAAGCGTGTGCCGTAGATGTTGCCGAAGCCCAGGATGGTGACGGTTGTTCGGGGCTGCTGTTGCTGGCCGGCGATGATGGGTGCTGGAGGGGCGTTGGGGTCTTCCGTTGGTTTATTCACGCTGACAGTAATACAGGGCTTGGAATAGAGGAATGCACCTGTGCCGGCGCCGAAGGCGAGAGCCAGAACCAGCTGCGCAAGGAAGACGCGGACAGACTTGAGGGTTTCCTTGCGGAGCGGCAACCACTCGCCGTCATCAGCGCCTTCAAACGTCCAGAATAGTGAAGTTATCAGAAGACCCAGACGGAAGGCAAAGCCAATCCATAGAGTAGCAGCACCTTCATAAGACTTGGAGCCGGCGTAGAAAGAGCGCACAACGCCAGGGAGGAAGAGGGCCACCAGGAAGGGAATAGCGAGCTGCCAAGGGGCGGAGATGGACGAGGTGGACGAGGCGTAGTAAGTAGAGCGGCAGAATGGCATTTGCTCCTCGCGGCAGAGACGGGAGAACGAAGCGACCCGACCGAGAATCACGAAGAGAATTGAGTGATACACGCCGAGAACTCGGTCCGTGGTCGACTTCTGCCGCATCGACGAGATACCAGCACAGACACCGAACGTAGTCAGGAAGAAGAGGAGAATCTCATCTTCCCAGATGGTATACGAGTTTGACGCGTAACCAACGGACTGAGAAACAGTGAAGAAGACAGCGAGCCATCCCCACATGCCATTGGGCAGAGGCAGTGTCAGGTTTGCAGGCTTCTTGACCAGCGCAAAGAGGCCTCCTACCATGCTTCCAAATGCAGCCAAGAGTGCGGAGGAGTCAATAGCGGACATCTCGGTGAATCCAAAAAGAACCAATGCGGCGCCAGTCACAGCTCCAAGTCCAGTTCCAGCACCAACGAACGAGAGGAGCGAGGGGGTAAGTTCTGTACGGTCAATCTTCATTCCACGGGCATACAGCACCAGCAGAGAGATACCGAAGAACAGAAGCACAACACCTGCGAGCATGCTGGGCACATCAAAGCGCGCCCAGAGTGCACGGCATATCTCCAGAGTGTGTCGCTGGTAGTTGCGGTAGAGTTCGTAGCTGGAACGAACAGCAGCTGACTTGGATGTGAATCCCTTGGAGGCAGACTTCCATTCTTCCTCGGCGGCTGTCCACAGTGCAAACGATTCCTCATCATCGCCTGCGCCTCGGGCCGTCGCATATGCATGCTGGTATCTCTTGATCTGTGCCGCCGACAGACGGTTCACAGCCAACAGGTTTGACCAGTCATTGCCGCTGGCACCGGCGAAGGCCTCTTCAATGGGCGAGCCCAAGTTGTTGAAGGGGATAGGCATACCAAGGAGAAGCGATAGAGTCGGAACGAGATCGATCTGCGGGACAAAGCGCTCGCGGGCGTGCTTCGGTGGCAGTAGGGTATCCTGGCTAGTACGACCGAACACGCCGCGCTTGGAGTACATCCACAATGCAGCTTCGACCTCGTCGTCGGACTCGCCGCCATGATCACCCTTGGTATCCATACCATGATCACCCATCACAACCAGCAGTGTATCATCATCCAGTGAAGCGATAATCTTGCGGATGACGCGGTCCATCTCTTGCAACTTGGCGGCCATGGCGGCGTGGTTGGGACCATAGCGATGTCCAGCATGGTCGACGCCCAAATAGTGGCCAAAGATCACATCCCACTTGCTCTTGTTCTCTAGTTGGAGGAGCGGGAACAGGTGCTCATTGACACCGTTGTCCACGGTGTGCAAGTCCCAAACATTAAACGAGTCGTAGGGGTGCGTAAGATTGGCATCGAAGTAGCCCGGGAACAATGACTGCCAAGTGTCATCGCCGAGCTGAACCAAGGTCTTTCCAGCGCTGTGCAGCTGGGCGACTAGATTATCCTCGTCGATGGCAGTGCCGGCGAAGTTGGAGCCTGCGTCAATGAAGGTGGGCAGGGTTCCAGTGGTCAGTCCCTTCAAGCGCTGCAGAGTTGTGGTAGGCGGGTCGGCAATGAAGGGGAGCAAGAAAGCGTTGCTAGGATTGTTGACGGCCGTCTCGTAGAGCACCGGGATGTTGTCGTGAAACAAGTGGACGGATTTATCCTGGTCCATCGACGCAAAAGGTACAGTGAAGTCATAACGGAGGGCATCGATGATGATGACAACAGCCTTGTCAAAGGTCTTGTCATGCCAGCAACCTTTCTTACTCCCCCTTGAAGGTGAAACACTTGTACCCGGGGCCTCGTCGAAAGGAAGAATATCACAGGAAGATTTGTTCTCGAGGACCATGCGCGTGAGGAGGAAGCCCTTGGTGAAGAAGTAGATACCGGCAACGTGCAGGAGCCTACAGAAGAGATTGGATCTCAAGTCAGTCTAATGTTCTGCATCGGTCATTCACAAGCTATACGCCCGAGGAGCGCCGTCCATGCCCACTAGGTGTACTCACAATACCCAAAGTAGCACCCCCAGTACGCCGAGGTGCTTGGTCTTGAACTCTTGCTCGAGCTCTCGGGACTTTGCTTCCTGCAAAGCGCTTTGCTTTTCTTTCGTGGAAGCCGTCAAGGGACTTCTGGGACCACTGCCCGTGGATGCTTTTGGTGCCATCTTGAAAAAGCTCCGCTGGCTAAGAATAATCAAGCACAAGTCGGCAAACAATTATGTCTTGGATAGCTCCGTGAGGTATCGCGCAAGGACCAACGGGGCGCACGCGACGAGGCCGCCACAAGAACCGTGTATATAAGGATCACGAGGGGAGGGAAGCCCAAATCAAGCACGGACTGAGGCAATTGACCCGCCTTCAGCACGGCTGATCGAAGGAACGGCGAGAGAAGAGGAGCCGGTCGGGGACTGGACAGGCGGATGGAGGATGGAGGCCCCTGTCTGTGCTCAGAGGAGGGGCGGCTTCCCGTGGGCGAAGTCGTCTAGAGGTTGAACATGGCTTCTAGCAGCGGTAAGTGTGTATATCTGTATATAGGAACGATGGTATAAAAGAATGTGGTTTTTTTTTGGCAGTGGACGAGAAAGACGACCCAAATTTACTGACGTCGCGGAAGCGGCGGGTTGGGGAGAGCTCCAAAAGGGTTCTTCTGATTGGTTGCTGCATAGTGGGACCCTTCGCGGGCTTGAAGATGCCACAGTCAAGTCGCTACCAAGCATTGGACCATTCTTTAAAGAGAAGAGGAATATCTCGATTGACTGAATATCTCTCGGTGAGTAAATGGACATGAGTAAAACCCTGTGTTGCCCATTCTAGGTACGCGGGCATGTACAAGTATACAATCTCTATGCGTATATGCCCGTGTCTAATCAAGGATCCCCGAAGGTTTCACAAAACACAATAAAGTGCACAATTGCCTAGGAAGATAGGAGGACTAAGTACATACATTATCCAGCTGCCGGAAGCGTACCAGAAGGCACATAAGAAGGTAAAAAAAGGAAAAAGGGGCGGCCTAGAAATAGAAGATAGAAAGGGAAAGATGCCGCCCCCTGCAAAGAAGTGGAAAGAAATGGAAAAGGAGGAAACGAAAATAAGGGGAAACTGTCACACGTTATTCGGACCCTAGGGACGTGGCAGGGCCGGGGGTGAACATGGATGACCACAGAGAGAAAACGCCATAGAAACCAGAAACTCAAACAAGATAATCGGCAGGCCCTCGCTATACAAAATCCCAGCGTCGGCGGGTCTCTGGGGCAAGGGACCCGGCCATGTTCTTCTCTCCAAGGTGTCCACGTGGAGGCGGACATTCTAGGAGAGAAAGCGGGTAATCGAGGTGTAGCCAGAAACAAGGTGATGCATGCATAATATGTGCAAGCCGCGTAGGCAAGTTCGAGAGGAAGGAAAAGGTATATCGAAAGGAAAATGAGATGAAGAAAGGAAGAAAGTGTTCGCCAAGATGCTCGTCATGCTTTTGGGAGGTCGTCGTCGAAGAAGAAGAGAAGGGTGCGAGTTTGTGTTGAGAGTAGATGGGAGTGGATGACTGTCTGACAGCAGAGACAGTCAGTCACATCCAAATCTGCGCGCCCACGATCGCTTTAAGAGTAGTTCTTGACCTCTCCCTTCTCCTTTAGACCACCCATGCGCTCGATATCCAGAGAGTGGAACCGACCGCTGTCGGTGGTCTGGTACGGGGGCAGCTCTTCGTGGCAAGGTTCCAGGCCCACGCTGCCGGCCTCGCTGATCCGAACGACGACCATGCGGCCGGACTTGCGGCGGCCAGACTCATCCTCCTCCTCGGGGAAGGTGATGCGGATCTCGGGAACCGGGCTGGGTGGGGGGCTATCGGAGTTCTCCATCAAAGCACACTTCTCGTCGTAGACCATGACCGAGTCATGCTTGTTGGCGGTGATTGTTAACCGGCGCTGGCTGGTAGGGACTTGGCCGTTGTGGACGGGAAGAACGGATTCCTTGTTGTTTGACCGACGCTTCCGGCGGATAATGAATAGACCACCGACCAGGGCGAGGGCGAGCAAGACGAGGACAAGGAGTGAGATCAGGAGGTCGACGAGAGTGTTGGAAAGACCGATGTTGTTATCGCCGCTGCGGCGGACTATCTGGTTGAGGGAGAACATGTTGTCGAATGGTGGTTGTTGTCGCTGTTATTGATTTGGTGTTGTTATTGACGTGAAGACTGTAATGATTGTCGGCTCAGTGGGGGGGAGGGCGACTAGGGATCGACACGGATCGAAAAAGAGTGGTGGATAGTGTGGAAAATAGAAGGAAAGATTGTCGAATGGTTGGAATGGACGAGGCCTTAGTCGCGGACTGGTTCGTCGTGAATATAGGTGGAAAGAATGGAGAGGCTGAATCGGATCGGGGGTTGTTCAGAAGAACAAAAGGACTCGGCGTGGCAGGTTAAAGGAAGGAATGGATTGCACGGCGTACAGCTGAAAGAGTGAAGCTGATACCTGCTCGAGAAGGGGGATAGAAAGAATGGAGGGGAGAAGAGGGTGTGGTTATTGGGGATGAGGAGGGAGGACTGGAGAATGAAGGGAAAACAGGGGAAGAAGGGGAAACGAGGGAAAAGGGTGGACCCCCCAAGGACATCGCTCGGTTCGTTCTGGCCTGCTTCTCGCGACCACTCAGCACGACGGATCTACCGCTGCGCCCGTTTGGACTGTCGAATAAGCAGTGCCTAGACTCGACTCGCCCAATACTTTTCGTCTTTTTCTTATTTTTGGCCGCTCTAAACTTCCCTGAGTCTAGCGGGCTTGCTGGGCTCCCAACGGCCCTGTTGGGTTGTGCCTTGGCCCTGCCACTTACTCCTCGACCACCAATCGACGCGCGAGGGTTCCTGGAGAGTGGGTTCGAGCACCCCATCCAACGCGTTATGACTCGCTAATATCGACCTATTGGGATCCACCGAGCTATGCCGCTTTGTTTTGGTCTCCCCTGAATCACTGGCGAACCATCGACCGAACGAGTTAGGCGGAATACACAGAAAGTTCTGATTCTTCTGTTGGTGACCGAGGTGGCATGCGACCAAAACGAGAAGCAAATCATGCGAAACAGGATAAGGTTGTTGTTCTCCAGATTCAGTCCATGGTATGCGCATAACGCCAGTGTCTCAGAAGTAGTCCTGCGACACGATCACACAACAGTGTACTCCGTACTCAACCGGGTAATAACATTGAAGGCAAACCCTCTACAGGCCCCCTAGGTGGGGTCGTTTTTTTTCAGGCTGTTGCCGGGGTCTTGATGATGCAATATAATCACGGTCAAGAGATCAAGTCCAGCACCAAGCAAATTGAATCTATGCACTGCCTCTCTGGGGTCTCCAGCCTCGAAGCTTAAACTAAATTGTATGTCTCAGGATGTAGCGATATACTCCTTGAAAGACCAAACAACAACATAAACATCTATAGATCTGTCCTTCTGGATCTGGAGTGGTTAGTACTCCCTCCGTGCACGGGGACAAGTCGACTCTCTGCAGAGTGCAGACTAGGAAATAAAAGTATACACTACCCAGTATTCAAGTCCAATCGATAATCTGGATTAAACAATAGAGCAATAGGTAGTCCTTCGTGCCCAATGTCCTCCTTCCTTCCCTCGGTGCTACCAGGTATACGCTAGGTATTCTCCCCGGTCGCGTCCTAATATCCCTCGATCTTTCCATCAGGCTGGCGCTTTTAACTCTCTTGAATGACAACACAATATGGAAAGAATACGGAATCATCTTACAACCTCCCGTGCATTCATAGTATTTCCATAAGGTTGCTGCCTGGCAACTCTTTTTGTTTTTCGGACAACCATATCTGGCACCCTGTAACTATATATATCCAGCCGGAGCGAGACCAACCCTCGTCCAACGAAACCGACATCCAGTGTATCGCAAGATAGGATTACACATGTCAAACACATTGGCCATGAGCTCGCCACTTCCCGATGGATCGATTAATATCTGAGTGACATCCATGACCAGCTCGTTTCGGGGTCCAGTTTCGTCGTGTTGGTCGCGGGTACCAGCAGTCACAGACCATGTGCAGGTAGAACATACAAACAGCCTATCGACTTGATTCCGGGTCTAAGCTGGGTCTATATATTCAAGCAGATACATGAAGAATCGAAATCTTGACTTAAAAACCCCTCATGTAGAATGAATGACTTAAACATGATCGACTAATATAAGCGGAGGCCATATATTCCTGGCAGCCGATGCGACAGCATGTCTCCAGTTAATATCGTGACCCGATCCCCCGCAAGACAAAACGCAGATCCAGGTTGTTGGAGAGCATATTAACTGCACTCTCGGACCTAATCAATACGGAGACGCTTCTCAAATCACCGATACAATTAGGACCGACCTGTCATGAGCCCAGATAATCGCCCGCGGACCGAAGCCTACAATATGAATCAATCAGAGCCGCGGTAACAACATCTTCAGGACACACCCCAAAGCTCAGCCCCATGAAAACAGAAGAGTCTTTTGCCAAGCCCTACGCTGACAATCGCAAATCCAACTGCCAGCACGTCCCGCGGAAACCCGCAGACTCCAACAGACAGCGTGGCTCAGGTAGCGAACTGACCACTTTACAGGCCCGAGGGTACACTCGCTACCTCATGTCAAGCGGTCTACAACACACCTGACGGAACCATAATGGAAATGGATACATCCATCACGCCTGTAACGAGCGAAGCCCCCGATCGATTAGCTCGCAAGACAAAAAGCAAAGAAGACCAGTCAAGTTCCTGGAAACTGGGGAATGGGATGGGACATGGATCTACAGTTCATATACACACGTCTACGGAATATTTATGGAGCCACGGAGTAGGGTATCTGACATGTCTACCGGTCCCTGACACAGCTACCGTATAATACTTATTCAAGTATGTACTGTATTAGTTCCAGCAACACTAGTCGGTCAGTTACTATAGCGATCTCCATCAATCTATCTATCTAGTCAGTCGCCAAAATCAAAGATGCGTTCATGTCGATCCCCCACAGACTGTACTGTCGATGCAAGGCTGGCGCCTCATCGGGGGAGGGAAGTTAGAACGATCGCAGAATTTCTGCGAGTGATACGTTGACACCGAACTGGTGTGACCCTCCTGTGCAAGGATTTGGACTGGTGATATCCTTGCTCGCTGGCGCCTGAATTGTATGACTTGGGTTCTGTTGTCTCGGCGGGTTTGGAATCGGAGTCATAGTCTTTGTCGGGTGCGGGGACGGGAGGTGTGGTTTGCTGGGTTGAATTGGATAGCTCGCGCGGCGAGATGGTAAACTACGATACTGAATCCTGCCAGCGGGAACTGGCTCATGGGTATTTGGGTTCGGTTTAGTTGTTTAGTCGTTTTTGGAGAGACGGTTTAAGAGGTTATTGTCGGGGGTGCGGGGCAATGGGGTCCCTTCTCTGTCTATCTTCTATCTGCTCACTAACTAACTAGTGTAATGGAGGAGTATGTACTCCGTACTTCGTATTCATTTGTCCCGAAGTTTTAAACTATGGGATGGGATCCAAGGATCAGTGTGACGATAGTGAAGCAAGGGGGCTGGCCGAGGCGACGGAACATACAGCGCTAACGGCACTTTTACCTAACTCTCGCACTAGTTTCGGCCTGGACTGTGTCCAAGCACGCTGTACCTACAAGAAGGAGCAACATAGGTTGCGACCAGCGAAGTACAGAGTTACCGCGGTGAAGTTCACTTGCCCTGACGACCATACGCTAGTTGTAAGACTCGCAGTTGGACATGAAATCAGATTCGCTAGTTTTTGCTATGAGCGATAGTGTCGCTGTACTCTGGAAGGGGAAAATAGGAGGGATGCTCCAGTCGGCGATAATTCTATGGCCCTGGGAGGTACACCATTTCGTCACAATCAACCGACATGTATGTAGCTTCGTGGGTGGTATACCGAGAAACAGTTCGGAAGATTGTGTAGTCCATCCACAGTAGTCGGCAGCGCCTAGAATCGAATTTTCCACCGTGACCGACTCCGATCGACATGCTGACCTCAGATGGCCTATGTAACTAAATACTATACAAAATCACTAGTTAAAGCAGCAAGCCCCTTCTGTTTCTTTCCATTGAAGTCTTGACCGGAGAAGGGCGGTTGTGGCCAACGAGCGTCGGGCCAGGCCTGGAATGGTGCACCGCCCATCCACAGGCAAGCCCGGTGGCGGGCCCTTGGTTGTAGCTCTGGGACGGTGAATGTGCAAGAATGTATCTTTCCGGACTAAGCCGGACAGAGAAGATGACAGGTTTTGGATTGAAGATGGACTTAGTGAGTTGCAATCGCATTTGCGTCTATGGTTGATCTTCGGTAGTATGGAAAGTAGGGGAAAAGAGGGGGCGTAATGGTGGCGGTTAATCGAATGGTGCAATTGAGTTGCATTAAAGCATGCAACCTTGTTATAAGATAGTCATGAGAGTCATTATGGAGGAGATATATACACTCAAGAATAGCTGGAAAGTAAGTTGCGAATACCAATGAGGGTGAACAAGTTCAATGAATCGCCTGTACGGGGTATTACTGTACTTGATGGGTCTGCCAAGTGGATCGGATCGGACTCCAATTTTAGGGCTGCCAAAATGGCTGATGCTTGGGCGCGGTGATTTTTGTGCATGGGCGAATTGATCATTGATGAGATGATCATGGGATGGGATGGGATCAGTATTTGTTTAGTCTCAATTGATCTCAGTTGATCTCAATTGATTCCTTCCCCCTCGCCTGTAGGCCATTCTGGCCCGCGAAAGCCTTTTTTTGGGCCCTCCAAACTTATACTTTGCTGCTTACTGATGTTGTGCGCAATAATTGGTACCGCCATCTATCTCTAGCTTCGACTCTCCTTTCTCCTTCTCCTAACTTTAATTCCTTCCTACGTAGTCAATAATCATCACTTGTCCAATTTGTCGTTCGGTGAATACCTGTTTATCTTGCCTGCGCTTGCCGGTATGCTTTGACCCTGCGCCAACCGGCCCATGGAATCGGCTCCAACATGCCAGGAGGTTGGCGACTGGAATCGCCAGGAACTTTTCGCCGAGGGAGATGCTTTGGGATCAGTGACTTCACGCTTTCACGTTGACGACCTGGGCGGCCGAAATCGTAGTAGGGATCCTGGGATCGAAGTGGTTGGTTTGCATGCACGCCCATGGTCGATGTGGCGGTCAAGCCTTTGTTGGGGGAGCGTTTACGGTCGCCGAAGGAGGAGTTATACTGGAGCTAGCATTGGAACAAAGAGAATACAATCAAGGTTAGGGTTGAAGTTAAGCTGATTGTCATTGATGGATTTGGATCCATAGCATGAAAGAAGCTTCATGATGGCTGCGTCGAGGGTCTGACTCGATCGAACAGCCGTACTGGGGTTTAGGTACTTGGATTTAGGTCCAGGACCGTTTCTTTGGACCCAGCTCTGGGAGGGTCGAGGTGTAAATAAGTGGATGGGGCACTAAAAAAGAAGCGCCGGGAGAGCCAGAGATCGCAGCGATCGTAATGGTAATGACCAGACCGTACGTCAGGCATGTGCCGCCTAACTGGTGAGTCTGGGCCTTGGCAGAACCGCGAGATACCTGATATAAGATGGGGCCTGCCGGCGAATCCCATGTACCTCCGCTGATCGATGGCAGTCCAAGGCGTCATGGCCCGCTGGTGAATACACCATCGGTACCGCCTCCGTACCGCCTTCGTACCAACCAGCGGCTGATCTGCTCCTCCGCCAGCATCATTTTTCTGCCCACTCACGGTTCTTATCTATCATTTTCCCATCTTCACCTGTTCCTTTTCTTTTTTTCTTGTTCTTCCCCATTTCCTTCTTTCGTGTGACGCTTCGCCGCTTCTTCTCTTCCTGCACCTCTTCTCCCTCTTTCATCAACCCTCTCTTCTTCTCCTCCCTCGCCTTTCCACCATCGCCCCGAAAATCCAGGCCACGACGGCACTCCCGAAAAAAAAAGCAAGAGATCATCACAACCCACCCAGCTGGGCTGTCATGCTGCCGCCCTGTGTGACAGCTGGACTACGTTAATGCCGTGCTTGGTCTCTCGCCTACATTCCCACTCATCGACCCACTAGACCCTCCTCCAGCTCGGGTTTCCTTCTTTTGCGCAACGCATTCCTCTATTCGACTATCCTCCACCTTGACCCTTTATCGGCCGCGATCTCTCCCTCCACTCATCCACCAACCCCCCATTATCCCTCCCACCATCATCCCCATCCCTCCCTCCCTACGCTATCCCTCCGCCACCCCTTGCGCGAATCTCTCTCTAAGGGTCGAAAGGGTCCTCCAGGGTCCCACCACCCCCCAAACCCGCTCGTCCATTCTCGGGGATCGCCTCTCCACAAGGCACATGAGGACGATCGGCAAGCTGGGAGATTCCTGGAGCATGCACGGAGCAGAGTAACGTCGCGACGCCTCTTCCATTGCCTCTACCTGCCGGGCCCTGCCCTGCCACAGCTACTCCTGCACCGACAAACGAAGGGGAGATTTTTCATCGTTCCAATTCTTTGTCGCCTTGCATCTTCACTGGCCCTACTCCTCTTGCTTTTCCCGCATTTCTGATCCTCTCGTTGCTCCCTTCAACCAATTCCTCTTCGCTCTGTTTTCCTCATCTCCATCCGTCTACCTTCTCCTTCAACCCTTCTCTCTCACTCCTGCCTTGTCTGTACATGTCCCGGCCTCGTGACTCCTGAGAAGCAGACTGAAGAGAAGAGTGAAACCGGGAGGAAACACCCCCGAGAGCTGCTGTCTCTTGCCTCCTCTTTCTTCCGCTGATCGCCTTCTGTTCCCTCCTTGTGAGTCTTCCATCCCCCTCTTGTCCTGCACTGGCCCTGTGTACCTTTGCTGGGGAGACGGTGAGGTCGCATGCTCCTACACGCGAGGACCCCAACCTGAACAACTGAGCTAACAAGGGCTTTGACCGGCATCTAGTCTTATATTCCTTCGTGTTCGCCGTTCCCTGGTGCCTGGTGCCCGTTGCATATACCGGTCGACAATCGAATTCTCTCGACCCTGTGATCTAGGATCGAGACAACCTCGAACCCTGTGCAAATATTGTCGACCACCCCCGGCTCGAGTACATAACTGATTTGCCTTCGTCGGACTGCTTTTCTGGGAATGGCTTCCACGATGGCCGCCAATACAACTGGCGTACACAACGTGAGTGACGGTGATACATGGAATGTGAGGCAGGCATTGACAGTGGGCCCGCAGGTACGATCGAACCGCACCAACATGGGTTCATCCGGGATGAACAATGACCGCGCGCGCGGATCACACAACAACAGTGTGGGGAAGAGCTTCGGTGCGGGCAAGTCCAACTGGAACAATATCTGGGGTGACTCCAACCTAGGAAATGGCTTTGGGGATGGTATGTACCACCTGGAGGGGAATTTTGAGTTTGAGAGGGGTTCGAAGATCTTTTGCTGATCAGTTGTAGATCAACACATTGGTGATGCTGTGTTTGAAGGAAAGTCAGGCTCGGGTTCATTGCTGTCGACCTCGGAATCGGATGGCTGGGCGGGACGCCCCAACTTGCCTTGGAGCACTGTCAATACCTCGTCGCTATCGATGAGCCAGAACCGAGGTAGTATGGCAACCTCGCCAATCCAGACTCGTGCAAATGACCGAAGCGCGCCTGCTCTGAACGATGCTGGCGAATCTTCATACTTCTCGCTGCCCCGTACTACTGGTATCGGTACTTCTGCTGGTACCGCGAGCCACCGGCCCTACCTGAACTCTGGGTCTGAGGGTGTTTCGCCGTCGGGAGATGGCATGGCCTTCAATACCTTCTCTGGTCTCCGAAACGGGGATGGACGTCGCCAGATGAGTTCCTCTGGACTTGGCGGTAGCCCCGTAGGAGCGACCTTCCCGACTAAGCCTGGCTTCTCTGGTTCACTGGATGCCCCTCGCCAGGACGAGATGGCTGCCTCGATGGGCATGGGATCTCTCACTTCTGCTCTCCCGGACAATATGTCACCTCCTCAGACGCGCGGTGGACTCGCTCAGGTGTCTCACAACTCGACTTCCTACGTTTCCCAGCGGCCCGCTCATTCGGCTCACCCTTCCTTCTACTCAGACAACCATAGTGTTGAGGGTCGCTACGGCAGTGGCTCCATTGACCTCACGGGTGGGCTCAGTAAGCTGCAATTGAGTGAGACTGGATACGCCAACCAGACCGGCGCTCAGCGTCCCCCCTTCATGCCTCACGCATCCTTCGACGGGGCTCTTCCCCGTGGCAAGTTCCAGAACAGTGATGACCCTAGCTACCAAGCACTCGCCGGCTACGGAGGTGACATTGCTCAGGATGTGCACCTTGCGTATCAGGCACGCTCTCGCGGAGGAGATAATGGAGCAATCTCTCCTTCAGACTACGCTCGCATGGACAGTCCCTTGTATGCTGGCGTTGACGGTGGTATTCAGTACCGCAACTCGTCCGCTAGCCGTGTCAACGAACCGGTAAATTTCGAACGCAGACTACGGACCTTCCATGATCAGGACTTCGTCCAGGGTCAGGGCAGTTCGCTGCAACGCATGCCGGTTGCCTCGCCGTTTGACTACCAGAGCTACCAAACGGCACGCTTGAGCGCCTTGCAAGGGTTCTACCCCATGACTCAGCTCGGTGCGCTCGGCCCTGCAGCCCTGGCTCACACACACCGTGATGACCCTACACAGGTTGTTCGCAGCCCTCTGCTTGAGGAGTTCCGTGCGAACAGCAAGGGCAACAAGCGCTATGAGTTGAAGGACATCTACAACCATGTCGTTGAGTTCAGTGGCGACCAGCATGGCTCGCGCTTCATCCAGCAGAAGCTGGAGACCGCCAACAGCGACGAGAAGGAGCAGGTGTTCCGCGAGATCCAGCCAAACTCCTTGCAGCTGATGACCGATGTCTTCGGCAACTATGTTGTGCAGAAGCTTTTCGAGCATGGCAACCAGAGCCAGAAGAAGATCCTCGCCAATCAAATGCGTGGACATGTGCTTGCTTTGTCGACTCAAATGTACGGCTGCCGTGTCGTGCAAAAGGCCTTGGAGCATATCCTCACTGATCAGCAGGCCGCTATGGTTAAGGAGCTGGAGAATCACGTTCTGAAGTGCGTGCGGGACCAGAATGGCAACCATGTCATTCAAAAGGCCATCGAGCGCGTACCATCCCAGTATGTGCAGTTCATCATCAACGCCTTCCGCGGCCAGGTCAATCGCCATGCTGCGCACCCTTATGGGTGCCGAGTCATCCAGCGGATGTTGGAGCACTGTGAGGAAGTTGACCGGGAATCCATTCTCAGCGAGCTTCACGCATCCACCTCGAGTCTCATTCCTGATCAGTTCGGCAACTACGTGATCCAGCATGTCATCGAGAATGGTGAAGCCAAGGACCGCGATCGCATGATCCAGATCGTCATGTCCCAGCTGCTTGCATACTCCAAGCACAAATTTGCTAGCAACGTGGTGGAGAAGAGCATTGAGTTTGGCGACGAAGACCAGCGCCACCACATCATCTCCACCTTGACCTCGCCGAACGAGCGTGGCGAGAGCCCGCTGCTCGGCCTGATGCGCGATCAGTATGGCAACTATGTCATTCAAAAGGTCCTCGGCCAGCTGAAGGGCGAGGAGCGCGAAGCGCTCATTGAGCAGATTAAGCCCCTGCTGAGCCAGCTGAAGAAGTTCAGCTATGGTAAGCAAATCGTGGCCATCGAGAAGCTCATCTTCGATCCCAATTCTCCTACCGCCGGCCCGCTGCCTCACACCACCTCTACCACTCCCCCGAACTCTCACAAATCCTCCCCGCAACCCCTGAAACGCACCATTCCCGCTCTGGAGCAGCCGCGGGCCCCCTTCGTGGGCACTGCGCCACCCACCCCACCCCCGACGGAGAACCAGAGCACCGTCGACGACTCTTTCGAGTCGAAGGGGCTTTTGCAAAAGCACTGTGACCTCGGTCTCGAGTCCCGAGACGGGCAGCACCGGCGTTCCCGTCCCGGTCGATGGTCACTAAGGTGCTCGCATCTCATTTGTTGCACAAACGATTCCTTGCGCCAACGTCGCTCGCACCCACATAATCTTTTCTAATGCCGATCTCCGCCACAAAATCCGGATCTTTTCTGCTTCTTTATCTATTATGGGCGTATACATACTGGACTGGAGATATCCGACCGGATATATGAAGTTATCACCACCTCCCGGCGCTGTGTTTTTCACCTTTCTGAATATCTTTATTGATCATGGCTCGACGGCGCAAAACTCAAGGGGGGTCCTGCTTCATTGTTATCTTTTTATTTTAATGCTGTGTGCCTGTTCCTGATCTTTATGTGTTGATCTCTGAACCGGCTCCTATTCTTGTGATGTGGTTCTACCCTGTTCATTATCTTTATTTCTCATGACGGTGGTGTTTTTCTGTCTCCAAATCTGCACCTCTCTTTCTTGCCATTGTCACTGTCAATGCTTCTCACTCCACGGCGCGAATCTCGGGGCTCGATCCATCTGGAACCGGCGTCTACGTGTGTTTTCCATCTGAGGGGAACGCAAAGGCCACTCGAATCTTCACGGACGCGACACATCGGATTTGAACATACTATCTCAGATCCTCATGTTCACTCGCCCTCTTCGCTATTTTTCTTTCTCTTTTTCTCTCTTCACGATCTTCGACATATGACATGGGAAAGGAGCTTGCTATCAAAGGGAAATGGAAACGGAAATGGAAATACCGGAGTGAATCACTGCTTATCTTTTTTATCTTCTGTGTGCTTTTTTTTCTCTTCTCTAAATGTTTCTTTTTTCTCGAATTTGTTGTTCTTGCATGGCACGGTATTTATTTTATGTGAACACCCCTCGGCCTCGGGGTATCTGTGGTTTCCCTCGATCTATCTTATCCCAAGATGTTCACGCATATCGGACGTGGGTGTTATTTCTTATCTTGCTTGGGTATACAGTTTTCACTTGCAAAGGAAAGTGTTGCTTATGCCTTGATCTGGGTGTTTTCGTTCTGCTCTGTTGATATTTTGCTCTTCGGTGGCTGATGTATTACCAATATCAACGTATTCTCGCAGCCAAGCTTGTCTTTCTGTGTGGTAAAGTAATTTGTCTAAATGGCAAGCAAAGAAAAGGTTCAGGTAAAAACTTCAATAGCTATCTAAGTAGCCACCAATATTATCACTGGGCAATATCGCCTCGCATCATGTTAGAATTTGTTGTGTACCATCATCCACCTACAAATGGCGCACTCACGTGACACTTTTGATAAGATCTCCGACCCACTACGAATCTCAACTTCAACCTCATTCTCAACTTTCCTCACCACGTAACTACATTCTCTCGCCCCCGAGATATCAGCAAAGCTCTGAGTGGGAACTTAGAAGTTGCTCAAACTGCCAACTCACTTATTTGCCACCAATCCATCCTTATCAAAAGCAGCCCACCCCACCTGCAACCAGTGGCGGCAAAAGAACCTCTACAAGCCATACTATCCAGGCAACCTACAACCACAAACCAGCCCCTCCAACACCAAACCCACACAGTCAGCATGTCCTCCAACGTCGGTCTCTCCACACCCCGCGGCAGCGGTACATCAGGCTACGTTCAACGCAACGGCGCCTTCCTCAAACCCCGCGCCGCAGGTTTCGGCGCACCCTACCCACCCGTAACCGGTGCCAACGGCACCCCCGACCGCGCCTTCAAACAACGTCTCCCAGACAAGCAAATCCTCGAACACGACCGCCGGCGCGCAATCGAAGTAACCGTCATGGAAGAGCGCGAGCGGTTAGAAGAAGAGAATGAGCGCATCGAAGAGGCGCAAGCCAAGGCTAAGAAGTCTTCCAAGCCTGCCAGGGAAGACAAAGAAGATGGCGAGGAAGATGAAGACGAGGATGAGGGGGAGCGCGTGCTTACGGAGGAAGAGATTGATGAGCGGTGCGAGGCGTTGCGCCAGCGTCTTGTGAAGGAGATGGAGAAGGAGACGGCGGAGGGTGGTGCGGGGGCGTCTGCGCGTGGGAAGAAGATGGCGCCTAGGGATCGGAGGAATATTAAGGCTTATCAGGTGCATGAGCTTGCGGAGGCGAAGATTGAGGAGAGTGAGCGGTTGCGGAGGGCGTTGGGGATTCGGGAGGATCGGGAGACCGGGGAGATTAGTAGTCGGCGGTTTGAGAGGCGACGAGACTAAAAGGTTGATGTTCTTCCTGGGCTTGCAATTGGGTGTTCGGATTGGGGATGCTTCTCGTTCTGATGGCGTTTTGGTTTTTTTTTCCCCCTGTTATGGACGGAGTTTTCCTCTTCTAGCATTGTACATTGGATAATTCCATATGAGCTTCGAAATGTGTCATGAATGCTTGTATACATTTTGGCCACACGGCCGAATACCAAGTGGATATCATAAACGCCGATCTATAACAAACCCCATCCCTGCTGGACTAAAAAGAACAACTCATGCAAATGACTATCATGCCACAAACTTCTCAATCACCCATCCTTCCATCGGATCCTTCCTCTGCACCACCTTCTTCGCCGGCAACGGCCACCCCGTACTCCCAGACTCGCCCACCAACGCCGGCACAACCCAGCACGATCTGCGCTGCGGAATACCCTCCAAAAGCTCTGTCTTGCCCACAGGCTTGCCATACTCGATAAGCGGCGTGTCATGCGCAATAGCCGCTAGCTGCAGGCCACTAGGCGCCACGAGCGGGAACATGCGAATCTTGGGTGTCTGGCCTGACAGTGGCGCTGCCGCTGACTGCTGCAGGTGCGAGTAGACAATGTACGGCGGCATTTCTTTCGGCGTGAGCTTGGCCAGCACAGAGGTAGGGTGCACGAAGACTGCGCGTTCAGCGATGTCATCTGCATGGCGGTCGCGCGAGCGGAAGAGCGTGAGGTACGGCACGTCGATAGCCCGGCGGGGCGCACGAGGGATTTCGGGGGGTACGGGGGCCAAGTCTGCGCGGATGGCAACATTGTCGATGAAGCCGGCTGTGACGATTTGCTTGAGCGCTTTGAGTTGCTTAGAGGAGGGTTCGGGCAGCTTGGCTGAGTAGGCACCGAGGAGGCCTGGATTGTTGGAGCGCACTATATCAGAGAGCTGGTGCCGCAGCTGGGATGCTTCTTTGAATGCCTTGGCTCGCAGGAACATCTGCTCGCAGAAGGCCTCGCCATCGGGCGCATAGGCATAGGCGCAAATGGCGGAGAGGTACTTGAGTGCATCGCTGGTGTCATCGTGTTTGCTGAGAAGCCGGTGGACGCGGGCGTAATCCTTTGAGCGCTGTTCGCGCTGCGTATCTTCGAGGCGGTCTGCGTTGGTGTAGACCTTCTCATCTTCCGAGTCACTGTCACTAGTGTCGGAGTCGGATTTCTTGCTCTTTGCAGGCTGGATCTCGTTGCCGGGGAGTTGGTTCTCCGCGACGAAGAGATCGCCAACCGCTAGGGCTGCGACGAGGGCGATGACATAAGGCATGCAGCCATGCTGATGACCGATGTAGAGCATCTTGCCGAACCGAGGCGAGAGAGGGTATGTCGAGAGACGACGGCCAATCTGGGTGACTTGCCCGCTGCTAGTGAGGGCGCCGAGATTCTTGAGCAGTTTCTCTGCTTTAGCAAGACCCTGTCGGCTTGGAGGTGTCGGGAAAGGGAAGTTGATAACGTTGTGTAAACCCATGCTCTTCATCTGGAGAACTACTCCTTCAATGGGAGTGCGGAGGATCTCAGGGTCAGTGTAATCGGCAAAATCAGCTTCGTAGACAGCCGAGGAATACAGCCGGTAACAGTGACCAGGCCCTGTTCGACCGGCTCGACCAGCACGCTGGTTTGCGCTGGCTTTACTGATCCAGCCGATTTGGAAGTTTTGAACACCAGTAGAAAGGTCGTATTGCTTCTCTTTTGACCGACCGCAATCGAACACGTACTTGATGCCAGGAATCGTCAGAGATGTTTCTGCGACGTTGGTGGCAAGGATGATGAGGCGTGAGTTTTCCGGTGGTGCCTCAAACACCTTCATCTGTTCTTTGGTTGGAAGTTGCGAGTATAGAGGCAGGACGTGCACCTTCGTTGAAGAGTCCATGGCCTCTTCACCAAGATCAAATTCCTCATCCTCTTCTGGCTCATCTAGCCCAGTGATCTCGAGATCTTCCTCATCGTCTCCTGCATTATCCATTTCCATACCACCAAGGTCCAAGTCTTCGGCTTCCAGAGGGGCATCATTGGCGGTGAACTGGACTTTGGCCTGTGTCGCATCGAGGCGCTGTGTTGGTTTGAAGGCCTGCTTGAGCTGCTTTGACAAGAGTCGAATTTCATTCTGACCAGTCAAGAACACGAGCATTCCACCCGGTGGGAGTTTCCGGTGGCCTCGGGAAACTTTGCGGAAAGCTTCCTCGACATAGTCACGCTGGGTTCGACGAGCGAAATGAATAGTCACAGGATATTGACGACCTTCGGCTTGAACCAATGGAGGCGGTCCCTCGCGGAACAGGCTTGGATTTTCTGTAAAGTCCGAAATACGAAGGGTGGCAGACATAATGACTACCTTCAACGGTTTGACAGACGGGTCCTCTTCACTCATTGACTTGCGCAGGTCCACAATACGGCTGACCATTCCAATAAGGATATCCGTGTTAACGCTCCGTTCGTGGGCTTCATCAATGATCAGAACGGAATACTTGCGCAGAGCAAAGTCATCGGCAATTTCACGTAGCAAAATACCATCTGTCATGAACTTGATGGCGGTCTTCTTGGAAACTGTCGTTTCGAATCGAATCTGGTACGAGACTTGGTCCGAATACTGACCCAATTCTTGGGAGACACGGTTCGCCATACTCACGGCAGCCACCCGGCGAGGCTGAGTGACACCAATGAGGCCTGGGTTCGGGCTATCTGGGTTGCCAAAGCCAGCCTCAAAGAGGAACTGGGGAAGCTGGGTGGTCTTTCCGCTACCAGTAGCACCCCAAATGACGATCACGGAGTTGTTGTAAATAGCCTCCATGATCTTCTGCTCCTCACCAACCACAGGGAGCCCGAGACGAGCGGCTTGAATTCCTTCAGAACGCTCGACAGGAACATTGAAAGCCTTGCGGAAGGGGTTGCCTGTAGTGACTTCAAGTTCTCTTGGAAGAGGCTCCTCCATTTCGACAGTATTTTGGGGCTCTTTTCTGGGCGGTGCGAATGCTTGTTGCACTTGATCATGAATTACCGGTCCTTCGGTTGGTTTGAAGCCTATGGCCTCATTTATTTGCTGCACAGCCCAACTTTTGAAAGCTGATTCTCTGGGCTTGATGCGACGGTCATTTCCTTCGTCTTCCCCCTCATCCTCGTCCTCCGAGTCGTCATCCGAGTCTTCCTCCTCATCAGAAGAATCCTCTGATGGTTGCCCGGAAGCATCCTCAGAATCATCGTCTTCAGAGTCATCTTTAGCATCGGCCTCAGCGTCTGAGTTGTCAGAGTCGACTTCCTCCTGCTCTTCACTCGAGTCCTCGCCATCAGACCCAAAACCTTCCCAAGAGGGCTCGGGCGCAGATGCGGATGCGGGTTTCGGCTTGGCCGCACGCTTCCGCTTTTTGATGATTGGGAAACCATCCAGTCCAACTTCAAGCGGGCGCTTCAATCCACTTCCAACAGGTCCTTGGGGTATTTGGGGCTTCGGAGCCAGTGCGAAGGCCCCTCCCAGCATTTCGAGATCAGAGTCATCGGTATCGTCTCCGGGTGCCGAGGCAGTGTGCGCATGAACCTTAGCGGGAGTTGTGTCATCTGCTTGTCTCTTGCACTTGCCCAATTCCCTCGATGTCTGGAGTGCGGAGGTGTCGAAATTCGCTTGGGCGAGCTTCTTCAGAAGCTCGATGTTCTCCTCTTTCTTGAGTTTGTTTTCCTATAATTCGTTAGAATTTTAGTGTTTGGAGATGTGAGCTTTTTTAACGTACAATGTACTTGTCCAGACGCTTCTGCTTCTTCGAAGAGACATTAGCATGCTGATCTCGCAGCTCATCTCGCAGCTTCTGCCTCCGCGCTTCCTTTTCATCTTTGGAGACTGGCGCTAGCTCCACAATGTTGGTGTCGACCGGCGTGGTTGTCTCCTGGCGCCGGTGCTTTTGTTTTCGCTCCCGGGGGACGAATTTGGGCATCTTAGAAAATCCCACCTCTAACCGGAGAAAGGATTTCCAGAAAAGCGCACTGCTGGTGCTTGTACTTGCGGGAAAAAAATCGAGGACGCTCAATGGGCGGTGGGATTCTGCCAGAGTTACCTGTGGGGAACATCTCACCGCCTTGCACCATGTAGAGGATCAACACTCCACGCGCCAAGGTACCCTCCACATCTCAGACATCAAGTTTCTACAATAATGGCTTCTCTTGACGATGCTCTGCAAGGATCTCTCGACCTTCCATTTCCTGCGGCTACTAAGCAGGTGGCTGGGATTGTGGAAGGGGTCCAAACCGACGTCATGGTCATGAACTTTAGCGATAAGATCATGCTCACCATTTCTCAAGAGGGCCGACTATCTCATTGGGTATGTTTAAACACATTGTCATACTAAAGCTGCCGTTCTTTCTTTCTGACTCTTTATAGCTTCATGTACCTCTGGGAAATCAAAATCCAGGGACTGATGGCATGCATAGTTTCCCCGAGAACACCGAGGACAGTCTTCTGCCCCTCAGCACCTTGACAGCAACATCAATTCTGGGTGGGCATGGCGCTGGACAGGATACAATCGGCCAACTCCTTGCCCGCCAAATCGGAACTGCAATTGCTACCAAGTCTCCTGCTGAGAAGCGGCTCTTGGTCGTTGGATTAGGACTTCGCACCACGGTGTCAGACCGAGATTCCTTCTTTGCAATTATCGACCTTGTTCTGCAATGCATCTAGTCTGTCTGTATGACGAAAGTGATGCGGTCAATAATTTCAACTACGTCGAAATGTTGACTCACATCCAACACCAATTTCAACCATACCCTGCGCAGCGAATGACTCCTACACTGGGAACAGACTTACCCAGGGGTTTGCCGACAGGGATGAATGGCATCCAGCTTGCAGATGACATTTGAATCCTCGAACTTGACGCCATCCCACGAGTTACAAAGTCTCAAATCTCCCCGTGGGCTATCAGGGCACCATATTTAAGACTGGACACGAGCAAGTGATGACGACAGAATGATCGGCTTACAGGCTCCACACAGGCGAGGTACCATTCACAGGTGCTTGCCGCAAAACACTCGAAACCGCAGAGCTTTTCGAGGGAGACTGTGGCTAGCCTACGCGAGCCTCTTTTGGGCCAAATGGAGACTTACGAAATACCTCATGAATGAAGTGGATAAATCTCTAGAATAAACTGCTATAGCTGGTATAGTTCTCTATTCCTTGTTGAGCAAACCACAAAAACAAACACATAAGTATTTGTATACCAATGATGAATGTCTTCGTCGTACATGAAGTCATTGTCGTTGCCAGCTACTAAAGAAGTAAAAATGGAAACCCCGCACTGCCATCTCCACACCAAGGCGATGAGAAGGAAAATAGGGGTACAAAACAAACCCACAACTTTTAGCGCGGAAGGGGTATTCACAAATGCCGCGGACTGCACAAAAAAAAGCAAATTGATGTACATAAAATCGTGTCGGGTAGGAGGGGATCATTCGAGATTTGCTGTCGTTTCAGTTTTCAGGATGGGGATTTTTCATAAAGTTGTGAGAGGGGAGGGGACAGGAAGGAGTCGTGTTGATGGAACAATGATGGAGCGAACAAGACATTCTATCAAAGCAAGACTTGAAACCAGAGAAAATGCTCAGCGACTCCAGCGAGAGAAGTCTAGGTTCTGAAGAATGTTTGTTCCGGATGCTGCATTCCATTCTGAGGCAAAGTCGGTTTGGACTGGAGCAGCACGAGTCGGCAGTTCTTCGGAGAAGATGTTGGGCTTTGTGTTGCGACGTTGGCCAGGATAGGCTCCCTCAGTAGCCTCTGCACTTTGGGCTTGGGCAGCCAGAGCCCGCTCACGAACTTTCTTGATTTCACGAAGACGGGTGCGCCAGGACGAGGCATGCTCGCCACCCTTGTTGTTCCAAACGAGAGAGAAGACCGATGCATTTAGAGCGAGAATCCGCACGAAGGGAGCCAGATTCTTACCCGAGATGACCTTCGGGGTCGCAGCAGGCGATACGTCAGGGTAGCCAGGTTTGCTCATGACTACCACAGTATAGTATAGATTCTCTGGGTCCGTTTCACCAACGGCAGTCCCTGACTCATCGTAGGCAATGCGGCTGCAAGGAGTGATCACAATATTGATGGAATTGAACTCGGATGGGATCGTGTCAAAGTTGAAAGGCAGATTGGAACGGTTGAAGACGATCGTAACGAAGTTGTTGCCAATGTTTCGCTTCTTGTTGATGCAATTGGGATCACGGTCAAAGTTCGTAGGCATCATTGTAGCAACGTGATATACGATCTCTGTCACGCGATCGCGCCAAGCATAAGTTGCCTCACCGTCAGTATCAGCATAGAGTCCTTGGGTATTGAACTGGGCATTGCGAAGAGACACTTTGGTTCCAAGACCAGACAGGAAGTGTTCATAGTCTGGGGAACCGCCGGTGTTGGCAAGAATTTCAGCCTCTTTGCTCTGACCATTGTCAAGATAAACGACTCCGATTCGATGGCCGTCCACAATGTCGGTGCGATCAAAGTTGGCAATAGCTCGCCTGGTTATGTCGTCCTCAGGAACCGGAATGGGTTGCATCACTGTTGGAGTAGGGAAGGCTGTGGCAGTGAGTTGGAGCAGGATGTGGCTGGGCAAAATAGCCGTGCGCATCGCATCGGAATGAAGATGAGCGTCTGGAGTTGGGGGCATCTGGTGCGGTAGAACAGGGGCCGTTCGTTGCTGATACATGGAGTATGTCGTTCCTGACGCCTGACGCTTTGAGAGCTGGGTAAGCCCGGAGATACCCGCCGTCTCAACAGTGACAATACTCATACCCACAACCCATGATCTCTTGGATACAGGGCCGTCCTCGGGAGTTGGAGGGAAAGTCTCGTACGGGATGGTCTCACCCAAGTCCGTAAACGCCACACGCTGCATCAAATCGATGAAAACCTGGCTCTGTTCCTCGACGACTTCCTTTCCATGTTCATCGTGGAAAATGAGTCTGCTGGTGATCCAATTGACATGCTTTGGACGATCCTGAAGCTTCAAAGACAGATACCAGAATACCATGACACTGTATGTGAGAGTCATGATGTACTTGGACATGGCATCATGCGAAGCGGTTTCCGTTGCTTCGGCTGCGCTCGGGGCAATTTCCCGCGCACCGCCGCTAAGTCTTGCTTGCGGCTGCTGGGGAGGACGTGCACTTGTTGACTCAGATGCCTTGTGGCGTTGTTCCTGCTCTCTAGAGGTCTGCAAGAACCGAACGCAAATCCCAAACACAGTGCGAATTTCCTCTTCACGGAGATTGACGTAAACATCTGGTAGACGCGCGAGCAAAGCCAAAAATTCTAGAATGTGGACGGCAATATTGGACATGGTGATAACCTTTGACATTTTGTCGAGAATGTTATTCAACGACTTTGTCACCGACATGGGAATTTCATGGCAGCAAAGCGAAAGCGCCTGAATGCACCCACGGGAGGTAGCACCCCAGGATCCGATGATTCCAAGCATGAACGCTCGTACCAGGTCATCTTCTTCACTTTTAGCGAAGTGCTCGTGATAGCTGACAAGCATGCAGAGTGTATCGAAGATACAAGCAGCGACATCGCTCTTCTTTAAGCCAGTGAGCGCAGGTGGCTCGTGGAAACTCTCATTCTTGACCTGATCGCATAAAATGCTCCGTAGAAGTTTGATCTGAGGAATCGAGTTGCTGAAGAACTCCTTGTTGCTAAGCTGGGGTCCAAGGTGCGTAAGAACGTAGCTGTAAACGTCCCAGTCGGTCTCCCGCTGCAGAAGCGAGATCACGCATTCAACCCACATGTTCACCTTAAGAACACCTATCAGCGCCGGTGTAGAATCAGCAGGAGTCGAAGCACCATTGCTCTGCGCATGAGCAAAGACGAAGGGGCTGGACCCCTCAGATGGCTGCTCTGGGAGAACCTGGGGCTGGGCGTATGTCCAAACTGGTGGTGTCAACTTTGATCCACGAGCCGAAATCGAGCCTCGGGGGCTTGACTTGGATAGGAAATTCGCAGGAAGTTCTTTGGCGGGGATTTTCCCGCCCATTGGGGGGATCAAATTATCCTGCTGAGGAAGATCTCTCATAGAGCTCTCACTGGTCGAATGCAGCAAAGAGGTTACATCGACATTTCGTCCGAGAACATTCATTAAGAAATCATGCTCCGAAGTTGAGACCACAGTGATAGCCCCGAGCGAGTCACATCGAAGCCGGAACAGTAGCTTCAAGACGGTAAGGCGAGCGTCGGCTGGGCGGTCAGGGGACTGTGCGATCTGTAGCAAGGCCTCGAATATGATGATGGACTTGGCGGCCGAGGTATTCAAAGCACGAATCATCATCTTGACCAGACCCACCGCGCAGACATTCCCCAGTGTCAGCTCTAAGATGCTCGTGGATGTACGACGCGGAGGATGACTCGGTGATGTCTCACGCGTTTCCTCTTTCGCCGGATCTCTCCCCATTGGCGCTGCAATGGTGTCGATTAGACGCTTGAAGCCACCGTCGTCATTGGAATTGATAGCGGGCTCTGTGATGAACGAAACAAGCGACTCCAAAAATAGCAGATCATGCTCGGCCGAAAAGTCTGCGAGTAGAAGATCCAGAAAGCCGTACTCTTCCGAGAAAAGTAAATGCTCATTGCCTGCGAGAGCCTCTTTGAGCGTGTCTAGGGCTAGGATGCGAATGTCTGAAGACTGCTTCCGAGGCTGAATGAAGCGCTCGATGATCTCCTGGCAATGCTGCACCCAATTGGACCCCTCAGAAGGATGGCAAAGTGTGTCCTCCCTCATCATATTGATGATGAGTTCTGACTGAGAAGGATCGATGTATTGATGATTCTTTGCCAAGAATCGAACCGCTTGTTGTTTTTGTTCTTTAGTAAGCTGTTCCCACAGAGACTCCACAACGGATGTTATCCGTATGATATTTGCAAGGATATGAGACTTGATATCATCATGAGTAGTTTTGACATGCGGTGGCTGTGGGCTGGTTGGAGAAGTGACCGGATCGTCGTAGTCCTCATATACTCTCCGAGAGCAGAGCAGCAGCAGATCAACAAAGGCCGTCCATCCATGGGCGAGAGAGATGCGGCTATAGTCACTTTCCAGTATATTTAAACACAAGTCCAGAATGTCTGCATCCACTCGGCCGTCATCTTTCTGGGCAATAACCATCAGAGAGTCGATCAACTGGTCGAAGGAAATTTCAGGCATTCTGTCCTGGCCGTAGGCTCGAGCAAGGTCAGAGAAGATGTAAAGAGCTCCACGGTGAACGTTCAGATTCCGTGGAGAGTCTTCAGCACATGATTCTCTTAAGAAACTATGGAGGGTTGACACCATTTCCTCTTGCTTTGATGACTTTGCCAGGCTGCGGACGGCCCGCGACGTCGGCCCAGAAAGGGATTTGACGGAGGCATGGATGCTGCATAGAACTTCCAAGAGAGGGACAAAGCTTGCGTCGGGTACGCTCGCGTACATAATAACGGCATCAAAAACGGCCAGTGAGTTCTTGATATCGGTGGCAACGCTTGTCTTCTTGCAGATAGTGAATGTCTCCATGAGAAGCATCTCGATTTCCTCTGACGTTGGAGCCTTGCGCTGGAGGGTGACAAGATCTACAGCGAACTGAAAGAGATCTCCCAAAATTGCTTCATCTTGAACAAGCTCGTTTGGTTTGAGCGCCTTCCCCTTCTTCGCTTTAGAACGTGTTGTCGCAATTGTCAAGTAAAGAGGGACAATCCATGAGGAAATGATATGAAGGATAGAGGAGCTGGTAAAATCCAGCTTTCTGCCATGGTCTGACAGAGCGATCAGCGCCTGGACTCGGGCGGCAATCACATCATTTTCGGTCGGTGATATGATTGATTCAAATACTATACGTCTAGCGGTGGGCGACAAGTCTTGGCGGGAAGCGATCGCCTCAAGTAATTTGGCACCGACTTTCTGAGCGTCACTGGAGCTCTCATGATCAAGCAGATACTCCGCCGCCTCCCACAACGCCAGAGACTGTTCGGGTGTGAACCATGACAAAGTTCTCGAGACTAGGTCAGCCTCATCAATGGCCTGACTCAAGCTCTGCTTTTGAGATAGAATCCGCAAAGAAGCCTCGAAGTCAGGGCCATGAGGCGCGTCCGAAGAGCTCGAGACAACGCTTCCGCGATGCATAGCTTCGAGTCCGAGGACAAGTCGATTAGTCCCTCGGCTGTCTGTTGTATGGGAATGAGAGTCACTGCTACTATCTTGCAGGGATACGGGAGAATTCGATTTTGGACGACCAACGCCTAACGTCTTGAAGACATCCGCGAAGCTCGAGGAAGAAGGTTTGTGTTGGGGTGCTGGTGGAGCATCGTCGGAAGACATCCGCCTGATTACGGTAGAGGAAATTCAGGTCAAGAGAGTGGAGAGAATTCTTTATCACGAAGTCAAGTCAGTATGAGCCATTATATCACCTGAGTCACGGATAGTGCTATCAGGAGGGCGGAGCTAGTGTAGCCGTAGGGCCCACCCAAAAGGAGACTGACCTTTACTCATATAGGTTGACGAGAGCTCTTTACCCTAAGGGCCACTCCTAGAGGACCGTTGTGCACATTCAGAGCCTGACACAGCGCGTGGTGGAGCTGTGACAAAGGTACACCTTTGGTAGTCCGTGTTAAAAGCGGGATCCAGGAGGACCGTGTGAGCGATGGAAGAAACCGGAACGTGAGAGCCACCAGCTTGATGCAGGCCGTTAAACTGCAAGTTGCCAAATGGTGCCTCGGACTGAGGGAAGACAATCGCAAGTGGAAGGGTATACAAGAGAAAATGAGATCACGGGCAATGAGGTTATTCCAGCCCAAGTCACCTGAGGCCTATGATGTGACCGCTCCGCCTTGAATCGAAGGCAGAAAATTATAAGGAAAAGTCAAAGTGGGGGTTAGTCGACAAGGCGGTGAAAACACCGGGCTGAGTGAACTGGTCTAGCCGCCTCAGGCATAAACTTACGAAGGCATTGAGGAATTAAGGCATCCAAAGCAGAAGAGCATGTGACAGACTAGCCACCTTAGGGTTAGTGTGTTGACGCAGTGGGCTGCCCGTACAATTATCTCAGCGAAGCCGCCTTCACTATTTATTATGGTCGTTGCCATTTGAGGTCTGCTTTGTTCTGGTTCCCATTCAAACCCCCAAGTCTATTTCTCCCACTACCTTCGCCCCTTGGTGACCTCTCTTTCAATTCCTCCTTGGGTCTGCTGCCTCGACACTCTTCTTGAACAGCTGCCCCTCGCTCTTGTTGACACCCCACGTAACGGTGAAAATGGCGGAGGCTCTGGGAGCTCTGTTGGAGGCAAGCTTGGATCCGCGCCGAAACAAGGAAGGTATGTGTCTCCGTGGAAATATTGATGCAGAATCCGTCTAATGGTTGGCTGTGATTGAAAATAGCCGAGCTTGCCCTACGACAGGAAGAACTAAAACCGGGCTTTTCGCTGCAACTGCTCCAAATCTCTGCGTCCGATTCGTCTCCCAGCGATATTCGCCTTGCTAGCGCCCTTTGCTTCAAGAACTTTGTCAAACGCAACTGGACCAACGAAGATGGAAACTGGAAGCTGCCCCAAAACGAGGTTGAAACAATCAAGCGCGAGTTGATCAACCTGATGATCTCAGTCCCTCCCTCGATTCAGACTCAGCTGGGCGAGGCTGTCAGCGTGATCGCTGACAGTGATTTCTGGGAGCGATGGGATACTCTTGTTGATGTACGTGGCCGTGGGAGCTGGTTCGCGCTGGAATAATATGGTTGACCTTTGTTTTTCTTTGCTGCATAGGACCTCGTTTCGAAGCTGTCGCCATCCAACCCTACGGTCAACATTGGTGTGTTGCAAGTTGCACACTCGATCTTCAAGCGCTGGCGCCCGCTTTTCCAGTCGAACGAGCTTTACATGGAAATTAATCACGTTCTTGAGAAGTTCGGTACTCCGTTCCTGGCCCTGTTCGAGGTAATTCCGACACCCTTTCCTTCAATCTGCCTTTGTGCCCTTTCCCCCCCGCCTCCAAATTTTGGATGGCCTTGGGATACGCGCGTTGCTAATGAAGAATCTTCCCATAGGGCCTCGACACTTATCTTGAACAAAATCAGGCCAACAAGGAAAACTTGACACAAGGTTACAACCAGCTGAACTTGATGATCAAGTTGTTCTACGACCTCTCGTGCCACGACCTGCCCCCTATGTTTGAAGATAATATCGGCGCAATTGCTCAGATTCTGCTCAAATACCTTACATATGACAACCAACTATTACACACTGATGATGAGACGGAGGCTGGCCCGTTGGAGTATGTGCGTGCCGGAATTTTCGAGGCTCTGACTCTATACGTTCAGAAGTTCCTCGATGCATTTGGACCCCACGTTGGACAGTTCATCCAGAGCTCCTGGAGCTTCTTGACAACCATCGGGCAGGAGACCAAATATGATATTCTTGTCAGCCGTGCCCTCCACTTCTTGACCTCGGTCGCTAGCATGCCTGAGCATGCTCCCTCGTTCCAGGCCGAGGAGACCCTGGGACAGATCATTGAGAAGGTTATTCTGCCCAACGTGAGCCTCCGTGAGTCGGATGAGGAGCTGTTCGAAGACGAGCCGATTGAGTTTATCCGTCGGGATCTAGAGGGATCCGACAGCGAGACGAGGCGGCGCGCTGCGACGGACTTCCTTCGACGACTGGCCGAGAAGTTTGAGGAATCCGTGACCAAGGTGACTCTGAAGTACACTGAGCACTACCTTGCCGAATATGCCAAGGATCCCGCCTCAAACTGGAAGTCCAAGGACACTGCGACCTATCTGTTCTCTGCAATTGCAGCCAAGGGCGTTGCCACCTCTACGCACGGTGTGACTGCTACGAACAACCTGGTCAGCATCACCGACTTCTTCCAGCAGCACCTGGCTGCAGATCTTATCTCCGATGATGGAGTCCACCCAATTCTCAAGGTTGATGCTATCAAGTACCTGTACAATTTCCGCAGCATTATTACCAAGGAGCAATGGCAGCAGGTGCTTCCTGTGTTGGTGAAGCATCTGGCTTCTGCGAACTATGTTGTCTACACATATGCTGCGATTGCCGTGGAGCGGGCTCTGTTCCTCAGTGACGCCCAGGGACAGCCCGTCATTCCTCCTGCTGAGATCACACCGCTGTCCAAGGAACTTCTGGAGCATATCTTCCAGCTAATCCAGCGCGACCCAGCTCCCGAGAAGGTCCAGGAGAACGAGTTCCTGATGCGCTGTGTGATGCGTGTGTTGGTCGTCATTCGTGAGGGTGTCGTCCCTTTCACGGATGTCGTATTGAACCGCCTTATCAGTATCACGGATATCATCCGCACCAACCCTAGTAATCCGAAGTTCTACTACTACCACTTTGAAGCCATGGGTGCTTTCATCCGGTAAGAGTCTACTTTCTCGCTTCCCATGTTTTCGTCAAGAGGCTCACTGTTCCCAGATTCGCTGCCCCCGCGAATCCCGACAAGCTCGAGCAAGCACTATATGCACCATTCGCGGGAATTCTCCAGAACGATGTGCAAGGTAAGTTCATAATATGGCAATTATTTAATCCCTTCACTCTTCACTGTGCTAAGGTCTTAATCCTGTCACAGAATTCATGCCGTATGTGTTCCAGCTTTTCGCTGCTCTTCTTGAGGCCAATCCCTCTGCGACTCTGCCTACCTACTATCAAGAATTGATCGCACCAATCTTGATGCCGGTTATGTGGGAGTCCCGAGGCAACATTCCCGCACTTGTTCGCCTGCTTTCCTCCATCATCCCTCGTGGCTCGCAGTTCATCATTGAGCATAACCAGGTTGAGCCTATTCTGGGTATCTTCCAGAAGCTTTTGGCGACCAAGACCAACGAGGGCTATGGCTTCGATCTCCTGGAGGCCGTGGTTGCAACTTTCCCACCGTAAGTGACACACCATTCTAGTGTATTGGAATAGTCCATTGAACTAAAACCATCCCCTAGTGCCGCTCTGGAGCCGTACTTCATCCAAATCATGCAGATTATCCTTCAGCGCCTGCAAAATTCCAAGACCGAGAACTTGTCGCTTCGATTCGTCCGGTTTTACCACTTCCTGAGTGCCCATGACGACAAGGGATACAGTCCGGACACCATCCAGCAGATTTGTGAAAAGATCCAGCCGGAGTAAGTTGATCCAGGGCTTAACCTCTACGCCTCGTACTGACCAATTATGTGCTAGTCTCTTCAAGGGCGTTTACCTCCAGCTCGTCCTCGCTGACACTCAGAAACTTGCGCGCCCCCTGGACCGCAAGACTGCAGTCATCTCACTGACCAAGACTCTTGCCAACTCGGAGGCTTTTGCTACCAAGTATGTTAAGGGTTGGGCGTTCACCTGCAACACTCTGTTGAAGCTCCTTGAGCTTCCCCCCGAGGTTGTTCACAAGGATGACATCATTGAGATTGATGCGGAGGAGATGTCGTTCGGCGTTGGATTCACTGCGCTGAACACCATCCGTATGCAGCCCAAGGACCCATGGCCTGAGACCGGCGTTGATCTCAAGGCCTGGGTCGGCTCGTACCTGAAGGAAGCGGACAAGAAGAATGGCGGCCGAGTCTCACAGTTCGCCCAGGACCGTCTTGATGACCAGGCCAAGGCAGTTCTTGGAAGCTACATTTCATAAGTGACTTAGATTTGGGGGTGAGGGTTTCAGGCGTTGCGTTGCACAGGCCAGGGGGAGCAGTAATGATTTTCCTTTGTTCCTAAGAAAACTACAAAAAGTTGACGTTTGAACCACGCGCAGTCTGCCCGGGAGATTGCTGGGCGATGGCGTGTACGCAATGATGAATCTCTAGATGGGTGGGCTGTTGCTCCATCATCTATCTGATAGGATATGCCCAATGGATATTTGTCGAAGAACAATGTTCTATGCGTAATATACAATGTACAAAAATACACAGGGTATCATTATGCCACCCTTGTTCACGTTGACGGACTCTTCTCAGACGTGCCTGTCTCAGTCGTCCGTGCGTCAACATTCGCGTTCGCATCAAAATCCCCATCCCCATCCCCATCCACAACCTCCCCCTCCTCAGCACCCTTCTCCAAATCCCGATACTTCCTCCGCGCCTTCTTAACTTTACTAGCCTTCTTCTTCCTGGCCGCCTCGGCCTTCAACGCAACCCGACTCTGATCTCCTTTCTCCTGTGCCTCAACTTTATCCGCTAATAGTGAGCGCGCAATCTTCTCGTTCTGCGAGCGTGAGCGCGTCGCTTGGCATTTGACGACGATGCCGGAGGGGCCGTGGATGATTTGGACGGCGGAGTTGGTTTTGTTCTGGAAGTTTGTTAGGGGTGTGACTTTCGGGGTATTCTGCAGGGCATATATCAGGTTTCTCTGGCTGCGTACAATCTTCTGGCCACCGGGTCCGGTGCCTTTTAGGTAGGATATTGTCAGGTCGGCATCGTTGAGCTTGAGGCGGGCTGGGAGGGGTTTGGAAAGGAGGATGGGTGATTTGGTGAAGGAGCGACGGGAAAGTAAAGATGTAGATGGAGCGTATGATGTATGTGGGCTTGAAAAGCCCCGGTGTATCCGGGGCCAGAGGTGTGGACGGAGCATTGTGGCTGATTTCTCTCAAGAAGAGGCCGGGCAGTGGCGGTGGTGATGTTTCATGGATAGCTTCACCGATAGCGGATAAGATAACAGATAAGATAGTCGATCACCACGATACGCTCCGGGAGTTCGCGGATGCTTCTTTTTGTCTCATTGCGGCTTGAGGTTAAGATCCACCGCTATCAGCGGGGATATGCTTTGTTTTTAGGATCGTGAGTGCTTGACAGGTACGGATTGATACTCTGGTGAGTTTGGGCAGCTGTATGGGCACGTTTATTGCATAACCATGTAATTTCCCAGGCCACGGAATACTTCATTAGTCCTCCAGTAGGTATATAAAGTTCGTTTGGAATTATGAGTTTATGAGTTAAACTCTTGGAATCTTGTATGTAGCTAAGCTGCGAATTTTGTATCGATTGAGCTTTGTGCTTATAGGTATAGGTAATTGCTGTGGTCAGGCACAATGCCTGCATATCGGCTCTTCGGTATCGAGGTAATGGGCCTCGCTCAATGGCGAGGTTGAAATGTGGACGGAATACGCGATGCGGGAGTCGATTTTGTCAAATGATTGAAATTCTCAATCGTCTTTCTCAGTCTGTTTCATGGCAGCCTAGTTTTCGGCTTGATCTGCCTCCGAGGCCCGTCACGGAATCGATTACTTGAACAACCGACAAAGTATAATGGGGACAGGTTGACGTACACCTGGTGGGACAAACCTCAGGTATTGGCGGGCATTGATAGGTTAATCATACTCTTCTCTGTCGATACGCTTGGATCGACTGGATAAAACCATAATACGAGGATACGAGACCCTGATTGACAGGTTCACATCTGCAACAGGCTGGATCCCGTCGGCAGGAGCACGGCCGAGACGTGGCGAAGCCAAAAGCGTCCCCAACTCAACCAAAAAGTCAAAAGGGGGCAGGAATAACTAATTTTTCCCGAGTCCGTTTTGCCTGGACGACTCCAGATTTCCCTCTCCATCACTCGCCAGTCCACTCAATTCCTTCTTCCTACGGTCGCTCAAATCCGTTCTCTCGTTCCTTTTATCCTTATTTCCCGTTCACCACCAAGATTGTGGTCGCGCCTGTCCTCGTGCCCCTGAACTTCGCCGACTTCTCTCCTCCACCAACTCCCAATAGGAGCTACTAAGCCGCCACATCCCCACAACCGTCGGCCTTCCCCAGCACTCACCAAAGCCTGTCGATCACGCCAGTTGTGCTCGTTTGCCCATCCTGACTGTGCTTCCAAGCACTATGGTGGCATAGGGCTCCCGTTCGACTACCCATTCCCCCATTACCAAACCCGCCACACTTTGCCTCGGAGTCCTTGTGGGCCAACAAACTAGGCTACTCAATCTGAGCTTATCGGCCATTCGAGGAGACCGACCCAGTGTGCCAAGCCATCGCTTCGTCTCTGCTTGCGCCAGCTTCTGACCAAGGGGCCATTCGTGCGAACCCACGACGAGGAAAGGTGTCACTGTAACCGACCGTAACCTGCGCGCCCATTCAACCTCAACCTCGTTGAACCGCCTCCATCTGCGATTGAACCGAAAAGCAACATAACGAGGCCGAAAAGCCTTGATCAACCTCTTCTGCGACGCAGCCATGGCTCTCTTTCTCTGGATCCTGACCAGCTTTGTGCGCTGGGTGCGCCTAAAGATCTACCAATATGAGGTAACCTTTGCCATCTACATGCTCACCCCAACCGAGAAATTCATCTTCAGTACGTTGCCCCCGTGCTAGGTTTCTGCCTGCGGCCATTAAAACTAACCCCCTCTTCTCTCTCGTCAAACAGACTCCCTCCTCCTCACCCTGATCACCATGATCGCCACTGGTATCTACATTTACCTCCCGGACCACCTCCGCTCTATCTACGGCCACCTCTACTACTACTGGGTTGGAGAGCGACCGTTCATCTCCAACCGCTTGACCTCCTCAATGGGCTCTGTCTTTGGTGACGCCGCCACACAGAGTCTTGAGGTTATATATGAGACGGCCAAGACTGCTGCAGCGGCTGCCACGACGACACAGCATCTTGCTGAATTGTAACCTGTGAATAGTGTTGCCCCAGGAGTTTGGGAAGTTGGGAGAGGACATGGGTGATTCTGAAGACCGGCGTGGGCAAGGACCACAACCCAATGCCTTTTTGGCCGGCTGGCGCATACTCGGCGTTTATCATTTTCCCTATTGGATTCTCGTATCCTGTTCCGGGGATTGACCATGCATTAAAACGTCTCGCCACGGATTTCTTGCCGACTTGATTCGTTCATTCGCCTGGATATTCGTTATTGGCCGTCACATTGATAGGCACGCTTTGCTGAGCGCAGATATCTATCATTAATTGATATCCTTCTGTGCTACCCAAACGGTCTCTGGCTGGCGACAATGGCCTAGGATTAGTCCATGGGTGGTCTATTTGCGACGAAGAGGATTTTTCTTTCGGAATATCTGCACAACATACTTTTCCTGTCGGCGGGATAATGCCTATACTGAATGAGGCCGCAATGCCGATAATATGTAATGTAATATAAAGATCATGAAGACGTCAAAGAAATGATACATTGAAGTCCCCAAGTCGAATTTGGTAAATCCAGAACCTGTAAACGCCCAAAATGCCCAGAGCAGAGTATTGTTGTACAATCATCCATCCATCTCACGCGTGCAACTCTCTCACACACGCCACACCAATCATGGCGACACTGACAAGCCCCGCGGTAGCAGACGGAGCAAGACCAAGCGCAATCTACACAGGCGGAAGGCATACCACAGTCCAGCCGGCCCTTTTCAGGCTCAGAAAGTCTCCCCTTTTTTTTATCAGCACACACTCGACCGAATGACTTCCCCTCATTGTCCGGTCTGCGACTGCTGTGCATCCGCCTGCGCCTGAGCTGCCAATGCAGCCTGCTCCTTCTGCTGCCGCTCTCGTCGGAGGGCGTCCACCATGCGCATGCGCGACAGCTCCTTGTCGATCTCCTCCTTGTCCAGCGGAATCTTATGTGATTGTTCGGCGGTGGGCCAGAAGTTCGTCACGTTGAAGCGGTCGTCGAGGTTTGTACCGAAGTAGTACATCCAGCCAATGGGGAAGAGGACGTACATGCCGAACTGGAGGGAAAGAGGCTTAGTATGGGTTTAAAAATATAAAGGCATTGAAGAAGCCGCAGTTGAGTGATAAGTGAAGATGAGTTCTATATGGACGCGGGACTTACCTTGAAAACTTCCAGGTTCCCGCCCTGGAGTCGGCGGAGGATGTTTGAGATCATTTTGGCAGATGGAACACTCGGCAAGGAGCTGTTGTACGCAGGAAAATATTGCAAATATGAGCAGTATCTCCGGGATCTCTGCAGCTCGAGCAGTGGGCGACCGAACGATGCAAGACTCGGGATCTGGATATTGTCTGATGCGCCAGTCACGGGCTTGATGATTCAAACACCGCAAACAGGGCAAACAGTGCAAACACACCGCTCTTGATCGATGGATTACGTAAACGATCATCCCAGTCACCTGACCTACCGCGGGCCTCGGCTTGCGGTGGTTCCCCCGCAAAACAGCCGGACAGGCCGTGGTGCCTGCCACGCGCCGAGCTTACCGGGGGTTTTGTTCCATGCACAATTATATGATCGTCTGTGTCCATAGAAAACCTCCCTCGGACCCAGACTGATTTAGCTCCAACACACCAAGAGCACCAATTTACACCAAAAATTGCAACCATGTCCAACGAGCAGCTTATCACACTCACTTATCGAGACCGTGTCGCAATCGTCACGCTCAATCGACCTGATAAGCTGAATGCTCTGAATCAGGAGCTCTACTACCTCCTCGGCGAGCGCCTTCGGGAAATTGACCAGCGCGAGGATATCTACATCACCGTACTGACCGGCACAGGTCGATTCTTCTCTGCGTACGATCTATAACCCCCATACAAGCCAATCCTCTCCAAACCCTAACCAAGCTAACCCAATTTTCCCAAACACAGCGGCGCAGACGTAACAAGCACCCGCCCCAATAGCGAGCTCGGCTCCAGCGTCCGCCGTGAACTGGTCAAGGGCTTCGTCGCTAACAACGTCGACGTAACCCGCACCTTCTACAACCACAGCAAGATCCTCGTCGTGGCCCTAAACGGGCCCGCCGTCGGCCTCTCTGCCGCCCTCATCGCTCACGCCGACTTCATTTACGCTGCCCCGCACGCCTTTGTGCTAACTCCCTTCTCATCCCTCGGCCTCGTCGCCGAAGGCGGCGCCAGCCGCGCATTCGTCGAGCGTCTCGGCATCGCCAAGGCCAACGAGGCACTCATCATGAGCAAGCGTATCCCCTGCGAGGAACTGGTCGCGGCCGGGTTCGTGAATAAGGTCATCGAGGCTGATTCGAAGAATAAGGAGGATTCGACGGGTTTCTTGAAGAATGTGCTGGCCGAGGTTGATGATCGATTGGGTACGCATCTGAATCAGTCGAGTTTGTTGAAGATTAAGGAGTTGGTGCGGCGGCCGGAGAGGGAGATTCTGGATCGTCAGAATGGGATTGAGGCGTTTATGGGTCTTGAGCGGTTCATGATGGGTGTGCCGCAGGAGGAGTTCCGGAAGTTGGCGTCTGGTGAGAAGAAGCATAAGCTGTAGACTGGGGATCAAGTGGATTTCAGGTTATTATGTGTACATAGTTCTGTCCGGAGACTTAGATTTCTAAGAATTTTTCTGAAGATTGGATCATAGGTATTGATGCATTAGGTTTCAGAATACCCGGTAGGTAGCCTGGAAGCTAGAAGGTTCACGACACGATTTTATAAACAGTTCATTTATAAATCTACTTTTGTCCGATCTATATAATTGAACCGGCCAGCGCCATGGTATCCAGCAGCAACGCCTCTCTTTCGATGTATAGTTACAATTGGTCCATTTAGTTGGACTCGTTGCCAGTGTCCTGATCCTCTCGCTCCTGCTGCTTCAGAATCTCCTGCCACTTGCCCAGGAACTCGCTCATACCGCCAGGCCCCGCCAAAGATGCATCAACAAGCTCCTTTGGCACCTTATGAGCCGAGAACTGCGGTGTGTTGAAAGAATATGACTCCGGGTCATCCTTCTTGATAAGACGGAACTCCGGCAAGAAAGGTGCGAACTGATCATCTCCCTCAGCAGTAGTATTCTCTACCTCTTCGTCCTCCGAAACAGAATCTCCCTCAGCTTCTCCATCGGATGGGTGAGTCATAATGCTACCATCCCGAAGGGAGATGCGCACAACCTCTTCCTCAAGCCCATTATCCGCCTCCTCTTCGAAGCCGATAGGGTCCTTCATCCGGAGGATTTCCAACCAGCTAAAGAGAAGCGGATCGGTCCGCTGTGCCCAAGGGTTGATATCAATCAGCCAGACGCGCTGATGCGGAGCCGGAATATATACATCAAAGGTGAAGTTGGGATCGGGGAAAGTGTCCCGCAGCTTCTCGTCGAAGAACGATTGAATCCGTGATCGAAGCATATCGCGCATACCAAAGAGGAAATCGAAATGATTTTGGTCACGTTGGCACATGCAAAGCAACTTGCGATTGCGTACGAAGCATCGGAACTCGAGGGACGGGTTAAAGTTGACGTATTGCCTTAGAATCAGGTGGTACGGCACGTCTGGCAGGGTGTCATCTGAAACTTTGCCATTGATGTTGTCTGGTTCGCAATCGTCGAAGGGGTGCTCGAGATCATGCGTGATGAAATCGCTACTTTTGAGGAGTAGGTATATATCGTTAGGCGACCGGCATTCGGTGTCATTTGTTGCGGACATGAACGTTGCGTCTTTGGGTGCGCTCCAATTCAGCTTCGGGGTGACCTTGCCGCCCAGTTCTGCAATGGTGTTCTTGATCTGAGCATGGATCTCTTGCCACTCCGCAGATGGATCCTCCTCTCCCTCCTCGGAATCTTCGTATGCATCAAGCTCGTCATCCTCTCTCGGAGGTCGGACTTCAGGTGGAAGAATAATGCCGTCGGCACGGAGGTAGTTCACAAAGGCGGGCGTGAGGGGAATAAGACGTGATTTTGGAATGAGTGGACGATACCTAAGCTTGATTATTAGGACTGGTCACAAATGATTAGGGTTAAGAGGCAAAAGCATACCGAGGGTGCCAGTCATGGTAGGAGCAATGGAGAATATGGGAGTAGGTCACAGGCGGAAAGGGCAGACGATCGGGCACCTCGCGTGATGAGGCCTCTACCGGCGTATTTTCTGTCTCCATCATCGGCATTCTCATCTTCTAAATAACAGACTTGTCAGGCAAACCCATGGAGGGGAATCGCGGGGACATTTTTCTTTGAGTCACCTGCCGATAACGATAGATGACATAAGCCCGCAGCCACCTCAGGCACCCAAGCGGAGTTGGTGATTTGGTCCCAACGCGGTCTTAAACTTCTCGCAACACCGTCGTCAGCATGGCCCCTGAGGCTCCAGATCCCCAGAGCCTGAAGTCATGGCAAGATGCATTCCAGTATCCCATTCCTACGGTTCGCCGTGTGGAGCAGGAACTGCGACGGGACATTGCAAGCAATAAGGAGAAGCTCCGAGCTCTCGTGGGGTAAGTAGTCCATGACTGACATGAGCCTTGGTCGCATGGGTGCTGATTTCATGTACTCGGACTAGGACGCGATATCGAGAGCTTGTTGGAACGGCCGAGACAATTGTGGAAATGAACAAGGAAATACAAGACGTGGAGGCTACCCTGGCCGATGTTGGACGACGATGCAACCCGCGACTTGTGGAGAAGAAGCATCTTCATGCGCGGCAGATGAAACGCGAAGCTACGGACACAGGTGCGATATATCTTATCTGTGGCTGGGAGACTCAATTGCTCACATGGCCGCTAGATGCTGATAAGCATACCTTTGTAGCGCAACTGGCTCTGCTACACCGCTGTACAACTTCCGTCACTCTTCTATTGCGCAAACGGGCTTCAATGCTACTTGTTGCTAAGGTCCTTGTTGTATTTCGACTACTGCTCAAGACTCTCTCGCAAAACCCCTCGATCCCGCCATCCCTGGGCGATTTGCGTATCCAATTGGCCTCTCTGCGCCGGACTCTTCAGAAGCGAATTGATACACTTCAGAAGCGAATTGATAAACGGTTGACCACCGCCACTGGCTCAGATGATAGCATAATTGAAGCATTGGCTGCGTTCTGTCTCGCCACGAGTTCTTCATCCGACGATGCTATCCGTCACTTCCATCAAGTTCGCCTTGATATTATTACCGGCCAATTGGATTCGTCCCACGAAAATATTCCGAAAGCCCTTCGATTGTTCATTCGCACCCTGCAGAACTCGAAGGTCTTGCGATCTCGTCAATTCTCTGACGTACTCTCCAAGCTCAAGACGAGACCCATTCTCTCTGATCCAGAAGTCCGCGGCTTGGACGGCCTCGAGATCGAGCTACTGTGTCGTTGGGCCGCTCCAGAGGTCATCAATTTCACCCCGTGGATTAAATTGAGTGAGCTTGGCCGGTCTGAGGGACATCAGTCTATCAAGGAGTGGTCTTCACTGGCCTTTGAAAGATTCGCGGAAGGAAGCCAGAAGGCCCTCTCTCAGAGCAATGGCTTCGCCGAGCTCCTCTCTTTACGTGCTGAAACCATCGAATCGTGGTTATCTTCTTGGGGCTCAACTGTTTCCCATGGACCGGAGAATGTCCTTGAACGCCTACGAAACATTTTCAACGATCATCTTAAACAAATGCTGACCACCCAGATCCAGACAATCGATGACATTGCGGGCCAAATTTCATCGACCGTGTCGAAATGGGAAGCGTCTGAACATGCCTCAGTTGGGTCCCTCTGGGATTCTGATCTGATCACCGCGGACTACTCCAACGGAGCGTCTACTTTCAAACATGCTGTCGCAGACCGTCTTCTTGGACGGGACGATGATGTGTCAGCAGTGTTGACAAAGTACAAGTCCTGGCTGGCGTCTGTTCAGGAATTGAATGAATCAATCGAGGCTCTGCGCCGCTTCAAGTGGACGGACGTACTTGTCGGTGGCGAAGTAGAGGATGAAGATATCGACGTCGCCCCGCGACTGAATGACGAAGACCCTCGAACCCTCTCGAATTCTCTCCATTCGGCTGTCCATCAGGCTTACCAAAGTCTCCAAGATTCTTTCAACGATGCTTTCAAGGCATTCGGGTCCTCGAATCTCAACCAGAAGGCCACATTCATGCTTCGGCTCATCCGGCTCGTCCGGCGCGAGGTCCCGTCCGGGTTTGTCACAAAGGATTTCTTGTTCTCGAGCCAGCTTGCTCCCAAATTGCAGGATCTGCTCGCCACGGACATTGTGACACATACTGGCTCTATAGCATTTGTTCCTTCGACTAGCACGACTCCCAAGGCAAAGAGCGTTAGGCTTGTTCCTGGCCGGTCACTCTGGGAAGGTGATCCACCCGTGCCTGTTCAGCCCTCACCGAGTACATTTAAGTTCTTGCGTCGCTTGACTACGATCATGGATGAGAGTGGGCCTGATATTTGGGACCCATCGAGCGTGCGAGTCTTGAAGGGCGCGTTGGAAAAACAGTTGGAGACGTCTCTCAGATCGACACTTGAGGAACTGGAAGGCTGGGAGACTCCGAACAAGGATGAAGACGCCGTCGCGAATGGTGACAAGGAAGAAGTTGGGGCCGATACTGTATCTGGTTCCGTGATTACTGAGTCCGACAAGCCAACCGATGCCCCTTCGGCAGAGGCTGTACACGACTGGAAAGCGCAGCTGCTCTTTGATACCCATTACTTGGCAAACATGCTGGGTGAACCGAATCAGCTGGCTGATGTCGCGGAGCGGGTTCAAAAGAGCGCCGACCTCGACGTCGCAGCTGCCAAGGCTATCCGCAAGTCTGCTCAAGAATACTGGAAGAGAACAGAGCTTCTGTTTGGTCTCTTGGCGGAGCGTTAAATACCCACATTTTGTTTTATACCTCCATACCTCTGCAGGTCGTTTTCTTTATCTCATTTATCGTACTTAGCGATTTTTAAGCATAGCATAGAGTCCAGCTCTGTTCCATTCCAATTTGTTAAATACACACACAGATGAGAGTTCGAGCAAATTTACTCAGAGTAAGCTCTTCATATCAGACCAAAAGACCTCGTGCGCTGGTCCAACTATGTACAGTGCTGCACCCTAACAATTAATTCTGCGTACCATCATACTGTACTCGGGACCATCGGAAATACAGTAAGCCAACATATTAATTGGGCTATCTTGTTGGCCTAGATCGTAATGCGAGATGCATTTGGACATGTTGCTGGCAGCTGCACTGCCTTGGTCGACAAGATCAGCAAATATCCACATGGCCTCGCCGATCGACGCCATTATGAGTTGTCAGATGGGCGCCACAAACAAACCCCTTGCGAAAACAATAGTCCACAAAGTCACTGTCCAACAATGGTATTTGTTGTGTGTCAGCTAGGGACCAAAATTGGGTGCACTTCCTTAGATGTATCATATGCACGCTGGCGAAAACTGCCAAAACGCTCCTAGCGCGTGGTCGAATATCCTGGGGCTCCTTAGTATTATTGGGCATTTTAACGTGCCTAGCCAAGGGAATACCCCTGTATAGGACTTTGAAAGATGATCCGAAAACCTTTCAACATGACTCGCTTTTACGAGCGAGATGTATAAACTCCACAAGGGGGGCCTAATGGTTTTGTATGACGGTTATAAGACTGGCTTCTCCCCTTCAGAGTTTCAGGGAATTTTACCCATCTCGGAGATTGTACGCTCCCGTTCGTATGATCCTCTGCAGCTATGGTTTTCTTCAATTCCTTGTGGCTCCTATACGTCCTTACACAGGTGACCACGGCGATCTATCTCCCGAACAGACAATTATGCACACCGAACAAGGCAGTGATGCGCAGGGAATGGTAAATATGAAAATTGCCTTTTTTTTTCCTATGATTGAAGACGTCGCTAATAGCTCCAGGGGAGAAATGCCCCCGGCTGAGCGAAAGAACTACACCGATGCAGTGCTATGTCTGACTCAGAAACCACCTCGACTTCCAACCGCAGAGTACCCTGGAGTTCGCAGCCGATTCGACGATTTCGTTGCGTACGTTGCTTATGATAATGAGTTACAAGTATGATTACTGAAGCTGACTATTTCCAGCACTCACATCAACTATACACTTCACGTCCACTACAGCGGTTTATTTCTCCCGTGGCACCGCCGCTTCACCTGGCTATGGGAGCGAGCTCTCCGAGAAGAATGCGGCTATACAAGCTATCTTCCGTAAGGATACTACGGTGCATACATCAGTTTGAAGCTAACAATGTATCCAACTAGCTATTGGAACTGGCCCCTCTGGACAAACGACCTGGGTAAAAGTCCCCTATTCGACTGCAGCGAGACATCCCTCTCTGGCGATGGAGAGTATAACCCAGGAGAACAACCTCTATCCGGTGGAAATGTTACTATTCCCCGTGGCTCAGGTGGAGGTTGTGTCAAATGTGGCCCCTTCAAAGATCTACAGATTCATCTTGGCCCATTCTCTCGCGACCTGACTTCATTCACGGAGATCCCCTCTCCAAAATTCGAATATAACCCTCACTGTTTGAACCGAAGTCTTAATAATTTCGTGACATCACACTATAATAACGCGACTATTGTTTCGCGCCTCCTCGCAGCGACAGATATAGTTGATTTCCAGACTGTTATGGACCATTGGCCTGCACAGCCAGATGGCGTCCTTGGTGTTCACGGTGGGGGACACTTTAGCCTAGGAGCTACTATGCAAGATTTATTTGCCTCACCGCAAGATCCGGCATTTATGCTGCATCACTGTATGATCGATCGACTGTGGTCGATGTGGCAAAGCACAGATGAGAAGCATCGGCGGCATGCGCTCAACGGCACGACGACAATTTTGAACCCGCCTTGGGGGCAGCTGGTCACGCTGAATACAATGATGGAGTTTGGAGTCCTTGACCGACCGCGTAGGGTTGGTGAAGTGATGAGTCCTACTGAGCATGGGTTGTGTTATTCATACAGCTGATTTGTGTTGAGTGGTGGACTCGTTGCACATATCTTTGGATTAGACTGGAGTATATATATGTGCCTATATACACTGGACAATGTCCGCCGGGTGAGGCTTTCCTGTCTGGGCTGCCGCCGCTTTAATGAGGACGATCAGGCTCAGGCTCACTGAGTAAATGTCACCACGGGCTCATGCTCAGTGATCGCTCAGGGGTTGTCAAGAACTCTTGGATTTCATTTTGTAAGATCAAAGTCTAAGCCTGCTAACTATCTTTGCGCTGCTATGTGAGTGCAGTATATTTGTCCCTCAACAATGCCCGCAGCAAAAAGAATAACATCGTTCTCGCTGTCGAGTGCGCCACGTTAGTCGTAGCGCAACCTGTCCCATCAAAGCAAACATGACAGAAGAATCCGAGGAAACCACACTTAACGGAATCAGAAAATCCGGTTCGACCTGGCCACTCTCTTCTTTGCGCGCTTTCTCAATCTTCACCATCCTGCTCACGTACCGCAGCCGCATTGAAATTGTATGGGTGCATAGTGAGGAACGCGTTAATGCGTGTCGATGTCGGGGATTTCTGTGGAGCCGAGGTACCAGCCCTGCTCTTCCCAAATCGACGCTGCAAGAGCTCCCAGTTGTTGTTCTGGGATTTCTAGATCTTTCTCCCTTGGCTCAACCGGTTGGCGATGGAAAAGGGCGTCAAACGGGATTATCAAAGGATGACCAGTAACAATAACCTCGGCTTTGGCGTGGTTCCTTTCTTTGGTCATCCAAATAGCCTGGGAGCGATGAATTCTGTTGTTCTGCCGCTCCCACTTTTCGACCCGAATTTCTGGCCGAGATTTGTTGATCCGAAGTGTGAGGCATATGTCGGCATTTCCATCATCAGGATTCAACCAGAATCGAACATCCGAATTCAGTTTGGAGTCCGATTCCGAGAACGCAATTTCGAGGGGAACGGAGGGACCACGTGGCCTTCTCTTAGGTCCCCAGCCATAATCAGGCACTTTCCCCCTGCTTTCCCCTTGGACGGTTATACCTGGGTATTCCCGAAGAGCATAGTCTAAGCCCATTGGACGTAACGCCTTGCGAATCAGAGAGTTCATCTCATCGGTCGCTGTATTATGTGGACCCAAAGGCATGGAGACGAGGAAAAGCCGTTCGTTGGTATCAAAAGAAGAGCAAAATTTGGCAATATCAGTGTCCTCCTTGAGAGGATCAAAGAGGGTTTCGATGGTCTCCTTGTTTGCATGGAAGAGGAGGAATTCACTTGTGTCAGCCGAAGCTTCGAAGCGAGCGGTTTCGGTTTCCAAGATGTCGTAGAATTGCTCTTTCCCTTGAAAAGTGTATCTCTTAATCAACGGGGGCAGATCCTTGAGGAAGGCGCCGTCCGGGTCAGAATCGTAGCTGCCTTGGTGTTCTGGCATCTCGGCCATAGTGATACGGTGATCAACAAGATCACGGAGAGATTCGGAGACGTCGAGCTGTTCAAAAAGATGAGAGTGGTGATTCAAGATGAAACATGTAAACTCGGCGATGATGGGAGGTTTATTTGGGGTTGGAAACTTGGGAAGGTTAGTTACCTCATGATGACCCTTCAGCCTGGCAGGGGAAGACTGTTCATGGTCCCGGGGCGCTACAAGCAATAACTTTCTAAACGCCCTTGAAAAAACTCTATGAAAATTTAAGATTATCTGTGGGACTTTCTATGGGAAGTATATTAAGGTTGTCAACCTTAGCATTAATCATGAATCCAGACCGAGTGATGTGTACAGTATAAACAACTTGGGTTGCAATCTAGACTAACTCAATGCTTGATCCGATTGTACCGCATGGATTCTCCCTTAGACACAAATCTAGGTTTATTATGGATTTGCCAGTAGGTGGGGCTAAACAGAATTCTTGCAAACACGTCTATTCTATTGAGTCCAGTTTATAGTAGTCACCTGATCTGGGTGATGGCTCTTAGGGGAGGTAATTGGAAATTACGTTTCAGAAATTTCCAGGAATTTTGATATCTGACGGAAAAGCAAATAGGGTCTTACCGGAAAGGCTTAAATACACGACCGATTTAATTGGCTCTCAGGGGTCTCAACGTATCTATTGGCTGATTGACTTGAGATATATCCAAACCTCAGGCATCAACATCTTGTCGGAACAACAGCAGCAGTGGATACTCGGAAGAAGGAGATAGTTACAGTAAACCCGCATGTATTAGTCATTATTATGCCCACATAAATTGTCAGAAAGGGGCTTTATAGCAATTCAGACTTGTTGATATGCGATTGGTGCGCAGTATGATTTACTAAGCAGTATTTCCGACTTATCTCTGGTAACTAAGGGAAAGCAAATCGTGCCTTACCGTAAAGGCTTTTTGTAAAGCAAATAGCTTTTCCAGCAAATTACCTTCCCTAATGGCTCTCTAAGCGCAGGGCGATCTGCCGAGTCAGCCAGATAAGCCAGCTAAGAGGGCTCCGCCAAGGTGTAGTGGATGCAGGGAGATTGGGCAGGAGATTGGATACAGGATCAGTTCATGTAAAAATCGCTCTCATTGCAACGGGTCAGACCCGCTTCTCACTACAGTATATACTGCTATATACACAGGATAATGTCTGCCCCGAGGACATGTTGTCCTTAATCACCCTGATCGGTCACTGATCATTATGGTGTAAAATATCCATTTTAAACGTTTCGTTGCTCCTGGGAGCCCATCGTTTTGCATGTCTTGCTCCTAGGAGCTTGTCAGCCTTAATTGTTTGATTGGCTGCACGTGACTTTCCGTAGGTCTCTTCGTTGGTCCTCGTCTTTCCCCGCAAGTGTCCAGCAGTAGTTTCGTAACACATACCTGGAGCTTGTGTATGCTTTACTCACGGAAGCTCCCAGATTTTGAAACAGTTCTTGTATCAATCTATCAATCAATCAATATATTCCCGTCACGGGTATACCTGAAGCGATGAGCGAAGGAAATACTGTACGATTTGGAGGACCTACATAGCTTATCTGGCTTCCGGAAGGTGATGATGCACCGCAGCGAATCGACTGGCCTTATTAGCGGACGTACACCTTCTCTCAAGTATATCTCAATCTATACGTGAGATTTCAGGACAAGTCTGGGAACTAGTTGCTTGACAACTCGGCATAAGAGAGGCACGAGAGTTGCATGTGTATAGTATAGAAGTCTCCCGTCAAATACTGTATTTTTTTTATCGTCGTCCCGTAACAAATATCTCTATTATTAGAAAAGTGAAATCGACGGATAAGCCAGGTATAGATTAGGTGTTTCAAGAAAGGGCTTACAAAGGTGGATCTGTTTTCGGCCTTAACTGTATGATGCGTACGAGCTGAAGGATTGTAAACAGTGGTTTGGAGACTATATTGAAGTAGATTCCGGCCATGATTCATTTGTACTCTGCGCTTAAGGACGAGACGGAGAAAAGTTACCATTAGCTGGGCAGCTCCTGGGCAGTGCGTAAAGTATGAATTTGTATCTTCTTGAATACCTGGTAGTCAAAAAGGAACCAGACGAATAGGCGAAAGTATTATTCTTATAAAGATCAGAATGGTTACCCTCGTTGAAGAACCCAATGAGAGTGTTACAGGTCAACCAAAAAGAACGGATCAATTCGGTAACATTGGACGAAAGTATCGAAGCTAGAAAGAGAAGAGGGGAAAGGAGAGATCCTCCAGAAAGAGAGAGCTCAAGTGGACAGCAGACAGGCAAACATCCCAAACGGATACCTCTGGCGCCAATCCTGCATATTGAAGTTATTCCCTGGCTTAGCAAGTCACATCCATCACAGAGAGTGGGGATTTCCTTTTGTTCAACATCATCGGATTTAACATCTTGTACGGTATATTGAGTGAACCACGGAGCTGTATCAAAGTCCTTCACCGGGACGTATTAGATCTAGTTCGATGTGTTCAATGAAATCGCGCGCGTGTAGGATAGTCGGGAAGGATTTATTTGGTTTCATATTGAGAATATTACATTCAAGTCATAGCACCCAGGCTTGGAGATAGTAAGAGATGGCTACAAAATATAATGGGAAGGTTATATAGAAAGAAGAGAGGGATAATAAATTATTTCGTTACTAAGAAAAGGTGGGCTGTTAGAACTTTTCTTTACTATAACTATGTTATGATCTGCAGTACTAACCGATAGAGAGCTTCAAGTCCAGAGGATATCGTCTCTCGATTTACTGGCCTACATGGTATTTTAAGGTAACAGAGTTCTTTTAGGGAGTGAGATTATTTTTTAGAAATAATTTAGGGCCTGTATATCATAAGTTCGACTTACGACCCTAAGCCAGCACGAGTATAGAGCGCTTGGACGAGGTCCCCAGGCTGCGGGGCAAGCGAATATGAACAACGTGGACATCTCGCCTCACGTGCATTGCGAATGAAGTCAGAGATCAACAAGATCCTTTGGCAGAGTGGGCACGTCGCCTCAACTTCGAGAAGACTCGGATATTCGGTTGTATAAGTGCGGAGTTTCTCTTCCACTCTTGCGTCGTAGGCCGCTCGCTCGCTTGGCCTTGGGCGAAATTGATTATGTGATGCGGTTAATCACCTAATTTGTTGTGCGGCTAACGTTAGTAAAAGCTGCTGTGTCCGTATCAATTCCCTGCCAGTAGAGAAATGCATGGTGTCCCTGTCCCTAGTGATTCCCGAGTGAATCAGGCTGATTACGTAGTGGTCACTGAGTAACTAGTAGCTCAGGTTGATCAGGGGCGTACTCAATTCTACTCAGTGAGCAAAAGCGGCGAAGGGGTGAGCAGTAGAGCGGAAGGGGAACGCCAAGAGTTGCCGGACAAAATCCGGTGTATATGCAAAACCACGCGATATAGATTCGAATCGTTGAATAGTAGCCTATTCGAGAATAATCTTAGAGGGAATTTTAAAGTTGACTGGGGGACCGATTATGGTATTAATTGATTATGAAGTATTTATCGTTTACTCAGAATCGAGAGCTGAGGTGAACATCGCAAGGGTCCAGTCGGTGACCATGTTTCTTCGTCCTGAGTCTTATGACCACCAATCCCAACCAAAGATACCAAGGAACCGAAGAACGGTGAAACGACATTCTGACTTTCGCTGAATTTCGAGCGGAGAAGACTCGGTATTAGCAAAAGAATGGACAGAATGTTATCGAGCCGAGGCCGCATGGTATGAAACCGTTTCAAGACGCCTAGCTCTCCAATAAAATGGTGCGGTCGTGCTAGGGTGCTGAACTACAGGTCTAATCAAAACTTTCTCCCCCGGTAGCCGAGACTCTTAGGGCTTGGTATTCCTTTTGGACCCTGGAGCTAAAGCTCAGAAGAATCTAAGTAGATTAGACTCTCGATGAGTGGTTTGGGGATGAGGTAGAGGCGACTTGCCCCCAAGTGGAAACTGTGATGACCCTTATCAACTCACAACTCTAGGCCAAGTCAGCAAGTGATCCGGGCCTGTTTGGTAATATAGCTATCTCACGGAATCGTGTCGCTCTCCATGGCGCATGGTGCCATTGGACAAGTCTTGCTAGTTGTGCTCGTGACTCACTCACTCGCCAAGACGCCAGTGTAGTAGTGAAGTTACAACTGCCTTAGACAGTCCCATCCGACCAAATTATATAAAGCCGCCCAGCATCCAAACCTGCATAATTCTCCATGGTTTACAATCATCAGAATAGCAATACCCCAAGAGTTGAACATCTTCCACCACGAGTCGTGGCCTGAACAATGGCGATCGTCTGAGTTTCCGCCGGAGGAGACATTGCAAGAGAGAAGAAGGCGATTCAACAAAAAGCCTGGATGGTCAAAGGGTTGGAACGACTGGATTCCTAGATTCTTCCATACGCAGACCCCCAGGACGGGAGGTTGGCCGTGGGGCTATGTCATCTATCGCACGACCTTTGCAGACACATCTAGTCAAGACTGGGCGGCCGCGATCGAGATGCTGCATCGATACTGCTATGCCTCGATGAACCGATCTAGGGATCTAAGCGAATTTGCATTCCAACCTAACGTCAAAGAGCTTGTCCGTGAGGGGTATCGAAATGTCATTGTTCAAGATCCGAGCTTGGAAGGAGCCTCAGTGGACGTTCTTCGCAAACGACACATTCAATGGGTAGAAGAGAGGGGGTTCCTTCTTGCATATGGAACGCCTCGATTTGACTATTGCTTGATGTTGGATGCCCGCTCTGTACGATCAATTCTGGCAAGTACGGAGCCTGATGAATCTGGCATGTTCGGACCAGATAAACTTGGCATGGTCGGATACGTCAACGTGATTGACTGCGATTTTCAATATGATCCCAATGACCCTGACAACGAATGTTCGGAGTACTTTGATGGATCGGTCAGAGTCTGCCTGGAATCGCTCTTCCAGTTCGCTCTATCCTGCGACGATCTCACGACTGGAGAGCAGGCATGGGGAGACTGGGGGATGGGCCCTGGTAGAGTAGTCTATACAGATGGACATTCTTCAATAACCGAGAAAGAGGATGTCTTCCTTTGCCCATCTGATCTTAATCTCTACTTTGTTTCAGGCTATCGCGATTGGCCGAGGAGAGAGAATCTCACCGAGTTTCAGTATAAGGAGCTCATCGAAAGGATCAACACGGAGGATCAAATTAATTAGTCTGTCCTCAAAGTGGCATGTGCCATAGAATGCCCAGAACAGAATTATTAGAATATTTGCAAACATTTTAATTTTTTGAAGCAGTGATGGCAGGTTTAGGGTAAATTATGAAGATATCCTTTTGCCTGCTAATCAAGTTTCTCAAGATAGACACAATCCAGCTATTATTCGTCTGAGTAGCCCACGAGCTTGTCTGGTCTATGACGAGTTTCTTGAGCACGAGTACTCAAGTGAGTACTAGTCTTTGAGTTATTAGTTTATCATTTGCGCATTGATTATATCGCAGTGGTGATGAAATTCCGGCCAGCTATTATTGGTATATCATCTTTAGGGTTCTGCCTGGAAAACCGATCTCGACTATCCATAAGGTTGATTTTCTCGCCAAGTTTGCTTTGTAGTTTTTGAACGTTTTAAAATCTGCCCAGGAAAAGTAGGACAATACTTGCAATTTGGTAACTTGTTCTGCTTATCCTCCCCTCCCTGGGAGCTGATGCTGGCTCTAGATCCTGAACTGGATAAGTTACGTATATCGCCGTTTCATATCATGCCTTCAAGCGTGGACGAAATAGATTGGCCATTTGCAAGGTTATTCTATATATTGTTGAATGCATCCCAATGGACTTTATTTAGACATATAACGTGGGATCGCTGAGTTGAGCAAATGATAGTTTGGATCGATGTTGAGACACGCATTAAATATAGACTATGTGAAAGAGGATTCCAATCTGAATCAAGACTCTGAATATAGTATGCCACAAAGATATTTGCAGAGACCATCCGTTCTTGATTGTCATTTTCGTATCCACTTAATTGACAAAGCCTTTGTGAAATGCTTCTTTGTCTGGCACTCCACCCCATCCACTAAGTCTCTGGTTATAAAGGGGCCATCGATTCCTCGATATCCAGAATCCATCCATCGCACATTTGTCTTTCAAGCAAACATCACTCACAAGTACCATTCGAATCCATACAAAAGCCCGGTAAGTCACTCTTACAATTCAGAATGGCTCCATTCGAGAAGAATTACGAGAAGACTCGAGACAAACTCGGTGAGCGACTCCGACAACTTACGGTATGCCTCTCTGACCCTCTCGAAAAGAAGGAGAGTGAGTATATTGTAAAGGAGCTACTTAGAGCCACGAAGAAAGTGAACAAGATCCAGGGACTCGGTCAAAAACGCCAAATGAAAAATGCCACCCACGAATGCTGTTTTCAACGTCAATGCGAAGCGATCAAAACCCTTTTGCGGCAGGAGAGTGAGCGCATCGAGCGTGGTGGGACCTATAACTCGTTCTATACTGCTATTGTGGTGCAATCGTTTGCCTTGCATATTGGATGTCTGGTTGTTGATGGCCGTTTTACCACTGCCGATGGGTGGGCTGAGCTGGCCTTTCACAATGTGATCTGCCACGATGGCCTTTGGGAGCTGGAGTGGGTCATGCCCAAGGAAGACCCTCGTTGCAAAGGAATCCAGCGCCAACATGACCTTGCGTGGACCGTTCGACACCCAAGTTCTAGTGAAGACTGTGAGGGCCGATGTTTTGTTCATCAGCTTTGGCGTGCCCTTACTAGAACCGCCCTCACTTGCAAATGTTTCCAATGCTCCAAGCTGCGTGCCCAGCGGTCTTATCCTACCATTGAGCATTTGATTGGACGTGTTTCTAAGAACCGATTCCGCTCAACATAACTTCATCTAGTCAGATTTTATTCCAATATTTCATTCCAATATTCTCTAATGTCTTTGTCGTTCTTATGTACCCCTTCTCAGCACAGCACTAACTTCAACTTTTGCACAGAATGCAACTTTCAATTGGGACAAACTTTAGATCCCGAGTGATGTGTACTATTAACTAAATGGAATTTAATTGGTAATCTAGGTGACGGTAAAACTGCCGCCTCCGGAAGTGATCGGCTTCCGGAGCGAACATGAGCAGCTCACTGAGCAAACTGATCGCTCACCCCGATGCTCAGGCTGATCAGCCTATTTGATCTCAGTTTTCCTCTCCAATCTTTAAGTTGCTCCGACTATAACCGCACTGCTTGCTGCCTACTTCCGGCGTTCCTGGGATCGAAGGCCAGGATATGACGGATTCTCATATTGCTATAGTAGTAACTTAGTCTCGCCCTCTGAAAGAGATATAACATGAGCGACTTTGATTGAGCCATCGTCAAAAACCTTGCTCTTCCCAGACGTTCCTACCAATTTTCTTCAAAATATCGTCGTCAAGGCTGATGTTTATTTCTTTCGGGATGCTCGGTGGGCGAAGAAAGAGCTTATTGAAGCTGATAATAAGCGGCTGGCCCCGGAGGTAGACATGATTGTTATCGCCTTTGCTTATGGTAATAACTTGCTGACGTTGGACCCTATCGTTCACAAGTTCCCATAACTCCAGCACGATGTTGGGCGAGCTCCGACCGATCTTGATTGTGATGACCATTTGAACATCACCGTTTGATTCGGAAAGCCAGAACCGAGCATCGGAGGTCAATTTAGAAGGCGACTCTGAAAAGCCCGATTCCACGACAACCGAGGGCCATTTCTTCGTTCGAGCTCGAGGAAGCCTTCTTGGTAAAAATTGGCAGTCGGGTTGTTTAGCGGAGCCATTTTCTGCTTTGCAAGTGGCGGATCCAAAGGTTTGAAGACAGTCATCGAGGCCCATTGGCTTAAGACAATCAAAAAAGAGCCTTTCGAATACGCGTGCCGCAATTTCATGAGCGCGTGAGACTGTCATTTTGACAAGAAGAAGGTGTTGGGAAGAGTTATAAGAATTCCAGCAACGCTGAAGGATATTGTCGTCCGAGTTTAGGAAGTCACGACTGAAGGCCTGCTCATTAACCTTGGTAAAGAGCACCCATTCACTGGCCTCAAATTCCTCTTCCTGGCGACTTAGTTCCATCTTTACAGTTTCTAAAAACTGTTTAGTTCCCTTGTATGGGTACCTTCTGATCGGGGGTCCTAGATCACCGAGAAAGCTGCTGCTAGAGGCCTCGGTGTCTAGCTCAGACTTTATGTTCGAGGACATAGTGGTCGCAGTTATACCGTCCCGTGCTAGTGTGAAAAAAGAAACATTCCCATATTGACTGTAGGCATTAAAAATTATCCCCGAGGACCACCTGACGCTGATGTGACGTAGCCTGATTACGATCTTTAGCGCAATAGACGTCTACGTGCAGTGATATGTATAGGCGGCCCTTACATGACCCCCACGAGACAGCCCCAAGCCATCCAGAAGTAGTTTTGTCTTGGAAGAATCCTAAGAGTTTATGATCCTATCACACATCAATAGTAGTAAACCCTGCCTGCGAATTCTTTACCACTGTGATTCAGGCTCTTCTTCGAGATTCGCCCGAAGAGCTCTTCATTGTCTATCTCGCTTCCACGTGTGTAAAATCTGCGATTCGCTGTGCTGCCTAGACCCCGCACGGTATACCTAAGCGCCTAGTGGCTTATCGACTACCTACAGCTATTTCGTACCCGCTCGGTACGTAGCTCGCTGTATTTCTAGTAAGGAGCCCTACGCTATCTTAGGTAGATCCTAGTCTAATTTAATTTACTAGCTCTTATTTTCCCGTAATTCTAGAGCAATTAGGTAGGAAGGGCTGAAGCTAAATTGATTCAATATTACAGACCACCGTACGGCGATTGGCCTCTTGAGTCATCCATCAAATTTTCAATGCAAGTGGGCAAAAGTTAAGGCAGACGGTGACATCTCGGGTCCCTTCCGCGGTTAATTTTAGAAACGGAGATAGCGGCTTATACATCTTGTTCAATAGCTATTTTGATGCCAGAATTTTGGAATCTCGTCGCATATGTTCGTAGCTAACCGTTAGTTGTTACTCATTTGTTGTGACTTTCACTGTTGCGTTCGTTGCTAGCCGTCCTTATTGTGACGTAAACGGTTATTACCCGTTTATCGTCCGTTTATTACTACCTATTTACTACTACCCGTTTATTACTATCCGTTCGTCATCGATCGTTCGCCGTTCTAGATTTATCAGCTTATTTCATAGCAGGTATAGCTAGGCCTAGGCTCATAAGGGTAGGTCTTAGGTAATAACCTTGAACTTAAGGCCACACGCCCTAAGGCCAGTACCACTCGTCGCTCCTTACCCATATTCATTGCAGTCAAGTGTTTGTTATGAAGTATTCGTTGCAAGCATGACAGCCCGAGAAAATTGTGAGGCCCTCGAGCCAAAATGTATAAGGTAGGTAGTAGTCGAGACTCTGACGCACGGGGTTAAGGAAATTATCCTAATTGAGGTAATTTCTCAATTTTCGAGTCGCAAATGTTTGGGATTGACGTGTATAAGGCGTTAAGTCGCGCTTTGATTTTTTCTGTGACGCTACCAATCAGATAATAGAGTCAACAGATGGCAAAGGGTGCATGACACTACGATTACTTGACAACGCACGGTCTGGGGAAGTGGACAGAAGGATCATACACGAAGTACACTGAAAGGAGCTAAGGTTGACAGAGGCAGGATCTCTTAAGTATTAGAAAAGCGGCGTTGAGTATTGTCCAGAACTAACAGAAAGACCTCTCCTATTTTGCAATTGGCGACTACAATTGGATAACATAAAAAGCGAGACATGACAACATGCCTGGATGTCTACCCTGAGCGTCCCGAGTGAAGGGTAAGCAGATCACTGAGCAACCATGAGTGCTCGGGGAGAAAACGGAAATATTGCACAGAAACAGATCACTTGCCTGGTTGATGACTAAGAATCTGGTAAAAAGGACGCCTAAGACAGCGTCAAGAGTAGCCGTTTTCGGCATCGAATTTACCGTTACCTAGCGTTGTGGTGTAACCTCAACATATTCTAGTTGTTATTGTATGAAAACATGCTATCATAAACATTGGTCATCTGGAAATACAATGAATGCCCTGTCAGTATCTCAGCCCCTTTGATGCTCTCGTCCAATCACAATTCTTCTTTCAAAAGTATATTGTCTTCCTGTCATCGTTTGTATTTATACCGCACTGTGGTTAGGAAAGAGGTGGTTACTGCAGACGGTATTGTAGCGTATATTTCATTATCAACTCCACCTCTGCAAGCTATCATGTGTTTGATAAAGGGGAGGAATCTGTATTTTAAGAGCAAGCAAAAAGTAATTCATCTAGATTAACAAGTGTATTCTCAAAGACAACTGAAAGTCACAAAGATGGATCAAGAATGCCATCGTACTGCGCTTTGTGCTCTAAGATGAAAAGAAGTTGGCATTGTTGGACAATACGAACATTATATAAGTACTATGAATGCAAGGTGAGGTGCGAATATCTTTTGTATAGGTACTCGCCCCCCCCCCCCCCCTCCTCCAACTATTCCATGTGCTTCATTCAATATTCTTGCTCACCTTCTCCGCTTGTGGGGTCAATCGTTAATGAGCCAAAGTCCTATATAAAAACGTTAAAATCGTTGCTATACTCTTCCATCAATATGGATCTTTTCGAAATTTCACTTGGAAGAGCTCGGCAGTCCTTGAATTGTGACTTAGCACAACTCGCTTCCGAGTTCCAGCATTACACGCAACCCAACGGGAATCAGTACAAAAACGTCGCAAAGAAGCTAATTAGCTGGTCTCAGAGGGTAGAGAAACTTAGGCTGCTCTTTGAAAAGTATGGCCCAGGGTATTCAATCCCCCTTTGCTTCAAACGCCGATGCCAAGTACTCAAAGCTGAACTGTGTCGACAAAGTGAACTGATCAGGGCTATGCAATACGACCAGCCCTATGTCGTGTCAGTTGCCCGATTATTGCCCGATTATTTGCTGCGCATGTTGGCCGTTTTACTGCTAAGAAAGAAGCTCACCATGACAGGTTTGCCACAGAATGTGATGGACAACTAGACTTCCAAGACCATGATATCATATTTGCGCCGCACTGTGGAGAAAATGAGAATCAACACGTTTTGCTTCAGCAACTAAGATACCACCTAGATTTGGAGGTGGAGAGATGCCAATGCCAGCTATGTCTTAAGGGGCTTTATCGTGATATGCTTCGTACTTCGCTTTTGGAACCTCTCCGGGATGCGACTCCCCATTTACTGGTTCCAGAAATTGAGGATTGTTGTGCGTTTCCCAAGTCTCTCTTCTCCTTTGGATGTTACGTGCGTTTTATTTGCGAATTATTGGCCGTTTTCTCTGAAGTTGAAGAGAATCAAAGCACTTGGAATATTTCTGTTATGAACTTTTGCAACTCAAAATGGCACACCTCAGCAATTATTGCATGTGATCAATTATCAATTATTCCATCAATGTGGCTGTTTCGCCATTTGAGTAGGTTTATCTACTTTTCAACTACTTTTCAACACTTAGCATCATTTCCAATCACTTTGGGCATGATAGCATTTATAAATCACTTGCCAAACTGATTCGAGCAAGAGAACTTATATAACAGGTTTTGGCAGTGGGAGGTATACGTATGCTTCCAGCCAATCAGCGTGCAGTTTTATAAGCACCCATCTGGAGTCGTGCTTACTTAATCACCGTTTCCGCGGGGGACAACGTCACTCAGACTTCGCCGACGGGAAATGTTTCTGACTTCTGCAAACCTCAACCATGGCCACACCCCGGCTTCCGTTCCTCTACCCGAGTTTGATGCGTGCGGTTCGCTCTTGCGAACCGAACACGTATCGTTCTCTCCAATATCCTGGGCTTAAACGAGGGTTCCATACTACCCGGCGACGCGGTCAAGAAACCTACCAGCGGCGCTATGGTCCAGCTGTCGAGCCCAACCTGCCTCCTCCCTCACGGCCCAAGGACAGCCAATCGACCCAGAATCCGGATGAAACAGTGACCGGTAAAGAGACGGCTCATACAGCTGAACAGAGCGCCCCCGTTTCAGAAGAGTCACAAGCGCAACCACAGTCGGAGTCGCAAGCGCTGCAGGAGGATATACATGTGGACAGTGCAGATGCTGCCGCGTCCGCCGCGTCCGCCGCGTCCGAACAAGCGGCTACCGAATCAACGAAGCCCCATGCCACACTGGAACCTGCGCGGGACGAGGAAGACACAGCTGCCGAGGCCGACACATCAAATGCTTTCACACCTCCACCCTCAATGTCTGCATCCGGTGACGTCGGGGAGGAGATGTCGCAGATGCCGCCCTACATGAACCGCAGCGCTTTCGAAGAAGTCTATCACATGCCCTCTCCGCCTACCGGCCTCACGCCAACGGAAGCGCAAACATCACACAAGCCGCCGCATATGAGCCCAGCGCCTTATGTACACCATTTCGATACATATTCCCTCGTTCTTGATCTCTCCAAGGGCGGATATACGAAGGAGCAGTCTATCACTATCATGAAAGCCGTCCGCACCATACTCCGGAACAACCTTGATTTCGCCAAGCAGAGCTTGACCTCCAAGTCGGACGTGGAGAACGAGGAGTACCTTTTCAAAGCGGCCTGCTCGGAGCTCCAGCAGTCCCTGCAGACCGCGCGGAACTCTGAGGTTCAAAGACAGCGTGCATCCCGGACACAGTTGGAACATGAAACGGATATCTTGTCCCAGCGTCTTAACCAGGAGCTGTCGGGTATGAAGGATGACATCAAGGGCATGTTCAATGACCATAAAATGGCCACGCGAGAGAACCAGCGCACCATTGATACTATGGTTCAGGAATTGAACTACAAGATCACTGTCTCACTCAACAGCGATGGCAAGAGCGAGATCGAGGGTCTGCGGTGGATTCTGACCAGACGTGCGGCTTTGACGGTCGGCATCTGTGCTTGTAAGTTTTTACTGCCCTGAAGGATGTGTTGAGCTATGTCTTGCTAATTGCTTTCTCCAGTCATGATCATCGTCTTCCTTAAATACTCCTCTGTTCGCCGGGTCCAGGAGCCCAAGAAAGCCACAGAGGCCGAGAAGCCCGTTACCAAGGAAATTACCACTGAAACTCGGGTCGTCCACAACGCAGGGGTCCAGACCGAGCCCCCCGTCGTGGAGGCACACCTTGGTGAATCTTTGGGTTAAGATTTCGACCGGCCTCCAACAAACTTGACACCTTCATTCTTCAAGTACCCAGCCTGTACAAATCATCACCGATCACTCCATCCACTCCCTTTCTTTTGTGTTTGAGTACTGTCTTCATAAATAAGACGGCCTGTACCATTATAACCATAGACATCTGATACCCTATATATGCATTTTGTTTCAATTCATCCTCAGCGTCTGAGCTGTAGTATAGAATTTTCTGTCAATAGAGAATCAACCCTTAACATCCACGAGTCACTAAGCTCCCAACATGGCGAGTCTGTGTTAACTGTTCTCTACCAGCTCATTCTTCCTTCAGCCAAGGCACCTCCTCAGGCCGATACTTGTAAGCCCTAAAAATCGCATTGCTCTGGTTCGAGAAACCAATCCTCTCCATCTCCTCTAGCTCATTCTTGCCCATAACAGCCTTATAGTCCTGCAACTGTGGAACAACAAATTCCCACACTACCTCACCACCCTCAGTAACCTCAATAATCCGACCAGTCGCGGCCTCACATATCAATACATTCCCGTTCCCCAATTTATGCGCCGACCCCATAAACGGAGTAAAAAAGCCCAGGCCGCCGGTCGTCGTATCCTTGTATTCCCATATAATCTGTTTATCGCGAGAAACAACAATGGCCCGGGAGAACGGCACGGATATCTCAGGTCTGAAGACGCCGTTATCGAGGATGAGAATGTCGCCTGCGGAATTGATTTGGTGCGCACAGTGCTGTTGACAGACTGTCGGCGCGGTCAAGTGCCAAACGACTTCCCCGGTCTTTCGACTGATGATGAAGACGCCGGAAGCATTGCGCGTCGAGGCTATGATGTTTCCCTCTGAGTCAAAGCTAACACTGTTAATTAGAGGCCAGTGCTCGCGTGGGTAGTGTGGGTGTGCGGCGAAAGCCTCGAGATCGAGATGGTCAATCGCGCGCCAGGACCAGAGTAACTTGGCACCACCCTTGCCGTTACTGCCGTCGAAATCGGCCGAGGATGAATTATTCGAGACGGACCAGGGATCCACTAGCTTGATACAGTCGCCGTAGATAATACCTCCTGAGGCTTCGCTGCCCGGGATACCACCGCGCACGCGAGCCGCCTCTTCGGCAGTGAGAGGTTCGAGGGTGGTGTAGAGGATAGTTCCATCACCCAGGTGATTCTGGTCATGATGGGCATATGGATCGGAATACTGCTGTAATATCTTGCCTGACGGATCAAGCTGCATCATGACACCACCGCGATACTTGGCCCACATTGGAAACAGCGCGGGGGCATCTGGGTGAACGCCATTGTACGCCAGAGATCCATCAGACAGGATGCGGGAATGCCGACCAGCGCGGTGGGGAAGAGTCCAACGGTGAACTTCTTTTCCAGAAGTCGAGACAAGGTGCGCGGTGTTCGATGTAAGTGGAGAGTAGAGGACGTAGCCAGGCGAGACTCGTTCGTCGATGCCGCGGAGACCGAGGCCCCGGCGGCGGAGGGTATGCTGCTCCATTTTGAAATTCTTAGCAGATTGAAGGATAAAATGGCAGTTATTGATGGAATACTCACTTCTTGAATTGCAGATTGGCATTGTTTTATATTTTGGACAAGATGGAGTCTATAGAGTCGACTGTTAAGCATCAGGGCTTGGCGGACCGGCATGCCGCGGCATGCCGCGGCGAGATAAGCCGGCAGCCAACCATCGCTTGTAGATGACCAGGATGGCATCAGATTCGCCATAGATATGGCAATCGCTGGATTGTGTTGAAATGAGAAGAATAGCAGGATATAGAACGGACAGGGGAGGTTTTGGGGGGAGTATAGAAAGGAGCTGATTTCTCAAGGAAAGGGCGAAATAGGACAAAAGATGCCAGTTCAATTCCTATGATCTAAGGACTGACTATAAAAAGTTGTTTATCTTTTACCATAATGAATCTTCCGACAGAGCCACCTAGTAAGGTGCAATCCGATCTATCTCCTACGAAGAGCACTCAGTCGTGGTTCCCTCGACGTCTTTCTATCGAAGAAGGTGGCATTGAGAGGGTAACCAATGAAGAAAGACAACAAAATACAACCAAGTTCTGGAATGCAACTACTTTCTGGTATTGTTCGGTGTCTTCCACGTTAGCAATATCCGAGCTAATCTATACTTGTCATTGATACAGGTTCAGTGCCAATATGGCCGTTGCAACCTTGAACGTTGGCTCTCTTGGGGGCTCTCTTGGTCTTGGGTTCTGGGACTGTTTTATAGTCATTCTTATTGTCAACCTCGCTAGCGATCTCTTGCCCGCTTGGACAGCTACATTTGGACTGACCGGCTTGCGAATGACAACTTTCTCGTACGTGCTGACATCCTTCAAGCAGACCTCATACAAATCTCAAGATTGACATACCACAGGAGATACTCATTCGGATACTGGGGCAACATGCTTGTCGTGGTCTTTTCTATGATCGCGACCACCGGATGGAACGCTATCAACTCAATCTCGGGCGCTTCAGTTCTTAACGCATTGTCGAACGGAAAGTTTCCAACATGGGCAGGAGTCATCGTCATATGTACATTCGTTTGGGCGATTTGCGCACTGGGAATCACATGGATCCATCGACTAGACGCATTCATCTGGATTCCTCCTTTGATTGTCTGGTGTGTTGCTGCTGGGACAGGCGCATCTTCGTTCACCTCTGAAGCCCCTCGGGCATTGGAGGGTTCAGACAAGGCCGCGGCTGTCTTGACATACATGGCCAGTATTTTCTCCTTCTCCGTTTCATGGGTCAATTGTGCTGCGGACTATAATGTGCGCATGCCCCATGACACTCCCCGCTGGAAGATCTTCAGCGCTACATATGTCGGCATCTTCTTCCCAACGGTACTGGTTCAATCACTTGGAGCAGCGATGTACAGCGGGACTGTCACGAGTCCGGAATGGAAAGAAGCTTATTCATCATCATCGATCGGAGGACTACTTGCGATGGCATTGCAGCCCGCAGGTGGGTTTGGCAAGTTTCTCATGGTTCTTGCGGCTTTGAGTGCGATACCAGTAAGCCCCTGACGGCCATATGAGCATTCTTTTGATCACTCTGACTGATCTTTGATTTTTAGAACAATATCCCAAACAACTATTCTTTTGCACTCCATGCGCAAAACCTCGGTTCATGGGCAATCCGAGTTCCAAGAGTCATCTTAGTTACATTTGGTTTTGTGGCAGCGATCATCGTCGGTTGCTGCGCAGCAAAGTACTTTGAAGACACTTTGCAGACCTTGCTAAGTGTGATCGGATACTGGACAGTAATTCATATAACCGTCGTGCTGGAGGAGCATTTCATTTTTCGGCGCAGATGGAAGGCATATGATTTCGATGCTTGGAATAGCCCGGCCTTGTTGTCATTCGGTTGGGCGGCAATAGGAGCATTTGCATTCGGTTTTCTAGGAGCTGCTCTTGGAATGAAGGTAGCCTGGTACAGTGGTCCCATTGCATCCTTGATTGGTACGAAGGGGGCGAATATCGGCCATGAGCTCACTTTTGCATTTTCTGGTCTTGTGTTCCCCATCTTTCGCTGGATCGAGAAGCGATATGGGAGCCAGTGAAGGATTGAGAGAGCGATCAAACTGGATATGTGGCGATATGACTCCCATGATGTATTTAATTCTTCTGCCTTCATATTTTGCAACAGTATTATCAGCCAGACGATCCCTGTGGCAAGAAACTCAGATCCGACAACAAATCCCAATTTCCATCCGCAGAAGTTCCTAGACCCAAGAACTCAGGAAAGTAGTAATTCGTAAAACTTTCTTCAGGTGGAAAGTCATCCGTTGGTGCAGTGACTGGTACTGCTTCCAGACGATGTCGTAGCCTCCGATGTACCTTGGCTATGATATTGCCCAATGTATGTGCCGCGTGACATGGCAATCCAATAGTATGGAGCCATTGTACGAGGCTCTGAATTAGGGAGTCAAGCTCTGCTGTATTGTGCGTCAGACTGAGCTGGGCTTCGTAGTTGTTCAATAGGCGACAGATGATAATCCCAGCGAATGTGATCATGTGGTAGATATGGTCACTTAAGTGACGGGTTCGCTCGTCTACAGTGTCCATTGCTATGTGCACAATTGCAGTGGAATGGTGGATCATTTCTGAAACAAGATAGTCCCGGGTCTCGACAGCGTGGACGCTCTTTGCCTTCAGACCTTGTTCGTTCAGGAGTAGGTTGGAGAAATGGAATCCCATCATGAGGAACTGAGAGCGTGGTTGCTCTGAAATATAAGGCGTCAGTATTCTGCATAAGTCAAATGGTGGGCAGCTGGAGATGACTTACCCAAAATTCGTCTCCACTTTCTTTTCCACGTCTTCAAAGCCGTTGTGGATTTGTGAAGATCAACACATTCTGAAATTAAAAATCCATAGACTGTCCAATATAGTTGAATCTCGGCGACCATCCGCACTTCGAAGTTGATAGCATGGTCAGAGCCAATGATAGCCTCGCAGCGTTCGATCTGCCAAGCCTGTAACATAGACCTTCGACTGGTTCCAACACAATAGTGTAAGTGTGCAAGACACAGGTGATTCCACAAGCAAATGTGATCCAATGTTATTTCGTCCAGTTTTGTGTATCGATGAGATCGGCTCGTTATCGTGGCGAATATCGGGCTAGATTGTGAGTGTTGCAATGCGAACCCACTGAGAAGCCAACTGTCGATGCTCAAGGGGACCTGCCCCACGGTAGTTGACCACATGCATAGAATAAGAGCTGCTTGGAAAAAATCGACAGATTGCGGAGTTGTCAAGAGCATACTTGACACGAGAGAGCGAGCGCATTCATAGAGCTTAGGAGCTAAAATCGCTGCCAGCTCATCCGACGTATGCCGTATCGCAATCAAGCAGCATGCGCAGAATAGAATCGGCGATCTCCGCACGCGGGGCAACAACGCGACAGGGTCGCTCTCGGGATCAAAAATAATCCAACGACCATAATGCTCGAGAAATCTGAATAGTCAATTAAAGTCACAAACATTTGTATCTGGTGGGTCCAGCCCAGGCGTCAGTGGGGCATGTCATACATTGAGAGCAGAGTCAACGCAAGATCTGGCGTGATGAGATCGTCCAGCACCGTCCCCAAGGACTTGGTTTCTGGGGATGGTTCAGGTCTGGTGTCATTGGCCAGATCACGGATGACCATGATTGGAGCTGCGGAGCTCTCCGCATCCTGGTAGGTTGGATCGCCAGGGTCCGGTGTTGTCAACGCGCTGCTAGGCCTGCTTAATTCATGCTCCGCACTCGATGGGCCCTCTCCCAGTCGATCAAGTAAAGTGGCCACTGTTCTCTCGAGTCGCTCCAGGCTATGATGGGTGTCAATTATCGAATAGCCACACCTAGTGGGGCGCGACAGAGATCCAAGACATACCGAGCATCAGTGCCAAACGTAGAAGCAGAGGCGTGCTGCTGCTGTTCTTCCTCTGGGCTATCAGTTTGTTTTACTAGTGAACAACTTTGCCGTAGTCTCTCGCATCGCAAACAGGCCCGTCCAGGGGTACCTGGCTCGTAGCAGCGTGTCTTCTGCTTCCTGCATGATGCGCACGCTCGAGAGGCGCGACCCCGGTCTGGTGGCATACTGAGGCTAGACAAGAGAGCATGGAGACCCCTATGCCATTTCTGCCGAGAAACAATAATTAATTCAAATCACAAAGCATCGAGAAGGGTAAAAGGCGGACTCGGTCATTTGAGTTTCTTCAACCAACAACATTCCTGGTAAATGAATGGCGTCACCTGATTTTGGATAAGATAAGCGCGCCCCGAACTTCCCGATGAAGCAAACGTGGAGGCTACCTTGAACATCCTCACAAACGAGGCAGTCGACAGCGAGGCCGTCACAACGAGTACCGATCAGATCAGAGAATTTTGGCAAACATAAATTGTTCTAGAAGACGAGGAGATTGAACATAGCAAAGGAATTACATTAGAATCTATTTCATCGCGCTCATAGAGCAGCGTCATCAGTTATGATCTATACATTTTAGTCACACTATGCATCACATCATATCGTATTTTTCATCTGTGCACAAAACAGCACAATTCCATATCCTTGCAAGCAACAACAACTCGAGGTCTTAGAAATCCATACGCAGAGCAATAGTCGGCGCGGCCTGTTGCATGTTTTCTTCCGCATCACCCGACTTCGATGTTCCAGCACCAATACCTGCACTGCGAAGGACCTCCTCGAGAAGGGCCTTCTGCTCTGCATTCATGTTGGCAACCAAGGTGCGGAAGATGACTTGGTCTGCCTTGGCGAGCTCGAGTAGGTAAGCGGCAGACTCTCGGTGAACGGACTGCCCATCCCGCTTAGCACGTGCTAGGAGAGCAGACATAACAAGCGAGATCTTGGTAGGCATTGCGGCTGGTGAGAGAGTAGTGCTGGTCACGCACGATACAAGAGTGCGTGCAACGACCGTGCGAGAATTCTCAGGGTCGCTAGGGACTTCGCCAGAATCGGTGGGGCAGCTGACGAGGAAGGCAATCAGGCGCGGAATAAGGTAGTGGGCGATTACATCGTCCGTCATGTAGCGGGGGCCTGACTTGGTAAGGATGGATCGGAGGCAGCTGGCAGCTACGGTCGCAAGCCCAACATCCTGCAAACAATCCAGTAGCTCGTCAAGCACTCGGTTGATGACGGGGTCCTGGGGCGGAAGAACATGTCCACCAGCCGTTAGGAGGAAAGTAATGGCCAAAAGGGTATTCTTGGCGCATGGAATCGAAGAGTCCGATTCTCGGCGCTGGGCAATCGTGAGAATGGTCAGGAATCGAGTAAGGCAGCCACGCAGCTGGAAAGCTACTACGTCAATGTCCTCCGGGGTTTCAGAGAACTGGGTAATGCTCTGGACGAACTGTCGGAAGATGGGAAGGGCTTGCGGAACGACCTCGGTCTGGCAGATACCGGTAGCGAGAATGGTGGTGAAGATGTGCAGTATACAGGCGTGAAGATCGTTGCGGATGACAGACGGGAAGACCGAGGCAACGTCAACAAGAGATCCAAGGGCCAAGCGAATCAACGCAAGAGAATCATCCGACGTAACGTTGAAGCGTGCCATAGGAGTTGATTCACGGAGATTAGGAAGCAAGCCAGCAAGAACAAGAATGATACTTCTAGTCAGCTCGAAGAGCTGCTCGATATCATCAGAGAGATGATCGCTTCGCTCTTGGTCGCTTTGTGCTGCTGGATGATCCAAGGACAGGTTCTGTGCTATCTCCACGATGACAGTCTGAATAGGGATGGCCTCAGTCAGCACAAGCCGATCAAAGGTGTCCATGGTTTCAGAGAAAATGGCGTCCTGATAGATCGCATTTCCGGAAATAATTGGTCTCAAAATTCTCTTCAGTGCCTGTAGAATCTCAAGTCGCTGAGAAGCCAATGTTGATTGATCAACAAGGGCCTCGAAGGCAAGGCCGAACAACACAAAGAAAAAGGCAACCGGTTCTTCTCGGTAGTTGATGTCGTGGCCTTTGTCCTTGGACTCGCCATTTGTTAAAGTCTTGTCCATTTCTTCCTCATCGTCGCTTTTCTTGTCGGCGCTGTCAGATTTATCTGCCTCCTCGGCTATTTGCAGTTTGCCGTCCAAAGCGTCGAACACGAAATCAATATCCTTTTCGACAAGACCTGCAATAGCATTGACCAAATGGAGCCAGGTGTCCTGATAAAACTATAGGTTCGAAGTCAGCATCTAAAAGAAGTTCTCAAAGTGAGAAGCTTCTTACCTTAAGCAACGTTTCACGGTTCAATGCAGCGTATACTTCGTCCAAGTCATTGCTCTGCGTACTCGTGCCCAGAGCTCCCGAAATATCCGGCTCGAATCGCAAGCGGGCATACTCTTGGAGGGAAGACAGCCACAGCGGCGTCAACCTAGCAAGGTACGGCTGAACCACTTGGCTGAGATACTCCTGTTCGATGCTTGCGACCTGCAACCGAGCCCATGCAGAGAAGAGAGCAAGTTTGACCATTACTCTTGCATTAGAGTTTAAACCCTTCAGGTCACCAATCTCGGTGGTCTCAGGATTCTTCGCAAAGTTCTCCAGACCAAGGACTAAAAGCTTGAGAATTCTGCCCATACGATCCACATTCGTCACTATGCCGGTAGCGATGAACGTGGCCGACACGTTGATTGCCTCAGAAGCAAGCTCGGCAGAAGAGTCGACCGCAAAAGCTGGAGTTAGAGCAGATCCAATCTGAGCTTGGTATTGCTCAAGCAGAGACGCCTCAGCAAAGTCTGGATCCGGTGTCTTTCCGAACATAGTCAGGACTTGATCAATGATCTTCAGACCCCACACTCGCAGTTCGATGACATTAGCAGTGGACGCCGAGAACGCCATTCGCACGATGTCTCCAACCTTGGATTGCAGCGCCAATTCGGCAGGAATGGCTTGGTCCGGTAATATAGCTTCCTGGACAGTTGCCAGCAGCTCGTACAGGCAGCTCATGGCGAAATTGCGAGTCTGCCACTTCAATAATTCTTGGCCAGAGACACCATCACTGGTAGGGTCAGCTTGGCCTTCACCGGCAACCGCAGCTGCGAAGCCAGCAACTTCATCGTCGGGGATGTCAGCTGCAGCCGTCTGGACAGCAGTAGTTAGTGGAACCTCGACCTTAAAGCGGGTTTTCGTCATAATGTTTTGACAGCGATGAATCCACAACTCGGTTTCGGTAAGAGCAGTCTGCTGCAGCCATTCCTGAATCATTGTCTTTAGAGGTCTGTTGTCTGGCGCGTCATCAAACGCAAGCCAAATGTCATCCTCGAGCGTTGCAGTGGCTGTTTGTACAACTAAAGTAGCATCTCTTTTCATCAAGTTACTGAGACCGCGGACAGCCACATCTCGCATTAAGGAGTTGCTTGCGCGGAGCTCGCCCTGCAAGCGCTTGACATATCCAGCAAAGTCTACGAAACTTGGGGCGTAGAGAGAGAAGTGATCCAAACATTTGGAGCTTTCCGTTACCAGCGCGGGGCTTTCTTCCAACTGGAATTGGCGAAGCAGAGTAAGGATCAGGTTGCGGGTTTTCGCAACGTCCTGCAAGTCCGGCCCGAGGACGTTGATCAGCGAATCCACGCATCGACTAATGACCACCGGGGTCAAGAACGACATCTCGATGTTGGAAGTTGCGAGCGTGGCTGCTTCTTCATTGTGAGTGTCGGCATTGTAGAGCTGAGCAAGCATGCCCAAGGAGCTGGAGGCGAAAGGTGAGAATGTCAAGCCAGCAGAGTTTGCCACTCTCTCCAAGCCACCAAGAGCCCAGAAGTGCACCACAGGATGAGGATCGTTGCAAAGAGACATCAGCACGCCGACGATGGTCTTGAGGTGCAGACCAGCTGCCATACCTCCGATCTGGGAGTGAATACATCCCAAAGCAGCGGCACAGCCAGCTCGGGCATTCGGTTCCCTGTTAGCGACAATGGTGTCCACAAGCCAATTGACCTGCGTGTTCGTGCATGCATTTCCAGCGCTGTCACACAACCGCCCCAGAGCCTCAACTCCGATAGTGCGAACAATAGGGTCGTGGTCGACAACGAATTTCTAATAAATGTCAGTAAATTTCTCTGGCAATGTGAAAGATGTCAGATATCAGATTACACACCTGAATGAGCTCCTGCAAGATCTTGTCCGTAGATGAATTCAGCTTTCCAGCCACGAAATCGGTTTCCTTAACCGCCACCTTCAACGCATGGAGAAGGGCGACAGAAATATTGACTACTAGTGCAGCTCTCCTTCCAGGGTTCCTCTGAAGAGTCGGTGAGGATAAAAAGGTGGCGATTTGCTCGACACTGCTTTCCTGCATCTTGGGCGAGTGAAGGGCAATGGCGACCGAGAACAGGTCAATGGCCGCGTTGACGACTCCTGTTGTAGGGGGGTCCACACATAGAGAATCGCCCGCGCGCAAGCTGTACAGAAGCACTGAATCATGCTCGCTGGCTTCACAAATGGGGAATGTCAATGCATCATCCACAGCTTGGTCCACAGAATCGATAGCGGACCAGGCTGGGCCGTTCTCGTTACCGTGAGATCCAGTCAGGGCAACCTTAATGTATTCCCGGGCAAGTCCAGTGACGCCAAACCCGTAATTATCACAAAGATCCCACAGACCATCGAACTGACCAGTCGCGGCTGCGATGGAGCTCTCCAACGGTCGAATTTGAGTGTCCGGGTCGGCGAACGCAGAAATGGCAAGGTTCAGAAGGTTAGACTGTGATATGATGTCCCCATGGCTAGGATGATGGACATGTACCAACTTCGAGAAGCACTGAAGAACTCGGCGGCGGACCATGGTCGTGAAGTCATTTAGTTGCAAAGATGGATGCAGACGCTGTGAGATTTCCTCCGTAGACTTTGGTCGTGGCACTTCATTCAAGAATTCAACAGTGTTCTGCAGCATGCCCGCAATCCTCTTTGCACCATCAGCAGTGATAAGCTTGCTATTGAATTCCATGAAGACCAGCAAGGCGCTGAGGGCGCACTCCCGCACATGAGCCAGGAAACTCGTCTCCAGTGTGCTCGGTGCAGCGGAGTTTTCCTTGCTCAAATGCTTTGGCAAGGCATTCTTCCAGAGCAGCATCAACTGGGAGAGATGAATCTTGACAAAACTAGGTCCAAGGGGCATCAATCCACCAATCAATATCCAGGCCGTCTGGACCTGGGTACTTGCAACCCGTAGCTCAGATGTTGTGCTAATCTTCAAAAGATCCGTTGCTTGGGTGAAAATCTGAGCGAATACATCCACAGCTCCATAGAGAGGTTGAAGGCGGGAGGTGCTTAGCATTGCGGAGAGACCGTTCGCATAACCAACGCAGCGACGGGGAGACTGCCTCGGGGTGGCGAGCTGGCCAATCTCTCTGTTTAAGCTGTTCATGCAAATAGTGACGCAGGAGAGAAGCTGGTGTGGGCACGCTAGCACAAACCCACGCAAGCAGTGCGCCGCGTGAATTTGAACTGTATAGCTTGGATGGGGAAGGACTTGAAGTAACGCATCACGGCAGCTGTCCGCAAGAACTGCGAATGCAGATCCAAGTGAAGAGATCAGCGACGAGAGCGCGCTGACAGTGCTTGTCAAGGCATACTTGCTTGGCTCGCGACGCTCTTGGATAACCTGTGGATAGTCTTTTAGGACTTCATTGATAAGCCATCTAGCGGCGTTCAGCTGGCTGTTCTCCCGAAGCAGCTCCCGGCCAATTGTGTCCTCGAGGATAGACTTTACAAATTTGCGGGTCATAAGGAGTCGGAATCGGATGTATGTGACCGTCGGGTGGTTCAGCAAATCGAACAGCAGGTTCGACGCAATCTGGCCGTACCGTTCCTCCACAATTTTATCTCCCAGGTTGCGAAGCACGTATTTATAACATAAGCAAATCCCAGCGCGTGTACGGTTTGAGGTCGTACTTTTCAAGTACTGGGAGGATAGCTGTCGCAGGAGATCAGGGAGGAGGAAGTACAACCGCGCATCCTTCTTAGTCGTGCTGGCTGCCGCCGTAGAGGACTCGGACATGTCGTCCTCGTCCTCCTCACCGGGTCGAGCGGCTGGCTTTTTGGACATCCGGTTAGATTTCTTCGACTTGGGTTTGGGTACCGCAATGACGTGTGCCTCGGTGACATGTAGTTTGACCAGTGCTCGTCCAAGAACCGCAGCAGCAGCATGGCGAACTGGCGCGACCGGACTATCAATGACCTTCCAAATGGTGGTTTTCAGATTCTCGAAGTCGTTCGTATTATCGAAGAAAGGCGTTGTGTTAATCAACTGTTCCATGCAGCGACACGCATGAACCTGGACGAAAGTAGACTTGTCGCTTGTGGCCGCATTACGCGCCTGTTTCCAGATGTCGCGCGCAACTGATTCGTCAATTGGGACACCGAGGCCAACAATAATCTTGCGTAAGACTGAGAATATAACGCCGCGCAAGCCAGTATGACTGCTCGCCGACTTGAGCAGCTTAAGTGTTCCCGCCGTCGCAACATTAGATTGCATGAATGCGCTCTCGCCAGCGGTCACGAATACCTCGCCCAGACAGTGCACCGCTGCGAACTTGGTCTTGAGCTCAGCGTCGCTTTTTCCAGCGCTCAATATCCCTAGCAAGTCGGTAATTGTCTCGAAGAGGATCCCGCGATCCCCTTTCGCTAAAATAGCACCAAAGCATCGTCCAAGGTTATTGCGGAGTACTCGAGTGAGGGTCGGGGAGGAGAGGGTCAGGATCTTGAACAATTCCTTTTTGAGTGACTTTTGCTTCGCGGAGACCTGCGCCGCATCGAGGCCGGATATGTACTGGACTAAGTCGGAGGTGAAGGTGAGCAGGTAGAGGTCTTGTTGTTCGGATGGGAGGTCATGGAGCTTTGGAATATCCAACTCCGGCACCGCATTCTCGGGAGGTATGGATGCGGGGGCACTTTCGGAGGTAGACATTGGGTATCAAGTTGGAGGACAATTATATCCCCATCAGAGTGCAAGGAGAATGGGGAGTAATGAGGTTATGAGGTATGAGGTCAACAATGTCCCTCTCTCCTTATCGTGTGGCCTCACCGTCCGCGGAGATCGGACAAATTGTCGGCCCGCAGACTGTGGAATGTATAGATGCCGCTACGGCACAGACTTGCCAGAAGCAAAAAGGTTAGGGATATCGGGATGGCGCTTCAATTACACAGAAGCCTCCTGCGACAACCTCGCGCGGGCTCTTTTGGTGCCGTGTGCCGCACTTTCACTTCCTCCACATTCTTATTATCCGGGCACAGCAAGTGGTCCACCATCAAACATGACAAGGCGAAGAACGACAAGGCGAAGAGCAAAGAACGCCAGATGATGAGCAAGGAAATCGCCAGCGCTACACAATGTGAGCATTTGAACCCATTCACACGGTGGTTCTCAACATCAATGCTAACACTCGTCGCTGCAAAGTATGGGGCGCCGATCCAAAGTACAACCCCCGTTTGACCCTCGCACTCTCGAATGCGAAGCGAGCCTCCATCCCGAAGAATATTATCGAAGCAGCCATCGCACGTGGCCAAGGACTCAGTTTAACTGGCCAGGCTCTAGAGTCGGTAACAATCGAAGCCATGCTCCCTGGTGGAGTGGCCGCGGTGGTCGAGTGCCAGACCGATCAGAAGGCTCGAGTCTTGCAAGACATTCGATACCTGATTAAGAATGGTGGAGGAACCGTCACACCAACCACATTCCTTTTCGAAAAGAAAGGCCGGGTCGTCCTGGAGAAGAAAGAGGATACAAGTGCAGATGATTTCCTGGATGCGGCTATTGAGGCGGGCGCAATGGATATCAACACCGACGATAAAGGTCGTTTGGTGCTGTTGACGGATCCCTCTGAAACGAAAAGTGTTGGTGAAGCATTTGCCAAGTTGTCTGGTCTGACAATTGAAGAGTTGGAGATGTTCTGGGACCCGAACCAGGAAACTCTGGTCGAGCTACAGGACGAAGAGCAGGTCAAGGCTCTCGATAATCTCCTCAGTTCCTTGCGAGATGATCCCAGCGTTCAGGATATTTACCTGAATGCTACAGAGAAGTTCTAGAGCGCTTCTCCAATGTCTATACTATAGACCATGTATAATACTTGAATAGAGATAGATACCACGCATTTCAAATCGGCGTTCTATTGGGGAAACGATGGCGACATGAAAATCTTCATAATTACTCATTTCTTCAGCCCTTGGCACATATCATTCCTTCCGTAGAGCCTTCATGGTACTCCTCATCAAATCGCTCGTTCCCCGGCTCCCCACTGCCTCTAACCAATCCAACATGTGAACCCGGTATTCCTGCCATGTGATTTTAGCACCACCGTCCTTCTCAAGGGCCTGTAATGCCTTTTGTGTCACTGGCTTGCGCAGCTTCGGGCGATGATCTGCAACGTTCTGGCTTTCCTCTATTTCAGCAAAGCATGCGGCTGACAGATTGGCAAACGCGGCGTGGTGGCTCAGAGAGAATATTGAGGCTAAACTTAGGTGGAATGCACTCTCACGATCATAGTGCCGAGCAGCCTCGTTCACATTGCGGACGTATGCTGTCAGAGCAGTGGTGCTAGATGCCGGTACCAAGCAACCTTGCGCATTCGGGTCCTCTGTGTTGAGAGCGCGATTGCGCCAGACCAGGTTGCACATGTCCATGACGTAGCCATTGAATTGGTTCACCAGTTCTGTCCTATACAGTGGCTCAGGCGCGTCTGGTGGCTTGATGACGTTGGACGCTAGAGAGGCCTCGAACGAAGACTTGTAGCCGGCTAGAATTGAGTTGAGCCCTGAGATGACGGACACGGTAGGCGTGAATGCGATAGAATATACCGTCGGGGCGATTGGAACAGTCAACCGGATATTAGCGTTGCCAGATGCATGGGAAAACAAGCCCGCAAGAGATTTATAGAACTGGAGGACCGATAGAACGATCGGCGTGGCACTTTTGTCACTACCAACAGTAGTCGGGGCAAGCTCTTGAAGTGAAGATGCTAAGAGCTCTGCATGTTTGATGACTTTGCTCGAAGGGAATGATTCTTCGGAGACCGAGGGTTGAGTTCGAAGTCTGACGCCCCATTCGGTGATCAATGCAGAGTAGAAGTTAAGTAGCTCTATTCTAGAGCTAATCGCGCTGTCCAGCATGGCATGCTCCAGTGGGCCGAAAAATGTTTCTCGAAGCCCCTCGTAGGGTTCAATCGGAAGATACTGAAGTAGTCGGAGGATTTGGTCGCGATTTTCCTGACCATTCCATATCGAGAGATACGACTCCAGGAAAGCTCGAACGGATGGTAAAAGTGCCTACGGTATCGTTAGAGCTCACATCAGAATGACTAGATTAAAGAATCAAAAAAAATACCTTGGTGAACGACGTATATCCCTCAAGGAAGCCCAGAACAAACGACAGAATTTCTGGCTCGTCATCATCGTCTTCCCGAATCTGCTCCAACTTATCTGCCAAGAAGCCTTTCAGCCACTCATCAAGACGATCATTTGCGGCCTCGGACTGAACCAAATGGAGGTATTTCTGTGCCATTGCATCGCCAAGGGTAGAGATTATCTGATTCGGCAGCTCAACTGTGTCGAGCTTGTCCACAAAATGCTCAATATCTCGAATCTCTTCAAGAGACGTGTGCTTGTTTGAGACTCGAGAGGTTTGCAGAACCGGAATGATTACCTCAATCCTGCTGCGTTTTACCATGCCCCGGTGCAAGACTTGATAACTTGATTGTTGCGCTGCTTGCACCCGCTCCATATTCTGGTCTTGTAGCAACTTTGCATGGGTCGACCATTCAGGGTCGGGGTGTTTGAAGAATAGAGTCATCCTTCTCGAGCCACCGAGATCTCCAATGATAATCTCGGGATAGTAGTTCTTGAAAATCTTTAGCAAGCTCATAAGTTCTTTCTCTTCCCCACCCGCAGTTTGGATCAGTTCCATCAGAGCCTGGATGCGGAAGGGCTTGACATGCTTTCGTCGAGTGATCAGGGAAAGAAGGTGGCAAAGTGGCTTCCGCAGGCTGATCATGTCCAGGTGGTTAAAAAGCACTGCATAAAGCTTGCCGAGGTGTGTCCGGTCTTCAAGGAGATCATAGGTCATGATCAGCCAGCGGACGAGCAGAGCCTGCGTAGCGGGGCTTGGCTTGGACTTGCTAGGCCCCAGACAGCACACGACTTGCGTGACATGCTTGGAGGCAATGCGCTCTTGTGGATAGAGGTTCTTGATCAGAGGCGTGATAGTTCCCTGATCGAGGTTGTTTTTTGCCGTGAGAACCTTCAGCAAACGGCCCAGCGCGTCTTGCGGAATGCCATTCTCATACGCGTCTGATGCAATCGTCTTGGCAAGCTGAGCAGCGTCAGTGTATCTTTGCTTGACGGGCACATGAGCAACTAATCCATTCATCAGCGACAAGTCAAATCAGAACTAGATGGATTCCTTGGGGTTTCCCACCGGCTTCCAAGTGCTCAAGGGCGTCGAGCAAGCCGCCGGACTGGCCACTGTCTAATCAAAGTGTCAGTCCAATCTAAGCCAACAACTCGTTTGCAACATGTAATCCAGCCAAATACCATTGTTTGTTTCCATCTCAATAGTGCCAGGCCTTCTAAGTCGCAGGACTTGTATCAGACCTAGTCTAAGGCAATGGGGTCATGCTCTGGAATACCGGCGCGTCGGATGTACTCAGCAACAGAGCGCGTTTCAAGGACACGTGTCTCAGCGTACGAAGGGTACTCTCGATAAAAAAGTGTTGAATTTTAATTTCACAGTGTGAGAAAAAGAAAATTCGATGCCTCGATTTTGGACGGTACAAGTGATCGCATAGAAGGTGTAGAACGTGGGCGCGCGCGGAGAGAAATCAGCTTAAACCTAATCGGGCAATCGTCACAACACTGGCCGACCAGCCATGTGCAACGAGTTCAAATTCAATGCTCAGGTCTTGCAGCTGCTTTTCTGTTTTACAACTGGAATATTAGGGATGCAATGTATGCTCTTTCAATTTCTATGATTAAAATGATTTACGCGTAGAGAAAGTCGAATCCCAGTGCTCTCAAGGAGAAGTTTTCACCCCAAGTGTGGAGACCCAACAACATACTCCCAACATCATCAAGAGACAATAAGACTGCTTTACAAAAGCCGGACAAATATGAAATGAAAGTCTAGATCTGTCCTCTGGCAAGATGAAACGTTGATCAACGTGAACAGATTTCACGGTGCGCTAGCCTTGCGCAAATGGCACGCTCATTTCTTCGACTTCCTCTGGCGGGTGGATGACTTGTTGTCAACCTTGGAAGAAGTCTGCGACGCCACTACCTCTCCCTCCTGCCCCTCGTTCTTCTCTTCGACCTGAGGAGCAGTCCTGGGTTCTGTCTCCTCGTCGCTGTCACCTCCCTGACCAAACTCGTTGACACGCTTGTAGTCAACCTTGTACTTGTAGCCCTGGTAGAGCCAGACGAAGAAGATGACATCATCGCGGAGAGTGGCCAGACGATGCAGCCATGGCATCTTAACGGTAAAGGCGAAGAGGTCATCGATGAAAGTGTTCAAGAACTTGTAGGCCATCGCCTTGCCGGGCATGTGGGCAACAGACTTCAGGCGGTAGTTGATGTACAGGCTAGGAACCATCATCAGGAAACCGTAGGCGTAGACACTGCCCACAAGGGTCTCGATGATGTACGAGTACCACGATTTGTGGGTGTTGTACAGAAGGCTGTATGCGGCATAGGCGAGGAGAAGAGGCACCGCGATAATGTACAGGTAGCGGAATGCAATCTCATCGTACTCCTTAGTCTTCTCTTCGGTCTCGCTAAGCTTGTGCTTGTCTTCAAAGACAACCACGTAGGGCAGGAAGGAAAAGAAGGAATTGGCAGGAGGAGGACGCAGCCGAACGTTAACTGTCTTGGTAATCTTCCAGGCTTCCAACAGGATACCGAATCCTTGGCTAGCCAGAATCATCCAGGATGTGTTGTCGCTGTTATCCATCAGGTAGAGGAAGATGACTGCCTGCATGAAGACGTTCGCCAGAATGGTACGCACAGATGTACCTACGACATCCTTCTTCTTGCGCCAGTGAGCCTATTGTAATTTCCGTGTTAGCAAATCCGAGGAAACCGCAGTTTATATCACAAGAATCAATCAAGACCTACAATGTCATTCTTGAAAGCCAGTGTCTCAAACACCATGTGGAGGATGGTGACGATACCAGTGGTACCCAGGAGGTAAATGTTGGTGTCCAACAGAACCTCCTTGATCGTCTCCCACTCGGAGCCATCACCACCACCAGGAACAGGACCACCGTACGCGGCCTGACGAGCACTCTGCTTAGAGCCTTCGTCAATGCTGGTGAGGATACTGAACTTCCAGTTGGCCAGGTGGTTGAGAGTAATCCGCAGAGGCACTTCCGTCACAGTAGAGTTCAGCTCAGTCATGTGGGTCTTCAATTGCCAGAAAGTGTTGAGGAACAAGATCGGATAGTACCAGCCGTTCTTGCCGGACTGGTCTCGGGCACCGGTGCGTTCCAGCTGGACATACTGACGAACTGCCGGATGCATCTGGGAAAACTTCGGGGACCCAGAGTCTGGGATCACGGAGAGTGTGAAGTTAGGGTGATAGTACGAGACCGTTTGCACGTCCGGAGTATCATCCACCACCTCCTCTTCCGCTTCCTCGGAAGCGGCCAGCAGGTTCTTGAGCTTCTTGACCTTCTTCTTGGGCAGGTACTGGTTCAAAGGGCGCAGGAAGTGGACGGCATCAGCGGTGTTATAATCCTTAGCGGCAGGATCCACTGGATATCCTGTACGGGCCACGAAGAAGTGCGCAAAGAGAGTTCCATTGTTCTGGACCTGCTTGGGGAGCTTAATGGTGGTGTCGATCTCACGGGTGTCGCTGTAGTTGCCAATCGTGAAGTTCTTCTCCTGCATCACAAGGATGCTATCCTTGGACTTGAACGAGGGCACCACAATCGAGGGGGTCACATAGATGCTGATATCGATGGCACTGTCGGAGGGCCAGATAGGGGAGATGAGGTCCGGGATGGCGCTGTAATCGGCGACTTGGCTGGGGTCGGGGCGATCCGCAAACGCGGGCATGTTGCCCGGCTTGACGGTGGAAGCTGCATTCTGCTTGTTGCCGAAGAATTGGCTAATTCCGAACTGCACCAGCAGAAAGATTCCGAGGCCCTGGAGGGCTCCCTTGAAGCCGGACTAGAGATGACTGTGTCAGCTTCGAAAAAGACAGATTGAGCTTCCCCGCTCAAACCTGCGACAACCGGACCACATACACTGCTTCCCTCCTCTTCTCTGCGTTGCCGTTGTTCAGGCATGGTGCGATGGCGAGAGATGACGAGAGAAAGAGAAAGAAGAGGCCAACGCGGCCAGAAAAGTTACACGGCTGGCTCTTTGGTCCAGCCCGTTCGAACTAAAAAGGAGGGCGCGGGGGCTTGGCATTCTCATCGGTTCCCCTCCAACTCCGCAATTGTCCGGAGGAGCTCTATCGACCTGCCAAACTTGCGAGCTGCGACAGCTCACCTCGACCTGCGCGAACTTGTCGCTGGCTTTTTGAAATCACACAATGGGTATCGCGCTTAAGCGCTGGCGCTGACCCCGACCATATCCATGGAAAACCACCCCTCGCCCGATTCCCGCTCGCAATTCCCGTCGCATAGGGAACCGCGAGTATGGCTGATCACCGCGGGGGATTCGCCCATCGGCATCTCAGTTGCGCGACAAGCTCTTGCGCATGGTGACTATGTCCTGCTCGGGCTAGCGCATACGGTCCTGGATCGTGATGAGCGACGCCGAGATGGTTTCGACGCATTCCTAGCGGAAGTGGAGGAACACCACGACGAAGGATGGATGCAACGAATGACATCTGTCCCCTTGGACATCAGGTACGCGCTACTGTCTCAAGCTCTGAATACTTGGAGACCGATATATGGCTGGTCGCGTGGAGCGTTTTCGGTGATCATAACAGAGGGCAATGACTGATTTTGTGGTGCAGGATGATGGGTGAATGCCAGGCGGTCTTCGCGCAAGCAGTTGCGACCTTTGGTCGAGTCGATATCCTCTTATGCTGCACAAGCCAAGGTACATATATGCTTTGCGATCTTCAATGATAGCTACAAGGAGTTGCTAACCCCCTCTCTAAGCCCTAATTGGAACCGTCGAAGAGCTGTCTGCTTCCCCACAGACCTTGAACCTTGTTCGCGATCAATTTGAGGTCAACTATTTCGGTCCTCTCAATATCATCAAAGCTGCATTGCCTCATATGAGGAGAGAATACTCTGGTCACATTATGATTTTGTCAGGAATCAGTAAGATATCCTCGAGAAGTTAGCATCCACCAATCGGCGGTTTGTCTAATAAGTAATTAGCCGCCCATGTTGGGACACCAGGCCTTGGAATGTATTGCGCTGCTGGCTGGGCTCTGGAGGGATTCTGCGATGTGAGTTATCCTGCCTTACTACACGCGCATTCGGCACTTACTCACGATGTCCACTAGAGTCTGGCTTTCGAGATCGCGCCATTCAACGTCAAGCTCACCATTGTCCAAAGCAGCATCGAGATCGGCATTCTCGCTAATCTAGTCACCAGCGTCCCACCAATTTTCCCCGCCTATTCCCCCGCAAACAACCATGCACCACTTTTCCGTGGTATCCTCAACCACCTCATTCCCCGACTCCCTGATGCCGTTTCCGAGGGGGCAACCGGCAACACTACAACTGCCAATCGATCTCACGAAAAAGAAGGAAGCTCAAGAGTGAACTCGATCGAGAATGGCCCATTCTCAGTACCCGAGGTGGTATCGATGCATCCTCCATTGAGCTCTGCACACCTAGAAGTCTTGGTTTCGGAAACAGTATATGCTATCACGTCTATTGCCGGCCATGAAAATCCACCTTCTCGGCATATTGTCGGGCAAGAAGGTGTCGCTAGCGTCAAGGAGAAGCTGAAAACCGTTAGCGAGGAGCTCGAGGATTTCATTCAGGCTAGTTTCGCCGTCGATGTGGCAGCTGATGCAGAGCCTGTGCCTCCCATGGGAAACACGACCCAAACACCTTTCTGAGGCGTCAAATAAATTAACTCGATCAATATAATTACATTACCGCAAGCTAGAACTATTATGCTTTAACCCCGACGCTCTGATGCTCCATAGCCCTCAACCCTGGTTTAATTAATAATTGAGCGTGATGCGGCAAGTTGGTCGCTTTATCCGTACATATTCTGGTCCCGCATGGAGATTCTAGCGGCAGATGGAGGTTGTAGGCCCCGGTGCATCAAGACAAAGGCGTTAACATCCTGGAGCGATATCGTTGGAACAGGTGTCTTAACACCCTGAACATCCCGGACCCCATGCGCTGTCTGTCTGCCAGTTGTTTACGTGGCTTGCTTTGGATCGACAGACCAATCAACGCAAGGGTTGGACATAGCAACCTCTCTCCATTTGAGAGCTGTCGATGCCGAAATATGGTGGTGATCCAACATGAGGCTCTTAAGTTTACCCCGGATTCAGACGACGCCAACATAAATAGCTTAGAAAACGCGAACCTAGATATTCGTTTAAACAGGGACAATCAAACTTTACTACATATCCTCATATAATCTTTGAAGGTCTGTCGCAGTAACCATGGCCCAGCCAATCCCGATTCAACCCAACGCAGCACAGGAACAACCTGCTACTAAAATGCGAAGGATGTGATGTTCAGAGAGGCGGCAATCCTTATACTGCGTGTGCCTATTGGTGGAAGTGCAAAGTACGTACTGGGGCTCTCTTCATATAGAAAGCTTCTATACCGAGGATATGAGATACTAAGTCGCATAGACCTTTCGCAAGTCCACGCTCACTTCGCACCAAGAGCTTTATCATATTCAGTCTGGTCCTCTGGGTAGATGCGTAAGTATATCTGGTCAATTCATGGTTTGCCTTGTTCAAACTCCGTGAGCTAACCCGATGCTTTAAAAGACGAGCAATACAACGACTTGAAGTGCTATCCTAAGAGGGAGCTATACTGGACCATTATTTCAAATTGAGCTGAACTTGTGATGTTATATCACTTATTGTCATGATCTATGACCAAGGAAAAGAAACCTTTCCAAATCCATTTCCACGGACGGGGAATTCCATTGAGGGTAGCTGTAAACCCGATCTTATGTTACACTTTGCAGGAGAGCCTTCGTTCGTATTGAGTAGCATCCAGTATCATCTATTGCTGCCCCGATAGAAAAGCAAGCTCATTTCTGCTTGAGGTACCAAGCTTGTCTCACGTCGAAGAGACTACCCATATCCTGATTCTTGCGATAGCATCGGATCTCTTTCCATGAATTGGCAGTGCGGCCATCTGGTCTGCGGCCATCGATCTGGAGTATCTCGCGGACCAGGACCATCGGCGATGAGATTTCAGGTACGATAATCTCGTCTGGCCCATCAGCGGCAGTCTGCACTTCAGACGGAGGTTGTGTAGGCTCTTCAGCAGGCGCTTCGGTGTGCTCTGCGTTGTGCTCTTCGGCGAGTTCCTCGGTGCATTCTTCAATGACCTCCTTTGTAGGCTCATGCATGGGCTGTTCGGCATGCTCGTTTGTTGGTTCTTCGCTGGGCCGTTCGATGAGCTTCTCACTGGGCACTATGGTATGTTCTTCACGGCGCTCTTCGGTGGAATCATCAATGAGCTCTTTAGGTTGTTCAGGTAGTGGTGACGATATTAAAATTGACTGTGCTGGTGACAGTGGCGATGACATTGGTCCTTTCCTTTCATATTTCTGCTCGACCAAGTCCATGGCATCGTGGTTTGAGGAAGATAAGGGTCTTGTTACAGGACTTGGTCCAGAAAGAGTAATTTGCAAGAGCTGCTCTGTTCGTTGGGTTGCAATATCACCGATAACGACCTGAACTCCGGACTCTTGCTGAAGCTTGAGCTCTGGTTCGGGTTCAAGTATGGCTTCCGCCTCGGGTTCAGCCTCGGGGGCGGGTGAGGGAGGTCGTATCTTCCGAGGACGCCCACGCTTTCGTTTCGCTGGAGGCTCCGCGGCAGGAAGGGGTGTCGGTCGTTTGAATCCCTTCTCGGAATCACTTGGATCTTGCCGTGGACTAACGATCACAACTTGGACCGTTCCATTCTCATTGTGAGGTTTTGCTTGCGTGTCGTCTGGTTCTTTTAGTGCCTCGCCATTGACAAAATCCTCTTGCTTTGTTTCTGCTCCAGTGTCTTCCAGTTTCGGGCTTTGGTACGTTTCGTGGACACCTTCCATGGGCTGGAGCTCCATTTTCTCCAACTTATTGTTCGTGGGGGGATCTTCTTTCAGAGGCTCTGGTTCAGACGCCTCGGTCATTATTACTTCGTTCTTGGGAGATTTTTCCATGTCATAGTCATTATCCTGATAAGCCTCTTTCTTTGGTTCTGCGGTGACAGCATGCGAGCGTAAAAAGACCCGCTGTCCGGTCGGGATAATGAACGAAAGCTTTCGGTCGTTGATTTCGTGTATCTGCGAGCGGTTAGCAAATCAATATCTCCACAATAATCAAGTACATTGTTTCATACCCTGGTCTCTTTATCGATGATCACGCGGTCTGGTCCTTTGCCATAAACGTAGCAAAACCGCCAGACATCGCCTACCAAAAAGACCCCCGCCTCGATAAGCTGTGTCAGCTTGACCTTTGAGCTTTCTCCCGACATCACACTATCGCCGGTCCTCTGCTTCTGTCCCCAGAACTTCTCGAATTCACGCTCCTTGAAGGAGTCGAAGTCGCCCTTCTCTCGCTTCCGTCGCGCATTCTCAGCCTCGCGAAGCCATTCTGGGTCAAAATGGCCATTCTGGAGATCGACTTGAAATTGACGAATGCCATCGCGCCAGTTATTGGAGTATCTGACAAAAGATTCCGGGAGTGGGGGGATCTTCGCGCTGGGGCTGTCGGGTGGAAGCTCTGAAGCTGGGTGGGTATCTGCGGGGAGGAGAGCTAGAATCTCGCGTTTCTCGTCTTCTTCAAGAATATCCCACGCTTCGGGTCTTGCCAGGAGCTTCTGTAGAATTCGGTAGAGGTATTCTATTAGCTTTGCGACTCTTTTTTGCTTGCTATTTGAACGGAGGGCTGGGGGTTTCATACCACTAGGTCAGCATCGATAAGGACGGACTTGTCGCTCGTCAATAGCAGCTCCTCGCTCCACTTACCCCGAGGCGCGGCCTTTCGGGGGTTTCGCTTAGGAAGGCTTGGTGCTGGAGAAGATGCTGGCGATGACATTTCCGGATTCTTGTGTTCTGCTACATTGGCCTGGCCAGCACGGGCAGCAATAGCTCGTCTAGTGTAGCATTGTCAGAGTCAGCCCAGATTGAACAAAAGCCCCAGTGGATCATTCGCAGCTTACCCCGAACGGCCGCCCCTTCTGCCGCTTGTGACCGCCCATCTTCTGCGAGCCATGCTGGCCGATTTGACCGTGTCTCGCAACTAAACAAGAGCGATTCTGCTGCTACCACTTGGTCCAGCAGTATTCAAGATGGTAAAGTCAACTCAAATTGCACGGCTTGATGGTAGGTGAAGGTTTCCAAAGTTGTGAGAGAGGGTTCGTCAAGGCTGATATATGAGCAAACAGGCCTGATGCTGGCTGCCTCGGTGGATGATGAGCAGGTGAGAGCCTATCCAGAAGACCAATATTCACATGGAGCCCAAGGCTGACGAGATTTGGTGACAGGCTGAGTCGGAGCTGGCTGAGATCAAGGGCCAGGCTAAGATGATCTTCCGGCGATTGAATCGCAACTCCGCACCCCAGGCTAGCATCGAGTCAAGTCAATACAACCTCCAGTAAGCAGGCAGGGTATACGATGGTCAAAGTGAGTTGATGGCTAACCAAGTTACAGCTACATGATCCAAGACGATGTCTGCTTCCTCTGCATCTGCGACCGCTCATACCCCCGCAAACTCGCCTTTACCTATCTCGCTGATCTGGCCTCTGAATTCACCACCACATACACTCAATCACAATACCTCTCCCCCACGCTCCGTCCTTATGCCTTTGTCGAGTTCGATACTTTCATTCAGCGCACCAAGAAGCTGTACCAAGATAGCCGGGCCTCACAAAACTTGGACAAGTTGAACGATGAGCTGCGCGATGTCACCAAGGTTATGACCAAGAACATTGAAGACTTGCTGTATCGTGGAGATAGCTTGGAGCGGATGGGCGAGTTGTCCGGTCTGTTGCGGGAGGACAGCAAGAAGTATCGAAAGGCAGCGGTGCGCATCAACTGGGAATTGTTGGTGAAGCAGGTAGGGATAGTCTCCGAACTCAGTGGGTTGGACTAGATGGCTAACTGTGTCGCAGTACGGGCCTTTCGCCGGCGTCGGGTTCGTCGTGCTCATTTTGCTGTGGTGGCGGTTCTTCTGAGCGCTTTTCCTCTCCAATTTCCCCCAATCTTGGACACCTCCTTTGTATGAATGTATGCATAGTTAATACCTCCAGGTGGTTGCAGGACACAATCCACCTATCTCTCTCTGGAATGAAGAAATGCGTGAAAATTCCATGTCAAATAACCTCGCAGATTATCGTAGAATCTCGACCACATATCTTCTAGATCTCATCTTCTTCTTCGTCAAAGTCATCTTCTTCGCCCATGTCATAGAGAATCCGACCTCCCTCTCCAGGGCCATCTCCATGCTGGGCATCAAAGTATGGCAAGACAACACCCTCTCTGTCCCGCCTTTGTCGATCTGTTAGGCCCAGTTCAAAGGTTGACTTTGGCTCATCCTCATCGGGGTTTGTATCGGGTTCCATGGGAGGGTTGTACAGGACATTGTCATCCAGCAGGGTCACGACCTCTTTCACATGCTGAGGGGAATATCGCGATGAGGGTGGGAGGAGGTACCATTCCAAGACTCCACGCCCACTCTTGCGGCGGTGCTCAAGTTCCAGCACAATGCCCTCTGCAGCGCCAGTTCCAGCCAACTTATCTAATCGGCCAAGGAGAACACCGTCTTGTTCTTCCTCGAGGCCGAATACCGGAGCAGCCAAACTGCGGTCACGGGCAGCCTTTTGGGCTAGTATGTGGGAGAAGGAGTGAAGTGTGATAATACTTGTCGCGAGATACGTTAGAACCGATAGCGGCGTGGGCGAGTAATGATTCTGCTGAGGCAGTGCAGACACATCTTGATGATATGTCACCACCAGCGAGGCTTCGGCCTTGCCAGTCGATGGGCCTGAAGGTGCGATAAAGGAGCCGAGGAAAGACGGGAGGTGGAATGCAGGGTCTAGTCTCCTCGAGCTCAAGAGGGGGTTGATGGCATCAATGATAATAAGACGACCTGTCGATGTTGATTAGCTCGACTAGAAATCAAATGGTGATACACGATGTTATAGGGAAATCTCACGCCGTGGTGGCCCCGTCGCTGAGGCAGGCTGGTATACTGCTGCTACCTCTTCGACAATTTCAGCCGGACTCTTTCGACGGGTTGATACGAATGCATCGACTCCATCCGGTTTCTTCAATGTTTCAAATGCAATGAAGGTGACATGCACTTTGGAAAGCTATTAATACGGTCAGCATCGCACTCTTGGGATGTGCTGCCATGGAACCACGCAATCTATCCCTGCTTGGGCCACCAGACAGCTTAGCTTACCTTTGCGCGTCTGATATACTCCTTGATGAGGGGTGTGGCGGGTTGCTCCAAAGAGTCCTGCAGGAGCGTGAGCGGGGAGGCTGTATCCCTGAGGCTCAATAACTTCGAAATCAGGAGCAAATTATGCGTCCTCCGGTGGGACAGATTGACTGGAGCCATGGCTGTATATGAAGAGGGATGTGGCTGGTTGCTACAGGGAAGACAAGACCAACCGAAGTGGGGTAGTCAGCCTGTGAAAATTTCGCGGTGAGATTTAAAGTTGGGGCTCGACGGGTCGGCCCGTGGGGCTGTATGGCCAGCTCTCGATGAGGCCTTTCTTGTTGAGCATATCGTTGCTTTGGAGGTGGCTTAAGGTGGTTTTTATAACATGTACTACTCAAATTATGCCTATTGTATTTATGCTGGTAAATTTAAAAGAATATAAAGGTGATGAGAGGGCTATGAGAGCTTCTTTCAGAGTAAACTTCCCCAAGTTTAGAAGTGCAGTACCAGCAATAGCTGAATCTCTTCGGTGGATACCCCCGTAGGTCATAGAAGGTTTTCTTGGTCAGATGCTATAGACAGGTCTATTTTTACTCTCCATAGTGCATCAATGTGAATAATTACTGCTTTATCCTTCATTTAGGCTTGCCTTAACAACGCTCCGCTCAAACACATTGTTCGCCGCCCTCATGAAGATCCCCAAGCTCTTCAAGCTTAGCTACTCCAGGACAATTACCTTGGGAGTATGAAGATGCAAGCCTTCAAAGATGGTTGATGGTATACTAACCCGGCCTATTAGGGCCTTGTCCGCCAGTCAAAAGCCAGGTTCTGCGTCGATTCCTCTGGGGGTGATGGACTGTCATTTTCTTCTAGCTACTGAAACTTGGTCTCGGAGATTTCAATTTAGCTTCGGGGAGTGTTCAATCTCAGGAAAAGATTGAAGAAATGATTTCAATTATTTCATGGCCTATGTAAATGGGACCCGTTTATGATCAGCTTCTACAGAGCCCCTTGAAGATCCCATGACATCGTTCTTGCAGACATTTAGTCGGAATCTTCTAGTCATTTATGCAAATCCACGAACTAATCATCGCCTCCGATAAATTTGTGTGCTCGTAGTGTAAAACAATCAATCATTGTCGTTCGGCACGAAATGTATCTCTGATTTGCATGTACAGGCTAGCTTAGCATGGACGAATATACATCCGACTCTAGGCTCAATTGAATGCAGATCATGCCCGCAGCAATTTAACTAGCAGATTAGATCATCACAACTAAGGTAGATATATTCCAGTATTCGATACAAGAGTCTAAGAATAAAAACTGCCATGTTTACAATTTATTTAGGAACAGTAGGCAAATAGAATTGGAAAACGAAAGCGCAGTCATGACCTAACTTTCTCCATACGGAGGGAACTGCGCGAAAGGGTGATCTCGGTGACCGGAATAAACTTCTCTCTTCCGCCAACGCAACTGGCAATTTCCATTGGGACCAAATCTCAATTTCTCTTAATGATGCGTTCTTTTACTACCCGTTGACTCCATCGCAATTTCGCACACCTGAGAGACGCGAATCTACCTGTCCGTTTGGTCCCCATTCAATCGCCGCAACCTTGCCACACGACCGTCCTGCTTGAGACACATCACAGTCATCTCGAGCAGCCACCATGACAGAACCTCCCGCCAAACGTGCCCGGCGCATCGATAGCAGTACTATGTGGGAGAAGAATGACTCTCACAGTGTCCCCGCAGAGCAAGACTCCGAGCATGGCCGTCGACCCTCACCCCCCCCCGAGACGACCGACGCGACGGCCCGCGTGAAGACCGCCCTTATCGCTCGCATTCACGAGATCGTAATGACAGAAGGCGAGAAAGGAGCTGGTCTCGAGATCGCCGTGACCGAGACCGGAGGGATCGAGACAGAGATGGACGTGGGGCTCGAGACCGCATGAGGAGTTCTAGCAGAGACCGTGGGCATGATCGACGAGGTAAGTGCAAACACCCAAAGACCGTGCCCTTAATATTCTTGATTGAAAGTATTCTAACTCGATTCATGCAAAACAGCTTATGCTGGTAAGGGCGACAAGTTCCGTGACCGCTCACGATCACCCCCCCGGAATGGCACGAAAACTCGATCTCCACCTCCTCGAGGACCCAAAGGCGACCGCCGCCCTGATCGCAAAGATCCTCGGTATCGGGACGATGGACGAACGGCAAACGGCTTGGCTAGTGCTAGTCGTTACGCGGAGGAAATGGATGTGGATTTCAAGGAAGACGCCGATGAGGATGAGATGGAAGCGATGATGCGAAAGAGCATGGGTTTCACCAGATTCCGAACCACCAAAAATACCAAGGTGCCTGGAAACAACATCTACGGTGTGCGCAAGGAGAAGAAGAGCGAGTACCGCCAGTACATGAACCGTACAGGCGGTTTCAACCGGCCGCTCAGTCCGTCGAGGTGATTTATTTTCAACCCATTTTTTTCTGGCTTTCGCATTATATCTTCAGGAACGGCTCTGTTTTCTTCTCCTCTCGATCGTGTCCTTTCTTCTCAGCACAATTTGCATTTCGTGGAGCACGGTATCCCCGGTCTGTTTTTAACTATTTTACGGCAAAATCTCTGTGAATTCGAATGCCACATTATCTATGGAAGATTGAGCATCCTAGACTCGGAGAAAGAAATAGTATAAATGTGGAGCAGACCTTGCTACTGTAGTCTAGCCGGGCTGGTTTAGAGTAGAATGCACCAACAGCACATGACTGGGCATACCCCAATCGAAGTGACGTAGCCCAACAAAATACCAACGCTCGCTCTCTTCTTTACATCCTCGTTCGGTTTCACTACAACGTGGCTTCGATACGATCTTTTGCTTCCAAGGTTGCACCGATAGCAAAAATGTCGGCCACGAGTGACCGCCGTGAGATTGTCGTTGTTGGTTAGTCCATATTGCTTGCGACTCTGATACCCCGCGCGCATATCTTCCCCTGAGCTTGACATAGCTGATCACGGATTCGTCGACACTAGGCGGTGGCATCATTGGCTGCTGCACGGCATATTTCCTCACGAGACATCCTTCCTACGATCCTACGCATCACAAAGTAACCCTCCTCGAGGCCTCCGAAATTGCAGGAGGCGCGTCGGGTAAAGCGGGCGGACTTCTTGCGCAATGGGCTTATCCGAGCAACATCGTTGATCTCAGCTTCGCGCTACACGCGCAACTCTCAAAGGAGCATGATGGAAAGAACAGATGGGGTTATCGGGAAACCAGTTGTGGTCAGCTCGTCGTTAAAGGCCGCGCTATGAGCGAGAAGACTCAGAAGAAAGAGGAAGGCGAGTCCTTACAGAAGCGCAGTACGGCCGCAGTCTCTAAGCTCAAATCGGCCAAGATCCCAAATGATCTTGATTGGATTGAGCCAGACCTTCTACGAGCATATGAGAGCATGAGCGGACCCGGAGAGACAGCTCAAGTACACCCATACCTGTTTACTACGTCCATGGCGAAGCTGGCGGAAGAACAGGGCGCAGAGATTATCCTGGGACAAGTCACCGATATCGCTCGCCCCGACGACACTGTCGAGTCCGTTACATATACTGATAAAGCGTCGGGAGAGTCGCGCACTATCCCTGCCACTGATGTGATTGTCGCTGCTGGCCCATGGACTCGTTCTATCCTTCCTGAAGTCCCTATTGCGGCAATGCGTGCTCACAGCGTCGTTATCGAGCCAGCAAGGCCAGTCAGCGCATATGCTCTGTTTACGAACATTGAGATCCCAGCGAACTTCAATCCTGCAAAGAAATCACGACCCACGGTGGCAGCTCCAGAGATCTATACTCGTCCCGACGACACTGTCTATGCGTGCGGCGACGGAGACAAGACTGTGCCATTGCCGAAAACATCTGCAGATGTTGAAGTAGATCCTGAGCGCTGCCAGGAGATCATTGATCAGGTCGGTAGTATTTCAGATGCACTGCGCGATGGCAAAATTCGTACAAGGCAGGCTTGCTACTTGCCGAATTGCGAAAACGGCAGAGGTCCCTTGGTCGGACTGACCCATACTAAGGGCCTTTATCTTGCTGCTGGCCATACTTGCTGGGGCATTCAGAATGGTCCTGGCACCGGAAAGCTCATGAGTGAATTTGTATTTGACGGACAGGCCAAAAGTGCGAAGACTGCGTCTTTGGATCCTCGCGATCAGCTTTGAACATAGCTTGGACATATTATTAAATACTAGACAGAGTCGACTCGATTGCCATGAGTTTTATCTTCCCAATGTATATTCTAGGTGATTGGTTAAGTCTTTTGTGCAGTACAATCCAGTCGACTACTTGACTACACTACTCCTCGCACTCCTCGCGGGGAGCTCGGGCCACGTAATTGCGGAGAGAACAGCTAGCTCCGCCCACTGTTGCCAACTTGACCACCATCCAATGCCAGTCCCTTGAGTGATGCAATTCATAATGCATCATCTAAGGATCTCCATTTTACTAACGTCGCTGCTCTATGCGATTGGGATCCTTGCCGTCCAAGATCCCAATGACGTCTCTGTCTTGATCAAAGAGGCCGCGCGCGCCAACAACGAGTCGCTGCTATGGGGTCCCTACAAGCCGAACCTCTACTTTGGAGTCCGCCCACGTATCGCAAACAGTCTGGCTGCAGGATTGATGTGGGCCAAGGTTGATGATTTTTCTACCGTTCAGCAGAGTACGCCACGACCCCTCTCGTCCTCGAGTTGCGCTGCGCATGTACAATTACTGATCCCACGATGCAGACTTCAGACATACCTGCGAGCAGAATGAGGGCATGGCTGGATATGGTTGGGACGAGTACGATATCCGCAAGGGCGGACGCCAGACCATTCACGACGCTGGAAATACTCTGGACCTTACGATTGATTTCATCAAGGTGCCTGGCGGCCAAAATGGAGGCAGCTGGGGCTTCCGTGTGAAGGGTGTTCCTCGCGAGGATGGAAGCCCTGACCAGCCCGTCTCGGTGGTCTTCTACACCACGCTTGAAGGATTGGGTCAGCTGGGTGTGGACATGGACACCGTGTCCGAAGTCGCACCGCTGGAGGGTGACTTGAGACTCAATGGCTACTCTTCAGAGCTGGGAGACTTCACTATTGATGTCACCGATGGCCCTAGCAGCAACGAGTATTTCGAGATCGATCGTCCCAATAGCGAGGGCAAGCAATTGGGCCATGGTATTGTGTCTAGCGCAACTATGCCGCAGCAGCATCTTTGGCAGGCGAAAGGTGTGTCTTGAGGATATTGTCACACTTGATGATCTCCTACTAACCCTTTCTCATCTTGATAGGTATCCTGTTTACGCAGATGAAGGGTGAGGTTGATGAGGCCATCGAAGAGCTTGGACCTGATAACCCTCCACATCCAGCTCAGCTGTTCACGATTAAACATGCTCCTGGAGATGGCAATGTTCACCTTGTGCAGAAGGTCTTCAAGGGTGCATTTGAGGTATGAAGACTGAAAATGCGATTTTATAAGAACACTTACTGATATACTATAGTTTGACGTTCTCTTTTCCTCTGGTTCAGCTCCCAAACCCATCACTTGTAAGTTTGCCCCCTTGATAAACACCAAAGCCTGTTGGGATTCTAATAAAAGTATAGCGGAGACTATTACCGAGGAACTCAAGGATGCATCTCTCTCTTTCACTGAGAGGCACAAAGAAGTCCTTGCTCCCAAGGCCCCCTTTGACCTTGATGACGAGTATTCTACATTCTCCAAGGCTATGCTTTCTAACTTGGTCGGTGGTGTTGGATTCTTCCACGGTGATGACGTTGTTGACCGCTCCGGCTCTCCCGCATACGATGAGGAGAATGAAGGCTTCTGGGAGGAAACAGCGGAGGCTCGCGCGGCGGCCCAGCCGGTCGTGGAGGGAGCCAAGGATCTGTTTACTTGCGTTCCGTCCCGGCCGTTCTTCCCCAGAGGTTTCCTTTGGGATGAGGGCTTCCACTTGATGCCTGTGATGGAATACGACTCTGACCTTGCGTAAGTCACGGGGATTTTCCCATTTATGGAATGCAGGCTGACCCATTTCTAGTCTTGAGATCATCAAAAGCTGGTTTCAACTGATGGATGAGGATGGCTGGATTGCCCGTGAGCAGATTCTAGGACAGGAAGCGCGCAGCAAGGTTCCCGCCGAGTTCACTGTTCAGTATCCTCACTACGCCAACCCGCCGACTCTTTTCATGGCCTTGGAAGCTTTCATGGACAAGGCTAAGAGCAACAAGAGCGTCCAGTCCGAGAACTTGGACAACAACGATCCCGCCGAGAGCCTACGCTCGGCCACCTTGCGGAACCCAGAGTTGGCCAATGGCTACCTTCGCTCTTTCTACCCCCTAATGAAGAGACACTTCGCATGGTACCGTAGCACCCAGCGCGGTGACATCAAGTCTTATGATCGCGAAGCCTTTTCCACCAAAGAAGCTTACCGCTGGCGTGGACGCTCCGTACAACATATCTTGACTTCTGGTATCGATGATTATCCCCGGCCCCAGCCGCCGCACCCTGGTGAGCTGCACGTGGATCTCATCAGCTGGATGGGCATGATGACCCGTACCCTACGTCGCATTGCGGAGTACCTGGGTGAGGTGGAGGATGCCGAGGAGTTTGCTTACTATGAGACCGCCATTACCCGTAACATTGATGACCTGCACTGGGACGAAAAGGAGCAGACTTACTGCGATGCCACTATCGATGAGTTTGAGGAGAGTGTTCACGTCTGCCACAAGGGCTACATCTCTATCTTCCCCTTCCTTACCGGCATGCTGGGCCCTGATAGCCCTCGTCTGAAGGCTATTCTGGACCTGATCAACGATCCCGAAGAGTTGTGGAGTGACTACGGTATTCGCAGCCTGAGCAAGAAGGACCAGTACTATGGCACGGAAGAGAACTACTGGCGAAGCCCAATCTGGATGCCGATCAATTATTTGGTGCTGAAGAATCTATATGTAAGTTGTACCTCCCCCATGCAGCATGTTTCCATGTCATCATACTGACACCCGCTTTCTGCAGGATATCGCTCTCGTCTCTGGCCCTCATCAGGAGCAGGCCCGCGAGATGTACTCGAAGCTGCGGAAGAACTTGGTCGAGAACGTGTTCCGAGAGTGGAAGAATACTGGGTTCGCATGGGAACAGTATAACCCTGAGACGGGCAAGGGACAGCGCACTCAGCACTTTACTGGCTGGACCAGTCTGGTGGTGAACGTCATGTCCATGCCGGATCTGCCCGCGGGCAGACAGACCTCTCACGATGAGCTGTGAGGAATTGGCCTTGGGATGTAAATTAGCTCGTCGATGCATACATTAGATAGCGATCGGGTATCATTGCATGTGTCTTTGCTGTCTACTGGTCTAGAATCCTATTTCCGGAATATAGCGGGAGAATGATTGCATGTCCTTACCTTCTCACCTCGTAGGCTTGGCCCCTAGTCGCTTTTCTAGCATACAAATTATTATTCCGTTTGTCGCATAGTCACTTGGCGGAATTATGATGTCAGATATTGGTGGGAATCGTGAAGCTGGGCCAAACTTGCTCCAGGATGGCATTAATGTATTTGGTGTGTTTGGTACAATGGATATCATGTAAGTCATTAAATTAACGTCGCCGCTCGCGGTCATCTCGGTCTCGGCGACGTTCAGTTTCACGGCGACGCTCAGCTGGTGAGTGGTTACGTTCGACTCGTCGGGGTCGTGGTTCCTCTCCGCGATCATTTTGGTCTCGAACCCGGGAGCGGGATCGTCTCCTACGATGATCTCTATCACGAGACCGGTGCCGGTGGCCATGGTGATGACGGTCTCGATCATGGTCCCTTGTATGATACCTGTCTCGATCATCCTGATGTCTCCGATGTCTTCGCTCGTTGTCTCGGCCACGTTCATCACTGCGATCTCTGCGTCTCTCTCGGTGGGGGCTTCGGCTGCGATCACGCCTGTGTCTTCGACTTCCGTGCGATTCTCTCTCTGTTTCTTTCGCACCAGCCTCATCTGGATTTACCGGTGTCTTTGCATTTCCTCCTAGTGGAGTCAAGTTGGCGTTTTCTTCGGCTTTGGGTGGGATTGGTAGTCCGAGTGCGCGGGCCATTGCTTCCTCCTCTGCGTCCTTGACACGCTGGAGCTCTTCGCGTTGCTGTCGGGCTCGTTCCTCCTCGGCCTCTGCGTCGCCCTTGGCATACCATGATAGATCACGATTCTGTTGCCATCGACCCACAGGCGCCATCACCGAATGGCCCAGGTAGTTTTCGCGGTGGCTCGAGTTTTTGACATCGGACCATTTGAACTCGTCGCGGCCGCCGCTGTGAGGATGATTTGATTAGTTCGCTGAGGACAACGAGCAACAGATGAAAGGCAAACAATGGAGTCACTCACCGGCTGCCTTCTTTCCGGACTCCTGCAACCAAGTCCATCTTTGACAGGTGAGGAGTGGTGTTGGAGATGGGGAGAAGTCGCTGAAAGCTTGTGACAAGCAAGACCGCGGAGGAAGGCGGTGAGCGAGTGGATTTCATCATCGGCTGCTCCACATTGCCCGATCCCCCGCTGTCGCTGATAATAACGACCCTCCATGTTTGGGCTTGATCATGTTCTTCTGTAATTATCCCTTGGCCTTCTCTTCCTTCTCTTCAGAGCTACTAGTTCTTGGCAATGACAACGTTACTCCCGACGCTCCGTGCTCCCTTTCTTTTCTTCTCCGACCTTCCCCACGCAGATCCGCGGACATACTACAGCCCAAGCTCCGTCATTGGCGAGAAGCACCTTTAACCTCCGGGACATGGCCGTTTACAGCCCTGGAAGCTCGGAGTCGGAGGTCTTCCTTGTCAAGGACTCCATCAGACCTCGATTCCAAGCTTTAAATGTTGAAAAGGAAGGACAACGAGTGCGTAATATGCCCTACATGTATCACGTGAGGGAATCCAACTAACGAGGACAGTTCTCCGTGTAGGTGTAGATGGCCATTGCTGGTCGAGTCTGAAATATACTGATAGATCTGGATAGGAAAAATGATATCCTAGGCCCCCCAGTGGCCACCTGGAGAAGTAATCTAGTCAGCTCATTGCCGAAGCTATTGTGCCTGATCTCCCGTCGCTGACTTATTCAATAGGCGGCTTCCTCCCAGCGGCGCAACCTTCTGTTCGTGGCACATGGAAGTGATATCTATGTCTGGATACCATCGGGCCCTTTTCAGCTCTTGGGGTCTCAGGCTGAGATGGTTATCAAACCAATCATGAAGCACCCTCAGGCGGACGGTTATATCGATCCGGCGAACCCACATACCATCAACAACATCCTTGTGGATGATCTGGGTCGTGATGAGGTCTTGCTGTTGGCGACCGATTCTGGGAACGTTTGCGGATACCATGTCGAAGCAATCTTCTCCGCCGTGAAACGATGCGCTAAAAGTGGATATAAACGGCCATTCGATGGTGCAGAAGTGACTCCATTCTTTGTGGAAAATGTCGGAATGAGTGCCTGGGGCCTTGCAACCCATAAGTTTGCTCGTCTGATTGCTGTTAGTGCAAATACTGGCCAGATCACAGTCTATGCATTTGCCTTGGTGGACCCGTCATCGGAAGGCATGGATGATCCTTCCTCAGATCCCGATTCAGACGGCTTGAACGCGAACCAGTCCGACCAGACCTGGGTTTCCATTCATAACATCAAGCAGCTACGAGAATTACAGAGGTCTATGCCTCGTAACCATCGTTCCCGCAACCTACGCTTGACATATAGAGGCCACTTCGACAATATCCCGCACGTATCCTTTGCCAACTTTGACTTGGATTCGAATGGCTTCTGGATGGCTAGCACCGATATCAGTAACCGAGTCATTATTTGGAGAATCTGGGATGACCTGGGTCCATACAGGGTATATTATCCTGGCCACCCGTTGAACAATCCTCCTCAGAGAGGATGGACTGTCATACCTCTGGACCCAAGAACCTTCAAACGACACCAAAGGAAAGAGGATGCATGTGGGTGTCAACCGGGCTCGATTCTCCTCGCGTCGAGAACGATTCTAGATGTATCTAGAGCCATCCAAGATGTATCAGATGCGTCGCAAATATTTGTATTTGGCAGTGTCAACTCCAGACGCCCTGGCACTCTAGATCGCCGAGTTCAGTGTCTGCCTGATGCCATCTTTTCGCGTGAATCCAGGGTGAATCAGAACTCTCGAACGAGTCTAGAGTCAGTCTTGGAGTCCAGCAATACTATTAGCGACAAGGACAGGGCTGCGTCCGAAGGGCAAAGTCCCAGTGGTTCAGAAGTCGAAGATGCATTGAGCGACGTTGCGAGCGACTCGTCAGACCATGTGATACGGATTAAACGACCCCTTGCAAGCCTTTTCGAGGAGGAGAGCGACCAGCATCGCGCATCACCATGTCTCCATCCGGACTACATCTATGACCTGGAGGGTTTCTCCGACAACAACCTCAAGCTTTTCACGGAAAGGCCTATGCATCGTAAGTGTCACTAAGAATAGCAAAATTCATTGCGAACAGGATAAGCTAACTTCAACCGCGGCAGCCATACATCCTCCCCAATTCTTTCCTACCATCCACTTTTCCGAGCACCATATAAGCATGGCACCTTACCCGATCGACTCAGACTACCATCTCCTCAACCGAAATACTCTTTTTCAACGCTTCTCTTTCACTGTCGAGATGAGCTCCGCCTGCGATCGCTTCAACATGGTCAAGTACGTTCCCGAGCTTGGGATCGTGGTTGCAGCGTCGCAGAAAGGCCGCGCGGCGATTATATCACTTACTTGGCAAGAAGAGATCGGTTATGCATTTCGCCTTGACTGGGTCGTTCCGTTCCACACTCAAGAGCGTACCGATGAACGGCCTATGATCCCACTCCTTGGCATGGCTGTCAGTCCTATGCCAGGGTATGAAATCCCGCCAGATGTCCCCTGCATCCCGCGTGGCGTTGACCCCGATGATTGGCTGCAATTCAACTACCGTATCCTCAACCCTGAAGATGACGACACCCCTTCTTCGCCCTCATCTACAACACCGGATCCTTCCGTATTAAAACCCACTGCTCACCCAGACTCCACTCATTCTACACACAGCCCGCAGTCTGCTAGCAACGACGATAATGATGACGACGAGGCCTCACAGTCGCCATCTGGAGCCGAATCTACATCAGATGAACCACCCTCGGACACCCATTCCAATACGACAGAATCGACCCATATCCCCGGGAACTATACCCTCCCAGAACTTCACGCCCATGCCTCAAGCGCTTATCACCCTCAGGAACAATGGCACGGCTGGCATCCATCCCGCCACTACAGATTGATGTTGCTGTATTGTGACCATACGGTGATGAGCTATGAATTCTGGCACGACTGGAAGGACTGAACTACATTCTTGGTGATTGAGAACTGGTTTCCACACCTACATTTCCTTTAGTTGCATTTAAGTATTTGCCATTGTACGAATACAAGCATGCTCCAGCCATACAATTCTCTTGTGGTAAGCGAGCGATCGAACTCCATTGTTTGAATTTGTTCAGCAGTCACTTAGGATACACCTAGCAGAACTCAAGTCATAAAGTTCTGGTTCATGGGGAAGCGAATAGCTTTGGATTATGTACAAAATGTATTCAGATCCTTGTGGTCAAGAAACATGAATCAATCAGCAGGATTGGCGGGTAAGATCAGCTGCGACACGCCGCCAGAAATAGTCACAGTATGTTTCTGAGCAACCGTCTTATCACTTCGCACGCGATCCTCGACAGTCCCCAGACTTCTCGCATACATCGGGAAAGACCCGCCTGCAACAATCAGCCTCACCCTCGTGCCCACCCGGAACCGATGCGCGCAATCTTGCAGCTCTAAAATGAGAGGCTGAGACGTATCACGCGAAGGTTCAAGCGCCCGGTATAGCTGCGTGATATTATGGGATACACCATAAGCGTCGACTTCGCTGATTCGCACGAACAGATCCGCGAAGGGCGGGTCGCTTTCATGGATTAGATGAACGGATAGGGCGCCCAGAACCTCGAGGTCTTCCGAGAGAGGCTCGCTTGTGAAGACTAGCACGTCTGATCGATCTGCATAGGCGCTATCGTCTACCCGTCCACCGGCAGACATTTGATTGCCGCCAATACTTGGGGTAGGAGCTAGGGGATCGAAGATGAAAGATGCTGGGCTTGCGTCTGGCACGGGCGGCTTGAATCCAAGGCTGTTGTTTTCTTGTAGATATAAAGTCTTCGATTCAGTCGGTGGGGGCCAAGTAGGCATCGATCGCCATTGTTCAGAGCCAGTGACAAAGATGCGAGCTGGTGGATGTTTGTATTTTCCATCTTTGGTAAGATGCTCACCGAGGAAATCTAATTTGTCTGGGACTGAGTACAGACCCGAGCCCTGAACGTGCGTCCATGGGCCAACGATCAGGCTCACATTAACACCTCGCTCATGCAAATACTTGAACTGGTGGATCGTCTGGGTTGTGAATGTATCATACCAGCCACTGATCAGCAAAATGGGAATCTTCGCCCGCTCAAGAGCAACGTGGTGTCGGCGCGAGGTCCAGTAGACATCATCAACATCGGGATGTTGGAGATACTCGAACAGCCACGGAGCCCTGTCACCAAAGTATTTCTGCAAACTATCTTCCAACGGTAGACCACCGACCGCTCGTTCAAGCTCTGGCGACCGCAAAAAGCTCAAGCCTGGTATGTTTGCCAGTCGGGAGAGGAAACTGCTCTTCTCGTCATCTCTCTTAGACATCATATCACTCCAAGAGGCGCGATCAAGACGGAAAGAACCCGTTCCCCACGCATGCCAGGCCTGGTCATGAGGCGCAACGGGGATTACCGCAGCGACGCAGTCAGTGGGTGGGTCATGTAACAGCGCCCACTGGCTGTAGCCAAGATAAGAGGGGCCCAGAGTCGCAAAGGAGCCATGATACCAGGGCTGCTGGCGCATCCACACCACGATATCCTGGCTATCAGACTGTTCATTACTGCCAGGATCAAACACGCCGCCGGAGCCAGACGTGCCTCGCGTGCTCACGAAGAGGGCTTGGAAGCCTCGGGCAGCGAAGACACGGGCATTGAGGAAGGAGATACCCGCGCCGCGACCGTAGCAACACTGGATCAATATCAGGCCAGTTGGTGTTTCCCTTTCCCCATGGGGTAATTCTGGTTCGTAGAAGTCGGCAGCTAGTTCGATGCCGTCTCGCATCGGGATTTGGATGGCTTGGGTCGTGTAGCTGCATGTTTCGGGGCCTGCGCCGACGTAGCGGGTTCCTAGATAGTCGAGTACAGCTCCTGCAAAGCTGCGTTTTACTGGTGGTTCTATCATAGTGATATTATGTACAGTTTATGATGAGAATATCTCCACGGGGTGCAGGAAGTGCGAGAATAAGCTGTCGACATGGCCGATGACGTGGATGCCTAGTCGAGGCGATGCGCTGGGGCCTCCTGGAGATCGTCCATCGTGAGATGGATCGGGAAGGCTGCCCCGCACCTGCACATTCAAGCTTGGGGTATAGAATGTAGATTCCATGAAGAACAAGAAAAGAAAGGACGGATACATGAAGGGTACAGAGTAGTTCAATACTGCATGAACTAGTAGGTGTACATAAGTGTGGACTGGACGAATCGGGTTGGAACCATCACTCCACTGATGCCTCCTGCGACCTCGATCTACTGTCCAGCATGCCAATTTCACAATTCCAAATTTGTATTTCAAATGTTGATGGCATTGGCAGTTCATTGGGTCCCTTTTCTCACAAGTTTCCGCAGATGCAATAAATGGCTCCCGAAAACGCAGGCTTGGGCTCAATAGGTCGATCCTATTTGTCATTATTATGCCCAGCCTATCTGATAGAATTCAGGGGCGCAAAAGAAGCACTGTCGAACGCCAAGAATCCATTTTCAAGGCTCTGGGTGGACTGAATGACTGGTCAAAGATCGGAAGATGTCCAATTCCGTACGAACACCAGCCCCACCGAGATCCGCCGAGGCTGATAAGTAGATCAACAGGACCATGGGACCTAACAAGATCCATTATGCATGAACCATCGACACTATCTGGACGAACTGGATCTTATAAACACAAACCTGGCTAATCAGACTGCCCGAGAAGCTCCGAACTTTTCCAATAGAGGTCTCATAATATAAATAGCATGTGCACTGGTTTTCTTCTATGATCTTCTTAACATGCCCAACCTTGCAACGTCCATATCTGATCTTCTCAATAAACAAAACAAAATGGTCGAAGTCACGACCTCTCTAATAATCAATGATGTCACTATGCAAGGCAGCGGTGTTTACAGCGCTCATTCAGATCTCCAGCATGAGGCCATGCTCCAAGCTTTACCTTTGATCGAGAAGGCTGCAAAGGCAATGGAAACGCATATAGCTGGTCAAGTTCTGACAGTGGCAGAGTATGGAGCAGCACAAGGGGCAAACTCGTAAGTGAATATCTAATCCAAAAGACAGGTCGCTTCTATCTAAGCCCTGTTCAGGATAGAGCCACTAGAAAAAATCACAAAGTCGATCCCACCAGAGAATCTACAAATCTTGTTCAACGACAAAGCAAATAACGATTTCAACACCTTGTCCTCCACAATTACAGAATGGAGAAAGAGATTCACCAAGCCCTCTTTCATTGGAATGATCCTCGGAAGTTTCTACGATCAAATTCTCCCAGCAAGCTCCGTCGACCTCGGCTTTTCGCTATCATCCGTCCAACACCTGAGCACAACACAGCCAATGATGGACGAAAATCTGCAGCGGATCCCTAACGCAGACAGACTCCTCCAAGAACAAGCTCATAAAGATCTGCTCAGATTCCTCTGCCAACGAGCAATAGAGACCAAACCTGGAGGATCACTGGTGCTTTCCTTCCCGAGTAAATCAAACTCCGGACAATCGGATCTCGTTGGGCCCACTACTTCAATTTTCGGTGCATTAAAGATCATGTTCGCCGAAGGCAAAGTGTCAAAGAAAGTCCTTTCCTCACTTAACGAACCTCTCTACAACCGCAGCATGGAAGACGTGCAATCTACGCTGAGTCAAGTCAACGAGCTTTGGAATATGAGAGAGTGTTTCGAGAGTCGGGTCATACACCCTGCTTATCTGGAGCTGCAAAAAGCGAAGAGTGACAGGGGTCTAATTAGTGACGAGGCGGCTTGGAAGTATACGCATGCCATCATTGACTGGGTCATGGCTGTCGTTGCGGGTTACCTTCTCAAGGCGCTGATGGATGGGGATCCGGAGAACTACTCGGAAGAGAAAGGAAGTGAGATTGTGGCGGAGTGGATCAAGAAAATAAAGGAGTTCTATTTTGACCATTTTAAGGGGGAAGAGGTTTCAATGTCCTTTATTCATGTTTGGTTGCAGAGGAAATGAAGTGGAGAGAAGATTGCTATCCATGCAGTGAGGGATATTTCCCTCGGGGGAGTCGGCGTAGGCAATTGATTTAATCACAAATTCATCATCACCATCCAATACCCACCGCTATAAATACTACAGTCGGCGCTTTATCCTACAGCCAGGGAACCGCGGATAGGTTACTACTATAGAAGCGATCTGCGCAGAGAGGTATTCGCTACCGCTATATATAATCTTTAAGGGCAAGGTTACTATTGCGGGTTGGTTTTAAAACCTACCAAGAGACTAGGGGTTTAAGGTCTCGAATAACGGCTAGACTACTGATAAGATTAGCTTACGTTAGCTACAAAAGCTATTTATCCCATCAACGAATTCGCGCGTACACGGCCGGTTTCGACTATTGATTCTTGACGGCCACAGGAGCCACCTTACGCCCCAATTCGACCGAATTTGCGCAGAGAATGATATTATTCCTCTTTGTATACCTACGCATTCTTCACATTTACTACAACTGCTTAATGTTAGGTGCTTTGCAGTGCTTAAGCGCGCGTACGGTCGCTTTATAAGCGATCTTACGCGTAGAGGAGATAACCATATCGACAAGTTCAATTTCTTAGATAACTACTAATGCGCACGGCTAGAGGCCCTTTAAAAGCTAGCTATTATTTAAAATAGCTTCACAGCTAGTAGCCTAGTACCAATCGATGCAGAAAGACTGCTTACAAAGCTTAATATCTCTCTACGGACACCAACACCGCTAGGTAGCCGGCTAGACAGTAGATCTAGCTAATTCACGCCAAAAACACCTAGAACCGTGGTTCAGCTACAAAAGCAAGCTTCCATACTTAAAGACCTGCTAAAGTAGCTGTCGAATAGCCCTCCGAGCCTATCAAACACTATGATATATCAGATCATCAAGGGCCACTACATAGCGCTACTCGCGCTACTAGCGCAAGAAAACGCGAATCTCCGCGCAGCGAATAAGAAGGTGGTAAAGAAGCGCACTCGGTCGACTAAGTAGATACCCTGCGAAGAGGGTTTGACCGTCGAAGAGGGCCTACAGCTACTTACGCAGCTAGATTTACCAGAAGAATCACCTGCGGTAGATTCCTATGCGCAGGGCGAATTGCCTATTCAGGCAGACTAACCGGCAAAGAGGGCTCCCCCAAGGTGTACTGGATGCAGGGAGATTGGCCACAAGATAAATTCATGTAAAAATCGCTATATTTAGATTAATTAATGCGTTTTAGTTGAGATATTCTGGTTTGAAATTCTATAATGGGGGTAGGTGACCCGCTCGGTGGTGAATTACGTTATTACCACTGATAACTTGACTAACTAGTTAACTAACGCATCTAAAAACGGTACATTACTAGGTAGCCTTCAAGAGGCCGTCGAATCCCTAGAGCTACCTAGTAGTATACCGGGTATTCGTATACTAGGGTATTCGTATACTATGTATTGCGCATATTATACAGCTTAGTTTGAAGGAGCTTTTTGGTCAGATGGACGCGAACCCGCGAAACGAGAGGGAAGAGATTGAATGGACTGAGGGAGGGCATAAGGCCCGGCAAGAGAATATAAAGTCGTGGATACTCTGAATAAGGCCTGGCTCTCTCTAATCTCTCGCTCTTTTCTCTCTTTCTTTACTAAATACTATCTTCTAGGTTCGGAAGGTAGCAGTCTATATCAACAAAAGTCCTCAGCGCCGCGAGAGCTTCATAAAACTTCAGACAAAAGAGCCAAAGCTCATGCCTATACAAGATGTTCGGACATGATGGAATTCAACGTTCCTTATGCTCCGGGGTGCCTGGCAGTTACAGCCTGCCTTTGATGACTTTTGTGTCTAATTCAACCTTGCTGATATGAAGATGGACAGAGATGAATAGCGATAGTTGACTATCTTCTGTCAATAACCTATCCCTTCTTCAAATTCGCATCGTCTCTTTCAGCAACTACAGATATGACTATTCATAACATCTTTGGTATCTATAACACCCTATTCACACATATTGATAAGGCGAAAGCGCAGCTAGCGCGAAAGAAGGTTGGTTGGAAGAGGGTGATAAAGTCCGCACTTGACCGTGCGCGAGATAAGCTTACAGAGTATTATGGAAAGACTGATAATATCCCTGGCGATCTCTATGCAATTAGGACTATCTTGGGACCATGAAACAAGCTAGAGTTCTTTACATCATCATAATGGGAACCTTACTGAGGGCCACGCTATAATAAGTCACTAGAGGCTTACATCCAGCCTTACCGGCAGTGCTACCAAGAGGCACAGACTACATCAACTCTCTAGCCTACAAGTCAAGACGTCTCTAACATTGATACCCTTCTGAGACCTACTACATCTCTTCAGCCAAAAGTAACGGCTTTACGCGGTATCTTGGAAGGAGCAAGTTGATCTCTATATCTCTTCTTGTATACTTCTCTTATACTAACCTTACTAGGTACCGTCGAAGCAACGCCTCTCGTTTTCTGGAAAGAACACAAAAATGAATATCCTATTCTAACAAGTCCTGCCCGAGACATCCTTACAACACCAGCTAGTGGTTCTGGCGTTGAGCGTTTGTTCAACTCTGCCCGTGATATCTGCCATTATCGCCGGGGCTCACTGAAACCGCAGACCATCAAGGAATTAATGTTGTTTTTGTGTACAACAAAATTCGACCTGCACTCAGAGCAGCTTGCCTTGATTGATGAGTACCATGAGCATTACTGCGCCGCATTTGTTTTTGATCCCATTGGAAATAATGTGGAGGTGGTAAGATCGAATTCACTTGAAGCCCTTTATCTACTGACTCATTTGGATGTTCCAGGCTAGCCATTGCCCCGAAGGCCAAAAGAAGTATTTTGCTACTGTCTTCTCTTTGACACAGGGTTTGGTGCCGGAGAAATGAAAATAATAACTTTGTTATATTTAGGTACCACTAGGTAGCGAATAAGTTGATACCATCATGGCCATGCGTCTTCGGCCAAATTGTTTATTACTCGCCACTTGATCTGCGACACATAAAAGATCCAAATAATTAGCCAGTCTTAGGTCCATTTTAAACTTCACAAAGTCACGCCAGAGAGAGCAACTTTTGAGGTCCAGCCCGTCTTAAGGTAGATTCACGATGCAAGATATGGCTGAATGTTCACAAGCCTTGTGCGCCCCGTCTGCTTTAGCCGCCATCCTCAAGGGTGCTGCCTCGATAGAGAGCAACAACTTCAGTCTTGGCTGCACTTTTCGTATGCTGATTGAGTAAAGCAGACACATTCCTTCGCGCTGTGCTCAAGGCGGACCCGGACAATACACTCTACGACTATAGACTTAAGTGTTGCGTACGTCTGCTGTCAAGGTAAAATGACCCACAACGCAGCTCCTTATGATGTTCAAGGTGTTTATATCCCGTAATATTCCGGTGCGATGAACCTACTGATGCAAAATGGCATCGGCTTGGTCTCTTCTACTTTATCTATTGGATTATCTTGGCTCCCATGGTGGCAAAAGGACTGCTCTTGGATTCAACTGCTATCACTGGACCACACTAGATAATGATCTTAATCATACTTCTGGAAGCTGTTATACCACGCACCACTTCCAGCGTAGAACCAGGGCTTCAATTTATCCATCTCCTCGGCGAAAATGGTAGTTGCAGTGGCATCTTGGTGTAACTATGTCACATGGTAAGCTATTGTCTATAACAATTTCCCGATAGAATACAAACCTCTATACTCTCCCATCCCAAGAAAAACACGGCCAAGCGCCTCTTTTCTGAAATGAGGAGTTTGTTATCTGAGACGGCGACACCGTCGGGGTGGTCGGCATTGATGGAGTATGCCCACTGCCCTCCGACGAATCCCTGCATCTTATAGCAGTCTGTGTATGTCTTGTGCATGGAAGTGCGTAAAGCAGGGTCGGACAATGGGGCATCAGGAGACAGGCGGATAAAGGCCTGCATAAGTATTAGCTATACTGCCGTCGGGACATGTGGAAGGTTGGCTAACAAATTCACAAATTGGAGCTTCGATGCCCCGTGTCAGCTCTTCAAGTTGACTGTGATCGAAATCATACAACATTGTCGTAGGTTCAGCCTGGGTGATGCCCTCCAACCCGACTAGTGCCGGTTTGTCAGCTGCGGTGAAGTTCTGGTGCCATACTACATTACTCATCAGCTGTACGTATTCCAGGTCAAAAGAGGATATTTGAGATGCGTACGTATGATCCAGCAAATCTCATGTCTGTTCTTTGGAAGAGACAAGTACTGGGTTGACGTCATATAGCCTTGGTATTGACGGAATGCGCCAGCGCCAGAAGCATGCTGGCGAAGCTTTGCAACCCCGGGAGAGGCGAGCGTCAAGGACGGCAATAGGGTGAATCGCACAATCTGGACCAACATCTTTTTCCGGTTGGGATGAACTGAATTTGTAAAAGAAAGATGAAGATGATAAAAAATAGTGCCAGTCCAGGTAGCTGTTGAACATCATTTATATTAGGATCCTGTGGGTCCGGCTATTGGTCCAAGTTTGAGCCCCCTGGTAGATTTGGCCTAGAGGCCAGTGATTTGAAATCATAACCCTGATAGCAAAAGGGGGGCGACATGAGCGAGTAACTGAGCGTGACTGGAGCTAGTAAACGCTGATGCCCGCGAGATACCCAAGTATGCTGGATGCTAATCGCAAATCGGACGCTTTTCCTTTTTAGGAAAGCGCGCGGCCTCTGTTACGTCATCAAACCCGTCTCGGCTTCGGAGTTTCTTCATGTCAAAGCGGGCTGAATCGGTATAGACTAGTATACATATAGCTCAATGAGAACTACCGGAACCATCATATGAAAGATTGATTGATTGAAAGAAAGAACCAACTCAGACGAATAGGAAAAGGGGCAGGTTGAGCTGTCCCACGGCGGTGTAACCGAGTATTCAAGTGACAATACCGATGTCGAAGTGTTACCCGCAAATATGTTCATACAAACACGTAGAGAAAATAGGTTGGATATGGACCAATCCCATGTCACTGTAATAAACCTCTCCACTTTTCCACGACACTTTATTACAACCCTCCCATCCTCGATAGCCCAAGTACTACCGCTGAAAGCCCTTCGTGTCGTACCTTTCCAGCCATGGCTTCTGCTTGCTGGACCTGTCGACTGCGGAAGAAAAAATGTGACCGGGCCAGGCCCGTCTGTATGAGCTGTGCCAAGCTACGCATTGGCTGTAACTACAGCCGCGTCAAGCCGGAATGGATGGACGGGTCCGAGAAGCAAGCCGAAATGACCAGGACCATCAAAGCCAGGATAAGGCAAGGCACTGCAGCTGTTGATGATAAGGACTTTGCTGTTCAGGTGTTTCCACTCCGGGAGACTTTATCGTCGCAAAGGCAACCTGAAGAATCTAAGACAGCGACCGGCTCGGACGGTTCGACACCAGGCTTAGACCCCTCGATTACGAACGAGACGGACGATTTCTTGATGTCTTTGTATCTCGACACCGTATTCCCTTGCCTGTTCCCATGGTACCAGCCTCAAACATTGGCCGGCGGTCGCAGTTGGCTGCTAACCATACTGAAGACTCAGCAGGCTGCATTTCACGCCGCCATCAGTCTCAGCGCGTATTATTTCACGCGTTTACTGGCCCGGGATGCGCAACACATTCTCGGCACGCCCTGTGAGCAGGAATTGTGGGATGCCTGGACTAGTCACATGGATCTATCGATGAAGCTGATCAGGCAAGACTTGAGCGACATCAACGTCGGATGCAGGCAAGCAGACATATTTCACTCGACTCGTGTCTTGGACGGCATCGTGCACCTCCTCATCTTTGAAGCCTCCATAGCCAAGACAGGGGATTGGAACTTACACCTTACTGCCGCACTGAGCCAGCTGGACAGTATCTTCCAGGTGCATGGCGTCAAGGATGGCAAATATCACCTACATTCACTCCTCCTCAATATGCAACTGCCGTCTATTTTTAATGGCACCAAACTTGGCCACCACATATGGAGCGCCGATCAAACTTCGTTCCAGTTTTCTACAGCGATTCTTATCTATGCGGATATCATTGCTAGTTTCTGTCTCAGGGAGGCACCTAGGTTGCGACACTGTCACAACTCGTTAATCGCGGGGAGTGGCGGCACTCCCGCTACTCAGGCCGAGCAGCTAATCCACATAGAGCATTACTTTGGATGCTATGGCTGGGCCTTCATCCTAATTGGCGACATTTCTTCCCTAGATGCGTGGAAGCTTGCTACTGTGTTATATGGTGGGGGCGGTCTGGACGAACTTGTAGCTCGTGAGAAAGAGTTGGAGATGAGACTATATCAAGGTCTAGCGAATTTGGGGACAGTGCCTGAGTCATGCAAACTACCAGGAAAGCCGAATCAGTCTGACCAGTATGTCCTCGTCACAAAGTTATGGCTACACGCAGGCTTGATATACTTATCGAACGTTGTGCGCGGATGGCATCCAACGCATCCAGCTATCCGCACTAATATTCACGCGGCATTGAAAATTGTCAAAGTTCTCACTTCGAACTTTGGCCTTCGCTGCCCAATGTGGCCACTCTGTGTTGCTGGCTGCATGGCTACGGACGACGAGGAGCTAGAAGTGAGGCACATCATGACTGAATTGCCGCCAATTCAATCCTTTGGAGCGAACAAGGAGGTTCTCAACATTATGGAGGGTGCCTGGCATCGTCGAGGCCAATTTGAAGATGATCACTGGAATTTAGCAGACCATTTTCGAGATCATGGGCCTAGCATCTTGCTCATTTGACGGTAATAGGCGATGCTACTGCTTTGATGAACCGAGAGGTTATGTTCGAGTGGTTTGTCCTAGGCGTGAGCCTGTTGTTAGAGATAGCAATATGCACCAGCAGCACAGCATAGGGTATCACGTCACTTCATAAAAATATACGAAATACTTCACATGCTAAATGTCGCCACTTCTTATGCCAAATGTGGTACAGCAGTAAGATATTATTTATCAAGTTCGTCGTTAGAATTGAGGAACTCTGGAGCCGCAATAAGGCTCCACACCCGATTCCACACACAACACGCTGCGCTCTTCCCAATGGTACTTTCACTCACATACATAGCTATCGCAAAATTGACGAAGAGCTACTTTTATAGGATGACCATTGCGTACAAGAGCAGGCTGCGTATTGCATAGTCCGGCCTAGTTTTGATCCCGATCCGAGGCGCCGGGTGTACGTCAAACCTTTCGACCTCGTGACCCCATTATTAACGTATTTTCTGATGAAACACATTCGACCTTCTAGCATTGTCTACCATTTGACTAATTGAGGAAAGGGTTAAATACCCAATCACTCTCCGATTCCTAGCCCAGAACGGCCTCTCCGGCAGTTACACGTGAATACGTAGTTTACAAATAACACTGAACTATACCTCTAACTATGTATTATAACTTATATGAGACTTTGTTTATATCCAAGAAACACCGCAATTCAGTCAGGCATAATACCGTTGACAGAGGACGCGCGCTTTCCAAGAACGGGAAAGCTCCCGATGTGCGTTTAGTACACCCATACGTCGATCTCTCGGACGTCCTATTCACCCAGTACCGTTATTTACGTATATAGCTATCCAATGAGGTCCTGAATGACAGTGGATTCGGGCCAGATTATTGATAAGCATGCAGTATTTTTCATCATGATGCGAGATTTAGGTGGATAATTCGGCCAAAACAATAAGCCGATGGCCGAGACGTTGAATTACTGGTAAAAGATATAAATTATCATAATGCGACCGAAATTGCAATTCCATGAACATTTATTTGATCCACACCGTGGCTAAACCCGATATTTCAACATGTCTCAACATGCGCTGGTTCTGAAGGAATTTGGGCACCCTCTCGTCCTGGAGAGTCGGCCCATTCCCAAGCCAGAACCCAATGAGATATTGATCAAAATACTGTCTGTTGGATGTATGGTATCCTAATATAGCTATCGGCATCCTTCCATTCCGCTGACATTATTGTAGTGAACCCACACGACCACAAGATCCGAGACCATGGCATCATCGTCAAAGCCGAAGATTTACCGTACATTGGGGCAAATGATATCGCCGGCTTGGTAGAGCTGGTGGGGTCAAATGTATCATCTTTCAGGCCAGGCGATCGAGTGTTTGCGCAGGCCAATACGAGAAGCTTAGACGGAGGTGGCCTTCAGCAATTTGCCACAATTTCGGCAGATCTGGTTGGTAGGACCCCTCCATCGGCCAACCATGACGATGTAGCAACACTTCCAACTGTTGCCATGGCTGCATTTATAGCCTTATTCCATGAATCTGGCCTTGGTCTTCCGCTCTTTCATGGGATGAAGGAGTTCGATTACCCTTCGCAAAGCCTGTTGGTCATCGGGGGCGGGTCCAGCTGCGGCAAATTGGTCATCGAATTCGCGCGACTAGTAGGCTTCGGCAAGATAATTGCCATCGCGTCCAAAATGCCTGAGAAAGAGGCCGAACTGAGGAAACTAGGCGCCACGCTTGTAATTGATAGACACGCTGAGAATTTGGCAGAGGAAGCCCGCAAAGTTATCGGCGACGACTTGATTTATGCCGTCGACACAATCAACATCGGCGACGGCCAGAAACTTGGAGTGACCCTGCTCTCAACCCACAGGAAGGGCACACTCATAACGCTTTTACCTGGAAATGTGGATGAGGCGGCCGTTGCAGATAAAAATGCAAGGCATGACGTGCGATTCTCGATGGGCATTGGACATTTACACCGTGAGCTGGGAGTACAGTTCTGGCAACATATCACCGGCTGGCTGGACTCGGGTAGCATTCGATACCTGCCATATCGGGTAATAGGCGGTTTGAAGGCGGACGAGGTCAATGCGGCGCTGGACAAAATTGCCCAGGGAGAGACTGTGAAGAATGTTGTGCACCCGAACGAGGATTGAATCTTCCAATACTGGTGAATCTTTTGAAACCGTTTTGTTTGTACCTTATGTCAATATGTCAATAGGACAATCCGGCCATCAATACAGCATGGAGAGTGATCCAAGTCACGTCTTGATCCCTTCGTTAAGATCGAGATCAGGTCTGATCGCGAGACAGTAGCACAGAAGGCCGAGACCACTCGCTCAACATCCGACGTTGTTATCTACTCTAACGCCTCTAGTCGACAGGACTACCCAGACGCAGCCGCCGTAGCACTCGACAATAACTAAGAGATAGTCGAGGCGCAACAGGTGTAAGTACCCTGAGTACCCTGAGTGAAGGCTGCTTCAGCCATCAGGCGAGCCGTCCTCATAACCAGTATAAAAAGGTGCGAATGGCTACCCTGGACAACCATAAATTTTTCACTTATTAAGAGCCAGTAACTTCACAGGAAATTATACTACCGCCCATCGATTTTTTGATGGCTCAACATAGCAGATCCCTGAGCAACTATGAGTGCTCAGGGAGTAATCCGTCATCAGTCAGGGAGCATACGGAAATAGTGGGCAGAAACAGATCACGTGCGAGCGATGACTAAGATTATGGTAAAAAGGACGCTTAAAACAGCGTCAAGAGTAGCCGTTTTCGGCGTCGAATTTACCGTTACCTAGCGTTGTGGCGTAAAATAAGTCTTCAAGAACCTTCACGATTGCGTCTTTCCTTAGAACACTCGATAATCAGACTCTAGGCAGTCGTCTTGTATTCTCTTCGAACAATCTTCTCTGATACAGTTCACTAGGTATCTCATATTTGACAAACGCTAATTATACGATGCAGCTCTATTATATTCGTAATAATCGTGCTAAAAGAAAGAAAGTAGGAGTGCTCCGCGTAAACAAACATAATACACGAGTGGTTCCCTATAGTCTGCAGTGAGCAAGAATAATTTATAAGCCGGCCTTAATACGTTGTTCTTTAGTAAAGCAGCGTATTAAGTGAACCTTTTCTACGTGGCTTTTGAAGGCCCGATGTCAACGAAAAGCAAGACCGCAGAACTTATCGGGGCAGGAGATAAACTTGTCTCTTTGGAAATAACCGAGGTGCCTCTCGAAATGTTCCCTGGCTTTCCGTGCTGTTGCAAAGTAGCATTAGTACGTCGGCTCAAAGACGTAGAATAGACAGTGCCGATTAGTCAGAGAAATTAGACGGTCTCGTGGTTCTGGCGAGGGAGAAAAGCCTTGCTCTAATTGAGGGGGTTTATCTGGTAAGGGGCCTCTGACTTTTAGTGTGGAGTGTATTCCGTGACGCTTTATTTGGAACTAAATTTCCGGACGGTACCCTTTCCACTCGACCGAGATTTACGAGTGCATTAATCAGAACTATTCGTCGAAGATTGTTATCCCTTTTAGTAAGCTTATAACACAGCACTTACATTAATTCCGCTACTCGACGGCGCTCTTTGAGACAGTAGACGATCTTCTCCGGCTCGTATATATCTTGTTTGATATCTAAAAGCGAGGGAACTGGGATACACACCACTGCAATAAACCCCAGCAAACTGTTCCCCCATTCAAGTCCCATTGACTGATACATGCTTTGTCCAGCCAGGGGTAGTAATGCACCCATGCTACTACGCACGACTGTGTTTGCAGCCAATGCGCTGGCCGCAAATATCGTAAACGCATCAACCAGATATGTAGTGATACACATGAAGACGGCAATGTTGCCTATCCCAACAAGTGCGGTGCCAATGATTGGCACGATCCAGTGTGTTTTGTAGTATGCAGACCAACCATATAAGAACAGGCCCACTGGGATAAAGAACGCGCTAACGACAAGTGGCGGCAGACGGTATTCCGGCTTCATGACACCTGCGGGAGACTGTGGGGTAGGTTTGGATTTGGCCTTGAGGATCCGATCGGAGACCGCGCCAATTACAAAGAGACCCAGTAGCGAGCCAACACCCATTCCGAGGAATGTCAGACCGGAGGATTTGGTTGGAAACCCGTATTGGTCCTCAAAGGCATAGGTGAAGGTTGAAAACATCAGATACTGGTATCCGTAGTCAATTCCCACGTAAATCGAGCTTGCGAAGACGATGGGCGATAGAAACAGAATTTTGAATGGCCGGATAACGGCTTGAATAAACAACTGCTTGGTCGAGAGACCGTTGTCTCGTTTTGAGCGGAGGTCCCATCTGCCAGTTTTTTTGATGAGGAGTTGCGTTTTGCGCTTGAGAAGAACTGTCGGGCATGTTTCACGTAGGAACAAGAACGATATAACCGTACAGAATCCGCCAATTACGGTGAGCACCCAGAAGACCGAACGCCAGCCGTTGGCCGCTGTCAAATACCCTCCTGCCACGGGGCCGATGACGGGTCCCAACAAAGGGCCGAGGGTATAGATGGCGATGACACCTCCACGTTTTTCCTGAATGATGAGATCCGCAATTGTGCCTCCTCCTGTTGTAACTGGCACATTAGCAATCTGATATGTACTAGGAGGCAGCGAAAGGGAAGGAAACAATGGAACTCACCGTTTGTGACAGGCGCGGAGCCAAAGCAGCCCTGAAAAAACCGAAAAGTGATGAGCATCCCCAGGTTGGTGCTCACCGCACAGGCAACAGTGAGCACCGTGAATCCGATGTTGCAGACGTGGTAAATAATGGCTCGTCCCAGGAGCTCGAGTGCAGGAGCCAAGATAAGCGGCCTAATGGCAAATCCGAGAACGTAGACCGACACGACGAACCCAGTCAACAGTGTACTCGAGCTATGGAATTCTTCCATGAGCTGGGGGACACCAGGCGCAAACATTGAAGATGCCAGAGGGGTGATGAATGTCAGCGCACTGACGATTCCAACGTTGGTGAATTTAATGAAGATGCTGAAGTTGATTGGATTGCCAGGGTCTTCGGGGCCTTCCCAGTCGACAATGTTAGATGCTTGAGGCACCACAGTGGTCTTTTCAACTTGAGGGACTTCATGTTTCTCTTCATCCACCAAGGATCCCTCCTTGGAGAGTGCTTGACTAGGTGAGGATTTTACGAGATCCATTGAAGTATAGACGGACCTCGCATCGGGGTTAGTGGCGGTTGGAGACGCCACAGCGAGTGAATCCGATGTCGACGAGACCATATTGCTGCTTCTTTCGTTTTCCGAGGCAGTGGAGATGTCAATATGCCAAGTGAAGAGGAGAATATTTAAGGGACAATATGAAGAAGGCCGAGAATATTTTTCCTAACGTCGTACCTGACCTAAGGAGAAGTGTATATATCCTCCAATAAGAACAGTCAGACTAACAAAGAAACGCATCCATGGTGCTCAAGCCCAATTAGGAAAAGCGGCTTCTCCCTGCATTGATGACCGGAGATAGTTCATATTCCCTATATCCGCTGGGTCTTGCCCCTGCTTATCTGGGTAGATCTTCTTCACAGCACTCGCACTGAAGACAGGAGAACGACGCTCCAGGCTCTCAACCCCCTCGTATTCAACCGAACAACAACGCTCCCGAGAAGATATCAAGGTTTAGACTTTAACTATACCTGCACGGGTGGCGGAAGTGCATTTCCACTAGTGTAGTGCTTAACCCCAGATGCCTTATAGGATACATACGGAGTAGATATACATAGAATGGCAGGGATTTAGCTCTTAACCGAGTTAAATCTTTCGCCTAATCTAGTTGTCAATCGTTAGACCCCCTTTTTGCAACCTTCCTTCATCCTCGTATGAACAGGAACTGGGTTCCTTTCAGAAGAGGTTCCCGGAACCCGCTTAGGGATGAAGTAAGAGAGATAATTTTGCATATTGCATGAAGACCACACTGACAGAAATAACAGTCTGGCTTATGCCGAGATGTACTGGGCCATGGCAGTGATGTTCCGGCCAAATGCGCCCCGATTCGAGTTATACGAAACCGACGAGTCGGATATCTTACAGTCAGTGGATTTCCTGATGCCTCTTCCCAAGTTGGACAGTCGTGGAACAAGGATTACACTCCACTAGGCTTGAGATACGGAAGGGATCATGGTATGTGAAAGATGGTGAAGTGATAGACATGGAGTAGCAATGTCTTGAAAAAAGCGGAGGGCACGACTGTTGCAGTGGTTATACAGATTGAAGGGTCAATTGATGTGTGAGAGGAGACGGTATCCGAATGTTTATATCAATATTTTTGACGTGAATAATTTGAAAGGGATACGACGGATTGTAGGTACTTCTTGCATTCTACGTAATTTGAATTGCTTTCTCCAGGGACCGGGGTACTATCAAATCAGACTAGGTGGGCAAGAGGATTGACAGCCGATTTCTGTTCCTTGTCAACGGGTTGTGGTAGATCGATATTGAGAAAATCATCACTTCTCGCGTCTGTTCGCTCGCGTTGTCATTATTCGGGTTGGAGAATGGGGAGTCTGTTGCTTCTGATACTTTGTGACAATATCTTAAGTCCACAGATTGCCTGGTTTTTCAGTCTGTATTGGCTGAAGAATAGACCTAGTAGTACCGAATCGTGATATCAGAGCAAAAGCCAATTGCAAAAAGAATCCTATGCTAAACAAGCTATGTAATTGTAAAACAAGTGGTAACCACATCGAACGCTGCACAAGTCAAAATCATGAGTACCATCGCTCGTAAGAAAACGCCATATGCCCGTTTTGATGTTAAACATGAGTATCATAACCATTTTCTTCATCATCAACAATGTCAATGCATGCTTCATTCTCCAGGATCCTCGTTTTAGAAATCCTCTAGCTCATCACTATCCCATTCATCCTCTCGGTCATTCTGCACTAGCTCCAAGAACCGCTGGAGCCCGATCATACCACGCGGCTCCTGAGGGACGCCATTACGTGGCTGCTCCACTCGCGGCGCAGGTCGGTTACGGTTGCGATTGCGGATTTCTGCCATGGCGCGAGCTTGTTCTTCGCGCTCCATGGCTGCGCGGGCTGCGGCATCAGGGCCCGGATTGTTCGCACCGGGACCGCGGGCTGCGTCTGGAACGCGAGGAGGTACGGGTGCAGGGGGAGGAGGGCGGTGGTGGCGATCTTGATTGTCGTCGCTAAAGTCAAAGTCCCATTCTGGGCGATCGTCATCCTCATCTGAGGAGCTCCAGTCACTGTCAGAGTCGTTCTCAAGCCCGACATCTTGCGGGGCTCCATCGTGATCCTCGTCGTCGAAGACAAGCAGTGCTTCTGGGATCTGGTGCAGAGCTTCGGCACCTTCTGGGTCCAGTCCATCGCCACCTTCCAAATCCCACAGGCGGTTATAGCATGTGCTGCTGGTTTGATTGAAGTGACTATACGGGTTGTCGGGGACCAACCAGGCAGAGCACAGATAGCAAAAGTGCGTATCGCACTGGAAGCAACGCATGTGGTTGCAGCCCATGCGTTTCTGGCAGGGGACGGTGCATGTCGGGCATTGGGAAGTGTACAGACGCATGTATTCTTCGGTGGCTTTTTCCTCAACCGACAACTCCTCAACCTTGCGCTGGGGCATGCACCTGACAAGTTCACCATGCCAGCCTTTTCGACAGACGCTGCAGAAAGCGTAGTTGCACTCTTCGCATATAGCGACTCGCTCAGCGACAGGAGGAAGATCTCCCTTTTCCCCTAGTGGGTCATAAGTGGCTTCCTCCTCATCGCCCGAGGCATCGGCGTCGTCGGCATCGGCCATTGGGTCAGTGGGCTTAGGGTGCCGCTTTGATCGGGCTGCACCCTGGCACCACTGGCGTGGGCAATATACTGTGGTCTTGTCGGATTCGATCTTCTTCTTGCGCTTGAGAAAGACATATCGTTGTACTGTCTCTGTGGATAGAGGGATTTCAAGGAGCTCACTCGGGCCGAGCGTACGGTCACGCTTCTTACGGCGAGGAATCTGGCCGTCGCCAGGCGCAAGTGTTGGGCTCTGGCTCTTTTCGCAGTCCGGAGCCAAGCACCTCACGCTGTCCACATCACCTTCCGCAATGCAAGTGTTATAGAAGTCTTGCAGACAGGGGACACAGAAGACGTGGGCGCAGCGCAACAGCCGGTGGCAATTGGCGCCTTTCTTCGGCTCCAGACATACCTCGCATTCGAAGGTTTCTTGCTCAAACTTCTCACGCTCGGCCTTGCTGTTGAAATCCAATAATGCAATCTTCAGGTCCCGTGATAGATATAATTCTCCGTCCGTAGTATCCTGAATTCCAAAAGCCGACTCGGCCGATTGTTGAAGATGGTCAATATAGGTAAAGACCACCATATCCCGCCCGCATTCTTCCCACAATCGAGAGCAATCGTCGGTCAATTTCGTGAGGACTGCTGGCGGCAGCCAGAACGGATGGGTCGTAAGCCGCACAATCGGAGGTTTTTCGTTGGGATATCCATCGGGCAGCTCGATACTCAGATTTAACGGGGGAGATGCGAGAGGATGTGAACGTCACGAGCGGCCGTTTGGCCCAGATCGGGTTTGAAGCCATCGACGGAGGTGGGCGGTGTTAGCGCCGGCGGGGGTCCGACATCGAGCGGCTGTTGAAAACAGACTTGAGCAGGCGACGGGAGGGTTACAGGAAGCTCAAGAGTCGCCTTGAAAGCATTATCCGGGTCGATCTTGATTTCTGGGTAGATGGCAGCGATGGAGGACAACTCGACGGACCGATCGTCCTCGGCCTGAATTTCGGCCATACTGGGCGGGCTCAAAAGTCAGGAAACAAAAGGATCTTTTTAGGAGGACGGTATCGTCAAATCGTAGTCGTACTACCCATACGACTCGTAATATTCCGTACGGGTTAGCAGGCAGCGACCATGGCTGCCGTCGCAGGAGGGTAGCGTACAGGGTCTGTAGTGGAGATGGCGCGCGGGTTTATAAATCACCCCAGTGGCGACTAGAAAGAAATAGGGGAATGATCTTGTCTGCTCGCAGAACTTTCAATAAGCGCTCCAACGACAGCACACTGGGTAAAAATAACCCACACTCAGGGTACTCTTGCGCGGACTATTCGTGATCGGTCCTGACGAGTCCACTGTGCTGGGGAGGGGTCTATCAAATGATGTAACAAGAAAGCGGGAGTATAGAATGACAGGGACTGCGTCATGATTTGAAGCAAATCAGTGAGATGAGGGTAGATGAAGAAGGAGGACAAGATGAGATCAAAGAAAGAGAAGGATGGGAGGCGAGGGAGGCGAGAAGGAAAAAAGAACTCTCCCCTTTGGTGCCTGAAGGGAGTTGATTTTTGTGTCATTTTGGGAGGGGAAACCCCGCCAAGTGCTCTTCCTATCTTATCGGCCGTTATCGGCCCTTATCGTCTTTTTATCGGGCCGACCCTAGTGACCAGCTCACTGCGACTACGACTACTCCTCCGACTGGGAGGTACGTGGACGACGGACTACTGCTTGAGACGTGGCTATACGTCCGAATCCACTTAGTTCCTTACCGCCTTGTCTCTACCTTCATTTCTCAAGGAGCACGAGGACTCCTGCCCATTTCAAAATGGGCGACACCCCACTGGCCTCGCTGTCCTTGACTCACGTTCATTACGTGCGTTGTTCCTCCTATGCATTGTTTGGCTTTGGGCTGCAGCAGGCTAACTGTCCCAATAGAACCCCGAGGATCCGTTGTCCTTTGCGTCGGCATGGCTGGCTCTACTGCCTCAGGCTCTGTGCGTCTCCTATGCCACCCTGGTCTGGGCTTCGAGAGAGATGGAGGTGATCCTCATGTTCGCTGGACAACTGGGTTGTGAAGCGTTGAACTTTGTGTTAAAGCGCATCATCAAGGAAGAGCGACCCAAGGGTGAGTGTTATTGGCCCAGCATTACCTTTCCCCGTGTCCAATCTATTCCACTACATAAGGCAGGCAAGGCACTAACGGCGTCAATGCGTGTCTACAGAAATGTTCGGTAAAGGTTATGGCATGCCATCCTCCCACGCCCAGTTTATGACCTATTTCGCCGTCTACTTGACCCTCTTCCTTGTGTTCCGACACACTCCATCCTACGCAGGCTCCTACCCTTACTCCGATTTCCTGCTCCGGAGTGTTCTGACAGTGGGGCTTTGTGCCAGCGCGGTCGCGGTTTCGACCAGTCGCGTCTACCTGAGCTACCATACCCCCCGACAGGTACTGGCGGGCTCTGCAGCTGGCCTCTTATGTGCCTGTGGCTGGTTTGCGGTCACCGGCCTGCTCCGAAGCTCAGGTTGGATCGACTGGGCGACAGACCTGACGCTATCTCGTCTTTTGCGCATTCGTGATCTGGTGGTCAGTGAAGATTTGGCCGAGGCCGGCTGGCAACGATGGGAAGCTCGGAGGTTGAAAAAGCGCCACAGTGAAACAGGCAAATCGGACTGAGAAGATTGGGTGCTTGAGAAGAACATGTAGCATTCTGTATAGTTTGTTCTTTTTGCCGTCCAATATCCGTATCTGTTTATTATGACCAGAATAAAGATTCTCGAGGGTATCTGCCAGCTCTCCCGTACAAAATATATTTCAGTCCCGGCACTAGGTACCGCCTTCCACCTGCAGCAGCCGCCGGGTGACAATTCGGACCATTCGACGGGAGAGAAAAAATGACTTCGTCCTTGGGGCCTGAATTTCTCTCGGGTACGAAACTTCGCACGCAAGCAATTATCCAAAAAATAGTTTGTTTGACTTCTCTACGGCACCAAATTACATGGCAAAAAGAAAAGGCAAAAAAAGAAGTAACTCCGAATAGGGGAATCGAACCCCTGGCTGTCGTGTGAGAGACGACGATGTTAGCCACTACACCAATTCGGAAGTCTGTTTACCAACTACCACTAGGCTATCGTGGCTGGTTGATGTCTACTGCGGGAGTATTTAAATTCATATCATAGCTAACCACTATATTCCATCTCGATATGGACCTGGCCATCCTACCTACCAAGTCCATCCATGACCTCATTGACTCTGGGTGTTCATGTAGAGAGCAGCTGACGGGTAAATAAGCCTCGGGATGTTCATCGTTTAAATTAATATCTGATTCATAGTGTGTCAATCGATCCGTAATATTCAAGTGCCTGACCTGTTCCTGGCCTTTGACTGCAGGCGACGATCCGTGGGCGGAAGAGGGCCGATCATCGATAGGCCTGGACCACGTGACCGATATCAGCCATCATTGATCACCGCAACTCCGCGGTCTGCTGTCGCGCGCAACTTGGCCAAACTCATACAACCATGGCCCCAGCTGCGAGATGATCCTGCCCGGTGAGGCCACTTCATTCTCAAGGTGCTTCAACTTTCATCCCAACTCGCCTTCACCCTAATGTCCCTCCTTTTCCGACCAGTCACATTGCGCCTCTCAACCACCTCCACCACCACCTGCACGATCAACTGTCCAGCGTGTATTTTGTGAAGTCACCCTTGCTTGAGAGAACCCCAAAATGGATATTTCCACCGCTGCCACCGACTCAAACATGCCCGAACCACAACACCACATTGTCATGGCTGATGAGGTGGATCAGACTGGCACGGATATCTCCCCTGTCTCGGATGCCCAATTGATGGAGGAGGTTGCAGAGGGTCTGCGGCAAGAGCAGGCCTCATCAGCCGCGCCAGGTGCGATTCATAATTCCTCACAGCCCGAGGCGATCGGAAAACGACCTGAATTGCGACGAGACGGATCAGCCCCTCCACCGCCGTTACAACCTCCTCCCCCCGCACCCGTTCAGCAGAATGTGGACCGAGCAACTGACTCGTCACTGAGCCTGGCTCAATTGCGGAGACTCGTGCAAGAGTTGCCCAAGATTGAACAATCCGCATATGCTTTCGAATATGCCGATGCGCAGCCGTTCCCAGATGAGCTGGAAGAGTGGTTCCAGTACAACGAGTTCGATCGCGTGATGTTGACGGGTATGAAAGCCACATTCGAGAGGCAATGGGATGCTTTCTGTCAGCAGAATGCTTCGGCTGCTAGTGGGAAGTCGTGGCTCGATGTATCCGAGGACCTTCGTCAGTCCTTCATGATGCGCTCATTGGACAATCTGCAACACATGGACGTTTCTGTGCGCTTGGAGGCACTGGAGAATATTTGCTATGCAGCTACTGGCGTATGGGGCATCACAGGGGGACAATCTGTCCCGGACTATCCTGCAAACATAGACGCCCGGTCAGCAGCCGAGACACCCCAGTCAAAATCACTACAGATTGACTGGATTGAGGAGAATGTAACCCTTCTTCAGCGATGCTCTGGGATTCCCGTCTTGATTTTGAGATTATCCCAGCTGTTTGATAAGAATCGTGCCACGCTCGGCGCAGACCCAGATGGAATTGAATTTGAACGGCTTAATCCAGGCGATATTGCCGCGCCGGAGCGCGAAGCCAACCTGGTTCTTACCTTGCTCTACTTTGCAATTGAGGTTGGCCGACGACAAGAAGCTCGAGACCCTCAGAACACTTCGATTCGCGACGCTCTTGCTCAATCGAACCCTTGTTTACTCGTTACCATTGTTGAAATCATCGCGCGACTGAGATGGGACGAATCAGCTAACATCCCTCTCACAAGAATTATTCTTTTGCTGTGGAAATCTCTTCTTCTCGTCTTCGGTGGCAGTGACCAATTGAAGAGGACAAAAGAGGTCCTGGAGCCTCCTTTGATCTCCGAAGAGGACGCCGCAAATCGCAGAACACCTTTCTTGACCGCGAACCCCCTCGACTACCATATTTTCCGTCAGGAGATCACGTCCAAATACCCTTCTTACAACCCCCTCCCTCTATTGTTCCTCTTGAACTCGAAAACAATTCTATTCTACCACCTCTACCGCAGCATCCCAGCCGATCAACCTCCTCAAGTGGTCTTTTCTGCGGAGTCGGTCCACCGATTGCCGGTGGAAATGGCTCTATCCTTCAACAGGCCGTTCATATCGCGACCCCGGCGCCGTCTCCACCACCCTCTCCAATCGGCCCTGGAGGGAAGGCCGGCAAGAAACAAAACTACCAGACCAATCAAAATTTCCCGCTCATGTATCCCCCATTGGATGACACCAGCAATCGTATCGGCGGAAAGGGGACGACAGAGCGACAAGATGTGTTGGTGGGCAAACGGTGGGAGGGCAGCGATGTGCCTGCATCCGTCATTGAAGCCGGAAAGCTTTTCTCCACCCATGTTAAGATGACTCGGGCAATGCAACAACTGTGGGAAGAGCGCGAGAATTTTATGAAATACGATCGGGGCTGGAACTTTGAGCAGTCTCACCCGCGAGTTCCCGATTTCCCATCGCTTGATGATACTACTACCGAGTTGGAAAGCTTGGACCTGTCCGAAAGCGATTCCAAATCCCATAAAAAAGAAACGGATGATCCAGATGTACAGCGACGATTGGATGCCGTGGAAGTATTTTATGTGAGTAACTTAGAAAGGCCTGATCAGATGTGCCTAGCTGATATCTTTTTAGGCTCAAACCTTGGCTCATCTTCAGTCAATAACAATTGTGTTCCTGAAGATCATTTTGACGAACGTCAGTGCTGTGGTGAATCAGGCGAATTCTCAGACCTCCCAGAATATGAGGTACGTAAAGCGGACTGACCTAAATTAACACCCGTATCTAATCGTCGAATAGTAATGGCCATGGCATCAATGGTTCATCTGCAGACTTCTTCTCTGATTCCTCCATTGACGAACTGGATAACATCCGGCTACGAGAAATTACTGGTAAAGCCGTGTCCGGTACATTACTTCTCCTGTTGAAGTGGTTCAAGCGATCTCGTAAGTTTGATGTCTTGTCCAACAAGTTGCTCCCGTATGTACCCTACTAACCCATGCAGATGTTCTTAAATTTGAATACATGACCCAGCTACTACTTGACTCGAATTACTTGCCCCTGATTCTGAAGATGTTCGCCCATCAGGATGTGGATCAAGCCGTGGCGCAGAAAAATGACCGAGAAGACCTGGCGTAAGTGGATTCGGCCGCTTCTTTCATATCGTGTGATACTAAATCTTGAACACTACAGTTTCTTCCATTTCTGCAGCGAACACTCTGATTTCGCGGCGCAAACTCAACCGGGCGATGGTGACACTGAGAGTGAGGATGAAGCTGTCCCGCCCCCTATCTCCCGCCATCGTCCCAACATGAGAACGGGCAGCAGCGCTGTTCGGGCTCTCTCAGCAGAAGAGTCAATTGCGGGGATACTTGACGGTCCGACACGCCCTGAAGTCGATGAGCTCGGCTATCCCACCGCTCCACTGCCCAAGGAACCCATCACTGTCTTCTCCTTCCGCAACTTTTTCTCTGCCATAAACTACCTTCACATCATGCAGAAGATTACTCGTGATAAGGCGCATCGCTGCCTCCTGCTCGTGCAGTATAAGTCGAGCACGATCCTCCGAAAGGGTCTCAAGATCCCGGACCCTCATCTGCGGTTCTACACCCTCAAGCTTTTCAAGTCACAAGTGCCCTACTGCGGCCGCAAGTGGCGCCAGAGCAATATGCGCGTCATTACCGCCATCTACCTGTACTGCCGACCAGAGCTTCGGGATGATTGGCTTGCTGGCTCAGATGTTGATGCTGAGGTTGAAGAAGCACTACCTCTCGAGCAGGCTCTTCGTGGACTGACACACTGGTGGCATCTACGTCAGTATAAGGATGTAATGGCTGGATCTGAGGGGGCTAGCATGATGGAAGAGGAGCGTGATTTCTTTGTTCGGGAATTGGAGTCTATGGGCTGGGGCTTTGCTGATGAATTGGCTGGTGATGACTCGGATCATAGTAATCCCATGGTAAACGGGAATGAGTGGGAGGGCGGCCAAATGCCAGCGGAAGGTGGTTGGCCACAGTGAGCATCATGAAACTACTGCACAGCGACATAGATGATTTGCATATACCCTTGCTAGTGAGACCGATCATTGTACCTTTGCTTCTATGTTTTATGTAGTAAACTTTTGTAAAGCTTTCTATCCCTCGCGGTCGGATGGCGAATAACGTAGACTTTGAGGTACCTTGGCCAAGGACGGGGTCCTATCGATAAGCACCCACTCACGTGACCTCTACTTTTTTTTTTCTTTCGATCAACACCTGGGCAACGGCTCTCCAGCATCGAACACCCCATCGCTCCCTGCCCACCATGTCGGACGAGATCGTTTGGCAGGTTATAAACCAGCAATTTTGCTCCTACAAACTCAAGTGAGTGTTTTGTCTAATTTTCCCACCCTCGAACCTTTACCTGCGTATGTTTGTCGGCTTGTCGCTCCCGACACCGCTGGCCATGGCAGTGAATTGCAAAATGAGATAGAGAAAACATTTTGCTAACTTTGAAAATTGTGCGCTTTAGGACTACCAAGGAGCAAAACTTCTGCCGCAACGAACACAATGTCACTGGCCTGTGCAATCGGCAGTCCTGCCCGCTCGCCAATTCGCGATATGCGACGGTGCGCTCCGACCCCGAGACTGGAAATATGTACCTGTATATGAAGACTATCGAACGTGCCCACATGCCCAGCAAATGGTGGGAACGTGTGCGTCTATCCTCCAACTACGCCAAGGCACTGGAGCAACTCGACGAGCGCCTGATCTACTGGCCCAAGTTCCTGGTCCACAAGTGCAAGCAGCGCCTCACCCGCTTGACGCAGGTGCAAATCCGCATGAGGAACATTGCCAAGGAGGATGATCGTCTGGGCGAGAAGATTGTGCCCAAGCTTGCGCCTAAGATTCGCCGGCGCGAGGAGACTCGTGAGCGGAAGGCTTTGTCGGCGGCCAAGGTTGAGCGTGCGATTGAGCGTGAGCTTATCGAGCGTCTGCGTAGTGGTGCTTACGGTGACCAGCCGCTTAATGTTGATGAGGCTATCTGGAAGAAGGTTCTGCGTGGCCTGGAGCGTGCTGGGGAGGGCGAGCGTGATGAGGATTTGGATGATGGAGAGGAGATTGAGGATGAAGAGGAGGGTGTTGGTGAGGTTGAGTACGTCAGCGACCTCGATGAGGAGGAGGACTTGGAGGATATTGAGGACTGGCTGGGTGGTGACTCGGCCGACTCCAGCGATGACTACGATGAGGATGATGAGAGCGATGAGAGTGACGATGAGAGCGCTCCTAGCGAGGACGAGAAGAAGCCCAAGCCTGGTGCTAAGCGCAAGAATGCCGCTCCCCAGGCCAAGCCGCGGAAGAAGGGCCCTCGCATCGAAATCGAGTACGAGACTGAGGGTGTTGGCAAGGATCATGTCATGGCGTAAACTATTCGCTGGATGGGTCGGGAAAAGTCTATGTGATCTTGCATGGCGTTTATGGGTTGAGTTTTTTTTTTTCTTTCAATGTGTTTTTACTACGATCGGGCATCATACCCAGTTATTGCATCAATTGCTATACATATCTGTCAATATGGGTCTAAGATACTTTTTTTTATGTCAATTAATTTCGTTTCTATCTGTTTTGTCTGAGGTTGATTGACCCGCGATTGCTCTGAAACCTAGTATGAGATCACGTGCCGTCGTCATGGGGTCGTGTTTCGGTGATCTTCATGGCCGCTACTCTTCAACTTCAAATCTCGTCACACACAGAAGCCGGCTCTTTTGTGGCAAATAACTTTGATCGTCTTCAGCTTCAAGACTGACCCAGTCTTCAATTCCATCCACTTCCGTACGGCTTCTATTTCCGCACTGTTGGGTTCCTTCAAGGCTCTAGCTCCGCATCACCCCCACCCCACATCGAAGCTGTCCTCTACAGGCCACACGTTGCACGACTACGCGATAACCATTCATCAACTGCCGTTAATTACAGCAAAATGAGCTCGTATCTAGCGTCTTTCACGTCCTCGTCCTCCATCTCCAATGCCCTGGGATCCAGACTCAACAGCCTCCGCCGGGCCATCACACTAGGCGATGAAGGGGACGACCCGGAGAACGAAGACTGCTCGCACATCTCCAACGCTCTCCGAGCATACTACACAGATAAGGGACGACCCTTCCCTAGCTGGCTCCCTCCTGACCCCAAGACCCCGGCTGCCGCTGCAACCCGCCCCATCGCGACCGCCTCCTCCGGACAATACGGCCAAGCTCCCGCCGGTGCCTACGGCCGGGGTGGCGGTCTAAGTGATATCTGGGGTGATTCAGGCGCACCCTCGCCAGGCAGTGCGCAAACTTCCAGTCTCCGCCGTGGCCGTGGCAGCGGTGCGAGTGGTGCGAGCGGTTCAGGGCTGGCACCTTCTCAAAGTACTCCGCCCGGCCCTGTGATGTCCCCCCGCCTCAGCTCTCGCAGACGCAGTCTCATTCACCTTCATCAGGTGGTCTGCATCCCGCAGGGGCTCGACCACTGCCCAGCCAGCGTACTGGGTCCTATCAGTCGACGCAGTCTGGACGGTCTAGCCAGGATAGTAGGTCCGGGGCAGGCTCGGCGCAGGAACGATTGCGGGCAAGGTTGCATGGTGGGCGATCCCCCAGTCCGGGAAATCTCGATCCAAGCGTTCGCAAGCCCGTAGGAGGAAGGCAATGGTAGGCGGGGGGATCTGGGGCTCGCATTGGATTGATTGCATGGCCCGTCAAGCATGGCGCCCGGAGTTTGATATCATTTTCCGTTTTGGATGTCGTCTGTGCTTTGTCTTTTTCTGGTTGTAAATACCGTTTAAAGCTTGAAACTCGTTAATGGAAAGGTTCATCATTAGATTCGTTCTTGAGTTATCCACCTTGAAGTTTCTATTCATTGAACTTCTCGTCTGCGTAGGTCATTGAACTTAGCATCAGGGGATGTCAATCGCCGGCGTGACTGGCGCTGATATTGTCACTTCTGTCCGAGTCTGGGCTCTCACCTCTCGACCCTTCATGTATCCAACCCACACAAGATCAGACAGGACCATGATACGCGATGACCCACGCCCAGCCATTGGATATCAAGTCGCGTGGGATGGCCAACCTGTGCTTGTCATCTCGTCTCCCAAATCCTCAGACTTTGCCCAACGGAGGACATAGATCCGCTTAGCCAAGCCACCACCCACTAAGCTTTGCGACTTGCAGCAAATGAGGTCCTCGGCTTGTGTGAGACGGGAAAATCCCGCAAGTCCCAGCGCCCGGAGATCGCTGGGGCGAGCCAACTCAGAAGTCAGATCCCGGGTTGCTAACTTGGTTGTCCCAACTCGTCCAGGATTCCTTACCCTTCTTTACCCCCAACCCCATCCACACTGCAGCACCGTTCGGAACCTAGTTTCCTCAGATCCAATCGTCGTTCAGATGGTCGGCCCGCTTTGATTTTCGGCCCGCCATGGTCCTGAGCGCTGAGTGGATGGCAATGACTGCCTTTTCGCCGAGGTGTCGCCGACACTGCACTGGAGTCTCCATGGGGTTCCCCAACCCAGCGTTGCGGATGCGTAATAGAGGAGATGCACTCGAGGTTTTCTCCATCTCCAAGCCGGACACTGTCCGAAATCACTCCCAGATCCCGTCCCAGTCCATGTGATATGCCCATGTTTTTCTCGGCTTTGCGGGCCTCCCCGAGTCTTGCTAGTTCTCGTCTCGGCCCTTGGTCTCGGTATTGTCTTCTGCCGCAAGTTGCAACGAAGGGTTATGCTATATCCACTTGCCAGGCCCGAGATCCTGCACTGTGATCCACGGGAAGCCGGGAACCTTCCAGACGTGCAGTCCCGAGGATACACACCGTGACAACTGGAAAGACTATTCATCCAATGCGCAAATCAGATTAGACGACCTTTGGCAGAGGGCAGGTCCAAACTGGCTTTGCCACTGGACGCCCTGCCCGAAAACCTTGAGAGGGCGACTACTGTACGTTAAGCTTCTTAGTCACTACCATTCGTCCAAATGCTCCGATCAAACCCCCCAAATTCCCCGGCCTTGCCTCCTCCACATTCTGGATTGCCCCTGCCAGGCATGGTGATGCATTTTCCAATTGGCCCAGCCATGGCCTATGCCAGTCTTGGATGGCCGGTGAGCGCCCGCGTTTTCGTCCCCGGGTCTGCGGTGCTCTTCGTTTTTCTTCTTTCCGGGCGAGGGCTGCCGGTGCCGTCGCCGAACCCGTGGTTGGGCCGGCTGCTCGGGTTCTTTTCTCCACTTTCCTCGAGTCAAAACAGACTGTGCTCTGACGAGCCGCCTCTCCATCCAGTCCGTACAGCGGAGTAGCTGTACTCCAGATGAATTTGGGAGAAACTGGGGCGGATCCCCAACCTAGTGTTTCTTTTTCGGTTTTTTTTTTTTTTTTTACTAACTTCTGTGTTTTTATTTCAAGGTTTCCCCGACACTTCTCCACTATCGTTTCTGGCGTCAAAGTCTGGCCGTCAAAGTGTATTTCCGGTCGTCATTCAAACTGTTGGTGGTCGTGTCTCTGCAGATCGGCCTCAAAATATTAATACTCCTCGTTCCCCTCCCCTCATTCTTCTTCCCCAGGTCTTTTTTTCCTAACGACCATCTCCATCATCCTTATATCCCACTTCTCCAGACTGGGGTCAACCTCGTCACCTTCTCTGGGGTTTATTCTTTGATCCTTAATCCTATTTGTTCTCCTACTTTCTATATATACCCGCATCCCTTCAAATCAGGGGTGCACAATCCTGCCCATCATGTCCGACCTTAAGGATGCTGAGGTGCCCCATGACTCTCACAAGGAGGCTGGCGCTTTCGAGATCGACGATGTGCACGAGCAGAAGATGGAGAACCAGATGAACGAGGCGGCCATGGACTCCGAGTTGCAACTGCTGGAGGAGCAGCTGCAGACTCTGCCCAAGCCTCGCTTCGAGCTCACTCTCTCCAACCCTGCCCTCTTCACCTATATCCTGGTTGCTTTCGCGTCCATGGGAGGTCTTCTTTCCGGTCTCGATCAGTCTCTGATCAGTGGTGCCAACCTCTATCTTCCCAAGGATCTGCACCTGTCCGATTCGATGAACAGTCTGGTCAACGCTGGTATGCCCCTTGGTGCCGTCGGTGGTGCTTTGATCCTGTCCCCCGCCAACGAGTATCTTGGCCGTCGCATGGCCATCATTGTTTCTTGCATCTTGTACACTATTGGTGCGGCCCTGGAGGCTGGTGCCATCGACTTTGGTATGATTTTCGCTGGTCGTTTCATCCTCGGTATGGGTGTTGGTTTGGAAGGTGGTACTGTTCCTGTCTACGTTGCGGAGTGTGGTAAGTTTGCATTTCCAATCCCTTCGTTCTGGTACAGCATAATGCGCAAGACTCGAGACTAACAAATTCGAACTCTATAGTTCCCCGCAAGATCCGTGGTAACCTGGTCTCGCTCTACCAGCTCAACATTGCGCTTGGTGAAGTTCTCGGCTACGCCGTTGCCGCCATGTTCGTCGGCGTCCCAGGTAACTGGCGCTACATCCTTGGTTCCTCCCTGGTCTTCTCTACCATCCTGATTGTGGGTATGCTCTTCATGCCCGAGAGCCCCCGTTACCTGATGCACAAGAATCAAGAGGTCGCCGCGTACGGCGTTTGGAAGAAGATCCGCGGCTTCAACGACCTTGAATCCAAGGATGAGTTCCTGGGCATGCGCCAGGCTGTCACGGCCGAGTCCGAGGAGCAGGCCAAGACCAAGAAGTATGCTTGGATGGACTTTTTCACCGAGCCCCGTGCCCGCCGTGCTATCGTCTACGCCAACATCATGATCGTCCTCGGCCAGCTGACTGGTGTCAACGCCGTCATGTACTATATGTCCACCCTGATGACCAACATTGGCTTCGACGACAAGACCTCCGTCTTCATGTCCCTCGTTGGTGGTGGTTCCCTGCTGATCGGCACCATCCCTGCTGTCCTGTACATGGAGCGCTTCGGCCGTCGCTACTGGGCCAACGTCATGCTGCCCGGTTTCTTCGTCGGTCTGATCCTTGTCGGTGTTGGCTACACCATCGACTACAACAAGTACCCCGCCACCGCGCAGGGCGTGTACTTAACTGGTATCATCCTGTACATGGGCTTCTTCGGCTCCTATGCCTGTCTGACCTGGGTCGTCCCCTCGGAGGTCTTCCCCACTTACCTCCGTTCATACGGTATGACCACCGCCGACGCGAACCTGTTCCTGTGCTCGTTCATCGTCACCTACAACTTCACCCGCATGATGGAATCGATGACTCGTATCGGCCTGACCCTTGGCTTCTACGGTGGTATTGCCGTGGTTGGCTGGTTCTACCAGATTATCTTCATGCCCGAGACTAAGAACAAGTCTCTGGAGGAGATTGATGAGCTCTTCTCCAAGCCGACTTCTGTCATTGTCAAGCAGAACCTTAAGCAGACTTCGCAGGTTATCAAGGATCTGGCGCATTTCCGTCTGCGTAAGGTGTTTTCACCGGAGCCTTACAACTAAGGGAGTGACTAATTGACTTGGTCATGACTTTTGATGTGGCTGTTTATATTCTTTGTATGTTTACGGTTTGGGATGAGCTTGTTATGTAGTGATGATGCAGTTATACGATGTACTGAAATATACCCCAACTCTCATTGTACAATCTGGATGTGGTGACGAGTAGATCCATTACTTTAACAAGATGTTTTCTCGTACAACTTCCGAACATCCAGCCGCAGACAAGTGGTCCTGTTAGCAGGCCAGCAACACAGTGATACATGCCAACAGAGGACCATGGTAATTGTTCAGTGACCTCAAGCCTTGGAAACCACTTGCATCCATATATTAACATGGTTGTGCCTATTTGAACGGGTCGTATTGGTGGACTTTGCGCCAGAAGGTAGAGAGTGTTGTCTGTATCTAGGGTCGGTCAATAGTAATAGTCCCATACTACCTAGCCCTCGGTAACAATCCCTTGCTATACCAATAAAGCAACAAAGCATAAGCATGAAACAGACAAGTAAACCCAGCCAATAAAGACCTCTCTCAATCACACCCCCATTTTCTCAGTGTACCTTGAATATCTCCCTCCCCCAACTGGCAGTATCAAAATTGTTTGCCCCCTCCACCTCACCACACCCTCCATCAGGCAGCACACCTTCCCAAACCGGCATTTTACACCATTTGAAACCAGTTCCGATATCCCCCAATAGCCAAATTGCCCCTGTGGTCTAGTGGTATTGCCGTATCCCTGCCTTCGCGACCTGGTTTGCGGCGGAGGTTGATCACTTTACTACGGACCCCTGGCGTCTTGGGGCCGATCTTCGGAGGAGCTTGCTTGACGTACCTTCAGGTGCACCATCCCTGATTGCTGGGTGATTTGGCCTTTTCTCCTTTTTTTAACCCAAAGACATAATAAACCGAAAATAGCTTCTATTTGATATGAATATTTGTATTATTTTGATGTTATTGTGTTGAGGACGGATGTCGATACATGCGTGTTGAGGAATGGGCGTTGAGGGGATGGTGAGGCTATTCACAGATTTGGCGCCAGCGAGGTTGGTGGCTGGGGTTCGAAACCCCGGAGGTCTAATTCTATTTACTTCTACGAGAAAGGAAAGGTTGTTTAAAAGGTCTTCTTCTATTGTTTCACATGCAGAACAGTTTGGAGAGACAAAACATCCTGGCTGGTTTCCTTCCAGACAAGGCCGAATCTCCGGCAGTTGTTTATAAAAAGAAGCTGAATAATATTGAGTCATCTCCTCGTAGTGTCTCCACCACCCTCAAAACAACCCAAAACTACCCCATCCGCACACTCGGCCAATAGGTCTTCATCACGATAGTCAACTTGCCCAGAAGGTGAACCTAGAACGCAGCTGAGATGGTGCAGAGAAGGCACCAATATATGATTGACCCCACTGAGGCAGAGAAGCAGAGTTGTGACTTGAGTTTCGTTTGAAGCTCTTGTATGAGCAGTATCTTGAATTATGGGCCTCTATAGACTGCGGACCCCGATCGAACGGAGATTGTGATGCTGATTCTTTGGATCTCCGCAGCCAAGGCTGGGCAGGGCAAAAAGGCTTATTTGAGTACTGAGATAATGTCCGAGCTCCGCTTGATGTCTGAGTTTTGATGTATGATGGGAAAGAGTGAGGTGCTGAAGTTTTGTGAATCTTGTGGACTGTGAAATGAAGGTAGAAGAACACAGTGGAAAGGAGGAAGTTGAAGAAGAACATGTAACATGTATAAGCCGGTAACAGGTTGCAGTGCTTAATGGTCGACTCTGAAGTGAACAATTCGCTCCGAAGGGAAGGGTCCGTTCTGAAGAGGCCGGGAATAAGGCACAGGCGTATAAATCTAGAGCCTTTAAACGTTGCATTGCACAATCTTTTCTGACCTCGGCGACACTCTCCTGATGATCCTCCTCGTAGGCCAAGCGTTGTATCAGCCTGCTTCGCCGGTCTCACTCTTCTCTCTCGTCGCTGGGTATCGTCTTCCATCATCGCTTCTCAGAGTAACGATCGGCGGGGATTAACCCCAATGACAGAAGGGACCGTCTATGAACGCCCGAATCTCTCAGGCAGTCTTGGCCTCCGTTAATTCAAGGAAAGCTCCGTAATCATTTTCACGGTTGTGACAAGTCCGTCGTATATATGAGGGCATGGATATTTCCTCGGGTATTGTTCTGGCGAAGTATTTACCACGTTAAAAGCACTTCCTGTTCTTGCATTCCATTCCAAGCCGGTAGCCTTCCTACCACCTGGAGCAAGCAATACCATGCCCCCGAATGGTGCTTCACCTTCTTGGTGGATGTTTTCTTGGTGACTCATTCACCGGGTTGTCTGGGATTGTGAACACGGTAGGACGCTCTTCCTATGGAGGACTGTGTTCAGCAATGTGGGAGTAACGATTTGCTGCCGTCCCGCATATCGCAAACTATGCACCGTTGACTGTGTCGAGAAATGTTTTGCTTTCGTGGAGATCCCGATCCCACTTGGCAAGGCAGGTTCCAATCATTAGGAATAATCTGGCTTTTTGTTGGAAATCAAGTCCTAGCTCAGCCGAGGCGGGCTCGGTGTACCGTGAGCAAAGTTGGATGTCGGGGTCAGAGAATAAAACACGTGGTGGAGAAGATATGGGTACTTTGCTTCATCCGTAGGTAGAATGTTGGACCTCATCCGAAGAAGAATTGCAGATATCCTCGTTTGAACTCTGGTGCAGCGGAACGTTGTGGAAGAACCGGGATAAACTGCGTCATTTTATCTGTGATATTTTCCCAGTCTTTCCAACCTAGGCGATATTAAGACAATCTCATACCCGATATCTTTTCATGGCGGTGCCTTCATTCCTTGTGGTATATACGACAGCTTGCCAGAATAGATCTTCAAGTTTCGTGAGGTTGGTGAGATAGCGACGAGATGCGTCCCTAAGATAGAACAGTTAGCATGGTTACTGAATACAGCTTGTATGAATCCGGGCCTGGTGTGCTAACCGTGTGAGAAAGTGGGAGAGTTCTCTATCTGCTCATCATCTTACCACACCGGGGGAATTCCGCCTTCAGGGGACTCCGTGCGAGCAGAAGCGTCACCCTTGATTTGTAGATGGAGTGACAATCTATAAATAGGTGTAACAAGCCGTGACATGTTTCATGAAAGCGAAGACCGCGTTGGAACCGGCCCGGTGAAAAACAGGAAGATGAACTCGGGGGCCATGACGATGTATTGGGGTCACGGCACATCCAGCATGAACCAGTGGTCCAAGGACGCATGCCCCATGAGGTCTGTGCGCTCTTCCTTAATCAGAGAATGACATATGCCGGTGTCCGCTATTCATGAAGAGTAAGAACCGACGAAGGATATCATCCATATGAAGGGTTTCTCAGGAAAGGCTAGATAGGTCCAGCCGTGGCGGGGAATATATAGACGAGATTTCGATCAGTGACATTTCCACAAGCTCATGGGGGCAGGTGACATCAGATCTTGTTAGATGGTCTCCATTTCACTCCCAGGTCGGGCCGAGCAGGAAAGACTTGGGAAGTATTGATGGATACCTGCAGAACCCCGCACGTTCCCCTGGTCAATCTCTGTCGTGTTCAAGTTGACGATGATCTGGAAATGAGCCAGACGTTGGCCAGAGCATTCAGGGCCACTGAGCCGCGTGCCGAGCGCGGTGACCAGGCCACCAAACATGCTTTCAACGACGACGGCTAGTGTCTGTGAGCGTGTCTCGTTACAATGCTATGAGGAGTGTCTCCGGAGTCTTGACGGGTCTGCTTTGATGCCAAAGCATTGTTTTGAACAGCCTAATTATTGTCAGCCTGATATGATTTGAATGGGACTTCTCCAACGTACATCCATGAGTCAATAAAGCCTGGCCTGATCTTCTTCCCTCCTCGAGTGGATCTTCGGGCTCGGAAACAGCGTGTAGAGAGGTATGAATATACCGCCATCGAAACGACATGCTGATTTGGAAACAATATGGACGTTGCCTCGGGTATCAGTAAGAATACGTTCCGAGAAATCGGACTCCTGCTGTTGAGTGAAACGACTTTGAATAGAAGGCTGATACATGAAGAATGAGTGAGGTAGTAGGTAGGATGTTGGAGAGAAAAAGAAGGAAAAGGGCCCGGGAGAGGGAGAAGGGGCCTATTAACTTAAAGATTTCTGGGAAGCAAACGGACTAAGTTTGGTCATGCCCGACATTGACAAAGTGTTTGAAACAAGAAAGTCTGGGTATTTTGTCAGCAACCTTAGCAGACATTGGAAACTGAAACCACGTCCAAAGGGTTGAGTGTTGGTCACTTTCCCTTGGTTTTGAAAATTGATCAGACAGGCTCCTTTATTCACGCCAGTGTATTTACATAGAAGAGCCTCAATATTCCCCCGATAATTCCTTTACAAAGTAGCCGCAAGCATAACGATCCTTTCCCAGCCAATGTTCCCTTGAACGAGCCACCATTTGAAAGCCTTGACCCAGTTCGTTGATATCGATATCCATTGTTCATTTGTTCGCTTCTCGGTCAGAAGAACTTGAGATTTGCTCTGCTTCGCCCGTGGGACTCGTTTCACCTGGATTCCCTTTCGTAGGACCTTTTACCTCTAACGTCCCTTCACCAGGTAACTCAGCCTGAGGTGTATCCGGACTTTGATGCGCAGCAGCCAGTTCTGCCACGGGCGTCTTTGGTGTCTCCAGCGCGGGCAGCTCAGCCGGTGCATCGGGTCTCCCAGGTCGAACTTCGCTATCCGCATCAAGCTCCGGTTTCAGATCGGGTTTAACCGCTGCACCTGCATCGAGCTCCGGCTTCCCAGAATAAGGATCCATATTCTGGTCCGTCCTTTGACCCGACGCAGAGGCTGCTTCGGCTCTGTGTGCCTTTCTCCGTCGATGCCACCAGATGAACGCTATCACAGCTATGATGATGACGCAAAGGGGAACGCAGACACCAATCGCAATTTTTGCGCCCGTCGAGAGACCCTCGCTCGACGCGCCTGGGGATGGTGTTGACGTTGACGTTGGAATGTCATATGTGGCGTCGACCTTTTGGATGAGGAAGACGGGCGTGCCTTCGAATTCTGCACCACCTTTACTTCCGTTGAGGCCGTTGTTGCCGTTGTACGCCGGGGCCGATGTCGTAACGCATTTGCTACTGTCGAGGGTAAGATAGCTGCGTGTTGGGAGATCGAAATGGCTACCACTGCAATACTGGCCGTCCCAGCCATAGCCACTGAAGGAAAGTTCACGTCAGCAGGGCATTTCTCAAGGTAATCGTGAATCATTATCTTTGGGGATGGCACTTACGTGGGACAGCAAAGGATCGCAAGAGAATCCGTGCCTATACTTCCAATGTAGTCCGGATATTGTTTCGCGGCCACGGTGCCAGAGGCATTTGCATGCGTGACATATCCCGAAGGACACGCATATCCCGGATTGAAGGCTTTGTTGATGATTTTCGTGGAATTTCCCGGCGTCCATCCCGACGGAAAGCAATTGGCGTCCCAGCCGACATGTTTACCATTGCAGCCGGCTCCCCACCGGAGCAAAGTCGAGCTCGAATCCCGCTCGACCCATTGCTCCGTGGCACAGCCAGTCGGGGCAGAGAAGACGGTCGTGAGAGGACCGAAATCCGTGGTCGTCGTCATGGCGAGAGGGTGCGAAGCATGTTAGATGGTCGGAGAGGAGAGAAGAGGAGAGAGGAGAAAAGGAAGAAGACGCTGGTCAAGAGGAGAACACGACAGCCACGGAGCGGGATTGGGGGATTCACAGGTCGCAATTAGCCCAATAATAGCCCCAGAGATCGGCATTTCGCGCCCGGTTCATTCGTGGGAACCTGTCATGGTGTTGGGCTAAGCATTGGGTGCGTCGCACTGCCTGCGTCGGAACCACTAGGCCTTGAGCGCGCCAATCGGTGTGAGGCTATGGAGGACTTGTCAGGCCCGCCATGGGTCTGTGTGGTGCGTTGAGAATAGCTTCCCCGACCCCAGTCTGCGTCAGCGGCGGTTGAGCAGCTTGAGGACTCTGATCTCCTCCATTAGGACTGGAAGCGTCTGTGGTAGAGCGAGAGGGAGAAAGACGACGAGATATGATCTGTTCAAGGGAAGCTTGGGACAGCTTCAATTCCATGTTGTTTCATTACCCAAGAAGGCAGGACTTTAATTCAGCCCCCACGGTAAGTGTGGAAACGAGGGTTCAGGGGGCTTCGCACGGTTGAGGCTCGGCCCCACACCGTCGAGGCTTACTTCAAGAACCAGCGCGCTCGTATTCGAATAGGGGCTGCTGATCCAAGCCATGTATGCCATACTAACGATGGATGTACCACTGAATGAATTAATCTTGTACATGCCTATTAATCATGCTATAGGTAGTTTCTGCATTTCCAACCCATGAATCTCCATTAAACCCCGAAAGATGAACCTTATGCTACTGTCTAGATAGTTGGAATAGTTGCAAAAAAACATGGAAAGATCCAAAACAATGTTTGCGCTTCTAATGCCTAATGTGCGCTCGAGAAAAAAGTATGCTAAGGGGCGGGATATACAAGAGTAGCTCCAGTCAGATCGAACGGTAGCTATCGGGGAGATGGGGAATAAGCAATGGAAAGTCAAAGTGTAAGCAATGCAACAAGTCCTGAGATACATCACAATATATATCCAAGGCGAACAAACCACATCTATCAGCCGCGCACCTTCCGATAACTTGGCGGACTCCACGATTGCTTGATCAACTTGCCCGCCCACACGGGAATCAGTGACACTGCCAAAACGGCGAATACACGCCACAGCCAGTCAAGGGTGATCACGAAGCGGAGGTTGAAATAGTCACCGAGGAAGGGAATACTGCCCGCGTAGAGTAGAAGAGTACCGAGAAGACAGAAGATCATCACGGGATGCCAGGTTGTGATTGCGATGGCGACCATCCCCAGTTCATTCAGAACCAGGGCTGTAAAGGACACACTGAGAAGACGTGGCCCAGTGATGGTATGCAGCAAGATCTGAGATAGACCCTGGATGACGGCACCCTGGTAGACGGAAATGAGAACCCAGGTGAAGAACGAGCGGTAGCTCAGGCTCTTGCCGGTCTTGAGCTCTTTGTACAACTCCGGGTAGAGGTTGGCAAGGCGCTCGTCGACATCCTTGTCCAATACGAGTGAGAACACGGGTGCGTTGGTATAGACCGTGCCGTATCCAATCATTAGCCAGTTAATGAACAAACCCTTCGGGTCGAAGTGCCCCGCGATGCTGTACATGGTCTGGCATACAGCAATGATCAGACCGCGATGCATGATAAATTGTGCAAGCTTGGCGGACCGCTTGTAAGAGTTGCGCCCGTGCCAGACCAGAAGCTTGGTAAGGTGGTGGAACTGGGTGATACTGAAGTCTGCGGCGAGAGAAGCCTGGCGACCTTCTTTGCCCACAATACCAATGCCAACGTCGGCAGCCTGGATCATGGAGACGTCGTTGCCACCATCGCCAATGCAGCAGACACGCTTCTTGGTATGCTGACGGATCAAGTTGGCAACCTCGGCTTTCTGCGTCGGCGAGCAACGGCACGCAATGACAGCAGGCAGGAGCACCGCAACGGCGATGAAAGCAGACCGGAACTCTCCCAGCATCAAATTGAGAGACTCGCCATCGATCAGGAGGCAACAATCAGTCTTGTTGCGCAGGAAATCTAGGGCTTCTTGGGCCGTTGATTTGTCCGTCACCTTAGAAACGGTGTGAATGTACTGTCCTCTGGAGACAAGCTTAGCAGAGATAGCAACACAACGCGCAGTCTCGACCTTATCGCCAGTCAACATCCAAATCTTAATACCAGCATTGCGCATCAATTCCAGTGAAGACTTGACATCTCGTTGCAAGCGATCCTCCACACCGGTCACACCGAGCAATTCCAAGTCTCGTTCTAGGTACTCGCTTACAACCTTGGCCATACCGACGTCTCGTGATTGAAGAGAGAGGGAGGCCTGCTTGAATTTGCCTGCAAATTCCTGATATTGCTGGACGGAAAGGCGCTTGCGCCCAACGACCAGCGTGCGCAGGCCCTCACGAGCCATATTTGCGGTTTCCTCGTCAAGCCAGTCGTTTGCCGCAACAATTGAGGTCATAACCGTATCGGCGCCCTTTTGATAGAACCAGATCTCTGGCTCTGCACTAGCACCCGCATCAAGAACATTTTCACTTTGATCAAATTGGACAATGATACCCATGCGTTTGCTGTCAGAGGTAAAGGGGAAGATGTCGAGGATTTTGACACGGACGACAACCTGCTTCGAATCGGTAGACTCGAGTACGATGCTTTGGCGATCGCGATACGAGAGCTTCAAGCCAACCTCCTCGGTATATCGAACGATTGCTATCTCATCAGGAGATGAGGCTTGATAGTTGGTCACTTTTCGCCCATCCTCTTCCTCTTCTCCGGTTGGAGTGACGTTGTGACATAGGGCGAGGGCTAAAATTAGGTCTCTGACCCGAGATCCAATTTCTCTCCTGGTGCGCGGAGCAGCGGCCTGACCAGCCTGCGTGCCAAATACAGTCGATGGTGTCGTCAAAGCATTGCCTGCAAAGCCTTGGCGAATAAAAGAAGTCACCTCGTCCATTGCTTCGTTGGCATAGGATACAGTACCGACGTGAATCTTCTTCAACTCCATTTCTGAGTTTTCATTAGTAATTGTTATATGTAGGTAGGGGAAACGAAGCATGGAACAGAAGCCTACCATTCTGAGTCAGAGTCCCGGTCTTGTCGGAGAGCAGATATTCGATCCTGCCCAAATCCTCCGGGATTGTGCTTGTTCGCACCAAGGTATCGGGAATGTCCTTGTCGCGCTGAATGAATCGACCGTAGACAGACTTGGCCATGTCCAAATTCACTCGAAGACTCATAGGAATGATGGTAGAAAAGAGGATGAGGTAGATCATTATCGCTACATACCACTCCTTGTCGTTGGTCGGCTCGAACCCTTCCAGGGCAACTAAGATGATAGACAAGGTGAGGGTCAACGCACACAAGATTTTCGTCAGGCTGTTGATCTCATATTCTAACAAGCCAACTTTTGATCTTGATGGAGACGTGGAAAGAGCAGCTCGAGTTTGCGAGCCCGTGTAGATGATTGCAGCGTAGGTCACGGTGTTGGAAGCGAGGACAGTATTGGCCCAAGCAGTGTTGTCGATGCTCAACGGCGCAGAGTTGGTATGCGGGATTTCGCCATCCTGGGCCCCGTTGTTATTAGTGGGAGAAGCAGTGGACTTGTCGACGTGGGCATCGTAGAAACCAGTAGGAGGGCCTAGTTCAATGGTTCCAACGAAGTGGTTTACTCGCTTATCTGAGGGACTGGCGGTGATCTTGAGCCGCGTTAGGTCTTTCAAAGGAAGAGATTGAGAGAGGACAGAAGGTAACCGAAGCTTCCAATCAGTTTCACCATCTAATTGATCAGTTCGGATGAAAGTGTCGCTGGCAGAGGATGCGTCTGCGGGATTTGCACTACAGCTCTCTTCAAGAGAAGTAGGGCCAGGTATAGGGGAGTTGAGCAGGTCGGCAGACGGCCCAGGGATGGGCTCGTCCATTGATGCTTGGCGCTCGCGCTCTGAATTTGAATCGTTCGAGACGCTCTTCAGAATCACGACATCAGCGGGTAGGCGCTGGTTTTTCCGGATTTTGAGCACATCTCCAACTTTCAGATCTCGAGACTTTTTCGTCATCTCCATCGCATTTGACCTCTCGAGAGACACGACCGTGAACTCTTCCGCATTTGCCTCTGCATCTCGACGTCGTCGACCAATGTCATCCAGGGCCTCCTTTCCTAAGGATATTGTGACAACAAAGGCTAAAGGTGCAATGTATGAAGACATATAACCAATCCGTAGCATAGGAATGACTTGCGATAAGGCGACGAGCAAGAAATAGATGTTGAAGAAGAAGGAAAATTCGTTATACAGGGTGCGGGGCAGGAAGCTCCAGGGGGTATATTTCGCGTTCGAGACGACATTCGCTGGGTATTTGGTGGTTTGGTATTGGCCAACAAGGACTTCGCGCGGAGGTTTATTCTCTTGATCTTCGACATTTCCGCGCAGCCGGTTTGCGGTACTCTGAAGGAAACCGGGGCCTCTTAGACGCGGTAGACGTAATCGACCGCCCTTTTTCGATGGTTCGTCTTCCCGTGACAATCGAGTCGAGTCGCGACGATCGAGCAATGGCGCATCATCTTCGGCTAGGTTTTGCGAGCTGCCATGGGACCTTCGAGGTCCACCGTCCCCGCGGTCCTCCAGCAACGCCTCCGTGTCCCCATCTGCCGCCCCGTGGTGCCCGGAGGCGCTTCGTTTCCATCTGCTGCCCACACCGACACGTAAATTCCGCAAAGCGATCCCCGGTCCATAGTTTCGTGAACGACTCGCGTAGTCTCTGGAAGCTCGAGAGGGCTGAGGTGATGCGGTATCGGGATCGAGCTCCTCGAGGTCCAAATCGTCGTCATCAGAGCCTGAATAATCGTCAAGGTCTTCTGGCCGTTGGAGGGGATGGAGATAATCATGTGAGGACGACATAGTTAAAGAACAAGCCAGTGGAGGTTCACAATGACTTGGATCGTGAGTTGTGAGGCAACGTGGTGCGTTCCAGCTCTATGAAGCACATGCCAGGATCATAACTCAGATAACCAGTCCAGGAGCTTTGGGGTTTCGCGGGAGCATAATGAGGAGGGCCAAAGGTTGCAAGAGCGTATTGAAAGATATCGATGGTTGCAGACAGTGAATCCGAGTACTATCAATCTCTGCAATTACTTGTCTCAAAAAGTGAAGGTCGATAATCTGCTACGAGGCGTGACTGCCTGGCGGCAAGCCCGTGATACGCGGCCGCAATCACCTGACCGTGCATATGGGATTTGGGGCATCCGCTGACGTAAGTATGCATAAAGGTAACTAACTAGTTAGTTAGGTGTTGTGCACTGGCGACGGTGTCTTCTATCGGCTCGGAAAATCAGTTAGTCCTCTACTTTCCTGTCAAGGGGCTGAGTCAGCGGATATCACCGAATCAGGGCCCGATCTCACCCTGAGGGCGCCCATCGCGGTTTCAGGCATATTCCCAAGTCCGCTGAAAGCCATTCCCTTTTTTTGTTGGCCTCTGGGCGAATCTGATGCTTTCACCTTTATTCCCTTTTTAATTTAATTTGCACATTTTCTTTCATTGCTTACGCCATTTCATGGATCGTTGGATTTGACGCCGTCGAGAGTTTGGTCGAGTTAGGATTGTTGACCTCCGGACGCCACTGGAGACGTGTCAGGTTGCTGCTACCTCCGAAACGAACTTCCCCTAATCTGGGTCACGAACGAGGACGATACGCGCACCATGGCGCATCAGACGTCGTCTTTGGACAATGCAAACTCCTGGAATCCTGCATCATGGCCGGAAGATGATTCGCCTTCTAATGCGGCGGCCTTTACGGAAGGTGGTTTGGCCGACCTCCTGGCCGCAGCAAGTCCGAAGCAAGCCCACGCATCTGATGTGAAGTCGCCTCTTAGCGATGATGACTTCTCTGCGTGGAACCTGCCGAATGAGGATGGAATCAAACCAGCTCAAGTAGAAGATGCTAACGAGGCTGCTCCCGTGGCGGATGATTCTCCTGTCCAGACCAACGGAGTCGAAAACATGGATAGCACGAAGAACCGAGATCTCGACGAGACGGTGATCTCTACGGAATATAATAACCAAACCGAGTCGTCCGATGTATTACCCACAGATGCCGAACCTATACAAACGTTCCTGCCTTCCTCTGAGCCCACAGCCACCCCGATGGAACATGTCGTCTTGCCAGCCGACGCCCAAGATTCCCTGTCGGCTCCCCTTGTCAACAATGTCCAGTCTACAACACACCAAGAGCCGTCTGTGTTGGCCGAGTTGGAGAAGACAGAAGACAACACCCTACTTGCCAGAGCGGATGACCAACCGACAACTCCAGAGGAATCGATCGTCGAGCCGGCTACTGTTATTCAACCCGCGCAACCCCTACTTGATCAACAGTCTGCTCCCTCTGTCGAAGTAGCGTCCTCATATGATAAGAAACTAGATCAGTGGAAAGTTGAGCAACCCCAGACAGAGCAGCTACCCACGCCCCCAGTTGACGTGGAGCCTGTGGTGCCTGCCAGTCACGAGCCGCTCTTGACACCCTTTGCGCCACTACCGCCAGCAGATGTCCAGCAGCTGGAACCCGAGTTACCTCTGGAGGAGTCGAATGAAACAGATGCCGACCCTTGGAGCATTGAAGCCCATAACGATATGGACTCAGATGGCGATGATTTCTTCAATCAATTAAAGACTCAAACTAAGCCTATTTTCGCACCTCCAGAGGCTGAGTCCCGGTTTGAAGAAGGAGTTCCGCTGTTGGACGAGGACCATGTCAATTCTCCTGTGCATGAGGAACAACCAGCGAAATCTGTTCATGACCCTTTCGCCAATGACGAAAACGACGAAGATGACTTTTTCGGTTCAGCTCCAAGGGTGGGGACGAGTGATGCATTTCCCTCTCCGCATATCACCCGGAAGAGCACGTCACAGGTGATGCAATCGGTGGGTTTCGACATCGACTCTCCCACGAGCGATACATCAGCTGCTGCCCAATTCGACGATGTTCTCAAAGCTGCTGCTACGTCTCAAACCGTAGAATCCGCGGTGCAGGTGGACGTGGGTGCAGAGCCTTCAGAAGACGATCTTGCTGCGCGATGGGAAGCGGAGTTGAGCGATACGGGGGAAGATGAATTGGCTGCTAGATGGGAGGCAGCTCTTGATCTAGATGATGACGATATGCTCCTGGAAGATGATACAAGTGCGATTGCACCTGCTCAGCCTCAAGCTTCCTCCCCTGGGCAACAATATGTTCCTCAAAAGGCCACCACATCTACAACCAATGCTGGCCCTACCAGCTTGAATAGCCCGTTCGAGACACCCGACAGTGAGACTCGGCCTCGGGCCGTTCCTGGCTTATATACGCCACATCAGCCTACAACTGCGGACCTGGTCGGAGGCCTCCCCATACCTGGAGCACCCTCAGCGGCGAATGCTGCGATCGTGCCATACTTTTCCCAGCCACCGTCGAACCCTGTGCTGCCCCCTCGCGGGGAGAGCTTTGCGGAGCGACCAAAGGAGGGCTATAAATCTCCGTATGACCTGCCAGACGACTTGTCTCGACCCCGACGACCTGTGGTGATCCAGAAACCTGCTCCTTTGCCTGTGGGTAGCATGCCTCCGCCTCCACCTCCTAACAGTGTCATGCCCCCGTATGGTGCTCCCCAAGCCGCAACTGCTGCTGCTGTTGCTCCAGCACTGGCAGCACCTCCTGCTCCAAAGAACTTCTACGAAGAGCTTCCTTTGCCGATTCCAAAGTCTCGACCTGCGACAAGCTCAGGGCGATACTCCCCAACCCTGCCGTGGCCACGACGACCGGTTCCTCCGCTGCTGTTCCACCACCGCAAAATCCATATGCACCCGCCGCACCTCTTGCAGCTTTACCAGCCAATGTGCCGTCTCAGCCTTCCCTGCAACCGCCAGAGCGTTTGGACCCATATGCTGTTCCATCATCGTTAGCATCAAGTGCACCGGCTGGTCCACCTGCCGCTTCCCGGTATTCTCCTCAGCCGCCAGGTTTGCAACCATCGGCGAAGCCACCTTCAATGCCGCGATATTCACCCGCACCTCCTCCTTCGGGGCCGACTGCGCGCAATCGCTATGCCTCTCAGCCTTTGGCCGTTCCAGGCCATGTCAACAACTTGCCATTCCAGCCTCGTACCTCCAGTCCGCTCGCTTATCATGAAAAGGCCTCGTATCAACCTGATGAGGCTCAGGCCCAACAGCCGCAGCCACCTTCATTGCAGCCATCCGTTGATCTTTCCCCACCGCGCGCGCAGCGTTCAAGCATTGACCGAGGGTCGCCGTATGCTCCACACCTGTCAAATGGGATTGGCAACCTCGATGGTGCAAGCCCCTCAGCTGCCCAACGACAGACCCCGCCGCCCCCTAAGAATCGCTATGCACCGCCGGAGTATGTCAACGAATTTACTCAGCGAGTTGCGCCAAACACTGCCTACCAGCCTACCCAAACCGCGGGAATCGTGCCACCGTCATCCCAACGGGCGACTGATCCGCAGTCTGCGCCTCCTCGTCGGTCTCATACTTCCTCGCCAGGGCAGCAAATGACGAGCCCCCGAGCCACTGTGCCGCCACTTACAACTTTACCGCGCCCGGCCTCTGTGCACGGTTCGGGCTCACCTACCAAGACAACCAACCCGTACGCACCCGTCCAGCAGTCTGTGCAAGGCCGCGCTCGTGCTCTATCCCAGCACCTGGAGTTTATCGCGCCCACCGATGGACAAGAACAAGATCCTCTCCAGCGATGGAAAGGTGCGCCTATCTTCAAGTTTGGTTTCGGTGGCGCTGTTGTCTCTTGCTTCCCCCAACAGATTCCCCGGTACTCTGTTGGTCAGGCTCTCCCAATGATCAAGCCCAGTCCTGGCGAGCCAAAGCTCTCACAGGCCAGCCAATGGGTCCCATCTCTAGATACCATTGTTCAACATCCGGGATTGCTCAAGACCAAATCTAAGAAGAAGGATGTGCTCGCTTGGCTGTCAAGCAAGATTGCTGCGTTCGAAAATGATATGCCTCACGGGTTTGACCAGTCTCATCCCGACACACAGAAGCGTCACGAAGAAAAGATATTGCTCTGGAAGGTTGTAAAAATTTTGGTTGAGAACGATGGTCGCTTGGAAGGTTCGGCCGAGATACTGAGCTCTATTCGCCAGGTATTCGTGCCAAACCTTCCAGAACTCGGACCCGATGGCTCCGTGATCAGTCCTTTTGGACCGTCTGGCGGGTTCGCCTCCTTGGGAACACCATCCCAGTCGGATACCCCTGCTGATTCTCAGTGGATGGAAGAACTGCGGAATCTTTTGCTCTTAGGTGAACGAGAAAAGGCAGTCTGGGCCGCCGTCGACCGCCGTCTATGGGGGCATGCAATGATTCTTGCGTCTACCATGGATCGCACTATTTGGAAGCAGGCTGTCCAAGAGTTTGTTCGACGTGAGATCAAATCTACAGCTGCCAACACCGAATCGCTTGCAGCGCTCTACGAGATCTTCGCTGGAAATGTTGAAGAAAGCATTGATGAACTTGTACCTCCATCGGCGCGGGCTGGTCATCAACTAATTAGTATGAACGACCCCCATGCCTCCACAAAAAATGCGTTGGATGGATTGAACAGCTGGAGAGACACCGTCGGATTGGTGCTTACCAATCGGAGCTCGGAAGATCAGGCTTCGTTGCTTGCTCTTGGCCGTTTACTGGCTTCTTATGGACGCGTGGAGGCCGCACACATTTGCTTCATTTTCTCTCGCAATGCAGTCTTTGGTGGTGCCGATGATCCTCAAGCGAACATTGTGCTACTTGGTTCTGATCATCAGCGCCTACCTTGCTCTTTGATGGATGAGGACGCCATTCTACTGACCGAGATCTACGAATTCGCTACCACCGTCCTGGCCAACTCGCCGGTGGCCAACCTGCCTTATTTCTTAGCCTTCAAGCTTCTGCACGCGAAGCAGCTGGCCGACCGGGGACGCAAACCTGAAGCTCAGGTGTATTGTGATGGAGTTGCCGCAGCGCTCAAAGCAACCACTCGGCCGTCACCTTATCATCACCAGCATTTGTTTGTTGAGGTAGATGAGCTTTCTGCTCGACTTCGCCAGACCACTAGTGATGATGGCTCTTGGATCTCTAAGCCGAGCATGGAGAAGGTATCCGGATCTATGTGGGCTCGCTTCAACAGCTTCGTCGCTGGCGATGATAGCGATGCGGCATCGACAGGCTCTGTCAAAGCGGGTGAGATCGGAGACTTCGGTCCCTTTGCCAATGTTGCAGGAACGCCAACTGTCAGCCGTTCTCCTTCTGTGTCTGACCTCTATGGCTCTTATCCGGGAGCGCCGGCGGCTCAACCTATCCCCGCCCCTGCTGGCGGTTCTTCACGATACCTGCCGAACCAGTATGCGCCGAACGCATCGCCTGAACAATTCCGCGGACGATCATCGATGGATTCCCAGAGATCTCCATCTTTTGGTGGCGTTCCCTTCGGACAACGTCGAACCTCACAAGAATACCCTGCTTCTCCAGTCGAGAGTTATGCACCCATGTATGGCTCTCCTGGCAGTGTGTCCGGTTATCAGCCTACTCCGCCTCAGACATCCTACATGCCCCTTGCTCCAGTTGAGGAGGATTTGACTGCCCAATCGCCTGTGGATGCCGTGCCGCCTACCCAACCAGCGCCTGCTGTCAATGGCCTCTTTTACCAGCCCCTCGGACGACAAGAGCAGCAACAGCCGGAGGCTGAGCAGGGATCGGCTGTACAGTCACCCTACTACAATTGCCCCACTGGCATGCCGCAGCCTGAAGCTTCGTCGTATATGCCTCCGCCTAGCAATGCTTACGCGCCACCCTCGTATGCTGCCCCTGAATCGAATTCGGCATCAGAGGAGACAGATCAGCCCTCTGCCGTGGATGAGGAGCCCCAGCCCCGGAAGAAGAAGTCGTTTATGGATGACGATGATGGTGACGACCTTGCCACTAGGGCCGCTGCCATGCAAAAGGCCGAGAACGACCGGAAGGCGGACGAGGCATTCAGAAAAGCCGCCGAAGAAGACGGTATGTTAATGGTAGCAATCAACTCAATCTTGAATTTCACTGACGTCGCAATTATAGCCAAGAGAGACGCGCTGCAATCCCAGAAGAAGGGATGGTTTGGTGGATGGTTCGGAGGTGCGAAGAAAGAATCCGACAACGCCGGTGGCGGTCCTATCAGGGCCAAGCTCGGCGAAGAGAACTCCTTCTACTATGATAAAGACCTGAAGAAGTGGGTTAACAAGAAGGATCCCAACTCGGCCGCTGCTGTTCGTGCTACGCCGCCTCCGCCACGAGGCTCTGCCCCACCGAGTCGAGCTGCTAGCTCTGGCAGTATGCCCCCTCCATCTGTACCCCCTATGTCTGGCGCCGGTAGCCGGCCCCAGTCGTCTGCGAGCGATATGCCTCCTCCACCCCTTTCATCCAGTCCTGCGATGCCAGGACTTGGCGTGCCACCGCCTCTTGGTAACATGCCTCGTTCCGTCTCCACTGGTGCGGCTGTCCCAACACCGCCTGGTAGCTCGAGTGGCCCACCGCCTCGACCTGCGTCCTCCTTGACTCATGCAAACTCTATTGACGACCTTCTTGGTGCTCCCACTGCTCGCAAGGGTAATACCGTCAAGGGCAAGAAGAAGGGCCGCTACGTCGATGTGATGGCTCAATAAAATTGAGAATCTCTCAAGAGTGTTGAGTTTATAACAGGTCTCATCAGTCATTTGATAATTGACTGGGTGGACTGTTTTTCTTTTGTTATTTCATTTGTGTCATTATGCCTCTGATGTCCGTCTAGTTCATACTTCTTATTCTTATGCTCGGATCCACCAACCCCGTCCCCATGGAACGTCGTCACCCTCCCCCAACCATATAATAGAGATTCCCTGCTGTCAAGCCTTCTTCTCCCAGCATTTTGCATGTGTCTTGTTTTGTCCTGCTCTAGGACTGGCACAACCCCCATTTCCACGGCGTTCTCGCACACTGAGCCAGCCCGTCACCGCAAAGTCCTTGTACATAGCTTGCTGTTTCTGCTGTTCTTTGTCGCGAAATTTCTTCGTCCGCGAAGCGAGGGAGACGATTCTCCTTGCATCATGTATATCATATCCCCCCCCACCCCCCCCTTCCCCTTGCGGTGTTCTCCTGCATCCTGGTTTCCGAGACTTTTTGCTTCATTTTTTTGGATTTGGAGGTTCCATTCCGCAAGGCCTTTTGCCATGCGCTTGTCTTAATAATGATTTGTTGTAATGTCGATGAACGGTTCTCTGGAAATCTTGCCCAGCTATTCGTAGGCGCTAGAATGGTTATCCATGAAACATGGCGAATTGGATTTGGCGGATCATTCATGTCGTAAAGGAATTGATGTAGTACTAAATTTGGAATTAGTATATACCCTGGGGATTGCAGAAGGCAGACACGAAAGAACTTACAGTCAGACATGATTCTTCGCCATTCCAACTGCCTGGTAAGTAGACATACAAAACCAGCGCCGTTTCATTGATAAAGCCTGTACTATTAGCAACCAAGCCTGACACCTTCAAAGGCTCATTCATGATCACGCATGTTAACTCACAAGCAACGACCTTCGGACTCAGCCTTCCCACGCTCAACACTCGACCCCAATCTTTTCCATCAATCCTCACTTTCGCCCACCCAGCTTCATCGTCATCGCCCGCTTCGCGCATCCGCTCACTGGGAAGCTGAGAAGCCTGATCCTGCGTAATATGCGCAGGGTCCAAAGGAGGGTTCACAAGCCCGGACCAAACACTCGCGATTCTCAAATCATCCGTCGCAATCGCGAGGCGTAGTTTACCATGCATATTGGCCGACAGCTCCAGTTTTGGGGCGGTATTGGTAGAAAGTGCCGTGGCGCCGGTGGTAGAGGCCGCCGGGTCCGCAACGACGATGCCTGATTGTCGGCCCTTGCTGTCTGAAGAGGCTAGCTTGGTGAATCGGTCTGAGATGCTTTTCAACTGCATCAGGTTTGGCAGAATGATGTATACGTCTGGATCGGGGCAATGCGGTTCGTGTAGACTTTCGACTACGTCTTCGTGCAGTATTTTGATGGGAACTTCTTGTGTGATCCATGTCTCGCGTTCACGCGCACGTCGGTCACCAACTACCTCGTTCTGGGCGGATGGACCTGTTGTGTGACTTGGGTCTGTTGTTTCGTCGGTGGCAAGGGCCATGTTGCCCTCGGTCCATTCGGTTGTGAGGATTGTTAGTGCGAGAAGGGGGATCTTGTCTTTCTTTGTTAGGCGCAGTTGTGAGGATGAGGCGCCGAATGTGGACCGCAGTGCACGGTTTAGAAGACTAATGTTGATTTCGATATTGATCGCATCCGAGTTTGACTCCAGTTGATACGAGGATTCCTCGAAGATGGTGTCCTTGGTGACAAGTCAGTGAAAGTGACCCGGGAATTGCAATTGATATCCAGTTTGACACGTACGACCGGGATCTGTGCCCACACTTGAGTACCTTGATCTGGGATCACGGTGAAGCGGACCACGTCGTATTCCAGCCGCATCCAGCATACTTTGCCCAGTGATGCCAGTGAGGCGGTTAATTCTGGGATTGGTTAGCTGTGATATGTTTGCTAAGATAAATAATACGCACTGGAGAAAGTCCTGGTATTCTTTAATTGGGTTCGGAACCGCATCGTGTCTGTATGGCGTAGAGAATGGCCAGAGAGAAAGCGAAGCGTTGACCGTGGAGAAGTTCTTATCGCCTTATCTTATCGCTCTATCAGGCTCACGACGCGTACCAAACCTTCATTTCTAATTTGATTGACCTTTTCTCTATTGCGATCTCTGGGCTCATCTAAACAATACAAGCGATCTTGGATGATTTTTCCTTAACATCACATCCAAGGGACAACGCTGCTGCCAGTGCTGCCCCGACACCTGATCCATCTTCCGAAGGATTGAGCGCGATCAGGTCCAGCTCTTCTGCTGGCCAGTCGAGGATTGAGCGCAGAGCTTGAGCCGCCCGTGACTTGAAGCCACTGTACTTATTGAATACCGCGCCATCAACGCCAACATGGCATTTCATGACATTGTTTTTCTTGCAGATGGCCGCAATTCCACAGGCATAAAGACGCGCCGCACGCTTACTAACGAGGCTGATCAGATACCGGCATATCTTGAGATCTTCCAGGCTCGGTGTCAAGCCAAAGTTCTCTTCGAACTCATATCGCGTATCATGCAGTCCTTCTGAAACATCAATCTCTGCAATGGAGAGAAATGTCGCATCGACAGCGTTCTCCCTTCGAAGACGACTGATGTCTTGGCCCTTGAAGAGTTTACCTTCCTCGAAAAGGGTGACCAACACCAGGCGTAGCATCTCGCCGATGTATAGTCCAGCTACCATTTTCTCGTATATCTGCGTACCGGGTCGTGTAGACTCCCGGTCAATTTGCAGATCGTAAGGGGTCAGAGGAAGGACTTGGCGATCGTTGTCGAATGCCCCGTACTCGGTGTTGATGACGACCGTCGCACCTTCTGCAAGTCCGCCCTTGCCCAGCTTCGGGATATTTTGGCACGTTTCCATGTATGCAGCATTGCAACCCGTGCTAAAGATTGAGCCCACTTGGATATGGGGATCGCGGTAGCGCGAGGCCAGAAGCGTGCCTGTCGTGTCGTTGACCAAGGCTACGAGTCGGACCGGCACTTTCTGGACGAATGAGCCATTGCGTCTATACGTCAAAATGAGACACGACTTGATAATACTTACTTTCTTCTCCAAAGCCGCCTCAAGCTGCGGGACAACGTCGTGACCCTCTACCCCTGCCACATTGAAATTCTTCGTCCAGCGTTGAAGCACACCACTCCTGATGTGCTTCTGGTAGACTGGAAACGAGAATGTGACGGCCAGTGGGAGCTTCTCTGACTCTGATGCCTCGATATGCTTGTCTTCTATGAAACCTTTCAGGCGATCGGCGATCCAACCCCATAGCTGTTCCCCGGTGCCCGTCTTAACTTCCTCGGGCAGTTTGTACTTCCTCTGAGTCTGTTCAAAATCCCTCCTGCCAGCTGGAAGGTATACATCACAGACACGCAAGTTTGTCCCGCCCATGTCTATGGTTAACACTCGTCCTTCTTCCCAGCCATTGGGGAAGTCCGTTATCCAAGTCAAATTCATCGGCTGTTGAGGACGTATACTGTCAGCGCTTGTCGGGCGGTTTCAGTAACCGAAGTCAAGCACCAGAACTCACTATATCACCTCCCTCTTTTGAAAGGCCTCTGTTCAGCTCTTTCACAAAATGATCGGTAATTCTCTTGAGCTCGGGGGTGTCGATAGTAAACCAGTCATCATATTGCTTGAGGAACTCGGTGCGCTCCTCTGGAATACCCGCCAACATTTCAGGTCTATGGTGGAATGAAGGCATCTTGTCTTCATTGACTCTAAACTGTCTTGATGACCTTGGATGGAATTGTTTTTTCATCGCTATCTCCCGGGAGCTTTCTCGAGTAAGCGGAATTAGGATGCTGGATTTTGCCTCTACAACGCCAGGATGACCGCATTATTACCCTCCAGCGATTGGCAGTGTGAACAAGATTTGGTTAAATCCGTGCACATGTCAAATAATGACCTGCCTTGTTTCCAACATTCGTGCCTTTCTTTCTCTTCATTGGTCCTGTTTTCTTGTTGCGTGAACTCTTTTGTTTCTACCGAGTCCTTGCATACTTCCCGTAGATAGAATACTCGAAGTAGTTATACCCCGAAGCTATAGATGTCACCAGCACAACCCAATTTTCTCCCCAATTGCACTTTTCATTAGTCAATCTAGTTCAGCAAGCGTCAAATAGAACCAGCCACCAAGCGATCTAACCACCCAGAGCGCGCCCCGGACATTTCGCGAAACTAAATAGCGTCGCGGATCGGCGGAAGCGCGCGCGCGAGGTCCACTTCATCCGTGCCCCCTTTTGGCTCCACTGTCTCCAAAGAACTTCGATCAGCATCAATTGTTTCCGCCACGAGGATTGATCCCAGAAAGCTGGTCCTTTCTGTGATTCCTTGTTTTTTTCTTCTTCTTGATCCTCTGCTCTCAGATCTCTTCATGTGGACACTCATCTCAACATCGTCCAATTCCCCACAATCCATTATATCCTTGACCGCCAACCTCCGTGTTTTCTCTCGTTCGTCAGCCGCACCACACAGCAACAGCTCCTGAAAGGATTGGATTGACTACCAAGAGCTTCTCACGCCTGGAAATTCCTTTTGAACGCGTCTCAGCATGCGGGCTCGACAGTGCTCTCTTCGTCCGCCCGCTGCATCATTCCGACCCCCGTCATTCGTATGCCAGCCCGAGCCTTCTCACACAAACCGAGTCTCCTCCCTGTGAAGACCGATTCGGAGCTATAAAGCTTGCCATTCGGAATGGCAACCAGTCGAATAAGCCCTCTTCGTCCGTCGATACGGCTCTCTCCAGTGCACTCGCGAGAAAACTCGCGTTCGGCGTCTCCTGAACGGAATCCGGCCTCGTTATACCAAAAAATCGACCCTCTCCTCAGCAACCTGTCTCCCGAATCCACTTTACACGCCCTAACAACCACCGAAGCTGTCCCCTCGAACGGGAATTTCTCTCATAATGTACTCTCGCAGAGTATATCTCAAGTCTCGCCAGCTGAACGCGCCCTCGGTATCCGTGCCGCCATAGCCGCCCAGAATTTGGATATTTGGTATAAGGAGGTACAATCTTGGTTATGGCCAAAGCATAGTGATGCGAAGCTTGGGAAAGGTTTTGTGCCGCCGGCGGAAACGTCGTCGCAAGACAATTCTGTCGTATCAAGCTCCCTCTTGCTCCCAACGGCTATTGGTGGCCGTGGTAGTGCTGATGTGGAGTTCTATGGCAGCTTGCCAGTAGCATTGGCCGAGGAGTATGAGAAGAGGATTGAAGAGATACGCGATGAAATGGACAATTTAGATGTGGATGAACTGAAGGAACACGTTCTCAATGCCCACATTCCATCCCGGTCTCGCCCTTCCTCCTCCACAAGCACAGGGTCTGTGCCCCCGCCGCTCAGCTATGTGCAACTCAGCGATTTCACGGCCGTCGTCACAGCTACGATTTTGCGGGCTTTACCACTGCTGTCACGATTAAACAGTCTCTTGACTACCTGGGACGTTCGACTCCTCGTTCTACGCCAAGTACCAGGCCTGCTAAGGGAGCTGAAATCGACGCGAGCGTCCCTTGATTCATCATTCCATGCCTTGCGAACATCAAATCCCAACGAGAATAGAGAATCAAGACTCTCCGACTCACATCTACGCGCCGAACATGTTGATCTTGAAACCGCCGTTGTTGCAGTGGGTCGGCGTATGGATCGCGCCCTTGATGCGTTGGAGGGCCGCCAGGATTCCCTGCCTGAGAACTGGATTGATGACCTGGAGAGCATAGAATCGGAATTCGCTGCTTGGGTTGTCGAAGCCGAGAGGTACAGACTTCGTACAAACTGGTTATGTATGCAGGATCAACCAAAAGAGCCCGAGGCAATCGAAAGCTCTGGAGTTGAAATCCCTGAAATTCAGCATGAAACTCCTTTGTCACAGGAAATTGCAAGGTCGGCCGAGGAAGTGGCAAAGGCTACTGAAACAGAGGTGCTATCGGAACAGGAATCTTTGATGAAGACGATTGACGAAGTGGCAGAGAATAATGTCGAATCTCACAGCCTCGCCATTGCTGATAACCAGGAGCCTGAAGGTAATCTCGAAATTTCTAAGACGTCAACTGAGGGAGCTCCGTCGTTGCCAGAGCCTTCTGCTCTGAATGCTCCCATCCCCAGCCCTTCTTCCGAGACTCTAGAGATTGCCTTGACCGACACCGCCAAGGACCAGTTGCCGGTCCATGCGAAGTGGACTGTCACTGAAGAGATGCAAACCCCCACGCGGCCAACTTTCTCGCTCGATCATGCGGTTGGCAGCTCGGACCAGTCATCACCCTCCCGGGTGCCATTGCCAATGACGCCTGATGTTGACGATAAGGAAAATGTCCCTCCTTTTCACTATAATCAACAAGAGCGGCCTGTCTCCTCATCCGGATCAAAACCTCCTGCTTTATCTGAGCATAATTTCATGCATGACGACCCGTTCATTCGGAAGCTGGCCCCTTCAGGCGAAACCGATATCAAAAAGACACAGATTGTCTCTATACCAGATATCATACCGAAGCTAGATGTCGCAGCACCCTCATCTATTATTGATGCTGTGGATGATAATGTCAGCTCCACCCAGAAAGATGCTCGTGAAGACCCTATGCTCGATCGCTCGTCCGAGTCACCAAGGGTGGATAACATCAAGCAAATTACGGTGCAAGCAACCACTACCAACACCAATTGTTTAACCCCTGGAAATAACAAGCTCGAGACTCGCCCGACTGGTGCCAAAGAGGCAGAAGCACCTTCAATTGATGTTCCTCTGGCGGAGGTTCCAAATTCTACGCAATTCGTCAGTGATCCATTCCAGGAACTTGGTCGTGAACCCACTCAGCAATCGGAGCCTGTGCAGCCTACCATATTCGAGTCAAGGCCTGCTACTGCTGGGTCTGGTCCAAGGGGAGAAATGCCGCCACAAGAACCAGTCTCGACTCGGAAACCGCTACAGAGCCCAATCAAACTTTCGAAACACCGACCAGGAAAACTCAATCTCGATCAGAATGCCCAGAAGCCGCATCAGCACCAGCGCCAAACATCCAACGGCTCCGTGGGCTCTTTGCTCTCTGACAATTCCTCACTTATATCAAGTCCCGATGCGCCCGAGCCCCAAACAGGTTCATCTCACGATGGGCCTCTCGTCACCCCCTCCCGCCAGGAGTTCCCTCGATCGAACTTAATACAATCGCACGGAGATAATATGTTGCGAGCCGATCGGCTGCTCCGGTTCCAGAATGAGAAGTCATCACCGGAAGTCTTCCCGCAGAACCGCGCCGTGAGCCTGCCTCTTGAGCGTTTCATCAACGATGAATTTGATATCGACATACGCGAACAACCTGAATTAGAGGCTACTGACTTTCCATCTTCTTTCAAAGAGCCTGGGGTCGCTAGACTGCCACACACAACCATTGGTCGCTCAACGCCTGTACCCCAAGTGCCACCTCGCGGGGCTAGTCGCCGTCCAAGACTTACTCGTGGTAAGTCTGCATCGGACCTGAAGGAAACCGACAACACCAAGAAGAACGTTGAGCACAACAGGAAGGCGTTCGGCATGAACACCGCTCATCGGGCCCTGCTTCATCAGGAACAACCGAAGTCCGTTCGCTTGCGCCAACGACTTACGGCCCATCCTAGCCTGGAAAGTCTGGGCGTCAAGAGACAGGAACTGCCATACGTGGAGGAAGATGAATCAGAGCTGGTCGACGAAGGCTCGCGCGCATCCTCTCCACACAGACGGAGGCCTCGTGACCACCTTGACGAAAAGATCAATTCTATTCTAAGTACTCTTCCTGGTCGGATTCACCTGGTCGATCCCAACAACGAGGCCGATACTTCGTCTTCCTCATCTTCCATGGACCGCAAGATGCGAGATAGAGGCATGTCCGAGTCGCCGCGTGCTGCACCGTCGCGCAGTGCTACCCCTGCGCCTTCATTGATGCTTATGCCTGCCGCACGCAGACGATTGTCTCACGCTCACAAGGCCGAAGACAGCTACGTGAAGCTATACCATCTGCATCATGGAGGCCAGACAGCACCTACCAAGCTCTTTGTCCGTACTGTGGGAGAGGACGGACAGCGCGTCATGGTCCGTGTTGGTGGTGGTTGGGCCGATCTTGGCGAATACTTGCGCGAATATGTCGTTCATCACGGTCGCCGCAAGGTCTCAGAAACACCGCGTGTCGAGGTTCAGGGTCTTACGTCTCGAACTTCACCTGGATATTCCTCCCCAGCTGCTGCCATGTTGACCCCGGCAGCCGCTTCTCCCTATATTGCATCTGGTCGAGCCACTCCCTCTCGACCACCGTCAGTTATCAGTGCGCGACCCCCATCGTCACTCACCGTTCGCAAGAGACGCGGGTCCAACGCGTCTGATGCCTTGGGTCCTCGATCAGTTACCACAGGAACACTCAGTTCCTACATCTCGTCTCCACAAGTTGCATTATCGGGTGGACGACGTCTCTCAATCTCCTCCAGCTACTCATTCGGAGGCACCAATTCTCCTGCTAATATTGCTCTCGCCTCTCTCGCCCACGATTCTCAATCAACACCCCTGGGTCTGGCGGGCCCGAAGCCCCGCTCGCGACAGATTTCTATGAGTCCTGAGGGCGAGGCTTGGGTCGAGGACGTCCTACAGCAAACCCGCCGCTCAAGCTCCGTGCATCCTCCATCATTCGCGCTGAATGTTGCGCCCGGGACTGAGAGCGTGATCGACCTACACGAGGCCGATCATCACGACCTTATCCACAGCCATGGCCGCCGGTCCTTGCCAAAGGTCTCGAGTATCAGCGATATCAGATCTGTCGGCTCGAGCAAGCGAGTTTCGCTCCGCGGTCTTGGAAACCGCAGATAAAAGTGTTCTTCACTGAGCCTACAGGCTCTCGCCATATTCTGGGGTTTATCGTTATGGGTCCCTAATCCGTTCATCTTCTTTTCATCAGTCTGATATTATTCTATTTACACCATTTGCATCAGCGCGGCGAGAAGAAATTGCCTTGAATTCTTGTTTTTGTCTTGTTTGGGTCTTGGTTGCAATTGATATCCTCACATACCAGGTCGTTTTTTCGGTTCCGCATTGTACATATTTGGTTGCTCTCAATGTTGTTTTCGAGGCTGCAGTTAATACCCCTCAATAGAGTGTTGCATGTTAGTTGTTTCTGCAATCCGGACAGGAATTGGGGTTGTGAAGATGGAAGAACTTGTAGCCTGCGTAAAGCCCCTGTAGATAACCCCAGGCAGGGGCGCCCAACGACGTCTTTTTGAACAGCGCATGCATGCTTGGGACAAGGCTGGCAAGCGGACTCCCATTTTGGTTCGGCCCATTTCCGGTAACACGACTTGTAAACACTGTTCCTTGCATGGAACTACGTGTCAAGTGGGCATCATAAGATGAGGCTCAAAGATATGTGAAGGATTGAAGTTGCTCATGCTCTGGTGATCCCCATAAAGCTCTGGTTCTATACCCAGGGTCAACTCAACACCTAGAACTGGCTGAACGTACACAGTACCACATTCTCAAAACGACTAGTATGACTTCGATATTCGTTGAAAGCACCGATCTCAAATCAATCGTTGCAGAACACGAGATTGAAGACTTGACTTTCATGAAGCACAACAATGTATTCTTACTCGACATACCCACTGAGCTAAAACTTCAAATCATCCAAAGTCTGGATGGAGTTTATCAAATCTGCCCAAAAATGACATGCCGAATACTCAACGAACTCATCCCGCGGCTCGATATGCAGCAGTTACTAAGGGTGGAGCAATCCAGCTTCGGCATGCGAGAGGGCAAAGAGCTATACGCATGCCAAGATTGTCTCCGCTTTCTTCCTCGAGAAGATTTTGTGATGAAATGGTCAAGGGGGAAAGGGGCAAGAATGGCACCTATCGAGAGTACAGATTTTGTGTGCAGTGCGGCATCAACCTAGCTCCCGGAAGTACTCGATACTCCCGTGGAGCCTGTATTGAGCGGCAAGGAGAACACTTTTTTCTTTGTTTGCGTTGTAGCAGGTATGCAAGAGGTGTAGTGGAGGGGAACAACACATTCTCGGTGTGCCATGGTTGTCTATCTCGTTTGAGAGCTGCGGAGGCCCGTTTCGAAGAGAAAACCTGGAAGAGCACAACTTGAGCAAACCATGTGGAGGCCAGCGGGAAGGGTCTTGCGTGTATCTCTGAGCATGAGGATAGCGATATTAACTATTCTTACAGCCCAGCTTGGAGCGATGGCGAATAGTGGTTGGAAGTAGTCTTGTCGCGATATATTTCTCGCAGTTTTTGTTGAAGGGTTCAGCGTAGATAATAGGCATGGTTAGACGTGCGAGACAAGTTAGGTGGTATCCGGATAGCTACTTGGCTCGAATATATATATATGACCAAGTTTAAACGTCGCTTTCATGCAAAGTTGTCACACTACTATTAGGATAGGTACTTTGAAGATAGAACAAAATGGGTAGTAATTGTATGCGGCGATGTACATTTCAGGTACAAAGTTGAAGCCAGGACAGGAGTCGAATCTCAGAATTAAGTGATAGAAAAGCTGGTAGTCAACTAAAAGAGATCATGTCAGCTTGCGCCTTCTTGTATACTTCTTCGTGAGATCTGATTGGTGGGTCAGCACCTCTCGAAGAAAGACAGCAGACGCCCTTTGCCGAGAGCAAAGATATCTTGATTATCATAAATTTAGACCGATAATCTAGGCTACTTTCCAGGGACTCTAATATCCAGGACTCAAGCCTATGTATATGGACTATGCGTTCGTTTGCCCTTCCCTTGACTCTGTAGGCAAAAATAGAAACTGCTGAGTCAGCACATTTTCGCCCCGCCAGAAATGATCAGCTCGGCCTTTGAGTGGAGAAAATTTTCTCCCCAGCCCGACACGATCTCCAGTCGCATACTACAATCCTGCAACAATGGGTAACGTAAGAAGACCTTGATGGTGGAGATGCAAGTCGCTACAGGAACATGCTCTTCCACCTATACCATCCCAACAACGTGTAGCCGAAACTGATCATTGTCAACAGGGAGCCAAGGCCAACCAGAAGCGCGAGCGCAACAATGCCGACAAGAGCAAGGTTGCCAAGTCGCAGACCAAGACCGTACGTGCAGATTGACTCCTAGTTTCTAGGTGTGTGATATTGATGCTAATGGCTTTTTGGGTATAGAATGAGAAGGCCATGAACATTCAGTGCAAGGTCTGCCTGCAGACTTTCTTGCAGACTACCAAGGCCCCCGCGTATGTCGTACCCTGTTGATCGTATAGGAATGTTTCTATTTGCTAACGTGTTGGTACAGTCTGCTTGAGCACGCCGCCAACAAACACAAGAAGGGTCTTGCTGACTGCTTCCCTGGTGTGAGCGCGTAGAGTCGCTAATCGTGGCAAGAAGGCGAGGTGGACGATGGATCCGCGTTAAAAGGCATCACTCTTGCATTCAAGCGGAGAGTGATAGAACCTGAATTTTAATGTTTACTGGCGCTATTGATTCCCACTCCATACATACATGATAGATTTAGAATGGAACAAATTTCTCTTGAGTTTCCTTTAGGCCACTGCAGGCAATCTGCCCCAAACAGGAGGCTCCTCTCCCTGAGGTCCCGAGTCTGCATTTAGCAAAAATGTCAGGCCAAGACTATATCTTGCACAGAGATCCTACAGATTATGAGCAATAATCGAGGAGAGCATGGAAATTTGTAGTATGCTGTCAGCCGCTATGATCAAATAAGGTGGGCAATACATCCTGCGAGACGAAATAAAACATGAACCTGAAGAAGCCCCACCACAGCCAAATCCACAACGCCTCACCTAGAAGAAAATGAGTGATAATCAATACAAATGAGTGGAATGATATATGAGAGCAAGGCATAAAAGTCGTAAGATAGGCTCAAGCAATCCATCGAACCCGAGCACAGCATACATCAATTGCCACTATGATGTCTGCTGGCGTCTCCAAGGGACATCTTTCCTCAGGAGCTCCCGTAAATCAGGAGAAATGACCTTTGGTTTACCCTTGTCGATTTCCTGTTGAAGCGCTGAAGGAGGTCGAACGCTGCTGCTCGACCCAACGGTAGGTCGCTGGGGTGATTTGCCTTTTCCAGCAGAGTCTGGGCTGCTACTCGCAGGTCGGCGCTGGTGAGCAGAAGGAGCGGGGAAGTTGTCCTTCTTATCGATCGCTTGGACCGACCGCTCGAAACGGTGGAAGAGAGATTCAGCGCGAGTGAGAATTGGAACAAGGTCCATCGTATTGGAAAGCTCATTGACTGGAAGCATGTTAGTACTCTCAGAACACTCTAGAATACGTAGAATCGAGCGTGCAGACTTACTATACTTCAGCACTTCATCAAAATGCTTCAAGTGATCCATGATAACGTCGCGATGCTTCTCTAAGATCGCCAATGCAATGAAAAGATGGAAGCCGCTGGAGAAATAATCGGTCCACAGTGCCTCCCAGAGACGTAGGACATCCCCCCATTCGAATTCGCGCTTGTACCAGACAAGCAACATGCGGAAAAAGAAAAAGAAATTCGTGCTATCCGCGGACTGTAGATGAAGGTAGAGCTGGGGGTCCATGAGCTGGACTAGATGATCCAGAGCAAGGAGCTGGGACCGCATGCCAGACTGATCCCGAAGGAAATTTCGCTCCTAGAACCAGCACGTGTTAGTACAAGACGAAGCCGCTTTGGGGTGATAATACCTACCATTCGATCCATGAAGCCAACAAAGGCCCAGAAAGCAACTGCATCGTCCTGCATGACTGCGTAGAGTGGAGCCAAGAGATCGCTCATGCCTTGTACATATCCCAGGTCCGGGTTGTATTCGTTATACGTCAAGAGCATATCCTTCATCTGCTCAAGGTGCACATTGGTTCCTGTATCAGCGAACGGAGAGTCGGGGTCAGGATGAGGAATATCCTCCCCAGCGAAGAGTGGTATAGTTCGATCAGTGCGATGAACATCCTTCTCTGATGTGGAGGTTAGTAGGTGAAAACTTCCAATGGGGAATCCGATGGCCTGACCTATCCGGTTGCGTTGTTCTTTCCAATTCTCATACTCCTCGGATGTCGAGTTACCGTCAACCATGCGCTCCCACCAGCCCGCCTTTAAGCGGATATACTCATCGCGCTTCGAGTTCATGATTGCTTGTCTCTCCTCCTGACTGCTCTCCCATGGATAGAAACCGAGCAGGAATAGCCATGCCTCTTTGCGCGCACCGTCATTTGGATCCAATCCGCCATGGAAGATGCGCTCCTTGACTTCCTCGACGGTTATATGCAGCCTTCCCGATATCGGGTCAAAGAATCCTTCCCATTCGGCAAGCGTGACAACCCGTCGTCTCTCTTGAATGGCCAAGTTGCCGGTCTCAAGCTCAAGAATCTCAAAATCACCAACAGAACTGTTCTCTGACTCCAGAACATCCTGCGCAGTCCAAATCCGCTGGTTTCGGTCCTTTTCGCCCTGTTCGGCGATACTCATCGCCCATCGCGCCAAATACAATCGGGCGCTATCGAATTCATCTTGGAGAGTCTGAACCTCAGGATTCTTCATCAATCGTCGGACTTGGGGCGGAATACGAGGATTATCAGCAATCTCGTTGGCAGTCCGCCTGGTGAAAGTAGTAATCTTGCTGAGTTGCTCAAGCACCTTCCAGCGCGTCTCTTTGAGAGTCTTTATGAATGGGTCCATGCTGGCATCTCGCTGCTGCCCAGTTGCGTTGGGTCCAGCAGCAGTAGCTTCCGGCTGGGCCTTCGACACCGTGCCGTCCCCACTGTTGAAGCCTCGTCCAAATGAGAGCTGATCTTCCGCGGAAGGATTGATCAGATACACATTTCGGTCGACGGAGGAACGTTGAACCTCCACGTATGTCCTCAACCAACGAACGACCTCATCACCACCCCAAAACAGACTGCCATCGCTGTCAAAGGGATCGAAATTCTCCCTGACACGCTTTTTCTTCTGCAGTATCGTCGACTCGCATTCACTGTCGTGGAAAAACAGGGCAGGGAAGCTGTTCCCCGATCGCGTATTGATCACCACACTTCCAAACCACCATCCTAGGCTCGGAGGTCGTACCAATAGAGAGTATATTTCCGACACGGGAACTGCGAAGGAGTAGAGTCCGGTCGGGTCTCTCTGGGTGGTGGTGGTCGGAAGCGGCGGAACAAGGTATCGCTGACGCGGTGGGGAATCGTCGTCGGCAAGATCGACTTTCACATAGGTACTGTAAGAGTCACCCAGTGAAGCTTCAGGGACCCAAGCAAGGAGGAATGAAGAGGCATCCTTGTGAGAATAGGCGGTCGTTGAGGAGTGGGAACTTGGCTTGGGTTTCTGCTGGATCAGGGCGATGAATCCAGGGATGTTGTCTTTCGCGGACGGTGTAGGGTGTACGTAGACCTAGTAATGTCTTCCGTTAGCTATGCCTACCAATCCTGTGGTCGATGAGCGATCGTACTTTGCTTTTCGAATACAGCAGCTTCACTCCACGCCTAGACTGGGCTTGGGCGATGGTGTTATACTCGTCTTCGTCATTGTCACTGAGATCATAGAAAGAGGCAGTCGGCGACGGTGGAGATGGAGGAGGGGTGTATTTAACAGGGCCTGCCATGATGGTGAGGCGTAGGCGAAAGCGTGGAGGTTGAAGCAGCACGAGCGATGAAGACGACGTAATGATCAAATGATCCGCGATAAGATAAAGCCGATCGGTTCCCCTCTTTCGAAACTCCGCTTGGCTTCTCTGGCTTCTTCCTCACAGCTCAACGCTGTGTGCTTGATGATTTTTTTCCTTTGGAGCAGGGCCTCTGGGAGAGATATTTTCCTTCTGTGTCATTTTCTAGCAGGACTCTTCTTTCTTCAGATGTGTCGCCACTCTCTAGCTCTTGTTATGGTCTAGGCAGCAATAAACCCCGCTAACCGCGAACTGGCGGATCACTCGTACATATCAAAATCATGTCGGACATTGTTGATGATGGCTATTTCTCATGGATACACTTACCCTATATTTGAATCTGATGTTATGAACAATAACCAGCCTCACTGGCCTTTTTCATTTCCACCAATAAACAACCGCCTCAGCAGTCCTGCGAGTGTGATGCAGTGGCTTCAAAGACATACAATCCTGCGTTGACAAGCAACGCCATAGCCTAAAGGACATCGACATTCTCTCATGCAAATTCAGTAATCTACAGCCCAGAATGACTCACTTTATCTACTAGACCCCTCTTATTCTAAGATTCGGCATTGTCGATAGCGAGCTATCTACACGTCTTCATGGTTCGTGGCCCAGCAGCAATTATCGACCCACACCAGCGCCACGATCGCCATACCTTGGACCTGCCATCTTTAGAGATAATGTGCTGGAGTAGTATCGAACGGGTCAACCTTCTGCCGTGGCACATTAGAACGTGGGTTGTCTGGCCAGAACCAGCTGGTGTGGCCCTAGGGATTCGATAACTCCTTCAGGAAACGATAAACCGCCCATTCACCAGACGACACTAGGTTCAGTCCAGAAGGGCGGTCACCAATAATGATGACTCTCCATGATAGCCAAAGATCGAGAAAGGGATGATAGATGATATAAAGTCAGTGCTCTTCATTGTTATCTTCATCGTATCTCAGTAGCACATTTCGAAGTATACGTGCATCGATTGGAAAATCCTTACCATCATGACTGAGCTTACTCGCACCTTGCCTGCCTCATGGTACTGCAATGAGCCCCTCTATAAAATGGAGCGCAGGGCGGTTTTCCTCAAAGTATGTCCCACTCTATGACAACCCATGACTATTGACACTAAAACTGTGCCTAGTCCTGGTACTTGCTCGGTCCTGTGACGCGATTCCAGAAAGTCGGCGAGCATGCCGACTATGAAATTGCCCAGCAGCCCATCTATGCTGTTCGCTTGTCCGGCGAGACTCTGAATCCTGTCGCTGAGGAGTTGAAAGTGTTCCATGCAAAGACGGTATATCTCGATGGAGAGCAAAGCCTCAAGGTGCCTGCAGTTGACTGATCGTCAAGAATGTACAGGACAAAGAATTGCGCAGCCACGTTACCCCAACGGGTCTGCTATTCTCAACCATTTCCGACGATGCGCCGTCTTTCCATGACTTCTTCCCTGAACTCGAGGAGCTGCTAGGCAAAGTTGACTTCACTCGGCTTCCCTATCGACGGAGTATTCGCTACGAGGGTCGCTTCAATTGGAAGACTATGTGAGAGCCCAATGCCCAGCAACTGAATGAAATTCTCTTTCCTTCAGTCTTCTTACGTTTCATCAATTCAGGGTGGATGGATATCAAGAGTGTCTGCACTGCCAGTACACCCATCCCTCATTCTCAATCTACTACCCACCGACTTTCTACACCGTGCGCAACAACCACAACTTCTCTCAGCACATCGCGGATCCCAAGAAGCCCGATGATGGGTTGTTCCTGTATTTCTTCCCTAATTGCACCCTTAACGTTTACGGCGGTGGTATGTCGTCTTTCCGTGTGTGTCCGACCGCAGATCCCCAAGTTACTCGCATGGAATTCGACTACTACCATTTGGCCGAGGGCGAGAAATTTGAGGAATACTTCAAGTTTGTCCGGCAGGTTGCAATGGAGGACTTTGAACTCTGCGAAAAGGCTCAGGACAATTTGGCCAAGGGCGTTTACCATGAGGGTATCTTGAACCCAGAGAAGGAGAACGGCGTTTCTTGTGAGTTTAGGGCTCAGTTGATGTCATTAAACACTCATACTGATCCAAGCCTCCTATAGACTACCAACAGCGAGTCTTCCAGATGGTCTGTGAGCAGCATGCGGCCGATCGCGCGTCCAAGCAGAATGGCGAGTCGGTGTCGAAAGATCAAGTTACGCCATCTTTGGTGCAGATGGAAGCTTAGCGTAGTATTAGGGTCATCATCATTGCAAATTTAGTAATGGAAAGACTACTTATTAAGTGCCGGTCTAGAAAGTCTATATCTGCCGTAGTATCTTCGTTTATCATCTTGAAATTGGACCATTTTAGACGATGAAGCTGGAAGATTAGTGATTCAGACAGGAGAATAGATCATATCTTGATAAACTGTGTAGCCACTCCTGATGGCCCGATATCTAAGCGATGTTGACCTACCGGGTTAATCTATCTACCGATGACTGGAAATTGCAACTTAATCGGGAAATCGCAAGACTGGGTGGGGGGACTACATACGGCGTCGTGGTTGAACTGTATAATGTGGGGTCTTGCACACTTGGACCTCCAAGCTTTCGATCTATATCAAATGAAGGTCCCTGCGAGGAAAACAAACAAATTGATCAGTTATAACTTCTTGACAGAAAATCCACCACAGTGGACTTCAGGTCATGGAGTTCATTGGTGCTTATATTCTATCGCCCAGCTCGGTGATCATAGCTCTGTTGACGGTGGTTTTCTTGGTTCACCAGTCATGGCCACGTCTTTCTCGACCGAAGAAAACTCGACAATTATCTACTGAGTCCTCCAGGGTGAATGATACAGACAGTTTGACAGTTTCCAAGGAGCCCGAACTCCCTGAGGGATGGTGGTCTGGCCGTGACGTTTTCGAGCTTGAACGACGAGCTATCTTTAGCAAGGTACGATAAGCGCGTCGTGTTTGACACACACACCCACTTACCATGCCTGTAGTCATGGCTATATCTTGCCCATGTCACCCAGTTTGGCAAGGCTGGTGCGTATCAATCTTTTGACATTGCTGGTTTCCCGATCTTCTTGATCCGCAGCAAGGATGATAAAATCCGCGCATTCCACAATGTATGTCGACACCGCGCCTATACCATCACTAGAAAAGAGACTGGCACGTCCACCGTGCTTGGCTGCCGCTACCATGGTTGGAGCTATGATACTACCGGCCGGCTAGTTAAAGCACCACAGTTTGAAGGCATCCCGGGCTTTGACAAATCTGAGAATAGCCTCTTTGAGATCCACACTCACACTACTGATCATGGATTGGTGTTTGTGAACCTCGATGCTGGAAATCCTGCTCCTTTCCCTGACTCTACTGCTTTGGATTTGGACAGCTTTGCGAGCACTGCTCGCCTGGGTTCCAAGTCTGAATGGATTGCTGGCCAGACTCTTACCGGCTCGTTCAACTGGAAATTTGGGAGTACGTTTGCCAAGAGCAGCCCTGTTGTCCCAAATATTGACTTGATCACTATAGTGAGCTCTCAATACTGCACAGATATTACCACCCAGCTTGAGGAAACACTATCAGCGGCGGCACCACTTTCTTTCGCAACGAAATTCATCAAGATAATCTCCCAGCACAACAGTCCAGCAGACTCTCAATTATTCCCAGCAAGCTTGCTTTATTCTTTTAAAGATGCCCCCCTCTGGGTTTCTTTCTCTTTTTTCCCCGCGTCAGAGTCAACCACCAATGTCCGTTATGATCTATTCAACCTGTCGTCTAAGACTGGAATCAACGAGAACGAGCTCGCACACGCCGCTGCAGAATCCATCAAAGCCATCTTGCACAAGATTGAGACGGACTTCCAGTCGGTTACTGCTGGATCAGTGGCGAATAGTTTCAATATTCACCAAATTGTGCATCAAATTCGAGAACATGCGAGACTGGAGAAGCAGACTGGTGGTCAAATTCTTCCAGCTATGCGTCAACCCAAAGGAAGCTCTCTGTTCCAACAAGCCGAGCAGCGTAAGATTCTCGATATATTCCTGCATTTTGTCAATACTAACATCTTAATTAGTTTGCAAGGAAATCGATTGTGCCGGCTCTGGCTCTGGATCGGGCGTTGGATCGGCTGGGCTAGACTGGTAATGCGATGGACATGGAAAGGGCCTATTTAATGCTGATGACCGCTGCGGTCTTTGGGATGGTCCTTTGAATATTCACTCTTACTGTTCACGGATTGAGTGTCACTCTTCCAGGACGTTAACAATGATTGAGGATGTAGCTTAATAGGAAGGGCTATCAATTGAGGCCTAGTTTCTATGAATCTCAATTTAGAAGCGAACAAAAAAGGGACATACAAAGTCAGTATAAAAAATCTGAAATGCGAACCTTACATGGGGTTATACCTCAGTTCCAGTCAGTCCCAGTAACCCTCCACCTTTATGCTCTAGTGATCTAAGAAACCATGACGCTTCGGCCGAGACTTCCCCTAGACGGGCGTCTTCCAGGAAGGCGCCCTCCGAGGTGGAGGGTTACCTCCTTTTTATGCTGGCTGGGTATAAGGCCAGCTCCGCGACCAGCTTTTCGTCTCTTTTTGAAACATTTTTTATATCAATTCAATCCTTAATTACAAGAAAGTGTCTTCATCTTCGTTTTATTGGGGTTTCTATAGAGTTAAGAAGATTCTTGGTGGTATAGAGCCAAGATATCTTTGGCCGTGAGCATAGGGGTGAAGTACTTGAGCACCGCTGAGTGTCGTGAATCATTTATATGGTGACCAAGAGGTCGAGAGTTCGATATGGGAGTGGAGGTACTTTTTCATTTGGGATTTCCAAAGCATCTCGCCATGTTGCCATGAACAAAGTTGCATTCTGCCAGAAAATGACTTGGGTATCGACTGCCTCTGCTGTCTGTCTGCATTTTCCCAATCGCCACTCTTGACAAATCATATATTATAATTCTCAAAAGCACGAAAAGAGCGTTAAAGCGTGATTTTAAGCAAATCTACAAGCAACGAGGATGCCATATCTGGAACTATCTGGAACGTTTATGAGTGAGGTCTACCTAGAGAGGTACACAGTTTACGATGCATAACTAGCCACTGCACTTGATTTCTGGCAGTGTCAAATCAAGGAGACACTCACACAGCCGTTCAATCTTCAGTGGTAAAACAGAGTTTACCTGATATGATCAGTCTACCCGTCTACCTACAGTGTACAGACACATTGTGCAGGACGCGGGGAAAGAAAAGCAATAATCAACAGCACCTCGAAAACCTACCGAGTGCGCAAGACTCATACTCCTCGTGTCCGGATTTCCGATCCCTTCAGCTTCCCAGGCCCGTCCTTTCGTTTCTTCGTCTGGCGACCGTTGTATCGTGCTATATATTCAGTATCCACAACAGGCCTCATTCTGCGATACCTAAAATTAGCACAGAGTTTGACGGCGAGTGGAGATCAACTCCAGATTATTTAGTGCGGGTCGGCGCAGTCAAGACTTGTACAGTTGCGGTTAGTCCCGTTACCCGAATCTCACCCAAATCGCTTCGAACCCTGCCCGGAATTGTGGCTCTGGACAGACCGTTGAGTCAACATCAAAAACAGGACCCGTGTGGTGTGATCAGATTGGTGAACCTTGCAAGTGTATTGGAGGCCAGATTGAAATCGGACGAACTGGGTTTCATTGCTTCAACCGCGGGGCTCCAATATGTCGGTCCCACCCATCGTAAAGGCCACGCTGCAGGCGGCGGTCATTAATGCTGGGTCGAATGTATTGGCACAGAGCATCAAGGCTTATAGGAGTGATGTGAGTGGTTTTTTTTTCATGTCCATTTCGGGTCTTTTTTAGCTTGTCTCCCCTTGGGCAAGATATTGAGTCGCCAAATACATCGCTGATGCCTCTTATATGCCTACAATATGAGGGGTGTCAGCATCCAGGGGGCAACAATAAATCAAGACTGCTCTCTCAACAGTGCCTTCAGACTATATTACCACCTGATTCTAACCTTATATCTCTACAGATCCCCTTTGAACTCGACCCCCAGGCCCTAATACAATTCACAACCTGCGCCATCATCACCACACCATTAAACTACATCTGGCAGAACAACCTAGAAGCAGCTTTCCCTGGCACACGCCCTCGAGATGCAGCCCCCAAGCACGAAATCAAGCCCGGTCGCTCAGACACAGAAACCTCGAAGCCGGCCCTAAACGTTACCAACACCGTCACCAAGATCGTAATTGATCAAACCATAGGCGGCACCTGGAACACGGTACTCTTCCTCTTGACCATGGGCCTTCTGCGAGGCGAGCATCATGAACTTGTTTTTGCACAGATCCGCCAGGTAAGTTTGCTTGTGTGATGTCAATTTGCCCCCATATTCCTCAATCCATCGAAACCTTCATCTCTCGGGTCTCGGGGGCCGCAGGGTTGGACTATGTACTTGAGCTGTGCATCTTTTAGACCCGGGCCGATGGGATCGTAGGATCTGCATTTCCACTCGAGTGCAGGGGCTACCGGCCGAGTCTGACCCTTGCAAGGGCATCGATGTATACTTCGTGGTATATGTGCAAAGATTATTCACCAACAGTGGCTGATATCTGATGTCTTTAGGAATTCTGGCCCATCATAATTGCTGGGCTCAAGCTTTGGCCCTTTGTGTCAGTTCTCAACTTTACCGTTGTTCCTGTGGACCAGCGATTGCTCGTTGCCAGTATATTTGGTGTGGCATGGGCTGTGTACCTGAGCTTGATATCTGGGTAGGTGGGTGATGAAGGATGCTGGTGGGATCAACGCTCGAACGGTGAAAATAACAGATGGAAGGAAGGCTAGACAAAGCTTCGCCTTTGGCGCCATAGATGCAGCATGATTTGGATATATGGTATTTCAGATACATTAGACGAGCTAGAAGGAACGATAAATACGTTTGTCAGGCTGATCAGTTCCTCGAGGCGAATAATGATAGCCCCATCACGGTGGCTCTCCTAAACAGCGCCATGCGATTCTTACTTCTCTCTAGCATGCCCCTCCACCGAGGGGCCGGTTTCTATGTAACCTCCCATTTTAGAACTTTGGGTGGGGGGGGGGAGGCTGGAGGCTTTTCGAATCTTTATACAAATCTCGACGGGGTATGTGGTCCGCAGATTTGGATAATCCAATACCGCCCCCACCATCGAGAAGAGATGTATTTCACACAAACGCCCCCATCAAGTCTCGCCCCGACCCCATCCTATTACTTCATCTAGAGGGCCCCAGGCACATGGGGGCTGTCAGCAGGGAAATTGACGCTTATGCTTGTCAACCTGTAAGAGAGAATGATTTCATGCAGCCCTGGGGGGCCTTGATCTGGCCAGTTTTGATATCGTTTCCGGTGGGAAGATGCGGTGGGATGATGAATAGATTTCTCTGCAACATATTTCTGGGGCTTAGTTCTGTCTTTACATAGATAATTTGAGGAAGAATAAGCAAGATAAGCGCTAAGACTCGGCAGTTTTATCATGAGCCAATCACTCCGAAGACACTCATCCTTAACTATCAATTAATTATCAAAGGCGACCTTAGTGCTTCAGAATTCTTTCCCAAGATCTCTTAGCAGACTTTGTGGTCGTATGATCATTCCATTTTGAAACATCGAGAAGCCTTTTGTCAAGTTTCTCATTGATCTGATCCACCCTTACTGAAAGGTCGAAGAACCGATCACAAGAGTACTGAGCTTCGTGGGTATAATCGCTAGCTCTTTCTCCGTACTTGGACACCGATGCGCTTTTAGAATTGGTTCCAGAATCTCTGTCATAGCAGTCGCTGCCATCTTGATTGTCCTCGGCTTGCGCATGTTACATCTGCCCGTGTGCGTCCCGCTTCAAAGAAGCATAGGTCCGGTTGAACTCACTTTCAGTGAGTTTTGACAGAGCGAAATAGAGACCTCTGTTTTCATCGGCCCGTTTTTCAAACACATCTGCTAGTTCAATAGCTATCTGTCCCTGCCCTATACGTTTTCGACCAATTTCTTGCCACCATTTTGCCTTCGTAGGGTAACTAAATTCGGTAGATGGCTGCTGCTGAAGTAAGTTCTTGACCGCTTTATCAGTATCTTCTAGTCGTTGTAATAATATCCGGCGAATATGCTCGGTCTCAATAATAGAGCTGAGTACATCTTGGCTTGGTTGGCTTGGATAGTGTTGTGGAGGTTGGTCGTGGTAGCAGGGGACTGCCTTCGATTCTTGCCCTTCAACAGATAGTTCGGACATTTTCAGGGATTATTGGATAATTCGCGCATGATAACTAGTCTTTGGTATAGGAGAAGAAATAAAGGTTCTTTGAGGCGAGAGAAATCTGGGAATGGGCCTCAATAGAACTCATCAATCTTAACTTGTCCTACAGCCGGCCGCCGCCTATTCGGTCTCGGAGCTATGGTCGCCCACTCTCCTAAACTCATTCAAGCTCTGTGAAGCTAGAAGACCTCCGCATGCCCTTTTCGGATAGCCGCGACTTCTGCTTTAGGAATAGTATACTTTAGAGAAGGAACTCCTCGATCTCAATGTGACAAAGCCTAGATCATGAGTAGACGAGTCCTTTGAAATAAATTTTCTTCTTATTGTTTTCAATTTAGGCATAACAGCAGGGCTATAGACCTGATCTATAAGGCACCAACATGAAGGTAGCTTCAGGGGCAGTCAGCTCTCTGTGAGGGTCTCTGGGAAGTTCGCATGACAAAGGTGGTGGTGACAGGCTGTGCTCAGGTTACTCAGTGAGTCGAGGGTGACCACTAAAGTAGAAAAGACGGGAGAGAACGCTACAGAAGGAAACTAGCCCATATGTACTGACGACTACTGACCGATGGATTCGGCCCCCTGGGGGCATTCGCAGCGTTACAGGGAACCAGTAGTTAGTTGGCTTAGTATAATCCTTTGGCTTGAAGGATGCGCAGATTACTAGCATAAGCGCAGCGAATGATGATGTGGTCACACGCCTGACTCCGGTGAGCGTGGGGCAAATCCGTCATGCTGTGAGACAAGAAACTAATTACACATCCGGGCACAGATACTCGCCATCGAAAACTTGCTAGTGCCTTTTTATCGTTGCACTTGTTTTATGGAGGATGAGTAAGGATGGTAAAGGATCACAAAGGATATCTAGTTGATTTGGGGGTTGTCAGCTGGGGGTTGTCGGCTTGGGGCCAGCCCGTACACACACTCCTTCCCTTATTATTGGCTGTAGACTACTTCCATATCGTTGGGGGTCGGTCCTATGCCCATCTATTATTTGATGGATATATTTTGTAAATAGCTATACTACCTTTACACCGTTTATAGGTAACAAGAGCATTGTTTACCAACAGCCCCCTTGGGGGCCAAGAAACCGTAATTGTCAGGCCAAAGCTGTCAGGTACAAAGTACTGTATGAGGAAGAATCAACAATAGTACAATAGTAAAAACAGCTTTGTATTTCAGGTGCTACTTTGATTCTGCAAGGTTCCATTCTGCACTGTAGTATGACCGAGTGTGGATAGTGGAAACGCAGAGCATAACTTCGTATCTTCAGGAGCTCATTCACCAAATTAGTTTAGTGTCCTACTATCCTGAGTATACTTCGTACCCCCGGGCTATGTAGGGGTCTGTCCATGCACGCCATCTCGCGTGGCGGGCTCGTGTCGGGCCAGTTATTTTTGTTTTACGATTCCTCAGGGCTTGCGTTCGTGTTGACGGGCGATCGTATTCCCGGGACAAGCAATAGGCGTTGCCGATCTTGGCCCCCGAGAATAAGAATAGCCACGGCCACCCGCAGTATACGAGCAGAGAAGACAAATCTCGCGAGTTTAAATTTGGTACCTTGACGGGGAAACAGGAATGTTTTGAGGTTACGATGATACCGAGAAGAGAAGATCATAGGAACCGATAAGAGCTATGGAGTGACTCGGGTGCTAGTTCTCAGGTCATTTCGGATCCTGCTCCTTCGATGAGCTATTGAAAGGGGCATGAGGGGGCTGTTGTGTTTATCTTTCTCATGATTGTCTGGCCCCGATCGTGCGACCCCAGAGTGCGTTCCTGCAGAGCTGAGCCCGTGCGACTTGGGTGACGGGCCATTCGCTGTAATTATCAATTTATCAATTCTACGGCCGTACCGATCGTGACGGACGACGACAACGACCAGGTGGGATCGACCCAACTGCTTATTTGTGGGGGGGGGGGGGGGGGGGGGGGCTAAGCAGAAAGAGGCCTCGATTTGCGGGAAGGCGGAGTTCCGAATATTAACGCGAGATCACCAGGATCCTGTACTCGCCCCCATCGTGGTTGATCCTCTGGCCCTAAAACATCATCCTTTACGAGGGAATCTCCCTCTTTCATCTTTTTTCTCTTCTTCTCACCCGTTCACCTCTGGACGGTGAGCTGTTCTACTTGTGTGATCATCGTCCAATTCCCAGAGACTATCTCAAGGAAACTATAGCAGCATTCCGATATCCACTCTACCGAACCACCACACCCACCGAAACAGATCAGTCGAGCCACTACAGACTCGAAACAAAGAAGCAACCCTGGAGATTGGCTTCGCCCAACCCCACCTGATAGGGCCGTTTGCTCTCCGATTCACGGTACGTTCTTTGTGTATACTTTTTCTAGAACACCACTCCCGGCGAAGAGAGAAGACACCATCACCCATGGCACCAGACACTAAATGTAGATCACAGACAAAGCGACTCTGGTCAACAATGCCCGGGCACTAAGCGCTTGGTGAAGCAGTCAATTCGAATTCGTCCAAGATGGTGTCGGCTCGAACCTTTCCATTCGTTCGACCACGCAGAAACTCCACAAAGCAGAAGAACAAGAAAGGAACGCGACTGCCACCGCCACTCAATCTCGAGAGCAGTTTCTTCCACGCTCAAGTCCAAAAAGAGATCAGTCTGGCAGGCCCGGCCCCGAGAGCTGTGCGGGGCAGTATTTCAGAGTCATACAAGGACAAAGACGACAAATCACAGGAAGTGCCGCTCATGATGAAAGTTCCTACATCGGATCCCTCGATCGAGGCAGCCCGAGTAGATCTTGTTGAATATCCTGCACCCCTAGAGCCGATCAAACTCCTCAGATCATCTCAAACAAAAGACCATCGACGGACGAGATCAGCCAACACAATCTCCAAGCAAACCTCATCAGAGCCAGCTCCATACACTCGATCTGTCGCCTCTCAGGAATCAGGAGACACGATCATCGTTCTCGATACACCTGGCTCCTCCGATGCCGAAGAGTCTGAAATTTCGCCGTTATCCGACGACCGGCTATCTGCTGCATCACAGTCTGGCCTAGCCCTGCGTCGTTTCTTCCCCAAACTATCCTCGAGCAATGTCGCAATTGTGTCTCCAATGAGTGCTGAGGCTGGGGTCGATCAGCAGAACACGAGGCCGATCGAATTCCCGTCGATCTTCGAGACCGAACTCCACGATCGGGTTCACACCCTCTTTAAGAAGACCTCGACGGGTTCCGTTGAGAGCCCATCCACTGACATGGATCAAGCACTGGAGCAGACGATGGGATCATCTTCGGGCTCAAGCTCGGACGATATATCTGGCTCTGCCTCGTCGTGCTATAGTCGCCGGAGTTCTCTCAGCAGTGTTAGGACTGATTGCTTCAGCCCGGTCACCAAAGAACTTGATCAATACTCCATCTTCTCCCCCGTTGCGGCTGGTGTCTTTGATGATTCCGCTTCGACATCTCCCTCGCGAGCTGGATCATCCGCATCGCGAGTGCCGTCTGGAACGGAGCCGAGCCCAAGCTTCGCGTCGTTCTTGATGCCGCCGTCTCGACGTGCCTCGAGCTCTTCTAAACTGTCATCGAACATCAAAAACAAGCCTCTCCCTCTCGAGCCCGTCCAAGAGCCCAGCCCGTTGGCAATCCGCCGCCATGACTACACTCCGCCATCTGCGACGACGGACGCCTCGCGATCAACGACTAGCCTTCATGCGACGAATCGTCACCACGACTTGAATCACTCCACCACAAGCATGGACTGGAAGCAATCCAGGCAATCTTATTATAAACGTGGAGAGTGCAGTGGTCGTGGTAGTCATGGCTCCAGTCAATCTCGTGCTGGCCGTCGTCCGGAATTGGCAGAGGGCAGCAATGGCCAGCGTCTGCGCCATATTCCAACCCTCGCACAAGCTGCAAAAGAATTGGAATTTGCCTTGGCCGACCTTGCCCGAGACCCGCATATGCAGCAGCGGACCCTGCTAGTCCTCGACGGACCGCTGCAGATCAGTCGACACAATGGGGATCTCATCGCAACTCGACCTGCACCGCTGCCCCCGTCGACCAAGCCACACTCCAAATCGTTTAAGAAGAGCAAGAGCATCCGCACAAAGGCCAAACCCGTTGAAGATGTTATAAGCCACCGGTCGGGTACGCTCAAAGCCTTCCGCGCGACCAAAGAGAGGCCGTCCCCTCCTCTCCCGGACAAGGGTTCCAAGAACAAAGACGAGCCCGCCCCCAAAGAGACCAAACGCCCCAAAACCCCCAAACTCCAGGACGAGACCAAGTGGCCTTCCAACAGTCCCACCTCCGGCTCTAACCTCAGCGACGAGGTTTCCAAAGGGCCCAAGATGAAAAAATCCTTTACGCTGACGATGCCATCCTTCAAGCGCACGAACAACCCTCAGGCCCCGGCTCTGCAAAAACCCGGTCTGAGCTTCACACTCAGTTCACGGTCGGAATCCTCACGGCTAGACCCACTCACACCCAAGGCCCGCCCAGACGGGCCCCCACGACTTTCTTCATCCTCAGATCCCAGTGTGGACGTGGATGTCGACTTGGATCTGGATGCAGGCACGGCCTCCAAGCGCGAGGATCTGCTTCTGCAACTCCCGCGCCTGCAGACGCACGATCTAGGCTTCAAGGACCCCTTTGAACCGCTCAGAATCGAGAAAGAACTCCTTGCCCAAATCCAAACAAAGCATGAGGAGCAGCAGCAGGGCCAACCACAATCAGTGCAACCCAAGCAAAAGCCAATGCAGGGGGTGGCCCCCTCGTACTGCGCCTCCGGCCCCACGCAGCAAGTGCAACATCAACATTCTCACCCCGCGCAGGCCTCCTCCTTGAGTGGCGATGCCAAATCGTCTACTCTCCAGCTGCGGATCATACCTCCAGAAGATGAGAAAATGCTCGTTGCCAGTGAATTCGTCGCCAGCGAAAGGCTGCGACACATGCAGGCCTTTGTGTCGACGGCGCAGGCAAGCAGCGTACAACTTCCGCCCGAGCAGATCTACGAGCTGGCAGCGATGCCGCCCTCGCCGTCGTCCTCCATGCCGGCCATGTTCATAGAAATGCCAATGCCACACATGCCCGTGGACTTCCCCGTCGAAATGCCGGAGCATCTGGTCATTCTGATCATGGAGCGGATCGACTCGCTAGATGATCTGTTCAATTTGGTGCTCGTCAACAAGCGCTTCTATCAGATTTTCAAGCGTCGCGAGCTTTCCTTTATCAAAGGCGCACTGTTTCGCATGTCCCCGCCTGCATGGGAGCTGCGTGAGATGAGTCCGCCGTGGAAGAATGAATGGCAGCTTCTGCTGGAGCAGGATGCCCCGCTGCCCGAGTATACCCCAGAACTGTACTTGGATCGGTATGCGAGCGATATTTATACGCTTGCGCAGCTGAAGTCTATGATCTTGGTTCGCTGCTCGCCGTTCCTGCGCCGAGATACAGTCAAGGGTCTTTCTGGTGTGGATATTGTCCGCGCTGAAGAAGTCGACGATGCCTTTTGGCGAATTTGGACGTTCTGTCGCATCTTTGGAAGTGGCAAAGGTCGTGAAAATGATTTGGAGGGTCAGATGGACTGGCTGAAGGGTGGACCAAAGGCGCGGAGCTCCTTTGGAGCGTCTTCCACTGTGACCGAGCCTTTTGACATGAACGATGTGCTGTTTGAGCCGCCCGAGGGTTTCGCTCGTGGAAACAGCATCGCTGGCCTCTCTGCGAAGCAGTTGTACGATATAACGGAGATTTGGACTTGTCTGGGAGTGCTGTTGCAGCCTTTGCACGGCCAGTGTGTCGAGGCCAGGAACGCTGGCATTTTCCAAGGACTGGATATTCCCGAAGGTGATACCGTTCGCGAAGAAACTGCACTAGGTAAGTGATGGTAACATTGGAGGAAATCGTTGGGAAAAAAACAAGTTACTAACACATCATCAACAGAGGAGTGGACATCTTACGTGCTTACTCTTGGGCTCTCCGCCGTCTTGGCTCTGAGCTCGCTCTGCCCCGCCGAAGCCACCACCGCCACCTTCACCAAGGCCCAATCCAACGGCCTCACGAAATGGGAGCCGACCGAGACCGAAACCAGCCGTTCAACATTCTTGAAGGAAGCCGTTTCCCGCATCTATGAAGAGCAAGAACGCTTGCTGTCTTCCACCAGTTCCGAAGAAATCGCCTCCCCCCAGCCTCAATCCCAACAGCGCCGTAAGCAATTCCAAGAAGAGCTGCGTACCCGCCGTCTTCGGGGCCCCCCAGCCGTGAGGCTGCCCCAGGTACATCCTTCGCCGATGAACGGCCCATGTCGGAGTTCAGCACGATCGTACACAACCTCGACGGGACAATACCGCGCGACGCACCTCCTATCCCACCCGTTCCATCCCTAACATTCAACCGACTCTCCTCCTCCACAGCCAGCATCGGCCCCCGAACTCCGAGCCGCACTCCACCACGCTCCTTAACCCCCGAATCAAACCTCCCCATCCCCCGCAGTCCATCCCTCCAGCCATCCCTCGCGCCCCCACCGCTCCGCCCGCAGGTCCAGGACCCCGTTGACCGGGCAATCGCTCACATGGTCAATGAGTTGGGCTTTAACCTGGACGATGTCAAGTGGGCGCTGAAGATCACGGATACTGGCGAGGGCATTGATGTAGATGCTGCTGAGCGGTTGCTTAAGGAGCAGAAGCGCAAAAATGAGCGGAATCCTTTCGCCCCGCGGGGGAAGGATAGTTTGCTCAGGTCTGTGATGAAGCGTCATGGTTCGCAGGATTCCGGGTGGCGCTTTGCTTGAGTGGGTGCTGCTGCTAGCCTCTTCTTCTTCTACTGGGTGTTTATGATTATCCTTTTCTTGTTGGTTCTTTGATGTACATTGAGCGATGTTTACGATGTTTTAATCATAGCGAAAATTGCTGTTGCTTTCTTTTCTGATTGTTTTGGTTGGTGTTGACTGATTACTCGATATATACACATCTCTTGATCTTTTGTTCTTGTTTTCGTTGTTTTTATTGTTATGCTGCCTCAAAGACTGTGCCATACGCTCTCTGTGTTATATACCCCCTACTATGTTCTCACTTATACAATCATCCGGATTATATCGTGTTATCAAAGACCTTTTTCTGTTGCTCACCATCACAATCAAAATGTAGCTACTAGATATGGTACATCTTCTTTCACGTTATTGACAGCATCCCGACTAAGAATTCCCACTTATTTTCATCATTGTGCCAACCCGTATAAAGGGTAGTTAGTATTCGACTATTCCGGGTTTCTATCAACGGGGCTCCCGATTAAGACGTTTGGAATCTGTCTAAAGGTAATAAGCATGGCAAATAGTACAAGCCCGCCGTTGGATCTCAGGTCAAGTAAGAAGGAAGTTTCTCTGAGTACGCTGCTATCAGGACATAGACGGGAAGACTTTGTAAACGAGAGTCCCATGACTAGAATCAAATGCGGTAACCTTGTAGCTAGAAAGATCTTACGTACGCGGACAGAAAACACTAGATATGAAAAGAAGGTTATCCAAACTAACGAAAAGTCAAAATAAAATTAAAAGAAACCACTGCCTCTTCTTTCCTTCGCGTCATGTACTACCTAATGGATGATGAACACTACACCCCGAACAAGACCCAAGTCCTGCAAGAGCACGGCAAAACGGAAGCAGTCCCTCCCCACTCTGCAAATCCTGCCACCCTTTAACGATATCAAGCGCCGCAGCACCTACTTGAGCCGGGAAATCATCTCCGGGTAACAATCGATCAGGGGATGGAATCTCTATAGAGATCACTTGAGGGCTGAGCTCGGCATCGCTAAAGTGAGTGAGGTAGAAGTCGTGTTTGAGCACCTCGTGGGCGAGTTCTTGCAATAGTTGAACAGAGGGTATATCGGGGTCTATGTGTGAGAGGTTGACGTTGGCGAAGAGCCTGGAGAGTCTGGTAGTCATTTTGGTGGCTTGTTGGTGTGATCTAGATGGGAGATGAACAGGATCAACGTCAATATTTGGGTTGGTATGTGTAGGTTTGGCAAGATGCGCCACTCTGCGGATTTAAATTCTCACATTATCTGAGAAGCTCAGTTAGCTTGAATGGCTCTGTTCTAAAGTCAGTAGAGAATAATGATATGAGAAACCTCTTTCATGATGCTTGCGATGATCTTGGGTTTGTTCTTCTTTGATAAGAAGCTGAATGCATCTGGACATTCCATTTATTGGAAGCATAGCGGCTTGAGAGGAATCTAGAGGTTATGATTCAACTCTTTTATATCCCAATGCGTTATTTATGCTAATTTATGTGTATAACTATGTGTTACCTAAATAGTCATGAATAGAACGGCTTAGAAGACAAAAGCTCGCTGTTATCATCAAGAGTATTGTGTAATGTAATGGCCATGTCTTTGTGTATTAATGAAAGCCATACTCTCAAAAATTGTCACGGATGAGCATCGAACACCATTGATTTTAAAGAATTTACACCAATTGGACGGTTGAGTATCGGCGACCCAACCGTAATTGCGAATTCAATCTACCAGGATGTTTAGCCAAAGTCACTCACGAGGGAACCGTGTGCCCATTTGTCTCAACATAGCTCATAACTCTGATTTCTAATTTCTTTCTGTAAGTCATTAAAGAACATTGACCTTTCCTATAGTTCTAATTTGCAGTTCCCAGCGAGAAAGACTCGAAGTAAACTAGCTTGGAATCGCAACTACAGAGCCCATAAACCACGTGATGTGGGCTTCGTCCGTAGATCGGAGAAAGATCAGAATTGATAAACACAAACAACAACCCAACTGTCTTGGGGGCTGAGAATTCATGCCCAATATGGCACAAATGTCATCCAGGAGGTATTTTGATGTAAGTATAACATGTTCCCTCCCAATATCCGCAATGGACTGTCACTGACGGCCAGCGTAAAGGTTGCCGTCACTTTCACTGCCAACCAATTTGGGGGTATCTATCGAGAGGGCAAATAATATCACCCACCTGACTATGAGGAAGTCTTGAAAAGAGCAAAGGTAAGCTGAGATACTTGGATTGGTATAACTTACTCGACTTCATCCTAAATGATAGTTTCTAAGAATATGATTGCGAAAAGATTATGCTGACTACGATGTCACGTAGCGATGCTGAAAAAAAAAACTTCTGCTCGTGAGGCAGTTCCCCGAAATGTGTAAAATGACGCTTGGGGGGCATCCATACCATACAAGCGAGATATATGACGGAAAGAGCTCTGATGATGGCTCAAACTCCTATCTCGAATCGCTTCGGGAGATGGGAGAAGCACTCCTTGCGGAGAAAGATTCGCCGCTCGCAGCATTTGGAGAAATTGGCCTCGACTACGTCTATCTCGATCGTGCCGATAAACCAACACAACAACGCGCGTTCCGAGATGAATTGGGTTTAGCTACAAAGCTCCAGCTTCCTCTTTTCTTACATGTTCGCGAGTCTACAGATGACTTCATCTCCATTATCAAACCTTACCTTCCACAACTGCCTCGACGTGGCTTAGTTCACTCCTTCGCTGGTTCTAAGGATGAGATGCTCAAGTTGGTGGAACTAGGTCTTGATATCAGTGTGAATGGTATATCATTTCGCATGGAAGAGCAACTGGAGATGGTCAAAAATATTCCCCTAGAAAGATTACAACTTGAAACAGATGCTCCGTGGTGTGAGATCTTGAGCACCGATCCGAAGATTGAACCTTACTTGGCAGCAGCAAGATCTTTACCACCCAGTCGAAAGCCTAACAAGTTTATTCTCGAGCAAATGGTCAAAACTCGGAATGAGAGCTGCACCATGGAGCGAGTTGGTCTTGTGGTAGCGGGTTTGAAGGGGGCTACCATTGATCAAATTGCGGAGGCAGCCTGGAATAACAGCTATCGCATGTTTTGGTAATGTTCAATTCATTGTTTAGTCTTTATAGAGCTTAAATAGATCCAGATTCGCGTTTTTATTAACACTCCGAGTAGTTCGCAAGAACGAGCCATCAACTCCTAACATTTGTCACTGGTAAGTTTCTTTCCACGCGTTGAACATCTCTATTTCTTTGCAAAATGAAATGTTCGTGCACTGCAGTAAGAATTGATCAGACCCAGAGGACCCCATTCCCCTCCAATGCCACTCTGCTTTACGCCTCCAAAAAGGGCAGTAGGGAGTGGGAAAGCTCCACGATTCACCCACACGCTACCCGCTTCCAAACGCATGCTAATACGCTCTGCCGTTGCAGGATCGTGACACCATACGGTTGCCCCCAGACCTTGATCAGTATTGTTCGCCCGGTTGATGACATCCTCTTCATCATCCCAGGACAAGATTGGCACGATAGGTCCAAATGGCTCTTCTTGTACCAGACGAGAGTCGTCTGGTGGCCGGACGACAATTGCAGGGGCCATTTGGTAACCCGACTTGATCTGGGCCAGCTCTTGATCGCCTCCTAGAGCGAACTCGTAGTTCTGAGCCCGACAGTCCTCGAAGATGGACCGAACTTTGTCGAACTGCACTTTGTTCTGAATGGGACTTAGATATCCAGTTCCGGGTGACAGCGCCTGGCATGCGGCGGTGAACTTCGTCACGAATTCGTCGAAAATTTTACTGTGTACGAATATTCTTTTGGCTGCGATGCACACCTGACCGGAATGGCTGAAGGCTATTCTCAGGGTTAGCGAGAATATTCATCTCTGCGATGGAAATGCTTACCGTCTTCGAAGACTCGTCGGGCAACTTCGTCAATATCGACATCCGGGCAGACGATCGAGGCATCATTGCCACCACTGTTAGCATTAGCTGATGCCCGGTAAATAAGCTGAAGTTCAAGTCGCACTCACAGCTCAAGGGTGACCCGTTTCAAAGTTGGAGCTGCTGCTGCCATGACCCTCTTGCCTGTGGCGGCGGATCCGGTGAAGGAAATCTTAGCGATGCCAGGGTGTTTTGTCATCCAAGGCCCCAGATTGTCATCGCCTCCAAGAGCCTGAACAACTCCAGGAGGGAAGAAATTTTGCGCCAGCTCTGCCACCTTGAGAATACTGTATGGAGTATACGGAGAAGGCTTCACGATCACGGTATTTCCACAGATCAGTGAGGATGCAACCTTGCCGAGCGCAAGGAATACGGGGAAATTCCAAGGAACAATAGCGCCAACAACTCCTAGTGGGAAGTATTTTGTGGTCACTTTGACATCTTCGTCTTCATGCGTGGTATACTCGGGGATATCGATGCTTGCTTGATTCGACATTAGCTGTGATTCCGCGATTCGAACTCAAGTTATCATACCAATACCAGTGAGCCATTCACAGGCTGCTTCTATCTCTTCTTTGGCCAACTCATTCTACAGATGAATGGTTAGATGATATCCATAAGCGCACATTGACCATAACTTACAGGTTGCCCAGTTTCCTTAATGATCATGTCTGTCCAATCAGACTTCTGGGAAAGAAGCTCATTTGCAAACTGCTTGATTCGAGTTCGGCGGTCCTCCAAGGCCGAGTGTTTCCATGTCTGGAATGCAACATTCGCGGCTTCCACGGCCTCTTCAAGATCTTGCTCAGAGGCGACCGGGGTATCCCAGAGCTTTTCCTCAGTAAAAGGATTTATCGAGTAGTATTGCTTTTCAGCCCCTTTCAACTTTCCGTTGATTACCTGGTACAAACTTTTGATTAGCCCATGGAGCTTCCTCCTTGATCTCTGGAAATTCTGTCTTACGTTGTGATATTGATCAAAGCGCAGCGTATACATTATCGCAAAGCTTTCTGGAAATGTATGGATAACACAGGTACTGTCATACTGATTTTCATACTTATATACTAAAGCTTGTGGATCCCGGGGCTAAGCTTTTGCGACCCTGAAGCACAGCCCCAGAACATTAGTAAGATGGGGCCAAAATCACAAAATCACCCCAGAACGGGACACGAGGTGGTATCGCGGATGAACCAGCATGAGTCACATGTTTCTGGATTGAGATGCCAGGAGAACAAATTTCATCGTCTGAAAAGTGGAAAATCGGAGTAAATATTCCTCGATGTCCGGTGGACCTGATTCTAATCTTACTTACGCTGCATCATGTCGCGAACGTGAACGTCCACCACGACAATTGACGTTCCAGCGCCGCATCTCAGATCATACCTGATCTTGAATTGTACAGTTTCTGCAAGACTGACTGGGATACAACAGAGAAGAGTGTGCCCTAGAAGGTAGCAGCGGCTGTTAACCACGCGCTTAGGAAGTGCGACTTGTAAAGCGGGATAACAATTGAAGTTCAATATGAGTTCTATCACAAAAAGGTATAATAAAGCAACCTAGACTTACATCCGGTGGAATTGTGAATATGTAGTTGCTCGGGAATTTAGTTATTTAGAAACAGAATAGATTTGGCACAGTCTCCCTCGCCCTTACCAGCCAGATTAGATCTTTATTCATCGTTGGTGCGTCATCTTCACCCGTGTGACTGGGCCCTTGTAGACCTTCCGGGCGTGAAGCATATAGTACCCCAGAGAAACAATGACGACTCCGCCAAATATAGCAACACCCCAGTTCATGGTCTTGGCATCTACCTCTTTGGTCAAGGGGAAGAAACTGAAGAGCCATATAATCAACAAGACCAAGATAGATATGGTGTCGCAAATAGGCGTGAATTTGCCCATACTCCACCGTGCTGGGGGCAGAGGCTGATTACGCCAGCGTCGAATACGAACACAGGTGATTGAAATGAGGTACGAAGAGAGCAATGCGGCCGTGCCGAGGGACATGATGGCGTTGAAAGCCACGGAAGATCCGATGTTAATCAATGAGAGAAGACAGACAATAACGAGACTGACGCAGAGAGCGTTGAGTGGCACAGTGAAAGTTGGATTGACCTATATTTTCAATTCCAAGTTAGTTCAAAATAACCTGATAAAAGAAACCTTTTCGGTGACAGCAGATTGAGAAACCGACCTGTGCAAAGAAGTCAGAAAAGGGAAGACCCTTGTCTCTAGCAAAGGAGTAAATCTGGCGTGAGGTCGTAGCGACATTGCTAATTGCCGCGCAGAACTGCATAACCATGATCACGACAGTCATGCCTGTCGCGGCACTAACTGATCCGGTAGCATTAAGGAAGACCTGGATGAACGGGAAGCCTGTCTCAGATGCGAGAACCTCATCAATATTGCCCACGCAAAATGCGAGCGTGACTATCATGACGAAGCCAGTAGAGCCATTCAGAATCAAAGTCCAAACCATGCCCATAGGGAGTACTCGGGATGCATCCCGAATTTCCTCGGCTGTTTTGCGGGATTAGCATATCTACATCATTGAGGTCAGAAGAGAAACATACACATATGAACCGCTGAGTCAGGACCTATTTTCAGTAGACACTGTCAGTTCTGTCAAAATTAAGGGTCACCAACATGAGCACATACCGATTAATGCATAGATAGGCCCAGTCAGTCCCACCAGACACGCGAGACCATTGTTGCCCCATCCACCTCGATCTTCAATGGAACCGAAAACGTCGGAGGCAGGAACCTTGGGTGACAGCACCCAAAGAGGGATCAAGATACCAAAGAAGCCAAAGCAATGCACAATCAGGATGATACCTTCAATCAAAGGAAGCCTCTGGGCTAGGAAGGTATTGAATAACAAAGCTACCAGGGCCACCGCAATGACAAGCAGCGTAACATGCCATGGCTCATAGACATACGTCTCAGGATAATTGATGGCAACCACACCCACCATCATATTAGCGACAGTGTAGCAACATCCTGCAATACCAGTATGCCAGCCGAGTACGCAGATCCAGCCAGTGATGTAGCTCAATATGGCCTGAGATCCTGGGGGCGCAAACTCGGACACCCAATGATACTGACCACCGGATGTGGGGGCCCTGCAAGGATCAAGGGACATGGTTAGCTCTTGCAGGTGGCGCAATTTCATCAGGTTAGAACTTGAACTCAACATACATAGAAGCCATCTCGGCCATAGATAATATCACAAAGCTGAACCCTACCAGGGCACCTAGGTAGGTGTAGATCATGCCTCCTTTGCCGCCATTCAGCAAACCATAGGATGAGCCACTAGATTGACGGGTTAGAATACAATCTCATTCATATATTGGGTATCTTGACCAGCTTTTACTTACAAGAGAACAGCTTCCCAAGTGCACATCAGCACTGCAGTAAAGCCAAGAACAGACAGAAACCGGAAGTTTCTCTATGACATTGTTATTTCATGTGCCATTGGGAGAATGAGGACAATCCAGAGCAAGCCTTACGTTCAGCTCTTGATCACGACCAACACGCCACATATCTTCCTTGTCCTGTGCTGTGCCCTCCTTCTGGGGAGAGACATCCTCATGCTTAGACCTTTCGGTCAACATGATTCCGCTGTCTTGCCCCATAGCGATTGATGGTCAATTCAATGTCAATGGTATGAAGACAGAATATAAGACGGGGAATTCTGAAACGAAGAGATGGATAGAAAGAAACAGCAATGCGTGCAGTGAGGAGAAAAAGGATTGTGAGAGTGAAATGTTGAGAACCGTACACACGGGGAAAATGTAACGGTGCTCTCGGCTAGGGAATCGTGGAGATCGAAAGGGGGAATGGACGGGCCTAGTAGTTTGCTATACCCCTGTTCGAAAATATTTAGAGGGACAGGGTATTGACGATGGTTTTATGTATGTTTTCAACCCCGGTCTGCACGCCGGATTGTGGTTTGCGGGAGCAGAGCAGAATGATGCATTAGTCCAGCATTAGTACCCGCGCCAGCCTTCCGGAATAGACGCTATCTTCGCCACGGACTTGGGAAGCTTGTTAGAGATTGGTTCGGTAATATTATTTGATAATGTCTTAGTTGTTTGATCCAATTACCTGTTAATAGCATTCACCCCATGCCGTAAGCCTTGGTATCCCTTGTTGAGCGACAAGGATCACAATCCTTGTCTTTCCGTTTACTGGAATCTTCCGATTTGCGAATTCGAATCTTCCGGGCGGAATCAACCGAGCCCGAGAGAACTCTCACTTTTTTTTGCAATAAAATTGAGCGGGAAATTTTACCTTGGCGATGCCACCAGTTGGAAGACGGGTGGCAAGTTGGGGGCCATCGCGCTGCGATCGTTTGCGCCTGATGTGCCAGGATTCTCGCTGTTCCAGGATCCCCCGATCCCTTAGCTCCCTAGGTATGGCTATGTTATCTCCTAAATGCTAGGACCATGATCTGTCGCGAAAGGTCATCTTTCTAGTCCCGTCATTCACTCTCGATTCACACACATCATGGAGTATCCAGCCCCGTATGCGGTCTCTGCGACGGATCGAAGTGGTCTGATCGTTATCGTCGAGATGCTTTTCATGTGCTGGATGATCATGGTGAGTCTGATTCGACTGTATATGCGCCTCGCAATCAACGGGCCTGTGCAGGTTGATGATCTAGTGGTGTTTGCAGGAGGTGTAAGTATACCCACCTCGCTTTTCTTTCTCAGCAACAACTATTACCCAAGGTGATTAGACAAACTCTGATACTCATTATTTCCAATCTACTAGGTTTTTGCCATCGCCCACGTTGGAACAACCATGAACGCAATTTCCCATGGCCTGGGCCGATCGCAGGACGAAAGCTCCCTGTCGGACTTGAAACGTGCTGGAGAGGTTAGCAATGTCTTGCCCAAAATGTTTCAAACGCGAGTAACAGCAAGAAATTGACTTCTCTTGACTCAGGGTGTCTACGCAGCAAATCTCCTATTTCTAGCTGGCCATGGCGCCGCCAAGATCTCCATTTGCTTGTTGCTCAAGCGGCTGGGCCGCCAAAGAAACTACCTGCTCTGCTCCAAAATTCTTGTGGGCATGGTGGTGACATGGACCATTGCTTCCATTTTTGCGGTGGCCCTCAGTTGCTTTCCACAATATCTACAGAGCATGGCGCAGCATTGCAGTAATATCGTGCGTAATGCTTTATACTTGGCCAAATGTGGCAAGAGTAAGCTGACAAGGGCAAACAGGGACCTGCTTGGAAATCGATCACCGCATTCGATGTGATTACGGATGTTCTCACCTTTGCACTGAGTATCTTCCTTGTTTGGGGCATCCAGATGCGGTGGAAGGAAAAGGCAACGGTGATTTTTGCATTTGGGACGAGGCTTCCGTACGTTTCTTATTGAGCTAAAGAACAATCCCAGGAAATTTCTCGGATGCTAATCATATTTTCTCCGGGTTCTAGGGTGATCATTTTGGTTATACTCCGACAAACCTACCTCGACCGTTCGCTTTTCCATTCCGATCCATCGCTGCATTTATCGGATGCACTGATCACCACCGCCGTCCTCCTCCATTACAGTATCATGGTCTCCACCGTCCCATGCCTAAAGCCTTTTGTCATTGCATTCAATACTGGATGGGGACAGGGAGTCACAAACAGTGTTGGTGAACATCCATACTTCACCCCTACTGGGAAGAGCGCATCAACTACTCAATCACGAGCCTATAAGGACGACGCCGATCTGGCGCCACGCCGGCTATCGCAGGAGAGCCAGAATTCGCAGCAACTAATCATCCACCAGACCCGCGAGTGGACCGTGGAGGAGGAATATGAGATGCACTCAGTCGATAATAGACTTTAGGTCGCCAGATACCCATTAGTAGAAAAGTATATAACACAAATTCAATTGGTGTCTAACTAAATCTATGTCTATCTCTTAATCTCTTTTCTGAGGCTCTCTGATCATTGGAAGCGCCCCGTCAGAAGTAACTCCTATATCATCGCGATCTTTGAATCCAAATTTCCGATACAAGGGCGCAGCATCCACATGAGCATCCAAATATGCCGCTACTCCATTCTGATCTGCAAGATCGCATCCCCACTGTATCAACAACGACGCAGCACCCTGGCGACGATACTCCGGGTGCGTTAACAACGTATCCAAATCTAGATTGAATGCTGTTAGTTCAAATGTTCTCTTCTTTCTTGATGTGTCAATCATACAATAATGTTTACGATCCCCGAGAAAGTGCCGCCGTTCTTCATCTAAGCCATCGAACAGGCGTTCGCATGTCTCGCGATCAGACTCCTCATGCCAGGGCAGAAATCGCTCGCCACTTTCCGACGGGTCCAGATCCCATTTTGCGTAAGCAATCACAAACTCAGGCCTCGCAGGGTCAACGACTTTGAATAACTTTCGAAGCGGATTGTGGAGAAGGTCGCGGCGGTTGGTCTCATCCCACCAGACTCGAACTCCTGGGGTATTGGGGAACATGCGCAAGTTGATTGGGATGCTGAAGGCCCTGTACCAAAGCTGAGTCAGAGTTGGTATATCATTTAGCGTGACTGGCTGAACACAGAGAGACGCCATGATTCGTTTTGTTCTCCTATAGACGGAGTGGGAGGAAAGTCAGTTTGCCCTGGCTGATTTTTTTTTCTTGGTGCTTACTTCGAGATCTAGTTAGTTAACTAACTTTTCGGAGTTTTGGTTAACCAAGATCTACCGGGGGGCGCGGGCCGCAGGCCAGAAGATTCGCGGTACTGTAAAATGTTGGCCCAAAAAGGCAAAAAGTCCACGTTAATCTAACTTCGTATATTGCAGTGGATAGTGTCCCAGTGGGTCTTCAAATCGGATGGTCAGTCGGTCATGCAACCAAATTGAGCCAATCGTACTTGATTCAGAATAGTTTGCAGTCCCTTGGGAAGTTTGGACGGGGCCACCTTCTCGAATCGCATTACAGCTAGTCGTGATTTGACCGGTAACCTGGAGTGAAAAAGCAGGCTGGCAAGGAGGCCCCAGTCACTTGAGTGGTGGACAGAGCTACATAAAGTTTTCGAACTCTCGCAAGCGCTTACGACATGCACCCGAGCCCGCTAATCGAACAGGCTACAAGTCCAAATATTATGTCGGAACGCTATGTTCCGACATGATTGGGGTCCAGCTTTGACGGGATTTCTTTCTCTAATTAAATTAGTAATAAAGCAATTCATACAGCTGCTACTGGGCACAGATTCGAAAATTTAATAAAAGAATATCGAAGAAATAGAAAGAAAAGTGCATGGGATTGACGTCGATACTCATCTTGATTGAACAGCGAAAAGGATGTTTAGCTGTTGGAAATACCCCTGAAAGCCCAGGGACTCGGCTGTTACTTGCTGTAATGGGATGGCAAATAGAGCAAAAGTGCGGAGTACTGAGGACACGTTAATCGCTGTCGAATGTAGCAGGGGTTGTATTTAGCGGCTTATATGCGACAAGGATCATTATACAAATACGTACAGTACACATGATGAACTAACTAGGCTTAGAAAATGTACTTCGTACGCCACTAGTTAGGCTGCATCGGGTTAATAGAGTGTTGATTGATTGATTGATTGATTGATTGATTGATACCCACCAAGCTTATCCAAATCATGACTAGTATCCGGGCAGAAAGGCCCGGATATCGCCCGAAACCGGGCGGGTCCCCACGATGTTACCATAATAACTTTCTTAGATGTACTGTAATTCAACGATTAGAAGGCTCTCGAAAGCCCCATTCTTCGGAGATTCGCAATAGCCAATCGGAGGATATCGCGTGGGTACTGGATAAGTTAAAGACAGGCATGTTATATTGGGAAAGGGTCTCAGGCCCTGTATCTCTCCCTAGTCATCAGGCTTGGCTGGGCTAGTTCACGGAACGCCGGCCCAGATGCTTAGTGTCAAGACGAATGCTGTATCTGCGCCACGCTCTTGAACTTGATTCTTCAATTATAGCGCTATCGGAGAAGAAAGCCTCAGATAATGTTACGAGCTTGACCAGCGTTTCCATCCATGTCTCCGGCAGGGCTAGTACTTTTGTGGAAGGATCCCGGATCACGAAGCCCACTGTTCATGAGCCCCGAGTACTCGGTGCCCACTGTCTGTACTATAGTAGTTGTCTCGGGCGCGAGAAATCCATGCCTGAAAAAGAGAAGGAATTACTATGTAGTACTACATATGAACTTGGGGGTCGCCTAATGCAGACAAACCCGTTGCAATTAGTATTCGAGCCATCGTTTCGGTCCCATAGGGTTCTGACATGTTTGGTCTTTTTGCCTGTTCGATTGGCGGGTTCGGGCGTATGTCGTAAAACCTAGTGCTGACGGTGAGACTGATTGGAAGAATCCCGCGTCTACGGCTACTAGCGCTCTCATGGATTTCTGTCGTACTTTGGTCTTCCTTGGTGTTGAAGCGAAGTTCCTTGCGGGCCTCGATTTCCATCATGGCGAAGAGGCCAAGTCCTAAAGATATTTCATAGTACTCAATCATCCCTACTAAATCAGGCCCCTTCATCTGCTTACACTTCAGCGGTAACGGGAAAGAGTCCACCGTCCCTTGTCGGCGCCTCAATTTGATAGACTATACCTAACGTAGAGACATGGCATATCAGTACTTGATAACTTTTTGTCCATAAGTATCTTATCAAAAACAATACATGATGGAAACTTCCACCCCTGATGATTGTAAAGTACAGTGTTTGAAACAGCCACCCAGTCCGAAAATAACTCTATGTCCAAATGACCACTGGGCAGAACGGGAAAGCAAGAAGGGGGTGAAAAGACTCGTCGCCCAGGACACGCTCAGCTAGGATGCTTCGTCAATCCCTTCCAAGAAGGATTGACTAATGTATATTTCAAATGCGAATAGGGCTCTAAAAAAGCAAAGAATCGTCACGTCGTATCGGCAAGTTTCGTATCTCAATGCGTGAATAACGCAGTCAAGCATCATTGTGCTCGACCTCATCTGTGCTCGTCCTCATCTGTGCTCGTCCTCATCGTCTGATTTGTAGTTGTCGTCATCGCTGTCCGAGACCCAACCGTCGGCCTCGAGGGACCGGCCACGGATCCCAAAGCTCATGACGAAGCCGATGAAGGACACGGCGCCAAAGACTCCAAACGCAATCGCTTCACCCTTGGGCTGGATCTTGGATGTCAACGAGAAGAGACCACCAGACAGGAAGGGGCCGACGGCACGTCCGGCTGCGGAGAGAGTCTGCGCAAGACCATTGAGGGCACCCAAGACGGCATGGTTTGGTGCGGAATTGGTAACCTGAAAACAATCAGTTCAAGTCCATGATGGAATGAAGACGGGTGAAGGATCTACAGGACAAAGGAACTTACCAACAACAGGGCGCTGGTCAGACCACCCACGGAGGCAACAGTCTTGACCAGTAACACAAAGCACAATTCCACGGCCATGAGGGCGGACTTGCGAGTCAAACCCTCTCCATCTTGGCTCTTGTAGCCCACAAATGGCATCAGCAGAAACGAGATCACGAAACCAAACAAACCAGCACGATAAGACCATCGGTTGCCCATCTTGTCGCGCAGGCGGTTGAAGATGCAAATCTGGAAAATTATCGTCACCACACCAGCAAAGCCTTGCGACAGACCGATCTCAGAAGGGGTGAGCTGGCGGCCGCCTGGCGGCCTAGCTTGTGCAAAAATGGGGAACAATGAATTGAAAGAGACATTGCAGAAAGCAAAGATCAGATAGGTCAAGAGAAGTAGGATGGTGTCTCTTGTGAAAATCTCATCCCAAGTCAACTCCTCTGAAGGGTGATCTTGCTGGCTCGACACTGACGATGCCGAGTCCAGGTCGCTGTCATGATCCTCACTGTCGGAAGTGTTATGGCGAGGAGGATACGGCGTTGCTTGTTGAAGTCGAAGATAGGTTGGGTGTCTCGAAAATCCGGTGAACTGCCAGAGCCAAGTGAAAAGGCTGCGAACCTTTTTCCCGAATTTCGGTAATGTGTCTGCGTCTTCCAGGCTTTCCTCCAAGAAAATAGACGTCAAGATAAAGTCAACTAGAAGAATTGCAGCAGCCACAAGATTTGGCGCGAGATATGGGTATGTGCTCTTATTCCCAGTGAAGGGATTGCGCTCAAAGATGAGCAATCCTCCCAGGAGCGGGCCTGTGATACCTCCGATTCCATATAGAACCGGGAGATAAGTGAAGGCCTGTGACTGATTGCTTCGGTCCGTGATCTCACCCAGACAGGTGGATACCAGTGCTTGATTTCCATTGACCATACCCATCATTGCCTGCACCAGTATAGCTTGCCAAAGGGTCTTACAGAAACCAAAGGCGACGAAGCACATCGCAGTAAGAAATGTCCCGAGCAGGATGACTGGCTTGCGCCCAATGCGATCAGACAGCCAACCCCAGTAGTAGTTGGTCGCAAACTGTGCCAGAGCAAATGCCGACGCTATAGTCCCCACGTAGACACCCACTTGATTCGATTCCACTTCTGGAAAGGTCGATGCCATATCGGGGAGATAGGGACTGATCGAATTGAGGGCAGTCTGCTCCGCCAAGGCAATCATAGCGAGCACTGCCATCTGCTTCTTCGGCAGTGGCGAGTTCGTACCAGCCTGGTCATTATAGTCGGTCGGAATGTGCGAGCCATCGCCTGAAGACTCCGATTGTCCAGAATTGGGTCGCCCACGCGACTTGGGCGGAGGGGTGTCGAACGTTTGGTAGTGTTGTGTAGAGGAGCGACGATGGATCTGAGTTGATTCTGAGGCCGTCATTTCTGCAGCACCCCGGAAGGATCGAGGGTAGTGAGACCTTCGACCGTGCAACTGGGTGCGGCTGGTCGCCTGTCCGGTCGAAGCCGCAGTCTTAGGTCGGGTGCGAGCCCGTACACTCGGTCTGAAGAATGGAATGCAAGTGAGTGCTATCCAAGGTAATGTCAAAATATTCGACTGGCGTCACAGAGCAGTCCAGGTGTCACAAATCGAAGATCTGCTTATGGGAATGACCGCTTTAAGATGCACGAAGCTGGGAAACTTCCCGAATCAGGTGGGCTGGAGAGATGATGTAAGCAGTGGAATGAAGGTGCTGAGTCATCGTATTCTGCCCGCGGGGAAATCGGACGATGTCCGCTGGCCGTGGGCAAAGTTTATTTCTCAGTGTATGTCTTGAATTTCTACCTACTTTGACTAGTTTTATTTCTAGGTTGTAATGTCGTGAAGCAAAGCTTCCTAAATTCTCTGCTGAATCCCTCGAATGATGATATTCAACTGCCAGGCTCATGCCAGGCGGTGCTATCTGCAAGTCACTGACTCTGTGCGACGAGTAGGTCCAACCAATCAAGGGTAAAGTACTCGAGTGCGCTTTCATCTGCACATCATGGACAACTGCAGGTACCCCTGTTGCCATGATCTACAGCATGCAGTGCAAATCCTCGAGATGTAGTCACCCTTACGAACAAGGTTGTCTATGTTATATCCTTATGCTGCCGTAGGTCCCAGGAATGCGTTGCAATTTACGCCACGAGCGGGTTATAATGCTGCCCCCAATTTTGGATACTGTACGGTCCCGGGAAGATAAACTCATCGGTTTTTTAGGTGATTATCTCTGATTATCTACAATTTGTAAATTTTGAGATCAACTCAAAATTTATCCCACGAGAATCAGCATGCCCTTCCGCATGAAATATATACTAACGCTTCGCACACACGGGTATGACTCAACAGGTCACTAAAATCATCTGGAACTAAACTGAGTATTCCTGTTTCTTTTTTGAGATTGTATGTAGTGGGTATACTTTAAACAAGGCCAAAACGACGTGGGGGGATATTCAAGCTTCCATCCAAAACTCAGCACAGACTCATAGAGTCAAAATTTGCCCTTCTAGATATCAACCAACACCAAGTGGCCGAGCGGTAACTCGACCATCCACTTCTTCCTTGGTCTAGTGGTCATGATTTCCGCTTGTCATTAATACCGATAAGCGCGGGAGACCGGGGTTCGATTCCCCGAGGGAGAGTCATCTTTTTGCATTTTTTGGTCTTAAATCTACTACCATCGAGCATGTTTTGCGTCGTTGTAATACAAAGTTTTGGAAAACTAAAGGTTCTAGAGTATCTGAACTGGTTATTCCCTGGGGCGAAAGCAATACATGAGCAAATCGCATTCATTCACTTGGCTGTGCAGAGTTATTATGCTTGATAGCCCTTGTTGATTGGTCATTTAACGAACGAGAGGACTACCCATGATGCAATTGTTATTCCTTTTCCTCAAAGGTGATTGCAAATGACCAAGGCATCCAAATGAATTCCTCAGATTGATCACTGTGGAAGTATACCGGATGAAAGATCTTCTTCGATATGCAAGCTATTCCTAGATAGGTATAGAAGACCCACAACTGTCCTTCCAAACCAATCAGAGGCCCAGAACAGAGCCCCATCTTGTACTCGCCGCCGTGGAGCAAAATTCTCGAAGACTTTTTCAACAAGACGGCCTGCTGGCCCAATGGCAAGGCGCTTGACTACGAATCAAAAGATTGCAGGTTCGACCCCTGCGTAGGTCATGTTGTTGTGTATCGTCACCACGACGATCAATTTTTGCTAGATCCGGTACCAGCATGGCGGGGCAGGCTTATTTGATGCATTGAGTATGGACATCATGTGCATATCGGGTTGGGATGAGACAAGGGATGACGGAAAGGCAGGAGTTCCACGGGATACATGTTGATTTGAGAATCCAGATTGAATTGAGATAGAAAAAAAAAGCAAGAAAGGCAATGCATGGTATGATATGTTGGCAAGAAATGTAATTCAATAAATCATCACCTCATCAGAAGGTTGACAGCCCAAGGGACACTCAGTCCACGTAAATCTCCATAGTGCTGTCCAACTCCCAAGAACACGATAGGAATACCAGTGGCGTGGACCATGCTAACTAGTGTTCCAACCATATCACCAACAGTGTCACACTTGCTGATAATAAATCCATCCAGGTTTCGACCGGTGCCAAAGGCTTGGTTGAAGTTGCGGGCTTGCATGACACTGTCAGTACCCACCAAGGCCTCGCCAACCATGAAGATCTTATCGGGCTGAGCGAACTTGGCAAACTTCTCGAGCGAAGACATGAGTCGCTGATCGTTGTGGCGGCGGCCAGCGGTATCGATCAGAACGACATCAAACTTGTTGGCAGCACCATATGCCACTGCATCCTTGGCAACGTTGGCGGCATCCTTGCCATAGCCTTTTTCATATAGCTCGACCTCGCCGACGTTCTCGCGCGCGCTGAGCTCCTTCAAGTTGCGGGCGTGGACACGCAGTTGTTCAACAGCGCCAGAACGGAAGGTATCGCAGGCGGCAATGAGAACGCGATAGTTATTCTGCAGTAGGAAGAAGCAGATCTTACTGAGATTTGTGGACTTTCCAACACCGTTGACACCAACAATCGACATGACGTAGGGACGCGGAGCTTGCTGCTTGGTGGTTGGTGCAGTCACGGCGTTGATCTCGCGGAGTAAGTCCAGAGAAGAGGTAGGGGTCAGGATTTTGCGCAAAGACGCCTCCATAGCAATGCGAAGCGCAGCATCAACGCTCTGGAAATTGGCGGTCTTCTTTCCAACAAGCTCGCGCTCAACACCCTCGCAAAGACGAACAGCCGCCTCACGAGCAACGTTCTTCTCCAGCAGGTGGTTCTCCATTGCCTTCAGTGGCTTCTGGAGGTCGGCCTCTGTCAAGACCTTACCGCCAACAATGTTGCGGAAGAAGCCACCAATTGCGTTGAAACCAGAGCCCACCACGCCGGAAGTCGCAGCTCCCTTGCTCTTCTCAGCGTCGGCATTGTCGAGGATGTTCTGGACCTCGTCACCCAAATCCCTCAAGACGAATTGACCCTTGCCAGTCCTGTGACCCATGTCTTCCTGGGAGACAGCTTCAACAACAGGGGCAGCAGCGTTCGTCTCGTCTGCCGGGGCAGAATAATCCAAAATCTCCCCGTCATCCTCATCAGCAAACCCATCCGCATCCCATCTGCGCATTTTCTTCGCCGAGCTCTTAGGTGTGGATTTTCCCTTGCGAGAATGCTCATCACCGGACGAGGCATTAGCACTTGCATTGGCTGCCTTGCGTGCACGGCGAGAGACTCGACCAGCGGGGCCAGTCTTTCCAGTGAGGAGGTGACCCGTGGGAGTTGAAGTTCTAGAAATATCAGGGGTTGTTGGCGGGGTGGCCTCATCAGAGGTCGTCGCCGCTGGCACAGCTTGATGCTGTGCTTTAGGATTGTCAGCCCACAATACCCGCGAGTCCGATATGAGTCAGGTTCAACACATACCCTTGATGAGGCCAGGCACCGGCGGTGGCGGCGGACCTCCATTGTCTGATGAGACAAACGGGTCTTTCTTCTCCCCAGTCTCTGCAGCGTAGACCTCTGCGATGCTGCCAGTATTGTCCTCCAGCTCCCGCACTTGCTGCTCAAAGTATGCGTCGAATTTATAGGCGGTGATTCTGGCGCGGTTTCCCTTCAGCTGGTCTTTGTAGACATCGATGAAGATCGTCGAGATATTTTCGAGGAGCTTGTCAATCCATCCGAGGTGTAGCAGCGATTGGTAGACGGCCTATAGTAATCGAAGTAAGTTTGGCGATTCGAGTAAGACCGAGGACGGTCTCGACGCATGCGATATGCGACATGCAACAAAACTTACCACAAAGATCAAATTGAACTCCTTGACCCTCTTCCATTTCAGGGTATACTTCTCCTTCTTGTAGACCGGCAAAGCCCCGTTCACCGAAGCGCTTTGCGGCACGACCTTCTCCTCGATAAAGACGTCGTTGATCAGGCTGTTAATAACGTGTGCGCCCACTGGTGCGTATGACTTTGACCACAGCACCACACCAGAGGTGGTCAGGATTTCAAAAGCTTCCAACATCCTGGTATAAATTCGCAAGAGGTACTCAGGAAGTAAGGGAAAGGGGAAATCCTGGGGATTAAAAGAGGTGGGGGGCGTAGGACCAAGGCCGACCTGGTGGGAAAGTTCGCGCGGTGGCGGATCGGGCAAAGGCGAATCTTCGAGCTCGGAGGGCAGAGCGGATCTTCAGCCACGTATAAACACCTCCCTCTACTTTGCCAACTACAACCATCTCCGCGCCTTCCACCATCCCCCCACTCTCTTTGCCGCTCCTCGACGCAAGCACGAACTACTCAGTCCCATTCAGTGCTTTCTCTCCTTCTCTCCCCTGTTGATTCAGGACCATCATGTATCGGGGCTCCTTCGCACCACCGCCTGCGCAGTCGCCGCCTCTGCATCACCCTGTCCCGCAACATGTGTCGACTGTCCCGATGATGCGCTCACCACCCCCTCCTTCCTCCCAACAGACACCGAATACCGGATATGGCGGTGGAGGTAACCCCTACCAGCCGTCTCCTGCGCAGGGAGGCAGTGGCTCCTATGCCCCCGGATTCGGTGGGTTCATGAACGACCCTACGGCGCAGATGGGTTTCCAGGTTGGACAAACTGCGATGAAGGCTGGTCAGGAATACATGGAGCAAAACGTATGTATCGTTGTGGTGGGTAGATCAATCGACCAACCTTGGCTAACGTGGAGCTCTAGTTCAACCGCTACGTCTCTATTCCCGCACTCAAGCACTACTTCAATGTCTCCAACTCGTATGTCTTGAGGAAACTCGCCCTCGTCCTTTTCCCATGGCGACACAAGCCTTGGTCCCGCCAACAGGCCAGAATGGCCGGCAATCCCACGGGGCCCAACGGTCAGATCGTCCAGCAGCAATATTCCTCCATGTTCCTGCCCCCGCGGGACGACCTCAACTCGCCTGACATGTACATTCCCGTCATGGCTCTCGTCACATACATCCTGCTGTCAGTATTGCTGGCTGGATTCCGAGGCAACTTCCATCCAGAGCTTTTGGGATCGATCACTACCACGGCCATTGCAGTGATCATCTTCGAGATCCTATGCTTGAAGATGGCCATGTATATTCTGAGCATCAACAACGACTCCCAGCTCCTGGATCTGGTCGCTTATTCTGGATACAAGTTTGTGGGCATCATTGCCACCCTGGTTGCGTCTGAGATCCTGACACCCGGACGCGGAACCGGTGGCTGGGTTGGTTGGACCGTCTTCGTGTACACCTTCTCGGCCAATGCCTTCTTCTTGGTGAGTTGAGGTCCACCCCTCCACATATTACAATCCTCTCGGTTACTAACGAGGAACTACAGCTCCGCTCATTGAAGTACGTCTTGCTGCCTGATTCGACTGACTCGACTATGCGCAACGGTGCTATGCACACCGTGGCTCGTTCCCAGCGCAACCGTCGCACCCAGTTCCTTTTCGTGTACGCATATCTGATCCAGTTCGTCTTCATGTGGGTGCTGAGCCGGGAGGGCCCGTCTACGCTGGCTGCGAGCGCCAGCTCATGATCCAATTTTCAGGGAATGTGGAACCACCAGTTTGCATGAGGGGGGTTATAGAACGGATCGACGGAGACATAGGATAGCATGTACGGACCAAGGGGTAACCCATCGTCGGATTCGCTTCAGGGCCTTAGTTTCTGGAATACCAGGGCTCTGACAGTCACGATATAGCACGATATAGCACGACTTATTGTAATCAAAAACTATTTACAACTCAAGAGACAACATAGTATGTACGGGTATGAACGAGATCTACAAGTAGGGTACGAAGGAATGAAAATAAGTGAAATAGTCATAAAGCGTTGCATTGATCTAACTGGAAAACAATCACAGGCTGACGACAGGAAACTGGAGATTTCTATCAAAAGTTAGAAACAGGTCCCAACAGATGATTCAAGCAAGATATGCATTGTGTTTGTGGTCCTCAGAGATCTTGGTGATAAAGGTAATATCATGGCCGAAGCTCAATTACTATCTAGGCGTGATAAGATTTTTAATCATCGGACCGGGGGGAGTAGGATGGGATGGTGCAAGATATGGCACGGAGGCAAGAAGAGTTGGTATACGAACCTCTTGAGTAGGCAAGGCCAGGCATCATGGCCATGCCGCCCAGGCTCGAATCGAGCTTCGGCTCCCGATTTGCATTGAGTCTAGTCAATCTTCAAGCAGTCAGCAATGAGGTCCGCTTGAGGTCATGAAAACATAATAAGGTTGTATCACAAGAGTATCAGAATATGTAAGAAATTGAATATCATCCAACAGTGCTGTATCGAGAGCTCCGGCGAGAGCCTCACAGACACCAGGTCAATCGCAAATTACGGCATCATTTAAGGCAGAAGACAACAAGCAAAAGCAGAAAACGTACCATAAGAGCACCCTGTATCAAAGGGAGAGGTCAGTGTCGTAGGTGTATAATTAGTTAGAAGCGAAGAGGATCATCAGAGAGAATGTCAATCCAGCAAGAGAGCACCATTTTGCTCCTGCAGAGACATGACAATAACAAAGTTCATTGCAAGAAAAAAAAAAAACGAAAGAAAAGCTTCCCGACGGAACAACCTTGCGCCGAGGATGATCCGGGTGCTGACATAAGCCAACCCTAGACCCGCCGCGAGTGGCCCGCTAAGCGAGAATTGTGTGGGCACATCCGAAATTCGCAGAGTCAACTTGGACAATCCGACTCTTTCGACAACAACCCTCCGACACATCCCAACCCGGTCGACCGTGAGTGCCGCTGCTGCAACAATCCAACTGAACAAGAAGAGAACAAGCGCTGAGACTTTTTTTTGTATCCTCCAGAAATTCGCGATGGCCGATATCGACGTTAAGCTCGCTTCCTGGAAGCTGGTCGAGGTTGGCCGCCTCGTCCTGATCCGCCGCGGCCCCTTCGCTGGCAAACTCGCCGCCATCGTCGAGATTGTTGACCACCGCCGTGTACGTTGAAAGAATACCAAAATTCCAACCTATCGTTCGATTCGCACCCCAACCCTCCCGAGATCAGAGATATCCGACATACATGGAGATCCCGAAGGAGTCCCCCCCCATGCGAATGAACGAGCGACAGCACTCGTGTGTGGAAGATGTGTATTGACTTGTCATTTTTGCTACAGGTCCTGGTCGACGGTCCCTCCGGTGAGGAGCAGAAGATCGTGCCCCGTCACGTTCTGCCCCTCGCTCACGCCACTCTCACTCACTTCGTTATCCCCCAACTTCCCCGTGCTGCCGGTACCGGCCCCGTCAAGAAGCTGTGGGCTAAGAACGAGATCGATGGCAAGTGGGCCAAGTCTGGCTTCGCCCAGAAGACCGACCGCACTGAGCGCCGGAAGAACCTGACCGACTTCGAGCGCTTCAAGGTTCTGCGCCTCCGCAAGCAGGTACGTTGAGAGCGCCCTGGATTCGGGAATGGGAGGGGATTTGGACTTGCGCGGATTCGTGCGACATGCAACGAACCATCGCAACTCTCGTCACTCCTGATTCTCCAGACTCCCAACTCTCTTTGATATTCGGTCTAGATCATATTCTAACTGTCTCCCCCTTAGGCCCGCTACGAGGTCCAGAAGTCCTACGCCAAGGTCAAGGCTGCCGCTGCCAAGTCATAAATGATTACGAGGGTTTGGTGCATAGGATGAAGGAGGTGTCCTGGGACGGGTTTCCACTAGCTGGCCATTTTCCACCAGCAAAATCGCTGTATGCATTAATCGATCTACAGCAAAAATGATTCAACTACCTTGATATCCCGGCAAGGGCTTGTGTCATAGTTCTGCTCTGCGTCTAGGCCCAACCGGTCCTGCTCTTTTTGATAGATCTGGGAAACTCTTCTTTCCGTAAAGGAAAGAGAGGAAAATGAATTTATGTAAAAGTGGCCAGAGACGAGATGATTCCATTTGTAACGAGAGAAAGAGAAATTGTATTTCTACAGTAACCATGAAATATCCATTTTATGATACTATGATATAACTCAAGTATATCTCCCGTAATGTATGACTTGGCCCCCTTCCAGGTTCCAGGACGGTGAGGGCACAGTGTGGGAGTCCGGGGCAAGTAACCGCCTCGCTAACGATTTTCGGCCGACGGGCTGCCGCACAGCTACGTGAACCTTCAACCTCACGAACCAACAAAATCCACCCCACTTCCACCACAGCTTCATCTCTGTGCTTCAGGTGCGTTGAACAGCTCGATCCCCCGTCAAAATGAAATCCTTACCTCGAAACCCTTCATTCCCCGAGCTTTGTGCGGTTCCTGGGGGGTTCACTGGTCGACCTCTGCCCGCTCAGCGCCGACCCTCCCACTATCCCATCCCACCTCTGCCGACCCTCTCTCCTCTCGAATTGCGCAACCTTCACCTTTCCTGACGCTGAACTGACCTATTTACTTTTATCATTGCGCCGCTTGATAGACCACCTTATACATTCACAATGGCCGACCCCCGCGTTGAAGAGCTCCCCGATGAGGAGGTCCCCAAGAACGTCGAGAGCGACTCTGAGTCCGAGGCTGGTGAGGAGCCCGTCATCCCCGGCGGTGCTGCTGTTACCATCCACTCTCGCAACGAGAAGAAGGCTCGCAAGGCCATTGCCAAGCTTGGCCTGAAGCACGTCCCTGGCATCACCCGTGTCACCCTCCGCCGCCCCAAGAACGTATGAAGATGCCCGTCCACCAACCTGCCTACCACGGCTAGTCGCAACTGTCGAGGTGCTGCTAGCTACCCACTAGCAACATCACAAACCAATGCGGCAACTCTACTTGTTTTGCAGACAAGCTGATTCGGTTTCTTTTCGGTTCTATAGATCCTCTTCGTCGTCAACCAGCCTGAAGTCTACCGCTCCCCCTCCAGCAACACCTGGATGTATGTCGCTTTTTCTGCACCAATTTGCTGCCAACTCGAAATCTGGTTGCTGACTTTTCCCATCTAGCATTTTCGGTGAGGCCAAGATCGAGGACCTGAACGCCCAGGCCCAGGCTTCCGCCGCCCAGCAGCTTGCTGCCGCCGAGGCTGCTGGTGAGCACGCCGGTCACGACCACGACCACGACCACGATCACGACCACGGCAAGGGCAAGGCCCCCGAGACCGAGGCCAAGAAGGAAGAGGAGGAGGATGATGGTGAGGAGGTTGACGAGGCTGGTCTCGAGGCTAAGGACATCGAGTTGGTCATGGCTCAGGCCAGCGTTTCCCGCAAGAAGGCCGTCAAGGCGCTGCGGGAGAACGACAATGATATTGTGAACTCGATCATGGCACTCAGCATATAATGACCCCAATTGTGCGGTCAATGCGGTACTCTTGAGTGGCTTGGGTTTCTAACCCGATGGGTTCAATCCATCGTGGATTGCGTTTTAGTGTACACAATGTAACCCAAAAAGAATTGAACTCACAACTTGATATGTTCACTTATGATATGATTGTAAACACCTGGTATTCTAAAATTCGTAAAATCCAAGCAGAACCTTTTATTCATACTCTGCTTTGAACTATTTGCAGTTCTTTTGCGGTCTTGTATATTGTTCTCTGGTCTCACTCCCAGCTGATGCTCGGATGCCGGGTCGTCACGTGCCACCCGCCATCCAAACCTTTCCGAGTCAAACTCGCCTGTCCGGCACCTCCCTGCACATCGAAACCTCCCCCCTCTTCTCTCCACCTCCACCACTTATCCCTCCTCCCGGCACAATGGCAGCTGTAGGTCTCACCGAACCCATTCCCATGCGCAACATGGCCCGACTCCCGGCATTGAATCCGCACGAGCAAAACGGCTAACCAAAAACCTCTCCTTACTCGGAACAGCGCAGCGCCGCACTCAAGATCGACTGGGCCAAGGTTTCGACCTCCCTCGGCCTCCGCGGCCAGACCGCTGCCTCTCTGCAGGCTTTCAAGAAGCGCAACGATGATGCCCGCCGCAAGGTCCAGGCCCTGTCCGAGCAGCCCCAGACCATCGACTTCGCCCACTACCGCGGTATCCTCAAGAACCAGGCCGTCATCGACGAGATCGAGAACCACTTCAAGACCTTCAAGCCCGCTTCCTACGATGTCAGCCGCCAGCTGAAGGCCATCGACGCTTTCGAGGCCCAGGCCGTCCAGAACGCCGAGCAGACCAAGGGCAAGATCGATGCCGAGCTTGTCAACCTGCAGAAGACTCTGGAGAACATCGAGACTGCCCGTCCCTTCGAGGACCTCACCGTGGTACGTATCTGTGTGGACTGTCAATGCTATTGGACCGGTCGCTTATTACATTTCTTTCCTGTCTTTAGGACGAGGTTGCCTCTGCCCAGCCCGAGATCGACGAGAAGACCGCTTCCCTCGTTTCCAAGGGCAAGTGGATGCCACCCGGCTACAAGGTACGTTATTGCACTCTATTGACCCCGGATGGCGCATTGCCAATGCTCATACCTTCTTTTCTTCGTACAGGAGCGCTTCGGCAATCTCTCTGCCGTTTAAACGGTGGGAAAATATCCCTCCAATTCCCTTTATTATCCCCCGTGTCAGTACACCGCAAGATGTATTTTTTCAATGTCAAGCATATGGCGCTCTCGCCAGGGTACGGTTAGAAACCTCCCATCGTTGGTGTGGTGGGGCGGATGGGATGTGTATAGAAACAAATTCAAATCCAGATGGTTTCTGCGTTTTCCTTTGTCCATTGATATCTTCACATATATGTCTTTGCGGTTCAAGTATTCTTGTGCTGGATTGGGTAGCTTGGATTCTTGATCATAGACTTTAACGTAGCTTCCATTTTATTCAAAGTACGGTATGAAGTGGACATTGGATGGCCGAAAGGTGGAGGTACCTGGTACCTGACCTGGATATATATCGGGGCCAGCCACATTTCAATTTCCCCTAGGTACCTAACACAAATGACAAGTTAAATAGGTAATTAGGTAGAACCTGAGCTACGTTAGACGGGGATAAAAATTCCACTGAGAGTTTCTCAGCCGACGAGTACCTTGATATCGCGTAAATATTCAAAGTTCTCTATCAGAACGCCCCTCCCACCGTAGCATAAGACCCGCAACTTGACGATTCTAAGCAATGCCACCATATAGCTGATCCCAGCTCTAATGACATAGCTATTGTGGCAAAGAATGCATCGTCTCTATTATCCAGCCATACAGCTGCCCTCCATGCAGAATGTCCCAATGTAATCCCCAGCTGACCGACGATGTCATAGCGTGAGCCAAACAGGCCACGCCAAGACCATGTCATTTCGCATCTATTCAGGCCCACCACTTCTCCCCCCCCCCTCCTCTCCTCCCCCTCCTCCCCCTCTCTCAAGCGATGCCTCGAGCGTCGAATTCTTCTATACCCTTCATATGCGCGACCGAATCGCTCCAATAGCCCCGTCATGAACTCCGTGCTTGCTGGATACCGTGGACAAATATGCCACTGAGATGAATCTTGTCATCTGCCTCCCTGCCCCTATTACGAGATACTCGTTGCAGAGCCGCGCGATTGCGGGGAATCCTCGCCAGACCGCGATTAGCACCAGCTAAGACAAGCTCAGAGCTATTCAAGTCAATTCAATCCAAGACAAAAAAAACATCCTGCCTCGCTCTCGAATTCGCAAATGAGTCTTTCCGACACGTTGGCCGTCCACACGTGCACCTCACGCTTGGAGTCCCTGCCCAACGAAATTATACAATTAATCTTCCTCCACAGCCTGGAGATCAATCTCCCCCGGGCATCGCCACGTCTTGCCCGTGCACTGTCCAACCCCGTGCTATACACATGGCTTATCCGGCTAGTGTTCAGTAGCACGAATCCCGGCTCGCGAGAGGGATTCTTCACACCGGACTTTCTCCCACCGCCGCTGGATTTCTGGGCGCTGGAGTGGGAGCAGAGGCAGCAGTTGCAGAGCACGATTCTAGCCTGTCGGTGGTGTACATTACCGCTGATGAGGCGGTGTCAGCGGGAATACGTGGACCATGCTATCCGGCGCAAGTGTGCGGACTTGGTCTTTTCAGAGGAAGACCGAGTCCTGCTGGACTCATTGGATCAGCGCTTCGATGATCTAGAAGGCTGTGATAAGGCCGTGGATGGATGGCGCGGGAAAGGAGACCTCGTTCTTTCTGCACGGTTACCGGATGGAGAGCGGTCTTCACCATCTCGCAGTTCCGACCGTAAGGTGTCTATATGGTTTCATTTTGGTGCTGTGCAGATCCGTGAATCGAATGAAGTTTATTATGAAAATGATCTCTTTCGATTACCGTGTTCAGTGTTGATTGCACCCGGCCGAATACCGGACAAAGTGCTCCAGGAACCGTGGTCGGACGCGCAATTCGAGTTTCTGCAGCTGCTCTCTTCGGATTTCTATCTGGACGAGGATGAATATTCTGCAGAGAGAACTGTGGAAATCACTACGCGGTTGATTCGGAAGAGGAGGATTGAGCCGTTTCGCCGCTTATTGCGGTTGTCGTTTCGTGCCGCGAATTGTCGGGTCCTTGCGAGTTGGCCCTTGCGGCCTTCGCATTATCATTTGATTCGGCGTTATTGTGGTGGACCTGGAGATCCGTTTGCCAATTTTATTTTGAGTGAGCGGTGGGATGTGATTCCTGCGTCTGCGAAGGAGGATTTGCTGAGGCTGATTGACCCGGCACAAGCTATGACTCAGAGCGACATTCTAGCATTGAGTCGCGCCAGCTAGCGAGGAGCTGGCATACATGTAACTCTACGTTTGTTGATCATACTTCTACACCTGTACAGCCCATACCCGACACTACAAATGTACATAACAGGGATGAATGAAAAGAGAGTTTTCTAAACATCCAAGTAATCCTCATATTAACGCGCCTGGGTATGTAGCAGAGACATAAAACAAAAGGTAAAAAAGCCATCAAGGCCACCAGGGAAAATCACAACCCGAAGAAATCATGGCACCGTCACAGTCAAGTAACCGCAGGACAGAGTCGAACCAAATCCTTATCCCCGATGTGACATGGTATGGCCGCCCAGCCGCGCTGATGAGGCATTGTAGCCCCATCAGACTGCTGATCTAGTCCGACGACGCCGGCGCCCCGAGCAACCTTGGCAAGTGAGGCAGGAGATGATCACATCGAAGACGGTGATGATGCCGTCAAGGATGGCACGAAGGATGGAGCCGATGGCATTGACGATGCCCATCAGGCAACGGCCGATAGCATGGAAGATGCCGGTGATCTACAAGACAGAGCATGTTAGCATCAAAGCTGTCAAGCAGTCATGAGCCATGCCACAAGGGGAGTTAAAGTGGTGTCACATACGCAGGAGACGACAGCACCCATTTTGGCAAGGATATCACGTCGAAGAGTGTTTTGTGGAGAGTAGGTTTAAGGCTTGGGTTTGGTTGGAATGGCCGGTCCAGAGCTGGAAGAGGCAGTAGCGTGGATGGAAGTGTCGCTGAAGGGACGCATGGTTGATGCAGGGGAGGGCCTTTTAAAGAAAGAAAGAAATGTCTTGAGGGGAAATGAGATCAGGCGGCGACGGTGGACGGTCCTGATCAGAACTTGATTGCCAAGGTAGGGGGGAACCACAAACAGCCAGACGATGCTTCTTTCTTGGTCTGCCGGATACGTAACGAGATGGCTGAAAGAGGTGAATGATAGACGTTGGAGCCGTGAAATAGCAGGGCTCAGCAGGCTTTTCTTCCTTTTGTTTTTTTGGGAGGAATGTCCTAGGGTGGAGATGCTAATAGGGCTGAGATAGCACTGACGTAGTGGAAGTGGAAATGGGAAGTATAGAGCAGGCAGGGATTTGACAGCCACGTTCTGCAATTTCAATCTTGGTGTGGAATGGAGATGGAAGGACAGAGAACGAGAGCTACGGCAACGGAGTACAAACTACGGAGTCATCCATCGACGGGATCGGGATTGGGTTGGTGGCTGCAACTGTATGCCGTCATCACGACGCTCTAGCTGGACCGATTCCTTGATTTCTAGTCAATCCCTGCCGCAGGTTCTGGTCGCAGGTGTGGCTGTTTGAGACCTTCTCGTTGGTTCAAGCGCTGCATTCAAGGTTGGCATTAACCTTGTTATCATCCATGGATGAGTCTCATGTTTCCTGTCCTTTTACTTCTCCCTCACGAACCTCTCCGAAAGAAGGACTCCGAACGAGGGAAGCTGGTTCTGTAAAAGTCACTGACGTCACTTGATATCAGGTGATCGAATGCACTAGTCCCAATTCGGTAGCTATAAAGTGGAGTAACTTCTGCCATATCACGTGACAACCACCCGCCCTGGCCAGTCCAGCTCGTGGCAAACGGCCTGGTCTCCCACCAACCAGCAGACTCGGAGTCGATCGCGAAAAACAAAAGCTTTTTCGGAGATTCAAATCTTCGGAGATCAAACAAGATCATCGGCAATGAAGGACTCGCTACTGACACGCCTGTGATGGAGGATGTACAGAGGACTGTGATGTGCTTTATATGCCATACATGCCATGGGTTCGCGCAAGGGCAGTGATGGCCCGGTGACGCGGGAGAAAAAAGATCGCGTTCTGCCCAGCGGACGTGTCTCCAGACCCAACGCCAACGCCAAGATCGCGAAATCTGCACGTTCCCCATCCAAGCCCAAGCGGCCCCCTGGACGCCCTTTCAAGATGCCGGCCCGAAGTTCCTCCTCCCAGCTTTCGTCCCGATCGACAAGCGCTGTCCCGTCCCCGGCGACTGCGAGTCTTACATCGACTCCCGCCCCGCGTCCCTTGTCTATGCTTGAGGCTCTACCAGTGGAGGTCATTGAGCAGATCTTTCTCTACTCGCTGAATCTCAATCTGCCCCGCGCATCACCTGTTCTCGCGGCCGCGATTTCGAGAGAACAAATCTACAGGATCCTGATCATTCTCGCCTTTTGGGATGATCCTCCAACGAACCCCCGCAGCGCGGCAATCAATCGCATTCTCCGGCCACTGGACTATGTGTCCCTCACACTGGACCAACGAGGCCGGCTACAGGAAGCGGTCTTCCGCTGCCGGTGGTGCACGATGGAGCGCCTGCGCGAGCAGATCCCGACCATCATAATCCTCACCATCCACCAGCAATGGATCAATCTGGGCATCACCATGAAACCAGATCAGCAGGCTGCACTGGATAAGTTTATGAACCGCCAAGACGACACGATCCGTATCTTCCACGGCGAGGGACCGCCACTCAAAGTCGCCCCCCACTTGTGCCAGCATCCCGAGATGCAGCGCCTCTCGCGCATCCCCGGCCCGCACAAGTATCAGCTCCACGTCAAGCCCATGGTAATGGTGGAGGTGCGCTCGGAGACGATGAAATCCATCGTCGCCTGGCCGGCTCTTGCGATCCTGAAATTCCCCGACCACCTCCTCCGCGGCGGCAAGACGGGCTTCACTCCAGACGACGTGATGTACCTGGAGATGCTGCGCATGTGCTCAAACAACTTTGCGCAGAACGACACCCCGCTCCTCCCCTCGACCATCTCGACCGTGGATCGTACCGTGCTACACGAGGGCGTCGGCAACGCTATCCGCACGCAAAATTACAACGCGCTCATCTCCCTCCTCAAAATCGACGAATACATCTTCCGCTTCCACATGTCCAGACAAGGTCGACCCGTCTGCTACACAATCCCGTCAGATCATTTCTTGACCGTGACCCGAGTCGGCCGCGATAAGCCCCATCTCAACGCAGCCTTCTTCGAAGCTCTCATCCGCGCCAGCGCAGAATCAATCCCCAGCAATGCGCCAGAGATTCTGCAGTGGACGCTTGAAAATGTGCGACTCTCACAGCGCAACCCAAATACATACAATGAGATCAACGGTAAACTGGCGCACTGGTTGTCAAACTTTGTGCTGCGGTTGCCTGAACAGTTGGATTATATCCAGGAATTTCCGCAGGGTCAATTGTTTAATTGTGGCCAGCTCGATCCGCTGGATATGGAGGCTTGTCGGTTTATTGAGGAAGTTCTCGAGCCGTGGCGTGGGCCGCCGACGAACTGGATGCCTGAATCGCTGTTTCGGATTGATGATTGGTGGGTGAAGAAGAGTGATTTATCGGAGAATTGAAAGTGAAATGCTTTCTGATTTGCATGCCCGAGGTTTCATCGCCATCGTGATGTGATGGGGCCTTGTCTGGCGATCTGAGTAGTGATATGATTTGCGAAGCGACCATTTTGATACCCTTGGCCAGTTGACAATGTCAATGGCTTGATGGACGGGACTGGACTGTCCGTCCTGTATTGTGTACATTGTACCATAAATCGACAAGCTATTTCCCTTGTTGAATCTGTGAATAAACTATTATATTTGTTGTATATATGTGTGGGAGAACTACCGTACAATCCTAATAGAACCAGCCTTGACTCCATCCAAGCAAGCCAACTCCTGCAGTCGTACATATATTAGCCCCCAGCACTGCCCAAGTGTCCATCCCAACTCTCACATATTCCCCAACAACCGCCAAATACCCGCAACACGCCCACCAAGCGTGATCTGATACCCCGTCTCAACAACCCCCTTACACATCTCCCACGCAGAAACCCCATCCCTAGCCCCATCAAGCCCCTCCCGCTTCTGAATCGGATAATCCACTCTCGGCGGAATCGCCGTCCCCAGAACCTTCGGAAACTTATCCACACAAACAGCCTTGAGATTACACAACCCACGCAGACCCTCCTCACCCGCGAAACGGCCATATCCGGACCCCTTCACACCGCCGAAGGGCAACTGCACGGCGTAGTACGCGGCAAAGTCGTTGACGGCGACCATGCCAGCGTGGATGCCGCGGACGCAGGTTTGCACGTCGGCAGCGTTGTGGCCGAAGACACTGGAGCCGAGGGCGTAGAGGGTTGAGTTTGCGACGGCGACTGCGTCGGTGGGGGATGAGGCGGGCATGAGGAGGAATACTGGGGCGAAGAGTTCTTCTTGCGCGATGCGCATGTCCCGGGTTACGTCGACGAGGAGCGTTGGCGCGAAGTAGTGGCCATGTGGGTGGCGGGGGTGTGTGTAGCGCTTGCCACCGGCTAGGAGGCGGGCGCCTTGGCCGACGGCTTCGGCGATGAGGCCTTCGAGTTTGTCGAAGGAGGCTGGGGAGATCATGGCGCCCATGTCTGGGGTTGTGATTTTATCGGTGGGGGTGTCGAGGAGGATAGAGCCGAGGCGAAGGGCGCGGATGCGTGGGGTGACGAGCTCGATGAGTTTATTGTAGGTACCTGGAAGAGCAATGACGCGCTCGACGCCGATGCAGTTCTGGCCGGCGGATTGGAAGACGCCGCGCATGAGGATTGAGGCGATGGCCGGGAGGTTGCGGATTGTGCGGGCGTCGTCGAGGATTACGGCGGGGTCCTTGCCGCCGAGTTCGACGCAGACTGGGGTGAGGGTTTTGGCGGCGGAGGCGCAGACTTTGTGTGCCACGGGGCGAGAGCCGATGAAGGTGATGTGGGCGATGTCCGGGTGCGAGGTTAGCTTGTCCGCGACGGCGGGGAGGCAGATGGCGGTTTGGACGAGGTCGCGTGAGTGGCCGCAACTGGATAGTGCGCCGCGCACGATGTCCAGGAAGAATGTCGTGGACCAGGCTGTTTGCTCGGAGGGCTTGATGACGATGCCGTTGCCAGAGAAGAGCGCGCTAATGACCGGTCCGATGAAGTTGTGGAAGGGATAGTTCCATGATACGGCTGCAGACACGACGCCGAGCGGTTCGTAGGTGACCATGTTCTTCTTGTACATCATCAGGAAATTCGTTGGCCGGCGCGAGGGTAGCAGCGCCTTCTCGCCATGATCAATAGTCCACTTGAGCTTTTCAACGCTGACGAGGATCTCGCCGAAGGACCCGTCCACTTTGGTCTTTCCGGAGTCGAGGCAGCATGCAGTCACGATGTCCTCTTGGTGATCAAGGACGTATCTAGCAGGAGGGGATCAGTCAGCCTCGTGTTCAATAGAATGCAATAGGTGCATCGAGAAGAGTCGTACTTTAACAGAGTGCGCAGAACCTTTCTGCGCTCAGCAAAACTCGTCTTTGCCCATTCCCGCTGCGCAGCTTTTGCAGCCTGCACGGCAACGTTGACATCCTCCACCGTCGCCGGCTTGATACCATTGCCCAAGACACGTCCATCAGCGGGGCAGTAGCTCATAATCAGCTTATCATTCCAGACCTATATCAAAGTACCAACCATCTGCATTAGCCCAATCTCTCAAATTACAATCCCGACAGCAGCGAAGCTCCCCCTGTATGAATAACTTACCCCCCGAACCTGATCCTCCAGCACGCGCTTCTCCACACCAGTAACCTCATCCCACTTCCTCCCACCCGCGCTATTGCGCACTTCCGCCGGCAATGGCACATTGAAGGACACGGCAGCCTCCTTCAGACACAGCATGTATAGGTACCCCCGCGTAGACAGCGGCGAGGGAAACCAGCGCGACACCAGCCCATTGCGCGTGTTCGGCGGTAAGGCAGGAGCCGCGGGTCTCGATGAAGTCGAGTAGGGGCGGCGGGAGGTAAGAGAGTAGTTGATCCATGCTGGAGGAGTTGGATTGGTGGGAATGGGCGATGCCCCTGGAGCTGTGGTGTTCAGGGAGGAAGAAAGCTCCGCGGGCTGATCTTTTTTGTTGATAGGGCAGCCCGATAAGGTCACGCGGGTTGGGTGGTGGTCTGATAAAAGAATTGCAGAGTTCTCGGGCTCGTTGTATAGGCTATTTTATTGGAAAGAAAGGTAATAATCAAATGGAAGTTCAGCTATTTTAATGTTGAGTAGCTAATCATGTCTTGTGTCTTTCAAAATATAGCAAATGATATCCTCCTCCCCTGAGCCAGTGGTGGTAATGCGTCGTTTATGGCATATTGCTCATGACCAGACCCGAGATCAACGCCCATCCAATTCATAAAAAGCAGAAAACATAAAGTCGTGTAAGCCATAATTTCGTATGCAGATGTAGCAGAGGATCGAAGCCTTGAAACAATTCCTCCCCTCTGTTCCGATTCATGATCGCTTCAACCGTGGGGACGATCGAATTCCAGCGCGAGGAGCAGACTTCTCCTTTGCTGGCTTCTGGGCGCTCGAATTCCGAGTGGCAGGCTTCTTCTTGGGTTTTCTGGATTTCGCCCTCGAAGAGGCAGCTCGAGAAGGCTTTTTGCCAGGGCGACCTGGCTTCTTTTTCTGGGGAGCCTTCGCAACTGGGTCAAGATGCTTGCGCTTCAATGGATTCGGTTGCGCTGCATCCTGAGTTGAATCAACGAGAGACTGGCTCGCTTCCGGTTGGTCCACACTTGCAGCAGATGGACCTTGCAGAGCATTTATTTGCTTGTCTGCAGACTTCTTCGTTGCACGAGTTGCGTTTGCCTTCTTCTTGGTAGTCTTAGCTTTGGCACTAGCACGCTTGCCTTTGGTACCTTTCTTGACAACCGTCGTCTTCCGGCTGGGAGTCTGCTTCGCTGGTCCAGCTTGCACATGCTGATGAGCTGGACCTACCTTCTTCCTTCCTGTCCGCTTGACCAGTTCTTCAATGATGCACCCTTTGTCCCAGTCTGCACTTGTGGGACTGGTGATCGCACGGCAGCGTGGACACTCTTTGCCATGCTTGATGAATAACTGATGGAGCGAATACTTCAGCTCATCTGGGATCTTCACATCTAGATGACTGAAGGCCGCGATCTCATTTGCTTTATCAGGTATCCAGCCAAGCCATTTGCAGATGCGGAAGATGTGGGTATCCACTGCAAAGCAAGGGCGCTGCAGACAGAAGAGAAGCACGCAGGCTGCCGTCTTGGGTCCGATACCGGGGTATCTGATCAGAGCCTTCATGGCGTTGGGTGTTCCGTACTTGTGGATGTATTGCAGGTTGAGGAAATGATCATTGGCACTGGCAATGTCATACTCCTTGACCTCCTCAGCTTGTTTGGCTGCATCAGAAGACATGCTTGGCCCTTCGTTGTTAGCAGCAGATACAACTTCGGCGGTGTGGCGATTCTTTCGCTCTTGATTTTCCTCGTAGACTTGATCCAGAAGGGCTTTCAGGTTCTTGCTTTTGATGTCTGCCAAGCCACCACTTTCAATCGCCTCGAAGACATCACGCAATGGTGCCTGTCGAACAGCATCCCAGTTCACACTTCCTTTGCCAATCCCCTCTGTTAGGGTCCCAAACCGCTGCACAAGTCCGTTAAAGGCTCTGGCGGAATTGCTGCCAGTTGTGGCACCACTGAGAAGAGTGCGGATCAGAGCATCTAGTACTGATGGAACCTCACCGCAGCCAGTGACGGTAAGAGAAGGGTCAGGAATAGTCTTGGGTGCAATGACTTCTCCATGGGCCTGTGTGAGCAAGTCGTTGACGACATAGCACGCCTCAGGAGAGGGGGCTTTGAAATCAGGGAATGGACTTTGGCCAGGAGTCAAGCCGTAGTTGAATTTCTTGGCTTTCTTTGTCCCCGTCTCAGCTTCCTGGGTTGCTGGAGTTGTTGAGATGGCCGCATCAACCGAGAGTTTGTCATTGACAGCTGGGTCGGCAATAGCCCTCTCACCAAGGGGCTGAGACTGGCTCTCTTTGGGAAGACCAGTGGAAGGTGCTGTAGAGCTTGCAGCCCCAGTAAAGGCAGGCACAATTCCAAGGTTATGGGGAAGTTTGATGAAAGCCGGAGTGTCCTGCACAGCAATGGTAGGCTGTGGAGCTGTACCCGTCTCGCTCTGAGCTTCGGGGACCGTAGCAGGATGTGCATCAGTATCGTCTAGAAGCCTTTCTCCCAGAAGCCCATTCTTCCTTTCGAGGGTATCGGTCAAGACAGAAGGCTCCGCTGGCACTATAGAAGTCTCATGGGCATCGTTCTCCTTCGGAATAGATGCTTCCTTTTCCAGACTGGCAAGTGAGATGCCAGAATCCCCCTCCTCAGGCGATGAAATTGCCGAAGGGCCACCGAGAGCCTGAAAGTCATCATCCACACACGGAGATGTTGATCCAGGCTCGGTCGATTTCAGTTTCAGATCAGGTGTCTCTGGTTGTTGGCATTTCACAGTGATCGTGAGCCTCGATGAAGCCTCGCTTGGGGACTCATTTTGAGCGACCGACGAGGTAGAAGATCCCTTCTTTTCGATGGCTTCCACTTTTTCATTCTTAGCGGATGAGTCAGTTTCAGGGCTCTTCTTGGACTTTGGAACCACTCTCTTGCGCTTCTGTGGCACGGTTTGAGTGATTGACCCCGCAGGCAAGCTATCCCGAGCCCGGGATCGGGTTAATGGCCGTGCCATTGAGACTTGAGGAGCCAAAGAATTGGTGTGTAACCCTTGAAGTTTCAAATCTGATAATTTGAAGGTCGAAGAAAGGTCGGGTCGATGTTGAAGCTGGGTGGTCCAATTTGGGATGATCGCTAGATCGTGATCGGGAATGTAGCTGCCACGAATGACGTCAACTGCCTTGTTTTCTTGAATCGTTCCAGAAGGGGCTGAAATCGATGATTCGACCAGACTCGAAAGTTGAGATATAGAAAGAGGTAGATTTGAGAGTAATGGCTTGATGGAGATTTTGGGATGGTTGTTGGGAGGTGAAGTTTGGTGGGCTCTGACTGGCCGGTTGGGGACTATATCGTTGGCCTCATGTGACCCCCCATGTCGGGGAGGCTTTACTTTGAGTCGAACCATCTTGATTGTGGGTAATTTGACGGCGTGAATATGACGGGAAAATCCGAATCTGATCTTTTGATCAGGATGAAAGCCAAATGGTCGTGGAGAGATGAGATCGTTGAGATGATAGAAATGAGGTGGTTATATACGTTGAAGGTAGCTTGGATGACTGGGTAATACAGAGAAAGCAAGTTTTAATTCAAATGGTATCTGACCTCAATTCGTATCCAGCTAAGGGTTCATAGCTATCGAGATCTCGAGGAATATGCGTTTTCATCACTTGTTACGTCACATGAGAAGATATCGTCCGCCCGTCTAATAGTATGCCATCATACAAACTCCTAGACTCCGGATGCAAAATCAAACAAATGAAAAAAAAATAAATGGTGGCTTTGAGAATCATGGACAGAGAAAGGAAGAGGGGTTGATGAGGATCAAGGGTGATCGGCGATGTTGTGGATGCTGATGTCCATGCGATCATCGACCTTAGGGTTGGGAGCGTCCTCGCAATCGGGCTTCGAGACGGGCTCAGGGGAGTCGGCGGGGATGATCTTTCCGTTGGTGTCCATAATGACACCGTTGGCAGCCATTTTGAAGTCGGTTAGGTTGGCAGTGCCATGAGCAACGGCTTCCTTTGCCTTGTCCAGGGCCTTGATCTTGCGACCCTCGCCACGGACCTGCTCAAGGTGTTCGAAGTAGCCGGGGCGCACGGGGGTCACGTAGCTGCCGCAGAACACACCGACCTCAAAGTTGGTGGGCTCAGACTGGCCATTCTCACGCGCGATCTCGGCACAGGACTCCTTAAGATTCTCCAAGGTCTGGAAAATGACGCTCTCAGCACCGATGTGGCGGGCGATATCATCAGTGTCCCGGTTGTGGGCAACCAGTTCGTGAGGCGAGGCAAGGTCGATACCGTAGATATGGGCGTGTGTGATCTCGGGAGCACAGCTGGCCAGGTAAACCTTCTTGGCGCCGGCCTCACGGGCCATGTTGACAATCTCGCGACTCGTGGTGCCACGCACGATACTGTCATCAACAAGCAGGACGTTGCGGTCCTTGAACTCCTGCTTCATAGCGTTCAGCTTGCGGCGAACACCCTTTTGCCGGGTCTTCTGCTCCGGCATGATGAAAGTGCGGAAGACGTAGCGGTTCTTCACGAAACCCTGGCAGTAGGGCTTGTCCAGATATTGAGCAACGTGTGTGGCAGAGGTAGTAGAGGTCTCCGGAATAGGAATGACCACATCAATGTCCTTGACGACCTCGGGGCCCAAGACATCGAGAATACGGGCACCAAGTTTGTCACCCATCCGCTGGCGACTGCGGTAGACACTGATACCGTCCATGACAGAGTCGGGACGGGCAAAGTAGACATACTCGAAGATGTCGGGAGCATAGTCCTTCTTGGGGGCGACCTGACGGAAGACAGGCTCACCACCCTTCTCAATGATGACAGCCTCACCAGGCTGGATGTCACGGTGGTTTGTGAAGCCGAGCTGATCCAAGGCGACGGACTCGGAGGCCATCATGTAATCGGTGCCCTTGCCATCCAGGGAAGGACGGGAACCCAGGACCAATGGGCGAATACCGTAGGTATCACGGAAACCCAGAATACCGAAGCCTGAGAGTGAAAGCATGTCAGTCACGATGTCATGTGCATTCCGGGATGCATTCTTCAAGGCAACTTACCAGCCAGCATGGCAGTGCATGCCCAACCACCTTCGCAGCGCTCGTACATACGGCTCAAGGAGGAGAAGAGATCCTCCTTGTTGACACGAGCCTTCTTCGTCTCGCTCAGCTCATCCGCAAAGATGTTCAGCATCAGCTCACTGTCGCTGTCGGTGTTGATGTGACGGTGGGCCTCGAGGTCCAGGTAACGCTTCAATTCGGGAGCATTGATGAGGTTACCGTTGTGGGCCAAGCAGATACCGTAGGGGCTGTTCACGTAGAAGGGCTGGGCTTCCGCATTGGCGCTGCTACCAGCAGTCGGGTAGCGAAGGTGACCGATACCCATGGATCCAGGCAGGTTGGCAACCTTTGCACCGTCATGGAAGACCTTAGCTGCCATGCCGTTGGCCTTCAATTGGTACATCCGACCTCCGGATGCACAGGTCGCGATACCAGCTGCATCCTGACCACGATCTGTTTTCACACAGCACCGATTAGCTCGTGTTCTATTCCTTCCATGTGTTTATGACACCAGCTAGGTTCACCACTCACGTTGAAGCAGGTAGAGGGCCTCGTGGAGGTCCACGGCGGCAGCGCCGGAGGGGTTGGCCAAGATCAGGGCGATAATTCCACACATCTTGACGCGAGGTTAGGTTCCTAAAACACGATGGCAGGTAGCCTGGTCAGCATGAGCCACAGAATTGCAAGCAAGCAGAATGACAGTGAATGGCGGGGTGAGTGTCTCAAGTCAGTATTGGAGGTTCTCCGCAACCATGGCTAGGAAGTCTAACATCTATAAATAATTCCATAGATCATCATAGAGACATTGGGCAAGGGCAACGACGCGTGCAGGACAACTTACCAGAACCAGGACGCAAGGGAGTTAACGGGGAGCAATGCTCATCAGTACCCCGAGGAACACGGAGGAGAAGGGGAAGAAAATCTCCATAGTGGCATTTCCTTCCGCTGTGGTTCTTCCCCACTGAGATTTTTTTTTTCGTGCCGACTCCGGGCTGACAAAGATTCATGTCACGTGCTGGAGGGGTCAAGGCGGTAAGAAGAGCGGTGAAGGAGTAAAGACAGTAAAGGTCGAGGTTGGCGAAGGCGGTGAATTTGGGGGAGGTAAACATCAAGAGATCTGGAGATAGAGATAGTCAACGGGGAAGGGAGGGTGACTTATATAAGAAAATTCATGTTAATCATTGACGGATTCCACAGTGGTCATTTTGACACATCGTAAGGTTTGACTGAGTAAATCATCAACTTGTGGAGGCTACAGATATCCCCGTTACTCATGCAATATACAACGAAAAAGCGAAGGGTAGCATCTCTCAAGATGTGCAGTATGAGGTTGTACATTAAAGATCAATGGGCACAGGTGCATCTGAGGCTCTATTTCACCATGCCAGATTCTTTGTAATTTATAAAAGTTAAATATATTAGCTATGATCAGGGCTAGCTCCTTCATCACCATCTGTCCTATGCATGAACATCGACGAGATCATCGATGATAGCGGTATTTACTTTTTAGACTTTCAAATTCTTCTTTATTACGTCTTAAGGGATGAAATATCTCAAAAACAATTGCCAACAATGATTTCTGCTCCACAAGCGAAAGGCGGATCGTTGATATGTCAGCCCTCGATTCTTAACAAAAAAGTCATGTTTGCGTATGTTATGCTTTGGTGATTTACAATGGTTGCCTTGAAAAGGTATACGATATTAGTCTCCTGTCAAAAGAGTGTTGCTGGCGATCGCAAAGCGTGAAGAGATTTGGTGCTTGGTCTCCAAAGCGCGCTAGAAATAATGCACTTTTTCAAACTTTGATGTGTGGGGATTGAGTTTAGCAAAGGTGCCTATTTTATTGAAAAGATTTCATTAGAGAGATCATCATGATAGGCCCTGTCGTTATCCATGAATGCAGTACTGGTCTAGAATATTATCATGTGAGTTACCCTTTGCCTCTAGGTATAAGAACCATGCTCGATACAATTTGGCGAGGAATGGTCCTGGAAGAATTCGTAGCTGATACAGAAATACATTAACCGCACTACGTGCGATGAGCCAAAAGAGACAAATTAAAGTGGCGAATATTTGATACAAAACAATTAGGAGACAAAGAAAAGGAGAGAAGACCAAACAAGGTTGTCTCAAAGAAGCAGGGTCTCCTTGAACAACATACAGTACGGCTTGTCATGCACTGAATACTGACACAGAACGATCATTCCTAGGTAAACTAGGGAAGCGAGGACACGACCGGGGGAAGGAGTGGATCTATAGAAGGAATAATTTCCTTATGTTTAGCTCATATACAGGGCTTTGTACATTCAATAACTAAAAAGGGAAGGATGTAATTCCCTACAAGTAAGTTGCACCTAGTCACATCGTGATCACTAACTCCTTTAGCAGTTCTGGTTTACCGAGGTACTACGGTAAAGGTGCTGGAGGGACATGGACTTACGTTTAGACACTAAAAGTCGATCGAAATATCATCTGCTATGTGATTATGTAGAACCTTTGATTTGTGAGAGTTGAAAGGAGCAATTTTCTGGGAGGGGACTATGTGGACACCTAAGAGGTATGGCATCCACTCATGCCGTTTTAGGAAATAAGAACTATACTAGCTTGAAAGCAGGTGTGAACAGTCTTTAGGCGCCACAATCGTGTATCTTGGGAATGCCAGTAAGTGAGTATGGAGTTGTTATTTCTAGAGTAGCTCAAGAGTGTGTTCTGCCTCACTAAATGCAAGATAGATGCTAGCTCATGGAGTATTATCCTATATATTCACTTATATATTAACATGGTTCGAAATAAAGAATGCTTTTCAATAGAGTAAGTTACCTACTGACAAACAAGCCTACCTCTAATAGATCTATGCATTATCTGCTTGATTCCGGTTAGCTTTGTCCGTAGGGTATACGCTTGACTTACATCAAGACCATACCATCTTTCTCAAGAATCGTCTGCTGTAACGAGCCGCTTTCTATAGCTTCATCCTCATGAAAGACAGCAGCTATCTCAACTCTATCGTGGCATCTCTGCTAAATCCAAAACTTCAAATCTCTCTCTCTCCCACTCTACACTCGGCGTGTTTCTCTCTTTTCCTACCCTCACTCTCTTTCTCTTTCTTTTGCTCCTGCTCTTCTTTTCTTCTCCCGAGACATCCGCATATACCCCGACTTTCGGATCGTCACACTCGGTTCAACTCCCTGAGACACTCACACTCTACATACAATCTCAGAATGAATTCCGAGATCATCGATCTCTCTTCCGGCGGCGAGTCGGGAGAGCCCTCTGATCACCACGCCCAAACTCCTCGATCACCATCTACCCCGATACATCTTACTTCTACCTCACTGGGAATGGAGGAGTGGCCAGAGGACAAATGCGAGATGGTCGGCCAATACACAGTCTTCAATTCAACCCAGGCCAGTCTTTCCCCGATCATAATAGACGATGATTCGAGCACAGAAGAGCCTCAATCTATGCCCGGCTCACCCAAGTATCTCGCATCACCGACCATGAGTGAATGGAATTTGTTGGACAAGGAACTGCAGCGTAGCGTGCAAAGGCAATTCGGCGAGGTATATCCATCGTTCAAGTCTCTGCGACGTCTTCTTTTCGGCCAGAATCCCGACGATTACAACGATTCTCAATCCTCGGGATCTGCGACTCTCGAAAGCTCGTCTTCCCAGTCTGGAGGCGATGACACAGATATCACGGTGCCTGGAAGCTCGCCCGCAGATCCAATTGATCTATCGGACATAGATGATGATCTATGTGTCCTTCGACCAGGACGCAGGGTGTCGACTGTGCAAGATCCACGCAGACGCATTGCAACCCCACGCTCGACTCTCGCTGGTGAGATTGACCAAGTCGAGCTGAATGGTGAGATTCTCCGCCCGTCGCTAACGGTGAAACTGTTGAATGGGACGTACCTCCGTATTGAGTGGATCGCTCTGCGAGAGGGACAAATGCATTTATGGGGCCGACACCTCATGGGCTGCAATGACCATCAATGGCCACCGCACATCCCAAAAGACGAGCACGAACTGGTCTGGGTGCCATGGATGGACCACGAAACGGATCTCAACAGCGTGGAGAGACATTTGCCCGTGACTCTCATGGAAGTTGCGGGCCTCTGCGAGGTGATCTTCACCAACGAGCGCCGTGGGAAGAATACGAGACATGAACCTGGTGCTGGACTCTTCTGTCGACTAAAGGCCACTGCCAGGAAGCGTCCCAAGATTTCTCCCACTCGCGTTAGCGGACTCCAGATCAGCAGCGAACAGGAGTTCGACCAGAGTGTCGAATACCTTACGCTCGACGAGTGTGACGAGGGATACGGTTTTGAATCACACGTTCTGCGTGATCTTTATCGTGGATGCCCGACTGTTCCCTTTGGAGAGGGCCAGGTACGTTACACCGGCCTACCCACTGTCACCGAGGAGGATGAAGATGGTTCCCGGCCCGTCGTCGATCTCACGGTTAATCCCACCGCGTATCTATTCGGCGATGCGTACTGTGGTGCTGGCGGAACCTCCTGCGGCGCAAAACAGGCTGGCCTAGAGCTCAAGTGGGCGTGTGACCTGGATCGTTATGCGGTTCACACATACGGGATGAACTTCGACGCCTGGATTGACCACTGCTCCTTCAACGATCTATTGACGCACCCAAAGGAGGTTCTTCGAGTCGATATCGCCCACTGCTCACCGCCCTGCCAGACCTTTTCTCCGGCACATACCATTGATTGCGCACGCGATGACAATAATTCGGCGTGTATCTTCAGCGCTAGCAATCTGGTAGAGTATGCGCACCCGCGTATTCTCACTATGGAGGAAACCGCGGGGCTGAAAGAGCGTTACAAAGATATTTTGAATCGAGTGATCATGGATTTGATCGAAGCTGGATATTCGGTTCGATGGGCCGTGATCGACGTTCTTCATTACGGTGTGCCGCAAACCCGGAAACGATTGATTATCATTGCGGCAGGGTAAGTCATTGAATGAGATCTTGCCTAGTTTCATTTAGTGATGTTTCTGACTGGAATTTCCTTTCACTTGCTTCTTGTATAAATCTAACTGCTGTATAGTCCTGGTGAGACGCTCCCTCCGTTCCCCGAAATCACTCACGATCTTCCCGGAAGCGGTTGCCTCCCGGTGGTAAACATTGAGGATGCTATCAAGGACATTCCTGATGGTGCACCTAACCACGACGTGGAGGAATTACTCTACATGTGGCGGAACAAATGGCATTCTCCATACGATCCTCGCCAACCGGCTAAAACGTTGACTTGCAACGGGGGAGAGGCCAATTACTACCCCCTCGGGCCGGCGCCTGTTTACCTGTCGGGAGATCGCATGTTTGCAGACCTTTCCCATGGACTTTCAGTTCGCTCACAAGGGCGTTCGGAAGCAAGTTGGCAACGCGGTACCCCCGGCTCTGGCGAAAGCGATATATCAAGAGATTATCGCGTCACTGCGCGAAACTGATTCACGCGAGCAGGAAGAGAAACAACAGCGGGAGCGAGTCATGAGGGGAATGGAGTGAGATGGTCACATTGATACTGACGAGGACTGGTAATGCCAATGGAATGGAGTGGTGCGTTGGACAGAGACTGATGGTATATAGTACATAGTTCTGGAGGACGAGGGAGAGGTTATCAGATCGGTGGGCACGTGAAGAGACATGCGGAAGAGTCCGAGGCCGACCGCCCGTTGGTCTTCGGGTTATTGGGGATCGGCGACTTTTTGCCTCGTCTGGACAGCCTTGATTTTGAAGCTTGACATTTCCTCGCAATGAAAAGATCCGATCTTCGCACATACTTCTATCCAATCCTCCTGGAAGTAAAAGCCCATCCCTCCGATTCTCGGTATCTTGTTGCCTTCGGCGATCGAGCCGACGAAGCTCGGTACAATCTGAAAGGACCTGGCCAATGGGGATACGAGGGATAGCGGCGAGGTGTTAGGATCTCAATTGAGTGGAAATCGGCGCCTGTCCGGTGTAGATATCCAGCATAGTTAGTTTGGTATATACTGATACTCTCCTTATTATACTACTCCTGTCGTGTACTCCGTCCGGCTATCCGACACTAACCGAGGCCGTGTTCCTCGGCAAGCTGAGATCAGCTTGACACTCAACCCCCCGCCCCCCGTCCGCCCGCAAAGTCCCCCCAACCAAAAAAACTCCACATTCTCCGACCTTCTTTTGTCCGACCTGCGTCTTCTTCTTCTTCTACTTCTACCTCACTCCTCCCCTTTTCCCCCGTCATCGGATCATTTTGGTTTCTTTTGATCCTTGCTCAATTGCCATTGCGCAGTTAAATCATGTCCCTTCCCGCCGTGAGACGGTTGACCCACACGTCTCCCCGCACTTTGGCCCGCATCCCCATCTCCAGACTCGCTCCCACTTTTGCTTCTTCTTCCTCCTCTCACCTCGCTGCCATTGCTGCTCCTCGTGTTAACCGCGCCCCTCGCTTTTCCACTATGGCTGCCCGTCAATCTGCCGCCCCCGCGGTTCCCTCCGGCGACAAGGCCTATGACCCCGAGATTCAGGACATGGCCAGCTACATCCACCAGTACAATGTGGACTCTGACCTGGCGGTGAGTTTTCGCGTTACGCCATGCGCTTGTCGAGCTGGGTGGAATGTTCCAATTTGCTAGAATTTTATACTAATCTGCCATTGCTTGTCCTAGTTTGATACCGCTCGCCTGGTGTTCCTGGACACCCTCGGCTGCGGTCTGGAGGCCCTGAAGTTCAAGGAGTGCACCAAGTTGCTTGGCCCCGTTGTTGAGGGCACCGTCGTCCCCAATGGACCTCGTGTCCCCGGTACCCCCTACCAGCTGGACCCTGTCAACGGTGCCTTCAACATCGGTGCTATGATCCGCTGGCTCGATTACAACGACTGCTGGCTGGCCGCCGAGTGGGGCCACCCCTCCGACAACCTGGGTGGTATCTTGGCCGTCGCCGACTGGATCTCCCGCACCAACCGTGCCGGCGGCAACCTGGGCAACGGCAAGGTCCTCAAGATCCGCGATGTCCTCGAGGCCATGATCAAGGCCCACGAGATCCAGGGTGTCCTCGCGCTGGAGAACTCCTACAACAAGGTCGGCCTGGACCACGTCGTCCTGGTCAAGGTCGCCACTACCGCCGTTGTCTCTAAGATGATGGGTCTTACCGAGAAGCAGACTGCCGATGCTATCACCCAGGCCTGGGTTGATGGTCAGTCTCTCCGTACTTACCGCCACTCGCCCAACACCATGTCTCGCAAGTCGTGGGCCGCCGGTGATGCTTGCCAGCGTGCCGTCAACCTGGTCCTGAAGGTCCAGAAGGGTGAGGGTGGTCTGCACACCGTTCTCTCTGCTCCCACCTGGGGCTTCTATGATGTCCTGTTCAAGGGCAAGAAGTTCGAGTTCCAGCGCCCCTACGGCAGCTACGTTATGGAGAACGTTCTGTTCAAGGTTTCCTACCCTGGTAAGCGATTGCTCCCCCCGTTGGAGAATTGACCGAATAACTGACTTCTTTCAAGCCGAGTTCCACTCCCAGACCGCCATTGAGGCCGCCGAGATTATCAACAAGAAGCTGGCCGAGATGGGTAAGAGCGCCAAGGATATCAAGGAGATCACCAACCGCACCCACGAGGCCTGCATTCGCATCATTGACAAGCAGTTCAAGGAGATGGACAACTTTGCCGACCGTGACCACTGTGTTCAGGTAAGCTGCGGATCGCCATCGAGATAATGCTTTTCCAGGCTAACGCTCTGTATAGTACATGGTTGCCACCATGCTGGCCTTCAACCGTCTGACTGCCACCGACTACGCCGATGGCTCCGAGGCCGCCACCTCCCCTCTGGTCGAGGATCTCCGCAAGCGCATCCGCTGCGTTGAGGACGAGCAGTTCACCGTCGACTACCACGACCCCGCCAAGCGCACCATCCCCAACGCTCTGACCGTTACCCTCAACGACGGCACCGTTCTTGAGGAGGTTGCCGTCGAGGCTCCTCTGGGCCACCGCCTGCGCCGCGAGGAGGCCAAGCCCGAGATTCTGGCCAAGTACAAGCGCCACCTCCAGGCGCACTTCGACCAGGCTCGCATCGATGAGCTGCTCAAGGTGGGCTGGGACCGCCAGCAGCTGGAGAACTACGATGTCGACAAGTACGTCGACCTGTACGTCAAGGACAAGATGGTTACTGCTGCTTAAATGGCGCAAGCAATGAAAATTCGAATCTGTTGGAATGGGTTCAGGCTACGGCTAGAACAGGATGCTTATGGTGTATGATGAATATACTTTTATATCGCAAAATGAACTGTATAGACTTGCGTTTCCCTCGGAATCTTTTGATCGAGTGCACATGAAAAGGAGATCCTGCAATTCAGTACCTAACAGAGTATAGAGTATCGCCTATTTTCAGCCTCATCTCATCAACCCGACGCCCCCGAGGTGCAAGTTACCCCCAGACTCGACGGGGTATTCGCACAAAGCACCTCATCCCCTCCATTCGGCGCCTTGACAGTATACGAACTAACCTTCACCCCACAAGTCCCATCAGCACCACAATCCAAATTCCCCGTCACAGATCCATAATTCCCACTCGTCGTCCCACTAAACTGATCAAACACGATCCCCGTCAAATCCGCATCCCCAGGATACTCAGCACAATAACTCGCATCCTCCCCATAACAGCTCTGGATCTGAATCGCATAGTCGCACCCCTCAACCACCACCCCGGTCCACGTCACGTTCGAAACGGTCGAGAGCCCATGACTCCCGCCGGACGGGTACGTCTTGATTCCCGCCGCTTTGGTGGAATTCACCATCGTCGCGCCGGATACGTAGACGTTTTGAACTGTGTCCGAGGATGATTTGCCCAGTGAGCCGACGGAGAGGCCGTGGCTGCCGATGCAGGTTATGTCTGTGACTGTCACGCCATTGGCGCCTGGCTTAAAGGCCACACAATCGTCGTCGTTGGTGACCTTGACGTTGTTGATGACGACGTTGGTGCTGGCGCCGATGTCGAAGCCGTCTGTGTTCTTGGGGGCATTGGTGCTTTTCGATGTCGCGTCCATTGTGAGCGATGTGAAGGCGATGTTGTCGGTGCCACCTTTGACGGAGTTGAAGACGTTGGGGGGATTCTTTTGGCGGAGGTTGGAGATTGTTATGTCTGAGCCGCCGGTGATCTGGAAGATGGGAGAGGTTAGTATAGGTGGTGTTGGATCTCGTGTGCTTGAAGTAGTATAACGTACATAGAGAAGTGTTGGACGCGCATAGCTACTGTTCGAGGCAAAAAGATCCCATCTACCGAGGATATTAGCATCTTTAACCAAAAGCAGAGATCTATAGGCATCAGGTCATCATCTTCAAACATACGCATCCTGCCCATTCCCATCAATCACCCCGTTCCCCGTTAACGACCGAATCTTCAACCCACTAATATTATTAACATTAATCATTGCCGTCCGTCCACTCCAGTAACTAGTCGACGAGCTAAATTTCAGTAAGCCCTCGACCTGGAAATCGCAGCCCTTGCATCCCGCGAAATCAAGAACGCTGTTGAGGTAGTACGTGGTTCCGGAGGGGATCACGATGGTGCCACTACTGCAGGACGCGATTGCAGATGTAATGGCGGGGACATCGTCGATTGATGAGGAGCCTCCTGCGACGGGGGTGCAGGTTGAAGCGCGAGCGTTGAGGACCGGGGATGGTTCTGGGAGAGCTAGTGCAAGAGGGAGTGCGGCAAGGATTGCGAGTGTTGTTGTCTTGGATGCCATGATGATAGACCAAGTGTGGAGTCAAGCGCTTCGAATCGCCTGATCGAGATGACTTTGATGGTCACATTGCGAACCTTTTTATAAAGATACTGACCCTACTTCCTCAGTCTGGATGATGTCTCAGCTTGAGTACTCAAGCTAGATCTACGCACATGCGAATTCCTACGGACACAAAGAAGCCGAGAAGCCGTCAAGCATGAAACAATTCCTCCTTCAGCGCCCCCAATTCGAGGAAATACTTTTTGTCTTCGTGTCGATCCCCATCCTGCATCCTTGTGAACCTAGCGTGTAGTGTATACGGGGTACGTCTCAGCTGCCTACGGAACCCCACTTACCTAAACCCCCCGGATCCACTAGCACCTAGGAAAGTACAGAGTAGTGTCCAGTATTTATCCAAAATAACTCTGCAAGTGCGCCATTCCACGGGTCCACGCTGCATAATTCCCCCAGAAATCCGTGAAGAAACTACGGTAGGGACCAAGCTGACAGGTACCACGCGAACCCCTAGCGTGGCTCTCGTTTCGTCGTGGCTGTCTCGAGTTCAGGCTAATTCGGGTTGAGGGGGACATAATAGCCGGATTGGGCGTGGGGAATGTGTCAGATTGTCGCGGATCTTGTGTCAGGGCTGCTTGTTATTCATGGAATTTTGTTTGGACGGTGGAAAAATCTTGGGCATCTCACATATGCCTGCAGAGGAGGTTGATCGTGTTAATGGATGTTGGAATTGTGGCTGCAAGCTTGAAACGAAGATATCCCGGCCATAGACTGCTGTGCTTCAAGGGGTGTACAGGTGATGGTTGTAGTTGTAGGGGCTTCATATATACTCAATGAATTGTCATTGCAAGATTCTTTTAGTTTAGAAATAGCGTCTTGAAATCATATATTCCCTTGAGATTGACGATATTTTTCAGTTAACATGCATTTGCCAACTCTCCTCTCAACCCTATTCCTCGCGACTGGCATCATTGCCGCGCCGAGTGACCTAACTCGTCGTACGAGTAGAACCAGCGCTCCATCAGGCTGTCTCATGGTCGGCACTGGCGGGACATACTCGACTATTGGAGCTGCACTTACTGCGCTGGGCTCATCCACTTCCGCGGCATGCATTTATGTTGCCAGTGGCACGTACACGGAGCAGCTCACCATCAACTATGCGGGGACTCTAACTATGTATGGTGAGACCACGAACACGGGGACGTACAAGGATAACACTGTGACCATCACGCATACGATCTCTTCGCCAGAGGCTGGTAGTCTCGATAAGAGCGCCACTGTTAATGTTGTCTCGGCCGGGTTCAAGATGTATAACATCAATGTGGTGAATGGATATGGAAAGGGTGCACAGGCCGTTGCGTAAGACATTATGGTACTCTCTCTATGGCTTTCAGAATCGCTGAATCTAATGGAAACCCAACAGGCTCGTTGGCAACGCGAACCAGCTCGGTTTCTACGGCTGCCAGTTCACAGGGTATCAAGACACCCTGTATGCAAAGGCTGGCACTCAGTACTACTCCAACTGCATGATCGAAGGTACCATATCCCATATCTATCATCGTTCAACCATGAAAGTCCACCTCTAACATCATCCAGGAGCCGTGGACTACATCTTCGGTGACGCCTCCGCCTGGTTTGGCGAATGCGACATTGTCTCCAATGGGGGCGGCGCTATCACCGCAAACTCACGTGAAACATCCACCGACACAGCCTGGTACGCGATCGACCACTGTAATGTCAAAGCTGCGTCCGGCCTTGACCTTGATGGGGAAGTGTATCTTGGTCGACCCTGGCGCGTCCTTGCGCGCGTGATCTATCAGAACTCCGTTTTGGGAAGTTTGATTAACGCGAAGGGGTGGACGACAATGGCTGCTAATGCGACGCCGTTGTATTATGAGTATAATAACTCTGGTGATGGGTCGAGTACGTCGAGCCGCGAGTATGAGACGGCTATTTCGGCCGGGGTGACGAAGACAACGGTTTTGGGGAGTGATTATGGTAATTGGATTGATTCGAGTTATTAAAGTGATTCGAGTTGAACTAGTAAGGGGCTTGTCAAGATAGCGAATAAATATTGATACAAATTACGTATTGTTTTTCTAAAGCCAATTGGTAATAGTTCATTAATGTAATCGGTATCTAAGTAGTGCTGTACATATATCTATTTAAGCAGCACAGGCCTTACTTCTGGAATGCAAGAGATCCTTGCTCGGCCCAATAAACTTATGTCTAGCCCGGAAAGTCCAGTCTATAACGAGTAATAGACAAACTCCAAGGAAAACGGGGCCGGACCAGTTCATGTTGGCGGCTGTAACTGGAATCTGTGTTGGGAAAGGAACGAAGATGCACACGAAGACGCCGAAAGTCAGAGAGAAGACGTTGATCGCCATGCCGAAGCGACCGAGGTTCCAGGGTCCGAATTGGATGGGACCACGGCTGGTGTCGAGTCGTCGGATAATCATCATGACAATGGGAATGAGATAGGAGATATAGAGACTGCTGGTAGAAAGAGCGAGAATAGCGCTGAGAGCGGTTTCGGAGGCGACATTAATTACTGAGAGGATGACCACGGCGCCACAGACCAGTAGGATGGCGCGTTTAGGGACGCGGTGCTGGCGGTCGACCTAATCACACTGTTAGAAAAACTTTTTTTCCTTGAAGCTTGGATTTGAGACGGAAGGGACAACTAACGTGAGCAAAGTATGACGAAAAAGGAAGGCCGCCGTCACGGGCAAACGCCCACGTCAGTCGTGAAACGGAGGCAACAACGCCAACATTTGAGACCATACCAATCACAGTAATGGCGGTTTGCATGGCCGTAGCTGCCTTGGCAGAGTTGGTAGCTTGCTTGAAAATTCCAATAATGGGGAACGTGTATGCAGGGCTTAGCGCTTGCTCAACGCTGCCAATGCAGAAGAGAATGACGATCAGGAAGACAAATGCCAATGTGCCACTGATAGCGATGGTCTGGAGGAGGACCCGGGGAATGACGACTGCTGGATTTCGTACTTCTTCGCTCATATGGATGGCACCGTCAAAGCCAAGGAAACAGTAGGTAACCGTCAGCATGCCCAGACACCAAGCAATACCGGGAGACTGCCAGCCTCCATCTGCCGTGAGCAACTCGGTGAACACAAACTGCGGGGTGCTGCGACGACTAAGCAAGATGATTGGGACAACCAGGGCAATGAAGACAGTGATGTGTAGAATGCCACCCATCATCTGCAACGCAGGCATGATCTTGATTCCGTAGATATTGACCAGACCAGACCCCAGGATGATGGCCCACATGAGAAGTGTGCCATGCCATTGTTGGGGCACATAGTCTGAATCATTGAGCAGAGCCATAGCCTGGATCTGCGCAGCAACCAAGTAGCAGATACTTGTTGTCGAGGCCTGCCATCCGAAGACGGTAATCCAGCCTTGGATCCAGGTGCTGAATGCTTGAACTCGTGGCGGGGCCAGTACAGCCGTCCAGTGATATTGAGCTCCGGCCAAGGGGGTCATGGAGCTCATTTCTGCTAGGGACAGCATGATACCTGTTGTTCCAATTAATGATAGTACCATTCCCCAAACTAGACCGGCTGGCCCGCCATTGACAAGACCTGCTTCGAATCCACTGCGAAGGAGATTAGCTTGGAGGAAGAGGACTTGCTGGACACAGAAGAGACTCACTTGCCAACTGATTCCCATGACGCGAGGAGTGTGATCGATAGACACAGAATTGAGAGTGACCCAAACCCTCTCTATAAAACACGGCAGTTGTTAGTATAAACTTCAACTTAATCTTTTTTGGGTGCATTCAAAGTGAAGTTATTGCGATCGTCCGGACCTCCGGGGAGCAAGGGCCTAGGTCATCTAACTTACATCCAAACGCTTTCCACTCGACATGGATGTCGACACCCCACCAGTATAACCTCCATCAGAGCCAGAGCGACTGTGTCCACGATGCTCATCGACGCTGAAATGGGCCGACTTGACACCCAAGTGGGACATCTCGAAGCCGTCCGGGTTCGACATGATGCCAGATGCTCAATCACAATCAAACCGAGGTTGAAAAAGAGTGAATTACCCCCACGGGATAGATATATGACTGACCAATTTGCACGTGGATGATCAGGTCTTTAAGAGCAGTCTTTTGCTCGCTCTCTGCTCAAGTTCATTCCATGAAGAATGTTAGGAAGATACGAGAAAAGGGGCAGGATTGATTCTGCGACAGGAATGAAGCGAGAAGCACTAAACGAGCCGAGCACCCCGATATCTCACGTACTCTCAGGAACGCACTCTCTAGACCTTGGCTAACAAGTTGGCGAAACAATAATAATTGGGCCCCTCGCTTTCGTGCGCCATGGTCGCATCAGACTTTCGCGCACGAGCTCTTGACAAATCTGGGAGCTGACGGCTTGGATACCACTGGGGCTGCGTACTACTAACTAAATTGACTTAGCGCCAAATCCCCAATCGGAGTCCAGACGAAGGCGCTGTGGCAAGGCAGAGACAAGCACCAGTCGACGATATTTCCAGAACAAGCTTATTGGTCCGCCACACACTTGTTATCTGGACGCCGTCACGCCAGTCACGCCTTTGGAGCCATCCACGGTGCCAGGAACTCCCCCCCCAAGTATTGCCAGTGTCAGATATGCCCTGCGAAGGCGATGATTGGCCGCCAATTGAATCGTCGTCCCCTGGGTCCACCTCCATTCGTCTTTCCTCGTTGACCAACCAAGGCTTTCCCCCGCAACCAAACGTGGAGCCGCGCATTAGGCCATGGTACTTTTCATTTGATGGGCCAGCAAATCCCAAATCTAGCTAAAACCCTGATGCGATCGCAGAAGATATGCCCAATGCTCCGAGATTTACCCCTCCCACGGACGAACAAACCTTTCCCTCGCGCGGTTACTGGTGTATCTCGCGGTCTTTATCACATCAGCCATCATTTCATGCCCATGTCCTTCATCAAAGTTCAAATATTCTCGCTGGCTCAGTAAGCACGGAAGTTGACGTTTGGCAGGTAAACTCCGAAACCTAAAGCCATCTGCAAAGGCTTCTGACTTGACCATGTTGACATGGTTAACTTTGCGGGCTTTGCTAACTTTTGCTTGATTAAATTAACTTTTTTCTCGGCTCTATGAACCTTTTGTATCTACTAGCTTGGTTGGTTTCGCCGATGCCACGGACTGGGTCTAACATCCGGTGAGGGAAGGAACAACAAGCCCTTTGGGGGCGAGCACCGGCCGCGCGCCATGTGGAACCCCCCTCCGACGGGACTCCGCGTGGGCTCATGGAGGCGTTAGCCCATCGAGATTGGTCATAGAATTGATAGAAATCGGAAGGGAGGCAGTCATGGTTCTGATTGCTCTGTCGCACCACTCAAGTCATGTAACCTGGTCGGCAGTTCGAGTGATGCGGGCAACTTGAACCATGAAAGTGAGATTTTAATTGAGTTATTGTACATAATAAGCCGGTTTCAAATAGTTTAATCGATGACCCTGTTCATCTTCGCCACGAAAGTTGGCTACTACCTACATACTTCTGCTACTGCATCTTACTACTCCCTAGTCTGTCAGGGGCACACGCCATCTTCTGCACGGTTCCTTCCGAGATACGGAGAGTACCGACAAGTCCGAACAGCCTCGTGAACCGTGGCTAAACAGGCCCAAAGTCCCAGACCCACCAGACAAAAGGATTCAACTACTACTATCGACACGATCTGCAAACTGTGATCTGCCATTATTTCCTTCGTTTTTCCTTCGTTTCTTCTTTTCTTTAATTTCTTCTTTGCCGAACCTTTCTCGTTCAGAAGTGCGCCGTACAGGGCTGATCGTCCTCGTGTCGCCATGGCTGGCACTTTGCCTCCACTGTTTGAGATTACCGCCGACGATCATGGTGGATACAGTGCGGTCGCAGTCTATACACTGCTTGCATTGACAATTGTCATTGTGTCCACTCGCTTGTCGACCCGATGGTTTATCGGTCGTGTCGTTCATCCTGACGATATACTGTTGGGTATATCATTGGTAAGTCTTCACTATTGTAGATCAATGTATACTGTGACTGATGCCGCTGCTTGCGAACAAAAGTTACTCGGAATAATACAGAGTGTATTCGCTCAACTCGCAATCTCAAATGGCCTGGGTCGACGACTATTGAACATCGGCGATCACCAGCTGGAGATGTATCTTAAGGTGCGTATGCGCATAACAGTTGAACCCAGGCAAAAACCAAAGTCTAATGAAGTCCATGTCGCAGTATGAAAATGCCGCCCAAATCCTCCTCATTGCAACAATCGCCTTCAGCAAGCTCTCTCTGGCCCTGCTGTTCAAGAACCTGATGACATCGCGCCGTTCATCTATCGCAAACCAGACTCTGATGGGCGTCATTGTCGCATGGGCAGTAGCTTCAATCATTGCCTTGGCTCTTCGGTGCTCCATGCCAACTCCTTGGAAATGGGATCAGCCGGATAAATGTATACACCAGGTATGACGCTATCATTACCTCTTCCATTATGAGCTGCAGTGTTGAATTCTGATCCGCATAGGCTGCACTTTTCCAAGCAATCGCTGCGTTGAATATTCTCACGGATATTGCCCTCGTGGTACTTCCCTGCTTGTTGCTTCGTGATGTGCAGTTGACCCGCTTGAAGAGGTTCAGAATCATGACATTACTTGCCAGCAGGTTTTTGTAAGTTGGGGCTTACTCCTGGCTTGTCGTATAGTTTTGCAGTTCTGACGTGACAACAGGGTCTGCATCGCAACGGGTATTGCAATCAAGTACACTGTGCGAATGCTCAACTCGCCCGATATACCTTGTGAGACAACCCTCACCCGAGATCCTATTGCTTATCAGCGGTAATGATATTAACACAAGATGCAGGGGCAAACACAAATTCCACGATTTGGGACCAGTAAGTTCATACCACACGTAGCCAAACACGACACTGTCGATTTGAAATAAAAAGACTAAACGTGGTTGTCTATAGAACCATGATGAACCTCAGCATCATCACAACCGCCCTCCCATCTCTCGGTCGCCTTGTCATCGAGCTTCAACCAAGCATCCACGCCTTCACCATCAATGAAGATCCATCTGATCCACGACCCCCAGGCACCGGATACAACTTTTCATCCATGGGCAAGTCAGCGGCAGACCATGACTTCAAGCACGGAACCCAGACGCAAGTAACAACTGGTTGGCGGGAGTCACTCAAGGATGATGGTGAGAGTACGGAGGGGCTGGTCACTGGTGCTGACCAGCAGAATGTGATTCAGCAGACGATTCACTTTGAGGTCCACTAATCTCAATTGTATGATACCGACATAGCTACCCGCAAACTTTACTTAATGACTATGAGAAACATGGATCTTTGACTACACAGTGGCAATGTTGTAGGTTCGCATACTCCTTTTTATCCATTATAGGACGTTATCACGAAGGATCAGGATTATGTATGTAGCGTCTCGCCTCAATATAGGCCGTTCCAAGGCCTGTTCAAGGCAAGTTCATGTCCCTCGGCGTTTCAATAGGAAATTGATCGAGGAATGTGGGATAACCCAACCCCGGTAAAATAGACATATCCGTCTCCCAATCCAAGAACTGACCAGAAAAGATGTCACCCGGACTTGGATAGGCACCTATATTGATGGCAGGCGGAATCACTGGGCCCTCCACTTTAGCCATCTGTGGCGCTGGTGTCTCATCCTCTGTTTCATCCGGTGTGGATATATCCTGGGTTTGTGCCTGCTTCCTAGCCATCGGATATGTACCCAATGGGTTCAGGATATATTCGAGTGAAGATGGATTTGACGTATTGCATTGATTGACAGACAGCAGGGCGTTTGTTGACGAATTTGCAAAATCAGGAGAGTCTGGAACGAATAGCGCGTTGAACCGTTTCAGGGCCTGGACGGCTGATTCGCAGTACATGCTGACCTTCATGAAACGCTGAAGGTACTGCAAAATCATTACGTTCTTCTGCAGCATGGCTTGGTAATCGAGATACAAACATTGCGGAATGAGAGGTTCCGGGCGACCCCATGAGATGAGAGTCGTGACGATGACACTGCTGCAGACTTGTGCGTGCATTGCATATGGCCAGTCAACAAGGCTGGGTTTGTGGCAATTCCACAGATCGCTTAACAGAGAGGCGATGTAGGCGGATTTAGTGGCGCATACAAGGTGACAACGACGGATGAAGTCTTCCGGAGCGTTTTCGCGAATCCAACTTGTCGCGGTGTTTGGGAAGACGAGGTTGGAAACCCCGACACGATATAGATCGTGGAAATTTTGCGATATCAGAATGTGTAGCCCGAAGTACAAATTCAACCTCCCTGTCCCTTTGAACAAGTACATACTCTCGGCTGAGATCCTCATGTTTTCTGGGATCGACGCCTCGAGATCTTTCAGCTCGTGGTCAAGCTGGAAAAATTGTGAGTTGTGATCCTCCGCCCACGGCACTTCTCCTTCTAAGTGCTTCACATATTTGAGAAGTTTGGATCGAATACTCGTAGCGCGGAGGTAGTAAGCCCGGAGGTCGAGATGTGCCGAAAAGTCGATTCCAGGAACTGGGGTAATACCTGGGAGCAGCTTGCCTCGAGGCAGCATCTCGGTAATACAAGGGCTATTTGTGATGAAAAGCTCTTCTGCGCAAGGAAGCTGAACCTGAATATCGTGGTACGGGATCAGGCGAAGTTGATCGATCCCACATTCAATCAACGAATCTAGTAGATAGCAGGCCCACGCAAGCCTCCTCCTACTCTCTTTGATGTGACAGGAGGCCGGACTCTGATGACATAACACGTCCGAGTCCCGCTCCATGTTCAGCTGAACAACTTGCAGATGTCGAGTGATCTGTCCAGAGACCATAAACCCCTTCGCATACTCTCCCGCCCGAAGATAGTATTCGTGGAGCAAGACCTCAGTCATTATGCTCTCGATGCCCATGTCTCCAAACCCTGTGAAGAGACAGTGCCTCGCAGCCTCGGCCCAGCCTCGGCCTGCATCAAAGTACTGCACATTGCTCTTGACGCCATCTGTGCTGGTACAGAGCTTCTCCGAGTAGTAAAAAGGCGCCGCTAAAGCGCACATAATATACACGAGCCCAGATCTCTCCTGGGTCAGTTTCTCGGGTGATTTCAATCGCTTCATGAACGTTGGAATATGGATGAACCCAAAGCAGCGCACAGTATGCACGCGTAGAAAGTATAAATCAATCAGATCGCGGAGCCGATCAATCGCCGGCAAATTGTTTGATGTGAGCCATGCGGGAATGACCGATGATGTCTTTTTCCGAATGGATTGCTCGCTGTGGGTAGAGGAAGAAGAGGGAGGAGGAGCAGGCACGCCTGCTTCAGTATATGTGCAGCCGAGGCCCTTTCGCTCGCATTGCTCGCAGGGAGCTTCGCCAGCGCATTTGGTCTTGGCTCTCCTGCAGTTAATGCATGAGCGTAGTACGCGTCGCCTCTTAAGCCCAGCCTCGGTCCTCTCCTCGCTGCTCCCATTGCTATTGAGGGCATTGCCGGATGAATATACACATTCCTCGCCATATCGGCGGCATCGAAGGCACCCGCCGAGGGTGCGGTCACATTTGACCTTTGTTCCAAGTTGGCGAAACGAAATTATTTACCAGTCGGGGAAGATACAAGGCACTCACTTTGCGGTCGCGGCATATGCGACAGCTAACAGGCTCCACCTGGGCCGCGCCCAGTGTGCGACTCTCAGCAGACATGTGGCGGTGATTATTGCATGGGATCGAGCCCTACGGCTGGATACGAGATGCGAGCGAGCCGGATCTCGCTCATGAAGAGTTCTGTGCGTAGAAAGAAGTCACAACGCTTGCTTTTTATTGCGGGGGAAAGGGGGTTAGACCGAACGACGAGTGGGGGCCACAAATTCCAACTGTCGACTTGACGTCGTATCCACCAGTTCGTCTCCTGCAGACTCGGTTGTAAGATCTTAAATTAGGGTGAGGCCTAGGGATGCTTCTCAAGCTTATTGGAGGTGTGATTTTATCTGTGGATCTTATTATTGCGCCATTAATCTAATTTCTGTATTCATTATTCAATCATGTATAGCAATGGTGGAGCTCAAATCGATTCTGACACCCGTCTAGCAAGAAATAACGCAGCATCGGACGACGGGTCATCAATAGCAACAATATTCTTGAAGGGATCTATACCCTCTTGTGATAACATTTTGATAACCAAGCTTTGGAAATCGGGGATTTTCATTAAAGCCCCTGATAATACCAGTGAGCTCCTTGCTGGATCACAAATCTGCTTTTTTGCCAGTGGCCTGACAATCTGAACAAGAGATCTAGCGGCAGATGTGAGGATTTCTAGGGCTTGGGGATCCGGATGTTCTGCTCTGAAACCTAGCGTGGTCACAACTCTTGCGACATCGGCAAGAGTTTTCTTTGTCTCCGTTCCAGGAAAGAGGATGCGAGACAGCAAGCCATCCTTGCAATGGCCAAGGCTTGATAGAACTTCACGCTCAAGTTCCGAAAGGCAATCTTTGTCAGTGCCTTGACTCAGTTCCAGGCTAGTCAAGAGCGCCTGCACGGCCTGTTTGCCAATGTCAAACGCACTTCCTTGGTCTCCAAGTAGGGAGCCCCAGCCACCAGCTCGTCCGATTTGTAAGACATCACCATTTGGATCCTGCTTGAATGCGGTCGCAACCGAGCCCGTGCCAGCGATTAGAGAGATGCCGCGCTCGACTGAATCGTCGAGCCCGATATGAGCACTGATCAGCTCGCTGTCACTGGACAGACGGAGAGTGCCATTTTCGGCGGAGACCCCAAACATCTGCTCCATACATTGGGTCAAGCACTCCTGACGGTTGGCATGCTGCAACCCGGCTAGACCTGCCCATACTGCAGCAAATTTAGGCATCTTTGTTAAGACCGGTTGCTTTGGTTTCTCGGGAATAAGAGAGACAGCCTCCGTCACGGCACTCTTAATATGTTCCATAAGGACATCAATTGGGACACAGTGAAAATTACCAGCCCCGGCATAGGCTTGAGCCACGATACCAGTGCGACTAGCGATAGAGACTGCACATTTCGTACCTCCGCCATCAATGGCTAGGAACAAGTCTTCGCTCGAATGGCTTGGTTCCTCTGGAGTTTGAATGGATACAGAGGATTGGAGGGACTCGACAAACAAATGGAAATCCCCGTTGACCAGCTCAAGACGATGCATGGCAGCATCCAGTGGAAGACCCGACACAAGCGCAGAACAAGCCAGCTTGACCTTTCCTCCGCATTGTTCAATCAGATTGTTCAAAGCTGAGTCTCCTATTGTGTATGGATCTTGAATCGAGCCGTCGAAAATATGACCGTTATCTTGCAGTATACGGTAGACTTGACGGATAATTCTGCGGCCTCGAGCCAGGAGCTTGTGGTTTTTCGCGCGCACATCGATCATAAGCCCATGATACGTCTTGCCCATTTTGATCATGGAGCAAGTACTAATCATGTTTAGAATTTGCTTCGCCGCACTGCCACATTTTAACCTGGTACTGCCTGCTAGGAACTCTGGTCCCAATAGAGGAACGATCGAATGGGTGACCCCCAAGCTTCCAATCGCAGAAGGCGTCGCATTTGTGATGGATGCAGTCACTGCACCTCCCCTGATCGCAACTCGAAGGGCCCCAAGGACGAATGGAGTTCGCCCTGATGCTGAAATGCCGATGACGGTGTCTTTAGAGGTGACTTGCAATTTACCAAGCTGCGTTGACCCGTCCTCTTCGGAATCTTCCGCAACCTCTTGTGCTTTGATGATTGCTTCACTGCCCCCAGCAACGATGGCAACAAATTGATCCTCTTCGACGGAGAAGGTGACCGGCAGTTCACTGCAGTCCATAAATCCAACTCGGCCACTATTGCCGGCTCCGACGTAGATGAGCCTGCCTCCGGCTTGTAACCGAGGGACCAGGTCCTCGATCAGTGATGCGATCACCGGTAGACAGCACGCAATGGCCGGACATACCCGCTCTTCTTCGTGATTAAACGCTTTGCAAAGATCTAGTGTATGGAGCGTATCGATTGAACGCGCTAGTAAATTGGGCGCTTCCGTTTGAAGTTGGCCAAGGGCGTCGACTCCGGAAGGCGAAGTTGTCATTGTTCTTGTATGTGGCGTCAGGTGGCTTGCCAATTCCCCCCCCTTGAAATCGCCGAACTCTAGGCCACTTCACGATCTTTGACTATGAGCCTCGTCGATATTTTATAGATCATAGATCGGAGCACCGGCGCTGGGTCTCGGTGCTGTGCATTTATGGCGGATCTCGCCCACCACGAGATCCGCCCCTGAAATTTGTTTTCTCTTTGCGGGGACGACGCGCCGTGTCACAACGCGAGCGAGCCGTTCGATATCCACGCCCTCCCGCGATATTTAAGCCACCCGGGACCCGTGCGGATCTATGCCCAGTTTGCGAACCATAGCCTCGTCGTCTACAGCTTGATATGGCTACTATCAAGTCCGCCGAGGAGAACGTCTCTTCTCCTGATGTGGTCGGCGACAACTCTCCCGATTGTGTCGCTCCACTCCCGCTCCACCAGAAGAATATCTTCTCGAGGATCCGTCGGGACCCATGGTTCCAGATCATCTTGATATCTTTTATTGCATTCTGTAATCCGGGCATGTACAATGCCCTCACGGGTATGGGTGGCTCAGGCCAGGTGGACAGCACAGTGTCTGCGAATGCCAACGTGGCCACCCACGCCGCTACAGCCGGTGCGGCTCTGGTGGTGGTCGGAACTCTATACAAGTATCTGGGCCCGCGTCTGTCCCTTCTCATCGGTGGTTGGACTTATGCTCTGTACGCGGGGGCCCTTCTGAACTCCATTCGAGTGAAGAATGGTGGTCCCTTTGTGATTGCCTCAGGCGCTCTGCTTGGTCTGGGGGCTGCCTTTTTCTGGGTTGCCCAGGGCACTATTATGGTGACTTATACGAATGATCAGACACGCGGCCGTGCTATCGGTGTCTTCTGGGTAATCTTCAATCTGGGTGGGACGATTGGCTCCCTCGCTAGCTTTGGACTGAACTACCACTCGAAGTCTGGCACCGTGACCGACTCGACCTACATTGCTTATATCGTCATTATGTTGTTTGGATGGACGCTGTCTGTCTTGGTCTGCTCAACAGAGAGTCTATCCGAGAAATATCATGGTCATCGCATTGCCCAAGAATCGAAAGCTCTCAACTTTGAGAACTTGAGGTCGACCGTGATTCAGGTTCTTCGAATCGTGTTTGATTGGAGGAATCTGTGCCTTTACCCAATGTTTTACAACGCGAACGTCTTTTACTCTTACCAGCAGAACGACGTGAACGGTTTAACCTTCAACCTACGTACACGGTCCCTCAATGGTGCACTTTACTGGATTGCTCAGATGGTCGGCGGGCTCCTGATGGGACTTATCCTTGACTTACACACCCTCAATCGCCGGACACGTGCTATAACCGGATGGGCAATTTTGTTAGTTACTGGAATGGTGATCTGGGGCGGTGGATATCAGTTCCAGGTATGGGATGATAAACGCCTGGCGCTGGGTTTCAAACAGGATATCGACTACAAAGATGGCAGTGTATTCCTGGGCCCCATGTTCCTGTACTTCTTCTATGGGGCATACGATTCATTCTGGCAGGCATTCTGCTACTGGATTATGGGCGCTCGGTCGCGTGATCCAGTGGTCAACGCTGTGGTCGTTGGAGCATACTCTGCCTTGAAGCCTGCTGGTGGAGCCATGGCTTGGAGAATCAATGCCGAGAAGGTCAGCCCGATGAAGCAGTTTGCTATGAACTGGGGCCTCAGTATTGGTAGTCTTCTGGTGGCCATTCCCACTGTGATGACAATCCGGAAGTCAGATAAAGAGTTGGAGGACAATACCTCGGATAACCCAATTGGAGACCCCGAGAAGAACTGATTTTGAGCCTTCTATAATCTCGATGAAAGGGGAACGAGTCGAGGAAGGTATATGACCCGCCCCTTCCGGCAAATAATTGAGTAACATATATCATACCCAAAGCTATACATAGGCATCTACGACTGGAGGACCCATAATGATTCGAAGCGAGGATAATTTCTGATAATGGGAATGAGGAAGCTGGCTTTAGTTCAAGGAGTCCTTCAACTTCTAGTAATGACACTATATTGCCAAAGCTTCTGCAATCTTTGATCCTGCTGACTATTGCTCATAAACGCATCGATGATTAGCGCCAATTACGTTTGTTAGCACAGAGGAAAGCAATTGATCTATGCCAAGGGATTAGTCAGACTAGCATTGACTTTTGAGACTAATTAGGAGACAGTCGTGAGAGATGTTATCGTAAGCACTAGGAAGGGTTTCTAATAATCCGTCCGGCTATTGATGGTCTCGAACATCTTGAAGACACCCTCAAAGTATGCTTTATGAGCTTCCCGTCCCAGATGAACGTGCCGATCTATTTCTTAGAATGACGTCCAGGCTTAGTTAAAGAGATGCTCGATTTCCAAATCTTCCGACGAGGAGGTATTATTACTGTACAGTATCCGCTGGGGAGTATGAGGCTTGGCAGATAGGGCAACTGTATCGCTGGTACTCGAACCAGGAGGCTAGACAAGCTGTGTGAAAGGCGTGATGACATCGATTCAAAACAAGGATCCCGCTATGTCGTCTAGAATCTTTCGCTCCTGAATATGAATATTCTCCTGACACGCAGTTGGAAAGCTTGCGTTGACCGTGGGGTAATCTGGCCGGTTCTGGAAACACAAGATATGGGGATGATGATAAAGAGGAGAGACAGATGGGGCTGTGAAGCGAGTTAGCTCATTATGTTACACATGGAAACATGGAGGTGGGCTTTCAAGAGATTCATCTCGCTGATAAGACCCTGTAGGCCAAGGTAGCAAGACCTGGTCCAAGAACGCCAGCTTGGCTGTGGTTGCCCGTGTGTGCCGAGACCGGATGGGAATAATCCCGATGCCCAGGTTTGCCCAGAAGAGGAATTGGGTAACAAAAATAATGGCTGGGCCTTATCGGGCAATTGGATCCACGGCCCAGCCCTGGGCATTCCCGCATCACATCATCCGGGCACCAGAGCCAAGCCGTGCTATCAACAACGTGGGCCGGGGAAGGTGCAAGAGGGTGAAACAAATTGATAACGTACCAAGTCTCATGTGAGTATTGCCCAACGTAGCTGGGAGCATTCTGCTCCTCTAGCCATTGCTCCACTGAGGTTTGTTGCATCGGTGATGCGAGATCGTGGTCCTCATTTGTAGCTCGAGCGGCAGCATGCCGTCGGTGATACCACATGATCATACTAACCGATGAAATCCAGGATGTTAATATCGCCCTCACAAGGGTTCCAGAGTGTTCGCCTGCATGGAGCGGGGCACAGCCAAGGCGTGTCCGTGCCCGGTCTATGAACTCACATTGGCACAATGCTGATGATCGAGAACAGCACGATAGCTCCAATCACGATCCCGATCACCTCACCTTGAGGTAAATTCTCGCCCGTCATAAGTGGTGGAACATGGAACCTGTGTCCAGGTCCACGCAAGGCAAGGCAGATTGCGAATACGAGCACGACAAGTGGAAGTGGCCCAATAGAAGCGAATCGTATCGTTGTAGTTCGAAGGGTTAGGCTCGTTGATAGTGCGATCGGATCAGTCCGGAACTGTCAGTTAACGCACAGTCTGCCTTGATCCCACTAGGAAGACAGTAACCCGAGCAGAGTAGAGGTTCAAATTGCGTTTGCGAGTCTCGACGGTCCGCTACCATAGAAATACTGGCGTAGGAAATTGCATTGCACGAAATCCAACCCAGAGGGAACCTGAGCCCGGACAGTTGGGCAGATATGAAGCGCATGGTGGACTCTCAAGCCTCGGAGAATACAGACTGCCAAGAAGCATCCAAGCTGAGCCAAGGATGACACATTATCGCCGGGCTTGGGAGGTGTCGCGCGGAGGGATGCCCAGGAAATGCCCAGATTCCCGCTCTTGGCATTCCGCGCCGCCGCCAATCACCGCTCGGTGGCGGCTTCCGGCCGAGCCAACGCCGAGACCAGTCGTGTGCGTCATTGTCGGCTCGGCTGCGGTCGCAAGTACAACGCCAAGATGGCCCGCTCGATGCCGACGCGTGGTTCGTGATGACGATTGACTGCTGGGCCTGGGTATCCCCAGATTCCGAATTTGGATGATATCGGACTGTCCGAAAAGAGAGACCCTCAGAACTGGTTGCATCTTGGCGGAATTTGCCATCAACTCCGCCCAGGAAATTATTTATATCGGGCTAAGCCCTTGGGATTCGGAAAGGGGAAAAGAAGAAGAATAGGCTTTTGGAACTACGTGTACTTTAAAGTCAAGAGGTTCAAGAAGCTTCTATAGATTCAAGGTTCTCTATTCACATCGCGGGGAATTCGAATTGTTCTTTGAACCCGTGCATGGACTCTCACACCATTCTGGACACCTTCTATATGAAACCGCCTTAGAAAAGGTTTCTTCCAAGAACGACGCAACCTTTGCACTCTGCCCACCCCCCTCATCTCACTCCGCATACCCCAATAGACCCCTGGACACGCGTGATGTCTCAGGAGAGAGCCCAGACTAAGGACTCCCAATCTTCCAATGATGCTACCTCGCAGTCTTGTCTATCTCAGCCAGCTCACAGTCTCTCCTTTGAGGCTGTCATCCGTGAGCTAGGCACAAACTCAGATGATGGCCTAACATCTGCTGAGGTCAAGGAACGTCTTGAGAAATATGGACAGAACATCTTGGAAGGAGACGAAGGCGTCTCCATTGCGAAGATTTTTATTCGCCAAGTCGCCAATGCAATGATGCTTGTAAGTGATTCAGACACATCCCCAAGTGAAGAAACGGAAACGCAAAGCAGAAGCAACCAACTAACCATTTGTTTCCCTTGATAGGTTCTTATCATTGCCATGGCAGTCAGTTTTGGCATTCGGTCATGGATTGAGGGCGGCTTCATTACAGCCGTCATTTTGCTCAACATAGTCGTGGGCGTGTACCAGGATTTCGCCGCCGAAAAGAATATGGACTCTTTGCGAAACCTGAGCTCGCCCACTGGAGTGGTGACTCGCGATGGAAAAACCGCCACTATCCCTGCGAACGAGATCATTCCTGGGGATATGGTCGAACTAAAAGTTGGCGATACAGTGCCTGCAGATTTGAGGTATGCGATCCTTTGCGAGTTGAATCAAGTAAACATTGGGCTAATCGAGGCAACCTCAGATTGACCGAGGCATTTAACTTCGAAACCGACGAGGCCCTCTTGACCGGCGAATCCCTCCCTGTTCAGAAAGAAGCGGACGCAGTCTTTGATGCCGATACGGGGCCCGGAGACCGATTGAACATCGCCTACAGTTCGTCCACCGTAACACGTGGACGTGCAAGAGGTGTCGTGGTTGGAACTGGTATGCAAACCGAAATTGGCGCCATCGCTGCGGCCCTCCGAGGAGGTGACTCCAAGCGTCGTCCGGTCAAGCGTGGACCGCAGGGTGAAACAAAGAAGCGTTGGTACATCCAGGCCTGGACATTGACTACTACCGATGCCATTGGCAGGTTCTTGGGAATCAACGTCGGTACACCTTTGCAGCGCAAATTGTCCAAGCTCGCACTACTTCTGTTCGGCATTGCTGTCATCTTCGCGATTGTCGTGGCAGGATCCAATGAGTGGCGTGGAGACAATGAAGTCATCATTTACGCCGTGGCCACGGGTCTTGCTATGATTCCCGCTTGTTTGGTGGTCGTGCTCACTATCACAATGGCCGTGGGAACAAAGAAAATGGTGCAGAGACACGTTATCGTCCGCAAATTAGACTCGTTGGAGGCTCTGGGTGCTGTGACCAATATCTGCTCGGACAAGACTGGCACTTTGACTCAAGGTCGCATGGTTGCCAAGAGGGCCTGGATTCCATCTGTGGGAACTTACTCAGTCGGATCGTCGAATGACCCTATGAACCCACAGGAGGGTGATTTAAGCCTTCTTCAAGAACCTCCACTCAAACTGAACTCAGAATCGACTGGGGAAGCAAGGACACCCGGAGATCTATTGAAAAATAATGAGCTTCTGGAATCTTTCCTCAACGTTGCTGCGATGGCGAACCTGGCACATCTGCACAAAGACACAAACAATGAATGGCAGGCTCGTGGTGAGCCTACTGATATCGCCATCCAGGTCTTTGCCTCACGCTTCAACTGGGGTGCTGATCGCTGGACCAAAGGCGAGAAACCTACATGGATTCAGCGGGCCGAGTATCCTTTCGACTCCAGCGTGAAAAAGATGTCTGTCGTCTTTGAGAAACGCAATGAAGACTCGGACTCAGAGAAGCTCCCGCAGATGGTATTCACAAAGGGTGCTGTCGAGCGAGTGATCGACTCCTGCACATCTATCACCTGGAAAGATGGAGCGTCCGTGCCTTTAGACGAGGATATTCGCGATGAGATTCTGCAGAATATGGAAGCTCTGGCGAAGGAAGGTCTGCGAGTTCTTTGCTTGGCTGGGAGAGAGCACACCCCTTGTAATACTGACAACGATGAACCTCTTCCACGCGAGGAAATTGAGAAAGATCTGGTCTTCTATGGATTGATTGGTTTGTATGATCCTCCTCGACCCGAGACTGCCGGTGCAATCGGCCAATGTTACAAGGCCGGTATCTCCGTCCACATGGTCACCGGTGATCACCCTGGGACTGCTCGAGCAATCGCTGCTCAGGTTGGCATTATTCCAGCCAATATGGACATGGTTGCAAAGGACGTTGCCGATGCCATGGTTATGACGGCTGGCGAATTCGACAAATTAACCGAAGATGAAATCGACAATCTGCCCACCTTGCCACTCGTCATCGCTCGATGCGCACCGAATACCAAAGTTCGCATGATCGAGGCGCTGCATCGTCGCGGTCGCTATGTAGCCATGACAGGCGACGGTGTCAATGATTCGCCATCGCTCAAGCGGGCCGATGTTGGTATTGCGATGGGTCAGAACGGATCTGATGTTGCCAAGGATGCTTCGGAGCTAGTCTTGAGCGACGACAACTTCGCTTCTATCATTAATGGAATTGAAGAAGGACGTCGGATTTTCGACAACATTCAGAAGTTTGTGCTGCACTTGCTGGCTGAAAACGTCGCATTGGCATTGACTCTGCTCATCGGCCTTGCCTTCAAGGATGACAGCAATCAATCCGTCTTCCCTATTGCCCCCGTTCAGATCATCTGGATCATCATGATTACCTCTGGTCTGCCAGATATGGGCCTAGGAATGGAAGCAGCGGCACCGGAGGTGATGGATAGGCCACCTCAAAGCGTATGTTCATCACTTTATTAACCCCGAGCCAATATGTCTTTCTTTTCTGCATACTGACTCATTTTATACAGAAACAAGGTATCTTCACCTGGGAGATCATTGTAGACACCCTAGTCTATGGTGTCTGGATGGCAGCTCTCTGCCTATCAGCGTTTGCCCTCGTCATGTTCCGCTGGGGTGATGGCAACCTCGCCATGGGCTGCAACACGCAATACAACGACCCCAACAAGCCCTACACCTGCGATACCGTATTCCGCGCCCGTGCAACAACATTCACTTGCATGACCTGGTTTGCCTTATTCCTCGCGTGGGAAATGATGAACCTGCGTCGCAGCTTCTTCCGGATGAAGCCCGACTCCAACCGCTACTTTACCCAATGGATGCACGACATCTGGCACAACCAGTTCCTCTTCTGGGGTATCATGGCCGGCTTTGTGCTTGCTTTCCCTATCATCTACATCCCCGTCATCAATCACAGCGTTTTCAAGCATTCGGCCATTTCGTGGGAATGGGGTATTGTATTTGTTGAGACGGTGCTTTTCTTTGCTGGAATCGAGTTTTGGAAGTGGTGCAAACGTGCTTATTTCCGTCGCCAGGCGTTCAAGCAGCAGAAGAAGGGTGATCATATTCAAAATGGAGATCGCCGTGGGTTGAGGGACTTTAGTCGCTATACCACAATGGATCGGTCCGAGACACAGGCAACTGGAGTTGAGAAAGTTGAGAAATCACTGGTTTGAAGTGGTATAAAGGATGTTGGAGATTTTGTGCATGAAGAGCATTCATATAGACAGATCTTGTTGTTGACATTTCCTATTTCGTTATTCATTTAGAGCATGCAATTGAACCGAATATTATTTTCACCCACAGTATAGTTAGTAGATGCCTTGTCACATATAATTCCAAAAGGTAATATAATCATTCAACAGCTCTTCGACGGGTGCAGGAAAAAGTTTTTGGTCTAGAAATCGAGTCTGTTCGAGGATATGCAGCTCGTTCAAGGTTCAGAGGCCTCTCCATTTTTTTCACCTTCATCCTGGATGAGGTTCTTATCGGGATACTGGGTATCCTCCCATCTTTCCCAGAAGCAAGCTCCCTTGCGTAGTGACATGATGGTCTCCCAGAAGGTACAGAAGACGAAAAGAGCCATTATGATAGATAGAATCGAGGTTGCACCAAGGTGCTTCGCGAGCGGCAACAAAATCATAATGATACCAGTGACTGGCCGCATGATCAAGCGAAGTGGCTAAAGGAAGAATTTAGAGTCAACAACCCATCAACAAACATTACTCTCGCAGCAGTAATACATACCTTATCTAGGAGTAAGGTCCCCCGCTCGTCCTTGGATCCGTGCATTAATGCAAAGATATAGAGACAAATCATACCGATGCCGAGACCCGCGCAGAGCAGCCATCGCTGGGGTTCTTCGAATTCTTGCTCAGCCACAGACGCCGCAGCAACGTGACCACCGGCCAGCAGACTAGCAATCAGCGGGAGATGAATCAAGGCAAAAGCAAAGGCCGTGTAGATGCTGTGTCGCAATGGGTGATCGTTCTCCACGGAGCCGTCATTATGCACATAGAGCCAATTCAGACAAAAGGCAATAATCAGAGTCCAAATCGCTCGAAGAAGGCGATCGTTCAGGCCAATTGCGGCATGAGACCCGACGATGATCAGATATAGAAACTCGCCCAGGGCAATAATATAAAACGCTGCGTATCGGTCCACCTCGTGGTTGATATCCACAGCAGTCGTGTAGGTCGCTCGAAGCAGCTTCTTTGCAGCTGGACAGTAGCAGAAGATCCATGTACACTCCTCGACAAATATCGCGACAGCTGCGGCCGCGATTTTACCGCGAATGGAGACCGACTCAAAGTAAAGTGGGATGTATATGCAGAGACACAGAGTGGAGAGCCCCACCCAGAGGCGTTGCTGGGCGCGGTGATGATAGCTTGCGAACGAGTAGTAGAGATGGGCGAGGTTGCATGTTATCCGCGCAGTCATATAGGCACCGACTGCAGAGCGCATTGCGCCGATTTCCTCGTCAACGAGGGGCGCGTTGTTGCCGTAGACGACCAGAGTGGCCATGACCCAGAGGATGAGTACGCGCTGTAGGAGGTCATCGTTGTAGAAGGAGTTCATCAGTTCGCGCAGGTCGCTCCATACGTGCCATGATGGCGAGAGGATAAGCTGTAGAGGGAATGATACGTTAGTATGGGTTCATTAAGAGATTTCAATTGGTGGGCAGCAGTACTCACAATGTACTTGACGAGCTTCGCGCCCGAGATATCTTCCACCAGAGTATCGGCAAAGTTCGATAGGATCGCAACGTACAGCAAGTCGAGGAACAGCTCGAATCGGCCTGCGAGGCATATGCATGAGTCATTGGTGCGCCAATACACGCCGTGCGACCGCGATTCTCCTTACCTGCTTGTCGTTCAGCTTCCGAGCGCTTCACCAGCCTCCCGTTCTCAAACCACTGTAGCGCCCGCGGCTGGCGGAAGAGGAAACGGGGGTTTGATTGGAGGTCATGGCACTCAATGCCGACTCCCGAGGGTCCAGACATGATGCGCGAAGGCTATGTACGTCGATGCACCGTGTACCTTCAGGTTGAAGGGGGTTGCCCGCAGGGGACGCGAGACAATCACGAAGGACGATGTAACTGAGCTTGGCGATCTTGGCGATCTTGGCCTTTGGAAGCCCCACGGTTCTCGACCCGACGACCGCCCGATCTCAGATCTCGTTCCCCAGATCCTGGATACAAGCGCTTACGTGAAGCCGCTGTGCAGAGGATGCCTTATTTTTCCTCTGAAGTAAATGGACTAGTCGAACATAGTTCACATAATATTTTCTGGGTAGATTGACACCATGTTCTCGAATGCAAGACGCCAGTGTATTTCGTTACATATCTTGGGAGACTCCGACAGTCTACACCGATAATGTACTTGACATCCATGAATCGGAACTCCGATCAGCCAGATCTGGATATTTCCTGAGTGACTACCTAACAGGCTTCCTAGGATTGTCATATCGACTGACGGGCACCTTCACAAACTGAATTAATTTTCTATCGCATGCCACGCACGATTTTGACACCTTGACACCTTGATGCCTAAGGACAACAACTTACCGATACGACACCTTATCTGTAAGGCAGGAAATTTGGGTTCTTGGCTAACTAACTAATTCGCGTTTGGGCTGTTTACAAATCAACATACCGAGTTTCGCAAATTCACGTGTATTTAAAATTCCATGTGCTGCATGGTGAAAACACCAATTTACATGTCACCAATCAATCTTGAACGGAAACACGGCCTGCTAGTGTGGTGATGGCTCCTCCTGAGCGTAAAAGGGCAACGGACTTTGCACCCTTCGAGATATGATCAACAAGGCGTGGGGCAACCATTTCGGCTGAATTTTCATGGTCCAATGGACGAGCTCCAAGCTGGGGTGTTGTGAAATCCGCAGCTGAGATCTTTTCGAGGCTTTTTCTCGTGTCTGATGGCGACATAGAAAATTAGGTGGTTTATTATCTGCGTTCCCTCCACGGGGTTCTTTAATGCGGGTGGCTGATATATCTAACTTGTTACAAACTCCGTACCAAGCTTTTAAATGAGATCTTGATTCTGCCAGGGTACTCGTCACGCATCGCCAAGGGTTTAATACCCATATCTTGGGAGCGCTTCGCTTGTGGACTCACAATTCTCAGGGGCTCAGGTTCGGCTGAAAAGTTCTCCGAGATCACGATCTGGGCTCCACTTCTGCACCATGCATCGTGCGCTAGCAAGCGCTTCGCGACGCTTGTCTCCATCAAGCCATTGTTCTTTACGCCACGCCAAGGCCAGGCTCATCCCACGGTGCGGAGGTGCGATGTGTACCGGGAGAAAGGGAACTTCTCGCTGGAGATACGGTACACTGATTCGTGGGCCTGTGCCGTGCCATCCACATAGTGCAGTATCCTACCGAACTTTTGAGAGAATCACTGGGCTACTGAGACTTGGGACGAAGATGAAGATTATATGTGCGTGGCGCAAGACTCATGCCTTTCCGCTGATATTATGTATTATGTACAGTATGTACTTCGTGCAGTCTATCCAGATATATGTATCAATGCCGCTACATCCTCTTTAAACGAACCAGTTACTCCAAACCACTCAATTTCCACAGCTGATTTACGTCTTCCAACTTGACGTAAGCACAGTCTTCTTTGGGTCGATTTAGTTCAGCTCGCTGGCAGCAACCTCAAGCAGGTTGTCCTGACCCAGAGCATTCTGAGTGTAACGGGCGTTGAACTTCAGAATGTGCTTGACGGCGTTGTAGCTCTGCACATTCAGAGGCAGGGGCTCGGTGCTGAGGAACCAGGCAACATCCTCCGAGCAAGGGGGAGTGGTAAGGGAGCCGGTGTACTGGTAGATACCGTGAGAGTTCAGGTGAGCAGTCAGGGCAGTGAAGTCGAGGTGGCCGGTCTTGGTGTAGGTGCCAGGAGTGGCAATGTCATCAATGTGGGCGAAAACGGAGTCGAAGAGACGGGTGGAGTAGCCGAACTGGGACAGTTCGAAGACGAAGGCAACAACAGCAATTGCACTGGCTATTGGATTATTAGTATTTCATATGTGACTGAAACCTACAATCTACTTGACGAGGCGCAAGTACAGGTATATCATGTTGAGGGGGTGCAATATTGGCCTGAACGTACCAGAGTTCTCGAAGACAAAGTGGACCTCCATGGGGTAGTACTCCTCGTTGATGCGGTGCTCGGAAGGAGTGTGGAAGTGGAACTGAGCAAGGTTGTAGGAGCCGCTGCTAGTGACCAGGGTTCCGTTGGTCAGGACAACCTCAAGGCCGGAGCCCAGGTTCTCAAACTTGGCGTTGTTAGTGCTGGGCACATTGAAGCGGATCGAGTTGGCGGTAGCGTAGTCAATGTCCTCGGTGACAATGTCGATGGGAGACTGGTGCTTGCCCGTGGAACAAGCAGAGTTCTTCTCGCTAAGGCCATACCAGGTCAGAGGGCCACCAGTGTTGGTGTAGTTGAACGAGTTGATGTCAACCCTGCCATCGGCGGAACGGGGCAGCAGCGAGGTACCGTGCAGGCATGATGCGGTGGCCGAGGCGATGAGTGGGAGGATGGCAGCGGTGACCTTCATTTTGATTGTATAGGGGGAAGGGTAAGATTGAAAGAGATAAATTTTCTAGTTTAGAAACAAGATGAGGGACATTCAGGTTCTTATACTTCCAATCATTTCCTCTTTTGGCTATATCCATAATAACGAAATAATAATGCGAAAACTACCTGTTAGAGAAAGTATGGTATTATTCCATTGAATGCCGGAATTGGTTCATTACGACAGTTGCTTGTGATAGTAATTGTATCTCCTTTTCTCCTATAGGATAATTCGGCATGACCCGATATGAAATCGGTTCGAGCGAAAGTCCTCGGGATCCATAGCACTTATCCAGGCAAAAGATCGACGGAAGTGGATTGTTGAAAGCAGACCATCATCCACTAGCAAACCGAACGCGACACTAGACCGAATGAATTCTTTCCTGTGCTTTCTACTCGTATTTCCTGGAACAAGTGCTTCTTAGTGCTATGGAGATTTGCTTTGCAGGCTCTGGGCGGCAATTGTCTATCCACTAAGCGGGGTCTGACCATCGATCGTCACGATTAGTAAAGCCACCAGCGTCCATCTTCTAATTCGTACTCGAACTTGGGGTCTGTGCCAGATGGCTCCTTTGGCTTATCCAAGTTTGTCCCTAGTTCATCAGCAGTGGTACGTCGGAGGATCTCGGTCTTGGTGACGGTAGCCTCGAAATTCAGCGTCATCAGATGAACATGGCATATTGCAAAGCTTTATTGCGAACTGACCTGGGTTGACGAGACGACGAGACAATTGAAGCTGAATAGGCGGATAAAAGGCCTAGACGACTGTCCATCTTAAAAGGGATTACTTCCCTGAAAGTGAGTTGCAATGTTTACCACTATTGGCTCTTTGGGCTCTATTGATAAACTCACACCCACAGCATAATTATTGTTGCTGTATGTCGTATTGTATTCCAAATTCGGCCGTATTTACACGGCCAACAAACTCGTCAGTGGCATGCTGAAAACCCCGTCAGGAGGACGACAAGAATTGGTGGAATCGCTGTGGACCAAAGGTGACGCTAATCGATGGGTATCCAGATTGATGGGTCCGATTCGGAGGCGTCGGGTATCTCGAATGGGAAATTACGGGCCGCCAGACGCTCCATCAAGAGATCCCCCAGCATGAAAGCCTCTTGTCAAAAAACTCAACTTATCTATCGTACGGTCCCTGGAGATAGGGAAAATAAGGTATTGAGGTTTCCAAGACGATCTTCAACCTTTATTGCAGATTCATGAGTATTGAAGGGCGCTCGTACGTACGGAGTAGGTACTTTGAACTAAATCGAGAGTACATATACTGGGGAAACTCTTGACTGGTGAAATTTATCGCTTTTAAAAATGACCCAAAGTCCCTTGGGCCGATCATAATTTCGCCCCTCGGCTCGTCCAACCTCCATCTAACCATAATTGGATCGTTCGCGCCAAGCCGTCAATTTCCTCCTCTGTATTACCTGCATGCAGACAGACTCGTACTCGTTCACTACCCTCTGGGATAGTGGGTGGCATGATGGCACGGACAATGTAGCCTGCTTCTTGGCACGCACTCGCCAATTGACGCGGCTGCGATGTGCGTAGTGAGAAGATGGGGGATGTGGGGAAATGATCAACTTCGAACATAACAGATTGGTTTATTTGGAGACCGCCTAAGCGCTGATGGAGGTGTCTGATCAGTTGCTGAACCCGAGTTCGTAACTTTGTTCGTCGATCAGCAAGAAGACTCAAAGCGATATTAGTGGGCATAAGAACTTACTGATTCGGTTTTCCCTGAAGATAGGAGTTCGTACGCGGTACGGATAGATGCGAGAAAAGGGAAGCCAAGAGCAGTTGTATAAATGAGGCTGCGAGCGTAGTTGATCAAGTAATCTCTTGTCTCAGGACCGCAGAGCACCATTGCTGACGAAGAACCTGTTAGTAGCTTGCAAGATGCGGATATAACAGGGTTATTACATACCTCCGTGACTCGCGAGTGCTTTTCCAAACGTATGCACGCGAATAAACATCCGATCCTGAACGCCGAGATGCTGTACCACACCGGCGCCGCGAGGTCCGAAGACACCAGTTGCATGTGCCTCATCGACAATAAAGTAACCGTTTTTAAGTGGAAGCAACTCATCCACCACTTGAATAAACTCCTTGATAGGAGCCACATCTCCATCCATGCTGTAAAGCGACTCAACGACAATAAAGACATTCCGAGCGCCATTTTGAATACTGGCATCCTTTTTGATCTCAGTAGCCAAAACATCTCTTAGGGCCGTTGGCGAGCTATGCGTGAACATCTTTCTTGCTCCTGCGCGGGAGAGCCGCATTCCCTCACGGGCACTTGCATGAACCAGCTCATCGTACACGATGAGATCTCCCGGTTGAGGAATGCTGGACATGACTCCTACATTGGCATCATAGCCAGAGTTGAACAGAAGGGCCGTGGGAGCATCGTGGAAGTCGGCCACAAAGCGCTCCAGATCTTCGGCATAGGCAGAGTTCCCATCTAGCAGTCGAGATCCGCCACTGGCAAAAGGAAAGGATTCAGGAGTGCCATTCAGATGCGCTAGGTAACGATTCCTGAAGGCCGGTGATGTTGACAGAGAAAGGAAGTCGTTGGAAGAAAAATCAGCCGCTGTCCGAGGCAAGACAGTGAGTCTCCGGCGGGCCGATTTCGCTTCCCGGTTGACAAGAGCACTCGTTAGGGAGTCGAGCAGAGTCTTTGGTGTTGGTGACGACGCGCCCGTCACCATGCGCGATCGGGAATCCATTGGGAGGCTGGGGAAGTAGATCGGCTGTTTTGGTTGGCTTCAAACAGCGATATGAAACAAAGTGCATTCAGGAGCAATCATGCACGATCGGTTAGTCACGGGTGTCCCTGTCAAAGATCAGGCACGATCAATGATCATCCCGCACTTTAGAGCTTTTAGTGTCAGAGCGGACCGCGGACGAATCCGGGGGCTGAGGATCGAGGCACGTAAGCGCAATCAACACGTCGTGGTCGCGTGTCTGCGAATGATCGGAATCAATCAGCCTGTATGGTGCTCATCAAAGGGAATTGATATCAGGTTCTGACTCAATCCAGGTCATTCTGCGCGGTGGGTGGGGCTCTCAACCCTTTTTCAACGGGAAACTCAACCTCGGTGAGGTTCGGTGAAGGGAGAAGTGAAGAAGGTGGAGCCGTCGTGGAGGCGGTGATTCGCCAATTGACGTCAAACTTCCCGGTAAACCCAAGCTCGCGAGTCATCGCGGGGATCGGTTAACGGGGACGCTGGATCTTGATCTTTCCACTTGCTGCTTCGCAATTGAGTAATGGCTCCTGTCGGTGCTGGTCTTTGGCGCACATTGCGCGCGCACCAAGTCTATGGTGCCAACACGGACGTCGGGAAGACAATCGTCTCGACCGTGCTGTGCAATGCTGTTCAGAGGCAGGAACAGAGGGCAGCATTCCTGAAACCCGTCTCGACAGGATCGCTGGATGATGCTGATGATCGGTAGGACATGTGTAGCTATGGCATAATTAACTACGAACTAATATATGCTTATCAACATTTCTAGGCATCTGAAGCGCTATGGGGTGGGAACCTTGACCAAGTGCCTCTACCAATTCGATGAACCGGTTAGCCCGCATATTGCAGCGAGGCAGAAGACCGTGAGTGAGGAGACACCTTGTTGATTCGACGGCAAGCTAATTGGAGAGAAGATCCCTCGAGATGATGATCTGCTCGCATCTATTCATAAGACACTGTCTGACTGGGCCCGAACGGACATCGACTTCGCCCTAGTTGAGACTGCGGGTGGAGTGCACTCACCAGGCCCCAATGGAAACTCCCAAGCAGATCTATATCGACCACTGCGACTGCCGATTGTCCTTGTGGCTGACTCACGCCTAGGGGGCATTTCTTCCTCCATTTCCGCATATGAGTCCCTCCTGCTCCGAGGATATGACGTTCAATCAGTATTATTGTTCCGCGACAATTATTATCAAAACCATGAGTATCTTGGAGACTTCTTCCGCAACAAAAGCATCCCCCTGGTGCCATTGCCAGCTCCGCCTGCAAGACCATCCCAGACGGATGCCAGCGCGCTGGCCAAAGACGAAGAAGCCATGTCTGCATATTACCAACGCGTCTCGCGAGAGTCAGATATCATGCGTTTGCTTGAAGAAATGAATGCCAGGAACACTGAAAGAATTGAACGCCTGGAAGAAATGGCCAGCCGTGCTCAAGACCTGATCTGGTACCCCTTCACCCAGCACCATGGCATGCGCCCAAAGGATATCACTGTGATTGACTCTGCGCATGATGATTTCTTCCAAACATTTGGCTCCAGTCGTTCAGAGAAGCCAGACAGCGAGCTTCGCCCTACCTTTGATGGCTCGGCTTCTTGGTGGACTCAGGGTCTGGGCCATGGTAACCCCGAATTGTCGTTGTCCGCAGCCTATGCCGCTGGTCGGTATGGCCATGTGATGTTCGCAGGTGCGGTGCATGAGCCAGCGCTTGCTCTCGCTGATAACTTGTTAAAGACCCTCGATAACCCACGCTTCGCCAAAGTGTTTTATACGGACAACGGTAGTACTGGCATGGAAGTCGCACTGAAAATGGGTCTTCGTGTGTCTTGCGACCGGTATGGTTGGGATGCTGCAAAGGAACAGATCAGCATTTTGGGGCTCAAGGGTAGCTACCACGGAGACACCATCGGCGTGATGGATTGCTCTGAGCCATCAACATACAACAAGAAGGTTGAGTGGTACCGTGGCCGTGGCCACTGGTTTGACTTCCCTTTGGTCAAGATGGTGGATGGACAATGGAAGGTAGAAGTTCCCGCAGACTTAAAGGCTGAGCTTGGTTCAGATGTGGAGTTTGACTCCCTCGGCTCGGTGTTTGATCTCCAGACCCGCCTAAGCTCCGAGACGAGTCTGCGTTACAAGGATTATATTCGCAAAACTATCAAGGATCTGGTACACCGCCACGGGATGAAATTCGGTGCTCTCATTCTAGAGCCTGTCATCTTGGGTGCCGGAGGCATGCTTTTCTGGTGAGTGATTTTAAAGAACATGGGACGCTAATTACTGACGACGATTCCTTGGTAGCGATCCTCTCTTCCAACGATGCTTGACTGATGTCGTTCGTGACCACCCGGAACTGTTCTCACCCAACCCTCCGTCGCCTAAGGATGCGTCATCTTGGTCAGGCCTGCCAGTCGTTTTTGACGAGGTCTTCACTGGTCTCTACCGACTTGGTCGCCCGACATCAGCATCCTTCCTCGGCGTGCACCCCGATATTGCCGTAAACGCAAAGCTCCTCACTGGTGGCCTGATCCCCCTGTGCACAACAGTTGCTAGCCAAGAGATCTTCGATACCTTCTCCAGCCCCGAGAAGAGCGATGCCCTCCTTCACGGTCATAGTTATACCGCCCACGCAGTGGGATGTACTGTTGCTGTTGACTCACTGAAAGCCATGTCCGACATGGACAGCAACGGCTCATGGGAGAAATTCAAGACCGACTGGAGCCAAAAGGACATGGCTCCCGCGAATGCATCTGTCCCAGATGTGTGGAGTGTGTGGTCCCAAAGTCTCCTGCAAGATCTTTCCCGTGCCGAGTCTGTAGAAAGTGTTTTCGCAATTGGCACTGTGCTCAGCATCTCGCTCCGTGATGCCCAGGGTGGTGGTAAGTATCCCGCAAGATCTCCCTGATATCGACGACTTCAAGCTAATGACTAATTAGGTTACACTTCCACCGCGGCCAAGGGATTGCAACAGCAGCTTGCTATTGGCAGTGACCAGTTCAATGTCCACTCTCGGGTTTTGGGCAATGTGCTCTACCTGATGTCTAGTGTTACGTCAAAGCCCGAGTCGCTGCCGGAGCTGGAGAATCTGCTGCGCTCGTCACTTGTCTGAATGATGATAGCATAAAGTATGTGAATGTGAAAATGTTGGGAAGAAATATAAAAAGTTTTACACGGGATTTGATGTCTCCAAGGCTATTTCCGCTTGCCTATATTCTTGCCTCTACTGGCCCCGCCGAGATTACTGTAATAACGGCACCTCAGCGTTAGATAACCCTTCTGAGGACGACTGTCGAAGGTTACCCGGCAGGTGAGCGCTTCTCAAATTGTTCAGGCAATATGAAAAATCAACAGACAGCCTCAGAATTATCCATTGATAGACGTCAAGATCATCAGCGGGGAGAACATCATGCCCAGAGAGATGGAATGACTTCACAGTATTCTGTTGGTAGATATACGCTCCAATGATATCATTTTGGATTGCAGTGTACAGCAGACAATTAAAACTACGAGATGATCACAGGTGGCTGGCTAAGGTCATGCCCTACATTCCATTCCTCGATGTTGCCGTCCCTAACCGAGTCTACGTAGACCAAGCTAGGGATAGCCCTTGAGATGATTTCATGCCCCACATTGAGCACGTCAAATACAACTTTTTAGAACTCGCTACTCGAATAGAAATTGGTGGGACTGTGGTAAGTAGTGTTGCAAGATAGCGCTATCTATCGCAACGTACACGCGGACCAAGTTTAGGTGCATAGCGTCTTGAATGAATAGTTTTATAATTACTCCACTTACATGCTCGGAACGAGTTTTAGGGTCATTTTGTGCTGCGATTGGCTTAGAATGATCGGCCTACTTTTCTCAAGGTCTAAACGCCTCCGGTTTACGCTAAGCCAATAGAAGAAAACCTGTGTTGGTAAATTCTTCCCATCACTTGATTAACAATAAGCCCTTCCGTTCATCCCTTCTTGCTCCTCTGACCCTGATCGGGAACATTGTGTAATGTGACACTGTGCCCTTGAATTCTCATTAGAAAATAGACCGTACGGTCGGGAAATTCTGAAAATGCTTGCAATTTTATTTCCTTGGAGCTTCCTTTGATGCTCCAGTTGAATAGAATCTATGGATTGCAGCACTTCTTTCTCTGGTGACTCGGGGACATGTGAAGAGACAAAGTTGTCCCCATGTGAGGATAAAATCAAGTCAGATGCATACGACGATGGGAAGTTGCCACCGATAGATGGTGGAATCCATGCGTGGTTGTTCTTAGCTGCTTCTGCTATGATAGAAGCTCTCGTATGGGGTTCGTCACGTCCATCATTCAAGTAAGACAAAGCTAACCAAACCAAGGATTCGCTTTTTCATTCGGTGTTTTCCAGAGCTATTATCACGACAGTGAAGTCGTCCAGGATTCCAACATGGTGGCAGTCATCGGGACGTGTGCGACGGTCAGGAAACTCCTGGATTCGAATGAGTCGGATATCAGCTAATAAATGATAATATAGGGCGTCGCGTACCTCAGCTGTCCTCTAGTGATCACGACTATGATCCTTCTCCCTCGAATGGCAAGATGGTTTTCCACTCTGGGTCTTACGATTATGTGTCTGTCACTAGCCATGGGGTCATTTTCGACAAACTTCACACACCTTGTGCTGTCACAAGGCGTTGGATTTGGAATAGGTGGCTGTATCGCATACAGCCCCTCCATCTTATACATGTCTGAATGGTTCGACAAGCGAAGAGGGCTCGCTTTCGGCATCGTCTGGGCTGGATCCGGCTTGTCTGGAGTGCTAATTCCTCTCGCTCTGGAGAAGTTCTTGGCACAATACGGATTTCGGACAACTTTGAGAATATTTTCGGTATTGATATTCGTGCTCGCAGCTCCATTTCTCTATTTTCACAAATCGCGCCTGCCAATCTCGAGGGAAGTCAAATACGATCGGCTTAACGCCCGCTTCCTGTGCAGCCGAGTCTCGATGATCTACCAGCTTGGTAATATTGCGGAAGCGCTCGGATTTTTCCTACCAGCAATTTATCTTCCAACACTTGCACGCGAGCTCGGTGCTTCAGACTTCCTGGCTTCGCTCACAGTGACTGCTCTGAATCTGGCATCTGTATTCGGCAGTGTTTCCATGGGGTTCTTGTCCGACCGGTGCCACACACTTACATGTGTTTCGATCTCCACGGTGGGCACCGTATTGTCCATCTTTCTGATTTGGGGGTTTTCTACAACTATACCTGGCTTGATGGTGTTCGGTGTTGCCTACGGAATTTTTGCGGGCAGTTATTCTGCGATGTGGTCAGGTATGATACGCGAAATTCAGACAAACAACCCGGCAGCGGATGCAACGATCATATTCTCGACTATTGCATTTGGACGTGGCGTCGGTAATGTTGTCAGCGGACCGTTCAGCGAAGCATTGATCCAAGCGGATAGCTGGCAGGGGCATGCAGCAGGTGCCTATGGTAGTGGTTTTGGCCTTCTCATTGTCTGTACAGGCCTTACTGCTATTATGGGTGGATTATCCTTGATGGCACGCTGTTTAAGATGTATATAATCATTGCAGGCCAAGAGAAGGCCGTATGAGGCCTCGGTTTCGGGCATGCTCCCTTGATTCTTTGTGAAATATGCAAGATTAATGTATGATATCGCTGATTTTGTAGCAGAAGAAAGGGCATCGTTTCTTGGAAAATCTAACGGCTTTTTGCGAGGTTGGGTTGAATGAACAGCGTGGACTATTTCAAGACGTAGAAAAATGTGAAAGGGATCTTGTACAGCTGTTCCTCGAAGATAATTTCAGGATTTCCACATCAAATTAGTCTAACTTTGAAATGCCCCCCTCAACGCTATCTTCAAAGCAACGTCTTTTCAACGGTCTATAGCTACGTTCATCGGTGGAAAGAGCCGCCGAGACTATAGCGCAGCACGGTAGTAAAGTGCTATGCTCAATAGCTAGCAGCGTTCTGAGATATGCGGGGGCTTATTTTTTCTCTTTCAGTTATATACTGCTGCAAATTACAAGTTGATTGTCCTTAAAAGGCCCTCTGATAGCCACTCCCCGTCGTACTGCAGGTCGTGCAAGTGTGGTCGCACTTCTTTCATAGTAACATTGGGATTCAACCCTTCACGTGGGGCGTATGGTGGAAAGTATCGGTACCTGAAGCAAGAATCCGTGGCACGATTGCTTGATGATGGCCCCTGGCCGAAACTCAGTGCAATTATTCTGACTAAAAGTTTCAAACCTGGCTGCGAGACAGCGCTTTCAGCCGTTCTGCTGGTTTGATTCACAGGCCACACTTTGCGTCTTTTATAAAATTTGACTGTGGGTGGCTTGCGCCGCCCGCTGGATAGAAGGTTTCTATGTTTTGCTGAAGTATATTTGCAGGCCAAGTCTCAAGAAATGAGGTGCTTCTATTTCTTGATGCCCAGCATAAAAGCGAAGAAAGCCAATATTTCTTTCCCTGAAAGTTGTTGAGGTCGGAACCTGAACCCGCCCGGCTACCCCCGGCGTAGCTATGAGGCCCCGAGATTTTTGTTATATAATTGAACCCCGACCCGACATGCTGGTTGGTCTACAAGTGAACAAAAGTGGAGGGAGTAATCCACTGCCGTGCCCGGAAGTGGACCGAGAGACGCTTAAATTGGTGTTGATCAAGCCCGAGAATCCGAGCTAACTAATCATTTACATCATCAAATGGACCCTGACCACGCAACTTGCTCGTCAGGTTTGAATACAGTAAATATGCAAAATGAAGACTGGCATAAACTCTCGTTTCGATATCTCCATCGCTCTTGAATTACCGAGCCCCAGAATGAGTACCCCAACCAACCCCCAAAAAACCCGTCACTGCGGGGGATGTCGGTTGTCGCATACGTTGAGTTCCACCTCCAGTTAGTAAGGAAATTTTGCACACACATATATTTACTGTCATCCCCCATTATTTCAAATCCCTCTTTCACTCTTGTTCACTTTGACTCTATTCATCTTCGTCCAACGCCCAGTGACAGTCGGCAAGCATGGGTCCTCAGGAAGTGACTACGCCACATGAGCCTGTCGACTCGGAGTCAGGATGGAAGGAGAAGTCGATCGAGGATGACTATGGGGCACCGCGTTATCAGGATGCATTTGGTGACGAGTCAAATGCTGAAGTCAAGTATAAGACGATGGAGTGGTGGTAAGTTCCGCCAATTTCATTTGAAGAAAGATTCCCTCTAACATGGATTGATTCTAGGCAAGCTGGAATGTGTAAGATTTTGATTCCGGAAAAAAACTACAGCTTTCAGTGGAAACAAGTGTCTAATTCAATCCAGTCATGATTGCAGAGTCTGTTTCACTAGGTGTTTTGTCATTGCCAGCGACCCTTGCACAGCTAGGTCTTGTCCCGTAAGTGTCATGATATCCGAGAGACATCCAAGGCACGATACTAATAATGTCGCCAGAGCTCTCATATTGATTATCGGCCTCGGTCTCCTTGCTACTTATACTGGCTATGTTATTGGACAGTTCCATCAGGCATATCCTCACATCCAAAACCTGGCCGATGCGGGCGATGTACTTATGGGTGCTTTTGGACGAGAACTTTTCGGTATCGGCCAGCTGCTCTTTTCTATCTTTATCATGGGAAGTCACATCCTGACATTCAGTGTCATGATGAATACAATTACCGAGCATGGCACTTGTACTATGGTTTTCACGACAGTCGGGTTTGTTATCTGCATGGTGTGTTCGCTGCCTCGTACCATGAAGAACATGACCTATATCTCTGGTGTCTGTATGTGAACCAAATTTCAAAATTATCTGATCCTCATTGACTGACTAAATTTTTACGCAGCTTTTGTCAGTATCTTCAGTGCTGTCATGGTCACCATGATCGGCGTAGGCGTCCAGGCCCATGGAGTCTCAAGGATCAAGGCCACCATCGACACTGATCTGTTCCACGCGTTTACCGCCGTGACTAACATTGTCTTTGCTTATTGTGCACATGTGGCATTCTTTGGTCTTCTTGCCGAGATGAAAAACCCGAGGGAATTTCCAAAGGCACTGTATATGCTGCAGACCTTTGAGATCATCTTCTATACTGTCGCCGCTGTTGTGATTTATTACTATGCTGGCCAGTCTGTAGAGTCTCCTGCCCTGGGATCCGCGGGGCCACTGCTAAAGAAAGTGGCCTATGGCCTCGCCATCCCGACTATCGTTGGCGCTGGTGTTGTCAATGGCCATGTGGGTCTGAAATATATTTATGTCCGTCTTTTCCGTGGAACTGATAGGATGCACCGTCGCGACATGGTTTCCATTGGGTCGTGGGTTGCCATCGGCCTAACATGCTGGATCATTGCTTGGATAATTGCCGATGCTATTCCGGTTTTCAGCGACTTGCTTAGCTTGATCAGTTCCCTGTTTGCTAGTTGGTTCAGCTATGGCCTTGGTGGTGTTTACTGGCTGCACATCAACTGGGGCAAGTGGTTCTCATCTCCGAGAAAGATCTGCCTCACGGTCATCAATATGCTGATTGTGTTGATTGGCGGATGTATGTGTGGTCTCGGTCTTTACGTCTCTGGAAAGGCGATTCACGATGATGCTTCGAGCAATAGCTTCTCCTGCGCCAGTAACGCTTAGTGGCATTCCTTTGGATTACAGGATTACCTTACGACCGGGGCTCCTGCATTGTGACAATTTGTTGTGTATATAGGATTCCAAAGCGAAATTGATTGATCTTTTCTCGTTAACTGTAGCGTGTATCGTATGCTTTCCAGAATTTGGTAATAAAGTTATCTGAGACCATTCAATGCTAATACCACCTTCTACTTGCGACTGGTAGCCAAGATCAGAGTTCAGGTGCAGTGAGCTAATGCACACCAAGTGGGTTTGATCACAACAGCTTTGCCTATAGGACCCAATGAGTATACAGCGATTTTGGGAGACACTCACGGCTTACAATGACCATACTATACGAAGGCCTTCCTCGCTGCGACTCAAATTGAGGATTGGTAAGCCCGCAGGTCGAGCTATGTGACCTCTAGCTTGCTTCTGCAACTCGGACAAAGTATGGCAGAGTATTCTTAAGCTCCTACAAGATTTTCCACAAAACAGAAACCGTTGTCGAGTGGGTTCCTATGATCGCATGCCCTTTTGGCGCGTCGAGTTGTAAAAGTGAGTCTCGTATTCTCGAGGGCTTTCGGCTAAGATTTGCCGGAGTAGAAGTGGAGGGGGCCTTGCATATACCGAATCATGAATGGGGCCAACCATCCTCATGAAACTCTCCAGTGGTGAACGTTAATATTGCCCTCCATTATCCACATGTTCCCCATATGAAGATAGATACTTACGAACCCTAATCACATGATGCACTAATACGGAAGGGTCAAAGTGTAAATTACCGGTCATGTATGTGCATGGTAATTATACTTGCCCTTATAAATTATCAGTATGAAATATACGAGGGTCTAGAATAAAGAGGATTAGGGTGACTTGAACGCCCCCCATGAAAAATGAGAAGAGGAGCCACTGGTAATCCGTGGGAATCCTTTCCTCACTCTCAATTGTTTCATTGGAGAATAATGTATGAGCCATGTTGAACTGCGTCCGTCCCCTATAGTGACGCCATACTCGGCTTGGCTACTGTACTGTTGGATCTGTAATGATAACCTTGGAATTCATAATACAGCTTATCTAATATTCACATATTCTGTATTAAAGATACCCCTTCGAACACAAAACATCACCTTCCATACAACGCCAACCACTCATGGCTTACCAGATCATGTGACTAGGGTTCGAGAAACCGCCCGCATGTTTCTGTCCTGGAAGGCGATGTCGAGCGCCACCCTACTTCTACTTGTATCTACCGTTTAGCCGTCAAGTCTTCCAAATTAGATCGGCAAGAGAAGGTCGTCAATTATAGTTTGTGCGAGTCGGGATACTATTTAGGAAAAAAGTGTGCATTTCGGTGTGGCCGAGGAGAAAGCTTAAAAGGCCCCTTTTCCGTTCGATAGGTTGAGGCTGAGTTTTGAAACACGTGAATCCAAAAGTCGTCTCTAATACGACGTCTTGGCAGGGGGCCTTAAGGTCGACTTGAATTTGCGACCACTCTGACGCTTCCCATTGATGATATTCTCGCCGTTGTCTTGCTCACTTTGATGTGTAGCTTTTTATTCAAGCATGATTTTCCCTCCGCTCGTGCACCACTGAAACGTGGCAGCGAGGAGACATTCTTATAAACTCTGGATCCTGACTGGACCTAGGCTACGAAATTTCCCGCTGCCAAGACAGAGTTATCCGAAAGGTGAGACATCGAGATGTAGGGCCAATAGCGTATCGCACATAAGCCTTCCCCCACGGATCGAGACCCACAATTGTCAGAGAGCCTAACGTGTGTCTCCTGGTTCTGGCTGGTTCAGGTTCCACGAGCGTGCCACTTTGCGAAGTTTTCCGTCCAAAGTTTCTTACCCCATGCTGGATCTCTGTACTGGGTAACCCTGATCTCCTCCGATCCTTCTCAACCACACTCCTTGAATTTGGCGTTGCTACATGAGTCGCCGGCGATTCAAGCAGTGCGCATCTACAACAGATGTACGACTGTCGATGAACCATACCAGCAGCACTACTCGCTTGTTCAGTCTGTCAGAAGTGACATGGTAACAATATGATTCCGACAACCTAACAATTCGTAAGTCATGGATAGGGGATAGGATTATCATCACTTTGATGACTTTCATAGAATATCAATTAACGTCTGCTATCACTTAGTTTCCTAGCGTCTTTGCGGATGAGCGCTCAACTGCTTCCTCGTTGTCCCTCAGCAACAGAATGCCACTCGAAAATGCGCAGGATTCCGTACAGAAATGGAGGGCTTCCGAAGGCTGGCTACCTCGGACGTTACACAAAACATACCTCATTCCACTGGCAGGTTTGTTCCTGTTCATGTTGGGTGTCATCGAACTTCTGCGACAATACTCTAAGAGGCAGGGAGGCATCATCCATTGGGCATATGAAGAGGACCTGCCGACAGCCATATGGGGAGCCTACACCTATCTGCCCTTGATTTTTGCCCTATTAGCCATCAATCTCCTGGACGTTTGCGCCCAGGATGTATTACGACTCGAACCTTTCTTTCAGCTGGCGAAGCCCGGTGGGGCTTCGGCCACAGTGCTATTCAACAATTATTGCTGCAATGCCTTTACAGCATCCTTCATAGCGTTTCGCAATCGCCATTGGGCGGTGCTATGTGCTGCCCCGGTCTCTTTGATTTTCCGCATGTTTCTCCCTTCACTGCTAGCCGGTCTAGTAGTTTTGGATTATGGGAATTGGGTTGAGAGGAAAGTCGTCAACACATGGCCGACTATAATCGATTTGGAAATTCAACAAGTTTGGCTTGCGGCAGGATCTTCGGGCGAAGGGCCCTTGGGCTCACCAGAGCTGAACAGTTTCTTCATGCCTGATCCTGCAGATTACGCGACTCCTCCTACCTCACTGCCTGACGATCAAAACGACTCTTCCCTATTGACGTTGAATCAAACTATATATTGGTCAAATATGACATGTGTCAGCAATTCTCTCAGAGGAGTCTTGCCACAGACCGTGACAAACTCCACCTTGACGAGCCACTTGCCCCATGGACAACAAATCTGGTCATGGAATGCTGGAAATATGTCAATGGAAAATATTCCGGGTGGTAACAAAAGCTCTCACTGTCAAATTAGCGTCGCGCTAGACACGGTCATCGGCTCTGATGATCAGACTCTTCAAGCAAAGTTTTGGGAACCTATGGGCTCTGATGGGAAATTGCTGGCTTCGTCAGCCTTCACCTATGATGATTGCAGCTCCTTCAAGGTTTTCGGGGTCATTGTCGATATGGAACTCGCCGCAGGAAACGTCTCCGACTCAAACGTCACAGTGCTTGCCTGTTCACCAACATATCAACAGGCCTGGGCCGCCGTCACTTTCAACCCAAACGCCTCCATCGCCGATGTGGATATGACGCCTTCAACTGTCAAGTCTCTCGATCCGGTTGCTTTTTATGTCGATGGAATTCATGATTTGATTGCTTCCCGATATCTGACATCAGAGTCCGACGTCAGGCTTGGAAACAACTCACAGCTCAACGTCTCTGCCAGTAACGATGACCGTGTCATCGTCTCGACTGATTCCACCATCGTGGACTCCGATGAATATTTGCAGAAAATCCGTCAGTATTGGAATTCAGATTTCATTGTCACGATCGATCGATTTTTCAGCCCTGGGGGTTCCCCACACCCGTCGAAGCGCAACAGCGGAGCTTTGTGGTCATCTTGACGGTCGCATCCAAGGCCGCAACGGTTGCTGAAGCTATTCTGGCATTGGGTCTCTTCTCAATCGCTGCTCTGACATATGTGTATCGGCATCGGCCTAATTTTCTTCAATGGGATCCAGGTTCAATTGCTGCTCAATGCACCATCGTTGCACAGCTCTTCAAGTCATCGACCAAGGTCATGTTCTCAGAGGCAAAATTGCATTTGGCAACCACTCGTCAACTTCGTCAGTGGGCCAATGGCAAATGGTGTGAATGGGTTGAAGAAGATGGCGAAGCAAAGATTCAAGTCGTTGATCGGAGTGAAGCATCTCTAGCTCCACCGCATCCACCTCCCGGTCGGCGAGACCCTATGCCGCATTTCTTGAGGCCCATCTTGTTTCTTCTGGAGTGCTTGCTATTTGCAGCGATATTGACTCTTTTCGGTGTTAGCTTGGCATACCTTCGCTGGAAGAATATCAACTCTTTCTTCAGTACCGGGGCAACCGTGGCCATGATTTTCCTAAACTTCGGACCAACTGCAATTGCGTCTATCATTGGCTCGTTCCTCGTCTCGATTTATCGCAATTTGAGCTCGATGGAGCCCTGGATCAGGCTGCAAGACGGAATGGTCAACGCACGGCAGTCTGTCGTCGAGAACTACGGCATTCAAACTCCCTTCATACCATTGTTCATTAAACGCCACCGAAGACCCGGGATTCTTTTTGCACTGTCTATTGCGTGCCTGGGAGACCTTATTCTTCGACTTCTCAGCGGTGGTCTCTTTACGCCACAACTGAAAAACTATTCGTCGCCGAGCTCGGATTTGTCCAATTTGTACAATTCTTCTGCCATGGTCAATAATGTCAAACAGACTGATATCGAAATTTCTTTGGTGGCGACGGGCAGGCTTTTGAACAATGTCTCTTTCCTCCAGTGGGCTTCAACCGATGGAAAATTCTTGATGGTGCCATTCTCGATTCATAATGCTTCCGACGATGACTACACTGTATATTCTGCAACTACGCGTGGAATCGGAGCCGATCTCGACTGCAAAGTGCTCCCTGATGTTGTTGCCGACCATTCGCTCTCCTGGAACTATACGGTATCCCAAGCCGGAGCCAGTCAGACATGCACGGTCGATATTCCCCTGACAGATGATTTGACAAGCAGAAAAGGAAAGTCCGTCCACTATTACGCCCCAAATGGGACCTCTACCTTCTGTCAAGAATCCAGCATCTTTGTCTTGGCATTCTGGGACCTGAAAAACCTGACCGATATCAACGAAGCCACGTCAACCGCATTGCACTGTGAACCAAAAATCCACATCGAGGATTTCCACGTCGAGTTCGATTCTAGTGGAATGGTCCAGGATCAAAACGCTGTCTCTGGGAGCGCCATTACAAGCGGAGGGCTCTTTCAAAACGCATCCGCAGTCTTGGCAGACTTCAATCAAATGTTGACCGGAAAGCCTCGGAATTTCACATCACATCGCTTCAACTACTCGACCACCCATCACCACCATCCCCATCATCGACACGACTGGTCCGGACGTTTAACTGCAAATACCTACGCCGCGACGTTCCCGCACGACTTCACGTTGAAGCCAAGGCATCTCATTCTTTCCGTCCAGACAGTCTACCAAACTGTCTTCAGTACACACCTCGCTCTTTGGAAGGATAACTTCCTTGAACGTATCCCACCCCATTCTGCTCAAACAGCACACGGTGATCTCCTAGATAGCCTGTGGGGATTCATTCCATCCACCAGCTTGGTGGTCATCATCATTTGCCTGCTGGCCATCGATGCAGTTGCTCTCATAGCCGTCTTCGCACTTCGCTTCAACCGCTACCGAGGACCTCGCGTTCCAAGGTCTCTCGGATCTCTAATTCCCTGGGTTGTGCAGAGTCGCATGCTCTCCGACCTTGGGGATACGTGGGAAATGAGCGAGCGCGAACGTGAGAGGTATTTGCTTGAGAAAGACTACAAGTATCGAGTTGGTGACTTTACGGCCGTGGGTGGGCCGCCGTGGGCTTTGGATTATGATTACGATGACCAACGGGCAGACTCGGGTATTGAACTGCAGGAACGCGGACCTGTTGATTAGAATAATGATAATATGTATATACCACTGTTTATAGGCACTGAACAAAGCTATACTGTTCAGACAAAGCGCCTATCCAGCGAGGTTTAGCAATATCACCTATTGTAGTGCGTAAATACAGTCGGTATATTTGAATATAGGACTCCATCTCACAAAGCAGGCTGCCCCAACGCAGGAGGATAAGCACCCTCGTAAGCAACAGCTTTATTCTCCTTCACCCAAAGCTGCTCCTCTGCGCTCTTAAATGGCGGTGGAAGCAAGCTATTGATCTTCCAAAGCCGTCGCTCCGTCTCATCAACATGGTACTCAAAATCGTATCCCTTGTCCAACAAATGAGGCTTCATGATATCGTCAAGGCGAGAAGTAGTCCGGAGATACATGGCGTCCGAATCCGGCACGTGAATGGCAATGTGCGTGATGACTACTCGCACGAATGGTTTCTCGCCCTCTGACAATGGCTTGCCGCCCAGGTAAACGTTGCTGTTGTCCATTTTGTAGAAATGGGTGACGACGTAGAAGGCGGGTAGGCCGAGGGTTGTGTACATTTTGGTGATATCATCGGCGAAGGCTTGTTTTAGGGCATTGTCGTCGAAAGTGCCGGGTGGGTGGTAGATCTGCCAGAGAGGCATCTTGAAGGGTGATTTGACCTGGAAAGAGAGTACAGAGAATGATCGAGAGAATGAGGAACTTTAGATTAGCGGTGACACTCGGGCAGAGGGTTTTTATGTTCTCCAGGCGATCAAGACCCTGTTATTGTCGGCAATGACTAGTCATCGGTCTCTGTGTGAGTCGTACAAGGTCAACGTAATCTGGCCGGCAATTACGAATAATCACATATTCGGACGATATATGATATTCCGGGTCAAGCACAATGTACAGTCAATAAATAGATAATTCGTTTGACTATAGTTCAAGTCCGATGCCGGTGGTCGTACTAGAGCCGTACATATCAATGGGCTAACGATGATTATTCAACGCCAAGGTGACCGAGATTTGAGATTATTCAACAGCGCAATTTCAACTAACTATCATGGGACAACCCCATCTAACGATGACAATCAATAAACGCTATTTTTATTTTATTACCAGAGCAGAAATATGAGAGATGAATTTTAATTTTCCAATTCTCGACTCACATAGACTTCGAAATATCTCGTCATCGTTCCATGAGTTTCATCAATAGCTAAGCAACGGCACTACCTGGGGTTTGTGATCTCATAAGACCATGAATTTGCAACGTAGTGCAAGGAACGCATTCTAGCTCTCAGCCATCTCAGTTCATCAAGAGTAGCGAAACATGCCGTGTGCCTGGTGTTTTCACGACAGTACACTCAGTAATGAATGCATGGGACCGTCGCGCTGTACGCGTACTGAGCTCGACACTCCTCATCACATCTTTCGTTTGCGTATGCAAGTTCAGGGTTCATTACTAATCTAATCTAGAAGCAAGACGCTTCACAAATCGAAAGGATACCCGGTATATTTTATATCATAATCATAGTCCCCATCCTCGGGGACATAAAAAGTCAAAACATGCAACATACTTGAACGCCTCTCAAAACAGAGGCATCTTGGCAACATTGACATAATCAATATTATCGGCAACGGACTCAATCCGCTCCGTACATGTGCCAAAAATCTTATCCCACAACCTCGTCTGCTTCCCATAATTATGACTCTTCCTCCACCCCTTCCGATGATGCAAATCGTGATCCTCAATCACAATCTCCGCATCTAACCACTGCAACAACCAGCTCAGCGTCGACGGAACAATCAAATGCATCCGCAATCCACTGTGTCCAAAGACCTCTGCAAAGGCAACATACTGGTGGCAAATCCACCACTCGTAGAAGCCCATCGGCATACCCATCGTCCGGAGCGTTAGCCACGTCATGAATGGCACGCCGACCATGTCGAAGAATTCTTGCTCATGGTCTGCGTACGCGGCTAGGAGCGGGTTCGGGTGTTTGGTGAGGTGGTGCGTGCGGTGGAATTTCCATAGGAAACTCACGTCGTGCATCAGACGGTGGTACCAGTAGAACCAGAAGTCGAGGACGATGCCGTACAAGCCGATTTCGAGAGGGAGCCAGGCCCAGTTCATTTGTGAGGGGAGGAGGTTGCGGTTGTATGTGAGGTATGTAGCCAGGACGAGACGGGAACCGGTGGTTTTGTAGAGCGAGGCGACTACTTTTGCGACGCCGACGTCGGGCACGCCGTCGCGCTCGTACTTGTCGCCGTCGAGGAAGCCGTAGATATGGCCCATTCGGCGGAGGACGTGTACTTGGTAGATGACTGTTGCGTTGAAGGCGAAGAAGTATAGATTGAAGGTTGCGAAGGGGCCGAGCGTGCGGCCGGTATAGGTCATGTATGCTTGGTGGAAGAGGAGCGGTAAAGACGAATAGAAGAGAACCCAGCGCTGCAGGGACCACTGCGGCATGTACGGCAGTTTCTCATCTTTCCGGTGCACTGGGATCTCCTTGTTCAACTCGATCGGGTGGGCGTTGAGGATCTCCAGTGCCCAGTGGGCGTGATTCCATTCCGAGCGGTCCGCCGTGCGCCACGTGGACCGCATAGAATCTTTTGATAGACCTTTGGTATCCATGGTGAAATGGTGTACTCAGGTACTGATTTCTTCGGATGCTATGGTAACCAGTCGAAGACGGTCATCGATGGCGGAGACTCCTGTTTATATCACTTCTTCCCCCCGGAAATGGCCCAGACCAACGCCCAGGACATGTGAAGGGAGGGGCGAGGGGTTCATGACGCTACGCATCGTGGATCTCGTTTCCCCAACAGTTTCGCAGACGTCAAATAGCGAGTAGATCGCCTAAGGCTCCATCGAGACCCAAAATGGGGCAGATCCGCCCATTCCACATGTGAAGGTGGGATCGTATTTGATGTCTCCCCCCGCATGAACGAGCCTCGGGCTCCCCGGATGGCCATCGAAGGGCGGAGGATCTTCAGTAATGGTCTTATTCTGGAGGGCATGAATGGTCAAATGCCGTGCAAGGATCGTCCATGATCACCTCTCGTGATTATCATGATGTAGGGCGTTTCGATCGGCCCCCCCCGGGGGAAACCTTCGAGTATGTAAAACCCGGCCTCGGTTTGCGCCATTGTGAAAGCCAAGATCTTAGATCGCGCGCCAATCAGAGGGGGAAGGTGGTTCTCTGGGCCTTCGGCTAAAGCGATGTGTGTGCCGCCCGCCAATTAAGCATTGCCGTCGAGGGAGATTTACTTCCTCTTTGGGATACCTCTGCGATTGATATGATCCGTTCCCCGGCCTTTAGGCATTCATCTCTTGGTCGAGACAGAATTCTGTTGGGGTGGCATGCGAAGGAGGTTCTGGTCGAAAACTATTTCTTCACAAGATGGATTCTCGTCTATATGGGTTGGGTGGTTGTCGACCATATAGCCTATTTATCAGACACGACTGCCGTCTTCATATGCTTCTTGTACGTGAGAAGTACATGGATCCCTGCCATGCGCCTGATTTAAGGTTAGTCGCCGGAGATTTCTACCTTCCGGTCGGTTACACAGCGCCATGCTGAACCTGACTAACCCTACAAGCCTGCTTAAATGATACAAGAGAAAAAACAGCAAGTACTGGTATTGATGATGAAGCATGTTCATAAAGCAACTGGCAAAGTCCACTCGCTTAGTGGCAATGAACTGCTTCATATTCCCGAGACTGAGTGCCCGCCGAAGCAGACAACTCCATACCCAAGAGTTTCAAGACTGGGCTTCAAGATACATGGCCAAACCTCAGACTAATACTCAAAGAATTGCAGATGCAGATCAATGGACTAACATCACAGCTATCATTCAGCTGGAAAATCATTTGAAAGCACAAGCAGTTCCAATTCTATTGCTCAGATAATCTCTTCATTTTTAGGACGACAATCCGTCACGGCCTATCAATATAAACAAAGACATCATTCACTCGGCCAAGACCCCTTACGAGCTCGCTGCGACCGGCGCAGCAGTCTCGGGCTGGGAAGCAGGCGGAGAAGGAGCCGACGCATCCCTCAGCTCGGGCTTTTCGAAACTCTTCATGGGGTAGTATCCCCACTTCTCAAACATCACCCGATCCTCGTCCCAGCCATTGCAGTCCGTGGTCAACATCTTTTCACCCGTGAAGACGGCATTAGCACCGGCCTGGAAGCAGGCTACCTGCTGCTCCTCGGACATGGCAATGCGACCGGCAGCCAGACGGACAATGGTCGCAGGCATGACGACACGGGCCGTGGCGATGGTGCGGAGCACCCGGTCAAAGGGAATCATCTTCCGGTCGCCCAGGGGTGTACCCTTGATCGGGACGAGGGCATTGACCGGGAACGACTCCGGGTGCGAAGGCAAGTTCGAGACGGTGTGCAACAGACTAACGCGGTCGGCATCGGTCTCGCCCAGACCCAGGATACCACCGGAGCAGACATTGATACCCGCATCACGGACGTGCTCTAACGTGCGCAGACGCTCGTCGTACGAGCGGGTCGTGATAATGGTGGGGTAGAACTCGCGCGACGTATCGAGATTGTGGTTGTACGCCGTCAGACCGGCCTCCTTCAGCTCCTTGGCCTGGTTCTCGTCGATCATGCCGAGCGTCACGCAGACCTCCATGTTCATGTCGCGAATGCCCGAGACCATCTGCTTCACGTTCTTCAGGCTCGTCTTGCGACCGCGCATGTCACGCCATGCGGCGCCCATGCAGAAGCGCGTGCTGCCGTTGGCTTTGGCGATGCGGGCTTTCTCGAGGACTTCGTCGACGGGGCTCATCTTGGTGGCCTTGAGGCCGGTGTCGTAGCGGGAGGACTGGGCGCAGTAGGAGCAGTCTTCGCTGCAGCCGCCGGTTTTGATGTTCATGAGGGTGCACATTTGGATGGCGGAGGGGTCATGGAAGCGTCGGTGTACAGCGGCCTAGAACGGTCATTTGTTAGTTGCCATTGATTGCGGGGTGACTGTTTGAGTTCTCGGGTTTGTCGGGGAGAGTCGGTTTAATGCGATGCAAGCATTGAGGCGCGAGGAAGAAGGGAATAGACGGTCAATTGGCATGTCTCATCGTTGGAGATTCTTACCGCAGCGTATGTGAGTTGGTTCAACGGGGTGTGGTAGACTGCGTTGACTTCCTCGGGGGTCCAGTTGGTGCGGGGAGCGGTTGCGGATGTAGCCTCCACCAAGACGCTGGGGACGCGGCTGGCAATGGAAGCAGCACTGGGCGAGCCCTGAACCGTCCCGTAGGACCGCCAGGCAGTCCGGGACAAAGACCGGGGGAGTGTGAAGGACATGGCGGAGGGGTATGGTGGAGGATGGGAGGAAGGAAGAGGGGGAGGAGGAGGAGGAGGAAAGGAAAGAAGGTAAGAAAGAAGGTCGGGATGAGTCTATCACGATGAGTCGGAGGGGGAGAAGGAGAGGGGCAGGACGAGATTCACCGGCGTGACGGTTCCGACAATCCTGTGGGGAACCGCATTTGGGTGGTTGTTTTTGGATTAACCGGATAACTTTAAAAACTCACTCACTGCAGACTCGCCCGTGAATTTCTCGTGGACTTATCGCCCTCGTCTACCAATTGATTCCCCTTCAGTGCCAAAGTGGGTGCCTGGACGGAATAACTTACTCCAAGCATACCTAGCTATCCTCAGCTATCCTCAGCTCTCCTCAGCTCTCCTCAGCTCTCCCCGGAGAATGTAGAAAAGACCGGGTTATGGAGGCCTGCCCTCGTTGAATGCTGAATGGCTGTGTTGACCCCAACCAAAGCCCAGCCCCGATCTGCATCCCTTTCCCTCGGAGATGATCTGCTCCCGAGAGAACAGTCCCAATCTTGTTATGCAACAAGTCTAGTTCCTCCAGAAGAGCTCCGACTATAACCGAGGGTATGGCCTCCTCCCCCAGACCTGAATTCTCGCGTTTCCCGAAAAGCTATTCAGGAACACCCGGGGAAAGCCTTTTCGCCTGGCCAGTAAGCTTTTTTGCTGAATTGCGCCGCGTTGGATTCGTCTGCTGCGTCATCACCCACACCACTCACCAGTCACCACTCCTCACCTCGGTTCGGGATGGGATCCACTGGTTTGTGGGCCAATCATCATCTTCAGATTAGACAGCATGATGGTTGGTCCGTGCTGAGACTTGTCGGGGGAAGGGAAGTGGAGGTTGAAGAGATGAAGGAACTGATTGATGTGAAGCTGTTATAGTTATTTTATAGTTATTTCTACCTAAGCTATTGCTATCTATATCGACTGATACTAGCTCGTCCTACTACAGATATGTTAATTCAGCTATCTCACAGACATCCAGTCCTTCCAATTCATCAAAGTAATCATGACATGACCATTTCACATAACAATGCACAAAATATACACGTCCATCCAGCGGGTATCAAACAACAATCTCATCTCCAGGAGAAATCCGACGCATCAACGCGCCACCAGCAGCAGAAACAAGGACACAAGAAACCAAAGAGCCAAAAACACCCCACCCCGTATAATACAGCCCACCAAGTACAGCAAGCAAGATCGGGATCATTCTAGGGGTGACTCTCAGGCCCAACATGATCCCCAAATCCACAACTGTCTGGTTTTCAGTCTTTCCGGAAGTATTCCTAACCGGCACGCTGCCCCATTTGATGTGGACTAGGGAGATGAACCCCACAAGCCATTGCGGCAGAAGACTGAGGACAAGCAAAAGTAGTGGATTGGGTGGGAGGGTATTCGAGACGGGTTGTGAATCTGATTGCACGACGGTTGTGCTAGGAAGTGGTGTAGATGGGTGGGTGAGGGGTCGAGATTGGGTAGTATTTGACTGAAGAAGAGGACGAGGCGCAATGGAAGAGTCAACGGTGACTTCTTCTTTGTCCTCAATGACGAACGTGTGGGTAGTGGGCAAGGCAGGATAGGTTACCTCCGGCTCTTCGATCTCAGTGTCCGTGGTCATCTCAGTGCAGCTCGACTGGGTGATAGAAATAGAATCTTCTTCAACAAGCCTTCCCTCTGGCATTTGAGCACGCTCAGTAACAGCCACTACGCTGCCTTCGCGCCTCTTTGCATTGAGGTGCCTTTTCATCGTTTCGTGATATTTCTTCTCCAGTTGTCTGACTTTCTCACGGCCATCTTGCTTATGTCTTTTTGGGTGGACGAGGAGATTCGAAAGCTCGCTAATCCTAGCGAGGATCCTCTCCCTATCGCCTTCTAGATACGTGACATATTGATCAAGGATCTTTTGAACTTGAAAAACCTTGTCCCGCCCAATGGACTTCTTGCACTGATGCTCATCGCCACTCTTTGTCTTCGCAAGGCACCGGAGTTTGGTCAAGTTGTCTTGAAAGTACTCTCCTAAATCCTCCTTCAAGTCGTCATACAAGACATGTCGATAGGTGGGGGTAGTCAAACGCGCCATTGGATGAGATGAATAAACAAATATAGCAGAGTAGACTAAATAGAACTGAACTTTGCGATTATCGAATGAGAATCACGAAACACTCCTTCCCAGGCAAGTGGCGAAGAGGCTTTGGAAACTAAGATTGGAGCTACGTTCACCAGGGCAACGAAGCCCATTTATGCCTGCGATCAATACCACCATTGACCGCTACTTCATGTCTATCCGGTATTGAAACAGAATTCTTTCTGCCTCGCGAGCAAGGATACTACCATGGCTTCCCTACAATCCTCAGCCACAAAGCACTCAGCCACAGGCAGCAACTATAGCAAGGGTGTAGGAAGAGCCAAATTGGGCAGGTGCAACACAACGTTGCAGCAATTTCAGGGGCCAGGATAGGGTCGAAGGCCAGCTGATGACGCCCCGGCGGTAAAATGGCCAATGTGAGGTCATTGATACAGAACGCGTGACGACAGGCGTCTCAACTTGAGCGGATTGAACCGTCTCCAGGAATGGTGTCATTCAGGGGATGCGCGGGGCGCTCGGGGAAGGGAGGTCTGAGCCGCACTTGCTATAAATGATGGATATCCTAGAAAATCTACTTCTCTGATTGAATTGTAGCTACGAAGAAGAAATCTCTTACATCTGTTCACAAAATGCATTCAATCGTCATCAGAATGAGTAAATCCTACATTGATAGAAAACGCGAGAGTCGAGAACAAGGCCATTTTTGGTGATGGGGGAAATGCACCGCCCCTCGTACTTTTGAAAATCAATTAATAGACACGGCCCAGTCTTGAAGTGAAAATGCAGGGAACATGACTCGCGATTTTGGAGCGCTTCAGGCGGTTGCACAGGTTCAATCCCTGGGAAAAGTCTCTGCTCTGGTGACCAGGAAAAATCCTGAAAGGTAGGGACGCGCTCGAGGAAGATAGTCAAACACTTGCGCAAAAGGTTCTCGTCGGTTTCAACTCTCAGTACTGGCTACTATATGACATCGGAATCAAGACACTCTATATTTTTTGGCTATGGTTTTCTGGGCATCTTTGCGAGTTCGACGGGATACGGGGCAAGTGAAAGGAGGACCGGATATCGAAATGAAAGAGCTGGTGGTGCGGTCCCAGCGAGCGACTTCTGGTCGCGCAGCCTAGTGGATGTTTGAAAGTATCGCACGCAAAGAATTGTCGGGTAATTCAGCATATTGCTGCCGGGGAGAATTTCTCAATAACCTTTGAATACCAGCCAGGCTTTCCTCTTTGGAACAACCTCATCGTCGTGGCTAAATGCTGTCTGCGTGAATCTTGCAGTGCGGTCGAAAGACGATACCCTTCGGATAGGCCTATCTCTTCCTCTTTCTGTATCACTGCCGTGATATATTCATGTCTGTCGGCATATTTCTGTATGCTTTCTGCGTCTTTCGGATTTCCATCCTCGTCATAATCCCACGCTACGTCCATATCAGGTGGTATAATTGAGAAGGTTAAAGGAAACTCGCCAAAAGTCTCCCAAGGTCCTGCGAAAGCAGCTTCCTAGTCAATAAGGCTCAAGAAGTTGTACTTGTCATCGAATACCATGTTGTTATGACCGAAATCACCGTGGCTCAACGGAAAGGGCCTTCATCATGGACAGAAGGGTAGCCGCAAAGGCCTTAACTAAGGACCTGAAGGAATACGCGGAAAAGGATAGCTCATCAGCTAGCGAGCCCGCCGCTTCTTTCAACTTTGCCTCGGATTGTCCGAACTTAACCTTAACTGCCCACTGTTAGAAAAACTCAGTAGCGGTTTCGAAAGGGCCACCTATTCCGGGAATAGGGCCTTATTCGAATGACCGTCACTATTTCTACCGGTAATAGTCCCAATTCTTAGTAGCTATACTCTCGACAACCGAACCTGAGAAGCGGAAACTTAGCAATAGAAAACCATATCCGGTGAATAAAGCTATTACTTACCTGAATTTCGGCCATTTTTGAGAAAACATAGCTCTTACGATAATTGGAAATCTCTATGCCAAGGTCCATGCCGATATTGCCCCTCAAACAGTCTATTAACATAAATTGTGCTTTCACCGGGCTTTCAGGGTCGAGTTCAACAGCATGAACGTTAGGAATAAGAATATTGGTCTCCTGCTTGATAAGCAGAATTGTGTTGTATTCGTTGCTAATAATGTATTTAATCATATCTCTTTCGGCTTGCTTCCTAGTCAAGGGCTGCATTCGCAAGCGAGCGACCAAACCCTAATGGTCGTCAAATTCGATGATTCAAACCACGTGGTTATATCCAAGTCCAATATCTGACAACAGTCTGCACGCTCTTCCGTCACGTAATCGGGTCGCAAAATCAACGAGTATATACCAGTTTGTTGACGTAATAAAGCTCATGACTCTCGCACGCAATGCGTTGTCGGTAAGCGAAGCGAAGTAAGACCATTTGTAGCCGGAAAAGTGTTCACCGTCTGCACAATTATCAATGCCTATTCCATATTGCATGGAATAGCACACAGCACTGGACATAGCGATAGAAGATATCCTTTGAGATTAAAGGTCTTGTTCTATTGAAATGCTTTCTCAATTAGTCAAAACAGGTTTCTTCGAAGTTTATGTAGGCGGGCAAACAAATATAGAATAAAAAGCAGTGAGTCCTGTGCCTCCCTTTCTCTCCACTCCCTCTGCTCTCCCTAGTGTTGGAACGCAGGAAAGCGGATTATAGGGGTGCGCCAATAGAATGGATCAGAGGCCTGAAATGCTGGAAGGCGGGTTGGCTCTAAGTCAACCTGGAATATGCCCGGATAGTTAGCAGTGAGATGTGTTTCATGCTTGTCGGCATCATTATTCTTAGAATCTAACATCGCCCCTGAAAAGAAGGAAGCGAATACCATTCTTAACTGGGTGATCAGTAAATTTTACCAAACATTTCAGTATGGACCATGCGACATCTCAATTATTCTATCGCTGCTATTCCTCTACTACAAGTGCTGGCCAGCTGAGATCTGGACGGTATCACGACGGTCATCCGCCACTATCTGAAACGGATCTTCTCTGTGAATTCGATAATCATCAGATCTGAGAAAGTAGACATCCTACTGCGCTGGTTTCTGTCACAAATCGTCCCCTTGAAGCTGTGCACCGCGCTCTAGAGAAATATTACCACTTTGGCAAAGTCCCAGGAACGGCCTGGATCGTCATTATTCGGATACCCGGTGGTGAAAGGAACCAACCGCCCCATCATGCTCGGGAGCTTGCGCTGCAGTGGCGTCATGAGAATGCTGACATCTTCAAGTTTGAATACTTGTTTGAGTGGTGGTCATGTTGATGAAGCTAACCAGTTCTTCCGTTTCCGGAGATCGTGTGGGGTTCTTGAATAGGGTGATATATGTGACATTGAACTCGGAATTCGAGATCATCTTGATTCGTACCTGGGTATTTAGACATTACAGGACCTCAAAAGCCAATCACATCCTTGATCATTGTGCAGCTTGGTACTTTAACTGATGTATAAGATGTACTGCATTACAGGTGTGAAAAAAGGCGACCTTGTAGCGTTGACATGGTTGTGGCTTGCGGGTTCTGATAGATGTGGGTTACCCTATTGCTTGCTCTTTGGTGTTGACTGTGGGCGTGGGGTCTCACAGTGACGATTTATTCACAGCAGACAAGGTTGTGCTATAAACTGGAGCCCTATTTGATGACTTCTATTGAAGATGACCGGAAAGTACTCGAGAGCGACCGTGCAAATGACTGCCAGGGCCAGGAGAAGTCTTCCTCTCATTCAACTAGTCCCTGGAAAGTGGATGCCCTGCGATTTACTCATCGTCCAGGTCTATCGCGGCAAGGTGAGATCCGCAAACAGAAGAAAATTAGATTTCTCGAGACAGACGTTGACTAGGTTGGTTTGGCAGGAGATGGCATGCATTGTGTCTGGAGTGCCTCCCTCAGTGCCCCCCTCGACCTCATTTAGAGGCACGATTGCACCTGGCATCGGTTAGTACATGTCAGTATCGTCTGCAAGAGCCAAAGGAAGCTCCCAAAATGTCTGAAGAAGATTTAAAGACTGTTTTTGAGATCATCGACACTAGCACCTCCAGGATGACCGCAGGGTGAATTACTGTGGGTCTCTGCTGGGATGGGATTATGGCTGACAACACCCAGGCTTCAGTCGACGTCCCCATCCAAACTTGCCAAGTCTGATCTCGCGGCGAGAAGCTCATTCCACAGCCGTGAGTCCCTGTCCATCACTGGCAAATGCGTTGCCAATATTCATGATGAATTCCCAGGACCACGACGAGGCACAGGCGTGGGAATGCAAGGGCCAGGTATGAAGTGGATGGATGGAATCCATGAAAGGCTCACGCTGACAAGAGAGCGACGCGAGTACGACGACTGAAAGGTCGGGGCTAAGAAGATAGACGATCAGTAATCCCGCCAGTTATCCCCAGCCTATTCCGTGATGGGCAGTAGCAGGCAAAGGAGCCGAGGCGAATAGTCAGCTATGGTGGACCCAGTCATACTGGGGGCTGCCCCCTTCCCCGCATCCCATTGATGCCCCTCCATCGGCAAATGGGCTCACTAGCATGAATTGGGACTGTCTCTGGGGCTATTGGCGAGAAAGAGACTAAACGAAACCAAGCAAGCGGATTCGTTGATTCCGCCTGGATTGATCTCCCTGTCGTGCGGAGAAGTTGGGTTGAGCCGAGGAAGGATGGCTGTGGGCTTCGGCTCACGGCAACATGCCCATTCACTCTTTTGGGCCTTTGCTGTTACTGCTTTCGCCTCGCTCTCTTCAAACTTGCTACCCTATTGACCTTGCAGATTTCTTGAAGTGAGAATTCGGTGATTATCTGGCCAGAGACAAACTCGGATGCCGCATTCGTTTACACGGCTATTGAACTCCACCAAGCTTTAGCGAGGATCTTTAATTCCTGTACAGTGATCAGAACTTCGTATCAATATGGACCTTGGTATATTCTCTCCCAGATCCATCTCATTTGAGGTATGGCATGGACTGACGGAACTCCAGGCACCGCCGCAGCTGCGCTCGCCGGAGGGGTGACCGTGGCGGCATACCTCAATGCCAAATTCCACCTGAGGAAGGACATGAGTGCTATTTGGTCTCTGAAAAAAGCCGAGCGCTCATTAGCGCAAGCTCGTACGTATCTACCAGCCTCTCGCTCTTATCAAAGATGCTGATACTATCTGCAGTTGCGAAGAACCAAGCAAACGCGTGGTTCGTCCTCCTCGAGACCGTCAAACGACACCCGGATATGATAGCTCTTTGGACACGGGAGCGATCATATACCTACCGCGACTTACAGGACCAGGCTTGTCAATATGCTCACTTTTTCCTGGCAAATGGTGTGAAGAAAGGTGATCTCGTCGCCTTCTTCCTGCAGAACCGAGCGGAATTTTTGATCGCATGGATCGCGCTTTGGAGTATTGGGTGTGCTCCCGCTGCTATCAATCACAACTTGACTGGCGACGCTTTGGTCCATTGTCTCAAGATTAGTGGCGCAAAGCTCACCCTGGTAGACGAAGATCCTATCTGTATCGCGCGTGTGGAGGAGCGTCGAGATACGCTGACTGGTGAATTGGGCATGGAGCTTAAGACTCTGGACGAGTCGCTCAAGGCCCATATTCGCACTTTCCCGACTACTCTTCCACCGAAGGAGCTGGCGCTAGGCATGAAGGGCGAGTTCCCATCTATCCTGCTGTATACGTCCGGGACAACTGGTATGCCCAAGGGCTGCGCGTTCACCATGTCCCGACTTTATACGACCCTGACCACACGACGTGATGCGATGGGTGATATAAAGGGCCCTGATGGTGACCGCTGGTATAGTTGTATGCCGCTGTATCACGGTACCGCAGCCATGACTCTGATTGCATGCCTGACGTCCGGCGTCAGTATTGCGTTGGGTCCCAAATTCAGCGTGCGGAATTTCTGGAAGGATATTCGAGACTCGGAAGCAACTGTCTTTGTCTACGTTGGTGAGACGGCTCGATACTTGCTTGCACCTCCGCCATCGCCTCTGGATCGCAAGCACAAAGTGCGCTGCATGTATGGCAATGGTCTGCGCCCAGATGTGTGGGAGCAATTCCGCGAGCGCTTCGGTGTGCCCGAGGTGGGCGAATTCTTCAACAGTACAGAGGGCATCTTTGGTTTGTTCAACTATAACCGCGGCCCATTCACGGCAGGGAGCGTTGGACACCATGGTCTTTTGATGCGCGGTCTGTTGCATAATGTTTTCGTGCCTGTTGCCATTGATCCCGAGACGGGCGATGTTCTGCGAGACTCGAGCACAGGGTTCGCCGTGCGAGCAACATATGATGAAGGAGGTGAGATTCTTGTGAATATCCCTGGCAAGGAGGCATTCCAAGGATACTGGCGCAACGACTCTGCAACTGAGAAGAAATATCTTCGCGATGTCTTCAAGAAGGGCGATCTATACTACCGATCTGGCGATGCCCTGCGCCGTCAAGGTGATGGACGCTGGTACTTCCTCGACCGTCTTGGAGATACTTTCCGCTGGAAGAGTGAGAACGTGTAAGTCATCAACAGCCTACCATTCAACCCCATAACCAGCATTGACTTACCTCTCCGCCAGTGCAACCGCCGAAGTCTCCGAAGTAATCGGCAAATTCCCCGGCGTCCAAGAAGCCAACGTCTACGGCGTCCGCCTGCCCAACCACGAAGGCCGTGCCGGCTGCGCAGCACTCCAAATCAGCCCCGACGCCCGGCAGACCTTTGACTATGCCGCTCTGGCACGCTACGCCCGCTCCAAACTGCCACGCTACGCAGTGCCAGTCTTCCTCCGGGTGGTCGATAAATCCACCCATATCCATAACCATAAGCAGAATAAGGTGCCGCTCCGTGAGGAGGGAGTGGATCCCGCGCTCATTGGGACGAAGGTGCCTGATGGTAAGAGTGATGATTTCTTGTGGATTGCGCCTGGGGATGAGGCATATACACCTTTTGGAAGGGAGGATTGGGAGAAGATTGCGAATGGAAGTGCCCGGTTGTAAATGAAGATGGTGATAGTAGACAGATATACAGGTATTAAGAGGATGAATTGAAAATATAACCTTGTTTTATTGTTTTTGTTTTATTGTTGCAACGAATTCTAGTGGGAAAAATTCCGAGTGGAGCAATGGGGCAAGACTGAGCAATTGGCCTTGGTTGTAATAGAAAAATTGAAACTCTCTAATTCTGTCATCCATAGTAATGTTTCACTTCCATAAACGGGAATTGAATTGCTTCAATTGACAGCAGAGTCTATGGAACGATTCTCAGCCTGGTAACACCGCCCAGTACGAACGATCTGTTCAAAATAGCAACATAAGAATATAGCAGTCTAAACGAGGAAAAATAAGACAAAACACGACAAAGCTCGCTAGCATAATTTTCATCACCGGCTGCCGATCAGCCAACACGGCGTTGTTTCAATATCCAACAGCTTATTTCTTCAGCAGACCCAGCAGGTTGATACTCTTGGGGCGCTCAATGGGCATACCCATGGCACGGTCCCAGATGAGCTGGACCAGGGGTCCAAGGGCACGGCTGACACCGAAAGCAACGGTGTAGTACAGGGGCTGCTGGAAGCCGTAGTGGTGGAAGAGGACACCGGAGACGGCGTCGACGTTGGGGTGGGGGTTCTTAGTCTGTGAACAAACTATTGTCAGTAAAATTTTCATAATACTCGGACGGTGAATTTATGATGTACCTTTCCGTGCTCGGTCAGAACGCCAGGGGCAATCTCCGAGTTCTTCTTGACAAGCTGGAAGACAGGGTTGGCGAGGACATCGGGGCGGGTAGCGGCAAAGTCCATCAGGGCCTGGAAGCGAGGATCAGGCTTGCGGAGGACACCGTGACCGTAGCCGGGAACGACACGGCCAGACTTGAGAGTATCCCAGAGGTAAGTGCGGACATCTTCGTCGGAGAACTTGGTTCCGATCTTGTCCTGCATTTGTTGGATCCAGCGGAGAACCTCCTGAGCAGCGAGACCATGCAGGGGGCCAGCGAGACCCAGGAGACCGGCACTGTAGCTCAGGAAGGGATCGCTGAGAGCGCTGCCAACCAGGTGGGTAGCGTGGGCGGATACGTTACCACCCTCGTGATCACCGTGCAGAGCCAGGTACAGACGGAGCAGGTCGTGGAAGTCCTGGTTCTTCTCGCCGCCCTTGCCGAGCAGCTCGGCGAAGTTGTACGACCAATCCTGGGAGAGATCCAGCTGCTGGGTGCCCACGGCATCAATCTCGTTGGGACGGAAAACCAGAGCAGCGACGCGGGGGATCTTTGCCAAAAGCGAAATGCAGTCGTCAAAGGTAGGCTCCCAGTACTCGGCCTTGTTCAGACCCTTCTCATAGGCCTTGGCGAACTTGGACTCGGTGTTGAGCGCGGCAACCGCAATTGACAGCTGGGTCATGGGGTGCATGGTCTTGGGGAAGGACTTGATCAGGTCCAGGATGTGGGTGGGCAGGGTGGACTTCTCGGCCAGCTCGCGTGAGAAGGCGCGCACCTGAGCAGTGGAGGGGACCTGGCCGGTCAGGAGGAGCCAGAACATGGCTTCGGGGAGCATCTCGGTGCCAGAGGTACCCTTGGGCAACTCCTTCTGGCAATCCTTGATGGTCTTCCCGTGGAAGCGGATACCCTCGTCGGCGTCCAGGACGGAACCCTCCCACAGCATGGCCTTGAGACCACGCATGCCACCGATGACGTTGCTAACCTTGACATCGCCGATAACCTCGTCGCCCTGGGCCTTGACCTTCTGGAGAAGCTCGCGCTTGGCGGGGATGACCTCCTTCAGGGCGGTCTTGAGATCAGGCTCGGCGGTCGCATAGTGTCGGGCCGAGAAGAGCGGCCGGGACGCCTGTAGGAATTGTGTGAGTTGAGGAGCCAGTTGATTCCAAAGAATTCCCCGCTTGGTCATTGAACATCCCACAGAGAATTCAGACATACCTTGGCCAATCTGGAGGCGTGGCGGGTGGTTCTGAAGCTGAGGGCCATTGTGTGTGTGACTGTGTGTTGATGGGTCCGGGGTAGAATTGCGGGGACGGGAGACTCGATGCGGGGAGAATCGAGGGATAAGAAGGAGGTTATAGCGGAGAGAAGAAAGACGCTGCTGTTGATTCAAGCCAGCGAGAAGGCCAACAGAATCTCAATGGGTCAAAGTGAACGCACGAAAGGAAGGAGAGAGAAAACGGTACCTGTGATCGGGGTCTAATAACATCTGACCGCACGTCGGTTGTACGCGGGGCTTCTGCACTGCTTGTTCTACCGAGGCCCGGGGCGGCTGCATGCGGACACCTGGCGAGATCGGCCATTCTTCGACATTATTATTGTTTTATCGTGAGTCTCAGCTATGGAAGATTCATTCAAAGTATTTTGTATGGGTTAGTTGGTTATACGAATTGTCTTTGCATGTTGCTCTACAAGGTCACCCTTGTACGGAGAGATGTATATTCTCGCAGCACACGCCCCGGTTACCCGAGGAAGTAAGCGGCACCGAGGCCAGAGAGACCAGCGAAACTCGGATGGAAGGAGGAGGGACTCGAAACAAAAGTAGTAAGAAAAATAGCACATCTGATAATTGTGTATACCAAGATCAGCTCCGTACTCGCAGCATTATTCGGATCTGTTCTGAGTCCAGACATCGGCATTCCGCCCGTGCAGCCGCTGGTTTCCCCATTGGGTACACCCGCAGGCCAAGCGTGCCCGTGACTGCAGATCTCGTGACTGGAAGTCCCGTGATGTCGGACTATAGACACCTAAGGCATTAAATACCATTCAGTGGGGCTTGGTTGTATGCCTCAGGCATGGATCGCTGATAAGGCTAGCTAGGCCTGGTTAGTGGCGTCCCATGCTGATAACCGCCCCGCTGATTGGGCAGGACTGTCGCCTCCCAAACAAAAAAAAAAAATCGTGTGGATAAGCCCGATCGCTGAAGCGCAAATACTACTCCTGATCCCGTCACTCTGTTTTCTATCTTCTCATCCGTACAGCCCCGCGTGGATTCGAGAATCTACCGCTGTCACGGTGCAGACATTCACATTCATTCGAGATAGTGTCGGATACCCTCGTCTTCAGTTGCGTTATACCCAACAGCCTTTGTTCCTTTTGTTCTGCTGGCCCGGGAGTTCCCCCACCTCCCATCCGCTTGAGGCCCCCGCCGACCAACCCAACTCTTTTCTTCCCACCTCCGGTATATTTATATACCAGGAGCTTCGAGTCGTGTACTCCTCAGATCATGCCACACACGGTCTCGCCTTCTGAGTCCCCCGCCATGCCGACCGTTGTCGCTAAAGGCCCTTCCGGGGTTCCCCCCACCACTGAAGAGATTTCTTCGCTCCTCAACACTATCCTTGCCGCAGAGACTTCTCAGCAGTCTCTAGATGGCTCCTATGCAGTCGCAAACCTGCTCATCCAGAGTGTTGGAACCTCTGGCCTCCTCAACTACAACGTCCTGGCCGAGGCAAAGAAAGCTGCCACTGATAAGAAGAATGGCGCCCGTCGAGAGAGCGCCATGCTGATTTTCGGCGCTCTCTTTGAACGCTTCCCCCGCGAGTTCCCCCTCAGCGAGGTTGTTTTCCTGTTGCACAACGGTGGTGTCCTCGATGTTGTTTTCGACTCGCTTGCCGACAAGGGCGCTGTCGTTCGCGATGCGGCGCAGTACGCGATCGACGCCCTCTACGCTTGCCTGAGCCCCGAGGCCAAGGCCAATGCGCTGCTTCCCGCTTTGGAGGCATACCTGGGCAAGGGCACCGGCAAGTGGCAAGGATTTGTTGGTGGCTACAAGCTGCTCGATAAGATGGCTGCTGGTGCGCAGATGGGGAATGGCACAAAGGAGGAGGAGAATGAGAAGGATGTGCTGCGCGAAGCTATGGGCAAGACTCTCAAGGAGCTGATTCCTATCGTCGAGTCCGGCATGCACGACCTCAAGGCCGAGGTGGCCAAGCAGGCCACCAAGGCCATGACCACCATGACCACTCTCTTGTACAACGACGACGTTGCCCCGCGCATTCCCCTGCTCATCAAGACCATGGAGCAGCCCTCTCCCCAGACCCTGCAGAAGGCCATTCACGCTCTTTCGCAGACCACCTTCGTCGCCATCGTTACCTCCCCCGTCCTTGCTCTCCTCACTCCTCTGCTCGAACGTACCCTCAACGCCCCAACCACTCCCCAAGAAACCCTCCGTCAGGCCGTCGTCGTCGTGGAAAACCTGACCAAGTTGGTTCACGACCCTGCGGAGGCTCGTGTCTTCCTTCCCAAGCTTCAACCTGGTGTCAAGGCTATCAAGGACCGTGCCTCGCTCCCTGAAGTCCGTGAGTTGGCAACCCGGGCCCTCGACGTTATGGAGAAGGCCATGAAGGACAATGATGTTGCTGTCGGTGCTATTTCTAAGACTACTCCCGAGGAAGTCCTCGCTGTGTTGAATCCCAAAATCCAGGAGCTTGCTGGGTTTGTCAGCTTCGGCGATGTCAAATTCTCCGACCTAGCCAAGACCTTCATTGCCAGCATGGTTCGTGAAGATGTGAACTGCCGCAAGATTGACCGGATCTCTGCTTGTATTGGTCCCTACCTCCGTGGTTTGATTCCCAGTGAGCAGGCGGAAGCTATCGCTTCGGCTGTCCAGGCTCACTTCCTCGCTGAGGATGAGCGCAAGTTCGGCAAGCCCGTCCAGACTGATCCCAACGAGATTGTCATTGTTGACGCCAACTTCTCCCTCGCTTACGGCGGTATGCTCCTGCTCTCTCACACCAACCTGCGTCTTGTCAAGGGTCACCGGTACGGCCTCTGTGGTCGCAATGGTGCTGGAAAGTCCACCCTGATGCGCAGTATCGCCAACGACAAGCTGGAGGGCTTCCCTCCTCCTTCCGAAGTCCGCACCTGCTTCGTCGAGCACAACCAAGGTGAGGATGCCGAACTCAGCATTCTCGAGTATGTTGCCAAGAACCCCGAGATTGCTGCCCAGGGCACTGAGCATATCAGCTCTGTTCTGCTCGAGTTTGGCTTCACCGATGGTCCCGAAGGCCGCCAGTCTCAGCCCGTTGGCTCGCTGTCTGGTGGTTGGAAGATGAAGCTGGCGCTTGCCCGTGCCATGCTCTTGAAGGCTGATGTGCTTCTGCTGGACGAACCTACTAACCACTTGGATGTTGCGAATGTCAAGTGGTTGCAGGAGTACCTGAAGAAGCATACCCAAATCACCAGTCTGATCGTCAGTCACGACTCCGGTTTCCTGGACGAAGTTTGCACCGACATCTACCACTATGAGCAGAAGAAGCTGGTCTGCTACCCTGGAAACCTTGCTGCTTTCGTCAAGGTCAAGCCCGAGGGCAAGAGCTATTATACTCTCTCTGCATCCAACGTGCAGTTCAAGTTCCCGGCCCCTGGTATTCTTTCTGGTATCAAGTCCAACACTCGCGCTATTATGCGGATGACGAATGCTTCTTTCACCTACCCCGGCGCCTCGAAGCCGTCTCTCACTGATGCCTCTCTTTCCCTGACCCTCTCCTCCCGCACTGCGATCATCGGTGGAAACGGTGCTGGTAAATCTACCTTCATCAAGATTCTCACTGGTGAGGTTGTTCCCCAGAGTGGCAAGGTTGAGAAACACCCCAACCTGCGTATCGGTTACATCAAGCAACATGCGCTCGAGCACGTCGAGATGCATCTCGAGAAGACTCCTAGCCAGTACTTGCAGTGGCGTTACGCCAACGGTGACGACCGTGAAGTGTTCCTCAAGCAGACTCGCATCTTGACTGACGCCGACAAGGCTCAGCTCGAGAAGCCGGTTGACCTGGGCGACGGCCGTGGAGCCCGCCGCATCGAGGCTCTGATGGGTCGTCAAAAGTGGAAGAAGTCCTTCCAGTATGAGGTGAAGTGGGTTGGTCTCCTGCCCAAGTACAACACCATGATCTCCCGCGAGACTCTCGACAACTTGGGCTTCAGCAAGATGGTTCAGGAGTTCGACGATCACGAAGCCTCCCGCGAGGGTCTGGGCTTCCGTATTCTTGAGCCCAAGACTATCTCCAAGCACTTTGAGGATGTTGGTCTCGACCCCGAGATTGCCAACCATAACGAGATCTCCGGTCTGTCTGGTGGTCAGAAGGTGAAGGTCGTGTTGGCTGGAGCTATGTGGAACAACCCTCACTTGCTGGTGCTGGACGAGCCGACTAACTTCTTGGATCGTGACTCTCTCGGTGGTCTGGCTGTCGCTATCCGTGACTTCAAGGGTGGTGTTGTCATGATTTCTCACAACGAGGAGTTTGTCGGCGCTCTTTGCCCCGAGCAACTGCACGTTGCCGATGGTCGTGTCGTTAGCCGTACCAACACCGCTATCAGCCTGGACCGCTTCGAGGACAGCGCTACCAACTCTCCCACTGGGACTGGCACTCCTGCTGGTCTCTCCGCCGCTGCCTCGGCCAACACCAGTGCCGCCCCGTCGGCTGTCAACTCTGGCGCCGAGGACCAGGGCGAACTGAAGTTCCGTGCCAAGAAGAAGAAGAAGCTGACCCGCGCTCAGGTGAAGGATCGCGAGGCCCGCCGCCGCCTTCGTCACATTGAATGGGTGAGTTTCTCGAGATTCGTTCTTTCGTGAATGCTTTCGCTGACATATTCTTAGCTCAACTCGCCCAAGGGCACCCCCAAGCCAGTTGATACCGATGACGAGGCATGAGCACACCTACCATGACATATTGATGTTTAATGGCTTATTTCCGTCCTGTGACTGTTCATTTCTGCACATTTTCCTGCATCAGTACCTATTCTTAGTATTTGTGGCTTTTTGCATGGGAACTTGATAGACGGCGTTTGGGTTTTGATTTTGCCTGCGAGGTAGATACGCATCTTTGGATAGGACACCGACCTTGTGATATAGATGTCTGGTCGATCCCACTGAACAAAAGTTCTTGTCTATATGATATTATTTTCAATATTCATTTAATTAGTAAATAATCTTGACTATTCTTATTGCAGTAGCTAAAGTTACGAGTTTGAAGTAGATCCCCAGGGTCCCGTGGCTGCCGCTTTCAGGGTGTCATGTGACCCACACGGAGCTGTTGATCCCCGGACTTGCTGCAGCACCTCACTTTTTCCAGCAGGGTGATTTGCCCATCTCGATTCTGATCGCGTTTGCCTTTGCGAACTTGATTTGGTTAATCACAGGATGCATATGCTGTGCCACTAAAAAGTGACACATTTCTCCACTCGCCAAGCTGACCAGCGCGATGACCAGATCGACCCGCTCTGGACCCGGAGCTTCGACTACGCGCCGGCAGGAGTACCAATCCTTGGACAACCAGCTTTCCGATGACGAATACTCCTCACGAACACCGGAAGATGGGAGCCGCAACAGCATTCCCGGATCCGACGGCGCAATGCACGATCCCTACCTGGACGACCTCCTCTCCAGCGGCGACGAGTCCTCCGCCCAAGACGACGCGAACCTGAAGCTCCTACCGCTCGATAAGAAGTCCGCAACACAAAAGCGACGGAATCGAGTCCAGTTTACCCCAGAGCCAAGCTCTGCGAGTGCTGCGAGCCCGATACCTGGCGATGAATCCGGGGAACCCCGCAATGTTAGCAAGGCTATCGAGCACATGTTGGAAAGGGAGCAGGATATATTATCGGAGACATTCGATGAAGATCTGGACCATGGCGCCTCACATCCCATGTTCGATGATGATGATAGCGATGATTATGGCATCCCGACACACAAACGTGCTGGGGCTACGCCGTACAAGGACCAGAAGCCAAGATGGAATTCAGGAATCAAATCATTACTGCATATTACGGCATGGTGGCATGTTTTCCCTCTGGTTGCAGTAGGAGTGCTTGTGATGTGGCTTGCAACGAAGGGTTTGCCGTGGATTAAGGGTGGCAAACCTCTCAAGGAATATGTGTGTTCTCTTCCTGTTCCATATGCGAGCGCCTACACGTTTTACGAGTGTGCTATGGTGAACTCGTCGCTAACTTCTATAGCCTTCTGTTCCGTGGTACCCGACCCCCGTCGGCGGCACCAATGGCGCGTGGAGAGAAAGTTATTCCAAGGCCCATGATCTTGTGGACCAGATGGCCCTGGTAGAGAAAGTCAACATCACAACAGGGACAGGATGGCAGATGGGACCTTGCGTTGGGAATACCGGACCTGCTGAGTATGTCCAGTTCCCATCTCTCTGTCTGCAGGATGGCCCCCTCGGGCTTCGCTTTGCGGATAATATCTCAGCATTCCCTGCTGGTATCACCACAGGAGCAACGTGGAATCGCGAGCTTATGTGGCAACGTGGGTTTGCGCTGGGCAAGGAAGCGCGTGCAAAGGGGGTCAATGTTATTCTAGGGCCGGCTATGGGGCCCATGGGGATGATGCCTGCTGGTGGTCGCAACTGGGAGGGCTTCGGATCCGACCCCGTTCTCCAGGGAGTAGCTGCTGCCGAGACTATCCGTGGTATCCAACGGAACGGCGTGATGGCTACAGCCAAACACTTCGTAATGAACGAACAAGAGCATTATCGTCAACCCCACGAATGGGGCACTGAAAATGCCATTTCGTCCAACATCGATGACCGAGCGCTCCACGAAGTCTTTGTCTGGCCCTTCGCCGAGAGTGTGCGCGCAGACGTTGCGAGTGTTATGTGCGCCTATCAGAAAGTCAATAACAGCTATTCTTGCGAGAACAGCAAGCTGCTCAATGGAATTCTCAAGGACGAACTCGGCTTCCAAGGATTTGTGCAATCTGATTGGCTTGCGCAACGATCTGGTGTGCAGAGCGCATTGAGTGGCCTGGATATGAGTATGCCCGGTGATGGTGCAAGGTGGGCAGACGGGGACTCTTTCTGGGGAATGCGTTTGACGCAAGCCGCTCTGAACACCTCAGTTCCCATGGAGCGTATCAACGATATGGTCACTCGTATCGTCGCGGCCTGGTATCATTTCCGCCAGGACAAATGGGACCAGCCTCCCCCGTTGGGCAAAGGTGGCCCCAACTTTTCTTCGTGGACCAACGAGAAGATGGGAGGGCTACATCCCGGCAGCGAAGACGACGATACCCATGAGGTGGTCAACCACTACGTGAACGCGCAAGCTACAGGGTCCAAGTCACTCCCGCACTCCCTCGTGGCTCGGAGAGTAGCCGCGGAAGGGACTGTTCTCCTGAAGAATGTTAACAACACACTACCCCTTTCACGTAGTGCCACCGGCCCGAAAGGAGTTTATCGCGTCGGCATTTATGGCGAGGATGCTGGACCTGGCGAGGGGCCCAATGTTTGTCCCGACCGTGGATGCAACCAAGGTACTCTGGGGTCCGGCTGGGGAAGCGGTGCGGTCGAGTTCCCGTATCTTCTCAGCCCTTGGGAAGCTCTGCGACTTGCGTGGTCCTCGGAGACTAGTGATGTACGAGGATTCCTGGGGAACGATGTGGCCCTGAAGAATCTGGTTGACCAGGACCTCTGTCTTGTTTTTGCGAACGCTGACGGAGGTGAGGGATTCATTCACGACGATGACGTCTGGGGAGACCGTAACAATCTTGACCTGCAGCATAGCGGTGCTAAGCTTATTGAGCGGGTGGCTACTCATTGCGGTGGTGGTCACGGCCGGACCGTCGTGGTGCTGCATTCTGTGGGCCCTGTCGTGATGGAGTCCTGGATCGATCTGCCAGGGGTACATGCCGTTCTCTATGGCAACCTCCCTGGACAAGAGAGTGGCAATGCCCTGGCAGATGTCCTGTTCGGCGATGTTGATGCTAGTGGCCGGTTGCCCTATACAATTGGCCGATCCCTCGACGACTACGGCCCAGGTGCCCGGGTGCTGTATGAGACAAGAGATAGACAGCCAGAGATCACATTCGACCAGGGCCTCTACATTGATTATCGGTACTTCGACAAGAACAACATCGCTCCGCGCTTTGAGTTCGGCTTTGGCCTGTCATACACCACCTTCAATATCTCTTCACTTGTGATCCAGCCTCTGCAAGAAAAGACTCGCCTTCCATCCGATCGCCCCAAGGACGAAATTGATCCCCCACAGTACGATAAAAAGCCACCAACAGAGTCTTCGACCAGATTCCCATCTACCATTAGGGCGCTGTCAAAGTACATTTATCCCTACACTCGGGACCGAGCTGGGACTAAACCTGGTTCCTACCCATATCCAGAAGGGTACAAAAAGCGCCAGCACCCCTCCGACGCAGGCGGCGGACCGGGTGGTAACCCATCTCTCTATGAAGAGATGCTGTCAGTTTCAGTCCATGTCAGCAACACTGGCTCGCGGCCCGGCAAAGAAGTTGTGCAGATCTACTTGTCCTTCCCGGAACGCGTTGCTGAGCATCGCGGTTTGGGCCAGGCCCGCGAGGACATTGAGTTCCCCGATCGCGTTCTCCGGAACTTTACCAAGGTTTCCCTTGAGCCTGGTGAGAGCACTACCGTTCAGATGACCTTGTCCCGAAAGGATCTAAGCTACTGGAGCGTGCGGGCTCAAAATTGGGTAATGCCAGTTGAAGGCACATTCCGTGTCTGGGCCGGACGGAGCTCTCGCGATCTGCCGTTGGTCGTGGAGTTTTGATTCCTTTCTTTAAATTCTTTCTTCAGACCATGGCGTTGCGATAATTTTCTTTGTTGATTGCTATTTCTTGGTTGGCGTTAGGGTTTGCAAACTTCAGCGATGGGGGACTTTGGGTACCAGTGTACTGTACATAGATAATCGCAATCATTAAAGGAATAGAGGCACAGAAATGGGCTGTACATGCGCCCACACCGGAGTCTCGATTCTCCATGGGATTGAAGGTTACAGTTCCACTTACGAGGTCGCTGTTTTTTTGGCTGATTCTAATTTCATCAATGGAGAGCTTATTCCGACGGCAGTGGCTGATTTCCAACGCTTCTCTTCCCGCATTATTCTCTCTCACCCCGTGTGGCGGTGCAAAACGGAGGAGTCTCTGTTCGGCCAACACGGAGACTGTCGATCTCCTCGTTTTCTGTCACACACATATTGCTTCCAGACCGGTTTTTTTCTCCACAGTGTAGAATCAACACTCCGCTGATGATCATTTACGGCCGTACTTGATCAGACCAGCTGCTGGATGATCAAGGGTCTACCAATTTTCTCTGATCGTTGAATATCACTTTCCTGGAGAGCTACGAAGGTCTCCGTTTTTGCTTCCGTATGAATGATTGGGCAACATCACCGCTCAGTGATGTCAATTGCATCCACCTCCGAGGCATCTCGTGGACCTGTGGGGACTCCGAGCTCAACATGTACTGACTTTTTTGCCAAAAATATGATAGAGCCTGAGTGACTTGCAATAAGAACCAAAACTACCTCATTACTGTTATAGGCAGCAAATGGCTTCTTCCTTGTTCGTCACACTCCTGGAAGCATGAAGATTACTGACAGCAAAGCGAAGCGGATGTCTCCACCGGAGTGCAACCAGACAGGCGTCGATCACTACTCCTGTCTGTATCAAGTTGATTTGGCTGAAACGACCCACCTGTCAAGATCCTCGGATTGATTCCTTGAGGGAAATAATGTTCTGATTGAGTTTGAGAGTAAATGCCATGATTATAGTCTGTCTTCGTCAATCAATATCCAACAGACCTTCCAAATGTGCAAAGACTTTGGTACGACCACATATCTGATTGCTACTGTATGTTGATTTTATCTTGTGGCAAGAATGCCCCATCGATCGCCGTTACCCTGGTCCGTGGCTGTCGATCACTTCTCACTCTCGGTGGGGAATCCTGCATCGTTGTCTCAGGATCAATTCCACCCAAGTGGGGGCTTTGGGATTGCAGTAGCTGGGGGGAGTACTCGAGACACACTCACTATTGCAGACCAAGCTTGCAGGGCCCAATGACAAGTCATTAGCCGAGAGTGCTCATAAACTCTGCGCTATTCCCAACTTCGATACTCCCGATGGGATTTCACTTCTCGTGGTTACAGGGTTGCTCGGGGCCCGGTCTGATTGATGCGAAGGTACTCCACATGGCGAAGCGATGATATCAAGTCTTGGTACGATTTACTATTTCGGTAGTAGTGCCTTCGCAACGACTTTCATTGTAGGTCAGTGCCGATCACTTTCAATACGGAGACCCCGAGAGGTCTCTCGATGAGGCCACTAGATGGAGTTGTGATATAAAACTCCATCTCGCGTTCGCGTCCGTCCGGCGCTGGTCCATATAATAAATATCCTCGTTCTTCCCATTTGACATTTTCATTTCTTTTCACCATTACATCCATTCAATCTGTCTTTACCAAACAATTGACTACACGCTCATTCAAAATGAAGGTTTCTGCGCTTCTGTCCCTCATTCCCCTGGCTGCCGCCCTCCCCGGCTCTCGCCCGGCTGCTAAGCATTCCAACGGCACCTTTGGTGTCACTGCTACTCATTCCGGCTCGCCTATCCATTTATTGCCTCTGACTGCTGCCGGAAGCAAGTTCTGGCTGGGTGGCAAGAGCCAGACCTACTGCCCTGATGTTGTACCCAACTGCGCCCAGGGTACCAACGACACTATCATCTACGCTCAGAATGCCCTGGTAAGTGTATTTGCAACCAAAGAATGATCCCGCATAAGGCCCATTGAGCTAACAATAACTCCCAGGACGTCATCGTTCCTGGTGGCCAGAGCATCTACGTCGACCGCAACGGCGCCCTGGGCTTTACGACTCCCCACTCGGGCTACATCCCCCCTGGCTCGTCCCGGGGTCCCTTCAAGTACACCCCCGGCAAGCCCCTCGGTACCTGGACCTACACTGGTCAGGGTGCTTCGGGCTTCATGGCCTGCCCTGTCCCGGCTAACTCTACTGTTGCTGCACGCTCTGTCCACCGTCAGAAGCCCGTTGCGGCCACCCGCTGGCAGGTGTTTGCCGCGTTGCAAAACGCGACTGTCCCCACTGGCAATGTGGATGATTGCCTTGGCTTTGAGGCGATGGCTATTGGCCTGAACATTTCTTCAGAGCACCTTGCTTGGGAGTACATCTAAACAGCCAGTTGGTGGCGGTTTAGCTCAATTGGGGCTGAATATATGGTCTTGTCTACATCGAGTTTGTCATTTCAGTCCTGGTGGCTAGTGGCTACTCAACAACCTTTTACATCTGTGTGCTGTCTGCATGTATGAAGGCGGGTAATTCCATATGCGGCGGCGAATAATTTTGATTGGATTACTCTGTACGGTTTGACTAAGTTCTCTGGTCATTCCTTAGTCCTATTGTACATTCTTCCCATAGAATCTGATCTTCTGTTATTACCAACGTTATCATTCACTTTATTGACCGCTGTGCTCTCCGTGCAACCCAACATGTGTGAATTAACAAGCATTGTGGTATATTATTTCATCAACCGACGGTTAGGCGACTCGAACCGCCATCAAAAGCTACCGCTTATTCTTAGGCTGTGAGTTGTACAAGACCGCTTATGATGAACACGGCAGGGATACTGGAGTGATCGATAGGGGTAGTTCAAGCCTCTGTCCGATACCACGTGGTTCATCCACCTCGATGAGGCTTCCCCGTTGGTTGAATACATGAGCGGTGACGTATGATGATTGCCTGCCTATTCCTTTCCTATCCTTTACATGATTACTGCCGAATTATGTGATTCCTCTCGGCCTTTCTCCCTTTCGGATAGCGGCCACCCTCTTGCAAGTGGCGTTTTCATACCGCCTTTACAACCGCATAGAGCAAACAGCTTATTGATCATCATGCATCCAACGTCCGAATCGTGTAAATCAATCTGTTTTCAAATACCCCTAAATCTCTTCCTCTTTCTCTACACTTTTTCTCTCTCTCTCCTTCTATCTCTCTCTCTATATCCCTCTCTATCTACGTAGCTTATCGCGGTGGCCTCTATCAAGAATAACGATATAACCCCAGTCGCTATAGTAGCTCTAAGTTGGTGAGTATATTCGTCGACAATAGTACTAGAGGCCTCTTCTCCTGTTCGGTGTAGTCGGTGTAGAATTAGAAATCCTTGTGCATTGTAGTGCCCGTTGGTAGCCTAATCTTTCAGGTTGTCAGGCAGCCATGTAGCTAAGTTGGGCAGTTATAAGGCTAAGTAGGGGGTTCTGCCATTGAAATCAGTAAAAACGCCACTTACAAGAGGGTGGCCGCTATCAGCCACCGGTAGACGTTGTTCGTACGATAAATTAGATTCTGTCGATTTACACAGGTCGCAAAGTAGGCTCATAGAAAGGGCTGCCGAGCTTGACCGAATTGAAGAACATACACTTCTAAATAATAGACTGGAGATAGATTATTGGACGTTGAACTTTTTCTATCCCATGAAGCACGTTTGGGGGACGAGACTTACAACGCTCTTAGCTTCCTTCACATTCTTTAGCTAATGTTTGATCATCTGTGTTCCTTGCACCTCTTCCAGAAATTTATAGTGCTGCAATGAGCAACCCCATCAGCCGAAAGATAGATCTTCAGTAACCCACATTCAAACCATAGTCCAGGATATTATTTCTCGATGCCGATAACCTCTCAGAGGTGAAGTCATGCCTGCCTGGTCTTCCTGAGATCGCGGCCCCACTTTGCTTTGCACCACGAAACCTCATAACAATGAGAAAGTCGCGTCAGGGACCCGGACATGTGCACAATTGGCGCTAGGAAGGGAAACTTCCTGATTACAAAACCACTTTCCCCCTCGCCTGTCCTCAAAGGAGATTCTGATCGTATGTTTGCCAGGGCCACACTGCTCAAAGGTCGAGGCTGATGCCTAGACTAGCATCCTTAGCGTCCCGCGAGCTGACAGAGTACCAGAGCGAACCAGCCTCAGCTCTTTCTTCTCGGCCGTCCCAATCATGCTCTTTCTCAGGACACCTCGAGTACTTCACTCACGAGTCGCGACATGTCTTCTTCTCAACCGAAAAGTGCCTACCGTCGCCATTCGATGCCGTGGCTATTCTGGTCGCGCGGAATCAGCTGAACAGTTGCACAAAGTTCTGATCAACTCCAGCGATGAAAGTCTTGATCGATCCTTCAACATCCTGATGTCAATCTTGAAAGAACCTTCCTTGGGTCAGAATATTCGCGAAATTGTGTATCACAAGACCCCGCGCACTGACGTGGAGTACGAGATGGGAGAATTCCAACGCCATCTGAGCGATCAGGACATGCAGCTTATCCAAACCGCCGTGCGGAAAGCCGGGTTCAGAGACCAGAAGGCCGACCGTGTCGTCAATATGCTGATGCAGAAGACTGCATCAAGCAATCAGAAAGGCACATATGGCCCTCTTGGCTACGTGAGGTTTGGGGCCAGTAAAACTTCTTCTTTTGAGTAATCTAACTCGTCGCAGCAACGATGACATCCGAGGTGTATTCCTGGCACAGGCCCTAGCCGTGATTCTGATTTCTGTTTCACCCAACCTTGTATCCCTGGCCATGACACGGCCTTTCGACAACTACTTTGGCCTCTGGTGGTTCCCCGAGCAATGGAATGAAGATGAAGATGTCCATTTCCCTCTCGACAAGTTTTTGCGTCGCACTAATGCCCACCCAGAAGGCAAACTATATCTTCAGAATCTCCGCGACGTGTATATCATCAACGAATTCCCATGCCTCATGAATGTCCACGACAACTATTACCGCACAGACTTCATGGGTTGCCTTCCACTTTTCGATCGGTTGCCAGCCATCGAATCTGTCGGCATTGATCTTTTAGACGTGGATGACAATGGAAGACAGGACATTGAGCACATGACTTCCAATATAAGCAGAATCCGGGTCAACCATTCTTCTTTGCACCCGGTTTACCTGGCGAGGTTGTTATACGCATCCAAGGTAATTCGGGAGTTCCAGTATACCATTGGCGGTCGAGCTCCCGGAGGCCACGGCCATCAATTCTTCACACCTATACCTGTCTTCAAGGTGCTTTGCGAGCACAAGGATACTCTAGAAAAGCTGGATCTGGACGTTGAAAGCCATCTTTCGATATTTCAAAGCCGGTATGACAGCAATATTGAGGATCATTTCTCAGAAATCAACCCAGAGTGGCTTGCGGATGAAGAAGAGGAACCCCATGAGTTCCAATTTCTCACATCAATCTGGAAACACGAGGGATCACTCAGGGACTTTGGAGCTCTGAGATCTTTGAGCATAGGCATTGGGCTCTTGCTTTACTATGCCAAAGGTGTGTATGTCAGCCCTGACAACAAACGAAGACCATTCATGTTGGTAGACTGTCTGCCGGAAAATCTGGAATACTTGTACATCCGAGGATACGAAAGAGGGCTCAATGTCAACTGGGACATCCAAATGGACCATCTGTTTGCATATTATAAGTCGGGGAACTCGAAATTGAAAGTGCTCGTGGGAATAGAGAAGATGATTCCTAATGCCGAGGACTTGGAGGAACCGATCAGACCTAAATCTCTGAGGTGGACATTAGAGAAAATTGGGTATGAATCAGATGAAGGCTAGTAATTGATTTACATATACTAGCTAAAGGCAGAAGCGTTTACCCGGCGATGAAATTTGATCAAAGTTTTACCAAGGCTTCATCAAATGTGTCTAACAAATGATATACGTGGCATGGAAAAAGTTGAGATCAGTCTCATCTGCAAAAAAAAGCCTTGGACTGGAAGAAGATCGAGAAGATGCCTGTGCAATAAATAAGCTACAATAAGCCTATGACCATATCCACCGTGGGGATATCAAGATGTCATTTCCACTTAACAGCTCATACCACCAAGATACTCGCCGGTGGCGACTCTATGGGACTTTGAATCCATCACGGGGACGGTTCGGGCTTGATCACAGTCTCCTCGGGCTCCTCCTTAGGCCTCGTACCAAGCTCATCAGCTCTGGGCTTCCTGGCCCAGACCTTTCGCCTGCAGGACCGAGTCAGTATGTCAAACTTTTGAAATTGGCCAGATTAACATACCCGTAATGCCAGCCATGAATATGGGGGTTTTTCATTTCTGCCCGAACCTTCGCGAGATAAACCTGCACCTCATCAGGTGTCCAAGGACTGGGAGCACCAAATTTAGTGAGCAACCACATGGCATATCCCTCCATACCCGTCACCCAGTGGTGGTAATTGAGCTGTCCAACCTCCTTATACACTTTATCTTTAGCCCAAGGCCCAATAGGAACCTTGTACACCTGCTCATGCACGTCGATGAAACCGGCTTTCTCAATCTTCGATCGCATGGTTTCTTGGACGGTCAAGGAACGCCCGGCTCGTTCAGAGCAGCCCTTAAAGTTTTCTCCCCATTTTGCCAGCTCCGAATCCTCTGCCAAAGAATTGTCATCGGTCTTGACACTGATATCGAGTTCAAATTCTTCGATCCAACCACCGGGTGCAAGGTTGCTGCAAAGATGAGACATTAGCCTTGCCATCGTTATACCGCGCGGACCCTGCGAGCAATAATGGACAAAGTGGGGAACATACTCGTAGCAGCGCTTATACAGTGTGTTCCACCCCTCCTCATCGAACGATCCCAGCATATGGCGCAAATAAATAAAATCGAATGGCTCGGACCAGGTCCACTCTTGCAAGAGGTCGTCCAGCTCAAATACACAATTTGGAGGCATCCAGGTGACCGGAGGGGGAGACAGATCAACTCCACGGACGGTAGCTAGTCGTAATCAGTGCTGGATAAATGTGGACTTGCGTATTTGAAGACCTACCACTAGGATAGGTATCCGCCATATCGCTATATGCGAAAGTTAGTGTTGATCAATGGGGTGTCTAGTATTCGTCCTCTTACATAGCCCAGCTACCTTTGCCAGTTCCCACGTCGAGGATATTCTAGGTCTGGGTTCAGCATGATGTGATAGTGATCGCAGGCCAGTGCACGTACCTTCGGGTCTTTCAGAGGAGCCCGGTGCAGCATATTACGCTGATGATAATCCAGCAGAATTGCCACGAGATGACTGCGAAGACATTTTTAGAAGATGCATCTTCTGTACAGTGGGTACAATAACTTACCCAGTCTCATAGGCCTCGAATTGCTGGTCATCCGACGGGCTCCTGTTGCTGGGGATTAACTGTAGTCCACAATGTCATTCAATCACTTTCATCATACCAGTACTCCTCCGACTTCAGCGATTGATATCTGCAAAAATACTAAGCCCGACCGTACAAAATTAACCGCTCAGCTAGTGTTCTTACCTACGTCCATTTTCCAGGCGACCCCTGGCAACCTCTGAGGCCAGTGAGGTCGTATCGCTGTCGAAAGTTTGGTTAGTGACAAAGCGCAGAATGCCACCCGCTGCGCGGGGCCCACTCACGACTTCCAATCATCGTCTGCAGCCACCGTTTTCTCAAGGGTGTAGTAGTCGTTATCCTGTTTTCTCGTCAGTATAAGAATAAGCTTTGGGTCAATACCTCTTGTCGTACAACTGCGATCTCGGCAGCCATGATGGTGAGCTATGGTCAACACAGGCATAAGTACGGGCAGGAAAGGGGAGAAAGAGAAGGTTCGCGGGACCGTCGGGGCGAAAGAAATGTCCTCACAGGTTGTTTATCGGGTAAGCGAACGCTAACGGACTAGTTCTTCTTTCCTGCGGAGGTCTTTGGAACAAAAGTACGAGTGGTGCGTTCGCAATTAATTTCCGTGCAGCTGTCAGTTTAACAATAGCTATTCATGTATGTACCCCTCTTTCCTATTGTCTGGATTGTCCCATTGCCCTCTCCTGCGGGTTCCGAGATAGTATCATGAGTCGCACACCAAGTTAAGAGGCGGCGGATGACTGAATGCCCCTTGGGTTATCTTTGCATTAACACATTCCGTCCCAAATGTGGCTAAACTCAATAATGTATATACTCTAGATGATTATTGAGGTAGTCAACAAACGACAGACCAGCTAGTCACTTCGTAGAGAGCCTATTACTATTTTATGTTGGTAACCCGTTAGTAAGCCTGCTGATTGAGGCTATTCTCTCCAGGCTGTGATCCTAGTCTCTTGAGTATATCCCTATAAGTTCCTTCAATTCTAGAGTATCCAAAAGCCCATAACTTGCGCACGCTGTCAAATCCTCTCTAAACTCTTAAGTTCTCGTCTCAAGCAATATTTACTGGCACGACCCTCTCAGGCTTCCTCGTGGCCCGCGGGTTCTTAGCGCTGATGGCTTGCTACTTTTAGCTATTATAGCGGTCTGCCAAGCTTGATATGACACGTCGTCACCACGTTCCTCCTTAGATCCAGAATCATTGTAAACTTTCTGTATAGTGTCGTCCCTGATCTAATCTCCATTCACTAGGGGGGAAAGGTCAACTAGGCCCGGTGATAAACTTTCGTCGATCGTGAATAGTAAAGAGAAGTATGGTAAGGCTCCCTGTCCATCGGAATGTAACTCACACTCCGATACCGCGGGCAACTCCGACTACCTTGGTGAAGCGCTCCTACAGCTATCTCGGACGGACAGATCATTGTACGATGCGAGGATAAAGCCTATGGATTGATGATTTGGAAAAATTCAAAGCCGATGTTTTCCGCGAGAAAGACTGTGGATGATCGCAAACGTAGAAACTTTTATCATATGCAGAAGCTCTAGCCTGAGCTGCTTTGAGGAAGGCGATATGCAAATCCACTGAGGGTCCGGTTCCGGTGATGTTGCTGTAGATTTGATGTAATGATACCAACCCGCTCAGAATGTGATTGTATATTGAAATTTTTATGATGAAACGGCTTGACTTTTCTCTGGACCGACTCAATGATCTCGTAGCGATAGAGGCTGACCTGTCAAGGATGGTTCAACCTCGTATAGCATAGGACTGAGCGTACTATAAAGCCTAGTATAGACTCCTCCAGATGGATTTAATATGTTAGTTTACAGTATGTCCATGCACTATTTACCTAGCTATGATATATTCATCTGCTATCTGATACACCAGCTATATACTGAAATTGACTGCACACACTCCTGTTGGAAGTTGTCTTATCACAGCCTGATGTCTGCCTCGTTCAAGATTTCTCACGACTGAAGGTTGTTAGTGTAGGCCTTGGTTAAAGGAATATCCACCTGGTAAACAGCCTTCTTATCCGCTGCAGAGTACTGGCCATGCTTGCCAGCTTGGGTAGCGCCAAGCACAGTGATGTTGCGAATAACAACATTACCGGGGTTGTAGCCAAAGGTACCGTCCATCTGGAAACGACCCGTCTTCCCGTTGTAGGTAAATTTGATGTTACTGGTAGCCTTCTGGATCAGACTGTCACCATCGTCAAGGTACAAGGATCCAGCTGCATTGCCCTGAGCATCTTTAGCAATCACCAAAGTGAAGTCCTTTTGGCGCAGCTCGGTGGTCGTGTACGCAGATTCCGTGCGCATGGGAACGATGTTGCCGCCCTTGAAGTACAGGGGCATGGTATTGTAGTCGATATTTGATAGTCTGACTGTGGATCCGGTGCCTTGAACAGGTGCACCACTGTGGAAATCGTAGAACTGGTCCTTGGGGAAGTAGACGTTCACTGAGGTAGAGTTTTCTTCCGAGATGGGAGCAACCATCAGGGCATCGCCCCAGAAGAATTGATAGGGCAGGGTGGCGGTGTTGATGTCGTTCGGGTACATGAAGAACATGGGGTTCAACATTGGAGAACCAGTCTGGGTTTGTGTCCACAGTGCGGTGTAGGCATAATCCAAGAGGCGATAGCGGATGTCAATGGCGGCTCGCGCCGCTGATGCAACCTGTGGGGAGTAGTAGAGCTCATGTCCCGGAGTGCCCCAGCCTTGGTGATCGCGGAAGAATGGCGAAAATGCACCTAGCCAAGCCCAACGAGAGCAAAGATTCTCATTAGTGAACCCACCATATCCGCAAATATCGCTGCCAACCATAGGAACTTGGAAGAGGGCTGCGAATTCCTGAAGCTGCTCGATAGTCCAGCGATAGTGGTCCCAATCAGCCATGTTGTCACCGAGCCAGTGGCCAACATGAGCACCAGCGCCAGCAAAAGTGGATCGAGTGATCACTAAGGGTCGCGAGTCAGGTCGGCGATACAAGAGGGACTGACGACTGGCAGAGCTCATCATCGAGCCATACAGGTTGTGTGTGTCGTACTCGGTTAGGCCGTTCGCGTGAATCAGGTCTGTCTGCATGGTTTTCTCACTCAATGCTCCAGCGGCGTTGTTGATGTGGTACGGAGGATTCAGGAGGTCACGGCCTGGCAGGCCTTGCATAGCGCCAGAAGTGCTACGACGTTCGTTGTTGACGGCTGGAACGGACGAACGACTGGTGGTATCGATCGACCTCTTGTGCGGGCCAGAAGAGGTTGTGATATTGCCTGACACGGCCTGGACTCCAGAATGACAGTCGCCTGTAGTGATTGTGCGGTTTTGTGTCTCGTAGATGAATGTGCCATCAGACTCACGGCGAATATACTGGTAGGTAATCTTGGTCTTCGGTGGCAACTGAATGGATAACTGCCAATGGGGGTAGTTCGTTGCATCCATAGGCGCTGCCATAAGCGGGTCGCCGTTGCCAAAGCTGGGCACATCTCCGAGGATGAAGACTGTCTCACCATTGTATGTGTCAGCATAACAGTCGAAGGATGCTTCAGCAACACACGTCGGCTGGAAATCCTTAGGAAAGCCGGGAATGGGCCGGGGCGGGCTGAGACGGAGAGGACGAAGCGAAGGGGGGGTCACCCGCGGTACCAGCGAATGCGGCAGGGTCTGTGCAAGGGAAGTCACAGAAATTAGACGGCTCGTTCATGTCGATCCAAAGGGCATCGATGTCCACTCCCGTCTCGGGATTGAAGAAACTAGCAAACTCGTTGTTCCAATAGTCTTGAGCACCAGAGGCGAACCAGTCAGGCCAGGTGGTAACTCCAGGCCAGACAACTCCCTGGTACGTGGAGCCATTGGGGTATTTCATAAACGCATTGGCCTTCACACCATTGTTGAATGGTGGATAGTCGACATATGCAACCGCTGGGTCTACCATCACCACGTAGTGTTGGTTGTTGTTGTGTAGGTGAGAAACGAGCTCCCGCGTCTTGTCCAAGGGGAAGCGGTATGGGTCCAGGGTGAATACTCTTCGAAGGTTCATGTAGTCTGCAACGGTTAGAAACTGCACGGATTTCTCACGGGGAAGCTGAACATACCGATATCAGCCCACTGAGTCTCCAGAGGGATGTTGGCAGCACTGTAATTGGCAATGACCTCGGCAATCTCAAAGATGTCGTAGTACCCGTAACGGCAGTTGTGGAAGCCAAAGTGCCAATAGGACATCATTGCAGGGAGGCCAACTGTTTGTGCGTACTGCATGGCAACCTCCTTGGGACTGGGCCCTCCCAGGAAATAAAAGTCAAGTACGCCGCCAAGGGTACGATACTCAAGATACTGCCCATCCGAGTCATCAAGAACAACGTCCATGCCGTTACTATTGGCGAGGAAGACACCATGGGTGCCATTCTCACCACGGTAGTCAAAATAGACGGGATGGTTGCCATACAAATTTGTGAACTCAGGTGTGCCGTAGGCATCGCGCGACCAGAGAGTCCTGGAGTAGTTTGAAGTCTTCAGGCGGAAGGGATCAACGCTCTCTCCGAGGCCGTAAAGATTCGGTGAGTCGGGCAGCTTTGTGCGAAGACCAAGGTATTGTGACTCAAAAACCATCGGATGACCAGAAGTATCAAAGAGAACTTCTCCCGATGACTTACGAGTGATTTTGAAAGCGAAGGGGCTCTGGGTCAGAGAGAAGTTCAAGTCAGATTGGTCGGGCCTCATGCCTTTGTCTGTCCCTGGTCGAGGTAGCACGGATTCCGGAACTTGGTAGACCTGCTCGTCGGCATCATAGATTTTGACATGCAGGCGTTCAGCTACCAGTTATCAGCTACTCGTCTCATAATAGTCACTGGGAGAAAGAACCCACCGGATTGGTACTCCACGAGCAACTTCAAGTTGTCCAGGTCTGTGCCATAAACATTGCATGGAGTTCCAGCAAGGTGCAGATCTGCGCTCACAATCGCTCCCCCGTTGCTCTTGACGTTGCTAGCTTTGTATCCAGGACAAGTTTCGGGGCTCCCTCCACGAGTGAGAAGCGCAGCGGCATCGCTAGAAGCGCAGAACAACGCCACAGCCGCCAAGGGCTTGAAAGCCGCTCTCCAGATCATATTGCAAAGTCACAGCAGGCAGAATCCTCTCCACAATGCTCCCCTGGCGAAGTCGCGAGCTTTAATACCGCCATATTCGAATGGTTGAGACCCTGAAGTGCAACCTTGAGCTTAGTCCGTGTCATACGCCACACCCCGCATCGTGAAGATCCGATATTGCGCCGATGGCACCTGGCCAGAGGCGGCAAGGGAAGAAGTATCATTCCAGGTAGATCCTGACTCGGGAAGGAGAGGGGTGATGTGATGCCGTTTCCCCGCACCCTTTTGTCCATGATTAATTTCTCCGCCTAATTCCCCGACGCTTCGGTGGTACCCCAGTCTTCGTCTCAAAGTCAAGACGGAAATGAAAGTCAAGGACTGTGCACGCTCGGGTGGGTCAAGTTTCGGCACTCCAGTGTAGATCCCGAACTCTAACAAAGTCAAGTGGTATCCCCCAGGGGTCACACTTCTAAAACTCATGAGGGTTTACAAATCCATTTTCCCATAACTAACTAGATCCTGATATCGCTTACATTTTAGAGGCGGTAGGAATCTAAACACAATTTAATCATTTTGTATCGTGGCATGGCTCTTTATGTAGAAGTAACACTGTAAAATTGTCAGGATAAACCCTCAGACACGACATTATAATGTAAACAAAGCCGGATCTATCGGTCCATGAAGATTAGAAAAGAGGTCAAATAACGGACATGTTCAAACCACCCTTCGAGGATTTTAATTGCTCAAGATAGGATTTCTCAGTCCCTTCAGGCTATGGTAGCTGAGACTGGGTAGAAAATTGGGGGTGCTTTCTGACCCCTCTCAGCTGCATACTTTTTGCCTGCACAGAGTCGTAGCACACCAATCATACCCCTGTTCAATATGGGTGGGTCTTTAGACGGCATGAATGACCGCACGCTACTTCTATACATGGTGTCCATTATTTTCTTCCATTATTTTCTCTCTGATAAAAGGATATGGTCTGTAATTTGGAAGTACCATTAATGGTGCATTGAGATGGAGAGGGTCAGATGAGTCTCATGTCGTGAGCATGTAATGGTGGGTATCTCCAGACATATCCACCATGGAGTGGTGCTCTCGATAAACCATGCAGCCAAGCTACGAGCACCTCATGGGAGGTCAAGAAACAACTGTAGCATTTTTTCGTAGTCTGGAGTCCCCAGCCCTGTTACAGGATCCCACCTATCAATCACCAATCAGTTGAATCCAACTGAGTTAGGACTATAATCACTCACCCTGCGGCAGCCGTAAATCCATCGGTCCCGCACCCTGGGTTTGATCCGTTCAGGATATCATTAAGAACCCATTCATTTTCATAAAGTACTGGATTCAGGAAGCCAATGGGGCCCTTTCCGATTGCCAGCCGCTCATCAACAATTCTATTAATTATAGCGGCGAATATCGGGGTACCTACAGCCCGTGTCAGCTCTACCATGACGGCTTTCGCAATCCTTGCCTGGGGAGCTTCTCACTGGCACTGGTTCCGCCTGTATGGCCAAATCTTGCTTCATACCAAACTGCAATATTATCGGCAACTGCAGACACATCGGGGTAACCCCGGCCAAGACGATTGTAGAGACCAGAGTCGCCGCCAGTTGTCCAATTTCCTTTGTAGAAGGGATATTTGGGATCAGCACTGATGAAGTACCTGGATAATGGACCCTGGTCAACTTATACGGACAGCATGAAATTTTGACACGTAAAACAGGGACTTACCTGGAGACAGCTGCTTTCTGGTAGGATGGAGCGGAAAACACGTTGCTGAAACCACCGCCAGATGACAGAATGCTCTTTTCATTACTGTGAGATAGCGCACTTTCAGGCGCAGCCGATTTATGCCCTGGTAGTACCTGTGTACCCCCGACAGAAGTCACATATGGACAGCTACATCCTCATCTGTTAGCGGACATAGTCTCATACTATCGAGGCGTGTTGACTGACTTTGCTGGGAAAGTCGGGCTGAAAATGTCCTTCCTCGGGCCTAGACAGCCATCGTGACCTGCAACGCCGTTGTCACCAGAGGCAAATAGGACTGACACTCCTTGGAGACCAAGCTTCATATACCTGCTTGGCGGTCGTGTCAGAAGCTCCGCCCGGGCAGTCAAAAGGCAAACAGGAAGGATTCCAGACGACATCACGTACTCATGGCACTGTCGTCGCTGATATGCAGCCGGGAAGTTGTGCTCCGGACCTCCATAAGATATTGACATAACGTTGGTGGCATTGTAGATGCCACAGGGTGACCGGTATTCACCCACAAGAGAAGAGTCGGGATAAGCGTTTTCGTCGTCGCTACATTTCCCCAAAGCACAAAACGTGCAATATGACTGCAGTACCATCAGAGCTAGGGAAAAACATTGAAATATGCGGGGCTTACCCCATCAATTGCATTTAAGAAAGCGTCGAGAAACCCCGTAGAGGGATTTTGAGGGTCCATGTGATCATTTGTTTGGTAGACCGTGATATTCTGCGGGTAAACAATGGGATAAGCAACTTGGAGGTCCAACGCTGACTCTAGACCAAATCTTGATGACGATTCACCTCTACCGGTGCTATCAATCATGATCTCTAGAGGCCGAGTACCCTGTGGAATATTGGTTGTTTGATTCCCAAAAAACAAATCCAGGTCTTCATTATGGAAATGGTTGTCTTCCTGGAATATTCCCAAAGGATTTTGAGGGTGGGAATTAGCGGCGAGAGGAATTTTGTACATTGCTCGGATGCACTCCGGTGTAATTAGTTTGTCGCAACCTAGCGATGTGAGCACGCCAGCGCCATCCGTATCAGGAAGATGCGTCTGCCTCGAAGCACCATGGATCAGTATGTTGTCCCGTCCGCGAAGCAACGGCTGCTGTTTTCTGGACACCGGGACTCGGATCCCCGGCTCTATATAGTCGATATTTTCTTGAATGCTGTGCGGTACATGATAGCTGATTCACTTAGCCATCGAATTTCTAGACGAAACGCGAGGGACTCTCGACATACTGTTCACAGGCATTTGAGATCTGGCCGGTGTGGACATCCTGATACTGAAAATATTGCGTGTGTAGCAATTCCTCCACTTCTTTGACTGTAGCCACAAACGCCAGCCAGCCTTTGTTACTGGCCAAGGATATGCGTACGGCGCTGATGCCGGACTCAATTAGCCATGACTCCACCAGTGCGATGGTATTGTCCGAGGGTGCAAAGGTGTCAATGACTTGATCCGCCGACCAGTATTTCCCATAGTTTGGCGACTTGGGATGGGAGCTTTAGCGTCTGTTAAATATTGTGGGATTGGTCGTTGTGGTCGACAGTGATGGTGGTTTTAGCTTACACGTCCAGTATATACTCACTTCCCCGGTGCAGGTTGCTCTGTTTCAGTCCAATTCGGACGAGCAATTGCAAGTCCGATTTCAATCGACCAACAGTTCTCCATTCAGGAAAAGCCTGGTTCCGTCTCTCATGAACAACGTATGTGGCAGGCAGAGCATGTGCTATTGTGCAGAACGCAGCCACCAGTACGACCCAGAAAAGCAGTCTTGTTTCCGGCATAATTATGTCGGTAACAGAGGCAGACGAACTGGGCCACCAGCGGAGGGTGATTTCGGGGTATGGCGGATGACAAAAGAAAGCAGCGCCGTTTTAGAGGGTTTGCAAAATGCACCCTGCGATCCCCGCCCCACACATACACACATGTCGTTTCAAATACGTATACCTGTATAACCTAGTATTCCTTACTGAGAGCGAGCTTAGTACTTACTGCTGGTAATTTTCCAATCGTCATCCTCTTTGATTAATATCTGTTGGCTCTACGGTATTTTGATTATCATCCCTGGTCAAGATCCTAGGAGAACGCCAGCTGTACGTGGTATTCATTCATTTTACAATGAAGCATTTGACAAAAGTGGGTTAAATTAGAAGGGAAAGGGCCAATATGAAAATAACCGGACATCTTCGCCACTAAACAATATGACAACAGCTCGTCCCGTACTATGGCTCACACCTCAATGGCCAAATATTCATTCCCGTCTTGGTTCCATTATGCACTGGTAGTCCTCCATGCAGAACACGCTCATCTCCAATCCTATTGTCCGGAAGATTAACCCAGAAGAGCGCATTTCCCGGTATCGGTTTAAACATGATGCCCTCGAATGAGCCATTTTGAATAGCTTTGCCATCATCAATTAAGCTCGAAGCTGTGGGCACAACGCGCGGAAAATAGGTTTCCCCTCCAGTGCAGTCAGCCTCCAAGAAGACAAAGATACTAGTCACACGATTGCACAATCGACCGTCTTTATACCGCATTGACTCTTGAAACCAATCATAATGAAGCTTGTATTGCTGGCCAGGTTTATACGTCACTAGTTGAGGGATGCCGAACTCGTCGGAGGCGTCGGTGAAAGATTCCATTAGGGAGAGTGCACGGCTCCCCACACATGAGACTGGAGGCTCCGATGGTGGCAGGCCAGCCGACTGGGATGATCGGTACGCATCGCCACTCGTTCCAGTTGATAATTTTGAAGGAGAATACCGAGTTTTTCTAGGAATGTCTCGTTAACATCCGAATGCATTAAGTGATATCGCTGTAGCTGTAATGGACGTGGAAGGAGAACAAAATTTAGGGCCTACCCGATATTAAGCAGTTGAGATACCTCCGTCTGACTGACAAAATTTTCGACATAAACTAGCAAAGGGTCTTCTGACACAATCTGCGTCCTATAGTCTTGGACTTCGCAGACCGTCTGTTTAGAGAACCAGAGCGCCACGTCACCTGTATTGTTGTAGGAGAAGTAAAGTCCATAACTGCAACATATTGCGACCAGGACACCAATGATGTTCCCAATGAACATCATTCGACAAAAGGCAATTGGTGTTCAGCAAGGGCTTTTGTCGGTAGTATTTCTAGCGCTCGCGATTCTGGAGCACAATTATGCTGGGTGGTTGCTATATGTACGCCTGGAACGTATCCAACGCTTACTTGTATTATTACAGGGGAGAGGGGTAAAATACAGGAGTATTCCCACTGCAGCTAAGGCGTCTAGCTCCATACGCGATAGGAAAATCCACTGTAAGTTTCATTGAGACAAAAATGCCCAAGATTCCATTGTATGACATATGAGAATGTACGGAGTCTTCGCCTCGGTGTAACAAGTTGGCTCTACATCAAACCCCCCAACCCCAAGCCCCCAACCCCGAAGGCTTTGTTCCAGGTAGGAAGGCTACGACCGACCGCCGAACCGAGCTAATAATACATTGAATGCGTTATGTATCTTAGACAACTATAATTTGCAATGCTCAATTCCCTTTGGACTTTCTACGAATAATTCAGACCGAACAAAAAGTTGCTCATAATGTTATCCTGCCTGTGGTCGCTACGTGGAGTCTGCTGGCTCTCATAATATAGATTCACATGGCTAGGTCGCCCAATACTACGGTGGCCTTGAGTTTCCGCGAGTTCGGTTACTCCTCGTCGGCCCTTCCCTCAGTCAGAATATCGATGCGGAACGGCGCGAAGTAGAAGGAACTTACAAGAACCCAAAGTCATCTGCAATATGTGTTAGAATACGCATCGAACTGGACGAATGGGGTCCCAGAATACATACAGGGATAAGACTCAATATCAACATTTCGCTTCTCCGTGGTATCACGTTTCTCTTCGCTCCTGTGATTATCTATTAGGCTCTGGTCTTTGGTGGGTATTCTCGGGTATAGCGTTGCTCGCATACAAGAAGCCAAAGTCATCTGTATTTCCCAAAGAAGTCAGTATGGAGAGACTTGATGAGTAGACCAGTAGACCAGTAGACCGTACAAGGGTAAGACTCAATATCAACGGCGCGTTTTTCCGCAGCTGGTGCTCTCTTCTCCTCTCTGGGATGCCGATTTCGTCAGGAATATTTCAGCAGGTTCACGATGAGCCATACACTTACAGGAACCCAAAGTCGTCTACGTAAACCATTAGCTCAATATCATGTAACGCAGTCAATAAAGATATGTTTCTAAGGCATGAAACTCACAAGGATAGCTTTCGATGTCAACACTAGCTTCACGTTTGGCAGGAGTGGGGGTTGCCAGGCTAGCAGCGGCCATGGCTAGAACAGCGATACACTGAGCAATCTTCATGTTGAATTCGAATGAGTAACTTCACTATCTCATCAAGTGTGTAGCGATCTTGGGGTAGTGTATATATAACAGCAGGCCAGAGCAACAGGGCAAGGAATTATCTTTATATGCTAGAATACCCAGTCTGATTACCTTTGGTATCATTGTAATACCACCTAGTACAAGGTAATGGTGTTACTGGTCCGGTAAACATCGCTTTCTGAGCTCAAGAGGATTTCGAATGTTAACTTCTAACCACATTCGTCATATAGAAGGGATTTGCAAGCCTGACGATAGGGTTCTTGCCGATTGTAATTTGCCCATTGCGTGAAGATAGACTGTGTGGGTTAGGCGTCCAGCATACGCACTACACCTGAAGTGGCTAGCGTGCATGATCGACTTTCATCAGGAGATAGGCCGATGTCACATCACTAGCATCACCTGAGCTTAGTAGTCTCACTAATTGATCGTACAGCATGATACAACATACAAACTTACCGACATTAAACAAGCAATTATCAGGAAAGCACTGCACGCCAAGATTTCAGCTCGTATCTCGAGGCTAGACTGTATGCGCTGATTGATCCACCCAAACAATTGAAAAGACACTCGAGCATACATGGAACTCCCCGCCGGAATTCCGTGACAGTTGCAAAGGCATAACCTGTTTTCCTAATATGTGCTAGCTGCTACTGATATAATTACTCTTACCAAAGCTACCTCATGAGGCCTGTGAGCAGCGAATAAAGCTAGTCACCGCTGATGATTTCTCATATGATCGATACCTGTGCCAGCCCCAGGGAATTCCTGCCACTTTGAAGGTCTCGCCAGATTCTACTAGAAACCCAGCTGGTGTATGCTTGAGGTCGCTTCCCAATGGCTCCTTCCGAATATCGGAAGATCTCCGAAGCCTCCGAAATCGACTCTCTGACGCTTGAAGAAGGGGAGACTGAAGAGCCCTTGTCACATGCACCACCGCGCGGCAAGTTATTCAGGAATCTTCCAGGCTGGGCATATGCAATCCTTGGTCTATCTCTGGTTATTGTCGGCTTTGCTGCAGGATTGTTCATCGACCTAGACATTGACAGGAAATGCCTTATTCGCAATTCTTATTATTGTGGGTGGCCTGTCCCAATCGCGACACCAAAGCCGCATTCTGAGAATGGAGACAACTGACAGAGCTTTCAGCTCCCGCTCTTGATCAAATTGACGCAGGGTATGAACCCGTTCGGTTCAATAGTACCGTTGGTAACCCCACCCCGTTTGGAGGGACCCCACGACCTGAGGTCGACAATGCGTGGGCGGCTGTGGACCAAGGTAGGTATACGTTGCACTATGTCATCTGTACACTTATCTGACCTCATCTTAGTTCAGGTGCGGGGTATATCTCGAGAGGAATTGATCCGCATTGGTGGCTCGGTGGATGATGTGAGGTTACCCGAAGATCTAGGAGGCGGGTACATGGCTTCGGACATGTATACTCATGAGCTCCACTGCCTCAACTTCCTCCGGAAAGCAACGTATCCCGAGTACTACAACCAGTCACATGGATTCACGGATCTACCGCATGTGGTACGCCTGCATCTAGGTGAGAAAGTATTCTTCTTATCCCGACTTTGACCAGGTTGGTCCCCCGCATAGTTGCTGTAAACCTACTTACCCCACTGCACCAATAGACCACTGCATTGAATTGCTGAGACAATTTGTGGTCTGTCAGGGCGATGTCGGGCTCTACACATTCCAGTGGCTGGAGCACTATCCGACCCCTTACCCTAAATTCAGTACATGGCATCAATGCCGCAATACGGACTCGATTCAGGCGTGGATCAGGCAAGGTTCCATTCAAACACCTTCCAACTATACCTGGCCACGTGTTCCTGGATCGATTATTTTTCCTCGACCAGAGTCTGATTAACACTTGTACGAAGGGGAGGGGTTCTTTCGCAACTATGGGTCCGCAAGCATGAAGGTGGGGACCTCGAACGAATGCAATCGCTGACATGTTCACGGAAGTCCGTTGGAGCATACGTTCCGTATCTCTAGATAGGATGCCTCTGTCCGTTCAGCGATTATTGTCCAATTTGCGGAAATTCTCTGTATCACATAAATAACCAATCATGTCTCAGAAACCAGAATGAAGACAACCCATCGCTGAGTTTAGAGACCAGAACGATTCAGGGACTTGCGGATGTTGAGATACCGCTGGTGAAATATTGAGTCTAAATGCCAATAAAATTCTGCTACATCCATTTGCCTTACATTATGTTATTCTCAAAGCTGATAACGCCATGTTTTCTGAAGTCTGTCAGTCAGATTGTTTCATTGAAGCCGAGGCTATATAAGATTATGTCATAATCTGTGCAAAAGCCAATCGCTACTACTGCGCTCTATTATTTGACCCGAGGGATAAACTGTTGTTGCAAATCCACCAGGTCCGTATGTCAACGTAGTTGCCCTAAGCGGGGCAACATGATGTTACATCAGCTAATGCATCAACGCCATTTTTGCTTCAAATTAAGCATCAGGCTCTATCTGGGTGTGGGGGCGGAATCCGGCTAGTGGTAGGAAAAGTGTGGAGATAAGCGATGACCACTGTAGCAGTACGACCCCCGTACCTCGTAACTTACGTGGTAGCGCATAGAAGAGTCATTCACTAAATTGAATGAACAAACGCGAATTCTTAGGCTAGTGAGGATACGAGACAGATGCAGGCAATTCCTGTATTGTAATAGTTATACTCCAAGAACTTCGAGAAAATTTACAACTCATCCTGACATGTAATACCCGTAATAACGCTGTGTAACACACATGGCTTGGAGCTGGTTTCCTTGTTGTCTGCCTCGGGTGGTAAGGGAAATTTACATAATTCTGGGATTAGGCCTTCAATTGATCCACTGTTGGTTGACACTTACCCTCAGAGTAATTTTCTAACTCCAGCAAGCTTGACGTGTGGCCTCCTCAACGAAATCACGATCTCGCTCAGGGCTCTCACCAAACAGGTCTAGGGCCTTGCACACGATGGAGGACGCCGAAGAGGGTCAACCGTTTCTCTCTGGGAAGCAAACCACACCAGATGTTATCCGGAACGTGGGAAGCCCAAAACGCCGCCTACTTGACTGGGCCTGGGTGATTTCCACACTGATATTTGCATCACTGTCGGTTTTCCTCTACGTCCAATGCCTCAGAATCGAGGCATATGAGCGTGGGTTCTCGACAGACTTGGGTATGGCTGCTGGCAATGACAGAATGGCTCCCTCAAACCATCCACTAACTAACAAAAACAATAAGATGCGTTGAAATCACAAATCCAACTGCATCAGGTACAATTTTCTGGCGGACTGGAACTTAATGAGACCGGGAAACTACATCGCATCGTCGACCCTGAAAGGCCACAGTATGTCGGACCTCCCACGCCTGAAATCGACGCGGCGTGGGATGATCTCATGCTAGGTAAGTGCTCTTGAGCTATCATACTTCATGGTATGCTGATAAAATTCGTAGCCCTCGACCTCGACCTGCCTGTGACAGAATCAGCAGACGTTACGTGGACAATGAAAGGCCAAGACAGCAGCAAATACAGAGTAAGGTCAGTGGTACTGAAGAAAGTCATATAAGATTAAGGACTAGAGCTTATATTGATTAAATTCTCATAGCCTCGATCTATACCATTCACTACACTGTTTAGTATGTATCAACCTCCTACGACTATCACCCAGCAGACTTAACCGCAAAACAGAATGCGATTCGTCGGGCACTAGACTCGGACTACTATGAGCCAGGCGTGCAGCATCCTTATTTCTTCCGGCTACATATCGGTATGCACCCATTCTAGGTATCACACTTCATGCAACTGAGTACTGATATTGACTGTCGAGCAAGATCATTGCATCGATTATCTTCGCCAAGGAATTCAATGCTCAGCAGACTTAACCCCACTTGGCTATGAGTGGAATGAGGAGTACCAGGTTCCATTTCCTTTGTTCAAAGAGAAACATACCTGCCGTAACTTCGAAAAGATAAGGTCTTGGGCAATGGAGAGAATACCACCCGAGAGACAGAAGCACAGCCATAGCCACACTCATGGGCAACGGCAGGTCTAAGTACGATAACATGACTCTGGGGGATAGTATGATCGCTCTATAACATGTATAACTCGTTTTCCTATATATCATGGCCGATGGCCCCTTGCAAGATGTTCAGCAGGATACGTCTAGGTTATCAAATGGCGTATTACTCTAACGGTACAAGGATTATTGTGCAGCATCCTGCGTTCATGATGACCAAGCAAAATGTCAATAGTTATAGCCCACCCGTTGATAAAATATGCCAGTGAAAATATTGATTGACCTAAATTCAAGGACGCTGCTAATATTAACCATCGCTACTTGAATGGCCAGAATAATTAGAATGTTTCCCATTGGGCATTCAGGGAGGTTTCGGCGTTGGATTCATCCAGGCTGTGGTTGCATAATCTCGAGGCGGGGTATCCGGTAGACCGCGTATCCACTTCGTTTTCATTCAATGCATATATCACGCGATTACAGTCGATTAAACAAAGTACAAGACCCTGTTGATCTTCCGATTTCAGCGAAGCGAAATAAGATAGCTGTTTGATTGTATTTATTTAAATGCAACTCCTCCACTAGTGACTGATTCTCCATATTCTTACCCAACCTTGTGGTGAATTGTTATGTTCACTAAGCAGGATGTCTTCGTTCTATGCCGCGGAAACCCCTGAACGGGTGAAGAAAGCCCAAGTAAGGATTTCAAGATCACGAATAAACCCTGCCCATCCTCTGCCGTGGACCCCACGAAAACGGAATTTAGTTAATTTTCATAAAGGGCTTACATCTCATAACGTCTCTCACCCCAAATGGAAGAAAAGTCCACATTCTTCTCGAAGAGCTCAAGGACGCCTACGGCCTTGAATGGACAACAAGTTTGATTGATCTCGATAATAACGAACAGAAAAAAGACTGGTTTCTTAGACTAAATCCTAACGGTGCGTCTTTTCCTTTTCATATGCAAACATCTTATTTTCCAAAAACAAAGACTAATCGATCAATTAGGCCGCATCCCAATATTAGTCGACAATGATCAGAGTCCACCTCACGTTGTCATGGAATCATCTGCTGAGCTATTGTATCTCGTCAATTTGGCAGACGCCGACAATCTTTTCTGGTTTTCGGACCCGATTGATCAAAGTGAAGCATTTCAATGGCTAATATTCTGGCATGCCTCGGGGCAACCCAATCAAGGGCAATATAACTTTTTTCGGAATAATGCGGACCGAATCCCTCGTGAGTGTTACCTTGGAGTTTCGATATGTGCTTGCCTGCTGAGAAAATCTAGATGTAGTGGATCGTTTCAAGCGGCAGGCGCTGCAGGCTTATGATGTACTTGAAATCCGCCTTTCGGGGAGATATGGTGGTGGAACACGGGAATATTTGGCTGGGGAAGATAAGGGGAAATATAGCATTGCTGATATGAATGCCTGGGCGTGGATACGAAATATTCGACGAATTGGACTCTCAGAGGATGAATTGGCTCAGTTACCTCATTTGCAGCAGTGGGTGGATCGCATTGCGGCGCGACCGGCTGTGGAGCGAGGCTTGGGGGAGTGGTATGATGAGGATTTGCATCCAGAGTTATTGATTGAGACTGCGTGATAGACTGCTATATCCCTACCCCCGATCCACAGTCCCGAGGCTGACTTCCATCTATAACGGGAATTCCCTACCGAATTCGTGGCCCCTCCACACTACTCCACACTAGCGCCTCCTGTCCATGGCTAATGTTTACCCAATAGGCTTAACACCAGGCATGCTGAAAACAGACCAGGGTGCTGGGTGAGCTGACCTCACCCTATAAATATCCTGCGATCCCCCAATTCCCAGCTCATTCTTCCTACAGAGCCAATTTCCCCAATCCTAACATCCAATTTTTTATACTGTGTCCTTCCTAACCCCGATCCACTTTCACGCGTCTGCCCCAACACAAAAAATGGCAGACACTGAAGAACCCCCCATCTTTACTAAATACCCATCCCTGCGCAAGATGGCGGGCGTTGATGATTCCGAGATCGTCGAGTCCCACGACGGACGCGAGGTCACCCTCCTCAAGTACATTTACGCCCACCCAGAGCTGGACACAAAGCTTCGGGGCTCCCCTGCGGCGATTTTGGAGGCAATGGATGAGTTTGCCGCCCAAGAGGATTTTCTGATCAATATTGGACCCGACAAAGCGGGGAAGCTGGGTGCCTTAATGCGCGAGCATCGGCCGAGGGTTCTGGTGGAGTTGGGGGGGTATGTTGGGTAAGTCTGATCTCTCCCTCAATGTGGAGTTGGACAGGGTTAGGGTTGAGTCAAGGCTTACATTGAGCATAGATACTCTGCCATCCTATTTGGAAGTATCCTGAAGGAAATTTGGGGGGTGAACCCGGATAATGCAGAGGTAGAGGACGAGGACAACTCCAAGGCCAAACTCTATAGCGTGGAGATCGACCCTCTCATCGCTTCAGTTGCCATGAACCTTGTCAGCCTCGCAGGTCTCCAGGATTTTGTTGAGGTCATTATCGGGGGCTCCGCGCACACCCTGCGGCGGTTCCAGGAGCAAGAGACCTTTGGCAACGGGGGTATCGATATGCTGTTCTTGGACCATGATGAGGCGCTGTACGAGGCAGACGTCAAATTGGCCGAAGAACTGGGCTTTCTTGACAAACACGGCGCGCTAATTATCGCCGATAATGTGGTGCGGCCTGGAGCGCCAGAGTATCGGGATTATATGCGGAAAAATCGACGCTTGGGTGTAAGTTGGGGTTTGCCAGCGTTGATTGTGCCCGGGGATTTCGAGGTTTGTTTCTCTCCTCAATTCTTTTTCTCTGTGGGAGCTTCAAGACATTCCGATTCATGACTGACTGTTTGATTGTAGGACGAGATGGAGATCAGCGTCGTGGGCCGCGGTGTGTGAAGCCCGGGACTGAAGAGCAGAATAGAAAAAATGAGAGGGGATGGTTAAATGAGGGTGTATTTCGGTGCGAATAATGGCAAAACTAACACGATTGAGTGAATCACGAGCTCTGACATCGCGGTATGAATATTATGACCTATGAAAGTGGCGACGTATGCGACATGAAAGCGATAGTACCTATGTAACCTAAAGTCTCAATTAAGCCTTGACCCGAGTGTATTTATCAGACTGTCGTTGTTGTGTCTCACTGTTGGCTAGGTATTGGAATCAGAATATTTGACTAGATAGGCACCGGAGGGTTATGTTTGTAGTCTAAACTCAAGTAAAAGTAAGCGACAGAGTAATGGGTGAAAATTCTTGACCCGTTCCTATATCTATTTCCCTGGTCCCAGGATTTCCTAATATATCATTTATCCGAATATTAATCCAACCCTCAAAGCGCACCGCACATTGGAAATTATCTATACACTATACGTGGTTCATATTATTTCTGGCTCAACTCTCAGCGCATGCGAAGTCATGTTGTTCCTCCCATATGGTCGTATGTGCCGTGCCATTCGCTGCTTTCAAAAATAAAACATCGCAAATGAAAGTATCATTCCATGTTAGTTATGTAATTAAACGGTTTTATCTTGGACAGATAAGTAATGAAGCCTAAAAGACATGATCTTCCGAGCTCCTGCTGTCCTTTGCTGTGATGATTGTCTTCAAACCGGTTGTGGATTCGCCATCACTCAAGCGCGACGCCGTGACACGGACTGGCCCAGTCGTAGTAACGTATGTGAGGATTACACCGTCTGTGGTGGGTAACGGTTTAGGGAAGAGTAAGTTGCGCCAATGAGACAATGTAGGCTCGGTTACACCATAAATAAGGGCGTCGACGAAGCCTTGGATCACGATGCAAGACTTGAGGGTAGTTAGACTGCCACCCTGCATCAATAAGGAGAGGAATTCTCACTTTATCTATCGTTTGCAATGCAAAGGGTGCTGAGATGCCTTTAGAGGCTTGGTAAATGCGGATTGCTGTTGGCAGTGTCCAGACAAAAATATACGCGACAGGATACATAAGCATGAGGCGGGCCATCTAAAGCGTATTGTGAGAACGTGATTTGGAGAGAAACATCAAGGCTCAACCCTACCTTCTTGATTCTTCGACCGTTTGGCACCGAAGCAGTCAGCGACGGTCGGTTCAAATCTTCTGTGGTAGATTCGTGTGAGGACGCGAATGGACTATGAGCTCGGTACAGCACAAGATATAGGCGGGTGTACATGGCTAGCATGATGGCGATAATGATCCAACGCGGAACAAAGTTGACGAGAAGACGGACTTCATCGGAAGTGAACCAGCACCCTGCAAACCTAGAATCAGCATTTTTGGACAGCGATAAGATTACGAGTACCACGAACAAGCTCCAATGTCGCCGTAGCCAGCAACTCCCAAGCCGATCGATGCCCAGATGAGTGAAAACACCCATGGAATTGCCATTAACAGCCGACAGTTCTCCTGGACCCAGACAGAGATGTGCTTATGATCGGCCAAGATCGCGTATGTGCAAATGGCAATTGTGAGAACCCAGTAATCCGTTTGAACGACGAAGACCTGCGTCATGAAGCCGTTGAAGCTACAGAACCCTTCCATGTCGGTCCCTCCAATTAATCGGCCGCTGACGTCCAATGACGAGGAAGAAAGGAAGTTGATGGCCATAATGCAGTCACTAATCGCGAGACCCCTATTCTGTCAATTAGACATAGAACTAGATATCTTTCGCAGAGCAGTTTGGGCATACAAAATAAGCTGGTGCCTGAAGGACCGTAGTGGCCTGAAAACCTGAGCAATGGGTCAGTAATCCAAGCGAATTAACAAGTGATGGGAAATTCTTACTGCAAAGCTAAGCAGGATCCATCCTGCTGCCATGGCCGAGACAACCGACAAGGTAAGAATGACAACACTTTGGATATATGTTTCCTCATCTGTGGTTGGTGCGGCCAGGGCCTCTCGAGGCGAGATGTCAAATGGCCCATTTGCCTTTACCCAGGCGCGAAGAATAGAAAGCATGTCAATCCTGATCCCACGCTGTTACCTCCCTTGGGCAATGGAAGATTTATTTATGATGATGTTGCCTAGGTGTGTGGCGCCTGCTTATCGGCGTCGTCTATGAGGTTCTTCGCATCGTAGTCTACGAAGAAGCTGGGCTAAGATGGGAATAAATTTCCAGGTACCACAGGAAGGCATGGATTTCTAATCCAAAGAGAACCCTCCAGCCTTGTATCATTGGCAGGATCAGCGCTAGTTTTATTTGGAGAGTAGACCGACGTGGCTATGGGGCCTTTCGAGCAGTCACATCCCAAGCAAGAAGAGCCTGCCTCATATCTCGGAGAGAAGCTACCATCATCTGTGGATGGCAAGCAGTATAGATAAGGAATAGGGGTGGAAGTTCATCTATGTATAGCGTCAATGGGGTTGCATTCCACTGTGATGGGCGAGGAGAAAAAGGAAATATACCGGGTAGCTCGCCGAGTCAGGCTCGCATCCGAGACGAACACCCGCAACAATTATCTTCATGATCTTCGCCAGACATTGATCCAGGCTCTGACTGGCCCATTATCACAACTCGTATCTTGATCAAAATATTTTGCTAGAAAAAGCAAATTTACGGCCCCTCGAGATAACAAGATGTAGGGGTAACTCCGCGGAACTTTAACAAAACGCGCTAAATCGCGAAGGATCGCGATAAGAAGGCGTGTTTTGTAGGGGTCTCTCTATAAATATGTAGGTCCGAAGAGAGGACATCCACTGCAATGCTAGATCGGTGGTGGTATCAAGTCACGAGATGTCCCAAACATAATGGATAGAACCATTCGCCGTTTCCTCGGTATGGCGCCTCATATCAACCCCTGTGGCGTTGACCCGATGTATATCTCAGTATGAAACACGTCTACACAATTTTATTGTGGATATCTCGGCTGTTTCAAATTGTCTGGGATATCGCATGATCTATTGCCGTCCGTATTCTAGTCTTTTCCAACCCTTTTAACGTCGAGTATCTTATCCCTTTCGGAGATTTCAAAGAACAGCCCGGATAAGACATGCTATACGAGCTCAATAAGTACTCAGCCACAGCAAGCCGTGCCCTTCGTAAAGCGAAAAGATAAGAACAAACAATCCAGTTCATGGGCGCGAGATCCCATACAGTCCCGACTCGCTACGCACATATGTTTTCGATTATTTCACTCCTTTCCCCTTGTTCGTGTCTGGCTCTGAGCGTAGATGTTCATCACAAGCTATTTTCAAGCGCTTCGAAAAATTCAGCTAGACGAAGATATAGCTTTCTACACTTTCATTATGTTCTGACCAGCGTGATGTCTGAACAGCCCTGACGAGTGACAGGTATGACGTTTGCCATAATAACCCCTGCAAGCAGGAGATGTGCGGAGCAATGAGCCTTTTCCACGGCAGGCAAAGAGGCACGATTGATAGCCAGGAGCCTGGTATTCTGGTGCTAGCTTGTTTCTCGAAGATAGATCGGCATGAGAATCTCGGGTCCACACCAACAAACAATAATGCCCTGTTTCGAGGGTAAATCGGTTGTGCTTGGCCCTCGAGCATTGACCAGGTGACCCCACTGAGAGTTCACGATCGGCCAGGCTCTGCGGATCTACAGGACTGGCTGACTTGAATAAACACTTTTAACCCGTAACGACCGTTGGCTGCTACTGGAGGAGGCGGCATCGCCCGTGGGCGGTACGATTGCTACACTGTTGGCATAATTGAACAAAAGTGCTGACGATCACGATGTTTGGTGGTAGGCAATTGTGGTGGGAGTGCCGCGGCGATTAACCTTGGAGAGTTGCGAGTCTTTGACAAAATTGACTCAAAGTTAGCCAGATACAATAGGTTTCCAAGTAGACTAGCCCCGCCTGCGATACGGAGTCTCATGCTTCGGTGTGGTGGTGTGCCACTGGTAGCTCACAAGAAGTGTGGATCTGGATGACAACGCGGGGAAATCTCTCCCATCCGATACATGCAACTATTGATTGGAGTATACAAGACGAGAGCTAGGACCTTGTGAAAACGTATATTCAATGATTGTTATACAACGATGCTAATTGATTATCAATAAGTGACAAATTATCCAACAGGAAATGAGCAATGACAAAAGAAAAAAAAAACAATAGGAAATAAGGGTATTCATAATCATGATCCACCACCATCAGTCAGGTCCCACTGCCAAAACTCAATCCCACTTACAGCTTAGCAGCAGAGCCAGCCGAGGAGATCTCGTTGTACAGCAAGCTGGTCAGGAAATCAGCGTAGTCCTCACCGGTCACCTGGCCAGCGAAGTACCGGGCAGCAAGCTGGTACTTGTTGCCCTTGGGAGCCTGGGAGGCCAGGCTGTCAGCCTGCTCCTGCAGCAGACGCAGGGCATACGCCTTGTCGACACGCTTGCCCTCAGCAGTGCTAACGTTGTGGCGGACCCACTGCCACAGCTGGGAGCGGGAGACCTCGGCGGTAGCAGCGTCTTCCATGAGGAAGTTGATGGGCACGCAGCCAACACCGCGCAGCCAGCCCTCCATGTAGCTCAGGCCGATGTTGAGGTTCTTGCGGATGCCGACCTCGGTGATCTTGCCGGGGACGTTGGTGTTCAGCAGGTCGTTGGCGGTGATTTGGACCTCCTCGCGGCGCTTGAAGAGCTGGTTGGGGGTCGGCATGTACTTGTTGAAGACCTCGGAGGCGATGGAGGCCAGGGCCGGGTGGGCAACCCAGGTACCGTCGTGGCCGGCGCGGACCTCACGCAGCTTATCGGCGCGGACGGACTCCATGGCCTTGTCGTTGGCGACGGGGTCGTTCTTGACGGGGATCTGGGCGGCCATGCCACCCATAGCGTGGACACCGCGACGGTGGCAGGTCTTGATGAGCAGCTTGACGTAGGCGTCCATGAAGGGAACGGTCATGGTGACATCGGAGCGGTCGGGGAGGACAAAGTTGGGGTGCTGGCGGAACTTCTTGATGAAGGAGAAGATGTAGTCCCAGCGGCCGCAGTTCAGACCGGAGCTGTGGTCGCGCAGCTCGTAGATGATCTCGTCCATCTCGAAGGCGGCGGTGATAGTCTCGATCAGAACGGTACCACGGATGGTGCCGCGGGGCATGCCAATGTAATCCTGGGCCAGGTTGAAGACGTCGTTCCACAGGCGAGCCTCGAGGTGGGACTCCATCTTGGGCAGGTAGAAGTAAGGACCGGCACCGCGGGCGACGAGCTCCTTAGCGTTGTGGAAGAAGTACAGACCAAAGTCGAACAGAGAACCAGAGATGGGCTCGCTATCGACGGTGAAGTGCTTCTCATCCAGGTGCCAGCCACGGGCACGGGCAATGAGGGTAGGCAGCTTGCGGTCAGTGCGGAGCTTGTACTCCTTGCCGCCCTGCTTGAAGTCGACCTGGCGACGGATGGCATCGTACAGGTTGACCTGGCCGTTGATCATGTTCTCCCAGGTGGGAGCAGAGGAGTCCTCAAAGTCGGCCATGTAGGTCCAGACATCGGAGTTGAGGGCGTTAACGACCATCTTGCGGTCGGTCGGGCCAGTAATCTCGACACGACGGTCGATCAGACCGGGAGCAGGAGGAGCACCCTTCCATGCGTCGTTCTCACGAATGTGCTTGGTCTCGGGGAGGAAGTCAAGCAGGTGGCCCTTGTCGATCTCGGCCTGGCGATCGATGCGGCGCTGGAGCAGGGCCTTGCGGGTAGGGTTGAAGGTGCGGTGCAGGATGGCCAGGAAGGCGCAGGCCTCCTTGGTGAGGATTTTGCGGGCATCGTTGGGGATGCTGGCCAGGATGGCCACATCCTTGAGGTGTGAGTCGACAGAGGCGGTCATTGTGAGAGAAAGTGTGTGAGGGGGGAATCAGCTGGAAAGAGTATATAGATCGAGGGTAGGTTGAAGTAGTGGGTGGAATCTTGTATATTGCTACCGATGATACCGACGGACCATCCAATTGATAGCTGGATTGAAGGATGGATGGAATGCAGATGAAGACAAAGAAGAGAAAAGAAGAAAGGATCTTCTTACTGCCGAAGCCTGTGACTATATACAAAGATACTTCCATCGAACCAGCCGCCCGCCCGAAGGCGGAGATAGAAGACGTCAGAGCAAACGAGAGCCGCGGCTGTTCTGTTGGTCCCGCCGGGCCAATCGAGTTGCGATTGATAGTCGCAGTGACTCGCAGTTACTCGCTCCCAGTCTTCGGCTATCGTCCAGCTTCCCCCAGTCCGACTCCACCTTGAAATCTCCATCCAATCAGCCAGCTCTGCCGCGGCCCGTCACCTGACTTTCCCGACGGGAAACTGCCCCAGATGCGTCCTCCACTCGGCCGACATTGCCCGTTCCCCGAAACCCTCCACTCGACAACCCCTTCGACCCTGCAATTCGGCACTCAAAAGGCGGTCGCGGCCCCCGATCTTACTCGGGATGCGCCGCATACCGAGTCATCTGGCACCGCGACCGGCGCTCTGTTATCCGGGTAGACTAGAAATCTCTCGTCCGGAAAGACGTGCGGTCTTATAGTTTTTTCCTCTCGCTCGAGTCGTGATGAGCAACACGATGGATTGTCCAGTCTGCATATCGCCCCAAAACAAAACAAAGTTTCCGTCATGGTCCAACCCTAGTTGGGCTTCCGTCCCTGCCCCAGGCCACACTTGCCTCCTAACTCACCCGAGGGTTGGCTCACTGGCGGCGAGGATTCGCCCTTCCCTGTTCTCCCCGCATGCCCGAGCTTGCCAATCAAGCCGCGGCTCACTCTGAGAGACATGGTCGGAGTCTGCAAGAGATTGGTCCAGAATTCGGCTTCGTTCGGTCCAGTCCAACTGGGAGCTTTGGCCGAAATGTCCCGGCTTGTGATGAGTCTGGGGGAAGCATCCGGGATGCGTCATGCTAGCGGCCTACATGTGATGCCGCATGTGATAGTCACTCAAACAGCTCATCATCAGGGGATACTTTTTATTGATTAGCCAGACTCACTAATCACCACCAGAAGAGCTACAGCTGTGTCAATTGGCTCGCTGTATGCTACGTTCTATAGAAGCTACTAATACTCCAGCCCTTGACACTGCCGCGCAAGCCTGGTACTCAGCTAGCTCGGGGAATATTATACAAATCATCTAACCCACGAAACACTCAAATTGCAAATAGCCCCGAACTTTGAACAACCCGCATATTCTCGATTGAGCTTGAGACCAGGCTTGAAATTTTTGCGCCAACATTATGCCCTACAGAACGTCTCAATACCACTTTCAAAAACAAGCTGTGGATGTGCTTACTCCGAGCTGACGCAAAGAAAATCTATGCTGGAAGCGCACATCCCTAGAGACCTCTCCTCAAACGAATTCTCGTACAGGAAGACAAATATTTAAACACCATCTACATCTGTCTCAGAAGTAAGGAAAGGAAGAAACAAATCCAATAAAAATCAATTCAAGCAAGAAGAAAAACTTCATTATCAATTCATGTCTCAACGCATAGCGAACAGTTAATAGTCTAAGCTTGAGAGATATCTTTCTGATCTCCTTGTGAGCTTTAACATGCTTCGTCAAGACCCGACTTGCGACTTGTGCCGTTGATTATATATGAAAATCGCCGTCAAAGGCTCTCGATAAATGAACCGTTGGTCACAACGTTTCCTATAGCACCACTCGATATGACCCTCGAAACGAACAAAGCGATTAGCAGCGTAAAGACGAACAGAGCCTTCTTGTTTTCGGACCGGACGGAGAAAATCTCCAAAATAAGCTTAGATGGAACAAGCAAATATAGACGCTTGCGCAAACGACCCGACCCACATCGTAGATCCAGTCATTAGAAAGGCCCATATGAGTATCATACCACGTGTCAAAGGAGCTCTATGGGTAGATGAAACAGTTCCTCTAAGTCTGTTGATCGCTGGAATCCTGCTCACGGGGGGTTTAATTAAGCTCATGTATGTCCTTCACCTAGTCAGAACTTGCAGTCGACGTACGCTGAAGCAGGAATTATTGAATGTTGTCTCCTCGATGGCTTGGTGTAACATCTCCTTATACTTTCCATCCGACTTCCCGATCTAGTCTTCATGGAAAAATGATCCCGGGTCACCGGCGTGATCACGGTGATAAGATCGACGTCGCTACACTGTCTTTGGCGTGATGGGTCGTTCAAATCATAACTGACTTACTTCTTAAAGGGATATATGGTAAAAGTATGACCATTGCTGGTGTTGAGTGGCAGGACGTAGCAGAAATTGAGAAATCCTAACATTGCAATGGGCTTGTGGGCCGGACCTCTATATCCCCGAAGTCATCCTAAGCTCTGCCCGACTGCACACGTTTCGACCGATCAACTAATTCTACTTCCATTTCGTCAAGGCGAGCCCCGTGGCGAGAATATTCAGATGCAAAGAATGAATTTCGGCTTTATGCAGATATTCGTCGTTGGTTGCAATACATTTGCTTTTATGTTCACGTCCTACCTATATATTATCTTCAATTAATGTGCCCAGCGGGGATAAATCATGTAATGTTTTTACTTGATCACTAATTGCTTGAACAAATCGATTTGCCTGGCCTAATGCTGGTTTAACATCATTTCAGTGGCAAGCATTTATCCTATAACGTCAACCACATTCATCTTTCTCATGAACATCAATACTTTTTGCCTCCGCCATACGATACGAAGACTATAACCTTTGAAGTCAAAGGTTGGTTATTGGATCATCTGTTTATTTAGGACTCTCTTGACCCTCGCGGTGGGCAGAAATATGTTCTCGCATTGCTAGTAATATATTTCGCAGCCTCCACGGCTGGTGGGTAAATCCTTCAATTTGACAATCCATGAACGAGTCAACTTCTGCTTGTAAGACTCTTCCTATTCCAAGTTACCTAGGGACGATGTGTACAGTCTTTCTATTTGCTCTTCTCTATTGCATACTGGAATTGACAAATCATACGTCAAAGAGCTATCACATTCGTTGAGGGCCAGGAGATTACCACACAGGGGTGTATCTAGTGTAGGATATACGAGATGCATGTACTCTCCAGGATGCAGGAACGATTCAATGACGTTGAATAAAACGAACATTAGTGCTAGAACCCAGTTATGCCTATGTTCATCAGCTCAATAAGTGCGCTTCTGCATTACACCTATACTCCCCTTTACTTAACTAAAGACGGCTGGACTTGGTAATGGAATATATATGTCGCAAGACTTTGGATCCCGTCTCGATCTGACTACGAGGCTTTTAAGCTCGGAATAACCACATGAGTATCTCCTGATAAGAATGTACAACCAGTACCTGCAAGCTAACCTATTGATCTCACAATTCTCTACTTTCCACCGTACACACGGAATGTATTCGATTTCAACCTTATTCATGTGCGTCCCACAAGACTGGACATCGAGCGAGTAGAATGCTCAATCTACTTGCAATAGGAACACTGGTAGCATAACAGGTAGCATAGCAGGTCATCAGCTTTCAATTCGGATTGCGCCGACATCCAGATTTTTAGTCTTTCTCACTGATTTGAACACAGAGGGCATCTCCACTCGCTTGCGACTGCGGCGGATGTAACCACCGAAATCGGCAGTTTTCTGCGCACTCGCCCGAGGGTATTTGAACTTGCCCGCGGTCGCATGCTTTACTTTCCCTACAAGCAATGTGTTTCCCGGGTCAAATGATTTGGATTGATTATTCTATACTTGAGCTTTATTAATATTAAAATAGACCAATGCTGAATTGCACAGGAAACAATACGGTGTCCAACGTTGATTACATGGGCGGCATGCTAGCACTCTGAAGGAAGACCCACAACATCCTGCGAAGTCATGTACAAGATTCACCCGTGAATCGACGTGAAGTTCGAATGAAGAGTACGCCTATGAATCAAACAGTCTCAGACCTCCAGATGATACGAGCCGCCGTCGAGTCCACCTTTGTCCGGCGAGCATCTGCTTGTCATGTTTTTGCCCTATATCAAGTCTCTTCACATGGATTTGTATCCCATATGCGCCACTTCATGAGGCCTAGGCTTTAGATTGCACAATACCGTTCTGGAGAAATCAGGATCGGACGCATGGTCCCAGAGCGGATGATAGACTTCAGATCATACTTATTACTACCCCAAGTATCAAGCTACTTAATCGTGTCGGGTCCTGGACACTGTGATCTGGCAATATTGTACTATACGACATGGGAGTAGAAGGTGGATGACTTTGTTGTGCTTAGAACTGTAGTATGATTTCTCCGTAATCGCTGATTAGACGGTTGAACTTTTTTGCGCGGGGGCAGTGCAAGGCCCCCTTTAGGATCTTGAGTGTGGGGACAATCCCAAGGCTGTAGAAGGAAGACCAAGTTCGAGTCCGAGTTACTTACAGGCATATTGTAATTGCACGGCCATCGTAGCCACGCACCAAGAAGTTGAGATATCTGTGATGGCATAGCTTGTCAGCTAACCGTGGATCATTGTACCAGCGTGGCATGATTTGTTCCATGAGCCAATGCTGGGCGACTTGGTTCTCCACGTCATGCAATCCCCGCATTCCCGCATTCCACAGCCGGCGATCTTCCTTTCCTGCTTTATACGGAGGAATACCCTCCGACCGGAACTCACGCGCCACCTTTCATCTTCCACCACTTCTCTGCTCTTCCTCTAGCATATCTCTTCAATTCAACCTACCATCCCAACCTGCTACACTCTCTATCCCTCGATTTCAAAATGTCTCAATACGCCTTCCCTGGAGCCAACCCCTCCCACAGACCTCATCCGACCGGCCCGGCCATAAAGCCTCGGCCTAGCCGCTGGTACGCAAACCTACCCCTGGAAGGGCCTCTTGCTGGCTCTGGCCTCAAAATCAACCGCTCAACTAACATGACCTTTTGAAATAGGTACATCCCAGTCGTTGCGGCCGTTGGACTTGGTACGAACAACTCACAAATAACCTAATTTCCCTTCGCGCTATCGGCGACTGATCAATCTCCATACAGGCTTCGCCGGCTACAACTACTACAACGAGGTTAAATCGCGGCAAGAGTTCGCCATGGCTGAAGAGGAGAAGCGCATGGCCCGGAACCAGAAACTCATGGATGCCTACGGAAGCAAAGACAGTCTGAATGATGTTCAGCAGGCGCTCGATACGTACCATTCTCGATGAGCGTGTCTCGAACGAGCGTCTTTCCTTGCGTTGAGGTGAACCTTTTTGTCTCTCGGTCGCGATGCTGGTTTTCGCGACCAAGGGAAGATTCTTTTCTACGATGCATGGTGTTTTCTCACGGGGTTCATGGCGTTGGTGTTTCGGGGATTTCACATGGGGCTGCATTTTTACCCCGTTCTTCCCAGATTGTGTCGGTCTCACTGGGCTTTTACCCTTTGTCGGTGGACACTTATCCCATTTCTTATGTTCAATATTCCAAGCATGCGGGCATATATTTATTACCTCGCACTACAAGCCTTCCATATCTACCCAAACACGGGAAATACGAAAAAGAATTCAAAATACTACTTATCACCGGATGGTAGTCTGATATCTCTCATGAAGAACATGATTAGGAAAAGATGTCATATTCGAAGAAACCTATACACAAAAAGCCTATCGAGGCTCCTTGCAACTCCCTAATTTCGAAATTGGTACAATTAACCCACCAATCACTCGCAGTCCCTTAGTAGCTCGAGTAGAAGCTGCTAGTATCCCACCCATCAAAGGCACTATAATCCGCAAGCGGCGAGCTACCGTGCAGTCCCTCCCAGTACTTCCGGTTTCCACAAGTGCCCGAGCTATTCGTCTTCGCACACTTACCACCCAACAACTCTGCAATCCGCTCACCCGCATCACGACCCTCGAACCAAGCGCCATGCAAGAAGCCGAAGTACCCTGCGCTGGTAGCCTCGCCCGCGAACCAGAGGCGGTTCACGTTCGCGCGCAAGTTCTCGTGCATCTCGAGAGTGGTCGATGGGGGCCAGTTCGAGTAACTGCCGTACGCCCAGGGGGTCGTTGACCAGCGCGGGTACATGAAGGCCGTGGGCTCGGGGATGTCAAGGTCTGGGTACATCTTGCGCAGGACGGCCATGACTTCTTTCTGAGTCTCCTCGTCTGATTGGCGTTCGACGCGGTAGGAGTCCTGTGAGACGACGGTGACGAAGATGATGTTTGACTCTGGGATGAAGCCTGGGGCAGACAGAGATTGCCAGACGGGGTAGTAGCCGCGGCTGGTAGGATCGGCGTACAGGAAGTACTGGGTATCGCGAGGCCAGAAGGTCTCGTTGAACTGGAGGAAGATCTTTGTGTATGTGCCCATGGTGAACTTCTCAATAGCAGTCTGCTTCCAGTCAGGGAAGGCAGGGCTGAACGAGACGGCGTTGTTCTGGAGCACGCCGAGCGAGAAGGTGCAGACTGCGTAAGCGGCGGATACGCAGCTACCGTCTTCCTTGTAAATAACAACGCCGTCGTCGGAGTAGGTGACGTTGGTGATGATCGAATTGAGTTGGAGGCGCGGGTCATTGTCCTTGAGGAAAGTCGACGCCTCTTTGATGATGATTCGGTTGTAGCCACGCTGGTCCCAGACATAGTTGTTTTCGTCGCTGAACTGGTTGAAGGTCAAGTTCTCACCGGCGACGCCGAAAATGAAGGAGCTTTCGTCGGGTGAATATGAATCCTCCCAGTCTAAAAGACTGTTAGCATGATAATGCAAGATTATGAACGAAATCACAATGGCTTACCCCACTCCCACCACTCCACGGCCTGGCGGGCCATGTCGTCGATCTTGGGCCTCCAACCTGCCAGAGCCAGACCAGTGCGGGCAGTTTGATCCTGGCCATTATCGGTCAAAAGGACTCCAGCTGCATCGGCAGCATCACCAAAAAGAGTCTCATATTCATCCAAAAGAGAACTGTAGTCTACATAACCGGTCTCGTTGTAGGTGAGAATCGAGCTGTAGTTGGAGTAGGTGTTGTTCAGACCCCACTTCTTTGCAAAAGTCCAGATGGGGTTCTCTAGAGGAGCAAGGTTAGCAAAGACCAGTCGGTCTATTTGATGAATATATGAGAATCGTACCAGGGCCTCCGGGAGATCCTAGTCCTTGCACCTATTGGAATCAACAAGTCAGTGGCTGCATGTTTCTGATTCAGGCATTGCTTTGTTCCTACCCAGTTGGCTCCCAGCTCCACTGTGTACGGCTTGCCATTGGGATCCTTGCCAAAGTCGGTATGGGCGACACGGCCACCGAGGGTATCCCGGTACTCGATAATCACAAAGTCGTGAATCGACGAGTTGGTCAGAGCTTGCTAAAAACCGGCACGTAAGCGTCGAGTCTCTGCTGGGCCAAAGGGGATTGATCTTACTGCCGCAGCAACACCAGCCATGCCACCTCCCCTAAAATATGTTAGCTCACCATGTTTTGCGAAAGGAAGGGATAATTGACCGACTCACAGGATAGCGACCGTTGTCTTCTGGCAAGTGGCGTGCGCATCACTGGCCTGAGTTGTCGCCGCGGCACATGTTTGCGTGGCCAACGCAACCGCTAACAGACCCAGCTCCTTCTTAGAGAACATGGCTGTGAAGATGGTAAAGAAGGGTGAAAGAAAGAAAGGAAGCGAATACAGTGCTATCACAACAATTCAAGAAAAAAGCACTCGCCAAGATGCCATTATTTATACAAGCCCATTACGACATACCGGGGATCGGGTGCTTGGAAAGGATCAGGTGCTTAGAAGGGAGAATCTCCGAAGATTAAGAGATTATCAGTAGGTCCACCCGGACACGCGGTGGAGATCAACATTCTCAGCATCTTCAACATATCGTCGGGATGTAACTAAGAGCGCGTTAGGGATAGCCTGCGATAGCTTGCCATGCAGCTAACGCCGTGCAGGGAAGTCCACGCGACCGTTGACGAAACAGGGAGGGTAAGCCGGGGGTTCAGGTACTGGGCGATAAGCTTTGCGGAGAGAGACCAGCTTCACACTCTCCGCTGTTTCAGCATTTTGGGGGAGGTGGAGATGCGTGCGATAAGACTACCTTCCGCTCGGTTCAGAAGGCCGAACCGGCGACTACGATTGGCTGCGATTAGGATGGCCAGGAGCAAACTGGACATCCAGTGGATATCGGTTGGATTGGCCTTGTCCCACGATTGGTGCTTGCACTGATACGATCTCCTTGGCTCAACCGTTCCCCCGCATGCTAGCCGGCCGTAACCCATGTCGGCACTATACGCAAAGTAGATGTTGTAGCCATGTGCGATTCGGTAATTCCGGAATATTTAGCTACATTTACGTCCGGCTCTTGGAACATCATTCTGGCTACCTTCTTTTCTGGTTTCTTTGATTTACTCCTGCCCTTTGCTCTGTGCAGGTTACCAATATGAGTCATCCAACAGAGATGAAGGGTGGTCCGTTAGAGGACGATGACGCGCAGTTGGCGGCCATGGGCCATAAGCCTGAACTCAAGCGTCAGTACTCGATGTGGTAAGATCGACAAGAGAGTTCAATCCCTCCAAGGCAAAAAGTGCTGACCAGGGACTAGGTCGATGTTGGGACTGGCTTTTGCAGTCCTCAATGTAAGTGCTTTGAAACTTGTTTGGTCACACTCTCCATGAACCATGCAGCTAATCTTCTCTGTCTAGTCATGGACTGCTCTTTCTGCGAGTCTGTCTATTAGTCTCACGTCCGGAGGAAGCACGAGTGTCATCTGGGGTAGGTCAAACATACTAGCACTCAACCCTTCAAAGGATACTGAGTAACATTCCAAAATAGGTCTCGTGACAGCAGGATTCTGCAATTTATGTATCGCTGCCTCGCTGGCTGAATTTCTCTCTGCTTATCCCACGTACGTGCAGTGGCATTTCATATTGCTATCGAAACCAGATCTCAGACTGACCTTCATCTAGTGCCGGTGGTCAATATCACTGGGTCGCCGTCAGTATGTCATACACCCCCGCATCCCCTGTGAAGTCTTGCTAATCATGACAAAGTCGCATGGCCAAAATGGGTGCCTATTCTCTCATGGATCACGGGTTGGATTAACGTAGCTGGTTGGGTAAGCAGGAAAACATGAGTATGTCTCGGGTCTTCCAAACTAACAGAGTTAAAGGTCGCCCTCGTCGCTACCAACTCGCTCCTGTCGAGTCAACTCATCGTCGGATGTATCTCGGCCATGCATCCTGTAAGAGGTTTCCTCCCGGCAGGAATGAAGTGTCAATGCCTAACAACTACAATTAGACATATGTGGCGCAGCGATGGCACCAATTCCTCATCTACATTGGATTAACACTGGGAGCGTTCGTTATCAATGCGTTCATGAACTCTATCCTGCCGATGATCTATCGTGGTGCTTGTACGTGTTTTCCAGAATATGACTTGGTCTGCATGGCTAACGAGGGACAGTCTCATGGTCTATTGGTGGCTTCGCGATCGTCTCCATCACGGTCCTTGCATGTGCTTCGCCTGATTTCAACTCGGCCTAGTGAGTATGATCTTATCCGAAATTCTCGGGCTTTGCTAATCCACATTAGCTTCGTGTTCTGCAATTTTGTGAATAGCACCGGATGTGAGTTTATATATACCTAGCTTTCAGTCTATTGCTGATGGAGCTAACGTAACTAGGGCCGGATGGTGTTGCATGGATGCTCGGGTTGCTTCAAGGAGGACTCGGAGTTACTGCTTTTGTAAGTATTCGCGGTGATCAAAGGTGTGGGCATGGTGCTGACAGTCCTAGGATGCTGTGGTACACATGATTGAGGGTAAGAAGACGCAATCTGCCTATGTCGCCATATCTCCATATCTAACAACTAGCAGAGGTTCCAAATGCATCCATTGAAGGACCCAAGATTATGGTCTTGTGTGTCGGTATCGGTACTTTCACGGGATCTATCTTCTTGATTGTTCTTCTTTTCGTGGCTGGCGACATGGATCAAATCACCACTTCTGCTGCTGGCCCGCTCCTACAAATTCTTGTCGACGCTACCAAGAATACTGCTGGTGCAATCTGCTTGTTGATGTATGTCTTTTGATTTTCTTTCAACAGCTTCATGTCCCACTAACAAATCTCAAGGCTACCTCTAGTGTGCCTGATTCTCGCCATTCTTAGTGTGATGACTACAAGCAGTCGAATGATTTTCGCTTTCGCACGGTATGTACTTTGCCGTGGCATGATCTTCAATAAACAATGCTAATAGCACCAGTGATGGTGGTCTTCCTGCATCTCGATTTTTCGCCAAGGTCCACCCGACACTCAAGCTTCCCTTGAATGCGCTTATCTTGACTGTTGTCGTTGTCATTATCTTCGGCTGCATTTTCTTGGGATCCTCCAGGTAATACAAATGCTTAATCACAGTTTATAATGAATTCATACTTACTGCGTATAGTGCCTTCAACGCCATCATTTCCGCTGCAGTTGTGGCTCTCGATCTCTCCTATGCCATGCCCATTCTGGTCAACTGCTTACAGGGCCGACGAGCGCTCCCCGAAAGGAAGTGGAAGCTGCCGAACGCGGTCGGGTGGTTCATTGATCTGGTAAGATTTCCTGCCTCAGTAGAGAGCCAATGTTAACCGATAAGATCTCTCTCACATACATCGCCCTCACAACTGTCCTGTTTGTTTTCCCTCCGTACAAGGATGTTACTGGAAGCAACATGAGTAAGTCCAACCTCTCGGCGATGACGGTGAACATATAATTGATTTTCCTTTTCAGACTATGCCGTTGCTGCGTTCGCGGTTATCATCATAATCTCCGTTGTCCAGTGGTTTGTCGATGGACGCAAGAACTTTACTGGACCTCGCGTGGACGTGACCCTTGATGCACTGGACACCATGCCAACTTATGAGGAAACGCCCGCCATTCACGAGAAATGAGCATGGGAGTGTTGATTTCGTATCTCGCGGGATAGCAGAGCCAATCGAACATGGGATAGGGGACAGAATGGCAACAATTGGCTGTCTATACAGGAATTTGTTACTGTACAATGAAAAAAAAAGTATAGATTGTTAGAATTCCTCACAGAATTCCCGGAATAAACCGTTTCGTCGATCGATGCCACTCTTCCCACTCCTTGCCAAACTTCCCCTTAAGCATCTCCTCCTCATCCTTCACCCTCGTAAACAGCACACAAAGTGCAACCGAGATATAAGCTCCCAGCATCCCCATCCCCCAACCAGACCATCGAGCCAGCGTGGTCTCTGAGATCCAACACGCAGGCACACCATCCCATCGGCAAAACAGCGACGCAACACCAAACCCAATCAGCACCAGCCCCGTGTAGCTCGGATGCTGCACCCAGCCGTAGACACCCGACGTGACCAACTGATCCGGTGCCGCAAGGTGAAAGGTGAAATTGCGACTAAGTCTGCCATATGCGGCGAGACGAACGTAAGCACCGAGGCATATCAGGATGATACCCGCGACCGCGGGAACGCTCCATGAGAACAGCTCTGGGTTGAGATTATGCGGTCGGGGGCACATCTGTGGAATGCGCTGGGGCGCATAGACCGGTAGCACTGTGAGGATGGCATGGTATGTTATGGCGGTAACGGCGATGCGACGAACGATTGTTGCCCCCGAGCCGGCGATGAAGCTGATTCGATCCGTTTGGTGTCTGTCTTTGCGGTCGGGGGATGGGTTCGGGGGTGTGGCGCAGAGCGCACAAAGGTAGCCAGCCCCCATCATGGCTGCGGCCAGCGCTGTGGTACCTGCTTGGGTCATTGCGGTGAGTATAGTGAGTGTGGAAAGTCTAGATGAAGGGTGGAGGCTTGTGTTGCTTTTTGCAAACTCCGAATGCGCCTGGCGGGGCCTAAGGTTGGGGGGTGGGGGCCGTTCCCGTGCTTCCGAGGCAGACTCGCCATGGCCTTCCTGATAAGGTTGTGGCGGTCACAACCCGCTACTCTACAGTGATGCCTAGGCTGATGATGGTGAACTTTCTCTGGGTTTTCAAACTTACGGAACACCGCCACCTAGAACTTCGGGAGTTTCCATCACAGTGTACAATTTGTAATAGCAGACTTCGACTCATTATATTTAGGCATTTCAGTAAACCAAAGGGTTAACATAACGTTACGTATGTGAATGAAATCCACAAACTTGAATTGAGTGATCTATATCCCCCAACAGGGCAAAGATCGACGGGGGAAGTAGGGATATCTATGTGAAGGCTTATTTCCAAACAATCTTTCATCTTCCATAAGGCCAGTCGTTCTATGCCTCTGCTTTCATGTTTAAAGACACTGTGAGTAGTATGGATTCACCGACTGGCACGTGTAAGGGCTAGCACAGACAGATGGGCCGGTCCAACCCTGGCCTCCACACTGACCCCAGTGCTGAGCAAGGCCTGTACTGGTTGCACTAGCCGTGGTGGTAGTAGATGTGATAGAATTGACAATCGTGGTGGTGGTAGACGAGGTAGACCCAGTGCTGGAGAAAATAAAAGTGACCACTGAGTAGGCGGGAAGAGTAGCCGCAATATTGCCGCCGCTCAGGGTGATCGAAAGGCTAGACGGCGACGAGACAGAGTTGTCCATGTAATAGGCCTTGGCTGATGAAATAGTGCCGCCTCCTAGAGAGATACTTTGAGAGCTTGCGCCTGAGTTGATCATAACCGTTACGATAGAGCCGTCCGTGTTTTTGAAAGCCGCGACTTGGGTGTTGGTAGGGGTACCAGAGACACCAATACGTACAGCATCGGGTCTGATGTAGCGAGAGAACATGGCAAAAGCCCAGAGAGACCCTGAAGCGACTACCTGCGTAGAAGAGCCCGATCCCGTTAGGGTGACTAGTCCAGCGGCGTTGCTGTTCGATTGAGCGCCTATTATTTGAGCCTCAGCAACCATACACTCTTCAATAAACGAAGGATCCTTCACTCACCAACCCAGTACAGGAACGCACTGAGGTTACACTCAACAAGGCCTTGGTAGATGAGCTTGGCCCATGTGAGGCCTTCATTGAATGCACCGCTTGAATACCAAGTCGCAGTGAATGCATCATCCAAGTCCGCGTATTCAGTCTCCCATACTCTCAGACTAGTGTTAATAGGAGATGTACCCTGAGAGGTGTACCAATGAGAGGTGATACGAGACAAATATTGCTCAGCACCAGCAGATATAAGCTGCTGCGTGAATGTCACCTGGTCGGTCCAGCCCTCGGCATCGCAACAAGTAATGCCAGTAGATAGACCAGCTTTCTGAATGGCGTCGTGGAGAATTGGAATGAAGGAGGCGGCTTCAGTGCCATCAGACGACATTGAATCGTAGCTTGGCCTATGAACTTGGTCAGACTTGTTACTGACGACCGTAGAGATATTTGCAGCGTTCCAGCTTACGAAAATTCAGGCTCATTCAAGAAGCCAACAAAGTCAACCGTGATACCCTGTGTGGCGTAGTCTTGGAGATATTGCACCAGGTAGTTTGCATATGCCTGTCTCCAATCGCCAGAGGAACAAGTATGTCCAGTCACACCACACAGATATCCGCCGTTGATCTACTATTGATTAGAGATCTCTTGCAAACTTTGGAGGGGTGGCAACACACGTAGTCATTGTTGGTCTTCATGAACCCAGGGGCGCTCCAGGCATCAGCGTAGATGTACTTGACACCCATTTCCCGTGCATTCTTAGACCAAAATATCTAGGACAATCAGAAAAATATCAACACATCAAGGGCGCTGTCTGTTGTTGAAATTGAACCGGGCTGTAAATAATACGAACCTGGCTAGCATCGTCGCCAATTGACCTGTAGCTCGGAGTGGTAGACGGTGATCCAGGACTATTTGGCTCAATAGTACCGTTCGGATCCGCTGCAATTCGGTTACGTAGAATTGTCATACCAGCTCCTTCAGTTGTGCTGAACATATAGTTCAGTGCCTGGGTTTGTTGCGCTGCAGGTGCATTTTCGACTCCGCCGCCGAAGCCAAACGCCTCCGAGAAGCCAAACCCATCAATTACCTGGTAGGTCGTGCCCGCATCTACCGTGACCTTAGTTTGAGCGGTGGCAAGCCCAACCTGAAGGGTAACTCCAAGTGTTGTCAGAAGTGCAATGTACATGATTGAAGAAAGTCTGTGGTTGTACGATTATAGATTGAATTTGTCTGGAACTTAGCGAAGCAAACAGTGAGTCAGGAATGTCCCGTCCCGCAAACTTCATAGCAATTTATATAAGCCACAGCAGATAACTCATCTCGGGGTTCGAGCTGGTTGTTGAATTCACAGAATCCATGTAATTTGCTTGTTGCTATTAAACGTACAACAATATAGCCTAATCTATCTAACTATGGGCATTAAAGGCCAGGCAAAGTGTGAATTGTGGTCCCGATTTGAGCTGTGGCGAAACACACAATTGTCACTAAAGCGGGCTGCTGGCTTAGCGAGTGACGGGTAGCAATTCCGTGAAGAACTCGTCGCTGCTATGCGCAAACCCCTGGAAGAAACATAAAGTAGGCGCTAGGAAAAGGATGCAATCAACAAATTAATTGGTTCCTTCCTCAATTTCTATGAGGCGCCCGAGGCTGTTCGTACCGAATTCCGTGATGATTACGGTTAGTGGTTGTGAAGGATGACAGTATGGTGGAGCTTTAGTTTGAAACAAGCATTTCTCCAGTGGAGTAGGTAGTATCTCACCAGCGTCAAGTGGATGCTGAGTAGTTTAGCTATGTATGTGGCGCTTTGTTCGTTCGTGTGAGACAATCTGGAACGAGGTCTGGAATGGGGTAACCTAGTCATATCTTGTCCTTAAACTTAAAAAAGATCCTAATAGTTCATGATTGGCAAATTAGCATAAGGGTCTGCTGCGCTAGTCGGGTCATCATTTGTATCCGTAAAGTGACTAGGGTGGAAATTTTTCACCTGAAGTCCGAACTTATGCCAAGCCTACGTGCAGGGTCACTAATAAACCAGGGTCCGATTATATGTAAAGCCTTCCAAGGTAAACTTTGAACCTCCGTATGAAAGTCGCTAGGTTCACAACTCATTGTAGACACTGACTGGACTTGCATTGCTGACCCCCGCGTCATTTCAGATACGACCAATTTCAACATTCCCGTATCTTTCATCCCCACTCACATTCACAAGCACTGAGAATACCACGGGTTTGCGGACGAACAAGTCGATCCTGCAGCACATGCGGTTGGTCCTACCCAGCCACTTCCCCCGCATTGTCCCCATTCGGTTTGAGTAAGCACAGTTGTACTGGTTGGGACGTTTGTGAGAGTACTAGAGTGCGATGCGGTGGTCGTGCTAGTTTGAACCGCCGTTGTGGTGGACGGAAGTCCACTCTCCATGCTGAAGGAATTGACAGCCACGCTCCCCCCTAGCTCCGCAGTGGCATAATTGAAAATTCCGTACCGGTAACCTATAAAGAAATTCCACGTATTGTTTAGTACGTACGGTGTACCGATGTTTACGAAAGTGAAGCCATCAGTGCTATATGAAAAGGTGGCAGTCCGGCCACTACCTGGCTGGATGTTGGCAGAGGCGCGCAGCCAGACTTTCGAGGTCCCAGCAGGGAGGTTGAGTCCAGTAACTTCATATCCGGTTGACAGAGTATTCCAGCTGGAATCCATTGTTAGTCCCTCCACCATGCTAATGCGGAAAGTACCACCATTGTTGATGACGGCGACATAGGCGGAGGAATCGCGAAGCATTGCCAGCCCACTGCGGTCCCCCGAAAGCATGCTTCCAATCGTGAGCTCGATGGTAGCGTACGATTGGGGGCCTAAGATACGGTGTGTGAGAGTGTTTCGAGCTGCGTATAGATCATTCGTCACTGTAGCTGTGCGCAATGTAAGACCGTTGTTTATGGAGTAGTAAGATGGATTCGGGTTGTGATTCCATTCCCACTGGGGGCCAAGTGAAGACCCCTGGAAATTATCAGTCCCAGTCGGACTGGATAGCACTTGAGGCGTCACCGGATAAGGATAGGAAGTTCCCCAACCTCCGTTGGCAGTGCTGATGACAGGAAACCCGTCAGAGCCCCAGGTAATAGGCGCCAAAACGGGGACACGGCCTCCAGGATAGCTGTCCACAAATGCCATGTAGTACCAGTCGCCATTCGGGGTATCAACAATGCCTCCCTGATGAGGGACACCGCCCCCGGAGATCGGTGTGGCGATGTTACTCTCGAGCAGCTTTTGAGTATACGGACCCCATGGGCTACTAGATTTAAGGACATATTCCGCAGAGGCAGGAAGGTCATTGAAAATATAGTACTCCCCGTTGATTTTGTAGAAGCGTGATCCTTCGATCGATCCCACGGTCGATGAAAAAACTTGCTGGGTCTTGACCTGACTGAGCCCGTCGGAGGAGAGTTGAGCAACGTGAATTTGGGTGCCTCCGTATGCCACATACATGGTGTCGTCATCGTCGATGAGTAGGCTGCAATCATAATAACATGTGTCAATGATGCTACTCTGTTTCCATGGCCCTGTAGCTGAAGACGCGGTAAAGACATAGGTCTTGCTGAACTCGATGCATCCAATCCAGTACCATGTCCCGGTGCTTGCGCGATATCTCATGGTTGAAGCCCAGATTCCCTTGACATATGCCTGACCTCCATTCAAGTCATAATTGGAACCCCAGTCAAGTGAGGGTACCGAATGGCCGATGAACTCCCAGTTCACAAGATCGGAAGACTCAAGAATGGGTGCCCCAGGTGAGTAATGCATGGTAGATGCCGAATAATAGAATATATCCCCGACACGGAAGATATCTAGATCCGCCAGGTCCTCCCAGAGGACGGGCTGGTTGAATGTCGCGCCACTCACGGCAATCGCCAGAAGGCCGAGGACTGCAAGGACTCTCATTGCAAAAGGTCCGCTGAAGATTCTGGTTTCCAGTCAAGCGATATACACATCACTAACCACTAGCAGGTATTCAAATGACTACTCCTACTTATAGTACAACAAGTGCCCCTGGAGGGGTTCAGGCATCTGCATCTCTCCCAGAGGAGATTTTCTACTTAAAGAAAGGTGACATTGTTGAACATTCTGAGTCAGCCAATCGGTTAAATGTTTCCTTTCCATGGAGGGTGCCTTCTTTCGCAAGATGTTCGACAGGAATCAGATTCGTATGTATAACACGTCTCGGCAATCATGGATTAAACATTGCCGCGTTCTTCTGTGGTCAGGTACGCACCTCGCGGCCCTCCTCATACGGCAAGCGATGAACACCGTGACTAATTTGGATTTATCCAACGAACTCGAGTCCCCCGCCGGAGTTGCACATTGAGAGACATCCTGGAGGAGAGAGGGGGTGGCGTGCAGAGATCAATCCTTGTGACAAGAGAGTACTCCACGCTTCAACTGCAGAGTGCTTATTTTGAACCCACGTTTCCAAGAACATAGTCGAATATGGTCAAAAGTGAGCGATCTCCGCTTGACAAGTCCCCTCATTAAGGTTCAGGGTCCTGAAGAACGCCTTCGGGGCCCCACATCAGCGTCTCACTGACCGGTAGCTCAGAAGAAGTAACTACCGCAGTGGTCTCAGCCCGACCTGCTGTTTTCCGGGGGCTAGTTGAACTTTCGTAACACAAAATTTCCGGATTTGTGAGAGATGTAACTCCTACAATTGTCTGAATTCGCGGGGTGTATCAGATCTCATTCGAAGGATTTGTTCCGGAGAGGTCTTGGTCTTTGTGATTAGCCTAATTAGCTCTTTCGGATTCTGGCCGTTGCCAATCGAGAGAGCTATCAGGCAGCACCAGAGCGTGAATCTCACAATCCGTTGATGCCTATTAAACCAAGAAAGGAGCCGACGACAGACATGGCTCATTTAGACTCGACACCATTAGAATATTTGCACAATCGGCTTTTGTCATTAGTGTTTTACTTGTTTTACTCTGGCTGTTAGCAGGATGATTTGGCTTGCTACCCTGTGGTTAGTGCTACCTGTGGTGTCAGGTCAAGCAGCGCTTTACGGCCAGTGTAAGTAGAATCTCCGCTGACTCCAGGCTCTGTTAGATGAAAAGGCTAACATTTGGTTAAAGGCGGCGGAAGTGGATGGACTGGAGCTACGTCTTGTGTGGCAGGGGCTTGCTGCATATACTCCAATCCGTATTACTCTCAGTGTCTTGCATGCACCACAACCTTGACCACGAAGGCGTCGACTTCGACTTCAAGCTCGACCACTTCGTCGGTCCATTCGAGTTCGACATCGACATCCACAACTACGTGCAGTCTTCCGTCGGTATACACTTGGAAATCGACTGGCCCACTTGCAAACCCAGAGTCTGGATATGTCTCTCTCAAGGATTTCTCTCACGTGCCATACAACGGGCAGCATCTTGTGTATGCGTCTGATGTTAACAGCGCGGGAAATTACGGCTCGTTGAACTTTGGTCTTTTCTCGGATTGGACTCAAATGACCTCGGCGAGCCAGAATGTGATGGGTAATGGTGCAGTTGCCCCGAACATTTTTTATTTCCAACCCAAGAATGTATGGGTTCTCGCCTATGAATGGGGCTCCAGCCCATTCATGTACATGACATCTAGTGACCCTACAAATCCCAATGGATGGTCATCGCCTCAGTCGCTATTTAGTGGCTCGATCTCGGGCTCTAGTCCTATCGACCCGGCCCTCATCGCTGATGATACAACGATGTATCTCTTCTTCGCGGGAGACAACGGTAATATCTATAGGTCCTCTATGCCTATCGGCAATTTCCCGGGAAGCTTTGGCACATCATACACCACAATCTTGACCGATTCAACCTACAATCTGTTTGAGGCCGTTCAGGTTTATCGGGTGCAAGGACAAAACCAATACCTGATGATTGTGGAATGCATTGGAGCAAACGGAAGATACTTCCGTTCCTTCACGGCTTCCAGTCTTGGCGGCTCGTGGACGGCGCAGGCTACGAGCGAGTCTGCACCATTTGCTGGTAAAGCCAATAGTGGAGCCACTTGGACCAACGATATCAGCAGTGGTGATCTTATTCGGAGCAGCCCCGATCAGACGATGCCCATTGATCCGTGCAACTTACAGTTCCTATACCAAGGCCGAGACACTAGTTCCGGGGGTTCTTACAACCTTCTCCCATACCGTCCTGGCCTCCTGACACTGGTAGGCTAGTATGAAGATTCTGTTTCAATGTCCCTTCTTTGTGGGAGCAGGAGATGGAGATCATTCGATCTCAAGTGTTGAGGGAAATGTGAGGAGTAGCGATGATAGTGCTAGGCAGCGCGACGGACAACGGATACGACATGGTGCAGTCTCGTTAGTAAATATTAACGCTTTCAACCTCGTCTGGTGATTATTCTCCAAATTTCTATGCGTATAGCTTGCAGCTTCAGCTTCGGTAGATGTGCAATGGATGCGTACGTAGAGATGCTCGGCTGGGTCGCTTGCTTCTCTAGATGTCACTTGGGACAATATTACTGCGAGACCGTGTTGAGTCGCCAAACGTATTTTATCTTTCAGTGATAATACAGTTGTAAATGATGGGCAACCCTGGTCGGGTTGGTGGCCGCGACCCACTTATAAAACCAGCTTAGGAGTATCTCTTTTTAGACTCCGAATCGGGAATTTTGGATCGCCCATCACATCTTGTAAAATATTTCCATGATCTTTTCCCCTCCAGTATCTCTCTCCTCCTACTTTTCATCTCCTCACTATTCAGTTCCTAAAAATCCAGAAGAGTGCTCCATAATTCTCATGCTACTTCAAAATGCCGCTTCAACCACGCCAAGTCCGTGGGTGGATACATTCGTGCTGGGTGGGGTTGGCTGCTCAGGCTATAAATGTACACGAGCTGAATCGCCAGCATGGCATCCTCGAACGAAAAATAGCCCAGTTAAAACTCGCTAGAGATACGAACGAAAAGTTTGAGTCACAGGACGCATCTAACTTGGCGCCAAATTCCTCTTAAAGACAAATTATTACCGAATCATGAGTTTTCTACGTTGAACATTTTTAATAGCATTCCCTCACTACCCTCCTCTACCTCTCCTGTTCACCAGAAGAGAGCTTTGCCTGCGGGATGCGCCTTTTGATTGTTAGACCTCTCTCTCTGTGATTTGATTTTCGTGTACTAAAAGGCACACAAGACGATTGTATGTAGAATTCCAATACGTATGCCGCAACAATGGAATTTTCCCTTCAACCAAATACTTCAGTAAGGAATTCTGCAGCCCAAAAGTAGCCATCCCTACATGACGCACAACGCACTCTTATCTCGTGGAGCCTTCTATCATTAGGTAATGTTTTCCGCTTCAAGTTGTCACATACGACAAGAGTTCGAATCTGGCTGACTGTTGAAGCCCGATTCGTCCAGCATTTCTGATCTAATAGAAGAAAGAACTCTCACAATATGTTGAGCACAAGTTATAGTTGCAGCCAATCATGGAAATCTTAGTCTGATCTCAACTTGATTCGGTTCTGAAGGAAAGAATAGCCGTCGTTATTGGCGACGGCTCTATTTAGGGTATATCTAAGGATGTACTAGTGTGCACCAGGTACAAGAAACTTGGTGGCAATTCTGAATATCAACAAGAACGAGAAACTTTCTGGGAAGTCAATTATCACAGGCCGAGTTCACAACCAAACAGGTTCTGGGGGCTGTTGCTGTACCATCAGCAGGAACTTTTCACCAAAGTGCTTCTCCTGACATGCTTTCTCCCCCTCAAGGTATTCTCAAGACCTTGAGGAGCGCACTGTACGCTCTACTCAAGGCACCCCAATCGACAAATAGCCAAGAAGTGGTAGCTGGACAGGTGAATGTTCCATTGATTTGCATGAATTCTACGGCTTCCTCTGGGCTTGAACAGAGCTATGGGAGGAATTCTAGGGATCGCGATGCTTCTAAGGTAATGAACAGAAGGTTGTATCTCAACTCGAACCAAAGGCACGAGCCAAATTTGTCAATAACAAATCCTTTAAGACCTTTCCACAAGCAAGCTTCTTTTGGCCGGCGCGACTTCTGATGAACCCCATTTCCGTTCCTCACATGTGTCGCTGTTACCGAGATTTTGGACTCCGTGCATGGATTATGCCGGGGAATGCAAGGAACAATTAATTAATACATTTTTAATTTTGGCCATCTTCAAAGGACAGTTGAGACAAACTCAGGGCCCGTGCAGATCATTGAGCCACGAATGCCTGTGTCTACAACACTAACTGGGACGGATATATTAGCGGGTGTTTTGAAATGCCCCTTGGCGGCGCGGAGAGCGCTCCACCTGCCAAATGACGCTTGAGAATATGGTAATTCCCCCGAAACTGTCAGTAAATGTTCCAGACTTGGACCCGATACTGGTGGAAATAATCTAAATTTTGCGGTGAAAATTGCGTGACGGCATGTTGATCCCTCCACTCAAAGATGGCGAGCTTCAGTCTCGAATATTCAAGGGTCGCAGTCTCTCAGAAGGTATAAATCAGTTCCTCATCCTGGCTAGCCAAAGTTGAATAACACTAGGAAGAGTATACCCCTCGAGAGCGAACATATTTAAGATGCCTTTCACCAAGCAGACAATTTCTGCGCTCGCCATGACGGCGATCGCCTCCGTGGACGCTGCCTTCGGCCCGGCTTTCAGTACTGGGCCTGTTGCTTCAGACTCTTTCATCCGTGAATCCACCTCGACTCTGGTCCTCCCTAAGACCCCCAGTGGCTCTTCAGGCGATGCTTCTCTCTGGGTTGGCATGGGTACCTCGAACGGTGACCTGATACAGTCCATCGCCGACAATTGGCAGTCAAGTTCTTGGAGCGTCTTTGCCTACACTCTTTTATCCACTAGTCGTAAGCGAATCTCGCCTGTCTCTGGGTTCAAAATACAAAGACTAATCTTTTCCAAGCCACCACTCAGATGCCTGTTCAGGGTGACTCTTCTACTGCCAACGCTGGAGACGAGGTGACCATGCACTGTACGTCATGATGCAATCTATAACGACCCCAACATAGAAGCTTAATCTCGCCCGCAGACAAGTTCGATGACACCACCGGCAATTACACTCAGACAGTTCTTGTCAACGGTGTGACTGTGTCCACTCTGTCTACAAGCGACGGAAGGGCCCAGGGCTGGGGTAGTGCCGTTGAGTGTGCCGCGGATAATTGCGGCACGATGCCTGCTCACAGTAAGACTCCATTGAAATTTATCTTGTCTTTGGTATTAGGTGAACTGATACATTCCATTGCTACTATAGCTTGGATCAACACAGAGATCATCCTGGACACCGCCGACGCGAACTACATCAATACCCTAGCTAAGGGCGAAGGCGTCACCGGCGACATGTCAACCAGCGACAATGGAAAGACCTGGACTGTGAGCACCATCGGCATTCCCGAATTTACATTTGGTGTCTCCTCTTAAACCAATGGCCAATTGAGATTACAATTTCAACCACCTCATCTCAACTACCATGCCCTCGTGTACCTCTGTAAATAGTGGCAATCGCTCTAGAAATGCTAAATTATCCGAAGCAATTCGCTCTGCTATTATTTACGCCTATTAATCACACGAGAAACCCACTCAAATCGCATCACACTTAGTCATATCACGCTCCACTAAGTTATATATAATACAATCAATCGCTTTCCATCTACTGGCAATCTGCAATCGAAGCTATGTTCTGGCCGCTCGTCGAAGCTTAAACCCTCTGAGGGCCGATATGTCTTTCTTCTTGTTCGCTGTAACCCGATTAACAGTTACAAGGCTGTTATTCATGAATCGGGTCTTAAAGTATTAAAAGAAGGAGCCGGATTTGTTTGAGCGGTATAAATAGCTAAGGATACAGTTGCCTGGTCTGCGAGGTGCAATCTCTGCCAGGATCTGTTGTCTTCAATCCGCCTGACGCGGAGGGAAAGAAGGTGGGGTATGTGAGATCCCGACTATCTGTTTGAGAGAGATTTAATTCGAATCGGAGCTCCCTGTGACCCAAATCCGATATAATAATCTTATACTGAAGTATTTTACTAGAGAAACCTTACAGATCAGACTTAAAGCAAGTCCAGTAAACCCTCTGCTTAGGACCCCATTCGCCTTCAGACTGACCGAAATCGAAATGTGGGTTCAAGAGAAATCCTGACAGCAGGCCAACGCTTGAACAAACATTTTCCATGTTTCTATTGGTCGTGATGTCGCGGCTAGATATACGCCTGCCAGGGAGAAACACTGAGCTCCAATCACCTGAATACGACACAATAGCATTCCTATGTGCTTTTGAGCGGCGAAGAGACATGACTCTGCTTGTCGCAAGCAGGCGATTGACGGAAAGCAAAGGGTGAAACTCTAGCTGTATTCCCAACAAAAGCAGTAGCAATAGATTAGTGCGCATATATCAGCAACTGAAATATTCATCATTAGCACAGAACTGAGGAGAGAGGGAGTGAAAGGGGGGTAAGAGAGTGAATACTAATAGACAGCTCATTGCATCCCATCACACTCCATTAAAACACAGTCTTCAAATACTCCCTTATGGGACGATCTGGACGGAATCTACGATCTGGGATGGACTTGGGAGAGATCTGGGGTGGAAGGCAAACATGGCAAATCGTGGCAGGTGGTTGTTATCAGGAACCCCAAGATCCTCAGCCTTTCTTCATCTCTCTTTCTCTCCAGTTTCGCTACCATCGTTGAAAGCACCAATGAACCCCCTTCATTTGACTGGCTTGTACCACCTCACTCTCTCCTCTAAAATCGGATAAAAATATGCACATTCTCAAAATAATTTTGAAGCAGTGATTCCGCCGCGAGCAAGTCAAATCTACGGACATCGGCAGACTGGGGGATTTCGGGGTGTCATCGGTCGAGGACGGGCGGTCCCGAGGCGGGAGAGTATTCTCAGCAGCAATCGGCCATTTTAGAACGGCCTCAATATTAATTTCCGAGTGTCGCCATTGGGTGTGGACGCCGAATACCGCTCCAGAGGAACCTAGGTCGCTCAACTGGGAGATTACTCAAGCCTAGCGGGGAGAGTGATGGTTGGCACTGGTTGTTGCTGAAGCTCCGGGGCTTTAGTTTGGACTAGGCCCTCTGGATCGTCTAGGCGTTGGAGGATGGCGAGAGTAGCGGGATTGAAGCTGTTAAGGCAGGTTGGTTTAGAGATATTTTGGTGAGCATGGCCCACGGTCTAGGATATGTGAGAGGACAAACGTTGATTGGTCAATTTGTTGGTATTTTGTGCATTCCGTTCCGAGGCACACGCACGAAGCACAAGCCGGTTAGGCATTGTCGCATTTCGTTAATCGGAATTGACAAGTATGACATGCCTATGTTGTCCGTCACCGCGGATAAGTAACTGCAGGACGAGCGGGTCGTCGTTTCTGAACTGGCTGCTGCTGTTGTGGATGTTGTCGACCTAGTGGCGTAGCAGGATGCTGATGCTTGCATTTTATTGACAGATCTAGCAGCGCTGATTGAGCTGAGTAGGTCGAACGTCCGACCGGGGGATTCAAAGCCCACGTTGCTAATGTGTGCAGCATTGGTGCCCGTGTGCTCTAGGATCTACCAAATTACGTGTCATTATCATCCGGGGATGATGGCGGTGGATCCGATTCCTGAATATTTTCCCGAGTTAGCAGAGCTTGTATACAAGCCAAGCAAAAGGCGTCGTCGAGAAGGGAGTAGTAAATGCCTCGCGGAGTGTCGGTGCAAGAATATATGGCCGAGGAGCTCATTTTGTTCAGGGTTCAGGGGTAGCTGATTTAGTTGATTCTGCTGCAAACTCTATTGCACGCAAGGTAGATAAATTAAAAGAAGGCGGTTGTATTAGCTAGAATAGAAAGGAATCGTTAGGAGGCACTAAAAGATGTACTGTCTCGTGTAAATGAACATATCTGACTGAGCTGGAAAATCCTCTTTCCAGAACTAGTAATGTCCCTGGTTTCTGCAATTTACCCCGCACCGAATGCCTCAACGATCTGGAGATTTACCGCTAAGGGATGTTAATTCAGCGGCCACTCAATCTCCCACATGGTTTATATGGTAAATCGGGTCACTTCGAAATACTCATGTAGTAACATGCCAATACCAGGCCCTGACTTATATTATCTTATTAATCCATTCGCCGAATGTAGTTCGCTCTATACATGCTGCTATGCGGGCTATTTGACCAGCCTGCAGCGAGAAAATGGCTGCCAGCACCCAGCGTTTCATATACCTCATCTCAGGGGATAGGATCACATAACACTGGAAATAGACAAAAACGGAGGGACGGACCACTTTCCCCATCATATCCCCGCAGTTTTCTCCCCTCCAACTCACCCGATCCACCAAACTTTCATCACTCCTGTCTGACTCTCCTCATCACCTATCACTCCAGTCACTTTCTCATCTGCATCATCCGCTTACGAATACGTCGGATGTCAAGGGGTTACGATCGACCTGGGATTCGCGCCCCTATTTTCGGGTCCCATCACCACGCGCTGACTTTATGAAACGCTCTCAACAGCGTTCTACTAAATAGTTCTTCAATCAAGCACCTAAATTGGTTCCCTAATACTAGTGGGTAAGGATATCCTCTGATCCGACAACTCGCAATAGCGGGATTACTAGGGTTCAGCTTTTTCTTTTCTACGCAACACGGACCGACCTCATCATGTCGAAGTGATTGGCATCAGCACTTCCAAATTTAAACGCGGGTCTGAAACACTAGATCCAACATGCAGGGGAATACGATGCAACAGAAACATGGTACGTTGTAACCCTAAACTATGATCAACCACGTACGGTAATATTCATTTTCACACCATCCAATTCAGGGATCGTTGAGGATTCCAGAATGACTTGTGGAGCCATTGGTACTGTTGGTACTATTCGAGGACTTTGTCATCACCGTGCGTCCAAACAGACCCCTCTAAGACCTGAATTCGGAGATTGTGAAGATTGCGGAGATAAGGTCCTTTTCCCCTGTTCCTACAGTGGTGACTGTGTATACTCCATGCTCGCCAGTCATGCGGACATGCCTTCAGCCCAGTAGTTGTCACAGGCGTAGTCGGAATTGTAATAAAATTGCCCTCTCTCTGGGTTGCGGTTGCACCTCTTGGATTGTTTGAGCTCTCTCACAGGCTGGTTAGCTTTGGAGGAGGGAGGTGTGGAGACGTGTGAACTTGGGCTGTTTCAACTCTTGCCCTTGAACCAGTGTTTCTCGCTGTAACGAGTAACCTATAGGTAATCGTTTTTGATATGTTTTGATGCATTAAAGGCCATGACAAAGTAAGGTCTGACGCCTATCTTCTCGTAATACTGATACCCAACATAGACGTCCTCACTGCACAGCACTCGTCCGCTCTCCGACCATAGCTAAGATACGACGGATTCTGCTGAACTGTTTCCGTGAACTCAAGGGAATTTTTATTGACTATCTATCCATAAAATCCCATTTTAATTGAAAAAAGAGGTCTTTTGTTACCAGATTCACATCAAAAAATAAAACGTCCGCAATTTCATTCCCGTTATCATTCATTCATACCGTGCCCATAGCATGTAACCAGAGCGTCACTTTGCACACCCACTACGGCATTTGGCGGGACAGTCGCGCCTTCATCGGGGGCAGATCCATATAGGCACGACAAGCCTAATTTTCCCATTCTCCACTCAGGTCAGCACAAACCACAGCCTGATCAGATTTAGCAGCCGCATCCACGGTATATTGGATGACGCGTTCAGGATCAAAACGTCCTACTAGTGGCAGTCCACTGGGACCAATCGAGACGAGTGCACGTAATTGTAGCAGTGACGTCGAGTGGTCGCGCAATCAACCAAAAGATTGTGAGCTTCATTATCTTCGAGCCATTTTTGCGTCGTTTTTCTGGAGCTCTGATCCCGATGAGCGATGTTTCCTATTGTTGGGTGGTTTTGTTATTGACCACCAGTTCTCCGTCGATAAAGAGTACGCCGGTTCCCGCGAAGGTGAGCCGAGTTATACATGCCGCTTTTGGTGGGCTCAAAGATGCCTTCATAGTGATGTAGTAAGGATCATCAAAGATCTGGGGTTGTTTGTAACCCACGAGGAATGCGGAACAGTTGGTCATATAAAGAATATCGATGGATTTGCGGTTCTCAACAGTGGCTGGTTTCGGTATACACGCCATATATATCCAGTTTTTCCGTCCTGTCTTCAAGTATGATCCTAGAAGTGTGCATTCTTTATCCATAAGTACCCCTAGTAAAAGTTCCCATTGGCTGTACATTATTTTGGTTTCGTTGGACGGGAGTCAATTTGCAGTATGCGGGTAGAGAGGCAGGGGGCATTGGGTGAGAATTCTAGCGCACTTTCGGGCATTTCCGACTCAGCTGTCTGAGTTACCAGTTCTAGGACTTGAAGAACCCTCACCAAGATTCGTATGCGAGACTTTATTTGACGTGACGGC